AAAGCGAATACTATATAGTATTACTAAAGAAGAGAAGAGTATATACTTTACTATTATTTATAATACGTATAGAATACAAAACGAGTATATCGCTCCCTATAGAAGAAATATCTTTCGACTAAATACCTAAAGAGGTAACTAAGTATATAAGGGCCTTATAGGCGAAAGATAACTAATATAAAGCTCGTAAATAAAAAGTACTTAGTACTCTAAATATCGATCGATAGTTAATTAATAATATATAGTTAATATACTATAAAGGCGTTATATATATATCTCGAAATCTTCTCGTTAAAGTAGAAATCTTACGAGTAAATTATAATAACTTATAATAAGATAAATACTTTAGTATATAAAGAATAAAAGAGATAATATATAAATTCTTTTAATAATAAATACTAACTAAAGATATCGAGAAATATTATAAATTCTACGATATATATTAAAGAATAAAAGCGCTATAATATAAGTTTTATAGTCTATTAATATTATTAATATAATTAAATTAGCCTTAGTAAAATATTACTATAGACTTTATCGTAAGGTTATCGTTATTAAAATATAAAGAAAGAGTATATAATACGATTCTAAATATAATCGATCAATACTCGAAGATAGTTTATTATATACTTTATAAAATAAATATTAACGCCCTAGAGATAGTTAATTTACTAATCGATAAGATATTTATAAAATATAGTGTACTACGCTTAATCGTAAGTAATAGAAGTACTATATTTATAGCTAAATATTAAGGAAGTATATACTATTACTTTATAATCTAAAGATATTTCTTAATCGTTTTCTATTCGTAAATTAATAAATAAACGAAGAGAATAAACTAAATATTAAAGATTTATTTATAGTATTATATTAATTACGAGTAAAATAACTAGATTAAATTATTTATAAGCGCGAAATTTATTTATAATAATATTATAAATACTTCGACTAAGAGAATATCTTTTAAGATAGTATATATCTTTATACTCTCAATATATATTAATATTATATCTTAAATAAAAAGTAGTTATAGCGAAGTAATTTAGTAAATAATATAGTATAGAGAGAAGTCCTAATACTTAAGTAAAGAAATATAAAAGGCTACTTAAGAAAATATATTTAAATACTATAATAGTAAATATAAGAATAAGATTTTCTAAAAGAGATAAAAAGTTATATTATTTATAAAATATATTTATATATAACGTATTTCCTTTAAGTTTAGCGATTATTTTATAAAGCTCTTTAGAATACTATAGAAAGTTAATATAAATATCTATAAACTAAAGTTATTAATAAAATATAGGCGCTTATATTATACTTTTTACGTATTTTTATTAAAATCTTATTATTAACGCGAAGAACAAGAAATACTCGAATTATTAAATATTAATAGCGAAGATAAATATAAAGTAGAATAAATCTTAAGTATATATAAAATACGAGTAAAAGAGAAATAATTTCTAGTACGATAAAAGAAATTCTCGAAAGAAGATAATATTTAGGAACTACTAGAATATCTTATATATATATAAGAAGAGATCGAAAGATTTAAGAAGAGTAAGAGATAAAATAATACTTTTATATTAAATAGTAAAGTCGTTTCGCCTTAAAGGCGTCGAAAGAATATATTAAGAATATACTAAAAATATATCTAAAAAGTAATAATAAAAATTAATCTATTATCTTTAATAGTAAATTAAAATAAATCTATTATATAAATATATATAAACTTTAACTATATAAGATCTAAGAGAAAAAGAACGAAAATATACTAGTCGAAAGAGTAGAGTATATCGTAAGCGGACTAAAAGTGTAGTTTACTCTAATATATTAGATTTAAAACTATTTAATGTACTAAAGTTAGAATTATTTAGCTTTAGTATACTATTCGATTAGTCTCGAGAAGAGAGCCGAATAGTAGTAATCTAGTCGAGCTAGAGAGAGAGTAAAATATTACTCTAGAAATTATTAGCTATATATATTTTAGATATATTTATAGTATATACTATAGTCGCGATAATCTCGATAAGAATTCGAATAGTATATATAAGTATCTACTAAATAAACTTAGTAAAAGAGATAGAAGCGAAGATAAAGATAAAGAAAACGAAGATTTTACTCTTAAAGAGCGTAGTAGAAATATCGTCGATATAAGGAAGTAATATAGAAGTCTTTTCTCTAGAGTCTTTTATAGCTCTATCTAAGATAGTAATATATAAGCGAAGAGAGGTAGCTATAAATATAATTAGTATATATTTTAGATACGTTTAGGGTACGTAATATAAATCGAAGCGAAAGAGGAATTCCTTATCTTTAGATAACTAATTCTCGATAAGTTTATTAATCGCTTTATAGTAGTTATAGAGGACTTAAAAATATTAGTAACTATTTAGTAAATATATATTTCGAGTATATTTACGAGCTAATATTTATTATATACTTTACGATAACGCGAATACTTCTTATAGTAACGAGCTATAATATAAACCTTACTATTATTACGAGCTAAAGTATATATATATCTTTAATAAAAGTTATAAGTATAAGTAAATATCTCGTCGATTAAATATAAGGGAGTCGAGAGAGTAGCGACTATAGTAAAAATATAACGCGTAAAGATTTAAATTAAGAACGAGTTTACTTATAGGCGAAGATAATATAAAGAGAGTAATAAGCGTAAAGAGAATAAATAAAGAATATATACGAAATATAAAATATTTATAGTATAAAGAGAGAAAAAAGAAGAAGAGGAAGTTTAAAATTTAGGATTAAAAATAAAATAATATATCCTAATTAAGATATATACTAAAACTTTTTAAAAAAGTCCCTAACTTTTTAAAAGTCTAGTAACTTTGTACTTTTCTCTATAGTCTTAGCACTATTTCGTATATATAGTATAACTAAACCTAAAGAGTAGTAGAATCTCGTATAATTAGTAAATATTCGATTTTTTAGGGGCACTTCGCGTCTTAAGGGTAAGACGCCTAAGGGGAGGGGTAATTATTAAGCCAGTACCTACTAAACTATCTAAACTCGTCTAACTCTAGTAGGCTTAGCGTATACGATATATATAGGGAATATAGGTTCTACGGACACTTAAACCCTTAAGGCTTTAAGTCTCTATAGAACCGCTTGATTAGAGGACTTAGTCTAGTATCGCTACTTTTATTTGATCTTATCTATCTATTAAGACCTCCTTATAGTAGCCTTATCGAACGACGCGTTCTAATTAGTTTAAATTTAGGGTATACTCGGCTAGAAGTAGTTACTAGCAAATCTTGGTAAGGAATACGATTCCGAGCTTATAACTATTAAATAGTATATATAATATAATACATTAAATTCTTTACCTTTTTATAACTACCTATATACTTATCACGTATTTATAGGTAAGAGAGGCATTATTTACCTACTTCCTATAATCGTGATTTACCTACTGATCGAGACCTCGTCGTCGCCCTTAAACGCTGGTGTAATAAGGCGCTGTTAGACCATTGAATGGTGCGGCAAGCCATCGCGTAATCTTGCCGTTTGACAGTATTTCTATATGTATACCATCTCGTCTTTGTCGGAGACTCTTCAACATACTTGAGCCTTAAAATCCAGTGGCGCCATGCGTTGCAGGTCAACTGGGAGCTACACAACTGCCGTATCAGACTGAATTCGGTACATCCTTATGCATTTTCACTGTGCCCTTATCTTCATGGTCAATATGTTGATAAGAGGGCTTGCATCTCCTGAAAACACATTCTCAAAACCAACTCGGACTCACCATGCCTAATTTAGGGTCCTTCAATGATGTGACCACTGTACTATTCCTGGCTGGCAAAGCAGATAAGTCTGCGACCAGTACCCAGCAGTGGTGCTTGTGTGCTTGCGGCAAGTAGTCTTGACGACAGTTGCAACATCGATTACTTCGCCCAGACGACCAATCGTTCTCCCCTTCCTACACAATATAAAGGAAACCTGATTGAAAGGCCGTCCTAAAAAGATTCGTTCTGAACGAAGGAGTCAGATTGTTTATCAGACGCCCAAGAATGTCATCTGAGGCACGACACAGAAGAAGTGACTGCGCGGAGGGTTGTTGTGACGTTGACATGCTTTGAGATTGCAGATAGCAGGAGGGACGAGCTTCGCGTAGGATCGTCTTGAAGGTGTCTGCACGTGGGCACATGGGAGAGGTTGGCATGTTGATCAAGTCAACATTGTCAATTCTGTGAACCTGGGACGAACAACTGCGATTTTATCAGCTAAGATGGAGCCTCAAGCATATCGACCCTCAGATCGGAATATGGGTCCATTATCTTTCGCCATACCTGCAAGACGTTCGACTCCGTGGGTGGAGCCTGTGTGCGTGAACTGGTCACCGTCGTTGTTACGGCTGCCAAAGTGAGGGAAGGTCATTGACCGCCGTAAGGCAGCATAGGCTTTTCCAGTGACAGACGGCATGGAGACATTGAACAGCGGCCACCGACGACTTTGCTGCAGTGACAGGAGAGCTGTATAGAGCGCCGCTAATTAATGGTGTACATGTGCAAGGCACGATAGATGCAATGTTAAGCACGACACAGTAGCAGATGAGTGAGAAGGCAGGGCATCACAAAACAAAAGCCGTCACTACCATCCAACAACAATAACAGCCCGAGGAGCATAATTGCTCATCCACGTGACGAAGCTTTATGGTTGTCCACAACCTCATTAGTCAGCCACAAATCAGGATTCCTCACGTAAACAAAGCCTTAACGCCTACGCTAGTTGGTGGTTTTAGACTTTTCGCCGTCTTTCGGCTATCGACTGTCGCATGACTATAAGGCGGCCGCTGCTTCCCCGCCTTGACCGCCTCCTCGCCGAAATAGGCTTCGGGTCACCGAGTTTCTTACGAGCAAGATAGCCGTGAGAAGCATTACAGGTACTAGAAGAATCAACTATTGTTCGCGATATGTAAACGGTTCCACCTAAGTAAGCTTGAACAGTACATTTTGAGTGTGCTAACAATGGCTACGCCGTGGGAGTCCTTATGGTTGAATCCCTATGGATCTCTTACCCTGGCAACAGCTGGGGTTTCCGTACTTGTACGTCGTCCCCAGAACTTATCTACTCTATATGTTATGTTTATTAATTGAAATATAGTGTCCAATATCTTTCCTGCTTATGATAATCTACAACATCTACTTCCACCAACTCCGTTCTTTTCCAGGGCCAAAGTCTTACGCAGCCTCTCGGATTCCCTACCTTAGGCAAATCCTTGCTGGCACACTACACAGCGACTTACGTCGACTACATGAAGAGTACGGGAGCGTCGTGCGTATCGCTCCCAATGACCTTTCCTTCAAGGACACCGACGCATGGGAAGGTATCTACGGATTCCGGCCGGGCGTGCCCGAATGGCAAAAAGACCGAAAGTTCTACGTTCGCAGCTTCGGGAAGACACATTCAATTATTCAAGCTGATACTGTTGGTCATAGACGCGCAAGAAAACTGTTCCAGTATGGTTTCTCGGAACAAGTGCTCAAGAAGCAGGAGAGGTATATGACTGTTTACATCGACCTTCTCATTGAAAGAATGCGTGCAAAGGCGCAGCAGATGGCAAGTGTCAATCTAGTGAACTGGTATAACTTCATGTCGTTCGATCTTATCGGTGACTTGGTCTTTGGAGAACCTTTTGGCTGTCTTGCTGATTCAGACTACCACCCATGGGTTGCAATGATATTTCGTTACATCAAGTCGGCGGCATACACGAATGCTCTTTTGCGTATGCCTGGCGGTGAGGCGGTGTTCAACTTCTTGATGAAGTACGGCATGCCAAAGAAGATGCTGGCAGCACGAAATGATCACTATAACCTGACAAAAAATAAGGTGGAAAAGCGAATGGCCACCGTGAACGACAGAGCTGATTTCATAGGCTATATTCAGACAGCTCAGAATACAGAGAAAGGTTTGTCAGAGGAGGAAATTATCGCCAACGCATGTGATTTCATTGTGGCGGGCTCAGAGACTACTGCGACGGTGCTTTCGGCGGCTTCGTACTTTCTCTGCCGCAATTCGCATGCGATGGAAAAGCTACAGGAGGAGATCCGTGGAACCTTTGACAAGGAAGAGGAGATTATTCTCAGCAGCGTGAATACCCTGCCCTACCTTCTGGCAGTCCTTAACGAGACTCTCCGCATGCATCCACCAGTCCCAAGCGGCTTACCAAGGATAGTGTCAGAACCAGGTGGGATCATTAGCGGGAGGCATGTACCCGTGGGCGTACGTTGGTCCTTCTATTCTATCCTTTACTGCTAGGGGAAAAGAGTGTCCTTCTCACCGTGACAGATTTCGGTTTCCGTCTCTCCTATGGCCACATACCGCGACCCAAAACATTTCCGAGATCCAGATTCCTTTCGACCCGAGCGCTTCCTGGGGGAACCATATTTTGCAGATGATCAAAGAGCAGCTTTACAGCCCTTTGCCGTCGGACCTCGAAATTGTATTGGGAAATCGTAAGTTTGACACCATTGCTCATCTTCCCTTCTTTGAGTCTAATGCACTGGATACATAGTCTTGCGCTGGCAGAGATGCGACTAACCCTGGCTCGTATGATCTGGAATTTCGATTTCGACCTGGATTCAAAGTGTGAGAGCTGGACGGATCAGCAGGCTTTCCTCCTTTGGATGAAGCCCCCCTTGTGGCTTAAGCTTACGGCATTGGAGAAAAGGTAGCGTGACGAATAACAATGCTATATACATGTAAGAACGGAGCATCATTTTGTTGACCTCATATAATGGATGAAGTGACTTTACATTGAACTAAAACCAAGGTTGTGCTCGGGTGTAGCTGCTGTAATCAGAAGTCCCATTGTCTCAGCCATGTCCTGAATAGTTCACCATCCATTGGTCGCAGTTGAGCCATCGTGTCACTTGCACGAACTCCATTTCCTGTGTCGAGCCACTGTTCCAGCTTCTGGCTTTCTACCTCGTGTCTAGCACTCACTGCCCCACGTGTTGACACCTCAATATCTTCGAAAAAGTCGAGGATCTTCACTGCAGGCTTCCTGTGCAACTCCAACTGATCAGTAGCATCTACTTTTTGGAGCATTCGGATCCATTCTGCAAGAGGCACTGCTTCGATCTTCTTCCGACTCGAGTAAAATTCCTGTGTCGTGCACACAAAGTCTTTCCAAGCCACCACATGTGGATTCACGAGGTGGAAAGCAGTTGCGGTGTTAGAGCTGAAGCCAGTGTGCATGATATCAACAATGATCTGTGCCATCACATCTACTGGAGTCCAGTCGATAGCCTGGAAGGAGATCGGTATGGCACCGAGCTCGAGAGATGTCTGTACTAATGCTGGAATGTACTCATGACGATTCCAAACTCCACCGTCGGAAGTGGTCGGACCAGCAACCTGGGCCACACGTAAGTTGCTGGCTTTGACTCCGCACTTTTCGTTCGCGATCTGTAGCATGCGTTCGGCGACATGCTTGGATTCACCGTACCCCAAATCTTTTGCCGTACGGTAGTCTTCCAATGGCGTCTCCGGCACCGTTTTTGCGCCTGGAAAACACGCAAAGTGATGAGCAATTGAGGAGATGGAGGAGACGAAGAAAACATGCGCATTGGTAGCCACACTCCAGTCGATGATATACTTTACGCCGCGGACGTGCTCATGCTCGAAAGACTCGAGCTGGTGGTGGAAATTCACCTTCCAGGCATTGTGGATGATCACGTCCACATCACGTTGCAGGAGTTTGTATGTCTCTGGTGATTGGCCGAAATGGGGGTCACCGAACTTGGCTTCTAAGAAAACGGCTTTGTTTCCGTTAAGCAGATTCGGGAGGCCGCGTTCTTGGAAAGCTTTGGTGTGGCGTTGTTCGGCGTCCAGCGCTCGGTTAAGGCAATATATCTTTGAGACGTTTGAATCCAGCAGTAGAATCTGAAGTAGATTCATTCCAAGTGTGCCAGTCGAGCCAGTCAAGGCCACGCAGATTGGCTCGCCGGATGAGGAACTTTTAGTTCGCAACAAGCCTGTGGGCAACGTGTTCCGTGTCGGAAGATCCTTCGTATACTTCTCGACCATTTTGGACATGGCCTGTACACGTAGGCTTTCCACGTCAGTATTTTCGTCCAGGCCGTTGATACTAGGATTTGTAATGCTACCCATCCAGGCTGTGAGCTTATCCACCGTCGGGTTTGCATAGATTACTTTGATTGAGATAGAAGCTTGATTTGATTTATAATGCTCCAATCCAGCTTTGATAGCATTGACGATCTCTGATGTCTGGAGGGAATCGAGTCCCAGGGTGAAGAAATCTTGGTCGTCAGACAAGTCTGGCTTATCCAGCAATGAGATAAGTATTCTTCGTAGAAATTTTTGAATGTCCTCGAAACTGCAGGGATTGTTGAGAGCGGTTACGTGAATATGACTCTCAGCACCGGAGTAGAGAGTTTCTAGCTCTTCTGCATAAAGCTTCTCAGTTAACGATCGTATTACCGTACCCTTCCCGCTTCTAGCGAAAGGCTTTTCTGAGCAGGCAAGAATGATCTTTGAACGGAAGATTCTTCCGGTAGCTGGACCGTCGTTGTTGGCTAGCTCAATGTATGGCCAAATAGAGTCAATAATTCGTTCCTCCAGATCGTCTTGTTTGCCATGGTGCTGATCGCTCGTACAAGTTACGTCCGAACTCTGCTCACAGTGAGCTTTATCGTCCATATTGACTGAACCATGTTCTGACAAGGCCGAAAATGTCACGCCTGGTCTGAGCTCAATGATAAGGCATGCCTGGAATCTGGCCGTACCTGAAATCAAGGCGCCACGAACAAGAGGGTGACCTAGTATAATTCCCTCCATGGTGACTGGGTTGAATTTCTCACCGGTGGACAGCACAATAACATCGTCTCTTCTACCATAAAACCGCCAGAGGCCAGATTTTGTTGGGTGGGGTTCGAAAAGGTCTCTTGTCCGCCATTCCTGTTTCGCTGGTACCTGATTGACTCTGCAGATCCATTCGAAGGAGGGATCATATGGTACGACCATCTCGTAGATGTTGTCTTCCAATCTCTGCATTTCGAGTTTATAGTTAGGATGCCACTCAAAAAAATTCCATGTGTCTTGTCCTGGGAATAGTAATGGTACCATCCCCAGCTCAGTTGAGCCGATCAATTGGGCAACCTTGGTAACCTTTCGAAGACGATTACCAACGCTTGGTGAAAGAGGTCCTCCACCGTAAAGGACAAAATCCATACGTCCAGCCAGTTCCGACCCACCAGACTCATTCAGTAGCTGTTCGATAGGTGTTGGTGGGGTCATGAGTGCCCGGAGATTGGGCTGGAGTTTGATAACTTGACTAAGAATATCTCCGCTTGGAGGCTTATCAGGAGGTCCAACAACGACCGGTGTATCATACCAAATGGGAATAATACCCGTTGTGAGCATTCCGCCCATCTTATTACTGTCAGTGTGTCTCACAAGACCGCACAGGTAATAAAACATACATGAAATGGTGGAAAGGGCGAATAGTACCTCCCACTATCGTTCATTTCCAACGAGGAGTAATCAAGGTTCTCCCGGCCTTCTACTTTAGGAAGCTTTCGTAGATTGTCGAAAGTGGTAAAATGACCATTGTTAACAGTGATAGGCTTAGGTGCACCTGGTGTAGGGATTAGGTTCGATATCACCGAATGAAGTATGACTAAGGCAGGGGCATACCAGTTGTTCCAGACGTATGGCATACGAAAATGTCATCATGTTCAGCTTCCGCGTACGTCTTATTGTATGGATAGTGTTCGGCATTGCCTTCCAACATCGTATGGTGAGAAGGTGCTTCGAATAGCTTCAGGTCGGGTTTGTTCTCCCTCGGTTCCACAGCTTTTGCATATATGTCGGCAGTATATATAAACTTGACGCAGTGAAGCTCATGAAACAGGGATAAGTTGCCGGACAGAGAGTTACGACTGGACGGTACAAAGAGCTTGTAGCCACATTTGATGGCGGCCAGAAATGCCACGATGTACCGAAAGTCTGTCGCACCCATGTAACCCAATGTCTCGAACATCTCACCACGGCCCATCTCGCGTTCGATCCACCAAGCCATGTAATTGACGAGGTGAGCGAGCTCTGCATAGGTGACGTCGTAAAAGCCATCATGTAGGTCCAATGTCCGGGGCGTTGATGTGAAGACACGGCCAGGAGTTTTTTTGGCTCTGCTGTCAACGACCTGCGGCAGTAAACGCTTTCCTATGTCTTTAACTGGTGAAGAGTCATCCATCTTGCAGGTTAATTGATCCTTCCCTGTTGATCAGGCTCTCTGAAAATTTAAAGTCTGAAGGAGGTTGAGCCACACCTATGGGTGCACTTCTCTAGCGTTATAAGTTGGTTAACAGTTGTAAGACAGCGAGGCAAAAGACTCATTACCAGGATAATTACACAAACACTTTCGCGATAATTACATCAACTATTTCGGGAGAAGATCGGTTCCCTTGTCGCGGTAGTATGTAGATCGGGCCATTCCGAATGGCGGGGCTCCATGACCACTGCCGACGGACAGAACTCACTGCTCCGGGACGCTCCTGGAAGCGGTGTAGAAGATTATTGAAATTCCGGGGTCGTGGAAGCAGCCCCTCTCGCCTAGGACGGCTCAGTAGCCGTGCTTCCATAGATAGGTGAAAACAAGCTTTTTTTGACAGCCGTGAAGTAAGTAACGTATATCGATCCGCCTGACTGTTTCGGCTAATGTTTGAACTGCCAGACTATCCTGTATAGTTCCTGACAGATTTCAAGCCAGAGCTTTCCATAAGCTCGACATTCAGTTCTCCCACGGCCATCTCTGTGTGCCCAGTATGTCCTATGTACCAGACCCTGAGTTTATCTCTCATGCACGCCCTATTCTTAAAGCTCTGCACTCAGCACCCCCAGCTCGACTTCATGACATTGATGCTCGCCGTGCCATGGTAGAGGGGTTCAAAAGCATCTTTGAGACGACGCTTCCAGTACAGCCTGACTGGGTCCCGACAAAGTACACTACCAATAATGTCGATGGTGCACAGATTGTACTCTACTGGTTCGCCAATGACATTATCAAACACAATTCTCAGCCTAGCCCCGTCATTCTTCACTTCCATGGCGGCGGCTACGTGGCCGGCAATGTCTCTGTCTTCGAACGGTTTCTGGCAAACCACGCAGCGACGACAAATGTGCCAATTCTCAGCGTAGACTACCGACTTGCACCCGAGAGTAACGGCGACGGACCGGTACAAGATTGCTTCGCAGGCCTAACGTGGCTCCGAAACAACGCAAATACCCTCAATATTGACCCAGCCCGTATCGCTGTGATGGGTGAATCTGCAGGTGGAGGCTTAGCTGCAGGTCTCGCACTCTATGCTCGAGATCAGCAATTTTCACCACCTATAGCAAAGCAAATTCTAATATATCCTATGCTAGATGACCGCAATACTACCAGAGATGAACGGCTAGAAGAATTCGCCGTATGGCGGAATGCAGATAGTATTACTGGTTGGACGGCGTTACTAGGCAAGGATATCATTGGAACTGACAATGTGTCACCTTACGCTGCTCCTGCCGGAGCCAAAGATTTGACTGGTTTACCACCAGCTTATATCGACGTTGGAGAGCTTGATATCTTCCGCGATGAGGATCTTGAATATGCGAGAAAACTTGCCGCCGCTGGGGTTTGGGTAGAGTTTCATTTACATGCTGGCGTGCCGCATGGATTCGAAATCCTTGCCCCGACATCAGATGTCGCCAAAAGGGCGCTATCAGATCGGGCAAGAGTGTGTCAAGCTTTTTGATTCCATGATACATACTGTTTCGTCCGAAGGAGAGGCTAGGAGGAGAGACCTAATCATTGGATCTAGGTACTTGACATTACTAGAGTAGCTCGAATGACCATATTACAACGACAGGAAATGTAAATCATACATTTGCGCAGGTATTGCTATGTCACAACCGATGATTTTACCTTACTAGCTTGCCGAGTCAACCGCAATGCCGGTAATAGTGGTATCCATATCCTATCGTCGTAGTTCTCTACGTTAAAACTGTGTATATTTCCCAGGTATGCGATCGGAAGGTTGTAGAGATTAGTATCCTTATACCATGACTTACTGTTTGGCCCTTGCTATTCTACTATGATTACCGTAGGACCTTCATCTGGTCTATAGGGATGAGATCGAGTTTGATGAATCGTAAAAGACACGTTCACCAAGATCACAGAGGCTATTCTGGCCATTTGAGTCCTCGATCGCACCTTCAACTTAATTCCTGGGCCGTGCTTCTCGGTCCGGGTTCCCATTGAACCCGCAAAGCCACGGCACAAACCCGAGAACTTGCTAGGTTTGGGAGATCGAGCCAAGATAGCCGCGTACCGGCTGTTGTCCGAAGAGATCGGAGATCTACGTTTCCAGCTTGGTGATGTCGCTTGTTCGTCAAGAATATCTATTGCATCCCTAGCAGTAACAATTCTATCCTGAGAGTCATATCGTATTGACCCTGTCGAATTGCACCGTGGCACCATGAAAGACCTTGAATACAAGGTCCAGCAACAATGGCACTCCAAGCCTTCACCTATGCGAGTTATATGCGTTGGTGCGGGCTCCGCTGGTTTATGTGTTGGGTACAAAATGAAGAAGAAGTTCAAGGAGTATGAGCTTGTGATTTATGAGAAGTTTGTACGCTCGAGCCCACCCTCAAACCCTACTGACGAACTTGGTTGTATAGAAATCCATCTGTGGCTGGCACGTGGTACGAAAACCGCTACCCAGGCTGTGCTTGTGACGTGTAAGAAGATACAAGTTTCTAGGAGGCGAACCTGACACTTTTCACAGACCCGCCCACTCCTATACCTACACGTTTGAGCCGAATCCGGACTGGTCGAGCTTCTATGCCTATGCACCTGAGATTCGGAAGTACTTTGATGATTTCGCTACAAAGCATGAACTCCATCCCTTTGTTAAGCTCAATTCGAAAGTTATATCTGCAACCTGGAATGAAGATCGTGGTATTTGTAGGACTTATCGGCTACCCCTAGGTGTTGTACTCTTTATTGACTCTACTCAGACGACGTTGAGGTTGAAGTCGATGGTCGTCTGACCCATGATTGGTGCCATGTTATCATTAATGCAACGGGTTTTCTCAATAGCTGGAAATGTACTAAGATCGTCCACTTAGAAACCCTGGAGACTGACTCCTGGTAGGGCCAGCTATTGAAGGATTACACGACTTTCAGGGCCCACTTCTACACAGCGCAAACTGGGACGACTGTGCGTATTCTGATCTATTTACGGATATGATGCTGACTAAATGCAGCTATTGATTACAAAGATAAGACGGTTGCAGTGATAGGAACAGGTTCTTCCGCAATACAGATCGTACCTCAGGTCCAAAAGTGTATGCTATAAAGTCCGAAGAAACCTGGTTGACGCTGACCTTGCGTAAGCTGCCAAGCATATAACTACTTTCATGAGATCAGTGACTTGGTGGGTTTGCAGTGACTACCTGCGTTCCATGCATCAGTAGTCTGAGAAGCGAGCTAATAAATTCAGGATATCACCACCCTTTGCCGCTGAAGAGCTTAACGAACTGAAAGAAGGCACAGATCAAGCAGAGCGACCTAACGCGCAGTATTATTTCTCGGCAGAAGAAAAGAAACGTTTCCGAGAAAACCCGGATGAATTCCTTGAGTACCGTACAAACCTTGAGGCCAAAGTAAACAGCTTATTCGATATGTTTGTCACAGGATCCGAGACATCAAAGTATGCCGAAAAGATGATGAGAGAAGAAATGAATCGCCGAATTGGACCTGGCAATGAAGAGCTGAAGGAGCGACTGATCCCGAAATGGGCCCCAGGCTGCCGTCGTATCACACCTGGTGATGGATATCTGGAAGCACTTGTTAAGCCAAACGTGACGAGGGTCCATGACGAGATTGCAAAGATCCTGCCCGAAGGCCTTGTGGACGATAGTGGTAAGTTACACAAAGTGGATATTATTGTCTGTGCAACAGGATTCAACCTAGCGTTCGCACCTCCCTTCAAAGTCACAGGTGTCAACGGCGTTGATATGGCTGAGGAGTTTGGTTCCGCACCGAATGTTTATCTGGCCTTGACGGTGCCAAAATTTCCCAACTACTTCGTGCATAACGGTGTCCGAGGGAATTGGGCCTCCGGCACATCTCTGCCATCAAACGAGGTTCAAGTGGAGTATATCCTGCAGTGCATCCAGAGGATGCAAGAGGAAGGTATTCGTGCGCTGGAAGTAAAAGAAGAGCCTGTTCGACAACTCTACGAGCATATCGATGAATGGCATAAATGCTCCGTCTGGAATGATGATTGCAAGAGGTATGTTAAGAGACATCTGAACAAGGTACAAGTGCTGATTTGTGCAGTTGGTACAAGAACAATATTGTTGGTGGGAAACTCTGGATATGGGGAGGCTCCGTAAGTTATCTATGAGTCTTGCTTCTTTTGTCCTGGCCTAATCCACACCAGGCTTTACATTATATGAAAACAATCAAAACTGTGAGGTGGGAGCACTATGACTTTCGATACCATGGCGGCAACATGTGGTCATTCCTAGGGAATGGTCGCGTGCGAGCCGAAGAGAAGGGGCCCAAAGTCCGACTGGCACCCTATGTGAGGAATTCGGATACCCCATGGGACATCGAATAGATTTTGTGCTACATGGTAATTATGAGTGGGGTTGTGAGATTTCATTCTGTTTTCAGCAGTAGGACTGAATTTCACCAGCAGGGTTGTATCATCTTCAGTATCAGAACTACAAATAGTGTGAGCACAACTCCCAAAGGCTCGCTGCTATGTTATGTCCTCTTTAATGCAGTTGCAACCTAAAGCGCAGCAATTCCCTGCTAAGCTTTGCTTTCTACCTCATGATGACCTTCTAGTGCATGAACTACTAAAGCCGTCTCCCGATACACACTGTAGCCCATGCGTAGTCCGACTTGGCCTGTTCCCTAATGGCTTGGTTGAACAACCTCCTTCAACTCCATATGCTCTCCTTCCTTCAGCCCAGCAATAGTGCTTTGGCCATGGTCAAGTCTGCGCACCACGTCGTGCGTCATCAAGTCCTTGATATTTGGGGCCCAAAAAGCTGCAATGATAGAGATAACTCCAAACGGTAGCGAAGAGAGGTACACCACGGTGAACGCTTTCTGGTAAGCGACCTTGGTCTGAGCCACCGCGATACCGATGATCGACTCCGTAACGCCAGGCACTGCAGTGATAGCACCCGAGTTGCCCGACGCTAGAGCGGTGAGGAATGGTTTGAGAGATGTCAAGGGAAGCCCAGCCTTGAGTAACGCAGGAATCACGATGGACTCTGTGTTTGAGCTTACTTTATTCGTGAGAATAGTAGTGAAGATCGTAGCTGTAAACATCAGCATTTGAACTGTGATCAGAACGAAGATCAAGAGACTTACTAGCCAGCACACCGCCAACGGATCTGATACTTCCGAATGCACCCGCACCCGCCCCCATCTCGGACGGATCTTCAATCACTATTGTAACACCGACCACGGCTAATGATTCAAGCACGCCAATGCAGATAGCAGCACATGTTGCTAATGCCGCAGCGGTTTCCCGTTGAGTCCCGCCAGCTAAGGCGACGGTGAAAGCAGTTGTACCAATTGTCGAGGCGAATAGTTTCCATCGTTGATTTCCACCAGGAGTGAGGATGATACCACCAATAGTCTGGCCTAAAGCCACGCCTCCCCCAATTGCACACGAAAGTAGGCCAGCATAAACGATGTCCGTGGTGAATAGAACACCCACCTCAGTGGAGAAGAGCACTGAATATCAGATTAGTCCGTTTCTGGGAATACCGAAGTCTTCGTTCTTGTCGCGGAACGTACCGTTCAAGGAATAGTAGAGCATTCCACCGACCGTTGTAATGGTAACGAGAACGCAGTAATCCCGACTTCTGAATAGATGCATGGGAAGAAGTGGTCGTCGCAATCCAGCATAACATTCTGAGAAATATAATCAATAAAGTCCTCAAGGGTGAGAGAGTAAACATACCCCATACGACAAACAGCACACAAAGAACAAACCCAATGATAATGGTAGAGATCACATGTGCAGACTTCCATGGGTAGAGTGAGCCACCCCATGAGAGACCCATTAGTAAGAGAAGAAGTCCTGCGGTAAAAAGGAAGATCCCCATGAAGTCCATATCTTTGACTTCCTGCCATCTAGTACGATGACGATGTAAGGCGTCGAATTTTGGTGGGTGGTAGCAGATGACGAATAATATCAACGCTAGGCCGTCTAGTAAAGTTAGTATTCATATTCAAAAGACGATAGTAATACGTACTGACGATGATGGACACATAGTAGTCCCATCTAAACCCAGCTTTAGTATTGGCGATGAACAGGCGGGAGATATAAGGGCCGAATCCAGCAAAGGGTACTCCGGACAGGAAGATGAAACTGAGCGCAAAGCCTCTGTGTTCAACTGGGACGAGTTCTCCGATGATATAGTTGCTCGAAAGCTGACCAGCGGCAGCTAGACCGATCAGCACAGTGCCGCCGATCAAAGTATTGACATTTTGAGCGGTAGCTCCGACGATGCAACCGATTAATGCAAGGGAAGAGCAGCCAATCATGAACCAGCGGCGACCAAAAATATCCGAAAGACGTCCGACCAAAGTGAAACCAATAGACACAGCTAGGGTCCACACAAGTGCAACCCACGTAATGTTAGGTGAGGGTCCTTAATGGTTTGTTAGTCAAGGTATCTAGTACTCCTCGAGGCCGCTTACCAATAGTCTCGTTGATCAATGCAAGCGATGTCGCGGGCATAACAAACCCTCCATAAGAGGACATAGTACCAAGGCATATCGCGACATAAGTGCCGATAAAGTTGAATTCGAAGTAAGGGTTCTTTTGCGTAAGCACAACGACGTCCATGTCGGACTCCGTGGACGCCAGTTTCGCTGCATGGGTGTCATGACTTTCACCTGCAACCTCGATATCATCCTGGATCCCAGTAGTCATGCTTAGTCGCTCTGTATTGCGCGGAAGGCTGTTTTTGACAACTCCAAAAGACCAGAGCTGTTTCCAAAAACACTGAAGGACCGAGAAAGTAGGAACGCGCAAAGGTCTAGTTGTTGTGACATAAAGTCTGGCCTACACACAAGCTCTATTTGGAATGCGATCGGCAACACGGCCGGGTTCACACGGATGCGAGCCGAAGTGGTCTTCCCCACGGGCACGGGGATGTCTAAGCCCGGAATCCGGCAACAATTTCACGGGGATGTATGGAGAGTTTCCCGGGGTACGAGACGGGACGACTGGAGGTGAATGGGGAAGAGGGACATTGTTCCATGTCTCCTACGGTGCCAATTGCCTGATGATAGACACCATTGCCGTCTTTACGCGCAGTTCCCAACGAAGTCAGTCATCATGATAGATGGAAAGAGTACAGGAGCTGTATACCTTCACACCTCCCGTAGCGCAGGAGCAGCCAAGGTCACACTTCCAACCATGCCCGCAATCTCACCGGCTGGGGGACCCTATGGAGAGAGATTAGTGCCTCATATCGTGGATGGGTTAGCTTTAAGCCACCCGGAAAGAATTTATGCAAAGATCCCACGAACAGCGGACGTCAATGACGGGTTTAGAGATGTGAGTATGAAAGAACTAGCAAATGCTATCAATGTTATGTCCTGGATCCTGGAGCAGGTTGAGGGAAAACCCAGTGAAGGGGTCTTCGAGAGGATCGCATACATTGGTGCAAGCGACATACGTTATGTGATCATGATGATAGCGGCAATCAAAGTTGGCTATGTGGTGAGTGAAATGCGAGCTTCGAACGCAATACATTTTTGAAAAGTTCCAACATTAACGTTACTTGAAAACTATCAATAGGTTCTACTCCCTTCAGCGCGAAATTCACTAGCGGGAAACATATCCCTATTGAGGGAGACCAAATGCACAAAGGTTTTTTATTCTTCGGATATGAGCACTAGAGTACAAGATTGGAAGCGGGAAAAGCCAGAACTGGACCTCTTCCGTATGGAGGGTCTATACGATCTCCTAGGAAAGGCGCCTCCCAAACATTATCGATACGAGAAGAGTTTCGCGGATGCGTTCGACGATCCGTCACTCATCTGTCACACTTCAGGTTCAACTGGTCAGTTTCGTGCGCCGGAAAATGGTCGCAAGAGCAATCTGAAACTAACATTCTGAATTCTCAGGCGCCCCAAAGCCGATTACTCTTTCGAATGCTACTTGGGGTATCCTCGACAACCTCCGGAAAATCCCTACTGTTGACGGTCGAAGGAACATGGACTATTCATGCTTCGAGTTCAACGACAATGGCAACTTTATTTGCTCATTTCCGCCCTTCCATGTAAGTTAAAGCTGCAACCCACAATACCGAACTGTGATGACAGAGGTGCTGAGCTGATACGGGCTTTGTTGAAGATTGGAGGCATGCAGTCACAAGTAGTGCTGCCAATCCTGTATAGGTCGACACTCGTAATGTTCCCACCAGACCAGCCAGCTACAGGTGAGACTTTAAGTGCCATAATGTCTCAAATGAAAGTTCGTGTGGCTTACTGCCCGCCCGCGATACTGGAACAGCTTGTGCGCGTTCCAGCAGGCCTTGAGCAGGCTGCCAAACTGGACTTTATCATGTACGCTGGGGGACCTCTTGCACCCTTTGCAGGAGATCAATTAAGCAAAGTGACCGATGTTGGTCAAATGTACGGTTCGACAGAAACGGGCATCGTGCCATGTCTCTTCCCACGGAGGGAGCATTGGGCGTGGTTTGAGTGGCATCCAGCATACGGGGTAGATATGCAACATCAAGGGAACGACATCTATGAGCAGGTCCTCAATCACGATGCCAGACTAACTTGGATTCGGACTGTTCAACAAACATTTCCCGGCGTAAAGGAATGGCGAACAAAAGATCTTTTCGGCTTACATCCTACCAATCGAAATCTATGGCAGTACAGAGGACGGACTGATGATGTTCTCGTACTCTCAAATGGTGAGAAGCTGAATCCGCTGGGAATGGAGAAGATCATAGAGAGTCACCCAGCAGTAATGGGAGCTATCATCGTAGGCCAAAGCCGTTTCCAACCAAGCTTGTTGATCGAACCCAGGGTGCAACCCGAGGATACCGAGTCCTTTGTGGAAGAGATATGGCCAACAGTGCAGATGGCGAATGCTTACGGGCCAGCTCACGGGAAGATCTCCAAAACCTACATTGCCGTAAGCACGTCTGGAAAACCCTTCATTAGGGCTGGGAAAGGGACCATCGTACGTCAGAAGACAACGGACCTGTATGCCAGTGGAATCGACCAGCTCTACTATGCTTCAAGCGCACGAAAAATGCGGGACATTCCTACACTGAGGAATCCGCAGGATCCGGTGGCGCTGAGGCAATTCCTCGTGGATTACATTACCCGATTGCTGCCGCATAGCGCAGACGTGGAGACTGGGGACTTCTTCAACGTTGGACTTGACTCTCTTCTGACAATGGAACTGGCTACCGGCTTACAATATATCCTGACAGAGTATTTAGGTCGAGCGCACGCACGTCTGATCAATGTCAAGCTGATCTACTCCAATCCGACACTGGAGACTCTCTCCTCAACACTCAGTGCTCATTTGAGAAGGGATCCAGTGACTGCAGGGAGGGCTACAGACTTCGAGGCTGAGCGCATTTCTCGCATGAGCGAATTATGCGACAAATACACGAAGGGACTCCCACAGCAACCACTCCAACCAAGAGAGTGTTCGACCTCCAAGAACGACCATGATGACCAAAGGACTTCTGCCTCTTCTGTGAACAATTCCAGTTCATTAAGTCGTAATACCCAGGAATCCTGCCTCAACATCATCTTGACAGGGTCCACGGGCTCCTTGGGGAGCCGGATTCTGCAGGCTTTGGTCAAATCACGACATATATCACACATTCACTGCCTCAACCGTTCAGTCAATGCCAAGTCACGGCATGTGAAAGATTTCGAGTCGCGTGGTGTTCAAGTCGATCTAAGTAACGTCACGTTCCATACTGCATCTTTCGGAGATGTGCAATTTGGCTTGTCAACAGAGGCTTACAAGAATTTGTTGACCACAGTCGACCTCATCATCCATAATGCATGGAAGGTGGATTTCAATCACAGCCTGAGCTCATTTGAAGACATTCACATTCGTGGAGTGAGGAGGTTTGTCGACTTCGTCATTGATGGTGCACGGCGGCCAAAGTTTACGTTTGTATCTTCGATAGGATCGGTAGGGAAATGGACGACCTACTATCCTGATCATCCGCTGGTGACAGAAGAGCCGCTCCAGGAATATGGCGTCGCTCAGACAATAGGGTACGGCGAATCGAAGCACGTCTCGGAGCGAATACTGCAAGTAGCAGCTGAGAGGTCAGGAATCACGGCGAACATTCTTCGTGTCGGGCAGATCGCAGGACCTCTTACCACGGATGGTGGCAAGTGGAATGAGAATGAGTGGATGCCCTCATTAATCAAAACCTCAAAGGCGATGGGCTGTATACCTAACAAGGTCTTGCAGGTGGACTGGATCCCCGTGGATGTCCTGGCAAACATCATCGTTGATATAACGCTAGCCAAGAAAGAGGGCCTCCAGATTTACAATCTAGTAAACCCGAGAGTGGCAGACTGGTCAAGCCTTACCGAGGTCATCGTGGAGCAATACCCGGGAATGCAGGTTGTCACACTCGAAGAGTGGGTGGACAAGTTGATCGAGGGTAACAAGGATGATCAAGCAGAGGTCGAGTTGAAACCTGCGCTTAAGATACTGGATTGGTTCATCGACCTAGAGAAGGCACTCAATTCGACATCATCACAGCAAAACTTCGAGACTCGCAACAGCGTCACAGTCAGCCAGACCATGGCACAGCTGCGAGTTGTCAATGGACCGTGGATGAAGATTTGGCTAGATCAATGGGCTTTCTAAGCTCGTACTATTTAATGCAGCCAGAGATGACCACTACAGTTCGAAAGCTATTGTTTGTTGTCTCTTCAGAGCGCATTACTTGGTAACATGCTATGTAACATCCTGGTACGTTATCCCCACATTAAATAACATCGGACACTAGAGCTCAGATCACAGTGTATGCATAGATAGACCGTACCTGTGGCTGCTACTAATCTTTTTAGAGCAGCTAAGAACAATCCGATGGCCACTCGATCCGTTTCCTAGCAGAAGTAAGTTGATCATGGCTTCTTGTTGCAGGTTGAGCGGCTGCAAATCGTGAAGTATTTGACCTCTCCATGCTTATGAACGTTATCTTCGTCCGTAGACTGAACTAATGATATCACCATTTGAAAATCCTGGAAACTTTTTAGAGTCTAACGTCAATGTGGCCGCGTGTCTTCTTTCCAAACGAATGATCATGATTTGGCATGAAAGTTGCTCCTGACATAGGCTACTTGGCGATGGGTTGTCCCATTGTGCTTAATCCTCATTTTGCATGCACGAACCATCTTCATCGCGGAAGTTTCATTGCCTAGGATACCAGCTGGAATCATGCTGAATACGATTGAAGTCTCAAGTTCCACGAGGTCTATAACTTCGGCGTTCTTTTGTTCTTCTCGCCCTCAAGTCGTGCTGGAAGTAGCCGTCTCAGAAGTTTGCCGTTGGCTCCTCTTGGAATCTGTCGGAGATGGTGAACTCCTCCTCTTAGGCGTTTGTACGGAGATATCTTAGCCTCCGTGTATTTGCGGATCTCACGTAGCACATATGGTATCTCTGCTGAGGCAACGGATTTCTGCAGGCTGACATAGGCGGTCGGGAGCTCGGTCACCTGAGTTTGATCCCAAGTCGCACAAACTGCTGCATCCAGGACTTCGGGGTGCGAGAGCAGGATACCTTCAAGTTCAGCCGGTGGGACTTGATATCTTCGAGGTTGTTAGCGTGGTATGATTAGTAAAGGTGTTATCACCTACCCTTTGTACTTGATTAGTTCCTTTTTCCTCTCTGTTACCCAGATATAGTTATCTTCATCCACTCTAACCACATCACCAGTCAGGAACCAACCGTCTTTGAACGTTGCTGCTGTCTCTTCCTTATTTTTTGCGTAACCCCTGAAGCTGTTAGCCGTACCGGAGACCTATCGCCACGAATAGAGTGAAGTACATAAAGACTGAAGGACCCATCACGACACATTCACCTTGCGTACCAGGCGTCACATCCACGAAGTCATCATCAACAACCCTTAACTGTCTAGAACTTGTCAGCTAGCTCCCTTATCATATTGGAATGGCCTATCTACACTCCCGCGAACAATTTTCCCACACTTCCGGCCTTATTTGCTGGAAATTGACCCTTTAGAGTCGATACTAAGGCTTCGCTCAAGCTGATTGGAGAGGGCAGAACCTGTTAGCATGACGTTGAACTAGACGCAAGTTGCATTCTCCTAACCCGTAGCTTTGGAAGACAACAAGGGTATCTCCCATCCGTGATTGAAGATTTCGGACGACTTCGGCTTGCAAAGGTGCACCTCCGCACATAATGTACCGCACGCTTCTTAGATCCAGTTTATCAATATTCGCGTCCTTGGCCATAGCCACGGCGGTGGACGGAACCATTCTGAGTATCGTTGCCCGTATCTCGGATGCCCTTTCCACGTACTTAGTATAGTTAAAACGTTTCATTACCACGACATGACAGCCGTTGAATGCAGATCCCAGAACGACCACAGCAAGCCCATAGATATGGGCAACTGGTAAGTGATCAGACATGGATATCAACAGACACCAAACAGGCCTTACATGGAAGGAAGAACACCTCCCTCTGGAAGCCATTGTATAGCAGAGGATCAGTTGCCCGAAAAGATAGTAGATTTCCAATCAGGTTATAATGGCTCAACAGGACCCCTTTCGGGTTTCCACTTGTACCAGAGCTGAAAACCATTGCCGCTGGAACTTGGCGCGCGTCTTTGGGCAGACGGAAAGGAGGGAGGAGCGGTCCTCCCTCTTTTACTACATCCCGCGGAAACTGCTGCAGAGGAATGTGAGTTCTGCATACGAGGAAAGATAGAGATTTGATGCTCACCAAAAGATGATCTGGATAGCGTGAGTTGGGAAAACCATCCTCGATGAGCAGGCACTTGGGAGATCTATGACACTCGTTGCTTATCTGTAATGCGTCCATGACCTTGCCATAATTCTCCGGCGTGGTAGCAACAATTTCGGGCTCAGCTATCGCGAAGTAATGGACGAGCTCAGAAGATGTCGCCAGTGAGCTGACCACACTATATTGGGTGCTTTAGAAAAAGCCAGCCGTGACTGAATCCGACTTGTCCTACCTGAAAACCCCTCCGAACCAATGCACAGCATGTGCCAGAAGAATCCAGTTTACCGAATTTTCTGCTACGATGCAGATACAGTCTCCTTCATTCACTTTAAACAGTTGCTTGAGGCCAGCAGCTGCCTGAGCGGCGGTACTGCGCAGACCGCCATATGTTATCGTGTTAAATGGTTCGGCGTAGTCAGAGAGAATGACCTGGTCCCTAGGAGTGTCGTCAGGATTATTTTCAAGCAGAAACTCTGACAGCGATGAATCTGTCGGAACCCTCAACGGTGGATAGTTAGATCTGTATATGTGGGGCGACATTTCATGAGCGGTTAACTAGGTCAGTAACACAGCCGTTTTGCAGCAGCACAGCTATGTCACATCAAGAGCATTCTCGCATGACTGTGTGATCGAAAATGTGCCACAGTCATATGTGCGCTGTTAAGGTCCAGTCTCGGTGTCCATAACCTAATGTGCACATGACACGGCCAACGCGGGCCGATATGCTTAAAACAGGGGAATGACCCCGTGGCATTTGCCTTCTCGAGCCTCGTTGACTCGGGATTCGATAGGCTTTCGTGCAAGCGAAGACCTTGCTTCATTCCATTGTTTTGATGCTCGAAAATGCCCAGGTAAGCCCGTTTCCCTTATCACCTCCTTCGGCAAATATAGCAAGCCCAGACCCGTAGTAGTCAACGTCCTGAGCCGCATGAAACGGTCGAATGTGGGACCCTTTACTGGGCGCAACGAAAACTCCGGGCCGATTCCGTCCCAATCTACTCCTCAGATTTAATCTGCTGTCTCGACGGTAATACTCTTCTGATTCAGGATCTAAATTTTTCTACTACCTTTGTTCATGCTCATGACGAGATCTTGCAACAACAGGGTCAACTTGATCTCCAAGACTGGACGATAAGACCTGTAAGCATAGTACGAGATCTCTCGAACCAGACTGCAGCATGGCTTCAATATCTCGGACGATGAGAGCAGGACAATGGGATCCTAATCAAAAAAGAATTGTGATTAATGATGTACGAGTTCCTGAACCGGGACCAAATGAACTTCTGGTGAAAATTGCATCAGCTTCACTGTGTCATTCGGACATCATGGCAATGGATCAGATCGGGGCAACTTTCACACCGGGCCATGAGGGTGTAGGCTACGTCTGTCAGGTACATGAAAGTGTAGAGGGGAAAGGGTTCAAGGTTGGCGACGCTGTTGGCTTTTTATATATCATCGGATGTTGCTTTGAATGTGAAGGATGCATGGTCCATAATATGCTTTGTCAGAAAGGAGAACCCAAGATCCAGGGTCGCAACATCGATGGCTTTTTCGCGGAATATGCTGTGGTGGACTGGCGAAGTGCAATCATTCTACCCACGCAATGGGAGGTTGAGCGAAGTTCGGTCTTCTTCTGTGCGGGTATTACAGGTAAACTAGTTTCGCAAGCATCTAGTTTTATACTTAAATTATTGTTTGCTGACGATATTATAGCTTTCCATAGTGTGGACTCGTGCAACCTAGAGCCTGGTCAATGGCTCGGGGTTATTGGTGCCGGAGGTCTTGGTCAGCTTGCAACACAGTACGCCAAAGCCATGGGACTAAAGGTCGTCGCTATCGATATCAACGATGCGACACTCGGTGTCTGTAAAGCACAAGGCGCAGACGCGATATTCAACTCAAAGACAGAGCCTGAATACGTCCACAAGATCAAGGCTTTAACCAATGGAGGAGCTCATGCTGTTGCCGTCTTCAGTAATGCTTCAGGGGCGTACTCGTCTGCTCCATCGATTATTAGGGTAGGAGGTTTACTAATGGTTGTTGGTATTCCATACAAACCGATCGAAGTGTCTGCTATAGACATGGTTCTGGGGATGTATAGGATCAAGAGTGAAAGCACAGGTATCCCGCAAAGAATGGGGAAGGCGCTTGAATTCTCTGTTCGACATGGAATCCAACCTGAGGTGGATTTAAAGAGGCTGGAGGATTTGAATGATATGGTTAACCAAATGAGAGCCCATCAAGCTACGAAGAGGATGGCAGTAATATTTTAAGAGCTGCTTTCACAGGCTGAATTTGCTAGGATGTATTTAACATGATCACGTATTTATGCAAAATATGTCTATATCCCATAATACCCTAAGCTGGGATTCTAAGTTAAAGTAGCTTCAATCAATGCGCTCCATAACCATATAACTTACTGGTTTCTAGAATGTAAGTAATGGTCTTGCTCGCAATCGACCTCAGCGTGAAAGACCTCCGAGCTTCCCGAGCCTATGTGGAAGTTCCCAAGCAATGGTGGGGTATGCATGCTGCCGGCTCTTCTGTTGTCTAGTCAGTTTTTGTGGAGATGTCCGACTTGGCCTCGGGGGATTGGCGGAATTTTAATGCGGCTTCAAAAGACTCCCCTTGAAAATATCACGTTGCAAAAAAACTGTGTCACAGTGGGCTCTGGTCGGGCTCGAATATTGATGTGATACATCTGGATCATGATGCCTTACCTAGAGTTGACAGCGGCCGAAAGTCCGACAACCATTAGCCAAAGTAATAAATAGTCCTGTCGGCGCAAAGCGTAATATGTTCTCATACCGGGTCATTCGCCACCGGACTTGCCTTCTACCGACGATGAAGGTAGCTTGTTCGGAACAAAACTGTAGCCCCACACTTTCTACCCGGAGGAAGACTCAACTTACCTCTACCTTCCATCTTTGCCACGCATCTTCATCCTCCTTGCGTGGTCATTATCATACTCCAAACAATACCTTGCTTCTCTAGTCAGGATCCTCGACAATGGCGGCGGAGCATTCCGATGTGCCTACTAAACATAAAGCTGCGGTGTTTGACGTACCCGGTCATATCTCGACAAAGGTTCTGGAACTCAAAACGCCATCTCCAGGGTCTGGCGATGTGTTGGTGAAGCTCACTCACTCGGGCGTTTGCCATTCCGACTATGGAATCATGACCAACTCACCAACATATCCCTTCCCCTGTCCGAAAGAACAAATTGGCGGCCATGAAGGCGTGGGCATCGTTGTCCAGCTTGGCCCTGATACTGGAAGCAGCGGTGTCAAAGTTGGTGACCGAGTAGGCATCAAGTGGATCTCATATTTCTGTGGCGTATGCCAGCCTTGCAGGGACGGTGCGCCCACACACTGTGAAAAGGGCAAGGCCAGCGGGTACTACTACCCGGGAACATTTCAGCAGTACGCTATTACATCCGCACGGTGCTTGACCCAGATCCCCGAAGGAGTGGACAGTGCTGATGCTGCACCCATGCTGTGCGCCGGCTTGACGGTGTACAGTGCCTTGAAGAAGAGCAGGGCAGGCAAAGGGGACTGGATGGTCGTCATGGGTGCCGGTGGCGGGCTGGGCCATCTCGCCTGCCAGATCGCGAGCAACGGAATGGGCATGAGAGTAGTAGGCATTGACGCTGTGAATAAGCAAGACGTGGTCAAGAAGAGTGGTGCTGAGGTCTTTCTCAGCTTGAAAGATGACAAAACAATTACAGAAGAGGTCATTAAAGCTACCGGCGGCGGCGCCAGAGGAGTCTTGGTCTGTGCGGCTGCTAACCAGGCATATGCGCAGGCCCTGGGGTTCTTGAAACACGGTGGATCTTTGGTTGCTATTGGCATTCCTGAGGTTTTGGAGCCAATTCGGGAATCAGTACCCGTCAACATCATCGCCAAACAGCTCAGTATTGTCGGCTCCTCGGTTGGGACGCAGGAGGAAGCCATCGAAGTCTTAGATCTGGTTGCGAAAGGGATTGTCAAGGTTCACTATCGACTCGAGCTCATGGAAAACCTGACCCAGGTGTTTGAAGAAATGCATTCTGGTCGTCTCGCAGGAAGGATCGTCTTGGACCTGCAAGCCTGAAGCTCGAGACGACTATCGGTCCCATGCACGAAAGAAACGTCCATTTATGATGTTAGATCACATTGAAGTTCTTCCTGACTGGCGAGGTCGAGGTCATGGTCGTGGTCGTAACGGCTTGTCCACGTAATGATCTCCTTAACAACTTCTTGTGCCGGGGTTTACGATAAGTTTAACCTCGAATCAAGATTCAAACGCGTACGAGCAATGGAATAAGCAAGTCAAAAACTATTCCAATCATCGTATAGAAGAAGATGCGTTACACAAGACTATATACTACAATAACCCAAGTTTACATGCCCACCCAAACCCGGCTACCGACATATCCAGACAAGAACTTAATCGAGCGGCGCTTCTTCACTTTCAGCCGCATGCGCTTCCACGGCTCCGTCACCTCGGTTGTGGACGGCTTCCTTACCCAAGTGAAAGACGATAGCACCGGAGAGTTCCTCCTTGGTGAAGGGTTTGAGCACGCAAGCGGCCGCGACGGAGCAAGTACCGAATGCGATGCTGGCGAGGAATACTTTCTGGAATGCATCCGTGTAGGCAGCCACCAATGCCTCCGAGCCGGCCAGGATAATCTTTGCATTTACCCCGGGAACGGCCTCGATTGCTGAGGCGACACCGCTGTTGAGGGCCACAAGGAATGCGGCCAAAGATGTCTTGGGTAAGCCAGCCTTGACCAGGGCGGGAATGACAATTGTTGTGGTGTTCTTGGTCATGGTATTGGATAAAATAGTCAGGTAGATCGTGGTTGCGAGGACTCCGCCGGCACTTCGGATACTTCCGAAGATTCCGTTCGGCGTGCCCATTTGTTTTTGATTCTTGATCACGAAAGTGGCCGCGGTGGCTGCCAGGATCTCGACATAGCCGAGACCGAAGCATCCTAAGGTTGCAAAGGCGGAAGACAAGCTGTGTGAGATAATCAGAATGTGGGTCCCAAGATAGCCCAATGTTGAAGGCGACTACTTACTGTACGGTTTCTTTGGTCTGAGCAGCTAATGCTCCGATGAAGACCGACATGATAGTTGCCGCGAAGATCATTTGGTACTTGATGTGGCCAATGCGCATCGCGATGAGGCCGCCAATGACTTGCCCAGAAAGGGTTCCACCACCTACGGCGCAAGAGAGCCAGCCGACCTTCATTGTATCGGTTGTATACAGGACCGTAAGAGCGGTCGGGTAGATCACTATGGAATATCAGTATGTCGTTTTTCTGGCCTAAGGAATATGCGCACCGGTCATGGAGTAATAGATCATGCCACCAACTGTTGTGAGGATGACAATGGCATCGTATTGAAAATCTCTGAAGATGTGCATTGGTACCAACGGACGATAAACCCCGGAGTACGTCTCGTACAGGATGAAGGCCACTATAGTCGCGAATCCGACGACGATGCATGCGATGACGTGGGCAGACCTCCAAGGATATTGACTACCTCCCCAGGACAGACCCATCAAGAAAAGAAGTAGGCCGCCTGTGAATAGGCAAACGCCGACGTAGTCGATGCTTTTGATCTCTTGCCAGCGAGAACGGACCTTGTGAAGGTGGGCAAAATCTGGTGGGAAGTAGAAGAGTGTCCACAGGATGAGAGACAAAGTATCTGTAACTTTTGTCAGCATAAAACAGTTGGATATTCGGGTCGTATAGAGAGGTCACCTACTCAGTATAATGCATATGTAGTAGTTCCAGCGCCATCCGGCAGATGTGTGCAGAATCAAAGACCTTGCTATGACTGGGCCGAAAACGCCAACGGGCATGTTCACGAAATTGATCAGGCCGTTGACGATGAATCGATGTCTGACCGGGACGAGCTCGCCAGTCACGTAGGTGAAAGAGATCTGGGATGAAGCGGCCAACCCGAGAAGCACGGTGGCACCAATCAATGCATTGACGTTCTTCGCAGTGGCCGCGACAATGCTTCCAATTAAACCAAGCACAGCACCGCCGATAAAGAAATATCGTCGACCAAAAATGTCGCTGAGACGTCCGACAAGAGTATAACCCACAGCGACAGTCAATGTCCACACGAGGGCAACCCAATTTATGTTGGGACTTGGACCTATTTTGTCACTCAGCAACTGCTAAAAGTAAGGAAAAACGTCGGACCTCACCGATGTCGGCGTCAATTAATCCCAGGGTGTTTGCGGGCATTGCAAAGCCTGCATAACAGGCAAGGAGACCGAAGCCAATGGCCCAGAAGGATCCCAGGAAAAGCTTGGTGCGCCAGTATGGTACGCCATTGATGAGCTCGGCCGGCACATGCTCTTCTGAATGCTGGATTTTGTCGGTAGGTCCAGCGAGTCCCGGTTGCGAGGAGTCTTCAATTCTGACATCGTGGATCTTCTCCTGCGTTGTGTTATCCATTGCGTCAAAACGAGAATCACCAGATCCGATGTTTGTGTGTACAGAGGACGGGAAAGATCCAGAGGGATGAAGGCAGAACTTTTGTGTTGCGGACATGGCACTAAGCAGGGTACTTGTACTACCCTACCACCAAGACTGTAGGTTCACCCGCCTATGTTCACGGCTCTGTTCACGGCTCTGTTCACGGCTCTGTTCCCCGTGGAGAAGAAATTCCCACGTGAAATATCCGCGTGCTTCCCCGCACCCATGCCTAAACGGGAAAAAATAAGGGGTGGTGGCGGCCGAGCTCGTGACGGTCTGGGCTTCTACTTGCGTGGCCATTCCCACTGAAATATGCTGGTACGAGTGCTATATTCTATCACGACGGCCGGGACAACCGGTCACCGGGAGTGGAGCAGCGCAACATTACCGAGCACTCGATTATTGATAGTGAGAGTCGTGTTTCCATAGCTATTGGTACTCCGTCTGCAATGAAGCCGAATAGTAGAAAAAACACAACTGTAAGAATTGATGCGAGAAGGCTTCTGAATGAATGGATGGATCTATGAAAGAGATACGGATCGTACAGAGAAAGGTAAAGGTATGCCAAGGCACTAGGCGTAGGTGCCACCTTCCGTAACAAGAATCGTCGTAGAAGTTGGCATGCAAAGTCGTTATATGGCCCAGGGCCTAGGTTTGGTAGAAAGTATATTGATAATTCCTCAGATCTGAATGGATATCCGGGGGTATGCAAACCGTTCGGCATCACTGTAGCCTTTATCATAACCAACTTGAGAAGGAACTGTCTCGAGCTAGAACTATGGCTGAAACTCGTGAAAGACGACGCGAATCGAATTGACCCAACAAAACTCAACAGGCACGAAGCTTTGATCACGATAGCATATTTTGCGGCCAGCTCCTTTCTGCCATGGCATAAGAGCCCACATTGAAGTAATTGAGATGGTCGTGAATTATCTTAGTACATTCAATGCCAATTAACATGCATTTTTGCAGTACCCAAATCCTTTCCCAGCCTATGCACTTGGGGCACCAAAAGGATCCTTTGGCAGCTTGATGATCCATGGGTCGTTTGGGTCATTTTCACCCCATGCATACTTCCCGCTGTCGTAACAGCTAGTGCGACGGACATCCCGAATATACTTGCCAATGTATCCTGATCCGTCGGTTGCTCGGTGTAACACGGCCGTGTTATCCCACATGACCATGTCGCCGTCGTTTTCCCAATATACCGTGTGTACATACTTGGGCTGACATGCATGGGCTTTGAGTTCTGCGATCAACTTGTCGCTCTCTTCCTGTGACATTCCTTCAATCTTGTGCATATAACTGGTGACGTATAGATTCTTCCGCCCCGTGCCTTCATGCGGATAGACCAGCTTCCATTTGGCATTTGGCCAGTCCATCACGTCGACACCTTTGTACAGATCCGGGGCAGCATCTCTCCGATTGTGAAGAAGCGAGCAATACGCGACGAGGCCGTTGATCTTCTCCTTGGTTTCCGGGCTGAGGTCGTCATATGCTGTACGAGAGTCCGCATACAAGGTTTCGCCGCCAGTTCCCTTGGGGGGAAGTTGCACTGCGCGTAGAGTCGAGTACTTGCACCGTCGTGGGTGGTATTGCATATCCGCATGCCATGTCTCGTTCCCCTTTGCGAACAGCCGAGACATCTTGTCTTCATACTTTTTCAACTGGTTGCTATGGTCGACGTTTGCCAAGTCCCCAATGTACGGGCTTGGAAGACGTGTCTTGACACCGAGACTGGCGGCCGGTGTCGGCTCCAGCTGGCCGAATTGCTGCGCAAAGGCAACATGACCATCATCGTCCAGGTTTGCGCCGCGAAATACAAGCACGCCATACTTGTCAATCGCACCCTGAATTTCGGCGATAACGTCTGGGCATAGTGGTTTTGTGAAGTCGATGCCCGAAATCTCGGCAGCAAAAGTAGCGTGTTGAGGTTGGACGTTTAGCTTAGTTCGAATCGCCATCTTCTCGAGTGTTACGATGCACCAACGCCCAAGGTAGGTAGAAGTCTGCAACGCTATGAAACAATGCGGTTGTTTAAGTGCTTTGCTAAGCACAGTTAAATGCCCGCCTCCCACACCAGCTTATCTCTCAGTGGGCAAGATATGTTTTCTCTCGGCACAGCGTTTCCGTGCCGTGTAGATATCACCATTATGGGCACGGCGCCCTGTAAACCAATAGAGTGGTAAACGGACTCTGGGAATGGCCATCCTTCCGGCCCATCGCAATGCTCGGAACTTTTGGCTTGCAATGTATACCGTAGTATCCTCCTTATCGGCAACTCTTTGCCGCGTCGGCCGTGAAGTGCCATGCTGACATAATATCAAGACATGGTCACAATTCAGGAAAGATTGGCGGCACCTCGTATCGGTACCTATCCGTGTAACTGCTGGACACGTGCTAATGGATGCGACAAGGTTTACTTTGGAATATCACACATTCAAGCAGCAAGACAAACCATGAGTACAGAACCACTGCCTACGTTTGACCAGCTTCCACCAGTTATAGGCGCCCCAAAAGGCTGTGCATGGGTTCGTGTGTAACACGCCAGTGTTTGTAACGCTGACCATGGAATCAGGGCCTGTTTGACAAGGATGGCGTCAAAGACCAGATTGGCACGCTCAATCTTTTGACACCGGATGTCGTACTGGCAGCGTCCAGAGAGATCATCACTGGCGAGAGTGTTGCACTGAAGTAAGCCGGCCTATGTTGTTAGACAAAGGCATTTTGAAGTTTACTACCTTGTTTTCAGTTGGGCCCTCGAAAATCCGCCATCCCCGTACTACCGAGAGAAATTCCAGCATACTATCAAAGATGTGGGCAAAGAATATGGCATGCCGATCTGCTGCTATGACGATATTGTGACGTTCAATACGCAATCAAGCTCACAATGGGATGGCTTCAGTCAGTTCTGAAACAGTGTCTGCGTGACTGTGATTGACATTGCAGGGCATTGGGGTCATGCCGAATCCCGACAGCATTACAACGGAGTCATGCATGACGACGTATTGGAGGGAAACGATATCAGCATGCATCGTACGTGCCTCCTTGCATACGCTCAATTACCACTGACAATGTAGAATGGAGCGAACGTGGAGGAATTGTGGGTCGCGGCGTGCTTGTTGACTTTGTTTCCTGGGCAGAGATAAATGGGGTGGAGATCAGAGCGTCAACGTCGCAGGTCATATCGCTCGATGTTATCAAACGAATACTGAGGGAAGAGGGTGTCGTTATCAAAAAGGGCGACATCCTGCTTCTTCGCACTGGACTCTTACAGGCTTACAACATGTGCTTCAACGACAGCGAACGGAACAAAGTCATGCGATCCTCGGATTCAATCGGTGCAGAAGCATCAGAAGCGATGGTGCAGTGGTTGTGGAACAATCACTTCTCTGCCGTTGCGGGTGACGCCGCTGCCTTTGAATCACAACCCTTTGTTAAAGAATATTGTATGCGACCCATAACACTGGAAGGCCTTTACTGACTGCCCAGCTCTGCACGACTATCTGTTGGTCTGGTGGGGAATGCCGATTGGAGAAATGTGGGATCTCGAAGGTCTGGCCGAGAAATGCAAAGCCCACAAGCGGTGGACTTTTTTCATCACGAGCGCGCCCTTGAATGTGAAAGGAGGTGTGGCCTCTCCACCTAACGCACTTGCTGTCTTCTAGAGAGAGACGGACGCCGAACGGCTGGCGGCTTTGGGATATATTCGGTCCCATAAAATACTCCTGTCGGGGAGGCCAGTAGAGTGCTGCGGACCCAGGTGTCTGTTCAGACCTTGGCGAAAAGTGGCAAAAGCAAGGCTCTAAGGGGAATAATAGATTTTCTTACGAATCGGAACTAGAGAGTAATCAGCCACAGCATTCAATGGCAGATTTCCATCTCTGATTAATTTCTTCCGCCACTTTACCTTGACGTTGGTGTGAAGATGCATGAAGCGTTAGCAGCAAGCATCATAATTGGCTCGTTGAACGGCTACTTTTTTGCCGTGTTAGCCACGGCAGGTAGCTCGTCTCCACATGAGTTGCTGCCAAATGGCGGCGAGTGGAAGGCCGTCGTCCACAGCTTTGCGCGCTCTGGGCACTATATGACATAGCTGTGGCAGATGCGAGAAATGTGAGCACGGAATACTGCATCATCCCAATTAACGAGACCAAAACATCATCGTTCTCGGTTGTAGTTGTTGTGTCCCCCACAGCAACCAATGTTCAAAGCTTGCGAGATGGCGTCAGGGAGCTACATCGACTCCTCAAGGGATGAGACCACAATCGAGGTGTCTGGTCTTCAGGTCCATATTCGCGGCTGTATCTCTGTTGCTTTCTCGAAGATACTGAACCCTGACCTTGTATTCCTCCTGCACGGCCGCACCAGCGATGCAGAAGCCCTCCGTGATTTGGGGACCGCAATTTTGGCAGCCAACCCCGAGACCTTGGTGGTGTCCTTCGATCAACGGAATCATGGCCACCGCATCCTGAACCCAAAGGCTAATTTGACATGGGCGGATGGAAACGACATGCACGCGTAGGTTCTCAGATCGCAAGCCAGAAGACAATTACCTGACCTTTCCCGACAGCCAGGATATGTGTGAGTTTGAGAACTACATTGCTCGTACTTTCCAAAGGCTTACACCTGGCGACACAAGTCTCAATCCAGTACGGCACGAGTCTCGATGTGAGCCTACTCATTGACCTGCTGCCAATGTTCATCTCTCCAGATGAGCGCTATGTCTTCCGGCACATTTTTTGTGTTGGAGTCTCACTAGGAGGCCATGTGACTTACCACGTCCTTTCTAATGGTAAGTCGCCCCAGGTGAGAGGAAGAAGGCCCCTGTCTCACTTATGAAGAGCCTCGCGTAAATGCGGGCGTAGTCATCATCGGCTGTCCGGATACTGCGGCATTGCTGCAGATGCGAGTCCATGCGAAAGACTCCAGGAAACTCATGCCCCCTTCTTTCCTTGCAACCGTCCGAAGGCTACAACCCAACATTGAAGAAGTCGCAAAGAAGTCTGTGCTCATCATAAAAGGAAACGAGGACAACCTGGTGCCGTGGGAACCATCGCAAACCTTCGTGGAACAGTTGCCCAAGGCGAGGGTCCAAGTTATCGGCTACGATGGGATTGGTCATGCTCTGACCAAAGCCATGCAAGAAGACACTGCGAAATGGATTCAAGATTTTCGAAAGAGGTCTTGACACAGATCTATCATGAAGACACCCGGATGGCCCTCGGTCTCTTACTGGCAATGCAGGCTAACCCTAAGCGATCGCCGAAGAGATAACACACAAATCTTTGGCAATCTAGATTGTCACCACATGATAAGATGCTACATGCGTTGCAATGCTTCGTCCTGTTTTACTCCTACTTCAACTAGTTATTGTATGGGAAACCTACCAGTGGGGGCTGCGGGTGCCTGAAAGTAGCGTCGCTGGACTCGGAGACTGTTCCTCTGCTCCGAAAGTTAGGGCATCGAGTTTTCGAACTTCGGTTGTTGGTATGCACAGAGTTCATGGGTCTATGGCACTCAAGCACTTCATCATGGATCTTAATACACTAGGTAAAACTCTGGAACACAGCAGGGCTTGCTTGCTCGGGTCTCTCTAGCTGCACGCTCTTTGCTCCCTAGCGGCCTTTGCGGGCCACTGATCTCAATCACTCCCAAGACAGCGGGCCACTGTCTCTACGAGCTCCCTCAGGGTATCCCATGAGCTAACGTGTTCTATTCTTCCCAATCAAAATTGAAGGGACCGGGGAAGAATTACCAGAATGAAAATAGCCGACCTTCAGCGTAACCACTGGAAATCCCTCTAATCATCCTTCCTGCCTCCAATGCAGCGCAGTGAAACATTTGTGCATAGCTGTCTGACTGACAGTGACAATCTTCCGTGCAACCTTGGTACCTAGGCTGATTCGACATCTTTTTCGCAGACGAGTAAAAATCGAGAATATTTACTTCCACGTCCCAGGTAGACCAACCATGACTGGCGTACCCCCGGACCGAGGCACGGCGGCGGGGAGCCGAAACTGACTCATCTCTACGATGCTATTGTTCCTTTTAGTCAAACGTACTGCACAAATTCAACCTAAACGCTCGATCAGAAGATAGACCACATTCTTGCATCCCCGAAAATGTCTTTCAAGGGCAAAACTGTAGCCGTTACTGGTGCCGCATCTGGCATCGCACTTGCGCTCACGAAAGTCCTCGCCCAAAGAGGTGCAAATCTTGCATTGGCGGATGTTCAGAAAGCCAACTTAGACAAAGTTGTGAGCGACCTCAAAGGTCAAGGCGTAGAAGTCATCGGCACAGTTGTGGATGTCTCCTCCAGCGATGCAGTCGACAGGTGGATTGCCTCCACGGTGGAACATTTCGGCAGTCTTGATGGCGCCGCAAATATTGCGGGCATTGAGCTGGGGTTCACCAACATCGCGGACCTGAAGAACGAGACATGGGACCGGATGATTGCCATCAATTTGACGGGTCTAATGTACTGTGTGCGAGCACAAATCCGAGTCATGAAACGGGGAGCAAGTATCGTGAATGCTTCCTCGCTTTCCGGGATCACGGGAAGGCCAGGTCTGGGGGCATATGTTTGCTCCAAGCATGGCGTGGTTGGACTGACCAAAACGGTTGCGAAAGAGGTTGGATCGCAGGGTATTCGAGTCAATGCCGTTGCTCCGTATGCTCGAATCATATCTCAAGTTCCAGGCACGAAGGCTGACGTTGTGCTAGTGGTCCTATTGAGACACCCATGCTTGACAGTTTGCTTGCAGGAACATCGTCTTCTACTTCAAGTCAAACTACGAACACCTACTCCAGTTTGCCTTTGCAGAGGAAAGGCCAAGCTGACGAGGTTGCCATGTTGATTGCCTTCTTGCTCGGCGACGAAGCGTCTTTTATGACTGGCGCCGTCGTCCCGGTGGACGGCGGCGCTGCAGCTTAGCCGGCCTCTTAGCCATCTGGGATAACCCAGCCTCAACAGCGATTTCAGACTGTTATCAAAGTTATTGTGCCATGTACCAAGAATACTCGTACTTTCCGAATAAGCCAATTGCGCCTAGGCTATGAATCAGTGATTCTTGGACGGTATCATCGACCCTCTTCAACGTCAGTCTCGGACCTAGAAAGTATGGCCCAAGTAGACGAATCAGGACAACGGCTCCAGAATTTCTTCACACAGTGCAAAGCCACTTCTGCTCCGAGTCAGATTCAGAGGAATATCTGACTCTCACACAAACATACTCTGTGGCCTCAATAGATATCACACGATCTACCAAATAGCGCATGAAAATAATTATTTCGGCATAGCCGAAGTCCATCTTACTCGTACGCTCGGATGACCACCCCCGTGGAGTCCCCATGACATTGCCTAGCGCTTGACATTCAAATCCAATGCTCTAGCTGGTTTCTCCAACAATTACACTTACACAATCATACACCGTGAATCCCTAAACTTACGTTCACCACACATAGCTGCAATTATGGTCTTCGATGTGAATAAAGCTGGCCATGAAGTGAACGGAACCAACGGAGAATCCAATAACACTGCGGACGAAAGCGGCCCTGGAGGAAAGTATGGCTATCGCCTGGGCCACAGCCAAAATGGATACAACATTCCCGATTACGTTCTTGGTGACGGTGCGCACCGCAGGGTCAAAGTCCTCACCATCGGTGCCGGTGTGAGCGGCATTCTCATGGCGTATCTCTTGCAAAAGCACGGCGAAAACGTGGAGCACGTCGTGTATGAGAAGAACGGCGATATTGGCGGAACATGGCTAGAGGTGAGTGGGGGAATCATGCGCAACCAACCTAAGTCCAATACTGATAAACACGTGGTGCAGAACCGCTACCCTGGGTGTGCTTGTGATGTACCATCTCATGCATATACATATGCCTTTGCACTAAACGCAGATTGGCCAAAGTACCTGAGCCCGTCAGACGATATCTTCCGATACTTGACTAGAGTCGTCGAGTGCTTTGGTTTGCGCCGGTACATGAAATTCAACCATGCCATCCAAGCGGCCAAGTGGAATGAGGAAGAAGGCAAATGGCATGTCACCATCCACAATTGGGAGAAAGATGAGGTGATCGAAGAGACCTGTGACGTCTTGATCTCTGCCAACGGTCTTTTGAACTCGTGGAAGCTGCCTGAAGAGGTCGAAGGTCTGAAGTCGTTCAAGGGCAAACTGCTTCACACTGCCAGATGGCCAGATGAGTATGGCGCAACGCAGTGGAAAGAGGACCGTGTCGCTGTTATCGGCTCGGGCGCCACTAGCATTCAAGTCGTTCCAACCCTGCAGCCACATGTCAAGTCCATGGACGTCTTTGTGAGGACGCCGGTGTGGTTTGCGGAAATTGCCGACCATTCAGGCGACAACTATGATTGTGAGTAACCCTCGGTTCCTGGGCCGTTTCCTCGATGGCGAGGCATCGTCATGACTGACCTCGGACAGACACACCGGACCAAAGGGAGACTTTCAAAAATGACAATGCCGCCCTAATCAAACAGGCAAAAGCTATTGAGGGCAAGCTTAACACTGCCATGGGTCTCAAAGCCATGATGACCCAGAGTGCCGAAGCCAAAATCGTCCGGGACTATTTCACGAAACGTATGCGTCAACATCTCTATCGCGACGAGATTTACGAACAGCTCCTTCCGTCTTTCTCTCCCGGCTGCCGTCGCCTTACTCCAGGCAACCCTTACATGAAGGCCATCCAAGAGTCTAATGTCAACCTGCACCGTTGCGCCGTGACAAAAGTTACACCAAACAGCGTCATTGGCTCCGACGGCACTGAAGTTGAAGTCGACACCATCATCTGTGCAACTGGGTTTGACGTCAGCTACAAGCCGAGGTTTTCCGTTGTTGGCCGCAATGGAGTCTCTCTCCAAGACAAGTGGAAGACGATACCTGAGGGCTACTTAGGTCTGGCTGTGCCAGAGATGCCCAACTACTTCGTCTTCCAAGGCCCCACGTTCCCGGTCTCGAACGGCTCGGTGATGGGTCCTCTCCAGTCGGTGGGAAACTATATCGTTCAGGTCATCCAGAAGATGCAGAAGGATCACCTCCATTCTCTCGTGCCCAAGCAAGATGTCACCGACGCCTTCAATGAGCACGCGCAGACGTGGATCCGGGGAACTTGTTGGGCAGAATCTTCGTGCCGCAGCTGGTACAAGAACAACGAGACAGGCAGGGTTAATTCTGTCTGGCCTGGAAGCTCTTTGCATTACTGTGAGATGACTGCCTCACCTCGGTATGAAGACTACGAGATCAAGTACGATAACAAGCATAACATGTGGGCCTTCATGGGACTGGGTTTCACGAAAAATCAGCTAACCGAAGGCGGAGACTTAAGTCCCTACATCACGGAGAATGGTTTGGAAAAGAAGTTTTACTCATTTGTGCTGACCGAAGAGGAGGAGAAGAAGATTTCAGAGCGCAAGCTGAAGGTCCGAGAAGTCTTCTAGCCTGTTGATTCCCCATGTGCGTAGAATACGAGTAGATCTGTAGGTAGTCTAGCATGGGATGACGGACGGCTATGTCGACTTTTCTGATCGTATGTATGACTGTTTCTGCCCACTGAGCGTGTCCGCGCACGGAGCTGCGGAAAGGACTTCAGGCGTAGAGACTCTCAACTTTGCGTTATTTTAAAGACTGCGTTCGTGTTGATGTATGTGGGAAGGTTTGAACCCCGTTTGGACTTAAAGAAGACTGTTCGCTAATGCCAAAATCCATGTAGGCATGGGGACTCTGAAAGATAGTGTTAAGTTGGAGAAAGGGTTGTGTGCTGCTGATGGACATTGCATGCCCTAGAGTCTGGGTCGAAGAATGACTTGGGGCATTCTCACTGACCGTCGATTCGGGTAGAAAATGACAGTTGTCCGTCCCCGTTATAGGATCTCCAACATCGTTACCCTCTTTCCAAGGCGACATGCCCCATGCAAGGGGTGAGGAGGTTGAAGCCGCGACGCTCTGCGACAAGGACTTGTCGGGGTCTGACATGACACCATAATCCACCGAAGTCCAGAGGATGTCAAGCTCTGAGTCACCGAAGGAAGATAGCAAGGGTTTGGAGCTGAGCAAAACACTGAATTTAGCGCTGTGGGACCAGAACGTCCTCAGGCCCGATGCCTACGTGATACTGCGTCAGTAGGAACCTTCATCGTAGACCAACATCACTTACTATTAATGTAGTGTTCTTCCAGTATTTGGCAATATCATCCAGGTAGCCGAGATCGCAGACCAAGTTCTCGAGCGACTCCTGCTGCAACTCGGAGTCTTGTGAGTGCGTGTACAGGGCATGTATTGCGCCTGAAATCAACAAGCAATATCCGTAAAACGAACCGGCCACCATGCAACCACTATTTTTCGCGTCGAGGAAGACTTTTGTCAGAAGTCCAGCATGCTCTACTCCCGTCTCCAGTGAGCGTGCCAACCAAGTCGTGGGCGTCTTTGCTGGCGTCGAAATCACTCGTTGCCGCAGAAGAAACGGATGGTTGAGAATGCAATGGCACAGGTGAAACAATACTCGAGTGAATATCACATGGCCAACCATTTGCTGGTCTATCTGAAGATCTTGCTTATGCGTGCCTTGTCGGACGGCCTGATCGACAGGATTGCCACTGTCGATGAAGGACTCATAATAGAGAAGTACCGAGGATATCGTCACATATTCGGACGATGGGTTGAATGGAGCCCGCTCCTCGGTGCCCTCGCGGTTGTCAAGCATATATCGTGCGCACCGACCCAGAACGCAAACCATGAGGACAAGTAGCGCGAATTGGCTTGGCTTACAAGAAGAATGGGCACTACTAGCACCGGTGCCCAGAATTGTCAGAGTATCGGTCTTCTTGTAGATGCCTTGACGAAAGTCCGCCTCGTCACCAGGAAGTTGCACTTGACAGTCTGCATCCAGGATGGCAGGAGGTCGTTGTTTTGAACAGGAGACAAAGCGATCAAGCAGGTAGATTGACCAGAAGAGTCGCCGACGCTCTTCTTGTTCAATCGGAGGAAGATTCACGTCAGGTTCCATCATGAGGTGGAGGTCTTGACTGATTCGAACTGCCAGCCCGATCTTCACCCAAGCAGCGCGTCTTCGTCCGGCTACATCATTTTTAGCAGGGCTGAGGAAGGGCAATAACGAACCACCTACCTGCAGAGTCGATGATGGCCAGAAGTGAGATCGCTTGTACCACTGCGGTGTCAGCACCTTCTTCCACGGCGCATCCAGACGTGACGATCAATTTCCACGAATTCGATGCGTACTCTTCCAGAGCTGCGGCGTGTTTTCCATCGAACCAGGGGTCCGTCGAGTAACGCATGGCAGAAGCTAGAAAAGCAAAAAGCAGATAGCTCGGCCATGCCCCATTCAACAGACGTTGACGAAAGTTGCCTTCATGAAAGAAGGTGTAGGGCTGATTATGGCAATAGTGAAAGAAGGTATTACAGGCGCCTTCAAGGACTGAGGCTGGGGGCAGTTCCTGAAAAGACCTAAAGAGAAGCGTTAGATCCTGGGCAAGAGGTCCAGCAACGGAGGAGCCCGTACGATTGGAGTGTTCGTTTGGGACTAGTAGTCTCATTCGAGTGTGCATGTGGTGATCTCTCATTCCACAGATCGTTCAATCCTGCCAGCGAAGGCTGTTCGATGGAGCTTCGTTGACCCAGCGCGTTTGTGAGTGCAGGGATAAATCTGGTTCCGAAAAAGTCGACGTAAGCAAAGAGCACGCTGCAGCTTGACCAAGGACGTACGCATTCAAATGACTTAGCTCGGTCAGTTTGGCTTCGAGAGATGTCACCCGTGCGATAAGATTCTCCTGTATGCCTATGTAAGTAAGGGTATTCACCGTGTGCTGTGCCGAAGTTGACACTTGGGGAGGTCTTCGTACATCTGTGACACTCGAAGATCCTACAACCTGACCGACTGGATCCCAGTCATCCCAGACGTTCTCGCGCAGGTAGTGGCATTCCTGATCGAGTCTTGTGCAGAAGGAGCAGGAAGGCCTTTCACCAGAACATCGGACCTTCTTGCGTCTGTCTGGCAGTTAGAGGAACGATTCTGCTCGTTGGACGTTACTTCGCACCTACCTGCAGTTCGAACACGCCTGTCTCACTCTCTTGATCCCACGTGATCGTTCTGTGTCAGCATCCTTGGAATCTTCCGACATTGGGTTTGTGCGGGCTGGATGTTATTGCGATCTTGCCAGTAAGTCTATGGCAACCCTGGCAGAGATTGGGACACGACAAAAAAAGAAGGGCCAGGCTTGTGGAAAGGAAAGCGGATGCGATAGCAAGGCCGATATTATAGGCTTGCTAATTGCTCCGACAACCCCCCAGGCCGCCCCAGGAGTGGCAGCTGTGACATGTGCAGTGGTCGGTAAAAGTGACTGTGGGGAGGGGATGCTGGAGGCCTGTAAGCCACAATACGATATTACATTGGCAGCCAAGTTTCCCCATTGCTTTTCGACACTTTCATGACGGAGGTTCAGGAGTGAGCAACGCAACAGCCTTCAGTAACGGCTGGCAGTCTATAGATCTGCTGAAATTCAAGCTATGGGTTCCCAAGCTGATGCAGTTCTTTCTTGTTGGAAGGGTGATTAATTCTCTCTTGCTTGCATCACAACGGGAGGACTTGGTCGGGATGACCTGCAACGGGACGTGGTCTCCAAGGCCCAATACCATACTCGCTAAAGCACCCCTCTCGTCCATGGGGGGCAGCTGGTGACGTAGTGATGGTTCTCGGCTATCGTTGTGCCAGATGTGCACTACCGCCACTACCGTAAATGTTGGCGCGTGACCTGCAGCCAGAACGTTTGTCGATGTCGGAAGCTGGACCCTTGTCTGACTCGAAAGGTTACGGTTACTCCGATCCTAAGCATCGTGTGCTTTCCCGTCCCCGTACATGGACTGCGACTGCGCCCAGCACCTGGGCCTGCTGCAGCTCCGCCAGCGAACACCAAAATCAAACCATCTTGCCAAGTTCATACTGATCTAAACTGTGCCACTTCCTTCCCTTCCCCATCTCAATGCTTCACATAAAGTCATACCTGGAAAAGCGAAGATTTCCAGCATAGCTGGAGCGGTATGAACCCGAGCGTCGAATGCAGCGCCCCGTCTTCGTGGCTCCGGTACGACAATAGTGGGGGTTTGCCCCAAGGGGTCATGATATCTTGAACGATTGCCAGCACTTGAAATCTTTGGAGATTTATCACATAAGACATTATTTCAGCAAGTGGGTTTCTCGTCCTTCGGGACCAGTGTTGCCTTGACGTGCACAGGGCTGTCCGTTCCCACCCACATCACTACATGTGACCAATAGTCGATAGTATCAACTGCATGCTTTGCTTGCGGGCCTCTTGTCCAGCATATCCGGCGATGTTAGTCTGGATCACGGACTTGTTCCGTGCCTACCGTCCCTCATTGCACCACAACCCGATTCTAACGTGGCCATCCATATGTACGATGTCAACCGACATAACATCATATTTGATGCTGGACGGACCTTTTGAATGAGACAGACACAAGCGTCTCACCAAAATGGCCCTCGAACGAGTACAACAGGCACTCCGTCATCTGAGGCAGCGGAATTCTTTATCGCTCCTCCATGGCGACACGCAACCGGCGCTATTAGACTCACACCTAGGAACGCTGCTGGACTCTCAAGCCGAAAGACTCGGACACAAGACTGCACTGGTATCACGAGCTCAAAAACTGCGTCACACTTTTATGTCCCTTCGAAAGCGGAGTCAACAGATAGCACGCGGATTACTTGCTCGCGGCATTCGGCATGGCGACTGTGTTGGAGTGTTTGCAGGGAATTGTGCAGAGTATGCAGAGTTGTTTTTTGCCTGTGGCCGCATAGGTGCCATCTTGGTAGTCCTAAATGTGACATACACCCCGGATGAGTTGAGGCGTGCCATCATTGCTAGTGGTAAGCCTGCTGCCGTGTCAGTTGCCACTGAAATTTTATACTGACGGCATCGGTCAGAATGCAAGTTGCTCTTCATAACAACGACGATCGGCCCCAGAAAACACGATGCCACAGTCGACTCACTGATGGACTCTTCGAGCCGTATTAATGTACCTGGCTTGCAGGCGATCTTACTCCTGAAAGAAGACCCCACATCTAGATATCACAATCTATTTTCTCTACAGGGAGTCATCTCCAAGGGGGAGGCATTGGACGATCGAGACCTGCAGTTGGCGGAGTCCGCTGTGAGTCCACATGACGTGTGCAACCTACAGTTCACAAGTGGGACTACTGGCAACCCCAAAGCGGCCATGCTAACGCATTTGTGAGTCTGGCACCATAATGAGGTCAAGCCTATACCAACGGTCTCTAGCAATATCATAAATAATGCTCGCTTTGTTGGCGATCGAATGGAGCTCACTGAGAAGGACACTCTTTGCTGCCCTCCTCCACTGTTCCATTGTTTCGGATTGGTGCTAGGATTGTTGGCCGCCATCACCCATGGCTGTAAGATCGTCTTACCAAATGATACTTTCGATGCAGAGTCGGTTTTGGGGGCGATTTTGGAAGAGCAGTGTACGGCTCTTCATGGCGTTCCAGCCATGTGGGCGGCAGAAATGCAATTGTTAAGTCCACACCATGATTTTGCGCGGCTCAGGACGGGAATTGCCGCCGGTTCAGCAACTCCTCGACAGATGATGGAAGACTTGGGCAACAAGATGAATCTGAGACAGCTGACCAATACCTATGGTACGTCCTATGTGCAAAAGTAGCCAGGTTGCACACTCATCAGTTCTAGGTATGACAGAAACGTCTCCCGCGAGCTTCATGACATCCTGCCGAGATCCTCTGGAGCTTCGACTGGCCACAGTAGGCAGAATTATGCCACATACTTCGGCCAAGATCATTGATACGGTCGGGAACATAGTTCCCACGGGTCAGAAAGGCGAGATCTGTGTGTCTGGCTATCTTCTGCAGAAGGGGTATTGGCAGAACCCGGAAAAGACCGAAGAGGTTATGATACGGGACGAGCAAGGGATAATATGGATGCATACTGGTGACGAAGCCTCATTCGACGAAAATGGATATTGCAGGATCACTGGGAGGATCAAAGACGTGATAATTCGAGGTTCGTCCAACTTTCCCGCCCAGTCCTCTTCTGACGTTCTGCACACGCTTACTGATGACTAGGGGGTGAGAACATCTTCCCACTTGAAATCGAAGAGCGCCTCATGCAACATCCGTCAGTGGTCAACGCTAGCGTCGTAGGATTGAATGATGCAAAGTATGGGGAGGTGGTGGCGGCTTTCCTGCAATCTGTGGACGAGAAGCGGCCAGGAAATGAGGAAATACGAAATTGGGTGCGTGAAAAGCTGGCGAGGCACAAAGCGCCCAAGCACATCTTTTGGCTTGGTGATGATAAGGTGGGAGACACCTATCCCTTGACTGGCAGTGGAAAGGTAAAGAAGAACGTTCTCCGGGATATAGGAGACTCTCTACTGAAGAATCTATCGCCGGCATAAACTGGAACAGAACTCTGGCATTACGACTAGAATATCTCAGCTTCAGAGAGATTGCCTGTTTGGCAGAAGTCTCATTCAGGACGAATCTAGCTCTGCCTGCATATAGAGTGAACCAAAGAGCAGATTATTGGATTTACTAAAAACTTCACATTTCATAAACGGGCAGTGTGATGACGCCGCACCCGTCATGGACGCTGATTAGGGCAACGTATTGGCAGGTCGTTTGGTTGGACCGGTATGGACTCTACGTTTGCTGCCCCTGCCGAATAGAGGGGTAGCAGTAGCGGTTGTCATGACCCGGCATCCGACGAGGGCCGGCTCATATCAGGAGAAGCGACCCTGGATCCCCTACTAGTACTCTCAACTCTGGACTCAACCTCAGTGTGAAGAGAATTGCAGTCCAACCGCACAGTACAGGGAAAACTACTCAAGATGGTTCTAGAAGCAGAAGATCTCCCCGACTACAAGAACATCCCCCCGGTGCAAGGTATGCCTCATGGCTGCGCGTGGGGCTTGTTCGACAAAGATGGGGTCATAGACCAGTTGGGCACTCTGAATCTGCTCACTCCAAAGAAGGTGCTACGTGCCAAAGAAGAGATCCAGGCAGGAGTCAGTGTATCACTCAAGTGGGGACCTTGGCTTGCTTATTGCTTCGAGCCATTTGTTGACCTCAATTTGTAGCTGGCCACTTGAGCGCATCAAAAACCCTGGACACAATCGAAATCCCATAATTCATAAGTTCCTGGATCTGAAGCCCGCGTTGGTGGGACACGACGATGAAATCACCATCAATACCCAAACCAGTAGTCAGTGGGATGGCTTGCGTCAGTGCCACACGTCAATTTCTTTGTCGCGGCGACTGACCTGCATACAGGTCACTGGGCCTTCCAAGAGACTGAACAATACTACAATGGATTGACACATGATGAGATCAGTGGACCCAACCCGAACAGCAGGAACGGCATTCAAGGTCAGTTGGAAGCACGTAACGTGCGACAGGAAATCTGACCCTCATGGTAGAATGGCTCAAGAGAGGAGGAGTCACGGGAAGAGGCATACTGCTCGATTATGTTGCGTGGGCGGAGCACAAGAGTATCAAGTACCGGGCCGACAGCAAACATCTGATCAGCGAGAAAGATCTTGACGAAGTTGCGAAATGGCAGGGCTCAGAATTCCTGCCAGGCGATCTCCTCTTTGTCCGCACAGGTTGGATTAAGTGGTACAACGAATCGACCGACGAGGAAAGAGTGCAGGGCAGTAAGATGAACCACAACTACTGCGGGGTGGAGGGAACAGCATCGTCTATTGAGTGGTTGTGGAATCATCACTTCGCTGCCCTCGTGGCAGACAACATGGCTTTTGAGGCTTGGCCAGCCGTGATGCCCTACCGTGAGTAACGCAGCTTGACCAGCCTTTCTTCGTACTCGTGGACCTCGAGACATACTGACATTCAGGGTTCACAGGCATCCATGACACTGCACTCGGTCTCTGGGGTACCCCTTTGGGAGAATTGTGGGATTTGGAAGCACTGGCGGCTGAATGCAAAAAACAGAAGAGGTGGACTTTCTTTGTGACGAGTGCGCCGCTGAACATTGAAGGTGGTGTAGCAAGCCCACCCAATGCCATTGCTGTCCTATAGACAGTTCAAATTACCATTCTATCTAGAGGCGTGGCTTGGTGCCACGATGGAATGTGAACTAGTTGCCGCTGGGGAGTCTTTCACCATTACCAGCAGGCGCATGTAGGAGCTCGAAGTCCTTCAAATGGCATCTTTGTGTGATCGTACTATTTGGCGCGTCATGCGTTCGTCGAATGAGACCACATGTACACATTTTGCCGAGAGCCTCGGGGTTGGAAGAACCTAGCAAGCTCGATCCCGCCGGCTCATCCAATCATTCAAGACTCCGAACCGTGGTGGAGCGGAAGACGGATTGCAGGAAAGGTGGAGGGTGTGGGACACGGCATGGAAATAGTATCTGACTCGGTCCCAGGTATATCTGCCGTATCCGGAAGCTACCCGTGCGCAGCAGATGCCCAGCCTGAGCCACACTTATCTCAAGCTAGCAATGTCCTATTGAGGATGCTAAGTTTTCCCACGATAAGCATTCATGATCCGCCAGCAACAACACTTGTAGAGAGGAAGATCGACTGTCATGAGTATTCAGTTAGTCGACGAAGAAAAAATCCCAGAGGCCAACGGCATCACCGTGCCTCCAGCAGAATTCCCAGCGCTTTATAACTGGCCGACGACCAACGAAAATGGCTACACTATCAATGAGGCCCCATCAGGAACTTCTCGAAAAGTAAGAATCATCTGCGTGGGAGCTGGGGCCTCGGGCATCAATCTTGCCAAATTTGCACAAGACCAGCTCAAGAATGCAGAAGTGGTCATATATGAGAAGAACGAGGAGGTAGCGGGGACATGGTTTGAAAACAAGTATCCGTAGGTGCCATGTTTATTTCATCGGATCCCGCTTGGTGCCAGATATTGGGATCACTCGGGCTGTTATGCGACAGATAGCTGACAAAATCTGGCAGTGGTTGCGCATGCGACATACCGAGCGTCACTTACCAGTTCTCGTGGGATCCACAAATATGGTCTAAGTACTACGCCGAGGCTCCAGAAATCTTCGCCTACTTCAAAGGCGTTGTGGATAGGTTTAGCCTTTGGAAGTATATGAAATTAAAGCATGAAGTCCAGCACGCGCAATGGAGTGCGGAGGCTGGTGTCTGGAATGTGAGGATTAAAGACCTCCACACCGGGAGAGAGATGCATGATCATTGCGACATCTTCATCAACGCCATGGGCTTCCTCAAGTAAGTCTTTCAGGACGCTGGTTTACCGCGTCGGGCGGAGCTGATCAGGGGACAGCAACTGGAAGTGGCCGAAGATAGAGGGGCTGCACTCGTTCAAAGGCGTTTTAACACACTCGGCTGCTTGGCCAAATGATCTAAATTTGGATGGCAAGCGGATAGCCGTAGTAGGCAATGGCTCGAGTGGTATTCAGATTGTTGCCAATGTGCAAAAGCTGGCGTCGAAACTTTATACCTGGGTTCGGACGCCGACCTGGATGACGGCCGGTTTTGCGCAGAAATATGCCGGAGACAACGGCCGGAATTTCGAATGTAAGTTTGGTCTGCTTCTACAGCCTGAAGCGTTTCCGCTGATCTGCTGCAACAGACTCGGAAGAGCAAAAGAAGCGTTTTCGAGAGGATCCAGAGTATTACCTCAAATACAGGAAGTCGGTCGAGGTTGAGATGGTCAAAGGGTTTTACGTCTTCCACAAGAACACTCCGGACTCCATGGCGGCGTTGAAGGTGAGTCCACGCGGGGCCGCGCAGCGAGAGTTGAATGTTGGCTGAACATTCACGAAACAGTTTGCTCACACAGAAATGCGGAATCGCTTGAACGGCCAAAAGAGGCTTGCAGATGCGCTTATACCGAAAACGTTTCCAGTTGGTTGCAAACGGCCCACGTAAGTTTCCTTCATCTTCCTGCAGTTCAGGTGCTTGTTCTGTACTCTAGAGTCCTTCTGTCTGACCAGGTGCCAGGCCCGGCAATGGTTATCTGGAGGCCTTGTTGGAAGACAATGTGCACGTTTATTGTGAAGGAGGACTGACACAGGTCACCGAAAAGGGCTTCCTCGATCCGGAAGGCGTAGAGCAAGAAGTCGACGTGATTATATGTGCGACCGGTTTCGACACATCCTGGGTCCCTCGATTCCCAATCATCGCCAACGACGTCAACCTACAGGATTTGTACTCGAGCAAACCTATCGGCTATCTTGGTGTGGGTGCGCCCAGGATGCCCAACTATTTCACCTTCTATGGCCCTTACGGGCCTCTCGGTCAAGGCAGTGCAATGCCCATGATCGAGCTGTTTGCTTCATATATCATGAAGGCTATACAAAAGATCCAGTTTGAAGATATCAAGAGCATCACACCAAAGACAGAAATAATCGATCAGTACGCCGAACACACCGACCTTTTCAACCGAAGAACGGTATACGATGCTCCCTGTCGCAGCTGGTTCAAAGGAGGTACATATGATGGCAGAATAATGCTACACCCCGGCACAAGGTTACAATAGTGAGTGACTCCTATATTCAGTGGCTCCACTTCGTCTTGCCTCCATAAAAAACGCGGATCCTACACAAAACAGCGCTGACTACTACATAGCATGGAACTGCTCAGCTCGCCCCGGTACGAGGACTACGACATCAAGTACAGAAACGGAAATGCATGGTATTGGCTGGGGAATGGATTTTCAATGCGAGACCTGGATGGCCGTGATCTGACGCCATATCTGGGTCTTGTGGACAACCTTGATGAACAGAGGGACTACGATGTATAATGTCCGCCGCATAGTCCTTTCAAAGACCCTGCCACACCTCAATCTCAGATCGCCTGATACATGGTTGAAAATCTGCAAAGTTGTCTCCGGACTGTCAGACAGCTAAAGATGTTCGTCGTTATTGTTGTTATCGATAGCCACTGTACGTAATCTCCAGCAGCGGGCCAGAGCCCCCGATGCGCTTGGCAGCTACTTCGGCGTAAGAGCATTTCGCCCTCCAGTAGTCCAATGAACCAGCACAGGTGCCCAGTGGGTTCGGTGCCTGAAGGACATAGACACGGCTCTAAACCCGAGCCCGGATTCGTGAATTACCGAGGCACTTGTTCCATCATTACCGCCATCCACAACCTAATGGGTCCGGGTAAACGCGGTGGGTCGGGTTTTGGATCACCTACATAACATCAAATGGAGAAAGGAGCATGTAGGCACGCTGGCGCCTTATTGTCATCGCAAGGTAGGGAACTTGTACATAAAGCTCACTTAGTCGGCAGTTTACCTTGACATCAAGCAATAACCGCCACAATGAAGTTCGACCCGGATTCCGACAGCTTGCCCAAACGCTCCGAGTTGCCAGATATCCCTGGCGCTCCAAAAGGTGCCGCATGGTTTTGGGGCAAAGATGACGAGGTAAGTCTTGTCGTGCGGCCAAGCCGCCGATCGACTGACGGTGCCGCAGCTGGGAAGATTGAATCTGCTTACTCCCCGTCGTCGACTAGCGGCAGCTAAGTTGATCGAAAGTGGAGAAACAATCAACCTTGAGTACGCTTGCCCACGCCTCGAGTCATTTTGTTTCTCTGTCTGACGAAGAGGACTCTAGCTGGCCTTTGAATCTGCCTAATCCTCCAGCGTTTGGTCGTGAGCCTTTTGAATGGAAAGTGAAAAGTCTCGGCCCCGGTGGCAACGATGACATCTATCACATGAACTCGCAATCCGGCTCCCAGGTAGGTGTCGCTCTTTGAAGATTAGGAGTGCGATTGCTAACGGGGTGAGCTAGTGGGATGGGTTTCGACATGTACGATATAGCAGCCCCCCTCTGATCGCTGACATGTGAGATTGATCATATTACTCAGGTCAGCATGCCCAAAGGTGATGGTAATGTGATCTTCTACAACGACGTGAGTCTGCATCTACTTGTTTTACGAGCATAATGAGAGGCTAAAACCCGGTAGCTCACCCAGGAAGAAATCATGAATACTACTCGCTGTGGTATACAAGCATGGGCGGACCACGGTATTGGTAAGGCAGAACGGGATGGAGTCTTTCTCTAAGCAGGACAGGCCCAGCTAATATATGTTTTGGAAGTCGGGAGAGGTGTGCTCATCGACTACTGGTCCTACGCGCAACAAAATAACAAGGTGTACGATCCCAATGAGACTCACCCGATTTCTTTGACAGAGCTCCTCCAGTGCGCCAAATCTCAGGGCACCCACTTCCAGTACGGGGACATCTTGATGATCCGTACTGGATGGATCGACGAATATGGCAAGCTCGATGAAGCAGGGCGTGCAGGTATCGCCAAGGGAGGAGTGTTCGATCACAAGTTTGTCGGCGTGGAAGTGAGTGAGGAAATGGTGGATTTCCTCCATGACAACTATTTTGCGGCGGTGGCTGCGGATTCTCCCGCTTTTGAATCATGGCCAACGCCCTATGAGTGGAACCATCACCTCTACCTGTTGCCCCGCTGGGGTTGTCCGATAGGAGAGATGTGGGATTTTGAAAAACTGGCCAGGGTTTGCAAAGAGAAAGGAAGGTATCACTTCTTCTTTGTGAGCAGTCCGGCCAATGCACCAGGTGAGCGCGATCAAAATTCACGGGGGTGTTTCGCTAACGTTCCCGTCCCTAGGAGGTGTAGGCAGTCATCCCAATGCGACAGCAGTTTTCTAAGACACGACTAGAATGCCTAGTGGTTGCGTTTCAGATCAGGGCAACTGATTGTGACGTGGAAACTCTACTTATTCATCGGATAGAATAAGGGTGGCCTGGCCCAACGGAACACAATCTAAAACTGTGGCACATTATCAAAGCTTTTAGTTGCTCACATTGTGCAGATGTGCCCGAAGGTGCGATGCAAGAGAAAGCAAACTACGAAGACAAGTATTTGAACACTGTATTCTGAGATCCGACCTTGGTGGCGCTGACGTTGCATGACCTGCCTCTATGTAAGGCCCACCTGCTGGGAGTTCAGGGGATCATTCTCGCCGTATGCCCATGAGCTGTTGTCAAATGTCGATATCCTTCGCATGTCGCGACGGTATTTCCCGTGGTACTGTCCGAGGGTAGCGCGGTGCAGCACGGCCGTGTTGTCCCAGAACGTGACATCTCCGGAGTTTTCATAATGGACGGCAAACTTGTACTTATCTTGCATAACGTGTGCCATTAGATCATCAATTAATTTTCTGCCCTCTTCGACAGGCATGCCGTCAATGTGGTGATTGTAGGACCCGATGTAGAGATTCCCGCGCCCACTAGGCTCGTGGACTTGGGCGATCTTGTGCTTCGAGAGTGGTACTTTGGTGCAGTCGATGTCTTTGAAAGTCTGCATTTCTGGGTTCGCCTGCTTGCGGTTCCACATCAAAGTGTTGAGGCCTACCAAACCGTCGATCGCTTGCTTGGTTTCGGCCGGCAGATCTTCATAGGCTGTTCGAGTGTCCAAAAATTCGGTCTCTCCACCCATGCCTTTTGGTGGTAGCTCCACGGCCCGCAGAATCGAGATGCCTGACCGACGAGGGTTGTAGGCGCCGTCGGCGTGCCACATGGCATTCCCTCGAGCACTAGAGGTGCGAAGGGCATCGGCGACCGTGATGATGTTGTCATCGGGATCGATATTGCTCACGTCGAATATCTCGTCCTGAGGTAGACGCATCGTTCGGCCTGCTTTTTTGTGTGCAGTGATATTGTCGAGCTGGCCCCATTGCTGGCCAAGGGCAATCATAGTATCATCTGTTATATTGGTTCCGCGTGCCACAAGGACACCATACTTGTGAAGTCCCGCCAGCAGTTCATCTCTGACCGCTGCCGGTATTGGTTGCGAAAAGTCCAGTCCTTCCACCTGAGCAACAAAGCTCTCCCCCATGGGAGTAAACTTCAAGGACGCTGGTCTCCAAGCGGCAACCATGCTGGCCTTTTGCGATGAGATAGTTGGTGGTGGTTACAGGTGCTGGTCAACAGTATGAAGTCGTTCGCCGCCCCAAATTCTTACGTTCGGTCTCGGTTTGAGGTAAACTGTAGATTATTGTATGGCTCTACACTGGAGAAAGGATCGTCCTGTCTGGTGAGAGTATACTATACCCTTAAGATTTCTCAAGCTCACGTGTGGTAAGCAACACATATTGGGCTGCATACTTCATTGTGATGCCGACACCAGCCTATGCGGCTATTGTTGTCCGAGGCGGTGCAGGTAAGGTCTGGGTAAAGTTCCCCGACAAGTCTCGTTCATCCGGCTGTGCTGACTGGTCTTTGCAATCGGAGCCGTCACTTCTTCTCCATAATGATGGCTGAGTCATCTTCAATGTTAATGAATAGGGTTGAAGTTGTTAAACGTTGTGCATAACAGAGCATAATGATTACTTCTGTCTTCCATAAATTTGCGTATATAGCCCTCGTATGTATGGGCATTTGCTAAATGGATTAAATTTACGTGCTATTGCCGTCGTTAGCGCTTCAATCATCTATCTGAGACCCTAGCAGTATTAAGACCTATCGAGACGTTTCGTTTGTGTTTGGAACACCTTGATACCTATCTCAAATCTAGGAATACGGCAGTTAATGCCGTCTGCCGGCACTGTTCGACCAAAGATAATCAATTAAAGCTTAGACGTAGACTCGAATTAAGATGATCAGGTCCTGACAGACCTTGCACCATGTGTCGACACTGTCCACAACGCGTAGAGATGCACTTGGGAAAATGAAACTATTCGCCGAAGCCAGTACATCTAGCGGAGTCGTGCCTTTTCGTCACTGAGGACTGCCAGAAACTCTACCTTGATCCAGTGGGTGGCAGCCTGCTTCAGAAATCGAGCTGGCGATGAGTAAACGTCCGGGGAGCGAGACTGTTGGGGGAAACCCCACTTGAATTAAGACGCGTGAGATGCCATTGCCGAGGGCTTGTTATGCAGCACATGCCCGAGGCTGGGACTGGGCTAGCTATATAGGAACGGCCTATGCAAAGAAGTTATTCGCGTTGTTTCCAACATGCACCGCCAATGATTTGTGCCTAGAATAAGCGACTGAAAGACAAAGACTTCCCTTGGCACACTCTTCAACACAAACGCACCATGGCCTCGTACGGGATTGCCAGTAGTGGCTCTCAACACAGCAGTCCCGATGCGCCCAAATCATTCATCGAGAAGATCAAATCGACAAAAGGGCCGGTCGTGGGCACCGTTCTTACCATGCCCTCGGTGATCATTGCTCAACTCGCCGGCCAGGCGGATTGCGACTTTGTGATGATTGACATGGAACATGCACCCCTGCCCATGGAAGTGGTTACACAAATGGTTCATGCGTACGTTCAAGTCTCTCGAGGAACGCGCTTTCCGATCGTGCGAATTCCCTCTCACGGTGTCGAATGGGTGAAATGGGCACTGGACAGCGGCGCTGCGGGGATCATCATTCCAATGGTCAACAATGCAAGGGAAATGAAAGCTATACTGGAGCGTGCCGTCTATCCACCCGCGGGACAAAGAAGCTTCGGTCCACTATATGCACCATTTGGTCATCCCGACGGACCTCATGGAGGCATGGGAGGCTATTTTGAACGTGCAAAGAGAGGCGACATCGCCATTCTACCAATCATTGAGTCGAGAGAGGGACTGGAAAATGTCGAGGAGATCTTGGGCTTGGAGGGTGTGGCCGGATGTTTCATTGGTCCGGCGGATTTGCGACTGTCTCTTGGACTGACAGCGGGAGTCGATGGACCAGAGCCGGAATTCCTGAATGCGTTGAAAAGGATTTGCGAGGTGGGCAAGAAGCTGGGCAAGGTGGTGGGCTGCATGGGGTTGGGAGAAGGCCACGCCGGGAAGCGGACCGCAGAGGGCATGGACTTTCTTATGTCCGCTTTCGATTACGGTGCCGTCGTGAGTGGTCTGGCAAACGACCTGGCTGCGGCGCGCAAAGGCATCCAAAGCGAACTTGCGAAGTTGTAAATGTACGGCCACCCTTAATGCTTGGGCTGACAGAAATCGGCATCTACAAATGAACTGCCCAGAATGATTGATCCATCGGCTTAGAGCTTGTGCTGTCTCATAGGGTTGGTCGGCGTCACATTCTCTGGCAATTCCTTTGCTAGAAGGCTGCAGTTGACGTAGTGGGGGTTGAGCTGATCCAAGTTGGTGACTCCGAGTAACCGCATGGCCGTCTCGATCTCGTCACTCAGTACTGTGTATTTGTTAGTCCCATGGCTCCACCATCAGAAGACTGGACTCACTCTCGATTGCTTTTACCACGCCCTCTGTGCCATAAGCACTCAAGCCATAGAGAAACGGTCTGCCAAGGCCGACACCCCTTGCCCCAAGACACAGTGCCTTCACAATATCACTACCCCTGCGGACCCCTCCATCCAGGTAGACTTCGACATCGTCGAGAACCTGAGGGTAAAATTTATGGATCTCCAACAAGGTTCTGATGGCACTCGGTGCAAAATCCAGCTGTCTTCCGCCGTGATTGCTGAGATAGATGCCGTCGACTCCAGTTAGAGAGGCCAGGTACGCGTCCTCCGCTGTCTGAATACCTTTGAGCACGACCGGCCCTTGGTTAGAGCCCCATGCATTTCTCATCCAAAGTATATCGTCCCAGTCTACTGTAGACGAATGATAGCCTCTCAGAATGGGCGCCTCCTCGTTGTTCGCTGCACTCGTCGTCCTGGGGACTTCCCGGCCCTCCTCAATTTCGAGCTCAGCCTTGTATCGGTCATCTTCCTCTCTCTTGCCCACAACCGGGGTATCCACGGTTATTACCAGACTCTTGCACCCCAAAGCCTTGGCCCTCTCAATCAGTGCTCTGGAATCACCTTTATTCTTTGGCACATACAGCTGAAAACTCAGCGCCCCCCTACCTTCTTGACGGTCAAAACAAGGCGCCAGCTCCTCGTGGGAAATTGAACTGTACGTGCTAGAGCAGTAGACTATGTTCTTCTCCGCTGCACCTTTTGCCAAACAGAGTTCGCCGTCCTGGTGTCCGAGTTTCGCCATCGCAGCAGGCGCGATGAAGAAAGGTAGATTTGCAACATGACCCAGAATGCGACGCTGCATGTTTACTCGTGCAACGTTGCGGAGCACACGAGGGCGGAAAGAGATCTTGGCCCAGTCGAGGCGGTTTGTCCGGAATGAGTGCAAACCGTCCGCCGCGGAGTCATAGTAGACCCACGCTTTGCGAGACAACTTCTGGCGAGCAGCAGATTCGATGTCATCGAGACTCTGGCACACCAAGATATGTGGAACGATCGACGATTCGGACTTGCCGAGTGTGGGTGGCGTATCATCTACTCGGGTCAAGGTTGACTGATCAACAGGACCAAGATGTTTGTCTACGAATATTCAGTGAATGATTACTCGCGAATGGAATTTTTCTCGACGACGGACTCGCGGGCAGATGGCGCTGGAGAGTTCCAGCAGGGTGAACGGGTTCATATTCGTTGGTTGCATCCTGGGGCAACGTGTCAGCAAGCTCATCCAATGGTTGAGAGTAGAAGCGTAGAACCTGCCTTTCCAGCGTATCTTAAAATCACGTTGGGCCCTCCAGGATGATTTTCCAAAAAGTCGGTCAAATCGTACACATGGTTCGAGATAATAACCCAACAGGAGCGCTTTGTGCTGTGCTGTGCGACTTCGGACGCGTCTAACATCCTCACTTAGCAATGGGTCAGAGAATCTTAGGCTGGCGACCACCGTGTCCAGGATCGAAACCCTCTATGAGCAATCACGATCAGCTTGAACCTCCCAGACCTGTTGCTTACGACCTGTTGCTTACGGCTGACTAAGACAGACGCCGCCTCTAAGTAGTCTCTGCCGAGATTCTCCTTTGTGTTCGGGCTTTTGATGCCTTCTCCCGGCTCCCAAAGCTTCCCCCACGACTGAACATCTCGGGTAAATGAGGAGACGGGGAGACAGGATTTAAGTGGCATGATGTCAGAATTGACCAGGATCCTGACTCGGAGCTAGACAACCACCAGGCATACGTGCAAAAGTACGCCAGGGCAGCTTGAACGATATAGGGCGGCCTAACCACACATCAAGGACACTTCGCCACTAAAACAGCCATATCAAACATTTCAATAACTCGTCTAAATTCACCAGAGCATAGTCACCATGGGTGTTATGAGCAATACCTCCGAGACGGTCATTACCCACCCCCGTGAGGTAGTTTACGACTATGCCAGCAACCCAACTACCTGGGGAACGAACTACAAAGGCAGCGGCGGCATGGTGGGCGAGGATGAAATGCACAAAGATCTCCCTCTCAAGGTCGGCCATGAATGGACTGAGAAAGTGACGCTTGGCCAAAACACCTACCACTCGACTTGGGTGTTGATCACGGCGGTGCGGCCATTCAAGTGGGTGATCCAGCAGACCAATGGAATCGGCAAGTTGCCAGACGGATCCGGCGGCGTAGATGGCATTACCACCATAACGTACACTTTCGAAGAGGCAGGAGAAGGACAGTGTCTATTTAGAAGAAATCTGAGTTGCGAATTGCCCAAGGGAGTTGATTGCGCAGACGACCTATTGACGGTGATGGCTCGGCCGGGTGGCATTGATCGATATCATGCCAATATCCAAAAACAATTAGACCAGGCAGCTGGAAAGAAGTGATAGCGCTGCGCTGTTTGATGCAACATGAAGACGCCGACCACAGGCTGTGAGATATGAAAGGCTTCCCAAGTACTCAATATTGATGGCCCGCAGAATTACCATGGGGTTCGCGTAACGCCTGGCTGGTGACGTGCTTGTTGCTCAAAGCTCACAGCACAGCAGCACCAACCATGAGAATGGCGCCATTTCTCTCCAGGCTTCCCCTCCAGGTGTGCCTAGGTTGAACCCCGTAGCTAAATCTCGGATGTGTCGGACGGCTATGTATTGCCGAGACAGTCGAGTTCGCTCTTTCGTGCAGTCACGTTCGGGTACTGATTACCGGACGAATCAAAGCCTGGTTTGAGACGGACTCCATTCCGTGATCCCTCCGTGCATCCTTGTAGGCTGATACGGAGTACGGATACTCGTACTGACCTTGTCACATGCACGGATACTAACATCTCACGGGGACCGTGGGTGGTCGCTACGGTATCGTACAAGGTACTAGTTGTACTCTGCACGGCTTTTCTTCTGGGGGTCTATAAGGGCGCCCTAGGGGCCAGAGCACTCCAATTTGCCACCAGACACCGTAGCTCCACGTCTTCGCATGGAGATCAGATGCGGGGTTCGAACTTTGTCCCCCCAGCATCAACTGCGATCTTCGTCTTCTGCTGTAATCGACATCATCACGCTACACCCACATTGCTATCACCCTCACCTGGGCTATGTCCGCTTCACCATCTGGGCAGGATATGACGGACCAACTGCGGGCCCAGAACCATGTTTCCACGGGCCCAAAAAACAAATCTCGCGCTCGCCTCGTTTGTGCAAATTGTCGTCAGCGCAAAATCAAGGTCGATAACCCTCCGCGTTGTGGCTGGATTCCGATTGCAGAATTGGTGCTCTTGAAAATGCAACTAACTTTTCTGGTAACCAGTGTGACGCTGAGAAGCTAGCCCCCGGCGCAAAGTGCACTCCTTGTCGGTCTTCCAATTGCGCCTGTGCCATAGACCGCAACGCCGACCGCAGAAGGTGAGGGCAAGCCCGCCCCAGAAACGCTCGAGCAACATGGACTGATAAGGGCTCAAAGACACGGCGCCTCGCACAAAAAGTTGGTGGAGATGCAGGAACGTATTCGGTCTTTGGAAGGCTTGATTCAGAGAGCGCCAGATGAGGCCGTTACGATACCAGTCCTACATGCTCGTATGGCTACACCGATCCCCATGGTGATCGACAAGGTCATGGACGGATCGCATCGGGATGCTACACCTACGGTGAACATTGACCACGGTCCTACCGCTTCCCCGCCGCAAGACGTGAACGTGGTTGAGCCGGAAGACATGATCGTGGTTGACCAGGGTCAGCAGAGCAATATAACACCGGAAGTCGTCGTTGTCCCAGAATGGTCAGTTTCTGTCGTACTTTGATATTCCGCGTGCAAGGGCGACCAAGCCGGACCGCACACCCCCAGTCAATACTAATAACTAACAGGCCAATCGATCCTCCTGGGACCACAACAATTTTCGACAGTGGTCATATTGGCCGCGAACCGGAGAGTACGTTCGGCTTGCGGTAGGCTTGCAAATCATCATACTGACGAATGCATATAGTGCAATATGCAGTTCCTGATCTACCTACCGTACCACCCACGGCGAACGTCAGCCCCCAGCTGGCAAACTCCTACACTGTGACAACCGAGGCGGCTCCACCCATGCGCGACGTCACCATGTCTAACTTGAAGAAAGACAACCCCGTGCGCTCCAGGACAAAGGCGCCCAGGATGTCGCATTTTACGGAGGTACCACGCAGCTCCAAGTCCAGGCCCCTGAGATAAGGGACCCGGCCGTACGTCCCACTGGGGATTTTGAACACGAAACGGCTCTCAATATGGACTCCGCTCAACTGCGCAAGGCCCTATTCCGCATCTTCTTCAAGATCCAGCCAAACTCCCAGGTCATCGTTCGGGAAGATTTATTCATGCGTGACCGTGACAAGAGGGGACGGCATCGATACTATTCTAGCTTTCTAGAAAATTCGCTGCTGGCGGCAGCGACACGGAACAGCACGTCAAGCGCTGTTCGGAAGCTGGGGAAAAAGTACGCGGAGCGAGCCAAGTCTCAAATTTGCTCCGAACTAGAGCAACAGAACATTGCCTCTCTACAGGGATTTCTGTTATTGAGTGACTTTGAGGCAACCAGGGGTCGAGCGAGACTCGGGTGGACGTACAGCAGTGAGTTTAACGTCGTTGCAACGGTCACGGCGTGTCTGAACCTGACCATCGCAGATATTGCTACCGGAGTGTTGGTCGACCTTGCACTCCACGTGGATCATTCCGCCCCGGTCAAGGAGCAGAATATGACACAAGACGATGCAGAATTCAGAGACTCGCTCTTGCTCGGGACATTCGTTTATGCTACCCTTTGGAGTTTGTACCTTGGCCGGCCCAACTCAATATCATCTCCAGTGGTAGCTGCGGTACGCCGCGTGGTCGAATATGGATCTTGCACCACCACGTTGCAGATGTGGGTCACGCTATCCCTGCAAATGATGGATATCATCGAAATCTTGAATTCAACGACTTCGCTTCGAAGCCCTGAGCGCGGCTCGAAACTTCGCCTGTGCTCACTTGAGATTAACCTGCGTTCGGTCTTCGACAACCTGCCACCGGAGCTCGCCTTTGACGAGCAACGCATCGACGAACTAGACGCCGAAGCGTACGGTCCTCACATGCAGTACTCCGGGATTCAGGTGACTTTGCATCGTGCCATGATCAAGGGAACCAACTTTGCGCCTGCGATCAGGGACGACATCGTTCAGCCCAAGAGCCTGGACCATTTGTATGCCGTGGTGCATGAGAATGCGATGCGCATTGCAAGGCTGATGCTATCGTATAGACGAATATTCGGCTTGGAAAATATCATTACTGTGATGCTGGACAACGTATACGTGGCAGCTATCGCTCTGACCTCTCACATCATCCGCATGCAGCAGTTGGCTCGGCCTTTTGACAGTGAGATCCGATGGCTACGCTCTTTGTACGAAGTGCTCGAGGCCGCCGAGAAGCACTATCCAGTTACCATAAGGATGAGGTCGAGTCTCATCCATTTCATCAGACAGACCCCCCTGGTCAAGTTCTTCCCTGAGAAGGTGCCGACTACGTCACCGATCAGCGTGCCTGAGATCGTGCCGGGAGTCTCCGCCGGTCTGGCTCCGGTGAACTTGACCTTCCAAGCGCCACTCAATCCAGCTTCGCCAACGAACGGCGATGAGCTTCCCAACTTGGACTTCACGCTGACTACTGAAGATGACTGGTGGCTGCACGACTCGGCCTGGAACATGACCACTCTCGCCTTTGACTCTTAGGCCCAAGCCCGGCACAGGATTACCTCCGAGGGGACCACGTATCAAATCAATCGGCCGCCGAGCATTTAGAAGACGGATTGACCAACGTCAGTGTTGCTGGCGTTTGGTCAGGAGTTCGAGCCAATCGATTTGGCTTCTGCTTCTTCCTGAACACCTGTAGCTCAATGTCTCGATTGGTTGTTGCCAATCATGGTTCTTCATAACGGTCCAGTTCGCCTTCTCAATGACCTCTGAGGGGTATCAAAATCCATCTGTCGTTCACGTTGTATCGTTTTGAGCAAAATGAATGGTGCCGGAAAGAGAGACCGAATGTTAAGCTTAACGGCGGAGGTATGTGGAAGTTGGACTCCATGGTTTATAGAGGAGTCGTCACAACCAGGAAGGCTCCAGAGAAAAGTGTTGTTGTGTAGGCGACAGAGTCTGGATGGCTAGTGGTAAATGCGCAATGAGGCAACCGCCGCTCCATTTGCTGAGATGGTCTTTGTTGAGACTCCAGCTCCTGTACTTATTGATGAAGACGTTTCAGAAGGACAGGCTGTTGTCTAGGACTATTGGCTCGAGACCAACCCTCTGGGGGTGGCGGAGGGTGGATGGTAATTTTCAGACTGTCGATACTGTCCCGAATCACAAGATCATTCATTTATACCGGGTATGTGAAGCATGCTCGCCGCAGGGCCCTGCAAACAGCCCCTAGCACAGTGCCTGGTGGATATGGCTCTGAGTCAGCTAAGATCGGACTACTTCCGTCTTGCGTTCAATGTTGCTGCATGCCGAAGATTCAACCGAGATTTCTAAAGGCCGCAGGTCCAGTATTTCGATCGACCGTCCAGTATTTGGATCGACCGCTCATGATCTGAAGCTTGTTGCCAATCATGAGGATCTCGATGTTGGCACCCCGCGCCTGAAGGGCGATATCAGTCAACGAAAGCATCCATCGTAGCAATCGGTTACAGACGCTCTGAAGTAGCAAGCGTCGATCTCGTTTGAAAGATGACCCTGATAGACCGTTGAGGATTGGGCGCCCTGGGGAGCCGAAAATACCGTACAACATGAACTACGGCTTTGTTTCCGGCATCAACCTGGGTAGCATTCGCTTCCATCTGTGACTTGCCCTACATTTCCCGTCGCGACGCAAAGCATGGAAGATTTCTGGCCCGGTATTTGGGTCTACTTCTCGTTGTTGGCGTGCCGGTAGAAGACTATAGCGTCGTTGTCCTGGCCGCCTGGCGGAAGCCATGGTCGGATAGCTGGCCTTGCCGGAAGCCACCCGTGTACACGTCCCTATCGGAGACCGTTCTACTTCTACCTGGATTCCCTGAGGCCGGACCGTTTTCAAACTGTAAAAGGACCAGTTGAAACCCTGCAACAGCCTATATTAGAAGAACACGAGAAACTTCTTCAGCTACCGCAAAGTGAAGGGAGCGTGCACGACCAAAACCAGAACCATGTCGAAGCCACAAGCCTATTACTCGTGGTACAATCTCTCGGTCAGCGCAAGAGTCCAGTATTAAAGGTCATGGGTCAACTAACTAGGTTCAGATTGTCTTCGCCCTTTGTTTAGGCTCTTTGACCTATGGATACTGCTTCAGTATCATCTCAACCACGCTTGGACAAGTAATTCCCCCTGAAACCTAAGGTCCCGTTCCTTCGTGCTGATACCATCATCTTCTTCTACAGCCCGGCTTCTATGCGTATTTTGGCCTAGCGGCCGTGGCAACTGATCCAAACTATGCGTACACGAATCGCATTCTCGGAGCCACTAGCGGCCTCTTCTCTGCCGGTGCCTTTATGGGGTGCTGGACAATGGGCTGGATGTGTGACGCTCGTGGCCGCAAGCAGGCTTTGTGGATTGCTGCCACCATCTCACTGGTGGGCTCAGCCTTGCAAGCCGGATCAGCTGCCATCGGCATGTTCCTCTTCGCCAGATGGTTGACAGGGTACGGAGTCGGTAAGTCTGGGTGCAGAAAAACAACCGGGAAAGCATGCAGGAGATGGAATGCTGACCGTGGTCTCCTCAGGGAACTTGGTGACCTTGATCCCGATCATGCAGGCTGAAATCTCTCCACCCGCCAGTCGAGGCTTCTTGGTCGGCCAGCATGGCAAGTTTGCAGGCCAGTCTTTTGACTCGAGGACATGGCTCATTACGTTCTAGGTGTGGTTCTTGTGGCCGGTTACACGGTTGCTGGGTGGGTTGGCTTCGGTTGCTTTTTCGCCACCAACCCCAACTTTCAATGGCGTTTCCCTCTTGCAGTTGCCTGCCTGTGGCCGCTGTTGACTCTTGCGGTTTCTCCGTGGATTCCCGAATCCCCCAGATGGCGTACGGTTTTGATCTTGTCTCTTGGAAAGCACTTCAACATCACTGACTCTGTGTCCATGCAGTCATTCTCAGAGGAAGCAAAGACGAAGCCTGGACGATCATCGCGAAACTGCACTACAATCCGGCTGACCCAGAGGAGCTGTATGCGCGACGGGAGTTTGATCAGATGTGTCGCCAAGTGGAAAACGATAGGCTATACTTCGAACACGAGAGTGTCGTGGACCTCTTCCGCAAACCAAGCTATCGAAAGAGGATGATCTGTGGCTTCTTGACCTTTTTCAGCAACGAGTCGTCCGGAATCCTGGTAATCTACAGTAAGCATCGGTAGCCACCTTTTGTGAGAAACATTCCGTGACGTGTGTCGCAGACTACAGTGTTTTGATATACAAAGGTCTTGGACAAACCGGGTACATGCCTCTCCTTTTGTCCGGTGTATATGTCACACTTGGGGCCATGGGAAACTGGGTCAACTCGATGTTGGTGGACCGTGTCGGCCGAAAGGCTCTCTTCCTTACCGGTCTGAGCGGTATGCTTGTCTCACTGATTGCAGAGACAGCTTTGGTCCGCTTCTACGCCGGGACGGCTGGCCATGGGGGATTGAGTGCGGCCCTTTTCTTCATTTTCCTACACCTGGTATTGTAAGTTGCCCCCTTCCCTCTCCCTTCTCCCTCGACCCCAGGCCACTGCTCTGAGCTTACGCGTAACTACAGTTATGGCTGCTGTATTGACGCCAACAGCTTTGTCTATTGCTCTGAGATCTTCCCCACCCATATTCGGCCGCGAGGCATGGCGTGGTCTGTGGGAACCTTATTTTTGACAACGATCCCTTATCTGGAAGCTGCCCCTACGGCCTTTGCCACCATTGGGTACAGGTACTACATTGTCTTCATCATCTTGACGGCGATCAATATCCCAATCATCTACTTTTTCTTCCCAGAGGTGAGTGTGGCAATGACCTTTCCCTTTCTGATGCGGTCGAAACGTACTGATGTAGACTGCAGACCAAAGGCCTTTCACTGGAAGAAATCGGCGAAAAGTTTGGCGACGATGTAGCCATTCACCTCACCAACCAGGTCGAAGACGACAAGAAGGAGATGGAGGCGAACATGTCGGCGTTCGAGACGGTCCGGGATCCATGAAGATGGGAATTATCGATAGGGGAAGCGCATGTGGGATGATCCTCTGGTGAACCTTGAAGTTGCTGTGAAGCAGTGCCGGCAACTGGAAGACGGTGAAGAGGGTTGGAAAGCGGCTGATGAAGTGGCAGAAGACGTTGCAGGACGAGGCTCAAATTGCAGCATGTCCACAGTAGCGGCGCAGCTGAGAGTCTGGTTCTTGCTGGCTCTTCCAGATGCGGGAATACCAGGTAGACGTGATATGGTCCAAATTGTTAGTTGCGATGCAGTTTTCTTCTCACAAAGTCCTCGCATGTTTACGGAAGGAAGGACTGGCGCATTATTGGTGACTGAATTCGTCATTACGCGAAAAAGGATGCAGGGTGCGTGATGGTGGACTGGTACACGGGACTCCCCCCAATCACGGATTGAGAAAGCAGATCACCAGCACCGCCCAAGCCTGCGTTAACTTAACTTAGGGTCCAAGTCCCCCGCGCATTTCCGCGTGATCCAGGCCTCAATTACGCCCACAATCATATCCCCCCCACCTTTTTATCCCCTCTGTGAGCCATGTTGATGGTCGTTGTTCCGAGGTCATGCTACCAAATATCTCAACCACCCTTGAAGCCCCAGGTTCTCGTGTTTCGTCCCAGCCAGTCCTGGCCACACCTTCCGACCACCACCACCGTCCATCGCCCTCCCCATCCCGCAAGCCCAATTCTCTCGCAACCGCCCAAAATCCGACAATCTTCACCACACGACGAGGCATGTCCAGGCGCACAGGATCCCAACTCGAACGCAAGCGCATGCAGGACCGGGAGTCACAGCGCAATGTCCGCGAACGCACCAGGAAACATATTGCCAGCCTGGAACAGAGGCTTGCGGAACTGGAGTCAGCCACTTGTGTCGCCGACCTCCTCAAGAAGAATGAGGAACTGAAAGAGAAGGTGGAGGTGCTGGAGGCAACACTTCAAACAATAGTCAAGATCGCAGCAAGGCCGTCGCATACAGGTGATGCATTTTCGGTTGAAACGGAGGCTCATGCGCTGCTGGCCTGCAACGGTCAGCCACGAGAGCAGCGGGTGGACAATAATCCAGCTTCAGGAGACCGCAGACATCCATCCCCACATGGGCCTCCATCGCCGCGTGGTGAGCTTGCAGAAAAGGACACAAATGCTCAACGAAGCTCCAATCTGGAAGCTACTGGTGGACGTGCGGACGGGGAGAAATTCGATAGACGGAACGAAAATCTCCTCGCCCCAGGCAGCGTGGACAGTGGCGAGACTGAAGACATCATGGTCGACTTCAACGAGGACTTCATCCAGCCATTGGATCTAGTTCCTTTGGCACAGTCTTCTGCCTTGCTTTCCTCGTTGCATTATCCGGGGTTTGAATCTTTGGTAAGTCTTGCTGGTCCTTCTCGTGGATCATTCCAGAGGTGGACTCGCGTATAGCCGAGGCAAAACACCAGATGGGCTGACCGTTTTTAAGACCAGTGCTGATGCCATGTCGGCATCGAGGCCGTTCATTACGGATGAACCGGAATGTTTGGCGCCATTTTCGTCTCTCGAGAACCAGGTTCTGCTGGAACAAGGGCACGACAGCTCAGGACAAGCGAATACCGGTTAGTCTCGACGGGTTTCTCACCTCTTCGGTCAATCCGACGCTGACTAGTACAGACGAACTTCCTGTCTTGAACACCTTTTATCTTTCCCCGGGGCCCTTCTGGCAAAGCATACCGCATGAGCCTCAGCGACAGTTTCCTGCGCCCCAAAATTGCCCGCCGAGCAATATCTGGGATGTCAAGCTGATGAAATGTATCAATGAACATCGGACCCATGTGGGAGACACGTCCATGTGTATACCGAAAGATCCAGAGTTGCGTCTCTTGCTCAACCCCAACGCCAGTCATTCAACGGCGGATTCACTTACTCGCTTTCTACATGCTCCAATCAGCCAATGGAATTTCAAGTTGCCGGAGAAATTGGCCATCTTTTGGCTGAATTACATTCATTTGAGGGTAAGCAGGGGCTACATGCTCAACATAGCACGCGGCCATTCTTCCCCTTTGCCGCATTTGAAACGCCAATATCTGCTCATTACGCTAACTCTTTCACAGTATCGCATTTTCCCGACGGAGGAGAATTTGGACGAGTTACCCGTCTGGCTTCATCCATGTCCTTCGCAGTGTCGAGTAAGCCATCCGATCTACATAGACGCACTTCCCTGGCCTGTGCTGCGCGAAAAGCTCACGTTCGAGCATCGCTTGTATCCCTTCAATATGTTCAGTCCTGTTTTCTGCAGCAGCCTGAACGTCAATTGGCCTTACGATCATGCCATGACGTACGTCCGGGAAGCCTCAGGTACGTTGCGCCTGAGCCGTGCGTTCAAGACGCATTTGAGGAAGCTCGAAAACTGGTCTCTGAGGCCTACTTTTGCATCGTCGTATCCGGAATTGAGTCTGTCGGTAATTATGAAATGACGTACACCGTCGAGGTATTCCCTCATACGAGACAAGCCGGGCTCGGAAACAAGCAATGTTATAGCCGTGTTCCAAGCAGTGTTCCAAACCATCCGCGAGGGCCACTACGTCTACATGTATGATTGATTCCATACACCACCTACGGGGTGCTTCAACCTCTTGCGTTGTCATCATGAGTTTCAGTTGCTTCGTGGACTTGCCTTGCTCTGCTGCGTCACAACATTCGACAATCCCAGTGCGGTGGATGTTTTGGGGAGGATGCTGCAGATGATGCACAGGAGCCGGACTTCTGGGCCGCTTTCCGGGAGAGTCGTGCAAGGCTTCAAAACTCCGCAATCAGCTGACATCGGCAGCCGGCAATGACCTGCCGGTCTGCTTTCAGTTGATGTGCGCCCAATCACCTCTGACTCGCCCATCGCGTGCCTGGCGTCACGTTGAATACCTATGTAAACACATTGACTCTTCCCCGTTAGCACAAGAGATGACGGGCTTACTCATCCGTCCAGCAATATCGGGATTAATCTAAACCGTCAGGCTAGATCTATCATCATTCCCGTTGCCACCAACGCCATGCATTTCCCCGGTGTCGCACTCATTACTGGGGCAGCCTCAGGTAGGTTTATAGCCCATCGGAACATGCAGGATTTGTGCTGACAGTTCAACTGCCAGGCATCGGCATGGCGACAGCCAAATTGTTTGCAAAGGATGGATGTCGCAGACTGGTACTTGCCGACATTCAGACCACATCACTGAACAAGACCCGTGAAGAAATACAGGCTGAACACAAAGATGTGGAGGTCACTGCTATACCTACAGGTGGGTATCCCAGTTCAATGCTCTCCAAGCCTATGCTCCGCACCAAATGCATCGATCGCAAGGGTAGAGAGTGACCACCAGGCTGATTATGGACCTGATAAGACGTGACATCCGAATCCTCGGTGAACTCTCTTGTCCAATCCGCAGTTAGCACGTTCGGGCGCATCGACTACGCCTGCAACGTCGCCGGGACACTGATTCCCGGCATCAGTACTGAGTACAGCCTCGGTCAATGGGACAAGCAGTTCTCCGTCAACACTCGAGGCATGTGGCTCTGTCAGCGAGCTGAACTCACCCAGATGCTCAAGCAGGAACCGATTCAATCCTCCGACGGCCGTTACCCTGCCCGTGGCGCCATTGCCAACGTCGCGTCCATGGCTGGGTTACGCGTTTACGATAATCTTCCGGCGTATTGCGCCAGCAAGTATGCGATAATAGGATTCACAAAAAGTGACGGTCTGCACTATGCAAAACACGGCATCAGAGTGAATGCCATCTGTCCTGGAGTGATCAAGACGCCCATGCTGGGGGATGTGCCTGAGGAAGACGATACCAATTTGGATGAAATGGTGAGCGAGATGGCGCTGAAGCGGCCCGGTCAACCCGAAGAAGTCGCCGAGTGCTTGGTATGGATTACCAGCGGACGAGCAAGCTTCGTGACGGCGACCACACTCGCCCCAAATGGAGGTAAAGTAACATTCTTTGTCGTTTCGCATGTCTGACGAGGATCTTATCTCCGACACCATGGGTGCAAATGTGCAAAGTACACCAGCTGACTTTCTACATGCTTCTTTAGGTATGGTGGGAGGTTAATTAGAAGACACGATTCTTTGGGCACGTTCCACATATCACTGGATTGGGAACACAACTTTGAGGCGGTGGGGGGTAGTTCGCCAGTTTCGAGGCCGTGATGCTGGCCACGAATGCCAACAAGTGAAAACTGCGCCGGGAGAAGACTCTGATACCAAAAAGCCCATATTTCTACGAACAAGGTTGCGTACATTCTACATAAGCAGCCAATAGCACGGCCCTGTTTAAGCTATACTCGATGCGAAGTGCTGTCAAAAGATGATGTTCATTCTGCATTAGCAACCCGAAGCCGTTGCCCTTTTTGATGTTACGAACCCGAACGGCAATGTAACATCTAGTAAGGCCGGTAACCTTCCTCTGGGTCGTCAAAGTACCATGCGTTGTCCTTTCCAACCGTTTCCTTGGTGGAGAATCCGTCACCCAAGTACTGGAATCTGTTATTTGTCATATATGTAAAGTCAAAATCCTCATAGCGAATGTCGGTGAGCATGTGAAACCAATGGATACGTCCGCCGGGGTGTAGTGCGACGATGGGTCCATCCACGGTGCCATTCTTGAACCAGCTGCGACACGGTGTCGCCCAGGCTGTGCGTTTCATGAATTCGGTGATGTGAATGTTGAAGTCGCGGATCGCTTCGACCTTCGGGCTGACCGATTTGATATTCTGTGTTTGGATTTTTTTCATGAAATTGATGAGATACTTGGTGTTGTGCTCGATTATGGGAAGCACAGAGCCGTGTCCGACTGGTGAGTTGGGGCCGAGAAACACTGGGATGCAAAGGTTAGTCGAAATTGCGCGCCCTCATCCAAAAAGAACAGCCACGAGATTGGGGCGTATAAACGTACTGAAGTAATTCGGAAAATTGTTCGTAGCGACTGAAAGGTAAGCCTCAGGCTTGTCTGCCCATTGCTCTGAGAGCACTGTTCCATTCCGGCCCGTTACTTTGAACCGGGGAAAGAAAGAGATGTCAAAGCCTGTGGCGCAGATGAATGCGTCGATCTTGAGTATTTCACCCGTCGTCAACTTGATACCCTCGGGAACAACCTCTTGGATGTGGTCAATAACCACGCGGACGTTGTCTGCGGTCAACGACTCGAGGTATCCATTTCCTGGAGTCGGACGGCGGCATGCGACACCGAAGTCTGGGATCATTGCCTTGGCCAGGCGATCATCGTATCCGAGTTTGGTCTTCATCTCGTTGATGGAAAAAAGCCGAGCTTCCTCTTGTTCTTGACTTCCCATGATCACCTGTTCGAGCACACAGTCATGGTCAGAACTTTTGATCATTGACCATGCATGTGAGATCGACGCAAAGCACTTACCAGTTTAAAGCGATGGTTCAATTCGCTTTCGATGGACTTCCTGTACTCCAGGTACTTCTTAGGGTCGTCTCGGAATTCTTGCTTTTGCTTATCGCTAACTGTTTCCGCGCAAGAGAGGTCAGTACTAGTATCCAACGTTTTTGGGAAGAAGGAAAGAGAGGCAGGGGACAACTGCAGAGAACCACACGTACAGGCGAAATTGGAACCGCCTGGACCTGCATGATTTTGGGCGAATCCTGCCGTAATCCAGGTGGGCGTCCGAACGAACGTGGTGAGTGACTTCACGTCTGTGCGGTAAAATATCTAAGTCAGTAATGCATACTACCATAGCAACGGACAGACATTGTGACTGACCAGGCTGAATGGTAGGGATGATTTGAACACCGGAAGAACCGCATCCGAGAACGGCGACGTCTTTGCCGTTGAGGTTGTGGCTATCGTCCCAAGCCGCACTGTGGATCAGTGCACCTTTGAATGACTTCAGGCCTGGGATGCTGGGCCACTTCCAGTTGCTAAAGGCCTCTTCATCAGCTATCATCGCCATCGTCATCTCCATGGTCTCCATTCAATAGAAGCAAGATAGGCAACTCAACTCACTTCAGTATACCACATCCATTGATGAAGATGTGGCCCCAATCCTCTACGATCGCCCCAGTGGTGCTATCCTTGACCTTGACATTCCAAATTCCGGCTTCCTCGTCCCACTTTGCGTCATGCACATAATGATTCAGTTTGATGTATTTGTAAAGTGCGTATTTGTCGGCGATTTCTTTAAAATACTTCAAAATCTCTTGCGACGTCGAGTAGCTGCAGCGCCCGTATTAGACACATGTACGTCGCACACTCAAGGAGGCACGATCGTGTCCTTACAAATTAGACCAATTCGGGTTGGATTCCCACGTGAATTGATAGTTGTGGGATGGTATATCACAGGCACACCCAGGATATCTGTAGGATCGCGGTCAGCAGGAAAACACGCGAGAACTGGCTTTGACAGTGACCCAACGTACTTATTTTCATACCAAGTGCCACCAACATCAGCATTCTTTTCGTATATCATAAGCTCGTAGTTCTCCATATGCAGTTCCATGTGGCGAGCCATGTTGAGTCCACTGGCACCAGCTCCAACCATGACAACGCGAAGCCGCCTGGGCGTTCCAAGACGTTCTTCTGTGATTTTATAACCGGTGTCGGCTTCCTCATAGTATCCAGACAATGACTCGGGCCTTTCGGTCCCATTTGTGCCTATCGAGCCCATTTTGTAGGGTGGTGGTGACTACCGCCTTATATGAATTGAGGAAGGTCGGTGGTTGAAGGAGATCGGTGGATAGAGACAGAATATAAACAACAAGGTGAGGTCCGCCGTCGACTCAGCTATACCGTGCAACCACTGTGTTTGGAAATGATGGGGGATATGATGACGGAGGGAATCAATTTGGGTAGCATCACCTAGTCACACAACTACAGTATTATGCAACCAAAGCAGTTTTCTGTGCTTCAGATATAAGACATAGATGACGTCTGTTTCTTTTGGCCACACGCCCCAGACGATCTGTCGACATGGACAGGGAAGCACCCCGAGATGTCCCGCCAGTCCCAGCTTTCTGATCCTTACCCCATGGTGCTGGTATCTTGTGCCGCTTTCGATGAATAGTCTGTGCAAGCGGCCCGTTTCCGAGTGAGGCGGCTGACATAGACAGCCCATTGCAATGTGCCGCTAGGACGACTCAGCTTTGACGGTGGAGGAGACACTAATCTTGTTCTGGGACACGGCGACTCATTACCGAATGAGAGCTTCTCCAATCACCAAGAGACTGGGAGACAGACCTCGGCTCATATCGAGGATAGCCGACTCAAGCCCACTGAGATTGCAATGAGCCCGTGACCGACCACTCGCTAGACCTGCCATCCTCTAGCCAAGGGCTCACATTGAAGGAACCATGGGCCACTTTCTTGACAACACCTTTTGCTGCCGGGTGGTGACCAATGCTCAGTGGGCACATATTGGTTATATGAGTCACAAAGAACTTCCGGACAAGTCTAAGCTTACGAGCGGGACAGCGCGCGACTTTGGCGGCGCTCCGATCGCAATGGCAGAAAATAGCCAGCTGTCCAAGTATTCCGAGCTGGGCAAGCCAACGGAGGAATGGGAGGAGGTATGGCTCTTTCGACATATCTAAACAACCAATCGCTCTAATATAGTGAACAGTTCTATGCGGCACATGCCGACGAGGTTCCCGTCCTCGTTGGCTCCCCAGAACACATGCGAAAGATCATGGTGGATCTGAAGCAGCGAGCACAAAGCCAGGTTTCACCCATCACAGAAGGGTTGAAAGTACATGACGTACAGATGCCGACATCTGATGGTGCAAGTATTTCCCTGAGAATTTATCAGCCAATGTCGGAGGAGACCCTGAGACCTGGCCTATTTTAGTAAGCTCCCGGGGGAAGGGGGCTTGGTGGATGAGAAACGCCTCCAAGAAAACGTGCTGAGACTGACACTGTCCAGCGTACACGGAGGAGGCTGGACTCTCGGTGACCTTGAAGGCGAGGATTTGACCTGTCGGGCTATGTGTGTAAGAGCAGGTGTAGTGGTGGTCAGCGTCGACTACAGACTGTGCGTTCATATACACTCCCCACGAAACATCCGCCCACATTTTCCTGGTGGGGGTGGCTGCTTACTGAATTGAACTGACATATTTCGTGTGAAAGAGCTCCAGAGCATCCATTTCCCCGAGGGACTGAGGACTCTTGGGAAGCACTGCAATGGGTAAGAAGTCTTTGTCAACCGAATGTCGCCCAACATGTGGCTAACAAAAAGGAGTAAAGACTGTCAAGAATCAAAAAGACCTACGCATTCGAGAAAACAGCCTTATTATCGGAGGAAGCAGCTCTGGCGGTCACACAGTACGCGCACTGTTTAGGCATTGGCTACATTCAGGAAATAGACGGGATGGCTGACCCAATCCTGTTTAGACTGCTGTACTCTCACACCGTGTGAAGAATGGTTCGCTACTAATCAAAGGGTCGATCATGCGCATACCGTCCGTCTGCCACATTGATCGCTATCCGCCCCATCTTGGTCTGCACAGTCTAGAGGAGCTCAAGGACGCACCACTTCTGTCCAAACGATCAATGGAGCTATTCTATGGCTATTTGAATCCACCTGATACCTCGGATCCTGAAGCGTCTCCGCTTCTCAATCCCTCGTTCCTGGGCCATCCGCCAACGTACTTGCAAGTTGCAGGCATGGATCCCTTGCGCGACGAAGGTCTAGCATACGCAGATAAACTCCGCAATGCTGGGTAGGTTTCACTCCCTCCCGTCCTCTGTTGTGTAATGCAGATTTGTTTCACCCTACTGATGTAGCTTCAGCGTACCGGTCAAGGTCGATGTGTATCCCGGCCTACCTCACGCTTTCGGATATTTTCCAAAGCTGACGGCAGCTAAGAAGAACGCCGATGATCTGATTTCTGGCATCAAATGGCTACTCGCAGGCGCACGGTAGCTGGACTATGCCCCATGTCTGTGACTGAGGTACAAATTGTTCTTTTCCTCCCACTCGCACACTTGTGAGGTGCGAGCTTCAGGGCCCTTGCTGCAATGTACGAGTTTCGCCCAGAGTATCTTGTTGTGCATAGCTTGCAATTGAGATGGTACATGCTGCAGAGAATGAGATGTTTCATTCTCCCCCTCATGATGGCCTTTTGAGCCTACCTATAAATTCGAGACCGCCTGTAGTCTGCCTCCCCCATGGTTGTACTGTGGTCCATTGTGAAAATATTTCGGCAATATGGAGTGGTAGCCGAATCACGGAGTCAGTCAGCCTAATGTCCTGCTTCGAAACCATTGGTTCCTGTGGGATTTATGGGGATCCCTGTGCGGGCGCCTTACCTTTTCGACCTTTGGTAGTAAAAGAGCAATATAAATCTACACATTTTGAGCACGAAGGGCTCTGTGACCATAGTACCTTTCAAGCGAAAGCACCCGCAAGTCTTGAAAAAGTGTCCAGAGCCAGATTGGCCGGCTGCAGAACAACATATCACCATTCAATAGCTGACGCAACGATCCACCATGCCGTATTTCAACGCAAGAACCTGCTCTCCAACAAATCTTAAGGATAAAGTGTTTGTCATATCTGGTCAGTGGGAGTCCCTGGGCTACTGGCTGCTGCTCAGCTCGTCATTCTGGGGACATGTACTTACTGTTCATCACAGGAGGATCTACCGGTATAGGCGCAGCAACTGTCGAGTACCTCGCATCACTTGGGGCAACGGTGGTCTTTGGGGATCTCAACAGAGCCGCGAGTGAGTCACTTGTCGAGAAGCTCAAAAGCCCAAACGTCAGCTTTCAACAATGCGATGTACGCCAGTATCAGGAAGTGGTCGCCTTGTTTCGCTACGCTCTCTCCGAGCACGGTCGAATCGACCATGCGGTTGCCAATGCCGGCGTGATAGAGCAAGGGAACTGGTTTGACAAATCCCTAACCATCGACTCGGTCGAGCAGGAACCAAACGCTTTGGTGTTGGACGTCAATCTCAAGGGTCTCATATACTTCTCGCGGGTTGCTGCCGTGTATATGGCTCATGATAAAAGCCCGGGCGAGGACAAAACCTTGACTCTCTTGAGCTCGGCCGCTGGCTTCATCGAAAGTCGGAATCTGTTCCTCTATCAGTGCAGTAAGCATGGGGTCCTGGGCTTGTTGCGAACGTGTAGACTGGCTTTTCCGGACGCCATGAAGGGCGTGAGGGTAAATGCCTTGTGTCCGTCGTTCGTGAGGACAACAATGACCAAAGATATCGCTGCCAGCTGGGACGCGGCTGGTCTCCCAGCAAATGAAGTGGAGGACTTAGCGCGGGCAATCGCGATGTTGGCAGCGGCCGATACAGCCACAGCTCCCGGTCTCCTTGAAATGGAGAAGCGTTCCGACGGTATTGTTGTGAACGAAATGAATAGCACTGGTGCCATGCAATGGGGAGTTGTCGAGGGTCAAAGTGGCTTGACCGGGAGAGCATTCTACCTTGAAGGTGGAGTATGTTGGGACATAGAAGAAGGGCTGGACAGGACGAGGCATCTTTGGCTCGGAGAGCAGCCCGACGGTCAGATCGTCAAAGTGCAACAACTCATGCGAAAGGTTGGCTACCGTGAGCGGGATTGAAAAAGCATTGGCGAGTCGTACGGAAGCCCAAAACTCTGCTAAGTAGATTCCACCTGCTCACCGGGAAATGATATTATATAACTGGAAACTAGATAAGGCATCCTCACCCTTGTCTCTTACTCGCGACTGCGGTCGTTCACGAAAGTCTCACTCTCAGCCAGCCCAGCGTTGCAATCCGGTCCGTTTAGTCTGCAAAATCCATGCTTCGAATTGGGAAAGACGGAGAGCTGTGTATCGTTGCCGCCCATGTGCCACTTGATGGCGGCGAAAAGGGTGTCATCGTACAAACAATCGTCACTTCCTACCACGAATATCGCTGGGGGCAGATTCTTCCAATCAGCTTGATAGAGTGGAGAGATCTCTGCCACCTGCCGGTCTTTGACATTGCTGAGCCACGCATTTCCAAAGTTCACCATATCTGTGCGACTCAAGACTAGATTGTCCGTAAAAGCACGGACCGATGGGGTCTGATCCATATCTATATTCTGGCATCAGTGGACCGCTAATCCACGGGTTGTGACAGTAAGGGTGATCGCTTACCGTAGCATCCATAATTGAGAACGATTGCATCCAGCTGCGACCTGACGTTAACGCCATTGGTACGCAGACCGAACACAGTGACCATCGTCAGATGAGCGCCAGCGGATTCGCCTCCAATGACTCGCAGTGGTCCCATACTTGCCTCAACTTCGGGGCTCAGGAGGTACAGCGCAGCATCCATGCAGTCCTCAATCGGAGCCGGGTATGGATTTTTCGGGGCCAGTCGATACTCCATACTAGCGACAGTATAGCCTGTGTTGCATGCTATGCGGTACAGTATCTCATCCTCGACGTCGGCCGAACCAACAGTCCAGCCACCTCCATGAAAATGTAGATAGACACCTTTAGGTGGTTGCCCATTGTTTGTAGCTGGTTTGAAGACACGTAGGTAGAGACCTTGTGCACCAGAACGAGACGCAACGGGTATATTCTCGGCAATGTCGTCGAGCCGTTTGCGCGCAGGCCATCCACCGCCTCCAAACTTCATCATGTTTCGGAAAGTCTGGGCACCAGCTTCCGAATATGGCTCTTCGAGCTTGTACCAAGGAACCATAGTATCCCAAACCCCCCTCAGGGCGGTATAAAAGCCTTCATTAGCTTTCGCTTCATCTTCCGTCCACTGCTGAAGGCGAATTTTGAGGTCGTTCATCTTCTCTCGAATTAGGCTAGTCCGTCCAGTATGTTCGTTAGGGTGTGCACTAAAGGAGTCCAATTATTCAATGTCTATGTAGCACATTCGTCTCGGGTCGATCACTTTACGGATCATTCAAAGTTTACCAAAACTCATGGGGAGCTTGGGAACGCTTCACGCACGTACCTTGTCAGACACTTCTCCTCACAGGGGCGCTCTTTGAGGTAAGCGCGGGCGCTCCATCACGATGGTTGGTGAGCCATGTGAGCCCTCGGCCCGCGTGTCGGTACTATGCTACTGAGTGACGAGTCAGAATCAACACCTTGATTCATTCCTGCTGAGCGAAATGTGTCCCGTCCTTTCACAAGCGAGAGTCGGCTCCAGGCTCAGGGCACAAGCTGTGGTCCTTAGCCTGGTGGTCTCACTTTCATGCCACCCATCCGGGAACATAAAGTCTAGCAATCGCTCCAGCCAGCAACATACTATACCCGGTTGCCCCACGTTAGTGACATTGACGAGCATGAACAATTTTCACACCATGAAACCAACTGACGTTCAAGTCCAAGACCGTACTTCTGCGACTTTACGTAGTTAGGTAGCCATAGCAAGCAACTGCTCACTTATGACTGAGGTTGTAGAACCCTTCGAGCTATGGGACCTCTTCGTAGACATGAGTAGCTATGCAATAAAAGTCCAAGTAAGGACAAAACTCCGGCCATATCACACGTACGTCAATTCGGTCACGTCTGAGAAGCACGAATCGTTCATGTTAACCACACACTTGGCCACTGAAAGCAGGCTTCGTATCAGCTGCGATCCCCTAAAGCGATGTTCCTGTACTCACCCGTCGACGACCAATCCATGACCATACATGAAACTACTCAAGTGAGACATGAGATACACGATAGAGTTTCCAATCTCCTCTGGCTTGCCCAATCTGTCTGCTGGAATTTCTTTCACGATCGCTTTGCGATTTTCGTCGCTGATGGTTCCTGTCAGCAATGGCGTTTCTATAAATCTGAGTGAGTTTTAGTCAACGACTGAAAAAGTATCACGCCTCGGTCGTCTATACCCTGGACAGATAGCATTGATTCGGATGCCTTCCTTGGCATACACGCGTGCGTCCTACGAAGATCAGTATTGCGAAAGCACAGGTGGCGAGATTGACGCTTGGAAGGGTTGACGACTACACTGAGACACGGACCGTTTTGGTAAGACCCATGACTCCATGCTTCGCTGCGCTGTAGGCTGTGACGGGGCTTTTGCCAGAGGCGCCAATTAAGCCCAGTACTGAGGCAACATTGACGATGACTCCTCTTGACGTAGAGGACGATCCAGGTCTGTCACATCAGCATTGGATTTTGCTTATATGTCGTTCTTGATTTGGGTGACATTTCTTACCCTGTTGAATGAGGATCTTGCTTGAGCATCTGCAGAATCTCGGATCTCTGACAAAGCCAGACCCCGTTCAAGTTAACACTCATAAGGTGTTGCCACTCTGAGAAGGCAACAGACTCGGTGCGTGCAACTGGACCAGAGATACCGGCATTGTTCACGGCATAGTCGATGCGCCCGAACTTCGCCGCAGCCTTTTCTACAGCCTCTTTGACCGAGTCCTCGTTGCTCACATCAAGCTTGATTAACAGGACATCCACGTCCGAGGATTGGGACTCGAGTGCATTTTTGGTCTCGTCAAGCTTTTTGAGGTCGATGTCACCCAGGGCAAAGCGTTTTACGCCATGCTGAGCCATGCAGAGCGCAGTGGCCTGCCCAATCCCTATGACGAGTCAGCCTCATGGCATCGAGAAATATGGGTCACCCTCAAGTACCTACCTGAGCCGGCACCAGTAACAAATGCAGTCCCTTGAAGGAGGGCCGACATGACGAAGTGGACGGTGGATGAAGTGAATAACCAGCCTCAGTAAACAAGAAATAGTATCAGTATCTTTTTGACATACAGGTCAAGCCGAGCGAACTTGGGGCAGGGAAAACAGAGGAGTTCTTCGTAACTGGACCGGGATTTAAACCGTTCGGGGCAACTTTTGGATGCCAGCCACCCGTCAGTCTCGGTGCACAGGAGGTGTCCTAAAGTCTGGTTCTAAGCTAGACAAACACTCAGTATAATAGATTCGCCCCTTCCGAGTAGTGCTGTGATGATAATTGCTATCCTGGGCTACTATTTACGCCGAGGTGGAATTCGGCTCTCCTAGCCGGATGGAAGTCTGTGCAAAGGCACGGCACACTTTGGAGTCTGGCCTATTTCTTGCCCGTAGCTAACCCCTATATCGCTAGCACCGTCTTAAAGCCAGTCCACTCCTTTTGGGCTTCTTTACAAGCTTTCTCATAGACATCCAGGCCGGCGAGGTAGTTTAGCTGCTCGCGTTTTTTCCCTGGAATGTTCGCTCCCCTGTACCACGAATTGGTCAAGGGGAAGAGAGTTTTCCCATTCATCTCCTGAATATCACTGGCCCACTTCTCGGCGGCATCAGGCTGAGCCTCGATGGTTTCAACGCCCTCTTTCTTCATCTTGACAATTGTTGACGTGACCCAGTCGCCCTGTGCCTCTATGATGGTGGTGCCATTTGCCAGAGCTGTTGGTGCTAATAGATGATAAGCTTGGAGTCAGAAAGCAAGGTTAAGAGAAGCAGCATACCTTGAGGACTGTAGATCATGAACATATTCGGGAAACCAGGACATGTCATACCCAAATGAGTGCGAACACCGTCTTTCCATCTTTCCTTCATATCATGTCCGTCCAGGTCTCTCAGACCCATTCCAGTGAAGCTGCCGGTGATCGAATCGTAACCCGTAGCCAACACCACCACATCAAACTTCCTGTGCTTCCCGTCCGTTGTCACCATTCCTTCCTCGTCAAACTTTTCGATCCCGGTCTCATTAAGGCTCACAACATGGACATTGGCCTGATCGATACACTCGTAGTAGTCTTGCTCCAAACTTGGTCGTTTGGTTCCTATCGGATGGGGTGGGACTTCTGGCGCCATGATATCACGCTTCTTGGGATCCGATATCCGTGCGCGGACTTTCTTCTTCCAGAAGTCATACATCAGGTCGTTCGCTTCCTGATCGAAGATAAAGTCGCGATATCCGCCAATACTGAAGTTGAACCCTCCACGTGTCCAGAGCTCTTCCCATCGCTCTTCACGTTCCTTGGTGGGAGTGTCCTTTGCGCTCTTCCCATCTGTCCAATAAGGGAGGCCCGACTTTGACTCACGAGCAATCTTGAAAATGTGTGGATAGAGTGCTCTACCCGCGTTCAGTTCTTCGGGCGTCAGCTTCCGCTGGTACATGGGGAACGCCATGTTTGGTGTTCGGATAAAGACTGTCAAGTTGGATGCTTTCTTAGAAACCTCTTGGGTGATCTGGAGCCCAGTAGCACCTGTCCCTATGTCAGCGCCATCCACCTCAACGTAATCGTAGTGCTCTTACCTTGTCCCACGATCGCGGCTTCTTTTCCAGAGAAATCAAATCCTTCCTCTGGGAAATCTGCTGCATGGAGAAGGACTCCCTTATAGTCTCCAAGTCCCGGGAATGTCGGAAAGTGTTTCTTGTATGACGACCCAGCTGCCACGATCAGGTATTTGCACATGACCGTTTTACCGGTGCCGGTCTTCACGATCCACCGCTTTGTCTCGACATCGAAGTCGCATCCACAAACGTCTTGCTCGAAAGCAATGTGGTCATATAGCCCTAAGACAGTCGCTACGTGATGGAAATACTTTCGCAGCTCTTCATGTCCTGGAAACCTCTCGCTCCAATTGAAGGTCTTCCATAATTTGTCGATGTTGTATTGGTAGAAGGGTACTTCCGAGTCAACTCGTGCGCCGGGATACCTGTTGTAGTTCCACACGCCGCCGAGCTCCTTACTTGCCTCGAAGAGTTTGGCATTAATTCCAGCCTCGCGAAGCTTATATAGAGTGTAGACGCCACTAAAGCCGCCGCCAACTACCAAAGCCTCGAGTTCCATTTGTGCAGGAGTGCGCCAATCGCTTACTTCGGAAATTGAGCCCATGTTGCTGATGGACCAAGGCTTGTCGTCAACCAGAATGGGAAAAAAGTGGGAGAGCAAGTGGTTGACAAAAGAAGACGCAATAGAGTTGCCAGACTGGTGATGCTGGTGGTTATGATGGCTTGAAATGGTCACCCATACACAGTCTAGCTTTCGGCAGCATATGCGTGCGATTATGGAGCCGGTCCGCGGAGGGAGATTGCACTGTCAGGCCGTCTGGGAGCGCGCAAGCAGGCCTGGTTGAAAGAGTACGCACCGTCATCACCCCAGACCCCGCAATTCCCGGGGGAGAAACAGCCGGAATCTCATGGCGAGTCAGTGACCGATGCATTTCTGAGTCGACAATGGAGGCGGTACGATCAAAAGACTTGGCGAGATGGTTGCAGACAGTGGCATCATATGAGGGGGTCTTCGGCGTCGGTAGTAACAATGGGCCACCGCTCGGCGCAAATTTGCATCTTAAGGATCTATATGTGGCCAAAATGACGGGCAGGAACAGCAGAAAGTTTGGCACCAAGGTGCGGCACTCTAAAGGTCACTTTATCACCGGACTCAGTAATAACGCCGAAGTGACCAGCAATATCAGTTGCGTCCGACTCGACGGAATTACGCCGAAGTGCTGAAAAAGTGACCATCATAAAAGGTCATCGAAGGAGACCAAGAGCAAGCATACCCTTGAATATTTCCTTGGCTCAAGGTATACATAGCACTAGTCTCTCACCCATGTAAATGGCGACCTGTAGCTCATCTTTTTCGCTACACTACAACCAATGTCTCGCGCTGGTCAAGGTCGGCCTATGCGAGAGAAAGCTGCCGTAGTCTCGTCTTGATTGCGTCCCTGCATGTTAGACTATCTTGCGGTACGACATCAGCCCACGACCCAGATATTAAGACAGGTTATCGATATGTAGGGACGCAATCGATTGCCCCTTGCCTCCGACCCACCTTCCTTCATGGACCACTCTCGTCAAAGCTTCGATCGAAGTGCGTTTGACAGTAGCAGCTCCTCCCAAGACGGTGATTTTACCCCTGACTGAAACTGTTTCAGTCCAACAGCCGCTTCGCCATCCGCCTTCATCATCTCGTCAAACAATGTCTTGATACCAGAGGCCTGCTTGGGTGATCCAGCCTCTTTCCACTCAAGTCGCACTAGCTCCTTGCACATGCTCGAGGCCTTTGGTGCCGCGACTTTTATCTTGGCGAGATATAGATCCAACGCTCGGGAGAGTCCATCTCCATCAACGTCATCTTCCACGACCTGTGATATCGCCCCCACGGCTTTAAGCTCCATAGTGCTAACGGGGCGTGCTGAAAGCATCGCCTCGCGTGCAAAGGCGAGACCCCATTCGCGGATCACATATTTCGATATTGTTGCGGGACACAAACCGAGCTTAACTTCGCTCAAGTTCATTGTCGATCCCGCAGCAGCGATTCTGATATCGCAGGCGAATGCGAGTCCGACACCGCCGCCAAAAGCCGCTCCATTGACGCATGCGATAGTAACTTGTGGAGCAGTATCAATCGCCTCAAATAGGCAAGTCAATCGGTCGTACTGTGCGTCACTGTCGGCTCTGGTCCGTGCTACTGGCGACGTGCCCTTCCCCAGGTCCATCCCCGTGCAGAAAAACCTGCCCGTCCCTTGAATAGCTATCCGCCAGATTGTGGTGTCTGACTTCGCTCTAGTGAAGAAGTCCGTCAGTTCGGAAATCATGGTAACGGTCAACGCATTTCCATTCCGAGGCCGATCAAGCACGATTTTGACGTTTGGTCCCAGTTGGTAGATTTTCAGACCGTCGGTCGTTGTAACAAGCCTCCATTTGAGAGCATCAACATGCTTTGGGCCAATCGACTTAATCGAACTTTTGGATTTCGCAGCAAGAGCGGCTCCTGCCCGGCTACTGTTCGATTTCCTTAGCTGTCCCGATATCCAGACTCCTACTTCCACAAGTTTCACCAGGTTTATCCCGGTATGTATGCCGGCCTGGTCGAAGAGGTACACCACATCCTCTGTGGCCACGTTTCCTTTGGCGCCGGGAGCATATGGGCAACCTCCTAGCCCGGCGACGCTGCAATCGAAGACACGGATACCACATTGATATGCTTGCCACACATTGCTGACCGCTTGACCATATGTGTCATGAAAATGTCCGGCCAGCTTGTGCAGAGGTATGCCGTGCTTTTGGAGATAGTCAATGAGGCTTCTGGTGTCGGCTGCGGTACCCACGCCAAGTGTATCACCCAGGCTGACTTCGTAACAACCCATCTGCAAGAGTTGCTGGACGACCTTCAAGACTGCCTCTGGCGTTGTTGGACCTTCGTAGGGATCTGCGAATATGCACGACACATAGCCTCTGACTGCTAACCCAGCCTTGCTTGCCCGTTCCGCGACATCTTTTGCCCGTAACAACCCTTCTTCAACGGAAGCGCGAATGTTTGCTCTGCTGAAACCCTCAGTAGCGCTCACGAAGATGGCGACTTCCCGAACCCCATTATCGATAGCGACGCTCAGGCTCTTAATATTGGGTACCAGAACGGGGAGTCGCAGAGAATTAACCGGCAGAAGGGATCGAAGCTTCGGGTCTGCAAGGACTTGTCGACAATCAGCCAATTGAGGGATAGCTTTGGGCGACACGATCGACGTAACTTCGACAGTCTTCAAGCCAGTCTGAAGCAGCCGGTGTATTAGATCTACCTTGACAGAGGTTGGTATAGTGTTGTCGACATTCTGCAAACCATCACGTGGGCCGACTTCAACGATGCGGACCGGAGGTAGCGCTTCTGCGACCGAGGCGAACGCCATTCACACTGAAGAAAAAACTTGTGGATCTGCAGGTTCGAGGACGAAGGTTTAGGCCTTTAATAGTCACAAAGTCGTGCCACAAGCATCTTGAGGCAAGATCATAGAAAGACGCAGTTCAGAGCAATGGAAAACCAAATATGGCACTGTTGATGCAAAGCAACATGCCTCTAGTCATAATTCTCGGGGACGTGTCGCATGTTCAACTCGGAACCGGTGAGATATGCTTTGCAGGTGGTCGCCCTCTTTGTGCAGGTCGAGCTTGGCCCTTCGAAAGTTGTCAAAAGCCGCTTAGAGAACGGCTGTGGGCACGGTTCAAGCCGATCCAGTTGGGCTTTGCGATCAACAGGAGGCGATCATTGTCGTATCCCCTCCAACCCCTCACAGCTTCGCAACAGCATCAGAAGTCACATGTGCACCACTCGTGCATCCCATCTCAAGTCCCGTGCCATCCATCGCCAATACAGTCTAGTCTTCTTCTATTCTTTCGTGACATTTGACCCAGGCGGCCCCGGACCCGTCCCCGTTTGTGGGATGCCAGGGATCCCGAACCTTGTCTCTGAGCATTGGCCGCGGCTACCAATCTTTTGGAGATCAGCATCCTTGAGCGTCAATCGCTGCGTTCTCCCCCAAGTTCAGTCCAGCTTGCTCTTGCAGTAGTCAAGTGCACCATCATCACTGGTTCCATTTACTCCTGACTGTCAACCATGGGCGATATGAACGGCCTTCCGGTGTTTGAGTCGAACCTCAACCTTAGGGACGCGCAATATGAGCACAACAAAAAAGCATGGAGCTCAATAATGATAGAGTTTGAAGATAACTTGAAGAGAACAACATCAGAAGGCAGCAAACATTCTACAAGCAGACACCAGACGCGTGGACAACTGTTAGCGCGTGATCGAGTGGCTTTGTTGTTGGATCCTGGCTCTTCTTTTCTTGAGCTGGGCTCATTTGCAGGCTTCGGCCTTGAGGATTCGAGTCCTTGTGCCAGTCTGCTCGCTGGTATTGGCGTTGTGAGTGGTCGACAATGTCTCGTGCAGTCTCACATACCCACACAGAGCGGCGGCGCGTGGAACGAGTTCACCGTGGTCAAGCAGAATCGGATGACAGAGATCGCCAATGAGAACGACTTGCCCATAGTTGCCCTTGTCCAATCGGCCGGAGTGTTCCTGCCTCAGCAGTTTCGCGTCTTCCACAAGGGTGGCCAACTATTCAGAGATCTAGCTGTAAGGAGTCAGCAACGCAAGCCTTCATGTGCAGTGGTGTTTGGCTCATCGACTGCTGGAGGCGCATACCACCCAGCACTGTCCGACTACACCATTTTTGTGGAAGATCAAGCACAGGTGTTCTTGGGCGGTCCCCCTCTGGTTAAGATGGCTACTGGTGAGGTGATTGATGCTGAGGAGCTTGGAGGCGCCCGTGTCCATGCCACTGTCACGGGTTTAGCGGACCAGATGGCTACTGACGAGTTTGATGCCATTCGCAAGGCACGGGAGTGGGTTGCGACACTAAACAATCCTCGACAAACCATAGAGCAACTCTGGCGGACACTGCCTCCCCGATATCCTATCGACGATATCTTCGCCTTGGTGAACCCGGATATACGCAAGCCTTTCGATATGCGAGAAGTCGTTCTTCGTCTCGTGGACGATTCGCGGCTGTCAATATTCAAGCCAGAATACGGCCGCAATTTGCTAACTGCCTGGTCTAAGATTATGGGTATGCCAGGCTCTCTGAATGTGAAGAAGCAGACTGACATTGATTAGGTCTTCCCGTGGGCATTATAGGCAACCAAACACCGATCATCAACCCAGACGAAGCATCAAAAGGTGCGCAATTTGTTCGCATGTGTAATCAGCAAAATCTGCCAATCATCTTTCTGCACAACGTTACTGGGTTCATGGTCGGGTCAAAAGCAGAACACGCTGCAATAATCAAAAAGGGAGCGCAAATGGTATCTGCCGTCAGTTGCTCGACTGTGCCACATATCTCACTCATTCTCGGGGCATCTTACGGGGCCGGCAACTATGCCATGTGTGGAAGATCCTATAAACCAAGATTTTTGTTCAGCTGGCCCATTGGCAGATGCAGTGTAATGGGCCCTGATCAGCTTTCTGGAGTTATGGAGCAGGTGGAAATCAACAGTGCTAGGAGCAAAGGCATAACGTTGAAGCAAGAAGATATCAAGGACCGCGTACAAGGTTTCAGAGACAGCGTCCAGCGAGACAGTAGCTGCTACCGGACCAGCGCTCACCTCCTCGACGATGGGGTGATCGATCCACAAGATACTCGAGACGTGCTTGGGATGTGTCTTGAGATTGTCCAGAGTCCTTCCGTAGAAGGCAGTGTAGGCCACAGGGCCTTGGCAAGGATATGAGCTACGATATTTGCAGGTATCAATCTAGATGGGACTTAGGTACGGCGTTAGCGTAGCACAGATTACGAATCTCAGGCTCGTCCGATAGTCGAGAATTAAAGTGCGAATGTTTTGCTCAGAAGAATGCTAAAGGTTTACAAGCGGCTTGTCCGTCGAGCCAATGTTTCCAGCTCTTTTCTTTCCAGCTTGACAGCAAGCTCGGATAAGATTTCCTCACTTCCACCGCCAACGACCATCACTCGCACATCACGGCTTATCTGCTCGATCCTTGCACCTTTGCCGGTCCTCGAATAGCCTGCGCCACCCAGTATCTGCTGAGCTTCTCGATTGACTTGTTCCAACGCACGACCCGCAGCGGTCTTCAGAGTGGCAATCATCCCACCGAGATTGAGGTCGACTTGATGAGCTGTCGTCTCAGCACCAAGAAGGACACTGCCGCCTTGTCTTTTGAGCCCTTTTCTCTTTCTTTCGTGCTCTGTCATGTACACCAAGGACTCCATATAAGCGTGTACAGGCTCTATGGCACGGCCGAAGCCTGCGACTTTTGCAAGGATAACTTGGTTCGTAATCAAGGCCTTGCCGAAAGTCTCCCGCCGAATAGCATAGGCATATGCATCCTCTGCGCAAACTCTAGCCATGCGAAGCGAAGTGCAAGCCAACCATAGCCTCTCATGGTTGAAGTTCGACATGACGATGTCGAAACCTCGATTCTCTGCTCCAAGCAGGTTCGCTATGGGGACCTCGACGTCGTCGAATTCGATGTAGGTCGATCCACTCGCGCTGACCCCTGAATTCTCAATCTTCCTGCAGGTTACTCCTCTCACCTTCAGCGGGATGATCAGGGCAGATATACCATTGCGACCCTCGCCACCTGTTCTGACAGCAGCCGTGCAATAGTCGGCGAATATACCATTAGTGATCCACTTCTTCGACCCGTTGACGAGATAAACATCGCCCTTGCGTTCGGCTGTGGTAAGTATACCGGCCACGTCCGATCCAGCTGTACAACAACCCGTCAGTGAACAAGGTCAGGGTACTGGCAAATATAGCGTTGACTGACCATCAGGTTCCGTAACTCCTAGGCAGAATCGACTCTTTCCAGCCAGCATATCTGGCAAAAATCTCTTCTTCTGCTCATCACTGCCAAAGTTGATCAATGGTGGCGCTCCTATGGAATTCCCGCAACTCAATGCCCAGATGATACCAAGATATCCGCATCTGGCGATCTCGTCGATTATGATCAGGTCATGGAAGCCATCCCATTCGTCTGGCTTGACGTTCCCTGGGAGCCTCTGGCCCGAGGCTTTGATTTGTTCCACAGCTAGAGGATACACCGAAACTGCCATATACCCAAGCCTGGCATGATTGAGAAAAACATCGTGGGGCACAGAACCTTGTCTTTCCCACTCTTCACAGAACGGTGTGATGTTAGTTGAGACGTATTCTCGTGCTTCGCGCTGAACCGCTCTGTGTGAATTTGTGTAATATGGGCTGACATTGCGACTGATCCACGCAGGATCGGCATATGGTGCTGTTGTCGTCATTTCCTTGTGGCTTGATGTTGTTCTTCTGTAGGTATGATGTAGATCACTCCTTTCGAGTCCGCCAGCTACAGTCGGCGGGTACACAGTCAGACTTCGTGCAGAGGTTCGGAAGTCACAATGCCTTGGAGACCGATCTGAAGCGAGAGAGCATGTCGGATCGCTTTTGTTGGCTTGTGCGGCCTTGTAGCAGATGTGCAGCTGGAGTCCAATCAACCCGACCAATAGGAACGTACCCACTTGGACCGGTGCAAACTCGGATTCATCTAGGCATTATGCTTTCGTGGTGAGGTGCGCTTCGCCCACGGAGGCGGGCCGCGCTTTCGTGGATACTGCGGGCGGCATACTCCACGGTCATACGTTCAGCGAAGGCTCGAACATTTTCGGAGACATTTGGGGGACTTGACGACTGTGATGATTGAATGGACTGTGAACATAATAGCAAACAAGGATGCGTAGAGAAACTTGCTTCAGTCAATTCGTAGAAGAGTCTTTGATCTTTAATCATCTCACACAACACTTTCGTAAATGGGACTCGCAATGAGACCGGACAGCGCTTAATAAACCATCGCCGTAGAATGCAATGCAGACAGTGTGTTTGGTTCTACAATACAAACAGTATAAATGCTTGCTTCGCGGCATCTATTCCACCCAACAGAGCACCTTGCCATCATCCACCGCGTCACCCTCTTTGATGCTTGTTTGGAAGGTGCCCTCCGCAGCGATGGATATGTTCGTCTCCATTTTCATACTCTCAATTACCATCACGACCTCACCCGCTTTCACCTGGTCTCCTTTCTGCTTCAGCACCGACAAAACCTTACACGGCATGGGTGCTTTCACAGTTTTGGACGCAGCCGAACCCACCGTGCTGGCAACCTCTTCGCGTAAAGACTCGTGATATGACAGCAGACTGTGAGCTTCGTACTCAATATATGTGCCTAGTGCAGGGAGATGGCAAAGAATCCGTTGTGCTTCGGCCTTGGACGAGCTTCTCTCGTAGGTACTGCTTGCGTTTGTGGCTATGAAGGCGTGGATCTTTGACTGATCGATGACAAGCTCGGCGGATGCGGTTCGCCATGAGCCTACGTCTTGGTTGCTCAAGGACTGCCACTGGCGAAGGCAAACTTCGTGAGTAGGTGCCCTGGTGACCGCTCCATTTCTCAGTAGATTGCTGACGGCATTGTATTGCCGAGAGACTTCATGTGCCGCCGAATTCTTTGCTGTACTTTTCTGTTCCGTAGAGTCCTCATTCGTGGTCATGGGTATCAGAGATACAGTGTACGTCGATGCGGACCTTGTCTGCGAAGCGTTCCACACAGATAGTACTGGTTGTTGCGCCAACGTCGCATCTACAACTTTCGTTATCGTGGTGTCCAGATTGACCGGATCGAAGTGTTGCGTCCTAAAGGCCCGACGAGTGTGCTTGAACGGCTTGTTGGTGCTTCTGTTGCCATATCCTTCGCGCAAGACCAAGCCTGGTACGACTGACAAGATCGAAAATATCTCCTTCAATCGACTTGAGTAAGGATTTCTAAGCAAGTCTGCCAAATGCGTCGGGATTAGAGATGTTGTATACGCCGGGTTCTGGAAGCTGTCGTGCAGCAAGCAACTCTGTAAGAAGAGCTGATTAGTCCTCACACCGGCGCACACCGTATTGGCCATCACTTTGGACATTTTCGCAATCGCTAGTTGTCTCGTGGGAGCCCATACCACGATCTTTGCGATCATTGGATCAAAGTAGATTGAGATCGTTGCTCCACTTTGGACGGCCGTCTCGTAGCGGACATCTCGCGCAGTGCTGTGCGTCGCCTCTCTCCAAAGCTGTATCGTGCCATTTTCGGGCCTGAAGTCCCGTCCGGGATCTTCAGCACATAGCCGGCACTCGATGGCGTGGCCTTGCTGAGGAATCTGGTCAAGATTCCGCAGGTCCTTGAACTTTCCACCAGCAGCAGCGTACAACTGTAAAGCAACCACATCCAAGCCGGTGACTTCCTCCGTGATCGGATGTTCAACTTGCAATCTTGTGTTCACCTCGAGGAAGTAGAAGCTTGAGTCTCGAATATCAACGACAAACTCGACAGTACCCGCGCCCTCATAATGCAAAAGCTCGCCGATTCGGACCGCCGCGGCACTCATCTCTTTTCGTATCTGGGGTGTCAAGAAAGGCGAAGGCGTCTCTTCAATGACCTTCTGATGTCGTCTTTGCACAGAACACTCCCTCTCCCATAGTGAGAGTACATTCCCATGGCTATCTCCTACAATCTGGATCTCAATGTGCTTCGCCTCTTCGATGTACTTTTCCAGGATACAGTCACTCGAGCCAAATGAGCGTTGGGCTTCCGACTGTGCCCGTAAAAGCTCGTCTTTCAGTTTTGATCGCTCGCGCACAATGCGCATACCTTTGCCGCCGCCGCCTGCGGATGCCTTGAGCATGACAGGGAAGCCGATAGCCTCTGCCGCAGTCTCAAGGTCTGCACTGTTTTGGCTAGATCCAGTAAACCCTGGTATCAAGGGTATTCTGGGCTCGTTTTTCCTCAGATAGTCCTTTGAGTTCCGCTTGTCGCCTAGTGTAGACATTGCTTGAGCACTTGGCCCAACGAAGATGAGTCCAGCGGCACGTATTGCTTCGGCAAAGGTTGAGTTTTCGCTGAGATAGCCATATCCAGGATGGACAGCGTCCGCCTTCACTGATCGTGCGACATCGACAAGGAGCTGTACGTTCAAGAAAGGGTTGCCCCCGGCCTGACTGATGCTACCAAGGCTTATCGCTTCGTCAGCTTCGGAGATGTGGCGGGATGTGGCATCCTCTTCGGCGTAGACGGCTATGGATGTCAAATCTAATTTGCGACATGTAGCAATTATGCGACATGCAATCTCGCCGCGGTTGGCTATGAGGACTCTGTTGATGGTCTGGCTGCCGCTGCCTGATGGTAACTGTGCCACGAAGAGGGGAGGGCGTGAATGAGATGCAGAGATTCTTCGAGCATCCGGCGAAGAACGTTGTCCTGTTCGGGCCATTTTGTCTTGTGTGATCTGATTATCTTTGTGAAGAAGCAATCCTCACTTTCATGATTGAATAAAAGCCATCTGCGGGGATGTTAGCTGTTAAGGTGCGGTACACTTTGCTCCCACTCGTTTTTGCGGCCGGTCTTTGATAGGCTCGCCAGGTGCAAGCCCAGCACGGGACACAAACCGCGCAACGCGGCCCGAAGACGCAGCCCGTGTACCGAATGCCTCAGCGGCAGCTTGAACGCCAAAGACTCCCAAGGTGACAAATTTTAACGGAGCAGGAATTCGAGAGGCTTGTTTGTCCTGCCAATTGGGCTATATGATCCCACCAGCAGCAAGGTACCCTGTCGGGTGCACCTGTGCCTCGTATGGCCTTGCATCACGCGTAGCCTTGGAAGATACACTTTCCATCTTACCACAGTTTGGCATTCTGATTATATGTCGAAATGCACTGCATTTTGTATCAAGCCGTGGCCACAGGCATTTTTGGGCTCTGCGAAAGCACGTTTCATGCAAAAGTGCATAAGGACCGAAAGTGAACTCCATGTGCCAATGAGATCTTGCACATGTAGCGAGCCGGTACAAGTCCAGCATAGTCCTTTCCCTTCAAAACAGGGTGGGTGAGGATGAACTAGGCTCTAAGCAATCCATTCACGTTCTTTGAACCTCTCCTCTCACGATCAGGGGCAAGTCATGCCCGATCTGGCTATGGGTCCGTTCCCACCAGCGTGATGGACATCCACGGCCCGCAGCCGCCAGCCAGGAAAGACTGAGCAAGACCTTAGACCTGGGGCTTCTGTGGGGTGGTGACCATAAGAGTCAACCTAAGCTTCACAGTAGATGCAGTCATTAACATGGCGGATGTGCTATCAAATGCTTCAACCAATGCGATCATATCCAGCGACATGGGCAACAAGACAGAGCTGACAACACCTATGCCATCGATCGTCCGTGGTCCACGAAGTCCAGTCCTCTGTACTCAGACACTAGGCGAGCTCATTGAAGCGCAAGCCCATAGAAATAGTTCTCGTACTGGCGCTTCATTCCCATGGCAACATCACTCACTCTCATACCAACAATTCGCGGATAGAAGCAAGCTTCTTGCAAAGTCGATGCTCGAAGCTGGCTTGCAACATGGAGACTGCATTGGAATCATGGCAGGCAATTGCTATCAATATATTGAGGTGTTTCTTGGTGCTGCCAGGATTGGCTGCCCGCTTGTGGTATTCAACAACACATATTCAGCAGAGGAATTGTGCTCAGCCCTCTCAGTCAGCTGTGAGTAGGAAGACCTGCAAGAGACCATACGAACTAACCCAGCAGGTTGCAAACTTCTTTTCCTTGCATCGAACATTGGGCTCAAATCACTTGAAAGCCATATACAGGCCGTAGGCACACGGCCTGAAGAATTGCCGCACCTCAAGCGAATCGTTCAGCTGTCTCGCAAAACGATGAACATCCCATCGAATGTCGAGATCATGCCCTACTCGGCTTTTGTCAGCAACGATCATTCGGCCTCCATAAATGATGCCACGTTGCGGAGGGCGGAGTGCAAAGTGCGCAATACTGATGTTCTCAATCTGCAGTTCACCTCAGGTGAGTAATGAATGACAGCATCGTAATGCATAAGCTAAGCGTTTGATAGGAACAACGGGTGCCCCCAAAGCTGCTATGCTTACTCATTTGTAAGTGGGACTGTTAGAAGGCTGGACTCTGCTGATCACAGAACGCAGCAACCTCATTAACAATGCCCTGCTCTTCGGGTCCGGATTGAGGTTGACCGATAAGGACATTGTCTGCTGCCCGCCTCCTCTCTTCCATTGCTTCGGTCTCGTCATGGGCTTCCTCGGTGCCTTCACTCATTCCAGCAGCATCGTCTTCCCATGTGACCAATTCGATGCGAATTTAGTGCTTGACGCCGTATCCGAAGCGAAGTGTACTGTCATACTCGGCGTGCCAACCATGTTCATCGCGCAGATGGAAGCGAACAAGCGCAAAGGCTATCGGCTTGATACTCTTCGACTCGGTGTTGGCGCCGGCTCTACTGTCCCAGCACCATTGATGAGAGATCTGCGTCAGAAAATGGGGATTGAAACGATGCTGATCGCCTACGGGATGACAGAAACAAGCCCAGTCTCCTTCATGACTTCAATCGAAGACGACGATGAACGACGGGCTACAACTGTTGGTCGGATTCAACCCCATACGTTGGCGAAGGTCGTCGACAGTGAAGGCAACATATTGCCACGGGGAGTACCTGGCGAGCTTTGTGTTGGCGGATATCTCCTGCAAAAGGGGTACTGGCAGAATGAGGCAAAGACCGCCGAGGTCATGAAACTGGACGATGCTGGCATCAGGTGGGTGTACACGGGCGACGAATGTGTGATAACAGCGGATGAGTATTGCGTGGTGACCGGGCGCATTAAGGATCTCATCATCAGAGGCAGGTCTCCGGAACATTATGATAGCTTGATACTGACGAGTCTGTGTCAACAGGAGGTGAGAACATATCCCCTGTGCAGGTGGAAGACCGCCTGCTCGAACACAAGTCGATTGCAGATGCATGTGTGGTCTCGATCAAGGATTCGAAATATGGTGAAGTGGTTGGCTGTTTTTTGAGGTTGGAGGAGAACTCCAGCAAGCCTTCCAACGCAGAAGTCAACCAGTGGGTTCGACAACGTCTCGGTTCGCATAAAGCACCGCAACATGTGTTTTGGATCGGAGATCCAGGTGTGGGACTGGACTATCCCAAGACAGGGAGTGGAAAGATTCAAAAGCACATTCTTCGAACCGTGGGTGATAAGCTGGTTGCAGGTATGCAGGTCAAGCCCAAGCTTTGATCGTTATAGATCATTACGTCGGTGGTTCAGCATTTTCACTTTCCGGAGCGGAGTAGCGAACTGCGTCAATGGAGTTGGTTTGCTTGCTGGAGTCATTACCCAGGCCCAAATTCTGAACACGATGCATGTCGACATAAGGACACGACTGCACGAACATGTGGGAGTTGCCTGTCACGCTCTGCCTCTTACCAGTGAGCTGCCTTTGCATCGTCAGGTGTACCGATCAGGCAGGTTACCGAGTCGCGAGGCCTTATGTCCGCCCTCATACGCTCCAGACTCCTCACGAGTTGGACGTACAGTGTTTCAATATTCAACGCCTTTGAGGTCGTGATATCGCCTAGCAAGAATCCCTTGGAGGTGCTCAGACAGGCAATCTTTGTCACGTCAGCCTGGATGCAACGAATGTGACTCGATTCACAGAGGTCTTCGCGCAGTTGACTGCTATCGACATGACTTGAACTGAACGTTGGAAAAACGGCTGGCTGCATTGATTGTACCGTAAGTAAAAACCCGGCCCGAACGCCGCCCCCACGATAACGACCTGGGCCATTGTTATTGTAGCCGTCTTGCCGTCCCCACCTCCACATCCCAGATTTGGAGAAGGGACTTTGGGAACCTTCACAATGGGTTCAGCCTCATTCCCAGTTGGTCAGCAAACACGAAGCTTGAGACTTCTTCTTGTTTGAGTGCGCCGACATCAATTCGGGTACACCTGCGAACAGCATGCCGGAGCCCTTACAGCGTCGTGAGACTCATACAGGCCGGCTTTGCGAGCGTGACTGAAGGTTCCAGCAGGACAAACAGCAAATGCGTGGTCGGAAACGCTTGCAGCTAGCGATCACAATGCCTTGCCTCGACGTAGATCGCTATGAAATCAGCCTGGACGACCTGGCATCCTAAACATCATGAGTCCGCGACACCCCGAGGCACATGTCCACGGCCAGCGACGCAGGATTGTAGGTGATCATCGCGTGCATTCACAGTTCAGCTTTGCGAGTCGGCGACCTTGCGCTGTATGTGATACCCGAGGAGCGGCCATGGCAGTCTGGCCACAGTTGAATGAATGCCTAATTGTCAGCATGAAGGCTCACTAGGCCTGCCTTGCAAGCGCGCAAAATCATTATCTTAAGAAGGCATCGAGAGCGATAGATTTGCTGCTTCAATGCAAGATAGCCTGTAAACATAGTAGACAAGCTTGACGGTGGTGACCGAGGCCAGGTTGAAAGCGAAAAGAGGGTGGTAATAAGTAGAATTGTTCACTTGAATTCAGAAACTCGGTTTGGCGTTAGATCTTATAGGCTGTGCCTCGGTGCCCGAAGATCTGGAATCGGTTGTGGAAAATGATGGGCATCATCTTCATAGCCTAGCCACGCCTAAGTTAGGGCCTCGCCTAGCCGACTTCAGGGACCCTGGGAGCGTACGACAAGCGCCCATAATGTGAACCCCAAACCCCGCATTATCCCGTTTATAGTACCTGATCCAGCTTCTGCCCCTCCTTCAAATTGACCGTTGCGAAGCTGTTTCTGACACTTGAACATCTACATGTCCAAATCCAACAAGGTTCCAACCATCCCCACGGCGAATGTCAGATCAGAGCGTCTGGCTTACTGACATACCTCTTCTTCAAATAAACCTATGCGGACATGCAACATGAACGACCAACGCGAAGCGAAGCGTGCCCGCCAGGCTTGCATTCAATGTCGGTGAGTAATTTGCATCTTTCCTCTGCTCCTACTGTGCCCCATGTCTAAGATCCGGACTAACGATGGACCCAGACGTAAGAAAACGCGATGCTCCGGTGAGAAACCAGTCTGCGCATTCTGCGCGAGGCTGAAGCAGGATTGTCGATGGGACGATAGTTCCATGTGCGATCATTCTCATATTATGCCAAACGCTGTCCAGGTACGCTCGTACCATGATCGCATCCCGTGGCTCGCTGACTGAAGCACCCGCAGGATGCCAATTTGGCCGCACGAGTGGCCTTGTTGGAGTCCAAGTTGAGCCTCCTCAACGGAGATCCTGCTGAGTAAGTAGTATGTCTGCAATCGCAATGCTTCCAGAAGTTTCTGCTCTCCGCTTCATGCTGGCACTATCACCACGATTTCCGGCACCACAATCATACATCCTCCGAAGGACGCGCAAGTCGCGAGATCGACCGACTGGTGGGAGGCTCAAGAGGCCTCACTCATTGTGTCCCTGAGGATCGGACTCGCTCAATTGTTTTGTACTTTGGAACGAGCTGCTGACCTTTCTTAGCAGCGCCTCGTTCCCGGTCGACCATCATGCCGACACATTGTCCCGGAAGCGAAGGACTTCCACGCGGGACCAAGCGTCTGTGTCTGAAGGATCTCCAAACAGCCAGATGGGCTCGGAAACATCAAGGCTCGTGATTCGGACTGTTTCATTACCACAATACTCTAACCTTACTACAGGAGACCGGCCCAGCTACCTCCAGAAGGTATGATTCGTTCTGTGCTGCAGACATACTTCATTCACTGCCATAACCAACCATACGCTTTTTTCCGACCGGAGTACTTTTATTGGAAGTTCAACCGAGGAGAAGTGCCCGATTACCTTTTGATGGCCATGCTTGCTTTGGCTGCACGCTTCTCAAGCGAGCCATTCTTCGAAAGCAAGAATGTCGAAGCCATCGAGACCTATTCTCGTACCGCCTGGAATGAGATCTTTGAGAAATCCTTTTCCGAAGACTTCAACTTGGATATTCACGCAGTGCAGGCAACGAACCTGTTAGCAATCGTTGATTTCACTGGTATGCGTTGAGAATTGGAGACAAGCTGAACAGCTACTGACAATGGATGACCCAGACGGCCGAACCAAGCTTGGCTGGCAGAAAGTAGGGCTTGCTGTCCGCTTTGCCCAAAGTCTACAACTTGGTGCAGATGTCAATGCCGACATCACGGCCGAAGAACGCGACGAGAGATTCCTGACTTTCTGGTCCACCTATATCTTGGACCGACTGGTGTCTTGCAGCTCTCATCGCGCGCCCACGATATCTGATAGTGATATTGCCCTTCAACTACCTTCCGATACACCTCGTACCGATGAAGTCGGATCGCCTTTAGTGCCGGTCTTAAGGACATTGAGCGACTTTTCCACCGGTGCAGCGGACCAAAATTTAGACTACTTTGCACAAACAGTGCTCATGGCCTCAGCATTGGGTCGGGTGCAGAGACACATTCTACAGCATCGAGGTTCAACGGACCCATTTCCTCCATGGGATTCTCGAAGCGATTTCGCAAATATCAACAGCATGCTACTTAACTTCGAAGCACAATCTGACATCACTCGGCTCTCATTTTCCACCACAATTGCACAGTTCGTCAGCCCGGACGGCACTCGAGATCATCCGGGGGCCGGACATTTGATCTTCGCCAATATGCTCTACCACATGAATCAATGCCTTTTGCACCATCCGTTCTTGCTTCGGAAACGTCTCGAAGCCTGCAAGGCCAAAGTATCACTTACTTTCCGTGGAGAGGCTTTGCGGCGCGGTCTGGAGCACGCAAATCAGCTCACGGTCGTGCTTCGCACGGCGCAAAAGCAGGGATTTACCATAGGCAGCTTTTTCTCATACGCTATGATAGTGGCAGGCACTATTCATAAGCTCTTCACGCATCATGAAAACGAATGGACGAGGCACACAGCCCAGCAGCTTTACGAACAGTCGGTGGGATTCTTCGATGGAGGCAAGGCCACCTGGAATCATTTCATACCTATTGTATGTCTACCCTTGGCTTTGCCTTCGCAGCCCTTGTTCATCTTCTCGCCCACAGTCTGGCAACTGTTTTCTAGACTCCGAGATGCAGACTAACCTCGCGCCACAGGCGACTTCCCTCAAAACCTTCGAACCTGACCCGGCCTCAGCAAGAGACCTTGTAAGTTCCAGTACCGCAGACAACTATGTGCCGAACCCGACTCTCGACGTGCTATGGAAACTTCTTGATTACGGGTGGCTATCCGACGCCGCGAGGCCATCGATGCAGCGAGAGTCGGCAGAGCCACGCCCGTCTTTACCGACGCAGGATCAGGGATCGTGGGAATCAGGCGGTGCGGCCGCCTTACTGGAGGAGCCTCGAACAGCAAACGGCACGTCAAACATTGAAGACAGGTCATTTGATCTCCTCGAGGACTTCGACCCTGGCAAGCCTCTTGCGATCCACGGCGAAGTTTCGACCGATTTCATGGGCCTTCCTGACGCTTTGGGTGACCCCTGGCCTCAGCTTCTTGGCCCTGGCGATTTCTTTTCCCCGGACCTTCAGATTCTATCGCCTTGGTCTCAGCAAGTCGAAAGGTAGACGGAAGACTAAGCCCAGCGTGACTTGTCCAGGATCAGAGACTTGGCCTGGTTGATGCCTTGCAACATTTACAAAGCGGTCAAACGCAGATGTGGTCACGACTTTACGCATCGAGGTGGAGTGGTTGGTCCTTCCCCACCGGATGAGTCTTTGGCTCACTACTTGAGGCCTTCACAATTCAAAATGTTTCAATAAGTCTTCTAAGGTCTGAATGAGCATGCTCTTAAATGTTGCATGCCGATACGGTATTGAGGTTTTCCGCAAGTCGCCTGCCTGCCAACACACCTGCAGACATGCTACCGCCTCATCGGCTCTACAACTCCATGTCTGGCCTGTTTCTCTGCTCTCCTCTTGTTGACATGCTGCGAGGGTACTCCAGACCTCCCCTTCGCTTGCTCCTCGTGTTGTGTGGTCTCTTAAAGGAAGAAAGGTGCTATCTCTGAGGCATCATCAGCTCGACACTTGTCATGTGCGCTATGATGGGAGTACTTACGAGCAGCAGTACCAATGATTGTAGGCAGATTTTGCGAAGCCCAATGGGCGACATCGCCGACACAGCAGGAAGAGTCCGTAAGGCTACAATGCAACTGTGCTGGACATGGGACCATAATGGAAACAATTGCAATGGTCTAACAAGAGACGGACTGAGATTTTGAGAGTTGCAGGCGCAGACAGAGACAGAAGATGCCGAGGTTAAAGTGCAAAGTCGGTCAAACTGCCTAGTCGCGTCGCGTCATAGTCATGCTGCATATTCTGCATTCTTCCCGTCAACACTCAGCAGCATCATTCGTGACTGCGCAGGCAACGACTACGGACAACGTCTGCAGCAATGACCCACACAAGTTGATAATTGAGGGAACCTCTTCACTCGCCAATGAACATCCTCATTTCGAATTACCATCCTCGCCTCCTATCTATCGTACCATCCATCCTTACATGACTACTTCGAGCCACGCTGCGTGTGACGATCTTACTCCTCGGCTATGTGTGGGATCTAAGAGGAGGACGGGAGCCTTGGTCTGAAGTGTTATAAACAATGAGATGGTGCAATGCTTCTATCGTTATCGTTATGTGGACACACTTTGCGAGTCCAGCGGCCGCCCTTATCTAGCATCGGTCAAGCGACCTCTCAGCCAGCTGTGGTCATGACAAACCCATTCCTGCGCTATGTATTCAAGCTCTGAGCTCTCACATGAGTGACAAAACCCCATTACTATTCCACCGGGTGTGCTGTCTCCGAGAGCGGCGTGCTGTCCTGCAATGGCTCTCCTGTTGAATCGTCGGTGGGTAGTTCCTGCGAGGCAAAGGCAATGAAGACAGCCTCCCAATGTCCATCTGGGAACGCAAAGACCAAAGCACCGTCCGACCACACCGCATTGTCAAATTGTGGCAAGCTGCCCTGATTCATGTGGATGTCGTGTATGCCTGTTCCATAAGACGAGCCGAAGATATAGATGGTGGCCTTTTGCTGGATGGCATCTGTCAACACGGGTTCCAAGTCGTCGAGAATGTCGTTGTTGGGACCCGAGGCTTCGTAGGGAAGAATTGTGCCCTGGCTCAGGACCACCAGCTGAGGCTGTGTACGTGCAAAGTCGAGGGCCAAATCATTGGAACCATCGCTTGAGAGTGAGTTGAAGCCGGATTGGAGGTTTGGGAGGCTGCTGATGATGGGATGTGTGAAGGCCTTGTTGAACCAATAGACGAGGCGGGAATCAGTGTCGGTCGATTTGACATTGATGGCTGCACTGAGATTCTTGCTGCCTGAATCGTCTTGGAACTTCAGATTGATGTGAGGAGTCTTGTCTGAGGGGCCGTCGGCTTTGAATGAGATGGGTTGTGCAACCCAGACTCCGTAGTCCTTGATCGCCATGATGAGTAGTTATCAAATAAACCCGTGAACAAAGGGAGAAAGGGACAGATACGAAATCTGGAAGAGATGCTGGAGGGTCTGGGGACGGTCTCTGTCCTTTTTAATTGTTGAGAATGGGCACGTGGGCAAAATGAAGCTGAACAGTGAACAAAGAGAGAGATGCATGTTTGCATGTTGCATGCCCCGCTGTATCTCGGTGTCAATTGTGCAACAAAAGTGTCTCATGTCTTTCCACCACTCCTCCCACAGTGATTCGCACCTGCCAGCTGAGGTCAAGGCCAACATGACAGATCTAGCACGATCATCGGTCACCTTGAATGATTGGACATGGTATCAAGATGGTGAGGCTGTTCGCCCAAGATACGCAACTTGTCACAATTCTGCTGCAACGAAGGGTTCTTCTCTATTCAGCTTCGAATCATCTTGTCATTCTTGCAGTCGCATATGTTGATGACGTCGGGCACACGAGTCGTCGGAGCCTCCCATTGTGGATAACTAGCTTGATAGCTCGCAACTTGCCTTGGTCAATCATGTAAGGGAATTGTGGGTTGATGTTGATCAAGCTTCCATACGAAGCTTTTAAACAAGGCTTTTAGCATGTTACCAAGGAGGCTGTCTCGAATGCTTACCGTGGTAAATGTCCTCAAGGATCGAGCACCATTGGTTGACCCCGGACTCGTGCGGCATCTCTTTTTCCCATTGGACATGTACTGCATACTACTATGTACGTGCTTGACTACTCCCACGCACCTGATGGTGTGTAGGTACCTGCAGGCACAGTTACTTGTTACTGAAGACTGTCCTCGGACGACAATGGCCCCGCCCATGATGATGAACAGGGCGGTGCACAACATGATCGACGGTCCTTGAGTCGACCCCTTTCACGGCCCTCCAAGCAGAAGTCCAGACCAAGTTTCAACTGGATCACAAATGGGCCTTTCTTGACAACGATCATCGCCTGTTGTCCAGGTAACGTTTTTGACCACCTCCTGGTTTCCGACCCCCTCCTGGGGCTAATCGTGCTCGATTTTACGCACTCCTGCACCACCACCACTTAAGTATATGATATAGGATAAAACTGCCAGTTATTCTCGTCCTCGTAGCAGTCCCAGGATAGTGTCGACGGTACCGTTTGACTGTAAATACTATGGGGAGGTACCTATAGTGGCATCATTAGGGTGCACTGCCACTGACTTGAAAACTGACTCGCATAATCGATAGTAACCGGTGTGTTGGTTGGCATAGGAAAGACACACTGTTGAGAGAGACTTGACGAATGGCCTAATTGAGGCTGTCGTCGATCGTTTGGTAAAGGCTGTAAAGGCGTGAATGACCTCGCCGCCGTCGATGCCCTTGGTGTTGATGAACTTAGTATTGTTGCCACTATGCGGACCTTCTTTGCTCGAGGCTCCGTCGGTGAGTCCTATATAGGCGTTTTTGGTGTATCCTCGTTATCAAGGTCGTCGAATAGAGAGATCTCTCTATCTTGACCTTATCGTCGCTTGGTTTTAGGAGTAAACTTAGGGTGGTAGAGGCGAAAGCTGTTAAGTTCGATAATAAGGCTCTGAATCTTGAGTTTTTATATCTTCGAGTCACCCTTATAGGTCTTCTCCTTGAAAGCTTTCCTAACGCCGGCGAGCTTCTCTTTAATATTAATATACTCTCTATATAGACGGTTGTACTTATCCTTCTTCTTTTGTCTCTACTTCTTCTCCTTAAGGGCTTCTTCATTAACTACTCGCCTACTACTAAAGTAGCCCTAAAGCTTACGTTTAGTAGCTTTTTTAAAATCGATATTAGTCTCGAAGAAGGCTCTTGAAGTGTAAAGATATATTGTCTTCCTTGTCTCGTTCACTATAAAGGCTCTCTCGGCAACCTTGGTAAGATATAGACGTCTATTAGGGTCTCTTTCAGCTACAATCTCTTCCATTAGGGTGTGAAATATACGTTTTGCCTACGTCGGCGGTAGAGAGATAGCACGTTATAGAGAATCGAGTAGCGTCGTCTATAGGTTCAGTGCTGTTTCGACGTCTAGCGCCTATTCGATAGGGGTTTTATATACTGTAAGTTATTCATCGATATTTAGTAGTTAAGCAACTAATTCATCTTCTCTAGCGGTAGCGAGATCGGTCTATAGCTCCTTGACAGCGTCATTCCCAAGTGCCTTTTTCAGTTTAGCAAATCGAAAAGAGATGGCTATGGGATTGATAGGCCAGAGACCACTACCACGAAATCCTCCCTAAATATTGCTCGAGGAGAGTGCTTTTAGTCGAAGTTGTGCGTAGATCTCGACAACCTCATGACTATCAATCCTGACAAGGCTAAATAATGCTCGGCGCTGAAGTTCTGCACTGTAAAATTACTATACGCTCTTGAAACAACCCATATCAAGTAGTTAAAGGATATAGGACGTATAAGACGAAAGAAGGAGGAGCACAACATTGCTCTCGACGTATTTTCTATAAAACTCGAGATTATCGTGACTTTTGTGGCCGTCAAGGACGAGCAAGTGTATTTGCCCTTACGACGCTTGTTGGTAAAGGGGAGAAAGACCTTTTCAAGCCACTAAAGAGCGATATAGTTGTCCGACCAGCCATTTAGTGAGACTACGTATCCCTAAACGTCTTTACTAAACTAACGACGATAAGCTATAGCAAGATTTCTCGAAACTTACTGTCCCTAACCGTTATGAATGATAAAAGGCCCTCTACAAACGCCTATGGCACTCATAAACTCGATAAAGGACACTCAACGCCTATTAGAAGAGGTTATCGTCGTCTATCGAGAATTAGCACTGAAAACTACTTTAGTAGCCTTCTCAATTGACTCTTCTTTAGTATAGCCCTTTTCGTCTATATTCTAAACGTCCTTAGGTAAGATCTTATACTTCTCTACCGTCTCTTTTAGCTTTTGTATAAAAGTATAGTAAACGGTAGGTGTCCCTTGAAGAGCCCTCTTTAATTCCAGTGCTGACGAGAGCTTAAAGACTAAATTTATATACCTTTTAACAAATCGACGCGGCCAATTCTTGCTAACTATAAAGTTGATCTTAGAGCTTGAAACACCTCTTTTACGAGCCTCTCGTCCTTTACTAATTGTCTACGTACTTCCTAAGATTATTAAAAGAGTTAGTAGACGGCCTAAATTATATATATATAAAATATACTCCTTTAGGGTATGCTCTTCCTCAATTGTAAGTAGTTACTAGCTGATATAGGTAATCTTTTTAGGTAGATCGCTATCTAAACGTCTCCTTAACGTAGTTTTAGAGACCCTATATCGATAAGCGGTAGCGTTTACTAAAAAGTAGCTAGATTTAATAGCTATAAGTACTAAATCAAGCCTTTCCTCCTTACTCAGTATGATCCTAATAGTATCAACTATTCCGAGCTCCAATAGTACTATACGGGTAGTATCGGTCTTTTCCTAACTATACTTAGGCTCTATTAAATCTAAAATCACTAAACTTAATAGTGGCGAAGATAATAAGCTTATTTAAGGAGAAAGAGGCGGAGTAACCAAGAGCTTTAGTGATGAGGGAAGGAAGAGATTACTCCTCAATAATTCTTCTACCTCTTGGGAACCCGACTTAGTGATTTTTGTAGCTATTGCCCGCGCCCATTCGGGGAGCGTGGGAGCTAAGAAAGACACTTGAGTCGAGTCAGGGACTGTCCCGGTTAGGGAGAGAAAGGACGAGGTCGACGACGAGGTCGAACTACTGCGAGATCGGGTAAATAGCTTAAATATGATGAATTGAGCTATTTGGCTTGGTTTTAGGCTTGCTTGAATGAGTTTACTAATAGTTATATAGAATCACTTACCGAGCCTCATTCTCTCTCTTCTTATATACCTATAGCGCCAGCTTAGGGGCAACGACGAGATCAACGCCGTAAGATCATAGCAATAGGGGGACTATGTAAATCACGTTCATCACGCTCATCAACACCAAGAATTAGAGCAAGTTTTCTATATCACGCTCAAAAAGGCGACTCAGAAAGATACAGGAAAATGTGCAAGTGGTAGATAAACAGATCTTCGAGATCGACTCAGGATGTGCAGGAACAGCAAGAAAGACAGTTAGGATGCCCGGAAGAACAGCCACCAGCCTAATTACAGTGGCGAGTGTTCTAATCGGCGTGCCAATCGGTCCCTAAGCTGGCACCTAGCATCGTCGATCAGGGGCAAAAGAACGCCTAATCGCCAAAAACACGATTTTCACGATTTTGCGAGTAAAATCGAGCACGATTAGCCCCAGGAGGCAACTCCCCAGGAGGGGGTCGGAAACCAGGAGGTGGTCAAAAACGTTAGAGGGTTCCCCATCCTTGACCTCCAGATCAAAGTTGCGTTCCCTGCGCAAAGCCTACGTGTCAGTTTCAAAATACCTTGGAGCGTGAAACGATATCTTGACAAAACTTGAAAGTGTCAACACGGTGACGTCAGAAATGACGGGGCAACCTTTCACGACTGGCCTGAGTAAGGCGATCACAGTCACTTCATACAGCGCTGTATGCTTCACTTGACCAGCTACAAGATACTAGTACTTGAAGAGGACCACAATCCCTCAGATACCCTCATTGCAATCTTCTACATCAACCATCACATCCTTCAATCAGCTTCACCACAATTACCATCAGCATTCTACTGAAACTCGAAAATGTCTGGACTTATGGACAAGATTGGTCAAAAGGCCGACTCAGCCTTGAACAACAAGTCTCAGCCTGGTGACGGTGTCGAGCGCACAGCCGATAGTGACATCAACAGCGGTATGTTCTTCATCCTCGGCCTATTGTCCAATGGTCGAATGCTAATCCATGTCCTTACAGGTGTCAACGACGCCGCCAACGATGTCGGCGTCCCCCAACAGGATGATTCGTTCATCGACAAGGCCGCCGATGCAAAGGCAAATGATGACATCCCGTTTGGCAACAACTGAGGGGGAAGGCTGTCATTGCAGCACAATTGACTCTCGTGCGAGGGTGTCAGCATAAATACCAATGCGGAACATAGCATACAAAATCTACGATGATGGAATTCCAACCTGCTGCAAGAACTTCTCTGCTTTTCTGGTCGAACCTTGGATTCTTGTTCTTACGGGTGCTCCATGACAGCTGAACCTTCGGCCGTCCCAACTTTGACGGGACAAGCCGCTTCGTGAATCGATGATCATGGCCCTTGAGCACTAGATTTGTCCCATATGCTAGAAGATCAACAAAAGGTCACGTAAAGACCGCGGGTATCCTTGGTGGCTTTGAAGGCTTCCAACCCGTTATGGTTCACAGTCTCGGCTGAAGCGTCCCATATGTTTCCGTTACAACGTGACATATCTCCGAGATATGTCAATGATGCCACAATGGCGGCTTTCGAAATCATGTAGGCCACTTCAACTCGCAACAGTGGTTGACGCCGTTGTCAATATCATGGGACAACTGAGATCAGCTCCAGGAAGCTACGACGAGGATATGTAGGATGGTATGTAATGTTGCGGGTTGTGGATTCGAAGACCGGCTCAACTTCCTCACAATTTACCATTGTTCTCCAATCGTTCTCAGCTGGAAGATCCTCCTTTGTGGCTGCTCATACTTGTTCGTCACATTTGACGTTTTCCCAACCCTCATCGCTGGCATGTACTGGTCGTAAATCGACTTGGTGTGGAAGGTCCACCACTTTTCCGTTCGGCTGCCTTAGTATCTTGACAAAGCTATGCTGAGACTGCATACCTGCCAAGTGCAATCGTGTCCACCGAATTCCCTTATGATATGGCTACCACCAGGGTGTTTTCCAACGAAATCGGTACAGTCATAGACTATCTGGTCGACCACGAGCCCTACCATACAACTCAGCAACCACTCGGACTTGCGTGCATCTCATAAGGGACTGACATAGCCGTTGCCCGTCCAACCCTGTACGCTGGCTAACCTCACTTGCGGGTACCGCTGGGAGATCTTTGTCAAGCAAAGTCCTTCTCAGAACTGGATACAATGCTTCGGCACCCTCTGTATTCTCGAGGACTGGCGAAGAAGTATCGCAAAGAAAATCTTTCTGGGTGTCTCTCCACATTGCTTGATTGGATTCAACTCAGGTTTGGCCTACAGAACCAACAGCCGCACTGGCATTTCTGCATTTCGGAAAATTATTTGGAGTAGGAGTCGGCATACGTAGCTCCTTGCTTAGACTAACATTGAACAGAATCTATCTCCTCCTCTTCCCTTGTCACGAACCTAGGTCGGTATGACGGAATATGCGGAGAGTGCGCCTGGTCGAGGCTACAAGGGCAGTGGGTGGAGAAGGCGGAGAAGGCGGAGGAAGCGGTCATAGCGGACTTTGACCAGGCTTATTGCGACTTCATTGGATGAGTCTGACCCGGGGTAAAGCGGGGTAGCGCCAATCCTGAGTCCTAAAGGGCAACGAATATCATCCCCATCGGTCTGATGGGATGTTCGCCGGTCGGGATCTGCTAATGACGGTCGAGCAAAGCCTGGGGGCAGCCGTCGATGATGTGCCGGCACTTCGCAGTCTTTTAATATGCTCTGAGACCCTTAAAATATGTCTTCCCATTCTTTGCAAGTCCTGGAAAGAAAGTAATGGCGCCATCCGCAGTCAACGATGAGGGTGTCATGGTCAATGGCTTTGAAGACCATTACTCTGGCGTCACGAATCACCACGAAAAAGTGCAATTCGACAAAAGTTTGGCACCGAAGAGATACGAGATCAAAGGCACAGATCCAAACTCCAAGATCCTGTTCTTGGATGTAAATATCCTTGACAGCACAGGTCGTCCTCCATTCCGAGGGGATGTTTTTATCGAAGGTATGTTTCGTGTCGTGCAAGTCTCATCGGGTGTGGCTGACTGGTACGAACCAGGAGAACGACTGCGGCACATTGGAGAAGTGCCCGGCAAAGATGCTCTGCGTCGCAACCCAGCAGTTCGCGTCGTCGACGGAAAAGGGCGAACGCTCATGAGCGGGCTGGGAGACGCCCATACTCACTTTTCATGGAACAATGGCGATCTGGGCAAACTTGGTGATGTTGGAGTGGAAGAACATACACTGCTGTCAGCCCGTTCAGCACAAACCTACCTCGATTCTGGGTATACCATGTGCTTTGGAGCAGCGTCCGCCAAGGAGCGACTGGACTGCGTTATAAGAGATGCCATCAACGAAGGACACTTGCCAGGCCCTCGCTACTTGGCGAATGGCAAAGAGATGGCTGTGCCCGATGGTGACCTTGTTCCTGGAATTACAGCATTCGCCAAGGGACCGTTGGAGATGCGGGAAACCATCAGACATCACGTCAAGCTGGGCGTCGACCAAATCAAGCTATCAATGTCGGGTGAGCAAATTACAGAAACCCGAGATGCCCAGGACTGCTATTATACGGACGAAGAAACAGCAGCATGCGTGGATGAGGCACATCGGCATGGTGTACGGCTTTGCTCCCATGCACGGGCAAGAGACAGTGTTAAACAATGCATACAACACGGAGTCGACATTATTTACCATGCCTCATGGATCGACGAAGAGGGAATGGATATGCTAGAAAAGAATAAGCATAAGCACATCGTCGCCCCTGGAATCAACTGGCTTATTGCGACAATCTACGAAGCTGGGGCTTTTGGATATTCCTTTGAGAAGGCCGAACAGGTTGGCTACAAGAAAGAACTGGAAGTCGCCATTCAAGGCCTGAAAGAGATGCACCGCAGGGGTATCACAGTTCTTCCCGGCGGAGACTATGGCTTTGCGTGGACCCCCCACGGAACATATGCTCGCGACCTCGAACACTTTGTCAAACTCCTGGGTTTCACACCCATGGAGTCGATCATCGCCGCAACAGCCGGGGTTGCGAAACTCTTTATGCGCGAGGATGAGCTTGGTAAGATCCTGCCAGGATACTATGCTGACTGCATCCTGGTCGACGGTAGTCCTCTCGATGACATCACAGTCTTGCAACAACATGATAAGCTTAATATGATCATCATCAACGGACGCATCCACAAGGCCAGCTACAAGGAATTCCTGCGCCACGAAACCATGGAGTCAAAGCCACAGGAAGACACACAACCCCGCAATTTCATCAGCTACGCGTTGAAGGACGGAACCAAGAGGACAAGGGTTGGCCACCTGAGGCAAGAGGACGACATGATCAGAGAGCTATCATTTGCCAGTGGCACGCCGGTCGAAAGACTTGAGCAAATCCTCGGCATACCGTTGGCCGAAATAACGTTGAGTGAGGAAGTGATCCCAAAATCAAGGTAAGTCGAAGATGGCCCAGGGAATGGGAAAAACAGGCTTGGATCCAATTGACGTCTTGAAGTGTTCAGATCCTGCCTCCTATCACCGGCAGAGACGTCCTTGCAGTCGGAAAGAATTATATGGACCATGCCCACGAGTTCAATTCCAGCGGTTACGACTCATCAGACAAAGAAGCACGCCCTTCCCACCCTGTCATTTTTACCAAGCGAGCTTCATCGATCATCGCCCATGAGCAGAGCGTTTATTTCGATGAGGAGTTCACCTCCACTCTTGACTATGAGGGTGAGATCGGGGTCATTATCGGCAAGGGCGGATACAAGATCTCAGAAGATGATGCCATGGATCATGTCTGGGGCTACACAATCATCAACGACCTTACGGCTCGTGAAAGACAGCGGGACCACAAGCAATTCTTCATTGGTGAGTGATATACTTCCTGACGGACGACATATATGCTAACATTGATGCCCCTGCAGGTAAATCAGGCGACACTTACTGTCCCATGGGGCCCATTGCCGTGCCTGCATCCGCCGTACCAGCAACACTTACCGTCACAACGCATGTCAACGGCGAAAAGAGGCAACAAGCGACAACCGAACAACTGATCTTCTCCATTCCCCACATCATAAAGACATTGTCGGAAGCTCAGACCCTTCGGCCTGGCGACGTGATCGCCATGGGTACACCTGCAGGTGTAGGTATAGGAATGAAGCCGCCCACATTCCTGAAGCCTTCGGATGTGGTGGAAGTCTCCATCACGGGGCTAGGAACTCTTAAAAACACAGTGACCGCCACCAGAGACCCAGAGGCAATTTCTGCTCGACTTGCCGAAGAGTCTGCTGCATCGATCCCTATCCAAAACCTGTCCGTCACCCTGGGAGGTGTTGGTTTGACGACCATTGCCTCTGGAAAGCAACTCAACGTTGAAAAGCTGGGCAGTGGAGAGAAGCTCGTCATATTCGTCCATGGGCTGGGTGGGAGCACCACCTTTTACTCCCAGCTCGTGGACAAGCTCAAGTTGGCGGACAAGTACACATGTGTCTTGTACGATCTCGAAGGGCATGGACTTTCTCCAACCACGGCCACCAGTCTCATTACAATCTCAAGCCTTGCAGACGACCTACGCGCTCTACTGACCACGAAACCGCTGAGTCTGCCGCTGGACAAAGAAGTGACTATTGTGGCTCACTCCATGGGCTGCCTGGTGGCTGAAGTCTTTGCGTTGAAACATCCGGACCTGGCTCACCGTCTCGTCCTTATCGGACCACCACCATGTCCGCTCCCTCAAGGAGGGTACGAAGCAAGCATCAAGAGGGCAGCCACCGTGAGGAAGGAAGGTATGCGGAATGTCGCAAAAGCCGTGGCAAACGCAGGCACGTCCGACAGAACGAAATCTCATCAATCGGGTGGCTTCGCTGCTGTCCTGACGAGTCTGTTGAGTCAAGACCCCGAGTCATACGCAAAGGGCTGTACGGCATTGGCGTCTGCACGTGAGCTGCAAGTCGATCTTGGACAAATTCGCTCCAAGGTCCAGATCATTGGTGGTGATGAGGACAAAGTCAGCCCACCTGCGTATACCCAAGAACTGACACAACTTCTGCCAAATGCAACACTCGCAACGCTGAAGGAGACAGGACACTGGCATACCTTCGAGGACATTGAAGGCACCGCAAGTGCTCTTGAATCATTTTTGCAGTCATAGTGGGAGTAACGATATAACTCCTAGTGACGGAAAAGGATATGACTAGAACCAGCTGAGCCTGAGCATCGGTCCCAGTTGCAACGTTGGCGGATTTCATCTGTCCGATTTTCAGGCTTTCGAGGATGGTGCTCAAGTGCGAGGGGCAGCATGATGTAGGGGGGTAAAAGACATTTTGAGATCGAGTCGAGCATCCAAACATTAAAATGTATGGAGATTATCACCTGCTATCATTATGATGGGCTGCGCGTCCCTTGCAGAGTCAGGTTCCATTGATCAGCCAGCAGCATTGTGTGTTTATTCGAATGATTCGACTAGATACTAGCTGTATCGCTATTCGAATAGGTCTTAGGTCTATCGGCTATTCGAATTAGCTGGTTTATTCGAACAGGATTCGGATGGGATACCTAGTATTAAACTGCGTTCGAGGTGCCCGCCGAACTCGGGGAAAATAGTGTAGTAGTTCACCGTATTTTGATACTAAGCCTTGGTCAGTAATTTCAATGCTCAAAAAGGACACTAAACCTCTTTCGGACCTCGATCCTACCATCAAAATTACTCAGAGAGGTGTAGCGTTCAATCTTCATAAATGCATGCTCTGGGGAAATATCGTGCATTATCGTTTCACTGGCAATGACAGAATGCACAGCAACTCACACACATGAGCAAATATATTCATGCCTGGGACTTCGTTTTTGCTACTGGGCTATGGAGTATTGCTCGCGGAATTTGGCTGCAGCCGTCAGAAGCCAATAGGCCCAATACTGATCCCAAATGTTGGACGTTTTGAGCTGACGACTTTCTAGCGTCATAGCATTGCCCAAAGGATTTGCTACAGATACTAAGTGATGTGCAACGACCTCAACATACCATGTGCCCTCCGTCTAGTGCTTCTCGTCAATGGTGGTTGGACGCGGAGCATCATCAATCGACATCGTCTCCTCATCCTTGGTCGCGACGACATGTCCTTCAGGCAGCAGATTGAGTTGATCTTCCTCCATGTCAAGACCCCAGAATTGGATGATGAAGAAGACACCACCCAAAAATGACACCACAGCGAAGACACCGTAGTTCCAGATCAGCAGTGGATCACCACTCAGGCGGTTGAGGGCCTCGGCAATCGCGGCAGAAACGGCATTGGTGAACAGCGCAATAGCCTGAACCAGAGATCGCATGTTCTTTGGCGCCTTGGAATAAGCATATTCGAGAGAAGTGATGGAGGCGAAAATCTCGGAGAAGGCAATCAGAACATAGCAGCCAGTCTGAGCCCAGACATTGATGGGTGCAGGATTGACGCTACCGTCATCAAGATAGCAGTCGTTGGCGGAATAACCGCAGGGGGACGTGTGGTAGATATAATACTGCACCACTGCAGCCCAGATCATCGCCGCCGAGGCCAACCAAAATCCGGCAGTGATCTTCTTGATGGGGGTGAAGTTGAAGCCAAGTTTGCGCAGGCCAGGGTATAGGCAGGAGTCGCAAATGGGGATGAATATGATCAACGCAAAAGGATCGAGGTTGTTGACAACGTCGTTGGGCACACCGTTCAACGTCATGGTACCAGCTTGGGCTGTGAAGTTGTTCGTCAGCTGCCCGTACGCAAGCCAGTAGAGTGGGTACCAGCAGAAGACGGCGCAGGCTTTGAAACCACGGCGGACCTCGTCAACCCAGGCGTCGTCGAAAGTCATCCACGCAGGACGTTGGGAGGGCTGAATGTTGGACGGCTTGACGGCCTCCCAGAGAGAACCGTCATGGGTGCGCTTGTACATGGTGACTGGGTTCAATGACCAGCGTCCCCGCATCCCGAAGAGTAGGGCTTTAAAAGCCTTGCCTACGACGGAACCGGAAGGTGGTCGTTGCTGATAGCGTTTGCGTCCCCACCACATGACAAATGGAGTCGTCAAGAAGGCAATCGTAGGGAGCAAGAATGCGAGCCAGAATCCAACGTATTTCTCAGCATACACCATTCTATCACGTTTGTTAGTTTCTGTCTTCGGAAACGTTGAATGTTACTCACCCAACCTGACCGACCAGAGCGCCAATGTTGATGAAGAGGTAAAAGTAATGGTAGATCCGACTTTGGGTGATGATAGGATCGACCACGACTTTTTCACCCGAGGACAGCGTCTTGACATATGCACGTGTGACGTTGATCTGCTCGGCGACCAAAGGGGAGATGTTAGGCTTGAAACCACCGGTGCCGAAACCCATGATAATCAGACCGAGCATGAACAAGGCAAAGCAGGCCGTCTCGTTGGTGATGATGGGTGGAATCGCTGAGAGAACAAGAATGATATGACCGAGAATGGCGATGGCAATGGAAATGCAGATGGTCTTGTATCTTCCCCAATGCTCGTCGGCCATATAGGCACCCAGAAGTGGAACACAGTAGACCCAGAAGGTGTTAAAGGTGTTGATACCATTGGCGGTTTCGGGCCCTTGACCCAGAGCACCAGAAATGCCTTGGGAACTGCCACCGCCGGCACCGGTGTTGTGGTGCGAGCCAGGGGGGCCATCTGGTTGCGCGAGGGGGAGCGCATGGTTCACGTAGTTGGAGTAAACCACTTGGGTTCCGTAATAAGAGAATCGCTCGCAGAGTTCCACAAAGGCAACAGTGTAGACCGCCCAAGGGATTGGGGCAGCAACCCTTCGCAGAGCACTCGGCCCATGAAGCTGGTCTTCCGTGGGGATCTGATGGTACTCGGGATCCGGATTGAAGTATGAGTGGACAGCCTTCTCGTCGACAGCCTTGGTGACCGATTGTCGTCGGCCTGCATCAGCGTGGTGGTCAGTGAGACCAGAGGCCTGGATGATTTCTGGATTATCGACAGGCATGATGGAAGGTCAAGAGAATATATGGGTTTCACGAGAAGTGAAAGGGAAGGAAGCAATACTGGAAGAAATAGTGTGGGTAGCGCGTGGACTGTTCAAGGGGTACTTATACCTCTCCATGGACTCGATGTCCAGTGTCCAAAGTGGCAGGAGGAAAGAGAAAGCGTCCTTCTGGAATCGACATGGAAGTGGTCCCCCGGAAAGGATTGGAGGATCGTGAAGCCAGCTCCCTCGGCCTCCCTGTCCAGGTTCGCGTCGCTTATCGCTGGGGGGCAAAGAAGGAAAGTCGTGAATCGTGATAGGCGTTAGTATTGACAGGGAGACACGATAGTCTGAAGAGTTCTGTGCGACGATTGGTAGAGGACCACATTGCCATTGAATCCATGTTACATTCTCCCCGCAATAGTGCACTGGCAATGACAAGATCAAATCATGTTTGGAAAAATCTTGACGAGGCCAAGCAATGAGGTGGCAAGGCTTGAAAGGGCTTATCTGGCTAGGCATGACGGTCAAGAGTCCCAATTCAGCCCAGCGCCCGTACTTGGACCCGGCGGCCGCCCCGGTGAGATCTTCCCAGGGGCCAATGCCCAGGGACCTATGGGGCATGGAATTACTATCATAGCTATGGCATTCGTTCTCTTGCATGAAGATCTGCGACTAGTGCCTGGGATTCCTCGCACAAAAGAAAAGCACGCCACCATCTGCACAGCTTTACGAGTGCTCCATGAGGGTCATCAATGTCAGTTACGAGGGCACTAGGGTCTCTGGCGAGGCCGAACTCTGGGATCTTGTTGCGAAAGGCTTATCCGGACGGATCTTGGCCGTTGTCATTCATTCCTCGGCCACGTCCGATTGTAACCCTTTCACACACTACGGGTTACTACCCTGCGTAGGGCAGTACTTGTGTCGCCATCCATCACTGCGCCGGTGTGGCAGATGCGATAAGATGGTTGCTTTTCTTGCTGGTCTATCAATCAACGTTTGCTTGGCAACCTCACACGACACCACTCATAAGACCGGGGCTTATCAGAAGAGCACTAAGGACCCCATGTCCAGAGGATTTGTTCTTACGCCAGAGCCTTGGCTTACAACATCCAACATGGAAGTCCCGTCATCATAGACTGACGCTCACGCCATTGCCGCCGTTCATCCCTGATATCAAGGTATCTCATACGCCTCATGTGGGAGGAAGTGGCATGTTCTCGACAGATACCTCCCGAGTTCGTTGCTCGAATCTCCTGTCGATGTGGATCGCCCTCGCCTTATCAACAAAGCAATAACGATATCCACCATTTCTAGAATGATTGTTGCATCGAAATCCACATAGAGATCGAGTGCATACGTCCAATTGTTTCCACAGGGCCACTTTTCTGAACCTCGCTGCCGATGAACTACCCCTGTACAGAGGACTTTGTACTCGTAACACCTCTGGGATACTGACTATCGCAATGAGTGGATTTGGAACCGTTGATATCCGTCCGTTAGACTGAAGCGTCAGCCGAAGAATGCAACAGTAATTTTACGGGGCCAGAGAACCTGCAAGTCGAAAGCATCTTACTATTCAGCCTGTCAAAGCTGCCATCTCAAATTCCATGCTTCACAGAACCCGCTACTTTTGGAGATGGTTTTCGACAAGGGGTCATTTTAACACCTCGGCTCTTCCAAGACAGCGGGCGGGCCTTTTGCAAGCTGGACCCTCATCAAGGGCTTCGCCTGTACGGTGCAAAAGCCTTTGTACTCGTCAACCTCGTATGAGTCCTTGCCAGCCCTGTTCCCTAGTTGCCACGGGCCGCCCAGAACGATGTTGTGACGCGGAGCATTGGAAGATGAACCACTCCAACACAAGATAGTACTACATGTGGTGACCACCACCTCATGTCAAATCATCATAGGGCTAATAAACACCCAATCAGTACGAGTACTCGGGCTGCAGTCCCAATACTCACCATTAGTATTGGACGTCATTGGCGGCGTGTTACAAATGTTGGACTCATCACTTGCACCACTCCTTTCCATGCACCTCATTGATCACATGTCCCACCTCAAAGCGGTTCGAGAACACGGTCGCGGTTGACGAACTGGAAACTCATATGTCCTTCTTGAATTCGGATGACAAGAATTCCATTGTCCGTGATTGATAGTGCGTTTGCTCTTTCGTGAGAAAGCATGTTCTCCGCTGCTCATCTCCAGCCGGCGAGCACAGCTTACAACGATTGCTGGGTGGCTTTTTGAGGGGTCCCCGCCATCCGAAGGATAGACTGCTTGTGATTTCGCTTCCGACCTGCTGGAAGAGCAGAGGATTCCCCGGCTTGCAGCTGATCTGAAGATGTTTGTGAAGATTGTGAAGAGGGACAGCTCTTTTCCATGATAACCTGTCGAAATGTGTGGGAGTTCTGCGAGAAGGATACGTCAAGATCAGGTGGGCTGTGTGCGATAGAAGATGCGCACATTTCTGAGGGCTTCGGGTAATTAATGGATGATAAGGTACTGTAACAAGTGATCCTGCGTAGCCACGACTTTGGCAATGCAGCACCAGCCTCCTGCTCTGAGCGGACACAGTGCAACAAGCTGGAATCTTAACCTATCTGATCAAAGCTATGAAGGCCACAGGTGATCAAGGAGAGCCCCCTACGAAAGAGAATGACTGCTGGCTACACCCCTCCGCTATTATGTACAACCAACTCCATCGAGAACATAGCGCCACCATATTCACTCGAGACATGTTGCCCGTATAACATTCTCACTAAGCGCAACCACTGCCCTCCGAATGTCCAGCTCTTATGAAACGCTGCCTATGGCGTTCACACCAGCAGTTGCAATGGTCACGTCCTGGTCATTACTTCCACCACTGCAGCCTACCGCCCCAATGAAAACCCCGCCGACAAAGATGGGCAACCCACCCCCAAAGACAATCAGTCCACCGTTGGTCTCTTCCAGGCCGAACAGAGCGTCACCAGGCTGTGTGAGGTTGAAGAGGTCGGCCGTGGTGTAGGCCCCATTAAAGTCTGCAACGGTTCTTGCTTTCTTGGTGGCGATGTCGAAGCTCGCAGGGAAGGCATTGTCCATTTTCAGAATTGCGACAAGAGCACCGGATGGGTCAACAACCGAAATCTGTTCGGCCACTGAGATGTTCGCAGCCTTCGTTGCAGCCGCGTTGATGACCTGGAGCGCTTGAACCTGGTCGATGATATGGCGTTGACTCGGAGTTGACCCAAGGAAATTGGTGGAGCTGCTCTGGGCATAGGCCAACAGAGGTAGGGAAAGAAAGATGTTGAGGGACCTCATCTTGAACTGAGAATTCGTCAACGCCAAAGATGGGATTACTTGGCGGAAGGTAACCGTGGTGATGGTGGTACAACAGATATTGAGATTGGTTGCAGAATTCTGGTCTGAATGTCGTGCAGGTCAGCGCATATAAGTGAGTCCTAGGCCTTGGTCGACGGCTGTCATGGATCGTCACTGGGATTCATCCCTCCATTGTTGTTGTGATAAAAGGGGGATATGCCACTTCAACACCAGGGGCCGAATGATGCTCAGCCTTGTATTGAGTATCGACCGAGACAGCCCCGAAAGCACTCTGCCATGTCCATTGATTTAATGGCACGCTGCTACATACACGAGCTGTGGAGATCAAAAGGACCTATACTTACTCACACTTTGTGGAGAAAAAACGCTCTGAGTGGAGGTTTGTAAGCAGCGAGTCTTACAACTCGAAATGTGAAGGGTGAGGGTCAACGGTTGTGCACAACGTCCACTCAATCCGGCAGCAAACTACGAGATTTCGTGTAGGTGGAAATTCTCCGGGTCAGCTCCGTCAAACATGGGGATGAATGAGAGCGGTCTAATTGCATACAGCCACTCACTGACCACAGCCACAAAGGCGCCTGACGCCCTGGCATTGATGGGATGCATGGGGACGAAAACCCCCTGTGCGACCTCGATGATGTTATGTTTGGAATCTTGTCTCCTGTGAGCATTGAACAGCAGGAGTATAGGGTGCCTATGACACTATCAGCTCCCACCATTACCGGATCGAATGAAGGAGGCCGTTGACCAAATCATCGCATAAGAGGGCATTGACAACCCAGACACCAAGCAGTGTATCAGAAGGATCAAAAAGGCTATCAAGCATCCGCCACAAGAGCACGATGCATCACTCCACCAGGTGCCCGTACTCACGGCCCGCCTGAGGCAATGGGTGACGTTGTTTGTCGCTCGGCCCAACGACCATTTCTAGATGCCCAGGGTATGTTTCTCTTACGGCGACGACTTGCCTCCACGTCTTTGCCTTCTCCACGCCCGCGCAAGTGTTCTGCAACCTTGATGACGGGCTCGAATTCATCGCCAAAGTAAGAAGCTCGGCGATTGTCGTCCAAGAACTCACCAGACCTTCTCTCATGACGATGACTTTGTACAGAATGAAGATTGTATGCACCACAGCAAGAGCGAGGTGGATGAGGAGCACCACAATGCCAAATTTGGCCGTAGTCGAACCCTGCCATCGATATCCATAGCCATAGCGTGAAATCACTGGATCAATGCGCAACCAATTGCCCACGTCGGCAGAGGTTGCATTCAGCGATTCATCCTCTCCACCCTCTGCAGACGTAACGACGAACCTCCCGACTAGGCCTCCCGAAGAATCGGTTTTGTTCGTCAAGAACATCGCGGCTGAATACGGGAAAATGCCGTTACCACCAATGCGAGCGAGACCATCCGTTACGACGCCAGCCAACAAAGTCGATATCATGGTGGCTCGAGTCTTGCGGATTTCGTCGAACGTTGTATTCGCATTTTCTTCCCCATTCACACTCCCCAAGAAAGGAGCTTTGAACTTATAGCCAATGCCGTCGTTGGGGCCAACGTCGTCTTGCTCGAACGTAGTTTGATCGAGCATGGCAGGAATTGCAGGAATATTGTCTGTTTGGAACGGCATGAGTTGGTTCATGGCAGAGGCGTAATCGAGATGTATAGTCATGTTGCGAATCGGCTGATGGGTCGCAGCATCTTGTGGTACAGCTGTCAGGCAAGTGTCCGTGAGTGGGCCTTTGACATTGAAAGATACCTGATCATTGTTTCTGGGCTCATAGAAAACGTCGACAGGTATCCATTGGGCGTATATACTGCATGCATGTATCTCCGTCGCTTGTTCCGATACATATGACGACGTATTGCCGCTATCCAGATATATCCAAGGGACCCTGACAACGGCGCCCAAAGTCGGATTGTCAGGACCAGCAGGCATCTCGACCCATTGAAAGTCTGTGTCATTAAAAAGGCCGGAATAGGGTAACACAAAGCCTTCGCTTGGGAGCGATTTGTTTGTAAAGCTCGGAAAACTGATGGGTGACCGATCCTGCACGGCGGTCTCATTCATATAATCAAAGCCGTCGCATAGCACTTCGACCTTGGGCGCATAGATTGGTGTGTTCAGAGTGAGCTTTGGTTGAGCAGCAAACAGACCGAGACCCTCAAAATTGTTCTGAGCAAATGTCCAGTAGGCAGTAAGAGCCCCAGTGATAAAGGTGTTGAGGGACATCCCTGAAGCTCTTCCGTCGTATGGACTATTGCAGCTTTGGGTTGACAGAACTCTTCGAGTGTCACCACGAGCATCCGGAAAGGAATGTTGCTTCCGGCTGACGAGTTCGCAAACAGTAAATTGCCAGCCCACGTATAGACGTTACTGAATCCACCCGCCGGACATACTTCCTCGACCTGTGTGGCGACAGTTGCGGCGGTACAATTGATTCCGGCCTCCGCGCTGTTTTCACTTGCTCCGGTAACGTTATCAGGCCAAAGCACTGTGCTTTGATTGAAGATATAGTATGGAAGCACATCGGAGTCGAAAGGCTTATCGAGTGGGAACCAATTCAGGGAAGGGATAACGGCAATGGCGGACGACGGGCCGGCCAACGTCGCCAACAATGTCGCGAGGAGGGACAATAGCCAGAAGCGCAGATAATGAGCTTTCGATGTCCACGCCGACGCCCAGAACGCTTTGGTCCTCAAAAAGTCTCCTGATCCGACCGCGAAACTGTTGGTCAGAAGACCCAGAGGTAAACCATGATTGCCAACCATATGTGCCTGTGCAACATGCATCACGATCGTGCCGAGTGATGCGACCAAGATCAGTTCGTGTAGCTTAGCAGCTAGTTGCAGAGCATTTAGCGCACCTCCTTGGCTGATGCCAGGCAGGATGTGAACGTTAGGGGCCACCAAGTCCATCCAGTAAAGACTTCGAAAGTTGATCTCCACTACCACAAGTGTAATGACGGAGGCCGCGAGATGTGGAAGAAGCTTCGAGGAGTTTGCCCAGAAGCCCTTCTTGATCGCCTGCTTGGGCGACTCGAGCAAGGCGTTTGAAATCGGCACCGACATAGGAGGCACATCATTCGACTCGGTCTTGGTAAACTCGACGAATCTCTCTTGGGGGCTTGTCAGACTATCCACGGTGTAGCTTCGGTGGTACGGTGGGATAATCGGGCTTAGGATATGTTGCGAATCCGAGGTGTTTGGAGTGGGTGGGATGTTGAACAATCTGTCGTACAAAGAGCGGCTCAAAGGTCGGCGACCTGCGCCTGAGCCGTCCATTTGGCCAAGGACGCAACGTTAACTCTGATAATAACAGAAGGAAGGGTCACCGCTCATCTTCAATGGCTCGAGAGCCGGTGAAGCAGTATATGAACATTGAACGCCATTCTTGACACGAATGCTTTTCGCGCCATTCTGACACGAAATGCGCCTCCACACCGACATGCCCTAGGCCCAATGTCAGCACAAGGAGATCGGCTGCATTGTTCCCTCGGGCAAGTGGCCAATGGGGCAACGCAGCAATGCGAACAGGATCTCCGGAAGCAAGTCCTGGACCTTTCCTTGTGACGGCTTGAGAGCAATAGTTACTGCCCATGGTGCTGGTGATAATGGGTCAGACGTAAGGACGACAGCGGCTAACTGCTTCACTGAGGAGATTGTTGCTTGAATCTCGGCAAGATGATAGGCCAAGTACTCAGGTAAGCACTAGGGATGGCCGGCGAAACACACGTTTCAAGGGCTTATGGCTGGTTCGGCGAACATACAAGTACTGCAGTGCCTCGCTTGTATGCATGAGTACATAACCGTGAAGAAGTGAGATCAAGCTGATAACTGTGGTCATCCAACACAGCACCCAGCGATGGGTATCAAGGGGTCAAGGTGAACCGTTGGAATTCGATTATTTCACGAGGATTTCAGAACGAATGCCGCAACATAGTGAATATCATCAGTAATCAAAAAACAATTTCCGGAAAGATTGGTGATTCTGGAGGTTGAGGAGCTTCGTCGCACCTCCAATATCCACAGTCCATTAGTGAGAGCCCAGAACATACAGACTAGCCCTGTTGTCGCATTGGTGCTGACAGGTCTCCGAGTTAGGGCGTCAGAGGACCAGGACAATATGGACGTACCTGCACACTTACAGCTGTTTCGGATTCGATGAACATCGCGCCAAACCGGCAGATGCATTGCAACCTTGATCAGCAATGTGGCGGAAAGGCAAAGGATGAATCTCACGGATATCTCCTGAAATCAGTATCTTCCCGTGCGAAGGCAAGGCACATGCAATCAATGAACCGAGGTAGCTTGTATGTTTCTTTCCAAATGCCATGACGAGCTCACGATATCCTACCAGCAAGGTAAAAACCATACCAAATTGCTGCGGCGAGTGATACGACATTGACCAACGACGATGCTCCATGTAATCGAGAAAACCGTTCGTTCAAGGCCTGCATTTCCTTGCTGTGTGGGGGTGGATCATAACTCTTCTTGCCATCTCTTGTCTCCTGGTGTTTCCTCTCCTTCATGGCTTGCGTGGTTGCAGGGCCCAGGTAGAGGAGATTGGCCGCAGCAGTCACAAGCATTGTCGAGAGCGGCACAAGCACGTGAAGTCTGTTGACAGGTTCCAGGACTCCTGAGATACTTGAAGGGGCCATTCCGATAGCGGTCCGCTCGGCTGGAAAGGTGAGGGCGAGAAGGATCGGAAGCGCAGTCTGCATTGAAAAGTAGATGGGAAAGACAGCTGACTGGAGTGTGGCGAATTGCGGTCGAGGAAGGGATCTGTATGCGACTATTCCACCAACGAAGGTCTGAAAAACCTGTGACCCCAGGAGAACGCCATAACTTGTCGCAATGTCAGTGGTTTTTCTCTGCGAAGAGTTCAAGTCGGCATTCACCTGATGATGTGGTAGGGAGCCGCGGAGTAGATGAGTGAGTCAGGCATCTTGACAGATGAATTCGTTGTCTTTGACAATTGAAGCAGCTGACAGGGTTGTGCTTCGATTACAGAATTGTATCTAATGGTATCTATGTCAAAGGAGGTGTTCAAGTTTCAATGGTCTGGAGTATCAAAATGTCAACGTCATTCGGCGCGGACAAAACACCAGGAACGCGTGAAAAATGTAGAGTAAAGTGGTACACGTGACCTCGCGTCATTTCGCGACTCCGCATGTTCTGCGGCGAGAGTGATGTGCTTCTATGTTACGAACCTTGTGAGCACTTCGTAGTCCCTCCAGGATTTGCGACGTTCTTAACAACATGTGCATGCCGCTGTGGTACCATAGTGCCAGAAGTCGCCAGATTCTACGACACTCATGACCAATATCTGCCCAACACACCACGATTCACACTTTCGCTGGACGTAGCCCACTGATGCGAACGGAGGCGGCACCATGGAGAAGGAAGCAACCGTCTACCTTGTAGACGTGGCCCGGTCCATGGGGAAAAAGCACTCACACCGCCAACAGAGCGATTTGGACTGGGCTCTCAAGTATTTCTGGGACAAAATAACCGACATTGTTGCAACAGGGAGGAAGACGCTGCAAGTAGGGATCGTCGGGCTTGGAACAGATGGCACATCAAACGACATGCAAGAAGAGGACAGCTACAGACATATCAGCGTCCTTCAACCCATTGCACAAATCCTCATGCCCGAGTTACGCTCACTCCCCAAGTTGCTGCAGCCCAGTAAGACCGACGACCGAGATGTCCTCTCGGGCATCATCATCGCTGTCGACATGATAATGAAACACTGCAGACACCTCAAGTACAAGAAGAGACTCGTGGTAATCACCAATGCGACAGGTCATATCGATGCCGACGACATTGAAAGCACTGCCGAGCAATTCAAAAACAATGGGATCGAGCTGGTCATTTTGGGCATCGACTTTGATGATCCTGAATATGGGTTTAAAGAGGAAGACAAACTGGAAATGAAGATGGACAACGAGCGAACACTGAAGAAGCTGGTGGACCTATGTGATGGAGTGTTTGGGACGATGCAGGAAGCCATCGACGAACTGGCGCGACCTCGCATCAAATCTGTGCGACCGACTCCCACGTACCGAGGTCAACTGAGACTCGGGGATCCAGAGACCTACGATACTGCGTTGTGTATCGATGTTGAGCGGTATATGAAGACTCAAATTAGAAGGCCACCCACGGCGAGCGCATACGTTGTCCGCGAACAAGCGGGTGACGACGACCAAGCCCTTCAAACGGTACACAATATATACAAGTACACCGTTAATAATGAAGAGAAAGATGGAGATCTAAAGGAGATCAAGCGCGAAGAACTGGCCAAAGGGTACGAATACGGACGCACAGCCGTCGCAATTTCAGAGTCGGAACAGAACATCACCAAACTCGAGACTTACACAGCGTACGATATCCTCGGTTTTATACCGGTGGAAAACGTTGAACGGTACATGCTTCTTGACAATACCAACATGATTGTTGCTCAGAAAGGCAACGACAAAGCAGCCTACGCCCTCTCCTCGCTTGTACATGCTCTCTTTGAGCTTGGCTCAGTTGCGGTAGGTCGACTTGTGAAGAAGGACATGTCGGAGCCAATCCTGACAACCCTTTCGCCACTCATCGAAGAAGATATCGAATGCTTGATCGAGAACGTCTTGCCTTTTGCTGAAGACGTCCGGTCATACCGTTTCCCGCCTTTGGACAAAGTGCTCACTGTTTCCGGCAAGGAGTTGACGGAACATCGAAACCTGCCAAATGCCATGCTATTGAAGAGCATGAGTGACTTTGTTGACGGCATGAGCCTGGTCCATGATGACGACGAATTGATGGCTATGGATGACACATTCTCGCCGGCTCTGCATACTATCGAGGGAGCGATCAAAGACCGAGCAGTCAAGCCTGATAGTCAAGCAGGATTGAAGAAAGGCGAGGAGTTTGTGGAGAAGTACGCAAAGCAGCCTAAGGACCTCCAGGAGCAGAGCAAGGAAAATCTGGCGAGGTTGATTGCGGCCGCCGACGTGAAGAAGGTTCCCAGCAAAGCAAAGGGACGACGCAGATATCGCGAAGCCGAAAAACCGATATCCGGCCTTAACGTCCAAGAACTGTTCCGCAAGGAAGACCGATCTAATATCTCCCCTGACAATGCGGTTGCCGGATTCAAGCAGATGATGGAAGGAGAAAAGAATATGGAACGCATCAAAGACACTATGCAACAGATGTCCGCGATCATCCAAGAGCACGTCCGCACGAGTTACGGAGAGGCCAATTATAACAGAGTGCTTGAGGAACTCGGGCTGCTTCGTGAAGAAATGCTGGGCTTGGAGGAACCCGGTCTTTACAATGACGTTCTGCGTCAGTTGAAAAAGAGGCTCGTTGCAAAAGAGCTTGGTGGAGACCGAGCGAAGCTGGGCTATTTGATTCGAAAGCACAAGCTTAGCTTAATCGACAATGAGGCCTCGGAGTTCTCGGACGTAAGCACAGCAGATGCCGATACCTTTATGATTATCAAGTCGGAAACTTGATGTGGACGTCATGTTGACAATATGCTGTCGGCTGGATGTTGATGTCCTTGCACGTCCCCGGAAAGGGCGAGTGATACCCATTTGATGCTTTGAATGATACTGGTCGCATGTTTCTCCTCATGAGATTTTGCCAATCCTTCGTTTTGCGATGTTGATCTTGCCCTGTACACGATCGACATCTTCGTCGACCATTCTGAGCATGTCGTTCTGCACCTCAAGCTCTTGATTGATGGCGATCCCCAATTCCTTCTGCCTCATCACAATCTTCCGCAGCTCTTCCACGTCCAGATCTTGATCGGCCATCTTTTGCTGCTGCAGTTGCAGTACGCCTTGATTGTCCAGCTCTCTCGTCTCGGCCGTCTCTTTCCCTAGAACTCTGCCACTAGTTTTGGGTTTGCTCCCCATCAATTGCTGCGTGTCCTGTATGGATGCGACAGCAGTATCGAGCTTGGACTTCGTGGCCATGGCATTCAGGAGATTTTCAAGACCATCCCTGTCCTTCTTCGCCGTTGCGATCAGATCTTTCCTTCTTCTGATCTCGCCTTCTCCCAACTTCTGACCTCCCCAAGCTTCGTCAGAAGCTTTTTGGATGTTCGTGAGCCCTTCTTCCAGCGCCTTGATCATCGAGCCTGCCTTTACAAGACTGCTCTTGGCAGTAGCGCTAGCCTCATGCTGTTTCTGAGGTGTTGAAGCCTGATCACGATTTGTGAGACTTAGGCGGGCATCCTGAAGCTGCGCTTTCATGTCTCTGTGGCAATCCAACCATACCACGGGGTCTGTAATGGGCGCGCCGCCTCCTGCCGGACCTGTGATAACCGAGTGCAGAGCGCCAGCTTTGCTTGATGTTTGGCTTGCAAAAGAAGTGGGAAGGTTGAGAAACGTCCTCCACACGCTTGTAGTCCTCCATCGTGAGTCATCGATTTCGTTGATCGTCTTAAGATATGTTTCCAAGGCTTGCCGTCGTTCTTCGGTTAGTTGTGGATTTGAGACGGTCTTGGAGAACCACGATTTCGCTGGGAGTGAGGCTGGTGGAGGAGAGCCGGCCTGATCAGTCAGACCACTATGCAGAGCGACAAAGTCAGAGTAGCGCTTCTGGACGGTGAAGGATCGAAGAGGAAGGCGTAATGTGATGTTGTAAATCGTGTAAGGCTTGGACGTTCCCGAAACCGTCGTGTTGGGTATTGATATCTCGACTTGCGGCGCCATGACAGGCTCAAGGCTTGTATGATAGGAAGTCTTGTGGCCAAGGGTACATTCACTGAATCTGTCGCTCTAGACGCAGTACCAACAATATCGCCAAACAGCAATTGTGAATCGTGTGTTGTGTTTCACATTCGAGTTGCAGGCAAGAAAATGGCTGTGATGGACTCATGCGCAATGACGCAGCAATGTTGATCAAGTAACTCGGATTCAGATGCGATGCGTGAGTGGCTGTGCTCCCTAGTTTACAAGCCGAAAGACTGGACTTAACTTATCACCCCATCACTCGGAGCCCTATCGCTTGTCCACGATGCAGTAGACAGCAAGACCTGTTTATGACATACAGTCAATTTCATCATATTCAGACCTTCGAACTGAACATTCGAGCAATGCTGCCATCTCATCGCCTTTACTGCCGTCATGGCAGCAAAACCTCCGCTGCCTCCCCGAACGCTTCCTGTTCAACCTAATAACACGACGACATTGCACGACCACGCCGATCAGGATTCTAACCAAGAAGGCTTTCGAAATCCCACTTTGACAATCCCGCAAGCGTCAAATTCTGTCTATTCCGGCGGCCTCAATGATCCCCGAGCATCGTCAACGCAGTCACTTGGCCTTGTAAAGTCTGCCAGTGACGAGCGGAGAACTCTGCTAATCATCTATATCCATGGGTTTCTGGGTGATGAAACGAGTTTCAGGAGTTTTCCTGCTCATGTGCATGGTCTTCTGAGCACCGCATTAGCACCCACTCATGTCGTCTACACCAAAATCTATCCGAGGTACAAAAGCCGCAAGAACATCTCGTTTGCGACAAATGACTTCAGCAAGTGGTACGGCTCCGCTGCTCCACTATCAAGGCATCTACTGATTCTGTTCTAGGCTTGCTAATCATGAGTCAGACACCACAGATGTGATCCTGGCAGGCCATAGCCTGGGCGGCATCCTTGCTGCCGAGGTGGTTCTGTTGCCTCCTGATGCCGCACAGAGCAATGAGCTCTTCCGGCATCGAATTTTGGGACTTCTTGCGTTCGATACCCCTTACTTTGGGATGCACCCAGGAGTGGTGGGCACAGGCATTGCCAGCTTGTTTCGCACGCCTGCCGAATTGGCGGAAGCTGCTTTGCCAGATTTTGCGCCATTCTCTGAACCAAGCCCTGTCACCTCTGATCCAACATACAACCCATCCTATGACAACGACATGCGCCTGGTGAATAGAAAGGGCAAGCTTGAGAGGGCGTGGTACTTCTGGAATAAGCATGCTGGTGCACTGTCCAAGGCCGCGAGCGACTATGTGTCTTCACATCTTGAATTTGGAGGCTGTCTAGCAGATTACATTGGACTAAGAAGACGCTATAGCGCCATTCGGGCGTTGGAGGACGTCAACGAGCTGATGAGACCTAAAGCTGCAAACGATCGTCTGAACAAGCGGGTGCGCTTTGTCAACTATTATACAGCGAGCACGGGTCCAGTCAAACGCGAAAACGTCTCAGCTAGCAAAGCACCCGATCTCTTGGAGCTTCCTGAGGAGGCTGATGCTCAGCACACCCTTGCGCAAGACAAATCTGGGACCAGCACGCCCAACAGTTTATCCCTGACATCGACTGCGAGCCCACGATTGTCACTCGAAGAGCACCGCGATGATGAAGTCATCACAAAAGACGAAGTAATTGCCAAGGACCTGGAAACCCTCGGCATTGGCCCCCAGCCCTCGGGCATTTCGAACGAGTTGTTGCCACAACCTCCGGCAGAAGCCATATTGACAGCCCAGGAGCAGTCCCAATTGCTGGACGAGGAAGATGAGAAGCTCGGGTCGGCAACTTCGAACGACATCCGCGAGGATCATGACGGTCAGAAGGAGCAAGCCGAGGAGAAGCCAGCGAAGAAGCCGAAGGACCGGACGTTCTGTATGCTTCCTTCAAGGAGTTCCTCTACCGGACAAAGAGATTCAATGTGGATCAAGGTCCACATGACAGGAATCGATGAGGTACAAGCACATACTTCCATGTTCAAAATGGGGGAGACGTATATTGCACTGGTGCAGGACACCGTGAACAGGGTTGAGCAATGGGTCCAAGAAGACGCGACAAGACGCATGATTCTTGCCGAAATGGACGCAGAGACATGGGAATGAGACTGTGAATACCTCAGCAATGATCAAGTACATACGTGTTCGGTACCTAAACAGCCTTTGAATGACTTCAACGAACGGCTACAATGGCGATGCTGGCATCTTCTGTCAATGGTGGCTCGGTCAAGATGTACCCGGCGGGAGCAACCTTTACTTCAACCGCGCAGAATTGGAGAAGCCTCTGATTCATAATTTAGACCCCTCGACACTTTTTCGCAGCCCACTTTCTTTGCGCGGGCTTTACATGTGTGGTATGACTCCGAATTGCAGTCGTTCACCAAATCTGTCTCGTGCTTCACAACGTTCGATCTTGTCTTTCTCTCAATCTCTTCCCAGAGCAGCCCACATTGAGAAGTCAACATGTCCGAAGCCTCTCTACCAACCCACGCAAAAGACAACCCCAATGTCTCTGCTGATGGCGCACCCTCCAAGAATGCTTTGAAGAAGGCACAGAAGGAAGCCGAAAAGGCTGCGAAAAAGGAGGCAGCAAAGAAGGCGGATGCAGAAAAGCGAGCTGCCCAACAGTCGCAGGCGTCCGAGGACACAGCCATGGACAAATACGGCGACCTACCAGACGACAAAGTGCAGATCACACATCTCAAGAAGCTGAGCGAAGAAGATGTCAACAAGGAAGTCACAGTTATAACAAGAATCCACAACAGTCGGAGTCAGAGTGCAAAACTGGCTTTCCTGATGCTTCGACAGCAGGGCAAAACCATTCAGGCTGTGGTCGCTGCTAGTGGAGATGCAGTGTCAAAGCAAATGGTCAAATGGTCAACAGGAGTGAACGTCAACTCGTTCGTGCGAGTCACCGGTCTAGTCAAGAAGCCCGATCCTCCAGTTGCATCGGCCTCGATCAGCGACCTCGAGTTGCACGTCACCAAGATCTACCTCATTGCTCAAGCAGCCGAGACGATCCCCATGCAGGTCAAGGATGCCGAACGACCCCCGCCAGCGGTTGAACAGGAAGGACAAGTTGATGCCGAGGGTGCCCCTATCGTGACATTGAAGACCCGACTCGATAACCGAGTAATCGATCTCCAGACCGAGTGCAATCAAGCCATCTTCACGATATCGAGCGCCGTGGAAGGACTGTTCGAAGAATACATGCGAAAAAGTGGCTCAAGAAAGTTCAACACCCCAAAACTCCTGGGCGCTGCCACAGAGGGTGGAAGTGGTGTTTTTGAGGTCAACAACTACTTTGGCAAAAGCGGCTTTCTCGCCCAGAGTCCACAGCTGCACAAGCAGATGCTGATTGCTGGTGACTGCGAGAGCGTCTTCGAAATTGGTCCTGTGTTCCGTGCTGAGAACAGTAACACCCATCGACATATGACCGAGGTAAGCTCAGCAGCGTGCTCCCGGGAGCCGGGCTAACAAAGTCGCAGTTCACCGGCCTCGATTTCGAACTGGTCTTCGATCACCACTACCACGAAGTGCTTGAATTTGCGGAGAAACTGATCGTTTTCATTGTGCAAGAACTCGGGGCCCGGTACAAGGACGAAATCGCCGTGGTGCACAAGTACTTCCCCAGGGCTGGCGACTTCAGGATCAAGGATGGCAAGGCACTAAGGCTGAAATACTTCGACGGCATCCAGATCCTCAAAGACGCAGGTGTCGATACCACGGAACAAGACAACCTAGTGACCGATCTAACAACGGCACAAGAGAAAAGACTGGGCCAGCTGATCCGCGAGAAATACGACACCGACTTTTACGTCCTTGACGAATTCCCAATGTCAGTGCGACCATTCTACACCAAGAAACACCCTACCGACCCGAGACTATCCAACTCATACGATTTCTTCATGCGAGGTGAGGAGATCATGTCGGGAGCTCAACGTGTCAACGAGGCCGCCGAGCTGGAAGCAGCGATGAGAGGCAAGGGTCTTGATCCCAACGCAGACGGATTCTCGGACTACGTCAACGCATTCAGACAGGGATGTCGGCCGCACGCCGGTGGAGGTTTGGGACTGAACCGAATCGTCATGTTTTTCTTGGGGTTGGACAATGTTCGACAAGCGACACCATTCCCGCGCGATCCCCAACGATTGAGGCCTTAGAGCTCACGCATAGCATCGCAGCCTCGGCGGCGATTCGTGCAGCAGGCATAGACAAAGTGGGACAGTGAACACGTATCATGGCCCGCCAGATAAGAGATGGTTATGCATTATCTAGGAGCCCAGGACAATTGCCTGGCAGATCTGGCGAAGCTTGTGATTCTGATGGAACACGTGGGAGTCACCAGTTCTCCTGTTACTCCTTAGCCGCATTGGCGACAGGCGTGGAATCCTGGGACTCTAGCATCAGCAAACATTCTTCAACATATTCCATCACACTCACCACGTAGACCTGATAGAGCTTAAACTTCAAAGCATCCTGGTGCTCTGCCATGACAGCCCTCGCGGCCCAGTCAACGGTGACTTCCTTTCCATTCTTCAACCCGTAGGCCACAGTCCCGTACAGCATAAGTTCGTTGCTCCCACCACCAAACGGAAAGATCTTGGTGAGGCTATGTTTGCGGGACTTGACAGGGCCTGCCCACAAACCGTGTCTCAGCTCGAGGATCCCGTCATAGCCAACAATCTTTTTGGCCCCCATGGCGAAGTCGGCGTCGGGCACGAAAGACTGGGCATATTCTTCATGGGCCTCTGGATCATCAGACACGGCGTAGAATCGTTCAAAGAACGGAACAATGCGGGGGTCGACCTTGAGGTCGGATGGCGTTTGACCTTTGTATGTGGACATTTTGAGGTGATCTGGTAAAGACCAGGATCGAACAGCTGGGGAATATGACGCGCGATATCCTGCAAATGCTCTGATAAAAGCAGCCGAGATTCGTCCAGAAACCATCAATACAACTACAAGTTCATCTTTCAATGAGTTCTTGCATACCTAAATGAAACATGATATTGGAGCAAATTGCCGCCGGAGTAATGCGGGGGACATGCCGAGGGAAGAACCATCCCAGCCCATACGGATGATGCACCAGCAGTCGGAGTAGTCTGTGATATTGGGGAGACGAGACATAGGAAGCGTGATCGGAGATAGACTGTGCTCTCATGACAGGTTTGGAAATATTCAACTGCGTACATCTTAGTTGCCTTTGACTATCTCGTGGCGTGCCAGCAGTCGTACGTCAAGAACTTCTCAATCTCCCGTCAACCGGCCATCTCGTAGTATGTACCTTTTTGCCCGGGCAAAGAATATCCGCCATCCTGAGTAAGTCGAGCTGGGGACAATCGAGCTGGTTTGCCCTCAACTTCGACGCTCTGTGGCCGCTCCGTGAACGCTTGATAAAGAGGTGCAGGCGAGGCACGTGTAGTCTCATCAGCTGCCAATTCCGATTTGTGACCGGACCAGGCAGGACTCCTCATATCTGGATCTGGTTGGTCATCACCCGAATGTGGTCGAGTCAAATCCATCATAGGCGGCTTCCGTGGCTCCTCATGTTTTTGTCTGCGTCTCATGTGCCGGAACACCAGAAATCCTGATAGCAACAGTATCACTGCGGCAGCCGCTGCTCCCATAGCAATTCCCACTTTTTTCCCAGTACTCAGTCCCGGTGTCGAGACCGCAGCAGCGGACGTCGAAGGAGATGGTACAGATACCGTCGACGTAACCAGAGAGGCTTGATTAGAGGGTGATACACTAGGAGACCCAGCCGTAGTAGATGACGCGGAGGGGAGCAGCTGTGTCAGGCTAGGGCTGGAGGAAGCCGCTGACGATAGCGACTGCGCTGAAGCATAGGCTGAAGCATAGGCTGAGAAGTCTTTCCAAGAGACGCTCGAACCGAGAGTGATGGGTAAGGACATGATGTCCGTGAGACTCGAAGAATCGGTGAAGGCAACTGTTCTTGAAGTGGATGGGCAGTAGCAGTAAGATGGATCTGAGACTGTGCTTCCGCTGTCCTCGCAAGCCACCCATTCATTCGAGGTCCCATTGCAGTAGACTAGACCGGCCCAAGTCTGATCTGGACACTGTCAGCTGTGTCGCCATTCAACACAGAGCGACCACTTGCCTCCAAAATCGCCTTTATCAGGACAAGCCGAATCTTCGTAGTCGGCATCCGTACAGCCAGCGAGGTAAGTCACTCCATCTTTCAGAGGTCAGTACGATTCTTGTAACAGGTGGTGAGTCATACACGGTGCGTTGTAGCAAGCATTGGAGGACAAACATATGTCGTTATACTCGCAACATGGTATGTGACCAAGCGCTGCGTTTCCGCATGGAATGAATTCGGAGGGTGCCTCTTGACCATTGGTGTAGTAGCAAGTGCCATTGGAGATGTTAGGATTGTAGGAGGTTGCCATGACGAGCCAGATGACGATTGAGAGGATGAGGAGGAAGATGTTATGTAGTTCACACGGTGCAAACATGGTGTGAATCTCTGATGCGCAGTTGTGTAACAGTAAAGCAGTGAGGCAGTGACTTTCATGCGGCTGCCGGCAGGAAAACGGGAGACTCCAAGAAAAAGAGGATTTCGATCTCGACTGGAAATAAACTGGTCCGCTCGTGTTTGTGTGAGACAAAGCTGGAACCGCACCAGCTGTGATTGAAAGAACACATTACTGGGTTGAAATCTCGACTTCTTCCAAATCACGTTGCACTTCCATCGACGCTCCATTTGGTCCGCAACTCGAGCAGATCCCGCTGACCATATACCTCACCCACCACAGTGACAATCATGTCAAGAGTCACAGCCACCAGCTTGTTGTTGACCGGCGCCTCGTTCAGACCCCCCAGCTTTTCCTTGATACGCTCCTCGTCAGCTCCAGTATCGAACTCATCGACATCGCTCTCTTCGCTTGGCCCTTCCCATGCCAGATTTCTCTCTGAAATGCGACCGTTGCTCCTTGCATTCTGCTTCTGCAACAAAAGCACTGCTCTTTGCGCCAGGCCTCGAAGTTCACTGATTTCCTCGCTCGACAGCTCCCCACGATCTCTACATCGGCCCAGAATAGCCCACACCCAAGTCCCGACCCGAGCCGCAGCGGAGTTGTTCTGCATTAACGTGTTCAATCTCATTCTGAGAAATTTCACCAGTTCCAATACTGTTTCCGGATCCATGCAGGCGATTTGGACAGGGTGAGGGTCACTAGACAACATGTGGGCTTCCCACTGCGCGCGTACTTTCCGCGATGCTTCTGGAAACGATATAAACTGTGCCGGATTGAGACTTTCTATGCTGGACAACGGAGGGGTGCAGCGCATCGAGGCTTGAACGAGTCGGAACCGTGTAAGTAGGGAATCGTAGAAATGCTGCTGCGCTAGAGGAAGGGACTCCGCAGGGTTGGTTGGACTCTTCGCAATGGCAGTATATGCGCCGTCATGAAAGTAGCCTCCTTCTTCTGTCTGGCCCGGGTGTCTCCTCTCCGTCCGTAGGTCGGGTGCTGTTAAGATATGAGGGACGCCTTTGGCTTCAGATCTAAAAGAACGAATCAGTCCGTCTGCCTCAGGTTGCGGTGACTGGAAGAGCGACTCAGCGACAGCCAGGGAAAGGCCAGGTGCGAAAACTACTACTTACCGGACCATACGCAGATAGTCAATTCCATCAGCAGCTGGGCCATAGAAGAGCTCGTCGCTGTCACCATCTAGACCAGGAAATGCGCTTGTTTGTCCAGAGTGTTCGCTGACACGGGGAGCCTCCTTGCTCTCTTCCTCGTCTGAGTATTCGCTATCATCATAGCTCGCGTCTCTGTTGGGTCGCTTCGGCAAAGGTAAATCGTCAGCTTCGGGAGAGGAAGTGTTGCGCCGCTTGCGTGACATTGTCAATCCGGGCCATTCTATGGAGATCCACGGTGGAAATGCAGGCAAGGACACAGATAGATGTCAATCGGGTCACAATCCAAACAGCAGCAAGGGTTTAATGTCATGAAAGATCCGATTAACGAGGTGAAAACATGCCGTCACATGCGGATGAGTCCGTGGGCCGGATAAACGTCGTCAAAATATAAAATTATATTTCCTGCGTACGGACATCAAAGACGTCCGAGCAAGCACAATATGCAGGACTCTTTCTACGCTGGTGTACTCAGCAGCGAGATGTGTGCCCTCAAGACTCTACTTGTGACCGATCGTTTATGCTACGATTCCTCATCCGCGCGCCTGACGGCCACGATATCGGGCAGATCCTTGATGTCGACAACCACACCCAGAGCACCACTCCCCTCTTCGGCCTCTTTGACCAAATCCACAATTCTCATAGCATCCACTTTAAGCGAGCCAGCTTCGAAAGCAATCATCTGGATCTCGCTTTCGTGACACTGCCCGGGTGCCAGAGGTCCGATCCTCAACTCGGCAGTCAGGGCCATGAGGTCGGTCTCTGGGGGCACCACGTTCGCATGATGCATGGCGTAAACGACATTTTCGTCCACAATGGCTTGAGCAACATCCACGTCGTCTTTGTCCCTCGTGTGTCGTCTCTCGCTAGGATGGAAAGATGCAGTGGAGGACTTTGGCGCATGTCGCTTTGCCATGGACTGTGCTTGGCTGTTTTGTCTCTGAATACGCGGCAACGGTATGACCGTGAGTTTAGCTGCTTTTGACGAGTTGTTGACTACCAGAACCTTCCACGTAAACGGTTCTCCAATGATGACAGGCGGATGCGAGGCTGTGAATGAAAGTGAAAGGCCATCTCGTGACAGGACATCAGATGTTGGCTGCAAGCTTGTACCGTTCAGCAAAACGGGGCCAGAGGAGTCATTTCCATTATTGACCGGGAGGCTTGTCGGTCGATTTGGTCTCTGAATCGGCTGTGAAGGGGGGCCAAACGAAGGGTTAAGGGCCTGTGTAAAGTCGACGTGGGTTGTCCAGTCCATCGAGATGAGTGGTCGGCAGATGTCACTCGAATGGACTTGTAACTGGATCTTCACGGAAAGCACATCGATATTGGGGTTAGCAAGCGGTATTTCCGCTGTATTGATATCCTGATGGAGTTTGTGTATGAAGGTAAGGCACTCGCCAGATTGACACTGCATAGGGAAGAATTCGGGCATGATTGATTCAGCCCGTCCGTGTTTCAAGTCGAGATGAACGTCTTGTACAGAGGCGTCAATCTGCACGAAAGGAACAATCTCCACGTCTAGCAAGGCAATGTTGGTGGGTGTGGGTATCAGCGTATTGACCCTCTGATATCGAACTCTAGCAATGGCGGCTGGAACTGCTCTGTATCGCCTTGAAGGAACGTGCGCTATGTGATACCTCTGCTTATGTGTGGCAGTCACGGGTAGCACCCTCTCTAGCCTTGAGGCAGCTAGATATGGCGGGTTTCGTTGAAGCCCCGGAATGAAGCGCATGGGTTCGAGAACATTTGCTTCGAGTGGTCGGAAGGGTGTCAGGTCTGCCGGGTTCTGATGATGATCTTGAAAAGAGCTGACAGTCGCCGAAGGTACGAAAACAATGCTCGGCTGTGAAACGCGGAATCTTGGTCGGTGTAGAGCGATCTCAATCTCCCATATCAGGGTCAAATCGCGATCACTGTCCGTGGACTGGCTGGCAAGAACCAAAGGCTCGTTTTTCTGGATAGCTTCATGTGAGAATATCAAGTCTCTTTGCGGAGTCGATGCAACCGTGGCTGGTCCATTGTTGACTGACTCGTCGATGGCCCACACATCGACTTTGTATGAGAGGCGTGAAAGATACGATTTCAAGACATCCTCATCGCAGTGTGGCACCTGTAGCACAGCTAACGCCCTCAATCTTTCGTCTGATCTAACAATGAGTAAGACGGCATTCTTGCACTGCGAGGAAATGGTGCGTACCAAAGAATAAAGTGTCTCTTTCCTTCAACGGCAGTAGTCGCGTGAAATCATTTGAGCCATTCAGATGCGATTCCAGTAACTTGGACAGTTCAGTGGTTGTGTCTTCAGGAATGACTGTGTCCAGCAAGGATGTTTTCATGAAATCTGCATCCATCTTGTGACCGTCGCCTACATGCGCAGACTGCAGGTCGACAGGCAGAATTGCCAATGCATGTCAATGTTGGCCGACGCTTGGGACTCACTATCACGCACTGAGTCTGGTGTTGATATTGGTACGGAGTATTGTTGTCTTCTCGCCAAGCGGACTTCGGGCTTACCTAATTCCGGGAGAGAGATAGTTTTCTTTCCTTCACTCTTCACTGCCTTATCCCTGCGCTTGCGACATCTGCGACCAGACAACTCATGTCGATTTAAAGGTCGGCGCGAAACACTCTGTTCCAGTATCTACTATTTCCCTCGGTTCCGCTCTCACACATCTTTACTCTGCCATGAACGGGTTACCGCCCACGCCGGTGCAATGGCAGGAAGCACGCGCTCCAGACGGCCGCACCTATTACTACAATGCTATGACCAAGGAAACAACATGGACCAAACCGGCAGATCTCATGACCCCGATGGAGAAAGCGCTCTCTTCTCAGCCGTGGAAGGAATTCTCGACACCTGACGGCCGAAAATATTACTACAATGGAGAGACGAAACAGACAGTGTGGGAAATGCCTGCCCAGTACCGAGATGCCCTCAACTCCGTGCAGCTCCCTCCCAAACCTGTACAACAGCCTACAGCTTTTGTAGCTGGAGGAAGCACGGCCCTTACTTCCTATTCTGCATCCCGCGACCGTGACAGCGGCACACCTTTCGAGTCGAAACCACGGACGGATGGAATCCCGTTGCCTATCACGAAAGAGGTCGTCCCTGACTATTCCAGCTTTGAAGAGGCGGAGGCAGCCTTCGTGAAGTTGCTGCGACGGTCGAATGTGCAACCGGATTGGACATGGGAACAAGCAATGAAGGCGACGATCAAGGATCCGCAATACCGGGCCTTGAAAGACCCAAAGGACAGGAAAATAGCGTTCGAGAAATATGCGGTCGAGGTTCGCCAACAAGAGCGCGAAAAGGCCAAAGAGAGACTGGCTAAGCTACGCACAGATTTTGGCAACATGCTAAGAACGCATCCAGAGATCAAACACTATAGCCGATGGAAGACCATTCGACCCATTCTCGAAGGTGAAACCGTCTTTCGGTCAACCGACAATGAGGACGAGCGAAAGCAGCTCTTTGAAGAGTACATTGTGGAGCTCAAGAAAAAAAACATCGAGCAGGAAGCCGCGGGACGAAAGACGGCGTTGGATGATCTCGCTTCCATCCTGAAAGCACTCGACCTGGAGCCTTACACTAGGTGGTCGCAGGCACAGGAAATCCTGCAGTCTAATGAGAGGATTCAAAAAGACGAGAGATTCAAGCTTCTGAGTAAGTCAGATGTTCTCACGGCCTTTGAAAATCATATCAAGTCACTTGAAAGAAGTTTCAATGATGCACGACAGCAGCAGAAGGCCAGCAAAGCTAGACGGGAGCGTCAGAATCGCGACAAGTTCCTCGAGGTGCTCCAGGGCCTGCGGAGTCAGGGCAAGATCAAGGCTGGCACCAAATGGATGAGCATATTGCCACAATTTGAGGATGACCCGAGGTATGTTGCAATGCTGGGTCAGGCTGGATCCACGCCTTTGGACCTGTTCTGGGATATGCTGGAAGAAGAGGAGCGCGCGCTCCGAGGACGAAGGAATGACGTTTATGACGTGCTTGAGGTAAGGCTACAATGTGCCGCGTTGCGAGAGTAAGCTCATACTAATTTGGCGCAGGACAAGCGATACGAGGTCAACGCAAAAACGTCCTTCGATGAGTTCTATGATATTATGCTTACTGATCGGAGAACAGCCAACACTGATCGAGATGTGCTGGAGCTCATCTTCCAACGCTTGCACGAGAAGGTCCTCCGAAGAAGCGAGGACGAAAAACATGCTGCAGATCGTCACCAACGTCGTGCCGTGGATGCGCTCAGATCGCGCATTAAGCATTTGGAGCCGCCTGTCCGGATCACAGACTCGTGGGACGACATCAAGTCTCGCGTTGAGAAGACAAGCGAGTACAATGCCGTGGAAGATGAAGATCTACGAAAGTCCGCCTTTGACAAGGTCATCAGGAGACTAAAAGAGAAGGAAGAGGATGCTGAAAGAGACCGGGAACGAAAACACGCACGGCGAGGGGATGATCGTGATTACCGTAATGGTCACCGTGGGGAGCCCCGTCATGGCCGCCCTTCAAAGTCGCCTGAGCCGGACGCTTATGAGGCTGATCGTCGCAAAGCCATGGCTGCCAGGGAAAAGCAGTATCGCAAGACCAGCTCCCTGGGCCTAAGTCCACCGCCTACTTCTTACCGTGAACGCGAACGACGAGAACGCGATGAGAGGCATGGACGCCTCGATCGCGACCGCTCTCCGCCATCCAGGCATGTCGGTGGTTATGAGCGTGACCGACGCGACCGTGAAGAAGAACGAGAGCGCCTGTACCGAAGTCGAGCAGACCCTCGTGGCAGTAGGGATGAGCTCAATTACGGCGAAGAGTCACGAAGCGTGACCGGAAGCGAGCGGAGGAGACGAAGAGGTGATGGCAGCGATGCGGAAAGTGTCGACAGCACGCACCGGAGCGCCAAGCGGCATCGTCCTGACAGAGTGGCCTCCAAAGAACAAGCCAAGAGCAAGACCCCCGAGCCGATCAAGAACGAGCCTCCAGTTGAGGATCCAGTTGGTGTGCATTCCGGAAGTGAGGAAGGAGAGATCGAAGAAGACTAGGTGTAGTTGTCTCAAGGTCGATATGTTGAATCTCATCAGGTCAGTGTGCTGCGACATGATTTTCGTTCACAGGCTACTACTGCTTGCTGGTATGCGCTGAGATCAGAGCCCAGCAACAGAGAAGACTTGCGAGTCACGTCTTGCCACGGCCGGCATGTGAATCATTCCGAGCTGCCAATCTCCAGCCACTTTTTCGACACTTTGTCGGTATGTAGTACCCATGCACTGGTTTCTAATCAAGTGTTTCGCAGTTTCCAGCAGAGCTTGTCTTGCAAAGTGCCTCTTGATGCTTGCAGGTACGTATGATTATTTTTGCGCTGTTTGATTGATTAGGTGCTTCGGGTTCACGCGAGGCTGTTTGTTAGCATCAAAGTCTTTCTTCCTCTTTTCCAGGCGACCGACGAGGTCGAAACCCAGACCTGTTGTCAGCTGGGGTCTTTTGCTGTTGAAGCCGCCTGAGACTCCTGCCGGGCCTTTGAGATCCAGTCCTGGACTATACTGGGCAACGCCATTTCCTTGCCACGGTCCATGCACTGGCGCTTGTTGGCCTTGTTTCGCGCTCTTAGAAATGGCTAGTTGACCATGCTCCGAGTCGTCCACTGATGTTGACCTTGCGAGCGACGCTCACAACGTCAAATGGCTGATCAACAAACAGCCAACCACCAGAAGGATATCTTAGGTGATCTCAAGTCGCTTCAGGGAGTCCTTGGTTGCGGTCAACGGATCAAGACCTGGCTGCTAATGGACTGGTGCATTTGGACATCTGGACATCCATGGACAATGGCGCAATCGGTTATAACGATGTCGAATCTCTTGCAAGTCGCGTCGGGCTGTCAGCACATGTGAATGCCGAGATGAATGCCATGAGGAGAAGATAGCGATGTCACAATCCCCAAAGGTGCAGATACTTGATTTCCTAACCTCCAAAAGACAGGCTCCTGTTATAAGTTTGAAACATCAAGCGAACCGTACTCCTTGCTCCTTACAATCGTCTTACCTGTGCAGCCAACCTGCAGAATGGTCATTGACCATCTTTCTAGCCGCGCAGACGGCTCATTGTTGGATCGTAAAGTGGCTCAGCAGTGATTGTAGCCGGGATCTTGCGCCCGAAATATTCAATTTCGACGGCCTCACCCTCCTTCGTGGTACCTGGTAGCCATGCGTAAGCCACAGGCTTGCCAATCGTGAAACCAAATGCAGCACTGGTGACATAGCCACTTGGTTTACCGTCATAAAAGACGGGCTCCTTGCCCATGACCATCGAGCGACCGTCATCGACGGTGAGACAGCGGAGCCGTCGAGCCGGCGACTCCTTGGGACGTCCTACAAGCGCGGCTTGCCCGATGAAATCCTCCTTGTTCTCCTTAACGGCGAAGGCGAGACCAGCCTCATATGGATCGTGTTCGGTGGTCATGTCGGTGCCCCAGGCCCGGTATCCCTTTTCGAGTCGCAGGGAATTGAAAGCGCTCCGACCCGCCGCAACCACGCCGTGAGACTGGCCTGCTTGCCATAGTGCGTCCCACAGCCTCAGGCCGTACTCGGAACTGGTATAGAGTTCCCAACCCAGCTCGCCGACGTATGACAGGCGCATTGCTGTCACCGGAATGCCGGCGATGCTCACCCTCTTGCAACGGAAGTAGCGCAATGCTTTGTTTGAGAAATCGTCCGGGCTGACTGCTGTGATGACGTCGCGTGCACGAGGGCCCCAGAGACCGATGCAGCAGGTGGCACCGGTGATGTCGCGCACTTGTGCCCAACGGCTGGGATTCTGCTGGGCCTGCCAACGAGCTTCTCGGGACAAGTAGGCCAGATCAACCGGACTGTTGCATCCCACCTGGAAGCGCTCAGTCTCAAGTCTCGCCACCGTGATGTCGCTCCGGACACCGCCGTTCTCATTGAGAAGGAGCGTGTATGTGACAGCACCTGGCTTCTTGGAGACGTCGCCGGTGCAAAGCCTTTGAAGCAGATCGACAGCTCCGGGCCCAGAGACCTCCAATCGACGCAGCGGTGTCATGTCATACATGGCCACTGCGGTTCGTGTCTTCCAGGCTTCGGCGGCAGCGATGGGCGAGTAGTATCGAGCCGACCAAGCATCGCGGTCCACGGGTCGCCACTCCGCTGGGAGGTCTTTCACCAACTCCGCGTTCGCCTCGTACCAATACGGCCGCTCCCAGGCTCCGCCTTCGAGGAAGTAACCGCCCTGCTCCTGCTGGCGGGCATAGAATGGGCTGACTCGCAGCTTTCGCGGAGACTCCTTGGGCTGAAGTGGGTGGAGGATATCGTACACTTCGACGAAATTTTGCGCCGAGGTCTCGCTCACATAAGCCTTGGTGAGCTGCACCTCTTCAAACCGGCTCAAGTCGCACTCGGCCATATCGATCTTGGAGACACCAGTAGTCAACACCTCGGCCACGGCTCGGGCAATACCCGCTGAATGGGTCACCCAGACAGCCTCTGCGACGTAGAAGCCGTCGACAGTAGGAGATTGGCCCACAAGCGATCCGCCATCGGGTGTGAATGAAAAGATGCCGTTGAAGCCATCCGCGATCTCACTCTTCTGGAGTGCGGGCAACAATTCTTGGGACAGCTTCCAGGCTGGGTCGAAGTCTTCATAGGTGAACTTGAGACGAGACGGCATGTTCTTGTCGTCGACCTGCTTAGGGGTCTCGCCCAATGTTGATGCAACGACGGGCATAGGCTTGTGACCGTAGTATCCGATCCCGTATTGGTCACCGTGCTCACGGTAGTAAAGATCCTGGTCTTGATAACGCAGAATTGGTAGGCTTGCGCCGTTTGATGGGTTGTTGCGGTCAGCGAGTTCCGGGATGGCGGTAGTCTTGACGTATTGGTGTGCCATGGGTAGCAAAGGAATTGGCAGCCCGACCATGGCACCCACTTCAACGCCCCAGAAGCCGGCACAGGAAACAATGATATCAGCGGGAACAGTTCCATTGGGCGTTGTCACGCCGGTAACATGACCATCGGCCTGCTCAACTCCAGTCACCAGTGTCGAACCGAGATATTTGACACCAGCCTTGCGAGTGCGCTCGATGAGTAGCTGGACGGCACGGGCGGCCAGGGCCAGGCCATCGCTAGGGATGTGTAGTCCACCGAGTGTAAGATCCTTGTTTAGGTGAGGATACAGCTCAAGGCACTCTTCGGCGCTGATCAGACGGGCCTCGACGCCCCATGAGGAGGCGTAGCCGTGCTTGCGTTTGAGCTCCTCGAGCCGGGCAGGAGTGGTGGCGATCTCCAGTCCACCGACTTGGTTGAAGCAAGACTGGCCGTCCTTCTCTAGCGACAAGAATTTCTCGACGGTATACTTTGCGAACAGTGTCATTGCCTTTGATGGATTTGTCTGGAAAACAAGACCAGGAGCGTGCGAGGTAGAACCTCCTGGCATGTCCAAAGGCCCCTGGTCAATGACGGTAATGTCGGCCCATCCTCGTGAGACCAGCTCGTCGGCGAGGTTGGTGCCGACGATGCCAGCTCCGATGATGACCACACGCTGTACTGGGGCAATCATGTTGTGAAAGTGGTTGGTTTGCCCAGATACAAAAGAGGATGAAAGCTGTTCCTCAAGGGCTGGTCAGGTCTCGAAGCAATTAAGGGTAGGGTATGTAAATGGCAGAATATATCAGTAACGACCCTGGTCTACGGCATTGCCTTGACAAGAGGTTTGGGAGACTCCGCATCTCGCCAGCAAGCATCATCTACACACCTGTAGATATGACTGAAAATAGGTTAGTGTTCACTTTGCGGCAGGGATGGGCACGACTCCAGCTATCCAGTTCAGACAGCTAACCAGATGAAGTTTAGAGATGCTTGCGAGTGGCGGTTCCCACTGCAGGACTGAACTCAGTGGACGGGTAGATAAGAGGTTGGGGCCACATTTTGTGAAGCATGTAGACATCAACGGTAATCGAGGAGGAGCAGGAGGAGGAGAATGAAGGAGAAGGACGCGATCAAGGAGGCGGCAAGGTGTCCCCTTCAGGTCTAGTGTCGCCAATGTAAGACTAAAGTTGACGTTAGGGACGTTAGGGTTGTGATGGTTATCAATCCGGGATGCCATCTCCCTTCTGGGTTTTACGATCCATCATCATCCTCACACCCAAAGCCATCAGCCTTGACCATATCCGGTCATTGAACTTACATCAACCGAGTCTAGAATGACTGAATTCATGGTTCGCTTCAGCCTTCCATGGCCACTAGCCTATGTCTATCATGGTTCATCCAACTCCTTATCGAGCAAATGTCTGAAGGACGTGGGAAGGTCTGTGACCTGACAAGCTCCCAGTTTGACTCTGGCTCGGGCTCTGGCTCCCGGTCAGCCCAACGCGCGGATCCCTTATCAGCGACATGGACTCACTTACCCCATGAGGGTCATGACCTGCTACCAAACCCCCTCCGCAGACGACACCAAGTCATGCCACATGCTATATGAAAGCTGAAGCCACACCTTGCTGTCGACCTCGCCTGCTACTCGTCATCAAACCTTCCGACTGTGTTCAAACCCCCCCCAACTCGTCGTGCACACTTCTTCTGCCTCTCCAACCATGGCACCGGGACTCTTGAACTACCTTGGCTTTGGAGGCTCTACGCCTACCTCTGAGGATGCAAACGCCGCTGTGCGAGCTTTGCCTGGCTCGTGGTACACCTCGCCGGACATGTACGAACTCGAGAGACGGTCAATCTTCTCCAGAAAATGGCTTATGACCACACACAAGTCCAGAGTTAAGGAGACTGGTGACTGGGTTCGCTACGATATCGCTGGCTTCAACTTCATCATCTCCCGCGACCGCAGCGGAAACATCCACGCCTTTCACAACATCTGCAGACATCGTGCCTACCCAGTAGTGGAGAAGGATAACGGAACAGCCAAGATCTTTGCCTGTCGGTACCATGGCTGGTCCTACGGATTGGATGGCAAACTGGCCAAAGCCCCTGGGTACTCGGAAATTCAGGGGTTTGACAAGACTCAAAACGGCCTCTTCCCTATCCACGTCCACATCGACAACAATGGCTTCATCTGGGTCAATCTAGATGGCAAAAAGAGGCCGGAGGTTTCCTGGGATGACGACTTCCAAGGCGTTGATACCCAGGAGAGGTTTTCCGGCTTCAATTTCGACAACTACGAATTCGATCATACCTGGGAAATTGATGCCAACTACAACTGGAAGATTGCCGCCGACAATTACAACGAATGCTATCATTGCAAAACCACACATCCCGACATTCCCACTGTTGCCGACCTTCAATCCTATAATGTCAAAGTCCAGCGTGCTTGGATCAAACATGATGGTGCCTCCACAACCGAACAGATCGCGAAAGGCCTGAACGTGTGCGCCACCTACTTCTATCCCAACGCTTCCATGAATGTTTCGTAAGTGAACCAAAGTCCAGCCGCCTGCATACCCTACTAACGCGCGACAGGCCACACTTCTTCTTCACCCAGAGATTCGTGCCTCAAGGACCCGGAAGAACCACCGTCCGTTATGAGGTCTTCCGGAACAAGTACTCAGCGGAAGAAGATTTCCAGCTCATAAACCAGATCTACAAACGAATCATGTCAGAAGATAAGGGTCTGTGTGACCTCGCGCAAAAGAACATCAACGCTGGTGTCTTCGTCAATGGCGAAATGCACCCAACAATGGAGAAAGGTCCTCTTTTCTTCCAAAAGCTCGTTCGCGAGAGTGTCACAGAACACCATAAGCGTGAGCAAGCCGCCAAACAGGAGATATGGCCTGCCAGGCAGAGCCTGCCTGAAACGGCGCTGGTAAGCAAGAAGGATGTCGATTTCTGTTCCGGCCTTGCCTGCCAGACCAATCAAGAAGGTCTGGTTTGGTGATTTCCATGTACCGCATAGGTTTTGGTATGACGGCGTTTAATGCATAGCACGGGTTTACTTTGGAAGGTCTGATCTATGCTACAGAATGAACTTACGGCCGCGAGAGAGCATCAATCTGATGATCATGAGACACATACACCGATTTTGCTCCGATCCCATTGCGACTTTATGATACTGCAGTCCACCATGCATCTGAACAAGATCGTCTCCTCAACTGCCCGAGCAGCAAAGCAGTACGACATTAGACGCTAGACATCTTTCCAATGCAGCAAAGGTTGACCACGCAACATTTCACATTGATGGCTTCGCAGCCCTACGCAACAATCGACGAGGCCAGTGAAACCAGAGCGACACTCGCACGTCTAAGCAATTTTGATCCTCCCAAGCGACACTGCGAGCTAGAGAAGATTGCAACGCCGACTACGCTGCAAACCAGAGCGACATTGAAGATCCAGAGCGGCACTACAAGCCCAGAGCGCCATTGCAGTCGAGAGCAACATTGAACCCTCCGGAGGCACTGCAAGCCCAAAGCGCCATTGCACACCAGAGCAACATTGAAACCCCAGAGGCACTGCTAGCCCAAAGCGACATTGCAAACCAGTCCGCCATAGAGGTGGGCCGTTGAGCCAGCCACCACATCACCGAATTCGCATTATGGCAGCGAAGAAAGCCAGAAGGGTCTACCGGACTTATGCTATGAACCATCTCCTATTCTGTTGCACCAGGTCAGAGCGACTGTGACACCTACCGAGCAAACACAATGCGATCATGCCTACGAGTGCCATTTTTTCTGCTACACTGTCGAAAGTCTACAGGATTGTGCAGCATGATTTCAGGAATGTTGGATCCGGCAGATCCAAGAGTCACCGGTCGCGCACTGACGCTGCTCCCTAGTGAAGGCATATTGAGCCGAACATGTCAGAAGCACAGTCACGCGCCTGCTGTTGCGTTGCCGAACGATGAAATGAAGGACTCAGAGAGACGGTAAGTCATCAACGGAATGACATGTGGTCGTTTTCCCATTGCCACTGCCACCAACCTCCCTTATCAGTGGCTCCATGGCGGTCCGATAACCATAAAGGGGCATATTTTCCAGCGTTTCAACATCACACGATCATCAATGAGCGCAACGACATCATGGGTTTTACAACGGAGAATTGCTCAGGACGTTGAGGAAGATGTTAACAGTGAAGTCGCGAAGCATCCTGCACAGGTAAGGGCGTCTCTGTTGAATTCTGCAGTATGGCGTCTTCTGCGGCCAGCCTTGTCACGTGAACAGGGGTCCCCATAAAGTACATGGATGACCGGATCTAAGATAAGACTCGGAGGTGAAACCTAAAGAGCCAAGTAAGTGACAGCCAACTGATAAGGTATCAATTTAGCCCAAAGCGCCTGCAAGTCCAAGCGATATCGGGCATGTCCGAGTTGCATTTATGGAAGCATTTCCTTCAATTGGGCATGATAACCTTTATCTAAAGGCTCTAGCTCCATTCCCCACATACGGGCTGGACTCCCTCCCAACGGTAAGCAGACCACCACAGGGCTGTCGCTATGGTCGAGAGTGGTAGACAATTGTAGGTGAGGCCGATTGTACAAAACCAATAGTCTATCCTCCAGTACAAGTGGTCAACGTCAGGGTGTTGGTGGTGCTTTTTCCAAAATGACTTCGAGCAAACAGTCATACCTCATTGTCGGCGCCGGCGTGTTCGGAGTGTCTACGGCATATTATCTCATCAAGAAATACCCAGATGCTTCAGTGACTATTGTCGACCGAGATGCGTACGATGCAGAGTCTCGTGTCGCTGCCTCGTGGGACTGGAACAAGGTGGTCCGCGCCGACTACGACGACATAGTATATTGCCGTATGGGACTAGAGTCGCAAGACATTTTCAAGTCCGATCCCCTATGGAAGCCTTACTTCCATGAGACGGGCATTTACTGGATGTGTCGCAGCGACTACGCCCAGGAGGTGATCGACAACTACAAGAAGCTCGGCCGCAAAGCTGATCTTGCTGCCGTACCCATCGATGAGGCCCGCAAGCTTTACGGTGGCCTGTTCGAAGACGCCGACTATACCGGCGTCAAAGAAGTGCTGATCAACAAGACCAGTGGCTGGGCCGCTGCTGGAGACTGTTTGGTGGCTGTGACTGCCGAGTGCTTGAAGCTAGGGGTCAAGTACGTGACGGCCGAGGTTGCGAGTCTGCAAATCGACAAGAGTGGTCGGTGTCAAGGAGTCAAGACGAAATCTGGGAAGACCTTGACAGCTTCGCATGTAATTCTCTCCACGGGCGCGTACACACCAAAGCTCTTGGAACTGAGTGCCGCAGATACTGGCCTGACGAGTCTCCGAGCGGAACACAGGATACTTGCCGGAGGCATTACGACAGGTATGACCAAACTTGATGACAAGTCATATCCACGATTTGCTTCCATGCCTGTTGGTGTACAAGGATATACCGCGGAACAAGGTCCTTTCATCGGCAGTTTACCACCAACCAAAGACAAAGAGCTGAAGTGGTGGGGACAAACAATATTCAAAAACGATCAAGAAGTGGTACCCGGTCGGTACGTGTCAGCGCCACCTCCAGAACCAGACTACGCCCAGTGGAATGTTTCGGGGAAACTGAAGGAAGACATTCACCACGCCAACAAAGTGTTCTACGGCAAGAACGGGGCTAGCTGGAAGATGGAGAAACACCGGATCTGCTGGTAAGTCAAGGCCCGGCTTAGCGGCGATATACCACTAACTGACAATGCAAAGGGACGCTTTTACCACCAGCTCCGACTTCATCATCTCGCCACACTCTGCCGCAAAGGGCCTATATGTCGCGACCTGCGGCAACTTCCATGGCTTCAAGTTCTTCCCCGTGCTCGGCAAGTACGTGATACAGATGCTGGAGGATGACCTGCCTGCCGACCTGGTCGAGAAATGGGCCTGGGATCGCGAAAGGCCCGATCCGGCCTTATTTGCGGATTGGCCAAGGCATGAGATGCAAGACCTGCTCGACCCAGTAAAAGCGAAGCTATGAACACTGCCAAGTCGACACGAAGACGAATTGCAGCCTCTCATTGACCTCGATAGCCCGGCGCTGACGCTTGCAGCTGATGACAAATATCGCTCGCAATGAGGACACTGTCGGAGCATATCGCCTGATGGGTGCGAATGAATGGTACTGGTGCGCATGTCGGTCGTCGCATGCCAGTCTGTCATGGTCGCAACTGTCTGGGCCAAGGGCATAGACATCGGAGAGAGTGTCGCTGACTCAGATACTGAGAACTATGGGCTTGATGTACAGGCGGTGTTGCGAGATTACAAAGATGAAAGGCGATGTTTCTCCCACCACAGCGACAGGCGTATTCTCGAGGAATAAACAAGACGTTCTGAAGAGTTCTTCTATCATAGCTTACTACTTACCCTCGACTCCGGCTTCAGACCCGAAATATCCACCCTGGGCTCATGTCCATTGATCAGATCGCCCATGACCACGCCCGTGCCCAAAGACAGTGATATTCCCCAAGGTCCATGGCCGCTTGCAACCCAGACCTTCGCACCCGAGCTTACTTGAAAGCCTACTCCCAAGTCTTTGGGCAAGATCTGCCCGATGATGGGCACGCCCGATCTGCTGACCGGTCTGAAGCAAAGGCCCTCCCATTCCACTTCCAGATCATCCTCTGCTGCTTGTCTGCCCGGCTGTTTCAGCCCAGTCAATGTGACCGCCACCTTTCGCAGCTCAGCGAGGCTCTCCCTGTTGATCATCTTCTTCGTATCTGTCGCCAACTCTGGCAGAGGTAGCACGGTTTCGTCGTGGTTGAGCCCTCCAACCCATATTTCAGGCTTGGAGTCTGCATTGAGCCGAGCATACGCTTCGGGCGCCCAGGACCAGGACTCCGTTGGTGGACAATAGAAGGCGTAGGCAATATTTTCGTCTTTGCCATGGAACTTGTCCTGCTGACCACAGGCAACATTGCCGAACGGTTTCGCGTACCGCGGTGTCCTGTAAAGAATGCTGTGTCCCGCCAAAGGATCGATCTCGACTTTGGCACGGTTTCGTGGGAACAAGGTCTCGATGATCCGTGGTGTCCAACAGCCTGCAGCAACGACGATGTCGCTGCAACGCAAGGACCTAACACCCGATTCCTGGTCTGTTGACTCGGTTTCCACTCCGACAATCTTGCCATCACCAGTCGTAATGACACCAGTCGCGCGTGTGCTCAGATGCATTTCCACACCTCGCCGCCGACACTCCTCCACAAGGAACTCGCACAGCCTACGCGGCTCGACCTGCGCACAATCTTCAGCGCCGGAAACAACGTTCCACGACGCGCCATCCTGAGTGACCATCCATGCGGGTGTGCCATCGTCGTTCACCTGCTCACCCGGCGCCGAGACGTGGCCTTCCGCCCGCCGCCCGACGGCCGCAGCGCGACTTGTACCCTCCAGCAACCAATCCTCGACGCGGGAACCTTCAGGCTCGCCGTGTAGACTCATACTGTAGACATGGGATCCGGCGTAGCCCCAGCGTCTGTGACCGCCATGTGCATCCGCGAGTTGGCGATGGAGCTCAAATGACAGTTCGCCGAGAGCTGCGGATTCGGGCCTGAACCAGTCGCGCGCGAGGAAGCCGCCTGCATAGCCAGAGGCCGATTCAAGCAGCTTGGATGCCGAGTCAATGATGTGAATGTGCCGCTTGAAGTCCGCAGACTTAGAGAGGTGATATGCTATTGATAGACCAATGATACCTCCACCGAGGATGACTACAGCATCATTGTCGGCGTCATCATTGGACATGGTTTCGCTTGCATGGATGATCTGGGCACATAGGTACCTCAACGAGAGGAAGAGCTGGCGATTGAAGACCTCGACATTTTGTTGTCTACAAGTTAATCAAGTTTGGGTTCTCGCCTGACCCGGTCATGGTGTAATAGGACGTTAACATCTCGTCTCCATGGACATTGTGGGCTTTTTTGCGGTCTTGTCCGAGATCGCAAAAGCTGCAAGGCTGCGTGCGCTCTGTAATTCAAGGACATAAAATTCAGATGGAGTGATGGAAAGCGATTTTGAAACGTCTTGCTCATAGTTTCTGTACTCAACAATCCATTCCCAGCAGTATGCTATTTTTCGATGGGTCTGAGAATTCCAGCGCTGTATCCAGTACTCTCTCATGCACGAACGCAGGATTACATGACTTGTCACTCATCATTGCTGTCCAGTGAGTTCTTCACCACCAACTATCAGCCTGCTAGAAGTCCATGGCATTGCCATTATGCAGCGACATATTCAAGCGCGACCGGTCCGCTAATACCTCGTCGTCATCATCAGTCTCTCCATCAACCTCAAAATCGAAATCTCCACGTTCGATTCTGCTGCATCTATCGAGAATTTGTTGATACTCCTTGCGTAGATCCTCCAACGTGATGATGATACGTCGTCTCTTCTGTGGTTTGACATCTCCATTCATCTGACTTTCGTCTGCTTTCTGTCCTGGCCGTGCCTTGTCGTCCACTTCTGCGTCGACCAGAACGTAGGCCTCTTCTGGGGCGACACAAGCCATCATGTTGATGAGAGACAGAAGGACATGGCGCAGAGACGTTGCCTGAGGGTCATGTCGAGCTCTTCCTGATCGGCGCACAAGTCTGAGGCGATCATACAACAACGTTAGCGCACCACGGTAGTTCTTTTGAGCCACCCGTAACGCATAGATGATGCCTAAATAGTCAAGGTTGTCATCGCTCGTCAACCAGCCGGAGGACGGAACTCCAGCGGAAGTCTGCTTCTGTGCTAATGACATGAGGTGGTGATCCATGAGCCGGAAAAGGTGTGGATGCATTCCCCATGGTAAAGATTGCAGTGTCTTGACTGCGCCTTGAGCATCCAGTGTAGATGACTGCTGATTCAGTATCGTGCTGATCAAAGAGGTGACCGAGGATCTTTGTAGAGCTACGTCGGGAAGCTCTACCAACGCATCATACGCACAATCAAACCTGGCCAGTCTCAATTCCGCATTGAACAGCCGAGACAAGACTTCGCTCCGGAAATTGGGCGCAGGGTCTTTCTGGTCGGATTGCAACGCTTGGAGGGTCAAATGTGCGAACTGCGCGGCCCCGTTGTAGGCACTGGCTGATTCGAAAAGGGTGGAGACATGATGCAGATAGGATGGCATGCCATTGTTGAAGGACTCGGCTTCAATCATCGAGAGAAGTCCAGCTGAGAGAGCGACGAGGTTGCCGACCGCTTTACCGCATGCAAGGCCGTATGAAGCTTTTTTGAAGTAAACCACCGCCATCTCATGCTCTCCTGTCGCAAGAGCAAGGCGGCCCTTGACATAACTTGACCATGGTGTGGAAGGTTGAAATTTGAGGAAATCGGTTGCGAGGTGAAGCTCATCCTGCTTGAGCAGATCGCATTGCAGATAGACCCCGCCATCCTCGGTGTCGATCGTATCTTTTCCAGACGCCCAATCATCAATTTCGGTTAGCTGCTCTGTGATCAAATACAATAATGGCCTGTCAATAGCCGGTTGGGGTCTGACTGCTTTGCTCAGGGTATCCTCGAAAATCGTGACAAATCTGTCGCTTTCCGGGGATGACGTGGACGGCCGTCGAGCTGCATTCGGTTGTCCATCAGCACCCAGGATTTCGAGAGGTGTGAGGCGCCAATGTGATGCCAGCCATAGATTACGATCACACAGTCTGAGCAGAGGTCCAATGTGATAGTACAGCTCTGAGGCATTGAAGGATGTCATCTTGACCTCCTCTTGATTCAGCTCACCTTCGACAAAGATTGCCAGCGCAAGTAAGTCCATGAGCAATTGGCGCTGTGCCGTTAGGAGGTCGCGCGTTCCAGCCGATATCAGGAGGCTTGCAAACAACGTATCCCGCAGAGCGCTCTTTGCTCTCTTTGTTTTGCCCGCCAGCAATTCCAGCACACCCAGAAAAAGCTCGTCATTTAGAGAGGAGAGACCACCAACGGGAATAAGCTCCGACTCAAGACGTTCGAACACCTCGTTAGAAACTGACTCGGTGAATCCAATGCTTTCATAGATCTCAAATATCCTGGTGGGCGTTACATATTCGGCGCCAATGGACATGTCCTCCTCGATAGCGACCTCTAGATCATTCGCAAAATCGGCACTGAGAGACTCTCTGAAATTCCGTGCTGCAGAAATCAGTACTGCGAGGTTGGCGAATGACTCCCCGTCCTCAGCACTGACTTTACGATGCTGCCATGTCCGCGCAGCAACATCTTCAAGGTCTTCAATATCGCCAAGTTCGTTTTGTTGGAGCAGCTCGATTTTGCTACATTCTCGTACAGCACAACACTTTCCAGTCATTGTAACCCACACCATTTCGCTGAAAGCGTCGTAAGCCAAGGCCAATGGAGCGTTCCGGCTTTCGTTGATGTTCTCGGCTATGCGATAGAAATTCCGCCATTGAGCGTCGGTGTCGACATGGAAACGTTCGAAATCGAGATCAGAGTCCTCATATTTGCGTAAAGAGACATTGGCGGCAATAATGGCACACATGCGCTGTCTAAGGGAACTGGCTTTCTGGGCAGCAGTCGATTTGCCAGCTGTTGCCTCCTCAAACACGGACAGCGCGGTCTCGAGGCCTGCTTCGGAGTAGCGTCCTGGGTAGAAGAAGAATTCGAGCCATTTGGATGAAGGGTCATCCGACCCGCTTCTCACCAAGTCAGGGGCAATGTTCTTGGACGACGATGTCGGAGCACATTTGACCCAATTTGACTTCCAAGAGCTTATGATACTCGCAAATTCGAAACTGCAGTGGTACAGCTGATGGTAATTGTGATTCCGCCAGAGAACCCACAGTTGAGCTGGTTTGAAGTCGTTGCTAGGATCAAGTTTGAAGCCTACCATCGACCAAATGGTATTTCCTGACGGATCTGGGTCTGGAGCATTCAGTCGCTGGCCTGGGTATTTGTCTTCAACAACCAGTGGGTCAGTCGAGCCACCCTTCAAATCCCAGAACTTGAACTGTCCACCATCTTGAGGCGTGTATGTCAACAAGACAGGAAATCTTTGGAGTGGTAGCTTGAAAATCTGAATGAAGGCATCTTCCGCAGGATTGAGATGTGTCCGGTCATTGGGGTCTCGGACCGTGTCGAGCAAGTCTTTTGAGGCGACAACCCTTCCATCCAACAGATTCCAGACCCGCAAGCTATGGTTCAAGCAAACGGTGAATAGGAACTTGCCATCCGGTGAAGTTACCATGGATTGAGCAGTTCTTAAGTCGAGCGAGGTCGAACCATAATCAATCGTCTGCAGACCGCGGCGGCTGACGATGCCTCGTATTGATGCACCCCATGTTTTATCATCGTAGATATCGTGCTTCCAACTTCCATCTATTGAACGCCTTGTTGATCGCTGCAGCTTCCCATTTGTGAATGATATGAATAGCTCCAAAGGAGTGTTGGCCCAAAGATGATGAACAGCGTTGATGTCCAGCGATGAGCTGTCAAGAGGTTTGCACCAGTGCTTGATATCCTCAGCTTGTAGAGACTGCGCATCTCGGAAGGCGGAGGTGGGTAGTCGCAGATTGAATATCTCGTTCTTGTCCGTACATACAAAGACATGGATTTCGTCGCTTGTGTCGAGGTCGGCAAACGTAACTCCCCTGGGTATGATCTGCTCTTGAAAATCGAACCGCAAGGTAGAGTATGCTTCTTTCAAGTCGGCTTCGCTTCGAGAAAAATCGGCGCATTGTATCTGCAAGGTCCTTCCATTGTTTACCACACTCCAATGAAATGTTCTTGGGTAAGACTTGGACTGGCGAAAGTAGATTGAGCTCTGAGAAGCCAGCACCTTATTGGAGAAGGTCCGCTCGTCTTTACTAAAGGATCTCGCGTTGATCTGGCGGCTCGAGGAGAATTTTGATCGGTCGTAAGTGCCGTTCTTCCTCGGGACTTGAAGATGGGCAACGGCAGCTCGTGTGGCAGGCGTCACCTCAAAGGCGGTCTCGGTGTAGAGGTTGAGCATGGCTGGGTCCGATGTCTGGGTCGCATTCGGTCAGAAGGACTGGTCATCTCGAACGGTGATTGCGAAAAGAGGTCATGGCTGCAATTACAGTGCAAAATGCCGCCTGCGGTTTGTCACAGTCTGAAATGTTACTACTGACTAGTATCAAAATGTTGCCCGACGCGTGAAGTCGCGCAGACAATTGTCAAGGTCACGTGCTGGGCTTTTTCAGGCTACGAGGCTCACTACACGTCAGCAAAATCTGCCGCCTCCACATTCTCTGGAATTACGTTCTCGGCTGTAGCAACATGAGAAACTAATACATAGAACAGAGGTAGCGTCAACGGCGAGGTCAAACTCTCCATCTCGGTCCGACATTGGGCCAAATCAGAATAGGTATGTACCACTGCGGATCAATCAAACAGACATTTCGCTGGAGGCTTTAGATAAGATGTGAATCAACCTCGGACCGACAGAGGCGATCAGCGCATCGGTACTAATTCCTACTTCTTACGTGCAAGTCTGGCCTAGAATGAGTCCACTTGGCCATCAACCTGGGGTTTGTGGTCGAGAAATCCACCACTGGCCATTCTCCGGTCACTGGTAGGATGGGCGTTAGCTTTCTCGTTCTCATGCAGACTATGGTCTGATGTCCTTTCGAGAGTTATCGGTCCGAGAATGACCCAATCATGGTTGTGGAGTGGCTGATTCAATTATGTTGCGAAGTCGTTCGCAGATGCTGCGTTGGATATATCTTCTCCATTGAACATTGCACCGTCGCCAGCTTCAGGCTCGGGCCCGCATCTGGCATGCAGTCGCGAGGCCTTTTTCTATGACCTGTCGCTCACACCCGCGGGAAACATGGTACACTTGCTGAACCCTCCACCGTCAGTCTCACCAACACACGAGATGGCAAGTTTCGTTCACGGCACCGTCGCCTCCGCAGAAGCAACAGGTCAATCTGATGCTACTTCATGTAACAAGACATGGTGGAAGAATGGTACCGTGTACCAGATTTATCCATCCTCTTTCAAAGACTCCAGTGGCGATGGTATTGGTGACATCCCAGGAATCATTTCGTGCCTCGACTATATCGCGGGCTTGGGTGTCGACATAATATGGCTATGTCCCATGTATGACAGTCCCCATGTTGATAACGGCTACGACGTTGCGGACTATGAAAACATCTACGCTCCGTACGGCACCCTCGCTGACATGGTCGCACTCATCCGTGGCTGCCACGACCGTGGAATGCGAATCATCATCGATCTCGTCGTCAATCACACCTCCGACCAGCACGAGTGGTTCAAAGAATCGAGATCCTCAGCAGACCATCCAAAACGGTCATGGTATATATGGAAGCCTGCGGGATATACCAAGAATGGTCACCGAAAACCGCCTAACAACTGGCGGAGCTACTTCGGTGGCAGTGCGTGGCAGTGGGACGAACGCACCCAGGAGTACTATCTGCATCTCTTCGCACCTGAGCAGCCCGATCTCAACTGGGAGAACGAAGAAACTCGAAACGAAGTGTACAAGAGTGCAATGGAATTCTGGCTGTACAAAGGGGTGGACGGCTTTCGCATTGATACGGTCAATTTGTACAGCAAAACACCCGGCTTGCCCGATGCGCCTGTCGTCGACGCCAACTCGCAATGGCAGAGTGGCGTCGCTTACCACTGCAACGGGCCGAGGATGCACGAATACCTCCAGGAGATGAACGCCAAAGTCCTCTCGAGGTTCGACTGCATGACCGTGGGCGAGCTTCCGAGCACGCCCGACCCAGCCAAGGTTCTTCGATACGTCAGCGCAAAGGAAAAACAGCTCAACATGGTGTTCCAGTTCGACGTCGTCGACCTCGGTCAAGGCCGGGACCAGAAGGATGACACCGACCCTTTGTCATGGACGCTGCCGGATCTCAAGGCCGCGCTGCTCCGTTCTCAACGCCTCATCTCCGGCACTGATGGCTGGACGACTGCCTTTCTTGAGAATCATGACCAAGCAAGATCGATCTCGCGTTTTGCATCCGATGACGAAAGGTATCGTGAGAGGTCAGGGAAGATGCTCGCGATCATGCTTGCAGCACTTTCCGGAACCCTCTTCATCTATCAAGGCCAAGAAATTGGCATGATCAACATGCCTAAAGACTGGGATATTGATGAGTACAAGGATCTTGAGTCGAGCAACTACTACCGCTCAGTCTCCGAACGTACCCATGGAAATCAGAGAGCCCTTTCCCGAGCCTTGACTGCTGTTCAGCATTTGGCGAGAGATCACGCCAGACTGCCCATGCAGTGGGACGATTCGCCGAACGCAGGTTTCACTACGGGCACTCCATGGATGCGGACCCATGATGCTTACAAGCACATCAATGCTAAAAGCGCACTCGCGGACAAGCATAGTCTCCTGCATTTCTGGAAGCGCCTGCTTTCGCTCAGACAGGAGTACGCGGATCTTCTGATATACGGCGACTTTGAGGTTTACGATATGGGGAACGTCGATGTCTTTACGTTTGCAAAAGTCACTGGATCTGGAATCGCATTGATTGCCTTGAACTTCAGTGCAGATTCTCAAGGGTGGTCAAAGCCAGATGACGTTGAGGGCCAATTAGATGTATTGGTGTCTAATGTGCAATCATCTGAAGAATCAGTATTGGCTCCGTGGGAGGGGCGGCTATATCTCGTCAGTTGAAAGCCAGAATGGTGCTTCACGCCAAATGCCTGGACCAGACGGGGTTCAAAGGCGAGGACAAGGACTTGGGATCTGGAGGACACAATGTTCGTAGAGTATACTCCAACAGTAGAGAGTCGGTAGACTGTTTCAATCCATCTTCCTTTCAGATCTTGATATATTGACCTCAAGTATACAAAGGGAACTGACTCTGGTACAATAGATAGGATGTCAGGCAATCTCGAAGTGCACGGCACCATATGGATGAGCACCTCGCGGACAAGTCGGAATTCCCATAGCACGAGATACATGATATCTCGAGTCATTAGGCGGTGAGATAGAAGGATACAATAGAAATGGTGTATTCTTTACCGCAAAGTCATTTGAGTCGTTTTATAAATCCTCATACATCATCAGTGGCTGCTCACCACCAGTCACCTTGCTCCTTCATAGCAGCAGCGACTTTGCTGAAGCCTGCAATGTTGCTACCAGCGACCAAACTGGGGAACTCGCCTTCTGACGGAGTAAGATAAGTCTTTGCAGTCTGCAGCCCATTCTCAAAGCAGTTCTTCATGATGAGCTTCAGTCGGTCATCGACCTCCTCGGACGTCCACTTGATGCGAGCCGAGTTCTGCGCCATCTCAAGACCCGAGACAGCCACACCACCAGCATTAGCAGCCTTGCCAGGGGCATACCAGATGGCCTCCCCCTTACTAGACTTTCTGTGGGATTCAAAGACCTCGATGGCTTCTTGGGTGCAGCCCATGTTGCTACCTTCGGCGATAAATTTGACTCCTGCCTTGATCAAGCCCTCGGCTTCCTCCTTGGAGACTTCGTTCTGAGTAGCGCCAGGAAGGGCTACATCGACATTGCCGACGTGCAGCCACGGTCTGGCTCCGTCGATGTATTTCACTTTACTGCCAAAGTCGTCCGCAGCGGAGGACAGCTGCTTTCGGTCGACCTTCAACTTGGCGATAGACTCAATCATCTCAGCATCAATACCCTTGTCAGTAGTAGCGACGATGGCGCCCTTGCTGTCACTCAGGGACACCACAGTGCCGCCGAGCTCGATGACTTTGAGAGCGGCATACTGGGCTACATTGCCGGAACCGGAGATGGCGACTTTCTTGCCTGAGAATGACTCTTTGCCGCCGCTTGCGTATTGAATCATGTGTTGGACGTACTGCGGATGGTCAGTCAAAGGTAGTCTCCTGTCGCTGGCCTGTTACTCACATAAACAAGACCGTAGCCTGTCGCCTCTGGTCGAATGAGGGAGCCTCCCCAGCTGGCTGCCGATTGTCAATCGTCGTACTCTTGCATACAACGGAGTTTACTTGCCTCCTTTTCCGGTCAAAATGCCCTCCCACAGTTTCGTCTGTTTCTTGTATTGTCCGAACATCCATCCGATCTCGCGACCGGAGACACCAATGTCACCAGCTGCCTGCGGTCAGCCTCTCTAGACACGCCAGAAGTGGTGGCGTGACCTACCTGGAACATCAATATCGGCTCCAATGTGTTTGCCGAGCTCGCTCATGAAAGCACAGCAGAATCTTCTGATCTCATTGTCTGACTTGCCCTTTGGGTCAAAGTCTGCGCCACCTTTTCCTCCGCCCATATTCAAGCCCGTGAGGGCATTTTTAAAGATCTGCTCGAACCCCAAGAATTTGAGGACGGAGAGGTTCACGGTGGGATGGAGTCGGAGGCCGCCCTTGTAAGGACCGAGTGCCGAGTTGAATTGTACTCGATAGCCACGGTTGACCTGCAGCTCGCCCTTGTCGTCTTCCCAGGTAACCCGGAACTGAATGATGCGTTCGGGGATGGAGGCTACTTTGAGTGCTTTCTTGTACTCGGGGTGTTTCTCGAACAATGATGAATTCTCGAGGGTCGATGCAAGCTCCTTGTACGCCTGCTCGAACTCAGGCTCGTGCGGAAGGTTGCTCATGGTTGCAGTGTGCGTTTTGGGAGAAGCCCTATGACGGCAGGGTGAGTGCACGGTAGGTGTCTATGGGGAAGCTCTGAAAGTAGTGTATGAGAGACGGTGTCACAAAACAGTGCTTTGGTCTAGTCAGGTAAGGAAGAGGAGAGGAAGATGAGCAAGGTGGACGACGAAGTTATGCGTTCATATAGATGGGAAAGAGACTGGGCCAAAGTAGGATGAGCTCGTTCGTTGCTTTTGAGCTCCGATTTCAATTTTTCTCTCATCAATTGAATCTGGTCATGGACTCAGTGATGAAAGCATACAGCAGTGGAAAGGTGACGACACCGGAGGAAGAGGCCCATACAATCAAAAAGCAGGGCTTCAGTGGCTTCTGATCGACTGACGGATTGACTCGTGTCGTATCATTGCACAAGGTCTGGTGGGTGAAATGCTCCGAGGAAGAAAGCATCTCAAGGGCCTATGACTTCGTCTTTCTTTGCGGTTGACGTCGAGGTATCAACAAATCCATGCGAAAACACCATGACACCACGGTCGGCGATTGGTTCGATAAGGATTTCAGAAAGCTATTGCTATCATGCTTTAACCCTTATTGGGGCCCTTGCAGCTTGCCCTGGCTTGGAGTTGGAGCTGAGAGCGTGTCCACGCCATCTCTGGGACTTTTTTTTTCCATCTCATCTGTCCAATGCTCTGGTCGCGCGCTAGAGGAGAATCCTCCGTACCTCCACGCCCTTTTGCTCAGCATCCGATGTCGCAGGGCCCGAGTCTGTAAGTTTACGAGTACGGTCGCTGAGCCCTTTGACTTTGAGGGCAGTCAGGCTCACAACACCCTCCCCCACGGGCTTGTCTAGATTCAGCCTTCCTATCAAAAGCAAGACGAGGATCGCATGAACGACCAGAAATTTTCTTTTCTGGCATTCAGCTGCCGTCCTCTTAGCCGAGAGCCACGTTATTCTGGAGAGCAGTATCTTCAGTCCGCCTGACACCTCGACCGGTTCGATATCGCGGACATCCAAGCAACCTTTGTTTCCTAGCAGATGGCGTGCTGGGTAAGTGAGCATGTGCAGCAAGAAAATTTCTCCTTCACCACGGCGTTTCTCTGCCAACACCTACAAACGTTGCGTCCGTCCTAGATGGGTGCCATGTGCATGCTGGGATGCGGATTCAACCCTTCCAAGAAGGATAGTACCAAACATACCTAGGTAGGCACATCCTGTGCACAGTGTTACGTGAGTGAAGAGGGTCCATGGGCTCGGAGTTGAACAGCCTCCCCGGAATACTGGGCCTTGGCCCCTGTTGACGTCGAACCCTGACTGACTCACAACACCATGTTATCGATGCTTTGTAAGGGAATAGCAAGTAGGAACCTCTTCACCATGCGCATCAGAATCTATTGCCTTTTGTTCTACTGGACCTGACTTTTTGAAGCCGATGATAACCATCCATGATTCTTTTCTGACCAAGGAATCTTTGGGTTACCTGTCAATTTTCTCGGCTTTAACAGTCACCATGACTGACCCTACAACTCTTGCAAATGCTTTTACCATAACGCCTGTGCGAGACCTTACCGACCTGAAAGACACAATATCGCTCTTCTATGCATATGCTGGATCTCTAGGATTTGACCTTGCCTTCCAAAACTTTGATGCGGAAATGGCGGCGATGCCAGGAAGATACTCGCCGCCACAAGGAGAGTTGCTGATTGCTCGAGACTCCGACGGAAATGCCACTGGTTGTGTGGGACTGCGTCCTCTTCCATTCCCTGGACGCGATCTGCAAATATGTGAAATGAAGCGGCTGTACGTGACTCCTTCAGGACGGGGAACTGGTGTTGGCAAAGCATTGGCCTCAGCCATTATTGCCATAGCACAGCAACTTGGATATTCCGAGATGAGGTTGGATACTCTGCCAAGTATGGTTGCTGCCCTCAAAATGTACCGTATGTTTGGATTCGAAGACATTCCTGCCTATTACCAGACGCCGTTGGAAGGGACTCATTTTCTGGCACTACGACTTGACAAGCACCGGACAAATTCAACTGCGGATGTAGCAGATGCGCAACACGAAGGCCATGTTTGAAGTGGGATATAGTTGTCGGTCGCCAGCACCTACAGCCTCAAATTCACCGACTCGGGTCTAAGCTCTTGATGCCACCTTCAATCGCTCTTTCCTCGACTTGAGGCCCATTCTCAGTGACGAGATATTTGACTTTTTGGGTGAGGCTGTTGGCAGAAAACCCAGCGTTGGTGGAACTTCGACATACCTGCCAGAAGGCACGTTCATTATTTCTGCCAATCACCGAATGGTCGTCGTGAAGATTATCTTCCAGTTGCTTCTTGTGTTCACATGCTTCGCGAGGAATGGCACTTTCAGACGGTCGCTGTAGGCATACTCGTCTTGACCTTCGAGAAAGTTCTGCATCGCTGATTCCGACGGCGGGTCACATTTGGGAACCTGCGTCCATTCGAAATGAATTTCCTGGAGGTTTGGGAAGGCTTCCTCCATTCCACACCAGTACCCTTTGGGAAAATTGACCCCATTCATCTCACGATTGTTGAAGCCAAAGAAGGTCATCTTGGTCACTTGACTCCGGAATTGTTCATACTTGGGCTCAAAGTTCAGCGGCAGGATCGGGCCACGGTCGCAGCGCAAACGGCCGTTAAACGAGTTTCTGCTTCGCGCACAACTTGTCTCTTGGTGTATTTGCTTGTTCACAATATGTAACTTGGCGCGGCAAGGCATAGCAACCTCATATCTGTCGCTTTCAGACCTCAAACTCAAGGTCGATATTGCCATCTTAGCTGTAACCGCGTATGGTTCCCCATAGACTTCATCGTAGATCCGGTTTCGTATCTCTCCCGGAAGATCGAGAAATCTGAATGGCATAAACGGTAGCGAAGTCCTACTAGACGCCTCGGGGCTTTGTAATTGTCGCGGATCCTTCCGAGCACTTTTGCCGCCCTTAGGACGCAACTCAGGGTGTGCAAGCCAGCAGTGGCTTTTGGTGTGACCCAGCTTTCCACAAGATGAACACTTTCGTTGCTGTTTTTCTCGCGCAGGCCGAGATGCCGTTGTTGCTCTAGCGCCTTCCATGTTCCCCGGTTTACTAAGGGCGGCGGATATGTCGAAGGTATATTCAGTTCAATTTTTCGAGTATGATATCGAGTTGTGATGGTGAGTCGAGAAGGGTTGGAGTAGTGCCATGTACCTCAAAGATTCACCCTTTATATGAATGTTTGGAAAGATGGCAGCCTATCCGTGGAACAACATTTTCCGTGAAACCCAGCCAAAGGGTCCTTAGGTCGTCCATAACCAGATCCACTCGAACCACAAAAAGGTCATCGCTGCTCGAAAGCAGACTCGGTAGGGCCATTTCGGTAGACATAGAGCGTAATAGGCTTCACGTCCACAACGGCTACCGGCTCGAGCGTGCAAACAAAGAACAAAATACACCGAGGTCGAGCATCTTCAGGCTGTTTTTATTCCTGATATTGAAATCCGCCTTCAGATCACGACGCGGGAAGGAGCATTCCCCCGATGAAATGATGGCTGGCGCGCCGCTCGAGGTGGGAAACATTTCTCTTTGTGACTCATCTTGCAACAGTACCATGCTTCTGCTCCCAACCTCTGACGGCTCCAAGAGCAGCCGTGATCTTCAAACCTAAACGTGCATCGAGTTCGTACTTTTCCCAATTCTTGGCTTTCTCCAGATGGGATTTGCAATCTTGCACAAGCTTGGCGTCCTGAGTCAGGTCAACTGTAGCGGCCTTGCTGTGCTGGTTGCTCGTGGTCTTGACTTCGTGGTTTGACGCATATCCGGTCCGCTGCATCCAGAAGTTGACGGCCATTTCGTGGTGCCCTGTGGGAGCGACCCAGTCATCTTTATTCTGGCCTTTCAAGTCAACCGGGTTGCGCGCTAAGACTTGTCTTTGCAGGATCTCCTTGGACTCTTCATAGCGGCCCAGGTGCCTGAAAATGACGCCTCTTAACAAAGCAAGATTGGCCTGCTCATCCACGTCCTCATCTTTCCATCGCGGCGATGCCTCTGACCAGTCAAGAATATTCAAGGACTCCTGCAGTCGAGTTTCATCCATCTTTTTATATCCATTCCACAACAGGATCATTTCTTCCAGTGGGCTGACACCGATGGCGTCGATGAAGCTACAGTTGAATCTCGTAGCTCTGTCGTCCCACTTGGCAATTTTGCGGACAACAAAGCCATCAAATGGCAGTTGTCGACCCATCATCTTCTTCTTCCCAACTTTGGTCGGTGCAATCCTGAAGTACTCCTCGGCTGCTTGAGCATGCTTCTGTGCTTCGTCTTTTGTCAGGCTCTTGTCATGGCGGTAAAGACTAAGATGTGCTGAAGCGGCGATGTAATAGTACAGACCACGAGACCAGGCATTGAGGTCGACACAGGCAATGAACGACGTCGCACAGAGCTGGTATCTGTGAGCATTCATCGCACAGAGGCTCTTTTCGAACATGTGCAGAGCCTGAATCTGTCTGAGCTGGCTCTTTCCTGTTCGCGCGAGTATCTCAAGGGCTTCGTCCAACCGTCTTTCTGAGGCGCGCATTCTCGCTTCTTCGACCAGCCACAGGCGGCTCTCGGGGTAGCTTGAGCGCATTTGTGCCAGGAGACCTTGGAGACGGTGCGCAGGATAGCCTTCGATATGGTCTGGATCCACAGGATTCGCATCTGAAATTATGTCACAGAAGCCTATCAATCCATTGTACCATCCGAACAGAATCAGGCTGGCCATTCCCCCGTTGATATTTTTGAACTTGCTGGCTTGCCACAGCATTTTAATTCCACGTACGCGGTCGCCCCGGAACCCGATTATAGACAATAGTTTGCTGAAAGCTGGCGGTATGATAGATATCATGAGCGATAACATGCCGAACATGAGATTGGTACCTGAATGAATAAACACGTCAAGAGAATTGGAAAAGATTTCTGGGTCGGTGTCCTGGCTGAGCGTTGCCGGAGTCGTTGCTGGGGTGGGCATCACCACACCCTCGGTATGTAGTTGATCAGTGTGGTGTGAAACATTCATCTGCTCGATTTTCCGGTCGAGATCAGTCATTTCATCGACCGTTTCGTCCCTCCCCACATGGCCAGTATATCCTTCTGTCACCGAATTCTTCTCGTGGATGACCTCCGCATCGTGAAATTCATCTTCCGAGTCGTCCTCCGAACCTGAGTCGATAGCTGCAGCTGTGCGAAGTGCCGAAGGATGAGCTGGCTTAGCCGACAGATCTCGAGCTATGCTTCCGGATGCGGGATCGTTGTTGAGCAGGTTTAACTGACTCGATCGTACAGAAGGGACCGATTGTAGACTAGTCGTTGACTCTGCTCTTGACCCGGCCAAGCTTTTCACACCACGAGCCTTCATATAGGTGGCTTCCATCTGTACCAGGCTCTCGAGCGTCATGTAAGCTTTTCTGAGCTTGTAAAATCCTTTGATAGATTCTGTCAGACTCTCGTTGAGCACACCGACGACGGCTGACATCATTTGTGCCTCGGCCTGGCACAAAGCAAACTCCGAGCCCTTTTCATAGATGTTCGAGTTGAAGACACGAGTATCGTACTGAGCCCGTTGATAGCTGGAATAGGCACTGGCCTCGGCCTCCGCCAAGGTCTCGGAGGCCTCTTTCATGACATCTTGCTCGACACCTAGTGCAGCTTTCACAAAGGCAAGAGTGCCTTTGGAAAGCTTGTGGAAGGGCGAGTTCCCGTCCGCCAGACCCTTTTCAGCACCAGCAATGTCATCGTTCAAGACCAATTCGACGGCCCGGAGTGCTGTTTCCAGATTTTGGGATTCTTCCAGAGAATCCAGACTTCTGGTCGAAGCGTTGGCGTTTGACCGACCTCCACCGAGCCATTTCCCAACTCTGTGCATGTTGGCGTGCCGAAACACAAAGACGAGGCAGAAGAAGGGCCAAAGAACGAAGTCGAAAGGAACTGGAGACAAGAATGACTTTTATCCCGCCATGTACAAAAGGCACGTGTGCAGCGATTGTGGGAACAAGGGATTGCAATCAATGATGACGAAGATGTCCAATTGGGAAGGAGGGTGAGATCAGAAGCCTGTACTGTGTATGTCCGTATTTCCAGCTCGAACAAATTGAATATGACATCCAATGATTACAGACTGTTGAAGCTGCTGGAAAGGAATTGAACATTGAAGGATAATATTGGTGAATATGTAGTAGTAGGTAATTCTGGTCGTCATTGCTTCCCCCTGACCACCTGTATCCAATACCGTTAATTGACGACGCTGGGACGCCTGGAATCAGATTTATGCATTCCTTTCGGCGATAATCTTATCTTTCCTCCGAGCCACTTGTCCACCTTCGACACCTGCAGGAACTTAATCACTAACTACGCATCTTCATCTGTGCCTGGAACACTGCTCGTATTGTCCCATCTCCGCATTCGAAAGACTTTCACCACTGTCGTGTACTCGGCCACTCTCCTTTCAAGGTCATCGTCTCTGCCCTTCGACGCCCAGTTACGCAACGCTGGTCCGCCTGCCCCCGTTACCAAAGAAATCACAACATGTCTTCAGGCGGCGATGCCGGACTGGCCAAATTGGCTCCGACTCAAAAGTCTGAGGTCGACCCAGCTCAAACGTCCAAGACCGCTTCAAATCAACCTCCCGCTCTATTAGAGGAAGACGACGAATTTGAAGACTTCCCTGTGGAAGGTACAAACGCTCTCACAGTCGATCGACGTAACATGCAATATACTGATGGTAACTTCCCAGATTGGACACAAGAAGATACCGAAGTACCTGGTGGCTCGACGCATCTATGGGAGGAAAGCTGGGATGATGACGACGAGAACGAAGACTTCAGCAAACAATTAAAGTACGTTAGCCGGCATTGATCGAAAAGACGTTCTAACGTACGTGCGTACAGGGAGGAGCTGAAGAAAGTCGAGGCCACCAAATCATGAGAACCTGGCGCCCGTCCGACGAAAGGAGACAGTACACTGCATGGCGTTCTTGGGTCATAAAAGATTCTCAGGCTAGAAATACGGCATAATCCAGTCTATCGGCTGCGTTTGCATCACAAGAGGAGGCAGGGCGCCTCAAACGCATCCAGTGTTGATTTTAGTCCTTGGCCTGCTTTCGAGGTCCCCTGAGCCATCCACCAGTCTGCTCATGCTGGCGTGATCATGCAAGGACCGCGATCTACTTGGTGGACAATGCGGTCACACCGGGGAGCTCTTTGCCTTCGAGCAGTTCCAAACTGGCGCCACCACCGGTAGAAACATGGCTCAATTTATCCTCCACGCCATACTTGGCCGCAACGGTGGCTGTATCACCTCCACCAATGATTACAATCTTGCCATTCTGAGCGGCTGCCACGGCTGCGTCCAGCGTCTTCTTTGTGCCGTTGGCGAACTTCTCAAACTCGAACACACCTGGTGGTCCGTTCCACAGGATCGTTTTCGCATCGTCAATGGCTTGCTTGTACAGCTTGATACTCTCTTCGCCGCAGTCCAGACCCATCCAGCCATCGGGAACACCCTCAGCATCCGTGGCCGTACCAGTTTCTGCGTCCTTGTCGAACTTGTCGGCTGTGATGTAGTCCACTGGTAGGATGATCTTGACATTGTTTTTCTTGGCCTTTTCCACAAGCCCGCTGCATTTCTCGCTTCCAGCCTGGTCGAACAAACTGTTGCCAATCTTGACGCCCTCGAGAGTCTTTTTGAAAGTGAATGCCATGCCACCGCAGATGATCAAGCTGTTGACCTTGTCCAGCAGGTTATCGATCAATTGGATCTTGTCCGAAACTTTTGCACCACCGAGAATGGCAAGGAAGGGTCGTTTCGGGTCTTCCAGCGCTTGGGCGAAGTAGTCGAGCTCCTTCTTCATCAAGAAACCGGAAGCCTTCTGGGGCAGGTGGACACCGACCATGGAGCTGTGTGCACGATGGGCTGTACCAAAGGCATCATTGACGTAGATGTCGCCCAAGGCCGTCAGTCCCTGGCGGAACTTTTCTACATCAGCCTTGTCCGCCTTGACCTTCTTGCCCTCGGCGTCCTTGCTGCTGCCCTCCTCCTCGGCGTGGAAGCGCAGGTTCTCGAGAAGAATGACCTGACCGTCGCTGGCTTTGTTGACTGTCTCCTCCACCTCGGGACCAACACAATCGTCGGTGAAGATGACGCTCTTTCCTAACAGCTTCTCCAGCTCCGGCACCACAGGCTTCAGGCTGTATTTAGGGTTCTTCTTTCCATCGGGACGGCCAAGGTGGGACATGAGGATAACGGCTTTCGCTCCGTGGTCGACGGCATATTTGATGGTAGGAAGGGCACCAACAATTCTCTGGTTGTTCGTAATCTTCTTGTCAGAATCGAGTGGAACATTGAAATCGACCTGTAACATGGTCAGTTTTGGAAGACAGAACGTCCCATGCATGGACATACTCGGATCAAGACACGCTTGTTCTTGACATCAATGTCGGTAATAGCTAATTTGTTGGAGAGAGACATGTTGCAAAGTTGTAAAGATGAGTATAGAAGCTAAGGTGAGCGGTTTCTGAGTCTGGGAGGGAGAAGAAACACAATTGAGCTGTTCCAGACCAGGAAGAAAATAAACCGTTCGGAGTTTGGAGTCTGGAGGGGTTGAATCGGGATCAGGACCAGCAATTATTACGGGGTGGGGGTTGTAGGTAGCTGCTTCTTCTGATCCCGAATTGACGTATGGAGAAGTCGTAGTTTAGGCACTTGGTGGGCATATACAGTACTGAGGCTCCGTATGTGTTGACCTTAAGTACCCTGTAAATAAATCATCGCTCATCCTTATATGGAACATGCAAATGTGGTATGATGATTGTCGCTGGCCGCGTGATTCTCGCATTGTCGTAACACATTGGTCAGTAGTTGACGATATGTATGCAAGAAGCTCATGTCATCAACATCTAATACGAGGCGTAAATGTGAAGACTTCATATATTGATGAGTAGCAGGGACTTCCTCTACTGTACTCAAATGCAGCCCTATAATGTGCCAAACCAGCGCAGCGCTCAACTACTGACAATGTCGATCTGACTGGCGGACAGGCAAATCGGTACATTTGCACATGCGGTGACGAGCGGAACCTGCGCTGCGATGGCACAGCCCGTGTGGCATTCTAACCTCCCAGGTTACCGGCCCGCCGCCTCTTTCTCTTTCCATTGCACTCATACAACTCGTTCATCATACTTGATAGAACGTATTATACTTAGGTATACTCGAGTCTGAACACAAGACTGGTTTCATTTCGGCTTCATCGTCGCTCTTCAAATCCCAAGCCAAAGTGTTCCAACGACGCCCTGCACGCCTTGCCTGTATTGCCTGCGAATCCACATCTAGCGCCTGGCGTCACTGTCAATCCACGTCGATTATCATTGACCTCATAGCCTCTCCTAAGACTTTTTGAGACCACGCTTCTCTCCTCTTTTCCCCCTTCCCTTCTCGACCATGTGGGAAACGTCGAGGAGGAATTCTCTGGCCTGGTTGAACAGTCGATATATCTATGGCCGAGTCGTGAGTCGCAACTCCTCGGATTCACTGCCAATTCGACGGCTGCATCTTCCGGCCATCGTCCGCTGACCTTTTCATCTCGCAGCCATTGCTTCATACCATCCTTCTCCTAATCGAACTCGCCATGGCTGCGCGATTGATAGCCAAATTCAACTCCTACTATGCAAAGAAGCCGGTACTGACTACAATGATCACCAATGCGGTATGTGAAACAACAAGAGCAGGCTGAAACAAGCTGATGAGAGTATAGGTTCTTGGTGGCATTGCAGATACAGTTGCGCAGACAATATCAGCATTCCGAACGCGACAAGCCTTGCTCCCTTCCAATGATCCTAGATCATTGATTTCGTCCGGCGTCGAGCTGGAAGACCTCAATGAAAAGCCTGCCAGATTGTCGCCGACCCTGTCACCGCGGCATACCGGCCCTCAACCCTTCGACTTCGAGCGACTGACCAGATTCATGTCGTACGGTTTCCTCATGTCTCCGCTCCAATTTCTGTGGTTCGGACGACTCACCAAGTGGTTTCCGATCACGTCGACGAGCGCGATGGTGCCAGCAATGAAGAGAGTGGCCATGGATCAACTGGTGTTTGCTCCCTTCGGTCTCTCATGCTTCTTCACATTCATGACGGTGGCCGAAGGTGGAGGCAGAAAGGAGGTGGTCAGGAAATTCCAGGATGTCTACGTCCCAACCTTGAGGGCCAACTATATTCTGTGGCCGGCTGTTCAGGTCATCAACTTTCGGGTAATGCCTCTACAGTTTCAGATCCCTTTCGTCAGCACAATCGGGATCGCTTGGACAGCGTATCTGAGTTTGACGAATTCCAAGGAGGATGAAGACATGCAGCAATAGCGCCTTACAAAGTTCTGGACTTCCGGGTCAGTCACGGTCTCGGTAATAAGCATTAGTGGCGTTCAGACTGGCTTAGCGATATGATTTGTACTATTACTGCCCGAGCGAAGCCATGAACAGGGGGATTGGCACGGCTTGATCGCTCCTGCTCTCTGGTTTCATATGAAAACCTTTCCTTCTTGTCGTCCCGGAGTCCTTCGCACCAAGCGAAATAGCCGCAGCCCTTGACAGGAGGGACGTCATCACTTCTACCGTGTATCCCTACCAGCCTGGAGTCAAGGCACCCGCTGTTGTGAGCGTGCTCGAACATGAACATATATCGTCAATGTACCCCCTGTCAGACGATGCCACTTTTTCTGAAACAGGTTCGCCGGTTCTCAGATCTGAAGCTTGATTTCTTATTGAAGACCTATTTGCGTCGTTGGGCATCGTGGAGCCGTCCTGATGTCGTTCAGTCCCAAGACACGTGCTCATTGAAGAGCGAGTCCCCTCGGGCTATACGCCTTGGGGTCCTCGGTCAAGGTGTTCTTCTCACCCTTCCTTCTCCAGCCACGAACCGAACTTGTCTAATCGCCCGCCCTCACCTTCTCCGCCTTCCTCTTCGTTGTCGTCAAAGTGCTTGTCGCTAGACTTTTTGAACTTCTCATTGCCTGTGGATATGTGTGCTTCGAGTTGTCGTTCGTCAAACCACCGGCCGTTCATGACCTGGAGCGTGTCAGAGACATCGGACACCAAAGGGCAGTTGAACACCAGGGAGGAAACTTACCCTAACACACGCTGCGGCGGCTTCTGCGTTGGAGAACCGCACGCTCGCAACACCGTCTTTCTCCTTGTCGAACAGCACCACATTTGTCACTTCGCCGAGTTTGGAGCACTCTTCCCGGATATCCTCCTTGATCTCTAGCATTGCGGCTGGATCCTCCTGCGATGTGTCAGTGAGCCTCCCGGTGCATATCGCATCCTTGACGCACCTCTAATTCCTCGAGCGTAAACATGTGCTTTAGGATGACCACCTTATCCCATCGCGAGCTTGTGTCCTGTAGTGTCTGAGGGTCATCGTCGTCCCAATCCGTCAGTTTACTGCGATGTCAGCGTAGGCCACCTGAGCAACAACAGCTACTCACCCAATCATCTTTTGTGTCTTCTTGATAACCTTTTTCTGGTCCTTCTTGTTCGTCTTGGCAGGCGCATCCTGTTGGCTTTTGTATGAAAAGTCTGCTGCTTGAACTCTCATCTTCCCCAGGGGTCCCTCCGTGCCGAGCCGGAAGTCCGTATCGTCCAACATCTGCACTGCTAGATTGACAGATTCGGGCCGGAAGTATACCACCAGAGCGTCGCCTTTGAATTGTCCCTTGTCATCCTCATACATCTTTATTCTTGCCTTTCCTGAATCGATCTCTTCCGTGATGACACCACACTTGGAGAAAACATGTTGGATCTCCTCCTGGTCGGCATCCAGAGGCAGCGAAGTGACATAGACAGCGGTGTTGACTCGAGCTTTCTTGGGTTTCTGGCCGGCCTGTGGTTGTATTAGCATTTCGATTTCGGCTTCTTTGCACCATTTCTGACTCACCTCATCACCGGTTTGCTTCCGTTTCTTCTTGTTCGGTACTGTTGCGTTCTCGTCGACACCTTCAACCTTGTAGATTTCGCCTTGTTGATCCAATAGTTCTTGATCTAGCTATAGCAAGAAACGACATCCGGCATGTTAGAATGAGTCACGGTTCAAGAGTATGCCATGATGATGGAGAGGGCGATGTCGCTCATGCGTTGTAATGCCTACCGTTGGTATCCATCTTCTGAGAGCGGTGTCCCACACGAATTCATTGCCCTCGTCGGTCTCGAGGATAAACTTGTCGTCCAACTTGGAGAACGACACTCGAGGGTCCGCATCAAAGGATGACGGCGACCGTGGGAAGCCCGTCTGGAACCCCTCGTCTGCGTCGGTTCGCTCCTCGTCGGCCATCGAGAATACGTCGTCGTTGGAACGGATCTGTGTGTTGCTTGAACCCGCAAGCGATGATGTCGCAGGGAATACGCAAAACGCATAAAAGATGCAAACATGCCAAGATGATCTCAGCCTCGTCTGAGAAAAAGTGGCCGCGTCTGACAGGAAGTATATCGACGACACAAGTTCAAGGTCCAACAGGTTCGCTACGGCGGGTACCTCGACCACAAGGTAACAGATCTATACGACAGAGGTGACCAACTTCTCCCGGCCAAGAAGTAATGCAGTGTTGTTGTGTGCGAACGGATCCGGATTGACATTGAGGAATCATGTCTATTTGAATGTGACGACCTACACAGGTCAGACAATACTACTTTTTCTGGAAATGGGCTTGCTAGCCTGACACCTGACAGCCTCGTTCCCCCTTGCTTTGCGATCAAGTACGAAAAGTGAATTTATTGCTGTATGGAGTATATAACGCAAGCTATAACAAAACATTGATTATTCAGTGAAGACTTTCCCGGATTTGATGACCTCGAAAGCCTTCAATGTATACGCCACAAGCTTCTCGCCCACACCCTCTTTCCTGTACTTCTTATAGCCTGCTTTCTCATTCTCGACTGCCTCACCACTGATTTCCACAGCATACGCTCCGCTGCCAACCTTGCCGTCGGAACCCTTTGCGACACCCACTTCGATCTCTCCACCTTTCGTCGCAGTGCTCTGCTCCGTGGCTCCTCGTGCTGGGAATCGAAGTGGAGATGCCAGGAACAAGATGCGTTCACCGGCTTCCGCAGGAGAAGTGGTGAGTAGTTTTGTGACCGGAGTGATAACGGTCCAGATCGCTTTGAACCATATTGGAACGCCTGGGTTTTTGAATGCCGGAGTCATCACTAGGCCAGGGTACACGTGCACTAGACTGAGTTTCCCAGGGTTCTGTGCTGCGAGGTACTCCATGAAGAAGGTGTGCAGGTATACAGTATGTGACCTGACATTGGTCAAGCCGCGAACTTTGATTCCGCGCAGTGATAGATCATCCAGGTGCAGGTCTCCTTCTTTGCCAGCACCGAAGACTGAGATGACATGAGCCGGAAAGTCGGAACCTCGCAGTAATGGTAGAAGGTTGACGACGAACTTCATTCGAGAATGATAGAGCAGGGAGTAACGCCACTCGATGCCTTCTTTGGTCTCTGCACGTTGACGAAACAGTCAGCTTCTGCTCCTATGGACGGGGCTGATGAGACGGTCTTGCAAACGTCACATACCTTGATATCCATCGAAGTTGAAATCACCCTGGCTCATGCACAGAATATCTATCCTGGCCTGCTCTCCTTTTGCATTCTCCTGTTCCGCTTTGGTGATCTCAGCGCAGGCTTTGTCGACATTCGTCAAGAGGGATAAGTCCGGCGACAGGACGAAATTGAACTGGCCGGCGGGACAAAGACGAGTACAGTCAGAGACAATCCGCTGAAAAGCTTCCCTCTTCCTGCCAACAATGTAGACCCGAAGCCCCTTGCCCGTGGTTCCGTGAGCAGCTGCTAAAGCACGTAGAGTGGCTTCCCCAATGCCAGCAGTAGCTCCAGCGAAGACTGCGACAATGGGTCTGCTCTGAAAGATGGCTGCATTATGAGCGTGAACGGTACGCAGTTGTACCATATTTGCAAGAGTTGAATATGGTTGCTCGAAGACGGAGTGAAGAATGGTAGATTTGATGACAGACAGGGAACAAATCTCTCAACTCACTGCTTAGGACCTACCTTTATATCTCTTCTCATGTCCGGGCACGGTTCAACATCTATGGGCAAGCTTGATACACGCAGTAACGGTTTTCAGGGGCGAAGTATTCCAGGCGCGAGCTAATGTACAAATATACGAGACGAGGTTAGCGTGTTGAACACCGACTTCCTTTGATGACCAATGATTGTCCGCTGTTGACAGCCAGAGGACCTGTGAATCCATAGATATTGGTGCAAGTAGCGCAAATGTGTCACAAGCCCATCTGTGCCATGCAGAATGGGCTAACAACGGCGAAGGCACAACAGCGTTGTCTGCATAAATGTCGTAATTGACTTCGATATTCCCCCGATCCTCCACGGAGAGTGCGGTCAATGGGCCAATATCTACGACCCGCAAGCCTGTTGCTTTCGAGCGACAACACTGTTAACGGAGGCCGAACAACTCCGAGCATGATAGACGCTCAGACAATTGAGTCGTAGTGACCATTGTGACTTGGCCAGGACCGCCGGTAGTGAATTTGCAAAAACGTCCCAAAGACCGTGGCGACAGGCGAGAGTCTGACATACAGGTATCACATTGTCTACGTACCACGCGAGATGCACATGACACGAATAGATGAATCGGTCTGAAACCGTATACTGGTCTGAGGCGAGCCCTCATTGAAGAGAGCCGCATCGCAAACGGAGAGGGATGAACAATTGTTCGAGCGGTCAACCGAATTAAATCAGTGTGCTCACAAGACATGTAAATGGGTTGGTATATCGTACGTATGCCGAGCGCTGCACCAATATAACATGGGTTGGACTTGTTCCAAGTTTCGGAACTCGAGTGAGTTTCTGGATAACCTCGATCTCTGTGGCGGATGCATAGGAGGCGGTCTTCCTCCGCAAGAAGAGCAGCGTTATGATCCCGTCAAAGGAACGTCTGATGCCACGGACTGCCACAGCGAAGACCATTCTGAACCATATCCATGGTCGCTTCTGTACAGCTGGAGCTTTACTTCAGCATTGGCAGGTTTCAAAAAGTCCTGCCCGACTAACGCCACGCCATCTCCAAAAATGATATGTTTGTCATGATGTTATGCCATCTTCTGGCTTACTTCCTATACCACAGCCTCGTGATTCTTGTATGTCGCACTGGAAAATGTGGGTTAGCGGATACACCATGGAGTTTGAGCATATAACATACTCTTCTTCTGCAGCTGGAAGATGCCATACATCAGCGCCTCACTGGTCGGAGGGCAACCGGGCACGTAGATATCGACGGGCACAATTCGATCGCAACCTCTCACGACACTGTAGCTGTAGTGATAATAGCCGCCACCATTGGCACAGCTTCCCATACTGATGACCCATCTGGGATCGGGCATCTGATCGTAGACTTGTCTCAGAGCAGGAGCCATCTTGTTCGTAAGTGTACCCGCCACAATCATCACATCACTTTGTCGAGGAGACGCTCGGAAAATGATACCCAACCGATCCTGATCGTACCGTGGTGTCGAAAGATGCATCATTTCGACGGCGCAGCAGGCGAGACCGAATGTCAGCGGCCACAGTGAACTTTGTCGTGCCCAGTTGGCGATCTGATCGAATGTTGTGAGGGCAAATTGCATGGCACCTTTCTTCTGCTCTTGCGATGGGAGGGGCACTTCGCGACGGATGCCGCCCGTGACGGGTAGCCGTGAAGAATCGCTGGACGTCGTAGCCGGTGTGACTGATGTTGCAGACTTCTTAGATGAGGAGGATATCGACATTGCGGGCGCGGCGCGGACGACCGAGAAAGGAACCATCGTTGTAGCTGCGACCATTGTCAATCAACCGCACTCCATGTTGTGGCGATTAAGCTTCATTTCTTACCTCGCAGGGCCCGCGGAGCCACAGTTCTCGATAAAGACATCATCTTGCCGGAAGGGTAATGTCGATGATGGGAGAGAGGAGATATGGACGTGAGAGAGATGTTGAAGGATGCGTCGAAGCAGAGGCGAAACCCGAAGCAAAGATAGAAAGGATGGTCTGGTCTATGATGTGCACTTGCTGCCGACTCCACAGACAAATCCCTTTACAAGCTTCTTCATTGGCTGCTCAATCACCCGACGATTCTCCTTGAGTCCCTGCGAACTTCCACCCAGGGATAGTGAGTCTGGGGAAATGATACGAAGACCATCCTCCACAATGGGAATGAGAAATGTGTAGCTAATGGCACTCAATTCTACGCCGGCCATTGCTTGCATTGGTATCATTGGCAAACATGCAAGTCATCGAATCGGACCAGACATTCGCACACAGTCAATACTAACAAGTGTAGGATAACCCTCTGCACATCTCCCTCTTCCCACCACACGAAGATGAAGACCTGGACATGCAATTCCTCCTGAATTCCTGCCTAGACATATTCGACATTCGCGCAAAGACGAAAACACTCGATCAAGACCTGGGTCTCCTTCAAGCCATCGACGAACGACTTGCGGCCTACGGCTGGCTGACCAACACTGGGATCAAGTTCATTATCGTTGTGGACATGATGGGCCGACCTCCAGCTCCAGACCAGGACAAGAGGAGATTCCCAGCAGCCGTGGGACTACGCGATGCCGAGATGAAGCCTGCTTTTCGCGCTGTCCAGACTGCATACATTCAACTCATGTTGAATCCTTTCTATATGCCTGACGACCGAACTCCCCTACAAATTGCCAACTACGGAGGCAAGAACCCCGAGATAACGAGCAAGAAGTTCATCAATGAGCTTCAGAGGATAGGCAAGGCATGGGCACCAGGGTTACCGAACATATGAGCAAGAACATTCTAGTGAGCTTTTCCGTCATGCTATGGAAGACACATATCAAGCTTTGAGACCCTCTGTCGGCTTGTCGAGCGTCGCAGCGGTCTCTCCAACCTCTGCCGCAGTCGTTGCAGCTTCCTGCTCAGCGTTCGAGGGGGTGCTGATCAAGGGCACCTCATCCATCTTCGTATCTGGATCAGCCAACTTGGCCGCCTCCTCAGTAGCAACAGGGTCGTCAGCTGGTGGTGCCGCCACGGCTGCTGGAGCACCAGTCTCAGTCATGCCCTGAGTCTTGACATACTCGAGTACAGCCTCCACGGTCTTTGCAGGACCCGTCTGTTCCCAGACCTTAACAATACCCTGTTTGTCGATGACGACCACACCACGGGCGGTCGATTTGCCAGGACCAGGCTTCTTCATACCGATGGCGGTGGTCAATGTGGCATTTGGGTCACACTGTATATCTCGGGGTCAGAACGAGAAGGTCGATACTCGAATTGTGAACATCACAACCTACCAGAAGTGGATACTGGAGCTTCTGCTTTGTGACAAAAGTAGTGTTTGCCTTAGGGCTATCAGTGCTCAGTCCATAGATGGATAGAGACGCGCCAGTGATGGGAGCGTAATTGTCTCGGAAAAGGCATGCTTGTGTCGTGCCTACGCATCACCTTAGGTGTCAGCACTGCATGACAAACCTGCACCAAGACCATCAGGGGAAGAATGACTTACAACCCGGTGTACTTGCTTTGGGGTATGTGAAAAGCACGACACCCGCAAAGCTCTGATCGATCAACTCTTTCAAAGTGACGTCCTTGCCATCATTCGTCTGCACTGTGCCACCAAACCCGTCGAGTTGTAGTGACTCGCCAACCGCGATCTTGCCACTGCCAGCAGCACTGCCATTCGCCTTGGTCACGGCGATGTCAGGCACAGAAACAGCAGCTGCCGAGGTTGTGGTCTCTGAACTGGGTACCTCGGATTGTGTAGTCGGCTCATCAACAGGAGCAGTAGTGCTGGTTCCATTTTGTTCAGACTTTCCCGTCACGACTGCTTTGGCCTTGTCGGCGAGTTTCTTGACGGTGCTGCTACTACCCCGTTTTGCAGCTGGCTGAGGGGTGGCCGTCTCCTTTGGAGGTGGGCGTTTGCGTAGCTCGACAGGCATCTTGGGAGTGACTCGCGCCTTGCGTCAAGCACGATCAGTAGTCGTGTATGCTAAGACTTTTGGCAGTCCTATTGATGGTTCCTCGTTTGGATATATCTAAGTCTCGGCAGGTCAGCGCGTACTCCTGTAGTCTGCGTCCAGCAAGAAGCAGCGCGCAATGGGATCGAGTCTTCTAGACGTCGTGAACAGTGCTGTCCCCCACAGTTGTCGTGTTGTGTGTTGACCTGTTCTCAGTCAGTACTTTGGATGCCATAAAGCTAGTAACTGTGGGGGCTGGGAGAAGGCTGGTAGGCTATCGACCCAGTACCCCAAGGCAGGTACTGTGCATGTACCACAAGCAGCGCTCCATGGCCTTATACCGCAAAAGAAGCAAGTTGAACCTGAACTGAATCAACGAGGATGCCTTACCTGTCCACATACAATTGCATGAGCTGTCCCAATGGGACGAGGGGACCGATTCCGGGGCTACAAGTACCCTTACGAATTTCTCCACGACTACAGCTTGGGGGCGATCCAGGAGGTGAATAAGAACTCGAACTTACCAAGTAGAACAAGCAGGAAGTCAATGCCAGTCGTCTGCGTTCGCCTGCGAACAACAGAGTAAGCTTGATTGGTTGACAGAAGAGTATAGGTATGCATACAGTGTACCTTGTGCCCGCCCTTCACGTATTTCGCGCGCCCTAAAAAAGATTGTAATTCCGACCTTGGATTACTGGTACAAAGCAGTGAGATCGTGGCATATGTTGAGGATGGATGAAGTGAGGTTCGCCGGCACGGGGTTGAGCAGATGCAGCGTACGCCGTTAGTTGGCACGATCAGCGTGAACCGCACTAACTTGGTCAAACGTGCGCGGCCGCCCAAGGCCGAAATGTTTGCTAAGCGAAGGTAAATGACTGACTACTTGGTACGAGGACTGTACAAGAGTGGGAGAGGGATGGCAGATCGCGATTTGACGGCCCTTAGACCACAGCGCCTATTCCTACAACAATCTGGCTTACCGTCTCATTCTATTTCGTTTCTGGTAGGTCTGAGATCAATCCTGGTACAATTGCTATAATCCCCTGAACCAGCCTGCCACCACAGTAGGCTCGGCCTCATCGAAATACGAATTGGGTAGAGTATACCACTCGATGTTGGAAGTCTCACAAAGTTGCGCAGAGAGGACGGTGACAGATATCACACTGCATCAGTGGCACATGTAGATTGCCCCGCCATACGCTGTACATATTAAGAATTCCATCGCTGATTAATCTCCAAGCATCCAGGCATGAAAAGTCAGCACCATGATAAACATCATACGGGCAGAGTCAGAGATCGAGACACCAGGTTTTTGAGCACATTGGTATGATTTTCAGACTAGCTATGCGAGTCAAGACGACTCTTCTGCCTTGTCTTTAAAGTAATTATGCTGCTTCGTCAAAGCACATGAGTAAGGTAAGCTGGTCATAAGTCCTCTCCAGAAGCGACCCCTTACAGATCCTTCGCCATCTACCTCTCGTCTTCTGCCTCCTCGAAGACTGGACCCTGGCCTCCCAGATGTGGTCGTCATTGCCATGGCATTGTTCGGTCCCAGCCTCGTGCGGCAATCTCATTCTTCCTCTCTGTCGTGAACCAGTACTGTTGATGTTTGCATATTCTGAAGCCAATCGAAACTTAGGAAAAGGTGCTAAGTGTATGGGGGAAGGTCGGTGGTGAATTTCGGAATGAGCGAAAAGGTCAAGTTGGCCTTTTGCGGATAAGCAGGTTAACACTGGGAGATCCCCTGTGCATATTCTGCGTGAACGGGCAGCAACTGATGATGCCGTGCTGTCGTATGTCGCTAAACTTTGTTGAAATCTGATGTCGCATGCGCAAGGTCGCTCTTTGTGAAGAGTCGACGGATGCCATAAGTCGTTCGTCATCGTACACATATTGCATGTCGAGTTGAGCTGCAAGATCATTCAGATACCAGTTTGCGTGTCATATCGTTCCTTTACGGATTTGCCATGTGCTAGAGCAAACCCCGCGCCGGATCCGACATACCCATTGTTGTGTGGAAGACAGAGTCTTCAAAATTTGGATGAAAGGAAGTTCGGTGTCAAGAACACCAAGCCATCGTTCCGTTTCAACGATAATCGCTGTTGCCATTGGTTACCCTTGTACCGGAACGAAGCCTATCGTCGAAGACTAGAATTAGTCAGATGTCATTGTAAACCTCCACGCAAGACGAGCAAAACGCAGAGGAGATCCCTTACACGGAACCGAAGGTTTCAGTACTCACATCCTGTCGCTTCCTCCCTGGTCGTTGCCGCTGGTGCCGCGCTCCATGACCTTGCGTCGAGTGCTGGAGATGGCTCCTGGCTTGCCTTGGGTCAAACCGGTCTGAGGGGTAGGAACTCCGGTGGCAGCTGCGGTGCCGGTATGGCCACGTCGTGGTTTGTCCTCGTCCTCTTGGGTTGGCTGATTTCCGGCTGCTTGAGCAATGGCCTGAGCGTTCTTCTGATACTTGTAGACGGTCCAGTCGAAAACGTAGTCGTATTGGAAAGATTCTCGAACAAACAGGTCGCGGAAGATCTTGCGGAGATAGGAGTAATCCGGCTTGTCGTCGAAACGAAGCGAACGGGTGTAGTTGAGGTAGATGGCGAACTCATTGGGGAAGCCGCGGCAAAGGACTTCAGTGGGAGTTGTCATCTTCTTCTCCATGATACGATCGTACTTCTGCTTCTTGGTGGCAGCCTTCAGTCCCTGCCAGGGAAGAGAGCCACGGCAGAAATAGAGCATCACATAGCCCAAAGATTCCATGTCGTCACGTCGAGATTGTTCCACACCCAAGTGAGTGTTAATCGAGGCGTATCGAGCCGTTCCGGTCAAGTTCTTGTTCTCACGGTATGGAATGTGAAAATGGGTCTTGGGGTCGCGATACTTCTTGGCCAGACCAAAATCAATAACGTTGACCTGGTTGCCTCTCTTGCCAATGCCCATGAGGAAGTTGTCAGGCTTAATATCACGGTGGATGAAGGATTTGGCGTGGATGTACTCGATGCGGGAAATGAGCTGATCGGCGAGAAGGAGGACGGTCTTGAGAGAGAACTTCCGGTTGCAGAAGTTGAAAAGGTCTTCCAAACTGGGACCGAGAAGGTCAAGGACCATGGCGTTGTAGTCACATTCTGTGCCGAACCAGCGGACGAAAGGGATCCCGACTCCACCAGCAAGGGACTTGTAGACACGGGCTTCGTACTCGAGTTGAGGGTGTTTGGCCTTGACAGACTCAAGCTTAATGGCAATCTCTTCGCCAGAGATGATGTTGGTGCCCAAGTAGATGTCTCCGAAACTGCCGCTACCAATCTTTCGTCCAATGCGGTATTTGTTACCTACACGCAAATCCTGCAGACACCAAAATCAGTACATTGTCGTGATTGACCTCCAATAAGATGACTGAGAGGGGGCCTTGTGGCAGTCCAACTCTTCGATAACAGCTGGCTCTGAAGCCCAGAATCCTCCGGCTTGACACGTACCATAGTCGTCATCTTGATAGGATGGAGGCTGCAGAGCAGCAGAGGTGTTCGACGATGTTAGGGATGATCGTTGGGAAGGGTAAAAAGAGGATCGATGTTGGTGAGGTGAACGGGTGAGGCTAGGTCAATCTCAGCCTGTTTGCAGTTAGATGTTAGTGAATGATCTTGATTTGAGGGAAAGAACGACGTGCAGGTGAAGAAACAAAGTTCAATGCCTGATTGCAAGCTTCGTCAGAAGCAGACAACAGCTTTGAAGCTGGTGGTAAGGATAGAATGAAGAGGGAAGGATGGAGAAGTGAGGACCAACAGGGCGCAGTTGAGGTTTCAACGACAAACCGGTGTGGGCTGGGGGCTTGACAAGTGTCGGGGCAGCGGGCAGAGCGGTAACAATCGAGATGCGAAGATGACTAACCTGGTGCAGGATAAGACGTGACAAAGGGCCGACTTTCGTACGGCTCGGTGACAAGTGAGTCGATACTCACGAGCCTTCAAGCTGATAACGAGACCGGGAAAGGTGTTGTAGAGGGGGATCGAGAGAAAGGAAGAAGAATGGAGAGTGTGTGTGAGAGGGAGAGTAAGGCAAGAATTGGGGGAAGAGTGTGATCAGATTGATGATTGCAAGGGCCTCTCGGTGGGCGATGGGTTTGCAGTCACGCAGTGAAAAAGGGAGTTCCGGGTGCCACTTTCGCTTCTGCCGCAGAGACACCGACCGCCCTGTGAATTGATTATTGCAGGCACTGTAATTAAGTTAAGTTAACTGCACTGCAACTGCAACTGCAAACTGCTGGCCACCACCACTGGCACATCGCCTCTTTCGTACCTCTCTCTCTTGGCTTCCACATTTCAGACTTCTCATCATCTTCATCTCAGGCTTATTGCAACACTACCTACTGCAGGCCGTTTGCCTTTCTGCAGCCTCAGCGAACCACCTCATCAGCAAACAGCGACTCCGCAAGTTGGACACGGATCCCGAGGTCCAGTATTATGCTATCTACGATCGCATAGGCCTGGCCTTTTGTGACGGGCCCTCAACACCCCCTTGTCCCTCTTCGAAACCGTTGGCAAGACTCCACAGCTCACCGTCCCGTCATTCTCTCGTTCTGTTCTTCCCATCGGCTCATTTGCTGTTGGAGGTTATTATGGAATGCTTCATCAGTTGGGCAGCATTTCCTATTGCAACAAAAATTCCCTCTTCGTGACCTTCATTGGTGCATTTTGGGGAGATTTACAACGGCCCAATCGAGCAAATGATCATGAGTGTTTCAATCATATGGACCGTGTCACAAAAATCCAATGATCAGCCTGAGAGCACACCATAGTTCACTTGATGTCTTGTGATCGTTTCATCCGACATCTTATCGAAGGTTCGATTGATTCCCTGGAATACAGCCTCGCAAAACCTCGATCTGCTTGAGCATAACATGCGTCTGCGTTTCGTCACAATGGCCAATCGTCCCGATTTGTAACTGTCAAAGGACGCGCATACGATAACCGTCTCTTCCGGTGGCCTCTTCGTAGCGCCCGAAGAACAGTCCAGAGCCTGACATTTTGGAAGCACTCTCGTCGATCAAGGTTGACGTTATCTACGGTATCCATCACTGGTTCCAGGCTTTCTAGGCAGTGATACTACGAGTACTTAGAGATAGTACGAGGTAATCAAGCCGTAGCCAAGCCTAGCTAACCCCGCAATGAACATCTTGGTATTCCACATGAATCCGAGGAGTGCATAACTTAGTAGTAGTGGTAGATTCATTGACTTGTTGATGATATCAAAGCATGTTTTGTATAGAGATGGTAGGTTGGCACAATCAGATGTTGTTCACCTACCCAATATGGCACGGCAATGGCGAGCACCAAACTTGAACCCAAGAGGGTCACGCACTTCGAAATCCTGCCGTTGGCCTACCAACTATTGGCGGTTCATGGCCGTCATAGGCCGCACTCCAGAGGCCGGTTAAACCTCTCAAGGTGATTTCATTACATTCCCGGCACCGTTATACAACTGTCAAACCAGCACTGAAAATTTCAACTGACAAAGGATACATTTCTCGAACCGTTTCTCATACAAGTTAATCGTGCTTCGAGCACTTCAGGGTGCTTCAGAAGAACATGAGATTCAATCAGATCTCTCAAAGTTGACAACATCATGGCGTGGCCTGAAATCGAGCCCAGCACGTCGCATTTGGCCTACCTGGTTCTCTCGCTGTTCCTCATCTTGTATGCATTGTTCTCGGATTTGATTCGCAACCGAGCACATTTCTCAGAGCCTCCTCTTGCGACTCTGGTTGGCATGCTGTTTGGCCCTCGAGGAGTCAGGGTTGTCGATCCAAGCGAAACATGGGGTTGGGAAGACAACATTACCCAGGAACTCACCCGCATTATTACCGGCGTCCAGTGCTTCGCAGTCGGCATTGAGCTTCCTGCTCGGTATGTGAAGCGTCATTGGCGCAGCATCAGTCTCCTCTTGGGTCCCAACATGATAGCGGGCTGGATGATCTCGGCGCTTGCAGTGCGCTTCATCCTCAACACAGCGTGGACCACAGCCTTCATTGTCGCTGCTTGCTTGACTCCAACAGACCCAGTCCTTTCCGCCAGCGTAATCGCCGAAGCAAAGTTCTCTCAGAGGATACCCCAACGAATCCGCCACCTACTCGCAGCAGAGTCTGGCTGCAACGATGGCACAGCATTTCCCTTCCTCTACGCTGCCTTGTATGCTGCCATGGCGTCTTCTGCGGCACAAGGAGTTCGCCATTGGGTGACAGATCTACTGTTGTGGCAGTGCGTGGTCGGCATTGTCATCGGTGTGGCTATCGGGTATGTTGCAAACAGGCTGCTACGTTTCAGCGAGTCCCGCGGCTATGTCCAGGAATCGACGTTGTTCGTCTTCTACTTTCTGCTGGCCATATTCTGCGTCGGCGTGGGAAGTACACTAGGGCTGGACGATTTTCTAGTCTGCTTCACCGCTGGCGCGACATTCTGTTGGGATGGCTGGTTCTCAACAAGAACAGCAAAAATGAAACTTCCAAGCATTCTGGATCTGATGCTCAACTCCACCATGTTTGTCTACTTTGGCTCTATCATACCCTGGCGAATGTACAAGGACAACCTATCTCCAGGCCGGCTGATCCTGTGTGTGCTGGTCATTCTTCTACTCAGGCGGCTGCCAGCAATCGTGATACTCAAGAGACTGATACCCGACATAAGAACGTACCATGAGGCTCTCTTTGTTGGGCATTTTGGGCCTATGGGTGTCGGGGCTCTCTTTCTCGCCATCGAAGCAAGGGCCAGACTCGAGACGGGGAGCTCAGAACCACTTCTTCATCCTCCCAAAGAGTCGCCTCATAAAGAAGCCCTTGAAACAGTATGGCCCGTGGTCTGTTTTGTGGTCCTCTGTTCGATTATGGTGCATGGCTTCTCACCCTTGGTCATGAGTATGGTCAGCCACTTTTCACGGGAGCCAAAGGAAAGGGCGCCGCTACTGGCTGGAGAAGAAGATAGACTGTACGGAATGGCGTCGCACGAGGACGAGATTCCTGACGACGAGGAAGAACGGCAAGAGCAAGAGGAGAACTCGCCTGAAGAAATGTAGATATTCCAGGGTCAGCAAGGCCAATCGTAAAGGTTTCCGCCCGTCCAAACGCTGTTATTAGTTGCTTCTTCATGAACAGGGGGATCTTCCAGTACTTTCGTAGATCGTGTGCCTCGTCCTCGGCATGTTGGGCGGAAGGTGTCCGCCCCGCCGGGCGAAGATGTATTCCCGACGGACATGTACGATTGATATCTCTTTCTCCTCTTTACTATTCCGACAATGAAGAGAAGATGTCGATATTGATTTTACCCCATAAAGAGGTTGATATAAGGCATAAAAATCATTGTTCGATCAGGTGCATATCCTATCACCTGACGTGCTCATAACTTCGATGAGCTGAAGCCCTCTCGAACATCCGGAGTCTAGCAGAGTATAACATCGAGATGCGGGCCACAGAATCAACGAGCCATCCATATGTCCTCAACACCTCCCGGGGCAGCCTGAAGGGCGTCGAACATCGAACACCTTCCGGCCAATCTGTTGTCTATCGTTTCGCCAACGTCCCTTATGCACTCCCACCCGTAGGCTCTCGACGATGGCGGCGTCCAGTCCCATTGCCGACGGACTTCACCTTCAACAATGCCTCGGGTCAACCAGGCGACTACACCGCGTTCGGCCCAATATGCCCTCAACCGCACTATAACCATGGACTGGCAATGATCGAAAACCCCGAAGCTGCACCGCCAATTGACAACACCCAAGACGAAGACTGTCTGTATCTCAACATCTGGGTTCCCGCAGCGCCTGCTCCAGAGGGAGGATGGCCCGTCCAGTTTCAGATCCACGGAGGATGGCTCCAAGTTGGCAACGCCATGCAAGACCACCAACACGACCCGTTCGACTTGATCAAAGACACAACCCCCAGAGTTATCGTCTCGCCGACTTATCGACTAAACCTCTTCGGCTTCCTGGCCGGCGAAGAACTCGCCTCTCTGCACGAGGAGTCTGCACCCTCGAATTTTGGTCTGTGGGATCAGCGATGCGCATTGGAATGGACGGCCAAGCACATCAGCCTATTCCAAGGCAATCCCGACAACATCACTGTTGGCGGCCTTTCGGCTGGCGCCAATTCGACTTTCTTCCAGCTCAACTATGACACCTTGCTGCCTGCCTCTCAGCAACTCGTCAAGCGAGTATATCTCTGGTCTAATGCCGTTGCAATCCAGCCGAACAAGACCACAGCCCCAATCTTGACCTCGCAATTCAACGAGCTATGTACGGTTCTCGACATACCCTCCTCCTTGACTCCAGCCGAGAAATTGTCCCGTCTGCGCGCCATTCCTTACAAAGACCTTGTCGTAGCGAACACCAAGATGAAGATGCACACTTTCCGCTCGAGTACCGACAATGACTTCATCCTTCCGACATTCCTGTCCTCTCTACACAGCGGATCATTCACCACGCGCCTTGCCCAAAGCGGCATATCCGTCCTTCTCGGCGAAGTCAGCGACGAAAAGGAATTGTACAAGCTGGTCAATCCTCCATCCGACTACTCAGGGCTCCTCCTGCAATTGGCCAACTACTACCCCAAGCCTGTGCTCGAGGCGCTGCTGAAAGTGTACGATCTACCGCCGCAAGATTCGACCGACACAAAGGCCTGGGCGGAAGTGTTCAGCCAGATGGTCGCAGACAACCAGGTGCATTGCTCGTTACGTGGACTGGCCCATATCCTGCTCAACCCACCGTCGCACCCCGGCGTGACTGCGCTCCCGCAGAATCGCGTACATCGATATCGCATCGCCTGGCGTGCCAAAGCTCTGGACAATTGGGTTAAGCCTGAAGTCGGGGTGTGCCATGGCGGCGACATGCCCGTGTGGTGGGCCTCGGCGTGGCGCGCGGATTTCTTGGAAGCGGACAAAGATGCAGCGAAAAAGTTCCTCGAGCCGTTCGGCCAATTTCTGCATGGCGAGGAAGTGCAGTGGGGATGTACAGGCGAAGACCGAGTGCGGCTACTCGACAAGGATGGAGTGGTCAAGGAAAACACAAAGGACGGACTGTGGGAGCGAGGCATGCAGGTCTTCAACGCGGTGTGGGAGGCACAGAAGAACACTGTTGATAAGGACACTTCGCTGGATAGTCGCTTGTGAGTTGGGCTGGTAGGCCCGACGTATATATTGACACAGCCTTATCTTGCGATTCTGGAACAGTCAAATAGATATGAGGTAAAAGTCTATAAGTGCTGACGGTGCAAGAATGAGCAACTCAGTCGCGGCGCACAGGCGGTCCATACGACTGCCCATACGTATTCTGCGTGCCGTGCATCGGCTGTTGCATAGGTGGACTCGACCATGGTTGCTGCAACTGCTGCGGTTGGTGCATTGGTTGCTGTCCCATCCACTGCTGTGACTGCTGTGGCATGAATGTGCCATCGCCAGCCACAATCCTGATAGGCATGCCGGTACCCTCATCACTCTTGACATGCCACTTGAGTTCTTCGCCACATATGTCCAAGTCGACGCGCCAGTCAACCATGTACATTCTCACAATGTTCTGGCAACTGAAGTTGGGCACCAAATCCAAGTCTCCGATGTGCTTGTGTTGCAGGATCTGCGCCATTGTGATGCCCAATTCACGACCAAGGTCACACCACGACCCGTTCGCTGGAAGCTCGAGCCTCTCTTTGCCTGGTACATGCTTCATCTTCTCGTCGTAGACATCAATGGTGTATGTGGCAGTCGTATCATGAACGTCGCGGTACCAACTGATAGGCTTGGCTGTGCGACCTCGAGTGGCCGATGTGAGTCGTACAGCAAAGCGCTTGAGGTAGACTCGTGGCGTGAGAATCTGGTCGTCTCTATATGTTGACTTGCTGAGATGCTCCGGATCGACAATCGCAGGAATGCGGCTTAGGTTCAAGCTCAATGGCAGGACGTCGGCAGGAGAGCGGCCAAGGTAGAGCGTGTCTGGCACTGAGAAAGCGAGACGAAACGACGCTATTGGGAGACCCGACTTGTGAAATAGGCTGTGTGTCTTCTCACGAAGACTGAGGTGTCCGTCTGCGTGTTCAGGCAACAGGCGTAGAGTCTGCACGCTGGCTTCGTATGTACGGTTGTCGAAGCCAGCGGGGTTAAGACCATTCTGATACGGCCTCACATTTTTCACGAGGATCTCTACGTCTTCCTCCTTTTTGGAGCGGAAGTGGAACTTGCCATCATCCTTGCGTATCTCTGCCTGCAGCTTGTAGCTGATGCTGGTCTCGAGGTCGATCTGGATATCTGGTGATTCAGTATGATAGAAAGTGTCCGGGATAGGACACCGGTTCGGCCCAAAGGTCGGCTGCCATGGTGCTTCTTCGGGGAAGACGTCGGCGTCATGCTCCTTGAGCAGGGACTCAGGCACCTGGTCTGTCCATTCAGGTATCTGAATTTGAAACGGGTAAGAGCCGTCTGGGCTTTGCTGGAGGTTGAAGGAGTGCCGGAACATCAGCGCCTTTGAATCAAACCATCGATAGTCTGTGTGGGAGCCAGGTTCTCCGACATTGTGTTCCCGCTCGCGTTCGCTGATATGGACCTTGCTGCGTCCTGAAAAATGGATGGCCACCGGGTAGTGGGCTGAGTGATCAGAGACCTCAACGCGACCCGATATCCACGCACCTCGTGGGTAAGGGGTTTTAGCAGGCCTATCCAACTGGATCTTGAGCGACATGACCGAATGCGAAAGAAAGCGATCTGCATTGCGGGAAACAGAAAAGGGACAGGGCGGCAGCTCTTTTACCTCTGAGGACTATGTTCTCATACTCAGCATTCTTCGTATTCCAGCAATCAGCTTGAGAGAACTCCGAATCCTTTTGCGGGATGATACAAGGGGGCCTGAAGTTCAATTGGGCATGAGCGTCGCGTTCAAGATTCAGAAGGGGCTGCTTCGCCTTCGCCTCTGGTCCTCAATCCGCATCAGGGAAACATGCCAGCAATAGATTTCGCGGTCAATGTTCAGCTGCATGGGGCTGTTCGACGGGACCCATCCCTCTACAGCTGGAGCTACAGCCCAGGGAAGTACGCACCATGTCAACTCGACAAAACGTTCAGGCGAGAAGTTTTAGAGAGGTTGCCAGGTTTGGTGTCAGCAGCAACGAGACTCTAAGTAGTACTGTAACTTAAGGTGGAAGGCTGGGGACGGAGGATCACTCTGAGTAATGTTGACTCCACAAGGACGCGGTGCGCGTGAACCACGTCAGAAGTTTGAAGAAACAAATACCACAGTATGAATATTCCCATCACCACCATTTCCATGACCTACATCCTACGCTGCATACAAGTTGCCGGCTTCCACCACGAAGTCGTCTGCAACCAGGCGGATTTGGCGTTGGCTGGCTTGAAAAGATCGGAGCAAAGATGTCTAGCAGGCTCCCATTTGCTGCCTCTCTTGTTTTTTACGCGGCTACTTTTCGTCTCAAAGGCAGGTCTGGACACCAGGTAGAATGGGTTTCCAGTCCGACAGGGGTCAAGAACGTGTTTGAGCCAGGATTTGTATGCCTTCGGTTCCATTCTTTCCGTTGTCTTCTAGCAGAACGTCTGGACAATGTCCGTAGTAGTTTGTACCCCCTGAATATCGATTGACAACGCCAGACTCTCCATTTTCCAGCCAACTCCTAGACATGCAAAGAATCTCACCGCTTCAAACGCCGGGTATCGTAAGGCATCACTCTCATGAGATGACAATGGACCAAAACCACACTCAATCCACGTCCATCTCTTCCTCCACACCTCCACCAACAAGCATCTTCGTCTTTCTCTTTTGTCTGAGTCTCTCCGCGCCCACCAATCTCGACGTCTCCATCTGGCTCTTGACATCTTCGACCATGGGCTCCATCTCGGCTCTGGCAGCCTCGAGATCGGCCAACTCCTTGGCAATAAGATGTTCGCCTTGGGCGATGACCTTGAGATCCTGCCGTTTCTTGTGCATACGCTGTGCCTTTCCACTAAGTCTCCGTCTGGTGTAAACCCGTTCTCTTCGTGCTCGGATCTCCTCGATGCGCTCCATAGCCTTCATCGTGGCGGCGATCAAATTGCGATCGTATCGGACAGGGGCGTTGCGTCTCTTAGCGAACTGGGAGAGCAGCAGGTTCTGGTCGACGATCATCTCTTTGCCTTGCAGGGCGCGAGCTGTCTTCGTCCACTTCAGTTTACGTGGTTGTCGCTTCATCTTGAAGTTCTTGTGGCATTTCGAACGGCAAAACCGGAAAACTTTGGCGTCATTGCGGACGAAAGTTATGCCTTTTGATGGGTAGACTGGGCGGGAACAGAGGTGACATGTTTCGATCCTGTACATGATTAGAGAGTAGCCGAAAAGCTGGTGTGGCACGAGACAAACCTCATTATTGCGGTTGGGTTTTAAGAATGCTGGTAGGAAATTTCGAGAAGTGTTGAAGGGAGGACTGAAGCAGGTGAGAATGACTGACGTAACTCTGTGCTCGATCTTCGATGTAGCTTTGTTGAGTGCACCCAGACCATACAACTGGTTGTCGTATTGTCTAGTCTTCGAGGGAGACCTCGCCGTCGTCGGGAAAGATTTTGGGGAAATTTTCGCCAAGCAAAGTCGGATTTAGCGAATTGGGAAATCTAGCCGGAGCGCGAGGCTGCGGATGGACATCGAAAGATTTATTACTCGCTAATGTGTTCATTGCCTGTGTTGAAACGTCCAGACATAATCCATACCACTCACGACGACCAAATCACCATCTCTTCGACCTTAACGCAGTATCGTAGCTGAACACACATACCCCTACACTGCAGAAGCACATTTCCAGGCTCTGAACGAGTTCCACGCATGGCATCAACGGTCGCCATCGGCGTTGGCATCGCCGCCGCAGCTTTCTTCGTGAGTCTTCCTTGACAACCCACCTCTCATACCCTGCGTCATGCTAACAACCTTCAGGGCCGAGCTGGCCTCGTCGCCTTCCGCCGCTGGCGCAACCCGAACGCTGTAAATGCGCTCGGCAAAGCATTCTACAAAGGCGGCTTCGATCCGAAAATGAGCAGACGAGAGGCATCGTTGATCCTTGAGCTGAGCGAGCGGACGTTAACGAAAGACAAAATCCGAAAGCAGCATCGAGCGCTAATGTTGGCGAACCACCCTGATCGAGGGGGTAGTCCGTACCTTGCAAGTAAGATCAATGAGGCGAAGGAGTACTTGGATAGAGGCGGAGCATAAAGATGCGCCTGGATGGCTCGGAAAAGTCGTTCGGTTGAACATCAATTTTGTACAATGGTGCGCATCACAGGCATTGCGGTGTATGTGTAAGGTTCTGGTCTGGAATTCGGGCACAGCGCAGGCGTTATGGGTTTGCTTTGAGATTCGGGTGGACATTTGATTTTGCTTGCCTTAAGGGGATCGCGCAAAGAACAACTATGTACAGAGATCTCCTCTCGAACCAAGGGGTGGGAAGAAACGCTTCGACAGTCGACAGGATCAAGAGATCAAAGGGAGGTGGAAATATCAATTCACAAATCCTATCCGGCTGCTTTCTCAACACCAGACGAAATAGCATCCATGACGAATGCTTTCCGATCCAGAAATTTAATGAATTCCAGCACCCGACCTGCTTTGCTAGCCTGTATTTTCCATGGACTCTGGAGGACGCCGGATACGCTCAATGCAAACCCTTCTTGCATGCATTCCAAACACCCTTGGGCCGTCTAACCCCTCCACGCGACATAACGCCGGTGCTAGCTTTCCATCTTCTCACACCTGGTAAAGAACTCCTCCAAGAAGCCGTTGAACTCGCTTTCGATCTCCCATAGCAGGACATGCCCTCTACCTTCCCAGACTTTGTACTCGATACCCTCGCCAAGCTGCTCTTTCAGCATCTCCGCGTGATGGAACGTGATCATCCGGTCCTTTGTGCCGTGCAGCACAGCGATCCTTGGCCTCCCAACCTTATCGCCAATCTGCTTGACCTGCTCGACGCTCTTGTAATGCCACCCTGCCGCGACAGCTTGCAAGATGAACCCTTTCCTCGTGAAGCCCTCCTTGTCAAGACGCTTGGACAACTCGCCGGCCGCAAAACGATCTCGGGTCGTCGGGTAATTCAGCCCAGAATCTGGCGAGTTCTCGTTGTCTGGTAACAACAGGAACTCGTCGCTGAATAACCGATGTGCAGTCTCGTCCAGCTGGACGTCAATATCGCGCGGGATAAACATGTTGATGCGCTGGCGGAGGTTCTCGATGAACGGAATCGTGCGGACTAGTCGCGGCGCCGTGCTGACAAGGCTTAACGAAGAGACGTGCTGGGGAATGAGGAGCGCGACTTCTTGTGCGATCATGCCGCCCATGCTGACGCCGATGACGTGGAGATCTCGTTTCGGGGGTGTTGACGACGTTGACGAAGGAATCCAGCCGATGTGCGTCAGTATGTCGACTGTGTCTCTGGCCATCTCGGTCGTTGTGTACCGACACGTCGGCTTGTCGCTGAGGCCCATGCCGCGGTTGTCATACACAAAAGAGGAGTACTGCTTCGATCTTTCGTGGCCGAAGTACTTGGTCTGTCGTTTCCATGCAGTCCGGTAGCCGCCCAAGCCCATTATGAACTATAGCAGAAATTAGACCAAGCGCAACATGTGACAGTAGCGTCTTGTAGCTCAAAACCAAAGCACATCTCGCTGCCTTTCAGTCATGGAGTTGCGGAGGATGCATAGACTGGTGGTCTTCCAACCTCCGTGCTCCAGAGACTTTCCAACTTCTCGTTACGCTGATGTGTAGTGCTATCGACAAACAGAACATGTACTTACCACCAACTTGGTAGGTCCAGTGCCGTGGACCTCCCAGTATAGATTGAATGGTCCACCTGGTCGTCCGTTGGCGACTTGTGCCGTCCCCTTCTTCGTCGGCGGTAAGTCCCATTCCACAGTGTTGTAGGCGGGATGCGCCATGATCTCGGCGGCCGTAAGACCCATCGTTATGAGCGCAGAAGAGCGCAATGCAGGCTGCCCCTTTTTGAAACGGGCGGAGACGGTGGAGGAGATTTAGATAGGCGATATACTCTATTTCACCTGGTTCGTCTGCTCATATATACACAACCGAATTGTCCGATGAACATGTATGTCCTCCGTACCACGAGGTGAATGCAGGAACCGTACGAAACACTTTGTCGTGAAAGGAATGCCCAGCCTCGATATCGCGATGGACTCGAGGCTGACTTATCGCGATAATGATCTCATGTGACTGCCACGTGACCAGACACAGGGATTGATTCACCATCTCGGTGAGCATTTATCAGCTATACTTATCTTGTTGTACATATGCAGTCCATTATCCTGCTTGACCTCTGACAATATAAGTTTCCTGCACAAGGACCTTCGCAGGCTCACCACGCAGCTAAGTGGCTTGAGGTGGCTCATGCCGAAGCATATTGGCCGTGCGCGGCAAGAAACTTCAGCCTTGTCTACATGAGCGGAACAAATGGATCTGATATATGGGAAGAAGTTAAAGAACTCGTATGTTGGACGTGATCTGCAAACCCCAGAATCTTGTGCCGTAAGCTGGATCTTGGTGTAACATCGTAGAGAAGCTTCTCTGGTTCCAGATCGACACCACGCATTGATCCCTGGTAGCGGAGCCGGACCCAAAAGTGTAAAGGCGTCAATCACGAAGATCGCGCTGATCCAAAACCATGGGGTCGTGCTTGACAAGTTGACGGCATCAATAACACCAGAGTATTCCGAACTCAAAAGGCACGGAAACCGTTACCTTAACGGTTAACCCAACACGTGGGAAAAAGGGGGCAGTCAGGTACGAGGTACATGGCAACCCTTCAGTCCGGACCATTGGGACTTGGTGATAAAATGAATATCATTCAATCTGAATAAACGCTGCCCAACTATGATAGTAGATGGCCTGCTATGCCCTGTTTCCTGCATATCAAATAACTCCCATTTCGTTATAAGTTTGATGTCTGCTCAACGCAAAAGACCTGGACAGTCCCACTCGCTTTAACCTCGTCGACTTCGTGGCTTTGCCCGAGTCGACTCCTCGGTGCTTTCAGGATCTGCCCGCGGAGCATAGACTTTAATTTTCCTCGTTGGATTTCGTGGCAACCCCCAAGAATAGGTACAAAAAAAAGAGAAAAGGCCCTCCCAAATCTGGTCAATGAATGTAGAACATGATAGTCGGTCGTAATGAACGTATAGGTTATGATGAGTTTGGTAGCGACGTGGTGGTATGAGACTGTCACTCTTCCATCCTGAACATCTCTTCATCATCCATGGAGATGTCTTTGTCGTTACTGCCGTCTCGATAGTTGCGCTCGTCGGAGATGGGTTGCGTCAAAGTTGGTGGATGCAGCTGCAGCAACGGGTTATATACGTTGGTCAATGTACTGTCCGAGGACTTGCTGTTGAAAGACTGGTACTGTTGTGGCAATGGTGGTACAGGGGGAACATCAGCCCCCAGATAGGTCGGTTTGGAACGAGGGGTGCCACTGAAGGTCAAGCCGGCAGCGGCTGCTGCGAGGGTACCGTCATCGGTGCCGGATGTGCTGGGCCGAAAGTCCACTCCAGAGAATCTGTGTGGTGGCAGACCTGGGGACAGGACACTTTCGGCATAGGAGCTCGATGGGTGGGATCGATACGAACGGGAGAAACTATTGCTGCTAGTGCTGAAACGTTTGGCATCTGGGACCGGATATGCAGCTTCGCTCATAGGAGGCGGTGTAGTCTCGACCGAACTAAGCTCATCTTGCATTTCGGAGGAAGAAAATCCTGGAGATGCAGATGAACCCTCGCTAGCATCGATCGCGGATGCATCGAATTCGGACTGGGCCGTTGGGGAAGTTTCCGTTGTCATGTTGCACAAGACCGAAGCAGCTTCCAACAACTGGACTTGCTGATGCTTGGAAATGAGCAGCTTTGAGGTAATTGCCCATGCTGGATCATGCTCCCACCTAGGATAGTCAGCAACAATAAACGGGTCCAGGTTTGCATCAATCCGTACAAATGCTTGGTAAGACAACTGCTGTGCTTATATCCCTTGCCGCAGGTATCACAACGCAGCTCGGACGCCGACCTCTTTCCCTCCCCCTTGACCAAGTATGAGCCTTCACTTGCCCTCCTGTTTCTACTCTTACTGCTCATGTCCTTGTTGGAAGACGTCACATCCTCGTCGTTGGAGTTGTCCTCCACAGCATCGTTGTCCCGACCACTGCCACTGGTAGTTGGAGAACCATTGAAGTAGGAGTGCATACTGGGTCTGACACTCATCGAGTGTGATTCCGTGGCCTTTCTTGAGCCCATGCTTCTTCGATGACTTTGCAGGGGCATGGCGGACGCGTCTCCCTGTTCCCTCAGAGCCGCAGCTATGGCAGCCTGGGCTGTTGTAGAAGTGTTGACACTCTTTCGACGATTGACTCGGTGGGAAGGGTTGGTAGGAGCGAGCGAGATGGAGTGGGAATGCTGTCTGGACGTCGCAGGCGTATGCCTCGAGAAACTGCCAGAGATGGGACGCGAAGTTGGTTGCTCCTTTGTTTAGAATTAAGAGTCAGCACGGGCTTCGCTCGAGAATGGACCATGCGTATGCCTTTGCTCACCTTTGAGGATGCCATGGTTGGAATGAAGAAAAAAATGTTTTCGAATGATTTCAGGTATCAGACGACTCCCGAGTCCAAGGCTTTTTGGCAGTCTTGAAACTTGAGAGCCGTCAGGAGATGGCAGTAGTCAATGTGAATAGTTTTGGTGGGGGTTGCCGAACAAGGGAACGCAGCCTGTTGGATCGGCGCGAGGGGGTTTCGTTTCTGTGCGGACACTTGTAGATAGACAGCAGCTGATGATTGTTGCCAGTGAGGTCGTACTCGAGGAGACGGTGGTCAATTGCAAAGAATGTTTAGAAGAGGAGAGCAACCCGAACTGAACTGGACGGAAAGATGTGTGTGTGTGTGAACCGTGGGTTGGAGAGCACAAAAGTGTGGGAGTGTGGAATGGAATGAATGGAGACCGAGTTTGGGTGTGCCAGGTGTGGATTTCGGCGGTCGGGAGTGCTGAGGGCAGGTTTGTGGCTGTGGAGTGAGTGCCGTGTGTTGCGCGCGAGGCCTGAGGAGTAGTTTGGCAGCAGGTAAACTTAGCCCAGCAGGTCCTGGTGTCCCCCCCAAAAGACAAAACAAAAAATAAAAAAGATGGGCACTGGGCACCTGGCTACCTGGCACCTGCTGATCGTGCCGATTTGGAGTCGGCGTCTCCCTCGTGCAGGAAATGGCTAAACTTATTCCGCCAGGCCTGGCAGGCGGGTTTCGAGCTGTCTTCTGACCTTTCTGCTTTTGACTGGTTCCTTGCTTCATCTACTGCGGGGTCGCTCGTGCCTGGACCTAAACCGTCCCTCGCAGGAAATTAATCGCACGCAGCTCTACGCGGTTTGACTGGCGACTTGTCTCAGCGACACGGGCGGCACAAGAGATTGACTCTCCTTCCAGTACCGGACACTGGCCTACATTAATAAGTTGCGGGATGAAACAAAACACAAAAGGACGATGGCCAGCAACAGACAAAAAAATAATTTGGTGCCGGAATATTATTTGGACCCCAGCACCAATTATTGATCAGCCATGGGATGAGCGATGAGCATGGCCTCGATTTGACCATGGATCACGGCACGCGCACGGGTGCGGCACGGACGTGTTTGGAGCATGGTGTACGGTCATGGGTCAGGCAGCCAGAGCATGCCTTGGTGCCAGCTGCCAGGTGCCAACAATCGTTATCCCAAGTGTGGCGGCAGAAAGACGCCATCAGACAGGTCGAACCTGATCCGTACCTGACTAAACCTGGCTGGCCCCAATCCTGCCACATGAGCCTTCCCCTCCTTTACGCGGCCGAGACAATTGGACGTTCAAGAGCACCTGCTCTCAAGAGCTAGACAGGGCAGATGGCTGAGCTCATATGCAGAAGAAAACAGTGACGTTTGTCGTGCGTGTTCGTACAATGTTCAGAAGACTGGTCAGCTATGTCCATGATGAATGGAATGGTGAGAGACTCAGGAGGTCAGGCCGGTATCAGTGCCAGCTCCACCGGTACCAGACCTACACGCGCTATTTGGGTAAGTAGCGAGTAATGCGCTTGTTCGCCGCCACGCAAGCACTGTATGAGTCCGCGAATCAGCATGGACAATCATTGCGACCTCGGGGTGCCTATTGGCAGCCATTATTCTCCTGCAGGCCCTCGTTGCCACTGTTCTTTTCAGGCCTAGAAAAGGGAGCAGGTAGCGCCTAAGCGTAGCATAAGGACCAGCACGCAATGAAGTATCGTCCGCCGCGTGCTGCAGCGGCAGGCGTAGGACACGTTGTGGAGGACGATGCGATATCGAGCTTGCCAACCAGTCAGTAAGCTCTACTAAGCTGGCCCCATGCTGGGACACCCGCCCCAAACTGTATGCGAACAGGTGCAGCAAGGTACGATTTACGGCAGCTAACCCAGGCACTGCTTTAACCACAACGCATTGGTCACTCTTTTACAGGCACCTGGCCGGCAGGTAAGGTCGCCTGATAGCGTCCAGGCAACAAAATCACGCACCTTTCGAGTCCACAATGCCGTCATCGGCTTGCTATCGCAGCGGGCAATGCATCACTTACGCAAGTCACGGCGCAGTCCCGTGGTCTCCTCGTTCGTGATCCGATGCTCTTCCTGTGCGCGGAGTCAGCTGTCCCACTGGTCAGCACCAGCCATCAGCTGCGTCATCGCTTTCGATAGATCCACGGATCTGAGACGGCACCAGAGTCAAACCAGGTCTCGCAGGCAGATGCTATTGATGGTCCGTTCTCTCCGGATACGAGTATCATGGAAAAAGGTCGAATGCCATATCATCAAAGCATCTATGGGGCGTTAAGCTCAGACAAATCAAAAGTCCTTGAGAAAGTCACTTGTCAACCATGTTCCGCGTGGCACCGCACCGCACAGGCGGGGTGACAATCAGTGCTGATCACACTCAAAATATTATTTCTGAAATTTCAAACAAGAACAGATCGTCTTTCGGTCGTACACCGATCCTCCGATGCAGCTTGATCATGGTCTATACGATAGGATGAAATCACCAACTCGTGGTGCGAGAGTCCTGCCCTTCATTGCGTGGAGCTCCTCGCAAATAGGCGCCGGTAAGGGCAACGTATGCGAAAGAATACTCGCTCGTAGAGTTCACTCTGTCACACCAAAAGGGCGGGGTTTCAGGCGAGCCTGGGCTGGATTAGGTTGCCCCAGCTTTTGCAGGCATGTTGCTGGCACAGAATAAGTCATGTTTGGTGGCGGTCCGTGCCCGAGTCAAAAAACAATTATCATCTCGTCGCTGAGGAAATGCAATCAACGAGACACGGCAAGACGGTAAGTAACAATTTGAAACCTGATCCCGATGTCAGGACTGGTTATCTCAATAATGCTTCCCTATCATGAAGGAACGCGCTTGATGCACCTCATTGATTGTCCGAAGTCGGACGCGTCTCGGGTGCCAATTGATCTGCTGATAAGAATCTTGCGCCAGCGCCACCGCTAGACCGCTAGCCCACGAACATCTATGGGTCCTGATTGACCTGGATCCGAGGTCGATAAAGATGGGTCTGCCGAGAGGCTCGAGGCACACAGACCTTAGATAGGGCGAACTTATCTTGTCGAGACACCTCGTGGTCGACGGTGGCAGACACTACTGATGAAAAATTGGGAAAGGCAGACGAGTGCAATGCGCACAGTGGCCGCCGCATATCAGCATACGAAACAATGGCTATTTCCAGGCAAACAATGGCCATGCCTTCTCATATCCGAGATCTCCTTCCCGGCGGCCCCACCGACACCATTTTTATCTGCGGGGGAAACTCATGCTCATGTCCGATACACTTTTCGCTCGAATATCAGGCACCATCGGCAGCCGTTGGAGAGGTACAAACCATGTTCATCCCGATGTAATGGACGACGATGTCGTTGATGCCTGATTTTATAACGTCCCCAATAGAGATACTTTTCTGCCTTGGGGACCTGATGGTAAGCCTCATATCACGTGCCTTTCAGGTGAGCCGGCAGACAAGTAGAAGGGATGCTCGCTTATTCTGAGGGCGATGCACATAAGGTTCTGCTGTCTGCTTACTTCGTTCACTGATCACTGACCTGGGACTCTTCTCTATTGGCACAAGTGTCCGCTGCCTAGCAGACAATAACCTAGGGTGTCACCAGCTACAGGTACTGTGCAGTGCTCTTGTGGTCGGACTTCTAATAATGATCGCTCGTTGCCTGTACAGCCCTCGCAAGGCTTTTTTGGCTAAGACCACCGCCACCTACCCAATCAATCCCTTGGATCCGGGCGCTGTGTGATCCGGCGCCAGTGACGGTTAAATGCTGATTACCATTACGAGTAGCACAGAAACTGCACTCGTCATCTTTTGTTTTCAAGCTGACCTTCTTCTTCACATTCATTCATCCTTGACGAATATTGCAAGTAGATTGTGGTTTTACAGCATTTGCTCCGTTGTATGCCCATTGTTGTACAGGCATATCCGCCGCATGTCACCAATCGATCCAGGGTACGACTAAACCTTCAGTGCCACCATATCCCTGTCACATCACCTAAAACAGGCCCCCAAAACAGACCCATCGCAAAATTCTGAGAACGATGGTATCACAGCAGTCCTGGGCCGACTGGCTCCTAGATTCGTATGCTTCCTCAGTATCACCTATCATTAGCGAGTCTCCCTATCGTCATCACGACGACTCCCATTCTATATCCGACAACTCATATTCAACGTCACCCACGAACCCTAACTCTCTGAGCCCGATGTCCTCAGTGTCAAATTCGTCCGCCTATGGTCCCTACGTGCGAACAGGCCGCGGCGGTGCGGGCAACTTCATCTGGCAGACCGAATTGAAGCCTGCACGATCAGCAGATCTTGATCTAGAAGCGCAGGCGGCCAAGAGTTCATCTCTGGCAGAGCGCCGGAAAGCAACCGCTAGGCTGGAAAGCATCGATACCAAACCCGCGATGCGCTTGCGCCAGCAGTCGGCGCACCACCTCTCGGTCGGTCGTGGCGGAGCCGGCAACTATGCTTCAGGCGCCGAGATAGCCCAGGCGAAACGGAGTCCCAGTCTGCCGCTGAGTTTCAGCTCGAGCAGGCCGGTGAGTCCACCGAGTGCAGGGGCCATACATGCAGGAAGAGGCGGCGCGGGCAATTACGAGGCTGCAGCTGCAATCGGTGGACGGATCGAGAGCCAGAAGGAATTGGAAGAACGACTCGCCGCCGAACAAAGAAGAGAGCAAATCGCCGTAGAAGTCGATGGACTCCTCCAACCTCCTCCTGAAGCGTTCCTCGGTGGACGAAGGAAAAGCGAAGCTGAGTTCGAATGTGTCTGAAATAAACATCACCATGTGTCAGCAAGGAGGACTTCTGGATCTCCTGACACCACTCAAATTATACAGCTCCCTGTCCGAGAACATGAGGAAGGAACAAACCGGACGATGTCGGAGGTCTCATTGACAGAAGGCCATACGAACCAGCAAGCGCGAAATGAGTAACATCCATGCAGGAGATACTGCCTCGCTCCATGTGCATGATCGGCACCTCGGTCCTGTGCAAGGAAGCCAAGGACCACCTGGTGCCGTTTGGTCTCACCTCGGTTCAACACAGGCTAACAGTCTGATGTGGAATGTCCGAACCACAGAAGCTGCAATGCCTGGATCGTTCATGCACCGACACTGAAGTCCTCTCACATTGCTGTGTGGTCAAATGTGCTTGCCTCTCACGCACTACCAAGGGATCTCGTCTACACGGGTTGACTGGAAACTCCATGCGTGCGCAAGCATGAAAATCCAAAGCTATGAAGGCCATGAAGGAACACGGGACAAAGCAAAAGGATGCGGACTCTAATGACCTATTTTACGAAGTTAACGACGATATCATCATGTACAATATCAATAATGTAATATAACAGTGGCTTGCGGGGTACTCCGCGACGAGAGCGGATATATTATAATATACTCGGGGAAAGCTTCTCAAAGCTCCCTTCCCACTACATGAAACAGTAATTAATTACCCTATTGCGTTCGACCCTCATTGCACTCGTTCTTGTCAGGCAAAAGATTTTTCGAATACTGATCATCGGGATATATTGATCCCAGGAGGATACACTCGCTTCACACAGCAGCTCACAAGACAAGAAGGTCCAGACCATCAACAGTTCTTTCGAACACAACTGCCTCCTGCTAGACAGCCAGGGGTCTACCCGGACAAAATTGATATATACGCACACATTTGGAGCCATGCATCTGTCGTTGGGCCTGTCAACACTGCTCTGCCTACCCTGCGCGCTGGTTGCACGAGAGATTACCTTTCCACCTCTGATACCACAGCAAGCCAATCACTATGGCAGCAGCCACGGCCCATCTGAATATCGACCTTTCAACTCAGAGAAAGATTCGCTCGCAGAGTTCGAGAAGTACTCAGGTCTGACCACTTTCTCAAATCTGCCTTGGGTTCATTGCTTGTCGCCAGACGACGATGTCGAGAAGTATGATATCGCTTTTCTTGGGGCGCCTTTTGATACAGCGACCACGGGCAGACCGGGGACGAGATTCGGCCCCACTGGCATACGACTGGGTTCTCGCAGAATCGGTGCCCTCATGTCTTGGAGCCCGTATACTCACAACAACACGTTTCTCTCATGGGCGCGGGTCATAGACTGTGGCGACGCACCTCTGACATTCTTGGACAACACCGTTGCCTTGCAGCAACTCGAAAAAGCGCACAAGATCGTCTCGGGTCGTCCAGCTAATACTAGCGAGGTGTCTTCTGTGCCAAGGATAATAACGCTCGGAGGTGACCATACCACGACGTTAGCAGCGTTGCGGTCGACAATCTCGCACTGGGGTCCAGTTAGTGTCTTGCACTTTGACAGTCATATCGACACGTGGGACCCAAAAGTCCTTGGTGGTTGCGTATCTCGATATGCGGGACTGAATCATGGGACGTTCCTCCATATTGCCCATGAGGAAGGTCTCATTCTCAACTCTTCCGCCCACGCTGGCATTCGGGCGCCGGCCATCAACAAAAACTACGACTGGAAAAATGACAAACGATGTGGATTTGAGATCATCACGGCCAGAGATATCGACAAGATTGGGGTCGCTGGTATCATAGAAAAACTGAAAGCAAGGGTAGGGGACACCAACGTATACATTTCCGTGGACATCGACGTGTTAGATCCTGCCTTTGCACCGGCGACGGGTACAGCAGAGGTTGGTGGATGGACCACTAGAGAGCTGTTGAGCATCTTGGACGGTCTGGAAGGTCTCAAGGTCATTGGGGCTGACGTGGTTGAGGTTGCTCCCATTTATGACAATCCTGGTGAGACGACAGTCCTGGCTGCTGCCGAGGTTGCTCATTCTCTGATGAGTCTGATGGTTGAGACGCCTGTCAAGCCGTTGAAGACGTAAAGTCTACCTCGTATATCACAGACATGCCAATAGCTGGCTGGTACCATGTGCGGCCATGTTATCGACGACGTATGTCAAGCCGATAAGCCTTTTCACCACTCACTCAACTAGATATAGGGGTCCCTCGTCGTTGCTGCCGGGATAAAGCCGGCCTGTAAAGACTTGTGCAGGTGTAGTTGAGCAGACCCGAATAACAATTCGGTTCAAATCGTCGCGCCATCATAAAGAGTGCGTATTATCGAGGTTGGCAAACCTAGAGCTAGAGCAAAGGTTTGTCACACGAGGGCACTTGAGGGACGGGAAAAAGGACGAGTACCGCATACCGCAGGTGGTCGACAAAGGTCCGCCAATAGTTTCTCAAGGTATGGCGATGCCCAAGACTTTCTTTCTTGTGCCCCGCGATCGTCCACGGCGATCCAAGCGTTGGCGTCCCTCCAACAAGGTGCGGTGGATTTTCTTAAACGGCCACAAGAGTATGTAATCAATCGTCGGCCACCGGAAAAAGGTCACTCGATCACTTTCGCCATCTGAATCGAGGTTGCGCCTGAACGAAGCACTCTACTGCCCGCCTGATCCCTCTTCTCGTATTCCATTGACCGATACTACCGAGCGTCGTTCGTACGTTGATTACCACCATGGCGGATCCCACCTCACCCAGTGCCTACTCGGAGAACAAGAGATTCGAACCGAAAGTCAAGGTCGAGCTCGCGGAACCTAGTGACAAAGAGATCACTCTCGAAGAGCTGAGCCAATGCGACGGTAAGATCTGAAAGAGACTGGACAACAGGTGAGATACTTGGATACTGAGACTGCGATTGCGCAAACAGGATCGAATCCGGACAAGCCGACCTATGTTGCCATCAAAGGCACAGTTTTCGATGTATCTAAGAATACGGCATACGGCGAGAAGGGTTCATATCGAGGTGCGCATTTTCCCATGTCTCTCATCTCTGCTTGAGACTGATAGCCTCAACAGTATTCGCCGGCAAGGATCCGTCCCGCGCTCTGGCATTGTCCAGCTTGAAGCCTGAAGACTGCGTTGCGGAATGGGACGATCTGGACGACAAGTACAAGACGGTGTTGGACGAGTGGTACTCCTTCTTCAGCAAGCGATATAACATTGTCGGCAAGGTCAGTATACCTGCGTCGCATCGACTTTGAACGGATGTTCCAGTTGCATTACACTCCATGACACAGAGAACGTTAGAAATAACTGAAGGCGCAATACACTTGATCATGGCAAAAACAAGCATGGGTGCGTTGTATACACGAGGCAGATGCTGACCATATTGAACATAGGTCGCGGGAGCCCACAATACCGGACGACAGGAAGGACAACGTTATACGTCGAATGCCTCATAATTTTGCGATGGAAATGGAACGATGTGTTGCTCGAGTCATGAAGTGCTGGGATCATTGGAATACCAGGCATCTGCCCTTCAGCAGCTACATCAACCTTTTCGCACCTTCCTTGCCTGCCGCTTCTTCGCAATGATGCGGTTCCGCTTCGCGATACTGTTATTTCTTTCGTTTGGTTCAGATCCTTTGGCCTTTCCCACAGACGCTTTCTCATCCTCCTTGTCGTCGCGCTTCCTCTTTTGACCTGCAGCAGGGGCTTTCGAATCCCGACCTCTGTCCCCGTTCCTCTTCCCAAAGTCTCTTCTTCCGCCATCTCTCTGTCGGCTGTCTCTCTTCTCGCCATCTCTTGGTCGACTGTCTCTTCTTCCGCCATCTCTCTGTGTGCCGTCTCTCTTTTCGCCATCTCTGCGTCCGCTGCCGAATGTGCCTTTATTTCCACGGTTCTCGTGTGCTCTTCGCTCAATCTCGCCCCGTCGCTGGAGCACCTGTGCGTTTTCAATCGCAAACTCGACGATGAGCCTCTTTCCCTTCTCCTCGCCCTCTTTAGAAGCCTTGACCACGTGTCCGTTGAGCCATCGCAACCCTGCCAAGGCGTTACGATGGGTGTGATACTCGATGAAGCCATAACCACGACTTCGTCCAGCACCATCCTTGACTTTTGTGCCCTGAGAATCCTCGTACACGACTTTAGCCTGTTTCACGATACCCACTCCGGCAAGCTTTCGTTTTCTTTCCGCTTCGCGCATCTCTGCCTCACCACGACGTGATTCTTCCTTGCTAAGTGGTTGTCGAATACCGGCCTTTGCATCGTTGGCGAAGCCCACAACTGCTTCACGAGCCAACGCCTTGAGTTCTTTGGGACCGATGTGTCGAGGAATGTTTCTCACGCTGAGTCGGGTGAGACTGAAACATAGATTGGGATTGTTCTTGATCAGCCGTTGTCGCTGTCGAGCACTGCTCTCGCGGATGTCAATTTCGGCTTTACCGAGCTGTTCGTAGAGCTTCGACGACCTGGGGATGGACCCTTCCGAAAGGAGATACAGCCGTCGCTTATCCAGGTCACGAATGTCCCTCTTCTCACTAGCCTCGGTGGCTCGTCGCTCTGCATCTGATCTGGTGAGCGCTCTTGAGACTTGAAGCACACGGCCTTCAAGTGTATATTTGCCAGATGGATCGTTGGCTTCATTTTGGAGGACAGAGTGCTTCGGCGTATCTCCCTTGCGTTTCTTGTCGTCCTTTGGATCGACAGTGGGTGCTTCGTGCTTGGGTGCATTCTTGACACATTCTTTGGCGTCGTCCAAGTTGAAGAAAGAGACAAAAGCAGTTCCCCTCGAGCGCTCGGTCTCGGGGTCATAGACGACTCGAGCGTACCGTATGGGTCCAAACGAGGAGAAGTGTTCCTTCAGACTTTCGTCATTCGCGGTAAAGGGCAAATTTCGAATGAATATAGTCCCGTCGTTTCGAGGATCATGCTGTTCATCTTCCTCACTTGCGTCGTCAATGTCAGAACCCTCATCCAATGGGTCTTCGGCAACTTCAGCCTCGTCAAGCTTGTCTTCGTCCACTTCTCCTTCAGATGCATCGTCACCGTCGGCGTCTGCCAAATCCCCAGCAGGCGTGGCTGGGCTCCCATCAGTTTCGGCACCAGAGGCCTTCTTGGTGGGCTGATCATTCAGCAACTCTGCAGAAGCCGTCTGTTTTTGCTGCTCCCATGTCTCCTTGTCGACCGCCCAATCGACAGCGAGTGTTCGTCCATCAACCTCTTTGCCGTTGACGCCGGCGATTGCTTTTTCTGCATTTTTCTTGCCACGAAGCACGACAAAGCCAAATCCATACTGAGCCTTTGGACCTTTCGTTGGCAATACAGCGTGTTTGACTTTTCCGTAGCTGCGAAAGAGTGCGGACAGGTCATCCTCCGTCTTGATGCTCCATGGGAGATTCCTCACAATTAATCTCGGCGGTTGTGTCTCAGCCCGTTTATGCTCCCTTTGCTCCCGCAATTGCACGGCAGTCGTATTCGGACCGGACTTGAGTCCATCTTCTGTCTCTCTGTGTCTCGACTGGGCAAGTTCCACCTTGATTTTGCGCCCGTCCAATGCCGAGTTGTTGAATTGTTCGATTGCGGCCTGCGCATCTTCAGCGTCGGCAAATGTCACGAAACCAAATCCTTTCGATAGCTTCGTCTGTGGATCGACGACCACCAGGGCATGCTTCAAAGGGAAGGACTGCGAGAAATGTTCGGTGAGGCGTTCTGTAGTCACGGATGCAGGCAATGAGCGGACAAAGAGTGAGCGGCGTTGCTCTTTGGCATTGCTGTCGTCCGCAGCCGCAACAGGGATTGCTATCTGGGGCGATACTGCCTCATAGCTGCCGCTAGACAGTTTACGTCTCTTGGTCCCGGGATCCATGATTGTAGTGAGGCCGTAAATCTGGTTCTACGAAGCGTTGGAAAATGTAAGAGACTTTAAAGTCTCATCTGCAGACAAAAATTTCTCCGCATCTTTTAGCAGCTGAACTCTCGTCTCCAATTGCTTGGCTAACCCTAAGCTTAGTAAGTTAGGCATTGACATCTCGACGCTCTTTACCTGTTGCAGATGTGCATCATGGTTTTTTAGTGATTTGCCTACGCCCATGTGATATTGCATATTCTCCCGCATTAACGTCGAATACGTTGTATTATCAGGCGGAATGACGGGCGCTGGCGCGCCAAGCAGTCTATCCCTCCGGAAGTGAGTCCAAACGTGCAAATCGAAAGATGGTACATAATGGAGCGAAAATGATCCCGACCCCAGGGACTCGCCGCAACTCACTGACAAAAGATGTATTCGTTGACATACCGTCAAGGGATTGCTCAGCCTCGACTCTCACTTTGACGCTTGTGGCGTGTATGAATTCACTCACCAGCTCCACGAATGGATCCTGCCACAGGAGCTACACCTCAATTCTGCATATGGTAAAGACACACATTCCACACACCGCTTCCTGCTTATCCCCTGCGAGGCGGGATTGGCGCTTTTTTCCTTGGCATGCACGACACGCGTCAAGCTACCCAAATTTGTTTACTTTTGTATGCTACGACCAGGCAAAAGATGACCACCACTCGGCTCTCAACGAGCAAAACATCCAAAACGTATTTGGGAGGAGGCCCAACCAAGTCCTCGCCCAAAAGCTAAAAAAGAGCAAGAAAAACGGCCTCCTACGCCAAAAGCGCGGTTGGTTGTTAAGGCGGCACTACCCGCTGTCAAAGACCTTACGGGCCAACCACTACCTGAGTATACGCCCCCAATCAAAGTCAAAATGATAGGGTTTCGAGTTAGGTGGACAGAGAGGGACCTATTTACTCTTTTTCTACGTTTTATTAGGGGAGGCATAATTGGTAGTGCATGGGCATGAGGAAGTACATGAGGGCACATAGTTGGGAATGCCAAGGAAAAAAGCGCCAATCCCGCCGCGCAGGGGATAATCACTTCGCAAAACCCACACCAAAATCTTGAGCTGTTCTCAAGAAGCATCTGTCCGTTAGGACGTCCTGTCCGTCAGGCCTTGGCTCCAAAGAATCCCGGCACTGTCCTGTGTTTCTTACTCTTGCCTCGGAATTGCAAGTTCGATGGATTATTGCTTTCCATAGGTGCCTGGTCGAAACATTCATCGATGATTGCCTGGTTGCGTGCAGTTCCAATGATCGCCGTCTCGAGCCGCAGTGTTTTGTGCCCTTTCCATGGTCAGCACATCTTTTTCCTTTCAGGGCTTTGTTCTGCTCATGTCGGTTCTGATCAGGCTTCTCCAGGTGTTTTTCCTTCAGATGGGTTTCAAGATCGCCCTGCAGGGCGGCTCTGCAGAATCCGAAATGATTGTCGTTGTCATCGTCGTCCGGGCTCATTTTCGTGCTTTCAGGTGTACATCGGCGCCACATGTCCTGGCGCGTGTCGTACTCGTCGAGAAAGCGTCTATCCGCCTCGAGGATATCCTCATCGCTCCATCTCGTGCTTGGAGAATTATGACGAGTTTCAGCAAATACAACAATGCATTGGTCGGGCTCGCATGTAGCTTCGTCGAATAGCTCGTGATGGCCACATGCCATCGGTGCCACGCGGCACATACTTCTGGGCCTGCGTGCATGGACTTCCTTGGTTTCCTCGGTGGGTGTAACGTACTCTATACTTTCTGGTTCCGGACTTCTAGTGCCGGAAAGTGGTTTGGGGCCGTCTGGCAGGGTTGGGAGCGGAAACGCCATGACTTGTGTATTCGCGGCACGCCTGTCGCCACAACCACCAGTGTCGTCCGAGAAAGCATCAGAGGACGCTGAGGGTTTACAGTACTGGAGGTACATGCTCATAATGTCATGCTCCGCGATGGCCGGTGGTGTCGATACCACATTAAGTACAGTAATGGCCGTGAAGACTCTTTCCCATAAATCACGTACGGCATTCTCTTGCTTGGGTGAAGCCGTGGGAGTCATTGTGTCGATGTAAATGCTTTCAAGGGTTCGACATGACATAAGATGGTATGGTATAGATCAATAGAATGAGCCAACATGTGCAGATAAAAACGGACAATTCTTGCCGCCTCATTGGAAAAGGGATCGGAACAGTGGTTTATATATTCATCTTAGGAGACGAGCGAGACAGAAAGTCTGCAGTAACGTCGGCATGTGAGTCTTCATTATCCTGCTCGTATGAATTCTGATGCATCGAAACACCAGAGCGGTTAGCAGAACACTTTCGACATCACGTGGCTCCAAAAGTCCAGCAAAGGTGCGAAGGTTGCCCTCTTCAGGCAAAAGCACAGCCGACTGGCGTACCAAGTGCTCTATTACTGGTTATCTTCCCCAAGGCGAACACGGACGTGGGCAGATTGCAAGGTTCCTTTCATCAGCGGCATAAGAGGCTTGCATTAGCGTGTTGGCTGGGCAGCAATATGGACTTCGATATAACAAAGTCCATGCTACTACGCCACTGCAAAAGGTGAAGAAGTCGTCGTTTCCTTAAAGGCACTGCTCCTCGTTCTACTTGACATCTCACCTCTCAATCAGAAATGCCTGCGTTGTGCGAGCTCCCGCCACCCTCTGTTGTACATCAGCCTTGACCTCCTATGGAGGCCCCCACGAGCATCGAAACGAGGCCATGGGGACGGTATGCGCGATCCGATGAAGAGCGCTGGACAGCCGTCAAGTCTGACATTGAGGAACTCTATCTCACAAGGAACCTCTCCCTCTCAAAGGTCATGAAAGAGATGGAGAAACGAGAGTTCCTTGCAACGTAAGGCCGCCACTTGCCCTCTGACACCCACGTATAGGCTGACCATGCAGGGAGCGAATGTACAAAGCCAAGCTCAGCGAGTGGAATATGGGCAAGAATGCCACAAGGCAGGACTGGCTGGCTTTTGCAAAGCTCTATCAGGAAGGAAGAGCTGCCGGCTTGCACCAAGTATTCGTCCAAATCCACAGCAAGGTCCGGAGAATCGAGGATCTTCGGAGGTACTTGAAAAGCCACAAGGAAGAGGAGGAGACATTCCTCATCGAGGCCATGGATGCCAATGTGGTTATATCAGAGCATATCAACCGTTGCGCTGCGGACGGAAGCGGCTCCATGGCGCTCTTGGACGCCGAGCTTGATGTCGGCATTTCGGAGGCGAACAGTCTCCCAGGACCATCCACGCTCACATCTCGTCCGCCCCCAATTGCAGACTATGAGTTTGACGCCGCTGAACTGGTAGAGACACACCTCACAACGGCGACCGAGGGAACATGGATCTGTCCTTTCACCTCGACAAGCAGCATCGCTTTGACCAATCAACAGGTCGATCCATCACTTTTCAACACCTTTGGTGAACTAAGTGAGCTGGGCAGCTTCCGAAAGCTGTTGGAGGGAGATCAGTGCGACTTACAAGATAATATGGGCAACGAGCTGTCCATGGGAAATGAACCTGTGCATGGTTCTTCCAATGTCCGGATGTCCGAGTCTTCTGCAACCCCACAGCTCTGTGACGTCTCATTTTCCTACACGTCAGCTTGCATGATGGCGTGTATGCTGGGTGCCGCAGGAAGAAACGCTATGATGAAGCAACATCTCCGGCAGGCCACGATCTCTTTTCGGCAGATGTGCTTGGCCAAGAGCCCCTTCCTACTCACTGCAGCGAGCATGATGCTGACTTGGCTCCTGGTACATGCCGAAGGCAAACTACCGGAGAATATCATGAGGACATCCTTGCTGGTAGCCCGGGATGCACTTGGCATGTGCGATCCCATCACTGTCCTATTGGAATGGATGACAGCAGCAGCCGGGGGCAACAAGCTCCAAAGCTGTGCTATAGACTCAGCCACACTCCTGCAACTCTGGGAAGGGTTCCGACGAACCTTGGGAGAGGACCATGGTCACGCCATCGTTGCCATGTATTGTCTGAGCTTCCAGCTGATGTTCGCGGATAAGGATTTTGCACAGGCGGAACAACATCTTGAGCACCTGTGGACTGTGTCTGCCAGCGCCTTTGGTTCCGCCCATGTCCAGACGATCAACATCCTCGCAACGTTAAGCCGCGCCCAGTCCCGACAGAAGAAGTTCCTTTCAGCACTAAATACTATTAACATGAGCCTCATGGCAGCTCCATTGGGACTGAACCACCCTCATCGGCTGGAGCTCTTGGTACGGAAAGCCGTAGTGCTCCGGAAGCTCGAGCGCTTGGATGAGACGGAGGTCCTCTATTGGATCGTGGTCAAAGGCAGAGTTGCAACGCTGGGTCTTCACCACAAGACTACCATGGCCGCCCATGAAAGTCTTGTGGACGTACTGAAAGAGAATGGTACGTGGGAGGCCAAGAAAGGCGAGGCACATAAACTCCTGGGTGATTCGCAGGTCAGTGTGTTAGACCATGAAAGCTGGTGGCGTCAGGTCATCGAAGCATATCGCATCGACAGAATGCATGATCGTGCTTCGAGTGACGAGGATGATTGAGGGATGAATGAGTCCGACAAATCCGGACTGAAGGTGCACTAGATGGGTGATGAGATCAGGCAAGCCGGCAGCGGCTTGTATCGAAAGAATCTTACGCTGCATACCCTCCAGCTAGCACGACGTGTACACTGTAAGTGGTGTCAACATACCATGAAGTCATGATGATTCGGTCATCAGTAGTGACCATGCATGGAGAGTTTAGGATGTGAGACTCTCCCACGGTGGTTTGTCTGCTTCCTCAGCCCCTCTCTACCCCCGTTAGTACACACGTGAACAGCAAAAAGGTCTCTAGGTCTTCTCCGTAGGTTCTTGTCGGACACCCAGCGCAAGTGCTCTCTAGGAGACAGGCATTGACAAAGGCTGAAAGGAAGACAATACATCGCCGCTTTGCTCCTGCCCGCGCATGTGAGTACTTGTAACCAGACACGAAGTTTCTAAAAGTTCCTACTTGGGCAGGCACCCGAAGCCTCACTAGCCGGCGCCTGTGGCGCGGTTCTCGAGGCGCTTGTTTTGGCCTAAGCTAGAGTAGTATGACATAATGTCCTGGCTGGCTGTCCTCCGCAACATAGTGCGCGGTATTTTTGTATCATGTACTCCGTCCGTATCTCTTGCGTTTTTAATCACCGCGCCGTAGTCATTTCAGTATTCCCTGGTCTCCCACGAAATTATGGCGGAGGAATTCGACGATGTCGAGTTCCTGGCGGCCGAGGCTGCTGTCCAGCAGTCGACGTCCGCACCGCAACGAACGGCAAGTCCGGCGATCAACAATGGAAAAGTCGTTCAACCAAAGCCGCAGGCAATGCCTGGAAGGCAAGGTCCCTCTGCAATTCTGGTCTCGACGCGACAGAAGGGCAATCCTATCTTGAACAATGTCAAATCACTGCCCTGGGAGTACTCTGACATTCCTTGTGACTACGTCCTCGGTGCCACAACATGCGCACTCTTCCTGTCCCTAAAATACCATCGACTGCACCCCGAGTACATCTACAGTCGTATTCGCCAGCTAGGCAAGCTGTACAACCTTCGCATACTGCTGACCATGGTAGACATCAACAACCACGAAGAAGCGTTGAAAGAACTGTCCAAGACCTCAATGATCAACAACCTTACCTTGATACTCTGCTGGTCCTCCCAAGAAGCCGGTCGCTACCTAGAATTATTCAAGTCGTACGAGCATGCCTCAGCTGCCTCAATCCGAGCCCATCAAGCCGAAACATATCAAGAAAGTCTGACCGAATTCGTGACCACTCCACGGACCATCAACAAGACAGATGCTGCGAGTCTCATCTCCAACTTCGGTTCCTTACGAGCGGCTGTCAACGCACAACCTGAAGAGTTGGCCTTGGTACCAGGTTGGGGTGAAAAGAAGATTAAAGCATGGACTACGACGGTACGCGAGCCTTTCCGTGTCAAGAGAGCAGCCAAATCCAATGCCACTCTGTTGAGACAAGAAAGCTCAATGTTTTCTGAGGGAGACAGTGCACCAACATCAAGGTCAGCAAGTGTTGTCACTCCCATACCAATCAGCACTGTACCCAGCTTGAGCAGACAAGGCACGTCAGCGGGGTTGATCCCAAAAGCCACCGACGCCGGTCCGAGTCAGAAACGACCTCGATTAGAGGAAGTGCACTTTGACGACGATATAATCGACGACGAGGAAGCAGCACTGCTTGCTCAGGTTGAAGCGGAATCAAACCTCGCTGATGCAGAGAAACCGAAAGCTGCGCAAGCCGTGACCAGAAAAGAACCCGAGTTGAGCGATGGTGTCATGGCTGCCTTGGCCAAGTTACGCCAGAACGGCTGAAGTCCAAGAGACACTATTATTCGTATGATTATTGCCTCATGGCACGCACAGCACGAGTGCGAAAAGCCTTTATTGCGCCGACATATGCATCCATACTGAGGAGCATGTGCATATACCTCGGGCGCCGGAAACTGGAAGCGGTACTGTGCTTGAAGCATCGACCAAACGACACCAAGAGTCCGCAAAAACTGCACGACCTCGGCGTCCGAAGCCACTTCTTCAGTCATCATCTTCTGGGTAGCAAAAGTCCCTTATGAAAGACCCGGATGCTATTTAAATCGCACGGCTTACACAAGGCTTTCTGGACCAGTGTTCCCCGCCCGATGCTTATGAGGCACCGCCCCCCATATTTCAGGCTATTTAAGAGCAGTGCACAACCACAGCCTCACTTGCGCCTTGACGACAAAACCAGTGTCCACGTCGGCACAAGCCAACTTGCCGCACTTCACTTCAACATGACGTGGTCTGATGGGCTCGCCCTCTCCGTCGGTGGTGCAGCGTACACTATGAGATCAAGATCGGCGGGCGAAATCGGCTTTGACACCACGAAGCACATCGACGACCCGCTTATCACGGTGCCCGTACTCGGACCACAGGAGATTGCTAGGCGAGCAAGCCCACAGCCTAGAGACGGTTCGCAACCGTCAGCGAACGTGAGCGACGCAGAGAAATCGAAGTCAAAGTTTTCCTTGTTCGCCCGCATGAAGTTATCCGTGCCTGACTCCAGCGTGGATTTTGTTATGTGCCAAGTGCCTCGAAGCCAGTACCTCGCTAACTACGCGAAAGACGAGAACGGTCGGTACATAGGAAGCGGCGAGCCAGCGGAAGACTGTATCTTGAGCGACGAGGACATGGTCAAATACCGTGGCGAGAACGCTCTGCTTAAGCCGAATTACGAGAAGGAGGTCGGCGTCTTTGAGGGGGAAATAAGACAGCCGGAAATGCAGCAGCATGAGGACGATGGGGTTGGGAGCAGGATACTTGAGATGGGACAGCCAACTGCCGCGAAGACGAGTAAGATGGGCGGACTGTTTAAAAGCTTCAGAGGCAGTAGTGCTGAGGATGGTATTATCCGTTAGAAGCAGTCTTGCCATTTGCTATATCCACCATTTCACCATCCATTGTGGTAATGCACGCAAGAGCTGATGGTTATTACGGGGCGTCACCCCTGATATCGTGTCAATGCACTCGTCGAAAGTACTCTACGCCAAAGCTCATGCCACGATGTCATGCTCATCAAATCATCCGTATAACTCCCCCGCTCCTTTGTTTCTTTGCAGGAAAATGCCAGATCCCAATGCTTGATGCCACCCAAACCAGTTCGAAAGACACACTGCACAATGTACATGCTCGACTCCGACGATGCAGGGCTCATTAGAAGGAGAAGCGTTTATATCCTTCAACCAGTCCGTCCTCTGCCTTCGTGATCGCCACCCAGTTCGGTAGAAAGTGCTTGGCCTCATCGAAAGCTGGAATCAGTCCCACTTGATTCACATCGCTCCAGAGACAGACCACCTTCCCGGTCAATGTCTCGTTGGACTTTTTCGGCGGGCCATCCTCCTCAGGATTAAGCCACGACACATCGACCGTCCATGCACGGTCCCAGGTCCTTGACCAAAGACGCACTTCATTACTCCCGGCTTCGGGGACTGGGAGGAATCTCTTATCCCGAGGAGCTCGGCCGTTGACCTGAAAGGCGCTGATGGGTGAGTCAAACACGAGCTTACACGCTCTGGTGTTTCTGCCATAGAGCACGAAACGGGCTTTGTTCTCCTCAGAATCATTAAGTCTGGTCACATTGAAGTTCAACCAGCTCTTGTATTGTTTCTCGGGTGGAGTCGCAGAGTTCGGCTTCGCGACGTTTGGTGGAAGTCCAGACCAAGAGCACCTTTCCAGATTGTATCCTGGCCCAGTGGCATTGCATTGGAGCTCCTGACCAGCAGCACTGGGTATGCTGGCAATGGCCTGTCGAACGAACCCGGGGACGCCCTGCAATGAGACTGAATTATTCCCTGCATCGAGGTCGACCTGCTGCAGGAAGAACAGCTTTACTCTGTTTCCCGGCGAAAATGGGAATGCGGTGAGGTTGTAGATCAATGTGCCAATCAACACAAAAAGTAGAAATACCGGCACTTGCCAGGTAAAGCGGTGTAAGATAGGGACCAATGGCGAACAAAGCAGTATCGTGCTGGCAGCGATCATGATATAGACCAGGAACGTCGAGCTACCATCCTGACCAGTTTGGTGGAGACCTTCAGTCGTCAAGAATCCAATCTGACCCACAACGATGAGGTTGATGGGAATGAGCAGGAGCATTTGTAGCAGCCACAGCCATGTCCACTGCGACTTGCTCCATTCCTGCTCCTCATGGTGATGATCACTTGTCTCTTCTTTGGTTTTGATACTGGGAGTGGCTTCAGCCTCTTCAGGTCGGTATCCTTTGAAGGTCGAGCGTCCTCGACTCCTCAACAAGCTGGATCTCTCCGTGGGTTCGTTTTCGTCGTCGTCCTCCTCAGGCTCGTCACCGCCGTCTTCCGGTGCCGAGACAGGGGTATCTTGACGTAATCTCGAGGTACTGCGCGAGCGCGATGAGAAGTGTTCCTCACCTACTTTGCCACGACAGTAGGTAGACTTCTTCGGGAGGGAGAAGAGCTCGAGGTAAGCGAACCAGGTCGCGAAGAAGACGCTAGCGGTGTAGATGAGGACAAAATATGTGCCGGTCAAGTGAAAATGCTCTTCAAATACTGTGGCCGCGACCAGTAAAGCCCACCAACCGGCCCACATCCATGACAGCCCGTATGCCCTGGTGAGCGAAGATGGTCGGGCGAAGTCTGCAGTCCGGCACAGGAACCAGGCGACGAAGACGAATGACGAGATCATCATACTCCACACTGCCCACTCACTACTGTGAGCGATGTATTGATTCTCCTTGGAGAGGAGTAAAGCCAGCGCGATGGGGGTTGCGCAGGCGACCAGCAATATGAGAGGGAAACGGAAGAAGCCACGCCAGCCGTACAGTAGGATATTGTCATCCCCATCTGCCATGTGATATGCTCTAGAACCCGAGAAAAAGTAGAACTTGTCGAAGCGATACAGCAAGACCAGGGTTAGGAAGAGAATGATCGGTCCAGCCACCAGGAGGGCAACTGCAAGAGCGAAAAAGGTATGTGCCTGCAAGACGGCGAACGCTCGACCGAAAACATCGAACCATAGAGCAGCACTTCCGGGAGTATGTCCTGGATCTAGATTGGTCGTCAATGAAGCAGCGGTCAGTGCTCGAGTTGTTGCCACTGCAGTTGAAAGCATATGCCAGAGAGATCCTTTTCCAGTATGTCGAGAGTCATCTTGATCCGTGTGATAACGTGCTCGGGGACCAATGAAGGCGACGTCCAGTCCGCGATAGCCTAGCTTTCCATTGAATACCACATAGTCGGTCTGACTGCGGATGAGGCCACGGTTGAAGCCGTCCGCAGTAGTCGAGGAACCGAAAGGATATTTGGAGTGAGCATATGCTTTCGTGACAGCATCGTCAGTGCTCCGGAAGAGGGCAGCTCTTCCCCCAGCTCCAGCACCCTCGAGATTGAGGAAGGTGCTTACGAGCTTGGACATGGGATGCTGGCCAAAGACGTTGGCACCATTCAAGAAGTCTTCTTCGCCATTATTCAGCAGCAGCACGACACCATTCTTGGGCTGGTTTCCTGATGTAGTGAAATATCTTGCCAGCTGAAGGACGCAGACCACACCAACACCATCATCTGTGGCCCCAAAGCCCGTAGACACGCTGTCATAGTGGGCATTCACGAGGACAGCATTCCGGGCAGAAGGTTTGCCATTGGGAGCCAGCCACCACTGTTTCTTATCATCTTCTGTGCCAGGTATGTAGACGATGATATTGGTCCCTTCGAAGTAGACACTGATTCCTGCAGCTCGAGGTATGCGTTCCGAGGAGAAAGTGAGGTTGGAGAGGTTGTCTTCAAAAATGTATGCACTCGAAGAATTGGTAGAGGAAAGTGCATGGTTCTCTTTCAGAATGGACTCGACTCTGGACAGCAGCCAGTCGTGGACCGCATCGTTGCGATGAGAGTTGTAGGGATGGTGAGACCCGGAGAGCAGCTGTAGATCTAGCCATGCCTCTGTCAAATTGATACCGTGTATCGGCGTAGGCGTGTCTGGAGGAGATGGTACGCCAGTCTGTACAACGATTAGAGCAACGATAATTGCGAGATATATGATGGTGGTGATGAAGGTGACGGGCCCACGCGTGAAAGCGATAGGATTGGAGAGCCACGCCATGGCCAGTCGCAGCACTCGCCGTCAAGACATAAGATAAGAGAGAGAGACTGGGAATAAGTGAACGAGATAGTTCCAGATCGAAAATCTCTTGACTGGGCACCTATTGAAGCAGCGCTGCCAGGTTTGGGAAAATGAACTCTTAAGTTTACGGTTGGGTACAGTATCTGTAGCTGCTGAAAATCATTGACGACTTGTTCCCCGCATATGTCAATCGACGCACATGCACATCATTGTTGGAGCCTTGACAGCATCGCCTGTGCACGCCTAGAGAGCCTATAGTGGGCGAGATACTGTGACGAGTACAGTTCCTAACGCTGAACCAGTCATGTTCACCCTGGCCACGCTTACAGTATCTACCTACCAGGTACTTGGTCCAAACCCAGGAAACACAGTCAGAGATACCTCAACTACACTTTTACGAACAACAGCACAAATCCATAATTGCAGTGATCTGTTAACATGATTTGTTTCGACCCAATGGTAATTATAGCTCCTCAGATATAGCAATAGATGGCGGTGTTAGCGCTGCAATTCGCAAGCGTTTCTGCCTGCTTCTACAGGTTTTCAAGCGGCGACGATGTTCTCCCAGACATGTCAAGACAGATCACTCTCGTGTGATGACATAGTCCTTGAATTCCCTCGTCTTGACATTACGCTCAAACATAATGTCCACCTCCTGGAACGTCCTACCTTTCCTGTTTTCATGTCGTGTCAGCAAGGCGTTTACTGAGGTTGGGACGAGACACTTACAACTCTGGCACCCGGAAGTACGCCCATGTAAAGCAAGCCGCAGCAAGCCCTCCGAAGAAGAAGCCTAGCTTACCTCTCATATTGGCTTGGTCTGCATTGATCATGTATGGAATGGCCACCTTTGACGACAATGTCAGTAAAGGCTTTGGGATCAGTGCCCTTGACATACCGTCATCACGATTCCTGCGAGAGCCTGTGCAGCAGTGGCCAAGGCAATGGTTTTACTGCGAACTCTCGTCGCCGAAACTTCGCAGAGAAGAACAAAGCATACCGGACCAATGGTGAGATCGTAAATAAAATTCCATATGACCATAATCACGGCCTCCGCCCAGGCAATCGAGGGTCTTTGGTCATAGTGTGGCGAGCAGTCGATGATGCCGATAATGAGCTGAAGTACTGCTAAGGTGGCAAGACCATAGTTGTAGATGCTTCGTCGACCGAAGTGTACCAGGAGAAGCCATGAAAGGCACGTCCCGACGAAGCCAACTGCCAGAAATCCGACCCCCATGTTGAACGCTTGGGTGGTTGGCAAGCCAGCCACTGATCTTGTTAGATCGAGATCCGTGGAGAGGTTTCTTCAAGAGCAGGAGGACACTTACATGTGAAGAAGTAAGTCGCATAACCAACCAAGTAAATACCCGACAGCACTTGAATGGTATATACACCCACTGCAATTTCGGTCCGGCGACGATTGATCTTCTTGAAACAATCCCAATAGGTCGAACCCGTCTCGATTTCCTTCTCCAGCCTGTCGGTCTCGATGATGATAGCTAGGGTCGGCTTCACATCAATATCGGAAGAGGCCAGGCGTTTGAGAGCCTTTTCGGCTTCTTCGAAACGGCCTTGTCTCTGCAGCCACCAAGGGCTTTGGCATCATTAGTTCATCCAAGCCGGTCGATATCTGGTAATAAAGAAGACTCACCTCTCTGGTGCAAACGGTAGTCCGATCAAGATGAAAAAAGGCCACACCTAAACACAAACTTAGTCTGAAGCGATCTCAAGCATGTTTTGTCGAGTATGCAACTTACCCATTGCACGGCAAAAGGAGCGCTGTATGCCCAGTGGCTGTCGAAGCCCTCCGTCCCGGCAATCACTCCGTTGGCGAGTAGCTGACCGATGACGAAACAAATATTCGTACAGGACGTAAGGACACCTCTCAAGGCCAGAGGGCAAACCTCTGAGGCGTAAGCTGGAGCGATCACCGCATACGTGCCCAAGACGAGTCCTCCCAGGAGCTCTCCCGCAAGCAGAACCGGGAGTGACCTGGCAAAGAATTGCAGGAAGATCAAGCCGGTCGTGCAGATAACGCAGACCCCAAATGTCTTTTTTCGGCCGTACCATTCCATGGGGTAGCCTGCGAAAAGCGCTCCTAGGACTTGGCCGATAGGTGACCCCATTCCTAGGCCCGTCTGCCATGGTGCCGATATGATCCAATTGCCCTCGTAGAGATAGCCAAAGTCGCGTTGGAATTTTGGTACCGCGTAGAGCTGTCCAATGACTTGTGGGTCGAATCCACACCTAGGCATCGAGAGTTAGTTATCCTTCCGATGTTAGCCATGTCTGGCTTCTTACATGATCACGCCCAACGAGAAGAACAGCGACCAGCCAACAGCAGCCGGATATAGCTTGAGCGCTTTGAAGAAACTGTGGCCATGTTCCTCATCGGCAGCAATGCGTGCTTCGGTGTGGATGTCATCGATGGATGCAGTGGCGATCAGCCCAGCAGGATCCTTCCTATCTTCGATGTCGTTCTTTGTGCCTTCGGATGCCATCGTCAGCGTTGTTGATGGTATGGATGTGAGCAGAAGGTGGAAGGGTAGCGAGCGACATGGGTTGGGAAGATGGTCTATATAGAATGCCGAACCGGTTATCAAGGCTGATAAGCATAGTATCTGGCCCCAATCAGGTTATGTCGTCCAGTTGTTGATCCCATTTGTCTTAGCGAGACCAAGACGATCCCGGCAAAGTACCCAGCGAAGGCTCGAGTACCCTTCGAGGTGTTGGGACATGGATTTGTTCCTCGGTAATGTCGAGAGGTCGCTTGATTCAAACTTACCATCATCATTCCGGCGCGTGTGATGAACTGGCGCAATCCCAAGAAGAGGTTCTCTCTCCTCCAGCCTCTCATTGCCACGCATTCTGCTGGATTTCGTATCTTGTCCAGTCTAGTCCAGCTTCAAAGGCTGCAGAACGCAACTAGCCCTCCCGCATTAGCGTCCACGCGATAAGGTCGTGAAGAGGCAGGATGGACCTCTGAGGGCCATGGAAAGCACACCACTAGCATTATCCCTCCAGCGGGGATGCGCGGGCTTGGGTGTGGTATCAATGGCTTATCGTTACATTGGGAACGAGGAGAGGCCTGGAGATTGACGATGATTGACCCCTGAAAAGATGATCATCTGACTTGTCGGGCCAAGCAAACAATCCTCAAACGCAAGATTGCTGATGTAATCGTGATACGGTGCCGCATAACTCCTTGGCGTGAAATATCAATGTTTCGTGTGATTTTGGGTGCCTGAATTCCTGTCGCTAGCTATGCTCCTCGAAGGAGACTTTGCAATGAAGCGTCCTTTTCGACATGCTACAATCCAATCGTCTTTTTCCATCGGTACAGCCTTGATGCCTCTGCATTGAATCTTTTGGGTCATGCCGCATCCACGGAAGAAACTCCGGCGTGCCGTCAACAGCTGTGGTGAGTGTCGGTACGATACCCCGTAGATGCTCCTTGGCTCTGGCTTACAGTAGCAGCCGTCGCAAGATTCGCTGCGATTTGAACACAATTTCATCTGAAGTTTGTTCGAACTGTGCTAGTCGTAACATCGCATGCGAGAGTTGGCAGGACCATGATGGATCCACCGAGTCAAATGACCCCAGCCTGCTTGCAAGATTGCAAAGAGTCGAGAGCCTCCTAGATGGTTTGACGCATACGGATGACTCCGAACTCATCGAAAGGACTCCCTTGCCAGCGGGTTCAGTCAGTACTCCCATTGAAGGCGATGACAACCCGCCTGTGATTTCTCTCTTCGACAATGCCATTGTACGCTATACGGCGGCCTGCCTTGTGAAATATTCTGATATGCCTAGTTTCGACGTCACGAGAAAGCGTCCCCATCGCATGGACTCGAAGACTCCGCTACGTTAAAGTCGACTCACAGCCCAACGGACGCGACTTCCGAGAAGCTTCGCCTCACCCTGGTCAATCTCTTGCCCTGTCAGGAAGATGCAGAGCTGGTGGCCGCTTCCACAAATGGATGGGGTTTGAGACAAGTGCTTTGTACGCCTGTTGATGGGCTCTTTCGAGATGCCACAGACAGCGCCGCTTTTGACATTGCGGCAGTCTCAAGAGACAAAGCCGTGGTCGTTGCGAGGACCCTCCTGTACCTGGCTGTTTGTTTACAGCAGCTTCCTCCTGGTTACGATTGGAGCAACTTTCATTTCAAGTGCTCGGTAGACACTGTCTTGCACAAATACCTCACGACTGTGGCAGACCTTGTCACATGCAAAGACGACCTTGCATGCACATTGGAAGGAGTCGAGTGTTTGCTCCTTCAATCGCTGTTCTATATCAATGATGGCAACCTTCGCAGAGCTTGGCTTGCTGGTCGTCGTGCCCTCAACATCGCACAATTCCTTGGTATTCACAAACGCTTTCTCCGAATCGTGCGACAAGCCGACAGCCAGAAAAGGAACAAGGCAAGTATAATGATGTGGCTAAAAATAGTCATGGTAGACCGCTATCTTGCCCTGGTCCTTGGCTTTCCTTGTGGGGTTGGTGAGGACTGCTTCGGTGAAGAAGAAGACCTTCTCAAACCTGTCGAGGATCTCCATGACGTTTTTGAGCGCAGACTTTGCATTGTTTCTGGAATGATTGCTAAGCGCAATTCAAAAGAACTACCACCAAGTTATACTGCAACTTTGGACATCGATGAACACCTCGACAAACTTGCAAAAGACATGCCTCAGACATGGTTCTCCGTCCCGACATTCTCGACGGCGAGAGGCTCATCTGCGAATATCAAAGAATATGAAATGATGATGAACCAGATATGGTTCTTTCAGCTGACCCAGATGCTCCATCTTCCCTTCATGCTAAGGGCTTTCACAGAATCGAGATATGAGTATAGTAAGATAACCTGCATCAATGCTTCAAGAGAGCTACTTTTGCGCTACTTGGCACTCAGAGGTACAAATAACACGCAGCTACATGCCAGAGTGGTGGATTTCGCTACTGTGATCGCAGGCGTCGTGCTTATCTTGAACCACGTTGGTTCGACTCGCAGCGCGAACAAAGACATCAGCAACCAAACTGAGGACGACATAAACTTGGTACAAAGAGTCCTTGAGTCGATGCGGATCGTGGGTCGAGGTGAACGAGATATCATGGCTCGTCAAGGTGCCGAATTGATGGAGGCATTGCTTGCCATTGATGCCGATGCGCCTGGGACCCATCCTAGGAGGAATATTCGTCTCACGGTTCCCTTCATTGGTACAGTCGCAATCAGCAGTGCGCCTGCGGCGGATGTCACCGAGCCACAAGCGACTGGAAGTCAACTTCAGCTTCCGGTTCACGTGCAACCCGAGCACGACGTGGCACTTGGCTACTCGACGAGCATATTCGCCCCACACAACCTGTCCTTCGAACAAGCGAACATACCCGATCCGAGTTGGTTTCCTCCTGTTGAAGCATGGGATCTCGATAATCTCAATAGTGATCCGACCAGTTCGAATCCGTACAGCTTTTGGAACTTTAGCGGCTGAAGACACAGTGGTAGCACCAACGTTCCTGGAGTCCGAGTGATGTGGAAGTCAAATGGATGACTTTCCTGGTCGTACGGAGTCCCCGACGGGAGCAATTGCAGTCAGTATATGAAAGGTCAGTTCAGTCGCAATCTGAGGACATTATTCGACAATACGAACCTGCAGACCACATGATTCCAGACAGCAAGAGTGGAAATCTGACAATTCCATGTCTGATATTCGAGAAGGGTGTCCTCCTCATGACGGTCTTGTCGATGCCGGCTATACCCATATTCTGGCTTTCGATCTCGGCTCGTTATCTGTCCGAGCGGCCTCGGCCTCGTTATTAGTCATCAACATCTCACTTCTTCTCCTTCCAGGTAATCTCATTCCACATTGTACCTTGTCCTCTTTGCAAATATATAGGCGCTATAAGTACCGTACGGTGCAGATACTCGTGCTTCCAGAGGGGCTTTAAGATAATCTCATCTTTTGAGCAACAGACTATTCACTGCACGCCTTAAAGAACATTGGGTGCGCTATGGCTGAAGAAGAGATCATTTTCCCTCCCCGGCCTTTGTTCATGGTTGATCGAGGTTGGCAACGAAGCAGGAAGAAGACCCGGTCGAATCCTCGATCTATTCGGGGTGACGTTCAGTCGATTCATGTTCCTGAGAGAACAGTCAAGGCCACAGAAGATTCATCTGCAATCGAGACAATGTCAATCAACCGCAACGGTCCCCAGAACCCACAACACAACAAAACTCGGCCACTGCCCGGCACGAATTTTCTGCATTACGAGCCTGCAGAAACGAGGAAGGCACGACACAGAAAGCGAATAGGGCGGCCCAAGGAAGGGAACACAAGGCCGGCCGCGATGTCAGATCTACCTCAGGCCGCAACAAGTGTTGCGCCATCAGGCCGGACGCCAGCATCAGAAAACCTGTGGACTTTTGGCAGTCTTGTTCCGGGCAGCGCCACTTCACTTTACACGATCATTGATCCTGAAGCGACCGCTTTTCAAGGGTTTGCTCATGACTGTGAGTTCGGAGGTCATGAAGATCACCGCTACGATGGCTGACGTCTGTGGCAGACCCGACCCGCATCGCCTCGGGCATGTTTCCGATCAGCAAGTATGTTTTGTTCGAGTCAAATCCAATAGCAGAGATCTGGTACCCAGCAGCTATCGCAGACGACCTTCTCCTACACGTTATCCTCTTTTCCACCGCCCTCAAAGCTCACATCAATTCCGAGTATCGTACCTTTCCTGATTCGGAGACCCTCCTCAAAGTCATTCTTGACCGTCTCAACAATCGGATGCGGCATGGCGAGTACTCGGATGAGACCATTGGTGCTGTCTCATGCATGGCACTTTGTGAGAACGCCCTGGGTAATCACAGCAAATGGTCAATGCATACGGTAGGAATGTCAGAGATGATCCGTGCCAGGGGTGGTCTTTCGTCGATTCGTACCGCTATGCAGACAAAGATCTATCGAGCCAGCATCGTTGGTGCAGTGGACTGCCTCTCTCGACCTTGTTTGTCTCGCCTGACAAGAACAACGAAGCCTTTGTATCAAAGTGTCGGAATGGGATTACCGAAATCGAATCTAGCAGCCGCGCTGGATCGGATTGATTCAAAGGCCCCATTTTTCGATGCCATGATTGACCTCTCCTTCTTCACTCAAGCGCTGAACTATTCAGTGGAAAACCAGGTCACTCTAGACCCCAGGGCGTACGAGGAGGATATGTCCTGCATCGCATATGATCTGCTCTGCCTCTCGAGACTCAAAGGCATTGCACGGGCCTGCCAGCTTGCAGCTCTCGTCCTCATGCAGATCGTGATGACAGACAGAGCTCTCGGCAAAAGGTCCTCCACATTGATATCGGGAGAACTCCGACAGTCACTTCGCGATCTCGAAGCCGACGATGTGCCCACTACTTTAGTCTTTTGGGTTCTCTTCTTAGGTGGGCTAGCTTCCTTCGAGACCAAGGACGTAAGATGGTATCGATTCCGGCTAAGGAGATTGGCAAGACACAGTAACATTGTCAGTTGGGACGCAGCAAAGAGTGTGCTACGACAAACTATGTGGATTGATTGCCTCCAAGATTCCCATGGCAAGAAATTGTGGGATGAAGTCATTGAATCTATGTCAACGTCGTCTGACTAGTCTCACAACTTCGGAACCAGGTCGTCAAAATCTGTGCCATCAAGGAACATATTGATGTGCGTTGCATACAGTTCCGCAAATTGCCACAGGAAGCCATGCCCAGCACGAGGGTAGATTATCAACTGTGCGTTGGGGATCTGTGTCATGAGTTCCCAGCTCCGACTCGAGGGGATCAGGACGTCGTTATCACCATTCGCCACCAGTACTGGCATCTTGAGCTCGTTCAGCCTGTCGAATGACCCGCTTGGACTCGCCGTGAAAGCGTGAACAGCCGCCGCATACTGTCGCTTTGCACCTGCGTCACGATCCAGCAAGTCCAACAACAGTGGCTCGACTGTTCTCTGCTGGAGTCTAGACCAATATTCTCCAAAAGCTGCGCGACCCAGGTTGTCGTCAAAGAAGAAGGAAAAGGCTAGAGCTTTGCGTCCTTCTTCTCGGGTCACTGCCTCCGAAAGTGCCTTGATCGGACCTGGTGGAGCGTTCTCTCGTGGCCAGACGACTCCCGCAACGTGATCTGCCGAAGGTGTCGTGGCGCTGGTACCGCCCAGGATCAATTTCCGGACGAGATGCGGTGCTGTCAACGCGACCATTTGGGCAGCGTAACCTCCCATCGAGAAGCCGAGGAAGTCGACCTTCTTCAAGCCAAGGGCTTCTATGAAGGCAATGGCGTCGTCAGCCCATCCTTGGTACGTCTGCGGGACTTCGCCGGTGCTTCGCCCAACTCCAGCATTGTCGAAGATGATGACAGGTCTGAACGTGGCTAAGGTGTTGATAAATAAGGGGTCCCACAAGTCCATGTTGGCTCGGTAGTGAATGTGCATGGCAAGTGGGATACCATTTGCAGGTCCGATGCGACGGTAGGCAAACCGTATTCCCGTGCTGGCGGTGACATAGTGAGTTACGGCTGCTTGTGCGAGCGCCATGCTGTTCAGTCTGCTACTTTTGGGGTGATGAACAGATATAGGTCGAAAAACGTAAGTATGAGGAGAGAATATTTTGCAGAATGACTACAAAACGAAGCGAAAGTCCCCTTTTATACGTGAGCGACTTCGGGTCACCATGTCCTTCATTTGCAAGAAGGGACCTCGGTTCCCTTCATATCAACGACTTGATTCCTAAAGATTAGATGGAGGCATTTATCGGCTAGTCGACACGATACAATTTTCACTTCTATGCAAGCAGCCAAGCTAGATGGTCCAGTCCGGTTGCTGAAGTGTGACGCCTGATGTCTTGTCGCCTTCGCTTTGGCCCCAACACCCCCAATATCCCAAACAGGAAATATTCGCCCGTTTCGGAAGAAGACCCGCCAAAATAATTCGAATACAAATCTCGTCCGTATCATGTCAAGCATCTTACGATGTCAGCATACACTGGTGACGACGATGCCATTACCCGCAACACCGCCACCCTGTTTGCGGTACATCGCCTCCGTTCCCTCCTTGTGCTGGGCGAGGTATGCTTTGAGCTCGTTGGGAGACATGTTTTGGGTCTTGGACATGAGGTCCCCAAGATCATGATCGTCGGACGCCGATCACGCTTGATCTTGATTGACAGGGGTGTCGCCTGACATTGTTCATGCCGTGTCTACAGCAGACGTGCCGCGAATTCGGGCGCGAGACTTATAACATCTGTCTGGTGTAAATCGACAGTTCAACCCAAAGTCGTCGGCGTAAACGGTTCCCAGAAGTCTTGGTCATAGTTGCTGAAGAGGGGAGCAAATATATCGGATGGAGGCAAGATCGTAGATAGGTCACCGTCTCCAGCCGCAAGCTGCAGGTCGACCCCTGGGTCGTCCGGGGCAAAGTCAAAGAGGGCGTCAATGTCAGCGGCGAGGGCCTGTAACGGGCGCTCGGCAACGAAAGGAGACTCCTTACTTCCAAGCAAGGGAGACAGGTCGTTACCATGCAGACGGGTGTTGATGATTGCGGGCTCATTCGAGTTGGCATTTATGTCGGTACCCACTCGAGGCGAAGGTGGACGAGTGACACCCAATGACTGTAGTTCTTGATTTCGATATATGCGTCCAAGGAGTCTTTCGAGCGCAGAGGAGTAGCGGACGCCAGGGTGCTTAGGATCGGAAGAAGCTGTCGACATGCATTTTATGAGGGCTCGAATCAATCGAAGGATTGCCCTTTTCTGTGACGGTGGTAAAGGGACAATCATGGCCGACTTCAGCAAAAATACGCCCGCATGGCAGAAGTAAAGGAAGTACCTCAACGGAAGATATGATAAAGCCTGTGAGTCGAATTAGAACATTGTCCGAGCTGAAGGGTTTACTGCCACAACTCACCCCTGAAGGCTGTAGTCTCCCTATGGCCAATCGAAGTATATCGGCCTAAGGTGACAAAATGTCAGCACGAACATGAGAGGGTGAGATTTCGTCGTACCGCCGCATTGATAGCCTCAATGATGAAACGAGCATCAACGCAGCCCATGAGGCCTGTCGGGAAATACTCCATAGGCCGACTGCCGTCGCTGCAGCTTGACACCCGCTGCATATGTCCTTGCAAAGAAAATGAATAGATGTACAAGCGGAGATGGTGCTGAGGTGGCTTTGTCAGCTTGTCAACAGGCCTTAGAAGTGCTGTGCTCACAAACGATATCCAGACACATTCATTGATCGGATACCTCTGCCAGGGCCTCGTCTGCCAACGATTGCGGAAAGCCGATAATGCTAGATATCGACGGATCAGCCGAGAAACCAGGATGCAAGAGACTGGGTCTTTCTCGCACTCTCCCCAAACTCATCAATGTGCTTGTAGTACTGCTCGGCTTTCGCCAACGCGATCGAGCGACTCTTGGAAGGGTACAAAAGATCATGGGCATTGGTTAACGCTTGGGTGATTTGCATGAGGCATTGCAGGTATGCGGCATAATTGTCCTGAATGCCTGGGATCTCACGAAGTTGAGGGAAATCCTCGGACGGATCAGAGTGTTGATGTTGATAAGTCAGACCAGGACCTAGGGAGTATCGTCAGCTACAAGATTCCAATGCCTGCCTGCAGCCTATATTCTTGTCGATCAAGGTCGGCCCTGGATGCGCGTGGTAGGTTCGAAGGTTCTTACTTCGAAGCCAAAAGGCTTTCCCAACACGAATGGAAATTTGCCGTTCTAGACAGAAGCAATCTAGTATCGTGGAATTCTGTCAGCAATGGTGATACCGCCGTGACTACAGCATCCACTTACAAGCCCATACCACCTTTCCCCTAGCTGGATCATCGACTGATTTCTCTTCCATGTCGTCTGGGTGCATACTTAGCTGCTCTAGGCCCAGGAGATAACCTAGCCGAACAGCCTTGGGGATCGTCAGTATCGAGGAAGACCCAGTCATCACGCACGCACCGTGCCGACAGTCATCCAGCACATTCGATCCTCGAAAACTTGGTTTGTTCCATTACCCATGTTTGGCGGATACTCTACTGATCTTAATTTCCACACACACTGCAAGCGTTCATGGAGTTGAGTCGTACCTGAAAGCAGCAACAGACCCTCAATGATCTCCAAGGATTGATCCGCACCCTTGATGGCGACGTCTGCAAAGACCCGTTGCACTCTCTGCCACAGAACGTCGTGGAGAGCTTGATCACCCATAAGAGCGGCCGTGACCACAAGAATTGCCGCCATGAAGTGCGGCTCTCTGCCTGCCATGGCAAGGATATGCTCTGAGGTGATCGGTATTCTTTCATACGGTATCAATGGCATGATAGGATGAATAGAGTTGAGGTAGAAATGGAATAGTCTGCAAATTGTTGCCTCATTTATGAGGCCTTCTCGAAGGAGAAAAAAGTGTGGTCTGGAAGATCCGCTGTCGAAGCCATTCAATTCATCTTCATGGTGCGTGCCTGATGGCACTCGATCATTCGACTTGACCTCGGCTTCGTCTAGGAGTCTTATGGCATCTGATGTATTCCTCAGGGGGAACGTTGCTAGCGTCTGGCTAGCCATCCGTTGATCGTAGGTCGTCGGCTGCGTTTGGCGAGGGCTTCTACTCAGGCAGGGTGTCCTCGTTAAGCCGTCGCCGTCGTCGTTTCCCATGGCAGGTGTGAAGGATGCCACGTATATTGGCCAGGCGGCCTGGCCTCCTCCATTGGCTGCGTACGACAACCTAGAATCGCTGCTAGTGATAGTTGTCGCTGTAGAGGATGCTTCACCAATTCGGATTGCTTGCCGAAACTTCTTCGAAGGTCGACCCTTCCGTCTCCTCTCAGGAAGTACTGGGGCGTAAGCGCCCACTCAACATAGAACAATGCGAGCTTACCACATGTTAAATTAGCTCTGCGACACGCTTTACACGGCCTTTTCGGGTTGGCTGGGTCTCCTAAACTGCATTTCTGTTTCTTCTGCCGGCAATTTTCGCACGCTTGATATGCTCGCTTGAAGCATGGATCTTTGCCAGTCGCAGACTGAGCTGAGTATGTTTCCTTCTCGGGAGACGCTGTGTCAGCTGCGGTGTCCATCGCGTCGTTAATTCGAATGGTCACAGTTGGAGGAAACATTGAATACATACACAGGCTTTCATGCAAGATGACGAGTGGTCTGGGCTGGGCATGCTGGGCAAGCCGAGGGGGGAAAACGGCCGTAATTAGCCGCTCTTTTTCCAGTCGCTAGACTCAATATACCATTCATGAGACAGAAGTTCTTCTTAGAGGCTCTTTCGTGTCTCGAGTCACTAAGTTACGTCGCAACATCAAGCATTTAGACAAGTCAAATCACGGATTGAGGCGCATAATGTTTCACAAGTTCTATCTGTCGTTCAGTAGAATGTATTTACCTGGATCGATGGGCTTGCACAAATTTCAATTCATCACCCGGATCCCGTCTCCAAGAGTCTATTGTAGTCATCAAGTTTTTAACTCCCTCTCCCTCACTCTCATCCGCAGACCGCCCTTTATTCCCTGTAGGAGGCGTGTCATCAGCACTTCGTTCTCGTTTGTGGAAGAAGACGATATCATACCATGTTCAGTCCAGCAAGCGGTTCATACAATCTGCCACTGTCTGATAGATCGACGTCGAAACGTTGGAGAATGGCAGTGCTGATGGTGATACCCTCGTACGTAGCGAGAGGACGTCCAAGACAACTGCGCGGCCCAGCATTCCAGGAGTGGTATTCTACACATGGAGTGTCAGTAAGTGCTCTCTTTATACATCGGGAAAGTGACCCTCAGCTTACTGAAAGGACTGTAAGATATCCCTTCTCCATCCTCTTGAAACCATCGATACGGATTGAAAACAGCAGCGTCTTTTCCCCAGACTTCATGCATCCGCGAGAGGACATAGTTTTGATAACTGACGACGTCGCCTCTATTTGATATTACACGAGGTCAGTCCCATTTTTGCCAGCAACGAGAGTTCAGCGCACTTCTTGATATAGCGTGGGGGCATGTTGAGCTCAGGCACCGCAGGGAGAACATCGTCCTCAGCTGCCTCCAGTTGGCCGGCTGGGGAAACAGTGTCAAGGCGAGTTGTTTCGTCCCACATGGCATTCGCAAAACGTAATTTCTGTTTGAGACACGAAATTCAGTTTAATCATTGTCACTGTTGGAGCGGGCTCCAGCGTTGACCTACAGGCGCATCTCCATATCCAAGGTAGGCACTGGTAAAGCCAAGTTGTTCAGCTTCCGCACGGATTTTGTTGGCTGCATCCAGATGCTGATTGTCTTTATGGTGAATTTCCTTCATAAGCCAGGAGGTTTGGTATGTGGTCGTGTCACCTGTGCCCCGGGAATGTCAGTAGAGAACTCATCTCCGAGATGTCCGACTCACGACCAGCTGAGAGGAAGGAGAACACCATCCCGCCCAAAGTATACGGATCGGTCGTTGATTGCAAGAAGAGGTCCAGAAGGTCGATTCCAGCGTTCGCGTTAGGCTTATAACCATTGCTCATTGCTTCTAGACGCTTCTTTATGAGGCCGTCGATCTGTCCATAGAAGAGTTTCACCGCTCTCTTGGTAATACGATCTTCGCCCGACAGTTTCTCAGTAATTCTCCACAAAGGGTCCCGCCTCCTTCGATCGAATACTGCGACGTTAGCAGGGCAGCTGCAGCAAAGGGTTTGGATCCGGAAGAGGAAACTCACGATGGATTGCTTGATCAAATGCTTCGACATAATCTGGTTTAGACGTGAGACAAACCGGGTTCTCCGACAAGATATCCAGTGCGAGCTTATCCTCATGGAAAGCAATTCGGAGGAAGAGACAGAATATGAAACGTGACATCAGCTCCTGAAAGTCAAACTCCTCCTGCTTCTTTGCCAAATTGGACAAGAGGCTCATGAGGATGTCGAGCCAGTGATGCACGGATTGCGTGATATGAGCTTCGAAATTGTGCTTGCTGAATGCTCTGGTGGCCGCTTTCCGTTGTGCATACCATTCTTTGCCATCAGCAACGAAGATACCGGTCCTGTGAAGCTCCCCGAACATATTGCGCGTGAATGACCCTCGAATGTAGATCTTGCTGTTGTGCTTCTGAATGTGTTCTAGATAGGTCGGATGATTGATCACATGCAGCCGGAAGAAGGGGATTGTCATTTCGTAGGCAGGGCCGTACCTCTCGTACAAGGAGTACCAGGCCTTGCAGCTGGCAGCGCCATGAGTGTCGAGTTCTTGTAGGTTGCCTTTGAATGGTTTTCCTTTGGGACCACCAATCCACTTCGCATTCGCGGATGAGGAGGCCCAGATCCCCCTGTGGCGGTACGTCCAGCATATCACTGCAGGGTTTATTAGTAACTGTTGGGGTCCAGTCGTCGCATATAAGAATTACCGGCGACAGTGAGCAACAGAAACAAGACAGCACACCCAACTATGGCGAGCACCGAGATATGTGAGGGCAGCAGAGGTTGACTGAGCAGAATAGGCATGTTGCTCGGGCCAACAGATCCTTGGTGCTTGTCGATGGCCGTGCGTGTCGTCCAGCTCAAACATGCGACCTATTACAAGTCTTTCCATCATTGAAGTTGGTGCCTCTCTAGAATGCACTGCCTTTATGTCGCGAGAGGATCGACAGAATTGGCCGCCGCATAAGCACCGGCACATTCATTAAACTCAATTGCGGTGATATACTGCAGTGATTAAGGTCCGTAAGTATGCGGACCAGAGTGATCTCCAGCCTTTCTTCCCCACAACCCCGTGGACGTCATCGTTGAGGGGACATCTGGTATCCGAGGTTCAGGTCTCGCAGGAGTGTGAGGGTTAAGAGGTTGCTAGTTCATCAACAACCACTAAGGACGCAAGCATTTGCGCAGCGAGTGTATCACCCTTGGTCAACAGGTGCATGGCCTGCACGGCTGTCCAGGTGTCTTTAGCAATCAGTGTTGTCAGGAGCCGTCTCCTCGTCGTCGCTAGGGAGCCGTCTCCCAACGTCTCTGTGGGGCGCCAAGTGCCTTGGCATGCACTTGGGCACTGTTTTGATGTTTGAGACACGCTCTCAGATACCTACACACGCGATTTTGTTAGCAAAATAACTAACAAGATATCCGACAGCATACTTTCGAGTATCGAGCAATCCTCGTCGCCTATCTTCACTACCGCCACTAATAGGACCCTATAGGAAACTAAGTACCGCCAAAATACGCCTAAGTCGCCTCCAAAGAAGACTTAGTCGATATTCTCTGAGTTTATTATTTATAGTGTGTAATCGACGTATCAGGATAGTCAGGATAACGATTTTAGCCGCTATATCGCCGCCGCGCCGACGCATTAGACAGAGTAGCAGGATACGAATATCTTCCACTGGTAAGAGTATTCTCCTTATCCTGCGCTTCGTCAGTGGGCTTTTGATACACTATCAATATCTACGATAAGTAGCGAACTCGAGCGAGTGTTTAGCCAGGCGAAGAGGACGCTCACAAGCGACCGAAACCGTCTCGCGGCATCATCTTTTGAGGCTATACAATGCCTCAAACACTGGCTCGATCACGATATATATACGCTTACCTAATCGGGTAGGGAGACGGCTCAGGAGACGGAGACGTGAGAGACGGCTCCTGACAACACTGTTAGCAATACCACTGTTTATCAGATCAGGACCCAAATATGGGATTGTAAGAGCCATGGAGTCATGGACTTGGCCACGTGCACCGTCCGGTTCTGTTTTGCAGTCAGAGAAAGAGATAACTTGCAGATCTGGCTGGACATTGCACGACCAGACCACTAGCTCGTTTTAACAGATACCATCCTTCGACAACCATCCCTGACCTCCCTAAGACGAAATCTTTCTCGTTTGAGCACCTTCACCATCATTCCCCTTCCACGGCCAAGAAATGTCTCATAGTAATTATCAATTGTTCGTCTGCTCGTCGTAATCGATTCTCTCCAGACCCTTGTCGTCCCAGATCCTTTTGATGACGAAGGCAGTAGAACCCGCAATGAACATGAAGGCGGTCATGACGGCAAAGCCTGTGATGTATCGTGGGGCATCCTCGGCTGGCCAGATGAAAGAGCCATAAACGGAGGCCAGGTTACCTATCAAGATCAGCAACGCTTGTAATGGAGGTGCTGTTATTAAGACTTACCAAAACCATTGATAAGAGGGACCGAGACGGCCCGCCGCTCTCGACCCGGAAACATTGTGACCTCCCAACTGATCAACAAAGGCACGCAAGACTGCACACCAGCAAATCCGAAACAGATGAAAGCGTAACGGACGGGGAACGACTTGCTAGCTGCGCAGATGATGAAAGAGAGAACTGCAAGTGCGGAGCAGCCCATGACGTGGTATGCTTTCTGTCCAGTATAGTCGGCCGAAAATCCCATGACGAGGTTAATCACCAGTGTGACAGCAAATATTGGCACGGTCATGACTGTGCGAGGGTTGGCATGGTGGTCCTAACATCGAGAAATGTCGACTTACATTGTACCATTCGACCTTTGTAGCCCAATGAGCTCATGAGAGTCGGGAAGAAGTACGAGACCGTACCCGAAGCCAAGATGGTGTTTAGTGAAAGCATGAACAGCTTTGACGATCAGCATCTGCCTCTGGGAGAAATATCATCACCACTCACCCACATCTTCCAGTCTTTGAGGGACAAGGATATAGCCTTCTTGTAGGGCATTTTCGCGTCCAAATCCTCTCGAATGATTAGACGCATTGCAGCTAGTTTTCTCTCCTGCTCGGAAAGCCAGTGGGTAGTGGTTGGATAATCTTTGTACCGTCAGTAGCTGTTCTTGGTCTCTTTATACTGGCACCTACCTGGCAGGACGAAATATGCGACAATACCGACAATGACCGTTCCGAGACCTTCGATGATAAATAACCTGGTTTAAAGTAAGTGAATGACGTTGGATAGACCACTCGTAGTCGTTGTCTCACCATTTCCAGCCGCGGGTACCTCCAACACCATCCATTCCATCGATGATCCCTCCAGCGAGCAGACCACCGAAAGCACCGGCCAAGATTGTACCCGTATAGAAAACAGCTATACGTTTCGACAACTCCTTAGGCTGTGATTCATCAACACAGAAGTACGTCCAGTCATGTGTGGTCACTAACCTTATACCAACAAGAAAGCACGAGCATGACTCCTGGGAAGAAGCCCGCCTCTAGGAAGCCAAGAGCGACACGGAAAGCGATCAATGCGCCGAGGCTGTTAACGCCCTTGACAGCAACCGAGACAGCTCCCTAACACGAGTCAGACTCAAGTCAGAGCAGTACCTCGATATCAAAGTGCTAACCCAGACGATCATGATGGACGGCAAGAAAAGACTTGGCTTAGTCCTCGCCAGCAGCATAACTGCAGGAGGTTCGAACACCAAGTACGCCTACTCGAGAGTTCAGCAGATCAACGTTTCTCAGCGATCCATTCTGGTTGACTCACGACGAAGAAGATGGACAACACCAAAGAATAGCCGGAAGAGGACAAGTTGAGGTCCGTCTGCATGCCTCCGACTTTGGCATTCTGCACCAAGATCAGCCACGATCTGCATCGCACTACAGTAATCAACATACACCAATGTTGGTCCGGTCGAGGTAGTTGAAGATGTACATGACCCACAAAACCGGGAGTAGATGCAAGTCGATCTTCCTGACTAGCTTCCTCTCTTCTGCTGTGCCTTCGACGTACTCGGTAGCAGCCGCTTCAATGACCTTGGGACTGTCATGGAGAGGGTGCTCATGGTGGCTATGCTGGAAGTCTTCTTTACCGTGAATAGACATGATCGTTTGCGCGTGTGACTGGGCGGTAATGTTTAGCGAGTCTCAATGAGGACCGAGCCAAAGAAGAAAGATGAGGTTGAGATGGATACCGAGTCGAGACGAAAGCGAAGTCTTTGTAGGCCACCCCATGGGGACTCCAGGTGGCGTTCTAAGCGACTGATAACGGTTCATTACTGGGCTGAAAAGACCATCATCAGGAAACCGGCGCATTTACAGGCGACCATCGGGTAACAACGGTCACATATTTCGTCTTGTGATCCGATTCTTCGGAGACCAGTCTTCGTGCTGTATGCTAAAGTACCGAAAAGAACCGGAAATAGCCAACGCGTAAGTGGATGTCATGAACGGTTGCAACCATGCAGACTACGGCGCTGTACATTGGGATGGTCAATGGGATCGATTGACCAAGTAGATCTCCTTTGAAGTCAAGAAGGTGTATGCATCTACGAGTTGCTGTGGCCCGCAGAACGTTCTGCAAGCCGGTCCAAATGGTCCGCCAGAAATTCACGTCTGGCATGTAAGCTCCGTCGCAGCGCCTTTCTCCGCCTTCCCTGTTTTTCGGCCATTTCCTCTTCGAGCAGAAATAACAGTCCATCTACGAGTGGCTGGAAACCCTGACCTTCCCTCATGCACGTCGCCCGCCAACACGAGGTGGATGATAAGAAGCCGTGTGAACCAAGACAAATGGTCACTTGATCCAGGCTCTTGCTCGCCATGCTTGGTAGGGCCGTATGCCGTGGGGCCATACCCCGATAGGTAATTACCTGCCAGGAAATGCTGGCTGTGAATCCATACAAGGTATAAACACTAGTATCTGCACTGACAACTGCAATTAAATCGACTTCGCAAGCAAGATTGGGTCGGGCCTAGACGGTAAGGATCATCACGATGGGCTCCTACACTCCCATTCACGACCAAGAGATACACACAATTCACATCCCCGAAGATGTACGAAAGTCAGGCAAACCGACCCTCGAGTTGATCGGCGAGGCCGCCGCCTTTTTACACAAAGATGGCATCATCGTGCTCGACAATGCCATTGACAAAGAACACGTCGATACCCTGAATGCCCAGCTCTCTGCCGAGGCACTTGAGGTCGCCAACGACCCCGACCATCACTTCAACTTTGGCAAGCACACGCGCAACATGGACCAGGCTCCTCCGCCCACCAGGGAGCTCATGTTCAAAGACATATGGTGCAACCCATCTGCTGCGGCCGTTCTAGCTGCCGTCCTCGGACCTCGCCCCGTGATTCACTACGCCAACGGCAACACCGCGCTCAAGGCCCCTCCCCACGGTCGCCAGCCTGTACATTCGGACTGCGAATTCGCGCACCCGGCATATTTCCCGTTCGCGTATGTGGTCAACATCAGCCTCGTGGACGTGACGCCCCAGAACGGCGGGACAGAAGTGTGGATAGGCTCGCACCACGTTAGCGTGCAGGAGGCGCACAACCCGACTGCTGACACCGAGCAACTCCTCACGATCAAGCAGGACCTCGTCGAGCAGCGGCGCAAGCACTCACCGCCCGTTCAGGCCTCCACGAAACGTGGCAGCTTGGTCATTCGAGACTTGAGGCTGTGGCATGCGGGAATGCCGAATCTGACGGACGAGCCACGCGTGATGTTGGCTTTCGTAGCGTCGCCGGCGTGGTGGCAGGGCCGAAGCCAGATTTTGCTCCCTAAGGACGTTAAGGACTTGGTGGAAGAGTGGTCCGACGAGCTGGGCTATGATGCTGTCTACGTTGATGGCGTCGTGGACCATAAGAAGCTCAGGAGTGCGGGCGTGGACTTCGGCTCCAAGAGTAAAGTCATGGAGAAGTACGAGGACGAGTTGAGTCGGTGGCCAGACTACACTCCCCGCTGGTATTGATGGCATCTGGGGTTGAAAAGCACGTTGAATCCATCGATTGAAATGTTCGTTGTAAATGATGGTGAGGTGAACGACATTGTCTGACACTGAATCAGCAGCATCCGCATTCTTATCGTGTCCAAATTGAATAAATATGTACAATGGACGCTCGAAATGCAACGTAGCTCGTTCCTCGATGAAGGCCCCAGCCCTCTATCAGCCCTAACGCACCTCACCGCCCTTTGTGCCTCGCTGTCGTCCTTACCTGCTCAAAATCTGTCAAAGCCATAGTGAGGCTGTTTCCTGCTCTTTGTCGTTGGACAAACGAACTTCCTGTCCAACAATGCCTTCCTCGCAACCAACAAGGACACCGGCCCACGGAACAGACAGTGGCTGCCGTTGGAGGCTTTGGCGCAAGCCCAATGAGTCTGGCTGATGGTTTCCTGGGTCACAAGGCTGTCCCAGTAGCAATCTGTCGCATCGTCGGCGACCCTGACAGCCTCACGCAGCTGGACGCGCTGGCGCTGGCGCCAAACCTTGTAGTCGTACGCTTCATCTTTTGGCGCCGGCCACGAATAAAGCGGCATGAATGCGTTGCAATCTGCTTGGTTTTCCAGCATCAACTGCCACGCGAGGTCGGGGATGCGTTCGAAGGCCGCGTTATCCTCCCCATTCGATCCGCGTCCATGTCTCGGCCAGAATTTACTTCGATATGTTGCCAGCAAGTTGACTACGTCTTCCAATTTGTTGATGCGCCAGGGGTTCCAAAGCCGTATCCAATGCAGACGGGCGTAGAGACAGTGTGCAAGATGTGCCGTTAGCTCAGTATGCGTAGAGCCAGGCGAGTGTCGGTGGAGTCGGTGGTATTGCCACGGGAGAGGAGAGTGATAGTTCCAGTAAGAGGCGCATCCAGCGCAGTGCAAAACGCTAACTCTCTTGTCGGTGTGGGTAACGGTGCCATCTCTATGCCGAACGAGTTGCCGTTCAATGGCCGGAAGTTGTATGGAACATGCATGTTGAAGGTAGAACGTCTCTGGAGGCTCCAACTCGTACTCCAGCAAGTGTAAGAGTGGTTGCTGACGACGCATTTGGATGGATGGTCTGGACGAATGCTGGAAGCTCCGCCGCCTCTCATCGAGACAAAGTCCGGTGCGCTCCAAGCTGCCGATACCCTCTCCATATATGCCTCTCATCGTGAAGCGTGGGTTTGCTTGTTTCAAGGGGCTTCCTATGCTTGAGTTGTGATATCGTTGTCGTGCTACATGCAATGCTGCCTTGTAGTCCAACGCTGGCCCCACCGAGGAAGGGGTGCCCCAGAAGTTCGTTTGCGGGACAGTGTAGATGTGAGGAATTTGTTGTAGATCGGTGTCAGTGAGACCCATGACTTCCTTCGCATACGTGGGTGGAAGGGCAAGAAGGTCGCGCTCTTGCGAAAGACATCGAAAGCAGCACCGCTTGAGTCGTAACAGTTGCAGGATTTCGCCGTGCTCACCACAAAATTCGCATGTCGTTCCGAAGATGACATCGACAGTTTCTGGTACGGTCCACAGCTCACCAGCCGAAGTGGCAAGCATAGCCTGAATTGCGTGAGGAGCATACTTGATAACCGTGCTGCATGGAGGCCACTGCTCGATCAAGGCTTTGGCATGGGAATTGACTGCTCGTAGGCGGAAGAGATCAGTAATGAGCATCGTTGCGAAGAGGCTGTACTGCAGCTCAGTTGAGAGTTTGTCCAGGTATCCAAGGCTAATAAGAGGAGTCTTTGGGGGAGGACATGGCTTTGGCAGACAAAGACGGACTCGTTGTCCGAGCTCTTCAACATTGATGAGAACGTTATTGTAGTCAGGCTTCTTGGTCATGAAGCCAAGCTCCGATGGCTGCATGTCTCCAAGTCTGAGTCGTTTGTAAGCAGCGTGGTAACTAGCGTCAGGCATCGTGTCGTGAGAAATTGGTTGATCGAAGGAATCGAGGGAACAGATCGAGATAGAACAATTGATTGGCAGCACAGCAGATTTTGAGAGATCCGAGCAGTTCGATGAAAGTGGAAGGATAGATCGGAAGAAGACTTGATATCAAACCCCTTGTTTTTGGAGGCACAGGGAACCGTCAGAGGAGAACCTACAATTTTTCGTGGTAGAACCATGGTTCCGAGACCGAACCACAATAGGATTTCCTCAACAATAGGCTGCACCCAGTATATCAATATAAGCCAGATGTGGTCCCTCGATAATGATTGACGGAATTTGGAACTTGTTGAATAGGAACAATGCACAATGAGACCTTGTGCCAGACCTGATTCAAAGCAAAACTGTCGTCAATAGGAGAAGCACAAATGACTTCCCATGCCCATAGCTTGTCACTCGAGATGAGACGATATATGCTGCAATTTGGTCGCATATGCATAGCGAAGTTCGGCTTGATCACAGCAACCGTGGCTAGCAGCCACATATTATTCTTCAAGATGCCCTAAGGGGGCACCTGCAGAAACTGTTTAATTGCAATATCGTCATTCTCGGGAAGTCCTTCGAAGGACTGAACAGCCGAGATGGTAGCAAGTAGGGCAAATGAAGGCCAATGCAACATGCGAAGGTCGACCATGGCTAGCATAGCCAGGTGTTTGAGAAATCAGGATATCATCGTTCGCTCAAACAGAAGCTGCAAGATACAGTAGAAATGAAAGCATGAGAAGCGTCGCTGAATGAAATGTCTATCATATGCTGCACGTGCTTAGGTTTCATGTATGACGTTGCGGATGCAGCTTGCAAGGAAAAAGGACTGGAAAACAACATTTCTCTGGCCCTCGTTACACCAAGATTCCTCTACGCAATCTTCATCTCCACGCGCTTTTCTGCATGATTTGATTCCCTTCTTCCTTTTCTCACAGGCAATCTCAACCTTCACGGTCAATCGACACGTCCTTGTCTATTCAAAAGCCTACAAGATGGTCTACATACGGCAGCGCAACCTCGCAAAGCTGCACGAATACAAATATGCTGGAGTGGACAAATCCTTGGTCTCCAAGTACATCATGAAACCTTTCTACACCCATTTCGTGATCAAATGCTTTCCAATGTCTATGGCGTAAGTACCCCTTCACCTCTTGCTTCAACGACATGTTAACGTCTTTGCAGGCCGAATGCGGTATGTAGCCTGCCAGCCGATGCGCAACTCCAGGACACTAATTGTCCCACCAGATAACCCTCTCGGGCTTCAGCTTCGTCGTCATCAATCTCCTGACCATGCTTTGGTACAATCCCACTCTCGATACCGATTGTCCCCCATGGGTCTATTTGACCTGGGCCATTGGCCTCTTCCTTTACCAGACCTTTGACGCAGTCGATGGATCACAAGCCCGCAGAACACATCAGAGTGGTCCTTTGGGAGAACTCTTCGACCATGGTTAGTCTGCTCAACTGAAACGTATCGCAGCTTTGAGCTAACAGTGAGAAGGTGTCGACGCATGCAATACAAGTCTCGAAGTCCTTATCTTCGCAGCCGCCATGAACCTTGGTCAATCGTGGAAAACCGTCCTCACTCTCTTTGGCGCCGTCCTTACCTTCTATGTCCAGACCTGGGATGAGTATCACACACATACACTGACGCTGGGCATCGTGTCAGGTCCCGTGGAAGGCATTCTCACGTTGGTCGCGGTCTACTTCTTCACATTTCTCAAAGGAGGTGCCAGCTACTGGCAACAGCCCATGCTTCCAACCCTTGGGCTGCCCAAGACTGACCTCATCCCCACCGCTCTGTATCAGCTCGCGTGGAATGAGTGGTACATGGTGTATGGTGGCTTGGTCTTGGTCTTCAACACTGTCTCGAGCGCGATGTCAGTGATCAGGGTCCGACGAGAAAGAGGTCAAGATCCGTATAAGCCATTGCTCGGCTTGTTGCCGATAACGGTCACCTGGATTTTGATCACAGCCTACCTTTGGCTGAACCCGGTGATCTTGCATCATCATCTGCTTCCATTCGTCGTATATGCTGGCATGGTCAATGCCTACTCCGTTGGCCAGATGATTGTGGCGCATTTGGTCAAGGACAGGTTCCCGTACCAAAACGTGCTGGTGGTGCCCTTAGCCTGGGCCGTCATCGATAGCCTGGGTCCAACATTGGGACTTTGGCCCAGTGCATTGGGTAACGACACCTACCAGGTGGCTTTCATGTTCCTGTCACTCGGCCTCGCCCTCGGCGTTTATGGAAGCTTTGTCCATGATGTTATCACCACAATCTGCGACTACTTGGACATCTGGTGTCTGACGATCAAACATCCTTACGTGGAAGCCCAAGAAGTCAAACATGACACTGTCAGCCATCCGTTGGTGGAAGGCAACGGGGAGGGAGAAGTGAAGAAGTCGAAATAATCCGTTTGAAAGAGGGTGATTAATGGATCAAATCTCTCTTTTCATCGTGTCACATATCCAAGAGTGTATGTCTTGTTGTAACTGGTGTCTTCCGTTCTACGATGTCTTGACTCATTGCTCGGCGTTTGTCGCTCATTGATCATGGGGATATAATGGCTGCACCTTCTCGATGGTACATTCTACCTGCCTTTCTACCACCAACCCATCCGACAAAATCCTGATCTATCACACTAAGACCATTGCAATCATGTCACCCGACAAGCACAAGACTGATACCAAGGGAGGAGGAAAGGACCGTAAAACTGGTACGGCCCTTCACAAAATAATACCTGGGCTGCAACCTTGTGCAAAGAAGCATCTCAGATGGGGACCGCTGACCTATAAACCAGCGCCTGGTTCACCTGGCAGTACTGTCACGATTCCGGTGGCGAAGAGCAAACCAGAAGCCTCGACCCATACCTCACCGAACATGTTGCAGCTCGGCGAAGTGCAATACGTTGGGCACAGTTCAAAGTACTATGCGCCAACGACATATCCGCAGCAGATGAACCCATGGCCACCTCACTCGAGCCTCACTCATGGCCAGTGGCCAGGCCAAAGCATGCAAGGGGGTGTCATGAGGATTATGGGAGGAGACATGATGACAAGTTTCCGTGGCGTAGAGACAATGATGAGGCCCGAGGACTTTCTCAAGTTGTCCGATCAGGATCGCAGGGCCTTGGTCACCGCCGGGTACGCCCAATACAACACCAGCAACATCCCACCGCCCCCAGCGCCAATGCAGATTCCATCTCCACCACCTCCCGCAAAGTCCGCCGTCGCAAAGACCAGGGCGCCCACGAAAGCACCAAGCATCACTCCTTCCGAGTCTATCTCATCTGCTCCTGACAGAAAGGAGAGGCAAAAGAAGAAGTGCGTGCTCTGCAGGCAAGCTGAACGGATGCCGGACTTTGATGAAGCCAAGCTCTGCTCTGGTTGTTATCATTACCATGGCTATTTGATGGCGGAGAGTAAGGAGCGCAAGCGTACAAAGTGATGCAGGCGATGATACAGGAAATGCTAGACTGGGTTGCTACACAGGTGCGGGCGTGCAGGTCTAGATACTTGATTCCAGGACGATAACTACCACGACAACGTTGGGCTGGAGTTTCGTGGAGGCTGGCAACGATCTTGCTGCGGGATGTCTACAGACGTCAATTTACAGCACAATAATCAGCAGATGATAGAACACCAGACATTGCAAACCGAGAGTTTCTTTTTTTGGGCAGATTTGTATTTCTCTTTCAATGCTCATGATCCGTAGCTGAAGCACTTTCGAGCCACGCGGCTTGAAGCAGAAAGGCAAGATACCACATTGGCAATGTAATTCTTTTCACCACACTTGAGTCTTTCATGCATCATCACCTACGCCGGGTGACTTTATTTTCGCCCTAGTATGACTGACTGACTGCCCGCAAAGCAACTTTGAAAAAATGTCCAGCATATCCCCAGGCTGAGGACATGGAGGACTTGTCTTGTCGATTTTCCGATTTGACCACACCAAGACATAGCACCCGTCATCGGCTCATCTACCACTACCAAACTTCCAGATCGATGTTGTCGGATTGTTGGGAATACCCCTTGCGAAACCACCGATGCACACATGATTCGACATGGCAGATTATTCGAATGATGATCGTCGTCATTCCCGCAAAGGAACATATCCCGTGACTGTATTGATCTAGTAGCCGAGAGCGGCCAACTTCTCCTTGGTCTTCGAGTCGCTCGACGACTTGGTCGCTTCGGCGTTTTGTCTTCTGGCGATCTTCTTGCGCTCGTAGTATGCGGCACCCTTGACTTTTCTCCTCTCCTCGAGTCTATACCACACGTTAGCACACCGTACCTATACGCAGTCGCCGGCACAACCATCGGCGCCGGCTTGGAAAGGAATGCAGCGTACCTAGCAACAACGTCCTGGTATTTCCAGCCCACCTCGTGAGCCAATCGGCCAACTGTGCAATACTTGCGGCCAGGCTTTAATCTGAGGATCCGCAGAGCTTGGGGCACAACCATGCGCTGCTTCTTGTCGTATGGGGGAGGGACACCCTCGAAGACCTTCAGTCTTTCCAGAGCGGCGGCACCTCGTGCGGTCTTGTGTGGCATCATGCCGCGGACGGTCTTGTAGAAAATGCGGGCTGGTGCGCGGAAGTGGAATGGACCGCCTCGGGTTGGGTTGAATCGAGTGATCTTTCGGAGGTAGGCATGGTACTTCACTGTGAGAGCAATTGTGTTAGTTGTTGATGGTTCTCTTTCATTCGTGACCGCGGAGGAACGTACGCTTAGCACGGAAGAATTCGCCAGAGATGTTGAGAGCCTCGCATCGGACCACGACGATCTTCTGGCCGTTCAAGAGCTGCTTTGCGACTGTGCTGGCGAGACGACCGAGCAAGTGTCCCTTGCCGTCGATGACAACCTGATCAAAGCCCGTGTCAGCCATTGTGCGGTCCTTTCCAAACCACCATTGCGCATCCTGCTTCGCATAACCTTGGGAGTCCTTGGGCGGCACTTACGACAGGCTCGAATGTCGACATCTTGCCCCCAGATCAGCTGCAAAGAGTCGATGGGGATTGAAATCGCAGAAATTGGCGAGAGTTGTTGGTTTTTTTGTCGTTGGTCAAACAACAAGTTTCTCAATAATCGAGTTCGACGTTCTAAAGTGCATCGGCAGGTGCGGTCCAGCGATTGTGTGCCATGCCAAGGCCGAAGCGGAATCTCGATTTTGGCTTTTGTGAATCCTTGGCAAAATCACGTGGAAGAAGACCACTGCCCGGTTGAACCTCGGCTCAATCATCTGTTCAACAAAAAAGATTTCATTCCAACTTTCGTATCACATTATTATTGGCGGTAGGAAGCTTTGGACTATGATACACATGCGCATGAGGCTCTGACGATGCTTACCGAGTCCTTCATTGCAGCCACCCTCACTGCAAATAAGGCTGTTGCACATGCCAGCGCTTCACTCAAGGATGTAGGCATTTTCCTCCATGAATTCCAGCCTCAAAGTACATTCCGTCATGGTTACAAGAAGAGTTCCAGCCGACCGGGCTGTGTAGCCACCACTGACTCTCACATCTTTGCTGCCCAAGCAGACAAGGCCGTCGTCAATGTCTACAGCCGAGAACGTGGAAATCAAGAGGCGACTGTGCCCTTCCCAGAGAGAATCCACAGTCTTGCATTTGCTCAGGACGCCGCGATACTTGTGCTTGGGACCGAGGGGGGAAAGCTCATTCTTTGGGAGGTGGCCACCGGTAGATTGACCACGTCGGCTGCCGCACACCTTCAGTCGGTGTCTTGTTTATGCATCACTCCTAAGAACGAATACATCATCTCAGGCTCTGCTGACTCAAGTCTCCATGTGTGGTCCTTGCTGAAACTTGTGTCCCTCCTGCAACCAACCGATAACTTCCAAACCCAAGAACCATCCAGGTCGCCCATACATACCTTCTCCGGCCACAGGTCGGCTGTCAGTGCAGTAGATTGCGGTCATTCTAAGGTCAACACGAATTTTGCCGTGTCAGCCTCCGACGATGCAACTTGCCACCTCTGGCATATACAATCTGGCCAGATCCTGCGTACCTTGTTACTGCCTTCTGCCGCAGTTTCCATCACTCTAGATCCGGCGGATCGGGCTATTTACTTTGGCTGTAATGATGGCCGAATCCAATCTTTCGATATCTTTGGGCAAGCACAAGAAGAGAAGACATCATTATCCGGCTCTGCAGGGGCGCCCGCCATAGAGCTAAGAGACGGCGATAGCTGGGTTGCCCCAGCCGCCGACATAGGAGCAGCCCGAAGTCTGACTTTGTCTTATGACGGGAGCACACTTCTCTCTGGACACCAAAATGGAGCCGTTGTCCGTTGGGATGTGGCAAAACACCGCATCACAAACGAGATCACAAACCTAGGTCAACCTGTCACACATATTGAGATGTTTGAGCCAGAAGGATTTCCCAACCGATGCAAGCCACGATCCACAGTCGTCAACGTCGTCAAACCGAATTTGGAGCTCACCTCTTCCATTGACCACGGCACGTGCGGCGTTCCTGCGAAGTACAATCTTCATATCAGACAGTCTGCCCAGAGACCAGGGGTTGAAATGGATCCTTTCGAGCAGGCTATTTCAGGATCTGGGTTTCCTCAAGCCATGTTGGACGAAGCTTTGCGATCCATCACGGTTGGGGAGCAGGGCAATCTCGCTCCTAGCGTAAATGGCGGCAATAACGCGAAGGCGGACGGGCTAGAGGACGAAGTCGCTCGGCTGAAGCAGCAGATTGTGGTTCTGCAGAATGTCGAGCAGAAACACAGGCAACAGAAATTGGCAAAGATGAAAGTTCTGGATGGAATAGATCTGGAAAAGAGAAAAGCATATTTTGAGGCCAAGAAGAAAGGCGAAGACGGCGATGTAGCCATGAAGGCATTCGAGGAGAAGAAGGCTCTAGTCGAACTCGGGAGTGATGAGGATGACTCTGATGATCATATGGACGTTGGTTGAGCCGCTGTGGAGGTATTCTCTGCACATTGGGAATGAACTACTGCTTGCTCCGGCCAAACTTCGTATCTGAAGCCTTATTGTCTTCACGATTGCCCAACACAGAACTGTTCGTCACGCGGGGCGCAAGGCCACAGTAAGCACAGCGACGAGACATCTGCCCATTGGCTGCTGCTGGGGGTTGCTCTCAGCATCTAACGTCCGAGGATGGCGCAAAGACATACTTGAAGTGCACCCAACAAAGTCAGATTACTGGCTTACCTTCACGATGACGGAGCAGTTACCCACAGACAAACTAGGAGAGGACGACAAGCTGGCCTTGGATTGCACATGACGTCCCAGGGTAGGATGCATCCGAATCTAATTGCAGGAGTGCTCCAGGGGAGGATGCTCCCCAGCATTTGGGCTTGTAAAGGAAGCCGAGGTTGGATCCAGTCTACGACTGCTGGATGCTATCAGACGCAAGCTCAACACATCGAGCCTAGCATGCAGAGCTTACCATCTCGCCCTCATGAGCGCGTGCAGATTTGCACCACGGCTGAGGTCGACAGGACAGACTTGCAGCAGACGGTGAGGTATCGATCAGTAACATCCGCGGTGTCCACACCTTCGACGAAGGACCGATTGTGTGACTTTGCTGAACGGCGTCAACAGGTCTGTAGGAATTCTGTAGCCTTTTGATGTCATTTTCAAGAATGGTACAACATTGTATACAGAATTAGAGCAGTAGCTCTGAGGTGTTTTCATGATGAGACTGTAGGTGGAAAAGCGTAGACTGGGCCGAGAAATCCATCTTGTCTTGGCGTGAATTGTCTCCGCGTGAAAAAAAGTTCTTGGTTGCAGTCGTCAAAAGACCTCTGCACATACTGTACCTGTCATTGCTCACACGTCGAATATTGCTTCAGTCGCAAGAATCTCGAGCGCATCCTGCTCGAGTCTGCGCTGATAATCAATTTGCATCACGGTGTCCTCTAGATCCTTCACGACGCTCTTCACTTCTCCACTCCGCATTTCGATCCTTGCAGCCGGACCTGCACTTGAGCCTTGCTCGAAGCCAGTCTTCTCGAAAACCACCGCGGTCCTTTTTACCCATACTTCACAGAAGCGCGGCTACGCTAAGAGAAAGATGCCTCCTAAGAAAGCGGTCAAGGAAGAAAAGATTTTACTGGGCAGACCAGGCAACAGTCTGAAGAGTGGTATCGTATGTAGGAAACGCCCGCAGCCTCATTGACACCCGCCAAAGAAGATGGGGACTGACAAAATTGCTTGCTCTAGGTTGGCCTGGCTAATGTCGGCAAATCTACACTGTTCCAAGCCATCACAAAATGCTCGCTGGGCAACCCTGCAAACTTTCCTTATGCGACCATAGATCCTGAAGAGGCCCGGGTTATTGTCCCCGACGCTCGGTACGATTGGCTATGCGACCACTACAAGCCCAAATCACAAGTCCCTGCCAATTTGACAGTATATGATATCGCTGGCTTGACTCGAGGCTCTTCGACAGGTGCCGGTCTTGGAAACGCATTCTTGTCTCATATTAGGGCGGTTGATGCCATCTTCCAAGTCGTGCGATGTTTCGATGATGCCGAGATCATCCACGTTGAGGGAGATGTCAACCCAACTCGAGATTTGGACATCATCTCTGAAGAGCTGAGGTTGAAGGACATTGAGTTCGTCGAGAAAGCCAAAGAGAATCTGTCGAAACAGACGAGGAGAGGTGGACAAAGTCTGGAGATGAAGAAGTTGAAAGAAGAAGAGGCCACTGTTGACAAAATCCTGCAATGGCTGCAAGACGGCAAGGACGTCAGGAAGGGTGACTGGAGTCCAAAAGAGGTGAGTTCGTGCCGTGTCCAGCGCGCCTTATTCCCTACTATGATGAACAAGAGCAAAAGCTCTATAATCCCAGCTCTCCGACAGCAGTCTCGCATAATCTCACGTTAGAGGCTGTTATGAGAGAAGAAATTCCAACCCTGACACTATACATTCATCACCCACTCTCTACACCGCACAAATCTTGAATGTCTGCTGACAATATGGCAAAAAGGTCGAAGTCATCAATCCCCTGTTCCTGCTCTCCGCCAAACCAGTGGTGTACCTCGTCAACCTTTCGGAAAAGGACTACATCCGACAAAAGAACAAATACTTGCCTAAAGTCATGGAGTGGCTCAAGGCCAACGCTGCGGGCGATCCGATCCTGCCCATTTCTGTGTCATTCGAGGAACGTCTTGCCGCCATGTCCGATGAAGAGGCGGCCGAGGAATGCAAGAACTTGAACACCAAGACAGCCCTTCCCAAGATCGTCGTCACAATGCGTCAAGCACTGAATCTTGCCAGCTTTTTCACAACAGGTACAGATGAAGTTCGGCAATGGACGATACGGAAAGGAATCAAGGCACCTCAGGCGGCCGGCGTCATTCACACTGACTTCGAAAAGACTTTTATACAGTGTATTGTCTACAACTTCGACCTGCTGAAAGAATATGGAAACGAAAACGACGTGAAATCAGCAGGCAAGGTCATGACCAAGGGCAAGGATTATGGTAAGTTATCTGTTTCTTGATTTTCTCACGTTACGAGTGCTAATTCATTTCGTGTGCAGTCGTGGAAGATGGCGATATCCTTCTCATCAAGGCTGGTGCAGCGAAGGCTTGAGCTGGTCCCACCATTCGCGATTGAGATGCTCACTGTTTGATTCCGGTGAAGTTTGAGCATTTGATCATGGTATCCTCAGAGATGTCCTGGATTCCATCAGAAGCCTTAACATCGCATCGTTGCGCTACGAACAAAGAGTCGATATCCCCCGAAAGTGCTCGTAGAAGCATGCCACCACCGTTCTTTCTATGCTCGTCTAATCTCGCGACCGTCTCGAACAATGATGCCCTTGCTTTCTTTACGCTCTGTTGATGATGCTGTCATTGCCTTCTCCACACGCACGGTCAGACCGCAGAGCACAGCCCGATCAAGTCTTCCCATCGAGCACATATCCGCCATATCCGTCACCACCAAAAGCTCGCTCAACCTTCTGATCCCACCCTTCCTTCTTCCTCAACCACTCCCCACCCAACCACAACCTAATACACGTATCCCTGGGTTTCAATTGCGGACTCTCCATCGGCACTAGCTTGTAAAAATTCTCGTCCAACCCAGTAGGCTCACACGAACACATTCTCCCCTGGCCAGGTGGCGGACAATGCCTGGCAATATCATGCTGATACCCAATATCCCTGAAGAACCACACGGCGTCCTTCGGCGCGAACAACGCCAAACTAAGCGTATGTACCGGCGCATCGCCGAACCTCGAGTAATAGAACCCGCCTGACCGATCCAACCACTGAAAGAACTTTCGATTGGGTTCCGCGCGGAAAAAGTCCAGACTCCCTATCTCGAAATTCGAAAAGAACTGGCAATTGTTGTAATCCAGGCCTGTCGCGGGATCGAGTAACCATTCCAGGTCGGCATCCGGGTGAATCAGGTCAGGGTTGGCGGCGACAAAGTCGCGTATCACTACCCAGAGGCCAGCAAAGCTACGCGCATCGTCGAGGATGTCCATGTTGAAGCCATACACCAACTCGTTCTCCGCGAGGAAGGCGAACGGGTCGTAAGGGATGTCGCAGAAAAAATGCACGTCAGGCTCAACGCGCCAGTAGTATTGATAATCTGCTAGTGCTGGGTGGTTGTAGAAGAAGCCGCTGTTCCACCTTATCATCGAATGCTGGATGTCGTCAGGGAGGTGGCTCTAGGAAAGGCTAAGAGAGTAGACTCACATATGACAGTAAGTGACCTTTACCCACGCCCACAGTGCCCAAATAGTCAAGCGAGTCCATGTATCTGGTCTTATCGATCCAGTCCGGCGTCGCCCAGTGCTCGCGCGGCACGACTTCATAAAACGTCGGTGCGTCCGTTGCATTCGAGGTAGCTTCCTGCGTCAAGGGGTGGTTAGCATGGGAGGACTCCTGCACGACAACCAACTGGAGTGTACATACCTTGAAATTGTCGTTGAAGGGCGTCTCAGAGAAAAAGATCCAGGGGTAGCGGTAATTGCGATTCCAGTGGAATTCCAGCTGGCGCATGCTCTGCAATATGCCGTCCAGTTCTTCGTTGCGGACAAGGCTGATGATGGCGGCGCGTGGTCGGGATGTGTATGAGTTGGGCAGGTGAGCGTTTGGTGATGAGTGTTCCTCCAGCCAACGCACGGGGTCGTGTTTCTTCTTGCTTTGTGTCCCTCTGGAGTCTACCGGTCGCAATATCTCTTGTAGATTCATGTCCTCCCGCCATCCTGAAGGCAGGCTCGAGAGAAGATCATGTTGTCCTATGTGGTACCAGAGTTGCAATGAAAGGATGAGTGCAGAGATAACAAGCATCCATCTCCAAATGGTCGGGCCTCGAGGACGAAGTATACTGGATACTGGTAGGGTTGCGGCTCGTCCCTGTTTGGACCAGTTCCATCGTGACGGTGAAGGTTGCGTGTGGATCCAGGTAGATGTTGGTGTCTGGTTGGAGACATTAGAGATCGAGTCTGATGCCACAGCTGCCGATGATGAGGGTATACTGAGCGACTGGGAACGCGGATGAGGCGGCGTTGAGTATCGAGATGAATCCATTTTGAATATCGGGTGAATTGTTGAGAAGATCGGGCTGTGCGCTGGGCGATCAGTATGAGTGGTCATCCACCACCTCGAAGTATAGTTTTAGTAGTTTCTTCTCGAAATATTTCTTAGTGGTCACTGAAGAGAGATGCAAAGTGAAGTCGGTGCAGCACTGGAATTTCTGTTCAAGGATCCTGTCACCATAACACAGGATACATGACGGTCATGTCTGAAAGTCTCATCTATCCCATCCTATCTTCACCTGGATACGCCGCGCTGCCAGTAATACAACGAATTTTGACCCGAAGCCTGACCAACTCGCATGGGGGTATAGCACCTTTGTACGCCTTCACAATGCCTGAACACTCATTACACTCACATGGCCATCTCATCCTGATCCCCCGTTGCGGTATCAACGATATGAAGCATCTTAGCGAATGGCACTATGATTCTTTGAAGATCGCGATGTTTGCCTGTGACAAGTCAGTTGATTTCCGTAAAGATGGACGAGCAGATACGTACCGAGAAGTAGGACCACGTCCTTGAGAAGATCTTCTCGTGGCCAGCCACAGATCGTCTTGGAATCGTCTTGCCAATTTCGTCCTTCCACAACATTCATCACAGCTGCCGCACTCTCGCCATTTTGCTCTGCTTGCTCAACGATACCACCAATAAGAGTCCGCAGGAGCTCCTCGACTTTCAATCTCAGCCCTTCGGCCCCTAGCCGTTTCGCATACATGAGTAAGTATATCCGAAATTCATCCTTTGCACCCAGCATAAGCGCTGCGGCTATCCGATTTTCAAGGTGTGCTATCGAGACTCCAGATTCGAAGCTTTCGAAGCCTTCCCTTGACAATAGAACCTTGATCAACCGCTGCAGGAAGTAAGCCCGACCACGCAGCAATGTCTCTGAAGTCGTGTTTCTTTCCAGCCACGGCACGATACCGGAAGAGACATCAGCAGTCCTTTCTACGTCGTTCCTTGCTTTCGAGGACTGAACGTTGCCGACAGAAGAGTCTGTGGTATTCCAGTACTGACTGCCAACAGCCCACCAGACTTCTGACAAGCGCTGCCAGCAAAACATTTGAGGGGAATACGCATATCCATCTCCGTTGGACAGACTGACAATGATTCGTCCTTCAGAGTTCAGACGAGCTTGTGTGATTGCCGGCGCACCTGTAGGATGGGCTGCAAGAGAGTGAATTGCCGCGTCCAGAACAGGTGCCAACGATACTGGAGGGTGAGGCGATGACATTGTCTTGACGTTCCACACATAACACATTCCGACCGCCGTGGTGCAAAGCAGCCAGGACTCGTATGACGCCAGGATGACAGGCTGAGCTTCCATGACCAAGGCACTGTTTAGTCGTCGACCGTGCGGTGTCCACAAGTATATGGAGCCCGTCTCATCGGCCGCAGCCCAGAAGCTCTGGTTCCCGGTGACGAGAAGAACCGGTCGAGGCAGGAAATCCTGCCATAGCGGCTGATCTTTCCTGGCAAGTGTGATCCGACAAGGCTCGCGATCCTGAGCTCTCGGTGTCAAAGATGGCCCTGAGGGATTGCGCGCCTCAAAGACGAATTCCGCTCTCAGCTTGCCAGCGCCATCGCTGCCGACATCGCTCGGCTTCCCGGAGGCGTCGATTCCTTGCACGATCTGTGTTCTGACCTTCGGAACCGCAAGTCGGACTTGACTGACACTCAATGCTGGATTCACAACAGCAGGTCGTATAAAGTCCGGTGTGACTTGCTGCCCACTTACAGCCGGTTGTGGTTGTGCTGGGAGCAACCCATCAGCGCCGTTAACAACGATGGGCGTAGCTCCTTTTTGACTGGCGGCAACAACTCGTTTCTCGGTAGTGCCTTCTTCTTCCCCGTCGATTTGGGCGTATTTTCGCTTATTACCAAGCAGTAAAGCTGCCAGACCACCCTTGGGGAGGCCGTCAAAGGGTTTGGATAAGTCAAGGATTGACTGAGGTGCGTCAATCGCAGCTTGAACGTTCGCAGTGGCGCTAACAAGTTTCGTTTGAGGTAATGAAGATTCAGCACCTCCAGCACCAGACATTAGCAGAGGCCTTATCCTCTTTTTACCATCCTTTGTGATTTCGACTCTATTCTTGAGCCTTTCGAGTTTGGCCTGGTCCTGATCACCTTGTGCCTTTGCTGCCGCCGTCTGTCCATTGATGGTGGTGTCGTTTCCATTGGGAAGCGTCTCGGTCGTCGTAGTACCGTTCGTAGTTGCCGCCGTGCCTGCTGCTGCCGGCTGCGTAGAGTGCAGGTCGCCCATTAATGCGCCCATTCTCCCTTCCACGCCCTTTAGCTCGCCAGCCTTGCTCATCTCTTCGAGCAACAAAGCATCCGTCGTCTCCGGGAACCCCAGTCCTTTCCTTGAAGTACCGAACTTACTAAGTGACCGATCATTCTCTTCAATAGGTCTTGGATACCCCAGCTCGCCTGGTTCGAACATTACAGTCAGAATCGTACCATCTAAGGCAGTCGCAAAAAGTGCTTGGCCATCTGGACTCCAAGTGATATCGCAAATAGGCTTGCCTGCGACGTCTTGTTGTACGACGAGTGGTCGAGGACTGCTGGTGGTCCATATGCTTAAGCACTTGTCGGCACCTCCACAAGCAATGACAGTGGTATGAGGAACAACGTGACCTTCAGGATGTGACCGATTTGAGGGTTCCGCTCCGTACAGCCTTGGTGAAAAAGCACATACTTCCACTGGCCCTTCATGACCGATCAAAGTGGTGTCACCGTCCCAGGTTCCACGATTGATGATAGCGATCGCGCTCACCGGTCCGTTCACCGCATTGGCGGCCGCAATGTGCTGACCGTCTGGCGCCCATGAACATCTTCGGAAGTATGTCGTAAGGGGAGAGTTGACAAACGGTTGCGTAATTGTGTGCTCGAGTATGAAGTTATTGACCGCATCGTGGGTCGTGTAGTTCTGGGTAGGCGATGTGAAGCGAAAGATCTTGATGCTACGGTCGTCGCTCGCAGTCGCAAAATACTTGTTCGCGGGGTCGAAGGTGATGCCTTTGACATGGCTAGCATGGTTTGGTAGTGTCTTGAGTTTCTCGAATGTAAAGCCTGACCACACCACCACTTTTGAGTCGAGTCCGACTGATACCAATATCGTACCATCATAAGACCAACCTATATCCTGGACGTCGTTGTCATGCCCAATGAGTCTGCGAAAAATGCGCCAGTTCTCTACCGGAGGGGCCTCGTTTGAACCTGTGTGACTTCTCAGCGCAACGTCCCCTGGTTTACAGCCTCTTCAACGAACCAAATGCGGCATGACTCGGCGGACTAGGATCGAGTGTATATATGCAAACAATCTTGTCATCCGCGCCAGAAGCCAGGAATTTTCCCCCAGGCGAAAAGCGAACCGTGTGGATCGTGCCAGAGTGGTAGCTCATCGACGCCAACTGCTTGGGTTTGTCATATTTTGCGTTCGCAGCGTTGTAGATCGCTTCGGTCGACCAAATCCGCACATGACCGTCTAGAGAAATCAGTACGCGATGGCACCTGGTTGCGGAGGGTTTGCGACATACCACCGGCTGCGGTGACCAGACGTTGGCCATCCGGGGAAACGTGGCAGCTGTACACTTCAAAGTCCTTCTTTTCGCCTGGTAAGTTTGTTCGTTAGTCTCGGGGACACTTCTTTGAGGGGATGCGACCAAGTTGACGCGGTTTGACACGCGTATAGGGACTGTGGTCGTTGGGGGATGTACCTCCGTGGGTGAGCCATATTGGCTTGATGATATGCATCGCAAGATTATCTTCGGGGTCGTCGGGCAGGCATTGCGTGGAGCGAGAGGTGGCTGTGGTTTGAGCGACGGGAGGAAGAAGGAAGTTATCACTCAAGTTTATGAGCAGAGGAGGAGTCAGGCATGAACGAAATGTCGAATCTTGTGGTTCGCGAAGTGAAGTCTGCGTCGCCCGCAGTCTCAAGTGGCATTTGACCCCTTCATCCCAGGTTCAACCAATAAACACTCAACTTCAACGGGGTGTTGCATGGGCGCGAGAACGGGAATTTGAAAAGCATTATTCAGAGTATGCTCATTATGATATTCTTCCTAGTAGTACTTTTTGGAGCCTATGCTAATAGTACACGCAGACGCCGTCGCTGCATCGTGAGTGAGTTGAACTTTCTGAACTCGGACTTCGAATAATGAATGCCCGTGGTGATGGATCATCGTAATCTCATCTGCGAGACTGCCTCGTCTTCTCGAATCCCTCAAGGACGGTCTCAGCAACATCTTTGGCATTTCCATGTTGAGCGGCTTCGATCACACGCTGTCCGACGTCCTTGTGAGCGTTGTTATCAGATTGAGCAGACGCCTTTGCCGCACTGCTCCTCGCCTGACTCTCATTGACCTTGCCGTAGACTGCCATTGCACTAGCAATCATACCGCCGATATCTCCAACATTGCCAGGCACTATGATTGCAGTACCCTCCTTGGCCAATCTGCCAAATGCCTCGACATACTTATCCGCGACGCTGAGGCTGATAGCGTTCTGGGCACTTGTCTCGCCTTGTTGAATCGCCTGCGCAACGGCGTCAATGCCGCGTGCAGTTGCCTGGGCTTTGACCAGGATTGCTTCGGCTTCACCGGACGCCATGTTGATTTGCTCCGCCTTCAATGCTTCAGAAGCCAGGATGACAGACTGTTTCCGACCTTCAGCTATGTTGATCGCACTTTGTCTTTGACCTTCTGACTCCAAAATCTCGGCTCGCTTCGATCGTTCCGCAGTTACTTGTCTGTGCATAGCTGCCACAACGCCCTCCGGTGCGTGAATGTCTCTGATTTCGTATCTTAGACATACAACACCCCACTCCTGCGCGGCTTCATTGATCGCCTGAGTAATGTTGTGGTTGAGATTCGCTCGCTCCTTCAGGACGTGGTCGAGTGTGAGCTGGCCAATTTCGGACCGCATGGTCGTCTGCGCCAGTTGTGAAATAGCATACTCTGCGTCTTCAACTCCATAGCTGGGGATTCTTTCTTAGCCAGTGCCCTTCTTCTCGGCTTCCCACATCACAGCTTACCTCGCCTTGTATGCATCGAAAACTCTTGTATAAAGCACACCATCCAATTCTAGTGTGACGTTGTCTGCGGTAATGGCGCTCTGGCTTGGGATTTCGATAGCCGACTCTTTCAGAGATTGAACGTAGGCGATGCGCTGTAAGCACGTTAGCAAGGGCAATCTTCAAGAAGTTCGACTGGGAGACATACATCAATGACGGGCATAAGAATTGCTAAACCGGGTTCTAGAATCCGGTTGAACTTTCCCATTCGCTCTACGATCCATGCAGTCTGTTGAGGCACGAAGCGGATGATTGTGTTCGCTGGTAGGCTCGTCTGCCTCTGGAAGTATGTGGTCGGAGAAGATGAGCCGCCGAATCCCAGTCCTGGAGGTCCAGGCAAAAGTGAAGGTGGACTGCTCGTGAATTGTCTCCGGCTCCATACTGCCATAGGCGAGCAGACGAGGGCGGTGGAGGAATGCTCGCCATGTCTCACAGCCCGCGATAGGCGAGGTGACCGTCGAGGCAGAGATCGGAGCAACGACCTTGACAATTCCATCTTGTTAGCTGCCACACCTTTCTAAAGAGGGTGAGTGAGCAGGAAGAGTGAAATAGGCGGGCAACTGATGAGGTGAGGCAATCGCCGCACGCACCGCACTTGCACTTTCTTTACGCAAGACAAGGCTGACCAATCACTTCGCTTGGAGAGGGAAACAACCTCAGTTTACTTCCGGGTGAACACCTCGACGTCTACAAGTGAGACAATTAATACAATTGTCAATTCCTAGACTTTTACATCTTGTGAGTCAGATCTACCAAATTCTCATTGGTGATCCCATCGTGCTGCTTCCTATTGTGAGATGTGTTGCATTTCCAGATTGTGTCAATCGTAGTTCTTCCTCTTGCTTCTCGTGCCTCTGCGTTAGCTCCAGACATTCGGTGGTCTACGTGATCCCTTTCAGATCCAGTGGCCAGAGCTGATTTATGACCGTTCACACCCCAAGCGCTTGAGACAGCAAATGCCGCAGGCGCTGATGAGGTATGAGTCAGTGGTGTCATTTCATAAGCTTCGTACACGAAGATCAACCATCTGCCGTCCTTGTTGGAAGCTGGATTGGGCTAGCCACGCCTTCATTGAGCACACTACGAAGGCAGCGTCCAGTTCACCTTTGTCAAGCATAAGACGTTTACAGCACTACTTGTGTTGCGAGAGTTTGCACAGAAGCTGTATGGTCTGATATATTCCTCATCGTTTAGTCTAGTCCTTACAAATCGCATGAAGCAAAGGTATCTTTTCTCCTTTCCCTAGAATGTACATATCTTACAATGCAACACATGCTGCTTACAGGGCATTGGGCTCCGCAGGCTTCTCGAAATTGGTGTCTCCATCCGAGCTGAGAGTGTCCCGATGAGTGGGAACGTGTGAATGTTCGACGGCGTGCAAGACATCTCGCGACACCTCGACATAATCATCTGTGGACTGTGTCAGTATCGAGGCTCATTCAATTTTCACGGGCTAGCTCTGGGTTAACTCACAGGCAAACTCGCCGACCTCGGTTTCATCCATACCCATCATCTCCTCTTGTTCAGAAGCTCGTAGATGAAGACCTGGAATGAAGTTGATGACAAAGAGAATGAGACAGCTCATCACAAAAGAATAGGCCATGCCGGTGACCCCATCGCAAAGCTGGTAGGCAAGCTGGATGTAGTGATGGTTGATCCAGCCTCCGGCGATTTCTGTAGCTCCATCAAGATGAGCAATGTAGTCGGCAGCAAAAAGTCCCGTCAGCAGGTCCCCGACCAATCCACCCACTCCGTGAATGGCGAAAATATCGAGGGCATCATCAATGCCGAACACGAACTTGAGTTTAGTCGCGTAGTTGCAAGCGACACCTCCGACAACACCGAAAATGACCGCAGCCCAGGCTGGAACGAAACCACTACCTGGGGTGATGGCAACCAGGCCAGCAATAACACCACTGCAGAAACCGACAGTCGACCATTTGCGCTCAAGGCGATAATCAACGAGACACCAAGTAAGTCCACCAACACTAGCAGCCAAGTTGGTGACGACGGCGGCCATAATGGCCCGGAGGTTGGCAGACAAGGCACTACCGGCGTTAAAACCGAACCACCCAACCCAGAGGAAAACTGTGCCGATGACAATTTGGGTAACGTTATGGGGACGGTAGTTCAATTCGTGGGTGCCATGACCGTGACGCTTTCCGAGCATCAAAGAGTAGGCTAAAGCAGCGGAGCCGGACGAAATGTGGACAGGAGTGCCACCGGCAAAATCGAGGCCACCCATCTTGTAGACCCAACCGGAAGAGTTCCAGGTCCAGCAAGCAATTGGATCGTAAACCACTGTGGCCCAGACAAAGGAGAAAACCATCGCGGGGAGCAGGCGGCCACGTTCGGCAGCGGCACCGACTGCTAGAGCTACCGTGATGGCGGCGAACATGCCCTGATAGACTGCGAACAACAAGTCAGGAATCTTGCTAGAGCCAACCGAAGGCGCACCGAGCACATTGCGGAAGCCAATGTTCTCCAGGTCACCAATAAATTTTCCGGCGGTATGGGAGAAGGACAGAGAGTATCCCCAAAAGAACCATTGGAACGATATCAAAGCCGTAGCTGCGATGGAGAGCCAGATGAGTGACAAGGCGGACTTGCGTCGGGCTAGGCCAGAGTAGAAGAACCTGTAATGGGACGTTAGTTGCATGTCAATTACGCGATGTGCAAAGAAGCTGCATACCCGACGCCAGGAATCATGAGCAAGACCAAAGCTGTGGAAGTGATCATCTGAGGATGTGTTGTCAGTAAGACGTGTCGGTAAAGACGAGTGTATCTTGGAAGACTCGTGCTTGAATGGCACAGTCTTTCAAGAAGAGAAGTACTTACCCAGGCGATGTCGCCCGCATTGTAGTAGATGTTCAGGTCTTCAGTAAGAGAGTCACCCCCAGTCATCGAAGTACCATTGTAAGGGTAAAGAGGTACATAAGGCAGCGAGTCTAAAGAGTCTGACATTTTGACGTCCGTTTACGACAGTGGTCCGGGTGCTGTCAGGCTGCGCTCGGGATCCGCCTATGCGGGAGTCGATCAGGGGAGAGGTCCGGGGAAGATGCGATTGAGGGTCGAACGGGATCACTTTCGCTCGAAGATTCGAGGCAGGCTATTGTCGTCTTGTTATCATGCAATGGAGGCAGATGAGAAAGAGAAGGAGGTGAAAGAGCAATGATATCGAAAACAGAACGGGCAGAAGAAACGAATATACCAAGACGAGATTCCGTATTATTGGGTTCCACTTGATGAGTTTGATCAGCCTGAAGCGTGTGCCACAGTTGTCCGACCCGAGACGGACGGCAGCGACAAGACCCTAGTCTGTGGTTAACAGCGTGGGAGTTTGGCGAGATGTTTGAACCCTCGAAGAGATGTGTGGAGTTCGGATGGAAGAGTCAGCCCTGGACTAGTTTGCAATATTGGGTGAGAAGAAGGCTGCAGAACGTATGGAGTACAGGATGATATGACGAATGGGATGAGTTGGGGCCATCGTATCTCGGCCTATTTTCTCTTGTCTGTGCTACAGGAAAAAGAAAAAAATAGCCATATGGTGGTCTTTGCGTCTCCTTTGGCTCACCTTGAATTCTGATATATTACCTTGGCGATGATGAATTGGTCGCAAACAGGATTCTCATGTTATTCATGGCCCTCACTGCAACCCTTTGCTGCTTCGTGATACCCTCGTCCTGCCAAGTGCATATGATGTCGAGGAGGAACAGCTTCGCATTGATGACTGCAGCACGCCTTGCACTCACGGCAGTGTAGCGAGGAGGTCTCCCTGCAGGTACTGTTGCCAAGATGTTGGAGAGAGAAACCTTTTTCTTCGGGGCGTGATAAGTCTCATGATGCCTATTGGTTGGATCCTGCCGAAGGTCGTGGGAAGCCAAATTGGCGTCCTCCGGGCGCCACAGAAATCCACAGATAAGCGTCCCCGGCACTTGTCCTCTTTGGGATTTTATTCTTCATTTCTATGACTGTTCTCACTTTTCACACCTGGAAAGGTATCTCAGCCTTGCCATCACCCTTGTTACTACCAGTATGGTAACCTTGTCCTCCGTACACTTTGGGGCATCGTTTTACGAGGAGGTGAACTATCCCTCTTTCTCCTCGTCTGGCGTTGAAATAGCCATTCCTCGATCTACTTGGCTGCGTGCAACAAACCATGATCATGGATTCTTGGGTAGTGTCCACGTTCATCTGCAGCATGCCACCATGGCCGCCTCCAACGTTTGTTTCAGCCTTGGCTTCTGGTTTCCTCGCCCACCTGGGTCGTTACTATTCGCGGTTGATCATTACGCCTATTCCATTACTATACCCGGTCAAAGTATGCTAGATCGAATGCTATGACTTTTTCACGCCATATCGATGACCTGAGATCAAATGGCGAGCACACCATGATTCAGTCTACGTGCCGATTGTTCCGGCCAGCATTCGCAGCGCTTGACCATTGCTATCTTCCTCTATGGACGATGTTACTACGTGAGTGCAGTTTCTTTTCGCTGAATATTGCCTCTGAAAGCCACACAATCATGCTCCATGCACATGCCTTCGGAAACTCCCCCCACATGTCCGTTGTGTTAGAGTGACAGAAGCGTTCATGCGCGACTGTGTGCCTCTGCCCCGGGCTCGTCTGTGGCGATATTGAAAATACTTGCAGATGTGGTTCGTGAGGGCTTAGTCAAGGCTTCCAAACCATGCCAGACATTGGGCATGGGGTCTCCCTGATTTGACCAGACAAAGTCGAGTTGCGGCCTCAAGGCCGACCAATCTCAACCAAGTCTGAGGGTTGAATTGGGAATAGAGACATTTTTTGGGGGCCATCGAGAATTATAAAAAACTGGCAAGCCCACTGCTAAACTGTCTGCAGCAGCCCCGGAAGGCTCCTTATCAAAGGGGCAGCAGCATGTTGACGTGCTGCAACGGCAACTCGGCTCGTCACATTTATTTATTGATGAGGGTGGCACTCGTACGTGAATGAATTGGACGTACCACCAATCATGCACTGGGGATGTTTTCGGCGCATATTGAGGCTCTGGGAGTTTCAAGAGGGGCGTGGTGTCTCGGGAAGTCTAACCGGGGGCCTGGAAAGGAAAGCCGGGCATCAGAAGAGGCTCAAAACACGATCATCATGGATCGACTTGTAATTATGGCTGCAGGAAATACTTCCTGAAGCCGATATCCGGTAAGCGATGTGGTCATCATATATCGAAATAGGAAGCGTCGTTCTGCCCGTTATCGTTGCATTTTCACGAATGAATTGATGTAGAAAAGCCATCAGGCCAGGGACTGTGCAAACATATAGTCAAACCGCTGCCTGCAATTGATGTACCTGTAAACTGGGTATAGAAATTAAGGGAGATCTCCGTAGATGGTGGGGGATTGTTGTCCAAGTTTCGGGACGCTTCAAAGTGGGAATGACCAAGTCGAAGTTGCGATGATCTGCCCCGGTGCCATGGTCGGATAGAATAGCCAGCAATCAAGTTGCGCGCCATACAGGAATGGCGACAAATGGATGCGTCCACAAGTCAATTAAGTCGATAATGTGATCCAGATCCCGGGGCGTGGCTGTCGACACCATGATTTAGGTCGACTTTGTTCATTATCATCAGGTCTTTCCGGCGATTGAGAGAGCATTCATCTTCTTTTTTCACCAAGCGAATATTATTCTTCCCTGGAAAATTTATGCGCTATTGCCTCAAGGGGATGCTGAAATGCATTCATCCGTGGCGAGCCATGGCCTGCTGGCGTCCAGTCAGCCTCTTCATCAGCCACACCTAACCCTCGATCCCTCTGCCGCAGCCACCGAACCTCCTCTTCACCATTCCATGTTACCTGTCCAGACTCAAACTCAAATCCTCGCGCCTTCACCTGTTCGTCCTCTCGCCTCCAGAGTCGGCCCTCGAGCTCCAAGAAGTGAAGAACAACGTATTGAAGAAGGTCGATTACCACCAGTCATGGAGCACCAAGAAATGCCCATCCATCGCCCCAATGGTTCATCCTCTGGCTCCGACGAAGATATCACGCCTCCTTCCGGGTATGCCTATTCCAACCCGTCCTACGACACCTCGGACGGCACTGTAACCTACACACCCACTTCCTCCATCTCTGCATATACTCCTTCTAGCAGTTTTTCATCAAATCTGCCATCTTGGAATTCCTACGGACCTAGACCAAGAGGTGGCAGTGGCGGTCCTCCTCCATCAAACATGGATCGCTCTTTTTCAGGAGAACAACCTCCGCCGACTGACCTGCGTTCTTCGCGGCCAGTAGGCCCCTTGCGCACCCCGTCAAATACCTATGCTCCTCCTCGCCGCCCTCTACAATTATCCTCGTTAAACTCGAAACGCATGCACTCGTCGCAGGCAATGCGTAGCTCCAGAAGAGATCCAAATGCCCAATACAAGGCGCAAGAGAAGGCTTATGTTCAACGAATGCGGCAACAACCTCCAGATTGGCTGGAACATGACCCTCGAACGCCCAGCATTGGTTATAGCACCGATGATGAAACCGACGAAGAATCACCTTCCACCGACCACCCCTTTGATGACCCCTATGATCCCGAGACATTGATGTTCTTGGGTAACGAAGATAATGTGCAACCATCTGGAGAGGAATTACAAAATCCGCAGAACCGTGAGCGGCTCGAATGGCATTTGATGCTTGCTTCCGTCCTCAAGGGCGACGTAGTCAGACAGGAGAAACAGCGTTTGATCGGAACAACTGAACAGAAGACAAGGACAGAGATTGGTTCAGAGATCTGGATTGGAGTCAGAGCCAAATACTATGGGCGGCCATTACAGATGCAGAAGAAAATGATCGAAGAGACCCGTTCCAACCTAGGCCCTACGATTGAGAGTCTTATTGCCTTCGAGATCAAAGGCGAGACCGTGGTTGGGAAGTCGCCCATGGAGCAAGTTGAGGAGGCTGTATCCAATATCGAAAAGTGCGAATGGGCATATTCCTCTAGAAGAGACCTGGGAGCATCTCAGCCGCGGGCGGCAGCAGATGCTTTTCGAGACAGCTGCAACGCCATTTGTGCATGGCACAATATCACTCAGTCAATCAACACCGAGATCGCAGTTTTACAGGCATGGGTTGGGAATCCAGAGCTTGACTTCACAAAACAGAAACGTCGTTCGAGTCACGACGGAGATTTGTCTGATGAGTCTTCATTCATCGATCGAATCCTGAAGGAAGATGGGCTCAAGTCATTGCAAGGCGACAAGAGTATGTTCAAGGGCATCGGCGAGGTCATTACCAAGGCCAAAAGCACGCTAATACAGAATGCCGAAGCATTTGCAGCTCGACATCTGCCTCCTTATATTGAAGAATTGTTGACTTTGATCAATTTTCCTTCGAGGTTAATCCAGGAGATCATTCGCAGGCGTTTGTCATATGCGAGAAAGATGAAGGAATCAACGCAACAGTCGATCATGATCATAGACCAGATGATCTCACAGTTCCAGATTTTGATGCGTCTTGCTTGTCTGATTAAGCGGCAATATCTTGCAATTTCGCACCCAGAGCCCGGATGGGATTTGCCACCATGCATCGACGAGGCATTCGACTCGGGCATTGTTGAAGCCCTGAAGTTCTACTTCAAAATGCTGAATTGGAAATTGGGTGCCAACAAAAACACTTTCCGTGAAGCAGAAATTCTCGAACAGGAGTGGGGCTTCTCGAACGAGATCGGACGGCAGCTCGAAAGCGGTGATATTGAGGTTGCAGAACAATTTAGCTCCCTGACAGCAAAGTCGCTCCTTCGGTTAACCGCTTCATTCGAGCGGGAACTGCGATCCAAGCCTGACGAGACGACTCAAGAAATGGAAAAACGATACAAGGCGATCCTCGATTCGGTGCGTGTCCGGCAACGAAAGCTGTTTCGATTTTCACGAATTCTAAGGCAACGCTTCGAGAATGCAACCGAATTCAACCTATCCATGGACGGAGAACAGATGCTGGGCTTCACGGAGTCACTTATCATGTCTGGTCACTTTCTCGTGGACATGGGTCCGAGCAGTCCGAAAGGAGTACATTTCATTGCTTCTCCTTCGTTGTGGAACAGGCCCAAGGAAATACAGTCAATACTGGGCACATCTTTCCACGCAGACGATGCACCGGAAGACCCCTCGAACCCGTATATCTTGGTGATGAGGCCAGAAGACGACATGATTTGGGAAGGACAACGTATGGACGTCGACGTCCTGGAACTCCCCAACGATGTCAGACTGGGCCGCCTTCGACTGGTCGCGGACGGCTCATCTCTTCGTCTTCAAGGTGCTCGGATGGAATTTGCCAATGCGATTGGTCGAGAGCTTGACGTTGTTATTGAGCAACGAGCCAACCTGTCGCGGGTCAATATGGAGCTCGGCAAGATCAAAAAGACAACCTTTAAACTGTCAAACACCATCATGGAGAGTGTCGAAGTTGTGCGATCTCAAAACGGCGGAATTGCAAGTCCCGAGCTGGTTCAGTCATGTTTTGCTTTTGCCACAGAATTCGGGAAGAGGTCCTTGACATATATGGATGCGAACCGCAGAATGATGAACAACTTGAAGCTTACCAGGTTGGCGTTGGATTGGATCAGTTTCATCTGTGATGACTGCGATGCTGCTGATCGGAGGACATTCAAATGGGCTGTTGTCGCGTTGGAGTTCGCCATGGCCATGACTCGCGGACGGAACATTCTGGACATCAGTGAAGAAGATTACAGACGGATCAGGCTGAAGGTCGCTGGCTGCATGTCAGTCCTCATCTCACACTTCGATATCATGGGCGCCAGATCGACGTTAGCAGCACAACAGGAGAAGTCAAGGATGGAAGCTCTCAGCGGTATGAACAAGCGGCTGGACTTCAACAAGCTACGGAATGACGAAGATTGCCGCAAAGAAATGTGTGTGGAAAGGTTGGCACAGTTGAATGCGATTGACCAGACACGAGAAGAGCGTGGCACCAAGACGTCTCTCGGGCGTGTGTTGGAGGGTTCGAACGAGGCCGATCGATCGCTTACTTTCCTGTCTGCATCCGCGACGAACATCACCATGAGATGGCAACAAGGGCAATTCGTGGGTGGTGGAACGTTCGGTTCCGTCTATGCTGCACTCAATCTCGACACTGGTACTTTGATGGCTGTCAAGGAGATCCGTCTACAAGATCCGCAACTGATACCGACCATTGTCAAACAAATCGGCGATGAGATGGGTGTTTTGGCTGTTCTCGATCATCCCAATATCGTGTCGTACTACGGTATTGAGGTGCATCGAGACAAGGTGTACATCTTCATGGAGTACTGCTCTGGAGGTTCGGTCGCGGGACTGCTGGAGCATGGCCGCATAGAAGACGAGACAGTGATCATGGTCTACGCCCTGCAGATGCTGGAAGGTCTTGCATACCTCCATTCGGCACACATTGTTCACCGAGACATCAAACCCGAGAACGTCCTCCTCGATCATAATGGCGTCATCAAATATGTCGATTTTGGCGCTGCGAAGATCATCGCGCGTCAAGGGCAGACCATCATGGCTGCAGAGCAACCCGCAAAACGGGTTCCAGGTGACGGTCCACATGGTCCGAACAACGCAGCAGTCGCCCGACAACCACAGAAGACGATGACGGGAACCCCTATGTACATGTCTCCTGAGGTCATTCGAGGCGATGGGCCAGCAACCTCTCGATTTTCTGGAGCTGCTGACATCTGGTCACTTGGCTGCGTGATACTCGAGATGGCCACAGGGCGCCGTCCTTGGTCGACATTGGACAACGAGTGGGCCATCATGTACAACATTGCACAGGGCAATCCGCCGCAAATGCCCACTGAAGATCAATTCAGCGACATGGGTATTGACTTCTTGAAGAAGTGTTTCGAGCGGGATCCTGCTAAGAGGAGTACAGCAGCTGAACTGCTACAGCATCCGTGGATTGTCGAAATTCGGAAGTTGGTGGTGGATGATGCTGATGCTCAAACCCCCAGAAGCGACTCTAGTGGAGGAGTATCTTTGGTCAGTCGACAGAACTCTTCGACAATGTGAGACATGCAAGTTCTATCGGGAAGGCGACCTAAATATAGCAAGAGCCATGGTGTTCTACCCTTTGACAACGCAGTCAGGCAATTCTGCTGGCTACACGTATATTTATATTCGAACAAGCAAATGCATTCTTCATCCGGCTGACCACCACGTGTGATCCGTGCCTTGTACCTCTGTAACGATCTAGTAGTCCTGTGTGGCCTTTGTCAAAACCCCAACGAGCCTGTGCTTCCGCGGTGCCCGGACAATTCCATTACGGGCGGAAATATTGGAACGAGTCTGACGTATCCCGTTTGACTTTCCCGGGGCCGGGGGCGTGTCAGCCGAGTCTTTCCAAGGCAAAAAGAACAAGCGAGACCAGTCCAAGATGCCGTACCATCCAGTTCACGCGGTTTCCTGTTCCTTTCCCACATCCAACATCCTCAACCACTGACTAGTACTGTATCTTGTTCTCACTTCACTCGTTTGCGTGAGATCAGCATTTTCTCCATTGATTAACCATCCCTCCGGAGTAATGGACTGACTTTCCGGCATCAGCATCCCCACCAGCGTCTTGGTCTTCATTGGGGTGGTCTGCCTGTTTCATTCTCATTATGCCCTCGTGCACACGTTGCTAGTCATGGCCCGTACAAGACCCAGCGACGCAGATCCCTTCACGGACAGCGCCGCCATACACGACGAGCGAGATGCCATTGTCGAGTCTACCCTAAGTGTTGGGCGCAATGCGACCCTCACATTAGGCACCGATGCGGTCATTGTGCTAGGTTTGAACACTCCTCTTTATGAACGCTGGGCCATCTCTGATACCTCTGCGCAGATGAAGGACTCCACCGAGACTCGGGCTTCAACTGCTTCGGCCTGCTCCCTCAGAGTATGTGTGCTTCCTCCTGTTTTGTGAGCACACTGACAAGATGAACAACAGAAACCACCAGCACACACACGGTACCCTACTTCAACGTCCTCTGGGCTGAGATTGTCAAGGGCGATCTCACCATCCAATATGCGAGACCGACTTCGAAATCCGCACAATCCCCCGTCCACGTCGCATACGTAAACTACACGTTAGAAAATTCGACATCCGCAGAAGAGAAGGCCGCACGTTGGATAGCGAGGCTATTAGACCGGGCGTACGGGCGCGCCCAACGCAACAAGAGAATTAAGGTACTGATCAATCCATTCGGTGGCGCGGGCAAGGCCGCCAAAATCTACACAAAATCCATCGAGCCCATATTTGCTGCGGCGCGGTGCGAAGTCGACGCTGAGCGAACCACACATAAGGCCCACGCAGTGGAGATCTGCGAAAACCTGAACATCAACGCCTTTGACGTCGTGGCGAGCGCTTCCGGCGACGGCCTGCCCCATGAATGCATCAACGGGCTCGCAAGGAAGCCCAACGCAGCAGAAGCCCTACGCAAAGTCGCAGTCGTACAATTGCCTTGCGGCACGGGCAACGCCATGTCCTGGAACTTGACGGGCACGGCTGAGCCGAGCACAGCGGCGCTGTGCATCGTCAAGGGCCTACGTACTCCACTTGACCTGATCAGCGTGACGCAGGGGAGCACCAGGACGCTGTCATTCCTGTCACAGTCACTAGGGATCGTAGCCGAGAGTGACCTGGGCACCGAGAACATCCGGTGGATGGGTGACGCCAGATTCACGTTCGGGTTCCTGGTGCGATTGCTGGGCAAGACGCTCTACCCGGTCGAGATCGCGGTGAAGACGGAGATTGAAGACAAGCAGGCCATCAAGCGACATTATGCCAAGCAAGTTGCCAAACGGGCACAGGCAGGCGGACTAGCGCAGCACGATCTTGACGGACCCCTGGACACCTCGACGAACTTGGGTCTGCCACCGCTGCAGTACGGGACGGTGAACGACCCGTTGTCCACATATGCAGGGTGGTCGCCGATGACACCCTACCCGAACCTAGGCAACTTCTACTGCGGGAACATGACTATGATGGCGGCGGATGCGCCATTTTTCCCTGCCGCCCTGCCCTCGGACGGTATGTTAGATCTGGTCACGATAGACGGGGACATTTCGCGGATGCAGGCAATTGATCTGCTTCTGTCAGTCCCCAAAGGCACATTCTTCGACAAGGAGTGCGTGAGATACCGCAAGGTGAAGGCCGTGAGGGTCATGCCGCAATTCGGGCAGAAGGCGGGACTGGAGCAGAATGAGCGCCGACAAAACACACTGGGCAAGATGCTCGATCGGATCGGCGCTCAGGGCAACGGGCGCAATGCGTCGAGGGACGGTGGGTACTTCAGCGTTGATGGCGAAAAGATGCCCTTTGAACCGTTCCAGATCGAGGTGCATAGGAGTCTTGGGACTGTCTTGAGCAAGAATGTCGGCGTGTATGAAGCTATTGGACCCAAGGGCTGGGAGGATCTGGATACTGCGACGGGAGAGTGAGGGCAATCAACGTCTCTGAGCAGAGGATTTGCCATTCGCCTGAGTCTTCTTCGGGGCCCGGTAAGAAGACACGAAGAAGCATGCACAGGATAAAAAGATGATGGTGTTCGGGATGAGACTTCAGTCTGGCATCTTGGTTTTGTGTTTTGGGAAAGTGACATTGCTCATTATATCTCTTGTCAAATGATACCCTGCTACGGCTACTGCTACTGTGCTCCATTCTGCCATGGTGGAAGGCGCTTATATAAAACAAAAGTATATCTTGAACAGGTCTACATTGGCAACTTCTTAGAAGAAAGCTATCGTTCTGATCTCGATGCTCTCACGAAGCGGCGCATCAGGTGGTGAGTTCGGATCCTCGAATGCACTGTGCCCGACGAACCGCGCGCGTCCATCGGTCTCGGAGTCGTATGTTTTCAAGATAATGACGTCCGAAGGAGTCATCTGGGGGAAATACCACCACTTGGGCTTCGGCGAATATCGCATAACGTAATTTTCGCCGATGCGATCACGATAGTGGAGGTACAATTTGAAGAAATCGTCCATGGGTGCCGAAGAGACATCGCACATGGCCAGTGGTCTTTCTTGGACCGTGTGGTGCAGCGGCTTCCACACATTGAAGAATGACACCCGCCGAGAAAGGAGTTCATCGGCCTCGTCCTTCAGCAGTTGGCGCACACGGACGGGGCCAGACTCGGCCGTGTAATCACAGTGTACCAGCATCACTGGAGCTCGTTGAGAAGTGTTGGTTTCTTGAGTCAATCTTTTGGCTTCATTCCGCTTCGTCCGGATGGTATGATCAAAGACAAGAACACGCTTGGCCCCAGTGGCTCCCTTGAGGAAATCCACTACTTCTGGGTAGAATTGTTCCCGAACCGACTCCTCGATTTCCCAGCCCGCAAAATCGGTCTGAATCTGATGGAGGGAGAAACCCTCCTTGTCCACCGAAAACGAATCGGCTCGAGACCACCCGTCCGTGACTGGCAGTTCGTGTGGATCATCCCCAGGCTCGTGGATGTCCTTTGCCGCTCCCGAGTCGTAGAAGTACAGCTCAGTGCGCTTGTCAACGTCCTTTGTATAATTGAAATTAGCGCTAACTGTTTTGGCATTGGCATTAGTGCCATTGCTGGCACCGTTGGTGCTGGCAGCCTTACCTGGCAGCAACGCCTTGTCGACCGCCGACTGAGTCTTCTGCCATTCAGGAAGTTCCTCAATCTGCTTCATCCAACGTGTAAGGTGGGTGTATCGTTCCAGCGGAAGTTGTTGAGCGGCGTGCAGATGCATTGGTGAAGCGACGGCGACGTCAGCGATAGTGAGACTGTCGCCAGCGAGCCACTTGGTCCGAGACAACTGTTCCTCTAGGATTGCGGCATGTTTGTGCCATTTTGGTGCTTCGCCATCGATGACCGACTGGTCTGGTTCTTCTTTGAGCAGCGGTTTTACCACAAATTCCACCAGATAGATGTAGCATGAAGGAAACCAGACGGAGGTCTCCCAAAGAAGCCAGCGGTTGACGAGGCATCGTTGCTTTGCATTCTTCGGGTATAACGAGCCACTGTCATCGGCGGCATACTGCAAGATGGCATTGGACTCGGTGATCTTCAAGTCTCCATCAATTGCAGCAGGGACCGTGCCATGTGGGTTGATCTCTTTGAGAAATTCGGGACTCTTGTGCTCGCCAGTGAAGTAGTCAATGTGGTGAAATTGGTATTCTGTGCCCAAAAGGCCCAGGCCAGCCAACACCTTGCGACTGTTGACCGTACAAGGATCGCAATAGACTTGGAGCATGATGATTTGTCAGGAGCTAAAATGGCGTGGTAATAGCCATAGAAGTACTTTCCGTCAAAAGCGACGCCACAGCTCCAAATCAATCTTCTGGGTAAAACTCGAGCATGATATAAGGAAGACCAAGGACCCTTTACCCCGCCTTTGGCGGAGGGACTCATTCGGGGCGATGGAAACCTATCTTTCGTAAGTTTATATCTCAAATACCTTCGGGCAGACGGCTATTGGTCTCCGACCTCGTATGTTGTGATGAGCAGCAGGGCTGTCGTGGGAAGGACGACGTAGCCTCACTGAGACATGCGAGGGAGTGGGGATCGTGCACCGACTTTCGAGCGGGCGCGATCGATTCTGGAGTTGATCTCCTCGCGAATCCTCGGCTATCTCCAAGCATACCACTAAGAAGACGGAAGAACCTTAGTCGTGTTCAAGACGTGCTCAAACAGGAAGAGTGTAGCCGCTCGAGAAGACTGTTGTGCGACTCGAATGCGGCCTGTTAGTGGGTCGATTACGCCTCCGTCCCCGTAATGCGGGGATATCCCGTTTAAGCCTTTCGCGTGGGGGAATGACGTGGGAGTTCCTCCTCGAGAGACTATCCCTCTTATACTCATTAACTCGCTTATGTCAGGGATATTAGGTCCTTAATTCAGGATCAATGGTCTTGCGCTACCACTGAACAGTGGTGCAAGTGGTCCGATACAATGACGGGATGTATGAAACGTACGCTCTAGATTGATAGATGAACCCTTGCGAGAAACGAATTTCTTTCTACATAACGTGAAGCCGCTAGCCTACCATACACGAAGATCCGCGGCCTCTACAAGATGGAAGCATTTCAGATCTTATAGACCCCTGTTAATCATTCTAGGCCCAGCAATATACCAAAAAGCCTCTTAATGCACTGCATGTGAAGGATCTACAACTTGCTTCTCAGGTTGGCCCGATTGTCCTGCTTGAACAACACCTTCGAATCCGGGTAGGGATCAAAAGTGATATCGTTCAGAGGATTGATCTCGCTCGCCCGGTGGAACATGTCTTCGTAGACCTTCCCGTCATACCGTCCAAGAGAGCTGTCGAGTTGCCAGTCCGGGAACTTCCAGGCATCGACCAGTCTGACAGCGTGAGGTCGAATTTCTTCAAGCAGCTTCATGACAGCCTTGGTGCGAGCAAGCGTGATTTGTCGGACAGTCACAGCAGCGGAAGAGTAGAACTCTGAAGCCTCGCTCTCTAGAGTGTTCAGAGCGTAAAGGTGGAACAGTTTGTGGAGGAGGGAGACGGTATCGGGATCCAGCTGCTTAGTGGTGTTGGAGTCGTTGAGTGCCTGGTGGAAGTTCTTGACGATCATGTACTGCGCATGCGCGGTGGATAGCCGCCAGAAGTCCACGAGCAAAGAATTCCACGACTGCTTGTCCTCATCACGATGTCGGAGAGCCTCAAAGGTCAAGAAAGCGACACGCCAGGCGAAGGCAGCAACAAGATCGTCGTCATTGCCAAGCACGTCGAAGGCGGCGCCAATGTCTCTTCGTTTGATAAATTCCGTCAAGATTCGAGTAGTATCGTTGTCTGCTGCCTTGCCTTTGAGAACGGCACGGGCAGACTTGAGCAGATATCGGCTGACTTGTTGTGTCAACATGTAGTTGTCGCCTTCCCAGGTGACGGTCGGTAGATAGTCGGCATACCAACTGCCAATACCTGAGAATGAACTGTAACCGTGACCTCCGCAAGCTCGGCGGCAGACCTCGAGACCTTCAGCAGCTGTCGTGGAGGCAAGGGCTTTCAGAGCACAGCTTGTGGCGTGAAGGTCTGCGAGGAGATCGGTACCAGGGTTGAGTTCTTCTGGCCCCGGAGCACGGTTTGCGTCAGAGAGCTTGCCCACATCATCCTTCATGCGCTTTTGGTTCTCGTCATACAGTTGAATCATGCCCCGGCCGGTGAAGTGGAGGGCGTAAGTGGCGGCGAGAAGAGGTAGCAGTCGGATTTGCACCATGGTGTAATTCAGAACTTGGTTCTCGCCTGGCTCGTTGGCGGGAGCGTCGCGGTCTTGAAACTGTCTTCGGACAGCGCAGTATCGAGTCGCGATTGTGACACCGCGGGCGAGAACGGAGCCCGACTGCAGGACGATGTTGCTTCGGACCCAGGTCAAAGTGCCATAGATGAGCGACGGATTTGAAGGACGGACGTATTTGTTGGTGTTGGGGTCGATTCGGGAAAATCGTGCAAGCATGTTGATGTGGGGTATCTTAACATTCTTGAAAAGGAGAAAACCATTATCCATGGTGTTATAGCCGAACTTGGGGCCAATATCACCCACATGGACGTTGGGAAGAGGCTCGTGGGTTTTTAGGTCTCTGATCTGAACAACGAATGGGTGAGGGCCGTAGTTTTTGCCATTGATGTATAGCTGTGCCATGACGACGGCGTGATTGGCGGCTTTTCCAAGAGAGCCAATCCACCATTTTGAGGCTGTCAAGTGAGGAGAGTGCAGCGTGAAATTTTTGTCATCCGCATTCCAGGTAGCTGTGGTCTCCAGACCTCGTACATTTGAGCCGTGACCGAGCTCAGTCTGGGCATAACAACCGATGATCTTATAGGCTTCGGCCTTTTCGAGGAAGATTTTGTGTTGTTCGGGAGTGCCTTGTTCTCGTAATGTGACGAGGAACATACTCGCGTGGAGGCCGTAGGGAGTGGGCTCACTGATGAGCTCGTTGGCAGCCATGAATTCATCTCTGGACCATTTGTGTTCGACTTGCAGCTGTTGAAGTCTCTTTCCCTTTGCCAACGATGCTTCGATTCTTTCTGTCCTGCCGCTGAAGTAGTTCTGGGATTTGTCGAAGACCGGCTCAGCTTGTAAGATCCTCAAGATCCGGTCGTTCCGCTCAAGTATCGCTTTGGTAAACATAAAGCCTGCCAACTGGTCGACATTCAGGTTTGACTTGGCTCGTTCTTGCGAAAGGAGCTCTGAGCCCTGAGGGCCAGAAGGCTTGAGAGCCTTGACCCATTCTGGATTGGAAGGCATGTTGATGGTGGTGGTAAGAGAGGGTGAGGTGGAGGGACTGACCGAGAGGAATAGAGATCTGTGAGAAGAGTGACCCTTTGATTATATCACGAGCCTCGGGGAAAGGGCGAAGGCGCAGAAGAATAATAATCGCATGAGACGCAGGGACTGAAGGGAGTGTTGTGGCAGAATGACATGCTTGTGCTTATGCTTGTGCTTGCATGATGCTCACAAAAGGGTCAAAGTGCCAGTTGCCTCGGTAGTTGCCGTAAAGGGACTAGCGTCCATATCAGTATCATCAACTTCGTGCGTAAGACAAAAACACATTCTGAGAATAGCCGTCGCATAACCCTCAGAAGACCCTCAATCGACACGCCACTTCTCCATCCAACTCGCTTTGCCACTCTGGAGTACGATGAAATACGGAGGAGCCCTCCTTACGGGGCCGTTCTCGAGCCTCGGCTGATCAGAGATTGCAATTGCAGTCCTACATGGTAGGTATGCCTGCGAAACTGAGTCTTGCCCCCAAGAGAGCATTGCTGCCGGGCACAAGGCTGCACATATCGAAAAAGACAGAGAGAGAGTTCTACTTGATATCACATGTGATCGGTGTCGTGCCCCGGCAGAACAACCCTCACTCTGTCGTCAAGAGATCGATCATATCCTTGGTATTCAGAGTAGAGCAGTTGCCTTTGTAGAGATTGTCAATACCGTTCATTTCATTCATACTCGATGAGTGCATAGCGGAAAGTGCCTGGAGTTCCAACTCGTCAATGAACTCATTCACTGTGACTTGTTCCTGACGAGGCTGCCGGTGATACGATTAGCCGAGGATGCGCCGGGTCTGATGCGCTTCTCTTTTCGTGTAACCCTTCACACGACACATGTCATCTTGCTGAGTCCACACAGTATGCCTACTATTCCTACATTCATTCATGAGAGATCATGACCATCCTCCGAACAAGACAGGACTCGGTGAAGAGGAAGACGTGGAACTCGCAGAGATGCCCTCAATCCAGGAAGATACATCCCCCAACGCACCTCTGATCCGCGCAAGGGAAGACGATGATAATGCGCTGCACGATGGACCTACCACTCCCTCGGCCCTCCAGCACTCCGGGAACGCGTTTATATGGGCTTTGACGGTAGCAGCCTGCGTCTCCGGGCTTCTATTTGGCTATGACACAGCCTCAATAAGTGGCATGCTTGTTTCCATCGGCACAGATCTCTCCTCGCGACCTCTGTCCAACCTTGACAAAGGCTTCATAACCTCCTCTACGAGTTTCTTCGCCCTCGTCGCGAGCCCAGTCGCTGGCAGCCTGGCCGATACAGTGGGCAGAAAGAATATCATTCTCTTCTCGGACGGTCTTTTCATCTTTGGCGCATTATGGCAGGCATTCACAAGTTCAGCATGGGGCATGATACTCGGAAGAAGTGTCGTGGGCTTCGCAATCGGCGGAGCGAGTTTGATTGTACCATTGTACATAGCTGAACTTGCTCCTGGTCACCTGAGAGGCAGACTAGTAACCGTCACGCTTCTCTTCATCACTGGCGGTCAAGTCATTGCGTATCTTGTGGGGTGGGCCTTCTCTACCATGTCCGGCGGCTGGAGATGGATGGTAGGATTAGGAGCAGCCCCAGCAATCGCCCAGATCGCTATGCTGGTCTTCATGCCAGAAACACCACGATTTCTGGCAAAGGCTCAAAAGGAGGTCGAGGCACGTGCTGTGCTTGCGAAAGTGTATCGAGGCATGGTGCCTGACACATCCGAGCTCATTGCCGAGACCATGTCGGCCATCAAAAAGGAAATCCTCGAAGAAGAGGAAGCACACGTCCAGCTGAAAACTTCCGAATCTGGATCATGTATCCCTCCTACATTGCATTCGCTCCTATTACATCCACCACACGCTCGAGCCCTCGCTATCACTTGCATTCTTCAGGGTTTGCAGCAGCTTTGCGGCTTCAATTCACTCATGTACTTTTCCGCGACCATCTTTCAGCGACTGCGCTTCTCGTCGCCTACCTTGACATCATTGAGCGTCGCGGGCACAAACTTTTTGTTCACTATCGCCGCTTTTCACCTGATCGACCGCGTCGGTCGACGGCGGATACTTCTGATCACCGTTCCGCTAATGACGGTTGCGCTAGTACTCTGCGCAACGGCTTTCTCGTTCGTAGAAGCACCACAGCAGCATCAGATCAAGGCACCGGAAAGCAATGCCGACACGATCCCGAACACCCGCTTGCCTGCCATTGGGATTCTCGTGGCCATACTTCTGTACGTCTCGACGTACGCTATGGGTCTAGGCCCCGTGCCCTGGCAGCAGTCCGAACTGTTCCCCTTGAGCGTCCGCTCACTGGGCTCAGGTCTGGCAACCGCTACGAATTGGGGCTGCAATACTGTTGTTGGGTTGACGTTCCTCCCCATGATGGATCTTCTGACTCCAACGTGGACGTTTGTGTCATATGCGCTCGTCTGCTTGATTGGATGGCTGATCATCTGGCATATATACCCGGAGACCATGGGGCTTGGGTTAGAGCAGGTTGGTGATTTGCTCAAGGACGGATGGGGAGTCAAAGAGAGCATGGATAGGCTTAAAGCCACGAGAAGATCTAGACGGGCATTGGAATAGAGTCTGCTTATTGGATAGATGATACAGATAGTACATCAAAAGCTGCTCGCGCGGCACGTTTCGGTTCTACGCAACAGCACGTCTGTCGTCCGTCGGAGCCACGCCAGCCGCTAAATCGGCCGCAGCCTTCTTCCTTGCCATGCGACGCTCATGTTTCGCTTCCCTCCTCTCCTTTTCTTTCAAATCCCTCTCCGCCAGCACAATCTGCCACAGTCTCTTTCCCAGATGGGCATGCTTGCGCTGCTGATCGATGTACTTGTCCGTGAGTTCGTTGTCGGCATCAACAAAGGTCTGCCGCCATGTTGCCTCGTGGTTCTTGTTCCGGCCCAAGGCTTTTGCATCGTCAATGCCGTGACGCTTGCTCAGGATGTGATCCCAGTCATCTTCGCATTCCGCCAGGTGGGCGGCCTCCTCCATCTCTTCGTGCTGTTTGAATCGCTTGAGACCCACTTTCACCTTGTTCTTGATGACTCGGTTCAACAGCACTGGCTGCGGACCGGAGTATTTGAGGATAGGGATGCCCTGAGTGACGATGAGGTTTGGAGGCTTGCGCACGCCGGTGCGGATCTGGGATAATGGTTGCGGGTATTGGAAAATGCGCGGGCTCGAAGGGTCGGATACGTAGTTGGCTGGATTTTTGACTTTCTTGATGTGCTCGTGATGTCTGGCTCGCGAAGGCGGCGGAGGTTTCCAGTGTGAGGCGAGCTTCTCACGCACCGCTGCCGTTTGCTCTGCCTGCAGTGTCATCGACTCCAGTAAACCCCCCAGGTGGTTGAGCGAGTCCGCCGCCTTCGCGCTACAAGAGCGCAGGAGATCGAGAAAATCATGGCCGGCCGTGATCCCATTCACTATCTGGGTTGGAGATTGCAGATCGCGATCTTCCTGAAAGCGATAGCCTACGAGAGACCGCAGCGTTTGCTTGGTGTCATGATTTGCTTCGGCGCCCAATGCTTGGGAAACACCTCCGCACTCTCTGAGGAGTGCCCGGTATAGGGAGAGACCTGCTGGCTGTTAGCCGATTGGATCCTGGTATTTAGGAGTGTCTTACATGCTAGCCTGTGAGCGCCTGACTCTCGCGCAAGGTTGAGATGTGGCATTCGCACATCTCTACGTTGGGTAGCCCAAGTGTAGCAGTGTCTTGAAAGTTATGTCTCCAAGTTTTGACTTGTACCGGAAAATCTACGGGAGCATTGCGGCCTCGTTATGGATCGTCAATATGAGTCACGTGACCATCGACAAGACAGAGATCTCGTGCCGTTCGAGTTCGCAGAGTTCTGGTTACGCAGCCTGCCAGAGGCCTTTCGTAAGGCTTTAGTAGAAGATAAATGCCGAGTGCACACATGATGCCCGTTGTAATCCCAGCGCATAACCACATCAACAACCCCTAGCGCCGGATCATGCATCATCGATTCCTGATCAATCGTCGCTGTGTGGCAAAGAAAACTCCTGTAAGCATGCTGTGAAGTAGCCAGACTAAAATGTGGTCCCCTCCGGAGGCTGCGGTAGCTTCTTGTGCTGAGGCAGGGCCATGTATCTATCGCCAAACTTAGGTTCTCAGTTCAGCATATCGTGCGCCAGGACATACCTTCTCAGCTCAATCAGGATTGTCTCCATTGTGAAGTCTCGCCTCCAGTTTGCCAGGCAAGGCAGTTTTGATGGATCCACCTGGGGAGACCAACATCAGCTCTTGAACAATTCACTAGGTCTTTCTCTCACCTTTCCGCTCTTTTGATCGACACAAGGCAGGTTTATTCTTGAAACAAATTGGATCGTTGGCGGAAGGTCAGGGTAGCTGTTGCCGCAGTGGATGTTGACACTATAGATGCGATTCTCGTGGGCACTCTGCATCGCCACAATTAGTCTTGTGGTGAAGCCTGAGCCATAGACTCTCAGGTGTACATACATGAGGAGGTCCGAGGATTGTACCATTCCAATTTGTCATCATCAGGTCATCGCTGTCTGCCAGTCCATATGAACATGCCTCTGCGAGCACAGTCAGTCTGCAAGTCTGCTCTGCGGCGAGTGAGAGAGCCGATCACGCACCTGCGCCGAGTCCTTTCTCGCCTTTCTCCAACTCCTCCAAGAGTCGAAAGTTGCGAGGTACTTTGGCACCCATGATTGATGAAGAGTCAGTCTGCTCACTCAGTCGAAGTATACCAGAGTGAGGTGGGTGACGTGACGTTGTTGCTGTTGCAGGTTCGAGGTGGATGAGTACAAATTGTTGGAGAAGGCAACTCGATCATTAAAGGCGAGAGGGGCAGTAACTTAACTGATCGAAGTGGGCACGCGCCGCAATGCAAATGCAAGGTTCAGGCCTCAGCCTTGTGCCTTCCGAGTGACAGCCTTGGCACGTGCCTGCCCTCAGCTCTTTGAATCATTTGGACACTGTATCACATTCAACTTCACCGAAGAGTATAGTACAATCACAGCGGACAACTGTTCAGCGAATACAAGTCAATGTCAGGCTCATGTCATGCCTTCGTTTTGATACCGCTGAATCCATGATCTTGCACACACCATCATGAAATGCTTTGGCAGGGATGACGCATGCATTTCTTCAATCCGAATTGACAAGCCTGATATCCGAGTCCAGAAGAAGATACAATGATGTTCGCACCGCAGCTGAGCAGTCGCTCAGTGACCTTAAAGCCATTTCGGTGACATCAGAGTCACAGTTGGCTGGCGACTTGCTACGGCGACCTCAATTCATTGACCCTTTTGTCCTTGCCTGCAAATCCAAGAATGCCAAACTTGTCATTAGTGGAACCAGCTGTTTACAACGCTTGACCGCCAGCAAAGCTATCGCCCGGGCCAGGCTTCGAGAGCTTTTAGACGCCTTGCACGATGCCGTGGCCTCAGGCTATGAGCCACAGCTCAAAATTCTCCAGACCCTGCCTTCGCTGCTTCAACTATATGAGAGCGACTTGCATGACGATTTGCTAGCAAAAGCACTGGAGACATGCGCGGCTCTGCAGTCCAGCAAAGCCGCCATCGTGAGCAATACAGCCGCGGCGACCTTCCAACAGCTCGCGTCAACGGTTTTTGATCAAGCAAGCAAGGGAGAGTCCACCCGCCTTTCCAGTGATAGTAACTCGAAAAGCGACGAGAGAGACAATGAAACACCCAAGGTCTTCTCAGACGACGCGACACGTTTATTCAATGATTTCTGTCTGCTTCTCGATCAACAGCAAGCGCAGTTTCTGAAGTTGGAAAGCCTCCCGTCGGCATTGCTACTGGAAACACTGCAAATGATTTTCTCCAATCATGCATCGTTCGTTGCATCTCAGCTTGACCTTCTGCATGATGAACTGGAGCACCTCGTACAAGGACTCCTGCGGATTTTGGCCCGAAGGGACGCCTTTGGCGAGGTTGTCCGTGCTTTGTCCATCGTCTTCCTCATACTCCAAAACTTTGCCAATGATCTCCGGACACACTTGCAGCCTCTGTTGTCTCTAGTTGTCGAGGGTTTGGAAAAAGAGGGTAACCCGTTGTGGAAACGTACGCTTTGCCTGGAGTTTTTCCGCAACATATGCTCGGATTTTGGTGTTTTCAGAAGCACATTTGAATTGTTTGACAGTGTCAAGGAGGCGAATGATAAAGTCATCGGGCAATTCATGTCTGCACTGGTTCGCATTGCGGCAGAAGATCCATCTTTAATTGGTTTGGGCCGACAATCTACTGTACCTGTGCAAAGGACAAACGACGCCAAAAGCGAAGAAGCGGCATCTATCGAGGCCCAAGGTCTAGCTGGCGCTATCACGTCTGTGTCTACAGGAGATTCGAACACCACGGGGATCAGCATGGAATGGAGTTTACCATCGTCACCACTGATGGACCAGCCTGAAAAGCACAACCCACCCGCCATACCTAGCACCTACATATACTCACTCGTGTTGGGTTGCATCGCTTCATTTTGTGAAGGCATATCCAAATTTGTCATGCCTCTGAGCGTCCCAAGCCGTTCTGCACAACGAGAGGCTACAGAAAATGCGCAAGGAGACGGTTCAGGGACGGATCCTGTCGGTAACGGCGTCAACGGCTCTTCCAACAGATCTACTATCCCGACGAGCAAATACCATCGTCTTATAAATCCTCTCACATTGACGCATCACCCAGGATTCCCTCAAATCCAGACTTGTGCCGCCATGATCGAAGCGTGCTGGCCTGCAGCTCTTGCGACTTGCTCAACGTTTCTCAATTCCGCTTTAGACGCAGAGTTCTATCACATTCTGATACGGTCAGTTCAAAAGCTTGCTCAGGTCTCTGGTGTACTGGAACTTTCAACACCCCGGGATGCGCTACTCACTACCTTGGCCAAGGCTTCCGTTCCAAATAATGCAAGCAGCATTATCTCCAACTCGCAGCACGCAAGGACACCTCGCATTGGTGGGCCAGAAAATGATGACCTTCATGACGAGGTTAAACCAGCTACAGAGGCTCCTCCCACTCCCACTTTTCAGGTCACCACTTCCCCTCTCAACGTACGGCATTTGCTGTGCCTTCGAGCTTTGTTGAACCTGGGCATTGCCCTTGGTCCGACGCTCGAACAGGATGCGTGGTTCATTATCATCGAAACCATGCATACGGTTGAAGCCTTAACAGCGCTGCCCACTGTGGCCCCTGCAACACCTCAGACTGCAAGTCCTCGCATTGGAGGTCCCGGAAGCGAGGGTCAAGCTACTCTTGCTGGCGAGATAGCGTCTGTGCAAGCCGCCACGAAAAGAATGTTAGAGAGCACAAGAACGTACAACCGGGAGGCATTCTCTATAGTTGTTCAGGCATTGTTCCGCCTCCTTGGCGATACTGGCTCTGACACTGACTCGCCATCAACGGAGGAGCTCATCACATCTCCTATCTCGCCGGGCAGGCCTGGGCCCCGATCACCGTATCGGACAAGCCGTACCATATCGGCTTTGTGGACCAATTCCAAGACATTTGATCTGGAGATCGGCTTCGTTCTCGGGAAAATCAGCGAGATATCACGCATCAACATCACGCGCTTCGTATCTTTGTCGGAGCAGTCTTGTTCGTGGGACCTGATAGGCCGGAGACTCTTGCGCATTTTGCAAGACAGTGGCTTCCCCGGCCCTCACCGTATCCACTCCGCCAGCATTTTGGATCTGGTAGCTATGGAGACAATGAAACTGCTTGACAACCCTCAACTTGACGCGAAGGAGGCAAATACCGTCAGATTTAGATGTCTACATTCATTGCTGGAGCAGTTGCAATCGCTTGAGCAGACCACGCTCAACAAAATTGACACTGTGGGGCTGGAGATTCACAAAAGACTGCTGGAGGCGCTGGAGACCATCTTGAGTGATAGCGGAGACTCGCTGGACAGTGCTTGGTCGACGCCGTTGACCATATTGTCAATGACGTTCTTGAAAAGAGGACAGGCGTCACTGACATCTGACACTGCCTCTGTCGATCACGACGAGAGTGATGAGCACAATGGTCAAATCCTGCGTGTTGCGTTCAGGTCCATTCAGCTCATCACGTCCGATTTTCTAGGTGCTCTCACGAAAAGGTCGCTGTTCAGCCTGGCCCGGCTACTACGACAATTTGGCTCCCAGTCTTACGATCTCAATGTGGCACTCACAAGTACCACCCTGTTATGGAGTCTCACTTCGCATATATTGACCAGCATTGAGAATATAGAGCTTAGGGAAATACCAGCCTCTGACACCGAACTGAAAGACGACTCTCCGAATCCGACTTCTGACACACTATGGAGCATCACATTACTACAGCTGGTCGCGTTATGCAAGGACGAACGTTCTGATGTTCGCAATGCGGCCACAAGGGTACTTCTCAAGATGCTTGATGCATCCAGTGAAAGTCTCGACCCAAACGCCTGGTCTGTCACTCTCGTAATTGGGCCTTCGAGTGCCATCCGCTATTGCGTTCAGCAGTGTTTGTCGCATGAAGAGGATGCAGAGTGGCTCGCTTCAGCTGCCCAATTGACCGACGGTACGGTGCAGCTTATCTGTCAGAATTTGGCCGTGATCGTCAAGCATGAAGCTTTCAAGGATACGTGGCTTCGCATCCTCGACATATTCGAAGACCTCCTAAGTTTGAGCTCTCTTTCAGCCTCAGCGCTGGCCTTCACCAGTATCTCGAGGTTGTTGACTTCTCTACAGACCTTGGAGAAGGACAAATCAGACTTGCTTGCACCCGTACTGCAATTGTGGGCCTCAAATCACCCTGCTGAAATATTACAGTCAATTCACCCTGGTGAAAGGCGAGGTGAAGTCGAAAGTGTACCGAATCAACCCGCGGTGACCGCACACATCCAGACCATCATTGAAGCGGACAAGACCAGTGCCGAGGCGGTGGCGAACTTTCAACTCGACGAGCGTGAGATGGTATCTTTGTTGATGGACTCAATCGAAAAGACTGTCTTGTTGAGCACACACCCTGCCTATACCAGCGATGTCAAGTCCTTGGCGCCAGAACAGCAGGAAGCATGCAGTGCACTGTTGATTTTGAAGCGCCTGCTTGGCGGTGATACTGCTCAGTATTCCCGGTATCTGCTTCGCCTCGTGAAGCTCAGTCTATCTATCCAAGCTGGAAAGGTCGGGACACAGACGAAGAAGTCGGCGATTCACAAAGCGGTGCAGAAGCCCACGTTCATAGCTTTTGCGAGTGCCTGCCTGGGAAGCCTGAAAGGCCTTGTGCTGGAGCATGTCGACGATGCCAATCTCATACACACGCTGGCCCTACAAGAGTCGTTCGAGACCCTGTCCGCATTGATCAAAACAAAGTATACAGATCTTCCGACCAACAATCAGGCACCACTGTGGCGAAGTGCCACCGTCACGGCGGTGGTCACCTTGGAGGCTGTGCAAAAGCGTGTCAAGCAGAACAGCAGTGCTGGGAGTTTGTCCGAGCTTGGCAACTTATCGGGTGCAGTCATCACTGTGGCATCGAGTGTGCTACAGCCCGGCGGCCTAGCCAATCCACCGCTCAAGCACGGTGAAGATACACTCCTCGACGACGAAAACTTCGACATTGACCACTTCCGACTATTCCATGCCGCTGTTGTTGCTGTCTTTCAGCACGACGGGATCGATTCAGCATGCCGCCAATACGCCATTACACTATTCAAAGCATCGCTGCTCTCGAAGCCGTGGTTCCACGACCTCCCGGATAACCTCAGCGCCGAACCACTGAAAGATCTGCTGAAGGTAAGGCCAGGCAGCTTGCACCAGCCTGTCTTCGCCGTCCGTCGTAGGACGTGCTACGCCGCGATGGACGCCCTGTTTGAGCTTGTACAGCGACATCCGGAACAGGATGGCTCGGAGTCTGGCTCGGATGAATTGGCTCGCGCGGCGTGTCCGTACCTGCTTCTACGTGTGGTGCATCCTTTGAAAACCTTCCTTGCCGACCAGCGATTACGGGGACTCACCCCACCACCAATGCCGCAACAGGTGGAGTTACAAACTGTTCTCACCAAGTTTGTTCAATTGCGCAGCAATACGAGGGCGCTTAGGGATCTGACTGGAGGTCGTGGCGCAGATGACAAGGGTGATGGTGGTAAACAGCACTTGCGGATCTTGTATTCGTTTATTTTACGGGTGCAGAAGTTCTGGCGTGAGCTACCAAGATTGAAAGCCGAAGGCGCGTGGCAGGCTGATGAGCCGGGCAGGGGCATTGAGCAGGCGTTGGACCAATGGAGCATGGATATAGCGCAGACATGGAGTGCCGATTTGAGCGCGTAAAATGTTTGAAAGCACCCAAACGACTTAGACGGTAATAGACAGCGAAGAAAAAGACGTCCTGGAATCTTATTTGCATTACAGTGCTGGTATAATGTGGAGCAACTATGCAGCCACGACAGAAGGGAGCTCGATGGCTCTGACCGACCGGCTTGAACTCCTCCTTCATAGGATTTCTCCAGGCGCTGGTTCGGAGTTGATCTTATGTGTTTGTAACGTGTAGATCTGGTGAGCCAGATACTTGTCGTCGGGTGATAGAGGCCGATTTTCGGGCAGCATCAGTTGTGGGGATTTCTGTCTGCAAGTCTTACAGAGTGTGGCCACTGTCGTCTGTGAATCGTCGGGGTAAGCATGCCCTGGTTGCGTGATATGTCTAGTGCTATGCAGCACTCGATATCGAAATGGTAGACCTGAAAAGGCTCTCGGACGACAGATCAAGCAGGTGTCGGCCGCTCTGGCATGGTCAGTTTGCCTCCTATTCCTGGCTGATCGATAGCCAATGTCGGAAGTGTATCTGGCGCCTGTCGGTACAGGACGATCTCTGATTGCTTGAAATATCGACGAGCGTCTAGAAGCCGAAGATGTGTCAGTGTTTGCGTGTATGCAGACGATGGCGTTTTGGGGGATGCAGATGTAAATGTTGGGGGTTGGCCAATGTTTGGGGTTCAATAGCCGACGCCACGTTCGCTGTGGGGGATGAGGATCGTGGGGTTCCGCCATGTACAGATCAAAAGGACAGCAAAAGAGTATTCAACAAGGCATATGGCTGCAATCCTTCGTGGCAGCAGACGTAAGTTGCACTGTAGACGTACCTTCATCAATCAAGACAAGACTGAGGTAGTATCTCGTGGAGAATTTCTTATTCACATCGCGGAAGGTCGGCGTCAGGTCGAAGCCTCCGAGGAACAGTCGAATTGGGATCGTTTCTCCTGGTCTTTAGATCAGCATCGCGGTCGACTAGCCATGAAATGTGTGTGAACGCCGGTATCATGCCAGCCAACTCCGAAAATCGGATATCAGGTGGGCGCTTAGGCGAACGTACCTCGTGAAGGAGAGCCATCCATTATCTGACAAAATTAGCAACGTTCTTTCGAGATCCGAAGGGTTGGTCTCACCTCAAATCGCACTAACGTCTCACTTTCATTATATTGGTTGGGTGCAACTCCCGTCGTCTCTCTCCGAATGATGGACAGTTCCATGTGCTTGATTTTCAGTCTGACCAGCAAGAAGTATATTCGGCCGACGATGACATCTTTGAGGTGATATTTGCTTTTCGAGTACTCGAACTCGATGTGTAGGCAGTCTTCAATACCCACATCCATCTTTATCGAGCTGTTGGTCTCGGGTGGTATCCGATAGGTGTAGACCCAAATGTCCTTCTCACGGATCACGTCTGCCATTCTTCTTGAGACCGTAACCCGAATGAAATAGCGTAACTTGACGTTGATGCCGTTGTAGGATTCGTATTGCTTCTCAATGTTTTTGAAGTTGAAGGGGAAGGTTTGAGGGTGTTGCAGTTCACCAGGTGCTGCAAGCTCTTGTCCGAGTGAGAGGAATTCGTAGTGGTTTCCACGGTCGAAGAACATTTCTGAATCGGCTCCTGTCAGCCTGGCTTGCTTCGCGCTGCGCCGTCCACGCTGGCGAGAGTGAAAGACATACCAATAAGTCCGATGAACTGGACCTTTATGCCTGTGTGTTCTAATCGCTTCCCATCTTTTGGTCTGACTGTGACGGCACCTTTTACGGATTCACCATCGAGATACAGCGGCGCCTTCTCTCGCCTGTTCTTGTCAAGCTTAACGTCGACAGTCTGTCGGTCATCAGCGTCCTCGAGGACGATGTCTATGTCGACCGGGGTGGAGAAGAAGAAGGATGACATGTCGGCAGAGATGGAAGAAGTGCGCAGGTTCTGTTACTACATGCGTCGTCTGACGAGAGAAAGACAGTAGTGGGAGTGCAAGGAAAGCATGAAATGAGGATGTCTACACGCGAGCGTGCAACGGTGAGGTCGCTGGTACGGTTGGTTGTCAGCGTGCCTGGCCATGCTGCGCTCCTGCCGCGGCCAATGACAGATGTGATCAGCGCCAAGGGCGCCAGACCTGATACAGAACGACTAAATACTAGTCCGTACTGTAGACTAAGTACAAAGCATTCGACAATCTGTCTCTATTGCTATTATCTTTGATTGATTTTGCATAACAAGTATGTTTACTCCTTGGAGAGGTTCTCGTTGCTAGAGTACCGGAGTCATTACGACTCGCAGTATCAACTGCGCCGAGAACACTATGCGCGCGTAGCGAACACCTCGTCTCGCACACAATGGTCCTTTAAGTTAGGACTTCATTTCAGACCGTTGACCACCCTCAGCTTCACTGCATCCGCAACCTCATACTGTCTCAGCGTCGAACGAGCTTACAATCGAGACCAATCTGCCTGTTGAACCAGGTAGACCTAGTCCCCCATTCCCTGTCGGGGTTGGCAAGTTCCAGACGATAGTCACGCAGTAGCTGTGGGAACATCTTGTATATCTCAGCGATGGAAATCTGGCACAGAGGTTAGCCCGTAGCGCACCAAAGTTCTAGGAGGGCAGGACTTACGTGTCTCCCGACACAACTCCGCGATCCGCCACCAAACTACTTTTTGTTAGCAGACAGCAATGAACAAGCAGCAGGATGCTCTCACCTGGAACATATAGCGGTCCATATTTGCAGCGTCCCCTTCGATCCAGCGATCTGGGTTGAACACATCGGCGTCGTCTCCGAAGATGCTCTTGTCGAGGTGAATAACTCCCGAGTAAATGCCAACTTTGCTGCCGGCAGGGAAATATCGACCGCTGATTTCCTTTCCGCCTGCTGGGACTGTTCGAGGCAAGGTGAAACCCACTGATGGATGCATACGCATACCCTCCTTGCAGCAAGCAATCAGGTATGGCAGTTTGGAAGCCTCAGAGAATCGGACAGTTGGAGTGCTGAGTTCACCTCTTGCAGTCGCCTCATCAATCTCGTCCTGCAACTTCTTGTAGTACTTGGGGTTCTTCATCAGAAAGTACAGAATCGATCGCATGGCGATGGCAGTGGTATCTGATCCAGCGAAACTAGACGCACACGTGCGTTAGACAACGGTTCGCGAGCTCGATATAGATCGGAGGAACACCTACATGGCGACGTAGGACTCTTGCTCAATGTCGGCAAGCAAAAAGTGGCCATCGGCTCCTTTGCCCTGCTGAACGTTGAAAAGCTTTTGCAGGATGTCAGTACGACCAACCTTCCCTTCTTGCAGTTCCTTTGTTCGCGTTGTCACGACATCGCTTGCTGCTTGTCGAATGGCGACGATAGACAGAATCGCATCCCTGATACGCTTGAGCCCGAGATTTGCCAGGAAGGGTCGCACGGAGCGTAGATAATCTGGCAGAACAAAATTGGTCGCAAGAACAGGCAAGTAGGAATCCAAGGAAGTGATATAAGCGCCGTAGTCCGAGCGGGTTTCCATGAAGCCGAACATTTTGCCAAAGAAGAGAGTTCCGACCACATCAAAGGCGTACCTGGGCGACGAGTCAATCAGTGATGACACAAACTGAACGAACAACCTACATCTGTAGCCACATTCCGAAGTCAAAATTCTGGCCACTATCGGCATACTCCCCCATTCGTTGGATGAACAATTGAGAACACTCGTCAATGTATGTCTCTGATTCGAGTATGCTTGACATGGAGTATGCATTGTTGACAAGCCGGCGTCTTTCAGCATGCTCTTTCTCATCTCGAGCCGAGAAGAGATCCGGATGTGGCGCTAGGTCACAAGATCAAAACAAGATTGAAGCAAGAGGGAGGAGATACTTACACATGTGCGTCGCAAAGGGATCGTAGAAGTCGGTCTGCATCCTCGTTAGCCCATATGTGTGAAGTTGTCTCCGTATGCTTGCCTTCGTGAAGCCACTCGAGACCGAGTAGATGATTTTGATAGCCTCAGGATCACCAATGGACACCTCATCCGGGGCAATGCGGACCATGCGGCCTTCAATGCGTCTCAGTATTAGGACAGGCCTTCAAGAATTTGACGCTGTGAGAAGATTACCGTATTTTTTGTGCACTGCGACCAAGACCTTGTCGACATCTCCGCTTTCGACCATGTAGGCTATCCAGAGGCGCGAGACCGAGGCCCAAAATGGACCTGGTATGTCGGCATATGGGTGTAGTGTCCGCGCATAGATCAGCCATCCGACCGAATAGATGAGAACACTGGCAGCTGCGAAGAGCGACGCGACCTTGAAGAGGTCGCCAAGACCATAGAGGCCTCCAAGCACAGAGAAACTCAACGTCATCTTGAGATTTCTTTCGAGAAGCGAAACAGAATGAAAAGCAGCGACTGTCGAAGTGTACTTCCTGGCTACTGGACGTGTAACGACATCAAATACCTGAGCATGGAAGGAAAATACATGGACGCGAAGGATCCCTCGTCCAATGGCATTGTCCACGGGAACCCACCTGCTGAGACTGGCTTCGCAACGACATGTAAGCGATATGAGAGCGGTCTCCTATGGTGGCCCGTTGTTCCATTGAGGGTCTTGGGGCAGTACTCCCAATCCGACCGTGTTTGATTGGCGTGCGTAGCGGTCGAGGATGGGGGAGAACTAGGCGGAGGAGACGCACGGGTAGTTCGATTCAGCCAAACGGTTGGTTATCGCTTAGCGGAAGTCGTTGCCTAAGTAGTGAGCCCGGAGCGATAAGCATCCAGGGTTTGTCGATCCGGGTGCTTGCTTGCTCCATCAGATTGAGTTCAACGGACGGGATGTTCATCCCCATTCGTCTCCAACGTCGTCCCTATAACCACGGCGCAAAAATACCTGTTAATGCACCGCATAAAGGAAAGGAACCAGTCTAGACGCCTCCGTGCACTGCACAATTTGCGTGTCGTGACTGCATGTGAATGGGTGGCATGATGAATGTTGCATGGGCATTTTGTCACTGGGTCCGGAGAGAGCTGTTCAGGGGTAGCCATTTCTAGGGGTCTGCTTGCCAGTCATCATGTCCTGGGGCGAGGTGAATGATCAGATCGACAAATTCTGGATCTACATGGAAACAGCGAGCATGTGAAACAACAGGACGCTACTGAAAGATGTGATAGATCGACATTCCATTCACACTGCTTGCTAGCTTTGTAGTAATCTCGTTTTTGTTTCTACGTGCACTGTCAACTCGTCACACTTTGAACCTGATTGTCTTCGTTGTCATGAATTCAGCAACCCCCCACTTTCCACCGAAGCGTCCTGTGCCGCTTGACTTGAACCCGCCATGAGGGAGAGTAGGCTCGTCGTGGATTGTAGATCCATTGATATGAACCGCCCTGCACGTGTATCGTTAGCCTGTATGCCAAAAAGAATGGCAAGGAAACATGGTTGAAGGCATGGATGAGGACTGGAGGTCGGCTGAGGTGATCCCAGCCCACCTCAGCTTTGTACTTACCCACTATCAATTCTTTTGGCCACTTTGATTGCCTCAGGCAGATTGCCCCAGACGCTTGCTGAAAGGCCGTATTCAGTATCGTTCGCAACACGAACAGCCTCGTCCATGGTGGGCACCACTATCAGTGATAGTACAGGACCGAAGGACTCGGTGTAAAAGAGCTTGGACTTTTCGACATTTTTGAGGACCACAGGTTGGAGTGATCGTGTTGTGCCACTGGTAGCTGTGGGTTCTCCAGCGACGATCGCTGCTCCATTCGCTGTGGCGTCTTCTAGTAGTTCTTGCACCTTCTGCACTCCAGAGGTCTGTATCGCTGGTTGAGGTTTGTATGAGCTAGACGGGTACATCTCCTTGTAAGTCTGTGCGAGGGCAGTCTCCAGATCTGCGGCAACGCTGTCAAGAACAATGATTCTCTCCGCGGCCATGCATACCTGGCCGGCATGCGCGTTGGATGACCAAGCTGCCGACATTGCCACTGATTTGACGTCGGCCCCTTCCAGGACGATAATGGGTGCCTTGCCACCCAGTTCAAGCAAGATAGGCTTGAGCTCTCGAGCGGCTTGTTGTGCAAGAATACGACCCACAATAGTCGACCCCGTGAAGTTGATCTTGCGCACAGCTGGATGCTTTATCAACGCACCGATGACTTCGGGACCACGTGCAGGCTCATGGGCCACGACATTGACCACACCAGGCGGGAATCCAGCGTCCCTGAAGCATTCCGCAAGCAGAAAGTGGCTTCGTGCGCTCAGCTCTGAAGCTTTCAGCACTACTGTGTTTCCGCCTGCAAGTGGGTATGCAATAGACCGGGTTCCTAGAAGGACTGGAGCATTCCAGGGCGCGATCGAAAGTACCACTCCGAAAGGAACTTTGTAGACCAGAGCGGTCGAATCGGGCTCGAGTGTTGGAGGCGACTCAGCGGTAATAGAAGATATGAGACTAGCCGCTTCGCGCAGAATGAAAACACTCATGTCACAATCGAAGTCAGCCCAGTCTCGAGCTGCAGCCGTTTCTTGCATGGAAATCTGCTTTAGCTCTTCAATTCGAGCAGCCAGTTTGTCGGCGGCTTTGAGTAGCAAATCTCTTCGCTCGAGATAGCTCATCCCCGACCATATAGGGAATGCTCGTTGAGCAGCCTCGGCGGCAGCATTGGCTTCTTTAGCAGTTGACCCATACGCTTTCCACAGCTCGATACCTGTCTGTGGGTCGCAGACCCCGAAGGTATGGTCTGTCTTGGTATCGACTCCATCAATGATTAAGGGCACTGGCCCTGATGCAGTGTTTCCGTTCATTTTGGTTATCGGTCCTTGAGGTTATACCTGCTCAAGACCGGCCTTGAGATGTGCGCTTAATTGTGCTCAGCTTGGATAGGGTTCGGAAAAGCCTGATCTTGGTTCAACAGCAATGCGTAAACGGCAGGACAAGGATGTTGACGTGGTCGAGAGGAGTGACTGTGATCAATTGCACCTTACGAAACATCGACTCTCGCTCCTGATTTTCAAGAGGCTTGAGATCAAACCCCAGACACATAAAGCCATTTGTCGGTTCCACTAGTGTGTTCAATGTCGTTTGCATACCTATCAGATAGTGATATTAGGTAGTCAGCGATTGAGCGTCCTTAACCAGGAGCCGGGTAGCACTTTCCGGCTTTGTACCGATCCCATACATGGGATGTCCGTTGCCGGGTGGGGCTTTATCTCTGGCAATCATGTATCGAGATTCAATCCAGACAATCTGCGAGTATCAGCCGTAATGCCTTCTGGCAATACTGGTCCTGTATCTCAAGCGTGGGGCGTACATGGGGCAGTCCCGTTGAGCACTGGAAGATCATTTGATTCGCATGACAAGAGAGCTGTCGTTATCTCTAGGGTGTTGGACATAGTGGGCGTCTGATCGGCCATGTGCAAAGCTGGGCCGTAGTGCTACCAACGGGGATTTTGCCAGGGACTCCTTTACAAGCTTACCAGTCTGTGCTTAGACATCCAGTACTGTTTCTTGCTCGTTGGCGTGACCTATTGCACCACTGCGGATGTCAAGCATCACTGAAGAGAATCTCTCACAAGTTGTAAGTCTAGCGTAACTGTTGGTGCTTGCAGCATTTCAGTTGTAATAACTGACTTAGGTACATGATGCATCTATTGCACTATCTGAATCCAATCGAGTTCGCACCAAATTTCCGACACCAATTCTCTTGTTACTCCGAAGTGAGGAGTACACCATGATCCATGACCCGCTCAGGGGTCGTGTATTTCTTGCGTGAATGAAACACCCAATTCAATCCCGCAATCATTGCGGTCGCAGCGAACACGGGAGAGGTGTAATTCATGTAGTCTCCAGTGACCGGCATATAATAAGGCATACACAGCCAAACAGTGATGAAAGCGACCCAGATAACCGATAAGACACTCAAGACCAGTCCGGCAGGGCGGCCGAGATTGATGTAATGCGGCTTTTGCAACTGGCGTCGGCCACCCATCAGTGCAGCCAGTATGGTAACACCATAGGACAAGAACAAGAACGCGGTACCGGCGCCGAGAATTGCGTTGAGCGCAATGGCAGATCCAAGTTCAATGAGTCCAATCAAAGCGACTCCCACGGTACCGAACAACAAAGAGTTGACAGGCAAGCGTGAGCGGCTGCTGACGGTTCCCTGGTTTTTGGAAAAGGGAACACCGCCATCTCTTGCAAATGACCACCAGACTCTGCTAAACGCGGTCATGAGGGTGGCACAGGCGAACAGCAGGACCAGGATGAATATCAGCATGGTTACGATGGTCAACCCCATTGAATCCAAAGAGTCCAGAAGAAGTTGGGCGATAGGTTCGCCACCGACTGGAGTGAGTAGATTTTCGGTGTTTGTCACACAGAACATGTACACCAGTATCATGACCAGACCACTGATGGCGCTGAGCACTGCGTTCCCTATCATGACTTGTGGCACTTGGCGATCCGGTCGAGGCATCTCTTCCGAGAGATGTGCTGCAGAGTCAAAGGCAGTGACCGCGGTAAGTCCAGGAAGCAAGCCAAGACAGAAAACCACTCCATTAGAGTCCCAGCCAGTGTAGTTGACGATGTCGACAAAGACATACTTAGCACTCTGTTTTGGATGTGCCCGCACCAGAAGAGCAACCATGACGATGATTGTCCCCACATTGATGAAAACGACCAGCATCTTGAGAAAAGCCGGGTAGATCTTGAAGAATGGCCAGTTGATGGCGAGAGCGAATAGTGCGCAAAGTAGGTATATAATCCAGTAATGCCATGGCAATATGACGAACGACGAATGGCATATGGCGACCAAGGCCCATATCAGTTGAGAGGTAATGAGGCAACAGGCTGCGGTCCAGCAGAACCAACCAGCGCTGGCAAGCCAGCCGACAACGTAGCTGAGTCCGCGGGCATACTTCTTGGGAGCCAGTTCGGCGGTCCAGAAAATCTGGCCTGCAGCATAAAGGTTAACAAGGACGTCCGAAGTGCCTTTTGAGAGTACTGGGAGACTGACCTGATGAATGCGGGTACACCGCAGACATTTCTGCCAGGACGAGGCAAATCATCATGGCAAAAATGCTGCACAGAATGAAACCGAAGAAGAAGACCGGGCTGCCACCAACTCCTACCACGACAGAAAGATAGGTTCCAATGGCAATCGGTGCGGATGTGGCGGAGTAGCTCACACCAAGCGTACTCCAGATGCTGAATTTCTGCTTGAGTTTGACATCGACGTGGTGAGATTCGCCAATCTTGACTTCCATCGGTCCGTTAGAGCCTTCCTCTGACACAGGCCCGACTGGCTTGATGCCGGAATCTGTCGGCTCCTTCTCCGTCAGACCAGGGTTGTAGTTGTCGGTCACGGCCGAATAGACTGTGGCATGTTCCATGGAAGCCATCGTTTCGAGGTCTAAATTTCGACGGGTGTCGGTCTTAAGGAGAATTGCGGTGAAGTCTGGAAAAGGCCTTGGGATCAAAGGCTAGACAGCTTTAGAGGGAGAAGAGCCGCACAGTCCGGTTGCAGGAGCGCAACTTGACGCATGTATATACAACCATGATATCTCCAAGCCGCGTCCAGCCAATGCTCTTCGCAGCTGTCATGTCGACGATCAGCTTGATAACTATTCCCCACTCAAGCTCTACACGTTAGATAGGACCGAAGTCTGCAAATCGAGATAAGAGCAAATGCTGTTGGCAAGTTGGCCGTCAATACCTCGTAGATCCGAGTTGAACTAAGCTTTCCTTCCCATAGCTTGTTCAGTGGGTCCTTATCGAAAACCGGTAATGTGGCCCCCCCCCACTATTCGCTTACCCGTGTTCTGGGGTCCGAAGCTTGATCGATCCAGATAGTGTGCCGTCCTGAGGAACCGGTTCCGGATGGTAATCTTATCTGAGTCTGGAGAAGGCAAAAGTCCATTCGGTACATCATTGAGGCTAAATTGTCGACGCGTATTCCGCGGAACAGCTCCAAACGAAGCAGATTGTTCTAGGCCTGATACACAGACGCACGACAATTGAGCGTCGTTATTACCAGTATCTAGAAATGCGTTCTGATGATTCGTTGATGCGCACCAATCAGATCAAAACAGTTTGGACATTTCTGATATCCGCCGCGCTTTACAGCTTTGCGGCAGGTGCTCGAGACCATGATTGCTTGATCAGGTCTGCTGCTTTCTCCGCTACTGCATATATGGTAGCCTGTATGTGTGCGCTCACGTGTAGCGGGAAGATGCTAGCGTCAACGACTCTCACATTCGCTGTCCCATATACCTTCAAGTCAGAATCCACAACACCGCCTTTGTCCTGGGGCAACATGGCACATGTCCCAATGGGGTGCCAGTCTGTGATTGTGTTGTCCCCCAGCCAAGCTGTCCATGCGCTCTCTGAGTCGGTCGCCTTCTCTGGAGGATGAACACGCTTCGTGATGATTGAGTTGAGTGGTCTCGTCTTGGCAATCTTGTCACCGAAGATCTGTGCCTTAGCCATGATCTGGAGATCGAGTTGACCTGGGCCTTGGTAGTACTGAGGGTCAACGAATACCTTCTCATGCGGTGATGATGGGTCGATGTGAATGCATCCCCGACTGTATGGATATTGCAAAATCTGCAGTAACGATGCGTATTTCTTGCCCGGCACGCTCTCGAAGAAGGGGCTGTAATTCTGATGATCCAGGATGTACTCCACCTGACCCAGGCGCGACTCAGGTGAAAATTGCCGTGCCAGTATCCGATTCAATGCCAGCTCGCGTTGCCCGATGCTGGGATTTTCTTTAGACACGCACGATTGTGCCGCCTGCTCCAGGCGCGAAGCTTGTGCTTCCCCAACGAATGTTCTCAAAGGCAAGTATGCCATTGAGCCTGGAGTGGCGGTCAGAATCCCTGTCATGGACTTTTTGTATAGGTCTTCGGCTTCTTGCGCGAATTCTGCACGGGCAAGGTCTTGTGGTGTTACCACATCGTCGACTAATTCGTACACAGCGACGCTCACTAGAGCTCAATGTTAGAAAACCCTCAACAATACGATGGTTGGAATTCGAGAACTCACTCATGTGTTCTTGTAGATTTTCTCCAACATTCACATTCGACACCTTCGGAACGATGTTTGCCTCAGACAAGATTTCAGGGTTGCCGATCCCTGACAGCTCAAGTAGCTGGGGAGAACCAACCGCACCGCAACAAAGGATCACCTCGCGGGAACAGGAGGCTACAAAGCTGCTGTTCTCACCATTGACAGTAAAGCTGACCCCTCTAGCTACCAGGTCGTTCTGTCGACGGTGCTGTCCAAAAATGATTTCTGTGGTCATTGCCTCGGTAAGCACAAAGAGATTCTTTCTCGAGGCGGAGGGTACGTAATACGCCGTCGCCGAATAGCTTCTCGTTTGCGTTTTGGGATCCACGCTGGTCAAAGTCGTCCAGGCGCCGACATTAGAGCCTCCAAAATGTGCTGTGTTGGTCTCGACCCCCAGATTCTGTAGCGCAGCATGCCAATACTTGTGGGTTTCGGCAAAAAAGGGTTGGTACGTGGTAAAGACAGGCCCCTCCATACCATGATCCGAAATGGTGTGATGACCCTGGAATTTGTCCACCAGCTCCTTCGGTGGCAACTGCAAGCGTTCTGATTTTTGGAAGTAGGACCTGAAAGTGGTCAGCCGAACTCCTGGCAAACAGTACTACGTTGATTACCGGAGGCCTTCCCAATTCCAACCTGCATTGCCCAGGTCTTCCCAGGCATCATAGTCTTCTTTGCAGCCGCGATTCCAGACCATGAAATTCATCGCACTTGTCCCACCCAGCATCTTTCCTCTCGGCCATGGCAGCTCTCTTCCATTGAGGCCGCTCTGGGGTGTTGTCTTGAAATCCCAGTCATATTTTGTACCTATCGTTTGCCCAAACTTGCCAGGTACGTTGACAGCAGGCTCATCGAAAACAGGAGGTCCTGCTTCCAACACGCCTACAAGTATATTCAGATCCTCACTGAGTCGTGCAGCAACAACAAGACCTGCTGTTCCGCCCCCCACGACAAGATAGTCAAATTTGATCTGGGAGAACTTCTCCGCTGTACATTGTTTGGTTGACATTGCTGGAGGTTTCACCTGTATCCCTGCAGGCGTCTTGTAGGTGTTGCAACAGGAACTCGAGCAACTCGAAAGGGCGGATTTCGAGGCCCCAAAGGTGTACCAGGACTAGTCGAATGGCTTGGTTCAAGATAGTTCCCGTCGCTAGAAGGCGCAGAGGATACCCGAGATGATTCAAATACCCGATTGTCGCACCTCATCCGGTCTAAGGGTCATGAGCGGAGAACAAACACTGCAGAAATGGTTGCCATACAAGATAAGCTAGCCAATAGCCATTGTCTGATACTGTACCAGTCTTATCAGTCCTTCGAAAGGTGGGGACAATTGTGCCCGAAACCTCCACACTACTCGCCAAAACCAGGTACGAAATCGATGCCGAAGTAAACCAGTGACATGTGGTTCTAGCCCTGCATTTTCTTGTCCCTCACGTATCCTTGGGGGACTGCGGCCGTGGCAAGCTACACTCTATCCAAAGCCTGCACTCAGCCTGGTTCAGTTCATGACGCATTGATTTAGATACTCTTCTACGAAAGTTCCTCCGTTCACTGTGACCTCAGAAGCTCGAAAGCTGATGTTTTCCGGTCATGGATAACCCTACCGAGACGACTGACTAGGGTAACCCTTTAAGACCTGCGATGATCGATTAGTCCCAAGCATGGAGAGACATCCAGCCGGGCGTCTCGTGCGTAGCCGCGAAGCAAATGCTAATTGTGCATTTCAGATTCTTGTGACTGTTTCCTACTACGTCTTATGGACAAAACCAGTCCTAACGGGCTTGATGGTTGGTCTTTGACAGTGGTCTCTTTCGTCTAGCATCCATTCGAAAAGCAACAAACGTCCAGGGGAATCTTGCTCCTGTACAAGGCACCGTAGACATCAGTCTAGAGTTCCACTTCGTCCAATTCTGAAGGCATGTATCATCACGAATTCATGCTCATGAACCAGTGGTCAGGCATACTTGAGAATTGATCTTCGGAGTAAGAAAGTGTGTCGAGGAGATTGGGATCGAAGCAGGCAAGGTTCGGATACTGCATCGCCGCTTGAAAAGAGTATTGGTGAAGGTTCGAGTGGCCACCGCCTTCGAGACCAGAGCTGCTCGTCGGCGCCGAAATGGACAAGGGTGCCATACTGGAGGAAACGTCCAGGGTCTCCACACTCAAATGCCTGATGACATTTAAAATCTCGGGAACGTTCGATGTCTGGTCATCTGTTTGTGCTCTGGCATGCGAGACAGGCCCCTGTTCACTGTCCCGTGGTGCACCAGGCTGAGATGCTCTTCGTGGGACGGATAGGGGCAGGGACTCATTCAACTGTTCCCACACCGTGCTATCCTGGGGCATCTGATGATGTCAGCGGAGGTATTGGGGGCTTTTAGACAGTTCGGACAGACCTGATCTCGATCACTTGACGGAGGTGCGGCAGCTGTTGCTTCCTTCCTTGGACTGCTTGGCTTTTTTCGCATGGCACGTAAGGATTTGTACCATCTTTGTGCCACAGGCCAGTCATACTGAATCTGCTTTAGCAGCTCCATGGAATGACTGAATACTGCTTCAGAAGATGTTGCAAGCTCAGGACAAACTGGAACAAGAAGAGGGCGTTGGTCAGTGATTCTCAATGTTCGATGGAGTAGGCCGCATACGTAATGGTTTTGTTCGAAGATGTGTAGCCAGGGACCCACACATGTATACACAGAAGACCTTCCCAGGTGTAAGCGATGAATCCAATAGCCGGGTGGTCAGTATACACCTACGATTTCTGTGGGAGACCCCTCATGAGGCCCCCGAAGAGAGTTGAAAGCAGTGATTTGCTCATCGAGCTCAAAGACATTGTGAAACAATTCCTCAGAAAGCTTTGCCCAGTGTCTTTGAGCGGCTGAGCCGACATCAACGGGACTATCGACAAGGGCACTGATTATTCTTCTCGGAAATTAGTAGCTGTTTCAGGACAGGTGATATCGTACTCACTCTTTCAGGTACCAGCGCCTTATCACTATATTGCAAAGCCGCAACACCATCACAAGAGATAAATATCCCTATAGCGCCGGAGTCAACGATACGTTGCGGGAAAATTTAGAAAAGGGACCGGACTTACCAGGTGGAGGCCTTCTACCTTGTAGCCTCGCAAATTCCATACAGACCAACGATGCTGCGGTGCCAGACCTCTTTCCCAATCTCGAAGTGTCGAGGATAGCTTGTAATAATAGCTTTGCGGGTTCCAGGGAAGGTCTCTTTCAGCATTGTAGCCAGAACATGGGTATCGTGCTACTTCACTCCAAAGATTCTGGACCTGAATGAGGGCTGCAAAGAGAGATCTTGATGAGTGGCTGCAAAGTGCCGCATCACTTTGTGCTGGTGCCGTTCCATCGAGTGCTGCACGTGCGCAACTGGCGATTCCAAATGCGAAATCCCGTTCGTCGCAGGGCAAGAGCGCTGTAATGTCCTGCAGCGAGAAAGAGGAGATCGCTCCAGGCCCTGCATGCAAACACTCCTGACCTGCATTGTCAACGTCAGCCTCAATGTTGCCAGTTGCCGGGTCCAGATCCGTCACCTTGAATGATCCAGAAGGTCCGTCGAGCGACTTCTGCGTCTATGACGGCATGTCCCGTTGCATCAGCAGAGAGTGTGTAGGTCTCCTCGAGGTGGAGGCCGAGAGTTCCCGCCACTACACAAAGTCTCAACGTCAGATGTTTGAGACAAGTGACAATTCTGGAATTCTGGAAGCCAGCTTACTTCGTACGGCAACACCCATATTCATCTGTTATGCTCGGTCAGTGAGGTGCAATAGGGTAAGGTCTGAGCCCGACTAACACTGCTTCTGCTTTTGTCACCGCTTCCCCACTCTGCCAGTGCTAACATAAAGAACGCCTGGCAGTTCTCAACTGATGGAGTGTAGATCTTCGAAAGACCCGAGGCGATTGCCAGCCCAACGAAGTGCTCCGTAGCCTTTGCACCACTGCCATAGCGTCGGACCAGGCACGGGGTTAGGCGCGCAGAAACACTGAGGATGCTCGCATAGTAGAACAAATCTGACGTTTGTTGCCCGTTCGCAAGACGTTCCATGAAGAGTGCCTTAGCGATAAATCCTGTGTCATACATTAGGCGTTGCACGTCAACACGCGAAGGGTGGAGCCTACCAAGTTGGTAATATGAGGAAGTGAACACTTTGCAACCCTCTACCACTTCATCGAACGGAGGTAGGTCATTATGTGTAGGACCGCGCAGTAGCTCTGACCACGATGGTCTAAAATCATGGTCGCTTGGTTGGTGGATAGCCAAGTCCACATCATCCCCAACCACGGTGTTGAGCGGCTGAGACTTTGACGGTGAGGTGGCACTTTTTAATGATCAGACCCCCCGCCCTTACAAGATAATGGTCGTACTCACATGGAGCGACGTTTGTCCGCACGAGCCGTGTTCCTCGGTGGTGGCTATATCCATGCGTCTCAGTACCTTCGGATGCAGTTTTGACCTTGTGCAAGACGAACCTCTTGACATGGTTCTTTGTCAGCTCTTGATCGAAACGTGCTAAAGTGGGTCAGCGATTGCTATCGTGTGGACTTGCGAGAGTACATACCATCGAGCTTCGACCTCGGACCCAGCGAGACGACATCGTCTGCAGGGTGGATTGGCATCGCTATGCTCGCACTTGATACGTAGCTGACGGCACCTGGAACTCAATGGTCACTTTGGCTGTCCCGGGACAGTTTGCACTGATAGTTCGAGCATAACCTACCGCTTGCAGGCAATAGATGCCCTTCTGAACTTGGGCCCTGTGCCCTCCCGTTGCCCTTCGACTGTCATCCGAGACATTATACCAATACCTTCCGGACTCTCGTAGCAGGCTGCATGCAGAGGGCTGACCATCAAAGGACCGACATGTTCCGGATGGAAGGCAATCAACAGACAAGATAAGTCTTCAATATTACTGCTTATTTGGCAATGACCCGTGCGGGCATTCGTCGCCCGTCTACCAGGTCTATCGATCACGTTTCAGTGATAAGGCAATCGTAAGTTGTTCCTTGACAAGGTTACTTATCTCCATAAAGCTTGTATGCCGCGGAAGTGCATCTGCAAGGTCCCGGCTCGAAGTTTCTGCGGTTCTCGGAGCCCAGACCGATAAGGTAACTTAAGCCTTTTGCAAGGTTGCTTATCTCTCCAAAAGTGTCCTCGTACTCGTATGCTCCAAGGTGGAAAAGTTCCTGGGGGTCTGGATGCCCCAATGGATCCTTCGCATTCTCCAAATCACCTTAGGCAGCAACGTTGCGCACTACTGTTACATGATGGTAGCAGCATCAGCTTTCCTTGAAGGTTAACCAGTGTATGATTAAAGGGTGCAAGGAGCCGCAGCACCTCAATGGCGCGCTGCCTGTGGCAGATATCTTTACGCGAGGGGTAAGTAGCCTATGATCGTCAAAACGACCTCTGGGCCTGCTTGATGGCTTCATAAAGCTGCCATTGCACTGCTCGTACGTCGGAGCAGAGATGCCAACCAGTTTGACACCCCACTCCGTAAAGAGAGTCGAGAGGTCTGTGGGGTTGCTTCAGGCAGTATGATAGAACATGCCCTTACACCTGCTCCCAAATCTAGCACCGACCACGGGGTGATGTCTTGGTCCACCAAAAGCCTATTCATCGGCCTTCCGCAAGCAGAATTAGCAGAGCAAATGAACCTCAACATACTCCTACATGATTATTGCCTAGCAGCCGCGGACCAACTGGGTCTCTCCCCACAGATGCTTTGCCAAGCAGGAATGATGACAGGAAGTGCAATTCCTGTCTTGCTCTTCTCCGTTTATTTCAGTGGGCGGATAGTCTCTCGGGTGCTAATCGTATGATAGGCGGGAGTCTCACGCGTTTGCAGCCCCCAGAAGGCTGGATGAACCGGCAATGTCCACCAACTCTTAATGGACAAAATTTCCGAATTGGATGTTCACTCAGCGTTGCAGACAGCCTTATCACTTGGCGAAACCGCATATATCCGCGTATATGGCATATAAGCAGTCCACCGGTCTCAACAACAGTGCATCTGGACGAGTACTCACATGACAAGTCGTATAGGCGCTATGGGGTCGATATCAAACGATACGAATGGCTCCTACGCCAAACCAAAAAATGCAGCCTATGGTGCTTCCGCAGATGCCCCGTTCGTGACGACGAGCACTCAGGAGGATCCCTATCCTTATCAGACAGGTTTTGGCAACCGATTTTCTACAGAAGCCGTGTGAGTATCCATCGCTCAAAGCAATAGCAGAATAAAGAATTGACCATACTGCTATTCAGTCCAGGCGTGCTTCCACAGGGCGGCCGCAATCTTCCACAAAGAAACCAATATGACCTATATACAGAACAGGTAGGCCGAACAGATCTGCCCCAGCACAAAGACGTACTGATAAGAGGTCAGCTCAATGCTACATCATTCATTTCCACCAGGCAAACGATGCAACACCTGTATGTGATTATGAGTCTCCTCGTCGTCATACTCTGACATTTTCACTAGATGGTTCTACCGTATCAGGCCGGCAGTTGCACACAAACCCTTGCAATCACTCTCCACGAAACACGATGTACGTTTCCTGGCTTCTCAGCCGACCTAGAGTTGACCAAATGTTTCAGATGGTAGCCTCTTTTGGTCTGCACAACCCTTATGTCCATTTCACGCCCTTTACTTTCGAATGGGGCCCGCTTGGACAAGCTTCGACATCGGAGCCTACGAATTTCTGGCAAGGTATCAAGACGATTGCTGGTCACGGCGACCCCACACTGAAAGAGGGACTCGCCGTACATCAATATGCGGCCAACGTGTCCATGGGAAATCAAGCATTCGTCAATCATGATGGAGATTTCATGATCATCCCGGTGCAAGGGCGATTGGACATCCAGACAGAACTGGGAAGGTCAGTCATGATAAACGTTTTGTGTCACCACTATCTCGACTAAACCAGTGCAGGATGATGGTCCGCCCGGGTGAGCTTTGCGTCATACAAGCAGGCTTGCGCTTCAAGGTTGTCCTGCCTGATGGACCAGCACATGGCTGTAAGTTTCTCTCGGTGACTCAGACTACTGGGCTATAATTGATGGATTGTAGATATTCAAGAGATCTTCGGAGCTCACTACGAACTCCCAGAACTCGGGCCCATTGGGTCGAATGGTTTGGCTCTTCCCAAGGACTTCGAGATACCGATTGCAAGTTTCGACATCGATTCATCGGACTGGGAAGGTAAGTTTACTTCGAAGGAAGCCCACCTCTCGTACAGTCGGCTGACCTTTTCAACTGTAGTTGTACTCAAGCTCGCTGGAGAACTATATCATTACTCCCAAAACCACACCCCATTCGATGTCGTTGGATGGCATGGAAAGTACGTTTACACCCGACTGCTCGAGCACAAGCACTAATACCAACATCTAGCTATGCTCCATACAAATACGAGATGACAAAGATATTAGCCCTGTCATCCATGAAGGACCAGCTTGACCCCAGCGCTTACTGCATTCTGACCGCGAAGTCCAAGATAAGTGGGGTTTCACTTTCTGACTTTTGCGCCTTCACGCCGAAATGGGTGAATTCACTGGATTCTTTTCGACCTCCGGTAGGGCTGCATTCTGGGCTGCTCCAATTCTTGCTCATTTCTGATATAGTACTACCATCGAACAATGGCTTCAGAAATGATGGGAATGATCTACGGCACCTACGCAGGCAGCTCGAAAACATTGTCCCCGGGTGCTCTTACCTGCGACAACAGTTTCGTTGCTCACGGAGGTAAATAGTTTTCGAACTTGTGCGACTACAGCGCTGACAACCTTGCAGAATCGTACCAGGCTTGGAAGAAGGCCACCTCCGTGGCCCTTGAGCCTCAATTCCAGGGCGAAGGGTCTCTTAGTACGCCAGCCTTTGTTGACCCATGGGTTCATGCTAATCAAGTACTCCAGGCTTTATGTTTCACATGAGCTCTCATGTCGCGGTGACGAAATTTGCTATGGAGAGGCACGCACAAACAAAGCGTGAGTCTCAATTTCCCCACTACTGGCCTCCCACGGAGAACTCGCGCTGACCATGCTGCATTCATAGCTCCTCCCGAGTCACTCTGGGACGACTTACAAGGGGACTTCTTGAACCACCTCCCAGAAATCAATGAGAAGCTCTACCGAGCTGGACGGCAGTTGATCGAAATTCCCTCCGCATAAAAGTTCAGACCATGATCCGAAAGGCTCGGTAAATGGGAGCACGCACATGGATTTTCAGGTCTTTTGAGGCATCTGAACGCAAATACTCATTCATGAAACTTACGTTGTCTTTTGCGAGTTGTAACGAATATTTGCATTCTGCAGCGCTAGGTTAGGAATCTTCTTTAGGTATTCAGAGCACTGTAGCAAACGAGAACCACTCTTCATTTGGGCCATTCAATCAAGGACTCAAAAGTTCTCCCATCATCATCCGCATCAGTCCAGCAGCTGTTCAATGGTAAAATATTTACTTGACAAGATTGAAGCAGCAACCCGTCTCAACGCTTATCTGCACGATAAGTGCGGGAGCTAGCGGCATTTTGCTTGAGTCGATCGTCGCTCGCTTTACGACGGGGACCGGTTAGATATCCCCCGGACGGGTAGCTATCTCAATCAACGGGAAGCTATCCGATTATTCCAACTTGGGCTTTCAGTGACTGTCCACGCCATCGATGGGAGGATTGTACTAGCTTTAGAAGAGTCACCTATCGAGAGAGGCGCAACGGCGCTTCGGTCAACACTCGCCCAAAAGTGCTCCATCAGTGGTTTCTGCAGAGGATACCTTGGGTGGCCGGGATTGCTACACGCGTTGGTCCGAGCTCTTACGCGGCAGACCTCGCAGTCCTTACAATGCTTCACCCGACTTCAGAGCAGCCAATGGCACTCAGAGCAATAGAGCATATGTAATTCAGGCACCGCAAGTTCATGCGTGAAGGCCCCAGGAATCAACTACTTACTTATTCGACGAGCTTCAACTTTCCAAATTGTTATTGACGGTCATTAACTGCTTGGGACCATGGCAGCCCACTTTTTCAACCTGGTGCAGAATTACGGCCTGAGAATCGGCACTGGTGGTGGGATACTGATCTTGCTTGTGGTTCTGGTGAAGAGCCCCATTGCGCTACATGCAACACCATAAAGTTGCTGACAACAGTGTAGATTGGTTGGGTTATGCCATACTACCAAAACTCATACAAATTGAACCGATTTCCGGGACCTGTCCTTGCGGGATACACCAGACTATGGTCCTTTTGGAAGTCTAGGTGCGTCACGTGTCCCAAGGACTGCAGACTAACAAATGACTGATGGTTGTGGACAGGAATCATCTGACTTGTCTGTCGGTGCACGATGAACACATGAAGCATGGGGATTTTGTCCGACTTTCGCCCACTCATGTCAGCATCTCTCACCCAGACAGTATCAGGGTATGAACACAAGAAAGTGTCACCTCGATCATGTTAATAATAGCTTGCAACAGGAGATTCTTGGGCATGGCAATGGCTTCGCAAAGTCTGACTTCTACTACGCATTCGACAACATCGAACAAGGCATATTCACTACCCGAGATAGAGCAAAACACACCAGAAAGCGTAGGTTTGTTTCGCACATTTTCAGTCCAAAAGCTATGATCGAATTTGAGCCGTACATGACGATTGCCCTGGGGAATCTGGGTCGACAAATGGACTCCTTAATCGATACAGCCCGGGCAGGGGCCTACGTCTCATGGAGTGCCACAGATCCAATGATTGCCCAGCACCAGAGAAAAGGCGAGGCAGCTTTAGATGCTGCTGTGTGGTCTGCATTCCTGGCATTCGACATCATTGGAGACCTGGCTGTTGGCGAGCCATTCGGCTTCGTCGAAGCTGGATATGACAGCGAAAACAGGATCAAGAAATTGCGGGACCGTGGCGAGTGGTGCGCCACCGTGGGCATGCTACCATGGATCAAGACATGGACGCCATACTTTTACTTCGATTCATTCTTCACGAAGGGATTAAAGGCAGCGCAAGGACTGGCGGAGATGGGTATAGCCTGTGTGGAGAAACGCAAGGCCGTATCGATCGATCCCAATCGTAAGGACATCCTTTACTACCTCCTCACAGCCAAGGATCCCGACAAAGGCGGCCCAATCCCGGACGGTGAATTGAAAGCGGAAGCTTTGACACAGCTGATCGCTGGAAGCGATACCACGGGAAACACTATAACCCATCTTACGGACATGTTGACTCGGAATCCTGCAAAGTTGAAAATCCTGCAGGAAGAATTGGATACCGCCTTCCCAGACCCACTACCCCAAGACTTCGTTGCCAGCTTCGTGGACTGTAAGGATCTTCCCTATGTTCAAGCAGTCATATACGAAACGCTGCGTCTGAGGACGACAGTCTCGATGGGTCTGCCTCGTGTGGTGGGCGAAGGCGGTGCTACAGTTTGTGGCGAGAGATTCGAGGAGGGCACCGTGCTGTCTACCGCGACATATACCACTCATCGTGATCCACGGATCTGGGGAAGTGATTCGTGGGACTTCAAGCCCGAACGTTGGTTGGGTAGAGGTCAGGCCGAACTCGAAAAGTACTTCTTGGGCTTCAGTCAAGGCCCTAGAGCATGCATTGGACGCAACGTAAGTCTTTGAGGTACTGAATTGGCAGTCGGCAACTAATATGGGTCAGGTTGCTTTCATGGAACTCAAAAAGACAGTGGCTACAGTCTTTCGCCGCTTTGAATATCGACTGATATATCCGGATCGAGAGTCGTGGTTACGAGAAGGTTTCCATCTTAAGTGTCAGGAACTGCCTGTTTTCATTCGCCGGCGGGCAACAGCGATTGCAGAGAAGACAGCATTGGCGACATCTTGAGGTGTGTGATGCCACAATTGTGGTTTCCTCAAACATGCTGGCACCTAGAGTTCCAATGGCATGGTAAAAGAAGATAAATGTTCAAGAGGTCAGACCACACGAAAGGCTTCTCTTGTTATATGTGGCTTGGTTTTCAGGAGACCTCGCCTTATCAGAACATTCACGGGCGATAAGGATCAATCAACCAATCCTCCACTCTTGGGCCTTAGTAAACACCTGCAAGGCTGTGGTTTGGCCCATCCTATTGGTTCATATCAAAGGCTGTTGCAAAACGGGTGGACACTATTGGCCGACCGTCTCTAGATACATCTGGGAGCATGTTAACATGTTGAAATGTGCCGACGGACGAAATTCCGCCTTGAAAAACACTTCCTCTCTCGCTGTCTGAGGCCCTCATCACAAACTCATGGTCTTTTCCTACTGTGTGCTTGCACCTCGTTCCTCTAATCAGCCTGCAGCTTCATCACTCACTGCGCAAGATGGCGACCAGCCTGACCCTTCTCTTGGTCGTTGGCGCTGTGTCTCTGCTGGTGCGAGTGTTGCGCCTGGGGAGGCGCCCAGCCAACTATCCTCCAGGACCTCCAACCGTCCCATTCCTTGGTAACATCCATCTGGTGAGAAGTACAGCTATCTGCCAACTAGCAGAAACAATCTAACGCGGTGGACATGTAGATGCCGACTCACGATGCACACAAACAATTCCAGAAGTGGGCTGAAGAGTATGGCCCTGTGTACAGTCTCATCCTGGGAACCAAAACCTTGATCGTTCTATCGAGCGCCGAGGCTGTCAAGGATCTCCTGGACAAGAGGAGCGCAATCTATAGCGATCGTCCAGAGATGTACATTGGGCAGGACCTTGGCAGTGGAGGGCTTCGTCTGCTGATGATGGTAAGTGGAGGCTGAGGATTTCGTAGGCAATGGAAATTCACCACAATAATCAGGGTTATACACCGACGTGGCGTTCGATCCGCAAGCTTGTCCATGGACTACTCAATGTGACTGCTGCCACGAGATACTTGCCGTATCAGATGCTTGAAAACAGGCAGATGCTGTACGAGATTCTACAGAAACCTGACGATATTCAGCATCACATACGCCGCTACGCCAACTCACTGACAACTACCATGACTTTTGGCTGGAGGACACCATCTGAGAATGACCCCCAACTTCGGCAGCTTTTCCACGGTTTCGAAGAGTTCACGGCACTAGCCATGACTGGAACTTCAGCGATGCTAGACTCCTTTCCACTCCTCCGCAGATTGCCCGATGTTTTCCTTCCGACAGCCGCGAAGGCTCGGTCTTTGCACAAGGTAGAGAGACAGCTCTACGTGGGACATTGGCTCAAAGCCAAGAACGGTCTCAAAGACGGAACAGCGCATCCCTCATTTTCGGTCGATATGGCACATTTTCAGGAGAAGGAGGGCTTCAGCGACCCCCTGGCAGGCTACACGACTGGCACACTCCTTGAGGCCGGTTCGGGCACAACATCCGACACGCTCTACGCCTTCGTACAAGCCATGATCCTGTTCCCTGACGTACAGCGGAAAGCCCAGAAGGAAATTGACAGTGTGGTGGGCGACAATCGCCTTCCCGTCATGGAAGACTACGCGAACTTGAGCTATATCAGAGGCTGCATCAAAGAGTCGCTGCGTTGGATGCCGACGACGATCTTGGGAGCTGTCCCGCATGCGGCGACTCAAGATGACCATTATATGGGCTACTTGATCCCGAAAGGGGCAGGAGTCATGAACAATGTCTGGGCCATCAACATGAATGCTGATCGCTATCCCAAACCGCGCGAGTTCAACCCGGACCGATATGCAGATGATGCTCAATCCCTCTTCGAGTCTGCGCTCAATCCAGACCCGTCGAAGCGTGACAATCTCACCTTTGGGGCTGGTCGTCGCATTTGTCCCGGTATCCACATCGCAGAACGAAGCCTCTTCCTCGGAATCTCACGACTGCTATGGGCATTCCATTTCGAGCCGGCGCTTGATCCGCAGACGAAGAAGCCCATCTGGCCGGATCCCGAGAAGCTGACGCAGGGATTTGATTGTGGACCTATCCCCTTCCTCACTCATATTACACCGAGATCAGAGGCGCGCGCCGCACTGGTGCGTGAAGAGTGGCAAGAGGCACAGACGTTGCTCGATCCTGTAACGAAGCAGTGGAATGAGGCTGCCAGAAGGGAGGTCATTGGCATGTAAACCATGTCCCCCATGGTATCATGTCTGGCAAAAAGTGATTCTCAGCAAAAATGGGGGAAGGTTGCATCTGAGGGTGGAGCATCTTCAGCCGCGGAGCCTGGAGGTGATAATTCTATCTTAAGGTCGCTGACCGTGGTGCTGGTCAGGTATTTGGACCTGCTAACATTACACATCACACGATTACCCATCAGCGATGAAATGAAACCGTAATTGTGTATCGGACAACTCGTAATATGGAATGAAATTGTTAGCCGAGTGTTGCCAGGTTGAGGAGGTTCAATCACCGACGGAGACCACGATGGTGGCTTTGGGTAAGCTCCACAAGCCCCCGCACAATTGAGGCAGCCTAGGGAGCCCAACCACAGGCTGTCTTTGGCCCATTGGCACACACAGGAAACAGCAGGATACCTAAGTTAGGTAGTTAAGGCACATCTCATTATCATTACTAGGATATTTCACAGCCCAGATGGCGAATTCACCACTTACCTGGTAGTTTTGCCCCTTCTCTGCAGTAAGTTTCTGGGCTTGCAGATTGGTACCTGACTAGAAACAATTCGGCCTTCTCCGACCCCCATCCACAAACCAACTTAACCACCCCCATGCGCAATAATGCTTCGTAGAGATGACCGTGCCGCGCATATTCTGATCTCTTTACTTAACTAGTGTGGGGTTTTAGGGCAACTGTCGCCCTATTTAACCGAATCGCCGTCGAACCGGCTGTCACGGCGGTTCGGTTCTTGTCGGCGACTGGACTTCTCTTGCCCAATTCACTGAATCCCAGAGCCTCAAGTTGGGCAGGTTGCGCCGACTACGTAAGTTTATGTCCGTCTCTTAAACTCCTTGGTCGCTTTTGTCTTTCATCTTCTATTCGACCTCATCGTCAATTCCGGACATGTTATAACACTTTTATACTGGACTTCTCAACCACTCCACCTCGCCGGGCCCTGTTCGTACTCCTTCACACCCGTGCTCGCGTGCCTCTCTCTTGGATCCAATCGTGACATCATCTTCAACCCCAGTCTCTGGCTGTTGAGACTGCCATGTTGTCTGCAGAACGAACATCAAGAACCCAGCCCCTCCAATATCCTCTTCGACCAACATCCCCACGTCAGACATCCTCCATGGCGCCAGAAAACGATCACGTCGAGCACATATGGATCGTTACCGGTCCCGCTGGGTGCGGCAAGACTACCGTCGCCCAGTATCTTGCCAAAGAGCTGTCGCTGCCCTATGTGGAGGGCGATGATGTATGTAATGTCTTCAATTGATTACGGTGGCGCCGCTAACTTCATGTCCAGTTCCATTCGGCCGCCAACAAGCAGAAGATGGGCGCTGGCATGCCGCTCACAGATGCAGACCGATGGGATTGGCTGATCACGCTCAGAGGAGAAGCCGTCAAGCGACTTCAACACGCCAATGGTGTCATAGTCACTTGTTCCGCCCTCAAACACAAGTACCGAGACGTTATCCGGGTCGCGAATTACGAGCATCCTTCCGTCCAAATACATTTCATCTACCTCAAAGTCGACGAGCACACGTTGCAGAAACGTGTCGCCGAGCGCGTTGGTCACTATATGAAGGAAGGAATGGTTCACAGCCAGATGGTGACGCTCGAAGAACCTGAAGAGGACCAAGAGTGGGATGTGCTCCCAGTGGACGTCAGAGCGGACAAGGAGACTGTGCAACGCGAAGCTCTTGACGTGGTCCAGAAGAAGTTGAAAGAGTACGAGGACGTGCCTAAAGAACTCAGTTAGCTCGGACGCCTTTATTTTGGCGAAACCCTCGGATTTGCGCGATGGATAGACAAGCACAGTGATTTGAGCATAGGCGCCTGGAGTCTGGAATACGGGCTGATCGGTTCTGATTGGCATGGGTCATCGAGCTTTACACTGTACTTATACAAAAGAATGGATGGGCAGCACAATCTTGAACAGGATATCCTGGATATGAGGTTGGATAGCTGTTACCTGAAGAGCTTCATGGACGAACCCATTTGAGGATACTTCATATCTCCGTGTCCTGATGGTCAACAAGTGAACAATTGATGAATGCATCTGATGAAATGGCTTTTCTGGTTCGTTGTGACATTGAACCATTACTCGGTTTGGCCATGCGGGGGTGATCTCCTACAACATGCAACTCGGCAGATGTATGTAGAGAGGAATAGAAGAATTTATGTACGCACGTTCGCCTCACGGCTTTATATTCTCTTCTGGTTCTGCTTCGATCTTGCTCACCTTGGGCGGTGGTGATGGTCGAGAACTTGGAAGACCGCAGTAAACTAAACTTTGTGAAACTTCCTAAAAAGGGTCATCTCTCCAACTGCTCCGTCCTTGTGACAACTCCTGGCAAGAATTACCTGCGCCCACATATGCGCATCCCTGCGCCCATCTGATGCTCGATGTGATCGTCGCATGGGAGGGAATCACTTCTACGGCATGATGCCTCCTCAGTACGCACGGTGACGCCTCCAATCATGATTCAATCACCACCCTCAGCGGCGGCCCAACGCCCGATCCAGTCGCAGCGTCGGCAGCAGAACCACCCGGACCAGATGCAAGCATCGCCAACAGCCATGAACACGTCTTCTGGTACAGGTTCCGAAGTCAGATCTTCGTCTGGCTCAGGACGTTCTCAAAGGAGCGCGAATGTGAGTACTTGACCCTTTGCATGTCACCATGGTGGACTAAATCATCCCTAGCCCGACAAGCAGATTTCGCAGATCGAGAAGAGCGTGACCCATTTGTTGGTCGCTACCAAACAACTTCTGGAGACCTTGACACAATGGTCGCGCGGACAGGCACAGGAAGAGGAGGTGTCCGATGTCTATGTACGGTTGGGATATGAATTCAACTTGGCATGTCGTGCTTTCAATTCAATAGGAGTCGAGACCTCCGACCTGGGCCCTGTTCCTGATCTTTTGCGGAGCATTCTGGAGGACACCCTAAGCCAACCTGCCTCTCCTCAAGCTCTGGACAATTACCTCCCACGAATACGAGATATAATCATAAACCTGCTGCATGGTCTGAAGAGGAAGCAAAGCAGATTACGCGGGAGGACAACGAAGGAGACTGGGGCGGGCCAGACACGGGCTCCTATCTCACAAATCAGGCAGACGAGCGTATCGACTACAGCAAGCAGTGAGACGGGGTTGACACATATGTTGGAAGATATACCCAGCGCGACGTCAAGCATGCGTGGTCCACCGCCACAGCAAGAAAGCACTGCCTTGTCTGCACAAACGTACGAGCCCGCAAACGCATCGGCGGTTCAAGCATCGAAGCCCCCCATAGGCCGACAATCGCTTCGTCGTAATGCCCCGCCACAGCTACCAGATTCCGATTCTACGTCGACCATGTCTTCGAGCACTGCGGAAAACATACCTGTCCTACCACCCTATCATGATGTTGATCAGCCACTGTTGACACCCTCGATCAATTTTCCTCATCCTCCTCCACCACCGCCTAAAGAGACCGATGCCCTCACAAGATTACAACGTGGAGGAGACTTGGAACGGCGGGCATCGAGAAGATTTTCCGCGTATCAAATACAAAAACACCTTGGCGCCTCCCCTAATGGAGTCCCAGTTATACCTCCTGCCCAAAACTCTCCTATTCCCAATCGAGGGAAGGAGGTCCGCGAATCCTTGTCTGCTGTTCGATCACGGGGCTCATTTCAGCAGTCAAGGTCGCGCTCCGTACGTCAAGCAGATGCTTCACCAGGCAGAAGCGGCACAGTCCGAGCGCCTCAGAGGATATCGGAGGAAGCAGAACAAACCCCTGTCTTGTCTCTGGAGGCTGTTCCCCCAATGAGGCCGCCGGAAGAGCCGCTGAATCTTGACAGTCCTACAGTCAAGACGCCGGATGAATACCATAAGCCTCCCGTGAGGAAGGACAGTGACGGAAACAGTCTTGTACTAGGAGCGACGGTAAATGGACCCCTGGAGCCAACGCCTGAGGAACTGCAGGACACTGCCTCGGTTGAATCACAGCCAGCTCCTCAACCTCCTGAACACAAAACATCAGCCGATCAAGAGTTCGACGAAAGCACGCCTGAGACTGTGCAACGAGAACCGAGGGAAATTTACACTCCACCTCAGTCGCAGGTTGTGGCTTTGGACTCTTCGCCACCACAAGGGAAAGAGTTAACGCTCTTCTTACAGTACCGAAGCAAAATCAAGAAATTCGTCCTGGCAGATGGCTATGCAGAGCTTACCATACCGAGGTTACAGCTCGCATTCATTGAGAAGTTTGCATGGAACACTCAGCATGATGGTGGAGAGCTCCCTGAAATCTATGTGCAGGATCCTGTCTCCGGCGTAAGACATGAATTAGAGGATCTGTCAGATGTCAAGGATAGAAGCGTGCTCGTTCTCAATGTTGAGCCGCTTGATGAAGTCAAGAAACACATTGATGAAGGCCTAGGAGGACTCCACAGAACCATAGAAGGTGTCCGATCTTTGCTTGAGGGACAAGGTACACTGATGCAACGATTTTCCGATCGACAGCTCGAGACTTCGAAGGAAATGGCGCGAATGTCGGCAGTTCCAAGCACACATCCTTCACGAACACCCACACTCACTACTGGCCCCTTCTCCGGCTCAGCAGGTCCGTCAGCTCCATCTGCGTCCAACTTGCAGGAGATTCAAGACCTACGCCGGGACATTGCGGTATTGCGACAGACATATTCTACAATGTCCTCAGATTTCAGTGCGGCAATGACCGACATCAAAGCCAAAGCGGCCAACGTCAAGATCGCTGCTGCCGAAGCTACGAACGCTTCATATAAAGGCGACGTTGGTCGCGCGCATATTAATGAAGGCAAGAAGGCGCTGTCGGATGACTCTGAGACCCTTGTCAGTAGAGTGGATGATCTCTCTGATATCGTTGAGGAACTGCGCAAGGACGTCGTACAAAGGGGCGTCAGACCATTGCCACGACAACTTGAAGACATAAGCAAAGAGATCAGTGGGACAACGAAACACCTGAGCAAGGTAAAAGAATTTGTCAAGCGCGAAAAGCCCGTCTGGACCAAGATATGGGAGCAAGAACTTCAAGTCGTGATGACTGAAAGAGATGATCTGACCCAACAAGACGAACTATTGGCTGATCTTGATGGTGACCTTGAAGACATCACAAATGTCTTCAAACTTGTGGAAGAGGCCACCAAGCAGCAGAATCTCCAAAACACAACCACGGGCGGCCGCAATCCCTCGAAAAGCATTCCCTTTGATCCAGATGTCGACCCGCACGAGGCCAAAACTGGCATGCTCGACGAAGTACGCGCACTGCAACCTAACCATGAGAGTCGACTTGAAGCCATCGAAAGGGCCGAGAAGGTCCGTCAGCGTGAGATGCAGACCCGAAAAGTCGGCGAATTTCAACGTGAAGTCGAGAATTTCGTGGAAGAGGGCAAGCTCAAGAAGACTGGTGGTATGGACGAGGTTGAGCGACGCCGGAAGATGAGAGATGAGCTGGCTCGCAAAGAGAACTGGGATCGTCAACAAGCGAGAGCGGCAGAGTTGGAGAAGAAAAGAGCCGAGGAGGCTGCTGCAGCTGCGGCGGCGGCGGCGTCGTCTGCAGAGACCAATGGTGCGCGGCACGAGTCGGACACTTCACAAGAGGGCGAGGCAGCTTTCCAAGACGCGAACGAAGAGAATGTACAATCACCAGAAGGACGTACATCGCCCACTCCAGATCCACTAGCTATAAGAGGCGCTGCTATCGACGAACAACCAGCTCCGCAGCTACCCGAGGTCATTGCGGCGGACGAGAAGGGTCTCGGTATGTCTTTTCTTAATGTGTGATCTGGAATAGAAACTTCTTCTTGATGATCTCTTCTGGTGTCGCCCTTATGATCAAGCGCTGATTCTATGTTTGCTGCTATCATAGGCGTCCATGCTATGATTACCGGCCAGGCTGCTGAAAATATCGAAGCTGATCAAGATACAGCAGAGAATGAGGATAAGGAGAAGGACAACAGAGGGAGTTGGTGGCAACCGGCTATCTTCTCGACTTGATCACGCCTCTCCCGAAAACACCAATCAACCATATAATGAGTGTACGATGGACCTCGCCTCACTCACAGCGCATCACAACGAGAGTGCCTCTACAAGGGTTGGTACCATTGGTCTCATTTCGATTCGCCATATTTCGAAGACTTGGGATTGTGACTGTCCAAGTTTCAACACCACAGATCGAAGAGTTTGATCTTTGGAATGTGCCTGTTCTCAATTTCGGTCACCTAGCCGGCCTGATAGCGCAAAGCGTGGCGTTACTAATGTCTGCGAGTTCCTTACCTTTTCGGCAGCATCCTTATACTTATGGGCATGTATTGTATTCAGCGGATTCGCTCGACACTTGTCGTTGGGCTAGAGTTGGATACTGTATGAAGATGCGATTTTAGGGAGAAAATTCCCTTACCATCCATAAGTTGAAAACAAGATCCACAGAATTCGTGACATGATTATATTATATTATCCAGAGGAGACAAGTATGTACATCTTCCTCTCACGACTTTTTGTTCGGCAAGTCGTACCAGTTATGTACGATGGATTATCGACACACGTCTTTCATTATATGCATCATTCGCCGGCTTTTCAACGGCTAGAATCCATTGCCAACCAAAAATTGGCTGATCTGCTGGTATGTGATCTCGTGGGTGTATTCAAGGTTCAGTCCATGTCCGGAGTCAGGCACGATGAAACTTTGGAAATTGCTGGAGTCAGGGAAGTACTCCTTCACGGCTGCAGGGATGCTGGAGATAGCCGGGTTGCCGGTCGCAAGGCAGTTGCCGCCGCAATATGGGAGGTCTCGGGCGCCGGTGATGACGAAAACAGGGCCGGTGAAGTAGTTGATGCCACCGGTGCTTCCGCCGATGGTCAGCAACTCGCCAACACTGACAGGTTGGCCGGTGGAGTAGGCCAGCGCCAAGATGGCAGGGTCGAATTCGCCGGGCGAGAAAAAGTTGGTCTGAACACCTGATGGGGTGCCGGCGCCAAAGTAACCTGCGACGTACGATGAAAGAGCCGGCACGGTGGTGACGGACACCCAATTACCACCTAGCTCGAAGAATGGGAGGAATGTGCCGTTTTGACTGAAGCCAGTCAGGACGAGACCGTCGGAGAGCGAGGGTGTGTCGCGCGCCAGCGCGTACGACAGTGCCGAGCCGAAGGAGTGGCCGACGTGGACAATCTTTTCGAACTTGGCGCTCACGCCGGGCACGGAACCGTTCCATGCAAGCTCGGTGAGTGCAGTGAGAGCGGCGTGTTCGAGGGCGACTTGGATTTCGGAGAGTGGGTTGCCGTGCGACGACATGCCGATGCCCAGGCGGTCCCAGGACAGGGTCGAGTAGCCGTATTGATCGATGGCGGTCTCGACATAACTGTAGTTGTAGTTGTTGAAGGAGAGGTCCCAGTAGCTCCTGTCGAAACCGATACCGTGCGTGAGGATCTGGAGAGTCTTGCCCGCGCCGCTGGCTGGGGCGCAGTAGGTTGCGGCAAGGTCAAAGTCGCCGGACACCGTCGTGTAGCCGGCGAGGATTTCTTGTGTGTAGTTGACGCCTTGTTCGGCGAGGTCGACGATGAAGTTGGTCACATCGATGTTGGTTTGGGGAATGCTGATGTTAAACACAGCGTTCCTTGCGGAGATGGACACGGGAACAGTGATGTTCTGGCATGTCCATGCCGACGCCAGGCCAATGGCGGAGCTGAGCGCGGCCGCAGTGAAGAAGGAGCGCATTTTGATTGTGAGTATCCGACGACGAATACTGGGTGTTGGAGCTTCTGCTTGGGGGGAGAGGAGCAGCAACGTCAAACTGCGTCCAACAGGACAGCTACCTTATATACCAGCATTTCTCAAGCTTTATGCCCCCTGCCGGCCTCCCGCTGCATGAACGTTGGGATCAAGCTGCGACCTCAATAACCTCCCATCTCACGCACATGAACGATCCAATCTGGACATAGTGAGAGCAAGTGACGACAGGAACAGGGACATTGTGGAGGCGTAGGCTTGAGAGGTTCAGCCAATTGTGTAGATGGAAAAAGGTTCAGTAGATGGATGAGCCCGGGAAAATGGCGGTATGAAAATGTGGAGGAGGATGGGGCGTCATATCCCTGTCTGATGGTCATTTGAGTCGATCTATTTTTCGTACCTCGTAGTCCGCCGCAAAGTTGTTTGTCACTCAGGCCTGTGCAAAAATGCTCAGGATTTGGAATTCGCATCTTGACTAGCCTGACTGGCTATACACCAACTGCCGCTGACAGCCATGTTCTGCGTACAGACTGAGGGTTTGAGTTGAGACTGACAGAACAAAAATGCGGGCATGAATGCGCTGCCAGACCCGTACGTCAGGATCAAACCATGAACCCTAGTTCGCATCTCGAGCCGCTTTCTCATGACGTCCAAGTTTGGAAAATCGCAAAGTTTATCCCCATGCGTTTCCAAGATCATTGCCATATCGAATGCACATTGTTCTTAATGGGTAAGGTCATGTTCCGCCGTGACGACGCGGCACACCCGCCGCTTATGCCCCAAAAGATCGACGTCGTACATTTCAAATTGTTCATATCCTGGATGACCCGGTTGGTGCACCACAAACACCACATAAGGGGGTATCATTTCCGAAGATACTCTAACCTTTTACCGCGGTCCCATCCACTTTGAACAAGCCCGGCCAAACCTTTTGAGGGCTTGAACAAAATATGCTCAGTTCATGGTCAAAGTCACGTTCCACTTTTGAAAGCGGCCGCGTGTGTGCCAGTGAATTTGACTGGCCAGTATGTTGTGATGCGGCACAGCTTCTAGCTGTCCACAATCCAATTTTGGCCATTCGTCAGACAACCTAGAAGGTAGGTAGCTCGAATGATGCAAGCGGCTCACCGTTTGCATATCTTGCTATATTCGGCGTCGAGCTTGCAGGTATCCCATGATTTCGTGGTATGACAATTTAGTGCATTCTGACCATCTTGCAGGTCTCATTTGGTTATGATGGGAATTGTTCTTGAAAGACTTTAAGTGCTTCTCTGGCCCTTATTTTCACGCCCTTGCTCAAGGCTTCTCGGCTCACTTTTTCGAGTGGCACCATGAAGCTTTTGGCGACGTTCAAGCAAACATTCTCGATTGTTTCTGTGTTGCTGTCGTCGGAGTGTGAGAGTTCCTTCTGTACCGCGTTGATTTGGCTTGTGAGTTCATCAACCCAGACATCGAGGACATGAAGCCTTAAGCCGTCTGGCACTTTACGCGCGCGAGGACTGAGCGGCCATGATTCGAGAATGTGGATTTGTCCGGAGATCATATCTTTTGACTCAGGCATCGTGGCCGAAGCGTCGTTACATGCCGACATCAACGTGAGGTTGAACAAGTCTCTCAGAAAGAATCGAACAAGCAGTAAGACTTTGTTCATGCGCCACTGATCGATTGAACTCCATTCTCGGCAGATGGTCTCCCAAAAGGCAGTCGTCCAGGTGTCCAGCCAGGAATAAGGTTGGTCGCTAGAACTTTGGACGTCGGCATCTTTCGAAGCCATTGTGTTGAGCATCCCAGCGAGTTCGGCAGTGAGATTTTGCACTGAAATGGCGCTTTTGCTGTCATGCATGTACAGCGCGACATACAGACCCCGCCAGATTTGCAGACATTGAGTAGAAGTGAGATGACTCGAGGGATCACGCTCGTTGAGGTGGGTTATGAGAGTCTTGAAACATGATCGTCGTACCGATGGCTCTACATGGCACAGTCAGTGTCAATTCTGTTGCATATGAGGCCTTGTTGTCGTCTGGGACCCATCAAAAAGAGGGCTTTCCAAGCAACCGTGAGTACATGTGGTCATCCGCACACCATCTCCAGTAGAAATAGATTTTGGGTCCTTCTCATGTGAGAGTAGGAAACATCGACGACTGGCTCACGACATGAGGGAGGAAGGCTTACCACTACTCGCCAGATCTTTGACGGAAGGAACGGGTTCGGTACCGGCGTTGGCCATACCTAATTTCGCAGGACTTGATCGCTGTTGACTTGGGTGATGTATTGCGAGGCTCTGAGTCCGATGTCTCGCGTTGCGGGTTTGCTTCAAGTCGACTGAATGGAAATAAAACGCAAACTGCCTGATTGACTTTGCAAACCCCAGAAAAAAAGTTGCCCGCATTTCAGCCAATGATGTGCAGTCTTGGCGGCTGCCGACGACAACTTCACTCACTTTCACTCCTTGTTGTTCTCTCTTCCTTCCATCTTCACAAACATGCACCATGGTCACGATTTTTACGGCAGTGTGTTCTTTTGCAGCATGCAGTCACCGCTCGGCACGAGTATACTTTGAAAGCGGCAGAAAGAATGGCACCTGACCCAAAAGCCCATGGGCTGGTTCGGGTCCTGCTGTTCTAATAATGCATTGCGCCATAGACGGGAAGCTGCAGCTCACACATCGACGATGGTCTCCTGTCCCTGTCTTGTTTGCCCGTCTGTGGACAGATCGATAAGCTGTACCGAATTGCAATAACAATGTCTCGTGGAGGATTACCTGTCCGCTCACGAACTCCAACTCGTCAATGACTGTTTCCCAGCGCGCAGTCATAGTCCTTGCGATATACTCCATGTTCTGGGGACCGTCGATCGCAGCTCTTGATGATTGGGAACTTCCCTAGGTGACCAACGATGCTCCACAGCCAGCCATACGACAAGGCTGCCCAAGTTAGGCGGGTGGAATTAAAAAAAGAAGTCAACATGCTGACAGCTTTCAATGCCTCGAGCTTGAATAGGTAGCCCCGATGACTGCAACATTGACAATGCTAGCAGAAAATTATTCCCATCATTTATACTCACAGGCGCGCCGCAGGAGGTCGGGTTTGGTGAATTCGTCCGCATTCGTGAAGCTGACCGCTTCTTGGACGCGCCAAGCTGCGTGTATACTATCACCGCTCCGAATACTGCCTCTCCTTGTTTTGTCGTATCGGACCTTTATTCTCGCAGTTACTATCACACCCATCACATCCTCACTGGTGTTCTGCAATACCATCTTGCATCACACTGGCGTGATTACCAAGCCTTCATGTTCTTTTCGTTGGGTGCACGAAGAGTTACTGTCCCCTTCCACCTAGACTGGAAAGATGGGGACAACGCAGGACCATGATCATCGTGAAGCCTCAGAAAAGAAATCCCGTGACTGCTTTGTGCGATGGTACGGTTACGAGGCTTTGAATCCCGGCACACCTGTACCTTTTACAGCTTTAACCCTCGCCCAAGCCAAGCTCAAAGTCAATGGTCATGTTCAGAGCATATTCGAATCTTGGAGGAAGCTCAATCGTATCATATCGACCAGAGAAGCCGTCATTCGGAGGAGGTGGATTAAAAAGACACACGAGCAACGCAAGAAGATACTTCTTGCAGGATGGCCAGGCATGCCCAGCATGCACAGACCCGACTTTTATGAGATGCTCCGCCGCTACGCCAGTCGTGGCGATTCTACCAAATTCTGGGATTCAGCGTTGGGACATCCTGCTATCAACATGGAGGATCTGCTTCAAGCCAAGTCGCTCCTTCTCCTGCTCAACTCTCGTGGGCGCCATCTGCCGGATGTCTTTGCCCACGCCGATCTCGAAAGCTGCCGGATGGAGTTGATCGCAAACGCAATCAGACTGCCGCTTCTACCAAGAGGCTTTGCAATGTTGCTCGCTGGACAGGAAACCGAGGAGAAATATGGCATGATACAACCAGAAAACGGCAAATCTGGGTCTTCATACTTCTGCGAATGCCGCGGTTTCTTGGTACTCCAGACGCAGGAAAAGCTCCTCAAGTTCCTCCTCGAGTGTTGCTATCGAATACTACACGACATCCCACATGATGCACTCATCAATCCAAACGTGCCAGTGCAAGCAGAGCCAGAGGCTATTACGGTCACCGAGACCTCATACTTTCAGCTGTCGGCAGTTGTGGTTGAAAGCCTTTATCGAGCACCGAAAGAGCTCGACACAATGCGGTTGCTTAAGCTGATTGAAGCAAGGAAAGCCCAGGCTACAGACCACGTTTGGGACATGAGAGAAGATCCCGGATACTTTGCATCGACTGTCATAGACTACGCCAATTTTCAGCCCCATCCAAATCAGGAGGAATCCGCCCATTCACACGACCTTGTTACCTGGAGCGACATCGTCAGCCGCACAGTATTTTGTACGTACGTTGACTGGGCCGCCTGGACGGATCTTGATGCAAAGGCAGCAATACTTGACGATAGAGCAAGTACCGATTTCAGACATCTCGACCACACAAAGCCACTGCCTAAAAACCTTGAAGATGCCCTACTCGATGTTGCCAATGCCGCAGAATCCATCGTGGTGGAGCAGGCCCGCCGACTTGAGTCAGCATATTCCCGTTCAGGACAGGATTTCCTTTCCATCCAGGACGTCTCCGGCGCCTTTGGACATGGACACGTCGACACGTCTCCAGGAGACCTTTTCAAGCTCACATTTAGCCTGCTTTGCAGCACGGGCAACTGCGACTTCCTCGCTATGGTTGGGGGTTGGAGCTTCATCGACGTGATTCAGCACATGCTCGATCAGAAGCCCTCGCTCAAGAAAAAGGTGTCTGCCTACATACTGGGCATCTTCTCCGATCTCTCCCTTTCCCTCCAAATTCTCAAGGAAATTCTCGACTTCTTTCCGTGGTCTGCAAGCTTCCCTGACAAGTTGAAGACGAGAAAGCACCGCTGGATGACCTGTTGTGCGAGTTACACGCTATGGTGGACAGACATGTACAACTGTTTGAAGTCCTCGCAGACCAGCACTGGACTGCCACGACTTGTGCTGCCACTTACGACCACATTCTACTATCCCACTGACAAGCCTTATAACCAAGCCAACGTGGACGCTCTACGACGTGCCGAGAGACATCTGGACGACCTTTGGGAGAGCATCGACGGTGCTTGTGATGACGTCGAACAGACTTTGCATGGGTGTTTCAGGAATGTCATGCGAGGGACCCGCGAGATCAAGAGAACTGGCCCGTGGATACCGCCAGCCTCGTCCCTACCAGAACCTCAATCACAGCCCAGCTGTGGGAATGAATCATGTTCCAGTGACATTACGGTTACACAAGAGAAGCTCACCCATCTCACAGTATCAGAAACGCCACGCACTAAGGTAAAGACTCGTGGTACGCCGGATACACTGCGTTCTCATGACCAGAACGAGCCCGTTATCCCAAAGGCTGAGGTCTCGGCACCGGCCCCAGCAACATACCACGTCTCGGAACGCGCCTTGAAGGTCTTCAACAACATGTTCCATGTGGAATCCACCGAAACAAAACAGCGAGAGATTGCATGGACGGACTTCCTCCACGCAATGACTGCCGTGGGCTTTTCAGCAGAGAAATTGTATGGGTCGGTCTGGCATTTTGCGCCCGGAGGGCTAGAGGGAGGAAGCATACACATCCACGAGCCACACCCATCAAGTAAGATTCCTTTCAGGATTGCACGGCGTATTGGGAGGAGATTGAGTCGTCAGTATGGATGGACTGGCGAGACGTTTACTTCGGGATGAATGGGTTGAGCAACGGGATTTTTGATAGTCAGATAAGGTTCAAAGCCTTGTTGGATACTCAGCGAGGTTGCATTGGCATTGATTGAGGTGTGAGCGGAAAAGCGGAAATGAGCAGATTATTCCAAGGCTCAAAAGAAATGTCATTGCGAGCAGCTATTTGGTTCCCTGCGTGTTGCTCGAGTCTATCGCAAATCGTACCGTTCCCGTGCCTTGACCTCATCTGCATCCCTCTTTGCACTACCATTTGTATGTCCTTTCAGCTGCCCTTGAAAGCTTGGAGATCCTGCACCCAAGTTGGGCAAGAACTTGCCAACTTTCTGCTGATATTCCTTGTACTCTGGATACTTTCTCGATGACAGCAATTCAGTGAGCCATGTACTGGACTGAAACAATATCAGGTATGACACAGCTCCAATCCCAGTCCAGTTATACCATGTCCCTGTCGCTAGGCAAGACCACAAGTAAAGTGTAACCCATACAGTCTGTTCGGCGGCGAAGTTGGGGTGCCTTGAGTAGGCAAACAATCCTCTGGTGTTGAAGCCACGTTCCAAATTGTCTTTGTCGTAACCATTGGGGACTTTTCCAGACTCCCTGTAAGTTGACCTGGCTGAATAATAGTACCATTGTTGTTGATCGGCAACAAACGATGTGACTACGCCAGTGAGCATGAGCGTTGCGGCCGCGATGTCTGCAATGCCGAAGCTAGGCACGCTCGAACTGTGGGTGGCCAATCTGGAGACAAGAACGAGGACGTAGCTTGGAAAGGTTATGCTGGCCAGAAGGAAAGATTGTCCGAATGAGATAAAGGAGATGTTGAAGAGGAAGAAGAGAGCCGGTCCAACATTCTTCTTGACGATAGCCCAACGATAGTCCTCGCTGCCGACAGTATAGCCGCCTTTTCGCCAGTAGTTGTAGGTCAATCTAGTCTGGTAGAAGGTCAGTAATCGTCCCGGTGTCGATCATGATTGGACTTACACTCCAGAGGCAACTGATGGCTGCCACAACATTGAGCCTGGTCGTATCGATGCCGGCCAGATGAGCATAGACAGCATAATGAATGTTGTAGATGGTCGGCAGAATGGACCAGACACGATCCACTTGCGAGTAGTTTTTGTTGATCTCCGAGACGACAAGGAAAATTGGAGATATGGCAAGGGAAAACGCAAGGGCTGTGATAAGCGGGTTGGTGTCGAGATACAGCTGTTTCAGGCCAGCTGCATTGGTGGCTGTCTGTAAGAACACTTGTGGTAGCGGCCGTAACTGGTAGAGGTAAGGGGCAACAGTGTTGTTATATTCAGCACACTCGACCAGACTGCGTACTAGTGGTAACGCCATAACGATTCAGTATTCGCAAGGATGATTGAGGAGATTTTGCAAATAGGAGGAAGAGGAGCAAGTGTGGTTTTATAGTGTGATGTTGGGTGCACAAACACTTGTAGGACGATTCGGATGATGATGCTCGTAAAAATGTGGTGACGCAATTAATGAAAACGCACAAGCGAGAGATCTCCGCCACGGTAAAGGTCGTACTCTAGGCTGTTTCAGGCACCAGATCTCCGAAAGATTGGTTAGACCCAGATCTCTGAGTGCCGCCTAATACTCAGCCTACTGTGGTACTCCGTACCTTGGGAGCCCCTAGCCTCCAGATCGCGCCGGCGACCACGACGCGATCTTTTATCACATGCAGATGCCAAGTCGACGCGATTTACCTTTATTCGACTTTCAGTCATCAACTTTCCTCATTTTGGCCATAACCAAACACTGATATCACTTCTGCATGCTGTTGCGATTTGTTTCACCAGCTGTCAAATCCCTGCAAGATGAATCATGCCGGGTCAAAAAATCTTGTGCGTCGCAGAAAAGCCTGCGATAGCCAAGGCAGTCGCTCAGCATCTTGCAGGCGGTCAAGTCACTACACATCCCATTCGTGGCAATCAATACGTCAAGAACTATGAGTTTGATTACAACTTTCGACAGTGGGGGAACTGTTCGGTCACCATGACCAGCGTGCTGGGCCACTTAACTGGTTTGGATTTCGACCCGAAGTACAAGAGCTGGAAATCTTGTCATCCGCGAGAATTGTTTGACGCAAACACTGTCACAACTATCGACAAGGACAAAAAGTCTGTTGCCGAAAACATCCAGCAGCAAGCCCGTCATGCTCGAGTGCTGTTCATATGGACTGACTGTGATCGAGAAGGTGAGCATATCGGTGGCGAAGTACGCGATCAAGCAAAGAAGGGCAATCCCAACATCATTGTCAAGCGAGCAAGATTCAGCAACACTGAGAAGGCACATGTTGTCCAAGCTGCACAGTCTCCCATTGATATGGATGAGTGTCAGGTCAATGCAGTCGCTGCCCGGATAGAACTTGACCTCCGGATAGGTGCATCTTTCACGAGGCTACAATGTCTAGAGCTTCAGCGTCTCAGCGAAACACTCCACGATCAAACAATCAGTTACGGATCATGCCAGTTCCCCACCCTAGGCTTTGTCGTTGACCGCTACAATCGAGTCAGGAATTTTAAACCAGAAACATTCTGGCTGATCAAGTTGACACACACGCGTGACAAGATCAAGGTCAACTTCAATTGGCAAAGAGTCCATCTTTTTGACAGAGCAGCAGTCACCATCATTTTCGAAGCATGTCTCGATGACAAATTGGCCACTGTCACAAAGGTCCAGAAGAAGCCTACCTCAAAATGGCGTCCACTACCACTGACTACAGTGGAACTGCAAAAGCAGGGTAGTCGCTTCTTGTGCATGACCAGTCACCAAGTCATGGCGGTCGCCGAGAAGCTCTACCAGAAGGGTTTTATCAGTTATCCACGTACCGAAACGGACCAATTCCCTCGGGAATTCGGATTTGAAGCTCTCATTCAACGACAGACTCAGGATAACAGTTGGGGCCAGTTTGCACAGGGGCTCATCAACGGTGGTTTCCACACCCCTCGCTCAGGTAGTCACAACGATCAAGCACATCCACCTATTCATCCTGTCAACTATGCTGCGGCCTCGGCACTCGACCAGAACGAAAAGAAGGTATACGAGTTCGTGGTCAGGCGATTCCTTGCTTGCTGCTCGGAAGATGCCAAGGGAGAAGCGACGGATATTGAAGTGCGATGGGGCTCGGAGACATTTCATACGCATGGCCTTCTTGTTCTTCAGCGGAATTACCTCGATGTCTATCCATACGACAAGTGGGAGAGTAGTCAGCAACTACCTGCTTATACTGTTGGAGAAACGTTCAAGCCGACCGAAGCGAACATGGTTGATGGCAAGACAACGGCCCCAGGATACTTGACGGAACCGGAATTGATCACGTTGATGGACGCAAACGGCATAGGAACAGATGCCACAATGGCCGAGCATATTGCCAAGATCAAAGACCGCGCCTATGTGGACACAAGACCGCGATCTGGAGGAGGGCGCAATTCAGTACAGGAATTCATCCCTACCACGCTTGGCGTGGCCTTGATAGAGGGCTACGACAATGTGGGACTTGACGTCAGCGTCAGCAAACCATTCCTTCGCAAAGAGATGGAGCTCAAGATGAAGGCCATCTGTGAAGGTCGGCGAAGCAAGACTGAGGTGGTGCAAGAGAGCTTGGACCAATACCGTGAAGTGTTTGTCAAGACGAATAGCCAGATCGGTGCTTTGAGAGACGCTGTGACGAAATATGTGGTGAACGGTGGTCGAGGATGAAAAATTGGTCGAGCTCGTCATTCCCACAGCGACGTCGCCAAGCAATCAGCGTCCATCTACATCGAAAAAGCCAGCCGAATACCCACGACGATCACCTTTCTGTGGCATTGAAAGCCACAATGCACGATACACAATGTCCCCAGATTTCCGGACCATGGAACCTTCCAAGAAGTGCAACAGCAAATCGGAATATTTGCGCCACAATCGATTCAGGTTTCGGCAGGGATATGACGCAGGGATGACGCTGCGATGGAACAAGATCGGAGACATGACTGTGGCTGATGCTTCGATTCACCAATGGTCTTCTTTCAGCCACATCCTGTCAAAGCCTCGTGTGAGAATCTGGGCGATCAGCATCATGAATGCCCCAAAGGCCAAGACTATTGCTGGCTATCATAGCCTGATTGTGCAAGATCGTCCAACCTCGACTGTTGTGCGAGAGCCTCCGCCTCTGACGCAACTGTAAGACCCTTTTGGGGAACGGCTGCTGCAATGGATATATAAACTGCTCTTTCTCAGCTTGACCTGAAACTGTCAACTAATTCAAAGCATTGAACATACTTTACGAACACTATATCTTTTCTATCAGACAGCATCCATCATGTCCAATCTCATCAACAAAGCCAAGGTAGCCTTTGCGGAGCACAAGGCAGAGAAGAACACCGGCACAACTGGCTATGGAGGCACTCAAACAACCGACTACAGCACCGGCCAGACTGGTACTGGATATGGTCATCATGCTGGCACAACAGGGACCACCACAACTGCAGGGCCCCACAACAGCTCTGTTATGAACAAAGCAGATCCTCGTGTTGACTCAGACCTCGACCACAGAGGAAATCCTACAAGCCATATCGGCGGACACGGTACCTCCCACACTACGGGCGGATACGGTACCGGCGTCGGCACCACCGGCGCTTCCACCACCGCAGGTCCTCATAACAGTTCTGCTCTGAACAAGGCAGACCCCCGTATTGACTCAGATCTCGACCATAGAGGAAACCCCACGAGCCACGTCGGCGGGCACGGTACTTCCCATACTACGACTGGCTACGGAACGGGTGCCGGTACAACGGGAACCACTACAACTGGTACCAGCGCCAGCGCAGGCCCGCATAACAGCAAGCTTTTAAACAAGCTGGACCCTCGCGTTGACTCGGACCTTGATCACAGAGGTAACCCGACAAGCGCGGCTGGTGGATATTCTCAGGGCGCTGGGTACGGTGCTGCAGGCGCTACCGGTATTACGGGTACAACAGGTACGGGCCATCACAGCCATCATCATGGACATGGTCATCACGGCCAAGCGCCCATTCATGACCAAACCACGACCGGACACACTGGTGTTGGCTCGCACACCGGCTATGGAGGAAACTCTGGCACGACAGGCTTGGGTGGAAACAGTGGTACTACAGGCTTGGGTGGAAACAGTGGTACTACAGGCTATGGTGGAAACACTAGCACCACAACGGGCACGCAACCAGTCCACAACTCGAATCTGTTGAACAAGCTCGACCCCCGAGTGAAGACTGACAGTAACGGCAATGCCTACTGAGGAGTATAGTTGGGCAGTAGTTTTGTCTGATCAGGCGGACTTGCATGGAGATATTATACCCAGGTGTGTTTTTATAGGATAGTGATCCATTGAACGAATGATATCAACAATATGAGTCAATTTTCCTTGCGGAATTTTGTGCAATGCCTCCTGCAACGGTTCCAACCCGTTATCGTGAGAAGTTATATCAGAATACACTCATATAGGAAAAGACTTCCGACCTGACCCGTCCCTAAGCACCACTCAGACAACGTTTGCTATGATAATATAACGGGCGCACACTCAGCAGGACGCCTGATTAGCAGGGCGGCCGAGACTCAATTTGCACTCGCGCAAACACCCCTTTCCGGCAGGCAAGCTCCACCAACTGTCATGAATCATTCCAGTATCAGAAGCAGAGAAGGCCAAGTTATGATTATTAGCATGCAACACGCGTATCTTTTGCTGAGCGAGCACAAAGCGCCTCCAAACACACTCGTACAAGCAGGTTCAAAGTAAAGGGTCTCGCATGAATAAGACCTCACCTCATCGACGCGAAGCCGAAAAGGGCATGAGCACTATTCGACTTAGTCATGAAGGTGGTGGGCCTATGTCTGTGTGTGTTGTCCTGGTTGGATGAGAAGGTGTTGGCACGGCTGATGAACTCAGCAGATCGCATGGATGAAGGGTTTCAAAAGAGCCGTGCGGGCGCTCGTTAGTGGCAACAGATCCTCCTGTAGGCTCCCAGATTGGTTGCTCCCCCAAAGACTTTCCCACTGGACCCTTGCAACGGGATCCCATTTAGGCGCAATGTAACTTGCTTGCTCCTCCGATACCCCAGCCTAAGCCTACAGCCTGCAATGTGCAATTAAGTTATCAACCTACAAGCCAACACAGTCGCCAGCCTAGAACAATGTTTCGACCTTTCGTTTCTGGCAGAGTCGTTCCCTCTTATGCACTGGCTATCTTCGACTCTTCTTCTTCTACTGCGTCGAACCTAATGTTGACTTCGATCGCATAAGGAAAACAATAATCCTTCCCTCTGGGCCTCTGCCATTTCCATACCCACGTGCATCTCCCAACATGGCCAATCGACCGACTGCACCAGAACCTTTCCCATCCTTCAGAGACGACGATGAGGTCCCCTATCAACGACCCGCGACCGGGACCGAGCCTACCGGAGACGGTAGCTCGAGTCGCCGAGGGTCCATCACATCGCGCATGTCCACGAAGGCACGCACTCGGACAGGCTCCCTCGTACAATCGTTCATAGAGAGCAATCCTCCTCTTGGAATGTGGCAGGCCACAGGAGAAGTGGGCTCCAAGATTCCCACCCTGCCCGAGATCAGAAACGGCGCGTTCGCAAACGAAGGCTGGACGCACGAAGGACAGATGGAACATCGTGGTACAAACCCGCACCAAATCCACAAGCAGCGGATGCAGAGGACTAGTTCTGCTAGTACGAGGACGAGAAAGAGTTCGATATCTGCGGCAGGCGTACAACCTTCCATCGCGGAAGAGAGACATGAGTTCTTTCCCAAACGAACGCCGACTTTCCAGCAGGAGACGCTGCACGAGGAACCTACGATCAGGCAGTCGCGTGTTGAAGACATCCAGCCGGCACAGAGGTATGCATTGTCACCCATCCCCCAATTCGTCACATCATAAAGACATAAAACCTAACGATATGTTTAGCATTGGCGAGAAACGCCGCGACAGGGCGCAGACACAGGAGAAGGATACCTCCATGGCCTCATCACAGCGAGAAACAGAGGGCCAGAATGTGCCCATACAAGGTGGGCCCGACGAGACAGGCACGTATCCCAACGGCTATCGCTTCCCCAAGAAACACAGCTGGGGGCAGTCGACCATGATCGGCCTGCGCGCCTTCTGGAAATTCCTCCTCACTCCTTTCGGTTTCGTCATCACAATCTACGGCCTCAATGTCGTCGGCTGGGGTGCCATGATCTTCTTTGTCCTACTCAACGCCGCCCCAGCCATGTGCCATCCCACCTGCAATTCCAACGACAGCGCTCGCAAGAAATGGATAGAGATCGACTCGCAGGTTCTGACGGGATTGTTTTGTGTCACCGCTTTCGGCCTCCTACCCTGGCGAGTCAGGGATCTGTATTATGTCTTGCGCTGGCGCATTGGCAAGAACAACAACTACCACCGCCGGCTGGCGGGTGTCTACAGAGGATGGTACCGTCTTCCCGGCTCCGATCAGCTGCCACTAGACATTGGCCCTCCACCAGTATACAACAAAAAACACCCACAGACACCAGAATCGCCTCCCGCCTTTACAGAAGAGGAGATCGCTGAGCTGGAGACGAATCCTGCCATACCGTTGCCCGCCACGTCTATGCCAGAACCTCCATTGACAGGCCTTCGAGCGCCACCATCCAAAGGCTGGTACCTCGACTTCATCGCTTGGATGTACATGTTTAACACCTGGTTCCAAGTCTGCTTGTGTGTCTGGATGTGGCATTGGGGCCGTATCAATCGTCCGAGTTGGGGGACTGGACTTTTCATCACATTGGGATGTTTGGTCGCAATCTTCGCAGGTCTTCTCGTCTTTATCCAAGGAAACAAAGTGAAGCGCATTGAAGGTATACCAGTGCAGGAGTATGACGTGTTGGAGTCTGTCGACGATTACCAGGAGCGTAAGGCCAAGGAGGACGCGAAAGAAGCCAAGAAGACGGCCAAACAAGAGAAGCATCATCATTTCCGACATAATGATACGCACAGGGTTGTCCGATCCGAGAAGCTCAAAGGTCACCAATGGTTTACTCGGCATTGAAAGTGGCTCAGGTTGATAGTGTTAAGATTGTTATATGCTGGAGACTAGTTTGTGCTTGAAGCTGCCTTCAAGGCCCCTTTGGCAAGGATATATCTCTTTGAGCGACGGACAGCCTGACTTGCTGTTACGAAATTGAACTTGGTGGTTTTGTGCGAGCCTAGGCATGGTTTGGTTGAGGCCTTTTGCACGGAATCATGAATCACGGAGACTCACAAAACTGCTGGCACATTCTGCTCAAATACTTAATCTTTTAAATACCCTGTTGTGTCTCCTCCACTCCCACTCTACGTTGAGACGGCGCGTCGTTAGATCGAAGATGTTGCAATCTGTGCCGGCGAATTCATGGCGGTCTTGCGCCTCGTGCTGGCCGTCTGCGATGCCCAAATTTGTCTGGGTTCATCGTCATGTAGTCTCGACAAGAACATTCTGATCGAGCTCCATATTCGTTCAGTCCGTCGATATCGAACGGAGAGATTTGGCTGCACAGTATTGTGTTCCGTGTGCAAAGCACGGTTTGCCATGATTTTTGCCACTTCGCATCCTGCACCCCTACTGGTGAATTGTGCAAAGGAACACAGCGGCGGTTGTTTCAACCATTCTGTCGAGGTTTGACCTCTCCCTCCTGCATGATGTAGTAGACTATTGTTCCATCTCCGCCGCCGCCCTCCTTGGCCTTCATCCCCAGTAGCACGCGCTTCTGGTCGTGATGCTCGTACCGAGCTGGCATGACATTAGCGTTGCCATTACCGTTGCCCTCTTGAACTCCGCCTTGTTGCTGACCTCGATTTCCTGGAGCCTGGTCCGCGAAGACCGCCTGCCGGTCAGGCAGTTGATCGAATACCGCGCAGAAGCGTCCCAGGGTCCACGACTCGGCGAGTGATAGTGGCAGGACGAACTCGCGTTGAATAGGGATCGAGCTCTCCTCGATGGAGTGTCTGACGAGATAGTTCTGGAAGTCAGGGTGGATGTAAGCGTGGCGTGTGGGCAGGCCGGAAATCAGGGTGACTGTCTCGCTGGCTGTCGACGGTGTGGATGTGCCGGACGATGAGGAAGGTGAATGTGAGCGCGGAGCTGGTTGGAGACCGAGTCCATCGAGATCGAAGAGTCCTGAGGTCGGCAACGTATTGAGATAGACCTGATGCCGTTTGAGATCGGTCCAGTTATGTTGGTATTGGAGGTTGTGAAGAATTTCGATCGAGAGAGCATCGAAGGCTGATTTGGCTCCCGATGAAGTGATGAGCGACGACAACGCAGACGGTTCCGGGGGCGTGGTCGTCATTGTTGTTGTCATATGGAAGACTTGGTCCCGGTGAACTAAGGACTGAAATAGTGTCTTGTGCAGGTCTTTAAGGAGATATTGTTTTCAGATATTTCTAGTCGTAGCACCTTACTCGGATCATGTTGTTTGGTTCGTGGTCGCGCCGACTTCACTGAAGGCTTCCCTGCTGTACAAAGGCTTTTGCTTGACGACGTTGTTCCTGGACACCAGATTCGTGGTTGCTGGTTTGAAAAGTGGAATTTATATCACGTCTTGGCATCGAGGTTGAAGCAACAACATCCTTGGATCCCTCCTTCCTTTTCTTCCCCGTCTTCCTTTCTTCATGCCCATCATACCTTTCGATGATCACGGATATCGGGTCTTGACACACTTGCGTCTACATTCCCGAACCGCCCTATTAGGGGTTTGCAGATCGATAAATGCTACAGTAGAAAACCACTGCACAACTGGCAGACGGCATTCGCAGTCAGGTTCCCCTGATCACATCAGCATGACTCTGCATACGGTAGGACGCATGCCAGCTGCATTTACGCCATCCACTAGTCTACATACGCCTCATTTGGCCTTGGATCGACCGCCGCATTCAAGTGGCACGAAGGTTCGTATATCCCATGCATGCGTCTGGAGCAGTCTTTCCTGCACGCTGAGTATTGCGGTCTTGTATGGCGTACAAAACCATCAAACAGTGCCATGAACGAGCATCAGGGTTATACACCAGGTATGATGAAGAGTACGGTGGCAGTCATGTTATAAGGGCGTGACTACAAGCATAGTCTTTCCAGTATCTGGAAGCAGCAGTTTCCGGCAAAGGCGGGTGTAGATACTCATGTCAGCTACAGATCAGTTCTTGTTCCTCGTGTCTACTACGGTCAGTCAGAACTCGGTGAAGGATCATGACCAGGATCAGCAGGCCCGCGCTCATGCAGCGCGCAGGTCGCATGCAAACCGTCGTTCGGAAACGTCTGGGCTCCAGAAGCGGGAGAATGAGACAGCCTTACGTCCGGCTGCTGCCCCTTACAAGTTCAACATGGCAGCGCATCAGCGAAAAATGAGACTGGGAATCATATTGACAAGAACGCCGTTTGACAATGGCAATGACGAACCATTTGATAGCTTGGCGGCAACTGCTCTTCCCCCTTACGTTTTCTCCGTGCTCTATACAGGCAAGTCTTGACCGCTACATTCAATAACGTTTCGCGACAATTGACATCCTTTTCAATACTAGCGTTTCACCACAAGTGGCCACGAGTAAGATCCATTGCTCTGGATCCCAGCGTGGACCCTGTGGCCAGAGCGTGGATGAGAGCAGCTCTGGAGTCCCCAATTGTTCTCCATGCTTCGGTGTACGCAATGCTTCGCACAATCCTCCTCGCTAGAACCGCCCCAAGTCCTGAGAACGCGCTCGCGCTCGAACAGTATGCTCGATGTCTTCAGTATCTAATGAAGGACATGAGACTCATTCAAGACGGAATCAGTGAACCATCTGACAGTCTCCTCATCGGAACAGCAGCTCTCGCATCTCATGGAGAATTACGATCCAAGCGCAGCATGGCGGCAGATCCCAGGGTGCAGATATCACCAGTGGCCAAAACACAGAATATCGATGTCTACAGCTCGGGACAGATGGAACCTGTGCACATGCAAGCCTTTTACTTGCTGGCTTCTCAACGAGGAGGGCTGCAAGCTTGTCAGCTGCACGGTCTGGCAGATATCCTCGAGATGTAGGTCCAGCCAGAACCTCCCCACCTTGCAGACTGCCTGACTAAGTGATCCAGAATTGATCTTTGTTTTGCTACCCGCGCACTAGCAATCCCGCAATTCGAGTCTCGCCATACGACATTCCTTGTGCAGCTCACCGGCACCTTTAACTTTGACGCTGAGGCTCAGGCATTGCTGCAACGATTCGGAGAAGCTTTTCTTGAGAGTGCCGAGTTGCAGCCTCTGCACTTGACAATACATCATATGCGAACGGTGGTGGCAGCTCTCGACCAATATGTGAGAGAAGGACAAAAGCCAGCTAGCCTTCCCAAGCTTCTACAGGCAAGGAATGCTGTCCAGTATCTCCTACTTTCTGTCTCTGCACGCAAGTCAGCCTCAGATACGGCAGATTGCTCGGTCGACATGTGTCGACTGGGACTGCTCATCTTCTCCAATATGGTGCTGTTCCCTTTGCCCACCGAGTCTGGTGTGGCTGAGATGCTGGTAGGGGCGCTTCGCGGGCGCCTTCTAGAGAGCCATGTGCTTGAGGGTCATGTTGATATATGGTCGCAGCGCTCCGATCTTCTCACCTGGATCGTCACCTTGGGGACGATGGCAGCTACATCCACAGCTTACTCCCAGTGGTATACCCAATACCTAGCAGACATGATGCCTGTAGGACACCTGCCAGGATGGCATCATCTGGAAGAAACTGTGCTCTCCAAGTATGCTTGGTGGAAATACACTTGCAGCAATTGGGGCGAGGGTATTTGGTTGGAAAGTACGCTCATCTGTGAAAGAAATAATATGCAGAAGGCTATAAGCGGTGTCAAGAATGGCTTGAACATATAGGACATCAGTGGAGAGTTGGAGTTTTTAAATTCATATAATCATGTGCCAAAATGAGAACCCGTCAGTACCGTGTAGACCTGACGACATTCCCAACGACACCATTTCCAGCGTCGATGTCCCTATGCATCACGTACAAAAATGTACAATGCCTCGCCACGAGAATATACACTGTGCCATGTCCTTCATCATCCCATCTGACTGGACAGACAAGATGAACGGCATATCGACATTGATGACCCTTGACTTTCACCATAACTCCCCGCTGAACCAGACCAAAATGCAATATACTATGCATGAATCATGGGCATTGCCACGAATTATCAGTAGCCGTTTGACCCAACGACGATTCCCTTTCGTTGCTTCACGGCGCAAATCGCCCTACAACAAGGGCGTTGAGGACATGCCCCTGATTCCATCCTTGTTCGGACAGAGTGCACTTGTCGTCGAGGATTTTGCCGAGATAAGCAATCCGGATGTTTGCTTTGCTGGGGATCTAAGACGAATGGTCAGTACAAATTCTAGGTGGAGCAACTACGCGTATGGGAACGTAGCAAGGCATACCTCAGTCTCATCTCGAATCCTCTGCGCAAGCACTCCCACCAATTGACTCCTGCCCAGAAGAACAACGACATCTGGCCCGCCACGGTCGCTCAGGCGACAGCGGACTTTGATGGCGTCCTTCTCGACATTGGCCTTGCCCTTCGCCTCTTTCATTTTCTCGGCGTCGTTGGACTGGTTTTGGGTCATAGGCTGCATGCTCGGATCCTCCGCGGCCTCGAGTTTGGCCGCGAGGGTATCGCCCTCGGCGGGGCCGGTAACAGTCTGACTGTCCATATCGGCGATATCTTCGACCACGTCCGTGGGATCCGAGATGACGGCTTCGGGCATCTTGTACAGGTTGCCGTGTTCGTCGTAGGCTCCTTCCTCGATGCGGCCTGTCGGCAGCGTCACGGCAAGAGCGTCCAGGATGCCCTGCGCGTCTGCGACATCGCCTTCGCGCAGACACTGGATGACCGTCTTGAGGCCGTCCCAGATCTCACGCCTGCCAGTCACGCGAGTCTCGAAGAACTCGTATCTTTCCCTTTGTAATTGTGTGCGCGTCCATGTCCGGTCCTTGCTCGTCCACGATTTCAGCGGTTGGAGTGGAAGATTGTAGTGGTCTGCTAGCGATACCTGGCGGTGATGTCGGAGTCGGGGGTTCTGACCGGACTGCCTTGGTGTAGAGAGCGCCGATCTCGACGTCTCGCTGTGGTGTAGTGAGAGGTGTGATGGAGGAGCGAAACTGCTGGGTTGGTTGTCGTGTGAGGCATTGTTGATGGCTGTCTGCGAGGATATGGCTTGAGGAGAGTGTCGGACGGGTACAGGAGCGACGGCGCGCCCATGTTGGAGACCATCAGACTCGTCAGGTCTGGATGAACAGCAACCCTGGGAGAATGTAGAGTCAGACGTTGATCATGATACGGGTGATGAAGATAAGGCCTCAAGGACGAGGAGCCTCCACTGTGCACATGTGTCATGAAGCATCGCTGGAGTCTCACGTACCATGGTTCATATCATACTGTGATTGAAACGCCTCTGTTCAGATTCGTAGGCGCTGGAAAATGTCATAAGCACATGTCGCATGTGCAATCCAGATACGATGATGGCCAACACAATCTTGTGATAGGTGACCGGCGGAAAAGAAGGACAAACGAGCGTGAATTGCAGCCCAAGGCTCAACCGACACAAATGGGATGCCGTGGCGATATTACTGAACAGAAGGAAAGAATGGTGTCTAGATTTGCCGCATCATATCTGGAATTGGAATGAGGATGTGATATGGCGACAGAGTCACTGGGGTCATCGACGACGCTACTCGTAAGAAGTGGGTTGATTGTTGGACCCAGATCGCCAAAGACTTTGGCTCGGCTAAGCTTTAGTTTATGCATGTCCTTCCCGCATGTTTAAGCGGGTGTCTCACCCCCAAGACTGCGTCAATACCCTAAACAGGGCCACGTAGGGCACCCTAATTAGGCCTGCAACTTGTCATCCTCTACCTAGGTAAGCATCGTCCCCGTGTAGAGGTTTGCCACAATCTCAAGTGATGGATGCAATCCCGTGTATCCGTTAGTTCATGACGAATCACTTGCTCTAACCAAGGTTTCTTCACCTGTCACAACACAGCATTCACAAAAGCCCCCAGGAAGATAGCATCATCATTCATCGTATCACCAGTCGCTAAGGTCCATTCCCTGGCGAGTAGCCTGCACGGGACTCTATACCACCAAGCCACAAGCTTCACAGCCAGAAAACATATCAGCAATTTACCCCCGACTCACATACACTGCTATACAGTAAAGCACTTTGGCGAAATGCCGTTGCAGCTCATCGAAAATAGCCCTCTATCTAAATTCGATCGAAGGACATACGCCGTTGCCCCAAACGCCTTGCTTGCCCTCGTGCTTCAATTCAAGTTGCTGATATCTGTTTCTTGTTAGTTAGCACCAAAAGATGGCCGATGATGCCAGTGGCAGACTCACTTCTCGCTCTTGGAGTGGAAATATATCCCACTCACTCGGCCCTCGACTTGATTAAAACAAATGTAGTAGAATCCTTCGAAGCTGGCTCCTTGGATGCTCTTCAACTTATAGTCGGGCACCAAGAAATGCTCCTTCCACCGCATAAAAATGCACTCTTGCTGCCACCAGTGTTCGTGGTTCAATGGGTATACAAAGTTGATGTTGCGCTTGGCCTGCAGGCTCAGCGGTCTCCAGGCAGGGAACCTCGCCCAATGCGTAAGGTCGGTCTTGTCACTGGCGCCCCAGGCTGGATCTCGAGTCCTGAAGCTGTATTTCTGATTCGGCCCGCCTATGATTTCTCCAGTGAAAAAAGTCGTCAAGGTCGGGTGGTCTGGAGTTAGGCCACATATCTGTAAATAGCCCGACATTGTTGACTGCTCAATGTCGACCGTCAAGATAGTCACTTCGACGTTGTAGATCTGCCGATCTGATTGTTGAGTTCCCTTGAATTTGGAGTATGGCTGAAATGTAGCTGAAGGATATTGAGGCAGGAGTCGCCGGCGCGAGAAATCCCATTCTCTTAGATCGCTCGACCAATCCAGTTCCTGGTCTATCGTAGGAACTCCTGCTTTGTCTGTGGCATCGCGGGGCGCTCGTGTCTGATCTCGCTGCGACGACTCCGGCGGCGGTGATAGAGGTGCTGATCCACTACTATCTATCACGGCTTTCGTGTCTTCCACAATTCTCTCCGCCGGAATCAGTGTTGGATCTGAACCGTCGACCGCACCATCATCGTCGGGCGAGTTGCGGTAGTTTTCTTTGCACGTATCTCCGGTCATCTTGGTGGTTTCATCGGTATGTATGTCTACGGTGGGTCTGTCCACCTCCATCGTTCCATCAGACTCCTCTGAATGCATCTTCTCTTCGAAAAAAGCAGAAGCCGTATACATGCTATCCTCTTGCATGAGTGACATTCCTGCGGCAGTATTGTCGCTCACAGGCCGTCGGCTGACCTCATCTTCACCAACGTCGGCAGGCCTCTGTTGAGAGAGTCCTTCTACGATTTCATGGTCGCTGGTACTCTCCGGAGGCGGGGTTAATGGCGCAGGGCATGCGACGCTGGTTTGATCTAGATTGAGATGGTGTGAGGTAATGGGTGTATTCGACGCATGAGATGGCATTGAAGAGTGCGGAAGATCGGAATTATCATATGGCTTGTGTCGCCAGGTCAAGCGAGCGATAAGCTCGGAGTGAAGGTATCGGGCGGCGTGGAAGGAGCAGTAGTGAGGCAATGGTGGATGAGGAAGGGAAATCGTAAACTCTGACGGAGTTGGAGGAGCACGAGATGCGGCAGAAGATAGTCGGAAACACAGTGATGAAAGATAGAGAGTATGAGTGGAGTGGGCAATGATCAATTGCTCGGGTGTGACCTGCAATGGCCCGCCTATGACCCAATTTCGCTGTAGCCCGCCAGCCCGGCTTGGGACCTCGATCAAGTTTTTGCGGGGTAACCCAGTGCCTATAACTCGTACTGTGGTAATCTCCGGGTCTGGACAGTCGGCAAACCCCTCCATTGTCCACACTGAAGGCCGGTGTCTTCATCAATGTCACTCTGAGGTCTCGTCTCCATCCAACACCTATTTGGATTAATCCTCTCGTAGGCACTGTCCACAACGCATGTTCTTCGACATCCAGTGATCTTGACGTGTCTTCCTAATGACCACAGTTTGAACATCACCGAAGACATTCTCCAACGGCCGAAGCGTCCCTTAACACGCTTGGGGTGCTCCCGTCGCCGCAATTTCGGTAGCATAACCTTGAAGGAGTCGCCATCAAAGGAAGCGTGGAAGTCGTGGTCATCCTATTCCATCCTCGATATAAATGCACGGTGGGTAGTACAGTTTAGATTGGCTTGATCTAAAGCATACGCTGTCAGCATTTTGTGTCTTTGCACAATGATGAACATACCTTGAAATGAAGCGAAATCAATGAAAACACCAAGGCCTTGAGATCCTGCACCAGGTAGTAAAACACGCGAAGCCCTTCTGGGTCGGCCGAGTCCGTAACATCGCCCAGAGAGCCAATCTTTGCTGTCTACACATAGTCAATGCTTTGACTCTCGTCGCCTTTGAACCTTGCCGCAACTCACCTCGAATTGGATGTGGTCGCTTCCAAGCCTTATCTCCAGCTCTTGTCTTCCATCCTTGTTCTTCTGCGGCCATCGGGAGTCATCTTCCTTCATGATTTCGCTGTCCTTAATGATGCGCTTGATTTCGGAAATGAGGAGGGCGCTGACACACACTGTGTCCATGTCAATATAGCTCTTGCGTTGGCTTTGTGGTGAGGTACACACTCTCTTTACGAATGAGCGAGTCGTTGCGGTAATTGGAATTGTTGGCATATCTGGCTGTCGCGCTTCGACCGTCACCGATAGTGCGAAAGTCGAATTCTTTTTGAGGGTCAGTAATGATCTCCTTTACAGATCGACATCTCGCCTTACCTAGAAACTCATGGCCAAATCTGCCGGAGTGGCCTGAACTGCGCCGGGTCAGTATTTCTCGTGGAGAAAAGAACATGTTCCGTACTAGTAGCGCACATAGAACTGCTCATTGCTGTTCGCCATAACGGCAGCGTCGCGATGGGCGTCCAAAGGAGTGTCGGTCAACTTGCGGAGTGCAGTTACTGAGAAACTGTGATCAAGGCGAACCTTGTGAACATTTGCAGTGCCCGGCACGTCGTGCATGGCCTCTTCCCCGCCAAGGCTGTGGATAATTTTCGGGACGAGGCTGAAATGGACTTCTCATTCTTCGCCATACTCAATCCCGCCTGTGCTTTGACACTATTTTATGATGGGAAATATGATAACATTGCTCAAACTACTGCTCATACCAAATACCTGGTATCTATGTTTGAATCTGCTGGTAAAAGTCCACCGAGTTGATGAATGCACACCGTGTCAACAGCTGACCCTCTATCCCGCTTCCATCCCGCGTGGTCTCGTTCAGTACATGTTGTCCCGCACTCGGTCCTCCAATGACCCTGACACTTGCCTGCTGCACCGCCTGGCCTTTGACCGCCGCGCCAGTCTTGTTGAAAGCCTGCGTCCAGTCTGCGAGTGTGATATTAGCATGTCCACTGGGATTACCCGTTGCCGCGAAGTGCGCCCAGCTCCCGGACATCCTAGTTTGAACAACTTGTTGTGCGGCGGTAATGCCGAGACCAAGGTTGGCATCATTGAACACAAAGGGTACATCTGATACATGGATCACGCCCTCAAACGATGCGTTGTACAGCTGCAGGAGAGCATCAAAAGTGGTCGCATTGAGCTCGTAAAGGTAGCTTTGCGAACCGTACTGCGCGACGTGGTAGGCAACATCGATTGCCGGGCATGCGAAATTGACGTCCCGCCAGATCGCAGCCCCTTGCAGGAAGTACGGAGTGATATTGACGGCCGCAGCGGTTGCTTCGAAGTCGTTGATCGGGTACAGCGAGATCAACGTACTCAGCGTTGTAGCATTCAAGTGCGGGTAAGAATTGTTGACCAAGGCACGCACATCACTGGAACTGTTCAGCGTTGGGCTTGTGAAGATGCTTCCGTCATTGTAATTCCATCCAGAGATGACAGAGATGTTCTTGTGGAATTGTCCGGTTCGCAGCAGAGTAGATGGAGCAGCGGGAATAAAGTCTCCATCGATTACTGGGAAGAAAATATCCTGAGACAACTCGCTGGCCGTTGTGTTTTCGTACTGGAGGACAGCACTCAGTAGCTGGGTCATTGGGAGCTGACGAAGGCAATTGAGTACTTCTGTGCTGTTGGTGTCGGAGCACCCGGCTAGCTGAGCGACTGTCGTGGTGCTGTTAAGTGTGAAGTTGCCAGAAACCCCTGGATCAGCTGCTGAAGAGCCAGACTCCATGATGCCACGCTGAAATGGAACAGAGCCTATGCCCACGTTAGGGTGTATTGCGAATCGATTGTCTGAAAGCTCACCTTGTCCGCCATAAGCAGTCATTTGCAGCCCGACACCTGTGCCACCATCGCTCTCGCCGAAGAGTGTGACCTCCTTGGGATTGCCGCCGAAAGTGGCGATATTGCTTTGAATCCATTCGAGGGCGAGTCGCTGGTCGAGAAGACCTGAATTGAGAGATTTTTCGGCACGAACGGCTGGGCTGTTTGCGAAGCCAAAGATGTTCACACGATAATTCATGGAGACGAATATCAGAGGTGTGTCCTTGGCCGCGGCTCCCAAAACAAGTGCTGTTGGATCATACAGCGAGTAGTTCGTGGATCCGGTCTCGTCGGATCCACCATAGATCCATACCAGGACTGGTAGATTGGCATTCTCCTTGGTGCCTGCAGGTCTTGCAATCCTCAGATTCAAGCAGTCTTCAGACAAGTCGTAGACCCCTTCGTTCACGCTGATGCCTGCGAGACTCTCTAGAGTGTTTTGAGGACATGACGCACCAACAGCAGTGGCCTGGACGGTTGTTCCGTTGAAATATGCGAAAGCCTGGGGATGTTTGAATCTGTTGGCACCTGAGGTGTCCTGGCCATATTTGATGCCTTGGAAGTTCTCCACACCGTTATACTTATAGCCGATGAAGGTCAGATTGTGCACATTGTCATGAGCAGTCACTGGAGACTGAGCTGTCGCAGATGCAGTAAGGAACGCGGTAACAAGCGAAGACCAGATGAGCACCTTCATATTTTCGACAAGACAACCGCTGACCATTTCACCAAACTGCGATGAGTTGAGGGCATGGCGGGCAATTTATTCCCCAGTTCAGGCTGCATGAACAGGGTATTCCATGACTGACGTCGCCTTTCCCAAAGGGCAATGCATTTTTCCACTGGATCAGTATGCGTGGCAGTGTGGCTGCTGCCAACGCAAGTAGGGTGAGGTTGGTCTACCGCACGGCGACCTCGTGAAGGCTGCCCAAAAGGGAATGGACTTCAGAGAGTCTTATTTGTCAGTGGAGGTTGACAGATTGATTGTGGAGTGCAGGCACCAATAATGTGTAGAGTACCCTCGTGCGCCTTGTCACAAAGAGGACGCCTCAGGCCCCCTTGTACACACTCCATCCTGGATGGAGCTTATGATGCCGACATACTTTCTTCGCGGTCGTATACACGCTTTGGCCTGAAGCCAGGCTACGATTAAAACTGCAATAGAACCTCATAACGTCAATATTACCCTAACTCCGCTGGAGAAACATAAAGTGTCTTCTGGCACCAGTCGCATCGTGAATTCGCTTGAGGGTCGACTTTCAAAGCGCCCAGTCCGGTCCCGTTCAACATCGTCAGAACGGATGCATTGGTGCCGTAGGTCGGGAACCAAGGATTGCCTGATGTCTCGGGGCCATTGTTCGGCGATCCAGTTATGACAAAGCTGGAAATATAGTCTTGAAGCGTGAGAGCGACCTTTTCGTTGACGAAATACCCTTCCCCCGTCAGGCTACCATTGCCGTTGTAGAAGGTATAGCCAAGATCATCCGCATGAATGGCTGGAGGCACGGCGAACAGATACTTGAAGACGTTCTTGGACGCGAGAGCGGGTAGTGCTTGAGGCAAGTAACGTGTATTGCATAGAAAGCAGCCCTCTGCCGTCGTCTCGGCGGACCTCAATGTCTGTGTCGTATAGTTGTACTTCCCAGAAAGGTCGTTAGGGTAAAGGCTTGTGGCGATGTAATTGATGATCGCCTCGCTCGCCTTGGGGAAGAACTGGCGTATATTGTACCGATACTCCGCGTCACTTGTGAGGAAAGGAGAGTTGAAAAGCACTCCTTCATTAAAGTTCGTGCCCATCATTATAGCATTCAAAGATTTGGCGAACCGTCCTTGGGATACCAGCTTGCCTGGCATATCGGGCACGAATGTACCATCGACAACTGGACCAAATGTATATGTGCCGTAAGAGGATTGCCCAACGATGACGCTGTTGACGAGTGCAAGTTCGGCAAAGGACAGACCGCGAAGATCTTCAATAGTTTGAATTGGCTTGTTCGTCAATGCAGACGCATTTGTCAAAGCGTATTCGATCAAGGATTTCTGAAAGCCCGGATTGCCGTTCGGTAGCCACCCAGGGCTCTGGAGAACGGCTTGCTGGAAAGGGACATTGCCAACACCTCCAAAAGCCGTGATCTGATGCATAACAGCCCCTCCACCGGCCGACTCTCCCATGATCGTCACTCTGGACGGATCTCCGCCAAATAGATGAATGTATCTCTGCACCCATTCGAGCGCAAGGCGTTGATCCAGTAGTCCAACATTCGAATCCCCCCGGCCGGTAATGTTGGCCGGAAGGAAGCCCTGAGCCACATATATAAGTAAGTGACAATCGAGATGACATAGCTGATGGCAAACTTACAAAAAGCCCAACTCGATAATTCATGGCAACGTATATGAAACCTTTTCCATCGTTCAATTGAGATCTCGTCACGAGCCCGGCGGGTGGTTGCTCGTGCTTGTAACCTGCAGAAAAGCCGCCCCCATCTATCCAGACCAAGACAGGAGCACCTTTCTGCGTGGAAGTCGACCTTTTTCTTCCCCAGGAGTCAACTTGGGCTTTGGAGTTGAAGATTGTCGACGGGACCAGGACGTCCAGGAAAAGGCAATCCTCAGTTTCTTCGGCATTGAGCGGAGGAATCTCGGAGATGTTGATTGTGGAGGCTGAAGCTGAGATGCTGGAACCCCTTGAGCAATTCTCATGCCATCATATAACCAGATTGGATGAGTCTGAGGACACCTCGTCGCAGTCTGACCATTGTTCAATGTGCGATTCACCGAGCTTGGTGGTTGAGGTGCTTTGAACCTCGATGCACCAGTGATCACATCTCCATAGCGAATGTTTGAAAAGTTGTAGTAGGCACCCTTCTCCTATGCACATTCAGTACGGACAATCTCTAAGATCGTGGTGGAAGTATGACTTACATTGATCGCTGCTTCATGGACCGCGTACTCGAGGTCCACCACAGGCGACTTTCCCGATGTTACCAACGCTTGCACGATGGCAGCTGCTCCAAGAAGTAAAACGAGTAAATTCCAGCCTTTTGAAATAAAGCTCACAGCCTCCTCGTTTGCAGGAGTCTCTGATACCTTCTGACCCTGGCTGCTTTCTTCTGTCATGGGATGTTGTCTTAGATTGCGACCTGCACACAAAATAATGAACGACGAGACACAGCTATTACGTCGATAGTGCTGCAACCACAAAAGCACACAGTGTTGACAGGACGCTGTTCACGCGGAGCACCGTTGTCTCAGTGGTGCAAAACTCGATCTAAATTTGGAAAGCGCTCGTCTGAAAGAAAGAGTCGTGGCGTTCGAGGACGACCATACTAAGGACATAGTCCTGTCGATGGTGAATGCCTCTGGGCCGTATGCCGTATGCCGTATTGCATGTTCTGGCCACTGCATTGTAACGTCGATTTGATGTCAATAGCGTGGAGCAGACCTCCATAAAGTAAGACGATGCTCGTTGGATGATCCGTGCGCCATCCAGACCCTTTGGCAACCAGTGTTCGTGACAAACGCACGTGCAGTTGTTTGTTGATAGCGCTAAGGAAGTTCCGAACTTACCACATCCTTTTGAGGCTCTGGATGTCCTGAGCCAGCAGCATGCAATTGACAGAGTTCGCCTCCATAGATCTGACAGGACCCTGCTCCATTTCTGACCATATCCGATCCAGATTTAGACTTAGATCTCAGACGGACCGTTCTACATGCTCCGACCGTGCGTTTCATAATACCTCAGCCAGAGATCAATCCTCAAAAAGGCTAATAATGATAGTGTGAGAGTGAATACGACAGCACAGGAAAATCTCATTGCATCGCATGCTCGTGCCTGTTGGATTGCTGATATAAAGGAAGCTCGCCGCGTCTCGTAAATACTTCGCCTGTGGCGTCAAGGTAAGACTGTCCTTTAGCTTCAGCAACATATCTGCCCACCACCATGTTCGGCCCTCTCGCCCAGGTTTCTTTCGTTTTACCTCTTCTTTTCTCCGATGTGTTCGCTTGTTCCAGGGTCACCTACAATAGCGGTTCTTCGGATGGCAACCGCATCGTCATTGGCCGATCAATGGATTGGCTGACACCGACGAACTCGAGCATTTTCGCTTTCCCTGCTGGTCTTCAGCGCAACGGTTCGGCTGGCAACAATTCCGCGTCATGGACAAGCAAGTATGGATCAGTCATCACCACGGCGTACAATATTTCAACCTGCGACGGAATGAATACCCAAGGATTGGTCGCAAACCTTCTTTACCTTGCTGATGGAGACTATGGTCCACGGAATACATCACAACAAGCCATGTCCCTTGCTATCTGGCCTCAGTATTTCCTGGATCAGTATGCCACGGTTGCGGAAGCGGCCAACGATCTCTTCGACGCAAGCGGCGAGCCAAAATTCCAAGTCCGCACCATGGCTCTGATCCCGGGTGTACCAACTCTGATGCACTTATCTTTGAGCGACGCCACTGGTGACAACCTCATCCTTGAGTGGCTGAATGGATCATTAGTCACTCACCACGGAACACAGTACAAGGTGATGACGAATGAGCCCGATTATGACCAGCAGTTGGCAATCAACGAGTACTGGTCAACCATCGCCAACTTTTCTCTCCCGGGTACGGACCGACCGGCAGATCGTTTTGCACGTCTTGCGCATTATGTGGATGTTGCACCGGGTGCTACAGAGGAGGTGACTGCTTTGGCGACCACAGCTGGAATGATTCGCGCTGTGAGCGTACCGTACGTATTCCCCTTTTGGTACCATTGGAGCAGAGTCTTCAAGTTTCCCCTGATCCAGCGCATGCAGCTTTCTAACGACTCATAGAATGGAGCCAATCAATATCGACACCCCAAATATTACTCCCACACTTTGGCGAACATATGCCGACACAAAGGAGCTCGTATATTATTATGAGAGTGCAACAGATGGTAAGATGTTTTGGGTGGAACTCTCAAAACTGAACTTGACCACGGGCGGCCAGACGAGGGACTTGCCTTTGCTGGGCATCAACTGGACTGATAGAGTGGGCGACATGACCGGTCAATTTCAGAAGGCCACACCATTCACGTATCTGGAGGCCAATTCATAGACATATTCACTTCTTTATGTCGGATAGATTGAATGATAAAGTTTTGGTCCATAACATTCCTGGTGATGCAGGTCCCCTTAGTCCTTCTCTTTGCGCTGTCGGATAATCAGAGTGTGGTGACGACCTGGGTGAACCTCTGACGTGAGAAAGTTGAGGTGGCATGAAGAGGAGTTTGAAGTGAATGAAAGCCTGCGATAGCTATCCCCTGATAACATTGAACCCCCACAATATCACGTGCAACGCGTGTCGCCAAGGTTGCTCCATATGGCATTTTGGACACTTCTCCGAGTCCCCTGGACGTCGCGCTCCGGTAGTGATTTTGGCGTTGCTGTCCTGTTGAACGTTGTCTTTTGAGCCTCACCCGAACTCTTACCTTGTCCCTCGCAAGCTTCTGTGACCATCTGGACACGGTCGGCCTCCAGACAATGTGCTGATCCTACTGTCATACCACCCTTCCATTCCCTGCGCATTTCACGGGTACTACTTGACCGCTCGAACCAGTCCGAGATTCTCCTGCTTGGGCCGGAGGGCCATCTTCAGCAACCATGGCGACCTTTCTGGACAACTCGTACAGCTTGGTCCACCTGGACAACACAGCCGACCAGCCCAGTCAACAGGACCTCAAGAACCAGTTAGAAAAGGGCACAGATGAGTCCAAGATGGATACCATGCGGAGGATATTGACCATAATGCTCAATGGTGATCCTATGCCCAATCTTCTGATGCACATTATCCGCTTCGTCATGCCCGCAAAGAGCAAGGCCCTGAAGAAGTTATTATATTTCTACTACGAATTATGCCCGAAACACGACGCCAGTGGAAAACTGAAGCAGGAGATGATTCTGGTGTGGTATGGCGGGCATCCCTCCCACGAGAGAAGAACAACAAACTGACCGCAGTTAGTAATGGTATTCGAAATGACCTGCAGCATCCGAATGAATTCGTACGAGGAAACACACTTCGATTCCTGTCCAAGCTCCGCGAACCCGAACTCATCGAACCTCTCCTGTCCGCCGCGCAGACCTGCCTCGATCACCGACATGCCTATGTGAGAAAGAACGCGGTATGGGCTTTGGCCTCCGTATATCAGCATGCTCAACACCTTATTCCGGACGCCCCTGAGATGCTTCATACCTTTCTTGCAGGCGAGAGCGATACGACCTGCAAGCGCAATGCGTTTGCTGCATTGATGAGCATCAGCCACGAAAAGGCTCTGGAATATCTCACTGGCGTGCTGGATGGGGTGGTAAATGCTGATGAACTGCTGCAACTGGTTGAACTTGAGTTCATAAGGAAAGATGCTGTGCAGAACCAAGCCAACAAAGCGCGATACTTGAGGCTGATATTCGATCTGCTGGAAGCCAACACGAGCACTGTGGTATACGAAGCCGCGACCTCTCTCACGGCGCTCACAAGCAATCCTGTGGCAGTAAAGGCTGCTGCAGGGAAACTGATTGAACTAAGCATCAAAGAGGCAGACAACAACGTTAAGCTCATCGTGCTTGATCGAGTTGATCAGCTACGGAAACGCAATGAAGGTGTTCTAGATGACCTCACGATGGAGATACTGCGTGTGCTTTCGAGTCCCGACCTTGACGTGCGACGTAAGGCGCTCGGCATCGCATTAGAGATGGTGTCCAGCAAAAACGTGCAGGAAGTCGTAATGCTGCTCAAGAAAGAACTAAGCAAGACGGTTAGTGAGCAATACGAGAAGAACTCGGAGTATCGACAACTCTTGATCCAGTCGATCCATCAGTGCGCCATCAAGTTCTCTGAAATTGCCGCCAGCGTTGTCGATGTATTGATGGACTTTATCCAAGACTTCAACAACAGCTCTGCAGTGGACGTTATCTCGTTTGTCAAAGAAGTGGTGGAAAAGTTTCCCAACCTTCGATCGTCAATCGTGGAAAGATTGGTCTCTACACTTGGCGAAGTCCGCGCCGGCAAAGTGTACCGCGGGTCGTTGTGGGTCATCGGCGAGTACTCGTTGCAAGAGAACGATATCAAGGAAGCTTGGAAACGCATCCGGGCCAGTCTTGGAGAGATTCCTATTCTGGCATCCGAACAACGACTACTCGACGAACAATCGCACGATGGTGAAGACGCTGAACCGAAAGAACAGGTCAACGGCCACGCAACCAAGGCACCAACCAGCGGATCTAGAAAGGTTCTGGCCGACGGCACATATGCTACTGAGTCGGCGCTGACGAGCGACTCTGCTGCAAAGGCTCGACTGGAAGCGGTCAAAGCAGCTCAGAAGCCACCATTGAGGCAGCTGATTCTTGACGGCGATTACTATCTGGGCACTGTACTCTCATCAACACTCACCAAGTTGGTCATGCGCCATTCCGAAATCTCTTCCGACCAAGCGCGGACGAATGCCCTACGTGCCGAGGCTATGTTGATTATGATATCGATCATTCGCGTTGGACAATCACATTTCGTCAAAGCACCAATCGATGAGGATTCTGTCGATAGAATAATGTCTTGTGTGAGGGCTTTGGCAGAATTCACAGAACGAAAGGAGCTCGAAACATCCTTCCTTGACGATACCAGAAAAGCCTTCCGAGCGATGGTCCAAGTCGAGGAGAAGAAACGTGCAGCCAAGGAGGCTGTGGAGAAGGCGAAGACAGCAATTCAGGTGGATGATGTCTTCACGATACGGCAACTGGCTAAGAAGAGCGCCAGCGACGGAACAGATGATATGGAAATCGACCTGGAGAAGGCTACAGGTGGAGACACGTCTTTCGAAGACTTGTCGTCCAAACTTAGCCGCGTTGTGCAGTTGACTGGCTTCTCAGACCCGGTGTATGCAGAAGCATATGTCAAGGTTCACCAGTTCGACATCATTCTTGACGTCCTCTTGGTAAATCAAACGAGAGAGACACTTCAAAACCTATCGGTGGAGTTTGCGACATTAGGAGATCTAAAGGTGGTGGAAAGACCGACCACGCATAATCTTGGTCCGCAGGATTTCCTCAATGTGCAGTCGACAATCAAAGTGTCAAGCACCGACACAGGTGTCATATTCGGCAACATCGTCTATGACTCGCCATCAGGCACGGACACTCATGTCGTTATCCTGAACGATATCCATGCCGACATCATGGACTACATACAGCCAGCAACCTGCTCCGAAACGGCTTTCCGAACGATGTGGACCGAATTCGAATGGGAGAATAAGGTCAACATCAATAGCAAGGCGACCGAAAAGACACTCCGCGAGTTCCTGGTTCAGTTGATGAAGAGTACTAATATGACTTGTTTGACTCCTGATGCCGGATTGAAGGGCGATTGTCAATTTCTAAGCGCCAATCTCTATGCTCGGAGTGTGTTTGGTAAGTCATGTGTCTTTCGGTCGCGGCAAAGAGCAAGAAAGCTGACTACTCATAGGCGAGGACGCATTGGCGAATTTGAGTATAGAAAAGACGGCAGACAACTCGATTGTAGGATTTATCCGAATCCGTTCACGGTCGCAAGGCCTGGCGTTGAGTTTGGGATCGCTCAAGGGTTTGAAGGCTGGGACATATTAGAGAAAACCCTGGTTCAACAGACGACTGAGTGGTGGTATGCAAAAGGTCTGGCGCTCTAAAAGTTCTGCAAGATCAGACAACAAGAGGACAATATATGTCCATAGTCGCATGTCAGGCTGAACGATATGATAGTGGACGAAAGAACATGGATCGAGGTTGGAATGAGGCTAGGGGGCCATGGATTTGGGTCCCTAGGCTGCCTTGGCCGCGGTTCCCAAGCCTGAAATAGGTGGCATATCATCACCAGTCGAATCCACCACTTCAAATTAAACATTCTCCGATGAATCTCGCATCTTGATCTTGATCCCAGCCATCTCATTCTGCCAACACCACCAACTTCGAGTCCCAAGATGATGAACTCGCACTGCCACGTTTCTGTCGCTGACTTCAGATCAGAATCATTTTCATGTCGTACTAATTTCTTCACCCTTTTCCATGTACAAATGTTACTATCGTCTTCCACTCGCATGATCCCATAGGCCTCCCATCGAAGCGCATGCTACGCAGCACTTGTCCCATCTCCAGTCCTTCCCATGGCACCATGGCTGCGCCTGGCAGCGCTGCCTACCTCCCTTCTCATCTTCATCGGCACTTTTCCCGTACCAGCATCGTGCCAGGTTGCGTACGGGCACTACAACCTACCACCCGACGCGAAATACTATCCGGAGGATGAGATGCGGCTCAAGCGGAGTATTGACATCCAGCAAAAGTTACAACATACATCCGTGGCAGGAGTGAGAAAGATGAGCGATGATCCTGGACAGAAATTTCACCTCGAGTACTGGGGTTTTGAGCCAGAAGAGAGCGAGCTGAACAAGTATTCGAGTTGGACGAATGCGAGCCTGTACACCTCGTTCGATCATCCCGTCCGGGTACATACACATCACCAGGAACGCAGATATCCGCGACTCCCGGGCTGGCATCTGTTTGAGAAACGGGCCTTCCAATGTCCTACGGGGACTTCAGCGTGCACGTCCATAGACCGGCCAAACAGCTGCTGCTCGACGGGCTCGACATGTCAGATCGTAACAGACACCGGGCTCGGGGATGTCGGCTGCTGCCCGTCGGGAGAGGTCTGTGCAGGCTCTCTTTCAACGTGCGAGTCGGGCTACACTTCGTGTCCAAACAACCCAGGAGCGGGCTGCTGCATACCAGGCTATGCATGCTACGACGTCGGATGCGTTCAGACGTCTACTGCGACCGTATCAACGTTGCTATCTGCCTCGACGACAACAGTCACATCCTACACGACAATCACACCGTCCGGGTCAAGTACAACTACCACATCGACCTCAACGACAACAACCACTTCGACGACGTCAACACAGAGCGCGTCCACCCTGTCACCTCAAGTTCTGACCGTAACCAGAACAGTCACCGTGACTTCCACGCCCAATGTCCTGGCTTGCTCGACCGGTTACCGGTCTTGTCCAGCGTCCCTCGGCGGAGGCTGCTGCCCAACAGACCGGTCGTGCGGTTCAGCAAATTGTCCTGCTTCCACCACCAGCTCTTCCGCAACAGCAGCTCCGCCGGTCCGCCCAACGACGCTGACAACAATCGACCAAACAACCACGACAACACTGTCCGTCAGCTCTGATACGACTGCACCCTCGACTTCTCGAACGACCACGACCGCAAGCAGTAGCACCAGTGTCAGCGGGTGTCCTACGGGCTTCTACGCCTGCAGCGCCTATTATCAGGGCGGCTGCTGCCAGACCGGCCGCAATTGCGACACAACGTCCTGTCCTGCAAGCGCAAGCACTACGGTCATCAGCACCGACGGTGTGACTGTCGTGGCGCCAACGGGCAGCGGGATCACGGGAGTATCCACCGCCTTAACTGGCTCTTGTGCGAAAGGGTGGTCTACATGCGCCGCGGATCTAGGTGGAGGATGCTGTCCGTCGGGCTATCAATGCGGAGTGACCAGCTGCGCGGCGACTGCCTCTGGAGGTTCTGGCACGGGCAAGGAGGCGCCTAGTGCTGCGACGAGGAGCGTGCATACGGATTCTTTGGTGCTAGCGTTGGCATTTTCAGCGAGCTTGGTGATGTGCATAATTCTTGCATTGTGAATAGATTAGCATTCAGGGCCATACAGCCTCGACCGAATTTATGAGAACATGTGGCTAATTTGATTTGTTCTTTGATTTTGTTAGGCCAGGATGTGCTATCTCAGGCCAAGTCACAGTGGCTCCTTGCTATCTCGCCGTCGCAATGCAACTTCGATGCCGGCAACCCAAAATGATCACCCATAAGATCTCAAATCATCATGAGATAACACCAGCGACACGCAATGACCTTTTCAATCCCCCTTCTTCCGCGTTTCCCACCGCCTCCAATGACACAAGTATAACCTCTTTGGGGTCGTCATGCTTATTTGAGCAGCTCTCGTGCCTCGCTCTTGATGATATCCAGGGCCTTGTCCGACAACTCGGCAGGCTTGTCCGCAAGCACCTGCTTCAACTGGGCCTTGTACTCGGGTAATTGCGCATGACCCGCGTCCAGCGCATTGATGGCCAATAAACACTTGGTAGCGAGGAGATACTTTTTCCGTCGGATGTAGAGCTCGAAGCCCATGCACTGCGCCTCGACAAGCTCCGGCGACGATTCCAACAGTGGCGTCAGGAACTTCATCGCATCGTTGAGCGGGTCTTTGGTCTCGACCAGCGTCTTGCCGAACGGGTCCGGGTCTTCCTTCTTGGTGTCGGCATCTTCGCTCTTCGGATTCGACTTGGCCGCCTTAAGTGCGGCCTTCTTGTCTGCCTCTGCTTTCTCCATCTTCTCTTGCTCACGTTTGGCCTTTTTCAGTGCCTTCTTACGGTCTGCGGCGCTAACTTCCCCGTCCTTGCCCGTGCCGTTGAGGTTGTCCATGATCGGACCGTGGACCAGGTCAGGGTTGTCAGCGAGCAAAATATAGGCTTGTATTGCGGAGATGGCCATGTTGGAAAAGAAAGGGTTCTCACGGAGCCGGTCCTCCCACCGCAACATGTCGACGTAAGCTCGGATCATACCCTTTCGAAGCGAGAAGTTGTGGAAGTCGAATTGGTCTTCTTGCCAGATGTCAAAAATTGCCAGGATCTGGTGGAAGCGCTTCAGGGCGAGGCCGATCTTTCGTTGACGGAGATATGACTTTCCATCTTCAGTGAGATACCAGACACACTGCATGTCGATAAGATCACTCAAAGGGCCACCAGTCTTGTTCTGCGTGAATTTACCCGCAGTCTCGAGCGCTTGGTCGTTTTGGTCGGCTCGTAATTGGTATTTGGCACATTTTGTGTTGATAGCCCTATCCTTCTCGTCCAGGGCACGTGCCTGTTCCATGATCTCAGCCGCTTTGACCACATCACCCTTGTGCTTGTACGACCTTGCCTGTACGGCGTGAAAATCGACAGATCTCGGATCCAATTCTATGCACTTGTCGGCATAGTGGAGGGCTTTATCAAGATCTCGACTCAGCTTGTAGTTGTAATGTTGCGCCAGGAAATAGAGGACCGACGACTCGAACCGCGATTGATCCTTGCTATCACCATTCTCCGTTGTACCGTTCGTTTGCTTTTCCACCTTTCCAGCTGCATAGCCTTCTACCAGATCTTGCACAATATCTCGTTTTGACCCATCCGTGTATAAGTGCTTGATATTCGCAAATGTCGAGGGTATGCCCCGTCGAAGCATTTTTTGGAGATATGCGTCCGCAGCCTGTTTGAACTCGTCTCCTGATAGTACATCCAACGGCCTTCGTCTCGGGGAATCTGCTTTAGGGTATTTGGCAGCCAGCTCCTCATACGCTTTCTTGATGTCGGCAACGGATGCAACTTTCAATCCTTTGGCTTCGACCCAGCCATCATAGTAAGCTGAATCATCCGCATTTCGATCCAACAAAGCAGCATACGCTGCTTCTGCGTCGGGTTTTCGTCCCAGCCTCGCCAGATAGTCTGCCTTCATCTCCATCACTGCCTGGACATCTGGACTCTTTTTCCCGACGGCCTCCAAATGCTCCAGCGCCTTTTCCAGATCCCCTGACTCGGCAATGATGTAATTCTTGTAAAGTACAGCCTCCCAGTGCTCCAGATCGGCCCTCTTCGGTTTCGTCTTGAGGGTTTCTTCGTAAGTGGTGAGGACGTTCTCGGCGTCCTCGTAGTTTCCTGCCAGGTGATGCGCGATAGCCAGAGCAGTCCAATTTTGTCGGAAGCCCGGTTTCTGCTGGAGCATATTCCTCCGACTTTGAATGTAGCCTTCATAATCGCGCATCTGGATCTGGAGATGTGCCAGATCTCGTTGAATGGGAGCCGACTCGGGCTCCATCCTCAACGCAAACTTGTATGCCTTGACAGCCTCCTCATAATTCTTCTCTTGACGATACAAAATCCCGTACACGTGCCAACAGACATGGGACTTCATATTGTTGCCGAGCGCAGTTTTAGCCAATGCGAACGCTTCCTCCTTGTGCCCTTGTGATCCGATGATCAGGGCTTTCATGGCTTGCGTGTCGGCATGGTTGGGGCTTTTCTTGAGGATCTGTTCGGCTGCCTTGAGACCTGCAGAGAGAGATTAGCTTGATTCGCAAGGGCACTGGTGCCATCGTACCCTTTTTATACTGCTTGTTTTCAAAATTACGGACAACCTGTCGGAACAGGGCATTGTCCTTGTTGGACAATTGCTGCTGAGGTTGTGCCATATTGACGAGGACAACGGCACGAACAGAGGTCGATGACGGAGGATTCCAATAGTATCAGCAGGCACTTCAGGCAGCCTGGGTCAAAGAAAGAGGGTTGAATGAATGTAAGCCTAAAACATGTTCACGCTGAAATGGAATAAGCCACAACGCACACAACACCAAGTGAAGCTCTCAGCGAACGAAGATTGACTGTTGGTGTTGCTGGTGTCAGAATAGCCCGCTGGGTTCATACAACATTTGCGGCGCTTTTCCCGGTGGCAGCCTCGTCCATAAGAAAAGCTTGGCGGGGAATGAGACCAAAACTCGGAATCCTTCACCGACCTTTCTGTTTCTTCGTCTATGTTCTATCAGGTACTCAACGCTGTAATATCTACACGGTGAAACCGCATGCGTCCAGAACGAAAACCTAGCAGTCAAAAAGCTCTCATCGCAGGGCTTCTTGTTGTTCTGCCTGTGCAATGAGCCGTCTCAATGCTTCAGCGCTCTCGGCCAATAGATTTGTTTCCTCCTGATTCAGTGGCATTGTATTGAGTGACCGGACAATGCCTCTCCGCCCAAGCACCACTGGCAAGCTCAAGCAGCATCCAAAGGTGTCGATATAATGGGACACTGGACGCACGGTACGTTGATCGGAAATGATGGACTTGCAGATGGCCGCAGCGAGGGCTCCAATGCCGAAAGACGTTGCCCCTTTCGCTTCAATGATCTTCGCCGCCTTGTCTTTGGTCTGCACCGCTATTTCTTTGCGGTCAATGGTCACATGCGCCGGCAGACATTGTTCCAGAGGAACAGCACCGATCGTTATGCAAGACCAAGCAACCTGCAAGTTGTAGTCAGCATATATAGCTTCAGATGTTCTTCTCGTCTCACCATCTGGCTTTCGCCATGTTCACCAAGCACATATGCATCCACACTGCCGGCATCAACGCCAATCTTCTGGCCCAAGATGCCCCTTAGTCTTGCGGTGTCAAGAAAAGTGCCGCTTCCAATGACTTGCTCTCGAGGTAAACCTGAGTACTTCTGACAGAAGTAGGTCAATATGTCGACTGGGTTGGCCACGAGAAGGATAACAGTATCCTGTCGAAAGGGTTTCATGTCATCGGTAGCTGATTTCAAGATAGACAGGTTGCGAGCCAACAAGTCGGTTCTAGATTCGCCTGGGAGGATGTCCTGTGAGCACCACAGACACCTCAATGGAGCGTTCCTGACATACCTGGCCGCTGTTTCGCACCTGCACTGATGATAACGATGTCGCTTTGCCCTGCCTCTTTGTGACTCGCAGCTCGGATCCTCACACCACCAAACCTGTAGGAAAATTAGTTGACTATAGTAGAAGTCAACAAAGCTTATCGACGCACCCAACGGCACCATGGTAAGTGGTAGCGTCTTCGAGATCTCTAACTTGCGCGTCCCTCAATTTGGTATTCGGATCGACCAAAAGCACCTCACTTGCTACAGGATTTAGAATGAGGGAAAAAGCTATCGCCGAACCCACGCTTCCTGCGCCCAAGACAGCAATTCGAGCACCGGAGCTTGCTAGGTCGTGCGCTGCGGGTAGAGACTCCATGTTACTTTGTAGTTGACGAATATATGAGCGCTTTTCAACGCAGTCAGTAAATGTTAGCGTTGAGAAGATTCCAGCTGCGGATCAATTCTTTTAATCGCTTTCGGTAGGAGACTGCTGTGAGCAGGCAGTAGTTGTGGTCGATACGAGTGGGTAGACGAGCGCACACACCATGAGATAAAGCCATCCGATCAGCGAGAAGTCACGCCTTCCTGGACTGTTTTAAACCTTACCTAGGTACCAAAACGAGGACAGTCGACCTACCTCGTATTTGCAGTCGTCCTGCGACGGCTGATACGTTGTTTATAGGAACCATCAAGTACAGATAGCCTGCTTCATATCTCAACTCAAACTTGGGTTTGGTGAACCTCTTCCACGCGTCTCTCAACTCCCCGCATTTCCTCCTCGCTCTAAGGACGAGACGCCACAATCCGCAATCCATGACCGATAAAAAGTGACGTGCGTGGCTGAATGATTTATTGCTTGCCTTACACAGTACTCCGTACACTGTTACGACGCTGCAAGGTACGAGAGTCTACAACTTCGAACCACACTCGATGGTGATCCGCATCCAAAATAAAATTTCCTCTAATAAGCCACGTCGTGGTCCTATTTGACATATTCCTTCTGGGTCTATCTCTCGGCATCTTGGCTACCATGGTGAACGGTATCCTACAATCGTTCTTGGGCGCCTTGCAAGCCAGTATCTCCATTCTCTTGGTTATCTTCTATGGCGTCCTCGCGAACCAATACAAACTTCTCGATGGAGCGGCTTCCAAGAAGATCTCCAAGGTCTGCGTGCACATGTTTCTACCAGCTCTGCTCATTACCAAAGTCGGAAGTGAACTGCACGCTGACACTGGAACGCGATATGTTCCCATTCTAAGTAAGTCACCTTGCAGTATTTGACTCTGGGTATTATTGGCTGACTTTCTTCCTAGTCTGGTCTCTCTTTTTCATTCTAGTATCTGTCGGCATTGGACTGCTGGCAGTCAGAGTATTCAAATTGCCGGCTTACGTGACGCCTGCACTCGCATTCAACAATACAACAAGCCTGCCGCTGCTGCTAATTGAGTCACTGGAAACCAGTGGCATACTGGATAAGTTGTTGACGGATGGCGATACCGTATCGAAAGCCATCAGCCGAGCAGAATCTTACTTCCTTGTGTGCGCCCTTGTGAGCAACAGTCTGACCTTTGCCCTGGGCCCACGGTTACTCGCTGCCGACAAGGAGCCTGAACAAGAAGACCAAGACGATGAGGAAAGCGAAGCGGAGCAGAATGGCGATGCCAATGGCGACGCGGAACATGGAGAGGACAATGATGACGAGCAGACCTCCCTCCTACCGAATCGTGTACGCAAGAACCAAGACAAATTTCAAGCACGAGCGTTCCATCTTGGGAAGCAACTTTGGGATAAGATTCCTCAGCGCGCCCAGGGCGCGCTCTCTTTCATGTCGGACTTCGCAAACCCTCCCCTGATTGGGGCCGTGATCGGAGCCATCCTTGGTCTCGTCCCGCCATTGCATAGGGTCTTTTTCAATGACACTGAAGAGGGAGGTTTCTTCAAAGCCTGGCTGACCCAATCGATTTCAAAGATTGGACAGCTTTTCGTCACTTTGCAAGTAGTGGTGGTAGGTGTGTCCCTATCGGCGTCGCTTCAGAAGGTGAAACGTGGCGAGGATAAAACTTTACCATGGGGATCGACTTTGTTCATTCTGGGCATCAGATTCATTATCTGGCCGGTGCTGTCGATAGCCATCATCTGGTTACTGGCCACCAAGACAAACCTCTTGCTTGATGATCCCATACTTTGGTTCACAATGGCATTGATGCCTACGGGTCCACCTGCGATGATATTGGTGGCTATGGCAGAAGTTAGCGGCGCAAGCGAAGATGAGAAAATGACCATTTCGAAGATCTTGACGGTAAGTCGTATTGTTGAACTCCTTCTGCATTGACTGACACGGCCTTAGTTTTCATATGCTGCTTCGCCGGTCCTGGCTTTGACAGTCGTTGGAGCGCTATATGCTAGTCAAGCTGCCATATCGAAATGATCTCATGGCAGGTTGTGACCATATTACGTGCTTTTTAGGGCCGGCGAAAGTGTATTATTTTTGGTCTGCTCTCGGACACCTGCTCGGATATGAACTCCCAGAAGCCTGTGAGGTTGCACAAGGCTACCCACGTGACAGCGCGTTCATGGCGCGCAAAAGCAATATTTTCGCAGAATAGCATCCAAGCATGGTATTCTGTGTGATCATGATCCGCCATGCTATTCAAACGGCGAGGAAGACAGCTTGAAACAATCAGTCTTTGGTCCCAACGTCACTATCAGGGAGCTCGCTGGTTCGTTTCCGCAACTGTTTTCGTGATTTCGTTGTCTCAAGTGCAGGAAATGAGCTGTGACGAACGGGAGATCCGCAAAGAGGCTTGAAGATCCTTGTCTTGTCGACATATGGGGCCCTTATCATCCTGTTTTGGGAAGGCAAATTCTGTGAAACCATTCGCCTGCTTGAGAATGCATAAGAGGCTGAACAGCAAGCATGGGCAATAGGACGTTTAGTGACGCCATCCATATGGCAAAGTGAGCCGATTCGATGTATATGTATACTCGAGATTCGTTATGGAGCCTGGGTGGATAGACTGATAAACAAGCGAAGCACGAGGAACATCTTGTCGAGCACTCGAGACGCAGACCGCCCAGTATGACGACGATGGTGACATTTAGTGTCCGGGTATCTGATCGAAAATCTTAGGGCGTTGTTGCAGGACCAAGGTGATGGTCAAAGCGAGATCATTCTGATGTGGGCACGTGGGTGGGCCAGAGATTCAGAGACCTGGTTAGCGACATGTCCAACCCTGGACGCTGTCGGAAATTGGTTGATAGGCAACTGACAGAGACTAAGTTAGGTGTGACGGTGATAATAACATGCCGTGCATGCCAACACCATTTTGGGGTGGTTTGACGAGATAGACATAAGCTTGTTGAAGAATGAAACCCATGGTCAGGGGCAAGGGGTTAGGTTATTAGTGGCCATGATGTTACTATTGTATAACGCTTCGATGCTGAAGACGTGTTTGTTGTCAGAACCCCAAAGTGATCTCAGGTCGTTACTGCTGTGATGTACATAGGGTTTGCCTACTATGGGTATGTCATGATTGTTGGAAGATGAGCTGTGGACAAAACGTGCATGACTGAGCCACCACAGAGTCCACAATCGGATTGTTTGAATCTCTCATTATTGAGATGAAGCAAAGCAAAGCAAAGAAGCGGAGATCTCCAAGTGCTCTGGGCACAGGGGATTGGCAGCTTTCAACTCGGTCGTTTAATCTTGGGGTTGAAGGCTTGGAGCCGGTCATTGCCTAAAGCCTCTAGGCTCGGTGGCGTTAAGAGGAATGTCCAATCGAAGACGGCTTGCCGTGGGCTTGCACTTCTTCTGGGCTTCTCTAGCAAACTCAACACCCCTGTATCACAGTAGTTGACCTTAAGCAAGCTCCGTCCCGCCGATGGCCCCAATAATGCAAGCCCGCAGACCGCGACCCTCTCCTTTGTGTACCGATACCAAATGGGTTTGCTTTCGTCTCAAGTCGGTCACTCTATGCAAGCTGCATTGAGCACACACAACTCTTTTCTCTAACAATTTTTCTCTTTGTCGTTCATTACCAGTCACTCCTTTGTACAGCTCACCTCAAGTCATTCGTTTTAACACCTTCAGCAACACGTGCTGTGGACCGGTTTCCCACGTCCATTCCTTTGTGCAGTCTGGACCGTTCACCGCAAAACCCATTGACCACCTACAACCAACTCCAACCCTCAAGACACGACGACATCAAAATGTCTCAATAACCTGCCTCACATACAATTACCGTCAGCCGCTGTCTAAGGACGCCCTGCGCCCCGGCCAAAGTGCCTCGTAGTACAATGTCCTCTAATGTCCTGCCAGAGACCGAGCCGCAGATATACCCGCGAAACCCCCTTGCTCGACCAGGACCCATCCCAGATAGCAGGTTGGAGGGACTTTTCATCGAGAAGCCGGTTCCATTGGTGGTGAGAAATGATGACAGCAGTTCCTCGGACTCGAGTGATTCGGGTGGAGGAGGGTCGAACAGCACTCTACCTATCGTCCTAGGCGTGGTTATCCCGATTGCCATCGCGTTCATCGTGTTAATATACCTGCATCGGCGGCATGTCAAAAAGTTGAGGAGGGAAGATGCTGAAGACAAACACAAGTCGCTCGATTTCGGGCTCAATACCACTCCGCAGAAAGGCCCCGACGTTAAGCAGAATGTTCCGCAGATGTCCATGACGGAGAACAAGGAGATTGGGAGAAAGCGCGGCTTGTCAATGGATATGGGCATACAGAATCCTTTCCTTTTACCTCCCGAAGTTCAACATTCACGTGAGTCCTTGCACTCGTTATCCCGTTCGTTGAACACTGGGGACGACAGATACCGAGCTACAACATTCATTCCGGACGACGGGTCTATACGACCCCCTTCAAGCTTGCGTAGCCCAGTCGATGACTCTTCAAGTTATACAGGGTCTAGCCTTAGGTTTCAAGGTGACTCGAAACAGAACTTGTTACGCAATGGTCAGGAGAATCCTAGTGGAGGCCGGAACGCTTCTACAGATTCAGGGCCTGGCCCCAGAAGATTTTCTGCTCAAAAAGGCAACGCAAACCTACTGGCCCCAGCAGCTGCAGGCATTGGACGAGAGTCTTATGTGAGCACCACCAGCAGTAATGGAGCATTCAGTGCGCTGAGAGCGAGCAACAATTACCTAGGCCAGTTCATCAAAGGAGGCAACACTCAGCAACAGGAAGAGCTCGACGATAAGGAGGTCGTCGCGGTGACAACGGAGATCAAGCTCGCTGCAACGGATAAGGTCCTACCGCCTCCTCCTGCTGTCGTCAGGGAGTCACAGTACAGTGTTCAATCTTATGCTCCCCCAGCGGTCACCTACCACGAAGCTAAACCGTCTATGGCACCTAGCATCACCGTCAGTCAACCAGCGGAGCGCCAGGCGAGACTACCTCAACTCAGCGTTGTCGATTCACAAGGCGTCCAGCAAAGCTCCGTCTATGACCAGGTCACCAGTCAGGCCGTCCCTACTCCCACAAACAATAGCCCGGAACACTCCACTTCTCCTTCTATAGACATGGTTCAACAACGACACCACGATGCTGCACAACAACAACTGGTCGGTCAAGGCCAACCTGATCAGCAGGTTGATGATTATTATGATGAACATGATGCTCACGCCGCTCAAGAATATCAAGAATACCAGGACTACCAAGCTTACCTCGGTTATGATCCGCGAATGTCAACAATGGGTGTGCGGCCGTTGCCCCCTGATGATCCATCGGAGAACCCGGAACAGCGAGCGAACCGAATCCGCTCGTTCTATAAGGAATACTTTGATGAGACCAAACCGCAATCGCCAAGCGGGAACGTGCAGTACTACGATGGTGCGGAGGGCTACTATGACTCGAGTCCAGCCAACGGGCATTATCAGCAAGACGCATATTACGCACCACCTCGGAGACAACTCCACAGCAGCGCTGTGCAGGGCAGGCATCGGGCGACGGTCTCGAATGGAAGCTACATGTCTAGCCCCAGGGCATTCTCAAGTGCATCAGGGCGGTTTGGTCCGCCTGCCCCATCGATGCGACAGAAGAAGAAATTGCCGCCGCCGAAGCCACTCAATGTCCTCCCGACTCCTCACATGCTGAAGGATGATCTGTTTCTGCCCACCGACTTTGCACCTCCTCAGAAGTTCCGCAACCAAAGAAGCGGAACACCTGATAGCCCTCGCGGCGGAATGAAGGCCTATCAGCCGGGTCCCAGAGGTCATGTGCCGCTGGCATCGTCTTTTGATGATCTAGCAGTGATGCCGAGCCCGTAAGTGTTTTCATGTTGTCGTTCGTGATGGAACTGTGCTAATAGTGATTGCAGTCATGCTTTGAGAAAGTCGTCCACGTTCACCGGATTAGACTTCGCCCCTCCTTCGCGGATCCTCGGAGGAGAGTCTTCCATGAGCGAGACTGGCAGCATTCGAAGCAACCGCTCTGGGGTATCGGCTCTTCACTTGCACAACATTCGTACGGGAGCATACCGCGTCAGTCGGCTACCGAAAGAGGTCGCGGGAACAAAAGATGAGATTTTCGCATCTCTGAAACCACAATGGAATCTGAACCGGTGATGTCGATCAATCATTCCATCTGGCAATGTGTACATGGTATGGACAAAAATGGGATATACAGCAGCAGCACATGAGCGTTAGCGACAGGAGTTCTATGGAGGTTTCGAGCATTCATGACTGAAGGGCTCTAGACCTTATCTTAATCCATGTGGTAGCTGTCGATTATCTTCCTCGACGATATTTTCCGAGAGAGCGACGTACCAATGTATATCACTTACATTTGTGCTTGGGACGAAACCCTAAAAGTCCAATCAACCATGCAACCATAAATGCATACATACTACCTACCATATTGGGCAGCTGTACTACTGTAGGTAAGAGATCCTAGTCTTATGCGAGGTGCGTCCGGAGATGCAGGTTGAACCTCATCGGTAGATGGGTAGAGTCATGTACGAGACAGATGGAGGCTAGGGCTAGTTCCGTAACCGATCTGACTTCTGGGCATATCTAAAGTTGGCCTGAGACTCATGCACGGGCTGCCTCAGCTTTGGTGCAAGACGTGTGTCACAGCAGAAGGACGGGACAAGCCTCTGAACCATGTCGCAGCGGCAGTCTCACATAATCCGGGCTTGGGAGCAGGAAATATTGTATGTGATTGTGCCGGTCACACAGCAGACTCGGTTATGCAAATGCGAGCCGCGCAAGAGTCTCACAAAAGTAACCCGGTTTTCTATTATCTATCTCTTTCTTCGGATTCTTCTGCCAACGCGAGACATGGGAACGGGATAATCGGCTCAAATAGCGACAAGTCCAAGAGGGTTTCTAATAAGGTACAAGGGTTTAGGCGATAAGGTGAGAATGGAGATCCCAAGAGGTGACCCAAGCGAACTGGCAGTGCAGCTAGACTTTAACGGGCATGGATGTTCGGGCGGCTGATTTCTGTTTGGCTTGTAAACTTCTTAGGCCACCGTTACTGCCCCCCGCAAGTCTCTGCCATTTCCCATCCCGATCAATTAATTTCTTCTTCCCTGGATTGTTGCTGCGCCTTGCTCCCGAGAAGTAACCTGCCCACAACACCCTTCGCAGCCATAATTCCTCCCTGCGCTTGTCTCATCCCTACTTACCAACTCTCATATCCTGTCTATACCGAGAAATCCCTACAGCATACGGAGAAAAAAACCCACATTACAACGATCGAGATTGTCGATTATCGACCTGTTCAACCCGGAAGAACACGACTCGTTATACCCTGATCCCGACTCATTGGATCTCCGGGCGCAAGGGTCACCTTCTTACCCGTGTTCTGACACCTCCATCCACTTTCCCACCTCGATAAACGAGCCTTACACTGCTCGCCATTGATATCCTCAGCTCACAACAACACCTCTCTCACACCTCTTCTGTGCTCTTGTCAGCTATTTTGAGTGTCTCTACGAACTCAGGCCGTGCCCTCGTCGCGCCGAACCCAGGGTCTGTCCTTATCCGTTTGCTGCGGGAAGCCTCATCTTTCGAGAAACACGACCCGAGAGAGCTCCCAGTGACAATGTCCGCCGTCTCAACAGGTAATATTTAGATCGAGGTTGACTCTTCTCCTTTCGAGGTGGCTAACACACGTTTAGTGACGAGCGCGAGCGCCAGCGCCAGCGACAGTGGTAGCGTTGTCGCGTCTTCCTCCAACTCCGTCCTCACAACAGTCATCACTACAACTTCCTACAGCATTACCACCTCTCCCACCACCACAGTCACCTACACAGAGACATCGACATCGACATCGACTTCCGAACCTACAACCAGTAGTGTCGCTTCTGTCACTTCGGCAAGCGTCTCTTCCGTCTCAGTTCCTGCATCGACTACCGTTGTCGTAGCTTCCACCACTTCTAATACCACCCCGAGTGTTGTCAATGTCACAGCTACTATCACCGAAACACCCTCTACGACGACAAATGACAGCAGCCCAACGCCCACCGTTGTGGTAGTCACATCTACCTCCGTTCCTGTCACAGACGTTTCCACAACTGCCACGGATGGCTCGACGACCACATCCTCCTCCTCAACGTCTACAGCCTCGGCTTTAAGCGCCTCTGGGTCGAATTCAAGTTCATCCAGTGGCCTCACCTCCGGTGCCAAGATTGCAATTGCCGTCGTCATTCCGATTGTAGTTATAGCCGCCGCCTTTTTGATCGGGTTCTTTTTGTGGAGAAAGAGGAAGGCCAGGAAGAATGCGGAGGAACTCCGAAAGAATGAGATGGCGGAATATGGTTTCAATCCCAACAGCGACCCTACTTTGGTGGGCGGTGTTGGCGCCTACACAGACAACCAGTCCGAAGCCGAAGGTGACGGCAGCGGGTATCGTGGTTGGGGAGCGACATCATCGAATCGTAAGGCTTCCACCACACTCGGCTCAAATGGTCGTGGTCCCGGTGGTCCTGCCATGTCGGAAAGCAGCAGTCAGCCTGGCGGGTATGGCCTCCAAAATTCACCCAACACGACATCAGACGCTTACTCTGCCGATCCTCTAATGAATGGCCATCCTGAGGCTGGAGACGGGGTTGCAGCACTTGGTGGTGCGGCTGCTGCAGGTGGACTTGCAAGGAGCCGCAGTGGTGCTGCCGATATCCGTCGTGGCCCCTCTAACGCATCATCCGCATATTCTACAGGTCATCATTCGGAAACCTCATCCGACACCCACAATACTCCTGCTGGCACGTCCTACCAGGAAGAGGTTCCCTATAACATTTATAACGACGCCGCTCCAAGTCATGGTCCCTACGGAGATGCTTCATATGGTGGAGGTGCAGGTCAGCCTGTGATACGCGACGTTCAAGCGAGAAGAAACACTCGTATTGAACGAGCACCTACTTTCCCTCAAACACAAGGAGGGATTGCCCAGAACTTTTGATTTACCATTTGGTTGCATCCCGGGACGGCATCACTTATTGATATGCATTTTTGATGGTGTTTGAATTGGACATGGAGATGTCAGACTTTCAGGAGTTTGTTTGCCAAAAGTTTGGGGGATCCAACTATCAATACCCGGGCGTTCTTGTCATATCGGTTGACATATGTTTGACGAATCTCATTGTGTTAGGGTTGGGAATGCCCTCGTTGGGACTGATCTGTTTTGTACAGTGGCTGAACATACTACAGTGGTTGTCATTACACTAGCAACTAATCAAAGAGCTGGGAGCTCCGAGGAAAGAGAGAACCAGCTAATCAGGATTTGAAGTAGTTCTGGCGATATTGGATATACCTCATCGTAGTCGACAGATATGGTGGCTTCATGCCCTGAAATTCAAGGGACATTTTTCAGTAAATTGCTCGTTACGATCATTATGCTGTGACCATTTGCACAGCATCTATCAAGACTATAATACATGAATTGGGCAGTTTTGCGCAATAGGCATCCCCAAAACCCTCTGAGTCTGATATGTGTGGAAAACACTATTCACTCTCACGCCGCATGTCGGTCGTGTCGGTCGGCACTATGCTTCGACCGACTTCGCGGCGCCGCTTTCGCAGGGTCTGATCGTTCCGATCGTCTCGTCCCAGTGTGCCGAATGATATCATGGTAATCGTCATCTTCATGTAGCCCCAGATTAGTCAGGCTGTCTTTGCGTGTTGGATACCGTCTTGCTATAGGAGGTGGCATTGCCGCCGCCGGCAGCTCTTCGCGCGTTTGTGTCTGCCCTTGATTCCGAGTCACCACTCTGGACTGGCGAGGGGAGTTCTTCGGGGAATTCTTCGTCCGCCGTCTGGATGTCTTAGGGCTGTCGAGTGCTGCTGCTGGAAGTGGTGGGACTGGCGGCAATGCTCGATCAGGAGGAGGTCTGTCAGGAGGAGTCTGATGTCTCGTAGGCGGAGTTGTGGGAGGTTTTGGCTGCAGAGGCGGCGGCTGGGGCTGCTGCTGCTGCTGCTGCTGTTGTTGTTGTTGCTCCCTTCTTGGGAAGAATTTCAGACCTCCTTGCTCGTCCTCGGACGACGCGCTGGTGCTGTAGTTGATGTATGTGAAGGCACCGGTGTCGATGGACTCGCTGTACGATAGGCGCGGGTCCATCACTTGGCTGTCGTTATCATGCCATGTTTTCCACTCTCTTTTCTTGGGCGTGTCCTTGTCGCTGCCGTCACTCAACCACGGCTCGTGATGCGGGTCACGTCGAGTGGGCCCACGTACAGACTGCACTCGGGAGTGTGGGCTTTCGGCGACGACTGTATCTGAGCGGCCGTCGAAGTTGAACGATGCGAGCGAACTGACGGGGGTGATTGCAGGTGGGGTGATTGCGCTGGGTGATGTCGAAGTGAAAAGAATGGGCGATTGCAAAATGTGTTCGTCTGGCTGGTCGATGCGTCGTCCAGGATGATGTTCGCCTTGTGCGGCCAATGCATTGGTTGATGGCCTCCGCTGCTGGCGCTCTGTTGATCCTTTTTCGGGTTCTGAACGATTCTTCTGTCGGATTGGGATACTGGCTGTCTGCTCGCTGCTGCTGTCACTCAATGCTCCGGCTGTACAATGAAGGCGGACAATACTGGCAGACCGGGAGATGTGTTCGGCCAACCTGCTCTCTAGCTTTTCGCTTGTCATTCTGGCCACGGGGTCTCTCGCAAGGCACTGCAAGGCGAGTTGTACCACAGGACCCACGGCACTTAATGCCTGGCTTTCATCCTTCTTCGATTTCTTGTTTGCCTCATTCTCCAAGGACTGTGCCCACGAGAAGACTTGACCCAGATTAGCGTGGAAACTGGCATCAGCCAGACCACCCCCTCGCCCTGCCATCCGGTTTTTGGTGGAGCGATGCCGCGAGAACGCGCTGTAAGTGCGCTTGCAGAGGACGGTCATGATGTCCATCATGACAGCACCAAGTGAAAACATGTCCGAGGCAAACATATCTTGTTCTATCGATTGCCACTGTTGGACCATGGTGCTACGACCTTCAGGTGGTGCAACGAAAACAGGCCCAGCAGGTATTCTTGTCTCTCTGGTGCCAGTGGATGAGGTCGACGACATAATCGAGGGGGCCCTCACAGGCAAGGCTGTGCGTATATCGGGCCTTGCAGTCCCTTGGGTGGAGATAGACCTGTCGTCTGTCGGTGTAGACGGTGCATCCGTACTTGATCCTCCAATAGTCGGTAGCGACGAATTGTCCAAAGTCTTTGCAGCACGTAGACGTAGTCTAGCATAATTACCTTTAGACATTGGCTGAAAGGTGTAGGTTGGAATCGCCGAGCCAGAAATACTCCTGACACTGTTCCGGCCGTCGGAAGAGCCCGACTTGTCGTTCGTTGTCATCCTGCGGCCTGTCCGTCCGCCTGAGGGAAGCACTACAGAGGCTGATCCTGTGCTTCGATAGGTGACTGCCCTTTTCCATCTCTCTGGCGGAGCATATTGATATGCCTCGATATCGTCCGAGCGGACTTTACCACGTAAGACGCCGTCTCCGGCAAGGAGGCCTAGTGAAATGTTGAAGGATTCATCGACTTGGATGTTGGATGGTCGAATCGCGCCATGGCTGTCCCCATTGTTGTGAAGCCAAGCCAGCGCGTTGGCGAGACAGTGAGGCCAATTGATGAGTATATGTCGCCGTTGCGTTTTGGTTAGGTTATCAAACGCTTTGGGCGTATCAGTGAGAAAAGACTTGAGGCTCCACTCGGGTGCCGGCGAAGAGAGGACATTTAGGAAGCCTTCATGCGTGTAGGAAGCGAACACTGACACAACATGCTCGTGAACGAGCCTTCTATTGGCGGCAATCTCGCTCAGAAGTTCTTCCTCCGCTGACTGATCAGCGACACTAATACGCCGACGAACGTACACCGTGGGATTGTCGGGTATCCGGACTCGATCGGTACCCTCGTAACCCAGGGACATGACCACCGACTTCAAGCCAAGAGTGTTAACGGGGACCGTTTCTTCGTTAGCATAGCGGATATGCTCGCCCAGGGCGACAATGCGGCTGAGGAAGCGAAACTGTGTCTTGTAAAATCGCTTATCGAGGGCAGGGTCGGGTTGGAAAGACAGGCGCAGGTCTGGTACAGCATAGTCGGCGATGGGTAAGTCCTCGTCATCGTAGGAGTCATCGACGATGCCAAATATCTGATCAGGAACTCCGATAGCGACGAGTATCAGGAAAAAGCGTTTGGCTCGAGTTAAAATCCAGTCAAGATATGTATCGTCGGTCAGATCTCCACCGAAATATAGAGGTCGTCGAAGTAGTTCTTGCTCGCCTGGCCTAAGTTGTGAATGGACATAGCCTATCGTGACGGTCTCATTCACGCGGTCATCAGTCCACCATGACTGAGAGCCCGGCGCCATGATCACTGATACTGTTTCATGTGTTTTGGCTGCCGACGAGTTCAAGAAATCCAGGGTGTGTCGGTAGCATGCCTAAATAATCCATGCATTACCGGAAGTTGGTGGAGAGAGCGTTTAGATCCACGAGAGAACCACGTGGAAAGTGGGCAGCAGTCATGTTTGGCAGGAAGGACTGATGAAAGAGTTCCGCATTGACCATGGCCATATCAAGTGCTGACCGAGAATCTGGATCAGGATACGGAATCAATAAAAGCACGGAGGCTCCTTTATTTCAGACGGATCGAGCTGGAGAGCCGCTTGACCCAGGAGAGAGGCGAACGCCGCAAGTGAGACTTGTCAAAATGACCCGGTAAGCCTGGTAGGAAGGGACGTGCACAGAGAAGTGATAATACTTGTACTTAGTCGCCCTCGAAGTGGGGGGCGTGAGATGACAAGCTCTTGATAAGAGGATAGAGTTGTTGGCCTTATCTTCAATCACTCAGGGACCATGCAGAAGTTGATGGTCTTCAGGATGGATCTCGAAAGGGCTGATGGCTGGCAGCTATAGCCTGTAAGCCTACAATGGCGTTTGACTTCGTAGACATAAGAATATTTGACAGTTGTCAACCGTCAGCCCGGAACCTCAGGCTCGGTTTGGCATATTGACAGCCATATCTGACATTGATCACATCTCAGGAGTACAATCATCACGGATGCTTCTGTTGCTTGGTCAAGAGCCAAGATGCCACCATGCATGCAGCTGATGCTTACCTCGAGTCTGCGGAAGAACGAAGGCTACCCGAGCACACATCCGAGAGAAGGTGCGGGGAGTGTCTCGGATAGGACTGGAATGTGCATACGCCGTTGGATGTAAACTCATACCATCGATAAAAGCGCTGTCATTTAGCGAGCCTAGTAACGTGGGTGGCGGTGAGGATGATCGCGGGCAAGCAGGGCTGCACGACTATCGGGGACTTGGGCAATGGGAGCGACATGACCCATAGACGCGGCCTGGGGAACGAAACTGCCGGAGACTTCGTTAGGCTAATTAAATAGTGAAGCGATCTTGCGCTGCGAACTGACTGGTCCATGGACAGCCTTATCAAGATATTGAAGATAAGCGGACCAAATCCAATGACTACTCCTCATATTTGTTTGTATCTGATGGCGGCGGCCGCGCGTGGTGGGTCTTGGGCTTGCAGAAGAAAATACATCGCCAGCAGGGGCATGAGTGGCTCAGACAATGAATTCACCCTGCAAAACCACCACTTGCAGATGTAGAAATCCGTGGCCGACCAGTGGCGACTTCGCGCTCGGCCTTGTGCCGGGTGGCATGGCCATCATTGTATGTCCTCGAGGTCAAACAGGAGTGATTCCTCGGTACGCCAAAGGCGCCTGACCAGGGTACTCCAAGCCCGACAGTTGCAGGTTGGAAATGTGGAGAGGTTGCGGGCGTGGCAATGGGCATCCCTTGGGCTTCTCATCACTGCACACTTTGTTTGCAAACATTTGGCCAGGATTTTTGCGTATGATTTGTGTTAGATAAGGTCGTTTAGGTGCATCAACTTGTGACCACCACAGGAAGCCGGCTTGCCATACACACTTTCCGATGGAATGTGTACTGCCTAGAGGTGCCGACGTTTAAGTATGACTCGTGCTATCGCCTGCCAGTTGACCTTGTGTCATGTCAGCAACATCCTGTCCCACCTGTGCCACGTACTGGGTCGACTTTGCGCTTGTGGGCGGTGTCCGTCATCAAGAGCTTGTCGAAGACAGGAGGTTGAAAGGGTCCCAGCGATAATGAGCAGTGTTTCTCATCGACATGTCCTCAGTTGACGATTGTCACGGGATTCCCCATTCCTTGGTGCAACATAATTTCCTGCAGGTGGTGACACAATTGAACGGCTTTGTGTGACTTCGCGGAAGAATTTGAAGACTGTTGGGAGCAGCCCTGTTCCATCGTGGTCATTGAACTTTTCCTTCGTGACCAAGTACCTTTCCCTTCTTTTGCAATTTGTAAACTCTGCCGCCCAGATGCATACTCCAATGAAGTCACCTCTTTGGTGCGTCAGCATCCTCTTGTTGTTCTGCTGGGATGCGACCGCCCTCCTTGTACAGAAGCCAACCGGAAGTGGAAATGATTCTTCGAGTCCTACGACTGCTTCGTCAGTTCACATCTGTCAGAACTTGTAACTTCCACTCGTTCAGCCGCACAATGAGCCTTCCTGACGCTAACACTGTGGCAGTGACTGGGGAAAACCATGCATCGACATTGGGGTGCAAACAAGTGGGAGCATAGGTCAGAACCTATTCTGGATGGTAAGCCGTCATATTCTGCTGGCCGAATGAGCTGCAGGACGCTCAACAGCTCAAATACTGACCACATGTCATCTCAGGCACCTGCGCCGCTTGGGGAGGGACCTTTTCGGACCTTCAACTATACCATCGGCAGTTGGGGTCCCAGTGCTGGGCTTTTCACCTTTTGGGAAGATCATCAAGGCAACACCTCCACGATCCTGACCTACCCTGGATCCGGGCGAGTCGATTCGTATTGGGGTCCGAACATCTGGACGTTCACGGCGTGGGCTGTGAACAGCGAGCGTGATGCATGAGGAGGCGTGGTTCTTGCTGGCGAGGCTTTCACAATAAAGCACTATGGTGTTAGCATTGACTTGGGTACACACGTAGGCAGTAACTGGTCCCTTCAAATGATGGTGGTGGTGTGCGCTTTTTTACTCATCCTAGGCTCTTTACGTGATAGTTGATGTATAGAGTCATTGCCTTTGCACTCGACAGCTGAATGGCGCGATGGTCATTCTTTGGCAGCACCTTTCAAGTCCGTTGGGCAAAGGGGCGGACTCGACAAGTCACGTACAGAGAGAGTATCCCTAGGAAGGTTGATGGGAAGCCGTTTCGTTCGGGGAACTGTCCAAACACTGCCTATGGGCTCCAATTTAGCCAAACGTCGGTTCTGATATTTCGGTTGGTCGAGTCAGACTTCATGAAGGTGTGGCTGCAGCGGTAATGTTGGTGCGCAAGACATGATGCGTTAACATCCTCGGCATTGTGGTAGCAGGGCGACGATCATCTCGTGTTTAGGAACTAGGAAGAGGGATGGTGATCGACAGGGGTGACGGATCGTTTCGTCCAGGCACTAAGAAATGTCCTGCAGATTCAACCCCCAAATCTATTGGTTAATTGGTCAGGCTGAAAAATCCCTCGGTGGTTCCATTGTTGAGGTCTTCATGAGAACGAGGTCAACAGTGCCGACACCAGCTGAAAAGATTCATCACAGACCACACGGCAGCGCTGCTTTGACGTAAGAATGGAGTCCGTCAGCGCGAGTGCCGCCGACTTGTATACCACAGTAGGTGAAATCATGGGGATTGTCAACTGGGCAGATTTCTTCTGCACTACTGTGTATAGGTAGGTACCCTCACCTGCAAAAATTGTATGAACACGTTGGCACTTCGTATTCCAAACTTCCAAAAGCATGTGCTGCACTTTGAACAAGTATCTACCTACTGTGAGTAGGTACTACACAATGTGCTCCGAGCTTTCTGCATGAGTGGCGCCTTTGCCACATGGTCGATAGAGGGCCGTGCCAGTGTGGTTCGGAGAATCCTTCGATCGCAGTGAGGCGATCCGAGTGCTCGTATACAATACCTGAGGGAAATAAAATTCCGGGCTGCGAGTTTTTGAATGGTACCGTAGGTTTTCCCGATGGAGTTGATCTCGTTACGATCTCGAGCAGCCACGAAGGTCATCACCTGAGAATGTCTAGGTACCTGGTACCTAGGGTAACTCGAAGGTTCATCTGTCAAACAACTTTGCGTGTGAAATTCACTTTCTTTTCAACAAAAATAACCTGACAAGTGATGATCTTTCACTGTTCAGGTAAAGGCCATGCATAAAAGAAGGATACTTCACCCGGTGCGCCTTAGCTGCAGTGGTGCCTTTCGTGCGATCCATCGAGGTCTAGACCAAGGCCGACTGCCCATGCCGAGCCTATTGCTGGCCACTCATTCCTCCGTAGCCAGGATAACACACTCCACTGTCTGCAGATGTCCTGCATGTGTTCAACGTCTGTGCCTAATCCTAATCCTAATCCTTTCCAGCAACTTCCGCCTGCACCACTCTTCCCCGTCTACCCTTCAGGCTTCAGCTGCTGTCTCTCCTCCTTAAGCTTTATCCGCGCAGGCTTTGTCCGCCAGTCTCGAGAAACAAACTTTCTGACCGGTGTTCGTCCCTCGGCCTGTCCCAAGTTCCCTCCAGGTGTCAGTCGTTGGCGTTGTGGCTCTGCTCCAAGCCCCAAAGAACTAACAGCCACCCATGTAAAGCTAGTTCTCGAACTGCAGTCTTGTCGATTCTCGATCTGAAATCCTCCCACATCACAATCTTTCATCTCCATCCGTTTGTTCATGAACTCAGCCTGTCTGACAATTGGCTTGCTCTTTTCGACCTTGTAACACCTCAGATCACCACTGTTCTTCATGAGCAACTTACATTCTTGTCCTTCTTTATCTTTTGCAATAGCCGAAGCCTGGTTGTGGTTGCTGCCAGATTTGGGGCACCGTTCAGCGCACTGACAGCCCTCCTTTTGTTCCTGATTGTTGTCTAGCATCAGCGTTAATATCGTCGACTTTCGCCAATGACCGCCGAGCCTTTGTCGCTGGATAATGGCTTTCAAACGGAACCAAAAAGACGTCCCGTCGTCATCCAGATCCACGAGGTCCCCGTAACATCACCTCTTGGAGAGAAATCGGAAGAGCAGGCGCAAGAATTTGTGGATGTTTTCGGCAAGGCTGGAGCTGCCATACTGGACGTGAAAGCCACCATAACAGAGAAGTTCAGCTTGAAGGAGTCACGAAGCGATAATCTTTTCCGCTCAAGGAAGGCCCTGCAATCGATATGTCGAAGGAGATCGTCGCTGGGTTCAGTCGATGGACAAGACTGGGGCTCCGAAGCCCGTGGATTGGATGTACAAAGGAAGCTCATAGACTTTCCAAGCTTGGGTGCAGCACAGTTGTCTGGAGAGGAGAACGGTAGACGACATTCGACCGTCGCGACGCATTTTTCTTCTTCAGCGCCGAGAGACTTTTCCTCTTTAGAGCCTCTCGGCGCTCGATACAACTCTCTTTCTCTTGGACTACCATCAGTCGCGCAGTCCTGGCCGCACCTCAACCACTTAGATCTGTCGTCTGTGAATGGATCATGCGGAATAGTGCCACCATTGACACCTCCTGAAGAGCTTGGTCCTTTCAAGTGGGAACCTGCTGTACTAGCGGACTCTGACCAGGGCGTGCGCACAGTATCAAACGTTGGGCAAAATCAGCCGCGCGGACAGAGTCACCAGCAATCACGCAACAGTTCAACGTCTCGACCGTCAGAGATTCAAATGCCGGACCGATCGAGTATGGGACAGGATGAACATGGTCGGTCTAACTGGCTGGGGCGAGCTTGTCAACAACTTGGTATGTATTCCGACCGTTTACTCATCATGAACTTCCGAAGAGTGTGCTAACCCTGTGTTTAGTGGCCTCCCTCGGAGACACGGCGGCTCAGCAACAAATTCAAATGGTCGTTCAGGCATTGCCCTCTCAAGGAAAATCTGCAAATGTCAAGCCACTCTTCGAAAAGGTGGTTGAAGCAGTCGAAAATCATTACACCTACCCACCGTACATCACAATTACGCACGCGGTATCTCAGGTCATGAGCATGGACGAAGTCCCAGCCTCGCCACCAGCGACCCCGAACACAAACTATTCCAGCGATGATTATTTTCAAGACCAAACGATCTTTACTCACGCTGCTGTGGTTCCAGCGTACCATCACCAACCGACTGTTCCAGTGAGCATCGGGGCTCGACCTAGTAACATAATCACTGCACCCAGCAGCATACATCTGTCCATCTTGGAACGCTACATTCCACCCACGACGGCCGAAGAGGTCAACGACTTTTTCACTCTCAGCAGACGCTCTTACCTTGCAGACCGCCTTCTTGAGCTCTCCTCCAACAATGGCACTATGCTTCTGGTTTATCCAACTAAAGACGGGGCGTCCACGTTTGCGAACAGATACATCGGGCCTATCATTGAACCCTTCCTCCGGCAATTCATCCTCGTGAATGGACTGTATATACATGTTGCAGCGAAGCTCGGCCGCATGGCATCCGTGGAAGGAATGAAGAGCTTCGAGGAGATGGAGAGATTGGTGGCTGCCATGTGCGAGAGACTGAACCAAAGATCACCTCCACGATCTCTGCCTAGTAGGTATGAGATTGTGCATGCGGAAACAGCCGAGGTTGTTCTAGACAACCCGACATGGAAAGACTGGTACATTGACCAGGAGCAGCCGCGCCTGAGACAGAATCTGGTGGATTATCACAAAGCAGGCGGTCGGATGCCGTCTAGAGTTGGACAGATGGAGGTCACCACTTCAATGCTGGCGCGAGAAGTCGTGGACGGAATACGTCAAAGTCGAGAGACGGCAGGTAATGCGGGTGTGGAAGTCGGAGTGTTTGTCATACGGCGATCGATGGTTTGATGTTGGGGAAAAGAGCTTTTCCTTCTTTCTTGCATGGCGCTGGTCGTACAAAACAGAAATGCACGTCGATTGAGCAAGGCGTTGGGGCTATCATTGGACATGGTATTGGTCGGAAGGCAATTTCCGATCCTGATAATGGCATGAAAGACACCCTATGGGCTGTGCTTCAAGTGGTGGTAATTGTAACTTACTCACAAGGCTGTGGCGTCAAGCTTGGTCTTTAGGCACTATTGGCCTACAATATCAGGTAGTGCTCTTCAGTGTTATTGTGAAACCCTCTTCAGCAGTCACGCTGTATTATCTCTCAAGAAACACCGAGTGACCGCACAATGGCAGCCAGGACGAAGCGAAATTGTGCATGTTTGGATGAGCATTGAGCAGGCTATGTAGTGTGTTCAAAGCAAATCTGATAAAGTCGCACTGAGGACGGAAGTTTGTCCTTTGCGCGACCATTGGTTAAATGAGCTTATCAAAGTCAAGACATGCTTAAAGGGGTGGATTGTTATGGGCGGTCTTCGGGGTATTTCCCGCCAACCGCGCTCGAGTGATGCCCACCTAGTGGTTCGATAGACCTCCCTGGTCCTGGATCTGTGCTTTCCATGCAGTGCACAGATAAGGGCCCCCGATTGCCATGTCCACTCCTTCTCGCTAGTCTCTCCGTCCTGCCACCCAGTCCACTTGTTCTAGGCGGGATATCCGCATGTCGTGAACTACTGGCCCAAAAAACCTGTTTGCCGAAAAGTCCACCACCACCTAACCTCGCATCATGTTCTTGCCTGCGTTAGGGAAGACTGCAGCGCGAAGCCACTGGAAAAGCCACTGGCTTGATGGTGGGCGGCATTGCATGTGCCACGCCCGCCATTTGCACATCAGGTTAAAGCCAAACTACGGATTTCCTGCAGGCCAATCTGCAGATCTTCCCGTGTTCGCTGTCAAAAAAGAAGTCGTCGAGATTAGTTGCCGTTCTTCCTTTCTTCGACTTCACTTTCACTTCCTGCGTGTCGATACTGTCGTTTGCTCCTGGTCGACTTGGACGTGTCTTTTCTCCTCGTTTCTGTTCAGCGTTGCGTTGCGCTTTCCATTGCAGGTTGGAGCGCACCTGCCCATCGTTAAGCAACAATTCACTTTTGCTAATCGACCTTCGTTACCTCTTCACCTTCTTGTCCGGACACGAGTTTCACTAGATTCATTACTTTGGGCTGAGAAACCTCTTCTTTTGCACATATCATTCGTCCTCACTGCTTGGAAGCACTCTTCTTCCTCTGAACTTCTTGACTTCAACAACCTCTCGAGGGAACAGGAACAGGTCATACAGGCCAGACTTTCCAAGTTGCAATCTCAATAAGAATCACGATACATTCTCGCTTGCTGAAAGCTTCGAACTGCATACTGCCAACAGCAAAGATGCCCGTACTAATGGCCGTTGTGGCCTTGATCGTTTCCACCTTCTGTGCAGTCGCCAATGCCATCCCAACCATCTCAACTGTTGGGTCAAAGTTCTTCACGAGTGATGGCAACCAATTCTTCATCAAAGGTGACAATGAGAATGTCCTCAAAGCCCCCAGATCCGCTGACCCAATTTTCCCGCACAGGTGTGGCTTACCAGCTCGTCGAAGACGATCCTCTCGCGAACCCTACGCAATGCCAACTTGATGCTGCTCTCATGAAGACGCTGGGTGCCAACTCAATTCGAGTCTACCATGTGGATGCCTCGGCCGATCACTCGGGCTGCATGAATGCGTTTGCAGACAACGGAATCTACGTCTGGGTGGATATGGACAGCTTCAAGACATACATTCAGTTGGTAAGAGGATAATCGTCCCACCACAAGAGCCAGTGAAGCTGATAGCACATAGGCTGGCGTTCCTTCTTGGACCACCAACAAGTCCGATTCTTATCGAGCCGTCATGGACAATTTCCAACAATACGACAATTTGGCGGGATTATTCGTTGGTAATGAGGTGCTCAATACTGGTAGGGAACACGGCATGGCAAAGAGAGTGCACTCAACTGATCATTGGCAGACGCCGATTCGGGTGCTGCTCCGTATTTGTTGTCGGCTGCTACTGATCTCAAGTCGTACCGTGATGCCAAAGGTTATCGCCAGATCCCGATTGGCTACTCTGCAACCGACACGGCTGTTCTTCGCCCCATGCTGCAAGATTACCTGGTCTGCCGTCCGAACGCTACGGAGCGCATGGATTTCTACGCACTGAACAGCTACGAGTGGTGTGGTTCAAGCGCGACGTACGACACTTCAGGATATGTCAATCTGCAGGCGGACGCTGAGAACTATCCCATTCCTATCTTCTTTTCGGAAGATGGTTGCAACACAGTTCCACCACGAACCTTTAATGATCAAGCTGCCATCTTCGGGCCCGACATGGTCAACACCTGGTCGGGAGCTATCATCTATGAATGGATTCAAGAAACAAACGACTACGGACTAGTTTCATACGGCGCACAAGTTGCTGCCACTGTAGAAGTGGGATCCTCAATTGTGGATGGGTAAATATCGCCAGAAAAATATGGCTTCTGCATGCACGTTGGACTGACTCGGACTAGATTTACCCGTCAGGGTACGCCAACACCGGTTCAGCCAGATTTCAGCAATCTTGCCTCGCAGTGGGCCACGTTGACACCTACTGGAGTCCAGTCCGCGGCTTATTCATCGACATTCTCCGCATCCATTCCGACCTGCCCGAGTTCGACCGCAGGCGGATGGACAGCTGATCCCAGCGCGGCCCTCCCGACGATCGGTGCAGCCGGCGTTTCCTCAGGTATGCCAAGTGGTGTTCCGACAGGCAGCATCACGTCTGTCGGCAGCATTACGGTTATGAGTTCCACTTCGCAGACCAGTAGTACTTACAGCTCGACAGTCACATCTTCCGGGTCATCGGCGCACACTACAAGTGCGAGCAGTACATCATCATCATCATCATCAGGTGCTGCCAGTTCTGCAACCCACAAAGCTGCCGCTGGCAGAGTCGTGCCAAACTCTCCTGGATCGGAGGTTATGGGGTTGATGGGCACAGTCACTGCTTTAATCGCGGTCGGTGCAGGAGTCGTGTTCTGGTTGTGAGGAGAAAGTCGATTATGTACTATTGTACGTTGATGAGTGACGACCACGTACTTGGACGCAGTCTTCGGAATTGCGTGGTGGAATTGTAATTGCAAGGGCAGAGAGCATGGTTGTTCAAGATGGGAGCAGCTCAGGAAAAGAACATGATTAATCAGACAGCCTCATATCGGCGCGAAAAAAGGACAGAATACATAGTTAATGCATAAACCAGCCCTTTTCCTTGCATATTTGATTGCTGACTGACTAATTGATAGATAGCAATGCTGCAAGTCATGGTCTTTTTACTCCTCACAAGCTCCGATTTGTGATAATGTGTGGAGATGGCGGCTCTTCTGATCCGCATGTCGGCAGGGATGATGATGGTTTGCTGGTGACCCCCACGAGTAGCGATCTCCCTCCCATTTGTAAGCATACAAGCTGGGTCCCCACAGTCCTCAACTTAGCCCCGAGTATCGGTCAACGTTGTACAGACGTACTGTAGACATGCAGTACATTGTTATGTGGACAGAACAGTCCCCAACAGCTCAAGAGTCGAGGATTAATCGAATTTCAGATGTGCAGGAAGTGCTAAACATAGGGAAGACGCATTTCGGGGCCATCTCTCACCTTTTATGTCGTACAACGTAGTGTACGCTAATTGGTCAGTGTTGCTGATATTGGCGGTGACGTCTGGCAGGGTAGGGTAAATGTGCCTTTTTCGTGCCTATCCTCATTTTTCTTTGCAATATTGATTTTTTCCCTCTGGTCCTGACGTTATTCACTAAATCCGCCCATCCCCATCTTTTACTACTGGACCTATGATCGGCTCGAATGACTTTTGATTCATTCAGCCTGATGTCCGTACGCTCAATTCAACGGCTTAGAAATCCAGCCTCCATTGCGGCAGTCTCCTAAAGTCCGTGACCCGCCGCCCCAATGTGTCATTGTTGATTCTTTCATCACCTCCTTCCCTTCTACTCCACCGGTCTATCTCCGGACCATCTCTTTCTTGTTTGACGACTCTTGTTCGGTTTCATTCCTGTTGCTCTCCTCTCCTTGATCAATTCATTTTCTTATGCCCTTCTTACCGCCTCGTCTTCCTAAGCTAGCCCTGCTTGTGGGATCCGATAATCGTTGACATTGGTATCGGTCGTTTCGCTCCTATCCCCATCTTGAGCACGGGTTGTTTCGCAGCAATCAGACGCGAGGGCTGGTGGGGTGAAGAACCGGCAAGATGTTCAATACACACTCTCGGGAAATGTACGGGCGCCGCTACCGTCATGAGCGTGAGTTTTCCTCCACATTTGTCATGACTACTCATCAAGACTGACTTGCGAAGCACCCGTTTCTGGTTTACACAATGTGGCGCTCCCCGGCCAGTATCAACAAAATCCAGGCGCTATCCAATCTCAACATGACTCTGACGGGCCGACGAGAAGCGCCAGCCAGGAAGGAGATGGTACTTGGGGCGAACGCGATGTTGGCGGGTTTAGCCGCGAGGAGGCCATGGCTGGATTCGAAGAAATGCGAAGAGAGCTAACCAGACTGAGCTTACAACGGACGAAGACCAGAGACTCCGATCTTGGTAGACCCAAAAGCCGATTGTCAAGAGGTCGAACAGGGCCTACCATTGCGAGGACGCGGACGAGGTCTTCGAGGGCAGACAGTGCTGCAAATGCATCCACCCTGGATGAGGAGGCGGGTCCTGAGCCTGTTGGGGAAGACGATCTCGACCTAGGAGCCTTTCTGAAAGATGGAAATTTCGAGAAACGAACCGAGGCCGGCGAGTCTGCCAAGAAAGTGGGTGTTGTCTACAAGAATTTGACGGTAAAGGGTGTAGGTGCCCAGGCCAGTTTCACAAAGACACTCCCGCAGGCTGTTCTGGGGACGTTTGGCCCAGATCTCTACCGCATAAGCTCAAGATTTGTTCCCGCCCTGAGATTCGGCAGCCATCCACCCACACGAGATATTATTCATGATTTCTCTGGAGTCGTTCGGGACGGCGAGATGATGCTGGTTCTCGGTCGGCCTGGATCGGGATGCTCCACATTCCTCAAGGTCATTGCGAATCAGCGGGAAAGCTATGCTGGGGTCGAGGGCAAAGTAAGCTATGGAGGCATCTCGGCTGAAGAACAAAGAAAGCACTACCGAGGAGAAGTCAATTACAACCCGGAGGATGACCAACACCTTCCCACCCTGACAGTGTGGCAAACGCTGCGATTCGCATTGATGAACAAGACTAGGAAGCACGAAGCGGGCACAATCCCCCTCATCATCGAAGCTTTGCTGAAAATGTTCGGCATTTCCCACACCAAGGGCACTCTTGTTGGAAACGAGTACGTCCGAGGTGTCTCTGGAGGCGAGCGAAAACGAGTAGGTATCGCCGAGACCTTGGCTACCAAGTCAACAGTGGTGTGCTGGGACAACTCCACGCGTGGTCTCGATGCATCAACGGCGTTGGATTATGCGAGATCTCTTCGGATAATGACCGATATTTCAAACCGCACAACCATCGTCACACTCTATCAAGCAGGTGAAGGCATCTATGAGTTGATGGATAAAGTCTTGGTCATCGAAGAGGGCCGAATGATCTACCAAGGTCCTGGTAAACTGGCGCGGCAATACTTTGTTGACCTCGGATTTCTTGCGCCGGATCGCCAGACAACTGCCGACTTCCTAACCTCCGTAGGTGACCCAAGTGAGCGGCAATTCCAGCCTGGCAAGGCGGCAACCACACCGAAGACCGCTGAAGAGCTCGAAGCTGCCTTTCGCAAGTCCGAAATATACAAGCAAACTCTATTTGATGTCGAGGATTACGAGAAACATCTTCACAATACTCAGGGCGAAAACACTCGACGATTCCAAGAAGCCGTGGAGGAATCTAAGAGCAATAGTAAGCTGACGTCGAATCAATCCAGCTACACGGTTTCTTTCTGGCGACAGGTCTGGGCCTGCACGCTCCGCGAGTTCTGGCTCTTCTGGGGCGACAAGACCTCCTTGTACACAAAGGCCTTCATCATCGTTGCGAACGCCCTGATTGTCGGGTCGTTGTTTTATGGCGAATCCCTCGACACGGCCGGTGCCTTTCCTCGTGGCGGTGCCCTGTTCTTCTCAGTCCTCTTTCTTGGTTGGCTGCAATTGACTGAGCTGATGAGAGCTGTGAGTGGCCGTGTTGTCGTCGCCAGACACAAGGAGTACGCCTTCTATCGGCCGAGCGCCGTTGTCATCGCTCGAGTACTCCTGGATCTGCCTGTCATTGCTATCCAAGCGGTGGTGTTCACCGTCATATTATACTTCATGGCTCAACTGGACGTCACCGCTGGGAAGTTCTTCATCAACCTGCTCTTTGTCTATATCAGCACAATCTGCATTACGGCGCTCTATCGGATGTTCGCTTCCCTGAGTCCGTCAATTGATGATGCCGTCCGCTTTTCCGGCATTGCACTCAACCTTCTGGTCATCTTCGTAGGCTATACAATTCCGAAACACACTTTGACCGGCGACGTGATTTGGTTTGGATGGTTGTATTACATCAATCCTCTTTCCTATTCATACGAGGCTGTCCTGACGAACGAGTTCTCCGACCGTACCATGCAATGCGCCGAGTCAAATCTTGTTCCTCGAGGTCCAAATATCGACCCTGCATACCAAGGTTGCTCGCTGACTGGCGCAACAGTAGGAAGCAACACTGTCAATGGTGCTGCCTATGTCGGAGAGTCGTTCGGATATTCAAGGTCACATTTGTGGCGCAATTTCGGAGTCGTGATCGCTTTTGCAGTCCTGTACATCCTCATCACCGCTATTGCATCGGAGCTTTTCTCCTTTACCAATGAGGGTGGTGGTGCCTTGGTGTTCAAGAAGACGCGCAAAGCCAAGCAGATGGTTAGCGAGGACACAAAGCCTGCAGATGAAGAAAAGACAGCGTCAACGGGCGAGCCAGTATCGACTGGATCATCCCAGACACTTCAAAATGAGAAGGACAATATCGTAGACAGCATCGCGGAGAGCAAGAGCGTCTTCACCTGGGAAAATGTGCAGTACGAAGTGCCATATCAGGGCGGAAAAAGAAAACTACTCAATGGAGTGAATGGTTATGTCAAACCGGGCCTGATGATTGCGTTGATGGGTGCAAGTGGTGCCGGCAAGACCACGCTCCTCAACACACTCTCCCAACGACAAACCACGGGAACCGTCACTGGTGACATGCTTGTGGACGGCCGACCTCTTGGCATAGAGTTTCAAAGAGGGACCGGTTTCTGCGAACAAATGGATTTACACGACGAAACTGCCACCATCCGCGAGGCTCTCGAATTTTCAGCCATGCTGAGACAAAGCCGTGACATACCAAAGCAGGAAAAGCTGGACTATGTCGATAAGATCATTGATTTACTCGAGTTGAACGACATCCAGGACGCCATCATTTCGTCCTTAGGTGTCGAACAGCGCAAGAGATTGACGATCGGTGTTGAACTAGCTGCTAAACCGGATTTACTCTTGTTTCTTGACGAACCCACAAGTGGCTTGGACTCGCAGTCGGCATACTCGATTGTACGATTCTTGAAGAAACTGTCTCATGCTGGCCAGGCGATCGTCTGCACCATCCATCAGCCATCGTCAATGTTGATTCAGCAATTCGACATGGTGCTCGCGCTCAATCCAGGCGGTAACCCATTTTATTTCGGGCCCATTGGAGAGAATGGATCCGCAGTGGTCGAATACTTCGCCCAACGAGGCACTAAGTGCCCACCAGATAAGAACGTGGCCGAATTCATCCTGGAGACTGCAGCAAAGGGTGGGAAGCGACGAGCAGACGGTACACGAGTCAACTGGAACAAGGAATGGCTTGAGTCAAAAGAAAATGCCCAAGTGCTAGAAGAGATCCGACGCCTCAAAGAAGAACGATCCAGGGAGCCGGTCAAGGAATCGAGTGCTCAACGTGCCTTCGCCGCACCCGTCCCGCTGCAAACGATCGAACTCACGAAACGAACATTCCGAAATTATTGGCGAGATCCATCGTACCTCTACGCCAAGTTATTCGTCAGTGTCATCATCGGCATCTTCAACGGTTTCACCTTCTGGGATCTCCAAAACTCGGTTGCATCTCTCCAGTCACGACTCTTCACGCCCTTTCTGATCGTTCTGATCCCACCTACCATTGTCAACGGTGTCGTACCCAAATTCTACCAGAATCGAGCTCTTTGGGAAGCACGTGAATACCCGTCCAGGATCTACGGATGGATCGCATTTTGCACCGCACAGGTCGTTGCGGAAATCCCCATGGCCATTGTCTCATCGGTCGTCTACTTCCTTATCTGGTACTACCCGACCAACCTACCCCGCGACAGCAGCACCGCCGGCTACATGTTTCTGATGACGATGCTATTTTACCTCTTCATGTCAAGCTGGGGTCAATGGATTTGCGCCTTTGCACCCAGTTTCTCGGTCATCAGCAATGTCCTGCCCTTCTTCTTCGTGGCCTTTGGTATCTTCAACGGCATCGTAAGGCCATACACCCAATTACCCGTCTTTTGGCGGTACTGGATGTACTGGGTCAACCCCAGTCAATGGTGGCTGTCGGGAACTTTGGCCGCGACCCTGCGCGATCTCCCCATCCAATGTCGAACGGGCGAGAGCACGCTGTTCAATGCCCCGCCAGGCCAAACATGCATGTCATACGCGAGCGACTTTGTCCGGTCCGTGGGCGCAGGCTACATCTCTACTACGGAAAACGGCACATGCGCTTACTGCCCATACGCCAATGGCAACGAATACCTCGCGACCTTGAATATCAAGCCTGACCAAAAGTGGCGCGACTTCGGCATCTTCTTGCTCTTCGTCTTCTCGAACTGGGCTTTGGTCTACTTCTTCATTTACACCGTTCGTGTCAAGAAGTGGTCCTTCGGAATGGGGTACTTGTTCGGTGGAATGGGAAAGATCGTGGGCGCGACCAGCAAGATGATCAGACGGAAGTGAAAAGGTTGTGCTTTTGTGCCTTCTTGTAAAGCGTAGAAAAATGTGTTGGCACGTTAGCGATTGATAGAGAGGGAAACTAACAAGCGAGGAGTTAGATAGCAATGGACAATTGTGCAAAATACTTGACAAGACATTGAGAGATGTACCGAGCACCGAAATTCCGCCGAATTTGGTGCCCCGAAATATTTTCCATTGGTGGGTCATGAAAAGGTGCTTTATTTCCCTGATATGGTAGGTATGCATGCATGCTCTTCAAGGAAATATCTGGCCAAAGTCCCCTGGGGACTTTTCCTGCCCTAACTCTTGCCCAATAGGGAAGTACACGTGTGGTGTTGATGATTCTAACATTGGCAGTGCACATGTTGCGCATACTTGACATTTGCCAATGCGACTTCTTTCTCGAAACATCTTCGACGCCCAATATCAATACTCGGGCCATTAGTCTATCGGGTCTATCAGGTCTATCAAATCTATCATCGCTTATCAAACAAACCTATAGCACGCTTCTTGAATCTACTTTTCATGTCCATCCATGCATCCATCTGTTCACGCTTTCCAAGTAAATCCATCTGTTCCGTCTAGTTCAATCAGCCACCTCTTTAACTCCGTCCAAGCAACTCTTTCCAAGTATGGCTGCAGAAACATGAAATATGAAGGACAGTATTAACGTGGGGTGTAAAGGTCGGTGCGGGTCCGGATTAGACTCTGTCTTGGACACCGCCCATGGGAGGCTTTTCGTTGTTGTTGTTGTTGTTGTTGTTGTTGTTGTTGTTGTTGTTGTTGTCGTCGTTGTTGGGCTGGGCAGCCTTCTGCTTCTCCTTCTCAAGTAGACTGCTCCCGCCGCTGCTCTGAGGAGAGGTGGTAGCAACTTCTTTCTTGCCCTTGTCCTTGCCCTTATTCTTCGGCACACGAGCGAGCCAGTATATGAACACCGCGCCAGCGATGTTGGAGAAGATGTACGCCCACATGATCCCAAAGTTGCGCCACATATACTGTGGATGGGACGACACACTGGCCAGGAAGGTGTCCGTGTCGGAGATCTGGCAGTAGCTGCAGTTACCCGTAGCATCTGCGTTTTGGAGATAGCCGCCATTAGTGTTGATGTAGGATTTCATGTATTCCGCACACGTTTCGCCCGAGGGTGGCGAGAAGGTCAGGTACTCGTTGGCCGCACAGGTGACCTTGGTGTGGGCAACAGCCGTGCTGAGCATACCGTCGATCAAGTAGGTGAAAGGGGATAAGCGATACCTGTAACAAGTAAGTATTGATAGGAAACAAGTGGGCACGTGAGACTTACATGAAAATCCAGAATCCAGGGAGGGCTGTTGGTCCGACAAGGACACCACAGAAGACCAAAGTCAGAGAGAATGCTAAGTTGGCAATGTTTCCACCCGTCTCCGCGTCCGGAATGCCTGCAATCGCCAGATGCGCGAATGTGCTCGCAAATAGGAGGAATGTAAGGATAAGGAGGAACATGAGGGCTCCACGCTCGTGTACAGCATTGGTCGGTTCGGCGTTTTGATACAACCCGATAGGATAGTACCAGGTGAGAAAGATGAGGAGTGCGCAGAGAGCGGCCCAAGGTAATTCGACCAAAATGTTGCTCATCATGAATGCCTTCCAAGAGTACGCCTTGCTTGGCCGTTCCCGGACTTCGTATAATGCTCGTTGGGTCACGAAGAGTGGCATAATCTGCTGCACGAGTTGTCCGAAAATGGTCATGAGCATGAAAATGCCGAACATCTGATTCTGAAGACCCTGCTGGGTATTCTTGGCTTTGAAGAAGGAAAAGCCAACAAAAAGACCTGATAGAGTACAGAGCGCGAGTTTGCTGTAAATATAGGATGGAGTGCGCCAGTATTGTTCGAAGACACGCTTTTGCGTTTCCCAGAGTTGTACTTGGAATGGAGCGGCGAATTCGCGATAGCTTGCTTTGTCGTTGGGATCGGATGTCGCTCGGGTCAACCTACATCGTTCATGCTTCATTTCGTCGAGTTCAGCATGCACCTCGCTGACTTCAGGGGAATTGCGCCAGGTGTCCACCCAGTCGATATCCGTGTGGGAGCCGGGCGCAGCACCAATGACTTCCAGCATCCATTCTGCTGGATTGGCCTCTGTGGGGCAAGGATGAGCGCCGTTACGTTCGAAATAGCTTGTCAAGGTCTTGGATGACTCGCCCACAGGACCAAAATACACGGTTCTACCGCCCTTTGCCAGGAAAAGCAGTCGATCGAAGCGTTGAAAAAGCATTGCAGACGGTTGGTGGATCGTACAAAGGATAGCCTGGCCGTTGTTCTTGAGCTTTTCAAGCAAATCCAGGATAGACCAAGATGTTTGAGAGTCGAGACCTGAAGTTGGTTCATCCAAGAAGAGCAGGAGTTGGGGTTTGGCCGCCAACTCCACGCCAATAGTGAGTCGTTTGCGTTGCTCGACATTGAGACCTTCACCAGGAACACCGACCACGGCATCGGCGTAGTCGGACATTTCAAGCAGCTTGATAATTTCGTTGACGTACGCGATTTTCTCGTTTCGAGGAACGTGTGCAGGTTGGCGGAGAATGGCGCTGAAATTCAGAGCTTCCCTAGAGGGTTGTTAGTCTCGAAAATCTGTGGCAGTGAAAACATAAGGGAAGGATAAAGATCCAGGGAACAACGAGGCAGGTTCTCGAGCAGACTTGCCTAACTGTGGTGGTCTCCAAGTGGAGATCCTGCTGCTGAACATATCCTGTTTTTCGCTGGAAAGAATCGTCTCGTTGCAGACCGTCCACCAACATCTCGCCGCTGATAACACCCATCGTGACACGGGTGGCCAAAACGTCGAGGAGGGTGGTTTTACCGGCGCCAGACACGCCCATAAGTGCTGTCAAAGTCCCGGGTTTGACCCAACCATTAACGTGATCAAGAATGCGTCGTTCCTCGCCCTTGATCTTGATATCATAGCAGACGTCCCGCCATTGAAAGATGGCCGTTTGTTTCTGGATAATGCTGGATATGGGTTGGAGCTCATTGTCATCTTTCTGTGCTGCAACGGTAACACCGCCAGCTTCGGCGTCTTGAGCAGGATTCGACTTGATAGCAGCCGGCTTGTGGCCACGTCGAAAGAGCAGAACCTCGCCTTTGGACTTCTTAGCTGAGACAAATTCGGCAGCCACCAAATATGCGCACATGAGGCCAATCAAAAATACCCAAAGGATGCCGAAGTTCCTCCATTTGTGGGAGGCATAGTATTTGTAGCTGCTGTTGATGTAGTCGTCTCCATTGACAAATGTCTGGCCTGACTTTGACCCGACAGTCGAGCAGACCCTGTGCGCCACTCCGCTGCCGTAGCCAGAACCAGTAGGGACGTAGTTAGCACAGGGGTAATCATGGCCAGAAAACTCGTTGATCATGAGAGCCTCGAATCCATAAGCTACTGGGTCGAGGTAGTTGATCCACCGTGCCCAACCTAACATATAGGTTACTGGAATGGCGAACCCCGTGTAGATAACAATTGCCAGTATCAATATAGCTGCCGGAGCCAGTGCCTGACTGAGCGTGCGAGAGACAGAAGCAATAGTCCGGAAAAGCATACTCATGACCAAAGTCAAGAAGAAGGAGATGAGAAGGAAGAAAAAAAAGGCTCCAGGCGTTCTCCTCAAGTTGGTCAAGAAATACAGTGTGAGGTTGAAGGTTATCGTGTTGAAGATCTTGTAAGGCATGTCCGTCAGCATGGACGCAAACGCTTCTGCAGAAGGATGATAGAGAGCGTATCGGGCATGCTTTTCGACGATAGGGCGCTGCGCGTATAAGGTCAAGATCTCCAGCGCCGAGCCGAATGCGTTCATCAGGATTGCAAAGAATAGCAAAGCCCCGCGCGAGTAGAAGGAACTGGTCGTCTCGTTGAGATTGTAGAAGATCGAACCGATGATTAACGCCAGGATAGTGTTTGCCAGCACTTGTGTGACGGTAAGACTGGGATCTGCCATCAATCTTCGAAAGCCGCGCCAGAGGCAAAGTTGGACTTGTTGGGTGTATGACAAGGTGAAAGGTGACGAGACTCTTTGCCCCTTGGCTTGCTGTAATCTCCGAGATTGCTTGAATTTGTCCAAGTCTGGTCCACCAAGTGGATGTTCTCTGTCGAACTCTTCGATATCCTTGAGAAGCTGCGCACGTTCGGGGCTATCTTTCCAGACCTGGGCGAACTCGTCAGGTGTCCGAGGAACCTTGTTCTCGAAGCCGGCACGAACGATTCTTTCAGCAGGGCTAGTCATAGAGGTCAAGAAGTCGGCAGTGGTTTGACGGTCTGGGCAATGGAAGCCAATCCGGACGAAATATTCCTTTGCGTGCTCTTTCCCACCGAAGTAGATTTGTCGTCCTTCGTAAAGTACAACAGCCTTGTCGAATATGTCGTAGGCACTCTGCGGTGCCTGATAGATAGCAACTGCGGCTGCGGAGTTGATGATATCGGTCGATACACGTAAACTCTTGCAAAACTCAATGGCGTTGGCACTGTCCAAACCACGGGTGCTGTTGTCCCAACACTGAAGAGGAGACATGTTCAATGAGGCCTCAGCAATACTGACACGTTTGCGTTCTCCACCACTAACGCCTCGAACGAAGTCGTTGCCAACACGGGTGTTGAAAGTGTGTCGAATACCGAATGTAGCCATGATGACGTCTCTCATGTGGGCGGCGTAGGTTGATTTCGACATGTTTCCTGGGAGGTGTCTTGGTGCTCTTGCACGAGCAGCAAACTACAAACCGTCAGAAAGTTGTGTCAGTAAACCTGGGGACAACTCGAAAGACTTGTGCTTCGATGGCACAGTCATTCGCAAAGGAAAATACTTACGAAGAGTGTTTCTGCAACCGTAAGCTGAGGAAAGTGTACATCCTGCTCAGCAGTGTAGATTGCTTCACCACGGAAGTTCTTGTGCATTTGTTCAAAACTGATCCCTTGATAGTTGATGTGCGATTCCTTGTCGACATTGAATCCATGCGTTTCGCCTGCAAGCGTCTTTAGGAACGTTGAGCACCCAGAACCTGGAGGTCCCAGTACGACCAGCATTTCTCCGGGCTTGATGAGACCATCAAAGCCACGGAGAATATCGACTCTCTGCTGACCGACACCCATCAGCCTGCGAGCCAGCCCTACCCCTTCTAGCAGGACATTGCCGACGGATTTCTGATAGTCAGTGGCGGCGCCGTACCCGTGGGCATTGAGATTGCGGAAGGCGACACCAGCTGTCCTTGCCAAAAACCTGTCGCCGTCGGAAGACTGCAACTGGAACATGGCTTTAACCCATGCTCGAGGTCGGAAGTTGTCCGAGCTTGGGTCGAGAGGAGAGCCTGGTTCTGCATCGAAAGGATTCGAGTTTATTGAGTTAGAAAAGGCTGACTCGCGCGAGAATTGTCTGGCGAGGTATCTAACACGTTCGACGGCTTCTTCATCGGAGCTGTTGGAAGCTTCTGCTTTCTCTTCTGGTAGAGCATGGTTGCGTTGATGTGATTCTTGGGATAATGAACGGAATATGTTAGGCGTTCGGTCAACATCGCTGCTTGTCCGCCGTGGACCGAGATAACCTGCGCCCTGTGTTTCGGCAGTGTGGTCGTAGTTGGAAGTGAGGTTTCCTACGAGAGACATGGCGTGGCTGTTTCTTGTGCCCAGAAGGGCGTGGAAGTGGAAGACCTGTCAAGCTCGATGATTGTTCTAGGTGGAAAGAGGATTCATGGAAATAGAACTCTTGGCTGGGAGCAAGGAAAGAGGAACTAAAGAGAATATATTCAATCAAAGCAATAAGACTCTCCAAAAGAAATCGAGTGTCGAAGAGAAGTCGTCAATGCAACAGCCTGGTGAACGGATGGGCAATCTTGTATGTTCCGGAATGAAGATGAACACGGAAAGAAGTGACGACAACTTGTGTACTTTGAAAGCAAGAGGAGTGAGAGGATGCACAGCCTACTGGCAAATAGATTAACTTAAATGAGAGACATTAATAATTGAGATATGGATACTGTCTGGACGAAGAGGATATTGAGGAATGCCCGAGCATTTCGAGAAATCGTAAGGTACGGAACAATTTCATCCTCAGGCACAGGCATAACAATAGCGGACGTCGGGAACTCGCGAGGAACGGATAAAAAAGGGCACAAATAGTGCAATCGGCGCCCCATTCAGAGCCTCATCCGAGTTGTGCTTCGGAATCCGGATGTTGAGCCTCATGCATAAATCACGGGACTTTGGTTATTTCGGGTCTTCATGTGGACTGCATCCGTGCTGCTTCTTAAGCTTCCCAATGCGTTCACATGGTTTATTATTGCTACGTATCCATCCTACCAGCCTCGATGGTAACCTCAAATCAAACCATAAGCAGTGACCCAACAGGTCCAAAGTGGCCAGCTCGGGTTTTGACCAAAGGCATGATCAATTGGTAACATTGTTTCTTTTTTCAAGACTTCAGAGCTGCAAGTTCTTCGCTTTTCAATGACTACTCTGATGCTGCTAATATTACATGTGTATATCTCGTCCACTCGTTTCATCATGGCTTCAACATTGGTAATCTGTCATCAGGACTCTTTTCCATCGCCCGAAGTGCTTCAACGATAAGGCCGAACCCGGAAGGTCAGCCTGTTGTTGAGGTAGCTTCAAATGAGGCAAGACCAGCAAGCACGTAATCGACAGATTGGGCACAAAATAGATCGACAAGGCGCCCAGGGAAAGCGGAGAGTGATAGTGAATTGTGTTGAGGTGAGTAAGGGAATTGCTACCGCCTCTTTCCTGGAAGACTAGAGTTCCGTTCAGAATCCAGTAAACAGGATATCAAGCTCGTCGACATCGATCTGCTCCGGGCTCGTCATGGTCCAGGCAGCTTCGCCCATATCAATGTCCTCCAAGTGAAGGCTGAGGTTCATCTCCTCCTTGGGAGGGGACTGCTCTGTCCGTGCAGGTATCATGGGACTACTGGAGAAAACCTTCTGTTCTGGAACGTGAAGGCCTGACTGAGTTGGGCCAAACAGTTCCAGGCCAAGTTCACGATCTCTTTTTTGACCTTGCTCAATTGTCTCCTCCGTCGCTTGCACAGCTTTCTCGTCTTGCTCCACGGACAGTTGGACGGTAGGGTTTTGTAGGCTCGTGCCACGGGCGCGGACAGCCGTGGCTGTCTCGGTAAAACCTCGCTCGTCGGCCTCTAAGGGTGGGCTCGGTGCCCGATTGGGCCTGTGACGGACATCTGGCGTACCGTCGGGATTTAGGCTGCTCCTCGCACTGAAAGGCTCTCCAGGTGTTGGGGGCTGCATTGGATCTTCTTGGTCCAATTCCGGAGAGTGCAGATCCACCTCAGGACTTGGAGAGAATCTCGCTCGCTCGCGCAGGTCCTGTTCTATCTCCTCGTCGATTTGACTGTGGTCGGATATACTTGGTGTCAGATTCTTGGCCGCGATCATGGCAGGAGGCAGGATGTCGTCAGAGGTTGCAGGCAGAGCCATCCGCGGCTGTGTTGTCAGAAAGAAGAAGACTTTCCTTGGGTGGACAGGGATCAGCTCCTTGGCCAAGGGACAAGGTGACAAGGCCGTCCATGGTCGCTTGAGGTACAGGCTGAGACGGGAGGAGAGAAGTGCAGCTGGGTTGGCAGAACTATCGAGGAAGTTAACATTGGTCTCACTCAAGACATGACATGGACTTACTGTGCAATACTGGAGTTTGTGGATGCCAGGATCGCAGCAAGATCTTTGATGAGATGTGGTCGGTTGCCAGTCTTCTCCAATTGTTCAATCACGCCAATGACAATGTCGTCGTTGATACCTTCAATGTCAACCTTGCGAATCTGCGCTGGAGCGAATTTGGGGGAAGGTGGAGGGGTCTGTTCGGTTGCGGCTCCTCGAGGAAGGGCACTAGGCTTAGGCAGATCGATCGCAGGAGACCCGGTTTTGGAGCGCGGCGACGACACAGGTGACAAAGGTTCGTCACCATCATGCGAGCGCTTCAATTTCTTTGCAGGAGGAGATCGCGCAGATTCCGTGGTCGCTGTGGCCTTGGGTGACAGGCGGTGTACACGCGAGGCTTGTGTTTGAGGCAAGTGGATGCCGAGCGAGGGTAAGGAGAGGGATTTCCGGCGAGTGTTGTAAGGCATGGTGAGCCAATGTTATGTGTCGCCGAGAGAGAGGAAAAAGGTGCTGTTGTCGTCGTGCTGCTGTATAACGACGAGCAGGAAATAGGAGACGGAAATGGTCCTGTACAACAGAATGGTGGAGGACTGGAGTATGGCGAAGTAATCCGGTAGGGGAAATATCCTAGGACGGGGATGCGTATGATGATTCAGGCTGCGGTCTAGGTTTGACAAGGGATAAAGAGCCCGGCGAGTGTGTGTGACAGATGTGTACTTGGACCGTCGGAGTGTGATTGGAGGCGAGCAGGGGGCGCTGCTGGAATGCGTGGCTGCAATGCAAGGTGCCGCGGCCGATGGATCGAATAAGGATGCGTCAAATTCTGCGGCCGGGATGCAAGGACGAGCTTCGAATGGTTGCGCTTTCGCCTCCCTTGCGTCCAAGATCTCGCGTCAACCACTGGACTCAAATAGCGGTAAGCAGAGAGTCGGTATGCTTGTTTGTGATACTGCAGGTTGCGTGCAGTGGAAGGTAAGTCAATGCGCCGTAGACAGAAGGTGTCGTGTCTTTCAGACGCCGATGGGCCGGGAGCGAGTTTGCTTGGATGCGCGGCTCAGGGTCCAATTATTGTTGGCTCAAGGGGTGGTCGTGTGAGAGAGTACCAGGTACTTTCCGGGGTCGTTATAAGGGCGACAGGCAGCAGGCTGCTTTGCTTATTGTGTATAATTAATTGTACAATATTGATAACAATTGTGAATGGTATGTACAGAAGTTGAAGTGAAGAGATGGGAAAGAGGGAACAAAAACAATAACGGCGGGTGTTACGTCTGGTATGATGGAAGATGGAACGTCAACCTGTGGCGGACATGGCGAGAGGGCAAAGCAAAAAAAAAAAGCTGAATTGCGATCATGGGCGAAAAAGCAGGTGAGATGATTGCAAAAAGTGGATAATGGCAGGCAGCACAACCCTAGAAACTAACGTTTAGTTTAGAAGCAAGGGATCGAAGGGGCACAAGGGCCATGAGATCCGGAGGGTGGTTGACCCAGGCGTCAAACCTAAACTCGGAGTCTGCGGTTAGGGCACTGACTTTAAGCCTTTCTGAGTTAGTTCAACGCCTAACACACCCTTGAACAGCTCTAAAACCTGCGTGCGGATACACTTGCCAGAAGTCTGTTTTTGGGTGACCTGACAGCGACTCTGATCAGACAAACACCAGTCTGCTACCGAGCACTCATCCACTTGGTACGTCGGATCAGGTCGACTCGGTCTTGATCCGTATATCTTGGTCAACGGGCGTTCTTCTAGACCGAGTGTCAATCCGTCGACATATGGCTTATGGCAGAAAAAGCAACGACCAGTATGGTCCACCGGAGACATCCCAAAGTGGTGTGAAATGCTTCAAGAGCATGAGATAATGCGGATGGTATGGCATATTAGTCGCTTTCCTGAAACAGGAATATCACTGCCTTTGCTCCAATAAGAGCAGATCACGGCTGCGCATAGGCGAGAACAGACATATAATGTGGCCATGCAGCTACCCAATCAACAACATGTAGCCGGAAAAGGCACTGGTCGTGTATACTAATGGTTGTATCATGCCTTTTCTTAACATATCACATCAACGAGATGGACAATTTCTTGCTCGACTGTCTATCCGATACTGCAACGGACACGACAAGCGGCGGACGCAGTGCAGCATAACAAAGGACCAGTCACGGTATGCCATGTGCATGGAGAGTAAGCACTTGCTATACCAAACAAACCAGTGAAGCAGTAGTAATGACGATGATAGTGATGGTGGTGTGGTAGGTAAGATGATGCAGTTTTAGAAGCCACTGGTCCATGTCACATTCAGTCAAAGTTTAGTGGCATATGCAGAGTCAAGGGGTGTACTAAACGCTCCATTATTGACACCAGTCACTTAGCACCAATCAAGGCCTGACCGCACTCTTTCTCCACCATTTCCGATTGAGCAGAAAAAAATTCCTGATACTTTTTTTTGGTCAGAGAAAGGACTCTTTCCGGAAGCCTGAAATGATGCTCGACCAGTGACCACCCAAATGCCGCTCATATCATTTGCTGGAGTGCTGCAGCCTACAGGGCAGGCTCATATGCAGTCAAACATCATAGACGGAGTACATTCGTTGCCTACCTAGGCGGCTGCTTGGTCAAATCGTGTAGGCGACAAACTGTGGTGAAGGAGAGCCAGTATGACTCTGTCCGAAACTTCGGTTGGATGCTGCCACATCTAGAACTCGAGGAAGACGATACGAGCATGCTTCACGAGGTGCTTTGTTGATTCTGATTGTTTGTTTGTCTTAGTCGTTGACGCAGGCCAAAACTGTCAAGAAATTTTGACAAATCCACAACCCGTGGTTTCCGCCTGAAGAAGTGCAGGTGCTCCAACCCGAGATATGGTCACGTGCATGGCTGCCTGCAGTTAAGGCATCGTGGCAGACTCGTCTCAGCACAAAGTAGTTGTGCTGTTGGTCGTGCACATACTACCACTACTAGTACTTGATATGCGCCTAGCACTATTGGCAGACAGTTATCGACATCTTCACCGTCCAGGTTGGCTGAGCGTCTTCAGTTTCATGTTGCGCCTACAAGTACGGATGTGACCACGGCTGGAGCAGACTCGATCCAGTGCACTGACACCTGTCTGGTAAAGTCACCTTCTGATCCGAAATTCCGAGCATCAGAATTCCGTTTCCGCTGAGAAGAGTCCTCAACACCTGAGGTCTACCATCGACGATCGAAGTGGTATGGACGTCGGCATCAGACGAAAACGATGAGCTTAATATGGCCCTTTTGAGATGTCAAATCAATACCAAGCCTTATCGAGCGTATCATGCCGCAACTATTTGGACCACACCGGCGCATAATGTTTATCACTAATACCACAGAGGAATGACCCCTTCCGCTCGCCGCCTACCGCAAGTCTATTATAGAGGAAACGCACAGACCATCCTGAGCTTCTGATCGACCAACCTAAATTCAAAAGGAATATTATGGATTGAGGTTAGGAGCTTTGAACACAGAAGGTATGTGCGGCATCAATAGTGCAAGGTGTTCAACTTCTAGCGAGCATGGGGTTCATGTTCGCAAAAGTACGATGATGCACCGCCTATCTCAAGTCAAGTCGACTCAGGTCGGCATCTCCTTGTTGCTCCTGGTCTGTCTTCCGGCGTCTGTCTTCCGGCGTACGCTCTACTGCGAATTGCAATACCGCCATGATGTAATCTTTCATGGAGAGACAGAGCCGTCGGCACAACGAAACGCGGAGTATGCATGCAACCTCGCGAACCAGGAGCCGTCGCAACTCAATCATTCAACTAATTACCTATTGCCAAAAGCGTCGCTTTGCCTGTTGGCCAACCTCATCGGTTATGTGTTCTTTGCATCACGAATTGCACTTCCGGATCTTGAGTATGCATACAACCCTGCTGCATTAGTGACCACCCTTATCATCATCACTGGGATGGGAAAAACGCCCTGAAGATTACACTTCGCGGACGAATAATCCACAAAGCTGATCGCCATCTTCTTTTACGGTTCGGCAACAGAGATCAACCCCGCCGGATCACTTTCCGGGACTTGCCTTCAGCATGAGTCCTGGAGACGAATGATGGTCAGTGTCTGCGGCTCTGCTTCGCTCAACGAATCTATGTTTCTTATCTTCGATGCTTTAACTGCGGCCGGTCTCAACGCCCATCGAGCGTTCCACACTACAAGTCACCATCAGCGAAACTCTCTACACGCACTGCACCACGCAATCAAAGCACGCCACGGCAACTCAGTCGGCATGCACGAGTAAGTCATCTCGATCCCGGGATGTTGCCTGTCAATCTTCAAACGTTGAGGCCGAAAGTTCGTCACGCATCGCCTTGGCGTCTCACCTGTTTGGTAAGATTATCCTGCCGTGCCTGCATCTTACTCGCATGTCTTGTCCCGGATACGACACGAGAGGGACGAGGGCTGCGTGGCCTGGAACTGCCGGAGATGCAACCCACGTGCATTCATGCCCGTTCAAGCACAAAACTTGGGATAACCCGGAGCGCAACACTGATGCCATGCGTTCGTCGATTAGAAGGCCTGTTTCGAGGTATGTACCGGTGTTGCGTGCCTTGATGTTCGAGATGAGGATGCGTTTCACGTGCCTCAAACGATAACAATCGTCAAATCCCCTATTTCTGCCAGCCTCGTGCGCTTACGGTCTTTCACACCAGACTTTACTGCACCCACTCATTGTCTCTCCTTGACCTCTTTCCCTCTCGGCCTCAGAACATATTCATAAGTGGTCCCAAAGTGATACCTCCTCTTACTCTCAATCTCCAGGCCACTATCTTCAATGACCTGGTCGATATCCTTGTTATTCCAACATCCATACCGGTGAGCATGCATTTTCGCATTGCCATCAAGGAACCGATTGATAATGTTGTAATACGACCGACCGTGCTCGAGAAGCAGAATTTTACCACCCTTGTCCCTTTCATCTGTCTCCTTCGCGCGATTCTGTTCCTTAGCAGCCTCGCCATAGTCGTGTCCTGGCTTCTCTTCTGGTGGGAGACTCACGTCTACGCCCGTGCTCTTCTCTCCGGGCTGTCGGACAAGCTGGCCCAATCTTCTGAGAAAGCCAACTGGATTTGCCATACTGCACACTCCCATGGTCTGTAAAATTGTATCAAACCCACCCTCCGGCCGACTGATGATGCGTCTGTCGCTGGCATCTCCAACCACGAACTTCACAGGCCCACGGAACTTGGCAATCTGCTCTTTCTCCTCCTGCAACTCATCGAACTTCTTCTCCGCTTGATAGACCATAATCTCGCTCAGGTCATTGAATACCAGACTCCTTATCCTCTTGTCCCTGGGGGTCCTCACCGAGTCAAGGTTATAGTACTCCATGTTTCGCCCTGTCCCGGCGCTGACTTCCAGCACATTCCCGTACGCCTCTTTGCACAGTTTCCGCCGTTTGCCGCCCAACCACATCAATTTCTCTGAAAACTCGACCTCGTCGTCAAAGTTTCGTGTTACATCCAGCCACCGGCTCGACACGTCGGCGTTCTGCGGCAGATCAAGCTGGTCCGTTTCTTTGACTGCACGTTTGTACGACGAATACAAGTATGCTAGGTACGTGGACAGCACGAAGCCGAAGATCGACACCGCCCAGAAGTAGCCTCCGAATGAGCGGATAGGGACCGTTTGTTCGTGCGACGCTCGCAAATCACGCTGCCGCGACTCTGATGTTTGAGGTGAAGCTCGTAGAGGTGGGGGTCGTACCCGGGGTGCAGGTATCGCAGGTCCCGTAGATGCATATCGTGGGGCGAACGTATTTCTCGGCGCCACTGGTAGCAATAGGGAACGGCTGCGTAGACTGGCTGGGTGCAGATGGGGCAAGGTTCTTGATTGCGCATTCGCTCGTTTTGTAAGAATCGACAGGGCGAGATGTGGCACTCTCGACGTCCGCAGGGACGACAGCGCAGCTTCTGCCATCGTACCCAGACTGACTTTGCTATAATGTGCGCCGTGGATCGACTCGAAGCATGATAACTGCGCAGATATGAGACATAGCAAGTGTGTTCGAAGACATGTCTGATGCAGGGAAAAGGCCACACCTTTTCGCCGAGGTCATCCCGTAGTACACAGGGCGCATCTGACTCAGGCCCATATTGCGGAGAACAACGTCCGACGAAGCTTCAAGCATTACTGTCCCACAATGGAAAGCATTATCGCAAAGTAAGATCCGCATTCCTGCCGGCCTGTTGGCGGTAACCACAGGTCCAACTCCGTGGTACAATGTCTGACACGATCCCACAGCACATCCTCATAATCGGAGCAGGAGAATTCGGGCTCGCGACAGCACTGTCCTTCCTCTCCAAGCCCACCTACAACTCAAGTAGCATAACGATCCTCGATGGCTCTGCGACCCTCCCCAACCCGTCTGGGTCATCCGTCGACGCGAATCGCATCGTCCGAGCCGACTATGCCTATAAACATTATGCCCGCCTAGCTCTCGAGGCGCAAGAGCTCTGGCGCGACCAAAGTCCAGAAGGATGGGGCGGAGAAGGCAGATACCATGAGCCAGGGTTTGTCCTAACAGCGGACGCTGACAAAGATGAGTACCTGAAGAGCTCGCTGGAAAGCGTGCGAAGTTTGGTCCAAGAAGACAACAAGTCCTGGCTCGATCCGGACAAAGTATACAAACTGAACAGCCGAGACGAGATCGGAAAAGCATCAGGCTATCAGGACGTCAGTGGGGACCACGGCTACGCAAATTTCAACTCAGGCTGGGCCAACGCTGAGAAATGCGTCGCCTATGCTCTCAAGAGAATTATTAAGGAGGGCGGTGACCGAGTGACCATAAGAAGTGGCACGAAAGTTGAAAGACTGCTGTTCTCCGGCAACAAATGCAGCGGTGCCGAGCTGCGAGACGGAGAGCAGATGAAGGCCGACCTGACGATTCTGGCCGCAGGCGCATGGAGTCCGAGCCTGGTCGACCTCGAGGGCCGGTGTCTAGCAACGGGGCAGACACTAGCATTCATCGACATAACCGACGAGGAGCAAGCATCTATGCGAGACCGACCGACAGTAATGAATATGAGTAACGGGATGTTCATCATTCCTCCGCGCGACAACCTTCTGAAAATCGCCAGGCACGGCTACGGCTACAGAAATCTTGTCCAGATCCCGAAGAGAAATCTACAACCGGGCCTGGCAAACGGTGAGATCAAGCCAAAGAGATACGAATATGTCGATGTCAGCGTGCCCAGGGTCGGAGTGGAAATCCCACAAGAAGCCCAGGAGGCACTACGCGATGCACTGCGTGAACTCGTCCCACACATGGCGGATCGACCGTTCGTGCGTACGAGGATATGCTGGTATTGCGATACGTGAGTCTCCCCAGGCCCTTTATGCATGTTCGACAGAAGCTAACAAACACCAGACCTTCAGGCGACTTCCTCATAACTTACCACCCACAATATAAATCTCTGTTTCTTGCGACAGGCGGAAGTGGCCATGGCTTCAAATTCTTCCCGGTAATAGGAGACAGGATCGTCGACGCGATCGAGAACAAGCTGGACGCCAAACTCGCACATGAATGGCGTTGGCGGTGTGATGCAGAATTGCAGAAGCTTTACCAGCCCGAAGGCTTTACAGCTTGTGAAGACGGAAGTAGGGCAGGACGAAAGGGAATGCTGCTTGATGACGAGATGGCGAGAGAGGAAAGCAAATCAGCCGGTGGCATGCATCTGCAGTCATAATGTCCTAGCCATAATATAAAACAGTTGAAACAGTTAAACACCTACATTGCCAGTGACGTGCAGTGAACTTGTTCAGACACGGTCCAATTCATGAAGTTCGGCCTTTCGATTGCAGTCACTGGATATCAAACCGATCCAGCCAGCCCCGATTAACAGGTAATGTACGGAGTATGGCCTCTTCAAGAGTCCAATAAAGTGTCATCCCAAATCGAGCAGTGGTGACATGTTACGCTTAAGACAATCACAAATTCACCGCGTTTCTGGGTCCCATTTGACGCGACACTGTAAGTTCAGGTTGTTTACCTTTCACGAGTCACCACTGCGTTGGCATGCTCCTTTCGGAGACCGAATCAAAAGGTGCATTCCCATCCCTTGCTGCCACTTTACTAGTGCATTTTCCTTTTGGCCCCGCGTGTCACGGCTCACGTTAGATCAGGAAACTTGGGAATCAGTTCTTTTGTCCTCATTTTTCTGGTCCTCGATTTCTCTTTCTTGTTCAATCGGTCCAGTACACACCCTTCTTCCCTCTCTCCCTCAGGTCTACCATCTGCCTGCACAAGTGTTGCAAGTGACCCCTCAGGGCGTCCCAGAGTGTCACAAGCAGAACGGAAGAGCATGCAAAAAGTGGGCTTATCAAAGCAACTGGTACCTTCGGACACCGCGTTTCCTTGCGTCTGCCAATCGTCCCCGTCTACCTATATCGACATCTTGCACGGCTACCGATCGGTGAGGTCTTGCGTGCGGTCTACGCATGGGAAAAGCAAAAATGCCTGCAGAAAGGTGAGTGTTCAGGTGATCTCCAGGGTATGACCTTTCTAGCAGCCATGGCCCCGGAACTCAACGGCGTCGATCTTCAAACCAAGTCGGATATGTTCTATCATACCAGAAGTCCTCAAGGGCTTCGACAAGACGACATTCCAGGATTCGAGCCACGAGAGACAAAACATTTTTGAAAGAACAGGTATTGCTAAGGATGAAAAAGTGATATTGAGCTATCTTGAGATGCTGCATATGCTCCACTTGAAGCTCGGGCAGCACCACCTACGACACCCATCACCATCCTCACGATCAGTCGGCTCTTTATGCTCCCAGCTTGCTTTTCGCCAATACAGTCTGGTGCATATTGTTCATCGCCCACGCCAACTCCAAGGCGCAGATGAACCGGCCATGGACCCAGCTTTCAATTTCAAGGCAGTCCTCCCATTACCCGGACCGCCTCTAAGTACGGCCGGAAGATGATGACCGGTGGCTTCAATGGCCACCCACGACACATCTAGAATTGGAAGAGGAAGAAAAGAGAGGCCCAAGCGGTATGCGAAATTCGACCAGCGCACCGAATACCGCCAATGCCCCTTTATGTGTCGATGAAGACCCAAGTCTAATGGTGTACAGGCCCTGCACCGATGCTTTTTTGGGTGCTTGGCCCCCCGGAAAAAAGGTAAGAGATCTCGCTCAAAACGCCTTGCAATGCTCATAGATAGTCGTAACACGCGCGAGAAAGGCAAGATGGTAATAGTGTTGTGGAATCCTTGGTGTGCAGATATGCACAGCCAAAGCGACGCGCTCATGGCTTGACAAGATGACCATTGTCAAGGATGAGGGCGTAGTTGCTGTTGATACACGTCGATGGTGGATAGATCGCCGACGTTTAGACCTTGCGGAAGTCTGATTAAATGGTTAGTAAGTGTCGACTAGCATACGTGGGAGTAAAGTCATACCTGATAGCGTCGGGTAGATCTGCTCAAAGGCCTGGTAGATCTCTTCTCGGACCTTGGCACCAGTAAGGACAATCTTGCCACTCACGAAGATCAACAAAACAATCTTCGGCTTAATCATGCGGTAGATGAGACCAGGGAACAGTTCAGGTTCGTACGAGCTGAAAGGATGATGCTTAGAGGCAAGACCTTCCAGTCGAATAGGGAACTTGATGTCGCAGGAGCCGACAATGTTCTGGATCTTGAAGTCGGTAAACTTGGCATTGAAGCCAAGCTTTTGAATGATACGCGCATACTTGCGGCTGGCAAGTTTTGAATCATCTTCCGATTTTGCACCAGTGACAACCATCTTGCCCGATGCGAAGATCAGAGCAGTGGTTTTGGGATCTCTGATACGCATGATGACAGCGGCAAAACGCTGAGAAATAATCAGTATGGACGGAGGCAATTCAGATGGAGATGAGACTCACCTTGGGATTGTACTCAGCGTTACGGGCATGGAGTGCGATTGTCTTCAGATCGAGACGACAGTCAAGGTTGACCGTGGCAACAATGTTTCTTTGAAACAAATGTTAACCTCTGCTGACCAAAAGGGCAACAAAGGATGAATACTCACTGCAAAGTAGGCACAATACCACTCACTCCAGCACCGGGCGTCGCAGTAGGAGTCTGAGGAGCCTGAACGGCGTTCCCTCCTTGCTGTTGACCATTCATCTTCGCATCTCCGTACGAGCCACCATTCAGGTTGTGTCCATCTTTCTCAGAGGAAGGCGGTGTCAAATCCCCGGCACCACCAGGAAACGACAGAGACGCGGGAGAGGTGAAGGCTTTGGCCTGCTGTGCGGTGGCAGGATGAGTGGTAAGAGATTCCATAATTGCAGGATGTGAGATTCTCAAGCGTCGCAGTCAAGCGGTCGCAAGTTGGTATCCTTTTTCGATGGTAGAAGAGATCGATTGGACGGTGAAAGCAGTCTGGAGTAAAAAGTTAGGATGGTGTTTCGATGAGAAGACGCGCGGGTTGTGGCAGGAAGTTTGCGTCGGTCGTTCGGTGAAAGGCTCGCTCTGAGGCAGTGAATTGATGATTCGACCGCACCGCAGGCAGCGCTTCGATCACTCGACAACGGCGGCGAACTCGATGCGACAGGAAGGTGTAATGTGATGAGATCGTGGATTCGTACCGAGATGTGGGAGATGAACAACTCAATGTCTCCCCTACAAACAAACTGCCTTACTTCCGCAGGTGACTCTCCAACTGAATTTGTCTTGAAGTGACAGTGAGACGAGTACCAGGTCTTTGTGTCCGACGCTTTTGATCAAGCGACGATGAGGTGTGCGAGAGGAGGAACGAGAGAAAGCAAGGTATTTGCGAATTAACTATTGCGGAAAGTGCAGACTGTCTAATTGTTCTTTGTCCCTGTGTTTGCCCCGTGGGTTTGGTAGAGAACGGAAGGCGCTCGCAGGAGGAGGTCTTGTCTTGGTCTTGGGTTCTTTCTTTTTGGGAAAGCGAGACACCCAAGGAGATGGAATACACGATCGGAGAGAGGACTGGATCGTTGATGACCGATAGATGAGATAACGCAGGCGGTTGCGACAGGAATGCGCAGTTGGAGGAAGCCTGGTGAGGGTGGTGTGGAGATGGAGAGGCAGGAGAGAATGCCAAGCCAAGAAAAAATAGAGTGTCAAAGGAAAATCAGAGATCGGATACGTTCGCGCGGGCAGGAGGGCAAGGCGGTATTTATACTCACAATTGCCGCCCAAAGCAAACCACCAAAGGGCCCAATACCCCCGCCATCCGAAATGACGCTAGAAATGAGCTAGTGTCAGTCCAACCCCAAACAGGTCTAGCCGGTGTCATCACCTTTTGCCCGACCTTGCCTCTCGCACCTTATCTGCCCCCTTTTTTCAATTCCGTCTGTCATGCACCTCTTCTTGCATGGTGCATATCTCCCTGCCTGCGCCCTGCTTGTCCTGCCCCCCTATGCATGCATCATCATTTATTCACCAACGATATCAATCAGTTTGTCTTGAGTTTGGCGAGATGAAACTCGTCAAGCTGGAAAGAAGAACAAGAGAAAAGCTGTCAAGTTGAATGTGAGTGATTTAGTGGTTTGCCGTTTGCCCCTAGAGTGGTCAAGATGTTACATAGTCCGTGGAGACAAAGCACGTGCTTCCACTTTTTTCTGCTTCGAAAAATCGAAAAGAGTCGGTTTTGCTTCCCAACTTGGGACAGGATTTTCCTGACAATGCCCACTCCCAATTTTTCTTATCGATGCCGAGGGTTTGTCAAACGCAAGTGTCATGGAAACTGCGGTAACGGGCGCTTTTCATGCATCAAATATTTGCACCTGTTTGCTGAAGAAAGGAGGATAGGATAAAGATATTCTGCAGGACAACATTTCAAGTGGTGAGATCAAAATGGAGTGAGTCACGCAAGCCCTGGAGAATCAGAACAACGAGTGGTGCGCGCCGTTTGTTTCACATGCCGTGCAAGCAGCAACTTGGCGAATTCTTGGACAACCGCCGGCATCTGCCTCCGGACGCCGCCAGAAGTCTATTTGCTGCGTTCGGGCCAATCACATTCAGGACACCGTGGTCGAAATGCTGGCCTAAACCGGTCAGAAATCTACCATTCAGCTTGCATCGTTCGTGCATCTATTCGCCCCTACTTTGGAATATCGCCCTTTTGGGTCATTCAGCCTCGTCTGCATCAGAGTCGACAAGGCAATACCGTATACCGAGACCCTCATCCTGTGGCACAGTCCTATCTTCGACGAGCACTTTGCCTAGTAGAAAGTTTCTTGACCTCTGCTCGCACGGTGCGGGAGGTTGTACTCTCATCATGCATGGACCACAGCAAGGTTGCATCAAGCGACTTCACCTGGCCAGACCAGACTTGTGCGGGGAGTTCCTGATAAATAATAATACACGACCGGGGAAGTTACTGCTCTCATGAAATGGTCACCTGGGGTTCTACTTACCGATCAGCTGCACCTCGCACTGACCACTGTGATATCGTCCTGTATGTGGGGTATATTGTATCTTCAGCCATGAGTACGGCAGGTGGTATGGGACCATTCGGGATTCACCTAGAGACCTGAGGTACAAGACACGAATAGAAGCTCGAGTCAATCCCACGTTGAGGGCCTAGGAACAGCACAAGTGTCGAAGAATCTACATCTACCTTAGACAACCCTTGCCTCCTCTCTAGGATGGTACCTCTTATGAATGTACTTACAAGTGACTTTATCCGATATGTCTCGCACACTTGAATCAAGCGAGCGACTTGCACAACCTCAGCCACATTCAAAGATCAATCCTACAGTCATTTGCTTGCGCCCTAAAGCCATCCGCCTACCCGGGTTACCTACACGGCCATGCACGCAACCAAACCCCCGGCTTGAAAGACACTCGCATGAGGCTGGTTTGCTGTTCAATGCAATCACAACCACCACAAACATCACAGGAAATCAGCTACTGCACGACCCGTCAACAAGTCGCGCCGTTCCAAAGCAGCAGGCCAGACGACCCACACTCGATATGGCTCCGTCACTACCACCGAAATTCTTCATTCCGCCTCAGAGATGGTTCAAGGAAGAAGACGACGATGAATGGTACCCGGAACATCCAGCTGGGCTTGGGTTTATTTCAGTGAGACCTGTTCGCAGGTCGTTGTGAGTTCAAGACATGGCCTACTGTATCATTCTCAGACCAGATTTGTAAAGCCTGAAGACCTCAGGCCTTGACATTCTCAAGTGCTCGAGTGCTAAGCTACCTTACTTTTACAAATCATCTCCTTCAGTTCATCTCTGGTATACGCTGTAGACACCGATCGTTATACCGTGCATGGCGCTCAAGTAATGCTGTAACTCGGGCCCTCACCACCCTGAGGAGTTTGCCAGTTGATGTCTTGGCCGGGGTCTTTGATATCACATGTCTTGCAGTGTATGCAGCTGCAGTTGGTGGTTAGCATCAAGCTTGATTGTGAAAATGAAGACCAGAACTTACTTCTGAGCATTGATCTGGAAGCGCACACCAATATCCTTGGTCTCATCTTCCACGTACTCGTAAACACCAGCAGGACAGAATCGATTCTCCACGCCCTTGAACTTGGGCCACTCTTTCTGCGCGTGGGCGTCCCAATCCTTGACTTGTAGATGAACGGGCTGGTCCTCCTCGTGGTTGGTGTTTGTGCGTGACACACTCGTCAAGATGTCGAAGGTGATCTCACCATCGGGCTTGGGGTACTCGATCTTGGGCATCTCATCGGCAGGCCTGGTGTTTGCCCAATCGGGCTTCTTGTGCGCCAGCGTCCAGGGCATCTTGCCGCGGAAGACGTATGCTTCAAGACCAGAATACATGATGCCTCCATAAATGCCTAGGGGGTTGTGGAAGGACGGTCGCATGTTTCGCACAGCTTTGAGTTCGGGCCAGATCCAGCTCGCTCGCAGGGAGTCCTCATAGTCGTACAAAAACACGGTACTATCTGTTTTGCCGCTAGTCAGAGCCCCATATGCGGCTTCGGCGGCCAACATGCCAGACTTCATTGAGGTATGTGTGCCTTTGATTTTGGGCACGTTGAGGAAGCCGGCAGTATCGCCGATCAGCGCACCACCTGGGAAGGCACATTTCGGTATTGATTGATAGCCGCCTTCATTGAGAGCTCGTGCCCCGTAGGCAATGCATTTGCCGCCCTCCAAAACCGATTTGTAGAATGGATGCAGCTTCATGCGCTGAAACTCGCCGTATGGTGAAACCCAAGGATTGGAGTAGTCGAGTCCGACAACGAGACCCAAACTTACGAGGTTGTCGCCGAAATGGTACATCCAGCCGCCACCGTAGGTGTCTTTGGTCAGAGGATAGCCCATGGTGTGCGAGATTTCGCCCTTCTTGAACTTTTCGGGCTGGATTTCCCATACTTCCTTCACACCGAGTCCGTATGTCTGCGGCTGGCAGTCTCTCCTTAGGTCGTACTTCTTGGACACTTTCTTGGTCAGACTGCCGTGGCAGCCCTCTGCGAGAAGTGTCACCCGTGCGTGGAACTCCATGCCTCGCTCGAAGTTTGCTTTGGCTTTTCCGTCTCGGCCTACACCCTGGTCGTTTGTGGCAATGCCCTTGACCGCTCCCTCGTGGTTGAACAATACTTCGGCCGCAGAAAAGCCGGGGTATATCTCGACGCCCACCTCTTCAGCCCTTTCGCCCATCCACTTGACGAACTGACTCAGACTTATGATGTAGTTGCCCTTGTTGTGCATTTGTGGCGGCGCAGGTATGGGTATGGCGCCCGACTTTGTGAGGAATCGCATCTTGTCACCCCCTGCTGGTGTAGCGCCCGTGAATCTGTTCTCGTTGTCCTCGGCCAGCCAGTCTGGAATCAACTCATCGATCGCTCTCGGTTCGAGGACATTTCCAGACAGCATATGTGCGCCAACTTCTCCCGCCTTTTCTAGAACCACGACTCTGAACTCTTCATTTCCAGCTTCATTGGCCAGCTGCTTTAGGCGAATGGCTGCGCTCAGTCCTGCAGGACCAGCACCAACAATACACACATCCACCTCATCGGACTCTCGTTCGACTGACGCAGGGTCAAAGCTTTCTTCCTCAACGTCCGCGTACCTGCGGTGTAAGCTGGCAGATATTGAACGTCTCTGACCAGCAATAAAGACTGGTCTCGTGGGCCGTGTCGCAGCTCGTCGTTGTGCGGGGAAAGTCTTGATCAAGGATATTGATGGCCTAGTGGAGTAACGACATTGTTGTGCTGGTGTCGCAAGCCTCAGAAGAGGCCTCGTTACATGTTTAGAAGCCATTAGGATGTCTGAGGAGGAGTTTGCGAGAGGCACAAAGGGTGAAGCAATTCCAGCATGTAAATGTATTCAACGTCACGAAATAGATCGGAGGGCCAGACCTCGGTTGCTATACGCCGAAATAATCATGGACCTCCCGCAGCGAGAAACATCCGCCAATAATAGGCATCAATTAATAACCAAAGCTCAAAGATCCCGACGGACCAAATGATCGAAATGCCACAGCCTTGTAAATTCACGGGATTCAGTTCCCTTCCACCTACGGATCCGACGGTCACTCTCATCTCAGCCTTGCCATCTCCAAATTTGCCTAAATACCTGGTATCCAACTATCTGCACCTCCACGTGAGGCCGAGTCCGCTTACAGTCATAGGCAGTTCTATGACATGTACACTTCTACACTGCCGCAGCACGTAAAAACTACAAAAATGATTCTCCAAGGACATAGTTTACAGGTCACAGCCGCAAACCCCCACCCTTCACCCACGCCCCATCTTTGAGAAATGACAACTTACACACGTGTCGGCGCCGTCACCGGTGCAAACAAAGGTGTAGGACTTGCCATTGTCCGCCAACTCGCGTTGCAATACCCGAAGTCATCCTACAACAATGGGCCCTTACTCATATACCTAACAGCACGAAATGAGGAAAGAGGGAAGGCAGCATTGGACTCAATCAAGCAAGACCCACAGTTGAAGAGTGCGAAAGCGTTGCGCAGCCATGGCGGCCTCGCTGATATCAAGTATCTTCCATTGGACATCGACAGTCAGCAGAGTATCAAGGATTTCGCCACAGCTGTGAAGGAAGAAAATCCTGATGGAATTGACTTCCTGATCAATAATGCTGGAATTGCCATGGATGGCTTTGACAAGAACGTGGTGAAAAAGACGCTGCATTGTAACTATTTTGGTACACTTGAGGCTACCCGACTTCTCTTGCCGCATATCAGGGATGGGGGGAGACTCGTCAATGTTGCAAGTATGGCGGGTCATCTCGATTCAAGATACTCCAGCAACATCAGATCTCGCTTCCTCAATGCGAAGAAACCCGAAGAGATAACTCAACTGATGGAAGAATTCGTATCCGCCGTTTCCAATGGCACCCATGACAAGGAATGGCCTAGCGTCGCCTACTCTGTGTCCAAAGCAGGTGTCATCGGGGTGACGAGAGCCATTGCTCGGGTCAATGCTCAGGCAGGAAGTCAGACCCTGATCAACTCGTGCTGTCCTGGCTGGGTGAAGACAGACATGACAAAAGGTCGAGGATACAAGACACCAGACGAGGGAGCTCAGACGCCCGTGCTACTAGCATTCGGAGACATCAAAGGCTCCAACGGCGAATTCTGGCAGCATGAGAAGATCATTAAATGGGAGAAATAGGCTCATTCACTCTGTCATAAGGCGGCACAATGGACATGCCTATGATGGTTATACATCCTTCGTGGGACTTTACGTTTTCCAGAAAGGTCTCACTCACGATACGTCAGGACACGGCCGCGAAATACTGCACTGTGTTGTGTGGTCTAGAAGTCTTTTCTCTCTTGGGTGGGCACAGGCCCATGTATGCGTGTTTCGTCCGGGTTGATCCGCTCTCCACTGATGGAATTTGCGGAGGAAATGCTTGCCAGCGTCAGCCGCCTGCAGCTGGACAGCCTTACCTCCGGTTGACTCTCAACCATGTAGTGCAAATGCATCAACAAATTCCGTGTCTCCACCACTCTGCTGTCGGAGTCTGGTTGAGAATTACCCAAACGGATCATTGACCCTCATACCTGGACGAAGGCGGTCAACCCCCAGACAATGACTGGCACGCCTTGGCCATTGGAGACGTCAAGGAGAGGCAGGTATATAAAGGTAGGACCTTCCCCGAGCATGCACAACGTCGAACCCAAGCAAGGAGCGATCATAAACCAAATACTCAGATCTAGACCTACTTTGAAAATGACTACCCGCTATGCTCAAGCTCACCTCCCAACTTCCCTCGCAGGTCCTGGTGACTCCCGCCCAACAGCTCTGCAGATCGTCCAAGACAACAACTTGGAGAATGCACTCAGCGACAAGGTCATGCTCGTGACTGGCACCTCTTCGGGAATCGGTATTGAAACTGTTCGTGCCCTGAAGGCTACCGGCGCAAAGATCTATGCGACAGCCCGTGACTTGGAGAAGGGTCGCAAAGCTCTTGCGAATGTCTTGGAGCCTGGAAAAGTCGAGCTTCTGCGGCTTGATACAGCCTCCTTCGCCAGCGTACGGGACTGTGCAAAGGAGTTTCTGGCCAGAGAGTCTCAACTCAACGTCATGGTCAACAATGCTGGGATAATGGCACTTCCAGAACGCACGCTGACCCAAGATGGTCACGAAGCTCAATTCCAGACCAACCATCTTGGACATTTTCTTCTCTTCCAGCTGCTGAAGCCGACACTGCTAGCTTCGGCAACACCGGCCTTTGCGTCGCGCGTCGTCAACGTCTCAAGCATCGGCCACAGGACTTCGAGCATACGCTTTGACGATTTGGACTTCTCCGAAGCAGGGTCATATACCCCTTTCGGCGGCTATGGCCAGTCCAAGACTGCCAACATCTACATGGCCAACGAAATCGAACGACGATACGGGCCATTGGGTTTGCACGCGTGGTCCCTGCACCCTGGCGGCATTGATACGGGCTTGCAGCTGCACGTCGATTTCAGTGCGATCAAAGCGATGCCCGAAGTACAGCGAGGCATGCACTCAGTCGAGCAGGGAGCCGCCACGACCGTCCTGAGCGCAATTGACAAGGAGCTGGAGGGTAAGGGGGGGAAATACCTTGAGAACACCGCAGTCGCGGGCCCTGTGCAGGACGCGGGGTTCGCCAGTCTTGGATATGCAGAATGGGCTTATGATGAGGATGCTGCAAAGAAATTGTGGACTGTCAGCAACCAGATTGTTGGTGTGACTGGGGATGAGTGAGGAGATAGAAATGATTTTTATCTGTCATGTGCCTTGTTGAACTCATCAATCACGTCTTTGGTAGTTTTAATGATCTCCAAACAACCCGGAGAATCAGAGTGACAGCATATCGACACGGGGTAGTCCTTGACCGGCAATTGAACAGTACTTCCGTCAGTTGCTGTCACTGACTGCGAGTTGAGTTGCTGATAGACATGTTTTCTGACATCTTCTGGGTCCCAAGGTTTCTTTTTGCGGTCGACGACCAACATGCCATCGTTGCTGTACTTCACGTCCCCATACATCTCGGCCCAGAAGGTGATTCCCAGATCATTTGCTGCCTTCTCCATGTTCGTTCCGGCCAGGCCGAATACTGGGACACCTTTGGGAATGCCTTGCATCACTGCTTTCGCAACTTCATAGTCTCTGCACATCATTCCGTACAGAATGCCGTGCGGTTTGACGTGATGTAACGGCGCGCCCTCCTTGTCCAGGAAGCCCTTCAAGGCACCAACTTGGTAAACGGTTATGGCGGTCAATTCTTCGGGCGACATCTTGATTTCACGTCGACCGAATCCTTGGTGTTGTTAGAACGAGGCTGCATGGCTCAGCAGATTACCGTGCGGCTCACCTTGGATGTCGGGAAGGCCTGGATGGGCTCCAATCTTGACGTTATGTTTCATGCAATTTCGAACCGTTTCTTGCATGATCAGCGGGTCCCCAGCATGGAAACCACATGCAACATTGGCATGGTCAATCAAGGGCAGGATATCTAGGTCTGGACCGCAGACATAGTTCCCGTACTGATATCTGTCAGATACAGTGCATGATTAGAACGAGACCACTTACAGCTTCCCCCATATCTACATTGAGCAGCGCCTTGTGCTTGATTGGTGGTGGCGCCATCGTGGTATCGGGTTCCGACGTTCCAAGTCGAAAGGTGAATGGTTCGGATGGTGGCTGATATCGTCCACAAGCACTTGCTCAACTCTTATTATCTGGTCTGAGATACTCTGCTTAACCATAAGAAGAACTTCGACACGGGACGACAAACACATTAAAAGACGTCACTTATAAAGGCGGAGAAGCACGATGCCGGAAAGATAAGAACCCGATTCCATACTCCCCCACTCAGATACGCGGATAACACCGATAGAGGCAGTTAGATCGTCATCTCCGCATCGCGGGTGGTGAGTAGATAACATGACGACCTTCCAGGAATTAGTCCGATAGCTTCAGGCCGTGGATGACGCTCATATCAGCTTCACAAAATGGAGAAGCTGAAGACATTACTGGTTGCTAATCGCGGCGAGATCGCTGTCCGTATATGTAAGACTGCTCGCAAGCTCGGTATTCGAACAATATCAATATACACTGGAGCCGATGCCGCGTCCGCTCATGTCGCTGCCGCCGATGAAGCTGTTTTGCTCTCAGGACCCGACAGCAAGGGTTACATCGACGGAGAGCAGATCGTCGAGATTGCAAAGTCCAAAGGAGCAAATGCGGTGATTCCCGGCTATGGATTCTTGTCAGAGAACACCGACTTCGCGCGTCAAGTCATGGATGCAGGGATGGTCTTCGTGGGACCAGGTCCGAAGTGCATTGAGGATTTTGGAATCAAGCATACAGCCCGCGCCCTAGCTGCAGAGGCCAACGTCCCAATTGTCCCAGGAACTCAAGGCTTGATGAGTTCGGAAGAGCAAGCTGTCGAAGAAGCAACGAAATTGGGCTTCCCTGTAAGTTACCTCTCCAGACGTGACCTCGCCGCTCATCAGTATAGGTCATGCTCAAAGCCACGGCCGGCGGCGGTGGTATGGGTCTACTCACGTGCAATAATGAGAACGAAGTCCGACAGTCCTTCAAAACTGTACAGTCTCGTGGTGAAACGCTCTTCAAGAATGCAGGCGTCTTCATCGAGAGATACTACCCGTCTTCGCATCATATTGAGGTACAGGTTTTCGGCAATGGCATGGGGCAAGCCATACATTTTGGGGAGCGTGAATGCTCAATTCAACGAAGACATCAGAAGGTGATTGAAGAATGTCCAAGTCCGTTTGTCGTCAAACATCCCGAGCTTCGTGAGAAACTCGGTTCCGCTGCTGTTCGTCTCGCAGAGTCGATCAACTATGGATCGGCAGGGACCATCGAATATCTCGTGGACGACAAGTCTGGCGATTTCTTCTTCCTTGAGATGAACACCCGTTTACAGGTGGAACATGGTATCACGGAGCTGTGCTACGGTGTCGACCTCGTTGAGTTGATGCTCAAGCAAGCGGATGCAGAGCTATGTGGCAAAGGAGGTCTCTCAGGCGAATACCTCAAAGGCCTCCAACCACAAAAGCCTTCTGGTGCTGCCATTGAAGTGCGGTTGTATGCTGAGAACCCTGCCAAAGACTATGCACCATCACCTGGAACTTTGCAGCACGTATCGTGGAAAGAGGTACCAGGCTCAAGGATCGATGGTTGGGTACATACCGGCACCAAGGTGACATCCTTTTACGATCCGCTACTTGCGAAAGTCATGGTCCATGCTGCGGACAGGGACGAAGCAATTGACAAGATGACGGAACTGCTTCAGGGATCCAAGGTCTTAGGTCCGCCAACAAACATCGGATTCCTGGCCGAGATCCTGCAAGACAACACGTTCCGATCCGGTAACACGATCACCAAGTTCCTCGACTCTTTCGTATATCAGCCACACGCGATCGATGTCATTCAGGGCGGAGCGTACACCCTGGTGGAAGACTGGCCAGGTCGACCCACGATCGGCAAAGGCTTCTCGCATTCAGGGCCTATGGACCCCTTGGCTTTCCGTATTGCTAACGCTCTTGTTGGAAATCCCACAGGCAAGGAGGGTATCGAGATCACTCTGAGCGGGCCTGATCTCCGTTTCCTCGGTGGTGCAATTGTTGCGCTCTGCGGAGCACCCATGGAAGCCAAGCTTGATGGCAAGCAGATCCCAATGTGGACGAGACTAACAATCAAAGCTGGGCAGCGTTTGACGGTGGGCAAGACCACAGGAGGAGGCTGCAGATCATATCTCGCCATCTACGGTGGTCTCCCAAGCATAGCAACTTGGTTTGGATCGAAGTCAACAGCTCCCATGACAGCAGTCGGCGGGTATCAAGGAAGACAACTTGCAGCTGGCGATCTCTTGGCTATCACAAGCGATGTGCCGGAGGTACATGGTGAACTATCGCTACCAAAGCACCTGATCCCAACCTATCCTGAGGAATGGGATCTTTTCTCCATGCCTGGCCCTTATGATGTGGGATACCTCACCGATGAATTCATCGAGGACTTCTACAATAGCACCTATACTATCTCCCACAACGCATCTCGAGGAGGTATTCGACTTGTTGGACCGAAGCCGAAATGGGCGCGTGCAAGTGGTGGTGAAGGCGGTTCTCATCCGTCAAATCTCATCGAGTATGGCTATCCGCTCGGCACGTTGAATTGGACCGGTGATGACCCCTGCTTGTTCCCTATTGATGCTCCTGATTTTGGAGGATTTGTCTCTGCGACCACCATTGTCAAAGCCGAATATTGGAGACTGGGACAGATGAAGGCTGGTAACAAGTTGCGATTCAGGCGGGTATCGTATCAAGACGCCGTTGCCAAGCGAAACGAAGTCGAGGAGTTTCTGACCTCGATACACAACGCCTGCAATGGTAAAGGTAGTTTCGAGGATGTCTTCCCTCTGAAATATGAGGGTCTTCCTCCCTCTGCTACGTCCAATGGTTGGGAGAGCGCAGTCATTCACAAGATCGAGGAAAAAGGAAACCAGCCACTGGCAACGTACCGGCAGGGTGGTGATGACTTCATTTTGGTTGACTATGGCTATGGGGCCTTCGATCTCAACTATCGATGTCGTGCAGTCGCCCTTTATCGAAAACTCAAGGAGTCTACCGGTGCTATATCTTTCTCCAACGGAGCGATGTTGACAGGAACACCGGCCGGAAACTCGTTCCTGCTGTATTTTGACTCGCTCAAAGTCAGCCGCCAAAAGATGATGGATCTCCTGTTGAAGCTCGAGAAAGAACTTGGTGATCTGAGTGAAGCCAAATTTCCCAGCCGGAAGTACAAGCTTCCCATTACGTACAAGAGCAAAAGACAGACGGAGAGCTTGCAGAGGTATATGGAGACGCAACGACCTTATGCAGCGTACCTGCCTGATCCTGCGGAGTTCGTGGCCAAGAACAATGCCTTTACACAGCAACAGGTTGGTTCCCCCTTGCAGGTCTGTGGCATTCCTAACATGATTCCAGCTCCGCGACATATTGACTCAATCATCATTGATGGTGGTAGCCGTTGGCTTCTTCATCGCGCTACCAGTCGCGTTGCCGATCGATCCACGTCAACGCATGCAATGCCCCAAGATGAATCCATCCAGAATCCACACTCCGGAAGGTTGTGTCGGGTGGGGCGGTTCCTGCATGGCAGTATACAACGTTGAATCTCCTGGAGGCTACATGAACCTCGGACTTTCTATTCCAGGTGCCGACATCCTGGGCTTCAAGAAAGGGTACAGTCCTGAGAGACCATGGCTGTTCGAGGATTTCGACCAAATCACCTTCTATGAGGTGTCCGAGGAGGACTATGAGAGCATGCTGGCTACCTTCAAAAGCGGCCGCTATGAATACCAGTACGAAGATACTGTGTTCGACATGAAAGAGCACAACCAGCTCCTGCGCGATACGAAGGAGGAAGTCGAGCAGATCCGAGCCAGGCAGCACGAAGCACAGGCGGAAATGGACAAAGTGGAGAAAGAACTGCTTGAGAAGTGGACCAAGGAGAAGGAAGCTAACAAGATCAGCGTCGATACGATTGAAGATCTCCTACATGGTAAGTTCAAATTCTCCGGCACAAATACCGCGCTGACCTCTCTCCAGATCCGGATATCATTACGATAGAGGCTCCTCTGAATGCCAATGTCTGGAAAGTCGAGGTCAACGAGGGTGACACCATCAAGGAAGAGCAAATTGTCTCGATCCTGGAGGCCATGAAACTCGAAATCCCGGTAAAGGCGGAGGAAAGTATGGCTGGAGCCAAGGTCGAGAAGATGCTTGTCAAGCCGAATGATGTCGTGCAGGCTGGGCAACCATTGATGCTTCTGCGAAGATCAAAATAGGTGACTTGTGGTTGTGGCAATAGTATAATGCACATCTGATGAGCTTCTGCCTCAGTAAGAGGAACTCGTCCATTGATGTTGTAGTCCTCCCAATGACAACGGTACGATACGCGGCTTGACATCTCAAGTCAATCGGAGAGCCAGCCTGAAGCGACTTACATTGTCAGATCTCCTTCTGGTCGCTGCACGGGGGTGCTTAGGCCTCAAAGTGTGTGAAACAAGAAGTGAATAAGCTCGACCAGAACCTCTAGCTTATTGATCGTGGAAGACAATTCTGGAATCCATACGCTGTCACCGAAGGACTACTCCTCAGAGAGGTCAAATTATCTTTGACGCCAACTTCCGCCCAACAGCGCGGTGCGGGATCAAAGATCCTCCACGAACAATCTGCCAGGATGGACGCCCGGATCCCTGCGTTTCTCACATACGGAAGCGAATGTCAACGCGCACACAGCATACAAGAGAAGAAAAGATTCAGCCAACAAGGAGAAGCTTTTGGACACTCCAGGACCAAGAACAACTGACGCCACGACCCATGATGAAAGGACTGTGGATCAACCACAGCTCTTCCAGTATGACATTGGATGTCAAACCCCCCCACTCGGAGCTTCCAACGCCTCTCCAAACTTGGGTTTGTAATATACCAAACACCAGCAATTTTTGCCAACACTTGGGGTCATAAGACTCACAGATCTACTCTTATCCGTGTTGTAAGTATTTCTCTTCATGAAATATCAACATTCATTAACGTTTCTCAGGGTGTAGAGGTAATTCAACACTTTCAAAACCCTTCTACAAAATCTGACTTTGGTAGGTAACATTTATCGCTCTCATCTCTCATGGTTGAAAGTTCCGATAAGCCCGGGGTTCGATTCCGTAAGTTGCTTCAGACTCACCTGTGAAAACAATCATTCTAACAAATACCTCAGCCGACACGGAAGGATTCATGACATTCTTTTTTTGCGGTTTGGTACTTTTTCGGTATATAGAGTAGAAAGTGGATGGACAGTATTAGAGCCCGTGTCAGTAGTGGGCAAGATGTAGTTTCAGAAGATTGATTTGGTGCATTTTGTTGATATATGCAATCTCCACACTGACCGCACACACTACCTGGTATAAAGTGCATCAATGTACCCATTGAGGCGCTGAGAATTGAGTTACATCTGTGAACGACCTGACCTGTATACCTAGGTACCAAAGAACTGCTCACGAAATCCTTTTTCCGACTCTTAGGGCCGCCCCAGTGGTCAAAAGACCCAAATGGGTTTTTGAGTGTACAGCCTTGCCAACGTCTTTGTCGATTAAAAATAGCATCTTGGTGAATGATTGGAATATCTTGACCTGCTGGTCGCCTATGTTCGAAGTCCTCCAAACTGCATTCCGAGCACATGCCACAACCATGTCGATACCGATCCGTTTGACCTGATTAATGTTTCTCAAGGCTATGACCAAGATATCCCGATTGATAGAAGTCTGTGATGTTGGCGACACGTGATGGGGAGCATTCTCCCACCGGGAAATTAACAAGGGGGCAACCGCTAAGGCTTGAATTGGTGTCCCCCAACTAAGGTTCAAGGGTCACGCGTCACGTTCCGCCGCCAAAGACTCACTCCGGCTGGCCCGTTTCACAACTGCGCGTGCCCGTTCATGCTGTGTTGCCAAACCACGATAGGATAATTCCAGAAGAACCCCTTACACGTTGTTAACATCGAACCCGAATATCGAGTCCGAGGCGACATTGTTCCTCGACGCTGTCTGCTTCATACCATTTCAATGCTGTCGCCAATCGACCGATAAACATCGCGCTTGAGACCGCAATCTACTCTGTTTACATCCCGCGCAGTCGGGTCAACACCACCGAAACTGATGATTTCCTCCTGGCCTGATTGAAAACACTCATTAAGAAGAAACATGGCGTTCGTCATAACATACCTGTACACCACGATCGCACGCTGACCATGTTTCCAGTACCGCCGCCATGAACAGCGGAGGAGGGGGCAACAACATCAAAGGTGCGCGCTTCGCCCATAACCATCCCACACATACTAACATCGTTTGCAGTTGTTGCCCGTTTCAGGCCTCAGAATAAAGTCGAAGTAGCGAATGGAGGTCAACCAATTGTCCAGTTCTCCGGCGAGGACACCTGCCAGCTTCAGTCCGCCGAAACCAATGCACCCTTCACCTTCGACCGAGTCTTTGACATGTCTTCTCAACAAGCCGATATCTTCGATTTCTCTATACGATCGACCGTCGAAGATGTTATGAATGGTTACAATGGCACGGTCTTTGCCTACGGCCAGACCGGCGCAGGAAAGTCTTATACAATGATGGGTGATATGGACGATTCAGATAAGAAAGGTATAATACCACGAATCACTGAACAAATTTTCGACGCCATCCTGGTTCATGGTTCGGCGCAGATCGAGTATACTGTGGGCATTTCGTACCTGGAAATTTACATGGAGCGGATACGAGATCTGTTGAATCCGGTCATGGACAATCTGCCCATCAATGAAGGTCCCAAGGGTCCGTACGTCAAGGGCCTACGAGAAATATACGTCAATACCGTGGAGGAAGTGTACACCGCCATGCACCTGGGTCAGCGATCAAGAGTGACAGCATCAACCAACATGAATTTAGAATCGTCGCGATCCCATTCCATATTCTTGGTCACGATAAACCAAAAAGACGTCAATACTGGTTCGCAGAAGAGTGGTCTGCTCTATCTTGTGGATTTGGCAGGCTCTGAAAAGGTGGGCAAGACCGGCGCAACTGGTCAGACTCTTGAAGAGGCGAAAAAGATCAACAAGAGTTTGAGTGCTCTTGGAATGGTCATCAACGCTTTGACTGATGGCAAATCTTCCCACGTTCCCTACCGAGACTCCAAATTGACCAGGATATTGCAAGAAAGTTTGGGTGGTAATTCAAGGACCACTTTGATCATCAATTGTTCACCCAGCAGTTACAATGATGCAGAAACGGTCGGCACGTTACGCTTTGGTATGAGAGCAAAGACAATCAGGAACAAAGCCAAGATCAATGCTGTACTGAGCCCTGCTGAGTTGAAACGGCTCCTCAAGACTGCTCAGAATCAAGCGATGTCATTCGAAAAGTACATTGCGTCGGTGGATTCCGAACTGTCCTTGTGGAGGAAAGGCGAGACGGTACCGAAAGACAAATGGGTTGCACCTTTAGGTGGTTCAAATTCCAGATCAGAGCTGAGGACAAGACCCGACACGCCGTCTCGTGCCGCCTCGGATCTTTTGAGATCAGAGACACCAAGTAGACCTGATTCACGAATGGGTGATAGATCGAGCACGCCTAGTATCATCCTTGAAAAGGACGAGCGAGAAGAGTTTCTACGGCGAGAAAATGAATTACAAGATCAACTTACGGAGAAGGAGACTCAGGCAGCTAACGCTGAGCGAAGTCTTCAAGAGCTACGAGAAGAACTGAAATCCTACAGGGAAGGCACTTTGCGGACCACCAAGGACAATGAAACCATGGCTGAGAAACTCAACAAGACAGAACTGGAGCTGCAGAAACTATCTTATCAAAGCAAAGAGGATTCCATCACAATGGAGAGCTTGAAAGACGCAAACACTGAACTGGAAACCGAGCTAGTGTCCGTCAAACAACAACTCTTGGAGCTTAAGATGAGTGCCAAAGAGACTACAGCTGCACTTGACGAAAAAGAAAGCAAGAAGAAGGAGAAGATGGCCAAAATGATGGCCGGCTTTGACTTGGGGGACAACGCATTCTCTGAAAATGAGAGTCGCATGCGGGATATGCTTGATCAAGTCGAGTCACTACATGCTGCGAGCCTGAATGGTGGGAAAGTCTCCGCAGACGTGCTGGAAGACTTGAGATCCAAGTTAATGGCATCACGGGATTTGGTACGGCAAGCCGAGACTTCCTTGAACGAGCGTACAGAGAACGAGTATGAGGAGCGGACAATTTCTCTGGAGGAGAAGCTGAGTGCGGTGCAACAAAAATACGAAGATCTATTAACGCGCAATCTGAGCCCGGAAGACGTGGAAGACGTCAAGAGCAGGCTTGAACAACTGTACGCCGATCGCAAAGAGACGCAAACAGAGCTGGCGCATGATCTTAGAGACCAACTCACTCACAAGTCTGAAGAGATTGAGAGGCTCCAAAAGTCTATCAGTGATTTGCAGTCTCGTGGGGGTGGACAACTACCGAATGGCGTCGCCAGCAAAGGACTCCAACAACAAATTGCCGAATTCGATCAGATGAAGAAGAACTTGATGCGAGACCTACAGAATCGATGCGAGCGAGTTGTGGAGCTTGAGATCTCACTTGATGAGACACGAGAACAATATAACAACGTGCTTCGGTCAAGCAACAACCGCCAACAGCAAAAGAAGATGGCATTTTTGGAGCGCAATCTCGAACAGCTTACTGTCGTGCAGAGGCAGCTTGTGGACCAAAACACGAGCCTTAAGAAGGAAGTTGCTATCGCAGAAAGAAAGCTCATTGCTCGGAATGAACGAATTCTGAGTTTGGAGAGTCTGCTCAGCGATAGCCAGGACAAATTGACAGCTGCGAACCACAGGTATGTTAACATAGCCGTACATCTTTCCACTCATGATACTAACATAGTCTTTAGGTTCGAACAACAACTCGCTGCAGTCAAAGAGCGTCTGGAGGCCGCCAAGGTGTCATCCAAGAATATGGCCATGGCCGGACCTGGCGGACCTGGTGGTTTCAACAGTCTCATGAACGCCGGAGCCAGGATAGCAAAGCCACTGCGTGGAGGAGGCGGTGCTCAAGGAAATCTCGACGGCGCCAACGGTGCACCTGCGTTGCCTATCATCTCCAGCTTGACGGGTTCAGACAGTGGCAACAAACGAAGCAGTTGGTTCTTCAACACGGGTCGGTAAGGAGGAGTACATATAATGTGATTCCGAGGGCAAAGATACTACGCTGCATCTGTTTATACCATCATGACTGCAATCTGGCTTGGTCGTTGAAGCATTCTGGATGGCGTCGGCGTGGATGTCTAACAGCGCCGGCTGTTTGACGTTGAACCTGAATTTATGCATCACGAGAGATGTCTTGAGTCATGCTTGGGGCTCTACTTACTGGACCAAAGACACAAAGAGAGACATTATTGCCAGGGAAGCTCTCTTTGACCTAGACTTCTAGAGTATCTGCTGCAGTGCTAACGCACGGACAATATGACACTGCTTGCCACTGCTGCCCCTTTTCGTGGGCAGCCTTGTTCGACTTCACCGATTATGCTTCTGATGCAGATATTGTGGGAACTGGTAGTCATGTCGAAGTTGAGGCCTTTCAGATATTTGATTCGATTGCCCACGAGATCCTCCAGTCCCTACCACTACCTGTACAGACACGACCGTCCACCACTATGCCTGTGGCGCAATGGCGAATAACTTATCAAATACGCTGGTCGGATCGTACCGGGCCTTGAGCGCTTGCAGACGAGGGTAATTCTCTCCGAAGATATCTCGGGATTTCTCGTCATATTCTGCGAGGCCAGTGTTAGCATATTCGGTTGGACATCAACGGGATGCCGACTTACGATCGTAGTTCCCGTACAACAGGACTGCACCTTTATCGCCTCTCACGCCAACACCGCCGTCGACCCCCTTTCCAGTGGGTTTCCCGTGCGCCTCAAGCTCCTTCTTAAACATCTCATTGACATCTCTCGCCCACTGGCGGCAGGACTTGTCGTTCTCTTGCTTCGTCCACATAGGCAGAACCAAGCCATTAAGATGCCAACCACGATTGGCAAAGCTGCCTGTTTCACGGGCCACCACTTGCGCTGGATCGTACATCTCAAATAAGATGACGCTGTTGCTTGTGTCGTCGTTGCCATCCGTGAACTTGACATATTCTGCAAGTACATCCTTGACGAACTCCGGCCGCATGGGCACTGTGAACGCTGCGCCTTTCATGCTCGCGCGCAGGCCGATCGGTGGGGCTAATATCGTGTTGACTGTTGGATAGGGTACCACAGCCGTGGTATCGAGAACCGGTCCAAGGTCATACAGCGGCTTGAATACCTGTTTGGCTTCTTGTTCGGTGCCAAAGTATATGATGGAAACCAAGAGCATGACTTGGCCACCCGCCGGAGGAGGCCGGGCGATTGCAATACCACCGGTGCCACGGCCAGCGACTTTGGTCTTTCCCGCGCTGTCGGCCGTGTACAAGTCGTTAGTCGCGGCAACGACCTTGTCGACCAGCTCTGGCATGGGCGGGAATATGAGCAAGCCGGCAAATGCATCACCCTGGTCGAACGCCCGGAGCACGAACTCAGTCACAACGCCGAAGTTCTGACCCGCACCCTGCAGCGCCCACAGGAGCTCCGGATCATCTTGGGAGCTGGCTTTGACGATCTCGCCAGTCGCTAGAACCACCGTGGCCTCGACGAGACAGTCAATCGACAGGCCATGTTGCCCGCTGAGCCAGCCGTACCCGCCGCCCAGGAGTAATCCGCCGACGCCGGTGTCGGCAACAGTGCCACCAACGGTTGCGAGACCGTGCTTCGTGCCCGCCTGGTCGACATCACCCCAAGTGCAACCGCCCTGGACGCGAAACAGATTGTTGGCAATGTCGACCTCGACGCCACGCATCTTGGCATTCAAATCGATCAGGAGCCCGCCATTCGTGCTGCTCACACCCGCGGTCGAGTGTCCGCCACCCTTGACCGCGACGTCGATGTTCTGCTCCGAAGCATATTTGAGCGCGATGGATACTTGCTCAGCCGTGCTGGGTGTCAGGACGGCACCGGCGGGTTTCTCGGCTGCTCGCGACCACCGCTTTATTGACGCGGGGTACGCCTCGTGGTGTGGGGTGAGAAGGGTGCCGCCTGTGGTGGACAAGAGTGATTGAAGGGCGTTGATGTCTTCAGGGTTGATGCCTCGCTTTTGCGAGGCTGATAAGGAGCCCATATTCTGTCTTGTGCTGATTTCCAGGGGTAGAGAAATATCACTGAGCTTGCTGCTCGGGCAGTCGATATATACCTCGGGTCTTGGTGTAAGACGAAGATCCGGCCTTAGGCCAGCACATGGTGGGGCTACTTAGTCAGGCTGAGGCTCGCCTTAGACTGTTCACGGCTGTTGTATTTAGGAAAGGTTTACTATCTAGACTTAATCATGTCCATATATCCAACATAACAGGCCTGTGTTTTTCGACTCTTGTACATAGCAATTTATTCATCCAGTACCTAGTGCTCCATGGGTATCAAAAAGCAATTGACCACAAAGTCGAAATATGTCATACTTTCCCTCATGTACATACCAGGTCAATATAATCATCCTCAAGTTCGGTTGAAGTTATGCTTCATGGCCGCCAACAAGCTCTTCTCTTTGCTGCCTTCCAGCGCTTCAATTTGTGGGACCCTGCCTTCCTGTTCTGCCCGAGCCATCGCCGCAGGGTCGTCAACATTGACGCCAGCAACTTCCGCCTCAATTTGTCTGATGGGCCCCGAGAACCATTTATGAGCCCAGAGGAACCAGCTGGCAAGCACCCACAAGCCTATGATACCGACTGCGACGGGCGTATAATTGAGAGTTTGGCTGTTGACCGGGTTGAGCTCGGGAAGACAGAACACAATGGAGATGAAAGCAATCCAGCCACAAGCGACCAAGGCGATAGGCCGGGAAGCCCACTTCAGGTTGAATGGTCCGTGAATGAATCCCGCCGGATTGATCATGCCAATCAAGATAGGTATGCCGTAAGATATATACAGGCCGATTGTGGCAATGGAAGTTGCTGCAGAGAATGCCACTGACGAACCCACGCTGGGAACGGCAAGAAGGAAGGCCAGGAATGCTGCAAGCCAAATTGTGCGGATGGGGGCTCTGAAGCGAGCGTCGACCTTGTGGAAAAAGTGCGGGATTCCACCATCTCTGGCGAAGCTGAACATCATTCGCGAGTTGGATGTCAAGGAGAATAGTCCACAATGCCAGACGCAGATGATGACAAGAGTGAAGAGGACGATGGCTCCGTCTTTTCCGAAGATATCGATCAGGATCTGCAGGACTGGCTGCGAGTAATCCGAAGCGACGGTGTGGTCGAAGTCCTGAATGCTGAACAGGAGGCAGAGGATAAGAAACCATCCGAACACAGCAGAGACTCCAATTGACATCAAGACCCCAAGTGGAGCCGACCATGATGCATTCTGTGTCTCCTCTGACAGATGCGCGCTAGATACTTTGTCAGCATGGCATCGCTGCTTTGGTCGGAGCTGCATATTGCTCACCTTGCATCAAAACCTGTGATGGTGTATTGGGACATTAGGATACCGATGCAAGCAACATAGGCTGGCGAAGCCCGGATTGACCAGCCTGGGTCACCGGTACCGTCATAGAAAGTTGAAAAAACAAATTTGGCTGATTGGTGATGAGGAGCCTTGGCCACCACAGCCACGGCGAAAGCAAACACCCCGAGGGAATGTAGGACGATCGAGGTGTTGTTCAAATACCGTAGAATGTGTACACCAAACGAGTTGACGCAACCGTGCGAGAAGAGAAGTGCCGCATAGATACCCAAAGTCTTCCCCGCGGAAGGGACGTAGCCATTGACGCTGGCTAATGTGGAAACGAGCCCGGCACAGCCGAATGTTATACCGGTCGTAACGGCGACCTGTCCCAATAGATTGAACCAACCAGTTGCCCAGGAAGCAAATGGAGCCTATAGTCAATTATATCAGCAAAAGAGTACGGGGGTCGTAGATTGAAAGGCGCAGGGTACATACCCATTTCTTAGGAGCTAGTATAGCAGCCCAGAAATACGGTCCTCCAGCTGATGGTATAGCGCTCACGATCTCTGCCATTCCAAGACCCACAAACATTGTGAAGAAGCTCACAATCAGCCTAAGAAAGAGTCGATTAGTAAATGTTCTTGCTCCTCAAACTTTCCGGAAGAGTAAAACCAGCTCCCAATCACAACTCGATCAGGGTTACTCGCAAACTGCAAAAACGATAGGACAGGTAGGATTGAGCTACTCACCATCCTGCAGACATCACTCCGGGCCCTCCAGTGGTGAGACCGTATTCGAAAAGCGTGGTGATACCGGTGATGACGGAGATGATACTGAAGGAGACGCCGAAATTGTGCATCATCGACCAATCACGCTGGAGTTCTTGTTTGTAACCCAGCTCTCGCAGCCGACCTTCATCCTTGGACATGTTGCGCCCTGCATGACCCGTGTTCTCCGTGTCAGCCATCCTGGTAGCTGTCGTGTCACCGAAGTGCGAGAAGAACAACCCTAAAGCACCGTAGCTCCGTTGGGTGTCACCTCGTGGAGAATGCGGGGACGACCACAAAAGTACCCAAAGACAAGATGGCAGGACAGTAATGATGCCTCGGCGAACGATCACCAGAAAGTCCAAGAATGCTCAGCCAAGCTGGTGCGCGCCCGTCATCTTTATAAGTCTCTCACCAATCTCGCATGTAACGTGCTGGCCATTTAGGTTCAGAAGATTCCAGGGGAGTGCTGATAACTGGTGATAACGAATGACAAGAGCTAATGAGGCGAAAGATAAGGAATAAACGAACCCTAGTCAAAGCCTATGCTTGATTGGGGAAAGGTACGCGAAGGGCGGGATTAGGCAATGAAAAGGGCCCAATTGTGGGAGGCAGGCTCCGCTGTGACCTGTCAGACCTTTTGGTCACCATATGCCCACATGGCACATGGGCTTTGTTGAACTTTCGCCTAAATGGGCCGCCACGGAACACGGATGGACGAGTCGCATGCAGTAGAGATCTCAGCCTCGTTGGTGTGTTACCACTGGCGATCTCCTCTCAGGCGTGATCATGCGTGGTGCTTTTCCAATTTGTTTCGGCAAGAACTTGACGGTGGGAACCTGGCCGAGCCGAACGAATTGGGTTAGTGGAAGCTGCCCCAAGCTGGTCTGCCCACGGGATTCGCGACACTAGAGAAGCAAAGGCTGATATGCGCACTGGGAACATCACAGCGAGGAAAAGACGGAGATCTGAAGTCTCGATTCCTGGAGAAAAGTGACAGGCATTAGCAGCACCTCTGGTTAAAACTGGCAGCCTACCACCAGAAACTGACGCTGATGCCGACTGAGCAACTTCTCACATAGTGCCACCAGCCAACTGGGACATAGAGGGCCTGACCAGCCTCAAGGATACATTCGACGTAGGGTATCGTACTGATTCCGGGATACACTTCGTCCCAATCTTCGTGTGGCGACAGCTCCATGGCCGCAACATCGATTTGGGAAGTATTGGACATGTCAATTGTTTCTCCGCCGTCGATGGTTTCCAAAACCTTGTCGTCATCATAAAGGCCGTTCTGTGGTTGTGAACTATGGGGTGCTGGCTCGTCCTTAGGTCTCGGCAGAAGTGACGCACTATCGTGCGGCGAGTATAGCCTGATGTACTTCCTGCCAACAACCTGACAAAGGATATTATGATAAGGGTCGTGATGAAGTGGAGATATGGTCCAGGACGGTCCGAACCAGATGTTTGTTTGAACATCAGTATCGAGATCGGCAGCACTCTGGTCATCGTCGTCGTTAGAGCCGAAGGGTAACGAGGAGGCAACTGTTGGGATCTTGCTCGGATGGCTAGTTTTGGCAGGTCCCTTCGCTTTGGCCAGTGCAACTGGTGTGCCAGACTCAGCTGGGGGTGCATCGAGAAAACAATAGTCGGGCGTGGCAATGTCGCCTCGCAAGGCCGGAATCTGTTTAAGCAAATCATGTTGCGCAAGGTAGCCAGTCTTGATGTCTTCTGCTGGCATAGTCTTGGCTTCACTTCGTCGTAAGATATAGTCAGTTAGGAATCTGTCGAAACGCATAATGTCTTGTCCCCAGTCTTCATCTGTGTAACTGCGCCCGATCTCCACAGGAACTAATCGACGGCCGTCTAGTGTCTGATCCAGCCAATATGAGGTACGCTTCCAGTGTTCAAGCGCTGGCCAGTGCCCAAGGATCCCGGTCAGAATGACAGGCTTCCGCTCTTCTTGCATATACTTCTGGAACGTAGCCAACGCAGGTTGGTTCATGTGCTGGACAGGGAATTGGAGTTTGGGAAGTGAGACACTCTCATCGGGTAGCGTATCGAGTTGAAGATGATCTTGACGAGTGGACTCCTCAAGCCGCCTCCTCTTTGCAGGACGCACCACCTCTAATTTTTCAAGCCGGGACAATGGTTTCAGGTGTTCGAGTATCTGCTGAATGACATCCTCCCTGCCCATGCCACCTGCCATAATCAGACTCATGTCCAGCTTGTGCACAATGATCCCAAGATTTTGCTGGAGAGATTGTGAGAAAGTGAAAACCTTGTTTGGCCTTTCGACCCTGTGAACGAGCTTCAAGACTTGAGCAATACTCGAATCAGTATAGAGTCGGAACCAACAGGGTTTCACGTCTTTGAAGGGGAATACATGTAAGTTTTGATCCGCCAGGTTGAGTAGTTCCTTGGCCTGATCGACGAGGTCGTCAAAGCCACCGCTGTGACACTCGGTTATAGGATCATTTTCTTTGACGTCTTGTAGCTCTTCTGCTATCGACTGCCAGAATGGATCCTTGAGTCGTAGCATCATGAGTAAGGCGATCAGGCTGAAAACCTAGGTCAGTCTCCGTACTGGTAGGTAGATGAATGGTGATGTCGCAGAGTTGACATCTGATTGGAGCGATTTAAGCAACGGCCAAAACCTGGAGGCGAGGACTTGGCGTGGAAAGTGAGGCGGAGGCGCAACTGCGACACCAAACAAATCCACGTCGGTTGACAGCTGCAGCTGCGATCTTTCATCCGCCTTTCCATCTCGTATTGCCATTCCATCTTCAGGTATATCTAGGGTACTCATCTGGTCACTCGCCCTGGAACTTTCGATCTAAACCAACTACCCCAAAGCCCGGCGGCATTCCATCCGAATTGGTTCCCACTGGCCGCTTCGCCGCCATACAAGTTTGGCCTTGCTTGACTTGACCTGCCCCGGATCCTTGCTTGGTCTCCTGGAAGGCTACCTCTACTGAGCCATGGCCGACGTCTCCTCAACTCGGCTCTACTTGGGCAATCTTCCTCGCAACAGTATGCACACCTCCATCCATTGTTCCCCTTTGGTATTGCCTGGACAAAATGTTGGACCTGCGAAGGAATAGCTATACCATATCGCACTAGAGGCGCTTCGTATCCGCCGGGACTCGCCAGTCGCTGACTCTTCTTCTCATCCTCTCAGTCACGAAACAGGATATCGAGGAGCACTTTGGTACTCATGGCACCGGCTCTATCAAGGAAGTCAAGCTCATGAACGGCTTTGGCTTCATCGAATATGAAGATGCCATGGACGCCCGTGATGTCGTTCCAGGTATTTACCATCAACTTGCCTCAGTTGAATCCGTCGCTAACATGTACATTACAGCGTTCCGTATGAGCCTCTACCCTACTTTGCCACTCTGTCGGTTTACCTGACCTTTGGATAGATGGAACAGAGTTCAAGGGAGAAAGACTTACAGTGCAGTTCGCCCGGGGCCCGCGTCGCAAGGACGACTTCAACGGTCCTCCCGAGCGCAATGTTCCTCGACCCCGTCGTACTGTCTTTCGCATGCAGATTACTGGTTTGCAACCCGATACGAGCTGGCAGGTTAGTCATCCACAGATCATCTACTCTTGGGACAACATCACTCACACAGAAGCAGGATCTCAAGGACTTTGCGCGGAATTCTGGTCAACTGGATGTCGTGTACTCCGAGACTGGTCGTGAACGCAATGGCAAAGGGTATGTCTTGTGTCCCAAACTACCCACAGACACTCACACCACTTCAGATTTGTCGAGTTCGAAACTGCAGCGGACTTGAAGACTGCCGTGGAGAAATTGGACGGACAAACCTTCAAAGGAGCAGAGGTGCACTGCATTGCTGATGTAAGTGGAACATCCCTCTTTCCTCACATTTCCTCTGACTTGTTGTCGCAGGTCCAAGATGAACGTCCTGAAGCACGAAGCTATCGACAAAGATCCCCACCAAGAGGTCGACCCGGTGATGAATTCCACGACCGACGTGGGCCTCCTCCTCGCGGCTGGAGTCCCAGAGGCTACCGTGAGCGCTCTCCCGGACGTCGGCCTCCAGTGGACGACTACTACGATCGTGGTTATGGAAGGCGAAGCCCGCCCAGAGACTACGGACCGCCACCTCCCAGACGATATGATGCAGACCCATACGACGCCAGGGGACCACCACCTCCACCACCACCAGCTAGAGGCTACGCAGATCCTTATGCGCGTAATGGTGACCCATACGCCCGTCCTCGAAGCCCAGCTCGGGGTTACGGTTATGGAGGCGGCTATGGCGGTTACGATGATCGCCGATACTAGTGGGATGGCGGCTCAACTTCTCGCATCGAACAACATGAGCACAGGTGTCCGTCATCAGGTCTTCCGGTCTCCCATGATCACAGGAGGCCCAGTCTCTTACCTAGCCTTGGTTCGCACCCGCCTTTGCAGTATTCAGCACGCGAAATATCGGAAAACAGGTGTCACAATCTACGATTATCACAGGATCCCAGGCATGTACCACAATCTGGTTGGCCTCCCCATGACGAGGGCAATCAGTACCCTAGCTAGACAAAGCTTCTCCGAGGTCTTATCTGGCATGACCAATGGGCAACGCTACATGTTTACAGCGAAAGGACGGCAACATAGGCTTGGTCATTGCAGCACTTCATTGGCATCTGTTCGTAACTTGTAAGGAACAATTCAGGCCTAAACCCACGGATGGAGCTTCGAAGGCTTCAACGTACAGGAACCCTGACATTATTTGGAGGTCTCCGTCCCACAACTGTCATTTTCGGCTTCTTTAGGTAACCTGTAAATTCCCAGGAATGTCAATCATCCGTCTTGTTTTCTGGTTCCATGGGTGATACCCCATCCTTTGGGGCAGCGAAGCCTGTGCAAGGCGTGGCCAAACTGGTGGGGATGTCGTCCGTCTGAATGCTATGGATAGCTCTCTCCCCGCGCAGGCCGACATTTCTCCCATCATTAGGCCCTATGAACCCGGAATAGCGACCGGTACACCACGTACATATAAGGCTGCCTCCCGATGTTTGGAGAAAATCTCACTCCATCGCTTCCCAAGGAATGTTTCTCTAACCACGGCATGGAAAAACCAGAATACGTAGCTGTTCAAGGTAACGTAACCCTCTTCTTTCTTTCGTTCAATAAAGCTGCCATAGTCGCGATTGGATCCATGGCTTTTTGCCCGATACTTTCAGGCTTGGTCGTTGTGAACCTTTCCGCAATACATGGCCATTTCAAATGTTCCTCAAGTTCCAATGTTCATAAATGGTGGTGTTCTCTGCCGATTCGAAATAGACCGTTCGTCAGATCATGCCCGTCGACCAAAGAACTTCTTCCTCAAGCCTTGCGCTTTGGCGGTCTCCTTGAGCTTGGCCGGCTCAGGGATGTTGTCTTTCCGTTTCCCTTTATCTGTCCGACCCGTCGCTGCCTCTGCGGCATTCGGACGTATCGGCAGCGCCGTAAGTCCTTGATGCTGCGTAGCTATGTGCGGTAACGTACTGGGTAGCGGCGGCGGAGGGCGCTTTTCAGCTCTACCGTCATTTGGAGCAGTCTGGGGTCGACTTGCAGATCCGCCACTCGTGCGAGGTCTCTGTTGTTGTTGGTTTTGTTGTTGCCGGCCTCGCCCTCCAGGTTGTGGGAAAGTGTCCTCCACATATTCGCCCCCAACAGCTTCCGTCTCATCGTCCATGTCTTCGTCCTCGTATTCATCGTCCTCGTCGTAAGCTCGTTCGGGGTCGCCATTGAATACGACCCACCAGCCTATCTTCTCGCCCTCGGCGAGTTTATCGCGTAGATCTGCCAGTGCTTCCCAGGCCTTGTTCGTGAGACCTGGCCCGTCGGCAATGACTTCTTCGACATTGACGCTCAGCGCCGTGATATCGGCGGGAGAATTAAAGGGAGCGGGCTTGGACATGGCGCCCGTTGCGGCCCGCGGTTTCCTGGGAGATGTTGTGGTTTCGGCTGTTGTATTCTTGGTTGGTGTGGTCGCTGGCACAGCTTGTGCACTTCCGGGTCCATTGAGGCCCATCCCGGGCGACGCAGCGATCGTGACGACCTTGTCACCCACGAAAGCGTACGGCTGGCTGACTGCATAGGGGCCTTCGAGGTCGTCTGGGTTGTATTGCTCAATGAACTCAAGTTTCCTGCCCGGTCCTTCCAGCTCTTTCATGATGTCCGGAAATCCTTTGCGGAGACTCGCGAGGATGTCGTTCCGTGAACCTTCATTCTGTATATATTCCACACTCGTATCGTCTAGATTGTTGACGATCGCATGCACGCGAATCCCGGTGAAGCCTTCACGGGGCCAGCGGAAGCCGTGGACGAGGTAGACGGGCATTGTTGCGAGAGCGTTACGTCGGCTCTAAAGGCACGAATGAGGGGTTCTTGCTGAGTTTTTACGACGCAAGGGACAGCGGAAGTCTGTATGGGTTGTCTTGAGTGTCAATATAGCTCACATACCGTTTCCTGAATGAGAGCCTTTCAGCGCTGCAGCTTGTTGGAGAGCAAACATGACTGACTAAGGTGGGTGGTCCGATGTGCTAGACGTTCGATGTGTCGCTCGCTGGGTAGAGGATCGCTGCGCCGACCGCCTCTTTTTGCGGGTAGGAAATGAGCAGTCCTTGTGCTACGGAGGGACCTTTTCGGTGTTACCTAGAGAAAAGAGGTCGGAGAGAGGTGCGTGCGCCCCATCTAGGCTTCCTGCACGGAGGAGAGTGCTGCATATCCGCAGTTCGATGGCACGTCGCTTAGGGAGAGGACTGAGTGGTGGGGAACCGATTGGATGCTTGCAGGAAAACCCACGTCTCCCACGCGCCTTTACAGGCTGTCATGCGTCATGCGGCGACGCCCTGGGCGGCCCTTGCAAGCCACGAGGAAGAGCTTAGAGACTATTGATCCCTGAAGCTTAGGTTGCTCCCGCAGCCCCGCGACTAAAAGTTCAACGGCCGCCACAATCATGAAATAATATGGAGTATGGAATGTATTGTATGTTATATAGTAGAGGACATAAACCATGGAAGAGGCTGCGATCTTGGTGCGAGACCCAGACGATCTTAAGTATCTCGAATTGATCCCACACCATGGTGAGCTGTAGTCCACTGCAGTGTTCTTGCGCGTGGAAATTGAATGCGCGGTTTTATTTTGGTTGGCACCTTCCATTTCGTGGCATGATACTGTCTCCGACCCTTTTGAGAAGGAGTGTCTGCTTGAGGGTGGTAGATGTTGACTACCATGGCCAATTCTCCCGCGCGGCCGTGGCATGGTCGTGTGCCACCTAAGCACGGCGACGTTCTGTGGACTCACAGGATGACTTCAACAGCACAACCATCATAAGTAGTTAGCAGGCAACTCTGCAGACATGATGAATCTAGAGGGAGCCGAACAACCAGATTAGGGGAGCGCGCCATCGAGAATTGCAGGACGACCTCAAAATGACCTGTTCTCCAGAAAAACTTGAGAATAATCTTCTCAAATAAAGGGCGGCGTCCTCAGCCGTTCACGTGGTACTTGTTCCAGCTCCGGTCGAAAGTCTCTTCGTTGACAGCGAATGGTCTGATATAATCCCTTTCAAGCTCGTGCGCTCTTTTACCGAGCAGTACAAGGCTATGCAGAGGTGGACCAACATCCGTGTCGCAGAGTTCCCTGAGTGTGCCGCAAGCAAACTTCTGATCATCTGCGCCCACTCTGGCACATCCAATAGCTAAACTGTCTTCGCTGTATACCCTCTCTTTCTTTTCGTCTTCAATCTCGAGCATTTGCTGCGCGCATTGTGCCACGGTCATGTAACGTGGAGGCTCATAGATTTTTCTCCCCCTTGCCATGTTTTCGAGCGATTGCTCCTTGACCTTTATGTCCAGCAGAAGCAAGGTATGCAGACCAATTGAGGCGTTCTCGCGGATGCGGTCATAGAAGCTTGCAGGTTTCCACGTCTCGGTGAAGAAGACCATCGAGACTGTCTGGCCGAAGTTGTAGAGTTGGAGTCCTGTAGCGCCAATGGCATTGAGTATTGAGGCATTAGGAATCGACTTGGTAGGAATGGAAAGTTCTTGGGCGCGCAGGACAAGATCCGTATGTGTTGTGGCTCCGAAGGGATCGCCAACGACCAAGAACGCTATGTCTGACTTGTCTGCACCTGCAAGTATTTCATCGCTAGACGATTCGACCATCTCACGGTCTGCAACAATCACGGGTCGACCATAAAATGCTTCCTACCGTAACTGTCAGAGATGATGTCCTGTCAGCGTCATCCGCGCTTGATGTGTCCGATAACGATGTTTGGGAAGATCGGGGGCAGAGAAAGAAGATGGGCATACCAGTTTGTCTTTGCCCACATGTAGAATGCTCGTGTAGGCTTCAAGATAGACTCGTTCTGCACGTTTGACCACTTCCAGGCCCTTCACCGTGATGTCGGTCTCATCGGCCAGACCGAGTCCCACGAGGTACAGCATCTTGGTCAGGTACTGACAGAGTGCTTATCTCAGGTGCAAGATTCATTCGGCAAATCAGGTAGCCAGACTTGAGCGTGGATGACCTCGAGAAAGAAAAATAGTTGCGGAGAAGTAGAGACTGAGCGGCAGAACTTCGGCAGATTGCAACCGCTTCGAGAAGATCAGCGACTGCCAACTGGAGCCATCAACATCGACTTCCATCTCATCAATATTCACGCCTTACATTCGCTTGTCATCCAATCCTTAAGACACTTGTTGTTCTGTCGACGCTATGATCATGAGAGTATAGTTTGGTGTCTAGCGCGCTATGGTAATCTGATATTGGGAACCTGAAGAACAGGACACGTCAAAATGGCAGGCGAGAGGTCTGCGAAGTATCGGCAGGAGATTCAGCAGGTGAGCCATTCTCCCCAGTCGTTTTTGCTGCCTTTAGGAGGTCCAGTACTTGAGTGATGTAACGGGAGGCCTCCTGCGATCGACCGTCAATTTCACCTTTGCGAGACGTGGGGATCAAAACGCACAACACTGTTGTGAAAAGGCAGAGCGACTGCTTGTCACCAGCAAACTTGTGACAACAACCAAAGTGCAGCATCAAGCCACTCTTCCTCATTTGAGATCGATGCAAGCAATATCTCGGGCAACGAAATCATATTCTTGCCAACCATCTATCTTGTCACAAACAAAATGGATCACAGCAGTCAAACCGGGTTCCCAGCTGCCACTGGAGATTCCGTGGAGGCGCACCAGAGAAAGGGCTCACTTCCCACCCCCCCTATGTCCGAAGCTGAAGGGCAAGGAGCAGAAATCTCTCCCGCAAAATCCGCAAGCTCTGACGCAACGACCGACGACGAGGAGAACAGCGAGGATCTCAAATCGCTATCGACTGCGGAAAATCCCACAGCGACTGACGATGAAGATGATTGCGAAACCAAAGAGTCTTTCAAACAGAGGCTAATCTACTGGTTTGAACAGATGATGTTTGTGAGCGGAGAGACAGCCGAGCCCAGCGCAGAAACGACATGGATGATTGAGGAGATTGTCAGAGAGCAAGTCGTTGAGATGGTACTAAGTCTGTCACTCCGATCTGAAACATCGCTGACATATGACACAGCTTACTCAAGCCACTGGCCTTGCCAACAGACGCGGCTCAAGGTCAATTTCTATTGTCGACCTTATCTTTCAGATTCGGCATGACAGAGCCAAAGTATCAAGACTGAAAACTTTCCTCTCTTGGAAAGACGTACGCAAGAATGTCAAGGACTCGGACGACAAAGGCGGTGGTGATGCTGGTGATGTTGGCGACTTTGACGAGGTGACTTATAGCAGTATTACTTGATCTGACCTCGTTCTGACGATAATGCAGGCCGCTGGTGGTGTGAATCCTTCCGCTCCACAAAAGACGAGCGGGAACAAGAAGGCAAAAATGATCCTACCTTGGGAAGTTCAATCGTTCTACGCAGAACAAGTCCCAGAGCGAGACGATGAGGAGGACGAAGAGGAAGAGGAACAGAACGAAGCAACCCTTGCACGCCTGGCTTCTGCTGACGAACGCACGAGAAATATGACCAAGGATGAATACGTGTACTGGTCCGATTGTCGACAAGCAAGTTTTACCTTTCGGAAGAACAAGAGGTTCAGAGAATGGGCTGGCTTCGGAACAATCATGGACAGCAAACCAAACGACGATGTGGTCGACATTCTTGGTTTCTTGACCTTTGAGATTGTGCAAACATTGACTGAAGAGGCACTCAAAGTCAAGGCTGCAGAGGATCTGGCAAACAAGAAAGCAAACGGCGGTCGAGGTGATCAAGAAACCATGAAGAAGCGTAAGAGAGAGGGTTGCAACCTATTCGAGATGCCTGAGGAAGGTCGGACACCAGTTGCACCAAGACATGTCCGAGAGGGCTTCAGGAGACTTCAAGCTGTTCCCATTCGCTACAAATTCATGAGACAAGGCTTTGCAGGGATGAGGACACCACTGAGGTTGATATGAAGTGCTGTCTGTCACAGTAACGGTCGGGGAAGGAGTTCTGGTGTTATGGAGTGGAAACTCTACATAGCGATACCCATGCATATTTGATCAGTATTTCAATGATGAACAGAACGTCTTTCATACTGTATGTACCTAGGTACTCTTCAGTCGAGTCATTTACCTGATTCGATAAGGCTGCGTTGACTCGGGCGAATCGAGAAGATTCCCCACCAACCTCCGCCACTCAAAAAGACGCAGGCAGTGAGGCTACTTCTGAAATTGTGGAAACATAAATCCTTTAGAGTCATAGCCTCGCTTGTCTGATTGTGTCATATCCCACACTACGGGTGAGTCAATAAACTTGTATGCCTGTCAATCCACGTCGAGTCTTTTCACCCACGCAGTTCATTCGCATCTTCGTCATTGTGAACATAACGACTTACATCTCCGTCAACGCATATCTGAGCCACAAGAACGCTCAATCCCCAAGACTGGAAGACCGCCACGATGCCGAAGGGCGAGAACACAAAGAAAGTGGCCGGTAACGCACGCAAGGCCGAGGCCGCCGCCCAGAAACATGCCGCCGCAGAAGCCAAAGTCGGTGCCGCCGAAGACGATAAATGGTCCAAAGGCTCGAAAGAGAACAAGAAGAAGGAGGACGCTGAACGTAAAGCCGCCGAGGCCAAAGCCAAGAAGGCCGAAAGAGATGCGCTACTAGCAGAAGAGGAGAAGGCGCAGCGCGCCACACCCAAGGGAGCCAACAAAAAGACCGCAGAAAAGAAGAGTCGGGGCACACTAGACCTGGGTCAACTTGATGGCGAGCCCGGTGCCGCCGACAAAACCATCAGCGCCAGTGGAATCGACAATGCCCTCGACGCACTCAGTCTGACGACGGGAACAGCCAACGACCTAAAATTGGACAGACATCCCGAGCGGCGGTTCGCGGCGGCGTATAAAGCCTACGAGGAGCGCAGACTACCTGAGATTGCCGCCGAGCATCCCGGTCTACGGAAACAGCAGCGTGTCGAGATCGTTCGCAAGGAGTTCGAGAAGAGCGACGAAAACCCGTTCAACCAGACGGGCAATGTCAGATATGATGCGAGTAGAGATGAGCTGGCAAACACGAGGAAGTCTGTACGTGAGGGCGTGGAGAAGAGGTTGGGCGAGAAATGAACAGGACATACTGGGCTTGATTCTTCGACTGTGGTCTATTCATATACAGACAAGTAGAGAAGGGTGGGCTGGCTCTTGACAGTCCTGAAGCAACGCATTTAATGAAGGATGAACGAAGCATTATGTTAGGACATCGACGGCATGAGGGTTGACAGAGCCGTTCGATAGTCAATGTGCAGAACGCCCTGTGAGCAGGATGGGAGGCACACTCCGTGCTAAGCAGTCTTTTCAGGAGGGGAACCTCGACGATTGGGCGCTTATGCAAGTCACTGCGGGCAGCCGATGTGTGGTCAGAGAGGTAGAACCGGCATACAATGGCTTCTTGTTTTCACCCGAGTCCTCAATGTCGCGTACCATGGGGCTGACTAACCCGATTTGCATCCGAGTACAATACAGTCAGTAGCAAGATAGACGAATGTTGAAGGCAGATCTTTTAAGGCAGTTGCTAGCTAAGGCACGTACACCAGCTCAAGGTTGAGCTCCTGAACACTCGAGGAAATTGTCATTGGTTGCACCAGTGTGAGTGACGACAAGAGCCAACGTTCCGTCCCCAGTGAACACAACTCGATCAGCGCCCGGGCTACCTCCAGTATACACCTTATAGCTGTTCAAGATGGGGAACTCGTACCAGGGGCCTGAGATGGTAATGTCGAAACCCTCTCGGTCGTCGAACTCGTGGGGATATTTGTCGTTACCCACCTGCTGACCATTCTGGTAGTAAGTGTAGCCTTGTTGGAGGGCGGCATCGATGTCGGACTGCCAGTAGCAGGTCGAGCCGCAGGTGTCGACGCAGGTTGAGGCTCGCTTGGCCACGTCGAGAGTGGCCGGGAGGGCAAGCACTGGGCTGAGAGCGAGGAGGCATGATGCTAGGATCTTCAAGGGTGTCAGTCAGTATGCTTTTAAGAAAAGAAGTTGGAGTAACAAACCTGTGGGACATGCATCTTGACTTTGAGCCGGGAAGGAGTGATCAACCTTGGAGTTCTAGGCAAGGATTCCGAGAGAGTCTGTTCAGAAACGAGTGATTTGGACCTCTGTTGGTGAGCTTGATGGAGCGGTCTGTCCAGTGGCTTTTCTCGATAGGTTGTTTCTCGGCCTGAGAAGATGTTGAAGTGTTGAGAAATGCTTGACGCTTTATACAAGTTGAAAGATATCGGTGATGTCCCAGGCACCGCTTGCTTTGCTTCGCTCGCTTGTATAGTTCTTTACTTATGCACGTTTGAGTCCACCTGACTCCTTGATCTGGAGGTAAGTCGAAGTATACATTGCTTCTGCAATATATCTTGCCAGTGCATCCCAGACATTGATTAGCACACAGACTTGGTACAGTGTTACCTTGGGAAGATCAACTACGGCCAGGACCGATGGTATGAAATCAGGTATCCGCTATCTCAATGGGATTGCAACATCAATGGTTGGCGCCGAACGATGTCCCCCAGATTGGCGCTTGTAGAGATCTCACAAGCAAGGATGCCGTGGTCAACGTGGTACAGTAGGAAGCCGGCTTCAGTCATTGTGCCAGGCGACCCTCAAGCAGATCGATAAGGGCGACCTATGATAGATTAGAAGCAGCGCACGACCAATGTCGACAACAAAAAGGAAGTTGAGGAATGTCGTTGTATCCGGAGATGTGAGGATCGACACATTCTCCACTCCTTCCATCAGACCTTCGACATAACATGATTGGTTCCTCGTAGAATCAATATAATTTATGCCAGGATACTGCCATCTCGGGAGACGTCCAATCGACAGTCGACGCCAGTAACAAGCCGTGCAAGGTTTGCATGTCTTATGTCTTAGTACCGAATACTGCCAAATCACGCTGATCATTGCGGTCATGGTTTCTCGTGCCTGACTCCGCGCTATCCAATACGAGCCGTTCGTATTCAAGTCCGCTATGCAATCGATCCAGGTAATCGTGCGAACTCCAGCACACATAAGTCCGCCGTGGCTTCTCGTCACGGGTGCATGACCGTTCGCACATCCCAAACGCAAACACGTTCATCCCAACCGCAACTGGCGGCCCATCCTTCGCTGCCGAATAGACACCAATCCACACCAGTCGCAAACTCAGTGTGCCTTCCCATGTTACCCAACTCCCGTCCCGGTCCGCCTTGGTCGCCACCATCAGTCCATACTCGACATGTCATGTCGTAACTGGCGCTCAGTAACAAGTCTGGGAGATGTGGGCTCCAAGCAACCTTCCGCACGGCATATTGGTGTCCCTGTAAAAGCTGCAAAGGCCCTTTCGGTTGTCGAATGTCGAATGTTCGAATTATCCTGTCCACACCGGCTGTAGCCACTATGGTGCTTCGGTACTTGTTCCAGTCATGACTCAGTACTTCAGCGGGAGGAAATGTAGGTTGAAACTTTCCCATGCCAGCCGCTAGTGGAGGTGCATGGATCGGTATCTGCATCGTCAAGTGATTGCTCGCGCTAGCCGGTGTCCTTAGATCCCATACTCGTAGGTGGCTGTCAGAACAAACTGCACTAAGCATTCCATCAGTGTGCGGACTCCACTGAGCGCTGTAGGTACACGAGTGCGTGGGCAATGTGAGGAGACTCTGCTGCCGCTCCGGGTTCCAAATCTTCACCGAGCCATCCCACGACGAAGAAGCAAAGGTGGCTTTGGAAGTCAGGTTCCAGCTGCACGAGAAGACTTCCCGCGAGTGTTCTTGGAAGGTTGCGATGGGAAATTCGGGCGCTAAGGAAACATCATAAAGTCGTAATGAACCGTCGCCGGATGAGGTGAGTACGTGGAAAGAATGTGCTTCGGAGTGCGTAACGTCGTAAAGGGCGTCCTGAGTAGGATAGCTAACTGGTCAGCACTTTGCATTCCACTCAACCATCAAGGTCGTGGTAGATGTCTTACACTTTCAAAGGCACAATGCCTTGTGGTGTCAACTCCAAGATATAGAGCCTCCCATTACCGACGAGGCCATAGTTTGCCGAAGCCGCTACAGCAATGCGATTATCGAAGAATGGAGAGTACTTGACCGCGTAGCCTTGAAAGCCCTGCGTGCGGAATTCTAGCATGGTGAGGACTGAATGGGAAGGCCGGTGCGCTGTAATTGCAGGGTATCGACGCAGGCACACATCATGCGAGTGTCCAAATGTGTTGGAGTCGGCAGAGACTATCGAATCGTTTGTTTCTTCATCTTGTGCGTCAACTGAGAATGAAGACCATCACAGTAGTTTTGATGCCGCCAAATATGACGGCGGGCAGTGGCAGTCGCCCTTCAAGCCGAGGTTCTTCCTGCTTCCTGCGGACAATCATGACATGCATGCGACCGCATATTCCACATCTATTCCTTTGACTTGTCAATTCGACCGCAACTGCGATTCACAAACGTCTTATAGGCTTTTGTGCTTAGAGACACTTGATGATGGCACCAAGCAGAGGGGTTTGCGACAATAGAATCCACCATCTTCACTATGGACACGTTCATCTCTCGAAAGAGGCGTCGCGTGTCGCCGCCGCAGGCTGAAACACTCACTCCCTCCATAGCGACACCACTCTTCGACGACGACCAGGACACAGACATCAAGCTGGCAATTCTCGCATCCTTACATCCAGAGAAATCACAGGATGACTTACTGGAGATCCTCCTTTGCTGTGATGGCTCTGTCGAGCAAGCCAGCCAGTCATTGTTCGCCACTTCACCAGCGCCCGCCCTGAAGCGCAGACTCACGACACCCGGCATGCAAAGTGCACTCCCATTCGCATTGCCCGCTAACAAAAGTCCGTCAAAACAGCCGTTGACTAGGAAAGGCAAAACACTGCACCTGTATACTCCACAGGACATTGCGAACCACACTCCCTGCTCGATCGTACCCAACTTTCTCCCGCCACATCTCGCTACGGCTTTGATTCAAGAGCTTCTCGTAGAAGTTCCTACTTACGAGAGCACCAGCTTGAAGATCTTCGACAATGTTGTCAAGTCTCCACATACAGCATGTTTCTATGTCGACAGTCTAGCCGATATTCAACGGCAACGGAGCGAGTACTATTACAACGGGAATGATCTGGGCGACATCCGCCAGATCCTTCCTGTAATGCGCCAAGTCAGCGACCTCGTCCGCGATGCGGTCAACAAGGAGGTCGAGATCCGTATCCGCGACTTCTACCCTGATAGGAGAAAACTCAAATATCAATCTCCCAAGACGTGGCAGCCCAACGCTGCATTCGTCAACTGCTATGACGGCGGCGCCCAACATGTTGGCTACCACTCCGATCAACTATCATACCTTGGACCACGCGCCATCATAGGCAGTCTGAGTCTAGGCGTGGAACGCGAATTTCGTGTTCGCAAGATCGTACCCAAAGATGACCCCGATGATCGGAACCCAGCCACCTCGGCTGCGGATGACTCTGGGCAAATCGCCATCCACCTCCCGCATAATTCCCTGCTGGTCATGCACGCCGAGATGCAGGAGGAGTGGAAACACAGCATTTCACCAGCCCCAACGATCACGCCACATCCTCTCGCCGGCAACAAGCGCATCAACATTACGTATCGGTGGTATCGCGAGGACTTTCGCCCGAAGTATACACCGAAATGTCGTTGTGGGGTGCCTTGCGTGCTCAAGACGGTGCAGAAACAGAAGGCCAACCGTGGACGGTACATGTGGATGTGTCAAGTTGGGAGCAAGCCCGATGGAGGTGAGGGATGCGGATGGTTCGAGTGGGCGAGATTCACGGACGATGGTGTCCCTGTTGGTTGGAAAGGTCATGAGAAGGAGACTGAGGATGCACCCCTAAATGAGACCCAAGCGGACGGCAATGGTCACATTGGCGCAGAAAGAGCCGAGAACGAACCTGCTCGTCCATGTGAGCCTGGCACGGGCATGAAGAGCAGTGAAGAGAACAGTTTATCAAACGATTCATGAGGCATTTCAGTAGCGACTGATAGCTTCAACCAATACTCGCATTGTCACGTACAACTAGTACATCCTTGATGATAACATACGCCTCAACTCCATGCTGCTGGTATAGTCAATCTTCTTTCAAGATCCCAATCAACGCCAGGTCACTGTTCAGACATCAAGCTCTTCCACTTCCACGCTCGACACAAGAGGCGTTTCAGCTGTGGTCGTGACCCCAGGCGATACATCGCGAGGTAGGAGACGTTCGACATTCGGTTTGACCGGTGTCTGTGTTCGACTTCGTCCAGCGCGTATCCTCCCCTCATATACTTTTTCCACCGCCGCCACTGTCGGTAAACAATTCGCAGACCCGACCCGGTCGAACTTAGGCGGCGTGGTCAACGGCCACTCTGGTTCCGGCATCTCTCTACCCGCAGGCGTCGTCGGGCTCGGATTCGTACGACTGCTCGTCAGGCTGAAACCACCGGGCGTGTTGGCGCCGCTTGTGTTTCCAAACGGCGAGCGTTTCGTGTTGTGAGGAGATGCATTGCGTTCGAGGTCTGGTAGCGAGTGTCTCGAACTGCGTAGGAAATTCGTCGCGGACAGACTGGTGGCGATGTGCTTGTACGGTCCTGATGTTAGGGTCGCTAGATCCACGGACGAAGCGTTGTTCGAGCCCTGCGCGTCTGCAAAGGGCGTGATGGGGAGCATGTACTGCGACTCGTCGACCGCAGGAGCAGACCTGCGCTTCTGGCTGCGACTGCGGCTGCGAGTACTCGTCGGTCTCTCGTGATGGAGAGACTTTGGTCGTGGTCTGGCTGTGGCACTCGCAATGGCATCAGGCTGGTCGATGACGAGGTTGAAGTAGGAACTCCTGGCGTCGGCTGAGAGAAGAACATTGGGGTCGGAGTACAACGACGTCCGCAGTTCCGCGAGACTGGCGCCCTGGTGTCGTGATCGAGGACGGGATCGGGAACGTGACCTTGACTGAGAATGTGGTCGAGATTGTGATTGTGATCCTCTTCTCAGCCGCTGCGAATCTGGAGACGGTGGTCTCGAAAAGTCTAGAGCATTCGTCGAGTATCTCGAGTTCTTCAGATCATAGTCCGAGATGTCGTTCCTTGGTTCGCGGAACAGACTCGGGGTCGTCGTGTTGCTGTACAGCGATCTTCTCAATTCGATACGGTGGTGTTTCGGGTCGGGGATTTGATAGGTCTGCGGTGCGGTGATGACAGGTCTATCAAGGTGTCGCATGGACGGGAGCACTTGTGTATAGACAGCCCATATTGCAAAGATGACAAAGATCAGGCCGAACGCCGCGAGAATGACGACCACGCCTGGACTGATTCCACCCATAACTTAACCAACCGCGCGGATTTGCGGGTCACGAAGACATGTAAACTGCCATCGTGCAACAGAAGGGATGTGGCGGACGTGCTAGTCAATATAGGCCCCGTAGATGTGGCTGGAGGATTTGTACTGGATCGATGCAAGAGCAACTACAGTATGCAGATTCAAGGTATCGGAAAGTAACAAGAGTGGCGAACTTGAGATAGACGGTGAACAAACCTGCTTCGAAACAACAGAGTTACGGATGTCCGTAGACTTGCCTTGAAGATCTGGTGTTTACCTCCGTGGCCGTACATACGGATATGCATCGACGAGCATCCCGCGCGCGCCCCATCGGGTAGTCTAGCGAAAATATACAGGGATTGGGGGATGGAATATGCCATGTTGGTAGAGATGCTTATCAGTGCAGATGAGCAAGGAGGAAAGGACGGAACAATCTTGGATCGAAGCGAAGTTGAAGTTGGCAGGGTTCCCAGTCTCTAGTTTGCGATAAAGGCCGAAACGGACAAGGCTGGCGCCAAGGGGACCACTTTTAAGGGGCCTTTGAGACATGGCGGCCGACGATTACAAGTGCAAGATTGCTGTTGATGATAAGAAGGTCCGTATCACCGACATCGACAAGAAAAGACGCCTCTGGATCTCCGGAGTACCCTGATTCCATGTTGATATGCACATGCTTTGTGCCTGGTGGGATTCATACTGCCAAGAGCGTCAAAGATGAGCCGAAAAACAGGGCGTAAGTGTGGCTTTCAAGGAAACACCTAAAGGTTAATGCTACGGGAGGCACTTCCAAGGCCAACACGAATGTAAAAGGCAACAAACGAAGTCTTGGGGAATGGAATCGAATTCGGCTATCTATAGCCATGGTGGTCCCCAGTACGCCAACCCACGACTATCCTCGTCGTCGCTCAGCCCGGAATTCTCTCTCATATGCTGCCAGACCAGGGCAGCCCTATCGGCCCCCTGGTCGGCATCGGCATCGCTGCCATGTTCCTAACTGGTCGCCTTTCGCGGCGAGAGCTTCTTGATCACGCCTCTCGCCCGATGGCGGAGAGAGCGAACACCCGGCACGACGCGATCGCCCGCAAGGGCCTTGCTGTAGAAGTCTTCCAGACTTCCAAGGTCTGGATTGTCTGCGGCCGACACGAAAGCAACACGGAAGTCCTCGATCAACTTCAAGGCGTCAGTGGGTGGGATCGAGGGGCCCTTCTGGCCAGCCACACGTTCAATAGTGACCATGTCAACAGCGTCAACGCCGGGGTCAAGAGCACGCACGACAGCGGTGGCGAGGGGGGCGTCCAGGGACAGATCGTCGCTGGAATTGATGATGCTTTCTGGTCCTCGAGCTCGTGCCTTACCACGTTTTGCAGCTTGGAAGGCAGTTTCGATTCGGGTATTCTCAAATGTCTTGATCGTGCACGAAGCCCTCGTCTCCAACAATGTGGCTTCGGGCAGGAAGTTGTGTCTGTACTTGATGATTGCCGAGACGACAACTGGTTCGTCGTGCTTGTTATTGTCCATTTTAAGGACATCAAGAAAATGATCGATCAGGACCGCCGAGGTCGATTTCTCGAGATTGCCGTTGCGCGAACGAAGCGACGTGGACAGGCGTGAAGCCAAACTGTCCTCTCTGATACCAATTCGGACGACGATGGCGCAACAGTCTCCCGTATTGAGCATGGCATATCTCTGGGCACCCATCTCGCCTAGCTTAATGCCAGGGCCCGATATCTCGGTCCCAATCTTAATGTCGAGCAAGGTTCCTGGGTAGTTTTGCATTGGTTGATATCCCTCAGTTGCTATGAGAGGATTTTGCTTTAGAGCTGTGATGTTGAAGATCGCGTAAGCCGTAGCCCTGTACTTTGGACCATCCTCGTGTGCTTTGAAAGCTTGAGAGTCGACCGTTATAGCCGTCAGGAGCGGAATCCGCGCAAGATCAATACTCGTCACGCCTCTTCTAATGGCGGACCTCTCAGAAGCTGAGATGGATGGCGGTCGTTCGTGGAGAGAAGGGGGTGGAGCATAGAGTGGATTCGTGTTTCGGGCGTTATGATATTGACGGCCAGACGGCAGACTGAACACGCTGGTAGGTGAAGTTGCACTGGTCGCGGCGCTTGAATTGCTGACCTGACTGAGTCGGCCAGAACGTGCATGATGCTGGTTAGGTGTTCCCTGGTAGGCGTTGCTAGGTTCACCAGTTTCGACAGAACCAGAGGCTAGGATGCTGTTGAGAGACGCGACGTTTGGAAAACCGTTTCTGTTGGTGTGAGATGGAGACGGAGAATCACCGACTGGCAGATTTTCATCATGAGGATTTCCATTTGTGAGGTTGTCGTTGGATGCCATGACTTTCGAAAAGACGCGCCGAAAAATGCCTCGACTTGGGTTTGAGTGTAAGGGAAGCCGAGCAGCGGGAGAACGTCGAGACTTCCTTCGTAGTGCTGGTGATTGTGCAAAATGTCTTGACCGGTCAGGATAGTCAGTGGATGTTCTGTTACTTGCTGTCCTGCGGATCTTGTAGCGATTTGCACGTAGATGAGCGACGGAAGATGAGCAGGAGCGTGAGGTCGATGACTGTCCACAACTGTTAGCCTCAATCTTGATAAAAGCAGTCTTGGTCCATACCTTGTCTTCGTCGTCGATGGGAAATCTTCTTGGTACAGGGTTGAGATTGGCGTGCTGGCTTGAGGGACGGGCTGAAAGGGAGGTGCAACCGTAGGAAGACGAGTCTTGGTCAGAATCCGTGTGCGAGCGAGAGAGAGTTTCCTTTGCCCAGAGTGAGGATAAAGAACCCGAGATGGAACGAAGTGAGAAGCGTCGACTCTTTGCCGTTGTAATTTGGGAAGATTGACTCGTGCTGTCGTCGCTCCAATTTGAGTTCATCACTCTCAGCGCCCTCGGCGTCGCGTCAGGATCGTGGTCTGCCATATGTCTCTAGACAACTTGCCTCTTGGCGAGAAAGCAACCACAGCGAGTTCTTGTGTTTCTGCAAATACTCTGACAGTGTCGACAAGCACCAGGAGGTCATGTATCCAAAGTCTCGTCTTCCAATGTCTTTTTGCAGTCCTGATGAAGCCGTGCCTGTCCTTTTTCCAACCTGATACAACTGTCCTTGGTCAAAGCCGGTCAGGAGTCGATAACACAACGATGTTGCAGTCTATTCGGACACCAACCGACGACGCTTGTTGCTGGAACTCGTACACAACTGTACCAAACGAGGGCCACAAAGTGTGGAAGTGGTTCGAACCGGATCAGAAGCAAGAGCCAACCAGCCAAAGTGGACTGCTGTCGACAGCAAGTGAACCGTCCCAGATGGTTTCAGTGTTGACTGGTTGTTCCCAAAGCTAGCACAGGATAGACGTCCAGGGAGGATCGAGTGATACAGGTCTCGTCGAAGCCAACGGTCCAAAAGGAGACGATTCCAAGAGAAGCAATGATTGTATGATACTCGACAGGAATCTCTGCTGCTGGTATGGTCAGGAGTTTTGACAAACTGAAACGTTCATACAGGGTGTACAGAATGCGTGCTCTAGGCGAGACAAAGCAAGTGTGGCATATTCTGCTGGGTAGAGGTATGCATCGAAAAGGAAGAACAAGAATGTTGAACAGCTGAAGTTGTCAATCATTCGGTCGCTGGGAGCAGCGTCTCAACGTTCCTGCCCTGGCTCATGTCGACATCGGCAGGAGCGTCTCGAACAAAGGGTTGCTGAGCAGGCGAAACTCTCGAGATGGAAGCAGCGAGCCCGCCGAGCTCATCTTCCACGAGGTCTGTGGATTCTGCTTTGGCCGGCTGAGCAAAAGTGCGCACATCTTTCCCATCATGTCGGTATAGGTTTGTCATAAGTCAAAATGTCTTTCCTCAACTCCTCGAAGCGCTCGACATCGACCTTCGAGAAGCGGATCTGTCGATTACCGCTGGCAACCATGGCTTGTCGAGCATCCGACTTTGTCATGTCCGCAAATGCTTGTCCAGCACGACCACCACTAGCACTGCCGAAAAGTGTGCCTTCACTCACGCTGGTCTCGATACCATTCGTCACTCGCGACTCCCACACACCGTCCCATTTCCACTCACTTGGACGTTTCGGTGAAGCTGGAACGCCGTCATTTCCTACAGGCATCGAATCTTTGAGGCGACCATCTCCCTTTCCAAGACCTCGATACGCGAGCCATGCATGCCATGCGCTTGGATCACCTGCAGCCTCCAAGGGCATATCATCCAGGAGGGTTTCGTTCTCAAACGCCGTTTTTATATATGATAACATTCGGAGCATGAGATCTTTGCGATCCTCAGCATGTGATCGTGTTCGTACATCTTCGCTCGTCTTCACGTGGTCATCGGCTGACGCACCAGGCTTGGGACTGTTCACATCATCTCGCCGACTTGATGTGGTGTTATCGGCCTTGTCGATTGCAAGACCTCGACCACGAAACCAACGAGGAAACCCATGACGCAGGGAAAACGCGCCGGGCGGGAGTCGATCTTGATCAGCAGCGCTTATAGTATTAGACGCATCGACAACGCTGGCCGCGAAGGTGTATGTTGTCAAGGGTACAACTAAAGGATGAAAGATATCGCTTGAAAAGGTAACAAGAGGAGGGTCGTCAGGGTACGAGTCCGGAAATGCGATCTCGAAGCGAAGGACAGCTCCAGCATATGGGCCTGGAAATCTGAAGTCAGCACATATTCCCCAGGATATTGTAAGGCATTACCTTCTCGAACGAAAAGGACGCCGGACCAGAGTGAAGGGTCGCCAGGAGTGAGCGAAAGATAAACACCCTCAGGACAGCTCTCTCTAAGGAACGAACTTGCACAAAGTCAGCGTCGTACACAAGACATGGTCGCTGCCTCTCACAAGTCTATCACAAGCTGTTGTCGACGGAATGATGGAAGTAAAGGAGGGGACATTATTGTTGTTGACAAGTAAATATGCGGTTCAGAGGAAGATCAAAGAGTGGAGTTGAGAACCCCACGAAACCGCCGAGAGAGTTGACAGGTTTGGAGGGCAAAGCCGCGCCTAAGGGACCCTGTCAGCCGCATCTGCTGGGAAAACAGGGCGCGGCCGCGCCCCTGGGCTCTGATCGCGCGATTGGTCAAAGAGGATCCCTCGCCGACTAAGCGACGGGAGCAATTGTCGATTAAGGGCTATCAAACATTGAACGTTGTCTGATACGTCTGTATCCAGCACAAAACTGGACGGACGTCATGAAATAAAGGGGTATCTATGCAGGAAACAACCGCTTTCTGAACGTCTGCATAGAATGCATGACCAAACACCACTCAACTGGCTTTGCGTCGATTCTGTGCGACGGCATCAATACCGTCGTTCACACCACCTATGATGCCTTCGACAACCCAAGACCCAGCGCCTGTGCAGGCACTTCCAAGCCGGCCATCTTTGAAGCGCATCAAGGCGTTTTGCACTTCGAGACCGCGCTCTCCAAGTGCAGATGTGAAGTCCAGACCATTTATGAGTACCCTTTCGGTGACTTGATGTTGTCGTTCAAACTGCAGTATGCGGTTGAGGAAGGCCATAATGATGGGAAGAATCAGGAATATGCCCGCAATGATCCAACACACCGCTCGAGCAACCCCTTGTCGAAGTAGACTCGGCGGCCGCTCGGCTTGCACTTCTTGTACTGGTGGCGGTTGATAGATGAGCTGGGGTGACATGCTCGCACGTAACGAATCCACCTCGAGAGGTGTCAATCTCGGAGGCAGAGCCATGTGCATGTATCGCAACGCATCAATATGCATGCTTCGAAGAGCATTCGCGTCTCCGCCTTGTTCAGCCTGGGTTTTGGCAGTCACCCACAGCCTTATTCCTGTTGCGGCAATATCCCAATCCACGCTGGTACTCGTTTCAGGCCCCTGAATCATTTTGAGGCTCAGTTCTTTTGAGGGAAGAAGTTCCTCAGGAGTATTCGGTCTGATCATGGGTGTGCTTGCACCACTCGAGGGGACGGTCGCAGCGAAGCCGTAAGACTCGTTCGGTTTAGGGACCTCGATGCATGAAAGAGTGTATGCCTTCTTCCGAGAGTTCGAACGTTGAAGACCCGAGACTTTTGCACGTTGGCGAAAAGAGCCCAACACTGGGATCCGCGACCGAACGAGGGATGGGATCATTGTGTAGAGGCTCGACGTGGTGAATTCCTCGCAATTCATGCCGGAGGAACTCATGAAGCCCGCTTCATCAACTAGGTTGGCCATTGTGGGAGTGTTCCTCGTGTCGGTGTTTGTGACGATGCCTGGGGCTGCAACAATCGCAAATGATAAGTATAGTAGGGTTAGATGTACCGAGGGTAGCGAGTCGAATCAAAGGGAGTAGGAATGGTCAAATTGGACGGTAGTATGCACTCTGGACGTGAAGCGGAGGGGACGTTGTTATCAGCAGATTCGACGGTGCACCCACGGGGTCTCTTTCACATGCACAACGGTTCTGTCATGCACGACATAAAACCCACCAGACAGGCGGCCGACGGCGATCATGTTGTGTGGTTAAGATTAATTTAGTCTGCACGGGCTCTGTTTGTTGAGTGAGAGTGGGATGCACAGTGCACATGATGGAGCAATGTCCAGGGGGGGCAGATGCCAGTGTTTTGATTTTCACATGCCATTTGTGCCTGTTGGTTATTGGACTACACAGTACAGTGGTTCTCGGTATCCTTCGGGCTTGGAAGATCGGAGCCCGGGTGAGACTGGGTACGGAGTAGAAAGGGCACTTTGGGAGACAAGGAGACTTGCATGTGTGCATAGCAAGATTATGGAGCATGAGTTCGCGTTTCGGTCGATTCTTGCATGTGACAATTTGTGTGAACAGGTTGTACTCCCAACGTCGGAGCCTTGTCGGATGCGGATCATGTTTTCACCGCGACGCTCACCCTGCTCTCATAGCATTACTGAAACCTCCTTGATGGTCTAATTGGGAAGATGAATCAACTGTGTCACAGACAGGGCGTGGGCGGGTTGATGACCACTATGGGCCGAGTCACGAGCAGGGCGCACTCCTCACCAAAGTCCTCGTGACAAGGTATGCTACAGGAAAAGGATGGACAGCCCATAAGATTTGTGCTCTCGGTGGAATATTTGATTAGTACTGCATCATTTCATTAGGCAAGCTCCCTGACGTTGTCTCAATCCTGCGCCCTGTGCCTGATCAGTGCCAATCCCATGACACATATAACGCCTTTTAGATCTCTCATATGTGCATGCATATAGAGGCCTCCTTGCCCCAGCACTGACATGTTGTTGATATATCACTTCACTCTTTTCTCTCCTGTTTTTGGTTCAGTGGAACTGGGCCATATATCCATTCAACTGGCTCAGATCCTGTTCAGTCATAAGGTTGTCCTCGGGCTGCTTCTGCTGCGTCGGCAGACCCGTGTTCATTCCCATCCCCATATCCATGGCAGGCGCCATGCTATACGAGCCATAAAGCGAGTCTACAGTGGGTATACTCGACGAGTACGGCGCCGATGTACCAACAGCTGCGGGTGCACCTCCCATGACACCGCCTGTCTGATCATCGGCGCCCATATCGAAGTTCAAGTCGTCCACCATCCCCAAATCGAGTCCGCTGAAGTCGATACTGTCAAAGTCAAAGTCCATGTTCTGGTCAAAGGTCGTGGCTGTGGCAGAAGCAGGCATGCTGCTATAGTCTGCGGTCATGGCGGGAGTGGAGTCATGAGACATGCTCTTCCTCTGCATCGTGGGCGTGGTGGCTTTGGCTTTCAGACCACCCTTGATCACATACGGTGCCATGATGGGTACTTCGGCCAGGTTCTGAGCGACTATCGTTGGCGGGGCGTCCAGGCCATGTTGGTATTTGAATGTGTCCAGCCATTGCTGATTGTCGGCGCAGGTCCAATTCCAGGGGTCGTTGTCCTCGTATATGATCACGCGGGCCTGGTCCTGGAGATCTTTGTCCGAGGGGATCCTGCCTGCGGCCTTTTGCTGCGATGCAAACTTGGTCAGTTCTTGCTCCAGTCGACCCCAGCAGTTGGAGTCTTTGGTGATTTGGTCGGGTTCGCTACTCTCGGCAGAGGTGCCATTGGTCAGACCTGCGTCGGTACCGGCTGAGGGTGTTGTCTGTGCCGCCCTGGCCACGTATGGCTCCATGGTCATCCTCTCGTGTCCGATCAGGTATGGGGGTATGGCATTTTCAACCAATCTCTCCACGTATGGCTCGAAGCCCCAGCCGTTCGCCCACATGCTCATGTCGGCACCATTGCGGAAGTGGGCAGCCAAGTGATCTGCCCGCTGCTGCCAGGTAGTGAACTTGGACGGACAGAATCCGCAAGATGACTTGAGTTCATTGGTTGTGCTCTTCCATGTGTTCATGTGGGACTGCACCTTGGCATTGTGCATCAGCTTGAGATGCTGGCTCAGGTGATCCTTCCGATAGAAGGTACGTTCTTGCATGGTTTTCTCTTGACAAGCAGTGAAGTTGTGTGATTCTAAATGATCGGTACTGGGATTGGATTCCCTGCAAAATACGCACATTTCTGTGCCAGTGAGAGCATCAATCGCTGTTCCGCCATTAGGACAGCATGTCCATCGCTCAAGAGCCAAGTGCAACGACTTCTCATGACGCTGCCAGTCGTATTTGGCCGGGAACGAGTCTGTGCAGAATGTGCACTGGAATATCCTTGCACTTCGAGACTTGGTTTGTTGCGTGGTGGTTCGTTGGGTCATGGGTGCCCTTCGGCGCCGTCGTCGGTCCTGCGACGAAGCGAATGACGCCTTGGACCGATTCGACCTTGAGGAGGCAAAAGTCATGTCGCTGTTACTGGAATCTTTGGTTCCGAAACTGCTCACGGAAGGTGCCCGGAACATAGAGAATGAAGAATCCTCCTCGCTTGAAGCTTTCCTTGAACTAGCTCTTGAGCCACCCCGGGAGCCACCCCGGGAACCACCCCTTGAGCCATGCAGACTCGAGACAGAGGGATTGCGCACTGGGAGAGGTGTGGCTGTCACGGCTTTGGCGATAGCAGTCATGGAAGCAGGTTCATTTTCTGGTGGCGAAGCCTTCCATCTGTCTAGAGGGTTCAGGTGAGCGACATCGGGGTTATCGAGTGTTTGAGTCGGGATGTCGATTGCACCAAGCATGGGTGAAGATGGTCCCGAAGAGGGCCTGACTTTGCCTCTTCTCCGTGCATTGGCCAGCCAATTCGAAATCTGACTGCGCTTGAGGCCGGTGATTTGCTTGAGTTCGTCCTTCTCTCGTTCATTGGGGTATGGATGATCAGCGTGCTCGGACAGCCACTGCTTCAGGATTTTGACAGCATCTCTTGGGAAGCGAGCACCCGTCTTGCGGCCTCGCCCTTCTTCCATTGATCTCATGGTCTTTCGCTTTTCAGTATTGGTGTATTCATCGACTTGGTGGTCCTCAGAGATACCAGGAAAGGTGTTGACGAATCCCTTGGGAACTATAGGATGGACAAAGCTGCATTCTCGGTACAATGAGATGCAGCAGGTGCAACCCGTAACGAGGGAACCTCTTGTAGCCAGGAAGCAATCCAATCCCATCCTGGCACAGAGGTCGCAGGCCTGTTTGGAACGAAACATGGGGTAGTCGAGGCCGGCATCTGAGGTGTGTGGGATTGCCTCGATTTCAATATTGTTGATTAACTTCACCATGACGGTTCCTGGTTCAGCAGGGCGTGCCGCTGGGAGCAGATAGGATTTTTCGAAAAAGAGCGACTCATAGCAGTCATTGGCGTCATCCTGGTTGGTCTCGCCGTTCAAGGAGCAGCAGTCATCGATATCCAGATTGGGGATGACATTGGAAGCATCCTCAAAATTGAAGTACTCCATTTTGTCGACTCGATTCCCAATGTTCCAGTCCCAATACAATGGGACAAGAAGTGGACGGTGAGGAGCACTGGAGAGGGAGACTCCCTGTGATATTATTATTCAGCCTGTCGTTCCCCGTCGGAAAGAACGTGATGTACCCGAAGTCGGTTGGATTGTATGACTCCTCAGGCGCCCCAGAACTGTATGGGGGGGGGGAGCATGTCAGAATGCACGCCCTTCCAACGACATTGTCATGGGTTTCGGGGGCATTAGTGGGCATGGGTGGACATTTCCGAGCACGCTAGGAGTTCCAGGGCCACTCACGAGTGACAGCTGGGGCGCTCGGGGACTCGTGGCAACTTCCAGAACACTGCTCATTGCAGGGCCCGGTGCTAACTGTTCCAATGCTACCTATCACACTAATTAGCTGCTTGATTTGACTCTGAAACGCGGTGTTTTATCAGAGATCTGCTAGAAATATTCTTCAAACGAGCGACTTGCTTACCTCCACGCATGGACGGTCAGCAATACAGGAGATACAACACCACACAATGTGACAATCTGTCGTCAGGTTGGTTTTGATTTGGCAGGCACAAGCGGCATATGCATGCTGACAAACCCCTTCCGTCCTTTTGCATATTTTCCACGTCAGCATCTCTAGCTTGCCAAAGTGTCATCACAACATGTTGCGAAAGCCATGGTTGCAAGGCTCTGCGTATGAGTGCACACTGGAATCATAAACATTAATGAAATGGCTAGTCTGTCTGTCCCTGGGCCTTGCTTTCCTCAAGATCCTGCTGCACAGTGAGTCATTGAGGGTGCGCTCACGTGACTACTTGGGTTCATGTTGAGGACGTAACTGCCTTTCACTTTCAGCCTGATTGAGCACTCAAGATGCACTCTCCACCCTGCTGCGCAGGTGCTGCCATGTCTTTACATAGGTGTCTGCAAAAGCACCATGAAGGACCTACCTCATGTGCAAACTTACAGACCGTTGTGAATTCCACAGAGATTTATTCCGTACACCAGGCTTCGATGTCTCGACGAACTTGGGTACTAATTGTGATATACCCTCTAGGCATCTACACAGCCTCACCCAGCCTCACCTAACGACCTCGCCTGCCACAGCGGAACACGCATGCAAGATGTTTCATCAGATTCTCTCGATTCATGGCACCTGTTGCGTTTCTTATTTAGCAGGTTCTCCTCAACCTTTGTCACGTTCGCCATACCACGATGCGCCTTCTAAGGGTTGACGATCACGGTGAGCTGAGTGCTCCCAGGTACATCTCTGGGGATGCCCCACCCTACGCAATACTTTCACATACTTGGGGCGAACAGGAGGTTACCCTTAACGACCTCACCAATGGATCCAGTAAGACTATGACTGGCTATACCAAGATTCAACTCTGTTTGGAACAAGCTAAAAAAGACGGGCTACAGTATGTCTGGGTGGATACATGCTGTATCGACAAGTCAAGTAGCGCTGAGCTTCAAGAGGCTATCAACAGCATGTTTCGATGGTATCAGCACGCATCCATCTGCTACGTGTACTTGGAAGATGTGTTGGGTCGTAACCGCCTTCACAACTCAGCTGAGCTGTATTGGGAATCTACTCTTCGGCAAAGCAGATGGTTCACTCGAAGTTGGACATTGCAAGAACTTATCGCTCCTCCTGTGGTTGAGTTCTTTTCCCGGGACTTTGAACCGCTTGGAGACAGGAGGTCGCTAGAAGCAATAATTCACGAGATTACGGCCATTCCTATTCAGGTCCTTCGTGGAACGTCCGTCTTTGAGTACAGTACCGAGGAAAGATTGTCATGGGCAGCGAAGCGGCAGAGTACACGCACAGAGGACGGAGCTTATTCACTACTCGGTATATTCAATACCTTCATGCCTCTCATTTATGGCGAAGGGCAGTCGAATGCGTTCGCAAGACTCCGCCGGAAGATCAGCAAATCAAGCAGATATGAGTCCGGCGAAGCAGAGAATGTCTACGTTACTGACTCACAGTTCGAGCGTGTTCAACCTGGAGAGCAAATATCCACTGCTCAATCCTTGACCTACTTTCCACTTACGGGCTTCAGTTTCCGTATCTTTGTTCTCGAAGCAGGCGGATACGGAGACAACATCAGAGGTCACCTGAAAAGATGCAGTCTTGTAGCGCCTCCTGAGTACTACGCGTTGAGTTATGTCTGGGGTCAAGAGCCACCGATTCACCAAGTCACTGTCAACGGGCAGATGATGAAGTTAAAGCCAAATCTATATCATGCGCTCTTAAGGATAAGGCCTCGGACAAATCCGATCAGTATCTGGGTAGACTCCATTTGTATCGATCAATCAAATGTCCTGGAAAGGAATGAGCAAGTCAAACAGATGGCAACAATCTATCGCAGGGCCAGTAGTGTTCTGGTTTGGCTGGGCGAGGAGGATTCAACAAGCAAGGTCGCCCTGCAATTCGTTTCTCAGATCACTTCAAGCAAGTTTCGATGGAACGACAGTTGGTGGCATCACCACGGTTTTACTGCGTTGCTCCAGCTTTTGGAAAGGTCTTGGTTTCGGCGAGTCTGGGTCCTCCAGGAGGCTGCATTTTCAACGAACTCTATGATTCGTTGTGGTGACCGTGAAGCACATATGGACCACTTTACTCTGGCGATCGACCTGATTCGAGCCGAACTCAGCACTATACAACCCTTTCCCACCAGGTTAGCGAACACGGTGCCTGTGACAGCCCTGGCGGATTTTCATAACTCACCCGCTGTCAGATTACTGCAGACCATCGAAGATGCATTTATCAAGTCCACGAAGGGAGATGTTACAGATCGAAAGATGTCCTTAGAGACACTTGTGGATCTGAGCACTTACAGCGTGACGACCGATCAGCGGGATGCAATATATGCTTTGTTGAATCTGGCTAGTGACATCTTCTCATTGTCACAGTCAGGTGAAGGCGGCTTCATAACTCCTGACTACGGTAAAGATGTCCTGGATGTTTTTGTGGATTTTGTTTGGCATTGCTGTCGTTACTCAGGGTCGATTGACATTGTTTGTCGCCCTTGGGCCCCAATATCTTCTGATATGCCACATTCTCTCGGTCACGACCGACGCCTTGGTCATATTTCATGTTCATGCCCTTCATGGATAGCGTCCAGAGACAACCTGCCGTTCGGAAATCCTTCTTTGCGACAGGATCAACGAGTACATGGCAGTCCGCTCGTCGGCGGAAGTCAAAAGCGACGGTATAATGCTCATTTTGGATATAAACCTTACGTCTCGATCGGAAGGGACGAGGATGGCAAGTGTAATGGATCACTCCACGCTAAAGGCATAATCATTGGCGAAATCGCTGAGAGATCACCAAGAATGGCAAATGCTATTATTACGAAAGAGTGTCTGAGAATACTTGGGACTACCTACCTTCGACCTCACTCGGGACTGATCGACCTCCAAGATACCATCTGGCGCACCTTGTGTGCAGACCGTGACGAGAAAGGTGAACCTGCGCCACGATTCTACCGTATTGCGATGCTCCATTTGTTGCAGATCAGCAGTGTGGGTCGTGACTCCGGAAATCCCACTGACCTCTTCGATCGTATCTCTAGTATTGACACAGAAGAACTCTTGGTGACCGAAGCACCAAACTTCGTGAAAACATTCCTCACAGTCATTCGGGACGTTATCTGGAATCGTCGAACCTTCCGCTCAATGGTGGACGACAACTACGAGACGCCACTGGTTGGGCTCGCTCCACAACACGCAACAGTCGGTGACCAAATTTGCATCTTGTATGGATGCAGCGTACCAGTTGTTCTTCGAAAATTGGCAGTCTCTGACGACAAGGCTTGCTGGCGGTTGATTGGCGATGCATACGTGCACGGAATAATGGACGGAGAAGCTATTCGTGATGTATTCTCTGACACCCTCAAAGCTAAAGAGCAGGACTTCGAAATCCGATGACCCCTCCAGGAGTAGAGGCGCATAGGCTGGCTTCCCATGATTGGAATAACGAAATAAGGCTGTGCACCCCTAATGTTCCACAAAGTCAGGTGACCATGCCAGGCATGCATGAAGGTTCGGCCTTTCTCGGTCGCTTTATACGTTCGTCGTAATCGTGAGCAGTAGAGTCGATATGATCAGTCATTTACCTACTCGCTAAGGAACACCCGAGGACGTGGGCACTGGGGCAAACACAGCTATAACTCGACATTATGGCAACAAGCAAGGCCACTGTGCCAGGTCTCCTTTGTCGCTGTACACAATGGCGCGGTTTCGATACTGATCTGGAGAGCCACTTCTGCTCTGGGCAGCCCAGCATCATGGAGGACGATAGGCAGGCCGTATCAATGAGCAGCAGGAAATAAAGAACAGCCGAAGATGATCATGTCTGAACACGAAGAACGGCTACGATCCAAGGCTTACACCTAGCACATCTGCATTATTAAAGGCTACAAGTGGTATCGCATTTTGGCAAACTCATCCGGATCACTCGCCGGAGTATTGCCTGGTCTGCTGCCCCATATCCACTTCAACCTATCTAGTCGCCAATACGAGGCTGCAGGTTCATGCATTAGTTGTAATACGAAATACGACGTACTCGTTTTCGAGCCGGGGAGAAGCTCCCGCCTTGACTCAACACATGGAGGATGCGAAACCTTCTGACACGTCAGAATTGCGCTTTACACCCTTCGCCTTCTTTTTGGGACAGTCCAGGGCCAACGAAAGATATGGACGATTTGTGAGAATGGCTTGATGATATTATCCATGGAGATCCCAGGCCGTTGGATCGTCCGTACCTCGGTAGCGGGAGGACTCTTCTTCCGCAACTCCACTTACGTATGTTAACGTCCAGTTTTCCACTTCTCAGAGACCAAGGCTATGCGCTCAAAATCCCTAGGCAAACCTCCATCGAGTCCACACCCGAGACAGTCACCAGCAACACCACAAGCTCGATTACTCGTAGGACTGGTTGTCAAACGCTGTCATGATTGCATGCTTACACATTGGAAATTAAAAGACCGAGAGCCTCGTCCCGTTGACATTAACCCCTTTTGGGTCTGGCTTGCGAGATGTCAATGCATATGGTGCCCCATATATATTGCGCGACAGGATATGGGTCGTCGTGTCTTGTGTCGTATCCCCTGTATTTGTGCCGGATAAAGACAAAATTGCTCTTCATGTTTTGACTGCGTGGAAGAGCTTGGTCCAACGAAAGTCCATCGCTTTAGGTAGGGCCCTCTCAACCCCGCTTGCCTGACTTCGGTATCTTTGGCGTATTCGCATTTGCGCGAACTCAATGGGAACATCCGTCAACAGCCACGCCGAACCCATGACTCTGTTCTGTGAGATTCTGGTGTCGTTTATCCACGTGGATCAGTGTGTCAGGATTCATCGGATGCGTGAAGCATACGGTAAGTTAGGCCCCGTCCACCTAGCTAATATATTGCAAAGCCACCGCCTATGGTAAATTCACTGCGATCTCTTCGATCTTCAGCACTTCTTACCTCCACAGCCTGCTTGCTACCATCCGTTCTGCTTGTCCACCACCTCGTCGACACTCCCATCACCATCCCAACCGCTGTCCAAGATGTCAGCGGGCAACACAACGTATCTTCCCATGGACCAGTGCTTCAATGTCTCGTCTCAATGTCCCGTTGAAAACACCATATACGGCTACTATCCCTCGTAAGTCTCCTCTCCAGCCCATCTTGCATCGGACCCTCGGCCAGCCATCCTCCTACCACTCATCGTCCACACGATCCTTGCGAACTAACATATATCCAATTGCAGTGTTGGTGCCAATTGCTTCTTCGTAGCCTTCTTCTTCATGGCCGCAGTCATGCAACTCTACGGAGGCATCCGCTACAAGACATGGACGTACCTCATCGCCATGTTCCTAGCCTGCATCGACCAAGGGCTGGGATACATCGGACGTGTCATGCTCCACCAGAATCCCTACAGCCAAGTCGGCTTCCAGATTCAAATCTGTTGCCTGATCCTAGGGCCTGCATTCAACTCGGCAGCCATCTACCTTGTCCTGAAGCATATAACACTGTGCTTCGGCCCTGAGTACTCACGCATCCCACCACGGTGGTACACATGGATTTTCATAGCAGGCGATCTTTTGTCTCTCGTGATCCAGGCCATCGGAGGCGGCATGGCAGCGACATCCGAGAACGACAACGCTAGACAAGAACTCGGCGACCACCTCATGATGGCGGGTATTGCCCTGCAAGTCGTGACACTCTTGTTCTTCGGCACTGCTGCTCTCATGTATATCCTTGCCCGGCGCAGGGCGCAGAATGTGCCATTGTCCACTGAAGCGCGCAAATTCCTCAACAGCACACTGTTCAAATGCTTCGCCGTGGGCTTCACGCTTGCCTTCGCAGCAATCTTCATTAGATGCGTGTACCGTATTGTCGAGATGGCCGGTAAGTCGCGATCTTCCAGCGTCGTTGTCAAGATACTAACCACCGGTCACAAAGGTGGATGGGGCAACCCGATCATGCAGTCGCAAACCCCCTTCATCGTGCTCGACGGGTGCATGGTCACGCTCGCCACCCTGATGCAAACCATCTTCCATCCTGGATGGTGCTTCCCACGTCTGTCAAGCGCATATGTCGCACCCCCTGACCGATCGTCATCAAGCGCCCGCCCGACACAATCTGAGCTTTCCACGATTGAGACGGACAAGAACGCCCCGGACAGCGCGGAGGAGGTATGAGCATGACAATAGCTCGGGCACCCCGGACAAGACACCAATTTCATTCGATGTGAAAGGCGATTTCCAAGTCGATGAAACAGTTATTTTAGTCGATACGGACGGCTGCCTCCAGGCTATCAACGCTAGATACTCTTCTCGATATTAATGAAGAAATTCCGAATCCTATCGAGCGTTTTGTAGCTTTGCAAATAAGAAAGGCGCCTATCACAACGTAGAGAGTAGTTCTGTTGTTATTAAAGTGTCTACCAGCTTCAAGACGATACTTTTAATCGTTAGAAACGGACGTCTCCGGGTTTCTAAGACACTATTTCCATTCGATACGATCGACTGTCGCCGTGTTTTCAATGCTATATAGTTTCTCGATATTAGTATAGGACTCCCGGATTATAACGCGAGTTTCTCCTTCCTTGAAGACTGGAAGTACTCCCGTTACAGCGCTGAAAAAATAGAATATACTATCGTAGTACACCTTACTACTAAGACAACGTTATTAGCCGATAAATAAGGATACTTCCTAGTCGGCAACGTATATTCTAGATATATTCAATGCCAGGAGCACACCGTACGTAACGAGAATAGTAACGGCCTATACCGTTCAGGAGCACGCCCTAACTCTACAGCCTTATCACGTGACACGATTGAACTTTCACTTCAGTTTCACTTTCATTTCATTTCATTTCAGCTCGGAGCCCCTAATGGGCGGATATCATTGTGTTCGGCCTATGCAATGCCATGTTTTTTGCCATACTAAATGTATGGCCAGCTCCACATCGTTCCATAATCAAAACACATTCTCGCCCAGCCTATTTCTTCTCTTCGGCAGGCTTCTTCTTCTCTGGCGCACGCTTGCGCATGCCCTCCACCATCATTGCCTCCAATTCTCCCTCCCAGCCAGGCAGGGTGCCGAATTGGAAGCGGCTAGGTACGTGCTCTGGCTCAGGCGCAGCGCGGGCACGAGGCGCAGTTGGTCGGAGACGCTGCTCGCCACGCGCAGCAGCCAGAGTCTCGGATTGCATGATCTGCTGGCGAGCGCGAGCAAGCGCAGCATGACGAGCGGCTTTGGTCTTGTATGGCGCGTCGAGGATCTTGTGAAGGTGTCTGGTGATGCGATCGTTTGCAGCCTTCTCCGTGAGCGGACGACGGCGTCCCTCGAGACCAGCGTCAATGTCTGGAACGAGCGTAATTGGGTCGATCGCACGGGCAGGACGAGCAGGAGCGGCAGCAGCGCGAGAACTTGGACCTTCGCCATTGTCTTCGGGGGCAGAAGGGACGGCCGGACCTGGGCCGAAAGCACCAGGCATGTCGGGAATGGAGGGGGTTTCTGGACCTGGAACGTATGCTGGAAGGTCTTCGGCTCTGGCCTTGCCTTTGCCCTTGTCAGCCGCCGGCTCTGGTTCTGGTTCTGGTTCTGGTTCTGGCTCAGGCGCTGGTTCAGCCTCTTGCTCAGGCTCTGATTCGGGCTCTGACTCGTCTGGTTCATCGTTGTCACCAGGGTCGACGTCGGCAGCAGTTTCGGTAGCGAGAGCCTTGCCCTTGCCCTTGTTCTTGTTCTTGCGCTTTCGGTTCTTGCGCTTCTTCTTCTTCTTGCCTTCGCCAGGTGCAGCAGGGTCAGTGATAGTGAGAGCTCCAAGATCGAGATCATCCTCCTCCTCAGCGGATCCCTTGGTCAAGCTCGTGCCATCCATGTTTGCGATCGCGCCAGGAACGTAGAGATTCTCCTTGGTAGCCATACTGTCGATTCGTGTTTGATAGAAATCTTCCCAATCTCTAACGTGGGCAGGTTCCTCCGGGTAATGGTTCAATTGTTTGAGAAGGGTTGAGAATTTGATCAATCCAAGCGTGATCAGTGGTAGGTACGCAGGAGGTTTGTCTGGATCTGCTGGTGGGATGAGGCCCTTTTCGATCTTGACTGCGCTTTCGAGAAAATATCCAACGATGAAAGAAGCAGCTTCGTAGTCACCAAATTGTCTTGGAACCGTGACGACAATGTCTTCTGCTGGAGTACCGACAGATTCTGCGCCAGTGGCCCAGAGTCCGATGAGTCTGCGAGAAAAGATGCCCTCGGCAACCTGTTTGATAATTTCGAGATCAATGTGCCACTCAAGAGCTTTTGTGCCAGGGATCTGTCGTCCGTAGGTGAATATGAACTCTCTGATCAAAAGGTGTTCGGTTTCTCTACGGTTTTCCTTGTATTTCTCGAGTGCGTATTCACCGTAGGCCAAAAGCTGGAAAAAGAGGATCTATTAGCGGGTCTGCTAGAGCAGAAAGAGCCCAGAGACATGCATTGGCCAAGAACTGATCTTTCGACTTCTGGTGAAAGGTGTGTGGAGCGAGGAGGTTGTAATTGGTACGGACAGAAAGTGGAAGTGGTTGAGGAAGTGAGAGAGGTCTTGTCACGATTTGAGAGGAAGAAGAAGCTGCCGGAACGTTTGATGAGGAGGAAGCTACCGGAACGTTTGATGGTGTGTCGCGCGCTCGAGTAAATGATGTCGTCGCTTGGTCGGAAGCTGTCGCTATCTCACCAGGCAGTGGAGCGGTGCTGATCGTAGGTGATGGCGTTCTTTGGTGAGCGTTGCTGAAGAAATCGTTTGTCACCTGCCGGTCGCGCGCCGCTTTCTTCCTATTGCGTGGCGCCATGATAGTCTGGAGCGCCGAGAGCAACGCCGAGACGTAGGGTGAGTCGTTGGTAGAGGTGTTGGTGGTAAGGAGGAGCGAGTGTTTTTCGAACCGCGCAAGTCTAAATCCAAACCCATCGTGTGCGCGGCCATGGTGTCTATGCCAAGGTGTTTGGTACAGGGTGAGGCAGTATTCCAGGCACAGACACCATGGCCCAGTGACCGACAAAGAGAACGAAAGCCATGTCGTCGTTATATCAAACATCCTTGGCGGCATATCACGTGAATCACAGCCTTGTCGACCGTGGATTGCTAGGAAAGCTGCATACATCCGCGACTGCACAACACCAGATCGCATTGTTTGTTCTAGGTGTGGTGCTGAGAGTATTGTCCACACCCTGATCAACTGTCCTTGCATCTTGCCATTCGCCATGATGGTGCTGGAGCATTGGAAGGCGTGTAGGTGGTAAACGCCGTACCAGTATGCCGAGGACATGTCTCGCATCGGTGCTTCAGCTGTTCAACTTCCCTTTGTGGTCGATCACAGCCACAGTCTCCGAATACCATCGAGCGACGGCCAAGGTAGAAAAGTATTTCATTCATCATATAAACCCAAATGGTATCTGTGAACGCATGTCGTCATCAGGGGTCTCTGCCGTGGTGATCGTGATAACCTGACTCTATCCAGTGTAAACCATCGTAAACACCATGCACCGTTAAAGAAGGGTCATCATCCATGACAAACCAGGAAGCCCTCAGCCCACCACATCAGGCACTCAATTTCCCATATACATTTGAGGTCCAGGGTTAGAGAAGTCCAGACCACTGCCACTAACATAACCGTCACTGATGTCTTCGTCGTAATAGTCTCCACCACTTGAGCCGTCAAAGCTGGCTCTTCCCATGCCCCCAACGTCACTCAGATCTCCTGGGTCATCAGAAGTGGGCATTTGTGACCAATCGATGTTCTGGAGAGCAGGATATTGCTGAAGAAGTGCTGCAGGCAATGCGAACTCGCCAGCTCCAGTCGGATCCATACCCATCATCATTGGTTGCGGTAATGGCTGCAATCCGGTCTGTGCGAATTGTGCCTGCTGCTGTTGCTGTTGCTCCATCATTGCTCTGTTTTGGCGAGTTGTTCTTTCTTCTTCCAGTAACGGTTTGATACATATTCTACCAGCCTCAGATCGGAAATGTCGACCCAAGGCGTCGGCTCTGGCAAATCGTCTTCCGCAACCCCAGAACTGGCCCGGAGTAGAATGGAGTTCACCTTTGCAGACAAACTTCTTTTCACCACTGTGAAGACCTTCATGGCGCTTGCGATCATGCTGTCTGGCAAATGCCTTCCCGCATACGGTACATACAAAAGGCCTCTCATCAGTGTGTGTTCGCAGGTGCGAACGTAGGTTATATGCTCGGGTGAAACGTTTGGGGCAGAGGTTGCATTGAAAGGTAGCCGGGTGTTTCTGGACCCTCGTGCTTGTTCCGGAAGGAGTAGCGTTTGGTCTGCCAGGGTCCGCCAAGTCCAAAATGTAATCACGAGATTGACCCATGGACGAGGTCGATGCTCGTCGATTTTTCTCAATTCTGCCAGATGCGACACCAGGGCCAGGAGACGATTCCCGTGAGAGAGATCGACTGCCTCTTTCAGGGGATCTAGCCACCGACAGGGTGTTGGTTGCGCTAAGTCCAGGCGAGCCGGAACGTGACAAAGGTCTACTGAAAGTGACATCGGATTGACTCCTACTGCGGCCTCCTGAAGACATTGTTAGCTTTCACAATTGCACCAACATGACATCAGACTCACTGCTCCCGGTTGGCGGACTCAGGGCACCTTCGGTACCCTCGCCCTGAGGTCCAAAACTTTGTTGTCGCGAAACGGGTGCTGGCTCGATATTTATGGTCGGAGGCGCATATTGATCAGCCCGACCAATGTCGGAAACCACGGAAGTGTTCCGCAAATGGTTGGTCGGAACGGTTGGTGGGTATGCTGTGCTTTGTGTGGTGTATACATCCGGGATAGGGATGCCCATCGGTTGACTAAGAGTCATGTCTTGATTCAATCCTAGCCCTTGTTGGCTCGCATCCATATGCGGAAGTAGTCTGGGGGAACGATAAGAGGCATGTTCACCACTGAGACTGAAACCCTCCATGCCAAACGCATTGCTGGTATCCGGCTGCGCGGATAGGAATGGAGAATGACCCAGGTCGGATGGCTCGTTCAGTTCGGCATGTGCAAGATATGGAGAATGCGAAGCGGATGATATTTCGGAGTGATCTGATGGTGCTCTTCGATGTTGCTGGAAATTGATGCCGTCATAGCTATCTCCGTACGCACTTGACGGATCCAGTGAAGCATGTCTTGAATGCTGTGGTGTGTAAAACTGGCCATTCGTCGACGCGGGCGATGGAGGCTGAGATGATAGAGTCACAGGCGGTTGCAGACCAGGCGATTGACCATCTTGTGGGGACGAGACTTTGCTCAATTCTGCGGGATTGATGTTGGTTTGTGGATTCATGTCGTATGTGTTGTTTAGGGAGTAGTTCTGGCCAAAGTCATTGGGGATGTTCTCGGCTTGGTACATGAAGTTGTTGTTGGAAAAGGTTGGGTCAAAGGTCTGACCCATGAATTGACTGTCTTGAAATGTGTTCTGGTACTGATTGGTGTTGTAGTAAGTCGTGTCTGCGGGATTCGTCTGGAGTACACTCTGTTGGTCAGAGCCAAAGAAAGGGTTGTTGAATGATTGCGAAGTGTTGAATTTGCCCGTCGTTAACGCTGCCTGTACTGAAGGATCCACGCCAGGTACTGTGGTAGGGTAGTGGTTTGGTGACGGTTGAGGACTTAAGTGCTGCGCACTCCCCCTCGAGGGAGACCTCCCCCGCGAGTTATCCATCTTTTTGAGGTAATGGCCTTCAACACGATCTGCCGGAAAGTTTTGCGGACCGCAGAAGGTAGGGCCGGAATATGGGGCGTGAGAGTCTCAGCCTAATGAGGCTCTGCAGGAACTCCCGCTTCTCGTAAACTCGTGCAGGACTCGAGATGACTCAGTTGGACTAATTCGGGAGTCTTTTCAGAGGATGCCTCGTCAATCAGCCTGTGGCGCAATGCGTTAGTGGACATGATCTGAGCGTATGAGCATGTCGGGCCAGGAACCTACTCAGCCGCGGGATGAGGCTATGCTGGAAGGAGACGGGTATAAGATGTCGCAAGTGGCCTTCAGTATTATCGCCGGATTAAAACAACATGCTGCAGGCGCTTGCGACCGTGATGCAGACCAGGTTAGGTGGTAGAGGAGCTGGCGCAAGGTGATGTTCCGAATAAGACGTTCTTGCGCAGGCTGTGATATGCGGAAGAGTTGGAGAAGAACAGTAAGTAGAGTCAGGCAATCCGGCGGAGATTGCAAGACTTGGCGATAAGGCAGCAAGATCAGGATGCGCCAATAGGTCTAAAAGCGTGCGAGTTGTTCAAAGAGTATTCTCGAGGGATAAAGGTGAAGCAATAAGTGTTGCAGCTTGCGCAAGTTGAGGTGAGAGCGATTATGATCAGTGTGGGTGAATAGAAACACAGGGACTAACCCTCACTCAATTCACTTGACAGCGTGCACCCGAACTTAGTGGGCGCCGGGATTCCTCGAGTTTAGCCTAGAGTGCATATGGTCCTTATTATATAGAGGCCCCCACTAACTCTCATTCCTTCTCTTTCAATGTTCGAATCTGGTTGCCTTTGAACTTCCTGTTTCTTCGTCATGATCAAGATTCCTCAAGGATCGACTGATCTGACTTACTAATTCGCCTTGATCTTCGAACAGCGCGTAGATAGTCCATGTTATAGGGCGAGAGACTGTAAATGGCCCAAACCCGCCGTCTAAGCCCATTTCTCGATATGCCAAATTCCGCTGCCTGAAGTCGCCTACCGTCCTTCCACCTGGCAGCGATGATTCGTCGCCTGCGTCCGGTAAGTCCAAATGGGCCCGTCAGGACTCAGGACTCAGGACTCAGGACTCAGGACTCGAGCGAGCCGAGTGCGAATCCCTCGTATAACAGTATCCAGTGCCACAATCACCCCTCGCCTAGCATGGTTGACCAAAGGACCTTTACAGATATGCAGGGATCGCTGTACCAAGCTATGACATACCCTGCAAGCGGAATCGCATGACGTCTGGAGATCTCTGATGGACAACATCTCAGGCACCACAATAGCCTTTTTAACAAACTAGCAACGTGGCTGTGCAAGTGCATTGTGCCTGAGACGCGTGAGCACAACGCTAGAAACAACTTGGAACATTGGGTGCAAGGCATCCATCATTTCGTGGAATTCATCGGACAAGTCTTGTGTTCTCATTACTCCTAGCCTCAATTACCTCTCGTCTCAACTCTGCTGTGTCTCTCCTCGTGATCTTACAGAACCACGGTGGCTGAGAGGTACGACTTGCCTTCCCGAGCGAAATAGTTCCCAACCCATTCAGCCATTGCCTTTTGTTCCTTTAGATCCGTTTTGGTGGCCCGCGTGCTGCGTAGCCTATTTCTCTGTGGCATATGCAAAGTCTTGTGTGAACGCCGTGCTCCATGCTGCAGATGCTTCCATATAACACCATCGGGCTGACCCTGTCCACTCGCAAACGCCACCACACCTGTAGGCTTCGTCGACTAAAAGCGATCGTGACTCGTCAAAGGATGATCGACTTCCCGTGGCTTCGCGTTTGTTTTGAATTGTGCAATTGAGTTTGTAACGCGCCAATTGAAGACCTGGGGAGACGACATCGAATAGTGAAGAATAATTGTATGCGAGCGGTGGCTATTGCCTCGCCGCTGTTGGTGCAGGTTCGGGCGACCGACCAGTTGACAAACCGTCCATATTCACATTTCAAGCTCCACGACCTGAGTAGAAAATTGTATAATCAAACAATATCGAGACAGCTGGAGAACGATCAACCTGCAAAGTCAAGGTCAGCGACGTTCACCCTGCGGGATCTTCGAGATATACGTACCACAACAGAGTACCTTCATCATCTTTTGGAAGAAGCTTTGGTGTTGTTCCTGTTGCTGAGGACGGCCCTGGTTGTTCTGCAAAGCTCCGGCTGCTGGACTTGTCCTGGTTTGTTGACCCACCAAATTGGCATTGCTGCTTTGATATTGAGCCTGTGTGCTTGCTGGAGGCGTCATGTCAAGTTGACCGGCCAGACCACTGCTCCTCTTCGGCAGGTTGCCCCCGGCGGCGCCGCTTGTGCGATCTCGAGCGCTCTTCCCCAAGGCTGCCACTCCTGGTTTCGCTGGCGACCCTGGGGGCGGGGGCTGCGCTGCGTTTAAACGGTCCGCCGAAAGTGGTCCTCGGTCACGCGATGGCCGCTGTACTCCGTCTTGACGCATGGCGGATGCGCCATGTAGGGCGCGGGCTGATGCGTCCGCCGGAGGATTGACATTGTGCAGGTGGGCCGCGGATGGGTGTTGCTTCATGGCTTCCCAGCCACGACCGCCATTCAACTTCATCCAATCATATTCGCCGTCTTCCACCTCTCCCGTGTTCTTGAGCGCTTGAGTGAACAAATCTCGCAAGAAGTCATAGTCCGGAGTGTCTTCGAATCCAAGGTTTCGGACGTAGCTCAAATATTTGTTAAACTCCTCTGTGGTACATGTTAGCACGTTGACCCCATTTTATTACGTGAGGGGTTTCAAGGGCGTACCAGGGAAGCCTTCGCACAGATCTTTGATTGCTGTGGTCTGTTTCTTCTCGCCAATCTTCTCGTATTTCTGTTTGTTTGTTGCGGCCTTCAGACCTTGCCATGGCAGTCCGCCTCTCAAAAAGTACATGAAAACATGTCCGAGAGCCTCCAGATCGTCGCGTCTTGACTGTTCTCGTCCCAAGTGCGTATTGATACTCATATAACGTGCTGTACCAGACAGGGATTTTCGTTCGCGATAAGGAATGTGTTGCTTCGTTTTGGGGTCTCGGTATTGTTTGGCCATGCCAAAATCTACCACGTGAATGACATTCGCAGCTTTGGTACCGGGTCTGCCGATGAGGAAATTGTCGGGTTTGATATCACGGTAGATCAAATTCTTCTCGTGTATTGTTTGCACCCTGGACAGCTGCAATTCGTTAGTACGGGAGGCGCGGCAGCTGAAAACTGAAGACATGCCATTTGTTTTGCAACCATGACCACTGTTTTGATGGAAAAACGCCTGTTGCAATGATCGAAAAGATCCTCCAAGCTTGGGCCCAGAAGATCTATCACCAGAATGTTGTGCAGGCCTTCTTGTCCAAAATAGTACACATTGGGTATTCCAGCTACGTCTTGTCAGCATTCGCTCTCCTGGTAGGTATCGCCGTGTCAAGTACTCACGGCACCCGACCAAGATCTTGTATGTCCGGTATTCGTCCCGAAGTTGTGGAGCATCGCTCTTCCTCGGTTCCTATTGTTTCTATGAGATGCCGCAAACGGAGAAAGCGCCCAGCAGAAGAGCTCACAAATTTGATAGCGACTTGTTGATTGTTGAGCAGATTGGTGCCCTCGAAGATAACGCCGAATGATCCTTCCCCTATTTTCTTGCCCACGCGGTAGTGTACTCCGACGACGTTGGAAGATGCGGAGGCCATGGTTCAGACTGTAGCACAGAGTGCCAGAGAGGAAGAGAGGGCGATTAAGCGAGCAAGCGACTCGTCGAGTTGGAGGTATCGGTGGAAGCAAAGGCGTCCGGAGTTGATGCGAGGCGTTTCACCTCCGCAACGGCGGTGACTAGATGAGCATCGTCAGTACTCCGAACACAGATGCAGACCAGCTCGCTCAGGAGTGCAGAAGAGAGACAAACCTCTATCACAACGTGACACGAGTACAAAGCATCCAGGTTGTTAGATGTAGAGAGGTATGACTAGGTGGCAGACGTCGGCAAGAACGCCAGTTGTTGTCCAAAAAGGTTTGAGTTGGAGAGCTCCTGCCAAGGACAACCCGCCCAAAGTCTGCCCGGAGACGCCTTCAGCACAGACTGCAACCACTTATCGGCCCCCACATGCGACACTAACCAGATGGGCGGTCCAGCGAGGCTGATGCAGATGCAATTGAGCAAAAGAAACGAGGTCGTATGATATGGAAAAGATTCTTTTGTCCGGCAGCTATGTAGAAGTCTTGGATACCGAGAGAATAAGAAGTCTGAACATGGACCTAGTCAGGTACCTTTCGACTTGCGGTAAAGGGCCGCAGAACCTTTGTCGCCCCAGTCACGCAGTCTCGCCCTTCCCAGTGGAGCGCCGCTTGGTCGGTCGGGGTCGTAGTCCTGCTACCAAAGGGGAATGGAAGAGTAGGCGAGACCCTAAAGATGGTGAATCCAGAGGGAAAATCTGATTGTCACACCGCCGATCTTCCAGGCTAGACTTGCATTTCTCTCACAATAAGTTAGCGCTAACCATCGACTAAGAAGCAATTACAGTACCATAGTACATACTGTCAAGGTTAAAAAAATCCATTGGTACTGTGCGACCAACAGTACGGAGTACCATACAGTGATTGATGATATAGATTGTTCTCATTTCAAGAACACCCGTGAACCAGTGATTCAGCGATGACAGAGGCTGGACGAGCGAAGTTGGGTCTTCCTCAGCCATTCACATACCTAGTACCCTTTTGAGGCTCACCGTCTTCCTGGTTACCGTCGTCCAGGCGGGGCTTACTCCATACAGTGGGACATTGTCAACGAGGGCGAAAGCTTAGCCCATTGGCTTCTGCTTCGGTACTGCCTGGATTTGTGCCGTGTCTCCGGTTTCAAGGATCACGACGAGTACCTCAACGAGCCGCACCCATTGCTACAAGACATCAACAGGATGGCGACGAATGCGGACGAGTAATCAGTTGAAGCAGCACAGGTGTTTATGATCAAGATACTATGTACCTGGATACAAAATCGATTCCTGGACCTGCCAGCGAACCGGCTTCGCTGATGATCTTCCATTGCTCTTGTTCCTCAATTTACCCCAGACAATTATCTGCAGGCACCAGCCGCATGAGCACCCAGCATGCAGCCCAATGTCCCCACAGTATCACACCGCACTTTCTGGCTGGTCCTTTCCTCATTGCTGCTACTGGCCATGACTTCTTGAAAGCTACCAAGCACCGGTCATCAGCAATTCTTTGGTTTATTGTGGAGATTTCGGCACGATCTTGTTGTACAACTTGTACTGCTACTTTCTGGTTTGGAAAAGTGACGGGCTTGCCTCTCCTTTCGCACGCGTCGTATCATTTCCACGCGAAGCTCGTGTCACATTTCGAAGTGGTGAAGGGGTTGCTGGCTGGAAAGGACCGGTCATATCGCGTGACATGGCAGCTGGCAAGCTCGACTGACTTTCTTTCTTGAAAAGCCCAGCGAATTGCAGACTCCTGCTCTTTTTGACCCTTTTCTCAGCGCCGGTGGTTAGTTTTTGATTGACATCACGTTCGAATAATGGGCTGGGTGCCAGGTGGTTTGATATCTCAGTCGGCTTCGTCGTTCTGGATCTGCCAAACAATGCACTTCGGCTTTTCTTCAACACGCCGGCCCGTTGCTCGTCTGATGACTTGATATCCATCACACCGTTCCGAGTTGGAGTCACATAGAGGGCTTTGGGTCGAGGAGCAACCGTACGACGTTGTCCAGTAGAAGGAGGTGGCGTATCGCGGGAGTATTGGCTCAGGTCGCCCAGAGACGGAGAATAGATCGGTGCATCATCGAGGGAAATGCTATCATCCTCCTCCTCGCCATGCTTGCTTGGTGGTGGTCTCTGTTGACTGGAAGATATGTTGCTGGTGCCTGGCCCTTCGTGGTTTTCTTGATGTGGAGGAGGTGGAGGTGAGGCCATAGTGTCTGGCGGATGCATCCTCAAAGGATTGACTCCCCGTGGGTATCCCGGCACAGGCTTTGCTGCTACATACGCGTTCTGCTCTGTGGAGAACACCACTGGACTCGGGGCACTCTTTCGAGCAGCGAGATCCAGCTGAGCTGCTCTGCCAGGCGCCGGTGGTGGAGGAGGACCTGGAGGCAAGGGCGCGGGTGGAAGTCTAGTCGGTATCGGTGGCGGTGGTGATGGCTGAGGTGCAAAGGAGGTTGTTTCTCGTCGCTTCATCTCACTTCGATTGGCGTCGCCGCTGTCACCCTTCTTTGAGAGGAAGAGAGATGACTTAGAGCGCAAGAAGGACATGTTGCGTGGCACAGGTGTCTGAAAATCCAACTTGTCAACCGCGCTCGCGAACGACTTGGTAAGTGAGCCGAAGCCAAATTCCTCGTTGTCGCTTTGTTCAGAATCATTGACCCGCGTGTTTGTGAATTCGCCGAGAAGAGGCGGGTCTTCCTGTGTCCCTGCTAATTCTTTGCTGCTATTCCATGACTTGCGTCGAACATGGCCATTCCCCGTAAGTTCTTTAACCTTGTCTTTGTACAGGTTGAGAGTCTCCGTCCGACGCCTTCTGAGGGCTCCTTCTGCGACGACAGGATCGACGCTTTCATCAGTGCTCTCCAGGATGGCATCAAACATTGGTGGCTGTGCTTTTCGTTCAGCATACTTGTGAGGGATACTTCTGACCTTGCTTCTCAGAACGTTCCGGAATTGCGATATTCGACTTCTTGCAGGTTGAGTCCTGTCCCGTGTGCTCCTTGCACTCACCGCTGCCTGCTGAGTCTGCGCGTCCTGATTGTCTGGTTCTTCATGTAGGGAGACTTCAGTGTTCTTTGGGAGTTCAGACGATGCCTGCGAGTTACTTTGTGGAACACCCGTCGATTGTGAAAAAGACAGACCGGATAATTCTCCACAATGAACCCCTTCAGCATGAGCAACTCCGACATTGGTAGTACTGGTGAGTACGGGAGCAGAGATTACACTTCGAGTAACGGTCGAAGTGCTGGCCGCCTTGGGAAGTTGGACAGAAAGACTCCGGGAGAAATCTGTCCGTGAAGAATGCTGACCAAAAGGCAGCCATGACAGAGGGCGGAAGCGACGTGCTCGTCGGTTACAAGCAGTCGCTGCTCCGACAGATTCTTCTACCACGCCTGGCAGTGCAGCTCCGTTGTGGTTCTCCTGGCTCTCTGGAAAAAGTTGTGCAAAGGATTCAGCAGCATTGTTTGTAGTGTGGACAGGCTCTGGTGATGCCGATGGAGGCTGATTGTGAGGGTCACATCGATACGAAAGACTAGACTCTGCCCGGCCATTCAAGTCGTCTCTAGAAGGGATACGAGCTGCTACATATTTGGTCAGCTCCATCACACCCGATCTGGGAGCGCCACTCACCTTGTCGTGATCCGGCTCGACTCAAAGATCGGATAGTGTCGAAAGAGAAGATGGAGAAGGAGTTTTTACTCCGTGAACGTGTATGTGAAGCCATGGCATCCGACGATCACTCGATTGCTTCGAGGCCCCCATTCATTCGCTGAGGACCTGCAGATGCAGCGAAAAGCAGGATGGTAGGAATTGAAAAGGATATCCGAGCAAGGCAATGAACTCGGGTCTTGGGCAGAAGGGGCGCAGGTGTATTCTTGAACAGAAGCGCAGGAAGGAAACTCTCAGCGTGGATGGCAGAGAATGTCGATATAGGCAGGAACACCGAAGGCGGCGAGACACAATTACAAGACAGGGACAGCATCACCTTCATCGGATTGATTCTCATCATCAAACTGCACACCTGCTCCCGACACCCAAGATGTCCTCATTTTTCTGGTTCAAGAAGCCCTCAATATCTTACAGTCTAAGCCTCGCCTTTCAAGCTGCGACAGTGGCAGTCCACCTCTTCTTTGAAGGTCAAACAGCTGCTCGTGCATGTTCTTAAAATGTCCAAATCCATCCCAAACACAAGATGAATCTGTATTGGATAGCGTGGACACGACTCTGATGTCTTGAAGAGAGGTGTCTAGCACTACGGGACAAAGAAGGGGCAGATATCTGCTGACAAAAGTCATAACAACCTCGGCAAACAGCGGTCGTTAGGGATCCAGTTTCGGTATAAGTTGCTACATTCGTTGTGGGATTCCCTCCACAACTGACATCAAAGCACGGTCTCACGCTACATTATCTAGGACCGTCTCGCCCCGCAAGCCCATCTGTATCTTGAGTATCAATACTATTTCCCAACTTCTTTGTCCACTTTGTCTGCCCCGACAGCTCCTGAGCCTCTAGCTGGATTCCTCGAGTTGCCATAGTATTAGCAGAAGTTGTTTCATCCACCGCCCCGAAATGCCGTACAGTCTCAAAGGCCGTAACGTCCTAGTCACCGGAGGATCCCGGTAAGTGATGATTGAATTGAGGCATTTCAAGGCTAATCCTTGGTGACATAGAGGACTTGGTGCTTTGATTTCCGAGAAGTTTGCTGCTGAAGGGTCAAATGTCGTGGTAAACTACGTGAGCAGCAAAGACAGAGCTGAAGAGGTTGCCGAAAAATGTAAAGGCCTTGGAGCCAAGGTTGCAGTCGTCCAAGCAGTATGCATCCAAGCCTCTGTGTTGCAAGGTTGCCTCCGTGTTGCTGACAACGAGGACCCCAGGACATTGGGGTTGCAGCTGATTGCATTCGCTTGGTCAAAGAGACCGTAGAACATCTTGGAGGTCTTGATGTTATCGTCAATAACGCCGGATGGACAAGATTTGTCAAGTTCGGTGACATTTATGCTTTCGAGCACGAGGAATGGGACAAGGTATTCTCCGCACAGACTTCCGTTGGAATCTCACTGACTCTGCCAGTGCTGGCACACAAACGTTATGTCTCACTTGGTACTAATGCAAGAGGCCCTGCCAATCTTCAAGTCGAACCCCGATGGTGGTGTCTTTCTGCTCTCCTCCTCAATTGCAGTAAGTGATGTCCTCTGGAAGCAAGGAATCTGTGCTCACCCATAGCAGGGAATAAGCTTGAGTGGAAGTAGCATGGCCTATGCAGTCACTAAAGCTGCAGGAATCCATCTTATGAAATGTCTTGCATCGACACAAGGCCCGAAAGTCAGAGTCAACGCCGTTTTGCCGGGGCTTCTCTTGACAGAATGGGTACGTTTTTGGCTCTCCCTGTGCCATTTGATCCTTGATGCTGACGGTCGGCAAAGGGTCTCAGATATAGCGAAGAAAAAATCCAAGCGGCCAAGGACAAGGCTGTGTTGAAGCAGGAGGTTCGTTGTTCAACGTCAACATCCGCCTTCGCATACGCTAATCGCGTTCTCAGACTCTGCTCGATGATTGTGCTGACATATTTATATCAACGGCCAAGAACACATCAGTGACGGGCCAACCTATCGTCGTTGGTAGGTCGTAAAGCCCTTGGCGAGTGGCTTGTCACTGACCGCAGTAGATTCCGGATTCACCCTAGGGTCTTGAGAGATCATGTTGTCATGGGCCGTCGAGATTTGTCGAACTCAGTGGGTGCCAAAAGCAGTATAATTGGTGCTCTCCCACTGTTGCTGGTGGCCTGAACAGTCCAGCACGTGCCGCTGCGGCAGTACCTGGAGCGGCCTTCATCGAAGCAAATGTGACTGTTGGTAGGACAATCTGGTGGTTGGCCATGTTGGGACCAGAGGCGTTGACGATGAGAGGTCGTGTACTTTGATGTATATCCGAATGCTTTTCAACGATAGCATAAGGTATGGCAGGTGGGATGGATTCAACCTTTTTCTTGACTTCATTGGGCACATCTCCAACCCTGGCGGCTCTCATGTCTTTTCCACAATTGATACGTATTGAACGACCCGAAACATCGTCATGCTGCGCAAAAATGAATAGTGGCCCAATGGCACGGTTACGCCTGAGTATCTCCGCTTGTGTCTGAGTCGCGAAATCAATGGCTTGCATTCGCGAAGTTATCTTGGGAGCTGTCATAATAGCTGGCGACTTGTCCTCTCGAGATTGAACAGGCTTATGCGGAGGCATGTAGAGACGGTTACGAATAGCATTGACGAGCATTTCCGCACCAACAGGGGCTAGCATGTCGGTCAATTCCTTGGTTGTGATAGTCTCGGGATTGGGGATCTTGAGGCCAGGCGCTGGTGTCTGATCGAGAATGAATCCCTGATCAAACTTCGAGGGATGCAAAGTCTGTAGCGTGACTCCGGTGGTAGGACGGCCATGGATGATCGTCCATTGAATAGGGGCAGCTCCGGGTAGATCTGGAAGTAAAGAAGGATGAATGTTGAGACCATTGTATGTTGACTGGTTGAGTATGTGAGGTGGTATCAGCCGCCCAAATGAAACAGCAATGATCAGATTGATGCATGGATTGTTGGTCTGGCGATACTCAGGAGGATTCCATCCAGAGAATGTGTCGATTTGATGGATTGGGAGTTCGAGGCCAATCGCTGTTGCCTTGATGGGAGGAGATTTCAAGACTTTCAAGCCTCGTCCTGTCCTTTTATCTGTTCGCGTCACGACATCGATCGAAAGGACATTGCTTTCAGCTGTTCTTGAGTATCTGTATAATGCTTCAAGCGAGGCTGAACTGAACAAGTCGGATCCGCAGAAGAGGATCCGTAAGGGCTCGCCGACATCTTTCTGAGCAGAGAAATGACGTTTTGCAGGACACCGCAAGAGCCTCCATGGTCGTGCTGTCGTGCTCAAGCCTGCGGACAGCCGCAGGATATTCTGCCTCATGAGCTTCTTACGACGTCTAAGTGCAATGAAGTTGCAGAGAAAAGCGACATTTGCAGCAAATAGAATGCCGCATCGGGGAAATTGAGCAACACTGCGAAACAACAGTAATCCATACCTATTGCCGTCATGCCTCGGTTTGGCGGGGAACAGGTTCATCGCGCGGATGACCATAATCATCCTGATTCTGTACATATTCTGCAACACTACGATTGATTTTGCGGCGCCCCTTTAGCGCCGCCTGAAATCGCGAGAGATCACATTAACACGTTTTGCCTGACTTTGGGCCTGCTTCCTGTGACATCTCCTGGAGACAACTCTAGGTCTCGATACATTATGGCTGAGCCACCGCAGCCAACACCATCAAAGTCCGAAGCTATTTCATCCATTACTGGACCATCAGCCGGGAAAGCTCACGATGCAGCGGTCGAAGACGACTCGGACCCCGACTTTGACGATCTAGATGGTATTGTCTCTATATGTTGCAACGATATCCTACTTACACTTTATTCCAGACGTCCTAGACCAATTCTCAGCCGCAACAACCGCTCAATCCAACTCACAATCGGAACCTACTCCCTCATCCTCAGGGCCAGGCAGACCCACGACAAGTGATGCATCAGCACTCCCACCAGACATTCCCATACCAGAGGGTCCCAAGCCCTCGGAGAGCGAAGATGAATTCATGGCGCGGCTCACGGCCGAAATGTCCAGTGTCATGTCCAAGATGTCCGCTGATCCCGCCGCCTCAGCCGCAAACCCCGAAGACATCGCTAAGATGGGCCGGGAGCTGGAAGAATTTACGCAAAAGATGGAAGCGGAGGGTATCAAGCCGGAAGACCTGCTCAAAGCGATACTAGGCGAAGAAACGGGCACGCACGTGGGCGAAATTGCAGAACATGAACGCGAGCGACGCGAGAGCGAGGCCAACTCGAAATCGCGCAGTCCCGAGAAATCCAGATCAAACCCCGAAGAGCCATCGTCATCCAAAGGCAAGCCCTCGTCCTTCGAGGACACGATCCGCAAGACGATGGCGCGCATGGAGTCCTCGTCAGCAGCCGCAACCAGTGCCACCGCAGAGGCCGCCAAGTCTGAAGAGGACATGCTGGCCGAGATGTTGCGGGCATTGGATTCTGAATCGGCAGGCTCCGACGGCGATTTGTCCAAGATGTTCCTCGGCATGATGGAGCAATTGACCAACAGGGACATGCTGTATGAACCGATGAAGGAACTCAATACCAAGTATCCGGAGTGGCTAGAACAGAACAAGCCGAAACTACCCAAAGACGAGTACGAGCGGTTCACTAGACAGCAAGCCATCGTGAAAGACATTGTTGGCAAGTTTGAGGAAAAGAATTACAGCGACGAGGATTCCAAATGCAGGGAATTTGTATGGGAGAAGATGCAGGCGATGCAGACCGAGGGTGCACCGCCGGAGGATCTGGTTGCGAATCCGTTCCCTGGAATGGGAGGATTGCCAGATCTGGGTGGAGGCGAGGGGCCGGAAGAAGGGTGTCCGACGCAATGAATGGATTACGGTGTTTAGTACGTGAACCAAGATTGACACCAAGGGCCAGTGATAGGATGGAGACATCTCACCGCTTGCGTCTTCCGAAGTGTCTGCGGAGTGGATGATGAAGGATACGACTCGGTCTACACTCGATGGACGCTCACGGACATCTATACCTGGAAGATGCCATTCAAGTGACATGCGGTGCTGGAACGTCATATACACACACACACACACACACACACACACACACAGGGGTCCAGAGCCACGAGCGGATCTCTGGTGATGGTATAGAGTATCTTCTGCATATCTCTTATGGAGCGGAACACATACAGTTGCAACGAATGATGAAAAGGAGAGGAGAGGACGAGGTACAAGTCACATATTCACGATGTTGAATGTCATCTTCCATACAACATGCGGTACAATTCAAGCAGTGAACGCTGTACAAATGGGTATCAAGCCCATGGAGGCCGGCTGTCGTAATCTCCATAATACGAACGTACACCGTCAGCCCAATCTAATGTCGATAGTCTAGACATGCCTGCCTTTCCACATCATGCCAGCTTCAGTATCAAACAAACCCCGATGGTCGTCGCAGACTCGTTCACGAAAGATCCATCCCAGCCTCATACTCATGCACGGCTTCTGTAGGTCTCGTATCTGTACTCACACCCGTCTCTTCAGCGAGCAAAATTTCCCGAAACACCTCATCATACTCATCATCCTCATCGACCAGAAATTCATTGCCATCCGGATATTGATACGCAAGAGCATCCAGCTCAGGGTCGAACTCTTCCGTGGGTGACATCTCAGCCTGAGCATCCTCTCCTTCATCCTCAATATCCATCTCCAGGTTCGGATCGATCGCGAGGTCACCTTCGACGACAGCCCGCCTCCTCATCTCATCTTCCCACATTCTTCTCTCTCTCACAAAGTCCATCCGCAGGACCTGCTCGCCCATACCATCGCTCCGTTCATCATCTCGACGGCGTCTTATCCGGTCGAGGAACTGGCTCTTCTTTTTCTCCCTCGCAGAAACGGAATGTCTGGCTAATGCCGCCGCAGGACTATTGCTGCGTGCTCGTGACTCCCATTGTCCTTGTACATGTTGCTGTTGCTGTGATTGTGTCTGTTGTCCGAACACAAAAGTTGTGTCTGAAATGGTCTTCGAACCCGACGCGTATGGTGTCTGACCTGAGTGAGGTGGCGTCATGAGCAAGTCCGGTCCAGCATTCCCAAAGGCGAATCCTTTCATACTGCCTGGCGTTTGTTCCACAGGGCGGGCATTCTCATCCGCATATTTCCCCAACGGCGACGATCCTAACGGCGAAGAACCTCCATTCTCCTTGTTTCCCGTCGTCTTCGGCGTCGGTATCGGCATGGGCATGAGATTCGCATTCCTCCAGGTCCGGAGCGGAGAGGGTGTCTGCGGCGCGTGAGAAGTGAAATGAGGTCGAGTCGCGGCGAAGAAAGTGCTCGGCTGTGGTGGCGATGGCAGGGAGAACATTGCTCGCCGATGTTCTCAATCCGTGGAACAAGCCGATTCGAATCAGTTGATAGTACTATCTCAGTCTGATGAATGTCGGAATAGCGCAATTGCAGTCAATTTAGCAACGATAGTAGCAATCAAAAGGGTCGACCGTGCACGGACGCGCAGACGAGAAGGGCCAGCAAAAGGACGCGACCTGACACCCCCACAAGCCACTCACGTGCCACTACACTTAGATGGGGTGCACGTTCCAAAGGACACGCACGCCAGCACTGCCACATCAACATGCCGATTGCTGACAGGTATTCCCTTGCGCGACCCGGACATTTCCATCCATGCATCAAATACGAGCAGGGCCTCGTGGCGTAGATCAGGCACACGCACGATCAGGCCAGCTTCTCATGCAGGTACAAAGGATGAAACGAGGAACCTTTTTCGGTAACGTAAGGAGATAGACAATTAATTTTGTATCTAGCCAATTCAACCTCCACTGCCAATTGCTGCTATGTACAACTCAGACAATATCAGGCATTTAGCCCTGAAGGTGCGCTTGCACGGATGATTTTCAAGTAGACTGAACAACAACTTGCACCACGATTGTGCCATTTTCCTAGAATAAGCGCCTGCTGAAGGACCAACTTCGTCCTCTTTTCCGCTAATTCGAAACAAATGTCGTGACCATCATCAAACGGCTCTGTAGCCAGCCTTAAAAGTTGGATGCCGTATTGACTGGTCCAGGATTGTGGTATTGATCCAGAGTGGAACGGAAAGGAGTGTTATCCGATCCCGCAGTTGCGCTGAGCTTATCTTGGTTGACATTTGGGTCGTAGAGATCATCATCGTGAGGATTCTTCTTCTTGCCCCAGACACGCCAAGCAGTGTAGGCCAAGCCAGCGAGAAGCAGAGCACCACCAACACCACCAACCACACCACCGATTGTTGCTTTGGCTGTGCTACTGAGTCCAGAGCTGCCACTGCTGCTGCTACCGCTTGTCAAGGAAGCCGGGTCGACGCTGGTGGTTTGTGCAACAACACTGCTGCTGGTGCTGGTGATATGAATAGTGCTTCCAGCACTAACACTTGTAATTGTGGTAGTAACGGCTTCAGTGGAACTGGTTGTGATGAGTGTTTTCGAAGCAGAGACTGTGCTGGTAGTAACAGTAGATACTGACGCCGATGTATCTGTTGTACTGCCTGCAGAGTTTGTGGGTGTAAAGGTCGAAGTAGTCTCAACGATGACAACCGATTGGGAGGAGCTACTGGCACTTTGCGTGACTGTGGAAGACTCAAGGACGACCGAGCTACTCTCCGAGGTCGTCGGGGTGGTTACGACCACGGTGGTGGAGGATGCAGGGACACTGGTTGTTGTTGGTGAGGTACTGGAACTGGTGACAGAGTCAGAGGCGCCAGTAGATAATTGAACGCTTTGACGCTTGAAGAGGGCAATGGCGTCGTCAAGGGCGTCGGCTGAGACTGCTGAAATGAACAGCAGTCCAAATAGGAGAACGATGAGTTTCTGCATCGTGATTGGCATTCGAGGGGGTTTATGTGTTCGACGTGGAGGAGAAAGCGCAGTTTGTGCTGAAACGAGACGTGTAATACAGCGAGCGTCGAGAATAGGTGAGCGTCGAAACGAAGGGCCGACTTCGCGTGCTCGACCGGCGACGGTTTCGAGTCGAGTAATGAAGTCTGGTTGCTGAAAGAAGAGGAAGATGATAAGACAAACAAGACAAAAAGAGAAGCGAGAAGGGGAAGAAGATTGGTAAAGGTTGAGATTGAGATCTGCTGAGAGAAGGAACAGAGAAGACAGAAAGGAAGGGCACGGGCCTTTTTCTCGGCCGCCTTTGTTTGATCTCTAATTGATTAAAAGTACGGAGACGTTTGGGCGTGTGGTGTGAGTGAATTTCGGGGGCATGGCTCGTACCTCGTAGGGTTGAAAAGTGAAATGGCCCTGCAGGTGCCAGGCCGCTGCTTTGGCGCCAATTCTTTCCGGAAGGGCCATGGCGTTACTGGGTTTGTTTCACCTGGCGAATCGCTTAAACCAGTCGTGCTCGTACCTACAGTAATGAAAATGCCGCGTGTGGCCGCCAGTGCAACACTGATGTATCACCGCATACTCCCGTACACTTTATTAATCACTTCGCTGCAATACAACGCTGCACAACTTTTCTATACAGTACAAACTCAACTACGCTCCCGCCATGATCATTTCTGCCTTCTAGTTGCCAAACACTTCTCGTATATGCTGTACACAGACAAGCCACACAGAATCCAGGCAGGTAATTTATGCAAGTGGCGATCCTCTCCACGGAGTCCACTTAGATACCTACCTAGATACCCAGGAGGGAGGATCGTCTCGCAAACAACCGCGATTGATAATCTGTATCTTGGTCATCCCACCAAGCAGCTAAGCCTCACCAGGTAAGATGCATGCAGACATCATCTTATCATTGCTGTAAGCTGGAACCTCCCGGGTATTCCATATGTATCATTACTCAGATCGTGCTCGTTGTACATACAATCTTATCCCGATCTTCGCCGCCCGGACTACTACTCTAACCGGTAGTCCTGCACATGATCCTGATTCTGTATACTCAGCACAGCATTTTCAGTAGAACAGGCTCGTGTCACCTCCGACAAGTCTGGAACAGAGACTTGTGTGACTTGCCAGCCCGAACGCCATACAGTAACGCGCTTCAACTCGAAATCGGAATTCAAATACCCTCAGATTCAAGCCACGGCCTCTTCTTCGCTATTTTCCCCTTTGACTGCATACATGTGGAATTGCACAAAGATAAGCACATCCTCTGCCATCGTCCCTAGACTCCCAATGAGCCAAGGAAGGTTCTTTATCACATAGTCGTGCTGTGTCGAGTGAAAGAGAATGCCCGCGCCATAGGTGAGGTTGCCCATAAGTGACAGGATGAAAAACAGAAGCGATAGACCTGCAGTCAAATTAGTATACTCTCCAACAGATACATTCAGAGACTGAACGTACCTTCGCAGCTCTTATCTCTGGCATTCTTGACAATCTGCGGGATTCTGGCCCCAAGGTATGCTACAGCACTTGCATAGCCCAGAATCTGCGCTCCAGCAGCCATCTTCTCTTCTTCAGTATCAGTCGACGTAGGCGAGGGCTTCCACGCGCCAGACTCGTATGCAAGAGCCCAGCCGGCGGCGCCGATAATGACAATAGCCAACACGCTCATGGCGTTCTTGAACCACAACCTAGTCCCAGATGCGTCACTCTCTTCAAGTATCTTCGCAAGATGGTCATCCGGGCCAGCGGTGCTCGTTCTCCTCCTCCCACTTGCGTTGCTCTTGCGTCGGTCTCCCGATCCCGGGATCGTGATGCTGTTGGTCCTTGTGCGCCTGAGGAGCGGTTCTTCCTCCGTCTCTTCTGCTGTTGACGACTGGCTCTCCAAAAGAGCCTTTCCTTCCCGCCTCTTATTGACGATACCATAGTACAGACATTGTCCGATCAGCACTCCGTCAGCGATGCAGAAGTATACACCTATCGCAACCACCACTGGCACCAGTCCGGCCCATAGCGCTCCGGCGAGGTTGCAGATATCGCCGATAAACCAGACGAAGATGAAAGCAAGACTGATAGCTTCGGCCGAGTGGTTGCGGTAGTTCTCGACCAATTGAGGAACTAGCAGGAAGATCCAGCACGCGAGCGAGACTGAGCCGAAGATGCCAGACAAAGCTTCGCGCGTGGTTAGATGGACGGAGGTGTCCGAGTACAGACTGGAGAGTAGGGATGCCATGGCACGGCGAGAGAAATCAGACAGGCCAACCTCACATATTTATCAAGGAAAGAATCTTGATTTACACGTCAAGGAGTGAGTGCTTTATCGGCAAAAAGCCCTGAGCTGAAAGAATTTGGGTGGAGGTTTTCCTTGCTTTGCATGCGTCACATCCCTGTACTTTTTCCCCGAGGCCCCAGTTGTGGCTTCGCTAACTTTGTAGGATGCATGAACCTCTCTGGCTAAAGTCCACATATTATCGGTCCATTTGGCAGATACTAATTACAACTTCTTATGGTCTGAGAAGACCGCCCGGATCATCGAACAACTTCACACTTTACAGCTTTGCCGTCCTTCATGGTGAAGCGTAGAACGGTTCCTCCTTCATTGGGTCTCCGCCCCAGCCTGATCGGACATTTCAATGTGCCTGCATCTGACGTGCGACAGCTTCCTCGCCGTGATTGCTTCGCCTTTTCAGGCAACGGGAACGGCAACTCATGGACCGTAGAGCCACAACGGAGACGCAAGATTCTTGGCTCTGTCGTTCAGTCAGTATCTATCAGGGTGCACGAGGAACGTGGATACTTGCTGTTGGCCTTGGTGAGTTGGCTGATGGCTCTGGTGATGACCGCCATTTTGGTGTCGAGTATATCTGAAGTGGGGATCTTGGACTTGGGGATGGAATCAGAGTCTTCCGCAAAGACACTTGTGTTGATGCTGAGGAGTGTATATCGACCAAGATGGGCGTTGAAAACAAGCAGAGTGCCTTGTTGAACGGGGGCACTGGTGGTAAGTCGTGTGACGACAGACGGGCGTCTTGTCGCTGAGGAGGGCGTCTGAATCAACTTTGGTGCTCTGGACAGTGTTGGTACAAGTCTGATGGCAAACGCATTCAGTGCAGACAACGCTCTTATACCATTTTGCGCCCCAGGAGGTCCTCACAGCAAAAATCTCAGATGTTCAGGCAATTCAAAAAGACCCACCAACGAGGACCTGTTCGACATTTTTCTGGTACAGTGTGGTCGGTTGTTTGTTGAACCACGCCTGTTTGATCATCGTGGATGCTGCTAATGTCGTTGTGTGCTTGTTTGTAGGCATTGTTGGCATGGACGGTCTTTGTTTGATGAGTCAAGCCAGAGTCAATTAACATGGTGGGAATTTCTGGGCTTGCGGGACAACGACATTGTGGGCAGGATGTCTTGATATTATAGAGGGCTCTCTATTCTGCTACTTTAGTAATGAGCTGCAGCTTTCGTAATGAACCAGCTATCCATCGCTTCTTTTCGAAGAATGTCATCCACGGATCAACCTAACCCACTTCGCATCATGATTGGCAGTACTTTGGCCTGGAGATTCTTGTAGATATCGAGAATCCCCACCATTCCTGCCCATCTTTTCGACAAGGTGTTCAGCAAGATCAAGCAAGTGCCTGAGATCTCATGAATCCCGTTAAAGTCGACCGGCCCTTCTGCATCACCGCTCAACTCGCTCGAAAAGCTGACGACAGGAAGCCTTCCGTCAATGGCTAACAAGCAATGAGCCAATATAGTAATTGTGGCTTGATGGATGTAATGTGCTGAGATGATGGAGATCGGATACATCCCCCAGGGTGTGCCCTCGGCTCCCCGCAGAATTTTGTTATAGTACTCAATGATTTTGACAGCAGAATGATAGCTTTCACGGGGAATGCTCTCGGTGGTGGTTTGACTCAGCATGGGCTCTTTTGTCGCAACTAGTGCCCGCAGTAACAGTGGCTGAAAAAGGAAAAGAATGGACGTATCGAAGCCAATCTCGCAAGTCATGCTGCCCATACCAAGAGCGGTATCGAGGAACTGCAATTCCCGCCGCCATGATAATATCTGTTCAAGGCTTCGTTCGTACCACATGCGAGATAAATTTGGTGCCACTGCCGGCAAGTACAATTCCCGAAAGATCTCAGAGCGCAAATACGTGAGCCGGTAGTAGTGCGATGTGAGAATGACTTGGAGTGATGATGGGTCCGCAAGACTTGAATCGGCGATTGAGGCTGGATACTCGGCCGTGATAATCTCTTCTGTGAGATCGGATGGTCGACCGAGGTGTTGACCCATTGTCCGCTCGATGCAGTACAAGCCCCAAAAGATGGAACGGCGCTTCTTCTTGCTCTTTTGGTCTTCATAATCGTCGTTGGTCTCGGTGTGATAGCTTAGCTCTACACTAAGACGACAAGCAAAGTCCAGCAATTTCCAAATATCACCTTTTCTCGGATGGAAGAGCCCGAAAACTGTGAGTAGCAACAGCGCTTGAAGTGCCTCTACAGACACGTCTGAGGTGACCTCCTCGACGCATTGCAGCGCTTCGGTGTAGTACGCCATACACTCAGTGTCGTACGCTGAATGATGTCTGCCTTTGTTGGCAGAAGCAATGGCGCAAATCATAGCAATGTGGAAGAATTGGTATGCATCTTTTCCAGTAAGATATTTGATCTGTGGTCCATGATGGCGCAGATACGTGTCGATTTCCAATGCAATCTCTTCGGGATCGAAGAAGGCCACCAGTATATTTGTCGTTGACATGTACAAGTTGACCAGCATCTCGACCTCGGAGCGTGCAGGAGCTGACCTTGGCTGCAAGGGTTCTTGAACCTCCGTGCTTTGGGCGTTCAGCCAGAATTCAGGTCCGACATACTCAGGATTGTGGACCATGGAGCCGAGCTTTGCTTGAGCGTGGACGAGCACTTCCACGATAAGGGCATAAGGAGAGCTGCTGCCCAGGAACTGCCAGCAGGTTGGATTGGCATTTTCAACAATGAAATGTTTGTCAAAGGACAAGTCACTGGTATATGTGCCCCATTCGTGGAGAGGAGGCTCCAAGTGTGTTGATGCTGCGGAAGTGTTGCATTCATGTTGGGCGATATGAAAGGTAGTCGGAGGTTCGCTTGTGCCGTTGACAGTGGCTTGCACTGATCGCAGGCGGCTCAGCCGATTCAACAGTGAATGGACGTAGCTGCAACAAAATCAACACCAAACTCACAACAGCATAGACCCGCGATTGGACTCACCTTCGAGGTAGGGTCTGCTGAAGGGCATGATCGAAGAACGTGCATTCGACCTTGCCCTTCTGACACAACCGACAAGCCGGTAAATTAGTGTCACACTTCCTTCGTAGACGACGGCATCGCTGGCAAGTGGGCAGGAGACGGGTAAGATCTGCTTCGGAGATGGTCGTGTTGATGAAGTCCATGTTGTGTTTTGCAACAGAACAAGTCCGATCTGGGGTAAAGATCAATGGAGGGTGAAGAAGGACATGTGCGCTTTCAATAGCACAGCCTTGTGCGGTGATATATCTTGTGGATTTCAGCCACGAACCCTTGACATGATATACCTCTCACACTTTGCAGAAGAATTCTCGACGACTCTCTGAAAATGAAGTGAAGAGGGGACTACTCAGAACAGTGGGCGATGATGCGAGGAGCAAGATGATCGGAGCGAAAGAGAGAAAGATACGAGGGAAAAGCGTTATCGGGGGGAGACACCAGTGGAAGGTCCTGGCGGGGCAATGATACAGTTAATACCACTTTAGTATTGGGCGATAAGAAATAGGCAAAGCACCCACCAGCACCAAGCATGGCACCCTGCCTCATCCTCTTCTTGTTCAATCACAGATTACCAATTGCGATTTGTTGCATGGGCCCCATAGACAAACGATAGCCTCGATAGGGCACAGATACAGATTACAACCACAGATTGATTGCCACAGACCCTGCCACTCACTCACTCACCCCCTCCCTCAGAAAGTTAACTTACCCTTCCTACGGCTGTTCTCCGCCTTGCGACGATCGACTGAGTGACTGACTACTCCGTCCACTTTGACCTCGACTCTCTACTCCGTTACCATCACTTCGTGGCTTCGGATTACGCCTATTCCAACAACAATCAGCCACTTCAACGGTCTGTGATGTGGCAGGGTCTTTTCTAACCAATCATGGCCGAATGTCGTCGCTCTGTCCTTTCTTGCGCGCGATGTCGTCGACGCAAGATCAAATGTGATCGTGCCATTCCTTGCGGCCAATGCACCGCCGCAAAAGCAGAATGTACAGGTTACAGCTCAAAAGACCAAGATCCAAACATCCCGCGCTCCATCGTTCAGCATCTTGAGTCAGAAATCGCCAAAGTCGAAAGCGAACTCGCCCGCAATGGACATCTCGACGAACTCAATGCCTCTGACATATTGGCGGGCATGCCAACCGACGAAGGACTACCGATGGAGGAGACAGGAGTGCCCATCTTCGATGCACCCAAACTGGATGAGCCCTCTGGACCCCCACTCGACCTCTCTACGACAGCGATTAAAGACACTGTTCGGGACGAAGTGATGAGCTGTGGAGAACTGCAAGCCATGATCTTTGCCATTCTTCCAACCGGTCCAGGAGTCACAGATCTAATAGCACGGGTCCGAATGAGCTTAACCCCATCTACCGCCATCGCATCGGGTAGTCCGCGAGAAGCACGAAGAAAGTCCATCTCCCGTGGGGTCCAAGAAGTCAGCTGTGCGATGCTCAAGAGCATCCCGACCCCGATCGTCCGAAGTCTGATCAAGAAATATATGACCAGAGTTTATCCAATCTTTCCCGTCCTCCACGCGCCTTCGTTATGGCAGCAACTCGAACGCGTGGTCAAGACCTTACAGGAGCTCCCACCAAACCACCGCAGTGTCCCACCATCCTTCGATTTCCTCATCATTTATCTCATGCTCTCCACGTCCGCTACTCTTGGCAGCGCCCGAACCGGCCACGAAACCAAACACATGGTCTTCTCCAGTACATTGTTCGAAGAGGGTATCCAACATATGACAGACAAGGCCAACATCCCATCGGACCTCGCCGGCATCCAAGTGACACTCATGGTCCTGCAATACGCATCCATCAACCCACGGCTCGCAAATGTATGGATGTTAACCGGTGCCGCGATGCGTGCCTGCCTCGAGCTTGGATTGCACCGTGAAGCCCCCGAAGCACTGAACTTCGACCAACTCACCCTCGACCTACGCCGACGCATATTCTGGGCGACATATAACTTCGATCGAGCAATCTGCTCGGCGCTCCAACGTCCACTGTCCATCCCCGACCAAACCATTGACGCGCACTTCCCCTCGATTCTCGACGACAGGCACATCCATCCCAACGGCATCGATGCCACTGGCGCCGAAACAAAACTCCACAGTCTCCGATGGATACACTTCCGCCGACTGCAATCCGCCATGGTCGAAGTGCACTTCCAAGGCAAACCTCTAGAACAAGGGCAATCCTGGGAAGATTGGCTAGTCTACATGGAACGCCGCCTCCAAGCGTGGTACGAAGACTACAACGACGGCCATGAACTCACAGAGTTCACACTGGCGCATGGCCTGATGAATCTGCACCGTCCGTCGCCGCGCATACCCATGCCCGCCCAGCGCAGTCTAATGGTCGCTTTCGAGGCCGCGTGCTCCAGCGCCAAATCTCTGCGCGACCATATTTTGTCCGGCTTCTACCGACGTTCATGGCTGATCGCGCATCACGTCCTGGAGAATAGTATGGTCGTGTTGTTCTGTCTGCGCCACGGGTTCGACACTATTTCCGCACGATTCTCAGCGCAACAGATTTTCGAAATGACGAAAGTGTTTACCGCAAATTTCCTGGCTCTTGCCGCGCAAGGCTGGAACGAAGTCTCCAATTACGCCGGCGTGTATGAGCGCTTACTAGGACCACTGTTGGAGTCAGTCTTTTCGAATAGGCCTCCTAGTCTGTCGAGTTTCGGCCCTGCGCAGGATGCAGAGCTGTTGAGGTTGTTGTACCCTGGTCCCGCACAGTTGGATAAACTGAGGTTTGGCAGTCGGTCGTTCGATGGTGATGGGTTGCCGAGCTTCGATATGGGGACGCTGAATTGGGAGGATTTCAGTGTGAGTGATGGGCGGTCGGCGAGCGCCGAGGGCTTTGTCGCGGGCTGGGACCTGTTTGATCCGAATGCTGTGGTGTCGGGGCATGATCTTGTATTTGGTATGGCTTGAGCGTATATCTTTTGAAAGGTCCTGCACTGTCTAATGAATATCATTTAGATCCATGGTTGCTCGGCTCGTAATGATCGTTTTCGGGCATGTAAAAGTACAACATGTGTTTTTACGACCCTCTTCGGTACGAGCATGTACGGCGCAGACTACAGAGCGGGGATCCGTGTCTATCGCTATGTTGTCTATTGGCGTTGCTGGCCATCAGCAGCCGTTCTGCAACTTAACAGATCCATCTAGTCATCCGATCATTCTGATCTGGGAAAGATAGCCTCAATTCTGTCAACCAGTGCATCAGACACCTGAACATCCTCTGGCGGTGCTGATACTGCGGCAGCGTCCTTGTCCTCATCTTGAACAGATTTCCGGGTGATCAGGCCTTTCCAGTTCCGAACATCATGCAATCTGACCGGCTGTTGGAGGTCTTCCTTCCGGCGCTCCAACAGCACATCGCCCGCGCGGCCGTTCAAGACCAGATGTTCCAAGACACCACGATTGGCCTGTAATGCGACTTCCAGACCGTCAAGTGGGCCACTGGAAAAATCAAAGCGAGGGGTCTGCTCGAACCGCCATGCAGGGGACATGAGTTCGGCAACACCAGCAGCGATCTCCGGATTCTTATCCTCGCCGCACTCGTCTGCGCCTAGAGTGACTTCGTTCCAACCCACCTGTCTCTGGGTGGTGCCGCCGTACATGCGCCAGAACTCCTGGACGATCTTCTCTGTGATTTCGCTCTTCAATGTCTGTCTTTTCACAGGATCTGGCGTCCACATTAAGTTTCCGACAGCACTACGCACGCTCTCGACGCCTTTGGCCTGAATGGATTCTCGTCCGGGACTTCTCAGTAACTCTGAGATTCTGTTTATATAGGGACTCGAGTAGAGGAGCGTACCGTGGTGCAAAGCCCTTCCACGTGTGAGTTTATATGCGCTGCCGCTGACCTTGAGCCACTGATTTCCAGCCCCGCGGCGCATGACGATGTCGTTGCGGTCGTTGACACGGAGGTCGTGGAAGTCGTAGTTTGAGGACATAGGGGAGAGAGCGCGGACGACCATTTCAGCGTGAATGGCGCGTGTGAAGGATCTGTTGTTGGGCACGATGACCGAGTAGTTCAGGTTGCCTGAGTCGTGGAAGACGGTGCCGCCTCCGCTGCGCCGACGTACGAGGTCAACGGGTGTCGCGTGCGCATTGCCTCTTGTAACTGGAGAATCACCTGGTCTATCTTCGTGTTCGGGTCTTACGCCTTGTTTTAGCCTTTTAATATCCGTTTCAAGCCATGGGTTCTGGTTGCGGCCGATCACCACGCATGGGCGATTGGTGTAAAACAAGAGGATCCGTGACTCGGGGTGCGAGTGCGTGAGCAGGTAGTGTTCAATGGACTGGTTATGGTAGGGGTTGTCAGAGGTGAGGTGGAAGATCAAGGGTGACGTCTCGTCTGAGACGCCCCGTAGGTCTCTAAGGCTCCATGATCGATCGGTGCCGGTGGTCAAGCATCCCGATGCTTGACAAGGGAGGCGTGGACTGGGAAATTGGGCAAATGTTGGCCGCCGGCTAAGATGTCTGAATGTTGGTTGTTTCAGGATCGGCGGCAATGCCCTCCACATTGGCTTGAGAAGTAATATACAGAATGGGAAAGCGACATCGTGACGCTGAAGAAGCCGAATGTTTATTTGAAGATGGAGCAACGATGAGGAAGATAAAAGTGACCAACCGGATTGGGAGTATTCCGATTTGGGTTTAGCTCTCAAACGAGTACAAATGCTCCTGTTGACCATGAGATTCGAGCCCATCTACTTGATCCATTCCACTGGGTATCTCTTGACTATCAGGTTCGAAAACCTGTTTAACTATGTCCTGCGCATATGGAGTCCACCAACACCTGATCAGGAAAGCTGTCACATCCCCTTGAGCATGACTGATCGCAGCTCCACCACCAAATCAGTCCTTGGGACCTCAAGTCCATAAACCAGGAACGCCTTGCTCAAACTTCTCGACATGAGCTCTTGTGCAGCGACTTGCTTCGAGCTGACCCTTTCAACCCTCATCAGCCCTTTGTTTGCCGGCCGCGGCAGACATGAGTTCACCCTCAGATTCATCCATTGTGAAGTTGGACTCGAGAATAGGCTCTCGCCAACTGCAACCTGATGTCGAATATATACCTTGCCTCACGTCCATGATACGATGTGGACGGCCGGTTTCGATCTCTTGATGTAGTCGTTCTGAGAACAGAAATTGTCTCATCACCCTCTTCACGTCTTCCCAGCCGGACAAGTCCATTTCAACCGCTGCATTGCGGTAATTGCTCTCAAACCACGCTTCCTGACTCACATTCACAGGATGTGCCTTTTCGGCCAGCCAGCCTACATACAACGCCCACAGTCGGAGTCGCCGATCCTGCGCGCCGTCTCTCTCCGCCTGACTCTCCCGCAGTTTCTTGCGCAGGTCGTTGATCTGCTTGAGCCCGAACCGCACTGGTTCAGGAGAGCCTAGGACCATCGCGGTCATCAACGCCGTCGTAATGCAGGTACAGGCTTGCGTTATAGGTCGCAGAAATAGATGAGGATATATCGCAAGGTTGACATAGTGGTCGGCTAGTCTTGATATGCAGTCAAACTTGCGCAGCTGTTGCCATCTCAAGAGCTGATCGTCCGTCGGCACGTCGTGGTTTTGAGTATATTCTCGGGCCTTGAAGAGCTCACGCAGGTCAGTGACAACCGCCTTCATCACAGGGTGCTCAATCAGCGGATCAATTCCTGCTGCGTGGTCACCGAAAACACCGGCTGACAACAGTCGTGCTTTCCACGGTTGACTCAGCGGTCCGGGGGTCCACTCTTGGGCTGGAAAAAGGGGCCGCGTTTCGTACTTGAGCGCGAAATAACAGTCGCAGGACAAAAGGTCTTCTCGAAACCAGGAATCCATCAAAATGACGCCTCCAGCGGAGTTTACTAGATTGCGCAGCATTTTCAGGTGCATGCGCGCCACGGCTGTGTTGTCAACCAGGGTTTCGGACGAAAAGAGCTTGAGAATGGCTTTGAGAGTAACCAGGTCCGGAGACTTCAGTTGGGCCACTCGTTGCCGCAGTTCCACCATAGCCTGCCCCTGGAAGTACCTAGACTGATAGGCTAGACTGTCATCGTCCGTGAGAACAGCCAAAGTTGCCGCTAGAAGACTTAGATATGCGTTGGCGTAGCACGTATCCTGGCTGATAAGTGTTGTGTCATCCCAGCAGCGCGCTATCTCGTAAGCGCCTGGACTACGGTCTGATTCTTTAGGCCATTGTTGAGGGATGAATACTTCGTATGCAAATGCTATCAGAGTGCTCATGAGCGGGCTCATGGATGAGGTAGCCGTGTCGAAGATGATCTCGCCCAGGTCTATGGGCGCGTTCATCGAAGCAAGCAGCGCAGACGGATCATCTTCGACCATCCCTGACTGAGTGGAAGGGGTCGAAGTAACGGATGTGACTGTTGTCCGTGGTGCACTGGTGGATGTCTGCTCGGAGCTTATGCCCGGGTACCCTAGCTGCAGTGGCTGCTCCGCCATCCATGGGTCGAAACCGAATGGTGTGGCCGTAGGATTGGGCAGAGTCTGCAAAGGTTCTGTCAATCGGGGGCTTTGGGGGACTACGTACGGAACTCGACGTACGGGTGCGGACTGTCTCCGGTGCGCTTCTGCCGTTGATCTGGACCGCTGCTGTGATTGTTGCTGCGTCGGGGATGAGAGAGGCCCCACCGGGACATTAGCAGAGGCCCGCAGTTGTTTGGCTTGTTGTTGCTTCTTCCATCGTTCGTAGCGATTCATGACATGCCATGAAACCGCAGCGTTATGGTCTTTGGAGTCGATGTTGCCAGCGTCCTTGTTGACAAAGGAGAACTCTCCCTGGAAGGGCACGGGTTGACCGGGTGAACGCTTGTCCTGAGACATTGAGTCGGGGAAGAGCTGGAGAAGGAGTTGTTCCGTGGCCGGAAGTTGATGAAGAAGTGTCGTCGTGGCCATGGCGGCAAAGACAGGCAGAAGACTCTTTTGAAGAGATTGCCGTATGACGAAGAGATCGAGAAGATGGACGGTGGTTCCTATACTGCTTTCCTCATCCTTAGCTGAGCGTTTGGATCTCGATGGAACTCCATCTCGGTACAGATACCTAAGGCTAGGCGATCCAGGTCCAGACACGAGGCGCAAGATGCTTGGGTAGTGGTGGTCTAACCCGTTTTTGAAAGGCATCTTCGTCAAATCATTGGAGGGCACGCCAGATTCGGCGGATTTGAAATGTGATCTGGAAGCCTAATGGGTCGGAGACAAAGCGGTCTCTTGAAACAAGACTTTCTCAGGAACCAGCAAGCTCTTCCGAAATCCATGGCTTGAGGGTTTTCAGGGCCCGATTGGAGAGATAGGGCTATACGAAGTCGCTAAACGCGAGTAGAGAAGACACCACTGACATAAGCACGCGTGCATTGTGGCACATGTAACCACTAGAGATGAAATTCGAGAGCATTGATACTGTAGTAGTAAGTGATTGAGGCAGATCCCTGCAAGACAAGGGCCTTCACGACGAGCAATATGAGTTTAGCGACGGAGAACGAGACAATTGACAGAGATGCAGGTGCAAGATGCCCAAAATGCGGTGTTTACAGAGGTATTGTCAATTGATGACAATTGCAAAAGCTGCCAAGTTGATTAATTGTCACTACCACAGTACTGTACCTGGTACTGTTGTGGTTAATTCCATGCTTACTAGTAGGTCAGGTCTTCGTCATAATAATCAACACGTTACCAATTCCGCAGTAGTGGCTCTCTCTTGCTTCCGATCTTCATTGTTCAACCGCCATTCCACCGGCATTCTATTTTCGTACAGTATTTCAAAATGCTTACGCTATCACCCCAACTTCTTCCGCACCAGCCTTGAAACCATCGCGCAGAGGTCGCCGTGAATGTGTCTCTTCGGCAGCAGATTGACATGATAAAGTAGAAAACATCAGAAGTCTATGCGCACTGGAATTTCGATGTCTCGAGTGGCCTGGCGGAAGTGTGCACGGTGGCTTACCACTTGGTGCAGTCATTTGCAGAACCATTTTGCCGGTGTGGAAGATAGCGGGCTTGGTTGAGTGTTGTCGCCGTTGCCTCTGATCAGGCTTTTAGGTGAACAATTTTCCACTGCTCACTCACTCTGTCAAAGTGGGAGGATGCTCGAAATATATCACTTGCACGCATTGCACCAGATGGACTAGCCTTTTCCGAACGAGCATTCAGGGATGCATTGCTCATTGCCTGTCTCAAGTGCCGGCTTCCATATTAGGAAATCACTTTCCATTTCGCGCTCAGATGATGACATATCCTTGGATTTCACACAGGGATTTGACAGTGCTGTCCTAGGACACTTACCTAAGGCACAACCAGGAGATCGGTTTCTCAGATAGACGAATGTCAACGCCCCACGCTGATTCAAGACTTTCGTCAGCAAAGTGATTGAAGATCGACGCGACAATGCCGCTGAACATGGAGGGTCATCGCGCTTGCGCAGCCATAGCGAGTGTGCAGAGAATCCATCTGAGTGATGACAACGACGAATGCAACCTTATGGAGGGCCTGAATCATCCGAGCACCTGGCCGAATCGTTGATGAATAGACTCCAACTTCAGATTGAGGGCTTTATTGCCAGCATATGTTTTTTGTATGGTGATAGATGACTTCAGACTGCACTAGTCGTAACAAGTCGGTAAGAGGCGCCTTGTGGCCAGGTTCAAACTGCGCAAGTCAGTAGCGGAGAATTTATAGTCTGCGGATGGCCAGAAAGAAGTCCTGGGAAAGGATGTATCAGGCAGTGGTTCATCTGAAGAAGAACCATGTCCCATTGCACTTTGAGATTGCGCACATTGATATGCGTCACAATGGCGCCCCATGGTCGATTATCGATTAAAGGGAGTATGCGACACGTTAAGTCCAAATGATGAGACATCACACCTAGCTCCCCGTCATTCGGCTTGTACGACAGGGCAATTCAAGTGCAGCGGTCAGGCACCGGCAGGGTAGATTGCTTGTATCGAGCTGAGCATAGCGGGTCCAACCTCAAAAGAACCCGGAGAGATGTTCTGCAAAGCTGTCCGAACAGAAGGGGGGCTGTTGCCAGAACGTACGCTGTCGCCGCAAAGCCAAAGACACGTTCTCGGACTTCGTGTTCTCAACGACCATACAATTATGACAATTGGTCCGTAGATATAGGGAGCGCACGTTGGCCAGCGAATAACCCCAGGGTTCGAATGAGATGGCTGTAGGCAGTAGTCAAGGTTTGCTGATTGTCTCGTTGATGCACACGCCCGAAACCGGTCACTGGCTCACCGGACACCTGTAGCCTCGCATCGCTAATGGCCATTTCAGCTATGACTGGCAAGCCGCTCAGGGTGCATTTGAGGACTTTGAATCGTTTATCGTGGCCACTAAGATGTCACATTCAGAGTCCAGACGTGAAAGAAGTAGTATACCACGAAGAGAGTTCAGTGAGCCACGTGCTTTGCAACCATTCAGGGACTACTGTGTTTTGATGCGCTCGAGTGGTGGATGATTGACAGTCTTGTTTCAGGATCACCCGGGGACGGGCTTGGGATGTTGCGCATGAACAGCGGCGGTCATCGCCGCAGTGGCTTGACTCGAAGGATCCCGCACCGAGGTTGGCAAGCTCGCACTGGTCAGCAGCTTGTCCGTGCTCTGTCGCCTATAACCCCAGCTTGTTGGCCCGCCACGCACGTTTTAGACCTAGATGCAGGCTCCAACCTAGGCTCGAGACGGAAAAGTCTTGACCACGAATGATGATGATTTATCTGACGTGTCGAAAAGAAAAGCAGATCCATGCCGATAATGACAAACCCCTCCCGTTCGATTGCAGCGTGAGCAAGGTGGTATGATTTGACATGCGCATTCGCGGATCCAGGATAGCCTTTGATCCTACAGGGGGACCGTCCTTCAACATCCTGGCGGCTATCAAGAAGAGGAGAAATGTCGACATCAAGAGAGTCGAAGCTTGCTGGAGGCTAACTAGGCTGAGAATCCATGCTAACTAAATCCACAGGGCCAACAGGCATAAAGCAGAGACATGCTAGGATCCCTAGTATAGATTGACACTATAGATTAGTACACTCTGTGGCCGACAACCCCCTGCGCGGCAATAATAATGACAAACTGAATAGTCCCATGATAGCGATCGCATTGGCATCTGATTGCACATTTTTGCCATCAAAAGGAGATGTTGCGGGTATTCGGCACCATCAACAGGGCATGGCCTGGGTCGTTTCTGTTGAGTTAGTAATTTAGCGACAACATAGATCTGTAAAGTGTATAAACGAGGCGACTGTTCATCTTGAACAGACAATGTCTCTATGCAGGGGCTTCAATCCTTCTGCGCTTGCACCCTTCCCACTCAACACACGCTCCGTATTTGCCACGCAGTCTTGCTGCAGGTGCGGCATACTGCACCACACCATGCAACTGAACAGGAAGAGGAGTAGAGGGTACAGCTGATGTTCACAAGAACATTAAAATTGCTGGATATTGGCAAGGATTGAACTCAGACTGCATGTTTTTGGATGAATGGCGAAGTGGTTGACCAGTCTTTTCAACCGGAACCACTGTCGTATGCTCAGTCCAACAGCCTATCATATAGGGCTGCTCCCCCAATTCAGCGATTGAAAATAGATGACCTGCTGATCATTGGCTATCAGGGTGGTCGGACGTGCAAATCTTGTTGATGAAGCATGTGAAAATTCTGCCACGTCGAGTACGAGTATTCATAGTAATTCTGCCACCACCATACCTTGACACTACGATGATTGTTGTTTGCCATCACAGCTGGTATGCTGTATCATCCATATCAACAGCCCGGACCACAAGTAGGTACATAGTACCTTACTTCCCGCTGGTGACGACACATGGTGCGGCTCCATTGGGGTTTACCATCAGCGGGCCGTTCGCAAAAGGCGTGGAAAAAAGAGGTGGCACAGATGTTGACTTCGATTAGCCGTGCGAAGCCCCATCCTCGTGCAGTATTGGGCCTTCAATTCGCTTTCTGCTTCGCTAGCCTATGTCGACCATCCCCCTAGATTGTGGCATGACATGTTGCGATTCTCCACACACTTTTCTTTTAGCGTTCTGTTGTGCAAACTTGTAGCCGACCCGTTTCATCTGGAGGACTGTGGAGAGGATGCAGAACATCAGGTGGGAAGGCGGAGAAAGACGAGGCAACATCTGCCTATAGTTGTCCGATGTCGAACGAAAGAGTGTGGTGCAAAGTCGTGGCGAACATCAGAAGGGTGGAGTGAGCGTCTCATGAAGTTTTGTGCTCTGGCATATGTCATGGTGAGAATCACAAGGGCGTCCGCCATGCCGCCATCTTCATAGAGGGTCAGTAAGTGATGTGATGATCAAGCACCGGCAAAGTGGGTAATGCACGGTCGCTTATGATCAGTCGCATGCTTGCATCAGTTTGGTCGAAGATAATTTATGCACAGCGTTCAGCAACAATTACTGCATATTGTTGTGGCAACAAGCAGTCTCGTGTATGCGAGGCCGTGGCCTGATTACATCTGGGTTGCAAAGAAGGACTCCGTAGCGACTCGATCATCGAGGTTGAAGTCTTTGCTCCGGCCTCATTCAAGAGCACTGCCTGCGTCGATTCTGCATAGAGTGTCTACATCTGCAGCAGGGCCAAAAGAGAAATTGGCGCAGTCTGATAGTAGTCTCGTTTCGGCCATGGCCACTATCAAGCTGACTGCAGCGTCTGTGTCTGCTAGCTGTGTCGTGGGCTTTGGCCAACTCCTTGTCTCAGTGACAATCAGGCACACTCCGTTCTATAGACAGAAAGCCTCAGATGGTATGTTCCGTGGTCGCGGGCTGGCATTATTTTTTGCAATAAGCGAAGAAGTGGTCCATGCTCATAGGCGGCCTACGGCAGCCAATTTCTGTTGGTGGTTCAAGCCCAAGAGCCAGGGATGATACGCAAGGACGCCCATAAGTGAGCCACTGAGATCCGTTTCGTTGGCTTGCGTTGGGAACGAGACCCTCTCTCAACCTGCAGCCAAAAAAGGCTCCGCATCTGCTTCGCCTTCCCACCATGGGCCCAAACCAAGAGCCCCAGTGCCTGAGAAGCATCCACGAGCATCTTCTCTCGCTGGCCAACGAGCAGCAGCCCGATTTACATTGGGGCATTTTAGCTTGGGCATTTCCGCCGCCCTCCTCCCCCTCCGTCATCTTCTCGCCGGTTCACTATTCCGCTGCCTTTACCACCATCGTCCTGCACTCGAGCCACCGACACACACGCACGCTGAGAGCCAGTTGTGGTCGTTGATGTTCTCTTCATTCAATTCATAATCTTCAATCCTTCCTCGTTGCGTTGGGCTCTTTCGAAGCCTTTTTCCGTGGCTCTTTTGTTGTTTATTAAAACCTTCTTACCTTCGGCCGCGAGAGGCTATCGACGACACTGCCGAGTTCTGGCAGCCTCACCTTCCTTCAGACTCGAATCTATTCACTGCGGCTGTCGCTGTAAACCTTACTGTCCCTGTGTACTCGATAATCGACAAGTGCCTGCGCCGGTGGCATAGCTTAGACCGTTCCCGTCGAACCGAGAAGTCTCACACTACGTCTAAGGAGGATTCCTCGGTGGATGGATGGCCAAGGCATATCGCTGTCAGAGTGTTTGAGGAAAGAAATGATAGTCATCCAAGGCTGTACGACAACGTGGCTGTGAAAGGCCTTTGCTGAGCGTAGCATTGTCTATCAGCCTGTCTTTCAAATGTCCAACAGATTTCCCAGGACAGACAATATTCAGTACACTGTGGAAATATGCCGGACGATGTCAGCATAACATGGGATCCCAAGTTGCAACAAGCACACGCAAACAAAGCCAAAATGAGCGTCGGTGCCTCCAACGACCTAGAGCCTGAGACAGGGTATAGAGATGAGACGGACTCTAATACTCAGCGCAACACACCGAAAGCGTTGTCGGCGCAGGAGCCTCCAGGAGTCATTGACGAACAAGGTTTCCCTGGGTTGAACGGGCAGTTAGAGTATGGTGTTACTGGGTCGCCCGGCTTTGGCCCGCTCAAAGCACAACAGTCTCTGCCTTCGTCCACTCAGAACTCCTCGAATTCATTGAAGTCCATGTCTGCTCAAGAGGACAACCGCAATGTTGGTATTGGTGGTGCCTTTGTCAACCGCGGTCTCTCGACGAGATCCTCACATGGACAAATTCGCGGCCGCCGTCCGTCTCACTCAAAGTCATTCTCGGCTTCTCGCTCCAGGCCAAACGACTCACATCCCACATATCCCGCCCAATCTCTCGCGACTCTACAAGCATCTTTTGCTTCATCTCCTCGTCCTGCCCATCCACTTCGGACACGGAGTTCCCACCCTGCCCAGACTCTCCTCTACAACGAAATGTCCGTCTGGATGAAGCAGAGCAGAGAGCAACAGACCGTCTCTGACAACACCAGGACGGCAGACAATACTCCGATGTCGAGCCCTGGGCTCTTCAATCCTGATGACCCGCAACCTCAACTACATCATCTTCAGCTCCCCAGGGAAACGCACACGGTGGAAATTGAGCACGATACTTTTACAGGAAACAAATTCATCAACAACTACGAAATTGTTCAAGAGTTGGGTCGTGGCGAGCATGGCAAGGTCAAACTTGGCCGAGATATTGAAAAGGGTACCTTGGTAGCTGTGAAAATAGTGCCAAGATACTCTGCGAAACGACGGCTGGGTCGGCTTGGAGCTCCAGAAGACCGGACGAAGCGAGAAGTGGCTATTCTCAAGAAAGCAAGACACCCCAACGTTGTCAGTCTCCTAGAAGTCATCGACGATCCCAACAAGAACAAGGTGTACTTGATATTGGAATACGTGGAGAAATCAGAAATCAAGTGGAGGAAACCAGGTGTTCGCGAAGTGCTCGCTGTCAACAACAACCGTTTCTCCCAAGAGCGTGTGGGCAACGAGGTGCCACTTGAAGTCAGTGAAAAGGACTCGTTTATTGTTGCGCAGGCTGCAAGACGCCATGATCTGCAGCAGCAAGAAAGAGCTCGGTTGTCGAACGCCCGGAATGTACCTCATTGGAGCCTCGAACATGGCGGCGACGACGAGGAAGATGAGTTTTCGGACATCTCTCGCTCTGCCTCACGGACATTCTATCCATCGAGTCCCAGCCGGACAAGCTCTCACGACGGGTACTCCAGCTCCGTTCTCGCGGGCAGTATGTACGGCGCATATGTTCCGGAGTCTTACCGAGACCGGAAGTTCAGCATCGCCAACAGTGCCGTATCACACATGTCGTCCGAGTTCAACTTCGACGAGTCAGACGACGAACACGGCTTTGTCCCTGCTCTGACACTAGAGGAAGCGCGACGAGCTTTCCGAGATACACTCTGCGGACTTGAGTTCTTGCATTTCATTGGTATCATTCATCGTGACATCAAGCCAGCCAACCTACTAGTGTCGGCCAGCGGCAATGTGAAAATTTCAGATTTTGGAGTTTCCTATCTCGGCCGCCCGACGACAGAAGAAGATTCCGAAAATGCGCTTACGGAAAAGGACGTCTCGACCTTGGACGACGAGAAAGAGCTGGCCAGGTCAGTTGGTACTCCAGCGTTCTGGGCGCCCGAACTCTGTTACGAGGACCCGTCGATGTTCGAGGAAAAGGATGGCCCAAGAATTACTGGGGCTCTCGATCTTTGGGCGTTAGGCATTACCCTTTACTGCATGATTTACGCTCGCCTGCCCTTCTATGCCAATGATGAGATGGGACTTCACGAAGCCGTGTGTAGGGCCGAAGTTTTTTGTCCCAAAAGTCGACTTATCCCCGTGGACACTTCACGCGACAAACCATCTAACCATGTCCCTTCTTCTATCAACTGCAACAAGCGGTTGGACTATGAGCTCAAGTTCGAGCCCATTCCAGACGCGGTACGTGATTTGATCAGCAAGCTCCTCATCAAAGATCCTGCAAAGCGCATGACGATCAAAGAAGCCAAGAAACACGAATGGGTGGTGGAAGGCATGGTGGATCCTGGGAAGTGGATCAGAGGACCAGATGAACTTGCCAAAGATAGCAAGAAAAAAATTCTGGAGATCGACGATAAAGAATTATCTCATGCAGTCGGCAAGCGAAACATCATCGAACGCGCCCTCAACACAGCCGGAAGAATTGCAGGTAGTCTTCTCGGGCGAAGTAACACGCGTCGCCGAGCTCCGAGCTCTGCAACTTCTGCGAGTCAGTCTAGCGAATCCATAGCATCACCATCGGGGTCCAGCGCTAGCACAGTCGGAAAGACTGACCGTGACAGGATAGGAGATGCGCGAAGATCAAGCCTGCGAGGTGACGAGCTTCTCGCGGCTCTGAAAACGTCACGAGAAAACTCCGAGCATCCTCTTGCACAAAGTCAGACAGCCAGTCCGGACGAATCCCCGCGCGACAGGTACTTCTATGAGCCATCAATAGCATCAGCGGCAGTCAGCCCTATGGATGAGCGTCAAAGCAGGCCTCGTGGTCCTGACCGAGCCGCCTCCGCCATATCCACTGCCGAGTCCGTCAGAACTATCAGAGCATCGCAAATGCAGAGGATGCCACTTCCCCATTCAGAGACTTTGCCCGAGCTCGAGCGACAAGTCCTCCCGGACCGAGGCATAAAAGCTATGGTCGATGGTCTTTGGGAAGGTACTACCAGGACCCTTGGTCGACTTGGGAGTAGAGATCGGCGCTCGCAAAGGGGTGATCAGTCGCCAGCGCCGAGTCGTCATTCCTCGGAAGGTGACGCTCATGCAGGAGCTAGCATTGCTGTCAGTACAGCTTCGGCCGCTGGGTCTATCGAACCACCTGAAGCCTTAAGGGGTAGTGTGGGTGTCGTGTCACCGATCGACTACAACACCGCTCCTCGCGAGTCGGCTGGTATGAACATACAGAATCAGAGGTCCACGGTTCAAGCCCCTGCATCCTCCCATGGGGCATTTGAGCAAGCACGGGAGGTCAACCAGCGAAGGCTAATTCAAGAGGCCAATTTCCAAGCCGAAGCAGCTGCCGAAGCTGCCTCGAGGCCGCAGAGCCAGCCAGTCCCCGATGAGTGCCCTCCGTCTCCTGACGATATTGCTTTCCTCGAGAAGCAACGCACGCGGCCTACGAACGAACCGTCCCCCTTCTCGATTGACTCTATCCAAGGTGGCCCGTCAGCAAGCACCATTGCTTCCTCACTGGATGGGTATGAGGCCAGCAGTGTGTCTCACAGCATGTCTAATCCGAGCTTTGGTATTATATCCAGTGCTTCTTCACCACCTGGAGAGGGCTACTACCACACAGATCCTGCAGAGGTTCCTCGGGATGGCACACTATCTGCCAAAGATGCCGAGCCTGACTTCATGCGCACGGCTGACACTATAATCAAGCACGGAAGACTACAGCAGCATGCTACAGGTGCAGCACTAGAAGACTGGCCTGTTCACTCATATGATGACGACCACGATGGATATAGCGACGATGACTCCGATGAAGAAGGCATAGTGATGGGCAGCTCGCACAAGAAGCTATGATGGCTTCCCGAGCATGGCTCACGACTTCTTCAACCTCCGATATCATGCCCTTTCACGATCCACGACATCCCCTTTCATTGACGGTCCTTTTTCTTTCATAGATACCCTGATTAGACAGTTCGGCGTCGGGTGTCATTCTGCTTCTGACGGAATGGCTGTGTAATGCGATTCAATCTTTTGTCGAGATTCCTAGCAGTGTGCTGGAAGGATGGGAAGGTACCTTGTGCTGCGTCAATGCTGGAGGGAAGGAAAACATCCAAAAAGCAGGAAGGATATGTGCTATATCATGATTAGGGCAAAATTGCTTGTACACCAGCTGCGATGAAATCTTCGAACAACAGAAAAAGCAACAGCATACAAGTGGGAAACAAAATGATATACTAGAGATTCTTTTCATCAGCTGTGGTGGCAAATCTTCCATATACGTCGTTCGATCACGAATGGACGGTACTCACTCGATTCCGTCAGTAATTCATCTCACGCCCAATGTTCTGTTCGGAGTGTACTTTTGTGTCCATGGTACCTAATGACGAGTAAAAGTGTGTATACAATTGATGCTGCTCGGAGTGCAGCGAAAAGGGAGTGACCCTGGGCACGTGACCAGTGATTCTGAACTCCAACTTCGCACCCCAAAAATATTGTCAATGAGCGACAACGACTCAGAGCACTCACTCACATTGTATAACACATCCTTGCGGCGCCCTGTCCTTCGCTTCCTGGTGTCAAGGCCTGTCGAGGGGTTGTGTATTGTTGATCAGGCTCGAAACTGTACTGATATGTCGCCACGAGCTTGCTACACCACCTCTTAACACTGCATCCGACCTCCGTCTCCTCCCACCCGTGGTGAGGAGCTCTCCTGTGTATCGCAAACACACACTCCGACACCGCCTTCGCGATGCAGAGAATCCTCCGTATCAACCTTCTGGCGCGGAACCAAGCACTTAAAGCCAAACGAAAGAAGAACTTGAAGGACGCTAAGGCAGAATGGCGGGAGCACGCGGCACGCCAGATTGCAGCAGAGAAGACGAAGCGAGAATTCGTCAAAGATGAGCGGAAGAATCGTCGAGAAGACTGGATCGCCGGACCGCTTGCATCGAAACGTGATGCCGCCGAGAAAGCAGATCTTTATGGCACTGTCAGTGGCATACTCGCGCAGGGTCCCAATTTCCCACAACGGGCCCGGAATGCTCCCAGAGGCAGCGGTGGGGACAAGGTTGGTTCGGAAGGCCTGATTGGCGAACATAAAGAGTGGGAAGGCGAAGGGAACGAAGGCAACATTGTCGCTGGCGACCGCGTGGTCGTGATCCAAGGCCACGAGAGTATAATCGGCCAAATCGGGACGGTGAATGAAGTACAGCTGCACAGGAAAGAGCTGGCAATCGAGGGTCTGAATATGGTTCGTGTGCCTACTTCTCGCCGTGAGGCCTATTACTAAATGCTTTCTAGGCCGACGTTGTATTACCCGAGGGCTCACGACTACGAGACCGAATGCCCTTCCAGAGCATGGAGTTGCCACTCCCCTTATCCGCGGTACGTCTTGTGTATCGATCGACAGACGACGCGACCGGCAAAGACCGCGACGTGATCGTCAAGCACCTGCGCGGTGGCGCACCGTATTTTCAGCGTGAGGCCAACTCCAGCCTCCCTCGACACACGCGGTTCATCGCGGGCGAGGACGTCGAGATTCCCTGGCCGGAAGACGATCCGCAGAAATACCAGATCTTCAATGGCGACACGAGCCGGTTCGAGGTCGAGTACCAGTCGTACACGCCGAGTCTTGACGAGCGGAACCCGGTGTTGCCTCACCCATCGATTGTCGACGAGCTTAATGAGAAAAAGTACGACCGCGATCGGGCGTGGCATGAGGATGAGTATGTGCGGTTGAAGGTCCTTGAGGATGCGCGCGCCGTGTGGTATGAGTCGAGGAAGCTTAAGACGCCGGCAATGGAGCTTGCTGAGGAGAAGAAGAGGGTTGCCGCGCAGAGAGCAGAAGAGGTCAAGCAGCGGGGTGTCACGGAGGCTACGATACGGTTGTTCAAAGAGGTGAAGAGTGCAAAGAAAAAGCAGAAGGTGGCCGTATAGCATGGACTGGGTTCCGCTTTAAGCATGGCGATGGGAAAGTGATTGTACCTTCTTCTGGGTCGAATTCTTTGGTCGGATATAGGTGTTGGCATAGATCCTTTCACTTAGCAAGGACGCTGCTGGAAAAGCATTGTACAGATATATGACTCTCTTGTGATGATATGGGGACTGGGGCACTACTACCACGTCAATGGATGGCAGTGGAGACTACTACTGGTGGATGTTCCAATACCGTATCAAAGAAATATTACGGTCGAACGTCTTCAAGCTCGTTTTTGTCTGGTGACGTTGGGCAATTATGCTGTGCTTGCTAAGTCGATCTATACTAAGTGACCAGCGGTCCTATATACTCGACCCTCTCTCCCTCCAATTTGACCAGTTCCGGCCACTGTACAATGAAGCGACTCACAAGAGGCTTCAGCAGGCGGCCACTCAGGCTCAGTGTCTTAACCCGCGCCCAGCTCTCGATGAAGATACAGCGCATTTGCCCACTGTCAGGATGCAAGTCCTGCTGTTCGCCGTCCTTACTACTTGCAGATGTCTGAATCGTCAATGGACCACCGTAGCCAAGGAACAGCAAGATAATCGAAGCTAACACCACAATGACACCAGTACCTGGTCCATTGGTCAGGATCATGTCAGGGTATTTGTTCCTGGACGGGCGGCGGGGCTTTATATCGCGGTGTGAGCCGGTCAGAACAGCGAAGCAATCTGTTAAGCAAGCCAGGCTGGAAAATGGCGTAGTCATGATGCTCTGGTGGACACGTCTTGCGCGTCGGACGGTCACGACATCGTAGTTTGACGCCGTGCCTTCGGGAATGACAATATCCGTCTTTGACAAGTCGGACAGGAGTTGCTTCTCGAATTCATGCGCTTTGAGCGCGGAGAAGTCGTCGCCCGAACTGACGACGTAGGTGCGGTGGGTGAAGTCGAGTTGTAGACAGGGCGTTTGGGAGAGGATGTTGAGCATTTCGGCTGTGTGGCCGCCTGAGCCGAGGACGATGAGAAGATATGTTGGATGCGAGGGCGACCCCCGCGGGCGGCGGGAGGGTTGTGGGCGCGACAGGATTGTTGCGAGGCGGAAGAAAGTGAGATTGCCTAGGACGAAGAAGATGACGAGACCCAGGAGGATCAATTGCCTGGCCATTGGGAGCGAGGTGAAGTGGTCTGAGAAGTTCGTGGTCCAGAAGTATGATAGTGAGCCTGGCTCGGGTGGATTATGCTGACCGTCCATGATTGAGACTGCTTTGAGGATCGGAGGCTGATGGTAAGGTAGTTCTTCTCGTACGGCTCCTGCGAAAGAGGTTTTGGTGTTTTAAGCGGATTGTTTGATGTCGTGCCGCCACACCTTGACTCGGGTAAGTGCGCAGCAGATCAATGGAATACTGTAGTTGCCTCTCTGATTATGGATCATTTTTGGTCAAGTCTCAAACCGACATCTTTGGACTGTGTTGTCTCTGCACTTTGTCACTGATATGGTCTGCTGTCCTTTATGTCTTTCTGTTCCGGAGATCTCAAAACATTTATATCCGAGATCTCAAACTAATCCTATTGTGGCAATACGTTTAGTTCTCCAGATTTCAATCACTAGACATTACTATCCAACTCTACAAATGTACATATGCGGTGAAATCTCTGGTGTACCTCTTTGAAAGCCCTCAAGCAGCTGATCTGGATCTTTTGACAATGCGACATCATGCCCATCCAACTGCGCCAACGCCTTGATTGCCACTATTGTGGCCGAAGGTCAAAGTCGAGCAGGAAACAAGATCGCAGATTTCAGTGCGAACACTGTCTGGCTGTCAACTTCTTCGACGAGGTAAGGTTGCTTCAAGGATGTCTTCGCAAATGTTAACACTTGCAGAACGGAGAAATAGCAGACGTTCCTGTTGAAGAGGCAGCGCCAACGCAGCGCTTCGCCCAACCCGTGGCCACTGATCCCCTGCAAGACGACTTCTCAGCGGCAGACTCCATCTTCTGCTCGACATGCCTCAAAAACCAGCAGCTTTATACCTATAATCTCTCACAATTCCTCCCCGATCCTGACGACCCAGAATACGACAAGTTGGAAGCAGAATTACCGGCATACAAGAAAAGTCTGGAACAGCGCTATCCGCAATGCTGCGCCCGCTGTGAACCGAGTGTGAGGGCAAGATTACACCAAGCGACCTACAACGCGAGAAGTGATCACCTACGGCGGGTCCTGGGGAAATCACGACAGAGGAGAATCTCAAGCAGGCTGGGTTGGAGAAGTCTCCTGGTCAGCGCCGCAGGGCTAGGGTATCTTCTTAGCCTGGCTTTGCAGCTGTTATGGCATCTCTATGGCTCGCAAATCAGTGAACAAACTTTCATGCCTGGATTCCAGCCTCGACATTGCATCATGTTTCGACAATTTGTCTCTCCTTGTCTCGATGTCATGGAACCAGTCGTAGGTCTCTCGCTGGCCGCGGGGCTCTCGTGCATTTGGTGGAATCCCGGGTGGCAGCATAAGCTAGCGAACAGTGCGGGGAGCTTAGACGGACTGGACAAGTACTATCTTGTGCAGCTGGCTTTGCTGGGCTTGAGGTTCAGTGCCTGGATTGTCATTCCACATGTACCACTCTCCACCAAAGTGGCCGCTATGCTGCATGCATGCTTTGCTGTGGCGATCGCGGTCATTGCAGGGTGGTCCGTCTTTGGCATCGTGAAGGTAAAGAACCTTCCTCCGGTGAATTGGCATGAAGATCCTGCTCCCCTCCTGTCGAAGCAGCAATTCGTCCCTCCACCAGAACAAGTTCTGCAGGAAACACAGCAAGAGCAGGAGAGGGGTTTCAACGTTGGAAATCTTGGAGCATCAGAGAGATCGACCTACCAGGAATGGAGGCCTCCTACTCCGCCAGAGGACAATGCAGATTCCATGGACTGGACTCCATCGCAACCGACTTTCAACCCTGAGCTCAAACAAGTTCGATACCAATCCAACGAACCAACACCCTTTTATGGCACTCTTCCGGCACTCAATGCCAAGGGTGTAAAGAATAAGAATCAAGCTGGAGCTCGAGAGGCAATCGGTATCCCGCCTGGATTCTTTGATCGGCCTCAGAAGTCCTCAATACCTCCTCGTCAGCACGAATCGTCTCGAGACGCTATGGCGGAGCCCAGATTCTTTCCACCAGAAAAGGCTGACACGGGGCTCGAGAACATCTTTGGTACCGTGTTCTCTCTGCACGATCGATCGCTGGATCGACCATCCGCCATTCCCAGAGGTCACGACACAGCAGCGACAATCGCACAGCCTGCCACTGACAGCGAGCCAGAGCAGCGTCTGCACACGACACGTTCAAGCCCTGCAGTTTTCAGTGGCATTTCCTTCTTCTTGCTCCTGATAGCGGTCATCGTGTGGATCTTTGAAGCCGCCATCGCGACGAACACCTCGTTGTTCGGATATTATGTTGTTCTTCTGAGTGCTTGTATCCCGGTCAGCCATCTCATATTCGCGCTACTCGACAGTGGAGTCCAAGGACAATTTGGGCACCTGTTGATCTACACTCTCGAAGCGAGCTTCTTGATTGGGATTGCGATGCTGCGAGACCCCTTTGGAGAACTTCTACGAGATCTGTGGAACAAGATGGGCGTTGCAGCGGTTGCTCTCTTGCTGCCACAACAATTCCTACAGATGAATCATGCAACCAGAATGTCTGACCACAAGCCTGCGCAGATCACGCAGACCCCATATGGCGATAATCAACAGAAAGGAGTTGGTCATCAGGCGACTCCACGACCACCAACACTGACTCGAACTGATTCTGCCGAATCGATTCAGAGCGAAGCCTCGATCGCGACAACGTCCACTGTACCTGAGTGGGCAACGCCGAAACCCGATCGGCCACGATTCGATGTCAACGCATCAGTTGGAGCTACAGCACGGTCGAAAGCGCGACAACCGTCTGATCGAAGCATGTTGGGGCTCGATAGTCTCACATTGAGTGATCGTCCTCCCACCAGCGCAAGACGAGGCATGGGAGCTCGCAATGCTTGGGGTCTTGAGTCTTCAGGAATGAATATTGCAGGCCCAAGATCAAGACGAGGCTACTAATGAGATGAAGCTTAACGACGAGACGCTTTTCCTCCTCATTCACAATGTCGTTCAGCGTTTTGGTATGCGATCTGTACAAAACGGAGTTATTCTGATGGTCATTCGCATAGCGGCATTGCAAGGCGTTACTGGTTTGGTTTTGAAGCACGTTAAGATGTAATTTTGGATGTTCGAGCAGAAATATAGTGTCCATCGAGCAGCCCAAGTCCAATGCTTCATCACTCATCTAGATTAATACAGCTGATCGTAATTCAGTCATACACGGGCGCTTATAAAACCTGATTGCCGCCTCTCATGTCAACTTTTGTTTGATGAAAAAGGCACGTAGATGCGACAATTGCCATGCGCAAGTTACACCGAGTACGGTCAATTGGATCAGTGTCCACCGTACGATCTTCGAGTTGGTGGCCTCGCTCTGGTCTCGGAATTCGGCTTCTCGCTCCTTTGTGTCTAGTCAGTCTAACGGGTCATTGTGAAATATGGTTTGGGTGTGCGTACGCGCTGGAAGACCTGCTCCCGTCTAACATCGGTCAAACGGGCGTTCAGTTCCTTGACCTTGGTCACGATGTTGTCAATCTTGCTCTTGTCCTCACTCTCAATCTTGCTGGTGGCCCCGATGGCCATGTCCACTGACAGTTTAATGCCGCCCATCGTTGCGCCCGCGCTCGAAAACCACCCTGCTATACTGATAGCTCCCGGGCCCGTCGGCGTGAAGCATAATCTGTGCTGGCCCGGATCGGCGGCGGTGAAAGTGAACTTTGACGGCTTGTCGGAAGATGCTGTGGTCTGAGTGACCACGCGGTGATCGTTGTCGAACACTTCTTCTACCGTCACTTGGATTTGGAGGTCGGATGTGGTGTGGAAAGACTGTGTCTGTTGATTGTATGCTTCGGCTTTGTATGTTCCTGTTTTGCCCGCTGTTAGTCCTCACAGTGCTCTCTCGTACAGATTGTGCGAATTGTGGTGGTGCTTGAGGGAAAGCGTACCGACGACCAGCGTGTCCTTAGGTAAATCCTCGTAGAAGCATTTTGGGGTCGTGCCGTCGAGGTAGAAATACAGGGCTTGTGAGGTTGAGAGAAGGGAGGACACTGCTAATAGTGTCGCTGTGAGGAGCCTCATCTTTCGTCCTGCTTATAGGGTTGTGGCAGGACTTGTGGAGGGTGAGCACAAGGGTGTTTACAAGTACAAACGTACGTACTTCGAGAAATGTTGCGCTTCTCGATTATCTTGGTTCAGGGGGCCGCAGTTCGTAAGGTAGTGCAGTGCGGAGAAAACACGAAAAATCTCGCCGCATTTACAGAGTGCTCGGAGCGTCTACAAACACATTCACAATTCATCCATCTTCTTTTGACATTTCATCAGCAGTTTACCCATTTCCACCCGCCGAACGTGCAGTAGTCTCGACGTTCGGATAGTGATGGATACCGAAACGACGCAATAGTCATACCTTTCAGATCACACCGACTCCTGGACATTCCCAACCGTTAAGATGGCGTCGACAAGCGACATTCGCGACATCATGAACTTGGGCCAGGCTGGTCCTCGACAGCCTGCGCCCAAGAAGAAGAAGCATGTCGAACCTCAACCTCGCGTCACCGGATTCAAGCGCGAAGTCCAAGCACTTATGGGTGACTCTGTTCCTCCGATTGCGCTCGTCGAACAACGGTCCTACAAGTCTAGGCCCTCAATATCCCAGAAGTTGTTCAAAGCGAGACATTGGGAGGAGAGACCGTTCCAGCATGGCGCAAGAAAAGATGGCTTAGTGTTGAGACATTGGAAGCGTGCGATTCCGGGTTCACAGGCACGACTGCCAGCCCTTTCCAGTGTTGACGGTTCCGCGGACGTGGAGATGACAGACGATTCGAAGGCTGCCCCCGATGTGCAGGATATACGGTTTGAGGAAGAATTCCCGTCACACAAGTGGGATGTCAGAGTGCAGATGCCATCATACACAGACGAGCAGTATGAGGCACTGCTCAAATCAGACGACTGGACGAAACAAGAGACAGACTATTTGATGGAACTTTGCCGAGATTACGATCTTCGATGGGTCATTATCGCTGACCGATATGAAACCGGAGAGATGTCTGCTACCGCAACTCACCAGAATGGAGAAGTAGCTGGCGACGAAGTCGCTCTCAGACCTGCATATCCACCCCGGTCCCTGGAGGCCCTCAAACAACGCTACTATGCCATTGCTGCAAAGATGCTCGAGACGCAAATACCTGCAAGCAACATGACCCAAACCGAGTTTCAGTTGTGGGAGAAGATGCGCAATTTCGACGCTAAGACAGAGACGATGCGCAAGGCCATGGCAGAAAAGTTGTTCGAACGAACCAAGGACGAGGCAGATGAAGAGCGGACTTTGCTTGAAGAGCTTCATCGCATCACGAAGAACGAAGACGATTTCATCAGAATGCGCGCAGAGCTGTACGCAAGACTTGAGCCGGTGGCGCCTATTCGAAGAAATGAAAGAGGCGAGGAGCAGCCAACTGCTATGTATCAAACGTCTTCAGGCCTTTCGATGCTCCTACAGACGTTGCTTGCTAAGGAGAAGAGACTGAAGCCTCGTCCTGCGATTGGCACTGCAGAGTCCGGTGCTGCATCGGCTACACCCACCGATGCCCAGAAGCATGACAAGGGACGACATCCTAATCAGTACAGTCGGCGAGATACTATGGATACGCAAGCGGAAGAAGCTGGTCCTCAAAAGAAGGGTTCGACATCTGTACCCAACGTCCGAATTCTGACACCCCCGGAAGAGACACGATTCGGTGTATCTCATCCACAAGAAAGACTTACCAGTGGTGTTCAATTCCGGCATGAGAAGATCAATCGCATGACAATGGCCAAAAGTCAAACGCAAACCACTAAAATCCAAGCCGCTTTGACCGAGTTGGGGATTCCATCGCGCCTGCTTATGCCCACAGAACGCGTATGCCGCGAGTTTGACAGGTTGGTCAGAGAAATCAATATACTCCTCGATTCGAGAAAGGTCAATGAAAAGGTCGCCACCGAGATCAAGATCCTGGAAGAAGCAAGGCGCATCAGGCTAGGCCTGCCCAAGGAAGAAGAGCAACCTGGTCAAGCCCCAGGTGATGTTACGGAATACGACTCATCGCAATTTGTCGACAGCAAGCTCGAAACTGTGGACGAGAGCTCCATGGCTGTGCCTGAAGAAGACAAAGATGCCGAGGGTGAAGACGATGAGCCCGGAGACGACACCAATTTGACGAACGGCCGTGATGAGAGTACCATGGTTGTTGATAAGGACGAAGATGATGCCGACGCGGATGAAGATGCTGATGATGCTGGCCCCGCATCTGCTCGCAGGAATGACGCAGAGGAGGATGACGAGGACGATGACGAGCAAGAAGAGCAGCAGGAACAAGCAGAGGATGAAGAAGATGAAGATCAGAATGACAATCTCGATATCTCTGTCACGCGCCTCGATCAAGAGAATGACGACGATGAGGAAGAAGACGAGGAAGAAGAAGATGAGGATGACGACGACGACCAACCTCAGCTTGGTGTTGATGAAGATGAAGATGCAGAGGAGCGTGATGAGGACGAAGATGAAGTCTCACCAGAAGTCAGCGATGCGGAGGAGGCTGCGGATGATGACGATGAAGAAGAAAATGGAGAGGCTGAAGCCGAAGTTGAAGAGTCTGAGCAGGAAGAAGAAGCTGATGCAGATGAGCATGAATCTGCCGTGGAAGCTGATGAGGACGGCGCCGAAGAGGAGAACGTGAATGAGCCTGTAGCGCCTGCACCGGCTGCCACTCGTCTGCACAAGCGCTCTGCAAGTGTCATATCTGAGGCAAGCCGTGCAGGTAGCAATCGCAGTGGTCTTGGGAGAAAGAAGAGGAGATAGGTAGATAAGTGAATACTGCATTTCCTGACGAGCATGAGCTGCTTTTCTTCACACCGGGACGACTTGGCTTCTGTCCGCTTTGAACCCTCCACGCCCATTCATAAGCAACAGGAATCGCTCAGTCGGATGCCACGCTTTCTTAACGGCACTCTGCTGCCGCGATTTGAGCGGATTCCAGCTCACATTAAAACCAGGATCACCCACGAGTCCACCAAGACCATTTACCTCTGTCATCATCACTATTACCGCGGCTCGCCATCCTGATCTCGTTTGGAGTCCTCTTCGACATCATCTTCATTCCTCCTCAGCGTTGTGATACTCAGTTTCTTCAGCGTTGTGATGATCAGTCTCTTCAACGTTCTGATGCCCAGTCTCCTCCGCAGCATCCCAGTGCGCAAGGAAGTCGGCCTCGGCGTCGTCCTCGGTCTCATTGGGCTCAGTGGTGACCGGTGCAGACACAGTCCGTCTCGGGTTGATCACTGTTGACACTTCTGGTAGCCAGCCGGTCGCCCGCTTCAACGCATCGCTGACAGGTGGATCCAACCATGTCATTGTCGTGTGGGAGCGCTTGACACGTTTACCTGGTGTCGCTGCGTCGTCCGGAGTGTCAGCCTCGTCGGCATCGAGGTCAATGATCGGTGGTTGAGGATGAGGAGGGCCAACAGGGTATGTTGGTTGTGGAAGACGTTCGTGGGCTGCGGCTGGGACTTGGGGACCGCCCATGGGTATGAGTCCAGGAGCCCGTGGTTGCAGGGGAGCGTGAAGGCCGTAGTTGATCTGTTGTGGTTGTGGTTGTTGTCGTTGAATGTGGATGTCGAGACGGTCGATGCGCTCGTTCAGTGCTCTGATCTCCAGCTCGTGCTCCTCTTCCTTCAGTCGGATATAGTTCTGGAGATTCTGTACATTGTATCTAAGCCGAGCAATGGTTCCGCGGTCTCGTGCCTCTGTCTCACGGCACGTACGGTGCACGTCGAGATCCGTCAAACCGAGCTGGTGGAACGAAGCGGGTTGCTGTGCATAGTTCTGATCGTAGGGGTTGGCTGCTGGTGGGATTTGTTGGAACAGCATCTGTTGCTGTGCGTAGCTTGGGTCGTTGAAATTAGCAGCTTGAGGAAGTTGGTGGAAAGGGTGTGTGAACTGCTGCCGTGGCAAAGGACTTGCAAGTTGCTCGCCGGCTAGGAAGTTTGGTTGATGGATGGTCCAGTCGTATGAATTAGCATTTTGGTTGACTCCTGTGTAGCCAAATGTCTGGGCAGCTCCTTCGTTGTCGTTGCTGTTGTAGACGCTGTGGTCTCCATAGACGTTGGCGTCAGGGTCCATCTTGCCGCCGACGGTGGCGTGAGGGGTGTGTAGATATATGGTGTTGTCTGGTCGCGACGAAAGGATCTTTCATGGTACTGTGCCATCGATCTCAAAAAAAGAAGTATGAATAGTCTGGATGTGACAATAGGACGCACTTTCTACCGGACCTTTTGAATAGGCATCGTCTCACCTATGTCGTCTGCCTCACACAATACGTCCATCGATCTTATTTGCTTATCGGACACTGACTCGTATGAACTATGATCCCTACCGTATTGTCTCCGTGACGGTTTTCGGGCTCAATAACGTGGTGGTATATTGTTCATATCTGGAAGTCTGCCTCAGACAATAGGTGTGTCGGAGACCTCTCCCAACTGGGATCTCACCTTAGCAACCATAACTGCTACTGCATTGTCTCACTGAAGGTCTTCAAACCCAACGGCCATAATGTCTAGGGTTCTTGTGAGGGAGTCACCTATGCTCACCGATTCTCACCATCTTATTGTCACTGTCGCCCTCCGCACGCTCAACGACCACGTTGTTCATTGTTCGCAGTGGGGAGCTTATTATCGCCAAGCTTGCATCAATGTAGCCATTGCATACCAGGTGTGGTACAATCTCATCGCCCAGGTGATTCATGTATGAAGTGAAGTGAAGATAGTGGACAACTATCATTCCTCCGACGATAAGCGGCTCTTTCCTTATCGAACCTCGCACGCTCATTCGTCACAATGGCCGAAGATTATCCGGCGATCCCTCCCACTCCTGTCCTCCGTCCTCGCGAACCATCACCGGAACCTGAGTTCCTTTCACTCGACGACCAGGAACCGTCCGCTGCCTGTGTTCTCATCATCGAGCCAGGTAATGCCGACACCATGAGCGTCATTCTTTGTACAGCCGGCTATGACCATACCATCCGGTTCGTGAAATCAGTTCTGTGTGAAATCCAATCTCAAAACTGACATCCAAATCACAGGTTCTGGGAAGCTCTCTCAGGAATATGCTCGCGAACAATTCAACACCCTGAATCTCAGGTGAATCGACTATGCATCACTCCAGACAAGAAATACCTCGCCGCGGCTGGCAGACACATGGTTCGTCTGTACGATATCAAGTCTACCAATCCAAATCCGATCATGGAATTTTCTGGCCATGCAAACAACATCACCGGCATTGCTTTCCACTGCGAGGGCAAGTGGATGGTCACCAGCTCGGAAGACTCGACTGTGCGCGTCTGGGATACTAGATCCGGTCAAATTCAACGCAACTATCAACACACTGATCCTGTCAATGATGTGGTCATTCATCCAAATCAAGGTGAACTCGTCAGCTGTGATCGCGGCGGCAATATTCGCATCTGGGACCTAGGCGAGAGCAAATGCACTCATCAACTCGTGCCCGTCGAAGGCGTTTCCATGTCCAGCGTGAGTGTCGCTAGTGACGGCTCTCTTCTTGCGGCTGGTAACAATCTGGTACGTCTCTCTGTGTTTCTATCATGCCTCAACCAGCACTAATCTCCTACCAGGGCGACGTTTATATCTGGCGCATGTATCAGAACCATGACTCTACCACACTCCTGCCATGCCGCGTTTTCAAGGCTCACAAGGACTACTTGACCCGTCTCTTGTTGTCTCCTGATATCAAACTACTGGCCACCTGCAGCGCCGATCATACCGTCCGCATCTGGAAGATTGACATGAATGAAGAACATCTTGAGGTCATTCCAGAACAGTCCAGTGTCACCAACACTCCAAATCCAAACATATCACAGAGTCAGGACGACCTCAATGAAGACGGAGACAGTGAGCAGTCACAAGCAAGTCCGGCTGTCCCTGGTGAACAATCTACATACAACAATCGCTCGACTGGTAGTCTCGCTTCGACCTCAAACTCAATGTCGGCATCGTCTTTCCGCGCGTTGACCGATCTCATCACCAGCCGTCGCCCGTTGCCTTGTGACGCGGCCCTGGACAACCATCAACGCTGGGTCTGGGATTGTGCTTTCAGCGCCGACTCCGCCTATCTCGTCACTGTTTGCAGTGACCACTACGCCCGCCTGTGGGAGCTGGGCACGGCGTCCATCATCCGGCAATACAATGGCCACCACCGTGGTGCTGTCTGTGTCGCCCTCAACGATTATTCAAACCCACCATAGGAAGGTGACATCTTGGAAGCGGAGGACGACAATGCTGTACCATAGGCATAGGGTGGCGTTAAAATGAGCACTTGCCGTGGGAACAAGATGCATGAGGCTGGCGAGTTGACCTTGGAATACGACGGGAATAAAAAAGCATGGCGTTATGGAGCTCTACAATTCTTTATGCACGATACCCAATTATGTACCTGATTGACGCCCGTCCTGTTTTGTTCTGTCCGCAAGGTGATACATATCGTGTGAGCTGGATCCGATTACGACTCAACAATTCTGAGCACAAAGTTGACAACAACAGCTGCCAGCAGAGCAAGAGCCAAAACAGTAGGTCCGATCCTGTCATCAAATCCACCTTGACCTCTGACCCTGATGCTCTTCGCTCGCCAGTGGAACGTGAAGAGCGCATATATCATGGCGGCCATAGCCACCAGTGTGAACAATCCCGCAGAAATGCGGCCGACCTTATCACCAAAATTCAGGAGACCCACAGCCAGACCACCTAGAATGACGGTAAAGTTGAGCCATGAGAGAAAGGTACGCTCGTTGGCGAAGAAGACTTTGGGTTCGACTCGTGTAGGAAGGGCAATGCGCTTGCCTGATTAGAAGATGTTAGCATGAATTACGGGTGCTTGCAGAAGGGCGGAGACACACCAGGAGCACTCTGGAGCAGTGGCTGTTCAGACATGTTGTAGAAGTGCTAGACGAAGTGCTAGTGTTTGTGCCCGCCCGGTCGGAAGAGTCGTATGCTCTGTCTTTCGTTGAGCCCTGATACAAATCTTCGATCTATTGTGTTGCGATAACGGTATCGTGTATCACCGCGCAATATCCCGACCACAAGAGCACCTGAGGATTGGAGTTCTAGAAGTTCGGAAGCGACGTCGATAAGACTGTGAAGTCGTAGTGCGACCAGTCCAGATAATAAGAAACCGGTTGAATACAGGAGTGCTCGGTTTCGTCGTGTTTGCTTCGTTTCCCTCCTCAAAGTCAACACGTGCAGCCGACAACGACAAAAAGCGTATGTGCAGTGAAAGGACAATATTCACAACGCACAAGCGATATATAGACTGAATGTGAAGCTGCAGCTAGAAAAAGTGGACGTGGAATAAGAGGAAAAAAGCAAGAAGCTCTTGCGTCGAAGCACCTCCCAGAGCCTCTTTCTCAGTTGCGGGGCAAGTGAGGCACGTTGTCCTTGTTACAGCTTTTGATTTGCCAACCACAGCACGTGATCTTTCGGTACCGGTTCTGCATTTCGGCCGCCACCATGTCGACCCTACTACGGAAGGTCAAATCGACCATTGGACAGGCGACAGACTCGAGGTGGGATGAAACAATCAACAGACCTGCGACCAGAAATCGATTACACAGAGCTCAACACCGTGCTTCCGAACGGCCTTCTCAAAATAGCATTGTTACCGTGAACCAGGTCCAACCCGAGCATCCTCTTAACGAATTTCGGAGACGACTTGCCCGGAAGGCTTCGACGTTTAGTCTACGTGCGAAGCGGTGGAGGGCTGAATATCACACTCAAGATCAAGAGGAGGCAGTCAAGCAGGAGGACAAAGAAGACGGGGAGACGTTCGCCAGTAGCCGGGAAACTGTTGTCGGGATCAGAAACGAGACAGTCAACACCACCCCACAAGCGGAGGGTCGAACAACAACCGATCGTGACACGCAGACAATTTCCTCTGAAACGATACTCAAGCCTGAAACAGACGAAGATACCGTCGAAGACACCGCCGAAGACTTCTCATTGCCTTTTGCGTACACGAAGTCCTCAGTCTCGAGAGATCCTGTGCTAGAACACATCCGAGAACAACAGGAGAAGTACTTGTGTAAGGACGAAGCAGACGGCAAGACCTGTGTCAAGATGGCTTCGGAACAAGCGGCACCACCTGTCCCTTACACTCGGCTGAAGGAGATCACAGAGAACGTAAGTCAACTCTCTCCACCACATCCCTTGCCGACTTCCAATGACCGGATATTGACCATGTTTACTACAGGCCTGCGAGGCTGCTCTCTCCGGAGTCACTTCATATTCCCATCCCGACACCGAGTCCTGGAACACCACCATCATCAACAGCATCCTAGGCGCCCTGGTTGATGAGACTGGCAAACTAGCCGGAGGGGCCCCTACTCAACCACAGTTCAAGTACGTCGTCAACAGCACCATCATTCAACACGCCTCGAGTTCATCGGACGACGCCAAGAAAGCAAAGGGTCGCCGAGGCATGCACGCCGCCAGCGGAGCGTACTGGAACAATGAAAAGGACGGCATGTGGAGCTACAAGTATCCCGGCGCGGAAAGCAAAGGTCTGGACGTGGTGATTGGAATCATCTGGATCTGGGTTGGTTAGAAGCCGGACTCAAGGCACGAGGACTATTTTGGAGAATGGGACTTGCAGGGTAAAGCAAAGGGTGTCAATGAAGAAGAGCCATGGTCGAGCGATGGTTCAGCACGGTCATGAGGGTAGCAGGACACCTTGCCGTGCGAGCGGTCTTTTGGGCTAATGGGCCTGGACACGGAAAAGTTATCCAAGAGCTGCTTCGATCAAGGGGCCCATGCATGAGACAGGACATATCGAGGCTACTGGGGTGACATTCATAGTGAGTAAGAAGCCATTCGGACTACTGGCTAGTATGCAAAAGTTACTGAGTAAGCTATCTCCCAACATGCATGCAGCCGAGGGCGGTCTAAGGGTAGCGAGTGGTAAGCGAGAGACAGTGAATAGTCTAAATCAAGGTAATGACAGCCTTGCCAATGTCAAAACAAGATGACGCCCTGCAAAACCAGCTTACAAGACCAGCACTTTCGCAATATAGGGACCATCGAGACGTCGAGACCGCCGACCGGGTATGCATCTTCATCTTCCGTCTGCTAAACCGGGTATGCATCTTCGATTCCCGTCCGCGAATACGGGGTAGCTGCCTTCCCGTATGCAAGCTGCACTACCTTATCAATGGCTGTACTATAACTGGGAGGACACACTGGACAGGTCTTCACCATTGTCAGAACGTGATGACTGCTTGGTCTCTCGCCAGGGAGTCTGCATCTCCCTTTTCATATCTTACCGTGCGATCGATTTCCGGTCGATTCCTGACAGGGGGACCTGCGTTCTTGCTGCTAGCACCGATCGGTGTTCGAGGATACCGCCTTTTGCTCGGGCAGTCCTCTCACAGTTGGTCGTCATATCGCGGAGAGCGGAGTGTTGAACGGACTTGTTGCTCTCTCGCCCTAAGTAGGATGTCAAAGCACACGGTCAATCGGGTGGATATAGGGAGACCGTCGAGTTGCAGTTTCACGCTTTGGTGTCAACGGCACCGTGGGTCGCTGAGAGAAAGCAAGAGCAGAGGCAAGGGCAAAGACGAAAAGAGAAGCAAAAACGAGAAAGCCATTCGGCAACCTGATGCTGCAATCCAACCGCTGAAACGGCCGACGCTCGAAACTCGGCTTTGTTGGCAGGCTGCCCAGTGCTGGCCATTGCCGTGATGATCTGTATATCAAAAGGAGGTCATTCTGCGCGACGTACGGAATCCACACGAAGATCAATGCGGCGTACACCGTAGTAACTCTGGGACGGTTCATGCGCGCCTAGCTACGCACATTTGTGGCCTTGGTCTGGCCCGGAAAGAGATCTTGCCGTGCGAAGGGACGAAATCGACAAAAGGACCAAATGGAAAGTGTACCTGCAGGACGCTCCGACAAGTTTCTCCGCCATGTGGAATTCACCATATTTTGTCACTTCGGCTGTAAACATTTGAGATCTTTCGCATGCACGCATACGTTGACTTTGTTCGGGCCGTTTGGTTCTGCTCAGGTCTGGAAGACTCTTTGGTGTTGTTTGCTTCCGGTGACCCAGGTAGGTATTGATCATCGTCCCCCCTCTTTCCTCTTGGAAGCTGCATGGAGATCTCCAGCAGAAAGAATCTTCCAGACGCTCAAATGTTGACGAAACGATGATATTCAGGCCAGGGCCATGGTCTCGTCAAGTACATGGCATCGGATTCGGGTTCCCCATTGGGCATTGTGATTCATAGTACATTTAAATCTTTCTTCTGTCGTTGTTTGATGAGTTCTTGTACAGCCACGCCGACCCCGTGCCTGAAACGTGGTCGGGACGGTCGGAGCGACCGACCATCGCCGATCTGAAGAAATCATTGGTTGTGTTCTCCTTGTATAACGTGGCCTGCTGGCATGACACTATCAATCTGTTGTCGGTAAATGTAAACGTGCATACGGATAGGTCAATTGCTAGGACCCTGATCATCATGGCTGAAGTTCTGATGTCAAGAGCCGTGTTCTTCAAGTCCTCCTCCTGCGCATTCGTCTTTCCTCACGTGTCACCCATGTATGCATTGTTTGTACGTCGTTTTGTCCTGTCGTGTATTTTTCCGCATGCATCAGATCTGCGTGCTGTAGGCGAGTTCCATTTAGCCGAATAGTGCGATGAGCGTGCGAATCACTCAAGCGAAGGGTCAGCGCACTCATTCAGTTGGTGAAGATCTGCAGAGAACAGTGTTGAAGCTGGATCAGACATGTGTACCAGAGGTCACACAGGTTTTGCTGCCTGACGATCGTTAGCCTTGCGAACATGATTCGTCCACTGATTCTGCTAGCATGACCCATAGCTGAGAGCTGCCATACGTGAGTTGACATTTCCCTAGTAAATGAGGGCGGCCGGAGTTGCATTCCAGGGTGACAACCACGGCTGTGTTCCTCAGACCTGATCTGCCGCGGCATAGCAAGATCTGAGATGAAACTCTAATGTTTGAGAGTTTGTCAACCGGCACGAGGAGAGCGGAGTATTTGATCGAAAATCGAAAACCAAAACGTGTTGTAACAAATCACTACGTAGGCACCATCAACTGAAGGTCTCCATCTCGGGAAAGGTACGACAAGTAGGTTCAAGCAAGCTGCAGTTAGATTTCAATTCCTTCGGAGAGCCCTCTGGCGATCGTTTGCTGGTTGTCCTTTGCGTCGTGGTGTACTCAGTGAGTGCTCGTGCCAGTGCTAGGTGCTTCACAGGAAAATCTGGATGAGCCTTCTGGAAGTCTAGCAAGCGGTCCACTCCGATTTCGCGGTCTCGATGAGACAAATGCAGATATATGCCCGTGATTTTAGTTGCCTGGTAGCGGATGAGGCCGCTTGGCAAGCACAATGGTCAGGACCCGACTGTAGCTCTTGTTCAAGCTTTCCGAGAGCGGCAGTCTATGCTTCTGTTCCGTCCCCACCGCGGTTCCCGCCGTGCACGGTGTCATGTGTCAGGTGTCAGCGATAGCCTCTGCGTCTTGCATCTGAGACATCGACTCGGTATTCAGCAAAAAGACGCGATCATTCGTGCAGCCAATTTGACAGTCATCAGGGATATCGCGATGAAAGAGACACGGTACAGAGACGACTAGACTAGTCTTGAGCCAAGCGAGGGAGGATACGGAAGACAGGCGGCACATAGGGCGACGTGGTGGACAGGCTCCATCCTGTGTAAAATGGGTTGTAGTCAACATTAGCTTGAAGAGCCGACGGGTGATGACATTGGCGAACCTGGGAGGAAGTCTAGTTAGAGACCGACAAGGGGTCAGGGATAACGCAAGACCACTAACGCATCTGCCCTGGAGCTGACGCAGCACCCAGAATTTCAGATTTCAACATCCACTTTAGAAGTGGGTATTCAGTGTCCATTGGCACTTTGATCCTTGCAAGTCTCAAGGGAACTTCGCTTATGGACAGCCGAAAGAGCAAGGGTGAGCCGCTTTGGGCTGCTCATAGTGACAGATGAATCGCGATTGCATATTCGTCGGAGCAGTATGTATCGAAGGCACCGATCCGGTCGACGCCATAGACGCAAAGATGGGGACAGGTCGTATGGGAATACGAGGTGACTTGCATCAAAATGTCTTCGTGCATGGTACAGAGTAGTACACCTAACAGTATTACCTTGGATGTAGTACCTGGGTAGGTATCGTTGGGTACGACTTATTATGGAGAGACCCACAGCGGGCAAGTCTTATTTTTCGGCTGATTTTAGGCTAGGCGTACCAGTATTCCAGTTGGCTGCCCTCCTTGAATTGCGCCTAGTCAAGAGCCTGTGCTTCATCTTCTCCAGGCGCCTGCGGGCACTTGAAACTAGGGCTCTACCCATCTCACACTAAGCCTCATTCGAAGGGCGCAGGGACAATTGTGACTTTTGGGCGCAGTTTTGGCATCTGCGGAAATACAATTCTCTGAACTCTCTTAACTTTAGCCCCATCACAATACGTATGCCTGTCTTTGATTTTGGCGCCGTTTTTCTCCCACCCTGCACAACAGCCATGCAGCATGCAGATGCGTCCTAGTCCTCTTGTACCTCTATACCGTCGCCATTGGCCAGACACGAATCTCTTTGACAGCCGGTAGCGGATGCAGCATGCTGAATCCATCATCAACTATATCATCCACTCTCTATCTCGATGCCAGCAAGGCGACCATTCAACGGTCAGGAATCCCTCGGGCCATACTTCCTAGATCTCACTATTCGATCCTGCCAGCTCTGCAGGGATTGACCCCATTACGCGCGATCTGTCGATTCTCCTCTTGCCACCGAGACAAGTCTAATCGCTCTTTGATCCAAACCAGCATCTAAATCCACAGTACAAGCGACCCAAGCGAAACTACACTGACTACTCCAAGTCTCGATCGAGAAGACCACTGACTGTTTCGATACCTTAGAAACACCACGAAAAAGCACACTAGTACCTCGAACTAAGGCAAGCCTTGCCGCTGCCTTGCCGGAATGCCATCACTGTCAAGATATTCCCCATTCTATGATACCGGGTTTCAAGACCTTTCAAGCCAATCTTGGGAGCCGAACTCGTCAACCGTCGTACAACGTCAGTAATTGGCTGTCCTCCTGCATTGTCCAAATATTGTCACACCACTCCTCTGCTGTCTAAGTTTTTGCACAAACGATCATGGTTAGATTGGTAACGATGCAAGCTGAAAGATCTCAGCCGAAAAGCACCTCGGTCTCGCACATTGGACAATAGTTGACATTGACAAACTGGATCATTTGGCAAGCGTCCCCGCAAGAAGACTCAATCAAGTAATGAATTTGAGTTGCCCTGGACTGCGGCTGAAATGGAACAGACGACGCACAAGCATCGCGGGTGCCGCGAAGCTCTGAGCGGCTGTGGGCTGTGCGGCTTAGCGTCTCCAACACTCGAAGAAGTAATCTTGCGACCAGCAACGATAGATCGAGGAAAGGTACAAGCCAGGGTGCTCCGAACTATGCCCTTCCGGGCCTTGCCTGACTATGCCATATCTGAGATTCCATAGCTCCGAAGTTGCCATCTGCACGGCATTGGGAACCTGGAACAACCCACCCAAGGGTGAAGTTTCCCCATCTCGAACACCAATCCCACGCTTGGCTGACCTTGCGCATCATTACCCATTCGAGACCTGTCAGTCGCATCCTGGCGAACGGCGGTCCCGGACTGCGGATGGCGGCGATCTGCATCTGACATTTCGTTCGCCAACCTGGCTCTAGCCTCCAAGTCCGGCCCAAGGATTCTTTGCGAAAGCAGAAATCCTTGCTCACCTAAGGTCGCGCCTTGTATCTGGATGGTCCTCCTTGTCAAACGATTATTGCAATATGCTCACAGCCAACCCGAACCAGGAACGTCTTACCGAGTCTCAAACAAGCATTGAATGCTCGTCAACTTTCCTTTCTGGGGAGTTTTGGTCAAGGTCTATTGTGCGAGGGAAAGACCCGATACCTCTTGGTCCCATCCGCCGTGACGAACTACGGGCAACTAGGACGGTGGCTGACCTAGTACGCTCTGCACATTGCGCACTCGGAGAATAATCCTCCTAGGAGGGAGGAACGGGTCCCCCATTGCGAATACTCTAATTCCACCCTCCCAAGGTTTCTCTCGCCCTGTCACACTTGCAGATCAATGAGACTGGCTGCTCTCCACAGATGTAGGGCAGTGCTTTTCCAGCCAGGACGATGACCCGAGCCAACTTCTCAGGCCTGACTAGTCTCCATCAATGAGTATCTAGTACATCTACCGGGATTCGGAGCAAACTTGACATCCATTCGAGCCAGCCGTTGCGCTACTCCTCTCAAGAACGTCGGGGCTGTCCAATCAGACCAGGTACACACTTCTTATCCAGCTGCCCTCATCTCCTTCAATTTTGAACGCGACACTGTCCCCTTTTCCGGCCTGACAACTTCGAAGTCTTCGACAATCTCAGCCCCAAGTCCCTGTTCCATCAGTGGAGGACAACACCTGGTCACCGACTGATTTGCTTCTGCGGATCTTTCCGTTTTGCGCGCCGAGCCTTACGTACAGCGGCTTTGCCGACAAAGGAATGTCAATGCCTTATCCGTCTGGCTGGGTACTTGAATGATGTTGGTCGCCACAGAGACCCTTCATCGAGTTGGCAGTGAAGTCATTTCGGTGGTCGCAATGTCAGAATCTGGCAGCGAAGCAAGCAAGGCAGCAAAGAAAAGGTCAGTGTACCCGTGCCTTCTTGTTCGAGGTCGCCGCTCATGGCACATCAGGGAATACAATCGTAATGCACAGAGAGTCTTTCGTAAGTAGCATGCGTGGCATACACGCCCTTTTTCCGGTTTCACGTTCACGGATGCTGATTGCCCTCAGGTCAACGGCGCAAGGAGCACTTGAGTAACCTCGAGGCAGCTCAGCGGGAACTGAATAGTATTCAGGTGGAGGAAGTCGAACGTCTTCGTCGCGAGAACCAGCTACTTGCGCAAGAAAACAAGACTTTGAAACAAACGTACGACTCTCAAGCCAACTCTCCCAGACTGTCGGTAAGTCCTAGTGAACTCAGGGCTCCGACTGCAGGGTATGTGCATTATTCCACGCCGTCCGTTGGTTACGTGGACTCCGTGACGGCAACACCCGGGTATATACCTGCTGGTGGTCCTTCCGCACTTCCTCCGCCGGCGTCGACACCTCTTTCAAACACTAGCAACGACCCTGCCAACCTCGTTGTTGTAGTGCCTAACAACATCCGCGAAATTCGGCGGTCACTCCATCAAATGTTTGCTCCTCTCCTCGAGATACCAGTCATTTCGAACCCACAGTCACATCTGGCGACGCTAGCAGCGCTAGAGCCAACCCTTCCGAACGCTTTGAAACCCACGCAGTTACAACTCACAACACCACATCACGCATACATCGACATGCTACCTTCGCCCTCCCTTAGAGATCGACTCATTGCAATCGGACCTGCGAACGCCAATAGCTTCCTCACAGAGGCATGTACTATTGCATGTGACATTGAAGATACCGGACAAATGACAATATGGGGCGAGGACTGGTTGAACGATTTCTCTTGGGAGTTCTCTGCTGCTGTGCTGGAAAGATGGGGCGGCTGGCTCCTTACCCCGGAATGGGGCCAGCGAGCCAACTTTTGGCGGCGCCAGAGAGGAGCGCCAGTTCTACCAGGATACGATTGATGAGAAAAGGAGGCATCCGCTCGGTTTATTTCTGTCACCGTTGGGCTCGCGACGCCATAGAAGGACTCGTGATTTCGACAAAGGTCCATATTCGGGCGTGATGCGACACGGCTGAGGTGCGAAGTCGTCAACCATCCATCAGCAAGAGTTGGATGCGTGTTAGTTGCTATGGACTTCAGGAAATGTCCTACCAAGCCTGTACCGAGACACTTCGGGCACGCCGCAATCTTGTGAAAGGGCTTGCTGGACCTTACAGTATGTCTTCAACCATGGCGCAGGTCGCTATTGTGAGACTTTGAAAGTCTTGACTGTCCCTCGTTGTACTATCTTTGTGCACTGTGTGCTCTCATCTTGACCATCATCCTGACCTTCATACTTTTGCATCGGCAATTCCCACACTGTTTTTCTTTTCAGACCAGATCGTCAACGAGGAGAGCAGGATCGTATCGGCATGAATACAGCGTTTGTTGTCAGACTCATCGCGAAAGCAAATCTGGTGTTATACGGGATCTTTTATATAGGTGACGTGGTACTGGTCATCAGTCAACCCAGTCTTTTGAGTGTGAGGAGCCACACTTCGAAAGATACATCCCGTGGTCCTAAGCACCCTGCTTTCGGAGACTTCGAACATATCGCAACAAGCTTTCTTTCAGCGGACACCATATACTACCGGGTGTGTTTCAGTGTTTGTGACTGTGATGAAGGCGCAGTTTACAAGACGCAGCTCGATTTCTTGGGTTGTGCGCAGGGTCAACCGAATTTTACGTACATAACCGCCGCCAGCCACTTCCTTTTCACTAGGATGTGATTAACGCCGACGGCTGGACTTGTACAAGACCTCGATGCTCTTCCACAGGCTACCCGACACGAGCAGTCCAACATCTTTGTCGTGTGCACATCAAACACAACGAACGTTATCAACGGAGTCGTGGCTTTTGAACTACCGACGAGTTGAGAGAAATGAATCTGCGAACCCTTCCTTACCAGTTCCATCGAAGCACGATCGACGAAAATGAGTCAGCAGCATGTCGACGACTGAGGCAACATACCTTCAATCGGTCAGAATGTCTTGGATAATCCTGACGGTTCAAAACACTTCCGCTGGATGCCCGCAGAAAGGCCTTCGATCCACAAGCAATAGATGAACACTACGCCAGATTATCTAGGTAGCCATAGCGCAACAGGGCCAACTACCAGGACCACAAGGCCATCGGCCTGTATCCACATCAAATTGACTCCATTCATGATCAGCCGAAAGAGCTTAGAGACAAAATGGCTCCTCATGTTACGCGGATGCAGGTTCAGTCGAGCCTATTGTTGCCGCCCTTGTGCCTGCAATGGTATCATTTGTGTTTCTGTGGCCATTTGCCTCGACTATCCATCAGTGGATGGTAGAACGACACGACATATGCTCCAATTAGTGTCAACCAGACCGACACAGATTTGAGAAAAGGTAAAGAGAGAGATGCGAGAGTGCAACAGCAAGGACAAGGTGGATTCAGCTGAATGAAGAGCAGGACTCTTTGACCAAAACTATATAATATTTACAAGTGCCATTACAATACAACCAAGCGCCATTCTAGTGTACACCAGAGATGAGTGGGTATCAGTGTCAAATCCGACAACTCCACGCCCAATGCGACATTTTCGGTAAGACTAGACTGTAGACTGAGTTGAATGCTCATAATTTCATCGGCTTCATAAATGGGAAACAGAAAATCCACTTTTTGGACCAGGTTCGAAGACGCAATAATGCGATATTTGCCGAAGGATGCAATTTTGAAAAGTCCCATGCAAAATGGGAGGAGTATTTGCTGGAAAGTGGAATGGTGTCGGGGATTTTTGCCTCTCGATATCCGGGTCTGTCGTAGATGGCCCACACAGGCCGTTGGGTTTTGTCCGGCGTAGCAGAAGCTAGCTTGCCGTGTGGTTGGGTTGGAAGCATGTGAAGAGTAGATGAGGCGAGCATCATGGGGTCGCATATGGAGAAGTTCGCCGCCTGCATATGGAAGGTGGTAGTACCATACAGTAGGTCACGACCCGCCGGGTGAATGTTTAGTTGTCGGCAAACAAGATGAGAGTAACTGTCAGCTCGCTCGTTGGGGAGATGCACAGGTGCCCTCGAGAACGCAGCGTCTCTCGTTCTGGATAGCCTAGGGAGCCTCGATTGACAGCCTCGAAATGACGGTCGCAGAGATCGGGCCTAAGAGGCTCGGATAGGCTCCAAGTCTAGCGCTGACCTGTCGTCCGTAATGACCACCTTAGCGAGATCTCCACCTTTGAGTTCACCACGGATGATCCTGTCCGCCAACTTGCGCCCGATTTCATGCTGGATCAATCGGTTGAGCGGTCTAGCGCCGTACCTGGGGTCGTAGCCCTTCTCGCAGAGCCAATCCTTGACCTCGTCCGAGATGTCGAGCTTCATGCGGCGGTCGTCGAGTCGGGTTTGCAATTCCTCGATGCGTATGTCGACGATGTCCCTCAACGCCGACTTGGACAGCTTGTTGAAGATAATGAACTCGTCGATTCGGTTCAGGAACTCGGGCGGGTAACTCGCCTGGACGACCTCCATGACGCCCTTTTTCTGTTCGGGCGTGACGCTCTCGACGTCAGCACCTGTGCCCATCAGGATCTCGGCGCCCAGGTTGCTGGTCAGAACGATCAGGGTGTTGCGGAAATCGACCTTGTGACCCTGCGCATCGGTCAGGTAGCCCTCGTCGAGCACCTGGAGTAGAAGGCTCGAGATGTCGCGGTGTGCCTTTTCGAATTCATCGAACAACAAGACGGCGTACGGCTTGCGGCGGACAGCCTCGGTCAATTGCCCAGCGTCTTCGTAGCCGACGTAGCCTGCTGTGGCGCCGATGAGCCGAGATACGGTGTGCTTCTCCTGGAACTCGGACATGTCGAATCTGACCACAGCGGATTCGGTGCTGAAGAGAAAGTTGGCGATTTGTTTGCAGAGTTCCGTTTTTCCCACACCGGTGGGACCGAGAAACATGAAGCTTGCAAGAGGTCGGTTTTCGTTGTTGAGACCGGCTCGTTGCATGCGAACAGCATTGGCGACGGCGGTGAGAGCTTCGTCTTGTCCTCGGACGTGCTCCCTCAGCTTGTCTTCCATCTTGATTAGTTTCTCAACCTCGCCCGACATAAGCTTCGTGACTGGAATGCCCGTCGACCGGCTAACGACGTTGGCAATGTCATCTGCTGTCACGGAATCGTGGATCAAGGTCTCGCCGTCTTTGGTGGTTGTTGCGACTTCCTCGCCCTCCTTGGGCAATTGAGACTCGAGTTTCGGGATGGTGGCATATTGTAATTCACCTGCGCGTGCGAAGTTGCCTTCTCGTCTGGCTTGTTCCAAGTCGTGCCGGGCCTTTTCGAGGTCTTCTTTCGTGCGCTTGATAGTCTCGATTTCGGCCTTCTCGCGATCCCAGATCTCTGTGAGGCGCTCCACCTCCTTTCTCTTCTCAGTCAGAGTCTCCTCAAGCTTTTGCCGCCGCTCTTTAGAGGCGATATCTGTTTCCTTACGCAACGACTCAAGTTCAATCTGTATCGTCATGATCTCTCGGTCGAGCTTCTGGATTGTGTCAGGCTTAGACTCTTGTTGCAGTCGCAGTGCGGAAGCAGCTTCGTCGACTAGGTCGATTGCCTTGTCAGGCAAGAACCTGTCAGTGATATAACGATTGCTGTACGTCGCGGCAGCGACCAGAGCACCATCCGTGATGCGGACACCGTGGTGAACCTCATATCGATCTTTAATACCACGCAGGATTGAGATGGTGTCTTGGACAGACGGTTCGCCAACGACGATTGGCTGGAATCGTCTAGCTAGCGCAACGTCTTTTTCGATCTGGCGGTATTCGTTGAGGGTGGTTGCGCCGCAGCATTGAAGTTCGCCCCGAGACAGAGCAGGCTTGAGCAGATTGCTGGCATCGATGGAGCCCTCTGCCTTTCCCAATCCCAGAAGGGTGTGAAGCTCATCAACAAAGAGAATGACCCCGCCGTGTGCATCTTCGACTTCTTTCAACACCTTTTTAAGTCTCTCCTCAAAATCGCCTCGAAACTTAGCACCAGCTATCAATTGGCCCAGATCGAGTGAGATGACTCTCTTGTTCTTGATACTCTCCGGAACGTCGCCTCTGACAATCCTCTGCGCAAGACCTTCAAGGATGGCAGTCTTACCGGTACCGGCAGCACCAATTAACACGGGGTTGTTCTTGGTGCGCCGGGACAAAATCTGGATTGTACGATGAATCTCTGCGTCTCTGCCAATGACAGGATCGAGTTTGCCATCTTTTGCACGAGCTGTAAGGTCGACACCATATTCTTCCAGTGCAGACTTTTCTGGTTCTCCTCCCAAGTTCATCCGGTGGGTGCCGCCGGGCGGATGTGGTCTTCCATTGGCATAGGTTCGTACAGAATATGTCGCAGGTACTGAGATGGCTGGCGCAACAGACCGTGAGAACACACTGGATCTGCTGTATGAGGATAGTAGGGAAGGTATTCGGCGGGATAGAGGCTTTGAGAATGTTCGTGTTGTAGCAGCTCGCCGTAGGAGCGACGACTTTGCTACGTTCATTGTGGCGTGCCTTTGCAGTGCCCGCGTGCAACCGCTTTCAATCTGTGTTATCGATGGTCAAGGGTGATATTCAACATGTTCACGAGAAACGCAGAAGGTCGAGGGATACTAATTTAGTATGGTGTGGTATGTTCTTGGATGGCCAATTCTCGAGACTTCGAGAAATTGTCTGTCGTATGATCTCATTACCAAAAGGGGGATGGTCGAGATTGTACTGCCGAATTTCTGCCGGCACTTCGCCAGCCTTGCGAGGAGGATCCGAGAGAGGCTTTTAGACCACGTTATACGAGGTATCACAGTCCGTGAATCGCAATGCGCATTAGAACCATGTGAGCCAGCAGATACTGCAGCGAGACGTAAGTGCATGCCCCGGTGTTCTCCATGTCCCTGTGTATCGACAGGTGGCTGTTTTGGTCTCCCTCGATGTGCGATAACCCGGCGGTAGAAGAGGTCAGGTGAGGCCAACAACTCGTTGCGGGATATTCAGATGCTATTTGGATACATGGATTGAACATCGCAGTGAATGTTGTCAGACTCGAGAGAGGGAGAAGGGGCCAGTCCGGAACTGCAGTGGTTCTCGGATCAAGACAAAGCAGCATCACATCTGTCCCAAACAGGAAGTCTCTAGAAAATCGCAGCTTGGCGCGGATTTGCATGATTTTTTGAAAGTTTGGCCTCTGCGACTGCGACGACTACAACAAGAGATTCTGTATACAAAGCCTTTCTGACCATATTCGACTCGTACACACACGGTCAACGATACAAACACCATGGGTTTCACCGACTTCGTCTCCGACAGTGGCCTCACACGTATGTGCCTTGTCCGCAACCCCCTCGTAAAGTACCAGCCCACTGACTCTGACTACAGTGCTTAACAACTGGCTCAAGACTCACTCATACATCACCGGGTATGTTTCAACTTCCCCGCTTTCTTCCCCCTGCTTTTCCTAAGGATGAGAACATTTTGGTCCGTGTTGATGAGGCGGATTAAGACCCCGCCGAATGACTACTTCCAATGCAAGCATTTGCACCTCTGATTTTCTTTGTTATGCGCAAACAATTGCTCTCTACGACGACCCGTTGACAACGGGAATGACAGTGTTTGCTAACGCATCTCATACAGCTACACCCCATCTCAAGCCGATGTTGTCAGCTTCAAGGCCCTTGACAAGGAGCCTGCCGTTGAGAAATACCCCCACGCCTACCGTTGGTACAAGCACGTCAAGTCATACGACGCCGACTTCTCCACCCTGCCCGGTGACCCATCCAAGCCATTCTCTACCTATGGTCCCGAAGAAGTTGCCGTGACACACAACCCCAAGGACGCCCCTGCCGACGAGGACGAGGACGAGGTTGATCTCTTTGGCTCGGACGAGGAGGAGGAAGACCCAGAAGTCGTTGCTGAGCGCGAGAAGCGATTGGCTGAGTACAAGAAGAAGAAGGAGGGCAAGACGAAGCCAGCTGCCAAAACTAACGTCACAATGGACGTCAAGCCTTGGGACGACGAGACAGACATGCAAGAACTGATGGACAATGTGTTGGCCATCGAGATAGACGGTCTCGTGTGGGGTGCTCACAGACTCCAGGCTGTTGGTTTCGGCATCAAGAAGCTGCAGATCAACTTGATCGTCGAGGACGAGAAGGTCTCTCTGGATGACCTGCAGCAGAGAATCGAGGAGGACGAGGACCACGTTCAGTCAACCGACATTGTCGCCATGCAGAAATTGTAAGCATTAGGCATAATGTCCCGCCGGCAAATTCATGACTTGCCATGTTTCTATTGTCACCCTTGTCTTCAGGCCAAGGAGGGTGGTAGCCTTGCATGGGGCGGCCCTCCGAGACTCATTGACAGGACATGTTGTCTTGGCCTCTTAGAACAACTGCACTGCTCTTATCATGGATAGATGGTAAATGAAAAGATGAATGACGAGTCCAGTATCATATGCACAGTTACTTACCTCATTCCTTGTTCCTTTTTCCTACAACAAGTGCAGCAGCCTTGTCGTCTTAGATACTGCTATGCTAGTATTCGCATGGTATTTGGGGCTGAAAAAGTGTTTATCAGATCTGAGACATTTGGAGGCTCATGATTAGTCGATTCGATTAGATCCGGAATGCGTCCAGCCACTTACGGCCACTCTTACATTGTAATATTGCATTTCCTCTGCTATATTAAGGATCTGAATGTTATTGTTTCTTCGATTGACTTTCTGGGCCTTTCTACCATTTCCTATAGCACACGTATACCTCTATTTGACCGTCGAGTTCATATAATTCTGTGCAGAAACGCAACTGGCAAGAGCTCGACCATTCGACACGACAAGCCCAATAACATCAACAGGTTAACAACCTCGCACCATTCACACTACCCTATCTGGAAGACGTGGACCTTGACTCGACCTCGGTTACCACCCGAGAAAGGCATCTATGCGAACCAACATCTCCCATATTGGTTGAGATTTGAACGGAGACCTCAGGACAGCATCTCTCCTGCTCAGGGCTGGTCTTACGACACTACTGCACACATCCCGTCAGACCACCAGGTGGCAGGAGCCAACATCTACACCTCGACTACATCACAGCTCGGCATATCTTTTTGTCCCGCTCACCTGGAATTCTCTCCATATCTCTCCCCTGGGACGAGCTCAGATAGCATCCAGCACATCCACTTTTTATCAGCACTTCTTGAATCAAAATGGCGTCCAAGCTAAAGATCGACCCGCCCCTTCTCAACTCAGCTTGCCCATGGGCCACGACCCTCGAGGATATCAAAGCTCTTTACGACTCTCCACACACCGGCGCCGTGACCATCCGCACCAGTCTCCTCGAGGGCTTCTCCCACGACGACTCGATCCACCAATACCTCTTCTTCACACCAGGCAAGACCGTCCCCTCCAAAACACCCAAGGGCGAAGACTCGAAACCGACCTCAAAATCAGCACCATCCGAACCAGTATCCACGCTCAACACACTAGGCTACTCACCACTCACGTTGTCGGAGTACCTAGGCATCATCAACGAGATCGTCGGCCAACGACACCTCGGCACCGATACGCCCACCAAAAAGCCCTTTATCCTCAGCGTGGCCGGTACGCCTGACGAAATCGCCATGGCCTACGCCCTGATCACCAACGCCGCCGAAATGGACGAGGACCTCCGCCTCGCAATGGAAGTCAACCTGTCGTGCCCGAACCTCAAAGACGCCCCACCCCCAGCATACGACCCCGCCCAACTCGCCGAGTACATGGAAGCCATTAGCGACTCCAAATCCACGTATCGAGGACGCATGGCTGGACCCGAGTCCGTGCCCAAAGTCGGCGTCAAGCTTCCTCCGTACACGTACTTGTCACAATTCGAAAACGTCGTCGCAGCCATGCGCAAAGCCATTTCCACGGAGCCCGGCGAAGGCTGCGTGCTCGACTTCATCACCTGTACCAACACGCTGGGCTCGTCCTTGCTGCTCGATTCGGACCTGAACCCAGTCCTGAGCAGTGAATCCGGCACGGGCATAGGTGGCCTGGCCGGCGCGGCTCTTCACCCTTTGGCTCTCGGCAACGTCGCCACCTTTCGTCGCCTGCTGGACCAGCATGATGAGACAAAGGGCGTGGCAATCATTGGTGTAGGCGGTGTCGAGGATAAGGCTGGCTTCGAGAGGATGCGGAAGGTGGGTGCCCAGGCTGTTGCTTGTGCTAGCGCCCTAGGACGATATGGTGTGGTCGTGTTTGAGAGGATCACAAAGGGAGACTGACCAGCGGACGAAGTGACGAACTGATGCTTTCTTGAGCCGATGCTGAGGCAGCTTCTGGAACTCCAAGATCTGGTGACCCATACCGCATGAGGTTGCGAGCTACTTTCTATGGAAGCATACCATAGCAGCATTACGAAGCGAGACATGATAAGATGGTGCGACGACGCAAAGAAATAGAGACTTTTGATGCAGCATATCACGCTAAGCTAACGGGGGAATCCTGATTACAGCACTTCAACTTTCGCCTGCTCAATGTCGCTTGCAATCCTCCCGTACAATGCTTCAGCCTTTCCTTCTCTGATTTTCTTACACTCCAACAGTCTGCCTTTAGCTCACATGGCTAAGCAGCACAGCACACCCAACCGCGTGCCTTGCCCTCTGGCATCTCTGGTTTCTCCAAGTCCAACACATACAAGGTTGCGCCTTACTAGATGTTTGTTTGTGGTCGTAATGGAGCTGACCTGTCGACCACTTCGATAAAATATATTCTGATGTCCGCTTGCCATTTAGAGAATATTGACGGATGGTTTATGACCCATTGATCACAAAGCATAAGGATTCATGGACCGAATAGTCAGACATCTAGAAAATGGTCAGTAAGCTTGTCAAAAAGTTCAGAAGCAGCAAACTTACGGAGGACTCTTGGTCATGTCGGTCTTGAGGATAACCGGTACTCGTGTCATCTCGCGGACATCTTGAATGTACTCGCCACCTTCCTCTCGAAGTGAGAAGTAGCTGAGGTATTTCTCCTTTTCGGATAGATGATTCTCTGGAATGTCGCTGCTCGGTTTGTTGAGCTTCGACTCTGACTGGGTTCGGTTAGGTCCACCAGCAGATGATCCATTGTGACTCGGCGTTCCGGGCAGACTCTGGGTTGAGCGGTCATTGAGTGAGACTCCAGCAGCCATCTCCGTGACTTCAGAGGCACTGTCTTCGTCATCAAACAGTGCATCGACGTCGTCAGTAGACATGGTATTGCTGTCAGTCTGCTTCTGTTGTGCTTCGTATCTTTCTTTAGCACGCTCCTTCGCCGATCCAGTTGCACCATTGGTACCTCTGGTGCTGGCAGCGGTACGTGGTCTCTCATCTTCTGGGATGTAAGCCGACGATGGTACACCCTTCTCCCAGTAAAGTTCAAGTACTCTCTCCTCCTTGCGGAACTCAGCCTTCTTCAGTGGCAATTGGTCGCAATGAACGCGTTTCTCGAATCCGTACTCTGGTATGAGGACATCGAAAGCCGATTCATACACACAGATAATGATACCTTCACTAATAAGGTCGCCACCTAATTCTTGACTCTTCTTATCCATGAGTCTGCAAGACTCGATGTGGACACTTTGTTCTTGAGCCGCATGGGCAGAGTCTTTCTTATTGTTAGCCTGTTCAGCAGTCTTTGCGAGGCTCTCCAAGTCATCCGCGAATTCGATTGCTCCGTCAGACAGAGCAGCTTCCAATTGGCGATGAACAACGATGTCGGCGTAGCGACGCGACGGGTTGGTGAAATGAGTGTAGATGGGCAAATTTAGAGCATAGTGTTGGCGTTGCTCCTCTGCGAGCTGATCACCGATATAGTACTTGGCGCGCTGCAAGGTTTTGACCAAGAGAGTCTCCATACCCTTGCGAAGATATGGGTCCTCAACCTGAAAGACACTGTTCTGCAAAGTTCCGCTGCTGCTGGTGTCAACCTCGAAACCAGCTCGAGACATCCGGTCAGCGAGAGTGAGTAGACGGCGTGGGTTGGGGGGTGCTTGTCGGCGTAGGAAGGCTTTATCTGGCATAGCGGCAAAAATCTTCTGGGCGACAAAGAAGTTGGCTTTTGAGCTAATCTCTTCGATGATTTCGTGTGCTGCGGAAGAATTGAAGATATTCTGCTCAACGGGCACATTTTCGTCGTCAAGCTGATAAAGGAGTCGAAGAGGCTTAATGTTTGATGACCGATGACCAAATCGGGCTTCACGGAACTTGTTGGCGATGGCATGCAAGGTCTTGATGTCTTCAATCGTAGCACCTTGCAAGTCGATGCTCTCGTCTCCCGTAATGACGGCATCGACCTCATCGTAGGCGATTTTGCCGGAGCTTTGGATGATTGTCTGCCCAATCCATGGTTCTCCTTCGATTTTTCCCGTGTCGGGGTGGACTTTGAAGATCACGCTGACAGTCAGACGACCCTGACCTGGGAGAAGAGAGCAAACGTCAGATGAGATCTTTGGTGGGAGCATGTTGACAGCACGAGTCATCAGATAGACGCCAGTGCCACGCTTCTTCGCTTCTCGGTCCACCAACGAGTTCGCCTTGACGAAATGTGCAATATCAGTGACATGAACACCGAGTTCGACCAGCCCATCATCAAGTTGCTTGATATGAATAGCATCATCAAGCTCACTTGTGTGCATGGGATCAACTGTGAAAGTGCGTTCGGCACGAAGGTCGCGGCGGTTGGCCAAACTGTCCTCACTCTCAGTTTGCAGGGACCAATCCTCCCAACCCACACTCTTCAAGACGGCATCAGAGAACTCATCAGCGCCGAAGTTGTTGTCACGCAACAGAGCGTCGGTCTCAACACGCAAATCTCCCATCTCACCCAATTGCTCCACCAGCGTGCCGAATGGATGGAGAGATGTGATCGGCCAGCGCTTGATGCATGCGACGAAGATTCTGTTGGCGTAATCCATGTGCTTATCGACAAAGTCTCGTGGAGCTTGCTCAGTAGGAATGGCAATCAGTGGTACGCGTTTGTCTGTGGGCTTAAACCACACAATCTTGGGTTTCTCTTGCTGGCGCGACTCGGAGCGGTTGTGGCCACCATCTCGAGCACTTCTCTCGGCCTCTTGCTTCTCTTTGGTGGCTTGGCTGCTCGGTCGAAGAAGACCGAGACTACCAGAGAACATTTGTCCGGCAACTCGCTCAATGACAGCGACGACATGTCCAGCGTAAAGGGGTTTCGCTTCATCACTTATTTCTTCCTCCTCCATGAGGAGCAAGCTTTGGCCTTCGACCTCAACGTCATCATTCTTCTTCTGTGTGGGACGTTGACGTAGACTGCCACGTCGTCGGATGCTGCCATCAGGCGCGATTGACTGACTATCAGTGGAGGACGAAGTGTCGTTCTTAGCGTTCTGAGAAGTCCCCGAAGAACGTGTATCGGTAATGTCCTTGCGCTTCTTCTTTTCTTCTTTCTCACGTTTCTGACCCCAGACTTCATCAACATCGAGGAGCTCGATTGCAACTAGATCTCCTTCGAGAGCACGATTGCGATCTTTGCTACCACAAATGAAGATATCAGCATCCAAATCGTTGGTCGTGACATAGGCATCAGAACGATTCTTCTTGTTGACACGGAGGATACCGGCAACCAGCTGGCCGTCATTCAGCAGGGCCGGAAGACTAGCTTGCGGTAGATAAGGAGTGAAAAGTGTCTTTCGTTGTTGTTGCTGTTGCAAGCCCATCTGTGGTGGAGCATGCTGGCTCGCCTGAAGTCCTCCCAACTGGGCATTCTGTAATGCTTGGAGCTGAGCAATCTGTAAAGCGTTCAATTGCTGGCCAGGGAACATTTGACCGGGCATCATCATTTGTCCTTGAGGCATTTGGACCAACTGCGGTTGCCCAGGATATTGGAAACCGCTGATGGAACTGATGGACTGGTTCATCGAACCCCGAGTCCTATGACCAGGCTGAAATCCTCCTTGCGTTTGGCTGAATTGGCCCATTTGTTGCTGTGACTGATCCGGAGTCTGTTGATTATTCTGTTGGCGCCAGTTGCCCTCAAAATTGCGTGAGCCTTGCCTCGTGTGGCTGCTTTGGCTACCACGACGTTGCAGATCGCCTTGATTGCCCTGGCCAGAGCCGCCATCTGAAGTAGCCATGGGAGGTGGAAACTGGAAAGCACCACCGCGACCAGCAGCACCGCCGCCTCGCACGCCGCCGGCGGCCATACTCTGACTACGACTATGACCAACACCACCACGGGCGTTACCAGCACGCTGTAAACCCAGTCCTTGTGATGTAGTAGGCGTGGTCAATTTGTCGTCTGCAGGAGTGGCTGATACTGGGCTGTCAGTAACACCACCTGCGCCTGGAATTGGGAACTGGAAGCCTGCAGCAGTTCGTTTCTTCTCGGCGAGCTCCGCTGCTTTCTTTGCTTCGGGAAGTGCGAGTGAGTGACGCCGAGCATGGCCTTGTGAGGAACCACCTCTTCCACCACGCCCGCTTGTGTTTTCACGATTTTGGCCCATGGCCTGCTGGTTGAAGTCACCATAAGTTGAGCCAGCCGCCCCAGCAGAAGGCGCCGGTGGAGGGCCCATAGGCATGCCTGGGAGTGCAGATTGATTTCTTCGATGAGCTGCAGGTTGTGTGGGAGTATTGGCCGGCATTGCCATCTGCTGCTGCATTGGTGCAAATTGGAAGTTGGTATTGTTAGGAGAAATCCCAGCCATATTTGGTTGACCTTGAATAGGCGAATAACCAGGCATACCCTGAAGAGGCTGCTGGATCATGCCCATGTTGACGTATTGCTGATGAGTGGCAGCGATTTGCTGTTGCTGTTGCTGAAGCAATTCAATCTGTTGCTGAAGAGCAAGTTGTTCCATCATGAGCGGTGTGAGCTCGGATGGACTGCGACGATGGGCGATATGTAATCTGCGCCCTGTAGGGCCAGGCACGCCAGTGGGATTCTGTTGTGCCATGGTTGAAATTTATCAACAAGAAGATGTGTGTCCTGACTCTTTCTGAGTAATGCTCGTCCGCCTGAAGAACCCTTGATGGGAGATGGAAGCACCCTAACTCTGGAAGAGATGAGGTGCGGTAAGGAGGGAATGTTTGAACAGGAACTGCGCAGCATCAAATTAGCATATGGTGTCTAATTGGACGACGATTTCGATGAAGCACCAACGAGGCTCGAACGAGTAGCTGGACGCAACAAGTCGACTTGGAGAGAGACGAAGTTCGGGGGTGGGATTCAAGGATGAGGATGATCTGCAGGAGGACAAACGTACCCGAACCAGGCTCTTGTCCAATGAAGTACCGATGCTCCAGTGACTTGCAAATCCTTGGGAACCCAAAGGTTGCACAAACGATGCTTATGAATTTTGTATGAACCCCGTACTGTCGATGACGGTCGGACCACCGAGGCGGGATGGGAAGCGAGGTGTCAACGTTTGACAGGAGGGGTAGTTGAGGCAGGCACAAGGAGGTGGTCGTAGCGTAGAGCTGATGGCAGCCGCAATGGACAATCAATGTAACAGACAGTGAGACCAATGACTGCGGATGCGAATTTCGCCTTGCAATGGATGCAGCCTCGATGTAAGACTTATGGGACGAGGGAAGGACAGAAAGCGGAATTGGCGGAGAGTGGAGAGCGGAGGCTCAAGGAGTTGAAGCACAAGAGAGAATGACTCTGAATGTATCTGAAGGATTGTCTGCGAGATAGCAAAAAGGGAGGGATCAGAGAGAACAAGGGGAGGTTTGTAGGAAGAAGAGAGATGGAGAGATGAATAATGAAGGATTGAGGAGTGCAACGATGATAAGTTAGTGTTCAGTTGGCTGCGTGCGTGATCGAGATTGTTAAGTTTTCGATCGTCGAGTGATAAGTTAAGCAGTTACGCAGTTACGCAGTCAGGCTGTGTGCCATTGTTCCGAGTCCATACAACAATTGGCGGGTGTACGAGGGACGTCTCAGTGCTGAAGGATTTCGGCCTTGTACAGCAATCAATTGCACCTAGCTATCCGCTATCAGCCACTCTACTGTTCTTTCATTGCATCTATTTGACAAGAGCATGCATGTCCTGGACCACAACCGTTGGCTCACCCCAGGTAAGATATTTATTTCTTTGGTGCTGTAATTTCTAGGCTCGGAAGGCGTTCGGGTGATGTGCGGCACCTAAAAGTACTTCTGGGGGAATCCCTAGACCCTAGTCTGGTAAAATGTTATTTTTGGCTTGCTTCAATAAGCATATCTTTCGAGTCTATGCTGATATCTTCAGGCTGTTCGTTCAGCTCGAGATAGATTACCATGTCTGGCTCGTATCGACTGAAGCATGTTCCCTGCCTAGCCCCTTGCTCTTACATCGCAGTGCGGTTCAGTGTAGTAATTGACTAAGGTACATATGCCTGTTGCCGATGCTGGTTTTGGGGAGTGAGTGCCCCCAAGTCAACGGTTACGTAGTAGTTTAATGCCAAGAAGTAGGGGAAGACCTTCTTTAGTCGCGTTGACTATCTTGATTCTTCCCCATTCGCTCGCTGGACCTGGAAAACAGGAAACACATCGTACTCGAACATCCGCTTTGAAACTCTGGGCCAAGACGACCATCATTCTTAACTTGGCTTCTCGAACCTCGCCCAGCTCGCTTCACTTGACGCGTTGCGTACTCTCTCGCAAGCCTTTTTTCCTGTTTGAAATTCGTTCTTTACCCCAACTTCGGTCGAATCTCTAGACCGAGTCTGTCACTGGAGCAGATCTTGTAGAGTGCGACTTTCGCCAACCATTCACTGCCATATGACAGTCGTCTTCACCATTGCAAGGACGCAACAAGGCAGGCAGTCTCCTTGAAGAGTCACAGCCGCGTGGTCACTATCTGTCGGAGCTTTCCCTTTGCCTACTGCACCGGTCAGCTTGTCCACGTTGGCAGGAGGTTTACACAGCTAGGGGCAACTCTGCTTAACCGGGGATCTGGAACAGTATTTTGTCTACGCGCCGGAACAGATCTTGAGAGCTTTTCGGACATCTATTGATCTTCCGAGCATCGACTGAAGGAGTTGCAGCCGTCGACGTGCCATCATCGTGGACGTCACGTGCGTTGGAGATGGCGCTTCACTCATCACCTGGTCAAGCAAGAAACAGCCCACGAAGCAGGAGGAATGAGGATAGCCCATCAAGACAACTACAATTTGAACTCGAGCGCGCCTTCAGCCAAATTCATTTGCAGGAAGTCGAGCGCCAAAAGCTGCATGCCTATCAACGGAGACAGCAATGTGAAGAATTAGATGCGAAAGAGCATGCTAAAGCTGAAGCCCATCGTGCGGAACTCAATGTCGCAACAGCTCAACATGAAATTGTACGCCAGCAAGCCGAGGCTGTTCTTCAGGCGTACCTGAAGCAGGAGGAAGAAGAGCGACGCCGACGTGAAGAGGAACGAAGGCGGCAGGAAGAAGAAGCCAGACGAAGGCACGAAGAAGAGCAGGCTCGCAAAAGAGCGGAGCAAGAGCGAAAGGAACGGGAGGAAAGAGAGCGAAGGGAAAGGGAACAACGGGCTAAGGATGAAGCTGAACGACGCGCCATAGGTGTAAAGCAGAAGGCTGAAGCACAAAAGGTGGAATTGGAAGCCGCCCGCCGCAAAGAAGAGGAAACAGCTCAACGGAGGAGGCAAGAGAAACAGGCCAAGGCGGAGGAAGAAGCTCGCGAGAAGAAAGTCAAGGCGGCAGCCGCAGCAAGTGCCCCGACGCCAGCCAAATCTGTTGCTCAAACACCAGCAAGTGGTAAATCATCGACGACCGAAGCTGAACACCAAAACTATCTAGCAATCCACAAGAAGCTCAAGACTTTTCGCACTGGATTCTGGGAGAAAGTCAAGAAAGACCCGACTCTTAAACCTCATGTAGGAGACATGAGGCGGGCAATGAAAACCAGCGTCGGACAACTCACGGACGATAAGGTGGGCAACAAGAAAGCTGTAAGTCTGGTCACCCTCCGAGTGTGATATTGTGCACGCTAACGCCTGCTATAGCATGACCGTGTCAGGTCGACTCTACACAAAGCACTAAACGAGGTTCCTTCCCCGCCTGTGTCGGTGAGCGACTACCTGCCCGCTCATCTCTCGCTTCAAGACGGTGGTGAGACAACGATTCCCTCGCTGGTGCTGTACCTATTGTCAATGTTCAGCAAGGCCATCATCAATGCCTTCGTCGGCGAGTGCGCCGTTAACAGTAAAGCTGGTGAACCCATTGGCACACTTGTGGCTCAAATCTTCTCGATGCCAGAACTACAATTTTCCCGAAGGGTGCCGGCTGGAAACACACAAACGAGCGAATCTCTTATCTCCATACTCATGTGCAAATTTCACGCTTCGGCACCAGCACTTTTCGGTGTATACGGACCTGAAACCACATCGGCTGGAAGGAGGCGTATCGGCTGGCGACTGGACGAGATCTCGGATGGAAAAAAGGGGTTTGTCACCGAGAACAAGCATTACGACCGTCAAACAGGTCTGGGAATAGGATATGCTTCGATAGCACTACGAAATTTCTCCAGGACGAGATTCAACAACCCTTGGCCGCCGGTGCATTTCTGGGCCAGTCTTGCCCACATCGTCAACACGCCTCCGTCAGAAGTGCAGACAACTCATCTGATCCTGTTGAAATCGATGCTAGAGAACAATGCAGTCGATCGATTTGTTCTGTTCTTTGGCGCCGCAGCAATAGCGGCCTTACGGCAAGCACTTGTCGAGTTCCCAAGAATCCTGCCGAGAGAAATGCAGGAGAAACCAATATCCAAAGCACTCGCCCTGATGATCGATGCATGGAAGACGGAAAAGCATTTCCATATTGATTAAACGGAGAGTTTGACAATCAATCGGGCGAAAGTATCAGAAGGATTTCACAGCCACGACTTGGGCTGGGAGACCGTGGCTCCTATATGACTAACGATGGGGTTATATATCAGCCGTGAGCGCTGTTGGCTGTCTTGTTTGAGATGAAGAATTCGGTAAAATCTTATCATTCATGTCCTCACTCATGAAGTCCTCTTTGTCCTGGTATGTCTATGATTCCCTTTTGGCTCACCGACTCGCCATCCTACCTATTCTTTTTCAACGGTGTCTTTTTATCAAACGGCCAGGCCGACGGTATAGCAGTCAGGATCCACCTCGCAATCGCCGCATTGACCTGTTCCGGCTTCTCCATCGCGACCCAATGTCCAGCCTCGATACTCACCTCGGTATGGTTTCGACAGTAACTCTGCATCGGCTCCTTCACGGTGGAGTTATGCGTGCCCGCGACATGGTCGTGCAGCGCCTCAATGAACAACGTGGGGATGGAAACCACGCCCTCGTTCACCGACCAGTCCTCCGCCCACTCCTTGTTCGCGTCATGATTGAGGTAGTACGCCGTAGGGGCCCAGAAGCCTCCAGCCCGAAACGCATCCCCAAGGTCTCTGAGCGTGTGCTCGTCCAGCAGTGATGTCTCCAGGGGTGTCTGAGGTGGTTTGTCCGCGCCTCCAAACCATCCGCCATCCTCGCACACCGTTGCCGTAATGGCGGGCTTGTCGTGACCTGCGGAATTTTGGGGACGGTAAATGGCTTTGAGGAAATTGTCGATGTCCACCTCATAAAATGCGATTGCCTTGTCGAGATTTGCCTGGTCCTGGTAGAAGACCTGGTAGTCCCACTGAGCGTTCGGGTACTCGTCCTCCGGGTAGATGTCGCGGTTGGCGTACTTGATCAGCTCGTCCACACCCATTTCGAGCGTCCGATATGGGATGCACATGTTGACAACGCCCGTGCAGAACTCAGGGTTGTGTGCTAGGAACGCCCATACAACGGATGCGCCCCAGTCGTGGCCTATCCAGATGGCCTCGCGGCGCTCGAGGTGCTTTAGCAGGGATAGGAGTGTTGTCACGACGTTCTGCATTGAGTAGTCACTTTTATCTTTGGTTTTGTACGACACGCCATAGCCTGGCATGTCAGGCGCGACCACGCGGAAGCCTAGACTGGCAAAGGTCGTGAGTTGGGGGGTCCATGTAGAGGCGATGGCTGGCCAGCCGTGGATGAATATCATGAGAGGACCATCGTGTGGACCGGCGTCTAGGTATGACAGTGTCTTGTCACTTCTAGTGGTGAAGTCGTGCCTGGTTACTTTGACCATCTTTGCGGTGGGACGGTGTTGGGCTTCAGAAAGGCATGTGGCGGCCAGCACGCGGGGTTATATCTGATGAAGTTGCTGCTGGCTTGAAAGCAGTGGGTATGTTTGCAAGCAGCGGTCGAGTAGGCGCCTGTAGCAGTGTTATGATTAGTATTACCCCGCGGTGTATGCAGGTCAGCGTCCGGATACAAGTGGAGATGTGGTGCTCATCAATTCAAGACGCCGCGATCCGGGGGAAGCACGCGATAGCGAAGATCATACGATAGCCCAAAGCAACTGTTCCCACGTGATTGGTAAACCTGAAGGGCCGGCACCGCAGAGAACGCAGACATGATGCCCGCAATGCCCAAGTGCGTTGAACAGTGACATAAGCTACCCCAGAGTGATAGTCAAAACGTGGAGCAATTTGCGGAGAGCTGAACGATGCCGGCCCGTTCTTCGCCACAAATATATGTAGACATTACTTGCCTCAGCCTACATTGTATTTCAAGGTAATGAATCGTGACCTAAAGCCATCAACTTGTGGTTATACCGCCTGACAGTCTTCTCGCCGTCCCTTGCCCCAAATATTTTCCTCCACCGATCAGGTTGGTCTGCCTTGCCCAGCCCACTCGCCTTACCATTGAATACCATGATCTTTTGGTCTTTGCTATAAGTCTCCCATGGCTGGCTTCCATTCGCAAAATCAAGGACGGCTTTGTTGAATGCGTCAGCAGTAGCCTTCACATCTGCTGGCGCTTGAGGGCCAGCAACAGAAGGATATCGACAGAAGAAAGCGTTATCGAGTGAATGATACGCATAGCCGTAAAAGGGACTCCCTGGGAAGGGGTCTGGCTGGTCGAATCTGTAAAGGCTGATGGGAGGGGATGATGTACTTTCAGATTGTTCCGCAACAATATAGGGCAACCCGCTAAAATTCGTGTCCGTGACCATGTCGATAAGACCTTCCAGGTTGATTTTCTGGGATGACTTTGGATCAATGCCATAGAGGCGCATCAACTCTGCAGCATCCTTCCCATCTTGGATGACATCCTTGACTCTTTCGGAAAATTGCTCCGCTGTCCACGACGGCCAGCCCATGCTCATTCCAAACACTGCAGCTTCCTGTTTTGTGGAGCCCGTGATGACTGCCTTGACCCAAGGCCCCAGTGGAGCCGGACCTGCAGTGGGAGTGGAGTCGTCCTGATATGTGTACCATTCTGGATCCCACAGTGGCGTCGAGAAAGATCGACCAAGAAGTGCCATCATATCATCGGACGAGAGGGCTCTCAATGCTGCGAGCTTCTCTTCTCCAGTCGCTGACGAGGGGACATCCGTGCTAGCAACAAGCCTATCGAAAGTAGCTTGAGCCTCTTCTGGTCGTGGGTAGTCGAGGTTTGGGCTCGACATGATAAATCCTCTCTGGCAGACGGGGACGTGCGAGCGGAGATGAGCCAGGACAGATAGCCCTCCTGCAGATTCGCCGGCAATGGTGATGTTCGATGGGTCACCGCCAAAATACTGAATGTGCTTTTGAACCCATGAAAGTGCAACCCTTTGGTCGTACATTGCCATATTGGAGAATGGGATTTGCCCATCCTTCTTGGCTTCGGCCTTCAGTTCCTCTGAGGTAAGGAATCCAAAATAACCTAGTCGATAGTTCATCGCAACAAAGAGAATGGGCTTCCCAGATTCGACTGAGTGCTGAACCAAGAAGTTGCCGTCAAACTCTCGGCCTCCATCTCCAAACACGAAGCCTCCACCATGGATCCAGACCAAGACAGGTAAAGGCGAGGAGTGCTGTGCCGTAGGAGTGTAGACATTGAGCCTCAAACATCCAAATTCGTCCATAGTATCTTCGGTCTGGGGCAAGCCTTGAAAGAGCGGGGACTCTCCTCGGCCTGGTCTCACGGCTTGAGGACATATCGGCCCATATTGGGTCGCTTCAAGAACACCGGTCAGAGTTGAGTGGTCGATAGGTTGAGCTTGACGGAAGCGTGCGGGAATTGTGGCATACTGAATCCCCAGAAAGTTCGACACTTGTGTCGCATCGTTCACAAAACCTCGAAATTCGAGCTTTCCCAGTGAGACTGAGGCCGGCGCAGATTGGCCCGCTACGCTACCCATTGTGCAAGAGAACTCGACTCGCGGCAATCTAGATAATATGGTCTCGCAAGCACGAGCAGGGGCAGGATGATTGTTAGTGATACTGGAGGTCGTTTGTCAAATATATGTATCCCTGTTCCGTCTCTAGGCCCAGAATCGATCGGCAGTTATTGGGGTCTAGATACCCGGCTGCGCTCGACAGCAATAGGAAACACCCCACGAACGAGAAAAGCTCACCGGGTCAGCCCCGCATTGATGGGGTCAAAAGCCGTGTTTTTGACACTGCCGCAGACTTGTATGACACAGCTGTCCAGTCGACGTCTTCAGAGTCAACATGATTGGGGACGAAGTCTACCTTTTCAAGAGAGGCGCGCGAAATGACACGACGTACGGAGTAAGCGGAAGCAAAATGCTGGCGAGGCGTGTTTGTTTACGGTCAGCGAAATCCTTCGAGGCTGCATAAGTGGACTAGCGTTTCTGCAGAGACTTGGCATTGAGCAGCATACACCAGTGCTTCGGTTCCCTTCCCAGCCACGCAGCCCATCTGTCTCTCAAATCCTGTCGTGTGGTAGATAGCCGACCTTGGGATCCCCGGTCATCTCTGCCCTCTGCCATGGCGGTATGCACTTGCCAAGTCAAGAATGTATCACAGAACATCATTCGCGCGAGCACACGGACGCAATATGTGGTCGGCACTGTCTTGAGTTTTGCGGATTGCTCGATGTTGAATTCCCAAGACGCGTCTTCAGATCTTACGCGAAGGTCATGTTCGCCGGCGTGTTATATATATGCGGTTACAGCCTCTGTGCCTGGTGCTCTGCCCATTGTCCCTTCTGCGGCATCGGAGCAGGAAAGAGAGCAGTCTGACCTTTATGGTCGCTGTATCCTAGAAATCTTTTTGCTTGCCACGCCCTCTCATATGCGACCTCCTCGCTCGTTCGTGCACGGGTCTCTTGCTGCGCACATATATGTACATACCCTCGTCTTTGACGCCAGCTCGGTCGGGCAACATGCGTAGGCACCTTGCCCTGCCAATACCACGGGAGAGCCAAACACGGCCTTGCCTATGATGCAAGGGCTGCATAGCTTGCTATGAAGGCTGCCATCGACTTCTCGATCTTTCCGCACACCCTGGGGGGAGCTTAAAACCCGGCATCTTTTCAAAGCTGATCCAAGCTGCTTCGAAGCAAGACTTTGTCAGCGTGAAGCTAGATCAGTCGTGGGAGCTGTGACGCCTCATATCTTGATGCATTTTGATGTTCCTTTGTCAATGGGTAGCGGCGAAATATCGGTTCTACCATTCGATGTCACCTCAGTGCCGGATGTACCTTCTCGATACCACCCAGGGCCAGAGCCCCCGTCCGATGTCGCTCAGTGCAGGGCCCAGGCACCATCATGGGCGGAATGTCGCCGCCTTTGGGATGTCGGCCGCCTGTCACCCGCATGTCAGCCGGCTCTGAGCCCGCGACCCACGATGCACTTTATGAATTATACCATCCAAATTTTCGACAAAAAGATCTCCCCACGATTGGAGTTATCGAAGAGCGTTCTTGTAACGATTCTACGAGTCCTTATGGTCTAGGTACTAGCTGCCTCGTCCATAATGAAGATTGTGAGCTAACTGCTCATCAGTGGTGTAAGTCTTAAGCCCTCAAGGTTATCTGAGCGTTGCTAACAGCCCAAAGATGATTCTCGGCAAGTTTCTCGACCTCTGAGGCCTTGAAGGTGTTTCTAACTATTCCCTAGCTTAGGGTGAACCCTGAGTCTTCTCTGTTTGCGAGAGGCCCCGCGGTAAGCAAGAAACTCCATCAAAAAATGGTCAAAATCTAACAAAATGAAGTTCGAACCGCGGTAAGGACCCATTTTTTTTTGGTTTTCTATCGAACACCGTCCAGCAAAGTGTTCAGAGACTACTCGTACCCGAGAAAGCATGAGAATAGTTCTATTGCTTGAATGGTGGTGTGGTGGTCAAAAATCTCCACGGGTCCGGCGGGCTTTTGAACCTGTAAGTGCGGCAGCTCCAAATTTATACTGCAGTGCCAGCTTCCTGCAACGGCATCTGTGGCTCCATTGGCCTTCAATTTTTCTGCCTCCTACGTCCCTGTGTTCAATTCAGGGTGTTCTTGGGCACCGCTCATGGAAGTGTGTCCTGATCCATAGCTGGCATCTCACCAACCAGTCCGTTCAACAAATCTCCCAGACCATCGGCCATACCACCTTCGGTGATATCCGAGATCCATTGCGAGAAGTTCTCAGAGTCCAAGCTGTCAGCCTGCGGTGCAAAATCAAGAGCTGTGGGTGTTTCAGCACCCTTATCAACGAGCATGGTCATGGTCCGAGTAGCCAGCGCCTCAAAGATATCTCGGTAAGGGGCTGCAGCATCATTCCATTGGGCAATGAGCACCAAAACAATGGTACAATCAGTGCAGGTACTGCTGACAACATCTTGTCGTACCCTTCCACGTACTGCAGCCGAAGACCAAAGACAGTGGAGGTATGTGAGCCCGGCCATGAAGACGGTATGAAGTGCGCCCCAGGTATACGTAGTTGATTTCCCGAGCAGCTGCCTCCGATATCCATGGCAAATGTTTTCTGCAGCTTGCATGCATTCAAGAAACGTCTTATCGGATGAGGTGCCTTTCAGATCTGTCAACTGGCCACGGTAAAGATGGAGAATCGTATCACTGTAAGAGAAGTCGAACCATTCGTCACAACTGAACATTGAAAGCATCTCTCCTTGATGAGGTACCCTCGGAGGTATTGACGCTCGCCAATCTTCGAGCTCTTTGCGTAATTCATCGACACGTGCCTGGTAGGCAGGCTGTGGGGGATTACTTTGGTGAATGTCCGAGTACAGTGATGCATGAATCCGACCCAGGAGACAGCGAACACGAAATGCATGGAGTGCCTTTGTCATGCTTGTTGGAGGCTCGTGAGGACTTCGGACTGTGCCGAGTATGCCGTAGTCGGAAATGTACATGTCGTCGATGTCCATCGGATACTTGCAGCCGTTAGCATTCGCTCAATCCTATGGCTTGTGAAGAGCACCTCGCAGTCAACCATTTGGTATTGCAAAGCCAATGGCCTTCCCAGTATGGTCGCTGCCATGGTATCAACAGTCCATGCACACCAAAAGGCTCGCTTTCGCAGCTCGGTACGCAGGGGAGTTGAAGTCGATGCCATCCCCATCACGTTCACATGACGGTGATAGCCAAATTCGATACACTGACGCAAAGCCAACCCAGAAAGTCTCCTAGTTCATGTCAATATGAGTCTGGTCTGCGACTGGAGGCATCTTACCAGACGGATGTGCCAGCAGGGGATCGCAGTGAATACACTGCGTAGCATAGATAAGCCTGTATGACCTCGAGGTTCTCGAGCTTCAAGACTTCATCGACAAACAGTTGCGCCGAGGCATATAATTGCTATATCCCTTTAGCATGTGTCCAATGAACCTGACCCCACTTGCCTTTGGATCATATCCAACGCGCGGTAGGAGCAAAGCACCGATAGCATATACCTGGCAGATCTGGTGAGTGTTTATGTTCCCTGGAACGGCAGCGGACGGGTTACAGTACCATGTACAAGAAAAAGAGGGCTACCGGCTCGAATTGAGACATATCCGTCATCTCTGATGGCATGAGCTTCGCTTCCCAAAGCCGAAACGTCGGTTCATGCAAGAATGGATACTGGCTATGTATCTCCCGAAAATAGGCGTCACTGAGTTTGACGCAGCTCTCATAGTCGGGAAGAAGGCACGGTGCTGGCAACGGTCTGGTATCGTGATGACCATTGTGGGTGTCAGGGGCTCTTCTGGGCACTGCCTGAAGCAGAGCCGAATTGATGACTCGTGAGAATGCAAAGGTTGACGAGGCGCCTAAGTAGTGAGGCTCGGCTCCGGCTGCAAGACTCAGCATACCAACTTTCGCAGCCAAATTGCCCACCTCATCTCGGCCTTCATCGGCTGTGCCCGACCTTGACGGACTTAGATGCTCCTGCGTGAAAGACAGGGTAGCTGATGGTGTTGTCGTTTGAGACTCTGCGTATTGCAGGCCAACTTGATGTAGCGAGCCAGGAATAGCACCTGCCTGGTTCTCTTGTGCAAGGACTCCTTCGAGATAGGCGACCCGCTCCTCCAATATCTCGAGATAGTTTCGAGGCTGATGACGTTTCGTGGTCGGATCTTCCACCAGACATACTATGCTTGATGAGCACCAGAATGCTTGACCAGTGGGAAAAGAGCTTCACCTAAGCCAAACCGTCGACAAATTGAGCATGCTGGAAGCTGGCTATCGCACTACTCCACTGCATTAGCAGGTACCGTTCCACGGGCCGGCCGGCAATGCCACCTTGAGCTTTCTTTCCTTGCAATTGACGCAAGCAATCTGTGTTCTGCTCCCTGTGCGTTTACGTTGACGCTCCTTCAGGATAGGTTTCGACCCATAAGGATTTTGGAGCATGTTTGTTTTATAAGGCCTGAGCGGGGAGGCAAGCGGCAGCGGTTCTATGCAAGGGATCTTTGAGGGCGACTACTGTAAATTAGTACTCAGAGCACCTATTTATGGGGTAGTTGCAGCCCAGAAACCCTGAAGCCCCGCAACACCTGACTGTCTGATAAGCGGCGAGCATGGCTAAGTCAGGTACCTAGGTACGTGCTGAGCAGCTGTACGTGTGCGAGTAAATACTGTACCTAAATAAGCAAAATTGGAATCTTATCGTCACAGTTTAATTGGTTATTTGAGACAGTCTAGAAACCACAACCCTTGTCATGTTTGTCCTATCACCTATGAACGGAACAGTTATCGTATGAGGAGCGCGACCTGGCTACTCGGTGGCATAGCTTTCAAACACCTTATCGTCGCCCAACCTTGTGGTCTTCTCTACATTGACGTCTTGAAAAGAACACCGAGTATTTCATTGCGTCCCATCGTCCTCTGGAGTTATCTTTTAGTCTCCATCGCTCCTTTGCTTTGGCGGGTTCTGTGAATCTAGGTCAGCTTCTGACAGCTCCCGGGAAGAGTGGTACCATACGCAACCTGCTCGAGATCCTCGGCTTCCAAGGTGGTGGCCTCTGTTCGCCGGGTGACTTTGTACGCATTGAACCAGGAGCCCCGGAACAGGTCATCGATTTCTTCGACGCTAAGACCAGATGTTTCTGGAACCATGAAGAACACATAGCAAATTGCCAAGAAGCACCAGCCAGCGAAAAAGAGGAATGCGCCCCAGTTGTTGGTTGAAGAGAGTAGCGAAGGTACCGCGAAGTTCATGGCGAAGAAGAACAGCCAGTGAAAACATTGAGACAGTGCACCTCCAAAGGACCGAATCCTGTTGGGCCACAGTTCCCCACCAAAGACATACGGGAGAACGAAAAGTCCTATGAGAGGAGCGCATGTCAGTCAATAGTTGGTGGCTTGTCCATTTCATGGGACACTCACCAACAGCATATCCGAGAGCGTGGAAGAAGATCAAAGCCAGCGCAGCCTGTGATGACGCATCGCTTGCGGTACCTGCTTGTTTGTACTTGAGGTACACCCCAATGTAGATATCGGAGATCATTTGCAGGCCGGCGCCAACGAACAGTGATCCACGTCGACCTAGAGCATCCACGAAGAAAAATGAGGCTATCAGCGTGAAGAAGAACTTGGACATACTATACATCCCTGCGAGGAAGAGACTGTGCGTGTTTCCTCCGGCGCTCCCCAGCAGCTTCAGGATGGGGACGAAGTATGAGGTTATAGAATTTGCTCCAGACAATTGGGCCAGAGCGTACGATATCAAGGTTTGCTGAACACGTCGGAGGTTGCCTGGGACCGTGAATGTCTCTCTCAAAACACCGAGGATTTGCGAACGACTGCCGCCAAAAGCCTCAGTCTCCTTCCGGATAGCTTCCTGGATATCATTCAGCTCGGAGCGTACCCGCGGGTGGTCGACAGGAAGCCCGCGGATCTTGACCAGAGTTGAAACAGCGTCGTCATGTCGTCCAACAAGCCAGAGCCATCTGGGAGATTCGCTGAGAAAGAAGCTGGCAATGATGAGAAGGAAGAAGAAGATGCATGGCGAGAACCACACAATCTGGTACCGAAGCCTGCTGGTACTGACGTGGATGTAGACACCGTAAACAGTGAAGACCGCGCATACTGATGACAGGCACATGGCAACGCTGAACCACACTGCGAGTAAGCCACGGATTTCTGCCGGCGCAATCTCAACAATGGACATTGTGCCTGTCACAGTGAGAGAACCAATACCCAAGCCAGATACTATTCTTGCCGCATATAAGCCAGTGAGGCCGGGAGCAGAAGTAGCCACGAGCTGTCCGATGATCCAAATGGTGATGTAGAGGCGCCAGGACCACAATCGTCCAATGCGATCGTTGATGAAGAAGGACAGGAGTGCCCCAGCACCAGCTCCAAGATAAACGATGGAAACGAAGTATCGGAGTTGGTCGGCATCAGAATTGCTGAAGCCAAATTGGTTCTGAAACCCTGGCAACTCGGGCACGACTGAGGACGAGCCTTGATCCCAGGCTTTGAGGAGTCAGCATTGCTATGGCAACAGTCTGATTGGACATACTGAGAGGCATTGAAGCAGTTGCATACAGGAGCGTGGATAGAAGTAACTGTTTGTTGAAAATGATTTCCCGGGGCGTCGCTCGAATCACCGTGGCATACTTTGCCAAAGTCGAGTTTGCGAAGATATTTTTGATAGCCATGATGTTGCCGTTGTGAAGCTGTGATGAAGTCGAGGCAGGCAATCTAGCTTGAGCAGGAGTTGATGGATTTGAGAGGTGGGACCGACTCTTTTAAGCTGTTTCAGAGAGCATTCATCCAGATCTCAGCACAGCATTCAGAATGATGACCTTGCTCCACAACCATTATCATCCAGGACATGGTTTGACCTCGGACAGTGTGCATTTGGCACAATGCATCGCTACCGAACAAGCCACCTAGAGGAACGTTCCGAGCAGCGAATGAGACAGACGCTCGACACTGATAAAGAGGATGGGTGGGAAGAAAGACGTTGTGGCGGACCTGATCGACAAGACGCTACTCGGAAGCATACGAGCTACCAATGAGAGACGGGATGCCCTTGGACACGACTCCCCCTCCTTTTCGGATACATACGACGGCCCAATGAGACGTCTCGGTTGGATCCTACTCAACATGCCAGACGAAGCGAGCCTTATCATATAACCTGGCCGTCTTTGTCTGCTACCTTGTTTCGGGCGTTGTTCTGGAAGTCATTCCGCTCTACACAAGTTCTTTCATTACACCCTTGCTGGGGACTTGCAAAGACAGTATGTCGTTGTCCAAAAGCTCTCCGATCATTATCATTGGAGCAGGCGTGTTTGGATTAAGCACAGCAATACACTTAGCACAACGAGGCTATAGCAATGTAAAGGTGCTCGACAAGCAGGCATATAAGCAGACTAAATATGCTTATGATGCAGGTTGCGATGCAGCCTCGGCAGGTTAGTCCCAGGCCCACGTAACCACATGGCGACTCTTTCAACATTCATTGACGTGATACAGACATGAACAAGATCATGCGAGCGGGATATGGATCACAACTTGAATATCAGAACCTTGCTTTGGACTCTGTCTCACAATTCAAGCAGTGGAACGAGGAAATCAAAAGTGGTCAAACACTGCCACCAGGTTTCACCAAATCCGACATCATATACTGCAACAATGGCAATCTCACGGTCAACGAGAAAGAGGACCTCACACAGTTCGACATTGATACTGTGAAGAACTTTGCCGCAGTCGGGCTTGAAAACACCCAATTTATCTTGACTAATCCCGACCATGTCAAGCAAGCAGAGGCCGAGGGATTCGGATTTGCGGTCAATCCATTCCGTCGAAAGCCTGAGGAAAACCACGGCGTCCTGGATACCTATGGCGGCATGGTGTATGCAGACCGTGCCTGCCGCTACGCTCTGCATAAAGCGGAGGCCCTAGGCGTACAACTGGTGCTTGGTGGTGCGGCAGGCACATTCTCAGATTTCTTCGTGATGCGAATCCTAACAAAATTATCGGTGTTCAGACGGAGGACGGAGTTTCTCGTCTGGCAGCTTTGACCATCATGGCTTGTGGTGGCTGGACGCCGTCTCTGATCCCTGAGCTCGACGGCCTCTGCGAGACGACAGGCGGTAGTGTCACCATATTCCAGCTGCCTCCGGGGAATCAAGCTTTGTGGGATCGTTTTGCACCAGAGAACTTTCCTACCTGGAAGTAAGTCTCATTCTATCGCCGTAACTAGGCACCTCTGAATCTGGACAGGTACAAGATCCGAGATGGCGCGGCTGGCGGCCTGTATGGCTTCGCACGCGACTCTCAAGGAAGAGTGAAGATCGGTTATCGCGGGACAAAATATACCAATCCTCAAATTCAGCCAGATGGCGCTGTGAGAAGTATTCCGATCACACGCTGGACACGGGAGTCAACCAGGCAGTTACCACAGCAAGCGGCCACGGTGATCAAACAATTTGTACAGCAGTATCTTCCCGAGCTACTTTCATGTTCAATGAAGTCGCGATTATGCTGGTATACTGACTCATTCGACAATCATTTTGTTATCGACTTTATGCCCAACACAGAAGGACTTCTGATCGCCACGGGAGGGAGCGGTCATGGTTTCAAATTCTTGCCCAACTTGGGGAAGTTTGTGGTAGACAAGATCGAAGGCAAGAAGGACGAATCTGGTCTCCTCAGCAAATGGAAGTGGAGGAGTCTAGAATCCGGGGAGCAAGCTTATAATAGCATCATGGAGGGCACACGGAGTGCCCGAGCTTTACAAAGACAGGTATTGACGAGGGAAGACAGCCTCAGCACACAAACGAGTTTACTGTGAAATGTGTCCGGCTTTGACGTCTAAGATGGTGGAGGAGTTCAACCTTTGCATGCCAACCCCATCACACTCGGCAGTTTTTCTATCCATGCCACGTAGCCAACGTTGAAACCTGAGGACACTTTCAAACGAGATCCCAGGCGTCTTCTTCACTGACGAACTCCCAGTCTTCGTCTCCTCCATCATCGTCGTTGTCATCCTTCTTCTCAACGCCCTCTTCTCCGTTGTTTTCCTCCAGTGAAAAGTCAGCTATCAGGTCCTCCCAAGACCTCTGCGCTGAATCATTGATGATGAACTATACTTACTGACAATGGTTCCCGCCACTATTTTACTAGTCTAACGACGGCTTATTACTACCTCCGTTTAAGGGCGACGATAAGGTCGTCGATGAGTAGCTAAATCGCGCTGCAGTAAACGGGTAAACGATGTCGCTCTCACCTACGGATACGTGGTAGTTACATCGTTGGTTGATAGAGGGCAGTGTCATACATGAATTGTTGTTGTACAAGTTGTTAGGACCATAGCATACTTGGCACTCGTCTCAAATGTCGACACGAGTTTTTGGAGTTTGGCTTTCATCTCATAACTATCAAGACTATTTAATCAGGAAAGTGGCCCTGTCTCATCGAGAAAGCCCGTCGTAGTCAAAAGGGGCATTGCTGTCTTTGAGACCGTTATATACATTGTCAGAGGACGAGCTCTCATGTTCGAGAGACCATGAGTTCCCATTGGCATAGTCTGAGTCGCATGAACTCCTAGTCGCCGCAACCTATCCGGTGGGATCCGACGTTATGAGGTAGGTTTGTCCGCTATCTGACATACCACTCCTTCTGGAGATAGGCTCGCTAACCACCTTTCACCTTACTGCTGTTAGCTGTCATATCACTCTACAGCTGGTATGATTGGAAGCGTGACATAATTCACGAAGTTCGGGCCAAAATGGATGTTGTTCTTGCCAGCAAACTTGGCTTCAGACCTATTCGATCGTGTTAGGTTAGGCCTCACACAGGTAGACCCCAAGATTGCTGGACTTACCTGTCAGCAGAACTCGTGTGCTGGAATGTGCCGCACCCCTGTGTGTCACCAGAAGCCACTTCAAGGACAAGCTTTGCACCTGGCTCTAATACAACGTTTGTCGGCCAGATCTCCACATCTACCGGGTAGACTTCCCCAGGAAGCACAGGAAGAACGGAGGTAGAAAAGTAATCTCTGTACGGCAACCAAGGTCGATGCTTGTAATGTGTCGGGTCGGCCTTTCTGTTGCTGACCCTCAGCCAACCCTTGCAGAGAGGGACTCCATCTCCTGCCGTGCCTGTGTAGAAGACTTCCTTCCCGGCAGGTGAGATGTGCCTCAATGTCAAGAAGAGGTCGATATCGGTAGGAACACTCTTGCCGATGTACGGACTCGTCGACACGTTCAAGTGGGCCACGATATGCCCTGTTATCTCGGTCTCTTTCTCCACTGGGGGCGTCGTAAATTGTATCAATTGAGGCTCCTTCAGCGTACCGAGGGCTTTGTAAGTCAACTTGCTTGTGGAGGTATATGCTGGCAACTTCTCCATCAATTCACATTCATGTGTCAAATACCATGGTGTGTATTTCGTCCTGGCGATCGGCCATTCATTCTCCGTGCGTGTCGGAAAAGTCCCTTCTCCCTCCGGGTGGTTGTGTCCGACGTCTCCCTTTCGCAGGACCAGACCAACCTTGGGCACTTTCCCCTCAGTTGACCACCCAACCCTATCTTGGCCATGTAAGAAGGCATCGAGGAAGCTCCTTTGTAACTCAACCTGTTCGTGGTAATAGAAGGGTAGATCATGTCGCCCGACGCAAAATCTCAGATATTTGAACTTTGACCCAGCATGTGTAAAACCCTCCACATTTCCTCTGAGATGTAAGAGGATGCCGCCCCAGTTCCCGACACTCAAAACGGGTACCTTGATGTCGTCCATGTTGTACTCCTTGGAAGCATAATACGGGTCGTCTCGGTAATGGTTGTTTTGGTTGTCGAGGTTCTGGTCGTTTCGGTTCTTCTCCAGTTCTTCTGGCGACAGGTCACCGTCGATGGTATCAGGGCCCCACTTCCTCGCTTGACGACCACCGAGGCCATATTGATTGCTCAGAACTTGACGATTCCACCAGAATCGGATGAACTCATTGGAGAGAATTCCCCCATGACGGCACCGGTCGCGGTAATAGTCACTCATCCCTTCCCATGGAATGATTGCTGAAAGTCCCTTTGGCTGAAGCGCTGCCACTCTCCACTGGCTGCCAGCGTAGTAAGAGATACCGAGCAGCCCAACCTTGCCACTCGACCAAGGTTGGTCGGCAGCCCATTCCACGGAATCGAAAAATGCTTCGCTTGTGCCCTTCGACATGGTGTCGAGGATGCCGGGCGATTGACCCAGTCCTCGTTCATCCACACGAATAACAGCATATCCATGAGATGTCCAGTATTTGGGATCCGGTGTCTCCCATGCTGAATGCTGCGATTTGTGTTCTGGGTTCACCTCCGAATAGGATTGTGCATGGAAATCGGAGTAAGGGATGTCCTTTCCATAGGGGCCATACGTCACTAAGCACGGGTATCGCTTGCTCTCATCTTTCGGGCGGTAGACATTGCAACGTACAATACCCTCGGAGCTTTTCAACGGAATCGTCACGTTTTGCTCGTAAACGTATTCGAAAGACTTCTTGTCCACAGAGGAGATATCTGGATATTGAGCCACCATGTTGCAATAGATCACCGGGTATTCTTGGCTAGCAACAAGGTATGTAAGACGCGCACTACACGTGAATTTGAGCACTGAAGAAGTATTATTGTCAGTGTATCGGCCAATGAATCAATTCCAGATCGATGTGGTGGCGGACACGCGGCGAGGTGTAGTGGAGCCGAGATGTCCTCGGGATCACCATGCATGCTCGGTCACTCACTTACCTTGGAGGCCGGTCTGGTAGGACACTCAAAACCCCACGTACACGGATCTGAAGCCAGCCCGAAAGAAACGATAACCCTCGTGTTGAGTAAACAAGGCTGAGCGAATTGCATCACCGATACACTTTCATATCTGGAATCCAGTTCAAGAGACTCAATTCTCCCGGATTTTCATATCTCGTTTCCGTCTCTCCAGTAATACTGACTGCAACCATGGCACCCGAGGCTGAAACTCTCGATAATGGGCTCCCCAAAATTCATCGGTACCTCACGGATCACAACGAAGAAGGACTTGCGGTCTACTCTAATCACGTTGACGAGGTACTCCCATGGCAAGAGCTTGCCGACGGTGCTCGATTCTGTTTGGGATATGCGACCGAGGAATTCCCCGTCCAACTTTCCGGCAACAAGGATGTCAGCATTTACCAGAAGTATATGGAGAATAAACCAGGCATCACCATTCCAGGCGGCACTGTGCTCAGACTGGTCGACATGAGGCCTGGCGCTCTTTCACCGATGCATCGGACGGTCAGCTTGGATTATGGAGTGGTCTTGGAAGGAGAGGTTGCACTTGTGCTTGATTCGGGTGAGGTTCGATTGCTACGAAGAGGGGATACTGCCATCCAGCGAGGGACGAATCATGCATGGAGGAATGCCAGCAAGACAAACTGGGCTCGGATGCTTTATGTTCTACAAGAGGCTCAACCCCTCGAGGTTGGGGGAAAGAAGCTTGAAGAGGACTACGGTGGTATACCTGGAGTGCGCCCGTCAGGGTCGGGACATTAGAAGTAGACCTCATAAAATTAAAGATCAAGGAAGACATGTTCAACCAAAGCAGCACAGATGTTGGAGTTGTGTCACCCAACGTCAGCGGTAGCAGTTACATGATATTGAGATGTAGGAGACTATCAGACACTAGAGCACGATGTTATCTCTCGCCTCCGATGGGCGTGCGGAAGATATGATCGTTCAATTGGCCGCCTGTAGTACGCCATGCTGTCGAGACGTTCTGGGTGGCTTGGTCAGCAACGACGCAATCTACAAGGCAAGAATATAACTTACGGCTTGGACTTGAACTCCTCTGAGCATAGTATAAATGAACGCTTGCTCTACCACGTTGGTGCCACCTGGCCGCAGGTCTCTATCGAGCTCTCGATTGATGGGTCGATGAGGCGGTATGCGCCGATGATCGTTAGGCCACCATGCTGGGTTTTGTTGTGTCAGTGTCGTCGCACTCGGAGTTGTGTTCGGATCTGCTGGGCGTTGAGGGTTTTCAGGGTCTCCTGAATGATGGAGATCGTAATCTGTCAAGGCAAGCAATAGCGTCTGGGTCAACGGGTTGCTCGTTGTTGTGACAGACATTGTACCGCAAGTGAATCTGGGCTGGTAACCAGAAAATTAATGCAAATGAAGATGATGATGACGGTCTGCGACAAGAGCGTAGTCCTGTGACTGGCTTGCAGCGTTGGCTGAGGCTGATACCATTGCCGGTGGTGGGCATCCGATGTTGAAAGCCTAGATCGGCACAGGGGTTTCAATTGAGGCACTTCGCCCACTTCTCCCACTTCTCGCGCTAGTGCGAGCATGATCGGCCATCACAGTGCCCTTTTGACCCCAACAGTCCCGAGACTGTGGTAGTGGGTACATTTCTGGTAATGCCAATTGCTCTTTCAATATTCCAGGCTCTCACGACGTCGAAGGTACAGTGATAGTATGGCGGACAGCAACTTCGAAAGGATACGTTCTGCAGTCATTGACGGTCGAGCACAGGCCCCGCGATACATCCAGAGGCAGCTCCTTCGGCTTCATGATGCACTCAGAGAGAACCAGGCCGCGATTCGTCAAGCATTGCTACAGGATTGCGGCTGTTCTGGCTCGGACATTGACTCCGAATTATACTTGACCTCTAGAGCTATTCGGCAGGAATACGAAGCATTGGACGTGTCGGGTTTCCTCGAAGAAGAGTACAGCCTTGCTCGACGGAAGGACAACTTGTCCAGACGTGTCGCCACAGGTGCAGTCTATATCATCCCATGTCAGCATAGCCGGCTATATTCCACTCTCCAACCTGCAGCTGCAGCGATCGCGGCAGGGAACTGTGTCATTGTGGAGGTATGTGGAACTTTTTGTCAGCCAGGATTGCAATGCTAATGATGAAGTCCAGTTGAGTCTGACAGTCTCTCGACTCAATTCTCTTCTGCGAAAAGTGCTCCAGGGCGTAATGGACAAGGACACGTTCGTCGTCCTAGAGTCCAGACCGGACGACCCCGAATTTTTTGCGCAGAACTGTGTCATCATTGATGGGACCTTGAACGCAACTGAGCCGAACTCTCTGCAGACGGTCTCTGCGTCGGCGACAAGGGCCATTGCAGTTGTTGATCGCACTGCAAATGTTGCGGAAGCAGCAAAGGAGGTTGTAAGAGCGCGACTGAACTTCCAGGGGAAGTCTCCATACTCGCCTGACCTTGTCTTGGTCAACGAGTTTGTGCTGAAGGATTTCTGCACCGCTGCCGTCCAGTATGCAACAAGAGCATTGGTCGGGAATGTGGATCCAGACCTCTCTTCTGAGTCTTCCAGGAAGCCGAAGGTCCAACAGCCCAACAGCCAGCTTCAAAAGGAGATTCAGCAGTACGGTGCCACGACCCTTGTTTCTGGGTCCAGAGGTAGCGTCGTGCTCGTGCAAGACCGGTCAGTCATGCCATCTTTAGTAAACTGTTCGGTTCTGACTTCAAGCACAAGGAACTGTCTACTCTTGACGAAAAAGATCTCCGAACCGGCTCTACTGATACACGCAATCCGGAGTCTCGACGACGCAATAGACCTTGCCAATTCTCGGTATTTATTTGATACTCTCGGGAGGGTGTAGACACGTTCGATGACTGACATCGTGCAGGGGAGAAATCCACCTCGCTGCATACTTTTTTGCCGACCTCCCAACGACCAAGTATCTGAGCCAATTCGTCAAGTCCAGGATTTCGTTCGCAAACCATGCACCAACAGATCTGCTGGGTGAGTTGCCTGTCCCAAGGACGATCATTTTGTTTTTCTGGCTAACCGGTTTCTGCCTTAAAGTCGGTCCTGCTGCACCAGCAGGATTCGCAACTTCAGTACAACCGCGATATACCCAGGATATGTTTTCCCGTCCGTCCCCTGAGCAGGTGTCAGTGTCGCCTCAACATCATCTCTTGGTCAATTTTCTTGACAGTAACAATCGTGAAAGTCAGTCACAGACCGAACATGAACTGAGTCAGCCGTTCACCCCAATGAATGAACCTTCCAGCAATGCTATGGGTTTCTTTGAGCAGGGCTTTGTGACAGGTGGAGTTCTTGGACTTGCTTCTATATTGACCGCAGTAACCTTAGTTGTTCGATATGGAGCACCGGTGATCAGGAGGAAGTAGGGGGCCATACCACAGCCCTTGTATTCGTGTCAATGATCTGGGCGGTCGTGTGGAAGCTGATGGCATTTACGGGAAGATGGCATTATATGGGTAGCGGTGAGATGGAACTCATCAATCTACTTCGTTTCATGTTATGAACACTCAAAACCATTGATATAGGCCACGTGAATTCTTATACGAGGACAACCTTGCCTTCCTAGGGATCGACCCTCGTCATAGAATACGTATACAACCCTCAACTTGGGCGTGAATGTCATCCATAGCTTGACGACCAATCATGCAGTTACCCAAGTTCCAAATGTATATTGCGAGTTGCACATATTAGTCTGTGGTCCAGAGTCAGTTTCAACGGGGTCTTGACTTTATTGAAGGCATCAGGCTTACCAGTTCCCAGTCCTCTGCCCACATCTTGCCATAAGTACCTTCATCCTCAACGTCACCAGCCGCACCTGCCACGAACATTGCACTCATGAAATGATCGTCAGTGGCATGTGCGTCCCGATAAAGCGGATGCTTCATCAACCTGGTCATCCCCCGTCTCAACTTGGGTCCGCTGTTGCTAGTGATAACATCCTCCACAGCTTGTCGGAACTCCATTGCCCACGCTTCTGGAGGCGTCTCCTGCGCAAAATTGTCCCGATAGGTGAGCATGGGACCCCATTTGTTGCGATATAAGTTGTGGACGGCGCCACCGGATCCAATGAGCAGGTAGTTTTCCTGTCGGAATGGCCGTAGGGTGGCCCCGACCTTCACGTGGTAATGAGGATCGAAGCGTGCGTTCATGGAGATGATCGTGGTCGGCGGGCAACCTCCAGGAAACATCCTGATCAGGATGAGATAGGTGTCATGAATCCAGTTGAATGACGGATCCGCTTCCACTTTGAATCCTTCGGCTTCAAGCGCCTGGATACAGCGTTTTGCCGTGGGTAGATCGGGGTTGAGCTTGTAATCCGCGTACTTGGAAGGATGAACGTATGCGACGGGGCTCTTGTCGGGTTTGGGATTCGTTGCCACCCGGATTTTGTCGCCATTCGCGTCCCAGTGAGCCCCCTGTAAAAAAAAGCGTTCAGTTCACGTACAGCCTGGTGTCCCCAACTCGGCTGGCCTTACCATGATAATCACTCCTTTAATACCGTGAGCAAGAGCTTCATCGCCACACTTCTTCCAGTATGTCGCAGAGTCACACTCTATATGGATGATCAGAAATCAGTCTCCGTGAAAACAGGAACACACAAAAGACTTGTGCTTTCAAATGGCACAGTCTTTCGCCCGAAAGTACTGACCTTCGCCGAGCATCATGGTGGATCCATGTGAAAAGAAGTGAACCGGAGTCAGGCTCTCTGCAGGAGGGAATCTGTCAGCGCGGAATTGGAACTCATGTCGGCGAGCTGACACACTCTTAGAAGAAGACATCGGCGCATAAAGATGAAAATAACACAATAGCAGTTGCGATAGTAGTTCCACGCACGAGGATGTTGAATGTTGCTAAACTGTTTGCGTGTCACTTTTCCTACCGTGGCGGGGTCGTCATCTGCACGGTGAGACTTCGGTCCCCAGATGCCCTTTCTTCCAGGTGACCTGCAAGAGAAGAAGTCAGAGTCATCAAGGCAGATCCTTTCCTCCCGCACGTCGGCTAGGGAGTGGAGGTAGAAGGACGTGGGAGGGAATTCCCCGCAACCTCCTATGTCGGCTCATTCTGCCTCCACATCCCGAACCAGGGGGATCCTGTCAAGTCAAGAAGAAGGTGGCACCATCTGTCAGAGAGTACATCGGCGATCCAAGTCCGAAGTCCAGCAGGTGCACCACAGCCGATGCCTTGCCAGCAAGGCAGTCGGATGATACGTTAGAGGTGATGATCTTTTGCCCATCCATGAGCTGGCCCTGGATCGCTGGAGCGTTGTCTACTTGAATCTGAGAAACTACAGCGGTCAAACAGTGCCGCACTTTCGCAGAACAGACTTGTTGGATCACGTAGCCCATAGTATACCAGGAAGAAGAGCGAGGTTGCGAATAGAACCATCTTTTGCTCTACCGACGTCTCTTGCCCGCTGCCGCACTACCCAGAGCTCTCATAAGCTTGCTCAAATTACTGACCAAAGGTGGATACCCCCTTTCGTCGTCCCAATTTTTGCTTTGCAGAATACTCGTGATTGTAGACATGACCGCAGAAGGGTCACTCAGGGGAATATCCAGATTACTGTTGTTCAGCTGATTGTGGTCATCAGCACCAGAACGGCGTATGGAGGGAATACCCTTCCCCAAGACCAGGAATCTCTGCAGTGCAGGTGTATCCTCACCGTCCAATAGGACGACTGAGCTGGTTCTGCCTCCAAGACTGGCTGCTCTGTCGCTGGACACATCCGGTGTTGTCTTCGAGGCTCGATTGGTGAACGGGTCCGCGCCGCCACCGCCACCAAACGATGATACCTTGGATAAAACAGCGTATGCCCAAAGTACAAGGCTGGCATGGTACACTGCGACGGCTGGAGCGTCACGCAGTGCTCCAAGTGGGAATTGTCTGGCCATTCGTATCACCTGGCCGGCATGGTAAAGTGCCTGGCGAGATTCGGAGGACTCGGCCCAAGTACTCAACCTGAGCAACACTTTTCGAGCTGCTTCTTCGCCCTCTTTACCCAGCAAAGTTTGAATGTCTCCCAGAGAGACGTGTAAATGCATGGAACCGAGCTCCAGCAACAGGGTAGCCGATGGGTTCATGACGCTACCCCATTCCTCCGCAGTATTCAGCCGGAGGTGCTGGATCGCTTGCGTGATCTCTTGGTAAAGGGAGCTGGTTATCAGAGAGCCGCCACCACAGCCGCTACCCCGAGCGTTGCTGACCTTGTCATTATGTCTGAAGGTTGTTTTCATTTCCCGATACTGCCAGATCAACGACCAGATCGATGAAATGATGGCACTGAGGGTCATTTGCATGTCGATCAAGTTCTCGATTTTGAAAATGGGACCGGCGTCCTCAATGCACGTTCGTAGCGACGGGAGGCGATCTTGCATACCGCTCATCTGACTGAGGTATACGCCTCTCCAATCTTTCGCTGTTTTAGCGAACCACATATCTCGCGTAAAGGGCAATTCAAGTGAAAGTTCAGCGTAGGATATTATAGGCCTGTTGAGAAGAGACATCGAGGTCTCTGTGTCGCGTACGACCAGATGTAGGGCGAGTCTATAAAGTTGTGTCAGTGGTGTACCTCGAGATCAAATTCTGAGCGAGAATATACCTCTTCCATGATTCCGCTTGAACCCAGGAATGCCACTTCGCCTCTGTGGTCTTCTCATCATCGTGGGCTTCGGGGACGCAGTCCGGGTGCCGCTGCCACCGAAAATGACCGGCCCTCCGAATCATCTAGAGTTCAAAATGAGTCAGGACCTTGACAGACACTTCCTCGACGGGCACATAGTTATACTTACTGTTATCAATGGCAAAGCAAAGCTTTCAGCAATTTCGATCTTCCGTCGATTTCCCTAAATTCATACATTAGCTATGCCCCAGGCAGTCCAGTCAGAACGAGCGAGCGTTCTGGCGTAAGTGATCGGATGGAGGCGTTGGTGACTCGACAACGCGTTGCCATTCTTGTGACAGGAGATTACTTACACTCCATAGCCCAATGTTCAGATACAAGACATAGGCTTGTAGAAGCCTCAGTTCACGAGTTTGCCTGTTGTCACTTTCAAACTGGTCTTCGGTAAGTAAGTTGATTCCTTTGGGAGGCATGGGTTTGTCTCACTTTGACTGGCAACGCCATTCGTACCGACTCTTGCAGTGCGAAACCAAGTTTGCGAACTTCTGGGACACGCGAAACTGACGCACCAAAGCTGATCATGGACCCTAGGATTTCAGGACCTTCTTCGTTAATCTTCATTGTTGGTATATGAATACACGTCGTGTCCTGACGTAGGTGGTGCGCGACAAACGTGTTCAGCAAGTTGCTCAAGAACTTAGGCGACGGAAAGCACGAGACGACATGACAGTATGTATCTGGCTCGCAGGTGCTCAAGACCATGGCCAGGATGCGATCACGAGTGGCCAGTGTCAGTTGATCGGAGAGTGGAGCTGAGTCGCTGGTCTGCTGGGCTTCCAACGTGGCGTCGTCATAGGACAGGGACAGATTCGACTGTTCGGCTTGCCCGTGGTCGCCCAATGCTGGGGTCCAGAGCCACATGGACTCCCTGAAAGCTTTCTGTCCTAGTGTGATGCTCCCTGGAACAGCTCCCGGCGTCACATAGCCGCTCTTACACCCGGCGAACCGGTCTCCGTCTGGCCCCATACCGCCTGAATCTTGTTCTTGGTCGTTCGGAAAGAATCCTGGAAAAGGCTGTGTCGTAGGTATGTCCACGAAGGAATCGATGTTGAAGTCCAAAACATCCCGAGGAAAGGTTGGCAACACTTCTGATCCATAACTGTTTGACTGAGCATTGCCAGTGATAGGTGTCATTGAGTCTCTCAGGACGTCAAAGAACGAGAACTCATCGAAGCCCATGATTTGTTGGCTCTGGAAGAATGGTGAGCCCAGAGGCATAATGACTGAATCTTGTCGGCATCAATGTCAGTACAGGATCAACAGAGGCCAACGTTGTTTGTTTCTTACCATGGTCGAACGTCGTCGGGGTCGGCAAGTGAGTCGGCATCTGTATCTCAGTGTGTGTCGATGTCTTCCCAACATCGTATGTGTCATTCTGCGGTTGTCCTTCTGCGACTTCGACCAAAGTCTGTTGCGGGCTGATTTGCAAGGTCCAGTCAGCCGGAGCTTCGTGGTATTGCACATGCGACGTGCCGAATTCGACCAGCTGCAGATCTGACTGGACCAGCTGAGGCTGTATCTTCTCAATCTGAAGATAGGTCTGCTGCTGTTGAGTTGGAAACACCTGTGAAGATGACCTTCTATTCCGAGATGGTGCATACTCGCAGGTCAAACCTTTGTGCTTGCATCTGCCACAAGGTACAACCCCTTCGCACCTGAGCTTTACCTCTGCACAGGCTATGCAAGCTTTCGCCACACGAGAATGAGTAGCTTTTTGCGAGGTCGTCCTTGCACGTTTGTTGGAGGAGGAGAGGTCATTGTCGTGACCGAGGGCGTGGCGTTTCAGAAGATCTCTAACCTTACACTTAGTTTTTGTGCTGGTGCAGGCATAATTTCATTTCTAGGTACTGACACTCGGGCAAAAGCTTTGTCGCAAGTCTCACAGATGAAGGGCTTCTCATGAGTGTCTTGGAGTAGATTAGCGAGATGGGCCGCATTTTCAGACGAAGATTATGATGAGACGCACGGGAGCGGTAGTGTCTCGCCAAATGGTCGACGCGACTATAGCTTTGCTTGCAGACGTTGCAGGAAAATGGGTTCTCCGTCGAGCGGCTCGAACCACTGTGCCGCCCTGAGTCTTCAGCCTCTGACCTTGGTTCTGAAAGCCCATGCGCGATGAAGAGACTGTCGGCGTCGTTTTCGCTTGGAGGATTCATGGTGATTCTGCTCGAGTACGGTTTGTGGGGAGAAGTTTTTGGCTGGAGACGAGACGTAGTGGGGGAAGCCACGGGTGTCAACCTTTTATTACTGAAGTTATGGGGGTCCTGGGGATGGAAGATGGAGTCTGCTTTTGCGCGGAGTCAGCGGGGAAGCCGGACGTCCTCGCGGACCTAATTGACCCGCTGGCCAGGACAGTCACAGCCGGCATTGGTGAAATAGGTACGGTAGGTAAATTCAAAATTTGAGCTTGAGATACTGCGTCGGCTCATGCTTACGGCACTTCTGCATGTTGTTGGCTCGTGGTAACATCGCTAGCTACTGCACCGAACGGTTTTTCTCTACATCTCGGCCCCACCACTCCTTCGTGGTCAGCCAAATCCAAGGAGATTCAAGCCGAAGTCCACTCGTGCTGATTCGCGAGACCATTGACCCCGGATCCGTCGTCGATATCGAGGTAACCGCAGATTCTGCCATCTGGATCCAGCTTTTGGCGTATGGCCATGAGGCGAGACGCGTTCTCGTCTGCCCAGAACTTTGTCCGTCGCACTTGAAAGTCCGCATCTCCCAGGTAAGCACCTTCGCTGTGCCTTTCGACGCCTTTCATGACATTCTGGACCCAATTTTGACATCGACGATCGTCTGACTCGTGCTCCCAGATCGTGTACAATGCAAAATAGTGATCACTCTGCATGCTCAGGGCCATATCGGGCAGAGGCCGCCTGCTGCAGGGGTTCATTGAGTACCAGAGCGAGAATGCTTTGGGATGAGGTAGCGTACAGAAGGCTTCCTCCAGGACTGCCGCCACGTCTTCCTCGTTCTTGATGTATGCATTTTCGGCACAGTAACGGTGCCCCAGTGGATTCGCGGCTGCTTGATTGCGATACTCGTTCAAGAGGCTGGTTGGCTGGTTGACGAGTTCGACAAGTGCGCCAGGAGGCCGCGTCGAGTTGGCTGGCTTCAACGCTGTTCGTGCCTCGTCTTCATCGTTTTTGAAGGTCAGGAGCAATGGCATTATGCAAGGTTGATGCTGAATGCCGGATTCAGGAGGAGGATAAGCTGCCACGGCCACGATTTCGGTGTCGTCGTCACATGTAGGCGCGAGGGCAACCACCCAGTCCATGACTTCCTTGTAGCAGGAAATGGGATAGATGAAGGCAGATGAGAGCATGTTGCTGTACGATCGTCTCAGCCGAAGATAGAATTTGGTAACGACTCCAGGGAATCCAGGTCCAGCTCCGCGAGCGGCCCAGTAATAATCCGAGTTTTCCGTGCTGTTGCAGTGTAATTGCTCTCCTTGAGCATTTACAATGTCGATAGCGGTGACTTGCTCACAGGCCCAACCCCAATTCTTGCAGTTCCAGCCCATGCCACCCTGCAGGAGAAAACCTCCTACACCAACGTCCGGACAGTGGCCCCCAGCAAACAGAAGGCCTTTTTCGCCAAGGTAAGTGTTGAGCACTCTACCAGTTGTACTTGGAGAGACAATGGCCTCGGTTTCCGCTGCGTTCAATTCCAGGTGATGGTAGGCACCAAGATCAATCAAGACTGCATCCTCTCGAACACTCCAGGCTGCCCAGCTGTGGCCACCTGATCGGACGGACACCCGACATCCCAGGCGATTAGCAAGCTGAACAGCATCAACAATGTGCGATTCCTGGGTAGCTTCGACAATGGCCCGGGGGTAGCGCTTCGGTCGTCTGTGGTTGAAGACTCTTCCGACCCTCGCGCGTTCATACTCAGTATCATGCTCACCCGTCTCAGGCCGCCATGTAATTGGCAGGCTATCCTGCATGGACCCCATTTTGGATGATTTAAATTAGCACAGCACTCTTTGTGCAATCCAAATGAAAGTGCAAGCCGTAAATAAACCCCAGAAGTTCAAGTTCGCGGTAGCGGTCACATCCTCACACGGTCTCCTCCTAATACTGCTTCAGACGTTGCCCGTGACTCGCTGGAGTGAATTTGGCGATAATCCAGGCTCGGCCCCACGCCCTCGGCTCCACCCCCAATGTCCCTCACATCATGTTTGCAGCGCGGGCACCTCCCCACAACATGCCCCACGTACTAATGTCTCTCACCACTTTGCCTGACCTTTGCCCAATTCGTCCAATATGGAGTCATGAAATCCAGCACCAGTTGTTTGGGGAAGCGGCCATCGAGTTGGGTTGCAACCTGCATGTTCAATTTCGGACAAACAAAAGTCCCAAAGCACATCACAAATACCTAGGGTTAGAAAGACAGGTTGCCTTCGCGGGACATGAGCCATACTCAAGTTGACCGGCAAGCAATTGCCATTCAAGATGCCAAGCATCAGAGTGAATGTCACAAGTCGCTGGCAGGAAAAGTCGCTGTGATTAGTGGTTCCAGCTCAGGCATCGGCAAGGCTATCGCGGTTGAGCTCGCTTCGAGAGGCGCTTTGGTAGTGCTCAATTATCCCACAGTCTCACTGAAACCGGAAGCAGAGCAAGTATGTCGCGAGTTACAGGGCACTTCGATTGCCGTCTGCGCGGACATGGGCAGCACAAGTGGTCCTGGCGAATTGGTCCGGAGTGCCGTTGAAGCGTTTGGTAAGGTGGATATCGTGGTCAACAACGCGGCAGTCGCCATCAACAAGCCGTTCGAAGAACAGACGCTCAAAGATTGGGATACTCTCGTATCCATCAATGCGAGGGGCACGTTTTTACTCACTCAAGAAGCCCTGCCATTCCTGTCAAAACCTGGTGGCCGCATCATCAACATCTGCAGTGCCTCGTCTCGAGCTGCACCGCCCCTACAAACGATATATGCAGGAACCAAGGGCATGGTGGACAGTTTCACTCGGTGTTGGGCCAAAGAGTTGCCACCCAAGTACGGATGTACCGTCAATGCCGTCAGTCCGGGCCCAACCATGACGGAGGGTTTCCTCGCTGCGGGACCTGATGCCATGAAAGTCTTGCAACCAACGATTGATTCTATTCCTGTTGCCGCCAGGATGGCAGAGCCGTCGGAAATTGCTTATGCTGTCGGATTCTTGTGCGACGACCGTTCTCGTTGGATCAATGGAGTTCACCTGCATGCGAACGGAGGACTCTTCGTGGATTAAATTTCTGTCCCTGCTGCCGGACGTCACATCTCACGTATAAGGGCATCCAAGGTCTGCAAGATAATAAGCCTGGACTTTTCTTCTTTGAAGCTTCACATAGCGTTATGAGCGAAGTATGAGTTCACATGGAAACGTTGTATTATACAGCATGCGCATAAATGCATATCAAGACCACGTCCGGTAGCAGAACGAGATTGAAGATGAAGACCGGAGGAAGGCAGAGAAGACTAGAGACGATGATGCTCTTGACATTGTAGTCATGGGTAAATTTCGGCAATGCTTCACTGTGCTTGGCAAAATTTCTCCGCCTGAGTGACTGCCTGCGAAGAAAGTCGAGCGCAAAAGTGCATCTACCAGGATTTTGTGATATTTCGTTGTTCACTCTCAACGTGTCCGTCAGTGGCGGCGTTGGTTTTGCCTTGCACTCGAATTCTCTACCTTCACGACGTCGGATACTTGCATCAGGGCCTTTCCCGCTGCAACTCCCGTCTCCTCGCCGCGAAAATGGATTCTTCCAGAGGCCCTCCACGGGTCAAGAACAAGGCGGCGGCGCCTGTTCAGATATCCGCTGAACAACTCCTGCGAGAGGCTGTTGATCGACAAGAGCCGGGACTCCAAGCACCTACACAGCGTTTCGCCGACCTCGAAGAACTCCATGAATTCCAGGGTCGAAAACGCAAAGAGTTCGAGGACTATGTCCGTCGCAACCGGATTAACATGAATAATTGGATGCGGTATGCACAATGGGAGCTGGAGCAAAAGGAATACCGGCGGGCGAGGTCCGTCTTTGAGCGAGCACTGGATGTCGACAGCACCAGTGTTGTGTTGTGGATTCGATACATCGAGGCCGAGATGAAGACGAGGAACATCAACCATGCACGAAATCTATTGGACAGAGCGGTGACGATCCTCCCAAGAATCGACAAACTGTGGTACAAGTATGTCTACATGGAGGAAACCCTTGGTAATGTGCCAGGAACAAGGCAGGTCTTTGAGCGATGGATGAGCTGGGAGCCAGACGAGGCGGCATGGCTGGCATACATCAAGCTCGAGAAGAGATACGGGGAATATGATCGTGCGCGGGCCATTTACGAACGGTTTACGGTCGTTCATCCTGAACCACGGAACTGGATCAGATGGGCCAGATTCGAGGAGGAAAATGGCACAAGCCAACTGGTACGCGACGTCTTCGGAGTCGCCATCGAGACGCTAGGCGACGACTTTATGGATGAGAAGCTCTTCATCGCTTACGCACGGTACGAAGCGAAGCTGAAGGAGTACGAGAGAGCTCGATCAATATTCAAATACGCCCTGGATCGACTGCCACGCTCGCAATCGGTCGTACTCCACAAAGCTTACACGCAGTTTGAGAAGCAGTTCGGTAATCGTGAGGGTGTGGAAGATGTGATCCTTGCAAAGCGGCGGGTACAGTACGAAGAACAACTGAAGACGAATCCGCGCAACTACGATGTGTGGTTTGATCTGGCAAGGCTGGAAGAGGCAGGAGGCGACTTTGAACGTGTACGAGATGTCTACGAAAGAGCCATTGCTCAGATTCCGCCTTCGCAGGAGAAACGGCACTGGAGGAGGTATATCTACCTCTGGATCTTCTATGCTTTATGGGAAGAGATGACCAGCAAGGAAGTGGACAGAGCGAGACAGGTGTACCAAGAATGTCTGAAGCTCATACCGCACAAGAAATGGACATTCGCGAAGATATGGATACTGAAAGCGCAATTCGAGGTTCGACAAATGCAACTCCAGGCGGCAAGAAAGACCCTTGGACAAGCGATTGGCATGTGTCCCAAAGGCAAGCTCTTCCGCGGATATATTGAGCTGGAGAAACAGCTGTTTGAGTTCGTGCGATGCCGGACTCTATTTGAAAAACAGATCGAGTGGAGTTCTTCCAACGGTCAAGCATGGATCCAGTTCGCGGAGCTCGAACGTGGACTTGACGATTTGGAACGAGCAAGAGCCATCTTCGAGTTGGCCATCGATCAGCCTACACTCGACATGCCGGAGCTGGTATGGAAAGCGTATATTGACTTTGAAGAATACGAAGAGCAATACGATCGCGCCCGGGCCTTGTATGAAAGACTGCTTCGAAAGACCGATCATGTCAAAGTCTGGATAAACTATGCTCGATTTGAAATCAATGTACCGGATCCAGATGAGCCGGCAATGGCGGATGGCGAAGAACAAAAAGTCAGCGAGGAGGCCAAGGCTCGAGCTCGGAAGGTCTTTGAGCGGGCTCATGATGTTTTCAAGGCGAAAGAGATGAAGGAAGAACGGGTTGACTTGCTGAATGCATGGCGATCATTTGAGCAGACTCATGGTTCGCCAGATGATATTGAGAAGATTGAGAAACAGATGCCTCGCAAGGTCAAGAAGAGGAGAAAGATTGAAGAGGACCGCTTCGAGGAGTACATCGACTATGTATTCCCTGCCGACGACGAGAGTGCAGCCAAGATGTCGAAGCTGTTACAAATGGCGCACCAATGGAAGGCGAAACAACAAGAGAATGGCACTGTGGAATAATTGAGACAGTTATCAAGGACAAGACCATATCAAGAGGGTCAAGATATTGGTTATTCCCGCTTGATATCTTGGTAGTTGCTACAAGATCGTCACGCTTCCACGTGGGTACCATGTCGTGCCTGTCTCATTTCACGTACGGAGTACATTCGGGCTGATGGCGTTGAGATGATGTACGGAGGCGTGCACCATTTGTAGTGTCCAGCAAAAACTTAGAAAGACCGGGTTTTATGACCTGACACAGCAACTCCCTAGCTTCCCGGCCCTATGAACCTGGAGATGCCTGAAAACGGTAACTCGCTTAGGTAGTATAGGTAACTAAGTATAGGCGTTATCGGAGTAAAGCCAAGTATTTTTAGGGGCTAGTAGCTATATTATAAGCCTGAGCTAACTATTATAGCCGCTTCGGTAAGGAAGTATAGGTAACAAGATATAGGCACTCCTAATAGGGGCCACGGCAGAAAAGCCTGCGTGTTTTGAAAGACCAGTCTTTTCAAATTTCTGCTGGACACTACAAATGGTGCACGCCTCCGTACTATCTAATCAGTTAGAGGTTCGCGTGCGCACGGATGGTGTGGAGGCCATTCTGCCATTCGGGGGGCATTGAATTTTTGGACGGAGCCCAGTGGGAGCCATACCCCTGACTAAACTAAGAATTCGCGTTCCGTTCCTGCATAAAGTGGCTCTTGCTGCTAATCGGTATCGGTCCTAGTTGTAGTATTTTAACCAATCAATTCAGGGCATCGGCAAACACTTTGAAACAACAGAGACTGGCAATCGCGCCCTCCGTTATCCAAGGAATAAACTTGACCAATCTTCCCTGTCCATGTGACACCTCAAGTCGGGCAGACCGGGAGGGAGCATGATGTTGGTGACCCAGATGTGATCTCTGATGGGGTGACCATGAGTGATACTGATCCTCTCGTTAAATCTGGTGGTGGTGAGAGGGTGGGATGGTGATGGTGATGGTGATGGTGGTGATGGAAACGAATCGCACTTGTAAACTTCCCTGCAGAGGCTATTTCAGCGCCGCCAATTGAGGGACTCGTCATGTCCTCGTCTGCATGCGATGGCGGCATCTTCTTTCTGCGGTCTCTTTTATGGTGCCCTCGCTTCTTTTTCGTCTGTCCCAAATCGGCCAGAGTCACACTCGCTTTTTCCCTCCTCCTCCTCTTCCTCCCGCACTCCCTGCTGCCGCCTGCCCTGACGTCCTCGTCATCCGCATCCTTTTCCCTGTTTATTAGTATCTTCATCTCTTCATCTGCACATTGTTGCACTTCGGACGTGAGGTTGGTCAATTCAACGATATCCTATATACCGATTTTCACCTGCTACGAGCCTACGAGGCCGAGAGTCGATCCCCATCATAATTCCCACAGTAAATGATGATCATATACTCCTTTCGACCCACTTCGTCCTGATCATCCTTCAGACTGAACTTCAACCCCCTTGTTCTTGTCTTTGTCGGTTGTCGCCTGTCTATCACGCAGTCGCAAAGACTGTCAGGAAGATTCAGGAGCGCAGTATTGGCCGTGGACGCTGCTAAACTTCCACGAAAAACATCTGCCACAAGGTCGCAGGCTTCGGCTCTCCACCATCATACCAGGCTTCCTTGTTACTATTCTGCGAAGACCCTTCCTCCATACCTGTTCCATAGTTCGAATACGAGGTCGACAACTCGACCATCAGACCGCCATTATCGACCTGCGAAGCCGTATCCTCGAGGTCGATAAACTTCGCAAAGCACGTTCCCACGACCCAACCCCGGTGGTCTGAGCTTCCGTCGCGCCAACCACGTCAAGACGACCCTTTTGTCGCTAGAGAAACCTACGCTCTAACCGTTGCACAGCACCACTGCCTTCTCGCACTTGCTCCCACCTCACACAGTCTATTGAATCTGCTCGAGCACATCGACTCAATTGCGCGGCAACAGGTCCATTGTCTGCTCTACCGCAAAAACCTGAGCTCCCTTCTCCATAATACTTCCCTTGCAGCTTCTGTGAAGCTTCCTGATCCGAAAACACAGCAATACACATCCTGGGCGACGATGCATATGCATAGACGACCCTGACAAGACGATTACGCAGTACTCGCCAGACAAGAACGCGGCAGGAGATGTCAGCTCCTACGCCGCCCGTCTCGCTCAAACACCAATGCTCGATTGTTCACGACGGAGTCATCTATGTCTACTCGCCCGACGCTTTTCAGATCTTGCAACTCAAAGAGGGGGCACAATGGGAACAAGAGTCGAATGGCATTGCGGTAACGGGAGCCGTCTGTGTCAAAGGGGGTGTTGATGGTGACAATACCAAACCAGCATTATATGTGGTCGGCGGCGCGAGCAATTCATCCTTTCCAGATTACCCTGGTCTGCAACGCTACTCAATACTCGACAAGTCATGGCAAACCATCACCCCGGTTGTCAAGGTCACACAAAATCGCTTGTACCATGGAGCCGCGTATATGAATACCTCGTCATCAATGGTGGTGTATGCGGGCTCCCAGGACGATTACTCAGGCGCCTCGTCACAAACATTTCTCGTGGAACTCTACCCGCCGTACAGCGTGGCAGCTTACAGTTCTGATGCACATCCAGCGGTGAGGCCAATCATGCTGTCGTGGAACGAGAGTAGCGTGTTGATGGTGGGAGGCGGCACCACGAATGTCAACATGTCCACATTCGATCCCGATAATGGCTGGCAGGATCTAGGTATATCGCTCCCTAGCGCACTGCCTGACTCTTCGGTCGCGCAAACCGCCGTGTTCACTCTGGATGATGGAAGCAAGATACTACAGACGTTTGACCTGGGCGACACTGACCCCACGGTGACTACAAATGTTCTCTTAGGTGCAGGAGGAGTACTTGCAACATATGGAGAGACCGTAGGGGGCAACGACACAACAGCCAGTCCAACGACGACTGCTTCGTCCAACAAGGCAAAAAGAACAATATCACTTAGCAACTATCCAACATACAACAACAGTCTCGCGCCATCGACCTCTCGGACCAATTTCAGTCTGGCTCAAGGTGATGCTGGACTGATATCCTTCGTCGGAGGCAATGACGACGACCCTGTTGTCTTTTTCAACCAGTCCGCAAACGACTGGATATCAGCAACGTCCATATTGGGTAAACAGCAATCTTCGACTACGCCATCAAGCACCCAGCCTGCAACGACAGCCACAAGTGCTGCAGCAACATCCTCATCTTCTCATAAGGGCAATGGCCTGACGATCCTTGGTGGGGTTCTCGGTGGCATTTGCGGCCTCGCTGTAATACTCATCATTCTCCTTCTGTGGCTCAGGTCCGTCCGCAGAAAGCGAGCTCAGGCAGAGAGACAGACGGAATATGGCGACGATAAAAGAAGGAGTGGGGAGTATAATGCCGAAGGAGGCCTACGTCCGCTGGCCTCGTCTGGCCAGCCAATGGGTAGAAGCCCAGTCCCGTCAGCCGTAATAGAAGAAGCCGACAGCACCGCCATGGTCGGAAGCCGAGGGGATCCAAAATATTTGATACGGCGTGTCTCCTCAGATCGAAACCAGCCTGGGTTCCGTGGTTCAGGTATCGGCTTTGGACAGGCGTTGTTCAAGCGAGACAAGGGCACTTTGGCCATTTCGAAACCTATGAACCCGGTATTAGGGGATTACAAAGAGAGACCCAGCATCGACCTTGGTACAGCGACACCGGCAGAGCCAGTTGCTGCCACGGCTGTCGCTACGAGAAACGCGTCCCAGCGGAAGACTGATGAAGGATGGGGCAAGTATTTCCAGAGCGACCCGCAAACTGGCAACAGAACCTTCTTCACGCGGGACTCGAGCGCAAGCCGAAGCAAGAGTGGTGGGTTTTGGCCGGGCTCAGGAGTACCAGAGAGCTCAAGCAGGTCGACGCCTAGATCAGCCAAGTTTGTGCTCCGGGACAGTGTCGGGAACCCATTACAAGCGCACAACGTCGGTGTGGGAAGTCCTACATTGGAACATGTGCCGTCGAGCGCCCAGTCTCAAGGCTTTCCGCACCTAGAGGGAACGCCAGTGCGGATCTCGAATGTGAGTTCGGTCACCGATGAGGACGACTATGAGGATGAACGCTTCGAAGGCGCTTTTTCAAGTGGAATACCCGCCAGCGTGAACGACGTGCCCTGGGCGCCAGTGGGCAACACGTGGTCAGGTCCGGCCCAACGACCGCTACGACCTCCAAGCGGTTACACTCAGCAACAAGGACGTCCTCCTGCTCGAACAGCTTCGTCTAACGAAACGGAAACCTCGGAAACATCGATACCAGCATTCCCCATGCCAAACTCCGTCCGTTCCATTCGACCTAGCGGAGGGAGCGAATTGCCGACGCATCATGCAGTGACTGTGACCCCTGCGGTCGCCCGCGATGAGGCGACAGACGCCCGGGAATACTTTTCACATACCCGGGCTCGGAGTGGTACTCCGGACAACAACGACATGTCATGGCTCAATTTGGGAACACCACAACGGTGACTCCCCAATCGGTTCTCGCAAGTTCTCTACCAGTTTTTGCTTGATGACGTTGCGCGCAAACCACCCAGCAGCAGCACACGGATTGACAACATGAGCTCAGGCGACAGCCAAGTTGTTGATAAGGCGAAGAAGTCGAGCCTGTTCCGAACCCGCTCCGCTCCACGACGAACGCATGCATTTCACTTTCCGTCAACGGCGGTGCAGCGCGATTCAACATGGGAAGACGATGCTGTCCCAAACTCACCCACGCTTCCCGACGCAACCGAGGAAGCAGGTTTCCGGGACAGTAAAAGGTTGACCATGTGACGGTAGTGTCAGACCACGGACGATTGGTGGTAGTATCTACCAAAACTCACTGCATCGGCATCCTATTCCAGTTATACCTCATCTAGCGAGCGATTTGCTCAGTTTCTCTAATCATCTTATGGCCGGGCAGCTTTTACTGAGGAAGATCTGGTTTGATATTGACGATTTGATGCCGTGACTGGTGGGGACACATCGGTGTATTTATAGGATAGGTGAATGATTAATGTAATGAATCAGGTAGTGTATAGTTGGAGAGAGAAGTAGTCAAATTACTACGACATGCGCAAGCATGTTTGACCAGCCTTGCAAGAATTCTTCCTTTTTCTTAAGACTATTACTTCACATGAATTGCTTGTCAGAAGGAAACAATGATAGCCTTCGACGCATAGTTCCAACAAAGCATTGCGATCGATTTCGATCGTCTCTGAGGGGCTGCTCTAGAGGTGACGTCCGGAAGGACGAATGATGAGGATAGAGTGCCGCTCGTGGAGGACGTATAGGTGGTTTGTGAGCTTCGGCCGTCGGCTACGAGACGTCTTTCTTGAGTCTTGATACGCACGCACAAACAGAATCGAAATTAATTGACTCGTTAAAAGGAGAAAGTGGAATAACTTTTTCCTTCGAGTAACGCACGATGCCGTCAGTGGAGTAAAGTCAGTAGACCATTTCATGCACCGCGAAAAGCGAGGAGTTGGCCATAACCCCGGGAATTGATGCACGTGCGAGAGCGACAAGCGGATGGAAGCTTGGAAAGGATCACCTGAAGGACGATCGCACGCCCTGACGGATTCTCACTCGGAACATCACAGACGAGTTTGGCGTATGATGAAATGAAACGAAACAACAGGTCTCGCAGACATCGAGAATGATGGAACACAGGTGCAAGTGACCGTCAACAATCGTTTGGCTGGCTCATGGCCATCACCATGCGAATAGCACCGTCATAGGAGACAGGGTCAAGATCTTGGAACATTGAACATGGCCCGCTTCATCTCACGACAATACTCTTGCGGGATCACGGGAAAGCCTGATGGAGGGTACAGGCGTGGGGTGTGTCACAGTGTTGCGACAGAGATCAGCCCGACGATCTTCTCAGCCTCGAGGATCTTCACTTTCATATCGTCGCTGAAATGTCTAAGCGATTAGGCTGTTTAGTGAGTAAAAAATAGTCAGAAGTACAGACGAGACCTGCGATAAGGGCATTCCTACAACGCCCGGTTCTGCATGAACTGTAGACGCATCTCCGCAAATGCCCGGCGAATCCTCCGGAGTATTCGTGTCTGTTATCTCTGGGAAGCCAGTCCCCTGTTACTTCTGCCGCGGAGAGAGATAACAAGTACTCAAGAGGACCGGCGCATAGATTGGCGGTTCGTGATGTAAGGTTCGATAGTCTTCCGTCCTCCTATTCTGTAGGACACCCAGGTATGTTTTCTAGCGTTGGACAAGACGGGAGAAAAGGGCGATCAGAACTGCGCAAGTAATTTCACTATGAACTGTGGCAGACACTGGGCACTTTACGTGGCTTTTCTGGCGTCTGTGAGTTCCAAAAGCTGGTTCATACAAATAAAGGAGATGGAAAGTGCCATGTGTCGATGACAGGAGCCGGTTATTGGGCGAACTCGAACAGATCAAGAAGACCCGAATACCGCACCCCGAGCATCACTAGCCCTAAGCCCCCCATTTCCAGTTGGTGCATGAACCTAAAATCAATTAATTCACTCTTTCGTATGGTCAGAGTTTCCGATGCTCCGGGGGCCTGTTCTTGGTTCTCGTGGCCCCTGCGCCGTTTGTCTTAGGCCTGGTTTCTGGCCAGCCCATGCTCTTGCCCACGCCTTCCTTGAGTCTGACATTCCACCCGGTGCCCTTCCCAGTTCCAGTTTCCCACGCCTTGGGAGTGCCAAACTGATTGACGAACTTCGGAGTCATCGCCCTTTCTCTTTCCCCCCAACATCCACGGTCCTCATCCACACTTCTTCTTGACTGTGCATACAACACCATCCACCACCACACATTGTATCTCATCTGCCAATCATCCCACCCACCTGCATCCAACAACTCGTCCAGCTTCGTGAACCGTCCAACACTCAGTTGGTCCCCCCGCTTTTTTGTTTATCAGAAGACCATTCGCTTTCGTCTTCCACTTTCTCTTTCTCCTTCCCACATCTTCCTTCATCAAAAGGAAGATATCGCTGCACAGAGACACTGTCAAGGTCGTCTCTCTAATCGCCACCACTCCGCCTTACCCACCTCGACTCACGCCTCCAGCGTCGCAACCACCGACACCACTTTCGAATCATCGACCTTATTTGCGCACTGTCTTGCCATCCAAGCCTAATTACACCGAACACATCGCTGTCGGCGCTTCTCCTGTTGTATCATATCGTGTGGTGAGTCATATCTGCCGGCCGTCTTATCTGACGCGTCGCGATCTTGCCTTCTCGTTCAAGCTGACTCATGACTGCGCGATCAGATTCTACCACGCGATACCTACCAGCAGATATGGCTCCTTCACAAGTTTCGGCCCTTGGTCTGGCCCTTAATGGCAAGTCCGCCTACGTCGACATTCCAAAGCCTCGCGATGCCATTCATGGCCGGGACAACTTCACTGCTGTACCGGCCTCCACCGTCAAGAAACACTCGGGGATGTTGCTTACTCCTCCAAACTCCATCTCTCCCGACCTCAAACCGCAGGGTCGCCGCCGCAACAGTCGCCACCAGGGACCGCTTTCTCCCAAGAGCACGGCAGTGGATTCGGACATAGATTTGCACGACGCTGCAGATAAGCCGACCGCCCTGAGCGCCGAGGCTCTTGACAGTCTCGGTGATCTGGACAGTGCAGGCGCTATCACTCCGAACATGCTGGCCAAGCACCACCTCCCAGATATCCTCTTGTCTCACGGTCCACTGGCCATCCGACACATCATGGGGTATCTGACGACTTCTGTGCCCGGCTTCTCGCGCATTACCTCCGCCAAAGCCCGTCGCTTGGTCGTGGCCGCGCTCGAGGGCAAAGGAGCAGGTATGGAGATGGCTGGTCGCGATGGCGATGTCATCTTTGAAAAGGTGGGCTGGGGCCGGTGGGATGCTCGCATCAAGGGGCAACCGCCGCGAGAACGTCAGGGCTCTGCCGTAACCCCTCCTGGCAGTTTACCTTCCTCCTACTCCCAGCCTGGCCTGCAGGTGCCCGGTCAGCCAACCTGGCGCACTGGATCTCAAGATCTCGGCACCAGCTACACCGGCAATTCCGCCGTCTTCTCTCATTCTGAAATGGATTATGAAGACCAGGACATGTTGGAGCACGAAGCCGATAAGATGTCATTGGATGGTGATGACGATGGCTACGTCTCGTCGATCGCTCCGGAACCTCTAGACCAAGACCTCGGAGACGGTGAAGTGACCGATGAAGAAGACTGGGGCAGCATTGGCGCTGCGGCACTGCGCGCAAGGTCTCTCCCAAACAATGGACGGTCAATATCTGGTCACGCACGTCTGTATCAGCCCATCGCCACGTTCTCGTACAAGTCAACTCAGAGGTCCAGGACTCCAGCAGACATGGCCCATACCGCGCCTACGAACCCAGCACTCAACAACCTGAACACTTTTTCATTCGCAACTAACGCTGGCGTTAACAACTCTCAAGAACAAGCTGCAATCGAAGCACTCTTGAGTCTTGGTTCTATGTAATAATACTGTCATCAAGTTGGTTCAACCCCTACTATTGGTGTGATTGAACAACCTGGGACGCATACACACCGGCACGTTGGTGTGATCCTCTTTCACGAGGATGCACGGCACCCACAACTCCATGGTTACAGAACCTTCTTGTTACGTGCTTTTTCAGGCGTTTTTGGGACTCCTCATCACGACATATCTCCACTGATAACGATTTCACGACCTTGAGCCATACGAACCAGAGTGGCTCGGTTTAAAGTGGACGACCCTTACTATGTTCATGTTTTTGACAACGGCAGAGTTGTCACCCTCTACACTTCTGAATCAACATATGGTTTGCACTTCGACACCTGTCCTCGAATGCGGAGCACATTATCACCCAATGCGACCATACTCACGATCTTATCTCTTTTGTAATACATATCTCAGGCATTGCGCCAGGTGTGGTGCAGGAATCCACCTGGGAAGCAGCATACTGAAAAACGAACGATGCCTACCCTCGTTACGCGCAGATCGTCTTTTACTGGTCTTCTTGATTGATTGTACTGGAAAATATTGATCTGCGACTCTGTCATGTTTATTCATTGCACGGAGTAACGAGTTGTATGCTTCAACATCCGCCACTTTATTGTTGGTCAGGATTAAACACAGGCAAAGGTGAAGGAAGAATTTAGAATATGGCTTTTGCTATATTGGTACCTATTTCATTTGTTCTATATTGGCGGTATCCGAAGCCGTGCAGACAACCTTGAGTTGCCCGAAGTAGCGGGTGCCTTGGTTCTATGGGCACGGATCGGTTCGAGAGCATGCCAAGATCATCATACGAAAGAAAGAAAGACCCAGGAAACAGAACACCCCGGATGGACAAGGAGGTGGCCTGAGATGGCACCGAGGACAAGGACCTTTGAAGAGGTGTTTTGTCTTGGTCTTTCCTTCCAACCACAACGATTTCGTAGTCTCTCTTTTGACTCTGCAGGGAGGCATGGGGAGCAAATATTGGGAAACCAAGGAAGTCGTGATGGTGCTAGCGAGAAGACAACGCAGTGGAAGTAGAAGTCCTGCAAAGCAGCATGCTTGCTAAAGGAAGACTGATAGGCCAGCCACATGGTTTGGAAGAATCAATCAATTCATATTGCCTCACTCGAGATATCATCATGCTCTTGATCTTGTGAAGTCCTCTCTATCCCAGCGACATTTCGCGAGGATATCAATGCGAACGTTGAGCAAGGTACACTTCCTATCGCAGAATGCGCCTAATTTTTGCAAAACAGACTCATGTTATCGTTGCTATCTTGTTCCTCTGCCTATTATCACGACTACTCCCCTATATACTTGTTATGCATGGGGGCCTCTCGGTATCGGCGTACAAGTCATAGCTTAGAGCATTATCATACTCACCTCGCCCCGAAGGCGGTGGCCACCTATCTTGACCCGGACCTCATGTTTCTCTCGACGGATGATACATCACGCTTGTGACAGCGGGATATCGCTGGTAAATGCTAACCAAGCTTCGAGTGAAAAAAAAAGAGGCGCAGGAGGCCTTTCCACCGCCCCAGTATCATTCGTCCTCCTCATCATCCTCATCCGCCTCGTCTTCGTCGCCTACAACGACGCCGCCGCGACGTTTTTTAGCACTTTTACCCGTGCTCTTCAACGATCCCGCGGCGCTGGTAGGTGTCGCAGGCTCGTCGCGATCGTGATCATGGTCCTGGTTCGGACCCTCGTGACGCTGATGCTTTTCCTTTTCATGCCGATCCCGATCATGTCGCTCATGGTGATTGTGTACATGCTTGTAGATGCCTTTCGTGAAATCATAAGTGTCTTAACTAGCTTCTTCCTCAAGGAAGAAGTATTTGCCGGCCAACTTCTGCTCCTGGTCCATTTGGGACTGGTACTTGTTGATACGGGGTCGGTAGGAGTTGGGGTCCCGACGGAAAGTGACGTCCAGGTTCTTCAGGAACTTGTTGCATCCAGTCAACAGACTCTCGGGGGTGTTGGCGCGGGCGTCGACAGAGGGCTGGCCGTCGAAGACGATGACTCGGTCGGCGAGGTAAGTGGCCATGATGAAATCGTGCTCGACGATGAAAGCGGTCTTCTTGCTGTGCATGATGAAGCGTTTAATGACGCGCGCGGCGATAATACGTTGCTCGGAGTCCAGGTACGCCGAAGGCTCGTCGATGAGGTAGATGTCTGCGGGGATACCGAGAGCAAGGACGATGGCAACACGTTGCAACTCACCGCCTGACAGGTTCTGAACTTCCTGGTCGATGAAGTCGTCGAGCTTGAGTGGCTTGTAGACGTCGGTCTGGAATTGAGGGCTCAAGAAGGAGGCCTTGATTCGCTTGAAGAACAATTGACGCACCGTGCCTTGGAACTTGGGCGTGATCTTTTGTGGCTTCATGGAAATGTTCATCTGAGGGACCTTCTGAGTGCCGTCCGGCTTTTCAATGCCAGCGAGCATCTTACAGAAGGTGGTCTTGCCGGTTCCGTTCTCGCCCATCATGACGATGATCTCAGAGTCGGTGAATGAACCTGTATTGATCTTCAGGTGGAAACCTCCGAGAGTCTTCTCCATAGATGGGTACTCGAATCCACGTGCTCTGTCGACCAAGTATTCGTCACCAGCTTCGGCGATACGGAAGGTCAGGCTTTCCTCACGGAAACGCAAGTTCTCGGTGGGGATGTTGCCGTCAAGGAAGATGTTGATACCTTCTCGAACCGAGGCTGGGAGAGTGACAACACCATAGACGGCGGGTCTTCCATACAAGACACAAATGAAGTCGGAGAGGTAGTCCAGGACTGACAAATCGTGTTCGACGACGATGACATAGTCGTCGGGTCGAAGGAGCTCGCGAATGGTCTTGGCGGCACTGAGACGTTGCTTGACATCGAGATACGACGAGGGTTCGTCAAACATGTACACATCGGCGTTCTGGACACAGACGAGAGCAATGGCGAATCGTTGCAATTCTCCACCGGACAAAAGGGCGACCTCTCGATCTTTCACCTGGTTCAATTCTGACACAAGGGATCAGTGTCTGACTTTCGTAGTATGTTGTTGTAGCTTACCGAGCACTTCCATAATATGCTCCAGATTGCCCAATTCAGACTTCGCCTCGATCAGAGGTTTCACAGTGTTGACCGGACCCTTGATAGCTCGAGGAAGCTGGTCGACATACTGTGGCTTGACAATCGCTTTGAGATTGTCTTCCAGCACCTTTGTGAAGTAGTCTGGCTCTGATCAGCCGTGTCCACTGGAACAACGTTATGGTTCAACTCACTTTGCAATTCTGAGCCACGGAAGTATTTCAGAATCTCCTCCCAATCCGGTGGATTGTCATATCTTCCCAGGTTGGGCTTCAGTTTACCACTCAGAATCTTCAAAGCCGTACTCTTTCCGATACCGTTGGTTCCGACCAGACCCAAAACCTGTCCCGGCCGGGGCATAGGCAGTCTGTGCAACTTGAAACTGTTTGCCGAGTATCGATGAGTGACCTGAGTCTCGAGGTTGGTTGGCAGGTTGATGATGTGGATAGCACCAAACGGGCATTTCTTCGGGCAGATACCGCAACCGATGCACAAACGTTCAGAGATGTAGGCAATTTTGGACTCGGGCGTGACTTCGATACACAGTTTGCCTGTTCGGACGACGGGACAGGACTTTTTGCATTCTTGACGACATTTCTGTAACAGTCAGACTTCTCTGTTTGCACATTCGAAGCCGGATTTCCTTCACACACCTTTGGCTTGCACTGCGGGGCAAAAACATGAATTGTCAACGATATTCCAACATCTCACCGTTGAAGGCTCAAACTAACCTTGTCGGTATTGACAATAGCAATTCTGGAAGAGTGTTAGCCAGCGTTTTTGATGTTGTTGCTGGTCAGGATGGGTCTTATTTACCTTGTCAATCTGTCCGCCATTTTGTTCGTGATCTGCAAAAACGGTTTGACAATGTATTGGCGCTCGCGCAGTGGCAGGAAGGACAAACGGCGACGGTAAATAGAATGTGTCAGGCAAGAAGACGGTGTTATTGTCCCTGTCACGATGTCGACAAGTGAGTCACCGGCAACGATGTAGCGCGAACCAGACAAGCGCAGCAGAAAAATGAAATGGGTGCGGTGAACGGCAACAATGAGGCAGTGAATACAACCCCGAAATCAAAATTCATGCCACGATGATTGGCTACTTGGTGGGTGAGTGATGGGGTGCTGCAAAACTGAAGTGCCCTGTAAGTTAGGGCTTGGCAATTGACTGCGCTACAGTACGGGCGTTTGGCCTCAAGTGCCTTTTGCAAGTACTAGAGCCTCGTGTGATCCCCAGACTTTCATACTCCCGCACCCGACTCAAAGAGTACCTTTCACACCTCTCACCAATTAATCACGAAGCACAATAACTGGATACAGTAATATAGAGACGCCGTAAGGGCTCTATCCACGAACGATGGAGTGTGAGTTTCTTACTGTCCCTTCTCATTTCCTTGCTCGCTTATGCACCATTTCTTTCCATCCTGTCGGCGGCTGCTCGGGCCTCGCGTTCACAATCCGGCGCAATGCACTCGAGATCAGCATATTCACGTCTCGAAGTGAATATGGGACAGTGAAGACGCCGAGACTATGCTGTTTGAAGGTCTGGGTGCCTTCCATGGTCATAATGGTGGCCAGGCAGGGCGCCCAGACTAGTTCAGCTCCCTCACCCTATATCATCTCGTCGTCCATCCTTGTTCATCGAAGCCATCTTATATTGGCTGTCGATCATCTCAGAGAGCTCTTTCATGTTTGATTCTGTTGTTTTCTGGATCGCGGAATTCCGATTTACCCGGTCATTGTTGCTGTTTTCGTGCTCGACCCTTCCCGCAGCCCACCTTGCTGACGCTTTCCCCTGCAGCCTCCAGTATCCTCGCCCAACCACCACCACCTTCAATACCCGACCGACCACTCTCACCCGCAACTACTCACACGCCTCCCGAGCCCGCCATGCAGAATGGCACGAAATACTCCGACAGTGAGAGCGAGCTGTCCGACCCTGCTGAGCCTGTCGCTGCCGTAGCCTCGCCGCCTCCGGTCGAGGTCGACGGCGATGACGAAAACATGCAAGATGTCGAACAACCCAGCTCAGATGAGCCAGATGCTGAGGGCGATGCTGACTTCGAGATGGACACTGCGATGCGCATCAACAACATAAAGTCCGAAGAAAACAACTCATCCTCGGACGAATCCATCAGACCTGCAAAGAGAAAGGCACATGCTGTGGAAGAGGATGATTACATCCGTAATAACCCAGAGATGTACGGTCTGAGGCGGAGCGGACGGGCTCGGCTTGCCGCCAACATGGCAGAGACTTCCGACGAACAGGACTCGGACTCAGACATCGCTCCTCGACCCAGAAAACGTCTGCGACAGGTTTCTCAGCGCTCTTCCAAACAAGCAACCCCGATAATTGAAAGCTTCTCCGGCTCCGATGGTGATTCTGACGCGTATGGCGGCAAACGAGCAAAGATTACGAAAAAGCAACGCCGCAGGTTGCTGCAATCGGCCGAGAGCCTCACACCTGCACATGCCGAAATCAGATTTTCTACGCGTCGTGCAGCGAAAATATCGTCCTATAATGAGGATGAGGAGGATAATTTCGAAGAGAATGATCCTGATACACTAACACCAAATTACTGGGTGGACGAGCAAGAGGACAACTCTCCCGCTATTGATGTCGTCCTAAATCATCGCTTAAGGGCTGACGTTACCACCTCGAGACCCTCCAAGGACGACTACGAATTCCTCATCAAGTGGCAACAGAGAGCCCACTACCATGCGACATGGGAGACTACTGAATCCCTCCAAGGCGTGAGAAGCTTCCGGCGACTCGAAAATTACATCAAGGGCAAACTGATGGAAGACATCCGGATGCGCAATGACCCAGATATCGCCCCAGAGGACAGGGAGAAGTACATTCTGGATCGGGAGCAGTATGCTGACAGTCAGGAAGAGCACAAGCATGTGGAAAGAATCATCGGCGACCGGGATGGTCCGGATGGCACCGAGTATTTCCTCAAATGGAAAGGCCTCTACTATGATGCAGCAACTTGGGAGCCATCAAGCCTGGCAAGCGAGATAGCACAAAACGAGATTGATCGGTATATCAATCGCCAACGAGATGATTTCAAGTCAAACACGACTGAAAGCAATGCCTCGACCCGAAGACCTTTGGTCCCAATGCGAGAACAGCCCTCCTACATCCAGAATGGTACTCTCAAGGATTTCCAGTTACAAGGTCTGAACTTTCTTGCATTCAACTGGTCTCGAGGGAAAAACGTCGTCCTTGCGGATGAGATGGGTTTGGGCAAAACAGTGCAAACTGTCGCCTTTCTGAGCTGGCTGAGACATGATCGTGGTCAACAAGGCCCATTTCTCGTTGCCGTCCCTCTCTCGACGATGCCTGCTTGGGCTGAGACATTCGATCACTGGGCTCCTGATGTCAACTACGTTGTCTACAATGGCAATCAGGCCGCTCGGAATATCATTCGAGAGTACGAGCTGATTCCGGACGGCAACATTCGCCATCCACGCTTCCATGTACTTCTCACCACCTATGAATATGTCTTGCATGATGCCCCATTCCTCAGTCAACTCAAATGGCAATTCATGGCTGTCGACGAGGCACATCGGCTTAAGAACCGAGAGTCACAGTTATACGATCGGCTCCGGGAATTCAAGGCACCAGCTCGACTTCTGATCACGGGCACACCGGTCCAAAACAACCTCGGCGAACTTTCAGCGTTGTTCGATTTCTTGAGCCCTGGTGTCGTTAACATCGATGAACACATGGATCTGACCACTGAAGAAGCAAGCGCAAAGATTGCTCAGCTGACCGAGGACATCAAACCCTACATGCTTCGACGTACGAAGAACAAGGTCGAGAAAGATTTGCCGCCCAAGACTGAAAAGATCATCCGGGTTGAACTGTCAGATATCCAGCTTGAATACTACAAGAATATACTCACGAAGAATTATGCAGCTCTCAACCAAGGCTCTAAGGGCCAGAAGCAGTCACTTCTCAACATCATGATGGAACTGAAGAAGGCAAGCAATCACCCTTTCATGTTTCCAAGTGCCGAAGACCGCCTCGTACCTGATGGTGCTCGACGAGAAGAGGTATTACGTGCTCTTGTTACAAGTAGTGGGAAGATGATGTTGCTCGACCAGCTTCTTACCAAACTCAAGCGTGACGGCCATCGTGTCTTGATCTTCAGTCAAATGGTCAAGATGCTGGACATTCTGGGAGATTACATGGAGTTTCGTGGCCACGCTTACCAACGGCTTGATGGTACCATTGGGGCAGCCCAGCGTCGGATTGCTATCGATCACTTTAACGCTCCAGAAAGTTCCGATTTCTGCTTCCTGCTGTCTACAAGAGCTGGTGGACTCGGTATAAATCTCATGACTGCCGACACCGTTATCATCTTTGATTCGGATTGGAACCCACAGGCTGATCTGCAAGCTATGGCTCGCGCTCACAGAATCGGCCAGGTAAGGCCTGTCAGTGTCTACCGCTTGGTGTCCAAGGAGACTGTAGAGGAGGAAATCCTTGAGCGAGCCCGCAATAAGTTGATGCTGGAGTTCCTCACAATTCAACGTGGGGTTACTGATAAAGAGACTCAAGCTCGACGTAACGCGTTGGTTGGCGAACCTGGCAGCTCTAGTGAGATTTCACGAATCCTGAAGAAGCGTGGGCAGAAGATGTTCGAACAGACCAACAACCAGAAGAAACTCGAAGAACTCGATCTCGATGCTGTACTCAACAGTGCCGAAGACTACAAGGTCGAACAACCAGAAAATACTGATGCAGATGGCGGCGAGGACTTTCTTCGAAGCTTTGACTTTGTTGATGTTAAGGTTGACGAAATGTCCTGGGATGACATTATTCCCAAAGAGCATATCGACCAGCTCAGAGCCGAAGAACAACGGAAGGCCGATGAAAAGTACCTTGCTGACGTTATCGAACAAAACAAACCTCGCGTGCGCAATCATCAAGCTGACGATCGCGAAACGCGGAAAGCCCGCCGATCAGAGCAGCGACAGAAAGAGATCGATTCAGACAGTGAGGAAGAGGAAATTAATCCCAAAGCTGACCCTGCTCGACCATTGAGTGAGCGAGAATATCGGTATCTTATCAAGGGCCACCTCCGTTATGGTTCGATTGAAGACCGTCCGGACGAGTTCCTGGCCGAAGCCCGTCTTCGTGGCAGGGATCTCGATGTTGTAAGAGCTGCCATGAAAGAAGTTTGGGACAAGTCAGCCGAGCTTTATAAAGCTGAGCAAGATCGCATGGCAGAACTGGAGCGTACCGCCAATCGGCCCATCACCAAGAAAGACCGGAAAGCTGTTCTATTTGAGCTCCATGGAGTCAAACGGATCAACGCAGAGACCATACTTGACCGACCCGCCGAAATGCGACTCATCGCAGAAATTACCTCGAAAGAACCAGACTTCAAAGCATTCCGCATACCCGAAGCCACCAAAGCCGCTGGATATACCTGTCCCTGGGGTGCGCGTGAGGATGGTATGCTTTGTATTGGCATCGCCAGACATGGCTACGGTGCATGGGAAAAGATTCGCGATGACCCTGATCTGGGGTTGCAGGACAAATTTTTCCTCGAAGAACATCGAGTGGACAAGAAGGCAGAGCGTGAGAGGTTAGACGACAAAAACGCAAAGTCTCCTGGGGCTGTGCATCTCGTCAGACGCGCGGACTACCTGATTTCCGTGTTGAAGAGCAAGTACGTCGATGACCCAGCGGCCAAAAGGGCTGTTGAGAATCATCATCGCAACAATAAGAAAAACATGGCCGACAGAAGCAGTGCGGCCGACTCTCCGGCTCCTGGCTCCCATCGAAAAACACCTCGCGAATCGGAAAAGCCACGACATCGTCCCAGTCAAGCACATCGTGACAGTTCGGAGCGATACGGTACCCCAAGATCTGATAGTCGTCAGGGTCATATTCGACACGATAGGGACAGCAGGGATGATAGGGATCGGAAACACCGCGACGACCACAGTCACGTTCCGCATCACAACCGCCACTCCAGCGATCATCGACGCAGTGACAACCCTGCAGGCAATGCCTCATCTGACGTTGATCCTCTTATGGTGATGTTATTCAAACCTGTTAAGGAGAGTTTGAGGAAGATCAAGGCAACTACCAAGAATGCCATACCAGATTCGCAACAACGAGCCAACGAGTTGAGAGTCCTTCTGAAGATAATCGGCAACTTCATTACCGAACAGGTCACCGAGCTGGATGATAATCATGATTCTGTCGAGAAACGCTTTTGGTAAGTTTCATGCTCGCCTTACGGGCCTCTTCACTAACGCAAGTAGGGATTATGCTGCCACATACTGGCCTAATAAAGGAATCAAAGGTCGAGAACTTCAGGCTATACATGGCAAGATAGTCGCTTCGGACAACAAACTTGCTGGCGAAGGTTCTCCAGATGACGAAGCCAACAATGTCGACAGTCGAGCCAATGGATCGTACCAGACCTCGCCACCGCGGTGAGCTTGGAAAAGAAAAGTATTCTTCGGGTTCAACCATTTTAAGGGAAATTGTGAGCATGGCGTTTGATGGAGGTCGGATACTGTGTTGAAGCAGCAATGTTTTCGTGGTGTGCGGATGAGTGGGATGATGACACGAATGGTGTTGGTCATTGTTGTGCGGGTGCGTTACAGCACCAAGTAGCACACTTGGCAAAAAGTGAACTGTTGATATCGAGACGCATTGCACAGGACGAACAGGTAGAAAGGTCACGAAAATGGGGGTAACTTATGTGTATGTGGGCCATGGAAAAGCGTGTGTATCTTTCCAAGCTTGCCTTACGGGTCAAATGAAGGGATTAGTTTAGTTCCCTCTTACTAAATGGTGGAAATATTTTCAATCTAGGTTTAGAATCCTCAGCAGTGACTGATTGATACATGGTATCCCGTTATTGGACGCATCTATTCTGTAGTCTGGTCTGTGCTAGTAAATAAATTCCGCGTCGTCGACAAGCCGCTCAAAATACACGCCAAAGTACTCAACATCAAACTCCTAAAATGCGCTTTCGACAAAGGTGGGCAAATTCAAACAGGCTGACGACGGACCAAACACTCCTCGTTACTGTAGCTGCTGGTCCTTCAAGCCTTCAATCTCATCTCCTCACAAGGGCCGCAAACCGCCTTCTCCTCGACCTTGCTTGTGATCCCTCTTCTTCTCTCCTTATCCGTAGGCTCGACGGGGACATCACGCAAGAAGAAACGACCATCATCGCCGAAACCACCACCACACTCGAAACACATGAAGCAGTGCTCGTGGTACTTCCCGCCCAGCGCTTCAACGGTTAGTTCATCCTGGATGAGTTGCTTGCACTCCCTGCACCGGGCCGACGTGCGTTTCGTATGACAACTCACACAATAGGCGTAATTATCGCGCTCGACGAACGGTGTGGTGCTGTCAAAGGGGTCACCGCACTCGGCGCAGAAAAAGTGACCGACGTGCCATTCTGCGCCGGCGGCGACGATGATCTCGCCTTCTATCGGCGTCTTGCAGGAGCGGCATCTGGGAGAAAAAAACTCGTGGAAATCTAAGTGGCAGTAGAACCGTAGGGGATCGTTGACTGCCTCGGGAGATTCAGGATTAATGCCCATCTCCTCGAGGCGGAGGAGGCGTTTCTCTTCGGGCTCCGGGTAGAAGGAGACGCATTCGAGTGCGGTGGCGCAATGATGGCATGTGAAGCATTGGGGGTGGAAGCGGGCTTTGACGCCGTTGGAGCCGCCGCCAGATGCGGTCACGATGCGGCCTGAGATGGGGAGGGCGCAGCTCGAGCAGGATACTGTTGGTATGGTGTGACGGTTCAGCCATGGTATGCGTGCCGAGGGCGTCTTGTGGATCGTTGACGTGGATGTTGCAGCTACTGGCGCTGTTGCTGCGTGTCTTGGTAGCGGCCTAGGAGGCTGGATGGTCCCGGTCGGCAGGTTGATAATTGGAATTGTGGATGACTCGGTGTCTTCACCTTCTATGTTGATCTGTGGTATTTGCGGGCCTTCATCTGGTAGATTTATCGTCGGCACGGGAGGTGCTGGAGATATACTGAACACCGGCACAGATGAAGATGGCTTCGGGGAAGGCTCGTCCTCTGGGAGGCATACCGTAGGAACAGCTGGAGCAGATACGGTGACTTCTGGTATTGCAGGTATGGGTCTGGGTAACGGCCTCTCGGTGGATCTTTGCGTGGTCGGAGACTCTGTCAGTTTGATCACGGGTCTGTCGATATCTTGACTATTGCGTGGTGAATTGCTGATAGGCTTCCATGATGGATCGAAACTGACAATCGGTCGGCCAAGGTGGTCGCTCACAGCAACTGGCGTTGGAAGGTTGGGACTTCTGTCCTTTCTCTTCATGCTCGTGGCGGCCCGGATGTCTTCGCTCCTTATTTCCAAAACTGGCAGCGATTTTGGAGTTTCCACCTCTTCGATCGTGTCTATTGCCACTGGTCGTGGGGATGTGTTGGCCGTATACTCTGCGTCCCGCGACTGTGTTGGTACGTTTCTGTGGATCTCGAATCGGTCGTACTTCTTGTGGTCAGGTAAGGGGGCTGTGTCTGGCTTTGGAGATGCTTTCTTTCTCAACCATGGAAGTGTGTTGGTAGATTTGACCCTCAAAGGTAGCTCCGTGCTTGGAGGCTTGACAGTCTTCTGGATTGGTTGGGCTTGCTCTTCTGGTTCCTCATATATCTGAGATTCAGGATTCGGGAAGGAAACCTTCCTTGAGCTGCTAGCTTTCCTATGACTGCTGACACGTCTCTGCTCATTGAGTTTGAGGTCCGGGTTCCGGTAGGCAGCAGTCTTCTCTTCTTCTGCAGCATTGGGGTTTTGATGCTTCCATACTAGATCGGCGGCCTCATCTTGTGCAGCGAAGTACAGTCTGGTTTCCTCATCCTTGTGATCAATGAATTCTAACTCTTCTCGTAGTTTATGTGCTTCCTCTTTTTCAATCTTTCTGGTTACTGACTCAAGGTATGCGCCATCTTCTGCTGAAGTAGGCACTTGAATCGTGGCTGTTGGAGATACCTTTCTGCCTCGTAGAGTCGGGGCGACGTTGCCGGGCGGCTGAACTAGGGGCCGGCCTTTTGAGGAGGCATCTGGAATAGAGAACGAGCTTGACTTGTGGATGGTATGAGGCTGTACTTCATGCAGGGCAGCTTGATCATGCTGAAGGTCGTTCTTGGGTGAGCATATCACGGGCTCCGAATCAGATCTGGTTAGAGAAGTCTGCGTGGGCAAGACATGGTTTCTGGAGGCGAATGGGGGAGGACGTGATCCCGTAGGTCTTGCTGGTCGATAGCTTCGCAAACTCTCAAGATAATTTACTGAGAAGTTGTGTGAGTACTTTGACTTGAACGGAGGGTTTCTGGGAGGCATCTCTGGTTTGAGAAGGACGAAAAGAGACATGACTTACATTTCTGCTCTGCACTCATAACCGTTGGTTGAGGCGGAGAGACTTTTCTGGTACCCAAGCTACTTTTTCTGTGAAACATTGTGGTGGACGGTTGTCTTTGCAATGCAGGTGGACTCTATGTGCATGCGGCAAGACGCGTGAGTTGTACCGTAGGTGGACGTCGATATACAAGAGCCGGCACTGGAATAAGCTCACGCAATATGACTGAAGTGCAAGAGACACACAAAGGACAAAGAGGTGTATGAATGCTCTAACAATGTTGTATATATCAAACGGTATAGGCATCCAATTCACACCGTACTCACTCGATAAACTGCGCTGGCCCAACTTTTTTCTGTTTGGGCCGGATGGTTGCGAGGCAACGAGGAAACTCAAAAAAAGGGGTAAAGAACAAGCGTGACAAGGGACATTCCATCACGCTCATTACTTCTCCAACATCAACTCATCACTAGTTCTGCACTTCATTCGACGCAACATTGAGGATGCACAATCATTACGGTCCTGGAGAAAGAGTTTGATCAATGCTTTTAAGCCATCACTACTATATCCTGCAAATAATGCTGTCAGTCCACCGGTGCATGGCACCGTGACATTGCGGATCAGCGGCGATGTCCATGTTCTTTGTACGAAGGAGCAGCGCACAGAGGCCATTTCCCCGCAATATGCAATCCGCAAACCTTGGGCGTTGCTTTCTCTGGCATAGTACGAGTACGATGGTCATGGTCGCCGTCATCAGCCTTGGATCGTTGTGGATTTCTCTATGAAAAAGTTCTTCCCTCCGCACATCATTCGGGCGCCCTTCGTTCATTACCTAAGGACAACTACGGTGCCAATGCACTAAAGCCATCACGCTCTATATTTTTCCTCGGCTGTCACTATGTCAAGGTTTGCTTATATATGTCCGCTGACTTGTCCGGCTCGCCCTCACCTCAAGTTGACTCCTCCCTCCATTTACCTGCAGAGATTGCTCATTGTGGCATTCCACCATCATAGAATGGTGGAAAAATGGCGACCAGTTCTGCTATAGGGTCTAGAGCATCTCAATGCGCCGAGGCTCAGATTGAGCCCGCCTCAGAACAGACAGTCGACGTCGAGGAATCCTCTATCAATTTGCCAAAGCTTGATGACTCACCTCCGGATGGGGGATATGGATGGGTCTGCGTCGCGTGTAATGTCTTCATCAATGGTTAGTAATTGTGATGAGTACCTCTGAGTACTTCAACGAGCTCCTTCACCAAGAAACTAACCTCAATATTTTAGCACACACATGGGGGATAAATTCGACCTATGGCGTCTTCTTGTCGTACTATCTCAACAACGATTACTTCCCAAACACTTCGGCCCTGACATATGCCTTTATCGGTGGCCTGTCAATCTCTCAATGCATGCTGGTCGCGCCATTAGCGACCCATATCATTCACTTGTACGGCACCAAAGTATGCCTTCATCTTGGTGTCGTCTTGGAAACCGTCTCCCTGATCGGTGCCAGCTTTGCCCGCCAGAAGTACCAAATCCTCCTGGCTCAGGGTATCTGTTTTGGCTGGGGAATGGGTTTCTTATTTGTGGGGACGGTCAATATCATCCCACAATGGTTCAGCAAGAAAAGGAGTGTGGCCAACTCAATCGCCGCCGCAGGCTCGGGTCTTGGGGGCCTGATGTACAGTCTGGTGACCCAGCGTATTATTGATACGATGGGGTTGGCTTGGGCCTTTCGGATCCTTGGTATCATATGTTTTGCAGTCAACCTGACAGCCGCCAACCTTCTGCGTGATCGGAACAAACAGACAGGGGCAAGACATGCTGCACTGGATCTGAAAATCCTCCGTCGCCCGGAATTCATGTTTGTGCAGCTGTGGACGTGGTTCTCGCAGCTCGGATACACTATCCTGCTGTTCTCCCTTCCAGCATATGCCCGCGCCATAGGTTTGAGTGCCCAACAGGGGTCCATCGTCGGAGCGGTCTTGAATCTAGGACAGATGATAGGACGACCATTCATCGGTCTGAGCTCTGACCGCTGGGGTCGCCTGAACCTCGCCACTTTCCTCTCTCTATTGGGTGGCTTACTGTGTATCGTCTTCTGGATTCCGGCAGAAGTTGCCCCAGCGCCGATGGGCCTGCTCTGCTTCTTCGCTATCGTTGGTGGCACCGTGGCTGGCGTATTTTGGACAACGATCGGTCCTGTAGCCGCCGAGGTACTCGGACTTCAAGACCTTCCTGCGGGACTCAGCCTTACGTGGGTCTTGATGGCGCCAGCCACAACATTTGCTGAGCCAATAGCACTAGAACTACGGCGTGAACACGCTCACAGCTGGATATACCTTCCGCCTCAGGTATTTACAGCAGTCATGTACCTTGCCTCAGGCCTGAGTCTTTGGGTGGTACGGGGTTGGAAGGTGGGTCAGCTGCAGTGGCAGGCAACGAAGGACAGAGAAGATGCAATGGCTGCCCAGCGGGCGAGAACTTTGTTAGAGAAGCCAGCAGCGACAGCAGATGGCCAGGGTCCGGACTCACAAGGCTCAAATACTGCAACACAAGATGTGGCTGAGACAGGTGACATCGTGACGAAGGAAGATATATGGCGTCTTCATATCTTGCTGAGGAATATGGTCGTGTGGAAAGTAGTATAATATTCCACCAAATCTTGGAGATACAATTCACCGATTCAGACTATCAAAAAGTGTGAGGACTTGTACTGTAGATTCACTGCCGGGGAGTTCCGTCATGTAAGCACTGTTAAATCCGACGTCATCGCCCTGTGATTATTTCGTCCTGAAATATGAACACTTCCATGTACTCCTTCTACAACGTTGATTGCGTACTTCCTCAAAGCACAGCGCCCTTGAAGTAAGCTTTATTGCAGTATCATGGAGACTGCGGTACACAAGCCGCTGATAAGACGTTGTGTGATCAAATACCAGCAAAAAAAAGGGAAGTCATGGCTGTGGCTCTGGATTTGGCTCTGGAACCACAACCCCTAAGGTGAGACGCTAGCTATAGTCCTGCTTGTTCGCGGACGGCCAAAGAAAGATAAGTCCTCTTCAAGTATACCATGGTCGTGACTTACCTAGTGTCTACAAACTCTGGTTCACCCTTACCCGAGTGGAGCCTCATGAACCACAGCAGGTCCTTACGAAAGAGGTCCTCATCAAAGAGGTCCTCACCAAGATTGCCATTGCCTATATAAGGGCACCATGGCCCTTCGGTGTTGCTGAACTAACCATTACAGCTCTTCATTCAGATCACTCACATAAACGTTCCCTCATCACGCAAGACAAAAATGGCATCTTTGTTCGCAGCACTCGCCATGATCTGGCTCCTGGTCGTCCCTAAGCTTTCAGCGGCGGCCCCCATCAAAACACTTTCAGCAGAACGCATCGACGGACGTTCCACTGTTGCCTTGAATGCCGCCGACTGGCGCCAAAGATCTATCTACCAAGTTGTCACAGATCGCTTTGCTCTGGACGACGGGTCAACTCCTTCCTGTGGGATCCGAGACTATTGTGGAGGTACATGGAAAGGAATCGAAAATCATCTCGATTACATCGCTGGGATGGGGTTTGATGCCATTTGGATAAGTCCAGTCATTCACAATCTTGAGGAGAACACCACCTGGGGCTATAGCTACCACGGATACTGGGGCGATGATCCCTTCAGATTGAACGACCACTTCGGAACTGCGGATGACTTGCGGAGCCTTTCAAACGCAATTCACGACCGTGATATGTTGCTGATGGTCGATGTCGTGGTCAATCATCTGGCACTAAATCAAGAGTCTGAGGCTACCGACAACAGCCATCTTCCTGAGCCGTTTAACCAATCAACTGCATTCCATCCGAAGTGTCCCATCAACTACGAAGATCAAAGTTCCATCCAGGACTGTTGGCTAGTAGACTCTCAACCACCGCTACTGGCAGATGTGAACACAGAAAACCCAGACGTCTTTGATGCACTGGTTGAATGCGTGGTCGAGCTTGTTCAGGACTATTCGATCGACGGAATCCGTCTTGATACCGCAAGGCACGTGCCTCAACGTTATCTGACACAGTTCCAGGAAGCAGTGAAAGTCTTCGTGACTGGCGAAGTTTTGGACGGCGGGGTCGAATACGTCTCCCAATATCAAGGCTCTTTGAGCAGTGTCCTCAACTATCCGCTCTATTTCACCACCACCGACGTGTTCACTGGAAAGGCCACATTCAACAACCTGGTAACGACGATCAACAACGAACGAGCTTTGTTTGACGATTCTACCCTCCTCACCAATTTTCTAGACAATCATGATCAACCACGTTTTGCAAGCCTGACTGGGAACAACATCACACTGGACATCAATGCTGCAACATTCGTGATGTTGACGACGGGTATCCCCATCATATACTATGGGTTCGAACAACGCCTGGAAGGAGCGGCCGACCCCGACAACAGGAAGCCACTCTGGTCAGCTGGGTATGATACCAACACACCGCTTTATCAGTTGCTTTCGAGGCTCAACACGATCAGAACGTTGGCAAGGTCCTATGACGCGTCGATGCCCTTCAACAATTTCAGTAAGGCCCTGGCGGTCTCTGATACACAACTGGCGTGGCAACACGGCCCGTTGATTGCGGTCGTGACGAACGCCGACAGCCAAGCACCCATCTTTACGAGGGCGGACGACAGCGCCATGTCTGGGATTAGGCTGGGCCCGCCGGATTATCCTGCTGGAGTCCATCTGTTCGACATGATAGGTTGCACATTGACGGTGACAACAGGCGCCGGAGGCAGTTTTGCTGTGCCAAAGAATTCAGGTCCGCATGTCTTTGCACCTAAGGAGCTTGCTGCAAAGCTATGTCCAGACATATAGAGGGAGCTCTTTGTGCAATTTACGAGGCTCTTGACGTTGGGTATCCAGAATGTGGGGATGTGGTCAAAATCCCTGAGGTTGTAATAAAACGAGGTCCAGATCACTAAAGAGGACAAGCCCGCAAGGCCTAGACAACAAGCCGCGATGGGTCGTGGAGGGCTTGTGGAATAAGCGAGCATTGGCCATTTTAGGGGTCAAGGAGTCCATGTTAGGAAATGGGAACGGGCGCCACTATTGGAGCTTAACTTAGAAACTTTCCCAAAACAACGGGTGCCGTCAGTCGTCGTCACCTCCGCAATTGCTTTGGTGGCTTGAGTCCAGATCTGTCTTTTTTTTCGCAGAAAGCACCGGTTACAGATCACGGCTTGAGTTGATCACACATAACAAGAAGCAACACGGGCGTTTGTGGGCGGGCTTTGGAGCTCTGATCAATATTGATCGGACGGCGGACACCATGAACGAAGATCGTTGGTTTATGGTTCATGTGGATGGAAAGTTAGAGACGTCAAGGCCCTCAGCCTCAGTCCCTGACCCGGGCACGAGCCTACGAAGGCGTCATCATTGCAGTTGCTACAGATGTGCTTTGCTGTTGAATTCTATATCTCTAAGCCTGTTCCTGCATCTGTCATGTTCTCTCTTGCTCATTAGTTCGTACGATACCAAGTCGTCCCAGTCCAGCCACTTGATTTTTCCAACATTTTGAGGTTGTGAGGCCGCGCAAGCTCGAACGGTTGTTGGACAACGGAACATCGGACAAGACAAGGGGCTTAGACACCGACCGTGGATTTCGCCATCACCAACCTATCATACCCCGCGATTTCGCAATACCCGGGGGTCTCGAAGCAAGAATAGCGTACGACGACGTCAATAAGCCGACCAACACTGCAAGGAAGCCAGCACCGAGAGTACCTTGTGATATATCATGGCCGGATATCTTCTCGGTTTCATCTTGTAGGTCGAAACCCTTGTGCAGCGAGGCAGACGATAAGTTATGATCAAACAACTGATTCAGCTGGTGATATTTAGCGCGAGCACGGGAACGGGTACTTGCAGCAGTGATGACGACTTTTTCAACGAGCCTTCGGTTCTAAGGCCGCAAAGGATGACTGCCTCTGCCACCGCCATCACCAAATATAGCACATTGGATCTGGTAGCAGCACCATCACCGTCAACATCGTCGAGTGAATACCAGGTTATTGCTAGAGGTTCCGCTGGTGCTGGAATGCACTATGCAGCGCGGAGTGCTTGATTTATGGTGCCGGGGGATTTGAATATGGGCATGGGTGCGAGTTCGGCCATGGGCACATATGGACGGCGCCGTTCGCATCGAAACTGATCACCTTGTGCAAAACCCAGGTTAAGGAGCAGAAATGCCTGGTGCACGCATACGCGAACAGGAGAGAATCGTATTGCAAGGCCCTCCATGTTCCAACTGTGCCTGACGTAGCCATGGGTTTACGATTTGAAACCAAGAGGCCGCCTTTCGAACGACTTCATTTGGGATATGAACGACGGGCAACCCTGCATCAGATCATAGGTTGGCGGGAGACGTTTAGGCGCCAGTGACAAGCAGGATCGTTCGGACTGGTGATCGACAAAATACTCAAGTGTACAACCTTCGATGATGCCGAGCTAGGCATTTGCCTGGTGGACAGGATGATTACGATGACATGAGATACGAATTGATGAGGATGGAGGACGAGATATGGAACGACGAATCAAGGCTGGATCATGAACCTTCGGAGTTTGCAGAGACTGTGCCCCATGAGGACCGGCGGACGGTGCATAACTTGTATCATATATTTGCATTCTGTCATTCTCAGCTTACAAGTACAACGCTTGTGGGCTTGCACAATTCCATTGGGAAGTAACAGAATGGTCCAACAGGCCCATTGTCTTCATGATCACATTGCGACCACAAACCAAAGACTCCACCTGATCTCACACCGCCAGGTTGCACACCTTCCAACTGCCACTGATCATGACCAGAATACGATATAATGAACCGCCATCTCACTTCTCTTCCGCCCGGGACGAGGCTCGCAGTCCCTCGTACACCAATGACAGGTCTGTGCATGCCGGCGTGTGCTCGTGATAGGCCCGAGAAGTACAGCACAGGCAGATCATGGGATACAGGTAGCAGGGTCTGTAGTCTTGGATCTGAGGACAGGCTGTCGTCGAGCTTCAGCTCCAGCTTCATCAAATCGCCGCATGCTTCGGGCTCGTCATCCAAGGTCGGTCGCGCACCGAGTTGCTCGTCCCAGGTGTTAAAGGCGTAGAGGTCGGCGTAGTCGAGAAATGAATATGTCCCTAGCCAGGAGCCCGAGACCCGTGCCCAGTCAGCCGGCACGGTTGGATCCTGTAAGGTGCGGTGAGGAATGGAGAAACAGAAACCTTGAGGCATCGATATGTGACCTTCGACACACATGGCGAAGTTGCGTGCGATGACACTATGCACACCTTCGAGGAGACTCCAGTCTACTTGGCCGGTACCGTCACGTTTGAAAGGACCATAGTCGTTGTCTGGTCCGCTGAGACCCCAGTCGTAGACTTTACGCCGGGCGGCGCCGCGAGCTTTGTGTTCGATTCGTTCGCGCACGGTCAGACCGAACATGACGTGCAGCCTCGAAGCGGCTTCTGGTCGATTTCTTTCGTTCTCGATCCATGTCATGGATCGTGTCACGGGTCGGCGCGGCGAGTTCCATGGGTTGCCGTCGGATCCTGCATATCTCATGTAGCCGAGTGTGCCGCAGTCGTGGATGAGGTTCTCGAGACCTGCTCGGAATTGATCTGTGTCTGCGAGGATCTGCATGTTGAGCGACAGGTATCTGTCGTCTTCGAGGGGAGTTCTGCCATTGGCAATGTCCCGAGCTGTGGGGGTGAATTTGGCGGTGTCGATGATATTCAGCAGGGCGTCGAGATGTGCCTCAGCACGAGAATTCTCGTCTGCTGCTACCCATTTTGATCGAATGGCTCGTAGAGCTGACAGTCTTCGCACGAGTTCTTCGTGCCAATACCAGTCAGTGATCTTGGAGATATGAGTGGTTGATCCAGGCATCAGCCACCAAGCGTCTTTTGGGTCGTCGAAAATATGTAGAAACGCTGATCTCCAGAGGATTTGGTTGCTGGGATTGATGAAGTGGTGGGCATCTTTACATGTTTGTCCGAATTGAACTATGTCTTGAGGATGGAGAAAGGAGAGGATATTGCTTAGGAGTTCTTGGGGCAGGTTGAGGATGTCCATATTGGTAATGACACGAAGGTCGGTGATTGCTGCTGGCAGTTGTGCGACAGATCTCCTGGGATGCCAGACTCAGAGATAGTAGAACAAAGAGAGAAGAAGAGTGATGATGGAATATGAAGCTGAAGCAGAATAGATCATCAGTGCTATCTACTGTAAGTCTTCAGATAAATGTACCCCGCCTCTCCAGATTCGTACCGGAGATAAGCCTTGGGGATGATGTCTGTAGTGTTTTGAAGACGGCACATTCTGGTGACTCAATCATCCCGCGAAATATACCAGAATTGTAAACGCTCTGATGAGATGTCCTTTGTTCGACGTCGGAATGCTACACAGACCTTGAAGATCGTCTCGAAGAATGTAAGTTTGGATTCACTGATTGAGGCGCAGTCCGGGTGTACTTGGAAGTCAGAGCACTTTTTGTTCGGCCCCCACAGATCTGAGGAGCCAAGTTGTGTCCATCCTCAATTCGACTTCGCTGCCTCGCAATCTCACCCAATTAACCGCTGGCACAGCCGCACTGCAGACCAACAGCCGCTGATGCTTGATATGCCTTGCTCCTGCCCTCACATGAGGAGATATTGCCAGTCTCGAAGCATCTCCTGATTTTCGCAGCCTGTATCTTCCTGCACACCACTGGGCCTCTTGTTGACAGACCGCGAACGCGAGTTGGTTTGAAGAGCAATCAGCGAGATGCCGCTCAAGAACTTGCTAAAGAAGAAGGAGAAGATTGAGGATGATACACCGTTAGCATCTCCACTACCACAAGCCAATGAGTTCACCTTCGTCCGCACAGACACGCACACAGAAGAGTACATCAGGCCTCCTGCATTCGACGACGAGCGAGACGTCACTGCTGCCGAACCAAAGACACCAGAGAGGAGATCTTTTGGACGCTTTCGCAAGAGCTTAAGCCGTAGCCCCGAACCCTCGGATACTTCGTCGCCAGAGAAGGAAAAGAAAGAACATAGAAAACTGTCTGAGCGTCTGCACCTCAAGCGAGATCGTGCCGATAGTACCAGCTCGGTCAACCTGCCGTCAGATCTTCCTGCCATTGAAGATACCTTCACGGCTTCGAGTGATCGCCAGGAGGCGGAAGCAAAATGGGAAGAACGTGCTACCATCCTGGCCAGCAAAAGCCCCGTCATACCTGCCACTGCGCCGATAGGAGAGATGGAGAACCTCGGCTTGGACTCTAGAGGTCAATCACCTAGTCGACCACGAAGTATCAACGACCCAAAAAGTGACATTGACATTCAAAAGGCAATTCAACTGCATGAATCTGGTGATCTTGAGCAGGCAACAGTGATGTTCGGGCAACTGGCGGAGTCTGGCAATGTCCTATCCCAGGTACTTTTCGGCCTATCTCTACGCCATGGCTGGGGCTGTCAGCCGGACCCCACAAGAGCGGTAACCTATCTGTCAGCTGCTGCATCCAACTCTGCCACAATCGAGTCAGACGCTCTAAAGGCAGGCATGAAGAAAGGAGGCGCTGCGAAAGGTGAACTTGTCCTGGCGATATTTGAACTGGCAAACTGCTTCCGGCACGGATGGGGAGTTCCTGTTGACAAAGTTGCCGCAAGACAATACTATGAGACAGCGGCGAATCTAGGAGATACCGATGCCATGAATGAGGCAGCTTGGTGCTACCTCGAAGGATTTGGGGGCAAGAAAGACAAGGTGAGTGCCCTCGTGTTTTCCACACCTTGAGTCGACATGTGCTCGGACAACTCTATCAATCTTTCCGCACGTGATGCATGACCGCAGCAAGCCAGCTGAGTCTCATCGACCCGTGGGACTGTGAAAGACATGGTGCACCTCAATCCGGCCGCCCGTGTTCCCAGACTTGGATGTCATCAATCCGGGCGCTGATACCACTGGACTTGATATGGCCCCCAAAATACACAAAACATCCAAATACAGCACGCTCTCTATCGCTGCATCACTTTGGGCAGCAATGCAGAAAGCATTCCTCCATTCAGAGGCCATGGTTGTGGCCGCATGGCCTTGTACCTTGCATTAGCCCCAAGTCATGTTGCTGTTGCGAATCACACAACACCTTCGGTTCGGAGAAATGGCCTGTCACTGACACATGGATCTCGCAATCTAGTTTAAAGCGGCACAACTGCTCAGATTGGCGGAAAACAATGGCGCAAAAACACTGGGGAATTCTTGGTGAGTTTTGCCTATCGCGGTTTGAGAAGTATAGTCTCATGGCCTGCCCTGTTTCTCGTATCCTCCCCCTCCCTCGCAAACCGCAGCAGCCTATCCCCTTGTGGAATTTTGTCACATTCGCCTTTCTTCTTTTCAGCTCAATCCGGCCGAAATATGGCGGTGTCGAGAAGTCGTTCGCCAAGGTCCGCCTGATTCGTTGATAAAGTGGGAGACAATACGCGACCTTTGTGCGGCCAGATCCACCACACCCACACCACTCGCTCACCCAGTCGTCAGCTCCCTGGTGGCTGGGTCATGGTCGTGGTTTACGAGGCGCAGGAAGTATAATGATCATGCCGTGTTAGATGTTGGGTGTTTGTTTCATCATCGTGCCTGACTGAGTGTTGATGCGTGCCTGTCTGCTGACTTCTTTTGTGATCATCAGGATTTGGAAGGAGAAATACGACCCACCGAAATGAGGCCGACATGTCGACACTGCTCGATGGCCAGGGGCAAGGCGATAGTCCCCGATGCGCCGCATCGTCCGGGCTGCCTCGAAACTGGTTAACCATCGGTTCTCACTCAAGCAGACCTCTCCAGGCCTTATCTTCGTCCAGGCAACAGGAGTCTGAGCGAGGGACGAAACACCAATGGCTACAGCAGTGAACCGTCCTTTATGCGTTGCATTGCACCATGCATGCCGCGAAGTCATCTGATATGAGTGGACAGTGATGTCCATGCAACCAAAAGCTATGGACAGGACCGAAACTGGTTGTTTCGCCGCTGCCCATCACCCTACCCACGGGATGATCATGGTCAGATGGAGGCCTTGGTGCCTGCATGATGCACAACGGACGCTTTTCACTAGCTGCTACATCCATCGCTAGCACTAGGGCACGGCCATCATCGTGCTCCTAGACATCCTGTGTCCGGCTGGTCGGTCTCCTACCCCCTTTGACTTTGACTGGCAACTCCATGACAGTCATGGTCTATTTGGCCGTGTTTTGGGTTGATCACGTCGATCCGGGTCTCCGGTGAGGTCAATCCTGCTCGAGAACCGGCTCGATCCAGGCTTTCTTGTCTATTTAGTGACCGCATGACGTGCCAAGCCGTCCGCTCATGCAGTCGGCATTAGTGTTACTATACTCCGTACTGGCTATATGGATGCGGAACGCTGGTGGACACGGTTGGAATGCAGATGGCTAGGAACAGTCACAGAAAATCACATCATGGTTCTTGCTCATTTGTTCATTTAATTCATTATGATCATTAGTCTCGTCTCATATCATCGTTGCTCTGCCTATCATTTCCAGAGTCATTGGTCATAGCTCGTAGCCCATATGTCCTCGAGCGGTGTCGGGATCGGCATGGATCGCTCGCTCGCTCGTTCGTCTTTTCTGTTCGGGGCCGCATGTGTCATAAAACCGTCGTTGATCTGCTATTTTTCATGGAAGACGTGTGTCTGTCGAACTGTGAATGTGTATCTGCCTTGCCCATCTCCCACTGTTTCTCTGTACTGTGCGTTCACAGGGTCATCAACATCCTGAATCTGCTGGTGTCCTATAGTCCAGACCATCCCATTTCCTCATCCTCTGGATGCCTCTCCCTATCCCTGAGTACATCAACAATTCCGGAAAATGTGCTAGAACCCCCCTAAGCACCATCGGTCAATGAAATAGATCCATTGGAAATCCGTACTTCGTAAATCTCGAGTCGTTACAAAACAAATTGTCATCATATCAATCATTCAAACCGAAAACAAGAAGCAAGGAAAATGTGCCCTGAAGCTTGTTGGTCTTGTACTGGTCATGTGCGTGTGGTTCGTCAGGTTTGTGGGGCGTATGCCGCAGAATTGTCGACAGATCATAGTAAAACAAAAGAAAGGCTTGTTGAATAGGGTTATCGTTGAGGATTCGTCGTCCTTCGCAATAAGGTGGGGATTTCATTCGACCCGAGCAATCATCTCCCTGAAGTCACGCAGGACTTTTTCGGGAACTCGGTCAAGCAGCACACTCCTTTCTCTGGCCTTGCTGCTCATCCCGTTCATCTTGTCAAGTCCATCCCGTTCAGCTTGCATGCTTGCAAACAACTGCTGTAACCGGGTGGGTTTCACCTCGACGACCTCGTCATCGTCGTCGTCGTCAAACATGCCGTCAGGGTTAACAATGTGATTGTAGGAGGCGGCTGAGAGGGAGAATGCTGCTGCGGCTTCTTGCTCGCGTGATGGCGTTGTGAGCGAGGTATGCAGACTGTCCAGCGCTGTGCTCGAAACTCGGGGCGCTCCTCGTGCCTTCTCCGCACTAGGAACGAAATGCTGAAAGTTGCTGTGGTCTGAAGAGGTGGCTTGTCGGCTAGGCAGGATCTCATGTGCGCCCTCGGGACCGGTCGCCAGCACGGCATTCAGAACATTGCCTGCCTCGGCGCGATACTCGTCAGATAGGGCGGGCATGTTTGACGTGATGACGGCAGCGGAAGGTGCTGACTTGGCCGCCTGTGAGCCCGTGTTTGAGACGATGAATGCGCCAGCGAGCAAGCACATATAGAAAGTATTCCAGCTAAACCCAGCATCATCCTTGCCATCTACGGACGAGGTATTTGGCATTGAGGACTGCTGTGAAGACGCGGTGGGCCTTGGAGTGGCTTGCCTCTGAAGAGAGTCAGGTTCTTCCATTTTTAGGTCCTCGCTGTTGATCAAGCTGAACTCGTCCTCCCAGGTATCATCCAGATCAAGTGCTCGGAATCCAGCAAAGTCGGTCGAGAAAGTGTCCGAGGTGTTGGTCGAGTACGTTCGAGCAAGCTGTTGCCTTTCCAGGTCTCGTATTGTGTCCTTCAACACATTGTTTTGCCGTCGAAGTTCGGCCGTCTCGAGGGTCTTGGTTCGAATGGCTTCATCCCGATCGTACTGCAGCTGCTGGACGAACTGTTCGTATTGTTGACGCTGGTGCATCCACTGCTCTCTTTCATGGTTGATTGTGGTTTCAAGCTGAGTTAGACTCTCTTCCATTTCGACCTTCTGGTTGTCCATGAGTTTCTTTTCTTCCTCCAAGCGTTCCGTGTGGTTCTTCTTGCGCTGGCGGGAGTCCAGCCTGCATGGGTATGAATGAGCTTTCATCAAAAATGGAGTTTTGAAGTACTTACGCTGCTTGCCGATTGCGAAGAAGACGCTTCTGTTGTTTAAGCTCTCTCTTCTCTTCCTCATTCGTGGACTGCATGATGAGTCTGTCGATGTTGTCTAGATTTCTCTCTTTGGGTATCTCGAACTTGGCATTCTTCTTCCGAATGCCATCCGATCTCAGAACAAGACCAGATGCAGGACCCCTGTACCTACGCCTCATTCCGTGGTCGGTCTCGGCGGCATCTGATGAGGTCGTCGAAGCCCATCCACCTTGACTTGACTGCGGCGACATGGAGACTGCCGAAAGAGGGTCCTGCTGTGCATAGCTGGGGAAAGTGACAGGACCACCCTCATATTGGACGTGCTGGGCGAAGGGCTCATTCACTGTGGCGAAGAATGGTGTCGGTGTATTGGTCTCGGAGCGGGCAGAGAGTGGCCAGGATGGAGGATGGGCGAATCCGGAACCGTAATTTGTCGGATTGGCTTGACCGAAGTATTGGGTATTGAGGCCGGATAGAGGAATGGAGGACTGTGAGTGGTGACGAGCAGGAGGCAATACACCATGGGGCCGCTCATTCCAGACATGTGTCGCGGTAGAGTAATCCCGCTCCATTTTGGCCATTGAGGGACGTTGACTTTCGTTGGAATCGGCAGCTGTCATGTCGGTGGGAGTGGAGGCATCGAGAACTCTGTCGTCGAGGACTGAGGCATCATCTTCGGTAAGGGCAGGTTTGACATCTTCAGGCCAGTGAGGTTGTCCGTAGACGTAAAATCCCTGCTGAGAGAATTGCAATGCCATGAGGGAAGAATACTTCGGCAAAGCCGCGACTGCTTTTTGTTGTGCGCCGGAGGTTGGTAAAGTAGCGGTGAAGGAAGGTGGGGTTGATGGAGGTGGTTGACTTTTCCGCGAAAATTGTTGAACCTTTTAATCGACGATGACAAGGAAAGAAGAAGGAACAGACATAATGATCTTAATGATCAGAAAGTAGCAGTAAGAGGGCATAAGCATATGGGTCTGAATATCAAAGAGCAGGCGAGGAGGGGGAAGGAGCTGGGTTATTGTAGTTATCGTAAGAAGCCGAGCGGGTGGTTTCGATACCAATACCGTACCGGCAAAATGTGACGAAGATGGCCAAGAACAAGAAACAAAAGGAGCCTCAACAGGGACATGCAAGGACTCCGTTTGCCGACCGGCGGACGGGTCTCGAACTGCAACGATGTTGAGAGGAGGAAGAGGAGGAGAGGAGTGGGAAAAGGTCGCCCGAGGGGGGAAGTCCTGCAGGTGGAGAGAGGGCAGAACGAAGCCTGATTGACCGAGTTGTAGAGCCTGCGACCCTCTGACCCAGAGGACTGCAAACCCAAGGAGGAGCGAGGAAAAGCAGCAGGAGGAGAGGAAAGATAGAGGCCGCAGTCGGAAAGGCCCCCATTGATGGTGGTTGGTAGGCGGAAGAGTGGCCATGGTGGGATTGGATGCTCTGTCGTTATTCTGGGGACCAAATGGACTTCGACTGACCTTTCTTCTCCGAAACTGCATTGATGAATGAGAAGAGCCGTGGCTTCGGGCAGTTCTGCAGCAGTGGGCGCAAAGTTTGCTTGCTCCCAGCCAGATCATTAGTGGCTGTCAATGACTCTCCAAGCGGTCGTCTCTTATGCGACCTGCTCCTTAGCGGCCTGCAGCATCTTTCTTGGCCAGACAAACCACATTGCCATAGTCAGGCGCGATGCACTCTAGCAGTCACACTTTCCTCGATGCTCGTCAGAGATCGATAGACTTGAGCAACGGCTACGCGTGCTCATGTGGATCCTGTTGCGGGATGATTTCAGGCACGAGAACAAGGTCAGGTCAGAGGACGCGTTGAGACGAGACCAAGTGACCTGGGGCCATGCAGAGTGATTGATATCATGGTCGAACTCCAATCGCAGCCTGCAGGTCTCGTCAGGATGTAGAGCCGAATAACTGATGTCGTTATGATGAAGTTGAAAAGGAGAAACAAAACAACGACTATTCTTACTCTTTAGGCTCGGCTCGGGCCTCTCGAGCCTGCCCTAGTTTTTCCTTTTGCGCACGACCTCCATCATGATTGTGGCTTACAGGCCTGTTTTGACAGACGTCTTGCCTGGAACTAGCTAAGATCCTCACCGTACCTCGCCTAATGATCTTGATGTCCTTGTTTCAGGATACCTCATGAATCGCAGAATCTAAGAATACGTTGTCTTCACCGCCATGTCTTATCCATGACTCAGTATCCTTGATTTCATGTTTTTGATACACTTGCAGCCACTCAACAGTCCATGCATTCCAGGGCGGGCAGTGTGTCGGTATTGAGGAATTCTCAGCGGCGAACCTGGTGATACGATCTTCTGATCTAAATCGGGCCAATGGCCCGCATAACATGCTCCTACTGCCCGGTCGCTGCCTACTTTTTGGACCCTTCATGCGTCGTTGGGTATTGTGAGAAGGTGATCTCATGTTTGATGCAGCATCGACTGGCTGTAAGGAACTTTGTGAGCGTACCACAACGTTGGTGAGCAACCCGGGGCGTTGTGAGCTTTGACCGGGCCTCGTGAGAGACTCAAACATCCTGGTTCAGGGCTCCCCACATCCTGGCTTGTGGCTTGCTGGTGGCTTGTTTTGCCCACGCGAACCAAATCCCCCGCCTGCGGTACACATCCCTGCGCCCGAAACATGACGACCTCCTTGCTGCCCAAGGTGAGGCTGTTCACGTGCACCATACGACTGTACTTCATGAACGTCGGCAGCATACTTCACGAGGTCCTGTGGATACACCTACGTTGTCATCAAAGGCATTCGATCGAATGAACCATTGGGACTTTGCATTTGATTCTAGCTAAGCGAAGGGGGAGCATGTGCTCGTACTATCTATCTTCTCGAATCAAAGAAGGACCTATGTTTCGACAGACCGTCGCCGTACCGACCGCCCTTGTCTCTCATCCTGGGTGGTTCAGCACCGTTGTTCCCGTCACCTCCTCGATATGCTCGCACAGTTGGATGGCTTCACTCGAAAACATCGTGTTCCGATTCGCATGTCAGCACGGCTTGGGCAGATAAAGACCCTACAGTGAAATGTAGTCCTGCTGTTGGCTAAAGTCTCCTCGGGAACTCACAAAGTCCGTGCATTCAGCAGCATCTGATACTGCGGGAACCCATTCATCATTGCGTTTGCCGTCCTCGGGTGAACCAACGACGGTCACCGCTGTCGACATGTCGGATTCCGACGACGATGTCATCTGTCTCTTTTGGCTCGCTCGGTCCACGTGAGGCAAGCGACATCGACTCTTGTGGCAATCTCCCGTCTTAGCATAATCGGGACATTCACGCAGATGTCTGCTTGCGCAGCTCATTCCTTGATCACAATAGCCAGTATAAGCAAAACCGGCGCATACAGCCGCGTTAGAGTCAACATTCGCATGGCTGTAGGGACAGTCAGGGCGAGTACACCTTCCTCTGAGATGGAACAAGCACGTTGGGGATCTTTCTGGAGTAACGACGTGGCTGAGGTCGCAGTGTTCTCCGGAGGAGCATTCTTTACGGAGAAGGACAGAAGGACAAAGAGAGAGCTTGTTGTCATCGTGGATGCCGTAGCACTGAGAGCCGGATGGGCAAGAACCTGAGAAAGAGGAATGTTAGCCTGGCAAACGCCTTGTACGTCTCAATGACAAGACGGCAAGATTAGTACCGGTGGAGCTATAGCGGGAACAGAGCTTCTTGTTGACAACGTGTGGACTAAAACATGTTAGTGTTGCTCTGATATGTTGTTGTATGGCTGCGTGGCGACGTTTGACAGACCCAGAATTGTTCTCGTAATTCAATTTGCGAGCGAATCGGACGGAAAGGTGCGAATTTGGAAGTGAGTGATGACCTGCAAAGACTTGAGATTGCACACAAAAGCAGGTTGTTGGTGCATACCATGGCTGGTAGTTTGGCAGGCTCCAAAAGAGGTGCCGATCTCAGCCGGCGCAGGCGCATCGATTGTGGTGTTTGTGCTAAGTGAGAGTTGCGATTGTAATGTCAATGCTTGAAGAGGGTCATCGAGAACAACGAGGTGATTCTCTGCGGTCTGCACCGAGCTCTCGATGTCAGCTGCAATCCACTTGTTGAACTGTTTCTGTGGCGAGGAAAGAGTTTTCAAGACTGTAGACGATGCTCGTTCGAATGTCGCCATGCTTGATGGATCTGGATAAGGGTCGGCTCTTCGTGCATAAGGAACGCGCTGGTGTCGTTTCACAGCAGTTGATTTCATGACGGAAGTGCTGCCTTGATTAGCTTTCTCAGAACCAACCGTATCTGCGGTAGGCGTGGGCCTTGACATGATGATAAGACCGCAAAGGTCGAAGGATAGCACCTCAACTATATGCCTACTAGTCCCTTTGCGGCGTACAGGTAGGAGATATGAAAGAGAGAAAAGAAGAGGAGAGGATGATCGAGGCTCAAGTGGTCACAGCCTCAAGAAGAGACGAGGCTACAACTTCCCCACTGTAACAAAGGAAAGAGGTTGAACCTTAAAAATTCCATATCCAGCAATTTTGCCGACTGGCGCAGTGCTCTGTTGAAGTGCGAAATTGACCTTCATAGACGCATTGAAGGGACAATATCCGTACCGTCTTCTATACCACCATCACCTTGTTTCCCATCTCATCGGGAGCTTATAACCCAAGGGTCATGTATCACACCCAAAGGTGATCTTCTACCTGATATCCTGGGAGCAGCGTTGCTGGGAAACATGCTCCAACCACGAATACCTCTCCGGTCTTTGTGCAGGAAGTGCCAAATTTCCTCGCCAGCTTTCAGCAGGTCCTACGCTCAAGTCATCGATCCAGTTCATCCGAGCAGTTCAGTACTAGACACAGCATACGCAAATCCACCGTTAGCCGAGCCCGAAGATCGAGTAGGCGCGGCCAAGGGTGAGGTGAAGCTCCGTCGGTACACCCCACGAACACCAGGTATCCGTCATCTCATCCGACCATTGAACGACCATATCTGGAAAGGCCGCCCATGGACAGAGCTCACATATCCCAAGAAGGGACATTCAAAAGGAGGCCGAAATAATACAGGACATGTCGTGGTCCGACATCGTGGCGGTGGGCACAAGAGAAGGATACGCACAGTGGACTTCATGCGGCAAAGCGGAGGAAAGCAGCTCGTTGAACGCATTGAACATGATCCGGGCCGGACTGCCCACATCGCGCTGGTGAAGGATCTCGAGTCGGGCAAGAGAAGCTACATACTGGCTGCTGAGGGTCTCCGGGCCGGAGAGACGGTAGAGAGCTTTCGTAGTGGCTTGCCCAAAGAGCTACTGAAGGAAATGGGTGGCCACGTCGATCAAGGTGTGATTGCTTCCAAGACAGCATACAAAGGCAATTGTCTGAAGCTTGGTATGATACCAGTCGGAACGCCAATCTTCAATATTGCCCCTTCAAGAGATTCGATAGGGAAGATATGTCGCAGTGCCGGTACACACGGGATCATCGTCGGAAAAGGTGAAGACACGGTGCAGAAGGAGATGATCAAACTTATTGGAGACAGTGGGGGTATGGAAATGTCGGCCTTGAGTCCGGATCAGCTGAGGAAATTCGAGAAGGCGGCAAACTACGTTACTGTCCGCCTCTCGAGTGGTGAGGTTCGCCTCATCGACAAAGAAGCGGTTGCCACAATTGGCGTCGCGAGCAATGTTAATTTCAAGTATACCTCTTTGGGCAAAGCTGGCCGTTCTCGATGGCTCGGTATTCGACCAACTGTCCGTGGTCTGGCCATGAACGCGTCTGATCATCCTCATGGTGGTGGTCGAGGAAAATCGAAGGGTAACCGTATCCCCATGAGTCCTTGGGGTATTCCGGTATGTCTATCATGGTTCATTTTATCGCAAAAATATGACTAACGTTTATCAGGCAAAATCGGGCTTCAAAACAAGACCGAAGAACAAGATCAATCCTATGGTGGTTACGGCACGACCTAGAAACCAAGGACGGCGGCGGAGAGGTTACGCTTAGGTCAGAAGTTTGTATCAATATCATTCTCACCCTGCTGCTGTGGAAGCACTCATACACTGCGTGCAGATGCAGGACATCTTTCCCTAGCAAACGTTCATCATGCTTTAGGGCATGTTTTGGGGCTGCTCAATTCTCGAATGCCTTGTGCCTGCAATTGGACGATACGCATCGCAGCTCTTCAGCGTCTGACCCCATTTCCTCGTGCTTACGACGTCACCAAAGCATACATACCTGTAGCATCGAGCCAAGACAGGAGGATTTCGGGCAATCCCTGCCTCAACAGCTCGTCGCCCATACAGAACTGGCGTTCTTTCGACCACTTGAATCTCCCACGCTGAGACTCTATCGTCTTTCCCGCCTGTATCGCCAACTGTGTCTCGATCAGGTCTGTCCACAGGTCGCACCCTTGCTGCCAGGTCCGTGGCGTCACGGTCGCTACGTGTTCCTCAAATCCGTCCAGCGTCTGGGCTTTTTCCCATAGGTTGAAGGCACTGCGAGCTGAGCCATATTTCTCGGCAATGGACTCACAGTCTTCGAAAGGGATGAGTTGTCTGGCAGTTCTCTTCAAATAGCTGAGTTGGTCCTGAGCAAACTTTTGCACCTGAGTGACATCCGAGAGCGTAGGTGAAAGGGCGATGTGTTCCTGCAGATGCTCGATCTCGCGTTTCATTTTTTCCAGCCGATACTCGGTCCATTGCTTGTACAGAGTGGGACGATCGCTGTACCATCTCAGGTTGGTGATATAGCTCGAGTCATATTTGCCAGGAACGTCAGCACAGAAAGACGTGATTGTCGATATGCGCTCCATGACGCCCATGCTTCGAGCCGCGAGATGTTCGACTTCACCGCCTTGCAGAACAACACCCCAACCAAGTTTTGGTCCTTCGACCTATTCGAATGTGAGAAAAGTGATCCAACAACGGGGAGGATATTTGTGCTCACCTTCAGTGGTACGCCGTCCCCAGTTCTGATGTAAGTTTCTCCACCAAGCATGCCGTCGGTATCACTCAGCATGATAACGCATACGTAGGGATATGAATCATAACTGCTCAGGTTAGTGCTAGCATTATCTATGTCTTCGGGGCATGCTTACTGCCATGGGATGATGCTCGACCCCTTGAGCGGGTTATAAGCACGATCCTCTTCGGTCAACGGCACCTTTGTGGTCTGCGGCTCGACATTCAATTGAGAGACCATCTCACTGACTGATCCACCTTTTGTTTGGATGTTGGTGTGACCGATTTCGGTGGACATCACGATCTTTAGAGGAACATCAGCTGCGTCAGACAACAGTTGCATTGTGTCGGGGTGACTCCAGAAGTCTCTGATGAACGTCGAGTATGACGCAGCATTTCTGAGAGTCAAGGTTCCTGGAGCTGGACTTCCGCCGCAATGATGAAGAACCTCTTGTGAAAACAACGCGCGTCTGTACGCCCGAACGCCCTCCAACGATAGAATGGGGAATGGCAAGGTAGCTGCAATCTTTGTGCTTGTTGGTGACGGCTGCAAGTTAAGGTCTTCCAAGGTGAACTTCTTCGTCGGAGGTTCACACGCAAGATGAATCTGAGGTGTCTGTCAGCAAGAGAAGGCTTTGTGATTGAAAGCCCAGAGTGCTGACCTTCGGATCGAAGACCTCCTGGACTGTTTCTTCGAGGCGGGAAATCATTTTGTCAAGACGCGATACCAGGGATTAGGAAGTGAGAATGTTAACCCACGAAATGAAGTCTTTTATCTGCGGCAACGTCGTGGGTGCAAGTAACTTTTGACGAAGCAGAAAGACTAGCAATGAAGGGAGGAATGTTAATACCGGCTACTTCCAACAAGCAAGGTTAAGCAGTCATGAAACTGCTTTGTGAGTTACTACATATCTGAAGGCACTGTCTCGAGACGATGGGGCAGGGCAGTTACGGCGCTGGAGGTACGCATGCTTAGTTTCCAAATCTGGTCTCAACTTCCTGACATTCGAGCAGACAAGATGATCTTCTTATCGGACCAGACGATAGCCGTCCCCAGCTGGGGAGGAGCTTGGCCAAGGGCTAGGTTGAAGTCTGATTATATGGAGTTGAAAGTTACGAGTGTCCCGGAAGGCTTCCGACCTCGGCAAGCCATATCTTATTCATGTCTAACCTCTGTTAATGGGGGTAGCGCTATTCCACGAGTGGGAAGCGGCTCCCTGGTTGCGACGCTTTCATCGAGGATCATTGATTTATGCTAACCTTTTCTGCTATAGCTCGATTCTTGATGGCGGACATCGACTACACAATGGCACCTTCACACATTCTCAGCCTGTCAAAAGAGAGCTTTCCATATCATTTTGTCAATACCTTGGCCTCATCATTGTTCCGACTGCAGCGATTACACGTCTTCACTACTGTTCGCCCTCATTAGGGAAGGGAGGTTCAAGTCATGCGAGGTTATACTTTTTCTTAGTCAATGAGAGTCATGAGATGTCTCGTTTTGACGTGACAGCCCATATTGATGGGAGCGTCCTGATGCCATACTGGCAACATTCACACGTGCCACCGACATCGAGGAGTGAATCGAAGAGTGAGTCGAACTGATTTCGAGGTGAGAGATACGATATGACATGGCCCAATGTCCAGGCTTTCTCTTCTCTATGATCTATGGCATGAATCCCATCAATGATTGCTAGTGTACAGAACGCCATGACTGATGGGATCATGCTCGTCCCACTGGAGTGAGCGTCGAGACGCTCCCGATGGTTCTAGATTCCGAAAGATGAGATATGTCTGCTTATGTGGTTCTGAGTTTGCGCACTTGTCCGTACTTATCTTGCACTAGCCCTCCCATTCTTGTCGGTGATCTCCTTCACATATCAATATCAATACCGGAGGCAAATTCACTGGGCTCTTTCTCGTCGAAGTGCTGCACTACCGAACTATTACTCGCGGACAACGTGTTTCACTGCGCCTTTTCTCAACCACCTATTCACTACAATCTACCCAAAATGGCGCCCATCGCACTGTACGAGGAGAACGCTCCTGTGGCACAATCGACCAAGAGCGTCGCCCCAGCTGAACAGAAGGAACTCACTCCTCTAGAGGCCCTGGCGCACCAGGAAAACAGCAAAGCACTCCCTAAGATCCCGACGTTCAGTACCCATGCCGAGAAGCGTCAATGGCAACTTGAGCACATGGCGGGCTGTTTCAGAGTGTGGGCTCGAGAAGGATACGCTGAGGGAATTTCTGGTACGCTTCCTTGCTCTTGCATTTACCATATCTTCTAATCACTTGGGCAGGTCATATCAGTGTACGCGATCCAGAATTCGAAGACCGTTTGTGGATCAATCCCCTCGGAGTCCACTACGGAATGATGAAGGCGAGCGATATGATCTGCATCAACTTCCACACCATGCAGGTTGTGGGAGGCAATACTGTTAGTACCAGAACGATAAAGCAATGTCCAGTTTTCCTGTGTTAACTATCGTTGCAGGAGGTTCCAGCAAATGCTGCCGGCGTCCAGATCCACAGTGCTGCTCACAGACGACGGCCCGACGTCCACGCCGTCTGCCACGCACACTCCATCTACGGCCGAGCATATTCAGCTTTCGGAAAACCACTCGAGATGCTCAACCAGGATGTCTGCAACTTCTACAACGCCCACTCGGTCTACGAAGCCTACGGTGGAGTTGCTCTGTCCGGCGAGGAAGGCGAGAACATTGCGAAGGCATTGGGCAGTGGCAAGGGCTGTATCCTGATGAACCATGGCCTGCTGACGGTCGGAAACACGGTGGATGAAGCTTCGTTCTTGTACATGGTCCTGGAAAGGAGTTGCAAGGCACAACTGCTCATCGAGGCCGCTTGTGCCGGAGGAAGAGTGCAAAAGCGACCAATCGGGGACGAAGAGGCAGCATACAACTTCAAATGGAACAGTGACCCCGAGTCATTGTACTATGAGATGCAAAGTCATCTGAAGTACGAAGAATATCTAGCCGGCAGTGACTACAAGAACTGAGGAACCTGTGAGAGTGCAGATGATCGAAGTGGTGTCCGCATGGTCTCGCAGTCTTGTCAGGGACGGCTCCCGGCTGAGGCTGTGCGGGGATGGTTTTATGTTGTATAGTAAATATGAGAGGACGCAATGCTCCGAAAAGGACACTGATTTTCCAGGGATTTTGACCGAGGATGATATATCCGTGTATACCAATGGAAAAGTTCATGATTTGGAATTGCATGTTGCCCGATAAGGAGCTTACCAGCGAGCTTCAGCGAGGGCAAGATAGTTTGGACGTTAGAGTTGGCCATCAGTCCGGGCTTGAGATTACCGAGATGCAGTCACGCAGAGATCTGCATGACGCCTCGAACTCATTTGCGGGGTTCGCAATCTAGACTTCAGCATCGTCCACATCCCTTGCTAATGTACCACACATGAGTGGTTTCACATAAGCTGTAGGTTTTACTGCATGCTCCGCTGCATGAGGTAAGTCCCCGCGGTGCGACGTGCTCACGCATGCTACAAATATGGCAATCAAGCGACTTCGTGAAGTCGTTCCCAGGTTGGATTCCTCCTGCAACAACGCAAACCTCCTGAGATACAGCAATCATGGCAGCACCTAGCACTGGCATGCCCATTCGCAACCATGCGGAGGACGGGCAGAAAGTCAAAGGCGAAGGCAGGAATTATATCAAATGGGATGACCCGAGCGTGCAGAGCAAGCCAGAAGACGAAGATGAAGACATTCAAGCTGTTGCAGACATGATCAATGAGATCCAGAAGGCACAGTACAACTCTCACAGGCACTGCTATACTGGAACGCACGCTAGAACCCAGGGAATCATCAAAGGCACCCTGAAGACCGAGCCAAATTTACCTCCTCACCTCAAGCAGAGCATGTTTGCGGAAGAAAGAGAATGGCCCGTCATTTGCAGATACAGCAGCGAACCAGGTGACCCTGGCCTCGACGACCGCATTCCCCAGCCACGAGGCTTTGCCATGAAAGTCTTCGATGTCCACGGCGAGTTCTTTGACGCGGGTAAAGATATACCAACGCAAGATATCGAATTCAACTCGACGCCAGCTATTGATTTGGCAACGGCTAAGGTGACGCGAGAGATCATCGAGCTGCGCATCAAATATGGCAACAACCAGTCTGAACTCTACAAGCACCTCGAAGCTAGGAAGGACACAGAGTTGCAAAAGGCCAGAGACACGGTTTACAACACCCATCTCGAATCGACTCGGCAGTATTCCCAAACTGCGTATCGATTTGGTGCCTATGTCATCAAATATTGCTTGGTGCCCAACACTGAGACGCAGAAGAAGCTTTATGAAGAGACGGTAAAACCAGCAGACGGTCCCGACATTCTGCACCGATGGCTGAAGGCTTTCCACGAGGAGCATGATGCCGAATATCTGTTCCAGGTCCAGTTATGTGAGAACCTTGAGGATCAGCCCGTGGAGTATTGTGGTAAAGTATGGGATCCTGAGAAGTATCCATGGCAGACTGTGGCACGTTTGACGGTGCCCAAGCAAGACAGTTTCAACTACGCGCTGAAGAACTTCTGGGAGGATAGACTCAGGGTCGATCCATGGATGGGCTTGAAGACTCTGGAGCCCCTTGGAGGTCCAAACAGGCTGAGAAGAGTGGTCTACCCGCAAAGCAGTGCTCTTAGACGGAAGATGAATGCAACAACAGAGGTCCATATCAAAAGTATGGACGAATTACCTGTCCATTAGGGAGGTGCGAAGGTCATGCAGACGTATATCGAAATGTCAGATTTAATATGAGGTCGAAGACTATTCCAGCTCCTCAATCGACAACAGAATTGGTGTAAGGCTTAACCTCGGCAAGCCGTTCGGGGCACCCGATATTTGCTAGACTAGACTTGATGACCTCATTCAACGACATTCCTTTGCGCCTCTGCTTCAACTTTACTAGTACGCCCTTCATCGCTCTGTCTGCCGCACTACCCGTTCTCCTTCCTAATCAGTGGCCATGAGACAAAATTCTGCAGAATATACGCCATGTTTCCCCTGGCTTTTCGCGGTAGGCTTTCCCGCGTTCACCGCTGGATTGCTCACCTTCGTCGGCGGACGATCCCCGGCTATAGCACGTCATGGTCTTAATATCGGGACGGGGTAGTCTGTGCAGATGTGCTGGTAAGTTTTCGGTAGACTATCATCGAAAAGTTCTGTTCTTGCGCCTTTCTATCCCTCCGGACTTTCTCACACAGTCACGCCGTTGCCTTCCTTATGCAGTCCTTCCTGGTGTATCGCAAGGTTCGCCGTAACCTTGAAGAGCAGATACAACGCCATGGCCTTAACAAGGTAGCAGGATGCGCCCCACAACCCGACACCGATCGAGAACATCCTACCGAAGCCGGTGGGAGGAAAGAAGATGAGCTACTGCCGCCTGACGAAGGCATACAGCCTAGAGATCATGCCGCTGAGGAGAAAGAGCTGGAGAATGAGAAACCACGTGAAAGACACGAAAATGGAACAACCCTCTTAGCACCGCCATCTACGGGACTCTCTCGACAGACAAGTGAGCACAGAACCTTCTCTGCGAATGGCTCTATGCATCAGACAAGCACGCGAGGAAGCAACCTCTCCAGAGCGACTTCCAGAGCGACCTCTAGAGCGTCACGGCCAAACCACCTGTCGACAGCTCAAACACGAAGCACGATTGGCGCTGTGCTCGGCCAAAGTCTCACTGGCGTAGAGGTCAGAACGCGCAAGACGAATGAGGGCGGTCCCGAAAGGGGCAAAGTCTTCGTGGTCGGATACCAAGGCCCAGATGATCCGCTCAATCCTCACAACTGGTCCAAAACCAAGCGTGTCGCGATTACACTACTTGTTGCGTCAATCGGTCTTATTGTCGGTGTTGCTTCGAGCATCGACTCAGCCGCGATCCCACAGGCCAGCAAGGAATTCCACGTTAGTGAGGTCACAGAATCTTTGGCCACCGCAATTTATCTTATAGGCTTTGGGTTTGGTGCTTTTACTGCAGCACCCGTGTCGGAGACAGTTGGCCGTAATCCAGTCTATATTGTTACTATGTTGCTCTTCATGATCTGGATAATGGCCTCGGCACTGGCGCCGAATATTGGAGCCCAGTTAACCTTCCGATTTTTGGCAGGCTACTTCGGAAGTACTCCGTTGACATGCGCTGGCGGAAGCATATCAGATATGTGGGACGCAACACAACGCACCGCGGTTTTTCCCATGTTCGCGAATGCCGCTTTTTGGGGTCCAGGTAATGATTCCCTTTCCTGGAAGATTACGTGATTGAAGTACATGCCTTTCGACTTGTTCTCGTCTTTACCGTTACAGCCTGCTGACATTTCCTAGTCCTTGGCCCTATTATGGGCGGCTTCATTGCCGAAAATGTGTCCTGGCGCTGGTGTGAATGGGTTACACTGCTCTGGGCCGGCAGCATTTTGATTGCGATGTTCTTTTTCCTCCCAGAGACCTACGCCCCGATCCTCTTATCGTGGAAGGCGCAACATTTGCGCAGCATCACAGGAAATGAGCGCTATAAGTCCGCGCTCGAAGTTCAAGACACCAAATTCATGGACCGTCTCATCCACAACTTTTACCGGCCTTTTCAACTTTTCGTGTACGAGCCTATTGTCGTGCTGTTTACGCTGTACTTGACAGTCGTGTACATCGTCCTCTTCACATTCTTAACGGGCTTCGAGTACATCTTCTCCGACACTTACGGCCTTTCACAAGGCCTCACTTTTCTCATCTTTGTCACGCTAGGAATCGGATTTGGATTCGCTAGCGCTTTTGTGCCGTGGGTTGTTAAACGGTACCAACAAAAACTGGCCAAGGTGCAAGAGCAAGGCGGTACACATCTTCCGCCCGAGCAACGCCTTGTGTTTGCCATGATGGGCGCTCCTTTTTTGCCTATTGGGCTATTTTGGATGGCGTGGAGCTCTCGATCCTCCGTGAGTATCTGGTCGCCGATCCTATCCAACCTGCCTATCGGTTTCGCGATCATGTGCATTTTCATCAGCTCATATCAGTACCTCATCGACGCGTTTGAGGCTTACGCCGCCAGCGCATTGGTGGGAGCCACATTCATCAGATATATTGCTGCCGGCGGCATGATACCAGCATCAATTCCCCTTTATGAGAATTTGGGTGTCCATTGGACGGTCACACTTCTTGGTGCTATCAGTGCGCTGATGGCACCAGTCCCATATATCTTCTATTATTTCGGTGCCAGGATCAGAAAAAGGAGTCGTTATGCGGCTAGTGTATAGAACTCGTAGAGGTTATGAATATAAAGTGTTCCGGGCGGATGGCTTGGCAATTGTCAAAGAAGTACTCGTCAACAAGTAATCTTCCACGCGCAAAGCAGTCGTTATCCAGCTTGCAAATATTGTCCCCTAGCACTGAAGGAACCGTATCCTACCCCACGGACAATCATGCCCAAGAACAAAAAGGCCAAAACCAAGCACTACAGCTCGAAAAACAGCGCCGAGCCAAGCCAGGCTGAAATCTGGGACGATTCAGCGTTGATCAGGTCATGGAACGATGCCGTTGCTGAATATGAAGTATGTCTCTACCAGTCTCGATTTGGATTTTGAAAGGCAATTGCTGCAATGGATCGGCCGACAGTGTCCATCCTTCATTCGCCTCCCGGTCAGGCATCTCACCTTGATCATCTCACCTTGATCCACCTCGTCCGCGATCTATGCTGCACCTCGTACTGATTAATTGATCCTAGTACTACCACAGCATTCACGCCAAGGGCGAAGACGTCGAAGAGATTCTCCGCCGTGCCGAGGAGGGTGACCTCGACCACACTATCGCCGAAACCGAGAAACGAGTCTCCAGCGAATGGCACGACGTCAACTCCCAGCGCGATGCGACTGTAGTGCCACTGCCGGCTGATGACGAAGCCGAAGACGGCGAGATCGAAGATGAAGACGGTGCACGCGAACTTGACGACGAGCTCGCTGCTGCGAAGGCGGCGTTGGGTGTGAAGGGTGACTTGCTCCAGTTTTTCCTGATCATCCAAGGGATATGGAGCTGACGCCTAAATAGTGCAAGGAGATGCTGCCGGACAACACAATGTGAAGCCTCCTACGAATGCTACTCAAGAAGACAATGCTCGATCATCGCATGGCCAGCACTCGGCACAACCATCGGTACCGTCTATTGGACCACACTTGCCCACAGCGACCTCGACGAGCGACCAAGGTACGTTCTTCCCTTCTCCCAACATGCCTTCATTGCACTTGATATTATCATCGCTCGCCATGTCCAGATTTTCACTGACTTTTTCCCCGTTAGCTCCACCTGCAGACCAGACGCTCGAAAACATCAAAATGGCGTACTACTGGGCTGGATACTACTCGGGTCTTTACGACGGTCAGCGACAAGGGCAGGCAAATGCCAATGTAACAGCACAACTTGCGACACATGATGGGCACCCAACATGACGGCTCAGCTCCCATTTGGAATTGAGATGAGCGCAACGAACGAGACCATCAATCGCTCCTAGGCCGCATCCATCAAATATCGATCGGATGCATATTATCGGCCAACTAGATATTGGAATGTTGTGTATCGAATCCATGCCCCGGCCTGCACGGAAGTCGCGCTGCAATTGCTCTGCGAGACCACATCACAACGTCCAGCAATCGTCCAAATAGTCGCAATAGTCACTCCTCCAGCGATTTTGGGCGGCCAGAGAAGCAGCAAGCCTCGAGTGTTCCATCATTACGACCACTGATACCCATTGAGCTCAGCTAGCGAAAGGCAGGATTAGGAGGTCGGAGAGGGAAGATTGCTGCTCCGAGAACGGGTTACGGGTACCTTTGGGCTGCTCGGTGGACACTTGGCGAAGACTCAGCATTGATCAAAATTAGTTGGTGGGAACATGTACAATAGCCGGCACCATGGCTTTTGACGCAGTACAGATAGGGGAAGAGGTACAAAGGGTGCCTTCTCGATTTGAGCCGGCTTGGTGGCTGCACGTAGGAGGCTGGGGATGACAGAAGCCATAGGGAACAAGGGCCTCTGTATTGCGGCCCATATGAAGACCTGGATTCTACATGCATTACGGTCTGCAAGCCGGGATATATCGCAATGCTCTCTCATTACCTGGCTGGTCATCTTCATCGCAAAAGGACGACTACTGCCAAAGATCGCTGAGACCATAGAAGGCCGAATCGAGAAAAGTGCAACATGGCTGCGTATCAACTCTTGTTGTCTATCCCATCCATCTGATACACAATCATTCCACATCAATACCATAACAGACGTAAGCAGAATAATCGGCTTGCTCGCCGCCAGTGGCCACATCGTTTCCGCCCAGGCCTTCATCTTTCTTGAGCCGGCCTTTACTGTCCCTTCCAAAAGCATTGCCTGCCAAATATGCATATTCGTCGTCGAGCCCTTGTCGGACCTTCTTTTCGCGTTTCGTGTCGGTCTGTAGTTCGTAAGTCAGTAAGCACGTACAAAGCTCCACGCGGAGCAGGTTTTAGTCCACTGCATAAACGTACCTTGACCAAAGCAGCAACATAATCCAGCGGCAGTCCGTATCTTAGCACGGTCTCCACGAATACTCTCAGGACAACGACATGTACAAGACACATCACACCTTCGCTCCAGCCTGTCCGGCCCAGCCGTAACGTTTCACCCCATACTCTCTTCTCCTCGGCTTCAACGCGTTGCAGCTCCTTCGCCTCCTCTTCTTTTCCGCCTTCTTTGAACTTGTAATCTCGCGGTATCCATTTTTGTTCCCGCACTTTATGGAGAAAGTCCTGGCTATGTTTTCTGAATGTCGTGACCGCATACAAGGTGTATTCGTCATCTGATGCCACGAAATAAGAGGACCGCGGTACGACCATAGGCGAAACGGTTTCGTAGGATCGCGTAAATTCCTTTACATTGGCGTTCGGGACAGCGACAAGATGTGTTTCGAGGTGTTCGGAGTCGGTGACAAGTACATCGGGAGAGACGATACTCACTAGCGACTTCGTAGAGAGGTTGCCGATCTGTTTCCGTTGCAGGGTCTGGAGATTGGTGCGAACAGTGTTGTATTGGTTGTATTTCGACCGTACATCGTTGTCGATCGAGTTTGCTTCCTGTGCACTGTGGTTAGCTTGTTTCCTGCTCGCTGTGATTATATGCACACCTTTTGTAATAAGTCGATCAGCTCAGCTAGGGGTCTGTCCGCTCGGTACTTGACTTTGTTCCATGAGAAACTTCTTAGGTATTGTTCTAGAGGTTCTGGCGGTGGAGTCAGCATGTGCCAATCTGTTCTCTGTCATCGAGTACACACTATCATTGACATTCTTGTGCATTGTGATCTTCTCCTCATCGCCGTCCAGAACATTCTTGAGTGTATCTCCGACCTTGCTCACAACTGAGTTGCAGACACCTTCCAGCCTTCCCAGCTCGTCCGACTGCTGAAGTAAAGCGTCTAGTGTGCCGATTTTGAAATCTGGAATGTTGAAGTTTGAGACATCTCCGTACGTCGGGCTCACGGCTTTCTGTACTGCGCTGATCGCATCATCTTTATGACCGGAAGGTGCGACGGAAGAGGGGACGGAAACGACGAGATATTTGGCGGACATATCGACGATTTCCGGAAGGAGATTCGGGTTGTTGTCTCAAGGAATCAACAAACGATAGTTGTTGGTCACGGACAGCCTGTCTATCGCAGGCCGTCCCTCAATAGTACTATCGGGGAAAGAGCTATGCAACTGGAGCATCATAGTACAGCACCAGCTGCGTATGCCAAGTGCAGGATGAAAGAGGCGTCTGATCTGCGCTGATTCTGGCCATATATTGTCGCTGCTCTAACCTCTTTTCCCCTGGAAAGACAGCCTTTTGCATCCTATTCGGCGCTTGTGTTCCATCTGGATTCTTGGTACCTTCGATATTAGACTTACCACAGAAATATATCAAAGTGAATTTATTACTTGAGTGTCAGTCCTTTGGTTTTTCACGGTCCCAAGGCCCTCATTTCCAGACTTGTTGCCCTTTCATGTTTTGTAGCAGTCATCCAAAAGGATGTGTAGGTGCACATCAACTGTGGTAGTGATTGTCACTGAATGTCAAGAAGCAGCGATGAGGTGGCAGTGCACTGTAGGTCAAGTTGAGGAAGGAATCGGGATAGATAGCACTCGTCGAGCTCTATCCAAATTCAATGGATTGCTCCTCGCTTCTGGAGGATCCGCACGAACCAAAGCGATCTTAAAAGCTGTCCCTTTTGATGCCTTAGAAAAGTCTCTATCGACTCACGCCATTTAGTCTATCGGAAATGTCCCCTGATGCTAGCTCTTGGAGAAAAGCAAACAATGCGAGATATGTCGAGGAACCTTGATAGGCCTCACGTAGCCACTCTGTAAAGCGACTTCAAGATCTGTAACACGCAATGTCAGCATACCAATCTCATGAAACCCGCATGGCCGAGACTCACATTAGCATGCTTAGGTTCGATGAACAAAGCAGTAGCCTTAACCAACACGTCAGGCTCTTCACCGTCTGCCACCTCAAGTGACTCTATCGTACCCTCCGCCCAGGCCTTCCTGCCCTCCACCTTTGTCGTTTTGGCCCTGAGCACTAGGAACTGACCGGCCATAGTCGGCTTCTGATAATTGATCTGCAAGTTTGCCGTCACGCCGACCTTATTCGGCATGGCAGGAAACGCGCAGCGCGCGAGTCCCTCGTCGAGAATAGTGGCCAGGAACCCGCCGTGGACAATCCCAGGATGTCCGGAGCAGTCCGGACCAACGTAGAAAATCTGCACCATGGACTTGCCGTCCTTCTCGTTGAAGTGATATGGCGGCACAACGATCATACCCGGCCCAGCCAACGTGCCTGCCGTCAAATTGTGTTGCCGAACCTCCGCCGGTATCTTCATATGCGGCCGCGACTCAATGAAATCAGGATCCGCTCTTAACGACTGCGCCAGAGCACAGTTCTTGATATGTTCATCCACCTCGCGCGAGAACTCGTCCGGTGGCTCATACGCTGTGAGCGTTTCGACGTCCGTAGGCATGGACCCCATGGCGAAAGAGACGAGAATAGGTGGAGCGTAGCTGAGTGCGAGATATCCTCCGATAACAAACGAGAGTGTGCTGATCGTCAGAAAACTGATTGTACGCCTAACGCGGGCTTGTCCTTTGCTATGGACGACGACTGTGCCATGAGCGTCAGCGGTTACCGGAAAGACTGGTCGTGCGCCCGAGCAAACTCACCTGTAGAGTAGGAGTTGTCTCGTGCGCCTCTTGTATATCTCAACAGACGAGATCCTTTTCGCACAGTGGCCGCTGGCACCGTTGAGGACCAAAAGCTACGCACAGACTGCGTCGTGGACCGCTGAAAGAGTGTGTACGGGACAGGGTTGAAGGAAGGTGGTGTAGCCAGAGCAGCGATCGGTCTCCGATTGAGCAGGCTTGCTGGCCGAGAGGAAAACAGGAGAGTATTTATTGTTGACCGACCTTGAGCCATGGCCTGCAGATGGAGAAATAATAGCGGCCCACGGCCGCGCCGGACGGTATCAGAAGGCGATGTCAATCGACGAGGTATGATGCAGCGCAATCGCAAAAAAGGTGCTAAAATTATGGGGCAAGATACGACAGGAACACGACGGCTTCATCAATAATGGCAATTTTTGGGAGGTTTCAGTTGGGAATGCAGACTTTTAGGCTGACAAGATATTTGTGCCTCGGCTCAGCCTCACGGAGTCCTTTCGGGTGCATAACTTATGAGATACAATATGCAAGAGGAGCATTATTTTCTATCAGCACCAATTCAAACTGTACTCTTTTCTGCGGTGCTGATATTCAGCACTGTTCAATGCTTATTGTTCGCATACGGAGACCAGTGCGGTCTGCACTTACTGACAAAACTTGTTTCTACAGTGCACGCCACAAAACAACCACTGTCCAATATGCGCCCCCAACCAATCTGTGGGCGTGCAGAGGTACCAATTCGCAAATTGGAGGCCAACCCCTTTTGTAGTTCAGCCTTGACCTCGACTGACCTATTTCAGTCGCATGGCTGGGCCAGGGCCAGCCTGACATTCTGCCCGAATCTCTCACTTCCTGACTACTTAGCCTTCTGCGAATATGGCGACACTTATTAAGAGGTGTGTGCGTCAACGAGAGAGGCACAGAAAGCGGCGACATTGATGCGCTCGACGATGTGCCAGGTTTGCTGATCAGGCCATAACCCCGTTAGCAATGACATTTTTGGTGGCTAACGATAACATTATATATCAAGTTGTATCATACAATCGACGAAGGAGACCTCGAGTGTGCGCTTTTCGAGCGACCAATGCTCGGGCTAGATGGTGGTGCATGTTCAAAATGCGGCGCCAGATCCGGGTCTTGACTCGGAGGCACGCCTGTTTTGGGAAGCTCGTTTGCAAAAACAGGATCATCGGCAGGAGTGGCAGGGTGAATCTCCATGCCACCAGTTCCCTCCACGCCTGAATGAGATCGGGCTCGAGTGAATCGCACAGTCTCTGGCTCTTCAGATCGCCGCTCGATGGGAGACCAGCCACCGGCGACACTGCCAGCGATAATTCCCGCCATTGCAGCTGCCGGGCCGAACACAGAATTGGATGTCGATCTGGCCCGTTGTCTACGCCTCTCTGGCGTTGATGGAGATGCTGATGCCCCATCTGGCGTGAGTTGATCGCCATCAGGGGTCTGAGGCAGGTCACTGTTTGAGCGAGACCGAGAAGGACTGCGTGATCGCGGTAAGAACGTATCCCGAGGATGTTGCAACTTATACGCCAATTCCGACATACGACCGCCTCGAATCCTCTTGAGGAAGGTCAATTCTTCTCGGATCTCTTCCAGTGCCGGATTCCAGTGTCGTATGCGCTGCTCATCATCTTCGAGGGTGAATTCAGGTGCAGCCTTCCTCCGTCGAGGTAGACTGGGTATCATCCTCGCAAACATCTCGTCCGGCAGCAACCTTATTATGACCGCCACAGGAATGGAGAGAGCGCCCAAGACAAGGGAGTAACCCCATTGCGCCCCATTGATTCTATTGATGGAGAATGCTTGGCCTCCAACAAACATGATGAGACACTGACCTCCAATAATGATGAGCTGAATTCCAAGAAACCAGTAATTTTTGAACATCCCTTCGAATATGTTGAAGTGGTTGTCGAGCCGGCGTGAATTGTACTGATTGAAGATCTGCATCCACACAAAAGTGTTGAAGATGGTACTTTGTAGTCGGTCCTTTTCGCCCTCGGTTTGATAAGACAATATGCTCGCCCCTCCGAAGTACAAGACCAGAGTGACCACAAGCTGGTAAATCGACTGCCCTATGATCATTTTCCACATTGTGATGGTGATCAATGGCGCTGACTTGGGTTCCGGCCGTCGGCGTAAGACCGATTCTGCGGGAGGATCAGTGGCCAATGCAAGAGCCGCGAATGTGTCCATAATCAGATTAACCCAAAGTAACTGTACGGCGGTCAAGACAGACGTTTCATCGTCTTTAGCCACGGCAGAAATAAAGGTCAAGATGACTGCGGTGATGTTGACTGTCACTTGAAACTGGAGGAATTTCTTGACCGCGTCGTTGACTGTCCGGCCCCAGGAGATGGCTTTGACGATTGAAGCAAAATTATCGTCCATGAGAATGATAGCTGATGCCTCTTTTGCAACTTCGGTGCCCGCGATCCCCATGGAAAAGCCGACATCAGCGGTTTTAAGTGCAGGAGCATCGTTGGTTCCGTCGCCGGTGACCGCCACGGTCTCACCAAGTTTCTTCAAATGCTCCACAAGACGCTTTTTGTCATCTGGACTTGACCGCGCAAGTACTTGTAGACGAGGGATGACCTGAGTAAGTTGTTTGTTGTTGAGTTTTCGGAAAACAGGCCCTTCCATTGCAATGCCGCCAGAGGTAAAAATACCACACTCTGTCGCAATAGCCTTAGCCGTCAGCAAGTTGTCACCAGTGACCATGCGAACAAAAACGCCAGCGACTTGGCAGTCATGTACTGCTTTGGTTACACCCGGTCGCAGTGGATCTTGAATGCCCACAACTCCGAAGAAGACCATATCCTTAAAGACCTTGTCGAAGTCCGCTTGTTTCTTGTCATCAGGGGAGATGGCCCCTCGTGGCGGCCATTCGTTAAAATCCCGATATAGAAGCGCTATCGTTCGCAATGACCGAGACGCATAGTTGCTGACAATGCCATTAAGTGTCTCAGTTTGGTCGGCGGTCAAGGGTGAGTCGTCGATGCCTTTGATCGGATCACTGATGATCTTCGAACATTTTGCGATCAAAATCTCGGACGCTCCTTTGACCATCATGCGATATTTGCCATTGGCCATTTTGATGGTAACAGCCATACATTTACGACCTGAGTCGAAAGGTACCATTTGGGCAACATCGGCATTAGCACGCTCTTCGTTGATTGATTCGATTCCAAGATGATCTGCCACAAAGGAAAGAAGAGCCGTCTCTGTCTTTGATCCGATGTATACCTTCTTACCCTCTTCCTCTCCTTCGAATGCAGTAGAATTGAGAACGACCGAGTCTTTGAGGAGAGATTTCGTCTCCGCTCCGAGAGTTGCCACGAATTCATGAGCAGAAACGTCATTGGAATTACTTTCAGGTGCTGCTTGTTTGCCGTCCCCCAGTGAGCTCGAATTTGGTGTCTGTGGCTTGTCGCCAAACCTGGAGGCGGTTGAAAGTGTGCCTGCCACGACACTCATCTTGTTCTGTGTCAAAGTCCCAGTCTTGTCGGAACAGATAGTGGTCGCATTTCCCATGGTTTCGCAAGCTCGGAGAAGTCGCACCAAGTTGTTGTCTTTCAGCATGCGAGTGGTCGCGAACGCGAGAGCCAAGGTCACAGCCAATGGCAGTCCTTCTGGCACAGCAACGACAACGATGGTGACAGCCACAATGAAGATCTGAAGAAAACGTTGCCCTTTTGCTTGCGCGCCACCGTCAATGTCCTTGAGTTGCACCAAGAACTTGATGAAGAGCACAATAAAAAGCAACAAGCCAGCAGCTAAGCCTAGCTTTGCAATATACTCTGCTAGGACGTTCAGCTTCGACTGCAAAGGTGTAGTCTGACCCTCGTCTTGTAAAGACATCAGCGTCTTGCCATAGCTAGAATTGACACCCACAGAGGTGACGAGAAATGTGCCGACGCCCTCAGACACCTTGCCTCCAGACAAAATGAAGGGGTCCAATTTTTTCAAGGGCTGGTGGTTCTCAATGGCATGATATACTTCGTCGGCGGCTGTCTTGCGGATGATATCCGACTCGCCAGTCGCAGAAGATTCGTCACATCTCACATTGTGGCCATCAATAAAGATGCCATCCACAGGAATCAGATCACCTGGTTCGAGATGCATGACGTCTCCAACAAGAACGTCGTACACGGAAAGCTCCTGGGTCCGACCAGATCGGACAACGTTGACCATTCTCTCCTCCTTTTTCTTGTTCAATTTGACAAACTGACGCTCTTTCTGATAGTCATTCAGCGCTCCGACGAATGTGACGACGAGAATGGCGACAATAATAGCCACACCCTCGACCCACTCAACTCGAGCTTCATGTTCCTCAGATGGTGCAGGTTTGATCGTCTGGTAGATACCTAATGCCAAAGAGATGACTGCCGCCACGGACAGCAGTATCAATACTTTGTCATTGTAAGCGATCCACGCGAGTTGCCAGAAAGTCTTTGCTTTCTTCTCTGGCAGTCGGTTGTCCTTGAAAATGCGCTTACGGTCGCCAAATGATTGTTCGGAAGATTTCGTTGGAGACCCCAGAGAATGGTTAGTGGTGGACCTCTTAACTGTGCCGTAGTTTTGTTCGGCTTCAGCTCCTGCTTTTACAGCATCTTCAAAACTAAACACCCCTTCCAAACCGACTTCGTCGACACTTAGTCCACTATGTCGGTCTGTCCGCAGTCCCTTTTCTAAACCCGCAAGGCCACCTAGGGCATGAAAGGCTGCTAGGCTCTTTGGATTGATCATTTTGTTCAGCTGGCCCGGTGTGTATGCGAACTTGTTGTCCTCGACCTTGAAATCCTCTTCCGTCCCTGGATCAGGCGTGAGCGCGTCTTGATCCTTCATCACATCATCGTTGTTGCTGAAGGAGTTTTTTCTAAAGTCATCTTGGCCGGAGGAACTTGTTCCTACTTGCGTATCCCCTCCAAATTCCGACGTTGGAGATGCGTCAGACTCTAACGATTGTGTCCTCGGCCGATAGCTGGGTACTGAAAGAAAGTTCTGAGTCGGTGCTCCTTCCAGAAACTGCGTTCGTGGGGAGGAGACATTGTGAGGAGATGTAGGTCGAGATTCTCGAGTGTCCGTCGAAGCGCGAATATCGGTTGGCGACAGAGAGGGAGGGGATGCTAGCGACGGTCCATGGTCAAGATTTTTGGTCTGTATTCGGGGCAAGGGCCCTGGTCTATCAGAAGATGCGCTCGGAGGCTCTTCGGTGGGCTTGTTAACGGCGGAGTCGTCGATACTAATCGTCGGCGCCCGGTGTCGTTGATGCGGCGGTTTTGTTGGTGTTGGCTGTTGCCCATCTTGTGGGAGAGGCATTTCAACCTGCTGAATGAGCTGCAAGCTGTGTACTTCGCATGTGTTTATTCCACTCTCTTCAAAGTCGTACTCAGGGCAGACCCCAGCTCGTATTGCGGAGATGAATATTGTCTCAGAAGATTGACATCCCGAGTGACATTGACCAGAGTCGAGGCCAGTAGAAGCGCTAGGATCGTGAAGAGAGGTAAGGCTGGTATGTTACAGAGGTACAGGTGTAACTACCTGTGAAGGGTTTGCTGTCCAGCAGAGAACCAGGATATGCAGTACTCGGGAAACCGCTATTTTGCCAAAGAGAACCAGATCACTCGAGGGAACCACAGGTCAAGCCACGGTCAACCTTGTTTCGCCTGAGGAGTGGCTGAGTCTGCTACCAAGGCCTTGAAGGCGAAAAGGTCGTGAGTGTTCGGTCGGATTTGCCATGTACCGGTTGTTGACGGACCAGCAACAGGAGAAAGATCCCTAGTTGGGTATAAGCCCGCTGGGCGGAGGGTGCACAGGCGGCGAAATGGCGAGGTACGTGGAGGTAGTATGTACAGAAGGAATATCAAGGCTCTCTGCTTTTAGGAAGACTACCTTACGAATACATCGAGAATTTGGGAAGGAGTTTACGAAGCGGCAACGACTCGCGTAGCACTGCCCATGTCCCATACTATCGTAGGATGGAGTTTACCATGGAGGATGCGCTTGCTGGTCCCGGAGGACCAATAGATGATATCGCCAAGACGGGCGCAGGCAACTTAATCCATTTGGTCTAGGCCATTTCAAGGGAAACCCGATTTTCGCCTTTGGTCCCCTTACTCGTACTCCATCTCCTTTACAATAACATTGAGCATCTCCTATTGTCAATGCCATGGCGTTTTCCTTCTCTCATTTTCCCAAACCAAGTCAAGATGGTCGACCTTACGGGATGAAGAAGTGTAAGAGAAGTCTTCATATCAAGCATTTCAGCCCTCGTTTGCAACCTGACCGCTGCATCAAGACTTCCTTCCCACCAATTGGACTGAGCGCCTTGCACTGCCACTCCGCTAGCTTCACGTCAGGCAACGTTCCCTGTCAGACGTCCGGATCTCCCGTGGATCGCCAAGGTAACCCACAGCAACCTCATGGTCTTAGACATCTGGCGAGGCAGGCCATAGCCTGCTTATCGTAAGATCAACAATTTATCGTCATCTCCGCTGGTAAGACTTCTCCTTCACGCCGCGGTCTACTCCCGAGGGTTCTCCCCCTGAGTCCACCAAAATCGAGGCAATGTATAAAGAGTCACATTTGGGGAGCTCCAACACTTTGGGGCCGAGACACTACTCGAGGCTCTGCGAGTTGGTACCAAACTGAGTTGTCAGAGCCGGAGTTTGGCAACAACACCATTCGAGGAAGTATTCGCTACAGATCCGTCAACAAGACTGCCGACATCAGACTGTGGGCTGTGGAGTTTATAATTTCGAAATTGGTTCCAAATGCGGAAGTCACTTGTAATGGGATATAAACTCCCGCATCAGTCAGCATGTCATCTATGGCTGACTTGGATACGCCTGAAGGTCATTATTGCTGAAAATGAAAAAGCTAAAGTGAGGCAGCCATCTGCAACCACGCAGCCACAAGCAGAAGCAACAGCATGTCCTGCCTGACAACAATACGAACGCATCGACAATTGGCCGTGTCGTACGAAAGTCGTGCTGAGAGCTCAGTAAACGTCCATTCGACGAATGCAATATGTGGTATGACAGCCCTGCATCACTCATCACCTGCCTAGCCCTCAGGATGACCACACCACGTCAATCGTACTTGGCCATAAGTCCACCCTGAGCACCATTCTTCTCAATCAATTCCTCAAACCCTTCAATCCGACTAACCATAGCATAAGGCTTGACCCCTTTCTCCTTCTCAACCGTCTTCCTGAAACACCCACTCCACCCAGGCCTAGGATACTCCCTGACCACATTCTCAATGGTTTCTGGATGCACCAAATCCGCGCCCGCCCCGATATTATCTAACAACGTCCCCAGATGAATCAACCTCGTGATCAAGGTAATATTCCCTTTGTCCTGAATGTCCTGATGCCGGATGATCGCCTCGGTCACACTCTCAGCTTGTTCCCGCGGCGCAGCGCCGTCGCTGCCACCAGTAACCGCAGGATCCTGAAGAAGCTGCAAAGCATGGAACGCTCCCCAGAACTCGAAACTCAAGCGCGTACTCGTCAAGAACTCGGCGCTCGTCCCAATGTCATGCAACATGGCCGTCAGGAACCAGGTCTCCTCCAGCTGCGAGCCCGGTAGGACCTCGAATTCGGGAAACATCTGCCGCGCAATCGCGCAGCCGTAGCTGTACACGCGCAGGCTGTGGCGGTATGTGTCTGCGTCCATTTTTGACTTTGCGTACGCTGCGACGCGCGTTGCCAATGCTGTGCGTGGTGGGTGAAGTGATGATATGTCCACTGGCTGAGGTTTATGTCCTGCGGGCTTGACCTTAGACTGGTCAGCAGGTAGGGCTGTAAACCCGTAGATCTTAGTGGTGTCGGCCATTGCTGTATGTGCTTCCGCTGCGTAGTGCTTGATGTTACCAACTCAGATCTGGACTGGAAGATAACCTCAATGCTGGGCGCCTCTGAAAGAAATTCTTGTCTGTGGTTTCGAGTATATGTCTTGACGTCTTCTCGAGAGGCTATGTAGTAAACTCTAGGTCCGTTCTGGGAGTTACAGTATGCTCAGGACAATGAAGAATACTTCTCACCGTCGATAATGTCGTTCTTAGGGGAAATTAAGTATTCGCCTGAAAGTGACATTGCTACGACACCTTATATAGTTACTCATAGACACTGCGATTCATTCATCATTGCATCATCCACAGCCAAACATTCTACATGTAATAAAATGTCATTCTCAAGGCTGAACCGGCAATGGGCGGGCGACATGTTACTAACCCTACGTTATTGGCCAGGCATGTTTCGACTTACCTTACAAAACTCACCAGCACATGACGGCAACGCCCTACATCTGATTTAACATTCAAGCACATGTACAGATTTTGGATTGATGGTTTCCCTTACCTCAATCCCGAATCACCGCTTGCGCCTGCAGTTTACTCAGCACCCTACTCTTCTTAAAACCATGACTTAGGTACTATGCACCTTATGTCGGCATTTGCGGAGTTGCAGATTCTACGTAGCGCTTCCCGGAACATGACATCTGACTTTGTAGTGGTTGGACAGAAGTACTTCCGCATACGGACAACTTCCTCCTCAGATCAAGGTATGTTCAAGATGCCCAGGACCTTCAGCATCTCTTGCAGAGTCCCAAATCCGTGCAACGACGATACTTGCACTTCGGGATGTGTCCTATCTTCCACTCCAAACCACTGCCTGATTCGCGTTACTGATCGATCAACCTCAATGCTGGATCGTGCATGACGACTTCAAGCCGTCGCACAACATCTCGACAAAGCCCCAATGGTACCACACGATCGAGCTCAGTCCAAGGCCTCAAGATCGATCGGTCCTTGTTCCTTCCAGCTGACCTTCCAAATATCACTGTTCCCCTTTTCGGTCTTCATCTTTTTGGCCTTAGGCCCGCTCTGCTCGTTCGCTTGCAATAGCGCTTCACTGTCCACAGCAAAAGCTCTGACCAGTTCTTTCATTCTCTTGCCCTCTACAAATGCGTTCGTCAACATGGGAACCTCTGCAACTCTTTGCGCGAGCTCCATACACTCAACCAACCACGCCCTGGAGACGAAATGGCCTGCAAACCACAAAACACTGTTGTAGGCCAGAATGCATTCAGGAATGTAGTGATTGCGAATCACTCTCAGTTGGTACTCGTCTGAGTTGTCTTGGGGTTGAGACAAGAAATCGTTATCGAGCAGTGGTGCAATAGCCGTGCGTACATCGTCAAGCGCCTTCTTCAGGTCTCGTTTGTAGGTGCGCAGGAGTGACGGATTCGAACGATTCCTGCTTTTGTATCAGTAAATACCCCTTGTCGCCATGGGTGTGCACTTACGCTTCGAGATTGTCAGCCGTCTCCTGGAAGATGTCCAGGGTATCTATAGCTGTCGCGAGTTGTTCCAGCTGCCGCCAGATCAGAGACTTAAAAGCCAGAGTCTCGCGGTCAGTGCCTGATCGGGTCAACGGATGATCCGCTAAGGGATCTCTTCGTTTGCGGCTTGGGCTCATGGGTTGAACTCGATCTTCATCCATATCTTCATCCTCGTCGCCACCATTTTCGATTGGTGGGTCTCCATCGGCAAAATTGAGGTTCATCCCGACTGCGGCAAGCGATATCTCTGATAAACTCACGCGGTCGAGGAGTTGTCGGAGGGCCACAAAGTCACCCTTGAAAAGAAAGATCTTGTACAGCGACGACACACACCAGGCAGCACCTCCCCAACTCTCGGCATCGACATATCGACACCATTCCACGCTTCGAACGGCATTCTCCACAGCCTCGGACACGTTGCCAGTCATCAACTGTGGTTTCACTCTCCGAACGGCGAATTTAGCTGTCCCTCCTGGAGTTGTGATCCTCGGTGGTGTTGGGAGATCCTTATTTCGGAGCTTCTGAAGGTCATCAATGTTGGCCAGAGAGAATACGCCCATGATGATTTCAGGAAGGTTCAAGTCCTCCTTCTTCATCAGTTTGACTATCGTGTCACGTTCTTTAGACTCCTTGACCTTGATCAGGATTGAGCCTAAGACGTGCTGAGCACGCTTATCGGACAATCTTGATGCGTAGAGAGGTATCAGTTGAAACCTGCCAATGCTTTGCAAGAAGTTTATGTAGCTGACAATGTTGTTCTCCATTTCGTACTCGTTTTCCGCGTACACCGAGTCCAGGAAACCCAAAGCTTGAAGGATCAATTGAAGATGGACAACCATGCGTGCCGAGTCATGATCTTGTGCGTTGAGTTGTGATATCTCGTTGCTTTCAGCTGTGCTTGGGTTCATCATCTCGTAGCCTTGTCCTGTGGCGTGTGCCACATGAGCAGCAGCCCGGCCCATACTGAGAAAGAAAGCATCGAAGTCTCTGGATACCATGGCCAACTCGATCATTTTGTGGGGAAGATGCGACTCGATCTTGTTTGCCTGGGCCGACTGCACTTTCGCCACGTACTGTCGGATGTGGTCGTGGGCATCTGAGTCCGGTCTGTAGGCAATAGCAGAGGGCTCAACTAACTTCTTCTGGTAAGCCTGAATGTAGTGCTGATATCTCTCGATCAAGAGCGCGTTGAAGAGCGCAAACAAGTGATCGTCAACAACCTCACTCGCCTGTCTGGAAGCCTCACCGTCACCACACAGTATTCCGTAGACAGCCTTCTGATATCGATCAGCAATGGCAGTGTTGTGCGCGAGAGCTTTACATCGGTCAACCCATTCCTGATTCGTGGCCAAATTGAGTATTCGCAGCCAAGGTGATTCTGCCATTTCGCTCGCTTTTGGTCCGCAGCACCGTAGCGCTTCGTACCTCCAGACCTCTTTTCGTTCGGCCCACCATGATTGTATTTCTGCAGCTGTTCGACCTCGCCGCAACATCTCCCAGCAAGTCTGCCAGACGGCCTGCTCGTGGAACTCATCTTGATCTTGAAGCACGGCCGACTCTCGAGTCCGCGAGTCTGGATCTAATTGAGCGACGAGTGACTTGTTGTCGGAAGGGCGAGCGTGTGTACGTTTGATACCAGGGGCCGACGGATCCAGAGGCTTTGACCATACCCGAGTCCGCTTCTGTTGCTTGATTGCCGCCTGCGTATAGATCGGACCAGCGCTCCAGACTCCATCTCCTCTTTCCGATTTCTCTGTCAGGGTGTGAAGAAGGTCTTCGATGGGCTCGGATGTTTCAGCAGCTCTGTCCTGCAACCAACTCAATATACATTCGTACTCTTGGGCTACCGCGTCTGAGTCGAGGAAAGATGCCCATAGCTCAGTGTTGCCAGAATATCGATGCAAGTCCCCTAATCTCGACTCCTGCGCTATTTGTGCATTGTTGACAGTCTCGGGTGACTTGCAAGCCAGCAGATTTCGAGCCAGAATCCAGAGGTCATTTTCCAGCTGTATCTTGTCAAGTTGTCCATCAAAATCGTCCACCGCAGTCTTCCGTTGTCGAGCGTGAGCAATGGTACTGAATCGTTCGAGTAGTACTAGTGCATCCTCCCAAAGGGATTGATCGGTAGTCTCCCGGTTGATGTTGAATTTGTCCAACTGCTTCGCGAACTCCTCCGCCTGTCTGCTCACCCGGTCGGCGGTATCTTGTAGCGGTCGGAGGATGTCTTGCGCTGAATATTGGTAGGGAGATTGAAGTCCTGCAGTACTAATCAACATTTTGGACCTTTGACAATCAAGATTGTATGGTGGACAAAGAGTGTGAGAATGACGGAAGCAATATAACGGTAGTGGTGGAAATGTCGCACCTTCCTCTGCAGATTCTTCATCGTAGTCCTCCGCCATGTCCTGGTCATCTTCACCGTTTTCCTCAGCCGGGTAAGAGCTCCTGTGTCGGGAAATACTTTCGGACTGATGCATTGAAGTCAGCGAATTCACATCAGGCAGTTTAGCCAGGAGCAACTTACTTCTGTTGCTCTGCCATGCACCGAAGATCTGGTTATAGGCGCCATGTTGCAGGTATGAGGGCAGGGACAATGCCACAAACAGATCCAGAGCCTGCCCTTACTTTTCGATCAACGGCATTGACAGCATTGCTAGTCCTCCATACGCGCCGCCGACACGCGCAGTTCAAAAGTGAAGCTAAACCCGATCTGGTTCTTGGGATTTTTTTCCCATTCCCTCAAAAACTTCTGGCACGCGAGTCTTGACCTCTTCTTTTTTTCTTTTTTCTCTACAATGTCTTACAGGTGGTCATTAGAGTCTCGGAACGAACTTATTTCAATATCAGTGTTTGTTCAGATCCTACGCGGTCTCTTAGCGTGCTCACGACCGCCTCAGAGTAGATATGCATTCGCTGTTCAGCTGGCCAGACCTCACCAGAAGGATGATGGTTCAGGTAGAAAAAATCGATATGCAACAGACCCCTTTTCTCGATATGATGATACATATGTACAGACAGCACCCTCGAGACGTCGACGGACCTCATATACAGACACGGAAAGCGCTCGTCGCAGATCCGAGCAATACACCTTGCTGGTTATTATTTTCCTCCACGCTGTTCAATCTTCAACCTCAACAACTTCGGTTTGGGGCATGAAGTGGTGGTGGCGTCGTCGCCTTTGCCCTTGTAGAATGCATTGCAGCACTCATATAGCGCGTCTACCGCCGACTGACATTTGTCTTCCTTGTAATTGTTCTTTTGCAAGCAATCTTCGCCGGGCGCTTTAGTGACAGTCCAGGCAGTGAACGTAACAGCAAGACTCACCTTGAATGGCGCACTGTGCGGAACTCGAAGTCAACATCGTTCAGCGTCATTAAGTCGCAACGATCACTTACAGCTCGAGGATGGCAGGGAGGATCAGTTTTCAAATCATCCTCTAGTTTGCCCTACGTGAAGTTAGACCTTTTCCAAATGCGAGTCGTGTTCCCGAGGTTGACTGACCATGATGGACGTAAAGCGCAGTGACTGGACTTTACTATCGTACGGTATGTTAGGAACGTGACGGCAGCTAAGTCAGGTACCTGGTAGTCATGTCGAGGTCGAGGAGCGAGCGAGCAAGACAAGAAGGTTGCTGAGGGCCATCGCCTTCAACGTGTGACGTATTTGCGATATCCACGAGATCTTGCGAATACCTGGTATATTTAATCACCTCACGACCATACCGATGCGCTTTCTTCCAGCTTACACGCTACTCGGCTCTACGATTATCAGAAAGCAACGACAGTGCTGGGCAGGAATCTAGACCTTGCAAACTCTGCATGCAGCATCAGCATCAAGAAAGAACACGGAAGGGAGCCCTTTCATTGTCATTGCAGTTTCATTGAATTAGAATCTAACGCTCGAGAGTTGGAAAGCTTGAGAACACGCCATGCCTGCTTGACCCGAGCTATGATCCTGGTCATAGTCCTCTGACTTATCCATCATATCACTGTGCTTCGCTTTGAACAGAAGAATGCTGTTGTGGCCAAACAAAACCAATCAATGGTCCAGTAGAAGAAGCTCACAACATGCAACACACCCCATGGCCACGATATGAATGACGCGGCATATTTCGTCTTGGGAACGAGAAGACTCGTTTAGACTTCCTCCTCTAATGGAGCCTCCTCCTCACCGTACTCCTCTTCGCCCTCAGAGATGCTTGCATCCTGGTACTGTTGGTATTCTGAAACAAGATCGTTCATGTTGGACTCGGCCTCGGTGAACTCCATCTCGTCCATACCCTCGCCAGTGTACCAATGCAAGAAAGCCTTTCGTCGGAACATGGCGCTGAACTGGTCACCAACACGCTTGAACAGCTCCTGAATAGAGGTCGAGTTTCCGACGAAGGTCGAAGACATCTTCAGACCACGTGGGGGAATCGAGCAGAGAGCGGTTTGAACGTTGTTGGGGATCCACTCAACGAAGTAGCTGTTGTTCTTGTTCTGGACGTTGCGCATCTGATCCTCAACCTCCTTCATGCTGACCTTGCCACGGAATATAGCTGAGCATGTCAGATAGCGACCATTTCGGAAGTCTGAAGCAGCCATCATATTCTTAGGGTCGAACATCTGCTGTGTAAGTTCCGGGACGGTGACGGCACGGAAGGAGTAGGCACCACGGCTGGTCAGGGGAGCGAAGCCGACCATGAAAAAGTGCAGACGAGGGAAGGGAACCATGTTAACGGCGAGCTTTCGTAGGTCAGAGTTGAGTTGACCGGGGAAGCGCAGGCAGGTGGTGACACCGGACATGACTGCGGAGACCAGGTGGTTCAAGTCGCCATACGAAGGGTTGGCCAGCTTGAGAGTACGCATGCAGATGTCGTAGAGAGCCTGAGATGATTAGCGACGATGAAAATCACGTCGACGTACGACGTACCTCATTGTCAATGCAGAAGGTCTCGTCAGAGTTCTCGACCAACTGGTGGACTGAGAGAGTGGCGTTGTATGGCTCCACGACGGTATCTGAGACCTTGGGAGATGGGACGACGGAGAAGGTAGCCATCATTCGGTCGGGGAATTCTTCTCGGATCTTGGAGATCAACAATGTACCCATACCAGCACCAGTACCGCCACCAAGAGAGTGTGTGATCTGGAAACCCTGCAGGCAGTCGCAGCTTTCGGCTTCGCGTCGAACGACATCGAGAACTTGGTCGACAAGCTCGGCACCTTCAGTGTAGTGACCCTTGGCCCAGTTGTTTCCTAGCCTTATGTTACTGCTTGTTCTTTCTGATGAGATGTGTGTTCTTACCAGCACCGCTCTGGCCGAAGACAAAGTTATCGGGTCGGAAGAGTTGACCAAAAGGACCAGCTCGGACTGCATCCATGGTACCTGGTTCAAGATCGACGAGGACAGCACGGGGAACATATTTGTTGCCGGATGCCTGGAAGCAGTATTAGCGGGGGGACTCTTCGCAAGACGTTGCAGTGGATATATACCTCATTGAAGTAGACGTTCATACGCTCGAGCTGGAGATCGGACGTGCCATTGTAGCTGCGCAAGTCAGGATGATGTTCAGTCGAAGATCTCAAGTATACGTACACTCCTGATCCATCAAGACCGTGTTCGCCGGAGATGATTTGCCTATGGTCGAGTCAGAGGAGAGGAGACCGTCGCGTTGAGGATTTGCGCACCAGAAGGCAGCACCAATTTGGTTGCCCTGGGGTCATTGTTAGCGGACAACTCAAGTCAGGAAGGATGATAATACGTACACATTGGCCAGTCTGCAAGTGAACCTATATTGAACATCATATGTCAGTCGTTGATCCTGTCAAGGCACAAAAATGCATGGTGGGGTCGAAGCAGGAGAGCCGTCCCAGGGGTAAACAGGGAAAACGACGCGTAGCGCAGTCTGAGCCAGCTACTTACGATTTCACGCATGTTGTCGGTCAATCAAGAATAGTTCAAAGGATTTCGGAGAGGATGTGGGATGGAGTGACAATCAAGAAGAACCACTTCAAAAAAAGAGGTCGTGAGGGAGTGGTGAGAGAGGTGTCTGTCGGGTTGATGTTGTGGGAGAGGAACTGCCTCCAAATGCAAGTCGGTCAATTGACAAAACAACCTTGGCGGTGAGAGAAAGGCGCTAAAATCGCGGGGACGCGCTTTTGACAACAAATTTATTCACACCCTAGAGTAACATACAACTACTGCTAATGCTGAATTACCGCCTTTTGTTTACCCGTTGCACTCCCTGTCATTACTCGTGAAGCCTTACGATCTACACATCATTGGAAGGATATTCCGTTTTCGAGATGGGCAGTGTCTCTTCCTTCAGCGACCTCATGCTCACGAAACGCGACAGGATGGCTGCAGATCCGGCCTTGTCATTGGTTCCAGATGCGCGAGCGCCGCCAAAAGGTTGTTGTCCAACAACAGCTCCTGATCAATATTAGCAGACGACGTCAAGATGGGAACGAAGTGACACGTACCAGTGCTCTTGCAGTTAATGTAGTAATTGCCAGCAGCATTTCTCAAAGCCTCCTCCGCGTATCTGATCGCTGCACGATCTTGAGCAAAAACAGCGCCGGTAAGGCCATAATCCGAAGTGCTGTCCACGACCTTGCAGATCTGTTCAAATGCATCCGGCTTTGAGTCGTCATAGACATGGACTGTCAGAATGGGTCCAAAGAATTCCTGGCTGAAGTATTTGTGAGTCGGGTCTTTCGCAAGGTAAATGGTGGGGTGAATAAAGTATCCTTTGCTGTCATCGTATTTACCACCAGTGAGCAGTTCGAGAGTCGAGTCGTCTTTCGCCGCGTCAATGGCACCAGAGAGCTTCTTGAAGCTAGCCTCGTGGATGACTGGACCAATGAAGTTTCCAAACTCCTCAGGAGGTCCAACCTTCAAGTTTTCCGTCTCAGAGACCAATTTCGTCTTGAAGTCCGACCATATCGAGGAAGGCACGTACACCCTCGACGTTGCGCTGCATTTCTGGCCCTGGTACTCAAATGCTCCTCGAACCGTCTGTATGGCCGCGTTGTCGATGTCTGCGCTCTTATGGATCAGGTGGAAGTTCTTGCCTCCAGTCTCGCCCACTATCCTAGGATATCCCTTGTATCTGCCCTCTGCAATTCCTTGGCCGATCTGACCGTACAGCTTGCGGAAGACCGCGGTAGAGCCTGTATAGTGAAGTGCGGCGAACTGTTTATGAGACAGAATAGCCTTGGTCACCTCTTCCGCGTCGCCGGGAACGAACTGGACCACACCCGCAGGAAGACCAGCTTCCAGCAGGATTTGATAGACCAGATAGTTCGACGCGATTGCTGACGGACTGGGCTTCCACAAAACCACATTGCCCATCAAAGCAGGAGCACCAGCAAGGTTGCCGCCAATGGCAGTGAAGTTGAAAGGTGAAATAGCGTAGACAAATCCTTCCAGAGGCCTGTATTCGAGTCTGTTCCATACACCGGGCGAGTTATAGGGTGGCTGTTGTGCATACAGCTCTTCAGCATATCTGACATTGAACCTCAAGAAGTCGATCAATTCGGCCGCTGCGTCAATCTCTGCTTGCCATGCATTCTTGCCTTGTCCTAGCATTGTTGTAGCCATGACCTCGTATCTGTATTTTGTGCTGATCAAATCGGCGGCCTTGAGGAAGACAGCAGCTCGGTCAGCGAAAGGAAGAGCTTCCCATGCAGGCTTTGCAGCAAGGGCTTCCTCAATAGCTTTGTTGACATCCTCCGTGGAGGCATTTGAGTACTTTGCAATGGTTGTCGCGTGAGAGGAGGGGACGTTCTGCGTAAGGACGGTGGACGTCTTGATGGGCTTGCCGGTAACCACGATCGGAATGTCCAGTGGTGCTTTCTGCTTCAACGTTTCCAGAGCAGCTGCCAGTTCTTCTCTGTCAGGTGAGCCTTTCGCATAGTGTTTGTTTGGCTCGTTGGAGATGTTTGGTAGTTTGAAGGCTGCCAGCGTGGACATTGCAGTTGGTGAGGCATGGAACCTGCGTACATGCTGGGCAGAGGAAGAGACAGAACGTTGCGAAAAGGACAACAGAGTCCTGCAAGAGCCTGCCATCTTGACCCAGTGTTTGAAGGAACGACGACAACCTGCGATTTGGAGATGCAACTTTCCTTCATAAAAAGCACCCCGCGTCCATCTCTTTAAAAGCGAGCACGCGCAAGCCCGGGTATTGTCGGTTTATGGCGGACCCTTACCTAAAGTCTGTTTGTATGGAGAAGCCCGCTCAGCACGCTCGAGCTTTTGATAGGCGTCGCTTAGCGCTTGTCAGTGGGCGTCGTGGATGGGCGCCCTGAGCTTGTACTCGGATATGGACGGCAGCAATGGGTCCATTATCCATCAAACAAAGGAGCGACGCCAGCCTTGTCGAAGATCAAAATTTCATAAACTTTCATGAGCTGGACTGCAGAGGAAACCCAGTTAGGGGTCAATGAGAGGTGACTCGAGAAACTCCCCCCAGCAATCCCTGCTTACAACCTTTCCCAAGCGCCCATTATCGCACGGCAAATGGACATCCACCTGTCCTTTCCTTCTTCAGTTTCTCCTTCGTGATCTCCATCTCCTTCGCACCCTTACCAGAAAATACAGATGGTCCAACGTTTTCAATCTCAAACCCCTCAGGATACGTGTCCTCATCACCAGGTCGAGGAATCCCCAGCAGGGCCCCAATCGCGGCTCCAGGACCATATCTGTTCCACAGCGTTGGTTTCACATACACCGGCGCGGTATCCCACTTGAGAATGTATCGTCTCCCATTCTTGTCCGGCTCTTTGGTCTGGTAAGGGTTCGTCTGGAACCAGAGCCTAGGAAGAGCCAAGTAACGCAAGTAAAATCTCCTCACCTCCATGAACCCGTCGAAAAAGGCTGAGTACGAAGCTGGCGCACGGTCAAACATGATTGCCTCTCTCAATCTGTCATCCAGAGGCGCACTCATGACCTTCGTGAGGACACCCTTCATGAAGTCTGGATATCCAGCCAGAAGAAGCTTGCGCGTCTCAACCGCAGTATCGAAATTCTTCCTGTCAGGAACCATATATTTTCTTTCGTACTCCTTAGCCCAAGCGTCCAGCTCATGGTAGAATTGCAAGCCGTCTTTCCAACCTGTAGAACACGACGGCAGAACCTCAAAGGAGATCTGCATGCCATTTCCCATAGCCTTGTGGACGACACCCATTGCGCACATCTCGAGTTCTGTCACCTGTCTCCATTCATATCGGTTGATCCACTCGACCGGCTGGTTCATGAACAGTGACAGCGTATACAACATGTCATCGTTGCTGATTTTGCCCTGCTTAATGTAGTGGCCGTGTAGGTAGTTCAAGCGGGCATATGCTGCACGGCATCTGTCACTGTCGGGCTCGGCCGAGTACATGTCGGCCAGAAGCACGCCTGTGTCTGCATAGCGTTTGGGCACATTTTTGGTTGCCGCCAATTGGGTGGTCTTGACGAGCAATTCGCTGATAGTTGGGATACCGTACGTCCGAAAGAGAGCAAATTGCAGTCCCTTCTCGAAGAGCGCGGGGAATTCGAGGTCGCTGATGGGCTTGGTAATGTCGTGCGCCTCCTGAACGGTCATGCCTTCAAATGACGGCCGTTCAGGTGTGCCATATTTGAATCTTGCTTGTAGGGATTTGATACGGCGAAAGCGGAGAAAAGAGCATAGAAAAGGGTATGCAATGATGGCAGGAAGAAGATATCGCGACCATAGCCATGAGAAGTTTGAAAAGTGTTGAGCTGAAGTTGGCGAGAACTTTGCAAAAGCGTCCGTTGATAAATTGGACGACATGGTGGTGTCCGGATGCGCAGGGCTGCCCCTTATGGCACTGCTGTCTGGTCCTTGGTGTCAGAATTGTATATATATGCGCCTTCGCCTGTAGATGAAAAAGGGAGCAGCTTCTGGGATTCAGGATAGTACCGATGAAGGCAGAGAAGCCGGTGCGCAAAGGCTAGATAAAGTAGAAACACGATGGCTTATGTGGACGTACTCGATATATGCGGGGGCCTGAACTTACTATTGCTGGGGAGCTGAAGTAGGAGACCCCTACAGGTTAGTACACCTCCTGTAAGCAGAAGGTCACGTCCTCGCACGCTGGCACCAGCCGTTGGGTATCCACACGTCCGGAAGACATCGATGCGAGCGAACGGCACGCGAGGAATTTGTGACTGAGTCAGGCTAGTGACACCTGTACTCGTAGGGCGCCTGAAGTGGAAGCTTGACACGGGGTACGGGTGCCTTTCACGTGCCTGGCATGGCACGGCGCCGAGTGCCCTGCTTTATTAGTGTAGCTGGTGCCAGGTCTAGGCCTTGCATAATATCTGGATTGAGAATGGCTGTCTCGTGAAGAAACGTCTCCGTCGATTTCTCAATACTCAGGATGCACAGTTATTGTCATATGCTCGTCACGCACTCTCGCAGTTCGAACGTGCTAACGTTACTGGAATTGAAACATTCCCCAGATGTTGTCTACCTCGACGAGTTGATACTGACTCGGCTGCGTCGACGGACCCGGCCAGAGTCTAGGGTCAGCCGGAGCAGAATCCTCCCACCGAGTCAGTGTGTCGAAGTCGATCCTGATCCTGGATGTAATCGACAACAGATTGTCTCGCCTGGGAAACAACTCATGTCTGCTCCGGTCATTGACAAACCAGATCTGTGCCAATCACAAACGTGCAGCAAGGGCACCGGAAGTATATGGTTACTCTGAAGGTCGTGATATTGTGTCAGATGATGGACTGAAGCTTGAATCGCCCGGGTCTGTTGCCTTCAGTAACATTTCCCTACCTCTCCTTCGATTGTGCATGCTCACAGCTTGCAACCAGAGACCATGTCGCCTGGTTCATAAATATATGCTAATCCCAATGACGATAACCCGGTACGCCGATTCCACATATGTAACTACCTAGGTAGGTACGCCCAGCTGGACCTACTCCATTGACTGAGTCCCCTTCGCTATCGCTATTGCTCGGGCAGCAGCATCCTCAAAAGAATCTGTCGAGCACGAAAAGTTAGCAAGGGTCGAACAACTCAGTCAGCATGACAAGGTCTTTGCAAACTTACCAAACGCATCAAGTTGAAGTCCACTCTCCTGTATCAGCTTCTGCCCTTCGGCCTCTCGCGTCCCCCGTATCCGAACGACGACCGGTACCTTGAGCTTCAAATCCTTGAACGCCATCAGGATGCCATTGGCAATCATATCACCCAGCGTCAGACCTCCAAAAATATTGACAAAGATGACTTTCACTCTAGGATCCGACACGATGATCCTGAAACCAGCCTTGATAGTTTCTGACGTCGCCTTGCCACCAGTGTCCATAAAGTTCGCCGGTGAACCACCTCTAGCCACCAGGGCGTCGACGGTATTCATGGCCAACCCGGCACCATTGACGATCGTGCCAATCGATCCTTCGCCCCCGAACTTGACATATATCATGCCTTCCTTCTCGGCTTCGATTTCTTCTGGAACTTCGCTCTCGATGTCTCGCAAGGCATGTACGTCAGCTTGTCTCTTCGAACTTCGAAAAGCTGCATCATCGAATCCGAATTTGGCGCCCTGGACTTGCAGAACACCGCTATCATCGACCACTATCTTCGTCTGAAGAACGAATGCCTCCTTTGACGTGAAAAGGTCCGCCAGTTCGCCAACCAATCGGGCCAAGTTTTCTCGGCCTTCACCTGAGATACCCAAATGTGCCGCGACGTCCTGGATTATTGTGTCGGACTTTGCTTCGTCTGTACCGTAGCCGAAAGGAAAGCTCTTCGACAGCTGGAAAGCCTCACCAGGAGCTGTCGTCGGTGATGCAATGATGCAAGGCTGCCGTGCGTCGCGATCGATCGATATTGCCACAAATTTCTCCTGCTGTCCCGTCGGAGAATCTGCAATATTGATCCCTCGGTCTCTAAGCATATCAAGCGCCTGTGACTTCTTGATGTACAGCGTCCGTCGCTGTTCACGTGTGTTTGTCTTACTTTCCGAAACCATCGGCCGCCGTCGCATGGTATGATAGCCTCTTTTCTGTGACGCCCCAGCACCAGAGGCCTTGTGTCCTCCAGATTTTGCCCGTCCCGCTAACAACTTTTTCATGCCTTCTCCAAGTTTTTCTGGATGATCGACGATTGTAACGCCAACATCTTGCAAGATCCTTATCTTCTGTGCAGCACTGGCCTCTCCGGGCGCCGCCCATGCGCCAGCGTGACCCATAATTCGGGCAGGAGGTGCTTGAATACCACCAATGACAGACATGAAAGGTTTGGGATTTGCTTCCCGTTTGTTGTACTCCTTGATCCATTCGGCAGCTCTAAGTTCGGCGCTGCCACCGACCTCACCAATCATGATGATGCCTTCGGTGTTCTCATCCTCCACCAGGACCTGGAATGCTTCGACGAAGTTCGTGCCAGCAAGAATGTCGCCGCCCATACTGATACCATACGTTTGTCCAAGCCCAGCACGAGTCGTAGAAGCCACGGCTTCATAACTCAATGTCCCTGACTTGGCCACAATGCCGACATTGCCTTCCTTGAAGAAGGGTAATGGTTGAAATCCAAGTCGGCAACGGCCATGTGTGCTGATAATGCCAGGACAGTTTGCGCCGACCAACCTTGTCTTGGACTGTGTTCTAAGCATTTGGTGTATCCGCATGATGTCATGAACTGGAATATGTTCTGCTACAGCCACGATAAGAGGTATCTCGTTCTCAATGGCCTCTTCCATTGCCGCTACGGTGCCATTTCCAGGCACGTAGATGGCACTGGCGTCAGGCTTGAGCTTTTCTACAGCAGCCCGGACACTGGGCAAGACAGGTAGACCGAGATGCTCGCCCTCAAAACCGGGCTTGACACCGCCGACAACGTTGGTGCCATAGTCTATCGATTCTTGGGCATTCATAGTAGCTTGCCGACCGGTAAATCCCTGGTAAAGCACACGCGTGTGCTTGCCGATTTTGAGGTTGTCAATGGTATCAGCATAGGACCGACGTGCCGTCGATGCTGAAAACGGCGCCACATTTCCATATGTGCCATGCTTCTTCCAGGCGCGAAATGGAGCAACCTGGAACTTGAAACTCCGTGGTAGAATAACTTTCGTCATTATCGCTGAATGCTCGCGCTCGATCAACCCCGATCTGCCGAATGCGGTGGAAATAAACCAGGCGAGCTCGAGCAGCGGACACCTGCAATATTTGTTGTGCTATAAGTGCTGGACACCAAGCTTCATTTGAAGGTTGTGAGGGGGATATATACAAAAGTCAGGCCGAGGCGGATTAAAGCTAGAGGCTCGGTGAGTTCATAGGGATGCTCAATCCCGAGGTCGGCGCTGACACTGCGATGCGGAGAGAACCTTTGTTAGGCTTGTCTCGAGAGCGGACGAGAGCCGAGTCGACCAATCTCCGAGACGCTACCACATTTTCGAGATGGGCTGTGGCATTCTGCGAGATCGGAGCTGTTTGCTTTCGGAAAATATACTTGCGCCGGAGGAAGTAGGAGGTCTGTGGTACCCGAGAGTCACCATGAGACCCCTGAGCCGCAAAATGGATGATGCTGTACTCGATATTCGAATCTGGACGTTTGCTGTTTCCCGTGTCCTTGATCCCACAGCTGAGGCTCCGGAGGGACATCGGGACATCTTTGCGCCTAGGCATTATTAGGAGGTGCACCACCTACCCAAAGAGATAAGTACTGTAACTTAGATGCGGGGAGCCCAATTGAGTCACCAGCAGATAATCTCTCTGCCACCAGATGTCTTTAGGTGGTGTTGCAGCTAGCCTGCGGTGCGTTCTACGGTGCCCGCTCGGCAATTGAAGCCTTTCCAAACTTCAGCCGCATTGGCATGCCCACCATGCCCCCAGGATTCGCGGCAGGCCCTTTTTTCTTTGGCTGGCTCCTCTTTCCCTGTCTCATCTTCCCCGCCGGGTTGCGTTTCCCTTCGTCCTGTTCCTTGACGTGTCGCGTGTAATGGCAGTGACGACGGTGGTGCCACTGGAACATTTTTAGATCGAATGTCACGATTTCATCTCTCTGCTTCAGTATAACATCGTTTTTTAAGACAACGCTGGTCTAAGCTTCCATTGTTCCTGTGACATCGCTTGCAATCCGCTCGTTCTCCCACTTATTCTGCTGCAGGCCTACCTGTTCCTTCAGTCTGTAACTTCAGCATTGATCCTTGTCACCTCGACGCTTCTCCGACCCATCAAAAACAGGTGCTTGACGATCCTGGCACGGCCGAAAGATGGAGTCGAAGCTGTCGAGTTTGCACATAGATCTGCCGCCAGCGTCTGCCCTGAAGTTGAAAAGCTCCACTAAGCAAGAGGAAGTGGCCGACTCCTGGGAAGATGAAGAAGACTTAACGTCTCCAGTCGATTGGGATGAAACGCCAACCGAAGGGCCAGGGCCTTCCTTAAAGCCCGTAAAATCATCAGATCCAGCGCTGAAACCTCCACCTCCAACACCTATATCGCCGCAAGGGACCAGCGGGCAGTATATAGACTGGGCTCCAGCTCAAGTTCTGGGAGGAGGGCGCCCGAGACCACATAGCCCACCGACAGCCTCGACCCAGACAGAATCCGATCGAGAGCGAGAGCGGCGTAGGCCAGAGAAGACCACGGCGACTGCGAGCCGACTCATCGCTGCAGGATTGGGCATGAAAGTCCCGAAGAAGACTGACGAGCAGAGGCAGTACGACCGTGCTATCAGAGAACAAGAAGTTCGGCGAAAGAACAAGGAAAAGGAAGATAGGGAAAGACAAAAAGAGGCAGATGAGAAACTGAAGGCGAATATGTGGGATGGTTGATTATGGGTTTCTGTCTCTGTTGCCTGCTGTTCGTGGTACACTTGTGACCGGGTGCACCATATGACACGGCCTACCATGCAGGATTAACAAAAGGCGGTGATGGGGTTCGTTTGCAGTTTCCGCATACTCGATCAGAGCAAAAAGTATCATAACCATTTTTATGGTCTTGTACGATGATCTCAATGCTCGGTATCTTGCTCAGGCCCGGACTGAAGTACATTCGCTTCTGCTAAATGGACTCCATGAGCCAGCAATTCCAGCAATCTACCCTCAAACCCTGGGGAATGCCCGTTCACCACCATAATCGATCCATTGCATCTGAGACCGTTGATCAAGTAGCGTTGCCATAACGCCGACCAAGATCCCTCCCAACTAGGTGCATCCAGGCGAGATGCGTCGTCGTGGTTCAACCAGGAAAAGAGAGCTTGAGACACCAACACCGCGTGATTCTTGTAACACCTCAGTGATCTCAGCGCTGATTGCGGCTTGAATCGAATCCAATCCTCTTTCTGTAACAGCACCTCTTCCCTCACGCAGAGCCACCAATCTGCTCTTGATGAACTTCAATCGAGTCTCCGTCTGCCATATCGAGCTGGGATAGTTGTCAGTTCCTAGTTTGACAAAAGCCAGATATCGCTCATATCGCGCAAGCGAGAGATTACTCACCGTGTCAGGCGTGTCGTGCCCTTGGACTCGGTTTCCATCAAACAAGAACCGCGCAGTCTTCATGTCTTTGCCCTGTCTCTCGCAGAAGGCCCTCATCAATTTTTCGAGTTTTGTGCTCCTCTTGATCTTGAAGAAGACTTCATTGTTGCCATCGGTGACCTTGATATTCAAGTGCTCAGCCCCACCCGCCGCGGGCATGTCTGCATTGCCATTAGGCGACTGTTGACCGGCGTCAGACATTGTGATTGTGGTGTAAGAACAGAAAGTCGAGGAGATCGAGTCTGCCGAAGTGGCGCGAGGCTGAATGCGGCTCAAGTCTGCCCGGAGTTAGTGGGACAGTCGAGTAAAGTGGGAGAGGGTCGCAGAAGCGTCCTCACCTGATCGTAGCGAAAATGCCTTTCAGCGATTGTTTGACGGGAAGTGTTGGAAAGGAAGCGAAGACTTGCGCTGAGGGAAGATTGGATGTATGAGTGGAGTGAAGGAGGAAGAGAAAGAGAGAAAGAGCCGTTGGCGGGATTAATAAAGTCGAATGCGCGAAAAGGCGTCGGCGACACTGGTTTGGTTTGGTGTGGTTTCCCTTGTAGAAGAATGCGCGGGAAGTGACGTTTGCCACATGAAGAATCCCTGCCTCTTCTCCTCCCATCTCATTCTTACTTCTCTTTCACTTCATCAAACATTCACTTGCACTTCATTTTAGGCTCTCATCAAAGCATCATTTCATTGACTCGTCAATCATAAAATCTACATGCATGCCGGCGTCCACCTTTTGAGGAAAACAACGCCATTGAACAGTGTCCATCAAGCAACGGCAACATGCATCCGGTCCAAACAGCAGTCAAGCACTGTTGACAAAGGACAAGCAAACCTCGACCTAAGGTATCATCCAACCCCGAAAGATCAAGGGCTTATTCATCGTCATGTGATTCGTTTCTTTCATCCTGCTTTTCATGTTCATTGCCATTTCTCCACTCAGAGGCTATGTCTCATGCCTCCGTCACTTTCTCTTCCGCCAACGAGCACATCCACGGTTCGAAACTCGACAGCTCCTTTCCCTCGCCTGCTGGTCAAATTGCCGCTTCCACGCTTTCCAATCTTGCAATATATGCATAAGGTCGGCTTTGGTCGTCTCCTTCTGAATACCTCCCCAGGTGCCCAGCCCTCCTGCTGAAGGAGCATCTTTCTCCTTCAGTTGCGAACTGACTTCGATTTCGATCTGCTTTTGAACCTCGGACTGTGTCGTTGGTCGTGTGAGCTTGATATACTGAGGCTGAGGATCAAAGTATGAATCTGCTGGTGTTGTTGCAGCACTCAATTGAAAGTGCTCCCGTGGGCCTCGAGGCATGGCCGACGCCGTATTCGTGTAGATGAATGAGATGAGCAGCACGAGGACGGTACACTGCATGGCGGCGGCCTGTAATGAGGTCGCCCTCATCCCGACCACAAGCCTCCCAAGTGGTCGCTTCAGATTGTTTGTTTTGTGGACCGTTCTTTTGATATGCCCGTCCTCAACCTGCACCACGACCACAAAGCAACCCACGATCGGCCCTCTCAAGCAGGTGTTCCCGTCGCTTTGTCTCAAGCTCCGGTATGGTCCTTTTGTGATTATGGCTCTTCGACCGTACGCTCAACTTCCCCCAGCCAAGAGGACTTGACAAATTGCTAAAATGAGTGACTGATGATCTGGATGAGTGACTCGGGAGAAAGAAGCGGAAATTGTGTATATCAGAAGTAGGAGACCCCAGATGAAGCCTTCCAGCCTCCCACGAAATGGCTGGTACAAATGTAATCGGTATGGAGTCAGTTCCTTTCTGACAGCGCCTTGACAGAAAGAGGGTATTCGTGGTGGTCCGTGGTGTCAGAGGTGTATATAAAAGTCCACGTACACCCACAAAATCCGAAATCCAAAATCCACTTCAACGCCCCCTGCGTCGTCAGCAAACTCCCTGCAGCACCACCCATTACGTTTTGTTCACCAGTGCAGGTTCACAGCCCTCCCTTACGGTCGTCACAGACAGACAGTATCGGTATGCCCCTATAAGCGTCCAGAACTCCGATGCGTGGCTTACGAGGACAGTGTCCATCTTTGTTCGAAGTAAGCGGCTGACATAAGGAGGGCCATAGAGCTCGCCTGAATGAGGTGCTTAAGGCTCAGCTGCGTTGAGCTTTTGATCAGTGATCGCCTGAAAATTACTATTATTACACAGTCCACACACCCCTTGTCTTTGCCCGAGCAAATCTGTCGAGGTATCAAAGTCTATCCCTTTTAACTGACCGAGGGACTGCGAATGTCGGCGCGAGACATATCCCTTCTCAAGGGATTTTGTCGCAACGCACAAAGCTGAAGAAAGGTCTACACCCACGTCGACGGTTGTTGCACCGCCGCCGCCGTTCTAGACGGTGGTCCGGTCGGTATTCTTGCTCCGCCGACACCAGCCCCAGTTGTGCCTGTGCCTGTGCCTTGCTGCTGCTGACTCCCGGAACCGCCTCCCGCCCCGAGACCCCTTTTCATCATCCGTCCAAGAATGCCGACCATTTCAGCCGCATCCTCAAACGAGTCATCGTCCATTCCTTCCTGGGCCTCGTATACGTGGCGGATACTCAATCGGGCCAACCCCCGCGATTGCTCCGGCTCGTGCAGACAGTCATACACGTATGCGACGTATTCGACTTTCACGGACAATCGGACAGGGTGCGAGCCCGGCAGAAGTCGTTCAGCGAGCTCATTGGCTTCCCGAAAGGCTCGCAACGCGTAAGGTCTGTAGTCATGTAGAGGCAGGAGGAAAGTTGCGGTACCGTTGCCATTGCTATCAGGGGAACCACTGGTGTAAGGATGCAAAGGTAGGGGCAGACCAGGCGGCGTGCGAGTGGTCATTCCTCCACCAACGGGACCACCCAGGCTTATGGCTGGTGACCGTCGCCGTCCGCCATTTGTGGATGAGGTGAGTGTTGGTTCTCGTGAAGGTGTCTTCGAAGAGAGTTTCGGTGACAATGGATCTGGAAAGAGTGAAAAGGAGCCGGACTTTGACCGATTGATGCGATCGTTGACGGGTGGGTCGTTGTGGAAAAGAACAAAGATATGGTAAAATGACGCCTTGAGCTTATATGACAGCACGCGGAGCTCGACATAGTTGCCGACCATAGGTAGCACATACTGCTCTACCATGACAAGCCCTTCCCTCGCCAGCCATAATATATGATGGATGAGGTGTCGGGCTTTCGGGTCACGGACGGGGTCGAGTTGTTTCGCCCTCCGAGCATGAAGGAGCTTCTCTGCTAGAATCACGGAGAGCCCTAGAACACGAAACAAAAAGCTAGATTTTTCAAGAGTCAGGCAAGACACAAACACCTTCTGGACTGATCAGCTCACCTGGAAAGATAATTATTCTCTGTGGTGGTGACTTTTGCAAAATAACCGAGAAACTTTTGATCCACTTCCGAGGAGGCCATCCAAGATGAATACAGTAAGGGATCCTCCCACGGCTGCCACTGTCGAGACAAATACGTCAGTTCAATGAATGCTTGTTTCCATCGTTTTCGCATAGGAGGTGATGCGCCCGGAGACTGGGAGTGCGAAGTATCCATGATCCACTGCGCAAGGAGCTCTGCTTGTTCACGCAACGACGTCAAGCGCCGCCTCAATGAAGAAAAGCACACTATATGGTACGGCGCAACACCACTTCCACTTGTTGAGGACAGGCAACAATGGAACAATGGTGGGGAGTTTTGCTCTCAACCTAGCAGCATAGCCATTGCTGAGTGCCGACCAACTGAAAGAGAAGGCACCCGATGTGAGAATTCACTGTGACGTTGCTGTACTTGACGCAGTTCGTGAAACGTGAAGAAGGGCAATGTAATTTACCTTTAGCCGCCAGCCCCAGGTTAGGCGCCTGCAGCTGGTCGCCCTGCAGAACTATTGTCTCTGCCAAATGTGTTCTGTGCAATCCCTTGAAGCCTTGCCGACTCGCTAGGCTGGAATTTTTTTTTTTGGAGAATTATCGTAGTTGCGAAACCGAATTCAGATAGCCCGCCCTCTCAATGGAATGTAGCTTATGACCTCTTGTCGACTTTCGAGTGCGCCTGTGTCGGATGTCGGAACCGTTGAACTGTATAGCGAGTGACTCTATTGTGGATGTAACGAATGTGCGTGACAGATTGTCAATTGTTGGTACAAGGGGAAATCTCAGGTTTTGAGACTCGGAGTTTTTGGCGGCGCAATTAATATTAGAGCTGATTGCTGTTGTTACAGAGTGGACAGAAGGAGGAAAAGAACGAATTGTCGGGCAAGGATCGACCGGACAGCTCTTGAGAAGAAGATATGACCGCTCTGGCGTTGGGTATCTGGTACAGTTGTCAGTTCGTTGTCAAAGATATCTCTCGGTGACGTTCCACCCCGTCGGAGACGGCAGCCATCATACCTGAAGATTGGAAAGCTGATCCCAAGGACTGGGGGTTAAAACGCCTGTTCGTCCAGCACCGTATTATCGTAGCCAATGAGTGAGGGACAGGTAAGGGGAGGTCAGAATGGCGGTCGCAGAACGTCTGGAAACGAGGCTGAAGAAATTGCTTGGTCTCGTCTGACGCATCGTGTTGTCGTCAAATGAGAGAATGAGATGGTCGGGTCAGAGGCTCGAATGAAGTCTGAGTGCTGCGCAACATTTATCGAGGTCCTGGTAGTCTGCCGCAAGCTGTATCGGACTTTGAGCGTTTTGCACTTTCGGTGATTGAGGTTCGGAACCGGCAAGGAAGACGATTGTAGGAGCCAGTGGGGAAGCTGCAGGATCGCTGAGGTTCAGATTGCCGGAGAGGCATCAGCTGTACTCAGAATTAAAAGGTGCGGTGGAGATTGGAATCGAAGGTGCGGAAAGAATGCAACGAATGTAGCAGTTCCTGATGCTGCGGTCGGACACCTGATCACGAAGTTAAGGACAGTAGGGAGCTGCGTGGAGGAACAGCAAGCATGACGATGATGCTATAGGCAATACGTGGATTGAAACACGTAGTAGAGAATGTGAAAGACCACCAGTCAAGGGTTCAACGAAAGTCGGTAAGCTTGAGGTCTGAACATGAGAGGCTGAGAGCCGCGATCTGGAAAAAGACCTCTGCAACGTGCCAACGCATCAAGCGCGTGTGTCCCCCTGGTCGGCATTCCTTACCAGGACAGTGATAGCGTGGAGAAGGTTCAGGGACCAGGGCGATGCGTTGGAGCCTCGGATGAACAGCTTAACACGGAAGCTAACGGCCAGGCTTCAGCCCAAATTGCAGGGGCTGTAGCATTGGAGTTTGAGGTCGGTCAGGTCAAGATGGAAATGTACCATAGTACAGAAAGAAGGAATAACGAGCGTAAAGCACACAGCAGACGTCAACTTATAACATAGCATTTAGTCATGCAAGCATTACTGACGTTACTGACTGACACCTGGCATGGCAGGAAGATGGAAACCGGAAAAGATGTGATTGAAAGATGACATTCTGAATTTCTGGGATCAGATTCCATTACGCTAGCAAGTCAGTGGCTTCAAACTGGGGCTCCTTAGCGACGTGGCACGGCAAGAGGCACCAGGCACTAAGGTAAACACCCACCACCCAATGCATGACCGGATGAGCATCATTTTCACGGGCACCACGTTGATAAGCGAATCGCAGCGCGCCGGTGCACTACCTCAGAGTACCAGTTTCTTTAGCGAACAACATTGACACTGATGAACTCATTTTGCAGTCCTGTGACGGATTTTGTTCGATACCTAGGTACACCACAGCATAGTCGCTGTCTGCATCGAAGAGATACAACCCGCACCTTTTTCGCTGCCTCTCTCCAACGACCTTGTTCGCTGTCTTCAGCAGCCAGTCGTCGTATTGATATGATATGTTCCTGCCAGAAAAATGCTTCTTAGTCTGCCCGCTGCACTTATTCGGCCGACGAGTGCTCTTGCAACTCATCCTTATGCCCACTGACGACGCCGCCTCCCAGACCGTCCGGAGCAACATAGCAGGTCTAGCTTTGAGAAAGCCACCCGGACCTGCAATGGGCTGCAAACCGCGGCCCACCTCTGTCCGTCCTTGAGGATATGAATTCAGCAGCATCACGTTGGCGTCGACAAATACCTGTGTAGCATCTTATGCTCCATCTGGCATCCGAACTGTAATGTGATCACCGTTGCCACTGTGTCGATTAGTATATATGTCCTGAGCCTCTCGCTTCGACATACCTTAGTGTGGTCACGAGAGGGTGAACCATGAGCGTTGAGCTCATCGTGAGAGATTTGTTCGAGAGCCACAAAGCCATGATATGCATATGCTTTCTCGGCGCGTTCAAGCATCCATATCCCAGATACTCAGTCCATAGACGGTGACCACTTCATTTTCCATCGTCCTGCGCCGATTCCATCTGACCGTAAGCGGGCCCTTGAGGAGGTCCGTTCATGGCAGGTCCATTATTGACTTGCATTTGTGAATGCATCTTCTGCGGTATCTGACCATATCCACCGCTCATGGTTCGATGTTGCATTCCATACCCTTGTTGCGCATTTGATCCATATTGGTGGCCGCCATAATTGCCTCGAGGCATCCCCATCTGTTGCTGCGGATAACCCATTGGCACCCCTTGGTTCGAGACACTAAACATCATGTTTGGGGCGCCTGTATGGCTCTGTTGAGATCCCTGCTGCATCATCATTGGAGCAATCTGACCAGGACTGGAGAACGCCCCGTTTTGTTGAGGATAGGCATGCCTCGAATTTGGCGAGTACATTTGCATCTGAGGATTGAACTGTTGAGGCACAGCCATGTAAGGGCCGTTTGATGGCTGCTGAACCATCATAGGTGCGCCCATTTGCCCTATCTGTGCGTGCATCATGCCAGGCGTGCCAGGAAAGGGTCGCATCTGCATCTGCATTTGTCCACCTGGCGTTCCGAAATATGGTTGCTGTGGATACGCGAGCTGAGCCGGATGGGGCATTGGTGAAGCATAGGTAGATGTCTGACGAGATGTGACACTGGGCGAAGGGTAGACGCCAGGCGTGCCAGCACCAAACTGTAAGCGGTGGTTTCCATCATCGTATTGGTGAGGATACTGGTGTACTCCTGCATGCTGACCATGCTGCGGTGTCGCAATATGAGGAATGCTGGCTGGTCCACTCGGGATTGTCTGTCCTTGCCCAGCAAATGCTATATGTTGATTTGAACCCAGTCGAGCGGGCGCTCGCGGAACGGCAGTGGCAGTAAGCTGCTCGAAAGCTTCTTCATATGTCTTCTGATCGTTCTCCGCCTTGACTGTCCAGCGAGGACCCGTTTGGAATGCGTTCGGAATGCCACCATTACTGCTGTAGTCTTTGTGCGGTTCTTCATGCTTGCCCTCTGGGTCCGTCTTCTTGTGCGAACGTTCCTCCTTCATTCGGGTAATTGGATTGAAGTCCTTCGTGATAGATGGTCTTTCCGAAGCAGGCTTTGGCTTCCGGTTGCCGAAGAATAATGACGGACTCGCCGTTCTGGAGATGGATCCGCCTCGCTGAGTCGAGGCAGGACTTGACGGAGTCTGGGAGGAGCCACCGGGATTGAAAGTAGCAGCAGTAGGGCGGAACTCGGACGCTTTCACATTCAGGTTGAATCTGCCAGAAATAGCTGATGTTGGCGTGTGCATGTTGGATCGCTGAGGGCTGATCATGCCATTCTGATCCGCCATAGGGCCGGTAGGAGGGACACGGCCCTCGATGATAGGAATAGGAGCCGGGATAGGAGGGCCTGCATGGCTTCCCTTGCGATCTTGGTGTGAAGGGAATCTTGGTTGATAAGGAGCATTGTTGTTGCGCCCAGTCAACAAAGGAGTTTGTTGCTGACTGGTAGCCCGATCAGATCGACCAGGTTGAGGGAACCCGCCACGTCCGCGATTGAAAGTCTGTCTATCCGGCACAGATGGTATAGGCTGGGGATCCTCAACTTTGCGAACTGTGTTTTCAGCCGCTGGAGCCGGTGAAGGACTGGCAGCAGTTGACGCTGATTCCTCGTGTTCTTTTTGGGCCTTTTCGACAATGGCCTCCTGCTTAGCTGGGTCTTTGGCAAGGATACCAATTAGATCATTGGGTATCGGTGTCTTGAGTTTGAAAGTTTTGGAAAAGCGAAGCAACTCGTTCAGTTTTGCAGTCCGATCTTGGTTCTGCTGTGCCTTCCTTCTCTCCATCACTCTCTGCTTTTCGGTGTCGGCAAATACACGAAATTGATTGAGTACTTTGACTTCAACGTTTTCAGTGGGGCCAGGCGAGACTGCCTTCTTTGGTCCGGCAGGTTCACCCCCGACGTTTTGAACGTTGGCGGCGGATGTTGCACCGTGCAATGGCGCATCAGCCGTGACTGTCTCAGAAGTTTGAGCAGATGCCTGACCAGCATCACCCGCGGACTCCTCACTTGAAGAGCCTGCAGCTTTGTCTTCTTTCTGCTTCTCGCTGGCAGGTTCCTGACCCTCGAGTGGGTGTAGCTGTGCTGAGATGATCGCAGGATCGACAGGTACACCTGGTACTGTTGCTTGACCAGTGGGTGCGCGCCTCGCTGGCGGTGTGTATTTATTCGGACCACCCGCTGGCAGAGAAGGGAAACCGCGTTCTTCACGGCGCACTCCACTGTACTTTTCTTCTTCATCGTCACCATCATTCTCTAGAGCCTGACCACGTTCCTCGCGAATGTGCATATTGTTAGCCGCTGAGCCTTCAATTTCTCTGGCAAGTCTTTCTGCTTCAGCTTCTCGACGTCTGTATGAAGGTGCGCTTCGGTCAATAGAAGTTGTGTACAAATTCTCATCGTACGTGCTCTGTGTACCGAAGAGTTGGGAATTGGTTGCGAACTGATCCCAGCTGGTTGCATTGCCGGACTCCAGTGAGAAGTCGGTTGAGGGAGCTTCCTCAGGAACCCATCGTTGAAGCGTTCGCTCTCCGCGAAGCTGATTGCCAGAAATGTCGGCATCAGTTTGAAAGCCTGTGGACGAGCCTGCACGTGAATTGTTAGTCTCGTTGTACAGTGTAAAGGAAACAAGCGTACCGTTTGCGAGTTTAGGATTCTCAGGTAGCGAGAATTCCGCAATATACATGTCGGCCATGTCTTTCACATCGAAATTCATTGCATGTTCGGGACTCGAGCCAATTAAGGCCGCTTCCCGAGATGCAGCACCATTTGTCTGTCCTCCAACTGCGGCCGGCAACTTTCTGACCATCTTTAAGGTAACTTTAGAGTTGGACGGATTGAAAGTCGATCCAGACAGCAGGCCTTCATAACTGTCGCCTGACTTCACGGTTATAACGATGGTCAAGCCCTGTTGACATTGTCAGAGACGGTTCAGTAGTGGGACAGCATTATCGGGACCGTACAATAGCCGCTCCAAAAAGAAACATCAACCTCTCATGGGCCTGTTTGTCTGATACACCACTCTCTTTCTTGGTACCTGATCTCGCATTACCTTGGTTTCTTGGTTGCAGAGAACTTCCATTTTGCTGACTAGCCATTGGGGCACGCTGCGAAGCGGAGCTCGAGGCTGAACCCCAGGCTTTGTGGGAACTTGGTCGTCTGAGAAACAGGAGAATTAGTATATGATTCTGTCAGAGTGGTGTATGAGGAACGAAATGTGTCATGACCTATCCAGGAGAGAATGTGGCCCTTTGTGAGTGTCGCAAGAAATTCCGACATATTTAGGGGTGCAAGTATGGAAGAACGGTACGTACCGTGAAAGACCCTCGACAGGACTCTGCTTGCGCCCTGCATCCGCACCTTTCGCGTTGCTACTTGATCTCATCGTGGTTCTCACCAGACCATTATTGTTTTGTGTGGTACTGGAATTTAGGAAAGAGCCGGAGGAGGATGTAGCGCTGGCGGCAGAGGCCATCAGCTCAACGCTGGCAAGGTCGCACAGGAGGCTTCGTGGGGAGCTAAAATCGACGGACCAGCCAGTCAAACTGCGCTCTCAGAGGAGTTGAACCCTTTCGAAGAGAAGGAGAGGTGGAAATGGTGTATGTTCGAATGTCTCGGTCGAGGGTACAGGGCACGAGCCTTCTTTGGAAAGTTTCAAGAGCCCAGGCGAAGCTGGTGGAGAGCAAGCGCAGTTTGAGGGAACAGGGCACTCGCCAGAAACACAAGCAAATTAAGAAGGGAGTAGAGAGTGACTGGCCAGGCAAGGTTACAAGCCTAACACTTTGAGAAAATGTCAAGAAGAACGCAGCAGCAACGAACAGACTGCGAGGAGGGATTATGTTGAGAGGATTGCAAATGGGATGGTGCAATGGCCGAGAAAAAGAGGAGGTTTGTGGTTGCGGTTGTGGTTGATGTTTGATGGAGAGGAAAGCTGGAGACTGTTCCCTCTAGCGGTGCAGATTGGGTTTGAGGGGCGCAAACCACAAGAGTGCGCCCCCCGTTCTGCCCTGGTTTTAGTCAATCAACATCCAACAACAGGCGGCCGACCCGCGGCGCCAGGCGGATTAGTGACTCCAGAAGGCAGCCAAACAGCGAAATAATGGGCACTCAGGCACTACTGTAAGGTAGTCAACCTCACTTTCACCTCGTCAGTGTGGGCCGAAAACTACTCTGTTTATTTTATTCTGCTGCTGGTTGTTGCAGCATCAAGTCATTCTGCAAACCACGATTAATCCATTCGGTCACATGCAAAGAATGGTTCACCACTCCTCACAACCCTCTTCAGCAAAGAGAGCATGCGTTCTTCGAGTCTTACCACAGTAATCACCCTCGACTGCAGACTGGTCGACTCCTGCAGCAACTTCCGGACTCAGCAAATAAATAATAAAATCCTCCCAATCTTTGACCCACTAACTTGCTTTGTCCGTATCACCTCCCCTGCATCTTTCTGCATTCTGGTACTGGTGTGCTGGCGTCTCCCCGACGGATACCGCGTTCCCCGTGGCACGCCAATGGACAACCGAAACCCCCCTCCTTTACCCAGAGCATTTATGAAAAATATCGTCAGCTTCAATCAAGCAAGACACAGAAAAAGAACTGGGATAATGCTCGCTTGCTGTATACAATAAGTCATCCCCCTGGACGACCAAAGTAGTCTGCCGTTCAAACCCATTCCATCATTCATTCATGAGTTGTTGCACACTGCTCAGCAGCGTCGTTACCCCTTGAGCATCTGCACTCGTTCGGTGCTCACCATTGCACATACACCATGGAAACATCAATCAAAGAGATTTCCATCACTAAAGCCTCAGGTTGTTGAGGATTGCTGAAGTCATCGACCGGTATTGATTCATGCCACCTTGCACCTTCTTGAACTGGATGCCATGCAGTGAAAGAAGAGGGATCTTCACAATAGCAATCTCGAATCTGAGCACCAGCCGCTCGCCAGAATCATCCTGTACACGTGTCCGGGTTGCCGCCATGTCGTAGGACTGCTCGCCGTTGTGCCTGCTTTGGGGCAAATATTCTTCCGAGCCCTCAGAATTGGTCACGAAACTCTGATCCGGCTGCCTCCTCCGTGTCTGATATCGGTTCGAACGATCCTCCTTGACATCTTCTTTCTCTTTCCCGCGAAAGGCGCCTCCAAAGGAGATGCGACGTTGATGGCCAGAAGTTATGCGACCACTCTTCTCGTCATCAAGACCTGGACCAGATTCTCTGACCCCCTCCAGATTGATGCTGGGTGCATGTCTGCATGAGAACCCACCCTTGATAACGGTGTACTGGACACCGAGTTGGTTGAGGACCCGGATTATATCATGCCTGATGAACTCGGGAGGCTTACTACTAGTCGTCGAAGTCGAAAATAAGCCTTTGAGGCTGGCAGGCTTGGAGATTTCTGTGCCGGGAGTATCAGGAAGAGCAGGAGTCTCCAGAGGATCCGTTCCATTATGGATGTCAGCGTAGGTCTCCTCTGGGACCAGGGCCTCCCGGTCACGCCTCTCTTCATAGCGCTTGCGCCTCGCTTGGATGCTTTCCTGTCGTGCATGGCCGAGCGACTTTGTACGGTTGGTAGTAGGAGTACGTGGTGTAACTAAGGGACTCGCGTTTGGAGCCGTTCGGTCTGTGAGCTCTACACCTTTGCCAGTCTTGCCCGCGCTTACACTGGACTTGTCTGAACCGCTGGTAGGAGGTGGATCGGGTGCCAGGAAGGGCGACTCATTCTTAGTCGACTGGCCTCGGTGCAGCAGCCGGCGTGGTCTGTAATCAGCTGAGTTGACGCTGGTTGACCTGCCCAAGAATTTTCCGGCCCTGGATCCGCCGTTGTTGGCGCTGAGGAGACCTTCCTGCTGTGGTTGACTACCTCCAGCGTGGTGGGTCGTCGGACTAGGGTCTCTTCTGCGTGATCGGCGAACAGAAAAGGACTTGCGTGGAGGAGCAGCCAGATCCTGAGGAGGCTGGATGTTGAGAGCAGGTGGCGGATCGGGACGGTCCAAATCACGCTCGCGATACCGTCTAGTACTGAATCTTCTGAGCAGTCCCATAGCAGTGCCCTCCCTCTTTGCAGGTTGATCAAGGTGTGGACTCGGCGCAGGTAATGCTGGACTGGGGAGAGGCTTCTTCTCGGAGGTAACAGGTGGCTTTGTGTCAGGCAGAACATCATCTTCGCCATGTGTTCGAGCTCGAGGCCTGGACCGGCCGCCAGTGGCCTTTTCACCAGGCATTTCGGGTGCAAAGGTATTGGTGTGCGCAGCTTCCGGTGTCGGTAAACCTGGCAATTTGAGTGGGGTTTCGTTTGGCGTCGTGGGCATTGCCAGGGCGCCAGGATTCTGATCTCTTCTTTCTCGATCACGCTTCTCTCGTGCCAAGTAGTAGATTGAGACCAGAGGACTGTAGGCATTGAGCGGATCCTGCCCGCGAATTGCCTCGGAAGACGGAGTCGACAAGCCCTCCCGACTGATCGAGTTTCTCCGCTTGTAGAAGTCAAAAACTCCACGTTTCCTATCTCCGCTGCCTGAAGCATGACTGTGATCGTCCTTGGAGGTCTTGCGGACAGCACTCTGATAGTCGTCTGACTCAATGATTCTAGTCAGTTGCTCGGTAATATATGCAGCAGAACCAAAATCGAATCCCTGCATCTTTTCAATGACCTCAGAATCCAAAGGCAATGCCAGGGGCTCTCGTTGAGGCGAATAGTTGTCTGGGGGTCCGTTAAACCCTTTAGTCATCCAAGGATGATTCATGATCTCTTGTAGGCTGGCACGTTCCTTAGGGTCGACGACAAGCATCCGTGATATTATACTTTTGCATTCTGCACCTTGTTAGCAACGCAACGCAACGCAACGCATGGAAGGGACTATGAATTCGTACCAGCCGTCAACCACTGTGGATAGTCGACCACACCTCGTTTGATCTTCGCATGTAGCTGAGGCATGCTTTGGTCATCAAAGGGAACTTTGCCGCAAACAAGCACATAGAGCACGATTCCAAAGCTCCATATATCAACCTCTGGTCCGGTGTATTGACGGGCTTGCAGCAGCTCAGGAGCTGCAAAATACAGACTTCCGCAAAAGGTCTTGAGTAGGGAGCGCGGCGAATAGAGGTTGCTCAGACCAAAATCAATGATCTTGATGTCACCACTCTTACTGATGAGGATGTTCTCGATCTTCAAGTCCCGGTGGACGATGCTGTTTCTGTGGCAGTAATCCAGGGCACTGGCGATCTGGCGAGCAAACTTCCGTGCCTGCTTCTCCTTGAGTCTCCCATGAGCAATAATGTAATCCAGCATCTGTCCACCATTGACATATTCGAAAAGCATGTACCAATGGTAGTTGGTCCTCTGGACGTCAATCATGCCACAGATGTAGGGATGACAAAGCAGGGAGACCATGGCTGCCTCCCGTGCATTTCGAACCTCTTTAGAACGGTCGGCACGTTCGTCTTTCGCATTGCCGTGATCATCAAGCGTTTGCCTAGGCACAATCTTGATGGCTGCTTGTTCTCCAGTTTCGGCGTTCCTAGCAAGCTTGACCTTGCCCATACTGCCCTGCCCAATGGTCTTACCAAGGGACCAAGTACCGGTTTGTGCAGTGATCGAGGTACGCCGCCGACCCACGGTGGGGTATGTCTGTGATGAGTGTCTGTCATTCTGTGGTGTACCCGTCGTGGCGTGAGCTGAAGTCCCTTCGGCTACCAAAGTGGTTGGTGCGGTAAGGTCTTGACTCCCACGCCTCGATCTGGGATGAGAAGACGACCTCGGTTGGTGGGACGATTGTGCATTGTGCTCATCTCTCCCATCTCGAGAGCTCCGTCGTACGGACGGTGGCTTGGCCATGTTGCTCTGTTCAAAGTCTCTACGAGCGACGCTCGCAAGGGCGGCAGGATTAGACTGAGGAGGATCGGAGGAGCGAGAGCCAGACCGGCTGTGGTTCTGATGGGTCGAAGGCCGTTGGTTTACGGAACGCGTTCTGGAGGGTTGTGCAGGTGAGGCGGATGTGTATGAAGAGGGAGGATTTCGGGAGGAAGAATGGCTGCGCACCATGGTCGGTGACTGTTGTTGTGAGGCTGCCGTCGCCATTGCGAATCGTTATGATCGCAACGTTTGTCTTTTTTGATAGGGCCAATGCGGGATAGTGTGTATGTTTGCGGCCACGGAATGCGATGCCTTGCAACAACGCACGGACAACGGTGCCCCTGTACGTTTTGCTGCCGCAAGGCTTCGTGCCCACTCGAACAGAGTCGTTGCCCCTGATTAATGTGCACAAAAAACCCAGTGTTATGTTGACGGCTTGCGAGCAAGCTCAACAGGATGGCCTTGAGTAGACGAGGTTCGGTTTATGATCATCGGGTTGGTATGAGAGGGGGGTGGTGAGATGACAGCTCGTATGGGGCTGGTAGTACGTAGTATATCAGCGAGCGGTCTTGGGGCCAGCGAGATTAACGATGTCCTCACGAGGATAATATGATAGAAATGCTCCGTTTCAAATGTGAGTGGAAAATCGGTGCCAATGTAGTGTAGTGCACGACTGATTGCTAATGAGGTAGCGCAATCACACGCGCAGCCAGCGGTACGACTGGCACATGAACAGTGATGACTTCGCTGGGCAAGGCAGCCTGGTGCTCCCCAAGCTCACGACCACTATCCGGCAGCGGGATTTACCTGCGCGTGGTGCATGGACTAGCGTTCCCGCATCAAGGGTCGCCAGCAGTCTGCCCGGCTTTTGGCGCCTAACAGTCGAGCCTGTGGCATTGTGGCTTAGGCGGTAAAGGCTTTCCGTCTGACGAATTCACCTTGCCCATGTGCGCCTGGATGTATGCGGCCTACCTTCGTCATGCGTCCTCTTTTCCTGTACTCCGTACCTGAATCTAAAACGTCGCATGCTGCCACCGCTGCTGATCTTCGCCTGTGCGCAGGATATTATCCTACGGGAAGCTGTTCCTGAAATCTTGCATCAACCACATAATGCTCAACGGCTCCGGCCCCCAACATCGGCCACACTGCGAGATGATACAGTGAATGTCAAACCTCATTCTTATCGTCCTTGGAGTAGCCTGCGTCGACGATCTGTAGCAATCTCTTTATGTCTTTGCGAGATGGCGTACAAACGTTCTCGGCAGGCGTTCGAAGCTGATCTACAGAAGCACTCGTCCCCCTACGTGGTCTACGGAACACCCTTACCACCTCTAGACGAACAAACTCGGGACGATGGTTCGTTTGTACCAGTGTGGAAGCAGGAAGTCACAGACGAAAGAGGGAGGAAGCGCTTGCACGGTGCCTTCACTGGTGGCTTCAGCGCTGGGTGAGATTTTGGAGATCGTGATTCAGGAACATAATGACTAAAATGGTGGGAACAGATATTTTAATACTGTAGGCTCTAAAGAAGGATGGGCGCCTTCTTCGTTTGTCTCTTCGAGACAGAATCGTGCAAAAGATGGCTCCAAGCCTACGCAGCAGAGGGCCGAGGATTTCATGGATGAAGAAGACCTGCGCGAAGCCGAAGAAGCTCGCACTCTCGGTACCTCCGATGAGTTTGCAGGATTTGGTACGGAGCAAGATGCGATGCGCAGAAGTGCTGCTATCGACATCTTCCGACCCATGGAGGAGACAATTGGTTCAAAGCTGCTTAAGAGGATGGGTTGGCGTGAAGGTCAAGGAGTTGGCCCGCGGATAAAAAGAGCAGCAAACCTGGGTGACGAGGAGGCCGACGCTTCGGAGACGCACCTATTCGCTCCTGATGATGTGCGGATGGTGTCGCTTGCGCGCAAGACAGACCGCAAAGGACTTGGCTATGAGGGCGAGCTACAGGCTGCGGGAAATACGAGCAACAACAGTCAAGGGCATCGTCAGAAGATCGTACGTCCAACTAACTCCTCTGACGATGATACCACTGGCCCCCAAGCCTCCAAGAAATCCGTACCCCTGGTTCGGAGGACTGGTATAGGATCAGGCGTGCTTAACGACGATTCCGACGATGAAGACCCGTATTCTATGGGGCCTAGGATGTCCTATAACAAAACTCTAGGTGGCGACAAGAAAACGAAAGCCAAATTGAAAAGTGTGCAGAGTGCCGCCAACCCTTTGCTCAAAACGAAGCCTACTTTCATTTCAAAGAAGCTTGCAAGCCTTAAAGGTGCTCTCAGAAAGTGTCATGATGGCCGGTTGCCTCCAGATGGATTCGTACTTGCAGACCAACTGGACTCTTTCGGAAGTCTAACATTGCAGGACGACAAGTACAAACCGCCTGGAGTACCCACCGACTGGAAATCGTCCCTGACCAGTAACACTGAGACAGAGGCTGATACGACGTTCGTGTCCACCACCGACGCCGCCAAAGCTTCTAACATGACAGCAAAAGCACGAGCCTCCATTTTAGGAGAGGCAGTACTTCCCGGGAAGTCGGTGTTTGATTTCTTGACGCCTGGTGCTCGTGACCGACTTGCGACGGCATCAGGACGTCAAAACCTGCCTGCCGCAGGGAGCGAGGCACCACCGCCAGGGTTCGAGGCTCCCAAAGCAGCAACTCTGCAGAGCCTGATACCTCACCTGGACAAGGCCACAGCCCTACAAGCACTCAACCGTGGAGTAGGTGGGTGGATGCCCTATGCTGAAGATGAGAACAAGAGGACCAGATACCGAATCTACCTAGAGATTCAAGCGGGTCTCAGGCAGACTGATGGCCAAGATGAGGTTCCTCCTCGTGCCAAAGGCATCAAACAAGACGACTGGGTGCTCGAGATGAACGAGTTCGCCCAGGCTGCCGAGGTTTTCAAGCCAATCAGTGGCTTAATGGCCAGTCGTTTTACATCATCATCTTCGTCTCTCCCGCAGGGTCAACATGTAGACCCCGCAACAGCGTCCGCCGAATCCCTCTTGACAAGGCCTGTCGAGAAACCGCAAGATCCAGCAGAGTCGGCGGCGAAATTGGGCATGTTTGGTCCAATGACGCGATCAGTCTCGAATTTCTACCCGACGAGACTGGTCTGTAAGAGGTTTAATGTCCCATATCCGGAATATTCTGCTTCTGGAGTCGCCGATGGTTCAGGCAAGAGAGCCACTCCAGCTGGCGAGTCAGGCTCCGGGATGCCTCAATTTCGGTCATTTGCGTCCGCCGGCTTTCACGATGATGACTCAGCAGAGCCCAAGCCAGCTCAGAGGGTTGAAGCCGATGACAAGCCTCCTGCTTCAGAAGCACCTGAAAGACGGGAGGGCTTACAAGTAGCGTCACAAGTCTTGGACCCGGAAAAGAATGAAGCGCTTGAGCAAGAGAGACCAGGTGAGGCGGTCTTCAAAGCGATCTTCGGCAGTGACGACGAGGACGATGATTAGGAATATCAGATCTGACGACGTTCATTTTCACATACCACGAGTGATAGCGTTCTAGCATCAGTCAAACTGTTCTTCAGGCTAGATCGCCACAATTGAGATTCTGAAGTTCTTTTTCAAACAAAATTGCAACCCCATGATACTGTATACGATTATGTCTGGTAAGTCGACAAGGCTGAGGGCGTAAGGCTGAATTCAGGGTCGAGCCGCGCTCCGATGCGAGTCGTCCGCCCCATCTAAGTCAGCGATTTGAATAACCAAAAGGACACATAACTGCAACAACTCTACTCGCATCAGCGCGCATCTTGCTTGTATTCTGCTTGACTCACCATCGTCGCTCATTTGATCGCACCTTCAACGAAAGTTTTGTCTTTAACCATGGCACGCCGCAAACAAGTCGCGCCCACTCAGCGTACAGCATCCGGCGAAGTCATGCAATCACTCTCACATGCAGCCGAAAAGCCCGCACTCTATACCAACGGCCATATCTCCAAAGAACCCGCTATACAAAAGACCGGATTTTCGGTCAATGCTCCCCAAGCAAGCATCCTCTCACTTCTCATATGCGTATCCGGCATCTACGCCTCCTTCTTGACCTGGGGTCTCCTTCAAGAGCGCATCACTACCACCTCATACCCAGCCGATGACTCTGCGCAGGCGCAGCAAGAATACTTTCGCTTTCCCATCGTTCTCAACACCATTCAAGCCCTCTTTGCGTTCATCAGTGGCAGTTTATATCTTCTATACAAGACGAAATCCTTCAATATCCTTCCCGCGAAAGCGGCCCTCAGCCCTCTGATCCTGGTCACATTAACGACAACCCTAGCCTCACCCTTCGGCTACGCCTCGCTGCAGCACGTCGACTACCTCACCTTCGTTCTCGCCAAGTCCTGCAAACTACTGCCAGTAATGGCCCTGCACGTCACCCTCTTCCGCAAACGCTACCCTCTCTCAAAATACCTGATCGTCCTAGCCGTGACAGGCGGCGTCGCGCTTTTCACTCTCTACCACCCTCCCAAGCCGGGGAAGCCTAGTTCGAGAAAGACTCAATCCTCAAGCATCTACGGCCTCACACTACTGGGCATCAACCTACTCTTCGACGGCCTCACGAACACCGTGCAAGACCACATCTTCACCTCCCCCCACCGCTACGGCAAGACCTCCGGCCCGCAAATGATGGTCATCCTGAACCTGCTGGGTACAGCCCTCATGAGCGCATACCTTCTGGTGATGCCACACATACCTCCCATGGTGATTCCAACATTCGCCAAAACCGACGCCAATGAGTTGTCCAACGCTATGGGATTCCTCACGCGCCATCCAGCTGTCTTCTACGACGTGCTCGGGTTCGCGGCCTGCGGCGCCATAGGCCAACTATTCATCTACGCCACGCTAGAGCGGTTCTCGAGTCTCTTGCTCGTCACGGTGACAGTGACGCGGAAGATGCTGACTATGGTGCTCAGCGTGGTGTGGTTTGGCAAGAGCCTAAGTCAAGGCCAGTGGATGGGCGTGGGTTTGGTGTTCGGAGGGATTGCCGCTGAGGCGTTGATCCAGCAGCGGGAGAAGAAAGCAAAGGAGAAATTTAAATCTAAAAGTACGTGAAGTAAAAGAGAAGTAGGATAGATTTGCTTGTGGTATGGATAGATTGTAACATCATATATTTTGAGCGCTTGCTGTAGAATTGGTCGTGTGCCGAAAACAGATTTATGCCATGCAATGCGATGCTCGAATCCCACAAGACGTCAACTCACTGCCGTAGTATTGATACTAGTCAAGTTACCCAGCAACTCCCTCTTCTCATCTGCACGGATGCGTGGTCCTAGCACCCCTGGCATTGACGAATCTGCTTGACTTGCCATCTTACTTGCAGCATCAAGATCCGCGAGCGCCAACTGCGTCGCCGGCACCGCAGACCCCAGCTCATCCACTCCGACCTTGACGGCGCGCGTGTAGTATTGCAAAGCACTCCCATGATTGTCTCGCAGAGAATGCACCCGGCCTAGCGTACGGAGACAAGCCATACGAGAATGCAATTTACCTGCGGACAAGGGGCGCTGATGACTGCTCGTCTGGATTCGGAACGTGCGCTGCAGAGCGTCGTCAGCGAGAGTCTCAGCGTCCAGCCCACGTCTGTTGGAGAGATACACTTTAGCCAGTTCCAGCATGGCTGTGACGCACATCAGACTGTCTGCGCCGTATGTTGACTCCCAGCGCGTCGTGAGCCCTGACAAAGTTCGAATCGCATCGTCCCGCCGTCCAAGCTGCGAGAGGATGCGCGCAAGGAAGTACTCGTGGCATGTGGTCTGGTAGGCGTGCATGCTGAACGATTGCTCGTGTAGGGTGTGGATCTCGGCCTGGATGAACTCACGGAGCCGCAGGGCCATCTTGTTAGTTAGACGTGTGCGCAGAAGTTGCGTGATGGGATGGGTCGCGCCCAACATGCCCTCGGACTCGTCCGCGGCAAAGTGCTTGATCTGGAAGCGTAGACCGGCTAGGTGGCTGTCCGATGCGTCGAGACTTAGCTCTGCGAGAACGTAGTATAATTGCGGATGCGGGGATGCCAGGAGCTGGTGAACTGTTGGCAGGACACGGTTCAGAATTGACGAGGCTGAGTCGATGCGGTTGACGGCGATGAGACCTGCAGCTGTGGTAATCGAGCCACTGAACGTCTCGATTGTGCTTATGATGTCGAAGGCTGCACTGTCTACCTGGAGACGCTGTGACCATATGCGTTCGAAGGTTCCGTTGTAGAAGGCACTGGTTCGCAGCAGGGTGTGCTCCATTTGCGAGTCGTCTGTGGACATGATGAGCAGTGGACTAGGGGCACGAGCCATACCCAGACGCCAGGATATCTAGGAGGAGGACGATGGCACTGGTCTTCGACGCTTGGAAATGTTTGCTTGGAGTGTGTCTGTGGCCAGCTCGTCTGAGACTCTCTTCTGACTTCTCGTGGCATCCTCTCGTTGCTGGCGGGCTGTGTGTTTAGAGTGCACATACCCCGGCAGTACATCGGCCGATGCTACGGGCTTATCTGGCAGCAGTCCGACAACATCACCTGCGGTATCTGGTGCAGATGAAATCAATGTGTACTCTTTATCTTGCTCGTCAGAGTGATTGACCAAATCATCGATCGCCAACCTGCGTACTGATTCCTTGGTCGTTACCAGCGCGGACGTTCTACGTTCTGGCGGTCGAGTACCTGGGTACAGGACCTGCACGGAACCCGTCGATGCTGGTGTCGTGGTATCTGGTGGCCGTGTGGTAGGGTAGACAACATGCGCTGAACTGGTCGATGGCGTCTCGTTGGGAGTGGATGTCCCAGCTGTTCCCTGCAGCTGAACAGGCGCTATAGGCGTAGGCGCGAGATACACTCGTCCATGCACAGAAGATGCCTGGTTGTTGTCCGCAGATGCTCGAAGGGAATTGACGACCCTGTTTCCAGGGTTCTGTCCAGCGTGCCGGCGTATCTGTGTTACATTCTGCCTGCTTCGTGGATCACCGGTAATCCAAGTAAACGCTCGCGGTGTACCGTCCTCCCTGGGAGGCATTGGACGGTAGCACCGCAGTTCCACCACAGGACAACATCCGAACTATGTTAGGTGCGGGAATCGGCCAGTGAGGTGTTCTGTGGATGTGATAGAGAGCTTTAGAAGCTGCGCTGATCAACTCTTGACAAACACGGGAGCCTTGACGTCGGAAGAAACACACTAGTTAGCCGCGCATTTTGGCCCCTCTGTATCGCTCAAACATAACCGAGCGTAGTTCCCAAAGTCCAAGTGAAATACTTAGCATGGGAGGGATTCCATGGGATATCATACGAGCCACTGGGCACTCGTGAGTTGAGTGAGGTGTGCAACAGTTTCGAGCTTAACCTGCATCTCGATGCTGATTAATTTGTGACTAACCGTTCCACTGACCTTTCTTCATCCATAATGAGCCGCGATAATTTGACACACGGCAGAAGCTTTTACGTGAGTTACGGCTTCCATGCGAGGCGGCTTGAAGGTCCTATTCGCACTATATGAGATGCTGAATAAAATAGGTGTGAATAACGTAGACTGCATTGACAGAAGCAGTAGAAGAAGCAGAGTTTTGGGCTTGGCAGAAAGGGGAAAGACTCCGGCGAGGCTGGACTGGTAAGGAGTCTCCTATGCCGAAATAAAGACCTGACAATAAAAATACTGCATTGTCGCGACGCGCCGCGGCATGGCGCCCGAGGTAGATGAGGATAGGTGGTGGCCAGATCCTCCCTCAAAACGGGATCCTCCATATTTCCCAAGTAACGAAGCGTCCCTTCCTCTTGTGGTGAATTCACCACAGGCTGGTGCTTCCTTGTCAGGTCTTCACTATGTCGCAACCCGTGACAAGCGTGGTCCGTCCTCTACTTTATGATACTTTGTCATATCGACGGTCCACCAGCCACTCCGACGATTTTTAGACTCGACTTTCCTTGTCTCGTCTCCTCGATCTGAGTATATGCCAACCAATACCGACTTGGATGCCATTCTACCGCAGGGATTCCACTCGACCCCGTTGATAACGTATGCACAACATCACCAGTCTCGGCGTGGTATATCTCAAGACCGGAGCTTATCCCTTCACCACCACCGGACCCCATCTCTTCACTTGCGCCGACCACATACCGTCCGTCCCAGGACCAACTAAGACCCTTGATGGCACCAGAGCTCGTGTTGGAGACAGTCCGTCGGCACACCCAATCAGTGGTGTCCCAGAGTGATATCATGGCGTCCGAGCCACCAACAGCGACGTATTTACCATTTGGACAATATGAGATCGCGGTGCACGAAGAAGTGTGTGCAGAAATGCTGTGAAGTAGTTGAAAGGAGGGAAAGTCGAGTATTTGAACAGATCCGTCACCTCGAGTAATCAGGAGCTCGCTGGCCGGGTATGCATTTGAAAAAGTGGTCTGATTCGTTTGCTGTGTTTGCTTGTGCCGCGACAATATAACAGGGGAGGATGGTATGGCAGTCGAGATGGGGATGAGGACGTCGCCCTGCTCGCAGTGTAAGAAGTTGTACAGTGTCAGAATATATGCTTTCGCACCTTTGTACCAGCAAGCAGGACACTCCCATCCGCACTCCAGCTAAGTGTGAACGGTTCGCCGCCAACCTCGAGTTTTGTGACACATGTCTTGCTTCGCGTATCCCAGAACCGCACGGTGCCGTCCGAGGAACAGCTGGCTAGCTCGAACTCGCGGACGGGGTTGAAGAGTACTTTTTCAACGGCATGTCCATGGCCTCTCAACTCTGTTTGACTGCGTGGGCTCGTTCGCTCGGGGTTCCAGACACGAACTGTCTTATCGTTGGCGCCAGTCGCAATAAGGCCGCCAGAAGCATTCCAGGAAATCGTCCGATGGCTGCGAACGGCAAATGAGGGATCAGCCGGTTTTCTCGGGAGTAGGCCGACGATTTCTGCAAAGATGACTTTGAGAGTACTCAGAAGACGGGTACGTACATTGTCGGCGCAACGGTGCGAGTGACAGGGTCTGCATATTGCTGCGTCTTAAGCAGGCTGAACTGTGTGCCGAACTTGTCACGGCCCAAGTGCTTGCGCTGACTGATGGGCGCCATGATGCTAATGAATCATCACAACCCCAGTCGCGCCTACATCTACCATTGAGTAGCCCGGAGATCGTGTTGCGTGCCGGGTATCGACCTGCATGAACAATGTCGAGGGACAAGTTTCTGGAAACATGTCAAATGTGCCAAGGAACCCAAAGCCTTGCAGCGGGCATAAGCGGAGTTCACAAGTGTCATACTGGCTGGCGCTAACAATCATCCATTCGCATCGAGGGATGGGATTATCATGATGATCGTATCACAATATGGCACAGCCTAGAATTTGCATGATAGGAAGGGCCATAATTCAAGTTGAGATTCTCGCTCCATCGGTTTTGGGTATCACATTTTCGCATCGTTATTCTGAACATCCGCTTTGCGGATAACCATGTTTTGTACATTGCTCTTCCTCCGCATCACGGAACCATGTCAAAGTCGTCAATTAGGCTGCGGTGTTGATCCTGGCCAGCCGAAGATCCACTCACTGCCGTCTCCCATGCCCTCTGCAGGCCAGAATGAGTCCATTCCAGGCGTCATGCCAGGTGTCATTCCAGTCGAATTCATGGTCACGCCTGCTGGGCCTGATGTTGCACCAGGACTGGTAAAATCCAGGTTCGGGGTTGGTTTGCTCATAGCCGGACCAGGCTGGTTTGTCGCAATTCTCCAACTTTCCTTGCTAGGGAAGGGGAAACCCGATGGCGATTGCTGCGACTGTGAGCCACTGGCACTGTTGTTGCCTCCTGACTGGTTCGGAGGTGAGGTGTACGAAGTATGCGAAGTGTGGTTAGACAGTGTTGATGGCGTGGGGTGGTTAGACTGCGATCTAGACCCGAGGCCTTCCTGGTTTGAATTCCCGGGCGAATTGTCTGTGCCGAGCGATTGCACGGCGGGGAAATTCGCACTGTACATGTTTTCGTAAGCGTCACTCAGTGAGGTACCAGCAAACTGTCCCGGCTGTGCTCCGTCATTTCCAGGCTCTGGGGCATAAATGCCGGAATACAACTGATTGGTATTCACAATCGGTATGTTGAGTTGTGCCTCGTTCGGTAAGGTGACATTCATGGGATTCGGGTTTATGTTTTGAGGCGTGTTCTGAGTCTGACGAATCTCGAACAATGGCGAGCATTTCAAAGAGTCGGTGTTGGCTGGCGATTCACCCTGCATGTACACGTTAGCAAATGCATGTGGATCCGGAAGTGGTCGACATACAGGGGGTCTGCGACCAAACTTCCAACGTGAATAACTGGTCGGAATATCAAGTCCACTTCCTTCCAGATCCACGTCAAGTTGGACCAAGAATGATTCCGTCAATGGATTTTTCGTTTTCAGGACTTGCATCGCAGCAAGGAGGAAATGTAACGAGGATTTCACTGCTGTATCCTCTCTTCTTGCTTTCAGATACTGCACGAATACTCGTGCTGCCACGTAGAGGCAGAATGCGATGAACGGGTTCATCTATAGATAGTCAGCATCATCTTTTTTCGGCTTATCACTGCCCAACGAACCAGCGCCATATCCACATGACTAATCATCTTCATTATATTGGTGATTTGATCGGCTGCAACAATGCATCGGCGCTTAGACTCTGCGCTGATCTGAGCTGGCAATCGGTTCTTGTCGGCCTTGAATATGGCAGCCTGATGCAAACATATGGTGGCGGTATGGATGTTCATGTTGAGGAAGATGGTATTGGGATCACTAATACCGGCAGGTAGGCGAAGCTTGGCGGGCAATGACAGAGACGTGTTGAGAAGGATGTTGTCTAAAGAGCGATGCCGTTTCCAGAAAGCGCCGTTCAGGTCGTGATCGTTCTCCTGTTCGTCAGGTCGGTGAAGATGTGTAAGATTACGGCCGAATATAGTAGATAGAAGAATGACACCGCCAAAGGAGGACAGTTGGCCAGCGCCTTCTCCTTTCAAAATGTCCGATAGTTGCAATATATTTTCTGGTTGACATCTGTTGAATGCTTCATCACTTGCGGGTAGATTGGTGAGGATCTATTGCGTCTTGGTCAGCCAGAGTTCATTCCCGCGGGGTTGAACCTACATCTTGCTCATCGATGACCATAGGCCAGCCCGTTCCTATACTGGCATAACGGTCCTGACAGTATGCCATCCAGAAAGTTCTTCGCCGCTCTTCACGGTCGGTCCAGTCTCGAGGAGGAGGAAGGGTTTGTTTCACGTCCAGACCAACCCGATCGAGTCGGTGCAAACCCATCATCAGCGCCAGCCTAGACGCTCTGCCAATACTCATCCATGCTCTCGGAAAATACATCAGCTTGAACTCGTGGCAGGCTAGTAGTGTCCAGGCCTGGCAATGTGCAACCGTTATCATGCCTTCACCGTGGCCGCGCATTTCATCGGCCTCGGCGTACTTCCGCGCTCTTTGGTAGAAATGTTCCGTATATGCAGCGTATTTGGGAGTGATGACACAGGCATGTGTCCACATGGCATACCTCAGAGCGACGGCTGGGCGCATATGTGGTGCAAGATCCATCGAGGCTAGGAATCTGCCCTTGTGAATCATTGGCAATGACGGATGGATCTTCTCGAAGTATATTTCGTTCCTATATCGGTTAGTGACGGGGCTTTGCAACGCGTCTCGAATGCTCTCACAGTTCATCGATCACATCGCGCGACGGGAGAGCCTCCTCCAAGCCCAGGCCAATCATTTCCCAAGAGAAGTCGCCGTTGACTTCCATTGTGAAGTCTTGCATGCCACCAGGATTGGGATCTGTAAACATTGGATCTGTGAAATTCGCCTCTTGCATCATATCGGACATGAGGGTGTCTCCCATGCCCATATTTGGCATATCCAACGAAGGTATTGAAGTGTATGACTCTGTGATGGGGACAGTCGGCGGTTGTTTCCCGACTCGAGGCGTCGGTTCTGATTGTGTATCTTTTGATTCCAATAGATTCTCCACCTGTTTGAGACGTGCCTCTAACAACTTGACATAACCTCTTTTGGGACCGCTCTTCTTGCGCTCTTCGGAATATTCGCAATGGTGGTCGAGCCTCGAACACGTACCACAGCTCGGTTTGTTGCCATCACACTTTAACTTCCTCTTTCTGCATAGGATGCATGCGATTCTCTTCGGTCGCGGAACACTGTCATTAGATCCTCCCCCCATTCTGCCATCGTGTCCATCTGGTCCACCTTGTTCCAACTCGGGTTCGGTGCTGGAAGTCATTTGTGCCAACAGACGATCGATAGGAAGAAAGTACTGAGCAAGTCTAGCGGAAACGTCGAGAATGTCCTCGCCACTGTGGACAGAGGTGGTACGGCCTCCCACAACCGAGGTGACCGCTGTTCGGCGCCCAAGGTATGTGAGCGCGCAGGCTAAATGTGCTGACGCAGAGTATGGCCTGGTCTGCCCCGGAAGGGGTCGGTAAAGCGAGATCCGCTGGCGTCCAGAGTCAGGCAACAGCGATTGGATACGAGATACGGCGGTCTTCAGAGTTGGTCAAGGCATACAGCGAAAAGGCGGCAGACAATGCTTCGTACAAGTACTGAATCTGAGTGCTGACAAGATATGCGTCTTTAACATTGGAGAAGCCAAAGCAGAGAGTCGCCTCTTATCGGCGAGGAACACCAGCGAGCACGCTTTCGAAGTGTGGGAGCGAGCCAACGTTGGGAGTGTCCACATCAGCGAACCACAACGACATGTAAGTGATGATTATCTAACCAAGACTGTAATGCTTTGTGTCTGACTCCTGCTGTGCGAGTATAATTAGTGGACTCGTGCATTGACAGACAAGGCCAATATTTTAGCTGACAATCTCTCCTCTAACGATTTCGGCCGTGCATTGGGGGCCTTAAACCTTAAGACCGAACGTACTCGTTTAGCGATGGTATTCAGGGTTCAGGAAGACATTCACCAATGACAACTTGTCATAGCAATGGATGTCTATACCAAACTACCTCTCTTGCCAGCTTATCGCATGGGGATGACTCCTTCCTGATAGCTTCTTCAGCAAAGCAATATGCATCCAGGACTCAAGGCGCGTAAGCATGTATGATTTCTGTCTATGCTTGATACAACTGGTATGTATTTTACAGATCATCTCCTTGTAACCACAACAGTGTCTTTACAGGCCGCGAGACTTCTTATGCGTCCGAGTCCGGGCTCTCTATTCTTTAATGGGATGGTGACTTTCCGCCATCGCCCTCCTCATTGAAGAAGACCTTGATGGGCAGCCACGAATCTCCGCAAACCTTGAATCGGTCTGGGATGCTGCTCAGCGTTTGCATCTCTTCGGAGGTCAACTCCAATCCATCAATCTGAAAGTTGGATTCGATTCTCGACTTGGTGACGCTCTTCGGGATAACAGATGTTCCTGAAACAGGTCAGTGCACGCTCGCAGAGACAACGGACGTTCAGCGTATTCTCACCTCTTTGAAGACCCCATGCGAGCAGCACTTGCTGGGGGCTCTTGCCCTTTGCTTCGGCAACCTTTTGCAGAGTCTTGTCATGTGCGAGTGGGGAGTCGGTTGAGCCCAAGCACGAGTATGCTGTGCAGTGAATACCCTTCTCTTTGCAGTATGCCAATGTCTTTGGGGAAGGCATGTTGGGGTGGAGTTCGATTTGGTTGACAGCAGGGACGACTTTGCACGATGGGTCCTTGAGAAGCTTCTCGAGGTTGGAGATGACGAAGTTTGACACGCCGATGTTCTTGACTTTGCCGGTATCCAAAAGCTTCTGCATTTCACGCCTGCCAAAAGTGTCAGTGGATCGAATCGAAGATGAAGACTCAAAGGCAAGCGTATACCAGGTATCCACAAAGGTCCAGCCTTCCTCATGCTTGTCTCTTTTATCATCATCCACTGTCGAGCTGGGCCAGTGCATAAGGTACAAATCGACATAATCGGTTCCCAAGCTCTTCAACGAGGAGTCAATGCCTTCCCGGACACGCTTGTGCCAAGTGTTGTCCAATTTCGTGGTAAGCCAGATTTCGCTTCGGGGAACACCAGAGTCCTTGATGCCCTGACCGACCTCTGACTCATTGCCATAGGCAAGGGCGCTGACCGAATTAGCCTTGAAATAGCTCAATTGACCGCCACGAGTGCAGCTTACGTATCGATGTGACGATAGCCGGTGAGGAGCGCGTGCTTGACTGCTTCGCGAACTTCATTGGGCTTTGACTGCCAGGTTCCCAGGCCGATACCTGGCATCTTCGCACCGGTGTTCAAGGTGAACACCGTCCTGAGCAAGAAGCTGTCAGCAAGCGCATCTCGAGAGGATCGACTCGCGGATTGACTGACTTGGTGCCTTTTCCAGACTGTGAGGTCGTCATCGTTCTTACTGCGGGTGAGTATGGGGCTTTCGAGTAGATTTCAGCAAGAGAATTCGAGGGTGTTACAATGCAAGAAGACAATCTGAATCTTTGGAAAATAATTGAAGAGAGGCGAAAGGAGGACATGTGCGCAGATCAAAAAAGACAGTGCCGATCGAAGTTAGCATAATCCCGGTGGTTAAATAAGTTTACATTATGATGCAGCGTCCACGTCGATGGTGGGGTAATGGTGACATTCACGGGACGAGGGGCTCGGGTCATTGGAGCGAGTTCTATTTAGCCTGATTCATGTGTATCACCGGTGTAGACGGCAAAGACCCCGAAACGTGGACAATAAGGTAACTTTGTACTTTTATGAGTCCACCAATCATTCGAGTCGTGCAGCACTTACTACGCAGCCTTGGGCCACCTTCCGACCTGCCTCTGAACAGTGAAGATGTCCGGCAGATTTGTTTCTGCGGGAGGCGAGCCCGTTCCAGAAGTGTCAAATGATGCTTGGGCAAAGGCCAAAAAAGATGTCGAGGCTCAGCGAAAACCCAAGCAGCTTGAAGAGGGGACCCAAGAAGGTGGTAAGAGTCTGTACGAAGTCTTACAGGCTAACAAAGGTACGTATTTCCACCTACTACCATGCGTCACATCTCTGTCCTAACGTAGCAATCCTTTTGCCTGCATAGCTGCCAAGCAAGAAGCGTTCGAAGAATCCGTTCGTCTGAAAAACCAGTTTCGCGCCCTGGATGATGACGAGGTTGACTTTCTTGACTCGGTGCTGGAATCAAGCAGGGCAAAGGAGGATGCTGTCAGAAAGGAGACGGCTGATCAGCTTGAAGCCTTTCGCAAGCAACGTGCCGCGGCGGAACAGGCTCTTTCTGAGCAAACAACATCGGGAGAGACCGGAAAATTGGACTTGGAGGTAGGCAAAAGTTCTTGGACGACGCAGAAGAAGAAGCGCCGCCGTGATAGAGAGGACGAAGATGGCGGGCCCAAACTCAGAAAAATGTCTTCTTCTGTTGACGAAAAGACGCCCACGACAGAAACGGCGAAGGCCGAAATCACAAAGACAGCTGAGGTTCCAGAAAAGCGGCAGCCCACGATCTCTCCAACGCCAACAACGAAGACTACGAACAATGTCCCCAAAGTAGCCACAGTTGGGCTAGGTCTGGGCGGCTACGACTCTGATGAAGACGACTGACGACAATAACGTTCTTGAAGAAAATCAGAGCGCAATAGTCACCATTGATATATCTGTGGCAACTAGCACTGCAGTTTTCGTACTGCATGTGAACCTGGTTTCCTTCGTCCATGTGGACGAGGACGGTCACATTATTGATATCGAATTTGGTGCTTGAGAACGCTGAAATACTGGCAAGCCAATGCGGACTGTTGTCAAGCGGGAACAGTGCTACCACAAACTCCGCAGAGTTGCAGTATGAATATGGTACGTGTGTCATCACCTGTTGTCGAGACACGGAAAGCAACGAGTGCAGATTGAATGGCTGCAAGACCGTGTGCAGCCAGAAATCCAATAGCAGCAGTGAACATCTTGATGCTGGCTCAACATGATGAAAGCCGAAATCCTGGATTCCATGTGTCTGACCGGCTTCTTATACCTTTGAGTCTACCTAGACCTTAACAATAAGCGGATACTTGATCTGCTGGGATCTATGTCTCGGTCAATACCCCTTTTCTCATGCCATGGGGATGTGGGCAGTGATGGCTGATTATTCTGGCGCATGTCCATTAGATACTGCTTCAAATTGTATGGGATGGGCATTCAGTCCCTCATGCAAGATTCCGACTCTTCTCTGGACGTTGTTTATTGGCATCTCAATATTTGTCATTCCCTCCAACGATACTGAACATCTGCACCGAAGTCCATTGGAGTACTTGACCTTCAATTTGCCCAGTCAGCCGAGCGGCGAACTGCGTCACCTAATGGTGTTCGCAGCTTTGCCCTGCATTCCGCATATTCTGACAATCATTTGGGCAGGGATGCTGTGGCGTGGGTCCCCAAGAACTACAATGGCCACGAGTTTGTACTTTCGCAAGATGTCAAAGTCATCAACCTTGCGATACCGAGAAGTGGACAACCCAAATGCATCACACGTCGCTATGCTGGACAATTTTCACTGTGGCAGTCTCGCAAGACCCAGGTGACGTCGGAATTTTCGCATTGACCACGATGCTGCTACCCACCAGTGCCACCTTTCTTTGTGGGCCAGTATCCCTTGTTTTGGGGGTCCCTTGAGTTCGGAACGGCCCCTGTTCAAGAGCCAATCGCCTGTTCCCGGCGCCCCTAAGTTAAGAGGAGCCATTGGGTTCGTGGAGGGTGGCTCCAGCGTTAACACGACACCATCAAACGCATCTTCCGTCCACATTTGGCACCCACCCACCCACACGCGATCCTCCAGTGTTTTCTGGTCTGGCCTTTGCAAAGTTCTGAAGACGAGAGCTTGCTGATCTGCCGGTTTCTTATTCGCCTCTACGCGCACCTGAGCAATCTAGCGGTGAAGAACGGGATGGCCATATGAATTGCTTTCTCTTGGGATGTCCGCAGCATGCCCGTCGCGTTATTCGTCCACGGGCGCCGAAAGTCAACACCGCTACATACTGGTGCTGCACTTTGTACGGAAATCTTCAGGCATTCAGGAAAATTTTCAGTCGTTGTCTCGAGATTGCTATAGTCGATGCCTCAACACATATCTCATATAACTATGACGATGTTTGACCCCTAATTTCTGTTTGACCTGGCGCAGAATCAGTTTGTGTATCGATATTTACCCGCGATAAGTCCCTTATCCACGTTGGGCCATTCCATTCCGGGATCTGCAAGGGGGACGGTTTCGCGTGCCAACCTTGGAATGACCAATGGCACTTCTAAACAACTTGTGACCTCCTGACACTTGCAAGTCGCAGTTCTTCAATCACCTTTCAACTCGCTAATCTATCGCTCAAGAAGGAGGCTCTGTATAGACAGCCTCATATCTTTCTGTTTTACACTTTTCCCGACTCCGCGTCTCGCGCTCGCCGCAGCAAATGCTCTCCCACTATACATTGCGCCACTCTCACACTCCAACCCACAATGGCGGCCCTCGTAGCCGCGTCGCCAGTCGCCGCTGTCGGCGAGAGCGCGTTTCGTCGACAAAGGACCCCGAAGTGGTGGAATACTGGAATGGATGAATGGCCGTTGTCGCATAGTTACGAGACGCGGGAGGCTGGCAGGATTTCTCCAAATAATGTAGCCGATTGGCGCTACAGACGGCACACCGCCATGTTGAAGAACAACAGGCCGACTGAACGGGTATGCAAGACATTCCTTCGTTGCTAACGCCATTTGTCAAGTTGGCGTGTCTACCGCCATTTCTGCATTTGGCAAGCTCATTCGCATGCTCTATCTTGACTCGAGTTCAATGGGGAGCTTCTCCTGACAAGGACTATAGATCAAGATCCCGAGTTATGAGGCCTATCTAGAAGTCACTGCGCTGGTCGCAGCTTTGTTACAGGAGGTCTCCGACTACATTCAACCTTACATAACCACTGGGTCCTCGAATTGTCAACAGCGCCTTCCGTCGCAGGCGCTTTCCGAACCTCTAGCATATGCAGCGGTCTTTGCCACCGCAGAACAGCCACCCTTGTCCTCCAGCCTACGCCACAAATCTTCATCCGTGGAAATGGATGCGAGCATAAACTTCGGTGACACCACTGGTATACAGACGCGGGGCAAGAAGCAAAAGAAGAAAGCTGCCCAGCAGGCCAAATGGTTCGATTCCGACAACGAAGGAGAGGGAGCCGCGCCCGGCGAAGGCGGTGGTGATGGCACTGGGGAGGGTGCTGGTGCTGGAGGGAACGCTGGTGGTGACGGTGGCGGCGATGATAATAAGGGAGGTGGCGGAGATGACGACGATTGGGATTTTGGTGGTAGTAAGAAGAACAAGAAGAAGAGCAAAAAGAAGCAAGAGGAGGAAGAAGAGCAGAAGAAGAAAGATGAGGAAGAGGCTGCGAAAGGTTCTGCTAATCCTCTTAGTTGGGCCGACGAGGCTAACGATGCCGCTGCCGACGAAGATTGGACCACGGGATTTCCGGCGAAGAAGGACAAGAAGAAGAAAAATAAGAAGGTATGATTGAGGAAATGCTTCGCATCGTAGGATGACTGACTTTTCAGGGTGCCGACGAAGATCCACCAGCAACCTCAGCTTTCCAAGATATCAGCTTGGACGATACTGCTCCCAAACTGGAGTTTAGCTTCGGCGCTTCTGAGAGCAAGAAGGACACCGGAGGCTTCGGCGCGTGGGGAAAGACCTGGGACTTTGGTTCGCTTGACACCGACACCAAGGCTGAGGACAAGGCTGCCAAAGACAAGGACAAGAAGGAGAGCTCTACTGACTTTGGCGACAACAATCCTTGGTCAGTGGGAAATAAATCCAAGAAGAAGACTTCGGCGTATAGTGGCTTCGACTTTGGCGACCTGGACTCTGGAAATAACACATTCGACCTTGACGGCGAGGCGAAAGACACCAAGGGTACGGATGATGCCTGGGGTTTCGCCTCAAGCAAAAAGGATAAGAAGAAGAAAGCTGTCATTGAAGAGAAGAAAGAAGAAGAGCCTGCACCTGCCGAGGCCGAGACCAAAGAAGAGGATTCATGGGGTGCTTGGGGCACAACCACGAAAAAGAAGGACAAGAAGAAAAAGGGCTGGTTGGATGATGATCCTATTGAAACGCCACCGCCGGTTGCTGAACCAGAGCCACCTGCCGCAGAGGATGAATGGGCGTCATTTTCCACCAAGAAAGACAAGAAAAAGAGCAAGAAAGGTGCTGCAGAAGAGCCTGTCACCGATACCAAAGATCCCGTCATTGAGGCCGGAGGCACTGACAGCGGCTTTGACTGGGGATTTGGGACCAGCAAGAAGGACAAAAAGGCAAACAAAGGCTTTTCGGCTCTCGATGATGACCTTCTGGCCTTGCCCGAGCTTGCTGAACCAGAAAAAGCAGCGGATGAGGGTGACGACTGGATGGCTGCTGCATGGGGAACCAAGAAGAAAGACAAAAAGGGCAAGAAGACAGGAATAGAGGATCTCTCAGCTTCCGTCGACCTAGGAACAGCAGCCGATACAAAACCGTCCACGACAGACCCCTTGCCAGAGGATGACACTTGGGCGTCATTCGGCACAGCGAAAGGCAAGAAAGACAAGAAGGGCAAGAAGGCCACATTAGTGGAAGAGATTCCACCACCGCCTCCGCCTGAGCCCGAACCTCCAGCCGATGCTGATGACTTTTGGGGCACAATCGGCAAAAAGGACAAAAAGGGTAAGAAGAGTAAAGGGATAAGTCCAGAACCCTCGATACCTGATGTCATTCCAGAAATTCAGGATGAACCTGAACCGCCGAAAGAGGAAGTGGTAGAAGACTGGAGTCACCTTTCTGCTAAGGAGAGGAGGAAAAAAGAGAAGGAGGCCAAGAAGAAAGGTCTCCCTATCCCTTCCGAGGAGCCACCTCCACCTCCGCCTCCGCCTGAGCCTGAGCCTGAGCCTGAGCCCGAGCCCGAGCCCGAAGTCAAGGGAGACGATACCTGGACCGGCTGGGGTGCAACGAAGAAGGATAAAAAGGGCGCCAAGAAGAAGGGATTCCTTGATTTTGACGATGATCCTCCTCCACCTCCACCCGAGCCTGAGCCGGAAGCAAAGGTTGAGGTGGAAGATAGCTGGGGTATGTCGACTAAAGATAAGAAGAAGTCCAAGAAGAAAGGCATCCAGGATCCCGTAGACGAGCCGCCTCCGCCGCTTCCTGAGCCTGAACCGCCGGTCGAAGATTTCGGCGAGCTGGACTTCGGCTTGTCTGCCAAAGAGAAGAAAAAGAAGGAGAAGGAGGCTAAAAAGAAGGGGTTCTTTGACTTTGATGACGAACCTCCTCCACCTCCACCGGAGCCTGAACCAGAACCCGAAGAGGACAGCTGGGGTGGTTTTGGACTTTCTGTCAAGGACAAGAAGAAGAAGGAGAAGGAGGCCAAAAAGAAGGCCGCCGATCCTCCGCCTGAACCCGAGCCCGAGGTGCAGATGGAAGTCAATGAAGACGATACTTGGGCTGGTTTCGGGCTGTCTGCGAAGGACAAGAAAAAGAAGGAGAAGGACGCAAAAAAGAAGACAGCAGCAGAGCCTGAACCGGAAGCCATCCCCGAACCAGAGCCTCAGGAAGATACGTGGGCTTCCTGGGGCACTACCACCAAAGACAAGAAAAAGAGCACCAAAGACAGCAAGACGAAAGGTATCGTCGAGGTTGCTGAGCCTATGGAGCCAGAGAAATCCAGCAAAGCCGTTGAGGATGATGTCTGGGGAGCATGGGGGACAAAGGATAAGAAGGGGAGTAAGAAGTCGAAATCCAAAGAAGAGCCACCTCCACCTGCTCCCAGTCCACCAGCTCAAGGTCTTACTCCCGAGCCAGAGTCATTGGATATTTTAGACAACGACGACACCTGGGCGGCTCTCACGACGACTAAGAGCAAGGGTGCATCTAAGAAAAGCACTACCTCCAAGATCAGCGCCGAGAAAGAGAAGTCGAAAAAGAGCAGCTTCTTTGACGACATTGTGGAAAGTCCTGTCGAAGAAGCGAAACCCAAAGTCAGCAAGAGTAGTGCATGGGGCTTCGAACCAACTACGACAAGCACGAAGTTGACGAAGAAGGAAAAAGAGGCAAAAGCTAAGAAAGAGGCCGAAGAACAAGCCAAAAAAGAAGAGGAAGAAAGGCTTGCTCGCGAGGCTGAAGAAGCCGAGGCTGCACGATTGGCCGAAGAGAAGGCTGCGAAGAGCTCCAAGACTAAGACCAGCAAATCTTCCAAACTTGAGACAAAATCGAGCAAAAGCAAGAATACTGATGATTTTCTTGATATCCTCGATGATCCAGCTCCAGCAGCGAAATCCGACAAGCTGTCCAAAACGAAGAAAGTCTCAACGGAAAAAGAAGAGCAGAAAGAGAAGGAAAAGGCTGACGACTATTTTGGATTCTGGGGTAGCGCGTCGACGAGCAAAAAGACAGCTGGCAAAAAGGAGGTTGATTCCAAAAAGGAAATTACCAAACATGCCTCCACCAATGAGGCTGATGCACTAGCTGGCCTCACTAAAGATCTCGACCTACTTGACCTTGACAAGCCGACATCCTCTTCCAAGATCTCGAAAGCAATGAGCTCGGGAAAGACCAAGATCTCTTCTTCAGTGGCAGATCGTATCAAAGCTCTCGAAGGAGGCAAGAAGGAAGACAGCGGAAAGAAGTCGAAGACGGACGAGGTGCTGACTAAGGATTTGCCTTCAACCAAGGACGCGCCATCGCCCAAAGAGGAAAAGAAGCCAAAGGACAAGGCATCAGCATCAGCATCAGCCTCAAAAACGGCCGTTTCCACCTTGAAGTCTTCCAAGAAGAAATCAGACGCGTCTCCTGTTGCAGAACAGAAAAAGTCCAAAGACTCAGTGCCTGGAAGTTTCCCTGGCGCGTTCGGCGACGACTTGGACGACTTTCTTGGTGGAGACAACTCATCTATGCCCAAATCACCCGAGAAGTCCAAATCTAAGACGAAAGAGGTCGAGAAGAAGAGCTCAAAATCAAAGACCACCACGTCGAAAGAGCCAACCGCTAAGAACATTGACAAGAAAGCTGAAGATCCTCCAAAGCTTCCGACTCCACCGCCTGAGGGGAAGAAGTCCACAAAGAAAGAACGCCCCAAGGTTGAACGTTCTGCCACATCCTCGTGGGGATTCTGGGGTGCAGCACCGCCGCCGCCTGTGAAGAAGTCGAGCAAGGATAAAGCCAAGGATGATGTTGAAACGCCCGCGCTCGTCAAGAAAGAAAAGTTGCCCTCCAATCTGACACGGGTCAAGTCAACCCGAACACCAAAGGAGCTAGAGCGAGAAGACAAAAAGGATGCAGAGAAGCTCTCTAAGTCTTCTGACTCAGACAAGGACACCAAAATGAAGAAAGACAGCAGGCCAACTCCAACCCGGGGTACCTCCTTTTCGAATTTCATGTTTGGTGGACCTCCGCCTTCGGCAATGCGCTCGAAGCCGACGCGAAGGACCAGCGATGCAACAAGTTCTAGGCCGCCATCGTCTAGACGTCAGTCTGTGGATGGTTTGCTCTCACCTCCTCCCGATGATGAGCGGGTTACGGAGAAGGCGGCTAAACTCATGGGCATCAAATCCAGCAAGCTCGGGCGGCGGCCGTCTGTGAAGGGCAAGGTTCCTGATCCATACGCTATCGACGATGATGACATGGTGATGATCCACACCTATGAAAACCCACCCGCCGTCAATGGTGCGTCTGCCACGGAGAAATCAAAGTCCAAAGCATCAAAGTCGAAGAAAGAGGCCAAGACACACAAGAAAGAAGCCTCTCAAGATGATGATGTGGTGATGGTCGATACGGCCCCGAATGGAGATCCCCTAGTGACTAGCGGACCCGACGATCTTGCCTTTGTGGATTACCCTCCCCCTTTGAAACGAAGCAATACCACATCGAAGAGATCGAGTGGCTTGTTTGGCAGTTTTTTTGGAGGCCCAAAACGTGGGGAGCCCGAGAGAGAAAGACAGAGGAGTAACACTCTGACTGATGCTGAGGACCAGCTGCCAATCCGGAACAAGGAGCGATCGAAGAGAAAATCTCGTGCCCTCGATGCTGAGGATCTTACCACCGATGCACCTGCTGAAACCGACGCCGACGTGGAAGCTCGGCGAGCGGAACGAAAAGCCAAACGACAGGCACGTGATGAAGAGGAAGAGGCTGAACGGATGGACCGTGAGCAGAGACGCAAGGAGAGGAGAGACAGAGAGAAGGCCGACCTTGAGGCTCGTCAACGCAAAGCTCGTGAGCGGGCAAGAAAGGAGCAAGAAGAGGAAGACAAGCGCCGCGAAGAGAAGCGAGCTCGTCGGGCGGCAAAAGAAGCACGCATGCAACAAGAAGAAGCCGAGATGGAAGCCGAAGCAGAACGACGTCGGGAAGAACGGAGACGTCTTCGCGCTAAGCTCGAAGCTGAACAGGGTGGAGATCTCGAGAAGGCAAAAGAGGAGCGCCGGAAATTCTATTTTGCCGAGGAAGAGGACGCAAAAAGACGCAGAGAGGACCGAAAGGGAAAAGACAAGGACCGTGATCGATCGAGTCGCAATAGAGCAACCGCATTGGTTGAGGAGTACCATTCAAGCCGAAGTGGTAGTGGTAAGGGGTTCGCACCTCCAGCGAACAAGACAAGTTCTTGGATAAACTCGCAAGCCGATGAGCCACCAGAGATACCACCAGTGGCCGGAACTATCTTGGACCCATCTGGCGAAAAGCCTCGAGCAGCCGCTGAAGAGCTCGACCGCAAGCGCCGCAGTCGACATCAGGACAAATATGCCGGAATGACCGAAGCTGAGATCGATGAACAGCGTGCCCGACGAAGAGCCGCTCGTCATGGCGAGGTAAAGAGTGCCAGTAACGGTAGCGACGAAAAGGACAAGGAGCGAGAAAGAAGAGAAAGACGCCGGCGTCGAGATCTCGATCCTGCCGATGATCGTGGCTATGGCGGCTACGGGTACGATGAAGCGCCTGTGAAGACATGGGACGGTCGACCGGCGCTCGGCAGGAATGACAGCAAGCGGAAGAGCTTCTTGGGCGGTCTTTTCTAATTGACTCATGAAAGACGCGTCCGGAGACATCTTGTCGTCAACATGTGGACTCATCTTTCCCTCACCAACATCGGCATCATCCAGCATGTCTACTCAATCTTCACAATATCGGCTTTTCTCACGGCATAGGTGCCCCAGGTATGGGAAGCGAGGGCAGTTTTTGATTAGCATCTTTTCAGCAGGTAGAGGCAAGCGTTGTTTTATATTGCATTGGTTTTTATCTGAAGGTACACACAATATGGGTTGAGCCTGGTCGGAGAGGCTTATGGGTTCACTTCTGTTGCACCGGCAATGGCCATGGAGGCTCAAGACCTTACATTCTCAGCACTCGACTCGCCGAGAGACCGGTGCTGGCATCGGAACGGATTGCGTCGTGCTTGACATTGTCTGTGTTGGGTGGATTGATGATTGATGATTGCGGTTATATTTTTGTTCTTGTTGTTGGATAGATACCCCCTTCAGTTCTATTGTTTATATACTATCTTGCTGCGGGCAATACATTTATTTGGTGTTATCTTCAACTGGTAGTATCTTGTTGTTGTCCTCGAACGTTCTGCCTGTCAATGCAGCATCCCCGAGCATTCGTGGCCACGATCGGCAGTACGATACACAGCATTGCAAGCTACAATATCATGTCGAATTGAATGTAGCAGTCATTGCGGCTTATTTGGAACCCTCTTGAGATACATGTTGCCTTCAAATGCAGCGTTCACATTGACTTGTCCGATGTCTTTCGCGCGAGAAACTGCAGTTTTGATGTGCTGTCCGCTCATGCACTGCTCATGATGTATATGTTGACTCGTCGGCTTCTATTCGCTCGTCCCAGTCAACAGCAAGCACAATATCCTGAAGACGCGATACTGGAGTATATCCGCCCGCCGATTACAGGATCCAGGTAGGGAAGAATCACAACTTCAACACACCCCCACTACCAACCTGAACCTGACTCGCATCGCGGCCCTTCCTACCCTTCTTACCACCAAGATCCTGCAGCTCACCCTTCTTGTCAATGACCTTGACGTTACCCTTTTGCAGATCCGAGAGGATATCCGCCTTATCCTGGGTCTTGGATTTCTTGCCCAGGCCCACGCCCTTGCCATTGGCGCTCGCAACCGTAGTCGCGGACGACTTGCCTTGTTGCGCATTTGCTTTCTTGACGCGTTCTTTTTCCCGCCGGCGTCTACGCAGTTTCTCTTCGCGGCTCATTTCCTCTTTATTCGCGGCAGCACCGCCTTTGCGTACGACGATTTCACCATTGTCATCGCGCGCCTTCGTCTCGCCGGGTCGATAGACTTCTTGGGGCGCGAGCATGCTTTCGTCCGCATTGACACCTAGACCCATAGGCCTGGCATCTTCCATTGATATGGTGGGTTTGTCTTCGACGGTCTTGATCTCGGCTTCGAGACGCTTCGGTTTGAAGTGCAGATTGCTTAGCAGGTCGAGTTGGTTGGAGACTTCTTTCCAGAGACGTGAGATCTCGTCGTGCTGCTTTTTGGTTGCGGCGGAGCGCTTGTCAATGTACCCTGGGTCGGTGGCGCGGAGGTGTTCTTGCTCGTAGACTTCGGCGAGAGAGGACTGGGGTTTGGTGTCGTCTAGCAATTCGGTGCGGCCGCGGCGGGTGTCGCTTGCGGTGCCGAGCGCGTCGGGGTGGCGACGGGTGACTTCATCGAATTCGCGGGCTAGAATACGTCGTTTGATGAGTTGTTCGATCTCTTCGGATACTTCGGCCGTGATGACGGGGACGGGTTTGCCGGTGCGCTCGAACTCGAGGTCCTCTTCTATCAGGGAGTTGAGAGGCCGTTCTGCGGCGCGGGCTTCGCCGGATAGTGTCCAGTCTCGTTTGGCGACGTTGGCTGCTTCGAGACGGCGGATCTCGGCCCCGATGGCAGCTTGTTGTTTCTCATGGGTGGACATGTTTTTAGTGGATGGTCGCCCATCGTCTGATCCGGACTCGGCGTCGGAGACGCCGTCGTCATCGGAATCGAGAAGATCGCGACGGACGTCGGCGATGGCACGCTGCATGTCGGTCTCCGTCTCGTCTTCATCTTGTGGTCTCGTTTGAGGGGCTGGTTGGGTTTTTGGTAGGGCGCGCCTGCGTTTGGTTTTGGATAATTGCTTGGGTGGAGGCGCGAAGAAGTCGGCGTACCGGACCTCGTTGGTATTCTCTAGTGTGGGCATAAAGGCCTCGAGGTCGAGGTTGTCTCCATCCACCATGTCCTCGTCGGAATCGTCAGCATCGAGGTCTGCGTCTCCGAATGTCGGGCCGTCTTCTTCTTCAGAACCATCTTCCACGTCGGCGATGTCGTTGCTCTTTTTGCCTTTTTGGCTGGTGATAGTGGCTTTTGGCAAGGGCATACTGAGGGGATCAGCGTTCCAGTCGATCTCGTCTTCGTCGCTGGGGTTGTCGTCCTCGCCCCGGACATCCTGTTGCTCGAGGAACTGTGTTTGACGGTTGAAATCATCTATAGAGAAGAATCCGTCATTCAGACCATTCGGATCTGGGACGTATGTGGTCGGTTCCTCTTCTGCGGATACTGATTCGAGCTCTTCGTCTTCGGCCTCTATATCTTCCATATCCTCGTCCAAAGCGTCCTCTTCTTCGTAGTCTTCCTCTTCGTCCAAGGCCTCTTCATCGAGGAGATCATCCTCCAGGTCTTCATCCTCCAACAGACCCTCCTCGTCGTCCAAGTCCTCCTCATCCGAAACGTCGTCACTGGCTGTGACATGGCCTTTTACTCCATTCGGCGGCAGTATTGACTGTATCTGCTCTTTCTGCGAGGCGATATCTCTTTCCACCTCAGAGCATGCGGCTTCCAGGACCCTCCTCGCCTGTTCCCATACCTGCTTCACACCAAGGCCAGACGTGTATACCTGCCTCAAATGTAGAACCTCCTCTTGACGATCCACATCAGCACGTTTTCTCTTCCGCCTGTTCTCATCCCGTCTCAGCTTTTGAGCATCCGCAACATCGGCCGCCAAAGGATCAAGGAGATTCTTGACACATGCTAATGCCTCGAGGTGAAGGGCTGTGGGTGGTTGCAAAAATGACGAGGTCGAGTCGGCAAGACTCGTCAATAGTGTCTGGGAGTCAGCCATCGGGTGACTGGCGAGTGCCATGACCAAGATCGAGGTTATCTTGAAGCGATGGAAAGACAAGTCGATTCGTCAGGCCTCGCTACAACCGTAAGTGTGGTTTGTCGTGGACTGTCGTCGCATTGTTTAGCGTTGTGATCGGACAATTAATTTTTTTTCTGCTAGCCTGAGCCTCACTGGTGGTGTGGCGCCGTGGAGTTCGGCGCAGGACGAGTGGATAGGAATTTTAGCTGGGGAAGTTGGCCACTCGCATGTCACCTTAGGCTCTAGGGGCGCTTTAGGGCCATCTTAGGGGCGCCTGCATAGCCTAGAGTTTCTGTCTCTTGCGCCTCATTCTGCACATGCTTGGGTACGTACCTCGATTTTTCAGGGTGACGTTACGTGTTAACTGTGGTTCTTGTTATGAAGTAGTGGAGGTGGCGAGGAGCTGAGACTCTTCGGAGAACAGACCATGTCACCTTATTACTTATCTTTACTGCTCTTGGGTCTATGAAGAAACCTAGCTGGTATACTGTGGTATTGACCTGGTGGGAACCCAGATGGCAAACCGAAACATGCAGAGCGATCTCCTTTCTCAGGAAAGTAACAGGATGACTTGATTGACTCCCTGTGTGCAAGTCGCGGTGACTAGCAGAGAAAAATTCTTGCAGAGTCAGCTGCATACTGCATGCGTCAATACGAGTATGTGCCTACGCGTGCTGCCGGTAGATTTGTTTCTTCTCAACATCTCCTCGCAGGTTTTAACTGTGTTAGGTTTACTCGACCGTTGAGAAATATGCATCTCTGTTCTCGTTTCATGTGGTTGATGGTGTGCAGGGAGGGAGTCGATGTCCTACCTATCAAAGCAATCAACAAGATAAGTAAAAGTCCGCTTCAGTGCCATCACCGTCGCTTTGGAGACTGCTAAGCAAGCCAAGCTCAACTAACGCCTGACATGTGTCTTTCCGCTCAGCCACCAAGGCCACTTGGTATTTGCCGACCTAAGCCTGCAGTGGTAGTCGATATGGAGATTGGCCGCCCAGTCCAAGCCGAAGAAAAGCCAAAAGTCTCAATGATTGACAGGCCGAGCCTGTTTCCAGAAAAATTGGCATGGTCTGACGGGGAGTACAACGACGATACAAGTACATGGTCCAGCAGCTTCGCGACAGCGAGTGTCTTGACTTTAAGCTGATATGAATTGGGCGGTGGAGCTGATGCGCTTCCTCTTGCCAAAGCTTAATGCTATGTCGTTGTGTGTAAAGGACTCCAGGACGACAAGAAGGGAAAGTACTGTGTCAATATGAATCTAAAGAGCGACAACGGTCAGACGGTGCCACTTTTGCTGGAAACAGGCTTGAGGCCTAAGGAGCCTGTGCAGACCCTAAAAAAAAGCGCCGCAAATCCTGCATCAATGCCCACTAGCCACTACTTGAATATTTTACTTTCCAGACTCGTCTTGCTGCATATAATAACTGGGACAAGGTTTCCCCGGCCAGCCTACTAGGTACTCAAACACCCTGCGTCGAATTCACCTATCTTTGCATCACGAAGAGCTCGACTCTTCGATCACCGACTTATCTCCCTCAGGGCTTTTGCCCTTCTTGCTTTTCCTTCTACCCTCGCTTACACGCCGTTCATCAAGCGACCCTGGTCCGCCGGCATCCCCGCTTACGGGACCGATTCTCGAGAAGCCCGTCCTGCCCCTCCATGAGTAAATACTTCGAGAAGCTAATGCCCGTCTCGAACTTTTGCAACCAAAAACCGTTGACTTCTTCTGGCAACAGCGCGTGCAAATGAAGTTCGGTGACACCCTCTCTCAGAGGTCCGTACCGAAATGGACCGCTTATAACGTCAACTACAACGAGATCAAGCATCTTATCAAAAACAAAACCTCTGCTGGTGCTGCAGGACCTCGCGATATTCCGACTCAGGGAAGAAACAAGTGGGAAGAGTTGGAGAACCAGCTTTGCACGGTGTTGGGAGCTGAATATGACAATGTCACCCTGTTCTTGGGGAGTAAACAGGGCGAGATCGAACGGCGTCTGGCCCATCTTGAGAAACAGATCAAGATAGCTCAGCGCGCAGTGCAGGACAATGCATTGAACAAGCCCGTCCTGCAGGCTCGCAAATATCGGCAAATGCTTAGAGATATCGAGGACATAGGAGACGAAATACAGAACTTGTCTCGATTCGCAGCTGTGCAAAAGACCGCCTTCCGCAAGATCCTCAAAAAGTATCGAAAATGGACCGGGTCGACTTCACTTCAAACTCGATTGGATGTCGAGGTCTTCTCTTCCAAGAAACTGCAGACGGACTTTTCGGATTATTTGCAGCAACTATCAGAAGAAAAAGCAATCCTCACCGAAGAACTTGCCGAACCTATGCTCACTGGCCGACTTCGAGAACCATCGCAAGAGAGACAAAACAAGAGAATATCGGCGTCGGCCAAGAGATCCCCCATCACCCAGATTAATGAATCAGTCCTCCGTGGGCCGCTGGCATTCGACGCTGCGATTCTGACTGTCCCTTACGGTGAGGCTTCAGGCAGTGCATTCTACTGGATCCATCCAGACAACTTGGATGAGGCCCGCACCATACTCCTTCGGCATATGCGCGATGCCTCTGTACCATCCACGCATTCCGGACATAATTCGGAGACATCAATCTCGAAGAAGCATGTGGAGTTTTTTTCTAAATCTAACACCATCGTCACCCACATGGTTGTGTTCGACAATGCATACAGATTCGTCAAGGATACGAGCACCTCGAGGCCGTCCCGCATAGCCTTAGGTGGTCATTGGAGCTCGGAACCGAATGCGGTCGTGACCCTTGCTGGACTGTCGCCAACATCATCTGGTGGTACCATGCTCACTCTAAGTCGCCAGGACCTGGCGCGAGCTCTTCAGCGGCAGTTCCCAGCCCCCAATATCTCGAAAGAGATAGCTGCCATCCAAAACTACTTGACCGAACATCGAGACGTCAAACCATTAGCTGAAGTCTGTTCCACACGGAACAGATATGTAGGCATTACCAATACTGCTGACGTGGGTAATTGGGCTACCCTCGACACTGGTGTTACCGTGGCACCTGCGGATATGGCCGTCGTTGGCGAACCGGAACACAAGTCTCAAGCTGGCGATGCCTTCCCTTATGCGATTCTCCATATCCGATGGGAGTTTGCAAGGACACCTGCTGTTGTCCGCGCATTCGATGAGTCACATCTGGTAGAACGGGTCCACGATTTCACGATCGAAGATATGGCCGTTCACACTGCTCAGAAGGACCTTGCCGAACCCTCATGGCAATCACTCCTAGAAAAAGACATTAGAAAGGTGCCAATTCTTCCTCGTTTGGCCAGAACTGGTGCTGCCAACCGGAGCAGGCTAAACCCTGCTGACATTGGTGGCACATCTTCTGGTCCATCTTCGACGGAAGGACCTGCCGCAAGCATATTCTCAGCAGGAACAAATGGTCAGTCTTCTGCCACCTCGGACGGCGCTGGAGCCAGCGATGACGCCATCTCAAAGCTGTCTGATGCCTCCGGCCCGAGTACACGGAGAAAGAAGCGTGCGCGGATCGTAGTACCAGAACGGTCGCCTCCACCAACCAGGTATTGGAACGAATTTGACGATCCAGAGTCAGAGTACAATCAAGAAGAAGGCTATGTCATTTATGTCAATCCCGATGAATCTACATTCCCCGGAGCCGAGACCGTGTCCAAGGCTTTTGAGGCTATATCCGAGGGCTTCAACAAGGGCAAAGCCACGGTGATATCATGGTTCCCACCACTCTCGCCGCACGGCAAAGCCACTGCCGCGGAACAGGAGCCATTGCTCGATGACCAACACAGCGTCACCAACACTGAGGACGCTGACACGTCGAGCTCCGAGACCGACGACACAGTGCCGCAACCACAGCGGTCGCCGAGGTCTGCACGATCGCGGCGTTCGAAGCGCCTTAGCGGCTCCAAGTTCCGTGATCACCAACTATTGACGCCGAGACAGAAAATGCTGGAGCGCACTTTATTCTACTTCTACACCGGACTCATTGCCATTTCATATATTCTGCTCGTCATGTCGAGCATCCTCCTTGCAACGGGCCGAAGGAAAGCCTATTTCGAAGTCGATGCAGGTGTGTTCGCTGGGGTTATATCCGCAGAGGCTTGTGCTGTCGCAGCCATGATTCTCATCATGATGAGGAAACAACGATTGAGCGTGCTTCATTGGGGTCTTGTTGCAGTCACGGTTGCAAGCGTGGTTGTGATTGGCGTTGCTTTGATTGCATTGATGTTCGCAGGCCAAAGTTCGGGTGCTGACAGAAGAGGCTCGGTCGACATTGACGACGACTGGGAACTCCTTCGATGACCAATGGGCATAGAGAAAAGGCATGGGAGATACGAGACGAGTTTTATGCTGGTGCAGCTTGTACTTGGAGTGGGTGGTTCTTTGCTTGCTAGCGTTGCTCTACGGAGTATTTCACTCTATCTTGTACAGTGAGCCTGTCTTTTACGAATATTGAGCGTGTCTCATGGGTGGTCTTCTTTTTGGGCCCGTAACAGGCACCTTGTGGTGCGGCCATCGCGACTACGGAGTATACGGAAGTCCAAGGTGACGAGCATATACGGACGACAGAAGGCATCAAAGTTTACATTTACATTGTTGATGACCTAGCGGCTGTCATGATCTGCGAGAGCAGACTGGGGCGAGCTTAGAGGATGTGGAGAGACGGTTGAGGAGGTGTCAATATAATGGGCATGGTAGCGATTTACGGCCTGATAAGGCAGCGACAAGGTCGTCTGCCTCTTGGATGAATGCCATTGAATGGAACTGAAGATTCATCCAAAGCCTGTTATAGTCTACGACCCACTCACATGAATGGTGTCACTTGTGGTTCTTGGTACCATCTCGTAGATCATGTCGTTGACGCTAGGGTTTGACGTCGACATAGCTTTGAACGATGCAAAGTGAGATGTCGTTTGGTGTGTTCACTGTGTTGATGTGTCGCACGATCCATTTCCTCGTCCAGACGATTAAGTTTAGAGGCGTCGACTTGACAATGTCACTTCGCATGAGGGGAACCGAGTAAGCGAGGCCTGTGCATGGCGAACACTGGGCAGTGGGCACATCTGACAGTCTGACATGCAGTGGGTTGTGTTTTAAGGTTTGAAATTGAAAGAAGCAACTCTTGGAAGTTGGAAGACGAAGTTTGGCAAGTCATCTCGAAGAACCAGACTTTTTGTCCCGAAAAAAAACTGTCGACTTTCCGACCCTGGGGACAGGATAATCTTCGTACTCCTCTTTCCCCATACTTGTAGCGGAGAGTTGAGAGCACACTTCTCGAGATCACCACAGCCGCCTTTTCGAGCCAGCCTGGTTGTGAACCTTAGCCTGCGGGGGTTGAGCACCACGTACAATCCTGTCGGCGTATTGAGAAGGAGAATGAAGAGATATGATGAAAGAACTGTGGTACGTCAAGGTCATGTCTGTGATACCGCTCATGCGCTTCATGCCGGTTCTTGCAACGCCTTCAGATCCTCAACACATTGCTTTGCCCCTTTCGTGATAAAACTAGCGTCCTGTTGACCAAGCATAAACCCAACGCCCAGGTCACTGATAGCCCACTTCTGCAGTTTAGGTCGATCATAAATGCCAGCGAGCCCCATGATTTTGCCGTGCTTCTTGCATGCATCACTTATCCGCTTGAGAGCAGCCTGGAAAGTTTCATTCTCAAAGTCTGCCGGCATGCCTAGTTCAATGGACAGATCATTTGCCCCTACTAACAGCACATCCACACCTTTGACCGAAGCAATATCGTCGAGGTTATCGATACCCTCTCTCGTTTCGATCATGACAAAGACAGTTGATCCGATGTCGTTACTGGGACCCGTTACTTTCGGTGCCGTCTGTAGGACCATAGCAAATTGAGGTAGTTGGCCGGTCATTGATCGTTTGCCCTGAGGCGGATACTTAGATATCGAGACAGCTGCTTCAGCCTCAACTGTGGCCACGCATGAGCGTTTCCCCATCGTCACCAATGGTCAAGTAGTAGGAGAATTTCCGGATACCCAGGGACAAGATAGAACTTACCTCGACTGCTGACGTGCGGAAAGACCACACCCATTGCACCTCCATCTAAGACTCTCTGCACGAAACCGTCTCCGCATTGGTATGGGACCCGAACGAAAGGCGTGATGCCTGCCAAGAGACCTGCGGTGCAGAGTTGACTTGCGTCATTCAGAGACAGAGTCGAGTGTTCCAGATCAATAAAGAGCGAGTCGAAACCAGCCTGACTCGCGATCTGAACCACTGCAGCTGATGTGACGAGCTTGATGCCGAATGCCTGTCAAGTGGTAGGTGAGTAAGAGCATCGCGCAACAGGAGAGCATGTACAAACCTTGCACAAGGAGTTTTCCTCTCGCGACCGATATAAGTTGTTCGGGAAAATGGTCGCCATGGTGCGTGACCTGGTAGTCAGGGCGCGTTGCGTGTTCCTTGGGAGTTCAAGTCGTGAACGATGCTGGGTAGTCTGATGATCATGTACGCTCTCCGCAACCTCCAGGTTTCGGGTCTCCTCACGAGAATACCCCGAATGTTCAGCGATTGGAACATATGCCCCGGGTTCGGCATTGAAGCCGATGATGCCGACTTCCCCAGGGTTTTTCTCCATGACAGACTCACCTGAAGATGGAGCGAGTCCTGCGGGATGCTAAGGAAGTTCTGGACGTGAGAAGATCAAGGGTACGTAAGCAAGAGGCAGGGGAAGATCTTTGGTCAAAAACAGCAAAGAAAGTACATTCTGGATCTATCACAACTCCCCAAGACCGATAATGAACAAAACTTTACCGAGTAATCAAAGCAACCTTTCCCACCTGATTTCGCGCATGCTGTACATGCTTGTCCGATCGGTTCATCCTGTAATTGGTCAGTGCTGAACGACGGCAGTGTAGGGCGGTGATAGACGTACCTTCGTTTGTGTTCCACGTATCCCTTCTGGTATAAACTGCCGTCCTAAGCTTTCCAGTCCCTGGACCAACGCCTGTTGACTATTCTTCATCGGAGGGCGGGTCAAGATTGTAATCAGAAAGTGGCCCGACTAGGGTGAATGCTGTTCTGCCGGAGTCGTCGGAATGGTCGTCAGCTTCAGGTTCCTCCTGGACAGGAGGAAGTGCAGGGCCTCGTCGAGGAAGCTGGAGGGCAGGGTCGGGTTGTGGAGGCTGAACTGCAAGGTTGTGAAGGTAGCGTTGTAGAAAATAGGCTGCAAGGTCGTCTTCTTCAGGCTGGACTGCATGATCTTGTTGTAAAGGCTGGTCTGCATGATGCTGTCGTGGATGCTGGACTGCAGGGGCATATTGTGGAGGCTGGACTGCAGCGGCGTCTTGTCGACGATTGATTGCAGGAGCGCCTTGTGGCTGATAGATGGCAGGAGCGTGTTGTCGAGGCTGGACTGTGAGCTCATGTTGTAGCGGGTGGACTGCAGGGCCATATTGTAGAGGCTGACGTCGGTTGAGATACCAGGCGGTCGTCTTGATCACTGCACCGGTGCAGACGGCGCCGAATAGGGCGACAACAGCATACCAAAACAATGACTTCTAGTCGGAGTCATCGCTGTCATCAGCTACTTTCCCAGGGAGAAAAGAGCGGATCTGATGAAATAGGAGTCCGATTGATGTAGACATGGCGGCGAGCAGATCAAACAGTGCGATAGAGGAACGATGCAAGACAATGTGACTGTAGCTGAAGCAGAATAGTCTGGATAGTGAGTGGTAGTAAAGTTGGTGCTCGAAAAGATGATGGGAGAGTGATAAGTTCAGTTTTGGGATTGGAAGTCCATCATTGCAAAGAATGGCAATCACGACGGAGTTGAAACGGGAAGCTGCTGACAACTCATCGTGCTCATCACCGTCAGTGAGCATCAGGAAGGAACCATGATCAATGACCACCCGCGGACAGTGCTCATCGGCGCCATCCTGAGATAGCTGTCATGTTTCTTCATTGGCGAGCTCACCCTCAAGTCACTCATTCCTTCCAAACAACAGGCCCATTGGTTGGCATTGCTCATGCTCATATCAAGTTAGAGAATGTTCAATTCAGTGTTTGTTCTCACTTTGCTCCGTCTCTACACTCCTTTCTGATGCAGCTATTGTATTGATTAGGCCGGCACTCTCCCCATGGCGATGACATCATTGCTTCCGGAGACGACTTCCAAGCTAACGCATGACCGTTGAGCATGCCCATGGGATTGCGAATCCTAAGATCCAAAGGCCATGAGTATCACAAGCACCCATCGGCCAATTGGCTGACTACCATACACGGCTTCCTGTTCGGGTCTCCCTGGGACACTGCACATCCCGTCTCCCCCTTGACGAACTCAAGCATTGACTTTCTGAAGCCGCGCAAGTCGTTAACCGGCCCTGCATCCGGCACTCGAAGGTAAAGCCGTCCAGTCGACCTGCTCTCTTCATCCCTGGTACAGTACCTCTTCCTGCCACCATATCATCCGTGATAATGCGCTCACATCTCCTTAGAGACTTCCAATAACGTTGCCTCCACCTTTCGCCATGGAAGACCACGAGTGGCAAGCCTACACCGAGCAGACTCCCCTGTTGCCCTCTGACCGCCGATACCTCTCAAGCCTCCGTCAATCGCGCGACTTCATCGCCTGCCATATTGTCAAGATTCATGGCGAAGACTCTTGGGTGTGGAGCTTGCGCAATCGTCTTCAGCGCTTCTTTTCCAGCAAATGGGGACATTACTTTGTCCTTACCCTGGTGGCGCTCGACATCAGTTGTATCTTCGCCGATTTCCTCATATCTCTCCACATATGTGAACATGGTGGCGAGAAGGGTTTCCACTACAGAGAGTGGAATATGACGCAGAATGTGTTGAACTATGTCAGTTTGGTATTCTCCTGCCTGTTCATGGCAGAACTGTTGGGCAGCGTCTTCGCTTTCGGCCCTGGGTAAGCCAAATCCAAACTTCTAAGCTCCAATGGATGCTGATGTCGCTCTTCAACAGCTATTTCAAATCTGGTTTCCACGTCTTCGACGCCTGCGTCATTGTTGCAGGCTTCATCGTCGACGTGCTCCTTCGCGGTCCGATCGAAGAAGCCGGTTCGCTCGTCGTGATTGGTAGATTGTGGCGTGTGTTCAAGATCATTGAGGAGTTCTCTTCTGGCGCAGAAGATGAAATTGCTGAGATGCAGGAGAGAATTGAACAGTTGGAAAGGGAAAATGATAGGGTCACCAAGGAAATTCAAGAGCTGAGGTTTCGAGGAGTCCAAGCAGATGGCGACGCCCACAACGGGGTTGATGGTGTGGCGACTCCTCCTCTGGGCGGTCCTTGAGGCGTTTATCTGATGGGACATTGCGGCGATTGGCAGTCTATCAACGTTCATGGTTTCAAAGGCAGGGAGGAGCAAAATGGCGGAACTTCACGATACTCGGACACGGTAGAAGCTTAGATAATGTGGAACTTTGTTACAAGGGGATTCATTCAATTTGAGGCTCGCTATTGTAGCTCTTTCTGCTAGAAACACATTCGAAGGGAACGACTGTTTGGGCCCCGGGCTCATTACGAGGCCCAGCCCTTCACATAAGGAAAACCAGCAGGCCCTGCATGGCACTGTCATCAATGAGCTGTCCTCATATATCAGGATCTGGCTCGGTCACATTGCTCGATAAATCGATATATCCCTTCCAACCCTTCATATTCGTCACCTCTCACTGACTTCGCATGCTGTTTTGCCATTCGTGGCTGATCAGCCTGGAAGAAGTACATAGCTGCATCGTCATCGCCCCAAACTTCGCTCTCATGCAGACTGGAATAACCCGATGGCGACGAAACCCACGGATTATGACCCATAGCATTGTCAATCATCTCAAAGGCATCCTGCGACTGACTGGTGGCCGAAACATGCGAGAAGCCCGGCGAGCGTTGTTGGGGCGGAGTGAGCATCTCGTGCCACTCAACACGATCTTGCTTGATGCGTTTGGCAGGTCTCTTGTGGGCCGTCTCCACGCAGACCTCACTCGCAGTCCTGCTAGGAGCGTACGGAAACATCAATGCCATGTCGGTGCCATTCTGAGCGTCAAAGTCCTCGTCTTGACCGACGATGCCACGCTTGATGTTCAGTTCTCGACACAGATTCTCGACGGTGTCTGCATCGCAGCCTGAGAAGCGCACTCGCAGAGTCGTGCTGTTGTGCAGGGTGATTGGCAAGTCGCCTAGCGTGGCTAGGTGTTTGAGATCGTTCATGATGGCGGCGAGATCTTTCAGAGCACGGCCAAAGTCGGCGGACAGGTTCGACATGATGATGGTGTTGTTCAAGGTATCTTTCTCCATCTCGTAGTCACAGGTTGAAGCTGACTCTGAGCGAGGGACAGTGCTCAAAGGGCCAACGGCAGTGATGGTGGGGCAGACCTTGAAGTCGATGAAGGATCCTGGAGCGTCGGCTCGAGACATGTCCATGGTATGTCTTGCATCCTCTTGCAAACTGGAGATAGCCCGGTATCGCTTCTCGCCTGTACGCGGGTTTGCACCGTCGAAACGAGCCTTTTGTCCAGAAAGCCAGAATGCTCGCACAGCTTGGGATACATTGTTGACTACCTGTGCTGGAGCCGCTGGTGAGTGGGAAAAGTACCTGGCTCCCCCGACACGACCACCTCCTAGACCATATCCGCCGGCAGAACGACACAGAGCGCCACCTGTAAGGTTTGGTCGGAGGGTAGCCGCAAAAGGTGCTCGACCAGTGGACCGTCCGACAGCGGTAGCGGTTCGAGAGGAGGGATAAGAGGCTCGTGGACGTCGAGCAGTTGAGCCGGGTTGGGAAGAGTAATGACGAACAGTATTCTTGACCGTATGGCTGGTGCTGTAGTAGCGGCTTTGAGCCTGTCGGATTTGGTCAAGTCGATTGACTGGTTGACGCTGAGAGATTCGGGCATAGGCAGGTTCGGCGTTGGCTTCGATACCGGGCTTTGCTGCCTGGGGTATCTTCTCACGAATGAGTCGACCCACATATCTGATCAGCCTCATGGCTTTGGGAACCAAGAGGTGACCTCCTGAGGTTGCCATGATGTTTACCCACCAATGGCTTGAAGGAGAGGAGTTGAAGAGAAGGGAGGAAGTTCAAAACAGGTTCGCAGTTTTGTAGGTCTTGGAGTTGACTTTAGCGATTGTCTGGTTCTGCACAGCCATCCGTTGAGCCACCTTTTGCCACCGTCATCTCCCCGCATCATAACACGAAACATTCCGATGTTAGCCACGTGACTCAAGCCGGCTGGAAGAACTATGCACCGGTCAATTCGTTCTTGGGTCACCGCTCCCTGCTTCATTCACGCCTGTCAGCACCAGTATTCGGTCGTGCTGCCGTAACGCCTGTAAGCTGAAGGTTCGCCTATCGTGCACGTCAAGAGCAGAAAAGGTGGCCGGAATCACTGGACATTGATTTCAAAGGACACAGATATCTATAGATGTTACTATGGCATTCGTTTCAGGACCTTTATTTCCGATTTACGGATATAAAAATGTCAAAAATGTCATGCTGGCGCAACCTCGACAATCAGACGGTCCGATGGTCGTGGCTGCTCTTAACGATCCTCGTGTGTATATGAATCTCAACGGACCACCCTACCCATATACGGAGAAGGATTGGGAAGAGTGGTATCTCTTCGTCTCACACGCAGCACGTGAGTGTTCGAAAGAATACCAAGTCATCGATGAGGAGTTGGGGGACCAGGGGAGAGATCCCAAGGAAAGAGAGTGTCAGCGGAAAAGATTGATAATGCAAAGCATGTGGCCTTTGACTATTAGAATAGAACCTGAACTATTACGAGATAGATTGAGAAGTGAATCAGCATTCATCGGCACAATCACCCCCCAAAGGAGCATATTTCTCTACATTTTGGACGAGGATGAACGTCAAAGGCGGAAACAGGAGAATGACGGACTTGCTGCTGGAGATCCCAAGATCATCTGGGAAGTTGGATGTAAGTCGACACCCCTTCCTGCTTCTCTCACAATGTGTTCTCTCATTAGCGATTGTGAGCCTTTTTTCGACAGAGCTCATCGTCTGCAGTCTATCTGATCCCCGACTATCACGGGCGCGGAATCATGCCTGCAGTGCTCCGAACAGTCATCAAGGATGTACTTATTCAGTACATGAACGCCCACATTGTGGAAGCGACGTATTTCGAACACAACTCGTCCAGCAAGAGAGTCCTTGAAAAGTGCGGCTTCCGATTCGTGCAACTTGTGCCAGATGCCATCGCGTTGCCGCCCACAAAGACCAATGGCGTAACAGGGAGAAAAGTTGGTTTGGGTGTTATGAGATGGCAGGGGGCATGATTAATTGGGTTGTCAACGTGGCATGATGGTGGTTATCGCGATGCTCGCGGCTGTGCGACCGGCTTCTCACCTACAGTCACTTTCTCGACGGTTTGCCAGAGTCCTCAACCAGGCGTCCTCTCCACCGCGGCTCGTAGGTCTGATGAATCCGGAACAGCATAGTCGCTTCGAACATCGCCCACCTCGGCATAGCATTGCGGCAACTGGAAACCATTGGTCTGGTCACTCGCAGTCCTTCCGGAATCGGCCCCTGAAGATCAGCCAGATAGCTGCCGCGCGTTAACTGTCAGGAAACTGAATGTCAAAAGTCCACGCTTGTGACGGGCGGACCTTAGTTTTGCTGGTGATAACTGATAAGCGAGCATGCTTGAGCACAGGCGCCGGAGGACGAATGTTCAGAACTCCAGAACCTCCAAGACCATCGAGGCTGATGCACAGATGCTCAACAACAACCTCAATAGCAGGGTGGGCATTACTTGTGGCTGGCCGACACTGGCCGTCTTCCTCAGTGGTAAAGCTTCGATCCTGAACATGCCATTGCACATGGCTTATTCAGCCATGGCATATATATGTAAGACAGATAATGGCTATGCCAAAGTGGTGATAGAGGATCTGTCGGCAAATACCATGGGATAGAATGCCCTAATGCTCCGAGTCATCTGAGCTCAAGTTACCATCAAGCGAGCGTTAATGCCAACGGCTGGAAGTTCTCAACACCAGTCGATATAGCAACACACGCACGCATGCGTCAATTGCAATAGATAAGAACATAATGTTAAGTTCGATAGATTCAGTGGTATAGAGTAAGTTTTGGACGGCTCCAAGCACGGACTCAGGGTTGATATATCGCAAGGCCGGACCACCCTTCAGATTGTTGCGGAGCAAAGATGTGACGGAAAACTCCAGGGTGCTTGACCTCACAATGGGAGCTCTTTGATGTCGTGCGTGACTGTCTTGTGATGAATCGGTTGTTTTATCAGGTGCAGTTGAGTGCTTGCTGAAGCGTTATGCTTCTGGACCGCAGATAGCCAACGATCCCGCGACTTGATTCTGAAGACTTCATATAGACAAGGATCGCAGCTCCATGGCAGACCTGCAGTCAGTCATGATAGTCTATGATGCTGCGTGCTCCTGATCGCCCCTTCGATCGGCTGTCAAGATGAGACACGTCAAAAAGCAGGAGAAACAATGGCAGTAGGTCAAGCGATGTTTTTAGCCTCGGTTCATACTCACATAGTTTGAAAGTTAGGAGAATTTTGCAATAAAGCGTGTTAGTGGCACGGAAGATTGACAGGTCCGTGCCCGCATGAGATTTGTCGAGAACTCGGTAGACTCAAGCTGTGGCTGCCTGAAAGACGAGAAAATCTGCTCGAAGGGAAGGACACAATTTTCACACAGACATAATCGAGGATCGTTGAAGATTAAGAACTTGCCGGCCGTGCCGGCCACGAGGATGAGGCTCTCTCGGTAATCTGCGAGTAATGGAGAACCTTGGTTTGATGAGGAATCGAAGGCTTGCTGGGATAATCTCGCATAGGCGACAAGTCGGGGAATTCCTTGGGCGACGCAATTTCGCAGTCTGCTAAACTGCAACAGGCATTCATAGCAACATGTTCTTCTGAAAGGATGTTGCTCCTTACCGCGGTTTAGCCAAAAAGCCTTATGGCACGACCATTAGAGTCTCGATCGCACGCCACAACGCACCATCCGTATCACATCATTCTGCTACCGAGTACGATATAGCACTTTGTCCTACCTATATTGTTGTAAACCCCTTTTCTGGCCCATGCTTCTTCTCGTCTAAGCAACTCCCCGCGCACTCCCAATCAATTTTGACGTGGTCCTGACAGGACTTTTGACATTTCCCATTCACCTCTCGCACGGTCCTTCTAGTCGATAATCAATAACTGTGTTATATGGAAAATCTGAATGTGGCTTTTGCTGTTCCTGGCTAGTGACGTTCCTGGGGCTCTTTACTAGTGGGCACGATTAGCCCCCGTCGGGCCCAAATTGGGGTCGGGAACAGCGTGTCAATCGATGGATGGTCCCTTTGCTCGCTTGTCTTCCTTGGCCCTAATCCCGTCTTGCTCTCACCTCACTTTGATGCATCCTTCAACACCACCCTGCGCTCGTGTTTCCCCCAGACTCGCCCATTCAGCCGCAAGGTCTAGGACCCTGAGCCAATGCTAGCTTCAAGCCCCCTTCCTTATCCTTTCCCCTTTCGTTCAATCTTGGACCCACTGCGTGTTGGCATGGCTGACTGAGGTTGAAGAGATGATCCTGACACCAAAACTGACACTCACATGAGGGCTCACGGGCCAGGCGCACCGGCTCGCGTCCTGCCAGAAGAACTTCAAGTAGGCCTTATTCCCCTCTTCAGTCCCATAATGTCAACTTCTCGTCCTGCTTGCGTTGTGACAGATACGTGATCACCCCTGTGGATCATCAGCGTCGTCGTCGTCGTACGCAAGCCGATTGTTATATGCTTGCTACAGCCTTTCAGCCTTACATCATGAACTCAATATCACCTTTGTGCTCACACAGTCCTCTCTCCTTTGCCTCGAAACCTACATCACACACAGAAATGTCGCGGCCCGTTGCATCGAGGTTACACGTCGTTGCTTCCTGGAAGCTGAGAAGCGAAGCAGGGAAGGACGAACCCGGACTACGGAAACTGCTGGGCCATATATCGTTATTCGATCAGACTATGGCGTACTCCAGACCGGAGATACAATCTACACAATTATCCGAAGAGGTTAACGAACTCTCTACCTATCTTCACCACCCTGTACCGTCTTTCAAAGATTTCCAGGCTGCGATAGAAATGCAACTCGCAACGATGGCTGAGATCAAGGCGTCGGCCGCACGATTGGACGCCGAGGAATACAACAGTGATGAAGAGGAGGACGAACATGATAGTGACTACGATAGTTACGATGGCGAGTGGAGTGACACTGCAGCCGAAAGCGACGATAGCAACACAGATTATGAAGGGTCAGATGGCCAATGGTCAGCGTGCAGTAGTCCAACATCCTGTACAGGGGACATTCCTAACAAGGAGGACGAGGATGACGAAGGCTTATGGGCTATACGTCCGCAGACATCTGTCACGAGCCCGACATCAATACACTTCTGATGGTGGTGGAGGGACATTCTGGGGCGCTGTTCAGCTTCGTGTCCGCCCTTGGCAACTCAGCGTCGTATTCTACCTTGACTTATTAGCGAGGCGTTGGTGGCTGTCATGCCGAAGATAGGTGATGAGGTCTGTTGGACCTTGAACAAATGATGTTATGACTCTTGAGCAAAAGCATGGTGTTTTGGGATAATTTGTTCTCAATGTTCAAAGATACCCTGGATCAATATGTACTATTGAAGCGGTCCAGACAAGAATCCGCAATGACAAATCCTGGCATATGTGCCACACCACAAACTCCATTCCTTGCCTTCCCGATTCCAGGGCCAACGCTCATAAAATGACATGATGAAATTCGTGGCACCCAATACCTGGGGCCTCCTGGCGGATATGTATGGTAGCCCTCACTGGGGGGTCCAATCAACGCCGGAATGGTGGTAAACTCTTCAAGTCCAGTCATCCTCCTCTAGTTCTTGCCAAAGATCTTGCTGCCTTCGGCACCTTCCATGAACCATTTGGAGCTGTCCAGACTCGAGTTCTTTTGTGCGTAGCGGCCGCCTACTCTGCCACCTGATCTTGCTGCCTAAAGATTGATTGTTAGCCGCAGTTCTTTGCATGTGGTTGAGCGAGATGCCACCTACGACTTCTTGCGCGAGGCAGTCAAGTCGATGGGAAGCATCTCCAATTCAAGGTAGAGGATACTTACTGCGTATGCAACACCGGAAGCGGTGGCCACTGTTGCGGCAGTGAAAATACTTCTCATCACACCTTGGTCGTGCTTGGACATTGAAGGATGTGCGTGTGTTGAGGCAAAGCGGGCAGATGTGCCAAGTCTGGGGGTGAGGGACATAGCCCGGCGAGAGATGATTTGTCTTGCGGCGTTCATTTTGATATGAGAGGGTTTGTTTGGTTGTTGTTGGGATGCGTAGTGATTGGTTGATTGAGTAGTAGAGATGCTTGTTGTTGCGAGTGGATGCTTTGATGCGAAGATCTTGTGCTTTTGATGTTGCTGATGGAGTGATGAGAAACAAATCCTACCTGGTCGTGTTCTTCCATGGCCTTTTAAACAACTCATGTGTGCACCAAATCCCTTACCTCTGTAGTAACATCCACAGCGCTATGGTGGCATCATGGGCCAGACAACAGCTGTGGTCTTTGCTCTGTCAGGAGACAATTGAGCAACATTCAATGGTGTGCTACACAAAATGTCAGGTGCTAGGTGATCAGCTCACCAGCCCTATGCCGACATGCGAGGTTTGTTCCTGGCTAGAACAGATCGATACAGCGGCGGTCTCCGCATCGCCCAAATCCTTCGGATGCGTTAATACTGTATGGGACAAGGCTGAAGAGTGTGCAAGCGAAACCAATCGACGATCATGGGTGCTAACGGCGACTTATCACGCCACTGTTCTTTTGCTGTTACGATATTTACCATTTGTTACGCCGATTCCTGCTGCGGCAATTGTGTCAGTACCGTCATTCAAAACCAGTCTCCTGTTTGAAAGGTCTGGATCGATCGGACTGGTGGAGCCTAGACTTCGCCAATGTTACGAATATTGGTATTGGTGTTACTGCACGTGAGCAGAATACCGAGTTTGACTATTCCCATTGGCTCTTTCGATCCTCGCTTCGGTCTGGGCAATACGACACCCATGCCGCGTGGTGTGACATTGCACTTCCTTACTCACCCTCCCAAAAGTTTGAAGGTGCCGGACATCCTCTGCCGAATTTCCCAATCTTCGAAACCCTCGATCACCTTACAACTACAGACTTTATCCCCACAACACACCTTCCAACCTCAACATCGTGGCCTGACATTCCTTCTTCCTCGATACCGCCAAAACCCCAGGACAGCAAATCCTCTTCCACTTTGACTTTCTAGCGTCTCGCCTGCTCACCTCGAAGCCTGAGAGCAGTAATTCACGCACTGTCGTTGGCAGAGACCCTCCGAAGCACCGCTTTCAGAGGTTGAAACAACCAATCGACACGACAGAAACCTACCGGCCAAAAACAGACCCCAGAGAAGGCTTTGAAACAATGCCTTTCCGAAATCTTTATCGGCAGCTGTCTGCCTCTCATGACTTTCAAAACCAGCAGACCTTCCAACGTCACTCTCAACTAGCAATCGTTGATCCCGACTCACTCGATTACACCGGGTGGCATGAGATGGACTTCACCCAAATGCCCCTCACCTCACCCATGGCAAACTCCAGCCCTCAGCAAGCTCAGGGTCAGAAGTACTCGTCCAATATGGATACCGATGTAGACCCTATGGCCTATCTAAGGTCACGAGGGCAGAACTCCACTGGCACAGTGGTCAGCCCTGCTTCCCAGCAGCAGCAACAATCTCCCCTCTCAGGAGATGTGTATTCTACTGGACCCTTCTCCTACTCTCAGCTTCTCAACATGGACACCGATCTCACGTCGATGGATAGCAGCTCACGCACCGATGGTGACTCGAACATGACGAGTGCTCTGTCTGTCACCGATTCTCTCAATACCTCACCTCCTCTCAGCACGCTCGACCCCATCGCCATCTCCTTCTCAAAGCAAGACCCTGCAGAGAAGCTGTGCCCCCTAATAGCAGGACAAGTCGACTCTTGTCAACCGTCAAGATGCGGCCCCGATGCTCCATGCATGAACTTCACCACTCTCCCTCCCATCGAGGAATGCACATCCGTTCCATGCATAACCCATGAGACATCTCCCAATGAAACCATGATCACCAGCGACAGCGTCTCGGTATCACTACATCAAAGACCAAGCGCGGGCTCAAGGTCCAAGACCGCGCCTTCAGCCGTTCACCGCTCCCCATCTACCTCGAACGACCAAGCCCAGTCCGTACCTCTACCTTCTCGACGATCACGAGCAGCTCCCGCCACTGCAGCACGCAAACAAGCAAGCAAGGCGAAGCTCACTAAGACCGAGACCACAGGCAGTATTGCTTCGGACGACGAAGAAGATGACGACCAATCTGGGGATAAATCTACGGCTCCTTCCAAAACCGACGCCAAACAACGCGCCAAGCAAGCTCACTCCCTGGTCGAGCGCAAATATCGCGAAAATTTGAACGCGAAGATCGCACAGTTGCACGTCACCCTGCAGTCGACGCACTACGGTCCCAAGAATGGCGAAGAAGACGAGGAGGAGGCGCCGGCACCAGTGCCAGCGAACAAAGTGCGCAAGAGCGATGTCCTGACCGAGGCCATGAACTACGTCAACCAGACGGAAGTCGAGATGCGCCACATGGACAACGAAATCCAAAGATTAAGTGACCGTGTGAGGGCACTCGAGAAATTGGTCCGATGTGAGGACTGCAGCCTGCTGAAGCAGATGGTCCATATGCAGGTGCAGCCCGTGTGATTCGGCGGACGAAGCTATATTTTTTTGTTGAATAATCCGGGCGACTTGTCAAGCCCTGTACATTTTGATGTGTGTGCGGAGCGACTCGCGGCGTCAAGCTTCGCTGCGACACCCTCGAAGGCGTTTGTGTATTGGAGTATGAAACCTGGGTAAGCCCGGCACAGCACAGCTGTTGCGTCTTGTGGCAGGAGTTCTGTTTCACTGGAGGGCGCTTGATTGACCAACTTGCGAGTCAATATGATCTATGGCTAGGGCGGTACCTCGATGCATGGTGTGGAGGAATAAAGATCTGGAAAAGCTCATTACAGACGAGTGGCGTTGAAATACGAATCTGAAATTAAAAGTATCCTGTGAGGAATCCAGGGTACTTCCTTTTTCACAAACTCAAAAGATCTTCCGCTCTTCTTCACTTTGCGTAAGTCTAAGCTTAAGCCCGCCACGGTACGTGGTTGTGAGGATGCTCATTGTTGTCGTCGGTATCCGACCTGTAAAATGCTGATCGTCCTCTTTCCCAGGAGGAAACTTTCTCGTGTCCCTTTCATGTCGCTTTTCGTCCAAAGTGGCTGCAGCCGCATTCCCTGTTCATACCTGCCTCAGTGCCCATGACATTACTTCGTATCACCTCTCTACTCGATCTCAATCTTGATCCCTCCGCCTCTCATCTCCGCCTCATCTTCAATACTCCGCTTCGGCAGATCAACCCTCAACAACCCACCCTCAAGTCTGGCCTTGAGCTCCTTCATCTCCACATCTTCAGGTAAAGTGAACGTCCGTCTCCACGGCCCGACTTTCCGTTCAGACAGGAGCACCGAAGGCAGCGCATCGGCCATCAATTGCGCCTCCACGGTCTCTCGGGAAGGTTGGCGCTCGAGTGGACCACCGTCGTCTTCGACTTTCTGTTCAAAAGTTCGTTAGCACATGCTGTCCAGGTAGTGCGGGAGTTATGCTCACCTTGAAGCGTCCTGACTCAATGATCCATCCATCTCCACTTGCGCCCTCCCAGATTCGTCTGCCCTCGTCGCTGTCCAGCAGTCCTATGTTCGCTGGCCGTTTGACTTCGCCTTGGACGAGCAAAGTGTGCGGCGTGAGCCATTGGATTAAGATGCTTTCTTTGTCCGTGACGCCGGGCGTTTCGATCTCAATATGGTAAGACCTGAGAGTCTCGCGGATGTCGGTTGGTGGTGACCAGATGCCCGCGGGTTTGGGAGCGGAAATGCTTGCTGGGGCGTGGGGGCCGAGGTAGTGCGTTTTCAAGGTCATCTCGTGTAATGAGACGCGTGGGAACTGGAAGTGTGTTGGGTGGTCGTGCGGTTGGACTGGTTCATGGTGTGTGGTTGTTGTGGGTTGATTTGCACCGCTTTCCTCGACGAGGCGGATCACGTAGTTTGATGGGATGGCGTAGGGGAGACCTGACATTTTAATGGTGTTGGCGATATTGAGGTAGTCGAGTGTTTGATTGTTCTGGTAGGACTAAAAAGTCGTGTGCTTAGTGCTTTGTTGATGTGAGGTTGATTCAAGCCGGGGTAACGTTTGCGACTCGATGGAATATATACTCTCGAAGCAGGGGAGGGTTTTACCTTATCCACGAAAACAAAGCCAGAGCAACGTCACAGTCTGGGCTGCAGCTCGTTGCATCGACAAGACTGCAAACCCAACTGTCACGGACGAACTCACTAAGATGCTCATAACACGTGCGTGCTGGAGTGAGGACAGTGGATGGGTGCTCGTGATTGGGTGCGCTGGTATCTTACCCCTTGAGGCATATTGAAGGCCAATGCAAGTATCATGAGATGATCGGCTGAGTAACAACTTGTTTAGTATTTTCTGGGGTTGTTGGCGGAGTGGACAGGCGAGAGCCGGATACGGACAGGGGGAAAGGCAGTGATTGGGTCCAACGGAAGTCACAGAATAGAAGTGTGCCAGAGGGTTATCCTGTAATCAGTGTTGATGAGCCATATTGCTCGACCCATCTCCTGATTGAGCCCTTATTGGATAGGAACGTTGGGACAGGGCTGGAGGAACAGCCGTGAGTGCCGGAAAGGCTTGGGGATGATATCTTTTGGGCGTTGGACACGTACTCCCACGTACGGTGCAGAAGCCGAGAACGTCGATCATGGGTCCTGAGGTAGGAAGTTCATCGCTGCTGAATTAGCTGCAAGGAATGATCCCTTGGAGGGGTGCCTGCGATTGTGCGGATCAGTCAGGCACGCAGAGCTGCTGCTTGGCATCTTGATGGCATTGGTGCCTAGAACAACTCGTCTGATGGCGGAGTCCTCTGAGATGAGGGAAGGACTCAAGGGTGTGTGGTTGATGATTGTCAGAAGTGGTGTGATGGTTTCTGAAAAGACTCAATGAAAAAGTCTAGATGCTCAGTTTTTGGTGGGTATTTTACCGAAGCCTAGTAGCCCCACCGGTCATCAGTAGGCTATGTTTGGACGCTTGGGGAAGCCCTGTCACGCCTAAGTTTTAGGGCTCCGGTGAGTGGCAATTTAGGGCTGTTAGGCGGTATCGTCGCTTACTAAGAGGAGTACGTTATTTAGACTTGGTATCAGTACGACATCGATATACCAATTGAGTATTCAAGAGGTGTTCTTCATTCAGAGAATAACGGAGGCCGCGTTACCGGACCTTAGCTCGCAGTATCGCTCAATGTTACCAAAGTCCGTCACATATGAACGAGGTGGATTAATGAAGTAAGATTGCTTCGTTGAGGTCGATATCGCAATTTGCCAAAGGGCAATATACATATTCCAGAGAAATACGGAGCAAACGCTCTAAGCAGATGTGCCTGCACCGTTTTCATACCCAGCACATCATCGCATAGTACAATCCCGTGATCCATGCATGGTATATCCCAAAATCCAAACGCCAGCACATATGCCTCGTTGCAGCACCTTTGTGTCCGTATCATGTTTCGTCATCACTCATTAATACTAGTAGCTCGAGACGCAGTCATCAGAGTCTGGGCTGCGAGCCTCCATATCGGCCACCATCTCATCGTGCATGATTTCCGAGACTTTGTTTGCAGCTTCTTTCTCGAGGCTCGCTCTTTTCTCCAGAATGATACCTGGCTCTTCAATCAGACCGTATCTCTCGCTCAAGTTCTCTGTTGGTGTGACGACTTCGCAATGACAGTTGTGCTGAAAGCCTGAATTGTGCTTGGTGGTCATTTGAGTTGGAGAGTGCGTGCCATCGCTGTGTGTCTGCGAGACGACGTTGCCCGGACAAAGACCCGAGTGTCTTCTTGTATGGTTGCGTACAGTCACCCGAGGAGGCATCTCAGTCGGCATCTGGATGTCGGGGCAGAAGTTGTCCCATGATTCTTCGTCGTCTCCGCTGTGGTTGTGATTGTGATGCGAGTGACTTCGGGTCAGAGATAGGTCTTGAAATGAGCCGCGCTTCATATGGCAGCACGAGCAATGTTGTGATTGAGTGTTGTGGCTCGAGGATAGCCTCCTTAGTTGTGGATGCATGTGCACGTCGGATTGACCTGGGAAGAGTGTTAGGATTGGACTGTAATCCAGATTGGAAACAAGGCACTTACTAGGAGATCTGGGTGTTTCTGGAGGAGAGCATGTGCAATTCGTGGCCTTTTCTCTGGTTGGGAGGCCGTTTTTGAACATGGTATCGAATTGGTCGTATTGCACCATTTGGGTATAGGTGGTTGTTTGGTAGTGGGAGATGATTGTTGGAGGGCTTTATAGTCCTTGAATGTGTTTGGCTTGGTGATATGGGTAGAGGAGTAGTAGTTTTTCCAGCGTCTTCAAGGACAATTTATGCATCTGAGGATTACCATACCAAGAGCGGGATAAGGAGGCGGCATTCTCGTGGCACATCATCAATTACGAGATCTCCCTCCAAGAGTGTTTCCGCTCCGCTGGCAAACTCCCCTACCTCAACCGAGAGGAAAGCTTACTGTCAGTGGATGATTGAGCAGTGGTGTGATACAAGGGGCGAGCAGTGTGCGGGAAGGACTGCCGGTACAGGTGACGGGCAGTTGAACCGAAGTTCAGGGCGGAAAATTGTCGTTCTGTGGGGAGCCGTAAGGCTCTGATTTCAGGGTGCAAGTTGACTGGAAGTGATTTGACGGTCATGGGTTGGGGCCCAGGGACCTGCGGTGGCTGCCGATGGCCCAGGCGAGAGGCTACTAGGCATCAACACGCCACGGCGGAGTGATTTAGGCCACCTAGGCACTGTCACTCCACTCGCAGGGTAACAAATTGGCTCACTTCATACCGTTACCTCAGCGCCCGAACCTTGACCCCTCCGCCTCCTGTCCTTGCAATACACAACGCCATCCATAAAAAATGTCCCAACCCAGAGCAAACACACCCGTAACCCAACACGCAAGGGATTCCGACTCAGATCATTTGCACATTGTTCATCTTTCCAGACGGTATGAGAAAGTTCATTCAGGTCCAGTATCCCAAGAAAAATCGGAATCGGAAAGGTCTTCTGAAGATTCTTCCATCCCCGCAGGGATCATATTCCTCAACGATCGAAACGCATCGCTCTCCCTTGCTCTTGGTCGTCGGGTGCCCATGCTCATCTCCCTCTCGGTGGGATCGTTGCGGCCAGCGGAGCCGTCACCTGACAACGATAGCCTGCACTGAGAAGTGAAGGTTCCTCCAACGTATCTGCTTCGGACTGGACAGGTAACAAGCAATTTGAAGACAGGACCATATTCATACTCGTGCAAGATGTCTTGAAGTTCTCTGATCATGAGCCGGCAGTCTTCAGCCCACTCATGTTTTTCGAAGCAATCGATGCTGTCAATTATGCAGAATAGCACCGTGTCTGCCGGAAGCTGCTTGACGACGTTTGCAAAGCAATCGCACAGCATCTGAAGACTATGTGACTCCAACTGCTCACGGTGTCGACGAGAGAATGCGAAACTCAGATCTACCTGGTCGTCGAACAATCGTAGAACCTGGCAGATCAGACTTCTCATCATACCTTGCGGTCCTTGTAGCGAATCTTTCGACGAAGTGTGACGCCTGCAGAAATGGTGTATCGATATGGCCGGCGCTTTGCCTTCAAGGCACTCAATGACCAAGCAACTCATCAATGACAACGAAGCGAAGCGTCCGTGAAAGGTCAAAGCAGGGCCACCTTCGATGAACAGGGCACCCGATTCGTCTGCAGAGAGCCATTGCTTGAATCTTGCTCCTTCAATGATGCCTTGAGCGATCTGGGAATCTGACGGGTCCAGTGATTGACACGCTCGATGAATATGTCGGAAATCCTCAATTCGAGTTTCGGCATTGACGTTCAGTATATCGAACATATCAGCCTGCGTTAATCCACTGGCTGCTTTCTGGAGACTTTTAATCTGTCTCTTCAACCGACGGATGTCTCTACCATCCTTTTCCCTCCCTGGAAAGAGAGTAAGCGACGTGGCTCTCAGCACGGACATCTGAGTCCATCAGACTTACACTCGGCGGTTTTCAACGCGAGTTCCATTGCTCGCGCAGCCTGTTCTTTCGCTTGTTGCACATCACTCAATGTCTTAACCTTGCTGTGAACAGCTTGTTGTACGCCGTGAAGGTCGTCAATCTTGACATGGGTTGTCCGCTGTGCAGCGTGAACATCTTCCATCTTGACATTAAATGTCTTGATATCCTCAGTGACAGAGGTTAACTGAACGTCAGTATGCGTCGTAACGACTGCCACCTTGTTGACGATGGTCTGCACATTCTCAGCAGTCTTTTGGCCAGTGACGATCGCGTTGTCACGCAGAACGGAGGCTCGCTCTTGTAATGCGACGAGCGCTTCATCAAGTGCCTGTACCTTTTCTTTGAAATGCTTGTTGTACAGTTGCCCACGCGCCAAAGCACGAGCCTGTTTACCTTGAGATTCGTCAGCCGCATGACATGAGAAGCAGCAACAACAACCGCAGATTACCAACAGGATGTTGCTTCAGCCATTCCGCTGCTCCTTCGATCGCCCCGAGTATTGCCAGGTATAGCTCCTCAGCCTTCTCATACAGCGCCGGATCTGGATAAAACGTTTCTACCGAGTGTTCGGCTTGCACGATGATACGGGGTATCTGCAAGAGCGTATCTAGGACTTTCTCACGACCTTTGTTGATATTGGAAGCGGCCTATCAACAATGTTAGCAAATTCCATACCCGTATGTCACGCACAACTTACCTCAAAGATGAGTTTCAGGCCTCCGCATATTATCGAGGTATAGAACCCATTTGGTATGAGCCTCAGAAAGGGCACCATGGACTCAGATTGGGCCCCTATGAGTCTGCCCACTTGTCGCAGCCTTGACTGTCCGGCCTCGAGGTATGTAGCTTCTGCATCTTTCACTAGTCGCATCACCTCGTCCCAGGAATGGGTTCCACCGAGATCTAAAGGCCTGGCTTTGGAGTCTTTTGTCGAGTATTGATATCTTTTCATCATTTCGAGAAACTGCTCGGCGTGCGAATGTGTCGAGGGGCTTCATGAGCTTAGCCCTTTACTTGAGAAGAAATGACTCCAGCATCCGAGCCGGTGTGCTCAGGGCAATTGTGGCAACCTACTTGAAAATGTTCTGTTTTGGAGCCGCGGCTCGTTGTCGCAAATACCTATCTTCCAGGTCATCACTGGAACGGATTCTCCTGCCTTCCTTCTCCCGGGCAAATTTTGGGTTTTCAGAAACCTCTCCAGCTTGCACAACAGTGGCAGATCCATCACTCGAAACGCTCCGATTCTCATGTTCCAGGTCAATGATTGCGGAATCATCTGCACGCTCCATGGTATGAAACTGATGCTCGCGGAAAAGGGCTGAACTGCAATGACCTCCCTCGCTGACTTTGTGCGTATTGCCTAGGAAAGACGTGGCCGAGAGCCGAAAAGGCAAGAGCAGGTGCGAGAACGACCAGGAGGGCTAACGGAGAGATCGACGAACGGGGACCCTTCCAGACGCAACCATCCCAAGTCATCACTGCCGCCGAGAATTCAACCTGGCGCTGGAAAGGAAAGAGGTATCTCGGGCCTATCAATACTCAAGCAATTCGGGGCGCGACTGACTTGCCGCGTCATGTACTGGAGGTAATCTGGCGTGCGTTCTTGCGTCTTCACGCACTGCAGGGCGCAGTGATCATTTCGTGTTGACGGCCAGCTGTCTGGCCTGATCAGATTGTGCCGCATACGAAAGTACGGCCTAGCGCGGTCAAGGGTGCTGATAAGAGGAAGGACTAAGGGCGCGGGACGGCCCAATATGCATGAAGGCGACACATGTGTGGACGGGTCGCATATGTGGTCGGTTGCCTGTTCTAACTTCATTCGGAAATCCGGCTGCGGGCTGTCCAATGCCAAAAGGTTCGAGACTGATCTCAGCCTCACAGGTGTGCAGCACCCACGGTTTTGGGCACCATACTCCGTACAGAATTGCTCCTTTCACTGCAAGTCGAGACCAGTCCGTCACTTAAAAAATGGTTGCCTGGCAAGTAGCCTCACTTGATTGCATCTTCCAGCTTTATTGGCTAGAATGCCTGAAATCCAACACTACTTTTGGTCCGGTGTGTGTCGGTTCTCCGTCTCAGTCTTGAGTCCTTGACGCACCCTTCTTCCACCCTCATGGAATCGGCCAATGGATTCCGTGACATGGGGACAGTTGTCTTTGGCTTATGCATCATTCTCGTGGATCCGAATTGAAGAATGGAACCCTGGGTGGTGTTCGCATGCACAAGGCATCCCGAAGGATTGTGGATCGCACCTGAGTATAAGACTGGAAGTGCTGGCAGCCTCATGTAGCCAACCGTTATTGATGGGAGCAAGCAACTCGGCCTTTTTACACCCAGAGCTTCCATCCCGACCCAACTCATAACTACTCTGTACTGGATTCCCTTGGATCAATGCACATACTCATAGGCATCGAAGAACGGGTGATAACCTTCTACAGTCATGGACTTTGACGATTTTGACAATAGGTGGGCTCCTGGTCTCCATGTTGTCAGGGTATATACTAACATGTTACAGCAGTTCTTCTCACGGTGACAAGCGTCATCAGCTTCCTAGACGCAGTGCTCTCTCCACACGTGATAACGAAGAATTTGACGAGAACCTATGGGATCTCGGCGAGCGTGACGCTGCCTCGAACATTGAGTCGGGCAAAAAGCTTGCAGCCACAGATGGGGATGGATCTCTGTTTAGCGCAGTGAGGCATCGGAGAACAAACCCTTCAATCTCGGAGTACTCAGAGATGAAGCAAAGGATTTTGGCACTCGAAAGACAACTAGCATCGTCATCGAACAATGAAGAAGACGGCATGGCTGACAAAGTCAGAGGAGCGGACGCCCAAAATGAATTCGAGGCGATCCTCGAGAACGGCTCCGAAGCTAGTGCCGAGCAGCAAAAGATCATTCCGCAATTATGTGAGAGAACATGGTCTGACTTCATGAATAAGCATACGGGTGAAAAGATCGAATACGCTCTTGAAATCCTGGCAGATGATCCCGAATACTACTATCAGAAAAGTCCTACTGCAAAACCTGATAAAAGGTATGGAGAGTCTCGTGGCGCCGTTGCGGTAGCTGACAGCAAAATCGATCCCAAAACCTCCAAGCTGGCTGATGGAGAGCGTCCCGTTCCTAATCGCATTCGAATAAATTCGACGCTGATCTTGAAGACCTTGAAGAATCTCGATGAGCATATTGACGCTACTGGGCCCATGGTGATGATGCGGCCGTTCAAGTTCCTGGTTCACTACGAGCTTCAGATCAAAGACTCGATCGGGGTGATGGAGCAACAGTTGGATGTTCCTGAAACAAATACTACTTCGAATGGTTCTAGAAATGGAACTTTCTCTGCACCGTTGTCTATGACTCGGGAAGTATTAGGACTGTCCAAGGAGAAAGAAACCCAAGAGGAGACTCTACAGCATATGCGATGTCTCGCAGACTTCATGGACCGATATGTCAAACCGACAGTGTCCCGCGCAGAGGGCACCTCATATGGCAAGATTCAGTTCAAGGATCTTTGGTACATCTTCAAGCCAGGTGTCGACATTCATATACCCTTGAGAGCTCAAGACACTTCTGTCACCGTTGATGCAATGGGGATTACGCCGGAGACTTTTCAAAGCCGGTACAATCGGTTATGGAGAGTGACTGGCACCAGTGGAGGACGGCGAAATCTTTCGGCAGCTCAAACTCGCAATGCCAGCCTCAAGTCAAACGCCTTCAAGGTGGATTGCTACTACATCGACTTTCATGGCAGATACTTTTGCCCAACAGTTCACACCTTTGAGATAGCGCCTTTCAAGGGTGATCGCGACATAGCTTCTCTTGACTTCTATCCTGCACGATATATGGAAATTTCCCAGCAACAGCAGACGCTCGAAGAGCATGTGGAAAAGGGGAAGGTGATATTCGACGCAATGGCACATTCTTTCACGCACTTCTTCTACTCTGGACCCACGTTGATGGTGCATCCTTGCGGCTGCCCAATACGCGATGGTCCCACTATTCAGGAGCATATTGAGAGCGAAGTCATTGTCGACTTCAAAATGGCTCTGCGCAAGCATCCCTCATGGCAGCCACAGCCTGAACTTTGGAAGGATCCTGTAATAGAGCGACGCGAATTGCAGGAAACGTTTCCGGTACAGTACTGGACTGACCACGGAAAAACAAAGCTCGAAAGCACCGAATATGATCAGGTATACAATGACTACTTCATCGACAGAGAGAGATCAACCATCTTCAAAAACAATGAGCAGATCTTCGCACCAGTCCCTATTGGTTGGTCCAGTAACGAGAGCATGATACCGGAGAAGGACATCTTGTTACTTCCCAGCTGCGTTTTTGCATATGTGCTCAGAACTCGGACCTTCGGTAAGCCACCCTGGTGAGAAAGCTTTTCAGCAAGGAGGTCTCTCTCTCATTAGCTTACGTATGTCTCAAGCTCCACTATGGCTCGCGGCTTTACAGCCGATCAAAGCCAAAAGCGAAGGCCTCAATAATCTGCAACTGAAAGATAACACATTCAAAGATACCTTACGAGCTTTGGTGAACACTCACTTCATGCAGAAGCTAACTCAGCATTCGCCGAATTTTGAGTACGACATCGTTCGAGGGAAAGGTAAATCGATGCATGTGTCCCGTGTTGCAATGGTGTAGAGGCTAAGCTGAAAACCAGGGAGAGGACTTGTGATCTTACTTCACGGAGCACCCGGAGTCGGGAAGACGTTCACGGCTGGTATGTCCCTTCAAGTTGACACAGGCACTGACTGAGCTAATCAAACATAGAAAGCGTAGCAGCAGCCATCGGGCAGCCGCTACTCCAGATAACTTGTGGTAAGGAATGCTGTACCAACCTGAAGGCATGATGATGAACTTAATCCCCTCAAAGGTGATCTCGGCCTGAAGCCGAAAGAAGTTGATACGGCTCTGAAGGAGATATTCCACTATGCACAACACTGGAAGTGCGTTCTTCTCCTCGACGAATGTGACATATTTCTCACGCAACGGAACAAAACCGACGTCAAGCGGAACGCCCTCGTATCTGGTGAGTGGATACTGCGGCGAGATTGGCGGCTATGGAGACTGACAGCATAAAGTCTTTCTGAGAGTCTTGGAATTCTACACCGGCGTCTTGTTCCTCACGACGAATCGGGTAGGGGCACTGGACGAAGCAATCAAATCCCGAATCACATGGATCTCATATTACCCACCCTTGAATTGGGATCAAACCAAGGAGATCTGGAAGACGAACATCAAAAGGGTGGAGAAGAGTAACACGAATCTTGACGTGGACAAGAATGGCATAATGAAATATGCCAGACAGCATTTCAAGACTTGCCTGGCGGAGAACGCTGTCTGGAATGGAAGGCGGATCCAAAATGCTTTCAAAGTGGCTATAGCTCTTGCTCATTGGGAGGCGTACAGCAGAGAGGGACACATCCAGACGGAATACCTAGCTGCAGCAGACGATGATGATCGCCGTCGCTCGAACTTATCGGCAACACATTTCAAATCCTATGCGGCGGGAACTCGAGCTTTCGATGCCTACTTCCAGGAGACCACCGGTGTTAATGACGCTGAACGTGCTTTTGACGCTATGGAGAGAGCCGACGATTATGCGCCAGAGGTTGATACTCCTATCGTATCGCCAAGGTACGAAGGGAATCAATTTCCTCCATTCTCCTCACCACACGACGACCTCAGAAGGACCTCATCGGCGAGTCTGGCTCCGCCATCTGCTCAGGGCCGGGGCTCTAGCCCAAATCTACGGCCCCAACTACCTCCCCGCCTGTCGACTAGCCAGTTGCCACAACATCAGCGCTCGCCAGCATTGTCTCGACAGAGTGCTGCTGTTGCCCCTGCCCAGACGCCCAAGCATCGGCGTAGGTCTAGCCAGTTGAATACTCTCACTCCGGTGAGCTCGCCAGTGATGAGGAGGAGGCCGAGTAACGAGCCGAGAGGGGCTCTCGATCACGATTTTGCAAGACAAGCTCAAGTTGAGCATGATGACAGCGAAACTGAAAGTGAAGAGATGGATTATCTTGATGGGAACGAATCGGTTGATGAGAATTCTAGTTCGGACGATTAACGTTCCGGAGTTCAAAGAGAGGATTGATGTTCGAAAAGGTCACTGCAAGTCGAAAAGACAGAGGATTGGTCTACTTTGAAAGTGGTTTGATTAAAGGTACTATCTGAATCTCAATTAAGGAATGCTAGAGATAATCTTTTGACTTTTGAACTGCTTGTGACCAGCCATTTGAGAATTGAGTCTTAGACCTGTGTATACACTGAACAATTACAATCTGCAATTGTGTAGGTTCACTTAATAGTCTGGCGCTACCTCCACTCATTCCCCTGGAATATCCAGCCTTGTAACAACTCAGCTCTGCTTCACCACCTCATCTATTGAGAACCATGACCGACCGAAACTCGTTGAAACCCTCGGATCACCCATGTTGGCTAAAGTATTGCGCCCGTAACACCAAACATACGACCTGCTCAACACATGCACAATGAATCTAGAATCTGCTCCATTTGCTCTGCATCCTGATCCGCTCACCATACGTAAAAAAGAAAAAGGGCACAGGAATCAATGCAACCGCAAAGAATCCGAAGATACTCGTGCCCCAAGGAATGCCGACATTGTTGTACAAGGGAGTAACGATAAGAGGAAACCTATTCCCCTTTGGGTCAGTACTCACTGCGAACAGCTTTCAGGGTCGCTAGGACTTACGCTCCAGCAAAACAGGACCGCAAAAATGCTGTGACATAATCAGCTTCTGGCACGCATACCGGATCCTCAACGACCTACTATTAGCGGCGATAGCACTCGCAGCATACCGCTGAAACGTGTCGACAAGGTAATTGAGCGCTGCTTGAAAGATAGTGAAAAACCCGAGACCGCTCATGGTCAAGCCGATCACAGGTGCGATCCAAGGAAATCTAGAAACACCTCATTAGCCCCCACAACACTCAACAGAAGGCTGTAACACTTACTTCGGGTCCGCTGTCCATCCTGTAACGAATAAGCCTGCCTCAACGTCAGCATCACAACTGCATCACACGTTCGAAATATCAGGTAGCAACTCACCAGCACTGAAAAGAAACGAACCGAACATCATAGGAGGCAGGCGCAGTTCAGGCGCTACCTTGCCCCCAGCCTTGCGGTTATAAACAAGCTGGTTGTACACGTTGATGCCCGCACCACTGACCGCTCCAACCAGAATACCTAGGAAAGGCAATTCTGATGGAAAAGGTTTCCAGTGACGATGACCTTCGAAAATAAGAGGAATGGCACCTTGAACTCCTTGTAAGTACTCTATTGAACCGGGCAAAATGTGAGACTCTTACCAAGCTGCATGTACAAAATACCATAACAAAAACTCGCATATAACGCCACAAGCGCGCATATTGGTGTCGCTAAGAGTTGAAAGGGTCGGACCAAGAACTGCCACTTATTAGCATTTTGCATAATAGGAAAGCGAAGTGTGAATAACTCACCTTGCGAGCCAACTCGCCAATCGAGACATCCCATTCCTCGAATTTGGCATGAAGTGCCCAGTTTCCACTCTGATGGCGCAACCGACGAGCCTTGTACACCAAGAGACGCGGCGGATAGGACTCATCGAGAAAAATGATGTCCAGCACCAGGACGAACAACTGGATGATCCCAGTGAGATACTCGGTCCATCTCCAGCGGAGGTTGGGCTGCACGACCAGCGCGGCGCCCACGATTGGCCCAAAGACCGGCCCAATTACCACAGCCATGGCATACGATGCAATAGCTATACCTCTCTGTGACGATGGGAACAAATCACCTAGTACACCACCAGTGTTCGTGACCGGTGCGGACGCAAAGAACCCAGCGAAGAAGCGTGTAATCATGACAGTCTGGAGATCCTTCGCCGCACCAGTCGCAAATGAAAAACACGCCGCAATAAACATTGGCGGCAGCACGGCGTTCTTGCGCCCGTAGACTTCGGACAGTGGCGCCCAAAGGAGCGGTCCTATCCCAAACGCAAATAGAAACAACGTCGTTCCCAACGTAGCCGTCTGCATACCGACGTGGAACTCCTCCGCTACCTGTCTCGTCCCCGGACTATACGCGGAACTCGCCCAGGTGGCCGTCATGGTGGTGAAGCCATAAAGCGCCGTCGTCAAGACTTTCTTCTTCATAGTCCAATTCAGCGGTCTATACGGATCGTCCGGGCCGTCAAAGTCGACGAGGTCATCGACAGTCGTTTTCTGATGTGCCAGAGGATGACTGAAGTCCCCGATGGGAGGCCGCGTGCGTATCCTCGACAAGACTGTCTCGCGCCGGCTCATTGTTCGATTGAGTTGCAAGTCGCGACCTGTGGCGCGTGAGGAACTCCTTGTTGGCCGGCTCGGTCTCTCTTTCTCCATATCTGGTGATGTTCTGACATTCTCGAGATCGCCGTATTCTGGATTGGTGGTTGTGCGAGTTAGATCTAGGTCCTCCGAAGAGAGAGTCTCCGTTGGGGACACTGTCTGGTCGTGAGACGTCGCATGGTCTCTTGCGTAAATGTCTGCCATGTTGCATACAAGTGTTCAGTGATGGTCGTCAGGTGGGTTTGCCATTGACATTTTGCGGAGGTGGAGTTCTGCTGTTTTATTATGTACGAAGTGCTGAAAGGCAACGTCCGATATCGCCAACGTCATGGTGTCGTCGGCGTGAAAACAACGCCCGGAGTTTTGGCTGAGGGAAAAGAAATAAGCCTGTCTGACTCCAATGGCTTCCCAGCGGCCCCGCGGCGAATCGTGGTGACCGGCCGAAATAGCTTCTGCCAGACGCATTCTCGGCCCAGTGTTAATGCCGGGTCTGTGATCCGTCTTTGCCGCCTCACCCGGCTGGTGACAAGTAGATCAAGGGCCCGGCTGTTCTATCAAACGCATGATTTGTCCAGCCTGTTTGGGCCCTTTCCAGGGGCTTTGCGGGATTTAAAAAGCTTGAATTCTTCCCCAGGCCTCATTAGGTCCAAGCAGCCGTGCGATGACTGCGCCTACTTTGAGATAACACGCTTTGAGCATACCACCACCGATCATCGGACCTCAAATATAGCATACTCTTTTGATAATGACTCCTTCACAGGTCGGAAGATCGCTTTCCAATCCTGGATGTGAACAAGCTGATTCGTCGAGAAATATTCAGACAAGGTCCGTAACCTCTTTTGTCATTTTGGTCAGGACTTGCGGGCGTATCACGGACAAGAAAGGCTGTTGATGGAAGCGACAATAATGCTCAGGGAGTCAAAGAAAAGCTGGCCGCGAGCCGTTGCGCAGCCTGTTTCAACTCTTCCGGCGTATCACATGCCGCAAAGACGAAGCGATCCTGTCTCACTATCACGAATCTCTTGCCTTTGATCTCTTTTTGTAGTCGCGCCTCATCATATCCGATCGGACGTGGTCGATTTCCACACAAGACTGGGTCCGCAGCGAACTCGTCGCCCGTCGCGAGTCGAGCAATGGTCCATTTTGACATACTGACAGATCCAGGAGACGCTTTGATCGACTGGACGAGGATGGTGGCTTCTTCGCGTCGTATGAGGTTTGATGAAGTTTCATCCATGCCATCTAAAGCGCTCATCAGCCGATCGAGGTTGGCCACATCTTCTGGCAGAATGAGAAGCTGAAAAAGACCTGTCTTGTCCGGGGAGAATATCAGGTCATCTGTGAAACACGTCTTCTCGGTGCTGAAGTTGTACGCATACACTTGGGGTAGGAGCACGCCGCCTTCCATCTCCGGAATGAACGGAAGGCCTTCACTGTGCCGATACCTTGTCATGCCCTCTGCTCGAGCTCCAAGTTCGATTTGTTTGCGGCAGCTGGGGATCAGCTGGATTGCCCACATGTACCATTCTCGGATGAACACCTTGACAGGATCCGACTCGGTCACATATTCGCCGTTGCGGATGGTAGCGGCCAGTGATCTCTCGAGTTGTTGTCGGCGTTCCGTATACCAAGCTGTCAGGACCTGCTCATGATCTGCCCCAGGTTGACGATGGAGAAATGCTAGTCTCCATGCCAGGGCTGATGCGTCTCGGAAGCCGGAAGCGATTCCTTGGCCACCTGTCAAGGTAAATCAGCGTCCAGTCCACCTGATTAGCGATGTCCTGCACTCACCAAAAGGAGGGAAGACGTGGGCAGCGTCACCAGCCAGGATGACTCTACCTAACGACCATTTGTTGCAGCTCCTTGCTACAAACGAGAATGGACGAGATCGCAAGGTCTTGATGCAATCCAAGGGAAATTGTACTGGTTGCGACAAACCGTATCGACGCCCAGGATGGGCGATATATGGATGAATGATCTTGCTCGTCTCCGCTTGGCTGGCCATCCGGTTTCCATCTTCCCCCTTGCGAACCACGAACTCGAACCTCCATAATTGATCCGAAGGCAAGCCAAAACGTCCACAAACCGAAGGTCTTTCTGGATTGCATAGAAAGCGGAAAAATGTGGGAAAGAACAAGTCGTATACCTCTTGCGGTGTATATCCCAGACGCCACAGCGGAAAGTCCGGGTGACTTTTCTCATTCGGTATCGTTATCTGCCAGTTCAATGCCACCCAGGTCTCCTCATAACTGGACCTGATCACTTGTCAGCAGAGCGACCTGTGAAAGTGCGAAAATGACTCACTGCTCGGATTTCTCCATGATGATGCCCTTCGGTTCCAAATACTTCTTGCGAACATAGCCGGTCTTTCCATCTGCTCCTACCAGAAACCGGCTCTTGACCGTATGGGTAACCGCATTTGCATCGGTATACTCGACATATACGTGCTGAGAATCCTCGTTGACACCCGTCACTATCGATTCTGTCCGGAAGTCGCAAAAGGAAGTTTTTTCAATCTGGTCTCGGATAGCTTTCTCCATGGCCGGCTGTTTATGACAGATGAAACCAACATGGCCTGTGCCGCCTTCTGTCGTGCTGTAATCCATGGACAACAGTGGCCTTTTTCTGGAGTCACTTCCATCACCAGTGACAAAGTTGAACTTTTCCATGCCTGCTCCGTCAGCACGATATAATCACAGGCGCAATGAGCAGCTTACAAGAGCCAATCTCAGTGTATATTCGATCGTAAACACCTATGGATTGTAGTACGCGGATGCCATCTTCGTCCAGCGCAATTCCTCTGGGATCGGTGGTAATTTCCTTCTCCCTCTCCAAGACGATGTTGGGCACTTTCATGGCACCAAGAAGTGCTGAAAGCACGGCACCTGTCGGGCCGCCTCCGCAGATAATGACAGCAGTCTCCTCAGTGGGAGTTTGATTTGCTTGAGACATCATGGTAGTGTTCAGAGGATGATGCTAAGGTCGACGCCGGTAGTCACCCAAGTTGGGATGATAAAGAGTCGTCTAGATACCCTGCCATATACCCCCAGTGTGCGGTTCCGGCGCCCCTTTTCCGTGGCTCAGAAGTAGCAGTGCCGACCTGACGGGACGCAGACTCATCCAGTCAATACTAGTAGTACTCGAAAAGCTGGGGTTGTTTCTGGGGAAGGGAGAGTGGAGGGCAATGCATGTGGGACGCTTCGTGGCTTAATACTTTCCTGCGGGACACAGGCTCCGTTTAAGCACCGTTTCGCGGGACCTGTCCCACATGAGGTTGCGCTTATCGCTTCTGCTGGCCAATTTGCTCTTTGGGCAAGAGCTGCCTCACCAATGTGGACGCCGAGTGGTACATTGGTAATGGTTCGGAGCAATTCCAAACACTAAGTGCGACTGCAACAGTCTTATCTTAGTGACGGCGATTATGTTAAGGAGGATCTCTGCTGCTCAGACTCGTTAATCAGTCGATTAGATCCGGGGTTTAGCATATTGCTACAGTAGTTAAGCCTGTCTCAACTTCCCCGGTTTCCATTTCCACTTCTTCACCCCCGCAACTTTCATTTCCAACTTTTCACCCTCCTCGGTTTCGTTGACTATCCTGCACAATTGTGATTTCGGATAAAAGCCAAATGGAAAAGTCAGGAGTCGGATGGCGCAACGCCAGCGATAATTTAAGCTTAGGACATTGATGGCAGCAAGCAGTGATGATGCCGTGGGCAGTCGACGGAGGAGAACACTGCGCCAGTGCATGACATGCGGGCGTACATTCTTCAAAGCCGACCATCTCGAGAGACATATCAGGTCTCATACGAAGGAGAAACCCTTCAGATGTGTCAAGTGCGGAAAGAGATATGGTCGTCAGTAAGCTCATCCGCTGTCAACGTCCATCAATGTTGAGTTGTGCTAATATGACCCGAGTGACACATTGCTACGACATGAGAGAGATCATCCAGAGAATGTCTCAGACGCGGAGACCTCCTGCTCACAACTATTCAGTACCACCATAGTGACCCCAACAAGCGACAAGGTCACGGAAGCCTCTGGTGTTGAACATGTTACTGTTGATATCTCAGCCACAGGGCATAATTCTACATCCAAACAGACCGAGGATTTAATCGTCAACTTCGGCACGGTCGCTTCAATGGACATGACTTCTCTGGAATACAATAGCGATAGGCCAGGCTTCCGACCTATTCAGCCGCAACCCAACGTCTCCAATGGGGAATATCCCAGCTACAACGCCAACCAAGTCGATGGCAGCTTTGACCTCGGATTGGATGCTATGGACTTCGAAGCTCAATTTCCATCCTGGATGGTTGACATTGACCTTAATGCTGGAAATCTCGATACGCCGCTGGTTATGACCATGGCTGAACTGAGACCTGGCTGGCTGGACAGCCCATTAGCTTCGCATGGCGTTTCTACCTACAAGCCAAGTCAGAATATGCAACGCCTCTGGTTTACCGCCCCTGATGAGTCTCACGAAGAATTTCCACCTTCAGGCCCAGCGACACCTCTCACAACCCAAGCCGATCAAGTCGTAGTTGACGATTCCTATCGGCAGACTCTGCATCAGAGCTTGCAAATCCGATCAATGGACCAAAATCTGTCGTCGGCTCTTCCTTCGACAGACTTTCTGAACCTCTGTGTCAGGTCATATTTTGCACGCTTTCACCCTGTCTTCCCAGTGGTGCATGCTCCAACCTTTCGTCCATCCAAGGCCAACTCGATGGTGCTTTTGTCCATATGCTCGGTTGGCAGTCTTTTTACGGGGTCGAGCCATGCCATTCGGCAAGGCGTCCAAATTTTTGAGCGGTTGCATAAGGCTGTTCTGGCGAACTGGGACCGCCTGATTGCTCGTGGCAAGGATGAGAAAATCTCGTTGATCCAAACAGCCATCATCGGACAGACTTTCGGTCTGCTCTCTGGGGAACCGAAACATCTAGCTATCGTTGACGCTTTCAACGGGACATTGATATCATGGGCGCGACGACTGTCAACATTCAAGACGAGGAAGTTGAAAGGACTGAGTCTGGATCTCCTTCCAACAGACCTGGAGAAATGCTGGCGTGAATGGGCAAAGAACGAAGAGCTCATCAGGATCGCGCTTGCAGTGCATATTCATGACGCTGAACTTGCGAGCATCTTCCACCATGAGCCCTTCCTCCGTCACAACTCTCGACAACTTCCTGTGGCCGCTTCACATGAAATGTTTTCGGCTGCACGACCGGACGAATGGCGTCAGGCGTATCTGAACGATCCTAGCAATTTCGAAAGTGAGGAAATGACTCCTGCGTCAATTGACGCACACATTGACTTCGACATTTCATCGACACCGAGAAATAGCTGCTTTACAGCATACACCATCCTGGAAGGTATCTGCGTGAATATCGTTGAGTGCAGGATAGATGGTCGTTCATCTTTGGCAACAATTGAGGAGATATCCGAACTCCTGACAACATTCTATGGCCATTTCATGCAGGCGACAGCCTCTTTGACCGCCGATCATATGGATATGACCATTCTGTGGCACCTGGCCTATATTTCTATCAGTGCCGATTTCGATCTACTCGAGAGGGCGATCGGCCGTGAGGGATCCGACTTGTCACCTGAGGACCAGTTGGCCGTCAGGAATTGGGCCAACTCGGACCAAGCTAAGCGATGTGTCATACATGGATCACTCGTCCAGAAGAAACTCGAGAACCTGCCTCTCGGTTCTGAACCCGCTATTCATGTCCCGAGGGCAATGTTCCGAGCGGGCATTGCGTGGTTCTGTTACACCCGCTTCGGCATCGAGACGGGTGTCAACAAGGCACTTGCCGCCGAAAATCTTGAATTTCCCGAGTTCAAGCTCCTTGGGGTTAATCCTGCCTTGTTGTTGTTTCAGGCAAATGGGTACAAACATGGAAGACCCACAGCTGCGGAGGTGAACGCGGCTCTTTGCGGACTGACAGACCTGTTGAGACGTATTGGTCACTGGGAGATTGCACGAAGGTTTGCTGCTATCCTCGGAGCACTCTTGCACGATGAGGCGGGTTGAAAGACCACAATTTCGCGTTTTCAAGCAAAGATGTTGTCCTCATGCCTCTTAAATCGCTGGAGAACATGATCTGGGTTGAGGACATCCTCGCCCATGCGCCATTGGAGCCTGTACCAAGATGTGCAGCGGCACCTTTGCAGCAGAGTCATGCGCATGTGGACCACCTCCGACCTCGTCAGATAAGTCTCGATTCGACGGCGCCCGTCTGGTCCGGCCCGTCTTCTTTGACTTCCTGAACATAGTTGTCGCTTCCATGAAGCCTTCTCGCTGGCAGTGAAAAACGCAAGACCCGACCAGAATGACAAGGGAGGTCACGGACCTCGTCTGAATATTTTTCGACCAATCAGGGTCTTCGCATCCATATTTGGAGAGCGTTCTTCGCTGGTAATTTACATCCAGAATGCAGCCTTGACGGTAACCACACCACATCACCAAGCGGGCCACTGCTGCACACCATGACAAAAGATCAGCCATCAACAGCGGCGTCAGCATCGCGAATGGTCCGGGAATCCCTGCGACAATATATTCACTTGTGCTATAGTTGCTGTTGGATTTCATACCTACAGATGCAAAGAATGCGATAACGTGGTGACACCCCTGATTAGAGGTGCAAAAATGACTTCATGGCCTGTCAGATTCTTCTAAGGCCAGCCGGCAAGTTGCGACGCTGTTTTATATCCGATCGTTGACCGTGCATCGCCTCAACCTCCTATCACATTCCGGCTGTGGCTTGCCCGTGCTTTTGCTGTGGGTTCAGCTACGCCATAAATGCAATAATGAGCCTCGCCAAATCATAAACATTATTGGTCAGTTGGACAGCAATGTCACTAGGGGTCCCAACAAAGGATCCAATATGCGTCTTATCATCTCAGCCTGGCCGAAACTCCAGTATCCTATCAGCCCCTTGCGACTCTCGTATCTTTCCTGTTCGAGGCACCAAAACCCGTCTTACACATTCAGCTGGGCATTGAAATCGCTGCGCAAGAACGTGGCAGCATCTGAAGTGCAGCCACAAATCTTTACGGACTTCTTCTCCAGTCAGCACTTTTACGTACGCTGATGAGACTGTAAAATCTCACTCTTCAAGCATGCAAAACTGAGAAGCCGGCTTCAAAATGTCTCTACTCGCGCTGCCAGCCGAAATCAGACTTCAGATATGGTCATACATTGTGGGTCCAACTATGGTCTACCCGTGCGAATGCGCAACCAAATCAAAACTATGCCAGGCTCATCGCCCAGGCAGTTGCTGCCAGAACGCATCGATATACAAGCATTGCGACAACAGAGTCCTGAGGGCCAACCTACTGATCTTCAGTGAAGCGCAACCCCTGGTCCGACAAGCCGAGAAGAACAGGGTTTTCATCCTGTGCAACAATCTTTGCTTGGACAATGTCTTCAAGAGCTTGAATGAGCGAGATTGGAAATGGGCTAAACATCTCCGCGTGGACTTGTTTGTCGGTTGGGGACATGATAACCAGGATGAATGGTTTCTGTGCCAAAGCAATAGGTGGGCCAAACGATATGTGACTGGGGCACTAGAGAAGTATAGTCAGGGCAGAGAGGTTCTGGTTTTCCCAGCAGATAAGGTCAAGCAGGATGGTGACGGGAGAATGACGCTGACCGTCGACATTCACCTTTCTTGAGATGCGTCGCTAACTGTGATCGCAACGCGCACGACAAAAACCCAAGGCCGCCAGAGGGACCGCCTCTTGCGCATTCCATGATTGAATCGACTGAATGCTGACAAGGTGGTTGGCGGTGATCGTCCTGTCAAGTCTGAGGATGACACTGGCAGCGAAGGAACGATGCCTCAGCAACGGCGAAGAAAAGACGAAACTTGGAGAAAACTGATGAGGAATCCTCCACGTATTACACTATCATCACGTGCTCTGACGGAAATGCTTTCCGAGTCCGGCCTGAACCTCACGCCCTGAGCGGATCCTCCCATCTACTACTGCAATACTACGCCTACTTCGACCACCGATTCCTGCATCAGGACGCGGGTGTCGTCCGCTCCGAAAGCTTGTGGCCGTTTCTCGCGATGTCCGCGAGCACCTCGGTCCATCAGCGGACACCGTGACATCGCCGCTCCTTCCAACATCGAGCTTCTTGTTCCTATCTAGACTATAGATGGTGAAACCAGTGGGACACTCAGCGAAGGTACCAGTGTCTTTTGACAGTTGCTCCCGGCCTGTTGGTGGCCTGAACAGGCGCCTATGATCCCTGATGATGGCATCACTCTCCCTGCATCTGAGAAGGTCGCCCAATTGATCGGGTAAGCTACAACTCACGGATCAGAAGCATGACCGGCGCAAGCAGCAAGTCTCCTCTGGCGTCAGATCTTCGCAAAGCGACACTTCCGCCTGACCATGTCATCTCTCCAGTGGGAATGTTACATCTGCAATCACCTCAAAAGTCTGTCCTAGCTTGGTGAATCTGAACCCGGCCGCATCGCAGACACAACGCTTAATAATGGATACATCTCTCATCACGCAGTCCTACAGGAGGGAACTATACCAACTTGAATCATGCCATCCCCGAACCCAACCTACCCTGACATTCTCACCGAACGTCTCATTCTCCGCCTCTTCAATCCCTCCCTCTCGTCAGACTACGACAAAATCCTACAAATCTACAACTCGCCCTACACACGCGCCACCACTCGGCGACGCCGGCATCCGCACGCCCGAAGACGTTGATCGACGTTGTTCTCGAAAACCACTTACTAGTACTTCCACCGACCCCTCAGGAGGCATCGTCCTGCCAACACACCCCTATCATCTCGTCTACTTGCGCTCCAACAACAGACATGTCGGAAGTACGTCAATCTCACATCGCCCCGAATTCCCGTCCCCAGACATAGGTTATACGACTCTAGAGGAATATGCCAACCAAGGATACGCCACTGAAGCGGCTGGAGCAGCGCTGAAGTGGTGGACCGAGGAGATGAAAGTCGCGAATATATGGGCCGGAGCTCTCATCACCAACAAGTCCAGTCAGAGAGTCGCGCGGAAGATTGGCCTGGTCGATGGTGGAAAGATTACGGTTCTGATGCCCGGTGATCTCACCATCACTGCATTGGTCTTTGTACAGCTGCATATGCAGACCGCTTGTCCGGGTCTGGATGGTATGGTCTTGGACGTCAGGGGCAAGGCGGATATGTCTTCAACTTAAGATCTCATTCACAGATACTGATAGAGGTATCTATATGCTCATCTTCAAGAACAACCAGCACTCCAATCCCGATTGTAGCTTTCCCCTTGACTTACTCTCAACAACAGGCCGGCCTAGCCCACCCGTCTCTTCCACCCCAAATCCATCACACATGAAATTGCGCTTTATACCTCGTCTCCAACGCCGCCTTAAGCGCATCGCAAGTCGACTTCGCATCTCCAAACAACATCCTCGTCCCAGGCATATAAAACATCGGATTCGGAACATCAGCTAGAAGCACACACCAAATTAGCACACAGCCACCTTCACAACATCATCAGACTCACCATAACCGCTACTCATCCCCCTCTTCATAACAACAACACCTTTACTCTTCCAAGCATGAAGCACAGGCATACCAGCGATCGGACTCCCTGGCTCCAAAGCAATCGGATTGACCGTATCATTCGCGCCAATCACCAGCGTGAGGTCTGTCTCGGGGAAATCGTCATTGATCTCGTCCATCTCGAGCACAATGTCGTACGGCACCGATGCCTCAGCCAGCAACACGTTACACTGACCCGGCATGCGTCCTGCGACCGGATGAATCGCAAACCGCACGTTGACGCCTTTACTCCGCAAAAGCGCCGTGATTTCGGCAATGGCGTATTGAGCTTTGGCTACGGCCATACCGTATCCGACGACCTAATTCCAAATTAGTTGACGAACACGTCCCCATACCCATGAGCCAGGACAGTCAAGGAGGCAGGTAGACGTACAATTATAACACTCTCAGCGCCAGCAAGCGCCTCAACCGTTTCTTCCACGCTCGTTTTGACAATTTGACCTTTAACCTCCTGACCGGTGTTTTGTGCGATGGGCGCGATACCGCCGAAAAGCACATTCGTTAAGGATCGATTCATCGCGACGCACTACACCGAAGGTTGGTTATGTTTCTTGCGACGAGGGAAGATGACAAGACAGACCATGATGTACGACAAAATCGAACCGCTGACGCCGATCAACGATCCCACAGTCACTAATAGCGAGTTATCAAGCATCAGACCCTCCGCGACGAGGGCGAAACCCGAATATGCATTCAGCACGGTAATCACCACGGCTATTCGGAGCAAATGTCAGTCACTCCATCAACAGCACATTCGCAACAAGTTTCAAAGGGTCAACATACGCATATCGGCACCACCAATCGCAGCGGTCGTCGTGTACCCCTGGACGAAACTGAGCGCTGTGTTTGCCGTCAAGCACGCAGCAGCAACGACAGGCGCACCAGGCGCCATGGTCACAAACGCGCCCATGGTCCCGGCATTAGCAGCGAGCAGGGAACTATTGATCAAATGGCGTCCTGGCAGGACTGTTGGACGCGAGGACATTCTGCCCGCAAGCTTCATAAATGCGACGATCGATCCGGTGAATGTGATGCCACCTGCAACGTTGCCATTAGTATACGGCATCCGGCTCTGTACGTGCGCAGGAGACTGAACTCACCAATAAGAACACCCAAATAAGCTGTGACCATATGCAGCGTATTGATGTCCGAGACATGTGCCATAACGCTGCCAATACTGGTAAGCACAGCTGCTAGACCGACGACCGAGTGCAGAGCCGCGACAGTCTGTGGGAGTTCTGTTGGTGTGATGCGTCTGCCTATCAGGGCGCCTGTGGGTGCGCGTTAGAGACAAGCACTCCTCTTACATACAAAATGCGCAACAAGCTTGCGACGTAGACTCAACATACCAACAAGACCACCGATCGCGGCAATTCCTCCAAACTGCGCGAGCACTTCCGGCGAAAAGCCCACCGCGGCAAGAGACGTCAGGATACCCGACATGACACCTAGGATGCCCATAAGATTCCCTGTGCGGGCAGTGGCCTGCGATGCAAGGCCGGAGAGTGAACCTGGATACCCCCATCATCAGCAAGCTCGTTTAAATTTGACCGGAGGGACAACTCACCGATACAAAGCAGGCTACTTACTAGATAGCCCGCCTGGACCAACCCAGCCATACCCGTACTGGCCGCAGCAATAAGCCCACCACCAAAAAGCACACCAGGAACGGCATACAGCCAGGGATACTCGGGCGGGTCGGTCGGCCGTTTGAACATGTCGAGCATACGTTTTGTGATGACAAAGCCACCTGAGACATTGACAAAGGCCAACAACACGGACAGCGCACCAAGCACCTGAGGCACGGTTTCAGGCAGGTAACCGCCTCCCATGATGAAGAAGCCGCCAACACCGACGATGCCGGAGATGGCGTTCGTAACGCTCATCAAAGGTGAATGCAGCGCCGGGATGACGCCCCAAACGGATCGGTAGCCAATCAACCCGGCAAGCCCGGCAGTGAACATATTGCCCATGAACAGCGGGCTGGTGAGCTTGCCCAGCGCCAATGCCGCGCCCATGGCTCCCGTAACCGTCGCCACCTCTCTAGTCTGTTTCTGCCAGGGCGTCATTTGCACGGGTTTTGCGTGGTCTTCGAGCGGAAGCTGCTGCGTCGGCGTTGGAGGTGGAGCAGGTCGTGGCGCGGGCGGAATGACTTGGCCCTTATGCGTGACGATAGCGCCTCTCGTGACCTCGTCGTCCATGTCGATACCGAATGCGTTCTCTTTGGGCGCCAGCGACAAGAGGAACTTTGTGATGTTGTTCGAGTAAAGACTGGTCGACTGCGTGGGCAGGCGCGATGGAAAATCTGTGTATCCAAGAATGGTAACGTGGTTGTGCACGGTAAGTTTGCCCGGGACAGTGACTTCGCAGTTTCCGCCCCCCTCAGCAGCGAGATCGACGATGACGGAACCAGGTTTCATGGCGCTGACCATCTTTTCGGTGATCAGTTTCGGTGACGGTTTGCCAGGGATTTGCGCCGTTGTGACCACAATGTCGACGTCCATGCATTGATCCATAAACAACTTCATCTCCGCCTCGATGAACTCCTTGGACATTTCCTTGCTGTACCCGCCTGCCGCTGCACCGTCTTCTTGAACCGTGACTTCGAGGAAATCCGCGCCTAGTGACTGGACCTGCTCACGAGCAGCGGAGCGGGTGTCGAAACCGCGAACAATAGCACCGAGACGTCGAGCCGTGGTGATAGCGCTGAGTCCTGCCACGCCTGCTCCGATGACCAGAACTTTGGCTGGAGGTATTTTGCCTGCCGCCGTCACTTGACCCGTCAAGAACCGACCGAATGAGTTGGCCGCTTCCAGGACTGCTTTGTATCCAGCGATATTCGCCATCGAGCTCAGCGCGTCAAATGTCTGGGCGCGCGAAATCCGAGGTATCATGTCCATGGCGAAAGTGGTAACACGACGAGAAGCGAGGGCGTCGACCAATTTCTTGTTCTGCGCCGGTTGGATGAACGAGATCAGGGCCGCGCCTTCGCGGATAGCTGGTACTTCGAATTCGAGATTCGGCGAGCGAACTTTGAGAAGAATATTGCTCTCGGACCAGACGGTCTGGCGATCCACCAAAGTGGCGCCCATGTGCTCGTAGAGTTCATCTGGATATTGGGCCTCGGCGCCAGCGCCGCGCTCAACAAGGATGCGAGAAAAGCCTTTCTTCAAGAGCAGAGGGACGTTTTGAGGTGCGACGGCAACGCGACGCTCACCAGGGTGAGATTCCGCTGGGACACCAATCGTAAGCTCGGGGTAAGGTATTGACTCTTGGGCTTGAAGGTCGGACTTGGCTCTTGACCATATGGTCACTGCCTTTGGTGGACATTGTGTGAGACTCTCGTGTTGAATGGTCAGCGGAACAGTCCCGCGAGGACGCGAAAGATGAACATGTCTCCTGACGCGTTGATCCTGTCGCACACAATTAGATACACTGCTGAGCTTGAGTGCTGGAGTCGAAATTAGTGGACTGTCCCAGAGTCAAGTAGGTACTTTGTACCTTGTTCGAAGTGACCCAGACACCTCTTGCTAGATAGTTTAACCGATAGGTTCCGAGAGCAGGTTGTGACCAAGGCGTGAGCCATTCTGGGCGATTAGGCGTTTCTCACCGACAAACGACAGGACGAGAACCTTGCAAGATCGGAGACGGAGCTGCAGTTAACCGCGAAAACGTGCATGACAAGATCCGACGCCTGAAAAGACAAATTTTCTATGACATTGATGAGGCTGATTTTGTTGCTTGAGCAGATTCAAGGCGGTTGAATTGGCTCGAGATAGAAAGGGACGGATTTGAAAGCGAAAATGGACAGATAACGTGGCAGGCTAAACTCAGGTCACCTGGTCGGAGCTTGAAAGGAAAGCAAACCGCGAGCTCCGAGCTGTATGGAGAAGCCGTACAGACAATGGCCCGAAGAAACCACAATTGCCGAGGAACAGCAATACCCCTGAAGCTTTCACACTGTACCAGAGGTACAACCACCGTTTAGTACCCCTCAACGGTATGGCGCGAGGTTGCAACCCCTCCGTGGGGGTGGAGAAAAGAATGCTACCTGGCTCTTTCGGTGGGGATGGGGACGGCAGTGTGCGGAGGGTGGATGGCGGGGGAACATGACCAGCAATACTAAACACCTGTACCACGTATCTAGGTAGGTATGTGACTGTAAGCTAATCCAAAGGCGCAATCCCATCGTTCTCAGTGATCAACATTGATGGCATAGCGTTGAGTCAAGGGGACTTCACTTGTCCTAGCCAAGTAGGATAAAGTCGTGACAAAAGGCAAGCCAGCGACTGCGACAGCATCAAGTTCTTAAATCCTGGCTTGATTGACCGGCTATTCTATCAAAGTCGGCAATAGGCAAAGGGGAAAGGAAAAGTCGGCCAACAAGGAGAAGTAAATATTTGGGTAATCCCGCTTAAAGGCCATGAATGCAGAGGTCAGGTTGATAAATAAGCTGCCAGCACGCAGCGAACGGAGAATTCCTGCTGGATGATATGGGTGACTGGTAAACTCCAGACTGGCATTCAGGGACGAAGACAACACCGTCACCTCGGAAAAGTAAACGACGCCTCTTATGTGTGTGAAGATTCTTCCATACGTAATTAGGTATCCGAAGTACCTTTGTCGTTACTGCCCTGCAATAATTAAACCAAACAACAGTCGCAAAGCAGGATTTTATCTGAAGTTAGTGGTTGTGGTGGCAAGGACAACTCGCCCCAAAGACGAAAAGTGATGAGATGCTTTGGCCTTTACTGTGTAATTCAGCACAGCCTCACTAAAAAGACACTTAACTAGCCACAGGCAGCCCCAGGCCTTATCGCAAATCAATCACTACCTAGATCTACTAGTAATGGTCTCCTTGGCCAAGTAAGCGAGAGATCGATCGACGTCCTTCAAAGTCTCTTCACTTCGATCTAAACCATCAGAACAACATTGCTGCACAGTGCTGTGTTCACAAGTTCCTTCTGTGTCCTCGGAATCATTCTCCTGTGCCCAACGTCAAAAATGATGACATCCCCCGAGCGCTGAAGCAGCGCCAAAACTTGATTTTCCTGCTCGGATTTGTAGTGAATTTACGCGATCGAGTTTTCACACAGGCCAGCTGAGCCGTGTTCCACCCACGACGCATTTGTGGATTGGTATCGTCATGGCTAGAACTGCGTGCTACGAACCACACTGTGTTTGAACTCCCTGTATGGCCTGTTCCAGCTTTGCAGTGGGCGAGACCCCTCTTGTGATGTCACAACCAGCCAAGCTGTGATGGCGCATACGTGGGACGGGATGAGGTCAGTCTTCAACAGCTGAGGTGATGGAAAAGGTATATGAGAGTAGAACATTGCGACCTTCCCCTGTCAATCCTTTCTTCCATATTCATACTCACGATCGAATCTACACAGACTCGCTCAACTCATTATACCATTATACCATTATCCCACAAACACAAACAACCCAACACATCCAGCCAACATGGACCGAGCCAGAGAAGAAGTCAGCAAGCTTACTGGCAACCGCGGCCACACAACCGAGGTCGAAGAGAATGTCAGGGCTCCCGTCACCCAAGAAACAATCCGGCCAACACAACAAGAAGAGATCACTACGGCTAAGCAAAGAGATGTCCACCAAGACCACTACCACACCACCGTCCAGCCATTGACTGATCGAGAGGTGTTGCCAGAGCAGCACACTCATCAGATGGCTGCCGCCGAGGAGAGAGAGTTCCACCACGGCAACCATGATGAGGAGCGCCGCCGTCTCGAGCAAGATCAAGCCCGATTCCAAGACAGCCGCCAGGTTGAGTCCACCTCAGTCAGCCAATCCCAGCGTAACGTCGAGGGAGAACATACTCACCACCACGTCCACGAGAATGTCCAGCCCATCGTCCAAAAGGAGACAATCCAGCCTGAGGTCGTGCACACCACTAAGCCCATCCACGAAGTTCACCACAGCTCCAGCCAATTCCACGGCCAATCCGTCCTCCCAACCAAGAGCTTAAATGAGGTTGGTGGTGAGATTCCCACCGGCAGCACCGGCTCGGTCGAAACATACGAGGGTGTTCCCCGACAATACAACCAGAAATTCCAAGTCGAGCAGACCGAGACCGATAAATTCCCAGATAAGAAGGGAGTTGATGGTCCAGGTTCGCACCACACCGGCGGTACCGGATTGGCAGACAACGAAGAGTTCATCGAGGAAGAACACAGAGTCAGACGAGGTGGAAACACTACTGGTACCACTGGTACCACTGGTTCTACCGGCACTACCGGCACGTCTGGTTACACTGGCACCAGTGGTGCTGGCGGTGTTGGCTCCGGCTCGCAGGGATACGAGCAAGGGAGAGGTGAGGATCTCTACCGTGGCCAGCAATCAGGCATCAGTGGAACTAGCGGTGTTGGCTCTGGCTCTCAGGGATACGAGCAGGGTACCGGTGAGGAATCCTACCGCGGCCACCAACAAGGCCTCGGTCAAGACCAGGGTGGTCTCCTGAAAGGTGGATCATCTACCTCGAGAAGTGAGCAGCTTCCAGGTGAATCAACAGGAACTTCGGGTACGGGTACTTCGGGACACAATAAGCCCGGTCTCCTGGACAGAATCAACCCCTTCAAGGACACTGATGGAGATGGAAAGAAGGGTATCATGGACTAAGCAGCCATACTGTAGCTGTTGTCCTGTAATTATATAGTCAAAATGAAAAAGTATTATTCTTCAGTCGATCCAACTCTTTTCCAAACCGACGATATTTTCAAGCACACCGCGAAAAGATGTTCTTGACAATGCCTTAACCATCATGCCATATTGGGGGTGTCTTTCCGCCATCACCTTCTTGCGAAAGATTCTCCTACCCACCCGGTGTCCGCCTCATCCCATGGCCCCCTCGTATCCCCAAATTTCATAGACGGCCACAGTTTATGCAACAACATCACATTCCTCCACAATGCGACTGCCAGCCTGAGTCTGCGGAAAGACACTCATCGGCAATGGAACAATGCTTTTCCGGCAAGAGTCATGCTTAGAGGTCCTCAACATATCGAAATAATGACTAGCACTCTTTGACCGACCGCCTTGCACAGGCTTCCTAGAATGCTGTGATCCCTCATACATGTCGGTAAGAAAGCGGCTACTCTCCTTGGAGAGCCCTGGGCTTCAGCCGAGATACAAGTCTTCAGTTTCTGCAGATATTGGGCGAGGACTGGTGGAGGATCACAAATCATTTTAATCGCTTCCGAGGCTGCCCACGGCTGACATCTGCATATACCCATGTCCACAGCGATATCGTTCGACTGAGGTATTGACTCCATCCAGGGACTTCATATAGTATACAGAGCCACGATATATATACGTAGGATAACTCTTTCTACACTCCATTGCTTTTCGTTCCGACTCTCTCAATAATAGTCAACATGCTCGCGGATCCAGTCAAGGTCCAAATCCCAAAATCCTACGAAACTCTTCCGGTCAAGGACATCAAATTGTCCCACCATCCTGAAAATGCACCAGAAGCCACTGCCGTGATAGTCTTGACCCTCAACCGACCAAAGCAGGGCAACGCCTTCACCATCAACATGATGCATGCCTTCGAATTGGTTTACCCCATGCTCGACCTGGATGAAAGAGTCAAATGCGTGGTTATCACTGGGGCTGGTAGGATGTTCTGTGCAGGAGCTGATCTCGAGATTGGCTTTCCCAGTGGTGGCGGAAGGGAAAGATTGGTTGACCACCGTGATCCGTATGTCGTCTCCGTCACCTGTGACCTGCACGTTGCTAAGCCTGTTGGTAGCGGAGGACGTCTGAACCTATGCATCTACCGATGCCGAAAGCCTACCATCGTGGCACTGAACGGTCCAGCCGTCGGCCTAGGCATGACAATGGGCCTTTCAGCAGCCATCAGGATCGCCCACGCCTCTTCCAAGTACGGCTTCGTCTTCGCCAGACGCGGCATCACAATGGAGTCCAATTCGAGCTACTTCTTGCCTCGACTTATTGGTCACTCGAGCGCCTTGTATCTCTTGACCACAGGTGATGTGTACCGCGGCGACTCCAAGCATTTCGGAAGCCTGTTTCAAGAGGTGATCGAGGAGCAACCTGGTGTTTTGCAGAGAGCGCTGAAGCTGGCAACCAACATCGCCGAAAAAACGAGCGTCCTGGCCAGCTTCTTGAATCGAGAATTGATGTGGAGAGGCAAGCAGACAGCCGAAGAAACCCATCTGCTCGATAGTGCGGTGCTCTACCACATGTTTGCTGCCAAGTCCGTCCTTCTTATCTCGCATGCCACGACAATGCTGACAGTCACAGGGACTGTGAGGAAGGTGTCCAAAGCTTCCTCAAAAAGCGTGAACCAATGTTCTCAGCCACACTCGAGAAAGATGGGCCACCATTTTACCCGTGGTATCATGAAACTGACACCGGCTCCAGGCCAAGGGCACACAAATTAGGCGAGCCCAAGCTATAGACATGGCTTGACATCTGGCTGGGTGCTCATAGTTTGGCTCTGGACCGATGCTCGTTCCATCTCTTTACAGCATCTTGCTCTCTCTCAATACCATAGTTTTGCCTCTCCTTCATAGAGTCAAGCACATCGCTGTCGGTTAGCTTGCTTATGTTGTCCATTTCCAGTTCTCTGAACTTTGGGGGATTTGCAAATGCCTCTGACCAGATAGCCCTACTTGAGCTGGGCCCTGAACCACGGCTTACATCAGAGCAGAACTTCGCCCATCGTTGAAAGCAGTCCTTTGCCATTGCCGCAGTAGGGAACACCATTGCGAAACAGTGAGGCATGCCCTCATATCCCATGAAACTCACGGTTCCGCCGCCCTGATGCATTCTCCGGGCAAGGATGGTGATCTCGTCTTCGAGGCCTTCATTGCCCAAGCACATGAAGACAGGAGGCATTCCTTTCCATAACTCCGGAGCAGCAGATAGAGGGGAGGTCAGGGGGTGCACCAGCATTGATGCGTTGCAGAAGATTTCGGCCCGTGGTGGCGACGTCGGCCACAGGTCGTCAGGGGTAGGCTCGGCTTTGGAGATACCAACGGCACTAGGAGGGTCGAGGTAGTCAAAGTGAGCATTGTTGTTGATTGACGGCATAGAACGACCGATGTCCACCCATGGAGAATTGACTGCAACGCCGGCGGGGAGATGTATTGGAACTTCAACACCGTGAAACGTGATAGTGGTCATCCCCATCCTCCGCAATGTCAGAAGGAGCTGAAGTAAAGCAATGGCCAGATTTCCACCCGCTGAATCGCCCGCAAAGACAATGTTGTGAGCGGCCACGGGCTCATGGGGCATTCCTGGTGGTGGCGACAGTAGAGAGAGATAGGACATTAGGGCATCCAGCAGTTGCGCAGGGAAGGGATACTGCGGTGCCAGTCTATATCGGACTGAATAGCAACGACCTCCAGTTAATTTGGCCAGATAAGAGGTTGTTTTACGGTGACTGGCTGGATCGAGAAGAAAGTATGCGCCTCCATGAAAATATAGTATCGTCGTAGGTGATGACACACTTCCCATCAAAATCCTGTAATGGTCTTCCTCAGCCAGGTCTGGCCGTGGCTCATTCTTAGCAGCTCCCACCTTGTAGCCAGTCCACTCAGCTTGCACTTCAGTAAGTTCGGGTGGTGTATATGTTTCTGATCCATTTCCTAGCTCTTTGATGGCTCTGTTCAAGAGATCTTTCAGGACATCCCCCTCTTGAGAGATCGGCACGGAGACCTTGGCTATGAGAATGGGGCCTTTGATGCCAGGATCGCGAGTCGTAGTCTTCTGTAGGACGCGCATAGGCTTCCTGACCTGGAGGACCGACCGGAGGACAACGACAGCGACTTCAGTGGTCACATCTTGTCTCGAAGAGTTTTTGGACAATGATAAAGCATTGAAAAGAGCAGTCTTGAGAATGAGCGGCAAGCGAGGTAGAACTACACGTAGTATGGCTGTGGGAGAGTCGTCCATTGCTGTAGAAAAGAAGGGCACTGTGATATCGAGATGCGTCCTCGTATTGGGAGACCGTGGGAAATGGGACAGAATCCAGATGGGCGACGCAGCAGAGACAAAGGAGAGACAGCAAAAAGGAAGAAGGGATATTACAGTACCTAGACCAATTCCATCAGGTGCATCATTTGCGAAGTTAGAAGATCTTGTACCGCAACGTACCTGGATGGACGGATATTGTCCATATTTCAAATGACAACGTCATCGATCGAGGTTCACCTCGCTTACAGCTTCCGTCGTTTTGATCATGTCGCCTTGTCCACGTGTAGGTGGAGAGCGGATGTATGTAGGCATAAAGTGTCTGCAGACCGAAAGCTGTATAGGAGCTGAATCCAAGTCGAACGAGAAGAGTGCAAAAGTCAACAAGCGGGGGGTTTCTTTGTATAGGGGTAATAACTCCGTTGTCTAGTACAAGGCAGAGAGAAAATCAAGATTAGTGCTCATATGAAAAGCCCAAAGCCTGGAGCATAACGCCGTGAATGGATTTCCTATTTCGATGATGATTCGACATGTCACAATTGCACAACGCCGTCATGCTTGTAGTACCATCCCCAGCTTGCCCATCCATAGCCTTCTGTGCACAAATCTTGTATCGCCTCAACAACCGTCAATCCATCCTTCGCTCGATAAGGAAACAAAACTAATGTGTCAGTGCCGAAAAAGCAGCACGATCAAGCCACCGAACCAGACTCGCGGCGAAGCCAGAGTAGAGTGGACTTGTTGATGATGGATATCCGGAGCCATCTGGTGATATCCTGATATAAAGTCGGGGGTGTATTGATCCATCGTCTTTGTCACAAGAGAAGTCGCTCGCCTGTTTACAAGATCAGGCACTTCTTGCTCTTTCCACTCTTTCGGGTCAACAGGGCAGCACGGGTAGCAGACTCGAAGACTTCGCGAACACCGTGGTTGGTCTTGGCCGAGCATTCGAGATATTTGTAGGCACCAATCTTCTTGCGGACCTCTTCACCCTGTAGATGTCACCGTCAGTCTATGCTTGAATCCTCAAACCTTGCCGCAATGATGGTAATGGCCATACCTGTTCGGGTGTAACGGGTTTTTGAGATGTTTTGGCCAGCTCCTCAATGGTCTTCTGGTCATGTCGCAGATCGGATTTGCATCCAACCAAGATGATGGGCAGACCCTGGCAGAAATGGAGGACTTCGGAAATCCACTATACCGGGACGTGTTAGCATTGGCCTAATGATCCCCAAAATGTCCAATGTTACCGACCTTCTCTTGAACGTTGTCGAGCGAATCGGGGGAATCGACAGCGAAACAGATCAGGATGACGTGCGAGTCGGGGTATGAGAGAGGACGGAGACGATCGTAATCTTCCTGGCCTGCCGTATCCCATAAGGCCAATTCGACGTGTTTTCCATCAACCTCGACATCGGCAACGTAGTTCTCGAAGACGGTTGGCACATAGACCTGTTATGCGACGCTCCTTGTTAGTCTTTCCTGAGCGAATGATGATTTTGATTGCTTGTCAGGGTGGTTGGGTCGATGGTCGGGGATTAGAGATAGATAGACGGGTTGCGCACCTCAGGGAATGTGCCCTTGGAGAAGACACTGCGAAGTACCATTGTCAGCAGATGCGACGAAGGGGTAATTGACTTGGATGGGTACTCACATCAACAAACACGTCTTACCGCAGGCACCATCACCGACGATGACAAGCTTGCGACGGATCTCAGCCATGGCGGCTGCTGCGGACTATGGTCAGATAAGGTTGTCTAAAGGATGACCAAAGGTGATGATTGCAAAGGAAGTGGTAGTTTCAGCTTGTGTACAGGGAGAGAATGGAGTCGATGGCAGGCGTGAAGGATTGGTAAAAGGAAGAGTAGGATGTGATGGTATAAAGAAGGTTGAGGGATGATTGTCAGGAAAAGCACCTTTTCGGGATAATTAGTGTGGTAGCAGCTAAGACACTCGTACTGGCCACGGAGGTAACGACGCTTCACAAAGCGAGTAATTGAGGATCGAGAGAAGGAGGCCACGCGGTTGATGGACTGTTCAAGCACAACAATTCGAGAGATGATGGGCAATCTGTTGATGGTCTGATGGCAATGGTGGTGTTGGGTGTTGATTGAATTGAGAGTCGGTCAAAGGAAAGAGAATGATTGAACAATTGCGCAGACAAGAAGACGTGTGTGAGTGAGTGCCAGTGAGTGCCAGTGAGTGTGTCGCATGCGCAGGCCAGGCAGAACGAGACAGGAACCGGGCCACGAGTCCACACTGACTTGCTAGGGCTGCCACCAACAGGCGAGACGAGACGAAACAGGCCACTGAACCAATTAATCGCCGGGGGCACCGCAGCAACAACACCAACAAACGGATCCATATGGGCAAGGATTGCGTTGCGGCGGCTTCTGGGCATTTGTTGCACGCCCGCCGCGCCTCTTTCTAGTACCCCATAACTACTAGGTACCTGGTATCTACGGAGTACTCGTCCTCTGTACAGTGTCTTGCCATTCTTTGGATATCATACACAATACGCTGTACTCTTTGTCGGTATCATCGAAGTCTATGTTCTCTTCATGATTATTGACTTTAGATCGTGAGGCATTTGCACCTGGGTCCTGGGTACTAGAACCGGACAATCAACCCCATCCCGCACGGCTACTGATAAACCCTGAGGCCAAATTCTAATCTTGACTGCATTTCCTGAACTTGCTCCAGATACGACATATTCTCGTGTTTTCCCGAATGGCACAAGCGGGACGAATCGTACATGCGCGTCTTTCCTTTCTATATTTTGGTATTAAGTACATCGACCCGCTGAGTACTCCTTCAACGATACTGGGGAAGGGCATAAATCACTTATCAATCATGGGACTCGATCCTCGTTGTGCATATTGGAGGGGAAAGTATTTCAGCTGGGCAGGGATCGATTGAACGCTCTCAAGGCCCGAGACTATATCTACGATAATCCAGCAAGAAGGAGGCTATAGCTAACTTCTTGTCCGCAGCGGACCTCGCCTTCATCCAAGGTACAAGGTTGCATCCATGTCCTGGGATGTGTACTTTTGCTTGGCCATGTGCGGACCAAGGTCTTTGGTGGTCTACCACTTTCACTGAACGTTCATCGTCATGAAGGTAATCAATTTCCACGGTACAGCCGCTCACAATTTGGAAGACGGATTGACTTTTGTTGACCGCATACTGTCTCTCGACACTGGCGCGTATAGGATCGTACCATTGACCGCAAATTCCTTGACGACCTTTTGACCACCGTCGTCCTGACTTAGCCATTCAACAAACGCTTCTGCCAGGTCCTGATCTCGTGCTAGTGATCCAACCAGGGCATGTGCTGGATTACGGAGAGAGTCATCGTCCAAGGACTCTTTCTGTGCGCCATAGTCAGCGTACCACAAGGCAATCGACGACCACAACTCACAAAAACAATCATGTTCTTCCTGACGTCGTCTTCGATCGCATACCAGGTCCCGCGATCAACCAGTGTGTACTCTCCAAGTCGACTTGCAGCCCTTAACGCTCCAAAGGGAAAGTCGATGTATCGGTGATACCAGGACGAGTATGGATGAGACCACGGTGTCTGTCCGATCACAGTCCAGATATGTGACTCGCGGATATTGTTGGCCGACTTGTCGTATCTGGAAAGAAACCTGACCGGATCCGGAGAAGTGGACGTCTCTACAGCGCCCTGGAATAGCAAAGCAAACAGTTCGTAGATGGTCGACGTTTGGTCTGTAGGTAGATTCGCAGGATTCGATCTCGGTCCTGACGAGCAAGGTGAGTTTGACACTTGGACAAGATTTCCTCGTCGCTCGGGAAACATTCTCGTCCCAAGTTACTGACCAACAAGCATGAAATGATCTTTCCATGCGTACACGGATTTCGTGGCAATGCCTTGTCGAACTGCGATTGCCTCAGCATAGGGGTGGTACGTGATACTCAGATCCGCCGCTCCTGTCGCAAGGGCGTTGAAGCTCAATGATGTGTCTGTGGCTATCCACGCTATTCGAAACGATGGACATGAAAGACGCCACGTATGACTGCCGATATGTCCCTCTGATCAGCTGGGTCCTGACACGGAAGAAACATGAATCATTGCAGGAAGATATCGTCACAAGACAACTGGTTGGGGGTGGGTAGAGACAGCCCTAGCCGACTCCATCTGGCAGATCTTATCTCGTGCGCAGACAAATGTGCAGAGACATACTTACGCTGTCATGAATTCTTCAGCCAGCTTTTGCAGGAGCCCTGATTGTCCTGCACCGCCAGTAGCGATACGCAGTCCGACGGGCCCCGAGGCCCCATAGAGGGCAGTGGGTGCGATTGTCTGACGCTGCGCTTCTGGGGTCGACGGCGCCAGAAGCTTAATGGATGCCATGATAGAACGATGTTCCCATGGTCATACCTTTCAGCCTATGTCGCACAGTCTCCAGCCTCAGAACTATTTCGATATGATACTTTGAACTGGCTACACAATAGCCGGACTGCAGCTTCCTTAATGGCAGGCCTCGTCATCGGCGATGGCCGGTACTCGTATCCGTCATTGGCCCACTCTTGATGTGCGCTTTTCGAAGACCAAATGGTCTACACTTTCGGAGGGACGACGGGAGTATGTTCCATTACAAGCTTTCGTCTACAGTCCATGTCTATCTCGAGTGAGTGCAATACAAGAGCATGGTCTTCTCCCCAAAATGCGACATTCAACGGCTGCCTTTTGTCCTGAAAGATGCAATCGCATCTTCAACGAATTGCACAACATCCTCGGTCTTACTTATTGCAGGTGAGTGACCAGCTTCTACGACCCTGGTCGTCACATCGGCACCATCGTCACGGCAGATCTGTACAATGATCTCCTGTCCCTTGAGCGTCATGGCCTGGTCCAGAGTACAGAACAGATACCAAACAGGCACATCCAGCCAGCCAGCATAAACGCCATCGGAACTCATTCCCAGGCCAAACGAGAACTTGACAAGCCTTGATATCAACTCTTGAGCTTCTTCTGGTGGAAGGTCGTTGTAAAAGTAGCCCCCAGGTTCACGAAGCAACTCCGACCATCCCTCTTTACTGGGTCGGACTTGGTCCTGCGACGAGAGACTCTCGACATATCCGGGGACCGCGTACAAATCGATCAGCGCGGTGTTGCTCCGGGGCGCAAATGCGGGAGTCTGTATCAAACCAAGCACGTGCCCTGACTTGTTGTGCTTAAGGTTGGATTGGTTCTTTCTGGTGAAACCCTTGATGGCGCTACAGCCCACCATTCCGCCGAAAGAGTGATTGACCACCACGACGTCGTTGCCAGCATCGATCTCCGAGGCTATGACTCTGCGCAATGATTCGATTGCAGGTGCTATTGAGGTGATCGGCAAATCGATATCAGTGAACAGCAATTGAGGTGCTATGCATTTGTAGCCCTTCATTTCGAGGATCGTTCTGGCTTTATCCCAGTACGCGGGAGTGTGCCAGGAGCCGTGAATGAGAATCAACGTCGGTGCAGATGACATCTTGCAGGGTTTCCTTTAGTACTCGTGCATCTGCTGCACATACTTTCAGGGATGAACAGAGTATGTCGACACGGGCACGAAGATATAGAGTGTTCGAATTGCAGGTGCCAGTGACGACAATTAGGCCCACGACATACTTAGTTAGCCCTGGCGGCCTTGTGCAGTTGAGACATGTCCAGGAACGTCGAAACAGGAAACCCATTCACGGCGTTATGCTCAGCTTGCCGTCCTCGCATAGTATACCATTATGGTTGCAATCCTGCATTGCCGCCCAGCGAGGACATATGCATTAGTACTCTCCTTGAAAGGGGCATTATGTGAAGGCGGCTTCCTTCACTATACACAACACTGGCCATGATGGTTTCGACCGAATGACTCGACCAAGGCATGATCTCCACAGATAGTTTCAAGCTTCAGGCCACCTGTGGACAGAGACTTTTCTACTTAGCCCACACTCACCTGGAGGCACAAGAGGCCCGCGATCTGCGAAATATGAAGACCGCGTAAAGAGTATAATAAGAAACGGAGACCCAGATCATCTTCTGACCTTGATGGCAATCTGGCGGAGTAGGAAGCGTTGTGGCCTTGAATCCGTGCGGGTGAAAACAGCCACATATTGCGCGCCACAAGCAACATTGGCCACATACAAAGACCCTCGCATCGCCTAGTAGCCCATGCCTTAGACTTTCCTTTCGAGTGTGGTTGCTTTGACCACCAGCCGCAGCAGGACACTGGGCAATGAGGCAGACTTTGAGCTTACCGCCCTCTACCGTGTAAATGTCCTTACTCCAGCTGACAAGGCAAACACCTTCCTCAAGGGTAGTGGTTGCAACTTCCTCTGCCAATCATCGTACAGGATCCACGAGCAACTTTTGTTGCAGGATTGTCTGACTTGACAAAAATGGAGACTTTCGCATGCTCACAGAGGTGACAAAGAGCTGAATTGATTTACGGATGTCAAGTATTTAACCACGCGAGGAGATCTCCCGATGCAGCGTCGACTTGTCACCAAAAGACCCGCGTTGCGTCGACCAACAGCGGCAGTCAAGTTCAAGAATGACACCTTGATCATACATGCGATGATCCGAAAGTGAGCAAGGTTTGAGCGAATGTTATGGGTCTGAGCTGCTATCGATGTAGGTACTCTCATGCGTTCTGCAGCGTGCACATCAGAACGGATGGAGACCCCAAAAATGCCTCACATCAAGCACAGCCAGAGGGGCTGAACAAGGTTGCCTCCAAGGGCAACACTTGTGAAGGTAACTGAGATCATGAGAAACTATGAAGAAGCTCACACCTCATCAAGATCAATTCATATACTTGAGGTTCAAGGCCTAGAATACTCAAAAAGCATCACAGTCAAAAGAACAACACGGTTCAGGTATATCGACTGGCTTTATTGTTTACTATCGTCTACCCCAGGGGTCCTCACCAATGAGGTTACACGGCGATATCTAGTCTGCGACTGGGGACGACCAATCTCCAGCTCGCATCGGCGCATCTCCAAAAGGTTGAGCCATCCCGCATTCGAGAACCTTTGCGCCTAGACATGCTCCAAATCGATGGTGTCGTCGCCATAGCCACAATCTGGCACTGATTCCCTCCCTCCCGTTCATCCACAGCCACCAATTCTGCGAGGTATCATCTGCATTCGCTTGCCGATCCCCCTTCAAAAAGTCTGAGCGATTTAGGTCATGCTTCGCAGCCGAAACAGACCAGGATCCTGAATCTAGCCGGATTGGTCTGTGCTTCTTCCTCAGTGCATAGGGGAATGTGGTCCTTGAACCAGTCGCCAGGCTACCGCCAACTCACCGCTCAGATAGATGATTTTGGCTTTTGGAAGCACTTCCATTCTGGCGATGGTCCTGGGAGAAGGACGCAAAGACGCAGTTGGCATCTAGCATATGCAAAGACTCTATTTGTGGCAGTGGCCTTCACCCACGGGTTGGCACACCTACATTATCTCAAGGCAAGTACGCGGTGGTGGACTGTTCTACGTTCATTCTGGCCCTTGACCTTTCTCGTGTACTGTTTCCTTACTTGCTCCCATCCCATCCCGCCCTCCATCCCCTCCCTTTCACGTCTTTACACAACAAAATGGTGGTCATAGACGACTTCGAGCGTGATCCGGAGAAGAACTTGGCCGTCATCAGCCCTGGAACAGCTGAGGACGACGAGTTACCACCTACCATTGCTGCAAGACGTCGTATCAGATATCTTGACGACGATGAGGAGGCACAAGGTGTAGGTGGTCCTTCCAACAACGAATTCGGACCTCCTTTGCGGAGACGCAGCTCTGCCTTCTCCATCCACTCTCTGTCAAGCGTGCGAAGTGCACGTTTTGTTGACCCAGCACTTATACTCCCAGTCCAATATCGTACTCTCAGCCACAATATTGCCAACACCGACGACAATGTGATCACCAAAGCGAAGGATGCCCGAGAAAAGGCAGCGGTGGACGTCGGAAACCTCGACTGGCACACAATCTCTCCAGAAGAGACCTGCATCCGCTTGAAGACCTCGATTGAATCTGGTCTAACTGCTACCGGAGTCAAGGAAAAGGCAACTGAATTTGGACCAAACGTCCCTAGTGCACCTCCATCTCATCTGGCTTCCAAGATCTTCGGCTACCTTTTTGGAGGGTTTGGCGCCATCCTACTCGGCGGCAGTATTCTTGTCTTTATATCCTGGAAACCATTGGGACATCCTCCTGAGGTGGCCAACCTTGCTCTGGGCATCGTGCTGGCTGCAGTGTTCGTCATTCAAGCCGTGTTCAACGCTTGGCAGGATTTCTCGTCTTCCAGGGTGATGAACAGCATCACGGGAATGCTCCCCGAAGCTTGTAACGTCCTCCGCGACGGCAGCAAGCAGACCATTCAGGCGCCTGAAGTTGTGCCTGGTGACATCCTCTTCTTCAAAGCCGGAGACAAGTTACCGGCCGACATTCGTTTCATTGACGTTTCTTCCGATTCCAAGTTCGACCGGAGTATTCTGACAGGAGAATCACTTCCTTTGGCCGCCGTTGTCGACTCAACAGACCCCAACTATCTGGAGACGAGATGCATCGGGATGCAAGGTACACACTGCACTTCCGGAAGCGGCATTGGCATTGTCGTCTCTACTGGTGACAGCACGGTTTTCGGCCACATTGCGAAGTTGACCAGTCAGCCTTCGACCGGTAGGACCACTCTGCAAAAGGAGATCTATCGTTTCGTCATCATCATTGTTTCACTCATGGTCGCCATGAACGTTATTGTGGTTGCTGTCTGGGCAGGGTACATCCGCCACGCGTATCCACACTACATCAATGTCCCCAAACTTATTGTAAACATTGTGAGCGTGGCCATCGCGTTTGTCCCCGAAGGACTGCCTATTGCGCTCACCGCATCCCTGACAATCACGGCCAACATCATGAGACAGAACAATATCCTCTGCAAGTCGCTGAAAACGGTGGAAACCCTTGGATCCGTTTCCGTCCTCTTGTCCGACAAGACCGGCACTTTGACCAAGAACCAAATGGTTGTGACGGACTGCCTGGTGGGTCTCAAGACCATGACTGCCATAGAAGCAGCGCAAGATGTTATTGTCGAGAAGTCCGAAGGCCACTCCAGAAAGGCAGCGCTCGAGCAACTCCGCGTGGTCTCGGGTGTTTGTAATGCCGGAGAATTCGACCCTACCACAATCCATCTGCCCTTGAACGAGAGGAGGATCATCGCCGATGCAACTGACCAAGCCATCTTCAGATTGTCTGAAAGTCTCGGTTCTGTCAATGAGTCTAGGGACATGTGGCGCAAGAGATTCGACCTGGCTTTCAACTCGAAGAACAAGTTTGCTCTTCGTGTTTCCTCTGCCACTTCGGAAGCTGCAGCGGCCATGACTGTGAGTGCGGCGGAGAAAGCTTCGTTCGATGCCGACAACGACATGCTCCTGATGATCAAAGGTGCCCCGGACATCCTCCTCCCGAGATGCACAAAGTATGTCGGCGAGGACGGCGAAGTTCACGAGCTTGATGACCGCGTTCGAACCTCTACCGAGGCTACCAAAGACTCCTGGTCGAGCCAGGGCAAACGAGTCATCCTTCTCGGGCGCAAGCCACTTCCTGCGAGTGATCTAAAGAGCGATCCGAATGACAACGAGTTCGAGCCAGAAGCTATCCAGCATGCTCGTGCAGGGTTGACGCTCATTGCACTGGTCGGTATTGTCGATCCGCCCCGAGACGAAGTGCCCAGTGTAATCGAGACCCTCCGCCGTGCAGGGATCCGCACGATGATGGTTACAGGTGACTTCAAGTTGACCGCCCAAGCCATTGCTCGCTCATGTGGCATCATCACTCTGCCAGACGCCCAAATTCACACGATTGACAACCTGCCGCGCTTCGGTTCAGAAACGGGTGAGGACACCAAATCGGTATCTCGGTTCTCCAGGTCGAAAGCACCCAAGAAGACCCTGCTCCCGGGCGACAAGAAGGCCATCGTCCTGACAGGCCCAGACCTCATCACCCTCATGCCTCACCAATGGCACGCCCTAACAACAGAGTATACGGAGATCGTCTTCTCCCGGACCACACCTGACCAAAAATTGCGCATCGTCAAAGAATTCCAGTCCCGCGACTACATCGTTGCCATGACGGGCGACGGTGTCAACGACGCACCTAGCCTGAAACAAGCCGACATCGGCATCGCGCCGTCCTCGGGCTCAGACATCGCTATCGAAGCATCTGACATGGTGTTGCTTGATTCCTTCTCCGCCATTCCCGAAGCCGTTCTCTATGGACGCGTGGTCTTTGACAACCTCAAGAAGACAATCGCATATCTCCTCCCAGCTGGATCGTTTGCCGAATTCTGGCCAGTCATGACAAGTGTGGTTTTCGGTCTTCCACAAGTTCTGTCAAGTTTCCTCATGATCATCATCTGTTGTTTCACCGATTGCGTGACAGCCACGATGCTCGCCTATGAGAAACCCGAAGCCGACGTCATGTTACGACCTCCCCGCGACGTCCACGCTGACCGCCTGGTAGACTGGCGTCTGCTGCTGCAAGCGTATGGCTTCATCGGCTTACTCGAAACCCTCAGCTCCTTTGCCATGAGCTTCTGGTACCTCTCCCGTAAGGGCTTGTCGTTTGGTGATCTGTGGTTCTCATTCGGCAACGGACCCACTCCACCAGGCATGTCCACAGACGAGGTCGCTTATCATCTCAATGTCGCGAGCAGTATCTACTTTGTCACACTTGTGGTCATGCAGTGGTTCAGTGTCATGGCGTTGAGGACCCGTCATCTGTCCATATTTCAGCACCCACCTATTTTCAACAAGCAGACGCGCAACTTGTTGTTGTTCCCTGCTATTCTCTTCGCTTTGATTGTGGCTTTGATCTTCACATTTGTGCCTGGGATTTCGGAGCTTGGATGTGAGAATGTGCCTGTCGAATACTGGTTTTTGCCTCTGGCGTTTGGTCTTGGGATTTTGTCGTTGGACGAGTTGAGGAAGATGTTGGTTAGGAGGTATCCCAACGGCGTTTTGGCGAGGATGGCATGGTAGATGGCACAGATGAAACTTACATGAAGATTAGATTTGCACTTCCTTGAATATCTGAGAGCTGAGTGCAACCGGCGTGCGACGGTGAAGTTTTAGACTGTGTTGATGCATGGGCGAATAAACGGATTCTTGTGTATGGCAGACCAACGACATATGATCTGCCTCGTTGCAACCCAAGAGGCACCCTATAGACATCGATAGTAATCCGTACCTTGACCGGAACATATTGATAGACATTAATATTGCTTGGCTGGGAAGGCTTGCGTAAGTAGGCGAAGCTCGGTTGTGGTGTAACTAACAAACAAGATTCGAGATCTGATCTGGCCCGTTGCATGTTCGGCAATCGTCATCATGATGATATCATTATCATCCCTCCAAGCCAGCCTCGCATGTAACAAGGATTCTACAACTCCGAACAAGCTGTTTGTCTGACTACCAAGACGATTAAATCCACCAGCTCAATACCCTTCATGCAATTCAGAGCATCATGGATTAAGTCAGCTTACCCTTATACTATCAACTACCACTGAACAGCTTGAAGCCGGAAAATACAACAACCATGTCCGAACCCAGTCTGGCAGACAACCGTTCCACGCTAAAAGACTTCGTTTCTGTAAGGGCTCACTCTTGCTGATTAAAACGCAAAAAACTGTATTCAGTCCCAAATACTCATGCTATCACAGTCCATCTCTGCCATCCGGGGCGACCTGTCAAACATCACCGCTCCGCCATTCGTCCTCGACACAAAATCCACAGTCGAATTACCAGGTTTCTGGGGTGAAAGACCGTCCGTTTTTGTGGCCCCGGCCTCATCTCAAGATCCTGCAGAGCGCGCCCTTCTCGTTCTGAGGTGGTTTCTCTCTTCACTTCGCAACCAGCAATACTCGGGTCGGGCGCCCGGTCAAGGAGTCAAGAAGCCTCTCAATGCCTTTCTCGGAGAACTCTTCATTGCCAGATGGGAGGATGAGGCTGGGTTAACGAGGTTGGTCTGCGAGCAAGTCAGGTGAGTCGCAAACGCAAACATCGTCTTCACCACTAACCGCTGCCTCAGTCACCACCCTCCCGTGACGGCATGTCGTCTGTGGAACGAAGAACATGGTGTTTCGGTATGTGTCTCTGCTTTAGATTAGTCAAAAATCAAGAACCCATGCTGACCTTTTCCAGGCTGAAGGATATACTCGCCAGGAGATTTCGTTCTCCGGAAACCTGAACATCAAGCAAATAGGCCACGCGATCGTCCACCTTTCTCGTCACAACGAGTCGTTTCTGATCCCATTGCCTGATGTTAAGGTGAAGAGCATCATCACTGGCAGTCCTTACCCAGAGCTCGAAGGAACGTACTACATTCCCAGCACAAATGGGTACATGTCGACCATCGTCTTCGGCAGCAAAGGTCTGTTTTCAAGTTCCAGCAAGAAACATAGCTTCGAGGCGAAAGTGTACCGTGAAGGAGAGGAGGGAAGCCCTCTGTACACCGTCACGGGTAACTGGGATGGTGTCTTTGTCACGCATGATGTCCGGACCGACACCGAGATCGATCGATTTGATGTTGAGACCGCCAAAACCACCCCTCTCGTGACAGATCCTCTGGATGAGCAGGACCCGTGGGAGTCCCGCCGGGCATGGCACGACGTTCGCCAAGCCCTGCAGAGAGGCGACATGCAAGGAGCTGCAGATGCTAAATCGAAGCTGGAAAACGGACAGAGAGATCTGCACAAGAACGACCCTGATGGAAAGTCTTGGGAGAGATTGTTTTACGCCACCGTACCACATGATGAGGTGGCTGAGGGACTGGCAAAGAAGATAGGAGACTCGTTGACCCCTGAGGATACAGTGGCAGCATGGAGATTCCGGCTGAAAGACTGGGAAGATGGGAAGTTCAGAAAACCCTACCACGGCGATGTTGGTCCGGACAATACCAGAAGTGAGTCCAGTATCAGCGGCGGCTCACATCAGCAGCAGCAGTCTTCTCCGGTTCAACAATCTACGACACGGTCGACAGAAGCTATGGCAGCTCCTGCTGCTGCGGCTGGCATTTCGGCTGGCAATGGCTATGGTACGAGCTCTGGCGCTGGCTATGGTACTAGCTCTGGCCCCAGTTATGGTACTAGCTCTGGCACTGCCTATGGCACTGGCTATGGTACGAGCTCTGGCACTGGCTCTGAAACTGGTACACGCGCTGCTCCAGTCCCGACCTCTACCGCAAGCACCCGGAGTGGTCCCGGAATATCCATGTACAGCATGGTAACGGCTGATGAAAGTGAGACTGTTGATGAGCCTTCAACTGGAAGCTGGCAAACGAAGCCTGAACCTTACCGCGAAGAGACCACTCGGGAGCCGGAGCCTGCGTCTACGGGAACATCTGGAACACAAGGGGCCTTCTTCGCAGATGCGCCCATCGCGCATGTGCCTATAGTCGACGATACCGTTCGGAAGCATGAAATCCTTGCAAACACTTCTGAGCAGCAAGGGCCCGCCCTTGCAGATACCTTTCGCGGTCAAGAGGCTCTCCCCGCGAGTACTCACCAACCACAGCAGACCGACCTGACTGAAACTTCTTCTACTGCCGATCGATCAGCCGGCTCCACCACTGCGCCCGATGAGACAAGCAACACTGGAACTTCAGGAATTTCAGGAACTTTCAGCAAAATCTTGGGAGCTGTGGGACTTGGTGGTGCCGCTGCCGATTCCGGTGCTGCGGCCTCAGAGACTCACTCTACGGATACTTCTCCAAGACAGGAACATCGTTCGGACGATACTCCTCAACAACACGACTACTCTCTTTCACAATATATCTCCCAAACAAAGGAGTCTTCTACGGCGGGTACTTCTCAATACCAGGATGATTTTTCGACTGGCACATCTGGATACAAGGATCCTTTCTCAACAGATACATCTCGAGGACAGGAGCCAGTTTCGACGAGTACTGCTCAACGGCACGAGCCTATTGACACCGATACTTCTCGGACACAAGAGCCCCATGGCGCCGACCGTGCACAACCGCAGCAGTCCTCTTCTGCAGGCATCGTTAAGGATCCTACTGGTGTCCCTGGTGACCGAGATCTTATTGACGAAGGCACTTCCCATGGGCAAAAACCAGATTTGGATAATGTCGGTAGCGGCGTGGCTAGCATGAGTGTAAAGGAGAAGTCGCAGGTGGAGGACTTCCTCAGGAAAAAGTACTCGAGTTCGGGTAGGTAAGTGTGTGTCTACAAGGAGCTCTGTATGAGCTCTAGCTTTCATGGCTCTTGGTGGTCGTACACTGTGTTCCAAAGGCAGATGGAGATTCATGGGTCGAATGGCAGCAAATGGAGCGGCTGAAAGTACACTTGCTGTTGAATGGTCCACGGCACAGGTGGGGAAAAGTACCTGTTCAGCAAGAAGCACGCCCACAATTCATCGACATTCATCAGTCATGTTGACCTGCACTTTGAAAGCCAATGACCTTCACCACCTCATCACTTGAGTCTTCGCACTTTCGCTCATGTGCTCTACATTCATTCCTACATTGCCTCAATCGCTAAGCAAGCTTTCCTCGGCTTATTACGCAATCCTACTCAACAGAGCCATTCCTGTCCATATCGCGTACGCACGGAAGACCATGGAGTCTCAACGACTCGCAAAGGTGCATGAGTCTTAGTATGCACAATGTGTGACGTTCCCCAAATTGCTATTCTCTGCCTTGAAAGAATCCCACCGGAACTTATACCATTCAGGCATGTAATGAACATTTGACACAATCATTCGGCACTAGCTCTACCGATTTCCCTGACAACACCATATATGATGAGCGGGTCGAAGAAGCTTGATTTGTCCGGCTCTTTACAGAACCAGGTGACCCCCGGGAATATATGCATGGAATCCTTTCTAAGGACAATCCCCAGGTGATACACCGTATGCACCATGCAGATCCAACCTCCACATGTGCGGGGGAATGGTAACATGGTCAACGTCACAATAACATCCAAGTCCTTCAGTGGCCCTACTACCATTAGCAGGTATAAGAGTCTGATTGACCAGTAAGTACAAGATGGCTGCCCGCTACGATATCACAGGGAAGGTAAGTCGCAATGGCATTGATCCTGATGCTGGGCGTGATCGCCCTCATCTCTTCGTGTGCTTTTGCTCAGAATCCATACACCAATGTCAATGACTCGAACTATCACCGCCTACCGAACTACTCCCCAGCCAGACCACCAGCTGTACCCTTGGCCGTCCGTTCCCCTTACACAAGCGCCTGGCAGTCGACAGCAGGCAACAGCACACTCAACTCTGGAAGTGTTCAGTTCTGGACGGGCGGTGACCTAGGATGGGAGGGCATTGTCACAGTCGATGGCATCTCTTACGAGTATCTAGGCATTGCCTACCAGACATTGCCCGTGGTGCCGATCTTCCAGACTGCAGTGCCGACGAACGTGGCGTACGACTCACAATACTCCAACTATACCTTCCAAGCCGGGCCGGTTATGATCACTGCCAGCTTCTTCTCTCCAGTCATTCCAAAGGATCTATGTCGAACTAGCATTCCCTTGAGCTACCTGACCACATCAATCGAGTCTCTAGATGGCGCCGACCACGATGTCCAACTTTACTCCGACGTCAACGGCAATTGGGTGGCACCAGAAGGCAACAAGACCCTCAATTGGGACCTGTATCGCAACACAATGTCCATCAACGGAAGTGGAAACGCGACAGACTCGCCCAACCTCCTCTACACCTGGCTCTTCAATCTGTCGTCACAATACCAATTCGCCGAAGAGAGCCAGTTACCTCTCTGGGGAAACTTCTCCTACACCACATGTCCCGGACAAGCCAGCAATTTCAGCTTTCAAAGCGGCTACTCAGCCAACCTGCGCTTCAACTACATCATGCAGCATTACCTTGCCGACAATGTCGACAGCGACTACCGCGGCGCGCAAGAGATGGAACCAGTCTTTGCTTTCGCTCACGATTTCGGTTCTACCAGCTCCGCAGCAGTCCGATACACTCTCGGCTCCTCTCAGACCCCAATAATGCGGTACCTCACATCCTCCGGCGTCCAAGCTCTCCAACCCTGGTGGGCCAACTGTTACGGCGACCTCTTCTCAATGATTGCATATCACTACAACGACTACGACAGCGCCGCAGCGCTAGGCAACGCCTTTGAAGCGCAACTCAAATCCGACATCGACGCATTTTACGCCCCCGAATACGCCAACACCCAAGTCTACAGCAACAGCACACCGTCCGCTTCCCCAATCTATCCCAACCAAAGCATCGGGACCGACCAATACGGGCAGCAATACTACTTCGACCCCAACACAGCATACGGCTTTCTCGACCCAACCGACTTCTCTGGCGTCCCCGTCCCCGACATCTCCGAGCCAGAAGCATACTACTCATTCGTCGCTCTAGCAGCACGTCAAGTAATGGGCGCATACGTCCTCACCGTCAACCCCAGCCCCAACACCACAGACTCCTCCCCACTAATGTTCCAAAAAGAAATCTCCTCCGACGGCAACGTCAACACCGTCGACGTAATGTACCCAGCAATGCCGTTTTTCCTGTACGCCAACCCCGCCCTACTGTCATACAACCTCGATCCGCTCTTTTACAACCAAGAATCCGGCTTTTACCCAAACTCATACTCGATGCACGATTTAGGGTCCAACTTCCCCAACGCAACAGGCCACGTGGAGGGCAACGACGAGTACATGCCGGTCGAAGAGTCAGGCAACATGATCATAATGACATACGCCTACTACGCTCTCACAGGCGACACCTCCTATCTATCGCAACACTATCCCATTCTGCAGCAATGGTCCGAATACCTCATAGAGTACAGTCTCTTGCCCGGCCAGCAACTCAGCACCGACGACTTCGCAGGGCAACTCGCCAACCAGACCAATCTCGCTATCAAGGGTATCGTCGGGTTGGCATGTATGGCCGAAATCGCCTCTGCTACAGGCAACTCTGACAACGCGACGACATACACGACTCTAGCGACAGAGTATTTCAACAACTGGACAGAGCTTGCAATCGACCCGTCCGGCCACCACACTATGCTCGGATACCAATGGCGCTCATCCTGGGGATTACTCTACAACGTCTTCCCTGCACGCTTGTTGTCTCTACCTATCATACCCGACTCGATCTACGATATGCAATGCGCCTATTACCCAAGTGTATCCCAGATCTTCGGCGTCCCACTGGATAATCGCCACGCATACACAAAGTCAGATTGGGAACTCTGGACAGCAGCGACATGCACCAGTCCAACTAGACGGCTTTTCGTGAATGCGTTGGCGTACTGGTTGAACGAGACGGACACAAGTCTGCCGTTCACCGATTTATACTTGACGATCGATGAGGGTGGGTATCCGAATAGTGATACGGCGCCGACGCCGATCGAATTCATTGCCAGGCCCGTGCAGGGAGGGTTGTTCTCTCTGCTCGCGATGTTCGTGAGAGGTGGGAATGCGGTGTCTTTTCCGTCGCAAAACAGTTCGGGTGGCAATACGACGCAGCCTAGTATACCTAACAATGCGACGACGACGGTGACAAGCTACAGTTTGCCTATGAACACTACTTGGACGTCCTCGTCGGCAATGTCGTATTCTGTGTCGAGTGGGGTTACGGAGTCGGTGAATCTCAGCACTACTACCGCTGCTACTGCGTACAGTGAGACGTACACTACCACCCAGACTTACAATTACACGCTGCCGACGACTTACGTCTCAACGGCAACGGAATCACCGACGCAAGAGACATGGATCAGCTTCAATATCAGCTCTGCTGTGACTGGGCCGCCGACTTGGACTACGAGTACGACAGGCACCTCCTCCTCTTGGTAAGAGGAAGGATCATTGGGTTGATGCGCGAATGGGACGGGACATTCGACTACATGTGACAATTCACAAGTCAATGCACACGTCACAAGTAACACATAATGCCGTTCATTGATTTTTATTCATGACTATCAACTCTAGCTAAACATCAAGGCACCTTGTTTGTTGTAACATTATAATTCGTTTCAGCCATTTACAGTCTGGCACTGGCCTTGCCTGGTTGCATACCCTTGTGGATATCAAATCGGTCAAGGTTCATGACCTTATCCCAAGCAGTAACAAAGTCCTTGGTGAACTTCTCGGCACCATCAGCTTGAGCATAGACCTCAGCAATGGCGCGCAGCTCAGCGTGAGAACCAAAGACCAAGTCGTAGCGGGTGGCGGACCACTTCTTCTCGCCAGTCTTGCGGTCAACACCCTCGAACAATTCACCAGTGTTATCGACTGACTTCCAGGCGGTGTTGACATCGAGCAGGTTGACAAAGAAGTCGTTACTCAATTGACCAGGGCGCTTAGTGAAGACACCGTGCTTGGAACCGTCCCAGTTGGCGTTCAAGGTACGGAGACCACCGACCAATACGGTCATCTCGGGTGCGGTAAGTTCCAGGAGGTGAGCCTTGTCGACAAGGAAGAATTCAGTGTTGACTCGGTGGGTCGACTTGCCGTAGTTTCGGAAACCATCGTGGTGAGGCTTGAGGTGCTCGAACGAATGCTCGTCAGTCTCCTCTTGTGTAGCGTCAGTGCGACCGGGTGTGAAAGGCACAGAAAGACCGGATGCCTTTTCGACGGCGGCGACACCTGCAAGAACAATAAGGTCGGCCAGCGAAACCTTCTTGCCACCGCTGGCGGAGCTGTTGAACTTCTGCTGGACGTTGTCCAGGGCGCCAAGAACTTGCTGGAGCGAAGCCTTGTCGTTGACCTCCCAGTCTTTCTGAGGGGCAAGACGGATGCGGGCACCGTTGGCACCACCACGCTTGTCACTGCCACGGAAAGTGGAGGCTGAGGCCCAAGCAGTGGTGATGAACTTGGTGTTGTCCAAGCCAGTGGCCAGAATCTCCTTCTTCAAGTTGGAGATATCGGTCTCATCGATGATTGGGTGGTCGGCAGGGGGAATTGGGTCTTCCCAGAGCAGAGTTTCCGAGGGAAGTTCAGGACCTAGCCAGCGAGCTCGGGGACCCATGTCACGGTGCAACAGCTTGAACCAAGCACGGGCAAAGGCGTCAGCGAACTTGTCGGGGTTCTCGAGATAGTCTCGGGAGATCTTTTCGTAGGTAGGATCGAAGCGGAGAGAGAGATCAGTGGTCAACATTCTTGGCTTGTGTGTCTTGCTCGAGTCGTAGGCATCAGGAATGAAAGAATCAGCGTTCTTGGCCACCCACTGGTTGGCACCAGCAGGGGACTTCTCCAGTTCCCAGTCGTACTTGAACAGGTATTCAAGGTAGTTCATGCTGAACTTGTTGGGGGTCTTGGTCCAGATGACCTCAAGACCGGAGGTGATGGTGTCAGGGCCCTTTCCGGAGCCGTGCTTGTTCTGCCAGCCCAGACCTTGGTTCTCCATGGGGGTGGCTTCTGGCTCCTTGCCAACGTTATCCGATGGGGCGGCACCGTGTGTCTTGCCGAAGCTGTGGCCACCGGCAATCAGAGCCACTGTCTCTTCATCATTCATAGCCATACGGCCGAAGGTGGTTCGGATATCGCGAGCAGCAGCAACGGGGTCAGGAACACCGTCGGGCCCCTCAGGGTTGACGTAGATCAGACCCATGTGGGCCGAGCCGAGAGGAGATTCGAGGTCGCGGGAGTGGATATCCTTGTGATCCTTCTTGTGCTCGTCGGAGTCGACGACACCGTGTGATCCTTCTGGAGCACCGGCCTTGCCGTCGGAGTAACGGACATCGTTACCCAACCAGGTAGTCTCACCACCCCAGTAGACAGCCTCATCGGCCTCGTAGGTGTCTGGACGACCACCAGCGAAACCAAAAGGCTTGAAGCCCATTGACTCGAGGGCGACATTACCGGTCAACAGCATCAAATCAGCCCAGGAGATCTTGTTGCCATACTTTTGCTTGATGGGCCAGAGCAGACGACGGGCCTTGTCGAGGGACACGTTGTCGGGCCAGCTGTTGAGGGGAGCGAAACGCTGTTGACCTTGGCCACCGCCACCACGACCATCCTCGACACGGTAAGTGCCAGCACTGTGCCATGCCATTCTGATGAAAAGACCACCATAGTGACCGTGGTCAGCGGGCCACCACTCCTGGGAGTCGGTCATCAAAGCATGTAAATCTTTCTTGACAGCATCGTAATCCAAGCTCTTGAAGGCACTCGCATAGTCAAAGTCCTTGCTGAGAGGGTTCGACACGGGGGTGTGCTGACGGAGGATGTTGAGTCTGAGACCCTCTGGCCACCAATCTTTGTTCTTGGTACCGCCACCGCCGATGGGGGCGGTTCTGGTATTGTGTACTGGACATTCACCCATGGCTGCGTTTGGGATTGGTAAGGACTGAGAAAAGAATTAATTTCGTTTGCAGTGAGAGGGAGGAAGAAGCAGACAGGAAGCAGGAACTACCCCGCGTCTTTTAAAGGTGCCCTGAGCCCCTCTGGGATTTAATAGATGGAATGTGATTAGTTGATGGTGGAAGACTGTGGACTGATGGGTCAGGTGAAGGCTCGCTGGTCATGACTCGAATAGGAAAGAAAGCTGCGACCGAGGTCAAAGTGTTCGCTGTGACTAGCTGTAAGAGGAATAGAACAGAGGTATCTCGGTGGAGGTGCGAGAGACGGTCGATGCGGCGACGATGAAGGGTCCGCCAATGATACAGCTACAGTTTGAAGACGATATTGTTAGCATTGGCATTGGCCGCTGGACACATCCATATTCCATACCTTATTGTTTCTTGACCGGGAGAAGTCAGGAGAAGAGTGTCACCGTGTACGTGTTCGTGCTCGGCGTTTTGTCAGTGAGACTGTGGCAACAAGAGTCGATAGACGCTGGACACTGTCACAGATGATGAGGACGAGGGAAATCACTACTCGTATTCTTCTTCTTTCATCTAGAAGCATCGACAGACAGATATGGGCAAAGACCCTGCTTGGAGTCTGACGGGTGGTTCCTGGAATGGTGAAATTCTGTCTTGTTCTTGACCCCTCCATCGCTTCACTTACAAAGTAATTCCCCCACCTTCAACGGCAGTCAAATGTCACAAACAGCGCCACGGATTGCGCAACTCAATCGAGGAATTCACCACGACAACCTGCGTGGCACGAACAGACTCAACAAGATTTGTTTCGGCTCCAATTGGCCTACTACTTTTCCCAATATGTGGCATCTCTCCGGCGACCACGCGAGACGAGGTATACCACGGTATGGATTCTCGGTATCATGCCGGTCAATCTAGAACATCGACAACTTCTCGGTAAGGAAGAGCCCGAGCTGCGAGTGGTGGTACATCCATGAGACATAATTGGCTACATTGTGTGCCCATGGGAATGCTTTCCACATGCGCCACCATAGGCTACTCACAGTAAATCTGTTACACCTGCATCCCCTTCTTCAATATTACATGTTGCTGCTGTGGACAGTGTAACGTGCCTCGATGAGTTGACATTGAATGACTGGTGCATTCATCCGACACGGTGTACGGACCCAAACACGACTGACTCAGCGTATAAGGCTGAAACAACCTGGGTCATCGTAGGACTTGAGTCACCAACGTCTCATCGCCAATCGGCAATGGCAACGCACTTGGCTTGCTATGACTGTGTGCTAACTTCCAAATGAGGCTTATATGGCCTCGCGCCTTCTTTCGTGCTCACAGTGACATACACCCGGGCATTCAGAGGTTGGAAAATTCATAAACCAGACCAGCAACACCAAGCTCGACCTATCGCTGCCTTGGTGGCCAAGGCTGGATCCTCCTCTCTTCCGGACTCGTCGCCGGGATCCCTTGCCGTCACATCGAGCAACAATTCACTGTTCTGAGCATTCCGCACCGAGATGGTTACTTTGGATGGCTCCACCCTCGAAGGTGGTGGCCAGCTCGTCCGCGTCGCCCTCTCCTTATCGTCCATATGCAGTATCCCACTACGCGTTACCAATATTCGAGCCAATCGCGCGCCTCAAGGAAGGCAATCATCGCACCACGCCCACCGAAGCAAGGGCAAGAGCAAACACTCCCGCAACGACCGCAAACCAGAGGGCGGGCTCAAGGAGAGTCACCTGGTCGCTCTGAACTGGTTGGCAGACAAGTGCAACGCAGACGTTCAAGGAAATGAAATCGGCTGTCGGGATGTCATATTCAAGCCAGCAAGACGGAAGGGAAACTATTCACGAGCGACCCGTGGACCTGAAGAAGCCCTTCCGGAAGTCATTGAGCTCCAGAAACCAGGCAGTGTGTGGTTGATTTGGCAGGCGATCTTCCCGTACATCGTGTTCTCTTTGCTAGATACGGAGGGGCAGCACAGTGCCCATACAGCCGAGCATACCAAAGCCTCGAATGGTGCACAGGCTCAATCTGAAATAGCTTTCCGCATCATACTCAAGGGCGGCACCAACGTCCCCAAATCCCCATCAAGCGAGTATATGCAGCAAGTCTTCCTTCCACTATGTCAAAAGATCGGCCTCCCCAAAGTCGATGTCGTCGTCAAGAAGCGCGGCTGGGCTGGCAGTGCCCCAGACATCGGCGAGGTCGATATCATTGTACACAAACCCGATACATCCCAAGCAGGATGCCACCTACCGCCATTCCACCTCCACTCGCCAGGACTCATCACATCCATCACGATGACCATCATCGCCGGGAGCACTCAGACACACACGCTCCTCGAGACCGAAGTGATATCTGCCATACGGGCTGCACCAACGTTCACGTCGCTAAATCTGCCGATCACACTGCATCCGTCAAGTACGTCGTCTGGGGACGAGCGGCGGCTGTACATCCTCCTCGTCGCACATACCGTGAACGGATACGCCTTGGGCCGCGATTATCTAGCATCTGGGAAGAACATATCGTCCGACAACGACAGACGCCACATCATCGACCAGGCAGTACGCCAGGTCGTGCACGTTTTCGCACACGAGTGTGAAAGAGGCGGGTGCGTTGACGAGTTTGCGGAGGATCAGATTGTTGTGTTTCAGGCTCTGGCCTCAGGCAAAACGAGTGTGGACGCCGGCAAACATGACCGAATGGAGAAAGAGAGGGAGATGGAGACCGGAAGTCTACATACGCGGACAGTAAGGTGGGTTTGTTACGAGGTGCTGGGCACGGTGTTCGATGGGCAGGGCGGGTGCGTGGGCAGATTTGATGGTGGTGACGTCGAGACAGTCAGCAATGGACTTGATGGACGGAATATCAGTTTTGATGGTACAGAAGACGGGGATGATGTTGGCTGAACGCAGCATGATGCTCATGGGCAGCTTAGTGTCTGTCTTCGAGGCTCGAAACGACTGTTTGACAGCCTCGCTAGTTGCTAAACTTTTCACCCTGACAATACCAATATGTGCGGCCCTCGTCATTCATGTCGCTGCCCACAGGATGAAACGCTCATGACCTGCTGCCCTTCCTAACACCCTCCACCGAACTTTTGCCTCAAGTATCCTTCCATATTCACATTCCCTTGGACCCCTTCCACATTGCGCACTCGACGATGGATACTGGGCTGTTGCACAAAGTCCTGGAACGTCGTGTCGTTTGATGATCGCACGCCTGGTGGCTTGGGAGCGTTGAGAAGATCTCAGCTTGCTATGCTGAAAGGTGGTGCGGGAACATACTCGCTTTATGAGGCTCGACGACCACCACGCTTGCTCTGAAGCTCCTTTTTCATCTCCTTGTGCTCCTGGCGTTTGGCCTTGTTGTACTTATCCTTGCCGAGGAGTGGAACCCCACCTCTACCCGTAGCAGTCGGGTCAGTCTTGGGCTTGGACGAGACGAGTCCTGACTTCGGTCCTCGGGCTTTGACAAGATTCTTACGATCCTTCTTCGCTTTCTTTTCCGCTTTCTTCTCTTTTCGTTCTTTCTTCCACGCGGGGATATCGTCAGCCGCGGCTCCGAGAGAGATGAAGTCTGCGCTAGTGTCCATGGCTGCCTCAGACTCTGGCTCTGCCTCAGGTTCATCCACAGGCTCAGCGATATCAGCGGTACTACTTTCTTCAGCAGCAGGTTCTTCCGCTGGTTCTTGTGCCGCTTTCTTCGATGCCCTATCCTTCCGGGACTTCTTCTCTGCTTGATCGGCAAGTTCATTGATGTGGGTCACAGCAGCGTCCATAGCAGCTTGTCCAGCCTCTCTCAGTCCCTCAGTGGGTGTCTTCTTCTTGTCCTTCTTTTCCTTCTTTTCCTTCTTGGCCTTTCCATCGGTCTTCACTTCCACTTCCTCGACAGCTGGGGCCTGTTCTACAATTTTTGTAGCCGGCTCAGTTGACTCAAGGTCAGCCTTCTTCTTCTTCTTCTTGTCCTTCTTAGCAGCTGCTTTGGGCTTTGCTTCTGCAGGGGTTTCTTGATCAACCAGTGTCTCTGCCTCTGCAGCTGTTTCTGCATCGGCTTTCTTCTCCTTGTCCTTCTTAGACTTCTTGCTCTCCTTGATGGCGATTTCATCCTTGGGTAGACCTTCGGGTGGTTCAATCAGGCCAGCCGGTGCAGACTCGGCATCTTCGACCTGCTTGGTTTCCTCTTCGGCGGCCAGCCTCTGCAGTAATGCATCCGAGGGAGATGCTAGGGTCCATTCCGGCATGTCGATTCCAAGACTCTTGAGCTTCTTTGCCTTCAACTCACGTTTGCGCCGCTCTTTGTCAACCTTCTTCTCCCATTGTTGCACCGTCTTTGGTGCGGCCAGCTTCTCTCGTTCGAGCTTCTCATGTGGAATCTTTCTGAACTTCTTGTCTGCACCCTTCCAGACATCTGGGTGTAACGAGCCGGGCTCGGCGTACTTGCATTTGAGGATGTGACCGAACAGGAGGTAATTGTCCATGGTGCTGGCGACGATCTTGGCAACCTCATTGGACTTGAACTCGATGAAAGCAAAGTGCTTGGATGCGCCGGTGCGTTTGTTGCGAGAGAGTCTCAGACGAGAGATGTCGCCGAACTGTGAGAAGTATTCCTTCATTTCCGTCTCGTAGAAACCGTGAGGGATGCGGCCCACGTACACCGTACCTGACTCGGCGTGACTGTCTCTCCCCGCAAGCTTCGTCAACTTCTTGCGTGTCTTCTTGTCCATGGAGAGGGCAGGCGTGGTAGTGAGGTTGAGTCCTTTGTCTTCTTGACGATCTTCCGTGTCGCTGTCAAAGCCAGCCAAAAGTGCGGCTGCATTGTCATCCTCATCAACCTCGTCCTCCTCTTCGTCTCGCCCATCCTCCGCATCGAGACCAGCAAACTCATCCTCCAATTCGTGTTCAACGGTACGCTCAGCTTCGGCTTGCATCGAGGTAGAGACAGGCTTGTGCGAGGTTGCAGTTTCGAGGTCTTGGTCACCACTGTGCTCTACGACCCCATTAATGCCGTCGGCGCTGAGGAGTTCATCGTGTTTGCCCTTCTTGCTCTTTTTGGTCTTGGGCTTCTTAACGGACGCTGCAGATTCAGAGGTGGCAGGGGCATTTTCTTCTCCATCCATGAAGTCGGCCGCCCGCTTGCGAGAGGTCTTTGCCGAGGTCACGGGAGCACTCTCTGAGGACTTCTTGCTCTTCTTGCCATTGAGAACGGGGTCGCCGCTCGGCATACTGGTAAGTGTTGTCTCTGTTGCTTCGGTGGCGTCCGCCGATTTCGATTTCTTGCTCTTCTTGGGCACCATATCGGCTGCGCCAGACGAATCTAACGGCATTGGTCAGAGGGAACCCTCCATAGACAATGATGATCCGTGGACTAACCTTTACGCTTCTTCTCGCCCATGCTGGTCATGCAATCAATTACCAATAAAGGATTATGTTCTGATGCGAGTACAAGTAACACTTTCTAATGCCTGAATGAAATGAACCGCGCCCAAAGGTGCTTCCGAAATTTTTCTCCAACTGATGCCAAGCTCTCGGGGAGTTGGAGGACAGCCGGGGGTGGGAAACTCAGCCGAGAGTAGCCATTAGCATTTAGTACCTAGCGAGGGTGTCTCCAGAGAAAGTGGCACTGTCTGACAGGGCGTACATCGACAATATAGGTTCCGAGTCAAGCTGGGTCACAACAGCGGATGCCTCGACAGCAACATAGGTGCAGTTTACGGTAGAGCTGATGGCCTCCTCTCTATCAAAGGCCAACGGTATATCGTTTGGTAAGAAGGACTCTAGAATGACAACAAAGACGTTATCTATTTGAACCTGACCAGCTACAACCGTCAGACTGTTCCACTTTTTCTGAAAACAGGGTCGTGAGGTATATATCTCATGCTTGTTCTCCTTTACGTCCAGTGCAACTTCAGGGCTTCATAAGAAAGAATCGCCCGAGCATGCTATCTGTCTAACGAGACCAGCATCGGTGCTTGTCAATCTCAGCTGCTTGCGTGCACGTGGTGTTTTGCGACGTACAAGAGGCTCATGTGCATGCTTACCTCCGAGAGTAGGGCAAGGCTGGAATGGGCGCTGATTACCTGTCCTGGTACCTATATATTCGGACAGCAATAGGAACAATGCCAGATTTGTGAACAAGAACGGTGTGCCGTGTCTCCAGTCTCACAAATTGACCTTGTAGATAGGCCGAGATGGCCTTTCAGATCCTGCGGTCTTGTCAGTGTAGGCTTTTCGTACTTATCCAAGATCCTGTCAAAGACTTCATGCTTAAAGCCAACAGCAACCTCTTGTTAAAAACCGTATTGGCGTCCTTGCCTAGGTATGATGAAGGTGTCGACCACGCTGGCATTGGGAGAAACAAGGCCAGGCAAGGCTCGCGGTGATGGGAATGGGAATGGGGGTTTTTCCTCGATCCAGGTCGGCTGATCGCGTCTTTGGTGTCCCTAAAACCGCCCTAAGCAGAAGCCGAGAAAATGGCGCCCCCGGATTCTGCGTACCACAGCGTACGTCATGCCCCATGACCTCACTTTTGGTAGGTAAACAAAAGACCTCATCCCTGCGGACCAGACACCACTGAACCATAGATCGATGGCGAACGATCTTCCTCCGACGAGCCTGAGTGTCATACAGTGTCAGGCTTGCCTTTTCCTGGACTCGCTGACCTCTATTCATCTAGCTGACTGATACCAAGCATTGCTGGTCTGGGAAAGTCGCTTCAAACATTCCCATCTACTGGCTGAGCGGATGAGCCGGGATCCCTCAAAGCGGAACCATAACTCTGCTTTTCCATCTCCGCCACGGTCTTTGCGGCCTCGGAAAGTTCTTCAAAGCGAAGAATAAGCTTTAATGGCTCAAAAGGCCCTGTTGGTGTCGCGCTGCAAGGACTCAGACAAAGGATGACTGTTTGGCTGATCAATCCTCATGTGGCAGGGTGTCTTTTCCTTTGCTTTTAATGTCTTGCCGGCCTTCCCTGCTCGTGCCATTCATGAGTCCATTGACCCTGCGACCTTCGACATCTTGTTACGTACTCTTGTGTGTGCTCACAAAACCAAAAGTGATTGAAGATTGATTCATCTCGCCTTGCGCACTATCCCACCAGGCAAAGGTCTCTCGCAACCACACAAGACTTTGGGACGTGCTTGCCACCCCTCTGAATCAGGAAACGATGGCGGTGATATGGGGTCTGGACCTCAAGGATATGCAATGGGGGAAGTTCAAGAGCTCTTACATGTTTGGTAACAAGGATTATCATTTGCGAAGGACAAAGTTCGTGGTCTATCAAATAGCCATGATCTTTTGTGTCGTTTCGGAATCAGTGGGCACCGCTGCCATGTCAGGTATGTGTACCACCGTCACCTTCGTTGACCTGTGGTTCTGACTGGCTTTGCAGACTATGTGAAGCAACAGTCAAGGATTGAGAGTCTACATTCCTCGGCCGCTGTGCATAACGATGACTTTGTCGGCATTGCTTCTTACAATATCTTTGTGGGTATTGCGGTTGCCACGATCTTCGGTGCAGCATTCTTCTTCGACTTGTTCTTTCCGGAGCGTTATGAGCCTCGCAACATCCGCTGGGCGTGGAGAATCAGTGCACTCGTGGTCACCATAATGACCTTTGCTGATGCACTGGCCTTGACCGTCATTGTGGCTACAGGCAAAGCTAGGATCTCTGCAGATTCGCAAGATCAGGCAGAGATCGCGCGGGGGAGAGTCAATCCTCCGTTACGGTATCGTGACAATGGGCGGGCAATTGCCAGTGTTGTCTGTCTCTGGATCGGTCTGGTCGGCACTATTGCTAGGTAAGTTCGACCTACCATACCTCACAAACTATGCTCAGTTTACTGTCCAGCTGCATCATTCTCTGGCTCTACTACAATCACCTCGATACTTATGGACCCAAGTCGCACACAGCTCGTATGCGAGACGATGTCGACAAGAGCATCTTGCAAGCAGAGAGGGTCAACTCGAGTAGGGGTGCCCAGGACCAACCTCCTTCCAAAGAAGCAGTTTGATGCGAGCATCTCGGCATTGAGACCTCGCAATCGATACCAGAAAAAGCGTCCTGCTCGATGTATGATTACACACTTATGGGAGAGGGAGAGCATCCGCCCCTGGTGAGAGTGCGCAATCTCACGTTTCCTAGACCAGCAGACATGCGAAGTTAGAAGGTCTGTTCATGGGTGGTTGATTCTTTCAAAGACCATGAGGCATATGCGGGAGTACCGGATGGCATGGAGACCACTGTAATTGTACCTGATGTATTTGCTTCGAATATATATACCTGATGGTCTTCGAACAATGATAATGCTGGGAGATTATGCATGGGAACCGTTGTAGCATTTCCACGGCGATATAGTCTTGCTCACAGGATTGACAATGTGATGTTCTGCGATGAATTCTCCATCACCAATTCCTATTCATGTTGTATCCGGACCCCCCACGGTTCAGTGTGTGACATTGTCACCAGTGATGGTGCTAATGGTTAGCGGCGATACACAGTACTTATCCGTACTCGTGGATTAATCAAGAGGCGGGAACATTGGTTCGGGCGCTCGGGGCACGACCCGCCAATCACTAGCTGACTTTGCGGCTGGTTCCTGCATGCTGAAACCAATCCCTCCAGGAATAAGGGCACCATTCGTCGTTATTACATCTCGTCGTCATGACTATCATATGTCTTGGTACACATCTCACCACCCCTACCCTCTCTCATCGACCACTTGAGCCGCACTTTCTATGAATTAGAAGGTCTGGCCGAAAGCCTCTCGAAGGGCTCATCATGTCGCGAGAGAACTCCCCGCAGTCGTCAGAGCGAACTCCGCTTCTGTCGAATCACGACGAGTCCGATGCGAACCATGTTGATCAGCCCAACGAGGCTGCCTCGGTCTCGGAATCACTAGACGCTCCTCAGACCAAACAGCGCAAGCGATGGCCAACAGCTATCGCCCTGTCAATATTATGTGTCGCCGTGGTCTTAGGATGTTTCGGCCTCGCCCTTCCGTCTGTCATCCAAGAATACGCAAAGGAAGCAGTTGTACTTGAACCTTCAAACATCTCCATCGATTCGTTCACCGAACTCGGAATCCGTGCCCGGCTCCAAGGTGATGTGTATCTGGATGCGGGAAGAGTCAAGAATAAACCAACACGAGATCTTGGAAGGTTTGGTACTTGGATTGCAAGAGAAGTGCAAAGTGGAGAGACAGAGGTCAATGTCTATCTCCCCCAATATGACAATATCTTGTTGGGTACGGCGACAATTCCACCTGTGAAGATCAACATCCGGAACCAGCATTCCAACCACATGGATATACTGGCCGATATTGAGCCTGGCGACATTGACGGAGCAAGACGAATAGCGAAAGACTTTATCGACGGGAAGTTGAAAGAGCTTGCCGTCGAGGCTGTCGCCACTGTTCCCGTACGGAGTGGTCTTATTAAACTGGGCAAGCAGACCGTTACCCAGTCTTTGAAGTTCGCTGGTGATACGGTGCCCAGCGTCCCAAAGATTGACTTTCAGCGACTTCGAATCGCCGAATACGGCATGCCAGGACATCCCGAAGGGGTCAAAGCACAAGCGGTCGTCTCTGCGATGAATGACTTCCCTCTCAAGTTTGACCTGCCTCCATTGTCCTTTGACGTACTTTTGCCAGATTGTGACGACGATTATTTACTCTTTGGAACCACCAAGACCGAGGTCGTCCATATACTACCAAAACAGAACATCACCGCAAGTGTGGTGGGTCTGGTACAGCAGCTACCAAATTCGTTGACTTCGGCTTGTCCGGGTACGAAGACGTCACCATTGGATAGTTTGATCGGAGACTATTTGGCTGGAAGGAATACGACAGTCTACATTCGTGGAGGCAAACAAGATTCGAACACCCCAGAGTGGATTGGAAACATACTACGTGATACTACGTTACCATTCACGCTTCCTGGACATCCTTTCGACAATTTGATCAAAAACTTTTCCATGGCCAATGTACACTTTTCCCTACCAGATCCGAATTCGGACTCACGACCTAGACTTTCTGCCGTGGTCCAGGTCCTAGTTGGACTACCTACGGAGATGAACGTCAATTTGGACGTCGACAAGGTCAGGGCTGACGGTGATGTCTTCTATGAAGGCGAGCTCATGGGAAAGCTCGATCTGCGCGAATGGCAAGCTTCCAATGCCACCAAAATCGATAATGATCTCTTGATACAGTCGATTGTCAAAGACGCTCCCCTGGAGATTGCAGATAACGGCGTATTCTCAAAAGTCGTCAAGCAGATACTTTGGGGCAAAGGCGCAAGACTCTCCGTCCACGCCACCGTGGACGTGAACAGTCTTACTGCACTGGGAGAGTTTGTGGTGCGCAACATCCCCGCCACGGGGGATATCTTTATCAAACCACTTTCTGGGGCTGGAGATTTCAAGATGCCAGAAGTCACGGGTATGGAAGTCGTCGATACATCGGAAACCTCATTAACTCTGCAGGCAACGGTTAATATGACCAATCCCACCGATTATTCGGCATCAATACCATTCTCCAACGTCAGTACCTGGGTCAACGGGACCCGCGTTGGCTGGGCATGGATATCTGACATGAATATTGTTCCCGGTCCGAACGAGATTCTTGCTCGAGCATCTTGGGAAGTTGGAAGTATAGGCAGGGAGTGGCTGTCCCAGTTCATCTCCGGTTACAACACGTCCCTGACAATCAAGACTCACGCTGGGACTATTCCTCCACTTCCCGATCCGGGTCTCGAAATGACTGTGCCCACGCCACATATGTTTGGAAAGTTTCTCCGGGAAACGACGGTATGTTGTTAATCTCTTCCCGAGTTTGACTGACAATATAGATGCACCTGTTCTCTTCTACGGCCACGTTTCTACTGTTCTCGCCCTTTGCCATGTACGTTACCAGCATTGCAGCTACTGCATACTATAATGATACAGAAATTGGCACAATTGACTGGGACTATCCATTTGCCATTGAAGTGGGTGAAAACGTGTCACCTCGACTACCGGTCGCTTGGGGCAGTAATGCTATAGGAACAATTCGAGATGCCATAGGAGGTACATTGAAGTTGGATGCCAAAGCTGATGTGGGCGTCAGAATCGGTCATTGGCAAGAAAATATATGGTATGAAGGATATGGATTGGGAGCGAAGATTCGCTTGTGAAAAGTAAGTCGTTCAGATCTGTAAATGGACATGTGCTCATGTACGTGAGTCTAGCTTTCAAGCGTCATATTTCATGTGGTCATTTGGACGTAATCACCGGAGTGACATTGAGATATATTAATTTACATTCAGGTTCTGAGGTGTCAGTTGGTTTGACTTTTCTTTCTCCTCGGATTAAACTCGGTTTTTTCTGACGGTTACTCTGCCGGTCACGTGTCACCCACGAAGGAGGATATATCTGAGGCTTTTCACTCTTCCCAATCATTTCCGTTGCAGCATGCAAGCAAAGATGAAATCAATCACTAATCAACTACGAAAGAGGGGTCTGGAATTGGTCGAGGAGTCATACGATGCCAATCTCGGTCCAGTCTATACCATACATTCGATGAAACCGGGAGTGACAAACAGTGACGTTGCATACAAGCTCTATTACATCGGAGAGACAGCCAAGTATGGTGCCGCGAGACGGAAAGCTATCGAGAAGGCCAGCAACCGTATCGCGGCGAGAGAAGCTGTGGCGAAGACGGAGTCATCTGAGAGCGAGTGACCGACAAACGATGATATTGATCACAGATCAAAACACGGAATTACCTCTGGCATTTCTGAGTAAAACTCAGCCACGACCACGTGTTCGAATTGGTTGCGGCTTCGATATCAGGTCGATGTGGCGCCAATATACTGGCTGTGGTATGACGTCCTCAAACGAGCGCCGCGCTGCTCCCTTGAGTATCACAGGCAGAAACACCTGGGCCATCAGTCTACCGTCCACCATAGAGTCTCATCAATCGAACACTCCGGCAGCGCCTCAGTTCGCGCGATAGCATTCTCCGCCACGGTGGCTATCTGTCTCCTGTGTCCTCATGTGGATTAGGAGAACAGAAACCAGTTTTCATCTGGTGTCGAAGTGTTGGGCAAGGTCTTTGATCACTTCAAGTGCTCCTGGTGTCTCTATCCAGGAGAAATAGTTGTACCGAACGACAGCTTGGACCGATTCAGGCTCATTCCTGTATTTTTGTCGTGCTGAGACATACTTTGGGATATGTTGCCGAGGCTTGAGCAGCTCTGACCACACCTGCGGTGAATCTCTCTTAACGGCGACATACATTATCCGGATCTGCATCTCCAACTTCTTAATGACGGATTCATGGCATTCACTGTCCATGATTTCTTTTTTCTTCAACACGTCTCGATTCACAGCTTGACGACCGACACAGTCGACAATCTCTTGTGGTAATCTTTTGCTGAGGATGGCTGCGTTGCGGAGGGATTGGACTTGTAGTAAAAATGTGACCTTGATCAAGGTCACAGCAACTTTCAGACTGAGGCTCACATATTCCCGAAGAAAGTCATTAACATCCTCGAGGATGTCTCTGTTGGCTTCTATATGCTGCATTGTTTCTCGTGGACGGCCCCAGTCGTAAAGAGGGTCTGAGCCCTCTTCGGCGCACCATTTGAGCTCGTCGTAGCATCTCTGAATGGCACCGAGACGAATGTACAAGGGCATGACTATGTCACGAATGTCCAGGTCGTCTGGGGGATTCACCCAAATCATGAAAGTGCAATGACGCTGGGCGGCCTGGACCGCTTCCAATGTCTTGATTTCCAGGAGACCTTGGACCATAGCTTGACGTATCGTCATATACTCCTGTGTCTCGGGAATCTCCCAGAACCTGGCATACTCGTGGGCTTCCTCGAACAAACTCCCAACCGGTCCGCTGTGAAATTCTGGTCGTATGCCGTCGCCGGGCAAACTCCTTAGTCTCTCTTCCTCTCGGTGCAAGTCATCTTGGAGCTTTTTGAGGCACTTGCATATCATTTTGTGCAATCCCCAGTCATATGCCTGATGATCTCGCCCACAATAGGAGACTACATGACAACCCTGACATTTACGCAGTTTTCTGGTGGTACTGCAGATGATACATTGCGTGACAACCGTTGAATCAGCCATGAATGAACGTGAAAAAGCAACCGCAAAGAGAGAGGACAAATTGTAGGGTGATAGTAATGTTCTTGCGGTGAGAAAAGGAGGTGTATTGCCTGCTAGTATATCTACGCCAAGCCAAATCGGCTAGACTGAGATGACAAAAGGGTCCAGCCCCCGTTCAAAAGATCATCCTTCCTTTTCCTTCCTGCATCTTGCGTACATCTGACAATGCTTAATGGTTATCTTCGTCGTAATGTCCAGACGGATCATCTTTCAATGATGGATCAAGGACTACACGTGGATCATCACTCTCCACCCATCCACAAAATGGCTGGCTCAATTTGTACCCCATCAACTGTTGGATGTGAACCGGCATTTTTAACACGACTTCCTTGGGGATAGCAAGGTACTGATTTTCTTCCTGTCGCAAGAAACCCTTGGTCATGAAGCAACTGTAAAGTCAGCCTCGTCACAATCATGCTCGTTGTCAGTGTCTCACCTGAAAACCAACCGTTCTTGATCTGTGGTCTTGTTGGCCGAACCACCGTGAAAGCACGAGCTCAACATCATGAAGGCGTCCTGCGAAAAGTCAACTGGGAGTACTTACGCAATGACATGACAACTTACACCTGGCTCCAGATCCGCGTGCACGGCAAGTTCCTCTTGCGGTGGTCGGTCCTTCGTCCAAAGGTGACTTCCAGGTATGAATCTTGTGGCGCCGTTCTCTTTGGTTGCCGGCTTTGCAGCAACAAACCACCCAATCCCAACTTCGCGATCATAGTTGTCAGGGTACACTGCCTCTTCGGTTTCATTCGTCTGATGACACCAGCTGTCTCTGTGTAAGGGTTGATTGAACGCTCCGGGTCCAATGGAGAAACAGATGGAATTGTTCAGCTGGGGATCGGATGTTGCAAAGATCTTTTTGTCACCAGCCCAGTACCAATTCTTCTTGGTCAAAAACTCCTTGCAGACAGCTTGATATAGTGGGTGATTGATGATATGCTCAGCACAGATCGGGCTCTTTCCAATCATCCCCTCAACACGACGTGTTTGGATCGGGAAGAAATCGCCCTCCCACACGACATCGGCTTCGATATGAGGACGGAGATCACGCTCGACTTGAGCTAGAATGTCCTTGCCAACTGCTCCTCTGACCTTACATCCTCCAGCGAGTTTCAATGCTTTAATGACATCTTCTGGATTGGCGTCGGCATCAAAGGTCTGCACCTGCGGCAAGTCATCGACTTTGATCGGAATAAAGTGCTTTTCCGCCTCGACGGTCTCTGTCACAGTGGTAGTCGCCATTATCGGTTCTTTCTTGGCCTACGTGTCCAGCACAAGCAGCGATGCCTCTATTCATATTGAGTTCAGACATCCACGGAGGACTATTCGGGGAAGCCTCTCTCTGTTGCCCGAATAGGCAATCGAGAAACTCCCGAACTCCCTTATCACAGTACAACTTGAAAATCGGTGGCTGCACACGCTCCTTACCCGTTCAAGCCTAGCCCAGCACGCCTAGCTCCCCTCTCCACTCATTGCGCCCTTCAACCCATCCGCGTCCATACCGTTGGGATCCTTGCATGCACGGCTTCCCGAGAAACCCTATCATTGAATGAAAGCCTGATCTACTATCTCGCATGCCCAAAATGGCAAAAGCACGCATTCCGACATGCTTATCAAGTCGCTTATCTGCGACGCCTCATCTTCAAGGACACATAAAATGGATGGATAGGTCTCGACTTGAGCTGACAAGTCGACTTCGTCTTTCCAGATCTCCAGAAGATTTCAACGAACGATTCGCACCATGGCAGCAGAAGATGCAACGGCTACCGCCGTCCCGGCGCGCGCTGGCAAGGGCAGTGCCCAGATCGACATCGACGACATCGAACTTCAGGCGCAAGGCTACACTAGGGCCATGCCTAGACGCTTTTCACTCTTGTCTCTGATGGCCATGTCTTATGCTCTCTTGGCGACTTGGAACGGATTTGGTAGTGCGTTCGGCACTGGTTTCACCGAGTTCTCATCCGCTGGATCTATCTGGACTTTGGCACTCGCTGGAGCCATGACGGCCGTCACTGGCATTGGCATGGCCGAGTTATCTTCTGCCTACCCAGTCGCTGGAGCACAATACTACTGGTCTTTCGTTGTCGCCAGTCCGGAGTGGGCTGCCTTTGCCTCATATATGTAGGATGCCTCCCGTGGCATTTTGTGTCAACTCGGCTAACGACCTCAGCTCTGCGGGCATAAGTACCCTCGGATGGTATCTCGGTCTCGCCAGTGTGACCAATTTCATCGCCGCCATGGTGGTTGGGATCGCTCAGCTCAACCACCCCGACTACGTGATCGAAAGGTGGCACATCTATCTCGTCTTTGTGGTTGTCACATGGATGGCTATTTGTTTGAACATCTTCGGCACGAGTATTCTGCCAATGTGGAATAAGTTCATCTGTGAGTATCAATTGGTTGTTGGGAGAGACCGTCTGCTGATCTTGTTCTAGTGGGCTTCTCGCTTACTACTCTTGTCATAACCATGATCACCATACTTGCCTGCGCAGCCCCGAATTATCAGTCGGCAAGTTTCGTCTTTGGCGACACCACGAACTCAACCGGTTGGGACAGTAACGGCTTGGCCTTTCTTTTGTGCATGGTTAACGCTCTTTACGGCTTCCTGGGTGTTGATTGTGGTATGGCAACCGCATTGCCCGAATGCTTTTGCATGCTAAAAGAAGAATAGGAGCCCATCTTTGCGAGGAAATCCCGAACCCTACAGTCAATGTTCCGAAAGTCATCATGTTCCCGGTCCTCATCGGATTTGTGACCTGTAAGCATTGTCAGTAACGAGGATGACAAACACTAACACTGTGCCAGCATTCCCCTTTTCGATCTCGCTGTCTTTCGTGATCACGGACTTCGAAAGGGTCATCTCTACGCCCACCGGTCTACCACTCATTGAGGTGTACTATCAAGCGACTGGCAGCAAAGCTGCAACATCAATCCTCATGGTGATGTTTGCCATCTGCTTTTTCGGATGTGCTACCGCAAGTATCACCAGCTCAAGTCGACAAATGTGGTCAGCTTGCCGAGATGACTGTTTTCCGCTTTCAAGATACTGGAAACAAGTCCATCCACGCTGGCAAATGCCCATGAACGCTGCATTGCTTTGTGGAACCCTGGTGACGGTAAGTCTCTCGAGCGTTCTTCCTTGCGGACAGTGTCTGATGCTCGCTAGCTATACGGCTTGATCTTCTTGGGATCATCAGCTGCATTCTCATCAATGGTTGGAGCTTGCATTTGTTTCCAGACGACCTCTTATGTGGTGCCGCAAGGTATCCTTGCATGGCGTGGACGCGACAAGATCCTCCCTCCTCGAGCGTTGAATCTCGGCAAGTTCGGCCTCCCACTCAACGTACTCGCTTGTGTCTGGGTTTTCTTCATTGATGTCCTGTATTGTATCCCCACAGGATATCCTGTGACGGTGGAGAACATGAATTGGATCAGGTACGTTTGTCACTTATCTGGGACGTGCATGAGAGCTGACATGCAATGATTAGTGTGGTCATTATCGGCCTTGTCAGTTTCTTGTTGCTTGCATGGCAGTTCAGCCAGCGCCATGTCTTCAAGGGACCGACCATCAACTTTGAGATGCTTAATGCCGCTCGACAGGATGAACTGCTGGGCCATCGGACTATCGATGGTTTGGCTGTCGGAGCTGGAGATGATGCTATTGTTGAGGCACTTCGCAGGCAATCTCATGCCGGCTCGATGAAGAAAGAGACTTAGGCTAGACGGAACGGCATCGTACTGGGTGAGGTTACACTTAATGCCTTGGATATATCTGCAAAGAGGGGTTTGGTTGGACAATAAGATAGTAGTAGTAAGAGCAGTCTTGCTGACTACGGAGTATTCCGTATTGCTCGGGCTTGTCGGGTCAAAGGCCTGACCGCCCGTTGCTGTTAGATTCCACAATCGGGCAAGATCTGATCGCCGTTCATGGCTCCAATAAGCTCGTTGATTTACTCGTAGAAGGCATGATAAAGGCTCTGCATGAGGCATTGCCGGATGAGCTCCACATGCTCTGACTCGGTATTCGTGTGATTAAGATCATTCTGCCACCCATGGCGATGTGATTGCGGGGACGGGTGCACCGAGGGTCTTCGATAAGGCTAAGTAACAGATTAGGGACTTGGACACCTGGCGTGGTGTCCTAGCTTAGGCTATCAACAAGCCGATTTAACCGCTCCAAAGATAAGGCCAAGTTAACTTGGTGACTGGTTGTTTATCATCTTGTTCGCTTTCCCACAAAATGCCGTCGCGGTATCAACGTTGATATCAATCTAGAACAAACCTGGCAGACGTCGTTATGGCAGCCATGGTTTCAGCCTCCCCAAGGGACCCGACAGAAGTGAAATTCCGTCGGACGAACTCATTGGCTTTCGCGAAGTCCGATTGCCATACATGCTCGTCCTTGTCGCTGCATTGCGATCGCCAGCGGCCACGATGTACACCATGCCAAAATGCTGGGATTCTTTGTCAAGGCTACTCCATGAAATTGACATGGCATCAGAACCATTCTATGGTCAATCGACCGCCAAAAGTCAAATCAGTCCCCATTCCGCCTCGGGAGTCGAGTGATGTTTCAAGGAAGGGCAGTATAGTCAAAGAGGACCCGGTCCAGAAGGACAAGAGTCCTGGAAGTCCAACGACACCTGAACAGGGTCGACAATTCATGTTCGTCGCGGCACGTCCACCGAAGCGAAGGAAGAAGAATCATCAATCAATGGACGCTGGGGCGACGGCAACCCCGCGGCCAAGAGCGTCTAGCAAGACTGCTATCCCAGGTGTCACAGGGAAACGGCCTGCACGTACGCCTGCTGGTGAAGGAGCACGACGACCGAGTAATGTTACAGTCGCCAACACTCCATTGACGGACATCGCGATTGAAGAGCCGATCCAATTACCTTCTCTACCCGACGTAGGGGACTTCAATCTGGATCCCGCACTCAAAGACGACCCCACGGAGAGTATACCCTGGCAACATGAGGACTTCAACTGGGTCTCACCACCGTGCCAAACACCATCAGCGATGATCGACTTCGAGAGTTTAGAACAGTGTTTGGAAATCCAGCGTCAACCTCTCCCTCTCGACATGTCGGACCCGTCTCCGACCACGAGCACACAGATGAGCATGAGCCTCGATCTTTCGCGCGATCTATGGCCTGAAGAATGGACCGACGAGTCTCCAGGGGGTGAGCAAGATCTTATCATGCACGACAAGAACGGCCACTTCGTCGACATGATTCCACAGCTGTGCTATTCGACATTGACGGACAAGTTTTATGGGCTATTGGATATGTGTAAGTTGTGTCAACCCCCCTTGCCTCTGCCCTTGTGGTGGGAGTGCGTTCGTGAGGTTGTTGGCTAACTTGCGGACGCGCCAAAGACGACCAAGAATTTTGCAGGTATCCAATCACCAACCACTTCGCAGTCAATCCGTACCGGTACCGGCCTGAAACAACAAGAGGGTCGCAGCACTTGTTGCACGCCATCGTCGCGTTGTCATGCCATTTTCGACTACGTTCGGCGACACAGCCGCAACCACCGGCCGATGCTGTCGATCATAAGAATACGGCGGTGGTGCTTTATCAAGGCGCACTGTCGAAGAAGGATATCCATCTCCATGGGCTGAGTATGTTGGACACAGCTATGGCCCTGTGGCAATTTGAGGTATGTATGGGCCCTAGTCCATGTGCAAGCAGCGAAATTGACGCATTGTGCAGGCCACAATCTCCGCGCTGAATATATGGCGCTCCCACCTGTCCGACGCCTACAATCTTCTCGAACTCTGCGGTGGGGTGTCGAGGTGGTCCGCGAGTATCAAGGCCAACACTCAGGTGTCTATGTTTTTGTGGTTAGTCTACATGCACACTCTTCCCGTAGCCCGTCCGTTACCAGAACTTCCCTGCCCTGCCGTTCTCCTTGCTCGCTCCGGTGTCCGCCTGGTCAGATGTCATGTATTGTGCTAACGGCTGAAAGGTGGGACGGCATGGTCTCCCTCCTCGCCCGCGAAGACCCCGTCTTTCCCTACTCGTACTTCGAAGCGGTCCTCAAATCCGAAGGCCGCCAACCCTGGACCTTCTACGAACTCAACGGCTGTCCCCGCGAACTTCTCGTGCCGATGATGCAACTATCCACCCTCGCCGCGCGGGACGCTCAATCCACTACGCCCTCCGAGTCCGTTCTCGATATCGTCACGGAAATCGAACTCTCGATCCGGCGGTACGAGTACTCCGGCGCCGGCCTCAGTGATCTTGTTTTCGAAGGCATCGACACAGATGAGAATGATCTACATATCGAGCGCGACCGGTATCATTGCTGTGAGGCGTTTCGATATGCCCTGCTGATATACATTCTGCGTGTCTTTACTATGCGGCGTGTTCTCGCACTCGAGGACGAGACGGAACGAGAACGGGAAAGGAAACGTGTACGCTCACGGCTTAGTTTCCTTGCTAGAGTAGCGCTGGAGCATGTCGCTTCTTGTCGACCGGATGATGATATCCAGAAACAAGTTCTCTTTCCGTTGTTTGTGGCGGGTGCGGAGACGAGGCACATCGCGCACAGGGATATTGTGAGGGAGTATTGCGCTTCTTGGTATGGTAGGTTTGGGTATCAGATGTTTAATACAGTTGGGGAGGTTCTGGAGGTGGTTTGGCAGAAGCAGGATGCGGGAGATGAGATGTATTGGTGGGGAGAGGAGTTGGATAGCCGAAGGGCTGTGGAGGGGGATCATGTGCAGTTCTGTTTTGGGTGATTCTGAGACGAGGAGTAGGATTGGAAGAAAACTCTGGATAGTAACCCAGCGGCAAACCTGCAGCCTTGATTCATGAACCTCGAGCTACCTGAGCAGTCAATATAAAATGAGATGCTGTTCCCGTTGATAGCCCCTATGATCCTACCGGCCAGTCAAGACTTCGGTGACGGTACGTGCCATGGGAGTGTTACTTGCTGGCACCTCACTCACTGCTTGGCACCAACTCTCCAGCCAACTTGCACCAATGTCTCACAATTCTGCTCGCAGCTATTGCGAACCAAATCCTCATCAAGCACAACTTCGCCTTTCGGGTACACCACGATGACAGTGCTACCACCGTATTGGAACGCTCCTTGACATTCACCTCTCCTGATCTCCTTGCCGGGCTCCTCCATGCCTGGGTTCCATTTGATACTGCCCACGAGCATGGCACCGACCGCAATCACAGCAACCTGATTACCGGTCGCCGCGCTGCGCATGAGCATGACGTCTCTTCTGTTCTCGCAAAAGACAGTCAGAGCTCCGGGCTCATTGATGGCCTGCGGATTGACGGTGTAATATGCACCGGGGATCTTCTTGACACCAATGACTGTTCCTGTGATGGGCGAATGCCAACGATGATAGTCTTGAGGTGCAAGTCGTGCGATGACGAGGCTGCCGCCGTCAAAGTATTGTGCCACTTTGGCGTCGTTGAAAAGCCTCTCAAGGGTGAAGCCAAATCCTTTGATCCAGTATTTGGTGGCAAGGTCGATGGTCGGGAATGCGGTGATGCGACAGTCTGCGGGGGATGAGGTGACGAGGTCATTGTTTGGTTCAGCAGGGGGTCGTGCTTCCGGTCTGATCTCTCGGGAGAAGAATTCGTTGAAATTGGCGTAGTCTTCGGGATTGGGCTTGACCATTTCTTTCATGCTGTCCCAAAGTTGGAAGCTGTCGAGGAATGGCTTGATGTGAGCTCGGGACTCGGGGGAGTCGTATTGCTTGCCCATTTTGACACTTTGTTGTTCGAGAAGGCCCTCGACCTTTTTGGCGTGGAGGAGTTTCTCTTGGTTGGATCCATAGTACAAGAAGTGCTGCAGAAAAGAGTTAGTCTTGGGTGAGTGCTTCGTGTAGCATCAAGGGTCGTACCATGCCTAGCCGGACATATACACTTTGGACTGTCAGTCATTGTTTCGGTACGCATTGCCATCCGCTCACCTCATCTGTTCGAATGACTTCTCGCCGGTCTTGCGGTCGATGACGTAATTGCCCAAGTGGAAACGATTCTCATAGTTGTCGAGCACTGAATCTGGGAGGACTTTTTTGAGCCATGCGTGAGATTTGTTGTCAGCTGCACCTGCATGGATGTGTTCTAGAGGTGGGATGGGGTGATCTGCTGCCGCAGTAGTAAGAGAGTCGAGGGCGGTGGCTGAGGCATTGATGTTGGCTTCGTGCTGAGCGTCGTCGGCCATGTTGGGCGTTGTGAACGATATCTGGTGGTGAAATTGATAAGGATGTAAAGAATCAAGGGTGCAATGAATGTATGAAGTTCTTTCTAGCTACCCGGAACAGGATATGGAGTGAAACTATCAGGGCACATGCAACTTAAACGTGGCTACCTAGGTAATCAAGAGGATCGCGGATCTGCTCGATTGTGTTGATCGTGCTGCGTCATCAGAATGCGTCAAACTTGGAGATGGGTGATTTCTCTGACGTCTGTGGTCTTTGTCACTGTTTCACCTGCCCGTCCACATGAAGAAGTATTGGTCATGCCTCGACTGTTCAATGCAGCACTCAACCAAGAGCTCACAGGGTAGACCATGCTTGCTTGCACTCCTGACAAGATACTGATGGCTTCAAGATCATAGACAAGTGAAGCGAAATAAGGTTGCAGACTAACACATTAAAGTACACGCCATAAAGCTTGGTGTCCTTGGCATCAATCAGGCACACTACATTGCGAGGCTGCGCTTGCGAACCTTGAAACCTGTCGCCCACAATCCTTCTGGCGGCTTACGATCGTTGATTCAATGCGCACTCCTCCTCGCACGAATGCTGACCTGTTCTGACCCGTATCTGACCGGGACGGACAGATGAAGGAAGCGACGCTCCTGACTCCTGCGACCTCCTCGCTTCCTCCAGCTTCCTGCGCCCCGGCGACTCTCCAGGGATCTCACACACAGGTGTCTCGAGACGCGACAGAACTGACGCTGTAAGACCTATTGACGAGGAAGAACAGGATACTCCCCACATCGTAGAAGTGTCAAGAAGTCCCAGCTCGGAAAGAAACCCCTGCAAATATTGAGGTGACTATGAGTTGGGTGAATCGATATCGACAGCCACATACTATATCGCTTAGCCATCGTCTCACCCCTCCATCTACCGCCCACAGTCGTTGTGCTACCTAAGATGTGGCACCGAACGTCCTGGTAACGGGCCCGGCGGTTGTCAGTCTCCAAACTGGCAGGGGACAGAAGGATTGCCGGTATTTTCTTGCAATTTGTCCTCCAGATCAGTGCTGTTTACCACCTATAACACAAAACCTCCATCTGGAAGGAGTATTGGCATCCCAATAAGCACTGGACTAGTAGCACACTCTCCAAGGAGTTTGCCTATGTATCTCAGGCCACATATTCACCGCCGACCTCAATTGTGGGCAACGCCCTGTCATTATCCGGTATCATCGCAGTCTACTGTTTGAAATTGTAATCAATTGGCCAATAACGATTATGGCACTGGATAGATGCCCACTATGTCGCCGCGTCGCCAAAGCTCTGCACTCTGATACAGGCTTTGCCGTGCCAACTTGTTACAATGAGCAAGGCAGGAGAGCTATCCATCTAGGTTCTTGGACCGAGCTGCAGCACAGTCACTCGTGTTCCACATGCTCTCAGATTGTCCTCATATTTGAAGCTCAATCTTTGGAACGCGAGGTCAAACCAGATCCAACGAAGGTGCAATTTTGGCTGATTGATCCGAGGCCAAGTACCTTCGTCTACGACTCGAGCATCAGATATATGACCCGCCACTTGAGTTCTTCATCCGGCCTGTGGGTCAAGAGCATCTAAAACGGGCCGTGACTCTCCTGGATCCGCAATGGTTAGATTGGGAACGAGTCGAGCGATGGGTGAAGACTTGCGACTCATACCATCTGAAATGCTCGAGTAGACTCGCTAGGCCCTTGATTACGCAGGCGCGGTCAATTGGCTGGAAAATTATGCTAATCTGCCTCCCTGATCAGTGTCTCGTTGACGCTAACGGCAGTGAAAAGTATGTTGCTCTCAGTTATGTCTGGGGTTGCGACCAAACGCCATTAGCAACGACCAAATCAAACCTAGAACACCTGAGAGAAAAAAACAGCTTCTCTTCGCCATGTGTTCGGAATCGGCTCCCTGGTGCCATAAGAAGAGCAATGGAATTCACACGTCTACTTGGCGTTGAATTCCTTTGGGTGGATCGACTGTGCATTGTGCAAGATGATCCCGTGCATGCAACTTCCCAGATAAACAGCATGGGCAGTATATATTCCGGCTCGTATTTGACTTTGTGTGCCTCGGACGGACAGGATGCTGCGACTAGCCTGCGTGGGATTGAACAATGCTCAGAACCAAGGAATATCGTGCAGGAAGTGCTAGATTTCGATGATGGTGCCGGAATCACTCGATGGGCAAAAAACATCAAGTATGAGGATACTCCCTATCCCAAACGGGGTTGGATTTTCCAGGAACAGGTACTGTCTCCAAGGAAGTTGTCTTTTACCGGAAGCGGATTGAGCTGGGAATGTCAAACAGTACGTGGAAATGAAAGAGACATCGAAGACGAGCCCATCGGTTACAGTTTCGGTGAATACACCATTGTCCACGAGGATACATTATGGCCGTGTCTAAAGAAGTGGGACAATCTTCTCACTGCCTTTCTACGTCGCGTACTCACATACAAAAGTGACATCCTCCGAGCTTTTTCAGGAATCGTCGAGGCGCTTGGGGACTCTGCCCTAGGAGATTTCCATTACGGACTACCAGAGCAATTCTTCGACGCAGCTCTGTTGTGGATTCCCGAAGATTCTTTGACACGGCGCCGAGACGAGACGAGAGGTTCCCAAGCTGACTCCTTCCCGAGCTGGTCATGGGCTGGTTGGGAAGGCGCTGTGAGCAGCCAAATAGATTACTTTGGTCTCTGCCATGAACACTCTAATTCGTTTGAGGGCTGTTGCCAACTGGACAGAAATATCTACCCTTGTGTCGCTTGGTTCAAGGTCAATTTGGAGTCTGTCGAGGACCGGATGCCAGAAATTCAAGTCCTTGCAAGAGCAAGGTCACGTCGAACCTATAGTTTCTACCACGTCCTCTGGATTGAATGGTGTGGTAATATTGCGGAACGGAGGGGTTTAGGCCGGGTGGATCAGAGTGTGTGGGATGCTCTGCCACAGAGTAATATCACAGTTCACCTTGGTTAGCACTGACCTACCAAGGCAGAAAAAGACATGGACCACTGCGACCTTTAGCCTTGTAATTAGGTATGGCTTCTCATCCGGCAGCTCAAACGCTAGCCCAAGAAGTCGAGGCTATCGAAACTAACCTCCATATTCCGGTCGCAAAGACTGATGCAACTGGGGAAGTCAAAGGACGACTCGCTGTTCCAGACGTCGTCGCCGAAGTTAAGTTTTCCTTGACTCATTGCTAGCGGACTATATGCGAGAGTTGCCCAGATTCCACTCTGGTCCCGGACAAATCCTGTTGGAGTAATCTTGTGGACATTGAAGTCGATGGAGGTGCTCGTCTTTCTCGAGGCAGACTTACGAAGCATAGTGTTGCGACCAACAAGACGTTTCATTGATCATACTAACATCTGGGAATGTCTATTCAGTCCGTCGCCACTTTCTTCGACCCATCATACTTTCCATCCTTGGACAAATGAGGCAAAACTCCCTTAATCGCCTCAGCCTTGTTACTCGTAGTACTCGCAGGACCTCTTGGCCCAGAATCATTCAACAATTCTACCTCCCTCCAGTTCCCAATATCACAGACCTCCAGGATTGTCCCAGCCTTGTACCTCGCGTCCGTGAGTAGCGCAAACATAGCCTTCGCAATCTCCTCTGGCGGTAGGAGAAAGTCCTTACTCAAGTCCAAGAATTTCATAGTCTCAGGATGATCCGTGTACAGCGGTGACCCAACGACCCTAAACACAAGATACCACGTTAGTACTCCTCATATTCATCACTGCCATCACGGCCGAGCAGTACGGGCAGCTTTACACCCATTGGGTGCAGCTAAAGCCATACACCCTTGGCAGCCATCGACGAAGAAGGGACACTCACCCAGGCGCCACCCCAACGACCCTAATCCCACTTAATTCCTGCAAAGGCGCCATCCCTCGTACAAAACTGGAGATCCCATGTTTTGAAGCAGTATACAACGGCGTAACAATACTCGACCGTTGCGCCGCAATACTACTCGTATGTACAATCGCACCACCTTTCCCCGCTTCCACCATATTCCGGATCGCCAGCCGTGAAGCTTTAATAGGATGCACCAGGTTCACATCGAGGACTTTATACCGCGAGCCTTCATCGCTGTCGACGTCGTCCCAGAACGTATTCGTGTTGGGCTCGTATATTCCCGCACCGGGAACAACAATATCTGGAACATCACCGAACGTTTCGCGGCATACGGTGAATGCGCGTTCCAATTGTTTCCAGTCCGTCACGTCTGTTTGTTGGAAAATGGGCTTATCAGACTCGAGAGTTGCCAACCATTTCTTAGCGTCGGCGTGGAGGCCGATGTCTGCGATGAGCACCTTGACGCCGGCGTTGTGCAGGAGCTTGACGAAGGCGAGGTTGATGCCTGAGCCGCCGCCTGTGACGAGTGCGATCTTGTCGGCGAGTTGCTCCATGATGTGTGATCTTGTGCTGGTAGGTGAGATGGTGGTGGGAAGAAACCAAGTGTGAGCCTTGTTGTTCCACGTCGGAGCCTTGACCTACAAGCTTTAAGGCTGGACCCCTGTGCGGAGGGTAGCCTCTTGGACCTCGGCTAGATGGGTTGGAGTCTGAACCATAAAGCCGTGCTGATCGCCGTTGCGACAAGAGTTCCCCTAATCCGTAATCTCACTCTGGTAGGTGTTAAAGTCAGCGATTCTTCCGTTTATAAATCTATGTCGCTTAGCATGGCGTGGAGGAGCGAACCGGCAGCAATCGCAAAACACTGCTCGCTGGCCTTTGAGTGTAGTCCATGGCTATCATAGCATTTCTAATCATCTACTTTCAGAAGCCTTCCCGTGACAACGACAACGACATCGTTCATTCCTTGCCAATCTTGCGCATGGCCTCCAGGAATCTATCTTCAAACAAGTGGGCCGATGTCTGCTGGTAGACCTCCCTCCCTGTCATGACCCGCTTGCCACATTCTGGACAACCCTGAGAAAATGTCTTTGCCGAATATGGGTGCATCTTGACGCAAACCGTCAAGTGCCCAACCTCAAACTGGGACCAGGTCTTCTCAATTTCACGGACCTTGCCAGTCTGCACTCCCGGGATCCGCACATTGTCCTCCATACCTGTCTCGCGCTTCAACAACTGCACAAATTCCGTAGCAGTAGCCATAAACAGTCCAAGAGAACTAGGATAGTGCTCGCAGATGTCGGAAACAGCCTTCAATTTGGCCTCGATTAAGTCGTCATCGCTCTTTGAGAGATCACTGTCTTGTGACACACCTGATCGGGACAACTTGGACTTGATAGCTTTAGCAACGAGGTTGAAATGGATTTGATGCAGTCGAATCTCGGCGTCAATCCGCGGGCTGGTACTGATAACTTCATTGTCAAGAGCGCCCTGGCAAAACTCGATGCAGCCCATGGCCTCTTTGTGCGCATACTCCAGCATTTTTAATGCTTGTCGCTGAACACCGAAGGAAGGATCTTGAAGACCAAGGAGATGACTTGCCAGTCGTAGTGTGTCAGAAAGGCGAACACTGATGACGCGGCATTCCAACACATCAAATTGATGGTGGAACACGAATACGTATGACGGCACAATATCCGGGAATGCTTCATGTTGCTTGCCGACGTTGAACTGGATTCGATCGATGACTTCTTTCCGATAGCTCACAATAGCTTTCTGCAGGTCAAGTACTTCACGGTTGCGGCGGAGGATGAGAGCAATGTTCCCTTTTGCGGCCAGTGGATTCGGTCGAATGTCCTTAACAAGCGAATCGAATGTACCGGCCAGTTTCTGCTCCACGACATCAATTGCCGTGGCGTATCGATGAACCTTTCGACCCATTTTCGCCACCAGACGGTCCACAACATCTGCAATACTGGCGGAGTCGGAAATGGTTGCAAGACAACATAACATGTCTGATGATACAGGGGAGGCCACCGGTTTGACACATGGGTCACAGACGTCTTGACAACGATTTTTGCAAGGGCCATGTTCGCAACTTTCGGAACATGATGCACCACACGACTTTGGACATGACTTGCCGTGATGACATCTCGCCATGCAAGGGTGACCACACGGTTTGGGTGCCTCGCAAACCACCAAGCAGTGTGGGTGTTTATTCTTCTTTTTGCAACTCTCGCAGGACCCACGGCATTGGTGACCACACCCCAAGATATGAGAACAGGGCTGATCGCAGAACGTTCTCGCGTCCGGGTCTTCTCCGCAACGAATGTCAAGTGTATGCCCGCAATCCAGAGGCTTCCTCGTGATGACGACCTCGCACTTCGCCACTGTTCCTGAGCAGAGAGCTTTACCTGGGTGTCCGCAGGAAAGAGTGATCTCATCAACAGACTGCTCGCATGGCCCACAGGTCTGATAGCATAGTTTAGAGCATCCGTGTCCGCAGGAAAAGACTTTCGTACAAGGCTCCTGGCAAACGAAGCGAGCGTGGAGTTGGGGTGGATGGCATGATTCCCGGCATTCGTGCCCACAATCGAGACGTTGCCCGCAAACGGCCGAACATGCTGGCACAGCGTCAAAATCAGAGGGCTGTCCGACAGCATGGCGGTGCTCTGGGTGGACGTTGCAGCAGGTCATGAGGGATGCACCAATCCGGCCACTGAATGTCGAAATGACCTGCCTCCACATAGGGACTTGAGACAATGTTTGAGAGTCTCCAATGATGTAAAAGCCATTTTGAGCTCTGCTACAGGCGACGTTGATGCGGTTCATGGTCGCCAGAAATCCAGCCGATCCCCCACTTCGGACAGTGCTGAGTATGATAACCTTTGCCTCTTCGCCTTGAAAGTTGTCGACACTGGCAACTCTCAGCATGTCGCACATTGCAATCTCATCCTTGGTTGCTTTGCCTTCATCTCCCAAGGCAAGAAGTTCTTCATCAAGCAGTAGTTCTCGGTCTTTGTCGCTAAGCCAGATATCACAGGTGACAGACAAACGCTCATGAAGCTTCAATAATTGTCCAGAGTACGGGGTCAAGACTGCGATATCACCGTGATCGTATGCACCTGCACGGAGCAAATAGTCAACGAGGCCCGCGACCATCTCGACTTCGTGGAGGTTGATATGAGACTTCGAGTCATCTGCTTCGAGCTCCTGGATGCGATGATCCCACCAGAACATTCTCTGCTCCAGACCCTGTGTTGGAGGTCGCCCGAGCGTCGTCTCATGATCTCGCAGATACGGATAGGTAATGCGAGTGATGTTGGCAATATCTGGATGCATACGGCGTTGTATGTTCAGTTGGCTGATTGGAATCGCCGAGACTGAAGGGTCCCTTGGAAGCATCAGGCGCTCCAGCAGCGACTCGTCCAATCTGTATTGCGAACCAGTGCGAGTTTCTAGGCTCAGTGCTTGTTCGTTGGTTTCAGGTCGGAGTTGAAGAGGATCACCAATAAAGATGGCGTGCTGGACGGTTGGAAGCAATGAACACAGAGTGTGAGCTTCCATAACTTCGCCGGCTTCTTCACAAATCACGATCTCGACGTCAACGGAGAGCAATTGTTCCCATCTGGCTGCACAGGCAGTTGTCGTCATGCCAATCACGTCGTGGCTTCCCATGATTCGGATCTCTCGCTCGCCATTCACTCGCTTCATCTCCTGCGCGGAGTCCTGGAATTCGAGATAAAGAGCCGTGAGCTTTGCAGCAAAATGTTCTTGGTCGACTTGTTCTTCCCAGGAGCGCAGCAAAGCCTGACGTTCTCCGTAGGCCAGGGTCCAGACATTGCTGTCACCAGCACTGTTGCTTTGACGCTCCGTAAAGTATGTTATGTCCAGTAAAATTGCTTCGACCTCTTCCGAAGGTGTCTTGTCACGATTCAGGGAGACCTCGTTCAGTCTCGTAGCGAGTTCAACGTGCAGATCTCGCAAGCTCTTCAGATCGCCACCTCCGGACCAATACTCAAATGTGAATGCTTTGGCAAGCGAGGACGCGGCATTGGTGGTAAGCTGTGCATGTACCTTGGGGTAGCGCTCGAAAAGGATCTCCTCGACGTAGTGCCATGGCACCATTCCAGTGTGGGCCTTGGAGGAGATAGCTGGACCGTTGTCAGTAGTTTTCCGAAGCACATTGAGGATGACCACAGTTACCTTTGCATATCAGATCCAGTTCAGAGAACGTCTCCTTCTTTCGAGTCGCGTAGACATTCATGGCTTCTGATTCGTCTTTCGTCATTCGCGTTTTACGTTTCCGAGTCTTGAGATTTATCTGGTCAGTCCATTCTTCCTTACTGCCAGACCCGACTCGCAGTAGACCTGTCACGCCGGCATCACGGAGATCCTTTAGAAAGCTGTCAAGAGCGTGATTTGTCAAGCAGACGACCAAGATGGGCTTCGCGGTCGGTCGCGACGGGAGAATGGCCTTTGCGAGCTGAACGCCAAGATAGGTCTTCCCACAGCCTGGTGGACCTTGGGTAAACGCAAACTCTCGCATTAGACTGTTTCTGAAAGCCACAGCCTGACCGTCATCGAGTGTCGTATCGCGCTTGAGAACGTCAAGGGCCGTATCGCGAGACAGGTCTTCAGGGGACATCGAGGTGTTGCGGCTAGAGGGTGATACAACACTGCTGAGATCGTAGTTGAAGCCTGGTGCAGTTGCATATGCCGGTGGCGGACAGTCTATAATGGGAGGTTGTCCAGCCGCGAGGTTTTGTTCCATGGCGAGCCAGGCCTCCATCTGGGGCATCGAAGGCGCGATATATCTTCTGAATGCAAAGTCCGACTCTCTCATCTCTTGAAGACGTTTCAGGCAATTGTAGAACCCTGCGAACAGTACTTTTGGGAATTCCACAAGGACCAGTTCAGTATGCTGGCAAAGACCTAGGCCGAGGCGACAGAGTTGATGAACATCATCGCGGCTGCTGGTGGGAAGAAAAGCTAACTGAACGGCAGCACGACGACCGCCACCGTTGAAACTGTCCATGGAAAACGTGGATTGCGACAGGCTGACCTCGAGGAAGTACACTGACAGCTCTCTCGTCGAGTGGTCAAGCTGGAGTAGAGCCATAAGCATGCCTTCCTGCAATCGGCCACAATCGTACATGAAGCGGCCTCTCATGAAGGCTGGGCAGGTATAACTGGCACGAACGACTATTGACTTCGCCTCATGAGCCAGGAGCTCTTCGACCTGAACGTGGGGATAGAGGAAATATCGGTTGCCGGCAAGTGTTTCATGGCGTGCGTGATCGTGATCTAGAGCTTGAGGAAGACCATTGGCGTCGACGTTAAGGAAGGAAGTCTGAGCGGCGGAATAGCATATGTCTCGTATGGCCTCAATGCTATCGTAGCGAAGCTGACGGAAAAGTGAGTCCAACACTCGTGCAGGACCATTGGGTAGTGGGTGATCCCAGCGTATGTCTTTCTTCGGCATGTAGATGGGACGATCTATTGCAAGTATCTCGTCAATCGTGGGTAGTATGCGAATCTCTCTGTAGTCGACTTTATCGTTGTCGTGGCGCGGACCGCTCGAGGAGATCTCACCAGGACCATCGTCGGTGAATGTGAGTTGAGGGCGAGGAGTTGGTTCGAGGACATGGACTGGAGCATTGCCAGCATGTAGACCTCCTGCGGCACGAGGACGACAACCTCTGATTGCCGCCATGGTGGTCGTCATGGTGTTGACGTAAGTGGTGTGGATTGAGAAGAGAGTGAGATTAAAAGGTGTTTGAAACTTTCTTCACAGTTGAGTCTGCGGTGCACTCAGACATACTTCTTGGCACGACGAGGTAATCACCATCAGGAGGACGTCGGGTCTGGCAAGAACCTCTGCTGCGTTGGACCACAGTCTCCCTCCAGAGGCATCGTTGTTTCCTTCTCCGATCCAGTTCAGAACTTCCGCACATGTAACGACCTAGCCAACACAGTGTTGCCTCAGGCGGACGACCACGAAAACAATGCCCACAAATAACATGCATACAGCATCCTACCCAAGAGACTGACTATTGCTGGCCGCTACGTCTTGCTCTCTGGGTACTCACCATTTGGCCCATGCCTTTGCTCCTCAATTACCAGGGAGGGTCCGACCACGAGCACTGCCGAACTACCCAGCGTTCCAGCCATGGACATGATGTCCCTTGTTCTTGTGCCTCTCTTGCCCTGGAGTAATTGGCCAGACAGCGCCAATTGAGTGCATAACATACAAGAAGCGACATCGTTGTTGTCAACGGTTGTCAAAACCTCATGCAGATAAGATCTCCTCGCGTAAGGCAACTGTGCCGAAGTCACATCAGGAAAGCCGTTGTTCAACACAGGCTTTGCTAGGTATGATGCAGGATATTGCTACAGAGAGAAGCTGCACGACAGCCCTTCTTGCAATCCTCACAATTTGTTGTCGGCCTTTAATCTTGTGTTTACAGCAGGCACAGAAAGCTTAGAGTGGTGGACAGGTGGAAGGTCTGTTTCACTTTCGGCCTGCAGTAATATTGCCACTCCCACTGTACTCGTTTCCTGGCATTCCTCGGACCCAATGACTGAATGTCCTACTCTCTTTGCCTTCCAGTAGTATGCGCAGATCCTCCCGCTCTGGTGGCAACTGTATCCCTTGTCCAGGCTTAGGGTACAGTGCCGCATGTTCATCGTAATATCCGTCGTACCCTTCATCAACAGCGTCGCCTGCATCGCGATCGAGTAGTGGCGGTGGGTGCGTGACTGGTGTAACATATGTAGAGGTAAACTTGGCTTGCGGGACTGTGGCTGGTGGAGGCGGTTGGACAAGTGTCTCAAATAGTGGTAGATCAGGAGCCAGATCTGAAGCCTGCATGACCAGTGACACCAGATTGTCTTTTGAGAGGGTGTTCAGGTAAGCCATTTTCTGATTGGGATGCAGATAACGTCCTCCTACGCGTGGGCCTACATAGACAGGCGCTGCTGTGATGGTGGGTTTTGATACCTGAGCTTCCTGCGGAATTGGTTTGGTTTGTGCCTTCTTGGCCTTTTTTCCACCGTGCAAGATCCGATCACACTCGGAGCAAAACCAATCCGCTTTCGAGTTTGAGACAGTTTCCTTTGAGATTTGAGGCTCATGACAGCGTTGATGCCAGCATTTGTTACAAGCGTCACAGAAGACAATAACATTTCCGGGTGGACCATGTCCACGTAGACAATGTTCGCACAGGGCGAATTGTTCTCGACCACGATATACGCGCCTCTTAATCTTTGGGTGACTTTTGTGAGTGGAAGAGGGTGTCGAAGTGGCATTGGTATTGGAGTCTGCTCGCGTGAACTTGCCCGGACTGGCACTTACAGGGGTGGGCGTGACATTCGTCAGGGGTGTAGGCTTCTGAATCTGACGACCTGACCTTGTTTGTCCAGTAGGGTTATACTCCTCCGATGACTCCCGAGAGTCGCCGGTAGCGGATTGGGAGGTGGACGATCGTGCCTTTATGATGTCTGAATCGCCGCTTTTGCGCTTCTTATTCGGAGGCTTGACAATGTCGCCAGCCGAATGCGCTGAAACCTGAGATGAACCATCGTCGATGCTTGGATATCTTGGATTTCGGGGCCCCCGCTTCACCCCAGGTCTTCCCCTGCCGAGGCCCTTGCCAGCTACGACGGACCCATCAGAGAGGACGTACTGCTTGTTGCGTTGAGGAGCCGACGTTGTAGCGGCTGGCGTTAGGGCGGAAGACGTGTTGACGCTGTTCGCGGGAAGGTCTGATTGACTCGTTACGGTGATGGTGGTGTCGTCGTTGCCTTCTGGCGCGTTCACGGAACGAGGAGGTAGGCTCATTCTTGATGGGCCTCTCGAATAGCGGAAGTCGGGATCACTGTCAGTCTGCAGCTCGTCTTGGCCTGCTTTATACACCAATAGATCTACTCTCTCAATACTTGCGGCCGGGTCTCTAGACGATGCACCCACTTGATTGATGGCGGCGGGGATCGTATGTCCATGAGGAAGAATATCTGGAAACGAGCCTCTTCGTGGTCCACTGCCAGCTTGGAGATTGGCAGAGGAGGACCCGTTCAATGAGTAGTCATTGGAGCTGACGCCGGCATTGGTGGTGAATGTGATAGGAGGTACAAAGGGAGCTATATTGAAGGGTGTCGTTTCTGATCTCGATGCTGTACTGTTTTCACCCACATTGTCCTCTTTTTCGCGGTTCGAGGTAACGATTGACTCGGTTGGTGGGGTAGTAGCCATGACAGATTCTCGGCTTTTTCAGTATGTGGTTATTCATGTGATTGGAGAAGATGGGACGAAAGGGTCGCCGTGTCACCTCAAGTCAGCCTCGTCAACAATCTGGGTCGTACATGACCGCTGAGATGGCAGGTATCCTCTCTTCAATACTTCGAGGTGGTTGAAGCTCGTGAGGCGGACCTGGTATGGTTGATTGCACACTTGAAAGTTCCAACTACCCACCAGCTGTCAAATCAAGATAGAAAAGATTGTGCCACGTGATCTATGCACGTGACTCGGTACTTATTTACCAGGTAACCGACGATATCATTTCGCTTCCCACGCTATTTGTGATCTTGTGTCGCATTACGCACAAACCGCGCAGCGCCAGAACCTCGCTATCAGTCACCATGATTCGAAATCACTTTGGAATCCTGGTCAAATAGGATCTTCGAGGACATGCTTTACGCACAATCTACGCAGCCACTGAATGCATCTTTATCAACATGTTTGACGAGATCTCCGTCCCTTTCTGCTTTCATTCACACATATCTCCCTCCGTTCTTCAACTCTTCCCTCTCAGCGCAAGTCCAAAATACAAACACGGTAGCGCTGTGATTGTTTTTAAACTCCCTCCTTACACATCATTACGAGGGCGATGGCAGACTACACCTCTGCATTGTTAGTATCCAATATCCACTGCCCGTCCTGTGTCACCCATGCCCAAGATGTCCTACGTGAGATTCCAGACATCCAGTTGCCGATCCATGTTTCGTTGATTGACCATACCATTCGCGTTAAACATGAACATGACAAAACGCAGGAGGATATCGTCAACGAATTGATCAAGGCAGCTTTCGAGGTCCAACATGTCACCACCATCGGCCCAAATGGTGTGCAAACACACGACTACGATGTGTTACCGAAACCTACCACCGTTTCCTCCTCAAGATCAACATGGCTCATGTCTCGAGCGCAACGGAAGCACATTGAAAATTGCAAGGCATGCCAGAGCAAGAGAGAGCGGACACCGAAACGATCATGGGCTACACTCATAAGGCAACGTCGACTGCTGCGAAGCAAGACCGATGACACTGCAAAATCGGATGATACACTCGTCAACGATCAGCCTGCTGTAATAAACATTGACGGTGCTGCTGATGATGGACATAACGGCCTCTACGTCGCAACAGTCGCCATAGGAGGGATGACTTGCTCATCTTGCAGCAGCACGATTACAAAAGAATTGAATGGTCTCGACTTCGTGGAGACCGTCGACGTCAGCCTTATGACCAATAATGCACGAGTGGTCTTTCTCGGGACCAAGGCGGACTCTGACAAACTTGTTGAGGCCATCGAGGACTTGGGCTATGAAGCTACAGTCAATGATGTTCTGCCACTGAAACAAACAAAACCTTCGCCAGAAGATGAAAGTGATGAATACAAGGCTACGTTGAGCATCGGGGGCATGACTTGTGGAAGCTGTGTGGGGACAATCACTCGAGGAGTTCAGGAGCTTCCATTCGTGAGCTCGGTCAATGTTGATCTGGTGGGAAATCGAGGCGATATCGTCTTCCGCGACAGACAAAAACTCGATGCCATCCTAGAGAAAATCGATGACTTGGGCTACGATGCTACTGTTGTTGAGGTGGAGTCCGTCGGGAATCCTGCTCGGTCTAAAGCGTTGGAGAGGACGGTGCAAGTCAGGATTGATGGCATGTACTGTGAGCATTGTCCGGAGAATGTGGTCGCTGCGCTCCAAGATCGCTTGCCCTCGAATGCTGTCGAGGGTGGACATGCATACAGCATCACTCAAACACCGACCTTCAAAGACCCTCTTATCACGATCGTCTACCGACCCTCGCCCCCAGAATTTACTGTGCGCAACTTCATCTCGGTCATCGACGCCTGTGAGGAAGCATTCAAAGCCAGTGTATATCACCCTCCAACACTAGAAGAAAGGTCGCGTCGCATGCAACGTAAAGAACAGACAGACATTCTCATGCGGCTGGTCTTCACCGCTGTGGTTGCCATCCCCACTCTTATCATTGGTGTGGTCTACATGAGTCTGGTGCCAAGTTCAAATCCTACGAGGCAGTGGTGGCAACAACCTGTACTTGCAGGGAATGCTATGCGCGAGGAATGGGCCTTGTTCTTCATGACGACCCCAGTGATGATATTCGGCACCGACATATTCCACACTAGGGCTTTGAAAGAGATCAAGTCTCTCTGGAGGCGCAAAAGCAAAGTGCCCATACTTCGCCGATTCTATCGCTTTGGGAGCATGAATCTGTTGATCAGCGCTGGTGCCGCGGTGGCATACTTTTCATCTTTGGCGGTCCTGATCATGGACGCAACCAGCCCTCGGAATATGAGTCAAAGCCGGTCATCTGATACATATTTCGACACGGTCACCTTTCTCACGTTTTTCATTCTCATTGGCCGGTTTCTGGAAGCCTACAGCAAGGCTAAAACGGGTGATGCTGTGGCCATGTTGAGCAAGCTACGACCGTCGGAGGCACTACTAGTAGAGGACGTCGTATCAGGTGAGACAGCGGGGCGGGCGACCATTCAGATGGTCCCTGTGGATCAACTGGAGGTTGGGGACAGCGTTCAGATTCCTCATGGCACGTCGCCACCCACAGACGGCTTCATAGAACAGCAGGGTACCTTTCTCTTTGACGAAAGTTCTCTCACAGGTGAATCAAAACCTGTCAAGAAGGTGTGCGGTGATGAAGTTTACACGGGTTCGGTGAACGTCTCGGATCCGGTTCGAATCAAGGTGACTGAGGTGGGCGGTACATCTATGCTCGATCAGATTGTCAATGTCGTCCGCGAAGGCCAAGCCAAACGTGCTCCAATCGAACGCATTGCAGATATCCTGACAGGATATTTCGTGCCTATCATCACACTCATTGCCATCATCACCTGGCTCATCTGGTTGGGCCTGGGTGAATCTGGAAAATTACCACGAGCGTGGCTGGACGTGTCGAAAGGCGGCTGGGCGTTCTGGTCGCTCGAATTCGCTATTGCGGTATTTGTGGTTGCCTGCCCTTGCGGCATTGGGTTGGCCGCACCTACTGCGCTGTTTGTCGGTGGCGGACTTGCTGCCAAACATGGCATCCTCGTCCAGGGTGGAGGTGAAGCGTTTCAGGAGGCATCCAAGCTTGATGCGATTGTATTTGACAAGACCGGGACATTGACAGAAGGTCAGATGAAGGTGACTGACTTCGAAGTCCTTCACCAGCATGAGCAAGATGTGTTGAACATCGACCAAAAGATCCTTCTTGCAGCGTCTCGCTTGATGGAAGAGTCAAGTACCCATCCAATCGCCAGAGCTATTGCAGAGTTTTGCGCACAGCAGTCTGAAGTCCTGGACATACGGTCAGAGGACATCAAAGAAGTGCCTGGACAAGGCATGACTGGACAGTTCACCGTCAGTAAAGACTTGGGTAGCGCACGATACGAGGCTGCACTTGGCAATGAACGGCTTCTAGGGTCGATCGGCCTGGGTGAGACGTCGTCCAGTAGGATCTCGACGAAATCGGAGAAAGAACATGACACAGTCGCGACAAAAGATTACTACCTTGATCAGATCCTGCAGAAACACCAGTCCCTGGGCCACTCGACTGCTATCTTTGCGATCAGGAACGTAACTGCAGACTCGTCAGCTGCCTTCATCCCTGCAGCCGTATTTGCGATCGCAGACCCTATCCGCACAGAAGCCCCCGGGGTCTTGCAGGCGCTTCGAGAGTCCAATCTCGAAATCCACATGTGTACTGGCGACAACCAGACTACTGCCCTGGCGATTGCTTCTCAGCTGGGCATTCAAGTCAGTAATGTTCGTGCAGGTGTTCTTCCGCAAGACAAAGCAGCCTATATCCAGGAGTTGCAAGGGTTGTCCGGGCCGGACTCCGGCAATAGTCGCCAGTCTCGCAGGATCATCGCATTTGTAGGCGATGGGACTAACGACACTCCTGCTCTCTCGGCAGCGGATGTCTCAATTGCGCTGTCGTCTGGATCTGATGTTGCCATCACCACCGCGTCGTTCATCTTGCTCAATTCGGATCTGAACACCATACTGTCATTAGTGAGATTGGCCAAGAGGGTGTTTTTGCGTGTCAAGCTGAATTTTGCATGGGCGGCTGTGTACAATGTATGTTTGGTACCTGTAGCTGCAGGGGTCTTCTTCCCGCTTGGAGCAAGCCATGACCATGGGGGATGGAGATTGGGCCCGGTCTGGGCGAGTGTGGCGATGGCGGCAAGCAGTGTGAGTGTGGTCACGAGTAGTTTGGCCCTGAAGTTACCTGAGATTAGATGGAGGAAGTAGGGGATGAAATAGATCTCTCGCGATTCCTCAGGTAGTCAACCGGTCATAACAATTATTATTATGGCCTACGAGTACAGCGTTATTCTATACTCGTTATACGAGACTTACGCCACGATGTTGATCTTCTTCTCACGCGACTTTGACAGTACATACACGTACTTTCGCATGGGTGTGGCGCAAGTCTAGAAAATCTCGATCGGCCTACCCGATGTTGATCTGGAGTCGGATCCCTCTTCAGCTGAGGAGTGTCACTCTGTCAATCAGGTTCTGACGAGTGACCGGTAGCGAAATGATCAATGCGTAAAAGTGGCTACAATTCACCCTTATCATTGGTGAGCAGGTGATTAAGCCCCGGGCGGCTTTCCACTTAATGATATCACTTTGCAGCTGTGGCTTTGGTCTCCAGCTTGAATTGAACAAACAACAAGCAGATTGCATTGCGCAGCGCATGGGCACATTTGACATCACAGATTCAAAGAAAAAATGCAACTACCCGCAAACCTTCATCACTCCATGGCCAAGTCGATTTGCCAATGACCCAGTTGAGTCTTTGACGTTGACCTCAAATGTCAAATCAGATCATTCCACACTCCAAAACTTGGATCCAGTGATTTTCACACTTCAATCCGCTTGTCAAACGTCGTCATACACCGTCCCGACGCGCACGCCCTAATTGTGTTGTTTTTTACCAACTACTTTGGTCCCAGGGTCCCCCTCCTCCCTTGCCTTGCGATCTACATATTTGAGATCTCATCTCTTTCGCCAAACACGCCTATCTCACCTCCTCATTCGGCCATCTCGTTCGTTCACCTTGGGGCGCCTCATCTCGAAGAGGTTTGCTCTCGTTAGTCAAATCTGACCAATCCTCCTCCCATCGACCATCAAAACATCAAGAATCATGGCGACACTTACTCACTCCTGGTTGCCTCGCTCGGTAGGTGGACACATACAACAAACCATGTCTGAATGTTGCTAACCATGACTACAGTCGACCGGCACTGGCAGCAGTCGAAGTAGCTCAAACTCATTGTCGTCAATCATTTCCACCTTGATCCCAACCGCACTCATTGCCCTCATCGCCTTTACCGTCTTCCTCATCATCCGAAAGAAGTACACCCGTGTATACCGAACTCGAGGAGACGAGAGGCTCTTCGAACAAGGACGACGAACTCCTAAGTCCGATGGAAACTTTTTCAGTCTCATCTACAACTTCAAAGGCCTCCCTGACAGCCATGTCCTCCGACACAACTCTCTCGATGGTTATCTGTGGCTTCGATTCTTCAAAGTCATGATCATCATGAGCGCCGTTGGCTGCATCATCTGCATGCCGGTTCTATTCCCAGTCAATGCTACTGGAGGCGGCGGACAAACACAACTTGACATCTTGAGCATGTCCAATGTGAGCAACCCCAACAGATACTTCGCCCATGCAGGTGTCGCCTGTATCTACTTCGGCTTCATTGTTCTCCTGGTTGCCCGTGAAAGAATCAACTTCATTGGTCTGCGCAGAGCCTTTTTTCTCTCTGCAGCTCATGCCCAGCGACTTTCTTCTCGCACAGTCATGGTCCTCGGGCTCCCACTCGACCATATGGATGAGAAGGTGCTTCGACAGACATTTGGTTCCAATGTGCGCAAGATCTGGTTGGCTACGGATTGCAAAGACCTTGAGAAGGCTGTCAAGAAACAGAACAAGACTTCAATCAAGCTCGAGGGCGCTGAATTGAAGGTCATCAAAAACGCCAACAAACTCCGCACCAAGGCTTTGAAGAAGGACAATGAGGCCACCGAGCAACCTGCCACCCACTGGATTGACAGCAAGAAGCGACCACACCACCGTCTGATGCCCCAAATCTGGAAGAAGGTGGACACCATCAATTGGTCTCGTGGCACTCTTGCCGAGCTTGACCGCTTTGTCGAACAACAACAGACCGAGCACCTCGACTTGAAGCACCTCAAAGTTCCCGCCGCCTTCATTGAGTTCTCCAACCAGTCCGCTGCTCACCACGCTTATCAGTCTATCGGCCAGGGCAAGATGAACAAGTTTCATCCACGATACATTGGAGTGCAGCCTGACGAAGTCATCTGGACCAACCTGGGTGTCAGCAATGCGTCCCGCAAGATGAAGATAACGCTTGCCACAATCTTTATCTGGCTCTTGATCATCTTCTGGGCCATTCCCGTGGCGTTTGTTGGTGCCCTATCCAACATCAATTATCTCACCAACAAACTCCCGTTTCTCAGCTTCATCAACGATATTCCCAAGGTCATTCTGGGTGTTGTCACCGGTCTTTTGCCCACCATCCTTTTGGCGGTTCTGATGGCGTTGGTTCCCATCATCTGCGGACTTCTTGCCAAGAAGGCTGGCGAGCCCACTATGTCAGCCGTGGAGTTGAGGGTGCAATCCTGGTATTTTGCTTTCCAGGTTGTACAAGTATTCCTCATCACGACTTTCACTTCTGGTAAGCCACTTAACCCGTCATGTCTCTGCAATATACTAACAATGCATAGCTGCGACTTCGGTCACAACTCAGATTATCTCCAAACCAGCTTCAGCGCCGACTTTGCTTGCCACCAACTTGCCAAAGGCATCCAACTTCTACATCAGCTATTTCATTCTCCTTGGTCTTTCCCAGGCTGCACTTCAACTGCTCAACATTGTGCCATTGTTGATGTACACAATCATCGGAGGCATCTTGGATAAAACACCTCGCAAGAAGTACAACCGATTTGTCAACATTCCAGGCCTGGGTTGGGGTTCGACATATCCCAAATTTGTTCTTCTCGGAGTCATCGCCATCACTTATTCATGCATTGCACCATTGATCCTCGCCTTCGCCACCGTGGGATTCTGCTTGCTCTATCTGATGTACCGATACAACTTCCTCTTCGTTCTCGGTAACAAGGTCGACATGAAGGGAGAGGCCTACTCAAGAGCTTTGAAGCAACTCCTGACTGGTGTCTACTTGGCTACCCTGTGTCTTATTGGCTTGTTCGCCATTGGCGTCAGCAAGAATAAGATCAGCATTGGGCCCTTGGTGATCATGCTTGTGTTCCTGATCATCATGATCATTTTCCAAATCATGCTCGACCGTGCTCTGGCACCACTCGAAAGACACATTCCCCTAGATCTGATGTCCGGCAACAAATACAGCACCACCTTGTCAGAGCAGATTATGGATGAGCATGAGATGAAGCAATCACATCTGGAAGCCGGCACAGGAAGCCGCGATAATTCAGCGCCCGAATTCGCAAAGGCCGAGGGTGATGCGCCTCAAGGCAAGACCAAGCCTTTCAACTTCTTGAGCCGACGCCTCGAACCTATGGTACAGAGATACTATGAGTCCAACAAGAGCATTGTGCCGACTTCGGACAACGAGGACAACATTCCCGCATACACATCTGAGGAATACGAAAACTCATACCTCAACCCAGCCATCACATCTCCCGTGCCCACCGTCTGGCTTGCAAGAGATCCAGCTGGTGTCAGCAAGGTTTTGGTCCAGGAAAACAAAGAGGCCAAGATTCCAAGTACTGATGAGTATGCTGAATTCAACGAGAAGAACAAGTTGATCTGGGATGAGGACAAGCTCACAGATACGCCTCTGTGGCAGAGACGTGTAAGATATTGAGAGGGAAGTCGATATCTACTCGATCTCAATGACTCCACTGTACCAGGAGTTTTTCCTTCTTAACGATGGATGATACGGATGGAAAGGCGCACTGGCTCAAGACTGAAAACTAGTAATACACAGATACCCTGTTTCAATAGTCCCTAATGATGAAAAAAATGAATCCAATGGTCTTTCCGAAAAATACAAGTTTCTGCCACACCGCAGGCTGTAGTATGCGCCCGAGTCGTGCATATTTGCTGTCTGTCTCGAATGCTTGACTCCCCGGTTGTCACCAGCTGAGACCTGCTGTTCAAGTCAGAAAGCTTCCCGATGCCCCTATCGCCAGGCCCCCAGGCCAGGTTTGCCGACCCAGCAGTCGGAGACTTGACCGCAATGCACGTCCTGGTCCGTGAAATAGCGGCCAAGTATGCTAAGCGGTCTTTCAGGTACGCTTTCGACTCGCACACAGGCGGTTGAATGAGGACCTCAGCTCTGGACAGACACACAAAGTGCAATTGACCGAAGCGAAAGAGGGGCAATCTGCTTATCCAACCACGTGACACGGCTATCACCGGTGTGGATAGCGAGGTAGCCGCACCGGCATGGACAGCGACTAGCGATCATACTCCGATATCTCCATGCCTACACCTTTACCTCGAGGCCACCCATAAGTCTTTCTCATTGTTCCTCCCATCCTGCGATCGTTTGTGTGATTATCGTCGTCTTACCAGAGACCAAGAGTGCCAGTGCCCAACATGCCAATCTACCATATTGGTGAGTAGTTGACCTGTCCCGAGTCATTAGGGCCGTGCTGGGCCATGCGAGGCACGATCAAAGACTGACCACCCGACAGTACTTTTCAAGCTGAAACCCGGCGTGACGCCAGGTCAGATCTCCGAATTTGTCACTGTAGCTAAAAGCATGGTTGGAAAGGTACCTGGATTGAGAAAGCTCGAAGCCAACACTGCCCATATCTCGACTGCCCATCGTGGCCAGGGGTTCAATTTGGGAGTCGTTGCTATTCTTGACAAGGGAGAAGACATCAAAGTATACGCCGAACACCCTGCCCATCTAAAGTATGTCAACTCTTCCCAGTTTTTCCCCTTGATTTCTCCAATACCGGTTTCGCCAGACGAAATCACACTCGGCGCTGACAGGTCCATAGAGTCCAAGACATTAGGATGAAGATATGCGACGATGCGCTGGCATATGACCTGGAATACTCGGAGTGAACAGGGTCGTCATCGAGGCACCAGTACTTATGAAAGGTACCCGAGCTCTAGAAGTTTAGCTTGAGGTTGTAGGCACAGATCGTGTAAGCAAGTCAAATGCCAGCAAGTTCGATGCAGGATTGAATGTCGAAGGCGCGTCGGACTAGGCCATGATATTGTTAACGCGATGTCCCACGAGAGGCGCAGCTTGCCATCTGGCGAACGGGAATCTCAGGAACATAAAGTACGAGCTCCTAGAAATAGGGGCTGTTTAACCGGGGTTACACCGATAATGACATGTCACTCTTATCAGAAACTGCTCACAATTTGACTACTGTACCATTCCCTCAGCCTTATTGTATCTTCGTTAGGCCCCCCTAGGTGGCCACAGACACGGCTGCAGTAGCCACCCCAACGCCCAGCGTGCCACTAGAATACAGTGCGCTTTGGAACCACGACTTATGCGTGTGGTAAGTACAGGGGGGCAAGCTTGGGGGCTAGAAACCTGCCGATTTCCCGACACAGCCACTTAAAGCAAAGCTATTTCCCCATGCACATGCAGAGGCGGCGGTCAAGTCGCTGCGCAACCGGTAGGCTTTTTGCTTGCTCGCAAACTTTGCTCTGCCTCTTCTCTACTGGGGTTCGTGCGTCGAAAGGCTGAAGATAACGAAGATCATTCGCTTGCCCGGCATATTCATCACACCCTCCTTGCCATTTGACGGGCTGGCCCTCGCTTGATCATGAACGCAAACTTTGAGGCTGCGCCTGCCTCGCGCAGTAAGGCTTCAGCTCTAATCACCAGAAATCTGCCCGTCATCTTGTCTTCGTGGTCATCGCTACCCTCTTCACTCTGCTCTTTATTTGTGTGCGTTGTCTGTGAGCGTCAATCGTGACAGACTGGTGCCAGTATCGACCATGGCGAGAGGCCATGTCTCTTACTTCAGCTACAACCTGAGCAGGCCATATCCTTTTCGCTGGTTCACCCCAGCTGCTGTCGTGGGCGGCGTCGTACTCACTGCACTCTTCTCCGTCCTCAACTTTGCAGCCAATGGATACGTGCTTGGAAGTACATTTGTTGCTGATCCAAACTCTACACTCGCCAAGAAGACTTGGTTCGAAAAACCGCCATTCTCTTACCAGAGTAAACTGTCCGCGAGTTGTCAGCCAGCCAATATCGCTACCAGTACCCTATTGACGGCAAAATCTGGGTTACAGTATACTTTAGGCAATGTCTGGACAGAGGATGAGAACGGTCGTGCGACCTTGTTGCCGTCTTTGACGTATCTCAACAACTCTTTCACAGATTGTGACTTCCAGGGAATACACATCCTCCTCGTCAACTACGACCCTGATAGCAATGGTCCCTACTGGAATTGGAATCGCGACTCTACTGCAACGGTAGGCGTACATCACCATAATAAATATGCCCAGCTGATATGACCAGGGATATGTGACTTGTGCTATTGACAATGGACATCTCCCAGTGCATCTCAATCTAAGCATCACCGTCAAAGCCGCTTTGCAGGGCACAACAGGCACAATCGGGCAGGACTACCTGACCGCGAAGAAGGCGACACAGGCCAGCCTCTGGTTTGGACAGCTTCTCACGTAAGCCTGCCCATGAGAGAAAACAGTTCTGATGCAATGGCTTATTGCTCCAGGTGGATGAACTTCAATCAAATGCTTTTCCAGATGGCGCTGGTGAACATGACGACCCTGGCGCTGTACAGCGAAACGGGAAGCCAGGGGTTGCTCACCGGCATGGGAATGTGTAAGCACTCGACCCGCCGCACAGATGTGACCAACTGACCTAGCATCCACGAAGATGTCGCTCACAGTCCAAACACAACGAGCATCCTTCAAGACGACTTCATGTCCATCTCAGAGCAGATAACAGGCTACAATTCTTATTACAACATCGCCGGCGGCTACTGGAGGGGTCCAATCGGTACTGATGATACACCCATAACACAGCTGGAAATCGGAGGGACAAACATCGGCTACGCAGTCGACGATTTCGCCAAATCATTTTACTCTTTCATCCTGGCCGATCTAGGTCAGACATCCAGCCCAAACGTGCTCGCTGATCCCGACATCCTGGATCAATTCTGGACCGCATGCTACAACGAAGTCGAGCCCAGTCCAATGAACTTTGTGCAGAACGGTAGCTTACCTGACAACAGCTTTGACACATTGAAGAGCATGACTGGTTCTATCGGCATCTCCAATGCGACTCTCAACGCACAGTATCTGTGTCAAATACCGCAACGGAAAGACACTGGTTCCATCCTCGTTGCTCTCATTGTGGCAGACCTTGTCTTGCTGCAGGCTGCTTGGAAGGTCTTTACCTGGATCACTACCTTCTGGCTTGAGAAGAAAGATCCTGAGGCCAATTTCTGCTCTGCATGCGCTGCAAAGTTGGGTTCTCCTTCGGTGGGAGCAGATGGTGGAGCGAACAGGATGGCTAATTCGTATGAGATGTTCAAGGGAAAATTAAGTGGATTTAGAGGGTCGCGTTACGCAAAGCTTCCCGATACACAGGTTGGGGATATGGCTAGGGCCAGCGGTGCAGATAGCCTACCCGCCACAGTGCTAGCTAACAGCCGCTGAGATAAGCTAAGTAGACAAGCTTCAGCAAGAGATGTCGTTGACTCTGTCAATTGAATGACAGGACAGCCTCGCGTCCGCAAACAGTCAGAATGCCGAACATGTGTTTTTCGGTCGCAAGGCTGAGTAAGCCTTACCTACGTCCTCTCTCCAGTAGTGCACGACTCGGTCTTGATATATCACGAGTATGTCGTACGCACTGTGATTAGTGGGTAATAACAGGCTTCCCAGCTGCTTGGCTACCCTGCTGCGCACTATGATGCTGTGACTGATGCCTAAGGAAAACCGAGCAGGGCAGGCCAGATCACTTGATATGACGTGCTTGGAGCAATCAAGGGCCACATTTTTGTGGTTCACGGTCGTGACTATCCATGGTCCCTATAATCCGCGTTACGTGACGCCCTTTTCTCCAAGCATGTTGACATTCGTTCCCGTACCGTTCGATCTGTTGACATCAAGCTGACAGTCGTTCATGAAGATATGATCGCAAGAATGATGATCTGACATGACCTATTCGGCCGCGGAGCCGCTGCGGAGCCGCAGCCTCGGCTGAACTCAAATGTGGCCCCCGATGCAGGGCAACATGAACTTACCTTGGTATTTCCTGCATCACGAAGGCAAGGCCACAAATGTATTTGAGGGGCATCAGTATGGTCGAACGACTAGTATCCTGACATCCCAGATCAAGATTCTACTGTACCATCATCAACAGTCCTCGGACCGGCTGAATACTCGTTGGTTCAACAGCACTACAACAGCGATGCCTCGACAAAAAATAACACTCTTTTTCGACCTACACAGCCCTTACTCTTACCTAGCATTCTACGTGCTCAAAGTACGACTACCATCAAATGCGATAGCACCCCAATCAAGCTGATCACCCTGTCCACAGAACTCCCCAATCTTCAAACAATGCGACACAACATACATACCAGTCCTGCTGGTCGCGTTCATCAAGCTAGTCGGCCTGAACCCTCCATGGAGCAGTCCAAGTATGCATCCATATCCCTCACTTAATGATCACACAGCCTGACCAGCACTCTCCAGATAAAGTAAACTACCTGTGGACCGACATGGCGAGATGGTGCGCAGAATACAACATCCCGTGGAAACAAGGGTTCCCGGAGAACTATCCGTTCAAAGTCACTACTTTAAAGGTACCCGGCACCCCTTCTGTCCCTATCAAACATCTTCGCGGATACTTTACCTCTGACTTGCCGAGCCAACACGCTGATTGCATCTCGCAGATTCAAAGGATCTTGACGGCTTGTATGATCGAAAGTCCCTTGTGCCACGCCGACCTAGTCGCAGCACTGTACCATGCGTTCTGGGTCGAGAAGAAAGGCGTACAACTTCCCGAAGTGCACGAACCCATTGTGATCAAAATTCTTGGCCAGAACGTTGGGACGAGGATCATTGAAAGGGTAAGTCCTATTATCCAATTATCCTGACTCCTACGGCGTTGACGCCTGCACTTCGAATCTCAAACTGATCCTTTCGCATGGCAATAGAGCACTTCGGAAGAAGTCAAAGCATTGCTGAAACAGAATACTGAAGATGCGGTTGCGAGTGGTGCGCCGGGTTTACCATGGATCAAGGCAGTCAATGCCACGGGACGAGAAGAGTGCTTCTTCGGCTTTGACCACATAGGTCAGGTCACCAGATTCTTGGGACTTGAGAAATTGAATGGCCCTCATCTGTGATAGGGTGAAAAACTACAATGATTGTCCTGCTTAGATCTTCCATCACAACTTCCCACCAGTCTCCCTGGCCGCACGCTCCCTCAATTGCCGTCGAAGAATCTTGCCTGACTAGATCATACCATTAGCTCTGGTGAAGGCCGCATTTGGACAAAACCTACCGGGTTCTTGGGGATAGAATCGACAAATGCAACTCCGCCTGTCAACCACTTGATCTTCGACACACGCGCTCGCACATAGTCTGCGACATCCCCCGCTGTGATCGAGAATCCAGGTTTCAACACCACGTACGCACGAGGGTTTTCGTCGTCGGTGGCACTGCGAGACGCAATCAGCACTAGGCGCATACACTCCCTCGCTGTGAATCGTACGTCTTGACTCCAATGACAGCGGCATCCACAATCTGTGGGTGCTCAAGCAGCAATGCCTCCAACTCCGCTGGTGCAACTTGCGCTCCTCGGACTTTGATCAGCTCCTGCAAGGGATATTAGCCATGATCTCAGTTCACCAAGAGTGCACTGTACCTTCTTCCGATCGGCCATGTACCACTTCCCCGCATCATCGCGGTATGCGATATCACCAGTCTTCATCCACCCATCACTAGTGATAGTCTCGGCCGAGGCCTTGCTGTTTCGCCAGTATCCTTTCATCATGTTCGGTGAGCGGATCCAGAACTCGCCCCTCTCACCGGGTTGAGTCTCCTCTTCACCATTCTCCTTGACCAGCATAGCTTCGGCTCCAGGAACGAGCTCGCCGATCGAGATTGCGGACGGACCCAGGCTTTCGCGCTCATCCCAGCATAAGGTGATAGCTGGAGCTCTACCGAACAGATAAGTTAGTTCCTGCCCGGCATGCTTGACCGACTTCGTCATCGGACTTACTCTGACATGCCCCAAGCCTGTCTAACTTTGACCTTTGCCTTGAAAAGCTCCTCAAACTGCTGTGTAACTTCCATGCCAATGGGAGCCGCACCAGCCACGACCTTCCGCACGCTGCTGATGTCGTATGAACCGTCGCGAACAGAAGGATGTTTGGCCATAGCCACCAGTATGGGAGGAACAAGCAGCAATTCCGTGATCTTGAACGATTGAATATGGTCCAGCATGTCCGACAGATTGTATCGTTCCATAAGGAACGTTTGTATACCCCATTTCGGTGCTGTGAAGGAATAGTACAGCAATCCGAGCGCGTGATAGAGCGGGATAACACATAGACTTCGCCGCGCAGCGACAGACGTATCGCATAGTTGGATTTGCTTGAGCTGTAGCATGTTCGCAACTATACTGCGGTGAGACAGCTCAACGCCTTTGGGTAGGCCAGTCGTTCCGGATGAGTATAACAAGATGGCAGTGCGTTCGGCCAGGTCTGGTGAATTGAGCTCTTTCCAAACGAAGTACTGGGCAGCACTGTGCTCGACAAGTAAAGTGCTCCAGTGCTGATACTGCACAGCCGGCCATGAAATGTGAGCTTCATGGTTTGCAGATATATCAGTGAAGAGAAAGATTCGGTTTCCATCGAGTCCAACCAGCTTGGCCGCATCCATAGCGCGCTCGATGCAATTTTCGGCAGCAAGGACAAAACTTGGTTCGGTGTCTTTCAGTTGGTGGGCAAGTTCACGCGGCGTATATGCGGGATTGGCACTGTTGTAGATTCCACCGGCCATCAGAATGCCCATGGCAACGACCGGATTGAAGATGCTATTGCCCGAGAAGAGCATCACACGGTCACCTTCCTTGAGACCTGCCCGTGTTAGACCCATGGCGAGTCTTTTGGCCCATTCTCGGTAGGAATGAAGGGTGAGGTAATGTGTATCTGGTCTTTTCGCATCGACCAGGAGCTTGTCCTTGGAGTCAATGGAGCCTGTTGGAGATCCGAACATGAATGACGGGATCGAAGTTTCTGGCGGCGATAGTTGCCATCTCGATTTGCAAGGCATAGCTATGGTCTGACGTCGGAAATGGGTCTGCTGTTTTTGTCGATTGATTGATGGCAATCGGCAAGAGATCAGGCTTCTGCAACAGACAATATGTTATGTATCAGAGGCATCACGCATGATAAAAGTTAAGCGGCTCGGCAAGGGTCGTGCTGGCCTTGTCTAAGTATAGAGAGGGTTCAATATCCTCGGAGCCGCAACGCCACTGCAGGTCCTGGAGCTGAGTTTCTGCTTACATCTGGGGCTGACACATAAAGCACGTGTAATCCTACAGCCGTAGGAGCAGCCTCAATTGGTGGTCAGGCCTGGCTACTGATGCCGGTACGGAGTTTTTCGTATGTTACTTGTTGCGGCGCGTCCCTTGTTTACAGGTTATTCTCAGGATTGTCATGAGACCAGCAGTCCATCAGAATATCGCCGTAATGCCGCATAAGGTCGTCCAACGCCGGACGGGCTGTGTGAAGTCCAGAGACTGTAGATTCCAAAGTCACAAGGCAGGTCAAGAGAGGCTTGACAGATCCCATCCAGTCGGTTGAATACTGGGGAAGCGTTGTCGGCCCGGACCAGTCTTGATCTTCTGCAAAGCCGTTCATGTTGACATCGATGGTATGCTCGATAGCCTTGGTGAGCGCCATGACAACAAGGCTCGTGTTTGCATGGTGACATATAAAGTGTAATTGTAATTGAATGCTGTTGAGAAGCTTAAATTCTCCCGCTGCCGATACATTGACGATACGTTGCGCAATGGCAAGAACAGATTGCACCGCTGACCTTTGAAGCTTTCCCGCTCTGGCCAGAATCGAGGGTCTTTCCTCAGGCGGAAGGATCTCTGCTGCAGAGTGGAGGTGCTCGACGAGACAGAACACACTGAGATTCCAGAACAGAAGGAGAAATCCTACGAAATGGGCTCATCAGTACTGTGATTCAATCATAAGAACACTGAGACTGACCGCAAGACAGTTTTGGTTTCTCCGAGAGTCGGTAGAACGAAATGGTACAGTGCTCGAGCCATGAGATGTATGCGGTAGCATAATCATCCACTACGTTGCATGATTGCTGTACCAATCGTCTCAAGTCGCTAATGTCTAGGGGTGTACGGGTTTTCGTTGTGCTCTGACGCAGATTGATCACTTGTCGGAAGACATGAAAGAGATCTCCTGCCGCATTTTGACAGGTCGCTGAGACCTCCTGATCGAAGCCGACAACCTGCTCCGGGATGTTCGTTCGTAGCTCCTTACCATTGACCTGCTTGCCTGAACGAAAGAGTCAGTGGATTGACACAAATTCGTACTCAATTGATTCACACCTTTCAACTTCAGTGGCGCGTCTTCTAGAATGCAAGCCCTGGGATGCAGCATTGACGCTATAGTATCGCGCAAATACGCATACCAGTTGAAAATCCTGAGCGAAGAATGCAAGAGAAATCGATACGTCGATTGTGGTTCCAAAATCTCGCAGTAGTCGTCAATGAGCCCGTGGAGTTCTTGCATCTGATACAGAGCAAGGTCGGCGATGTCGAGGGGACTTACATTGAATCTTTCGCTCGAGGTAGCTTCAGGAGGGATTGTTGTCATTTGAAAGAGAAACACCGCGTACAAGTGGATGAAGGAACGGGTTTCCTTCGACGCCACAAGGAGTTCGTAAGCATTGAACCAGGCTGCTGCAAAAACATGCGGAGTCTTAGAGTAGCTGGTTCCGGCATCGCAGCCCACCAGCGATATGTCAGGAACGCTTACGAAGGGTCTCTGAACTGTGAATTTCCGGGCTTCCTTTTGGGGAGCAGGCGCGAATTGTAAGGAAAAGGCCTGTAGAGTCGCAGTCAAGGTACGTTCGTCCTGCTTGCGTCTTTTAGGCTCGAGGACGTTACCGTACAGCGAGCCAAAGTTGTCCAGAAATCGAGCTATACCAATCATGGTAACTTTGTTGATTTGACTTGCTAGATCTTCAAGGGTATAGCCAGGATTTTGCAGTGCAACAGTCCGTACGCCAGATGATGACCGCTTCCAGGTCGGCATTCGGGTTCTCGCTAATGCATGATCTGTGTCTTGCTTCGATAGCGGAATCTCAGCACAGTCAGCGTCGAAGGAGTACCGATAGGATCCTGCAAAGAGGTTGCAATTGTAGTCGAGATATCTTGTAGTGATTCCGGACATCATTGATTCATATACCTCACCGAGGTTTTGATTGACTAGGTGGAGTTCCGTACTTGAGTTGAGCAAATGAATCGGACTACCTCGCCAGGGCCCCAGCACGCTTTTAGTGTGGGCGGGAGACACGACCCTGCTCTGTCGATTGCCTTGTGTGCTTTTGGAAGCCGCTGTTTCAACATCGTCGGAGTCTGTGTGGTTGACAACATTGTCCACAGTCGCACCCACACCCGTCATCAGTTGTGCCCATTCAGAAGCAAGATTTCCAAAGAACATATCGTCACCCACCAATCCGTGAACCGGAAAAGGCCATGCTACCTGACCTGGAGCAGACCCATCATACTGGAACTCGCTCGGTGTTACAGTATCGGTGGCCCTAATGTCCTGTGGTAAACCTGCACCTTGTGACAAAAGGTGTCCCTGTAGCGTTACTGGAGGACATGTTCTTTTCGTTCTCTTCTGATTCAGCCTCGATGTGACGAAATCATATGTGCAGTCTCGACCAAGATGGAAGCAATTCAAACATGTGGCCGCCATGCCAAGTTGAACATTCGGAGGAAATGCGCACCGTCGCTTTGATCGTCGACATGCATCGCATGAAGAGTTCTGCTTGCGCGCTGCAGCTGACATTTGCGCGATCCAAATTCAAGAAGTTGACATTATCTCAGCCAGAAGCAGTGTGACCACGATCCTGCAGAAGGATTCGAACACATTTGCTAATCCTGGATCAACCACGATAATTCACCCTCGTGGACTGGATAACTGGTGCGAGATGGCCTCCCTCTGGACAGGTATCCTGACATTGTGGTGCGATGAATGATTGTGGAAAGGATGTCAAGCGTTGGACTTGCGTTGTAGTCAGGATTGTGTGAGCTTACATGCCACCTGAGGCGGCTCCGAGGCAATGGCTTTCAGGCCCCCAACTGATCGACATTTGTGCATAGGGTTAAGTTACAGTATGAGTGATTTGTGGGGTTGGTGTTGGAGAGCCTTGTTAGAATCAAGCGTCTTCGCTTGCGGCCTTGCGCACCATACAGATGTTGAAGTGATCTCCTTCACTCCAAGGCGCAAGGTCAAGGCGCAATTTCGCAACCTCCTTGAATCCAAACTTTTCGTACAATCTGAAGCCTGCAGGTGCACCTTCAACGTAGGTGGCAAGTCCGCGATCATCAGCACGTTCTAAACCCCAGGTCAACAATTTCGAGGCGGCTCCTTGATTCTGATACTTTGGAGAGGTGCCGACCGCGGCTAGATCTTGACCAAGAGTCAAGGGCTGGGTCTTCACAGGCTTATATATAATGACTTACATGCGTAAGGTGATCGTTCGCCGATATTGGCAGCGACCACTTCGTGGCGTTTCCTGATGCTGTTGTGAATCAGGGCATTACCCAGCTGCTTGTTTGCATCTCGAGGCAACGGATATTCATCAATCAGCATTTCTTCCTCAATCTCTTCTTGGGTTCTGGAGGGAAAGAAGTTCCAGATAGCGTAACTGGCAACCTCACCAGACGATGAGTGTTTCGCTATCACGATCTGACATGTAGGATCATTTTCCATGTCATGCTCAAATGCGCGCACAAAGTGAGTTACCGAAGCGCGTGTAGGACCTTTGGGAAATATGACGGGGAATCCATGGTCATTGGCGCAGGCGTCGAATTGTACACGAACGATTGCTTCGAGATCAGATGAAGACGCAGGAAGCACCACGAAGACGGGCATCTCCCCTCGTACACTTTTCAAATTCCAGAGGCCCCTTGCAGTAGACAATCGAGAAGGAGCTTTGCTAGATACAAAAAGTCAGCTCGGCCGCGACGCAGCTGACATGCTAGTTTTGCAGGGGATCTCACACAACAGCAGAAGGCGTCCTTGAAGGCTATCACAGAAAGGCCTCGATCATGTTGGTTGCCGACACTATCACAATCGCATGGTGTTGGAGGAGGATCTGCTGGAACACGATAGGTTTGAATAATATGAGATTCGATGCCGTCAGTTTATCGGCCATCTTAGCTAATCTTGAGTTCTCGAGGGGATCCCAGGCCAGCACAAGGAACACGGCAGGGAACTCTGTGTTACAGCAAGGTTCTTCCGGCACCGTTCGTCCAGAGTTCCGGCGGCGCTGCAGGGGCTTTGGCTGCAGAGCCAGTCAAATCGCGGTACCTCTTCCCCGTCTTTCTGCACTATGAGGTGCAGTGGACCCCTATAAATGCAGCGCAAAGCTGTCACGCCCAGCCAATAAATTGGGTTTTCTAGGCTATCTTAGGTAAGTTTGGAGCAATAATATCTTGAGTTATAGCAATTCTCCGGGGCACTTGCAATTTTGGCCCATCAGCCAACCTGTGGATCTCATTTTATTCCTGCAGTTACATATCATTTCTTCATGCGCTGTACTTCTGCCTCTTGGTCGACCGATCTCACGCAAGCTTCTCATCCACGCATCGGCGCTGAATCTACTACCACGCAGCTAACACGTTTGTCCGATATATTCGCACGCAAAGAGACCCAGTCCACGGCTATTCGTGTGCCTTGCGACCACCGAAACGACCTCCAGAACGCTTCCGCGCACAATCCCATGCTGACATATGACTTGTCGCGAGAGACCTGCTCAAAGAAGACACTGCGATGGCCCACGCGCACGCGCATCCTATTTCTCACGATCTCTTCACGCAAGAAATGCCTTCTTCGCCGACCCTCACAAACCCTGACATGATCCTCCCATATCGGCCTCGTCAGACGTCGAGCCCGAGTCCACTGGCTTCTTCTCCGCTACTGCGAATGCAGTCCATCCCCGAGCGACCTGATTCTGGAGTCTCGTTGAACTCGTCTCAGCCAGATCTAGACCAGTCCGTCGAGTTCGGCGTAGCAACGGCCGTCAGAGTGCCCTCGCAGATAGTGTCCCCCGTGGATCTGTCTTTTGCCGGCTATGAGCACGGAGGACCTCTGAGCGATATCGGCGAGGAAGAAACTCCTCGATCAAAGAGGAGCCGGAGAATTGGCAGTCCTGTGAGACCAGATCCATCTTCCCCAACGCCTGCGGCGCGCGATCAGCGCCCAGCGATAAGGTCCAGCAACCGCTCTTCGGTTAGCGACGAGTCCGAAATCGGAAACTGGGAAGATTTCGACACATCGAGGATGATGAATGGGAGGCTGGCCGCGGACGTAGCCAAAGTCTCAGACGACAAGCTTGAAGACTTTGAAAGCAAAAGGAACAGCGCGGTCGCCACAAGCACCGAGGACGAGATGGCCTTACTCAACGAACGAGCTGAAAAGATACTCGAACAAGCAAGGTTGAGGCTGACGAACATGGAAGACAATTTGAGCAAAGCAAGGCACAGCGTTCTTTTGTTTGCGAGGTCGTCACCCAATTCCTCGGATCTTCATCAGCCAGCCGGAGGACTCTATCGTTCCATTTCTTTGGCAGGAGCGACTCGCAAACCACGATCCGTGCATCACGTTGTGAGGGCAAATTCGACGCACAGCCGTACTGGGAGTGACACGACTCCAGCCTCTGGTCTCAAGCGCTTGTCAAGTCTTGCGGAGGCACGATCAGCGAGCGCACAGGAATATGGTCAGAAGCAGGAATCTCCTCAGCAATACCAGTCTTCTCCCCTGATGCACTTAGCTGGCCCTTCCCCAGCCAGTAATCGCAGCTACAATTCGCCGCTTCGTGCATTGAAGGAGGAACAAGGCACCCCAAGCACCAGTAATACTTCTCCAGAATCTCTCGGCCCTCGAGGTCTGGGTATCAACAATTTATCGACTTTGTCTCGGGAAGATGTGTCTCAGATGGCGAGCAGTCCCAGTACCACTGTAGCCCGATCACCTTCCCAAGTCTCGACTCGTTCGACTAAAGAAATCCGCGAACAGATGTCCGATTTGCGACACCGTATCGCAGATCTGAAAGACAAAGCCCAAGCCGACAGCTTGCGAAGGCGGAGTGCGCAGAGCTTGAGAACTGCCAGTCCTTTCATGAGTGCCCCTACACCAGAACAGTGGTACACCAGTGCTCCGGAATACAAAGAGGGGGGTAGTCCACTCAACACAAATGCTGGCATGGGTTGGAGTCCTTCTCAGCAGACAAAGGGCGTCGAAACGCAATTCATCCCAGTCACCCCCGAAGCACAACGGTTCCTCAATGTTGAACAGCCTGCGACAAGTGAGTCTCGACTGTTGAGTGAGGTTAAAACGGACAGAAACACGCCGAGTCTTCACAAGTCCAAAAACATGCAACCAATCCCATTTGAAAATCCTCGTTCGGTTATCCAGGAGTCGAACTACGAAGACGCAGCCGAAGAGTTTGATGAGGACGAGCCCGTTGCAAAATCCCAAGAAGAACAGATTTATCTAAATGAAGTGCTAGAGGAAAGTTTACAGGAGATCGAATCAGATATTGGTCCCGACCCGGCTCTGTCTGCAGAGCAGAGTGCTGGACGACACGAGGATAGGCTGGACGCTTTTGATTACGAAAACATGTTTCTTCATAGTGCGCTTGGAAATTATGCTGGCAAGGGAACTGGAAGCCCAACACCAAGCGAAAGCGACAGCGGTAGTGTGGTAACCACACGTATGGACCAAAACACGCCAACTGCTGAAGACGAAGATGATGAGGAAACACAACCAACACCGATCAGAAAAACTGGCGAAAGATCATCGACCCCAACACCAGTGCAAAATACTTTTCCTAAGTCGACTCTCATCTCGGATTCGATGGTGGACCTTGAAGAACCTCCTAAACCCTGGACGAAGACTGTCCGGAGCAACAGCATGGATTCTATGTCCACCGTGGCCACTTTTGAGACAGCCGCTGAAGGAGCTGGCGAGGAGGATCTAGATGAGGACGATTTGCCAAATGAAATCCTGCAATGGGGAAACGGAATCAACTTCCCTCAACCACCCACCAGCCCGCGACACGAAATGGCACCGCCAATGTGGCCAACAGCAGTAACAAGCGGAAGTTTTCCACAAATGCATATGAGACAGCCGCGAGAGATGCAATCTCAAGGATCTGTGGTTACAAATGGCATACCAACGCCGCCTACCCAATCACCCAGCATGACTTTCACAGGATCTCCATCATTGGTTCATGTCAGAAATCATACTCGATCGAATAAGAACGCCATCGACCACCCTGCCAACACCGAAATTTTGATGGAAAGCTTGATCAAGCTCGCAGATCCGGACTTCTCGATAACCGAGGGGCAGGGGTCTGAGACATTTTCGCATATCGACAAGGATCTGGTGCTCGACCTTTTGCGAGCCGTGGGAGGTGTATGTGATCAGATTCTCAAAGCGGACAGCCAACACGAAATACGTGCTGTGAAGGTGCTGCGAAGAAGGTTGGATGAATCGAAAAGGGTCTTGGAGGGTCATAATGATGAATGATGAAGGCAGGAGAAGGATGATGTTTCGCGATTTGTACAAGTGGTGGACGAGCGACCAATTGTACCAATTCACAAGAGTTGTAAGGACGCTCAGAAGTGATGACTGTCTTTCTAGCAACCTTTCAAGTACCTTGAGGAGATGATGCGTTTGGCGCATGAACAGGCAAGATCTGCCTCCCAACATATATACCCCTGCATATTTATGGACATCTGAACACACTCATACCCCCAAACTCCCTACACCGTACATTGTACGCATTTTCCATTCAAGGCTAGTCGCGCGAGCAGCGGCATGCACAAGTACGGCAGTTCAAAGCGACCGCATACGAGGATGCAAGGTGACCCTTTCGAGGTGGTTCAAGCCTCCAACCTGCAAGTCATTACACGGGTCCTAGAGTGCACCAGGGACCGGTGTCGAAAGCACCCAGGTCTAGCGAGATGACGCTTCTTGAGATCGTGCAACCGAATTCCAAAAGAGGCAGTAGCTCGATCGTGAGAGGACTCCTTTTGGAAGTGCTCAAGGAGTTGAAGGAAAGTGCATTGCCTCTTGAGGTCATGCATTGGCCAGCCAGGGTCCATTTGAGAAATGTGATACATCAGAAAGTCCAGAACACGGTTCAACTTGGCGTCCAACGTCCCAAAGTTCGGTTGCACAACCCATCCCGGGGTTGGATCCCTGATCGCCTTACCATTTACGGCCAGTCATCTCGCACTCAGCCTTGTCCTGGCCTGTAAGTCGAGCCAGTCACCCAATTCTCTCCCGCTCGCGGCTGCGCTAGTCGTGCCGACGCAGGCGCAGATTAGCCGACCATGATGTACATTGGGGCCCTCTTTGACACGGTGTGCACCACAACATCATACAGATTTCAACGTCGTTCGATGGTTCTAAGGCTCTGGCCAGGAGAGAAAATAGATCATGCAGATTGTTGCCCTCTTGGTCAGATTGGGCAAATATCAGAAGTGGCTGGAGGTAGGTTCTTCGGATATATATCTTCCATTCGGCTACCAACTGTCTTCCTGTCCCTCGCTCTGCATGGTCTAATCTGCTCCTTCCCTATTCTCTGCCCCAGCGAACATTTTGCCGCAACTGATCCGTCTGAAACAAATTCTTCCCATTCATTCTCAATGTTGAGTGGTATGCTGAAAATCCGACAGCTGTCGATGCACTATACTCAAGGAGGGACACAAACCATCAAACAGCCTACAGACATCAAGTCCACCAAGAGGAGTGCCGACTTGTATGCACAGCCATGGATAATAGCGCAGGAATGGGACACCGCGGCTCGCTACAGTCACTGCCCAGCTTTTCTCAATTGATCCAGGGCATACCACCTGCACCTCTCCGGATTTCCAACCACATAGAAGGGAAGAGCCGACCCTTCATTCAGGCCTACCGAGTACAGCGGCTTCTCGGTTGCAGCGTTGACACCGTGATTTCTCCCAGTTTGCTGCCTGAAACGGAGGACAACGACTCTGCGAAGAGCGACTCGAACTCGTCTTCCCGCGACCACCAACCCTGCTCACCTTCGCACATGACACCAGCATCGCCACGGTCATATTCCTACCCGAGTGATCATGAACTCGGCTTGGAGGGGCTACAAGACTTGATCAGCCGGCCTGACGTAGACGTCAATGCCTTGATCCAGCGTATTTTCGAGTTTTTGAATGGACCAATGCAGCCTGCATATGAACAAGGCTGGTACCGTCCGGATGCCTCGGACAATGCATTCAGTAGAAGACTCGAAGAAGCCATCTCTATACTCGGCCGAGATGAGCTCGCCGAGGCCTACTTCTTCCGACAGGAAGGCCGTGAGCCGTATGGCTACTCTCCCCACGGGATCTCTTGCGCGAGGAAGACCTCCACCATGAAGCAGACCGACGTGGGATCTCCGACTTTGACCCAACCTGATCCCGGGCCCGTGGCCAAGCCGGAAAAGCAGCAAAAGAACTCGAGTGAGCAGGAACGGCGCTGTCGACATCGATACTGTCAAATGCAAAGTGATCTTCGCTGTTCTGAGATTGCTTTCCGATGTGGCGAGCAGCACGCGAGGATCGAGCACGACAAGATAGCCAAGACGAGAGAGAACGGCAGCAAATGCCAAAGCGCAAAAGGAACAGGTAAGGACGAGCAGCTGTTCGCAGCCGTATATGCACATGAACTGAGCGCGAGGATCATCCAGCTGGAACATGATGGTCGCAAGCGAGCGGAGACGATTGTACGTCTGCTATGCCAACTCTTACTTCGCTCGCAAGGTGTAAAATGCGGTGGTGGAGCCAATCGACATCTTTCCAGGTCACCGCCCCATTTTCCGAGGGATCACTCGATAGTCGCGGGCGTGAAGCGATTTGCGGATGATGAGATCACAAGTCGGCGCTGTTGGACGAGAGCCTCAGAGCGCGATATCGCGAATTCATCAAGAGCAAACAGCCCATGGAAACGTCCGCGGAGTCTAACTCATGATGGAACGCCCTTATCCCCAGAGAGGACCCAGTCACCTACGCCAGAGTCAAGCTCCGAAGGAGCCTTTTCTCCGTATGAACAGGGTCGAATGATCAAAGCAGAGCATTTGCATTGATTTCTATCAACGAGATGCTGCAGAGAAGCCTTTTGAAGGACAGACAAATGTACCATATACAGTGTGACTTCGCGGGTTCATGATCACGACTTACGAATTGCTATTCAGGGATCAAGTCCCTGACTTTCGGGGTTCTGTTTTCTTGGGCTGGGTTTTGTGAGACATCCATCAGTTTTTGTGTATCTCAATTCAGAAGGTCGTTTAGAGGGCATCAGTTCCGGTATGACGATAGACCTGTTAAGGGCGCATAGGTGGTTTGCTGAATCTGACATTTTGTAGCGTTATGATGGCCTTCAATAGAATAATGATCGTTGGATAGGATAGTGCTTAGGCTTGACGATGTACTTGTGTTCGAACCTCACGTAGTGATGATGATAACGTGTGTGAGACAAAAGCACTCGTTACGACGTTGGTGTTTGTGAGACTAAACCTGTTTTGGCGTTGCTCCCATGTGGAAAAGGGTTTGAGATTGATTGGGGATTGAGACGGGAAACTGATATTGGTTCACCAGAATGTCCTTATCCTCCTCCATCAAACCACACCACTAGAATTCTCGATATCGCCCGCATCTTCACCTTCTTCGACGACTCCCTCTCTGACGAGGTTCATCCCACTCCCATCACCAACCTCGATATCCGACACTTCAACCTGACTGGAGCTGCGCAGTCTCCGTGGCCTCGAGATCAATCTCACCCGCAGCTGCGCTCCTCATCTCTCATCCTCCTCTCTGGGCCTTGCGCAGGCCATTCCGCTCGTTCCTCCCCACCAGCTCGTCGAATCTGGCCACGATAATAAAGACGTCCTCCTAGTGAGGCGCGGATAACACCTCTACCTTGCGCTTTGCACCCTTTCAGTTCTTTGTCACATTGTTTCGCTATACGACATGATTCTCCCTAAAGGCGGCGTGACCTGGAAGTCCGCCAAAGCCAGATTACCGCCATGGAAAGCTGTATTAATGTTCTTGACGCGCACACGATTCCTGGTCGCGGTCGCCTTGACCGGCCTGATTGTCTTATTATGGAGGGGGATCAGTGTATCAACACGAGAAATGTCAAAGTAGGTTTACCGTGAAGCTATGATAGAGATGAAGAGTTGGGACTAACAGCTGGTACCAGTTTTTACTGCTTTGGTCCTTCAAAGCCGCCCATGCAGATGTCGACTAATGAGATGGTCGCTTGGAACCAGCACTTACAAACACCCGTGCTGTTCAACCATCACGAACCCTACGAGGTCAATTCCAGCACGATCCAACTCGTCGACCTCAACCCCATCGTCTCGACATCGCGAGCCGTCAGCAACCGAGAACGAGTCCTCCTCCTCACCCCCCTTCGGGACGCTGCGCCCTACCTGATCAAGTACTTCGATCTGCTCTCTGAACTTACTTACCCGCACGACCTGATCGACCTTGCGTTCCTTGTCGGCGACTCGACCGATGACACTTTGGCTGTTCTTTCTTCCGAGTTGAACAGGATCCAGCAAAGGACGGACAAGATCCCGTTCCACAGCGTGACCATCGTGGAGAAAGACTTTGGTTCAGCAGGTTTCAACATGGACGTCGAGTCGAGACACGGTTTCGCGGCGCAGGGACCTCGACGGAAAGCCATGGGTCGGGCGCGGAACTACTTGTTGTATTCGGCACTGAAGCCCGAACATGCCTGGGTATACTGGCGCGATGTGGATATCGTGGACAGCCCGAAAAAGATCATTGAGGATTTCGTCGCGCACGACAGAGACGTTTTGGTGCCAAGTGAGTCGAGCATTGTGCTCGAAACAGATTCACAGAGACTAATGGATGATAGATATCTGGTTCCACCGCTACGAAAATGGTCGCGACATCGAGGGTCGATTTGATTATAACTCGTGGATCGAGTCTGACAAGGGCCGCCGTCTGTCCAACAGTCTGGACAAGGACATCGTCCTAGCCGAGGGATATAAAGAGTACGACACGGGACGAACGTACATGGCTAGAATGGGCGATTGGAGAAACAACAAAGACGAAGAGATAGAGTTGGATGGAATTGGCGGTGTGAATATCTTGGTCAAAGCCGATGTGCACAGATCTGGTAAGTCTTGTATCATGTCCATCAATCTGGAGAGTGAGATTGCTGACTTTTGTATTTTCCTAGGCATCAACTTCCCCAGCTATGCGTTTGAGAATCAAGCCGAAACAGAGGGGTTCGCCAAAATGGCTAAACGGGCGGGATATCAAGTCGTTGGACTGCCGAATTATGTGGTTTGGGTAAGTCACCAATCTTCAGACGTTGGGCGCCAAATACTAATGTTGGTGTTTAGCATATTGATACGGAAGAAAAGCCGGGGAATGCGGGATAAACGTCGTTCATCGTTTTCTTCAGGGTACAGGAAAAAAAATGGGCGCGAGTACTCAAATGTCGATAACTTATCCTTTTTAGCTTATCTTTTGGAACTGGATGGGATGGTGCTCATGATGTCTTGACGAGCAAGGTTACTGGTGACGGTCACACCTTGTCTCGCGAGGCTGGCTTAGGTATACTAATACAAGTACCATATGGCCTTTAGCTTCCTGACTTGCTCATACCTGCATGCCGTGTAGTTGCGGTGACGAGGGTTGATACTGTCCCTGGGTTGTACTCACGTACAATGTCGTCCAAGAACGTGAAGGTGTTGACATCAAGCGACGAAGGAGTCAGTGAATACGGTGCCCCGAGCCTCTCCAAGGTGACTGGGAAAGGTATTGTGCAGCACCGAAGCAGAAATTATATCAAGGGAAAATATATGTGGCATATGTACTGCGTGTGTTTGTATACTGCGCTTCTTGCGCACTCTCGATAGATCTCACGATCCATCAGTATGCAACAAAATGCCCTCCGCTCACTCGTACTGCCAAATTGCCATCATCATATCGTCAAGTATCGCCGTATTGATCGTAACGCCATCGCTGGTAAAAATTCCCCCAAAAATGCATATAGATATAGACTGGGGTTTCGAGATTGGGCTTGCAAGAGCTTGTGGAACTGGTGTGCCGGCTATCGCGGCTGATTCCACCATTCCTGCATACCGCCATCAGCCGGCTGAGCGGGCGGCTGTCCAGTTGGAGCCTGGAAGCCGTACGGGTTGGACTGATACCCACCAAATGACTGTGGTGGTGGGTGCTGGGCAGAGTAGGGAGCCGGTCGAGAAGTGTCGCCCAGCTCAATCAGTTCGGCCATCATGCCTCCAGGCCTCTCGTTCTGGATCGGCTCAACGCTCTGATAGTGCGGGAGCTCGGCAGGAGTACTAAAAGCCCTAGACGCATGCGGATGAGGAGCAGTGGCCGGTGCTGCCAGTTCTGCCACGGGTGAGGGTCTCCCTGATGGTGCGTTGCTGGAAGTGTGACGGTCTGGCGTGTCGACACCACTTGCGTTGCGTAGGCTGCTGCTTCTGCTCACATTTGCGCCGGGAGATTGATGATCCTCCCAGTTCCGACGGGCCACTCTCAGAGGTTGTGGGAGGCCTTCATCCCAAGTTGTCCCGGTTTTGTGGCCTGTTAGGGGTCTCAAGTTTGAACCCGAGGTGACCTCGACGCTCAACCGTCGATTGTCGGTAACGGGTAACCGGGATCCGGGTCCGTCTTCGGTCTCCTGAGGCCGCCAGGCGCCACGAGCATCGCCTGCTTCTTGTTGATCCCGCAGAGTGAGAATAGGTCGATCGGTATCATCACCAAAGCTAGTTCCCCCAGTTCGCTGGATGTCCAACGACCGAGACTCGCGAGTTATCTTTCTTTGTTCGTCATAGTCGTCGCGCAGACCTTCCCATCGCTCATAGTTTTTCTGGCGTTGTTTGTCCCGCTTGTGTTTCATGAGGGTCTTATGCCCCATATAAATGGAACCGAAGATTAGGGAAGTCATGGCTGTACGTTATGCTTGTATCCCGTTTTTGGCCTGCGGTATCTGAAATAGATTGGTGAAGGTGGGGCTCGTTTACTGAGAGAGGAGGTCTTGAGCAAGAGATAAAGGAATGACGACTTTATGGTGCGAACTTTCTTGCGATACTGATGCGTCTGAAATATGTCTGCCTTGATGCAGAAACTGTGTGCGGTGTTATCGATGCAACAGGCAGTACTGTTCGATAGTCCCGAGGTTGGCGGTGAGCGGTTCGGAAAGTCGTGGCAAAAGTGGGCGGAAATCTGGAGGCAGATCAAGTACTGCGATAGGCCTTGTGATGGTATTTATGACCCGTAAGATATGATATGTGGTGGAAGGAAGCTTCGAGAGGCGAAAGACTGAGTTGAGTGATAAAGAGTCGTGCTGAAAGATTCCAAAGAGAGCAACACTGCCACCGAGGGGTTTATCAAACAAGTTAGTCCAGGCACTTCGTGGTCTTAACCTGGAAAGGGATCGAGTTTCGTGTTAGTTTTTGCTGCGCAACGCGATTGGGAGAGATTCGGCAGAAGATTATGCATGATGCTGTGTGTGATCTGTTAGTCTTGTTGATAAAGATCGGGTATGCCTTGATCTCTGTTACCTGGTCCGCTCTGCCCACCACAGCCCACCACCAGCACGATGATTTGATGACGATGAATGCGGCAGTACGAGAAATGCGAGACGATGAGGTCAGCACCGCCGCCCACGTCAGGTTGGCTATGGCCAGACACAGCCAGACCTGAACATTTTGACCATCCTCATTATTACACTTTAACCGGCACTCACCACCGATATAAGCCGATACAAACGCTTTGGAGCTGGATGGGGTTTGGCTTTCTGGTTGTGCGTTTGCGAGGTCGCTTCGACTGCGAGGGGTTTCATACAAATGGCGAAACGCTCTGCCACCTCCATAAAAGAGAGACCAACGGGTAAATCAGTAGAGTTAGAAACAGCATCTGCGTCTCGTGTATCGAATGTCAGATGCCAGGGCCTCCGTAGAGATAAGCCTTTCGATTCACCTGGAGTGTGCCGTGAATGATCCAGGCCCTCGGTGATGCTGTACAACGGCACCAGATGCAGGGACTCAGAGGCGTGGCAGTGGGCGGCTATGGGCGTCTTCCTTGTTGCTAATGTCACCCGGAACACGGAAGTGAGGGGGGACACTTTGCGGAGAAGCCAATTACTGTAGACTGCGCTTGTTTGAAAACGATGCTCAATCACATCAGGCCACTCACCAATCTTCGACATCAGCAACAATAATGTGTCCGCACAAAGACCAATATTGATCGATCAGTCAATATCATTTCCTATTCTTCTTGCCGTCTGGGAACCGAATGGCTCCCCCGCTCAGAGGCAGAGGCTCGAACTGGAGTCCTCGAGTAAGTCACAATCGTGGTCAGACTCATACAAAGCTCATATTCTACTAGACCTTGACTGCCCCCATTGCTGCCGTTGTCATGGCTGGACTCTTATATACCTACTCTGTGACCTCAATCCGAGCCGCAAAGAGAAATGCGAAGTTACATCGAGAAGCCGATGGAGGTCAGCTGGACATGCGACGTGAAAGCTTACGCAGGCACGGTGTTCTTGATCAGGTTGAAGGCACTTCCGACTTTCAACTCCTCAGAGATGCCAGAGCCAAAGATAAAGAAGAGTCTCAGATGCTAGGAGACAAGCAAGCCAGACCCTTGGGGTCGGCAATACAAGAGGAAGCTGGCGCACCACGGTCAGCCACCGAAGAAGTTCTTGAGCGCTACCGAGGACGCGGAGCCTTGAAAACTCTCAAGGACGAACGTCCTGAGGAATAAACCTGCTCCCTTCTGGACAGGCATGGCAGAGATCCAACAGTGGCAACGGAGTCAGGCACTCTAGGCCTTTCAATGGCACTGCAATCCTACACACGGCAACGTACTCAGTTGTTGCGGCAAGACGAGACAAATAAAGACTCTACGACCCAGGCATACTGCCGTGGCATTTCTAACGCCAATCGAAGCATGGCCGGATCTGATTGATAATCCCTGAAAAAGGCAGTCCATCTGGCAAGATTGCGATGCAGGGCTTTGCATAAAAAATCCTTTCTGGGCTAGTTGGCGGGAGTCTATCATGATTGCACAACTGACTCGACTCACTACTGTTATTGTGTTGCCCGGCACTGTGGCAGGGCGTTTTCCGAATGCCGGAGATGAAGTGACAAGGACGGCGATAAGATCGACTGTCATACGACGATGTTACCGCCAATAATGAGACTTGGACCAGTTTCCATGTACATTCGTACATTGGTACCAGTCAAACGCAGGGGAAATTTTTCTCGGACATTGCTGCTTGTGGAAAAGTTGCCCAGCGGATCGTGGATCATGCCGCTGATAATGCAACATTGACATTGATCGACGTCATTTTATCTTTTCGGCAAAAAACCATCGACTCGACTGACAAGGTACGAGGAACTGCACGAGATCATGCAAACCAGAGACTTGTACATCGGCAGTAGGACGTCAACAAGACTATGCGGAACAATTTAAAAGGCGCTATGAGGGACTTGACATCGCTGTACTTCTATCGAAACTTCTGGCGGTATGGAACCCGAATTATCTCCTGACCGTCAAAGGCAAAAAACGTGCAAAGCCTTGTCTGGCATACGAAGGATAAGGCTTTGCACGAATGACGTCGATGTCCTTTCGATCCACCAATCCACTGTGGGTTTTTGCAGTGTTGATATCGCTCCTCACAACCAGCAAAGCGCAGTGCCGGATGCTACGAGCCTCCAAATTTGTAAGGTATCATAATGACGTTGCATACCACCTGAGCAAAAAATATCACAAGAACCACAATATTCGCCTCGGCGTCCAAAACATAATATATCGCCGCGTTGCCCCGGATTGGAGTCTCCTTAAGATTTTGTATTTCCTTGCGTGGCTTATCGTGAACACTCTTTTAGCCATGGCAATCACAAACATGTTCCGCAGGAAGCCTGCTGCAGCAGACCAAGCCGATTCGACGGCTACGTCCACTACGGCGGCCGGTGAGATCAACAACGTCGAGGCGGAGAAAGGGCCTTTCAACGATGAATCCAAACTCCCGTTCATGACACTCAGGACCTTCTTTATGGCCGTTCTCGTCTCATTTGGTGGTCTCTGCTTTGGATACGATACAGGTCAAATCAGTGGTTTTCTAGAAATGAACGATTTCCTTAGCAATTTTGCCGACCAAAAGAATCCTCTCGCCTTCTCAAACGTTCGCTCGGGATTGATTGTTGGCATGCTGTCAATTGGCACACTGGTTGGCGCATTGATTGCAGGTCCCCTTGCAAACAACAAAATCCTTGGCCGAAAATATTCGATCTGCATCTGGTGTACCGTCTTTTGCATCGGCGTGATTATCCAAATCAGCTCGCTTGGTCCACGCTGGTATCAGGTCATGATTGGTCGTATCATCGCAGGTTTGGCCATCGGTGGTCTATCAGTGATGGTGCCCGCGTACCAGGGCGAATCGAGCCCTCGACATATTCGTGGCGCTATTGTCTGCTCTTATCAACTCTTCATCACGATCGGAATCTTGATTGCCAATCTCATCAACTTTGGCACGGAAAGCATCCACAACACAGCCTCGTGGCGTATACCCATGGGTATCGGATTCTTGTTTGCGATCACTCTCGGATTCGGTATACTCTTTTTCCCCGAAACACCTCGACACGACTATCGCCATGGAAAGATCGATAACGCTACGAACAGCATCGCCAAGTTCCACGGCGTGTCCGCCAGACACAGCGTTGTCAGGGATCAACTCATGGAAATGCAGGAGAAGTTCGAACTGGAGCAAGAGGGTGGAAAGCATCCTTGGTACGAGGTGCTTACCGGCCCAAGAATGTTCTACCGAACGATGCTTGGGATGGTCATCCAGGCTCTTCAGCAGCTGACTGGTGCGAATTACTTCTTTTACTACGGTACCACCGTCTTTGCCAGCGTCGGCCTGAGCAATTCCTATGTGACCCAGATCATTCTCGGTAAGTGAGAGGAACCCGCATTTATAAGACTTGCTAACAACTCCCAGGTGCTGTGAATGTCGGAACCACATTTCCCGGTCTGTACTTTGTCGAGAAGTTCGGCCGACGTAAATGTCTCATGATCGGAGCTGCATGGATGTTCATGTGCTTCGTGATCTTTGCATCATTGGGCCAGTTCGCTCTGAAGAACGGCGACGGCACCAACAATCAGGGCGTCGGGTATGCCATGATCATCTTTTCATGCTTGTTCATCGCCGCGTTCGCCTCGACATGGGGTCCGATGGCATGGGCAGTGACGTCTGAAATCTATCCTTCGCGATACCGATCTCAAGCTATAGCCATGTGCGCTGCAAGCAACTGGCTCTTCAACTTGTAAGCAACGAACCTCCTGTTTCTCCTTCACTCACTAACGTCCAATTCTAGTCTGATTGCATTCTTCACGCCCTTCATCACCGGCGACATCAATTTCGCCTACGGCTACGTCTTTGCAGGATGTAACTTGTTCGCCGTGTTCTTCGTGTACTTCTTCCTTCCCGAAACATCAGGTCGCTCTCTCGAGGAGATCGACACCATGTTCCTACTCGAAGTCAAGCCTTGGAACAGCGCAAAATGGGTCCCACCCAAGCCCGAGGATCTCATTACTGCCGACAAATTGCGATTGAATACCGGTGCTAGAGGCATCACGAAGAAGCAGGAAGCTGGCGGTGGTGAGACAGAACAGCAGGAAACGCTGATGACTCGATCGCAAGCTCAAAACGACTTGCCGCACGTCCCGATTGTGGAAGGGCCAGAATATCACCTCGGCGCCGGTGTCAGAGGGAACTCTTTCATCCGTGCACACTAAGATGCTACAAGGCTGACACGGGCTACCAATAATATCATATATGTTGGACAATGCGTTTTTAGATTTCCTTTCTTTGTTGTTTCTATTGACTTTCCTTTTTGTTTTCAGCCGCCCTGTGTGATACTTTTTACTAGTATGTCGTACTACGGGTTACTACCGTAACAACGATTTGTGTAGGTTAACGATCCGAGAAGAGAAACTCATACTGCAAAGGGCTTTTCTCAATCGATAGACCTCTTTTGGGATGAACCGGTGGCACGTTCATGCCTCGAGAGATCTATAGTGTTTGCAATGTCGGAACAACATGTCAACTTCGGATCATCTGCGCCGATGAAAAAGACATGCTGTTTCGGGATGAAGCGATGGAACGTCAAACAACACGATAACTTAGTGTGGTATGCACGTCCATAGTTCTCGAGATCTCCGAATGGCCTTTCATGAGGGTCGATTAGCGAGAGATCATAACAGTGCCCAAGCCACGCGCTGAAATTGCCTTACAGTACCTACTAGTAAGTAAAAGCACGAGAGTTTCGCCGTGACGTGGCATAAGCCAGACGGGTGAGCTGAACCTAGCTACGCCACCTACCACGTAGGTATCCTTATGAACGGCCTTGAACGGCAATACGGCCAAAGGAAAAGTCGACGTCCGCCTGACTTGTAGTAATAATTTCCCCGGCTTTGCATTTTCCGCCTCATCCTTGCGAATCGCGCCGTGATGGACGATCGATTTACTTCTTGAAGATCTCGTGATGGACACACTCTCCCCCCAGGAAAATGGCGTTTAGCGAATCCCCCTCTTTTCGGCCCGATTTTCCTCAACAAGCACGAGCACCCTCTTCACCGTGCCATATTCCGCTGATGGAACGAGCAGCCGCCATGTAAACTCTAAGGATGTCCAAAGAGAAGTCTGGACGCGACGCTGGATTGTTAGTTCCCCCACTACCCTTGCGGCATTCTACTACCTGTGGCTACTGTCCTTGGCCTGTCTTCCTTCGTCCCGTCATCCAGCACGAGCTCACTTACATTTCTGTTTCTTTCCAAGTCCCCATCCCCTTCACTTACCTATATGGATGGCCATCTTACCACTGTAAACCCTATGCCAGCAGCACCTGCAGTCGTTCGCGCTTCCCGGCCATGACTCAATCGATCGCATGTCGGAAATTGAATCCCGTATGATAGGCGCAACAGAACAGTGCGAGGCAGGAGGCAACATTGAGTTACCATTCCGACCATGGTTCCTGACAGAGGACCTGACACGTTGGCAGCCACGGTTGTCGTCACGGTCATAGCCACCATATTTGTCGCTGCTCGCTTCTACACCAGAATATGGCTCATCGGATCAATCAAACAGGATGACTGGTGGATTTTCGCGGCCTGGATAGTCGCGGTGGCATTTTCTACTTCGATATGCGTAGGCGTCAAATATGGGCTCGGCAAACACAAGGTCGACATACCCGACGATGATTTTGTATCCTTGCGCAAGGCCGAATACGCGTTCTCCATTCTCTACAATCCGGCCATCATGCTCACCAAGACGTCAATTGTGTCCTTCTTTCTGCATGTCATGTCCAGGGATGTTGACCCTGTGTTCAAGTGGTGCAATTGGTTGACCCTGCTCCTGGTCAACGCGGTCGGAACTGCTCTCACTTTTTATAACATCTTTCAGTGTCGACCGGTCGCTGCAGGATATCAGTATCCTACTCCAGCAGGCGCGAAATGCAGCGACATTTTCAATCTGTATCTGTCATCGGCTCCTGTGAACATTATCACCGACATCGCAATACTCATCCTGCCGATGCCTATCTTGACGAAGATGCGATTACCCCGCAAGCAGAAGATCATCCTGGTCCTGACTTTCAGTGCCGGTGTCTTTGTCGCAGTGGTCGACGTTATTCGCATTGCGTATTTGCAGGATGCAGCTCTGGACCGTCTTAAAGTGGTCAAAAGCAACGGCCAATCTACTCGTATTGTTGAGGAGAATGATTTTTCTTGGTACGCAAGTCCAAGTTTCATGTGGTCGGCCGTCGAGGTCTGCATTGGAATCAGCTGCGCATGCGTTCCGAGCTTGAAACCACTCTTCCTGCGGTTCATGCCACTCCTGATCAAGGACGAAGGAGACAGTCAAACACAAAATGGCAGCGTTGACCTGACAAGGACCAATCAATCTGCGATTTCCAACTTGCCCAAGGGTAACGTCTCGATGCTCAACCATCCTGCCGCGTTCCACAAGCCGAGTACCCCAGAATATTGCGGGGAGGATGATGGTGACCAAATGGGGTTCTTGAATATGCTCGCCAAAACGCCATCGAATGACATGCTGGGTCTTGAACGTACCTCGACCAGGCGCTCGCGGAGGAGTGTCGCGAAAACCACCGCATCAGACTTCAAATTCGTCAACATGTCCAAAAGAAACATGCTCAAGCTCTCGAACAAGCAAAGCATATGGCCGAACGCTGTTGTCACTGTGATCTTCTTTCTCTGGGGTTTTGCGTATGGCCTCCTCGACACACTGAATTCCCGGTTTGAGCAGGTTGCAAAACTATCCAGTGCCCAAGGGTTGGGCCTCCATGCTGCCTATTACGGCGGATATCTGATCGGCCCATTAACATTGGGACGTTTCATCCTGAAAAGATACGGCTTCAAAGCTTCAATGATTGCCGGACTTTTTGTATATGGCTGCGGAACCTTGGTATTTTGGCCGTCCGCAGTTCTGACATCTTATGGTGCGTTTCTCGTTTCCAACCTCATTGTGGGATATGGACTTTCATGTTTGGAGATCGCCGCGAACCCATATATCGCCCTATGCGGACCATTGGAATATGCCGAAGTGCGTTTGAACCTGGCACAAGCTTTTCAGGCGATTGGCACAGTCTGCTCCCCTCTTCTGGCGACGAAGGTTTTGTTCAAAAACGTACTCGACGCCCCTTCGCTTATCGATGTGCAGTGGACTTACCTGGGCATTGCGCTTTTCGACTTTGCTTTAGCCGTCATTTTCTATTACATTCCTCTTCCAGAAGCAACTGAGGAACAACTGGACGAACAGGCGGATCGACGAAGCGCAGCATACAGCGCTACTGTTGGTCCATGGAAGGTCACATATGTAACGCTTGGGATAGGAGTATTCAGTCAGTTCTGCTATGTTGGTCTCCAGGAATGCGTTGGCAACAATATCGAACCCTTGATCAGCTTGGTGAAACCACATTCGGGGCTTGAGCCATTCACGTATCAGACGCTTGGACACACAGTGTTTATGGCTGGTCGATTTTTGACGGCCCTCCTCAACTTCCTTTTCAAACCTAGGTCGGTGTTGTTGGTCCTGTATGTCGGTCTTGTCGTGTGTTTAGCGCTCCAGATGCATCTCAGCGCAGATGGCGGAGCAGTTGTTGCACTACTCACTTTTTTCGTGGAAGCGGGCATCTTCGCCAACACCTTTGCCTCGAGTATGCGTGGGTTGGGAGTTCACACGAAAACTGGATCTGCACTCATGACATCGGCCATCTCGGGCGGGGGAGTTTTCCCTCCCATTGCATGGGCTGTGAGCAAAGGCCATGGGTTGAAGTACTCGTACTGCGTTCCCCTGGCTGGAGCTGTTTTTGGGATGTTCTTCCCAATCTATTTGGCTTTGGTACCGGCTGCCAAGGTCCAAGTAGACCCGGTCCATGATAGGCGGATGGATTCGAGGTTACCAGATTTCTCCGATCAACCCGGCACAAATTCGAGTCTCGAATCCCGCGCCCAGCAATATGGCGTTGCAGGCATGATCGCAAGACGCAAGAACCGTAAAGAAGGGAACGGGGATTCGGCTCATGCCACGACTGAACATCTGGAAAAGCCTGTGAGAAAAGGTCGAAGTTCAAGATCAGGGCTTCCTGTGTTTGTGGTGGATTTTGCCGACGACAAAATTCGGGAGATTAGCCCCGCGCCAGAAAGTCCAACGGCAGCACCAGTCGACTCGAGGCCGGCCAAGGGATACGTTGCAGCACTTGCATTGTGGCCTCAAGGCGAAGGCGAAGCTGGAAGTCATGCGGGGACCTCGAATTTCGACAATGCCGCGAGAGATGATGCTGACATCGCTATTGGCCAGCGTCGACCTGTTTGGGAAGGTGGTGGTGAGGCTGATGAAGATCCAGACGACTATCATGCCATCGTGAGAAAGATATAAAAGCACACGACAAAAGTTAGGCGTGGTCATCTTGTCAGTGGTGATTTGCTGCGTTCAAGCGTTGTTGTAGCGTATTATTAGTAGCATGTATACCCGGGGTGAATTCATCGAATCAGCATACTTCCAATCATGGTCTGTTCGATTGCTGTCAATGTCTCGACGAGTGGCTGATAATTCACATCGTTGAGTCTGCGTACATCAGAGAACAATTGCTCCGGAAGGATCAGAATTAGTGAGTTGAAATGCCACTCGACATGGGCCCTGCCAGTGTACTTTGCATGGTCCCGTCGTGGCATGCTACTGTAGATCTGCAGATGTGGACCGGAGGAGCTGACGGCCCGCTCCAGCTACCAAAGTCCTCATGTTATAGACAATCAACGGGAAACAGAATCTTCTGAGACTGCGGTATGGGATTGCTGGCATCTTGTCTCCTTCTCTTTTAAGAAGATCGTCAAGTCATTCAAATGGACTGGGCGAGTACGCCGGTTCTGTCTGAAGCGAGAAGGAATCAAGCCGGGGTTTTCAACTTGGTCCTTTGTGCGCGCAGGTATCGCTCTCAAGGCAATGCAGGTCGAGTCAGGCACACAGGCTACCGAATAGGATCCATGGACGGTGGTGAGGGAGGGATCGGAGTTGCAAAGATTTTCTTTTCGCCTGGATCTGCCGTCTTGATTCCTGCAGCCACTTGGGCGGACAGGTCGCGGTGGTACCTGCATGGCACGTGGATATGCCAGTTTATTGGTTGGGCATCGTTTCGGACAGCAGGACACAGACGTATGGTGGCTGGTAACGACGTCTAGAGGTCGGTCAACGTTGGCTTTGGCTCTTGGGCACTTGAAGGATAAGAGAGAGTGAACAGTCTGAGGGTGGTCCTGTACGCTTGCTGCTTGCTCTTCACATTGTCAAAGGATGTGTTGGAGGCATTGTGTCTATAAGGAGAAGGTGCAATCGTGACAACGACTAATTGGATAGAGTGCGGGTGTACCTGAATTACGCCACGTTAGAGCCTTGGACCTCTGGACGAATCGCTTTAGGCACCGGGCGCCCAACGACGGCTCCCCGGAAAGCCACTGCCCCATTCCCCTGTTCCTGAACTCTGTGCATCCCAGTTCTCATTGGAACGGTCAATGTCCCTGTCTCTGCCGAATCTCTGTCAACCCCTTGGCCATTGGGGCCACAAAGAGGGTTGCATTTTTCACACCGACAGACAGATATTGACAGGGCGACATGCAAGGAGATGGAGAAGGAATCCATTCGTTACTGCGAGGCAGGAATGGGAATGGACATCGCGACTCCTGGAACTGGAGCCTCTTCTGCACCTACATGAAAAGGCCGCTTTTGGCCAGGCTCTGCTTTATCCGTAGCCTTCTTCCACCCTCTCATCATCATTGTTCTCTTCCATCCATTCTTTGTCTGCAAGCACCAGAAATTCTTCCATTCCTTTTCTCTGCTCACTCCGTCGTTCTTTGTTCGCCCATCCGGCATCTGGTTATATCTAGCCTCCGTTCTTTCTTCTCCCGGACCGCCTCTATCTCCTCCAACGCATTTATTTTGAGGACTCGACGTCTCTCGCTTTCCCACGGTCTTTTCGCTCTACCAAGCTTGTCATCACCACATCAAGCTCGACGCTCCTTCCAACACTCATTTCTCGTTACCCAACTGTAGAGCAAGATCTCCAGATTCATCACGATGGCCGCCTTCAGCATCATCGTCATTGTCGCAGCATCGCTGCTCGCTCCTTTCACCATGGCTGCTCCAGCTTACACTCATACCGCCACAGAAATCGATTGGGTAACCGTCGAAGAGACTGTCACTGTTTGGCTTGATCCGGCCTCTGCCACTTCGCCTCCTGTTGTCGTTGCCGAGACCACCACGGCTGTCGCAACCACCACCACAACACCGGCTGTCATGGCCCAAGCTACTTATACCACTCCTTCTTCAGTTGAGACTGCCGTGGCCGCAACACCCACAGTCGCCGTCTCTTCATCTGCCGCTGTTGTTCCTTCTTCGCCGTCTCCAGTCGCATCATCAACTTCCTCAGCCGCCGCCGCCGCTTCTTCTGCTGTCAGCGCCAGCAGCATTTCTGCATCTACTAGCGCCGACTGCGAGGGTGAAGGCGATGCCTGCGTTGGCGACGTCACCCATTGGGACGGTGGTCTCGGCGCTTGCGGCTGGAGCGTCGACACCAACAGCGATCTAGAAATCGCCCTGCCCTACGAATTCATGGGCACTCTCTCCAACACCAACCCATACTGTGGCCGCTCCGTTACTCTGTACAACCCTACCTCGGGTACCACCGTTCAGGCCACCGTTGGCGACAAGTGCATGGGCTGTGTTGACCGCGCCATCGATTGTACCGATGCCCTCTTTACCGCCATCACTGATGGTACTGGTGACGGGCGTGTCAGCGGTATTGAATGGTGGTTGAACTAGACCATCTACCGGAAAAGTGAATCTGAGACTTTTGACAAGTCGATCGCTAAGATGCATGAACTTGAACATACATGCTTCTGGAAAGCTGGATGAAGAGTAAACAAGACAAAAGGCCCCTGGGGAATCTCAATCATTGCACTCAGCCAGGTCGCTGAGTTGATGATGGAAGTTTTCCAGGGGAAAACGAATATCACGAAAAGATGAAAAAGCGTCAGGATACCAAACCTTGCATGCGTGGCATGTCCAAGAAACTCGCAGATTTCGGGCAGCATGAGCATAGGAGTATCTTCTTGCATAGCCATATCGATGCATCATCGTGGACTGGCAATTTCGGGTACATATATTGGATCTTTCTGGATAGAAAGTCTTGAGACACTCTCAAGCGAAACACAGAAATCAAAAAGGACATACAAAACAGATCTTACCTCAATTTCTCTTCCTGCTCTTGATGACGTTGTGATGATTCGAGCCGACGTCGTCGAGCGATGCTTCCTCTCACACTGCGACAGCCGTCGTTGCACCATTTGGCGAGGAAGAGATAGGCGAGAGTAAATCTGCTGAGCATTCGGCAGCCTAGGGTGAGCTCCACTGAAGGAATACACGTCTTGAAAAGGTTGTAGAATGTATAAACATCATCGTATGTGTCTGACCCATAAAGCAGAAAGACCGTGACAGTTCCAAATCTGAGTGAGATGAGATGGTAGCAAGCCGTAGAGTTCCTGGAAGAGGTTGGAGAACATTTAAATCGTAAATATAGTCCTCTCGAAAGTCAAAATAACCTCAATACGTCGACTTCTCAAGACCGAGATCTTACATGTTACGAGTCGAAAAGAGTAACACAATCCAATTCTTATTTCAGAGATTCCCATCATTGGTACAAATTATACATTTTTATCTCTCAAGACTAGACCGTGCAGTAGACGTGGCTCACACTCAAAGTCCTCGACTCCCACCAGCTCTATCAGCCCTGGGTATCCTTCCGACCTTCCTTGCCCGACCCTTCTGTCCGGGAGGCGCAAACTTCGAATACGTCCGCTTTGTCCTTGCGCCTTTCGTGTGGATCCCGGTCTCGGACGACGAGAGCTGGGCCTCCCACTCCTTCAAGGTAGCCAGTTCCTCGGCTGTAAGATCCTCATCTTCATCTTCACCCTCAGCCTCGTACTCAATTTTCTTCTCCTGGGCGACTGAGACTGGTCTGCTGACCGTTCGTTGCTCGACCGATTTGCTGACAGGTGCTGGCGCACTTGTAGTAGCACGCTCTTTCCTCCGCAAGACAGGCTCGATTTGACTCTCATCAAAATCATCGAATGTGAACGTCTCGACGCGCGAGGAGGTTTGGTCAGCATGTGCCGCATTGGTTGCTGCTCTGGCTTTCGTCTTCCGTGCAGCAGGTCTAACCCTTCCACCAACAGGCAGATCATCAAGATCGTCCTCGTCGAACATTCTTTCAATCTCCCTCTCTTCTTCAGCCTCCTCGAGCTTCTCCTGCTCCATCTTCTCCATCAAGTCCTCCGCTTGAGCTTTAATCCGTTCAGAACGGCTTTTAGCCCGATTTGCCTCCTTCGTATCCGGCCCTCCAAGTTTCAAGGTTCGCGGGATTCGGCTTTTAGCACCTAATGCCCATAGATCGCCCCACCTTGACTTCCTGGCATCACGATACGCTTGCTTGCCAAAGGATTTCGGCACGGTCCAGCGCTCGATTGTCCCAGCAGGCGTGCAGACATCCAGAATGATGTGTCCTCGGCGTTTCATGGGCGAAAAGACCAATCGTGGGAGATTCCATGGTGCGGGAAGCGAAGATCGTGCTTTGCCATCAGCAAAAGACGTCGACTTTGTCAATTTGGTGTCAGGATCGATGCCGTCGAAGCCCTTCTGGCATAGTTGCAGCCATGTCTCGTAGTCCTCGCCCAAGAGCTCGGGCTCAGGATGGGTAGGTGCAGAAAGACCATCTGCGAGTTGTTCCCACGATGCGATCTGACGGGTTCGAAGATCCTTGCCTTTCATCACGGATATATAAGAAAAGTCCACGTCGTCGAAATTGCGATCCTTAGCGCCGAGAATCCGCTGAAGGTAGTTCGGCCGGTAATATCGCTGCTGGAAACTGCAGTAATCCTTACGACCCTTCGATACGCCTGGGATATGGTACATAGGGCATTGCTCGTGATTCGTGCATGGAGCGACAATCATGCCAGGTTCCGGGGTATGAAGTTCGTCCGTTTCGTGACCAGCACTGTAGTTCGTACTATGCCCTTCGGGCACGGCGATGTGTCTCTCGAGAAGGAGTTCGCGAGCACCAGCGACAGCCTCGAAGCCCCGAGGGACGCCCTTCTCAATGAGGATCAAAACGCCACCTTCAGGACTGAGCATGGACCAAAGGTTCTGAACGTGTTGCTTTCTCAAAAACTCTTCGTTCAATCCCAAGAGCGAATGTGTCGCAATGATCACATCGAATTGTTTGCGCTGCTGAGCCGGGCGGTCGTCTTCCAACGTAGGCGTGTCGCGGGTATGTACGTAATCAGGAAGTCGAGGAATGAAAGTGGTGTTCTCCAGTAAGGCAGCTGCTCTGTGTCTCAACGCATCCGAGCCTGTAAGCACCACCGCCTTCGACGTTGGTGGCGGAGGAGGATCTCGGTCCGAATCATGCATAGCATCGCAGTGAGCCTGGGCCACCTCACGCCAGGCAAGAATACCTGCACCTCCCGCTCCAACGTCAAGAACACGAGGCCCACCTTCTTTGGCAAATAGGTTGTTGAACCACGTCGTTCCCAGACGTTTTCGTGTCTCCACCAACACTGACATGATTGAAGCGTAAGTCGGGGGCATGATCGTGGTAAGGAAAGCGTTCGCTTCCATTTCACCCATGTGGTGATGAGAAGCATCCAAGGGGATAGGAACCTGCGGTCTTGTACGGCCCGATCTGGGTGTCAGAGGAGAGTCTGGAAGTCCTGGTCCTCCGAATGTCTTCTCACACATCTCTTTCAAGTGCTTGTTCGAGAAGGCGCTCATGATCTTGTTTACCGGACGAACGAAGTTTTCTTGTGACAGGAGTATAGTGCCGGGATTGGTCGCGAACTTCCCCAGCCTGGTATAAGGGTGCACCTTACTATCAGCTTGCTCCTCTTCGAAGTCCTCCGACGCGTAGTCGTCCAATATCTCCCCGTCCAAAGCTCGTGCAACGGCAAGAGCCCGTTCAGCTGGCGAAGACAAAAGGGCAGGTGTCATCTCGCCACGGTCTGCGAAAGTGATATCTCCATGAACAGCCTGCGGAGGGTCAGGCACACCGCCTTCATCTTCGAGTGTCTCCTCTGGTACCACATGCTCTTCATAATCGATCACCTCGCCGTCCTGATCGTACAATCGACTCTGCCCTTCAGCGAGCACCTCACTTGCCTCCTCTTCATCCAGAAACTCTTCGTAAGAAGGCGAGACAGGATCACCGTACAAGCGTTTGTATATCTTGAGTTCACTCTCATTCAAAGCATTTCCCGGCAGTCGATCACCATATGTCTTTCGTGCCTCTCGTACCACATCTTCTTGCGAGGCCCCCGAATCCCTCAAGTCCGCTAGTATATCGGTTGTACCATGTGCTAATTGCGCAGTATATTCGGGTGGTAATTCGTCACCAAGTTCTTCCTCGGCTTGTTGGCCAAACGCCCGGTCTTCCTCAATTGCTACCTCGATCGGTCGCCCTAGTGCTTTCTCCAGGTCTTGCAATGCTTCGATCTGATCCTGCAAGGGTTCGGCGCTCGAGGCATGTTCATCAGCCTCCAAGGCCGGTTCGTTTCGCTGTGAAGCAGCATCATTGTGCTGAGGTCGTTGCGAGCTGACGGCAGCCCTCGTAAAATATCTGAGTTGCCACGATTTCGACTTTTGCCGCCATTGAAGGGGTAGTTCTCGAGTTCTCAGGCTGACCGTCGGCCCGCAAAATCCTCTTTCCAACAAAAGTTGAAGATCCTGTCGACAGCCACGGCAGAGCCCAGATGATCGAGTGCGAGACAGCATCCTCAGCAACCCGATACTCCTGCCTATGCGTACTGGCGAGACGATCCTGGAGACATGGAACAAAATAAAAATGTACAACCCTTTTAGCGCAGTCTGAAGGCCCACATTAAGCCCGCATTGAGTCCGTCCAATGGCGACTGTTCAATTTCGGACGCTTCTACAAGTAACAATACTGCTCGGACGCCACGATGAACAACCACCGGCTTTGCAAAGTCTCAGGATCAATGTACTATAGTATTTTGCGCTAAATCTTGTCCTCGAAGCAGCGAGGGCCGTAGCATGAACATGCTACCTATACAACAGTGCGTTGACTGGTACCAACGCATTCATAAGTATTCGCGGGTCTTCCTCGAGGCAGCATGTGCGGACATATGTGCTTGTGCAAGCATATTCATTCCTTCAGTCACCCTCCCAAGCACACTTTCAGCCCACAGGACTCCACGGCATTGGAATCAGGATCTTGCTCTTCATCGTCTGGATGAGTGGCACAGTCTTGTGGACGGTATCAGACCAACCTTCCACTCCCCAAGATTGCTCTCGATTCAACTTCCGCTCCTCAAGATCCGCAAACTGCCATAAGTGGTGGACGGTATTCAGATCTCCTATCTGTACGAACCATGCTCCAACGCCTTCCATGACTTCCCTTCGCGCTTTCAGTCCAGTCCTCCAGTGCGTTTCCCATTCCAATAAGTTACCGGGATGCAGGGTGTACGATCGCAGCTCGAATAGTCCACCAAGTTTTCGTGGTGGAGTTGTCGGCCAGAATGAGAATTCCTGCATAAGCGATACCTTTTTAGAATTGATGAGCGTCTTTAGCTTCTTGTCAAAGGCAGGAAACTCTGGGTGATGTGAAATGTTGTGCAGAGAGCCATGATATCCAGTGTAGCGCTGATATTCCCAAATGTGTACTATGATCACGTTAGCTTGCTGCTATTAGTAGCTGGAATGAGCTGCTGTAGACGTACCAAAAGTGTCGCAGTCGCCAACTTCCGTCCTCCAGCTACCGACCAGATGGACCTTGTTTGCCGGATCGTTGGCCATTTTGGGGTACCAACTACCGACCAGCTCGACATATTCATCGACCTTATCGGGTTTGACGTCGTGGAAGACAATCGAGTGGACGTATTTGCCGCGAGCGAGTACCTGCGAGAACGATCTCTCCATCTCTTTGTCCATCTCTTGACCTTCCTTTGTGCCGTAGATCAGACTGCTGAGCGTGCCGCTGCGCTTGGTAGTGGTATCTGTTTCGGATTGCCGTGCCTCTTCTGCGCGAGGAGCAGTAGAGAGTGAGCCCAGGCCAAGGGATTCAAAGACAGCAGAGGAGCTAGGGGGTTCAGAAGACGAAGTGACAGTATGGGACTGACTTTCAGCTAGATCCTTTCTCTTTTTCGCCGACTCAAGTCCATCTCGAAATTCCTTTTGTTTGCTTTCAAAAGCACCGGCGCCTTCAGGCGTAATATCGCCCAAGCCTGGCGAGCGAGCTGGTTCTTTACATAGTGCAGAGGTGGTGAAGGCGCGAAAAAGGCTGGAAGCTTGGTGGGAGGAGAGGGGTAACCGTCGGGCAAGCATGGCTGTACGGTCGGGTACGATGTAAACAAGTCAGAAGGGCTTGCGCGAGGCTCAAACAGAGTGCAGAGCCTGCTGAAAATCAGTCGTATAGAGCTTGTGTGCGGTCTGTTGTGGTTTTTGGTAGGGGTGAGGAAAGGAGTCAAGATTCGAGGCACACGCGAGCAGCGAGAGAAGTACTTGTGTAGGTACTAAGCTGGGGAAATGCCGAATGGTCGAGGATTGCGGGCAGTCTTTGTGGCGCTGTGTGGGATGGCAGGGATGGTGTTGGTGAATCCCCAGGTGTGATTGGAAGTGCGCTGGAGTTGAAAGAAGGAGAAACGAGGAAACCGCGACGTCAGCGAAGTCCGGAGTCGACCTGGGCACACCTGGGCAGAGTTTAGCGCAGTTTGGGGGATCCATTGACTTTGCGGGGGCACAGCTGCCCATTTCTCTAGGCGTTTGCCCTCGGCGTCTCATGACGGGCTGTTCTCAATCGCTACAGTATTGCACATCCGCACCACGAAACCCAACCCCGCGCTACGGCCTAACACAACTGGAAGCCTCTCTGCGCATGTCCTAGACTGGCGCATTGTTCTGCAAAGGCTTCACGCATTCACATCTTTGCCACGCTCTTCGTTCATCTCGTGGAAGAAAAGATGTCTGATTCTCACCACCCACCTCTCAACTATGAGGCGTCGGCGACCACCACACACCCTGTCGTCTCCTCAACACTACCGCCGGAAGTATCGCAATGCTTGAAGAATGCCCGATTCCTACATTTGGCGACGATATCTGCCACTCAAAGCTCTCTACCCACACCGCATGTCTCTTTAATGAACTACACATTCCTTCCCAGCTATCTCGAACATGGACCGGTCATCATCATGACCACCAACGCCCAGTCGATCAAGACACAAAACCTGTTGCACAACCCCAAGGTCTCGATTCTGGTACATGACTGGGTCTCACATAGACCACCAACTGCAGCTTCGGTCATGGGTGAGCGATCCGGAAGTCCACCTGCAGCCGCCGCGAGATCAAGTTTAGCCAGTCTGCTATTGAACTTGAACACATCAGCCTTGAGTTCAATATCTACCACGATCGCCGGCGAGGCTCGGTTTCTAGAAGAGGGTAGTGAAGAAGAGAAATGGTGCAAACAAACACATTTGGCCAACAACACGTTCGGAGATTCAGCCCAAGGAGAGTCTAGCTTTTTCGGCACACAACCAGCGGAAGAGAACAAGGAGAACAGCAGTTGTTATATCGCAGGCGACGATGTAAGGGTAGTTATCGTGCCGATCCGCGAGGGAAGAATAGCAGATTGGAAAGGAGGAGTCAAGGATTGGATACTGGTCGACGATGACGAGCCATCCACCTCCAACACGCACGACACATCGATCGATAATCGAGGTCGCAGTGGTGAGCAACCATTAGTCAATGGCATCATCAATTGAGACCGCACTGTCATTTCGACTACCATGTCTCTTAAGATAAGGCACAGATATCATTGCTGAGTTAAGGCTGTTTGCGCTGGCGAAGGTCTCACGCCACACATCTTCCAGAAGATGTCTGACCCATATGTCGTCCATTATCTCACACCTTCAACTCTATCTGGGGTCCAAGCAGAACGCCGTTATCATAATGCCTGCGCTTTTCCAATCGAGGCTGGAACCAAAGAAAATCGCTGAACAACGCAAATTCGCCGACAGCAATGTGACGACCAAAAACAAGGCTGAGCGAGGGTATTTACAGATGGATGAAAAGGGCTGGAGGAACCAGAAAGAATAACACCGACCCAAACAGACTGTCTGCAGTGGTCGAATGCTGCCAGGGCGGAGATTGGCTGTGGTGCTCTTTCACATGACTGTGCATTTCGAGTCTTCTTTCGATCGAGCAGGTTTTACTTGGAGGGCGACTCTGGCTGCTTCTGTGAAAGCTTCGTTGACACCACGATTTCGCATGGCTGAGCATTCTGCACAATAGTTAGGTGCTGTTGTATCATAACACACACTTCCGAGTGTACCATACCCAGGTATCGTAGGGCGCCAATCTTTCTGGCCACCTCTAGGCCCTCGTTATATTGAATCATCGGTCTTGAGGGAGCGGTGGGTTCATCTTCCTCCTTCTCGTGCTCTTCCCTCAGATCACACTTCAATGCGCACAACACAATCTTGACGCCAGGACAGTGTTCATTGATTTCAGCAATCCATTTCGTACCGACGTTTTCCAAGGATCCTTTGTTGTCAACCTGTATAAAGACATGGTCAGCTCTGATCGACTCATCCGTAGCAGCCTTGGGCAATGAGCGGCATACGCTGAAGCATAGCATTATCGCCTGCGTGTCGTCGTAGGACAATGATCGCAACCTATCGAATTCTTCTTGTCCCGCCGTATCCCAGAGTGACAATTCCATATGTATATTATCGACGAAGATATCGTGGACATAGTTCTCGAATACCGTTGGCTCGTAAACGGTCTGGACGTATCAGGCTGTGTTAGCAAATGCGAACATGGCAGCACCGACATTGTTTGGGCCATCACGAACCGGGAAGAAGCCTCGCGTAAAGACATTCAATAGACTCGTTTTGCCGCAAGCGCCATCTCCTAGTAGGACCAGCTTGCGCTGAACGACCTTGTTTCCGCCGCAGAGAGGCATCGAGGGCAAGATTGATTGCGATCGTTTATTGTTTATTTCGTACCAGGCCCAAAATGTTTACCTCGGATGTGAGGATGCGAGGTAATAAAAGGAGCGAGGTCCGCAGACGATGCAGATGGGAGTAATGATTGGGATTGAAGGATACGAGTATGTTGCCAGGAAAAGACTGGAGAAAAAGCAGGGTCGACTGGTTGAAACTATGAATATACCAGATCAAGAGATAATCGAGTGTAGATCCGGAGGAGTCGTTGACGCAGCTGAAAGAGGCGCGAGAGGTCCTTCTGGCGAGTGGCAGGTGCGGATTCGGCGGGCGCGGGCGCGGGCGCATGTGTTTGTTGGAAAAGCGGAGCACCGACTTAGCCTGCGCCTGGGCCCTGAACAATACTGCCAGTGGAATAGCGACGGTGGAGGGACAAACTCTACGGAGTACAAGTACTGCGGCTGAGAAAAGGTGTGCCAACCATCAGCTTCACTCAATACTTTTCGATCCGCCTTTGCCGTTATGCGAGTCCGGAGCATTGAGACACTGACCAGTATCCCAGGCGATTGGCACGACAGCAAGTGACATTTTTGTCTCCTTGCCTTGGTCATGCCATCCCCGATACTTGCTTTGAGGAATCTTCGCCTGTAGGATACCCGTTTCCATTCTTGTGAGAGACTGGGCAGAATTCGACCACCTTCACCTCGTTGCATTGACCAAATTAGATATCTTTTTCAATGAACGGAGTATTGCGCGGCCGGATACTGATTTCTACATATGTACAAGTGAGTCAGCGGAGAGGGGTCTTGTGAGATCCTTGAGTAAGCTGCCAGCGTCGAACATCCAATGCATGCAAGGCTGTCCGTCCAACTCCGGCCACCATATAATATACGTGGTCATGAGGCTATGCAGCGACATTCAGGCCAACAAAGGCCATAAGATTGGCGCAACGCGGTCCACTATAAATAGCAAGATATCCTCTGGTTGACCATGGGCAACTCAGAGTCTGGTGTCTTAGTGAGAAATGGGCTTCTGGAGTTTGCACGTTTTCGGCTTGCACAGAAGCGATTCAAACACCCTCGCAGTACCTATCAGGGATATCAAAAAACCCGACCGATCGGAACAGGTGCAAGGGCTCTGTTCATACAGAAATGGTCACGGCACAGTCATGCGGAAGCCACTTCATCTCCAGCCTGGGTGGCAGAAAATGATGGACCGATAGTCAGGTTGTTAGGTGGGCAAAAACGTATTTCTGCTTCGATCGACATGGCATTGACCTCGATCAGATCGTGAGCGTTGAGAAGGACAGGCACCACCATGGTCATTTGAAACCTTTCGCTCATTCAATGGTATTGGAAGTGTCCTTTTCGCATTCAACCCTTCTGCCAGATATCAGAGAGTGCACAGCCTATGGCACACGCGTGACTCTCGATTTGAGCAAATATGTCAGTTGACGACGCCTTGACCGTGCAATGGAATATTTCTTCAACATGAACCACACCAACTCATTCCCGTCTATTCCTCAGCAATGTTGCCCCGCTCACTGACATAAAGACCGTCCAAGAACTTTCGGATATCCTTGTTTCGTACTCTGCAGATTTGTTGAATATCGGCTGCGCCCTGGGAGACACTCTCGAGGCTGTTGCCGGTGATTTCGATTTGATCCTTGACGTTCTTGGATGCCTCGACTGTGACACCATCGGCCATTGTGACGTGACGGACGATCTTCTCGCCCAAGAAGTTTCTGCAACAATCATAACATCAGCATTCGTTCGAGTATTGCGTATATGCCCCAGTTGTCTGGAATATGCCAATGCCTACCTGATTTCTAGATGGAAGTGGCCCTCATCGTTCTTCTCAATGTTGACGTTGATGGGGAAATGGGCATAGACGTATCGCATCTTGTACTTGTAGCCCTTGGTAACACCGATGACCAAGTTTTGAATGATGGACTTCACAGTTCGGAGGGTTGCGACATTCTTTCTCGAGCCATGGTGGATTTCGATGTGTACGAGTTGCTGGCCTTCTGTGTCCTTGGGAAGGGAGAAGGTGACGGCGATGTGTGAAAGATCCTTGGTGAGTTTGCCTGTAGAAGCACAGCGTCAGTCAAATCTTCCTGCTTTTGTTTCGTGCGCCATTGCTGATTGAGCGTATGTTCGGGTCGATTTCGTACCTCGAGGACCTTCGACGGTGACAATTCGAGATCTAATATGGATCTTGACGTCCTCTGGGATGACCAGCTGCTCTTGCGAAAAGATGTACTTCATCTTGAGCAGTGGTGTCGATGGTTGTTTGCGCAAACACTGGTTTCGAGTGGTCGTCGAGTTGAAAGTCCAAATTGCATGCCAGCTTCTTGCCAAGACTCCAAATTCTGTGCGAAATCTTGTAGCTTGGCAAGAAATCGTGCAGGACAGTTGCTATTGGCTGAAACCCCTCAGCCTTGCTGAGCCCCTCACGAGGCTGCGAGACCCAACCACGAAATAACCAGTTTCTTGAGCCAGGTCTTTATGAACAAAGACCGTCTAAACTTGAAGCTGGCATATGAATAGGCTCGATCTGAGCGCATACGAAAAGACGAAGCCTTTGAGTGGCATACACAAACTGGAGACTCATCTAGACATTTTGTCACTTCTGTCATATTTCATAGGCTGCTTGCTCTACCGGCTAATGCGGATGCTTGCCGACCAGACTTCTGGTCTCTGCGGCCTGCGAATGTACGGCGCCCCTCTATGTTGGCTAAGAGCACCTCAGTCTACGTTGCCCAAAGTGGTGGAGGCCTACATAGGTAAAGCTTCACCAAAGCCAGGGATAGGTGTGTCCCTGCGGGGAGCACGACCATGCCCGACCACCAGCGTTCCTATGGCAAGATCAAGACTTGGCCATGGTGCGTGCTAAAAGATGACCTTGGCTTGCCTATGCTGCTCTTAGATCGTCAGGGCGCACTCGCAAGGCAGATGATTGAAGCAAATCCAATTACCGTACGCCTTTGCTGGGTATCTCATGGTTCTTGAAATCGTAAAGTCGCCAACCAACACATCATCCTCCCCGTTTCGCTTGTGCCAGCATCCGAGCAACAGTTGGGTCGTCATCCTCCACTTGAATACCTTGCTCACGCATAGCATTCTTGTAACGCTGCTTCAGAACCTCTTCATCGTCATCGTCGCGTTCGACATCCGGATAATCATCCGCGTCATTCTCGTCCTCGTCCTCTTCATCATCGGCCGGATCTATTGGTGCCGCTGCGTTTTCGGAAGACTTGGGTTGCTGATTCATGTTCATGTCTCGCATCACCTTCGTCAAGTCTTGCTCTCGTTTCGTGGCGCTTTCGGCCTCTCGTTCTTTTCTTCTCTTTTCCAGTTCTGGTCGGTAATCTCTATCAAACTCTTTTCGTTTCTCCTCCACTGCTTCGAAAAAGTCGTCGATACCGTCTCCCGTCATGCTTGACACAGCAACCATGTTGAGGTGTGAGTAGAACTCCTCCAGCATAAGGCTCATGCTGTTCAACAGACTTCCCATATAGCCGCTGCCTCCGAAACCTTCACCGCCAAAGACTCCCTTGTTCTGTTCCTCTTGAAGAGCTTCCTGGAACTTTTCAAAGTCGGTCATCCATTCTCGCGCAAAGTCGGCATCCTGCACATCCGTCTTGTTGAATACGAGGATCATTGGGAGTTTCGTCTTGTAAAGTATTGAACATGCATAGAGCATGTTAGACATGAATGTTGACGTCGAGGAAGTGCGTGGCGTGTCGATGATGTATGCGATGACAGTCGGGAAGGAAGATGCAAGGGATTCGAGGAGGATACTGCCTGAAGCGGACCAAACGAACACCTCAATTTGTCCAGGTGTGTCAACCAGGAAATGTTTCGGAGGTGGGACTTTACTGTCGGGCGGAGGATTTGCGCGTTTTTCTAACAGGTTGATGATCTGATCGATCTTGGTCGCAAATAGGTTGAGAGATGTAAGGATGCCACCGTTAGGGCCAAGGTTGTACTGTTTCATAACCTCTTTGTAGTTGATACTGTCGCGAATATCAATGTTCGGCTGGAAGGGTACGTTCAGGACGGCGGGATCGAGGTTCAGCACGTATGGCTTCTTCTTGTTAACATGTAGATAGTTGTTAATCCGCTGCATGAAGGTGGTCTTGCCTGAGCCTGCACGGGAGTTAGTCGTTGTCGCGGCTCACATTCTCAGATCACTTACCGGCCATGCCAACGCAGACGACGGCGACTGGAGGCGTCGCCATATTGACCAAAGAGATTGCTTGAGTCGGACGGTTTGGGATGTCTTGAGTACTAGTAACCTGGGTTGGTGGAAGTGAAGCGGCGGAAGTTTGTCTCGGAGAAATTTTGGAGACCGCAAATGACGCAGCCACAGAGATGTACTTTTCCTTCAACCAACGTGCCTCGATTTCAATTCTCATTCACAACCGAGATAATGGCTTTGGAAGACTTCGAGAAAGAGTTGGCCGAACAGAAAGAAGTAGAGAAAAGACGAGAGCGACGTAAGGAGCACGGAAAATCTTCAGAACATGAGCACCGCCGACACCACCATCACCAACGGAGTTCCAGACACCATGATTCGCAACATGATGACGACGGACATCGGTCAAAGAGGTCCAGACATTCAAAAGATGAAGATACATCGGAAAGCAGGCACAGACATCGACACCGACGGCATAGTAGGGGTGAGGCGGATAATGAAACGGAAGACAAACCAGCCTCGTCGCGGCCCGACTTGGACGGGTTGAAGCGCGATTCTTGGATGGAAGCACCCTCGGCTCTTGATGTTGACTATATCCAAAGAAAACGACCCGAACCCTCCCCGCCAAAAGCTGCCAACCTTGGAGCTGATTTCGAGCTGAAAATACATGAGAAAGAACTCAACCACCATCTCCGCGACTTACAAAGCGGAAAGAAAGTGGAGGATCTGGAAACCGAGCCCGCCAGTCATAAGGTCGACTACACGTTTGGTGATGCAGGGTCACAATGGCGTATGACCAAGCTCAGGGCTGTTTACCGACAGGCAAAAGAGTCTGGCCGTAAGGTCGACGACGTTGCGCTAGAGAGGTTCGACTCTCTACGCGACTTCGACGATGCCCGAGAAGAAGAGATTGAACTAGACAGGCGCAAAGACTATGGAAAAGGCTATGTTGGGAAAGAACAGCCCAGCGGCGAGTTATTTCAAGAGCGCAAACTCGACTCAGGCATCCGACGACCGCACGCACGCGACGACGAAACAGGCCCTGACGACGTCATGGAGCAAATGCCCGTCTCAACATCGCAGACCGGGCCTAAGATCGACCAGACAGCACTCAACAAGCTGAAAGCCCAGCTCATGCGAGCCCAACTACGAAAAGACCCGAAAGCCGCAGACCTCGAAAAAGAGTACAACGAAGCCGTAGCCTCCTTCTCGGCACAAGATCCCTCAGTCATCACCCTCTCCGCCATGGACAACCGAATGCTCTCCTCCGCACCACGAAACGAAGTCAAATCCGTAACAAACCGCCGCGGCGCGGAACGCGGTAACGTCGAAGAGAACGAAGACATGAGCATCGACGACATGGTCAGGGATGAACGACGCACAAGAGGCCAAGCAGGCGGCGAGGGCGGCCGTTTCGCCGAACGAATTGCCAAAGACGCCAAATTCGACAACGACCTCGACTACATGGACGAGAATGCCGCGAAGCTAGCCAAACGCGTGCACAAATCCGATATCAACCTCCGTAACGTCGCGATTAACGACTATCAGAAACTCAACAGAATCCTCGAGAATTGTCCTTTGTGCTTCCACGAGGACAAAGACACGCCGCCCGTCGCGCCTGTTGTTTCGCTCGCGACGAGAACGTACCTCACGCTGCCTACGGAGCCGGAACTCTCGACGCAAAGCGCCATGATCGTGCCCTCTGAGCACCACACAAATCTGCTGGAGTGTGATGAGGACGAGTGGGAAGAGATCCGCAACTTCATGAAGTCTTTGACGAGATTGTACCACGACCAAGGCCGCGACGTGATTTTCTATGAGAATGCGGCGTTCCCGTCACGCAAACCGCATGCGGCGCTCGTGGTGGTGCCGTTGCCGTATAGTCTGGGTGAAACGGCGCCGGCGTTCTTCAAAGAGGCATTCCTCTCGACGGAGGATGAGTGGAGTCAGCATAAGAAGATCATTGATACGTTGGCCAAGTCTAAGCAGGGTTTGGGCAAGCTTGCATTCCGACGAACACTGGTCAAAGAGATGCCATACTTTCACGTGTGGTTCGAGTTGGACGGTGGAATTGGACATGTCGTTGAGGATGCTGAGCGATGGCCTCGTGGAGATTTATTTGCGAGAGAGATCATTGGTGGAATGCTCGGGTCGGAGCCGGATGTCATCAAGAGGCAGGGCAAGTGGCATCGCGGGCATGATAAGAGGGTGGACGCTTTCAAGAAGGTCTGGAGGAAGTTTGACTGGACGAGGATCCTCACGGAGGGAAGTGCGTAGACCAGAGGACATGATTCTGGTAAAGAAGCTCTGTGCGCAGCGTCTGCTATATCTGAACGATACCTCTATTTGCTCTGAATAACTCTAAGTCATCAACGGCGCTCAAGCTCCTTCTAGATGTTGCCAACATGATTTCTAGACCGAGGCCACATTCCAATCAGTCTGCCTTTCTGAGTGCACGACAATGACGTTCAAAGTATCAGGATGATCTGCTGGAAGCGAGACGAAAGCTGCCTGATCCTCGCGAGGAGCAGGGTTCCTCAATCGTTGTGCTTCAGGTCTCTGTAAGACCAGTAGAGTCTGTCGTGATGATGGCCCTTAATTTTATCATTGGTTCGCTTCGGCCACGATCCGTGGCGCGGACGGGCCTCTCATGGGAATGTCAGGCTAATGCGGCTCGTCTCAAAGGAAGCCGCTGCCCGTCCCTCGGACGACACACTCAGACGCCTAGCATACTGATTGTTCCCGCAATCGTAACAGATCATCAACTCAAATTCACAAACATTGTGGCCGGGTCTTCAAGGTACTTTTGCACGACCTGCGCCATTCTCGCCATAGTCGCTCCATCTACAACCCTGTGGTCTGCACTCCAGCTCACAGTGGCCGTCTGCGCAGGTCGAACGGTCAGACCATCCTCAGCAAAGACCGGAACTGTCTTGATCTTGCCAATACCCATGATAGCGAGCTGACCTTCAACAATAACGGGAGCAACAACTTCTCCGCCAATATTGCCGATGTTGCTGACCGTGATGGTCGCGCCAGTCAGATCGTTGTTGCTCAATTTGCCAGCTTGACCGAGCTGCGCAAGCCGTTGGATATCCTCTGCAATCGACGTGATTGACCTAGCATTGACGGCTTTGATGACTGGAACTATCAAGCCATTTGGAGTGTCCATTGCCATGCCAATGTTGTGCACAGATCGCATGTGCAGCTGTGGCTTCTTAGGGTCGGTAGACAGGTCTAGTCGTGCATTGAGCAAGGGATATTGGTTCAAGGCCAACGAGACAGCTTTGATGATGAACGGCATATACGATAGCTTGGGGGTTGTTTCAGGGTTGCGGATGGAGTTCAGCCTCGTTCGCATCGTAGATAGGTTGGTGATGTCGACGGTGTCGGAGTAGAGGAAGTGTGGTATCGATAAGGACCCGGTCATGCTCTTGAACATGGCTGACTGGACCGGCGTCAGCTTCTGGGCTGTTTCTATTTGCTTGGCGTCAATGGCTGGTTTGGAGGGTGTAGGGGCAGCTGCTGATGGTTGTTGTGATCCTTTCTCGAGGTGCTTGTATACATCGTCCTTGGTAACGCGTCCGTCTCTACCAGTACCGTCAATGTCTTCAATGGCCAGGCCGTGCTCCTTGAGCAATCCCCGGACCGCGGGAGTCGCAAGAGATGCATGTTTGCCTGGCGTCTTGGGCTCAGAGGGACTCTCTGTATCTGCTGGCTTGCCCTTCTCTTCGTGAAGCGCCGCTAGATCGCCCTCGCCGGTTTGTTCTGCATCTGCAGGATCTCCAGCAACTTCTTCTGGTTCGTGCTGCTCCGCATCGCCATCTTCTTCCACTTCGATGTCCAGTAGAGGGTCTCCAACTTGAACGACGGCGTCTTGCGCATAATGCAGTTTCTTAATCACTCCAGTGTACTTGGAAGTGATCTCGACCGAGGCCTTGTCACTCTGGACTTCACATAGGGCACTCCATTCCTCGATGGGCGCTCCCTCTTCCACGAACCACTGAATGATCTGGACTTCCTTGACACCTTCTCCAATGTCTGACAATATGTGTGTCTTTGTCTTTTCGAGCCGTGTTGCCGCGTGGAAGTGTCTGCTCATGTGAAGGAAGGGGGCATATGTCTGGGGTCTCAAGGCAGGGCTCTGGCCTCGGGCGAGGCTTTGCAGAAGGCGCAGAGCCTGAGGTGAGGGTATGCACTTCATACTGCGGATGATATGAAGAAATTAGCTGAGAGAATCCGCAGGGGGCTGTCGGGTCACATCGTTGTGCTCTAGTACTTGAGGGAACGTGGGTGCGTGGTGTCCGAGTTCGTGGACGAGGAAGGACAACAACCGTGGATAACCGCAGCACCGCGGCTCTCGAGGGCTAACAGGACCCGCTATCGGCGAGTCGGCTACAAATCATGCATGACTAAGCGACATTCTCTGGAGAAGTAACGACAACTTTATTTTGATGAACAAACTACCTGGTAGGCTTGATATATTCCTGGAGGGACGACATCAGAACACTCAAATTTGTCAAAACTGATTTTCAGGCCTGGGTACTAGTCGCAGCTGCCTTGTGATGTTCTTCCTTAACTCCTGGTCCTGCGGCCACAATGCATCCGCCGTCGCCATTCCATCAGGTGCAGTGAGTGCAACATGACGGTTGATGTCCACGATGGCACTTACTCGCTGGTCGATTCACAGGAAGATGGGTTCCATCTTGCGACGATAGATCAGTGGGTGGCAAGATGAGGGAAGACGGTGCCATGAGCTGGTCGTTGATAGTGCTTCCCTAGGCCAGGAAGCTGTGCGCGTTCCCGCACCCAGCTTGGTACATTTATGCCGTAGTCGATATAGTGTGATACAATGCGTCCTATTACCATTGTATTGTTTATGGACGAGATTTCGAAACATTTGCGTGCGTGAAGGGAGAGTTTGAGGGGCTTTTGACAGGTAGGGCTCCAGAACCCTTTGTAACTCCTCCACGACCAAGTCGTGGAGGTTGACTTGCCAGGACTCGCCTCCATTTATGCGTCTGATCGGGAAGGGAAGCATCACTGGTGCCATATCCGCGAGCTGCATCAACTCCGTGTCGATTAATCAGGTCGCATGTGGTTCGTTGTGATATAGGTGGACAAGAGTTTTTAATTGAAGGAGGCCCTGTGGTGTCTGATAAGCTTGACCCAATCTGGTATGAGCAGGCAGCCTTCCAGCCGCGTCTTGATCTTCTCCAGGTGGTCTAGAGGTGCTGACAGTATGTCTGATAGAATTCTTCGCTCCCCCGTCATCGACTGAGCTGAATTCCAGAGTTCGTCAAAGTCGAGATCCCGGGAACGTGTTCCCAAGAAACCCGACTCTTTTTGAATCCATCCTTCGTCGCCCGGTACAGCAATGTAGTTCTGCTGTGCCTGGGCATTGTCAGGTGTAAAAGCAGTGTGACATCGGTATGGTCTTATGACATGCGGCGCCCATTCCACGCCGAGACTCGTGGTCATGGTTTATCAGAGTCGCTTTTGTAGCACCATAGCTTGAGCCACCATCTGACATATTGGGCCCGAAGCCTGCCATAGAAGATGTGGGTAAGCTCGAGGTCCACGTCTCCGCGGATGAGGCGGAACATTCGGCGCCATAGGCCATTATCCAGACGGGCAGGGTGGCTCTTGGGCCATGTCGAATGTATTCTCGTATGACATCTGTAACGTACCGACGAGTACGGATTGCGGATTTCAGTCGTCACCGTCTCGGACCGTGCAACGAATTGAATCTGTGGACGTCCACCAAACAAGATGTGGCATGGTGAAGCAATCACATGGTACATGAACCTTCCATCCGCAGTAGACGTCGTTGAGTTCTTTCTGGGCGAGGTCCAAAGCAAGATGTCCCGTGGCTCATTCACTCCAACTAATGCTCGGCGTTGGCCAAGACCTGATTCTGCTGCATCATTAAGGATCTCGAGAAGACCGAGCGGAGTTTCGGGTGGTGCTGTTTCTGGTAGGTGGGGTCGTGTGGCTCGGAGTTACCTGGAGAAACTGCAGGAGAACGTGCAATAGATTCGGAGTTGGTCGAGTACGTCTTCATCTCGACCGAGCTCATTCGATCGCAGCTCGCGAAAGGCTTGCTGTAAGACCGACCATTGCGCGCGGGCTGAACTATCCGAATTGCAGAAGGATTGTGGATCGCTTACCCTGTGCATCTTTGCGAGACGAGCAGCAATGGATGGCTTCTCCACGAGGGGAGAGAAGTCGACGGGTGCACCAGCAGAAGCAAGCTTGTATCTCTTTGTCACTCTGAAAATGATCACGTCCCCCACCTTGAGCATGGGTTCTGGAGTACGCGGAGTCAGGGGCTAGGCTGTACTCTCGGTTGGAAGCGGTTTGGTTTTGGTTGATTGGGAGAGGAAAAGTCCGAAGGTCACCTTCGCAGTTGTTTTGGAGGTTCTTTCAATTTTTCAACTCGGCCCCTAATCTTTGCTTTTTTCATGCTCCATGATGATCGCGTGGTCGAGAAGACATCTGTAGGCAGGTCAAACTCAAGAAGCACAGTTCCTAACTGGACAGCCCCGTACGAGCCGACCAGAGCGGTGTTTTGTCCTTCGAGAATCGAGAGAACAAGTCTTGCTCCGTGTAGACAATCCGAGTTCAACGCCGTTGTATATATGTATAGATATTCTCGAATCAGGCTGACGTTGAATCATGCCCGCCAATGTTGTGCAGTTCGTGGATGAGAAAAATCGCATCTTCGTAGTCAGCCATGATATAAGGCTATAGGAATGAATGAGGGAGATGCCTTCAACTCGGTCCACAATCGTGCACGTCTTGGAATTTCGATACCGGCCAAGGCCATGACTTGTTCCATCAATAGGCCCATCGAGGGATTGGACTTGTTGCTGATTCGGAAATAGACCACCACTTCTGAGCGGTTCCCAAGCATGTGGTTGACATCTACTCGAACGTTGCGTCTTACGCTTTCGAAGTCAGTAATGAAAACCTCTTCAGGATGTAACTCCTTTCTTTCTGCAAACTTCTGAGGTAAAGGTGAGAGCTCTAGTGTCCTTCTTTTAAGGTCAAGCTCCCAACCCACCTCCAAGAGCTCGTCGACGGTTTCCATGCCAAAAGAGGCACTTCGACAGATCGCGATCATTAGCAGCCGATGTGGTGCAAAGTATTGTACGGCCGAGGCCCTTCTCGAAAGCTGCACCAACCTGAGATATATAAATAAACCGCTTCGCCATGACGGTGCCGCATGAGTGTCTGGAAGCACAAGTCGCCGGATAATCCTTTTCAGCGCAGTCACACAGGCGAATACGCCACAATCATCTCCTCGTTACCGCCGCTCGCCATTTGCCGCTGTTGTCACTTGCCGCCACTTCTGTCAGCCATCGATTAGTGATAGGTATAACAAAGTCTCCAATTTTCGGGCTGCCAATTGGACCAGTCTGATCCCGTATGTCCACAAGTCCAGAGGGCCCATCAGAAGGGAAGTTGGAGCGCTGCGCCAACCGTGACTGTAGTATTGGTAATGACGCAGGTGACAGCGAGTACCATGGTATACACGAGTATGTTATGGCATTCCTGGGGAAAGCCTCGTTGACATCAGAAGCGGCATGCGTCACTCAGGGAAGAGGAGCACTGAGGGACTAAGTCATAATGCACGTCTCGCAAGAGTAAGTTGCGCCCTGGCATTTTCTCTGGTGCCTGCGGAAATCTGAAGGGTCGGCTCAAAGAAAGCGTTGGCAGTTTGGCACTGTTTAATGGTGTCGGCCATTCTGACTGTATCTCTAAGTGTCGGAGAGACATGTGGGGATGAACTGCTGCAGTGTCGTTCCTCTGCAGTGAGACCCTTCTTGAATCACCCCCAGGTGATCCAGGTCTTACCGCTTCCCACCGCCTGAATCTTGTTTGGTAGCTTATCCTGATTGTCCACCGAGATGTCTAGCCATTCCATGTTGAATCTGGCCTGATACTACCGCTCCGTCTGAGGCACATCCACGTGAATCCAGACCATACTATTTCCCCGTAAAGGTAATGGCAGAGGCAGTGCATGATATGCGCCCCGATAGGCCGGTTAGACAGCCAGAGGAAGGGCTCGGATTGCTTCTTATGATTTTCTTTTGCAAGCCTGTCCATCAGGTTGCGCATCATCAATCCTTTGCCGGTCTTGACTGCGTCGCCCATCATTTTGTAAAGCGGGTACTTTCACGATTCTCGTGCCGGTCATTCTCTCTGATCTCTTGCCAAGTGCATGTCTTAGAAGGATATACGGGAAGGAGGCGGGCAAACCATGGGAAACTTTCCCGTTGATATCTCGCATTCCAATATGCACCGTGTTTGGACCTTGCCATTATGTCCGAGACCGAAGTGTTTGAACTACTTACGTTCCATTGAGTAGTACCGGAGAGCCATGAAGCAGCTTGTTTGCCCATGGTGAAGAGTGGCTCGACCAGAAGTCTTGATCTTCAGATGTATCCACGTCAGTTCTTCGACGAGCTCTTTGTATCGTCGCCGTGCAGGACGCGTGAGGCAGTATTGGGTATCGGAGTTAGGAGATCGCCAAAGCCGAGGTCGAATGCTAGAGCCTTTGCTTCCTACGGCTCGGGAAACAAGGACCTTGCGAAGTTCAGTGCCGGTCAGCATAGCTCTGGCTTTCACCATGGTGATCGAATTCGGAACACCAGCTCAACGTTGCGCGTAGATGGTCTCTTCACTTCGGCTCCGCTGAAGAACATGTTCAATTTCGCCCCTTCTCTAGATCCTCAAGGATATCACATGGCCTGATACTCTTACCCGGATCATTGCTAGGCTGTGATCTTCCCACTTCAGCTTGTTTTGATATCGCGTGCGAGATTCACACGCTTGAGAAAGACGTGCCCCAATGCCCCTTCGTTTTTGCGATCATCGTGCATAGGCGGTGCATCTTCAATAAGAAATGAAATAAAGTGATCCGAAGGCAGAAAATTAACAGAAGTTCGCATACCTTGAGCTGCTCCAACGAAGACCGCTGCAGGATTTACCGGAAAGGTGGTCAATGTAGCAAGTAAAGCCAGACAAAGAGACTTCTGTGTGGCTATCGACGCATGCGCATCGTTGTCCACAACGTAAGTCTTGCAGTGTTTCAAAACTCCATCTGAGTTTCCTGACTTGAATGGGAATGGACTCTTAGGCTCTGTCTGACAATCCGGATCCTGGAGCCATGGGCAGAAGTCATGACTGTAGTCCGCGAATCTTCTTGACTTTGGGTGTGTTGAATGTGAACACTATCTTCGAGGGTCTGATCTCCCAAGCAATGATGTGCTAGCTGGTGGCATGGTAGTGTTGTAGACGTGTGCCACCCGGCCCCGGCGGTGCCTTTCATCCTTACAAGACTGAGGTTGATAGTGCCCGTTGCGGATTCAGAAGTGGCAAGCAGAGCGAACTTGTATGTCTCATCCAAGGTTCGCACCATTCTGAGGCGCAGGGAGGGATCGCTCGGTACTTAAGATAAGCACATCGGCAGTCTTAAGGAAACCATCCGGTGCCTTTGTGGTCTTGATGGCGCCGGGCATTGACTTGATATGGTGGGATGGTAAAAGGAAGCTTTCGAGGCGCACTTTCTCGTTTGTGTTGCCTGTTGTATTGGTTTTCTCGACCCCAACTTGTATGCCAACCTTTACCGACTTTGTCTGCCAGGAGGCACGATAGACTTGGCTAGGTCTCCCGCTCTTGAGGAAATCTCCCAACTGGTTGCGAGATTTCGTTGTTCATCGGAAGAGAAGGTGAAAGCTACTTCGCCAACAAGGAGAGGTGAGAGAAAGTCGAGGAGGCCAATCATTCTGGGAGCTAAAGCATCGTGGCTGGACGTTTGCCTATAAGCGACTCAAGCGAGCTCCTCATCGCACGAATGGTCTTCTTGAAGCACAAGGCTATGCGAGTAGCTCGTCGACGTCGATCTTCCAATCAAGGCGGGTGAACTCGTGCACACCCGAAGCCTACGCTCGGCACGTGAAACTGCTCTTTGTTGCGTTGCAGTAGACGGTCATGGGAGTAAACCAGGTGCGCCCAGTTCTCGCGGGTCGACGTGTCTTGAAGATGGTTCCATGGTCATTGCAATAGCGAATCCATACCATACTAGATTGCGAATTGTTGCTGTGCGAATGGGAGCAGAGGTGAGCTCGAAACTCATTGCCCCTAGTATTTATCGCTGCGTGTGTTGAATCAACTGGCCCTTTCTTTGCCATAAATTAGGCCAGGTGAATTCATACAGTTTCCATCATCCAGTGCCAGGGCCCTCACCGATTACTGGGCTCTGTGCCCAAGGCAGTTCTGGCGAAGATGGTATGGCTTGGCTTTTGAGTCTGTTTCCCAACCTTCGACTCCGCGGCTTCTTCATTTCTCACTAGATTGTATGAGGCATCTTCTTGTGCCAGACCTTGATTGTGATTCCATTGTCCATGAAAGCTCGATGTCGGCAACATATGTCTGTGTCATGCCTGCCGATAACGATCTTGAAGGACTCATGGAAGAGCCCCAGATCGACGCAGCTTCTTCATCCTCGTCGTCGAAGACGGGCAACGGCTCTTCGTCCACAATAGTGGTCAATGCAGGCTTCTCTCGCATAGGCGAGCGGGACCCTGGCCTAGTTGGCTCAGAAGTGCGAGGCAGGCGGACATCAGGGAGACCAAGAAAGGCGCTGGCAGCAACGGTCGAGTTTCCGAACCATTACTGCTCGCTGGGACCCAATTCGGCACCGGGTTCCGCCAAAGGAAGCAGCAAATTCATGATCAGCATCACTGATATCATTGATATCACCGTCTGTATCAACGAAATAAAGCTCTCCCATCTCTATGAGTTGGGTGAATCGAGTGGTGTCACCGCAAGCAACGGCAAGGGCGTACAGAGTACTTTTTCGAATCGCACTGGGTCCAGGACGAGACGGCTCCGGCATTTAGCTCTAGGAGGGAAGACTGTGCTTCCGATACTGACCCCAATGGCCATGCCGAACCGCCACTGCACACCATCGATCACATCAGGCAATCTGAGCCCGCCTGAAGCCGTTTAGATCTCCTAGGAAGGACAGCCTAGCTCCCGCTGAGATGGGGAATGTTTGAGATTTTCCATTGGTGATCCACCTCTTGCGGACGACACAAAGTACTAGTGCACATGGAGCAGGAGAGAACAAGGCGGCCTATGATTATTCAGCCACCTTGGCTCTGCCAAGGGATGTAAAGACGGCCGAAGGCCGTCAACTGACTTAGGTAGATATCGTACACGATGTACGACCTCCGGATAGGTATATAGTCTAACGGGCCCCTACGGCCCTTGAGCAATAATAAGTCCTTCGTAAAATTATATCTAATAGTAACGATTTAATAGTCCTTTACCCTAGGCTAGGGCTTTTAAAGCTCCTATACTTCTTCGAAAAGGGAAGAAGTATAGTTAAAATAATCTTAAGTTCTTAAGAACGATATAGTCTTTAGTTTAGAGTATATCGTAAGATATTAAGAACTTTAATAAGTATTATTTTTATAACGACGATATCTTTACCTTAGCGTAATCTTTTCTTTCTCGAGAAAGAGCTCTTTTCGCTTTTCTCGAAGACTATCGATATATTAAAAAAGCCTTAAAACGACGAAGTAAAGAAGATATTAATTAAGAAAAAATTTTTAGTATATAACTATATTAAAACGAACTTTTTATAAGTTTAGTTTCGTTAATTATCTTAATCTTATATAATAAAATAAGAAATCTTCGAAGATCTCTCTATAAACTATACGAATATTTTCGAAAATAAAGGTAAGATCTTTAGCGACTTCGAAACTCGATAAGTTCTTTATTAAAACTTCGTCGAAATTAATAGTTAGCTATAGATCTTTTACTTAAATTTCTTAATAATTAATAAATAAACTATATAACTATACTAATATCTTATTAAATTAACGAATAGCTATAAATAAATATTTTAGATTTAATCTAAATAGTAATATTTCTTCTTAATAATTCGAAAAATATACTATTTACGCTTTAGTACGAAAGAAGATTTTAAAAACGATTCTTTCGAAAGAGATAATTAAGCTTCGAACGATCGAAGTTATAGTAACGATTATTCGAGATATAAAACTATTAAATAAAGATATATTTAAATATAGAAAGAATATCGTAAGAGAATACTCGCTAGTTAAGATAGTTACTTTTATATAATATATCTTATTCGAAAGTTCTTTTCTTTCTTTCGATATTAACTATTATCTCTCTTTTATTTTATAATAACTCTTAAAGTCTTACTAAAAGGAAACTTTAAAATATCTTTTGTATTTAATATAGTATACTCTTAATATTCGACTTATTTCCTCTATTTACTATAAAGGCCGAAAAGCCCTAAATAAAAGGCGAAACTCGCTTTCTTTAAGTCGAGAACTAGCTTCGGTAATTAATAGAAACTATCTTAGTTACTTAATAACTACTTAAGTAAATTCGTAATATCGAAGAAACGATAGTTCGATTAATAAATTATTTTTAAGGTTTAATAACTAAAGGTCTATTTACTTAATTTAATATAAATACTACCCTTAGTAATAGCGACGATCGAACTTAAGGCTTTAGCTCGAGCCTTATAAATTTAAATAAAGCTTATTCGAATATTTACTTATTATTATCGTTTACTATTTATATTAATTCGATATTTATTATTTATATTAGTAATATATCTAAAGCGACGACTACTAAAAAGCTCGAGTATATATCGACTTATAAAGGCGAATATAAGAATAATATCGTAACGATTTAGCTTATACGAGTTAATAATATTATCGCTAATTAAAAGGAACTTTTCGATAAGCGATTTTAAAATAAGTAAAAGATTATCTATATTAGTAATACTTTATAAAGTAAAGTCGATATATAATAATAACTTTATTAAACGACGACTCGAAAGAAAGAATATTAATTCGTTAAAATTTAAATACGATTTTAAAAATTAATAGCGAAATATTTTAAAAATATTTATATTAACGATAAGCGTCGCGATAAATTCGATAATCTTCGATAAGAATCGAGGAAGATAGTATAGTACTTCTATTATAATATTTAGTATAAAAGAATATATCTTAACTCTTTAGCTACGAATAATAACTATTTACTATTATTTAAATATAGTCTTAATAATACTATTCGTAATAAAGTTAAGATATTACTTAATATTATCTTATTCGCTCTTTTTTAGCTTTATATTAAGTTTATTAATAAAATAGAGCGTAAATTATACTATATTATTTATTAAAAAGACTTCTTCGATATTCGAACTCGTCGAGAACGAGCGTATACGCGTTCTACTAATTATCGTAAAAGAGATATCGATAAAGATACCTAAATAACGCTTAATAATATAGAATTTACTTTTATTTCTAGTCGAGATATTAGTTAATTCTTTCGAGGGTCTTCGAATATACTCTATAGCGAATCGAATTAGGTATCTAAAATAGACTAGTAGTTATATTATAATTATAATAAGTCGAGTTACTAAAAAAGAGAATACTTTAAATCTATACGTTAGAATATCGCGCGAGACTAAAGAGAATCTTTCCGAGAAAAAGACTAACGCCGTTAAATAATAAAGCGTTTAACGATTAAAATAAATAATCTATAAATCTCGAGACTAAATAAGCTAGTAACGTCGCGCCGCTAAATATATAACTATTAAAAAGAAACCCTCTCGATATTTACTTAGTAATATATAAGTCTATAAATAATATATTAATAAAAGATAACTATAATCTTATTAATAAAATATTAAGATAATCGAAAGAATCTATTTCTATAACTATTCTTCTTAATACTAAATTCGAAGTATCTTATATTTTTAAAAGTATATTCGAATATCTTTCGAAAAATCGAAAAATAAGAATAGTATAACTATTACGAGTTTACTTTATAAATAGCTAAACTACTCTTTTAGATTAAATAGTAATTACTAATTTAACTCTTAGTGACTTTCGATTTTATACTAAACTTCGAATTTTTAAATAAGATACTTACGATATAATTCTTAGTCTTAATTAGCTTAAATAGTATAATACTTATTAGAATATCGCTTCGAATTATATAACGATAAGAAATAAAGTTAGTAAGAAGTCTTTTATCTTTATTAAGCTCTTTCGAATCGTTAATTATAAGGGTATCGAAGAAAGTAAACTTAATCTACTTAGCTTTCGAAAGATTAATAAAATACTCTTAAAGATATAAAAACAAAAATTAATACTCTTCGTACTAGCTAAACTACTTAATATTAATCTTTTAGTTTTATTAACTACTTCGAAATTAAACTCGAAGAAGCTAAAGCTTCCGAATATTAATAAGAAGAGAATACTAATACTATATATTATTAAGTCGAGCGATAAAGCTCGTTAATAGCTAAAAGTATTTCTTATTAAAGTATTAAAGCGTTATTAATTAATTTTAAAGAAGTATTTATAGGTCCTATAAAATAAATTATTTATTTAATATTCTTAGACTCGAGATATTAAGTACGAGATTAATATAAAGAAATCTAAAGCTATTAATTTATCTTACTACTCTCTTTCTAAGTAATATCGTAATAAGTAAAAGCGTTAAATTAAATAACTATTAAACTAAAGACTTATTTAATCTTTAAAAAGCTCTTAGGGATTTCTAGTTCTATTCGTTTCGAAACTAAAAGGTAAGTAGCGAATATATATCGATTACTATTTATTAAATAATATAATTATTAAAGATATATATTCTTTATCTTAGATTTAAGATTACTTAAATATAATTAATAACGCTTATTATCTTTCGAAGATCGACTTAATATAAAGTTACTATTAAGTAGAAATAGCGCTCGATATTATTTCGAAGATAATATTTAATATATATTTAAGAAAATACGAGTTTTTAACTATACTCTTCGAATTAATTAACGCCTCTTTTACTTTTTAACGAATTATAAACGATATACTTAAACTCTTTATAGGGAAATTTATAGTTATATACTTAAATAATATTATTATTTTCTTTAAGAACTCGAAAGAATATAAGGAATATCTCGAGATAGTTCTTAAGACTCTTTAGAACTATAAGCTATTCATTAAATTATTTAAATATATTATCGAAGTAATTAAGCTTAAGTTCTATAGATATATCGTCGAAAATAATTAATATAAGCTAACTTCGATTAAAGTTAAGATTATTAAGAAATAGCTATAGCTTCGTAATATTTACGAGATTTACTAATTCTTAAGCCTTACTTTTTATTATTATCGATATATTAAAGACTTCGCTAAAATAGCTTTTACGTTATTAAATTTACTTATCGAAGCTAATACGAAGATTCGAAAGAAGAAGTTTCGTTTTATTTAATAAATAGTATAATACGAAATAATATTTCGAATCTTAAAAAAAGGCCTTATATTATATTCGATTTTTATATAAATTAATAAAAATAAACTTTTTTATATCGAAACGAATTACTTCGAATAAGTCTTAGGCTATATACTATTATAATTTAGTATCGATAATAAATAGTACTTAGTTATTTACGATAGACGTAAACTTCGCGACCTTAAGCTTAACTATTCGATTTAGAAAAAGAAACTACTCGCGATTAAATATACTCTTCGAATATAGTCGATATATATCGAAAATAACTATACTACTATAATAGTAATCGACTATAAAAGTCTTAAGTATTTAATAATTATTAGGACTTCGTTTAAGTATTTAGCGCGATAAATTAACGAATTTATATAATATAAGCTTAATATTCGTTATTATAAGGGTTCGAAAGTAATTATATTTAATACTATCTCGTATCGACTCGATTTTATAAGTAATAGCTTTACTAATCGAGTATAGATAAATAATTCGAAAACTATCGAAGCTACTCTTATAGCTACTTAAGCGCTAAATAAAGACCTAGAATAGAAAAAGATAATTATTAAGATACTTACTCTTTAAGAAGATAAAACTCTATCTCTTAAAGAGCGAGAGCTTATTAAGAATACGAATTAATAAAATTTTATAACTAAAGAAGATTATCTTTATTAAAAAGTAAATAAAAGCTATATTCTATATATCGCTAAGAGCTTTCGAAGAGACTTTATTAAATATTACTAAAAGTATTACGAATACTATAGCGCGCTAACGTTAATAAATATTATTCGATTTAGAAATTAATAGTAAATATTAAAGAAGAATATTATTAAATTCGCGCGTTAATATAAAAAATATTAACTTAACTAAAAGTTAAAGAAAAAATAGAAAGAACTTTATAACTAAGTTTAAATAACGGCTAAACTATTTAAAAAATAAGTTATAAACTTTATTAGATCTTTATTAATTACTTTATACTATAATCGCTAAATCTTAACGATAATTAACTTTATTATAAATTAATCGATAATACAATCTTTATTAAAAACTATTAATAAAGTTATTAAAGACTTTCTTTTTAATATTTACTATTAATATAGTATATTTCGAGAACTTCTTTTAAATAACGAAGCTAATTTAACGTTATAAATAATAATTTACTACCTCGATAGAATTAAAGTTAAGTATTAAATAATAATTCTCTATTATTTATAAACGAACGATAAGATTAAGCGTTTTAACGATATACTTAAGTAGGTCCTTACGAAGTATTTAATTAAGAAATTAATAATCTTATAAGACGAATACTTATTTTCGATACTATTCGCTATATATATTCGAGTCTATTCGGTAATAAGACTAAGCCTTTATTAGCTCGTTTACGATCTCGAATCTCGTTTAACGAGCGATTAAAAAGACTTTAACTTTAATAATATCGACGTAAACTTCGCGAAAAGAATCGAGAAGCTATATACTATAAGATACGAAGCTAATCGACTCCTTATAAAGAAAGGCTTACGTATAAGAAAACTTCGCTTCGATAAGCTTAGTAATTAAGAAATTAGCTATAATATTAATAACTAGATCTTATTAAGAAATAAAGTAAAGAAAAAATTCGAACTAGTATACTTCGAACTATTTCGAGTAGTTAAGAAGCTTTAGTTCGAGACCTATATTTTAGATATAAAAGATAAAATCCTTAAATTATCGATATATAGTAATTACTTATAGAGATACTAAAGCGATAATATCGCTCGAGCCTAAATAAGCGCTATATAATTATAAATATAAGAGAGTATAATAATAGTTCTATTTATATTAAAGAATATTAACGATATTCTTAATAAAGAAATTATTTTATCTATTTATTACGAAATATTAATAATATTTTATAAGAACTTTAAAGAATAGAAACGTATCGAAGTATATTCGAGTAAGGTAAAGAAGAGTAAAGAAGTAAAGAAGATACTATTTAATAGAAAAAATCGATAATATAACTAAAGAACTTAAAAAGCGTAAAAGCTCTCGAATAAGAAGAAAAGAACGTCGAAAATAGTAAATAATACTATATTATTTATATATATATTTAGAATTTTACTTAGACGATTATCGAAATATATTAATAACGTCGATTTAGTAATTTCGATACCTCTAGAGTATAATAACGCTCCGCTTATATAGAATAGCGCGATTACTTCTAGAAAGAATTTAAATATCGTATCTATATTAGTATTAAGAAATACGGCCTTTAGAGGCGCGTAGTATCTCTCGAACCTAGAAATAAATATAATACTAAGTTAAATAGGTCTTCTATAGACGAATATACTCGTTAAAGACTTATATATTATCTCTTTATCTCGCGATATAGAGTTTAAATATAATAATATTAAGTCTATATTCGACGATATAAAGCTTAAATATAATAATATTAAGCTTATATTCGACGATATAATAAAGAAAGTAAGTAATATTAAGTTTATATTCGATAATATAAAGATTAAATATAATAATATCGAGTTTATATTCGACGATATAATAAGGGAAGTACTCGATATCGATTAAGTATCTATACTATTCGAAGTAGATTTAGTATTTAAATCTAATATATCGAACGATTACTAAGATAAGTTAAACGTTCCGAAGAGTAATAGAAGACCTTACTAAGATTATATAAAAGACTATTTAAGCTTAAATAATATCTATATAGAAAATATAACTATCTTTATACTTAAAACTACTTTTATTAAGATTCTATTCGTCGAAATAGTTAAAGGCTCGCTAAGATTATCTTTAATTAATTCGATATCCTTAGAATAGTCTCGCTAACTTAGGAAAAGAAAACGACAATATATTAAAATATATTCTATAACGACTATTTCGCGTATTCGAAATATAATAAGAAGAAGTCTTCGAATCGTATTAAAACGTAAAGAAATTAAGAATTAATAGATATATACTTATTTTTAAGATTTTTTACTATAATATTTAATAAAGAAGTATAAAAGTAATATCTCGATAAATAACTATAGATCTCGTCTTTTAACTAAGTATTCTTAAGACGATATATAGACCTATTATATTAAAAAATCGTAAAAGAAAAGTATATTTATAGATACTATTAATACTATATTTTATCGTTCCTTAATCTCTTTCTATACTAATAATTATTCGTTATTTCTTATTTATCGTCTTCTTTTTTTACTAAGTATTAACGACTCTAAAGTATTTAACTTACGATTTAATATACTCTATAGTATATTACTAAGTAACGAAGAACTTTATCTCGATTAAGGACTACTAAACTTAATTAATTACTATACTTTCGAACTAGAAGTATTTATTTATATATTCGATAATTCTTTACTTCGAACTAATAAGGCGCGAGAAGTACTACGAGTATAATCGCTACTAATAATACTAAAGATAAAGTAATTATCTCGAGCTATCGAAGTAGTCTTTATCGAAGCTATAGTAAATTAATTTCGCTATATCGAAATACTTAAGTTTATATTTTAAAAAGATTAAGAATATATATTTAACTATTAACTAAATAATTATTACGAGTATCGAAATTATATAGACGTCGAATTAATTTAAGTCTCTATAAAGTCTATAGTTAAAGTTCTAAATAATACTTAAATAATTAATAAATAAGTATATAAATCTAGTTTTAAACGATTCGAAGAACCTTAAGTTAGTATATCTTAATGTTTAATTATATACTCGATAAATAATAAATAATTATATTATACTTTTAGCGATTAATATATATAAAAAGAAACTAACGATAATATAAAAGAATTACTTATAATTATATTAATTATATTTCGAAAGAATATAATCGTATTCTTTTTCGTAAAGAATCGAGATTAATTAGCTCTTTAAAGCTCGAATATAATAACTATATTACTTTTATCTTCGAGAGCTATTTCGTTAATGATTATCGAGTTTAGATTTAAATTAAGCGTAAATAACGCTTAATTACTATTATTAAGGTTAATTACTTTAGAATAAGCTTACTTCTTAATACTATATAAAGTACTAACTCTTAAATCTCTCTATTTCTACTCGATCTTAACTTATCTAGAACGATTCTTTAAGAAAATAGAACTCTTTTACTACTTTACTATACTTTAAGTCTTATAACTAAATTAGCGAGTAAAAATAAAAGAAATCTCGATTATTAATTTATAACGACTAGCTTTCGAATTAAATTAATATCGCGCTAAAGTAGTATAAGAGATTACTCTATATTTCGAAGACTACTAAATCTTACGATTAATCCTTAAAAAATAAAACTAACTTAATATAGTATAAGAGATATAGTTACTAACTAAAAGATATTAATTACTATCTTTTTTTATTAATATATATTTTAGAAATATAGGCTCTTTCGAAGATAAAGGCTTATTAATTTTAATATAATAAGTATAAGCTTAATCTTCGATCTCGCTCTTTATATATACTAAAGCTACTAATTAAATATAAATATTATTAAAATTACGATTACTATAGTATTCTAAAGAACGAATATACGAAAAGATATCGAATAAGTTTAGAAGAGTCGATTAAGAGTTACGAAAGCTCTAAACTCTCTCTCGAATATTACGCTTTTACTTAGAGAAGATAATCGACTTAAATTTATTCTTAATAATTAGCTTCGAATATTACTATATAAGTAATATTAGTAATTAGAAACTAAGGCGAAATACTAATTCTTACTAAGATAAGTATCTTAATAGAAATATAATTCTTTAGATCTTTTATAATCGCTTCTATACGTCGATATTACTTTATATATAAACGATAAATATTAAATAATATATTAAGCTTATATAATAAGTAATCGAAGCTTAAATTAAGAATTAAATAACTTAAAAGGCTTTAAAGATAATTAAGATAGAGAATAGATAATAAGAAAGAATAATTATCTATAGTAGAAAAGAGAGAAAGTTAAGAAGAAAGAAGAGATATATATATATAAACGTAAGGCTCTTATATACTCGACGATAGCCTTTAGAGCTATATTATTATTATTAGCGATACTTTATTAATATAACTACTTAATTAGTCGATAGCGAGCTTCGAAAAATAAATAATAACGAGATATTTATTATCGTAATATATTTAACGATTAAGTAAAATAAAACGAAGCCTCTTAAATATAAAGGTAAGGCTTTAAGTAAACTAAAGTAAGGCCTTAAGTAAGACTATTCGAATATATATATATTATATAGTAAATATATAAAAAAGTAAAATAATAGTAAGGTAATAAGTTAAAGCTTAAGACGCTAAGTAGAAAATATCGATTTATATTTAAACCGAAAACGATATACTCTAGACCTCGTTAGCGATAGTTAACTATCTTTTAGAAAGTTACTAAGATATTCGAATAGCTCCAAATCGATTTATTCGTATTAGTACTCTAGAATCGAAGGTTATCGACGACTTAGCTAGTTATTTACGAGGCTATAAGGCTATAGGTATCTAAGTTAGATAGGAAAGAATATAATTATTTAGCTACCTTGGCTCTACCAAGGGATATAAAGACGGTCGAAGGCCGTTAACTGACTTAGGTGGATATCGTACACGATGTACGACCTCCGGATAGGTATATAGTCTAACGAGCCCCTACGGCCCTTGAGTAATGACAAGTCCTCCGTGAAATCACAGGCCAACGCGGGTGTTGTCAAGAGAAGAGAAACCGTACCATCGGTGCGCTTGTTCTTGTAACGGCGGCGAACGCCACTCTTGCTGTCCTTGGCATTCCGGACCTGTGATGGAATTCCGGGCATATAGCCTGGGAACATATCCGACTGCGCAAACAAACAGTCCTTGGTTGATTTCGTCATGTTTGCCTGCTGAACTGGAGGAAGTAATATTGAGGGCCACGACCTGCCCAGATGCGCCATGCCCAGGCAAAGTTGGGACTCAGCAGTGCGTACGAAAGCGTAGAGAAAGCTCTGACATCCATGATTCAACTTATTTTCGCAATGCCACCCAGATGGCGAGACACAATGTCTAACCAGCACCTTGGCTTGGTGCGATGCCATTACGTGATTGTTCGAGGTCGAGTGAGAAGCGACCTGTGGCGGAAGGTGGGATGCCGCGTATATCCATGCCGAAGAGGGCCTCCTGCCGGCCACGCAGTCTCCCCAGGTCAAGTTCAATAACACCAGTTCTCGGGTCACCGGTTGCCTTGAAACGAAGCCGGTAACTCTTGTCTAAAGAGCTGGGATTGTCGGCTTGCAGAGCCTTGCACCTGCAGAGGCGGTGTAGAGTGCTGTTCAGAAAGATTCAACATCCACTGCGGAATTGTGACGGGCCCGTCCAGAGGATAGCCAGGGACGAGACCCGGCAATATGACTTGATGCGCTCTTCGCCAAAAAATTCCTCAACTGTGCCCAATCGATCTACGCCTCAGTTGGTACATGTCCTCGCTTTCAACAAGGACAATGCATACCAGCTTGAAGCGCAACTTCAAGTTGACACACAGGTACAGCAGAAGCCAGACTTGACCGGCAGGCCCACCCACCGCTTGTACATGTACCAAACAAGGTTCACGACCACCACTACGGCTGGTAGGGCTCCAATGACTACGCCCGCCACCATCCAGGGCGAGACGGACGGCGATTGGTATGCCATCAACTATCGTCTTTTCGGCGCGAGAACGATCGTACGTGTCGACCCATTTGATGTTGTCTGAAATGTTACTGATATGTCGGATGACAACAGGAGTCTCCGTGCCGGACGATAACATGATAGTTTGCGTTATCTGCATGGCGGCATTTGGGCCCTGGGACGAATCTGTCACCTAGTAATTTCCGTAGGTGACTGTTATCCTCGTGGATCATCCACTGTAGATAGGCATGCATGTTGTTGCCAGGATTCCTAATGCAGCTGTTTCTGGGTACTTTTGACGATCGTTGGAATTCCCGTGTCGATGCTTAAACGATCCTTTGGCATGATGCCATCTGCAGGATCTAGGCGTTGAACGACTCGAAGACGGCTGAGAACGTTGTCTTCATCCTTGACTTCCTGTGCGCCAGCCCTTTTGAGCTTGTGTCTTGGTGTGCTCCGGTGGCGTCGGATAGACACTGTCATCTCTCATAAGACCGCTTAGGTATTGACATGGTCCAGCAGTTGGTGCCCTACACAAGTTTCTGCCTTGCAGAAAGATGACCACAGTCCAGGATAGGGAATGCTTGGTATATATATGTAAATATGCGACTGCTCTTCAGTCCGGCAAGACTTCTGTCTTAGCAGAACGAGCCCAGCAGTAAGAATGATGATAGGGATAGATGCCCCTGTGGATTGGGACCTGCAAGGGGGGGGGATACCTGGCCCTTAATATAGGAGATTGGGTGGCGCACAACCAACCATGAGTCATTGACACGTTTCACCGTCAGAAACGCGAACGGGCTATGTATTTGTCAACCATGGATGATTGTCTTGTCTTCCTCATCGAGGAATGTCACAGCTGCGCGGAGACATGACATATACCTTCACAGCGAGACAAGAAAGAGTTCATGAGTAGGAAGTTGTCTGGGCAAAACATCACCCGGGAACCTCAAAGAGGACTGCAATTCTGTCGATGAATGGTAATTGTCTCGTTGTGCAAGGGAGGAGAGGGAAGGTTGATGCATTCCGTGAACATGTATCTTCACACCGAGACAGAGAGTCCTCGAGGACGCAGGTGGACATCAGGAAATGGGAATGTTGATTCTTCCAGTCACCGACCTGATTTTCAGTAGTAGTGCATGAAGTCTGCAGTCAGAGCGAGTCAAGCGATCTTCACGTACCAATCCTTTGAATATCCAATTCCATAACAGCGCTTCGTCTATGTTCGTTATGACTGTGAGCTAGATTGCTTACCCGAATTTGTATGATCCTCAAACCTCCCGAAAACGAACGTCTACCGCGGCGGCAGCTTCGAGTTCATTCCAACGATGCAACGGGCAATATCCCAATCACCACCCAAACCAACCCAATCCGTCACCACGATACCTGTTGACCAATCTCCGTCTTTGACTTTTCCATCTTCTGTCAGCATGTGCCTCTGGCACAAATGTGCCGTGACGGCCGGATTGACTTCTGCAGCAATCTTCTCTGGCCAGGTACCGACCTTCCAGAAATTGCTGGCGCTCAGGAAATTGACGTAAAGAGGATACTTCTTCTCGCCCTGAGGTTGCACCTCCGCCGGGTTGAGAATGCAGCAACCACTACGCTCAAGCTGCTCGTTGACATACTGGATCTTCTTCTCAATGGTCGGTTTTTCCAGAACCTCGTAAAAGTCCTGCACGCAGACATCACCAGACGGACACATTGCATTGGGCGTGTTGTCTGCCCATATATGCGCATCGATACCCCAACCACGACCCTGCCACTCCTGCTTGAGTCCTTCTTCCAGTACGAAGCGACGAAGCAAGACGATACGGCCTCGCACCTCGCCCAAATTTGGCACACGAGGCTCCGTGAACCACTCTTGGGGATTGGTATAATGATTCTTCAAGATGCGACCTAATTGCTCGTCGGTTCCTTTGCCAGTACCTTCACGCTTCAAGGACATGATGAGTGTCTCGTCTGGATGATCCTTGAGGAACTGGAGGACGGTGTTGTACAAATCGCGGAAGTACTTGGTCCCAGACAGAGCAACGGGGAAAGCGGCATGGACAAGATGAAGCTTGTCCGAATTGACGTCGTACGGTTCTGGTACCTGAACGCGAATATCAAAGAAACGAACACCGTTTGCGAGTTGCTCCTTTGGCGAAACTGCCTGGCACCTGACTGAAGGTGGCGCATTATGATGCGTCGGAGAATTGTGTGTTCCTGGGATTGAGAGTGCACCCAAGGGAGTGTTGTCCGGTAGATCTTGCATCCACGAATCGAGATGTGAGGTGTTGTAGAGAGCCACATAGGATGTATCAGGGAGATAAATGCCGGTAAAGCGTATTTTAGGATTAGGTGCCAAAGCGACCAGAGATGCTGTTTGCTCCGTCGGTACTGGACAGTACATCTGATGCTTGCCTCCAAATTCTGTCTGAAATGTCAACCGTAGTCGCTCACTTGGGGCTTTGATGACAGCCTTGACATCAGTAGGAGTGACGGTAAATGGCGGCAGACTGATGGATAGTTCTCGAGTCGCGAAGGGTGTTGCATTTGCATCAATCTGAGGCACCGATCTGCGTGTTGTAGAGTTTGTGATGCCAACGCTGTTAGTCACGGCTGCGAGGGACATTGTGACATTTTGCATCTGAAACGCATTTTCTGGTGCAGGGTCGAAATGCTCCACCAAGACCAGATTCAGGGGATTGTTGCTGAGATTTCGGATGGTGACAAAGGGTGCCATGTTGAGTGCTCGAGGCTTTGGTTGGAAATATTGAAAGATATTCATGGAGAGGGTGGCCGGACCGCCGAGATTGATATAGGGCGATCAACAAATACGAGGTGAGCTGAGCTTCTCCGATGATGTATCGAGTTCAGCTGTCAAAGTGACCCTGGAGCTAAGAACAGGTTTCAGATGAGATCGCGGAGTAGCCACAGCCAGCAGATCCCCTGAAAAAAGGCTGATGTCTGACGCAGAGATCAGGCGAGTTTCTAGATGTCGTGGTTCTTCGACGTCTCTCAATACATCCTTTTATATATATCGTTGATGACCTGTTTGGATGATGATAGATTCGTCGAGTACAGTAGAAGATGCCAATCAAGCGTCAGCAGGGAAATCATGGTTTTATATCATTTGATTGTTGAGATCCCAAACTCCATGTGCTCCCTTGTCAGACGAAGCCGCTTATTCCTCGCCAACGTGATGCTTTCTCGGCGCCAATGGCAGCCAATTCGCTTATTCCTGGCCTACATGACGAAGGCTAAGAGCTGCTATTCGATCATCATCTCATTGATGCGGCACCATTTGCCTGCCTCCCTCAAGGTTATAATTGGTCCTACTTATTGGTGTTATTTTAGTAGACCTTGCCTTATGATCTGTTCTAGTGGCTTGAGACACCATGGAAGCCTGGAAACTATGATTACTAAGCTCTCCGGTACTGTTAAATATCACCCCGGGCATGACTGGTCGTACAATATTATCTCTTTTATGGTAAGGAAATTGAGAGTACTGTTTCATGGTGTGGACGGGTCGCTGCCGTTTTGACGAGGCTTTTGCTCCAACCCGCGGCTGAACTCATCACCTAATCTACCTGACCATCCTAGGTGCCTGGGTGCCTAGGTATTCATGCTTGCGAAGGACACGGAATCGGAGTATCGGACCACAGAAGGCAGCGTTGATTTTCCGAGTAGGTCCACCACATTCATCTACTAACGATAGGTATAATACTAGGCGACAGACGGGGGGAGGTAGGCTTGCATTCTTCTATCTGATTTGGTATTTATTATTTCAACGCTCAGAATTGGCTACCACTCGTCAGTACCACTCGTCAGAAGCCTCAACTGAACTTTCGTGGTAGGCATACATCTATGGCGGGTGTTCCAAGTTCGCTCCACGAGTCGATCGTGATTGTCGGTGCCGGTGTATTCGGACTGTCGACGGCCCTGGCATTGAAGGAACGTGGCTATTCAGATATTACGATTCTGGATCGAGAACTACCACCGGTCCGTGATGGAAGCAGTACTGATATCTCCCGGATCATCCGGTCGGACTATCTAGACCCGTTCTACTCGAGGTTGGCCACAGAAGCGATCGAATCATGGAAATCATCCAATCTGTTCAAGCCACACTATCATCCGAGCGGATACATGCTCACCACGGAGGTAAAAGAGGATATATATCTCGAAAAGAACAAAGAGATCCTCCGCGGTCAGAAGCAGACCTATCGTGAACTAAATGATGTGGCAGCATTGAAGCAGATGATACCAGGCGAAGATCTCAAAGATCTCAAGTATGGATACGTCAACACAAATGCCGGCTGGGCCGATGCTGCTGGAGCAATACGAGCACTCGCAACGCATCTTGCTGGTTTGGGGGTAAGCTTCATCACTGGTCCTCGCGGGACGTTGCAATCTTTGATTGTGGATGATACCGGCAAGAAAGTACTCGGTGTGAACGTGGCACAAGGCTCCCCAATCCATGCGTCGAGGGTGATCCTTGCGACAGGTGCCTGGACGGCTCGATATTTGGACGACCTCGATTATCACATTACCGGATCAGCACAGCCCCTTGGATTCATCCAACTCACGCCCGAGGAAGGCCGGAGACTCGCCAATATTCCCGTCTCCATCAACACAACCTCGGGCGTCTTCCTCTTCCCGCCCAGCCCTGGAGACAACCTGCTCAAAGTCGCTTACCATGGCCACGGGTTCGAAATTGAGACATCTGCAGCACATGGTGATACTGGCAAAGATGGCGTGAATCTGAGGGTGATTTCGGTACCCCAGCGTGACGCCAACAATGCTGCCTCAAAGTTTTTCCCCGAGGATGCCGACAAATATTTGCGAGCTGGACTGAGACAACTCATTCCTAGCATTGCCGATAGACCTTGGGTCAAGACTCGCTTGTGCTGGTACACGGAAACTCCTAAGGGCGATTTCATTGCTGACTATCACCACACTCTCTCGGGATTGTTCATCGCCACTGGGGGCTCAGGACAGTAAGTGGTCTCCGGCCTGTTAAGATCATCCACAAAAGGAATCTCTTCCAGCTAACTCATCTTGTGTTCATGACAGTGGCTTCAAATTCCTGCCTGTACTAGGTCGATACATTGCTGATTGCTTCGAGCGCACGGCTGTGTCGGACGTAAGACAGAGATGGAAGCTGCCGAAACCGAGTCCTCAAAAGGAAAAGTTGCAGGTGAATGATGGGAGCCGTCGTGGCCCTCCACGGCGGATGCTTCGAAGGGAGGAGCAACTTCGAGCAAATCTGTAGACGGGGCCAGCAAGGATGTCCAGGGCGGGATTGAGTCAAACAGGAACCAGCTCGTACACCATAACGATGAGCAGTTCGGTGAAGAACGCGTAACGCGTCATTGTCTATACCACCCAGATCCGTCCTGTTGTGAAGGATTTCCATCGCTAGTGTCGATGTTGAAAGGAGTGAAGAGATCATCGAGGAATATGTCAAAGCCTCCGGTCCCTGCAAAATGGAAAGGATCTTCAGCCGTCGCATCTACCTCGACGGGAAAGGTCCCGTTCGCTGCTTGGATAGGTGCGGATGTTGACTGCCTTGAATCATCCTGTCCTTCGGTCCATGGAGGAACCACGTGCACATTGAGACTTATGCTAGTACTGTTATCATCTACCCCGGCTGGTAATGCCGGAGTGGGAGAGACGGAATTGGAAGATGCCATTTGTGAGAGGCTGGAATCGAGAAGCGCCCATAAATCCGACGGTTGAAATGTGATTGTTGTTGTCGTCGTGGCACTTTCCCATCCACTCCTGTGCCTATTGCCACTGTCGCCCTCGTGCCTGCTGCCTTGAACCTTGGCCTGAAGTTCTCGGAGTATTTTAAGCTGAGAATCCATTAGCTATGGAAGTAACAACCAGAGTCAGCGAAAACGAGAAAGAATCTACCTTTTGAGCAACATGTGGACATTCGGGCGCCATCCGTTCCAGAAAACTCTCACTTTTCTCGAGGTCTTCTTTCGCCCTTATGGAGACTTTTGTGTCTCGAACGAACTGAAAGAGCCAGAAAACCGTCGCGGTTGCTGCAATCATGTGCCCGACTACAGGATTGGTCAGTTGAAAAGGAAAACTGTCGAATACCCGAAGCAATCGTGCTACCCATCCGGAATGAAATATCGCGAGGTCCACGGTCTGTTGTAGGAAGAAGGTGGGCTTCGGATTGTGAGTACTGCCCGCTGGGCGTTTCACGACCAGATGAATGAAAGGGTGGTTCAAGACCGCCGGAATTGCATGAGAGGCAACCTGCATCAGCGCCCAAGAAGTCCAATACTCTCGGTGCTCGAGGAAATCCGCGGCTGATCTCTCCCTCAATGACAGATTTCTGAATAGATGTGGTGAGCCGCATATCGTTTGGTTTTCGTGCATCTGAAGATTCAGTTGAGAGTATGTCGAGCTCGGCACCCAAGCGCTTTCTGTGTTGCCAAATTGAATCTCGTGCAGATATGTGGTGAGGTCGCGCCAGACAGATACTGACAGGAGACAGTGCGCGATAATCCCAATATCCTTGATAGAGTCACTTGCAGCGTGTCGTTCACTGTGGATACGAGTGTCGGATGAGAGCGGCAAAGGGCTCGGTGGACTAACAGGATAATCTGGTGTAAAACGTTGCACTCTTCCAAATGCTGCAAGCTTCGGTTGAGGCAAGAACATTCTCTCCAGTATGAAAATGCTCCAGTAGCATCGAGAAGCTACTTCCTTTTCTGCAGATGAATCATGCAGGTATGTTTGACTCCTTTTTGATGTCTCAATGGTTTGCAGTGTCGAGGCGTTTCCAATGATCATCCACGCTCGGGCTAATTTGCCTCCTATCGTACGAGGCAGTCAGCACTTTCGTTTGTGAAATTCTGGCTTTCTGGAATGCCAACCTTTCATATCGCTCAAGGCCAGGAGGCATAGTGCCTGGAGTATCTCAGCCGTGGCTATTCCCTCCATAGCCAGTTTTACAACGGCTTCGTGAGCCGATTGAGAGTAATGTTGCACATATTCACGTCCTGGGCTAAGGGGTATTTCAGGTGCTGTAAAATTCAAACATAGGGCAAGGAAAGCCCAACGAAGATATGTTGGGCCTCGAGCAAGCCTGTCCGGCAGATCTTCTAAGCTGAGCAGTGGTAATGGTTGAAGGTGGATCTTTGTTTTGTATACATGAACCGCATGATCCAATATATCCGAGTCGATATCCGCACTTGATCGTGGAAGATGTCAGTGACATAGAACATATCGACAATGTCGGGAAACGAGACCTGACAGTGGCATCAATGCCGGCGCTTGCATCGTCTCGAGCAGCTCCTGCCACAAAGTCTGGGGAAGTGTCTGTGCTAGCATTTGGCCGTGAGATTGAGCTACAAGATCAGTAAGACGGATTTGTGTCTTGACCTCAGCGGAAGAAGCATACTGAAGCATGGCATATATATCATTCATCTGCGATTCGAGGTGTTGGACTCGAGATTTGGAAGGTTTCCTGTTATCATGGTCAATGCAACTGGCGTGGCAATCACAGAATCGGCTGATATGGCGGACTGATGGTCTCACCTCGTTGCCTTGTTCACTCTGGGGGGTCGTCTTGACTGATCTCTGGGGAGATAAACACATTGTTGATTCATGCGCTGACAGATTGAGCACACAGGTCTTTCTGCCGGGCATTTCGTTTTCCTCGTGCTGCGGATGGTCTTTAGCCCCAAGAACGTACAGTGCAAGTGTACTCAAAGTCACCTACCGGCACGACTCACAAGCGTGTCGACTCCGACGCTCCTGCTCGCTAGACTCTTCTGCCATGGTCGTCGGAGGCCCAACAAGAATACAACAGTCTTCCGACAGGGAGAGTTCAAGTGCAGGAGTTCATCTTGTAGAACTCCGTAATTCCATGCCGAGACAGAGTCAAGACCTTGGCGTTTGTCGGGGTTCGGAAATTGATTATGAATCTCCAGATTTCCGGCAGCAAGCAACCCTTTTCCCTGACGCACGGGTTGCCTCCTGCCGCGAGCATGTGGCCGCTCACGACGCCTCATTGTCACGAGTACTCCTCAGACATCCCACCTCACTGACATCTCAGCTTACACCTCGACATACTCCTAAGACCACCCACAGCTTTGCAATTGGGCACGGTGGACACCGATAAGAACAGCGCTCCTTTCCGGCAATCCTATGTTGTGAATTCCTGGCGATTTCAGGTGGTTTCTCACCCGTAACGATACACATTTCTCGGAGAACAATGGAAGCCCCTCATAGAGCAGACTCTGATAAGCAAGTATGTACACCAAGGGGAATTCGGTCATCCTACTAGCGGTGCAATGAACTCGGCGAGGCCAGTCGCCTTGTTCCACAGTTCCAGTCTCCATCAAGATTCAAAAGCCCACATATCTGGCTAGGCCGGAAATCTGGAGACTTGAAAAGGATCTCCTGGTTTTCCGGCCTATTACACTCAACACCCTTATCATGATCGAGGCTTCAACGAGGATATATACTCCAGGAAAATGCCACATCGGTCCTCAACCACTCTGTATCACGCTGGTCAAGTCTCAAGGCTTGGTCACTCTATATTGGATCGAGCAGGTTATATCAACAACAATACTCATTTCTCTTGGTTGTCATTACCTCCGCCGCGAACCACCATAGTTCAATGGAGAAGGGCAGCTTTGAGCTCGGGGGAGACACCTCTGATCTCCCCATTCATCGCCAAGTCAGTACAGGAGTGGGCGAATGCGTGGACAAAAGCCATGCCAATGATACGATGCAGCTCAATGTTGGTGGCCGCGGAGCCACCCAACGTCGCCTGAGGAACTACCAGGTCAGCATGATTGGATTTTGCGGCGGTATCGGCACCGGATTATTTGTGGGAACTGGTGCTGCATACTCCAGAGCCGGCCCTGCTGGGATGCTTCTCGCCTATATCATCGTCGGCACAGTTCTGTGGTGCGTGATGCAGAGCATCGCCGAATTGGCCACGCTACTACCTACTGCCGGCTCTTTCCCTCACTGGGCAACTCGGTTTATCGATCCGGCTGTGGGTTTCTCATTCTCGCTTTCCTACACCTGGGGCTACGCCGTCGCCATTGCCACCGAAATCACCGCCGCAAGTCTCGTTGTGTCGTACTGGACGGACATCTCACCAGCCTGTGTCATCACGGTGGGACTGGCCCTGATCTTAACGATCAATCTCTTGAGTGTACGCTGGTATGGTGATGCCGAGACGGTTGGAGGAGCCGTCAAGGTCCTCTGCTTTATAGGATTGATTTTTGTCTCGATCATCATCACGGCTGGGGGCGGACCTAATCACAAAAGTATTGGGTTTCGCTACTGGAAGAACCCTGGTGCATGGACAAACTACAACGGTATTACGGGGTCGACAGGCCATTTCCTGGGATTTTGCTCGGCTTTCGTCAATGCCTCGTTTACCTATCTAGGTATCGAGACGTTCATCATCACCGCCGGCGAATCACAAGATCCACATCGTTCTATCCCCAAGGCGGCCAAGCGTGTGACCTTTCGCATCGCCTTCTTTTATATCACCGGTGCCCTTCTCATCGGCATGATCATCGACCCGAGAAACCCAGCGTTAGTGTCCGGCACGGGAAACGCCAACAGCTCGCCCTTTGTCATCGCTATCAAGGAGGCCGGCATAAGTGCCTGTAAGTGTGCTTTTTGAAATGGACTGTGCCACTGAAGCACGAGTCTTTTGCTTTGTCCGAGTTTGTACCGACACCAGTTGCTGACGATTTGCAGTACCATCTATTGTGAATGCCTGTATCCTCATTTCCGCGTGGTCTGCTGGTAACTCGTACTGTTGGGTTGCCTCACGCATGATTGTGGCGATGACAACAGACCGGCAAATGCCTCAGGTCTTTGGGCGCGTAACAAAAAACGGCGTACCGTTCGTGGCTGTCTGTACAGTATGGCTATTTGGCCTATTGGCATATCTGAGTAAGCTTTTACCCTGATATACTTATACTGGAGTTGACTAATATGTTTCTGGTGCGATAGGTCTCGGCAAAGGGAGTGCATCGCAGGCGTTTGGCTGGCTGCAGAGTGTCACCACCATATCCGGCTTGATTTCCTGGGCCACGCTCTGCCTCTGCTATATTCGGTTTCATGCAGCTTTGAAGGCCCAGGGCGTCAGTCGCGAAACCCTGCCCTGGAAGTCCGCTCTGCAACCCTACACTGCCTGGTACGGCTTCGTCGGTGCTGGCGTCCTCGCCCTTGTCACTGGCTTCCCTGTTTTCCTCAAGGGCAATTGGTCAGCCAAAACCTTTGTGGCGAACTATATTAGTATTCCGATCTTCATTATCCCTATCATTGTTTGGAAGGTGATTCATCGTACAGAGGTGATTTATTAACCATGTTACACACTTCGTCTCGTTTACTGACTTTCGTTCTAGTTTGCCCGAGCCTCTACGATTGACTTATGGTCTGGCCGTCTCCAGGAAGGAGAGATTGAACCAATGCAGCCCCCCACAACTCGGTGGGGACGTTTTGTTGACTGGTTGGTTTGAAAGAGATGGACTTACGTATCAGTAATTCATTGATGGGACAGGTTTTGATAGTATTGTCATCAATAACAGGCACATATCGCGGTGAAAGGAGGTTGGTTTATGTCGGCTTCGAACTTGGAGGATCCAAGCAACCAGATTATGATATGCGAAGCTCTGTGCATAGACTTTTTCGGGGAATGAGTAAAGCCAGCAAGACATCGAGGAAGGTGACGAGCATTCTCACACAAGAAAGCTTTATGTAATGGGGAGAGAGACCTGAAGAAGATCCGTGCTGCATGCAAAGGACAAGTGTCGTAAATTCACCTGTAGTCGTGATTAATTAAAGAGGTCGCGTCGGCAAATCAACCCCGCGTTTCATCACTTAGAGTGACGACCTTGCACCACTTTTTGTTTCGAACTCACCTTTCTCCACTACGATATCGCCTGCCATCGTCGACATCATGGCAGCCTCGGAAGTCAAGAGACTTGACTTTGTCTATCGAGATACTCTCTTTGTCGAGGTTGCAGAAAACAAGCGCCATCCTGGGGCTTCAGCTGCGGAACTGAAAGAGCTTCTGCTCCCAAAGAAAGGCAGTGCTCCAGCTAAAGATCAAGTAGCTCATTGGTACGAGGCCCAGCTTGTTCACTATGGATTGCCTCGTACCAAAGACAAGAACACGGCCAAGGTGCGGCTTACTACGGCTCTCGTCTCTGACGCTTTGCGTGTGCCATCATCCGTCACCGACCTGGAAGCCGCTATGAAAAAGGTGTATGCTACGAATGTCAGAAAAGCCAAAGCCGCGGAGAAGAAAGCGCAAGAGAGCGAGGCTACCGACCAAGGGGCAACGAAAGGCAAGAAGAGAAAGGCGGATGACAGTGAGCATACCTCTACCACCAAAGTGTCCGTCAAAGTCGGCGATGTTACCCTCGAGATCAATCACTCCCGGGGGCCAGTCAGCAAGAAGACTAAAGCTGAATCTGCCGCATCGAAGAAAGCCTCACCAAAATCGAAAGTCACCGCGCCTGCACCTCCGAAAGCCGCGAAGACCAAGTCGACAACCGCAAAGACTGCGGATTCCATGTCGATAGCCCCGAAGACTGCAAAACCCAAGTCGGCAACCACAAAGACTGCGGAATTCAAGTCGATGACCCCAAAGCCTGCGAAGTCTAAGTCAACGACCACAAATTCTCCTGCCATCAAGACGTCCACCAAAGCAGCCTCCATTCCTACACCGTCCCCTGCACGACCGAAACAGACTGCCCGAAGATCGAAGCCCTTCCAGTACAGAAGCCAGAGCACTCGTCCTGCCGTGTCATCACCACAACAAGTACACGATCACACTCCTGCCTCGTTCTACGACAGCGATGTCGACATGGACGAACCCCCTCCGTACGATTCGCACGACTTCACCGAAGACAATGATCCTTGCAGCGACGAGATCTCGGGCCTCTACAACTTCTCAACACGTGAAGATGAGGACGCTGGTAGTTTCTCTCTTACGCTAGACCAGGCCGCGGGACAGCTCTGGGGGGAGCTCAGTGTTGGCGACAAATCTGGAGTCATCCGAGCAAACAATACCTCCGGCCTTCTGAATGGCGAGCAGATCTCGTTTGGTTGGAGGTTGGGAGATTCCGAAAAGGGACTACTCACGTTTGGCCGCGGTTGTGATGGATCCTTCCGGTTTGATCGCCTAGGACATGTGTGGGGATGGTTTTTTGGTCTTATGGATGGCAAAAGTGTCGACTTTGAGGGGCGCTTGGTTTTCAAGGACCATTTTCCCGATATCGATGATGTGAAGAAACAATGGGATGACTTTCCGAGGAGAGCTTACGGAAGAATCTGAGAGCTGAACCAGTCTCGCTGCCATGTCTGGTCCACTTCTTCCTGCTAGCTTCCATCACCAGTACCTGCGAGTTGGACCATGTTACGGATCTCGAATGTACATGGATTGGATATCGGTCTCCAATTTTGGCTTTGCAACTACCGACCAAGCGAGAGTCATGTGTCATGTTCATACGACATAGTCAATGTGTAAAGCATCACCGTGTGGTGGTCTTTACTTGATGCACGCCCCAGACGTCTCGCTACTAATCGTCCTGTACGTTTTCAACAATCATTTCTTCATTTGGCGACCTTTTCTTCCGAGCGTCACTGAGATGATCAGATCTTACTAGCCGGCCTTCTAGCCTGCCTTTGAAAGTTCTTCACCAATTGTCGTACCGCGAGATCCAACATGACATCCTCACTCCCACCAGGGATCCTCGCGCCCATCACATCACGGTAAATCTTCTCCACCAACTCCCCTTGACCGGTCCTCGTATACCCGTTCCCACCAAAAATCAAAACTGCAGTCTGCGCACAGTCATTCAACACCATTCCGGCTTTGGCCTTTAGAAGCGCCGTCGGCCCACCGAGCTTCTCATCCGCCTCAGCCTTGGATAGGTGATTAAGCTGATATACAAACTCAAAGACCAAAGACTGCAATGTCTCGAGATCAGCCCCGGCCTTGGCAATCCTATGGCGCACGACAGGCTGATCCATCAACGTCTTCCCAAACGCCTCTCTTTTCATAGCGTACTCGACTGCCGCTGACAGTGCGACGCGAGCTTGTCTCGTGACGCCAATGGCAATCAACATGCGCTCATGATTGAAGTTGGTCATGATATATTTCATCCCTTCGCCTTCTTTGCCAACGAGGTTCTCTGCAGGGACTTGCACGTCATCGAGTTCAATGTACGTTGTCCCACCGGCGCGTTGGCCCTGAACTTCGAGACGCCGCATCTTGACGCCCGGGTAATCTTTCAACGGAACGACGATTAGACTTATACCCTTGGGACCAGGACCACCTGTCCGCACAGCCATGGGCGCATAGTCGGCCCAGATACCGTTGGTGATCCACTTCTTCTCGCCATTGATGATATAGTGCTTGCCGTCCGCCGATTTGACAGCCGTGGTCTGGATGTTCGCGACGTCCGAGCCTGCTTGGGGCTCTGTGATGGCGATGCATGTCCTCGCTTTTCCGGTCAGAAGTTGGGGCAGGAACCTCTCTTGTAGGGCCGGAGAACCGAAGTTGAGGATTGGCGGAATGCCATATGCGAAGCCAGGGGATAGACTTGATCCGGGACCTGAGATTCCTGTGCGCGCACGTTCGTCGACCCATATCGCTGTATGCAGGTAGTCCCATTCCGAGATGGGGACTCCGAGGATGTCGTTTATGCCAAGTCGTTTCAGCCAGGCGATTGGTAGGGGAGAGTTGAGGTTGGGGAGGAGCATGTTATGCTTATTGAATGTCTCCCAGACGTGGGGTGGGACTGTGCCTTCTGTTTCCCACTCCAAAACGTAGGGGAGGAAGTGCTCGGCGAAGAAGGCGCGGCATCTTTTCTGGAAGTTGAGGTGTGTTGGTTGGAAGTATGGTGATGGAAGGCCTCGAAGGTAACTGGGCTCGGCGAAAGGGATCTGGCTGATTGCGGCTTTGACGTTGCTCATGTTGGATGATTGTGCCTCGTCTTGAATTTACAGATGTGATAGAACTCGACAGAATGCAATCATAATGGCGGAAAGCCCTGGCATGGCCCAATACTAGGAGGTCTTGATGTTTGGTTGGAAGCCGCCGAGGAACCGAGGTACAAATGATTGCGGAGTAAGGCTGCGTGTTTTTAGGCACAAGGCTGACACGGTTCGAGGGGATCCTTATGGTGGTACTTTTGCACGCACCTGATTACGTAAGATTGTCATACCATAATGGCTTGATACAACTGTAATGTACATGGTCGCAACGTACCTTCTATGTCTATAGCAGCCCACAGTCGCCACCATCGCATTGAGGGGTTTTACCATCCAAAATCCCTCTTGACCCAAATGTTCATGCCCACCTTGTGCCCCTGTTCGACAGGCAGGCCAGCGTGGTTAAGTCGTTCGTCGCCGTAACCAATGGGCAACAGGTTCACCCAAAACACGCCAGAGCCTTTTCTTGGCTTGAATGATATGCCTGAAGAGCCCTTCTCTTCACCATTTTGTGCCTGCCGTTCGAAATCGATTCTCTCCTGCCAGAACTCCTTTGACCCTCTTGCACCGCTCTCATCTAGAGATTCAATGTCAAACTGCAACTCTGGAAACTCTGTGCCTCCACCAGTGCAACTGTCGTCAAGATATATGAAGAAGCTTGCGACACGATTGTAGTAACGACCCCGACCTGCAGAAGACTCGTCCCGCATCAGTGTATCGAACCAGTCCATATGATGATGATAGTATTGACTTGGAAGATATTTTACTAGTTGAATCTTCTCCAGACCATAATATGACAGCGGTTCAGCAATGTCAGGCGCATGTGGGGGACCTGTATTGGTCATGTTCCCTAGGAATTGTAGAGCTCGAGCATTGATCACAGAAGCCAGCTCGCTCTCCGGAGGAAGGAAGCAGGAAGAGGACGTTCGGTGTTTTGGCGCGTTCTCATCTGGGCTGTAGACTTGTGAAGGCACGAAGAGAGGCGTACTGGAGAGTGACCACGTCAGTATTGTGAGGAAGGATTCACCACGCATTGCATTGTCACCTGATGTTGAGAATCTGGTCGATCTCTGCTGAGGACAGGAAATCGTCCAGATACACCACAGCCGGATCATCCAGGACGGTGGTGTATGTGTAGTGCTGTGCTGCAGCGAGGGTTTCAATGCGAACTTGTTCTTCAGAGAGTGGCTGCGGTCCTGAAAAGAAAGACGGCCGCCATGATGGAACGAACGTGAACAAAAGGGCTACCAAAGCCACTAAGACGGAGATGACACTCCAAGATTTGACCATATTTCCCACCAGCAGACCTATGAATGTCTCATCATGAAGGAGTGACTGAGGTGGTTTGCATTCATGGGATCAAGAAACCTGCGGACGCGAATACAATGGAAACTCCCACCTCGGCGGAGAAGCCGTTGCTCCGCCAATCAGAATTAAGCAGTAAAATAAGCACGACAATTTCCGAATCTTTGAGGACTCGAAGTGAAAGCTTCATGTTTGTTTTATCATTATTGTCTCTCCGTTGTTCATTGTCCCGAGAAGAATTCCTGGCAGAAATCCGACTTAATCCGACTAAGGACTCGCTGGCTATTTCAGTCCACTTACAACTCAGCTCACTTTCAGCTCACTCTGGCATATCAGCAATACTGAAAATGCCTTTCGTCAACTCGCACTCTTGTCAACAGATACAAAACCCCATCAGAATCTACCCGAATGGCTGACACTGAGCGCACGAGGCGTACAAAATATGCGCATGAAACGAACAGCTTGAGTTACGGTCATTTTGGAACTGCTACGTATGAGAGCAAGAAGCGTTCGTGGTCGTTTCTTCGTCAACACGATGAACGTGGTCACTCAGACCGGGTTACGTCGTCTGGCTTTCAGCTCATCCATGAGCGAAGTATGCGTCTACCTCACGAGCCGGATGCAGACTTTGAATCTCCTCCGTTTGACCTAGTAGCGAGAAACACTCTGTTGAAGAAGGTTCCGGATGCCGCGTTTCTACCAAGGCGTTTGCTCAACTTCAACGATACCTCAGACGTTGACAGCACAGAACCTGCTGCGGAACGCAATACTCATTCTGTCAATCACCTGGCAGTCGGGAGCGTCAAGATTTCATTGAGAAGCCAGGCTCACGATGCCGCACGTGATCATGCCTTTGCCGCCTTCTCGACTGGTCAGAATGGCGAGAGGCTTCGATTAGTCGACATGGGCGCCGAAGACATCACCTGGCGAAATGATCAGGGCTCCCTGGAAATATGCAGAGTCCCTTGTCCCAGCTCCCGCACGTCGCCAAGTTGGAGCAACTCTGCCGAGAAGATTCTCTATCTCGCTGGGCCCGGCCCAACACGTCACAGATTTCTCGCTGTGAAGCCAAGCGGCACAAGCATACTGGAGCCTATCATTGCGGATGATAGTTCAGTGAACAAGCGATCGTTCGTTAAGCCGTCTTCGGTGGTGACCATACCTCTGTCAAGGACTGGCGAAAGTCCTCATGCCCACGCTGCTTTCAACCCACACGACCCTGCGTCAAACTTGGTGGCCATTGTTGATATCCGCGGTCAGTGGAGTATGTGGCGAATAGAGGGCAGAAGGAAAAGATCTGCTCGCGTGCTTTACACTGCCCACCTACAAGGGTCCAACAATCTCATGTCCTTCGCTACCTCACCCAATGACCAATACGTCTTGGACGGATGGCATAGGATTTGCTGGATAACAGATCCTGCAGGCTTGAGGCATCGTCGCCTCTTGGTGTGCGCTCGAAGGTTCGCAGCCGTCTTCGACGGCGGTGGGAACTTCGAGGGTCAAGTGGACATGCGATTGGGACCCCTTTCCGATGGTAATCAAATCCTTGATGTCAGGCACAGCACTGCCAGACCATTGTTTACGTTTGTGCTTACCACTTCACGACTATTGGTCTTTACTTCGATCTCAGACGCTCGTCCGGGATCACCCCAAAGCCAGCCGCTGGCTTTGTTGTGCTCCTGGAAGCACTTTCGCGGTGATCCCAACCTCAAGATGACATGTTTGGAGACCGCATGGGGAACGTATGGCTTTTCTCAGCTAGGACGAGAATCAAGCCTTTCAGACACGTGGGTGTTGTTATACTCCCGATCCAGCCATCTTGCGGTAATGTACCATTTTAGGCACGAGCTGCTGGATACGAAGACCATTTCGAAGCAAGACCCTTCAGCCTTCGAGCTTCCCACGAAACTACAGGACAAGGGGCAGTTCGTTGAGGACATTGCGCTATATCCTATCGAATTTACCATTCAAGGTGAAGCTTCAAACCGAGCAGATTATGGGTTGATGAAAATGATCGTAACCACCAGCAATGGCAGCGTGATTGAGGCGACGTACAAGCACAAGCTTGATGGTCGAAATGACGCGAATCAAGTACCGAAACTTCCCTTGCCTCTCGGAGCTACTGGTCGAACCATGCAAAGTTCCAGGTATATCGAGGATGATGAGATGGAAGATTTTGTTATACAAGATGGCATTGAAGAAGACGAAGCTCTTGCACTTCCAGCGGCGACCTCCGTCGAGCGTGGGGATGGGCAGACCTACTCTATGCACACTCAAAACTGGCAACATCTTCTGGACTCTGAAAGGTTCTGGCTCACGAAGAACTCGACTTCGCCTATCAACATATCCATCGAGAAGGCTTTCGACGATTTCGGAAGTTCACAAATTCGGAGTGAACCACAGCCCATGAAAGTCATGTCGCAAATAGTGGATGATTACAACATAGTGGATGTGTTTCGGGAGTCAGATCTCGTTGCGGCCTGGTTGAACTCACTTGAAGAGCGTCAAAATCTGTCAACAGCGGTGGTCGGTGCTGGGCTCGAGCTTCTCGAGCCTCTCGGCCCCTCGTCGTTCGGAAGTCTCCTTGTTCTGTATGAGCAGCTATCTCTCGATTATGTCGGATCGCTCGAGAAAGTCAAAGATCGCAACCGAGTTAACCGAGAAAGGCTTGTTCGTCAGGTCGTCGGAGACATCTTTCTAGGGAATTTGATCGTAAGATCTTATAAGATTGCTCCTGATCCGACCTCGTCCGACCCAGCTGCTGCTCCAAGACCAGATCTCGATTTACCATCTTCCCCACCGGAAAGACAGCGTGACAGTTCCGAAGCATTGTCCACACAACCATCAGTCTCACAAAGCCCTGCTGTGGAAGAAGAGCCAAGCCTCACCCGGCTTCGAGGTTATTGTACCTTCGCGGACCGAGTGCCTCGACTCTCAGTCTCCCATAAGCCAACTATTTCCAACGTTCTGGCCCATCTCCCCAACTCGATTGAAGAAGACCCTGCAGATTATTCCTACCAGAGCACGAATCAGACGCTCAAGCTGGCACAGGAAGAGGTGGCCGCTCAGTCTTTGGACCCACAAGAAAGAAGAAAAGCAATGCGACAAGCGGCTCGCCTGCAAAAAAAGCTCGAAAAGTCTGCCCAGAGAAGTCAAGAAGTTATGATGCAGCGACAAATCTTGCCTGGCGTTGCCAGCCTTCGAATAGGAGCTGATATGCCTCGGCGGGAAATTCAAAGCAGTCAGGCTGCAGCACCGGAATCGAGTCAAGCTCCAATCTCAACTCAAGTGATTCCAGGCCTGACCATGACTCAACCGGAACGTGGAGCATTTGGAATGAGACTACAGAAGGCCAAAGGAAAGAATAAGGGAGTGAAAAGGAGAGCTGGCTTTTGACGAAATTCTGTCTGTACGCCAGCAAGGAGGCACGGCCTGGGCGAAAGATTGGAACCTCACACGTTGTACTGAGAGAGTGGTAGCAGAAAGGTTGGCCTTGCAGATGTGTTTGAGTGTGTCGTGTGTCTGATGCCAAGCCTACTTGACTCAACCTCGTACCCCGGATTTTTATCTTCTCCAGGTGCCGAAGAATGCCGGGCCGGCCGGGCAGTGGAGAGCTATGGAGCCACTGGAGCCTTAACTACTGCAAGGCCCGAAGTTGAGCCCTTATTTAGGTGCTAAAGTGCGGGGAAGAAGCACCTGAGGTGATCAGTTGTCGCGTGAGGTGCTCGGATGCTCTGTGCTCATTATTGCTCACCCAATTCTGTCACCTCATCCGTGATGTGCCTGATTACTGCGTGAATTGTAGCACTGGCTGTGGTCAGTTGACTTGCTGATCAAGTTACCCCTCAATTGCTTCACTTACTCTCCCTTACTTCCCCTTCTTCTTGTCTACCTATACCTTTCTTCCTCTCACATCAACTACTACTCGTTGTACCAAATCAACAAGCCTTTTCAACCCCGTGATTCAAAGCTACTGGTTCTGGTAAGGGTCAACCTCAACTTAATCCTGTCCCAACTTCTCTCCGTATCACATACTAACCCTGGACACCAGTGACGAACCTATTCAACCTCAAACAACCATCACTCTACCTCAATCATCATGTCTGCCGATACATCAGATCTCACAAAGGTCGACTCCGCTATTAGCGGTATGGCCACTTCACCTCCCAAAGAAGGAACCAAACGAAGAACCACGTCTAGTGCACCTGGTGTAATGAACCTCAATGATCTGGGTAGGTTACCCTTCAACCATATCGTTTCTGCCTAACAAGTTTGTAGAGAAGGAAGGCACAAAGATCTCTGTTGCGATCGAGACACAGAAGACTGGATGGTGAGCTTCCAATCTGCCCCTACCTCACTTCCATGGCTGACATGTTGCAGGAAACTCAACACCTCACCAACCTCTGTCGAAGATCCTTCTATGCTCAAGAAACACCTCACCGAACCTCCCGTCAAGAAGATCGACCTCCACTTCCCCTTAGGACTTGAAGTTAGTGCACGAAACCTCAAAGGTGTAACGATCAAAGATGCACTAGATGCAATCCACAAGCAGTTCAAGAAGAAGGTATGTACAGGCAAAACTTCCCTGCGGGCAAGGGCCCATGCTGACTTGACACTCTTCAGGCCGACGACGAGATGGAAGAGCCATACCTCAAAGGTTTCGAATGGGACCCTGAAGAATCATGGACGAGACTGAAGGTTCACTGTCAGAAAGAGGGTATGCCAGTAAGCAAAAAGTCCAAAAAGAACAAGGACAAGGAAGAGGCATAAATCATGCTGTCCACAATATGCAATCAGCTACGAGCTGACACGAAGACCAACTCAATACTGCCAAACAGGCTGTGCTTCTGATAATGGAGCACGTATGCAACTCAAACTTGGGCTATGTATGGTATGCACGGAATGGTGCTTGCGGAGCTCTTTCTCATTTTGACGGCCTTTACCCATATTGTATGAAACGAATATCCAAATGGCATCAGATTTGCTAGCTCAAACCCAGCAATAACATTACCTTGACCCAATATTGCTATTTCCTGCATAACCAAGTCTTCCGGCATGGCACAAAGTGCACGAACTTAAAGGAAGCCGTCGTGCCAAGGAGTTCCATCAAGGAACAGTCCTCGTTTGAAGTATCCTATAGCATCAACTAGCTGTGATGCTTCTATGATGGCAACATTTGTTGAAATCGACGCCTATCCTTTATGTGGCGTGTACTTACACAATGATCTGATCCGTGCCTAAGCAAGGCGTGCCACGCTTACGCCGATCGCCCATGTCCGGGGAAGATATCGATAGCACTTATCGCCCACGAAGGCACCGAAACATGCTCAGAAGAAAATGTTAATCATAAAACCTCTCACATTAGACTGACAACGATTAATCCCTCCCGAGATGGGTTCCATCCCAGAAACAAAAGCTGAGGACCCTTCCGACACCAACATACCAATTGTTGATCTCCGACCATTCTACTCAGACGGAACGTTCGAAGACCGCCGCAAAGCCGCCGAAGAATTGGTAAGGGCATGCAACGAAGTAGGCTTCGTATACATCAAGAACCACGGCGTTCCTCAAAGCGAACTCGACCATGCATTCGAAGCATCAAAGACATTCTACGCCCTTCCCACGGACGAGAAGATGAAAGCGCCTCATCCGCCCGGATGGGCCGTCCACAGAGGCTACTCCTGGCCCGGTCTCGAGAAAGTATCCAGTGCCATCAGCGCAACGGACGACGATGAGTCTGTGAGCAAGTTACGGGAAGTACGGGACTTCAAGGTGAGTACTGCTGCTCACCCTCATTGTGTTTCTGGCCATGCAGCAAGACTTCGAGCGTCGATGCTGACTAGAGGCGGCTAGGAAAGCTACGAAATCGGCTCCGACCACAACCTAGACCAACCCAACGTGTGGCCTCCGGCCGATGTCTATCCCGAATGGCGGCCCTTTATGTCATCCTTTTACTGGACATGCTGGACCGCCGGACAGAACATCCTCCGCGCCCTCGCGGTAGGTTTGGGCCTCGACGACGAAGATCACCTACTCTCATATCACGATGGGCATCACAATCAACTCCGTCTGCTGCATTACCCGGCTATACCCGCTGCTGCGGTCGAGGGCGGGAAATTCGCAAGGATGCCTGCACACACGGATTGGAGTTCGATCACGATGTTGTTCCAGGATGATTGTGGTGGGTTGCAAGTTGAGCACCCGTCCCGACCTGGGGAATTTGTCGATGTGCCGCCTATCGAAGGGACGTTGGTCATGAATGTGGGAGATTTGCTTATGAGGTGGAGTAATGGTATGCCCCCAAGCCTTCTGGATGCCGAGGAGGCGGTCCTGCGATTAGTCAAGTAAAGTGCTGATCACTGTGGTGTACAGACTATCTCAAGTCAACGTCGCATCGCGTCCAGCTACCTCCAAGACAGGACCGGTTCACAGGCGACGAAAGGTTGACGAGACCGCGGTATTCGATTCCATACTTCATCACGACGGATCCTGATCGGGTAATTGAGTGCCTTAAAGCCGATGAGGAGCATCCGGCAAAGTATGAACCTATCACGCAGAGGGAATATAGTGCCATGAGGGCGAGGATGCAGTATTGATGGTAGTTCAGCATTAGAGTGTGATGAGGCTATACACTATGGGCTAAGCTGACTCGCTCTGGCCCGTCTCCCTGTATTCGCCGAATGCACTTTTGTTCGCTGGCAGGTTGATATCAGGAGAAGTCCACTGCATCGTTCGTCGTGACGACCCCTCCACTCCCGCACCCAGGTACCACCACACTCCTGACCTGCGAATCGAACACCCACTCTCCACCAGTCAGCAGGACATACTGATACGCAACAACCTCCCCGGCAGGCATCATCGTATCGACAAACCACTCCGGTCGACTGGCAGTGTAATTCGCCGCATCCAAATGCACGACCACGCTCGCAGCGTCACCAAGGACTCCGCCCAACTGCGTTACGTTGCCCACGACGTACACTTCCTGGCCGAAAGTTGTCGTTGCGTTGATAGTAAACAAAACCTCCGATAAACAAGGTGCGCCTGCAGCGATAGCGGGCAGATACTGGCCTGTGGCATCGTAGCTTGACGACTGACACTGGTCGGCCGTCAAGTTCGTCGTTCCCTGCGATGAACCAGCGCCCCACGAGGGAGGGAATTGTCCGGCCCGACGGCGTGCCATGGTCACGAACGATGCAAACGACCATGTGAGTTTGGATGCCGATGTGGATTCGCCCGTGTTGTGGTCAAATTGTTCACTGATACTGCCGTTGGTGGGCAGATGGGCTTGAACGGCACTCACAAAGCCATCCGCGTAGGTGGTGACGTTTATCAGAATCGCACTCATCGCGTCGCCTGTGTACGTGCCCACTGCTACGTCGGGACTGACGCCGCGGAAGAATCCCAGATTGATATCGTTGACGTTAAGTGTTCCGGTACGATTGATTTGCGCGACGGCATCGTAGAGCATTTCTGCGAGGGCCAGCGTGCATAGCGGCCACGCTCCACCGTCGAAGTATACGTCCTCAGGATATCGGCCTATTAGGATTGCGTCGGTGGTTGAAGCATTCTGGTTCACTGGCCAGTTCAATTTGCGAAAACTGTCCACGAGGGTTTTGTGCGTGGCTAGCATTTGCGAGTTGCAGGGTTGGTAGTCTGGATCGGATTTCGTTAGCCATGGTTGCATCTATGGTAAGAGGCAATGGTACGTACCACCGGCATCACAACTCGCATCTGCGTCGAAGACATGAATGCTTGCGAGGATGGGGTCGGCGTTGATACCGCTACGATCGATGTCGGTGTTGATGTCTGCAATGAGAAAGCCATCGGCAGCATTCCAGAAGTTGTTCTGGAGAAAGCACAGAATCTGCGGAGCTTGGTCGCAAGCCGCACAAGTGGTGTTGAGTTGCTGCGATAAGAGAGCGCCTTGAACGAGGGCGCGATGTTGAACCGAGATGGTGAAGAATGATGAGCCTTGCACTTCTTCCCATAGGTCGAAGCCTGTCTATTGGGAAGTTAGTGCTGGGGACGAGAACATGGGGAGAGTGTGCTTTACCTCATTCCAATACTGACCGACGTAGTTCAAGTCGTTAAGGATCAAAGGCCAGTAGATCTCGAGGAACGTGTCTGTCTCATCCAGATTGAACAAGACTGGGGCCAGGTTCATAAACGCTATGGCTCGCAAAGCTGGCCCATCACGTTGAGGACGACCCCAGGCGCCAGTGAAAGTCGTTATGTTCGTGTAGAATTTTGGTTCACCCAAGCCATTGCCGTATGGCCAAAGCGAGCCTGATGGGTTGGCGATCGTTTGCAGGACAGCCTGAGCGTGCGTGTAATCTTCAATGGTCTTGCGGAGACTCGTATTGCCCAATATCAATTCGTCGATGATCATGGCGTAGGTCAGCGCGGAATCGCGTGTCCAGCTGTAGAAATAATTCGGGTTCACTGTGGAAGGTGAGGCGACGACCATGCCAGGACTGGCGCCCTCAACCCAGGTTGAGCTCAGACCGCCGATATTTGCTAGAGCGCCGGCAAGGGCGATTGGCTGTTCCACGGCGATAAAGGAAGACAGGTCATCTTGTCTTGCATCAAGACTGGGAGCTGCAAATGAGAACGGCAAAACAATACCAGAAAGGAGGTAGATGAACAGCATGGCGCCGACGGCAAGAAAGAGAAGAAGAGGAAGCAATATGGAATGACTCAAGAATTGCGGACGGAAGGTATGAACTTGTTGAGGATGTTGAACAGGTACCTCAACATGAGGATCGTTCGACTTTTCATCAAGCAGGAGCTTGGTGAGCTCCGGGTTTTCTGAATCATCCATCTGGTACCTCCTCCTCACTGGCATGGCAAGCTTGAACGGACGTGTCGTGAGATCACCTCATTTTCAAGGTTGTGACGCTGATACGTGGTTGTCGTAGAAGTTGCTTTTCGACATTGATGACGCCGACGAGCAGTGATGAAGAAGGCCAAGCACGAGATTTGATTTGACACCATGGAAATTGCTTGCAGCCGGTCTTATTCCACCTTGGAACCAAGCTCATCCAGCGGATGGTTATTCGCTGACCATGATTGAGAGAAAGGGTTCCTTGATGAGATTGACTATCTACGGAAAGTGCCCAGGGTCAAGAGAGAAGTTGTGATGGTGAAAAAAGGTACAAATGGAAACTTCCAATTGTCGGCCCGTCTTTTGCATTCAGGACGCTGCAATGTCTTCGGGTTACAATCGGGCATTATGGACCTGACATTTCACAATATTGCAGCAGATGCTACTCAACCTCGCGTAATGGAAACATGAGACGAGTTTCATTCTGTATGATGGCTGACTTCACCCCCAATGTGCCAGCATAGTCACATTTCTACGTGGAAACGTCGATTCCAAAAGGATCGTTAGCTGGATCCTCGTGCACCCTATACTCCATCCATCCCGCGATATCTCGAACGATTTCCTCTCCATGAATATGTTTCACGAAAGCAAACATCAAGTCTATACCCGATGCCACACCGGATGACGTCCATATGTTCCCGTCCACCGTCCATCGCGCCCTAGGCTGCCATTGGACCGATGGCCGCCATTGAGGAATGACCTCCCACGCCCCCTTGAACAGTGTAGCGTTCTTGCCGTCTAGGAGCCCACTCTGAGAGACGATGCCGGAGCCGGTACAGACTGTCAACAGGTATTGGAGCTTCGGATATCTTTCCAGGACGAATTTGACAATGGGGTCGACCACGGCTGAGTTCGGCTGGCCCTGTCTCGCGGGATCGAAGGAGCCCATTCCGCCTGGTACAATCAGGACATCTAGCTCCGGCGCACTCTCAAAAGTGTGCGTTGGCTGCAAAGTCTGTGAAGTGGTGAAGGGCGCCATGCCCATGTTGGCGGGCCACTCTTTGGGAAAGGTTGACTTTGGTTGGGTATCCTCGGCGATGAGTGACAAGCTGACTCCCTCCGTACGAGTTGACAGTACGTTCAAGACGTCAAGAGGTCCGCAGACATCGATGAGCTGGAAGCCATCGTACAGAATCATGCCGAATCGTTTGGGTGGGTTCGCCATGTTGGCTGGCTTCTTGGACTGTTGACGACTGAATGAGGCACCAATTGCTGTTAATGTATTCTTCGAGAATGGAACAGGAGAAGCCGCGATGTTGAGAGTAGTGCCCAAGCAAAGAACTCAGCTTTAAGTACATGTCAATTCACGGAACCCACGGTGCAAGAAGCATCCTCACGGCGCTTATCTTCTGTGCTCTCTCCCGTGACTTCTTCATGCTTGTTACCTGCGATATGTGCATGGAGCAAGTCCTGGTCAAGCGAGTCACAGGAAGCAGAACCTGCTCGTTTATCACGACCAGCCGGTATCTACCTCTCCCAAAGGTTACAATTCCCATGGGGAGTTCTCAAGCAATATGGCGCATATGATCGCTGAATACGTGGCATGTGCCGGATAATCGTCAAGGAGTACTCGGTCCAGCGGCTTGACGGTGTCTCGAGGGGTACTGAGAATACGAATATATCTCGGTATTGGGGGCCAATCGCAACACCTCACGGCTCAGTGGGCAGCGACATTAAAACTTTACCGGAGTGTTACCTGGTTATCGTTCTTCCGCCCTTTCGATCGCATCTCCACCGAACGACCTGCTTTCTTCTCACTCACACACGATAACGACTAGATACTCCGGCCCATACCACTGTTCCGATTTCGTCTGCAGATGGGCCTCGACGGCATCGATGGCGGTTATCAAGAGTAATCTGCAACCGGTCCTGACTGATTTGGCAGATGCACGATGTCCACCGTCGCCGGGAGGATCAAGAAGGTAGAACGTGCGTGCAAACCCTGCAGAGACCTCAAGGTCCGCTGTCTACCTTGCGTTGAGCGAGATGACATCTGCCAAAAGTGCAAACGTTCCGGTGCGCGCTGTGTCTTGGAGGACCCGAAACCGCGGAAGAAGCGCAAGACCAACAATGACCGTGGCAGCGTATTGGCCTTGCAGGCCAAGGTGGCCGAGTTGAAAGCTCAGCTCGAGGAGAGAAAGGCCAGCAGTCAAGGCGACACAGCCACCGGACCCTCCAATGTGCCACTTGTTGGCACAGCTAACACTGCCACCATTTGCAGTGATGATTCGAGGAGTCAAGATGCGATGCCAGATTGGTCTCAATATCCGAGCAACGCCCAAGACTCCTGCGATGGGCATTGTCCATCTTCAAAGAGCGTTGTCGGTGAACTCCTCCGAAGCGGTCAACTGATGCAAACCGCTGCAGCGTCATATCTTTCTGGATATCGACATATGTGCACATATTTTCCCTTTGTCATCTTAGCAGACGATGCCAGTATTGAACAACTCATGCACTCTCAGCCATTCTCTCTACATGCCATACTCGTGGTCTCCTCAGGCGACAACGAGGACTTGCAGACCACGCTCGAGAAGAGCTTTCGCGAGGAGCTATTGAGGGCAGTCATGTTTGATGGAAAGAACAACATCGACTTGCTCCAAGCGTTGGTGGTGTACCTCGCTTGGTACCATTTCTTCTACATCCCTATGAAGCAGCAATTCTACCAGATACTCCAGATTGCCATCGGCATGTGCATTGACATGAAACTGGATCGCCCTCCAGAAAGGGCTACTGCAAGGAAAATGGGCCTCGAGGAGAGCCACGAAGATGACAATTTGTTAGGCGACACCTCAAGTGAGCAGTACTACAGCAAAGCCGCCAGACGAGCATACATTGGATGCTACTGCATATCAACGGCCGCATCATGGGTATGGTGCAAGCCGAATAATTTCCCCTACAATGACTACCTCGTGCAGTGCGCACGATCACTTTCGGACGATCCGGAGAATGCCACGGATGCAATGATCTTGCCCCTCCTGCAGACGCAAGTACTTGGGAATGAGTATCATAAGGCCTACCTGCACGCCAACTTCGCCCAACCCTCAGCACTATCGGAATCTACCATGGCAGCATTCCAAGCAAAGATGGAGGACAACCAGTCGACTACTCCTTCCGAATGTTGGCCGGTCGATCTAGCGCGCCTGTATGCAGCATCGTATGGCCACGAGATGGACCTTCTAAACCCCTGCGTGGACAGGGCCCACAGCCCGACTAGATCAGACGAGACGATGCCCCTAACGTCGAGTCGCCGCGACTGCCTGACATACTGTCTCCATTCCGCTGCGAAACTCTACGAAACATTCCTATCACTTCCCTACGAGGAATATGCAAAGCTATCAGTCCTTCAGTGGTGGGCAATTGTCTGTGACACGGCATACCTTTACCGTTTGTGCCTTGGGATACCGCAACTGCCAGAGTGGGACGTGGCAGACGCCCGTGAGGTTGCGAAGCTGGAGATCTATCTCGACCTGCTTTGCTACCGTTTAGTTAGCGCGACTGGATCGACGCTTGAAAAGCCCACAGGGCGAGATCTGTACTCTTTGCTATGCCCAATCTTCACGAACGTGAAGCGCAGCTATGAGAGGCTGAAGGAGCTGCCCAAGACGATGAGCGCGAGTGATAAACGGCCAGTTCATGCTGATGCATTTTCCGCAGGGCAAGCAAAGGCGGTCCCGAAACCGAAATTAGCCACGCATCCTAGTCACTGCCCAGCGTTCAGATACACCTCGCGCGCAGATGAGATTGGCTTGGGGCCAGCTGCGCAGGAAGGAAATCCCACGGAGACGTCGACAGTGTCAGATATTGATGTGTTTTTGAACTCTAGCTTGTTCGATGGCGACAATGCTTGGCTTGGAGATATGCCATCGCTGGATCTAAGTCCGTTTAACGTGGATGATCCTTGTTTCATTGCCACCGGACCACATGAGCCTCGTGACACGGCCATGGAGCCATGAGGCAGACATTCTTTCGCTATGCAAAAGCAACGTCCGAATTTACCGTTTCTTTCGTTCCTCGTCACTTCCCTTGCCTGTCTCACCATTCTCCTCGTTGTATGCGTCTGTCCCTTTGCCCCATTGTCCAGCTTTCTTTCCCCATTTCATCATTCCCCAAGCATGTTGGAAACCAAACTTCGGCGGTGGTGATTCCGCCGTGCGATAGGGCGATGCACCATGTCGAAACAATGAACTCGTTCTCGGGTCATTGCCTTCGTCATGTCCACTCACAACGCCCATACCTGACTGAACAATACCCACTTCAGAGCCTTTTGCTCTCTGATCCTTGAACGACTCCCACGTCCGTCCCTGACGATCAAGCGGCCGCCACCATCTCTTCTCATCCATATCATCCATCACGGCTAGCCGCTCATCCCACCACCGTCGTCCACACATTTCCCACAACCGACTCCTCGCCCGCTTATACGCGAACCGCTCATCCTCCCCAGTCAACACGCCCGTGGACGTAAAATCCGGACCAATGGCCTGTCTCGCCACTGCGTCCTCAACATCGGAGTTCGACATCCCACGACCCCGTCCATTCCCATATGTAGGCCCAAAATCAGCATCCTCATCCGCCAGCACGGATCGACGCGAGGAGTCAAGCAGCGACGCAGTAAAGGCCTGTTGTTGCAGGCCAGCATCCCGCTCATTCCGCCCCGCGTATATCGACACGTTCGGGCGGAACGGCGCCGTCGAATCCTGATACATCTCGGAAAACGCTTCGGAGGTGATACTATCGGACTCCTCGACGTCATGTACGCCCGCTCTCCGCCTCGTCTCTGGAAAGAACAATTTATCAGGCGGAGCAGCCGCTTCGATCAGTAATCGACAGCGAGCCTCGTACAGGGCATCGAGAAGGGTGATGAATCGACGCGCCTCATTTTTCTGGATGGAGGTCAGAACAGGCACGTCGGCGATGATGAGCGTGTGGAATGTCGAGCATAGAGACACATAGTCTGCTGGACCGAGGTACGTGGCGCACAAATCTGAGAAACTAGACTTCAGAATGCCGCCGTGCGTCGCGCGTAAGTGCAACGGGCGTGCATACACGGTCAACGTAGTTGACGTCCATGTATCTGATGGGTTGAGCGTGCGTAGGTCCGTAGCAAAGGACCCAGACGGTGACGATGGGACAATAACGTGGTAGTGAGGCGGCGAGTCTGCGGACAGTCCGTCATCTTCTGTGCTGACGGCAGTCGTTGTCGTCGTAGTAGTTGCCGTCGCTGTTGTTTTGGTAGTGGTTGATGTCGTCGTCGTCCTCGTTGTCGAAACAGACACTCCTTCCGTCTCCACTGACTCTGCCTCCGACCCCGACACATATCCCTCGTCACTGATCCCCTCGACATCCTGATCCTGCTCACCTACCTCATCATGATAAATCTCCCTCCTCCAATCCCTCTCCCCCTCCATCTCCCAAACCTCACATCTCGCCCTCAACACATCAAGAAACATCCCAAAATCAGACCTCGCACTCTTCTCCCCTTCACTCGCCCTTCCAAGTCCCCATCCTAACCCAAACAGCCCTCCACCACCGCTAAACCGTCTCTTCAGTTCCGAAAACTCAATCCCCGCAGCCTTACTCAACTCCTCGGGCATCCGATTCGAACTCGCCACCAGCACACCCCCCAGATGGAAGAAACTCGTAAAGAACCCGCCAACAAGCTTACTCGCAGTCCGATCCGGCATCTGGAATTCATCGAGGAACAATATCGGACTGTCACACACAGTGTCCCGCGCCAGCCGTAAGACAACATGCTCGTTTTCGGAGGTCGCTCGACCGAACAAACTCGGTCGGGCTTCAATCTGTTGCAGTCTAGCAAGCTCAATCCGCCGAAAGACATCGAGCATGAACGTGTTATAGTGCCACCGGCGTTTCTTGCGTGAGGGTAACGACTCGTAAAGTAAATCGAGGAGCATGGATTTTCCGCGCCCGACTTCGCCGTAGAGTAACATGCCCCGTGGGGAATCGATTGACAATGCTGAATCGTGTAAGGGGAGGGTCCGTGTCAATGCTAATGTCGATGATGAATTCGATGCTCGGGCTAATAACGACGACAGGACTCCGCCTCTGCTTCCACGGTGTGGCCCCGAATCAGACCGGTGGTTGGACCTGGACCTCTGCTCGGCGCCATGCTCTCCAGCCTCAGGCTCGTCGTTGGTGCTCCTCGAACGCTTGACAGGAACACTCCGCCCAATCTTTTCAAGACGGTACCAATACTCGACCTCCGGAGCGTAGTCCTTGAGCCGGAAATAAAGTTTCTGTAGTTGCAGTGCGAGACGGTGCTGCGCGGGGTCGGGCTTGATTTTTTTGGTCGCGACGAGGGCGCGGTAGAGTATCAACGGGTTGGTGATACTTAGACTGAGATTTTGGGGTGGAAGAGGTGGTGGCATGTCAATGTCATTGACCAATACAACAACGCTTGATGAATATTATGACCACGCCAGTCAGAACACCGCAGGGGTCAGAACAATTGAAAGAAATGGTGCTTTGCAGTACTCGTTTCTCATAGCATGCAGTCGTAAAAGAGCGGATTGTTAAAGATCAATGCATACAAGGTGAAGTTCCCAGGTTGGAATGATATCATTTGATTGGGGTATCTCAAGGACGAAGCCATATGAACCATCGTGGCACATATGCTCCGCCAAAGCTCATATTCATGACTTGCTGATTTTCGAAGCCAGGACTCTACTCAACACAAACCAACAAGAACAGGCTCTTCGAGAATGACAATTACTGGTGGTCGCCATCGTCTTCTGGTAGTACCGACTCGCAGCGAAATCAGTCATCAACATCAAGGCTCTCCACGCTCCGCTCAAGACCTGTATCTTGCAGGCTTGAAGTCGTGCTTGCCATCTTCCGCAACCTGCCTTTCGCCGCAGATCTCTTCTTGGGCCGACTGCCTCCATCGGTAGAACTAGGCGGAGGTGCATCCATGATCCATCTGACAATAGCTTCTGCTCTTTCGGTCGTGACCGGATACTCCCTGCCATCTTCTTGAGCCCATCGCCTCGGTTTTCGGGCCGAAGCATTTGTGTCCAGGCCATTCCCGTCCGCGCCACTTTCCGGCATCTTGGCCCGACAGTACTCTTTCCTTGCCTCTTCTTCTTCGCGTCTAGCAGCTTTCAACTCGCGGGCTTTCAGGCTGGCCCTCATTGCTTCCTGATTCGCGGCTCGCTCGTCCGCAGGGGCTTGCTCGATGAGTTTCCCGTTGGCCACGCTCTCCTTATGAGGTTTGGGTTTGTGATGCCCATTCTGCCCAGGAAGTGGTGCCGGAGAGCATAGATCCTCCCAACTAGCAGACAGACCGAGCCAATTCTTTGACCTCCTCAGCACCTCGACCCAATCCGCTCTGGCAGGAGACCGCGCAGCAAGGAACACAGGGTACCCATCACAGACTCTCGCAATGCGCGCAGCCATATAGCCGTGTCGTAAATGCTCCTTGGTTGAGGTTTGGATAAGACAGTGGCACAAGAGAAGAGAGTGGAGGACGTCCGTCAGCAATGGATGGTAAGTAACTGCTTCAGAAAAATCCGGGAGTGAGAAAGTGTCAGTATCGAGACGTGCGCCTGGCTCAGGAGGATAGGGCGGCAGATCAGTGGGAGGCATTGCGGCAAATAGCGTGTTCAATGTGTAGATCGCTGGTTTTGGTATCTGAGGCAGAGGTTGCTTTTGCTGTCGGTCTTTCTGACCTTCGTATTTGACAAGTGCTTCTGACAGCGCAGAACCAGAATGCGCGTCGAGGTCGAGCAGTCTTTCGCTCCGCGATCGTCTTCCATTCCCGAAGTTCGTCGAGTTGACCTTTTCCAGGAAAGCCTCCGTGTACTCGGTCGAAAGGCCTGGAGTGTAGTCAAAATGCGACAGAAACGACACGTAGTCACGAAGGGCTCGTTTCGCGAAAGTCCGTACCAACTTTCGCGCATCAGCACTGTCCCGTGCTTGTTCTTTCTCAAGATATGAAGGAGCCTCGGGTGTCGAGCCACCATTATGCGATGCTCCGTTAAGATTGCTTTCACCTCTCGGAATGCCTCTCAAGGCTCGACCAATATTGTCGCATGCAAGGGTCAGATATGCATTTCCCCGATGGAAGAGAAGCTGCGGTTCCAGGCTGCTGGGCTGATCCTTCTCCTCGACACGACCATCAGACCGGTAGTCTCGGTTGATTTTCGCAGCGTCCTTGGCTAAAATGAGATCTCTCTGCTGATCCTGGTGTTGTGGATGGTATAGTCTGAACGTTTTCAACCCGTCAGTGCAATCTAGAGCCGCTCCTTCCAAGTCATCCTTGAACACACGCGCTACAGCTCTCGTCCTGTACGTTGACGCCTCCGTAGGTCTCTGGCGGATCACATCGCTCAGAGTATTTAGGTCTGTGTGTTGCGCCATGCACATCGAAGGTATCTTCTCGTGGAAGAAGTGAACGTATTCGGCGTCAGGATCCTGCTCGTTTCTCTGCAAGACGTGCTTTGCTACATCCTCCAAGGCCGACGCTGATTGCATTACAGCCACACTTGAAGCGATCTCGTCGAGACGGTATGCATGGGACAATTTCTGCGTAGCATGTTCCCTCATACGATGTTTTCGTTCGCGACTGAGTTTTGCATTCCCGCCCCCTCTTGATGAACCCAGCCCAAGTATTTCGGCGTCTGCTCCATAGAGCATTCCATTGTTCCCATTGAGTGAGTTGTGTAACGAAGCCGATGTGGTGCCATTGGCGGCGCGAACAGCCAGACTCGTGGCTTCGTCGATTAGTTTTCTGATCTTGACAAGGTCAAAGAATACTGCTGGGTCGACCGGTCTCGGGCGAGGAGAGTAGTAGTTGCTAAAGGCGAGACTCTCGAGGACTTCTGGAGGCAGGCTAAGCCATGGGCCATGGTAGGATGAAATGTATCGCCAATGTCTGTAACACCAATTAGTCCTGGATGCATTCCCACTCCCAACACACATGTCCTTAGTCTCGGATCCGGGGCATGGAGAGACGTACTTGTTGCGACATATCACCAGTGTGGGCGGCGCGGAAGGTGTAGATGTTGTAGTGGAGGGATTTTGACCATTCGTTCCTGATGAAACGTCTAATGTCTCATGTTCTGTAAGACCTTGCGCAGTGCCTTTCGGCTTCTTCTTCGTCATGATAGGTCTGGGGTAATCGTTGTCTGGGGCATTGCGCTTTGTTGGGCTGGCCCACACATTGTTTGCATTGGAGAGATTTATTGTGCAAGGTCGCGATGCGATCTGCGCGGTCAAAAATAACCCGAAACTCAACCTTTCGCCAATCGGATACTTCACTTAATGATGCGGAGCAATGTTATTTCACTGTTTATTGACTACGCGACAGGAAAGGTAAAGGAGAAGACGTAAGATATCGAACGAGAAGCCATTTGAGGCAGGAGCAATCAACGATGGCAGTAAGTTTATACGACGGCTAGGAGAAGCTAAGATTGTAACAGTCATTCCTTTGATTAGATCTGACTATCTTAAGACTGCAATTAAAAGGGCAATGCATGGATTGTATCCAGCACGCGTATGAATCGAAGAGTCGTTTTTGCCGTCAAGTCATCTTTCCAGACCCCATCATTTAGGTGACGGTGGTGCTGGTGGGGAAGATGACCTGGTAGCCAGTGTCCAAAGCCCAAGCGATGCTGTTGAATTCCAAGTTGGTCTGGTTGATTTGTCCGGCAGGGGTGATGGTGAAGAGGTTGAAGCCCTTGATCTCATACTCCTCGCTACCAATTCCAGTGAACTTCCAGTACCACAGAATCTTGTTGCAGTTGGCGACATCAATCTCGAGAGTGTTGATTCCAGTCACGGGAGGTGATTCGAGGACTCCGGTGATGTACGTATCCTTGCCGACAAAGGTTGCGGTTCCGAGCTATAACGTGTGTTAGCACTGGTGACTTCTCTCTGGCCTGCTTTCATTTGACTTACTGGCTGGCCCTCAAGCGACAAGATTGAGTCACTGATCTCGGTATAGTTGACATCGAGAAGTGCCTGAGCAGTGGTATTGGCAGTGGTGGGATCCGAGTGGGTGAGGATCGAAGCGTACTGGTTGACGATCGTCTCGGCTTGAGTTTGCGACAGGCAGTTTTGCCAGTCTGACCAGTCGCGGTTGCGGATAGCAGTGGCGGTGACACTGGAGGCCAGCGCAAGAGGCGCGATGATAGAAGAGAACTTCATCTTGGATCAGGCTGAAGATATGTATCGAGAACGGTGATGTGAAGCGAATGGGATATGAATGAGGTTCTGTAGCAACAAGAAGGAAAACCTTTCGCACCTACCAGCAGATGTCGACATCTTATAGCTGCATCAGGTACAGTTCTTTGCGCCATTCGACCTTGTCAGAACTCTTTCAAGATCACCGGCACCTTGCCCCTCATTCCAGACGGGAAATCTACCTGGTCATGCAAGGCACATGCGGATCAAATCATGAGAATGCCTGTTGGTGTGGCTGTAGGGTTCAACGCGGATTGGATTTGATCCAATGCAGTCAGCCCTTCCAGACGCAAACGGAAATGAGCTAGGAAATGATGGGTTTTCGATCGTGTGTTCCCGAAAGTGTAAAGAAATGGCATCCTAATGATGCGCAAGCCTTTGTCCTTCCTGTTTTGGCCAAAGAAGAGACCTCCGGGTCGCATTTAGGAATAAGCCGTCATCTCTACAAGATGGTGGTAGTTGTCATTGATCCAGCGCAGGTTCGCTCCCAACTCAGCATGAAGCTCAAGCAGACCGGTCCTATCGAGCTGAGAATCGAAGCTGCAACGATCCGAGGTATGCTGCGAGTCGTATAGAATCACCCCAATGAAAACCGAGAGCCTCAGCTGCTCGGTGGGACAGAAAGGTTCCCGTGGTATGTTGATCTCGACCGGATGCTGCATGAGCCGGGGAGGCCTTTCGAGGTACTGCAGCCTAGGAGGCTAGGGCCGGGGTGTTGGAAATGTAGAGGTCATCTATAGGACTGATATAGAGTTTTAAGAACCTTCTTGATGTCATGACTTGGATGTGGCTGCCGTTGCCCACGGGTTCCCCCTACCATGCCCCGAGTGCGGAGAAGGGCAAAGCGGCAAGGGGGTGACCAAACCTTGTAAAAATAACACAGACTCGATTGTTGTCAAGCGGGCCATTGTTGGCATTGTCTGTTATCATGAAGTTCGCGAGTTCGTGTGCGTACAAAATCGCGAGCATCGGTGGTCGTTGAGAAATGGAATCTATGCGAGCTGCTTTGATAAGCAGGCAAGCGAGGCCGCCAGCATTACACTAGCCATCCTGGCCATGGGATCTGGACTGTCAGAGCTGATCCTGACATCCGGAATGCTCGCGACAGGGCTTGCCGAGGTTCCCTCTCATCAGCATTGTCCCGTGTGTCTCACTCCCGGCTTTGTTATTCGTTGGAACCATCGTGCCAATTCATTTTCTCCTGCAAAGCCTGATCTCGCAAACTGAGAGGCGTGTGGAGGCTGTGCATCCTTAACCAGACTTTGCTTGTGTTGTAGACACCGGAGTACGGTTGACGCCCTTGGTGGAAATCATGTATAACGTTCTGGGGAAGAAATGTCGTGCGGAATTTCGATCTTGGTGGAAGTGATACATCCATCCCCTGCGTTGTTGTAGTGGAACCATGTCATAACGTGGCGCCCTTCGAAATCCAGACCGCGTAAATCGATCACCACATATCGCTCTGGGAAGCCGTCACGTAGCCTCGTGTCATCCTAACAAGGTCTCTTTCGCCGATGTTCCCATCTCACACTTCTCCACGGTCATCCACGTCAATCCCGTCCCAGAGACCTTGCACCACTACGTATGATCGTATATCGCACATCCACTTTTGCCTATGGAGTTTTCGCTTGCTGACACCGTAGGTGCGTGTAGCCTGATCATGAGGATGATTTCAATGTTGTTTGTAAGGCCGCAACAATAACAAAATGTCTCACAGTGCAAGGGTGAGATGTCCGGATACTTTTGGTTTCCAATTTCTGTCCCAAGGCGTTGAGAAACATTGACGACATGGCATGTTGTAGTAATCTCCGTCATGCACATTCTGAATCAGGGCACAGGAGGCCTTATGGCATATGTGCTCTCGCAGGGTTAGAAGATGCAATTACTTGACCACATCTCTTATGCTGTCGTAGTCGTAGATCCAGGAGAGACCTGCGTCCGGGCCAAGCCAGAGAAAGTACGCCCACATAGTCCACTCTTTCAGGATCTGACGAAACGTGCTGACTGAGGATTTTCTCATGTCGCCACCTTTAGAAGTGAAGGCAAGAATCTTCTTTACACGTTCTTGCCTTGTGCTCTCCCACTTTCTCAGGACATTCAGATGATCAACATCCTTGTCGTTCAGAGATGCAAGGGTATCGGCCAGAGTGACAGCGTCTTCGTGAGCCTGAGCCGCTCCCTGACCTCCTGTAGGGGGCATCGCATGCGCTGCATCACCGACGAGAATGACTCTACCAGTCCTGCTCATCCACGAGGTAAGCTCGGGGACTTTATAGAAGCTTGCAGAGGATCAGCTTGATTCAAAATGCGAAAGGTCTCAAAGCCTTACGGCCACAGCATTAGACTTGACTCGTCGATGTTTTCAGAAGCAGCATGGACGAAGTGGGGCCAGTGTTCGTCTTGACGATGAGACTGCAGGGCCTTGTAGAGTGCTGGCCGGTCGGTTTGCAGCTGGCTCCATTCTTGTCGTGATCGATCATGACTTTCGACCGTGGCGAAGCATCCGACACGGTCACCAGTGTACGTACAGGGCATCAACATGAAGGAATTCAGCTTTCCCAAGATGAGACAAGGCATGTACATGCTCTGGCTCGACGAGGTTAATCTTGATCTCTCAAGTGATCCTCCGATGCCCATTTGCCCGCTGAACTTCGGGGTTGCGTTCGGCTGCAAGAAACTGCGAACTCGAGAATGAATCCCATCGGCACCAACCAGAAAATCAGCTTCCTCAGTATGGCCGTCCGCGAAAGTAGTAATAACCGTGGATCTATCAGTCTCCTCGATATTGATACATTTCGAGTTATACCGCAACTCGATGTCTCGTTCCCGAAGAACTTCAAGCAAGGTTTGACGTACGACGCCTCGGGAGATTCGTAATGCTTGATATCCATATTTATTCTGGCTTCCATTCAGTACAGTTCCAATTGGGCTTAAATTCCTAGATGATAGCATCTGTAGTTCTTCGTAGTTCCAGCCTTGCTTCGCTATCCGGTCATAGACGCCGACACGGTCAAGGACTCGGAGAGCGTTAGGGGCCAGGGCGACAAAACCACCGTCAAGAGCATCCTGACCACGTGCTTCGAAAATGGAGCAGCTGATGTTGTGTTGTTGAAGCGCAAGAGCAAGGAGCGGCCCACCAATACCGCCTCCAATGACGATAAGCTTCATCGTTGTTTTGGGTGTCGGTAATATACGGAGTATGACGGTTTTGCTTGTAAGTCTGGATTGCTGATGAGGTGGTGTGAGTGTCGGCAATTTGGTTATAATAACATGGAATGAAGCAGGTGGTCAAAGCTTGAGGTCATGGCCAATAAATAAGCCATTATTGGCCAGAGGCGCACCATCGTCAGCGTTGATAAGATTTGGCAAGTCTAGATCATTGTGAGAGGCTACCATGTTGCGTAGCAGCATAGTGGGATATGAGGACCAATGTGGTGCAACGGTCACATCCAGCATCAGCCACAACATTAATACAGTTTCGGGATGCACCTGGACAATCATGTCTAGGGACTCGTTTTCGAGGAAAGCGAGGAGGGCTATACCCAGGTTTCGGCGCTCGCATCGTATCCGTTCTCAAAGAAGTAAACGCTGCCGAATAAAGTCAAGAGTGTAGCTTGGCCCTTTCGACCGTCCAGATTCACAGGGTAGCAATGCTTAACATAGAAAGGTTTCGCGCTCAGACCACTTGATGAAACACCTTCTGAAGTCGTCATTTCGTATCAGAATGGTCGGGAGTTGTTGTATGTTGTTCTCGCAAAAGGAATGGTCCATTATGCTGAACACCTGTCACAATTGCAACCAACAAACTCGTTTCGTCGTCATATCTCCGTCTAGCCAACTCAAGGGAGAGAGATCGGACGGGTTCTATACAAGTCCTCCCATTGCGCCAAACACGGCGCCGGCGCCAGCAGCGTAAAGCATTCGGGGACAAGCGGTCCGTCGAGGGCCATCATTACCCACCTGGACAAAGCCGCCGCTCGTGGAAGATGCAGTTGTAGTAACTGTAGTAGAGCCAGATGCAGTTCCAAACATGCTGCATTGTGTTTCTTTGAGATTATAACACCCTTCTGAGCTGAGGGAGCTACAAATGCTGCTTGCCGAGCTCAATACCGTTCCCGATGTACCTGCGACCGTGATGCCACCACCGAGTCCCGATATCGTGACGCCGTTTGCACCAGCAAGTGAAGCAAAACAGGAAGTCGAAGCAGTTTGGCAACTCGAATATGCGCTGGTACATAGAGCTGCATTGGCGTAGGACGTGGGGATGTAGACAAATGGATAGTAATTGTTTGGGACAGTTGAGCCACCCCCAGCGACCCCAGTGGTTGTGGTTGCGGAAGTGGTTGTACTCGTGGTGCTGGAAGTCGTCGTGGTGCCTTCCGAGCTACTAGATGTGGCAGAAGCAGTGGCTGTTCCACCTATTGTTCCTGTACATTTCGCGTTCGTCGGACAGCAAGCGATATGGCCAGCGTCATCCAAGGCACAGTTGGTGCCAGTTGGACAACATACGGAACTTGCGCCGAAGCCGGAGCATGCATTGTAGCCCGACCCGCATCCTGAGCGTTTGACTAGCAATTCATTGTTCGACAGTCCGAATAGAGATTCGGAGAATAGCGAGAAGCCATCGTTGGGATTGACCGCATGCGCAGTGTTGACAAGGACGACGAGGAGGAAGGCCGCTGCGGAGCGCATCGTAAGGGAATCGTGGGGACTCGCACAGGCCAGAGGTGGGCAAGGATCACCGCTGCGGCATTGGACCGGGTATCGCAACGACCAATGTTTATGGTGAGTTGATGGACAGAGGCGAATAACTTACGGCGTCTGTGCCGCTTTCATGTATATGAGTTTATAAGAACACTGGTAGTATGAACCCAAGAAAGAAGCGACCTCTACAGTCTCTAGCAACAAGAAGTCGGTCTAGGTGTCGTGAGTGCTGGCACTGCGACAATGGTTTTCGAAACCGTTCTGTGCTGGCAGGGCAACGACACAACGTCACTCGGCTATTTCTTTATCTGCCCAGCACTGTGGAAAGTTTTATTTTTATTCACTCCTACACAATTCGAGACTTGACCACAACTACTCACGATGCCCATGTGGGCTATACCTAGATCGCAGGCGACTCATGCGTTGTGATTCGCGGGTCTTACCATGCGACTGGATGGAGATCAATGCGCAGGTAAGAGGCCTCTTGTGTTTTCCTTGTCCTCATCGAAATGATGTTTGAAACGTGAATTCTGCAATTCTGAAAGGGCCTCCAATGGTCTAAAATGCGGACAATCTCATTTACACTTCTCTGATCATGTTCTTGTTCATATCCTATATTCCGCCCGTCGTGGAGGACCTCCGGCTGACGCGCGTTTCAATACAGACCTTGACCAGGTGTCTCTGCTACCAGGCGGCTTGTTTTGGCGTCGGAATTGATGTTGCTCTCGTTTGAGATTTTTCCGTTCAACCACGAAGAGAATTCCCGCTTCGTGAACAGGTATCTCGGCGTCAAATGGTTTTCGAGAACCGCGTGACTTGTTAAGTGGCTCTACGTTTCTAGAACACGCATCCAGGAGCTACATAGGAGCTGCCGATGGCTTCTAGTCGGATCTCTGTTGTGCGACCGACTGGAATCCGTATCAGGGTTGTCACCCCCTATGCCCCTTGTACCTCGTAGACCGTCGGGGTGTTGAGGCGTGTCTTCTAGACTAGGCATGGCCGTGGGCTGGTGTCCAACTATATGATATCGTAGAGGAAAACAATCTTGCTACTTTAGTATCAAGATGAATGAATATAAGTGCTATGTTGACAGACACAAGCCAATGTGGGGGAGGATGGTTTATTCCGTACCTAGGTACAGTAGGTACACCACATTCCCACGCTCCCACCCCGAGGATCTCCGCAAAAAGAAGCTCTCCGCGTATCTCTCGGGTCGATGGAATCAATTCAGCATCTTCGTCTCCCGCATAGTCCAATCTCGAGACTCAATGTGAATGTCGGTAGAATTTGCAATTCGCATGCGATGTTAACATTCATTCAATCTCAATATCAACCTCATATCAATATGTGACCTGCTACCGATCAGTAGTCCACTCGTCTTACCTGCACCACCTGCTTCTCAACATGTATCGGCTCCCTCACAGAAGCCTTCCTGGCATCGCAGGATGCATCTCTCGACCGTCAAGATCATATGCCACCGAGACCGCACCTACTCTCCGGACCGCCCTCTTCTTCCCCGGGCATGGTGTGCAAAGAAAGGGCATGACAAGACCATGGGTCGAAGCATTCCCTCAGATATGTAAACCATTCTTGGAAGAGATGGATGACATCCTGAAATGCAAGCTCTCCACGATCATAGACGAAGGCCCGATACTGCAGCTAGACAAGTCCGAGAACGCCCAACCTGCCATCATGGCAGCATCCATCATGATCCTGCGGGTCCTTGAGAAAGAGTTTGGATTCAAGACGGACGAAACAGTCAACGTCACACTCGGCCATAGTCTGGGAGAATATGCAGCTCTGGTCGCCGCTGGTAATCTGGAATACGCGTATGCGCTCGACCTTGTCCGGAGACGTGGGGAAGTCTTCGGAGAATGCACAAGAAAAGCGAAAGAGGAATCCGGCGAAGATTTTGGCATGATCGCACTGGTGTGCGAAGCAGGGACACTAGACTCGTTGGTCGACAGCGTCAAAGAGTTCCTCAGCCACGGAACCGAAGGCACAAAAGATGACTCGAGTGCTTTGCCGGCCATCCAGCAAGTGTCCATTGCCAACCTCAATTCCAAGAATCAAATCGTCCTCAGCGGAAGTTTTCAGCGTATCCGAAACCTGCTGGTCCATATCCGCCATTTTGGAGGCCACGACCCTCGAGCCGTCGAGCTCAAGTCTCGATCAGCCTTCCACAGTCCCATCATGGAGCCTGCATATGAGTTTATGAGGAAGGCTTTGACTCCTGACAAAGTAATATTTCCAGGCCGAGTACCCTGTATCAGCAATATCACAGCCCGCCCCTTCGAGTCTAAGGAAGACCTCATACAAAACCTGTCATACCAAGCCGTAGGCACCATAAACTGGTGGGGCTCAATCAAGTACTTGGATAAACAAGCCGGCACTCGTCGATGGCTTGGTGTTGGTCCTGGAAAAGTGGGACGGAATTTGGTCTCTAAGGAAGTTGGACGCTCTTCCGCGAAAGGAGGCGGAGTCTGGTCCATCACTGAACCATCAGAAGTAGAAGCAGCTTTGCGAGACTTGGAAGCGACTGCCAAAGAAGACCTCCAGTGAATATTGGCGGAGGGCGAACGGCTTGGCATGAGAGAAGAACAACTCCTCCCCTGCGGCGAAGACCTGAAACAGCACAACAAGTACCCTGTGTCGATGGAGAAGACAACACCAGCTTGGACGAAATTGAAGGGCGATTTCATGGAAAGACCACCAAGAGAGACGTTGCGCCTCAGAAGCCAGCAGGCAACAATGTTCGGAGGACCATTGGAGGCTGTGTTTCCACTTACAGTGGCACCATAGCAGCAATCGTTTGGAACCGGGACGAAAATGCAAGTTTATTATTGCTATTCCCAAATTATGTTCCTAATCGCCCAAAACCCTCGGAGTGAGTTCAGGTCAAACTACTTGCCCCCGTGGCCTAGTCGAAAAAGTAGAAGGCGGCTCACTCCCAGGCGAGATCCGAGTTCGAACCCCCGACCGATCGATATTTACACGCACGTCCAGGTCCTCTCTGGGGTTCTACTTGAACTGACAAACTAGCATCGGGCTAGAAGGCGTGAGGACCTCGACTTACGACGGAAAAAACCTGCGAACCCGGTTTTCACTTACCATGACCCCTATACCAACAGGGCTCATGGCAAAGTTTTTGTTTTTTTAGGAATCTGGAGGGGTTGTGGCAATTGGACCTGGCTGCCGGGACTGTTTTGGCTGCCCGCCTACGCGTGATCATTGAGTACAATATTGGCGCGCAAGAAGGCTGCGGTTTGCGTCATGTCACAAAATACTCACACTACCAGGGTCATTCACACGTGAAAAAGTGGCAGAGTGCTCATATGTGGCAGCGTCTGCATATCAAGTCTCTATATTTATCTCTACTATGGTTCTACAGCTAGCCGGGAGTTGGTGGTACAATTGAACATCCCTGCACAGTATCGACCCTCGATTGAGCGCAATGCCGGTTACTACCCATAATGTCATTGCATGATCATGGCAAGCTTGTTGCTACCTTTTACCGTTGCATCTTATGACCGTATCTGACGAGGCTGAGTTCGATAGAGGCCAGCCTTGCTGACAAAGCGGCGGTATGTCCCCGGAGCACGTGTCACCAACTGGACTCGCTTCACATGTCACAAGCGCAGGCCAGAGTCATTTCAGCCACTCACCACCTGACAATCCATCACGACGTCAGTTTCTCTCTCTCCCTTGCTTTCCGATGCTACTCCTTTCCCCATATTCTCACCCTCTCTTTTGCGTGCCTTGCCCAGACCTACAGAAACCTTGGTCGTCTGCAAGCTTTCTCAACTTGACTACCACTCACGCGACTGCAGACTCTCTGACGACATCCTCGTAGCATGCCTACTCTCACCGGCTTCAATGAGTGAATATCTCCCTTCGTTCATTGTCGAACCCGTCCTGCGCCAAGCACGGCGATTCTCGAGGCTGAGCGCTGCAGAAGACTCGCCCTCGCCAGCACCAGGTTTTCTACCTGCTGTCCCGGACCTACAACGCTGGTACCCTACTCGCTTCTGGAACTCCTCCTCTCCCCCTCCTCTCGAAGAGCCCGAACCCGATAATAAAGAGACTACTGTGCAATCCATTACAAGGACAATACAGTTATGGGCGGCTCAGTTGAACTCTTTCGACCAAATCCCTTCTCCTACTCTCGAACCGATGGAGGATGATTTGGCACACGACGTCACCCAATTAGACAGCCGAGAGGAAAGCGAGTCCATCGAATTTCCACCTTTAGACCCAGAACCAGTACAGTTTTCTCGGCCTGTGGTACGGGAAGATCAACGTACAAGCAGTGAAACCTCGCTCAATCCTGCACAAGAATTGTCATACAGAGCAAGACGACTTCAAGAACACACAAGACCGCACTCTTTATCGGACCCATTAGCCGCAGTCCATCATGAGCTCACAATGTCGCGAGTGTCGGAAACTCGGCGGGAAGGTCATGGTAACCATGCTTATCGAAGGAGGGACGGATCAGGTGCCCTCCCAGAGGACGACGGGATGGGGCCTTTACGGCAGAAAATCTCTGGCGTATGGGCGGGCTCTGGTACAGCAGCGGAGAAATCGAAATTGGTTCATGGCCTCATGATGGAACGATATCAAACAGTTCAGGCCCTGCGTTCGCCGAAACAACTACCCTCGAAAGTCTTGAGCGCGCCACAACGTCCTGCTACTCCGAGTTCTATAATGTCCGGTGCGAGTCAGGAGGTTGTCTACAACCTGATCCCCGAAGACCTTGTGCCGACATATGCACCCCTGGACCCTGAACCTTCGCACGACGATATGGATACGACAGAAGAGGCTCATAGACCGGACCTAGGTTGCATTCACTATAAACGCAATGTCAAGATGCAGTGCAATACCTGCCAAAGGTGGTACACTTGCCGACTGTGCCACGACGAAGATGAGAACCACATCCTACCTCGTCGGGAGACGAAGCATATGCTGTGTATGCTCTGCGGTACACCTCAGCCTGTCGGGCAATTCTGCAAGATGTGCCACGTTCAAGCAGCATGCTATTACTGCGCTGTTTGTAAACTTTGGAGCAACGACCCGGCCAAGTCTATATATCACTGCGACGACTGTGGGATATGTCGCATTGGCGAAGGTCTGGGCAAAGACTTCTTCCATTGCAAGACTTGTGCAGCATGCATGTCGATACAGGCCGAGAGCACGCACAAGTGCATCGAGCGGAGCACCAAATGTGACTGTCCGATATGTGGCGAATACATGTTTACATCCAACAAGCCGGTAGCATTTATGCGGTGCGGTCACAGTATTCACGAAACTTGCTTTGCGGAATGGTGCAATGCCAGCTACAAGTGTCCTATATGTTCCAAAAGCATAGCCAATATGGAGAGTCAATTCCGCCGATTGGACCGACATATCGAAGAGCAACCGATGCCGGAAGAATACCGAGACAATCGAGCCTATGTCTTTTGCAATGACTGCAATAGCCGCAGCGTGACCAAGTATCACTGGCTGGGGTTGAAATGTGCTCTTTGCGATTCGTACAATACCACACAGCTGGAGTTGTTGGGCGCTGAACAGACGCCGCAACTTGAGCAAGAACAGGAACGAGCGCAGCAAGCTGGGATCAGTGAAGCAGCTATCACTGCCAGTCAGAATCACACTCCAATGGAGGAACTGACGCAGCCAGCGAATCTGACAAGGCCGGTGGCCGCCTCCGCTCTCAGCCCTATTGATACGGCGATAGGTGCACAATCTCCCGAAAGCCGGTCATCATGGCTATTGCCTCACTCGCCGACCGGGCGGTCCGCAAGGTCTATGTCTCCGGCGGTTGGCAGTTATTTTGGCACGGGTCAGCGACCTGCAGAGACGGTGCCAGTACCTCGACGAGGGACGACGCCACTTGATGACGATGACCATCTGGACTTCTGGGGCCGACCTAATTCCCCACCAAGGCATGAAGCTATGCAAGTCGAGTCTGAATCTGAATCTGGGAGTGACAGTGATCAATTGATGGAGGATGAAGATGATGGAGATGAGGAAGAAGATCTTATGGCTTTACCCGGACATAGATAGAAAAGCAAAGAGAGGGCTTGTTGCTGGCATGAGACATTACATGGAGCAAGATACACGCTTGGGAGCTTTACAGCAGGACACATCACGACACGAGTCAGGGACGAAGAGGTTACGAATGAAAAATGCATGGATTGTTTGGCATCTCATACTGCATGTGGAAATGGGCATTTGGTCTTTCTGGGTTGGGTTGGGATGAAAAGAATCACCGTGTACGATATTCTCATATCTGTTTCAACATCAACAATTTTGCGCGGCATAGCCCTGCGTAAATGTCGTCGGCATTCGAAGGAGGCATTGAGCGATTTGGAGATATCAGCAACTTGGTATACCAATTCATAAATTCTGATACCATGGTATAACACCTGCAATACTTAGTGTGTTGGAGAAGAGAGACCCTGATCATGGATTTTATACCACTTAACGCCGCTATGACCGAATCAGGAAGCTCCCTTTTCCATCCACCTTGGATAGCACCACTGGTGGCACGGCACAGTTACCGGTCGCCTTGTCCCACCCACCTCATGTGCTGCGGGGAAGCAGTTGAGGCGGTGATGGTGACGATGGTGCAATCCAATGGAGTGACATTTTAGGATAAATCTATCGGCCATCTGCCGGGCCATGACCAAGGGTTGTCCTCCTTGTCCCGTATATAAACGGCAAAGACGGCTCATTCGTGCTTTTCAAATCCTTATCAATTGTAGTAGACAGGGACATCTGGCAATACGGTGTTCATCTAGAATACTTGAAGATACAAGAGGTAAATATGCCCTAACATCATACCAATCTCGACGAAGGGCCTGACATCAAGCTCCTTTTCAGAGGCTGACAAGTTCGCCTATAGGTCTGTTATATTCCCAGCCTGAAAAGAAATCTTCGTGACAACACGTCCGTCCTCAAACGACAACGCAATCGCAACCATGGGTGACGCCGGACTTCCTCAATCTCTCCAGGAGAGCGTGGAGAGCACAAAAGTTTCGTACGCCCAGCTGGGCCAGTCGGGTCTGCGTGTCTCGATTCCTATCCTTGGTGCCATGTCTTTCGGTATGTTCCCCAACTGAAATACAGCATCTTCACCCTTTCCAATCACTTGTAGTCAAAGCAGTCATTGACAACTAGGCAGGCCACAAGGACTGGCAACCATGGGTGATCGACGACGAAGCCGAAGTCGACAAACTCCTCAAAGGAGCCTACGACCGCGGCCTTAACACCTGGGACACAGCCAACGTCTACTCCAACGGTGTTTCCGAGAAAATGATCGGCGAAACCATCAAAAAGCACAAGATCCCACGACACAAACTCGTCCTGCTGACAAAATGCTTCGGCACTGTCGGCGAGGAGCCCGATGTCGTGCACATCAAGTACGCCGACGCCATCAAGAAGAGCAAAGACTACGTCAACCAAGGTGGTTTGAGCCGTGCCGCGATATTCAATGCCGTCGACGCGAGTCTTGAACGTCTCGATACTCCATACGTCGACTTGCTTCAGATTCATCGTTTCGACAAGTCAGTGCCAGTCGAGGAGACGATGAAGGCGTTGCACGATCTTGTTCAGTCTGGCAAGGTCCGATATATCGGTAAGTTGCGTAGCAACTAGGAAATCCACCTTCAATCCTATCGCTACCTGGGTGTTCCTAGCCATGCCACATACTGATATTGTTGATAGGTGCATCCAGCATGTGGGCCTACCAATTTGCCAAACTCCAATCCGCCGCCGAAAAGAATGGCTGGACCAAGTTCATATCCATGCAGAATCACTACAGTCTGTGCTACCGCGAAGAAGAGCGCGAAATGATCCCCTTCTGCCACGAGACTGGCGTGGGACTGATCCCCTGGGCACCACTGTACCGCGGCCTCTTGGCTCGACCTTTGGGATCCGACACAACGACTCGCGAGGAGAGCATGAAGGGCAACCCCATGTTCTCAGGCCTCAACGAGGAAGACACTACGATCATCAAACGTGTGCAGGAGTTGGCGGAGAAGCACGGATGGAAACAATCCCAGGTGGCGCTTGCGTGGATCATTCAGAAGGGCACGATCCCCATTGTGGGCTTCAGTAACTTGAACAGATTGGAGGAGGCGGTTGCTGTGAGGGGCAAGACGCTGACTGCGGATGAGATCAAGTACCTTGAGGAACCGTACAAGCCTAAGGCTATTGTTGGACATCAGTAGTTCAGACAAAGCAGATGGACGCCAGCAATTGTCGCTGTCAGGGACATTTAAGTAGAGACTGCTGAGGCGAGGCTGAGGAGAACAAAATCAAAACACTGTGAAGTAACACGAAGCAGAGATTCCCTGTCTTACTGCATAGCGACGACCTTCTCTTAGGCTATCGATTTCAAGATCTTAGTTCCCACATCGCCCGTCATGGTATGTCCAGATATATATTGGTCGAAAATGCATACAAAGCACCCCCACATATGCATTTGTGATTGTAGTTGATCACACCATATCACCCACAGGCTGAATCTGCTGATGCTGAATGACTACCGTAGTGACTGGGTCTACGACTCGTCATCCACTTCAGCTGGAGTACTCAAATACCCCTTGTCCTCAAGATACTTGACGATGATCTTGACCGCGTCCTCCACACTCGTCTTGTCGCTGGCGATATGAATTTCTGGTTTCAGCGGTTCTTCATACGGCGCACTAATCCCCGTGAACTCAGGGATTTTGCCCTCGCGAGCCTTCTTGTACAGACCCTTGGGATCGCGCTGCTCGGCGACCTCAACGGGGACATCGATCCAGACCTCGACGAAAGGAACGCCGGATTCACCGTCCGGTCGTTTCGCTTCGTGCAATTGCCTGGCCAGATCGCGGTCCGCGCGGTAGGGGCTGATGAAGCTTGTTATGGCGATGGTGCAGGAATCGGCGAAGAGTTTGGCGACTTCGGCGATGCGGCGGATGTTTTCTTCCCGGTCTTTGGGGGAGAAGCCGAGATCTTTGTTCAGGCCGAAACGGATGTTGTCGCCGTCGAGGCGGTAGGCGGCTTTGTTGTAGGGTTTGCGGAGGAGTGCCTGTTCCAGGGCGACGGCGATGGTGGATTTACCACTTGCCGAGAGTCCGGTCAGCCAGATTGTTAGGCCGGATTGTTTGCGTAGACCGGCGCGAATGTCGGGTGTCAGGGGGCTGGCGTGGAAGTGGATGTTGCTGGGTGAGATCAGTATGCTTCAACAGAGGTAAACATGCTGGAAATCTGATATGCTGGAGAATCTAGTAGACAGGAAATTGGGGACACATATTATGTAACCTAAAGGGCTTCTTCGAACAGGAGGTCTTTCTGCATTGGCCTGTTTCTGAGGCGCAAAGATGTGAGAAGGTGAGGTGTGGTACTTACGTCGCCATGATGAATGCGGTTTTGGTTGTCGACGTGAAGCTTCGCTGTTGGACTTCTACACGATGAATAGATCTTTTGCTTCCTTTTATGTCCTTAGAATCCCGTACGCGTGTCTATCAAAATTTCTCCATATTTGCGGTCATTGATTGATGCCGTGATCGGCGAAAACATCAAAAACTCTGCAATATTGCCAAGAGAGCGGCTACCTTCAAGGTTAATTACTGGTAACCTTGGAATGGTTCTCATCTCTTGGAACAGATGCCTCGCCAAAACAACGTTCCCGTCATATATTACGGTCTCCAAAATATCCTTTAATCTGGCGCCAAACGATGCCTCAACGATTTTTGCCTTCTCGGGTTCGGTAGCGTGAGTCTTACTCCCAATATCCTCCTTGAATATACTTGGACCTGCTCCTGCAATGTCCATCTGTGATTCTGCATTTCTTGCTTCGCAGGGTTTTTCCTCATTCTGCACAATTACCAGGTATCGCGGTCATTCACCTGCAATACAATATTCTAACAGTCAAAAGTCAGTGGTAGAGCGGAAGATTGCAGTCTTTATAAAAGCATTACAATATCTTCAGGCCACGCGTTCGAACCGCGTTCGAACCTTTGGATCTTTTTTTTTTGCTATATCTTTCTTTGAATCCAATATTAACGGGCCTCTTTTTCGCGTTTCCTACTTGTAAGTATTGTTCAGGTTGTGGTGAGTCGAGATCTGGCAATTGTGCGAGATAGTACTCGTACGGTGTTAGGGTCAAAAAATGATAAATACAACTTTACGAGAAGTCCACCGTAGGCTTCACCATAAGCTCCACCGTATACTTGGCCTATACTTAAGGCATTCCAGTTCTCTTCTATCTTTAATGTGTCGAAGTTGTTCTGTTGTTCTTCTCACTGCCCGTCGACTTTTTGGCTCCCCCCTTTTCTCGGTGCGGATGTCCAGTGTCGATGTTGCCAGTGCAAGATGGCCTCACTCGGAAGATCCTCAAGTCGATCTACGAGTACAGGGGACTCGAGAACAACCAAGTTTCGTGGTCTTGAAATAAGCGATTGGTGAGGAACTTCGCCTCGCCACCATCCTTCCCGGTTTCTCCTCATGATGTAAGGTAACAATCGTGCCATGTCTTAACTGGCCTAGACGTCACTTCGGTTTCAGTTTCAGTGGCAAAGATAATCAGTGCTTGCTTCTCTTCCTTCTGTGCACTGTTCACCGTCAGGCGCTGCATCGTAAAACCATAAGAATGCGATCAACGCGATGAGTGCAACCACTTTGAATCCCTACATCAGCAATGGAACGTGCTATACCGCGGCTGGGGACAAATTGGGTGACGAGTTTGTCCCATGCGGCAACGACGCTTTTGGACATCAAACCTGCTGCGGAGCGGGAGACAACTGTCTAGCTGACAACGCTTGCTTCGGTGTCCACGGTTCTGGCTATGGTAGCTATCTGACATATTGGGCTGGGTGTACCGATCCAAACTACGAAGACGCGAGTTGTCCCAAGAAAAAAGGCGGTAAGCGATTGCCAGCAAGCAGAATCTCGGAGTCGTTTGATTAATGCTTTTTAGACCAGCCGTGGGTTGCTTTGACACTTTGCGACGACAGCGATGGTGAATGGGCTATCTGCTCGCAATCCGGGAACCCGTCGACACTGCAAGCAGGCGCGTATTGTAGTTGCACCAATGCAGCTTCAGCTACTGTGGCATTTAGCGACTCAAACACCCTTACCAGTGTTTGCTCGCTGCCGACCAGCACCGGCCAGAGCATACAGTTTTTCGTCGGCCATTTTCCTAGTTCTGTCTTAACCACTGGGTCGGCGGCCGCTTCACAGACCTCTACTCCTACCAGTACTGGTGCAGGTGGAAGCTCCTCTGGTGCAGCAAACTCAGCGACCGCTACTTCCGGCCCGACTTCCACGAAAGCGACGGCCACAGCAGCTGCCACTACCTTTGTCACAGTCTTCACATCAAGTGCCACAACATTTACATCGACTACTGCCCCTTCGACGACAACCTTCACATCGAACGGTCTAACATTTACATCAACTACTGCCCCTTCGACGACGGTCATTACTTCCGGCGCCAGAACCGTCACATCGTCCTTTGTGACTTCGACGACCCCTTCAGCCGCTGCAGCAGGCGGCACTACTGGCGGCAGCTCTCATTCAGGGCTCAGCTCAGGTGCGAAAATTGGCATTGGGGTTGGCGCAAGTCTCGGCGCCGTGATGCTTCTCGCACTACTTTTAGCTCTCTTTCTACGACGCCGAAAACGTCGAAGGCCATCACAATCAAAGATGGAGAGCGACGGCTACGACCATGGAGCAGTCGTCGGCGCAGGGACGGAGAAGCCACCAGCGCCGCGTCCATCCGAGGACCCTCCAAGTCCGAAACCGAGATGTCATCGGCGCCTACAGCATACGATGCCAACGGGCAAGTGATGCAAGAGGCTGACGGGCGAGCTGCCATGCCTTGGACTCTACGGAGTGAACTCGAGGGCAGCCAGCCCGCAAGGAAAGGAGAATCTGTTCCGATCGCCGAATTACCGGGAAGTGAGAACTACGCGGGTCAGCAGGGAGGACGCGACAGTCTAGCTGTAGAAGCGAACCGCCAACTCGGTCCCGGATGGAACGGACCATCGTTCAAGCTGCTGAATAGCGGTGGAGGGAAGGAGTACCTGCAGAATCCGAGTTAACGTCTCCATGTGATTTTTGTATATATCTGTCACATAATGACGGCGGGTCACGGCCAACACGAGCATTCGGGAGGACAAAAGAAGGATTGAAGCGTTCAGCGATGGCAAATTTCCTGCACCGCATAGAGGGGATATCTAGTCAGCACATACATGAAGCTGTTATTCCTCATCGAGGTGCTCTACTTGCATTGATTCTTTCCTGACCGAAGAACGGGCTGCGGTGCGTCGTTGAAGCCAGACGACAGGTGTGATGGTGGTCCGTGCATTAGGAGCTAATAAATACGCGTGGGAACCCGACAAGCTACAACCGAGATAGTCTCTTTTATTCTGCAACGCCTTTGTTATATCAGGCCCCGCCATGAATCACAACCTCGAGGGAATGAATAACTGGCGTTTTTCCAATGACTACCTAGATGGCTTAGTCTGTCTAGCGATGACTCGTTGTTTTCCTATGTCGTTGTCATCGCCAACACCTGCCTATGAGACGATAACTATTTCGTCTCGCAAATGCATGATGTTCTTCAGCATCTGTCATGTCTGTCAAGTCCTCGTTTGCTTACTCCGCAGGCTGTCGAACACGCATTGGATGGCTCAAAGGACAGCAGGGGTGTAAACGGAACATCAAGTCCGACGGATGGCTGCATGCAAGCAAGCAAGCCACAAATGGCTTGAGGATCTTCAGCTGCCGCAATTTTACCTTGCTTACTCTCGGGTTTGAGCCTGAGATCCCAGATTCAAACTCTTCAGATCAAGGTCATAGCCTGCTGGCCACACTTCCTGCTATGATGCGTCACGTCGAGATTCTGCATCGGGCTTTGATTCATGCAATTGCAACCCTAGATCTCTAGATGCGCCCATTTCGGACACAGATTGTTTGCTCCTCAGAACCCTTACCAAGACGAACGTCTGACACAGGTGAGGTCAGTAGCCTTTTGTCAGGATGACAATGGTGGTTATACGGACAGGAAAATGGTAAACTGAAGCACATCAACCCGATTAATCCAACAGCAGCATGGCCCCCAATATCGGTGCACAACGTCTCTGAAAGATATGACGGAAATGATGCAGCCTGAGATAGCTTCCGGCCCAGTCTGGTACGTGCTTTTTTGAGAAGTCGGTGTACAACCTGCCGAAGCTGATTGATAGCAGCCACTTTCTCACTTTCTCAAGTTCTTTTTAAAAGCAATGCTGTTGATATTCAGACTGCCCAGACTGGGGTAGATGTGGTCGATATGACATCTCGTTCAGTCTCAACAAACAAAGGAACGAAAGGCGCCACTCACACCATTCAACCAAATCTTGTGCAACGATTCAGCCATGTCTGCGATCTGTGCGTTGTCAGATTGACTACCAATATACCCAGACAGTCCAGTATTTAGAAGGTGAGTATTCATCCCCAAGCTGTTTGTCTTGTGATAACCTGTTCTCTCTGTGGCTTTCCGACAAATCCGACAAATCAAGTGGTTGTATTCAGTTCATTTTTGTCTGCTTGAGAGTGTTCATAGTTGCTTGTTCCCAGACGTACTGACCTGACTTTCATTGAACATTGTCTGGCCTTGCAAGCAACAGTTTGATGATAATGAGTGCCGTTTCTGCCTGAAAGAGAGTTGTCTCAGCCGTGTATCAGTGCAAGCAGATTTCGGGTTTCTCCTCGCAATACAGGCGTGGTGCCTACTGCTGCGTTTGGAAGCCTCTGAGGAAGGAGAGGACGACGGAGGGAAAAGAGAAGCAGCAACAACGTCTCAACTTGACTTGCGCTGCGGTTGCGAGCACCACGATCGATGGATGAGGGTGTGAGGAAAAGTCGCGAATTCTGCCTCACCTTCTTTCTCATATTCCCACTCGTTTCACTGCCTTTTGTTTGTAGGTTGGGCATGAATAGCGGTGTCGCATTTACTGTTTGCATCACTTTCGACTTCTTTTACCGTGTTATGTCACTTCATTTCACAATTTCAACCGCGATCAGAGCCGTCGACGATAATCAAGTCAGTCGTCACTTCGACTTTTTGTCCCCTCGATATTCAGCATTGCCTCAACCTGAGCAGTGACTGGAAACGTCTCCGTCCTCCCTTTCACTTACCTTCATCTCACCTACCTCTCGTCACAAGGCAGTACCAACGCGAATCTGCCGCAACGGCCAGACAACTATGGCTTGGGATAAGCTTACCAAGTGGATTATTGGCCGTGGTATGGCAACATCATCCCGGATGACACTAGAATACTCGAGACTGATGCTCCAACAGGCCTGGCAGAGAAGAGCGACAAAAAGAAACTTGAACGCGAATACAAAGAGGTCGAAGAGGCACTCAAACTGATAAGAGAGGTTGCGAATGAGCCGATCCTACCACTACCCAGTCGTAAGATCACCTTTTGTCCATGGCCTGATGATTTGAAGACTAAACGAGGATGAAGAACCTCCTTCGGCTTGCAGCAGTCCCATTCCTGACCACCGCAAGCCTCGCACCGCTCTCGTGTACTCTCCTGAGAAACCGGCCTGCGCTAGATCAACCTCGAGTCCAGCGATACCATCTCTGGTAAACCACAATTCCCCACCAGACCTTTCCAGCGACGCAGACTATAGTGACTTGAAGAAAACTTTCAGCTGCGATGGTGCATGGACTTTCAAAGATCAGCTGGTAGTACCAATGCCAGAAATGATAGGGTTTGGAAGGTATCGACGATCAATCAACGCTCCAACCGATTGGCAACTTGAGCGCGCGGTACGGAGCCTACACGATATGAAGGGAATCATTATCGACCATCTAGGAGACTGCCCTCCGCTGGGAATGGGTGACGATGTGTGGCGCGATTACAAAGCTCAACATTCGCGTGCCAGCAGCTTTGCAAGCTCGCACAGCTCACACTCGCATACCACCGCCACGGAATACCTTGACAAATCTACTGGGACCAAGGTCAGCCGCGGGTTCTGTGCTTCCACCAGTTCAAGCGCGGCAAGCTCGTGCAGAGATGGTAGAAGCGAAACAAGGCGTGATTCGAATATGTCCACAACAAGCATGACGAGTCTCAACACCGAAGGAGATGTCAAGCTCAGGCGTCGATCGGGTCGAATGTCCCCCTTTTCCCGGCATGCCAGCACGACATCGATCAGTCCACTAGCTGTTATCAGCGAATTGCAAGAGAACGCTAGCAAGGCTCCTCGCAAAGTCCAAAAGCCTTGCGCATTTGATGAAGATGGCAACAACGAAAGTGCAGTAGCCTCGGACGACGATGATGAATTGCAGTGGGGCGACATGCTCGAGCTTGATGGTGACTCAGCTGCCGGCAATCTTGCGAAGGGTCTTGCTCAACGATCTTCAACATCAAGGAGCAAGTCAAACGCGAGACCGAACTTGACTCGCCAACGTACGAGATCTCCAGAAAGACCAAGGTCGCGTGGATCTACAACGAAAAGAGCCGTTCTCGACCGATCCAAGACCATCAGAACTACGGCCTATGCCAATAATGTCCGCTTTCAGGGCCCAAGGCAGCTGTCAGACAATCAGAAGCCACTGTCATCCAATCCAACGAATCAAACAACGTCGGAACACAAGAAGCAGGGAAATAAACATTGTCAAAGTGCAGACCAGGAAGATCCGGCTATCGCTACACTTCCGAAGATCCTGGCCGGCGCAGCTCTGACACCGGTTGCAGAAATCGATTCTACAAGAGAATCGGCACAGTACGTTGTCGACGTTGTTTCCAAGGTCGAACGCCTACCCCGAAAGCAACAAGAACGGGCAACAAGCGGCCATTTCAGCAGCAAACCTCAGAGTCCCCTAAAAACCCGGAAGGCAAGATCCACGACTGTTTGCCGGATCGTCTCAGCGTCTTGCGGTAACGTTTCCGAATCCACAACATCAAGCAGGACAATTACAGGATAATACAAGCCTGACCATGCGAGCACACATACCATTCGAGGTTGGCGAGGTCCTATGGGACGTGCCACAAAGAGACGAGGTACAACCAGCGATGAGGCGGAGCTCGTGATGTCTCTTCTCCATGACACTTTCTCCGATATTCGCAGCAAGTCATGTGCTTGCGACCTGATTCGAATTCTTGCACGAATATCAACGGCTGACCGACAGAGCTGCGGCACAGACTGTGACATACCATTTCATTTCATATGCCGCACGCTGGAGGTAGTTGCCCTAAGGTATCGGGAGTTCCAGGACAGTCTGATGCTTCGTAATGCTAATGCTAGTGCGAATTTTCGTATTGATAATGAATACCTCGCCAGGACACCAGGCCTATCTGTGGCGGGTGGGCAATGGGGTCAGATCACTCAAGTGACTTCCTGTCCAAAGGAGAAGATGGAGCAGTACTGTCAGCACCGACAGGGAAATCAAGGAGTGGAACTACAAGGAGAATCGACTTTCGGACCGTTCATGGGGAAAGAGCAGATTGCTTGCCAGGCCGAGCACGCGGCAGCGATGAGCTTAAATGAGGTAACAGCAGTTGTGCTAACATCGTATCTAATGAAAAGACATCCCCGATTCTCAAACATGCTGCACTTATTCTGCTGAACTTCAAATTGAGCAAATCAGGTCGAAGTACCAGGTGATGGCCAAAATCGATAGCCAAAATCGATAGTCTCTTCAGCGGATCTTTCGTTGCAGCGCCAAGCTGTACCACAGGCGGCATTGAATGAGATATCACATCAAGGACGTTCGACTTCAGCACTCGCCAGTAAATCGGACCTTTCTTCCTCAGTCGGTATCTCGGCAATCACCAAGTACAAAACATCCTGCTTCATCATCCCTTTGACACCCCCAAGCAAGCTCGGACTCGATCCCTTGCGCTGTCCGATCATGTCCCGGACGCCTGCTATCGCCTGGCCCTTGTAATTGACTGTTTGTGTTTGAGGCCTTCCAGTCAACTGCGTCAATTTCGCTTTGACGTCGTCGGGACTCTGAATTCTTCCTCCCGTCAGGAGAGCCAGGGAACTTGCAGAATTGATAGGGTGATTTGGATCCGCAAACCTGCTTGCAAATTTGCCAGGATCCGCGGCACCGGGGACAGCGAGCTTTGAGTCTGGGCCGTACCTGCCAGCGAAATCTGCCTGGGCACGACGGTCTTTGTACTCCGAGACGAACTTGCGTGTGCTTTTCCATGACGATTCTCGACGTTGAGCAGATGGCCGTCCATCGGCACATTCATCTGAGTCTTCCTGTGTGGTCGATTCATCTTGACTGGAGGGGCTCGGGAAGATCAGCGACGCAGCCTGTGGGAGCTCCAGTTCGCCTTTGGTAGTTCCATCGGATGTCCTGAGTTTACCGGACGGCTTTCTTCCGGAGCTGCTGGTTGTGCTGGACCACTTTTTCAGCACCGTCTGAGCATTACTGAAGGCGCCACTGTTGAGATCGAAATCCAAGAGTACGTTGCCTTGCGCCTCGGGCTTGAAAGTCATGATCATACAATGCAGATTCTTCGGGTGGAACAGTTCCTCATTCGCCTTGTCCAGGTAATTGTTCGTCCGGGCACGACCTTGCACCTCAATGGCGGCTTTCGAAGCAGCCGTAACACCAGCTGAGACGGCCATTGCTATTACCGATGGTGCAAATCCAGCTGCAATGGCAGCAACGTTGATAACCTGGAAGATAGGTGATGCTTGCGACGATGTGTGGAAGTCTTTCAAGAAGGCGAGAAAAGTCTGCTGATCGATGCCTTTGTATTGCCAGAGATCCGGAGCATAGGCGCGGACAAAGCCACGACTCCTTGAGTTCGGACGTCGTTGAGGTAGAATTATCGGTAAAGGAAGAGGCTCAATCATATTGGGGCGATCGGTATAATTTTCTGCGGGATTACCCTGTGGACCGATCATGGCGTCGTAGGCTGGAAGTTCGTTCTGGATGTTTCTCGTCGAGGTAGAAGAGCTCTCTGTAGCATTTTGACTGACAGTCTTCTTGGATTTTCTCTGCGCATGGATTTCGGTCGCCAACCCAACCAGACCGGTGACTCGATACAATGGTCCGCGGTCATTCTGTCTGGGAGCCATGGTGAGGAAGACTATGGGAAGATAGATAGTGTGAGAGAGAACGTTTCTTCTCTTTGCTGTGGAGGACGACCTTTTCTGAGAAGAGTAGTTTCTTTCTTGCTCTGGGAGGACGAGTTTTTGATGGTGAATTGTCTGAGGAACGGCCTCGTTGGTTGCAGCATATATATACTTGACCTGATGGGTGCACAGCCTAGTATATTCCGGCGATTAGCCATATCTGTATTCGCGAGTTTTGACGGACGCGTTAACATATGTTCAGGCGTCTGCATTGAAGAAAGTCCAATTAGCAGAGCGATAACAGTATTCTCTCAACGTTTAGACCTCTGAAAGAAAGGCGAGAGAACAAAGGTGCGTTAGACCATATGGAAAGTGACGTGCCATGATCTCGCGGATAAGTACCAAAAGGGGTATGCAGTGCGTACTGAAAGTAGCTAGAAGCACGAAGCTTCGTATTTCGTATCCTAGTTCCGAACTCCTCGTACGACATCGCTTTCGGGACCATGACGCTTGCTGCATGCGTAGTCCCCAAAATACTGGCGGTCAGTGCTATGACTCTTATTGACGCGTTCAGCCCAGATGCTGCAGACTTGGAATAAGAAGGATGCATGGATTGCACTCTACCTGAATGTGTAGGCTGTGTTTGTAGCCGGATGGCGGAACATTTCGCTGAGTGTCTCCGCAGGCTCACTTCCACAGCGCGGATTGCGGAGAGGGTGCCGCAGGATGGCGGCTGCTGGCAACGGCTCCATCAATTGAACACTACTAGTAGTAATCATGCTTATGCAAATATTATGGCCAGATCATTGACTTGGAATTGTGTGCTACAGTATATAGGTTGTGTGCTACGCCCAGCTATGGCTTGACCGCAAGTCAATAATTTCAATCAGGATGAAGCTGTGAGAGAACAATGAAAATAATGCTTGCGCATCACATCCACGAGTTGAACGAGTTTTCATCAAGCTCCATGTCCCAACTCGGTGCCTCTTGCATGATGTAGGATACGTTGTCAAAGTTCCACTCGCCATACTCAACGTCAATATTTGGATCGAATACCTGCGGCAAAGATGCTTGGGAGGTAGGCATGATACATTGAGCGCCTGCCATAGAAACACTTTGCGGATCGGCTGTTCTGGACATGCTTGTGAGAGTGGAAGCAGTAGGATCCTTATTCTGGCTACAATGCACTGCTGCTGTTGTAGTACTGGGACCGACGTGGCTGGTAGTCATGCTTTCTGGACTTTGTTTCGCGGCAGCTTTGGATCTGAGGTTCAGCAATCTCCCCCATCGCCGTTCACCCTCTGGAACATGACCCTCCCACGCCTTGAAGAATGTGTCGACGGCATTCCAAGCTCTCTCGACCAGATCGGGTACTGCTGCGGAGCCGAGACAATGAAGAAGAAATGCAACCGCATCCCATTCAATGTATTTTTGGAAGAGCCAGACCCATCGAGAGTATTTGTCGCTTGTTCGTAGCGTGTGGGCATATTCGATTATCTCAATGCTGCTTTGTACAAGATCGTGCAGTCGGGCACCAGTCAGCCCTGTTAAGCCGTCACGGGATGGATGACAAATAGTAAGCTTGACCTTAGCAAGGACCATACGTATCGATGTCACCGTAAGGAAACAGATAGGTATTTTGCGGTCGCAGTACCTCAAATATTTCTCTTCGAGGTCCTTCAGCAGAGCCTCGATATAGTCGTTCTTTTGCGGCAACGAAAGATTGGGATAGCCATTATCCTTATTGAATTTGGATGAGAACACCAACTTTCGCGCGGCGTAGCTACCCTCAAAACGTGTCAAAGTGTATGTCATCTCCGTACGTTGTCGTATGGCTGAGACTGGCTCGGTCATATTGATGTCCAAGTCAGCATCGTTGACATTGGCAGGAAACTTGGTATCAAACATATGCTCACAAAGGAGAGGATCCATGTCGTTGTCTTCGGCTGTCCGAACGTCAAGTATAACAATGTGCCACCACAGTCGGCGTCGCATCTCCGCCAAGAATGGCGAAAGTCCAAGAGCGACCGGGTCACGGTGTAGTCCCAATTTCATGGCTGATCGGATGAGAAGCCCGGTCATGGAGAAGATATAAGTTTTGTTAGCCGAGTGGCGCGCACAAACCAGGTACATCGTCAAGGCCTGGAGTGAGGTGACATCCGGGCTGCTCATGAAGTCTGCTTTGGAAAGTGCTTGCCCCACCCCGAGTTCATAACGATCAAGCAATGTCTGGCGTTCCTCCTGAAATAATTTCCGACAAGAGGCTGAACATTGGATGCTTGCAACAGCAGAGTAGTATATCGAGAACATGAGACTTTCGAATGCAGATGGGATCTGTGCAAGATTCTGGCTAGCTCGTAGTATTTGTCGTTGGGTGACCGGAACGTGAACCATCTTGAGGACTGGGTCAACGTTCTCCAGGAAGACCTGCCAGAGACTGAAGACATGATTCTGCGTAGGGTGCAATTGCACCAATTCTGCGAGATGGATCGTTGAGCCAAACATGGGCCCATACTTCTGCTGTGAGCGGGCAGGTCTGGCAGGCGACGATTCTGTTACGAGCGAGGGGTTGTTAGGGGCAGCAGCCTCGTCCTTGTCGGCTTCATCGAGGTCAGCCCAAAAGCTGCTCGTGACATATCTGGTGTCCCCTTGCTCCGAGACCAATCTGCCAGTGGTTGAATTGGCTGTGAGCTGAGTACCAGAAGGCGTTCCCTGATGAGAGAAAGGGTCGGGTCGAGTACTCTCGGGTATCTCTGGGGTGGGAACGTTGGCAATCCTCGACTCCAGTCGTAGCAATGATGTCTCGATGCGTTCTAGTCTCGAAAGTAATTGGGTTTCCGGTTGCTTCTTTCCTGCTTGATCTGGACCAGGATACACGCACTGTAAGTGGAGTTTGGTGCAATAGCTACAAGGCTGATCTCGGTCGCACCTGATCTTCCGCCTTCTACAAGCGACGCAGGAACGCCCTGGCGTAAGTCTGGAAGTGGCGGCTGGGTCATCCATCGTGGACTAGGCCATGCGCTTGCTTATGATCCAAAAGCATGTAGACATCTTCCTTTACTGCAGGAATCGCCCGACATGCCGTACGGGTTCGAGATATGCACGGATTGATCCAGAAATAGCGCTCAATCTGATAATGCGAAATGGACGGAAAACAAATGGATCCCTGTCCAGGCATGGATTTTCCAGGGTCCTCCGGCCAAGCTCTCCAGATGGGGAAGATACGCAAGAATTACCCCATTTCAGGCCTCCCACAGTTAATATCATTACCGCTGGTCAGGGCCAACTCTTACAGTGACAACAATCTCCTCGCTCTTTGTTCGTTGGAAGTGTAGGAAGTATGCTGTATTCTAAAGTTGTCCATTGGGCCCATCCGCAACCCATTCAACGTCTATGCAACAGATCTGAGCACATTCCTCATGACTTCGTCTATGCTGCTCTCCGCCCGCAAGCCAATGAGTTCATTTGCCAAGTTCTCGTCGACAGGATAATTTGTCCTGATTCCTGGTACTGTTCCCCAAGCTGAAGCTTTAACGAGAGCAAACATGCCGGAGAAGTCACCTTTTGCAACCAATTCTCTGCCGCGAGCAATCTCTTCATCCGTCTTGACATGTTGAACAGTCCATCCCTGCCCGGTATGAGACTGGACTACTTCCAAGATTGCTCTCTGAGTGGTTGTGACGCTCGAGACGTAAAGATACTGATTTGCCGTCTCGGCAGGATGTGTCAGGATGCCGATGATGGCCTTTCCAAAGTCATCCTGCGTCGTGGCAGAGAAAGCCACGTTGCCGTCATCCCAAATCTCGGCCTTTTTGTTGACAAGATCGAATCCTAGGAACCCGACCTGGAATGCCTTTTTTGAATTAGTTGTGCTCTTCCGGTACGAGGCTCAACACGTACCCAGTCAAGCAAGATGCCAGTTGCTAAGCCTGTCCACGTTAAGCCAGATGCTTCTTTCGCCTTCAAGTAATCCAACACCATCTTCTTCGGCTCAAATACAGGGACGAGATGACGAACAGCCTCGCTTCGGGTATTCGACGAGAACTCTGACGGGATGAATCTTTTGACACCTGCTTTGACCGTAGCATCGATGATCACTTTCTGATCCAGAAAGCCGGTGGCACCCACAGCAGAAATGACCGCATCATGTCCTGCAAATGCTTTCACGAGCTTGTTTTCGGTGTAGGCTGTCCTGACCACACTCAGGTCTGGTGAGAAAGATGCCGAGCTCGATTCTCTCGTCACAATGGTGACTTGGAAAGCTTTCGCATTGAGTAACGCGGCCAGGATGATTGCACCCAGATTTCCTCCGGCCTATCAGCAAGTTAGCATGCGAATTACACTTCAACGATTTTGAACCACTGCACCCCAATCAGCACGACCTTATTGATCGGTTGAGTTGCCGACATCTTGCACAAGCCTTGAACTCCGAGCGTTTGCTACCGGTGGCCCCCATGTCACTGTTCCTAGCCCTTTTATAAGGCACGATCTTCATGACATGGGTCAGTACGGATGATAAATCAAGCCTCCACATGTACACGTCCAATGTATGACCGTGTCAGAGACCTCTACAGTTGTGACATTGACAATGCACAAGCACTCTGGATAAAGTTGCACGTTGTAATCCACGAGCGCGTTATGCGATAATGGCTGGGTCAGATCTCTCCCTATCCGTGCATTACTCAGCAACGCGGCCATCGCGGAGCCGCTCTCCGCGACCTCCATTGTCTTCGGTCCCAATCGACACTACCACGACTCTTCTACGCATTGAAGTTTCCACTCAATCTCTACTCCACAGTGCGGGCCCAGAGAACGCACGCCGCGTTGTAGCAAGCGTCATTTACCGTGGCAGACGGAGGAGTAGATGCGCCTCGATTCAAGCCTGGGCACGCTGTGGTGCTTCGATATCTAGTTCTCGCCTGCTGGGATGGGGCTATTCAAACATCATGTCCGAACATCATGTCTTGCTCAGACATGAGAACCGCTTGCGCAAGGCTGGGGCGCGAGATCACTGTACTGAGGGTAAATCAGCGAAGGAGATTAGATTGATGTGCGACATGATGTAAGTTGCTTTGGTTCTGATGTGAGAACGTACTATCCTGACGAGATCGCGCAGTCCAGACTTCTTCTATACATTGTGAAAGGATCTGCTTCCACCGAGATGTGATACATGGTCGAAGTTGACTTACTTTGACGCCTTGGAATGAAGCAATAGCCAAAAGCATACAGGCATCTTGCTGGCGTTGCTGGAAGCATGGCGACGCACGATGTCTTTATCGCAGGATTAGGGGCGAAGGGAACCAGATCTCTAAAGGCCTTGGATCCCGATAACAGTGCCGTCATGATAAATCAAGTTCGGCAGCATCGTTGGTGCTATCTCAAGATTTGGCCCACGGAAGTGGGGGTGGGGGAATGCCCGAGTAGGTCCTTGACAAGCTCTCCGCCTAGGTACAGTATTTACAGCCCGGGCCTCGGCTCTTCAAGTCTACGCTGTATACTCTTTGCAGGCCCGTACCCGATTCTCTATTGAAGCAGTACCAGTGCACAGAAGGACAATCAGGATCAAAGACTACGCACGCAAACGATTTGATTGACTATCTCAACGTCATGGACTCCCTACCAGAGAAGGATATCCCCACAAAAGCGATAGTGGTTCAGAAACCTCATGCACCATTCGAGCTCCGGGATGTGATACTCGACGAGGTTCGGGCTCATGAGGTGCTTGTGCAGATGAAGTTTACGGGGATTTGCCACACTGTAATGACCAGTCCCGAATTTAGGGCGAGATCGGTCTGTAGCTGACTATGTTTCGCAGGATCTTGTGGTGCAAGATGGTGACATTCCTGTCGGCTCATATCCAGCAGTACTCGGCCATGAGGGTGCAGGTATCATCCGCAGAGTGGGAAAAGACGTCCAAGATCTGCATGTCGGTGATCTCGCATTACTCAGCTTTGCGTCTTGCATGAGCTGCTCGGTGTGCAAAGAAGGCCGTAAAGGATCGTGTGCGGAATTCACCTACATCAACTTTGTTGGTGCGCGAGGCCCCGAGAGTTCACCGATAAGGTTACCAGACGGACAACGTGTTCGGGGGCAATTCTTTGGACAGTCATCGTTCAGCGAGCTTGCAGTTGTGGATGCCAGATCGGTCGTCAAGTATAGTGGTGAGGAGAAGGACTTGTCATTTCTAGCTCCTCTGGGTTGCGGGTACATGACAGGAGCTGGAACGATACTCAACGTACTCAAACCTCGTACAACAAGCAGCGTGGCTGTCTTTGGACTTGGTGCCGTCGGTCTGGCGGCAATCATGGCAGCGAAAATGGAGGGAGTTCAGGAGATTATCGCGGTTGACATTGTTACTTGGAAACTCGAAATGGCTACAAAACTTGGAGCAACGCATACCATTGACCCGAAGCAGGGCGACTTTCTCGATGCAGTCCACAAAAGGTGTCCGGACGGCATCGAGTACATTGTTGACACGACCGGGTCAATCTCAATGATCAACAATGGCATCAAGGCGCTCGGCCATGCAGGCACGCTGGCTCTGGTTGGCGTTCCGAAGCCAACAGATCAGATCGAGGCCAATGCAATTGACATTTTGAGTTCATGTAAAAGAATCATTGGAGTCATTCTGGGTTCTACCGATCCTCAAGAGGTATGTTCTTTACTCCAGGTTTGACTATGTCTCATGGAGAACAGTTCCTACCACGTCTTTTGGACATGGTCCAGTCCGGTTCATTTCCGGTCAATCTGCTGTCTGCCGTCTACCCGGCGAAAGACGTGAACCAGGCGATAGCCGATATGAAGGCTGGAAAGGTGAGTTCATTTTATAGGCACTGGCTGTATCTGACAATTGATGTACAGGTCATAAAACCTGTGTTGGCATGGTAGTGCATCTTCCAAGACGATGGCCATGCTCGGTCAAAGCCGATCGTCAAGATGGTGTTCCTCCTCGGTTATACACGGCATAAATATTGATACTGTACAACCCGAAACGATTTGAGCACTGTCAATCCTTACTATCTGACCGGATACACACTTTTTGGAATTCAGAAATCAAGTTGTTAACCTGTTGCATACTCGTTTGGTCGTATTGCCTGAGAAGCGGGCCGGCGGACTCGATGCTAGAAAGGCTCATTGGTTTCTGCACTAGACCGTTCGAGAACGCCGCGGCTTCAGCACCTTCATCGTCTGATGTGGAGAGACGATCTACCATGAGTTTTGCAAGAAGCCAGTACTCTGACGCATGACGTGTAAAACCAACACGCCTCCACATATCATCCGAAGCAAGATCGTGCATGGAGGAAGTCACCGGAGAGTGGCGTGGTGTTTCAGAGAAACGTGTAACGTAAATGTTCCAGACCATTTCCCAATTCTGCAGGCCTTGCTGAATGGCACTTAGCGAACCCTGACAGCTGAAGGAACTTTGATAGTGAAATATGAGAGAATGCAGTGCAGATGTCATGGCGAAGAGATTGAGAGGTCCTAGACCGGCCAGCATAGTGCTGGAGTCGTCATCGACATGGCTTCGATAGAGCATCTCGAAAGCTGAAGCGAAATCCAACGACTCCACTGGCTGCAGAGCACTGTCTTGCTGTTCTTGCGCCAGACTGTTGAAGCAATCTTCTGCAGTCAAGGCCTGAAAACAAGCCTCAGGCTTAGCCGGGCTCATTCTCATTTCCCGAATTACCATACGTGGAGGCAAATTGTTGAAGATCACGAAGGCGGTATCCAAGAGGAAGATCCACAGACACACTCGAATCAGCTCTTCTCTGGCTGCAAAGTTCTTGAAAGAGAAATCGCATAGGTTTTGTTGCCGGTAGTTGGGATGCCGGGCATTGTGAAGGGTGTCTCTGGCAGCTGCAACCATCGTGCTGTAGCGGTATCGGCGAATTCGACGCTTGCTCGAGTGTGTTCCTTCCCAGTTCTGGTAGAGACACACCATGTATGCAGCTTGTAGTGCTCTCAGCTTTCCTCGCCACCATTGAGCCTCGCCAGTGTCGCAAAAGCTGGAAACAGGGCTGTCATCGCAGAGGTCGTCAATGCTGAAAACCAGTTCTTCAACACAATTGAACCAGCGCCTCGCATACTCGCGATCCGATGGTTCTGGCGAGACACATGCCCCCATCACTGACATTGCTGCGACAAGCTCGGGTTTCGCAGAGGCGGAATGAAACGTGGCTTTGTGCATGATATTTACGTTAGGGTGCCAAATTGCCCAATAAAAGTGGATATACCGTCGGATGTTCATTGGAGAAAAGAAATGTAAGCAGGCTTCTTCTGCTGTGTTTGACCACGAAAGGTCGACGCAGCTGTTTTTGGATTGCTGCAGCACAACGTCTTTGATAGAAGTGATGATCTCGTGAGACTTGAGCGATAGGGGATCGGAGAGCCACTGAAGAACGGCCGCTTGAGAGTTATACTCTTCATTGACGTCTGATGTTGTTGGGTTCCCTGCGAAAGCCACAGTGGAGTCTGCACATGCTGGTACGGGCACAGCAGTGTGCTTCTTAGACCCTACAACGTCGTTTTGGAAGCTTGTTGCGACTCGCCGCCGTTGCTCGAGTGTACCGCAATCGAAAGCATCGACGAGACCAGTCTCACTCGTGAAATTGGCCAAGAAGTTCAGAGATCGGTCGTCATGGTGTCTCTCATCGGACATTGCACTAGCCGGGCTCTGGACTCCTGAACCCAAGTTGAGAAAGTCCTGCCAGCTATCAGATGGGACGTCGAAATCATGGCTCGACAGGCCACAAGAAACCCAGCCGGCTATGTTGGTAAAAGATGGAGCGCCGCCGCCGTGGCGAATGCTGTTCTCGTCGGTAGATGCTGGGAGGTCATATGAGTCAAGAAGACTGATGGTAGGATCCGGTTGGGTTTGAGGATTGGAAAGAGCACGTCTTTTGACACTTGGCTCTGTCGATTGCGCGGGATGATCGAACAAATTGTCGCACGTCCTGAGATGTCGCTTCAGCACATCAGAGCGCTGGAACGTGTTTCCGCATCCCATGCATTCATGAGGCCTTTCCGTACCGTGCGATATTTGGTGGCGACGCAAATGCTCGGGCCTCTTGTATGATTTGGAACAAGTAGGACACACGTTCAGACTGGCGTAGTTCGCCATCAGGTAGGCTGTCAGCACTGTTGTCGCCCAATGCTGACTTATGGCTGCGAGGACGTGCGAAACATCATGAAGGAAGTAGCCTCATTGCTGGGCGCACATGGCCAGACGAGAATTATCAAAAGTTGGGGGCGCCCCAGGTCCCCGGGCCCCCGGACCGAGAAAATCTGGCTAGTGAGGCCACTTACTTAGGCAGGGCGAAGTTGCCGGGACTGCTCTTCGGTACTTCAGCCAACCACTGGAACCAATCCAGGAGACTTCAAAAGCAACACATGTACGTCAGCACCCGGCGAGGACATCTTCCACCTCCACCGCCACCTTCAGATCGGGCGAGGGTCATCCCACCCCCGCATTTCGACTGTGGGATGGGCATCCCAAGTTGACAGTAAGGACCAGACCCTTGGTATTGCATATGTAAGTGATCATGCCGAAGCCTTGACAGTTGTTGCTTTCTTTCTTGATGAGATCCAACAACTTGGGCTGTATCTTTAATCAGCATATCTCTCAAAAACGCAACGATGAGCGTGCTGTACTTCACTCTGGCCGTATTGGGCTTGTTATTAGGCGCCGTACGACTACTCTCGATAGGTCGCAGGCCGAAGTCTTATCCACCAGGACCACCCACTCTGCCAGTCCTTGGGAACCTTCATCTGGTACGTCTCACATGTCGCACCCTGGTTGGCACCAATGTTGCTGAGTATATGCAAACAGATGCCAACTCGAGATGCTCACCTGCAATTCGAATCCTGGGCACGAGAGTATGGTCCGGTGTACAGCTTAATGTTAGGAACCAAGGTGTTGATCGTGCTATCGAGCGATGAAGCCGTCAAGGAACTTCTCGATAGGAGGAGTGGCACTTATTCTGATCGACAGGATATGTACATTGGCCAGACTTTGTGCAGTGGAGGTTTGAGGTTACTAATGATGGTATGTGTGTCGCTCCCACCTTCTCACGAGAGGGTATGTCGCTGACCTGGGTCGGTACAACAGAGGTATGGCGCGAAATGGAGAGGGGTAAGACTTTGATGTTACCCACACTGGCAATGTGATGTTTTGCTGACCGCGAGGCGTACTCAGTTTCGCAAGATGGTCCACAACCTTCTGAACATCACTACTTCCCGGGAGTACGTCCCTTATCAAATGCTTGAGAATAAACAAATGCTGTTTCAACTTCTCGAGCAACCTCAGGACTTTCTCAAGCATATTCGACGCTACTCTAATGCGCTCACCACCACAATGGTCTTCGGCTGGAGGACACCCACCTATGAAGATGAAGATATGAAGCAGCTCTTCGAAGGGTTCTCCGAGTTTGCGGAGATCAACCAGACCGGCACGGCTGGACTGATAGACTTCTATCCTATCTTACGGAGACTTCCTGAGTTCTTGCTCCCGGTGCAGAAGAAAGCGAAGACACTTCATAAGCATGAGAAACGGCTGTACCTTAAGCACTGGTTGAACGCCAAACATGCGGTAGAAAAGGGTGTGATTCAGCCCTGTTTCTGCGAAGGAATGGCCGCAGCACAGAAAAAAGAAGCATTTGACGACGACCAAGCCGCGTACATCTCTGGTACCCTCCTGGAAGCTGGGTCTGACACCACTTCGAGCACATTGTACGCCTTTGTGCAAGCAATGTTGCTGTATCCTGAGGCACAGAAAAAAGCACAAGCTGAGATTGATAGAGTGGTTGGAGACAGGCTACCGACCATGGATGATGAACCCAGTCTGCAGTACATCCGTGCGTGTATCAAAGAGACACTACGCTGGATGCCGACCACGATCCTCGGCGCTGTGCCACACGCCGTAGACAAGGACGATGAATACATGGGATATCTCATACCCAAAGGCGCAGGCGTACTCAATAATGTTTGGGCAATCCACATGGATCCCAGACGCCATCCTAATCCTCGGCGTTTCCAGCCCGAACGCTACATCGACGACACACAGAGTCTCTATGACTCAGCAGCTAATCCGGATGGCACGAAGCGAGACGTCTTCACATTCGGTGCAGGCCGGCGTATCTGCCCAGGTATGCACGTTGCAGAACGCAGTTTGTTCCTTGGCATGTCTCGTATCTTGTGGGCGTTCGACATCGAGCCGGTGGCGGCTGAGACGGGCATCAAGATCCTGCCCGATCAAGAAAGACTCACGCAAGGGTTCGTGTGCATGCCGGAGGAATTCCAGGCGAAGATCACACCGAGATCGCCAGCTAGAGCTGAATTGGTCAGACAAGAATGGCACGATGCTGAGAAGGAGTGTCTGGATCCTGATACCAAGCAGTGGCTGCAACGGCCGTAACTTCGGGGCCGACTGATCGGATATATTACGCCCCAGGAGGACGACACCCGACTGACTGGTAGTCTCCTTTTCGTGTCAGCAGTTTGTAAGAGCGTGGAATGCGCGCTGGCTCGAAAAGAGGTACATCGTGCAGAATCCGTACCGGGACCGTCGAGTGACTAATCATGCCTGAAGTCAAGCAGAGACCATAGAGTCCGTCGGGCCCATCTTGGTCGAATAATCAATAGTCTTGCCAGGGCAGGTAGATGATGGATTCATCATAGCAATATGAAAGGGCTGGGGTTGTTTTAGACGCTTTCTTTAGGCGTGCTGCCTGGCAGTTAGGGGGGTTTCGGCCGTTGATTATTCTGTCCTATAGCAGCACCTCTAGGCAAGTTTTAGGCAGTTAGTAATTAGCGACAATCTCTAACCGGATTTCGAGCTTCAACGCCTAAATCACTGCGCATTAAAGTCCGACAACCTCTGTTAATTCTGCTCAGAGGAAGCGGCTTATATCGATCGTGGGTTAACAGACCTGGAACCTCACTGTGCGCTTACTCCAGCCATAGGTTCTGCAAAGGAAGTACTTTTGCACGATCTTCTTGAATCTCAGTTGATCCCGACCAATGCCTCTTGAAGATGTTTTTTGTTTGACCCATTCCCCTCCATTACAAGTCTGCCATGTCAATGTCTCAGAAGCGCCCACTCCCTCAGGATACCGAAGAAGACAGTGATGCGGACCAAGTCTTCAGATCTTCGCCGATCCAAGACCGGTCGTCGACATTCGTCGCGCATTTTCATCCGCTAAGTCACGCAAACACCACTCATGGCGGTAAGCCTGTCCCTCTAACGTCGACCGTCAAATCATTCCAATCACACCCGGACTTTGTGTCGGCGGACCATCGAATGGTCGCATGGCGCCGACCGTCTACGCAGCGAACATTAGCACCCTCGACTGTGGTCGGTGTCAGCCATGCGATCTACACGACCGGTTCGGATGATGATGGCGAAAAGTACGCGGGCAAGAAACTTGAGCGAGTCCTGATTGACCTGGACGTCGAGGGCACGGTGGTCGTTGCGCGATGGTACGGCGGCATTAGGCTCGGGCCCGTACGCTTCACGCATATTGAGACTGTCGCGAGGGAGGCCATTATGATGTGGAAAGCGCAACATCATCATGACAGTGCCAAGAGACAGAAAGTGCAACAGGAGGTGGCGGACGAGGCAACCCGTGCACGACTAGTAAGGGTGCTGGGCGAGAGGGACAACAGTATCGTGGTATTAAGGGGTTTGCTTGCAGAGAAGACGGGTACTGCTACAGCGAAGTCTGCTGATGCTCCGAGTCAGACGCAGACACCGACTCCAACAATCACGAGTTCTTCCACGACTAAAAAGATTGACTACAGTGTAATGCCGCTGCAGACACTGCGCCAGCTGGAGAAAGCGCGAGACGCAACCATTGCCTTCATTCTCAAACAGATTGACAAAGCTGAAGATGAGGAAAAGAAGCGAAAAAGTGCGCAGGAAGCAGCGGCTGTCACCGATGGCGACACGGAAGATGGCAATGCTGTCACTGCCCCTAAAGAGTGAACTGGATCGCAAAAGGCCAACATCAACGACAATTCTTCAGGTGGTGTAGACTCAAGGTCGGGCAAGTCATGCTTCATTTCGATTCTGCCGGTGGCCTCTTTTCCAAGTCGAACATTTATCGGCCACCGCAAGATGAAGATTGCTTCCCACTCGACAGATGTCCCCATGTTCGTACACCCTCACTCTGGTGCGATCATGCCGAAACCGAGACGTCCTCCTGCGCACCAGCATATCCGGCACTCGCACGACTGCTCGCCGGCTTCAACGCATTCTTCTCAGCTTCTTCCTCTTTGAACTTCTCCACAACCATCTTTCTGGTCAACTGCTGGTAATCTGCGGACGCAAGTCAGTCAAATCCCCCCAGGCCTCAACAAACGAGCAAGAAGGAGAAACTCACGAAGCACACCACTCTCCTTGACCTGATTCAGCACGCCCTGCGAATAAATGCCCCTCTCAAGATTACTCTGCGCCACCTCGCACAACTCATAATCCTCGAGCGCAACCTTCCTCACAAACTTGTAATACTCTTCAAACCCTTCCATTCCGCCATTTCCATCATCGAAATAATAATCAAATTCCATGCGCGTTTCGCCGACCTTCTCACCAGGACACACGCGGAAACTACTCATCCCTCCACCGTACAGGTTCAAAGTGCACACGGGGTAAAAGTACAAAAATAAGCCATCGTCAGGCTTCGTTGGGTCCGCAATATGTCGGCTGTACGTGCCGTGGTTGTGCACTTCGTAGAACGTCGGCGGATACTTGACGCTGAAGGACCGGTGCGTGTACTGGCAGTGCAGACATTCTTGATACCCGTCGACCATGGTCTTCCAGTTGAAGTTGCCGGGATACTTGATCGACCGCCGGTGCGGGAGGCGCCGGAAGTTGTACCCCGACAACAATTCAAGGAGGGATGCGGGAAACCATTGCGCAAACTCTGGGGCAGACTCGTCGACCGTCGTGAAAAGAAGCCCTGTCGGCGTCAGGTAGTGTCGCAGCTCGGCACCCTGTGAACGTCAGTCAGACTACTGCAAGACACGCCGAGAGGCGGCATGAGTGCAGCAACGTACGTCGGATTTCCGGGTCACGGTAAAGTTCTCATTGCCGTCATGCTGGATGGTGACTGCAACTCCAGCAAACTCATAGTCGACTTCCCGATCCTCAGAAAATCGAGGTACGGCACCGACGAGGTACCATGCCTTGTAAAAGACGGCCCGTTGTTCGAGAAGGTACAGGTTCTGCGACGTGTACCACGATGCTGGCAATGTCTTGGTAGCGTCCATGATTGTGCTGGGAAAATACTCAATTCAACTTCACATTGCCGACGCATCACCCAGGAGTATATCAGGCACGGTCGACAAGTCACAATTATACTGGGGTGGAGATATGCGCCGAAACCAAGTCAAGCCAAAACAGGCATTCAAATACCGACGAGTCTGGAGAAGCGAAACTGGCTAACTTGTACGGGGCGGCATATGTTTCTATTTACACGACAGCCATGGTCGATCCATTATTCATCATCAAATACAAGTGCTGGATATTCCATGTGATAATCACTTATTGACTTTGAGAAGTCCATTGAATCAGCAGGATTCAAGAGGGGGAAATATCTCTGGCGGGATCGCATTTCCACATTGAGACATCGGCCCAATCCATCAATGGCACCAACGGCGTCAGCTTTGATATCATGGGCCCCATCAACCACCAAATGAACTGTCATTGACATCGGATCCGATGCTTGATGTCAATATAATCATCATCAATACCAAAACATGATTGGCGACATTGTTCAGAGTTTCGGAATTGAATTGCTTGAAACCTGGCATCGCCTTGCTTCTCCAGACTTGGATCTTCACATGATAAGGCCAGTAATCGTCTTCCGGTCATAAAGATTGGAACTCCCGGATACCAGCCTCAAGTATTGTGTCCAGGTATGGCGTTCACAGTATCCAACAGCCATATCTTATGGCAAGGCATGTCGTTTCCTGCATACCTTTTCATAGTATCATGCTTGATATATCTCTTTGGTCGTTCCTTGATTAACTGCCTTGGTGCGCTGATATCCGCCGATGGCCATAAGGTCGCGCATCCTGCTTCCGGGCTGGACCAGGCAGAAAAAGGGAGCTTGAAAAGGCCGGAAGACATGTCAGATGATGAGATCTTTCAATTGGAAAAGAGAGCATTCTTTAGCAAGGTGAGTGAGGCCATGGCCCGGGTCGCCATATGACTTGGGCTGACAACTTCAAAGACGTGGCTGTACATTTCACACAGAAGCAGGTTCGATAAGGCTGGCGACTATCATGTTTTTGATGTGGCTGGGATTTCCTTCTTTGTCGTTCTTGGGAAGGACATGAAGCTTCGAGCTTTCCACAACGTGTGTCGACATCGTGCCTATACCGTGGTGCGAAAGTCCTGTGGAACATCGGCTCGCTTCTCTTGCAAGTATCATGGCTGGCAATATGACGACGAAGGCAAGCTAGTCAAGGCCCCGAAGTTCGATGAATCGCTGGGGTTCAAGCCTGAGGAGAATGGTCTGTGGGAGGTCAAGTTGATCTTGACGAGGGAAGGCTTGGTCTTTGTCAACTTTGACGCAAGCACTATGCATCTGCCCTTCAACAACGTCAGATCTCATGTCGACATGGGAGCCTGCTCTTGGGTGGATGGTATGGATTTGACTTGTGAGACGAATTGGAAGGGCCTGGGTAAGTCATGAAATATCTGCGTTGATCGATACCTAACAATGTTTAGCCAATGAGTTCTCGAATCAGTCACAATGGTCACAGAACCCTTTCGGATGGTTCTCTGGCTTCCGTCGACCGAAGATGGCCAGACTACTGGGACCGATGAGCATGATCAAGGAGCTCAATGAAGACCTTTGGTGTACGATGACGCTTCTTCCGCGGTCTCAGTCTGAAGTTATCGTGAGATGCGACATTTATGCGAAAGAGGGTACAAACCCGTCTCCACAGACCTTCCAGCGATGGAAGTGGCTGCTGGAGAAAGAATTGAACGTCCTGTCGAAGCCTGACGAGGCGAAGGCTTCCGGAAGGTCGTACTTTGCTTATCAATGTGGAGGTGATTGACATCATGCATCATCGTGGAGGAAGAGGCTGACTTTCGCACCAGGACGGACGATCGATCTCTTCGCAATCCTCGCTCAGCATCAACGGAATGAGAAGATGGCCAAGAAGAAGTTGCAGCCTGCAATCCGCGTGACAGGATTAGCTGATATCGACGAGGAAGCTACAGCCTTGTGTGACGTGCTTGACGGCAAGGGCGAAAGTCCACCACTGGAGAATTGTTCGAGGAAATCGAGCTTTCCACAGACTTTGGAATGGTAGGTGCACATATGGTACAAAGCTCAACAATGGACGGACACTGCATTAGACGAGGTTTATTGAAGCATAGCGTGGCGGAAACGATACATCGATACAGAGCTTCGACTCATCCTGCTCATCAAATTTCCTACGATGTTGCGTTGTCAGCCAGCACTTCCATTTTGAACGTCCACTCCAGCCATCCTAGCCTTTCTCGCAGCTACCGGATCTCTGTCTTTGCCAGTATAAACTGAGGCTTCCGGCGCAGGATACGGCGGCAACTCCGGTATTTCCATCCCGTCTTCGTCAAGCAATTTGCGCGCATCATGTCCGAACAACCAATCCTTCCGCCGCGTATCTGCCCAAAAGATCGGGTTCTGCGAGTTATCATGCCTCATCAGTTCATCCCGATGATCTCGCTCCGGACCGTCGTAAAGATGCAGCCACTCTTGAATGACGCGAGTGTTTCGCGCGACATATGCAGCTCTCGGTATCCGCTGCCGTTGGAACGCATCAAGTGCTTCGGGAAGAGTATCGAAGTACGCAAGAGCAGCTTGCAGCGTAGCCGCATCTTCGGTAGCCTGCGCTGCACCTTGGGCAAGGTATGGCATCATCGGATGAGAACAGTCGCCGAGCAAGGCTACTTTTCCGCTCGGATGGACCCAGCGCTGGAGTTGGTCAAAGTCGGCTAGTTTCCATTTCAGATATTGTCCTGTCAACCCGCACAGTTTGCGCACCGGATAGCACCAGTCCGCAAAACGACGTACAAGCTCTGAGTTGTCGGCCTGGGACTTCCATTCGCCTTCTTCGACTGGGGCACCGAAGTCTGTGGCATGCGTCACGTCGATGATGATGTTATAGAGTTCGCCGTCGCGTAGAGGATATCCTACGGCGTGTCCTTCGGGGCCTATCCAGTGCACTGCCCATGGCTCCGTGACGAGATGTCGTGTTTGAGGGTCCTCGAGCAATGGCCCAGCAGGGACGAGAATACGATATGCGACGTCTCCTGTGTCCACGGGGTCGACTGGTGATCCATTGATCTCGTTTCGAACAGCTGATTTGATACCGTCCGCACAAATGATCAGGTCGCCATGGTGCCATTGCTCGTCTGCCGTCTTCAACGCTGGCTTTTCGTAGTCATACTCGACAACTTTGGCGTTCATTCGTAGTGTGATATTCTCGCGTTTGTTCGCCGCCTCGACCAGAGCATTGATCAAGTCTGCGCGGTGGATGAAGTAGTACGGGGCGCCATATCGACTTTCGACGTCAGAGAACGGTATGTCCAGAAGGATTTTATCTTTCCAGTCGACGAATCGATTGCCCAATGAGACTTGCTTTTTGATCGAATCAAAGTCCACGCCCCATGATAGACTGAGCCGCGAGGAGTTCGGCGGCACTCGGATTCCTGCACCTACTTCGAGGAATTCCTTGACGGATTCGAAGATGGTGACTCGGTGGCCGTCCGCGGCAAGGGCTAAAGCAGTCTGGAGACCGCCTATGCCAGCGCCAACGATGAGAACGTTGAGGCTTTTCATGTTATATCCGTGGCCATTGAACTCCAAAAGCTGGATCGTGAGCTATGTATTTGACTGAGTCTTATTGCGAGCGACAGACTACGCGTTCTTCTGGTGGCGACCGAGGTCATCATTCCCCTCCACGTAATGTACTAACTCTGGTCAATCTCCGCATTGAGGCATGGCAAGAACGGCATTTGACCGGATCTGCAATTGCCAAAAAGAGCACTTTTGCGACAACGAAACGAGATTCGGATGAAGCTAGAATGCACCGAAGCAACAATACGGTAGTTCGCAGTCATTTGTGACTGGAGGGTACCTCGACGCAAATCATGTGGACTTCATCTTGGTGATGAAGACCTTCTAGGACTCAACTATCGCTGGGAGCCTCGATGCTAATGTAGCCCTCCTCAGAATCATCAGAATCAAACTCACTATCCTCTCCATCAGACTCAGAGTCCTCCTCAACCGTATTGACATCGACATACTCTTCTTCGTTGTCGTTGGAGACTCTCTCAAAGATATCATTGTCATTGCTCTCAGAATCAAGATCTCCCCATTGCTCCCATTGTTCGATGAGTGCATCCGGTAACGATCCCACCTTTTCCTCCAACTTCCTTGATCTGATTATGATGCGGCTGGCCAGCAGGTACGTGTAGCGGAAGTACATCCAGAGCTCATCATCCAAGCAAGGATGCGGGTAATATGGGTCGTTGCCCGTTACCGCAACTAAGTATTTCTTGACAATGTCCGAAGCCGATGCCTCTAGGTCGACCCTCGTGCATTTATCGTAGTCCAACATCCACAGCTCGCTCCCGCCGGAGCCTTCGAATGCAGCTATGGGTGATCGAAACGAGGAGTGGACCGCACGTAAATCACCGAACATTGGTTTGCCCGAAGATCCAATCACGAACTCCGTATCTTGTGCGTCGATCTGTGCCTGCCAATGCAATATCGCAAGTCCTATAGCCATTTCTGTGGCGTATCCGATGAGGACAAGGTTAGACATTATCAGTTGGGCGTGCTCCAGGTACAACGGAAAATTTCGAAGCGTATCAGTGCTGTCGTACGCCCGGTCGTTCGGACTGTTCTTTCCAAGATAAAGACGAATGAGACAGTCTCTGTTCTCAGGTTTGCCCAACACATCTCGTCTTGTCGTGTCGGATTTCCGGAAGAAGGTATGGACGAGGGCTCGTCTCGTAGGCTCGAGAACTGGTGAGATATAGGTTAAACGGAAAGCTGCGCCTTGTGTCCGGTCGGCATCTGGAAATCGGCAAAGGTTTTCAGTCCACCATTCTGAACTTGGTCCCTCATAAAAAACAGGTTCAGGGACCCGTGGTATGCGGCGTGATGAAAGAAGATTGGAGTCTGCGAAAATGTCGAGCGCCCTGAGATGGCTGTTGTAGGCCAGACCTGTAAGTTCAAAGTCGTTCGAGATGCCTGCGGCGTTGGCACCTTTCTTGATAGCCCAGGGCGACCCCGGGCACACAAAGACGCTGCCACAGGTGCCGCGGCCAATATCGCGGAGGGGAGCCTGGTCGGTGTGATGACCGGGCATCGTGTTGACACTGGAGGTCTTCTGGGTGAGAACGTCCATGAATAAAATGGACAGGAGTATGATTTTCAGAACGAGGAAACTCGCAGGTTTATATACTCATGGCAAGGCATGGTTCTGGCGGAGTAATGGCATCGTCTGACAGATTCTGCGCCTGGATCCAAACAATGGTGTTCGATGTTACCCGCGCCCTGCCGTTGGAAGAGTTCGGCGACATTCAAGGTCACTCACACTATGGCAACTGTCAACCTCAACCACGTAGCTTACCTGTGCGAGAATCCCAACACTGCTGGACTAAGAAGCCAGCAAGACTCGCCTGTTGAGGTGCGAAGGTTCCCTGTCGGACAGTGTCATTTTCCTCCGATGAGGTGTGAGTGAGTCAACGTGCCAAGAACAGGTTCAGGCACTTGGCTTTGACGGAACCATGGTTTGTCCAAGTCAATATCAGGCTCCTCGCGAAATCCTCGTCAGCGTTCAGTGTCGCAAGGCGGAGAGCGCGCGTAAAGGCGGTATCGACGACTGCAAGCATAATCACAGTCTAGTCTCCGCGATGAGAGGTTGTCGAGGAGTGAACGAAGGCAGAGGAGACGTAGAAAGTGACGCGATGTTTATCATGATTCGCAATAGTAACGCCGAGGACAGGGCGGCGGCACACCGAGGCCTCAGAACGTGTATATCTTGGTGCCGCTCTTATCACGCCTTGGCCTACGTCGTTTGTGTAGTTTGTTGCAGGACCCCAACACCAAAGTGCAAGTCACTCCTTCATGTTGCGGTGTCTGGACAATCAGACCTCAGCCGCGACAGTCACTCCGCCATGTTTAAGAAGGAGTAAGTACACCCTTGGACTCTTCCCTCCGTCGAGGCTGCCATTGTACTTACACAGACACACAGTCTGACCGCGGGCGCAAAGTCCAAGGTCAAATCCTCGGTGCAGCGGGGAATTCGAGCCAAAGTCCTCGAGACATACCCGGCACTCGAACCGCACATTGACGAGATCATGCCCAAGAAGAGTCAAGTGGATGTGGTGAAACTGTAAGACCACAGACTCCCGAGGACGGAGACCCTCTTGCACCAGAAACCAGACTCACACTGTTGGCTTAGACCAGACCGCGTCTCCCTGTACGTCCTCGACGACCGACCCTTGTTCTACCAACACATGGACGATCCTATAACCCCGCACCTCAAAATCGTACACCAGTATCCTCACGCCTTCAAGACGATCCGTATCGACCGTGGTGCGATCCGTTTCGTGCTCTCGGGCGCAACGCTCATGGTCCCCGGGCTCACATCTCCAGGCGGCATACTTCCAGATAAAGATGAGGAGGCGAAACCGGGGGACATTGTCGCTGTGTCTGCCGAGGGAAAAGATGAAGTCTGCTTGATCGGACAGTTGGAGATGGGCACGGAGGAGATGAAGGCGAAGAAAAAGGGCGTCGCTATGAGTGCAGGTCATTATCTTGGAGACGGACTGTGGAAGATGGATTTGAGTTGAGACCATCTACCCAGAATGAGCTGGCGGAACGAAGCCTCTGGAGTGACATGGAGACGACCCGAGACATGTTCGTTTTGCCTCCGATCCCACCAAAGAGGATGGGTCGATTCTGCCTACAAAGACTCTGGTCAGGAAAGCACAGCTGCAGCTTGGATAGGTGTCATTGCAGGATTCGACGCAGGCAGAACTGTCAGAAGCCTGAAGACGCAGGACGGGGAGGTCATGATCGCTGCACTGCTACCTCATAACCGATCACAGCAATCTGTTATCCCAGGAAGGTGGCATTGGTGTGGAACGTCACTGAGAGTACACCGTGCACGAGACAACACATCGAGTGTCTCTTTGTACAAGGTCAGGTTACGCCATGCAAAGGTCGAATCCGAGCACTCGAAGACATTTGAGCGTACCGCAGGGACTGTCCTGTAATTGGCACAACTTATAGAGTCCTGGATCAGTCGTCCCTTGATTTGATTCTCACAAAATGGGAGCAGAAATAATACGACATTTGGTACAATCGACCATTTGACTTTGATTTCTAGAGCTTTCGTGATACTGAGTACAAACTTTTGTCTTTGCCATTCGTCGCATTTTTCCATGATGAGTGACGCTGAATATTGAAAGGTAAAAAGCACACATCCTCCAAGGCGCCGTCAAGGTCCTGACCATGCTTGCCTGACAACTGTGAGGTTGTCGCACCTACATGGTGCTTGCTGTTTGGTCGGCAGTATTGATGCCCTTGGACCTTGTCCCTTGCACTCTGGATGTCAAAGTCACACACACATGGTTTGACAGTAAGTCATAAAGTCGAGCTGCTCTTTCCACTGCCGCTGTCCTCGAAATCCATACATGTTCCCCGTTTGAGTGCGCCCATCCCGACCATGCAGCCCCTTCTCCATGAGAAGTGCAAAGGTCTATGCAAGAACACAAAGAAAAAAGAATATGAAGGAGCAAGGAATGGACAGCATAACTCGAAGCCAGCAACGCGAGGGTATGGTGGTAACTCAGTCATAACAAGTCATAGGTGGTTGACGCTCAAGCAAGCGCCTTTTCGCACCCCTTTTCGCCGTGCAATATGGCCAGGTTAACTGAGACCTCTTTTTTAGGAGACGGATCATGCTACCGCTCTGCAGGAGTGTTGGTAACGATGAGATGAATCGGGTAGAGAGAAATCGATAATATCAGCCCGAGTTGGGTAGCAGGCGCAAGCAAGGTTGCAATGATGCCAGTGTCAGTCGATGTTGATGGTTTTGCCACACATATTTTTGGATCAAATTGTTGAGACTGGGACAATCTGACGAAACGCTGTAGTGGACGATGGGACCTCGTATGTGAAATGCTTCAGTCATTCAACATATCGATCTGCATGCAAAAATGAGCAGAACATTTTGTTGAACAATCCAGTATATCGGTAGATCGGGCAGTGCTAGAAGGAATCTGCAGGCTCAGCCACTCTTGTCGAGCTCGGCTTTTTCCTCAGCGCTTAGAACGTCGCCCAGTCTTTTGATGGTTTTCATGTTGGTGGCTCCATTGCGCCATGCAGCACGTAATGTGTGGAACAAAGGCCGGTTATTTGTCTTTTCTTCTCGCGAGAGGTTGACCATATCAGTCGCCAGGCGTTCACTGATTGGAATGCGACCACCCAAAACCTTGCCAAAATAACGAACAAGGTGTTTCATGCCGCTGTCGCTGCCTTCCTGCGAGTCCTTCACAGCAGTGGCTTGAAATTCTTGGTACATGCCAAGATTGAATTTGTCGACAAGAAAATCGCCCCAGAACGAATACAAAGGCTCAAGTGAACCTTCGACTCCCTGCTCATGCTGTTGGAAAGCAAGATCGTGAAGCGACTGATAACTCTGGTCGTATTGTCCGATCTGTGGTGGTGGCAATTGAGTTTCCTGCCCGCCTTTGGTAAAGTAGCTGATGGAAGTATCGTCCGTTACTGGGATGGTGCCGGAATATCCGAATGACCAGTTGCGAAATTGTTCGAGTCTGATGTGCGAGTCAGTGGTTCGATCTAGGACGATAAGATTCGGACGCAACTCACTGCTGTGGACTGGCTGCACCGCCTCGGAGGCTTGGAACTCGGGACTTCTCAGCGTTGGGACCACCTTCGCTTGACCCAGGTGCTTTATCGTCGCCATTGTGATCAATACCATTCGTCTCAGGTACTGCTGCTGCATGTGGCTGCATGCGGATGTTGATGTTGGGAATATTCTCGTCAGGGAAGACGTTGTCCTCAATATCAGCCCGGGACATCTGGCGGTTGTGACCATTGACGAAGCTTCCCAACACAGGTGGACCATGGCTAGGTGGTGATCTTATGGGGCTCGGTAGCTGAGCGAAAGGAGGCAAAGAGACCCTGGAACCGTCTTCAGGAGCAGCTGCCTCAAATGGAGGGGAAAACGGTGCCCCTGTTATGTTGCCGTCGACCTGAGCTCCTGGCACGTAGGAAGACATTTGAGGATTAGGATGGAAGATGCCATTGACTGGGGCAGCATTCAAGGGTGGGCTTCGTAACTGGTCCATGCCAAACGACGAATCAACACGGGGAGGTTGTTCGTACTGTGGTGCCGGATGGTACTGGTCCAAACCATGTTGAGGCCCGTCGTTTTGGGCAGACTCGAAGCGCTCCTCCACTGGAAGAATGAAATCTTGCCAATTTTCGCGGCGTCGAAGTCGGTCATCTCCATCAAATCCGGGCAGGAACTCGACACTCTTGACTTGTTGACAAACATATCGGAGTGTGTCCAAGGCCATGTTGTCATCGGTCAAGGTCTTGATTCGCTTAAAATTCGCGATGACACTCAGTGGCACATAACCTTGTCCATCCATGTGTTTTCTCAAGAACAAATCCTTGCAAAGATTGTCAATGGAGAAATAGTACTCGCTGCGGTACGTTAGCATGTCCTGGTAAAGGGTAAAGGCATATCTTACACTTGAGTCATGACCATCGATAGGAGAGCGTAAGAGTTGAGCGGGTCGTTGAACGGCATGGCACTCATAATGCCCGGTTGCATCTGCATTTGGCTCGGATAGCCATATGCTTGCATGTCGGTTTGTATGGATGGAGGACCTTGTGGCATGGCCGGCATACCATTGTAGTAGCCAGGGAACATAATGCTCACGGGAATTGATTGAGAGCGCGGGTTGTTACGAGAATTGGTCGGTGTCTGAGTCGGCTGGAAGGGCTGTGACGCCTGCCTCGAGCGGCTTTCGGTGTGGGAACTGGGCCCGCTTGATTCGAACCCATTCTGAGGCAACGGAGACGTGTACGCATGGGAGGAGCCGTAAGTCGGATTATAGGCGTGGTTGCCTCTGCCGCGATAACCTCCTCTACCACCGCGCTCAGGGCGAGGTTCGCGTCGACTGCTGCCGTCTCCTGAAGGCTCACGATCACGCCATGACTCTACCTTCTCCCGTGCTGATTCAGGTTTGTCCCTGGACCAGTCTCGATTTCTACCAGAACCACGTTCTCGGCCAAATTCCCCACTGCCGCGTGTAGCACCATTGCCAGCACCCTTGAGTCTATCAAAGGAGTACGATTGCCGATTCGACTGATCAGGCGATGGCACATAAGCACCAGAAGGCTGCTCTCCCGTCGCAGTCAGGTCACCGTTGGTGGCGTAAGCAGGATTTTGTCCAGCGTGCCTCGAAGAAGACCTGGAACTATGCTCCGTGCGGAGAGCGTGATGCTCACCACTACCTTGGACGGCTGAAGTGATGTTATCGAGATTGTCTTTACCGTTTTGCTCTGTGCCAACAGGCGTAGAGGGCTTGCGAGATGCGGGTGTGGTATCCTCACCATTCCCAGGTCGGCCGCTACTTGTAGGAACAGATGCACCTCGCGCGCCACGATGACCCTCAGACTTGCGACCTCGATCTTGGTCGCCTGCTTGTCTAGGCACTGGAGGTGGTCCCATGGATCCTGCGGAATCCTGCTTCTCGCCCGCGGCGGAAGCATGGCCGCCTCGGCCAGTGGAGTCCCGGCCTCTCCCACCACCTCTGCCACCTCGTCGAGCTACAGAAGGAGGCAGCTGGGTTTCGAATTTGGCTGTCGGTACGAAAGCCATCGTCGTCCATTTCTTTTGTGGGCCTTTCGGTTCTGTTTTGTCATTGGCGCCAAGAGAACTCGACTTACGGCGTTCTTCAACGTGCGAGTTTTCTGGAGTAGGCCAGGCCTGCGAGTCACCAACAGTTGGTGGCGTCTCACCACTAGTTCTCTCGCCATGCTGAGGGCCGGAGCGGCTAGACTTTGTTGGTATGGAGTCCTTGCGACTATTAGACCGCGATATTTCGGCATTCTTGCTATCCCGTTCGTTGTCGACATCCTTGCTAAGAGATTTGCGCTTTGCGTCCTCATTTGATGCTTTTGGTTTGGGCGTAGCCGACACACTGGCGGTCGTTGATTTCGGCTGGATGGCGAGATCTTTCAACTTTGCAGCACGCTGTTGCCAGACATTTACAGCTGGGATAGGTGCAGCCTTGAATTCTTTCTCCGCCGTCATTGACGGTACGGAAACCTTCTCCCAGTCATCCTCCGACTCCTTGGGCTTTTTCTCCCCGAGGCCCTGACCAGATGTATCAGAAACTTGTGCTGACGAATACGTGCGTCCATTTGCCAACTGTGGCCGAGCCTCATCTTTGCGGGAATCATGGCTCGCCGTATTGATGGGGGCATCGACATGGTCATTGGAGCGTACATCTTGGTCGGCGGACAAAGTCTGCTGTGTTGTCGGTATAGGCTCCTTGTCTCCAAGATCTTTCGCCGGTGTGTCTGCCAGGGTGGTCTCTGGGCTTATTTTATCATCTGGCACAGGCTTTTCCTGGGGCGACTTCAATGCTGACCCCGCATCAGCAGCTTGTCGGTCCTTGATTCCTTTCTCAGATGCAGGACTCTCATTTCGAGGTGTTGCCTGTATTGTTGTAGACGGTGTAAGACCTTTCGCAGCCTGTGCGTAGGAAAATACCGGCGCCGCGGCGCTTAACGGTGTCGACATCTTGATCGATTGACTCGAAACTCTGCACCTCCTTTTCCACTACCGCAATTCCGGACCCCTACCAGCAACAAGCTGGCTGCAGTCGTAAGACACCAGTCTTCGCTGGGAATACTTTGCTTCCAGAGAGGCGATTGTGTGGCAGCCTTGAATTCCAACCAGTGTTGTCCGTAGCAATTGTTCTTTCAGTAGTTGCCTGTTGACAATCTTCACAATACTGTCCGTCCTTGTTTCGGTTCGATTGCGCAGTGTCCACGGTGATGACTGACCCTACTTCACTTATAACATGAGATGAATCACCCTCTTATGAACCGCAGTCACAATGAACTTGAATCCTTCAGTCGCACGACTACGACTCTCCACGGTCCTCCCTCACGTGTCTTCAATACAGACAGGCCTCTTGTCCGCGTCAATACTCTCTCGAGACCCTGAAATTGACGGAACCTTCGACCGGTTCGAGAGAGGTCACAAGAAAAAGTGAGGACCTTGTTCGGGATTCTGTCTCGATGCAAAGATGTTCTGGCTTTGAATGAGTAAACAGTCGCAGAATATGACGACGCGGGCACACTGTCGAAAGGTTCGAGGACAATAAACGGGCTGAACAGTGTCGGGCGTCAGTCGGCGGTTGATCGTGGCTTGGTGAGGATGATGTGAGGGATTCCAAAACTTTTTGAGTACGAGGTTCAACGGCACAACCCTGGACCAGCACCGGAAGCGCAAGGGTCGACAGAAACGCTGGAAAACGACGGACACGAGCCTGGAGAATGGTAGAAAGGCCAAGGGACCGAGGAAGAGAGGATTGAGAGGTCTGAGAGGATTGTGGATTGTGTGGGTTGAGTGGAAGTCTTTTTCGGTGCAAAAGCTACTGTGAATGAATTTCCATTTCCTAGCGGCATTAATTGGGGACTTCCGCCCGAACAAAACCAACGCAACTGTAAAATAATGTGCAGCGCAGACCAGCACATCAAAGCAAAGCATAAACCCCCTCTCCACTCTCTAAGTCATCACCTATTCTTTCCGCACCCTGTCTTGTCTATTCATGACTGGAATCACATCATCGTCACTGTGCTGTCTGACCTAAAAGCTATATTGTGGCCACTACCATGTATACCTTCTCATGGATCAAAGACGACCTATGCAGTGATCACCTTCCATCACCAGAAGGTGCCTACTAAGTAGCCGATCACCCCGTCAGATGGCCTCCAACTCCTCTTAGCCTTTCTCCCCCGCTCGTTCCAGATATAGTATGGCCGAACGTTTCCAATCCTAACCCTCCGAGGCTCTCCCCAGCCTGGCCACTACAGCTGATTAGTTTAGCATCATATGTCGACGGCAGCAGCTTCACGGAACCCTTCACTTCTTGCGATACTTCTTATTGCGCAAGGTCGGACAGGTTCAGGTGCCCAACTCGTCTTCCACTATCCTCCGGACCCACTGTCCGCTGATCGCGTGTCGGATACTACATCTTCGGCGGAGGAAGATGATGGAGAGAGCTCGAGCAGCGATTCGGAAGACTCATCTTCAGATGATGACTTCGAACTATTCACAAAGCGGCTCAATGCGGTAACTAACAACGACAACCGGTCACAAGCGTCGGATGAAGAGGACGGAGATTACTTGGCTAAGAGGAGGACACAAGATGATGGAGATTGGAAACCTCCCTGGGAACCACTCCTTGGCCTTGGAGAAGATGGACTCGTGAGCCTACTCACCCCAGGACGGGCGTGGCATAAGCGAAGATTTGAGCTTGGAATCAACGACCTTACTTTTTTGGGGAGACCTGTCTACGCTCGTGATGATGGATTCTGGCGTAAACCAAAAACCCGCAGACCGAAATCTCTCGAAGACGAAACATCGCAGCAATCTCCCGAGGAGGGAGCCAGTGACAGTGAAAATGACGACGAGGTGAGAGCAAATGGGACCTCGAACAGCCAGCCGGCCGATGAAAATAAAAAGCAAAAGGATAACATCAAGGAGCCGAGAAAGACGCAACTTACCATGTTCCACGCGGTATTCGTCATGGATCCTCCATTGTTGGAGCATTCATTTCGGGTCAAGGAGATGTATGATCATGTTGTCAAGAAGTTTTCCAAAGTTCTGAAATTCGAGCAATCCCGACACGAGTATGTCTGGGAGCAGTCCGAACTATTACACTCGATAAAGTCTTCGCATCTCCAGCAACGATCGCCAACCAAAGTATTGTATACGGAAATGCTTCGAAGGTCATCTCTGGCCGCCGCAATAGCAAAAGTCTTTGACAACATCTCAGCTTCGAAGATAGCTGCAATCACACTCAGCTCGAAATCATCAGCATCTCTACAGATTCCCCCTGTCACATCCACGTCCTATCTGCCTTCGCTGACCGAATCCCCGCTCGAACCAGGTCTATGGCTTACCACGGCAACAGATCCTGCTTCAACAGAGTCAGACCTTGATGCAACCTCTTCTTCAGGTGCGCTGCAGCTGTCTAAAAATTTCACGCTCCTTCTCAAGCGGAGCCCACAAAATATCCTCAAAGACATTCAAGCCGCAGGAGGACCGCTGGCTGTGCCGTTGGCCAATTTTATAGCCAAAGCCAAACCAACCAAATCTTTCTACAAGATATCAGTCGCCACGGGACTTCCACTACCCGACATTACACATCTGGCCCGACATCTCGTGTACTGGCGGCGCGCAATTGCTATCCCGCCCTTGCATCAGAGAGACACTTATATCGTCTCTCCAAATGCCAACATGAACAAGCTGGCTTCGGCCTGCAAGACTTATGAAGCGAGTTTTCCGATGTTGCCATCACTGCCGAAAATGCTCAATTCATTGAGTGGCACGCCTACTCCTTATGGCTCTCTAATTCCCAGCACTGACCACAAAGAAGAATATTACCGGGCTTTGGCGTGGCTCATGCGTGATGGCTGGGTCACCCAGCTCCGGACGTTCGCTCTCGTACGCGTCGATCCCGAGGTCAAGAAAGCCGTACGGGAAAAGGAACGAGACGACGCAAAGGGATCCAGAACACCGGTCGAGCGAGATGCACCCAAGAACTCTCCTGATCTGGCGAGGAGTTTCGGCAGCGGCACGCCAACCACAGTCGCAAGCAGTATTCCATCCACGTTCAGACAACGCCCCCAGCGTCCTAGTATGGTCAGTCGACCATCCAGTGACGGTCGCCAATCTATATCGACAGATCACACCAGTAGCCGGGGCACGCAGCAGTTCAAGCACAATCCCAAAGCCGCGAGTTTGATCTTGTCTCCGCAGCGCGCTTCTCCAGAAGAGTCTCGCTGGCTCGATTATATCGCGTCGACCTTGACGGCTGCTCATGATAAATCGGCACCAGAGCTGTCTGAGTTGCCGGCCACCGATGCTGAGACAGTGGAGCTCCGGCGGTACTGGTCAATCTTCGTAAAGTACTTTACGGGCACGGAGGCTCTGGAGAAGATGCCGCTGCGTGAAGGCTTGAAGAGGAAGTTCGTCTGGGATATGCTGGTTAAGATGGGTGTGGATTTTGAAAATGGTGTCGAGGATGTGAAGGGTGAGAATAAGAAGGTACTCGTCACTATAAGACATTGGTAGAGCATACCAAATCTATCACCACAATATACCAATTTACTGCGATCATGTCAATGATTGGCGCCACACCCAGTCGTCTAAAGTCTGTCCGAATATATGTCTAGGATGGGTATCTCGTCTATTCTATCGTCCTCTAGTTCCTGCATCATTATACCGTGATACTCCAGCTGTTCGTACACATGTTGGCAAAAGACCCCAAACCCCGCTCATAATCTCCCCAAATGGCATGAACCCCGGGCGGGACATGCAGAACATCACAACTTCGACTTGACCACCACTTTCCCGTGCTTCGCATTCTCCTCCATCAGTCTTCGCGCCTCGTGTCCAATCTGGCCAGCATTTTGATCTTTCGGCACAGTCGCCACATCACTCTTCTTCGGCGCACTGCGATATCCATCCGTAAGGTTCTCCTCATTAACCACATTCCCATCTTTGTCTCGTCTGATTCCCAACTCCAACAACTTTGCAAACACGGCCGCAAAATCTCGGAAAAACAAATCCTTGTCCTTGGCATACTTGTCAACCCACACACGGAAACTGGGATCTTCGAGCAGCGCGATATCCGTAGGTAACATCATTAACGTCTCCTCCTCTTGTTCCTCCGGCTCGAGATCCTCATCAACATACACGAACTGTTCCAACCCGTTGGCCAATGTCTTCTTCTTCCAGTCATGCACTTTAAGCAGCTTGAAGTACGTGTTGCTAAACCGCGTAGGGTTGTTCACCCATTTACCCTCAAACCCCGAACGGTCACTGTGACATCGGCCGAGATTGTGCGCGCCGGATAGCGCGACGATCTCTTGATCGTTAAAGCCCATACGGTAGAAGATCCAACGGAGGTGGTCGGCGCCTTTGGACCCATCTGGTAATCGGCCTCGAGGTGGAATGCGTGAGTCTGCTGTGAAATCGGTCCGGCCTGGTTTCCAGGAGATTTTGGGCCCGTCCATTTCGCGGATCGCTACGACCGCGGCCAGCGTCCAGAGATCGGCGTATGTTATGAATGGGAACTGAGCCTTGATTGGTTCGAGGAAGGCGCGGGCGTGTTGGAGACCGGCATTGGCTGGGTCGCCGCCTTCGGCTTCGTAGCGCATGCCTGCGCCATTGGAACCGCCTGTGTTGGTGTCCTTGCAGTATGTGCCAGCTGAGTGCCAGGCAAGACGGACTAGGACGGGGCCAGCGGAGCCATCGTCGTAGTCGGGTTGGCGCAGGAGCGATTTGATTGCGGCTTCGACTTGTGATAGTTGTGATGCTGAGGGTGCAGAAGGATGGTCGGCGGAGCTAGATGTTGTTTGAGGGGAGGCAGACATCTTGAATGCGAAGGTGCGCTGGGTCAAGCGATCAAGATTGAGGTGGCGCTCAAGAAGAGGAAGGGTAGAGTGTTACTGAGGGCAGGGGCAAAGAATGTAAGAAATGAGAAAGAAACAAAGGAGACGAATGGACTGAGTGAAGGAGAGCACGTCGCCTTCGATCGCAGGAATGCAGAAGATTCAAGGGTTAAAGCAGAATCATTTCAAGAGCATCGGAGGGAGGCGTTGAATGAAAGAATCACGGAGAAAGAAGGGAGCATGGAGACATGGAAGATGCACATGTTTCCGATACTTAGCCGTGCATAGATGGTCAGATAGTCGTATAATGATCTCATTGAGCGAGTGGGTCGACAGTCGAGCACATGTGAGAGAGAAAAAAAATGAGATTGTTTTGCAAGACCAAGCAAGACCAAGGTCAAGCTTGATAGTTTGATAAGGAGGCGACATACGCGCGCGTGCACGAGGCTGAAAAAGATATGCATCGGACCGCCTTGCCGGATATCGGACATGACCTCATCCGCGCTATTTCTCATTAGGTTAGGTTCGATCAAAAGTGCCGAGGTACAATGATAAGATAAAGACATCGCGGTTTTGACCGTCAACCCTGAATCCTGATTTCTTCCGATGAATTTCCCATACGTGACTCCAGCGATGAATATCATGTAAATATCAGATGCCCAGAGAAACAAGGCTGTCGACCACGACTAAACGAGCAGATGTTGGGGCAGAGGCAACAGGACAATGCCTTTGTTCTCAGCGGTGGGTATGGAGTGATTTCAGCCAATCAATCAATCTAAATCATCATCCCTTACCTGACGAGGCTCTCTACATTCTTTGTATGTTGCCCAGGTGAACTTCATTTTTCCCATTCGTTTGCAGCCATGGTCGATCGGGTCAGATGCTTCTATGCAGACAAAGATCCTCCGGCAATAACGATGGTGCCCATTTCAGAGCCGAGTTCTGGCTCCTTACCAGCTTCGAGTCCTCCGACACTCCCCCTAATTTGTGGTAGATTAACATCCCGAAGAAGAGCAGCCTCGCCCAGTCTCACGGTCCTCTATCCCAAGCTTCCTCAGGATGTCGTCCTCAGTCGACAACAACATGCAGGTTGTCCCTATGCCACGCTGGTCAAGCATAGTCGGTTGCGCCAGGGTTCTGTTGGCCATCTGCGTACTAGGCCTTACTGCAGCAGCGACCGCCATCTGGGGAGGATATGATGAATTCATATTTGCTCTGTTCACGGTAAGTGATGCACCGTTGTCATATCGATATGCTGAAGCCTAATGGAACAAGTCCGCTGCAAGCCTGCTCGTCTTTGTCTACTACTTTGTCGCCCTCTCTGGTCAGCCAACATTGTACAATCGATGGGCTGTTCTGGGTCTAGAAATCTTTGGCGTTGTCTTCTGGCTCGTGAGCTTCTTGTTGCTTGCTCATTGGACAAGTGTGTACAATGCCTACTGGTTTGGGGAGAATGATAACTATAGCTGGTGGAATACCTCCATTGCACCAGACAAGATCGGGTTCCGGGAAAGAAGTGTCTTCAAGAGGGGTTCCAACAGCTATCATACTGGAATCGCATTGGCAGGGACAGCTGCAGGATTGGGAGGTGTTGAATTGTATGTTCCAGCCTCCATGTGTGCACAAGGGGCCAAGTCCATACTAAACTTTGGTACAGTGTTCTCTACGCACTCACCCTTATTGTCTTCGGCGCCTCCTTGCATCACCAGCGGGTGCAACCATCAGAAGGAGAGACTGTGGTAGCACCTGAGGCTGTCCCTGCTTCTGAAGCTGAAACAGTCGGGGCAGATGAGAGTGCCGAGGCGAAGACCGGAGGAGTGAGGGAGGTCTAGATGGAGGAATGATGATCATCGACGGGAGGAGGTTAGATGCGAGTATGTACAGAGCAATCGTCGTCGGAGGTAGATATAGCAAAAGCCCAATCTTACCATATACATGCTAATGGTCCACACATATTCGAGGTTACTTCCGAGGCTATATCCCCATCTCCCTGCTCCAGGCCGGCTCGGACGTAAATGGAGATGAACGGAGAAAAGCGATTGATGCCAAGGCTGCTTACCATTCTTTTCATCCACATCTCTTGTTGACTCGCCCGTCGCCCGTTCCCCGTTTCCCACTTTCCCCATTGTCGCCGTCATGAATACGCTTCACGAACAGACGATGATTCGATCAGAGGATGAATTCACCTATATCATTTGGCCGCTAGAACGCTGCCGGAATCTCACTCCGAAGTTAGATGCTCTTCTCCGCGAAAATACATCTGCATCTCATTCTGGCTTTGACATTCAGTTTCCCTTTCCCTTCTGTTGTCTTGTTCATGAGCTCGTTACCAGCTATATGATATTTCCTTTCGTTGTCGCTCGTCGATTCTTTCATTGGTGCTGTCACTCAAAATGCATTTGCAATAACACTGCATGAATTTTCCTTTACCACCTATTCCAGCTGAATAGTTTCCTACTCCACGATGCTTACTTCCACGTCAAAGGACAGCTCCCAGGATGAGTGGACCGAGCCGATTGGACACCAGGTACAATCATCAAGTGCTCCCCAAGGCGACACCGCGCATATGGACTCCACGCCGGGCGAAAAGGTCCCCATTGAACCTGGGGTCGAGGAATCCATGGACGCTCGAATCGAGCGACTAGGCCGAGAGCGACCAGCTATCTTCAAGTCGATTTGGGCCGAGCTCGCCTTCGTCTTTTCCATATACATGTCCCAGATCCTGACAGAGTATTTCGTTTCCGGATTCAGCGTCATCCGACCTATTCTCATTCAAGATCTGAACATTCCCCAGGCAGCTAGTGTCTGGCCGGCAACAGCATTTTCTCTGGTCATCGCAGCGACGTTGCTGGTGTTTGGGAGACTTGGGGACATGTGGGGAGGATATCCTGTGTTCATGGGCGGAATGGCATGGCTAGTTCTATGGAGCGTCGTCTGTGGTTTCAGCACCAACCCGATCATGTTGGATATTTGCCGGGCGCTACAAGGCCTGGGACCAGCTGCTTCCCTGCCTACCGGTGTGATGCTGATGGGCACTGTATATCGACCTGGTCCACGAAAGAACATGGTTTTCGGCCTTTATGGCTTGTTTGCAGTCCTTGGTTTTTACTTTGGCATTTTCTGTGCGGGCGTCATTGGTCAGTACATACGCTGGGGCTGGTATTTCTGGATCGGCGCCATCCTCACGTTGATCACTCTTGTCACGTCGGCAGTTTCCGTGCCCAACGATCGGAAGGAACGGCTCAAGAATGGTATCACTATGGACTGGCTTGGAGCCGGCACCATTGTCCCGGGCATCGTTCTTTTCGTGTTCGCCATTACACAGTCTGCACACGTGGAGAAAGGGTGGCGCCAACCTTACATTCCAACATTATTCTGCGTCGGCTGTCTCTTTCTGATGGCCGCAGTCTACGTCGAAGGTTGGGTGGCCAAAGAGCCGTTGTTGCCTCCTGATATCTTTACAACACCACGCATGACCCAGCTCACCATTGCGCTTCTCCTCTTGTACGGCAACTGTGGTATCTACTTGCTTTATGGCGTACAGTACTTCCAGGATATTATGGGCGCTACACCTTTGCAGGTGGTTGCGTGGATGACTCCTATAGCCGTCGGGGGGATTATCCTCAACGTTCTCGAAGGATTCGCTCTCCACTTACTACCTGGCAGACTGTTCCTGGTTGTCTCTGGTGTGGCCGCTCTTGGCTGGCCACTTCTACTCGCCTTTGTGCCGGAGGGTGGTAGCTATTGGGCGTGGATATTCCCTTCGAACGTCATGGTCACGATGAGCATCGATCTGTCTTATGCTCTGATCTGCGTCTTCATCACAACCACACTACCGTCTGCACGACAGGGCCTGGCTGGAGGGTTGATCAATTCAGTCATGCAACTCGGAATGGCCATCGTGCTTGGTTTCAGCGATATCGTCCAATCATACACTGTTGACAGCGCGGGTTTGAGACAAAGCTATAAGAACACTTTCTGGTTCGGCGTGGCTACTGGTGCTGTCAGCCTGGTGCTGTTGGTCGTTTGGGGCAAGATTGACAAAGCGAAGAGTGACTTGACTGCTGATGAGAAGCTGGAATTACAGCGTGAAGCAATGACAGCATCTCGAGAAAATGGCGCTGAGACTTAGAATTGCATCCTGCATAGCGTCTGTTTGGTTAGGCATAGTAATGGTGTTCGGACATAGAATTCGCATAGACACCAGGAATGGCATTATGTACATAACTACGATTACAATGGCTCAAAGGTCGAGCTGCTGCTACGATAAGGCTTGGAGCTGCTTGTCTAAGTAGTGGCGCATAGAGCGCCTGCTGATTATTTAAGGTCGCAATCTCAATACCAGCCAGCGTCGTTAAATTTCTTCCGTTCGCGTCTCCATCTTCCCTTCTCCGCGACTGTCTTTCTGCCTTTTTCGACAAGCATATCCCGCCGCCAGATCGTAAGCCTGTCCTCAGTCTCATCAAACGGACCGGCCAGTGATGAGAAGTGAAATGAATCAGGCAACCTTGATCAAGGAAAGCTCAAAGCAGGAATGCGACAGTTGCTGACAGGAAGACGTGAGAGATATTACTACATACTTCACCAAATTCCTGGCATGATGGAACTACAATTTTGGCTCTGCATAAGATATAATGCCAGACAGCCTTTCGTCGTCACTTCCCGATGCAGACCATCGATCGCCAGCTGCTGATTTCCCCAGCAGGTAACCCGAAGCAAGACAGCAGTTTGTCAAAGGAAGCAAGATGCAAGACCAGGACCATGACCGCCAGCCTGACCTCAAAAGTGTCATTGCAGATGGTTCGTTCTGGATGATTCCAGAGCGGCAACTCCTCGACCTTGTCAAGTTGCAATTCCCAAGTGAACTTCAGCGACTGCAGAATGCCACATTCCTCAAGAACAATAACGCGCCACGACCGGACGGGTTGTCAATTTCGGAATACCTTTTCGGTCAAGATTATGCTGAGATAGATCGTACACTGGTGGGTGTGCTCGCCTTACGATGGCTATGGAACGATGATTATGGTACTTTCACCAAGGCTCAAGGCCCGGCGGGTCTCATCCTGAAGCAGGAATCATTTCGATGGCTGAGAGAGATCTTTCTCAGAAACCTTGAATGTTCTGAGGACATCTACACACTCGTTGTCTCCATCGTCATCAATGACTTGGGCAAAGACTCCAACCTTGCGAAAGACTATGCCCAGCTGGTACAGGTTGACATTTCCAAGGTCAATCACGACATGATCCTTTATCATTCTATCAAAGTAGGGATGATTCCTGCACTAGACCTCCTGACTGAAGAGAACAAACAGGATGTCCTGGTGGGCATCAGGCTTGGTTCCGAATTCAACTTCGGACAATTAGCACAAGCGGAGAACGCGCCAGCATCCCTAGCAGGTCTAGCAGAGATGCGTGGTCATGATCGAGCTTTTCAGATGCGATTCATGGAGCAGGTTCTTGACTTGGCGGGTGCATCTGGACATGAGGACTGGACTTGTGCGAAGAAGATGATTGAGCCGATATTTCAGTCATACCGAAACGTTTATGATGTTGCTCAAGCAATCATGGACGACAATGTGAGTTTGAGAGAAGGGTACGATATCATCCTGATTCGAAAACTCGAGCTACTGCGGCGCACAGGCTATGCTCGCCAGCTCGACATCCGTATCCCACAGGACCGCGCACTGATGCGGCTGTTTTGTCTGGGAAATACGACGAACGCAGAGGAGGCAGATGTTTACGCCACAGCGTTCGCTCAGCGCATGTCAGAGGAAACCAGGCAGGCATTGGCTCACGGTCTCAATCTGGACGGCACCGTAGAGGAACCTGCGGTTCAGGCAACATACACACCGGCAATGTTGACGAAGGCAGCTACAAATACCGTGAAGGGCTCAGATGACGAAAAAGTAGCTGCAGTAAGTGCCCTGTTGCGCTACCTCGCAAAGTGTATGGTAGTGCGGCCCGACAGCATGGAGCGACTTCCAAAGGGTGTAATTGTTATCGAGAGGGATGTAAGGAGGATCATGCCGATACTGGAAAGCGCAGAGTTCAACAGGAATCCTGATATTCTTGACAGGGAGGACATTCCGGAAGATCAAGTCGCAAACATGGCGCCAGGGTATTGACATGTGCTTGACGACGGGTTCTTGTCGCAAGCTTCATCTAGGAAAGGCTTGAGACATGCTTCTTGCACCAAGGCTCCAGAGGCTTAGAATAGACTTAGATTACTCTGATCCTCTCGAGGGCAGGGCATGTAAGAAGAACAATCAGAATATCGTAGCTGTGAGATGTGCTTTCGTGCGGGAAACCGGACCGTTGCCGTTAACCGCGGACACTACTGTAACTGCCACTGACATCACCATACAGAATATCTACGTGCATACAACAAACCGATTCGAACCTGTCATCAACGTCTCTTGCGGAGTTTAGAACCTATTGACCTTGGTATATACTACTGAACAAAGTCAAGCAGAAACATCCAAACGATGTTGGCACGCCTGAAGACCAGCATGCAGAGTTCTTCCCGGTTATCTCAAGTCTCGCGGCACATCTCCGGCCAAACGAGGACAATGGCAGGATACAGCAAGACCAAATTCCAATTGAATACAGGTGCAGAGATCCCAGCTATCGGATTTGGAACGTGGCAGGTGAGCGATGTCCGCGCTGTTTCCTGAACTGCTCTCACATATGCTGTACTAGGACAAAGAAGCTCAAGAAGATGCTGTCTACGAGGCCTTGAAGGCCGGATACAGACACATTGACACAGCGAGAATGTGAGTACCAACTTCTGACCATCACCGAGCAGACTTTCTGATGTCTGGTCTGTAGATACGGCACAGAACCGGGCGTGGCGAGAGGCATCAAAAAAAGTGGCGTCCCCCGAAGCGACATTTTCATCACAACCAAGCTATGGAACAATTCACACCACCCTGACGATGTGGAGAAAGCATGCGATGCATCGTTGAAAGACCTCCAGACCGATTACCTCGACTTATACCTCATGCATTGGCCCAGTCCGTTCGCACGAGGAGACAAACTCATGCCAAAAGAGGGCGATAAATTCAAAGTTGGTGATTCAGACTATGTCGATACGTACAAGGCTATGGAGAAGCTCGTCGCCAGCGGAAAATGCAAGGCCATTGGTGTCAGCAATTTCTCAAAAGGAGAACTCGAGAGACTCTTGAAGGAGACGGATATCGTCCCGGCGGCACATCAACTCGAATTACATCCCTACCTCCAACAAACCGATTTCGCCGAATGGCACAAGGCCAAGGGGATTCATGTCACACAGTACTCGCCATTCGGCAACGCGAATCCTATCTATGACAAGGGCGAGGACATTGGGAAGTTGATTGACGACCCTGTTCTGGCGGATGTGGGCAGGAAGTACGGCAAGAATGGCGCTCAGGTCGCGCTGGCGTGGGGCATTGCGAAGGGACACAGCGTGATCCCCAAATCAAAGACGCCGGCTCGCATCCAGGCCAACTTTGAGGCTGATTTCAAGTTGGAGAGTGAGGATGTGCAGAAGATTGATGGGCTGGATAAAACGTTGAGGTTCAATGATCCTTCGGGAAGCTTTGGGTGGGATTTCTACGCTGATCTGGATGGGAAGCAGAAGTAGGCAGAGCACTTGCCGAAGCATATAGTACAAGTGACTTACCTAATAGTGAGTGATGCGTCCTTGCTCGTATCACAAGCACAGCCTCGGATTGACATGTTGGACACCGGATAGGTAATCAAAAGTTGTCACCGACGTCCATTTATTGGAGTCGATGACGCTGAAAGATTTCTGATTCTCCAAACAACAATTCCATTTGACCTCAGCGTTGCCCTGTCGATCACATAATATTTAAGACTGCGCGCAGGCAGTAGTCGTTCATTCTGCTCGTCAATCCTCTTATCCATTGTCACTGCTTGCATACCTCTTTCAGACATTCCCTGACGTGCTCTTTTCTCTGCGCTGAAACGCTCGACCTGAGCTGTTAGGAGTCCGAGTTTGTGTCGCGTGCTCACCTTCCCCTTCCCACCTTTCCGCAATGGTCGCCACAGGCAAGACCGTCAACAGCCTCGCCTCCGGCGCTCGCCGTGTATCCCGACGCCTGGTAGCATCCTACATTCTCGACTGGATTCTCATAGCGTACCTGACACTTGCGCCCCTCTCTTGTCCGCAGAAGCTAACGTCTGCAGTGCCATAGCAGCCGTTGGCGGCGCATTCAGCAAGATCCACGGCGCAAAACATGCCTTCTCCCTACAAGATCCGTCCATTTCATACCCCTACCACGATGACACCGTCTCCATCGGCGTCGTGGTCATTGTGTGTCTCGTGGCTCCTGGCATAATCACCGCCATCATATCCCTACTCTTCATTCCCGGTCCGACCGTCCACCGATCCACACCGAGGTCACTTATCTGGCGGCGCAAGATCTGGGAATGGAACACCGCGTGGATGGGTCTGGGGTTGTCCCTGGCCAGTGCATTGCTGATCACAGAAGGGCTGAAGATCACGGCGGGCAAGCCTAGACCGATGATGCTCGCTGTGTGTGATCCAGATACTAGTCCGCAGTCCCTGGCTCGGTATCAGGTCGGTGGCCTGGGGAGTTCTCTTGGTTCGGCAGTACCGATTGTCGTCGACTGGCACATCTGTCGCAACACGGACGCCTCACAGCTACGCAACGCCTTCGCAAGTTGGCCGTCAGGACACTCGAGTTTCAGCTGGGCTGGTATGTTGTACCTCAGTCTATTCCTCTGCGCCAAGTTCGCCATTCATATTCCTTTTTTGCCAGCGTCAGCCTCATCAAACAGTAGGCGGTACATTTCGACATTTGACGAAGAAGGAGCGCACGACGATCACGACGAAGACGAGGATCCGTCAAAACGATTACGATTTGCGCCATCACCACCACAAACCCCATCACACCCGCCTCGCAACGAAGCAGCAGCGCCGCCTGTCTATCTGTTTGTCATTGCGTTTGTGCCTATCGGTGTGGCATTGTTCATCGCGACTTCGCGCTGGTTCGACTACAAGCACCATGGTTTCGACATCATTTCGGGCTCGCTGATTGGCATTGTCACGGCATGGGTTGGATTCAGGTGGTATCATCTGCCCATTCAAGGCGGGAGTGGATGGGCCTGGGGTGCAAGGAGTCGAGATCGTGCGTTCTGGCTGGGTGTTGGTCGTGCGAATTATGTTGGTGAAGAAGGATGGGAGTCTGCCAGGATTGCTAGGGGTGGTGAGCATAGAGATGTCGAAGCTGGAGGACATGTCGTTGGCGCTGGCTTGCCGGATCAACGTGAGTCCACTGAGACGGGCGTGTCAGGTGGAAGGTCATAATGTCTGGATGTGGTGACGGCGGAATGGTTATTGCATTGAAGCATATTAGCGCAGGCGGGTTGAAAACGGATTGCATCGGATATGTATGTACAAGAGATTGATACCACCAGGTGAGGTGGGCACGCATGGTAGGATGGTTGCATTTGGTACATGTACGGAGTGTGACATGAGCAGGTCGGTTGACAAACGGATTGTACGAGTTATGTATGATGCATGGAGCGTTTATAATCACAGAATAGTACCTAATCTCAGTAATAGCTTTTAGCATGATGAATTGGAATCGTTGCAACCTATATATCGCCTCCATTGGACCAGACTGCCAGAGAACGAGTTCTAGACTTCCCCTCAGCGAGACCGACTGCCCCAGTTCCACGGCGTATAAGGATCGTCGGGTTGCAGATTGAACATCATCTGTCCAAAAGTACCAAATGCCTCATCTAGTTGCGTGTCAAAAGCGATGCCCGTGTTATCATGCATACTGCCCAGGTCGAATGAGAATTGCCCTTCACCATGGCCAGTGAGCTGGGTTGACACCGAAGGCGCAGGCAAATCAGTATTCATGACAGAAGCGGGTAATTGGTGGAACGAGAATGCTCGCTCAGTCGGGGGAAGTCTGATGTCGTTCGACCTGTCGTCCCTCTCAATGGGTTGCTCTGGCAAACTTGGTACAGAAGCTTCAACCTGATTAAGCAATGCATTGTCCATCTCGCGTAGGACCGTGACCCGTAATAACGCCGTAAGAAGCTGGTCGATGTGTCGGGCAATTTGACTACTGCTTCCCAAACCTCTACAGGCCAAGATGATGCGCATGATGCCTGCTTTGGCGTCCTGCGCAATCGTGCTGAATGGACGTCTGGCTGGCGGGATGCACAAGATAACTCCAGCGGTGAAGAAGTGCATGAACGCGAACGAGAGGCTGAGAGTGTGATTGAGTTGGAGCATGGAGATGCGGGAGATTCTCAATGCGGCTTCAATGGCGACCTCGAGGGACCTGGAGACGAAGGTTCGGCTGGAATGTGAGTGATCCGAAGGAGCTGCCATCTTGTGCTCGAGTAGTGGTCGATGGACCATGATTAGCGTGCTATCGTAGGTTAATTGGGGACCAGTGCCTGAAGCAGGAAAATCCTCGCTTGGTCCTCGTTGACGTGCGCAATGCCTAGTAGTTCGGGAGGATATGGTCCGGCGTGGTCCACGTTCTGCCATAAGTCTCCAGATAGATGAGGCGGGACTTCTCTCTGCCATGCCACGAGTTGTGCTTCGATTTGTGAGACAGCAGTCACCAAGGCTTCTTGATCTTCGGGTGACAAAGGATCTTTGAGACGAAGGAGTCGGAACCTATCGACCGCTTGCCTTGTGATGGAGTAGAGACGATATTTCAAGATATGGAATGACAATCCAGAAAGGCCGGTAGTCGAATGTCCGCGCTGGTCAGGATGGTTAAGACCCGCGGCAACGTGAGTATCGTCAAATTCGCACAGTGGCTGAAATTGGGCGAACGCTGCATCCAGGCCGGCTGGACGCCCATAGATCGTGGCTGCGAAGGTGTCTGCAATAGTGACATGGTTCCACGTTCGATGACGGACTTGAGTCGCAATCTTTTGTTCGTCTTCTGAATCCTCACAATGCAAGGCCAGGGCATATGCGGTCCTGATAGCCATGCCTAGGATACTCCATGCAAGGCTCGGAGATCCATGATATATGTAGTATGTTCCCAGAAGTAGACAAACTTGAACAGTCTCGATCTGAGAATCATCCAGAATATCGAGAAGATGCAGGCGCACTTCAGTAATGAGGGTGGACAGGAGTGACTTCGCATCCAGCGCGTAGGAGGCCAGGAGGGAATGACCTGGCCAAGCTGTGTCGTCCAGAACACATTTAAGAGCCATGGCGGCTGCCATGAGGATTGCCATCATCGCGGCTTGGTCCTGTCGCATCCATGAGCTACTCGATAGTAACGATTCAGCGCGGCAGATGAAGCTTGGTTCGTGGAAGAGAAAGATGAACCAATGAACCCGGTCGAAGTACGCTTTCAGGATAAGCCGCATGATGGGAGGCGGAGGCATTATCATGGTGTGTAGGGTCCATCTCGAACCTGGTTGATGCAGGGCACCTTGGTCTCCTGGGATCGTGGAAGTTATACTTGGGGATGCCAGATCATTGCTCCTGAAGACATTGCGGGCGAATCCAATCACCGAGCTGTTAGCACCATACTGCTGGCTTTCATTTGGACTCTGGTCTGAAACATCATGACCATCACCTCGAGGCGACGGTTGCGGACCTTGGTACTGCGCTTGGATATAGTGGCCATTTGGACTCACACCACTCGCAGCGAGAGTCGGCAGATTTGCTGTTGTGACAGGTGATGCAGATTGGTGCAACCTGGACGAAGGGTTATTCTGATGCACAGTCCGTCGTCGTCGTGAAGGAGATGCCCGTTCAGTGCCATCTCGAGGCTCGCATTCGACTCTGGCGCGTACACAGAGAAGACATGGTCGCAGTGTGTCACATTTCAGCTTCTGGCGCCTGCAGCGTCTACAAGCGTCGGTAACGCGTCCGGTGGATGTCATGACACGATCGCATGCGGGGTCCAGAGGCGAGCGCGATGGATGTTCATCATGGAAACCATACAGCTAGGAAGGCACATTGTTCGGATTGAGGGCCAGCAGCCAGTGCGACTGATTCTGCTCTTTCCTTGTCCCCTTCGATCGGCAGAAAGCGCATTGCACTCCTTGAGATCGAGCTCAACAGGTGGTCAAGGCATAGTGCTGCCGGAGAGAGAAAGAAAGACCAACATCTCGAGGTTTTAGGAGTAGGAGTACAAATCGTTGCATAGAGCCAGTCATAGTTTAATTGGTTGATCTTACCAGTCCTGGTTCCGGTGGAGATTCCGGTGGAAGTGGTCAAGTATGGGGACTTCAAGCATGACCTCGCCCTTCTACCACCCAATGACCAACTAACCCACACGGGGAAGCTGGAGACTTTTAGAACCTCTGCTTGCATACTTTGTACATGTGGGTGCATTCTGACCAGCAAGACGGGTGCAGTCGAAGTAGTAGGGCCCTGCGCCGGCTAAGTCGTCAACGCCCTCTAGTCTGGATTATTCAATGCCTAGGTTTGGAAAGGAAGTCTGCAGTATAAGCGGTCAGAATGAAGGTAGACCTGGTCAGGAGTAAGTATCTAACGCTCTCGCCTGGCTATAGAGAAGTACAGTATAAGTTGTATCTGCGGAGAACCCAGGCCATTGTCAACATCATTCCAGAGTACCCAATGTCTGGGAACTAACAAACTCCACCACGGCTAGAGAGCATCGTCGAACATGCCGCCTCCGGTGGACGGACAGCCTTGTCCTCAGTATTCGTATATCTCGTCATATCTGTCTCCCACCAGTCCGGAGCATCTTTCTTGAGCACTTCACGTCCGTAGTGACTGCTGGAAGTCCACGTTTATAACCAAGAAATCAGTTACAGTCTCCGACAGTATGCATGGCAACGGAGCACTGTACTCACATTCACCAAACATGTTTGGTGTGGCTGTGATGCCGAAGTCTGCCCCCATGGAGGGATACCGGCTGTTCCGAGATGCTCTGATCATGCCTTTGGATCTAGGCCAGGACCATATAACTGATGCTTACCTCTTCTCTGAATATGACGACAACACGACGCCAGTCACCGCAAGCTCACCGTCAACACCGTCTTCTGAGATCTCAAGCTTGTGCCCTAGCTGGACATTACTCCCAAGAGAGCGAAAAGTGGATCTGAGCAGCTGGGACGCAACTCCGGATTGGATCAAACGGCGTTCACCGCGATTTTGTGACCTGGACGACGGTCTTCTTGGCCGTGAGAAGCGGCGGCACATGGACGAGCCGCATGACCTTGTGGTTGCGTCAGTGGAGCCGCCCGAAGCAGGGCCGAACAATCCGGGTACGCCATTTCGGTTTGTCGAGATCCACCCTGACAATATTTTGTCTGGCGAAGTCCATCGTGCGAAAGGAGAGTGGAAACGTGGACGACCAAGGCTTCGGAAGTCAGCCTCAAACGCCAAGTCTAAGGTCGGAATCACCACCGGAGGTCAATGTGGAATGGATCGGATGGATACTGAAACTTCTGGGGAGCCTACGACTTGTTATAGACAGGTGGCAGCACGACATGAGCCGAGTCTCTTTCAACCAGTCTTCGACCATCTCCTCGTAACAGATCAGGAGAGAGATTTCTTCGCAGGACTGTTTGCTCCCAGCTTCTTCGATTGAGACGAGTACAGAAGACTGCAACGAGATATAGATATCCGGGGGTGAGAAGCTACAGCCTCACCGACCCAGCAGTGAGGCCCTAACTGTGTGACACGACCATGCAACCTGCGCTGCTTCGCAAGGGCTGATGTTCGATCTCTTGTGGCGCGCGGTTGGTATAAGTTCATGATTTCCTGTCTCGAACATGGATGCCACTGCGCCGCTATTCCCGGAATCGGCAGTGATACGGTTTTCAGCATCAGCGTGTTCCGAGCACCGGGTGGGCCTCGATACCGCTCACAAGAGGTACCTCTTGCAGGAGTTGTTATCCAAGGTTCGAAGTTGGGATTGCGTTCGCACGCCCATGGCCCTCCTGCGATGGAACATCGACAGCAAAAATTCGCTTGAGCACCGTCTGGAAGGGGCAGAGGTCCAGGAACGAGGTATTTCGTGCCTCAAGATCAGAAGGGGAGACCCCGGACAGCAGAAAAAGGGGGGTTCAAGCTGTGTCGGGAACATCACGATTGGCGGCCACACCTCTGCTTCTGACAGATAGGATTTCGCAGTACGCTGGCTTCTAGGTGTAGATGTTTCGAGATGTTCTGGTAGCATGTGCAAGCAATGAGTGAACGGTTGTCCCAATCCCACGGCAGAAACATACATCTTCATGTACCTTGCTGCACGACATAGTACTGTAATGGGGCAGGTCTACCGAAGAACGTAGCGGTCTTGGCAAATATTTTCTCCGAAAGTTCAACTTCGAAAGAAACTCGAAACTCCAACTCGTTCACTTTTTCGACTTTGCAGATTCATGACTGCAGCATCTCTGCGACACTGCGCTGGCAACATGCATGCGCCCGTCGAAGCGATCGGCATGGCACACACCACCGAGTCACTGTGATTATGGTAAGCTGGACTCTAACTATCTCCTCCTTTTCGAATGATGAATATATACAATCCAACTCCAAGGCCTTTTCGAAGGGGTCTATGCGGAAGAAACATTATCTCTAGAATTACGCTGACAGTTTTCCCACTCCTTCATATGTTGCACAAAGCTTTTCAAGAAACGACGCTGACAAGCTCAAAGATCTCTAGTATTACTCATGTCTCGCGACTGCCGTTTTCTTCTCTCATTTCAAAGGTACGAGTCCAACGACATCCTTCTCCTGCTCAGTATTGTGATGACCCATCGACACGAATGGCATTCCTCAGACTTAATACCCATGTGGAATCTGTCTAGCAACAAGTTTCAGCCTTGTCTGAATACAACATTGAAACACTCCTGTTTTCTCTGTGCGCTTGCAAAGCAGCCTGCTGACATGAAATTGCAACAGGTACATTTTCCTTCCCTCAACACTGTTTCCTTCTTCCTACCATGACGAATACTTGAACGAACGGGCGGACAGACTGCGTGCGCAGCTCCATGTGTCTGTAAAAGCAGGACGTACAAATCTTGTGGATACATGGTTGTCTGTGACACTTGTTGAGAACTCGTCAGCTGATCGGTCAATGAACGAATACGAGGCACCAGAACACACGTCTGGACAGGACAAGCTTGCTGACACCAACTTTCTAGGTATTTTGCCACATCTCCCCTCCAGCACCACATTCCAGCATTATATGATGAACACTATTCACACTGTTTGAACCGAGCATTCGCTTGGACATGAACGTATAACACTGAAAATTCTGATTTAATGAGGTATGTCCTGCTCTTCGTGCTTCCAGTGAACGCGCTGACCCACGACTGACAGCCTGATATAGATGCTTCCCACACCTGCTATGAACTTGTCACACCATCGAGTCACGCTTGCTGACGGTTCAATAGGTGAATCGTCAAAAGGATATGTTGTAGCATCCTGTCTGATATCTGGTATGTCATCATTCTCTCCATACACCCCTTCCCTGATGAACTCGTGTTATTTCGCTGTGTTCTTTCTGAACTATTTCATGTCGAACATACATCACCTTGGAGAACTGATATCTATCCTCATTACGAGCCCCAAACCTCACACTTACACTTCTATGGACGGAAGCTGACTGTGTGCCTTAGTCCCGCTTTCCTCCCTGTGATCGTGCGATCTCGTACATGCATTCCATGACACATAGTTGTCCTTGACTAAGCCCCAGCATGTTTTTGACTTGGCATATGTGGAAAAGTTGAAGAGGGTTGTTTCTCGGCGTGGCGGCTTGGTGTAATGCAGAGACTCCTACAAACAATCATGATCAATAATGACTTGCAGAATTTTTATGTGTATGAGATATTCTTCGTTTTACGTGATTTACGTTGTTTACGTGTATGACAATCCTTGGCCATGCATGCATGACCTAGAAGCACCGGGGTCGTAACACCGCCTGGGGAAGAAGACAATAGCCATTTAGGCTCGGGCTTGCATGACCTAGAAGCACCGGGGTCGTAACACCGCCTGGGGAATTAGACAATAGCCGTTTAGGCTCGGGCTGTGCACCCCGAGCAGGGTCACGTGAGCGGCTCTTTGTCCCAAGGTTCAACGGCTCATGGAACTTGACTTTCTGAACAATTTTCTCATTCTCATTACGACGAATTGATTCAGACATCAATTTTGCTTCTTGTTGAGAAGCAAGAGAACAGATCCTTGCGTGTCTCGTGAAGCTAGGACGACGCATGTCAGGCTTCGGAGCTCCTGGTGGCGGCGCCGTCAACGTCAAGCCTTCGCCTCCCGAACGCGGTTCCTTCCCACTCGATCACGATGCAGAGTGCAAGCATCTCATTTCCTCCTATCTACGGTGCCTTCGGAGACAGAATCCGCCGGGACGGAACAACGAAGAATGCAGGGTATTAGCAAAGGACTATCTCAACTGTCGCATGGAAAAAGGCCTTATGGCTAAAGACGAGTGGTCAAACTTGGGCCTGAATTTCGACAAGCTCGCAGAGGATACCTCGTCTGAGGGGACCGACAGCAAGGCAGGAGGAAATAGCAGTGGAAGTTAAGAGCATGATTTAGAGTGATGGGAGACCTTGCTGGGTCACTCGCAGCCGCGAGCCTTCATGGTCGACAACCCTATGTACCGCAACTGCACATCAACATGTCAATGTCCTTTACCAAGTACGTGTCTTTTGCATGTCGCGGATCCGGGCTTTGGAGCATATCTTCGTATCTTCCGGGTTTGTTTTTGCGCAAACCTTCAGCAGCAAACCCAGTGATTGGATGCTGTCAATGCTCGCCACCTCTGAGCAAGGTCATTGGCCTCTTTTATAACGGGCAAACATCAAACGGAATTTACCAGATGAATTGGGCGTGGTTCTTGCAAAGGCATGACCCTTGGTAACGCTCCACTACCATGTCGATGGTCTTGTTCTTTTGACAAAGTCGGTCAACAGGATCGACGGAATCGATCTTCTACAAGCTTGGGGCAAAGTTACCCGACCACGATCCGACGTTACACCCTCCGGATGGCAGGTTCTGTCTAGCAGCAGCCTATGATCCCCATGTTGCTGGCTTCATTGTTTTGATTCCTGCGGGATCGTCTTACCTCCACTTTCGAAGGCTGGCGCAGCAGTGGGGTGGCAGCACGCGTCGACGACAGGGAGACAGTCATTGAAGATTGGCATAGAGTTTGCAAAAGTCCGGATGATAACATGACATGACAACAGCGCTGCCTTGAATGGTATGTTTTCAGACGGGAGGTTTCCGCCCCGCCACGTAAGAACCTGGTCAGAGCCCAGGCGGGATTATAAATGCAGAGTTGACAGGCCAAGGTTCAACCCCTGCGACCAGATTCATAAAAGCGTTTGAGCTTATTTGATCCGATCGAATCGTCTGTCTTCTTCGAAGTTTTCACCTGAATATGTATGGACTTGCGTCTTCGGGTGCTGATGACCTTGTATTATCTATTGCACACGATTCGCCCCCGGACCGTGTCCTTACATAATACACGAGGGACTCATCTCCATATTCGCCTAATTAAGGGATCGACGCCCCTGCTCAGATCTATGTGGCACCGTTGCCCGAGGGTGCTTTGCAATTGGCCACCATGCGTATAAGCCACTGGGGAGGGGTTTTTCCCATGTAAGGCTGCATAAAAAGAGTAATTCAGTCCTGCAGCATCACATAACCCCTCGGTCCCGCTCCACCGAGAACGCCCAGACCATCATTGTGGCCTGATTTGAGCGCTTGCCACAGCCACACACCCACGCTGTCACTAAGTTTTTAAAACATCGAGCAACCGAAGTCCAAGAGGTTCAGCTTTGACTTTGAGTATAATTGCTGTATCACTAGTGGTTGGAGTCATCGTCCGGGAGCTTAAGATGCAAGAGCCGAGACTGTTCCGTACCCCACGTTCTGGCGAATCCTTCACGGAATCTATCTTCCAATATTCAGGCTACTGCAGAACAAGCTTCGGGGGTGGAGTTGGCCAGAAATGCGACGTTGGGCTCGAAATTGTTGATCGTCCTGATCTTTGATAAGAGTCTTACTAAAGACTTCAAGTGGAAACGGTGGTCACGATAGTTTCTTTGTTGCACACGGCTTGAGACAGGAGTCTCTTGACTTAGACAAAAACTACGTCCATGATACGATATGCCTACGACCGATCCGGTCAAGCGACGTAAACAGAATTGTGAGAACCAGAAACGATGGCGCCAAAGGCAAGTCGATACGCTCGATCGCCTGACCGATGCTCTGGAGCAGAGCGAGAGTCGCACCAAACAACTGGAGACCGAATCTGTAGACTTACGAGATGCTCTACGAAAAGCGCGACATGACATCCAACAACTACAAGCGGCGAATGAGAATCTGAAGTCGCAGGTCCGAGGTCAGCTCAAAGGGAAACACTCTCGCTTAGTGGACCATGAACAAGCTGGCGCAGGCGGAATCAGTTCCCTATCGTCTGCGGCACCGGGTCGTGTGGGTATCTGGAATCAAGCGGTCCAGGCTGCCAGCATTGGTATGCCGAGTGAAGGTATGCTTCTATTAGATATATCGCAAACACTCATCTACCGACCAAGATCATCTCTGACACACCTTCATCGCAGGCTTTGGCTCTGGACCTATCAGGCCTGCGACCGTGATTAGCGACATAATCCCTGACAATACCGGAAACGCTTCACAGAATCAGCCTTCCCTAATACAACCAACTACGGCTAGGGAAAGGAATACAACGACCTACCAAAGGCAATGCAATACCGGCCTCGCAGTTCCAACCTCTGGAGCTCCAGGGCATGTCATTCCGATATCACAATCGATCGAACCCACGTTCCATGCGTACTTTGACTCCCTATCACTTCAGCAGCAAGTTGACGCTCATCAATGGCGAAATTCGACTATCCCATCTCTCTCACCTCACGTTCACGACGGGGCAACTGGTCAGGATGAACAAGAATGCGATGGCGTGGATGTGGTACCGGCCACTGCTATGCCGCCGCATGCTGACATGACTGCATTGTCTCCAAGCTATGTCGATGATCTCTATTTCACCTGGCAACCCGAATCGATCTTGGGCGGCGCAGGAGGCATTCAGCGGAATATGCTGAGCTTTCCAGAAGCCAGCCCTCTCTCTGGACACATTCTGACCGTTCAAAATATCATACACAGTGTCCTCCCACAACTTGTAAAGAAGTATGTACATGCTTCCGCCCCTCAACTCCATAATGCTTACTGCCTTGACAGACCTCCAGCAATCCGCGAAAAGATGATGGCCGACGCCTTCTCCTGGGTGATCCGTTCAGCATGGCCGTCGAGCGAAGATACTCTCAAGACTATAGTAAGTCACCGCCGAATGAAGCCCTCGCTCTTGCCTACGAAGTCTGTTTCTCGTCTATTGCTCCAACCTCCTTATCACAGCCTGCGTTTGATATCATCTTCTAACACTTATCGCATGCAGACTGCTTACCGACACATCTACAATTTCGAACTTTGGCGCAACTTCCCCTGCAAAGCGACTTACTACAAAATCCATCCTCTTTATCGACCTACACCTCTTCAGCTTTCCGAACCTCACTCGGGGATCATCGACTGGCTGCCTTGGCCGGCAGCGCGCGATAAACTCATCGAAATGCAGAACGAGGTCGACGTTGATCAATTTGTCTTGATGTTGCTTGAGCATGCGCTCGTCGAACCTACCCTGTCTTACTCTGCCGAGTGGACGCCACCTTCGCAGGCTGCCTTTCGACTTCGGGACATGTATCTGCTTGAAAAATCTACGAGTGGGAGTTTCTCTCTCTCTCATCCGGCTATGACATACGATCCTGCTTTTCTTGACCTGAGATCTTTGGTCAATGCCTACGACTGGCGGTTCTTGGACGTCTCACACCTACGCATCGATCAAAGATTTTGCGACATATTTCCACAATTCTATCTCCTTGGCTGCATGTCGAGAGCTCAGAATGCGCCACTAGAAGCGCCTGTGGAAGAGCGACTTCAGTGTCCGTCGAATTTAACATTAGCATCAGTCAATATGCTGCAACAACGGGTCCAGGCGTGGTTGACAACTGACTCGGTGCCTGGAGTGGGTTGAACATGCCATCAGAATTGGTCAATTTTTGGACTCATTCATTCTTACTTGCTGGGACTGCTTGTTGGGAAGTCTTGAGGCACCCCGATCAGCCTATAAGACATGGTCTATACGCTAAAACAATCCCACTATGAGAGACCGTCCTTGCCGACCACTCTCAATATGGTATCGGGATGGCGGTAAACCGTCGTCCCTTACAACCCAGTCTTAGAACAATGGTTAGTCAAGAGGGAGAACGCCAAGAAGCAACCATGTGCAACTCTTACGGAGCAGCGGTGCACCAGCCAGTTGAGTGGCAAAGAGAAATCGAAGTCTCTTGGCACCTGAGCCTCATCACTTGAGATTCAACTCGCTGCAAGAGTGCTTGAGCTTGCTGTGAAGGATGAGTGGCTTGAAAATCTTTCACGCACAAAGACTGATCTGGAATCTCGACTCGAATTCAGGGAAGAACAAATGGCAGAGTTTGGCGACCGCCTCGGCTCCTCTTCTCCCACTGGCGCAACAGCCCAGGATCAACTACAGGCTATCAGCAAGCAACTCGAGACCGAAATACAGACCTCTCAAGATCTACGTCAACAATTGGAAGAGGCGCGGCTGGAGACGAACACTGTCCGCACAAAATTGGAGGGTGAGCTCGAGACGGCTCGTCGAGAATCGCAAAAGGAGCTCGAGAAAACAAAAGAGAAGCTGGACAAAGTGCAACAGAAAATCGAAGAGGCGAAAGTCGAATTGGGAGATTTACAGGATTCGGTGCAGACCCTGCAAGAAGTGAAACAATGGCGTCAGCAGGTCACCGACGTCCAGGCCTTGCATGACGAGTCCGAGAGACAACGAAATGCTACACAGGCAGGAAGCTGACGATCTTGTGAGACAGCGAGACGAGGCTCGTAGGTCGCTTGGAGCCGCAGAAAGAGAAGTAAGCAGACTTGGTGCCGAACTCGACGACGCTCTTGAAAGTCGGACACAGACGCGGCTGGATAAAGTGACCGCCGAGTGGGAATTGAGAGAAGCTCGGTTGAAAGCGGTTGACCTTAAGATCGAGAGAGATGTCGCTAAGGCGGGATCCGAAATCTATCACGAGCTTCTGTGCAAGAGAATCAACGAGGTCAATGATTACAAGAGAGTTATTGCTTGCGGCGATTTTCTTGACGATGACTTCGACATCTGCACCGTTTCGAATTTGTTCCAAGGCTATCCTATCCTCCACGCTGGGGTCATGACAAAAGTCTGTAAAGAGTGGTTGCTGGAACTCTCCGACATGACAGACGCCACACAAGAACTCAGTCTCCCTTACGTCAACAGCATGGCCTATTTCGTGTTCCAAACCGCCATGTTGGAACCTGCAGCGCTCAATCATTTGGTCATTGCGACGTTTGTCCGAACATACCTCGATTGGAAGTACGGTGTAGGCTTTCCTCAGCCACTGGTGTTCCTGGAAGCTGCACTATTCGTGCTTGCAAACCCGGATCAGAAAGAAAGTGCAGAACTTCTTGCAAGATCCTTCGCCCTGCATTCTACGAATCGTCGAACTTTTGGGCATGAGTTACTGGCCAGGTGAGCGCCTGAATGGTGTGAAGGCATGGTATCAGACTATCAAACCACGGCTTGAGCAAACTACTCTTGTGAATCGAGCGCTCGTCAAACGTTTGGACATGGGGTTCGAAAATGGTTTCGAGACTGCTACATCCCTTGTTCAGATCGCCTGTGATCTATTGGAGGAGCTCTCGGATGATATTGTGGACCTACGTGCCGGCACCCGCATGATCTCTGCAGACATTTCTATCCTTGTTCTTCAAACTGACCCCGTTGACGCAAAGGCCAGGGACATCCAGGTCTTGCCACCTGACGCTATGGAATGCACCTTTACTCGAAGTAATGACGTTGAAGTCACTGTCAATGGCTACCCTAGGCCAGGGATGAAGTTGGTGGTTGTATTGCCGTTTATCGACGGATTTGCACGTGTGTCAAGATTCACAGGCATCAAGTGGACGTCTTGAGCTGCGCTGCACAGGGAGGATCACAACGTGACAACTTAGCTCCAATGATTGTTTGGCACGGAAAGCGTAAAACGAGCACTATGGAGACTAAGGGACAGCATGGGCAAAGGTCATTTGAAGGCGAAGACAGCATGGACCGAGAGCTGCTGATTGCACCACATGTTGAGTGTATCCAGGACCCAAAGTGTGCAGAGACGTATTTGATAGCATTAGGAGCTGAACAGAATGAAATCCCATAGTCAAAATGAAACGGTGAACGTGTGAGTTTTGAAATTGTTTCCCTATACACCATCTTCACACCCATCCGAGCACACCGGTGAGTATTACTCCAAGCGCGAGCGGCAATAATTCCTTTGTCACAAGCCTGCCGACTGGCAAGTCGAGAGCACCACTGGTCTGCGTCGTGGTCGTGACCGAACCAGCCGCCGCGTCAATGACTTTCAGACACGATAGGTATGTTTTCGTAGTAGCTGTCTGACTGTCCGAGTAGAACACGGACAAGACGGGAGTGAGACTGTACAAGAAGGGCGCGAGATCGCTCGATACGTCTTCCGATCGGACGGTTTGAGTTTCAATCAGTGCGACGTCGTATCCTGCACCGGCGACGGATGGGTGACAACTTGTCTGGGAAATCGCTTGAGGGCTGGTGAGATCTGTAGACGTATACTTAGCAATTGCTCGTTAGCCTTCTGTATTCCCAGGCCTTACTGACCTTTCGCAACGACAGACCCCCAAGTCACCGTCGCCACACCCAAACAACTGGAAGGCGGACTAGCCTGCATATGACTCTGCAGATCTGCGCACACCGTGTTGGATTTGGTGTTGACCAGTCCCTCCGCCTGCGTGAGAAGATCGCTCGTACACTGGGTACCCAGCGCTGACTGGCACGTCATACTCCCGTATTCACTTCCGTTGAGCGGTATGCTCCGTGCGATGCCTTCGAAAAATAGCGCGCATCCACCAGTGGAGTCGGTGGTGAGGTTGAGGCTAGGGGGATAGCCCAGGTAGAAGTTCTTGGTGAACAGTGTGTCTTTCGTTGACGAGCTCGAACCTGAGGTTTGTGGTGGTGATTGTGCTAAGGCGCCGACAGTCCATGTCAATTCGACTTGGGTAGGAGATGATGATGTTGATGTTGGAAGACTAGCGTTGAAGCTTGTGGCTCCGAGGAACGCGTTGGTTACGTTGCCTAATGTGCAGCCTGTGGAGGAACAGCCCAGGGTTTCGCAGCCGACGAGTTGAGCCTGTGTTTGGGAGGCAACGAGCTGGGTGTATATGCTAGTGGTGAGGCATAATGAGAGGAAGAAACGCCACCGCGATGGCAACATCCTGCCGTTCTTGCTGGCTTTCGTCGTCGTTTTGCTCCAGGCCGATTCTCGTGGCTCACTGGTCGATAGCGGCAGCGACAATCAGTCACCAATTCGCCGTGTAAGCCGAATCCCTTTGCACGTCAAGAAGGAAGAGGTTGGTGCATCAGTATCAATATCAGCCAAAAACGGTACAGTATCAGGCCACACAAGCACTCCCCCAAGACTCTCAAGACCTTCAGTGCGGCCATCGAGATTAATATGCCTATTTGTAAGGGGAATCCTCTTCCGTTGCATCTCGGAAGCTTAACGGCTTCTTTGGTCCCAGCAAAGACTTACCGATCATACCAATAAAGACGACCACTCACAAAAGTTCGGCTATCTCTCACTTTCTGCCCTGAAACGCGGCTCGCAGAAGGAGGACCCCAGATATTCTTAGCAACGCCAATGCATTCCGTGCATAACCGTGGTATGGGTATTTGGATGAGTTTGTCGAGTAAGCGCTCGCCGTAAGGAGCAGGAATGGCCAGATTGGACATGGCGATCTGGTAGTGGTCAGATATAAATGGTAGGGTCATCTAGACTGGTGTAGGAAAGCCTCGTTCTTCATTCTGATTGCTTCGTTAATTGTGGGTGGTGGAGATGGCATCTAACCTTGAGAGATGTTCCGGGCGCTTAGAGAAAGATCAAAGGAAGATCAAAAAGGCGGTCGGAGGAGAGGAGGTTCTTTTGGAAAGTCGCATAAGCTGACACGTGATTGACGACTTGGATGCCTAGATCAGGTTGTTCTAGGCCCGTGCCCTACTTAGGCCGCCCTGGCCAAGTCGATAAGGGCGAAAAGGAGAAGAATTGGGCGAGGTAGGATATGGGCGACAACATCTGCTGCTGATACGGGAGGCACCTTGATTGTACCTACAAAACTCTCTTTCATCTGCTATAATTGCAATTGCTTCGAACATTGTCCCTCACCGGACGGCTTTCTCAATCTCTCTTACTCGATATTTGCATCATAGTTGATCTTCTCAATGTGGTAAGCCGCCGTTGAATCAGCATGCAGTATCTCATGCCTTTCACAACTTTCGAGAAGAGAATATGTGGTTCAATTAACTCACTGATGAGCGGGCGGCCAATTTGTACACTTATATCAAGTCGTCGCCTCGAGATGAAAAGCGACAACACACAAACCATCGCACGGAAATTGCGAAGACACTAGAGGCGCACCCTCATTTCCTGGAGAACGGGCTGATTATCAATCGCCTTATTGGGATTGAAGCCGCAGCCTGATGGCCGCGGACATTGGAAGTATGCAACCTCCAACATCAGGCGCAACATCGAATCTAGTCTCATCGAATGAGGTTGCTTTCCCCAATCAAGTTGATTTTCAGACTGTTCAATCACTAGGGAATGCTGAATGGTAACTTTTGGGCCGGCGTACAGTGCTATCTCTTGTCGCTATGAAAGATGAAGTCGTGAGCATGCTCCGAGGGGGCGCTCTGCGGCGCACTCGCTTGCAATACACCATGAAAGCGCATTTGCCGTCCCATACAGCTTTCTGCCAATCACCTCGAATGCGGTTAAATTCGCATACGTTGACCTTCCAGTTGACCAATGGTCAGCTTCGCCTCTTCACCAACCTTGGGTGGCACCCAAGTACTAGTCGACATGGATCGGCTGTGACGGCTCAGCCTGACCAACAACATGAAAACGGACAGCACTTGACGCCTATAGCTCCCTGGTCAAGCGCGGGGTATGGTCCCTAGATATGGGAAGCCCTCGCTCCAGCCTCAAACCAACTCAGCCTGATTCTGTCAAGTTATGAATCTCTTACATTGTGGTATGGTTGCATACATTGAGATACCTCAAGATGAAGCTCATGAACTTGGCGACATCTGCGATTGCGAGCCTACTGTCAAAACGAGACTATTCTGTCGCCACTTGCCCGTCGGCATGCTTCTCCATCTGCGGTACGGTTTCTCCGATTGCTTCTCACAATAACACAAGCTGAATTCTGCAGACGAAGCTCAAGTGCTTGCTGAGGCAGTAGGCTACAACTATACCGCCCTATGCTCACCGGGCTCAGCATTCATGGATGGATATGCATCGATTCAATCGTGCATTGCTGCTAACACGGACAGTTCCACGACGGACGATTTCCCAGAATTGCAACAGTATGTAAACTACTGTAATTCAGGGTCAGGGTCGCAGGACACGTCCTCAGTCACGCAGGTCACGTCTTCAGTCACGCAGGTCACGTCCTCAGCCACGCAGGACACGTCCTCAGTCACGCCGGAAACTACACAAGTCCCCCCCACCTCAACGTCGTCCCAGACGACTTACCAAGCTTCCTCAGCATCAACGGTGTCGTCCCTTGGGTCTCTATCGTCGGCCGAATCCTCCATCAGTTCAGTCGGCTCAGTCCTTGCATCTGCCGCCTCTTACGCATCGTCAATCTCCATGAGCGAATATGCTGTCACCTGGTGCTTGTACTATTCGATCAGTCATAGCTCGATAGCCGTGAACTGCACAAGCTGTAAGGAAGGCGACCGTTTGAAGTGCTGGCTGACAAACCGCAGCTCCAGCTGCCACAACTGCTCCCTCGACTACGGTCACCAGTACCCCTCTGCCAGGTGCGGTGACCTCTCTTCAACCGAGTGGAGTCACCTCTTCCCTGCCTGGTGGAGTGGCTTCTACACGCGAAAGTCACATAGGTGCCATTGCCGGTGGAGTGGTGGGAGGGGTGGTAGGACTGTCCTTCATTGTTCTCGCGGGGGTTCTCTTCTGGAGGCGGCGCAGGAGGCGGGCACGAAGCGATCATACGGATACTCCTACAGAAAAGGCACAGCTTCATGCTGACGATATTAAGCCGGACCGTAAAGAGCTACCAGGCACGGAGGGTTCGCAGGAGTTGCTGGAGAAGAAACCTGCGGAATTGGCTGCGAATGAAGAGGTGGAAAGAAACAACCTGAAAGAATTACCGTCCAATGAACCGCCGGGGCATGAGATGGAGACTACCGGGAACGAGATGGCAGTGCTAGACAGAATGGCGCGATTAACGGACTCGACAACGCTCGTTAGCAGCAGCTCGAGGACCAACGATACGCCCGATGCTTGAAGGGAGTGAAGAATTGTGCTATCCCTGCACTATCATGTGGTCCGGCTGCAAGGTCAACTTCCATGTTCTACTGTTGGGCCTCGTTGGGGTGTAACACATCCTCTGTACATTTGAGCACGTTGCTGTCGACCATATCAGGTTGGTTTTGAAACGTAATTCCATCTATCAGCCTTTCAGCCACTGAAGTGCGACAGGCGCCATATTAGCGCAGGTAGCTTGTAATGATAAAATAATGTGATTCGAGAGCATTGACTTCGATTCTAGTTTCCGATCTCGGCATCCCCGTAGATAGTGTCCCAGCCAGGCATTCCTGGGAACGTGATATGTGTGAAGTGAGATCAAGCTCTACCGATCGTAGACGTTTGTTACTAGTACGTGCACTTGTAGGCCTAGCCGGACGCTGGAAAAGCATAATAGTATAATCTAAGTTAGGCCCCGAGATTCTAAAGTCTGCTGTGACGTACTGTTAGTCCCCAAGGTGGTACGCTCAAAATATCTGAATGTCTGCACGGTCATTTGCAAAGTTGTCTCTTGGGTTGAGAACTTACAACCTCTTTCGCTTCAGCAGACTGGTCGTATTCGCCCTAGGTATAGCTCGTTGAGTGAGGCGCCGGCAAATCAGCGTACGGTACTCTACATTATCGCATGCCAATATGTTGTACATTGCCCTTGCCGGTCTCGTGACACAGTCGACAGAAAGTATTGCTTGCTGGGGAAATCAGTCATCGCTGAGCAGGAGCTAGCCATACAACTTGGGCTCTTGATCGATGCACCAATTTTATCTCATTCTTCCGCGTCGGAGATGCGATAAGTACAATGTCCTGCAGAGGTCCTCAGGACAAGAGGGATATGTCTTGCGATGCCGAGGATGAGCCCATTGGATCTCGGCGAAGCACCCTACTTCAGCCACATCGGAGACTGGCACTGCGCCCTGGGGTCGCACTTCAGCCTGATCGTTGACTACAATCGTTGGCGTCGGCATTGTTAGACCAGCTGTTTATGGACTTACGAGATTCGACATTCTCACGTTCACCAGAAGTCCGCCCCGAACATCGACGTCGATTCCATCCTGCTCGAGAGTGGAACATGATGTCAGCTTCCTTTCCAAAGTCTCCCAAGGAAATCTTCTCACATCATTTAGTCCGCTAGAGAGGAAGCCTCTTCTAGCCATCCTGCAATTCCCAGACCATGCACGTACAGAAATCCGGAATCACGCGGCGCATACTGTCGAGATCATCGGGACGCCATTACCGCAATGCGCCTGTTGCACATTAACAGTGACGGCAAGCTGAGTCTGACTAGGGACTGGAAGGACTGGACCACAGACTTTCCAAGATACGCAATACTATCGCATACGTGGGGCCCAGATGAACATGAGGTCACTTTCACTGATCTCAGAGACGGATCAGGCAATAGCAAGGCTGGATACCTGAAGATTCAGTTCTGTGGGGAACAAGCTCGAAGAGACGGCCTACAATACTTCTGGGTGGACACATGCTGCATTGACAAGTCGAGTAGTGCCGAGCTCCAGGAAGCGATCAATTCAATGTTCCGTTGGTATCAGAATGCGGCAAGATGCTACGTCTATCTCTCTGACGTCTCAACACCTGTGCCCACTGGTGGTCACCAAGATACTAGTGACCCGATCAGAAGCGCCCTTTGGAAAAGTAGATGGTTCCGACGAGGCTGGACCCTACAAGAGCTTATTGCTCCAGTGATAGTCGAGTTCTTTTCCCTCGAGGGCAACAACATCGGTAGCAAGAGGTCCTTGGAACAAGACATCCACCATGTCACCGGGATAGCTCTCGAAGTACTACGTGGTGCACCCCTGACGGAAATCGCAGTCGAGGAGCGTTTGTCTTGGGCGGACCAGCGTGAAACCAGCCACCCAGAAGACGAGGCGTACTGCCTTTTGGGACTTTTCAAGATATTCATGTCGCTTCTTTATGGAGAAGGGCGGGAGAATGCGTTCGTCCGGCTACGAGAGGAAATCGCAAAGTCCTCAAATCGCGCTTCACAGCATGCCACATGTTCACCGTTCAGTAGACTCAGCCAAGAAACATCACCAGTCACTCGCGGAAGCCTTGAGGCAGCTGGAACTTCGTGCGACCTGGATCATGACTCCAACAATGCTGGATGCCGTTCGAATGCCAGTTCGTCAGGGGAATCTTCCCGAACTCGGAAGACAGTGCTATCTTCGGAAGCGCCAAAACCATACAGCTGCGCGCAGAAAGGTGTCAAGAGGCGGACTAGCGACATTTCGACTTCCACAGCAGTCCGTGGTCCCAAAAGGACGCGGTATGTAGAAGTCGATGTTGGGACCGCCCATCAATCACACATAACGGCGCAGACTTCTGTTCCTTCCCAGACCATGGCTCCTGGAGCCTTCGAAAGTTTGTGTGGATATGTTCGAAGTGCCTGTGCAAATTATTTGGCGAGCTACAATGCTGATCCGAGTCAGCCCGATTTGGCCCAAAGAAGCCCCGTGAGAACGTCAATTTCAAACCATCATGTGTGGAATGCTTTGTCCCTAATCGTTGGGGCCAAAGCAGTGTATCAAGATCCATACGTTACGAAGGTCATCCATGCGCTTTTTGACCGCCCCAGCCAGGTTTCAATTCCTTTGAGTCTAATGCTTTTCGCCAGCGCATTAGCAGGACACCTCTTGCCACGACTTCAACTGTCCAGCATGACAGACGACAGTTTGTGCCTCGAAGATGCGTTGGGCGAAACAATACGGGTGCCTCAAGTCATCTGTCAATACTACGAGACATTCCATGACTATCTCGTGGCCCGATTCAAGGATCACCTTGGGCTTGAACTCGTGATCGAGAAGAACTACCGGTTGATCATCGGTGGTATGGAAGGTCCGGTACTTGACACGACTAAGTGGTCGCAGGTCATCAAGGTCCATCCGCGGATCAAGCTTACAATGGCCATGGTCTTAAGCAATCACTGTAGATATGTAGAGTGCACAGTATGCCGCCAGCGTCTGAGGAGACGGAGTTACCAACTGTTCGTCTGGTAGGATTTGAAAGACCTCGAGAGCTGCCAATGCCGGCTAACGCCAATTCACAGTGATTCCTGCGGCAAATTATCCCCGGCTGTGGAAGCCTTCTTGGATGCTGGAACTCTTGGAAACCGCAGCACACTCGGAGTCTTCCCAAAAGGCCAGCAGCATGGCTCGTCAGAACGAGTTCCAGAAGCTTCGATTCCAACCTGCGCACCGGTCTTACCGCATGACGAGTTGATGAGCAGTCAGTCTTTGCAGACCAAGTCAGCAAGCTTCGTCCATACCATGTTGACAGTCGAAGCCTGGTCCCCTTCCCACCGAAGACTGGAAGTGACAATCCGGGATCTGCTTCGGCGATTTCATCCTCGACCATTCGAAAATGGCCTCTTGATCTCCGACGTAAAGAAGCTTGATATGCCCGAAGGGGTTATCACCACGATGGCAGGTCTTTTCTCGCAAAGGGACTCGCACGAACACATTGACTACGTTCTTGACGATGTCGATCAGCAGTACTTTTTCGACTCTCCGCGCGCATGTCTCCGTCCCCGAATCATCAGTAATTCTCAACGGAAAGGAATGATTGCCCCCGTGTCTTTCCCTCTCGCCAGGGATGTCTTAGGGATTTTGTTATGCATTGCTCGCCGATCGCTCAAGCATTGTGACCTCATTCTGAACAACATCGATCTTGTTCACGAAATCATGAATACCGCTCGACGAAGTAATGACACTCCCATCCGCGGGCGGTGCTGTAGTATGGTTTTCATACTCATCGGTAACGATGACCTCCACGCTCGCAGGCGACGTATATCCCAGCTCCTAAGGATCGGAGTCTTTGATACATTGAGAGTTTTAATGGACAGTTCAGACGTCACTGTCAGATCCGCTGCCAACAGCGCAATGCATGCAGCAAACCAGATAGATGAATCCGAGTTTCTCAATCGACGTGCCAGAGATCGGCAGACGGATATCGAATACGAAAGATCACGACTGAAGCAATTACCTAATGGTCTATGGATGAACCACTGGTGAACCGCGGAGTTGTATCGCTTTCTCCTGGACGAATGAGGCCGCTGTCAACAAAACACTCATAGCCAATGCCAGATGTAGTATCAGAGGTGTTCCAGACAATACCAGTGTTTTCGCAAGAGGAGCCAAGTTTGGACACAGAGTGTATGACCATGCTTCAATAACGTCGCTGAATACCACACATCGCTAAGATACTACTTTCTAGAGCTGGGTCAGAATATGTCTGCTGCCCACCACCGTCGTGTCGGTATGCAATGGTTGCCCAATATGAAAATGCCGCTTTCGTCGAAACACACCACTCATGACAATGAAAATCATAGCTCACTTCCATCTGCCTTCCCCTAAACTCCATGCTCGCTTGATAAACACCATGCCATTGAATGCATCAAATAACACCATTTCCCAACGTCCTGTGAGGCGTCCACCCGAGCACACCGTGCCGAAAGATTTCCTAATTTCATGCAGCACATATCATAGCGTTCAATAACATGATCCACCTCTGGAAGGCGTCCACTTATTGTGTCATGGTAACGTCTTGATCCGCGTCCTGTGCCGGCTGTCGCGGTTCTAGCGGAAATCGTGCCTCTAGTGGAGGTTCGACTGGTGTCACCGGACTCATTTCCACTCGTTCCATCAATTCCGGGGCCAACAACGGCAAACCCACGTGTCGATCCGAATCAACTCGAGCAAACTCCGGTCGAAGATGTTGCGCTGCATCAGCTTCGGCAAGTGCTTGCATCATAGCCTCCCTATGTGCTTCTTCTCTCATACGTGATCTTTCTCGACTTCTTCCTGCTCGGCTGGTTCGTCCACCAGATCCCTCTTGACTTAGAGGTGTTGAAGCATAACTCCGAGTTGGAACAAGGAGGTTGTTGAGTCTCGACCGACTGTTTACCCTAGAAACTTGCGGGCTGTTGGATCTTGAAGGATGTCGACTTCCAGCACGACTGCCAGGAATGGTCGACATGATGGCTTCGTGATTGGCGTCGAAGGCACTGAAACCTGGCTCTGGTCGAAGATATGATACTCGTACATCGCTAGGATTTCTGAAAGCCGCACCGGGCATTGGTCTTCTGGTCGGCTCCGACGCAAACAGAGGGCCGGGCCAAGCTGCGTACCGTCTCGGCTCGTCAACACCGAAGTAGCTGGATCTAGGGTCGTGCGTGTAATGATCAAAGTCCACGGCACGGGCTCCGGTCTCGTCATAGACGTGCATCGGAACTGGGGGACCAAAGATTGTCGACCCCGCTTCCATAGTGTGTCTGCGTGAAGGTGTCCGCGATGTACTCCTTGCCCGCTCGCCATGTTGTGTGGGCACGTGAAACAGTGGTGTCATACCTGGACTTCGCGAGCGGCGGTCGTAAAATTCTGGATTTGAAGAGATGAGGTTGAGATGTGGAGGTGCCAAAGAGATTGGATCTTCATGCCCAAGGGGTGCTCCAGGCGTCCAAGGGCCCATTTGATCAAACGGTAAGAAGGGCATCTCCACGTGATAGCTGGGCAGATCGTGAAGGCTTCGTGGTCGAGGTCGGCTGCCTGGGGTGATGGCAAAAGTCATGCCATGTCGATGAGAATGTAAGACCGGATCCATCAATTGATCATTTCCATCTATCGTGCCGTCGTCCGACATGGTATCCGCGCCCGGGCTGTCGACTCCATCAAGCAGACTATCGTCAATGGCCTCACGTCCTTCTCGCTGAGCTTCCTCCATAGCCAGACGCATGAGGTAATCTCGAAGACGTTGTACACCATCTCCTGAAAAGACGCAGAAGACGTCGCGTTGTGGGTGGGTGAACTCGGCTGGAGCATCACGGCAAAATCGAGTCAAATCTTCCCGCAGGAATGCTTGTACACCGGTTAACGAAAGGTGGGTAAGTCGAGGACAGTTATGGAGGAGCGCAGTAATTCCCTTGACGAATGGTTAGCGAAGCATAAAACTATCACAGAGCACAACATACCTTGAGAGTGAGATTGACACAATAACTGAGATGAACTCTTTCCAGGGACACAAACTGTGGAGGAACGCCGATCTTGCCAGTCGGACCAAACAGTAATGGACCACGGGCGAGAGCCATGATGCTGGAGTCAGTCAGATTCTGACATTTCACCAGACCGATTCTGCGAAGCTTTGGAAGTTGTGCCAAATGACGGACACTGGCATCTGTCAATCGGGAGCAACATGCGAGGTCGATATATCTGATTCTGTTGCATGCTTTGACTAGCTGGATCACGGCATTGTCCGTCAAGTTGATGCAGTGACCGAGGTGGATGTAATGCAGGTTCTTGGTCAATTTGCAGATGGACGCAACAGCACGGTCCGTGATATGTCGGCATTTGGCCAATACCAGATTTCGTAGCCGAGGTGCAGCTGGAATGATCCTCGCAATCGCATCGTCTCGAACTTGTTCGCATGCTGTCAGATCCAGGATGCGCAGTGCATCGAAGGAAAGTCGTGGAGGGAGATTTGTGAATGCCGCATCATTGATATCAATACAATGCGCCAGACGAAGCTCTCGCAAATGCGTCAAATGCGACAAAAGTGCAGTGACAGATTCTGATGTGATGGAGGAACACCCAGCCAAGTCGATCTCCAGTATCGAACGACAGTTCCGGGCCACTGCAGTGATGGACAGGTCAGTTGCTCTTACAACTCCGTTGAGTTTCAGTCGTTTAAGCTGACGGCAGTGTGCGGCTATCTCGACCAACGAGTCATCAGTAATGTTGACGCAGTTTGTGATGTTCAGCCCTTGAAGTTTGGCGCAGTTGTCAGCCACGACATGCAGTGTTCGATCTGTCAAAGAATCGAGATCGGTCACATCCAGTGCTTGCAGCTTCCTGCTCCCATCAACTAAGCCTGCCACGCCAAAGTCGGTCAATTTGGAGCAATTTGTCAATGTGAGGCGCTCGACTCCCTTGCAATTCATGAACGGTTGGACCGTGCCATCATTGATCTTGTCTGCAATCGCGGACAGATTAAGTCTCTTGACCATCTCATGGTATGGAAAGTAACTCTTTTCACCTCTTCCCAATGCCGCGACCACACTAAGCAGATTCGACCATTTGTTGCATAGAGGTCGATGCCATAGAATGCCCACAGCATACAATGCCCAATGATATGATACCAGCATGCAATTTCTCAGATCACCCGTACTGGTGAGTTTCGCGAAGATAGCAATGAGGATTTCCGGCGGGAGTTTAGATATGGGAGATAATCGATGGACTTGTTCGAGGTCAATATCGTCGTCACAATCGCGTATCGCCGTGATCGCTCCAATGGAAGATTGTGAGTCGTTGGCATGTGCCATAAAATAATCCGTGTCCTCATCGTCGCCAGGCCCAGGAGAACTGTCTGAACTGTCCGAGTCGACCGTGACAGCGCTGAGGTTTCGGGTGTGTATTGGTGATAATCGAGTCCGCAGGTCTGCAGCCATTTTGCGGGTATCAGGCTGCGCCTTGGAGATGTTGGCAGAGAAGATTACGAGTGTATTTACTCGAGAAGGAATAAGTCTGCTTCTAATGAAGATATTGAATATGAGTCCAACTCTTTCAAAGTATGCGTTCAAGTGCAAGATCGCGATGGAGAATCGTCATTGCGTGGTGGTGAGTGAGAATTTGTTGTGTTGTTTCGGTGAACCTGATTACAGTGGCAGTGAATGCGAGGTGACAAGTAAACAGACAGAAAACCGCCGAATGGCGTGCCAAATCTATTACTCAAAGATTGTCACGGAGAGGATGTTCGTTAGGCGGGCGTCCAGAAGATCGCGAATGTGGATTCGGCGCGAGAGAAAGGTATAGGAGATGGACGTCGATGATTAGGAGGTGAGGCGGCAGAAACAGGTTGCGTTGCCCGTGTTGATTTTAGGGATGAGAAGGCGAAAGTATAGACGGTAGAGAAGAGTCAAGATTGGATTCGCCGTGTGAATGAAGTGGAATGATTCCCTTCAATCAGCAGGCACACCTGCACCGCAGTCAATTGATGTTGTTGTAAGGTGCCTCCCTGTTGGATAATCTGCGATGGGCAGGAGTTGGTGAATATCTTGACTTGCAGTGACTCCTCTAGTCTGTAACGAGAAGCAACGACGGCTGCCAAGTGGCTGAATGCCAGTGCGTCACGAGTGGCTCAAAGGGCGCCCGGGGGGCTTGGACTCGCCTCGTTTAGAGATCCCTCTGGGTGACTTAGCAAAATAAAAGGTCCGAGAAGCTTTTGGCGCAGGCCCATCTCGCCATTTTCCAGTTCGGTCATTATTTATTTACATTGGACTTTCAATTCTTGCTGGACTCAACTCATCTCTCATGCTGCTATGTCACAAATGTAGTTGCTCGTGATTTTGCACGCCTAAACCTGTCAGGATATCCAACCCGAAAAGTCTCGGCTATTCTAGGCTACACAGATACCCTGTGCCAGTGGTTGAGGAACACAGATCTGGAACTGGAAACCCTATCGTTTGGTGCGCACTATCCGACCCAGATCAGATATTCCCGATGTATCAGAACGGGGTGTATGTTTCTTGACGAGTCTCTCTAAGCACACTATCATTGAAAAGTAACAATTGTTCTCCTTTTATAAGGCTCATTGGACTGTTTTCAAGCCAATATCGTCTATACTGACGTCCGAGAACGTGTTCGCAGGGCTGGGAATGGAGACCCTCCCAGGTGGTTATAACAATAACGGCGCTTAGAAGCTCCGACTTACCGACCAAACATGCTGATTTAGGGAATCGACTAGTGGACATCTCGGCGGCAGCCCTCGAACCGCACCATCCCTGGCATCATTATTGTGCAGGGAGCTTGCCGTTGCTTCTAACATCCAGCATTCAAACGATGTATACCAGTGAACATACGTCAGAGATCTTGAGCAGCGTTAACGCTTCGCCTTTGATGGGCATGGTTTTGACTCAACTTACCGCTATACATATAGCACGAAATGTCTGTGTCTGGGTATGGACTAAATATATTCATTCGGCTTCCCTCTTTGCACCCTTGGCCCATTCGCGCAAGATATTCTTCCTTATCTTGCCTGTACTCGTCTTTGGCAACTCAGGAACGATCTCGACCTCTCGGGGTACCATGAACCTGCTGATCCCCGGATGATCCTTCGCCCACTGGATCACGTCTTCGCCAGTGGTTTGGGATCCGGGCTTCATAGTGATAAAAGCTTTTGGTCGTTCACCCCAGTGACTGTCGCTAACCGCAGCAACGCCGCACTCGAGCATATCGGGATGGGTAACCAATAAAGACTCGAGCGCTACCGATGAGATATTCTCACCACCTAGATGCGCGGTCAGTGCTGCCATCAACGTGTCTGCAGTGCTCAACTTACCAGAGATGATGATGTCCTTCGCTCTGTCGAGAATCTGGATGGCTCCGTCTTCATGCCATACAGCCAGATCACCAGAATGCAGGACACCACCCAAAAATAATTTCCTTGTGGCAGTTTCGTCTTTATAATATCCTCGCGCACATATATTACCAATGAAAACGATCTCACCAATCTCTTTGCCATCCTTTTCCACATCGACGATAGTTCCCTCGGGTACTTCGGTCTTGATGACTCTCGCAGGCAAAGAAGTCACAAAGCCGTGTCCCTGTCGAGCCATCTTGGCGTATTTGTCCTTGATGTTCGGGTATTCATGCCACTCCGGCATCATATAACCCTTCGTGATCGGGCCATACGTCTCCGTCATTCCATAGACATGGACTGGATGTAAGTTTAGGTTCGTCATCTGTTCGAATAAATGTGCCGTTGGTGGACTAGCTGCGACCGTCACTCGGATAGGTTTCGGCAGCTTAGTTGCATTGCTGTCTGCACAAAGAAGTGTATTCACCGTAGGTGCAGCGCAGTAATGTGTGATTCTCTCGTCTTTCAGCAGCCGCCATATCTCAGGGTAATCGATCTTGCGCAAGCAGTAATGGGTGCCTCTAGCCGCCGTCACCGCCCAAGGAAACGTCCATCCCATGGCATGGAACATCGGTAGCGTCCATAGGTACTTGCAGCGCTCGCCATCATGATAAGCCAGGCCTGACTCGATCACATTTCCCAATGCTCCCAGATAGCAACCACGGTAGGTGTACTCGACGCCCTTAGGTCTGGCAGTCGTACCGGAGGTATAAGCTAGGGCATTGACGGCTAGTTCATCAGGAGCTTGTACTTCCAGACCGTCCCAGCCCTGCGAGCCCGACGATCTGTCGTATTGTAGACCTTCCAGTATAGCTTGATCAAAAGGCCCACTCAGTTCACCTTCAATCGCGTCTGTGTCTGTGTCGATGATTATGGGAACATTGGGATGCTTTTGTCTGTAGTCGTTAAGTAGGTCAAGATATTCGGCGTCGACAATGATTGAGTCCGCCTCGGCATGGTCGAATATGTATGCAATATCATCTTTCTTCAGGCGGTAATTGATGGCGATGTTGATTGAACCTGCCGCGCCTATGCCGTAGATAGCCTCGAGAAACGCTGGTGTATTCGCGCACAAGATCCCGACTCTTTTGTACCCCTTCTTTCTCAGAAAATATGCGAACCCTCGGGCCCGGTCAGCGAACTCGATATACGTCCGTCGTAAGACCTTATTGTTCGCTGTGCGGTGGTAGATGGCGAGCGCATCAGGTTCGATGGCCGCGGCGCGGGGCAGGAAGGATGTTGGGGATAGGGTGTGGTGGTTGTACCATGAGGTCCTTCCCACGCGGTGGTTGTCGATGACTAGGTCGTCGATAGGTTTGCCCTCTCCCTGTGAGGGTACGGTCGGGCTGGCGGAGGAGGGGAGGAAATGGTTGAGCAGGTTGGTCAAGCGGGATTTGGCAGCCATCTTGGACTGTTGGAAGGGAGATTATGATGCCAACATCGCACCACAAGACAAGTGAAAGAGAATCGTCAAAGTATTATAGCTATACAAGTGAGAGGACATTTCATACCTATAATGCTCCTCGTATGCTCTCGCACTCAGTACTATTCCCTGGACCTGGGGCAAGCCTGACGGGCATCGGAACCGAGGTTCCAATCTGGGGTCCTGGAGACTATCAGGGGAGCGTTCCGCTTCCTGCGCCCACCCGGAGGCTTCATAGTGGTGCTTAGCGTTGGGGTCTCCAGGTGTGATAGGTTGACCTACTATCTAGTTCCGTAGCACTCTCGGTCACAACTCGGACGAGACAAGACCTCACCTACCCAGTCGCACGGTCATGCTACCGACACACTTGTATGGCCTGAGAATCGCTTGTCGCTTGCTTCTAGTTTGTGTCTAGGCCCGACTCAACGCCGGACCAAGAATTGGAGCTGAAAGAGAGACCTGGGTCCTGATAGCTTCAAAGTACAAGGTAGTCAATCACCCCTAGATCGTTATTGATCCCATGCCTACATTCTCATTGGAAGGAAAATCGTATCAGTCGAAGATATCACCAGGCATCCCATTCACGCGTATCCCAAAGACCAAAAAGTCTCGATATTCTTCCCAGTATCCTCATCAACATAAGCCGGCGATTCCGCCAACGTGACTTCACTCCCATGAATCTCAGCAACCTGCCCCGTCAACGAAGGATTCGAAACGAGTTGCTGCACACCCCTCGTCAATGTGGACATGGGCGTGACAATCATCGGCTTGAATAGATCCTTGCTCGGAGCGATATTCGTTTCTACCCACCAAACACATTAGCCACCACAATCGGTCAAACACGATGCTGTACATACCCAACACAGCCGGCGCCAGCGCATTGATTTGAATAGCATCCAGTCCAAGCGGTCTCGCAAGTGATCTCACGAGATTAATAACCCCAGCCTTGCCAGCAGCGTATATCGGCGCCACTGGGAACGGGTATAGTCCCGCGTTCGACGCTGTACATACGATTGATCCCTTGGAGGCAGGACTGGCTCCATTGACAGTGGTGTTCTTCTTGATATAGTGAATCGCCAGTTTCACAGCTAAACACCAATAGGTCAGCACATGTTCAAGACGTTCGCCTGACAGGCCCGAAAAAGCAAAGGGAAAGTCAGAACGCACTATAAATCGTCCCAACAAGATTCACATCCAGCGAAGGCAGGCTCGGTTTCGACGGCGTCTCCTCATCAATATTGAGCTTGACTTCCTTGGAAATGCCCGCATTAGCCATCACGACATCGATCCGTCCCTGGTCTCGATAGATCTGCTCAAAAGCCGCGGCAAGCTCGTCCCAGTTCGAAATGTCGGTCTTGGTGAACGAGAAGCTCGCGTCCGAAAAATCCGAGGACAAAGCCTTGACGATGTTGTCGCCTTCACTGTTGACGTCCAAGACCGAGATATGTGCTCCTTGTTCCGCAAAGGATCGGGTGATGCCGAGTCCTATGCCGCTTGCGCCGCCTGGCCATACGAGATTGTGTTAGACTCGGTTCCCACCAGATAGGTCAGTTGAGTGGTGCCAGATACATACCAGTCACGACGATGCTTTTTCTCTGAGGCGCCATTGTTGCAACGCTGCCGGATATGGACTGACTGGAGAATTGATTCGATGCAATATCCAGATGAGCAACTGCAACGCTTGACAACACTGTTTTCGGCGAACGGCTGTGTGCGCTATCAAACACAATAATGTCTGGTAAGTACTGTAACAACACGGTCTCGATCTTCAAAGCTCTGCTTCCCAGGTATATCGTTCGAGCAAGTTCATCTTCTAGGCAGGTTAAAGTCAATCCAATACCCTCCGGAATTGCCCCACGACACAGTTCACCCATCTCTTCACTCTCCCATATTGTGGGGCAACCCACAGCCTAGGGAGCCTCGTTTAGCCCCCATGTTTGTCTCTTTCTCGCCTATCAGACACCCGCCTTTCAATTGCCGAGAGCCATGTGAACCATATCGGCGGACAACACCCCTCATCGGATGAGACCCCGTACCACCCCCACCACCCCTGTCCGCAGATGCTATGCATACAATACGCAGCATTCATGCATAATCTGCCGTGTCTCCTCGTGGAATTCATACCGCGCCATGACATTGGTGCTGCTTTTTGCTAAACCCCTGCTCAACTCCTGGACAACTATAGCATTTCGCCGTAAGGTATTCGGAACTTGCCTCGAAAGTGTTACCTGGACACCATATCCGGCGATCTCGAGATCGGGATTCTACCAAGATGGCAGAGATCCACATTGACCAAGCGACCCTAGACTCGGTTCATGGCAAAGTCGTCGTTTTAGCAGGTACAGTAGTTGGCACCGGTCCTACCCCAAGCTTGAAATACTAGGAGCTCACACAGTTCAGGTGGTGCACAAGGCATAGGCGCAGCAACAGTAACACAGCTCTTCGAGTCAGGAGCACATGTCTTCTTCGGCGACTGGGACGAGAAACAAGGCTCGAAGCTCGCTGAATCGTTACACTCATCATCCACCTCACAAGGAAGCGTGACGTACATGAAAGTCAATGTTCGAGAATATCAATCTCAATTATCACTCTTCGACGCTGCGTACAACAAGCACGGCCAAGTCGACCTTGCGATCTCTTGTGCCGCCGTGACTGAGCGACAGGGATTTTGGGAGCCACATAAACTAAACCTGCAGAGTGTCAGAGAGGTAAGCTATGCTTCCACACGTCCACAGACCAGCGTAACGGCAGGGAGACTGGTGGTCGTATCTAACCTGGCCAGACCCCAACTGGTATCACCGATGTCGTCGACATCAACCTCAACGGCACGCTATACTTCGCCCGCATCGCCATTGCGTACATGAAAGAGAACCACACTTTCGACAAGGAATCCACCACAGCCGAATCCATCACATCGCCCAAGTGCATCACTCTCGTCTCCTCAGTCGCAGGTTTCAAGGAATCGCCAGGTCTATTCGCCTACTCGGCCGCTAAGCACGGCGTTTTAGGGTTGATGAGAGCTTTGCGTCCGTTTGCTGCCCCTCTGTACGGCATCAGAATCAACGCGATATGTACGTGTCCCTCGTTTGGTTGTCTGAGGACTTCCTCGTGACCGGCTGACTGATGATCCAGGTCCCTGGGCAACTGATACTCAACTCCTATCCGGCGTCCGCGCAGAGTGGACCAAGAATGACATGCCAATGAACAAGCCAATTGATGTCGCCCGGTATATCATACAGGTCAGTGCTGATCCGCAAGCGCATGGTAAAGCGCTCTTTGTGACTGGCGGCAACGCCGTGGATATTGAGGAAGGATTGAACCGGACAGAGCCGCAGTGGTTGGGAGAGAAGAACAGTCGGGAGCTTAATCAAGGCCAGGTGATATTGGGATTGGTAAGTCTTCTCCGTTTCATGTTGAGCCGCCGTAGACGCAGTCAAAGCGGTCTCCCCGGGTTGCCCGAGCAGCTATGCTAATTTGATTGATGTTTGCAGGGAATGGACTGGGGTGGCTGATGTGGCTGCGTTGTTCGTAATAGCCTATCGACTAGCAATGGACAGGCAAGATCGGATCGCCGTTTCGTCTTGGGAAGCAGGTCCTATTGTTGTCGCGTGGGCAAACCCTGCCGCCGGCGGTACTTGCCATCTGGTATTACAAAAAGTCCCTGTGTGAACCCCTTTTTTGACACCCCACGTAGTGGTGTTGAAGTATGATTGCATCCCGTACATGTGCGACGGGCTCTCGCTCGAGGAACTGGCTTTTGATATCTCGAAGCTTCACAGCGCGCTTGAACTTTCGTCGTCCTATGCTCGGCTTACCAGTTGGGCCCTCCAAGATTGCCCCCTCAACACCTTTTGAATCGCGGCTGCCCCAGTTTTGCCAGGCCTCGATCTTCACCAAATACTGATCGGGTGCCTGTTCAACGGTTATTGCAAAGTCGGTCGCACAGCGCGCACATTTCACCGGCTTCGAGCACCTCTTTCTCGGCTGCTGCGAGCTTGTCGCGGCGTGGCTGATTGCGCACGACACGATTGATGGGAGATGTAGCCGGGCATGGCCGCAAAATTTTCCGCAGATTTCGTCTACCTGGTCCCATACCGACTTTTGTGCATCAATGTACACCGACTCGAATACCACAGGAGCAACTGTCCTTGTACAATTTTGGGGACAATTGTCATGCTGGGGCATGTATGTTCAAGCCAAGTCAGAGGATACCCAAACTCCGGACCCCTTTCATGATATCTGAGAACAAGATCGCGTACCTCCAGGGCCAACCCACCAACGGAATTGTTCGTGGGGGGATCTAGCGCAGTATTTATTCCACCCATTATGGATGTTGAATCGTGGAAAGTTGTAGTGAGGACATGTGGCTTCATCTGACCTTTTCCAGTTGTACAGCCTACGGCAGGAAGAGCAGTAGAGCAGATGAGGAGTATCTCTCCCGATGAGCAGAAGGAATCTGTCTCTGGTTTCTGGCTGACGCTGGCCGTAGGCGCAGAGGGAATCGATCCTGGGAGGAAAACGCCGGTAAAGGAATTTTGAGACCAAACCGAGAGCGCATCGAGACTCGAGTGGTAGGTACATGATTATGTTATCGAGGAGCTCAGTGGGCAATCCTTCCAGTCCTTCCTTGACGGCATCATCGTGTTGACTCCGCTCCTGTTGAGACTTGTTTTCCTTTATCAACGACCTCTTTGCCTTCATAAACAACCTCAAAAGCAGCTGAAAAAACGGAGACAACCAACCCGTGGGAAGTCCTGGTGCATCTGGCATTGTGATTGAAGAGGTGGGAAGGTCGAATGAGTTGAATAAGAAAACTGAAGAGATGCTGTGTGTAGGAAGGTGCGAGCAGGAAGAGCAGATGTAGCACTGATCTGTTGCAAGTCCATAGGAGTTATTGGCCTCGCAACAGAATGCCAAAAAATGGTCCAACACTTTGTGACCAGGTCAATCTTGGTTGTGGTAAGACTTTGGTGAAGATCTGGATCTTGCCGGACCTGGAATCGCCATATGGATGGTCATCAAATATTGCAAGCATCTGGAATCCCGCCTTTGTCAGTCATGTTTCCAACATACCCAACCATGGGCTGCCTTGCGAAACCAGTGGTAAAATCATCGCTCGTATCCAAAAGATGTCCATGTCTGAAGATCATATCGCCGTCTATATGCAACCTTGGTCTATCGTCTACCTCGTGAAGCTTGCTCAAACTCCACCGCTGTGCTGCATGCCTAAATTCGCAACAAAAACCTGTATCACAAATGCAGACAATATTCATCAACACGTACAAGAAAGGTACGAGGACCTTACTTTTCTTCGTCACTTCTTGGCTCAGCCACCGCAACTGGTACCGGCCCACTCGTCGCCTCTGCGAGGGTCTTCTTCCTCACATCCCAACCACCACTCCATCCGATCCAGCCCTTTTCATACGGTCCTCTGGCCAGACATACCAGAAATGAAAGTCCAATGAAAGCGACACTGAGACTGCCACTCACCACCCAACCTCCCCTGGTATACAACTTGGCGCCCGCACTGGTACCAGTCAACTGGCCGGTGAAGGTGCAGAGCATGAATGCAGTATTGACTCGATTTCGAGCTTTGGGCTCGATTGCAGCAATAGCGGCCCGGTTCGAGACTTGAGTAATTTGCAAGCCCATATCGAGGGCGAACGCTTCGATGATCGGACCTGCGACTGTGAACTCCCCGGTGTAGGTTCCCACTGTGACCCCGATTATGTTGGCCAGAAGACCGAACAGACAGCTGAACATTGGCGCAAACGGCTGGATGAGGAACTTCGCATACAATGGTCCCAAACCGATGCCAGCAACGCCAATGAGACCGAACAGTCCGATGATGACGGGTGTATAGCTGTAAGGAAGATCGGCAAGCAAGAAGGTCAGTGTCGTCCAGTAGCTCGTGAAGCAAGCAGAGACGCAATAACTGATCAAGCCTGCCTGGACGAGAATGGCGTGCTTCTTGTACAGCAGCATGATGCCGGCAATCATTTTGAAGTAGTTGATTCCATCAGGATTCGATGATGGATAATCAGGCATGAAAAGCCACAGTGCGATGAAGACAGAATACTGAAGACCCATGGCAATCCAGTAGATATTGCGCCACGAGGTGTAATTGGTGACGACGCCGGAGAGAATACGTGCGACCACAATACCTAAAAGGTTCCCGCAAGTAACGATGCTCAGGGCCATGGCGCGTTTGTGCAGCGGAGCCAGTTCAGCAACCAAGGGCAGCATAACCTGGGGAACCACTGTCGTGATGGAACATATGAACGAGATGGCGCAAAAGGCGGCAAATGAGCGCGTCAGGCATAGTCCGATCCTGCATGAATATCAGCATACGCACACATTGTTTGGTACAGCTTGTTCCGAGGTCGTCGATGAGAGCAGAGACGGCAGAAAACGGGACTCTCTAGGAATGGCGACTTACCATAGTGTCGCGGTGAACAAGATCAATCCGAGTGTCAATGGACGCCGCTTCAAAAGGTCTCCCAACGGGCATACAAGTAACAATCCTGTCGCATACCCTGCTTGCATCAATGTGGGGATGCGAGCTACGGTCTCGTAGGGCACGTCAAAATCTGCCGCGAGAACATTGAGAATAGGGTGGTTGTAATAAAGGTTGCCCACGGTGAAGGCTCCTGCAAAGGCGAAAAGGATATTGTGCCAGACGGAGAAGACTGGAGGTTTCTCCGGGTTCCAGCGACACCAGGGTGGTGTCCAAGTTAGAAAGTCAACGGTCTTTCGCCATGGTGATTTTCGCGCCGCAGCACTCGTTTTCTTTTCGTCATCGTTTATGTCGAATCGCGCGACCGCGCTTCGCTGGTCGGCTGTTGGAGACCATGGCTCTTGCTGACCGCTTTTCTCTTCCACCATGCCCAAATTGAGAGTTGATACCGAGACTGGTCGGAAAGAAGGGAAGAACGTGTTTGTAACGGGGATTGCAGACTATCACTGCTTGCAGCGATAGGAGTCGGCGTTGCGCGCTTTCACGGACTTGTTGATCGGGCCTTTGTGGGGTACTATCGGGACACCTAACTTGCGGCCCGGTCATAAACTTGCCTTTAGTCTTTAGGTTGTCCGATTTGCACCATGATGTGCTTCACGAAATCGATGACAGCTTGAGGGCCGAGCATAGAGTCTCATAGAGAAAGGGAAGGAGATAATAAACGGTCGAAGCCGTGACAGACATCATTATCACCCATCATGCGAGTCTCACTCGAGGGACGGTATCACAATGACCTTGGCTGACAAACCGTGAGGAGGATGTCCCACGTCTTGGTTCATGTTTAGATGCCGTGTTAGCCGAAGCAAGGCTCCGAGTAGAAAGTCCATTGATGGCACCATCCGCTAGAACGAGTGGAGATGCTATATATACAATAAGATATCGGGCAAGCTAGTTGTGATTTTGCAAAAGCTGGATCCGAGGACGCCGCAGATGACAATGACTATCGCAAAAAGCTCACCACGGTTTGGATCTGTTTCGTCCGTATGTGAACGTTTTGATATGGATTATCAAATGTTCGTGTTTGTGCCATGCTAAATTAACGATGGCAAGGTCGGCTTGCGTTGACATGCAGCATTTCACGAAAGCCTGGAAAGGAGACCTCTGATCGCAGTTGACGACAGCCCCATCTTTGTGGACAGGCCCTCGATACATTTCGAGCATGGGAAACTGCTCCGCGCCCACCCTCGATCAATTTGCTGAGCGAGTGATGTGCAGTGAAAGACGGTAGTTCCACAGCGAAATGGCGTTCATTCATGGCAATGTAGAGTCGGACTCTAGTGAGACTGAGATTCGCAAGATGGACAATGGCGCCTCCTAGCTTACAGAGCTGCTCAAATCAAATTTCGGGCAGACAAACCGCGCATCGGGCAGGAAGTCTAGTGGGTGGTCCAGATCTTGTCCACATGATCATCGCATGATGGCAAGGGGCCAAGGGCAGACCTGTCAGGCCTCCCAGTCAGTCTGCAGTGATACACCCAAAAGTACCGGTGAAAGGCATGGATTTTGTGATGCGATGTTCGATGGGTTTAAGAGAGTGACGGTTCTAAGCAGCCCAGTTGAGAGGATGCCCCGGTAATCATGTAATCAATCCCTTGGCATGTTTGCACGTTTTGTATGTTTGTTTGTACCTCTCCCATGCTCTCTCACACTCCCTCTCATCCTCTTTTCCACCTCGACAAGCTCAATGTTTCACTGGTTAAACCATCAACGACGCCGCAGCAGTGATACATTCAGAGGATGCCTCAGGTATCGCGCTAGGCAGATGTTGCGACTGAAATGCGAAAGACAATGCGCCAATAGTGGAAATACTCGTCAGCTGAGTCAAACCGTGCGAAGAACGGCCATGCTGACATCTCCAGTCTGAATGCTGCAAATGGTGTCTCATATACCTCGTATCAGTTAATCCATCAGGCTGGACCCATGCGTTGCCTTTTCGATTACGATGCTATGCCCATCATGGTCATTCGTGATGTACCCTTATATGTCCTCTCTTGGGGTCAATGTGAACCTGTTTCCTTCCTGCCTCATCGGCTCTCTCTGCGCTGCTCTGAACCCGTGTAATGGCGCTTATCTTCACAGCAACGCTCATAGGAGCTGCATGGGTGGCACGCTTCGGTTTGCATTACAACTCTTTCTACCAGCCGGCCATCTTCTTGATCTTGACACTGTCTATCCAGCTTGTCCTCCTTATACTGTGGCTTGCTTATCTGGCTCCTCGACTAAGCCCTCTGCGCATATTTCCGCTGGCCTCCCAGGGACCATGGTGGAAGACATTCTTACTCGAGCCAATACCCACGGACCTTCAACGGTTTATGGATGAAACTCCAAATGACGGCCTCATCCGTTATTTCGGCGTCTTCCATAGCGAAAGACTCTTGCTCACAAAGCCTCAGGCAACCAAAGACATGATGTTGCTGCAACCATACAACTTCAACAAAATCCCAATAACGAAGAAACTCATTGGACAACTCACGGGAAAGGGAGTCATAGTGGTAGATCAGGACGAGCATAAGGTAAGCTAAATGCATACTCTGCCGCAAACCTTGAAGGAGCCTCTCTTATTCATGACCAACAAGCGTCAACGCAAGTCATTAAATCCAGCATTCAAGTTCAAATACATAAAGAATCTCTTCCCAAGATTTTGGTTTCATGCGACGCAACTTGTACGGTCTCTCGAGAAGGAGATTGATGAGGCCAACGCGAAAAGATCAGCAACACTCCCGACAGTCGATATCGATGGCTGGCTGATGCGTGCCACTCTCGATATCATTGCAGCGACAGGGTAATCAGCCCTTTGTGTTCATACTGCTGCTGCAGTTGTGCATACTCTGCAGATCATAGCCATGACGGCTCCTGACGTTTTTACAGATTTGGAGTCAATGTCAATGCCATCCAGGCTCCGGATAGCGCACTCGCTACAGTGCTTCCCCTGTCGAACTCAACGAGTCCTCAAGCGTCCTTTTACATGCTTTTGGGATATTTGTTGCCGGAATGGCTATACCTTCGCCTACCAATGGCGAGACGCTACGAGCTTGACCAGGTCGTCAAAGCGCTCCACGATGCCACAACGCCACTCATCCGAGCCAGGAAGGCCGACCTTTCCAAGCGAACACTTCTTGGTCCCGAGACCGAGGACAGTGATACTAAATCAACCGCCCAGGATCTTGCTGAGACGGACGTTATCGCCACTCTTCTTCGCTTCCCGCAGAAGTTGACTGACCAAGAACTACTGGCCCAGTCGGCGTCGATTATGCTCGCCGGGCAAGACACCACCTCAGTTGCTACCACTTGGGCACTGTATTTCATGGCGCATCATCCCCAGATTCAGGCAAGGCTGGCAGGAGGTCCGCAGTAGCCTGCCATCGCCTGGCTCAGCTGACGGTGCGGTGGATGCAAGTCTTGTTGAGTCCCTCCCATACCTTGCAGCAGTGTGTAGCGAAACTCTTCGCCTTTTCCCACCAGTGTCAATTCTGAGGAGAGAAGTTGTGAAGGCAGGGACTACCATACTTGGCGAGCACATTCCCATTGGGACACATGTGGTTACTAGCATCTGGGGAACGCATCACACACGCAGTATCTGGGGCCAAGATGTTCAAGCATTCAGACCTGACCGTTTCCTCCAGCATACGGAAGATGGCAAAGCCAAATTCGATCCACATGGAGGCTTACAAGGCGAAACAGCAACATACTGTTTCGTCCCATTCGGAGCCGGCGTGCGAAGTTGCATTGGTGAACGGTTTGCACGAGGTGAATTTGCCATTTTGTTGGCTGCTCTGGTCGGGAAGTTCGACTGGACCCTCATGGATCCTGAGGCAAAGCTTGGAGAAGACGTGAAAATCAATTTCGGCCTGGTTCTCAAACCGCAAGGAGGGCTCTTCCTGCACGCAAGCAAGGTCGAAGGATGGTGAGTTCTGATTCGTCGACTGATCCGGCAAGACTGGACACACTTAATGAAGGGTTTCTACAGCTTTACTGGCTAGTAATAGCACCGATAAGGAGGAGGCGACATCCCACGTCAAAAAGGACGGCACGAAGACGTTCTGATGGTTGGTACTTTACGCAGTGTTGTCTGGGGATATGCAGGTTGTACACTGGAAACTTGCGTCTGATTTTGTCGTCATCTCTTGTCCTTATCTTGCGCGTTGATAGCCAGGTTGAAAGACTGCTTTCATTCGTCGGAATGACCGGCAAGGGCCGAGTCTATCTTCACCAGACACAAAAGGTCATCATGCAGTGCATGTACATCTCCATTGCCCATGGGGATCGGCTCAGGTTGCCTTTAGTCCATATCTCACGATGACCAAGAGCGAAGTCTAATGAAGAAGTGGGAGACTCTCAAGACAGCTCTTGAGACGGACCCTGGCCGGCAAAAAGGCCGACTCTTGCTACAGACTCCGGCCCCTTTGACGAAATTTTGCAAGTTATCAACTTCCTCATCCGTTAACGTCTCCATTGAAAAGATCTTAATGTGCTACCAAGATGGCGAACCTTTGACTAAAGTACTGAGGACATGTCCGATCACTACCACGGCAATTCCATCTATACATGAAACAGCGGAGAAACCTTTATCCCCCTCGGATCATCTCGCCAATGTCTGACACACGTGACAGGTGATATATACGCAGCTTCTGTATTCGACATAGCCTCATCTCATATCTTTCATTTATTTTGATAACAGGGATCAATCACAGCCTCGCAGATCACCGCAGAACCAAAGCCGTTTCATGTTGTCAATACATCACCGCTCGCGTGAATGCATGATCAACCCTGGCCTTTATGGCGTCAACGGACTTCTACGACCCAAAAGAAGTCCTGATCGACTTGTCACTGTTAGGCCAACGGTGAAGCCAGCCATACAGAATGTCTCGTTGCGTCGAGATAAGGTAGCGGCCCTTGTAACAACGTCTTCAAATCTGATGTCAGTGGTTTGACGAAAATGTGGCAATTATCCAATCTACCACAACCCCAGCATCACACTATGCATCTCCGAGCAAGCAGTCGTCAGTGGGATTCTGCCCGTTGCATGTTATCATAAGCCACTGTGTGGAAGGTGGTAAACGAATGTGCCTCTATATAAACTCCCGTCATGCCCTTGACGAGTGGTAGGTTCCCTTCCGTCTCCCTTCCATGCTCGTGTTCAGTCTCGCTTGAAATCCTACCACCATGTCGGGATCTGTTGCAACAATCCTCCCAGAAGGGGTAGGTTATGGTGTTGTGGTGGGTATTGGATTCTTCTTCACTGCGGTAATGATTGGCATATCCATGCTACAGGTACTGCTGCCGCCATCGCCTATGACATACAATCCTAACCAGAACAGAATCGATACACCAATTTCTCCACCAGAACCAACGAAGAGTTCAACACTGCCAGCCGAAGCATCAAGCCAGGTCTCATCGCCGCGGGTATCGTGTCAGCATGGACATGGGCAGCCACCCTCCTCCAAAGCAGTACAGTCGCCTACGAGTATGGCGTGGCAGGACCATTCTGGGTAACCACAACACCTTCCATCTCCCTCACACCAATACTAACATATCCCAGTACGCCGCCGGTGCCACCGTCCAGATCCTGATGTTCTCCATCCTCGCCTGCAAAACCAAAATGAACGCCCCTCGCTGCCACACCTTCCTCGAGATCATTCAAGTCCGATACGGCGCAGTAGCACATCTCGTCTTCATCTTCTTCGCCCTGGTCACCAACATCCTAGTCGGTTCTCAATTACTCCTCGGAGGATCCGCCGTCGTCACGACCCTCACAGGCATGAACGTCTACGCAGCAATCTTCCTCATTCCCCTCGGCGTAGTCAGCTACGTGATCATGGGTGGTCTCCGCGCCACCTTTCTCTGCGACTACTCGCACACCCTTATCCTCATGATCATCATCCTGTACTTCATGTTTGAAGTCTACGCGACAGACAGCCTCATCGGCTCCCCCGCAGAAATGTTCCGCCTGCTCAAGAAAGCCGCCAACATGCGCCCCGTCGAGGGTAACCAAGACGGCAGCTATTTGACGCTCAAGTCCAACAACGCGCTCATCTTCGGCGTCATCCAACTCTGTTCCGGCAGCGGCACCGTCTTCCTTGACCAAGCATACTGGCAACGCGCCATCGCTTCACGCCCCACGACCGCCGTACGAGCCTACATCCTAGGTGGCCTAGCTTGGTTCGCCATCCCCTTCGGCTTCGCCACGACTCTGGGTCTCGCCGCCGTCGCATTGACCGACAACCCGGCCTTCCCAACGTACCCGAACCCGCCTACCTCCTCTGAGATCTCCGCCGGATTAGCATCAGCATTCTCAGCCAGCACCTTACTCGGCAAGAGAGGCGCCGTCGCCCTACTAATCACGCTCTTCATGGCCGTCACATCCTGCGCATCCGCCGAACTCATCGCCGTCTCTTCAATCCTGACATTCGACATCTACAAAACATACATTAAACCGTCCGCCACGCCCGCGAACTTGATCTTCATGGCTCACGTCAACGTCGCCGTCTTCGGCATGACCATGGCTATCTTCGCCATAATCTGGCACGTCATCGGTATTGACCTAGGCTGGCTTTTCTTGGTCATGGGGCTGATCATCGGCGGCGCCGTCTTCCCAGCAGCTTTCGCAGTGACATGGAAGAAACAGTCGCGCGCAGGCGCCATCTCCGGCGCGGTATGTGGTCTCGTCGCCGGCCTAGCAGCCTGGCTTGCCGAAGCCTATGTCTATTATGGTGAAATCACGCTCTCCTCCACAGGGTCCAATTACGCGACACTCTCAGGAAACTTGGCCGCCATCATGACCGGCCTCATAGTCAGTGTGGTAGTGTCGTTGATCAAGCCCGACAACTGCGATTGGAGCGCCACGCGGGCTCTCAATATGGAATCCACGGTGCCCATTCCGGGCGTCAACCCACCTCTGCGCGACCACCGAGCCGACTCGAACACAACACAGACCGGAGACATTGCTCAGGAAAAGAAATCTACCGACGACTCGCCGTCGCCTATGCTTGCTCCGACCTTCCCGCCCCCAGACGAGAAACACATTGCTACACGCATCCCATCGAATGCCAGCGCCGGAACTCGACGGGACTCGATTCGCATCGACGAGGAGCGACAAATGTCCTTCGACGCCGCGCTGGAATCCGATCCCAACGCTTTACGCTCGGCGTTCAAGCTCGCGTGCATCGCAAGCTTTGTCCTGCCATTCATCATGGACTTCTTGATCCCGATCCCCATGTTCCTCAGTCACTATGTCTTCTCGGAGCACTTCTTCACCGCGTGGGTGGTCATCAGTTTCATCTGGGTGTTTTCTTCGGCCATCATCTCTGTGGTCTTGCCCATCTGGGAGACCAGGACTTTCTTCACACAGTTGGCCACGGAGATCATGGCGGATATCAGGGGACGAAAGGGGACTGATTGATTTGCAGACAGGTATGAAGATCTGCCTGTATGGTAGATTTGTGAAATGTTGCAGCTAGAGCTAGACCTAGAGCTGAAACTGATAGAGTCGATGTTCATGCTCAGTAATAACGGGTTTAGCCTTCAACTGTTTCAATTATTCCTGTCTTTGCCACGCACACGGTGTTCGGTGTCAGCCTGACATGGACCCGGATGGACGACGGTATGCTTGGGCACTTTCCCATCCTGAAATGGTATCTGTAGTGCCACAGCCTCCACATCGCTAGGGTAGTAAGTCAAGTGGCCAGGCGACCTCTTGTCCGTGTCCACAGCAATGATGAGTGAATCGACCCCTGGGGTAATGTACAGTGACTCGGTGGGCTTGGGTAGACCCATTGACAATTCTTGCTGAGAAGGAAGATTCATGTTGTCATCGGCGGGGTCGTAAGTCCTTACGTGAGCGAGACCGGAGAGAAGAATAAAGAACCTGGCACCTCCTGTCAGTGACCAGGAAATTGACAAGTGGGTTGGAGTAATGTCGCGGATGAGACGGCCAGAGCCCACCACACGCAAGGGAAAATGAATGATGAAGGGAGACTCACATGGGATGTGGCGGTCGATGCCAGCCTTCTGCACTCCTCGGCGGGAGGACGACGTAGGTAGCGTTCGATGTGTCGCCGAGATCTAGAGCTTTTCCGACTGTAGGATAACGAATGAAAGGAGCCGCCAATGCCCAGCACTCAATTATTGCGTGATAAGGAGCCGTAGGACTGTTGACAACCGCAGAGAGGTATAGGGTAGTGTTGGATGAGGCATGCGGGAGGTTGCCATTTTGGGCAAGACCACCAAGGAAATGGAAGGCGAGAAAGGGACTGATGAGCAACTTTCGTAAGAGCATTTTTCATGCAATTTATCCTTGACGTCCTAAGACGATGATCGTTTCCCGAGGTGAGGCTGGGTACTGACTGAAAGAGTCATGCAAGATAACCATTGGAGGCGGAGTGTTAGTCTATCCGACCTGGCCGACGACTTCTCTTGGCTGGGATGTGCATATTGCATGTAGTAGACACGAGTGCCCTCCAAGTCGAAGTAGCATTAGCCATAATGGGAAGAACAGGGGAAGAAGGAAAATCATGGTCACATGCTTTAGGTTCTAATAGATTTAGATCTAGATACACAAGATACACCCATCTTTCCAAGACCGACTGCGCTACATACTTCTACCTGCTCTTCCGAGCTCGATATATAAAGATATGTAGCCGCCATATGAAGACAGCTCATGCCCTGCCTCAGTAATAGATATCTGTAAACCGAAACCTTGATAACCAAGTTTCTGCGCCAAAGGAGTGTGAACGCTTCGCTGTGCTGAAGTTGCGAGTCATCATCATCTGAATAGTCATTGATTCGTTCGAAGGAACGTCGTCATGGTCGTAAGTGGTAATAAGTAACCTCTTTTCCCACCCATATCTTTTTGAGAGAGAACCCTTTTATGGCGGCTGCCTTTTCTCTCTGTCGTCGATAACACCAGTCATAAAGCAACCCTGTTCTACCGGTAGTGCCGAGAACCCCAAGGATGTCTGTACAGAAAAGGAAAATACTGTACACGTCTTCGTCTTGGGACTGTACAGTTCATTTGTGGAAAAAGTCGATGAGGAATTTGCGGAGGTTGCGCTTGTATGGAGATAGGGATGGACTTCTTGGATCGATGCCTCTGTTGGGGCTGGTCATTGCCCGAGGACGAGCCACAGACATGGGACCGACAATCTCCCCGTCACCAAGCTCGGGGAATTTGCCGCTCTTGTCGTCAATAACAGGCAAAATGACTTTGGTGGCGGGCTTCTCCAGGACAGCGCTTGAAGCCGTGGAGTTCTGCATTGACGAGTCTCCATCACTCAGGCGAGCAAGGACAGGTGCCAGAATGGACCTCATCAGGTTGTGATGTCTCTTCCACGCATCATCCACCAAGGACCATTTCTCCTCGCTTAGCTTGTACACCTTGGACGTCGACCCGTAATGCTCGGCAGTACGGGAAATATGTCTGGCGTAGTTGGTCCGAGCATGATCCCAATTGTTACGGTATTCAGTATAAGAGTCCAGGTCAATCGTCTCCGGTGTATACGGTTCAGGATGAATGGTGAAGTTGGCGTGACCCAGTCGAACCGTCCAAGGGTCCAAGACATCGTCCAAGAGTTGCAGCGGTGGTATATCTAGGATAGGGCCGTTGGTCATCGTGTTGGTTCGAGACCTATTATGCATAGACACCATCGAGGGCTTTGTGGACAAAGGTGGAGACGGTAGGCACGACAGTGGCGCGTCGAACGAGTTCCGAGAGCTCATGATTGCAGATGTAGGAGCGATTGATGGTGATTGGAGAGGAGACTGAATAGGTTCCTCCTTCTTGCACACCTCCGCAAGCACAGGCGGCAGCAAAGGGGTAGTGGCTTGACATGGCTCTTCGTCCTCGTCTCCCTCAGACTCTTGCAGTGGTTCTGTGTGCATTTCGAATGAAGTCTGACTCGTGAGCGGCGCGACTGGTGACAAGGGCAGTAGACTTTCATGCTTGGAGATAACACTCATGGCAGGACTGACTATCTGTGAAGAATTGAGAGATCCAGACCGCGAAGCCGGAGAGTTGAGGTGTGTGATGATCGACAGCTGTGGTCCAGGTGCCGATCTGTTCTTCCAACGTCGTGATATCGAACCAAATTTGCTGCTGAGACGGTGGGCGTTGGCAGGCGCAGCAGCAGGAGCAGAGGTAGGCTGTTCCATTGACCGTCGTCGCTTGTACAGCGGTGGAGCTGCTGAAGAGGTTGAGGACCAGTCGTCCGCATCTCTCAAGGTCCATTCAGGTTGTATAGGAGAGCTTGGTGGGGATTGTTCAATATCACCACCGAAATAGTTCGAGAAAGCCTTGTCATAATCGGGGAAGTCGAAGCTTCCATCGTTGACCAAAGTGTATCCTTCGAACTCATCTCTTTCTTGAATCTCTTGAGGTTCCTCTGTCACATCTTCCAGCCTTTTGGTCGAATACATGTCGAAGGATTCGCGTGGGATCGGCGACGAGGTGATCGACGAACCCGAGCCGCGCGATGAGTGACCTTTGGAGAAGGTGGACTGCGTCGGAGATGACAGACTGCTCGAAGAAGCCGAGGATCGAGGAGCGCCCGGCGCAGTGGCATCGGCAGGATATGTGGTTGGAGTGGCCTCCATGTCGATCGATTGATTATCGTATGAGTATTATTTTTGTGGATTGAGCGAACGTCTGGGGAAAAGAGAAAGGATCCCTAGAAAGATGTATGCAAAGAATCGAAGGACAGCTGGGGACACGGGCGGTCCAAGTCGGTCAGGGTCGGACAGTTGCGCGCATGATGAATGAGTTGTTTTGTGTTTACAGGTCTGTGGTGTTTGTCTATGGGGGTTGAGGCCCAAGCTGTAGGCGAGAATGACAGGGCAGTAGTTGGTCCAGGATTGGTGATGCGGTGTCGTCAGTCAAGACCAGTTAGAGATCGGATCTGTATTGCGCAGTGTGTTCCATCAGTTCAGTGCCATGTGTACGAGTAAGAAAACAAGAGAGGGTGGTGTATGTGCTTGAGCGACAAGTCAGAAGAAGAGAAATGTATCGTGGGGAGACAGAAGTAACAGCAGCAGCCTTAGCAGCTTGAAGCGCAGCCCCAGTGTGAGTAGTGCAGTAGGTGCAAGCCATAGGCGGCGGACACAGAGAAAAAGAGTTCAAGCCCTTGTCAAGCGATTGAAAACTTGTGTGCCGTGGAGCTGGTTGATGGTGCGTTCCCCGAAAATCCACCTTCCAGCATCCCACCACTTACACCTCTTCTTCCTTTAACAACTAAACTTCCACAGGCATGGTTCCTCCGGGCATGGTGGCAGGGGTCTGTTGAACCTACTGAACCCTGCCCTCGCACTTTTTTTCTTTCTCTTGGCTGCACTGGCCGTCCCCCGCGAGGGTCAGAAACAGCCACTCAATCTCTCACTCTCAAGAACCAGAGTTACTTGCAGTCTGTCTGCTAGTCTTCCAGAGATGCCAAAAAGACCCCAAATGCGCCACCCACGACAAGCGACAGCAGCAACCAGAAAAACTCACCTGTGGTCGCTACCCTCCGAAGTTTTCACACTAATCCTACAAGTACTCTCTCGGCGCCCAATCATACGATCCGATCGTCCTTGTCCGTTTGACTCTGGTTTGGAGCCGACTTTTCGGTTTGAGTCTGTGCGGTGTTCCCACGAGACCGGCTGAAGAACAAATTCTGCGCTTGGGCCGACTGGTTTGGAAGAATAATATGGAGCAATTGCTGGGCGACTGAGTCAGTAGGGATCTATCCGCTCAGCTGGCTACCTTCTGCGACATGTCTGGCCTTTTGTGAGAGCTCTTCCCTTGTGATTCTCAACACGAGGTTTGCTGCATGCCATATTGACCATGACCATGACCTTTGTGGCTTATTGGCTTGCTGACTTGCGCTTTATCCGTTTGCTTCCCTACCCCTGTCATCGTCTTCTGCCGGCATGAAGACACAGACGATCAGCCAGCCTCACAACCAGAAACCATGCGCATGGCCGAGGCTAAAGCGAAGCACTACACCAGCCGGGCCTTTGCAGATGTTCTTCTCAATCAGTCCCTTCATTGCTAGTGACGGGCACCATGTGGCATGTTCCACTACAGAGAAAAGGCACACATTTGCATTCGCGGGAACCGCTTGTGTCTCAACGTTCTAGCAACGTCGTGGCACGGCGCTTGTGCCCTCTTCCGTGCCGCTTTGATGCTTCCGCCCGTCCCTCCAAGCACTAACCTCATGCAAGGCACCTAACAGACTTTGTGCCAGGCCATAAAAGCCACCTGCAGGAACGGTATCAAATATACTCTGACGATCACCACTCATTATTTCTATCTGACAAGTAATCGACCTGCCAAATACAGTCTATCCGGGACACCCTGGCCAACGTCCGCTACCACGGTGAGCTTACTATAGTGGCCTCGCTTGTTGTCGCATGGCAATTTAGCGCAACGAAACGATTTTGCTGCACGTTGAGAACCAGGATCGTCATCGTTTGGCTACGCTAACAGGAATTCTTATGCGATTGTTTATGCAGACGAAAAAATCGAAGTGACTTTTCCCAGCAGACTCGGTCAATGACGCAGACGATACTCGTGGATGCTTCAGCCGGCCTGTCAGTGTCGCTGTCAATGTCAGGTACACGGATTATCCGATCTTTCTACACCGGCAATGGCACTTGTGATGGCCGAATATAGGCTTCCGTTACTATTCTCATAGTCAATATTGCAGTCAAACGGCGCCCGCCGGCGGAACAATAGACGGAGAGGGCCAAATGATCGGCACTTTTAGTTGATTCTCTCTCAATTGGGCATTGGGTGCTTTGGAATTTGCTGGCCATTGGTATTCAACGCCTTTGCACTAGGCGTCGTTCCCTTCTCGACTCGAATTGCCGCTGTCAAAAAAGCGAAAGAGTCACAATACAAATTGACTTTTTTGCTCTCTGTACGTGAAGAGCAAGGGCCGTGATGGAAGATATACCCATAACACCAACCGCTTCTATGGTACCCATTCAGAATGCTGAAACACAAACATGAACTCTCCCACATGGACAGGCGAAAACTCTCTCCTAACCCTGGACAATTCTTCAAACCGGTACGAGAATTCTCCGTTTGCTTGTTGGGAACCCCTGCAAACCTTGGGAATGCAAAATGGTGAGCAAGCACAAGAGCAACATACCACTCATCTCTTGAGTTATCACGTCATGTCGAACACCCTGCTTGGCTTCTCAACAAGTTGCTACTATTTCTGTTATCACCTCGTATCTGATAAACGCTTTCCTGGGGAGGTTGGGGGCCACCGGTTTGCGGCCAAGTTCGATAGTCTGCAAGGGGAAAGAGTCTAACGACTGTCAACACCCTCTCCACTCCGTTGTCCGTTCCGATATCGATAAGAGTCAGTTAGTCTGGATGATTCCTCCGACTCGTCTAAACTTGGGTTCTCTACAGCCTATACCGACAGTTACTCTACAATCAACATTTTCCGCCAGAGACAAAGGTTTGTTGACCTTGTCGCCATGGCAGTGTCAAGGATTACAAGTCCGCCTCGGATATACCTAACATGTACTTTCGAGCGGAAAAATGCAGTCCCATGCGCATAAGACGGACATCATGCAATTTTCGCAACTCTCACAACTGCCGCAACATTTAACGAACAACCGAGCCGTTGATCGCTGATCGCACCGTTCAAGCCATCAAGCGCAGCCACGTTCTCAAGTCCAGAGCGCCGATCAGTTTTGCCAGCTGCCGCTTTTGCTTCTTACGACCGATGCGCAACTGCTTCTTGGGCCGTCTTTGCTTTCCCACTTGAACGACTCTACGTGTTAAGCGACAGCTTAACGAGGGTTCGGTACCAAGCGACAGTTACCTTACTAGTGAACTCTACCAATCGCTAGGTATGGACACACTAGGCAGTTGCTCTACTGTTGAAGCCAGCGCAGCAACATCGACGACGCTTACCATCAGCAACATGACAAGAACGCAAGTTTCGAGCTATCTCAAGTTAGGTACCAAGGCCCAAGTCCTTAGGGCCATACCAGCGCTAGACATGGGCATAATTCTCCGTACCTAGTCGACACTTGCCTAGTGTACGGAGCACCTTCTCTTACTCGTACGAGTGCTAGCTAGTCTTTCTGGCCAACTTGTTGCCTTGCCAAGTCGGCGAGGTCGGCAAAGCTAGCCACCATTGAAGACTACCAAGTATCTTGTACACTTCAATCGTGCGATCCTGCAGAGGGTACCAAGTATAGGGGTATTGAAGCCTTCGCCAAATCCTTCGCAGTAGTCATTTACTCACCCATTTACGTTGTCTTTAACGAGGCAAGCTAGGTGATGTATCAAGCATGTTGTGACGTTGAAACGACGTTATGCGACGGCAATTGATACACTCAGGGTCTTCTCAGATGTCGTCTCAGCCTTGCGCACGACCATCAATCGGTCTGTGCCGCCACATGGCCATGCTAGGCATCATGACCGAATACCACGAGGGCAGCGCTTTGACCGGTTGCGCACGAACCCTGCTACACGCAGGCATAACGTGGCGTGGACATGTCCGGTCAAGAGGAGAATTTATATATCAGAATATCTTGAATGCGACATACTGCGGCCATGACTCCGATCCTAGATTCTCGTCGCTCTAGTTAGTTTGCTGCAGAGTACTTGGCCGAGCATTCATTTCTATTTGGAATCTAAGCCAACAAGCTATCCTCGTCCGTCAGGTGATACTTATGCCCATATTGCCTTGTTCTGCTGGATCGGTTGAACACCATAGTCTATCGCGCTAAGTCAGCTGCACGACCTAGCAGTGATGAACTGGCAGAATAAGACCGGGACCATTATGGTGTGCAATAGCCAGTAACACAATGTAGCGCCGCTGCTGGGACTCCAACCCCCTCGACTTCCGTGCCGTCCAGGTTGACTTCAATCCAAGCCATCCTCCGGAGTCCTCCTTAATGCACGGAATCAAATCCTGTCGCCGTGGAGCTATCTCAAGTGCTCCTGAACAGAATCCCTTGTGGACCTCAATCCAAGGCTGAAAGCGGTCTGATGCCTCCGATGCATAACAAGTGTATGACATACCTGCCGGTGAAGCGTAATTTTGTCGCTATCAACGCAAACGCCAAGGACAGGGTATTCGGTTGTTGATATGTTCGTTCGATCGAGTAGCAACCCCACCAGGCCATCCGCTTGCAGTTGCGATGAGTCTTCAAAAGTTGAACCCGAAAGAGTAGTCTTTCAAGTGCTTCTGACTCGGTACTCCGGTTGTGTGGGACCACTCGACGACAAGTCATCCACATAACTGCTGGTTTAGGACCCTTTGCCGTTCCGTTCGAGACGCTTTGATCTTCAGGGTCTGGGTGCCCAGATGGAGGTCCACGGCGGTCTTCAAGATACGCTGGCTGATGTTGGCGCACGGGCCAGTCGCACCACCTGCATATATTTCGAGGTTGCGGAGTATGCCGTGATGGAAGCTTTTTCTGCGGTAAGCTGTCTGTCGATGCGGTGACCTCTTTCAGAGATGTTGTTAGTCGTTCGATATCTCGTCTGCTTCATGTCCCATTTCTTCATGAGCTTCTCGTTTTCCGCCGACCAGAACAGTGGTATTGGTCGACTTTCAAAAGTGGGTAGGGGAGATCCCGTATTTGAGTGTGGTGAGAATACCCATATCGTCTGGAAATGTTCTTTAAAGCATGTCCAACTTGCAATGTCGAGGTGCAATGTCTACTTAGTTCGGAGACTGAGCGCAAGTATGATAATGATTCTCCGGCGTTCATGTTGAGAATTTGGAGACCCAGTATCTGGACCATAAATTCTTCTGCTCATCAGTACCCTTGAACTATGATTCGAAGAGCTTATCAGTACACCGACGGAGTCCAGAGGAGCTAAGAGAGACATACCTCGAAATCGACCTTGTAGATGTCTTCAAACCCTTCTTTGAGGGATGGGTCTTGAAGTCGTTGCATGAAAGACCTGAAGGCTATACCTGGTAACATGGTACGTTTCTCAGGGTTCATCTGTACTTGTCAGTCTTCCTCAAGTGAGATCGACCTCTCACATGACCACATACCGTGTTTGAGTTCAAGGCTCTGACAGCATCATTGTGCTCGGCCAGGCGCGAAGTGGCCGTGAAGCGGACGCATCGGATAGGCACATTGTATTCTCGAGCAAGGTTGATCCAGTATCTTCGAGTTTCAATATCCGCATTCGTATTATCTGTCAATGCGTTAATGAGCAAATCCCCATCATGAAATCGCATCGACATGTGAAAAGCTTGACACGTCAGGTGAGGATGGGAACACAAGCGAGGATGGTCTGGTCGGGCAATGCAGTCTGTGTCCAAATGTCGATATCAAATCTGACACCGACATCTGAATGCATAGTTGATAGACTGGGGAACCTGGAGGCGGGGAAGTGGGAGATGCAGCTGTGTGTCTTGCAGTATATGACATGCCGGTAGGACAAGATTGAGACTGCGGTTGGTTTGACATGTACAGGCGGCAAGGACGAGGCTTGTTCCCGTGCAGAAGGATTGGTGTCACCCCAGAAAAAAAGGGGTGAGAGGGGTCGTCCCACCACCAAGATATCTGAATGTGGAGGGGAGCTGAAGCACATGTCTTGGAGCAATGAACGTTGTACATACCGACAGCCACAGACAGACCTGCGTCCAGGAACTCCCTGGCCTTTTTGATGCATTTGTCGCGCTGTATGAAAACACATGTCTTAGCCTGAAACGATTCTCCATGATATGCAGGGGCGCAGTGCATGGCTAGATGGACAAGCCAGCAAAATGCGTGCGACGGTCTCGGTCGAGTGTCTTGAATAGTCATGGGGTGTCGCATACCGTTTTGAGGATATCTTGGTTCACCCTCTCATAGCCCAATGGCTGTAGCACATCCCAGAAGAAGGTGCTCTTGCCTGCGCCTGGCGAGCCACAGAAGATGACCAATTCTTGGGGGCTGTTCTTCTTGAATGGCGCAATTACGGTGCCGTGCTTCGATGCGGTCTCAGATGAACCGATTTGAAGGTATCTGACAGGCTCGAAGACGTGCTCGTAGGATTCCGTGATTTCATTGCGAAAGAACTCTTCTGGTGTCTGAAATTTGATGCCAATATTCGCGGCCAGGTCTCTGATCGATGATGAGTGAGCGCCAAGTCAATAGCATGGCAGGTTTATTACCTGTCAGAAGTGGCATGGTCTTTTTTCCTCTTGTCAGTCTTCTCCCTTCCGGCAGCGTCACCAATGTAAAAGGAATTGGCAAGATCGACTACACCTTCGACGTGCAGGTCATAGTCCTCGAGCATCTCTTCCCACATGCCAGTGCGAGGCTTTCGGTATCGGTCTTGCGCAGTTGCCGCATAGAAACTGACCGGAAAGTCAAGCTGTTTGAAGACCGCAGCAATTTGGCTTTTGAGGTTGCCTAAGCTTGCAGTATCCTTTTGAAGACTTTTGGCGTTGTCCTTGAGGCTGATGTTTCCTTGATTGCTTAGTACGACAACAATATAGCCCTCGTCATACAGTTGCTTTAGTCGACCAGGAACTGATGTGTCGAACCATCTCCAACTGGTCGCTGATCGTGCCCATTTGCTGCCAATGTTGGGCATTATGATGGTGTCGTCGAGGTCGAAAGCGGCGATCTTGACGCGCAGCGTTCGGGTTTCAGGCGGTACATTTGGTGCATCATATCGACCGACAATGAGACTGTTGGCAACAATTCGCCATGTCAATTTCTCCGGCTCTTTCTGAGAGACGGGCTTGAAGAAACTCGCCACTGCTTTATCTGACGTCTAATCAGTATACATGTTCGTAGAGTGGTAGTGAGCATACTGGTCGTAGTTGATTCAATCTTTCGCTTGACTGCTGGTGGAGATATTGAGCCTCGCGGTGGCGGTGCTGATCGCTTCATGGCGAGTGATCTGGCAAGAATACTACCATCAAAGATTGGGAATCGACATGAGCGTGAGGGGAGATAAGCCCAGCTTCGTGAGGCTGGCCATAAGCGAGAAGCCAGATCCAAAAGTGAGATGGTGGCCTGCCAGAGAAGTTACGATTACGCTTGTACGATTTGATTAAGTGGTTGCATGAAGTTTGTTTGATGAATTTCTTTGATCGAAACGCGCCTCGAACGCGTTGCTGGTTGACGTCATTTTGTGCGTCACGTGAATGACGATGACTCAGCAATCTTCTCTCCTTTCAGGTTCTACGAGCAGACACTGGCAATCTCGTGTCCAGTGCGAGTCTATCACCAGGTGTCAAATCCACGGCCTGCTTGAGGGCCTCCTTGATTGCTAATAATTGTCTTGATGCTCTTTCCTTCAGCTCAGGATTGTTCCCATCCACCACATCGATCGATGCTTGAACTATATATCCGCCAGAGCCATCCAAATCTTGGAGCTCGGAGATATTTGAAAGGAAAGACCGGTCGCTTATAGCCTCTTCAGAAGACACTTGCGGAAGACGAAGCACCTTGTGGACAAATAGCGTGGTGTCGTGGTCATAGAAGCGTGAACCGACGACTAGATATCGAGAAACGTACCTGAAATAAAATTATCAGCTTGGCCTTCAACATGATACAATTGTACCTACTCGTAGTCGAAGGCTGCCAGAAATCCGACCAGGTTTCCTTCTCCTAGTGGTGTCCTGGAGATCAGTCGCGTACTTACGGCTTGTTTGCCGGCATCTGGGGTATCTTTGAAATCGAGCGTCCAATTCACTGTTGATTTGTCGGGATTGGAAACACCGTTACCATTGGTCATGACGGTATCGCCATTTTGTACCGACTCTGGTTGATTCTGCATCACCTCACCGATGACCTGGACATAGTAGATGCCAGCATTGAGCATGTTCTTGATCTTCAGAAGGTCTGGCCCCAAAATCCCCTGAGATCCTCCCGCAGAGGGGATCTGATCCAAGCCGGCAGGTGGCCGAGCTTTGAAAACCAGGTGGATCTCAACCGTATCTTGCGGTTGCATGCGAGTATATCCAGCTAGCTGCTGCAGCATCTGGTGGTGGTCATCTCTGGCAACTTGACCATAAAGGGCGAATTCATGCATGTCGTTAAACCGAATAGGGGAATTCAGCCTGCAGGCGCGAGGACCGCCAGTAGACACTTATCCAGCTTCTCAGGTGGACTTGACGGTTTTCGATGATTCGGAAGACGTGGAGTGTTGGTCGTATCAGTCATGAGACGCATTGCCTGAATATGCCGTGGTCGGTACTTCGGGGTAGTCGTGTACGGGGGAAAGTCGTCGTGCAGTTTGATGCGATGGTCCGAAATCGCAACGATATGGTTGACACGGTATCGTTGACGATACTGATGTCGCTGCTCCCCAGGACAAGCTCGTGCCCCTGATCAGGCGTATATAACAGGCATCACACCACTAAGCCATCCCCTAATCCGTATTCAAGACGCGTTCGAGGTTTGGGGACGAAAGGGAGAAAGCCTTGCCATGTAAAATGCATGAATGGCGCTAAAATGATGCAATTCTCCGCGACGCCGAGCTCCGAAAGTCGCTTCAACGTTCGTTCGGTGTCGAGCTCCTCTTTGGTTCCTTTACGCCCTTCAACACCAGCCAGACGCTATTGCAAAGACGGGCAAAGACCTCTTCGAATTACTTGTTTAGGCATCGTCTAGGTTCACTGTACACCCGAGAGCGATAAGATAACTTTTTCTGCTCACAGCTTCCACACCTTCGTACACGTTCTACCTCACAAACCTTTACCCTACAAATCAGCAAAACTCCACCAGACCGTTCGTCCGGACCAGGCCGCTTGAAAGACGACTTGCGACTCGCTACCACACCACATATCAAATTAGTCGCTGTACGTGGAACAGACTGGGAAATTGTACATCTCGCCTAGGCCTTCTATAACACCCCTCCCCCTCGACTGCGCAGTAGCTACCAAGTGAACGTTCGAAACCTCTCCCACTGCCTGCGCAACGACGTTTCTCTCAACACCGCCCCTTGAAGACTGCATAAATCATACGCGACGATGCGACCAACACTCGTTCTTCGCGCGACTCAACACCGCACTCCGCTGATCAAATTCATCGGCAAGAGAACACCCCCAAGTATGTCCAGCACTTCTACAGATTTCCTCGTTAACAGCACGATACTGACACTTCAGCAGAACAAACAGATCACACCCCCAAACCTCACCCAGCCTCTCCCACCCACAGTCTCCCCGACAGCTTCGCCAACTACCGCTCCAAAGCCCAACAACACGGTCCTCTCGGCGGCGGACAGAATGGGACTGGGAACAATAGCTCAGCCCCCATATCCTCGACGCCCTTCGGTGCAGCAAGCTTGGGCGTCATGACGTACGGTGCCGTCGGCGGCAAAGCAGGCCGTTCCTTAGGCTCAGTTCAGCCAAAAGAGGGTGAATACTTTGACAGAAACGAGCTTCCCAGACGGTTCTGGCGGACCCAGTGGTCGGAAGAGGAGATCGAAGCAGTCACCAGTGGAGGCGCGAGTATGTTCGGTTGAGGGAACGGCAACTTTTGAGATTTTCAGAATTTGATATCGGGACGAGCTCTCGATGTGAACAGCCTCCGCGTAGAAATCTCGAAGAAGCTTTGGACGAGATGTGTACCGAACCCAACCGAGCAGGCGGATAAGATCTCATTCCGAAACGGCATGCAACGCCCTCCAGCAGATATCACCCCGAAGTTTTTCTCACCCAGCGTTTTACGGCGAACGGAAGGCGAAGATCTGTTCCCCAATTCGAGGAGCAGAGGCACACTCTAGCGGACTGAGTGAGACATGACTCGGGCAGATTTCTACGTGTTGGTAAGCGATCTGCTTCATGGAAAGAGCCGAATAAACACTTCCCCAGCCATGTCTGCAGAACTCTCTGCCTAGATGCCCCCATACCGAGCGAGCTACAGACAGATGCCTGAATATTATACATAGTAGCGAGTGGTTTTGCTAGCCAGAAAAGCGGAATATACATGATTTCATTTCATTGTCCAGAAACATATTCACGTTGCTCCAGATTGATCACTACGTCGAACACTCAACCATTGCAGACACCTTGCGTATGTGTTTGCAGCTGAGAGGCATTCCAATCAAGTCAAGAAACCACACCAACACGTCCAACACGGACAGATCAGAATCTGGCAGCGACAGTGGTGCGATTGTCTTATATTTGGATTGCGAACCATCCTCATCTTCGGTGATCGAGTTATGTCTATACGTGTCTGAAACTCTTGTTGCTGTAAGCCATACCCCATGTCACATCCATGTATACATATGTCCTGTCTGTCCTTTTTACGTTTCTCGTTGCCTGGTTATACATTTGCGAGGACCAGCCTCATTCCTGTTTCCTGTCCATGCCCTGTTGCGCAAAAATGCATATACCATACACATACACATATCCCCGGACTGAAAATATCATGTAATCGTCGTACCGCCTCTTGTCCCCTCCATTTTGTACATTCGAAGCTTGACCATCTCACCATCTTCTGCTAAACCTGCTCAAAATGCTCCTTGATCGGCTCCTCGTCTTTTCCACAGGTGCAGTATCCTGTTCTTGTTCTCGAAGCATATCTTCCAACCCATCGATCCCACCACGAACGCCCACACCGACGCGAGACTGACTCCGCGAAGGAAGGGCCGAACCAGCACGGGTGTCTTCAGATTGCCGACGCCGCGAGATATCAGGCGGTGGCAGGGCTGCATCTTCGTCCTCCTCTTCGTTGGGCACTGGTTCTGGCGCAACACTTCGCGCCACACTTACTTGCGATCGACCAGCAGCAGGTGTTGTTCCCAGGTGCGCAAAGCTACCATTCCAGCCGGTAGGCTCGACGGAGACTCGACCCCAGCCTTCTTCACCGAAATTGGCCGAGTTTGGAGTCTGCACACTGGGACGTCGGCTGGACAGGATTGATGCCGCAGGTGACTTCGTCGTCGGCTCCGGCGTGTGCAAGCTTCGAGAAGATCTACCCACCTGAGATGTTCTAGCTAGCTCCGATGACGACCGTAGTCTTTGCCGTTGCTGCTGCAAGAACTTCTGCGGCGAAGGCTTGCCCTTGATTGGCAAAGGTGTGGTCGACCGCGAGACGTTCTGTACATTCAGCCTGGCCAATTCCTGTGGATCTCTGATCACGGACGGCGTTCCGAAATACGGCATCGGGTTCACAGGTTTGCGAGGAATGCTCATACTCGAGCTTATTGAAGGAGACCGGAGACCGCGCTCTGAAGTAGGAGACGGGAGACTTTCAACCGGATTCCTGGACTCTGGGCCTCGACTCCTGGACAGTGCTGGTCGTTGCTGACTGATAGAGGAGATGCGTGATGCTCGACCAGTACGATCTGGAATTGAGAACGATGGACTGATAGGGAATTGGCCTGACATCGGACTTATGGGACTCTGCATGCTCACTTGAGCAGGCGCAACGTAGGATCTTGGTTCTGGCTCGGGTTGGGGCTCGGGCTCGGTGACATGATCGTGAGTCGATCTATAATATCGTTGGTTAACGTGGACATACCCAGATGACGACGTGTCGTGCGAGAGATAATCGTCCGGTTCGGCTTTATCAGAGAACCCCGAGAAGTCGGGCTCTTGCTCGGCATTCGAAATAGTCGTCCAGGGAGTAGCCGAGCCCGGTGAGTAAGGCGACCCTTGAGGCAGGGGACTCAATAGCTCATCTGGCACATCGAACAATGGCTTATTCTGTAGCGAGCCTGTTCGTCTTAGAGTCCTGCGTTCCGGTGTCTGCATCGGGAGGGGCGAATGTCTTTGCAAAGGAAGGTCGTGGGCGGCATCGCTATTGTCGATGCCTGTAGGATACTGCCTTGACTGCCTGTTCGGTATTTGGTTTACGTGTTGTGAAGTCCTCCTCGCTCCATTACCCTTATCTGGAGCGCCCTGCCTGTTCGATTTCGGAATCGTCTGTTGTGAAGACCTTCTCGGTCCATGCTTGTGGCGTGAAGCGCTCTGCAGCTCTGCCAGTTCCATTGCGAAATCAGGCTGCGGGGCTGTCCTCTGTGGCCTTGGTGCAACCGACACAGGTCGTCGGTGCAACTGACGAGCAGATGCCCGGAGCTCCTCATGCTCTTCATCCGAGGAATCGATGAAGCTGGTCGCACTTCGATCGAGGGAGTTACTCGAGTCCATCTTTTGCGCTGGAGGTCTAGTCGGTTTAGCGTGAAAAGCTGGTGACAGAGATGGTGGGTGGCTATTAAGCGCAGTTTGTTGCTGTGAAATTCGGCGCTGTGTTGGCGGAGCTGACCCATTGACCCGTGGCGACAGGTCTAGAAATTGCTGGATTGAGAGCAGCGATTCGGTGCCAGGAGCCCTTATCCGCGCACTCGATCTCTCAGGCGTCTTGATGGATGGTCTCTGTTGCACATCGTTTCTTGGTTCAATAGGTCTGCGAATTGGCCTCGAGGTGTTCGCATTTTGCTGTCCTCTGGGCTCTGGATCAGGTGATGTAAGTGCAAGGCCTTCGAGATCTGGTTCAGGTGAGGTCTCCTCCACGTTTGGTACAAACTCGGGAGCTCCAGCGAAAGGATCGAAAGGACCGGATAGGCGAAAATCAGGCGATGCGCCGCCTTGAGGTTTGGCAACAGACAGACGATTTTGGGAAGCATCATGTCTGACGGCGTCCTTTCTCCTTGATTTCTTTACATATTTGTCGACGATTTTACCAGTGGCCGGATCTGCGACCGGACCAAAATAAGATGAAGATTCATGCTTCTTCGATATTGAGTGCGACTTGTTATGTCGGTTCGTGCTTCGTTCTTCCCGAAAAGCAGATTGTGCGGTCGCGGGTACAGTCGACTTTGTTTTTTCCGGACGAGGAGGTGGTTCTTGCTCGTAAACGTTCACAGGAGTAGAAGACCCGTTACTCCCATTGTAGTCCCAGTCCTGATAGCTGGGTGAATTGATGATGCCCTGGCTGGAATAGCTTGCCAGAACAACGCTATGCGAATACTTGCTGGGCATTTGGATTCTGATATGTGCGTCATGACACGGCCAATTCGAAACCATTTACTACCTGGTCGTTGATCGAAGCTGTGGAGGAAGAAACGAAAGGCAAGCTGCTGAGAAGAGAGCGAAAAGCAAGAATTCCCCTCCGTTATGCAGGGCCTGAGACCACGCGCGGCTGCTACCGCCGCTGCATATGGTTTACGGGCTCTTTATGTCAAACACAGCAGGGAATGGACATGAATGCAAGAGTTGTGATCAGCCGCAGGAGAAACAAATTAGGGGGTTGAATGATAAATGTGGGATATCAAATGTACCAAGTCGATGGGAAGAATCCGTCAAAACAACGCCGGTGGTCGGTAGACAAGATGTCGGCGTCATGATGCAGAATATAGACAGTTTGGGAGGGGCAGATGGACGATTTTACCGGGGAAGCCCCGATGTCTCTGGTCTTTTGGGGTTGTCAATCGAAGATCGGACGGGCGGACAACAAAGCTGTCAGACATCAAGATGAGATGGCGTGTCTGCTAAGCACCTGGCTAGGTGTAAGCGAGCACGACGATTGAGGTAAAATTCCTGTGGAAGCTTGGAATCAGGTTTCCCTGGGTTTCCTCGATGGAAACAAGCCAAGAAGAACGAAGAATAGAAGAATGCTGGAAGACTGGAAGACTGGAAGACTGGTAAGCGAGACCAGTCGAGGCGAGGCGGGTGTGGCTGTTTGGCCAGTTTCAGATTTCATCAGGGAATCAACGTGACTGTTTGTTGATTGGTCGGAATGTATCTTGTGGCTTGAGCCTAGAATGAGGCGGTGGCCCGTAGTCTTGGCACACTCCTCAGCCACAATTAGGAACATTGGAAGAGGAGTCGTCGAGGTCGTCCTCGCAGACTCGTGAACCTCATTTTGATATCTTGATAGCTCGTCACTCATGGACCCTTATCCTTTATCAACGTATACTGTCCCTTTGTGGAAAAGACGCCCAGCATAATGACAACATCAGAAATCAATAAAGCATCATCATCATAACGGTTCCGGTATGCAGATCCCCCATAGATAGTAAGAGCCTCACAATGATCGTCAGTCCTTGCACCGCTCCGCACCGCAGATCAAACGCTTTGGTCAGAGTTGTCTTGATCTGGCAGTGGCATGTCATCTTTCACATGTCTGGTATACGTATCTTACTATTCTTGTTGCATGTCAACGTCAATGCCCCATCCCCAGATATATCGAACACAGCAATTGATCGACACTTATCAGAGTTATCAAGTCACCGGGGTAATCAATCGAGGTCAGTTAGGCGGAACTTGCCATCTGTACTTTGTAGACGTAGCCTCAGCCTCGATACCTACACTCTTCAGCATGTCTTTTCATATTCATTTATTTTCCATAACAACATAACATCACCCCATAACCACAACAGCATCAATAAGTCCGACACTGTCAGTCCATCTCATACCTAGGTAACAGCTGCCTCAGCCGCTACTAACCGACCCCGGAACCATTTCCGTACTCTTCCTCCCTGCGGGCCGTGTTCTGGCTCGGTGCAGTCCGTGCTCAAAAGTCCCATCCTCACGAACAATGGTACAGTAAGTCCTACTGGACACTGACTGGTGACACACTGCTCTCCAGGCGTAAATCGTTCCCAACCTAGGTCAAGTGAATAGAAAACCCTCCAGACTAACCAGACTGGGGCCAGGGCTCGCCGACTACGACTGGTCAGTGGCAGACTCGTAGAGACGGGTCGACAATGACCTCGACCTCGACCGCATTCCCCATCTCCTGCAAGCAAGCGAGGGAAGCGGGCAAGACCCTGACACTAAGAGAGCGCCTCAACGGCGACTACTCATGGGCTACGTTCTAGCTCGTCAAAATCCTCGTAGAAAACCACCGACGATGGATCGACGATGACCTCGAAGGCGTCGAGAGGTGCGCCAACACCTACCTACCTGCAGTCCGTGATTCAGTCTAGCAGCTTCTGGATCGCCAACTAGCTTCGTTCAAGCCTTCTAAGAAGTCTTGGTTACATACGCCCTAAAGGCAACATGACGTGCATAGACCCAGGTTGGGAGCGCGACGATCCATGGTATTAGTACTGTGGTAGATGAGTTCGTCGCGCAATGACCACGTCCCGAACCGTGATGTTTCTGGGTCAATATCAGATGGACCCTGTGGCTGGGGGTGTTATGAACAACGACGCACGAACATTCACCTTGGCCCGACGGGTCACGGAGTTTCCTGATAGTAGACTTACGGAAATCGTGATCCAGAGTTCAAAAACCGCGGGCAACAGGAATGGTACAGTGGTAGACAGGTCTAGGCATTGAACCTTGAATAGGTACCATTAGGTGTTATATCGCTCCACCAAGAAGTCCATCCTCCACCATGATGTACAACTCTCCAAAGCCTTGCCACCGGACTTATTTTCCCACATCTCCAGTCTGTCAATGGCAGATCATGGCCCTCAACACATGTCCCCCTTTTCAAAAGTCCCTATTCAATTCTCTCTGAGTGAATGTTGTCGATCGGCGTCAGGTAGAAACCACATTGTCGGTGTCAAACCTCAGAAATGATGCTTCTCACAAGGACACCCAAACAATTCCAATCCCAACGCCTCATGCAATATCGTATCTCGTGACCGCATTGTAGACCTCAATGCTAACTGACAATCCATGTCCCGTAAATGCTGTGCCCTTTTTCCCAGAGACTCCCAAGCCTTGCATGGCTCCCATACCCGAGTCGTAGTCCATGCTAAGTCGACAAAGAATGGAAAGAATCGCTTCTTGCTTATTCCTCGAATGAGCTGCCGATTTTCTTCTTCCCTCCAAAGATTTTCATGGCTTTTTTCCAACCTCCACTTTCGCTCCGTTGCGTTTTGGCTACATGGACAGCTGCTGTGCCGGTGATATGACTCATGCCGCTCATGCCCATATCGCTCGTAGGCGGTGTCGTAGGAGGTGTGATGGCAGGATCTTCCGCACCAGGCGGACTATCAGGTCCACTGCTGTCAGTCAACGCACTCTCGGACGTTCCTGACATGGCCGAAGAGTGTGATAGATGGGTAGACAGCCGTGAACCGCTTTGTCGACTCAGTGCTGTGGAAAGTGCGGAGGATTGTGTCGAGGTTCGCTGTTGAGGAGGTGACCGTGATGGCTCGAATGTGACTGCTGACGTGTTTGGCGGGGACCGTCGCCGCCGCGACGGTTGGTGATGAAGCATTGTGCGATCATCAAAGGTCAATCGCGGTGGTTCTGACTCATGCATATACTCCGACATGGTGTTGTAGGTCTGAGCGTACGGGAGCTGTTTGAGACTGTTGCAGAAGGGAATAAAGATCGACTCGGACATCAGATCGTACATTCGTTTGACAGCGGCGTCCAGCAATTCTGGCCGAGGAGGTCTCACCTCGCACGGCAGATCCACCAGATCATCTCGTTCTTCGGCTGGAAGGTTGATTTCTCGAGGGGCACCTGGCTTGACGTAGATGTCCATGATTCTTGTCCAATCTTGTATCAGCTCCCATCCTTCGTGTGTGTCGACGGTGATGGGCATCCCTGCTAAGCTGGCTGCAACATCATCGTATTTTTCGGCGTATCGCTTTGCTTCGGTGGTAAATTCCAGTGTTTCTAAACAATGTTGCTGTGATAAGAAGGCTGTATATGCGGCCAATGTGTAAGGTGATGGTGCTTTGTTGTTGAGTACATCCTCCAATGTCGGTCTGCCCGGAGACATGATGCCCTCCCTTCGAGCCGCCATGCTAATGGGGCGAGCCCGGGGCATTTCTTCGTCGCCCGACATGGACATGGTGAAATCTTCCTGTATGTCGTCCAGTGGATATACCGTAGGCTCTAGACGTGGCGACGGTTCAGGTGTGAATGGCCAGGTTGATGATATGGTTGATTTCTTCCTGATCATTGCGCTAGACTCTGGACCGGTGCTGGTCTCTGCGAATTGATGTGTTCAAAATGAGGACCCGGGCTACTCAGCGTGTCTGCTACAGGCCTGTCGAATTATGTCTTCTCCTCCCTCTCCGTTCAGTGTTCAGAAAGAGCACCTCATAAATTGATCCGAAGGGACCGATTGCGGTATATTCGCCGTATGTATCCGAGACTCTTCCGTGAGCAAGCTTCGTTTTGTACCACAGAAGGATGCTGTGTAACACCTAATATTCTGGTCTGGACGTTAAATGCACGGTTGCGCTCGGGAAACTGCCGTTGGGAATGAAATGCAGCGGTTGAGGTAGGGCAAAGATTGAGGTATTGTATTTCAGTTCGTAAGGCGTCGTGTGCTCGATTCGATTGATGCTCTAGAAGCCTGTCAAAGACGTGGTTGCGGTGACGATGAAATGTCTTGAGCAGCCAAGATACAAAAAGGCTGTGGCTTGTCGGGTATGATGGCCTTCTTCTCAATCGGATGAGATTCTGTCGATCCGACGTTCTTGGAAAGAGCGACTAGTAGAGGGTAACGAGCGCGGATGTGGTTCGAGCACGAGCATTCGGTTAATTGGAAAGGGCGGAGGCAGCGTCCAGCGTATAGGCTATATTGCTGCGTGAGATCAAGGAGGCCCGAGCACAGTCATGGCGTGGAAAGGGATTGTTGTAGTCGTGCGTGCGGTAGGTGGTGGGTGCTCCTAAGGTGACCAGAAGGAATCTGAGAAAGTGGAAACCGTTCGTTGAAATGGAGAGGAGGCTTTCTTGGACAAGGGAGTCAGGGCGTTAGGTAAGAGTCATGGTGGTTCTGCGTTTCTTCAGGCAGAGTGAGAGTGTGAGAGGGTCACACTTGAATGGGTACGTGGATGGTGGAGTTGCAGTCGTACAGAGTGTATAGTCGGTGGATAGTGTGTGCACAGAGGAGCGAAAAAAGAGGACCGAGGGAGGGTACGCCTTGTTCAGTCGGGGGCGGTCGTTTCGAAATCTCTCTTTCCCTTTTCCACTTTGTGTGCGGCTTCCACGATGACAGTGGTGGACCGTCTGATTGATGCCTGGGGGGCCAACGCTTGTGGCTTGTTGTGATGTGGATTGGATGAGTGCGATGTTGAGCTATCCAGCAATGTGCGGTCACCAAGGAAAAAGAGGGAGGGCGAGTGAGGAAACAGGGCGCAGGCGACCAGGCCAGGCGCAGGCACAGGCACAGGCTTTGGCGCCGTTTGTCTTGAGAACATAGGCTCGCACGGGCTGCAACGCTGGCCACTAGCTTCTGCTTGAACCACCACTAGTTGAGGGCTTGACACTTGGGGATTGGCTACAGACCTGGCAGATGATGATCAGATCCAAAAGACTAAAATGATGCCACAAAAGAGGGGACGCCGTAGATAAAACCACAGAAGGATGCATAAGCAGCATCATCGATATACGCAGGTTGATTTAGGGCTGGCTACCCATCTAGGTAGCTGGACTACCTCATAACATAGGTATTGACAATCGAAGATCAAAAGTAGGCATTCTTTTGGATGCGGAATGAAGCAGTACACAAGGGTCACAAAGTACAGATTTATTAATCTCCAGGCACACACCCTTATCAGGCTCCCTCGTGCAATCTGACAGTGGTGCCAATCACTTCCGTCATCTGAATGTTGATCTTTGATCGCTTGTCCTTCCAGGCGTCTTCCACTCACCTTCCACCGCTTCTACAATGTTTCTAGGCGTCTTCTGCCCCATCGCTCGGACTTCTTCTACGCGTCTTCCAGAAATTATTTACTCTCCGAACAGGCCACCAGGCTGCCATGATTCTGACCACTGGTTTTTGCCTTCTGTATTTTGGTGACATCTCCGGGAATTTTCCTTCATTCTCATTACCACATCATCGCGATTCTTTACAGCACGTATTCGGTCAGGCATATACGAAAATATCAAACCATGAGACAATTGAATCGGACATGTCCTCACAATCCTTCATTCCTCCAGTCTCGTGCCTGAAATTTTGCTAGTCTCACCTCACCTTTGCCATCGTATTATTATACTGACCTCTGATGATCATGGAGCAATATGAAATGCGGAGATCTTCGGTACGGCAGTGCAGTATGCACAAGTCTCATTGCTTCCTCCGGCCCGCCACCGGAGGGCTGAAACTTGCACTAACATCCTTGGACAATTCGAGCGCAGGCTCACTACTGGCTTACAGGAATGCAACTCACACCTTGTCCCGAAGACGGCTTCCCATTCGCTTGTGCTTGCACATCGCCTTTCTACTGTATATTGCGGACGCCTCAATGTCCCAGGGACTTCCAGCGAGAGTGGTGCAAGAAAACTACAAGTGTCATGGCTTGACGAAAACGTTACAGTAATTGTTTGCCATTACTGATCAGGCCATCAATCACGAATAATTGCTCTCAATATTCCTGCTGTCGTGGAGAGCATCAGTCAGCTGCAACGTGGTCAAATTTGGCAGGTGGCACAACAACCGCCTAATGCTTCTGTGGCTGCAGCGCCTGCCAAAACATGTCTTTGGACTACTTAATCTGGCGTTTCGCCGTGCGAAGAACAATCTACGTGTCTTCTGCGAGATATGAAACAGGATACTTACCGCGATACTTTCGCAATGTTGTATCATTGACCATACTTAGGTATCCTCTTGCCCCGTAACGATCGCAGATCTTCTGGGATGAATCTTCCATGCCATCGCTGACTCCACCGATGGGTCCATGCTGAAAAAGTACTGTCGGCAGGTCAGCGACGAGGTGTCCTTGCTGCCACGCAAAACAGGAAGGTCGTCAAAAAGAACAATTCTTCATCCCCACTGATGGTCACTGTTCGGCGTTGCCGCGACGAGAGGCTGAAATGTGTTGCCAAAGGAAAAAGAGCCTTGACCACTCTGAGATCTAGTTCATCCTTCCAGAATCTTACCCCTATTGGAAGTCTGTTTGATTTGTGAGCGCTTGGGCATTCCTCATTGGGAGCCCAGTCCGTTAAGCTGGGCACGTGGGTGGACTCTACTAATATTACCCGGATCCCCCCGACCAAGGAGCCTCGTCGACGAAAACCTTTCTTTTCTTCACCGATATATCATGGCAACAGCAAACTTTTGCTTCATGAGGACTTCTCCGACCATGGCACGCTCCGCCCTAATCCCGGTGCTGCTAAAGTTACCGATCTCCGCGCCAGGTTGCACTTTTGCACCAACAAATCCACCAGCTTCCTGGGTCCGAACGTCGGCATAGTTTTTTGCTGGTGTTATAGACTAAAGGTTCATTGTAAAAAGGAAGGTGACAACTTCATATGTCCTTCTTGTTGTCTCCAGCGTCGTCCTCCACTTGGATGCGACAGCCTTGTCTTCCGACCAAGTTGGTCAAATCAAGGTTCCAGCCGAGGTCCTGAGCTTGATTGCAAATTTTCGACCACTCGTGTTTGTTATGCTGTAGCGTTGCAACGAGTACCTGGAATGATACCTCGGCTTCACTGTTCACTGCCCGTGCAGGCGAAGGTTGACCCATGGCGTCGAAGTTCTCCTGCTTTGTCAAAACCTTCGCTGTTGACCCGGGCAAAGAGTCGCGTTGATGCCGACAACGGAGCGCATGACAGAAGCTCTTCGCCTGCGTCTCTCCGTTGGCCGATGCCTTCAAGATGACCATTCCGTTGCCGTTGCGCATGTCGAGCCACAACAGATATTCTTCATTGGCGAAAATTTCGAGCAGGTAGCCGAAGTACCCATAAACTTCTGACTCTGATTGTGCATTGACAGTGTCATGCATGAAAGAGAAAAACTTCTTGAAACTGACCCCCACCTGGACAGAATGGGCACTGGGTCTGAGTATTGCCTCTTCTTGATTGACGTCGTCCAGACTTTGCAGCTGGCCTCTTAGCATTCCGCCGAACACAATGCGCGCTCGTTCAGCGTTCAGAGAATTTAACCGGACGCTCTTCACTGCCTTCCAGTTCGCCCAGAGGTGGAGTGCCAACAGCGGTATTAAGCAAGACCACGTCGCTGCTGTGCCGTGCACCTTACTAACCACCAAACCTCCTACCCACATACCCACCAGACTTAACATCGTTTCTTGACTGCCGTCTTTGGCATTCAGCTCGCCTATATTGCCTGCTTTTGCGAAATGGGCACTCAGTATGGCCTTACTGCTGCCTCCAGCCACACCACACATGGCGCGAAATGCGTTGCTGACACAAAGCGTCAGGACGCGACCGATAATCGGCAATCCGGGACTCATGCAATCCAGCACAAACGCAATGTCATTGACAATGTCTGCAAAGAAGCGGTAGAATTTGACCTCGGCCGCGATTCTCTGGGAGAACTGATGTGCAAAGAGGATAGTAGCCACTCGTCCTATCGTCTCCTGAGCAATGTACAGCAGCATGGTGGTCACCAAGGAGGCATCCTCGGAACCGACACCCATGCCTACAAAGACTGCTCTAGAAGCCAAGAGCCCTGCAATGGTAGAAGCGAATGCTTGTGCCGAGTCGTAGATCTGATATGGCGTATAGTCCGGAGTGACAGTAGCAGGATAGCCCGCCGGCAAAAAGGCACTCATACATCTCAGGAGCAGGGACGTCGCAGCCGGTGTGGATGTCTTTACTGACCGCTTCTCAACATTGTTTGTACCGGACTGCAATGTGTAGATGGCTTCAGGCGACCCTTCTGCATCCAGCTCGGTGATTGCGAGCTGGCTCCTTGTTGTCGCAGCCATCGTAGGCGACCTGAATGTGCTCTTCGTGGGAAAGTCTGCAAGCATTGGAGTGAGCGAAAGTGTAAAGCCCATCTGTCCGTTGCGGTTCACCTTGTGTTGATCGACCGTATTTTGAAAATCCCCAAAGCTCTCCACGCGTTCTTGCATCACTTTCGTCTGATATCATATCATCGATGATATAATCTTTCTTGATATACCCGAACCGCGGGGCTTCGACAAGGGTTCTCACAGGAGGGTGACGCTCGAGACGAAGGTCGAGGTATTGGACGTGTTGTACATCTCGCCGCAAAAATATGCGAGGGCAAAAGGACGAATCAAGGTCGGCTCTTGGTGGCCATCGACATTGAGACCAGATGGGTACAATGATGGCAGATAACCGAGAAGACAGCTTGTGTCTTGTAAGTATGAAAATGAGATTGAAGATGACAGTCTCGCTGTGCTCAATTTGCAGGTGCCAGCGCTCTTGCCTATCTTGAATCTTCTGCACCTTCCCAATGCCCTTGCCTTCAGGACCCTCCCTCTCTGCTGCCCTCTCATCATGTCGCGACCTCATGTCTACTTCCATACCAGTGCCTACATTGTCATACAACCTGTCTCAGAGCCTGTGGTGGTTTTACCAGGCACAATTTACCCGTGTGCATCGCTTTTCTTCTCATTTCATGATTACTGCCCTCATATCAACAGATACCCGACATGAGAACAGTTACGCAGTTGTTCTCACCGCTGCTGTGTTGCTTCGGCGTCCGGACCGACGATGAAGACCATGCGGCGTCCAATCTCGGATCACTCCAGAAGCCTACCTCAGTTGTTTCCGTAGCGTTACCCGCTTCCACCGTTCCTCATTCCTTAGGTCATTCCGATTCCACCTCGGCAGATGTAGATGCCTTACGACAAATCTTCAGGTCCTCTTCGTCCGTACGTGGCTACCGGACCGCTTCCAGGACTACTGACTCGTCCATTCCGCAACAATCCTCCTTCAATGCAGACTTCAATCCACAAGCCAAGCAGTCATCACATCGAAAACAGTCAAGCCGTATTGAGCAGCTGGGAAATCACATCAAACAGAAGTTGTCGGAATCAGGGCTGAGCAAGAGCAGTTCCAAGGCTCACATGGCATCTCAAGATGCTCCTTGTGAAATGCCCTTACAAAGACAAACACTCGCCCCTCTGGGCGTGGAAGAGACGATGGTCGGACTGAGTCAGCGCTCAACAGGTCTGCTTGAGTTGCTAATGTCAAGAACAGGCAGTGAGGGCGGCTATGATAGTGATGCCAAAAGCATAAGTACGGCTGTGCTCAAGAGCAGTGATGGTACAATCAGGCTCAGCCCTCAGCGAGCCAAGGCGCTGTTGCAATCATCTCCGGAGCATGCCTCACCAAGGAAAGAGCTACCCGAAGATGAACAAACTCCTCAGACTTCTGGAGAAACACAACCACAGACCAATACCGCTACTCCAAAATCACCTTCGTCGTCGCCAGGAACCTCGTTGACAAAGGTATTGTTGGCCCAGCAGGACGAGTCACCTACCAAAGTCTTACTGAAGCTCAACGAAGGCGTCACCAATGGCACCATTACAATACCGAAGACGCCTGCGGTTACCGAGACCATGAATCCGATGCATCGTGGCTCAAAGGCCATACACGACTCCAATGGGTCGCCGTCGAGGTCTGAAGCACGGCTTCAGCATAACTGCACGGAGGTGACCGACGTGTTGAAGAAGCTGAACAACACTGTTGGTGCGGCCAAGCGCCAAAGTCTTCTCTCCAACACGGCCGAAACCCCTCGAGATAGTCTAGTCTCGACTCTGGATCCCAGCTTGATTGATTTTATCTCGAAGTATGGCGAGCGAAGTTCGATAGAGACTCGCAAGTCAATCAGATTGAAGAATGTCGCTCGTACGGACAACCTCAACCTGCCTGGCAGGGACGGTTACACTTCGGGGGAAACCTCAATCCTCGGCAAAGAAGATACGTCCGGCAAAGATGTCGCCTCCCTGACTGGATCTGAGCAGAGCTTGCACCTATACAACATGCGAATCTCACAGAGGCTAGCTAGCCATTCTTTCAACGCTACGAGTTCGAGGCCAAACACCAGTCACACTGTCACGCAGCACTCCCACAAAAGCTCCATAGACGCCCGACCTACTACCAGCCATACAGCTTCCAGTGGCAAACTCCCTGGTGCCATTGCGATTGAACACAACCGACTTCCGTCTGATCCTGAGACTCGTCGGTTGTTTGAGAATGACGAAAACTTGGTAAGACCACCCTCTAGCTGGAGGTCAATGACCTCTAGCAACATGTCTGAATCCAAAAGGCCAAAATCAAGCACGAGTCATGGGAAGGCTTCCTCTTTCTATTGGAGTGATGGAGAGACTGGGCATGAAGCTCTCCAACCACGCAAGACAAGCAACCCAAATAGCATCGCCATTGGTGGAAGGTCAGAATCTGTCAACCTGCTTGTTGGATCTCCGAGTTCCACCATGAGCCAGATGTCCAATGCAGAGGAAAGCGCTTGGTTCGGTGGGAAGCCGTCACAACAACAACGGAGTTCAGAGGATCAAGGACAACATGATGGCCCCAAGCGTGACCGAAGCGTCAGCATGCCAAGTAGGGGTCTGTCGGACTCAGAGGGTCTACCTTATCTTTCTGGGAAAAAGCCTGAGCGATCAATCGGAGCAAATGAAACCTTGAGTGTGATCAGTCTCGATCGGTTGGCTGATGCTCGACGTGAGAAAATGACCGAAATCAGCACTCAAGCTGTACAAGATGTGCGAGATGAGAGAATGAGCGAGATCGAGCCTGAAAAGCTGGGGATACCGATAAGAGTTGGACAGGAAGGTGGAAGTCACCGACTATTGTTCTGGTCTAGATCACGACAAAACTCGGCCACTTCTGAGATCCCACCTGAAGCGAAGCAACATACTTCAGAGAATGGAGGCTTGTCGAGACAGGAGTCGATTTCAATTGGACCACTACAGGAGTCTACCACTGATATGTGGCGCAGAACTATGAAAAAGGCCATTCGAGATCCGGAGGAGGAATCGTTGGGTGGTTTTCTTACCGCGCCCAGATTTGATCGTGAGGGAAGGCGAAGAAGCACGAGATCAAGTATTAGTACAATTGGGGCAGACAAAGGTGAGACAGCACACGACGCAACCTCACCACTACCAGGCAGCAACATCACGCAACAAGGGCCACAAGAACCACTTGGTGTCAAATCACATCTGGAAGTCTGTTTCCAAAGACCTGCTCCTCTACCAAATGTTAGCCCTCGACCAAGCATCACGATGATGCCTATGAAGCCTGATGCAGCTATGGCTATCAATGAGAAGAAAAGGAAAAAGAGCCTGCGGGACATAGGTCGGCGGTTTACTGCATCTGGCGATGAAGAGCGTGGGTCAGGTGCAACCACGCCCCTCAGAGATTTGCTCGGGGCCTGGGGACGATTCCCAAGTCATACGAGGAGTGAAAGATGTGGTGCTACTGGCACACGAGATGGTGTGACAGCACTAGACTTTGCTGCTGCAGAACCACATGTGGATACACCATCGTCCTTGCCTTTGTGGAGCATGTCAACAACTGGCCTCGGATTTCGGAGTCCAGGGTCATGGAGAGTCCCGTCTTTTGGCAAGAAAGCACGCATCGACAAGGCCAAAAGCAGAAGCATGCCCTTCTCGAGGACTTGGAATCAGTCCTTGGAATTCCGCGCCAAGAAGAGCCGTAAAGGCCTTGTCGGTCGATGGAAAAGGATTTACAGAAGCAGCAGTTCTGATTTAAAGGCCTATGTTGACCACTACGGCCATCGAAGCAGTATCAGTGTTGGCGCAAGCGTGGAGTATCCCGAGCTGGAGATCATTCCAGGCCTTGGTCGCCTTGATGTTGGTGACTTCTCCTCATGGCGGTACGACACAGATGGCACAGATCAACAACATCATCGTGAAGAAGCGAGTCAATCTCCGAACGGGCTGCAACAGACTGATACAACCTTAGACGCGCAGCCTTGGACACAGATGTACAATGATTGTGTCAGTCTTTCTGGGCTGAGGCGCGACGGAGACGTACGCAGCATGAGTGCTGACGAGGAGACGGGCCTTGGTGAGAAAGATGGACTTCACAGCATGATCAGTACAGAATTGAGAAACAGCACAGCCAGCTTTGGAGTTCAAGTTGGAAAAGAACTGGAGGTAGTAAGAGAAGGCTTGATGAAGAGGGTTGAGAAGACGGAGGTGGAAAAAAGAGAAATACAAGCAGGTTTAGTGCTGTAGAGGTAGGTAGTGTTCTGGGTAGCATGTTAGTCAAGGATGGAAAGCATTGGATCAGGCAAAACATATGAGTATGCAATGCATTTTCATTTTTCGTGCTCGGACGTTTCCAGTGCGTCGAGACTTTTTCTCACTCTTCTTATCCAGTAGAAAATCTTTCCTGAATAACGCCTTGTTGGCCTCCTTTCCTAAACAACCAGCCAATGATGTTTTCCTTTACGAAGGACTTTGTTTTCATGTCATTTTGACATCTCGGATAGGTATCGACGAGTATCACAAGACGATCCAAGCACCAGCTCCCACGAATAAGAGGCAGGTGACGGTGCCAATGACCAGACCCTTGGGTGGCAGAGGCATAGCAACACCAGCGCCACCATGAGCGGTCGGAGTTGGTGTGGGTGGGTAAGTGCTGGCACTAGAAGTGAGGTATGAATTGTGTGCATCCAGACCACTAGAAGTATTCAACCATAGACCAGTCTCTGATGGTGGAGTGTCGGTTGGAGTATCGTTGTCTGCGCCAGTGCCGGTAAGGAACGTGAGGAGATTGAATGGTGTTGTGGTCGACGAGTTGGAGTCTGTGCTTGGAGCAGTGGTCACGTCGGGAGCAGTAGTAGTCGCGAGTTGACCAGTCATGTTGAAGAAGAGCGGTGGTGCAAGTGAACCTGGAGACGGCGTAGTAAACTGCGGTGGAATGACGGGTACGTTGAAGGTCGCTGTAGTATTGTCGATCACGACTGTGGTCTCAATAGTGGTCTGTGCCGTGAGTGTGTCTGTCACTGTGGTTGAACTGCTGATGCTCTCAAAGGTCTCTGGCGCTGGGAATGGCAGTGGTACTGAAACGGAGATTGACGAGATGTCAGTGGTCGATGTGGTGGTGCAGTTGTCGTAGAATGTCGATGTGGATATGATTGGGATCGACATTGGGACAGGAGCTCCTGCAGGAGTTGGACCACCGACAGTGACGTTGATGAGGCCCGAGTCTGGAGCTGAGACGGCGATGGGGAGGTCATCGGCTTTGACGAGCATGCGGCCGATAAGGACCACTGCTCGAGCGAAGTATGGGACGCGGAACGACGCAGCTGAGCCAGTTTGTACTGGGGTGAGCGACAGCGACGAGGTGCTAAGGACACCAAATGTCGGGGTCTGGGTCGACGCATTAAAGGTTGTGATGTTGCTTGAAGTGCTGTTGACAGAGCCAGTACCGGTACCAGTGGTAAGTCCTGACGAAATAGTAGGGAAAACAGTGGTTGTTCCTGATGTGATGATCACAAGGGAGATGTTTCGGGTCGAAATCATTGTGGTTGTAGTTGTTGTCATGTTTTCCTGGTCGAGTGAAGACTCAGACATGGCGGTAGTAGCTGGAACAGGCACGAAAGGCGCAGGACCAGGACCATCGGTAGTCGTAGTCAAGGTGACGAGCGCAATCGATGTTTCGGTCACGGTCGCAGTCTGGCCAAAGGTGTTGATCACGGTGGAATTGCTGTCCTGAGATGCTGTAATTGTCGGTAATGGAGGGAATGTCAAGACGACGGTGTCAGGGACCGAGGCTGGGGTCAACGACGGCATGATGGTATCCACAGATTCAGTTGTAGTGCTGCTAAGATTTGCCAGGACTGGTGTGATGTTAGCTTGAGTTGTGAATAGGGCTGGGATGCTTTTTTCTTACCAAGAGTCGAGGTTGTCATTTCAGTGGCCACGACGGTAGTGGTACTATTCACAGACATATTGGTGAACACTGTGGCAGCCGTGGTGTTTGCGAATGGCGGGATGACTGCGCTGCGGTCAGTTTTGATTGTGATATTTTGGACTGAGGGTCTTTTTACCAGTGGTCATTGTAAGCCGGGTGGTCGAAAACAAGGTCACGGTAGTGCTGCTGTCATTGCTAATTCCGACTGCGCCATGGTCAGCTTGTGGTGTCTTCGTCACTTGATATTTGTCAACGTACCTGTTTCAGTGATTGTGGTTGTTGCGTTTCCAACAGGCGCAGGAGGAGCCGCAGTTGGTAGTGGAGTGAACAAGGCAGACGAGACCGAAGAAGCAGTGACTGTAACCGTAACGACAGGAGGAGTGACAAGACTGGCCGTGACGAACACGGTTTCAGTCACAACGTCAGTAGCATTGCACAGAGGGGACACAGCTGATATTGGGAAAATGGCAGCATTTGCAGCGTTGGTGACTGCTGCAAACAACAACCACAGGATGAAGAAGGGGGTACACATCTTGAAGATGTGCAGAGAGCGTTTGAGTAGAGATTTTTGTTTGACCAACAAGAAGAAAAGGTGTGAACGAGCGTGAAGAAAGAGTGGTATGGGTGAAAGTTCAAAACAATGCGAGAGAAGTGAGATGAAGCTGTATACACAAATTCAAATCGACCGCCGCTTGGCGAGCGATAGAAAAAAGGCTGAGGAGGGAAGCTTTGCCGGCTTGAAGCGCGTTGAGATGCCTGGCGAGCTCTCACATAGATGGAGGTGTAGAATCGCGATGGAGCTGGTCGTCGCCGGGGGTACCATGGTGTGCAGGGGAGCGCGTTGAGAGCGGTCGCGACCGTAATGACATGGCGTTGCCCAACGGCCAATCTCCCTGGTGCGCAGCGTATCGGCAAAAGACTCACCTTCTGGCCATCCTGTAGGAGTTCGACAAGCATAGAATGTGCCTTTATCATGCAGTTCTAGACACCGTCGAACTCCGTCCATAATGCCATCGCCATACCGCCTCATGCGTGCGCCGGCGACCCGCAACAGTGACCGGAAAGACAGCGGCGCTTTTCATCCGCGCAATGAAGTGTCGAGGAAAACAATAGAAAGGTAAGTTTTGAGAATGAAGTTGAAAGAAAGATAACCTTGTCGTCGTCCTTTTTGAGGTTAGGGCGAACGCCGAGCCTGACGCCGAGCTTGGACCCTGACACCTCACTATTCAGGGGCTGCCAGGCGACAAGGCTGAACCCTTTCCTGAACAAAAAGAATATGGAGTTCACCAGACCACAAAATTCAAAGCACCATGTTTAAATCACGTTGGACAACACAGCATCAACCGGAGCCTTTGTTCCTGCTATGTGAAAAAGACGGTCTATCATGCTGATGACAACATCTCCACCACTATCTCCCATCTACCACGGAACAGGACCCTCATTTGCGGTAAACGTACCATGAGGACCATTCTTGTCATCATTGACAATTATCTTACAGGCTTGAAGTGCTCCCTCTGCCGGATCACCACCATGCTCATGATAGCCATTCAGATTGGTTGACCGGAATCCAGGATCAATCATGTTGACCTTGACACCGTCTTTGCCGAGCTCAATGGCATACATGGCGCCGAGCATGTTCATTGCAGCCTTTGAAGTGTTGTAAGCCTTGAAGATGAAGCCATACAGCGGACTGCTGGTGTCGAATGTCAAGGTGAGAGATCCGAAACCAGATGACATGAACAAGAGTCGAGGAACATCCGCCTTCTTCAACAGCGGAACAAAAGCTTCAGTGACGCAGCCTGCGCCGACGACATTGGTGTCCAGCACTTTCTGGAACTCCTCACGGAAGCTTGCGCCTGGGACCCCAAAGATACCGGCGTTGTTGAACAGAACGTCCACACGGCCGTATTTTGATTCGACGTACTTTGCTGCTTTTGCGATCGAGTCGTCATTGGTGACGTCGAGCTCGATGACATCGATAGATGTTCCTTTGGCCAGGCTCTGGATGTTTTTGGCGGCTTCGCGGCCTCTTTCTGCATTTCGAGAAGCTAGAAGGATTTGATAGTTGGTTTGTTCGGCAGCGAGTTTCTTGACGCATTCAAAGCCAAGGCCCTGGTTGGCACCGGTGATGAGGACGATGGTGGACATTTTGGGAACAGAAATTCTGCGTGAGAAGATATGAAAGTTTGTTGCGAGCTTCTTCGATGTGATGGTTTCTGGGGACATGTTCTGGTCGAAACTGTAGGGTGTAACAGCACGTATATATACCTTTTGCTTTGCTCAGAAGATGCCGACTTACCGTGCGCCTTAACCGTGTTGAAGGCATCATCCGTGGGCAACGTTACATACATGGTCATTCAGCGGATATCTGTGGAGAGTCTCAGGCTCACATGTCTGAAATTCACTCGACGTTGAAGCTGCAAGAGGAAAAAAGATGGTAGTTGTGATATAGGCCCCCCTCGCAGCCTCAGGCGCCACAGTCTGCAGCTAGTCGTTAGTTCGCGAGCAGACCAATGGGATCGTGCCGGTGTTTTGATGCGGGAACCACAGTGTACTATTCCAACTTCAATCTTTGACTGTCCGTGCATCTTGCTTACGAAAGCGCAAAAATGGCTGACATGTTTTCCATTTCTACCTCCTGTCCGTGATTTCAGCAGGAGGAAAATGAGCGTGATGTCTGAACGTGATAAAACATTCTCTCTGTGGGCACTTGGTTGCTGAGCAGCATGGCTGTCATCCCGAAGTCGACAGATACAACTGTGCGCAAGCGCAATCGAAACGCCGCCGGCTGCATCACTTGCAGGTACGTATCCAAGTTCGCAGTCTGCCCGGGATTCAATTCTTATGGTAATGACGCTGACTCGCCGCAGGATCAGAAGAGTCAAATGTGACGAAGGCCGACCATCATGCCATCGCTGTACCAGTACTGGTCGGAAATGTGATGGCTATTCAGCACCAAAAGAGCCAACCCCGCTAGCGTATTTGGTGATAGCTCAAACGAGCTCGGAATGCCAATACATCGCCCGGACAGCCTTTCAGTACTTCCACGAAGTCTGTGCGCCCGCGCTCTCCAACTATGGCAGCCAGTCCTTCTGGACCAAACTCGTGCTCCAGGCATGCCACTATGACGAGAGCATCAAGCATCTCATTATCGCGGCATCGTGCCTTGGAGCCCAAGACTACCCGCTGCTGCGATCGAAATCATCCACAGGATGTCCATTGTACCTGTCGCATTATGGCAAAGCACTCAAACTGCTGAGTCACGCCAGAAGTCCCGATCCTGCGGTAGTTTTGATGGCCTGTTTACTGCTGGTCCTGTGCAATGAGCTTCAGCACAACACTAAGGTAGCTCTCCAGCACATGCTGGCAGGGAAGAGCATTCTCGACTCGTATGCGGCGCGTGACCATCCTCAAAGCAACGCCGCCGTCGCCGAAATTGCGCCCGTCTTCTCCCAGCTCGAACAGCATGCCGGCGTGCTGCAGTGCCTCGACATGACTAGGAGCTCTGCAACACCATCAATAACGACGTCAACAGTTTCCCCAGAATCCGTGGCGCAAATCATCGACAGCGGCGCCCGAATCGATTCTCAACCGCCGGACATGTTCACCGACATCGATGATGCCGCCATCTCCTTACAAGCCGTGGCCATCACCTGCGTTGCAACATCGCCCCGCGACGAGGCTTCATCTCCAACAGTGTTCCATACAGTCCCCACTCCCATAGCCAGCTTGGACTCCTGGTTCGACCGCTTCACAGCCTTCGAATCATCCATAATTCAAGGTCCACAAACATTCCTCAGTCCAGACCACCAAATCCTTCGTATGTACCATACGACCCTGCACATCATTTCCGGCTGTAGCCCATACTCCGAAGAAACCGCCTTCGACACCTACACGGAGATGATGCAGCAATTGGCACTTATCTGCGCTCAGCTCGTCCCATTGACAACAACGAGATTGATTCCGATATTATTCTTCATCGCGACGCGCTGCCGCAACGCCAGCCTACGTAGGCGAGCAATTGAGGTATTGCGCCAATGCGGCGTCGACGGACAGATCACAGCCAGGATCGCGCTGAAGGTAGTGCAGATCGAGGAGCGTGGCGTCGAAGAGCCGATCAGTCGCGCCGACATTCCTGAGGCGAATCGAATAAAAATCATTGATGTTCAAAGTGACATTCTAGGAGATGGTTATATCTTGCTCTTCAGACGGTCGCCTTACGGGACGAATACACCTGTCCAATACTGCTCGGTGCCTGCTCAAACTTCAGAATCAACAGACGGTGCTTCGAGGTGTATTCAGCCACTGTCATCAGTACGACCAGTGCTCAAGTTCGACTTCTTGATGTTCTGGAATCGTGACGTTTCAACGTTTTGATGTTGACCTCCGGTGTCCAGATTATGCTCCTCCACCCATTTCAAGCTTTTTGCCTTTGACACTCTTCCATTCGAACCCGAGAGAGAACAAGAAGGCAATGCTAGCACATGCGATGGCCAGAATATATGCATTCGTCACAGCTATGTTGTATGCAGTCAAGACGCCGGCAAGCTGCGATGCTGGTGTGACCTCTCGAATATGCGTTGCTCCAGCGTTAATGATAGTTTGGGGGTCCACGCCAGTGGTGTACTTCGGAATCTCCTTCACCAATCCATTCGAAAAGATGTTCTGCGCAATGGAAATCGAGATGGCTCCACCAAGTGAGTTGAAGAAGATGGCGACAGCATTTCCAACAGGCATATCTTTCCTGCTGAGGACGACCTGAACTGCGATGAAGGGGATCTGGACACAGGCGCCTGCTCCGAACCCAGCCAAGATTTGATAACCGATCCAAGTCCCGGTGGAGGAGTCGACTTTCAATGTGTGCAACAAGCCCGAACCCACAGCGAACACCGCAGATCCGACCCAAGTGAATGGGACATATGGCCCCAAAGTCGTCACACTGGCGCCAACTATGATCGATGAAATGGTCATGCTGACAAGATAAGGAATGGTGCGAATACCAGACTGTTCTGCCGTTGTGCCTTTGACTGCTTGGAAGTAGAATGGAAGGTAATAGATATGTGTGTACAGCCCCATCGCGAGGAAAGCAGAAAAGAAGGCGCATACGAATATGGTGCGCTGTTTGAGCAAGATCCGTGGTGGAAGAGTTGCGCGGTCACCCTTCCAGATTTGTATAGCTGTGAAGGTCGAAATGAGCAACCCGAATCCCAAGAGACAACCCCACACTTTCGAGTTTGACCAGGCATATGTCGTGCCGCCCCATTGAAGGGCGAGAAGGAGGCAGACGATGCTGCAAATGAGGAAGAAAGCACCGACGAGATCGATTTGAGCGATCTTTTCTTTCAGAGTGAGAGTGCTGTCTTTGCGTTCGGGGTTCTTGAAAAAGAAGAATACTGCTGCGATTGCGATCCCGCCAATGGGAAGGTTGATGTAAAAGCACCAGCGCCATGATACCCGGTCAGTGAACGCTCCTCCAAGAATTGGTCCAACAACAGAGGCGATGCCAAACATTGAACTCAGCAGGCCAATATAAATCGGTCTTTTTCTGAGAGGAACGGAGTAGCCAATGATTGTCATTCCACCTGAGAACAAAGCAGCGGCTCCCGCTCCTGCGACTGCTCGACCCACGATCAACATGGTCGAACTTTGAGCCGCGCCACACAGAATCGAGCCGAGTTCAAAGATTGCCAGAGCCAGCATGTATGTCCATTTGACGTTGAAGTATGTGTAGACCTTGCCGAAGGAAGGCTGGAGAGATGTGGTGGTCAGAAGATATGAGGAGCCGTACCAGCCAACATCGTCGAGGGAATTGAAGACAGTTGTAATCTTTGGGATTGCAGTGGCTATGATGGTGTTGTCTAGGGCGATGACAAATGTGGACAAGGTAAGGCCAAAGGTCAGCAAATGCAACGGGAGGCCTGTGGCATATTTGGTCTCATCATCTTCGCCTGCTTCACCTTGGGTGGAAGCAGTGGCTACGGACTGAGTGCGAGCCAACTCTTCATTTTTCTCAGATTGCACAGCGTTCGCTGGGTCGACGACGGCGGCTCCCTCTGTTGTCTCTCCGTGTTCAGGTGGGATGGTATCCGGTCCTGCATGCTTGTTCTCGTGGTCGAGGGCCACCGTCGATGTCGGACCGTGTGTCTCTGTCTCTGTGTCCCCTGCCTGGATATCTGGTCCCGTGGAAGTGGTTGCCGCTGCTTTGTCTGCCTCGACCGCCTTTGACCAAGGGAATCTCATATTGCCGATTGCTCTCACGAAGGACGAAACCGAAGCAAAAGACACAGCAGACTCTCTCTTCAATTATACAAAACAATAACAAACAAGCAACATGAAGACTCGTATTTGGTCACCAGCGGGCAGCCAAAGCTCGTGAGGGGAAGGTGACAAGCCTTTGTAAAGCGACCATTTATTCGGAAGGAGGATGATCCGCACTATGTTGCCATGCTAGCGAAATGATAGACAAAGCAGAATGAGGAAAATACTTCGTATCCAATCAAATGGTCCACCTAACAAGAAAGAGGCAACGGACACAAAGGGAGTAAGCGAGATGAGTGTGGTTCTTCGTATACTATTCCTGTTCAGGTCATTTTCCACTTACTGAATTCTTTGGAATCTGGTGGCATGATCTTGTGGCTGACTCGTTAGCCGATGGGGTCGGTTTCGGTTTTGTTGTCTTTGTTTGATCTCACAGAAGAAAGAATGTGCCATGTATTGCCGTGTAGCGATTCCCACGTGGAATTCGTGTCGATGAAAGAACCTGGACAGCAAGGGTACCTGGTAAAAAAAGGGAGGGATGCTGATTGACTCGAACACCAACTTGGACGAGGTAGTGACACGAGTCAGTCCCAGCATCACGTGAGTCAGTCAGAATATTGTTCCTGCTCGTTTGGCTGCATTCCTGCATCTCTCCTTCTCTTGATAAAACATGCGTCTTCAACAGCTTCACCTGAACGTTCGATCTGTTCCTGGAGAATTGCTCTCATGCTGGGCCACCTTACCAGTCATTTCTTTTCCATCACGACAAACAACCACGAGAAAGTGACGCGTATTGCCGTTTAGCACCAGGTGGCAGATCAGACCTGCAGTGATTTTGAAGACTCAACACCGCTGGACTCGGTCAAAGGTACGGAGTAACATGAGGATTCACAGGTTCATCTACTCTTGATTCCGGCTTTGCGTGCATCCGGGGAAGCGAAGGCCGTTTTCGGTTTTGGTCAGAACCCGGGTGAAATTTGTTTGTCAATCGCAACCCACCACAAGTTCACGAATGCCTTTTAACCGGCCCCGGGGCCTCACTTGGGGCTTCAAGTTTGGAGCTGCTCCCGCCAAATCGCAACCCCAAGGGTCAAACCTGAGAACTCGCTTCCTCGTCCTGCATATTGCGACCCCGGTTATGGCCAAGTACCGAACTTTCTTTTCTCTCAGCCCGCAATCATGTTAGTCGATCTGCACGTTCCTGCGAGCCGGGCCTCGATCGCCCGATTTTATTAAGAGTCTAGGCACAGCCGTTGGAACCCGTCGACACTTGATCGTGAATGTCTCAAGCTACAAGTAAACGACCATGAGCGCATGAGGTAGGTTGGTGATATCGGTCTGCTGGCTCTGGCATAGGCCATTGTTGCTGTCGTCGCTTTCTGCGCGACCTTGTTTTGTAGCTGACACTCTTCTTCCCTTCCGGCATTCGTTGGTCATGTCTGAAACACCATCCATTGACACCCTCAACAAACCACTCACTCTTCCTTGCGGCCTGACCCTTCCCAACGTCCTGGTAAAATGTCCCATGCAAGAGACATGCGCTGAACTACCTCACTACGATCCGCCTATCGAAAAGTTCCGTCATCTTTATGGTGACTGGGCCGATTCTCGGTATGGAATGCTCATCACAGGTCAAGTCCAGGTCGATCGTCGATTTCTGTCACTACCTGGTGATGTTTGCTGCCACGAAGACTCACTGTCAGCACCAGTATTAGCAAAGTGGAAAGAATGGGCTCAAGTCGCCCAGAGTGGAGGAACTCCTTGTGTAGTGCAGATCGGACATCCGGGCAGAATGAGTCCTACAGGCACCGGTATTAGACCTGCAGACATGCCACCCTTGGCTCCCTCCTCTGTGCCCGTGAAGATGGGCGATACATGGTTCGACAAGTTAGTACAGGAAAAACTTTTAGGCATACCAAAGGAGATGACCCATGACGAGATTGACGAAGCGGTTGCCAACTTTGTCCGAGCTGCACGTGTCTCCAACACCGCAGGTTTCGCCGGGATTCAGCTGCACGGCGCCCATGGATTTCTCATCTCCCAGTTCCTTTCCCCCCATACAAATCGACGCACGGACGAGTACGGCGGCACCCCTAGCAAGCGACTACGTTTCTTACAGCGGCTCATTGAGGAGATTCGCGCTGTATGTCCGCCCCGTTTCTGCGTCGGCGTCAAACTCAATTCAGGAGACTACATGGACAATGGAGGGTTACGGCAGGAGGAAGCGCTCGAGCAAGTACGATGGCTTGTCGATTGCCGGATGGTGGACTTTGTTGAGATTAGCGGCGGCATCGCCGAGAGCACATCGTGCAAGTTGCACGACACCTTTGGTCACTACAAAATCGACAAGGCTCCGAAACGGGAGAGCACTCGGCTGCGCGAGGCTTTCTTCACCGACTTCGCCGAGAAGGTGCAAGGTTTGAAGAGCCCAGTGCCCATCCAGTTGAGTGGCGGATTTCGCTCGCGGAATGGTATGGCCGATGCAATCGATAGTGGTGCTTGCCAGCTGATTGGGCTTGGTCGGACTGCTGTTTTACAGCCCTCGTTACCGAAGGATATTTTGCTAAACCCTGCGATTCCGGATGACGAGGCACTCGCCATGCCCCATGTGGTGCGTGGTATGTGGTTAGCCGATATTATGCCGTCGAAGATCGTCGGTGCCGGGTTGGCTGGTCAGGTGTTTTACTGGAATATGAGGCGTTTGGCCAGTGGTTTGGCGAGCGATCCTTATGCGAGCATATCGTGGGTGTTATTTTCGGACGCTCTGGGAGCATTGAGGGGATCGCTGAGCGGTGTGAGTCACAGCATGATGGCGAGGTTAAAGAATTTGCTTACGTGGCAGAGGGTGAAGACTGATTGAAGCTGATAATAATGAGTCGTGCGGACTGTGCGTAGTGATATCCCTGTTGCAAATGATGTCTTGGTTACTTCACGGGTGGCACCCGGTCACGGATATACATGAAGTGAATCTAGATGTCCTGGATCGTGACGAATACTTGAAACACAGCACAATCATTCCTGCATTGCATTGGATCTAGTGTGTCTCGTATTGAGTGGTCATGCGCGTGTCACCTTGCGGAACCGACTCCGAATCCGCACTGCATCCTTTCGTAGCCTGCTGTCTCCATCGACAGAGGCGCAGGCTGAAGCCGACATCATCCGACGATTGCTCGAGACGTGGTCGGTCCCATTGACACAACGCCATATTCTGCGCTGATGGCTGTTTCCGCAGGTAAACATTGGTCCTGCACACCGCTGTGGTACATCAAACGACTTTTTTTGTCTCGTAAACATCCCGCCCGTCAAAGCTATTATACAACACGCTGGACCTGTCGCAGCACAAAATGTGTCAGCCGGCACCTTCAACGACGTTCCCAATATCTCTTTTTTCCACAGGCAGAGCTTAAGGAAGGGGTCGGCTATTCACCTCGAAGAAGCGCTTCAACCACCACACCTGAAAGACTCCTTCTCCTATTAACACACCCAACTGGAATATCGACCACCACTTGACTCGCGCATTCGTGCTTTCGGCGGTATTTCGGTGCGTGCGTTCTCGGACGACGATATAGGCTTGTTCGTCTTTGACTTGGGCTAGGAGTTCGGATAGTTGGCGGACTTTTGTGGATGTTAGCAATGGCATACGCGGAGTGGGAGTATAGGCTATGGGAAAGGGTTGACGCACCTTCAGCTTCCAATGGATCTTGCGTAGCTTCTGATTCGGGAACGTATACTATGCCGTGGACGTTGAAGGATACTTCCTTGCTGTTGGCAGACCAGTGCTCGTTGCTGAAGCAGTAGACGTATTTGCCGTCCACGCGCGCGTCGAACGAGTGGTCGCCTGAGGAGACGGTGTTCAGTTGTGTTTCATAGTTGCCGGCTGGATCGGTGATCTAGATCATATACATGTCAGTTGGATTCGTGTGGGAGTGAGAGGGTTGTAGCATGGGCGGCTTTGGGGATGGTTGCGCGTACGTAGAAATCGATATCTAGGTTTCCGGATCCGCCGTTCTCACGGTCGCCGACTTGGAAGGTCACGGTCATTTTGTCATCTTTGTGCAGTTCCTCGTGAAAGCATTCTCTCGTATGTGCTTTTAGTTGAATGTTGTGTGCTAGACCGGCCCCTATCAGGCCTGCGAAGGCCGCGAGCCTTGCTAAGCGCATCGTCTAGATTCTGGTCAAGAGACCAGACGGATGAGAGGGGGTAGAAGCCGACCGGGACAATGGGAGACGGAGAGAAGGAGGTACGTTCACAAGGTTGTCTGCGACTATTCACGCGAGCAGAGAGGACAAAAACTCCGCAGTTTGGCTCCTGAATTCGAAGATGGAGAATTGGGATCTTATCTTATCGGGACGTCTGTGCCAACCATATGAGATGCTTGGAGTTCCCAATTCGTCTTTCCCCCTTTTCATGGTTTCCCTCCAGAATCCTTAATGCCGGCCCGTGAGAGGTTGCCAGCTGATTGCAGGTCTCTGTCTCAGCTGAAGACATCTGGATGCTTGCCTGACATGCACGCCGGTCGGTATGGGAAAGTTCAGACCTACCACGAGGGCGGCCAACAAGCGCAAGGCTTAGGAATGATGCTGCGACATACTGAGAGTATCATGTTCACGAACGGCCAGATAGCATCATGCGCAAAGCAGGAAGACTCCGTTCAGTCGCTTGGAGGCTTTCTTCGTCACCATGCGGCAGCAGAAGTCTTTCCTCAGCTGTCATGCTGCCAGAATCGCCATTCAATCCAGGCGTTCTCCCAGGCCCAATGGTGGGAATGTTGCAATGATGTCTTACAAGACTGCTATTTTCACGCATACAGGACCGTCAGTTGTGTGTTCGCAATGACTGGGATTCATCACTTCAGCAGGTGATGTTTTAGTATTAACACTGTGGAGCGGTCAATGAAGCGACCATATCATTGAAGCTGGTGATCATATCCTGGATATGTGAGTCATCAATCTGCTCCTGTTTCTCCTTCTCATCCAGAATGCTGGAAGTGTGCTTCTGCAAGGGTTACACAATGTTACTGGATTCATCCATTACGATCGTCCTATTGAATACGCTGCTCCTCATCCAAGCTATATATTTCCCCCTTCCTGCTCTGCTCAGAGATCATCTTGCAGCCTTGAAGGACATGTTCCGATACCACAATATATATATTCTCATGTTTCCTTGCCCCCTCAGCATGTCAATGAAGCGCTCTCTTCATCCCCACGGCTCCCGTCTCTCGTCTCTGTTCGAGATCAACCACCATCAGCAAGCAGTCGCAGGCATGTGCCGGCCATGCTGCATCCTCCTGACATACAATACGTGCAAGCGTATTGATCATGAGTTCAAGGTGTGGCTCACTCCACAGTCCGCTACCAAGGAGACTACACCTTCTGTCACCATCAGCGAACAAACACGATCGCGCCCACGAACTTGCATTCCGACTAACAGCAACATAAGATTTGCCGCAAACGAGATGTCTTCTGTTGTCATTGACGAGGAAGACGACGGGGTGCCGTCACCAAAAGCCACCACAACAAAGAAGATCTCCACCCCACGAAATCGAGACAAAAGAACCCCGACGGCGACATCCACAGCCAGAAAGCAAATCTTTGACACGGAGACCGGGAGTTTCGAGAAGCCAAGCGCCTGAAAGGCGGAATGACAAAACCACGAGCTGGAATTTGGATTGTTACGATTACGCGCCAGAAAATGGCAACCCGGTGACCTCAGTATACAGCAGCATACGGAGCAAGATCGAGAGTTATTAGATTACGCGCCAGAAACGGCAACCCGGTACTCCGAGGCTGACGATGTAATGGGGAGCTGAAAAGACGAGACACGCAACCCACGGTTTCCTGCCTTTTCGAAGGGGGCAGATGTTGGGAGCATAGGCAGGAACCACCTGCGTGGTCACGTGAACCTATCCTACATAGGTTTCCTGGTCCTTAGGACCTTATAGATAATACCATACATATTCAGACTCTTCCCTTGCTCCCCATATCTTCCGAAGCAGCGGGTGGGCAATTACCTTCTTTCAAACAACATGGAACAAATTCGATAACAGTTCCAACAAGGCCTCTGCAGCTATGGTGCAGACATTCGACCGTCGACAGCTCTTCGGGTGTCATTTTTCGCTCTTTGGCAGGGTACAGGAGCATAATCTTCCACCAGCACACTTATCTGACGTGAATGATCCCTAAGTCGAGTCCGTAAAGATTCCAGCATTTGGCGAAGCGAAGCGAGCATATCTCGCTGCCATAAACTCGAAGAAAGAGGACCAAAAGACGGCTATGCCGCCGTCCAAAGGGCGAAAAAGAAGTGCTTCTGTCCTCGATGAAAACGAGGAAGACGACGATGGCAGCGAATATACGCCTTTCGGAAAAAGTCCCAAGAAAGAATTCAAACTCCTCAAAAACATCCAAAAAGGGGGCAAATGGGCTGAGTAGCCTTTTCCTGGTTTGATATATATATCGCCAGCTGTGACATTCACAAAGACAGGGACCAAGGCTTTACGCACGATGAACCAGAAGAAGCTTGAGGCCACACCAAGACTTACTAGCCGGGGAATCGCAGAAGTCCGACAGACAGATGAGAGGACCAGTTACCCCTACCATAACAAGAGACACCAACTTTCGAGAACAACAAACCGCCAGATATCTACAACATCAAGATGGATTGTATGATCAGCAGAAGGATTTGATACACCACCACCGAATACGAGGAGGTCGCTCCAGAGCCTCACCGTTGCAAATTGTCCTCCCTGCCGATCTCTTTTGCCTGTCGCCAACTTGCTGTTGGTCAACCTGGCGGACATGGAGGTAGACTTTCGGCAGTCTTTCGACTAACAGCTTGACTCCATGACATTGACTGGGCAGAGCTGTCATGATGCATGCGGTCCTCGGAAATGGTGCTGGTGAAGATCGTAACCAGGTGGGGGATGTCGACTGGCCGAAGCAGCAGGCCTGAGAAGGACAAGCCTATCCAGAAGCTCTTTCTGATTCTTATGGCGGACTGTCGTGTCCAGCTACGAAAGACAGATGAGACTTAGGATGCGCACGTCACCTTCGACTCGATATCCACAATCGACCACAACAAAACGGCAGGGGTTGTGGTGTGTGGGTTGTCAAGAGCTCCAAGGCAGTGGTCCGTGAGACCATGCCAGACATGAGCATTTGACTGTCGAGGAAGGCATAAACCTCGAAATCTGCGGTCGAACTTGCTGCACGCCCCCGAATCAATGGCTGGCCCTATATCCTCGGAACGGTCGCAGGCCAACCTCGTTCAAGACCGTAGGTCTTACGCCGTGTTCAAGATGGCTCCGAGAATCGAGCAGCCTCGAACTGATCAATATCGGCGAGTCGAAGCATACATACGGTCGTTGAGTCAGCGTCAAACCGGCAAGACAGTGGTCCTGGTAAGAATTGAATCTTGATGTTGATCCTTCCATCTGCTAACCAGACGATTTAGCACAATCCACCGCTTGTCGTCAAAGGCAATCGGGATCCGGTGACACACAGGATATTCATCGACAATATCCGGCATGGTGTTTAGAATCTCCGGAACTTATCGGTGCCTATCATTAATCTTCTGGATCAATTTATATTCCGTCGACCTCTGGAGTACTACGGTAACCGAGATTTCAAGAATCCTCAGGTTATGGCCGTATCACTCGTATATATAAAGGGTCAACTTAAAGCGAGAGCATACGATCATTACACTGAAGTTGGTCAGCCTAGATCTACGAAGGAACCTATATTTTCGGAATACGTCACAATATAGCGAGACGATAAGAATAGTGGTTCGTATCTCCTTAGTCGGTAACTATGCGGTATATTATACGGCAAGTCGAATATATTCTCTAAAGGCTGGTCGCGAGCTTTGGTAAGCACCCAAGATCGGCGGCGTTAATCGTAGCGCTCCGACTCGTCGTCATTCGGATTCTTAACCTCGTCCGGCTTCTCTAGTTATCGAAGTTCTATCCACGCCTCGTGGTCCAACTACTCGGCAGTCTACCAGAGAGCCTCGGAGTTTAGTTCAGAAGCAGAGAAGTTCTCGTTCCTTGCAGGACAGCTCCGGACGTGTCAAGACCGAGCGCAAATAGCGAAAGCCAATTACTAGGACTCCATACAACAAACGCAATCGAACTCAAGCTGAAGTGATAACGCTTGACGATGGCGATCGAGGTGCTTTCTCTCCGGAGGCCGATCCAAAGTCTGAGGTCGCGGGCGAGTTCGCTCTCGAGAACGAAGAGGGTCTGGTGGCAGCATTCAGTCTGCAAAAGAGAAACCAAGCCTTGAACGCCTTGTCCAACCGGACTCATTGGTGCATCCTGATAGTAAGCTTGCATCCGGGAAGGATGACGGATGGGCAGTTGTCACAGTCTTTTCCTTGCCCATGGTTCCGAACATACGGATTTTGGACATAAGGTGACCCTTCAAGCATGTCATTGAGGGGCTGAGTTCCGTTTCTACATGCAATCCCTTCTTAAGTTTCTTGTTCTTCTCTTCGAGCATTATGGCGTCGTCAACGTGAGTATTCTGGTCGCGCTATACACCTTTTCCGTCAAGTGACACATACAGCACATATCAATCTACAACTTAAGTAACGTTTGGGGACTAATGGGCCGGAGCAGGAAATTCTCCTCCCCCGAGCCCATCATGGGTGAAAACCTCCTCGGCGGTCAGCAGGCATATCTTCCCCACATGCATACGCTGACATGGTAAGCGCCACCAGGAACGCCAGACGTCGTGTCGTTGTCGTTGTACTCTCCGTCGCCAACGCCACTGGGCCTTGAGCCCTTCATAGCAGCGTTCGAGTCTTCGTCGGTTTCCTCGATACCATTTTGAGTCACGGCGTAAGCCACGATTTTCGAATGGCTAGGACAACCAGCTCTATCGCGTCATCTCCTCTGCTGTTTGGGCATCAGTTGGCGTTCCGGTGTTCGACCAGGGAAAAAACGATGAATATGAATTCATCAGGTTTCTGCAACGAGAATTGCCACCCATCTTGCTGCTATTAGTGCATGACAGCCTCGCTTTCCCGAACGCTTGCAGTGTGTGAAAATCTGCACCGCGAATTGGACACTCATTGGGCGCGCCCGAGCGTCCATCAAGATCGCACGCAGGTGGAAATAAAATTCAAGCAAGAAGGCACCGTTTATCGATCTGTGGCCGCCGTCTCGCAACAATGCAGACATCATGGCGAGACCAAAAGCCCCCTCCTCAGGATGCAACAGAAGATGATCATCGAGGTACCTGTCATGGTATCTTTTGGCCGATCCGATGACACGGCGGGTTGCCGTCGAACAATTTCCCACGGCGTTGCTTGTCTAGTGCCCCCAAAGAGAGTATGGTCAAGTTGGACTCAGCTTGCCAGATGGTCCCGGGACTTCTGTCATGGCTCGTACAATCCCTTTGGATTTCGGCATGATGCCGGCTCGATACTTCGAATACTTTATGGTCCAAGGCAAAACCCGACCGAACTACTACCAGTTCACGTTACGGCGGTATTCCTTATCCGCGGATGTCACTCTGGTCCTAGGCCCTTGCGACCGGATCAGTCGTTCGGTGTGCCACACAGGCTGCTCAAATCAATTGGTGCACCACTTTACCCTCGAGTCAGCAGGCATGTTCCTGTTCATCCGCATGTCAAGCAAATCCGTTCCTGATCATAAGCAACACTGCAATGCAGTAATCTTTTTCAATCGCCAAGCGACCTTGCGGCGGTACTGTCGAAGGTGCGGACTTACTCCCACGTTGAGACGACCAGGAATGCTCCTCCGAATTCGTCCCCTGCTGCTCCTACGACGAACCGGCGCAATGCCCAGAGCTCTCAATCATCAGCCTCTACTAGAGGAGGGTATTTCTCGTGGGTGGATCCTTCGAATCGCAGCATATTTGCGATCCATTGCAGGTTCGAACCGTTCTTCATAAGTCAGCTCGCTCGGTCACACGGTCGTTGAGAAGCGGGCTTATCACACACTAACCACCAGAAACGCCATATATATGCAAACAAATGCAGGCTTGGACTGCGGAAACCAGCAATGTCCAAAGTCTTGTCACGGTGTTATCGCACCCTACAATCAACAGCTTAGATGACAAGTCTGACAGTGAGTGCTTCAGCGCCGGCAATGATCGGGCTCAGCTGCGTACACTCCAAATTCAAGCCACATCTCCAGCCGATCTCATATATCTATCAACGCTTTCCCAAAATGGCTCAGCTTGCGCCGCAGGTTCGCTACGTGGTTGATAGAACCATTCTTGTGTACATGGGGAGGGTGGCTGGATACGCTTCCATGGGCTGGCTAGGGATCTCAGGCTTGACCTGGGAACTAGGCCGACAATATGAGTCGAGCAGAAAGGGATGCTTAATATCGAGGTACAGCAGGCCCAGGTGTACGTCAAGAACACTTACAAGCAGGCATGGACCTTGTTGGAAAACGTCTTCAATCGCGTGCAGGAAAATCGAATCAGTCTAGTGAGATGGTGGATGACGAGGACTATGACATGGACCTGAGCAAGGAGGTGGATTCGGTATTGAACCCGATCTACATGATCTCAGGCTCAAGTGACGTCGCCTTGGGATCAAATCAAAAACCCTTCACATCAGGTTCTTGTTGCCAACATAGTATCCTGCCCACAACGCACAAAAGAATGTCATTCGAGTCTCTTACGTCCCAATGCGTTCGCAGATCCAGTTGCTTATACAAAAGCCGTCCACTCTCAAGTCAACGCTCTCTCATTAGAGGTTGACTGATGACCACTGGGTATTGGCCTGCTTGTATTCTTCCACATGTGGCAGTGGGGAATGTCTAAAGTCCTCTCCTGGGCTATGCGCATTGATTGGAGTCCTTGCCAATTCAGTCCACGCAGTGAAAATGGTGACCGTGGTGACAGCATAGACCATACTGTCCAACAGGTTCATCCTGTAAGTTCTCGTCCAGCTGAACCAGTCGGAGATGATACAGAACACCAGGCCAGGGATTGATCGGATGAGAAACGCCACCGATGCGACGGTGTAGAAGTACAAATATCGCTTATATGTCTTGTCCCTGCCAGTCAGTTTGAATTTGAATGCCACGGTGACAAAGTAAACTCCAGCCAGCACTATCAAGGCATATGCGACTGTGTCAAATGCCGACAGAATTGAGTCAACATAAGATGGTATAATCTTGGAATAGGATGTTTCGACTCCCTTGTTTCCGATTTCGATGACCAGGTTTGTCCTTGTGTATAGGTCGCCGATGGCGCTTGCGAGATCTGAGACTGTGAATAGGATGTAAAATATCCAACCCCAAACCTTGAAATAGGTCTCGCTTGCAGCTCCGCTGACGGCGTAGATGTGCTTGTTGCGCAGGATAACGGTGAGCACGATATAGTCTCCAAGGCCTTGAGGCTTGGTCCGAGCAAAGTCGATGAGCATACTGGCAATGGGCTCCGTGCGTTGCTCGTATTGGATGAACTGGAGGTAGGCATTGACGAGGAAATAGCTTGTGAGGTGTAAGCAAGGACATGACAGTCACAGTGAAACGGTGCGTACATCAAGGCAAGGGCCATAGCTCCAGCCATGCTATGGCCTTTGAACCACTCGATGGCACCATGAGTAGAGTTGTTCTTCTTCGCTCGACTCCCGCGACCCATTAGCACAAATATGCAACATCCTCCGATTATGGAGACGACGAAGCTTGTCATGAGGAGGGTCTTGGGACCGTGCAAGACCCATTTCTGGTTCTGGAAATCGACGCAGTTGCCATAGTCATCCTGCTTGGAAGGATAGATGCAGCTGAATGGCGTCCGTAGAGATAACCGTTGGAATGAGCTCTTCATACTGACTGAGAGAACTTCGCGCAGTACAATCGACCACAAGAGTCCTGAACATCCACGAGAGAGGGAAAGCACCCTGGCTAAGTAGACAGAGATCATGTTGTGGAGTTTGCTGGACCATGGGAGCCTTCCTCTTTGGGAAAGTGCAAGGGCGAGGCGGAGGTCCTTTTGGACTCTTGGCAGGTATCACATCTAGGAGAGCAAGATGAAGATACTAACAGCTGCCAATATCGTACCATGGTTGGACGGTAACAACAGCAGTTCGGATATGCTTGAGGAAATGATAAGCAATGACTTGATGCTATTGCTCAGAGCCAGGCAAAGGTCGTGTAGGAGCTGGCCAGATGCTTCTGGTTCTTCGTATTCGGTAGAAATTGAAGCTTTAACAATCTTTACGATGACACCAGGGACGCGAGGGAGGAGGCAGAGCTTGGCACGTCCCGTACCCGCTACCCGTGGCTGAAGTTGCAATGGTGGAAAAGCCACGCTAAGCAAGCCCTCGCTAGTAGTCCCAACAACGCGTGGTACATGATGGAACAGGCTGCTATGCGGACTGAGTCAAAAAGAGGCGCTCCAGAGAGACCCGACCAAGCCTGTTCTTTGTCTCTCCTCGCTCGGTCTGACTGCATGACCATTGAAGGACTTACATCGATATCAAAGGAGACTTGTCTTTCCAACCCTCCCTTATCCTGCGGTTTTCTCGATACGAGGCCAGAGCTCGATGCAGCAGTTCAGAGCCAGCCTAGAGTTTTGCGCGATCTGCTGCCGCAGAAAACATGTTCGATTGAGCCTTTGCGGCAGCCGTACCGGCCCTCCTTCCGAAAACAGCCCCTGAAGTCAACCCACTCCCACCGGGATAGTTCTCATAGAAGAGACCACCCATCATCTCCCCCACGCAGTAGAGGCCAGGAATCTCTCTGCCAGATTCAGATATGACTTGTGCTGTCTCGGGTACAGTGGAAAGCCCTCCGAAGGTGAATGTGATACCACAGGTAACTTCAACAGCCATGAATGGACCCTTGTCTAGTGGCAATGCCCAGTTCGTTTTCCCTAGCGGCAATTTCATGGTCGAAGACTGGGTAGAGCAGCCATCCCGGACGGCGGGGTCCCATTGCTTGCCTGGATGTTCTTTTTGAAATGCATAAACAGCCTTGTTATATGCTTCCATGCTGGAAATAAATGCTTCCTTATTCTGGAGTCCACACTCTGCAAGCTTGTCGGCCATTTCGGGGATAGTATCCGCCTTGATCTGGCGGACACGTTCCTCACGATACTCTTCCGACCTTAGCCATGGAATCATCCGCTGATCCCATATCTGAAAGGCCTTTTGACCGGGTTGACCGAGGATTGCTCGGCCGAATTTTGCATATGTATAGTTGCGAAGGTCGATACCCTCGTCGACGAAGCGCTCACCAGCGAGATTGAACATCAAACCAAGGGGATAGCCAGACTTGGTAAACTCGTTCGAAGCCACTCGATCACCGGCATGTGAAGGTGCATTTGCGTCCCAAGCTACCGAATGACAACCTGACCAATTGCCCGCTTGCCTTGCTGATACATCTCGCATTGCCATTTCGAGACAGTCTCCAGTGTTGAAGGGCGTTCCACGCACTTTCGCGAGATCCCAGCTAGGTCCTAGAGATTGTGTTCGCATCCGGGGGTTGGCCTCGAAGCCTCCAGCTGCCAATATGACTGCTGTCGCTTTTATATCGACCTTCGTTCTGCCGTTCTCCAACACTGTAACGCCGGTGATGGCGCCACTTGCGGGATCTGTAAGAAGATGTTGGAGGGGAGTTGAGTAAAACACCGAAATACCATGCTTCCGAGCAGCGGCCTTGTGGTCCTCGACTAGGCCTTTACCACCATCCTCGGTCTTCAAAGCTAGTCCGCCCCAGAATTTCAATCGGCCATCTACCTCATATGCCTGTCGATTGAAAGAAAGTTGGAAACGGATACCATTGCTCTTCAGCCATTTGACAGCCGAAATAGAATCCCCAATCAAGATCTTGCTCAATGCGGGATCGGATCTCCCAGCGCATACTCTCTTCATGTCGTCTGAGAAGTCTTCGATTGTGTATGGCTCCATGTCGATTTTGGCAGCGGCAGCTTCGTCGACGTTGTTGACCAGTGGAAGGAGATCGTCTTTCCCGCCATGGACCGTTCGGTATGCGCCGGCGGTGAAATACGAGTTGCCACCGGCCCAATCTTCTGGGCACTTGTCGATGAGAATGACATTTTTGGCTCCGGCTTGTCTAGCGGCAACAGCTGCGGAGAATCCAGCATTTCCACTGCCTGCTACCAGGACGTCGCATGAGGAGGGCAGCGACATGGTGGCATGAATGTAGTCAGACCTGGATGAGTGGTTTTAGAAAACCTACAATCCAACAGCCTAAACCAATATACTCGTTCGATAGAAGTCTTGCCACCTCTATGCCCTCGAGGAAGCGGCCCAGAAATGGAGGAGAAGTTGGAGATGGATCTCATCTCGTTTAAATGTAGTCATCGGTTGTCGGCGTTTCTCCGTCCTCGGCTTCAGGTGTGGCGATCAGGCGAAGGTCGATGCGGAGATTCAACCTCCGCACAAGTGTCGCGGTTGTTATTCCACCCAGTGCGGTCACAGGTTCTCCGTCCTTTCTTCTCCTTTTCTTGTACATTCATGCACTGCGACGGGTGGCCATCCCTTCTGCTGGAAGCCGTGTACATTGGCATATTGCGAACATTTCCAGTGATGATATTCCCTGTGCCTTCTTGACAAGGTTATGGCGTCGATGGTGAAGCAAAGACCCTCTTGCGTAAGCGTGGAGAGGTTCCTTTGGACATGGCAATTTTCACCTGCTCTTAGACGTCCTCCATTCCCTCCACAAGCTATCTCTTTACTACCTGGTACTGTGCAATCTCGAACCAAGTTCTTTAGGTAAGTGGCCACGGCCTTGATCTGCAGACCCGCCAGCTTCAATGTTGCCAGAAGACAATTTCGTCCGTGTCTCTCTGGCAGACTGGCACGGACGAATTGATCTTTGTCAGCCAAAGAACACTTTCCTATATAACTACGATTTTCTGCGTGGACAGTGTGAGTTCTGTTCCTAGTCTTGCTTTCACGATCACTATTCTCACACGCAAGGTTGATTGTATACCATGGCCACTACCGTTATCACCAATGTACGGCTGTTTGACGGCGAGAACGTTCAGAGTGTTACGAACGTGGTAATCTCTGGCACCACAATATCTGGTATTTGCAGCCATGTCCAGATTCCCGAGGGTGCTACGATCATCGATGGCGAAGGTTGCACATTGTTACCCGGGCTGATTGACTCGCACGTTCATACCGGCCTCGAACAATTGGAGCTCGCTCTCAAATTCGGAGTAACAACCGAGCTGGAGATGATGGGCCATTGGGAGCTTGATCAGCGAAGGGAGATTTCGAAACGAGATGACATCGCTGACCTGAAAACGGCAAGCTTCGGTCTCACACGGCCGAATGGTCATCCTTATCAGCTCACCAAGGCCCACGATGCCCCTCAACCCGACGCAGAGCATCCTCATGCAACAGACGAGAAACAGACATTGCGGCATGCCGAGACGAAAGAACAGGCAATCGAGTTTGTGCGACAGCGTGTGGCCGAAGAGGCGGACTATATCAAAATTATGATCGAAGAAGGCTCGGTATTCCAAACACCCGGTCTTCCCCTGTTGTCCGACGAAGCAATGGTGGTTGCAGTTCAAGAAGCACATCGCCACAATAAGGTCACCGTCGCGCACGCCTTGACTTACAGTGCTGCTGAGAAAGCTATTGCCATCGGTATTGACGGGCTGACTCATCTGTTCATCGATCGTGGCACGGACACTTCGTTTCTGGACAAGATGCAAGGCAAATTTGTGACGCCTTGCCTGACCCTCGACGCTTCATTGCTAGGACTAAAGCCTACTGCATTTGCAGCAGATCCTCGGGTGGCGGCCAGACTACCGCCTGTCTGGTACAACCATCTCCAGGGCAGTATGGACAAGTATACTCAAGGTGATCTCGACGTTGTCCTTAAATCAGTGGCGGCATTGCATAAAGCGGGGATTGACATCCTGGTTGGTACCGACAGCTCCTTTCCTATACCCAACCTTGCTGGCATCGCTCATGGGGCAAGCGTCCATCACGAGTTGCAACTTTTGGTACAAGCGGGTTTGACGCCCCTGGAAGCGCTGCGTGCGGCGACCAGTGTTCCAGCTCGTCGCTTCGGTCTTTTCGATCGAGGCCGTGTTCACGAGGGGCTCCGGGCGGATCTATTGCTTGTTGATGGCGACCCAACAAGAGATATCAAGTGTACATTATCGATCAAGTCTATTTGGAGGCGTGGTTGTTTGCTAGATATTGCCAAGTAGTAGAACACAAGCGTAACGCGGATTGTTGGGACACGGGCCAAATTCAAAAATTTTACAACATCAATTTGTATGGCGACTGATTTATATTGAGGGTTTTCAAAGCTACAACCACACTACTACTCTTATACTTATTAGTCGATCGGTATATATATTATTATATTGAGTTAATATAGGCGTACTAGGCCTCGAAAGTAGTTATCAAAAGTGCATTATATCCCCTGCGCAGTAGGATTGGCACTTTTTTTCTTGGCATTCCCAATTATGCAACCTCATGTACTCCCTCATGCTATTGTACTACCATTCATGCTTAACTACATACATTTTGATAGGAGATCTTCATGCCAATTAGTATAGCAAGGTCCGTGAGTACATAGGTTAACACCACAGACCATACAACCCGTTTGGACGTTCCTTGATCGCGCCCCAGGTCGTGACTCGTTGACAACCTCCGCCAGGGGCGTACGTCTACGTATTGTGATACCCTGCTGACAGTCTTGAGAGTGCTTACTACCCCAGGCACACCGCCGTCGCCGTGGCATTCGAGATAGCTTATAGCCTATACCACGAAGAAGTAGGTGACGTATAAGTTGCTTCTCAAATCGCTCATGATCACGTCTTTTCGCTCGCTCCTCGGTAGACTGAAACTCACGCTAGATAACAAAGCTATTAACGAGGCAGACGTTAAATAGCCAGTATAGTAGCGGCCGCCAACTACGTTACTCGTAGGGAAGATAATAGCTAAACTCGTGCCTATGTTGATTGGCAATATCGATAGCGTTCATGCCGTAATTATAGTCTTCGATAAACAAGGGAATGCGGCAGTCTTTGATTTGGTTGTCGTCGAATACTTCCCGCGCTATAATAGCATTAGTTGACGAGTCCTTTAGACGCCGCCGTGGCCGTACAATAAAGTCCTCCTCTTTATGTACGGAGTAAGCTATCGTGATACCAAGGACAACGTTATTATCCTGCCAGGCAAAGCAAAGAGCGTAGTTAATAACACTAGCGAGAAGACCGCCGTATTCAAGAGCCCTATTAATCTCTTTGACGTCGAGTAAAATCTGTGGTAGACTAGTTGACCTTTTTCGTATTGTCCCTATAATACCTACGTCGAGTAGTAAGAGGGTATATACGACCTCGACATTCAGAAATAGGTTGTCCAGGAATAATAGCTATTTTCGCTAGGGAATTCGGTTTATCAGTCTCTAACAGAGCCTTAGAGGCACTTGAAATGTCTCCGCTAGGTAAACAGGATAGTCGGCGCCATACTAAGGGAATAGTACCTATTTACCCTTGACACAGTATTCGGTGCCCACCTAGCGTGAGTATAGTAGCCAATCATAATAGTAGCCTCCTTATACACCGAGTATCTAGGCTTTATAGCCCTCTGAGATAGGTTTATTAGGTGCTTTAAGCGTATGAATCGATCGGCCACCGCAAGCGATTATAGCCTCGTCGATAGTAAGCCACGATGACGGCGTAATAGCTTCGTAATAATTAGTACGTACGATTGAGTATACTGGCTCGATCTTGTACCACTAGGGGTTGCTAGGTTGTCGAGGTTGTATGGTACAGGATATAAATCGATGGATTTACTCCCAACGTAACTACGACATAAATTGCCCTATGAAGCTACTAGATCCTGTCCATTGGTCCTATCTACGCTTGCCCATATGATTGCCCATATAAAACAGCAGACCTAGCCAATAGAGAAGTTCCTCTCGCGTCAGCGGAGACCAACCGCGAGGGTTTCCTTAGGCACCTTCCATTTGACTGATAGCCCGCGTATTTATCGCGTTTACTAAGGCCATAAGCGATACCTCGCTAATGAAACGTATGAAAAGGCTAAACGGGTCCCTCTCTAGCCAACGGATAACAAATGCCGTTGATTTGACTTTTATCAAGGGCGTGTACTCAGGTAGTGGTTAGTCCACGAGGTCTTTGACAGCGAATAGAGCCGCCTCGGCAACCAACCGCGTTTTTAGCGCAGGAAGCCGTTTTTCTTGCTCTTTTTTGGCTTTTGGGCGTGGAGTAGCAATATCCTGCTCCCAAATGAGTTTTGGGTGTTTTATACGTTCAGAGCGCCGAGTGGTAGTCATATTTACTATGGTAGGAGCATACAAAGTTAACTTAGTTGGGGTAAACAACGCGTGTCGTGAATGCCAAGAAAAAAAGTGCCAATCCTACTGCGCAGGGGATACGTATACCATTATCCGGAAATCACGTACTCGGCTAACCTACTATATCGGCAGTCCGTTAGGCGGGACGGCACCCCCGCACGAAATTATTTAGGTATCGGGTTAAGCGTGAACGGGCACCCCTAAAAGTGCGCCTAACAAAAATCTACTTTAGGCGTAACGGGCAACTCATTGAGGACGCCTGATAAAAACCACTTTAGGGGTGACGGGCACCCTATTAAGAACGCCTAACAAAAAACCACTTTGGGGGTGACGGGTACCCCAGTAGGCATGCCTAATCTAATGCCTACGTGAGGGTAAGCGCGGAGTGGGGTGCTCTCATCGTGCCGCCCACACCAACGAACCCTGAGGAGCGGTGGCCACTATTGATGGATGCGCTTTCGGAGAACGTGCCCAACCCGAAGATGGTGCTTTGCCTGCTCGAGTTGGGCGCGGATCCCAACTTCAAGATATCAGGCATAGGGTCCCAGACACCATGGATCGTCGCTCTCACCAAATGTTCCCTCTTGTGCACCCTTCATACCGATATCTTAAGTTCTGAGGTATATCTACAAGTGGAGCAAAAATGCAAGGAAACTCTCAAGCTTCTTTACTCTTGGGGAGGTCACCGTGCCAATGTACCAGAATCACGACTCATCCCCATCAGCAGGCAGATCTTGCGAGAAATAAGGAATGAGACTCCAGTGAAAAAAAGCCCAGACAGCACGGGCAGTTGGTTCAGCCTGCCACGCTGGGGATCAAGCTCGAAAAGATGATCTTCCGTTATGGCATATCAGACCTTGAAATCTGATAATAGGCGAACGATGTTATGAGATGAAGATATGGAAGAATCTGAACGTGCCTACGAATACCAGCTGAACAGCAAGTCGCAATATACCTACAATCGAAGATGGCCATGGCAACACAAACGCACGCATGGTGTGACCTGACGATTGCTCCTGAGCATATCAAGCGGTAAGGAAACAATGACACAATTTCGTTCTCTCATTACAGGTCAAAGATCGTTTCTAAGCAAGCGCTTGCATCTGAGAGCTTTGTTCGTGTGCTACGGCTCCGAAAGAAGCAACACCGTCTTTGATTGATACAAACACTATCGCCAAACTGCCAGGAAGCATTCCCTCGCACATATATTCTTCACTCCCTCAAGTACCTCAGGTATCCCTTCTCAGCGAAACAGCATCCAGCTACATCAAGATACTATCAACTCAAGCATTCTCTCAAACACCCTTTGAAACGACAAAACATGGACTTCTTGGACGGACGCCGTGTCAGGCTCGTGCGCAGAGGTGGCTGCCGCGTCGACGATGCCATGATGTGGTACGGCCCGCGTGTACGCCTTGCGACGCTGGCCATCCCGGAGCGTCGTGGACGGAGACGCCGACATCGTTGTTACTGCGATGATGATTCTGACTCGGAGTAAGTCTGTTGGCTTCCTGGTGGTCTTGACGGAAGGCTGATGTTGGAAGCTACTCGGACTATGAGGATCGGTATCGCCACCGGCCATCACGAATTACTCTGAACAATTATATTTCTCTTTGGTAACTGGAAGGGTTCAACATCTTCGAGTGAGTCACTTCTGTCTCTCTCGTTATCTGATCATCAGGGGCTGACAACATTTCCACGGCAGCTGCTACTGCCATGTCTTCCACATGAAGCAGAGGTTCCATACGAGCACCGAGAAATGTTGATGCGGTCTGCAGAAGAGGATTGTCGATGCCAGGAAGCAATATGATCCGGTCATAGGAGGATCAAGTGTCACGTCGTGCTGTTATTAAGTCATGGGACTCCCAAAATCCACCATGCGGGCTTACAGAATTGAGAATGTCTATGTTACAATTTCATCCCGTTAATTCATGCCCGAGGGGTCGCTTCTTCTCCTGTTCACAGCTCCCCAGAGAGTACGACCTTATTCTCAGCCGGCACAGCTTCTTCATCGCCCGTGACGGTCCTCTTGTGCTGCAACATCCACCGGTACACTTCAGGGTTATTGTAAGCTTCGGTCCAGCTGTCATGCCTGAGCTCCGGATATCTCGAGAATTTGACCTCGGGAGCGTCCGCGTGCTCAAGCGCCCTAGCCATCTTCTGCGACGCTTGCACGGGTATGATATCGTCAAGATCACCGTGATGGATCCTGTTTGCAAATGTCAGCCCTCCACTTTCGTGCTTGGGAAACTACTCACCACTGCGGTATATGCTTGATATGGCTCACTCTCAGATGATCTCCTCCGCCACAGATGGGCATCAGCGTAGCGAACCTGTGCGGCGTATGTAGTGCGAGCTCCCACGTCCCGTACCCACCCATGCTGAAACCAAACCCGTGACATGGATACGGTCCAAGTCAACACGATATCGCTCAACAATCTCGTCAAGCAAGGCTGACAAGACCGATGCATTCCACCCGTAACCCCATTCCATGTTTAACGATGGAGTCACCGTGATGAAGTTCTCGGCCAACAGCGTGCATACTTCTGGCGGTACCGGCTCAACAGATTTGTCGGCCTGTTTCGCTTGCTTGCTCCGTTTGACAAAAATCGGCAAATCGATGTTGATCGCCGGCGTCTCGTTTGACTTGAGCTTGTCGTAGCACAATATCACTTTGGGGATACCGTGCCGGATTGACAAGAACGAATCATTGCGTCTGACACCATCACGTCCGACACCGCGTTGGGACTCGCCGGCGCCATGAAGGAACAGGATCAAGGGCCATTGTTGGCTTGTGTCTTCATCGTACTTTGGTGGTAAGGACACGAAATGTTCATACCCAAAGGCGGCGTTTGAAGTCCTCTGGTCGTAAAAATCGAACTTGATGTGCTTGGTTTGGGCATAGGGGTGGCCTGGGTCTTTTGGTATGCTTACATTTTCGCCAGGTAGAGCCATCACGTTGGGAGGAACGTTTTTGGCTCCGCGCTTTGCCTGGTGGAAGTCATGGAGTGAGTTCGGATTTGTCTCTGGGTCGTCAGGTTGTCTTCTAGTGATAGGCTGGGTCATATTGTCGTGCGAGTTAGGTTCTTTGGTCCCGAGATATTCACGTCGAGATCAGGCAGAGGGGGTGCTAGCAGGACCTAGGTTGCGAGTTCTGATCGTGCCATTAGCTGTACCTTTCGATGTATTAACCAGTGTTGGTGGAAGGTTTCGTAGCCATCCCATCAGGGAGAAAATTGATGGTCCATCTTACAGCTTCAACGCGGGGCATGGGCACCTTGAAACGAGGACAGACGAAACTGAATGCGTTCGCAATCTGGCGCATCTGCTCTGATCACAAGACACATTGCATAGATGGTCCCTGTCAGTGTTGAAACGAACAAGTCGTAAGGGACATTCGTCCTGACCAGTTGGAGGCATCACCCCGAAAGCGACCACCGAGGCTAACCACGATAGGCAGCATTACGTAGTGTGCGATAGGCATTCTTATCACTTAACATGCCGACCCTGTTGGACATATTCTGTACATGTTGCCCTTGTTTACCCATCGCTCCTAGAGGGAGCAGTCATGCAGTGGAGATGGGCAACACCCAAAGCGCGCATAAAATCTCTGCGCAGGACAGGTACGAATCGTCCACTTCCTATTCTCGGTCGCTGCTGACACCAACAGGGCAATCCTGGACATGAAAAACCAACGCGACAAACTACGACAATATCAGAAGAAAGTCACCGTCATAACGAACCGTGAGACCGAGATTGCACGCGAATGTCTAGCCAAAGGCGACAAGCCCAAAGCACTTCTCGCCCTGCGCCGCAAGAAGTACCAAGAATCCCTCCTCTCCAAGACCGACGCCCAGCTCGAACAACTCGAGAAATTGACGAGTAGCGTGGAGTTCGCGCTGGTCCAGAAAGATGTAATGTTCGGGCTACAACAAGGCACGCAGGTTTTGAACCAGATACACAAGGAGATGGGCGGTTTGGAAGGCGTCGAGAAAATGTTGGCCGATTCGGAAGACGCTAGAAAGTACCAGGACGAGATCAGCGAAGCGCTCGCCGGACAGATGTCTAACGCAGACGAAGATGAAGTTGAGGACGAACTTGAGGCTATGGAACGAGAAGTCTCCGGAGTGAGTGTACTACCTGATGCGCCGAACAAGACGATCGTGGGAGAGGGCACTTTGCCTGACGCGCCTACTACCGAGTTGGAGAGATTACAGAAGCAGAAGGAACGAGCACGACAAAGAAGAGTGGCGTTGGAAGCTTGAACTTCTGGATACACTGGTGGTACATCGGGCATTTAGCGCTGGCATAATTTAGGCAGAATCTACTGCCCTGGCATCGACTGATTCGTGTTGGTCAATCCCTGGATCAACTTGTGGTCTTGAGGGTTTGCGGCGGCTTCATAGAGAACACTGACTGGTTCCCGGTTGAGAGCCATAAAATCTCCTTTGAACCCCAGGTACGCTATCCGCGTGACATCCTCTTCGCCGGCTGAGTGGTTGTCTTCGAAGAAGAGATTGATGGAGGTGGTCCCGTTCCACAGAGCACGGTTCAGAGGGATTTCTGCAACATCGTTGCTCTTGGGTAGGGTTACAGTCTGGGTTGGTTTGAGGTCTGTGGCCGTACTGAAGTCCATATCGTCTCGATTTCGGAAGAGTTTCAGGGTCGATGGTGCCGAGTCCGTGTCTGAGGTACGGATGAGTATGGAGTACAGTTTGCATGATCCGCCGAAGGGGACGTGCATGAGGAGTTGCTCATCTGCGTCGCTTTCAAGGATAGGTTGTTCGTTGAGCCTCTCGTCCCATGATTTCTGGACAATTGCTGCTCCGGACCGTGGCTCAGCCTCGTTCAGGGTGATGATTCTATCGAAGTTGATCTGCTTATAAAGGTTGGACTGTAGTGCTGGTTCCAAGTCGTGTGAATGATCGTGGCCGTCACCATGTCCATGGCCGTGGCCGTGACTATGATCGTGACCGTGATGATCGTGATGATGTGAAGACATGGGCGTGGTTCACGGATACCCGTGTTTTCGAGGAGGCACTCAATTCAGATGCAGGACGCAGACACCAAAACAACTTTGATTTGATCACCATATCCCGGTTTGATCTCCAACATGAGAGTCTCTTCAGCTTGCTGAGCACTTCCGCAATTTGTGAATCTTTGTCTGGAAAGTATGCATTCTTGCAAGCATTCTCTTGAAATGAATGGCGTGGGAGAACGACTATATATGACATATTGTTGCCGATTTAACGTATATCACGTGCCAGATACATCCCACAAAAGCAGCATCATACCCTCAGACCATACGAGATGGCTTCCCTGGCTTCCACCTCAACGGACCCTCCTTCCTATGCTTGCCTTCCTACCTAGATGAGTGCGCTCAATAGGCAGCCATCATGCGTGGCAGAAAGAGCAACTTCGTTGCTTGTGTCTACTGCAGACAGATGAAAGTATGTTCCATCCCCTTGTCAACAAGCCATGACTGGCCTTCAGAGGCCTAATAGTTACCTAGCTGGCATGTGATGGTCCACAAAAGTTCCCTTCGCCATGTTCAAGATGCACCAAGGCTCAGCGGATCTGCTCTGTTGACCCAGCATTCAAGCGTACGAAAAGGCGAGAGTATGTGCCCGCAAAACGACCCTGCAGTCTGTCATGTTCTGACCATGTAAAGACGGCTCACTGCAGTCGAGAAAGAATTGCAAGAACTCAAGCAGACTCTGAACACTCGAGAAGCATCAAGTCAACCGACGCACAGCACCAATCATGACACTGTGATACCGCCGACCGGAGTGCTGACGCCACTCGAAGTGCAAATACCAGACTTATCGCTGCTGAGTGAATTGCCAGGAGTCGACCTGCCAGAACAAGAAGCGCAAGACCTCATCAAAGAGTACGTCTACTCCGGAGCGTCCAGAACAGCGGTGCCGTTCGATGTCACTTCTGGCCGAACAGTGAAGCTGTTCCGACTTGAGGCGTCAACGTCTAACACATGACAGATACTTTCTCCGCTACGATTCATTCTGTCCCATCTTGCCCGACTCATCCAAATTCCTGGAGTATGCAAAACCATGTCCGCTCCTATTCTGGACTGTCCTGGTCACTGCTTTAAGAGGACACCCTGAGCGGAAGGATCTCTACTCGTCAATCGCCGACAAAGTCCGCACAATGGCGTACGAAGCACCGAAACCGACCAACGTTTCTCTACAATTCATGCAGGCACTACTTCTTCTCTGTCAATGGCCATTACCGTACCTGAGAATGGAAGACCCCTCTCACGCGTTTGCGGTTCTAGCAACACAGATGGGTTTGCGGATGGGGATGCATCGTCCTGATCATTCCTTCGAGTACGGCTTCGATTCCTACAATGGCGGTCACGAGCTCCTCCGTCGGAAAGTATGGGCTTGTTGTTTCACCACAAACGTCAGGTACGTGACAAGCCATGAACCATGTCGGACAGTGACACATGCCTCAATCCATTGTGTTAATGCTGTGGACAAACCCACGACTAACGCGCTGAGCAGTGTCAGTGGTGGACTAGGCCTACCAGCCACCATTCAGCTAGACCACAGCCTTCTACAGATGTCATCAACCAAACCAGAATGGCTCCCAGATACACTCTATCATCAGCTCCACCTTTCGATACAGGCTCTCAATATCTGCAATACCCTCGGATCCTGCGAATCGACGAGTACCGGCCTCCTCCCGACCCCGCTCCCAGTCATTCGAAATTTCGAGAGCGAATTGCGCGCCTTGGAGTTCCGATTTTCAACTTCATGGTCACCTAGCGACCATATCGTCCTGTTTGGTTGCCGAATGATTCTGTACACATTTGCGCTATCAATTCCAGACAACGATACCGCGCCTACGGTAGAAGCATCGTCACACTGGCTGGTCCAAGCCTTCATGGCGGCCAGCGACATTATACGCACGGCCTCGACTATCCAGGAGCAGCTTTTCTACGCACCCTCACGTATCCAGAAGATTCTCATCCATGCCGTATGTTATCTTCTGCTTGTGAGGTGCTCCCCCCACCGCGAGCTGGTCGATAATAGCATGCTGGTCAATGGCATCAGTCAAGCCAGGCAAGTCGTGCAGACCCTTTCAATTGCCACCGGCGACTTCATGGCACGCGCAGTCAGGTTTATTGACCGTCTGAGCCAGTACGGAGACACTATGAGTCGAGGTAGCGACACTGAACCATTTTTTACCATCAAATCGAGGATGGGCGCCAATCTCTCCTTGACTTCACTCTTGCGGTTAAGAACCTATACCAAGCAGGCCCAGGCCCAGGTCCAGGATCAGACAACCGCTCAAGATGCTCTGCCAGGGAATGATGTCCTGAACATGGGCCTGGACGAAGATATTTTTGCTTCCGTCAATTGGGATGAATTGTTTCTGGATATGGCGGCCCTTCCAACGTTTTGAGCTTGTTGGTGTTTTTCAACGGCATGTGCCGCAAGGGAAGACCTTGACGTACTACGAAATCACCATCCTTCAACGACCTCTAACTTGACCCGGACGCCGTCCGCCGGTGCAGCACTTATACCACGTCTGTTCAACTCGAGTTCTCTATCCGGATCCTCCAGTGCCATTTCAAAGCGCCCAACGACCGCAGCTACCAAGCAAGCCAACTCTGCTCTCGCAAACGTTGCGCCAATACAACTGCGTGGACCATGCAAGAAAGTCAAGAACCCATAGTTGTTCTGCACACCTCCGGTATTCGAGCAGCCTTCGCGCATCCATCGTTCAGGATCGAATTCATCCGCATCGGGACCCCAGAGTTCTGGATCATGATTGGTCATGCCGGGCGCAAGAGTCAGGACCGTGCCCTTCGGAATACGGTGCCCGGCTACGATTGTGTCCTGAACAGCTTCTCGGGCTGTGGACAGCACTGAAGGGTAGTAACGCAGCACTTCGTTGCAAAAGGCCTGCAGATATGGCAGACTGTCGAGTTCGTCGGCCGAGATGGTGTCGTTCCCGGTCACCGAGGGGAGTTTGTCACGAACCTCTTCGCGCAAGCGTTTCTGGAGGTTGGTGTTCTTGCATAAACTATACACAGCCCATTGGAGAGCGTCGGAAGTGGTGCCATGCCCGGCTGCTAGGAACGTCATCATTTGGTCCGCGAGGTTCTCGCTGGTGAAAGCGTCGCTTTGCAATGCCACGGAGATGATGTCAACATCTGTGCCCGACGAGCCCTGCTTCATTTTGGCTTGCTTTTCCTGAATGATGCTTCTGCAAACATTCCTGACATAATTGGACGCAGCTGTGATTGACCTCATCTGGCTGACCGGCATCTTTGAAAGAATGCCGACGACGTTACTTGAAAACAACCCCAATGTCAATGCAAGGAAAACTTCAAGTCGAGTTGGATCTGGGCGCATATTTCTGTATTGCCGACTGAGCGAATTGTTCGGATCTTGGAGCGAGTCAAAGTCGTGGTCCATTCCAGTGAGGCCGATTATGTCCATGGTGGCTCGACTAGCCCAGCCTCTCATTTCGATCACATCATTATTACTCAGCTTGTGGGCCTTGAGTTCCTTTTCAATACCTTGCGCCAGCTCTCTCGCTTTAGACCAGAACGCTGGGTACAAGTTCTTGATGTGGCGGTAGGAGAAGGCTGGCATGAAACTCTTACGCTGCATCTGCGGAGGGTGTCAGTCCCGGCTTGCTCCCAGGGGAAGAGATGGGAGGAGAACAGACCTTGTGTTCTTCCCCATCGACTAAGAGCAGGCCATTGCCCGTGACGTATTTCAGTCGGATCTTTACAAAGTCGGGCTTGGTGAAGTGTGCTTCATTGGCCACTAGGATCTCGCTCAGTGCTTTGGGACTTGTTACGAGCAGTCGCTCCTGGTATCCTGGCAGGTAGAATCTGATGAGGCCGTTATTCGGAATCGTCTTGTTCCAGTGTCGGAGAGGTATCATTCGGGTCTTTCGGTCGTAAGGGTGGGATCCTTTGAGAAAGGAGTGTTTTGGTGGAGTTGGGATATGTCTTAGTGGCGTAAAGAATCGGGGATATAAGACTGTGGTGTAGATGATGTGGACCAGGAACCATAAGGCTAGAAGTGTGAGAAGGTGTCCTGCAATTGTAAAACTGCGCTGAGGTAGGGGTGTCGATGAATCCATGACGGCGGTCGTTACTGTGATCGTACCTACCTGGCCACGAAGATTGCGATTCTGAATCGTGGTGCAAGGCTTTCCATTATATGTGGTGGACATCAACGTTGAAGGGGGGTATGTCCCTTGTAGCGATTCGGCAAAGAATGCGAAGTTCGCTCGGGGTTTTTGTGGTCCGAGTGCTGAGATCGTCCAACCTTCGTTGGCCACATCGATTCACCTTAGATCATCAAGACTGGCTGTTAACACGAGATTGAGACCTCGGTGTCTTCACGTCCAGAATGACTTCTCTCAAAGTCGGTCTTGGTCTCATCTTACTGCTCGGGTGGAAGAATGATCGTGGAACGTGCAGTCCCTGAACCACTCTCAGCATGGCGCTGACCTGCACCAGGGTAACTCCCCCTAGATCCTTATTGGAGTTCAATCCCTTCAGTGGAAGCACTTCGTGCGAATGTTTGGGACGATCCGTGTGCTATCAGGTCCATCTCTTCTCCAGGGCAATGTGATGTCTGAGAATGTCTTTTTCCCCACTACTAATGGTGAACGTTCTCCCCCTCCTCAGGTTGTGCGTCGGTTGGTTCAGAAAAGTAATGCCACAATGCCTTCGTCCAGAAGACAGTCTCAGCGGTCCCAATGATGCCGATGGATATTAGGATAGTAATCTTCACGGCACGAGTGGCACCCAGTCCGGCAAAACTGAAGGGAGTATATGGCGAGTCCTCGGCTTTCGAGGTGTGCGACCCTTGGGTATCGGCGTTGGGTCTGCTGCTGGATGGTAATCTCGAGATTATGAGAATAGGTCGAGCCTTGTTACTTCTCATGCAAATGTTGCGCAGAGTCGTGCATCGAGCCGGCAGCGTAATTCGGCTCATTGGGGTGGTAGCTTTCAGACGCCGCAGTATGGTCGACATGATTTGCGTCCCTCGGGTGGATCACAACCTTTTGTATTATGGACAAAGGGAACGGAAAAGTAAGAGGTCAACAGGTCTTGTCAGGAGGTAGCAGGAAGAAGGATGCAATTGCAAAGGACGAGCGTGAAATACGTGCATTCATATACTTATCTCTCAACTGTGAGTGACTTCGCACCATCTCAGCATGGGTTATAGCGCACTTTGTTAGAAGCAATCATTCTGCAAGAAAGATCAGCCTGCACTCTGGTGTTTGTTGGGCAGGACGAGCATGCCGTCGACTGAGATGGTCTGCAAAGAAAGCGCCAAAGATGCCGGCAAATGCCCAGGAACAAGTTAAGCTTTCTCGCATTCGTACTTGTAATCGAATTCGCTACATATACTTTGGTGCTCTCCTGCCTTCTTTCCTCCTTTCTTCAGGCGTTCACTCCTCATCGCCTACCGGACTGCATCGCGACAACGCAGTTGTTAGTAGAGGCATGGACAGTGTCCACGGCTTTTGTGATGCCGCCACGCCGCTCGCATCCCAAGTCCCGCAGAGGCTGCTCGACCTGTAAGCAACGACATGTCAAATGCCCAGAGGATGGTCCACCATGTGCAGCTTGCAAAGCCAGAGGAACGCCTTGCGAATATGTAGCGCCGGCACCGGGTGTGCAAACCTCGCCGTGCATCAGTGGTCCTGCGGCAGCGAACATCGATGGAGATCCAGAAGCCATTCAACCAGTTTTTCCGCAGAGCTTCAATGCGAAAATGGGATCTGTCCAGCACAGCCACATACTGGAGCTGCAACTCATGAACAGATGGTCAATTGTCACCTACAAGAGTATGTCCACTCCAATCGCCAACGACGAATACATGTGGCAAACAAAAGTGCCGGCAATGTCACTCGAGCACGATTTTCTCCTGAACGGGCTTTTTGCAATAACCGCATTTGAGGTCGCAACCTCCTACGAGCGCGACCGCCATTGCTACGTAAATGCTGGAATTTCATACCAAACCTTAGCTGTCAGCAGCTTCCGTAACGAGCTGCCGAACATCCAGCCGGACAGTTTCGAGGCTATGCTTTGCTTCTCGTTGATGCTCATGGTTCTTGCACTTGCCTCTGCAAAGTTCTCCTCGGAGGGGAATGACTCTGGATCCGTGGATATGGTACAGAACATGCTGACTCATTTCGAGCTGCTGCGTGGTTGTGCTGTCGTCATGGAAAGTCAACCTACCTTTATCGAGCGATCGCCCTACATTCGAAGACTGAAGCGCTTCTCAGAACTACCCCAACTACCATTGAACGCGGCGGTTGATGCCGCCATCTCCAAGCTAAGCGAGACGAACGAGTTGCGGGTCGCATCTACCGTTGCCGACTCCTACGAGCGCCGCTTGGAGCAAGTCGCTTTCTGGAAAGCATGTAAAACAGCAATCTTGATGCTCCGAGAATGTTGGGTCAAATGTGCAGATGTCAACTACAAGGGATATGCTCTAGCATGGCTGAACATGGCTGGCGAGGACTATGTCAAGGCAATCAAAGCTAACGACGATATCGCTCTTCTTACGCTAATGTACTGGGGCGTTCTGGCGGAAACACTGGGACAAGACATCTGGTGGGCGAGGGGTTTTGGTTGCCTTCTTGTGGATCAGATTTCGACCCTGAGATTTGATGACAACATCCAGGCGCCTGGAAAGGAACTGGTTTTGTCGGCGTGGAAGCTGATTCAGGAAAGCTCTGCTACCCGAGCCATGGCCTGAGCCATGATCCAACCACCGCATCTCTCTGTGCCTGCTGGATTTGCACCACCTTGAGCAGAGGCACCTAATAGTGGCAGGCCTCCCGATTGACATCAAGCGGGTTTGCGGCTACGGACACGAATACGGACACGGAAACGCTAGGCCGGACAAGGTCACCCACATGCCCTTAGGCCCACCACCCATGTTTCAGGACAACACCTGGCAGGTCGCTTCATTGATCTCATTCTGTTGTCTACGCGTGGCTGGTCGTGATTGCTAAGAAGCAAGCAGCGCCCATGAAGACCATAAAGCACGCCGCCTGCCTTAGAGATGGCGGACTCGAGCCACATGCTTGATGCTTGTTCTGCTACTTTCCGACCCCAGGACATCTACCTGAGTAGCAACCCCCAATCGCCCCAACGGCAGCTAGAGGACCTCGTACCATCGAGGTCATTTCAGCATCTATGGCTACCGATATATCAGAACATGTTGCTGCACCCCAGTCATTTTCGAACGGAAGCCAGCATGTCGACAGCCTGTCAACCTCGAAACCTACAAACTCCGCTGGACTGCATAACTGGCGACCCGGTGTGGCCTATGACACAAGGTCGCCATCAAATCTGGCAGCGTTGACCTCCATATTGACGCTCCCCAGCGTCTTACTCTGGATCTGGGAAGGTCGCCGTCAGCCTTGGGACAAGACACACGTCGGTACTCTGGCCTGGACGTACATCACCGTGGGCACTCTTGGCATGGCGTTGGTCATTGTGCTCCAAGGAGTGCTTGCATATCCACTTGCGCTGTTGTTGTTCCGAACCGATGCCAAAGAGTATATCAAGGAGTCCACGACCAGTGAAGACACGATCAAGATACAGCTCATTGCAAGAGAAGGATGGAACTGTCCCGTCGATGGCAATATTGGGTGTATATATTTGTCTTCTCGTTCATCATGGCTGGTTTGCTGGAGGAAGGACTCAAGTACTGGGCGCTTATTGCTGCTCGCAAATATGGAAAAGTCACCACAGATCGTGACTATCTCATTGTTCCGGTCACTGCTGCTGTGGGTTTCGCAACAGTCGAGAACATCGCTACCGCATATGGAGCCTTTCGAAACAAGGAAACGAAGAGACTCGTTCTTACCATTGTCGAGCGGACTGTCTTTGGCATTCCTGGCCATGCAATGACAGCAGCCCTCACCGGTGTCAATGTTCTGGCACGAGATACCAGACTCGAACCATTGACAACGTGGCAAGCTCTTCAACAATCGGTCCTGCTCCACGGACTTTCCGATTTTACCTTGTTTGCTATCAGCGCATATCGCGGCAATATCGGTTGGGTCCCTCCGCAAGGGAAAACTGAAATATGCTTTACCCTCAGCTGTGTCGTCGGCATTCAACTATGGCTGGTGTTCATCCTCAGAGGAAAGCTATCTCAGTGCGGGATTGTTTTGTGACGTCCAGTAAAAGTTGTGACGATCTGCGGCGCTGGACATCCATCGGATCTATGTCACTGCCACAAATCATAAGATCGACTTATTGAAAGTGTGCAACAGAACTTATTGTTCGTGCTATTTTTCGAGGACAATTGGAAGTTGCTGGTACTACCGGCTATTCAGTTCTATTGGTATTGTTACAACCATTCTCGCCACACCTGTTAGCAACAATGCTTTTGAGATATTCTGAGGCCGACATCCAAGTGACGACTACATTCACAATCCCGAGTCGAGGTATTTATACCTGCCTCAGATCTTTTTTGATATAAAAGCCTTGACCTCTCCTAAAGTTCGCAACCTCCAGCACCGCTTCCCGGATTCATTGATCCACAGCATCTTGTCCACCCTCTTCGGACAGCTTTCATCTGGTTGCAGCAATGTCTTTCACACTGTATCACACCAAGCGCGATGGCAGTAAAGAAGCTATCAAGATGTCCATCTTTGATGCTTTTCGAGGAGTACCAGATCCTAAGCCAAGGAAGCCACGAATGGTATGTTTCGAAGGGCTATCTGCTACTTACCACATTTGCCCATTCGCATGTGTCGTGATATTAAGCGCGAACAGTGCCCATGCTGCGGAAAGCCTCATACCTCCAAGACCGAAGCCACCGGCGGCAAGAAAGACAAAGCCAAAGATGAAGGAGACAAGGAGAAAGCTAAACCTGCTGGAAAGGACGGTGAGGAGACTGATGATGAGACCATATGGCGAATGAAGACGGAGAACCCTCAGGAGAAATGGAAAGCTATTCTCGAAGCTACCAACGGATTCCAGAACGAAGGCGAGGTCAGAAAGCGATTCAGTGAGCTCAAGAAGGAGAAGAGCGCAGAGCAGGAAGAGTCCAAGGATGGCGACGAAGGCAGCAAGAAAGATCAAGACGACGACAAAGCCGCAAAGAAGGCTAAAACAAAGGAAGAAGGTCTCAAGAAGCAGGCTGAAGCAAAGGCCAGGAAGGAAGCCGAAGAGAACGCCAAATCCGAAGACACTGGTGATGCCGAGAAGACCGACAAGAAGGTCAGTGAATACCAGTTTTGGAGTAGGTGTCACTGACAATCTGCAGGACAAGGGACAAAAGTCTCAAAAGAAGTCCGACAACGAAGACAAGAAACCTAAAGGCGACAAAGACACATTCCAGGCCTGGGCCCATGACTACGACAAGAAGAAATGGCAGACCCTGGCTTCAAAGCATTATGACAAGACCGGGGACCGCATGACTGCCGACGAGGCTCGCAAGATGGCCGAAGGGAAGAGAGGCACTGGTGTCCATACCATGGTACTTCAACATGATCGAGATTTTTGAGGTCTTTCAGCGACTTACGCCCAGGGAACCGATTGGAAACAGATTCTGGAGGCTCTGATCACACCATTGACATTGCGGGGGAAGGCTGGGTGAATGCAAAGTATCTCCATCTATCCTATTGTGCTACCCACTTTTCAGGCTGAATAGTTGTACATCCTTGCTTTCATCATCAGAAAATATGCTTCTCCACGATCGACAGCTTCCTCTTTCGTCCACATCTTCAACGTCGATGATGCATCGAAGGCAAGCTACTCACCTCCACTTGCTTGCGGAAGTCTGCCGGCATCACCGCTTTTCGCCCCATTGTTGATTTTCATTCGACGTCGTCGTCACTTCGGTCCCTGACTAGTTGTGTGACCATGATTTACTCCGCATTCAATGTGGACTGTCCAGCATGTCACCGGCACAATACTCCATGGGCAGGTGGTAATGCTGTGAGGCACGAGTTAGGCGATGGAGCTTCAGAGTAGCTCTTTCCGGGAGTTGTGCGAAGGAACTATAAAAACCGCCTGCTTCCTGACCTCATGCTGGTCACTCGCTGCTCCCTCCCGAACATTTCAGCTCATTTCCAGTCAATATGAAGTCCTTCATATCCCTTACTCTCACATTGTCCCTACTTGCCCAGTCTCATGCCTCTTCTCTGATCCCTAGGCAAGAAAAGAATCCGGCATGGTCAGTGTCGAACTTCAATTCTCTCATCACGTTCGGTGACAGCTACACTGACGAAAGTCGATTGGGCTACTTCATCAGTCACAACGGCTCGGCGCCACCGCCTGGAACATTGCTGCCAGAGAGCTTTTCGACCCCTGGCGGAGGCCGTACCTGGCCACGCTATGTCGTTCAGTATACCGGCTCGACAGTCAACGGGGAATGGGACCCTCAAATGACACTGTACGACTATGCCGTCTCGGGCGCCGTGTGTTCCAACGAGATCACACCAAGGTAACATCTCCATAAGCCACGGTGACTCCTGAAGTCCATCGCTGATATCTACCCAGACGTCTTCCATCGATCAACAACAACTTCCCATCAGTTCTCGAATACGAGGTTCCCGCCTTCCAAGCCGACCTCGTCTCGCCACGCATCAACGCCACACCGCCAGAACCATACTTCACACCTCCCCTGACCGCCGCATCAGCCGTGTACGCCGTGTGGATCGGCACCAACGACCTGGGAGTGTGGGCATTCATCACCGACTCACAGATCCCAGGTAAAGTGCTGAGCGACTACACATCCTGCGTGTACGATGTCTTCGACGGACTCTACGCCTCCGGAGGGCGTATGTTTGTTCTAATGAACACTGCGCCCCTGCATCTGGCTCCCTTGTACGCCAACGCCAGCGCTCACGGCGTCGGGCCGAACCAGTACTGGATGGACAAACCTAGCAATTTGACAGAAATCGCAGAGACGATGCATGAATACACTTCCACCGTGAACAATATCTTCAAGTATCAAACTCCGTTCGAAACGCTGGTCGCGAAACGCTATCCGGGCGCACAGTTCGCGCTGATGGACATGTACTCGCTGATTTCGGATATCTACGATGATCCGACTGCTTACCTCAACGGGACGGACGTGACAAGTTGGATGTATGATAACCATTGTAACGTCAATCAGACCGTTTGCGTGAAGTCAGATAATGGGACGAATCCGGATGGGTTCCTTTGGTATGATGAGTTGCATCCTAGGTATGTTTCTCCTGTCTCTTTGCATCCCTCCAAGAACGGGGCGCAGCACGGCGACGACGTTGAGGTTGTGTGCTGTTGCGTGCATTGAAGTGGATACGAATCCCATGCTGGACTAAACAACGAGGTTGCTGACTTGTGATTTCCGATTACAGTGAACAAACGGACCGTGTTATTGCGACGAATTTTGTGGAAGTGTTGAATGGAACATCGCAGTATGCGACGTACTATTAATCCTTCGAGGGAGCGTAATGTTGGAATGCATTGATATGCATCCAAGAAATGCTGCGTGGACGAGGATTGAGGATGAACACGGCTTGCGCTTACGTATGCTTATCTCGTGGGTCGAGGAGCTGAACATGCGAGCGCTCCCACAGGCATAATGCGGCCATCGAAGCACCCGGCGGTAAAACCTAGTCATGTCCGTACCATAATGCATGATAATGAAGCCTGCAATCAAAAAGGGGTCTGGTCTGAATGCAAAGAATTGCCGCTGTGTAGTGATTTGTACGGCAAAGATGGAGGAGCGTGAGAGACTGCATTTTAATGTTTGATCGATTCATTCCGGCGTAACGATCATGTAAAGGCACTGCATAGCGCAGACTATAGTAAACGTATCTCTGCGCTTGACACCCGTACTCGAGGCGGCATCTCAATCTAGAAGAGTCCGCCACATGTGCCTATAAGTCCCCATCGAGACGCCCGCGACAATCCGAACCAGCAAAATTCACTCCATTCCGTACACGCCAATCCAAGCAGGGTCCATCCCTGAAAGAAGTGTTTTGCACCGGTGACACGACATGCCGCGATATACTGCAAGACCATCTGACAGCATAAATAGGATTGGAACCTGCGACTTCAGGAGGATTCATCGTCCAGCCTAGAATCGATACCGCCAACCCACCAGACCGCAGCGTTGACGACTTGTCCAATGACCTCGAGATCAGCCTGGTCTCGCGGAGCATACAGCAGGACCTGTGACGCTGGGGTTGGCGCGGCCGTGCATCCACCTCGTACCCGCACAAGCCAAGATGCAAGCCGGGTCGACAGCGGATGTCTCTGGGCCCATCCCGTTTCGATCACGGTCCTGACGTCGCTGGGATGGAGAGTACACTCGATCAAGCCATCCGCTTTATTGGCCTTGAGGATTTCGCCGTAGTATTGTGTCTTGTCGAACACGCGGTGACGTGCGTAGAGGGTGATGGGACTCGTTGGCTCGGACTCAAATGTCGAGCGGCCGAGGTATGTCGCTGACGGATAGCGAGCGGAGACATTGGTGATGACCTCGCGTAGTCTGGCGGTGACTTGCTTCTCCGTTGGTGGAAGTTGTGTGGTTTGACGAGGGCTACTGACGCCAGTGATGATGGGGCGCGAACCGGTCCGGCGAGGGAGTGTCTCGAGGTAGCCTCGATATGACACGGTAGGACTGGAAGGTGTCGTGGTAGCGAGCTGTTCTGATACGGATACTGCTTGAAGAAGGCGTTCGTACAGAGGATTGAAGATGTTCTGGATAGCCACGCCTTGTTTTGTACTCATGCAATGCTCGATGTCGAAGTCGATGAGGTGCAGGACGAGTGTGATGGCGGCAGTGCCCAGTACTATGGCCCCAAGGGCATAGAGAAGAGCATAAGGGACGCTGAAAGTCATGATGTTGGCCATGCCTGATGTTTGCGTTTGGGGATTTGTTGCTTTGTTGTACAAGATGTTTGCCAGAGTCTGGGAATACAAGACCATATAATATAGAAAATGCCAAAGACTAGAAGTCGTTTGCTAGGACAGCTGCGAATCTGCGAATGGAAAAAAAAGGCCGACAGAACTCAGGTAGATATAACTTTCCTTCCACATCGGGACTTGTAGACCAAAAACACCGACCACTGACGACTGTAGAGACTTCAGTGTGTGAGAAGGAATCGGCACGGAATACGAACTCGAACGAACAGGTGGCGCGCCATCGATCAGTGCTCATGGTCTAGGACCCACCGTTACGAGCTTGTGGGAAGCCGAATAGAATGTGAAGTCCACGACTCTCTGGCAGAGCGAGTTTTGCGAAGACCAATGGATGGCGCATGTTAGCTACCAGGATTGGAATGAAGGGGAACAATCCAGAGGGTCGTATTATTCCATGCATGATTTGGCATAAAAGCGCACAGGCGATTTTTGACCTTATCGGCCAGCTTCCGCCAACTTAGACATGAAGCGATTCCTTGACGCGCGTTCTAGTCTGGAACAGGCAGCATGGAAAAAGGTTGTCGAACTTGTGGAATACATCGGTTGTCGGAAAGCGAGCTTTGACAAGATGTGGCATGAGACGACACGACGTTCTGGAAGGAAACTGAGATGGATGGATGGATGATTTGCATGGGAGATCGGAAGAAGTCGAGAGAGAACCGCTTAAGACTTGAGTGAATTCGGTTTAGCTCCGACTGTTTAGACTCTAGACGTCGGCATGTCGGAGTTTACACGGCCCGGCATTACCTGTAGAAGATCTTCCCTCAAGAACCCCCTAAGTAACGACTCGTATCACTGTCTGGCCATCATATCATACACGGCTTTCTCCCTTGGAAGAATTCCCTCATGCCTAGACCTTTGCCATCTGATAAGATGCAGCCACAGCAAGTCTCGGGGATCTTGCGGAACCTAACAGCATGTTCCTGTTCATCGACTGGACATCAAAGTACCACGCCAAGCCAGCCTCGTTGTCGCACAGCATCGCTACCTCTCCGCGGGCACAATCTATCTGCAAGGTAGGTGTATATATAGCTATTGACCCTGTTGATCAGACCATGGGAAATTCTCCGAAATCCTTCTCGCATATCGCCGTCAACCAGTGTCGCGGGTCCTGACATAAGCACAACTAATGCAGAGGAAAACTTTCTGGCGAGACTCTCTGATACTGGTCGAGGTATGGATTGCTGCTGGCGAGCTTTGCCTTTTTGTCGTTCAGATCAAGCATGAATCATCCTCCATCATTGCTGGCAAGCAAACATCATCCTTCACAATCATGCCTTGCATGCTGCAAAAAGGCGTGCCATGATCAAATCAGCCCCCAACGCGGGTATGTGATGTATCAGCAAGGCTGCGGCGATAGTCCCTCGGTTACCGGCCGGGTCGTCTGGACTCTGCAGGATCCGCAGGGTGGCATCTCCCGGATATCTCGTACTCTAGGAACTTCCCCGGATTTTCTGATCCAAGTTATTTTTGGTGGCACCTCGACGTTCATTCTCGTATTTCCTCAGTCTTGGATCCCCTTCCGATATGCGCAAACGCAGACATTTTCTCAACATTCTTGCCAACCCCCTCAACATGAGCTTGGCTGCCTGCGATTGCCACGTCAGCTGTTGGGGCCTCGGAATCAGCTCTGCATGAAGCCTGGAAGTGGCATGGTTCACGAAAGTCCAATTCGAGCGAGACATGGCGTCCTCGCCCACAGCTGAACGGGTGCGCATACGACCAGTCTGAATCAACTTGCGCCGCAAGGAATCTGAAAACCTCCTGCGAACGCAACCGGCCCGAACGTCAAGCCTACCAGACAAAGCCCTGCGATATGTGCTGGTTGCTCACACTGATTTACTGCCGGGCCTGTTCTAAGAAGCGGCAATATTTGGCTGATGAACAGCATCTCAAAGGGACAACTCTATTTCAAGCAGGGTCCAGGGCAGATGGCACCTTGCATGCAAGCCTCTAGAAGTGACTGCTGCGGAAAATGGTGGAGCACCTGCAAAGGTGCTTAGGATCATCCGTAGTGCAATCATTGTAGAAAACTCTCCGCAGCAGCTGCAACCGTTATCAATGCCATTCAACTCGTCCTCCCTCTGAAGAACATACCACGCTCCTAATTTTGCCCGCTGTTCTCTACCTTGATCATCCGGATCGCACGGTGGACTGTAGCGCCACTTGCACTCCTCCTTAGACATCATCACGTTCTTGAACATATCTCCTTCCTTCTTCTCAACTCGTCGATGCGTTCGAAGGTTGGCAAGTCGAACACCAATCCGGCCCAGAACCAGCAACTTATGAGACGTGAGTCAGTATATTCAGGTCGCCGAAGAAAAGACTGCGTGACTTACTCCTGATACTTGGCAGACCCAGGTATCATCTTGTGATTCTGGTACACTCCGGTTCTCTTCAAATTCCGGCTCGTAGAATGAGCAGCGGATCTTCACGACCCGGTGTCCCAATTTTTTCTTAAATACTTGGAACAAATCTTCATCATATTCCTGCTCACCATCACAACCGTGTAAACTGGTGGGAGCCTCAGTTTTTGGAAACAGGGCTACCTTAGCCTGGTGAAAACAACGCTGAAGCAATTCCTGATGAGCATTGACTGTTGCTTCTCTCTGGCACAACTTTGTGATTTCTTGTCCCAAGGCCCTCACTTTGATTGGCAGCGACGTATGCGAATGTATCATGACCTCTTGTACATGCTCGAGACCACGATCATAGATGTAATGAAGGCATGGCCCACGTGGTTCCACCCTGTATACGTACACGCCCGGCTTTAGTGCACTCGTGAAGGCTCGGAAGAACGGAGGTATGCCTCGGCTGTTGATCTCCACAGTACGGACCTTTCGTGCAAGGGAGTACGGGAGTTTGGGCAGGTTATGCCTCCCAACGTACGGGAACGCAAAGGAGAACGCTGGGCACACATTTTGTGCCACCGGTCGTGCTTCGGCAGCGATTTGCTTGCAGGCGCGCAGCAGATTCGACCTGTGCTGGCCTTGCTTCCAATCCCAATACGAGTCAAAAGGGTCTAGCCCCCAGTGATCTATCGGATAGCACCGGTCACATTGATAGCGCTCGCGTGCTCGATATTTGACGATGATACCGATCGGAGAAGAGAGGTGATATTCGTATATGCGGAGGCGGATCTCGGCTGGAAGCGACAGGAAAGTAGGCTTTCTGGGTTTGAGTGTGAATTCTGGGGACGAGGAATCTGGAGACGAGGTTGTGACGGCTCTGCCGCCTGGAATCTTCATGCTGACAGGATAGTTTCACAGATGCGAATTCTGAAGTGAATTCCGAGATGCAGTAAAGGGTTTAGGTAAGTTCCATGCTCAAGATTTAAAGTGTGCGGAAAGAAGAAGCTGATTGAATTTGTGACTCAGTTATGGTTGGACTTTTTCTGGTTCAAAAATCAAATGGATTTGAGAAGTGCAAGTCTTCACCCACGCAGTACCACAAATTCGTCCGCGTTCTCTGGTAAGCATATACTTAGACTGTACCATCGTATTTTTGGTGGACGCATATCTTAACGATGCCGCATACTGCCTGCCAGATCGGATACTTGACGTTGAAGCATAAGTGACAGGAGGAGCTTGGCTTCAGAGCCCCGGGTTATATCGAGACCAACGTCTGCTGAGATTGCAAGATGCATGGTTTGATGTGCCACCTCAAAAAGCCATGGTCGCTTGAGGTAGTCTGGAATCTTGCTGCTAAAGCGGTTGAGCAACGAATGCTGATAATCCAGATGGTTGAAGCGTAATCTTCAGTGCTCCGCTCACTACTGGCGATCGGGCCCTCAACGCCAGCTTACAGCGATGCAGAGTTCAAAGCCTTGCCACTCTGCCAGAGCAGGTACATGCAAGTGATATTGCCCGCCCACCATGCCAGACTTCTGATGGACGAAAGTGAGACCTTGTCGATGGCCAAATAAGCTCCAGCATACACCAGCCTAGCTGTCGTGTAAATCAGACAAGCTCGATTGACGGTCTGGTTGGGCACGTTGGCGACAGTCGCAAACAGTGCGCTTCCGATGAACATTGGGAAATGCTCGACAGCATTCGCATGAAGAGCTTCGTTGCGTTTCAGCAAGTTGAGCTGCTTCTTGGTGATTTTGCCTTCCTGCACAGCTCGTTCGCCGAATCGAGCAACGTCCTCTCGTGGATTGACATTGTGGTCTATGCCGTAACTGTTCTTGAGGAACCGTGATGAGAAGAATACGTAGGCGGACAAGAAGTTGAAGATTGCATGGTAGGGTGCATAGTTTGGCGTGGGCGAAAGGGCGTTTGAGCTCAGACCGAGGGCCGCGGCGAGGGAAGACATGGTTGAAGACTAGATGTACCTGACACTCTCGGTAGCGATTGCAAGTCAAGATGCGATTTCAAGGATGGAAGGAAAGAAACACTGTACGAAGGTGTGTTTGAATCAAAATAAGTCGTCGAGAAAGAGCTGCCAGTGACGCCGTGAAGCTTGTTGTCGCTAGTGACGTCAGCCCCGATTTCTCTTCGACGACGATCTTACAGGGTTAGCTTCAATATTAGCAGCAGAACATCAACCTCGTGAGTAGATGAGTGTATGAGGATCCAGATCTCACTGCGAGAAGTGCTTCAATATGTAGGCGAGGTCGGTCGACAAACTGCTCAATTGATGGCTTGTTTACCGTCTGCAATGCATAAAAAGTGACACGAGGCTGCATGACACCCTTCATTTCCCGAGTAGGCCGACTTTGCGATGTGTCGAATAAGAAGCAACGTCGTGGATAGAACTCATTGTAAAGTTCTGTAGTGTTTTATGGAGGTGTCGAGGTTGAATGCTAAGCCACCTCCTAAAGGGATGGAGTCGAGTATTATGTACTCTCAGGCTTCCCTGCATGCCTTATTCAGCAGACATGAGATAACCAATTCTGCATAACACCGTAAACGAAAACGAGTACGCGTATTCCCACTGTTCCCTAAGCTTGGTAGATCCCTGGTATCTTGTGAAGACTGGAACTCCTCCGCTCAGCCTCTTTCGGGGGAACACATGTGAATATTATTCCCTTGGGCCAGTCGAAGCAATGTTGTCAGCATTGTACTTGGTACCTGATGGCCCACATTATGCCAGGACGTGCAACGACATGCACCCACTGTATACACATTTGTTTCACCTTAACCGAGCCCCCGAGCGCTACCTCGTCTCGTAAAAGCGAGCGAAAGCAGTAATCCTCGCGAAATTGTGAGACTGTATGTCTTTAAATCCACCAACATCGGTTTCTGAAAGAGCTGATTGGATGCATTGATGCACTCGAGATCCATAAATATATCAATTTCGCTTCTGATGTCGGTATCCCACGCGGGTTGTGCAAGATATGCATGCCATCATAGTTCATAAGACGGGCTGAGCATCTGGACTCTCCTAGCGACCCATGGATCCCCAAACGCAAGGCTGTCCCATAAAGACATGATTGGACACTTGAAAAGATCATCCGGGCCAAACCGACCTCGCTTCGGCCAGTCCACAGGTACCTGTGCTCTAAATTTCAAGTCATTGTCATGTCAAGGGACCCACTGGTTCAGGCAACCGTATTGCAGCCCGAATCAAGCAATTCCAATCCTTTTCGTACTCGTGATGCTACTGCATCATGCATAGCCACGACCAGGGGAGATTCAGCGGACTTTAAACGGACCGTAGCAGATTGACGTCCCGTCAACCACGTCTGATGTGTATTCATAAGGAATCGCATTCCCCAAACATTCGAAGCCCGTGTCCCAACGCATCCAACCTGACCTTTAGAAGCCTCAGACCGAAACCGACGACTTGAGTGCTCATCATGGCAGTGACCACCAATCCTTACAAGCACTATGTGCCCTCCGTTCCAGCAGCCATCATTGCGTCGATCGTCTTCGCCCTCTTGACCGCCGCTCACGGGTTTCTGTTGTTCAGGTCGCGCAAATGGTTCACGACTGCCATCTTCATAGGAGGTCTTTGTAAGTGCAAGATCCAACAAGCATATTGCTCGCGCTGACAGAACCCCAGTTGAGATGATCGGCTTCGCTGCTCGGGCAGACTCGCATTACCATCTCGACAGCAAGACTCCATATATAATCCAGGTGCTCCTCATCCTACTAGCACCAATCCTCTTCGCGGCATCAGTATATATGTTTCTGGGTCGCTTGGTCCGAGCTGCAGGCGGACAACAATACTCCATCATCCGCGTCACCTGGCTCACCAAGATCTTCGTCATTGGCGACATATTCTGCTTCTTGGTGCAAGCCGCCGGAGCATCCATGTTGGTCAATGCGACCGACAAGGATGGAATAGATCGCGGTCAGAACATCATTCTGGGAGGTCTGGTGTTACAAATCCTGTTCTTCATTCTGTTCATCACTACTGCTGTCATTTGGCACGTACGGGTCCGATCTCAACCTCTTTGGCAGTACTGTGCGTCGTCGGGCCTCAATTTGTCTCGAACCCTGTGGTCACTGTATCTTGTTGGTGTCCTCATCACCCTGAGGAACATCTACCGTCCGGCAGAGTACAAAGGGGGTCAGAACGGATACCTACTCGAACATGAGTGGCCAGCGTATGCATTGGACGCGTTCTTGATGGCCATCGTTATGGCTACCACGCTGTTGTGGTACTCAGTTGAGTTGCGTCCCAAGAACAGCGAAGCGGGTTGGAATCTACAAGGTGTCGGTATGCCTTGAGCGAGAACTCACAAGCAGATGGTGGAAAGACGGATGACATCTTGACATGATAAGCACATCGAGACGATACTCAAGATATATGCGGCTGGCGTTTCGGGCAGCTTATGGGGAGCCGCTGGAAAATAGAGACGATGGCAGAAGTACGAAGCAATTGACATGTTTGCACAATTTGCGTAGTTTTACCCTGTTTGCACCGTTTGCACCTGTCAGACTCCTTTGTCCTCAAGCACGCAATTCTGCCCCCCAACAGCCTCATCCTCCGGTGGCCAAAGCACGCCAAACATAGCATGCCTCCCGCCCAAACTCTCACTGTTTCGCCCGCAACTCGCTTACCAATTGTCCCTACACCGCAAGGCTTAAGGACGCGAATCTGTTTGCTTTGAGCAAGTTTCACCGCGACTTTTGCTGTGTGACAGCGTCTCCGCAGCGTTACGAGAGCAAGTTTCCCGGACCCGTAGCCCGGTAGACCCTTTTCGATCCGTTCCCTCCACACCGCAATCCGTATATCAACACTTAAACTGCGCACAAGTACCTCACGCCCTTCATTCTACTCCAAATTACATATAACCATATACTCCCTCAACTATCTGCTTCTCCTCATAACACCAGCAACTCTATCCTTCATTTCATATCTTCCCCTCTCATCAACATGTCTGAACACCACTACAAGTTCAACGTCAAAATGACCTGTGGCGGCTGCTCCGGCGCCGTGGAGCGCGTGCTCAAGAAACTTGATGGTAAGGGTTATTTCCTTACGGTTGCCTCGTGCTGCTCCCGCAGGACCGCCATCACACTCCCTTGTCTTGAACCGGCTGACAACTGCGTTGCGAATAGGTGTCAAAGAATTCAACGTCTCTCTCGACACGCAAACCGCAGATGTTACCGCCGTCGACTCGCTCTCGTACGAGGCCGTACTGGAAAAGATCAAGAAGACTGGCAAGACCGTCAACTCTGGCGAGGCTGATGGAGTGGTTATGTCTGTGTAAAGAGAGCGGAATGAAGCTGATGCCCAACGACAAAGGCGCAAGAAATCTACATGGCGCATCTGGAGGGACCTGGAACGTGGAACGAAAGGAGCATCCAGCGTTGTCATGCTGGATAGCATAGGTAGCATTAGGAGCATAGGAGCAATAGATATCATTTGAACCAAACATTATGTACTTGTTCAAGGTTGCAAGTCATTCAATGCCCTCTGCTTCAGCGCAAGATCTGTACAGTCATATGCCATCGTCCTGTGGCTGAAGAAGGAAACATCGGGCTCAGGAATGATCAATGAATCCTAAATGCTGGGATATCATCCCTTTCAAAACACCTTGTAATCTATTCTGTTCATTCCCGCCATGCAACCTTCGTTAACTGTGCCGGTGGGTATCGTGAAACAGTGGCGTCCAGACTCCGAAGAAATCAATACGCTTGACAAGTAACCTCCAACAAAAGAGCACAGTAATTTTGGACTTCGGCGCAATGCCTCCAACAGGTGAACTTAAGTCGCTGATGCAAGACAAGAGAATGAATTCGAATGCAGAATCGCTCAAGAAGAGTCCCCAGAAGAGTCATCAGACATATCTCATTGGCATCAACATCGCAGTGCGTGAATAGGAGAGAGAGCCTCATGCCGTAGGAAGTGTCGTAAAGTGGTCGTGCCTAAAATTTCAGTCAGCATCGCCAACGTCTGGGGGTGCAGCAAAGGGACAATGTGCTCAGTGGAACCTTGCCATCATATCTTACCGGTATACCATTCATGTCGGGAGGTTGAGAACTGGGTGGAAAACAGAGCAATGCGACTCGACACAGGTCATGATCAACGAGCAACGTGAGCGTACGGACGAACATTGCTTGCTGGCGCATCATGATAATCGTAAGTACGCTGATTCAATGATCCTGGCAATGATTCCTGGGCAGCCGGATGAGAAGCATAAGCATGCCGTGCGTGAGGATCCTGTGGCAGATATTGAACGTATTGCTCACGAGCAGTCCCAGGTTGATCAAACATAACCCGATCGTCGTACCCTCGACTATCATGAAGAGGCTCATAAACACGACTCAAGACAGTTGCAGGTCTGTTCTCAGGGGCATGCCTGGACATATTTATGTCGGGAGCTGGAAGACCCCTTGAAGCTTGAACATGTGAGACAGGGCGAGGCTGCAATCTTGCTGGCTCACGCAAGTCGTAGGCACCGTCCATTTGGCTTCGAATGGCTGTACTTGTGTTGGGGGCATCATGTGCCTCATAAGCAGGCCGATGCTCAACATACCTTCGTGTATCCACGATGGGTGCTGCTGGTCGCAGTTGTGGACTGGGTCTTCGCTCACCATATTCAACAGCACGAGGAGAGTCATAAGCAGATCCGGGCTGAGAAAGTGGTACGTAGGAACGTTCAAGATATCTTGGCGGAGATCCTCTTCGGGCGCTGCGATAGTCGGACGGAGCCGACACTTCCTCAAGACGGCGTTTCCTCAACGACGGATCGTCGCTGTTTGTGAGATCAACCACCGGGACATCTCTGTAAGACTGGGTGGGTTCATGCACTACGTTAGTGTCGCGTCGAACGGGATGCCCTTGGAAAGGGTTCTGTCGTGACGTGGAAGACAAATAGGCACCATCCGGACCCTCGATAGACTGGACAATGGTACCATTGCCAGCATCAAATTCTCCCCCTGGTCGGCGCGCTTCATAAGTGGGACCTTGAGGTGATGAAGGTCGTGTCCGAACTCGGAAAGGTTCAGCAGGCATCATCGTAGGCTGTACTCGCTCGAGAGGTCGCTGTACCGGTTCGGGAATAGTGTCGTGTGATCGTGTGTCGATTCGCTCGTACAAGACGCCATTAGCATCTCTGATATATGTACGAGGACTGGGTTGGTGAACATAATGAGGCTGACTGAGGTTAGTGATACGGACAAGACCTATAGGGAAGTGCTGTCCAAGTTTTGGTATTGAGGATGCGGTCGCTCTTCTTACCTCGTATTCGATTCTGCTCACTGCAGGGATGGAAGGTTGTGAACGGACAACTTGTGTCGGTGGCAGGGGCGGTGGATCAAGAGGGATGAGTACACGACTCGTTGGGACGTCAATCGGCTCATAAACTCTTTCGAGCACAGGGGCTGGTGCTGGATTTGCACCAGAACGATAGTCTCGTCTGGCTTGGTCCCAAACAGCATATCGACTGCGATCTCGGTGCGCGATCATGTCGTCGCTTGGTTTGTACCGCCGTACCCCAGTTGATAGAATCTTATGCTCTTGACGGATCAGGTCACCACGAGGGTCACGGAAAGGTAAAGCCGCTCGAGCAGCACCATCGTCGTAAGCGTTGCTGGGCAGTTCCTCGACTCTAACGTTGGCCTGGGCAATCGGCTCAGCATTTTCATCATCAGACTCGCTTTCCTCTTCATCAGTGATGACAATGACCTCTCTGAGAAGATCGTTGGCAGCACGCTGCGCCTTCTCATCAGCGGCATCATCGTCGCCTCGCCATTCGATCAGCTTAGCAAGAGTCTCTTTCTCGACAGCATGTCGGGCATCATTATATGGCAACTGCCTCAGCAGTTTATCATACTTTGTATAGCAGTGCCGGATGTGGGCCACGACAGATAGCTGAGCCCTACGGACGAGAGGGATTTCTTCCGCGGTGCCAACCTTGTTATCACCCAGCTGGAAGGCGGTTTTGATGATTTGATAGAGGTCGTTATCCGGGATTTTTGGAAACAGGTCCTTGATGGTCTGCTTCGCCTCGGTGTTGATGGTTACCTGGTCTTTCTTTTCTTTCGGTGGACGCTGGCCATTTTGATTTTGATAGACTTGAGCAAAGAGTCGGTCCTCTTTATCTTCTTTAGACTCATCTATGACTTTTCCTCCACTAGTAAGACGAATGCCATAATGTGCACACACTCGAGCAACAACGCTGGTTGGAAAATGAAAGCCAATGCGATGTACTTCCCTTGACAGTTCATGACGAGCTGCATGTGGTGTTGTCTGATTATATTAGTGGATTCAAAAGCGGCGATTACCTTACAACGTACCGTCACTGCGAAGATCTTCTGGTCATCGCGTCGGGAGAACTCTTTCAGAGCGGCGGTGAGCTCGGGATTGCCAGCTGGGATGAACGTGTATCCTGGGGGAGGGTCCGCACGAAACGTAATCTGGCGGTTCAGGTAAGTAGTACCTCTGGGGATGTGTTGTTTCGGCCTTCTTACCACACTCCGTAGTTTCTTCTCATCTTTTGATGTGGTTTCAACGACCACTCTGTGCTTGTTTCTGTCTTTTGCCACTTGCGCAGCGCGAGTTGAGGTTTCTTTCCCGGATGTTTTCCGGGCTTTCTGTTTGACTTTTGCCATCTTGATCGCTCCACCACACTACACAGAAAAAACGAGGGAACAGGGTGAGGACATGGGAAAGGAAAACAGTACAGGCGTTCTAACAAGGGGCTAGAGACGAGTCGGGTGGAGAGCCGTACACGACAGTCGAGATCCTGGCTGTGACGGCAGTGGCTACTGCTTGGAAGACCTCAGGAAGCTGCAGATGCAGCGTTGGCAGAGCGCGCTTCACCACGCGAAAGATCTCAGGCGAGATCAATCCTGTTTGCTGAAGGGGGCAGTCAGTCGAGTCTGGGCAGACCTTCGACGCGCATGCTCCGGAAGTGCCGAGATAGAAGTACAGATGAAAATATGAGATGTAGGAAGGAAGGAAGAATCGAAGAGTGACTGCGATCATCACAAGGACACGCAACTTTCCCGCGGCTTGGCGAGCGCTAAATCCAGCCTGCGGTGATTGTAGCCTTAGGCACTTGTCGCGCATTCAATCACTGCCTTAACAAATTACTCTATGGTGATTATGCAGAAAGCTCTTCCTGTATGAGTACCACCGATATCATTCGAGCTTACCGCCAGCTATACCGCACTGGACTGCGAGCTGTTCGCTATGCTCGCCCAGCACGTTTCGAACTCCGTGATGTTCTAAGAGAGAGTTTCCGTACGCAGCCATCTGCAGCCTTTAATGCCCGGCGCATCGGCAACACGCTCAATTTCCTCGAGACTGCAGGCACACATAACGGGACAGAGCACAAGATATTGAAGAATCTGCTACACCTGCAATTCTGGAGATGGTACGGGACGAACAAGGCACTGTACGGAGAAACGATTGAATGTCTGCTGGATATCGGGATCGCTGACCGAAAGACAGACTCAGAAATCAAAACAGCGACTATGCTGTAGAAACGCGACTTAACACGTGGCGGCAATATCAGGCCACATTGACGATGTTGAACGAGAGTCTGGATATGTGTTTGCAAATAGGCGCAGAGAAGTTCGATTGATGGACGAATCTTTCCACGACACATTTATGTCAACAAGCAGCAAGAGATCGCCCAATATGCATCGGCAGCAAGTCTTGTTGAACCACGCCCCAGAATTGGTCCCATCAAACACGCACGACTAGCACTCGAATGTTCTTCATATGGACATCGAGACGAAGTCTCGCGAGTATCTACCTGTAACCCAAGCCTCAGATCGTTCGAAAGGCACTATACCTCGCATTCGGAGCGTTCTATCATCACTCATATTCATGACATCGTAACAGCGTGTACTTTGTCGCTGTCTCAGCCACAGATCGTCAAACCTTGACCATCTGACCACTTCAGTGGTTCTGCCCTTGCAAAGCCTTCCTCGGCAACAACAATATGGCCACCGTCGACACCCAGACCCCGGCCCCAGCGAGATACAGCACTCCATTCAGACTGTGTGCAAGCATATGCGATCCAGCGATGGGCGCAACGATACCAACCAGTCTCCCGAAGAAACTGCTGATGCCACAAGCCGACCCACGAACCTGCGCAGGAAACGCTTCCGGCGTCCACCCATACAGCACGCCATTGAACATGCTCTGGAAGAAGTACACCAATCCATTGATCGCAATGTACGACGCCTGGTCGCTTACCAGGGTGAAGGCAAACAGACACGCACCGAATAGTGCCGAAGAAAGTAGCAGCGCTGTCCGTCGGCGCCCATAGATCAGACTGCCAGCCAGCACTCCCGGAATGCCAAAGGTGTAAATGTAGATGTAGGATCTGTACGTCTCGCGCAGCCCGAGCCCCAGAGCGCGCCCTTTGCGAGCAAGGATGGTTGGTAGAAAAGATCCGGCAATGGTGAATCCCCAGTAATCGAATGCATAGATGATCCAGACGAGAATGACGAGTCGGCCCATGGCGAAGCTCGAGAATAAAGGTTTGAAGCGGGCGAGTTCGCCACGTATCCTTTCTCCCATGGACAGGTCCTTCTTGTCCGCACCCGACCCAAGCAGGTGACCAGACGAGTCATCGGCACCGAAACGTGATGCGTCGGATGACAAGGCATCGAATGTCTCTATCGTCAAACCGCATTCGCGCTTGTTGAATCTCGCAATATACTGCAGCACATTGATGGCTTCTCCGTCCCGTCCCCTGTAGAGCAAATACTTCGGCGATTCCTGGAAGGTGAACAACAGACTCCTCAGGATGAAGACTGCAATCGTGATCCCCCCAATCGTGAACATCAGGTACCTCCATCCCCAATTATCCTCCCTGGAACAGCACGGCACCCCAGCCCCTGCCGTGCTACACGCCGCCAGATCCTCCGCGCACGAGTACTTCGGGATGAAAGCGTACGCCATCGCACTGCAGGCCACAACGCCGATAGGTTGGAAGATCGACAGCGTGGGCAACAGCCATCTGCGGCTCTGCGGCAAACACTCCAAACAAATCGTCGTGTCGACAGGTATGTTCCCGCCGATGCCAATTCCCGTGAGCGCCGTGAGCACAACGACAGTATTGTAGTTAGAACTGCCACCCAACCAGACCCCAAAAATACTCGAGATCAATACCGTGTAGTTGAACCCAGCGGACCGGCCGACCGTGTCAACCAGTATACCCCAAAGGAATGCCCCCGCCGTCAACCCGACAGAGAACGCGGTGAAGATGGTTCCTAGATCTTCGTCGCCGAATCCGAATTCATTCTGCATCGGCGTGACGACCAACCCAAAAGCCTGCGCCCATAACAAGTCGAGCAAGTATCCCGCTCCACAGGTGAAGAATACGGACCACTGGTAACGTCCCATGCCCTGGGCGTCGATTTCGCGGTCGACAAGCAGGACCTTCTTCTCGTACAGACTGAGGCCATCGAACTCGGCGTCCATATCGGTGTCGCTGGATTTAGCTGCCTCGGCGTCTACTATCGTTCCATACCGCGTCGGTGAGACTGAAGCTCCAGGCCCCTCAGGCTTATCATCTGTTCGGAGACCGCGTGTGGGACCCATGAGACCCCTTCGACTCTCCTGGCCTGATAGATTGAATGAATGTTTGCTTCCTTTCCAACGAGATTGAGGTCAAGATTCAACAAAAGACGAAAGATGGAGAAGTCACGGTCAGCAGCGTCTTTGTGGAGGGGCCGCCATCTTTGTATGGAAAGTGACTGATGAAACCTCGTGCCGTCCATTCACCTCGCACGGGGCAACCCACCAGACCATGGCCAGACCACCAGACCGGATATTGGTGGTATCGGGCGTGATCGGTCCTTTCCAACACAAAGACCAAGCAATAAAGAAAACCTTATCAGCTCAATTTTGCTTGCCGGTTGGAATGGAGGTAGAACAATCAATCCATATCTCAGCCCCAACATTCACGAGATCATGCAGAATAGTGGGGGTGAAGATAGGTTGAACGGTTCTCAGATCCCTATCGCCCATAAACATTGTGCCCCTCATTACGTCGATCTGCATGCACTGTGCATAGTTGATTTTACTTAGCACATGCCACTATGCGAAGAGTCCCCAGCCATTCATGCCTGGTGATGTTGTCGAGCCGTGTGTTTAGGCGGACTGGCCAATGACCACACACTTCTTTGGCCAGACACACCGCTAAGGAAGGTCATGCAGCGCAGCCGCGAAATGCACCACGATGCAAGTAACACAACGGCTCGCTTCCAAACGGCTGTGTACTGGATCCGGTCCAATGTCCTGGCATCATTGAGCAGGCACGTGCGAAGCATCGTGTGGTCAATTTATGAATCGAATTTGATAATCAAGTGCACCGAAGAACCAGGGAGTCGGTGGAAAGGATGTCAGCGGATATATCTGCACAGAGAAAGCGCCGAATACTTCCATTTTCATTTTTCATTAATGCGAAGGAACGGGTACCCTGTAGACGATGCAAAGAGGCAACGCCAAAGCCTCCCCAGCCCCATGATGAACCATGAAACTCCAGCCCTATATCAGCATCAACAGACAGCTTTCTAGGGTATCACCAGTCGCCAGCAAAAACAATCCACCGTGTCACATCCAGCCGCTCTTGACCTTAGGTCATTATCGAGATGTTGCTGTCAACAGAATCCTCCGGAAATAAACGCGCTCCAGCGGCCACATCTGAAATAACGCCAGCGCTATGCAATCGTAATAAAACATTGAAGAGCTCCAAATCGGAGCCTGGTCTTCCAATAAGACTGATCGAGACTGGGAGAAACTCGGTCTTGCCAGATACTGTGGAGTGATAAGGCACTTCAGCGACAGGTATCGTATAGTCTGGGCATCCCACCAGGTATCCGAAAGAGTAGATGCTAAAGGTGTCGTTGAAAAGTTCGCCTCGATCAGGAACATGGTCTCGGTAGTCCGGCCGACCACAAGATTGTGGGAAGATCAATATAGTGGTAGCATCTTGATCATAAGACCCGAACAATGTCGTCTCAGTCCAGCTCCTGAAAGCTTGCATCGCTTCCAGAGCATCAGCGATCTTCTGTGCAGGCACCGTACGGCCGTGGTCCAGACGTCGCCGTACGATCTCGGAGATCTTCGGAGCTTTCCCGTCGTTAGCGACGCCAAAGTCGTCAATGAATTTGTCGATTCCACCATGGACTGCCGAGGCGGTGGTAATCGCCGAATAGATGTGTCCGACTGATTCGTCAAGTGATCGAGGTTGACCAATTGGCGGAGTAGCTCTCCAAAGCTCATTTATGTTGAATGCTATTCTCTCACAATTGAGCTCGACTTCTAGCTCTCGCACTGCGCCCTCGATCTTCTTTTCGGCCTCGGTCCAGAAAGACAAACCCACTGAGGGATGGGGGAACCATCGATGTTGTCCGTGATGGTGTTGATCTGGATTTTCGAATTGAGGGGCTCGCGTTGGGTAGAGCAAGTTATACTTGCGTGTTGCACTGACAGCAAGTGGTCTTTCTATAGGATTGACAAAATGCGAACCGACCCGAGCGAAGATCTCGACATCTCTTGCAAATATTCCCACGGTGTTGAACAGGTCCGTTGCTCCCAGGACGCCTGCCAGACTGATTATTCCATGTGACGGTCGCTGTCCATATAGGCCATTCACCCCTGCAGGATGCCGGATTGAACCGCCTGTGTCTGTGCCGACAGTGAAGTCAAGCCAGTCGTATGCAGCTGCTGCTGCCGCGCTACCGGTACTTGAAGAGGACGGTTTCTGGTGCCCATCTCCTCGTGGATTGTAGGGGCATACGGCATCAATCCACTCGCAAGGGTCGGTTCCTTCCGCAAATTCTGTTGTCTTCAGTTTCCCAATCAAAGTGGCGCCTGCATCAAGGAGCAGCTTGACGGCTGGAGCGGTTCTTTTCTCTGGGACCGCAATATCATGCCAAGCTTGACTGCCATAACCGGTCTTGGTTCCCTTGATGGCGATAGTATCCTTGACGGCGAATCTGAGGCCTGCAAGTGGTCTGTCGTCACAAGAGTGGTGTAATTTTGATGGTACTGGTATACCTTTTGATGCCTTCTCAAATGTCAGTCTTACCCACAACTAAATGGGTGGTGGAAATGCGTACTGGTAGTTCGAGCAGGATGGAGCTGGAAGCTGTCTTTTGAACGATGCCGCTCACAAACGCGTGGTGCGTGTCAGGAAGCACCTTGTATACCGGGAAAATGTGGCCGGTAGATTTCGATACCACATATGGCCCGTCTGTCAATCTGTTTTTTGACTTGTCGATAGAGAAAATCCGCTTGCTTTTGGAACTATGCTTGACTTCTGCTGGCTGGAGAAGAAGTACAACTGGAACAGTCCTACCATGTCAGGATAAGGCCCATAAAGTCATATCGAAGCATCTCATTTGGGACTTCAACTCACGCGATAAGAAACTGCTCGACCAGACATCGTCTTCGGCCGCAAATCTCTCACACGCCGCTTCGAGATCAGACGGTGCGAAAGTCGCGTCGTTCCATACTATAGCTGTACAAGGAACGAAGTCTTCTTCTTCGAACCGAGTGAGCCTGTTAACCTTCAAGGTACCTGCCTTCTGGTCAAGCGCGACGAAGTATGTGGATTTGCCGATTGAAGTGAAGGCTGATGATCCCTGAGCCATGTCACGATTGACTCAAGGAACGATGAGGTGAATGTCACAGTATAAAGGAAAGAAAGGAAAGAAGAGTGAATCTAGGTGTAAGAGTGATAGTGACAGGCATATCAATACTGCCTGGTGTGAGACGATAAGGAATTCCGATAGCGGGTGGCGGGAGGCTCCTTCCTGCCTTGGTGATGAGATCCTCTCCGCCGGGGAGATTAGATTCCCTTTATTCACAGTTCACCTCCGTTCAACAATGGGCGAGACCGCAGTCTGGCGGCCGCCACCTCCACATTTCCCATCGCTCATTTTGACCTCACCGCTTCTGCGATGATTTCCGTGTCAGACTCTACGGCCAGGAAAGGCACGGAGAAAGGTGAAAGGGACGTCAATCCTGATAAGAAACATTTCTTGGCATGATAAGGCCGATATGATCAGCTCTTACGCGAAATATTCCGATGCTGGATATTCCATGAGATGCACTGTTCACAATAATAGAATGCTAAAGGATACACGTTATGGCTGGCACAAAGAGATCTTTATTCTTTATACAGTCATCATTCATCATCACCCTTCTGTGACACGCCGTTTCTTCCCATGCGTTGTCCCAAAGTCATATCACCGGCCTTCTTGTGGAATCGATCCACGAAATCCGCCCGTCCACCGTATTTTGCGTTCTTCATACGAGCAGCATTGTCTCTTTCCCGGTCAGCTTTTTCACGCTCTGCCAGTTCCGCCAGTCGCCACTCCCTCTGACTGTCGAGTTCTGTTGCATCCTGCTGCATCGCCGCCAGCTTCGCTGCTCTTCTCTCTTCATCCGCATTGTCCTTCTGTGGATCCCGTCTGGGACTTCTCGAGTGGCGTCGCTCCGGCCTCGACGAATGCCAGCTCTGCATTTTCCGCACTCCATTGCTATTTCCATTCCGCCGTGGGGGTGAGTACGACCGTGATCGTGACCGTGGGCGCCTTCTTTCCTCCGGCGTGTAAGAGCGACGTTTCCGGTAGGGTGAAGGTGATCTGTCACTTCTTCGAGGCGGCGAACGTGAACGCGAGCGAGACTCTGATGGTGTATAAGATCTTCGTCGTCTGTATTTGCTGCGTCCATTGCGATCCTCGTCCTCGTCCCTATAGCTGCGCGACTTGTCAGGCCTGTCACGTTCGTCACGATGACTCCGGTGGTGGTGATGACGCTGTTTTCTTCGCTTGGGCTCTCTCTCCGCGTCAGGTTCTTCCTTGCCCGCTGCTTTCAACAATAACCGTCTCTTGACGGGATCATTCATCATTGCTTCATAGGCCGCTTGTTCTTGTTTCTTGATCGCGAGCATAGGATCTTCTCGAATCTTTGCGGCGGTATCTCGGAGCGTGTTCGCATTCTGGACAGCCATGAAGGACTCCTCCGTCGCTGATTTCTGTAGCTTCTCCTTCTCGCCGCCTTTGAGTAGTCCATCAATGCGTCTCTTTCCCAGCAAATACCCTTCCATTTCTTCGGTAGTGCCGACTTGTCCGCTAGAAGGCCCAGAGTACATCCAGTCAACGCGGGCCTGTCTCTTCTTCCCGCCCGCAGACTCTTGTAGATCTTCGAGTTCCTGTAGTTGTCTCTCTTCCGCGCGCTCCTTCATGATCTGGTCGATCTTTTTGCGCTCGTCGAGCGCCTTCTTCTCTTCCTCCCATACTTTTTTCTGGTTGGTCATCAACGAGGGATGCCATGATTTCTTCAAATTGAGATCGCCACCCATCTTGACGTTGGCGAGAGGAGTGCACAGGCGGTAAAGTGAGAAGACGAAGATGAGTGAAAAGGTTCAAAATTGTGGCGTTGACAAGGTGCAAGGCGCAGGCTCCGCAAAACTTTGGGCGACCTCTGATGCGGGTAAGGCTGGCACACCTGTTTGTGTTCTCCGCACCTGTGGTCGTAGCATCATATTGATCTGGCATGCGCCAGCTTCACTTGAGCCTCATTAACCATACCACGGCTACATCCACACATTGCTTGATTGTTCATTTTACTTCTCCTTGACTGCTCTTTATTTCTTCCCTTCCCTCACGTTAGCGAACAGCTCTGGTACACTAGCAATTTCTTTAAGCCTCCTTCAAAGGCAACAACGGCCTCTTGAACTTCACTACTCCTGCGCCACCCAAGCCGACACCCATCATTCTTCACCGCCAACATGTCCGACGACGACGATTTCATGCAAGACTCTGATGCAGAGCAGTACGTTCCAATCACGGAGCCCGTTCCACATTGTCACTCCTTCTCTCCTCAGATCACGCTAACAAACGACATGACAGATATGACTTCGAATACGAAGACGACGACGACGCCGAAACAGGCGACGTCGACATCGAAAACAAATACTACAACGCCAAACAACTCAAACTTGACAACCCAGAAGACGCGGTCGCCGAATTCCTGGGCGTTCCCGACCTCGAACCCGAAAAAGGCGACTGGGGCTTCAAAGGCCTCAAACAAGCCATCAAGCTCGAATTCGCGCTGGGCCGATACGACAATGCCGTCAAACACTACAAGGAACTCCTCACGTATGTCAAGTCGGCGGTCACGAGGAACTACAGTGAAAAGTCCATCAATAACATGCTAGACTACATTGAAAAAGTGGCCACGGAACAAACAGCATACAAATGCATGGAGGAGTTCTACTCGTTGACGCTAGACACATTCCAAGCGACGAACAATGAGAGATTAGCACTCAAGACAAATCTCAAATTGGCGAAACTATATCTCGACAAGAAAGACTACAATCTACTCACGAACAAAGTCCGAGAAATACATCAGGCGTGCCAGAAAGAGGACGGGACGGACGATCCGGGCAAAGGCACATATTCGCTGGAAGCATACGCGTTGGAGATCCAGATGTACGCGGAAATGAAGAACAACAAGCGCCTCAAGTCACTGTACCAAAAGGCTCTGACCGTTCGATCGGCAGTGCCCCATCCAAAAGTGCAAGGCATCATCCGGGAATGTGGAGGCAAGATGCACATGAGCGAGGAGAACTGGAAAGAGGCTCAGAGCGACTTTTTCGAGTCGTTCAAAAACTACGACGAGGCTGGTTCAATGCAGCGGATACAAGTCCTGAAATACTTGGTGTTGACCACCATGCTTATGAAGTCGGACATCAACCCATTCGACTCACAGGAGACTATGCCATACAGGAGCGATCCACGCATATCAGCCATGACTGATCTCGTCGATGCCTATCAGCGTGACGACATCCACCAGTACGAGTCTATCCTGAAAGGCAACCAGGATCTACTGGCGGATCCCTTTATCGCCGAGAATATTGACGAAGTAAGCCGCAACATGCGCACCAAAGCCGTCCTCAAATTGATCGCCCCCTACACTCGCTTCACCTTGCAATTCATTTCCAAGCACATCAAGATCCCGGTCAGTGAAGTACAGGACATACTAGGAGTGTTGATCGTGGATAAGAAGCTGCAGGCGAAGATCAATCAGGAAAATGGCACTGTGCTGGTGGAGACAGGAGCGGGTGATACACAACACTTATCACGTTTGCGTGACTGGACATCTGCTGCTGATAGTCTATGGACGACGGTCCTGAATGACGGTGACGGGTTCAAGCCAGAGGACAGTCAGGGCGCGGGGTCGTTCGGTGGCATGATCAACTTTCCCATGGGTATGGAAACTGGCAATTCCATTCCCGGTCGAGGATCTGGTCGTGGTGCTGCTCGCCGCGGCGGCGGTCATGCTCGCGGTGGCGCAAGCGCGAAGCTGTTTGTACCGCCCGGGTGAAACCTGTCAAAAAGCGGGAGCGGGAGCGGCGCGGATGGGATCAGCAATTATGGTCTTTGGCCTGCCCTCCTCTTGCCTTTTCCACAAGCTCGTTGGCTGGAACCCACGTTGTGAAACGTACCATGCGTTGCATGCAATTGATAGGATGTCGGGGAGTACATCAGGTGCCCACCGAGTTGACAGTATTATGTCAAAGGCGCGCATGTCATGGCTGGAAGGCATCAAATTGCCGGGACGGCCAGTCCTTGAAGGGTTGCTCAAGAGACTTTGACTTGGTACCGGGATGAGCAATCCAGGTTCGTATTGAGACACCAATACAGGATGTAGGCGCACAAAGCCACGGGAAGCCAAAAGCGGGAAGAGCCCGCGGCAAACGCATGATGCCGCTGTCATGCCTTTGCTCTCTGCGTACGGTCCGTCAGGTCAAGGTTGCGAGGAATGAGAGAGCAGGCAGCATTTGCCACAAGGGGCCATAGCCGAAACAGTCACAAGGTTGGCCGGTTCGGATGCTGTTGAATGGCATCCTTGCGTTTTCCCGTCTCCTATCAAGAATATTGATGCTGTCTCCTTTGCCGGTGTCTCCTGGCCCTCTTCGTATTCCACCTGCATCTCGATCATGGCTCGTTGCCTACACTCCCAACTCCCATTGGTCCAGAGTCCAAAGACGTGCACCCCTGTGCGTTGTGGTGGGCTCTTTCCGGTCAAAATGAAATGCTGATTGGCGGATCTTCGATCAGAAATATGATATCACATTTGTTGTGCATCTTTGCTTATGCCGGATGAGCTTGAAATCAGCCATGGCGTTTCTTGACCAGGGTACAGGCACGTCGGCTTCAAATCCACACCCAGCGCACCCTCTGATGGTCCAGAAACGGTCAAGCTGGAACTGGTCAAACATCCCTCAGTATCCGTAGGTGCAGGTCGATACCATGGTCTTTGCCCAGGGCTCAAATGCATGCCATTGGGTGATGTACAATGTCCGCAATGGCTTGCTGGCCAGATGCTGGAAGCGTCAAGCGTGCCCCCAGCGGTTGTCCACCATTTCGCCGAGCAAATGCCACATTTGCGTGCCCGTGTGCTAGTGTCCTGAAGCTCTTGCACTTTTATGTCTCACCGGGCAGACCTTCCTAGGGTATCGGACATAGATGTACGAGTACCTCCACGTTTGAATATCGCCTCGCGAGTCAGGGTCTCTCGGGGAAAAGGGAGCCGGGCGTGGGGGACTGGAGGTGGCTGTCCCTATGATACAGCCCGAACTACGAGCTGTCGGAGAAGATCTTGCTTGGGAGGCTCCATACTCCATACGGAGTACTGGACCCAGTGAGGAAAACTGCCGGCCCTTGCTAGGTGCGAGCCTGCTCCTCTAGCCTTGATAGGGGCCTGTGGGCCGTGCTGGAACGAATACCCATCGCTGGAGGTGGAATTATAACAGCGCAGATAGCGCAACCACCGCAACCTGACTCATGAGACCGACAGGGGTGATTGTTGAATGCCGATCTCACGCTTGCTTGCGATCGAAACAACCTTCGCTCCTTGCAGCCGTGCACAGGGTTCCGTATGGTGTGGTGAGCACCCCACAACGTCTAAGGAAGCAGCCAGACCCTGAAAAGGAGGAGGAAGCGAGAACGCCGAGAAGATGAACAGGCATGGGCGCAAGCAGGTCGCTGCAGGGTAGGCTGTGCTGTCTAGGTGAAAGTTAGCCTTGAGTTGCACTCGTAGAGAATTCATGCTTCAAGACACTAGGTTGGGGTGCGCCCTGGCCCTGTTGCATAGTTTGCAAATGCGCGGGTGCAATCAACAGTGCCGCTGAGCATCACGACACTCGGTATCTGTACGAATATAAGTTGGTGATTACTCAAGCCACCGGAATCGCGCACGGACTAACCCCAGAATGTGCTGTTTTTAACGCTCTTGATACAATCGTTGTTGAATTTTGTTTCCAGGTCGGATTAAAGGCTGGAAATTCGGCAAGGCTGATTATTGTCTCTTTCGACTGGAACCTTCACGTCAACAGGTTCATTTTCTCCAATATGAGTCAAGACATGGTTGCACAGCAGGAGAAAGGGGACCCAAAGACGTTCCAGGGTCTCAGGCTGCATCGAGTGATTGGACAGGGGAAGCTGGATGGCTCTCTTCCGGGGTGATGGACAGGCCGTTAAGCGACTGATGCCGGCGTTAACCAGGGTCTGTTGAAAGGTCGAAACAAGAACATCTTATGGAGGGGTGTTTCGGAGTACCCTGTTCTGGCTAACAAGCCGGATGCGTTTAGGCGAGTGTACGAATAGTCAGTGGGTGGGTGAGTGGATTGCAAGTGGTGAGATGTAGAGGTAGTCGCAGTAGTAGACGAAAAGGAAGCGAAGGAAAGTCATGAGATGGGAAGGGAGCAGAATTGTGGACAGGTACTTCTTGACTGTTTTGATTGACTTGATAGGCGTAGATTCAAGGCTGTTAATTGAACTGATATGAGCGCCGATGGTGGTGGTGAAAGGTCATTGTCAAGTTCAGTTGCAGTAGTTGTAGGTGCAGTTTCCTATTGGCGTCATTTCCATCCCCAGCATCATCGTGGCTCCTTCCGATTAATCTCCATCATTTCATCTCCATCTCCAACTTCATCGTCCCTTGCATCTTTGACCTTTGACCTCACACCTCTCTGCACATCTGCAAATCCCACCTCTCACACCTCAGCACGACTCCTACCTGCGTTCGTCCAGGGCCTCGTTCTATCGTCGATCAAGAGATCTACTGATCTACTTCCACCGCCAATTCCACATCCGCCCGCCATCCGGCCACGTTGTTCCCCAACAGTCCAATAGTCACTTCTTGGATTGATTTGCCTGCCGATTGGGCTCGCATGAAAGCTATCAGCCTATCTGGACCATGAATTGATCAATTGCATTCAACTCCACCACAGACATTGCGACTCTAACCTCTGATCCGGCCATCGAGCAGGGGCAGAACAAGTCTACCTGCATATTAGTATTGGCTCCGAACAACATCGCTTCCTCATACCTTGCCACTAAACTTGCCAATCTTGTCCCATACTGCTGATGTGAATTGGCTGGCTGCGGATCATACCCTCTCTGGCTTGCTTCACTTCACCGACACAGTCGGATGCACTCAGCCTGCCAGATCGTCTCCTGATCCGTTGCTGCCGTACCGATGATAAAGTTCTCCAGGCACGACAATTCCGATAGCCTTTCACAACGCAATGTTTGAGTTGGATTGATGCTACCACCTTTACACCAAGTTTCGGCTCTCACCTCTGTTCCGGATTCAAACAGGAAACGCAGCTCACGAGAGATCTGACAAACGCCCATCTGCAGGGCGCTGGCAGACCTGAGCCTCGAAGTACCAAATATCATCAACCACAAGACATGCTATTTGGCTCATACAGGCCTCCAAGTCACAGTCATTACGGATCTTACACAGCCTATCACCACCAGCCCGTCCAAAACCGACTACACTGCTACAAGCCTCCGTACGGGAAAGTTACGAATCAGACGCAGTTCAATTCATTCCAGAACCACGGATACCATACGCCACCCACGTCTATACACACTACTTCACCCATGGCTACCCCGGATGCCGATGAAATGGAGCAGTTCCAACGACTCTCTGACCAATATCAAGCCAACCTTCCTGCACGTCTCCCTTCAACAAAAAGCACGAATCATCGCTAACATGGTTGTAGGGGCACCTGGTTGGGAACAAGAAACCCTTGTCCGAGCTGGTCACGGAATATGCCCAGGCAGATGAGACCTATGTGGTCAAAACAACAGTATGCAACCTCTACCTACATCGGGGTTAGCTGACAAAACCTATAGGCTCTTGCAGTGACGCATTCCACATATCGTCCAATCAAAGGTGATGGTCAATGCGGATGGCGTGGTAGGCAGCTGCCTTACTCCCAGGGATACCTCAGCTGATGATTGCTTGATGCAGGTGCTGTCTTCGGATATTTCGAAATACTGCTAGGCTCTGGAGATCTTGGTCTTATCACCCAGGAACATGTTCGGCTGCAGAGCTTCGAGCAGACAATGCGAGCCGTCGGCATAGATTACGATATTGTTATCGACATGTTCGATTATACCTGGGAATTGTTTGATGCTATCAAGTCAGCCATTGAACATGGGAACAAGAACGAAGCTGTCCTCCTGGAATGCATGAACGACCAAGGAAGATCAGATTCCATTGTCTATCATTTCAAGGTATGGACGGCATAGGCTCGCAGAAATTTCCTTGCTGATGGAGGTCAGATGATGACTAGCGCATTCATGCGAATCCAGTCAGACCGATACGAAGCTTTCCTCGAGATGCCAGTCGCCAGTTACTGCGAAAGCAGGATTGACCCTGCCAATCAGGAGATTGATCATATCGGCCTACAGGCGCTGACTGATGCTGTCATTGCACCGGCCTACATCGGCCTTGAGGTCTCATATCTGGACCGGAGCATTGGCGACGAAGTAACTCCGCATCCTTTTGTCCTGGATTCCCAGGGGTGGCCCACCATCCGCCTGATTTATCGACCGTAAGTATTTCGGAAACCTGCCCCTTGACAGATGATATGGCTAAGCATGAGAACAGAGGACATTACGATATCATCTATAAAGATGATGGACCCATCCAAGTCTTATTACAGACTGAGACCCCTCAATACGTGATGCCTTTCCATAACGACGTCTTCAGAGGCGATGAGGATGCCCTGAACATGCACTCATTCATGTTTCCAAATGCCAACATTGTGCCTTCGCAAACCTTGCCTGGATCAGCGCCTTCTCCCATGCACTCATACCCCCAGGCTTTTCAGAATCCTCAGCCTGCAATATTCGACGCACAAGCGACGACTATGCAGAATTCATATTTCCCTCCCGTGGCGCACATGACCTCTCAGCAGCTGCCGCAGCCACAGCACCAAACTCCACCACTGCCTGTTCGGTCGCTGTCAATGCCTCATCTTAGCCACTCCTGCTCACTGGCTCCTTCACTTCCCGCGACTTCTCCCTCGACTCTATCACCGTCAACGCCCACAGTGCTTACACCCGTTTCGGGCGGGCACAATATGCATAAGCCACATGAATACCAGATCAGATACAACACGAATTGCTATCAGTACAATGCCCAGCGTCAACAAAGTCTTCCTTTGGATCCTGGTTCGTTTGGAAGGTATGTTTGCCGTGCTTTTGTCTCCTACAATGTTTTTACTCCCCTGTGGACCAAATTTTACTGACTCGATTCTCCATCCAGTTCTGCCTCAAGTCCAGCTCACTTCGCGAATGCCGACTTTCAACCTGAGTTATGGAATGCAGAAGAAGAGTACGGGAAACGAGATTGATTCTTCCATGATAGCAATTACTATAAGGTTGACGGTGGCATTTACCTCAAGTTTGGCAAAACCATGCAACGAACGATGCGGCCATGCGATGTCGCTGACGAGCACTCAAACAGCAGATGGACTGGGCGAGGGGATGAAGAAGTCACCATTTGCGTGATGAATCCTGGAAAGCAGGTGTCTCCTATATCATGGTTTTCTTTACTGCACCTCGGAGGCTGCTACTGAATGCACGTCTTCCTTTCACACAATTCAGACATTAGCGGCACGCCACAGTCACCAGCCGCGTTGTGGTCTCTGAAGTTATTTCACTGGGGCTGGCCGACTGTTACCATATGTTTCTGTCCTTAGTGACGGGCGTCATAGAAAGGAAAAATTACGAGTCTTTTTCACCCAGGGTGCGGAATTACCAGAATAAATGCAGCAGTCATTCCCTCCAAGGAGTGGGATCAAGGTGCGAGGCACGAATCGAAGAGGCATGACACAGTATGAGACAATGAAATCCACTTTGAACAATAACACTCTCCCACATCCATCCCGTCTTAACGCCCGTTATATCGCTTCGAAGTTGATCCTTGAATTCTCTACACGATGAGCCTGTTTCCAGGAAACGTGGCACAGTGTGCTTGTTTTAGACCTCGAGTTCAGGTACATATTGTTTCTCGATACGTGATAGCAGGCTACTACTCAGTGTGTGAGAGTATATCCTCTTCCTGGAGGCGATATACACCGTCTACGCCCTCTTTCCCATCACGCTTCATCTTCTTCAGACCTCGCGCAACCTCGCGGGCGAGGACGTCGGCCACGGCCTCAAGTGAGATCCCGTCACTGTCTTTCCGGTCTCCTTCTCGCGCAAGCCATGTCACGCTTTTCCCTTCCAATCCGCAGGCGACAATCCTGCTGAAGCCCCATGACAGATAGCCTTGGGTATGTGCAGAGTACGAGGCAGATTGTGTTTGAGCGGGCGTGAAGTCGTAGACTTTTCCCGACGAAGGGAACGTGGCGTCAAAGACGTTCAATCCTATCCCGTGGGACGTTATGCCGCGCGAAACCTGCACGCCGATCGCGCAGATTTTATGGTCACTTTGGTTTTGGCCCTCTTGGTCGTCTTGTGTCTGTTCGTATCCAGCTGGGATCGAAGGCTGCTTGATCCACACCCCTGGATCATCCGTCCTTGTAGTCTGCACGCCCCACGCCAGGCATGTGCGCATGACGCTCTCTTCCAGCAGCTTCACCCAGCATCGCGCCGTGATGCCATGCCGGCGTAGATCGGCAACGATGTAACCTGTTAATTGCCCTGGGGCATGGTACGTGAGCAGGCCACCACGGGGCGAGGCGTAGAATGTCGCTAGGCCATTGGACGTCAGGAAATCTTGTTGCGTGGAGGAGATCGGGTTGGTTTGCAGGTGTCGCCGTCCGACGGTGTAGGTTGGATGTGTGGAGAATGTAAGGAGGATTGGATCGGGTGGGGACAGGGTGGACGTCGTTGATGTTCCCGTTGTGGTGTTTGCAGCTGGGTCTGACCCTCGCTGTCGAGTTTCTGCTACCTCGGTCAAGGTGTCGCTGACATTGGGCTCTTGCTTTGCCGACGCATTGCCGGAGTCTGAGGCGCTGTTCGCGTCCTCATCCTGAACGCGCTTAGTGTTGATGCCCGCCTGACTACCAGCGCGGATCGAGTCTTTGTATTGGAAGTGTCGTTCGACTAGTGCACTCTGCAGCTCGAGCGAGTGCGTATATGGTATCAGGCGCGGAATGTGCAGGTGGGCTAGGCGCATGGCATTATCGTGGGAGCATGGCTGTTTGGAGGACTGGTGGCGACGATATATCGCGCGCTGAGGTCCAAGGTCGGCGGAACAAGAAGCAGCAAGATCAAGATGAAAGACCGAGGTACGGATAAGCCCGGAAAGTGCCTGATAGCAGCGCTATGCATGCGGTCGTCATAAAGTTTTTATTTTCCAGTTAAGCCTTATGGGTCGCACCTTCTCTAGATAGGGCACTGTTGTACCGTCAGAGGAATCGGTTCTCGTATAGGCAGCGTATGGTATTGGTAACTATGTAGGAGGAGTGTCAGACGTAGATAAGGGTCTGTGAGTAACTAAGCTAAATGGGGAAAGCGCGGTCAAGGCCCAACAGCACCCATGGCTAGTTTCGGATCACTACCCAAGAATTCGTGTGCCGATTGCAGATGATGCTTGAGTCTCCTTGCTTACTTTCGCCCGTTGCTTGGTGGAATTCTGTTTACGGGAAAAGGTCAAGTACTGGGTGGGGCTTCCCCGCCTCAGACACCAAAGGCATACGGCAAAAGAGCGCGATATAGTCTTGTAGGGCCCTGGGGAGCTTCCAACTTGTACGAGTAGCCCTTGACGAGTATCTCCCGTTTCGGGCGTTTGCAGAGGTCGACTAGGGATGCTTGACAAGCTTCGCCTCTATGTGGTCATACAGTATGTGCCCCTCGTTGCAGCCCTGCAGCTAGCTACTATCAGAAAACACTGTTCAACTTCGTCGACTAGCACATGGCAGAAATGTCTATGACCACGGGGAGCATAACCTCGGCTTGAAACAGAGGTATATCGAGGCAAAATTCACCTAAATGTTCGTTTCTCCAGGCGATGGGCATTAGACTGAAAGTCTTCTTCTTCCGGGTGAGAACGCCTCGTCTCGTCCAGGGGCAGCCTTACCTGTCGTCCAAGCGCATGCAGCTGATCCCTTGCAACATCCAATCATTTCACTTCGATGAGGGATATCCTCCTGGACCCCGTTTTATAACTGCTGAGCATTATAGTTGCTCTTGTTCGCAAGACATTGATACAGAGTCCTGGCTGCGAAACGAACACACGTCTCATACCAACAATGGAACAACATAGCCCGTCGGCAGAAGACCAACTCTCAGAGGAGCGCAATGCTTCAGTGACGAGTGATTCGACTTTGGAGACAAAGACGACCGAGGCCGAACCCAGTCAGATTGAATCTCGACCACGATCAGCCAGCCACGCAGCCTTGAGCGAGGTGAGTAGTCCGGGCTTGACTGTTCCATACCCTTTGCTCCATATTCATGTCCCCCAGATCCAGCCCATACTCGCGACTTGACTGACACGAATCTCCGGTCTTCCGGAGCATCTAGTACTACAAGTACCTCACTCGGTGTTTGAAAGAAGGAGATGGAGCTCAAGAAGTCGAGGGCAATGAGCAACGTGAATCACAGGGAGTCCAGACACCGAATGAGCACTAGAGAAGATGGAGTCAAGAATAGTGAGTGCCTGTCGAGGATGCCCGTCTGGTATGTCTTGTAGGTGCTGAGGCAAAGCTAGCCAGTGTTCCATGCATGGAAATCTTGAGTGCACGGATGGCGCACTCGGGCGTAACTCTCACGAGAAGGTCGTCGGTTTCTGTGGACAACCTCAACCATACTGACCATGTCGTTCAAAAATACTCTGCGGCATCGATGTCGCGATACCTTCTCCTTTGCCCTTGCTTCCTATGATCATCTGAAGACGTGGACAAGCTGCTGCACCCATCATACTCCCCCTCCACGAAAGGCCCGTCTGCTGGTTCGACTCCTTGTCCTCTTTCGAATATGTCAACGTGCCTGGCCTTGTCTATCTCGTTGCTAGCTCTCCAACCATATATGACTTCAGGGTTGTCCAGCGCTTCGACGATATGCTCGCCTCGGAGCAAACAGCCCCTGTCACCCATTTTGTTCAACAGTGAGTGATAGACCTTCGCAATGGCAAGATGGCTATCATCTTTGATGATAGCTTTGTTCGCCCAGATTATGACCAGAACGAGCGTGACAAAGTGTATGAATGGTATCACACCCAAAATTGATCCTGCGAACCTCCACGTCACCTGAAGGACCTGAGCAGGAATGGGTTGCTCTCCACCAGTGACATTAATTCTCTTTCCGTCGCTTTCGTCGGAGTCCAGATAGGAAACTGTGCCCATAGTGAAAGTAGATATTGTATCGGCCATATCGTCGGCGCCTGGTGTTACTTGGAAGCCAAAGTCCGAATTGTTGCCATACAGCCAATACTCCTCAAGACCTCCATCCGGCGACGCAACCGGGGCGATATCGTTCCACCCGATCGCCCCGGCGAGCATGCGGGCCACAAGGTCCGAGACCAGATATTGTGATGTGAGGTTGGCGCCGTTTTTGAGGGCGACCTGGGAGACAGTATTGTTGCAGGTGAAATAGATCCCGGCAAATACGTCCCAATACTCCGAGTATGCTTGGAATGCATCCAGATCAACACATCGTTGACCACAAGTCGAGTTCATCTTGGGCATGACGAGCAGGCCACCCGAACCCGGGACTTCAGGCAACGACTGGTTGACATTCTTGACACCATCGTTGTAAATCACGTACGAAAGATTGCCGTATTGGCCTTCAGTCACGGTATAGTTGGCGCAATAAGCCTGTACGTCAATATATCGTGATGAGATGTCGCCTACCAGGAAATCCTTTGGGTTTTCATCTTGGAAGAAATACCGGGTGTATCCGCTGTTATCGCTGAAATAGCTGTTTTCGTACACCTCGGTGCCGTTCAAGCTGATCGTAAGACCGGTGGTATCGCCTCGAATTCCCTCCTCATGGACATTGCTGAGATCGTAAAGATAGTACCCCGTCGACAGTGCATTCAAATCCAGAATACTGACGTTTCCGTGCTTATAGAGTATGTCATCCGGAGAGGTATTGAGGTTATAGTTTAAACCAATGATGCTATGTGACTCATCAGAAAGCTGTATCTGTAAGATTGGAAGCATATCGAAACACTCGTGCTTCAATGGCACAGTCTTTCGAGTGGAGCAATACTCACCCCACAAGGATAGTGACCGCCAGGTGAACTAGCAGCCAAAGGAAACAGAATATCTGTGTTCTCGATGGCAGGTGCTTGTATCTGTGGTTCCGAGCCTTCAACAAAAGTTGCACGACATTCCATAGCGAGTCACACCCCATGACGAGATCGAAGGTTTCGAGCGGCCGATAGCATACCGCCAACATACGCCAGCGGAGGAGTTTTGCGTAGCTCCTGAGAGATGCGGCCAGATTGACACCTAGGAGAAGCGAGTTCCCTGTTGTTAAGGCATTGAACACTCTTCGTTGAGTCTTGTCAATGGTGGGTTTCTTGGAGTAGCCATACAGGATCCCAAAGTAAGCTACACAAAGGATGAGTGTGTTGACCCATTCCCCAATGGTCAAGCGCAGTAGACGCCTTCGTTGGGTTTTGTAGCGGTACTCTCTCGTTGTTCTCTTCTCATCCTTTTCGAACAATTCGTGGAGTGACGGCTGGAACGACCCTTGCATGCGCTCCCTATATGCAGTCAAGGAAGAATTTCTGTGTCCTTTTTGCAATGCAGGCCGCACATTTTGAGGTTCGCTCTCTGAAGAAATTGTCAGGAAGTCAGCCGCAGCAGACCAGAGTACTTACTGGTACGTCGAGATGCAAGAGGCTGTGTGATAACATGAATCTCAGATTCATGCGCAGGTGCTGGAGGAGACCCCGGATCTGGCTCGGATTCGTGGGCTGGCTGGTGTAATGGGGATAGAGGTTCCAGCGTCTCCTCTAACGGCGTGATCTGTATCCCTGGTGGTAAGGAGTCCGCGAGCTTCACCGGGTCGCGTGCTTCGCTGTGAGAACCCTCGTCTCTGTTTGGAATACGGGAGTATTGTCCAAATGCATCCGTGGCCATGTCGGGCAATCACAATGAGATATACTGCTGGTTGTGACTTCCTCGTAGCGACGTGCACGATGTTCGCAGAAAGGAAACATGAAGACAGGCCGAAAGTGATGGCCATAATGCTGGAGACATATATTGCACTTAATACTGGAAATTCCAACGTATTGGACCCCATGTGTAGCGTGTAAGAAGTCAGTCTGGACAAGGGTCATATCGTGGACATGACCATCTGGCCGCGACATGCATGGCCGTTAGGGTCATTAGGCGAGGCTCGAGGGACTTCACTGCAATCAATCATGTGGCGCACTCCGTGTTATTGGTGGACTGGTGTGATAGCGCCGGCCGAATAGTCCTACTTAATTTTGACTCACCTGGAAATGGAAGCTCTCGTATGCAGAAGTGTAAGGGCGGTTTCACATAGCCGTGTCACCGTCTGGGGGGCCTAAATGTTAGTGAGAAGTAAATGCCTATTCTGTGTAGGGCGTTACAGGGGTCTGGGATTTTGGCCAGCGGGAAATGTGCGTCCTTGCAGTCACTCATCGTTCTGGCTCAACCATCAGGCTGACCAATGCCGTTGCCCAGTGACCGAAGTTGGAGCAGAGCCAGGAAACCGGTGTCTAAATGAGTGGTAAGTTATCGAGAGCAGGCAGATTCAAAGCGGAAGCTGACAGGTCATAAAGATCTCCCGACTGTCGGCATCGTGCTGCTATCGTGCTGCTGTGCATACAAAATAGTGTTATGGCTGGAAATGTCGATACCGCATACTCATCAACCCAATACGACGTGAAAACCCTTACAAGGATATGTTTGTGATGACTGAACCGTGTTTCTCAAGCATAGACGTTGGCCGATCAGGCCGAAGAAGTCGAAGATGCAGCTTGTGTAGAAACAGCAATGACTTTTCGTGCCCAGCGGACTAGATTAACGGTACTGGGGTTAATCGAGCCTCAGGTCCCAATAACCCTGCAGGGGGCCGAGCCTTTGGGCCGGTCCGATGGGAATGGTCAATGTTTATTTTGAGCTCGTAACACTGACTGTAGATGGCATTCTCGACAAGATCTGGAGCACTGTTAATCGTGTATGACCTCTTGACGGTCAAGCCTGCACCTGAATAGAACTATGTCTGCTTTGGCACGAAGCGTATAACCTTGCAACCCGGCACCAGATGACTGTAGCACGGTTCAATGCTTGGCTGTAACACCACAGTAGACTCGGCGATTACAAGAGCAGGCCTCACGCTGCGAAAATGCTTATAGGTCGTGCGACGACGGTGGGATCGAGGCTAAGTAGACCTGTCTGTCTGGGGCTGAACAGCAGACGGCTCAGGCCTAGCAGATCCAGACGTCGGTCTTTCATAGGTGGACCAATGCGTCATTCAACTTGCCACGAACCCATCAGTGAACATTTGATATCAGTTCTCGGGTAGCACTGTCAAGTGAGATGTCGTAGCAAAGTGTGTTCGAGTCTTCAAGGGAAATGTACTTCTGAAACAGAAGTTGACAGCACAGGCACAAAGGTAAAGAAAGCGCAAAGAACTAAATGGTCCGCAGTGACGCCGCGCATCGGCGGATCATCTGAGCCACCAATTGCAGACATTCTTCTCCGCATTCTGCTCCAGAAACATGAGCGTCGGGAACGGCGCTCTATGCTTGCTTGTTGGGTCGACAATAATATCATCTGTGTCAACCTTCGTCTCTGTTCCGGACGGAGGCCCTGTCGGCCTCGATCGCCTGCAGTACGATGGTGCATTCCAGACTCTCCCCGTCCGTATCTCGCCGGTTACTACGAAGCCTTGTGAGGAACCCAGGCGTTGACTTCTTCTATTCCAAACCTCCTCGATCAAGATCCTTTGCACATAAACCCTCGCTGCTGCTGGTGGCTCGACCCATACCCCGACCACAACTACCATTCCTTCATCCAGTTTCTCGAACGAACGTTGTTCAAGCACAGATTGGACGATTCATCTCGACGGAACGAAAGCAGCGATGGAAAGCCCAATTTTGGCAGCAACTGCGTTTCCATGCCTACCTTTGGCCGTCACTCTTACTCGCCACCATTTTGACAATGGGTATACAACAAGTCAAGTTCGAACGAGACTATCCTACTCCTCGAGATTGGTCGTTCTGGAGCAGGTGGCTGCTGCGAAATGCCAAATTCACTGAATTCAGTGACGATGCCAAACTCCAGCAGGTTCTGACAGACTGGGCCAGGGCCGGACGTTACTACCTGGATGTACTAGCAAGACTGGAGAGCGAAGACCAGGATGGGAAATTTCTCATGCCTACAGAAGCAAGCGGGACGTATGCGGACAGCCTAGGAATAGCCGGGTATGACATAAGTGCGAAAAGTGAGCAGTGGCGGCGAGGGTATCACGATACGCTCATGGGCGCCGGACGCGTGGCAGAGAACCTGGATGGGATGTGTAGGAGGATAAGAGAGGTCAGTGGACGTGTATACCCAAGAGAGAGTATACCAGGACCCGACAATCCCAGGCCGAAGCCACTGCCGTGGGATAAGAAGAAGGGACACGAAAAAGCACCTACCGCGGAGGAGGTTGAAGATGCTTTCCCAGCGCCAGAGATGTTCTACATGAAGGTGCTGACAACAGACGGGTTCGACACAAGACAACGACTGGAAGCGGCTTTGGCATACGCCGACTGGTGTGATTTTAGGGGCCTGAATGAGACCGCCGAAGACACTTACCAATGGGCTATGGATATCGCTCAATCAGGTCTACGAAACGGAAGCACATCTGTTGTCGATACGAAGACTGGCATGATCGTGAAAGGAAAAGAAGACGAAGTCACCGAGAATATTCTCAATGTATGCACTTCCTATGCTGTCCATCATGCCAAAGCTGGAAACGTCAAGCAAGCATTGCCTGTTTTCCTAAGCGTATTGCGAGCTCGAAAGAACCTGCCCCCTTCGCCTTATGGCGTCACGGGAACACCCAGACAGAACAACGAGGACGAAGGATGGTGGTCATATCTCTATGCACTCAAAGATATGCTCATTGACAAGCCCTATCCTTCAGCACCTCCAGACGGCAATGAACGACCTTATCACACGTTGAAGGAAGCTTGTGAAGAAGTGGGTCTGATGACTTACATTGGAGAGATTCTCTTTGCAACGAGTGATAGCGAAAGAGAGAAAGGTCTAAGCTGGACACGGGACAGTGTTGAAGCTGCTGAAGCCGTCATGTGGGTGATGGAGGAACAAAAGGAGGAAGATGGCAAGGAACGATGCCGTGAGTGTCTGGAAACAGGCCTAGAGAACTGGAAAGACATGTCTCGACAGATGGCTCGTCTAGCAGCAAAGAAAGAACAGGATATCGCAAGCGGATCAGGGTTCTTGGGACTCGGCCTAGGCAAAGCTTCACAGGTTGCGAAGGCTCACAAAGAGACACAGCGATGGGAGGAGGAAAATGTACAGATTGAGCTGAGACGGCAGAAGACGGTACCTCTGACACAACCCATCAAGCCTCCTGCTCAAGGACTGTTATGAAATTGAGTCACAGAAGCACCTCATGGGCATCGAATGAGGCAATGAGAATGAAGTTATGAAGCTCTCCCATGTCGAAAAGGACAGCGCATCCCTGATTCACTCCGGGTGCACGCCGTAGCTGTACAGCTTGTTGAAAACGGAGCGTGCTGCGCGGACAATGGGGTACAATCACTGGCGGTCATCACAATGACAACAGTCTCTTTGCGCTGGCGGTCGACTGATAGACAACGAGAACAGTAGCGAACGCAGCGGTGTTCGCTCGATGGCAATATGTTTGTTCACAGCGGTCGACCTCACTTCCACCTCATCACAAACAACAAGATGAAGTGTCCTCCAGGCCCACGGAGGAAGCTTTCTCCGGTCCCGGAGGAGGCTCACGATGAGCATGAGAGCGCAAGGTAAGACAACGCCATCAGTACTGTGTTGAGGTCGCTGTTGACCGTCATGTAAAGTTGGGGCGTTGCGCTAACCTGTTTGGTGGTGAACAGTTCTTCCGTCTCCGTCTCTGTCGAGCGGCGTCGCCGCTTCAACACCTTCTCTCCCTCTTCTCCTCCTCCTCCTCCTCCCTCCCCCCACGCCAACGACCTCGAAGCAGGCGTGGCCACGATGGAGACGAGACGCGCACCTCTGCGATTGAGGATGAGGAAGACGTTCTACCGGGCGCTCCTGGTCGCTTTCCTGCTGTGGTTCTTCCTTTGCAAACTCACATTCTACGATGTCTTGGTAAGAACTTCCTCTGACCTTTCCACCAGCACAAGAACCAATGCCTGAGTCCCTACAGTCCGGTTCTTTCCTCGGGCTACGAATGTGCAAGAATACAGAATACTACGGCCCAGCTGCATCGTCCCTCTCTGCTTTCCCAGCTCCAGAAAACACCACGTTCAGAATCCCAGACACTCTCGACACATTCTATGACTACAAATTCCGCAATCACACGTCCTGCCAAATCTCCTCGCTCGATCTACACTCAGCGTTCTCACCACTATGTGAGACTCGCGATGCCTTCCTCCACGCCTTCTCCGGCGGCGGCAGAATCGGCTTCGACCGCCCCTTCATCCCATTAGACTGCGACATGCGGTGGTTCAACACCGACGAAGTCTGCAGCATTCTCTCACGCTTCGAAAAAGTCATCGTCGTAGGCGACAGCATGATGAGACATGTCGTGGGTGCAATGAACGTTCTCCTCCGTAAAGACCTGGGCTACGGCGCCGTCACGAACTGGAACTTTAATGAGCAGGAATTGTAAGCCACCCTTCTTCTCAGACACACACACTCACACACCAATGTACAGTACTAACGTTTGGCTTTGCAGACAAGAATGCTTCTGCAACCACCAAATGGACGTGAAATCGTGCTCGGTGCAAGGCATTTTCTCGACCTCCTCTGTCCTACAACACGACCCGTCGAGCCTGGCCTGTGACGAACCAGTCGACTTAGTCATCGAAATGATGCTCAAATTCCCACTCGATCCCACCGAAGTCTCACGCTTCCAGGACTTATTGGCGTCCACCAAACCACGCAAACCCTACGCCTTCCTCTTTGGACACGGTCTGTGGAACGACCTCGACATCCAAGCGAGCATGAACTGGCTGGACAAGCTCCTCGAGCATACACTTGAGAAAGCACCGTATTTGGGCACGATCAATAATCGGCGAAGTCACTCGATCTGGCCTAGACTGTACATCACACCAAACGCCGCTGGCGTGTTGAAGCCGGATCAGTGGCTTGTCAGCCAGGGCGACAAGCAATTGATGATTTTTGAGGAGAGTGTGCGTGTGGAAGTGGCGCAACGAGGTGTTGAGACGCTGGGGACCTGGAATATGAGTGTCCAAGCCACGAAATATGATGGCGTGCATTTGGACCTGAAGGGGAACTTGATCAAAGCTATGGGCGTGCTGAATTGGCTGAATCTGGTTGATGTGGATGCTTGGTGAGCAGGCAGACAGGAGTCAGAGTTGAGCTTGACAAAGTGCAAAGACACAGTTGCAAGAGACGAGAGTTTCACAAGAGTTTACGAGATGGTCAACAGGCATTGATTGACCATGACTAGAGGCGCAGGAGAAGCGTCTTAGGTCTCACAAGGACTTGAATCAGACTCCGGGTTTCAAAACAGTTGAGGTCATGTCAAAAACTTCGAAGTGCTTTCCACATCCACCTAAAATGGACTTTTTGCTGCAACAGAGCTCGCCTAGGGCCTGCTGAGCAGGCTTTCTATATGATGTACAATGTTTATCTCCCTCCTCTTTCCCATTCAAGTCTTGCCCCGGAGTCGGAGGCCAGTGATACTGAATCTCGCCCAAAAGACCAACAGTGCGGCTAGAACGACGGCAATACCACTGAACAGCTGCACGCCAAGCCAGTCGTACGATGTGCCCAAGATCGCGCCAGTCACAGGGGTTCCAGTCAAGAGTCCAAAGGCGCTGATGAAGAACAGCTGGCCCATTCGCGTGCCAATCTTGGTCATGTCCTTGGTCAAATAAACAATCGCAACGGGCGGAATCGACACCAACCCTCCGGAAAAGAAGCCATATAAACACGAAAAGGCGATCAGGCCGCCGACATTGTGAATACCGATCCATATCAATGCCAACATGCCGGTCATAAAGCAACATGGGCCCATGACGTTTAGCGGGCCGATGTGATCGGCCAGGAAATTCGGAACAAGCCGTCCTGGAATGCTGGCAGCATTTAGCATGGGGAGTAAGTAGAACCCTAACCTCTCCGAGGTGATGCCCTGTTGTATTCCGTATGACTGGTCGTAGTAGACTGGACCGTAGAAACCGATGAAGGCGACGAACATGGCGATGCAGAACAAAACATACGGGAGCTCCGTGAATGCTGTGAGGTCGACCAAATGGCGTTTATGCTTGGGCATGACTCGCGGCCTCATGACCAGCACAGAGAACCAGACTGTCACAAGCGAGATAAAGCCAAGGACTCGGGTCGCCCAAGCGAAGCCAATGTGCGGCTGCAGGCGGATGAAGATGATGGGGTAAAGAACTCCGCCCAGCGAGGATCCAGACGCAGCCATACCGTTCGCCAATGCCTTTCTCGTGCTGAAATATTGCGGCAGAATCGCAACCGAAGGGATGAAGATACAGCCAGCTCCAACGCCGATGCAGATGCCCTGTGCTAGCATCGTCTGCCAGTATGTCTTGCACAGGGATGTCATCATGAAGCCGAATGGGATCAGGGTTGCACCAGTGGCGATGAGAGCTCGAAAATAACCATTGTCATATGCTGGTCCTGATATGACGCCGACAAGCAACAGTAGAAATGCCTGGATAGAGCCGATCCAGGATATATCGCTAGGACTAGCGTGCCACACAGGATTGGTTGCATAATATGTCTGATAGACACCAAACGTGTTCACGAGGCCCCTAGAACAGATATTAGTGCTTTCTTGTTTCCTGGAAGGAATGAAATCTGTACCAGGCATTGAAGAAGAGGAAGAAAGAACCAAGAACTTGTAGCCAAGCGGTGAGGCCTCCATTCGGAGGAGGGCCTGGGTCATTGTCGTTCTTCTCTGATATCGGGACTGGATCACCTTCTGTGGGTGACTCGTCGATATTGGCCTCGGCGTCAAGAGCTCGGTCGAAGTTGGACTCGGTTCGATGAAGTGTCGGGTTTGGACGTTGTCTGGAGGCATTGAGATCTTTATTGTCTTCTATAGACTTGTCCAGTTCATCTTCTCGAAGGGTGGAGGAGCTCATCACACTTGTGATGTGGGTGTGCTTAACAGTGCCGAGGTGTACGAGGGTGGCCACGCAGTAATGTGTATTAGTTCCCAATCAGCTCTCACGGCATGATATCAATACAGAGGCGACATAGAGCACGAATAGTATAGGCAAAGACTTTTGAGAGGAATCGCACGGACATCAAAACACAAGAGGCGAAAGAAGTAAAAGTTGAGCAATGGTACGGCGGTACTCCGTACACTCACAAATGGGGGCTGTCAATATGGCATGGAGGCGGGGGAGAACCGAGACCGAAAAATTCCACAAATTAGAGGAGAGGAGGAAGTCTTCTTTGTACGGCGACACGGTAGAGATCCACGGGAAATGTGTACTGGATCATGTACGAGACCGAAAAGCCATGAATAATGAAAGAGCAGAAGCGGGTAAATGGCAGTTGTTTGGGTGCCACTTTCTTGGTGCCGTTATATCCGAACATGAGAGAAGGCATCTCCAATATCGACCTACATCTCGACAAGCTGTGATTCCGTATCAACACCTCGACGGCTTGATAGACTGCGATTGAGCATCCAACAGGTTTATTCTTTTTCAAGACTGGCCCTCGACGATTTTGCCGTGTATGTGGCTGGTGAGTACCCATAAAGAATGATGTGATACTCATTGGAGAATATGACTGGCCTGGCAAACCAGGTACATTATATTTGAGCAAGACGATCGATCAGCTCCCCAGCGAGTCAAATATGTACAGGGCCACCTTGTATGCATATGAACACACGGAATTGATGACACCTGCGAGTCAACATGTTCAAAATGGAAAGATGTCATCTCTTTTAAGATGAAACTTCTCATGCCCAAGAATCGGCGGCAAGCATCTCCAACCTCAATCTGAAACACCGTCAAACTCGTTCGGCCACTGCCACGATTAGACGCCGCATGCGACACCCAACGGCCATGACACAAGGCATCGTTCGAGCCTTGCATGTTTGTCTGAACATTCGTTGGCTCTCACTGCATCTCGTTCTTGGCGGCTCACGATAAATATAGCCTTCCAAAACCTCACTGGACCCGGCAAACCTCGTCTTCGACCGCATCGACCGTCTGCCTCAAACCATGCACTGGCCAAGGTTGATTCTGGCGCGCTGCAATGCATCGACGTTTCTTTGGGCCAAACACCAGGTCAAGTAATGATGTCTGTGGCATCAGCCGCTGACCAAACGCTGAGCCCATTTGTAGGGAAAATCAAGGTAGGTTTGACAACGTCGCTCGACATACATATGCCATGTTCGTGTTCATGCAAGAATCGCAACTCTGTTGATCCTGCATCTCTCTTTGCCTTGCTGCATCATATCGTGGTCTTTGGGAGGATACACAGGCCTCATTTTGTTCATTGCACTGGTTGCTTCCATATTCGTTGCCTTACGATCATCGCATTCGTCGCGCTGGTCGCTATACCATTCATTTTCCTACAATAGCGTTCCCTATATCAACGCGCTGGCACAGAGAAGACACACGAGCAGAATAGCAGACGACGACACCATCTCCATCATGAAATTCACAACGCGGAGCGTCAACGACGCCTTCCCCATCTCTGGCCCCAACCCGCCAACATTCCCACCACCACCTCAACCCTCACGCTCTCGCCATCCAGCATTACGCCGACTACACAGGTTTCGGATTGTCGGTCAACCGATCACGCTCGTCCTAGTCTTCACCACCCTCATCCTCAATGCCATCTACGCCTACTGCGTGGCCAAACCTCACAAATCCGACACCACCGCCAGCACCGCAAGCACAGAGTCATCTACGGTGACAGCCTTACTCATCTACACCCTCACCACCCCGGCAATCAGCCTATTCCACCTGACCGCCGACCTCCTCACCAACCACACCAATCCACAGCACCTGAGCACAAAGCTAGCATACAAGCTCCTGCTGCCCACCACAGCTCTGTTGACAGCAGGCTGGGCAGCGTCTGCCTCAATCTGGATGCACTGCGAGATCCCAGCGTTCAACAAATCCGGCCGAAATGTCTGCCCACCCCAAGTCCGCGGGCACTTCATGTACGGCATTCACGAAGTCAGCATTGCAAAGACGGCGATAAGCTGGACCATCTTCGTCCTGTATGCAGTATATCTACTCATCCTGGTCGGCGGGTATAAAGCGCAGAAACGCGTGTGGAGAATCGCCGCGAAGACGGGCGCTGACTTCGAGCACGGCGACGCCACGGAGATTGTGGTGAGTGTTTGATCACCAGGAGTTATCAATCACAAACCTACAGTACTTCTTCCTCTGCATGGTCGTCCCACAGAATAGTTGAATAGGAGGGCTCTGCTGTGCACTGCTAGAGGGAAAGAGGGTTTGTCTATGTACAACGTCGCCACGATCTTCGAGTTAAGCAGGGGATTACAAATGTACAAAAAGTCAAAGCGCTGGAGTTAAGAGCAACAAAGGACAGGATCACATCGAGTACGTCTTATATTTTATGTCTAATCATACACAATTGAACCTATTCACCGAGTCTTCTAATCTGTTCGATGTACCCTTTGAACCAAGATTCCTGGTCAGCCCTCTCTTGCCATAGGGAAGCATATTATCGCGATGGCTTCGATCCACACAATGAAAACTTCCGATGTTGCCCGGCTGACCTTGCTCCGGCTGTACGAACATCTTCCAAGGCATTCGAGCACTTTGTCTTTTAAGTCTTGTCCCTCAAAAAATGCCTTCTTGTGTATTCATGTCCTAAAACTCCGACGAAGCCGTAAGAAGGATCTCGGTAGCACAAGATGCTATGTGCTCACTGCTCATCGTCCTCATCGAGATCAGGATTCTCTTCGGCATCGTCCTCATCAAGATCAGGATTCTCTTCGGTAATCAAGCAGCCATATTCGTTGTAGCGCATGACAAAGAGAGGTGGTGGCAATTCGTCATCAGCAGAAACAGGCCCTGGTTGGGCCAGGATGTCTTCCTAAGCCATCCTGACTTTCGCCCTCTCGTCCTTGGGTGCGATCCGCGCCATCATCTCTTCCCGCTGCATGAGGTGCCCTACACGCTCCAGCAGGCCCAACAGACCTTTCATGCTGCTGCCCCATTCATCCAACACCTCATCCGGCCCTCGTTTCTCTTCGAAACTGACCATCCGGGCTGGTCGGTCGATGCGCGCATACACCGTCTTCTTGGTGACCAGATCCGAAATGTACTTCTCCGTCTCCTCCTCCGACAGATCGAGCAGTTCGGTCAGACGAGGGAAGGTGATGCGCGTGTAGTACTTCGCGACGACTCGAACGTTGTGTTCAATGACGCGATGTCGCAGGGCTTCATACCGTGTATGCGCCTTCGGGTCGCTGGAGTCTTCGGTCTTGGAGAAAATGTCCGTTGAGCAGAGGTGTTCGCCATATTGTTGCTCGACCATGGGCCAGCGCATGAGTTCGTGGATCGTGAATTGTTTCAACAGCGCGGCGTCCTTTGGCACTTCCGAATTGCGGCTGTCCTGGTAGACGCGATGGAGGAGATCAGACTGTTCGTTGTCGTAAGGCGCGAGTAGCACAAAGTAGATAACGCGTTGGAGCGTGGCACGCAACTGGTCGGGGTTGTTCTCGACGGACTCTGTGTCGAGCACTTGTCTGTAATGCTTGCACGCATCGAGATACCGATCTTCATGCTTCGCAAGCTTGATTTGTTGTTCGTAATATCGTAGCTTCAAGTCCGTCACGTCGTCCAGTGGTTCTGGAGGTGGTTCATCGGCAGATCTCTTCTTCTCCTTCTCTTCACGGGCCTTCTTCTCCTTTTCCATCTGTTCCGGCGTCTGCTTGGGTTTGCGAGCAAAATATCTCGTACTCATTTTCCTGCTGAGAATCATCGCTTGTGTCCAGTCGCCATTTTCCATGCACAATTCCACTTGTTCTAGTATGAATTCTGTCTTTTCTCTCCTTGTCATGGATCCGAATGTCTCGACTTGCAACTCGCAGAGGATCTCGCTTGCTGATTTGATGTCGCCTTGCTCCTTTTTGATGTCGGACAGGATTCGGGTGATTCGTGCACGCTCGACTTCAACGAAGATCTGGGATGGTCAGTTCGGACTTTGAGAGGCGAGCATCCAGATCAACTTACTCTGCCTTCCGTCACGGTTCGTAACGTCTCAATTATGCTGAGTTTTGTGTCTAGGTTCGGCGTATCATCGAGGAACTTCATCACCTCCTGCACCATGGCGGTAATGGCTTGTTTGAGTTGTCCATGTTTCTTCGAGAGCAGCAGGACTTGCTCGTTCAGCAAGCTCCAATCTCCAGCCTGTTTGCATAATGTGATGATTGCGACCAAGCATCTTGAAGTTGTGGCGAGATCTGAAGCCTATGTTTGTTGTCAATGAGGCGCTGTGATATGCAGGACAGATCGGTAGCATACCTGTCTGGTTTGTTTCTCGAGGGCGATGATCTTGTCGATACCTTTCTGGAGATCTTTCTGTACATGATTTAGCCTCAGTATCTCATCATGTGGCATCTAATTCACCTTCGCTAACTCCTCTGCCTCAGGCAGGATCTTGTCCGCATCCTTGGTATAATCTTTGTCTGGTTTGAAGATGTTTCCGTCCGACATGGTTACCGGGGATGCGTATACAATCTATCGGAGTAGCACTTAGATGAGCGCGGGTAGAGTAGGTCTCGAAAGGAGGATTTTATTGACGAGGGTCAGATGAAATATGCTTGGACGTGTAGTCTGAACAATTGTCCGCAGTGTATGGAGCGACTTAGTACTACAAGCTCAAATGATGCATCCGCGGCGCCTTGACGCGTCCTTGGCGCCTGACATGGCAGCCTCGCCAGCGCAAGCCTCGCTACTTAAGTAAGGTCCTGTACAAATTTGTCTTGCCCTGGATATAGAGTTAACGACGCCTCCATGGACGCCCATAGGTATGCATTGCTCTATCTGATACCTATCGATCAGAATTACTGCACACACTTTTGTAGTCCAGACTCTAGCCTTGTTGTCGGACCACCTATTCCCAGTACATATACACCACGACGGAACTTCTTCCAGAAGCAAACAATGCAGTCTTACACGGCGCCCAAGAATCCCTGACTCTCCAACATCAAAATGATTTGGTGAACAATGCTTCTGACGGTTTGCTTTTCAGTGTCAACTGTCAGATCGGCATCTTCAGGCTTCTCGTATGGGTCGTTGACACCGGTAAAGTTCTGGATGGAATTTCTCCGGGCACGAGCATACACTCCTCTCTTATCCGTCTTCTCCGAGTACTCCAGAGTAGTGGCAACGTGCACCAAGAAAAAGCTGCCGTATCTCTCAATAGTGGCACGGGCATCTTTTCTAGCTGCGTCAAAGGGTGCAATGGGCGCGGCTATCACAGCAGTTCCGGCCTTAGTCAGCTCGCCAGCAACAAAGGCAATACGAGCGATGTTGGTGTCGCGATCTTCCTTTGTGAAGCCGAGTTCTGCAGAAAGCTCAGAGCGAACGGTCTCACCAAGGAGCAGACTGACAGGTCGGCCACCTTGCTCGTTGAAAGTGACTTCCAAAGCTCGTGCAATGGCGTCCTTGCCAGAGTTTTGGTAACCAGTCAGGAAAATGGTAAAGCCTTGCGTTGCGCGCGGTGGGTTTGACTCTCGGAGGACCTTGACGACCTCTGGATACGAGAACCATTCAGGGATGGGCGCACCAACTCTCAGACGTCTTCGGAGTTCGGTACCAGAGATGTCGAGGGTCTTGATACCAGCCGGTACTTCGTCCTTTGGTTTGTATTCGTCGGTCTCAGGGAGGTAGGTCATCATTTGGAATTCGACAACCTCAATTCCCAATTCAGCCCTGTACTTCTCCACCGCGTGCTGGGCGTCATATGGACCGTAGAAGTCCTTGCCTGCGCTGTTTTTGCCAGGTCCGGCATGATCTCGGCCAATAATGAAATGTGTAGCGCCGTGGTTCTTTCGGATGATAGCGTGCCAGATGGCTTCACGAGGACCACCCATACGCATGGCCAGACCGAGCAGACCGAGGACAGCCATTCCGTTGGGATATCTGGGCATGAGTGCCTGGTAGACACGAACGCGAGTGAAGTGGTCAATGTCGCCAGGCTTGGTCAAGCCAACAACTGGGTGAATGAGGACGTTGGCTTGTCGAGCGCGGGCAGCGCGAACTGTCAGCTCACGATGAGCTCTGTGCATGGGATTTCGGGTCTGGAAAGCCACCACACGGTTCCAACCAAGCTTCTCGAAGTGTGTCCGCAGCTCGGCTGGGGTGTATCGTAGAGCAACGTAGTCGTAGTGACTCAGCCTGTTGACAGCCTCAATCTTTCCGCCAATGTACAATTCCTTTGTGCTGTTGAACAGGAACTTAATGGCTGGGTGTTCTGGATCTCCACCGAACACCTCTTGTGCCTCCTTCTTCTTGTCTGGCTGGTAGACGTCGTCGACTGTCAGGATAGCGAGGTTACGGTCGTCTCTGAAGTCTCGGAGGGTGATTCTGGCGCCTGCCTTGATTTTCAGACGCTCGACAGTCTTGCTTGTGACGTCCAAGCAGATGGGCATGCTGAAAAGAGCGCCATCTGCTAGTCTGAGGTTCTCAACAACGCCATTGTAGTCCTTCTCGTTCATGAATCCTTCGAGCGGAGAGAATCCACCGTTCAGGATAAGCTCAAGATCACATAGCTGGCGTTCGGTCAGGACAACGGCAGGCAGTGTCTCTGCTTCAGCGGAGAGTTGAGAGTGACGAGGAGCGTCTCGTGCAAGGAGATCCTTGAGGATCCCTCCGTGCGGTGGGTTGGCCATAGCTGCGAATCTTTAGGGCCCGTAGTGATAAGGAGAGGAATGAAGCTCAAAAGAATGTGCAACACGGTCTGGTCCTTAACAAAGTCTTATAAAAGCTCAGAGAGAATTGTTATCTTGTTCATGAAACACGCAAGACACCTTGCCCTGGCTTGCCAAGTGCACTTTCTCATCTCACGGCTCCAAGCGTCGTAAGATCGTCCCCGCCAACCTTGAATGCGGACTGACACAAATTTTTGTCGCTCAGGCAAAATGTCGGTGATGGCGTGCTCGCTGAACTCCATGAATTTCCCTTTTCCGCGCCACTTCATCCATTCTGGTTGGTCGAGCTGCGTCACCATTCCTCCCTGTTGGATCAGATCTCCGGGACCTGGCAGGCCGCAGAAGCGTCTGTTTTGGCGTCGTTGCAAGGTTCGTACCTGAAGGAAATCGCAGGACTCGTGTCTGAACTGGAACATCCGTGCAGAAAAGGTGGATAAATGATCTTGCAGAGTAGAAGCTGAGTACCTTTTTCTCCGACATCATCGACCGGAGGATTGGAAGTGGCCTTCCGTAAGGCTGCGCGACCACTCGGAAGTGCTACAAAGGCACTATGAATAGGTTTACATCATAAAGGAAAATCTCTTAAAGCACCCCAGTCCATTCTAGATGGATGAAGAGTACGACCTGAAGAAGACGAATGCGAACAATGACTCGGCAAGTCTCAAGATGATGATGATGGTGTATATTTGGAAGACGATAAGGCTCTCGGAAATCTAATCGATCCTTGCTAGGCATAACAAGTCAAACACTTGAACTGCATCAAAGTAGGCGACCGCTGCGCTTTTGTGTATATACCATCTTGAGATGCTCATCTAGCCCCCTTCCATGTAATAAATGTTGTGGCCGATATCATGCTTTTCATGTCATACAGATTCCCCTCATGCAGAACCTTGATCGTGGGCCATCGCTAATGCTGAATAATGGAAACGCCAACGCTATGCTGAAAAAGACCAAATCCTCAATGTCGTACAGATCATGCTTCGAGTGTTACCTGCTGCAAAGCTTGGTCAAGGGCTTCCCGTTCTCTCTTCTTCTCTTGTTCAAAGAGGAATTGTGCGTACTTGGAACGAGGATTATGAATGCCACACTCGGTCTTCTTCTGGCCCTTCCAACGACCGGCACGTTCATCCTCACCCTCTTTCACAGGGCTGGTCGAGTGCCAGTCGCCGACGCTCTTGTATCCTCGGTCAAGCAGAGCGTTGTATGGTACGTCGTTTTCCTTGACATATTGCTGGATCTGCTCGAATGACCAGTTGGCCATGGGGTTGATCTTGATCAAGCCAGCCTCGTCGATCTCGATGATGTCCAGGTCGCCTCTCTTGCCTCCCTGGCTTCTCCGTCTGCCCGTAAGAACGGCGCATGCTTGCAACTCACGGTAGGCTCGTTGCGCCGGCTCGACCTTGACCAAGTAATCGTATCGATTGTCGTCCGTCTCCCACAGTTTATCACCGTATTTCTTAGCGAACTGCTGGGCTGTCTCCACACCTTGTGGCTTATAGACATGAATGTTGACCAGAGGATATCTTGACCGTACACGATCCAACAACTCCATGGTCTCACCGAAGTGGTGCAGGGTGTCGATGAAGACAAGGTCAACCATCTGTGGCCGGGGGATCTTCAACTTGGAGAGCATGTCCAACTGAACCAGCCCGGTAAGGCCAAAGGCGGTTGTCTGGAAGAGGTGGGGCAGGGTGGTAATGCACCATCGCAGGATGTCTTGCGGCTCGAGGAACTGAAGTTGGCGGTTAAGGAACTGGAGATGAGGTTTGGTGAAGTACACCTCAGGCATGCTGATTTCACTGTTCTGGACGCTGGCATAACCTGAGTCGGCACCACTCAACGAGGGGCTGCTCTCGCAGCTGCTGTATGGGGACTGGTTTCTGGACGAGGACGACATGGTGATGAATGCTGTGGCAATGGCTCTTTAGTCTGTCGAGGGAGGTGACGACAGGTTAAAGAAGCAGGAGAGTGATGAGCAATGGGGAGGGAACTGAGATGAGGGCGCACATTGGGAAGCAAGGGAAGTAATAGAAGCCCACCTTTTTACAAATCATCTCGCAATATCATCGTCGAGCACGCAATTCTTTGGTGGAGCGCACTAGAAGGTCGCTTTCAAAGCCTCGCCATCGGCAGACCCAAACCAGCAAAAAAAGTCGCGACCTCCCACCATCGTACTGGTCACGTGCAATCACGCCATCGATGACACCTGAAAGCCATTGGATGGCGACAAAGTCTTGCAGTGGTCAAGCAGTCATTCGCAGGCCGTCTGGCTCCGATGGCAGGCAGGACAATCTTGCATGCATCATTCTTGCATGTTTGTCCGTGACGCAGGGTTCGTTTACCCGAGGATATGAGTGCAGAGTCGAGGAGGATCATGGATTGACATTTTGTTTCCAGCACCTCAGAAGGTTAAATCTGACGAGATCCGGTCCTTCCAATGATTTGCAGTCTTTGTTCGCAGACCTTGGGGGACTTTCCTTTCGTGACTAATCGTATATCGCGTCTTCGAAGTCATCTGTTGATGCTTCACCGCCCGTCGTGGTGTTGACCAGAATGTAAAGTGGGGGGTGAAGCAATTCCCGGCCTCGACGTTCAAATTTTAGATCTCCGTGGAAAGGCCGTTCCCATGATATCACGTGCATGAGCTTGCGACATGTGATCTGATGTCATCGTTTGCCTTGGATTTTCTACGGTGGTCGGAACTTCCTCCTCGGCGCAGAAACACAATCGCTCTTGAATGTGCTGCATCTAGAATCCAATACCACTATCGCTGAGGGACTGCATACGACGAGAACAACACATCGTTTACCCAATAATAAGCAAAAAGAAATTCAGACTCTTCTCACACTTTTTTATGTTTGCTGGCCCCTGACTGATCGACGCTCCTACAGATATTGGTTCCTGCATTGGTCGTGCTGGTATGACGTCGTCTTGCAGCTGCCCCAACTCTTTCTTTTCTGCAGGTGGCCTCCTACCTGCGGACCCTTAACTTGTTGCACATCGAGAGCCCGCCCAAAACAAACTCAATGCGCGGTCAGCAGTGATCATGGCATCTCCAGCCCGGTCACGCAAACCGAGTCTCGCAAAAGACTCCCTCTCAGGCAGTTCCTATCTCGACGACCACCTCGAGTACCGAACCCACCAGAGCGGACCCGTGACAAGCATAGATGGCGTCCTCGAACAGCCTCACCGTGTGCCGCGTACAGCGATGTCCAGCACCTCCCTTGCGTCCAGGAGGTCCATCAGCGCCATCTCTCCATCTCTCATAGTCTCGCAGGAGAGTGGCACCATTCACACCATCTCTCATACTAATTGCATTCCTGAAGCTGGTGATGCGCAACGACTTGTTGCGACCATATTCTACAACTCCAAAACCCCCCGCCATCCACACATCCACCCAGATCAGTCACCTCCTGTGAACCCGACCGATCCTATTCCTATTCCAGAGATCGTTGAAGGCTCGGCGCCAACCACTAGCATATCAGAATACCCTCTCGAACCTCCCGCTCCAGAACCCGAACCGTTGGACCACCTATACGGTGCTTTCATTTCGCAGTTATGCCTTACACATTTTCTGTCAACCCTCGACAGTCTCCTCATTCACAACAGACCAGAGGAACGAAGGCTCACATCATCGCATCGATGTCTGGACCCCGATCCTTCCAAGCCCCGGGTCATGGAAGTAGTATTCTCACCCCCTCCGAATCCTGAATACCTTCCATGGGAATTGATATCAAAGCACGAGTCAATCTACAAATTTGAAAGAGAATGGAACTGCGAAATCATTTTACAGCGCGCGAGCGTATACCGTCGGCACAAGCGTCTCTGCGTCTTCGACATGGACTCCACCCTTATCCAACAAGAAGTCATCGACGAAATTGCTGAATTCATTGGTGTCAAGAAGGCTGTAGCTGCGATCACTGAGCGAGCTATGAATGGCGAGCTAGACTTTGCAGCGTCTCTCAAGGCAAGGGTTGCCCTCCTTAAAGGCGTACCAAGCGATGTGTTCGAGCATTTGAAGCCCAAGATTGTCATCACCCCTGGTGCAAAGGAATTGTGCAAGTGTCTCAAGAGACTGGGCTTCAGTCTCGCTGTGCTAAGCGGAGGCTTCCAACCTCTCGCCGACTGGCTTGCAGGCGAACTGGGACTGGATCACGCGTTTGCAAATCATTTGGTTGTGGACCACGAAACAAAGACACTGACCGGCGAGTTGGACCCATCGCATCCAATCGTCGACGCTCAACACAAGCAAAGTCTGCTGATAAGTCTGGCTTCTGGAAAGAACATCCCACTTGCGCAGACGATGGCTGTGGGTGACGGAGCGAACGATATACCAATGTTGATGACGGCCGGGCTGGGCGTGGCGTTGAACGCGAAGTCCAAGGTGCAGATGGAAGCGCCGGCAAGACTCAATATCGGCGAGAGTATGCTTGACCTGGTGTACCTTCTGGGTTTGACCAAGCAGGAAGTGGACGAGCTGTTGCAGGATTAGAGTATGAGAGCATGAGAGTGTTCCGGTGGGAGGACATCACAAGAAATCGACGTTATGGGTATGAAATAGTCTGCAGCATCGAAGGTGTGAGCGTCCTCGATAAACCAGAGCATCATCGCGGAGCCAGTCGCGCGCACTCAGTATGACTTATGGAGTCATTACGTCCATGGACATAAAGTTGTGCCAGTAAGCCTGATAGTGAATGCATTCCATGTTACAAGCAATATCCTGAATTTGAGGCGCTAGAAACGCTCCGCTAATGTAGCATACATACAGATACAAGTACAATCGATAGATCGCTCGAGCCCGAGCCCCGAGCCAGACAGTATAGCCCCAATAATGTCTATCATCAAGGGAATATTGCCGCCTCACCTGTTTGGCGATATCCAAGTTCTCACCCAAGCAATACGGGACACCCCAGCTCATTATCACCGTAACTCAGAAAGAGCCAAGTTATGCTCTCACCGCTGCCATCGCTAAGATCCGCTCTCGCCACCGACGACCACTCCATCACCATTCGTTATGGTAAAGGCAGTGAAATTGGCCGTCAAGTGCAGATTACCCGTACCAACGTCGACTGTGCTCGAGCCGTTGCCGCCAGTCTGCGTCGAAAAGAACGATTCCATCTGTTCCTGCGCGTTGACTGCCACGCTCACGGTCTGCGACTGCTGCAGAACATAGAGGACAACGACGCGAGCAAACTCAAGCTCTTCATCCGTCACGGTGGAGGACGTCGAATTGCTGGAGCTCCCTGTGGCGCTTGCATCCGTTGACGAAGATGTCGCAGTCGCAGCTGAACCTGTTGCGCTTGTCGTCCCGCCAACACTAGTGACGGTTGATACATCGGTGCCGATTGCTGCGGTAGGGGTGCTGATGGCCCCAATAGACGTCGCGGTTGTTGCCTGGAAAACAATTCCATTCGAAGTGCCAATGGTCTCGCTGGTTTGTCTTCTTTGGAGACGGGCCGCAACAACCGGTAAAGCACGCTCGCTGACCTCTGGTACAGCTGGGTTCGCGAGTATCGGAACAGGTTCACCAGGCTCCAGACCCGCCAGTACGACAAATCGTTTGGTTTTTGTGGTTGCGTCTGTCGAATTGAAATCGGCCAGAGAGTTCTCGCTGGTGCATGACAAGTTATTTAAAGAGAATACAGATAGGATGGTCGACACGTTCAGGGATATGTTGAATCGACTTTGTGCATCGGTGAGAGAAGGCAGCACTGACAGACCTATAGTTGCGTTCTCGTACTGAGTTGTGCCATCGTTCAAGGTCATCGTCATGCAGTCTTGCGTGTCTCCAGATGTATCACAGGAACTTCCAGTGAAGCCGTTCGAACAGACGCAGACACACGCATCCGCGCTCACAATACTGGTACCCCCATTGTGACAAGGATGACTGGTTGCGCATTTGTTATCGGTGGAGTGTTCTTTGGGTACGAGGACCAGGAAGATCGGTATTAGTACAGCTGCAGCAATGAGGACAGTGGCGATGACTAGAAAGGAAAAGAAAACGGGTATCGACATGCCGCAGCACTTTCGCCGCTGGCTCGTAGGCTGGTATCTCGACAAATCGGTCGTTGAGGCATAGGCATCACCCTTTTCGCTCAGAGGCCAGGCCCCATCTCTTCTGGTGGTGGGTGTTCCTCCCACCGCTGGAGCAGGGAAAGCCGATATCATGTCTGACATGGTTGACTGTCGATTGTTGCCGCTCAGTTTGTCGGTACTTCCCCACATGTCAAGCATACCTAGTCGACTGGCTGTTTTGCCTCTGTCCAGGTTTGCAGCCAGTCTCGTGGCGCGTTTGATGAGGTCTGCTAGACTCGTCGTACTGCCGCGATTCTGGACGTCCCTAACTGCGTCCATGTCCAACTGCGGTGGCCGTCGCCCCGGAGGTACCCTATCGCTCATGGCAGGGGCAGGCTGATCGATTCCCAGCCCGAGCAATGGATTACTGGATTTGTTGGAATGCAGTGAACGTGGGGTCTGTTCCGGGAATTTGTGCGATGCCATGGTCATAGGTGACTTTGGGGTTTGTAAGAATTCTCTATCGGCGGATGGTGAGGAAGGCGGAGATGTGTCGAACGGCATCCTTACAGGAGTACTCCGCGATCCTGGTGTATCGATTTGCAGCGGCGAGTTCTTGTTACTGACGCCAGCAGCGACGGCTGCGCTTAACGCGTTGATGGTATTAGTTCTGCTGGTCTGGGTATACGCTGGAGGATCTTCTGGTAGGTCATGGTCTAGGTGGCCATTCTTGTTCTTTATCGTCGTCATTGCAGGTCTCGCCCTCTTTCCGAGGCTGGCCTGTCGCAATATCTGTGGGCTTGCATCTGCGGAGCTTGGTCTACTGCTCTCAATCGGGCTGAGGAAGTCTTGATCATACCGCTCATCGACCCCAAGAGCTTCGCTTTCAGCATAGACAGATCCTGAGTATCTCACAGGAGTTGGGAAGCCTCGTGACCTTGAGCCAGGTGTTGTTCCAGGAGCGGCAAAATCGTCCAACACGGATGACATCGAGGAATCATGTGCATTGTACTTTCGGCCTGGCGATAGTGATGAATCTTGCCTCACATTCGAAGCAGTGGGAAACCTGAAATCTTGGACCAACCGTCCAGACCCAGGGTCCCTCTGCGGTTGTTGTGGAGCTTCATATCTGACTGGCGGAGGGGAGATGCCAACACCGGCTGGGACTTGTCTTGCAGCGAGTCTGACATTTGGTGGTACTCTCACTGACGGGTGAGGAGGAAATTGCTGGGACTGCTGGTATTGAGAGGCGTGAGCATACCCAGGCATGGCTTGCTGGGGTTGCTGGTTTCTGTATTGAGGGTAGTGAAATCGAGTTTCTGGTTTTGGGGGAGATCTGGAGCGATCCATCTTCTTGAACGAATGTAGGGCAGCTTCGTAAGCTTTGAAGTGCAGCAATCTGCCAAAGTCACAGTGGCAGTCTGTACCCTATGAGGTATTTTGCGTATCCTCGACTTATTGCGGCTGGAGGAAGGAAGTGGGCAATTGGGCGAGGATACTGCTGGCGCAATACCGAAAGCGCAATGAACGGCAGTCGCAGGCACGAGAAGGGTAGGCGCGGAAGTCGACTTCGAGATGATGCGGTTGAGATCGTCCGCGTTGTGAAGAATGTGAACGAGCGTGGAGTGACAGCGAGTGACTGGGAGATAGGTAAACGATTGGATGAATCTGCGAGATTGCACAGCAATAGTTTGGCAAGGTGCCAAACGATCGTTCGCAACGATGAATCGGATTTTCCAATTCAGCAGTCCAGGCCCGAGAAAACAAGAAGATAGAGAAGTCGAGAAGTTACTGAAGCACAGCCCAAGAAGTGCGACGGGGGTGATGAGTGAAAAAGGTGATGGATGGATTGGTGTTACAAAGACAGTTGGACGACGGTGTTTGGGAGTTTTGCCAACTCAGAGGCCGGTCCCTGGAAGTCGGAGACATGCAGCCGGGAGAAACCATGCAGGTACTCAGGTACAGCTGGCGCTCTATTGGTCTCATGCACCATTTCTTTGCCCCAGAGACGGTGAATGGCTTCTCTGCAGCGGATCTAGACAGGGGTTAGACATGGGTCAGCCCTCGAGCCTGAAACACGGCCACGCTCCTCACGAGTCCCTCCTGCAGACACCTCATCTCCTGCGTTGTTCTACCGTCACGACCGCGACAGCAAGAGAGAAGAATCACACCACGCTGTTGGTGGGATATCATTGATGGAAAGATCAAGAAAGAAGCTTGGATCTACATATTGATACATGTTCGATGATGACCGATGCGGCGCCTGTCAATATCGAAGGCCCTCGCACAGACGATCGGGGCCTCCTTTACCCCAGATTGGTCAGACCAGCACAGGGACCGAGACCCGGAGTGACAGCGCAGGAGGTCCGAGGGGCCACGAGCATGTTTTCAGGGTTCAAACCTCTAAGAAAGTGACAGCCTAGAACGATGATAGGCACTTCTTCGAGGTCTGTTGTGAGTCGTGACCGGAACAGTAGCCGCCTACGTGTAAGTTACTCGTACGTGTGCCGATGAATGCGAATAACAATCTCTTTTTCGTGTTTATGATGGCATTCTATCTTTTCACTTCCAGCAGCAATCTGGATTTACTCTGTATACAGACGCGTAACCGCGTAGCCACAAGCCAATGAAACCGACGGTTTATTTTTACTGACGCTTGGTACTGTCCACTTTATCGTCTCCAACAAAAGCATCGTTCAATTCATTTAGCGAGTATCATCCACTCCCACCACTTCATCAAGATCATCTCATCTCATGAGACGATCCGATCTCCATGCCTTCCGGAGTCTTCTTCTAGGTTACTGCATCCATATTATGCATGAGTGATGACGATGCAAACATGTGGATGGAGTCGGGCCGTTTCCCGAGAGCCTCGTCCATTGACGCACCGCAATCAGCTGCGGTAAAGGCTCTATACTACTCTGACGGATGTAGACAAACAAACAGCAATCAGTTGTCCAGTCGTGTATAGGACATTGGAAGACTGCTAGGGGAGGGAGCGTCTTTGGTTTCGCTGGTGAGCTCGAACATTCAATGGCTCTGCATTGTCTCCTGGTCACAACATCTAGGTCGTACCTAGCAGCTACTGTTCTCTCTTGATCACCCACGATATCAGCTTCAACATGGAATTCGATCAATTTCAAGGTGAGCTTACTGGTCCAATATGAACGCCTTGAGTCCAGTTATCTGGACCATGAACCCTTGGTGCTAGGGTTTGTTGAGTACATAGCAACTGCCGCACAGTTGATCTGTGACATTCTCCAGCGCTCGCAATTGCGACTGCCACCGTTGGTGGTGGGAAGGCACCCCCAGTTCAGGTTGGTTCCTGCGCCTTGTACCAATGGACTTTCCCTGCTTCTACGGCGTGGTAGGAAGCACCTCCTTAGAGTCATATGCTTCTTTCATCACTTCTCTCCTCGTCTGTACTCCACCTACTACCTCTTTGTTTACGCCTTGGTCGCAGACGTCCGCTCCTTTTTCCATAAGGCCACCATTACCACGCAGTGAAACTGGACCGCGACCTGCTTTCTCACATTCAGCAAATGACTTGATCAATATGCACTCCTCGCCTACTTCGATTCCTTCGACCGACCCTTCGACCGACTCGTCTGACAAGTCGACGAGATCCAGCCGACCACCTGGAACTCCCAAGCGTATGTCTAGTCCACATTGTCCCACCTCGGTTGGGATCTCCAGGAAGCCTGCATACTAATCCATGGATACCTGCAGCACCATTTGAGCCTCCAAGAAGACGATCTTCTCTCTTCTTTTCCAAGGTCTTACCGCATGACGATTCCCCAAAAACGCCAGGTGCGAGGTCGTCGATTAGCAGTGAAGGCCAGCAGCATTCCGAAATCACATTTCCGGCTTCGAACACAGGCCGAAAGAGATTGGTGTCCCCACGAACAAGGTCGGCTGCAAGGCCAGGCCATGTTGCGCAAATGCAGAGGCTCTTTCAGAATGCAAAGGCCTCCCTGCGGCTTGACGTACGTTTCGCGGCTTCCCCGGCTGGTTCAATAGATTCAAGGCTTCCCTCGAGTCCCGAAGAAGACGAAACCAACGACCATGCAAACGCCGTTCCGTCCAAAACATCTGCTCCTGGGACACCTGCAAAAGATTGGAGGTATTCTACGGCTCCGCATCTTCTTGCAGAATTCGACGTCGATGTTCGAGAGCCGTTCCCAGAAGGAGGCTCCCCGCAGCTTCCAGCGCTACCCTCGGTGTTTGTCGACCACAATGACATCCTCGATCCTGAGCCACCAAGCAGCGGGTTCACGTCACCCGTGGAAAGTGCGCCCTCCGTGTTTCGCAACGCCAACCAAGCTATTCAATCCACGCCCTCGGCTCGAATCGATAATACAGCCGACCAACGCCCTTGCAGATCTTCGATTGACTCTCTGTGCCCAGAAGATCTCGAACGACCAATGACCGAACTACGTGTGAGTGGCGATCATGAGATGGATGTTGACACTGCGGATGACTCTCCGATCGTCAATCATCTGAAGAGGAAATCTGCCGACGCATGCATTGACATGAAGATACTCGACGAGGCTGAGAAAGCTATAGTCCTGCCACCTTCCGCAAGGGCTGCTGCGCAATCGGCAAAGATAAAGCGAGGAATGCTAAGCAACTTGTTTACTAAGCCACCTACCAGCGGAGGAAGTGATGGCGGTAACTCATCTCAAGAGTCCGCCTTGTCCAACAACAGTGGAACAACATGTCCGGACCCGTTACTTCACGCACGCACACCGATGGTACTATGTCCGGATCCAGCAATGCATTTTACGCCAAATCCCTCACTTCATCAGCAGGTCACTCCGAGTCCCAATATTCCTGGTCATCACAAACCCCATCATGTACATCATGCGGTGGTACCTCAGCCACCAATGCCGTTCAATCGAACAACCGCGACAGGAAGTCCTATGCCTATTTTGAAGGCCAAATCGCCGCCAGTGCCGTCAGGTGGCAGTAGACGTCCTTCTCACGATTCCGTTCACCCAAGGCAGCTTGGTCCTCCATCACAGTTTCAACACCGTCCGGGTGGACCACCGGTATATCAGTATCGCTCTGGTACTACCGAGCATTTCCGGCCGGGCTGGTACTATGCGAGAGATAGCCCGCAATCTTCATCCAAACCAGGCAGGCCTATGTACTCCTTCTCCACCGCTGCTGCTAAAGTCGTGGGCCAAGATCCTGCTCCAGACTCGAGAATACGTGACTCCTACAGGACTGATACTCTTACACCACTGGCTAGACCTCCCAGCAGATTCAGAAAGAATGGGGTAGCTGCCATTGCCAGTGCTCGAGGCGTCAGCAAGTACTATGGGCGACCGCAGCCGAGGCAACCTCTACGACAGAGATATGCCAATGGAACAACCTTTCCAGACGCTATGAGATTCAGAAGCAGCCCTCCGCGCTCTCACACGGACTCTGCACAGACTACACAGTCAAGGAACGGTCCGCGAGGAATCGACACTCCAACAAGCCAGGTTATGGAAAACGCCCCTGTCCAAGGAGAGGTTATTGATTCAAAATTGAAGTTGGAGGAAGGTGAAGACGTTATCGAGGTTGACGATCAAACAAGAGCAGCCGTTCGTATGAGCCTCTATGGAGGCGCAGCATCCGAGTCGACGAGCGATGTGGGACAGAGCCTCCAAGAGCTTAGTCCAAATGTGATGATGTGGAGGAAAGGCAATCACCCACCAGGAAGCCGGGAAAAGAGGCGCCCAAGTTACTGGGACGTTGATCTTGAAGAAGTTGTCCGGAGTCCCGCTGCCAGGCATGTGGTCAGTTCGCCTATCAAAAAGGACGATGTGAGATCGCACAAGGGTGAGGTCGAATATGAAGAAGAAAATATTCTACCGGAGGCGTTCATTGGTCCCGAGGACCAGGACCACGATCAGATGATTGGTGATGGATGTGCTGCGCAGGACGTCAACATGGAAGATTGAAATAGCTGGTGCGCACGATGCTCAGCACGAGGTGTGAGCAGACATTGGAGGACAGGGTGATGATTCTGATAAGGATATAGCGGCATCAAAGTATCTCATGCGGGAGACTCCAGCTTTTATGAGACTTTACGGGAACATTGGCGTGGACGACCGGTTTTAGTCTAGAGTTATGAAGTGTGCTTCCGCATGCTCTACAGATATAGGCAACTTAGATATTTGGGCAGCCAGAATCAACTGGTCGATTAAGTATTTAGACTTTATGTCTCGAACACTTGGTGTTGAGAGATCGCGGAACTCAATCTCCACATTACGATCTGAGACAGTCTTCATGACGGCTTAGCCGAGCTTCAGGATACGAGATCGAGGTTCGGCAGGTCTTGTTGGAGATGACGGCGACAGCAGTGAGGCCTTTCTTAAAGGCAGCTGCTTCCGCGAAGTAGACTCGTCTTTGCTCGGAGACATTGAAGAGAGCAAAGGATCATCGTCTCCTTCTCCGTTTTCTTGCGTTTCTTGACCGCAGGTTTTCGCAATCGTTCCGTGCTGCTCATGTCCTTCTGTCAGTCCTAGTTCACGACGAAGTTCCCAGATCTGTTTTTCGAGTAGTTGCATCTCCGACGTCGTGCTGAGAAGGTCTGGTATTGTGGATGAGACCGCATTTCGAAAGTGTGTCTGGCACTGTCGTAGCGGTGGCGGGACGAGGATGCCGTACCACTTTAACGGGTCCTTGGATGTCGGTGGTGGCGTGCTGGTGTGGATGGTATAGTTGTAGCAGAGTGTGTGGTGAGACGGGTTGTGTGTCGGGTTTGATGGGGACGATGATTTCGAGTCATTTTGCTTATCGTTTTCCTGTGACTTCGTTTTGGAAGGGATACCTCCCAGTTGTGTTCCAGGGTCTGAAGGAGTCTCCGCGGGTTGTCCTTCAGTCGATGTTTCCTCCTTGACTTGTGCTGTTTCCTCTGTGCTGATCTCCGGTTCTTCTCTTGCAGCCTTGATTGAAGGGTAAGTTGTTTTCGGCTCGAATCGTACGGTCCGTAAAGCTTTCATCCGCTGGTCGTATCCTTCCTCGCCGTATCGTCGGCCGGGACCTAGTGATGAGTTTCGATTTGATGAGGCGAGGGCGAAGAAGCCTGCGGATAGATCCTTGGATAAATGCTCGCGGAGGATGGTGTATGTATCTAGGAGTTGTAGGTATGACTCGAGGAGTCGATCCAGACGCTCGGAGAGTGGTGTTTCGTCTCCGAGCTCTTCTGGTTCTACAGCTGGAAAGACATCTTTTTCCACAGCAACTGGGCCGTCTTTGCTCTCAGGTTGAGGCGTGGACGGAGGGGAAGGGAGCTGCGTTGCCATTTGCTTGCTGTTAGTGTGACAACTCGTAAATCACCAGCCTTGAAAATTGAGACTGGCCTTGCTGGACGTCTATGATCGGTCGCGCATAGTTGGTGGCTTCGATGGCAGCCTTGTTGAGGGATCGGCCTCGGTCATAACGTATGTCTGTTGCGCCAATGGCCGCGATTATTGACGCAATGCTAATAAAAAGCCGCCGCTGCGGAATAATGCGAATAATTGTTCCTCTCGCCATAATTCTTTTGCCTGTACGAGCTATTCGCAAGTCTTCGATACTTTATCTTGAACAGAGTCGACATCTTCTTCGGGCGGCTTTCAGGGTCATCTAATTACGCTGCGCTTGAACGATCAGGTGTTGCTCGCCAGCGATCAACTTCTCACCTGTTCCGCCATCGAAAGTCTTCTTACCTATCACACCACCATCGACAACGATACCATTGCAATACGACCGGCAGCATAGGTTCCACGTATCGACCAGCTTGATCCCCGCGACTGCCGCCTACTCCATATCTCCGACCCCAGTCTTCTCCAGTCATGGCCTCGTCGGCCTTGACCTCCGCGAACAACACTTCGGCGTTTGGGGTGCGGTCGCTATATCGGTCGCTGTTGCGCCAGGGAAGTCAATTTGCTAATTATAATTTCCGGATGTATGCAAGACGGAGGACGAGAGATGCTTTTCATGAACATCAGAATGAGTCGGATTCTAGGCGGATACAGGAGTTGGTGCAGAAGGGTTTGAAGGAGTTGCAGATGATGAAGGTGAGTCGAGACCTATCCTGGGATGCCGTTGCTGTGGTCCAAGCGAACTGGTCCTGGACAGTCACCGTCATGGCATGCTCTGGAGTGCTGCAAGGTGGCTGGGTTCTGTGGCGAGAGAAGATGGCGGGAGAAGAGGAGTTTTGAATATGGATGTTCCAGGCTGACTTGTGATTCTGCAGAGACAAACAGTGGTATCACAATTTTACCAGCTCGACAAGCTCGTGGTAGAAGGTGGCAAGACGGTATGGCTTCCTTTTGGTCACATCATATATCGTGATAAAACTGACATGTTTCTTCAGGGCAAGCAGACAGGCGATCATGGTGGAATCGTGCGACAGAAAGATACTGGGTATGTCCAACACCATCCATGCTCTTTCAATATTGGCTAACGGACGTAGATGGGATTGATATGCCTCTCCTGCATCTTCTTATTGCGGCATTCTGTACAGTATCTGGAAGTAATACCTAGAAGGACAGTCCCGTCGACATTTGCACAGGCAGCTCTTTGTGGTACCAATCAATCTCTCTGCCCAATATCATGTCTCTTGGTCTGCTGCTTTCCACTTCTCATTCTAACTCCCAGTCCTTGTCTTGTTATCCACTGTGCTCCATTGTCCTCTCTCGCCTACCTCTCGGCGACAGCCTCGTCGGTGCCGGTGAATCTTTCCTCCTAGCTCCGGGTATTCCCGTCTCTACTGCCATTAGCTCGGTCATGATTCGCTCTCGGTAGACCTTCCCTGTATCTCGTAGACTGAATAAACATCCTCCTTTAGACGCGTCGTCAACTTCCTCGTCTTCTGTATACCATTCTCACCACAGCATTGATATTGTCGCTCACAGCAACAGCGCAACGCCTGTCCGCACTGATTTACGATCTATCCCATGTGTTCTTGAAGGAAGACATCATAATACGGCTCTGGTCTGAGGGTTTGAAAGCAAAAGCGCAAGGAATCAGGCTTCAATATGGCTCCGGTATGTTCTTCTCGTCAATATCTTCTCAAAGGCCCAGAGACAGGCATGAGTACACCGCTCTGTTACTATGCCACACCTTCCTTCACTGTGCATTATGCTTCTTTCGAGCTTTTTTGGCCGGTACCTTGGCACTCTGCCCACAGAGAGTGGCCTCAAAGCCTTGCCCATTCTTTGTCGACGTTTACCATTCCGGAGTACTACACCATACAATCACCACAACATGGCTCCTGGCAAGCGTTCGGCCCGCTCCTTCACTCCACGCGCAGCGCAACCCGCTCGGCGTCGTGCACAAGGTCCTCCTCGTCCTCACCGACCAAATCGCCACGTTGCTCGATGTCGCTTTTGCGCATCGGAGTTCGATGACAACAGTAGCGTCTACCGGCACTGTCAAAGCCACCACCAAGATGTTCCTGAGGTGGCTGCCGTCCTTGCTGCTGGGAGAAAGAGTGATCGCAACTGGGCCGTCCCCATCGGCACACCAGCCAACAATGCGGGTGGAGCGGTGCATGCGCCAGCGCAGCATCAGCAGCAACAACAGCAACAGCAACAACAGGCGGCGGCGGTGGCGGCGGACCATGGCAACGATGTTGTCGACGAGCCTGTGAATGGCAACGATGACCAGTACCAGGGTCTGTCTGGTACTCAACAACCACCACAACAGCAGCAAGACAACGATGATGCGGAGGACGACGCTGCTTGCATGACATACACATATCCAGATCCAGAGGAGTGCCACACTGGGGTGTACCGACCAAGAGAGGGTCGTTGATATTGGCATGTGTTGCCTGAACAATGGAACTGGATCTGGACAATCACCAATTGTGAATTCTGCGACTTGCTTGTGATGCGTTCCGTTCGATTATCTTGCTTCCAACCGCGTTGACTCGTGCTTTACTCCGCCCTCACAACGCGTCCACAATGACTGGTCCAACCAACGCGCCTCCCATGAGGAAAACTTATCTGGTACTGACTGTTCACGAATCGTGCCCCTTGCTCATCGCCTGTCTCTTCGTCGCCGTGAAATTTGACTCTACGAACACCATTTTTGAGAATGTTATGCTAATCAACATGTCTGAACAGCTCCGCCGCACAACGCGGCACCAAGACCACAACGCTTCGCAGCGAACAAGAGGTGACCTGTTCAGCGACCCGGCCGAGGGCCTTCCAGTACGAGTATGGCGCCTCTCTACAGTCAAGATCAATCAAGATGCGTCTGCAGAAGCCGAACCAAATCGAAGCACCGAAACCCAGGAAACTGGTGGGCTATGGGGCGAGGCGCCATTGCCGTCTTGCTTCTCACAATTGCCTGAACATAACCAGGTCAGTATATCATCGCAATCATAGTGGGCTCAGGACTGATTTGTTGTGCATTTAGCAAATGATCCGCAAAAGCCGCATGGTCAATACCAACCCCAGAGAACTCGTTTTCGACGACAAATTAGAAATGTGGGTTGACGCCAAAGAAGTTGGAAACGGCCGTGTCAAACCAAAGAATGTGGCTTTGCACAACGCAGAGTCCCCAGAGTCGAATGAAGAAGCAGATAATGACGAGAATGAGGATGACGATCTCATCGACGCAGATGAATTACCTCAGAAGCGCAGAAAAACTAATGCCGGACTACAAGAGCGAATCTTTGAGATCAAGAAGTGGACTCAAGTCCCCATTTCTGTGGCCGAGAAGATGCCTGAGCCGAAGTACCTTGCTGACCGGCGATCGGGCATGCCCAGTCTTTACGGTGGTGCGTACAAAGCAACTAATGGTTTCGGAGCTTTGGGGCCAAACCCAGGAATGGGAGCCGGTGCAGTAGGCTACGATCTAGGAGACGGTTCAGGTCTGGGCAATGCTTCTGGCGTGATGGGTGGTGCGCAAGGAGAGGCCACGCCGGTTAGGAAGAATATGCCTCCGCGACGCAAGAAGAAGAAGCTTGGTGGACCTGGAAGACGCAAGGCGAATCCTGTGCCTACAGAGGACGCTACAGCTGCTACGACGCCTGCGGATGCGGTCGTGAATGACACACAGACACCTGCTGCGGACAATGAGCAGGACAATGAGCAGGACAATGAGCAGAGCGAGGGGGAGGGCAGTGAAGAGGGAGAGATTGAAGAAGGAGGAAAAGAAGACGTCGAAGAGGAAGCAAAACAAGAAGCACCAGAGATTGTGAAGGAGGTCACAGTGGAGGAAGCAAAGGAGATTGTAGACGAGGGAGCAAAGATAGTCACAGAGGAAGAACCAGAGATGGAGACAGACGAGGGAGAAAAGATGGATATCGAGGTGCCAGGAATGAAGGAGACGAAGGAGGAAACAGCGATACCACCAGAGGAACCAAAGGTGGTGGAAGTCGATGCCCTCGTGGCTGACGTGCCAGTACCACCTGTCGACACCGAGGCCATTGAGGCCGAAGTTGCTGAGGTCCCTGCTACTGAGGTTCCAGCCGTCGAGGACCCGGTTGTCGAAGTCCCAGCTATCGAGGCTCCGGCTGTCGAGGCTCCGGCTGTCGAGGCTCCGGCTATCGAGGTCCCAGTCGTCGAGGAGCATAGCACTCCTGCGCCCGATCTTGATGTTGAAACAGCAGCCAAAGAGGAAGACGTTGTTGAGGAGATGGATCTGTTGGGTGGTTTAGAGGCCGCGGTCGAAAAGGAACAGCACGCAGGAGAGTAAACATGATAGGGTTTGGATATGCGTTGTACTATGGATACGCGGTCACACTCCTCATGTGACATTGAATTGAGGTTCACTTCATAGTGAGAACAGCAGGGCAGGAAACATCATGTATGAGAGAGTTTTCATATTCTTTGTACTATGGATACACAATCGCGTCACTCAAGTGCGCCAGTTGAACTGAGTTCAATCTCCATCATTTCCGGTCAATCTGAGCCAAGAATTGTGATTAATTTAGTCGAATGGGTTGGTTCGGGTTCCCCAGTAGGTGAGGAACAAGCTGAGACCAACAGTTTCGAACATGCGGGACAGAACACCAACGGCGACTGTGTCGATCGGTCGGTTCTCAGTGACAAGGGCAGAGACGAGCTGGAATCAGTCAGTGTGTGAAGGTAAAACATGTAGATGGATTGCAACATACCGAAGGAGAGTATGAGGCAGCGAAGACTAGACCACCGAGGTAGGCAGCTCCCTTGTAGCTCAAGGTTCCGGTAGCGTTGATGAGGGCAGCAACACCGTAGGTCTGGATAGCAGAACCAACTAGCGATGAACCCCAGCTGGCAGCAGCGGTGGCAGCTTCCTTCGACTTGAAGAACTCCTCCTTGCTGTCGGCAGCCTTGGCGCGGTGGTAGGTGTCACCGAAGAGAGGGGCCAGGACACCGGCGGAAGCGACCTGGTTGAAGACGACGCCGAGTGCGATCGCCGAAGGCTTGACGGGAGGAAGGTCTAGAGATCCGGAATGTCAGTTTGATGATCCCAATGAAGCTGGGATGGATTGAAGTGAGGTCTTCTCTGAGCTCGATTGTGACGTAGAGGACACTGATCAGAGCGGCAAGAAGGGGACAGCGACGTACAGTGAAGAGTGGCCATTGTGTTAGATGTGGTGTTTCTCGTGAGAGATTGATGAGGTTGTGTTGAAAGTGGTTGGTGTGAGGAAGATTGAGATGGTTCTTTGTAGTGTGGTTGGAAGAATAGAGAGAGGGAAAGGTTTCTATGACTTATATGCGCAGGGAAGAAGAGGTTCTGCCAAGTTACGTAGTAGTTACTTGTGCAGCCACAGCACCTTCCAGCCAGTTTTCGCAATCAGGAGGAATGGCGTTTTAGGACCTGTCGTTGGACGGAAACAATGACGACACGTGGAGAAAGCGCCCGGTATTCACCGTTGTTGACACCCGAATGACAGAGCAATGAGGCTATCTTTGCAGTAAAATCATATAATGACATGAAAGACCATTGAGTTCAACATGATGTCACTGCCTAGCAACGGGGGAATTGAGCACCTGACGTTTGGCCTACAGGCAAGACCGAGGAAATCAACTGCAGGAGGGGTCCGTGTTGCGCCTCAATCGATCTTATTATCTGGCCGATCGATTTGTTCCATTTCAGAAAGTGGTCACGATTCTGAAGAGCACTCATTTGATGTTTTACTATTGAAGAAGATTCCCATTTCAAAGGTAGGACTGCTTGCCATTGTGCATTTACCCTGGACTCTCTTTCCGTACAAGGTCTATCCAATCATCTTGCGCGGGTGATTATTTCGGATCCGTCAGTGCGCGAGTCATCTTGACCACTTTTGAGGCGGCCGAAGACTCAAAATATAATCCATTGGCGCAAGCGCGCATATGAACAATCACAATTGGGTTCATGGGGTGCACCGAACCAGTAACGAGTTTCTTCAGTATTTGAGCGACTGCACGCGTTGACGGTGGAGATGGGGAGACAATAGCCTTCGGAATCTAACCTGCGGAAGCAAAACGAACGAGTCAATCTCGCAGGCCAACGAGACCATGCCAGCCTCACGCTCACAATCGCCAGAGAACGACGTCTTTGGTATCTCTACAGAAATTGTGCCAGAGCGCACCAATAAAACCGCATCCACCACCAATCTGACGTTCGATGATCTCCTACCCAACGATAAACCTCTACTACTCCATGAAGACCTCCAAGAAGGATGCGGAGGCCAGCTATGGCCCGCTGGCATGGTGCTCTCAAGATACCTGCTCACCTACCACAAGACAGGATCACTACTGGACAAGTCCATAGTCGAAATCGGTGCTGGAGGAGGCCTGGTCGGGCTAGCGGTGGCACTGGGCTGTGAGATCAATAGACCGGTATACATCACGGACCAGCTACCCATGTTCGCGCTGATGCAAAAGAATATTGTGTTGAACAATCTGCAGGGCAAAGTCGAAGCTGAGATATACGATTGGGGCACACCTCCACCGTCCAAAGTACTCGGAGATGCGGGTCGCTACCCTGATATCGTCCTTGCTGCTGATTGCGTGTACTTTGAGCCTGCTTTTCCTCTGTTACTACAGACGTTAGGGGATCTCATCGGTCCATCGACAACGTGCTACTTTTGCTTCAAGAAGAGACGGAAAGCGGACATGCGGTTCATTCGAGACATGACTAAGAAGTTTGCCGTGGAACAGGTCACCTATGATGACAGGGAGGGCGACCAGAGGGAGGGAATATTCTTGTACCAGGTTCAACAAAAGGATAGAAAGCAATAACATGCATGAAACCAACATTAGTTCATATCGTGATTATAATTTTACACTGGTATCTCATAGAATATTTTACAAATGGGCCAGGTACAGGGCACATGCCAGAGTTCCTGCTCGATTAGAGCCAGCTCGCAAACGTTACAGTACGCTCTCTGTCTCTCCATGCAGAGCGTAGCGACTCCCTCCAGTCTCGGCCTGTCTGTCGTGGCCTATCGCGACGTCGATACTTAGTAGTATGTGCGTCTGCTCCCCCTCCCATCCGTCCCATGCATCCTTCGCGTACCGGCGGCTTTCTCACCAGGACGTCCCTCGGCGCTCCCCTTCAGCTTCATCATTGCACCAGAGACCTTGTCACCAAGACTAGTCTTACGTCTGGGAGCGGCAGTCGTGTTTGCTGGAGCGGCACGGGTCTTCCGAGTACCGCCGCCAAACCGGCTTGTTCGAGCTGGTTGAGTAGTGGCTGCAGCACTTCGGGGAGTAGTATTGCCGCCACGGAGTCGTTGCATGAGACTCGGCTTTGCGGTAGTGGTGCCTGCCGCTCGCCCTCGACGACCTACGGGCGCATCACCAGGGTGGTGAGTCGTTGTGGTTGTGGTAGTGACGGTGGTGCCGCCGGGATGTTTCTTAGTCTTTCTTCCTAGCATATTGGCTGGTAGATATATAGTGAAATATAGTTTGTATGGTTTTTGGCCTTGAAATCGTGTATGGGGAAGAAGGGATCACCGTTCACAAACCTGAGTAAACCTGCTTCTTTTTATCTACCTCCTCGCGAGAAGCGACCAACATGGTCGCTGGGATCGTCGTCCAAATGGTATGGCTGGCGACGTCATTCTCTGACATGGCATACTCCGTAGGAGACCAATCTCGCTATCGATAGGTCGCGTGAGATGGAGGTTCGAGGGCTAGTTTGGGACTCGGGCTGGTAAGAGGCTGAGAAACGTGGAGAAAAGCAGGTTTTGGACGAATCCTGGAAGCTAGCCGCGAATATTGTCGCCATCGGCCAATAGTCAGCCTGGTACTCGGATAACGCCACGAATCCCACGACTTGTACCTTGGCTGACGCAAGGCTCGATGCCTTCGACTCAAACTTGCATCTCGATGTCCTGGTCGATGTTGCGCATGAGTCTGGTAGTGTTGTTATCGATTGGGTGCCACAGAGCAAAGCCCCGATCCTGCGCAGAACCCATGCAAAATTGTACTACCATCTGTGGCGGTGCATACCTGTGACGATGCTAATGTGCTAGATGGCCGGAAGATGTTCACAGTCAAGGCCATATGGTGATTACCTTGAAGGTGCTGTAGTGATGTTGTCATCTCGAACATCCCAAGCCGACGGAGGGCTTGAAGTCATATTGCAATTGTGAAGGGGATAAGGACGAATATAAAGCGAGAAATGCACATGTCCTTGCCTGGCGCTGAACATGTTACGGTAGATTGTTTGATATCGGTCAATTCATTGCCAGTCGCGAATGCCTGAGGCAGATGTGGCAGATGTGGCAGGCGCTCTCCCGTTCTGCTTCAACCTGCCGACTCTGATCTCTCTTTGAGTATTGAAAATAAAATCGAAGACCAATTTTCCACCTTCTGATCATCCATCCACATTCGGATTGCACATCTAACAAAAGCCAACATGACCTCTAAAAGCCTCAAACCTCGCCGTGTGTCACTGAAATCTGCATTTGGAAAACGGTACGACAAGAATCACACACCGCCCGATCACCTGCCGGAGCCCTTCGAAAGCAATGACAAACCTCAAAGAGATGCAAACTCGTCAAGACGCACCTCCAATCGAGTATCCAAGCATCAGGCCAGCGAGAAGCACAACTCACCAAGCTCAATTCTTGCAGACGGCTTTGCAGGCAAGATGACTCTTTAGTACCGAGTCCCTCAATCTGACACCTCACAGCCAGCCTCGACCAATATCGGAATGACATCCACAATTCGGTGTCTAAGGATCTGGATGATGTAGAAAAAGAGATGTGCACCAGTCTTGCAGACTTGACAAACGACCTCGATGACCACATCGAAAGACTTCTCAAGGTAGAAGAACCTTTGCAAAAACCTTTCAACACGGAAACCCTGAGCATCTGCACTAATCCGGCCGGCGAACACGGTGAAGGGAAGCAACAGGAAGTTCTGCTACAAGATCGAATGGACGACTTTCGGAAGCTTCGAGAAGATAAGGAGAAGACGTTGTGCAGACTCTGGGATGAATGGGAAGACATACAGTTTCAACTCGTAGGGCTGGCAGCAGAGGTCCTTGGTCCGGACATGCTGACCTTTGCACAAACCTCCGAAGAAGACATGAAGCCAGGCCAAAAGGGGAGGCTCCAGGACGCGCTCCGCCTTGCTCAAAACGGCCCGCCGGACAAAGACAATCAACATGAGAGCCTTGAGCAAGACCTGGAAGTTTTCCATGAGGAGATGAATCAAATTACCACTAAAACCAAACGGACCGTGACAGAAATGCAGCAGGTAGGTGTCAGCCGTCCGTTTGGGGACAACTTGTACACTGACCAGGCCGCGCAGCAATACACTGTACAGAAGAACAAGTTGTTTAAGGGTCTACACCGACATATAGAGCTCCTTGCTGCACTGTGATATGAGGCCGGAATTGCAGCGTCGTCTGGGTTGCATCAGTGCAGTGTGGGCCACCCGTCAGAAAGAGGGCACCTGCCACATCCCCAAAACCAACGTACTTATGTGAGTACAGCACACGTACTCTTACCCATGGATGAGAGCCGGATTGAAATGAAAGAAAGGGGTCGGCTGCTGACGTTGTTTCTATGGCTACAGCTGGCTTTACCTAAGTGATGGGTGCCTTGCCGAGAATAACCGCACTGCGTATCCCGGATATCCGGGCGGCAGCCTCGAACCTTTTATGACGACCAATCTCCATCTTTGATAGATCGACAGTGCTGCTGCTATCTGTGGCGAGAGGAAAAGCCTTTTTTTCCCTCAGCAGAGAAGCATTTTCAATCAACCCGGATCGACGCAGTTGCCGGTCAGGTGAACGGATATTGACGCATTTTCAACGTCTACAGTCGGTTCTGTTTTGTGAAAAGTCTTGCTGATAAGGTCATGTAGCATTAGACCGTGCAGGTTTCATTAGGCTGCAGGGCGTCAAACCATCAAAGTCCACGTTTGTGCTGCATTCCAGTCGGTGTGGTCCGTCATCCGGGGCAAAGCCTCGTTCCACCGTGAAATTCTAAACACTACGCCGATGGGAAGGTAGGTACCCGTTCATTATTGCAATCTGCCCGTTGTATATATGAGTCACTGAGAGGCCCATGTTTCTGTTTCTTATATCTTCCATTGAGTCTGTTATCCCATTGAGACAATTGTCTACATCAACTACATTTGCCTTTCTTTTGTCGACTGTCGACCTACATATCCATCATGGCACCTACAGCAGTGACTCCCGTCTCTCCCCCTTCACCTACATTGGACAGCACCTCCAAATTGACCAAAGCTGGCACCGAAAACACCATCGCCAAAACTGTTTCCAACACAGCACCAGCAGTCGCAGAGCTTGATGCTTCGAAATGCACAATCACCCCCACCCTAAACCCCAAGAGGGTGCCGGCACCAAACTCTCCTGAAGTATGGTCTCAGGGGTATACATCGGACCACATGCTCACGGCTCGCTGGACCGAGAAGTCTGGCTGGGAATCACCCGAAATTCGACCATATGGGCCTCTCTCCATCATGCCCACTGCTTCCGTACTTCACTACGCCACGGAGTGTTTCGAAGGAATGAAGGCATACCGAGGCGATGACGGCAAAGTCCGACTTTTCCGACCAGATCGCAATGCGAAGCGCTTCTTGCAGTCAGCGACGCGGATTGCCCTGCCCGGTTTTGCACCAGAGGAGTTTCTGAAGTTGTTGAAGAGGTTTGTCGGCGTCGAGGCGTCCAAATGGATCTCTGAGCCAGGACACTTCATTTACATTCGACCCACGATGATCGCAACGGCTCCGGCACTAGGTGTGCAGAAACCTCGCGAGGCACTGTTGTACATTATGATGGTCATGTTTCCGGCCCTGGATGAGCCCACCGCCGTACCAACCTCCCCTTCATCGGGCACACAGATGGGCCAAGAAGCCAAGGGTGCAAAGGGCATGAGGTTGCTCGCGTCGAATCATGACATGATCCGCGCTTGGCCCGGTGGTTTCGGCAGTGCCAAAGTTGGTGCTAACTATGGTCCGTCGTTGGTTGCGCAGGGCGAGGCCCGCGAACGAGGATATAACCAAATCTTGTGGTTGTTTGGCGAAGAGTGCTATGTCACTGAGGCTGGTGGAAGCAATTTCTTTGTGCTCTGGATCAATGAGTCCGGCAAGAAAGAGCTTGTGACGGCACCATTGGGCGATGGCGTCATTCTGGAGGGTGTCACGCGCGCGAGTGTGTTGGATTTGGTGCGACGGTCAAGGCCTGATGTCGAGGTTGTGGAGAGGAAGTTCACTATGGAGGAGTTGATCAAGGCGGAGAAGGAGGGCCGATTACTTGAGGGTTTCGGCGCGGGTACGGCATTTTTCATTGCTCCTGTGGCGGATATCCATTTCCGTGGGACGGATGTTGTTTTCCCTCTTGGGAAGGGCGGCGATGCAGAGTTTGCGATGGGAATCAAGAAAGACCTCAAGGATGTTATGTATGGACGGGCGTCGCATGAGTGGGGAGTTGTTGTGCCGGAGGAGAAGGTCTACTAGGATTGTTCTCCCAGTCATGTTATGATGAGGGTCCGGATCAGAAAACGTTCCTGGGATGCATATAGACTGGGGAGTCGAGGTGTTGGGGTTTCTGGCTATCATGACAGCGTTTGGGATGGTGTTTACAAAACTGGTTGAAGCTGCTTCAAGCGGGCGGCATTATGAGCATTGGTTGGACCTCAAAAAGCCCATATATATTGTACATAGGTAACGCTGCATGCTTCTGCGTGTTGATCTGACACACTTCTAGCTCCCTTTGCGATCCTTCTTGACAAGGTGACTACGAGGTCTCGCCCTTTGCATCTTTGGACCGACCGCTTGTGCTCTGCTCGGTGGTCGCGCGTGTGTCCCGAGCCTTTTGGCCCTCATATTCTGGTGCAGATTACGAGCTTTCACCCTTTGCGTCCTTGGATCGACCACCTGTGCTCTGCTCCGTGGTCGCGCGTGTCTCTTGAGCTTGTTGGCCTTCGGTGTCTGATTCCGGGTTCGAATCGTCTTCGATGATGACTTTCTTCTGCGCGAGTAAGTCTGCCAGACTGCCGTCTTTGTGCATGTTGATCAGGATGTCGCATCCGCCGACGAACTCCTTGTCGACGTATAATTGAGGGATTGTCGGCCAGTCGGAGTATTCTTTAATTCCTGTTTACCGTCTGTTAGCTATGCATTGCACTAGTGGGTGGCGGTCGAGGCCATACCAGTTCTTAGCTCTTCATCTTCGAGGACGTTGAAGGCTGTGAATTTGCTTGGGTCCACGCCTTGAAGACCGAGGATCTGGATTGATGTCCGGCTGAATCCACATTGCGGCGTTTCGGGGGTGCCTTTCATGAAGAGAACTACGGGCGCTGAGCCTACGGCTTTGTCGATTGCGCTGCGCACTTCACTTGAGAGGAGTCTTGTCTGCCCGAGAGAAGAGGTGATTCGAGGAAGAAGGGTGTTGGATGTGGCGCGGGGAGAGAGTGCTGCGAGAGCGCCTCGAAGGGCCTGTGTTGGATGTTGCGTTAGTTCTTGCCCATCATTTGAGTGGGGTGGAGTGTCATACGGGTGTCCTTAGTGTTCGTTGAAGCATTGTAAGCTTGTTTGACTGTATTGTAAGTGCTGAGGTGAAAGTCAAGTCGGTCGCGGGAGAATACTAGTAGATGATGCTCACTGGAAAATACTCGGAGATGATGTCAAATGTTGACAAATGGAGATCGTTTCGTTGCGTGCGGAGAGCAGCAGGTGTAGAATCCCTGCCTCATTACCAATCCGGGAGTCAGATGCCTACTGAGTCATTCGCAGATGCGATCCTATAAAGAGGTGGTGTCTGCGAGCATGGAGACTAGGTAATATTCTGTTTGCAAACTACACAAAATGTGCAGCACTACGAATGATGAACGTTTCTCCGCCGCAGCGCATACGGACGACGGGAAACACCACGTCCTGCTCGCTGCCAGTGGCTCTGTCGCAACTATCAAGATACCACAAATAGCGCAGGCTCTGTCTCAGCATCCGAACGTGTCTATTCGCATTGTCTTGACGAAGTCCGCCGAGGAGTTCCTCCAAGGTCAGTCCGCTGAACAGCCCCCGCTCGAGTCGCTCCGCAGTCTGCCAAACGTTGAGGGCATTTACCATGACGAGGATGAGTGGTCGAAGCCTTGGGTGAGAGGCGACAAGATCCTGCATATCGAGTTGAGACGCTGGGCGCATGTGATGCTTGTTGCGCCTCTGTCGGCAAATACACTGGCGAAGATGGTCAATGGAATAAGCGACGGCTTACTTCTCAGCGTGGTACGTGCATGGGATACGACGGGTCTGGTCGACATGAAAAAGAAAAGGATACTTGTCGCACCAGCGATGAATACAGCCATGTGGAGACATCCTATCACCAAGAAACAGATCAAAGTGCTGGAACAAGACTGGGGGAGCTGTGATGATGGTTGGATCACGGTATTAAGACCTATGGAGAAAGAGTTGGCCTGCGGTGATGTTGGGGATGGAGCGATGATGGATTGGAAGCAGATCGTCGCGAATCTTGAGTCACATCTGGAACTCAGCGTACCGAATGGTGAAGTGAATGGGCGCTGAGGATATCATTCATGCGAGGACGGTACGCATTGCGGATTTCGACTCCTCCTGCGTCCGGCGATGGAGGTAGTCACCCAGCAGCCCGAACGAGATCACTCCGCCAGTGAGTAAGGCTCCATTCTTGAACCACCACCAACAGTCCTTGACATCCTTCAGGTTGACCCTTCTAATCATAGTGGCCAAGGTCATTGCTGCACCTCCACAACTTCCGATGAAGAAGATGGGACCGGCACCCGCGAAGTATCCGGCTGTCGCGAGCAGTCCGACCTGGACAGCGGAGAATGCTGAAAGAGCTGCCTTTGCATTGTGCTCGTGAGCCTGTGCTATCGACTTGATCCCTGCCTTGGCGTCGTCTTTGATGTCCATGTAGGCATAGATCATGTCGTATACCAAGGTCCACGCAATACAGCTGGAGTACAAGGCTGCAGCAGCAGCCAATGCTGAGGGGTCGGAAATAAGGTCAATACCCAAGGCTGGAAATCCCATGATGGCGCCCCAGGAAAATGTCAGGCCGAGAACAAATTGAGGATAGTGAGTGACTCTCTTCGCTAAGGGATATGTGGTCACCAGGAGAAGGCTCGGTATGCCATAGTACAGACAAGGCAGAGGGAACTGAAGAAGTAGAGTCAAGCCAGCGAGAAGCTGTGCACCTAGGTACACAATGGCATTCTCCACGGAAATAGCTTTTCTTGCTATGGGCCTGAGTCGAGTTCGTTCAACGTGAGGATCCAGATTTCGATCCCATAAGTCGTTAATGGTACAGCCGGCACCTCGCATTATAAGCGCGCCGGTAAAGAATAAGGCGGTGGTCGAAACAACTTCAAGTGGTGTTGCCATAGGCGTAGCCATCGGAGCAGCCAGCAAAGTTGAGAACATGCAAGGAAAGAAGAGATAGTAAGTGCCTGCTGGCTTGTCGAGACGGATGAGTTCGGCATAGGGGATCCAGGAGGAAGGTAATTTGGAAATGATGCCAGTGGTCGGCGGCTTGTAGGTCGTAGGTAGATCCTGTATTGATGGGTTTGGAGGTTGAGGGACTGCTGTGGATGATGAGGCCCGTCTATGTGGCTCCACGGTACATAGAGGTATTCGTACTGCCTTGGTACTTCGGCGAGACTGGTGATATATAAAGCTGCTCCGCTTGGTTGTGCCAGATCGGAGGATGTGACGAGCTGGGATGCATCTCGAAAGATGATTGAATCTGTAAATTGCAGTTCCGTTGAGCAATGAAGTTCCAATCATGGCTGTCGAAGCGTGCCTGCCAACATTCGCAGAGGAGGTTGATGGTTGGGCAAGGCTGAGAGCTTTAAACAACTTCTAGCCAGGGCCGGGGTGCTTTGGTACTAAGGATGGGCTCGAAGGTCTTGAACATGCTCAGAGTACAGTTGAAAAGAACAGTACAAGCATCAGACGTTCTAGTACGAAGTCTCAGCAAAATATCAACCCGTTGGTTGTGGTCTGCTCGAGGTCGCAAATATCCTAACTGGGGAAAGCCGATTTCTTGGATTTCTCCGCAAAGTGAAAGTCGCGTCGCGATCCATGTAGAGTGGGTGATTTATGACTTGTGACTTTCCTCGGAACAGTACGAGTATCGCTTTCACCGGCCTTCACTTCACGTTCATTTCTCGGACACTTTACCCTCCACGCAACTCACTTTCACCTGTGACCCTGCCACGCAGTGATTCATCTGCGCCGGTCGTGAACCAGCTGCATACACCTTCACTCTCCACTCCACTCGGCTGCGCTGTCACCGGCATGAATTTCGCGGTCGGAATTTGTACTTGCAAGAGGAGGCTATTCCTTTGATGTAGGGCAGGAACACCCTCTGCGCGATCTCATCATGCCGTCCTCAAGGCCATGCGCGGCGTTCGAGCCAATATCTCCAGACTTCGACCTGAAAGCCCTGGTCGAGTCTACGCCCAACTTCGAATGGGTCGTTCGCATACACTGCGATATGATAGATCACCAAGGGCTGGAAAACTTCGAGAAATTGGTTCTCATCCATGTCATACTCGGTGGGAAGCCGCTTGTTATCGAGGGTTATGATTTCAGGCTGGACAGGTGGACATTTGCGCTTCAGTGGCTACGGGATAATTGTGGTTCGAAAGGTAAGACATTGTCGTCTGCCTTCCGATCAGATTGAGCTAATGAATTTGATGCAGTCGAACATGCCAGAGACCTCACCAAGAAAACCAATGTCCCACTGACTATCGGCCATTACCTGAACAATATGGCTCTTCTTACGAACCAATGGACTCCACGCAACTACAAAGATCCCGAACGACAGCGCATGTACCTCAAAGATATCGACTGTCCCCCGTTGTGGCACGACAAGCTGTCCGAGATAGTGCCTCCCGGCTTGTATTACCTCAACGAGAGCACCGGCGATATTGGTGGCTTTGGAGCAGTAGACGAGAACGATCCCACTAGACCGGGCACCCGAAAGGGCCGCGGCATTGCGAAGGCTGGTGATCTGATGAGCAGCTTACCGAAAGAGATGCGCGCAGAAAACATGATGTGCTATATTGGCCACGAAGGCACATATACACCCGCCCATCGAGAAATGTGTGCCAGTCTCGGGCAGAATATCATGGTGGAGGCCTCGACTGGAATGGTCGAAGACGGCAAAATGACAAAACCCGGCTCTTCGATCTGGTTCATGACTGAAAGCAAAGAGAGAGCAGTGGTCTCCGAGTACTGGCTGTCAAAACTTGGTCACGATATTGAGATTGAGAACCACTTTGCTCAGATCAACGCATGGAAGAACGCACCTTTCAAGACTTATGTGGTCGAACAAAAGCCAGGCGACTTCATTTTGATTCCGCCTCTCGCGCCACATCAAGTCTGGAATCGAGGTACCCGAACCATGAAGGTCGCTTGGAATAGAACAACGGTTGAGACCCTCGAGATGGCGATGCGCGAGGCACTTCCTCGAGCGCGGATGGTGTGTCGAGATGAGCAATACAAAAACAAGGCCATTGTCTACTATACGATGCAGAAATACTCAAAATCACTCAAAGCGGCAGAGAAGGTGAAACAGAAAAGCGCCGGATCAAAACCCAAATCGGGCAACGATACCAAGGTTCGCCAATTGGAAAAGGATTTCCGGCGACTACATCACCTCTACACGGAGATTCTGATATCTGAACACTTTCTTCCGGATCGTCCAGAGAGAAAAGTCGAGATGCTTCCGTACGACGGCAATGTGACTTGCTCCTATTGCCGGTGTAACATCTTCAACCGATTTCTTACCTGTCCGAGCTGCGTTGGTGACCTCGGTAATGGCGAGGAGGACACATATGACATATGTATGGAGTGCTATGCCATGGGTCGAAGTTGTGCTTGCATATCCAAGTTGAAGTGGGTGGAACAGTGGTCGTGGAATGACCTCACTCAAAAACACGAGCAATGGCGGCACCAGATCCTTCAATATGAAGGCAAAGTGACCGAAAGATCCCCAGTCTCTATCAAGACAGAGCTAGATCGTCTCGGTAACAAAAGGACCCTGGCCCAGATTTGCCAACTGGAGTTGGCCAGAAGACCTTTCCGCGACTTTCGCCGACCTCCATCTCCCGTCACCGGCGACGACCGCATTGAGGAAGACGAGGTCGACGCCAATGGCAATGTGAAGAAGAAAAGAAAGATTGTGCGATCAGACGCATTCATCAGGAAGCACGCCCGGTGCCATGTTGATATGCACTGGGAGCCGAAGTGGAAGCAGGCATCCTGTTCGAGCTGTGACAAAAACTACTGCTATGGTGTGCTGTTCCGTGCATATGACATGATGCCTCGGGACATTATGGCGGACCCAGATTGGAAGTGTCCAAGTTGTCGGAACATTTGCGGTTGTCGAAATTGTCGAAAGAAGCCCGAATACAAGGCATACATCCCAGCTGGAACGGCGCTAGGGCATGACACGAAGGCAGTGGCTGATCCGAGGTCTGTCGAAAACCTTGTGGATTTCAGTCAGTCCAACATTGGGTGGATTCAAAAAGCGGGCGATGATGGTGACGATACACGTCGCCTCAAGAAACGCCGTAAAGAAGCCGACGTTGCCAAAGCTAGTGAGCCGAAGCTGGGTGAGGACTATGTTGACGGCGATGACGCGAATGACGGTATTGAAGACGGCATCTTACGACTGGCAGAGCATGAAGGCATCCCAGTCGATCCGGCTCTAGGAGCAGGACCAGTCTTGTTCGACAACTCGCCTGAGGCTGAAGACGAGTATGATGAACACCCTGAAGGTGCGAGGCCTGATGGTGATTCCACACCTGGAGATATTCCATGGGTCCCAGAAGGTGGTGTCATTCGTGATTACCAACATGCTTACGATCCAACGGAGGCAATCACGTACGATTATCCCGATCCAGAAATTGGCCGAAACCTCGCCGCAGCCGTGGAAGAAGACACAGCAGACGCCGTGCCCGAGGGCTATGAGCCAGCTGTAGCCGATGAGCCTGCAGAAATCGAGATGGTTGACAGAAAGCGCAAACGAGGTAGGCTCGACAACGGCGAGCGATCCTATAAATCCAAGAAACCTGCGACTGAGAAGGCGAAGAAGCAGCAACGGAGATCTCTCATTGTCAAACTGCCAGTCAACAGCGACAGACTTACGGGAGTGGACCAGATGGCAAATGTGGCCCGGCAAGCCTTGAATGGAGTGCCGGAAGTGCCTGCACCGGTCATCAGCTCTGATTTGCAAGCTCTCAACGCTGCAGCAGATAACCCACAGCAGGTGCCGAAAAGAACTCGAGGAGTTGAACACATTGTGGTCGATCGTGATGATGACTTCACACCGGGTCGCCATCGCGATCGGAGGAGAGCTCTTGTCGATGGAGCACCTCGATCTCCTCCTGCTGCTGAGATTACGAGACGGCAAACGCGCATGCAGCAGACTCACTACGAGGAGCCGTCTGAAGAAGAGTTCGATGAAGTGCTACCTGAACCTTCTGAGCGTCCGAAGTCAAGCAAAGTTGTTCGACTGGATGAGACAGAATTCAATTTTGGTGACTCGGAGTCAGAGGTGAGCGATGCTGCTCAAGATGGTCAAGACGAATCTTCGGCTTCCAGTCCACCGGTTGAGATGGCCGTTGATCCTTCACTGAAGCCAACAGCTATACCGGTGAAGCTAACAGCTATACCGGTGAAGCTAACAGCTATGCCGGTGAAGCCAATAGTTGCTCGAAAGGTTACTGAAAGCTTCGACGGTGTATCTGAGCGGAGCACGAGATCACCCACGATCTCTTCCATCGAGGCACCACCACCTAAGAGACCTACGGCTGGAAAAGCACCAGCACTCACGGTGTCGAAACCATCATCCAAGTCTTTGGAGGAGGCTCAAGCGAACCGACGAGCCAAGATGGCTGCGATTGAGATGATTGAAAACGACACGGATGATTTCGACGATGTATGGTCTCAGGATTCCTTCTTGGACGAATCTACAACGGCACCAAAGCAAGCTGGTCCACCTCCTCAACCAGCAGTAAAACCGGTTATCCAGAACGGACAGAAGGCCATACCCTCAGCTCCACCTGCGTCTAAACCTGTCGCGACCACAGCAGCATGGGTCGATAGCGACGACTCAGATGACGAGCCACCGGCCAGAAGACCAGGACACAGCCAGGGATTTACAAGTGTAAACAAGCCTGCGGCAAGGAAGGCAGATGCTCCGAAGAAACGTGGAAGGCCACCGAAGTCATCGGTCTAGATGACTTGAGCTGTTTGTCAACAGCTGTATGAGCGATTCTTTATGAGAGATTTGGAATGGCTACAATCAGACATCGAAGGTGCTGCTACCGGGATCTTGGACTGGAGGAAGGAGACAAAGACAGCTGGCCTCCTAGTGCTGAAATGTGGAAGCCTTGGAGATGTTGGATTCAGGATACACATATGCAAACAAGAGCTTGTCCCAATCGTTGTCACCAACGGTGCACGTTGTTACCAACGACAATAGTAGACGATACAGAAGTAATTCAAATCGATGTAGTGAGGTCCAGACCCTGTTTTTGTTGGTGATTCACGTTCGTTGTTCAAGTTGTGCTGCACAAGGGAAATCCAAATCCGCAAACTCCGAAAAGCTTCGATGTCATAGTTAGCGCATGCATTATTTTGCTCACTTCCTGGTGAAAGCCTGGCGAACAATAAACATTACCGACAACATTGTTCGCCTCATAAACTTATAACATTTCCTAGCTACTTCGTGATCAATTGTTCGGAACAGTCGCAGCCATGGAATCGATGCGCCTCCTTCAACGCAATGCTTTACGCCAGCTGTTCGAAACCCGTCCTCTGACCCGACGAGCCCTGAACCAAGCCACGTCCTTGCGATTCGGGAGACCGGTAGCACAACAACGCGGCGCAACGAGATCGATACACACTCCGCGGTACACTCAGCGTTCCATCAAGAGTGGCAGCACATTCACACAACAAGCCTCATCTTCCGCTCGTCGTTGTCGAAACAGCAAGAACGGTAACGGCAGACGATATAATTCCACCACCACATCCCCACCGGAAGGAAATCTGAGTATTAGAGACCGTCTGAAAAAGTTGTCGCGCGAGTACGGATGGTCAGCGGTAGGAGTGTACCTGGCTCTCTCGGCGCTAGATTTCCCATTCTGTTTCCTGGCAGTGCGCACACTAGGAACAGACCGGATCGGGCGATGGGAACATGCTATCGTCGATACAGTGAAGGGATTTGTCAAATGGCCTTTTGCGCAGTCGGAGGATGTCAAGGCCGGAATTGACGGCGCTGTTGATGAGGTTGAGAGGGAAGTCTTGCCTCCTGAGACGCAGGGCAAGAGGATTCTCGAGGAAGATGAGCCGGCGACGAGGACGCAGAGTGTGCTAAGTCTGGATGACCATGGGTACAAGGAGGCGGAGAAGGCGAATTCGGGGGATAATGCTAGTACGTTTTACACTCTTGCGCAGTGCGCTGGGCTTCGTGGCTCATTTTGTGGGAGGCATGGGTGCTAACGTGGTGATGTTCTAGGTCTATGGACACAACTTGCGTTGGCGTACGCGATTCACAAGTCCTTCATCTTTGTGAGGGTGCCGCTTACGGCGGCGATATTGCCAAAGGTCGTCAAGACGTTGAGAGGTTGGGGGTGGAATATTGGAAAGGTGCCGAGTAGGAAGGCTGTTACTGGCACATCGTCGACATCTGGGACGGGCGTGAATACGAAAGGTGCGAAAGTCAAAGGGGATGATTGAGCGGTCGCGGGAAATGGGGTAAACACTCTTCTCATCCTGTCTTCTCGTCTTGTCATTTGCGAAAGGCGTACTGTACAGCCTCGGCCGGCGGCTGCCGACATGCACTGAGTGAAGGATATTTGTACAAAACTCTGTAAATACAGCTGTACGTTGTACAAAACATAGCCTTGCCTTCAATACTGTACAAGACACAAGTGGTCTGTCTGGGCTATGACTCGACATTCATCCCAGAAATCGGATCCCTCGTGCCCTCCATCTCCAGCAACTGAACTACCTCCCCATCTGCCGTCTTTAAACTCCACTCAAGTGTCTCAAAGTACTCTTTTCCCCCCTTCCGTATTGACACGAACTTTGTTTGGGCCGTAGCTTTCGTCCCTTTCACCCAAAATGTAATCTCGATGACTCCTTGCAGTGGACTCAATTCGCCTTGGATCCACGGGATCTTGCTCGCGAAGTAAATTTCATCGCCTAATAGAGCGCGGGCATGTTCGTTGGTCCGTAAAGCGTACAAGATGGAATTGACTGTTGAACTGGTGGATTTCTGGTAATTGAAGATGGCGACGGAGGAAAGACCTATAAGCACAAAAAAGAAGGGCAAGGTTTTGAGCCATATTGACGTGCGGGATACGTTGGGTAATTCGCGGTCGGGGCGGCGAGATAACAGGGGCCCGGAGCCTTCGCGGGGAGGAGGGACGAGAGGCCTTATGATGCGGGAGGGGGATATGTCGGAGGCGTGGCGGCAGAATACATGTGTGCGAGACTTTGGTATTGAGGTTGATGTGTGTGAGCGTGGTGAGCGGAGTATGGATTGGCGGATTGAAATTGGTAAGGTGTGGGTGTGCATTGTGAAGTTAATGCTGCTGGAGAGCAGGGAATAGGACTTGCTTCGCATCGCGACCGACAGTAAAGACTTGAGTGTGTGTAGCTGGTGGATGGTGGTGTACAGGGAGTCAACGTTAGTATCAAATAAATGTCGTATGAGATGCGGCAGAGCTTTGCGGAGGATCGGTAATTCTTCGGTTGATCGATCACGCAGCCTTGCCGATCAATGTGCTGGCTGGGTATGACCCCTTTTCGAGGTTCACTTATTTTGATTTGAGTACAGTCTAGCACCGAGAAAAGCAGATGAAGCAGTATTTTATACCGTCCAAGCAGCACTGGAGACATGACTTTTCACTGACAAAGCCGCTGACAGTCTATCTAAAACTATGTAGCCTGTGTACTTTTTGTTCTATCACTTTTTCCATCCTAGAATGTCCCAGATGACTTTTATCCCTGATCATATCGGCTCATCTCTAGGCTCTATCAAGACCTCATTCACAGCGACATGTGCAGGTTGCTTCAACGCATAGACGATCGAGTTGGCCACATCTTCCGGGTCGAGAACTTCAGCGCCTGATGGTTCCCCGTATTTCTTGAGGGCTTCGGCGTCGGTCGACATGCCCAACAGATCAGTGGCGACGTTTCCTGGCTGCACGCTGGTAACGCGGAGTCCTTTGCCGGCCGTCTCGAGTCGCAAGCTTTGCAAGGTGGCTTCGACGAAGAATTTGCTCGCTGAATAAACACCCAAACCAGGGAAGACTTTACGCCCGGCATCAGACGAGATGGCAACAATATGACCACTTCCTCGCGAGAGCATGCCTGGCACAGTTGATGACAGACAGTGCAGCAGGCCCTTGCAGTTGACGTCAACGGTCCGATCCCACTCATCGACCTGCGTGTTGGCCATCATGGTGAAGTACATGACACCAGCGCACGACACGAGGATGTCCACGGGACCAAGTTCGCCATGTGTAGCGTTGATAAGTGCTTCGACCTGTTTTCTGTCTGTTACGTCGGTCTTGCGGATGATAACCTTTCCTTCCCGGACGACGAGTCTGCGCTTGACCGCTTCAAGAGCGTCGAGTCGTCGAGCTGCAAGAGCTACATGACATCCTTCTCGAGCTAGGGCCACGGCAACAGCGGCTCCGATGCCTGAAGAGGCACCAGTAATGACAGCTACACGTCCAGCCAGAGGCCCTCGGCGTGTAGGGTGAGCAGAACCGCCGAGAGACTGGTGGCTTGAAGGTGGTCGAGGTAGCCATCCCCTGGCAAACCAGTGGCGTGTGTATGTCTCAAGCAGGACCAGGTCGACCTTTGGTCGCTCGACCACAGCTCTAAAAGGTCTCGTTGCAGCGTTGTTGAGCACGACGATGCCCCTTAGGAAATCGACGTTGGGCATACCACTGCGCAGGATGTCCACGGTGAAGGCGCCCTCACCTCCTTTCGCTGAACTTCTCTTCTCGTTCCATAGTGCTACCCATTCATCAAAGCCAAGCCGCTCAGTGGGGTATCCTAGCTCTTTGAGATCTTCGAAGACTTTCCGACAATCGACAGGGTCTGGATCGCCCAAGTGAAACACGAGTTGCTTGGCGTGGGTCTGATTGGAAAGATGGATGATGGCTTTGCTGACGAAGTCAACAGGAGTCATCTCTGCACGCCAGCCTTCAACATCCGGGGCATAACCAAGATGTAGTGACTCCACGATCAACGCAGACAAAAGATCCCATGCATTGGCTGCACCAGTGAGACTGTGGCCACTGATTGTGCCTGCCCGATGGATCTTCACTGGCAGTCCACGACGACCAGCTTCAAGAACAAGCTGCTCAGCGACCCATTTACTTTGGCCGTATCCGTCGTGCAGCTTCTCTGGGACTTCGTCCACATACAACATCGTGCCCTCGGGCCATCCAGTTTGTGACGGCGGTAAAACACCATTGGTGGAGATGTATTGGACAGTTGCAGAAGCCTTGCAAGCCAGACGCAGAATCTCTCGTGTGCCGCCAACGTTTGAGTTTCGCAAAGCAGCATAAGGGTATACAAGGTTGACCGTAGCTGCAGCGTGGATGATGACTTGGACACGAGCAGCCAGTTCGTCAAAGGCTTGATGGGACAGGCCAAAGCGTTTGCGCGACAAGTTGCCGGGCAGGATCTCCACACGTTCCATCATCGAGTCACTCCATATTCCCAAGTCCAGCAAGTGCTTGCGGAGTCTTGCAATACCACCAGGTGCATCTTCTTCTGACGGATCATTGAAGCGAACCAGACAGATAATCTGGGCCGATGTGGTTGCCAACAGATCATTGAGCAGGAAGGCACCCAAGAAACCAGTCGCACCTGTTAAGAGTACAGTATCTGCCTTGTTCAGGGCACGAATGGTTGCATTTGTCGGCTGTATTTCCTTGTCGAGGACGGAATCTGCACGCAGAACAGCAGGTAGGTCTGCTTGCACGGCCGCAACTTGACCATCTCGTACAGCGCGCACAGTCTCCAAGTGGCCATTTAGCGTAGCTGGATCAACTAGCCGAGCGAGAGGTATCCGGAATCCGAAGTTCCTGGATAATCTCGAAGCAAGATCCGCAAGTGATAGAGAATGTCCACCTAAGTCGAAAAAGTTGTTCTCACCTGAGATATTGGCTGGTGATATCTTCAAGGTGGCCGCCCAGACTTCAGCAATCGATTCGATACTGATAGTATCTGATGATGCGGTCTTCTTTTGACCATTGACAGGGGTGGCATTCCCAGTCGGAGGTGGAGGAAGGCTTTTGAGGTCGGCTTTCCCTGACACCTCGTGAGTGGGTAATACATCGAGCTCAACCCATAACGCCGGAACCATATAATGAGCCAGATATGCAGACAATGCACGACGTGCTCCTGGGCTGTGGCCAGAGTCGTTGATCACCACTTCTTCACGATCATCGGCCTTTCCCTTCTCGGGGACAATATAGGCCACTAGCTGCCGTTCCAGACCTTCACCATGAGCCACCACAGCACATTGACGGACACGCAAGTTTGCAACGATTGCATTCTGGACCTTGCCGGGTACCACAGAGTACCCTCGGAGCTTGATCATCGCACCAACCCGACCTGTGATTTCGAGAAGTCCCGACGGCAGCAAGCGTGCCAAATCACCTGTTCTATACATTCGAGCGCCGGGTGTCGAGTCGAAGGGATCAGGTGTGAAAGCCTTGGCTGTGGTTTCTGGACGATTGAGATAGCCGCGAGCAAGTAAAGGTCCACCAATGCAAAGCTCTCCGCTAGCTCCATCTTCGACCCTCTGACCACTGTCGTCGATGATATAAGTGTGCTTTGGATCCAGGGGTGGTCCAACAGGACAATAGTTGGCACTGTCATCGAGCATTTCTTTGATGTCCCCACAGGCGATCTCGTGGGTCTCGCAAGCACTATAGCAATTGAGCAGTCGCACATTTGGCATAGCTTTGAGAGCTCGGCGGGCTAGGTCGGTTGTGACGACTTCACCGTTCAGCCATAGCGTTCGAAGCTCTGGGAGACGTTTACCAATCTCTGGGTGTCGAGAGAGAACGGCTGCGAGCAGAGTTGGTGTCATCAGTGTTTCCGTGATATGCTTCGAGGACAGCAAATCGACTAAAGCAGCAGGGTCGTAACTCGCATCGTCAGGAACGGCGACGACAGTTGCCCCTCTCAGGAGTGGACGGATGATCTCCCAGACAAAGAACACATTGCAAGCGACACGGTCTCCCGGATTAAGGTTGCTGATCCCGAACCTCAAGTTGTAGGAAAGTACGGGGGCTTTGTGGGGGTTTGCGATGCCCTTGGGCTTGCCGGTTGTACCTGACGAGTATGCAACAAAGGATAGGCGGTCCAGGTCATCATCGGGAGGCAGAGGGGAAGGCTCTTCGGTGTGCCCGTTGGCTTCGGTCTCTTTCTCGTCATCGAGCACGATAATGGGAGCACGGTCTTTGATCTTGCCGATCTCGGCCCTATAGGTGACCACGACCGCTGGTTTGGAGTCTTCAATAACGTCGACCAGGAGATCTGGAGGGTATGCAAGCTCGAGGACAAGGAAAGCACCTCCGGCACGCAGGGCAGCCAAGCAAGTGATTACGTAGTTGGCACTTCGAGGAAGTAACACACCAACCAGCTTGTCTCGACCGACTCCATGTTGACGAAGACGATTGGCGAGGTCGTCGACTTTCTGATCTAGTTCGGCATAGGTGTAAGTGACTTTGTCGTCCTCTAAGGCCACATTTTCTGGAGTAGCCTGGACCTGCTTCGAAAAGAGAGCCGAGAGGTCCTTGTGGGTGTCGATGATGGTCATGGTCGGCTTGAGAAGGGACCTCAAGAGGTCACTGGCGGTCTACCACTTTTTCGGATTTCTGGTCACCGATTCACGTTGTTCATCGAGTTGGCGTTGTTCTCAAGTCGTGGGAAACGAATGAATCTGGGGTAAGAATGATGTCAAATGGCAAAAACGTAAGAACAAGAGGTTTAATGTGTTGAGATGTTGCGAATCTGCGCGTTTGACCAATAAACATTCGAGATCACGAAAGACGTCATCAAGGGGAAATCTCTTCCACGCACAGCCACAGATCTAGATGAGGCGTTTGCTTGCAATCGTCTTCAACAACTTCCCGTCCTACAAGAATATGGATTTGTGCTGGTAACACTGGAGAAGGCTGTTTGTAACAAGCACCCCACCAACTGAGGCCAGGACTGAGGAAATGCTACAGACATGACAACTCCACGTTGAATCCTGCCGGAGCTTTCTCAGCCTTGCCACGCCACCTCCTCCGGCGAACCTTCGGCACAGCCTCGTCATCAAGGTGTGCTTTGGAGCGGCCGCGACCTCACCTCGCTTACATAAGCTGCCAAGGCTGACATTTCAATCATTACTCCGGCCGGACTCGCCTGCGGATGCGAGTTGCTGATGCTGTACTTGTAGCTTTTCAAGTTCCCATAGCAAATACCCTCCTCTTCTCAAGCTTAGCAGACGTTGTGCGCGTCAATTCACAATGCCTTCCGCTCCTTCCAACCTCTTTGTCGCCCCTCCATCCGTCCTATCTCGCGCTCTGCTACGGCGACCTGCCCAGCGCTCATCACAAAACCGAAATTTCGGCATCAAGTCAATAGACCCGCCGAGACCCAACCCATACAATGTCGTTCCGGGAATCAAGCCTTTACTATCTACACAAGCCGCAGCTTTCCAGCGAAGAATAGCGTCAGACACACTACCGTTACGGACCGGAGCTTTAGCCGTCAAAAAGGGCATGACAGCCGTTTTCGACGTCCAGTCCGGCAAGCGCATACCTTGCACAGTCCTACAGCTGGACCAGAATGAAGTGGTCAGCCACAAGACGAGAAGGCGGCATGGCTACTATGCTGTTTGCGTGGGTTGTGGATCGATTAACTCGAAGAACGTAACGAAACCGATGCTGGGCCACTACGCTGTTCAAGGCGTCAGTCCCAAGCAGCATCAGCGCGAGTTCCGCGTCCGCAACAAGGAAGGCCTGCTACCTGTTGGCGAGGAGATCCGGGCGAACTGGTTCATCGAGGGACAATTTGTGGACACACGGTCGAATTGCAAGGGTAAAGGCTTCGCAGGGCCGATGAAGAGATGGGGTTTCAAAGGGCAACCGCGAAGTCACGGTCACTCGAAAAGTCACAGATCGCACGGTTCGCTGGGCCAGGGCCAAGGGGGTGGTTCTCGTGTGTACCCTGGCAAGAAGATGGCTGGTAATATGGGTGGACAGAGGAACACGGTGCAGAGTCTGAGGATTCTGCAAACAGATGCCGATAACGGTATTGTGGTGGTGAATGGTGAGTTTCAGCTTGCAAAAAGTCGAGTTTCGTGATTGCTAACGGAATAATCCAGGTGCTGTTAGCGGGCCCAAAGGAACCTTGGTCATGATACAAGACGCTCTGAAGAAAGCGTGGCCTACAGTTCCCGAACCACCCACGCCGGAAGAAATTAACGCCAAACTGAGGGAGGCTGTGGATGCAAAGGCCTGAGTGGTGGACGTCGAAGGAAGCGACCACAGATCTCTGTAACAGTATATTGACACAATCTCATGTGTGAGCGAGAAGCAAAAGTGTCTGTCGGCAGTGCCTTCAGGCCACGTGCAAATAACAACCTGTCGGAATTGACTTTGTACATGATAGCATCATTTATGTGATACCGACCATATATCCGCAAGGCGGTCAATATGAAGTCCGCTTCGCATTCCATGAGAGCTGCCGCTCACTTCGAGAGTCAAGCCGCTTACTTCGCCCCATCACGCGCCTTTGTACTCATACCTCAAGCCCTGCAATTCATCCAGCCCCCTCGAGATCTCGTTGATACTCCTCCTCGCCATGAAGACCATCGCAAACATCACAGCCGGCAAAAGCAGAAACAGCCACAACCCCTCGGGCACATTCGTCCTCGATCGATACGCCATCGACGCCAAGAAGAGCAATGCATCAATCGACGCGTTGAGGTAAGGCAGGTACTGGTTGATCGGACTTTGATCTGAGAGCGTGAACTTTCGTCGCGCCGCTTCGGCACGAGAACCAAGGTTCGGAGCAGATCGCTCCGCCACGGAGGGTGACTGAGAAGTACTGGTGGGCACGAAGAACATGATATAAGAGCTTGAGGCAAGTGATGTGATGCTCAGTAGACATAGTAGTGCCATTGTCCTTGATGTCGAGAGTGTTAGATACCACAGGAATGGTAGAGTGACGATCAATGGCAACGCCGTGAAGATCAGCGTGTATTGAGCATTGGTGGATGACTCTGAGGCGCGGAGCTTAGTGAGGAGATGTTCTTGTTCTGTGAGCAACATTAGCATTGCATCAAGCTAGAATGAGAAGAAGATGGATCAATGGCACGGTCAGAGGGAAGACAGTCGTAAGGATAGTGTAACTATCTAGGCCATGGAAGCTTATCCAGAGGTGGGCATTGGCCTGCAAACAGCTGGAACTGACCTTCCTCATCTATCTCATCGTGTTCGTCAATGTCATCGTCGTCGGGGTATTTGAACGCTCTGCGCACCCTCGTCGTGTCCATCGTGAAGTATGATAGCGAGCTTGGGAGGTTGAAGTAGAGGATCTGCATATAATAATCAACAAGTTGTTATGAATATTTCGAGAGAAGGGCTATCTTGGTGTCTGTAGACCAGAAGAGCTCACTCGGATTGCAGTATCATGTGGTGTCTAAAGACATTTCATGTCGCTGTCAGGCTTCTCGAAAGAAGTGCATATGATGCAATGATCCAATACCATGGTAGTCCGTATGACAGGGATACTGAAGTCTGCGATATCGAAATTGTCTAGTCAAGAGATGAGTCAGGATTTGCATTATGTCAATCGAATTTCAGCCTCGTTAACCCACGTATGTACAAGGCTACAGACAAGAGCTCTCTTTGTTTCTGTCATTGACTCCTGCATGAAGGGCTTCCACGAGAAAGTCCCCTTGTCATGACCTAGCCTGACCGGATGCATGGTGCAGGAGGGGTTGCCCATGACTATGGCTGCAGCCCCTGGCTCACTTTGCATGTGGACCAGCCAATGATACAGCGCGAGCTCGCCGCCAGGAAGCAAACAACACCGGTCCCAGAGTGATATAAAGTACTTCCATGAATGACTCGACCTGATTTTCCCTTACCATCATCAACAATGGCAACTGCAACAACGACATCATATTGTTTCAGGTGCCAACACCACCCTGAGCCGGGTGATGGGCCCCTAAAGCGGTGCAGCAAGTGTCGCGCACGCCATTATTGCTCCCAAGAATGCCAACGCAACGACTGGCCAACTCACAAACAAGAATGCGACATCCTCGCAGCGGGAGGACAATCCGGGCGCATGAGATCGACGTTCCGCATGATGGGCTTCCCAAAAATGGGTGACGAGCCCGCCTTGGCTGACCCAGACACAATCTACTACGTCAAAACCTCCAAACCGCACATCCACCGTGTGACAGTTTCAGGGCCATACTATCCGCTGCAGAACATCTTCCCACCGCTTCTCAGGCAGCTACGGGACGCAGGCAGCGTCGAGGGCGAGCGCACCCTCGACGACATCGTCTACGGCGGTGGTGACGAAGCCCTCCTCAGCCTGCAGTATTTCCACGCGCCCTTGCCCGATGGGAACATTATGAAACTCGAGCTGATCAGAGAGCAAAACGCCCAAGTCGCGCACAGTCTTCCCTGCGAAGTCTGGAATATCTGTGTGAACACAACGACCGGAGACGAAGACCTTATGGAGACTCTCGGGCATCCACCAGTCTCGGACATGGAGGTCTTGGAGTCATTCGTGTCAAAGGACGAAGCACATGCAGCCGCGAAGGGATACCTTCAAAGACTGAAGGCAGAGATGGGGCCCGATGCAGTCCTCCACGAAGGCGAGATGGACGGTCTGCTCCATGGCGATGTTGGGCTGCCTGGGAGTGACGAGTTCAAGATACTCGAGGTCAAGCACCAAAATGTGACGGTTTATGACTGGGAGGCGGCACAGGAACATGTCCGTAGGGTGCGGGCCATGACTCAGAACCAGGAGGCGCCGACGCCTGAGAACTGAGGTGGAAGGCATATCTCGATGCCTGTAGACCACAATCACATGCGGATGGTAGTCGACATGACATTGTTGTGTCACTCAACCCAACGATATCTGGGTATATCCAGCAGAAGCATCATTGGGCATGTGCTCCGAACAGATGCTTGCACAGCTCGACTTCGACTTTCTTCGCTAATGACTACGTCGCGATTGCTGACCTTGAAACGGGAGAAGAAGCTATTTCCGGGGCATGGAAGCAGTCGAGCATTTTCTCAAAGAGTACGCTTCTCTCTATCTCTTCAGTACGGCACACTGTAGCAGTGCTTGCACCAGCTCACAATCATCCCCAAAGTACACATCGTCCGCCTTTTCGTGTGAAAACTGGGGTTTCTTCTGAATGCGCCGTCAAATATGTCTGTGCAGTGCTGTGCAAGGACTTCACATGTCCACCGTCTCATTAAATCTCAAAATGCCATTGTCCTTCATGATACCATTGACACCGTCCGGCATCATGGCCCAACCAGCTGTCGTTGAGCCGGGTGCTTGTTGTGACTGTGCACCACCATCATCAGTGGACGCGTCGGAGACTAGGACCAGGCCAGCCTGCTTGAGGGTCTCTGTGAGTGCCGGAACCATTTGGAGAATGCGAGATGGACACGTCAGACCCATGAAATTGTTCATCTGCGCAAGTCGAGCGGCCTCCTTGATAGAGGTTGCTCTTTCGAAAGATGCTTTGAAGGACGTAGTTGGGCCAGAGCCGTGCTGGCCGCCAAGTTGTGTGCCATGTAACGTACCAAGGTCATTACATAGGAGCACGGGGAAGTTTGGCTGCTTCCAGTTCAGCGCTGTGCAGATGTTGACATTGAAGGACGAGAAAGCGATCGAGCGAGATTGATCATGCGCAGCTTTCAGCCTTCGCGCATCGTCGAAGACTTCAGTCAATATTCTGTCTGCGAATGTATTGATATCGATGTTGGAATAGACGCCTAGACCAATGTCTTCCGAGCTTGTTGGGTATAGTATGTGCAGATTGAGGTTGATATGAGCTGGCATTGCAAGCAAGACATCCCGAAGGGCTATGACGGAGCCAGAAAGACGATTCCGCCATTGCATTATATCATCGCTCTCCAAAGATGACCTTCCGTTGTTGTCCAGTAGTGAGGTGGCAAGTCCGAGGTTGGCAAGCACATCGAATCGAAGTTGGCAGAGTGAGACGTCCAGATTGTTGTAGGTAATAAAGTAGGATGGGTAGATGACCGGGATTCCGTCGCGAGTGAGTTGCACAGTCAGTCTAAGATAGTCACCTGACAGACTTGACCCTGTGACCAGACCGGAGTGGTCGTCCAATGCACTGGTAGCCTTCCAGTACGTCGCAAATTGTGTAATTTCCAGAGGAGTCCCCTTGTAGGGTTTGATGACCTGGAAGCTGAATTGTATTTGACCAACCGACCGCAATCTTGGGTCGAAAAGTGGTAGGCAACAAGTGCCACTACTGCTCTCGATCGCTCGGAACAAATCTGGTAGGGCGACGGATTTGGCGATGACTTTCGAACCAAAGGTTGGGAAGATCTCGAAATCCACAGCAAAAGTGCTGAGATTTTCGACCTGGAAATACACAGACCTAGAATCTTCCTGGATAGGCAACATCAAGTTGCGAGGAATGAGGTCTGAGGTCTTGGAAGAGATGGTCAAACGTGCAGCAGGATACCTCGCTTCGTTGAAAAAGTGAATAGCCTTCGAACCAGGCTCAAAATTGATGGCGATGAATGTTTTGTTGTCAAGGAAGTTGTGTCCATATCTTCGTAAAGGTATGATAGGTGGTGGCAATGACAGATCTGGTATCCCATCACCTTCGGCCGCCATAGGTTCTTCTGGCGTGATTTCCATGGCATTCATCTGGTTGTGAGGAGGGACGACAGCTCCGATTCTGGATGTCCTTCTTTCGGCGCGACGATAGCTGCTTCGCTCCCATAGCAAGTCCATACACTCGAGGTGGCCTTCCCAGGTAGCATAATACATGGCTGTAAGACCTTTCTCATCAAGTGCTTCAGGATCAGCCCCATTTTCTAGAAGCGCACGTAGACACTCGACTCGGCCTTCACTTGCTGCATGGAATAGAGGTGTCCATTGATACAACTTGTCGCGTTGATTGAGATCCGCCCCATGCTGCCGGAGTAGCAATAACAGATCGGGCTTTTGACTCGACCGAGCCACAAGATGTTGAGGAAAGAGCCCTTCTGCATCGGGAAGCAGCTTGGCATTTCTTTCCAGCAGCATGGCGGCGACTTCCATAGACTCATGCTGGCAAGCCAAGTTCAATGGGATATGATCGGCCTCGGATTGCGGATCAATACCCGCGTTGCTCGCAAGTAAAAGACGAACGCACTCAATGCGGTGCCGGACGATGCTGTGAATTAAAGGAGTAAAGTTGTCGTGATCTTTCATGTCGATAGTGTTAGGCCCACTCGCCAGCAATTTCTCTACCATAGCCAACCTTCCTCGGAGACAGGCGTAATGGAGGGGTACCCTACCATATACATCCAGGCGAGTAAGGTCAACACCGTGGCTGAGACCATAGTCGAGTACGCTGTCCTTGCCGTATATAGTAGCTTCATGCAAGCAGTTGCGTTCATTGATGTCGTCTTCAGCATGAATGTCGACCAAGCCCGAACTCAAGAACATGTGTAGAGACTCATCAGGCGCTTCGCTGATTGTGGCGAGAAATATCCTAGTGAATCGTTCGCCGGCATTTGGCGCCGAACCCAGTCTTGCAATCCATTCTCGAATGGCGGCGATGTTGCCAGCAGCAGATGCTTGGAGGATTTGAAGATCGATGTCACTGTCTTCAGTGCCCACGCGCTGGCCGATCGTGCGATCTGCTGGTTTGGCGTCATATTGTATGTTTTCGCCTTCCGCCCAAGCTTCCAGATCGAGTCTCGCGGTTGTGGCTCGATCCGCCAAGTCTCGAAGTACATCTCGGTTGAAACATGGTTGAAGTTCGACGGCCCTTTGTAGATAGATTTCTTTTGTTCGTGACTATCAAAGGTTAGCCTGCGACACGTTGTCTTGATGACAAATCTACCTTTGATGTCTTGTCCCACTACAAGGCTGTTAGTCACAATCCGCAAGAAAGGAGAAAGCCATGAAACAAACCTTTTTCAGGATTTTCGAGATCGCAGTCTCGTTGACTTCGACGAATTGCTGAAAGCTGTCAGTGGTGTACTTACAAGAAGATGAGGTAGACCATACTTGTAGCTTATTGAGGTCATTATCGAATTGCTGGAAGCCCTCGACCAAAGTTGCGAAACTTGCAGATGATCTTGAGTTTGCAGCACCTCTAGCTTGGATGACGCGCTTCTTGTCTAGCAACGTCTTAAGACGTAGAGAGAACTGCTTTGAGTCAGTATGACACCCTATGTGACAGCCTGCGAACATACCTCTGCCTCTTTTTGCAGGTAAAAAACATTGACTTTCTCTATCTCACGTTCCTACGAGTAGGTTTAAGCACATGCACGTTTGACAGCGATAGAAGATGTGCTGACCAGGCGAAAGAAAAAGACCTCTTTGTTCGCTCGAAGAGCGGCTTGCGTATCTAACGGCGATGAGCCTCCTTGTGCCGCGATCGTGGGTGTGGCGCTGAGCTGCTTAATGAGCTGTGACGGTTGTCAGCAACGGTCCTTCCGACTACGGTATCGACTCTGTCTCACCTTCTTGAGAGCCTTGTAGTTGAGAAAACTGGCTGCATATTCCGGAAGGTCTAATTGCTGGCGCTGGATTTGCTTTCCGAACTTCCTGATTGGATTAGAGCCGACAAAGACAGCAGACAAACAGGATCGTACATATTGGAGGTGATAGGTCACAAAATTGACACAGTCTCGGTAGTACGGATATCAGTCGGATCGACGAGGCTGTCTATAACAGCCCGGATATGCCGACGGATGTTTGAGACTGAGTCAGCCTACGAAAGGACCAGATTGAGATGGTCCAATATCAATGAAGATGTGCATCGGGATATGAAGAAGCGGTGGGAAAAGCCAGTCTAGGCGATATGTGATGTTCGAACTTATCCTCGAGGAGGATGATTTCAATGGTAGCTGATGCCCACGTCGAAATTTTCCATAGTCGGGTCCAAGTCCAGGCTGTCCATCCAGTTCGGTACGATCATAGAACGAAGATGCGTAAGAAGATCCAGTGAAGACAGGCGTGATATCCTAAGTTGGGATTTGAATCGTTGGATTGACGAATCAACGCGCGAGATTTTGGCACGCGGTCGTTGGAGAGGAGCAGTGATACTGTCAGACGGTTGACTGTGCGTCCACAACTGGCCCCGCGATGGGTAATGTCGGCTGAATTGTGTATGAGAAAATAGGTGGATGGTGACTTGTGACTGCTTCACACCTTGGCGGAAAAGACTAAGTCAATTGAGCACATGATATTTGGCGGCGGAATCAACGCAACTTTTCGAGTCAGTGCCTTTGCGGTTCCGAGGCTCTGCACGCAAAAATGATGCGGTGCAGCATTGGCCAATGACATTGGGGTCACGTGAGCTTTATCGATCCGCCCTTGGCACACGTCATGGTCCTTTTGCAGATTGCGCCGCATGCGATGCCGATGCAGACGCAGGGCCAGAGCCTCGACAGGAACAGGCACATGCATCCAGACTGCACTGTATACTTGTACAACAAAGACAATACCTTTTTAAGTACACCAGTAAATGTCTTATCTTGCTATACAACTACTGTGAGGTTGTTCTCTACGTGTATGCAACCTCAACTCCTTTTTTGGTCATGACATGACGTGCACGGCTCAATCTATCCCTTGAATCCAACGCACGGTCTGCTTGCGATTGCGACGTGTTCATCTGTTTGTACCGTCTTCACTTCACTCTCTTCACCCTCTTCTTCCTTCCATCCTCTCTCATATCTTGAAATCCTTGACTTCTCTCACACAACAGCTTTGCTTCCATCAACAATCATGCCTCCTATTCCCGTCCACACGTCCTCGCCCATTAACGGCAACGTGCCCTCTTACCCATCGGGTACCTCGCCCAGTACAGCAGCAGCCAGATACGCACCAGCCAACGCAGACGCCAGTCCTACGACGACATCATCAAGCCCATACCCACAAGCCCGTCCTGGAGCACCTGCTGTTCCACAGCCGACCAACGCCGCGTCAAGCATGTACAATTACAGATTCCAACCTACTGCCACTACCTCACCACCCACCACCACCAGCGATTCTTCAGGCAGTCCTCCCCCACCACAGCCAGGAGCAGTCCCTTCACCTTACTACAATGAATCCCCAAGAGTCACAATCCCACAACCCCCTCAGCCTGGCGCCCTCCCGCAGTGGACACCTACTACTACCACGCCTGTCCGTCACAATCTACCATCGCCAACTCCTACACGCACCCAGCCTGTCCCGCTCCCTGCTCATCAGCAGTCTCCTTCGCTCTATGTTCCGTACGGGACGATACCACCAGCAAGCGTGACATCGACCCACCCACAGGATCTATCACATCCGCCAGGCTACATGCAAGACACACGTGCAACCTTCGAGGATAAGCCCATTGAACAATGCGTGCCTTATGGACATAGACCAAGTCTGTCATCAGCATCTTCGAGAAAAGGAGGCTTGCTCGACGAAACACCAATCTTCGGCCGGATAGGCGACAATGAGTCAACGGTTGTGGATACTGCGATGTCCTGGGTAAAAGCCGCAGGGAAAAGGCTATCGGTCACAGAGCAGCAGATCTGGAAGCAGATCAACGAAATGGGTAAGTCTTAAATGAAGGTCCAGGAAAATCCGATTCGGCAGACATAGGGGCGTTTGACGGTGTTGGCTCGAGAGGATGGGACACGGAGTATGGTTTGCGTGGGTGCTGCTATGCTGAGCCAGCAATAGCATAAGAGCATATGGAGGTCATTACTCCAGATTGTGAGAGCTCAGACTTAGGTAGAACCAGAATCAAGAATAAACCATACGACAAATACGACGCACAATTCATGATCGAAACTTGCAAGATGTTGACAAGAGAGTTGCAAGACCAGGCAGTAAAGTACAATTGGGATACGAGGAATAACAACGCGGAAAAATTCGAGAACCCCGGTGTGTCAATGATCACAACCTCCTGCGAATATCGTAAAACATTCGCGGCCGCAATGCATGTCCATCCGTGTCCGTCCTGATTCCTTTGCGAGGCGCTGTAGATGTTGTTGCATGAGGCGTCTATCTGCAAATTCTTCAACTCCCGCTACTACGTCCCCTAATCATCATACAAGACCCCTCGTCTCCCAACTGAAGACCCACCATTACCCATTCCCCTGAACTTTTCGGAAGAGAATACCGTTCAGTAAGAACTTACTGCGCAGTACCCTCTCTGGCAATTGTCGGAGTGGAATTGCGAGGCGCTTAGCCGGAACCACCCTTGAAGGCCTTGCCGAACATGAGAAGTTGGACCTCTGCAGACTGGTTAGTATTCGAGAGAAGGAAAAGGGTCGGTTACACATACGGTCATAGATGGACAAGACACCGGCACCAGCGACACCACGGAGAATGTTGGCACCAGCACCCTTGAAGAAGGATCGGACACCCTCAGCAGCCATGATGGTTCGGGCAGCATCGAGAGAGCTCTTGTACTTGACAGCCTGCAAATAAGGTCAGACTTTGTTTCTGAATGGGGAAATTGCAATGATACATACCTCACCGGAAGTCATCATCATACGACGACGGATAGTGTCGAGAGGATAAGAAGCAATACCGGCACCAGTGGTGACAGCCCAACCAAGCATGAAAGAGGCCAGGAAGTTACCCTCAAGAGGACCGACCAAGAGAACAGGCTTGATGGAGTCGTACATGCCGAAGTAGAGACCACGGTAGACCACGATACCAAGGACGGAGGGACCGAAACCACGGTAGAGACCAGCAACACCGTCAGTAGCCAAGGTCTTGCGGTAGACGTCGACCAGGCCGTTGAATTGACGGTCACCACCACCCTTGGCAGATTTGGCATCGTTGGCAAGACGGGTACTGTGATTGGGGTTAGACACAATTTAAAAGTTGTCAAAACGCAGAAACACATACCGAGCATAGTCGAGGGAGTAGACGAAGAGAAGGGAGGTGGCACCGGCAGCACCACCGGAGGCCAAGTTACCAGCCATCCACTTCCAGTAGCCATCACGCTCCTTCTTGAAGGCGAACATCGACTTGTATGTGTCGCGGAAGGCGAAGTTGAGGGCCTGGGTAGGGAAGTATCGGATAACGTTGGCAGTGTTACCTCTCCACAGAGACATCACACCCTCGTTCTTTGCGGTACGGCTGAAGCAGTCGGCGATACCGGCATATTTGCGGTCGAGACGGCCGGCTTTGAGCATTTCATCCTGATGAATTGTAAGCGCCTGTTTTGTTTCTCCTTGATCTTATCCGGGATCATGATGGTCGACAACATCTTTTGCGGCTGAGTTTATTCGAACCAAAAGTGCGCCAGGATGACCCGAAGAAGAGGCAAGGTGAATCGCGGTGAGCATACCTGATTCTGGATCAAGAGCTTGACACGCTCAATGGGGGCAGCAGCGGTTTTCTGTATATCTAGTCAGATCTCCAATGCTCCTAGCAGGTCCGATGACGACAAACATACCGAGACGGCGGCAGAAACACCACCCATCAAGAAGTCCACCACGAAGCCAGGCTACATAGCACGAACAAGTTAGCATATGATTTTGAAGATGTTTGCAGAACGCGGTGATGTCCATTGAGCTCGAGGAGGTCGCAGGAGCAGCACTGGGATAAGGGAGCTCGGGGCCATCAACTCACCATGCCCATGAAGGACTTCTTGCCCTGAACAACATCGCCGTCAACCATCTTGACGGTTCAGCTAGATTCTGAACTGCGGAAAATGGGAGTGGAGAGGAGAGAGGATGTGATGATGCACGAATGCTGAAAATGAAGCAAAGGGAAGATGAAAGATAAAGCGAAAGGAAGTGAGTAGGTAATTTTTCGAGCTTCTCAGCCGGCTTGGCGCTAAACCGGTTATAGTGATGCGCCAGGCTTTTGTCGCTCGGACACTGCTCCTGCAACGACCGACGTACCGTACCGGAATCCGGAAGCACCAGTTTTTCCGCTCACCCCCATATCTTTTTACCCGGGCAATTATCGTCCTCAATCATAAAATTTTGTAGGAGGAGCAGAAAAGGAGGACACCCACCGAGGCTCCAGAGGCCTTTGATCGGGCCTGCACTCGTACTCGCAAACAGTGGTGCTCGATCTTCCCTGCGTGGCAACCGTTGCCCCCTTGCCCATCTTCCTCCGGGCCAGCGAGACATTTTTTACGCCTGGACCTTTGCTCGGGCCTTGGACCCTGCTCAACCCCTTTCTCCGCCCTGATCGCCACAGTTACAATAGGCTCCTCCAAAGGAGTAAGAAATTCTAGGTACCAACGATCCATCAGGTCTTTCGAGATTGGCAAACCGTCATCTTCCTGGAGGCTTGTTCTTGAGGCGGATACGGCACCAGACGTCCTACTGACACAGTTGGGATATATCTTCAGCCTGATGTCTTGGTGAGGTTGGACAAGGCTAGACAATATGTGTAACAAGCGGATCTGCCCGATCATTTCCAGATTGTATCGTGTGTTCTGAAGCATAGGACTTCACATCGGTTCCAGCTTCTTTACTCAAGTTACATAAGGTAATAGTCGACGCTGTGTCGATGCAGACATTACAGAATATCCTCTACTCCAACAAGTCAACCACCGGACAACCCTTGTTCATCAGACCTCACCTCAAGCCTCATCGACAGCCTCAACCTTGTTCTTCTTGCTCCTTCTTCTCTTCTTCTTTCCTTTCGTGATAATGTTTGATGCGTCATTCTGTCCATCTGGCTCCGTCCTCTCCTCAGATTTCGAGGGTATCAGTTCACTGGCCTGCAGTCCTTCCTCATTGCCAAAGGTGTCAAGGCGCCACTTCCTCAGCCTCGCTTTCTTGCCCAGATGCTTCTGATCTTTGCGCTTCTTTTCTGCGTCTCGAAAGGATGCAAGCTTCTTTAGTCCTGCAAATTCATTCAGCTGCTTGTCGTCAGCCAGTAGTATGTCCCTCGCACTCAGGCCAAAACTTTTTGGTGACGACTCGCGATATCTGAAGGCGGTTTTCTGTGGCAGAGAACTCTCGAGTTCCATTTGAAGTTGATCATCCACCAATTGTTCGATGATTCTCCGCTCTTTCTTCGCATCCCGCTTCTTATCATCCTTCATCTTGTTCGCCTTTTTCTTCTTTTTCGCAGGCTGATCCTCATCTGTCAGGCTGAATTCGGCTTTTTCTTCCGCTTCGAACTCAGGGATAATATCCTTGATGTCAATGTCGTCGTCGAACTTTGGCTTGCGGACTTTACTCTTTCCCTCTGTGGTTTCCTCTTCTGTTCCGACGTCCTGCTGCGCATAATAGTCGTCGCCGAAACGCTTCTGCATCTCTTGTTCCCACCTCGCATCGTCCCATTCATCATCGACGAAATGTGACCAATCTTCTGGTTGAATGTCTTTGGTGCTCACTCCGGCCGCACGTTTGATCTTGCGTACCTTCTCCTCGAGCTGTTCGATCTTTAGCTTTCGCAGGCGAGCTTTCTCCTCTTTTCGCTGCTGCTTCTCGGCCTCTTTGACAGCTTTTTCAGCTTCTCGCTTCTTTTGCCTGGGGTTGGCTTCGTCTCTCCTTACAGAGTACTTTGCGGCCACATCTCTAGCATGGGAGCGCAATTTCTCGTTCGATTTGGCGGGATCTTCGAATCTGAGATTGTATGCTTCTTCGAATTCTTCGGCTCGCTTGTCTTCTTCATCGTCGTCGGATTCGAATGGATGCAGGTTTAAATTAGCAGCCACCCAGGCCCGAGAGACCATGAAGTTCGACAGGTAGGTCTCCGGGTCTTTATCGGCATTGTCGACATCAAGTTTGACCTGTTGTTGTTTTGCTGGTTTTTCGCGGTGTTTTGCTACCAGGAACTTGTCGTCTATGGTGGCATCTTCTTCCTCGTCATCGGACTCTGACTCCTCCGCGGTAGCGTTGATCTCTCCAATGATTGACTTTTTAAGTTGTTCCTGCTCCTGATTGTAGGTCAATGGAGCATCCTCCGTCTCTCCTGCATCAGCATTTCCGTTCAGTAGATTTTGTCGATGGTAGTCTTGGAGATGCATTGGCTTCTCCTTCTTTCGCCTTGAATCGCCTTGCTGGGACTCGGACGTTTCGGAGTAGAATTTTGCGGACGGGTCGTAGACTCGGGGATCTTTCGACCGGATGGCGTTGATTGTGGCCACTATTTCAGAGTCAAGAACCTCTGTTACCAGTTCTCCTTCATCTTCTGACTCGCTTGTGGACTCATCAGTTGAATCGTCTTCGCTGCCCGCTTCGTCGTCTCGTTTACGTTTGCGTGAGGTTTTGCCGAGTTTCTCTTGCACTGTTGCCATCAGTCATTAATTAAGTAGTTCGAGAGGGGGTCTCTTACAGCGTTGCAACTCTTCCCGCTTCTTGTTATGCTCAAATCGACGGGCAAAGGACTCGTTGACTCTGAGGTCGCTGGATTGCACATCTCCGCCGCCGTCTTCACTTTCAGATCCATCACTGCTCATAAGATCTCGCGCCATGCTGATTTGGACTCTCAATAGAATAACCGAATTTTCCAGAGCCTATGCGTGCTTGCGATCTTTGTTCCTGACATATGGCATGGCCGCAAAAAAAAGGTTGTAGGTTCGAGATTTTGGCGCTCCGTGGGTCTGGTTTCTCCGCACGATCTGATCTGCAAGGTTTTGTTGACGTCGACGGCTAACGTAAGGGTACCGCGAACATTTGGGGTGCTTTCACCTGGATCACAGTCACCACTTTCAATACATTATTTCCTACCAACGCTTCAATCCTGTGTCCACATCACAGGCCCGAAATGCTGTTTCGCTAGAAATAGTACATTTATGCTGCAACGATCGAGATGACCTAGCCACATAACCCAAGGTGCTGAGGAGGTTCTCCTGCGCACGCGCTGCCTCCGCTTATCCTGATCGAATCCTCGCCATGTCGGAAACATTGCAACCACCCAACGATGTTGGGCGGCTGATTAACCTCGTCCCAGTCGGTCTGAAAGAAGCAGCTATAGACTCTCCGACTTCCCGGGCCACAGTTATACATTATGGAGAACAAGTCGAGTTGCTGGAAAAATGGCTGGACGACTATCTGAAAGCCACGAATCGTCTCGTGGCAGAATCTCTTACGCTCGAGAACGTCCTCAACAGCTTCATCTCGCACTCGGTCCTTCCACTCACTTTATCTGAATCGATGCTGGACCATGACTACAGCACCCTCGCAATGAAGAAATATGGAGAAGGGGCAAAGGATTATTGGATGAGTGCAGTAGGAGTTGTGAAGAAGTTGACCACTATGGTGGCCGATCCCATAAGACAATTCATGGCGAACGATCTAAGGGCTTTCAAAGACGTACGGCGAGCTGTCGAGGCTTCCCAGAAGACCTTCGAACACCATCAGTCAAGATACGCGGGGCTCGGAAAATCGAAAGAACCTTCATCATTGCGGGAGGATGCTTTTCAGTTACATGAGGCGCGAAAGACATATCTTCATGCGATGATGGACTTTTACAGTCTGATTCCACAATTCCGTTTCGCACTAGATCGATTGCTGGTTCAGATCTTCTTTGAGCAGTGGAAGGAAATGCGAGTATCTCGAGACAACACAGCAGCAACACTTCAAAGAAGTGCAGGGGAGATGCAGAGGGTCAGAGGATGGCTCAACGAAATGGAAGCTAGCGAGAGGACCTTCCGAAAGGAGCTGTTGACTGCGAAGAAACAACTGGAAGATGCTGCAGAGTTGAGTACTCGACCCTCGAGAGAGCTGGACGACTACAGTTTGTCGACTATTCCTCAATTCTCGAGCCACGCTCACACGCCAAGCGGCATCTCGCACGCTTCACCCAAGAAGATCGCCCCAAAAACAGGTGAGAAACAAGGCTGGTTGTTCTTGCGGACATATGGCGGCAAACCGACCAGGACCATTTGGCTGAGGAGGTGGGCCTTCATTCGCAATGGCGTCTTTGGCTGGCTTCTACAAAGTGCTAGAGCAGGAGGAGTTGAGGAGAGCGAGCGTATAGGTGTTCTACTCTGCAATGTTCGGCCCGCCCCTGCCGAAGAACGCCGGTTCTGTTTCGAGCTCAAAACTAACAGAAACACCATCCTGCTTCAGGCCGAAACTCAGACCGAGCTCGTCGAATGGATTGGGGCATTTGAGTTGGCAAAGTCGAAAGCGCTCGAGGATCCAAATGCCAACCAGAACCTTAGCGGTGGTGGAAACATCCAAACAGGTGCGGCCTTCGCCATCTCGGCACCTCCGATACCCGAATTCGGTACCTATGTCCTTGGCTCGACTGAACCGGGCGCTGCTGGTGATGACATTGCAGGCTTGGAAAAGAGCAACACTTTACCGGTCCCAGGCAGCGAGGGTGTGCGGGAAAGCAGCATCGATATGCCCAGGAGGTCAACTGCTGCAGACGAGGGCGGTCATCGTGACACTGCATCTCGCATCATCTCCAAGCTCGATCTGCACAGAAAAAGCGCAGCGACGGCCCAGGTATCTCCTACTCCTTCTACGCCCAATCTCCCTGCCGGAGGTATAGCGAGCCTTATTGCAGCCAGTCATGGATCAATGCCTGTTGGTCCAGCCATTCCAATGGTACACAACCTGGAGCTGGATATGAGACCACGACACACGTTCACCCTGGCTCTTCGGGACATGCCGCCCAGTACATTAGCGCCCGCTACCCTGGCTGCAGTGCCGTCTCCGACTAACCTGAGCAAGGCAGCTGTCATCGTCACTGGGGAGCGTGGCCTCAGTCCTGCCCCGTACAAGTCTGGCATTCCTACGAGTTTGATTGCAAACTTGTGGGGTACATCCAATACCGGTCTCGTCAATCGGCTTGAGCGTAGCGAACCGAAGACCCATCCCGAGATCAAGCTTGCTACACAACCCAGTCCAATTCTTGAATCGTCACCTTCACCAAAAAACCCATCTCCCTCCCCACCCCGGAGGCCGGGTATGCCGCATACTGCTATATCTCAGCTGGACCTTAGTATTCCCCAGAACTTTACTCGAAGCCGTACCCCGTCGCCAAGCAAAAGGCACAGGAGTACGATCAGCGTCGACCGCGATGCGTTCAGACACATCAAAAGCGAGCTCCTGGTGTCCGAGTTTCCGAACTACTATCCGCTTCAGCTGAAGTCGCAAGATGCGCAATTCCGACTCCTCTTTCCGGACGTCCGACGCGATGAACGTCTGGTCATGGTTTTCAGAGCTACCTGGAATCCAAACGAGCAGCAGGAGTTTCCCGGGCGCGTATACGTCACTTCCAAAGATCTATACTTCTACAGCAACCACATGGGTCTTGTGCTCACTACTAGTCTGCCCCTAGGCTCTATTGAGGAAGCCACCGCAGCACCAGGACGAGATTGCGACTTCATCTTCTTGCACTTGACAGATCCTGGAAGTGATGGCAGCAACCGCAGACTTACCCTGAAGACGTTTTTGGAACCTCTAAAACTGTTGCAGAAGCGCTTGAACTTCTTGATCAAGAACAGTATCTCGCAGGAACCGCTCGAATTGGAAGAGCTAATCAAGGCTTTGCTGAAGATGGAAGGTGAGGGAGGTGATCGAAGTCCTAGCCTCGAGAGCTGGGAGGACGTTTCTCCCAATACGCCCGTCGATACGGGTGGCTTGAGGTATCGCGACAGAGCTTCGACTGTTGGGACCGAGGTCCGAGCACCGCTCCGTATTGATCGAGCTCTGCATCAAACACAGCTCGGTCGAAGAGACTCCAAGTTCAAGCTGCCAGCTCAGCCTGTCAAATATGTGCCACCAGGTAACCTCCGCCTCGCCACTGAAAAGGAGTTCGATATCAGCGCAAAGGCGCTCTTCCACGTTATGTTCGGGGACAAGAGCGCACTCTGGCAATTGCTACAGCATGAGCGCCGGGCGAAGAACCTTAACCAGGGACCATGGTTGAGCTTAGGGGAAGGCCGGCTTCGAAGAGAGTTTGCATTCGATATTCCCACAACTACCATTCTTGGCCAAGGAGCCTGGGCTCATGTCCGAGATTACCAGGTCGTGGATGTCAACAGCGACCATTTGTGCTACGTTGTGACCGATAAGCGGACGCCATGGCATCTTCCCCTCCAGGACCGATACCGCCTCGTCAGCAAGATCGTCATCACGCACGTGGCAAAGGCCAAATGCAAGCTTGCTGTGTTCAACAAGCTGGAATGGACGAGCAACGCAGGCATGCTTGGTGGCATGCTGGAACGGCAAGCCTTGTACGATCTCGAACTCGATTCCCTCGATCTTGCAGATCTTGTGGCCGATCAGGTCCGCAAGCTAGGAGCGCACAGTCGTACGAAGAAGGCGGTCCAGATCTTTGGTCAGGTAGGCCACGCGACCGAGACAACCCAGCTAATTGTCAATGAGTCGGCTCTAAATATCGAGCTACGGAGGCCGCCATTCCCAACGACGATAACAGGTCTCTTGTCGCAACGCGCGGCATCTGCTTCGCAGAGTGCCGCAGCGATGGGTCTTGCAGCTTTGATCGACTTTGTGAAATGGGTCAACAAGACACTCTCGGCCAATAAGTTCATTCTCCTCGCTCTGCTCCTCAGCGCATTTTACAACAGCTGGCATACATACCGCGACTCGCTGGGCTGGTGGCACGAGCGTCGGGCGTCCAAGTTTATGACTCGCTTGGGTGTGTCCCCAGACGTTGTCATGAGCCGCGCAGTCTATCTAAGCGACATGGATGAAGTTCTTCACTACGATGCCACCATGCCGACAGGTGATAGCAGTGCGTGCTACAGCGTATTCTCGGACGCGCATAATCCCGAGGTCATCCACGCTGGCGCCGGTAGTGGTGGGAATGCGGACTTCCAGCAAACTCGCCAGCGATTGGGCGTGTACCGGCATGATCTGCTCGTGGCCGTGCGTGTGGTGAACGGCATCGAGAAGGAGCTTATGCAAGCGGCTTGGGAGCAGTGGATCGTGGATGAGCATCGCCGATGCAATGTCGTGGAGGGTCTCGTGCTGAAAGACGTCGCGCACAATGCGACGGACGTACGTGAGGAGGTCAAGAGCTGGTATGACGAGTATTGTGTTAGTTGTCGCGAGGAGTATAACAAGATACGAGTCTGAGTTTGGTGGGCCTCTTCGTCGATTTGCATATGGCGCTTCATGGTTCATATTGATACCCCTGAGAAGCGGTTGGTTTGCGTGTCGATAGTCTAGGATAGTGTTCCAACGAAATAACCGTTCCAGCTCATGTTGTTGTTTCATGCATTGACTACTAAAGTCTATACCTTGTCGAAATGGCCCAGCCGGTTTTTGATGACTCGTCCTGTGGGCATGCTTTCACGACTCATTTGAGCCCGATCGGTCAGGTCAAGCTGTCAACGTACTCGGCGCAAAGGAAGCGTTGAAATCCTTTTCGACTTGCTGGTTTTTGAGGTTGAGGACGCCCACCAGCCCTTGGGTCCGTCATCTCAGTGTCCTTTTCAGCCCCAGGACCACTCTCACTTTCGACTTGGGGTTCAGCGCTCGCTGCAGTATCAGCTGCAGTATCAGCTGCAGCATCGGTACCGTCGTCTTCAGGGAATTGCTCGTCAGTGCCGGATTGTGGCTGCAATAGTAGGGTACATCCATCGGTCTGTCCCGTCACCTGCGTCTTGTGCGCTGATACGCTCAGTGCAAGCCATTGTGATTGTGTCGTCAAGTTTTGGAGATCCTGTGTTCGTGATTGCTTTCTAGGCATGGTCAGAAGAGCCGATGGGATGATTCCAAGCTGAGCGGCAGGCCTTGTGGGGTGTCAATAGTGGTATGACTTACATTACTGTGCATAAGAGTTCGAGAACCCACTGTATTGAAATCAGTCCTGTCCATTTTACAACTTTGACATTGTGCGATGTTTGACTGGAGTTGTCCCATTCGACATCTGGTACTTCGTATCGACTTATGAAGGGATCAGTTGTGTCTGAAGTTTGGACTTGTGGTGAGGTAAGAGCAAGCATGTCGAGGTATTCTAGGAGATCGAAGAGCGTTTCTTGCGTCTCTTCCGATGGTGCATGTTGCGGTGGAATTGGGAGGACAGCGGTCAAGGTGGATGGAGATGGTACATTCGATAGCGTGTGAGTTGTGGGCTGAAGAGGCTGCATGGTCGGGTGATATACCGCTATGGGCTGCTTTGAGGGATCGGGATCTGCAGGTATGAGTAGATTATTGAAGGCTGGGGCTGGAAGACTTGCCTTTGGGTTGATCTAGGTCCAGGAAGATCCAGTTCAAGCTTTTGTTCAGCACGTTCTTCGCTGTCCACAGGAGCCGTTCGAACCCTTTCTTGCCGTGAAGCATGGATGGGAGTCGGAGATTGATTTCGACGACTATTTGTTGTTAGTGCCATTCCGAGAATGCTCGCCCAGATAGAATGAGGAGCTAGGGCTAGACGTAGACTCACGAAATCTTGACTTGACGTGCTTGCGCCCACCAGATGGAACCGGAGTTCCTTGTAGACCAGCACGCTCGTAGACTTCTTTGGAGAGCTCCAGCCGTAGGACGCCTGTGTTGGGGCTCGTTAGAATAAAATTGCCTTCGTACACAGTCGCCGACGCAACCCACCTTCAATCAGAGAGATGACTTCGTCCACACCGGCTTCGCCTTCGGAAAGCATCATGATGTTACCTGCATGGGAAACTGTTAGTAAAGCAGGTCCAAGTATAGCGGAAAAGACCGACGTCTTGTGTTGTCCCCTGGTAAAATTACCTTGCTTGATATACTGGTTGAAAAATCCCCCCTGGAGGACATCTTCGAGTTTCATAATCACCTTCGCGTACGCAACGGGGGGTGTTGAAGCTTCGATGTGACGCCACAGGATGTCGTATAGCTCCTCTGGCAGAGCCATGTCAGCCGTTTGAACGAAGCCAACATCGCGAATCGTCCCCCATGGTGACTTTCTCGTAGGGGCTTGAGTGGGTGTAATGTATGGTGGTAGGACGCCAGAGGAGATATTGATCTTAGGAGATGGACCACCCGGGGCCGGAAACACTGCAGGCATACTTGTGGGAAACGACCTCGTGAATGACCGTGACTGACGTTGACAGTGTTGCAGCTCAGGGCCCATATACACCACGTTTTGAAGCAAGTGCGAGTCTGGAGCTGAAGATGGCATCGATTTTTACGCTTTGGAAGTAAGGTCGAGGCGCCCGCCGACATCAAATCGATTCTGTGGTTGGGATGCCCCGACGGCTCCATACCAGGTAGGCGCCCGCCACACCTAAAGTAATTTTCTACCAGGCTCCCGCCAGATGCCCGCTATGCCTAAAGTAATGTTCTTTTTCGTGGCGCGTTTGGTGCTTGCCAGGCCAAAGTGTTTTCCTATTAGGGATACGCGCTAGGTGCCCTCCACGCCTGAAATTGGGTTCAGGCTGTCCCAAAACTCCTGATCAAAGTGGCCTGCATCCAGCCAGGAGAAATCCAACACGCCCAGGTCATCCATTGCGCCTATAGGGTCCGTCAGTGTCAACGCACCAGGTTGCACCTGTGGCTCCGGTCTTTCACTTGTGGCAAGCACCTTGTCCAAAATATGCTGCAGCATTTTGCGGCCGCGGTCGGCAAGGGTATAGTTTCCATCGCCTGGGGCGTGAAACCACCTGAGATAAGATACAAAGACACAAAGGTTTTGCTTGATCCTGGCGTGCGACACAACTCGAACGTTAAGCTGCAGGAGCTCGAGTGCGAGTACTCCTGCGGCGGGAAGACCGTAAAGTACTACGATCCATCTCATACCTGCCCCTGATTGAGTTACCCCTCGTATGTTTCTGACCTCGAGTACAGCTATTAGGATTTCGTGCGCGAGCAATATGAGCTCGGTCGGATCGTCGTGAAGACGTCGCACTAGCATGCGCCGCAACATCTAAGAGATTCGTCAGAGATTGGTTCGGGACGGCAGCCGATTCCCCGAAGAAGTGGCACTGTCTAACCGCTGTTGCTCTCCAGTGTCAATAGATACCATGCCTTATTGTGATGTCGAAGTCCTTCGCACACAACGATATAGCGTAGGGTGTCGGTAGAGGGAAGGTCTTCAGCTCTACCGTATACCCCTACCAGCTTAGAGTCAAGCCACCCGCCCTTGCGAACCTGCTGGGCCTTGAACTTATATCATCGATGCACGCCATGTCAGACGGTGCCACTCCTTCTGTTATCAAGCTCGCTGGTCTCCTAGGATAAGTCTCGAAAAGAGTGGAATGACTTACGAATTCATTGTAGATGGTATCGAGATACTGCTTAACAGCCTGGTATGAAGGCCTAGAGTCGTGCGTATCCCACATCTCTGAAGAAAACTGAAGCCACGGAGGAAACGACGCGTACATCTCCTTGCTTTTGCGAATGACGCTCTGTGCCTTCTCTCGAAGGTCGTCCTGGGCTGGATTGAGACACAGTTCTAGGGTGTCTTCTCGAATAAAAGCTCCAAGGACGAATGCACGTATGAAAGCGGACAGACTCTCTTTTGTTGGCCCAGTGCGAGAACTCCAGCCAGTAGCACCAAGCTTGGAACATGCTTTGGCAAGCTCGTCACCCTCCAGGGCTAACTCGCTGTACTCTAAATCAAGGTGAACTTTGATGTTGCAATAACGTTTCGATATCCGTGGTGGTCGTCCAACGAATGTCGAGAGTATCTTGTCCATGGCATAAGCGTACCCTAGTCCTCTTCGCCGGACTTCCTTCAACCAGAAGGGCTCATCTGCTGTTTCCCGAGATTCGTGCAACCCATGAGCGAACACGGCCGTCGAGATGTCCCCAAGCCTGCGCCACACAGAATAGTGGGCATCTCCAAGCACTTGACTGGCATAAATGCAATTCTCAAGCATCAGCCAAAAGCCAAGGTCTGTGCCGGGGACTGCGTCGTTACAGAATGACACGCATATATCGCTGGCTTCAAGCAGGCGAAACATCAGTCGCTGCTTGTCTTGCGCCAGGTGTCCAACCAGCTCCGACTCTTCTGCATCGCAGTACACATTGAACAGGCTCAGACCACACATTATGAGGAAGACGCCGATCGTCTCCCAGCGAATATTGTTGCCCATATAGTACGAGGTAAAATCACGGAACCGAATGTTGGCTGGAAATCTGAGAGGTGCATCTGTGTTTGCATTCAAGAGATCGATCACTTTCACCCATTCACTCTTGCGAGTGAAGTCAAACTTTTCGAAGAGATCTTGTCTAATTGACTTCTGGCAGTCTTCCGTCCATGGTTCGAGTATGCTATATTCACGTTCGGCAGAAGGCCATCGGTCAATAATCTTCTCGAGGTGGGGGATATCCTTCAGAAGCTCGAGAACGAAGGTAGCATTCCCGTTGCTTCGGCGTTGAGTGCTTCTCCAAGATGCCGTGATTTGCTCGTGAAGCCGACCAGCATCAGTGCTTGTATCCACATCCGTGGTGGAGGGAGCCGGTATGTGTTCTTGGTTGTCACTGAACACCGCATTGAAGGCCGTTGAGCCGAGGAAACCAACATCATTGTCCGCCGTACGAATGCGTGGAGGGGGCACTTCAGAGTCAACAGATGTATGCGACAGGAGCACTCCAGAGTCAACGGGCGTATGCGAAGGGGTTGGGCGCTTTCGTTTCGGAGTTTGCAACCCTCTCATTGGTGCGGGATGATATATACATCGTTCCACGATGCCTCTGGACTGGCACCGGTGGCACGCCGGTTTTTCATGACCGCAGCGATGCTTGCTCAATCTACAAGGCTCGCAGGCGGCCTGAAGCCCATTCCGACGGAGGGAAGGGGATTTCTCAGTTGTAGCTGGCATCTTCGTGAGGGAAATTGAACACCGCTGATGTTGATCGACATGAAGAGGGTCCAAAGTATAACGGAGTTGGGATGGACGTTATGATCTGGCGCTCTCCTTGCGGATATCGAGATTGCCCGTGTTAATTTCGGAGTACTGACGTCTCGGATCTCGTCGTCACTCTACCTCGAAACGCCTGCTCTCTTGAAAAGTAGAACGGTCTGACAGGAAGTATATCGACCACATGGATTCGACGTCCAGCAGCCTCCATACCAGCGACTGCTTGAGAAGCAAGCCACTTGCAGTATATAGTTTAATAAAGTTTACGACCTTTCTCAAGTCAAGAATAGAAGCTGAACCGTTGTGTACGAGGTGTTTCGCATTGACAATAGGGAACGATATCTGTTAGCCTCAGGATTCGTACAGTGGCCTCACTGCCAGTGAAAATGTCACAATTGCCGATTTACACCAAAATGCCCTATCTTCTCACACACTTTTCGTAATAACTTTCAGTGTAAGGTAAGGATATATTATAGAGGAAAGATAGGGAATTACTCCAGCTTTATTATAGCTTAAGAGAAATTTTGAAAATCGTTTCTAAGAAAAAGTTATAAAGGGCGGAAAGAGAGCGAAATAGTAAAATTTCGCGCTTTTTAATTCTATATTACTTTTCTACTTTATAAGTCTTCTTGTCTTTAATATTTACTAATATATAGTAACCTTAAGTAATTTACTATCTATTTATATATAAATTATACTTACTCTACACTAAAGATTATTGTGTAAAGTGTGCGTAAAGAAAGGGTGTTTTGCGATAAAATAATCTCAACTGTGACAATTCTATCGGGGGCACTGTAGCAGTCAGGCCGGCCCTCTTTTCCTGGAAGCCGGCTAAGGAGGCTTGCCAGACTGACCGATTTGATCGTGTGTGCCGCGGAGTCGGAGCTCGGAGTGCTATGTTTTGAACGTGGTTCAATCGCCAGGCAGGTCTTGCATATATATACTCCCACCTGCTGTCGCAAAGGGAACAATGATTCTGCCATCGAAAGTAGAAGCAAGCTACCCGAACATTGCAGCCTATCCTTGAAAGCTGCATTCAATACCCATTCTCAGAAATAACCACGACCAAGTACTCCCCCAATTCCTCTACAAGTAAAGTGCCTATGGGGAAAGGACAGGACATCGTTGTGACTACGCACTCTCGTGGTAGTTCGATATCGGAGGAACACAAATGCAAGGACGATGCGAAAAAGTCGTTGTGGACAAGATTTGTGGACAGTATGTCTCTCCTGGCACTCTGACACGCAGCAAACTGATTGTCCACAGAGCTCAAGTCCATCGAACCTCCTGAGCCAGTCATACCAAACACGAACCGTACAACGATGCCTTCATGGGCAATGTAGTGATCATACCAATGCATCCCACCCGAGTGGTCCTTTTGTCAACGAAGACAGCGGAAGCTCAAGGTTTCCAATGAGGATTAAGAAACAACAATGGTTTCCTCATACATATAGGGCTGTTGGAGAGTCTTCGTAATAACGAACATAGAATACTTCAGACTCTCTGCCATTCTCGTTGGCTTTCTCTATTGTTTCACATGTAACCATGTTTGGAGTGTCGAGATCTGACGGTCAACATGGAAGAGACATACCAATATGTGCCGTGGCCGGTCGAACCTGTCACTGGACCTCGACAAGTTTCTCGCAAAGTCATTGATTTCCGATGTCAAGAAAGGAAATGCAACTTAGATCAGGGAATAGACGACCCTCTGTGTACAACGATCGTCGCAGTCAGGCGCCTTAGCCCTCTCAAATGATCAACATGTGCCGAGCGTGGAACGGCAACGACATCGAGAAGGCTGATTAAGAAATCGAACACTGATTGTAAGCAGCGAGGCGTCAATTGCCCTTCAGTACATGATTTTGTATGTACCAAGAGGTCGGCGGAGCTTTGGGCGTACATGTGATGCGGTATAAAGTAGGTACCGAGTAGAATATTTGTATAGCATTCATTATATTTATCGAATGGAGGGAGAGAACCGCCAGACAAACAGGCTCATTAGGCGCTGCAACGGCTTCTTGGCCGAGTTCCGGGGTCTGTGACAGGGCAGCATCAATCGCGTCCCAAAAGACTGCGACTGCGGGCCGGATTTCCCAGCCTGGGCCAATGTTCGCATGTCAACTCAACTTCAATCAACGAACACCTCAACTTGCGCAAACTCCGTGGACATTTCCTCCTACTGGACCCAGCTAGGCATTGACTTCTACAAGATGCCTGGCAAACATGAACGCCTTCCCAGACGACTACGTGGTCCATAATCTGCCTCTGATACTGCTCTCAGGCCTGGAAACACCAACCCAGTCTGAACAAGATGCTGTAGGCCGCACACACACGTTCTTGCAGGAGGGAGGATTTAGGATCAAGACAGACATCCCAGTCGTCCAAGGGCCATTGGCAGCGCAATTACTGGAAGCGTTCCGAAGCCAGGATGCATCCAGCATACCATGGCACTCGCAAGCACTGGCGGCGCGGAATGGAAGGAGTTTCAAAATCCTAAGTGTTGGAAGGGTAGGTCAGACTCCCGAGGAAGGCGATTCTCACAGGCCGCCTCACTGGTCTACGTGCCTCTGAAGCTGACGTCGAAATGTAGGTATACACTCTTCCTCCTCGTAAAGCACCACCACCGCCCCATTCTCCTCGCTTATCCGCCGCCGGTAACAACAGAAGCCCTCCACCTCCACTTGTGCTGCATTCTCCCTTGTCGCCATTGACGCCCATATCGCCATTATACCCTGACGGCCTTCTTTCCCCTCTCTGGATAACGAAGCATCAGTCTCGCCTGCCCTGCGCGTTTCTCACCTTCTTTACTCTGACCTCCAACCCTCACACGAGCTCTCTACAAGACAACAAGTTGAAGTCGGAGATAAACAATATTCGCAATGTTTTCTCTTCGACCAACTACAAGACTAGACTCGTGGTCGTTCTCCTTGGAGACGGCCCCATAAGCCCAGGTGACCTTGAGGATCGCTTCAGCACCGTTCGACGTGCAGCAGGGCTTGACGGGAAGAGCATTTATTTTCTGCCACACAATTCTTCGTCAGTTGAGGTGAAGGAGTTGGCTAATACTGTACTTTCAAATCTTCACTCCGCGTGTATAGACTATTACCGTGATCTTTCGAAACATTGCCGGCGAAAGCGCAATAGGAGTGTTGTACCACAACCGACTATACAGCCAGGCACATCCCATGTATTGTCCTTGCAAGGTTGGAACGTTCGGTACGAGTTCAAGCTAGGTGTACTTGCCGAGTTTCGACAAGAGATGGATGCAGCGTGTCGCAACTATGAGACTGCCTATGAAGGTCTTTTCGGTCCGGAACTTATCGATGCCATTGCTGTGTGGAGTCCACGCTTTAACGAAGCAAGGCAGCTGGCAGATATCATCGCTTTCCGCATACTACGATGTCTGCTGTGGACAGATCAGGGGTCGACAGCGGTGAAGGCCTGGACAAGCCATCGAGAAAAAGTCAGAGATCTCGTTAACCGGAGAGGGAAAGGAACCGAGAGTTACGGTTGGGAAGCGTGGCAATTTACTTGGGCAAAAGTGATGGCAGATTTGCTGTCAAGGTCCGCATATCCACAGCTAAATGTCAACGACCCTCAAGTCCCGGACTTGCTGCCAATTTTTGCTGCCACCGACAAAATCGCTCTTGGAGTCGATCGTGGTATCCCTTGGGAACAGCCACATCATGAGGGTTATTGGCTGGACATTGCACGAAAGCGCACGAGAGCACGTCGAGAATGGGCTCTTCAAATTCCCGAAGAAGACAGGCACTCACCTGGTCGCTCACCTGCATCTGTGGTTGCCAGCAAAGCTCACCTTTATGATACATACCTGGCACTTGAGCCGTATCGGGAGATACCTTCGGATGGGAGTCCGGGGTATGACTACCGACAGGATATCGTATCTACCATTCAGAGTGCTATCCAACACTTCGCGAAGCGAGGGCAACTACGGAAGATCGAGGTTCTGGAATTGGAAAAGGCTCTCGAGGAATTCCGAAACGGCTCTTGGACGGCAGCTGTTGTGATTCTTCAGGCTATATGGGCAAGCCCAAATTGGAGGCGTGCAGGATGGTGGAGACCCCTTCAGCAAGTTGGCTGGGCCCTCTTGGATTGCCTTGCACATGTGGACAGACCGGATTTGCTCATCCCGCTGCTGTGGGAGCTCTCCAATGTCGTTTTCGACAGGAAGTCCGGGACTGAATATGACTTGCGCAAGGCCATGGCGAGATTTGCAGAGAGTTCCGACCATCCCTCTGTCGCTATTGACATGGACGAAGCACTATCACCTATTGTCCCGGCATTCGTCTTTTCGAGTCACGACGTATGTGTCGGAGAGCCCGTAGAATGCCAGCTCACTGTACAAGCTCGAGCACAGGCTTGGCTGCCTCCTATTGAACTTACAGAGGTAAAGATCGTTTTCGAAGGGAGTCTGAAGCCAATCTACTTGGTTGCGGACGACAAGCATGCGTCCACAGCGACCTCTGCCGGTGCTGAATTCGCTATTGTCCCTCTTCAGGAATCATCAGTGTCGACGAACAAGAGGTCTTCCGCCGGAGGCATTGCGTCTTTGACAGGAAGCGCCAATCTCAGTATAGCTCCCGATCATATCAGGATCATTTCCCTACAGATTCTGCCGAGGGAAGCAGGGGAGCTCTCTGTTGCTTCCATAACGCTACTCTTCAATGACCAAAAATTCTCTCTGGCGGTCACCTCGTCAGACTTTGAGCATTCTGCAGCTCAATGGTGGGTGACGAAAAACGGCTTACCGTTCCCTCGGACTTTGGGACCGGAATCCAACGCGTTCAATAGTATAAATGTGCAACCCAAACCACCGAAAGTACGGATCGAACCGCAAGGTCTGCGGAAAGCATACTATACAAACGAAACTATCAACATTGGCTTTGATCTCCTGAATGAAGAAGATGAGGATGCTGTTGTGTCTGTCAAAGTCAAAATGACCAGTCCTGTCGAAGACTCGGCACGGATAAGGTGGCTCGAATCAACGGATGGCGATACTGAAATGTCAGAGACCGGCATTCTCACCTTGCCGGCGCAAGACCTGGGAACCATTCGACCCTCTGAACGGACGACGATTTCGATTTGTATAGATGAAACAGTCGCTCCCGTCGACCATGAGATCGAGATTATTGCAACATACAGCCTTGCTTCCGATCCTGAGACGATATTGACGAAGAACCTGGCTATCGACGTTGGAGTCATTCGGCCGTTTGAAGCAAACTATGAATTCATCCCACGCTTGGACAAAGACCCATGGCCGAGCTTCTTCGAAGCGCCAATGCCTGACACTGACTCGTCAACACCCTCGGGGCTGAGACATCAATATTCGGTAACATCAAATCTTTACTCGTTCGCTACAGAGCCATTAATGATCGAAGCCATTCTTCTAGTTGCCACCAAGATTTCTGGTGGTGCGGTGTGCTCGTCAAGTACTGGCATTGTGAGGAAGCAATCCGACACGAGTTCCACGGAAGACAAGACACCCATCTCCGCGGTAGTATATCCTGATCAGACTGAGATATTTGATTTCGACTTGACCGTGCAGAAACTCATCTTGGGTGACCGGCATACAGTGGGAGCAGATCTCGCATTAGAGATTGGGTGGCGTCGTCAGGATTCCGAGACAGTTAACAGCACAGTGCTCGAAGTGCCTAAGTTGGTAGCGGCCATGTCGGAACCAAGGGTGATGCTCACTATCTCCAAGGCAGGACCATTGGGGTCATCAGAGTTCTCAGCATATCACCTGCACTTCATGATTGAGAACCCAAGTATGCATTTTCTCACCTTCAATGTCTCAATGGATGCCAGTGAGGACTTTGCCTTCAGTGGCCCCAAAGCTTGTTCTCTGAGCTTGGTTCCGATCAGTAGGCAGTCGGTGACTTACCGCATTCTGCCCAACAAGAAGGATGAATGGATTGGAGTTCATTTCAACGTGGTTGATGCATACTTTGGCCAGACGCTGAAAGTCTTGCCAGGAGGCTCTGACGTGAAGGTTGATAAGAAAGGAAACGTCTTGGTCAAAGTATAGACATCAGATAGCCCGAAGAGTCTTAGATGTCAGAGGTGAGGATGAAATATCACTTCCTTGACCCGCTCTTCCATCTCAATTTCTCGGTGTTCTTTAAGTGGCGACTATCGCCGCTATGCGGCTACAAAACTGCTGCGTCATGCTTGGCGTGAATTCCTTCTTGAAGTTAATATGAGGCCCAACTAGTTGGAGAAACATTTCTCTACCTTCGCTATTCTACCGACATACCGAGGAGAAAAGAGCAATCACAAACTCGTTCATCATCATGGAAAAAATTCAGAACTTCATTGCTAGCGTGACTGGTCAGGAGAAGGTCGGCTTCTTCGACTCGGCCACCCCCTCATTCTATGGTATTGTTTGACCCGAGAAAGTGGTTACCGGAAGGTGCACTGACTAGATCCAGTTGCCGCAGCAGCTATTGCGTTCAATCCCATATTTTGGAAGTAGGTGATGATGACAGTGTAGGGAATACTGGTACTGACTGAAGCAGCATCGTCGCCCGACAAGGTTAGTATCCGGGTGTCCTACTCGGTGCTCTACCCTGACAATCGAACAGAATACAGGACTCACTTTCTGACCAAAATCTTCCGTTCTCCCTATTACGGCTGCTATGCACTGGCTTTGACAATATTCTCTCTCGGCATCTTCCGCGACTCCTTGTACAAGGCAGCACTTGATGAGCAACCGCTGTATCCACCCCTGCATCAACCAGCCTTGGGTGCATTGTTGTTCCTCGCTGGCAACGTCCTTGTTCTGTCAAGTATGTGGGCTCTGGGAGTTACCGGCACATATTTGGGCGACTATTTCGGCATCTTGATGGACTCTAAAGTCGAGGGATTTCCGTTCAACGTCACGGGAGCGCCTATGTACTGGGGCAGCACCCTGTCCTTTTTGGGCACAGCACTCTACACGGGCCGAGTTGCCGGTGTGTTGCTCACCCTCGAAGTGTTTGTGATGTACTACCTTGCACTACAATATGAAGAGTAAGTGTCAACCTCTGGATTGGAATTGGATTGATGTGATGTTATGTTGGAGGTTTCTGACTTCGCCTATAGTCCATTCACTGCCGAGATCTACGCAAAGAAGGACGCCCGACCGGTCACTCGATCTCAAACGAAGGAACGCAAGAAGGCGTGAACGGACAGATTTACAGGACCAATATAGATCTTCAGGATCAGACCTTATGGACGGTCCCATATGGTGGACGGCGTTCGAGCCATCATAAGCTGAGGTGGTGCCATTTTGAGCGTGTCTTTCAACAGAGCGTGCTTTTGAGGCCAGGACATGCGTTCGACGTCTGTCATGAGGGCAGAAGAACTCCCAGGGCATTTAACAAGCTGGGAGGCTTCGAGGCTGAATTTCAACACTGGAAAGGGTCTTTGCCCGAGTCTTGGCTTGCGTAGTTGGAGAGAGGCAAAGAAACATGAATCAATCACTCCGCTCCAAACCATGTTGCATGATTCGGCCCAGTTTCGCGTTGCAGTCACTTCTTCGGATGAGGGTGCAACATCTTGAACTCCCCTCAATCTTCCATTCTTCCACCATTAAACATGTTCTCTAGCGACGCCATGGTTTCCGCAGACTGTCTGTGATCCTGACTATCAACTTTCCCTGCCCAATATCACGCACACATCGTCCCAACTCGAACTGCGCCCTCGAGCACGATCCTTGACAGATCATCACACCCAGCCTCCAATCGCTCTCCGTCTACAACATGCCACCGCAACACGTAGAGATCGCAGAGACAATCGCGGCTCTGAAAAGGGCTCTGCGACGTGAAAAAGAAGGTAATATACCCGGAAGGGAATCATGGGCACCGCAATGTGTGTGCTAACCCGACCGTTGCAACCAGCTCCCGCAGACCAATCCATTTCAGCAGCGACGAACCGGGGAAATAAACTGAAAAAGGGTGCAAATCAAGTTCACGCTGGTGCTCTACCCTATGCATATGGTCCAAGCGGTTACAAACAGGTTAGTCCTTTTCGCCTTCCGCTTGTTGGATGGTTGAGGCTAACTGCGTCCACAGAAGATCGAACATGCAGGATACACGAGATACATTCTAGACCGCAAGCCAAAACGCTACAATGAATATGGAGACGAACTGGAAGACAGCGAAAGCGATACCGAGGCAGATGCCGACGCTGAGGACGAGAATCCTTACGCCGGTATTAGGTTGGAAGGTGAGCTCTTCCTTGCGCCTAGTGATAGCGTTGAAAGCACTCTAACAAGCTGCAGAACTTCTCTGTCCACTGAAGCATCCTGCCGAACTGGCAACCCACCCTACCTTATCTCTACCCTTCCTTGACAGTGCCCTACCTGATATGGTTCGATCGATAGAGGACAAACTTCGCCAGGAGAGGGCCAACCTGTGGCGGGCCAAGAGTCTCAATAGACAATTCATGGGCGATGAACCATGGCTTCCATGTGCCAGTGTTGAGGGCCCCGACGATTGGGACATGTTCGCGCCCAAGCCAAAGGTGCTCGCGCAACAGGCAGGCAAAAAGAGGAAGCGAGATAGTGACAAAGACATCACCCAAAACGGTGTCAATGGGCATGACTATGCTCATGAGGATGAGCATCCACAGAATAAAGAAACTGCACCTGAATCCCAGGCGGAGAATGCCGAGGATGCGCAGGTCGATGGTCAGGACAACCACGGAGAAAAGACCGACCCTGAGATCGAACAGGAAACAAAAGACCAGCCAGATCCGAATGATGGTGACCTGCCTACCGCAAATGGCGTTCACGCCGAGAACCATACCGAAGTCCTCGACGTCGAGAATGGAAACGTAAACAACGAAGAGAATGGAGAACAGAACCTTGGAGAAGACACGGCCGAAAAGATGGAGGTGGATGAAGGAGACGACAACACCGCATCTGACGAAGAAGCACCACAGCCAACGCGAAGGATTACACGTGCCCTAGCAGCCGAGAACAATGTCTTCAACACGGCAAGTCCTCCCTTGTCACCACATTCCACAGCCTCAACCATCGACTCGTCCCTACTACAAATCGACCCGATGTTCCTCCTGCCTCCCTCGTTCGCCCCCAACAACCGAGCACCGCGAAGTCTCTTTCGTTTCGGACTGCCTGTTGAGGAGTTTATCGAGACGCGACGGCTTCTGACCGTGTACATTCAAAAACAAGAAGAGAGCGTCCGAGGATACGAAGCTGTTCTGGGCAAGCTCATCAAGGCCAAGAGACTGCGGGACAAGGTTTGGGAATGGTGCAAGACAGAAGGTCATGTTGGTGAGTGGTCGGACGGAGAGGACTGGGTCGATGCCGAGGCTTGGGGTCTGGCTCCTGAAGAACTCAAAAAGGGTAAAGATGAAGAAGAAGTCGAGGGTCAGGAAGAGACAGGCAGAAAGGGCAAGAGGAGAAGACGAGACTAGAAATCTCGACAACAAACTGTGACTCCTGCGAAGGATAGGTCTTTGACAGGAAGGTACCAGCTTCGGCCTGGCACGATGACATGAAGTTCTAGCGCTATCACGAATTTTTATTGATGCACAAAAACATGGTTCTGGTATTCCGGTTTCGTGGTTCGCCTCCACTGGTCATGGTTTTCAACGCCGTACGCCGTCTTCTCATCTGAACATGCCCGTGCCGTCCAGGTAACTCACCCCAAGAAACACTTCGTCTTGAGTCAGCTCATGAGTGCGACCTTGCTTGAACTTTTCAAGTATCGACATCGCGTACTCTTTCGTCGGTAATTCTTTGCGCCCTTTTTCTTCGTCAGTCTCATTGGACGGGTCGTTGCGAAGGACTGGACTATTGCGCACCCGCTGCCGGGCCCTGTCCCTGGAGTCCCACACCCTCATCATGTTCCGTGGTAGAAGTCGTAGTCGTGCCCATCGCCATCTTGGAGTCTTCATCCGGTTGCGTCGCAGCGTCTCCTCCTTCGCCATCACTGCTCTCGGCATCCTCGATGAACAATTGCGCCGTCTCGGCCACGACGCCAGCCTCCTTGAGCCGCGCGCGCATCTTCCGCCGCTCCTCGTCCTGCCACCTAGCCAGGGCTCCTGCAGCGTGGACTCGGAAACCAAAGACCTTGGGCTCGTATCGACGGCGCGACTTCACGGGGACGAGCGCGGGATAGACTTGGAACAGGATATTGTGGAAACTGCTGCCAAAGTATGCGCCGTCGATGGCCGCGTGGCGTGATGATTTGGGGTTGTAGATGTCCTCGCATTTGGCGCAGAAGAGTTTCACGGTTTTGAGGCCGGGGTTGTCGGACGGACCGAATGGAAGAAGGGGGTGAGAATCACACATGACGCGTGGACACCGGCCGAAATCGCATTTCTTGAATTTGTCGACCATTTTGGCCAGACCGCGGGTGGTGACGATGTAGCGGGCGTGCACGAGGCCGTACAGGTGTCGGGCGGATTTCTCGATGGTTTCGCGCATGTCGTCTTCACAGTCGAGGTCGAAAACGTCGGTGATGAGATCGAGAGCGTGTTGGTAGTAGTGGACTTCGGTGTTGAGACCGGTAAGATTGAAGCGGTCGGTGATGTACTCCTCGTCGATTTCGCAGAAGTATTCATTGCCGCGGGATGAGATGAACTGTTTGGCGAAATGTGTTAGTTTTTGGGGGTTTGGTTTTGAGGAGGTTTGATGAATGTAGAGTGATGTGAGTAATATGCACAAAGCTGCACTGCCTGCCAGGGCCACTGGGAGATCCATGTTGGGCGATGGGAAGGGAGATAGAGAGGCTTTGTCTTGCTTGGTGTGTACACGGTGGTGTTTTCAAGGCTTTTGTCCAGCACTATTTGCCCTCACATCGCCGCGACGATAGGCGGACACCACGGTTGCAACAGTATACGTTTGATGCGTCCATGCCGCGCGCGAGCTCTCCAGCAGCATAACTCAAAACAGTCGCGCGATTTTTTGAACACCGGATGAAAGGAAAGCTGAACATACCCAGTCTCGCCAGTAACTCGTGTAGTCACTGTCGGTCTCTGATTGAAAGTCCTCCATCATGGCGGTCTCATTGATCGGCTATACTCTCGCGCGACGGTCTCATGCAAGATGGAAAGCCTTGCGACGGCGTCGACAGGTTAGTGAGGTTGAGAAGTACTCCCAATTGCGGCGTGTTGTGGTCGCAGTAGTTATGAATGAAGAAAGTGAAACGACTGTGAATGGAGGTGGTGAAAGAAGTGATATCGCCTATAGCGCGGTATCGATAATGCTTCGCCGTATCTACTGCGGTGAAGCACGCGTACCTAGGTACTCACGACCTGTGACTTCAATTCATATTTTGATTTTTATGACCTAGCTACATAACATTCGACGTATCTCAATCCAATCCAGCTTCTTGTTCTAGCGGATCCTACTATTTCTCCGACGCGTCCTTCGCTTCAATGGCGCCAGTTATTTCTGATACTTGACCCTGCTCCTCCGGAATCTCTGGGTCGCCATCGGCACCCTTGGACGAGGTGGGCTTCTTCGCTTTGATGCTCTTCCACTCAACGGCCAATGCAGGAATGATCATGGCAGCGCCGAGAGCCGCGGCCAAAATGAAGACCCGAGTAAGAGCATAGCTATACGCGTCGATGACTGTCTTCAGCTCGCTCGCAGGCACTATGTGGCGCAGAGCAGTGGCGCCAGTGTTGATGATGACCTGAGTGTCAAGTCCTGCTATTCCAGAGAGACTGTCGACAAGCTGGTTCGAGAAGATATTCTGGCCAACTGCGATAAAGACTGCCCCGCCGAGCTGTTGCATGAAGAATGTAAATGCCATGCCAAGTGGAACATCCGCTCGTGGCAAGACTTTCTGAGGTGCCATCGTGGAGGTCTGGAAGCCCGCGCCGATGCCAAAGCCATAGAGAACTTGGTACCCTAACCAGTGGTTGGCGCCGGCGCTTGGTGTGAGGTTTGACAGCATACCGGCGCCGACTGCGGTGAGCGGAGCGGCCAGCAACATGGGCGGGACGTAGTAGCCCACTTTCTCAGTGAAAACGGCTCCGACGATGCCGAAGAGGACAAAAGATATGACAAGGGCAATGGTACGGATCCCCGCTTGCTCTGCGGATTTGCCCTGCGCCGCTTGGAACCAGACGGTCAGATAATAGATGACAGCCATCATGCTTCCCGAGATGAGTAGCATAAACACCAAGCTGCCACCAACAGAGCGGTTCAGGACGACGCGGGTGGGAGCCATGGCGGTCTTCGGCGTCACCGCTTCGACAACGAGAAATGCGATGAACGTGACGGCAAATGTGACGAGGAGGCCGATAATTTTAGGTGCTGACCAGGGATAGGTCGATCCACCCCATTGAAGAGCCAGGATGAGACAGACCATAGATGGAACGAAGAAGAGAAGCCCAAGCGGGTCGAGACGTTTGGCTTGATCGAGGATAGACAATTTCTCGTGCAGCGGTGACTCGATATGCAGGAATAGTAGAATGGCGAAGATGGTGAAGCCGCCCAACGGTAAGTTGATGTAGAAGCACCACCTCCACGTCAAATTGCTAAGAGAGGTAAGTGGAAAGGACAGACCCGGGATGGGAGTTGATTTACCTATCATCGGTGAAAGTGCCGCCGACCAAGGGTCCCAATACTGATGAGATACCAAAGACCATACCGAACACAGCAGTGAACGTGGGCCGTCGTCGGAGCGGCACTAGTGGAATGAGGATCATGATCCCACCAGAGAAGACGCCAGCGGCTCCCATTCCCGCAACCGCACGTCCAGCGATGAATGCCGAGGAACTAGGAGCGGCGCCACACAGGGCAGAGCCGATCTCGAAGATGACAAGGAAGAGAAGGAAGACCCATTTTGTCGGATAAAGTTGGTATATGCGGCCGGAGAGGGGGTTGAAAATGGCTGCGGTCATCATATACGCGCTGCCATACCAGCCGATGTCCTCGATGGAGTGGAACTCGTTGGTGATGCTTGGAATGGCCGTGGCAATGATCATTCTATCTAGAGCCACGAGAAAGATGGATATGTACATGCCAATGATGACGAGCCAGAACTTGAGGGACTTGGGCTTGAAGTTATTCTCGGCATCTGCATACTCTTCGTCCTCACTCGGGAGCTGTGGCTTGTTTGCCGCCTCATGGGCGGATGGGATAGAATCTGTAGGAGACATTGAGTGAGATTGGAGTGTGCACAACGAGTCGTCGATCTTACCATGTTGTCTGTTCAGCGCGAGCTCTTCTTTATACTTGTATGGAGTCGGATATGGGCAGTCGTGGAAGTCCTACAAGCCCGAGTAAGGAGGTCGTCGTTCTCTTCGGGAGTTGACAAAGTCCGAGCTTGGCGGGATGACGGCCTGATGGCCCTTAGGGTACCTATCAGGCTACCACCTTGCCGTTCGGGCCTTTCATGAGTCCCGGTCACCACCCTCTACATCTTCATCTTCCTTTTGCAGCGCTTTCATTCATACAGCCTGCATTTCTGCACATGGCGAATGAAGATGTCCACAATGGAGGACAACTCTCCAGCGATCTCCACTCCTCCAGCATCCGCGCGGACTGTTGTTAAGCCGCAGCGTGTTCTGGCCTGCGTGCTTTGTCAACAAAGGAAGGTCCGTTGTGACCGCAGATTTCCATGCGCCAACTGTGTCAAATCCAGCGCGCAATGTGTGCCAGCAACCCTGGTCCCACGTCAGCGGCGTAGAAGGGTCCCCGAGAGAGAGCTTCTGGAGCGCCTTCGCCGCTATGAAACTCTGCTTCGCCAGAATAAAATTGACTTTGAACCTCTGCACACGTCTACTGCAGAGAAGACATCCCCTAATGAGGACATCAAAAGCATTGACTCCCCGGACGATGGGCACTCAGAAGAAAATACCCTCACCCCAGATCAGCCGGCAACAGGCAAGGCACCTGCCAAGGCTGAAACAGTATTCGAAGCCAGGTGACGCTCCCTGTGATGACCAAGTCCACCAGATGACTGACCGCCTTCCAGAAACTACTGGCACACCATGAGACAGCGTGTAGGCCAAGTGATTACACCTGAGACTGGATGCCACTGACAAATAGGACTAGGCTCGAGACCATGAGGATGAGGATGAGGATGACGACGACGATCACGATGACAACGAAAGCCGCCTCCCTCACGATGCTGTGCGTGAGGAAGTGATCAAAAGGGTCTTTGACCAGCTGTATCAGAGTAACGACCACCTTCTCTTTGGCTCACGCACGAGCAACGTAAATCTTCTCACCTTGCACCCCAGCCCAAGCCAGATCTTCAGGCTCTGGCAGATTTACCTCGACAATGTCAACCCTTTGCTCAAAGTCACGCACACACCAACATTGCAAGCACGCATCATCGATGCCGCCGGAAATCTCTCCAACATTGATCCCACATTGGAAGCACTCATGTTCAGCATATACTGCGTATCTGTTCCCAGCCTTGTCGAAGACGAATGTCGCACTTTGTTTGGCTCATCAAGAACAGATCTCCTGACGAGTTACCAGTTCGGCTGTCAACAAGCTCTGATGAACTGTGGGGTCTTACGGTCCAGTGAGGTCGATTCCTTGACAGCACTCTTTCTCTACCTGGTAAGCACGCCAGTTTGCCGTCCTGAACACTATCCTCTGACTGAGTCTAGGTTTCCGTCCGACGAGTTACCGATCCTCGATCTCTGTCCTCGACGCTCGGCGTCGCGATTCGCATTGCCCAACGCTTGAGCATTCAGAATGAGTCAACCAATGCCAAATGTGCCGCCCTCGAAGCGGAGATGCGCCGCAGACTCTGGTGGTCACTGGTCATGTTCGACAATCGTATCGGCGAAATGTCCGATCTGAAGTCCTCCATGTTGGCTCCCACCTGGGCATGCTGCGTTCCTCTGAACATCAACGATTCTGATATCAGTCCGGAGATGAAAATCCCACCAGCTGTATACGACAAACCCACCGATTCCATATTTGTCGTGGTGCGTAGCGAGATTGCCGACTTCGTTCGCCATAGCTCCTTCCACCTCGACTTCACCAACCCTTCCTTGAAGGCTGTCGCAGGTCTGAACACAGCGCACGACCCAGTGGGAGAACACCGCCAGCTGGCCACCCTGGAAAAGAGCATAGAGGACAAATACCTTCAATTCTGCAACCCAGAGAATCCACTCCACTTTATGACGATCTGGTCAACGCGAGGTCACTTCGCGAAATGCCATCTCATGGTATACTACGCTAGGTTTTCGTTTTCCTCCGTGCAGGAAACGGACGCGCAACGTAACCACGCTTTTTCGCTCGCGCTGCACATGCTAGAGTGTGACACGAGGCTCATGGCTTCACCACTTATCAAAGGATATCACTGGCTTCTTCAGATGTATTTCCCTTTCTTTGCGTACATCCATATTGTTCAAGACCTGAAAAGACAGCCTATGACGGCACTTGCCGACAGAGCATGGGAGATCATGAGCGACAACTACAATGGTCGCTTCACGGTCATGGAACAGGACGACCAGATCTTTGCTCGGGTCTTCGCTCGGGTCGTCCTACAGGCCTGGGAGGCTCGTCAAGCGGCGTTCAATGAGCGCGATCAGTCGCTGGATACCCCACGGATTGTATCGAAGATTCAACAGGAACCCCCACGGATTGTGGTGAATATTCAACAGAGACTGGCACAGATCGCTGCAAATTCACAGAACAGCACGGCGGACCTGCAGAACGATATCGGAGGGATGAACCTCGACGATCTACCCATGGCTATGCCAGGTTTTGGTGGCAATGGCGTGCCATACACCCCTAGCTGGCCGGGCTACGCAGGACCTCCAGCTTTGGGAACATACCCTGACCTATTCGGACAGGCTACAATGGATGTCGACGTGAACCCTATTGACTGGACCTCAATGAATTGGAGAGCAATGCAGGGCCCGCCTTGGTAATACTGCTATACTCATAGACTCACGAGTGCCTTATTCTTGATAATGAGAACTGTTCCACCAAGACTGCTTCCACCAGCCAGGTCTGCCACCAACTGGTTGAATCTAGTTCCTCCTTCGCTGGCAAGGTTTGTAACAAGTCCCGATGACCCTGTCGCCTGATTGTCCCACATCTGACCAGTCTGAGCAAACTGCCGTCCACTCTTCAGCGATGCAGGGATGATTGTTGCAAGAGCTGAGACCAACGCGTCGGAAACTTGCGTTGGCTGGAGACGTTGTGTAGTCTGTTGCTGGCTGCTACTCCCAGACTGTCATGTATCCTTTCAGATCTCCTCAACACCCGGCATAGGTGAGCACAAGGTGAAAACATTAGGGAATTCCAGACTCTCATGCCCAGTGGTACAGTCATCCGGCAATGGCCAGCCTTCCAGCGGCGGATCAAAATCATTCAATACTTCCTCAGTATGATTTTGACGCCCAACCTGAGCAAACTGTCCGATCTCCAAGTCAGACTCGTCCTCGATCTCGTGAACGTCTTCATTTGCGGTTTGGATGCGCTTGATACATTGCTTGCTTCGTGCATCGTAGAACCACCCGGATTTTGTAAGCGCTTTTTCCCATGTGGACCATATAGGTAGGCCCCGTACATAGTCGCTTGGAACAAGCCCATCTCTATCTTTCAAGTTCGGATCACATCCGACCTCGAACAGGAAAAGCAGTGTGGAGTACACCCGGGGCTCATCGCTACGTGGCCAGTATCCTGAGCAATAAATATCGCAATAATCATCACTTCTCAAGTCATCAATCCACTTATGCCAGTCGATGTCCTTTGCCGTCGGTTGTTTGTCATCATCCGTCAGGACGGCATCCTCAAGTCGCTGGCCCCCAACATTGTTCTTGCCAAAGGCAGATAGACGCAAAGCATTCTCTTGTTTTGAATTTTCCTTGAGGACTTGTAAGCGGTATTGGAAACTTGCGTGCAAGATCGCAGAATGAAATGCTCCCCTTCCAAAATTGTCGACCGCAGCCAAGTCCACTTTGTACGACACTAAAGCCCTCGGCAGCGCAGCCGTAGACCATGGCATGACGACTGCAAACAGGAAGGGCGTCTGTCCCGTGTTGTTTCTTTCGTCTTTGTCAAGGCCATTTCCTATGAGCGATGCGATGGCTTCCATGTACTCTGCTGACTTGAGGCTCGGTTGCCAAGCTATCTCGAACAGTGGGCTAAGTGAATCGGGGTCACCCGATGTGCACAAATTGATCTCGCAGCCGTGGTCAAAAGCGATATTTGTTAGTCGGATGCATGCCGCGGTTTCATCAAAGCAATCTTCGTCAGTCGTTCGGGCACAAAGCCGGTGGCACCTATCAGTAGACCAACGTTGCCATATGGCAGAGATTAGATCGATTGTGTTGTCCCAGCTGTGTAAATATTAGTACTCTGGGTGCATCGAAAAGACGAGGGTATGATTTACTCATACGCAGTACAGCAATGCCAAACGTCTGCGCCTCCACGCAACAACAACTCGAAAAGCTCAGCGGCTCCTGGATAAATCGCGTACTGGAATAACGTCAGTAGAAAGCACGTTATCACTCCCCAGAGCCTTCTTACAGAGAGTAATGAATGGCCGTCAGGGTTGACATCTGTGGGTGACGCTTTTCTTGTCTCGAAGAGTTCTCTTACCCCCCTGAGATCGTTCTTTTTCACCAAACGGATAATCTCAGCGTCCCACGGCACGACGTTGAAAGCCCTGATTGATGGAGGAATAGAAGCTCGGAACCTGGTGTCGAAAGCTCGGCCGATCGTAATTGAAAGGCCAGTACTGTGCCATTGTGGGTTCGGAACATATGTCATACTGACCATTTCTGTCATGCCTCTGCCTTCATTTTCGTGGCTTTTGAAGGCACGGTATAGTCCTGCGCGAAAGACATCACCGTCAGAATTGAATATGCGCGGCCTTATCTCGAGCATGCCATCTGCCTTTCTCACGAAAGATCTGTCCGTATCCTCAGTTGACATACATAGCAACTGATCGTCTTCTGGAGCGTCGGCTTTGCCAGCATGCCATTGTCTGTGCTGGCCTGCTATTTTCTTCTCGGCTCCTCGGTAAGCCCATCGCAAGACCACACGTAGTGCATCTAGTACCCAGTCGCTACTGAGAGCTTTTCGAAGTTGGTGATGCAATCTGCCATAGCATCTAAAAGTGAGGGGACTGTTATTATCGTTGAAACCTGTGAAGACATGGTTTCGGATCTTTTGTAGAGGTATAATGATCGTCTCGGGGTCTATGGTAGGTAAACATGTAGAAGCCAGGCTCAGGCGGCAGGAAGCAGTTGGATTTGACTGAGGCATGAACGCCGCAACCGGAAAAGGGGTCGGCGTGGACGTGGACAATGTATCGAACACCTCGGAGAAGGCTTCCCCACTCGATTGTTCGAGCATCATCGCCGTGGACGACGATTGAAAGTCTGGCAGAGAATGGTGGAAAGTCTCCAGGAGAGCGGTTGACCTTCCAAGGGCATTCTGGGACATGATCTCACGTTCAAGCGAGCCTGCTGGCACGTTTTCTAGGCTGAGAGCATGGTAGAATGTTGGGGCGGGACCCCCAGTATCGAGCATATTCAGCAAGCCAACAGCAGCGGTTTGTAGAGGTGATCCCAACATCCCTGTAGTTGTCTCTTGCTGCGTTCGAGGCATGGGAAGAAATGTTGATATTGATGCCTCTCCCCATCCGCTTACCGGCAATGATTGAATCGGTAAGATGTCTCCTGCGGGAAGATGGTTAAAGTCGATTGACTTCCCACTTATAGACTGCAGCCGTGGCTTTGAGGTCCTGGGCCTGTTCTTGGGTATTTTCCATTTTGTCTCGAACAAGTATTTGACTTGCTTCTCCCTATGCGCCAAGTTAGCTCATGGGCTGTTGATAAGGCTGAGAAAGGCTAGAGCATGTGCCATATTCAGTAACCCAATATTGTTTCCAGCGTTAGTCTTACGTGATGTTCAGCCCGTCTTCGTCGTGCATGATTTGGACCACTTCTTTCTTGGTTTTTTTCTCCTCGATGTACAGGCGCCTGAGCTTGGGTTTGTGTTGTATCCAGTCGGCATCTGTTGTACGTCGCTTCTTTGGCGTTGATGGTGGCCCACCAATTCTAGACAGTCTCTTATTTCCCGTTGTGGGTGCCATACTGCTTGACCGTTGTATGGAATGTCAGTGCGATATTGAGAAGGTGGACGCAAGAAATTTTCGAATAAGGCTGCGTGATCCTATGTTAAATCTTCGGGTGACTTGGGCAGCATGTCGGCAGCTCGTAACGCTGCCGTGCCGTGCACTGCCAGGGGTCTCTGAAAAGGTACACAGTGAAGCCAATGGAAACAAAGGTCCACGTAGAGGCCGACTTGCGCCAGACCAGTGGCAGCCTGAATGACGGTAAGTGCAACAGGTTTGGGGTTAAACAGGCATCGAATCAAGAACGAATGAGGGAAAAGTCCATAAGGGGGCCAATGAAACATCGATGATGTTTTGGGCGGATTGACCCAATCACAGGAAAAAGGACATAGCGTGAGCGAATCAGCATGGATGTACCATGCCGGCCATCAAATGAATACATATGGTGTATGCAATTTGAAAAAGACCACCCAGAAGGACCAGAGTGAGGGCTAGAAGACAGACCGCAAGAGGGACCACAAGAAAGACCATAACAATGTCTCCCCATGGTATAAAGATGCGAGCAGATTTCGCTGAAGACTCTCGTGAGACACACCAGACACCACCGGTGCAGATACTCAGGTCAAGGACTACACCACTCTACAACTGTAGGCGCTGCCTTTCATTTTCCGACCACTCAGGCTAACCCCTCGAAGGAAGGATCATGAGTACTCGACAGACCAAAGCGACAGAAAGAGCTCAGAGGCTTGCAGCCTTCATGGAAGACAAGGGCACAGGAGCGATTGTGCAATCGGTAGGTGGCCCTTCCTTGAGTGATTATGTTGGCATGTGTAGGGACCAAGTCTGACAACGCCGCACCACAGGATCACGGCAACAGCGGAAACTCAAAATCAAATCCAAAACAGGGTGGGGAAGAGGCTGTCCGCCAACTTGAGCGAACCATGGACCATATGACCAACAAAAGGCTCGTCCAGGAGGCGCAGGAGGCTTGGGAGACAACGAAGATGGATGGAGTGTCTTGACAGTCCAGAGAGGTGAGTTCATGGATCATGTCGCCGATGGAATGTCGCCCAGAAGGCGAAGAAGGCTTGGTAGACAAAAACGTTGGATGAACTGTGATGAACACCAGACACAAGACATGTTGCCTGAATGTTGCTTCTCAGGCGCTGAACTCGTCCTTGTTCTCCTCCACCCATTGCTTGAACCCGGTGGGCGCTTTACCGCCATACTTCTGGATATTGGCAACCGCCTCTTGATACTTAGGTCCCTCAAGACCATCGCTCTTCCCGAGTTCCGCTCTCTTCTTGAGCAAGGCAGCCATTTTCCGGGCAAGAGGCTCTGGTAAATGCGATGTCGTCGTGTAGAATTCCACAGCACCTTCCTCATCAAGGCGCGTGATTCTGGCATCCTTGCCAATCACCCTGCCAATAGTCTCAATAGCATCACCTTGGGAGATAACATCGGGCCCATACAGTAAGATCCAGTTCTTCCCGTTATTCTCTTGAATAACAGCTGGCCCTCTCGCGAGCACCGATCCACTGACCCGACCGATATCCTCGTCTGAGATCCAGTCAAACAGCGCTTCGGGATAAGGAGTTTTTATGTCGCCATTTTTGAACATGTCCTTCCACCTCAATGAATTGGTAGCAAAGGTTCCCGGTCGGACGGCGACGTAGCCGGCTGGTCCATATACTTCTTGCAGCACAGACTCTACCTTTCCATGCGCCAATGCGATAAAGTTGATGTTGTCTGGTGAAAGGCTGGTCAAGTCTTCCGGAACGGTGTAACTGCTGAGGAAGACAACGAACTCAATGCCCGCAGACTTGAGTGCCGTGATGCTAGACCTCATATGGTCCTGCGCCATGAACATCAGGTAGATGAAGGCGCGTTTTGCTCCGGTCTTGGCGACGGCCTCTTCGATTGTTTCCGGCTTCATGAGGTCGGCGTAGACCCTCTCGAAACCACACTCTTTCTCTTGATCTGAATTGAAACCAGGAATGGCCTTCTCGGTATCGCGCATTGCCAGAAAGACTTTGGCACCGTGCTCATGAGCAGCTCGGACAGTCGCCGAGCCAACACGGCCAGTTGGCCCGAAGATGATGACGGGATCCTTGGATGCCATGGTGAATGCTTCCTCTTGTATACAGGGGGTCCTCTTTTGCCGTCGTGAATTGTTGCTAGAAATATGCTGGGTGTCGGATTTCTTCCATCATATAGTCTGTCCGTTCGGGCATATGTGAGGCTGTCTTAACGCCGGAATCCATGGTCCTTTATTTCCGTGACACGCATCGTCATTCATTGACCCGCAAGCTCCAGAAAAGCAGCGTGATGGCTTCAACGTGCTTGTAGCAATTGTGGGCATCATATTAGGTGAGAAGGAAACAAACATATGTGATGACAGCGACAAGAACTAAGTCACCGTTTTCGGCGCCGAAGTGACCTTTTCTGTCCGTCACCTTCACCTCTAGTGGCCACCATCAACGATGAGGACAACAGGTATATGCGCTCATTTGTCCTGTCGGCAGGTCCTACTCTCATTTGAGATACGGTGTCGTTGAACTTACGAAGGAGGTTGAGAGGAGCGCAACCCCTTTTATGGCATCTTCTGGAACTGATCTTCGGCACATGCTCCACCCCAAATCATTCAATTATCAGGCCATCCGAGCATGTGAAAAACTGCTAAACTAACGTGATTACTCTCCGTACGGAGTTACATTCCGGGCCGTTCCCCGGTAGAGGCGGCGGATCGATCAACCAGTCAAATAGCAGGAAACACGCCGAGGTACGTGCGTTTCAGACCCGCGTATTTCGTATTGAGAAGAACATGTACCAGCATACTTCACGACATCCGAGGTACGGAGTACATTACTGTCTTTGGATCTTCGAGCGCAATTAAGTATGCGTGAGTGAAGAATGGAATTCTTCCAGCAGAAGCAACTGAGAATCAAAACCTCAACAAGACAAAATCATGGCTGAGATCGAATCAAAACCGCTCGTAAGTGACTCGGCGTCCCGTATGGCAAGAAGCATGAAAGACCTTACTCTCCGGCATATAGTTGCAAATTCAATTGGACATGGCCACATGCTCCGACAACCCAGCTACTGAGCGGGTGGGCAAACACTCGTATCCCTGGCTGGGACCTGAGTACAGCAACGGCACTATGAGTTTCGAAACGCATTTTCAGGACTATGAAATTGAGAATCCCGCGGTGCTACTCCAGCAAGCACTTGGCGATGCCTGGCGGAGGTTCGTGGATGTTGTCGTAGCAGAGATGGACGAGGCTGTGACGAAATGCACTATCTTGCCTTGATCGCCGACAGCATTCTTCATGACCTTCGCGGCCACGGTGGTCAGTGCACGCAAGGTACCACACCATGGAAAGAGGACGGCGTTCATTTTGGGAGTTCAAAGACATGGGATTGACAATAATGAACACTGAAAGGCCTTTTCCGGTGGTCAGCTTCAGATTCTGAATGCCTTGATAATCTGTGTACGCAGCACATACATACCGCTTTTCTCCCCCAGGGACTCAATGCTAAAGCATTGCTCTCCTTTGCTTCCTGACTTCCGCCACTTCTTCCAAGAATCTTTCAGGCACATCAACCTCCTTGTCCCGGATATAGTCAGCAAAGCCTTTCCCCAAGGCATCCAGCAAGCGACAACTGCTGACACCTCTCCCCAGTGGACCGTAAATGACGAAATGTACAGCCTGAATATTGGCAAACTCCATCCTCTCAATGAAGAAGTCCTCCTTCCAGTCCTCTCCCATGAGCTCTTGCAACCTCGCTCTCGTCATAAACGCCTGCAGCCAAGGATATTGTTCAGCCTTGCGCACGAAGATGCCGAAGTTGATATTGGCGCCCTTATCGCCCGACCTGGCCAGACATATATTCCCCAGCCTCGCTTTCCGCGTGGTCCCAAACGATGCGATCTCAACTGGATGTGCGGTCTCGTAGTTCTCCCGCGGTATCAACTCTTGATACTTAGGAGGATGCGCGGCATCCACTCTCTCAACATCTTCGCCGCCCGCCGACAAAACAGCCACGCCCTCCTTCAAGTCATCCTGGGCACACACCGCCGGGTAGAATGCGAGGTACGATCGCGGGTGTGCCGTCCTCGTGTCCAGCGACAAATGCATGCCCGAAAAATGCATCATGGCGACTTCACTCCAGCCCTTGAGCAATGCGTATATGAGTGCTTCCGTATCCGCCTGCACAAACACCCGGAGGTACGTGGTACTTGCGAACTGCGATCTTGGGTTCGCCTCCGGCACGCCCAAGACCTGGAAGTCCAGCAACTGGAACTTGTCAATCAGCCCCTTTTGCGTCATATCATGTCTGAGCTGCTTCTCAAACAATTCGAACTTCTCCTTCGTGCCATAACCAGTCGCATTGATAAGTAACTGGCCTTCATACCCGCCATGGTAGAAGATGGCCAACTTCGTCGTTGGAGGTGGTGGCGAGCCCTTGATGTTTGATAGTTTGACTCGATTCTTGCCTACCTGCTCGATCCTGACACCAGTCGTGTCGGCCGCCACATCGGAGTTGAGGTAGATCGAGCCCTGCAATTCATACAGAAACTGGCATTTGACGTTGTCCTCGTTGACCAACCCGTTGGTGTCCTCGTGCTTGGTGATGACTGACGTTCCATCTACCGCGATCTCCGCGATCCCGTACGACAGATCAACAAATGTGTCCAACGGGTACTCGTCGAAGCCGGAGAAGTTCGACCCAGTCACGTATGCAGAGCATTCGATCAAGTGTCCCGCCACCAGTGCGCCTGCCAGATTGTCGTAATCAGTGTCGGACCATCCATGCCAATACCAGGCTGCGCCAATGACAGGACTTGCATCTGCCACCCGGCCGCAAATGATCACGTCGGCGCCGAGCTCGAGACCTTTGACAATGGCTCGAGCTCCCAGGTAAGCATTCGCGCTAACGATAGGCTTACCCTTGGTATCCAGCAGGTCAGTTGCGTTCTGGGCGAGTGACACTTTGTTGTTCTCGCTGTCCAGATGACGGGGCAGTTTTCCTGTCTTCTCCAACTCCGTCTTGACTTCCTGTAGAAGGTCGTCGCCGTAAACATATGCGATTTTCAAGTCAAGACCTTTGTCGTTGGCGAACTTCTGCGCCTTCTGTGCTAGACCTTTGGGGTTCAGCGCGCCTCCGTTGATGATGATCTTGATGCCTTTGTCCTTGATGACATCGAGAGTCTGCTCGAGGCCGTCCCAAGCGGTGGGCTCCCATCCGTCATGTCGACCTGCTGCCATCTTCTCGGCGTTCTCAGCCAGGTTCATCTCCGCGAGGTAATCTCCAGTAATGAAGTCCATCGGGCCCAGAGTGGCTTGTCGCCTCATTTGGTATCCCGGGTCGCCACGAGCTCCTGAACAGTTGGCGATACGACATGGTCGATTTGGCCGAGGCGTTCCTGGCCCAGGATCCCCCATCTTGTCTTGCTAATGCGAGTGAAATCAGGTCGGTCGGAGAACCCAGTACTGTCCAGCAGACTTCACCCGCCTGTAGCGATGCTATAGGTAGCAGGACTTTATCATGCGAGGCTTGCGAGTTGCACGTCGAAGTATCGCATGTGCAGCTCAACACCACCAGACCTGAATCGCCGGAGTCCAGTACGAGGTTGAAAGAGGTAACACGTACGTCGCACGAAGCAGACGTGGAGTTTCCACCAAGACTTCCTGTGAGCTGTGATATACCGCTCCTACCTTTGCCAGATTGATGTGCTTCACTTAGCCAGTCACGAGGTATACGTCCCTTTAACTATTCTTGGTCAACAAGAAAGCTCTCTCACCAGCAGCCCTTGGGGAAAGGGTCAGCGGATACTCATGATTTGGACTTCCGAGGGCACGAATGCCTCGGTTGGAAAGACTTTGAAGTCAAATCTAGAGCTTAGGAACCAGCCAATAGTGATTGTGGAATCTGCGATGCTGTATTGACTCGACTCCTCACGACTGACGTTTTTAGCTGGGGTTCCATCGGATATACTCCACATTCTCGCGTCACCACCTTTTGCCTCGGCTCTATTTACTGGGGTGCATGTCACTGGGCACGCGATTCTGAGTAGTGACAACCGATTGCCGACACTGACACAGTCGATAGGTGTACAAGCCTTCTCCATTTTGAAGCCTGAGTCAGAGAATGTCCTATCGCTGCAGGGTCCGCTTCTCAAATAGGTCATCTACTCGCATGTTCATGGTCAGTTGCAGAAGGTGTTTGTCACTCTAAGGCGCCTTACCCTGTCTTACCTTGTTGAAGCCAAGGGTTGGCAAAACGTACTATCAAAACGTCCTCGCGTGTCGATTTCGATAGTTGCAATCCGGGCGATTTGTCTTGCTCAATCACGTCAATTTGGGACTTCTTACCCACAAACAAGTACTGTTGAGCACTATACAAGATGGGCAGCGTTGAGGCTCCTGAGAAGGATATCCTTTCATCCTACTCGATTCCAGCCGAGTCGAAGAAGCTCCTTACCGAAGCGCTGCTCAACAATCCCAAGATAGCCAAGGACATCCCAAAGGAGGCCCATGATTTCGCATCTCGCATCACCTTCAACGGCTCGGATCTCCCGTCGATCCCGATCAACTGGCGCTTCGCGGAATCTGCAGCTAGTTTGAAAGCCTTTGAAGCATGCATCATTTCGGCGCTCGTGAAGCGTAAATATGAGGTCGAGCTCTCCGGTGCAGCAATCGATACGGACCATGCACAATTATTCTTCATGTCAACACTGCTCTGGAAGATCAATCCGGACTCAGACCACCCTATCACACTCAGAGAGGTGGATGGAAAGGATGGCTTGATCCCCAATTATGACATTCACAACATGGCGTCCACTATGTATCGCCAGTGTGCGACCAATATCTACCGTACCAAGGATGGTCGCTTTTTCCATCTGCACGGTAGCATGAACCCTGATCCGACTCTCGAAAGTATTGGCTTTCCCACAGACCGGCCAGAGCTGAAGACCTGGGAGGAAGCGATGCAGCCGTTCATCGAGAAGCTTGCGACCATTGACTCGGCGGAGATACAGCATCTTGCTTCAGACGTCTTCAAGCAGGCTGGTGTCATTGCCGAAACAGTCGACTCGTTCCATGCTTCTGAGCATGGACGAGCAAACGCACACGTCGGCCTCTTCGAGATACATGCTGTTCCGAGTCCAACACACAAACCGTCCTGGTGGCCGTCAACACCACATACCTCGGCCAAGAGACCGCTGGCTGGTCTGAAAGTCATCGACTTGACGCGTGTCATCGCTGCTCCGTCGGTGACGCGGGGTCTGGCCGAATTGGGAGCCAGCGTCATGCGCGTGACCTCGCCAAACCTTTGCGACTATAGTGGTCTGCATATCGACTTGAACTGGGGCAAATGGGAGTGTAGTCTGGATCTGAAAAAGGAGAGCGACAAAGCCAAGTTGGCCAAGCTGATCAAGGATGCTGACGTGGTGGTTCAGGGCTATCGCCCGGGAGTGCTGGACAAGTATGGGTTCGGCCAAGAAGGAATCATCGATCTGGTCAAAGACCGTGAGCGGGGGATCATCTCGGTTCGAGAGAACTGCTATGGCTGGAATGGGCCGTGGTCGTATCGCTCCGGCTGGCAGCAGATCAGCGATGCATGTATAGGGATATCTGCTGGCTTCGGCATGGCCATGGGTCTGAAGGATAACGAAGCTGTGACTCCGGTATTCCCAAACAGCGACTACATGACCGGTATTGCGGGCTTGACTGGCATCTTGTGCGCCCTGATGCGTCGAGCTGAAGACGGTGGAAGCTACAAGATTGATGTCGCTTTGAACTATTACAATCAGTGGTTGGCGGACTCGGTAGGTGAGTATCCCGAAGCGATCTGGCAGGATGTGTGGAAGAGGAGTGGAAAGGAAGTCTTCAGGTAAGTCTGCATGCAATGAGCAAGGGGGCAAGCAACGCTGACACCTACCTTTCTCCGGCAGGTCATATCATAATATGAACTACATGCTGCCTCGATATCTGGGCATGATAGCGAAAAGTGGCAAGTTGTTGAAGCCGGAGTTCTTCGAGGATCGAGAGACCAGAGCCCTGAACGCTGTAGTGCGGACCGTCAAGCCGATCATTTCGTTCGACAATGACCAGGTCGAGCTGAAGTACAATGTTGGGACGCGAGGGAATGGCCACGACGCGCCGCGATGGCCAGACGATTTGATGACAGAGGTTGTTGAGTAAGAAGACGAAAGACGGGCACTGGGTGCTAGTCTGATAGTCTTTGCGTTATCTTGATCCGTATGCAATCGTCCGGAGACTCATCCCGAACACAATATCTGGGGATGATAGTGGTGAATCGTCTTCCAGACCTCAACTTGATTGCCATCAGGCCACATTGCTTGGCACGTGCTTGGCTAAAGTGCATGCAGGTGTCATTTGAACTGTCATATATGGCTCGGCAGAGTTGCCCTTTCATCTTTACTCTACTTCACGATTCCTAACACGTAAAGAGGGCTGGATTGTAATCCACCTCAAGTCCAGTTTGTTCCGAACATGCTGTTGCCAACGAGTCTGTTGCGCCATTGATGGATCATGGAATGAGCTTGCCATCTCTCAAGATCTCAGCGACATCTCTCGCCTAGAAACACTTGAGTCTTGGTGTTGGAGTTGCCAAGCTCTTCAGGTGAGTCTGGCCAAACCATCCATGGATGCTGCCTGGTGTGCGTGATTTCGGCCATGGCCGGCGAATAACTACGAAGTGGTCTGACCACAATTGTCCCCATATCCAGAGATGGCGAGATACTGCTGTCAGTGCTCTTCCCTATTGGTCTCGACCAGTCCTGTCAACTCCCTCCAACACGGTCTCTTAGCTGAACATCTCCCCTCTATGCTGCTGACCCCAGACGACATCCTCGCTGGAATTGAGACAATTGCTTGACGCAGATATATCATATATATTCACGGTCATCTCGACCGGTCTGCCTCGCCTTTTCAAGCTTGGAGCAAGACAACGACATCCAGCTATTCTAACAATCAACAACCACAACCACGAGAACTATTACCCCGCAACAATAGCAAAGGCCAGCCAAACAAATGGCCACAAACCACTCAGAGAAGCACTCATATGTGTCTGCACCAGACGAAGGCACATCACACACACAACATGTCGGCGAAAAGGCTATTCACCCTGAACCACCAAAACGACGTGATTCCAAATTTGGACATGTCATGGACTCACTTCGCCGTTCTTTCTCTACCGAACACAAACCCTCCCTTGACCGCAAAAGTAGCCAACATGAAGCCCACCTGCGAAAAGTGCGTGAGCAAGACGAGGTTGAGCGGGCTCGCGCCGCTGAAGAGATGGTGTGGGAATCGGGCGAAACCAAAGAGTCAACGAGTCCGGCCGTCGAAGCCCGTAAGTCTTTTGATCTCAACGAGAACAATATGGGCGCTGACTCGGAGCAAAGGGAGGAACAGCTGGGGTTGGCCCGGCCTCGGCACAACCGATGACGCTGCTGACGCATGGGATGAACCTGACAAAAGACTACGTGCCAGCAAGAATGCTGGGAAAGCCACCCCGATGGAGCTCAGAGCCGAAGCTGCAGCATACGGAGCTTTTGGTAATGCGGCCGAGAATGAGAATTATGGCTGGCCAGGTCTGGGTGGTCTGCCAGGGCCTAAATGATCGACAACATCAGGGGGTATGATATGCCCAGACGATTGAACGAATCTGGATCAGGTTATGGGTAATGGAGGTCACGAATCAAAGCGGTGCAACAGTCACCTTCTGCAAATCATTGGCATTGGCGATGAGCAGAATTAAGGCTAGTGAGGCCATGTATCTTACACTCAAGGCTGGAACGTGGACTTCGCATGTTTTCCTCAACTACGAGTACGAGTATCAGCGCAAACAATGATCTGTTGTTATTGTCAGGACCCGTACTCCGACCGTGCTGATTGCGAGCTGAATATCGAGCGGTGCTCGGTAATGCTGCAATAGACGGCGCGTGCATGAGACCGTCGACTCGCAATTACCAACGAAAGCACCTGCACGACGTTTCTGGAATGGGCGCGTACAGACTTGTAATGACGCAACGGCCATTGAAGACTTCCGGGCTCTCGGTCCCCACAAGTCCACAGCCATTCGGGGCCTGTGGAAGATGTGCAGGTGAGAACGTTCTAGCGTTCTCTGGAGGCCACCACGGTAATTAGGATCCGATTGGTCTGTAATGACGCCAAACTGGGGAACCTTGCAAGTCTTGCTGAATGCTTCCACACTCGACAACGATATGCAAATGAATTAAACAAGATGCATATCCCTGTGGCAGATGAGGCAAAACAGCGATGTGATTGGAAGGGAGCACTCGCTCATGATTCGCCGGTGCAACTATTCCTTGTCGACGGTCACCACGAAATCTCTGGAAATTTCGACCATGTTTCTCGCTTCTCGCATAGAATGTTCGTGATGCCCAAACAGGAAATACGCGCAATATCTAGAAACTTCACGCCACCTACTCGTGACCACCCTCCTTCCCCACCTTACAATCTCCTTGATCTTTCCAGAAATTTCACCCATGGCCCTTCACAACTATAAATGTCACGCCTTCTCATCCTCAACAACATTTCAAGTTCACCAGATCAGAAACCAAACAACTTCATGACTAGTACACTTCGAAGACTTCCACACCGAGTTCTAAGCTCAGCTTCTCGTATCGCAGAACCAACTATCAATCAAACACAAACGAGAAAGATGGCGCTCTTCCCACGCTTCAGTCCATCCTACGCCCCATACCATCGCCACGAGTACACACCATTCTTCAAACTCTTCGACGACACATTCTCCGAACTCCAAAAGATCTCCGACAACGCCCAGAAGAGCTTCAACCCCAAATTCGACGTCAAGGAGGAGAAGGACAAATACATCCTCGAAGGCGAATTGCCGGGCATCGCACAGAAGGACGTGAGCATTGAATTCGCCGACGAACAGACCCTCACTATCAAAGGCCGCACCGAGCATGTCCGAGAAGAAGGCCAGAAACCAGGCACTGGCGCTGCTGAAAGTCAAAAGCAAGGTGACCAACCTGCGCAACAGGAGGGTGGTCAACAGACACAAAATGGCCACTCGTCAACTCAAGTCGCAACCACAGGCGGCAAAGAAGTCGGCAAGCACCAGCCAGAACACACCTACTGGGTCACCGAACGCAGCGTTGGCGAGTTTGCACGCAGCTTCTCCTTCCCCAACCGTGTTGACCAGGAGAATGTCCGTGCCAGCTTGAAGAACGGCATCCTCAGCGTCGTCGTTCCCAAGTTACAGAAGGTCAACACCTCCAGGAAAGTTGAAATCAGTGACGAGTAAAATCCAACCACACCTGCAACAACTCGAAACGGATGATATCAAAAGTCGAAATTTTGTTCCTAAACACGACAATCCTTTGATTCCTTGATTCCAAAAACCAACGGACGTCAATATGAACACATCAACATCACGAAGTCACAATACAACATCATGCATCATTCCTTAGCATTAGCAGGTGTTTGTCAATTTGATGAGATACTTGTGAGCGATAACAATGGCTCGGTCTCCGTGGTCGCCTAACATAATATTATCACTAATCGTCTTCCTTGCCGCGTTACTGCATCGAATGTCGCAACCCCTGTCATATGTGTAGATTTAGGAGGTACTGACGTCCAGGCGGCCTTATCCAGAAGGTATCTTTCTGCGCAGCCCCGCTATCGCACCAAACAACTGCCTGAAACGCCCAACGACCGTAAATTCGCGTACGCTCTAAACGCGGTATAAACCAGACATGGCGTCCGGGACGTCAGCGAGGCCTTGATTGGGCATATTTTGGTTTCCGCCCCTTATGGGATTCATGTTCCTTATGTAACCTCAGCCCCCTTGCTGATGTGCCAGGCTGCAACATTTCTTTCATGATTGTCATGCTCGATAAAGAATAAATAGCCCGCCCTCAGCAATAGGCAATCCTTCAACTATGCAAGCTCAGTAACTTGTCACCCGAGAAGGTCAATTGAGGGAAATTGTTGTCGGCGCTCTCCTGCTTTTCAGGCAATATGCATACCGAGGAAGCTAGTGTACGACACCCCGCCGAAGCTGAACTCCTGCTCAGCTCTCCCCAACCCGACACGAAGCAGCGATCCAGGCAGCATACAATAATATTTTGGAAACTATGTACAGCCGCATTCTTCGTCGACCTTGCATTGCAGATACTTCAGCCTGCTCAAACGCAGATTCTCGAAAGCATTTATTGCGCGCAATGGTATGAACAACATCCTGCTCCCGGTGTACCGCTCCACGGACACATACCGGAATCATATTGCAAGATTGGCCCGGTGCAGACGCAGGTATCCTCGCTCAAGGGATGGCTTGAGGTCGCTCTGTCCGCGCCAGGCCTTCTTATGAGCATACCCATCGGCATGCTTTCAGATGCAGTTGGGCGACGCTACTTATTCATCATCAATGTCTTGACTCTATTCCTGGGAGAGGCATGGATCACTTTCGTTTGTTGGTTCGGTGGCCAAATGCCTCTTTATACGACCTTGCTTGCAGGCAGTCTTGGGCTATTGACTGGTGGAACGATCGTGACGGAGATGCTTTTCGTGTGCTGCTTGACGGATGTGAGTCCTGGAGAACAACTGACAAAATCTTTCTTCCGCGCAACGGCATTTGGGCAATTTAGTAAAGTGGTCGGGCCACTGATCGCGGGAGCGTTGATGAAAGTGGACGCCTGGTTTGCTGTCTATGCTGGTCTGGCATGTCTGGGCATCATGGTCATGATGATCACGACGATACCAGAAACACTACGCTCGAAAGAACACACCGAATATACACGGACGGCGACTGCGGCACAAGACGTGAAACCAACTTACCGGAGGAGGCTCTTACTTGCCTCATCAAGTCAGTCGGTACAACAGGTTTTGAAGATCTGGAGCGACTGGCGGTTGGTTTTTGTGGCATTAATGTACCCTTTCAAGATGGTGCACTTTGCCCTGGACGACTTGATTCAGCGATATGTCTCGGACAGATATGGTTGGACCCTCGCGGATGCGACACTGCTGTACTCCATCCAGGCCATCTCCACGACGCTGATGCTCTTGGTTATTTTACCCATTATCTCCGATCAGATTGACCACTGGTACTCGCTGAGTGTCCTCCAGAGGAATGTGGTACTGACCAGGACATCTGTTGCCATTCTGGCACTGGCGTATCTCGCAATTGGATTCGCACCGAACATTCCAATCATGGTCATCGGCCTATTTGTCGAGACACTTGCGACAGGCCTGCCTAGCGCTATGCGGGCTCTTGCTGCGGCTTTGGTGGCCCATGAAGATAAAGGGCGAGTGTACTCGGTGCTGGCGGTAGCGGAGGCGCTCAGCGCGATAATCGCTTACCCAGTCACCGCACAGCTCTTCAATATTGGGCTTGCAAAGGGGGGAGGAGCATGGCTTGGATTACCGTATGATGTCATCGCACTTGGGGGCGCTGTGGTATTTGCTGTGATGTGTCTGCTTCGCTTCGAGAGGCGCATGAGGGTGTAAAGAGCCAGACGAAAGATAGTAGTGGCATGAGCCTCGTAGACCGAATATGAGTGGATAAAACAATAAGCGGCATCTGTGTGGAAGGGCACCTAATTGATGAGTGACATGGCGTCATAGACGGGGGGATGCTTTAGGCTTCCCTTCTGGGGCTTTCACACCTGCAACAAGCCAATCCGCAGGTGAAGTTTGTCAGCTTGAAGGCCACGAAGCACCGAATCCATGTCTAGCGCTCATTTCCATCTCCGCAAAATGCAGACGCCTGCGTACGATGTCGAGGTCATCAGGTTACGACCATCTTCTATCAGACATTAAGCCGAGTTTTCCTTACCCTTCTTGCTTCCTCTCTCCGCTCGAAAGTCACAGTCATCTCGGAAAAGACCGTTTGGCGCGCACAACATCCTTATAACTACGATGGCGTCCGCTACAGGCATTCCAGAGCAGAATCCCGCACTTGCAGAAGAGGAACCTCTCTTGGGACGTCCAGGAGATGCTACACAGAAGCCAGACCAGGGACTGCAGTACAATCTCGTCACAGGCACTGGTAAGCATAGTCCCAGCTAGAAGACTTCCATAGCTTGAGGGTGAACGGTTACTGACCTGTACGGTACAGCTATCCTAGCACAAGCAGGTGCCTGGATCCTCGCAGCTCTCGTCTGGGCTGCAGTCTTCGAACATCCCTTCATCTTCTTCTCGTACCATCCACTGCTGAACTCGGCCGCAACGTTACTGCTTGTCCAGGGTGCGCTCGTCCTGCAACCGACAGCGAGCCAGAAAGATAAAGTCCATGGAGCATATGTACACTCGATCACCAATACGTTGGCCGTCGCAGGTATGCAATACAATGTCCTAGAAGATATACCATTCGGTTACTGACAAGGACATATAGGCTTCATCGCCGGATTGATTATCATGGAGATGAACAAGGCTTCCCACCCGGAGACTCGGTTCCAGAGCGTCCATGGCAAGATGGGACTGGTGGCATACATAATCATCTTTGCCCAATGGTTGGTCGGATTCGCGCAGTTCTTCGTCCCGCAGGTGTTTGGCGGCGTTGACAATGCCAAGTCCATGTACAAGTACCATCGGTAAGTCCTCTTTGAACCGAGCATCAGACTCTTCGCTGACACGCTTACTAGATGGGTCGGATATATCCTGACGGTGTACATCTTGGCTGTGATTGCCGCCGCGACTTCTACAGGTTACAACAAGAACGTACTGCACATCAAGCTGTGGGCTGTCATTGTCTCCGCAGTCCTGGTCCTCCTGGGGGTTGTCCCACGCATCAAGAAGCACAAGCTGGGTCTCTGATTACTTGACGACAAGAGACACCGAAATGCGGTACGTAACCATCAATTGAAGGGAGCAAGGGACGATGCTCCTATCTGATTTCGACCCTTCCTATGCAAAAGAATGATTGGGAAGGGTAATTGTCCTTCATGACCATTTGAGCTGGCACGAGAAAAATGTTTTATGACAGTGTGGAAACGTATGTTTTGGCCTTTGTGCATTGAGCATCCCAATTTATAGTATTGATCTATCACATAAGCGAACTTTGGCGCAAATGGAATCAGCCTCAAACAGGAGTATTTTATATCTAATTCCACATGATCAATTACATGATACTTGCCATGGGTCATCGCACGGCAACGTCGCTGGACTCTCGTCTTTGAACAACCCGGTCCTGACCCGCGGCCAATGCTTCCAACCTCGCAGCCTGAACACGGTGCTTCTTGATGACCGCAATCCATTCTGGGTCGGGTTGAGGTGGCTTTTCTTCCTCTGGTGGCGCCTCCTCCGGTTCCTCCGTCGTTTCCGTCTCGCCATTGGTATCTGCCTTCTCTGCATTCTCACCGTTGGTCTCAGTGTCGCCGTTTGCCTCAGCTCCAGCATTTTCTCCCCTCTGCTCAACGGTCAAGTCACCCTCTTCTGTCTGGACCTTCGGTTGAGCGCCGGCTTCGGTCTCACTTTCAGCCTGAGGGTCAGGCGCAGTCTCCAGGTAAGATGTTTCGTCAACCTCGCCATCCACATCAAGCACGGCGATCATCAAGCTGAAATCCGCACCGAGTCTGCCTAGACTATTCGCCGCGTAGAGGACTTGCATCAACAGACTCTCACGAGTAGCGGGGTCGGTCACATTCGGCAGGTACTCTTTCAATGTGGCCATGAAGAGCTCGACTAGATGTAGTGGGAAGGATTGAAGGGCTGGTGGGAGGGTGAGCGACAGTGATGGATTGTCCTGCGCTGTTAGACCAGAAGTAGTGGCGCCGTCTTCGTCATCGGGAAATATGTTGCGGTACATGCTTATCGTGGCGAAGGACTGTTCGCGGAAGATCTCAATATAGCGTTTCAAGTAGCGTTCGGTTTGTTGGCCGCTTAGCGCGTTGGCGCCGACACCGGAGGCCTTGCGCGGGGGTGTCGGGCGTGGTGGTGTTGATGTACTGGTACTGATGCCAGCGGCATTCGCTTGTCGAACCTGTGTTTCTTGGTCGGCGAGGTCACGCAGCGGTGCGAGTGCTTCGGTCATGGTGAGGAATGTGCAGAGGCGGGCGCAGAGGAAGAGGGCGCCGAAGTGGCCTTCGTCGTGGGTTGATGGTTGAGTTGAGGATAGGCCGAAGTGAGATTGTGCTTTGGGTTGACTGCTCGGAGTTGTGCTTGTTCCCAGTTCGGGCGCGACGCGTCGTAGCCAGCCTATCATCCGGATGGCCGCCGCGAGACGAATGTTCTGCGAGCGCAGACTGGCGATGAGATTTGTCGTCATGTCCTTCATGGCGAGTTCCGCGTCTGCGAGTATGGACTTGATTAATTGGGAGTCTGGGTACAGGATCTGTAGGCGCTTGATGTGCGCGAAGAGGTCGAGGGCTTGGGTGTAGTTTGTTCCCGACGTTGAGGTGGCGTTCGCGTTTGTGCTGGTGGTACTCGCTGAAGCGATGGCAGCTGATAGTAATGATGGGAGTTCGAGGATATCTTGAGCCTTGTCCGCCTGGCGGGCGAGGAGGGCGGTTTCGCGCCTCGCGTTGAGAAGGGCATTGCCCCCTGTGGTGTCGTCTTTGGCGCGGTTGTATGATGTAGCGAAAGTGACAGCACTGGTGTCGAGGTCTGGGATGGCGGTTCTCAGCGCCTCGACTGAGGACGATAGAGATGCTAATGACGTGCGAAGTGTGGATAGGTGATCGGATGAGGTGGTTGTTGTGCGATGAGAGCGCGAACTCAATGCTTGGATGGAGACTAAGTTGGAATGCGCTGCTTGGGATAGAGACTGTGGCTCGGTGGTTGTGAGGTCGTTCAAGCGTAGAGACACTATGCGTGAGAGATATCTTGAGATTTCTGGGCTGGTGGCTGAATTGGATGAGGTACCGGCCTGTGGGAGATGTGGTCTCAGGAGGTCGTAAAGAGGGTCGGCCATTGCGGTGGCAAAGCTCTCAACAGCCAAGTTACATTGTCAGTTCTCTGCCCGTTCAATCAGAAGAGATGCGGATGACACTCATGATCCCATCGTTGTACAAAGCAAAGTGTCACGATCTGTGTGGTCTTCTCCATGTCAATGTCGTTACTGGCATTTCAAGCAATTTAGATCTGCTTAGTAAGAGGTCACGTGTTTTTTTACGAGTCATGCTGCTTTGAAAGACTTGCCATGCCGCTCTAATGCCGGCAAGGGGTCGAGCCTGTTTCCAGGAAAAGTGGCACCGTCTAAGGGAGCATATCGAAGTCACAAGTTCGAAGTCAAGCTGCTTCACAACAGCGGAAGCCTCGACAGCAAGACAGAAGCACTGTACAGTAGAGCTGATGGCCTTCCCCGTGCTAAAGGCCAACACCATATCGGTGTGTGTAAAGGACTCCGGGACGGCAAAAAGGAAAGGTATCCATTTGCACCTGGAGAGCAGCAGCGGTCCGACGGTGCCACTTTTTCTGGAAACAGGCTCGGGGTTTACCTCCAGTTACGCTTCTGCCTCATCGGTCCTCCCTTGTAAAGCTCACCCTGTTACCTCAACCACATCATTGACTATCGTGTTACGAATTTATGCTGCCCGGGTCCCGCTATGGCGGGCTCATATCAGGAGACAAGGAGAGTCAATGGACCAGGTAGGGACATGCAAGGACTGCTTACTCACGACCTCGGCCATCCGAAAATGACAGTCCCAGCATTGCTTCGCACTATCGTCCCACAATCACACATGATCTGCAAAGCCTATGTTCTTTTGGCGATAGCCACATCGACCTCATCATTTTTTGGGCATTGAAACTTGCTATCGCTGATCAGACAACATCGCACTTCGTCGGTACTTTTGCCTACGACGTCCGCCATCCGCTACCTTGAAAGATGTCTCGTCCAGCTGTCGCCGACTTCGTGGACTCCTTCTTCACCAACACTCTCTTCCAGGCCGACGACAAGCTCGCAGCGTCGGTGCTAGCCACCGAGCTTGCCTCAGATGCCAACATTGTGGTACGTTGCCTCCTCCCTCCGCTTACTCAGTTCCCATGCTCAGATTATCTGTCCATCAAGATCAATGGCACATCTCTGACTGGTTCCGACTTTGTCAATCTCATTACCACACAATTTCGCTCAGCATTCTCTGCATCTATCGTTGAAATCAAAGACCTCAACATTGCAACGACAAACGACTCAGGCTCTACAGGTGTGGTCGGGCAATGGACAGCATACGTGACCAAAGGAAAGGAGGATGGCAAAGAAATCAAGCAGAGCGCAACAACCATCGTAAAGGTTGAGGAAAGGGATGGCAAGAATGTCGTGACTGGCCTCTGGGAGGCGCAAACTGTAGAGGAAGCTTGATCTACGAGACACGAGCTTTACAAAGGATTTGGACCAGTTACTCTAGGCGTACCCAATCGCGCGGAATAGCCACCCCAAGACTAGAAGAATTGGTTAGTTTTTTCACCACTTGGAGGGGACAAGACTGCTTACTTCGTCATAGAGTCGAGAATCTACACCAAGGGACTGGAGAGATAACCAGTTTATCGCTGCCGAAAGACCACCTCCGCAAGCTGATCACCCTTGTCAGCATTTTTGCACAATGACAAAATGTTGGAAATGATGAAACTTACTATTGACAACCGTCGCTTTACCGGAGACGATCTCCTCCAACTTGTCCTGCCCCAGCTGATCGGCGATGTGCTTTTTCAACTCTTCGGGTTCTCGTAGGTACGTGAACTTGGCTGGGTCCTCGAGTAGAGAGGACGGGAAGTCCAGAAGCAGGGATGTTGGTATATGGCCGGCCTGGTAGGATGATGCAGGTCTCGCATCTATTAGCAAGATGCCGTCAGTGGAGGCTGATGGTCGCTGTGCCAGTTTCAACGCCTCGTCGAACTCTGCATCATGGTCAGCTCAATCCAGCCACGGGTCATGTATGTTATGATACGTACGGACGACGGCATCATGATTCAAGGTAGGAACAGGATATTTGGTTCTTTCGAACTGTTTTGGTGACCCAGTCTCGAGCTTGACACCCTCCTTCTTCGCCCTCGGCAGTCCTCCGTTGATCACCGATACCTTTTCATGCCCATAGACCTGTGCGGATGGTCAGTGATTGCTCATGTTGTTGGCTGGGGATGACCGACCTTGAATGTCCACGCCGTCCGAGGACCAGCGAAGATACCTTCATTGTCATACACGATGACATGTGAATCCTTCTTAACTCCATGCTTGCCCGCAAAATCTGCAAAGCGTTCCGGCGAAGGCAGCATCAAAGCATACCCATCGGAATGAGGCTCGGACACAGCGTCCAAATCCCAGAATCGTGCATTGGGGAAACGAGGACCCGCTAAAAACTCTTCGTACGCATTGCGTGTAGGTGGAGGCTCGTAAAGCCACGAGGCGTCGAGAACAACAGCACCGGGCTCAGAGATAAGAGAAGACGTTGGTGGGATGATGAGTGGTACTGACATATTGAGTTTTGGTTGTCTGTTCTAAGGCCTCGATTTCGCTAAAAAGTCAGGGGCTCTTTTTCCGGAAGATGACAGTACACACCAAAGATTATGCATGGCTACTTCCAAGCCATTGCCATCCTCATAAATACTAACGACCAATATTGTCGAAAGGGGACAGTCCGCGCACGCCAGTTGTTTGGTGGTTCCGAGTATGGTGCCATCTCGGTGATCCGAGCGATTGCGTGCTTACGGCAGCGCCGAGGTCACACCTGGTCTATCTTCTTTTGTGCTGATGGCGGCTGGACGACAACGCTTTGTCCCGGGCGGTGGACCTCGATAATGTGCATGGTTTCGGGTCCTTGCCAGCTATATCTACAGTGCACATATGCAAATGTGCAAGCCACCCAACTTTGGGTACTAACCACCAACGATGATCAGCAAAGTGCAACCCTCGGTACTCATTATTGGCTGCGGCCCAGCGTAAGTCCGGCTTCACAGAGGACACAAGGCTATAGCTGAGATTCGAATTCTAGAGGCCTGGGAGCCATTGAGCAGTTCAAGCGTAAAGGGTTTGATGTTGTGGCATACGAGGCCCGCGACAGTGTAGGGGGTCTCTGGTGAGTCCATCCCGAATGACGTGCTTTGGGGCTCTTGTGCTGATGGTCCTTTACGTAGGAACTTTGATCCGACTCCGCCGCCTTGCCATGTCTCCTTCGATGAGGATGGTCATGCCGTCGCTCTGACGGACCTGGAACGGGCTGGTAAGCCAGCACCAGCTCCAACACCTATGTATGCTGGTGTTACCGCCAATACGCCTAGGGTGAGTTCCACTTCTTTGTCCAGAGTGAGCATTCATGCTTAATGTTGGCTTGTGAAGGATATCATGCCCTATCGCTCTCACCCGTATTCCAAAGATACAGCGGAGTCTCCAACCTACAAAGTCATCTACCAGTATCAACAACAACACGCTAGCAAATATGCCGACCACATTCAACTCAATCGCGTGGTGACTCGAGTGCGACATACACCTGATTACCATCCTTCAAGTAAACGATGGCTCGTAGAATGGACGCCATCAGTTACCAGCAAGTCCTCCAATGTGGGAATGACCTTTGAGGAAGACTTCGACCATGTTGTTGTGGCCAACGGGTCAGATTCGAGGCCCTTCATCCCGTATGTGGACGGGCTGTGGGAATGGAAAGGGTCAATTCTGCACTCTAGGTGGTACAGGCAGGCGGAAGCGTTTGCTGGAAAGGTAAGTTCATCTTCTTCCCAATACTTTCCGTACCTGCAAGCTGACACCGGGAAAGACCGTTATGGTCGTGGGTGCGGGACCCTCGAGTGAGTTCAGTCTCTCCCTTTTCATCGATTATCCCAACTGACAATGCAGGTGCGGACATCGTGCGAGAGCTTGGTATGCTTTGTGTTGAGCAGTCGCCTTTAGCGCCACGCAAAGTGTATCGTTCTCTCCGAGTCAAGCCTCGTTATGACACCGAAAACGAGAAAGGATGGGGCAAGCACATCAACAACGTTGCTGCACCATTCCGTACCGTCGAGCCACCGTCCGCCAACTCTGCCACCGGCAGAATCACCACCGCCAAGGGGGAGGTTCTGGACGATGTGGACGTGAGTCCTGTTCCGGCGCACCTGGTTCAATTTTCCTAGCTGACAACTTATAGGTGATCATATTCGCCACTGGTTTCGTGTTCCGCTTTGAGTTCTGCCACCCTACAGATGCACCTTTCGACAAAGCACCCCTACTGAGGAGGTCTTGTGTTCCTCCCGAGGCTCGCCGGCCACCAAAGGACATGGTTGGTCAGGCTACTTTGCAGGGCGGACACCGTGAGTATTTGCTCTTCGATGAGAGGCCCGTCCTTTACTGACCAAGCAGGCGTTCATAACCTCGACGCTCACCAGATCTTCTACCTCCCAGATCCGACATTGGCATTCTTACTGCTCCACGCAGAAGCCATCCCCTGGCCGTTCTCCGAGATGCAAGCACGTGTAGTAGCGTCGTACTGGTCGGGCACGCCACTCCAGCTGACGCCTCATCCGGAAGAGGACTCGGATTCTCATTCTATCTTGATCCTTGGCCATCCCGGAGAGTAAGTTCGCTCTTCACGAGAGTGGTGCTAAAGCTGACCGTCCATGTAGGTTCCAATATGCTGAGAAGATGCTGAAGTTAATCGGCGAAGGAGGACCAGAGGAAGTTGACGCCGAAGGACGATGGGGAGCTTGGCCCGCGTGGAAGCAGCATATTCGGGAGCTTATCGACTAGAGAATGCATCCCCCCAAAAGAATTGATAGATGCCTATTGTACAACGGGTTCTCAAAGTTTGCTGAAGAGTCCGTCGTTTAGGAATGAAAAGCTGTCGTCCCACACCGCATCATCTGAAGCATTATATATCCACCGGGGCTCGACTGACTCGGTGGGTATCGACGAAAGCCAAGTGGAAGTCTCGTTAGTGGTGCTGAAATTCGACGTATCGAGTGAATGAGCAGCAGGCGGCAGGACGGTATCCGAGACAGTTGACTGAGTATAGCTGGACGAGGAGGCATTAGGAAGTGCAGCTGTGGAGAGTCGGTTGGACAGAGGTTCAACGTCAGGTCGTTGAGCAGAATCGCCTTTCCATGATGGCCAGGAGAAAGCTGGCGTCAGAAGAGGCGGCTCGACCCTCCTAGAAGGGGAGCGCGCCATCCTCCGGGCAAGCACTCGGACTGCGACGGCCTCACTTTGGCTGTTCGAACCATGATTATGATCTAAAGTACGAGACAACTGAACAAGTAGCTGTGCAACCGTCTCCACATGCGGAAAGGGTGAAGAGAAGACTAGTAGGATGTCGATGGCCGTGAGCAAGTCCGGTCGATGCTCGAATGCGAGATTGGAGCTCCTCAACATGCACGCAATGAGCGTATGCGCGGCGGCAGTAATGTGGGACACAGCATGGAAACCGCAGAGGCGCAGAAGGCCCAAATGCCGTAGCCGTGAATAGGTCTTCACGGTGTCCACGGACAGGCGGCAGGCTTCCGAGGTGGCGAAGCTGGTCTCCTCCTTGGAGGACGTCGGACCAGTCTCCAACTCGTCAATAAGGCCTTGACGGGCAATGAGGGTCCTAACAAATTGGAGGACGGTCCGGACGCGGCAAGAGTAGAAGAAATTCGAGGTTGGATTAGGTTTTACACCAATCTGCGACATATATGGCGGCAGATCTCGTTCAATCTTGTCCAGTCGTTTCTGCGCTCGCTTCATGAGGTCGCTCCGGTCGAGGGGAGGATCGCTCAGAGAGAAAGCGGCCGCCGGGGTTCGTGATGGAGCGTTGATCGCAGACAGCACCTGTTCAAGGACCATGTATATCTCGATCATTTTGACGGCAGCGGCCATTGCCAGCGGTGGGTCGCCCTCTGGCTGTGGAAGTATCTCCGTCTTTTTAATGTACTCGTTGTCGACAATGACAGGAAGGTCGACACTGCACTCGGACAGCCTGATGAGCGGCGGCCGTCCCTGAGAGTAGGCTAGGGCGATATCCAAAGTATAAAGGGCCCAAAAGAGGCGGGTCCGGATCTGCAGCGTCACTGGGTCCATGTTGAACTCCTTAGTACTTCGATGCAGCCCAGTTGTAAATGCCAGGCCGACGGCTTCCGCGACGAAGCTGGAGACTGAGCTGGCAGAGCTGGCGGTGCAACCCTCTGCGAATAATGCAAGGTGGTAAAGAGCGAGGATGTGCCGGATGTCGAGCTTGTTCTTGCTGATTCGGATAAAGTCTTGGGCGAGTTCAAAGTAAGCTTCACCGGCTTGATCGCGGTCCGACGTCGGAAAGAGCGCTCTGGCACTTTCGACCAGGCGTGCCGTCACGGCGAGGATGCTCATCAGGAGTGCGCCATACTGAGCAGTGCATACCAACCGACGCTGAGTGACCGCGACAAACTCGGATAAGAAGGAAGGAGCGTGAAGGAGTGGAAAAAAGACCGGGGTGTTCAAATGATAGCCTATCAACTTGGACATGAGTTCCTGTGGACAATGTTGGAGGCAAAGATCGAAATAGTCGCTGGAAGAGGTCGTGGCTCCCGTTATGCCCAATGCACCTGCTGAGTGGGATGCAAAGGATGTCCCAGTCACGTCGCTTTCCGATACCTCAACAGTCTGAAGCAAACCGAGCCGAGCGAACAAGGGCATCCCCGTAGATTCTCCCGAATAAACAATCTGGTCATCTGAGTCGATGAGCAGGAGGTGTTCTTTGCCCGATCTTGACGGAGGCTCCTTCCCCGTCGCGGTTGGAACACTGGAAGCAGCGGACGACGATGCAGCTCCTGGGGAGAAAGAGCTTGTTCTGGGGCGCTTCGAGGCCCTTGCGACATTTTCGGGATGCACCACGACTCGCCTTGGTGTCGAGAAAGTGCATTCCTTGCCACCTTTGCTGCATCTTAAACAAGGTCTTTGACCGTCGCATCGAACCTTCCGTTTTCTGCAGATGTCGCAGGCGACCAGCATCTTCCACCTGATGTCGGACAGGTCGACATGATCCTCGTGTTGCCCGCTTCGTGACATTGTACGATAAGCGAACACAGGCCAGCAACGCCTACGGGCGACATGGAATTGTTGATAAGAGACATCAGGCATAACGGCGATAACGGGCTGGATGCTGATTTCCTTACCCAGGTTAGAGTTGCTGTCTTGCGATGGCGTGCTTGCGCTGCCCACCAATATCTATAAATTCGTCATTTTGTCTTTCGGCACTTACCGAATTCGTACACTGTGTAGATAACGAAGAATCTGTTCCATTGCGCTGGGACCAGGATCCTTGCAGTCTCGACCTCCCGCCCCTCGGATGGCCGAGATCAATTGCGAATCGCACCTTGCCGACACCGTCTCGCGCCATCGTCTTCCTTGACATCCATAAACATATAAACATGTGGGTATCTACAGGATGGACTCGCAGACGCGCCAGAGAACCAGAACTACCACGAGTCTGTGTTGAATAATCGTCAAACACCATGTCTCTGCTACCTCAAAGCGCCGGTTATGCGACCAGTAAGTCTCCTCCTTCCCGGCGCGCGATTGCTATGTCTGACCCTATGCAGTCCTGGTCGGGGGCGCGTTCTTTGCCGTACTCATGAACGTCGTCACTTGGGTGCAGAAACGATACACAAACTTTGACCCTGCAAGGGTGGAAGAGTTCTCTTCGGCTTCTAGATCCGTCAAGACTGGAATGCTGTCTGTCGGCGTCACGTCCGCTTGGGTATGGGCTGCGGTCTTCCTGCAGACAGGGACACTCACATACCTTTATGGCGTGTCCATCCCTTGGTGGTTCGGAATGGGTGGCTTTGTTGAGATTGCCGCTTTCGCATTTGTCTCCTCGAAAATCAAGGCAAACGCCAGCGGCGCCTCGACGTATCTTCAAGTGGCCAAGGTACGCTTCGGCACTGCTGGTCATCTTGCCTACATGTTCGCCGCTCTTGTTGCAAACTTTGTGGTCGGCAGCGAAATCCTCATCGGTGGAGCTGGAGTCATCACTGGCATGACGGGTATCAGCGAGTATGCCGGCATCTGGCTGTTGCCCCTGGTCATCGTTGCCTACGTCCTGACCGGTGGTCTTCGAGCCACTTTCGTGGCGGACTATCTTCACTGCTGCATTCTCTTCTCATGCCTGCTTGTTCTTGTTCTGGCAACCTACACAAGAGGCGACGTCATTGGATCCCCCAGCAAGCTCTACGACCTCCTCCTCGATGCATCCAAGACGACACCAGCAGTGGGGAATGGGCATGAGTCCTACCTCTCGTTCCGCAGTGAGGGTGGTATGTACTATGCTGTGACGGCGGCAACATCTTTCTTCGGACTGTCATTTTGTGACCAGTCATATTGGCAGCGAAGCATCGCAGCTCGTCCGGCCGGTACCAGCAAGTCTTTCATCTTCGCTGGCTGCTTCTTTTTCTCCGTCGCCCTGGGGATCGGATCCTCCATGGGCTTGGCCGCAAGGGCTCTTGCGACGAACCCAGCCTTCCCGGCCTACCCGGACGGCCTGACTACAGCAGAGCTTGGTGCAGGTCTCGCTGGCCCATTTGCAAGTGTGACTATCCTCGGCAAGGCCGGGCCAGCGATGTACACTGTTATCGCGTTTATGGCAACCACGTCGGCACTGTCTGCTCAACTGGTTGCGGTGTCGACGATTTTCTCTTATGATGTCTATCGGGAGTATTTCAACAAGGCTGCCACGAATGTCCAGATGATGAGAGTCAATCATGCCGTGGTCATCCTTTGGGCCATCTTCCTCGCCAGCATCGACACTGCGTTCGCGTACATTGGCCTCAACCTCAACTTTCTCTTCTACCTGATGGCGGTGTGCACATCGGGCGCCGTTTTCCCAATCGGCCTCTTGATGTGCTGGACCCGGCTGAACAAGGCTGGCGCCATCTTCGGGGTCATGGGCGGTTTGGTCATGGGTATGGTGGCATGGCTCGTCACCTGTGTCACAACTCAGGGGACGATATCTGTGACGACTCTGACCGCCAGTAAGGTCATCCTCTCTGGTTCCTTGTCGGCCTTGGGCAGTGGGGCTATCATATCGATAGTACTGTCTCTCATAAAGCCCGCCTCCTTCGACTTTGAACTCACCAGAGCCATTGGCCGTGGCGCTGCGGTCCCGGAACCAGTAAGCCCGACGACCGGGCCGACCGAAAAGGTACCCCACCACAACCAGAGTCACGTTGCTGGGTCAAAGGACTTAGCATACGAGCCTGCACTTCGGTCGGTGGAAGGCGGAGGTCAGACCACCGAGGCCGATGCGAAGTACGCCGAAGAAGTGGTCAAACTCGAAGCGTCGCAGACTCGCTTCCGTATCATCACTGGACTCTTTCTGCTTGTCATTCGTGAGTACCGCGTCTCCATCTGTCCCGGATATAGCTAACCATTTCTCAGTCGTCCTCATTCCCGCTCCGCTCGCCGGCACCGCCGTCATCTACCCGAAGGGTCTCTTCATTCTTCAGTGCGTGGCCGCGGCCACATTTGTGTTCGTCAGTCTGATTCTGATCGTATCTGTGAGTGTCCCTCTTCTGTTTTGTAGCAATAGCGACTAATGCGTGAATACTAGTGGCCACTATTCGAGTCACGAAAGGAGCTCGCAATCATCTTTGGTCGAATTGCCCGCAACGAGCGACTGGATATCAGCCAGCCACAGCAAGAATAGATTTGCGAGTAGTAATGCGTCTAGCAAAGACTGCAATAACATGCTAATTCAATAAACACTACCACCGTGACTCCGTTCCCTGATCTCATTCTCTATGATCTGCTCAATCTCTCTCACCTCATTCTCTTTGGTGACTTCAGCCTCACTAGCTTCCACATCACTTGGCGCATCCCCTAACGCATCTGCCATGGGTCGATTCGGGTCATCACGCGATCGGGTCGAGGTGTCGAACTCCCCTCTCAACGCGCGAGCCAGTGACGACGAGAATTTGTCTTTATGTGCATGACCAGCTTCTGCAGCTGGTGGTGTTGTCTCGTTTTCGTCGTCTGATCCGGCGAATGGAGAGCCAGCACCTGATCTTGAACCTCCTCCGTCACGGCCAAGGTATGGCTTTAACATCGGCACGCTTGGTTTTTTCTTGCTGGGGCTGGCATCCAATGACATATTATTGAGGGAGGTGCGAAGGTTGCTTGTAGACCGAACCCGGCTCCGACTCTCGCCCCTACTTGCGGTTGCGCTTCCTCTTCGCTTAGCCTTTTCTGCGCCGGGCTGCTGCATCTCTTCGACCTCTTCTGCTACCTCGGTCTCGTCTTTGAACATCTCTGCTGTATTCTTCCGCGTCGGTCTGGGCAGCTGACTATTGCCGGTCGCATCATGGGCCGATCGATTAGAAGTCCATCGCCGCACGGGGATTGGCTCGATATTGACTGGTGGTGCTGAGGCAGAAATACTTTTTCTCGCGGCTCGCTCCCTTCTAAGGTCCGACCACCGTCTCAAGTTGTTCTGCAGGACGTATCTCCCATTGGCGGCTAGCTTCATGACCAGAAACTCGCAGTGATTGATGTTGCGCAAGTCCTCGAAGAACTCAACGCTGTAATGATACCATGCCATCAGGAATATGCGACTGCAGAGACCATGGGTCACCAATATCGCTACACTGGCCATGGTGTCCTCGGAGAACCGGCGCCACAGTGAGCCATTGAATGAGGAGACTCGGTCGTAAACATCAGCTCCACTCTCGCCGTTGGGTATCCGGTAGAAGAAGTGTCCATACTCCGCACGCTCTCTCCAGAGACGCTCGACTTCGTCACCACCTGGCTGGAAGTTGCCAAAGTCCTGCTCCCTTAATCTTGGCTCCTCGTACACTTTGATGTGAGATCTCCGGAAGGGCGATGGAACTGGATCATTCGAGCAGAGTCCACTCAGGATGCCTTCAGTCGTCTCTCGGGTCCTTCGGTATGGCGAAATGAAGAAGTGGACTGTGTCATCGTTGCGGAGAAGAGCTCGGAGTTTTTCACCGGCCTCCATGGCCTGCTGGTGTCCGTCTGGGGTCAGGGGGACCCTATGGTCCGGTGTTTTTTGGTGGATGGTCTTGTCTCGATTGCCTTCAGACTGTCCATGGCGGATGATAATGATCAGTCTTGGTTTCCCCATTGTCGGTCCTGGCACTCAAGTGTTTTCATAGAAAGTGCTTATGGACGGGTTCTGGTGATTTTACATAAAGAAGAAGCGTGATTGGATTGACAAGGACAACCGACTCAGCAGAAACAGAACAGAATCAGTCGTGCACTTGCGAACATCAGGCCTTTGTATGGAGGAATGCAAAGACGGTGACAGCCTTACTGGTGGTATGTCTATCACATCATGGCACGTGCCAAGCCGCTATCCCAGATAGGACTAGCTCAGCCGCGGGAGAGAATCGCGGTTTGTCTCTGTCTGGTCGCGACTGCGATTTCGACCTCGTCGTCGCCGACACTTTTTGTCCAGTCTACAACCCTCGTCGCCGCACCCTTCATTCTTCCGCCTCCTTCGCACCTCGGTACTTCTTTCTTCCGACCGTACAGATATCGCCAAGGCGACAGCGAGATGAACCAACAAATGCAAAACTATCGGCAGTATGCCCAGGCGCAAGCCAGGCCGCCGACAACCAGTCGAAGACCAGGTGAGCTCTATCCAAGCACAAGTCGTCTTCAACCATGGTTCGCCATCGCGCAGTCACTATGCCGGTGAAGCCCAAGATGCGTTGGGACGCAATGGATGGTCGCGCGGTACCAAGAAACCTAGACCCTTTCATTCAACTCCTCGTCGATAATGGCGTGATCGCTCCATACAACGCTTGTCAGGCACAAATTCAAGATCCAGTCTACTTACAAACCTTGTTAGGCCATATCCCTCCTCAGCACGCCGCACAACAACAAGCCCAGGCTCAAATGCTCAACCAGCAAATGCAACAGCGAAATGCTGCAATCGAACACCAAAATGCCCAGCGCCGGGCGCGAAAGCCTACCGATCTGAACCCTCCCGACGGAATCGAAGACATTGTGATCGGCGATGGTGCAAAACAATACAATGCGTTGCGAGAGGGAGAGAAGCGATTGGACTCACTCATGGCACGAAAGAGACTGGAGTATCAGGACAATCTGAGCAGGAACAACAAGCGCTACAAGACCCTGCGCATTCAGATTTCCAATACCGTGGCCGATCAACACTGGCAAGACAGCTTTGAGGGCGACAGTTTCACTTTCGAAGATCTCCGTGCACCTACCTACAAGGTCAAGGTTCAGGGCAGATTACTCGAATATGCCGAAGACGATCTCATGTACAGCAGCGACGAGGAGGATGAAGTCATGGAAGAAGCCAAGCCTAAGGCACCAAAGAAGAAAACTCTCACCGAGCCATCGAAGCCATTCAGTTCTTTCTTCAAGGAAATGAACGTAGAATTCGAAGGAGCGACAGCCAACTTTTCAGATCCCAACACCACTGTCACTTGGAAGAAAGGCCAGAATAACAGCAGCACCGATCTTGACAGTTTCGTTTTCCAGCGCAAAGCCGATGAAAACACCAACATCACCATCTGTCTTACCCGCGACGAACAACCCGAGCGATTTCGCCTGAGTAGAGCTCTGGCCGACACCTTGGACATGGAAGAAGCAGATCGTGCTGAGGTAGTCATGGGATTGTGGGAGTACATCAAGCTCATGGGTCTTCAAGAGGACAACGAACGACGAAGCATCCGTTGCGACGACAATCTCCGCCAAATTTTTGGTCTGGAAACCATCTTCTTCCCACAAGTCCCTGAACGAATCATCGCACATCTCCACCCTCTTCCACCGATCCGCCTGCCATACACTATCCGCGTCGACCAGGACTTCCACAAAGACCCCCAGCCGACAGTTTACGACGTCCAAGTGCAAGTCGAAGATCCGCTGCGCGCCCTCATCCTCAAAATGACCAGCAGCCCTGAAAACCAGGCTACCTTGCGCCAGATCCAGAAGATCGATGAGGAACTTGCGGTTCTCATCCAGAAGATGTATCACATCAAAGCGAAACACACCTTCTTCTCGTCCATGGCTAAGGACCCTATCGGCTTTATTGACAAGTGGCTCGCCTCGCAGAAGAAGGATCTCAGTGTGATCTTGGGTGAATTGGAGAAGGGAGACGTCGCTGGTATGGAGTTCGCTAAGGGCGGACCTGAAGGTGTTTGGAACTCGGAAGTGGTCAGAGAGGCCGTGAGATACAGACTTGCGAAGACCGAGGCAGGAGGTCGTTGATTAACTTGAATGGAATGGCATAACATAGCGCGGCGTTTAGTGGCTGGAAATGAACTGAATTGAGTTGGCAGAGGATGCCACTCACAACGAGGTTGAAACCTTTATTGATGTAACGAATGGAACCTCTCACAATGGTGCTGCAATTGAATTGAATAGGCCGAGGGCAACCTGTCGCAACGATGCTGAAATCCTTATTAATGTAGCAGAGGAACGCCGGTCACAACAATGCGGATTGCCTTGTTGAGCTTGCAGATGGAAGTCTCTCGCAAAGGAGCTGGGACCTTTGTTGATGTGGGAGAGGAGAGTCCCTTACAAAGATGTACAAACCCTCATTGATGTCGCAGAGGGAACCAGTGGCAGGAGCTCCGACTAGATATATATGACTATGAAGTGATACCAAAGAACAATCGCCTACCGCTAAAACTACCGTGAGACCATCAAACTGTCCAGGACGCCCGCCGTGAATCTAATCACCTTGTCAATACCTTGACTGTTGATTGCGGACACTGGAAGCGCAGCAACGCGGTTCCTCCAACCGTTCCGGTTGCCGCTGGGATGAGCGATAGTACCGGCCTCGACCTGTCGAATATACTCGGCGAGTTTGGTGAACTCGCCCTGTGTGACACTGGCGTCTTTATCCGCTTTCGTGGCGATGACGAACCATGGTTTTGCACTGATGGGAGGGAGCTTTAGTGGTTCCAGATTCCTGCTCGGAGGAGGTGGGAAGATAGCTATGCTTTCACCAGCATCGTCGTAGACTTGCTGATCGTCGGGCGATGAGGATGATAGCGATTCAAAGGGGTTCCAATCGATGAGTTCTCTCTGAGACTGTTCGTTGAGTTCCCTATTGCGAAGGTTTTCGTACTCGCCGACTTCTTTCCACAGGTTTTGAAGCGCTACTACTGCATCGCCGGCACTGAGATCGATGACGAATGCGAGGATTCTGGCGCGTTCGACGTGACGGAGAAATTCGAGCCCAAGACCTTTGTCGAGGTGAGCGTCTTCGATGAGGCCGGGGATATCGGCCACCGTGAAATTGACTCTCGGTGGCCCGCCCTCGATGCCAGAGCGCACTAAAGGCCTGCCTTGGTTGTTGTCGAGAACCACGGTACCGATTGTGGGGGCAAGAGTCGTGAATGCCCAATCCCCGATCCTAGTTCGAGAGTTGCTGATTGCCCTCGTTAATGTGCTCTTGCCTGCGTTGGGTAGTCCCACAAGGCCAACATCCGCAAGCAATTTGAGCTCCAGCTCCAGTTTCAGTCGGACTCCCAACTCGCCCTTGGTTGCGTATTTGGGTTTCGGACCCTCTTTGCTCGCAAAATGAGGGTTTCCGAGTCCGCCCACAGCTCCAGCGGCCAACAGCCTCGGCTTGTCCATCGCTTTATCCAGATCGAGATTGATCGGTGCGCGTGGTTGAAGAACCGCCAGATGAGATCTCCTGGGCTTTACAGGGCCCGGTAAACGTGCGGCGACGTCTTTTGCTTCGTTTGGAGTGACACCGGCGTAAAGAATCCATTTGTTGCGAAGACCATTATCGGGCGTCGAGGGCAGGTCTTCGTCGGACATGGCGCGCAGTTCCTCCAATCTTGCTTCCTCGTCCGCCACAGGATCACTGCGCCATATCTCTCGCACGACAGTGCCCACGGGCACCTGTATGCAGATGTCTTCTCCTTTGCGACCGCCCTGACTCTTTCCCTGTCCGCCAATGCCTCGTGGTGCTTTTATGATCCCCCTCCTCGCCAGTTTGTGCAGACTCGTCTGTCCAGCGACAGCTTGAATCCATATATTACCACCCGATCCTCCGTCTCCCCCATTGGGTGGTCCATCAGATATGTGCGCGTCTCGAAGGAAAGACACACATCCATTCCCTCCCGTGCCAGCATGTACGGTCAGGGTGCACTTGTCGACAAAGACATTGCGGCCGTAGTCATCCGGTGTAGGATTCAGACGACTACTAGTGATGGGAGGAGGTGGTTCAAGCGCGGCGGCCTGTTTGGCAGTATTTGACTCCGCAAGTGAGGATTGTTCGCGCCGGTTGCTGTTATTTAGATGTCTGCGTATACTGGGAGGAATCCGCGGTGCTTGAGACCGAATTGAAGGCGCTGCGGACCGGAGAAGGCAAGGGTAGAGAAACGGCAACAGAGGGCCTTGGATCGGACTCATGTTCTCAGCATAATTGACCGCAATCGAAAAAGATGCCAGGAAATTTTGGATCCATGGAAAGACCTGGACTTATTTTATTCAAGTATTGGCTCTAGATTGAGACTGAGGCACGCTTTCACTTTCCCCAGAAAAAGTTCGCGACTAAGCGAGATTACGTAAGGCACTATATCTTCCACCATTTGTGATTCCAGGGGCGAGGCTGACTCTGCTATTCCCCCCCAATCCACGTCAAAAATGTCCGAATGTACACACGATGACTGAGACGCATGCTCCGCAGAACTCGCAACCCTCCATGCACGGCCTGGTGTCCAATCCACCCTTCGCAGTACTGGGCAACGTAGATGGGCCGATCACCACGATCAACGCCTGCTCGCGCAAGTCCACGATTCGCTGCTGAGAATGTTGAACTGAGCGGATGATACCAGCGTCCGGGAACTCATCGAATTCGACTGCTTCTATGATCTCTGGATGCAGCCGCTGACATACCTGAAAGAAGGTAAATTTGAAATTCGAGTACTTGACTTTTGAGGTCGACGATAAGTCTTCCCCCTGCGGAGTAGAAGCTGGTCGTGCCACAGTATCGAATGGAGATGACTTGCTCGCAGGATCACCACGCTTTCACAGAGGATGTGCATGCCTGAGTACTCGTGAGTATACAATGTACAGGCGCGAGTATGATGCATTCCCGGCAATCAGGTCCTTGAGCTTGCAACAGATCCCAGTTGCTCCTGTTAAACCTTGATCCATTCTGAGCCAGCACTCATATACACTTGTCACAAATTCTCAGTGCGGTTGCTCTGCGTAAAACAGAAGCCAGCATAGCCTCCCTCAGAAAAAGAGAAACACTGCGTTCTCTCGAGCTCTTGGCAGACGCGATACCGTGTCTTCTTGGTGCCTGACGGCAATCTCATCGTCGTTCAGATATCTGACTGGCACGCCGTCTTGTTCTCTCCTTGGAGGATTTCACAGTCTTCTCGAGTAGTGTGTCTTTATATATAGAGCCGTAAGAGCATCGGAATATGCTTCGGCCTGTACCTGATTCGAAGCTACCAGTATCGTCTGTGGTATGTATGCGTGGTAAGTGCTGTCTGAGCACTAATTCTTCCGCAATGATTGCTTCCACGGTAGACTGATCCGCTTGTACCTCTTTCGGCATGTCTTCCTTGTTTACTTTATGCTGGTCGAGGATTTTGCGTGCAGCCTCTAACTCGTTTCTGATCGCCACACAAAGTTCCCATCCTGTACCTCTTCCTTCATTCTGTCGAGGTCAAAACTAGGGAGGGACATAGCTCGCATGCATCTTCCTGACGGCATCTGAGGCAATCACATCTGTCTTGCGTGAGAGATTGCTCTATTTCGTTCATGTTGAGAATAGTTCGCAGTCAAGGCTCCCTTTTGCGAGACGAAGCCGTTGAACTCTGTCGCTACGGCTTGTCTCATCCAGGCGACGCTTTATGGTCGCATGTCTTTCCGAAATCGTGGCTTGGTCCCGTTTCTGTCTGCTGAGTAGCTCTAGCAGCGAAGTAGTCTCCGGTGTGCATGAGGAGCTGGCAGCCGGGTCGATGAAGGTAGATCGCTCTGACAAGCTCCTTACCTTCTTCTGCCATTCGTCCAAGCACGAGCCGTCGAGCCTCAGCTTAGTACTAGTCTTGCACGCTGCTAGCTTTTCCCATATAGGACCTGGATCTGCATTCTTCTTGAATGCCGCAAAAGCCAAACCCTTCGGTAGAAATAGTCACCCACCTTCCTCTTCTGGGACAACGGCGTGGCAGTAGGTGTAACAACGGACGCCAGGGATAAGATTGTAGAGAGCGAGGAGCAGCCGTGTCGCTCGCAAGCCATGTCGGGCAAGCTGGTCTCAGAATTGTTCCAAATATCATCTCTGGCCAGTGAGGCGTCGAGGACCTCGTTGCGGAATGTCTGATATCGTCTGAGAAGAGATATATTGCCTTTTACCCGAAGCCAGATTATGTCCGGTATACCGCAATGTTACCCGCCGCCCAGAAAGCTTTCAGGTCACGCAGAGGGGCCGCGTATCCCTCATCGCATCTCTCGCCAGTCGTGACGTCTTGCGTTGCATTCGAGATGAACTAGGCCTCGAATTGTGGCCCGTATCGCGTCTGGAACTCTCCCGAGTGTGGCCCAAATCTAAAGTCGGCAACCCACGAAGAAGATGAGCAATCTTCCTCCGCCGGGCTAGGGAGGCTAAACCTTAGACATGGTCGTTGGCAGCGCTCATGCTGTTTTGTTCCTCGATCTGAACCATTTCGCCTTTCCGCATTTCCATTCCCAACAGGTCGCCGTTCCCTTTCGAACGTTACGCGGCTTGCCGCCGGCAATGTTATCATCTCGTTCGGATTGCTCATTGCTTGAGCCGGCGCCGGCAAGTTTGGAGGCATTCGCGTTTGCCGATTCCAGCAACCACGCCGTCTTCCGGCTCCAAGTCTATAGCCTCGTTACTCAAGAGGAGGCGACCTTGCCGAGATCGATGTCGACTGGTGGCAGCCGGCAGTCTGAAGTGCTGCTCCCTCTCTGCCGACCATGCGCAAAGTGTTCCTCAGTATCCCTACACACCGTTTAGGATATGCTCTTTGAAAGTATAGCATTTTTGCAGCATAGTATTGATTAACGTATTTCCGGATTCGAGGATGTCTTGCTTGCTAGGTCTGTGTCAAACCTCGATGCGAATAGATGTATGCCAACTCCGCTAGGAAACGGCGCTCTGCAGGTAGAGGTACTCATCGCTGGCAGCGACGACTGTTCAGACCGGGACTGTACTCCATGGTCGCACTCTCATCGAATTACCCAAAAGGGGGAGCTTGCGGTTGTCGTAGCCTCCCATAGTCTCGGGAGAATATGAGCAGATTGGGAAAAGCTCTTTATTTGCCGCGAGCATGTCGACATTAGGTAGTATTGAGAAGGCTCCGTGGTGCATAGAAGCAGTGTGTTTACCTTCCAAGACTGGACGCCAACGTGCCGAAGTATCAGAGGAAGATTCCAGTAGTTCGGCGCTCCATGATGGTTAAAGTATGTATATATACCTGCGGTACATGAATGCATCAGAGATCAGTCATCACGTTTGGACCTCCAGCATATTGAGGCAGGAGAGGCTTCTTATAGCTCCAACCGCCAGCTGCCAGATCTGGCCATGAGTCACAGACTTACCTCATTCAATGATAACTCATCTCGATTGAACGAGTATCTTTCCCTGACTCACCTTCGTGAATCTCAACTCTTCATCCATTGAGACTCTTTCTTTGATTGCAGGAAGTTCTCCTGTTTGGACAAGGGAGAGCGAATCGTCGTTTGCGTCGATCAAAAACTCAGTCTTTCCATAGTGTCGCGATTGTCTTGGTTGTGGTGAAGAACTGGTGGCCTTTGAAGCCGTGAATGTTGATGTCTGCGCATGACAATTAATGTTAGCCATTGTTTCCTAAGATGAACCTCTTGTGGGAATTTATCCTACCTCCGAGGAATGAGTCCTTGTTACTGCTGTTGGAGACTTGACCTGAAGTGGCTGTTGTGGTTAATTCTTGTTAGCTCCCATTCAATGCCCATGGTTCGGCTGTCTCAGAACGCACCCAGTAGAGGAACATTGATGCCGATACGGCCAATGTTCACCTTTTTCTGGAACGTCATTGCCTTTCCAGAATTCGTCGTAAATATGGAACATCCATTGCCATCTTGATATGTTTGTCAGTACGTGTCTCATTTTGAAGACGGAGTCCTCACATCTGTTCTCGTTCAAGACTTCAATAGCTTCCTCCAGATTGTCGACTTGTAGGCAAACCAGTACCGGGCCCATGATCTCCTTCTGGTAGCATTCCATGTAGGTCTGCACATTTGATATTACGGTTGGGCCGATGAAGTTGCCTTCAGGGAAATCGGGGACTTTGACACCACGACCGTCCAGAAGTATGTCTGCCCCATCATCCGCAGCGCTTTGAATGATATCTTCGACTCTTTTCTTGGCCTTGCGACTGATCACGGGCCCCAGTGATACTCCAGGTGTAGCACCCGACCCGACGACGAATTGCTTTGCGATCTCAACCAAGGCCGGTATCCACGTTCGACTCTCGCCAACGAACACAGCGGCACTGAGGCCCATACATCGCTGACCAGCAGCGCCGAAAGCACTCGCTGCAAGAGCATGCAGGGTGGAAGAGACGTCGGCATCGGGTAGAATGACTCCATGATTCTTGGATCCGCAGTTGGCCTGAGTCCTTTTCATGGCGGTGATGGCGGTCTTGTAGACGTGTGCTCCGGCCTCGTCCGATCCGATGAACGAGACGGCCTTGACGGCAGGTTCAGTGATTAACTTGTCCACCACAGCAGGACCTCCATGCACGATGTTCAAGACGGCCCGAGGAAACTTCGCTTCTACAAAGAGCTTCGCAATAACCGTCATGGTCAGTGGCGCCTGCTCAGACGGCTTGAGTACCACACTATTCCCAGTAGCAACGGCAAATGGAACGAGCCACATGGGCGTCATCAAGGGGAAGTTGAAGGGCGTGATTGCCACGCAGACTCCTAGCGGCTCGTTGATAGTACTAGTTGCTGTTGCTTCGTTGATGAAGTGAAATCCCAGAATGCTGCTCGTGACAGAGAGTGCAGCTTCAATCATATTGATAGCGCGCGAGATTTCAGACCTTGCATCGGCAATCGTTTTTCCAACTTCGCGCACGATTGCACCGATCTGGGAAAGAGTAGATACATTAGCGAACATGATGGGAGTTTATAGAGATGTGCATGATTCCATACTAATTCGTTTTCATTGACCCGCATCAGCTCGATCAGTCGTAAGAGTGGTACTCTTCTCTTTGACAAGGGCAACTGAGACCAGTAACTTTGACCTTCCTCTGCAGCAGCCACTGCTGCATGGACCTCACTAGCCGTCGACTCCGGCACTCGAGTCAGAAGTTGTTGGGTGGCCTAATCATTGTGAGTGAGGCCAAGACGTAGTATCCAGACTTTGGAGACTCTTACTGGATCATGTACCAAGGACCACTGTCTTGTCTTCGACGTCACGAATTCGTTATTGACAAAATTGCTTGTCACAACGGCGGGTTTGAAGTCGGGCAGTAAGTTGGGAGAAAGGGTTTGTCCTGCGGGTGTACAGTCGGTATGAAAGACACCGTCATCTGCTTGATTTCCACGCGTTTGATCAAGAAAGTCTGGATTCTCCATGGATGCCCAAGCAGCCATGTCCAGTGGAAATTCACCAAAATCTTGGACGGCCGCTGTTGTTGGCGTGACGTTCATGCGAGCCGAGTACATGTTGTCGGCGTTGAGCGACGCCGACGAGGATGCGCGCTCAACAGGAGAAGCCACCACCCTGGTGTCATTGGAAACGCTCGTTTTGGCACGCTTCTCTCGCGAGTTTTGCTCCGGCACCGCGTCTGCTGCCCGTTTGGGTTTGGGTGCAAGACGTGGCAATGACGCCCGTGAGGCTGGTGGTGGCATTGCTAGATGTAGCGAAAGCAATGGTCGTGATGACGAGCGGTGCTAGACAGCCTGTCCCAAGCCGGCTGAAAAGGGTGGGGACACGTCGGATAAGGTGATGGCCTGGGGTACTGTAGGTTTGACTACCTAATGTGGACAAGTGTGTAGAGCAGGCAAGGGACGATAAGGAGTATCGTTTAGTGTGAAAGAGGTCCTTGATTCCAAGAACATCATGCGGTCAGCAATATCCTGGTGGCAGGAATGGACGATGTGGTGCTCTCTGAGTGATTGGCAGGACAGCTCAGGTGGTTTTGAGATTGTGTTAGGGTTTGACTCATCGGCCCATCGCCGATAGTACGATCGCACGAGGTGCGCGGTAAGAAGCGGGATGTGCAGGGACGGGCGTCTTGGGCAACGGGCGTGGTTTTGGGTGCGATTAGGTTGGGTTTGGGGTGGATGTCAAGATTTTGGTAGTGACGCATCACCAAAGAAATCCCCCTACCAGGAAAGGCAACAGAAAAGCAATGCCAAGGCTTGGCTTTAATCGCCGGAACCCTAAGAACGTCTTATCAAGCCCATGCTAGCCAAAATAGGTATACATCGATTCATCGCACGTGTCCGACTCCACTCGTCTCCCCTTAGATCTCGGAAACTCGGATAAGGTGCTACTCGTAGAGTGCAGATAGAACGCCGTACGGAAAACACCGCTCGAGAGTCCGCTATCCACGGCCGTCTCCATCACAACACCATCATGATTTGCTTTAGAATTCTGCGCTCCTCTTCCACTTTCCTCGTGGTGGCAAGAAACTAACACATTGGACCAAAAAGAGCAAATACATGAAGCACAACGTCAGGTTCATATAAGCCTACCCGTCCACCTTCGCCAGATCATCATCATTCGTGTGCAGTGGGTCGAAGACTGAAATGCTAAGTCCAGCGCAAGTGTTTCGACCGCTTTCCCAAGGCATCCACTAGAGCTGGTATTTGAAGTGAACAGCCATGTCTCCCTTGCCATCGTCAGTGAAACCCTCTGCAATATTTCTGTCCTTCTCCGCGTTTCGTTTGCGTAAAATCCACATCATAACCCAGGTAGAGCACCAAGTCAGGCCAACAGCGGTCAAGCTCACTGCCATACCAGTTTTGTAGTATGGCGACTCGCCGGTCAAGAAAATTTGTCCAGCGATGACACCACCAGAGTTGCCGATGGTCTGGTTGATACCGATTGCGGTGGCACGTTTGTAATGCGGAGCCATGTTGGTATTGAGCCAGGTCAAGTTCAATCCGGGAACGATCGGGGCCCCGAACAGAACCAGGAAGCAAGCAAAGTATCGCACATGTGGTTTGTGGCTGCCCAAGAGTACAGCGTATCCAGTCATGATGAAGATCCCAGCAAAGAGCATAAACGGTCCTCTGCGTTTCGTCTTGTCGGAGAGGGTGGCGCAAGTGAAGTATGCAATTGTGCCCAGCAGGTAACACGGGATAGTCATATATTGCACTTGCAAGCTGGTATAGCCGAGGCCTTTGATGATGGTGGGCAAAAAGGTCGAAATACCTGAGAGGGAATCGTTAGCAACGTAATGTTGGGTGACCTTCAACTTACTGTAGTTGTAGATGTCCGCATTGAATTGAATCCATCCCGACAGCCAGCACACTGGATCTTTGAATGCCGCTTTGACGTGAGCATAATCCAGAGGTTCATAGTTGCCGTGCATCTCGAGGCGAGCTCTGGCAATCTCCCTCTCTTCCGGGGTCAAGAAGTATGCTGTCTCTGGGCTGTCTGGGAATAGCCAGTATGCCGCAATGCCAAGGCAAAATGAGATGGCTCCTTCGATGAAGAAGAGCCATCTCCAGCCAGCATAACCCCCAGTACCGTCCATCTGCAGAATTGCCCACGCGAAAAGACCGCCGAATGCGCCGGCGAGGGAGAGGGAAATACCAATTCCTGATGCTCTCCTGGCAATCTCCTCGCGTTTCCAGAACATGGACACGTAGAGATTCAGTGATGGAAAGAGCGCCGACTCGCACGCTCCGAGGATGAGTCGACAGGCGAGAAGTCCACCGTAAGACTGGCAGAAACCGGTGAAACAGGTCACAAGACTCCAGGAGATCATGATAACCGGGACTAGCCAGCATTAGAAACGTGTCAAAACAAGAGGGTGACCCAGATTCTTACCCATCTTAGAAGGTCCAACCATCTTGAATAGAATGGTCAATGGAACCTCGAAAACGACATAGGTTACGTAGAAGATGGATGTGACCACTGCAAATTTGATCAGAATGTGCTCCATTCGAGCGAGACGACAACAAGGGAAATACCATTAAATTGGTGTTTGACGAGACCGAGATCGGTCTCCATGCCTGCAACTTTGGCATTTCCGAGATTTGAACGATCCAAGAAACTGAAGAGGTAGGTAATCATGAAAACCGGCACGATGTACATGTCCAATTTTCTGACGATTTTCTTCTCCTTGACCGGATCGATGTAGATATGGTCGTGGCCGCCCTCGCGGGCAGCATATTGCTCTTGGGCGATGCCCAGAGCAACGGGCTCAATGGTTTCTTTCAAAGAATGCATGTTGAACGTAGGACCACGAAACGCGGCGGGCAAGAAGTCACGGCAGCTGGTCGTGTGATGGAAAATCCCCTGTTGGACATCAAGCAGGACTTTATAGAATAATATCCGTGCGGCTAGTCCAGCTCTCGATAACTCCCGGTATCGCAGGTGGACCGAGCTACTGTCACTAACTAGTAGTATACAAGACGTCTATCCTATCTCGAACAAGACGACACGGCTCAGAAGAGAAGGTTGTCTGAGCATTCACAAATCACGAGATGGGAGATCGGTAAGATTGAGTTGACTAGATCCGCAATGTTTATCTTTTATCTGCGAAACGGGACATGACTGGTGGATTGGGCCCGTCTCGAAGGTTTCCCGATTATCTCGTGGCCCGAGAGTACTCCCAACCAATGACCATGCTTGATAACGAACCGTCATTAGATGATAACGAAGATAAGTTCCAGCTTCGATGCCACTGTGGTTGGTTGAGGTAGTCTTGCAGATATCCTATTGGTCAACGCAGTAATGAAGTCGAGTGCTTCAATTGGGCCGTTTCTGGGCCCAATGACCTTGTGGCAGAGGATCTTGAATCTGTCATACGACTCCATACCCGAATTTCCATTGTAGGTTGTCTGAGGAAAAATTGTTTTTCTTCAATATAAACAAGACCGATCTGGCTCACGAGGTACGTAGAGTCGAACATTCGTCAATACGTTGTGGCTTTCTCCTGATTAACACCAGCCCGACTTATATCACTAAATTTACTGCAACCATGTCGCCTCATAAATTGGAAGATGTCGGATGTGAAGATACTGGAGCCAAGCAATTCAAGCAGGCATCAATTCCAAGCCCCGGAGCCCCTGGTGTAAGTCCCTTATTTCATCTTCCTCCCAGATGCACCAGCTAAGAGCCAGCAGGTCCCCTTCTATACACCAGTACAAAGCTACCCATCCGGGTCTGCCACCAACCCACAGCCTGATGGACGGCCCATCCCCAAGGTCTTCCAACCACTGAAGATTCGTGGTCTCACTCTGCACAACCGAATCATGCTCTCTCCACTTTGCCAGTACTCGGCAGAGAATGGCCATCATACCATGTGGCATTGGACTCACCTAGGCGGCATCGTCTCCCGAGGTCCTGGACTTGCTATGATAGAGTCCACTGCAGTCTTGCCCGAGGGCCGTGTCACACCTCAGTGCTCCGGCATATGGCAGGACAGCCAGATCGAGCCGTTGAAGCGTATCACGGAATTTGCGCATTCCCAGGGCCAGAAGATGGGCATCCAGATCGGTCATGGCGGTCGAAAAGCCAGCACTGTTGCTCCTTGGTTGAGCAAAGGTGCCATAGCGACGGAGGAAGTCGGCGGATGGCCAGACAGCGTCATGGCTCCGTCAGCTATCCCCTACGCCAAAGGCTACGTTGTACCGAAATCCATGAGTCTCGAGGACATCGAAGAATACAAGGCTGCGTATGCCGCTGCTGTGAAGCGAGCCATAGCGGCCGGATTCGACGTTGTTGAGATCCACAGTGGTCACGGTCGTTTGTTGCATCAGTTTTTGTCGCCCGCCAGCAACGTACGAACGGACCAGTACGGTGGTAGTTTTGAGAACCGGGTGCGTTTGACGCTGGAAGTTGTCGAATTGGTCCGGTCCATCATTCCAGAGTCTATGCCACTGTTCATACGGATCAGTGCCACGGATTGGCTGGAGAACACTGACTATGCCGGACCCAGCTGGACAGTCGCAGACTCTGTCCGACTTGCGCCTCTCCTTGCTGATCGTGGTGTCGACCTCATTGATGTCAGTTCAGGAGGACTACATCCTGAACAGAAGATTGCCAATGTACCGAATTACCAGGCTCCGTTCGCAAGGGAAATCAAGAAGGCAGTTGGTGATCGAGCATTGGTGTCGACAGTTGGCCGGATCGTGTCAGGAAAGCAGGCGAATGATCTTCTTACCGGAGAGGGTGGTGAGGAGCCACTGGACTTGACAGCCGTGGGTAGGATGTTCCAGAAAGAGCCTGGTCTGGTCTGGACCTGGGCACAAGAGTTGGATGTGCAGATTCATGTTGCTAACCAAATCCGGTGGGGCTTTTCGAGGGACAAGTCTGTTGCGCAGGAGTAGGTAGATCTATACGGTCTGGCTTTGGGTGTACAGGGTTTCATCGGAAAATTACCATGTATACAAACTATTGTTCTATATCTACACAGCTAATCTTAGCGGAAGTCTCAGTAAATCAGCTTAAGATCTCGACATGACTCGAAATCTCCAAGGAACATGTCAAAGTTAACAAGGTGAAACACGGATGTAATGAAATGAGAAAAAGAATATGCCACCGCGACATTTCTATTGGAAGTACGAAATGCTGTGACTTGTGAGTGAGACTGATATATACAGTATAACAGTCATGATTATAAGTCCAGAATCTGTTTGGAGTTTATGGACTTTTTGCATCATCATAACCAGTTCCCCATGCGCCGCTACGAAAAGTCATGAACTCCTCAGCCTCAATGCTAGCATGAAGATTTTGATTAGCATGACATCTTCTTCGCAAATTTATGCAAACACTGAGACTTACCGAAACATCTTCCCACTGCTCCCATCCACGACCCTTGACCTGTTTCAGGTCCTCATCCGTAAACTTCTTGCCGGTCGTGAAGTAGCCGGCGTTGATTTTGGCGTCAATCTCGACTTTTGAATCTTCTGGAATCATTTCTGCGAAAGCATGGTCTTAGTGATTGAGTAACACGAATCGCTGATGTGACTCACTATCTGGGATGGGAACACGTTCCAAGATGGGGATACCCTGCTCGACGATCGCATCGTGCTTCATATTCGACATAGACAGCATACGATCGATCTTCTTTATGCCGAGCCACTGCAAAATATCAGGCATGAGGGCTTGGAAACGCATCTGTGAATGATTAGCTTGGCTCATAGGTGAAATCGAAAAGATGTTTCCGCGTACATCTCGAACACCGGCAATATTTTCTGTTCGTGTGAAATACTTGTCCGCAGTGTCACCTCCTCGTTTCCGCGAGTTATATACCAGGTACTTCACCACTTCTCCAAGAGCACGTCCTTCCTTGCGGAAGTAGATGACGACACCGCTTCCTCCCTGTTGCGCCTCCTGAATGGCTTCTTGGATACCAAATGCAAGGTACGGTCTGCACGTACAGATGTCTGATTGGAAGACGTCGCTGCCATTGCATTCGTCGTGGACTCGCAGTGCCAGCTTGACTTTCTCGTCTGATACACGTTCTGGTGGACCGAAGATGTAAACCGTGAGTCCTCCAATTGGTGGTAGAAAGACCTTGAGATCTTTACGCGTGATCAGTTCCGGATAGCTACCTCCCATGTACTCGAACAAACTACGTCGAAGAGTATCCTCGTCGACACCAAATCGTTCGGCAACGCCCGGCAGATACCAGACTGGCTCGACCGCGACCTTCGTGACTCGCACATTGCCAGCCTTGTCAATGACGATGTCTCCATCGACGGGAATCTCTCCATCTCGAACAGCGTCCGCGATCTCACCGACACGCATCGTTGCTCGTGTGATGGCAATGGTGGGTCGAACATCGATGCCCTCGTCGAGATATTTCTGGTAGTACTTTACGATGTCATGTCCAAAGGGATCCATTGACACGATCTGTTTGGCACTGAACCAAGAGGGCTGAGGAGGGAAGTCGAATGTCGGTTGAGTGTTGTGGAAGCTTGGGCGGAAATCGGGTGGCAAGTCCCCAGAAGCGACGGCAAGAGCAGTGTAGACACAATACTGCCCTCCATGTGCGCCAATGGCGTTCCGCTTACCAAGTGTCTCAGCTCCACGAGCTACGAGGATGGGCCCTCGTTTCTCAGCAGACTCAGCTCCCCATGTAAGAGGAACCGGGTCTACCACGCTTTGACCGGGATATGTAGTCAACTGTTGTTTTGGTTATTAACTTCTTGAAGTCTTCTCGCGAATGCCACTCGAGTTTATACCACTATGCGTCCACCCAATGCGTTGGATATGGGACTTTTGGATGAGGTTTCTGTGACTGCGGACGGCATCTTGTTCGGAGTATCTTGGTGTTTGAGGTGCGAAATAGTTTAGTAAAATAGCGAGGCCGAAATAATTACAAATTTCGGAATGTAAAGAAGAGAAACGTGCCAAACATTCCTCGAAGTAGACCGAGGGGCATCGATATATGAGGCTCAGCAAGTCTGGCTTCAACTGTTCTCTGGAGGATCAAGGCATGCCGTATTCCGACCATCTGACTGGACATGTGATGCGATAGCATTCTGAAAAACTTCGTCGTTTGAGATTGCGCATAAGGGGAAAGCAATCGGGAGAGCAATAGTTCGAGATTAGATCGCAGGTATCAGGACGCTCAGATCCGGATCTGGAGTCGGTGTTGCAAGAATCAGCGGATGGTAGTCTGCCAATCAAAGTAGGCAGACCGAGCGGTGCACATAATCACTAGATGACCAATTATCACAGCGATCGATGATAAGAGTGAATCATTCTGTGAGTATCTCCAATGGAAAGCTTGGACGGACTGTCGATAACGGTATCAGATAATGCTCCCATTGGTCGACAACAACGACTCCACGGTAGTTGTCCTTGAGTCAACTACTATGTACTCACAGTCTGAGGGCTTAGCTCAACACTGATTGGCAGATAGCAACATACCTGTGTCTCGGAGACCAGGCCAGCGGATTCTGCAGTGTCTCATTGACGAACAGCCCAACCCATGACGTTGCTGAGTCGACGGCGATCTCGATTTGTCACACTGCAACGGAGGAACAATCAAGTCTAGATCACACTGTCATCTCGTCTACCAGCACGGTCAAATGATTTCAGTGATCGTTAAAATTGATGTAATTCTGATTCTAGATTGCTACAGACTCGAGCTTTTTCAAAACACTGTACCATCGCTTTTGACTAGGATGGGACTTGATCGTGTTTCCGGTCTGTGCTGCGCCGCCAATTCTCTACCAGCCTTCCAGGTGCCGGCCTCCAGCACTTGCGCCATGCTGAGACTTAACGGAAGTCTCTGACTCACTAGTCCATGCATCTCATCAAGCAGGGCAACTGTGAGAGCTCGCCATTCCACAATAGCGTCATCCGCTACCTCGAACATTGGTAGAGCAGTGCCAGACACCTTTTGCCCACGCTTCAACACTTCTGGCTTCAAGGTGAGAACACCCGTGTCGACAAAGAGGCCACCGTTGCGATATTCCGGTAGACCTGTCAGGAGGTTTGACCCTTGCCAGGTATATCCCAAGACACGCTCAAAAGGTACCATGAGTGAGAATGCTAGCCATTGTGTCAGCTTGTGGAATGGCTGGATGTTGGCGACTCTGTCGTCCGTAGACTTCATCTCGACGCTATCCCCTAGACACTTCAGGGGCCAGGCATCACCAACTGGCTCCCCAAAGACTCGTGTTCGGTCTTTTGGCCAGATCGGAATGAGAAGACTCTGTAGTATGTTCCACAGATCGACCACCTGCAAAGTCTTCTGACCAGACTGTCTACTCGTAAGGTAATCTGATCAATCAGTATCAGCAGGTCTGGATACTCCACCAGCAAGTAGGATCCCGAATGACATACCGACTAGATTTCCAGGCCGGCCTTCGTCACCAAAGTATTGTGGATGTACCAATAACGAAGCCCCAAAAGCTTGGAGAAGCTTCGCTCGAGGTTCCAGACCAGTCAAGGGGTTTTCCGATGACACTTGCATGCCCTGAGATAGCACTGCTTCCGTAAGTCCTTGTAGGCCTTGTCCTGTCTATGTGTCAGCCATGTTCTCAGATCCATGACGGAGCAAAGATCATACCATTGACTGTGACAGCACCGTCGGCGCTGCTGCCAAAGCTGCCATTTTGGTACAGATAAAGACTTGCGACTGCGAGACCTTCACTTCTGCCGAACTTCAACCCTGTTTCTGGCTCCGTGTAAAGCCATGAATCTCCAGCTCCGGCATCGAGGAGTACAGATACGAAGAACAGGTCGATCAGGCGACGTGTACATTCAAAGTCGTCGACTCCCTCGGTCTTCCATTCGTGCAGCAGATGAGATACACGGGGGATGGCGCCAACCTCGAAATGTTGCCAGCGTCCATGAGGTGGAATGTGACTGAAACGTTCAGGACCAAAATCTCGCTACTCACTGCTGTCAGTTCCAATCATGCATGAACGGATTGCAATGTTCCGTACCGAGATGATGGATGCTACCAGATCCGCGGCTTTGGGTAGTGCTTCAGGATGAAAGTCAAAGTTGTTCAGGGTCCCCTGCTTGGCTGCTTCGTAGACGATCTCCGCACGATGTCGAATGGCCGGTAGCGACAACAACGTGTCAATCACAGATGATTCCGTTGTTTTACCCATTGAAGCGATGGGCAGAGTGTTGCACCTCTTCGGGACGTTCGCTCCGATACCATGGGCAGTCACAGGATATAAGAAAGTGACACAGTATCGAAGTCCATGATCGTCGTGAGGAGAAATTTTCAGCCTTGCTGATGCGCCCCTTGATCGGCCCCTGAGCGCGGATTGGCTGAAACAACCCAACCAATCAATTGCCTATCATCAATCAACGAGGGATCTCAGAATATCTAGCTCTCCTTCGTGATTGGTTCTTGCGTTCTGCTTACCCCTTTTTCCAATTGTCGTACGTTGTTCAGGATACGATTAGTGTGATGATGGCTTGTCCAACGCGATAAGATATGGTCTGCCATCGATGTGAAAAGTTGATCGCAACACTATGCTTCGGTATCTTTATCTTTCTTTTCCTATGGCCTATGGAGATCTTATCATGCCTAAGGATGCAGTGAAGTTCATGGAGCAGAGCACATGGCCCTTCTTACGCTGCACAGAGAAAGTGACCTGATGCCTGCCCTTTACTAGGAGGTTATATCAATATCAATGTATTCTCCCGATTTCTGGTCATCTCAAACATCAACGCGTGTAAAGGCCCTTCAAATATCAACGCGTGTAACGGCCCCCAACTTGTGTCATTCTCAACTTCACTTCCAGAACCTAGCCATCACCATGTCTAAAGACGTTCTTCCCTCCAATGTGCGAGTCCTTTCGTCGCCTGCCTTCGCTGCCAAACTCGCCATCCTGCGTGATCGGAGCATCAAGCCAAGAGCCGTCCGCAAATTGACAGCCGAACTATCAACCATACTCGCAGCAGAGGCATTCTCGGCTGGTAGCACGGCGTCCAAAGCTGCTTTGATTGTGGTGCTGCGTGCGGGTCTTGCTATGCAAGATCCCTTCCTCGATCAAGCACCTTCAGATCTTGATGTCTTTGTCTACCATCTTGGCCTGTTCCGCGACACTGTCACCCTGGAGCCGGTTGAATACTACAACAAATTGCCCACGAGAGACCGAAGCATCAAGCACGCCTACATTGTCGACCCACTCATCGCGACTGGTGGCACAGCTGCAGCAACGATCAACATTCTTAGGTACCTGGAATTGAAGATTGCTGTGTCTACTGCGCGAGGATCGGTGAAGACTGACTAGATTGTAGATCTTGGGGTGTTGAACACATCACGTTCCTTTCGATTTTGGCGAGCAGGGTCGGACTGGAGCAGGTGGCAAACACTTGGCCAGAGGGTACGGACTTCCTTGTCGGAGTGGTGGACGAGGACATCGATGAGAAGGGATATATCGTGCCTGGTTTGGGAGATATTGGTGACCGTTTGTACCGTACAAAGTGAGCGGAAGTAGTCTGTGGTCAAGCCCGCTTGGGAAACGTAGAGTAGAATGTAATCAAAATTGTGCACAATGTCTTATTGGAAACTGTTTGAAAGGAAGTCTTGTAGGAGAATGAGTGTGTAGGCCCAAATCAATCGTCTTTCCTCGATTGTTTCATGTCGTTCTTGTAACAAAGTGTAAAATCTTGATCATTAAGAGCTAAAGGACGATACAAATACTGCAAAGGCAACCATTCATCAACATGCCCTATGCTTGTTCCTGTATTCAGTCATGCTCTTGAAGTCCTTCTCCGAAGTCTCCTCGCCCATGCCGTCAATTATATCGTCCAGAGTAAGTACTGCAATCATGGGGATACCAAACTCCTCCCTCAGCAATGTCATAGCGCTCCGACTTCGTACATCATCTCCATTATCATTGGCACGCCCGTTGACGTGTCCAGTCACATGTCCGTTGGCTGGTGCATCCCCAGCTTCCATCCTGTCTAGAGCCACTACCACAGCAACCACTTCGCCACCTTGTGCTCGGATCGTTTGGATTGCCTCTCTCTTTGCCGATCCTGCCGTCACTACGTCGTCCACAATCAAGACCTTGTTCCCTTTCAGACTTGCCCCGACAATCTTTCCCCCTTCACCATGATCTTTGATCTCCTTTCGATCGTACGAGTAACAGAGTTGGCCATATTTGGTCGGGTGCATCCGTGCAAGTTCGGTCACAGCAGCCACTGCGAGTGGAATGCCCTTATACGCGGGACCAAACACGACGTCAAATTGAAGATCATGTTCCACACTGTACGCATGGATTGCTGAGGCAAATGCATGAGCGACTGAGGCCAGGAGATCTGCTCTGTAGAAGGCCCCAAAGTTGAAGAAGTATGGAGAGACTCGACCCGATTTGAGTTCGAAATCACCGAAGAGGAGGGCGCCGCCGCTTATGCATGTTTTCAAGAATTGTGCCTTATAAGGGGGCAGCCCTTGAGCCGCCATGATCATGGTTGTGAGGATGCTCTGGACAGCCAGAGGTTGGGCGTGGGATATGACGAACGAGTTTCGATTCTGGTTATGGAGTTCTCTTGTTTACCCGGATCATAGTGTTGCATCAGCCCGAAAGGGTGGAAGTAGTCATCTACGTAGGTGAACACCAATGCAGCGGTTTCATTGAACTGCCAACGAAGCATATCTGATAGGCTCGATCGCCTTATCGTTCGTGCACTATGATTGGCGGTGGTCGGAGAATCTGACCAGTCATAGGAAGCCGTGAGATCTGTGCCCTATCGACCACTTTAACTTGATTCGCCGCCCTATCGTCCAATAATGAATGCTCTCCGCTGACGATAGCCCATCAACAAATTAGACCCCTGAGGGAGTTTGCCAATTGCCCCCAAGGCTGAACAGATATCGATGTTGGGTTTTTGAACTTACAACGCCTCCCAGTGTCGGTGGGTTGAGGAGGATCGAAGGAACGGAGTTGATCGGTCTTGTCCATGACTCATGTGCATCCGAGAGTTGCCGGAGAATGATTGAGCAATCGTCACAGTCTCCTTTGCATTGCACATATCCGAAGAAGCGTGAAACCAGGTTCAAACGTCGCGATGCCGCTCGTCAAAATCGACATGATCAAAGGCGTTCGCAGCCCAGAGGAGATCAAGAAGGTGGCAGATGTGGTTCAAGACGTGATGCTGAGCACCTTCAACGCACCTCCACGAGACCGGTATGCTCATTCTGCGTCTTTCATACTTTCGCGAACCCTTTCACCTCTGACCGTGCTTCTGACATCCTCTAGGTATCAGATTGTAACGCAACATGAGCCATACGAGCTGATTTGCGAAGACACAAACCTTGGACTGGCACGTACTGAGAACCTGGTCATCATTCAAATATTCCAACAAGGTCGAAATACTGCCACGAAACAAGCAACGTACAAGGAACTGGCGAGGAAGTTAGAGGCTGAATGCGGTGTGAAAGGAAACGACCTCATCATCAGTTGCGCGCAGAACACCAAAGAGGACTGGAGTTTTGGAAACGGGGTGGCACAATTCTTGACTGGAGAGCTGTGAAGCAAGATTATAGATTTCATGATCGAAGAGGAGCAACATTCATCTTCACGCAGATAGCCGTGACAAATTGAATGATCAATCAGCTATCCTCTCTTGGTAAGCCGTCCAGGCTGAGAGTCGATACTTCTCTGCTTGCTGTACTCTGTCTTGGGCAGACAATATCCCCCGGCCAACAATGATTATATCACATCCTTCCTCCAACACAACCTTCCTCGAGGTCCGGTATTGTTGCCCAAGGCCGTCGCCCATTTTGCTATCATCAGTTTGTCCGTCCGGAGGGAGTTGCACACCGGGAGTCATTATCAGGAAGTTATCTTGCGGCCCTCTCAAGTTGGATTGGCCTATGAGTCCGGTCACAAAGTCCGGATGTTTTCGTGCTGCTTCAATGCACGATGAGGTGCATTCACCCGTGACCAGGCTTCCCTCGGAGCTCATTTGCGCCAGCAGCAAGATACCTCGCTCCATGGACGGACCGTTTGTCGTTTCCATTTCCGCATTTCTGAGTTTGTTTGCTGCCTCCTCAAGGGCACGAACGATTGCTGGGCCAGGAAATATGTGGACGGTGGTGAGATGAGCCCAGGTCGCAATCTTGAAGGGCCCTGCAATGTACTGCTTCTGCACTGTACCTGCGTTCTCGTCAGCTGATTAAACCTGGACCCTGCTAATGAACACGCACTTCCGATATCTGCAAACTTGCGATCTTCGAAGATCAAGAAATCCTTCCTCTTACTGATCTCCAGCAGAGCATCAGCAGTTTCCTTGGACCAGTCCTCGACGGCGTCGGCATGAGTTTTCAAGATAACAATGACATCGCCGAGCTCTTCAGCTACTTGTAGAAGCTCGGCACTTGTGTCAACATCGGCAGCGAGACATAGGGTGGATTGCTTCTTCTCAATAAGGGAGCACAGTTGTGCCTGGAGCGGCGACGTGCCAGGCAGATTTGCCCGCGAATGGAACGAAAGTCTGTGTCGGTCCACCATTGTATTGGACAGTGGGTAGGAAGACCAAAGAGTTCTGTCTCTGACAGAGACATTCAATCCGTGGGCGAGGCCGCATCTTCGAATATCTCATGATATCTCTCCAGGGTTGCAAATTGACTTACTAAAATCCAAAGAGAGCACCAGAAAAGGATGCGTTGTACAGAGGTAAACGAGTCCATTGAACCATTCCTGATAAGGGTCGATCCGCTTATCGGCCTGTAAGATCTAGCCTGTAATCAGGGGAGATACCCTAATCAGTGCTCGGGACACTCTTTATCAGCTTATCACTGAAAGATTTTACTGGTCCCCTATTAATCTCTATTGGTCCCTAATTTCTAGAGCCCAAGTTCTTACTATCAGGGATCCGGTGGCCCCTGACCAAAACATGCCTATTGGCGATAAGATATTCTGGAGGTAAGGCCGTGGGCTTCAATTGTGACTCAAACAAGTGCAGGCATATTTTCTGAATCATGAAGAATATGTCATATTTATCCAGACGGTTCTTGAATGATCCTTTGCACCAATGTGCCAAAGTCAATTTTTGCGAATCTGATTGTCAGTTGCAAAGATGGTCTCAAGTAACCTGAAACTGTTGTCTGGTAAGGTTTCTGAGATATGTTGCAAGTCAATATCAATATTGACGAGAACTAGGAAACAGCCACCATGAACTCACTAATCTCATTGCAACCAAGTACTGATGACTCGCGATGTTTGTCCTTTTCTTGACACTCGGAGGCTGACTGATGCAGGCTATACGCTAGCGTTGGCGGTCTTGACACTAAGCGTTTCTCGAATGGTGAAACCTGTGTGACGATACGAAACTCGGTCAGAGATGAGGATGTCTTCATCCTGCAGACTTCTGCAGAGCCAGTGAACGACAACTTGATGGAACTCCTCATCACCATCAGTGCTTGCAGAATAGCTTCTGCCAGGCGCATAACGGCTGTCTTGCCGTGCTTCCCATATGCCAGGCAAGACAAAAAGGACCGTTCCAGAGCTCCCATCACGGCGAAACTTGTTGCGAATATGCTGGAGATTGCTGGCTGCACTCATGTCATAGTAAGTCTCGAATCCTTCTTCCCTCTCAAGCTGTGTTCTGATGATGTGCCTTCAGACCATGGATCTCCACGCTTCCCAAATCCAAGGCTTCTTCAATATCCCTGTGGACAAGTAAGTCAGATCAAGAGACCGCCTGGAAAGCCTAGCTGATCAATCCTATAGTGTAAGAGTCATTCTGCCCGGTTGAAAAGGAGCCCACCTAACACCAACCAAGTTGTATGCAGAAACAACCATGGTAGAGTATATCCGAAGTCACTTTGATCTTAGCAAAGTCGTCATCGTATCTCCTGATGCAGGAGGTGCAAAGAGGTATTTTCATCAAATGTGTCAGACCCACGGCTTAACTGATCATTTGTAGAGCTGCTGCTATCGCCGACAAATTGAAGGTCGGACTTGCACTCATCCACAAAGAACGTAAAGTTGCAAACCAAGTGAGTCGAATGATCCTTGTCGGAAGTGTGGTGGGACAGGTCGCTGTCATTGTGGACGACATTGCCGATACATGTGGTACGTTGGCACTGGCTGCCAAAGTCTGTACGGATGACGGCGCGGAGCAATGCCTGGCCATGGTCACTCATGGCTTCCTGAGTGGGAAGGCAGTACAAGTTATTGAGGAAAGTCTTCTATCCCAAGTCGTCGTTGCAAACACTCTTCCATTGTCGGAAGCTGCACGAGCTTGTTCGAAGATTACCTCGATGGACATCTCGCATACGCTCGCGGAAGCTATCCGGAGAACTCACAATGGGGAGTCGTAAGTCATATCGATGACGGGTATGATTCTGAATGCTAACAAACGCAGCATCTCACAACTGTTCTCGTGATAGTCGGAAACCCATCGTATAGCCATCGGCAGAGGCAGGGACATAATAGAGGCACGGCAGACGCAAATGAGAGGTAGTTCAGCAAAAGAAAGGGTTGGATTAATAATAGCGATAAAGATTTGATCTGTTTTATCTAGGCATCAATAGCCCCTATGGATGGGTGAGATACAGGTGCCGACTGCCCCAAGCTCGCGCGCATGCGGCATCGCCCTCTCCCGAAGATGGCGCGAGATCAGGGCAGGTTTTCATCATCTGGGCCAAGTTTTGGTGATGAAACACTTCAAGGACAATCTCAACCTAAGCACCTCCACAAAGTTCAGGTGGACGCCTGTCATCGTCCAACTTTCGTTGTTCATGGCGCCGCAGCTCCAATGGTGCCTCGACGCCCGGACCACTGTGCAGTTGAAGACATCATGGCAGTCTCAGCCCCGTGCACTTATCGGGCCTCTGAGTGGTGTCCTGTGCTCAATATTGCGAAATGGTGAGTCGGACATACTTCAATATTGTGCGATCACTGCTTGATGTCGATGTCGACTGGCTTCCTACGGCTGCTACCTCACCGGCAGCTATTGTTAGCTTCCTTCACGCCAGCTACTAGCATCATCAGCCATTTATAAGTTCGGGGTACTACAAATGACGTTGAGGGCTATATCTAGTGGGACATCCGCTAATGTGCGATTTGGAAGAACTCAAGATTCACAAGCTCAGAAGTCTTCAGCGCTACAGTTCAGTATCACAAGGTATGTCGAAATCTCCCTCGAGCAACTCGCCGTCTTGTAAATTCAGGTCGCTAAACATAAGCCAAGCTCTGTTCTATTGAAACTCCGGACAATATGAGGGCCAACTCTTTGTCCGTAATTGGGGTTGCTATCCTCTCTGCGATCACGACTCAGGCAGCTCCACTCCAACACAGCCGCGAGGCAACTGGACTCGATATATTCGGAACTTCCCCTGTTCCCGACTCGAACGATGCCGGGTCACGATTGATGTTCGTTGGCTTTCTGGAAGACCCTGTCTTCTTACCAGAAGCGGCAGTTCGCACATCTAGCAGCCTGTCCACAGGCCTTGGAGAGACTTTGCGCACGATTACCGTGCCATTTACGAAACTCGAGGTCGACTGCAAGAGCTCTTGGCTTTTCGCGTGGCTCTGCACCCACTCGCCGCAAGTACAGGAAATCAGATAAGGCGCCGGATCGCCCACGATTTTATCGTGGCTGCAGCGGCCCGAACGCTGGGAGTTTGAGTCGAGTTGAGCCGCAGAGCCGACACTGGGGTCGATCTACTTATGGTTGCTCATATACTGAGTGTAATGTAATATAGCCTTGTGGATGAGATGATGTACATACCAGGCCTACAGTTATAATTTAATACGCGCCAGGTGCTTGATGAGAAACAGAATATCACCAATATCAGGACTGCAACAAGTTGCAGTGCCGAGGTTGCCATGCCTTAGCCAAATCAATGTTTGCTGTGTTTAACATGTTTGAGATGTTTGCTCCAACTCACCTTCACCTCTCCGACTTCCGTTGATCTTGATCACGACCTTCATCAATCTACATTCGACACCACGCTTCAGCTTTCACATTGGAAACCAGGATCTGCGAGATCAGTCCTCCTGCCGGCATCCGCGAGAATGTCCTGTCTCAATGCCCCGTCCACGTAAGTCCACTAGCGCGCCAGTCAATCGACGGACCAGAAGTGGCTGTTTGACTTGTCGAAAGCGCAAAATAAAATGTGGTGAACAGGCCCCGACGTGCGATCAGTGTAACGCAAAGGGTCTGGAATGTGTGACCACGGCCCCCTTGAAATGGGAGACCGAATATCTCTCCAGAGGCCTCAGGTTTGGCAGGGCCGGGGTATGGTCAAAAGACCCTCTCAAGGCAGCTTCGCCTTCAAGCCCGGCACCAGCAGGTGAAGTGACTTTGTGGTGCACAGTCCCTAAAATATTCTCATACAGCTTTGTCAACACGACTGTTGGAACCATACAAGACCTAAAGACACTGGACTTCGACAGTCATCCTGATGAGTGGGTTGCCAAGCCTGATCGCGCTTGTTCAGAAGCCCAGACTGCCGAGGAGGTGGACACCAAAAGTACCTTATCGCTCAGTCCTTGGCTTACTACGCGTCAACTGGCGAGGTCTCAAGCATCGATCCTGCCACCTCTGGCCGTTTCAGCGCATCTCTCGATGAACTTGGGAAAGAACGACACTACTTTGTTGCTTTCCTACTACGTTGAAAATGTCTGTCCTGTGACTACGGCGAGCTCTTCATCCATATCGCCATTTGCGTCCTTATTCATTCCCTTTGCTATTACCGCGTCTCCACTTGCCATGGACTCTATCCTGGCCTTGGCTGCTTGTCATCGATCGAGAAGTGACGGAAACTATAAACCGACCGCACTCCAACTCAGCCATGGAGTCCTCAAGACACTGAGAGCTAGGCTCAGAGATTTGACCCCTGACGATGTTGCATTGGATGTGGAGACCCTGGTCGTCATGCTACTGCTCTGCATGTTCGAGATTGTCAATGAGTGTGACAAACGATGGGTCGTACACTTGAAAGGCGCCAGAGATCTGATACGAGTACGCCGTCAGATCGCTCCACGGCTCTTACCCAGCTCGGACGTGAGTCAGCTGGTCCACTTCTGTGAGCGATTCTTCGCCTTTCAAGATGTTATTGGACGTACGGCGTGCGGCGAAGATCCCGTGTTTGGGACCGACTTTTGGGAAGACAACCCTGATTGCGATGCATGGCTTGGATGTTCTCCCGAATTGGTTGCGATACTGAGCGAGATCACCGAGCTTGGCCGACAAGACAGAGCAAGTAGAGCTACGAGTCCATTCCAAGCTGCAACTGCTGGGCTGGAGTACCGCTTGGACAATCTAGCGCAGAACGTCTGGGACATGGACGACGACATTCTGGCTCAGTCCGCTGAACTGAAGAGGCTTTCAGCAGAACTCTACTTACAATGTCTTCTCAACGGCGCCGACCCGTCAATATCATGGGTGTCGGATCAAGTCAACAAGATTCTACGTGCGGTCGCTGCGCTGCTGGATCGTGGCGTGGCAGCCGGGATCAGCTGGCCCCTGTTTGTTGCGGCAGTCGAGCTCGACGCGGATCATGATTTTCAGGATGCTTCATATTCTGGAGCCGCCCCATGGTATGCACGGCCTTTCGTCCTGTACGCGTTGAATCAACTGGCGAACTCGATGGTCAATATCACTCGAACTCGCTCCGTGATTGAGAAAGTATGGCAAGCAAGAGATTTGACGCGGAGTGTGAACTCTGAACCTGACCTCGATAAGAATGACTGGGAACAACTTATTGCCCCTCTTTGCGGCAACATGTCCCTGGCTTAAGTGTCATCACTCAAGAGCATGCTGGAATGACCTAAACGTGGAATCCCTGCGGGACAATCGAAACGTACACGGGCGATTAAAGGACTTCGTCCTTACCCAACAAGTTTCCATGACTCAACGGCGGAGCAGGGAAGAATATCTTGCACATGCCAGCTTGCCGCAACATGAGTGCTAAGCGAGGCACCTTTCAATGATCCCCCAACTTTGGTATATTTGCCGCTATATAGAGTTATCTTGTATGCAAGGTTATCACACCAAAGGCGGTGTTCTCCTTTGGCAATTTGATTAATTCGCAATTTTGTTGCCACCATCACCCGCTGCTCCATTACACATCAGGTAAGAAGCAATGCACGATGAGCTCCTCTTATCTGTCAACGGCAGGCCGGCATCATTCGCCGTTCTTTCAAGATCTGCCGCTACAGGGTAGGGACGGATGATCCGTACGTAAACAGCTTATCAGAAGTACCTGACCTCACTTTGAGCGCGTCTGATTGGTCCGCCTGGACCTTCTGCTCCTCTTCAGCAAGTGGAGCGCATCCTGGAGAAATCCATCTAGACGCAATCCCCCGCATACAGATATGATCTCGTGGTGCATGGGACACAGGACATGGTCCTTTCGCGAAAGGGATATAAGATCGCTCCTCGTCCAGGGGAGCTTGAGCTTGACCAAGCTTGATCTATCCTGGTATCCAAATACTCAGTCAAGATGACTATTGACGCCTACGACCTGGAAGTGCCTGGTACGGAACTCCTGGTTGATGGTGAGTACTTTGTCCTTCAAGCCCTTTATGCTCTGTTGCCCTTTAACAACAGTTCCTGGCTGGGTGTTATGCCTCTACTGACACCGTATTACAGTCGGTCATAATGTGCAAGCGGTCCACGTCAAGGAGACGAGTGACATTGTCCTGATCCCCCAGCCGACCAATGCTGGTGCCGACCCTCTACGCTGGCCCCGATTCAAGAAGTACTACCAACTATTCCTGCTGGCTTTGTATGCCTGCGCCTTCTCATATGGCGAGAACACACTAGGTGCTGCATGGACCACCGTCTCCGAAGAGACTGGGGTGACGCTGACCAACATGAACGGCGGGAGCGCTCTCAACTATCTCCTTCTGGGATTCATAAATATTTTCTGGATCCCAACCGCAATGAAGATTGGACGTCGACCTGTCTTCCTTGCGTCTACTGTTCTCTGTATGTGTGCCGGTATCTGGCTCGCCAAGTTCAACGGAACAGCTCAGTGGATGCTGGCAATGGTCTTGAACGGGATGGGCACAGCTGCATACCAGGCTGTCATCCAGCTGAGTGTGTTCGACATGTTCTTCACCCATCAACGCGGCAGGATGTTGAGCTTCTACCTGTTCGGACAACAACTCGGCTCAATTCTAGGGCTCATCACTGGTGGAAGCATCGCCGATGGTCCCGGATGGAGATGGAGCCAGTATATCGTGTCAATCATAGACGCTGGTGTCCTTGTGCTTCTCTTCCTCACCTTCGAAGAGACGCTGTTCCCCAGGTTCCTGTTCAGCAGGCTCACCGGCAGACTTCCCGTAGGTGAAGCGCGGGTCTCCTTCGACGACTCCAAGGATTCTTCAAACACTCTCGCCAGCAGCCAGTCGCCGGTTGGAAGCGACCAGACCGACGACCTGGCAACACACTTCCCTGGACGAACTTACCTCCAGAAGTTGAGACTCTGCGTCTACTACCCGCAAGACCGGACCACTTTCTGGCAGTACTTCCGCCGGCCCTTCCTCCTCTTCAGCATTCCGAACATCGTTATCGCAGGCGTGATCTTTGCATTCGGCTGCACAGCGGGTATCGTCAGCTTCAACACCATCTCGGAGATCCTCACCGAACCACCCTACAACTGGTCCACCACCTCAACCGGCTTGGTGTTTCTTGCCGCTCTTGTGGGAAACTTCGTCGGCTGGGCCACGGGGGTCCTCAGCGACCACGTCATGATCTTCCTTGCTCGACGCAACAACGGAGTCAAGGAACCCGAGATGAGACTGTGGACATTGTGCTTCTCGTTCGTCTATGCGGCAGTCGGATACCAACTGTATGGCTGGGGAGCAAATTTTGGCATGCACTGGATGACTATCGCTTTCGGTGTGGGCTGCATGATCGCCCATCAAGTCTCTGCTTGCTCAATTGCAACCGCGTATGCTATGGAATGTTTCCCAGGAGTAAGTACAAGCATTTTCCGCCCCAAGGGTTTACGACTTGACATGATACTGACTGATCTCGACAGATTGCAGGAGAGTTGGTCGTTGTCCTGGCGATATGCTCGTCATGCATCAATTTTGCCATCTCATACTCTGTCCAGCCTTTTATCAACGCCGCGGGATACGGGTATACGTTCTTGTTCTTCGGTCTCTGTGTGCTATGCTCCATGCTTGCAGCCATCCCAACGTACATTTATGGCAAGAGCTGGAGACGTAGGGCAGCACCGAAATGGAGGCGATGGCTGGCTGAGAGGGAAGACTAAACAGCATTGCCGTCACTCCGAAAAATCTTTGCACTTATGAGACAACTGAATATTTCATGCGGACCCATAATCGGCTTGCTTTCATGTCCAGGGGCAATTGAGCAATAGCTGAAAGAAGGAGAACCGTACATACTCGATATCTTCGATATTCATTACCCTTCTTACCTTGAACATCTGATAAGCATATTGTGCATTATGCAAAGATTGTAGACTTGTGCCAACATCCGTACTCTACGACATCAGATAGTAGGCATTTTACACTTCATAGCACTGACACCGTAGACCTGCCGAGGCACGAGGCTGAAGGGGGGGCGATCTCTACGGAGTACGCCACAAATCAATTGCGTAGTGCGGGGAGTTCGACGACGATCGGATCCTGCGCACGCCATACAAAATATTTCTACTCCGTGAGGTGGTTAACAATCGAACAAGCATTCAACTCTGCCCTCATCTCTGCTCGTCTACGAACCCTCTGTAAAGGCCTCCGAATTTCTACCGCCACAATGTTTACCGGCCTAGTCGAGACCCTAGGCACAGTCACCTCCCTAACCGACCTCGACCCCTCCGTGTCCGGCGGCAACGGCACATCCTTAACGATCTCAGACTGCGCCGACGTTCTGTCTGATGCGCAACTAGGCGACTCCATCTCCGTAAACGGGACATGTCTGACCGTCACCGAGTTCGACAAATCCTCATTCAAAGTCGGCGTCGCGCCCGAGACCCTCCGCCGCACGAACCTCGGCCGTCTACGCGAAGGATCCCACGTCAACCTCGAACGCGCAGTCGCCGCGAGCACGCGGATGGGCGGACACTTTGTGCAAGGACACGTCGATACCGTCGCCACGATCGACAGTGTTACACCTGATGGCAATGCGTTGACGTTCCGTCTGCGGCCCCGGGAGTCCAGCGTACTGCGGTATGTCGTGGAGAAAGGCTATATCACGCTTGATGGGGCGAGTTTGACGGTGACCAATGTGGATGATGCACGGGGCTGGTTTGAGGTCATGTTGATTGCGTATACGCAGGAGCGGGTCGTGATGGCGAAGAAGCAAGCCAGTGATGAGGTCAATGTCGAGATTGATGTCGTGGGGAAACTTGTTGAGAAGAGCGTGGTGGGATATTTTGAGGGTGGGAAAGATGGTGCTCCGGCTATATTGGAGAAGATTGTGGGACGGTTGGTTGAGGAAAAGCTCAAACAGCAGCGGTGAGGTGTGTCACAGCGATTGAAAGAAGAGCGAGGCCGGGGCCGCAACTGCCACATGGTCGACTAGCAGCTGATAACGAGGTGGAAGCCGCTGAAGCATCGACTGCGGCTCATCTCTGGGTCGTTTGATCACTGGATGAGATACGGGCGGACAACTGAGTACGGATACCGTTGCAATGATGTGGGTAGAGGACACCGAGCACTACACAGCCGACAGAGGCTGCACCTCACGAGCCGTATGGTGTTCCCTTGAAGGTGATGTTGACTTCCAATGAGCGGTGGATGCTTCTAGCGACCCTAACGACTTCTCTTGAGGTTATCATATCAAATCTATCACTGAGCCTTGTGAGGAGGAAGTCAGTTCTTCCACGGTGCGAATCGGGCGTGACTGCAACAGCCATGCCTGGCTAGAAAATCCAGTCGTCTGTGAAGCAAACAAAACAGGGCATGTACCTTATGAGCATAGCATAGCAGGCTTCTGGAAAAGCATCAGCATATAATTTGGCGTGCCACTTTCAGAGCGCTGGGACGAATACCGATGATCAACCTACAGACCCGACGCCGTTATATCGATAGTCTTTTCATTCCTTGCTTTTGCACGTCGATGCTCTATATTCATGCGGCATGTAATTCGCGCCCTCAACGCCGACCCTCACGCAACGACCCCCGAGGCTCTCAACTTCTCGACCTCCTCGCCCTTCCATCCCAGCACCTCCGTCAACACATGATCAGTATGCTGTCCCAGCGTCGGCGGCGGCGTCCTCACCCCAGTCACACTCTCCGAATACTTGACCGGCGGACTGACGACCTTGACACTCCCACACGCATCGTGCTCAACCTGTGTGACCATCCCTCTAGCCAGAACATGTTCATGCTCAAGCGTGTCCTTGACATCGTTGATCGCCGCATAAGGCATACCACTCCCCTCCAGAATGTCCAACCACTCTTTCGTCGTCTTCTGCACGGTGATATCCTCGATCAGTTTCTCCAGAACAACCCTGTTCTTGACGCGCACATCGTTCGTCACGAACCGTTCATCCTCCTTCCACTCAGGCTGGCCGAGCTTGTCGCAAATAATCCCGTATAAACGGTCATTGCCACCGCCGAGCATAATGTCCCCGTCTGCCGTTTTGAAGCCCTTGTACGGCACGATCGATGGGTGAGCGGTGCCCCAGCGCCCGCCGTCACGCTCGCCGCTGATGAGAACACTGCTGGCTATGTTGGCGAGGGTGGCGACTTGGCAGTCTGAGAGCGCCACGTCGAGATGCTGGCCCTGATTCGTCTTCTGACGGGCAAGGAGTGACGCCATGATTGCGTTGCATGTGTACAAGCCGGTTGTGAGGTCGGTAACCGCGACGCCGACTTTGACGGGTGATCCGTCGCGTTCGCCGGTGATGTGCATCAGACCCATTTCTGCTTCGACCATCACATCGTAGCCCGCGCGAGAGCTGTAGGGGCCGGTCTGGCCATATCCTGTTATTGAGGCGTAGATTAAGCTTGAAAATCAGGGTCAGCTGGAATATTCTCGAGCACGGTGTACTCGGCCCCGGCGTGGCCGCAAGTGTCTGGGCTTACCGAGGATTGATCTTGCGAATTGATTCATAGTCTAGTTGATACTTTTTTAGTGCGCCTGCACATTTCAAAGTGGTCAGCTAGCTCATCAAGTCTCCAACATCGAGGCAACCGGGACGACTGATCGAGACATACCGGGAATGTAATTCTCAACGAGGACGTCCGACGTCTTCGCCAGTTCGTGTAGGATTTTAATCCCATCTGGATGTTGAAACGAAAGACCCACGGATTTCTTATTGCGATTGACCTGCGTCCGTCAGTCACTATTACCTCGTAACTCCTCCTGGTCGCGGATAGCTTCACGTGCGCATCCCAGTCTGGTAACCCGGTGCAGGACGTGCTCTGGGGTTTCCCAGACGAGGTAGCCGGGAGCATAGCGGAATGGGAGACTCACGCCAATAAAGTATGCACTCTCCCCAGCACGACCTCCCTTGGCTGTAGCTAAAATACCAAACACCTTAGCTGACTGCATCGTTTTCTGGGAGTACGGTTCAAACTTACCACCATCCTTGTACTTCGCGAATGGCGGTCCCCAAGCCCTCGTGTCGTCGCCTCTCGTAGGATGTTCGATCTTGATGACTTCTGCCCTGAAAACGCCCAGCGCTCGTCAGCCCTTGCTCATACCTGTACAGCTCCATCTGCTGTGCAATGTGTACCCATCATTGCAAGCACGAACAGAGCTACGAACAGTAACAAGGAGTTATGCATACCTACCCTAGATCGCCGAGTATTTGCGTACAGTATGGCTTTTTGGTACAAAGTCAGTCTAGTCCCTCACAAAATCCTCCATACCCCGGTTCATCTTAGATGTGGTTGGAGCTTGACTCACACCAGCCAGTACCCTCGTCATATCAAGCACACGAATGCCTTCTAATGGTGCTATCTTCCCCGACGCCGTCGGCGGTGAGGCCTCCGAAGCAAAGCATCTCCGGACATTGATGCGGTGTGAACATGTGTTTAGAACAAAAGAGTCGTACCTCCTCAGGGCATTGTTGATTGCTCTGCTGGATGGAGGCATACTGGATAGTTGCTTTCAAGCTGTGGCTTTCCAGGACAACGGGGGAAGGAAGGTCGCTGCTGGTCAATATGAAGTAAGTCATTCCACGGAGCACGCGCCGTGTTCCGATGATCGGCAGCCAAGTGCGATGGTACGCCGAGGCAATTCTGCTTGTGGAGAATTGGAGGTGGACAGTCTTGACTTGACAGTATGCTATGTCGGCAATTGAAATATGGGTTTATGAGGTTATTAGAATACACTTTCAGTCGTGTTGGAGCAAGAGTTGCAGGCTTTCACCAGTGACTCGATTCGTGGTCATAACATTGATCCATGTTGATCCTCTTCCACCTAACATACATGATAAAGACACACAGTATATCATTTTGCCAGGGAAACCCCATGGCAATCGCAGCATAAACAATTTCAAGCCGGGGACAAAGCCTCCGCGAGGTATCTTGGACCAAATAACCTCCCGTGATGCGCGGAAGACAACATCTTCAAACTCCCAAAACAATAAGAAACATGACCCGAGATATGATACAGAACTTGCAACAACAAAATACCTCCCATTGGCGCCTTTTTTTGATAAAGGGGTTGTTTTTCCTTTCCATCCCATCCCATCCCAATCCCTGGTCGAAGAGTCTTCGTCCAATGCTTTCTAATTCTTCCATAATACAAATGTCGCAGCTCGCGCCGCTATTCAAAGTCTTTTCGCTGTTAGACGAGGATGAGAAATCCCCAAAGAAAATTCGTGGCTGCTGTAGAGAGAGGCGTTCGCGGTTTGTAGTGAGAGGTGCATTACCCTGAGGGAGCCCCTGAGGCGATGCATATGTGAGGCATTAATGCTTAAAGTCGATATCAAGGTCTTGCTTGAGTGCTTTTGTGAGGTCCAGCTCGTCCATCAAGGGTATGCTGTCTGATCGTCCAGTACAGTCTTCGGTCGGCTCAGCGGCCGTAGCATGCAGCAAAGGTTCGCAGCTGTTTTGTTCTTCTTGTTCGGAGGGACGAACCAGACGGCCCTCACCTTCCTCCATCCAGTAGCTTTCCAGAGCTCCGACGGCACAAACAATGCCACATGCCCACCAGGCAAGACCATTGTAACCCAGTTTCAGTCCGACTGAGTGAATCGAACCAGTCACGACTGGGCCGAATGCCCGTGCAAAGCAGGCGGCTGATGCAGCAGATCCATTGATGCTTCCAAGGACCGATCTCGAAGGTACCGCATTGGCCAGCAAGATTGCGTTTGAAGGGAAGGAAATGACGTGGAAGGTCATCTTCGTCATCATACAGAAATATATGCCCGTCTTTTGCAAATGCTCTGGGAGGAGCACAAGGTACGGAACAGCCAGATAAAGGAAGGGCCAAATCGTCAGCACCAGGCGATAGGCACGGAGATTCCCCAAACGTCGAACGACGAGTGGGAAAAGCCACATTTGTGCAAACATCGCGTATACACCTTGAACAGCCAACATATATCCAATCGCTTGCGTGGACAGGCCGAAACCACCGGAGAACTTGAAAGGCAGGATAGCAGGCGTTTGCATCCGATCCTCACTGAGGAATGTAGGCATCAAGGCGTCGAAGGACACGCTATGATAGGCGAGGATTGCATAGCCTAGAATGATCAGAACCACATGCTTGCTGTATTTCCTGGTCGTCCCAAGTTTCTCTTTCTCCTGCAACATGCCCAGATCCGAATCCAGGGCGTCCATGGATGTCGACGTAAGGAGCGGAGAGCTCTCGGTGCTGCGATACCCCGGAGGCGGAGCGCTGTCTGCGAAATTCGATGTTTCCTTAAAGTTTGAAGCACTAAATGTGTTGGCATTCGCCCTTGCTGAGGTCTTCCCCAATAAGATTCTTCCCAGTTCCAGCCCGAGATCGCGGTGGTGCTTCTTCTCTGAGTGTGTTTCCTCTAGAAACATGATACCAAATATCATGCCAGCACAAAGTATCAGGACACAGCAGAGGTTAGGCAATAAGAAAGGATATGTGTCGAATAGGTTGCCTTTGGTACACCAAGATTGATGCGATCCGCAGGGCACGGCCAGTGCTCCCCCTATAGCTGGTCCAATGATAGATCCCACACTCCAGATAAAAGGCATGACGGCATATGCCTTTGCTTGGTGCTCCTTTTTGGTGACCAGTTCGGCGACGGTGGTTTGAAGGACTCCAGAGTTACCATTTAAAAGACCGCCCAAAGCCCTGGCCATGATGGCAGTCGGCAAGGAACGCGCAAAGCCGAAGGAGATCATGCTCAAGGCTGTCCCAAAGAGACCCATGATCAGGACCGGTTTACGTCCAATGCGGTCGCTGATCGAGCCCCACAGCGTGCCTGTCGAGAACTCGGCAAAGGCGAAGGCGGTAATGAGCATACCGGCGTAGACTGATATTTGCGTCTCGTCTTGAGTAATGTTGAAAGACTCGACCATGCGATATGCGTAAGGAAATGTCGACATGAAGGCGATTGGTTCGCAGAGACGACATAGTGCTGTTCAATGCGTTAGTTGATTCGCTACAGCATACCAAATTGGGATGTCTGCGCGATGACGTACCCAAGATGAACAATTGTCTGGCCGGGAATTTGTCTTCAGAGTCTTTAGAACCAGAGTCCCGAAGGAAGACTCTGGTGAGGAGGTCGGGCATCGTCGCCAAAGGGAAGGAAAACGGCGAGGTGTCGTGCAAGGCGGGAAGGGAGGTGAAGCAAAGAAAGAAAGACAACAAACGGCCGGCGCCAGAAGGGAAGTAATAAGAGAATGTCAAATTCCAGGAGTCAAAAGGTTAGGAGGAACGATGGACGATGAGCGGGGCTCCTCTGATGCTCATTCTGGCGGAAAGGTGCATCCGCCGCCGCGTGGAAAGGGCGGTGGACAGTTTTGGGCAGTTGGGTAGACGGGGTATCACAGGCACACGGCAGCGAAAGGGAGCACAAGATGGAGATCACCTTTTCAGACGCCCGTGGCCCAAATAAAGGCACGGTTACACCGGGGCAAGGAAGCGCGGAAGGGCATGATAGTCGAAGAAACTTCTGACATCCGCGCCCGGTTGACCATAGAGCAAGTTACAAGCGAAGTGAGAATTCGTGGGAAGCCCCGTTCACAACGCTAGACCCAGCATCCGGAAGTGCCGCCAGAGCATGTTGAAGTTACCCGAATTCAAAAATGTCCGCACTGCCTGGGGGGACGTTGAGTCTCAGTCGGACGGCTGCATGACCAGGGTTTCGGAGGACCACACGGTAACGGGTCTTCGTACCGGGGAAGGAAATTCATGTTGCAGCCCGGAGGTAAAAGGCCTGGGAAGGGAAGCGGCAGAGAAGACCCATGAATGGAAAAATGAGGCAGACCTCGTTTCTAGCGTCGAAAAAGGTTCGTTTCACCTTTCAGGGCTGCCATGCGACACAGTAGTGGCGTGGATCCCGAGGCACAAAGACAGACAGAGACAACAGATTTCACGCGCAAGCAGCCTAAAGAGGATTCCCTGGAAATGAAGAAAGGCAAAGCGACGGAAATGACCATGGCAAGGGTAGGAGAATCACCTGGTCTGTTTGTGCCTTCCAACAGCAGAACGAATTCCGCACTTCGTAAGCTGTGATCGAGTGAGAAATTCTCGCCTGAAAACGAAGTGCCAGACCCTTGTAAGGGTAGGGGCATCATTATCGTCATCAACAGGCCAAGGAACCGCGACAGCGGTACCTGGGGGCCGCCGTTGGTGCGCGTGACTCGGAAGATCGATAGGCTTGAAAAAGACACCAAAGGCAAGCCGGCTTCGCCGTTGTCATTCGTCCGGAGGTTCGGTATGCCCCTGACCAAGGCCAGTAGTGAATAGACTAGGAAGATGATCCTGGTCTTCCGAACAACGGGGTCTTTGCTTACCGAAAAGCATGTTCACTTTAGTGTTCCAGTCTATCACCCCCTGACATGCCCCTAGAGACCTTTTTGCTTTTTCGCCCTGAGAGGCGAAGTCGCAGAATCCCAGAGGCCAGTCTGAAACTGAGGCGCCCTTTTCTCTTGGGTTGCTCCCGTGACCTACTTACAGTGCTGCATGCCCATGTCGCACATTCGAGTAGCGGTTGCCATTATTGATCACCGCCGCCGCCGCCTATTTCCCGGCGCGTCCAATAGAGAAGTGCATGGCGCGAAGGAAGGGAGGCGGTGAAAACAGCGGTGATGGGATTGGGCATCAACAAGGTCGGCTGATATTCTCATACTTCCACCAGGAGAAATACTCTTGCCTCTTACAGGACGATTAATAGGTCGTTGATGTGGACGTCTTGGGTAGCTACTGGTAATCGCAGAGATATGGGTCATGTTGTGTTTAGTCTCGGCACCTGGAGCGAGATGAGTGACCTGCAGCAAGACGGTGTGTCGCGGAGGAGGGGACAAAATACTCCGAAAATGGACTCAGTCAGAAGTGCAGAATGGCAAGTGCAGGATCGTGGGCTTGCAAGCGATGCGCCAGCAGGGATTCGATCAGCATGGATAAACCGGCAGCTTACTGGTAAGGAATACTCTGGTGGTTGTTTGTCTTTACCATGATGGAAATAGCTGGGGCGCGATCGTCACTGCAATACGGATAGTATTAATAACATAGTATCTTTGGTGGACTGGGACATAGGTTACTATTTCCTGCGCAATAATATTAGAAATGCGACGACTAGAACGGCTGGAAATACAGTAGTACTTCGATATCAAAATTGACTTGCAGCTGTCACTTGAAGTCAAAAGGATTCTAGGATGCGAGCTCCGGAGTTTCAAGTTGCTGGAGCATTGGCTCCAACGGGGCACCGCGGATAAGGCTCGCCAGGCAGGAATTCCAGCCTAGCACACCAGGCAGAAACCAAACCCTGGCGTCTGATTGACTTTGGAGCAGAATCAATTACGGGGGGCCAGCGGGATGGGAGTCGTATGGAGACCTTCCTCCCTCTACGTAACCGAAGGGTTACCTATCACTTCTTGCGCGCGCGTGTGATGATGATGCAGGCCTGGAACAAATGAGCATCATCATAGTATGACCTCGCCGTGCTCTTGGCTTTGTCTCTGAGGGACAGTCATATGAATCTCGAATCTATGGCTTACCCAGCGAAGTGGTGACTTTGACATGGTACACTAGTACACGGGTCCGACATGATGCTAGGGGGTCACTCGGGCCATCGGCACTCAGTAGCCTCATTTCAGAAGTCGTGTTGACAGGGATTGAGGAACCTTCGCAGGCTTCGGCACATGCGTTTTGTTACGAACAACAGTTGACTAAAGGCACTAGCTGCGCTTTGAAGCGTTGTTACACCGAGAGATGCCGCTTCTGGTTGAAAAGCCGTTGGAAGAATGAGCCGCAATAATAATGCAATCAAGGTAGTGCAAGCATGAGTTACTCACAGTCGTCGTTATTTCTTTCCGCACCGACGTCGAGATTCCAGACCACAGCCCAACAGCACCTCATGCAATCCGCAAAGCTTCGCCTGCAGACGTACCCAACCCCAACGTCAGCCGACTTCTCATCATCATGGGAACTGATCTACCCTACTTGCATCTTGGTTCATGCCAGTGTTGACTTGTCAGATTGACTCAAGGCATCCTGCATGCAGGAATAGTTTCCACGTTTGGATCCCAGTTTAGACGCCCAATATCCTCCGAGGTACGCGCCTCGACGCCTCTTGCTTTGTCTGCAGCTGTGAAAACACCATGGGCGTCATCAGAGGGTTTCGCAGCCGTGCATATCAATCGGCCTAAATTATGCATGATGTCGTCCTCAAAAGCTCGCTCATGCCGCACTGATGGCCTTTGAGGACACCGATTACTATCATGGGGTGGCACAACATCCAGCAACTGACCTTCCGGTATGTGGTGAGTGGGCAGCAATAATGTTGGCTTGCAAAGGTGCTCAGTTCTTGTTCTCTTGTGTGTTACACAACCTACAAAAGCGCCTCCTTGCAGCCAGCACATGTTCACGCAAAGCACAGCCGACGGTAACCTGCGTTTTCCAACCCCGTTGACTGGCGGCACCACCTTCTGTTCTAGATGCTGTCGTCAGATGAGCCAGACTTCCTGCGCCAGAAGGCAACCTGTCACACCAAGAGATGCTCTGGTCTTGACATGAATTTGCATCTTGGTCTGGGTCCATGATCCGCTCCATTGTTGGCTAGCACCTGTCAACTGGCGAGCCTCGATGTTCTCCGCTTGGCCCAAGCATTTCGCTTAGCGATTTGGATGTCAGTTGAGCCGGCGGTCAGATTAAGTTGGGTAGTGTCTTGTTTGACAGCAAACCTGTCAGACTATTACAAATATGGCTATCCGAAGTCCACGAAGCATGGGGCATTTTTCGGATGTCGATGACGAAAAACGGCATGCATGGAGGAAGTATCGTATACCCAAAGAATAAGCCTAGGAATATACTATATCGTGGTACCGTAACATATATGCAACTGCTAAGCCAGTTAGGCTTGCCCCAAATAGCTGCCCACAGTGAGCATTGCGAATCGGTTGAAATAGAGCAGACCCGGGCCTGGTCTCATGCCGGTAAACTCCAGAGAGCAAAAGGACTCTTCGTAGGAGTTTATGGAATGGGTCTACCCAGCATGTCGAGGGTGAAGGTGTTTATGCTCAGGATCACTAACACGCGGCACAGGGAGGCTAGAATCACCAAGATCGTGAGCATTAGCAGTGATACCTGAGCCGTCTTGGCATACATCTCCAGGGCTTTGTTGGGTATTTTTCCCGGATCATTTCCTCGAGTACATATGATCTATGGCGAGCTCACAACTCACAACAATTCAGTGCCATGTCTGGCCGTGTTCGAAATGCATGACAGACAACGCGCTAGAGCCGTCTGGTTCGAATGTCAACTGACCTCTGCTCAGCTCGTACGTCTTCATACCTGCATTTCCAACCACGGGTGGCTTGGTTGCGCAGCTTTGTGGATACAAGCAAATGCCATTGCCCTAACGCCCTCTTGCTTGAAGGCCGCAAGAGGCAATTTCTGACAGTCAGTGCTGTTGAGCCTGGTTGGGCGGCAAATTGGGCAACATGTGCGTCCAGCATCCCGAAATAGATGCGCTAGGTAGCCCTTCTGAAAAGACTATCTGGTCCTTTCATTGTTGTCGCTGAGGACATCATAGCCAGATGACATGCGTCATCGAGGCCATTGTTCAATCTTGTCTCCGTTGAAAAGCGACCATCATTCTCGCCAGCAGCGTATGCCCGAACAATTTCTTGTCATCCAAAGATCAAGGAGTGCTGCGCTTGCTGTGCGACGACAACTCACCATGACCCAAGACTCAAGGGGGTCCGAGAATCGCAAGATGTAACGGATCTAGGGACAGTTGTCAACCTCTTCAGGGCGAATTCATTGTCGGAGGAGACGTCCATTTGATGCCGCCGTAGGTCAGAACGCGAGCACTGTGTTGACGTGAAGTTATTGCCCCTTACCATTGTTATGGAGAGGATGGCAATCTTCATTCCCGCCTCGATACTGTGACGTGTCTGTTTACGGGCTCTTGCTCACCGTATCATCATATGTGAGTTCATCCGTGTGCGGATGATGAAAACGGGACTGCCATGTGCGACACGGAACGGCAGCGTACGTCAATGCCTTGAGGTTGGACAGCGAGGTGGATGTTGAGTATATGTCCTGCAACCAAGCGCGAGTGCCTTGGTTGAGTGTTTTGGCTGCTAACGCATATCATCTCCGGTGGCTGGGTGTTTCATGCACGACCGATCCTCCTGCAAGAAGGCGAGATGCGTTCGCACAAGCAGCACGCCAGAGGCAATGGGGAAGCATACAGGTTTCCTCCCCTATCCTACGATGGCTGAGGTAATGTTGTTTCAACCCACCAGCAAAAGCGACACCATCACGACGAAAGACATGTCTAGCTGCATCCTATCATAGCCAACGAAGCTGGTAGGCCTGTGAAACATGCCAAATATCTAGGCCACCAAGTACAGGCCAGTTCAAGCAAGCGATGGTGTCCATGCGAGTGACGTTCCGGATTCAGTGGTCGTTCACATCGCCGATAAGGAGGATATCTTCGCTACCACTCATTACTTGCATAAGCTTGGAAGCTGTTGGAACAGCTAGCTCCATACAATATCCATCCTCGACTACTGCATTTCGCTTCCGCGTCTTGCTAACTTCTCTCCTACCTCTTCTGGAAAACTTCAAGCATTGCCAAGGGTCCGCCAGGGCTTTTCCTTTATTATATTTACTACCGGCATTGATTGCCAGTACATTCTGTTGCAGTATAATTCGTTGTGTCTGAAGCCACCTGTTTGAAGCTTCTACCGAGCCTCTGCCGCCGACTTCTGCTGGGGATATATATATATATATATATAAAACGTGCTCTTTGCTTTAGAAACTCTTACTCTCAGTCTCGATGAACAACCCCACGCACGACTAATGGAGAAATGTAACCGCGTCGGCTTTATCTATGCCGAGACTCGGAGCTGTGTCTATCTGCGAGCAATGATTGGATGTCCTCGCATCTCTTATCGCCTGCATCTACGCGGTTTCGCTGGGCAGCGATAGACGAGTCTGATCACTGACTCGGCTGCGCACTGTATGGAAAAGGCCATGGCGACCAGCGAAAGGTTTGAACAAGGCTGAGTTGCTGTTCCGTCTCCCAACGCAATTACGACAGTGATCGCGCTTCTATTTCCACACACTGGCAAAAGATGTCAGTGTCATCCTTGTCTGATCCATGACCTCCACCGACTCCTCTCCTCAGAGCGCAGGCCTGAAGCGAGCATATCAACCTGACGAATTCTCCAATCAACCGGACGCTTCTTCTTCGACCAACTCTCCTCCTCACAATTCCTCCTCGGCAACATCGGCCTTCAGAAACGTTTCTGCCTGCAACCGCTGCCGCGTGCGCAAGAACAAATGCGATCAGAGGCTACCGGCATGTAGCACTTGCGAAAAAGCCAACGTCCGATGTGTGGGCTATGATCCCATTATCAAGCGGGAAATTCCTCGTAGCTATGTCTACTACCTCGAGACACGCCTGGTTTACTTCGAGCAACTGCTCAAGTCAAATGGCATATCTTTCAACATGGCGGACGTCTACGGCGCAGAGTCCAAAGAGCTGGGCGATAGTGGACAGTCGCCCGCCAGCACAAAAACATCATGGCCAGGGCCACAATCGCCCGGGAGTGTAACGCCTCAAGGCAGCAAACAGGACGATTGGGAGAAGAAGCAAGAAGATGCTGATAAGCTCAACAAGCTGGTCTCCAACATCGGCATGGTCTCAGTACAAGGCGCTTCAGATGCGCGATACCTAGGTTCAACCTCTGGCATATCGTTCGCTCGAGTAGTGTTGGCTGCGGTCAAGAGTTCAGTGTCAAGTAATAACTCTGAGCGTGCTGGGCCCAAGCCAAGTCGACCAATCTCCAATGTTGCCGGTCCAGGTGATGGCTCCATGAGAGATTCGTACTTTGGATTACAGAGCAAGCCTACCTTCAAGGAAGCTCCTTTTCCGGATCGCGAATTAGGTGCAAGGCTGGTAAATCTGTATTTCGAGCATGCTAACCCTCAAATCCCCGTGCTCCATCGAGGTCTATTCATGGAACTTTTCGACCGAGCCTACTCCATCGAGCCTTCCAAACGAACAAGTCGCGAGCTGTACTTGCTGTACATAGTCTTCGCGATTGGCGCTGGCATCATCTGGGGCTCTTCTGATCCACAGCCAAACTCACAATCGAACGACTATTCCTCGAAGAGACCTCGACTGGCAAATCAGCAAGCCCAGCCCGAAGAATATCATGCTTCAGCCATAGTCAATCTCGGGTCAGTCCTCGGTGCCAGCTCGTCGGTAGAAGCACCAGAACGTTCGAATGGCGACCTTGAAGAGCTTCAGGCTGTTTTGCTGTTATGCGGGTTTGCCCTGCTCCGACCAGTAGCCCCTGGGTTGTGGTATATTGTGGGTGTTGCCATGAGACTGGCCGTGGATCTCGGTCTACATCACGAAGATGGATCTGATCTGGACGGCGGCGATACCAGTGATGGCAAAAAACCTGTTGACGCAACGGAAAAAGGCCGAAGAGCATGGATTCGCGACTTGCGCAGACGGCTATGGTGGTGCACCTACACCTTCGACCGCTTGGTCAGTACGTGCGTGGGCCGCCCATTTGGCATCACGGATCAGGTCGTCACGACCGAGTTCCCATCGTTGCTGGATGATAAGTACATCAAACCGGGTGGGTTTTTGCGGCCACAGTCTTCATATGAACCGACCTACAAACGTGTCGCACATCACTATTTCCGACTGAGGTTATTACAGTCGGAAATTCTGCAGGTGCTTCAATACCAACAAGCACAGCAGGCGCGTCTCAATGGGACCAATCGAAACAATCAGTTCATGCATACTAAGTTGCCGTCACCATTTATGAGCAAGTTCGACTCATTTCGTTCCTGGCGACGAGATATCGACCAGCGCTTATATGAGTGGAAAGAGTCAGCTCCTGCCCCCTCAGAAACTGGTGTGGGCTTTTCTATCCAATTTCTAGAGCTGAACTACTGGCAAGCGGTGATCATGCTCTACCGGCAAAGTCTTAGTGTTCCTGCACCGCTGGCGAATGAGTTCAGCCCAACGGAAGATGTGTCCAGTCCGTCGAGTCTGCGAATAGAGGAGAAAGAAGATGAAGATCTTGTCTTTTTGAAATGTGCAGAGGCTGGTCAGAAGACGCTGAAGCTATACCGGCAGCTTCACAGGCTACGGCTTGTAAATTACACCTATCTTGCAACGCACCATCTATTCATGGCTGGCATCTCTTTTCTATACGCGGTTTGGCATTCGCCGGCAGTCCGCGCCAGACTGGTAAGCGCAGCGCCTGTCTCATATCATCTTTCTCTGACATATCGCAGACTCTCGATGACTTCGATTTCACTGTCCTAGCCGCAACGTCTGTCCTGGGTGATCTAATGGAGAAATGTCCTCCAGCAGAAGCATGCCACGACGCCTTTGAACGAATGAGCAAAGCTACCGTCCAGATGTGCATGTCTACGCCAGGTTTTGGGTTTTCTGCGGAACACGAAGAACCTCGACACCAACTTTCCCGACAATCAAGCAGGCAGAGCAACCCCATGCCGATGCAGATCGATTCTTATGCACAACAGCGCATCGCGCCCAAACCAATCATGAAGCGTCCACCACCGAAATTCGACATGGATCTTAGGGAGCTCTTCCCAGAAGATCTCGAACCCAGTTCTCGACCGTCTCAATCCTTTCCTCAACCCTTGCAAGGTCTACAGCGGCAACAGCAGCAACCACAATCCACCTATACCCAGCAGTCCATGCAGTCGCATTCGACGCAACAATCACCACTCCAACCACATATCTCTCCTGCGTCAAGCATTAACAACCAGATCAATACGGGTTTAGGTATGGGTCAGCAGCAGACTATGGACAACAGCTCGCTTCTTTACAACCAGAGCCCGCCGAACCCTCAACAACCGTATTACATGCAAAACAGCTATAATCCGGACTTCATGTCGTCTTTACCTGGCATGGACTTTCTGAACACTGCCACTTCCGAAGAGGATGACTTCAAGTTCGATGCCGGCGGCCTGGATCTAGGCTTTGGAATGGGTCTAGATTATAAACATGACTGGAGCGATGGCCAACAGTATGATCTGTTTGACGGATTCTTCTTCGGCAATGGCATCGGTGGGAATGGGAACGGTAGCGGGGGTGCTAATGGCAATGGGAATGGGAATCTAGGAGGTGGTGTTCTGTAACGATACCCAGGAGCGTTTTTGAGTCCAGTCTTGTATTTGGAATGGCCTTGCCTCGAGAGGAGGTGAAATGGGTAGTAAACACGATTGGAAAGAAGAGGATAATGAAGCTGATGATGATCAGAATCATGAGGAATCAATGAAGATAGAGCATATGGCACCAGATGACCAAATCATATATGCCATGACTGGAGATATCAGGTACATGCATCCAGCTTTGGTCACATCTACATGTCTCCAAGATCAGAGTAGTTGCAAGGTGTCCACTCCGCAACCTCGCTGCATGAAGATGAAATATTGGAGTACCTTTCCTTATCTTCTTTGGGTATCTGCTCGCGCGCTTCCTCCGCTTGAAAGTGGTCGTCATGTCGTCAAAAGAGGCACAAAAGGAGCCGCATTTTATCCAAATCCTTCAAATTCATCGTCGTCATTTTTGGCGTTCAATTGTTGTTGGTGCCGAATCGCTTCCACCATCCTCGCCGTCTCTGCTTCGCGCTCCTTTTCGGAGTCGGTCATCTTCGCAACGCGCTCATAGTCGCGTTTAGCAGCTTTCTTCGAGCGCTTGACCTCTTTGTGGGCCTTGTGTTCGATCTTGTCGGACCACGCCACTGTGGCTTCTCGCTTCTTTCGCAGCGGCTGTATATCCTTCGGACCTTCTCGAAGTTCCTGTTTGCGCTGCTTTTCTCGCTGCTTGTCCTTGTAGCTATAATTATCCCAATCCATAGTGCGTGCCTTGTAGGTGCTTCGATCCCAAGTCTTGAGTTCGGGCATCTTGGGCATTTTCAGCAGTCCCCAGGCCGATGCATGGTCGGCCCAGTCTATGTCTGCGACCCGGAAGATCGACGACGCTTGATGCTTGGAGTAGCTTCGGACCCAGCTGACGAATGCTTTTTGAGCCTTTTCGTGCAGAAGTCGGTCTTTTAGGACGACATCTTGGAACGCTTGTTCGGTGGCGGTGCATTCCTCTTGGGTTACGGAAATGTCTGGGTTGGTCAACAGCTCGATCGGCGTTTGCCTGACATTGAGGAATGATACGTAGTCTTCTTCGCGGCCTGGAAGGAGGAAGACGACGCTGAGACCCTTTCGCCCTGCTCGACCTGCTCTTCCGCAGCGGTGGAGGAAGACCTTTGGATCGGACGGTGGATCGATCTGTACCACCAAATCCACTGATGGAATGTCTAATCCTCGTGCTGCAACATCTGTTGTGAGCAAGATTGCTGGAGAAGCTGAGTTCGTGAACCGAATAAAATTCTTCTGCCGGACGTTTGATGGGTGCTTGCCATGGAGTGGCACAAGTACAGCTTCGGATGGAAGAATGGTCGGTAGTAGAGCCTGGAAATAGTCCACCGCAGCACACGTAGACAGATAAACAATAGTCCGTAGAGGCAGAGTGTCTAGTCCTCCTAGAAGAGCCACCAACGCCGGAAACCTCTGAGACGCTGGAGTGACCGCATAGGTCATCCTGAGACTCGCGGGTGTACGCTTGTCCTCGACGCCATTTGCACCTTTTACTTTGACCGCTATTTTGACAGGGTTCCGTAGTCCAACTCGAATGATCTGGTCGACGGCTTCGCTGACACTGGCGCTAAATAGTCCTGTACGGCGTTGTTTGGGTAGGTGGTTCAAAATCTTGGTAAGATCATCTTTGAAGCCTAAGTCCAGCAAGCGATCTGCCTCGTCGAGCACGAGTACCTCAAAAGACGACTGGGGACAATGTACATATGGTGAGGACAGGATTTCGAGCAGACGGCCGGGCGTCGAGACTAATAAGTTCGGAGACGTCTTGAGAAATGTACTCAAATCCTGCGCAGGGGTTGTGGAGCCTCCGAGAAGAAGTTGAGGAGTGATCTTAGGAGTTGAGGGAGGAAAGGTCTCGGTTTGATCATCGGTAACTGCGTCCTCTGGTATAAGGATGGCCTTGCGTGTCGCCGCAGAGGGTGGGTGAAAGTCCAGTAACGAGATCAACACGTTGAAGATCTGCGACGCCAGTTCCCTGGTGGGTGAGATGATAATGGCACCAACATGATGCTTCTGGATGGGCTCTTCCAACCGCAGTAATCGTTCAATTACTGGTATGATAAATGCCAACGTCTTTCCACTTCCTGTGACAGCCTCAACCACGACATCTTTATGACCCATGAATAGAGGAATGGTAGAGGCTTGAACGGGTGTCATGCGGGGAAAGTTCATGGAGGAAGTGGCTTCGAGGATCCATGGTGAGAGAGGCGGGTTGAGAGACTCCCAAGCACGGGACGACGACGACGGCGTCGCCTTTGACGGACGGTTTCCTCTGTCTGGAGCCATGTCTGCGGCAATGGTAGGATCTTGACGTGTAGAAGAATCTGTGCAATTGTGTCGCAGGCAAAAAATGTCGACGGAGGTTCTTCGGCTAAACTGATAATTGTTATCAGACAGGATGGATGCTGCTTTAAAGGGTCCTGAAGTGTGTTGCTGTTGGTATGGACGCGTCTGTGGCCGCTTTTCCACATCTCGGTATTGATAAGCGAATGGGCCACACTACAATTTACTGTGGAGGAAGCCGGAGACGGCGGCTTTGGACAAAATAATGTAATCCTTGCCATGTGCCAATCCGCGTCAACTGCCAGTGTTAAACTTCTTTTACCAAGGCACAAGTCACAAGTCACAAGTCACACCGGCGATACATCATCTTTCATCACGCGTCATACTGTCTGTCAATATCTTGAATACTTGAGCAGGCAGAGAACCAAATTACGAGGCTCTCTGCGGCAATCTCTCTCAACATGCTGTGGAATTAACTCGAGCACGCGTCCCCTTCCCAAACCGCAGGTTGCGGCCTAATCCGGGCACCAATTCTTCCTCCTTTCCTTGAGCGCTATCAGAGACTCTTCCACCCTCGTCAGCCTCTCGGCTGGCTTGAAGTCCTTCAGATGTCTTACCAGGGTCCCATCCCAGGGACGCCGAGAGTGATTTCGCCCTCTCCCACCCCATCCGAGACCTCCGAGCGTCAAGACTCCTATTTTGCGCCGGTCACGCGATCTGCTGCCAGAACACAGCGAACGAGATCTCCGCAACCAGAACCTATCCATGAAGAGAAGGATGGCTCCAGCTCAGACTCCAGCCTGGAAAAACGTGCTAGGACACGATCAAGGAGTCCGATTCTTTCTGCCGCGACTTACATGAACGGTACTGCCGGTGCAGGCTCAAAGAAGCGCCGTATCAGCGGCCTCACCCCCAGGTCAGCCGTCGCAAAATCGGAGCCATTGACGAATGGTGATATTCCGGCAGAGTCGAATGGCCATCTCTCTCCTTATGACCGTGTGAAGAAATCCTGGCGCGAATTCTCCCGGTCACCATCACCTTTGGGTCTCATTCCCCTACACCGACATTACCGAACTCTCATTCACAAGCACGAAATTCCGAGAAAAGTACTTCATGTCTCAATCGGCTTCTTCACGCTCAAATATTACGCTGATGGCGTCCAGGCGACCTCGATAACTCCATGGCTGCTTGGTTCTCTTGCCATCATAGGCCCTACCGACATCCTCCGACACCATTCCGACCGCTTCAATCGTTTCTACATCAGAGTGCTGGGCGCATTGATGCGTGAGACGGAAGTGGACGGCTACAATGGTGTAATATTTTACCTAGTGGGTGCCTATATCGCATTGCAATTCTTTCCCAAGGACATTGGAACGATATCCATTCTATTATTGTCCTGGTGCGACACAGCGGCAAGCACTTTCGGTCGGCTCTATGGACGCTATACAATCCGACTTCGACGAGGAAAATCTTTGGCTGGCTCCTTAGCTGCTTTCGTTACAGGAGCACTTGTTGCGCTCGTTTTCTGGGGCTATGTCGCACCCCGGACTGGTCCTTTTCCGAATGACCCACCAAATGCCTACATGTTTCACCACCGCCTTTCTTTGCCAGGTCAGGTCAAGGAACTCCTTGGCTGGCGACCCAGCAATGGTGTGATCAGCGGCAACACGGCACTGGCTGTTATGAGTGTCTGTACGGGTCTCATTGCCAGTCTGTCCGAATTGATAGATGTATGGGGGTTGGATGATAACCTGACGATACCGGTCCTGAGCAGTGCCGGGCTTTGGGTGTTTTTGAAGGTTTTCGCTTGATCGGAACATCTTGTTCTGCTCTCCTACGGATTTGTTGCATTTTGTTAACGAAGTGATGTCTCCTGAATTGTTGTTCTAGCTAAGTGGACATACCACTATCGATACTTTAATGAGTTACTCCAAAAGGAGAAGACCTCTTTCACTTTCCATCCTTCCCTTCCGACAAAACATGCATCAACAGGCTCAATGAATGCGGACGAAAGCGAGAATGATCACATAGACGCCGCCTCGTATCCACAAATCTTTCTTGTCTGAAGGTGACTTTATGTCATCTGTGGCTGTGCGGGTTCCGCCGCCTCCTGACTCTTCAGCCTTGCGCGATGCAAATCTGTCTACCGGACGAAAGATGCCTTGAAGGCGGCTTCTCCCACTGTTTCTGCTCGTCTGTTTACGCCACGTCTTTCATGCAGGTTTTGTGTCTCCGTCGGGCGGGGTATCAGGATGATAGCCGACGATCCTTGCTCTCTCCCGGCACGATACATCAACACGACTCCAAACATGCGGAGTCGGAAGCGCCAAAAAGTCTCCAACATAACGTTCTGTGGGACTGTTTTCACTTCTAACATACACCCACAGTTATACAGCGGTAAGTTTTCAGATCATCTGCCAGTGTGCAAAGCAACCGACATGCCTCCAACTCAATTCCAGTCAGCGATCATGTCAAGAGCAAGTATACGCCTCTTCCGCCGAGTCCAGGTCACACGCTTCCTGAGGGCAGTGAGGACAATCTCCTCGTCCAGCGCAACATCAGCATCCATCACTTCCGACACCATCGCCAACAAGACTCAACAACCACCCCAGGAATTCACATACGGCGCCTACCAAAAAGTCGGCGGCCCCTCCGCCCAACCCGTGCACACAATCCGCATCCCTAAATTTGAAAGTCTTGAAGCTGAACGCGCATTTCGCAAACTCCACCACGCCGCAGCTCTAAGGTGGCTCGGGTACAACGGGTACAACAACGAAGGCGCAGGAGGACACGTCACGGTCCGCGACCCCATTCTGACCGACCACTTCTGGATCAACCCGCACGGCAAATCCTTCAGCCACATGCGACCCGAAGATCTTGTGTTGGTAAGTAAAGGCGGCGAAGTCAAGGAAGGAGGCAACATGCACTCGATCAATCCTGCCGGCTACGTGATTCACGCTGCCGTCCATGAAGCCAGGCCGGACGTTGTTGCGGCGGTACATTGCCACAGTGTACCGAGTAAAGCGTTTAGCGCGATGGGATGTAAACTTGAGCCGATCAATCAGGATGCTTGCAGGTCTGTTACTCCATATCAAAGAAGCACGCATGTGTACATGGGTAGAATATGCACACCTCGCTAACGCTCGTCCCGAAAGGTTCTACAACGATCACAGCATCTACGAAGGATTCGGCGGGATAGCATTCAAAGCCGATGAAGGAGTCCACATCGCGCAAGCACTTGGCAATACTAAGGGCGTGATCCTCCAGAACCATGGACATCTTACGGTGGCTAAGACCGTGGATGGTGCGGCATTCTTGTTCGGCGCAATGGATAGATGTATTCAGGTTTGTCTACCCCCTTCAGTGCCTCAATGGTATTACGGTGCGCGCGTGTGTGTGTACTGATTGATATGGTGTGGCAGGCTCAATTACTCGCGGATGCAGCGTGCGCAGGACGAGGAACCTCAACGATCAAGGTTGGGCGTGAGGAGGCGGAATACACGAGGAATACGTATAATGATGAGATGGTGTATATCATGTTTCAGTCTGCGTGAGTCACCCGTCCTAACTATGGAGGTTTTGTTTTCCTCTGTGTGATGTGCTGATTGTCCTTCAACAGCTTCGAAGATGTGGTGAGGGCATCGAACGGGGAGCTCCCGATGCATGTTCAGGGTGAGATACCGAGACAGTGAGGTTGTGATGCCTAGCTGGTAGAGGTTTGGATGCATGCCAAGTTTGTTTTCAGCAGAAGCACATGAGCCAACGAAACAGTTTATTGTATCTCACTAAGGAGTTGTGGGGCGCTTTTGGGATCGAGCAGGATGTGCTCTCCATCAGAACTGATCTATGATTGATGTCAAAGAGGAAACCAGATTCTTCCCTGTCCGCCCGGGACACCAAGTTCAGCAGTCTTCTCACCAAACGCGCTGATCGCAGCAACACCCAATGTCTGATTCTTCTGCTCGCCGTCACTCTCAATCTCGAGGACCATGCTATCAGCCCCGGCGGGCAGCGGCACAATCACGGTCCCCGAAGTACCTACTGGCGTGTCCCATGTCATCCTCACACCCTGATTTTCTAGCACCCACTTCGCACTAAACTTGCCCAAGATTGTCGTGAATCCTCCCTCCGCAAAAGTCAGGTCTCCCAGCTGCGGCGCCAAACTCCACTCACCGCCCGCCGGACTCTGCACGTCCAGACCCAGCACGTAATGCGTGAGGGCGGACGTCGGACCAGAACTCCAGCCGTGTGAATGACTCACGTAGCCCTCATCGTAGTCGTACCCACGGTCGGAGCGGTAACTGAAGCTTCCATTGTACAAGTAGCCTTCGAGCAGAGTCGACTCTGTAGAGTTGGGATTGTTGATGATCCATCCCCATGTCGTGCGAAGAAGTTCTAAAGCACGAGCAGTATCGCGTACTGTAAGACGGCCGAGCAGCTCGAAACTGGAGATGAATGGAGAAATATTGTATGGCAGCTCAGGCGTGACAGGTCCAATGGGTGTCCAGTTCTGTGTCAGGGATGTTGCGATGCCTGGAACGTCCGATGTTGGTGCAACTCCGAAGAGGAGGGACATGCTGTTCGCGTCCTGAGGGTGGAGAGTGGTAGATGTATCGTTATCTTTATAAGCGTTGGCTGTGTTGTCGTAGGTCCGACTATTGATGGCGCTGGACAGAGCGGTTGCAGTGCTGGTCCAGCTCTCTGTGAGGTCGACGTCACCAAGCCAAGTGGCAAGCTTGCTGCCCGTGGTCAATGTCTGATACAGGATCATATTCGCCTCGGTGTTGTGGAAGCCTTGCTGCCACCGCGCCCAGTCTCGGGTTCCGGTAACGTTCATGAGACCTGAACTGTCAATCTTGTCAACCACAAATTGCATGGCGTGTTGGTATTGCTCCCAGAGAGGCATCAACCAAGCCGTATCATTTGTATAAAGCACATAATTGTACGTTCCGATCATAGTCCACATGTGGTATGTATCACTGCCTGTCTGGCTAAGCGGTGGGCCAGATTCGTCGAAGGCGCCTGTCGTCATATTCTGATAGTTGTACATGACTTGAAGGGCATTACGGACCGACTCGAGGTCGCCGGTCGATACGAATGTGGAGGGTACCGCAATTCCCATGTCTCCCGGCCAGACTGCTCGATCCCTCTTGGCGCCGTCGACGATGACAGTGTTCCCTGGTGACAGCGTTGCATTATTCGCCCAGCCATAGACCAGCATGGGCACTTGACGACCGGTATTCGTGGGGACTGAATTGCTCTGCAAGGTGTAAGCACCTGCATACCAGATTCGGTTGAGTAATTCGTCGCTGCTGTGGAAATAGCCCTGGTAAGCACGGAGGTTTGACCAGGTAGGCTGGAAGTCAAGTTCAACCGTGATGTTGAAGGCGGAAAAAGCAGTCGTGCTGGTGTTTGTAGCAAGCCACAGGGTCATGTAACGGAAGCCACCTCGGAGCCGCTCGTCTGGCATGACATACTGGCCAGGGCCTTGAGTCAGAGTAGCGTTGAGCCAAAGGTCGGCACCAGTGAAGAGACCATTTGAGGAATCGGACGTGTAGCCCACGAAGTTCTTCGCTTCGGTGAGCGCAACTCCCAACGTGCCAGTGCCGGTGCTGTTGTAGCTGAAGCGCACGATACCTCCAACCTCTTTACCAAAGTTGTAGGTGACGAGTGATCCATTGCCGCTGATTGTTTGCGTTTGAGAGTAGGGTACCGAACTCAGGGCTGGCCATAGCAAGGCAGAGACGGGAGAAATAGTCCGTGTTGTTGGCGCGTAGTTGTTGTTGTCCCATATACCTGGAAAGGAGGCCTCCGCAGGGCCATCACATGTGAGATTCCTCCAGCACTGGCCCGTGGCAGAACCTGTCAGGCATAGAAGCATAAACGTTGACAGTGGCGACATTGTCTAGGGTAAAGCTGTCAGTCCTAACAGGCCGACAAGACCATACTTTCTTTACCCAGGTTGACCTTCAAAATTCAACGTCGCCACATTTATGCACATTAGCCATCACCGCAATTTCACCTAATTGAGCGGCGTGCGGTCGTTCACCACCGCGCTGGATTGGTTACATCAATAGTTCGGCGCATCTTCGTCCGAGGGTCACTTGCTTAGTTCGTCATTGCCCTGCGTCACATTGCAGGAAAACATGGAGTCAAGCTTTGCGGAGAAGACATCCTACTTGACATCCTTGCGGGGGATTCTGCAGATCATCAGCAAGGGTAATGGATAAATTCTGTTCAGGAAGGTCGGGATGAAGCTCTACCGATGATGTACGACCTGGTGGACGAGGGGTGATGGAGATAAAGTCGCGTGGTGGGCAAGATGAAAGCGCCCATCGCTTCTCATAACTCTCGAACAACAATTGTGATGAACATGTTGAAACTCCTGCTACTTATTGTTTGCGTCCTGCCCTTCCTTGCAGAAGGAGTGAAACCACGAGCACCATCTGCGGCAGGGCGAGCCACATGCACTGTCATTGCGAAAGGTGGTCAACAAGACGACACCCCACAGATCCTGAAAGCATTCGAGAGTTGCGGCCATGGAGGCTTGATTGACTTCCCTGAGAACCAGACGTACTGGATCGCAAGTCGATTGAACCCTGTTGTCAACGATGTCATGATCGAATGGCGCGGATTATGGCAGTATTCTGACAATCTGACATACTGGAGGAATAACTCCTATCCGATCACGTTTCAAAATCACCACGCGGGGTTCATCTTGACGGGTGACGGTATTCACATCAACGGTTATGGTACTGGAGGAGTCAGTAAGTCTTTGATACAACAAGCCCCAGAGAAATGTCGTACAGCAAGCAGGACGCCTTGCCATTCCCGAGGTTCGCTTTGAGTGTGTGGCTTCATGGACTGACAAGTGTGCAACAACAATAGATGGCAATGGCGACGTGTGGTACTCCGAGGAAAAAAACGTTACTCGGCCTGGGAGGCCGATGCCGTTCGTCCTGTGGAACGTCTCTGATGTGACCATCAGTCAATTCTTCATAAAGCAACCTCAGCTGTGGTCGTTCAACATCATGAATGGCACAGATATCGCAATCGATCAACTTTACTGCAATGCAACGGCGACAAAAGCACCGTGGGGTTCCAACTGGGTGCAGAACACCGACGGGTTTGACACCATGGACGTCAAGAACGTATATCTGACCAATTTCGTGTATCAAGGTGGAGACGTACTGTTACCTCTTGCTGGTTTTCGAGTTGTGCGCTGACAATGGCAGGATTGTGTAGCTATCAAGCCCAGGAGCTACGGCGTCACTATATCGAACGTGACCTGCCGAGGAGGTAATGGTATTGCCATTGGCAGTCTTGGACAATACCTGGAAGACTCTTCAGTCGAAAATGTCATGGTCGATGATGTTAAGATCGTTCGGTATAACGAAGACATGGAGAATGGTGCATACATCAAGACCTGGATAGGAGAGCAGGCACCACAGTCGAGTTATGAGAGTGCCGGGCTTTCCAATGGAGGAGGATGGGGTAACGTGCGCAACATTCTGTTCAGCAACTTTGACGTTGGAGGAGCAAACCTAGCGGCAGCCATCACACAAGATAGTGGTGATAACGGTAGCTTCGCAGGCACCTCAAATATGCTGGTGAGTATCCTATGCTGATCGAAATATGTGCTGCTGACAAAATGTCAGGTGTCGAATATCGCCTTCGTAAATTTCACGGGTTGGACCAACACTTCAGCAGCGAAGTCTCCAAGGACCATCGACATTTCTTGCTCCAACCGAAATCCATGCTATAACATTGATTTTGGCAACTTCACGGTTACCACTGCCATCAATAGCTCGACGAATGGGACCACGACTTGCGAATATGTTGCAACTGGAGGCGTTCATGGGGAGAATTGTACTTCGCCGTGAACAAGTAGGATGCTGAGCGATGAGCACCAATGCTTGGGATTTTGCATGACGAGGAATCCAGTCGCGGATGAGTGCCCAGCACCAGAATGGGAGAATACGTGGATTGATGAAGCATCATGAGAGGAAATGATGAAGGCACAGCTGGGGGAAGATAATGTAGTAATTTGGAAGTCGCCTACTATGACGGTATGATCTCACACTTAAAAAACATAATCAGGCTTGACTTGGCGAACACCTCACAGTTTAACAGTACCTATCTACTAATATCAAATACTTCGACCACACTGGAAAAACTCCTGGATCAGGGTTAATGAGCGCTGCTCTAGTCCAGTCGTACTCCATTCCAGACTAACGATCAGGGTAAAGACGTTTTCATAAGTCATGTTGGAATTGCCGATGTCCGGCACCTGCTGGCCCGCCGAGGGGAGGGAGAGCAGAGGTGCGAAACACCAAGCACGAAAGATTGGCTCCATGATTATAGCACATTCCCCCTCTGCTCGGTCAACTTCACGAGCTTTCAGACTTCATATAGCAGGCAGTGATTCCAGGGACTTGATTGAGAGACATCATGTCGCAAAGGCGCTATCACGGTGAGTTTCCGAGTTCGGTGGAAGAATGAAAATGCCATCATGGATACCACTTTTCAGCCTCGCCATCAAGCTAACACTTCCGAGTATTCGGCTCAAGGGCTCTTGCTTGGTAATGGCCATCCCTTTTCTTTGACGCAGTTAATGGTCAATCTCCGAAGGGGAAATTTCTTCCTCGATCTTCAAGATCATCCGAGACTAAGTATAAAGAAGAAGGCTACCCATTGGGAAAAATCCTACGATAGAACCCTTGTAGCGACAGACCCTATCATCCGGATCTCACCACTCTTCTCAAAGCACCAGAACGCAAGTTCACGCTATGGGGGAATTCAGAGCTGAGGCTGAGGATGGCTATCACAACCATGAGCCTTCCAGAGACTCAAGTCCACCAGATGCTGCGGTCAAGCTTGAGAAAGATGTAGAAGGTGGCGTTCCAGTCGAGACTCTAGACGAGTCTACGGACCAGTATTATCACGGCAAGCGTCTCGCCATTGTGGTGCTCTCTCTCATGCTCTGTACCTTCTTGGTAGCTCTGGACAATGTCAGTGATCGCACCCACTACGAGCCCCATTCGAGCTAACATCTTTATGCAAGACTATTGTTGCAACAGCAATCCCCAAAATCACCGATGAATTCCACGGTCTCAGCAAAGTTTCATGGTACGGTTCAGCATACTTCATGACGTTCGGTGGTTTCCAGTCGACCTGGGGAAAAGCCTTCAAGTATTTCCCTTTGAAATCCTTCTTCATTGCGGCCATTGCCATTTTTGAACTCGGCAGTCTGCTTTGTGGTGTCGCTCAAGACCCAACAATGCTGATCGTTGGCCGAGCTATCGCGGGATTTGGCGGTGCTGGTGCCACGACAGGCGCCTTTACCATGATCGGCTTTATCGTCGAGCCTCGAATGCGACCTCAGGTCATTGGCGTCAATGGTGGCACCTATGGCATCGCAGCCGTGCTCGGCCCTCTTCTAGGTGGCGTCTTCGCAGACAAGGTCTCATGGCGGTGGTGCTTCTACATCAACCTCCCCGTCGGTGGTTTGGCAGTTGCGATGCTTGTCTTCTTCTTTCACACTCCGAGTCATGCAAAGCCCGTTCAAGCCTCATGGAAAGAAAAGATCTTGCAACTGGACTTGCTTGGTGCGGCGCTCGTCATCGGCCTGATCACCTCATATATCCTGGCACTTCAATACGGAGGCCAGACCATGCCGTGGAAGAGTAGCACAGTGATCGGTCTACTGGTCGGCTCCATCGTCATCACCATAGTCTGGGTCATTTGGGAGATATACCAGGGAGAGCGTGCTATGATCATACCGCGTTTGGTACGTTGTCCCCCCTTTGACTCAAAGATGTTGCTGATGCCGAATATAGTTCAAGCAGCGATTCGTATGGGTCAGCTGCCTTTACCAATTCTTCTTTGCTGGCTCCTACTTCCTGCTCCTTTACTACCTACCAATCTACTTTCAAAGCGTCTTCGGTGTCAGCGCGATCGGGTCCGGCGTCCGCAACCTTCCTCTCATCATAATGCTCATCGTGGGGACCATCAGTCAAGGACCGTTACTAGCGAAGCTGGAATACCCGACGCCTTTTATGCTTGTCGGGGCAGCAATCGGAACACTCAGCTGTGGTTTGTTCTATACACTGGGCGTCGACACTTCTACCGGCAAATGGATTGGCTATCAAATCCTCTGCGGGGTTGCCGTTGGAGGAGCCTTCCAGATCACTGTCATGGTCGTTCAAGTCAATTCCAAAAACGAAGACATGTCTGCTGCCACTGCCATGATTTTTTGTGAGTACCCCCGAAACATCCCCTTTCCACGGATGACCACCTAATAGTGTAGTCTTTCAAATGTTGGGTGGAAGCTTCACCATCACAGCAGCGCAGTCGGCCTTCAACAACAAAATGATCGCCAAGCTGGCGGCTACAGCTCCAGACATCAATCCTGCGACGGTGTTGGCGACGGGTGCTTCTCAGATCCGCGAAGCTTTCACGGCCAGCCAGGTCCCATTGGTGGTAGAGGCCTACATGACTGGTCTCAAAGTCGTATTCGCCATAGCGATCGCTACTTTTGGCATGGCATTTCTGTTGGGCTGTGGCGCAGGAATGAAGAAGCTCCATGTGGAGAATTTGAAGAACGTTGGTGGCGCTGCCTGAAGGAGACGTGACCGAGATGAAAGGTCTTAGTCGACCACGTGGGACCAGGTTGGTGGTCGTTTCTTTACCGGCGACGGCGGGGGAATGCGTGGCGCAGTTGCTGATACAAGGTAGGAGTCATTGGGTCAGCATCCATGCACGTCGATGGGCATTCCGACTGCTTGCACATACATGACATTTCAGGTATATAATAGACAATAGATTCTCTTCGCTCTGCGCCGTGCACGCAACAACTTGCATCGTGGGAGTCTCTCACCAGGTTGCGGTATTCACGAAGAGCACTCCAAACCCAACGCCCTTGACTAACTTCGATCGTCACAACATTGAACATGTGATCATTAATCCAACAAACACCGATCTTTCAACGAGCAGTAATTGTATGATTACGGCCTCGCATGCACCCTGCACAAGTCGCTTGAAAGCTACTTAACCACCAGGCGCATTCCGGTCCCAGCTAGCCACTGTTCCGTCGCCAACCTGCATGTCGGTGCCCATCAGCAAGTTATCAAAGAAGGCGGTATCGATGCCCTGGAAAGCCCAATCGTTGACACCGGCAGCCCCTGTGTACAAATCTTGCTGCATAACGAAGTCGTTGGTAAAGACGGCGGCACTGGGCAGGTCCACACTATCGGTCTCAGTATGCAGCTCGTCATGTTGTGGTTGCGGCTGAAACGCCGGCAGGCGTGATTGAGATGGCATGCTCCCGCAACCTGTTGACACATCGGCTACCGAAAGACCCGTGTCACGCGCCACAACACTATCGCCGAAGTGGACTGATCCAATGCCTCCAATGGTAATGTCGGCTTCGGGATTTTGTAGAGGTTGCGGCGGAGTCTTAGCTGCCGACTTGATACCATCGCGGCCGATTCGGATGGTGCCAAAGTAGGGGACGGTGACGAACAGAGCGTCCTCCACGTCTTCCTGGTGACCCTCGTCTCCATGAGATCTGAAGCGTTGGGAAGCTGCTTCGGTTCGTAGTAGATTCTGCAACAAACCAGCGCACTTGGCCGATAACATGTCTTCATGAACCTCGGAATTCAGCTCCATGATTTTGAGGGCCTGCTTCACCGTGGCACGATCTCCGAGCCGCTGGTGTGCCAGGAGATTGTCCTTGCCTATGTGTTGATGACTGTCGAGGTGGATTATCATTAGAGTCATGCCGGCTATCAGAGCGAGAAAGTCGGCCAGTCGGCAACAAGACCAGCTGTTGTTGATCGACCGAAACGCGATAAACCTGGTCAAGACCTCGCGACTGGCATACACGCAAGAGCTTTGGGAGTATTGAATCTCGCATCTGCTGGGGCACATCAAAAACGGCAGGTGCAGCTGGTTGAGCAATGTGTAGTGAGTCACTTGATCCCGGATCCGCATTGTCTCTCTGAATGCTTCGTCCGAGTCCAAGTCAATGCCGGTGAAGTCTGGCGGGCGCCAGAAGTCGGCAGGCAAGCTTTCGGCCGTCATGCGAAGCTCCTTGTCAATGTCGAGAGTCAGGTCGCGAACATGCTGCGACACACCAAGTTGGTTTCGTTCGAGGATTCGGCCAGTGATCCTGGCATGGCAACGCTCTAGCCGGTCGCTCGATGTAACACGTGTTAACGTCAAATCCGAATCCAGCCTGACGTCTGGTTGCCCGGAAGGGAGACCCAGGATCAGAGATAGGAAGCGTTCCAGGTAGACAATGTGAGACCACATGTATGTTGGGTCAATATCCGTGTCGGAGTTAATTGTTTTTACGGGAGGGCATCGTGGGCGATGGATCCCGGACAATTGTGCCGCCACCATGGCTCTCCTGTGTGCAAGCCAACCTCGTCGAATATTTCCGCAATTTAGGTGGTAAAGTCCTTCGAGCAAAATACATTCCAAGATTTCCATGGGTCCCAATAGTTCTTCGTTCGTTGTTACCAGGCTGATTGCTGTCTCAGCAAGTCTCTCCATTGTGACGCGGTGATGCTCAGATAGGCCGCTGATATGCTGCTGTGGCGGAAAATGTGCGATCAAGGAGGAAAGCATGAGCATTTGTTTGGCGACGAGCACCGGATGAGTAAGAGGACTAACACTTTCCGTTAATTTGGCTTTGATCTCGAGTTTTCCGCCCGTGTCTTGTGTGTGCGGCATATCATTGACTTGGTGACAGAATTGGGAAATTCCAGTGCATTTTTCGAGTAAGATATCAACGTCTTTCCGGACGGGGAAGGCTTCCAGGAGGGCTTGCGATATCTGTTGAAGTTTGTTCGTGTTTGGAGGCACTACCCTGGATGCTGGAGGTGCTCGAGTGTGAGTCGTGCGTGACGGTGTCTCTTCCGCCCCCTGAGGTTTGCTCGCCGGCTCATGCAGTGACATGAACGGAGTAGATTCCGAGCCGTTGGAAGGCGTGGGGAAAGCCACATCGTACCTTCCACCAGACACCGTATGAGATGCATCCCTTGCTACATCCTGGTTGAGAAGCTGAGTGAGTAACGCTTCCACGCGCTCTATGCGATCCGCGGCATCAACGTGCTGCTCTTCAGGTAACTCCTGTGAGACGCACTTTGTGCCACGTCGGCGACAGGTGATACAAATTGTATCAGCCGCTGAGGCAAAGTTGCATCGTACTTTTCTCCGTTTGCACTCCCAACAACTGTGAGTTCCCTTTCGAACCCTTCTTCGCTTGGGCTCAGGCTCGGAATCATCGTAACCCACAGAACTCATTTCCCCTGACGGCCCTCTGAAGAAGGAGGGCGTTGGATATGATGCTGTACATGAAAGGCTCCGGAGAGACAATGAGAAGGTTCGTCCATCTTAGCCCGAGGTGATCCCAAGTTCACACTTTTCTGGGAACAGGCTTGCTGAGCAGTGGTTCCCCGGGTCAATGCGTCCTCTGTCTTCCGCCGATTCGGCCGATGTGGAAAGGGAAAGGAAAATTCAGGGACATGAGCGGACCCAGAAATACGAGTCAGTGTGCCCGAGGTCATTACTGAAACCCCGAGCTCGCCCGCGAAAACCGATCACGCCAATATTTGGCGTCCATCTCCGTACTCGGTAGGCGAGCACGTTGATCACTACCTCTCATTGACCGAGTCACCAGGTGTCCGTACCAAACTCTCAGCAAGGACACTCTTCCTTGCAACGATGCTGCACAAAAACTCGAGGTAAACATTGCCGCAATGACGGTAAGTCTATCGTGAGTAAATAATATATATATGAAGTTGGCAAGGCAAAGCGATACTTTGAAGGCTGTCAAAAGCTCTATCGCAGTTAAGCTTAGATTTGGTGGCATGCACGGGTGTCCATCGAGCAGGAGGACAATGAAGGGCGCGTTAGTCCAGGTCACACGATCGAGACAGGTCGAGCTTCACTGAAATACCACCATCAAGTTAAATATCGGTAACATCGAACTCCTGCCTGGTAACAGAATCGTCTCGAGTGAAGAAATGAGGCCGTGCAGCCCGATGGCAAAGACCTACCTGCGATTACTTGGTCAGCCCTCCGAGCACAAGAGCATGCACAGACAACGTGTTCGAAGCTTGTCGAAGCCAAGTTTTGAACCCAAACCATTTAACCATGAAAGCTACTTACCAGTTGAGCGTCGGCCAGTCCAGGCAACGCTCTGGGGTAACTGTCAAAGCATCTTTTCGACCTCGCGTAGAGACAATGAAAGTCGGATCAACACCAAAAGGGAAGTGGTCGAAATGGTATAAGACGATGTGCAAGGACGACCGCTGGTCGTTGGGGATCGAGCAGACCTCCAGGGCAACTCATCTTTCAAGTTGTGGGGGTGCAACATACATCGAGCCACCATGCGTGCCAATACCAGAATGCTCAGCACCCTGACAGCTGCTTCCCTCCTGTCCGCCCTTGCCTCTGCTGGCCACGTCGAGATCACTCTTCAAACGCGCTCATCTCATGGCCCATCGTTGAAGGCTCGGAACGTTGAACCAGCAGACGTACCGCTAACGATCGGTGAAAATCTGACAGTAAGTGGCTCAGCAGCTCCCCCAAGATCCTGATCTGACTTGTCCATGGGATATTTGATATCCTTAGAGATCGGAACGCCACCACAGAAATTCAATCTTACACTCGATACGGGCAGTAGCGACCTCTGGGTGCCCTATGTCGACGACGAAACGTGCAAGAGCCAGAAAAATGGCTGGTGAGAGCTCTTTCCTTTGTCATCGCCTGCTGCAATTGCTCGCGACTAACCTCTTCAGCCCCGGAGGCTCTTTCGACCCCACCACATCCTCGACCTTTGCCAACGACACGAGTCATACCAACTTCACCGCTCTCTACGGCGACGGAACCAAGGACATTGGATACTACTTCTACGACACTGTTACCCTTGGTGGCACGACTGTCAAGAACTTCACCATGGGACTAGCCGAAACTACGCTGGATGGTACTATCACCAACGATGGGCAAGGAATCTGCGGTATCTCGTACAGAAGTGGAGAAGCTGCCGAGGGATGGTCTCACCCGACCATATACGAGGAAATGGTTCTACAAGGCTTGATCGACAGATCGGCTTACAGTTTGTATCTCAATGACTTCCAGAGTGGCGAGGGCTCGATCCTTTTCGGAGGTGTCGATTCAAGCAAGTACCACGGCGACCTGACTGTCTTACCTTTGCAGCCCGACCAGAACGGGTCATACAACGCATTCTGGGTTGCCCTCACCGGTGTCTCCATCAAAGATGATCAGGGGACCAACTCTCTTACGGCAGACGACTTCACTGGGGTGTACGCGCTCCTTGATAGCGGCACGACTTCGACAAGGTTGCCCGCCGACATCTGGAACGCATTGGTCGAAGACTTGGGTATCGTTGTGACGAGCAAAGGGTACTTCGTGCCATGTGCCCTAGCAGACATCGACTCAGGCATCACCTTCACTTTCGGCGGGTCTTCCGGGCCAACACCAATGGTGCCGTTCTCTGCGTTGATGTACCCGTTTGTGGCCGCGACGTCCGACGAGGGTGTACCGCTCTGTTACTTCCTGGCCGGGCCCAGCGTACAGGGTTTGACGATCCTGGGAGACTCATTCCTTCGCTCGGCCTACGTCGTCTACGACATCCCCAACAACCAAGTTTCCATTGCCAGCGCGGCGCTCAACGACACGGCAACGTCGATCACCGCTATCCCTACCGGAACTAGCATCCCTCTGCAAGCAGCACGGCAACCTTGTTACTCCCGTATTCAGACGCTATCGCCTCCGCCTCGGCATCGGCAATTACCTCGTATGCGGGAGGTTCAGCGACGATGAGCTTCAGCGCTCTTTCTACGGCGTTGTCGTCAGAGGTCGCGTGCGCTTCGGCCTCGAAAACAAATTCTGGCAGGAAAGCTTCCAGCACGGACTCGACATCTGCAGCTTGTACCCACAGCATCTCGATGTTGAGTGGTATTGCTTCTGTTCTGATCGCCCTTACCGCTAGTGTCATTTTCTGACCTTTCGACGTACCATTTTAATTTACTTTACTTGTCTGGAGCTCTTCGACTTCAACGGGTACTACAGACAGGAGTGTATTGTACATATATTAATCCCATCCATGTCTAACTCGCACAGCCTCCGCCCTTAAATGACTGGTTGTGAGTGTTGCGATATACATCCAGTGCCTTGATTATGGATCTATCAAGAAATAGTCATAACGCTTCGGTGGAAAGATTTTGCTGCACAGAGGTCTGTTATTATGTCGCCAACAACAATACCGAAGCTTGGAGGGAGAATTCCTCGGACCAGTTGCGAAGGCAGGGCTACGATGCACCTGGTATACCCATAGAAGAGACAAGGTCCTGCCTGGATGGTTTTAGATCTTCGTCAATGCGGACCAATCTTTTCCCCCGACCCCGATCGTTTCCATGCCACCAATGTACCGTCTAAGAACTTCAGGTATAACGACGCAACCCTCCTTCTCCCGCCATCCATTCTCCAAGATGGCAGCTAGCACTCTCGGAACAGCCATCGCCGTGCCATTCACAGTGTGAGGAAACTTCTTCCTCGATCCACTCGCCTCCAGAATCCTGGTGTCCAATCTCCGACTTTGGTAATCGGTGCAGATCGAGACTGAGGTAAGTTCTCCCCAGCCGCCGTCCTTCCCCTTCCGCGACGGGAATATGGCTTCAATGTCGATTTTACGGTACGCACTAGCACCCAGATCTGAAGACGGCATCTCAAGGACGCGACATGGGAGGCCAAGTGACTCCAGTATCTCCGTCTGGATGCCGACCATCTCATCAAAGACCTCTGTGGAATCCTTCGTCCACAATGCCTCTTTTGGCAGACCGTCACTGATGGAGGGAGAATTCGTCCACGCAAACATCTCGACTTTGGTGAACTCGTGCACGCGGTATAAACCTCTCGTATCGACCCCTCGGGCACCGGCTTCGGCGCGGAAACATCGACTGGGACCGACCAGCTTGACCGGTAGATCCTCCTCGCGAATGGGTTTCCCTGCGTACATACCAGCCAACGGGATCTCCGCAGTCGCGGCCAAACTTCTAGTCGGCTTCCCAACATCTTTCTCAGCCTGGGCTACCTGCCAAATCTGCTGCTCGTCATTCTGGTCTCGCGGTTGGAACCCACACGCCGCAGCCATATGTGAGTAGACAAGAGAAGGTGGAGTCGCGACGGACCAGCCGTGTTTCAACGCAACGGACAAGGCATACTGGACCAAGGCCTGCTCCAACAGCGCTGCCTCGTTGAGCAGATAGTAAAACCCCCATCCGGATGTTGTGGACGCTGATGTGAAATCAATGAGTTTGAGCTTCTCACCAATAAGTGCATGATCGGCCGAACTGTCATAAGAAGGAGGATTCTCCGGGTCGTAGTTGATATAGGAGTGTAACCTGGGTTCGCCGTTCGTCGGAGTCTCCGAAGATGTCAGATTAGGCAAAGATAGAGCCATTGCTTGAGCATCTGCGTCCAGCGCTGCATGTTCAAATTCCATTTCCTCAATGCCCAGCTTGAGCGATTTCATTCGAGTAATGATATCGTCTCGATCACCCTTTTTCCGGTACATTAAGGTTTGTAGGTCATTCAGATCTTCTCGAGGCCGTCGCATGCGCTCGTCCAACTCTAACATCTTCCTAAGGTTGTCTGCGACTTTCCCCGGCACGTCCTGGTGGCTGCGGTAGTTCCGCACCACTGTATTTTCTTCGTAGAGCTCGACATTGTCTCGAATCTGCCTTAGTGGAGGAGTCTGCTTTGGTGCTGTCGCGGGACGTGGTCGTTTGGGACTGGGCGCGGTAGCATAGGCTCTTCTGCAACGGAGCAGGAACGCCGTCGGGTCGAGCCTCCCTTTCGACATGTAGAGAGTGGTTTCGCAACCTTGCAGGCTGGTGAACGAGGAGCGCAGGACAGCCAGCAACGATTGAATACGCGACATGAAAAATATTCTCCGCATAAGGGGTCCACCCGTGCGGAGACAGCTTCTATGTTTGCCTTATATTGCTCAAAAGCCAAAAAATTACCTGATTTGGTCCACGAATCGCACACAGATAAATGCGATTCTCCAATGCCTCAAAAGGGCAGCGTGGCCTAATGGTAAGGCGTTGCTTTCCGGATCTGGAACCTGGCAAAGACTGTGGGTTCGAGTCCCATCGCTGTCGAAAGTGAGCTGAGTTGAAGCTTGTCCTCTTTTTACTGCTTTTTTGGCGTCGGGTTCTGAGTGAGTTAAAGGTTACTAGCCATAAGCACAGTTCCGCTCAACACTACGGTGACCAGGATAAGGTTTAGGGTTGAGGAGAGGGCTGCCTCAAACACCTCGTCGATGTTTTTTGTTCTTCGTATAAGGTAGAGTTGCCTGGCTCACAAGAAGTGATGCACAAATGTCCCCAGTAGTCGTCAAGGTGGAAACTGCGAAGTACTATCGGAACAAAGCATGGCCTCAGCTCTGCCATGTGCGAGGAGGAAATAGTCAAGCCAGGATCAAATAACGAACGAGTGGGTCATTTTTTGGTATTATTACACGAAGCAATGGCTTTGCAGTACTTCTGACAGTTTGACAGGGCACACACGCCTGTTCTCGTATGAGAACGCTCCGGTCCCAGTGCCCTTTGACCACGAGGTTACCCCTAAATCAGCTCAACGCTCCTGGAACGCCGCTTTTGAGCTTGAATTGATGACAGTTGACTAGCGACGACCATAGCCCTGATCGTTGCTGCCACCTCTTTGTCCGTAGCCATATCCTTGGCCCTGACCCTGATGATGTCCATCACTGACGCTACGACCACCATTCTGTTGGTACGGTCGGTTGTTGCCTTGATACTGACCCTGGCCTTGATCTCCGTAGTGATACTGGTCCTGCCCACCACGGCCTTGATTCTGGTGATTATCGTATCCTCCGCGTCCATTAGTATATCCGCCATAGCCAGATCCATTGGCAGGTGCTTGGTAGCGGTCGTAACCATTCTGGCCTCCATATCCTGCCACGGGAGGCGGTGGTGGCGGTCCTCGCCCTGGTGGTGGCGGCACAAAGCGTGGGTCCAGCAAGGCAGCAAAAGGGTTGTTAGTATTACTGGGAGGGCCGGCGTTAAGAGGCGGTCGATCGGCAGCATAGTTGATACGTCCTCCTCGGTTCTGCTGATCGTGATGATCGCGTCTTGTGTTGTCGTAGAGTGGAGCACCGCCAAAATCTCGACCTGAATTTCTGGCTTTGGACCGCAGGATTGCCAAATCGCCCTTGTCAAGCACAGCTGGGGGGAGTACAACACCAGGGAATAACATCGACTTGTGCACATGTGTGGGTGGCGGCATCGTAAAATTGACCCTCAATGACCGGTCATCGTCGACGACAGGCTCCAACTTGATGTCTTCCTCCGGCCCGACCAAATCCATGTGAGGCAAAAAGTCGGCATCTCTCGTGACAAGCCCTGCCAAGCGACCCTTGCGCATTGATAGCTTCATGTTATTCTTGCCGTCTTTAGACTTCTTCGAGTAGAACTGCACCGCAAGGTCGTCATACAATGGGTGTTTATCCGATACTATCAGGGCGTCCTTTCCAAGTTCATTCCGGGCGTGCTCGTCTTCTGTAAGCAGGGGATATTTGGTTGCCATTGCTGACAGAAGTCTCTTCTCATCAATAAAGGGAAGAAGAACGATCGCTTTCCAAGACTGCTTTTTCCCATTCGCGTCGAGTTCGAATTCCTCCGGATAAAAGTCCACGATCGCGGAGTCTTCGTCTGTCATCAAAGGATGGAAGGCTGGCGGGATTGCATGGTTTGATGCAGCTGGCAGTACACCCATGAGTTGCTCATAGGGTTTGAAAGGCGTTCCTTTCTCGAATTTGATGGTCATTTTGTCAAGGTCGACAAAATCTGCGGCGAATGGTGCATAGTGGTATGGGTAATACCAGGTCCAGGACGGACAGCCTTGAAAGTAGTACAGGAGAACCCAGCATAGACCCTCCACATAGGCTCTGGCGACCTTGTGACGAAATTCGATATCACTAGGCGCAACGTGGAATTTCTGCTCATAGTAACGTTCGGCGTAGCCCGATTCCCACAATCGCACAGTATCCGGTGGTGGGTCATCGGGATTTGCGTTGTTAGGGGGTTTCTCTATAGGCGTGTTCCTTCCAGGTGTGCCGTTGTCCCCAGGCTCGTCTTGCATCAAATCGGCTTTGCGTTTGCCCAGCGCAGATGAAGGTGTTGCGTTACCCGCATCTGCGGCTTGTGCGGTGCCGTTGACGCCATCTTTCGCTGCAGTGTCCGCTGCCGCCTTTCTGGCAAGCATTGCCTCCTTCAAGGCAGCAGCTGCACTTTTGTTGGTAGTGGATGCTCTATCCACGGTGCTTCTGTTGACAATCGCATTGTAGTCCAGTGTTGGATAGCTTGTCGCTTCGAATGTCTCGACGGGTCCAGTAGGAGCACGGCCATCGCCTCGACCGCCTACAGAATAATCAGGAGAGCTGCGACGTCTCTTCGGGCCACGTTGAGCCTCCCGAGCTTCACGAGCCTGATTTTGTTCGTCTCGGCGGCGTTGGCCAGCCTCTCTCCTATCATCGTTCTGTTTTCTGCGCTTGAAGATGGCATCCTCTTGTTTGGCAAGTCCCTGCAGAATGATCTGTGCACGAGCAAGATCGACGTTTCCGTCACAAGTCAGGTAGCCGCCCATGACGGGGTTATTGTCTCTCCAGATAGCGATGAGTTTGTCAATACCATCTTCATGAATGTCCAGACTAGGAAGATGAGGCAGAAAGTCATTGCCGACAAAGAAACACATGAAAACCCAGTCATCCAGGGCACGTTCAAGATCGAAACGGAAGGCTTGACCAGGGACAAACATCTCGGCGGCCAGATACTCACGCAAAATAGGGACATTCAGCCAGATGAAAGGCTTCAGTGTTTCGGTGGTTCCCTTTTCATCGAACTCGCCGGACTTGGCCTTAACATTGCCCCTGCAGTTCTCCGCATAATGCCCTTCTTGGCCGCAGAGTTTGCAGGTTTTGGCTTTGGCATTTCTGACATTGACATCTTCTCGAAGGACACGGAAATGTGGTTCGTGAGTAGCAAGGGCAAGCATGATCAAGTCGGCATCCAGTCCATACATGACATGCCGAGTATTGGGGTCATACTCAGGGTCCGAACGCTGAGAACGGATGAACTGCATGATCTTATGCTCACCTTCACCTGGTACACTGGCGTCTGAAATGACGACCTTCAGGTCCGCCCAGGCCGGATCAGTGTTGAGTTTCCACTGAACCCAATATCGAATGGACTTAGCAAGAATGAACATGAAAGGCGTGCCAGGTGTAATGACATTACTATCCCATGTTTTCTTGATTATGTCTTGTTCTGTCGAGTCTTCGTCGTCATCATCGCCTCTGCTCTGCTTTTGCTGACGAAGGAGTGTTTGGAATTCCGCTTTCTTCTCATCCGCCTCTTTTGCATCTCGCGCTGATCGGAAACGGCGCGCGCGTTGCTGGTTCATTTTTGCACGTGGAGCAACTCCATCTGTGCTGTGTTAGAAAATCAAGCACATCTTCGGTGGACTCGGTCTTTGCACTCACCAATAGCGATCACGAGTAATCTCCGTGGGCGCACCATATTGACGACGCGGTCGGTATACTTGAAGATTGCCATCATCATCTCACTCTCATTTGCAGGAGGAGGTGTGTCCTCCGGATGCGAGCAAGGATGTACGATGCCATTGAAATCAAGATAGAGATTGTGCATCTCCTCGCCATTTGGGTTGGGCTTCGTAGTGTCAACAGGATATTGCACGCCATCGATCTCGTAGGGCTGTTCCTCGATCACGGGCGTGATAATCTTGGGATACTTCTTGGTAAGCCATCGGAAAAGAGCTGGGACACCCATCGTGCCGATCTCAAGGAGACTGAATGGGGAACTGAGAATGTAAGATCAGGAATTGCACCAACACAGTCCTACTGCGATGCGTGGGCGATTCAGATCGACCAGCCTTTGAGAGCGGAAGCACGGAGGCGCACAGATGCTTGAGTCCTCACACGCGAATGAGATACGCTTCAAGAACTCATGATGATTCCTGAAAGATCTGGTGAGTATGATTGATACAGTTTCGTCGAAAAGTGATGAATGGGGAATCTGACTTCAAGGTGAGAGAGGTGAATCGAGTTCTTCAAGTCGCAGGCTTGGCGAATTGGCTCCAACAAAAGGCCAGGCCCGAGCGTAGCCTTGCAGTCATTATTGCCCTTGATACGGTATCGAGTTCAACCCACACAGAGATGAGGAGGTTTACGTCCTGTGCAGCCCAAACGTCCACAGAACCTACCATAGCTCTCATATCTACCGCGTAGTCTTACTCTCTGCATTATCTTCCCTTGTAGCGGGCCCGTAAAGCTATGTAGGGCATAGCGATTCAGCCTCGTCACATGTTAACTTAGTGGCTCCCAGAAATAGTTTAGGCGTGTCCTCACCCGCGCCGTTGTTGAAGATCTAAACACATTCACTGCCCACTCGACACCGCAGTTATTCTACTCAGGCCGACGTCCACCTATCCGACGCTCTTTCCTTCCCCTACTCACCGAACGAGTGCCGCTCCGTTACTGGCAGGGGGCGACCGTCGGAATTGAAGTATTCCTGTCTCACAATGCCACCTTGTCTACACACCGGCTTGACGGGCAACATATTATAATGAGTGCGACTTCCACCATTGCACGATGATGCGAATATTGGAAGCCCAGGCCCCTGCGCGGCAGAATGCCACCGACACCATCCAGACTCTAAGCAGCCGTCTGGCGAGCGCAACGTTGCTGGAAGACAGGCGTGCTGCGATTCTTGGTCTGCGCAGTTTCGCTAAGCTATACCCAGCATCTGTCGCGTCTGGGGCCCTAAGAGATCTTATTGCCGGACTCAGAAGAGATGGAGAAGACTCAGACACAATCAAGTCCGTGTTGGAGACATTGTTGATGCTCTTCGAGCCAGACGAGAAATCAACCGAGGCATCAGAAGAGATCACTCTATGGCTCGCCGATGAGTTCACTCAACGTCAGGACAACATCACAGCCCTTTTAGACCTTCTAGAGTCCGGCGAGTTCTACCTACGCCTTTATGTCCTACAGATTCTCTCACACGTGTCAACTGCTCGGCCACAAAGAACTCAGGAGGCTATTTTTGCAGCCCCTTTGGGAGTCTCACGAATTACCAATGTGCTGGACGACAGACGAGAAGCAATACGAAATGAGGCATTGGTGCTTCTCGTTGCGCTGACTCCTACTTCGGCGGAGTTGCAAAAGGTCGTCGCTTTCGAGAATGCATTTGACCGTATCTTCGCACTGATCGAAGGCGACGGCGGCTTGACCCATGGGTCTACTACCGTCCAGGACTGTCTATCTTTGTTGGCCAACTTGCTGAATCTCAACACGTCCAATCAATCATACTTTAGGGAGATCGGAGGTATCCCGAAGCTCAAGAAGCTCCTTTCAGCGGTCGTTGAACAAGAAGATTCTGGAGATGGAGTCTCCGAATGGATGAAGCCCCAAAGAGATATGAATGTCTGGGGCTTACTGGGCGTTGTCCAATTGTTCCTGGCGACCGGTTCTCAAGGCACTGTTGTCAATCAACAGGCATTCTGGAAGACAGGAGTCTTGGAAATCATTCTGCGCATCGCCTTTCACCCAGCGTACAGTACCGGGATCCGTGCCAAGTCGCTGCAAGCCTGTGGAGATATCATTCGGGGAAATCATGGCCTTCAGGAACGTTTTGGCGACCTTCCGGTGCCAATCAAACAGGCAGACATTGCTACGACTAACGGGCATGCTTCTCCAGCATCGCCTGCAAAGCAGCCTAAGGCTCCCAAAGCGGTATACCGGGAACGAAATGTGATTGAATCACTTCTGGAGCTCGCTCTAGTGACTGCACCACTTGCTCTATTCGACGTCCGACTGGCAGCTACCTCTTGTCTGAAAGCATTTGTCGAGGGACACCCTGGAATCAAAGCCCATGTGCTGAAAAGAGCGATAGAAGGACACAAAAGCGGTGAGGATGCCATTCCCAACATGCTGACAGTATTACTTGAACCACCTGCATCGCGCGGCAACTCTGATCCCTACCAACAATGGTTTGCTGCAGTTCTCATTATGCACCTTCTGAATGATGACCCCGAGACCAAAGACCTCGCTCTGAAGGTGACGGAAGGCGATGCGGAAAGTGGCGAGGAGCTTGTCACATTTGTGCAGACCATCACAAGTAATGTTGTTGCGGGCGTGCAGCACGCTGAAGATGAGCGCGCCTTGCTCGGATACCTGATGCTCCTAGCCATTTGGCTTTTTGAAAGCCCCGAGGCGGTGAACGATCTTCTGGGAGAGGGAAGCACTGTTCAGGGGCTCGCGGCTGCGGTGAAGATAGCAAACACCTCTATGCCACTCGTGGCGGGTCTCTCCGCGTTTCTATTGGGAATTATTTACGAATTTTCGACCAAAGACTCTCCGATACCACGGACCACTCTTCACAGCCTTCTCTTGTCGAGTCTCGGTAGGGAGACTTACGTCGATAGATTGAACAAACTCAGAGAGAATGTTTTTGTCCGTGATTATGAAGTCCTTCCTCAAGGCGGAAATGGTGGACTCCCAGAAGTCTTTTTCGACAAGACATTCATCGATTTTCTAAAGGACAACTTTAGCAGGTTCCTCCGCGCTATCGACCGAGACCCGAACTTTGAAGTGTCAATCGTGAGCAACGGGGTGCAAAAAGGCGTGTCACGAGACCTGGTGGATGGCTTGAGGGCTGAAGTACAAGAACAAAAGCAAGCCTTAGAAGCCGCTAATACTGAGTTGCTACAACTCGGAAGAAAGTTGGAGCAAGAGGAACTTGACCACCGGCGGACGCGGGAATCGTCTACCGTGGAGGTCTCTAGGATCAAGCAAATCAATCAGAGTTTGCAGGACAACCACGAAGTCGAGTTGAAGAAGCTGCAGCAAGAGTTCGCTCGCGAACGAAGCCTGCTTCTGAAAACCCATGAAGATGAGCTCAACCGTCGGCGAAACGAGCATGTGACCACAGTTGAAAGCGCCAGAAAGCAGCATGAAGCGGAGGTGCAACGATCCGAATATCGCTTGAAGCTGCTAGAGAAAGACGCCGCCAGCGAGCGGGCCGCTCTGATTGAACAGCACCGACGAGAAATCGCCGAGACGAACTCTAAGGCTCAACAGGCTCGCGAAAGGGAAGCTGCTGAAATAGCCGACCTAAAACGTACCATTGCGGACTTGGAAAGCAAGCTGAAGAAGACACAAAATGAACACGCTGAAGATCTGAAGACCGCACACGACGAGTACAAATCAAAGACGAATGACCTCGAAGCGCGACTGAAACGTGCAGAGAGCCGTGCCCAAGATGCCGAAAGCCGGTCAAAGCATTTGAGCGATGAGCTTAAGGAGGAGAGAAGTGGACGTAAAGACGTTCAGACTGAGCTTGACGATCTCTTAGTGGTATTCGGAGACCTCGAGGCGAAGAGATCAGCCGACAAGAAGAAGCTTAAAGAACTGGGACAGGAGGTCTCCGAAGACGAAGATGAGGGTGTTGAAGAAGACGAAGATGAAGGAGATGAAGACGACGAAGGAGCCGAGGAAGATGTCGATTAAAGCACTGCGAGAGGCGGAGGCTAGGAATGAATCTTTGGACATTTGAGCGAAGCATTGCATGGGAGGTCGACACAAACCAAGTCAAGGAAAAGAGGGACGTTTGTCCAAAATGATACCCTGTATATTACATAATCACCCTTCTCTGACGAGGCTGGTAGAGCCTTGTGAGTCAGACGAATCGGAGTACAAGTCGAGTTGACCGCCAAGTTTTCAAGGTCCGTATTGTGATATTCCTGCGCCTGACTCACTTCTCAATATCACAGCATTACTATACTGCTGGCATTCGAGTTCAGGAAATCGAAGAATGTCGGTCGATTTCCCTGCAGAGGAGGCTGCGACGCTCAAGCGCTGGCGAGAAATCGACGCATTTCAGACCCAACTGCGGCTTTCGCAAGGGAACAAGCCCTACACTTTCTACGATGGTCCGCCATTCGCTACCGGTCTCCCTCACTATGGCCACTTGCTGGCTTCCACGATCAAAGACATTATCCCGAGGTACTGGTCTATGAAAGGCTACTATGTCGAGCGAAGATTTGGCTGGGACACCCACGGCTTGCCAATTGAGTACGAGATTGACAAGAAATTCAGCATCTCGGGTCCTGCTGCGGTCAAAGAGATGGGAATTGCCAAATACAATGCCGAGTGCAAAGCTATTGTCATGAGATATGCGACGAAATGGAGAGAGACCATCGACCGGCTAGGGCGGTGGATCGACTTTGACAACGACTACAAAACCATGAACGCTACCTTCATGGAGTCTGTGTGGTGGGTGTTCAAGCAGCTCTATGATCAAAACCAGGTATACCGCAGTTACAGGGTGATGCCGTTCTCTACTGCTCTCAGCACTCCTCTAAGCCAGCACGAAGCGCAATCAAATTACAAAGAAGCCCAAGACCCTGCTGTGGTCATCGCCTTTCCTCTTGTGGACGACCCTAAAACAAGTCTTCTCGCTTGGACAACCACGCCATGGACATTGCCTTCCAATCTTGCCTTGGCAGTGAACCCCAAGTTTGAGTACATCAAGTTTGAGGACAAAGAGACCGGGCAGACATTCATCATGCTCGAGAAACTACTGCGGACACTATACAAAGATCCGAAGAAGGCCAAGTTTACCATTCTCGAGAAGATCAAGGGCACCGACCTGAAAGGACTTCGATACACGCCGCCTTTCGATTACTTTCAGGAAGAGTTCAAAGACACAGCCTTCAAGGTCCTACTGGCGGACTATGTCACAGACGACGATGGTACGGGTGTGGTCCACCAGGCCCCTGCCTTCGGTGAGGACGATTTCCAGGTTGGCATGGCAAACGGCATTGTTAGTCATGAGAGGCTGCCACCAAACCCTGTTGACGAGACTGGTCGTTTTACCAAAGAGATCACGGACTTTGTGGGCCAGCATGTGAAGGAAGCAGACAAGCACATTATCAAGCACCTGAAGGCGAGCGGAAGACTGATCCGAGAAAGTCAGTTAACCCATCCTTACCCATTCTGTTGGCGGTCCGACACACCTCTCATCTACCGTGCGGTATCTGGTTGGTTCGTCAACATTGCCGGCAACAACAAGGTCCCGAGCATCATCCCAGACATGCTCGATGGCATCGCCAAATCACACTGGGTTCCCAATTTCGTGAAAGAGAAGCGCTTCGCAGAATGGATCAAAAATGCCCGCGACTGGAACATATCCAGAAATCGATACTGGGGCACACCTATCCCGCTTTGGGCAAATGAAGACTACTCGGAAGTCATCGCCGTGGGAAGCATTGAAGAGCTGAAGAAGCTAAGCGGTCACAAAGGTGAAATCACTGACCTCCACCGCGACACCATCGACGACATCACTATCCCGAGCCAAAAGGGCAACGGCGTCCTAAAGCGCGTGGAAGAAGTTTTTGATTGCTGGTTCGAGTCAGGAAGCATGCCATACGCCTCATCACACTACCCCTTCGAGAACTCAGAACGATTCGAACAGACCTTCCCAGGCGACTTCATTGCCGAGGGTCTGGACCAAACTCGGGGTTGGTTCTACACATTAGTCATCTTGGGCATCCACCTGAAAAAGATGCTCCCTTTCAAAAATTGCGTGGTGAACGGCATCGTGCTTGCCGAAGACGGCAAGAAGATGTCCAAACGTCTCAAGAATTATCCGGACCCTACCACAGTCATTGACAAATATGGTGCAGACGCTCTTCGTCTCTACATGATCAACTCACCCGTGGTGCGGGCTGAGCCCTTGAGATTCAAAGAAGCCGGTGTCAAAGAGATCGTCGCCAAAGTGCTTCTACCCTTCTGGAATAGCTACAAATTCTTCGAGGGCCAAGTTGAGCTCTTGAAGAAAGTAGAGGGCATCGAGTACGTCTTCGACCCCAAGGCCGAATCGACAAATACAAACGTCATGGACAAATGGATCCTGGCCAAAACCCAAAGTCTCCTCAAGTACATTAACGAGGAGATGGCGGCGTATCGTCTCTACACAGTCGTTCCAGGCTTGCTAGATTTGATCGACGAAACCACCAACTGGTACATCCGATTCAACCGCAAGCGTCTGAAGGGCGAATTAGGCGTGGACGACACTCTTCATGCTCTCAACACGCTTTTCGACGTCTTGTTCACCCTGGTGCGCGGATTGGCACCGTTCACACCTTTCATCGCCGACCTCATTTATTCCAAACTCCTTCCCTTTATTCCCAAATCCATGCACAGTGAAGACATGCGAAGTGTACATTTCCTTGCCTTCCCAGAAGTTCGAGAAGAACTGTTCAATCCAGACGTTGAGAGACGGGTTGGCCGCATGCAGAAAGTCATCGAACTTGCTCGACAATCGAGAGAACGAAGGGCAATGGGCTTGAAGACGCCCCTGAAGACTCTGGTAGTCATCCACAAAGACCAGCAATATCTTGACGATGTCAGGTCGCTGGAAGGCTACATCGCGGAAGAACTCAACGTACGAGATCTGGTGTTGTCGTCAGACGAGGAGAAATACAACGTCCAATACAGTGTTACGGCGGACTGGCCTGTTCTAGGCAAGAAACTGAAGAAGGATGTGCAGAAGGTGAAGAAAGCTCTGCCAGAAGTCACGAGCATGCAGTGCAAGGACTATCTGTCGACGGGCAAGCTGAGTGTCGCTGGCATCGAACTCGTGGGGGGTGATCTGGTGGTAAGACGAGCATTGAAGGAAGACGAGGCCTCCAAGGACCAGGAGACGAACACGGACAATGATGTTCTCACCATCTTGGACGTTGCATCGTACCCAGAACTAGCGCAGGAAGGTTTAGCACGTGAAATCATCAACAGAGTACAACAACTTCGAAAAAAAGCGAATCTCAAGCCGACTGATGATGTCAAGATGGAGTACAAAGTGCAAGAAGATCCAGAAAAGCTTGGCCTGGAACAGGTCTTTGAGCAGCAGAGTTCTTATATTGAGAAAGCGCTCAGACGGCCTGTGGACAAGCATGTTGTCACGGAGGTGGAAGGACCGATTGTGAACGGCGTCAAAGGAGACAGCTTGATCGTTGAGGAAGTGCAGGAGGTTCAGAAAGCCACTTTCTTATTGAGGCTATTGAAGCTCTGAAGGACCAGAGAAGTGTACTGGTACTACTGATCGAACGATGAGAAATAGTATGATTATGTGACCAGAATTGAGTTATGAGTGCATGGGTTCATGGCTCGATTCTTGCAAGAGTCAAGATTCTAAGACTTCTTCGCATGTTTCTACGAAACCAAGTCAGCTCTATCTTCTGAACATTGAAGAAATGTCGTGAACAAGCCTCCTTACCAGGTAACAATCCTTCAGCCTCATAAATTCCTTTGCGCACATATCTTGGTACGTCGATTGGTAGTCTGCTAGTACGCATTTCCCATAGGCAGAGGCCTGACCACGTATGGATTAGCCATCTCTCGTATAGACAGGCGTAACGCCTCCAGACACACTTGAACGTACCTCGACGGAGCATTTTGCCGCTGCTTCTGCGAATTTCTCGATTGGCCGCACACGGCCTGACATTGTAGGCATATTCGAGGAAACCAAATTGTCTCGGACAAAGGGGCGGGACAGTCCCGGGCCTGAGTGGTGCTGAATGCAGGAAGAAGAGGACGAGGGCCTGTAGATGTTATGAGGCCAACATTATCGAGGGGTCCTGCTGCGAGTCACCCTCCTGCAAAGTATCAACGACAGAAAAGAAGTGATGATATAGCTGTACCGGTGGCCACAAAGCAGAAGCAGTTAACGGACAACATAAGATCATTGACGACAATATCGAAAAATCGACCGGACATATTTTCCGTGGTAAGCACGTGAGCATGTCTTTCACAGATGCACAATGATGTCATTCTTACGTCGATTTCAATTCTGTGAGACGAGCAACGCGCAGGCAGGTGCGGACACGCCAGACGTGAGGCAAGGCAAGTGAGAGTGCATCTTCACTTTTCTGTGATGGCATTTTGAAGCCCAAGTGAAACTAGACCTTCACCCACTGTTACTCTCGTGTCACCTTCACTGTCCAACGCATCCATCAGACAGCATAAAACCCTTCTTCCACAGTCTACAACTCCCATCCACAAACCATCAACTCGATACCCAAACCACAACTACCACTTCTCAAAGGAACCTTCATCTATCAGACAAAATGTCTTCCCACGGTACTCACCACACCCATGGCCACAACCCCGAATACCCAGCAGCCACAACCAACGACAAAGTCGTCCAGCCCCACGCCGTCGATCCCACTGCTCCCTCTCACCAGAGCCACCAGCATCATGCTGGCCACACCGACCCCAATACCATAGGCAACACTCAATCCTTCCAGTCCTCCGACTCGACCACTGACCCCAGCGCCAAATCCTCAAGCAAAGTCGTCGGAGACCTGAAGGGCATGGCACACGGCGTGACAGGCAGTCTCCAAGCAGCCACCGGCACGATGCTCCGCAACAAGAACATGCAAGAAAAGGGCTTCGAGAAGATGAGTGAGGAAGATCAACGTCTCGCTGCGAAGAGCGGCAAACCACCTGTCGGCACTACCACCGTCAGTGGTGACAGCGCTGAAGCGGCTTCGTACGGTACTGGCAGGACCACGACTGAACTCTCACACAAGTGAACAACCAGCCCCAGCGATCACACGATTCGGATGAACACGAATAGCTGAAGAAGAGCAGATGACCTGAGACTCCAGACGGAACGGAAGAATGATACCATGACGGCACCTGCAAATTATTGATACCACAGCATAGACCTTTTTCCTATCGACCTCAAAACCTGAGGCACTGCAACACGTCGACCGTTCAGTTCTCGTGCAGGTCAAGATACCCATTCAGCATGTATTTCATTAGCAGCGCTTCACATCAGCTAGGCAGATAGCATAACAAGACTCATTGACGGCAGCCACAACAATTAGATTTCAGTATCCGATTGATCGTCCGATGTAGACCTGCAGTGCACGACAAGGGCGCAAAGCCTCGCAAATATACCTGTTCCTCGTGCCTTCGTGACTGGACTTTCCCCTCCCATCAGACAGCCGTCCTTCGACATAAGTCCGACCTGTCCGTCGCAGAGGCAAGCTCACTCTGTCGGGGCCCTTGCAAGTATGAGAGAGAATAAGGAGACTTAATTTCATCAAGGACGATGAGACTGAAACATGGACTTTAACCATCCAAAGGCAACGATAACGAATTATTTTCATTATTCCTTGACTGGCACTTGCTTTTTTTTTGGCGTTCTGCTACAGGGGTATGGACAAGACGACAATTAGGAACACCATGACGAACGATGCTGTTTCCCCCCTTATTGTGGCTGTGTGAGCGACATATCGACAGATGCTGAACCCCCATGCCTGAGGGTTTGGTTGTCCAAAAAAGACTAAAGTACAACATTTTTTCATTCTTCGAAGAAGAAACCTTCATCTCCAGTGCGTTGAACGCCGCTCATCCGGTGCTCTTGTGTCCTAGAGCGTGACAGGCTGGGCTCATCATGTCTCTCATCTTCCGGCTCTTCGGACCCGCCAAAGCGCTCTTCCATGGTACTCTCATCCACGAATGTGAATCCTCGGAAGGCGTTTTGCATGGTCGGCGACAGAGGTGTCGATGCCGGGTTTGCGCCCGCGGCTATGGCGGCTGCCCGGGCGTTTAAGGAAGACGAGGTGTTGAGAGCATTGGTGAATTCGGGATCAAAGTTGGATGTGTCGGCCACTGAGGACAATTTGGGCTTGAATGGCGGGATCAGGTTCTTCTTGCCCAGGGCATCCCAGTCAACATCTGTAAAGAAAGGGTGTTGCATCAACTCCCCGGCATCCCCGTTCGCACCCAGCCGATGCTTGGGGTTGCGGTTCAGCAGACCCTTGACAAAGTTTCGACCTTCGGTACTCAGTGCATCTCTTGGAAAGCGCACTTTGCCAAAAGCGATATTCTTGTACATCTGTTGTGTGTCTTCGGCATAAAATGGGCTCCAACCACAGCACATTTCAAAGACCAAAACACCTAGAGACCAAAAGTCCACCATTTTCGTATAACCTTGCTCGTCGAGCAGAACTTCTGGTGCCAAGTACTCGGTGGTTCCGCAGAACGTGTTTGTTGTGTCGTCCTGAGTCAGGTTGGCCTTGGACAATCCGAAATCGCACAACGCTATGTGGCCATTGGCGTCCAGAAGGATGTTCTCTGGCTTGAGGTCTCGGTACACAATATTATGCTCGTGAAGGTGCTTGAGCGCGAGGATAAGTTCGGCGATGTAGAACTTCGCACGATCTTCCTTGAACCGACCTTCCTTCTGGAGATGCCAAAATAATTCTCCTCCGGACATGAAATCCGTCACTAAATAGAGGTCCGTGGGCGTTTGGAAAGAGAATTTGAGGCCAACGATAAAAGGTGACTCGGTTGTGGCAGTCCGCACCAGTATGTTTCGCTCTCCAATAGTGTGCTGAATCTCCTTCTTCTGGATTATGACCTTCTTGGAAAGTACTTTCATGGCATAGATACGCTGTGTATCCTTCTTACGTACTTGGTAGACCTGACCAAATGTGCCTTTGCCGATCAGCTTGAGAATATGGAAATCATTCGGGCCGAAATGCTTCTTGTCCACTTTGGCGAAATGCATGCTGATGTGGATCTCTCCCGTGATGTCCAGGTCTTCTGCACTTCTGGGTTCGAGTCGGAAGAAACCTTCGAGATCGGGCTGTTTCTCGGAAAGATATAAACACAGACGAACATGGCCAAGAAAAGCCTCGCTCTGGCGGTCGTAGACTGTTACATCTAGTTCGGACTGATGACTGACAACATCACTTGCAGCTTGTTAGCCATAGTGCCAAACGGGTTGGTCGTGGGTTGCCAACTTACAATGTAGCTTCGTGGTTCCATTGGGGATCAGAGACCTTGCCAAGTCCTCTTTCATCCCCAGACTGGCCATTAGTGCTACTCTGACGACTGCGCATAGGGATGGCCATGGGCTTTCCCATATCGCTATCAGTCCGTCGAATTGGGATTGACTGTAACGCAGAGACGGGGCCTTTGCGGTCATCACCGTCAACGTCCATTTTGTCGTGTCTGGAACCCTTGGTAACAAATTCATTCCACTCGAATTGACAGACCACGTAAGGGTCGAACGAAGGCTTCAAGTTCCGAGCCTCAGCGATTTTAATTGAAAGTTTGCCCCGAGGAGCAGTGGTAGTGGGAGTTGACTCCTTTGAAAGAGACACAGGCTTCTCGGGTTCAGCAATCTCGGGTGCAGCACTTGCATCGCCCGCAGGGATGCTGGTGCTTGAGAGTGTTGACCGCGTTTCTGGTCGTCGGTCTTCTTGGGATAAGGCTCGAGGTGTGAGAGGAGGTGTGCTCTTATTACGCGACCCATCGGCCACGTCTGAAGTTAGCTCAAGTGTTTCTTGCAGAATCTCAGAAGGTGGCTTAGCAGAACTTGGAGATGAAGGCTGAGGGCTGTGCGGATGCGAAGAGTGAGTAGACGATGTAGGGTTGGAAATATGTGCCGCAGAAACATTGCTTTTGGTAACGCTGGAAACAGGCAGAGACTGGTGGCGACGCTCCTTCACTCCGAAGGCAGTTTTGGGAAGTACGAAGTTCCTCAAAGCCTGCGTGATGGAAGCAATGCCACCGTCTAGCATGGATGAGCCATTCTCTGCAGCCTCGCCATCCCGGTGCACCACTGAAGCGGCGGACGAGATAGGTGTTGGCGGTAGTTGAGAGGGATCAGTCTGTGTAACGGTCTGCCCGGACTCTTGATGAGGTTCATCTGGTGGTGGAGTAGGGACCGACGACTGTTCCCTCTCAACCATCACCATGGAGCCCAGGGAGGTAGAGGACGCTCGTCGATCCTCATCTTCTCTCCTGACCTTCAACGAGGAATGTGCAGGTTCTTCGGTGTTTTCAGGGCGTTTTGCAGCTTGGGATGACCGTAAGGGTGTGCTCTGAGAAGGATCTCCACCCACCTGGCCAAAGTAGCCGTGATTAATACCCGGTAGTCGTTTGTCGTGGAGGTCTGGCTGTGGCGTCGCAACCCCGGATGGCGTGGGCGAGCCCGATCCCAGGTGATCCTGAAGATCGTCTCGAAACTCATGTCTGGCACTGCTGCTTCAAAGGTCAGCGGAGGATTCTGCGGACGTGCTAGCATAGTCTCTCAAAATTGAAGTGAAAGTATGAAATAGCCCCGCCATTGCAGCTCGATCATTCACAGCACCTCAAATTCGACAGGATTTGCTATAGGAAAAGACTGCGCATACTTTTGTGCCATGGCTTGTCTCAAAAGGTCGGCTGCTGCCTGTGGGTTGATTCCACTGTGCGCCATACTGGCGGCTTGCGTTTAGTAGTCCTCCTCCTCAGATGCTCAACGAAGCGGCAGTTTCCCAATGTTCTGCTGAACACAACCGCAGTCGCTCCGCTTGTGGAGGGGAGAGTTCCCTGGGTTTTCCGCAGGAAGGCTCGAGCGAGTGACGAAAGTGGTGCAGAAATTGGAGATTTTCGGAGGCTGGTTGGCAGGGATTGGGAGCAAGAGTATTTCTCGGAAACACTCAGTTCTGATTCAAGGCGAAAGTGGTTGACCCAGAATGTGCGAATATGGTGGAGATGAAGGGTACGTAGATTAGATGGTAGCGACAGCGAGTTCAACAAGGGGCGAAGGGTGACGGTGATATAATCGAGTCGCAGGCGAAAAATGGACCTCGTGGATTTTTGGCGGGCTTATTGACTCGGGTTACTATGGGCGGGAAGTAACCACCTGAGTTTCGGTGGGATGGGGTGTTCAAGGTGGCTCGACAATCGCAACAGGGCGTAGCTTTCGGTTGAAGGGCGAGTCATAACAAGAAGAATCAAACCTTGAGGGAGATGTCATAGGCAGAGATACACCCGGAGAGGGCGAAAATTCTGGATACCATGGGCGAACCAGGTAAGCCTCTGGCGACTATAGGCTACCTATGGTAGCTGAGAGAATAACGATAATACTTTATTGTGCCCTGGTCAGGTCGAAAGAGGATGCAAAGTCATCGGTTTAGCCACTCGATTCAGCTTAACCGTGCTCGACATGGGCTGTGCTCCCGACGGACTATTGCGCAAAGAGAAGGAAAGACAGCGGTCACCGCCCTCATTTGGTACGTGTGTATTTCGGAACAGAGACCGAGACACTGACTCTTGATATTGAGAGTCCACGTCAACGTCATTCATACCTAGGTTTGCATTCATGAAACCCGTTTGCTTGAGGAGTTGCGATAATCCTGACGAGATCGTTGAAGCGGTCGATTCCCAGCATGGACCGCCTCAAATGAGGAGTAGAATTGTAACAGAAAATCGTCTGGACTCGTACATTGATCTTTGATGAAGTCTTCACAAGATCTGGATCAGGCTATACGACATTAGGGTAATTCTGCTGAACACCTTTGATGCGCAAGGCGAAAGCCGCAGTTTGCATGTGCTATTCCGGCGATGTTTCGACATGGGGTTTGACACAGCAGAAAATTCTTGAGAGGAAACGAAAAATCGCCCTGCACATGTCACATCGCTTCGGCGGTCCTGCGAGGCCATGTTCCTTGTCCCACCTTGCCTGGCCCGGAACAGTTCTTTGGTACGGTCAACCGTCGGCAGAGGCACTTTAGAGTTGGTTGAGATACCTAACGGCTCGACGGCTACCTGGATCGTATATCGCCATACTCCGACGGTAATACTTCACCAAGGATATGAACGCAGAAATTGACCTCCAACGGACAACTGCGCCTTGTAGTCCTCGCGAGACAGATGATCTGATATCAACACGTCTCTCATGATCTGTTTGCGATTATGCTTTCTGGGGATTTATCACGGGGAAAGGGCCCTTGCTCATACTATTCCCCGGCCTCCCAATAATAGAAGTGCCATTCTTTCTGACCTACTTTTAGACCCGGGCTGTGGTCCAGATGACTGCTTGTCGTGGAACTTGAATGGAACACGGCCGTTGCTTGCGTAACTCGAGAGCAAACCGTCCGTCTGACTGCAACGCAAGGCTGAGAAGTGCTCGCATCCTGCCTTCTTGTGCAACTATGATGATTCATGAAGAGCCTCGTGAGCTTTCATATGTGACTTCGATCCAATCGCGCAGAGTCGTGGCTTGGTCGCGTGGCTATGTTTCACCTAAGTGAACAGGGATGTCAACGGAGCGTTGAGGACATTTCTTGCCTGCTGCAAGGCAAGAGTGACTATTGTCCGGTTTGTCGTAAACCAATACCAGCCTGGTCATCAATCCAAGATGTAGAGTAAGCAACTTGCCTCACCGTAGCGGTATGCCATTTGAGACCTTGAGATTCACCGTGGATAATCAGTGCCAAGGCTAGCCATATCGGGCGACGCGACTTGCTAGCCTGAGGCTGGTGCGACTGTTTTCTGAAGCTTTAGAGTCCACTATTCAGGTACCAACTTGGTGCAGCGTTGTGGTTTTCCCCAACTTGCGCATATGGCTCGGCGACCACGTCTCGCGGCGCAAGCCGCTCAGGCTTCGATGAGTGCGTTGTTTAACGTATCACATTTCAGATTTTCGCGACTGACAACTGGCAGGAACACCGATCCCAAACATATCGGATAATGAAGATGAGGAGATGGCAGATGCTAGTCCTGGAGGTCCAGCGACACCACAAGATGATGAGGAGAACGGAGAGAATGAAGAGGATGAAGACATGAATGAAGCAGAAGAGGCTCCTACACCGTCCAGAGACTCGGCGCAACCTTCTCGTTCGGCGACTCCTCGACGCGGCCGACCGTCCCTACAATTCGGACGACGGAAGCGGCTGGGTCGACCACCCAAGAACCGGCAACCGCTCTCCGACGACGAAAATAATGACGCTACTTCAGAGGTTAGCACTCCAAAGAGGAGGGGTGGCTTCCGTGGCCATCGAGGCGGGAGATGGAGAGGCAGGGGCGGCGTTACAAGAACACCAGCTCCTCTCGATCTGAATGGAAACCCAATGCAGATCGTAAATGATGAGGTTGAACTGCCTGGAGACCCGGAAGGAGAAACGAAAGTGGATAAGAGAGGCCAGCTTTTGGATGGGAGAGAATATCGCGTGCGGACGTTCACCATTATGGGAAGAGACGAGCGACTTTACATGCTCTCCACCGAGCCAGCACGATGCATCGGCTTTCGTGATTCCTACCTCTTCTTCCAGAAACATCCGAATCTGTACAAGATCATCATTGACGATGACGAGAAACGAGATCTCATCGAGCGGGATGTGCTCCCTCATTCCTACAAGGGCCGAGCTATTGGTGTTGTAACCGCTCGCTCAGTGTTCCGCGAGTTTGGAGCAAAGATCGTGATTGGGGGAAAGAAGGTCATTGACGACTATCAGACTCAAGCGGCACGCGAACGAGGGGATGTGGAAGGTGAATTGGCTGTCCCCGACGACCGTTTACCGGCACCTGGAGAGCCCTATAACCGCAATCAGTATGTTGCATGGCATGGTGCGAGCGCGGTCTACCACACCAACGCCTCTAGTGTGCCAGGCCCCATTGCCAAAGCACAGGACATCAAGAGACGCAAGATTGTGGTAACAAGTGACAACTGGATGTACGAACATGCCAGGGAAGCCAGGTGAGCGGATGAGAGCCCGTGAAACAGGGCTTGACTAATTCTCGTGCCAGTCGTTTTAATTCTATGCTTACAGCTGCTCGTTCGGACAACCAAAATGGTGTATACGACATTCACACTAACGCCATGCACTGGCCGAGTTATATGCAGCCAACGCATGCTCGATGGGAAGTCGTCCACGACGAGAATGATTTTGAATTATTGGAACAAGTACCAAGACTGCCCAAACTTGACCCGGTGTATGGCAGGAATTTCCGGATACACGACCTCTGCCTTGAAACCGCACCAGAGTCATGGCTTGGACGACCAGGTTCGGACGGAGAAGATGAAGGGCTTTCGTCCATTCCCGCCACGATACTGGAAGAGCTACCGCCGGAGTGCCTGGACGCTTTTGAAGCGGCAAAGTCACGCGAGGCCAGCTGGCGTAGCAAGTGGCATTCCGAACGTGCGGACGGTCTACGTGCGCACTTCCTCTCATCCGTCGATTGGTATCCAAGATGAGCACTCAGCAGGTCAGCCTAGGACGTGTTCCAGGCATTAAAGAAAACACGACTTCCAGGCCGAGGTTGCAGGGAAGATGCCACCAAGCATAAGGGTTATTGTGGCTTCACCAAAGACTCATGAAGCCTTTGCTTGGGTGAAGGTGCATGCTTCGATCAATACAGGCGACCTCATTCCGCTTCGGAGACCGAGACAATCAATCAATCTGCAATGTTCGGAGGGTTCTAAGCAGAACCACGATCCATTCAAGCTCGAAGCTGGACTGGGACCTTCCCTCCACGATTGGTAACCGGAACTTACAGACCAGGTTTCGATGTTGCAGATTCGGAATGGGACGCTGAGGCCGGCCGCGAAACCCGACCCCCAATTGCATATCTTGCAAACGAAGATGAGTGCGTGTGAATTAGAACAATACACACACAGTACTCGCACAGATAGAACCGATCCTCGCCGGATTTCGTGGAGTGGAAGTCATTAGGGGAAACATGATTGGGTCGATGCAATTCTTCACTATTGAGCATTGTGCCGCTGAACCAATCATGCAATATGGCTACACTCCTCTACGGCGTGTTTCGTGACTGCGTTGAATTTTCCTGAATGTGGGGCATTTATGCCCGTTCTTGCAGTTCCCTCTCTTTCCGCCGTGGTTTTGCACATTCGATGCCCAAGCCTATCTGTGCCCTCTGAAAGGCTATCGCTTGGGGAAAGTTACATGCATGATAACCTACAAGGAATCATCATGACCCAAGGCAGTGAGAAGTAAGTCGGAATCTGAAAATGGCACGTGAGGGCGCACGATGATGTCGTTGTACATACCCCGTGCAAGGCGGTGTCGTCCTACTCCAAAAAACGTGGCCATATGTGCATAACCTATTGCTTACTATGGTATGACGCCGGGCTTAAAAGGTCTGCTGGACGATGAGCGATGAGCACATTAGTTATTAGGCAACACCGTGGAAGCAGGGGCGACATTGAGCGTGTAGCATTGATGGCCTCCAAAATACCTAGTAGGTGTGAGTGTTGAGTCACAAGGCAGACGTGCCTGGGTAGGCTCTCTTCTTCGAAGATCGTGATGAATGTGGCTTGTGGATGCGGAGCACAAAAGACTCCTGACAACAGGGCAGACTTTTGGGAGAGACAGCCTAGATACCGTCTGAATGGCTCGATATACGGAGCACCCTCATCACGCGAATGACAGATGGCAAGTAACGATCGGTGGCAAACGGCACAAAGACAGGATGCAGGTCTTAAAAAGAAATATGGGTACAATTCAGACAGAGAGAAACTGATGTCATGTAGACAAGAATAATGCTGCATTACTGCTTCCAGGTTTATCATAATCAATGTCGGGCGTCGGAACCTGTGAAGGACACTCAAGTATAGATCTTCGTAGGCCCCGAGGGGCGCAGATTGATGACATGCAACGGGCGAAGATAAACATGTGAGGAATGATGAACAGAGAGTCATTTACTGCAGTTACTGCAGCACAAAAAATGAATGGTCTACGACAAAAGCGATGTAGTTAACGGCGGACTCGGGCGGACCGGACAAAGTTCAACACGCGTCGGTTAGGCTGGTGACCATTATTAAATAAAATCTCAAAGGTCACGTTCAGTGTTTGTGGGAGACCAACGTGATCTGAGCTTTGAAACTGGCTGGATGTTTGACTCTACAACCAAACCGATCTAGAATTGCAATTGCGTACCACAACAATGCATTCGAAGTCTCCCCATGAAGGTGAAGATAGATGAGGACTTGCAAACGGGAATACCCAGTGACTTGCAAGTAAAACACTTTGACACATTCATTATTCTTCATCATCGCCTCTTCAAAGTCAGCCCCAGAGTCCTCGATCCATACAAGTTTTGACGAGGGCCTAAAAAGTCAGTCTTTGGCTTCATTGTGACTGGCCCAAAAATCCCTTTCAGTCTTCCCCCCCAGGCCGGTCCTTCAGGGTATTCTAACGCCAGTAAGACCACAATCGGCTATCACTCCTCCCCTAGCTGTTTACCTAGGAAACTTACCCTGCATGTTTGCTCCCCTTTTCCTCGAACCTGTTTGCTGAATGGTCAATTGGCCTCCGAGTCGTCTTCTTCGTCTGCAGCCACTTTATCCTCTTTCTCCTCCGCTTGGACTGCCACCCAAGACCCGTCCTGTCGTTGTCGCGGCTTTCGCCCTCCGCCCTCCTCGCTCGTTTTGCCATCGACGACCCTCCAAAATCCACCCGCTAAGAAACACCTGCTGCACGTCGTTGCGGTGCTGGTTCTGGTCCCCTTTCCCCTCCCAAAAACCCGTTCTGTCAACCTCATCATCCTTTCCCACGAAATCTCCCTCATCCACCCTTTTAATCATCTTTTCCTCCATCTAAACCTCTCCATCACTTCTTACCTCAAAACCTCTCTCCCTCTAGACACCTCCCGACGTACTGTTGCTGTTGGTTGGTTCGGTTGTTGGTTCAGCCACCGTTGCTATTCCTGGCCAACGATTGAAGGATTTTTCCAGCCCTCAGAGGGTGGTAATTTCGGACCCGGGCCCACGCCTGCCTCTTGAGTGACGACTCCTTACGGTCAGCTTGATTGCCACAATTTCCCACCGCACCACCGTCGCCAGGCTACCGACTTTGGCCATAACCCTTCCGTCCATCTGTCGCCTAGGCACCCTTCTATTAGACTCAGTGGCCAATTTGAGGTTTTCCTCACTCGCGAGTCACGACCCGGTCAGAGCCTTTTCACTACGGACGACCCTCGCCTCGCTAGTGGCTGTGTTTCCCCATTCCCGCCGGTTTCTTCTTCAGGTCCGAGGCCTCAGTTTTCCCTCACAACACCTGTTCGCTGGACTTCAAAACCAAACAACAAACGCGTAACAGCCTGTCTCAGTCACCACAAGGCGCAGTCCATTGCTCAAGAGTCAGTGCGGATTGAGGTGACACCACTTTGGTATGTTCTTCTCCCTCAATTCAGCCGTCTTGCCATCAAATCACCCCGGCTGTAACTGGCTGAGCCCAATTACTTAGCCGCGCACCCGCTGAACCTCGCCATCGTTCTGACTTCAATCACGCTGCAGGCTGCCACCTTCAACAAAGATCCGGCTCACACCGCCTCTTACCTTACGCAACCCTCAATTGACGATCTTGACGAGCTTTTCACTAAGTCTTGTCCATCATTCTTCACCAACCTTGAGCCTCCTCGAAAAGAGATTGTACACTATCGTCGTTTGCCGATCTAACGACCGCAACACCAAAACACTTCTACATCCCACCATTTGCAAATAACCACCTCTATTAATCTTCGATATCGCGATCAACCTCAGAAATTGACCGCGGCATCATCCTACCCCTCTTCCATGCTCGATTACTGAGCCTACAGCAAACAAGTGCTCCGACTCCCAACGCTTCGTGCGTTGCCGCAGTCGGCGGAGGCAGAGGTAAGAAGCAATTGAACCCGACAACGGCACGTCCATTTCTAACAATATCAGGGCTGCGGCTGTCTGCTCTCCTCACTTCTATCACCCGACCATGCCTTCTTACCATTCCTGGGGCCCTAACGGGCAGCATGCTCGGCTTCCTCCCACCCCTCCTGAGTACCAGAATGCCTATCTCACGCCAATGAGCGCTGTATCGGAACGTGGCTATTATCCATCGCAGAGCTTCCATCCTCGACGGTCACTGTCGACAAGAGAATACTCCGACAGATACCAGGCTCCGCCCGCATACACTGCTCAGCACCCTCTTGCCGCTCAAGGCTCACGAGTTGGACATGGTCATCCTTCTCAAGAGTACCCGTACCCTCAGCCATTTCCTCAGGCTACTGCTCAATATGGATTCAATGCTGTCGGAGCACCCATGTTGCCTCCGATTCGTGCCACCGATGCCTTGGATTTTTCAGGAAACTACACACAGCAGCCAACTGAACCAAAGCCAAAAGAGGAGAAGCCTACTGGGGGTGTGGCACAACATTTGGACTACGATATGGATTTAATGTCCAACTTCGTCGCTGAGATGTCTCAGAATCTTGTGACTCCGGAGTCTTCACCATCGTCTCAATTCCGGAAATACGTCTCGCAGATTCTGTCGTCAACTCGCCTACCGAGCTCCACGATCATGCTGGGTCTCTTCTATCTCGCATCCAGGATGAGACAACTGAGTGAGCGGGGACAATCGACTTCGTCATCGGGTACCGTGTATCGCATGCTCACTACCTGCCTCCTACTTGGCAGCAAGTTCCTTGACGATAATACGTTCCAAAACCGCTCTTGGGCTGAAGTCAGCAGCATTCCTGTACATGAGTTGAACATGATGGAGCTACAATGGCTTACAGATTTCAACTGGGAGATCCATGGCATGATGTATGATGAAGAGGAAGGCTTCTTCATGTGGGTTGAACACTGGCATGCATATGAAGAGAAGGCTCAACTTGAGAAAGTCAAAGAGATGCAGAAGCTGGCTCCTATCGAGACCAAGATCCGTCGCAGTCATTCTCTTCACCACCAGCAGCCACTTATGTCTCCAGAAGGCCCGATTCCTCCTCAATATCAACAGGGCTCACAGTACGACACACGTTGGGTCCAGCCATACATCTCGGAGTATTCACCACCATCTGCACCGCATAGCGGTCCGGCTACGCCCGACTATTATACTCCAACCTGGTCATATACACCATCCGGCTCAGGTTTCGGTCGTCAGTCTTACCACTCCGGCAATGCTTCTGCATACAATGCCCAACGCAATCAACTTCCAGCGTATGGCCAGTTCTCCTATCCTGCAGGCCTTACAACAAACAACTGGATGACACATGGACCCAACTGCAATTGTGCGCTGCACGCTAAACACTCAGACTACTACTTCAGTCATGCGGGATATCCTATGCAAACTGTTGTCGGCTAAAACTGTTTCGCCGACTTCCAGCGTTTAGCGATTTGTTGGATCCGGCCAAAAAGTTATCGAACCGCCTTGTCACTTCGGTTCTGTTACATCACTGCCAATTCTGGCCATGGTCTCGAATACGACGTTCGAAACCATCAGATCTCGTGCTCATCACTTCGGGCTATGAGCGCTTCTTGACGAGTCACCAAAAAATCTTTAATCGAGCTTGCATCTAACGACTTATTACGAACTTGCACCTTCTTTTCTTTCGTTCTTCGGCATTTAAGCACTGAGCAACTTCCTTCAAATGATAGAACCAGGGTTTATTCCACATACATTCACGACGGTCGGTGGTTTTAGGGGCAGCACAGGGAGATTAAAAGTCATAAAAAGTTTCAGGCTCTGCAACGAGAGTGATAAATGGCGTTATGGGATTGTCGACAACACGATTTTTACGCACGCGCTCAGGTTTTCGTTTCTTTTTCTCTTGCAACACAGCGCTTCCTTTACACAGCTGCAGTGTCACGGTGCTTCTCTCGCGCGGAGCAGGCATTTGCTGGATGGTCTTTTACTTATTGCTAGCTGGCATGTCGTTCTTGTAATTAGCTATGTGAAACGAGAGGTGGCGGTTTCAATGCACCAGGTTTACAAATGAAGCGTTCGAACTGGCTCAAGAGAGGGCTTGTTGAGGTCAAGATCTGCATCAAGACGAGAACATGGATACTTTCCAAAAAGGCGCTGCCGGTGAAAAGAAATGGAACATGTCGGCCAGTTTTATGGATCTTCTGACGCCTCTACATGTGCTTGGGGCTGGTGCAATGGGGAATGGACTGGGCTTATACCCTTATAGATTTTATGCAACGATCTGCGTGCTTTCAAGACCACGGAACAGACAAATACAAAAGATTTGCTTTTAAATGTTCCATATTCCTGAACGACGGGCTTAATTTCGTATTCCATAATTTATCATGAATACAACATGGTGGCCGTACTGGTAGTTTCCCAGAATTGCCAGTACCAACAGACGTGCCAGGCTGCATGCGTGACGCGGTGTCAGTTACTTCCCGCCGCTATAACCACAGCTGGCTTCAAGGTATCTAATCAAGTTGAACTCCAAACATCCATCAATTCATAGCAGTCCGAGACTCTCTTCCATCTGTCCATCCATTCCTCGACTTCCTCAAAATCTTGCATTCCCAACGTCACCTCTGCCCAATTTGACACCACATATCTGAACGAGTCCGGCAAATATGTCCACGCTAGAAGATCTTGATGACCTGGAGCGCGACGAGAAGGAGCAGAAGAAGGATGGGGATGACAAGGGCAAGAAGGCCCCTGGTGACGGAGACTCAAAAGATGCCGACATGAAGGATGCAGAAGCCGAGAAGAAAGATGAAGAAGAGGAATACATTGATTCGGAAATCCTTCAGTCAAATACCAGAGACATCATCAACCGGCGGCGGTTACTTGAGAACGAGTTGAAGATACTTAAGAGCGAGTTTCAACGGTTGAAGCACGAAGAAACCACCATGAAGGACAAGATCAAGGACAACTTGGACAAGATTGAGCAGAACCGGTGAGTGCTGGCAAAAGCTACATACGCAATAACATCCAGGTGGCTAATTCGTCCGCAGGCAATTACCCTACCTCGTCGGCAATGTTGTCGAGCTTCTCGATTTAGATGTCGAGGCCGAAGCAGCAGAAGAAGGAGCAAACATCGACCTCGACGCCACCCGAGTAGGCAAATCCGCAGTGATCAAGACCAGTACAAGACAGACCATCTTCCTACCTCTAATCGGGCTGGTGGACCACACCAAGCTTAAACCCGCCGACCTCATCGGTGTCAACAAGGATTCATACCTCGTTCTCGATACTCTGCCTGCGGAGTACGACTCCAGAGTAAAGGCTATGGAGGTTGACGAAAAGCCAACCGAGAAGTACACGGATGTTGGTGGTCTTGACAAACAGATTGAAGAGCTTATTGAGGCAGTGGTATGGCCCATGAAGGAGGCAGAAAGATTCAAGAAAATTGGTATCAAGGCTCCTAAAGGTATATTTCCCACAACAAATGTCAGTTCCTTCGTGCTGACCACTTTGCAGGAGCTCTGATGTATGGACCTCCCGGAACCGGCAAGACTCTCCTTGCTCGTGCGTGTGCGGCTCAAACGAACGCCACCTTCCTCAAGCTGGCTGGTCCTCAACTGGTTCAGATGTTTATCGGAGACGGTGCCAAACTCGTCCGAGATTGCTTCGCCCTAGCCAAAGAGAAGGCTCCGTCAATCATCTTCATTGACGAACTGGATGCTGTGGGCACCAAGCGTTTTGACTCTGAGAAGAGCGGTGATCGAGAAGTCCAGCGAACAATGTTGGAACTGCTCAACCAGCTGGATGGTTTTGCTTCAGATGAAAGAATCAAAGTGCTGGCGGCCACAAACAGAGTCGACGTGCTCGATCCCGCTTTGCTGCGTTCAGGACGTCTGGATCGAAAGATTGAATTCCCGCTACCCAACGAAGAGTCACGGGCGCAGATTCTGCGAATCCATTCCAGGAAGATGACCGTGGACGAAGGCAACGTCAATTGGAACGAGCTTGCTAGGTCTACCGATGAGATGAATGGAGCCCAACTGAAGGCCGTTTGTGTGGAAGCTGGCATGATCGCCCTTCGCAAAGGACAAAGCAAGATCATTCACGAGAATTATGTGGATGCCATCGCCGAAGTCATGGCCAAGAAGAAGGATACGTGAGTTACTCCCTTTCCCGGCATCAACCTTCAAGACACTGACATTTTCAGGGTGAACTTCTATGCATGATCCTTTTCGTACTTTCAGCATACCACAAGCGTTCGGAGGTTATCATGGTCGACTGTACAGAGTAGCAAGTCGTGGGTGCAATGCAGGAATAGATCAGCAGTGACGACTGCGCGTCTCGCGTGGCATGGCATGGCTCAAAGGATCTGTGGAATGGGCTAGCCTAGGAATTAGTCGAGTGAAGCCTGGTGTATAACAAGCCTGACAGGACCTGCCATGGCTTGCTGCTTGCAATTGCACTGTCCTGGTCGTTAACTCTAGACCTGCCACTTCTAATGCAAGCCACGACTTTTCCTGCTCTTTTCGTTGCAAGCTGGAGACATCCCCAGCAAACGCCGGGCTGGGTCACTACAAGGGTTAGTGAGGCTTTATTTTTATACCTTGCTCAGCTAGTTATGGGGTATCTGCCATGTGCAAAACAAAGTTGGTAGAGAAAATCCATCGCCGTCAATATGATTGTTGTTATTGGTCGGGAATTAAACGCCAACCGAACGACAATCCCAGTTCCAAGTCCCTGGGAGTATATCGTTCCAACTTTCTACCACTGCCCGCATATCTCCCCTCTTGTTGATTTCATCTCTGTTATAGCATGGGTACAGGTGTCAATATATTGTATGGCACTATCCGAGTGTCTTCTCCCAGTTAAAATCACTCATTCACAGCCCCTTACCGGGCAGCTCATCGTGTTATGTCCCTTATCTTTGGCGCTCAGGATGCACAACTGGGCACTCTGAGAAGTTCGAGCTCGACGCGATGACTTCAACTGCCAAAACATTTTTTCTTTGTGGTGATTGCTGCCCTTGAAGCATCCGAACACTTCCAATATGGTGGTAGCAATGGAACGTCAGCAGACGTTACCACTTCACGACCGCATTGAGCAGGCATCTGCAGGTGCTTTTGTACCACATCCTCAATCTGTGTCCGCTCCAGTCGACAAGAATGCACAGCCTGCCAAGAGAACAAGCCTCCTTCGCCGACTATCTGGACCGAACGCTTCAGACCGCACAGGGAGTAAGAGAGACGGGCGTCGGGAGACCTCCAAAAAGTCTAGACAGTACTGGAAGCGACTGCCCGCTCCAATACTGGAACTTGTACTACTGCAACTCAAGAACATCCACGTCGATCGAGAATCCTCTTCGTGTACAACATGCTATATGAGAGATCTGAGTTCCATGCAGCGCACGTGCAAAGCATGGTTCTCGGATACACAGAGAACTCTGTAAGCATCAGTTCTTCACCGCCTTGTGCATTCATGTCTGACAAAGCCAGATATACCCATATCGATCTCGTAGGACAAGAGGATCCCGCATTGCTGCGAAGGTGGCGACTATCTCGCGCAGCACGACTTGTTCGGCTTAGATCAACCCTCCGGTCAAGGCCCTTGCTTGCCGCTCTCGTCAAGACGATTAATGTTCCCGATCTTCATATACCTCTATATCTCTCGAACGACAATCCAAATCCAGCATACGACGCGTACCTTTGCACTCTGGCATCCGTCGTCATGGCTTGCCCCAACCTTGAGGCTTTCTCAGGCTTCACACCGTTCTACAACCACACATTCGACCGGCTGACGCATGCCCTATCTACGAGAACGAAACTACGTCAGCACGTCTGGGTCATAGCAGAGAATGATGAGATTCGAGAACGAAGCCTAAAACAACTGCCTCCAGGACTACTAGACGAAAATCAATATTTTCAATTCAAGTTATACCATCAACATTGGAAACAACTTGAAACTCTGATGCTTTGCTCACCTGGCGGACTTGGTGTTATCGAGTATAGACTTTTCAAATATGTTCTACGTTCTCTGCCGTCGCTGAAGAATCTATGTGTTTCCTCATTTGATGCTGACGACTTCAACGACAAAACGTTGCGACATGTTCCAGGTGTTACCAACTTGCGTCTTGAGGAATGCTTAGGTGTCACGGAAGCTGGGTTGACTCGATGGGCGGCCAGACCAAAAGCAGTACCGGTCAAATGTCTCAGCCTGATACACCAAAATGTCACCAGCCTACTGACGATCTCGAAGATTTTAGCTTCTCTGGATCGACTGCGAAAATTCACCATCGTCCAGACAGATATCGTCCCCACGCTACCCTTTTACTCTGGCGCGGTGGTCTTCCAACCAGTTTTGGCATCGAAATGCCTGAAGTTCTTGCACTGGGATGTGTTTTGCAATGATCAGGATGCCCTTAAGGGTATCACGGACAGTGCGGCTGCATGCCCACAAATGGACAACACTAGGACCCGCGACGACGTTTCACTCACAGCAAATGAGCACTTAGCGCAGTCGATATTACACAATGGCTTTCCTGCGTTGACTCGTCTCAGAGCGCCCCGAGATACCTCACCTGATGGTCTGCTACAATCAGTCTGTCAGCCACTGTATGAGGAGGGCTTCACTTTGCCCAAAGATGATGCACTCTTGCCACGATCGAAGGATGGCCCGCATTCGAACTCTTTACGAGCAGCTAATCTACGAGCCCTGAAGATTGTTCAAGAGAAACGAAAAAAGGGGAAATCACGTGCAGCAGGGCCCTTCGAGCTCAGTGCCGAACACGACAGGATGGGTACTCACCCGACAGACAGCGAAGCCTCAGTCAGCACTTTGAACACCCTCCAGTCCTATCTAACACACAGCAGCACCAACACTACTGCAACAAATCAATCAAATATCCAAAGTCCAGTCTCCCCAATAGACGCCGAACAACAATGGATGTATCGTATCCCAGACTTTTCAGGCAAGGAGACACCGAAAGGGCGACTACAAGACATTCGTGTTCCAAGCTCAGCCTCGAAGCGCGACAGCATCTGTAACTGTGAATTCGATGCAGACAGCATTTGTGCTTGCGATGCGCAACACAATCCGCTGAATAGACCACCTACACCGCCAAAGAGCCCTCTCCGTCACAGTTTCAGGCTGTCCCAGTCAGCGCCTTTCCCTGGAGATCATATTCCTCCAAGCGACATGTACCAGAACCAGAGAAGGACTCTCGACCAAGTACAAGTGTCATCTTCGAGCGCGACATCACTTCCAACTCAGCGACAACGACAACTGAGGCCTATATTCTACTTGAAGCCAGATGTACCCTACCACGACGCGAATGGTGGGATAGTCGGCTGGGCAGAACTACTCAGAATCAAGGAGAAAGCTAGAATGGCCGGTGGTGGTGCCGGGCATGAGCATGAGGAGGACGACTTCGAAGACGAAACTATGTGCACAGGGTCCTGGAACTCGCGTTATGTCGGCGAGAGGAATTGGAATGAGCTTGATCTCGTCAAAGAGCTTTCCAACTCGAACTCGTCGTCGTATACCATGGCAAGTGCAGACTCTGAATCAGAGCCAAAGTGGAAGTCACGATTGAAGTCGGGCTCCAACACAAACTTGAATTCCTTGTCTTTGCCTTTGAGAGCGAAGGTGCCGCTCTACGCGCACGAGAAGAGTCTGGACAGAAGAAGACATGTTGCGAGGCCTAGGGGTGAAAGGGGTGGAAGTATTTGTGTGAACGACTTTTTTTGATCTGGATGGGGAGTACACATACCTGTCCTTTGTTTACAGTGGATGGCAACAGCAATGTCGCAAGATGTGCTGCGAGTGTTCAGTCCGCGCCCAATACTATGCGTCCTTCATTTCGTAGAGAATGGAGAATACTCCATGCTTCCTGTGGCCTTAGACCTCCGTGGGAGCTGATGGATATTCTGCAAGATCGCATTGCCAGTCGCCCGTCCGGTTGCTTCTTTTTACGATCACAAAATCTCGATGACAAGAACATTTTGATTCCGAATCCAAGAGCGAGCAGCCAGTCAAAGTGTTTAGCCATGGCAGTAGCACCTCTAGCCAGCTTCGTAAGAGGACCCTGTTCTGTTCTCGTTACCATCAAGGCCATCCTTCTGCCTGCGCTTGGTCGGAGGAATTCCAGGCCGAGCACCATGATGTCTCCGTCCGACGAACTGATGGCGCGACCACCTCCAATTTTTTCGATTCTCTTTCTTACTAACACATTTCATTGACCATGAAGAATCTCTCCGTATGGCGTCATGAAGATGAATCTATGTAGACCTATTTGACTATATATGACCGTAACTGCCATGTAAGATGCCGTAGTGTTATGCGGTGTTGAAACCGATTCAATCTCAACGACATTGTTCATCACACTGTTCCACCTACTACAACAGCAGCAGCAGCAGCAGCAGCAGCAGCATGGCACCGGTACAGAAGAAGACGGTTCTGATCACAGGCTGTAGCACAGGCGGCATAGGCTCAGCCATGGCCAAGGTCTTTCTCGAACAGGGTTTCCACGTCTTCGCCACGGCGCGCGATCCCAACAAGGCGGCGGATCTCGCGGAATTAAGTAACGTTGAGGTCCTTGGGCTGGACGTTACTATCGCCCAGACCATCGCGCGGTGTAAGGACACGGTGTCGAAGCGCACAGGCGGGAAACTCGATGTCCTAGTCAACAATGCCGGGATCGAGTCTCAGTCCCCATTGCTGGACGTTGACATCGCGGAGGCGAAGAGGCTTTACGACGTCAATGTCTGGGGTCCTCTTGCTGTGGTCCAGGCGTTTGCGCCATTAATTATCGAGGCCAAAGGAGTCGTCGCCAATCAGAGCTCCATTGATGCAGCGTTGAACATGGTGTGGGCTGGCATCTTTTCCAGTTCAAAAGTAGCTGAAGCGCGCATGTCGGAGATCCTACGCCTCGAACTGGAGCCGCTGGGCGTGCGTGTCGTGACGATGATGACTGGGTCCGCTGATACGCCTATGTTCGGCAAGCCTGGTGGTCGGATGAGATTGCCTGAGACTTCGTACTATCATGGCGTTGAGGATGCGGCGTACAAGGAGAGGATGAATCATCAGCGCCAGGCTATGAAAGTCGAAGTGCTGGCTGAGAAGCTGGTCAAGGACATTCTCGGTGGGACTAGGGGCATGATTTGGTATGGGGCGCTTGCTTCAACTGTGCGGATTATGACATGGGCGTTCCCGACGTGGGTTGTCGACAGGTTGGTCAATGGCGAACGGGGCTTGAAGGGGGTCAATCGCCGTTAGGGGTGAATTTCAACTGGACTTGGGGTATGTACGATATAATGGAGACTTGGAATGTGTATGCTTAGGAGCAGACCCTAATGCGTAGCCCTTTGCAATGTTAACATCTGCTGGACGTCAGTATGGTGTCTTGGGAAGTCCTTGTTCGAGAGTCGTGTTGATGATTTGCAGAATATATAATTCAGCCATCGCTATCATCGCGGGCTTTGCCAGACGTGTAACAGAATGCATCAGCACTTCATTTAAAACCTGCTTCATGAATCGAAGGTGCTTACTGCCACGGGCTCATTTAAGGGTGACTTGTTCAAGCATGTAAACAATGTAGTCAAGGAGATGAGTAGAAGAGATTCCTGTGCCTATGTGACGTCGCCGTGAATATCAAAGTTGAAAATTCTTTGCCGAATTTGACGAGGCTATGTGACAAGGCTGCCGAACTTCGCCTTTCGGATTCTTTCCCTCATACATTTTGGTGCTTGCAAAAGGTACTAAGAGATCGACAAGGTCCATTTAATCAGCGATCGGCAACTCAGTGACGGCCCAAGGCTCATCGGTTTAGACTGTGACGCCTTCTGAGTGACTCATCTGAACCAGTCAGCCTCCCGGCAAGCGCGAACATCATCGACCTGAAGAAGAGGCACAGATCTAGGCACTCAAACGATTTGTGTAATACGCCAATTCCTCTAATTGGCTCTGGATCTGTTCCTTCGCGTTAGGAGTCTCGTCCCGGTCTTCGACTACAGATTTCCACACACACGATTTATCCACCAAGCGCTCATAATGTCATCTGGTCGAGGTGGTCGAGGTGGCCGCGGAGGCAACCGCCACGACTCACCACCTCGCACTGTGCTCGTCTCGAAAGCACTCTCACGTCTTCTCCGCCACGCTGCCGTACAAGAACGCATCCCCATCGACAATCACGGCTACGTCCGCATGGACCACCTCTTAGGATGGCAACGTCTACGCAGTATGAAACCTCCAGTGACATTCGACGAGATAGTTCAAGTTATCCAGGACAACGAGAAGAAGCGATTCGCTTTGAAGTATGTGACCCAGGAAATCAACCCGGAGCACACAGACGTCCCTACCACCACGAATGAATCCCAAACGACAGAACAGGCAGACGTGGAAACGGATGCGCAAATCGAGACGGAGACGCAACGAGCCATCTCCCAATTTGAAGCACTCACTATCAACAACGACATCGACATGAAGAGGTTCTTCATACGGGCCACACAGGGTCACAGCATGAAAGCCGTCGAGGCAGAAAACTTGTTGACCCCGATCACTCTGGACGATGAGGCAAATATACCTGACGCAGTCGTACACGGGACATTCTACGGCGCATGGGAGCCGATTCTGACAAGCGGCGGACTCAAATCAATGAGCCGGAACCATGTGCACTTTGCCACAGGCCCGAATTTAGAAGAGGTCCAGCAGAATATTGTGCCAGGGGAGACGACAAAAGGTGGTCTAGGTTCAGTTCTTGGCAAGAACAAAGTCATTTCTGGGATGAGGAGCGACGCACAAATCCTGATATATATCGACATTCGGCGCGCGTTGGCCGAGGAGAAGGAGATGAAGTGGTGGCGTAGCGAGAACGGAGTGATTCTTACGGAAGGGGTGGGCGACAAAGATAAGGTTGTGCCTACGAAGTACTTTCTCGCAGCGTATGAGATTAAAGAGGGCGTAGGGAAGTTGTGGGAAGATGGGAAGGTGGTCACGGAATTACCGGAGAATCTGAGGAGTCGGGCGCTGCCCAGAGGGAAGGGCGCAGGAGGACAGAGAGGGAGAGGAAGAGGTGGTGGGAGAGGATGAATATTGGTGAGGAAGGGAGGGGAGTTCGATCACATCATGACGAGTTTGGACGATCAAGAGAAAGACAACAGGAGCAATGCTGATGAATGATGCGTCATGACATCTCATCTTCCTACTTCTACCAGCTTCGCTGAGGTACAACAACATTGGTCGTATCAACTGGTCTCTGGTGTATTCTGAAGCCACCTCTCCCACAAACGTGGCTGTATGCCAGAGGCTGCCATGCTCTACGGGTGTTTGCCACCGTCTCGAATGTCACCATCCTCTTCATATCCCACACTGCTTTCGACCGCAAGGAGCGACTGCTTTTATGTCATCAGCCGAATAGCAATGATCAGCCGCAGAAGGTGCCATCTTGTCCAGTGTTCGTACGCCTTGCAGCCTCAAATCTGGTTGTTGTTAAATCGTAATCGACGAATGAGGATATTGATCTGAAGCTATGAGACACTGCAGCGCCGTGTAGGCGCCGAGGATGGTCATGTCACCGTTGATGTTGATCGGTCGCGCATGCGAGCTCGACGGTTCTGCGAGACAGTAACACTCGGTGTTTCCCGTGATCTGCCGAAATTGAGAAATTTTAGCCCTGCTAGTCACAGCTCGCTTGAAAGCAAGCACGGTAGGTGAGGGAAAGCACGTCCATAGACGGAGCCATATTGCGGGTTTCTGTTTTGAGTCGCTGTCGTGGGGTCCTGGTTCGCATGTATGTGGAGAATCCAGGGCATCACCGTGACAGTTTTCCGCTCTGGCCGAAGTTCATTTCGCCGGTTGAGGCGGAGGCCCCATGTTCGTCTTCTTCGCCTGGGGTAACGAAGGAACCTTGAATCCTCCATCAGTCTTTCCAGCACTGACTTGGGTAAATGTACCGCTGGAAAAGTAACCCGCATTTTCAGCCTCTCTTTTCCTCTTGAGCTCGGCCTGCACTTTTGGATCCACCAGTTCAAGACCCTGAACCGGGGTAAATGAGATGGAGCTGGCGGTTCCTGCACCCACGCCCGTGGTGCGAAGTCCTGAAGCTCGTAGCGATGTCGCATTGCCTGACATGCCAAATCCTTTCAACGACGTATTCATGCCGCTGTTCATACTGGTAGCTGTGCCAGAACCACCCCAACCGGGATTCTTCTTGCTCAATTTCGCCATCGTACGTCGATCGATTTGCGTGGCTCGGATTCTGCCATCGTTGGATGCGCCGATCATGCCTAGCCCGGCCGTTTCCTCGCCAGTGCCATAGCCAACTTCTTTTTCTTCTTTACCGAACGCCATCCTGTTCTGTTGTTTTCTCAGGTCTGTCATGGCAGTGGCTTCTTTAGCTTTTCGTGCTCTCCTACCACCTCGCTTTCTGCTTGGTTTGTCATCGGGCGCAGGTAAAGCTCGTGGACCTCGGTTCGGGGGCGGCTCTGTAAGCTTGTCTAGTCGTCGTAGGCAGTCATCGCGAAGTTGTTCTCCGGTCGAGCCATCTGGTGCTTGATGTACACTGTCGACTCGAGCGGCAAGGACAAGCTTGGCAGATACGATTCGCATTGCTTGAACTTTCAGATCACTTGGTATGCTCTGAATGAGAGGTGAGTGGTACAGAAAGCCTTGTTGCCGTATGCCTACATTGGTGGCCAACCCGCTCTGCTTTTGTTTTCTGGAACCCATCGCTGGGACATTGCGGTCTGGCGTTTTGGCAAGGCCTTTCAATCCATTTGCAAAATTGAGCAACTGAGCAGCTGTCAACGACCCGATGAGCACGGTCAAGTTCGGTGCGAAGATGTTCATTCTCGATTGGACGTATTCCGTCAGAATCTTCTTTGCTCTGTCCAACTCCATAGTCATCTGGCACGCACGCAGGGTCGTGTCAAGCTCTGCGTCACTAAGTGGTTGTCCTTTGGTTGTGGTTCCTTCCACGGTCACAACCATTAGCGTTGGACCATCCAGGATAGATCTTAGAGTGGCTCCGGCAATGTTATGAGAAGAATCAGCCAGCGCTTTGATATTGTCCAGTGGTCCGTTCTTGATGATAGCAACGGTCTTTGCATAGTCCAGCGGGTTTTGTACGAGGGTCTCGAGTTCTGGGAAGCGGGCCGAATAATGGTCTCGAATAAACTTGTGCACAAGTATGATTTCATTGTCGATTTGGGTGGAGAGAAAATTCGATTCTGTCAACAAGTGGTATTCCGGGTTATCTTCGACTGACCCTACTGTTGTGGTTCTTAGGTGTGGAGGCATATTCTGGTAGAGGGAGATTTTCTGTAGGTGGGATAACCCGTCAGGGACTGCATTGCGACGATGTAAATCATAACGCTTAGACAATGGAAGTGATGTACTTACCTCCAAAACTGGTTGTAGAGTCTTCATTAAGCGAGCAACATTCCTCACATCGCTTTCACCTCCCAGGCGCATCTTCTCGACCTTTGCCTTTGCTTCAGCTTCGTCGTCCGCGATGTCACCTCGAGCCGCATCGTCGGCCTCGGCCTCCTCTTCTGCATCTTCCATATTTTCATCGCCTGGGATGTCATCACGATCAGGGGATCCGGAGACCGTGACGTCTGGGTCTTCGTCACCTTTGGCATAGAGACCGTCGTTATGGTCGCCAGCGTGAAATCCGTTCGTGTTGTCCTCGTTTTCGGAACCGCTGTCCTCAAAATCGTTCAGTAGCTCGTCCGCGATGGTCGCCATTATGATTCAAAGGCCGACACGGCCAAGAACGTTTGTATTGCCCAAGTCCGCTCGTTGTTGTGATGGATCATTTGCGTGCCAGAAACTTTGCAGGCATCAAGTTCTCCAAAGAAATAAAATGCGGAGTAACTTACTGTAGTGCTTGGCGTCAAAAGACGACCTAAAGTTAGCGCCTAAAATCCACCCGGATCCGCGCCCAAACGTCAACTACGAATCGCCTACAAGACGTCGTGCATGCTTATAAAATCCCTTATCCTCCCCTTCCCTCTCACTTTCTTCTGGGGTGAACGAGGACATATATTCAATCGTCGATAGTCTCAAAAACCTAATAGCCTCCCGTAGAGGCTAGGAAGCATATAAAGTCAAATAGCCCCCAAGCCTCTCGAATCGGGCCAGCCATGAATATACCCAGGATACACCGTACCTTGATAGACACGACGGATGAGCAACATGCAGCCAGACAGGGAGAGGATATCCGAGATAATCACAATGTCATCACGGCATCATTACAGCCTCATGATGTTGGATCATAATAGCATTTCGTTGCCCGCTACAGGAAGCCCCCCGGGACCTCTGTGTCTGGTTTCAATGCTCTGTGAAAAAGGACATGTCCTTTCCCACGACAAAAAAGACACGTTCCTCAGCTGGCACTCTTCGAAGCTGCTGCTTCATCAATCGCATTACGAACGTGTTTGATACATTCAAGGGCACCTGCAAACATGTAATGTTGGCTAGATCCACAAGAAACAAGGGGCATCCATTTTCTTACCTGGTAGGTCGCTGTGAACACAGCATGTGAAGCTTCGTCCTGCAAAGGGGACGGTGGCTTCGTTCCCCTTGATGGAAGTGACTTGCTGGGTGGCTATGATTTTGTCCATCTTGGGTCGAATTTGGTCCTGGGGAACTCTCCCAGCGGTCCTGTGGTCGTCAATCAGAAAGAGCACACGGGAGAAGAGTGGCGCGAGAGGAGGAGAGTGACTTGACTTACAGGATGGGCACGGTCTGTCCCATGTCATCATACCAAAGATCTGGGAAGAATTCGGGGTGGAAATCAACGCCATATTCTTTGCACAATTCTTCGTGCGCGGTGCCCGGAAGGCCGACAAACGGGACGTTGAAGGTCTTGATGGCGCGAAAACATGCATGGCCGACCTCGGGGTCGTCCTTGATCATCCGATACAGCTTGCCGTGAGGCTTGATGTGGTTCAAGGGAACGCCCTCCACGTCCAGCATCGCCTTGAGCGAGCCGACCTGGTACAGCATCTGGCAGTACAAATCCTCGGGCGGAATGTCCATCAGCCGACGGCCAAAGCCTTCTTTGTCCGGCAAGCCGGGGTGGGCGCCCACCACCACCCCATGTTTCTTCGCCAGCCGCACGGTCTTCATCATGGTCGTCGGATCGCCGGCGTGGAACCCGCAGGCAATGTTGGCCTGATCGGTCAGAGCCATCAATTCCTCGTCTGGACCCTGGACATAGAGATCATGTCTTTGATCAGCCGTGAGCGAAAGGAGGAGATCCTGGGACCACTCATTACCATCTTCCAGTTTCCATACCCCTCCCCCATGTCACAGTTGATCACAACCTTTGGAACCATTGTGAACCGAATGTGGTAGTGCCGAAGTCAAGTAGAGATGGCAGGACATGTCATGGTGACAAGCGCCTATCTCCGCCTAATCAAATACTCCTCGTCCTGGTCTGAATCGGGCTGCCAAGCGTTCAACCTTACCTGCAAGCCTGTTTCCGGAAAAAGTGGCACCGTCTGACAGGGAGTACCACGATGATATAAGTACATGATCCAGCAGATTCGCGACAGCAAGTGCCTTGACTGAAAGTTAGTACGAGTGGGTGGTAGAGCTGATGCCCTTCCTTCTGCCAACGATCAATGCTATATCGTTATGTGCAACGGGTTCCTGGACGACAAGAAGGGAGAGTATCTATTTGAATCTGAAGAGCGACAATGGTCAGACGGTGCCACTTTTTCTGGAAATAGGCTTGCCTGGTATCTGGGACTAGCGACCCGAACTACCCGGCAATTGCCGTTGAATTCGAGCATACAGTAGATGAATGCAGTCAAAGAGTATTCGATCAACAAAATACTGCTATATTATACGAGATTCTCCGAGGGGCCTAATACCAACCAACTTTCGCATCATGTTGCGGCTCTTCTCTCGACATCTCAAACTGACCGCCAGCCTTCATCACTGAAATGGTTCGATGAGTAGCTAATTTCATGCTAATCATTGCTTTTATGTACTAAATTATGGTTGCTCCCCGATTGCCTTCACAAGAGGAGCCATTTCAATGAGTGGGTCATAGACGGTGAGACTTCGGAGAGTCTTGCTTATAAGCATTTAAATGGGAATGAAGCTGCCACCTCCTTGAAGTGAGATTGTCTTGCCTGCCCACTGCTTGTTTGCCGATGACGTGCTGTTGTAGCGGATATAAAACCCGTTGCTCGCGATGTTGGACAATGTGGAGTCGGCATCGGTGAAGTTCTGCAGCGTCGTGGTATTCGCTGTCAAGGTCCAGTTGGAGGTTGCGTCAAGGGAGACGCCAAAGTAAGCAGCGCCGAAGCCAGACTGAGTGGAGCCTTTCCAGGTTGAGTACTGCGTCAAGTTGAAATTGATGCTTGAGCCGTTGTAAGCGACGAGGAGGCCGGACAAAGTCGACTCCTGGACGTTGATCGTTGCCTCCGCTGGGGATAGATCATTGTTGTCCGCGTACCCAGCGTAATAGTCAAAGTCCTGGGTGACTTGAGAATAGTTGGCGACGGCCAATATCCCGGAAGCCGTGTTGTTGATTTGGGACGAGATGATGTTGGCATTAGCGATGATATTGCCAAACCAAAGTCCCGGCATCGTCTTACCCAGCACCGTCAGCTTGGAATTGTCGAACGTGACACTGGCGCCGGATTCTACGGTCGCCGAGGAAAACAACACCACGCCTCCGAGGAGACCAGCAGTCAGGTCCGAATTGGTCCAGATGGTTGTCTGAACTCCGTCTGAAAACGTCACAGGCGCGTGAGAAGCATGTCCGATGACGTTAGTCATGTTGCAGAGGCCCAAGGCGTAGCAGATGGCTGAGCCGACACCGTCAGTGTGAGCCACAGCGTTCTGGACGTGGATGTATCCGGCCGGATTGTCGCCACTGAAGGACGAGCACCGGTTACCTCCAGAGTAGTGCACGACATTCTGTGCATGCACTGTGCCGTTGCCCCCGGCGTACAAGCCGTGGGAGGTGGGACCAGAGCTGTACAGCCACGCGTTGTCAACGTACGTGGTGCTCCCGGATCCATAGGTGTACAGGTTGGCGGCGCCGTGGTGCGTTGTGATGTTCACGTTGGAGAGGGATAAGGTCGAGCCATTGGCGACGTTAACTGCGGCATTGAGACCTTTACGACATCTGTTAGCCAAGCACTGAGAAAACCCAACACGACAGAAATCCGCGTTGTGTTCGGAATGTGGCTTGTTTGACGATGTCACTGACCGTAGAAGCTGGCTTGGAAGAGGTTGGAGCTGTACCCATACTTGACGATGGTACTATACTCCACACTGACGTCCGAGTCATTAGAGACCACCAGAACACTGGTGTCGTTCTTAGAAACAGTCAATGTTGCGTGGCTGATGTTCGCTGCTTGACCATTGTAAGTGTAGGGCCCCACGATTGCGTCGGTCTGGTACAGAATCGGTGTGACATTGTAGTCAGCTAGGATGGCGTTATCAGCAGCCCAGTCAGCAGGATTGATCACATCGCTTGGGTCCGTGATGGTAAAGGTGGCTTGAGCCGATGGCCACAACGCCAGCAATGATGTCCAAGCTACGAACGGAGATGGAGACATTATCGTTCTTGCGTTGATCAAGTTGCCCCGTTTCTGTAAGAAAGCCAAAGAGAGCTCAGACTGTCCAAAGCGCCCACTTGGCCGTCCGTGGTCATCAGAACTGTCAATGCCATCCTGACAGGATCTTTTATATCCCAAAGAGTCGGTGTACGTACATCAGGCTAGGTCTGCAGTCAAACGACATGCTTGCGTCTAGCAATGACGCCAGCGTACCGCGAAGAGCGCCAACCTCATCGCCATCCATCCGGGACGAGTGGTCCCCTCGCGTCGTTTACCTAATGGTTGTATCTCGCTTCTTGAGGGACGACTATACAAGGAACGAAAGCGCAAGCTGCCGATGGCGCCATGGAAACGAAGTTCAAAGTGTATCTCCAACTTGACGACGCGCGTCGCGCCCGGGGTCGATCCGGGGTCAATATTAAGCTTTGTCGGTTGACCCCAAGAGATGTGGAGGAGGAGCCAATGTCAAGGACTCAAAGTCAGTAAGCGAAGCAAAGTGCGTGGATATGTGGTCCCGACCGCTCTCAAGTACTGTCGGCTTGTGGAACCCATCAACTTCCGGGGCAGAGATGTCGCAGAGCATCTCAACAGGTATGCATTCGGAGATGGATGCCGACTACTTCAATCTGGATGCTCGCTGATCCAAGGAGACATCCTACTGCAACACTCCTAAAACCTGGTGAGTTACAATCTGACGCCACTTTTCAGCAGAATATCCAGACTAATTCGGACAGGGTAATAACAAACATCGTCCCTTGCTAAACAAAATCCCTTTGTTTCATTGAGACGCCTCGTCGGGAAGCACACAGGCAGCAAGTCTAATACTGGCCCGCCATGAAGGACCACGAAGCTGAACACAACACGCTTGCCCGCGATCTCACACACGACATTGCTGGTGGCACCCATACGAAGACCCTGGGCAGTCTTCGTCTGCGCAATGTCGATACCAATGAGAGGATTCTCATCCCGACCCCGTCGGCCGATCCCAATGATCCTTTGAACCGGACCACCTTCTTCAAGTACTACACGGCTATTGCAGTCTGCTTCGCCATGGTCATGTGCAACTTCCTTGCAGCGGGACCGACCATCGCCGTGGTCGAAACTGCTATGGACTTCTTCCCCAACTGGAAGCAGATGGGCCTTGTGGCCGCCATCCAGAAGACGGTCTACTTCTTCAACACCACCGCTCTATTCCAGGGCATTGGAAATTTGGTCTGGATGCCCTTGATCAACAAATATGGCCGTCGACCAATATATGTCATTTCCTTTACCATCTATTTCGTTACAGCCCTCTGGTGTGCTTTTGCTCATCAGTATGCCAACTTCTTGGTGGCTCGAATCATCATGGGTCTCGCTGCAGGTGCCGGCGAATGTTTGGCCCCTTTGACCATCGCCGATATTTTTTTCCTCCACGAACGAGGCTTCGTCATGTCCATCTATACCGCGGCGTTGAATCTCGGCGTCGGGTTCGGCTTAATCATTGATGGTTTGATCACCATCAATCATCCGTGGCGTGTCATATACTACGTCGCTGCGGCCCTGATCGGTTTCCTCGTCGTGATGGTGGTTCTTACCTTTCCAGAGACTGCCTATAACCGGAGTGCACATCCGGAAGGCATCAGCACCACGCTGCATCATGTTTCGGCCGCCTATGGACATACTAATTCTGATGAGGCGCCAGGAGAAGTCGGGACGGAAACAGGTGACAAGGCTGTCGACCGCTCTGTCTACTATCGAGAGACAGCAGAGGTCAGAGCACATCCGGCCAAGAGAACTTGGACCCAGGAACTCCCACTCTTTCGTGGAACCTTTACAGAAGAATCTCTTCTCGCCATGACCCTGCGACCGCTTGGCCTTCTCATCCTTCCGCCCGTGCTGTGGGCTACTCTAGTGCAGTCTGTGACCATTGGCTTCATCACGGCGGTGACCTCCAACGTCGCCTCGGCCTTCTCCACCACCTACGGCTTTGAAGCCTGGCAGTCGGGCCTGTGTTTCTTTTCTGCCATCATTGGGGCGTGCTTGGGCATCATTTTCGGTGGCATGACGTCCGATCGTGTTGCCGATTTCTTCACCAGAAGAAACGGGGGCATCCGAGAACCCGAAATGCGTCTGCCTTCGATCATGATCTCCTGCATCACCTCTCCTCTGTCACTGATCCTGTACGGCGTGGGCATCCAGAACAAGCTGCATTGGATGTGCCCCACGGTAGGAATTGGGTTGCTCAACTTCTCCATCACACAGGCTTGCAATGTTTCGCTCGTCTACATCATCGACGCCTACAGACCCATTGCTGGCGAAGCCATCATCACACAGCTAGCCTTCAAATCCTGCTTTGGGTTCCTCCTTGGTTTCTACACCAATACATGGGTCGCTGAGAGCGGCTATGCTGCGGCCTACGGCGAGATGGCGGCCATTTCTGGGGGAGTGCTTCTTATGTGGATACCGCTCTACATTTGGGGTAAGAGAATTCGCATTGCGACCTTGAACTGGGGAATCATGAAGTATGTGCGGTGGGATGAGGATCGTGAGGTTGGTGAGTAGATAGTGGCAGACGAGCTAGCAACACTCGACTCGGCATCAAGGCTTCGAAGCTTGGAGCCGGTGATAGCTGTGACTACATGATGGATCCTTTGATGGTGCTTGTGATGTATGATGAGGGAAGGGACGAGTTGACGCGGTCACTGCTGTACGTAGTAGTCCTGTGAGGCATCTGAACATACATAGTCGTTTAATCTCTCAAGCTTTTTATACCACATATGAACTGAGTCTGTCTGCAAGAATAATGGCACTGTCTGGTCTCTGTACCTGTCAAGGTCCATATATATGTAGTTATTCGCTACCAGTCCGAAGCCCGTAGCACGTAACACTACAGCGTCTCCTGTTGACGTGGAGGAGACCATCACATCTATCAGAATAACTTACTTTCCTACGGGCATGGCGTCCGCTATCCTGACTCTGCTGTGACTCATGTTGCACTGTGGTTGTACTCTGTCAAAGGAATACTCGGGCAGTCCTCCAAAAAAGAGCATGTATTTCAGTCTATTCTCCTGGCCGCTCCAACATCAGGAACTCCGGTCCCTTCGACCACTTTCGCACCTACAATTTCGTAGACAGGGATCTCTTGCAACCTCGCGATCACATGGTGCAATGTAGGCAAGGCGTTCCAATCCATGGCATCGATCTTGAAGCTCGCCTTCGATGCCTGCCAAACCCGTTTCGACTGTGGCTGAGGCATATCCTCCTTGAACGGGACAAATACGGCATGCTCCTCCGCCGACTGACCCTTATTCGTCCGTCCCACCTTGGGCATATACCGATAGACCAAAATGCCGTCATCAGCCTCGCCACTGAGATTGCCTGATATAGCGCCAACATCACTGACTGGCTTCAGACCTTCAAGCACAAAGTTGCCCCACATGGAGCCTTGCCAACCCGTGTTGATCCGGTAAGATTCACTGCCATGTCGGTACACATCAATGGACGAGTACAATTTCGGCATGCCCAGCTCTTCACGGCCCGAGACGATAGGGTCGGTCAGTGACTCGAACAAGATCGGCATGTATGTGCCGCTGATCACATCCCCGTTGTCCTTGACGTACTCGACGCCGTGGATGTACAAGCCAATATGCTTGTAACCGGACCCACCGAGCCATTCCATTTGGTCCAGATGGGTCTGGGAAAATGAGCAGTAGGCCACGGTTCCCGGTGATTTGAAGCGGTACTTCTTGTTGCCTGGTGGGAACAGATTCTGTAGAACCGTTCGGGACGTTTTGAATTTGATTGACGCTGTCGTGAACGTCGAGTGCTCTGATTGTCGGCCTACACCTTGGTGATTCTGGCGTGGACCAGGCATTGGACCAAAGGCTATCGGCATCCGCCAGTAAATTTGTGGTGTTTGTGCCCATTTCCATTCCCGAAGTCTCTGGGCGGAATTGTCGAATTCATCGTGTCCAAAATTGTAGTTCGTATACTCGATCACTATTTTGCGTCAAAGAGTCAGTCACTTGCGAGCATTCAGTCGGGCGGTAAGATCGGGGTGGTACATACTGTTGACTTTCACACCTTCTTTGACATCCCGTCCCGCAAGCCGCGAGTACTCTTGAATGCGGTTTGCTCGCTCATACCGGATGCTTTCCCAAAGCTTGAGTCGCTCAGGGACATCTTCGGCACGCAAATCTCTCTCTAGGACCACTGCCAATGCTGCGGCATCCTCCATGGCGACGCCTGCACCCTGGCCTTGATGAGGTAGGAACGGGTGAGCCGCGTCGCCCATGATCACCAGCCTAGATTTCACCCAAGTTGGAATGACCGGCATGTCGAGCAGTTTCCAAGACTTTAGCGACTCAGGGTTGGCTTTGCCGATCAAGGCCACGCAGTCTGGGTCGAAGCCCTCGTAGACCTTCAAAAGTGTGCTTTTGTTCGCCTCTGTGTTCCAGTCCTCACCACTGGCTCCAGATTCGTTCTCCGGGTGGATGCAGACGAAATTGAGCAGCTTGTTGTCGGATGTCGGATACATGACGATTCTTCGATCAGTTCCATACCATATTATCAATTCGCCTGCCTTCTCGGCAAATTTCTTGGTGGCAGGGTCGTCCAGAGCCGCTTGGCGGTCGATGAGGAAGCGGAAAGCACTCTTGCCAGAAGGAAAAACTTGCGCATCACCACCCGGGATTCGAGTTCTTGTCAAAGAATGCACCCCGTCGGCACCAACAACCACGTCGCCTTTGACGACACGTCCATCTTTGAGAGTGATAGTCGCCGACTCAGCATCAACTTCGACGACAGAACTCGATAGATTGAGTTTGACTGGTGTTCCTTCTTCAATCGTGCTTGTGGCAGCTCTCTTCAGGGCGTCGTGTAAGTGAATACGGTGCGCCAGGAGCCAGTCCTGACATTCATATATCAGTCTAGTTCCTACTACCACGTCGTGAGGTGGTGCGTGTTCTAGGTACTCACATGTTGCCAGATGCTGTTTGGTTCTTTCAAATCGATCTCTCTCGTAAGCTCACCAGTTGCAGTGTATTCTGTCAACTATCCAGAAAGTTGTTAGTCATGCAATAGAAAAGATCGTCATCACATTGGGGTCCGCCCACATACCTTCTCCATAAGATTGGCACCACTGGCTGCAGCGTCAATCCCCAGCCTTTTCAGAACGCCATTGGCATTGGGAGCTAGATGGATTGCGGCGCCAGCCTCAGTGGCGAAACGACTTTGTTCGTAAACCTTTTGCTCCTATTAGATAGATCGCTCTAGAACAATAGACAATGGTCACTTTACCTGAACTGTATGGCCTTGCTGTCGGAGCCCAATAGCAGCCGACAGTCCGCTGATGCCAGCACCAACAACGAGGATTTTAAGCCCGGACTGTGTATCGTGAAAACCATTGGTCGCTGGGACGATCGCTCCAAGAACTTCGGCCATTGCAAGGGTCTGCACCTGCCAGCGTCTTTGCGAATACTGACGTGCACGCTGTAGAAAGCGTAGAATAGAGGAAAAATCAGCGTTGTATACAGATGTGTGCAAGTAAACACCGTTCACATGGCATGACGTCCATTTTTCATCTGTGAACTCGCCATTTTTACAAGTCAACTTGATTCTGTAGACGCGTATCAGCACGTCTCTCCGGATGGGGAGAGATGGGGTCTGGCGGGTGTCGGCATGTGGAGGGCGTATGAAGGTCAACGGCTTAGGAATCCTCCACAACCTCGGCTCGGCTCCGTTTACAATGTACTCACATGGCCTCCTCAGCAAATGGAAGTGGAGGAGTTAAGAATCCGGGGAGCTAGCTTACAATAGCATTACGGAGGGCACACAGAGTGCCCGAGCTTTACAAAGACAGGCTTTGACGAGGGAAGATAGCCTCAGTACACAGACGAGCTTACTGTAAATCATGTCCTGCTTGATTGTCCAAAACTACAGCTGTCGTTGCTTCCTCTTCGATACCGTCATAGCGACTGGCTTTTCTCTACTCAAGCGACATGGCCGATCCTGGGCCTTCAGCCGTATTTGAACAAGCTCCCATTCTTCCTCCTCACAAACAAGCTCCCACTCTTCTTGCTCTTCGTTGTCGTTATTACCCTTTGTCTCAATTACCCCCCCCTCCTCTTGCTTCTTCTTGCTGCCCAAAGCAGCGACAAACTCCTCATCAGGAGCGGCGAGAGCCAAACGCTCTGCATCGAGCGAGAAATGCACCTCTTTGGTGTCCGTCCATGGGCATTTAACTGCGTACGAGTGAGCTCTCGCTGCCATTCAAACCACGCTGAAAAAGCCTTACAAGTGCGTGAGGCCAACAAGTCTGGAAGGCATACTTAGCGATATAGCTGCTGCGAATCTCCCTTCCACTTACCCCAGATCGATGGGCCGCTCGACATGATTGTGAGATTTTGGATTTGCGGTCAATATCGAAATCAGTGCTTCTAATGCGAGGACAAGAGTTGATGTCAACGATGTTTCGATGGAAATCTCTCTTGATGCGGAAGCAGTGAACTGTGCATAAGGTGAGCGAGCCAGCCCATCTGTGTGATCGTGCAAAGTGTTGTGACTTCACCTTTCACCGCCAAGGCGCAGATACTACTCATCAATGCTGTCACTACCTAGAAACGTCTTCACTTCACCTGAACTTGCTATGGCTGCGCCTAAGTCACTGCTTGGTGAGGAAGACCGACTCTCTGTGTGTACAAACAGCACCCTCTGGACTCCAAGATTCGAGGTTGCCTTGTCGAAGCCTTCCGTTTGATGACTTCCACGCCTCGAGCCTGCGACATCCTGTAGATTTCTGTGTGGCCACTGACTTCACGTAGTCGAGCTCCTCGGACCAGCCTGGCCTCTGCCTCCCACAATCAGGTGAGGTCGTAGCTAGCATGAAGGTCTTTGCTCAAAGACTTCCATCCCAACTCAACGAGAGTGTGGGGGCTTTTGCTTGGCTCAAGCGGGACTCAACACTGGCCGGGGCATATATACCTGTAGGATCCTTTAGAGTCTCGCCAGTTGGGTCGCCGGGTACTCATCATACGAGCATTCCATTGTCGGAAACCTTCCCAATCAAATTGCCACAGAGTCGGGCAAATCACCAGGATCAACCGCCAGACGGAGATCTGGAAGCTTTTGAGAAACCACACTTGCAAAAACTTGTAGACGGCCAGGACTTGTTTTGGAAGGCTTCCATGGACCGTGCTAATGCGGATGGAAGCTTGTTTAGATCGGGTTGTTGGACACCTTGATGGTCACTACTGTGGAGACAGAATGCGGACGACGTCCATCCAGTTCTTCACAATCCAGAGCCAAGGTGCACCTACCAGAAACGTACGCTATACACCATTGCCGTCAGCTCGCCCCTGCTTATGTCATCGGCTGACCGGCACCTTTTCCTCGGGAAGGATGAACATTGCGGAGAGTACACCAAGGTATCGAGCTCCGGACCATTAAAATTTCCACCCCTACCCAGGCTGGATGTACCTTCATGAGATCAATATTCCTAGGAACCAAAGACGAATTGGGAGGCGATCTGCAGGTTCAGGGGCTGTGGTGACGTGGAGTTTGGCAATACGAAACGGAGGAGTGGCACATTCGGCCAAACAGTCCACATCGGGAAGGCATTACCGATCTTCGGCATCCAGAGGACGGCGTATCTGAGGATGGCAACTATTATAACATAGACCATGGCCGATGGTGTCCTTCCGTATAATTAGTGGTGCAGTAGCCTCGACGGCGTGTTGTCTATAAGTCGAGATGTTGAGATCATTCTACCGTCAAGCTCTGGCTGGCCCATTTCTCAGAAGACAAAATCGGACGATGGCTACCACAACTGGCGTTACAAGCAGAGCGCCCGCAGTCGTTCGAGCCAGCGAGGCTGAGGTCGGCGCAGGTAGATTTTTTGAGCGAAACCTGGAGGTTGCCGTGAGACACGTACTCAAAGACGGCGTTGTCGTGATCCAGGATGCTATCAATCACCAGGTGCTCGACAAGTTGAACGAAAAGATGAAAGCAGACGCTATCACCCTCAGCAAATCAGGTGATGGAACGCCTTTCAACTACAACAGAGGGAATCTTCAACAAGACGCTCCTCCTGTTAGGAAGTTCTTCGACCCTAGCATTTTCCTGAGTAAGGCGCGATATTCTTGTGACGTTGTATTTGCTGACGATGGACAGATCCCCTCGCAACTCATGTCACAGCCTCGGTATTAGGGCCACGTCCGAAGTTGACTTTCATGTCCGGGAACACAGCGATGCCGGCAACAGATGATACTCCATCCCAAAGGCAACCAGTTCATGCGGACTCGGATTTCAGACATCCTTCGCATCCGTTTGCGCTCGTCGTCAACGTCGGGCTCACAGACATGAATCCAAACAATGGATCGACCGAAATCTGGCTGGGAACACATAATGACACCAGCATTGATGATCAAGAAGGAAGCCATGGGGAACGTGCAAGTGGAAGGATCAAAGAGGACCTTTTGGAAGAGCGGAGAGCTATATTGCCGCCCCTTCAACCCACTATTCCCAAAGGTTCCATCATCATCCGCGACCTGAGGCTATGGCATGCTGGAATGCCAAATTTGTCATCAGATATTCGCGTTATGCTAGCCATGAGTAAGTCCAAACTGTCAGCGTTGAGGTCAAAACTGATCTTCCCAGTTCATTTCGCTCCGTGGTATCGGAATCCGATGCGTTTGGAACTCGGTGAGGGCATAAGGCCAGTGATCGAGGCCGAAAAAGATCTCGATGTCCGCGCAGATTATGTTCCAGAAGAGCTTGCACTGAGCCGATATCTCAATCGAGGATTCGGCAATAGCTATGACTTCAATCAGACTCCCTGAGGTTGATTTGTGCAACGGGTAGAGCATGGTCGTGAGACCTCAGCTGAGAGCATGGTGCTGAATTCATGATAATCGTGTACTATGGTTGGTGCCAGCTAGATGGAAGACCCAAGGCAATGGGCGAAGGAATAAGCAGAGGGCGCCACAGTTGAGATGGCAAACAGTAGTACACACATAGCCCGAGTTCGATAGGACATGCGGTCGAATTTGGCCGCTCCAGCGGCATCCTTTCCGGCTATTCAATGGAATTTAGAATGACGCGACTTGGGCGTTGTGGCCACTAACTAGCCTGGAGTAGGCCCCCTATCCTGGCCGCGGGGTAAGTCGAAGCCAAGAGCTGTTCCGTGATTCTAGGGTCCCCCAAGACCCCAAATGGCCCGAAGAACACTGCAGTGCTCTTCATCTGACTTGGACTTGCCTTGAGCTCAGCAGGTCACGTCTAGCACAACACGCAATATGAAAAACTTGTCTCAATGAATCGCAACCACTTGAGTCCTGACGAACAGACGAAGGCAGACTATGCCAAAGGCTCCCCCACCGAATTGTTAGTAAAACTGCTCGAAGAGTCATGATGGATTGCTGACACTATTTACTGGGCAGCTTGGTCAGTTTCCCTCCCTAAATTCATCTGGTGAGCCTTCTCCGTAACAATGGTGACAGCGCAACATGTCTTCGGCGCAAGTTGAAGTGTACGTACTTGATTCGTCCGCTCCCTGATATTTGCACGTTGGGTCAACTCACACAAATAGGTGATGGACAACGTCCAGTATGCAGAAGATGCGCTGTGGGCAGCCGAGAATGCATTAGACCCGGCAGAGTAATCCGTTTCGTGGTCAATGGTTCAAGGTCGCCAACAACAAGTACTGTCAACTCACACGCATCAACATTCAGCCCTCAAATCGAGGCAGCCGAGCCCGAGTCACCCACACCCAGTGCTCCACGTGCTTCAGTGTCCATCGATCGGATCGAATCCCTGGCCGCTTCAGATCCCACCAAGGCCCTTGTCGACCTGGAGATCGCGAACCTTTTCGCACATTACATCGCCGTTCTCGCCCCTTGGTATGATCTCAATGATCCTCCTCGGACATTCGGGACAATTGTGCCAGAGACAGCTTTGCATATGCCCATCTTGTTTAAAGCCATCATCGCTTTTTCTGCCTGCCATCGGAACAGAATCAACGGCTCGGCCACCGAAGTCGCTAATGTCTTCCATGATGCGTGTGTCGGGGATCTTCTACAGTCAATGGAAGTTCCTGATACCAGATTTAAAGGGAGCAATCTGGCTGCGACTTGCCTCCTCCGCTCCTATGAGATAATCAACGGTACGTAGTTCGATGGCAGACCACCGCACGTCTAACCAGACTACATATAGGTGGTACTCAGATACAAAGCCATCTTCTGGGTGCATACTCATATGCCACAAGCGAGGCGATCGACTTCTCAGAGCCTGGGATGTTGCAGACTGGCGCGTGGAACTACCTCCGAGAGGAGATAACTGTTGGGCTCATCCAACGTCGTGGAGTCCGCATGGGTCAAATATTTGACGGTCACCTCCAGCGTGGTCCGCATAAAATTCACCCCAGTGACAGCATAACTTACCTCCTTGCTCAAATCATCAACTTCTGTTTCCCAGACCCTTCTCTTCAGACCTCCCTGCAAGATAGGCACACGCTGTGGCGATCAATCCATGCGGACTTTATGGCGTGGAAGGCCGACCTTCCTTCCACTTTTGAACCGTTCAGCTTGGCCGCCAAACCAGGAAATCCATTTCCATCCTTGTGGATGCTGCGACCTTGGCATGGTAAGCTCTCTATGAGAAACAGCCCCAAGAGTTCTCCTTTTTCTGACCCTTTCGTTTTAAGTGGCTGCACAACAATATCGAGCAGTGGCCGAGATCATGCTGGCACTGTACGACCCATGTCCGACTGGCGGACATCTCGGTCCTCGTAGTTTCAGGTTTGCGGAAGAACAAGCATTAGATATATGCGGTCTCGCGTGGACCAACGAAGATGACTCGGCACGCGTCAATGCTTTTGGACCATTGGCATTTTGTGAGTAGTTCGATTTCCATGCCATGGATGTTAACAATGCTTACCTGCGGCAGGTGGCAGATATCTGAGCCTTCGACATCACCAAAAAGAGCTCGAAGAGTACTTGCTCCAGTCTAGCCGAGCGACTGGTTGGCCTGTAAACGATATTGTCAAGGATCTGCAGGTACATTGGGCTGCTGGCTACTAGGCCTCCACGCACTCCAAGGTGACACCACAAACGAGTGCATGTCTGAGCAATTCCCCGCCTTTGGTAAATGAGACCTGCTCCACTCGTACCCGTCTCCGACAATCTCCAGTCAGTCCGGGGATGATTTGCCCCACTGCCTTTGAGTGCTCGGCATAAGTTGACCTTTAGAGACAGTTTTGCCGACTCTCGGTTTTCGGGCTAGTGAGGCTTGCGCATCCACCATATAGACGAGGAGTTTACTACTTCTATGACCATCACGGCGCTAAGCACGGGTCTCGACCTAGGCCCTCCACGAGGGCCTCCAGTCAGCGCATCAAAGCTGGAGAGGGGCTGGTGAGGGATGTCACAAGATGCCTCCTGGAGAAAAGCTTGACATTTTGACCTCTGTGCGGCACAGAGGAAGGGATGCCTGACTATAAAGCTTGCTACGTTCCCCTCCTACTGATACCTGGTTCTTCTCACTGCTCTTGAGCTCTTCTCCCCGGACGTCTGGAAAAGATGGTTTCGTAAATCTCAGCGAAGCTCGAACGAGGGTCTCCAATCCTTTCGACTAAGCAGGTCTTCACCACTGACGTTTCCCTGATCCCATTCAGTCAATAACAGCATCATGATGGATTTCATGCTCAAGAAGCCCGAGGGAGTTGCCGGCTCTACGGCGCCAGCTATCTCTATCGGCATGTTTGTCTCCTTTGGTGGTGTCCTCTTCGGGTATGATACCGGCACGATCGGCGGCATCCTCGCCATGACATACTGGCGCAAACTCTTCTCGACAGGCTATATCAATCCCACAGACCACCTGCCCGATGTATCAGCCAGCCAGAGCTCCGAGATCGTCTCGATATTGTCGGCCGGCACCTTTTTTGGCGCTCTCTTCTCCGCGCCTATCGCCGACTACATGGGCCGTCGCTGGGGTATGATCTTCAATTGTGTCGTTTTCACCTTTGGCGTGATCCTGCAGACAGTCGCGACGGCCATCCCCATGTTCGTCGCCGGTCGGTTTTTCGCTGGGCTCGGGGTCGGTTTGTTGTCCGCGACCATTCCCCTCTATCAATCCGAAACCGCGCCAAAATGGATACGAGGAACGATCGTGGGAGCATATCAATGGGCCATCACGATCGGTCTCCTGCTGGCCGCCGTGGTCCTCAATTCCACCAAGAACCGTAATGATACCGGGTCTTATCGCGTTCCCGTCGCTGTTCAATTCGCCTGGTCCATTATCCTGGTAGTCGGAATGCTCCTGCTCCCGGAAACCCCCAGGTACTTGATCAAACGAGGAAAGCCCGAGGAGGCGGCGCGGTCGCTCTCGCGTTTGCGAAGACTTGACGTCAATCATCCTTCGATTGTGGAGGAGTTGGCCGAGGTTCAAGCCAACCACAACTACGAACTGTCCATCGGTGGCGACTCGTATATGACTTGCTTTCGACGGCCCATTCGGAAGCGTCTCCTGACTGGCATAGGCCTCCAAGCTCTGCAGCAGCTGACCGGAGTCAACTTCATTTTCTACTACGGCACCTCTTACTTTCTAAACTCGGGCATCAGCAATCCGTTCATTATCTCGATGACCACCAGCGCCGTCAACGTTGCCTCCACGGTACCCGGTTTGTATCTGGTCGAGAAATGGGGCCGTCGACCTCTCCTCATGTTCGGTGCAGTCGGCATGTCGATCTCACAAATGCTGGTCGCCGCCATCGGCACAGCCAAGCCACATGAACAGCAAGCCAACCAGGCGCTGGTATCATTTGTATGCATTTACATCTTCTTCTTCGCGTGCTCGTGGGGACCCTGCGCTTGGGTCGTTACCAGTGAGATCTTTCCCCTGAAGGCCCGAGCCAAGGGTTTGTCCATGACCACGGCCTCGAATTGGCTACTCAACTGGGCCATTGCTTATGCCACTCCTTACATGGTTAACCCCGGTGCCGGCAATGCGTAAGTAGACCCTTGACCCTGCTCATATGGATCTTTCACTTACACATCTTCGTCACAGGAACCTCGGCTCCAAAGTTTTCTTCGTCTGGGGCGGCTTCTGCTGCATCTGCGTGGCCTTTGTGTACTTCTGCATCTATGAGACTAAGGGCCTCTCCCTGGAACAGGTCGACGAGCTTTACGATAAGGTCGGCTACGCGTGGCAGTCCACGGGCTTCGTTCCCACCGTCCATTTCAATGAGATCCAGGAAACGATTTCCGAAGGCGTTGAAAGCAATAAAGTTTCCCTGATGGACTTGGAGCAGACCACTATGAGGCGCAAGAGCCATGCGGTGCATAACGAAACTTTGCCTGAAGGGAAGGCGACATGAAGTGTGATTTGCAAGAAAGGTGGGTGTGGAGGTCGTGATTGGATGCAGGGGACACTTGGGAAGAAGAAGAGGAAGAGGACGATGCACAGAAGCAGAGGCAGAGAAAATATCTAGAAGCAGGTGTGGTAGCCTTGTTCCTCTGTTATACAGTTGTGGTGAAGTCGACAAAGCCGCCCACCTATCTCTTCCACTTCCACCGTGGGATATACCGATCGCTCAGTCCCAGCCCCGGTCTTTACATTGTCAGGGCAACGAGTCAACACACGACAGCAGGATGCCTTGGTAGTAACCTGGTAGGAAGACTGAGAAAGGTGATGAGCTTCCTCGCATTCAAACCTAAATGTTCGGATGAACAACGCGGAACGATATCTATCTGAACCCGAAGAGCTACAGCAGTCAGATAGGCTCTCGATGCAATGAGAACAACCGTCGACACAGTAAAGTCTGTTCTTCGACTCCTCTGGAACGGTAGCCGTGATGGATCCAGAATTATCAAAGTTTCTGTGAAGCGTCGTCAACCAGCATGACAGCCGCCGCGGATTTCCCGAAAAGGCAAGAGAGTCTGCCTTGCGACTAGGAGCCAACCCATACTTGCCATCTCGTGGTGCTTGACGTTCGCCTAGGAATCTTGAACAAGATCTAGGAGCGGTCATGTCGTCAGGCGAAGAGGAGCCGCATCTGGTGCAACCTGAACACTGGAAGTCCATTATTATCCTTGGTGCCATGGACTTTGCCTGGACTCTATCCCAAACATCCAAAGCCAGCCCACCCCAACTTCGTATTCCCTAAAGTTCCGATCGTCTCATCTACTTAAAATCACTTTTCAAGAGGTAACTTCATCCTTATCTACCTTGCCAAAGACAAGCTGCTCAATGAGTAGTTGGACCTTATCAAAAACCATTGAGTTTCATTGACCTTATCATAAGTGGACCACTTTTGGGGAATCCGATATTCCAACACGGCTTCATATTCCATCGAAACGCGTCACACCGGCACCTGCGCTGTTCTCCGCCATGTCCAAAGAGTTTCCCCAGACTTGGTCTGGGCCTCGTGCGCCTAGCGCCGTGCCAAACTATCACTACTCATGCATAAGTATGGTGTTGTCCACCTTGTCAGGGACTTCTTCAGATCCGAGATCTGAGGCTGCTGGGTTAGGCTTTCTACCTACCTACCAACAATGGCGGCTCGATTGAACAGAGTCAAGGATGGACTCAAGAAAAAAACACGTCTCGATGGCTGGGTGCTTGAAAAGCAAGAATCCAGCTATGCGCCCCCAGGGACATGGTCCAATATCGATCTCGATGTGACACCTCCCGAACGAAGAACATGGACAGCTTGGACCATCTTTGGATATTGGTTCAGTGATATCATCAGCATCCAGAGCTGGGAGACTGGTAGCACGATTCTGGCTGTTGGGCTGACATGGTATTCCCACCCGCATATCGTGTTATGATGGCACTTATCAATCATGACCTTAGGCGCGAAGCAATCTTTAGCATCGTCTTTGGGTCATTTGTCATGGGTGTTCCCATGACTCTCAACGGATACAGCGGTGCTGTAACGCATGCCCCATTCCCTATCATCGCCCGAGCATCTTTTGGTTATCATTTGGCCAAATTGTAAGTTCTGTTTACGTACCATCCTATGCTTTTATGTGCAGAAAGTGACTGATACCCACTGCGCTACAGTCCTGTGGTGGTCCGCCTCATTACGGTACTGTTCTGGCATGCTATCACGAACTTCCTGGCTGTTGGACCGATGGTCCAGGTTATCCGCGCCATTTGGCCCTCGTTCAGGACCCTGCCCAACAGTATACCCGCTTCGGCCGGCATCACAACTCAGGAGATGGTGGCTTATTTCGTGCTCTGGACGGTACAATTCCCCATCCTGTTGATTCCCCCACACAAGATGCGATGGTTGTTCTTCGTCAAGTGTGTCATGTGCGTGGCGACGATTGTGGGAGTAAGTGCCTCATCTTCACCAATCTTCGCGGCGTCTTTACTAACTTCGATGTAGATGACAATCTGGACATGCACTCACAGTGGTGGAAGCGGCAATATCTGGGACCAGAAGGCCACTGTGTCAGGATCTACGAAATCGTGGCTCATCATGTGGTCGTTGAACAGCTGTACCGCCTCCTGGAGCACTGTAGGCGTCAACATGTAAGGATCACATCCCATTCTTGTTTCGAGATCCGCTAACCTCGATACTTGTAAAGTCCGGACTTCACTCGCTATCTTCGCAAGCCAAAAGACTCTGTAACTCAAGCCGTTTTCTTCCCAATCATTTGTACTTGGGTCGCCGTCATCGGTGTGGTGGTTGCGTCTGCCTCGTTCAGGATTTATAATGGTAAGTTATGAGACTCTAATCCGCCGGAACCATCCACTAATCTCGAGCCCCTTGACAGAAACCGTCTGGGATCCTGTCGTCATCATGGACTCTTGGGACGGACCTGCCGGTCGTGCTGCAGCATTCTTCGCCGGTGTATCATGGGTCATTGCTCAAATCTGCGTCAACATGTCCGCAACCGTCATCTCCGGTGCCAACGACATGACCAACCTGTTCCCGAAATGGTTCAATATCTTTCGAGGGACCGTATTCATCACCATCATTGGAGGCTGGGTCATGGTTCCATGGAAAATTCTACACAGTGCCGGTTCGTTGTTGAGCTTCTTAAACTCTCTCGGAATCTTCTTGGCACCCACAATGGTAAGTCCTTCTATTCCAAAAGTTGACCAAGCACTGACATTTTGGCGCCCAGGGTATCTTGATTGCGGATTTCTACGTGGTCAAGAGGCAGCATCTCGACATCCCTGCTCTTTATAATCCTCATGGCCGGTATCGATACGAGTTCATGGGCATCAACTGGCGCGCACTGGTTGCCCTTCTGCTCTCCATTGTTCCTGCACTACCTGGCCTTGTTTACAACGTCAACCCGAATGTCGACATTGGAGGTGCAAGCTATATTACCCAGTTCAACTGGTATTATACCTTCTTTGTCTCGTTCATCGTCCATGCAGGACTCAGCTTGATCTTCCCAGCGAAGGACACCTTGGTACCATACATGATTGAGTCGATTGAGAATGCCGTTGAGGATCAACCTGGGCTCGAGACGGAAACAGCCGTGATCAGCGCGGAGAAGCAGTAAATGGACTTCGAATGGTGGTTGGGCTGCCACTTACGGAGGCGTGACGATATAGATGAAGCGTTGTGTTGGGTGGGACGACCAGGACTTCACTGGTCTCGTTAGCAGTTGCATCTGATTTCTCGTACACAATCCAGAATTTGAATTGTACTGCATCGCACTGATCCTGGTCTGTTCTTCAGTTGTATCTATGAAATTTCCTTCGTGTATGTGCCATAACATTCGTATATCTATATCGTCATGACTATCGAAATCACATCATTCGTGAACCTCGAGCTTGAGAACGTGCTCATGTCGCTTCACGAATCGGTCCACAGCATCCACAAAACGATCCAACTCTTCCTGAGGGGTGCCCAGCATCAGAGCAATTGCGCCTCGTCGAGCCATCCAGAAACCTTCCTCGAGCATTTCGAACCAAAAGAGATCCTTTACATCGAGCAGCTCGCGGTGGTCACCGCCGCTTTTCAACTCTGCTTCCCTGACTCCAGCCTCCGTAGTATGAGCCGAGATGAGACTCCCCAAACCCGTGAACCCTAGTTTAGAACTACTCGACACCTCATTGAGACGCTTTCGGAGTCGATCTCCAGTCTCGTTGAACTCGACGCAGACATCAGCAGTGAAGATACGGGATAGTCCTGCAAAGCCGGCATTCATGCTCATGGTATTCTGGTTGAATGTGCCCATGTGAAGCAGACTTTTACCGTTACGAGGATCGTAGGTTTCCATCACTTCTGCACGTCCACCGAATGCACCAAAGGCGAACCCACCACCGAGATATTTACCCAAGATTGTAAGATCCGGCTTGAGTCCAGGAATGGTGCTTTTCAAACCACCTGGGGCAAGTCTGCTGGTCATGACTTCGTCGATGATGAACAACGCACCCGCCTTATGAGCGTGTTGTTGTAAGCCACGCAGAAAACCGTGGTCACCCGGGAGAGCGCCTCCACCGCCTTGCATTGGTTCGACCAGGACGGCTGCAACGTCGTTGGCCTGTTCAGATGCAAAGAAGCGATCGGCATCCTCGAGATCATTGTATCGAAGTATCACTTTATCATCACGGTCCACCATGTTGAGCGGCATCGTGCCGTCAGGCATTACCATCAGCACGCCACCGTGGTAGGCACTGTTGAACATGACGACCTTGTCACGGCCGGTGAAGCTTCGTGCTGCCAGAAGAGCGAACAGATTGGCTTCGGTCCCGGAGTTCGTAAATCGCACACGTTCGAGGTTGAAGCGCTCACAGATCAATTGAGCATGCTTGGCTTCGTTGGCGGTCGTTGCCCCTAGACACATTCCTTTGGTATCAAATGTTTCGAGGATGACTGACCGGATCAACGGGTCTGAGTGACCGTACAGTCCGGCCGAGAGCTCGCCGACTAGGTCGGTCAAGACAGCGCCATCTGCTGTGGTCACAGTCGTTCCTTTGCCTTGTTTGATGTGAACGGGAAAAGGTGCGGTGTGTAGTGCTGAACGTGTGTTGCCACCTGGCAAGTATTGAACTGCATTATCGTATAGCAGAGCTGACTCTTTGTTGCTCGCTGCGAATCTGGTTTTTGCTTGATCCAACAACGTCTCCAAGTCTGCGGAGGACCTGAGCGTGACGTTGCCAAATGGCATGGACATGGTCTTTGTAGAGGCGGAAGACATGATTTTTTTTATCCTGGAGAATTGACACGTCGTAAATGGTTCTTTCCGGCTCCACTGAACAATTGGTATTGTGGCTGTATGCTAACGGTGTGAAGCAGTGGGCAAGTTGCACGAATAGTAAATGCTTGAGTGATAGGTTGATACAAAATACGTTTTCAGCTATGAGCGATACAGAGTAGAGCTGCTAGATAGTATTCAGCAAGTTATCTTGCCAAAGCCCAAGACATTATTGTGAAATGAGGACAGGCACTGTGCTGTCAAGTCATGGAGGACGACTCGGTACTGTGATGACATGCTCGGTAGCGAGATAAGGAGTTTCGGTGGCGCCGTTCTCCACGATAGCGAAGAAAGGGATGACCCGAGGCAAGGCTGTCCAATCTGGCCGTGTGGGTTCGTGACGGATTTACATTACGCCGAGCCTGGAGACACCTCAACGCGTGCTGAGAGACCCTTGAAGTGTTCTGTCATGCAAACCACCAGTAATTAGACCAAGAATCTAGTAAATCCATGTGCTCGAGGTCCTAGATGCAGAAAGCCGACCGCAACTATATCACCTACGTGAGGAGTGCTTTGTTCTCATGAAGATGAAGTCATCCAAGCCTCTGCAGTCCCCAACTCTGGCTCGAGTGCCGCGTCCCAGTCGACCCTAAGGAAGTCTTCCCACGCAATGTCAATCTGACCCATGTCGGCCGGCCCAGAGAGCTCGCGTTGTTCCCTGTCCTTGATAAGAAGCGCGGCTCGCGAGGAGAGGGTCATGCAGAGACGATGAATAGCTGCTACACTGGGCCACACCTGGGAGAGTTTCTCCGCAACGACAACAAGTCTTTCCAGCTGACCATGAGCTGAGACAAGTTTCATGAGCCGAGAATCAGCTTGTCCGAGGCTGGCGTCTCTTCCGAATTGAATGGCTGGAGCCATCAATGCACTGGAGCTGGTCATGGACGCTTGCCGAATGGTGTTCTGAGCGATCATTGTCTCAAATGTCGTGAGAATGTTTGATGCAGCCGTCGAGCATAGGTGAACAGTCTCTGCGGCGTCATCCTCTCGGTGCATGACGAGTATGAGTAGGTTGTAGTTGATCCGAAGTTGGCAGGACCAAAAGTCGTGAAGTGGTGGTATATGCAAGCTAAAAGCTGCCAAACGGTTGCTAACAGTAGCTCGTTGCTCAGCTGAGACGTACCCTCTGGGTCCAAAGAGTTTCAGAATGTCTAGTGCCAGCAGGGTCAACTGATTGAGCGTGGTGCAGTAAGTTCGATTGACCAGGTGGTCCGCCGAGCCATTCACGTTCTTGAAGTGTTCGTCTTCCAGTCCACCAACGTCAAAGTCTTCAGCACGAATCATGCATGGCCGCCCAAGATCAACGGCGAGAAATACTTCGGCATGTACCAATGACCACCACACCTTGCGGTAGGTTCTGAAGACCCCGGTATCTGCGATGGGTAGATGTCTGCTGGCCGGTCTACGATGCATACCAAGACCGAAGCTCGTACGTACAGCAGCTCCAATCCAGAAGAATGCGTTACTTCCCGCGGAGTCCCCATTTTCCGAGTGCGAAGCCATCAACAATGCGGCTTGTATGAGATGCAGGCGATCGTTCTCGTGTCGCATATCGTAGAGGCTTTTGGTGCGCCTGAAAAGTGTTGCAGTCACCGTTTTCCGGGACGCAGAGACCAAAGGATGGTCGCAAATACGGGCAGCGGCAAGTAGGACGGCTTGATAAACCAATAGTGGTGGCGGATCGGTAGGATCCGCGTACTGCCGCCGGAAGCTCTCTTCGTCGATGACCGGGCATCCAGGGTGAATATCTCGAAAGTACGTATCAACCAAGGCATCTCGTACGGGTTTCGTAGGTAGGCTGCCCAGATCGTCGAATCCCGGTGCCGTTGCATGGCCCGTGAGTGGCTTCCACGGGATACTGCTAGGAGGAAATGGGTAATGTAGGTAGTCTCCTGAAAGTCGCTCATTGTTTCGGATCAAGTGGCTGAGGTTAGACGTTTTCGTACCAATATACACCAGCCGAATTTGTCCATCCACTTCGAAAGACTGCCAGTCGGCTGACAGAAGACCTCGTTCCAGAAAACTGGTCAAGGCCTCACTGCTCGAGCCTGAGTCCGCCGGTTCCGGACGTAGCGATGGGCTTGTTCGGAGCTTGTTGCTGTTGTTGCCAGTAGCTAGTGGTGCGGCTGCTGTAAGTGGAACAGCCGCATTGGAGTAGTCAACATCAGGTGCACGCCGACGGGACCGTGCAGATCTCCGGTCCTTGGGATGTAGCCTTGTGGTCGTCAATCATGGAGGGTTCAAAGCTACACGTATTCTGACGCACTAACTGGCAAGGAATCCCGGCCCGCACACAGGCGGTGCATGCTTTTCCTTCCCATGCATCACATCGGATCTTGCGTTCTCGACAGGACTGGCAGGAAGTATTGAGGGGCCGCCGTGTTGTACCAGCCCGTTCCATGCGATATGCCGTGAGGTTACTGGTGTCGAGAAGGCCTCAAGTGCGAAGTCTGGGGGCTGGCAAAGCTCGTTATCTAATCTCCGCCGTGTCGGCTCGGGTGTTCGGTACCGGCTTTTTTATCTTGGCGCTCAGAGAACCGAGCATGGGAATAACGACATCCTCATATGTGAATCTTTTGTTCCGCAGAACATCCAATGAAACGAAAAGTGCCAGAACTGGAGCACTATCCCTTCGGTACCGTGACGACGTCTTCATATTGACCACGATTGACGCAAAGCAATTGGTAATCAAATGCACGCTTGTTCGTTACTATCAAGCATGAAGTACTGATAAAACAGCTGCTTCCGCTCCTGAGGTCCACAGAATCAGGCAGGTAAGTCCTTGACCAGAACACTCTGAGCCCAGCACTCTTTGCGAAACTTGTCACCAGCCCTCCGGACGTTCAGGTATTGCACATTCTTCAACATGTCTATGACAGCCGACGAGTGTAGTGGTCTATTACGAGCCATGAGGCAACCGCCAATCATTCCGACCAACGTCTTCGAAAAGTTCTCCATGAAAAGTCGTGTCGTATGCATCAGTGGCTCATCCGACGGCATCGGCTTCGCTGTCGCAGAGGCAATGGCGGAAGCAGGCGCAAATCTGGCATTGTGGTATAACAGCAACAAGGCAGCTGTATCGAAAGGTGCAGAACTCGCCGCGCGACACGGGATCAAAGTCAAAGCATACCAGGTTGAGGTATCAAACGCGGACCATGTACGCCAGACGATGTCAGAAGTGGTCGAACACTTTGGACGTCTGGATGTCTTTGTGGCAAATGCAGGCATTGGACTTTCTCGGCCGTTGCTGCAGCTGAGCTTGGAGGACTACCGAAGACAAATGGCAGTCAACGTCGATGGCACAGTCTACTGTGCAAAGTATGCCGGCGAGGTTTTCCAGCGACAGGGGCAAGGGAACCTGATCATCACGTCCAGTGTCTCGGGTCATATCGTCAACGTGCCCAATGATCAGCCGGTCTACAACGCCTCGAAAGCGGCCATCACACATCTCGGCAAAAGTCTGGCCAGAGAATGGAGACAATTTGCAAGAGTGAACATTGTCAGTCCGGGAATCTTCGACACCAACATGGTATCAAATGAGGCTTTCATCAACGAGGCAGTTCGCATGACCGCCTTGGGACGTATGGGCAATGTTCAAGAAGTTAAAGGCCTATATCTGTACCTCGCAAGTGATGCATCGAGCTTTATGACTGGTAGCGATGTCATCCTCGATGGAGGCTACACACTTCCATAGATTATTAAGCTTCGCTCGAAACCAAACTGAAAGAGGGAGTGTGGGAAGGTCACCACGAACTCGCTTTGGCGTCAACCACGAGAGTTGCAGCGTTATCTCACAGGACGCACTTCTCCGCGCCCATGCCGAGCCTGAAGGCCCCCTAAAGAAAGTCTAGAAGTTGGGGACGTTCAGGGCGGGAAATCCTTATCTCTGAGCAATCATTAAGCGGCTTTCACTCCTGAGTCCTGAACAACCAGTCTTGTAGTCTTCGGGCAGCCAATCCAGGCCGTCACTTGCTGGTCGCGGTATCTAACATTCCCAAAGTTTCCCGGCTCTTGATACTTTGGGCTACGAGTATCACACAACTCGCAATATCAACTGGGTTGAGATCCACAAGATCTGTCACACCACTACTTGATCATCCTTTCGGCATCTTAACGTGGTGCATAACTGTCTCGCAGGAAATCAAGAGGAAGAAGACCAGAAATAACATCTACTGAAAGAATCGACATTCGAACATTTGGTTATCTTGGCTCGGGAAGATTGCGCTCGGAGACTCATCCAGACAACCGACCAAAAACACTCTGGAATCTGGCAAAGGTGATCCTGAAGACCTATCATGGGTTCTATCTCGGAGGCGATGCCGCATGTCGAGATTCCACTGATTGACATCTCGGGCTACATAAAGGGTGACAAAGAGCAAACTGCCCGTATAGCAGCAGAACTTCACTCCGCTTGCCAAAACCCGGGTTTCTTCCAAATCACCGGCCACACGGTGCCCGCAGAGCTCCGCGCCCTACTACTGGCCAAGCTCGCCGAGTTCTATAGGCTGCCTACCTCGCAGAAAAACGCTCTTCACCGCAGTCAGTCAAAATGTCTTCGGGGATATGAGATGCTCGGTGAACAGAGGCTGGAAATAGCCTTTGCCGACCAAAAGGAAGGGTTCATGATTGGGCCGGACTTCCCTGCGGACGCGGGCTTCCTGCAAGGCCCGAATCAATGGCCGGAGGAAGAGGCTATCCCAGGGTTTCGGGAAGTCTTCACGACGTATTTTGAGGAGGTGCTGGCGCTGAGCAAGACTATGTTCAGGCTGATGGCACTAAGTTTGAGCTTGGACGAGCATTTCTTTGACGCGTTCGTTGGGAGCAGGGACTGTAAGCTCAAACAATTCATGTCCAGGATAGCAATTGAGGCAAGCTAACATTGGATGGTCAGCAATTTCCATGTGCAGGGCGCATCGATACCCTCCTACCACACTCGAGATGGCCCACAAGTCAAGAGGCATCGGCGCACATACGGATTTTGGTGCACTCACGTTGCTTATGCAGGATGACAGTAGGTCACCTGATGCAAGACAAAGATGTTCACCTGCTGACACGTCCTCAATAGTTGGCGGCCTCGAAGTTTTCCACAAGCCCAGTCAAACATGGCACAGCGTGCAGCCAACCAAAAATGCTTTCGTCGTCAACATTGGCGACATGATGGGTATGTGTAGTCCATGCAGAATGGAAGAAAGAGCAAACTGACTGACTGATACCAAAACAGAGCGCTGGACAAACAAAATGTACACGTCAACGCTACATCGCGTAATTTCGCCCATCTCCAGCAAAGATCGATACTCTGTTGCCTTTTTCAATGAAGGTCTACTGGAACAAACCATTGAATGTATTCCAACGTGTCTGAAGCCTGGAGAAAAGCCTTTTTTCGAGCCCATAACAGCTGAAGCGCATCTGCGATCGCGGTACAAGAGAAGCTACTGAAGCTGGGATCAAATCGTCGTTGAAGTTTTAACGGAGGCTTTCGTTGTGCTTGTACATGGTGACGTGACAATCTTGACCTTGTCGAGGGACATTGGCGTCGAGTCGCCTCACCCCACGAGAAGCCCACAGTGGACAATTGTGTGACGAAGTCGAAGCGGTGAAGTTCTGAGTGGAGACTACCTAGGTAGATACGCCGTAGATTCAGTGCTCCGCCGTGGGTTATTATACGGGAAAGTACAAGAGCTTCGAGCGTCAATGTACCTAAATCCAACCTCATCTTCATTATAGCTTCCAACCCCGCAACACGCATCAGATGCAGGCACCAGCATTCGACAGGTAAGCATTGATACAGAGAAGGAGACCCGCACTGGAAGGGGGTTTGTCCTTCCCATTCTCCTCTGAGCTCCTGCGCCACTGACACGCCGGCCGAATGCTGTTGCCTGATCGGAAATGAAACTGCCTGTTACAGCTCAACCTTACTAATGCCTCAAAGACGCTCCTGCCTCTAAGAATTGGTTGTCACCAGATGTGAAGCCTGAGGCCGACTTTTAAGGAAGAAGATCCTCGGACACAATTACAAACCCAAACAGCAGGATTGAAAGCTGCCGCTACCTTAACCATCGCGATGAAACAGTCAGTTGGAGCATGCACCTTTTGGGTGCTGCTCACCCTCGTCTCCATCGTCGCTGCCACTTGTCACTATCACTCTCCAGCCTTTCCAGCACCCGATTATGGTAAAGAAAGTCCAGAGCTTGAGCAAGCCTTCCGCAAAATCGAGTCAACCATTTCGGAAGTTGCGAGTCAAGCCAAGTTCGACAAGTCCTCCTACTCGATCGAAGTCACTTCGTCAGACGCGACGCTCTGGTCCAGCTTCCATACGGCAACGGAGAAGGACATTGAGCGACCAGGAGCTGAGCAGATCAACGGCAGTAGCGGCTACCGCATTGCAAGCATAACCAAGGTCTTCACCGTCCTCGGCATACTCAAGCAGCATGCTGCCGGGAACCTTAGCTTGGACGACACCATCGATCAATACGTGTCAGGGTTGAAAGGTCATCAGTCTGGGGATTTACCTTGGAAGGACATCACGTTGAGATCCCTGGCCAGTCAACTTAGTGGCATTCCAAGGGACTGGGCACAAGGAGATCTTGTCAACGAGCTAAAGGACCCTTCTGTCTTCGGTCTTCCTCCAATCACGACCTCTCATCTGCCAAAGTGTGACTCTTATGGGGAGTACGTACCTTGCACCGAAGATGAAATGCTGGAAACCATCCGCGCAAAACATCCGTTGTTTGCCCCAAATTACAAGTCGACGTACTCCAACATCGCATTCGAGCTGTTGGGCCTGGTCCTCTCCAATGTCACTGGTCTTCGGTATGAAAAGTACATACAGCAATCCATCTTGGACCCTCTCGGAATGAACCATACGAGTTTTGAGAAACCATCCGACGAAGTGGCTGTGTTACCCAAGAATATAAGTTGGTATTGGGATGTTGACGAAGGTGTCCAAAATCCCACTGGTGGTCTGTACGCCACGTCCTCGGATCTGTCCAAGTTCCTACGATACGTCTTGACCCATTTCAATGGGATCACGCCGGCACTCAATTGGCTGAACCCAGTTTCGTTCGCTACGAGCGTGTACTCTTATTACGGCACGCCGTGGGAGATCTTCCGGACAGATAAGCTACTGAGCGGAAGCCACCGCCCCGTCACTTTTGTTACAAAGGGTGGCGGTCTTCCCGGATACCGAACAATCATCATGATAGTTCCAGAGTTCGAACTTGGTATCACCATATTGACAGGAGGAGACACAGACTTGCTGGACTCCCTTCAAGAAATCGTGTCTGTCTCACTAATTCAAGCCGCCGACAAGCTCGTCAAGCGTCAAATCGAGGAGACCCGGACCTCACTCTACAAGGCTTCACATATCAACTCTTCACTGGAACTCGCATATACTGAGGAGCAAGGTCTGGCAGTTACCAAGTGGATATCCAATGGGACGGACATGCTTTCGGTTATTCCTATTCAGTTCCAGGTTCCTACACCTGGTTTTCATCTCCAGCTTGTGCCCACGCTCCTCTACCGGGATCAAAAGCATCTCTACGGCGAAATTTGGCGCATAGCTCTTGTTCTGGACATGCCGGCCTCAGAGAATCCTCTCACGAAGGACATTCCAGTTTGGGATGACTCCTGCATAACTGACCTTGATACTATGATGTATGCCGGGAAGCCTCTAAACGAAGTCGTATTCTTGGATAAGGCCCAAGATGGAAGCTATGAGACAATCGAGTTATCAGCGTTTCGTGTGACGCTGACGCGCGAAGCCAACGGCCAATTGCAACACGACTTTTTAAACACGCAAGAGCTGTAGTATGCAAAGCCGAGAGTCTTAGAGACTGCATCAGCGGTTGGATGGTGGCCGCTGGAGAGCCAGGAGTCACAACTCCCGCCCTGGCCTCTGAGTGCCACATCGGCTGAAACACGCTGTTGACTCCTGTCAGGGCCGACTCTGTTGAAACTAGTGCTTAATGGATGACGAAATGTCTACATTTCCATTCTGACCGAGTGCTTAACTGGAGCGATCAGACGTTATTCATCCGAAGCTGCTCGATCACCTTCAGATATCTTGCTATCAACGACCTATTTTGGTCTTCAATGTGTTCCACATGGTCTCATAACTCTCTCACGCACCAGCGAGACACTCAAACGACTTCAACATTTTGCCAGCCAATCTACCATCACGCACGGCTTCATAAATTGTCGAAATCCAGAACCCGATTGTCTTCTTCGGCCGGCCCAAAGGCTCGAATTCGAATTCCCTATTCTCAACCAGCTCCATGTTCTCAAGCAAGCCACGGTAGAACGGCACACCCAACTCTTCGCGCACGAATTGATACAGGACTTGCGTGCCACAGCCCAAGTGTGGTCTCGTCCAAGGATTCTCGAAGAAGTGAGATTGATGTGCGCGGAAGGCTGTCAGTGTGTTTATCCGCAAGTCGTCTCTACAGTTCAAGATATCCAAGTAAGCACTCGCTGAATCTGCTGGCGCGTTCTGGGACTGTTGAGTGCTGCAGTACAGTCTCAGGACCAGATCAACCATAGTATCCGCAACCTTCTCGCTTCGATCCTTTGCATCCTTGTCGGCGTTGGCTGTCCAGGTCTCACAAAATTTGTCCCAAAGCTCCTGGTGCATGCTGAACGCGTACTCTTCCTCAAAATCTGCCAGAAACGACCGGTGGATAATGTCCATAGCCTTTTCTCGGAAGCGCTCGAGGAAAGTATTGTGCATGACTCTCAAGTCCACCCCCTGAAGTCCAACATAGATGGCTGACGCAGTCATCATCGCAACCAGTTCGACGCTTTGCATGGTATATCGAGCCGAGACAAGCGCCAGCGAATTGATTGACTGGTTATGCATTTCCGCGGACTGGACGTGTGAACTGACTGCATTTGCCAGAAAGGCAAGTTCCGACTGGTATGCGGCCATGTTGATATCGACGCCTTTCATGCAGTATGACAGACTGGGGTCGTCTGGCGCAAGGTTCGGAGGCAGGCCATTGTTGAGAGTTGGATTGATCATCTCGCTCGTCTGTGCGAAAAGCATCTTTCCAATCATCTGAAGGCAAAGCCTAGTCTTCTCGGCTACCATGGTCACTGAAGCGGCTTGGAAGTTCGCCCCACAATGAACACTGCGGCTTTCACTGTTGACGAGAGGGTTGTCCGTGGTCGAGTTGAGTTCGCGTACCAACTGTTCCGCAGCGAAGCACAAATCTTCCAATTGTGGGCCGACCCATTGTGGCGAGCTTCTCACTGCGTATCGGTCTTGCACCAAGCCTTCATCCGAACAATTATTGCGTTCACCAAGTCCAGTGACGAGTTTCGAACCGTCAAGGAAGACGCGCAGGTTTTGTGATGCTTCCATTTGACCTGGATGTGGCCGAACTTCTGCAATGAAAGGGTGTGTCCATTCGACATTTGCAGCCAACGTCTCCGACGACAGGCAGGTCACCAACTGCGACAAGACCGCAAGTTGATTTGTCTCGTGGAGCGCCAGCGCTGCCACCGTTGCCGACGGGGCAGTTCCATTGACCAATGCCAGTCCTTCCTTGGGTCCAAGAGTGATGACTGAGTATTGGTCCTCAGCGTCCGTTCCCTTCTCTTGGATGTTGATATCTCGGATCACCTCTAGCGCCTGAAGCGAATTCATCACTCTTACGTCCTTTCCTCTGCCATACCGCACGAAGATGTCAGTGTTGCCCTGCAGTACTCCGGCAATGTATGATAGCGGCATGAGATCACCAGATGCTGATATCGAACCTCTCAAAGGCACGATTGGTGTCATATCTCTTCGGATCAACTCAGCGAGAGTGTCGACAATCTTCCAGCTGACTGCACTGTGTCCGCGAACATTGGTATTGCACCGAACAAGCATGCTTCCTTTGACCCAACTAGTCGGCATCGAATGAGGATTGAGTTCTCTGTCGCCGTCGGGATGAGCATCGAAGTCGTCCCTGGTCATGATCGCCGACTGCTGATGTTGAGTCAGTGCTCGCTGGAGGTTGATAAGGTTGTCGGTGCGCAGGTCGGCATTTCCTCCAAAGCCGGTGTTGACTCCGTATATTTGTCTCCCATTGCGCATGTGTTCAAGCAATACATCCTGGCTTTCTTTTAGTCTTTCAAGCAACTCCGGACTCTTTTCGATGACTGGTTTGCATCCGAATCTCGACACTGCCACCACAGTCGCGATGTCCAAGTTATATCCATTGATCTCAACGTTACCGGCGTTGATCAACTCTTGAAGTCTTGACCAGGTGCGATAAGTCAACGCCAGATGGGGTGTCGGCCATTTCTTTGTTTCGCCCGTCTTGTCTCGGTCCTGAAAAGCCATTGTCTTTTCCGGCCCTTGTTGCGCCATGGAAAACTGCGATGTTATTGTTGTGGTCAGACTTTTCTGAGGTTGTTGCGGTGCTCAGAAGATTTGGTCGAAAGAGAGCCTTTAAGACCGTGATAGAAGGCGCACCCGACTTAACATATTGCCGTTAGGCCGCGGTCGTGACGAGGCGTGATGTAGGAGCTTCACGGCACTGTGCAATGCAAACGCCCAATCGGGATATGTCAAGGCAGAGGTCCTTTGTTTGCCGCTGAAAGGCAGTGTTGCAGTCACACTTCAGGTGCAAACGAACAATGAAGCGAACAACATGTGCAAAACCACAGTCACATTGACAAGTCCCTGATCTACACAAAGACAAACGCTTCACTTTTTACTGCCGCATATCCGACTCGAAGCTTGTGTAAGACCATTCACTCTTGAAAACATGTCACGTGCTTCCTCGTCCGGGGATTGGGAACACCATAGTAAGGCTTAATAGGATTTTGACTCAGTACTCAAGCACTTCTCAAATTGGGGAAGGAAATCCTACAGAGATCATTGTATGACACTGACACAGGCTCTCACCTGCTCCACCCAGCATAGCACACACCAGCCACGTCTGCTCCTCGACACTCCACCCGGCCTGAAGAGCCAGAGCACATCGATGGAAAGGTAGCACAACCCATTCCACAATCAGTCCTCTCCAGGCGCATTTCCATCACCGTCCCCTTCGTTTTCTTCTGAAGCATCTGCGCCTTCATCTCCAGACACATTTCCTTCATCAACAAATTGTTCTTTCACTCTTCCTTCATCGACCTCTTTCAACTCCTCTTCCGTGAGTTTCCGTCGTTCATCAAGGTCTTCGTCACCATAATCTGACATATCATCATCATCTCCAGCATCCCCCGTAACGTGCCGACCCGTCTCCTCTGCAGGAACATAGAAGTTCTTGCTATGAATCGTGTTCTGCGTGTCAGCGCTGCGGAAGAATGCATGGTCTTCCGTCAAGACCTTCCGTGCACAGACGTAGCCCATTGCGGTATGAGTGAAATCCTGACCCCTCGCTCTGGTGGATAGCCATGCGTGAAGGAAGGTGAGCATCTTTGTCTGTCGAAGCTTAGCGGATCGGATGGCCTTGGCCTCGGTAGTCTCTTCTGGATGTTTGTTGTCATTGATGCTGGGTTGTTGCTCATTGCTCGAGGTAGAGGGGTCGTCGAACAAGAGATTATCTGCCACGGGATCGGGCATATCATCAGTAAGAGCTCCTGATTGTTCTTCCAGTCCCAAGAAGATTCGAAGGTATGGAAGTTCTTCGAAAGGGAAATAAAGCCTTCCGGCAAATATTCCTAGTTGTACTCTGAGCCAAAGAGGCGCAGACCAGTCAACGGGCAGTGTCGGAACTGCATAGTAATCCAAATTGTTGAATTGAAGCATCCTCGGTGTCACGGGTGCCGCATACGTTAAGATATGAACAAGCTTGCCCGGCGCATATCGGCAGACTGTATATTTCCGGCTGTGAGGGGAGTATAGGGCTGGGCGTTGCCTCCTCCCAGGATGTCGCAAGCCTCCTCCACGCCAGTTTGGCCGGTGAGAGGATCCGCTAGACAGAATGATGTTGACGCATGCAACAGCGCTTTGGTGTAAAGGAGTCCGGGTTCTGGTGCGCAAGTAACTCTTCCGAGTACATCATCAAGGGAGAATCTGCCGTAAGCTGGTTCAGTTGTGTCGATTGTGACTGCCACGTGGGGCCCCCTCCGCTCGGATCGTAGTGGTCCCAAGGGTACGATATCGCTGCGATTCTTGGGAGTTGAAGAGTCACGGAGGATAATCTTGGGCAGCAGACCGAACCAAGTTCCCGCGTCTTGGTTCAAATCGATCTCTGCTTTCAATTGCTCACTTTCGAGGAGGCCCTTCCCATTGACAAAGAAGCTGAGTTCAAATCGCCGAAGCTCAACCGAGAGTGCACCTTTCTGGGGTTGATAGAGTGTTATGTGGCGGGGTTCCTCAAAATGCTGGAAGATTCGCGCCACAAAACTGAAAAATGGGCTGGAAGGATCGACTAATAGCGATGTGCGACGTTGTGCGATTTGCTTCGATAAGTTGATCTGCCAATTCGAAGGCTGCGGTCTCCAAATCTTCTGCGCTTTCCTCACCTCGATGACACCATCTTGCAAGCGAAGCCAGTGCACGCAATTTTCAGTCAATGATGCTGGCAAGTCAAACGCCTGGTCTCCCTGGAAAACACTGCTGGGGATGTACTCGAGCTCGTCCTGCGAGGTCAAGGCCCGAATCACCAGTTTGCCCTGTCTGAAACCCAAATGAATCTCATGGCCCTCAATGTTCAAGCCGATTTTGTACGTCATACCGGGAAGACACGACGGATAGACAACATGTCTGTGGTAGGGTAAGAGTCTCTTGATGGCTTCTGTGTCCCGGATGTTAGGTGGAAGCTCCCTCTCCAGGACCTGACCGTTGATCAGGAAAGTCCCGGAGAAAAGGTGGAATCCAAGGGACATGGGATCTGTTCGTGCATTTCCAGGTACATCAAGCCTAGCCCACACACCGTCCGCGCGCTCGTCGAAATTGATTTGAGGTTTGACTTTCATGGCAGGCCCTCGAGTCAGAATTTCTGATTGGACCGCGGCTGAAATCAAGCAGGATGGGTTTGTGTCCAGTGATCGTCGCAGAGTCTTTTCCAAGTGGAATACCATCTTCAAGTCTCGGATTAGGGCATTGCGAAGGAGCGGAGCTAACTGGGCCGGATCAGGAGGGAGGTTTTCTTGCATGGAGATGGAGGCCTCCACAAATGCACTGAGTGATAACTTAGAGAGTTTCACTTCTGCCATCTCATGCTCGCCGGCGTAGCCATTGATTTCGACTTTGGAGAAGTCTTCTTGGACTCGTCGATCCCTGAAGTTGACGTTTGTAAAGGTTCTTCTGCAAAGCAGTGCAGCCCATAGAATGAAGTGAGACAGTCGCTCTGAGGACTGTGCATCAGTCGTAGCCCAAAAGTCCTTGCGAATCGCTCTGATCCACTCCATGGTGGTCTTACGGGACGCAAGTAGCAGCTTGGATGCGTGTTGAGCGGTTTCCTCATCCGCAAGCATTATTAACTTCAGTATCAAGCTGATCAATATCTCCATGCAGTAGTTTTCTCGCCAGTTAGAAGCGATACTTTGGAGGCGTCTGTCCACTTGACTCAAGAGCTTACGGCAGAAAGTCATGTCACGAAAGATGGCGTTTGCGGTGTGCAGGTCACCATCGTGATTGCCGCCGGTTCGACCATGTAGAGCTTGAGTCAGCAACATAGCAGCCTCTGCGCTGAAATTGAGGTTCGAAGATCCGAGTCCCACAAGGATGGAGGGCCATAGTCGGTGGTTTCCGCAGAGTAGTCCTTGAAAAGCCACGGATTCCTGGGCGCCGAGTGTTTGAGGGCATTGGGGTAGTCCGGCAAGGATCTCTTTCGACGAGATCTTGGCCTCTGGTAGAACGTACCGAGCAACATCCACTGGGTGTGTGAATGGACAAAAGGTTTCTGTCGGGTCCACAGAAGTCCTCTCGAACGCGATTTTTGAGAGGTATTCAATCTTGGAAAAGGGGCTACATCGCAGTATTGGAATCGCGCAGTGATGGCGGAAAGTGATGTCAGCCAGGTGTTCCGCAGGCCAGAGTTTCGAAACCTGGTCATAGTATTCAAACTTCAGACCATTGTTGACAGCAACCTTCTCAAATGGAACAGGGAAATGTACGGAGGCTAAGGTGATGCCTTTCCTGGTTGGAGCTTGAAGTTCCGGGGCGAAAGCGAGGTAGTACTCATGTACTGTTGAAAGGGGATCCTTTCGACTCGCCTGCAGGTTGGGCAGTGCAAGGATAGCCACAATTGCCCAGGTCGCATTTCTGTATGCTCTATAGGTTGCTGGACAGAGTAACTCCATCAAAACTGCAAAACCTTCACCACGATTGTAAGGCATCATTTTTTCGAATCTTTCCATATGGTAGACTGTTCTTGAGGGCAAGCACGGTGCTCGTTGGTCCCGCCACCCGTGTTCTGAATTGGGAGATTTGACGTTTGGTTCGGTCTTTGTAGCTTTCCCATGTAGCTTCAAGTCTATCAGAAGCCGTTTTCGTCAAGCGGGAAAGGAACGGGCGCAGGTTTTCGATGATGATGGTATATGCTGCCGAAGCATCACTGCCTGGAGTGGCCAGTAGCGCGTCCTTCTCCACTTTCGCAATCCGTCGACACAACTTTGACAGCAGAAGCTGGGAATTCTCGGGACTCAGCACGCCAACTGTGTCCTCCAACAGATTTGCATGGACCAGACACATCAGGGCCTTGTACAGGGCATTGGAAATGGCGGTACTCGTCAATTGCTCCAGATGTCGAAGGATGCCGACGCGTGCAAGCAGCCAGAATGGTGACCTCCGCCACGGTATGTAGGAATCCTTCCAGCGGACTTCATCTCTTACGCGTTTGCGAGTTGGATGCGTGACAGCAACAGAATCTCCAATGCCCTCGAGCAAGGAGATTAGCGTTCCGGTGATCAGAGCCGGATTCGTACTATCGCGAGGCTCATATGCCCGCGACTTTGCTTTGTTTGTGAACGCGCCAAACTTCTTGACCAACTTGAGGCTTGCTTTTTCCAAAAACTCGGCCAGATATCTCTGGAAACCGAAGTCCTTGAAGACCTCAGTAGGTATGCAGGCTGCCGAAGCAGGAAAGTCCCATTGCAAGGCATTCTGAGACTGTAAGACGCTTTCGGAATTCGCGGAGACTTCAAACGCTTCGAAACGAACGTGGCCGCTCAAGGAACTGCGCAAGGCTTTGTGTCAGTGGCTCGCCTTGATTGTGTTGGGGATATACTTACTCGGAACCATAATCTATCAGCAAGCCTGCATTCTGCTCAACGATGTGAACGATGAGGACTTCGCCGTCCTTGAGTGACCGAAAAGCGCCTAGCAATTGGGCAGCGTCAAGATGCAGAGAGGTATGTAGACTTCGGCATTGAGCCAAGGAGCAGAGGAGTAAATCCAACTCTTTGACGTAGTGGCCATCCAAGCTTGCCTTCAGTTGCGCACATGCGGTGTGGAGGCGGCCGAGGAGATCACAATTGATCTCGGAGAGGTTCTTGTCGGCGCTACCTGGGACATTAGGAGGAAGGACGACATGATTGAAAACGCCCCGAAGCAGTTTGGGATCCATGATTTGTCTCGACGCATTTGCTTCGTGGTCAGAGTGGCATGTTGAAGTTGAGGATGGAGTCAGAGGATGAAATGATAGTACTCAGAAGCGTGGTTGATGCTTTGGTCTGGGTTGTAGGGGGATTTCGGGTTATGAGAAGCAAGTCGTGGCTGAAGTTGGCATCGGGGCCTGTACAAGTATTGTTCTACCCTGCTCAAGGAGCAATACGAGGCAGAGAAATACGGCTGAGAGGTCCTAAGGTAGGTGTAAAGAATGGTGAGGCTTCCTTTGTTTGTTGTTGATGTTCGAAGAAGAAGTCCGGCAGAATTTGGCACTGCCTCAATTCCATGTCAGTCACTTCCACAAGAAAGTCACTTCACATTGTGCAGTATCAGACCATCGTAGACCGCGAGTCTGTTGGCACAGTAAGCCGCGCCGCCACAAAGGATGTGAATGTTAGAACTGAACCCCTTCAGCAAAACAATACTGACCGTTGTCTCGACTGCATAAGGCTGAATGATGCAAATCGAAGATCGATATCGCCGCACACCGATAATGCATCATTGATCAAGTGTCTAGGACCTTCGAACAAAGGATAGAAACGACCATCCGCTCTTTCCAGGCTGATTTCCAATCCAACAAGTTGGCAGCCGCACTCTCCCTCTCTCACTGCACACTGTCGCTCTTCCAGCCTCTCAAAAGGTGTGTCTCCCCCGAATCTCTCCCTACTTACACGGCACCAACATCCTCAGCCAGCTGCTTGGTCTTAGAATTGACGGCTTGACAAGATCCGGCAACACCGGACACATGTTGACCCCTACTCTCGAGTGAGTACCTACGAGAACAATGCTTTGGATATTCGCCAATGTCACAACGAGCACACGGGTTAAGGCAAGGTCGGTAAGACAATCTGTTCGGAATCAGCAACAGCGATGGATATACCTTCAATCGATCATCTCTTCGTCTTTGACGCGTGAACCAAAAGTCAGGCCAAGGCTCGCAAAGCCACTCTCAACAGTATGCAAGTACCCTTGCCGCGCGTCCATGTCAGATTCTTTTTCATTATAATGGCATGCGGTATGGGTTCATGGGTGCTTTGGCATAGGAGCTGTGTGAGAGCCCGAGTCCTTTAGTCGAGACGGTGTTTAGGTGTTGAGTGACGTCACAGTTTCGCGGCGCGTCATCGTGTCTTAATCGGCAACACCATTTTGCATGTGCAAAAGCACCATTTGATTTCGGGTGCAGATGCGGTCGACTGTGACAATAAACCGTCGTCCCATGTAACACCATGCGCTTTTCCATCAAAGTCTGCCCTACTTGACGCGTGACGAACTTGTCCGGGATGGCACTCGTGGAAAAGCATGTCGCGCCTCTGTTGCGCCAATTCGGTCTGGCAGACACCACTACGTATGAGGACGACGAAGACGAGTCAAAGTCGCTCGTACAGAAAGCTGTTGTAAGTTGTTCTTGAAACAGGTAGCTTCATCCTAGCTGACCTCGATAGTCTGCAGCAATTGCGCCAGTTCGAATCCTCACATCTCGCACCGCCATCAAAGCCTACCTGAGCACGATCCTATTCCTAACCACCTCGACGATACTACTCACGATATCCTCGACTGCATTCGGCTTCTTCTACTACAAATACATCCCACAGATCAACCTCGAACGCGTCTTGTACCTGGACTATGGCCAGGGTTCGCAACCGCACGCGACAGCAGCACTGGATGCATCCGCCTTGATATCCCAGCAAGCATACGATGTCGAGTTGATACTGAACATGCCCAGGACGCCTGCGAACTTGGAAGCCGGAAATTTCATGCTAGATCTATCTCTACTCGCTCCTGGAATCAATACAAGAAACATACCCGATGCAGTATCATGGCTGGCCAACATCTCCTCAGAGAACGTACAATACCATTCACGCAGACCGGCTATACTACCCTACTCGTCTCCTATACTCTCCCTCAGCCACACCCTCCTATATCTTCCATGGCATTTTCTCAATCTGCGCGACCTGGACTCCGTACATTTGGTAGTGCCAATGTTCGAATTGGTAACCTTCCCACGCGGATCGCGGAACATTCCCACACATGCACGACTCGAACTTCAATCCAACAGCGTCCTACAGGTATACACTGCGAAACTGGCATTTCGTGCCAAGTTCCAAGGCATTCGATATCTGATCTACAACTATCGAGTTGCCTCGTTCGTCGTGTTCACAGCGACATTCTATACGGTTAGTGTGACTAGCATGGCACTGGCCTGGGCATTGATATCCATGCTATTTTCATCTACCAGCACTGCAGGCGAGAAGTACAAGACCATCAAGCAAGAAGACAGTGTCAAGTCAGAACGAGATGCGACTTCGACTCCAAAGATCAAAACCGAAGACGAGACGGAATCTTCCGCACACGGTTTGTCGATTTCGAACTTGTCGGACACTGCGGCACAATTTCCAACTGGTAGGGGTCAGATGCCCTTGTCGTTTCCGGGGCGCTCGCCTGCTGAAGATGTAGGAGAGGACAATGCCGCGGATGACTTGACGCGTCCGATTGGAGCAGATGAAGCTGCTGATGATGAGGACGAGGAGTGGGAACTTCGTGCAAGACCTTTTGATGGTGATTCGGGTATTGGCACCAGTATGGAGAGTGAGCGGACTAGTTCAGGTGTTGTTCGGAAACGGAGTTCAAAAGGACTCTCGAGCAGGTAGATTGGCTCGGCTTATGTCTATATTCCATTGTACTTGATTCAAACAACCGATTCTGCCTCGATGCCAAATGCTCCAGACTCCGTGGACCATAATAACTTGCATCACTTTGCTTTGAGCAGTGAAAGGTTCCCCATATTTCTTTCTTTGATTTCAATCCCCAGACCTCCCGACAACGTAGCCTATAAAGCTAACCCCAAGGCTGCCACATTTTCATAATTCGTCAACTTCCCCACGGACTGAGGGTCGGGCCCGATCAATGACTTCAACTCCCGACCACGACCTTGCCGACTGCATAGCAAGCTTCAAGTCCAACCCCCGAGAATGCGAATACGAGGTAGCAGTAACCTGCAGCCTACCTGATCATGCATGTTGAAGTGATGGCTGCCTACAGTATCCTGTTGAACATTGCTGAAAACGAGGAATAACTATTGAGATATATCGTCGAAATAATGGATGCTAGTATGTCTCACTCCCCAATCCTGTAACCCTTCCCACCAGCATGTCTACGTTTGAATCGTCTCTCCATGCATGTATTCCACTCTCTCGCCTCTATCAGGATGCCCATCGTCGCCGTCCGCCACCACCACAAACATGCGCCATTATCGGTGCCGGCCCAGCAGGCCTCGCTGCCGCCCTGGCCTTGCGCAAACTAACCACCATCACACCCACAATCTATGAAGCGAGACCATCACCCTCAACCATGGGCGGCGCAATCAACATGGGTTCCAATGCCCTCGATCTACTCCGCTACTTGGGCGTTGGCGACGAGGATATCCCAGGTAATCCCACCTCAAAAATGGAAGTCTTCTCCCTACGCACAGGCAGCAAACTAGGCGAAATGCCATTCACCGCTGGACCGCAGGGTGAACCAGCGCGACGAATGTTCAGGACCGACCTGCAAAGTGTCATGCTCGCTCGCGCGAAACAGCTCGACATCACGATCAAGTACTCGTCTCGCGTGGTCAGCGTTCGCGGCCCCGACTCGTTGGACTCAACGCAAGTGACAATCACATTCACCGACTCCTCCACAACCAGGGCAGACTTCGTGCTAGGTTGCGACGGAATCTTCTCCGCCGTCCGGCGCACGTACGTCCAACCAGAAAGGCAGCCAATATACACTGGCTCGAATCCCGGGGCAGGCACGGCTGCAGCATACACCGTCTACCCTGCGTCCAAACTACCCTCCGCTCTCCCAAAGCACAGCATCATAGCAGGGACATCCACACAAGGCTGGAGTTTGATGAGTTACTGCGACTCTACACGAAGCCAAATCTTCGCCGCAGTCGTGCTGCCTTTGCCCCCAGCCTTACCCGACACTCTTAAAGATCAGAACCAGGCCCAAAAGGACTGGCAGATATGGCGGGCTGGAGCCAGCACGGACAGAGACAAGGACGAGGACACGTCCAAGAACGAGACGAAGACGAAGACGAACATCCTGAATGCTTTCCGTTCACGCTTCGCAGACGCGAAACTCGACTGTGTACGCGACCTCGCTGCCATCGAAGATCTAGATCAGGATCTCCACGTCTACCCGCTCCTCCAATTACCCAGGAGGGGAACATGGTTCAAAGGACGGACGTTATTGCTAGGTGATGCGGCGCACGCTGTAGGTCCTGCTCACACATCATCACTGCGAATGACTCCCCTAGCCCTCCTTCAAACTTCAGCCCTTGCTCGTCTATTGCCCTGCCTAGCCTCTAGCCTCCCTTCTCTCTATTGTTCTCGCTTCTCTAGTTCTCCCTCGTTTCTAACTCTTCTCGCTTCCCTAGTCCCTCCCCTCATCTCTACTCTTCTCGCTTCCCTAGTCCCTCCCATCGTCTCTAGCCTCCCGTTTGGCGTTTTTGTCTTCAACCTGGAACTTGAATCTACACTGATGTACACCAAAATAACGTCTACTGACGTGGGTAGATGCCACCCCAGGGAGAAGGAACATCCTTCGCCCTCGAAGACGCCGTCCTCCTTGCCCGATGCTTGTCCCAACATCCCAACGAGCCCATCAACAAGATCTTCAGAGCCTACGAAAAGACAAGACACCCACGTATCGATGCCGCGTGGAGAGAAACGAATAAACGCTCCGACAACGCGAAACCTTCGACGTGGCTAGGGCAAATCCTGATTGAATGGATTATCTGGTTATTCCTCTTCTTCCGGGGAAGCAGCTTCGGACACCGCTTCTCTTACGATGTACGACAAGAAACCATCATCCTCTAAAAAGGCACGTAAAAACTGAAAAGAAGAATGCGTTTACAGTATATGTCTAACTCCCAGTCTCAAGCCGTCTATGTTACACAAAAAGGGGCTGTTGAAGGCTATCAAGACTCTGTGGATGACAAGCACCACCTTGCAGCAACCCCCTTCAAGAATTATTCATAAGGCTCACTTTTTTCTGACGATCCCACAATCGTCAATTAAAGAACTCCAATTCCCTCATGCTATAGTAATGCCTGATCGTGATCATCCTTTCCAGTTCACACCGCTGTCCTCGCTCCGACCAGGTTTTCATCGCTCCGTCATATGCATTTACACAGCCCGACCCAACAAATGCCGTTACCTCCCTATTGGCGTTCGACGAGTAGGACCGTGGACAAAGTGTACAAGAAGGAGAAATTTTGTAGACTCAATTCGGAGGACGGCTCTCTGCATCTCCCACTGATTCGAATCAATGAGTTGTCCTCATAGCCTGTTGCAGACGCTGCTGCATGTTGGAATCTGGGGTCACCGTATCCCAGAAACCGTAGGTCCCATTCTGTTGTAGCTCCAAGAACAAGATTGTCATTCCCCAGACATGGGGACGAGCGACGCTGAGACGTTCATACACGATGCGCGAGATTTGTTCTCGAAGTTCCTGTGAGTGAGGATCCATACCACCAGAGCCCCAAAGATGTAGCATCAGCTTGCAGAAGAAATCAGTGTGTGTGTTGGGATAGCGGATCTGATCTGCAATTGCATTGAGCAACTGATAACGACCTTCATAGCCGAGGCTGATGACAAGCTTGGTCAGGACGGTGGCATGGATTGAGTTTGGATCAAATCTGGCGGATGGACTGTTGAGAGCGTCATGACCCACATATGGGACAAGAGCATTAATGACCTCCACAGACTTTGGTGGTGCCATCACCGATGCTTGTCGTTCGCCGTCCTGTAAGGCTGCCTTGATCTCTTTCAAGGCGATCTCAACATCGGTTGACTTTCGCAGCGCATCACCGATCGTGTCTTTGAGCTGGTATTGCTCCAAGGGCGCATCCAAGTCTCCAGCTAGGACGGGATTCCGTTTCATTTCGTCCAGTCGCTCAATCTTCAATCCCGGAGTCATTGGATCAGGAAGGTCGTGATACGCTGAAGGCTTGGCCGTAAGAATCAGATTTCTCAGCTGCGGTATGCCATAGGAAATTCGCGAGCAGAAATATGAATGGTTCTCGCACAGGAACTCAGGGTAGTCATGCAGCAGGACCAAGGTATTCCTCAATGTTCCTTTGTAAAGGTCAAGGTTCAACAGATCCAATCCAGGTGTCTTGGAAAGCTCGGAGATATAGAGCAAGAGCAAGCCGAGAAGCTCTCTGTAAGACTCCCAACCAACGTGGTTGTTTGGTCTGAGCATGCCATTGACAAAGACGCGGTGGACGATGAGGCTGTACCAGCCATAGGTGAAGCCTGGGAACCACAAAGGCTGGAGAGATTTGATACACTTGGCGAAAGCAAGTATCAAGTCCGTATGTTCAGGAGTACCGTCCAACCTGGCAGCCGAATATTCGTAGAGCATAGTGGCGAACAGCCGGTTGAACAATCTCTGGTGGAAGGCAACGCCACGCATGATTTGGTGATGGTTCAGAATGAGGACGAGTACGGTCAGGATGGTTTCCAGATATGGCGCCTTGCTCAGTCGGACAGCACCGTTGGTGTCTCCCTGAAATTTGACAAGCATAATGACCAATCTTGCAAGGGCATCCGCATGGGAGAATGCCACGTCAACGCTGCCACGCACGCTTTGTGCTTCTCGCTCGTAGCAATCGATGCATGAGTCCACGCACAACCGCAGAAATTCTGCCAGGTCTTCAGTGCTGTTGATAGTTTGCTCTTTATGCAACTCTTTCAAGAAAGCCGCGCATGTGCCTTCGTTGGGACCAAGATTCTCGAATATGCCAACCCATTCATCGAAGATGTACCGCATCTGATCCTGCTTAACTTTCGCCTTATCTGTGACTTCGACACTAACGAATTGAGGCATACCATGTGCTCTGAGCTTCTGATTGATCTCTGAAGCCAAAACAAGGTCCGGTTGCTCCTTGAGCCACGTGGACATTGCGATCAAGCTGTTGGCGAAATCAGCTCTGAGGGCGATTGGTTCATCAGTAAATAGTGTTTGGTCGAAGATGTTTGCCAAAACTTGGAGTCCGTGTGCGTTGCGACTCATCAAGGTTGATGCGATAGCTACATCAACTCTTGCAAACTCCATCAAACCGACGGTCAGAAGGGCAACAATCACATTAGAGCTGGCAAGTAGCAAATCCTCGTTTGCAGTCATCCATCTGAGAACGTCTCGTATGATAAGCTCGGACAATTGACAAAGCTTGGACAGCAAGAATGCCAATACCTCCGCTTCAAGAGGAGTTTGTGGAGGCTTCGAAACAAAAATGTTGCAAATCTTTTCAGCAATTTGTCTTGCTAAGAGATCAGCGGCCGGACGTGTGGAAGAGGTGAGCACGATAAGAATCTGCCTGAAATCTTGGAAGATAGAGCTGTTCTTTTCCAGATCTTTGAGACGCAATGCTTCTGATGCCCTAGCAGCCTTCTGAACATCTTCAATAAGCATTGAAATACGCTCATGCGGTGGAAGCGTCTCTGCGAATCCATTGACACGTGGTTGCTGCATAGCAGTAAGCATGCGATCTTGCTGAACCAGGGGACTCTGGTGAGGAAGTGCAGGCTGGTCAGCAGGGGTTGAAAGATTGGGCATGGCCAAAGGATCCTGTAAAACGTCTGGGATCTGTCTTCCTGCAGCATCTGCTGGTGTATTCGGGATATGATTTGCATTCATGCCGTGAACACGACGGTCGAATTCCTCGTACACGGCGCGTTGAGCTTCGTTGAGACCACCAACGGTTTGCTTGTAAGGCTCGGGGATCCAAGCAGACCAACGATTGATGCCCGCGGGGATGAAGTCTCGGCCCCCTCCTTCGGCAGCGAACCGGCGACGTTCTTCAAGTTGCTCTTCAATGACTTGGTCAATCTCAGGAAGAGCACGTTGCTCAGCGGCTTGTTCGACGAACGAACAAGCAGTGTCGAGATTGTCGTTGACACACATCAAGATGGCTCCTTCAGGCAACAGATGTTCCGGCAAATCGTCCTGTGTAGGTCGACGAATGTAGTTGGAAATGCTCATGCGAAGTGGTTCCTTGCATGTAACAAGTGCAAGGCTGCCTGCCAAAGACTTGACCATTGACCTCGCCGCAGTTCTGTACCTCTCTGCATCGGGCTCAAGTGAGTAGTCCTTAGAGATCAACTGAGCCGTGGAAATCGAAGCAATTGTGATGGACCGCTCCACGACAGGAGCAATAATCTCTTGGATGGCTTGATCGAAGGCGCGAAGGATGATGTTCTTGATCATGGCTTGATCGCCTGGAGATCCTGATGTTGGGGGATATTTCAATACCTCCTCCAAGTTTGGCAGCGATGCCATAATCTCTACAGCCGACAATCTCTGGGTGCGGTTGAGGCCACTGTTCAAAGACAGTTCGTCGAAATTCTCCAAGCCGTCGGGCAGAGCCGAAACATTTGTCAGTTCATCGTCTGGTTCAGGTCGATCCCGAATGAAGGTGGCTGGTTCGAGCTTCTTGAAGTCGAGACTGAGGTCTTTGCAGAGAACTTCGATTTCAAATTTCAGGTTCAGCTTCAGGTCGGCAAAATGATACAACTCTACCAATACCGACACGATTTCCATCAACCATGGGTTGGGTGGTTTGAAAACGAGTGAATTGGCACCTTGAGCAAGGATTTTGCAGGTAAAGGGGATGACCAGCAGCAACCGTTGACTTTCATATCCTTCCAGGAGCAAGTCCACGAAGTAGATGTTTCTATGCTTGATCGGCTTGTCTTGTGCAAGCGTCAGTGATCCTAGCCAACCACCAAGATTCTTGAGATGGCTTCGCTCTTGGGCAGAGCTGATAGTCGACTCGGATGTCATCATTTTGACGATGCTCACGTATGTCTCACGTATGACTTCCGACATGAGGAGGTTATCATCGATCAGAGTGACGAATTGAAAATACATCTGCTGGTTGTTTGGCTCAAGCCTGGCGCGTTGCTCTACCAGATAAGCAGCGAACCATTGGTAGTGTTCGGGATCAAAGGACTCTTTTAGATCGCCGAGCTTGCTGGACATGTTATCCTTGGAAAGGTTGTTGATCACGAACAGGATCTTCTCCTGAACTTTCTGGTCGGGTTCTCTGAAATGGGCGCCAGTAGGCGGCGGGTCCGCTCGTAAAGAGCGGAAGCCACGGCCTGGTTCAGGTCTTGCAAGGTCCTCGCCATTGGCAGTAGCGGCACCCACTCCATTGGTTCCGGCAGCTTGTTGCGCACGCAGTCCTTCCTCTGCACGTTGCAGTATTTCCGGATGTTGAAGTGTTGGTTCCTGCAATAAGAGGCTACAGAGCCCAGGCCACTCTGCCAACTGATCGCTGATCTGCAGCAAGGCTTCAATCCCGAATCGATGCATGAGACTGTCGCCCTCATGGTCACGGACAGCTCGCAGAATTAGAGCTAGACCAAAATCGCGAGGTATTGCGGGCAGTAGCTTGTACTTGATGATGCTACCGAAGAGCAGGGCTGTCTTCTCCAGTGCATCCTCGGGGTACTCGTTGTAGCAAACGTACTCATCGAATAAGCCGTGAACTATACAGCAGAAGAGGTCTTGCTGATCCGCATCTCTGGACGTCTTGAATCTTCGCATCTCATTCACCATGTCACGGATGGACAACTCAGAACGATACATCCGTCCAAACAATTCAGACATCTGTTTATCAATGCTTTCGGGAAGCTTGTTGCCTCTTTCTTCGCTGCGTTTTTCCAGTATGTCATCGTACCCACCGCCGTAGTTCATTAGACGAGGGTACGTCTGCAGGCAGGTGGTTTGCGCAGCTTCAACCAACTCGCGATTGTCAAGATGGTCTTCCAGCTTCTCAAGCAGGGTATGAACTGTCCGTAGGCTTAGGGGGGTTGACTGTGGTGCGGATTCGCCGCGCTGTACGCGAAATTCGTCGTCTGCCTTGATACGAAGGTATTTGCACAGTATCATACCGAAGTTTGACTGGCCCTCTGCAGCTTCAGAGATGTACCGATCCAGATCAAAATCTTGCAGGGCTTTGTCACGGATACAGGCAAGATCCAGCGCAAGAGGGTTTGACCAATGCTTGAGGAAAGCTTCTGTCAAACCAAACTCTTCGGCGCGTTCGTATATGACCTCTGTCTGGCGCGGATCGAGTTGGAAGACGAGGTGACATAGGTCGAAAAGGAATTGTGGATTCTGCGTGGAGAGTATTTCGAGTACTGCCGCATAACTAGGTCCTTGTTTTTCGAGGAACAACCCAAAGCATTCGGCGACGAATTTTTCTTGGTCTGCAACCCAGGTCTTCGGGTTGAGTCGCGAGAGGTACAGAAGAATGATTGCAGGATGATTCCGGTAAACATCGTTCAGAATGTCAAGACGATCCTCGCTCTCGGGAGTTGCATTTGGCCCTAGAACAACTTCAAAGACTGCTTGACAGGCATCTGCAGATACATATGGCGTTTTCAGTTCGGCTTCTAGCAATCTCTTCACCTCAGGTGAAATGGTACGGAAGTCATCGAGGGACAAGCTCTGTCGAAGACCTGGGATGGTTGAGGGTTGCGTCGCTTCAACAGGGCTCGCCAGGAAGCCGCTCAGAAAGGAGATCTGTGTGTCTGCATTTTGCCATTGTCCACCCCAAAGCTTCTGAAGGTCGAATTGAGGATGTTCTTCAGCCACCTGTCGCAAGGCAATGAACAGCCTCGGGAAGGAGTCTCTGCGCAACCGCAAACCGGGAAGGTCAACGCCCTGAATTATCAAATTCCAGTCCAACTGCTTTGATTGAAGAGCCTGGAGGAAATTGTTCAGGTCATACTGCTGATTTGCACTGAAGACAAGGAACAATAGAGCGTTGGTTACTTCAGCTTCGGTAATGATGTCAGCTTTGAGTGAGCCGACGAAGTCCTGCGCCGCCTGTTTTGATGAGGTCGATCTTGGGCCATGTCGTTGCAGAAGACGTGCCATCTCTCTTGCCGGGCTTGTGATCCGCAAAAGTTGAGACGATGTTACAACAGCAGCGAAGTGGTCAGGTTGGGCATTGGCATAGCGCGATGACAGTGCATTCCAGAGATCAATCCTCTGCTGTTGTGTTTCCATACCACTGGCCAGGGCAAAGTATTCGATGACAGAGCAAACATTTTCAGAGGCGAATGCCTGCGCATTACCGCCCCGACTATCCGAGAGCGTGCGAAGCGAGGTCTTCCCAAACTCGTTGAGGAAATCTTCCGCCTTCGTCCTCAGATCGACTCTCGCACATTTTGTAAAGGCAACAGCCAGTATGACTTGGGGTAAAGTGTCTGCGTAGAAGTGTTTGATGAAAGCCACCAGGTCAAAGTCGCGAAATAAGTCTTCTTTTGAAGTGTCGATGGCCTCAGTGATCTTGTATGGCTGTTCGGGATCCCATAGCACTTTATCTAACTCTTGTCGCAGTAACTTGTAGCTTCCCTGATCAAAGTCTTTGGTGCCGGAAAAGATAGCGGCGGCGTTCAGTATGACGGTCCGTCTAAAGAACTGTGCGAAGACCTCCATGCCGTTCGAGTCAAGCAATTTCTTGATCTTTTCGGCCTTACTGTCCCACTTTGCTTTCCCTTCTCTTTCGCTAATAGTATCAAGGAGGAGGAGAATCTGTGTCGCAGAGATCTTGGATAGAGAGGAAGGACCGGTCGTGGAAGAACCGAGGTTTGAGGAGATACTGGGTGAACGTTCGAAAGCCGCACCAGTTGGTGACCCGACACCAGGTCCTGTCAAAGATGGGGAATATGCACCGCTCCTGCTGTACACTCCTCCACCTCCGGCCCCAAGGCCTGATTGCCAAAAAGGACCCGCAGTACCTGTGACGGACGATTGAGGTGTAAGTGTTCTTGATCTGGGGGATGTGAGAGAGCGAGATTGGTACGCGTGCACTTGATGAGCGCCAGTTTGAAGGCTATTTACGGGCGAGTTTGAATGTGAAGAGCCAGGTGGTGTCCCCCGCCTTGATCCCAGGCGAGCTGAACTGGCGAGGAGAGGTGGGAAGTTGCCAGAAGAGGGAGAGATGGAAGAGTTGTAGAGGTCGGACTCAGATAGCGCTTGGTCCTTGCGCGTTCCCGTAGTCGAAGTCGAGGCTAAATTCGAAGTCGCAAGGGGGGTCAAACCACGCTTGATGGTGGACGAGGAAGGAAGCTGTCCCCAAGGAGACTGTACTGGCTTAGGCTGTCTGGGTTGAGGCTCTTTATTCGACGTTGAAGCGATAGAGGACTGCCACTGCGCGAAGGAGGAGGGGTTATCGAAGCTCATGGGAAACAATCATGACCTTTGACAGGTGAATGGGACTGTCTTCAGAGTGACTTGTTTGACCAAGTAGTACAGAATGTACAAATTGATTGGGCCCAAGAGACAGCGGCGAGAAGTGAAATCCGTAACACGCGTTGAGAGAGTAAGGAGCAATTACTGATAGAGGTGGATGTGACAGAATAACAGAGTGAAATGTGAGTTGGATGTGTCTTTCAAGGCTCTCCCACGCTTCGACCTGAATTGCTGGCAGCGACGCCTTGGGTTCCAACTGGACACAGCGCAGGCTTGGCGATTCAGAATATCACGTGACAATTTCTCCTTTTACAAGATCTACTGGCGGGAGACAGGCTGTCACTGAAATAGTGTGGGAAGGATCTTTACAAGGAGAGCTACAAAATTCGAACATGCAGGCAGCATTAAGAATGATAATGATTGTAAAACTGGGTATCTTTTGAACTCGGCATCGGACATCCTGATACACCGAAGTGCTTGCCATTGTTGAGAATTTTGAAAAGCATCGAAACCACCTCCAGCACAAATGACAAATCCTTGGGCCATCACTTCAACAAGATATGAGCCAGATTGACTGGCCTCCAGGGTGCAGGACCAATCCTGCAAGCAAGACGAAAAGTCTTATACAACAAGTCGTGATTCCTGAATCAACCAAAAGCACCGACTGAAAAAACTTCAGTTTGAGTGAAGTGCACCTCAAACCCTGGTCTTTTTGCCCTCACTTCCAGCAACATCAACAATCCCATCAATAGTGTCAGTCGCACCTCGTTTTCTTCCTTTGGACGTTGAAGTGGCACCACGGCTTCCCTTGACTCGTGGCCATGCGTCGAATGGACTAGATCTCTTCGATGAGACACCCCCGGACCCATGCTGTGAACTGACTTCGGCTTCATCTGGCGACAGCTTGCGAGCTGAGCGCAGTGATCGGCCATGTTTGGAAGGAGACTGCTCAGGCGAATTGCTAGTCAGCTGATCTCCATCCAAGGTGGCATCCTCAATGTCAGTTAGTGCTTCTTCCTCCTTCTGTTGTTCACGAGCTCGTTTCTCTTGTTCGGATTGAAACAGCCGGGTCGGCTTGATCGATCGTCGACTAAGTGTCTTGAGCGGCTTGATACGAGATCCTCTGGGAGTGTGCTCCAGAAGACCAAGATCTTCAAGGTCTTCGGCACTGATCTCTTCTTCCTCATCTTCATCGTCATTGAAGCGTCTGAAAACCTTCTTGCCACGGCTGAAATGAACATTAGCACTGAAGGGTTGAAGAGAGGAGAAAGTGAACTCACAAAACATAGACCATGCCCTCATCGTTTGCAATAGCTTCTTCCACCTGAGGATCTGACTTCTTCTCCAAGCTCACTTTCCGGCGCTTAGCGGTCTTAGCGACTTTCTGAGAAGATGAAGCTGCATTGTCCATAGCTTCCTCGACAAACGGATTCGCCTTGCTCTTGTCCATTTGGGGAACTCTGTCGCGAGAATCCGTGAAGATCTGAATACTGCCTCCACTCTGATTATCACCAGCCGAGAAGCTCTCGAGTGAGAAGCCGTTGTGTCTCTTGTTCTTTCGACCTTTCCTGGAACTTGGCGGTTCTGTTGTAAGTTGGGTTGGATCTTGGAAAAGAGCGCGAGCTGTCCCATTCACTTTCGACACCACCTTTTTCTTCGGGGTTTTGACTGGTGTAGGTAGCATGCCGTCTGAGATCATGGTTGAGGATGACTCGAAAGGTTGGAGGTGAGACTTCGAAGCGGACGCTTTCTTGGTGAACGAAGTGTGAGTGTCGGGAGAAGGAGGAGATGTAATATGCACTCGGCGCGTCGATTTATTCTTAGGCGTCAATTCTGGTGAGTGAAATAGATCTGAAGGTTGGGCGCCGGTCTTTCTGGAAGACCTTGGAGTCGTCACCGGGTGCACACTTGGTTCATTACGCAGTGAAGCATCCGGGGTAGTGCGCAACTCTTTTGATGCGATTCGTGCACTGGATCTTGCGCCGCGTCGAGGATTTGATCGATCATAGGCAGCGCCGTGAAGTGGTGTCAGAGGAGTGTCCGGCGTGCCAACGATCTGTGAAGGCGGAGTTGCAGCCATGTTGAAGAACTCTCATAAACCAAAAGTGAAGTGATACTGCCGCACCCAGGAGTAGTGACGCCCTGTGCGATCGCTTGCCCGTGGCCTCTAAGTGAATGAGCCCAACAATATGCGATGTTCAGAATGTTAGGCGACTAAAGCAACGACATGCAAGGTGGCCAGAGGACAATATCGTCGCAGCATCGAGGATGGAGTGAGTGGAATTTCTGGTGGATTGAGGATGGGCAGGATGCGATGTGAGGTGCGAGGTTGGGTTTCTGGAACCTTGGGTGATGGGTGGCTGGGCCGCCGGCAACAGCCGTGCAGCATTGACATTTGTGCCAGCGAATCTGTTTTACGATGGGCCCCCTTACGCGCATTGCCCGCGGTCACACTAAAATCCAGGGTCCCACGCGTAAATGGGTTGATATTGTTTGGGCCTCAATTGCGTCCACGCCGTAGTACCATACATGCAGCCCTTCAGAGGACAATAAAATCTGCTTTGGGCGCTTCGCCATCGAAAATCCGCCTTCTGGAACACAATGGATCCTGATGATTCACTGATGGATGACCACAATGTGGACGAAAGTCTGTGGGATTCGCCCGTCAAATCGAGCAACGATTCGGGAGAGCCACCAAGAGCCTTTGCCAAACATGCCGACTCTGCGAAGCCTACATATCAAGAACAACAAGAGCGGGAACAAGGTCTACGGCGGGAGCTGGAAAGTGTTCGGCAGGTCAATGAAGCCATCGAAGGAGTTATACAGAGTCTCAACAAGGCCAGGGATAACATGAAGGTATATCAGGACAATCGCATGCAATATGGGCAATCTAATCCTGGCGTAGACCGTCAATGGCACCGTAGTCGCCGCGTCGACCCTACTCAATACTTGGACTCGGATCCTGTCCCAAACAGAACACAATCAGCGACTGATATTGGACCCATCGTGGGAAGGTGCCAGTCAGGACATCGCCGATATCGAAGAGGAAACCCTCGAAAAACAACGCGCTGCTGAACGAAGGGAGGCAGAAGAGCAGGAGAAGAAGATGGCAGCCGCGAAAATTGCAGAACAGGAAGAGAAACGAAAAGCAGACCTCGCAGCCAAACAATCGAGACCAACATCAGCTCGAGGTGGCAGGTTAGGAGCTGGAGGCAGAGGACCCAGTGCATCTTCCTCCTCGTCTGTCAAAGTTGGAGGCTCAAGCAGCAGCGGCATCAAGCGTGGAACATCTTCTACAGGCAGAGGGACTTCTGGCATTGGGCGGGGCATATCTGGACGAGGGTCCCGTGGACGGGGTTGACAGCTGTCCGTGTTTCGGTGTCTTGGGTTGACTATATTCAACAACTCCAAAACGAGCGTAGGATGGTCGCAACGGAGTACTGGTACTTTGGATCTGCAGACATCAAGTGTATGATGTTGGTGACGATGTTGCTGAATTCCAAAGCGGGAAGTTGCGCGTCCAAGCACCGCGCCAAGCCAGACCGCTCTTGACGCGGCGCAGGCAAGTCTGATCTCTCCCAGAACCCCTCCAGCTCACCTCCGATGTCAAGCTCGACAGGGGATCCGGTGTGCGAGTGAGTCCTCCAGTTCCAGGAAGACCTTTAAAAGTCACGAGGTGCACTGGGAATCTTTGTTCATGTTACCACGGATCAGAAACATTGATCAGGTAAACAATGAACTTCGCACCTTACCAAGATGAGTCCCCCGAGATGTAAGTTATATGACCCTTTTATCATTTCGTGCAAAACGCTTGCTGACAGTAAGTAGAGAGCGTGCTCTGTCGCCACCGCCGACGCAGGGCAGCCCTTCCTTCGACTCGAATCGCGTTCGATCCCCTCCTCCGCAGAACAGACCCGCTCTACCGGCCTCTCGAACTATATCAGATGTACAGTCTCAGGCTCCTAGAGCCCTGGGAAACAATGTGTTTTCTGCTTCTCAACAAGAGAGGGGCCAGAGCCTCGAAGCATTCGAGACAAGTCTACCAATGAGACTGGATTACGAAGCTATGCTGGCATATCTGTTGCTTCCACCAGCTGGCGGTGTGTTCCTACTGATATTCGAGCACAAGAGTGACTACGTACGGTTCCATGCATGGCAGTCAAGCATGCTTTTCTCGTCCATCTTCATCCTCCACCTGATCCTGTCATGGTCGCGAGTCTTGTCCTGGATGCTATTCATAATTGATGTGGCCTTGATCGGCTTTTTGGCGCTGCACGCATATCGAGATGTGGATACTTTGGACCATTTCGAAGTTCCATTTTTCGGCCGCATCGCCAACTCTTTCGTCGACAATGAGTGAGAGACCTTGTTAATCTCGGTGAACGGGACATGCATGCTCAAATCATGGGGCAGCTGCCTGCTGAGCGACGAGCCGCCTTTCTACATAGCAGAACGCTTTTCCCACTGGCTGTGGCTTGAATAACCGAACCGAACCAATCTCGAATGTGCCTCGTGGCCGCCGCGTCTGCCGACCATCACGCCTGGCCATCATCAACATAAGTGGACTGCCGTCAGCAGAGGATGGAGGCATTTGGAGCCATTCTACAGGATTTGGACTGGCCAATTTCGAATCGCGGGCATTCGCACGCCCGTACTCGGAGCGTGCAGGAATTTTCGATAGCTGTGGCCGCCTTCGACGTCAGAACATTGTTGAAACGTGTACCTGTGACCGATTTGCGAAGGCACAATGGACTTCATGAAGTAGCCTGGAGGTCAATGGCAGTATCTCCATTTGGGGATGGTCTTGCACAAGTTACGGATTATTTCTGCAGGTCGTATCGACGAGAGTACGAGACCAGCGCGAGGTTGAGATAGCTTAGAGGTGTGTGAATAGTACTACATAGTAATATGAGACGCTGGTGGAGTGTCAATGATGAATACTTTGGACTTTTCGAGCGTCGCAAAAAGTTGGTTGCCCGGCAACAACCGTAAACAAATCGTCACGGCCTTCAATATCGACTGGTCGGTTTCACGACTCACCTGTTACTTCGATGTGCACAGACATACCATACTCTAATTACTATCTTCAACCTTTTCTGCGATCGCATTCGATATCTTGGACCGACGGTCAGCTAGCTACAGAGGTGGAAACAGTATCATCCTTTACAAGTCGGCACCATGCCACCAGGCACTGCCTCTGAAGCAGGCGCCCCTCCTTCTGTACCCTTGAGCTGTAAGATATCGTCGTTCTCGCCGTCGCAGGGATCGATGCTAACCATGCACAGTCTCGAACAACTTTTGGGGACGAGATGATGCGGGAGTCGATCCTCTCCTCACGCGTATGCAAAGTGCCAAAACAACATGCGACGAGCTCAAAGCTTTCTACACTGCGCGCGCAGCTCTTGAGGAAGACTACTCCAAAAAGCTACTAAGCCTTTCCAGAAAACCACTCGGAAGCGTCGAACAAGGAACATTGCGTGCCAGCTTGGATGTGGCAAGAGGAGAAACCGAGTCAATGGGGAAGCAACATGGCCTTATTGCACAGCAAATGAAATCCGAATTGGAAGAACCGCTGGCGGCCTTCGCAGGAGGTATGAAAGAGCGTCGCAAGATTGTACAGGCGGGGATCGAGAAACTACTCAAGACCAAGCAAGCACAAACCGCTCATGTCAACAAAGCTCGAGACAAATACGAACAAGATTGTTTGAGAATAAAAGGCTATCTGGCTCAGGGTCATATGGTGATGGGACAAGAAGAGCGAAAGAACAAGGCCAAACTTGAAAAGACCCAGATCAACATGGCGGCCAACTCCAATGAATATGAAGCTGCTGTGAAGGTACTCGAAGAGACGACCGGGCGATGGAACAAAGAGTGGAAGGCAGCGTGCGACAAATTTCAGGACCTCGAAGAAGAGCGACTGGACTTCACAAAGTCCTCTTTGTGGGCTTTTGCCAACATCGCATCGACTGTGTGTGTCTCGGATGATGCTTCATGTGAAAAGGTCAGGCTCGCCCTCGAGAACACCGAGGTGGAAAAAGATATTGGTGCCTTCATCAAAACCTGCGGGACCGGGCAGGAAATCCCAGACCCACCCAAGTACATCAACTTCTGTCGGGGGGATATTGACAATCAGTCGGAGGTCTCTGAGGACGACAACTACTCCGTTGCCCAATTTTCACGCACAACAAATCCCGCGTTCAGATCCTCCTCTCCCACTCATTCGAACGGGACGAGAAGCACGCGCCACGATACTCCTCAGCGAATGTCCGAAGAACCGATGATCCCCAATGAAGACGACATGCCAACCCCATCCAACAGCAATAGCGGTCGTCCACCACCTCTCAACTACAAACAGTCAGGGGCGCATGTACCTCCAAACTACTCACCAAGTCAACATGGCGATGTGCCACAAGTGCCACATAATCAGTACCCCACGGATGGAATGACCATGTTTTGCCGAGCAGATGCTTCATCAGTGGCTGGATCTGCTCTGTCTTCCAACACCAGACCCGAAAGTAGAGACAGCGAAAGCCAGTACTCGGCACCAAGTTCATTCACCAGTGCTGACCCAATGTCCGGCGCGTCTTCTCCTACCAAGATTGCCCCTGTGAATGGTGTCGAGATGCCTGGAATGGCCTCACCTGACAAGAGTGTGCATAAGAAGAGATCAGGATTTTTCTCAAACAGTCCATTCCGTCGGAAATCCAGAAAAGACCTCGACCATCCTGAAATCAGCAATGCACCAAGATCCAGTACATGGTCTTCAGAACAGGCGACAAGCGGCAGGATAAATCTCAATCCCTCCGTATCAAGCACCCACTCTAGTCCTGCAAAGTCTCCGAACAAACAGGGAGCAAGCTTCTTCAACCGTGCTGCAACGCTGCCCGATGGCGAAGAGCCCGTCGATCCTCGTGCCAATTTCCAACTGAACGTGGGCAACAACGTGTTTGACGTTGCAAGCCCGGATGGTCGAGATTCCACCCCCAAAGCAAGCGTACAAAATCGTCGCGGTCAATTTATGCCTCCACCTTCCGCGATGGGAGATGACGGCGGCCATGACCCTATTGCACAAGCCTTGGCAGATCTTAAACGGACGTCAAATGGCGTGGCAGGAATGGCCAAACAGTCGAGCACTCGTGTCCCAGTCGATCGATACCACGGCGTAGCAACTCCAAACCCTGATCAAGACCCAGCAGCACGTCCTGGCATGATGAGTGCTGAGAGTCAAGCACGAATGGCAGCACAACGAGGAACTCCTCCTCCAGCCTATGACTCGGCGGGAGGTCGAGCGCACAGTGCTCTCGGTGTACCACAACCGGCGCATACTAAGAAAGAAATGCTGAATCGCACGGAGATGTGGGGAACCGGATCAGTCACATCGGCTCCTAGAGGAGGTCAACCCAGACCCACGACCAGAGACGGAAGGCGGAGTCCAGGTCCAGGTATGAGAGCAGCCAGCCCACAACCACAAGGCCAGTACCAGCAAAGATCAAGAAGTCCTGCACCAGGTATGATCCCTCGTGCTGCAAGTCCACAGCCTCCGAGACAAGATCCATATATGCGCTCACGCAGTCCTGGTCCAGCAATGATGCAGCAAGGCGATCCACATTACCGTAGTGCTTCACCGAACCCCTACACCGCGACCGGCAGACCTCGGACACAAGGCTCAGCGTCCAGACAAGGCAGCGGCATGGAAATGCAGCTCAGTTCCTCTGACATGGCACGATATGGCGGCTCTGGTGGCGGCAGTGCCCGAGCACGACAATCGATGAGACCAAACTCCAGCTTCGGTGGGGACAGGTACCCTGCGCCACAAGGCTACGACGGGCGTGAGTCAAGACAACGAGGCGGTTCGGACATGGAGCTGAGGAAGGAGCGGAGCAAGAGTATGGCAAACATCCCCTTAAGGCCTGCGCAGGCGCAGGTTCTGCATTATGGTGAGTTTCAACGCGAACATTGTGAAATGCATGCTAACTTGATGACAGCACGCGCCATGTACAGCTACACAGCGGCTATTCCGGAGGAACTTACTTTCAGCAAAGGCGACATTCTTGCGGTGTTGAGATTGCAGGACGATGGGTGGTGGGAGGCGGAAGTTCGTGAGAGTACGATGGGGACGAGATGTGGTGGTGCTGGGTTGGTGCCGAGCAATTATCTGCAGCGGTGTTGATAACATGCAATATGGTCTGGGTGTGGTTTTGCAGCCGCCATTTGGAGCGAGCTGTCAGGATAGTGCTTGGAGATGGGGTAAAGTTTCTTCAACATGGACCCGGGTTTGGGCTGGCAGATGAGGTGTCCGCGTGATGAATGTGCTCTGAACGTTGAACGAGATTGGGAGTTCTGGCAGAGTACGAATACATCTGGGATCTGAATGTGGAGTTACCATGGACGGCCAGGTGTGTGAACATGGGATTGTATGTGTTCGAAGAAACAAATGTACAACACATTCGAGAACCTTGAGAGAGAACGATCAATCTTGTCGTACAAAAATTCAGCGTTCCACATTGTCACCCTATCCTTCCTTCCCAGGCCCATTCGTCACGTCTTGTGGCGGAAGATTATGAACACCGGTGGCTCTCTGATGCACGCCAGACACGGAAACCGTTGTCGTGTCAAAAAGGAAAGTCAGCCACCAGCGCATGTATCGACTTGCTCCTTCCGAGTCTGCTGATCTCGCCATTGCGTGCTACTTATCCGTCAAGCTTGGCCTGCGGTAGCTGCCTCTCTCCTTCTCCTTGGCCGCAATGACTTCAGTGGAATGTCGTTCCAAAAGGCAGATTTGGCACGTCTTGCAAAATTGCCGGGGAAGCCGGTAGATCCATGTTCCTCTTCCCTCGCCTGTTTCGCTCTGTGCATATCAGTCTCGCCAAAGGTACCGTCTCTTCTGGCAAGTTTTTCCCGCTCGCGACGCAGTTCGTCCCTCTCCCTCCTTATATTCTCATAGTAGGTGTAAAGCCCAAGACTACCAAACGTGAGCACATAGGTTCCCAAGCAGAACGCAACCACCATCACTGCGAAAGGTTTCATCGAGGAGCTTAGTGACGTGCCGGCCAAGTTATTCATGCCGAAGAACCCCTGGCGAGATCGCGTTAATGCGGGAGATGAGCATGGCAGAGGCAGAAATGAGGACTTGCCGTAACAAAACTCAAAGGCAGATAGATGATCGTTGTGATTGTGAAGATGAATACGTAGCGGTTCAGACGAAGTCCCTGCTGATTGAGTTGGCTGCCTTGCATGGCTTCACGAACAGCAGTCGCATTGAAAAGCTAGGAGATAATAGTCAGCCATAACTCGGGCTTTTTCCAGTACTTAGACGCGTACTCCGTCTCGTAGGGTCACAATATCTTGACGCTTACTCCGAATTCGTTGCAATAGTGGTTCGAGCTTTTGTTGCGCATCTTTGGCTGTCTCCTCCCAGGCAAGGAGAAGCTCCCGGGACTGCTGCGACTCTCGTGACAGATCGTAACTATCCGGTCCGACATTGAAAACCCGGACCAACTTGTCGAGATCGCGATCCCACTGATTGTACCATTCCCAGAGTCCCTCGGACGTCTCGATCATCCACCTCTCATATATGCGCAAGTGCTGAAGCAGGACGAAATATTGCCTTGACGTGGAAAGATCCAGGTCATCAAACAAGAGGTCATTTAAGCCGTCCACAGTCGATAATTGCTCCAGCTGTTGGAAACAAACATCAGTCCAGGGCATTCAAACAGTCCTTTGACTTACCGTAACATTGAGCTCAGCATCCAAATTGTCCAATACCAGCGTCCAACCACCTCGAATTATGTCCAATGCTTCCCGGACGCACGACAAGTAGACGTACAGTGGCCTGTATGGACTAGCCGCGCGGTCTTCAGTTAGATGATAAATTGAACTTAACTCCGCCTTTGCGTCCGTCATATCCACAATTGAATAGCAAACGCGACGCCGGTGCTGGTCGGGAAACAGAGAGATGCAGAGGGTCGTTCGATACTCGTGTATCCCCGAATTGCCTACCTTGTCGGGCACGCGCAAAGTATCGTACTCTCGCGATAGTTCGAGACCAGAGTCTGAGTTTGAGTGAAGTAGTGGGTTCAGATAAGAGCTTTCCATGTTTCGCAGAGACCTTGAAACACGGAAAGCTCTCAGTGACAACATGATAAGAGGATTGTAAGCGGAGATCGACAATGAAGTATAACTGGTGACAGTCGACCCTGTCCAAAGAACGAAGGAGAACAGAAGCTTAGATACCGCCCGGGACGATCCAAGACCTGCACTCTCATGAGTTGATGTTTCCTGAATGGGTACCCATTGTGACAAAGCAAGCAAGGCATGATGCAAAGGTAGGCAGTCTGAGTAGACGCGGTGAGTGCTTGCGCGCATAGTACTGTCGGAAAGCTGTGTCAGCCTGAACGTCATTTGGGAAGGAGGGGTAGCAGGGGCGTACATGAGAATCCCGTCGGCGTCGAGTGCTTCGTTTTCTCTGACGTGATTCGCCTTATAAGCTCGTCAGCTAGACATCACTCCGAAAGGAAGCCAGCAAACACGTACAGAGACCCCACCTTTGATATCGCTGAAGACTCGCAATGCCGCTCCGTCCTTGCACAAAGTAGATAATTCGGTTTTCGACGTGGGATCTTTCGGATCCAATTCAGGCCAGACAGAAGCTAACGGAGTTTCGAGCATCTCCATAGTCAGCCTTCTGTTCTCTATCTTCTTCTTCTCGATGTACATGTTTCCACCCAAGTAGTTATGCCCGTTTACGAAGAGCTGGCAGAGTGATTCTATGCGGGCCCAGTCCAAGCGTCTTGTTCGCAACCACGGCGGTGTAGGGCTCACTTCACTGAAAGTGGGTGACTTTGTTGCGAATGAGTTTGGATGCTGAGATGCGGGTGCTGATTGAACCTGCTCCCGACCACTGGGAGCAATTGTGTTGCTTCTGCCATTGACCCATCAGTGACAACGCCTGGATGAAAATCATTGCTTGTCCTACTGGGCACTTCCGACAGTAGATTCGGCCGCATTGGGCCCGGTCTCAATGGCCATATTCTGTCGAGACGTTGTCTCCAAGATCTCGAGCCACTTATACTCTTTTTGGAAGTGCTCGAGGAGACTAGACAACAATGATGTCGTGATCTCACTGTGAGCACGAAGCTTGCCGAAGATCATTTGCATCGATTCTGCCGTGGGTCTCCCTTCCATTTGATGTGCCGTCTCAGGGTTGGCCATCCCAGCTGACTGAGGACTCGAGCTTTCTCCGAACCCTTGGACTTGATCGTCTGCCATACGTCCTAGTGTTGCCGTTCTCGATGCAGGATGCAGGAAACGGTAATAGATTCGAGTAAGGCGCTGGCCAGGACCTGAACACTGAAAGCCAAAAGAAGGGCAAACCTTGGAATGACGGACAGAGTTGTCGTTGTGCACAGCCTTATCGCCTACATCAGAAGTCGTGACATGCATCCAAGAAATGTCACAATGGCTGAGCTTGTTGCAGGCGCGCAGCATCCTTCCTTGTCTTGTACTACCGGATAATAGCGGGCGCAAGATTGTGTATGGCTCGGACTTGACGGGTCAAAGTTGCCCGCACTAATCGTGCACCAGCTATTTTCGCCAACATTCTCTACGATGTACATCCGCGTCGCGTAGCATTCTGGTCTATCCGTGAGCCTGGAGGGGAGCTTGACCGAAAGTTCCATCTCCGTGTCCTGTACGGAGAGCCGAGAGCGCACTTCAGAACTCCACTTCTTCAGCCTGATCGAGCATGCAAAACCTGGTACCACAGCCTGAGGCAGAACAAGATTTAAAGCACATAAATGTCTGTACTTGCCAGCAAGTGACGTTCTCTTCCAAATGCATATTGTCTAAACATAAAGCGGGATAGCAATGACGCTTGAGGAGTCCGTGGCAAACCGAGAAGGCCTGGATGCTTGCACGTTGCCATAATTCTCGGCGCCGTAGGCAGAGCGGCGAATGGTCATTTTAGTGGCTGTAGCAATGAATCAGCTTCCGCCATCTAGAGCGTGCTTCTCCGCAATCTGAGGATCAAAGCCGAGCCAATCGCCGTCCGTAAGGTCACTGAATAAGAGACTGAATGGATCAAGCGTCTCGAAGGCAGCTCCATGAAGCTCTTGCTGGTAGCCATTTGAAGGTGAGAGCGGCGACGACGGAGGCCAACGACGGTCGGAGGCTTTTGCCATCACAGGTGTCCAAGCACTCGAGGGGAGTTGCTGCCCCCGACCTGCTTGGGAAGCAGCATTCGATGCCCTCCCACCAGTCAATGTGATGCGGATAGCATGTGAGACTCGCCATGCATCCTTACTTTCAAATGATATCTCGGCACAGATGGTGTGTGACTTTTGTAGTAGTTCTAAAATTTGTTTCTCGGTATCACTCTCGATTGGGGAGTTTGATCCGCCACTTTTCCGATGAGTGTGGATGAGAAGACAAAGCACCATCACACCAAGAAGGAAATCGTTGACTGTGAAGTTGTTGAGCATCCAGCGCTCCGTGTACAGTTGCCCGCCAGGTGCAAGCTCTTCATACATGTCAACGAATTGGCCAACCAGTTTCGTGCCGGCATCGACGCAAGACTTGGTACTGGAGCGGTTACCCCGTGCCATATACTTTCTGTGAAGAACCAGGAGACTTTTCAGGGACATGAACTCTACGAATAATCTGTTCATGACAAGGAATGGCGGGTCCATGAGTGAATCAGCCAAGGGACGACTTCGAAGAATGTCCGGTATGGTGGCTTGCATTTGCCGGATCTCATGGTCGAGTTGGCTGATCTCAGCCTCAGACCTCTCCTTGAATGAAAGAGCATCTCTACAGACGTAGCTGAAATGGCCCAACAATCTGTCTTTGACGATGAACCATAGCATCCTCGTAGCTTCTGATTGTGGTCGTGACGGGGGGAGCACCTCCGTATCCTCATCAAAATCCGAGTCTATGAGATTTCTCGGCGGCTTGGTATCGGTGTTCTCCAGGCAGATATAACTCGGAAGTCCGAGCTGGAATGACACCATCGAGTCGTACTGCTTGCAAACAGCCCAGGACCTCCGGCGCATCTCGCCTTCAAACACAGAGAAAGATCCAACCGAGTCTGGATCTCGATGGTAGCCCATTTCATAGGCCATGCGAACAACCAGACCTAGAATGGCGCCGGCCTCCCGGCAAGGATCGAGGGTTCTGAGGTTCTTGCAGTGCCCATATAGTGCCAGTGCTTCGACGGCAAAAGGCTGTGAACGATGATATTTTCCAAGCACAAGACATTGTCCGGCAGCGGTGTGGAAATGTAACAACCGGGTGATCAACCCTTTTACCTGGGGCGACCGATCTGAGCTGGTGGCGGATGCGATCAGTGTTGCAATATAACACAGGGAGAACAAGGATGAAAGCCAAAGTGGATTGACATTGGAGGTGGCCGTCCAAAACTCTCGGTATTGTCGTTGAAATTGATACGTGTGGATAAATGGGACGATGAAGGTCTCTCCTCTGAAGTAGAGGGAAATGGCACGGTCGACCTCGATTCTGGGTGGGAGGTATTGAGTGAGGATATTTTGCAAAGAGTAGTTAGTTGAGTCTCCAAAAATGATATCGTCGGTGATAAGAGGCGCTTCTAATACAACGTGCTCACTGGTGTCGTGCGCGTCCGGTGAAGCACTTAAAACGGCCTTCAACTCCAGGATGTCGTCCAGAATAGCAGACCAATGTGTTGAGCCCACATAACGGCCCTCGTCAACCTTTTCGGATTGCACCCGCTCTGCTGGGTCGTGCGGCAATATTGGCGGCGTGTCAGGTTTCCCAGGAGGCAGGCCGACATCATTGGAGTGTGTTGATGCCTGAGTTTGCATCAACTGTCTGATCATGTCTTCGAGATGAATGAGGCGGTCTTCCGCCATGGAAGCTCGACTGGACTCATTTCTGGCCCCGGGAGTCCGGTGGTAAGAACAAGAGGCGGCCTCATCTCGCTTAAGGCAACTGCCACAAGGTTGACCTCGGTCGCATTTGAGTTTCGATCTTCGGCACTGAGTGCACACCAGAGAGTCTCTAGGACGCTTTATAACCTTTGATGTGGAAGAGTCTAGACGAAACTTGCCAGTCAAGTTTGAGAAGTCGCTCATTCTCGTTGTCTTCTAGGCAAGTACCCAAAGGAAGGAAGTCGCATTAGACGTATGGTTAAAAGTGACGCCTAGGAGATCACCGACTCCAATGCCCAGGCGCTAAGTTAGGTCATTGCTTAAATTACAGTTTTGACTGCCCCCCATCTACAACGCTACTTACCCTTATCATCTTGTTCTCTTTGCTACATCTTCAACAACAGTAGTATCACACTAAGAATCTCACCACGGCTGCACATTATTCTTCCTGATGACCTTGCCAATTTCATGGTCGCGACCTCCTTCAATGACATCTCTGATGATATTCGCGCCAACCTGGGGATCCAAAGCACCCATCTTCTTCAACAACTCCGGATTTCCTCCCAGGCCCGTTGCCAGCATCCCAGGGGAGACAGCCCAAACTTTCACGCCATCTGCCTTCAATATCCTCGCCCACTCACGCATCATCATGTTCATCCCAGTCTTACTGGACCGGTAAGCGCCTGGTCCCATCTCCATGGGCTGCTTCGGCCAGCCCTTTTGTGCAGGTCGATCCACCCATAAAGTCTCCTTCTCTTGTTCTGCCAGTGTCGAAGTTCCGCTAGCGATAAAGATGATCCTAGGATTCGCCGATTGCAGCAGCAAAGGCACAAATGTGTAGGTCATAAGCTGAGTTCCTGTAGTATTGACGTCCCACGATTTGTTCCATGCCTGCCTCATGGTCATCTTCCCGCCGAGAACCTGTTGATCGACTTGAACCCCTGATTGAACCCCGTTAGCACAATGCAAATTTGAACAGAATACCACAATCAGCGTACCTGCATTGTTGATCAAGATATCCAGACGGCCATATTCGCTGTCAACCTGTTCATATGCTCTGGAAATGGAGTCGTCATCCTCAATATCGACCTGAATTGCTTTGACGGTACTCGCGCTCTGGGGGAAGTCTACTCGTACGTTTTCGACGGCAGCGTTGGCTTTCTCCAGGCTTCGTCCGCCCAGCAATATCGTGTACGCCTTCTCAGACTGGTACAAGGATTTCACGGTCTCGAAGCCAAGCCCGGTGTTGCCGCCGGTGATAAGAAGAATCTCGTTCGATGCCATTATTGTCTTTTGCGCTTCGGCAACCAACTATGGTATGTTTGGACACGCATGCTTCCGACCGGCAGTCCAGTCCTCTTATACATACTCCTGCTACTCGGGGATAAGGTCACTCCGGCTGATAATTTTCCGCTCTGGTCGTTTGCCAGAGCCAGCACTTCATACCCACCGCAGCGTTCTAGCGCACGAGCCATGAATGACGACCATCGGCCGAGGCAGGCAGATCTAACCTGAACAGGCAACTCTTCGTCGGCTGAATGCTTTCCCTCATTCAGTATGCATTATCGAGCTCGAGCATCGCCCTGAACCACGAGTCACGACCAAGATCTTCCCATAGTTCTTGAGCGCCTTAGACCAGGCCAGCAGAAATGTGGAATCGTATGAAGCACCCTCTCCTTTTTTTTAAAACCACATCCAGCCACTATTAGGATCAAAGACCAAGCGGATTCAATCAAAAGATGCCGATCACTCTTCATGTTCGGGACTCGGTTTTTCGTTTCCCACAACCCAACCTTGGTATGTCACGTATCTACATCTCAGCTCGTACTCTGACGGCTGTAAGGCCCCATGATCAAGTCTGCGGCATCTTCCGCTGGCACAGACGAAGCAACATCCATATCACTAAATCCCAATCGTCCCGAATCCACTCCAAACCCATGGACATCAAAATAGTCATAAGTCTCTCCTTGCGGCATGCCCGCCCAATTCTGCATCGAAGCATAATCCCATCCATTCATCATCGAGGAGCCTCCAATTGGACTATCCCAACTGGTACTCCACCTCAACGTATCAAACATGTCGTCCATGAAAACGTCCTGACTGGCCGTGTTCAATGTCTGCGGCACGCCATATGCATTCGCATACGTGACGTCAATGTAACTCGGGCGAAAGGTGTCGCTGGACGCCGGCGTCATGTCCGTGAACACATCTTGGACCTGGCTCATTTGGAATGCGCCATAATGTCGCTTACTAGCCTCGTACAGCCTAACCACGACTTCAATTGACCGCTTCGCTGTCGTCGACCAGCATTGGAGATCGCGCATCGTGGCGATCGCCGTCTCGACCTGTCGTCGACTGTTCCCAACGACGCTTTGATCCCACGGATCCGAGTAAAGCGACAACAAAGGTACCATGACAGCCTGGTAGATCAGCCAGACTGCATTCCAGCCTGACATCTGGCATGGCTTGTATCCTCGCCACGTGCTCGTGATATCGTGTATCAGATCAGCGCACGCCTCGCGACAAAGCTCAATAGCTGTCCGCCTCTCTTCCGAGAGTTTGTCCCAAGTAATCTTCCGCATGGCGTACCATAGCAAGACAGGTCGGTGCAACAATATGCGATTGGTATAGTATCGCCAACGCATGACGTTCTTGAGCGTTGTTATGCCCGGCGGCTCGTTGGCTGATATCGGGGCCTGCATCTGCACAGACGAGTTCCCGAACCATTCGACGTGTGCGGCGTCGAGGGTGTGGCGATCATGCTCGTCAAGCAACGGACAGATAGCCAGAGCATCTTCCATCTTCGTGCTGATGATGCAGAAGCGAATGTTTTCCTGAACCAGTGTGAGCATCGTTGAGGACTGCCCAATCGGTTCTTGTGGGGACTTAGCCGTGATGGCAGGGCTGGTGCGGCCCATGCTCGGCCTGCCTAGCGTATTGGCAGCCCAGGTGTCAAGCATGAATGTGCACCACCAGATGCGCCGGCGCATTTCGATCGAGTTCGCTGCTCTCTCGACTTTGGCTTTCGCAGGGCCGACACCTTCGGAATAGTCGCGGTGTAGACCTAGCATCGTTGCGATCTTCAAGGTAGCTCCCATCAACGCGCTGGCTTGGTTCGGAATTTGTACGTAATGCAGGTAGAACCCGCTGAGGATGGCTAGCGCCTGCACAGTCTCCAGGTGTGCCGAGTCCAGAGTGTCGATGGTAAGAAACTGCTTGGCGCGGTTGAAGTAGATTTGGTGACCCGCGTCTTCGGACGTGCCAGATGCAACACTGCCCATGGCTAGCACGGTGTTAAGGAGCAGCAGCCACCTTGAGTCTGTCCTTTGAGCGGCCATATATGTCTCTCTGAAGCACTGCTCCTCGATCAAGGGGATGAAAGGATGGACGTGGGTGAAGTACGCATTGATGAGCGGTATCTCGACCCAGGCCGAAGACGTCGGCAGGTCATAACGTGATGTCTCCGTCTGCAATATCTGGACTTCGGGAGGTGAAGACGCTGCGCGGCTTGGTACGACGCTCCGGTCAGGCGACTTGCTGAGACAGTCGGGATCCAGCCATGTGATGACTCTCAAGATGGCCATGACGGATGATATGCCTAGGTATGAAGGATTCTGCTTGACCGACAGTGAGAGTACATTGACGTCGTCTGTGATACCTCTCAAGGCAGCCGATTTTCTATCAGATGCATCGTTGCGCTCTTCGGGCATGGGTTGTAACTGCTCCAAACTACCAGCATCTGGGTTGATAGGAAAAGGCCTTCCTTCCGTGCTGGGAGTTTGTGGTGAGGGAGGCTGAAACGGACTAGTCTTTGAGATGAGCTCGACAAGCTTGTCTCTTGGGAGGCCTCGAAGTTGATCCGGGTGGACGTTTGGGTAGAGCTTTTGTAGGATACCCCGATATTCTTGGAGAGTCTGCGATATCTTCTCGACGGACCTGTTCGAAGTGAGCATATGCAACAACTGACGAAAAGAACTTGCGTGGCCTACCTCCTTGTGGGCATTTGCCGCTGTCGAGGCTCGGTGTAATGACACGAAGCGGCCTTTCGGTACCATTGACAGGTCTCACATGGATGCTCGCCACTGCACCGCGCCTTGCGCTTCCGACAAGCTTCACACGCCCTCGTAGTAGATGTCCTCCGTTTGGCAGCAGCGCTGGCATACTGACCCGCTTGTTCGGGGCTGGCATACTGCGTTGTCTCAAAGGTGTGGAACATCGTGTCGTTATGGTTTGATGTGTTCGATACGAGGATACTTTCTCAATCGTGTCATGAAGTTGCCGTTATGAGAGTATCCTCCTAGGGTCTGGCCAAGCTAGCGAGAGCACGAACGGTGGCTGCTGCCTTGCCATCGAACGGGAAAGAGCGTATATAATATTGCTTGGGAAGGTGCCGGTCGAGACTTTGACTGACGAAAGGGTCACTCGGTCATATTCGCAAGCTGTGTCGAAGCCAAAAAGGTTACTATGGTGGATGTAGAGAGGTCCTCCGAGAGGAGGAGATAGGTATGAACATCAACAGCCGATACACGGACTGAGCATTCTGGGTCATGGGAGTATGTGGACAATATATCAAACCGTCAGAGATATCCAAAGTAGGTATGCAACTTGTCTGACAGGTATATCATGAATTTGTCAAATGTGCTGGCTGACTGGTAGTTCCGAAGAAGGAGAGAATCCGGGGAATTCTCAAGTTGCTTGAGCCGGGGACGTGGTTAGCTCGATCCCGGTGATGTTGAATGCATGAGACTAAGGCATGGAAGGGGCCAGGGAAGAGGTGGAGGCGGCATCCGTCTTGAGGTCTTTCCAGCGTCCACCTGGGGGCCATGCACGATGACCGAGGTTTCTCGAGGGGGAAGTTGGGAAGATTTCGTGCCTGGTGGAGGGTTGACTATCGCCCTGGTGGGGCGCCTTCCTCGAGGGATACATTTCTGGGTGCTCTCGCATGGTATATACCACACTGCCTGGGTATTCTGTCTTCTTCGATGTTAGTCATCTGCCGGGAATGTTGAATCTGCTGATTTCAAGCCTCTTGGGCTTGTAAACTGCCCGTTGATCTGCCGAACATCATCGATAGTTCAAGCCATCACCGCCCCAAAAATGAACTATCACCACCACCATCATCGATCCCTAGAACGTGTTTTGGTGACCGTGTCACAACAACCTTCTATGTTGCACAGGACAGCCACACTATGTTCCCATCGTAAACAGAACGTGGTGGAGCATACTCCCGCTTCCTTTCGTCCCGATCCATTGAATCCCCTGTCCCCTCCCTCCTTGTTGGTTAGAATAGCCTTTTCCCGACGATTTTAACCGGCACGAGCGAGCGAAAAAGAACACCAAAGGGCCCAAGCCCAAGGCCCTCCTCCCCTCATTGCCGACCCACTGCCCATGGCGCGTAACCCGAGAAATCTTTCCTGCTTACACCGCATTATCGAATGTCGCTGAAAGACTCACTTAATGGTCCTTCCGATAGTCATTACCATCGTGCTGGGCCATTGATGACCCGACATTCTACCGGTTTAAGCCTGCACGGCCTGCCATTTAGGGGCATGGATGGCTCTTTTGTCTCACTCTTCCTACTTTTCTAGAAGGCCTCTTTTTGACTGCTTGCATGGCAATGCATACATTTCGCTTCTCGTCGCGAACCGGTGCCACCTAGAGCTGGTAATTCGTCTCAGGCGACCAACTGCAAAGCGACGATGCCATTCCTGCCCCTGAGTTGATCAAAACGCTGGCAGGGTACACCATAGTCTAGGATCCTGTCTCACTGCTCTCCAGCTCCAAGGTAAGTCCAATCGAGCGGCGGTGCTCCAGGTTTGAGTCCACGCATTCGGATAATTTGCTTGTCGTTGGGCACCACATCAATGGCACTATCGGTCAAATGACACCCTTCGCGTTCTTCGAACACGAGACACTTGACAGGCCTGTCTGCAGTGACATGCATCTCATCCCCAACAACCTCTACCTTGACGTTGCGTTCAGGGAATTGCAGGTACTTGAGAGGCTGCGGCCAATCGGTGTCACGTCCCACCAGCTCCCCGTCTACCCAAATTCGCGCCGCAAGCACATGGGGCTCTTCTTCCAGGTTGTCGACTTGTCCTTTCAAGATGTCTGTCGTACCATTAGGAGTGACACGAATTCCTTTTTTAACAATCTTCTCTTTGATCTCGTGGCCCGTCCGAACTGACACAAACTTGACTTCCACGTCGGCAGTGATCTCAGTAAGCCGGGAACTGACAACCCACAGTTCCCAATCTTGTGTTCGGGGTTCTCGAGCATGGGTCACACTCCAATCATGGTGAGCTCGACGAACACCTACCGCCACTGGGGCCAGAACACGCGCCATGGCGTAGTAGGCTGGCTTTCTCCGGAGGTAGTAGTCCACAATCGACCAACTCGTCGTTGGCCAGCAATCATTGAGCTGCCATACCAATGCTCCACCACAGTGTCGGTCGTCGCCCCACTGCTTCCGCCATCCTCGGTATCCAAACATCAGCGCCTCACATTGGATGAGTTGCGTGAGGTGGATGTAGGCTTCCAAGTTTGTGGCTGTTCTCACATTCTCCACTAGGTAGGTGGCTATACGCCTCTCGTGTCCGTCTGCCTTGTTGTGGAAATCAATGACATGACTCTGTGGGTACAGGTCCTCCGCCTTCTCCACGAAGGATTTGATGGTCGCAACGTGAGGGAATGCCTCCATGCCAAATTCCGAGTTGAAACGTCCGCCTAAGGAGTCGAAAATTTGATACTTCTCCTGTGTGCCGTGCCATACATTCCACTGGTGCATGTCTCCGATAGTGGTGTCGGAGCTGATCTTGCCGTGACTCCAAGGTGATCCAGGCCAATATTGTATCCAAGGAGCTTCTGCTTTTGAGACTCGTGGCAGAAGTGACTCATAGATGTACCGGGCAGGAAAGTCTGATTTCAGCCAATGCTCTTCGTTTTTGTCCTCGTAATTATACGTCAAACCAGCTTGCTCTTGTACCTGGTAATCTTCGTTGTTCCCAGCGAGTATGGCCAGGCAAGGGTGGTGTCGAATTCGCCGAACATTAGCAACAGCTTCGGCCTCGATGGATTTGAGAATGGATGGAAAGCAAGGATAGTTGCCACAACCGAACATGAAATCCTGCCATACGAGGATGCCTAGTTCGTCGCATGCGTCATAAAATGAGTCGTCCTCGTAGATACCGCCACCCCATACTCTGATACCACGTCAGCACTTCACATCCGGAGACGATGATCGCTTGCTCAGCAGACTTACCGAATCATCTTCTGATTAGCAGGCACCATCAGCTCGATCCAGGCACGATACTTCTCTGGAGTAACATTGGTCAGGAAACTGTCTGTTGGAATCCAGCAGGAACCACCACAAAATATGTCGACACCATTGATTCGAAAGTAGAACGACTGTCCGTGAGAATCTTTGTCTTGAATGAGCTCGATCGTGCGTAGCCCTGTCCGGCGCGACTCCGTGTGCAAAGGCATACCGTCACTGCTGAGAGTAGCACTAACGTTGTATAATGGCTGTTTGCCATAGCCGGTGGGCATCCACAATTCAGGATCCGGGATCTTGAGCTGGACCGAAGCTCTTCCATCTCGACCTATCTCAACGGTGCTGGAGGCGATGTCCTTGCCGCCCAAACTGACCTTGAAGTCAACCAAGAAGTGTGCATTTGGACTCTCAAAGCCCTCAACGTCTGCAGTTGCATTTATTGTGGCGAGTTTGTGGTCTTCGGAGATATCAACATCCATCCGCACGTCAGTGACTCTGACCGTGTAGATCTCGAGCCGAATGGGTCTCCAGATACCTGCACACACGAGGAGCGGACCCCAATCCCAGCCCCAGTGGTACTGTGCTTTCCTGACTGCTAATCGTGCAGAGTCACCATTGAAGCAAACGTACTTATGGTCCGGATATTGATTCTTGATTTCTCGAGCCTTGAGGAAAGCAGAGTCGAATTGGATCTCGACTTCGTGATTGGACGTCGATTTGGCAGCCTCGGTAATATCGACTCGATGCGGCAGGAACATATTGTCACTTTCGAGAATGGTTTTACCATTTAGCCTGACGGCGGCGAAAGTGTCCAGTCCATCGAAAGCTAGCACAACCTTTTTTTCTCCTGAGACAGAGGGGGTTGCTAACGTGGTCCGGTACGTCCAGGATTTGAGCCCAACCCATTCCGCCTTGATTTCATTGAATCCAACGAATGGATCGTCCAAGCTGGAGCAGACCCTCGTCAGCTTCGATCAAGGAGCGATTTTGTACCTACGCACCGTTTGCTGTCAATAAGATCCTGGTGAACCGTCGACGGTATCTTCTTGACCGGATGCCAAGCGTCTTCGTCGACATGATCAGTTTGCTTGAACGACCACCCAGTCGAGAGATCGATGACCTCCATCTGGACAGGGCAATCTGCAGGGCCAGACATGTCGCCCATGATCTTTGGAATGGAGATGGGAAGACCAGAGAAGACGGAGATATACACGGAACAAGTGGAAGATGTTCCTGTACGGCTATAAGTCCATGCAGGTAACCTGGTGGATCAGTCTACTGTGATATCCTCATCGGTCGAGCCCCATAAAGGATCGCAGTAACATGACATCTGCTCGGTTGTTCCGGGTCCAACAGAGCCTATCTCTTGATCTGCGGACAGATTTTCCTTCGTTAGTGTTCACTGCAAACCCGCTTTGAGCAACACGGGAGTGAAAAGAAGAAGCATACTCAAAGACAATGGAGTATGAGGCTCGAGAATATCCAATGACGGCAAGCTTTCTTGTTCGGAGACGGAGCTGGAGATTCCGCATCACAATAGGCATAGACATGTCTTAGCGTATTTTTCAGGCCGGTGATGGACGCCGAGGACGCATTTCTCCTTTGAGACGACAATGTTTCCCTCCTGCACTTGCTGCTCGGTGAGTCGACTTTCTATGTCCGCGCAGGAGTTGTGATTGCGTCCTGCCATGTCTGCTTCTGATGTACCGATCGCGCAACCGACTGAGGGTCGCCTCCATCACGAGGCCTTGCAGGGATCCTCCATGAGCCTACTTTACCAACGGTTCCTTTGTCGTCCTACATGCCTTGCCGGGAGGTGTTCATAGTTGAGGAAAGATCTACGCGGCTCACCGCCGAAGCAAGAATACACTGCACGTAGGCGATGAGAGTAAACACGTGCATCAATCCTATGCGACGAAAACAACTACCATCCCCAGGTCCCTGGACCACCTTTCATAGGTCCTTCCAGCTCGCTCGTCACCCATCCACCATAAAAGTCACCTGTATCGAACCCGGTCAGTTGATTGAAAGCTGAGGAAGAGGTGGAATGGGCTACCAACCTTCCTGTGGTGTCACCTTCTCATCGTCCACGAAACACTCCCAAGGCACGCCATTTGCATAAAACGAGAGATGCCCTTTGATGTCCTTGAATGCTGGAGTTGGTGATTCATAGCTCCATATCTTGTTCTTCACTGTCTCGCCCGACGACACATTCGTGATGTTCCAATACGTTGCTCGGCCCTTCCATTCGCACAGCGAAGATTTGTTGGGGATCTGGGTGAGTTTGAAGGAGTCGGAGATGGAGCTGCGAGGGAGATAATATGCTGCGTAATGGTAAGTTGTGATACTTCCAGAAGGGCAACCACGGTTGATATTGGGTCTCGTCTCAGTCAAGAAACAATCCCTTCTTCGCATGTGGTATCCCTGAGGCAATCGACCTACTTGGAGGATGTGTAGTCTCTAGAACCCAATACGCCGATTTTGTATCAGCCAGAGTATGGCCGTTCCATTTTAGCACCAGATGTCGTGGTACCTGCTCCAACAACGGAGGGCGTGGGAATTTGTGCACGTTCAACTTCGCTTTTGCTGCCATCACAATCAACTCGAGAATGCCTATATAAATCGGACTACAGGTCGATGACGATATCATGGTATGTATATAAATGTCGGCCGCTTGTGGCTAGCATGGGATGAGTACTCGTTCGCCCCGGTTCGCGATCATGCAGGAGGCCTGAAAATCAGGGACATTCCTAACCCCGGACTGTCGCTGACACCCTTGTCAGTCGTCGGATGAGTTTATTGGCCTTCACATTCACCTCTTTGCAGGGGTGTTTGAAAGTGAGATATACCACATTGAAGCTTCATCAAAACACGATGAACCCACGAATAACTCCTCCGGATGGCGGCAAGCGCTGATCACCGAACGAGGTACGTTGGCCAAGCCCGCTTCTAAGAATTGCTCACTAATCTTGATCGCGATCGCGGGGATGTCGCGATCTGGAAATCTCTTCGTACTGGCCCATCTGCCCAAAGCTTTCTTGACATCTTTTCCCAATCATTCTTGCCACCGCATACTGCGGAGGACTTTTGAGGAGCGCAAGGTGTCACATCCGGCTTCTGCAAGTCTTTTGTAGGGTTGTTCGCCACAAGTCAAGACCAGCAGCTTATCGTCTTGGGGTTATCATCTCTTTCTCAGTCATTCCCTAACATCTTCAACTCTCGTTATTATCCACCATGTCGACCCTTGTGCTCAGCGCTGCGTCTGGCGGAATCTTCGGAGCTGCCTTGACAGCGTCTGGTGTCTATGCGCCATCTGTTATCGTTTCGCAAATGGGTTTGACCAACTTCCATATGCTCAAGTCCTTTCTTGCCGCCAGCGCCTGTAGTGCTCTTATCATCGTCTCAGCAAATCGTTCAGGTTATGCCAAGCTGCAACATCGTACCGACTCTTCCTATGGCTGGTTCATGCAATATGATGCCAACATCGTGGGTGGTTTATTGCAGGGGATCGGGATGACATTGACGGGCGCCTGCCCAGGAACTGTCCTTGTGCAAATGGCATTGGGCATCAAATCTGCCTGGAATGTCGCCATCGGCGGAGTACTTGGGGGTGTCGTCTTCGCAAAAGTGGGACAGCAACTCAAAAGATCTCAGGCGACCACCTCTGGAGGCAGCAAACATACGTTGCAGGAGCAGACGGGTCTCTCCACTGCTACCATCGTCCTGATCTACGAGGCACTTTGCCTCATGATGATCACTGCGGCCACGTATCTGGCACCAACGAGACAATATTGGCTCAATCCAATCATCGGCGGTCTTCTGATCGGAACTGCACAAGCGACCTCGGTGCTCTTCACCCGCAAAACCCTGGGGGTCTCGAGTGCGTATCAAGACATCGGCAAGTACTTTTGGAGTGTTGTTGAAGGAAAATCTGGGCCCGGTCTATCAAACATCGTGTTCGCTGGAGGCGTCATCGCAGGATCGAAGATCATTTCTCAGTATGTTCCCACCATCGCCGAGACAGCATCGATCATCAGTGCTCCGGCAGCTGCTCTTGGCGGCTTCGCGATGATATTCGGTGCCAGGCTGGCGGGCGGTTGTACCAGTGGTCATGGCATCAGTGGAATGTCCACGATGAGCTTGAGCAGTTTCATAACTGTGGCGAGCATGTTTGGTGGTGGTATTGCGGCTGCTTTCCTGACGAAGTGAGCTGCGTTGTGAGGCAGTTTGACTGTCCTTGCAATTCACTGGACATCACCGCCTGCACTCAGGCAGTGCTTGAAGTCATGTCGCAAGATCGTCTTGTGGAAGCACTCCGTGCACTTGAGGGCCTCCGTCACGGCCGGGCAGTGATGAAGCATTCACTTCCTTACCAAACATATACCGCACTCAGATCTGTTCGCTTCTTTTCCACACTTGCTTACCGAACATACATCCTTGCCTGCATCAACATCATATCCCAGCACCTGGCTTATCATAAGGCTCCTCCATTAATATCGAGCTGCAAGACATGGCCTTTGAATTCCGAAGAAAGGTTCACCCAATCTCGCGCAGACAGCTGTTCCCTCCCACATCAGCTCACACTTTCGCCTCCGAACACACTCCTTCAACGATAATTGACTCGTCCGAGCAACCTCAGACCGAGGGATCATCGATGACAACTACTTCAAATAGTAGCACAACCAAATGGCTGGAACTGGCTCCAGAACAGCACAAGCTAGCTCACATTTCGACATTCAACGTTACTGAGTCCACGACCAGCAAATCGACCAAACAATCCAGGAATGGTGGGTCGTTGAACACAGATCCGAACAATAGCAAGGACAAATTCCTCACACTGACGCCAGATATCAAGCCAGAAGAGAAGATTAGGGCGAGGTGTGCTACTTACAAAAAATCTTACGTTGAGGTTGAATACTGTAGCAATGACAGCTCCTGAAAAGGCGGTTGTTCTGGCTTTCGGTCAAAAGCTTGCGGGCAATCTCCCCTGCGTCAACATTGCGATAGCTACAGAGGCGAACCTGTGGTGAACTTGTCCGTTCGAGTGCGGTGGTCCCGGGCGGCGCTGAGATGCTGAACGTTGTAGTGAGGTACTGCGGCTATGGGACTTCTCGGTGGCCAGGCAGATTACTCGAGGGTGGACATGCATAAGTCCATGTACAGCTAGCTAGGCTCGTTTCTTTAGCCATGAGGTGCGGATGCAAATTATCGATCTCTGGGTCTTTTACCTCCGCTTTACCACGTTTGTCTCGTCTGGCCCGGCCTTTCGGCTGAAATTCAAACCGCTCGAAGGGACTGGAAATACTTTCGTAAGGCTTAATCCTTGCACGTCCACTAAGCTGCATGCCGCCTGCCAGGTACCAAATTTATCTTGCAGATGCAAAAGGACCCAGCTGCTACACCGGTTTGGAGGTAAGAGATGGTTTGAGAGCAAAGGCACTTCAGTAGGGTCTCTGTCGACCTCGCATGAATCATGGTTTCGGAGATTGAGCCTCTTTACCAGACCGGCCCATTCGTGCATTCTTTTTTCACAGAGTGGGAAGTCTTCCACATTATGGATCTCGAGGCTGTAAACGTCAGACAGCATCCAGTGGTTACATGTACCATATATTCACGCCACATTGTAGCGATCGAAGGCCAATCATGTTGACTCTGATCACTGACTCAGAGAAATGCGGTCAGGGATTCAGATAGCCTCAGTGCTACAACAGACATGGCTTGAAGATTTTGAGCATGCGGCTTAACACAGCAATGCAAGACAGAACGACTAGCAAAGCCACTATAAGTGCAAGCCTTCTCAGGCGTTCCCGCCCATTCCGCGGTGGTGAAGAGACGTGATAGTGCACCGACTCGTGAGGCTCGTATCGATGAACGCTATACTGTCAGGGAAGTTGGACTTTCGTTTGTCCATAATCACACTGTCCAGTCTGCGTGTGATACGGTTGCCCTCTCGACGATTGTCAAGCAATTCGCGGTGCTCAAAGTATGCGCGCGGACGATCTTGCTCCAAGCCGAGCTTAGGAGTCGCCAATTACCGCGCTCGCTCGGCACGTAGCAATTTGGAACCTTGAGTAGAGTCTGCATACCTGAACTTGCTTGCTGTGCCCCAAAGAGTCGCTTTCATTGGGATATGCAGGCGTCAAAGAAGGTAGGTAGTTCTGGCAGTGGACCATTCACTGTCTCATCTGCTCAACAAATACCTGCAGAGACTTTTACCATTTAAGTCAGGCAGCAATAATCGAGGGCATTCCTGACAACAATACACTTTCAGGCCATTCACAGAGAATCATTACGCGACAGAAGACGAAAGGTGTTGCACAACACCTGAAAGTATACACCTCCAGTCTGAAACATGCGGCGTCAAGAACGCGGAAAGAAAGCTTGTCCTGCACAAGGCAGACTTACCATCAAGCCTAGTGGTTCTGCCCTGCACAAGCTGAAGTATACCCAGGATGTTGAGCGAACATAGGGGCTTTCTGAACGTTACTGATCCCTCAACGAGTTTAGCGGCTCGCTTATTGCTGATCTTAAGTTTTCCGGATGGATACGAGAACAACGTGGGCGAGCGCCTATGACTTCAATGTTGTCTTTTGGGCGCCACAATTCCACCCACATTGCCGTGATTTGCTTTTCAAGTTGATAGGAGACATCGGCAGAGGCTGATCTCGCCCTCGGTCGGCGCGGCGGCGACATCAACAATGCGGCTGGCCTGAACCAAGCAAAGTAATAGGGATGAGTGGCGGCACTTCGACTTCGCAAGTACAAAGTACACCTCAGGGGTGACTTTCGTCCCCAGAGACATCCCTGCTACTGCCTGTAAAAAGTATTAGCTTCCCCCACAACTCGCTTGTCTCTCTTTCTTATACGGTGTCTGAGCGGCGAGCGGAGGCATGAGTACGAGGGATTTACCTAACGATGGACAAGCCTTAGCGCCCACCCTAAGGGCCACTTTATCCTCACTACATCTATGTTTTCTTGCTATGAAGGAATACCACCCTTCTACCATCACCTTGGACGCCTCTTCATTTCACGGCGCAGCTGAGTCTCGACGGACGGACAGGAGATTAGTGCTAGACAATGTTCTGTGGCCTGTTATGGCCCGAGAAAATGCTTCCTGCCTCCTGTCCACATGATGGCACTGTCGGCTATCATTTTATCCAACCCCTTCGATGCGAAGGAGGGTCTTCCTGTCGAGCCATTGACCCATCAGCAAAGTTCTTTCTGCAGAACCGCACCATCTCACTTTTAAACAACCGTAGAGACGCACCAAGAACCAATTGAAAGTAAGGAACGGCATCCAGAATCAACAACTCTTCGACCACCGGAATGAATCCAGCAAGGTAGAGCAAGGCCAGAATATCCCAATCTCGTGTTTACTCGCACAAATGCGAGTCGCATTACTATTTGTCCACTACATTGTCGAGGAATATCGCCTACACACAGTTTGAAATGCTCATGATATGAAGAGGCTATCGAACTACAAGTCGCTCAACGGGTAATGCAATAAACTATCAGGTTTCCAACAAGTTGATACTAGGTACACGAAATTTAAAAATATGCTACAACCCGCCATAATGACCCGCGCTCCCAAATCGATATCAGCTTCCTTAATTAACGATGTTCCTGCTTCAACTCCGTCCTTTCATGCTTTTCGCACTCTAATCAACAGGCACACATGTCAGTGTGGTCGAGTCGCAGGTGAGGTTGTCGCTAGCGCAGCAGCCGTAGGTGGCAGTTTGAGCAGAGCAGTCGGCACCACTTGCAATACAAGTCGCCGTCGAGGTCAAAGAAGAGGTGGTTGAGGTCGACACAGTAGTGGTTGTGGCCGTGGTGGTGGAAGAGCTGCTTGAACTTGACCCGTCTCCACTGGAGTCGACGGGCACACATTTGAGAGTGGTCGAGTCGCACGTCAGCCCATCGCTGGCGCAACAGCCGTAAGTGACGGTCTGGGCGGAGCAATCGGCGCCGCTAGCGATGCAGGTTGCCGTTGCAGCCAAGGAAGAAGTGGTCGAGGTCGATTTAGTAGTGCTCGTGGTGGAGGGGCTCGTGGTCGAACTCGACGTGGCCACGTGCACGGTGGTCGAAGTGCTGACTGTGGTAGTAGTGGTGGAGGAGCTCGAGGCAAGAGTGGACGTGGTCAAAAAGGCCGTGGTTGTCTTGGACGAGGTTGTTGTCCCCAAGGAACTGCTGCAAGGGCAGAAGTACTCGGTCTCGGTCACCCAGACGACCGATTGCCCTGCGAAAGCCAGCCCGATCAGGCTCAGGCCCAGAAGGCTAGATTTGAGCTGCATTATGTCGATTTGGATGATGTGATTGACGTAACGAAAGGGCGCTGGAAAGAATGTACAGTCAGATAAAGAGTGTCTTCCCAATATTGTGACTGAATGAGTGACAAGAAAGAACGACTAGAAAGAGCAAGATCACTTTGAACCGATACCGTTCGACCGTGGAGGCGACACCGCGTGGGCTTTATATCCAAACAAGCAGATAGTGCTAGATGTATAAGTTTCTTACTAGGATCAGGAGCCTGCCCCTCTTCATCGCTAAGGCCACCAGGGTTAATGTCGCTGGTGGAGCAGAAGTGTGCATACAAGCTTTGATCACTCGCTAACAGACTCGGACGGACGATTCAGAACACGCTCTTCGCAGATTTCGATATGCAGCTCTTAACCTCACAAGCCACGTTGGCGCCCTTGTTATACTTTGAAACCGTTAGTAGAACTATATTTTCCAGGAGGTAGAAAAGGCAAATGCAACTTAGACTTCGAGCCTTCTGAGTTTCCTCGAATGATAGTGACTCTACGTAAAGACTGTGCCGTCCCCATCGACAATAGGCGAGACGCGGAGATCAGGCCATGCACATTAGATACGCGGGGAGTATGTCCATTGGACGTATCTGATCGAGAGATCCAAGGCGATAACTTGTTAGCATCCAGGTTGTGTAAATACTTCAACAAACGGCGGCCCAGTCCATGCAAGCCACGAGTGGGCACGTCGATCAATCCCTGGATGCAGCACTCGCTCGCGCTGCAAGGCTCTTCCCTCCGTTCTACCACTGTGGATGCTACCGCCATCCACACCATGTCTTTTCCTCCTTTTGCGACCGCTCTCGCCGTGCAATCTCAAGAGCGCGGGAAATTTGAAGTCGATCCTAGTAGATTTCACAAGTCGAAGCCTAATTAATTCGGTAGCAGATCCATATCACGGTAAGGCATACTCCTGTACCACGTCTGGTGGGGACAGCTCACGTTGTTGACATGGGAGCATGGAGTGGCGGCTCATGAATTGATATAGTCCTTCCCAGATCCTCACATCCCATACCTCTTGTCAGGTTCATCTCTTCGTTGTTGTCGTTTCTGTGTTCATTCTCTGGCGGACCGACTCTCTTTCACTCCCTTCCGGCCAAGACGCTCTTTACTGCGATTTTTTGTTAATATCCCTCTCACCACAAGAACAATTTCAAGCCAGCACTCTACTTTGGACTGTCACTACTTCACTGTACTGAATAATCAACATGCAAAACATGGGATCAACAACAGCTCTTTTGGCGGCTGCACTGCTTCTGGGGAGTGCATCGGCCCTTACGACATCGACCACCACCACCACGATCACATCGTGTATCGCGGGCCTCGCATGTGGCCAAACTACTCTTGTCCAGGTCCCGACCTCTACCTCCACCGTCACTGTCACAAGCTGCACAGCGGGTGCGCAATGCAGCGTGTCTTCAACAGCTCCTGCGGGGACCAAAGCCAGCACGACCCTAAGCATGACCGGAAATGGGAAACAATCGCAGACCTCTTCCAAGCCGGTGCAGTACGCGACCACCACTCCGTCCGCTGTGGCATGGAGTGACTGGGACACAACCACGACCACAACTGTGGCCCCTGCAGGTACCTCTACTGTTACCTGGGGTGACTGGGACCCCACGTCAACGACGTCGACTACCTCGGCCACATGGGCAGATTGGGATCCTAAGTCGACCACCACGACCACAACGAGCGTCACTTGGGCTGACTGGGACCCCAAGTCAACCACCACCACCTCCACGAGCGTCACTTGGGCTGACTGGGATCCTAAGCCAACGACCTCGACCACCACCTCCGTCACTTGGGCTGATTGGGATCCTAAGCCAACGACCTCGACTACTACCGCCGTCACATGGGCTGACTGGGACCCCAAGTCAACCACTACGACCACAACAACCGCCGCCTGGGCTGACTGGGATCCCAAACCAACAACTTCGAGCACTACTTCCGTAGACTGGGCTGATTGGAGCTCCATCCCGGCACCTCCGTCGGGCTCTGCACCTCCTGGCTCTCCACCTGCACCAGCTGCGACCGAGACCGCCACCTGGAGTGATTGGAGTGTCTCTCCGGATGGATCCTCTATCGCCACACCCCCCACAGACCCTACCGTGTCATGGGCTGATTGGTCCTCAACAAGCAGCGCCACTCCAGTCGCCGCAACCACATTAGCATCAGGATGGCCTACGCCGGCAGTCGCAGTTAGCACATTCAGCACCAGCCCCAGCAGCACTGGAAGCGCTTGGACTGAAACTTCGGGAACGCCTGTCGCGGCGATCTCGACTAGCAGCGCAAGCGGCTGGGATGAATCTTCGTCCACCGGTGTTGCAGCAGTCGCCACTTACACGGGTTCTGCTATGTCACTTGTGTCGCAGCAGGCCTCATGGCTATATGGGGCCATTGCAATGGTGGCCATCGCCTTGATGCTGTAGGAAGCGACGCAGAGCAAGACGCGAGTTCGACAAACCGTCCGTCTGCGCAGTGAACTACTGTAGCGTGTTGGCAGGAACATCGGGGTCCTTTTTCGGAGTGCATTGTTAAGTTGCTGAGATTTCTCGTTCAGTGATTATCTTATTGTCCTTTCCAAATATTTAGTATCAGAAGCACTATTTCAATGTTATATTGGGAGAAGGACGTTACCAAGTAAAATGCATACGTCTAATTCAATTTCGAAGACCGTCCTATGCTTTCTGTTTGCCTGCTTGACTGGATTGCCTCCTCAACTGCTCGGGCCATCTCACCGATATATGAGAATCTCCAGGCGAAGGTGACTTTGTCTTCGAAATCTAGAATATCACCACCCATTGGAATTCGGCCATCGCTGTTTCTCGCGAACCTTCTCGCCCAGGATGAACTTGTCGTGAAGAGTGCTGGAACGGTAATGGAAGTCACAATAGTCGGGCTTATACTAGCCAACGTCTCCCGCAATGATCACTGCGTCGAAGTGGACACCAGCAAGTAGACCTTCAATCGTGTTTTGAATGTTATACCAATCCACGCCGGATACAAATAACCTCGGGAAATCTCCATGAGCCATTTCAACATGACGACCAAACTCGGTTACTGAGTGTCATCTTCATCTGATGAAAGCCGGGCCAACCAAACGAAAGAGAGCTGCAATCGATAGAAAGAGGGGCGGCTGCAGAAAGCCTCGCCATAGCCACCATCTCCAAATAACGCGTCAGGGGTTGGTGCCCATACCCCAGCATCATGTGGTCTATGTCCGGCTAGTGAGGCTTAGCTTCGGCACGATCCTGGGTGGTGACCTTGACCTAGCCGCCTGTCACAATCAAAAAGTCCTTCGATATCCGCTGAAAATCCTTACGAAGTGGTCACGACAATTGTCCCTGCCTGCATGAGAGGGTTCCTAATGCTATGCATGGGCTTTTGGTCCCTACATCGGGGCTGAGCAACACTCCAATGTGCACAAATGATTGCACGACCAGCTTCGTGGAGATGCCCAATAGGTCAAGCTGGGCTTCTGGAAGCCAATGATTTCGGCCATGATACCACGGACAACGTGCTTTTGGGAGCCTGATCAGCGATCACTACATAGAATTACCATGAATTCCAGGTTTTCGATGTCACTTTCTTGTTGTTGCATGACCTCCAACTCACACAGGAGCCTACTCCCAAACAGCATTTCCTGCTGGGCCTTCTCCCTCAATCTTTGTCATCTACCTTTTCGTGTGTCCGGAAGGTAATCGTATCTTCTCCAGAGTCTGAGGTGCTAGCCACCGCTTTCTCGGCAGACGCGCAGTATGCCACCGGCCTATCGATACGAACCGCTGTCCTCTACAAGCTCGGAAATCCGACTTCTGACGTTGTGGCCTGGCTCGTGGGACGATGATATCTCCTGCACCGTCGACCATGCCTGTGTCGATAATCATCCATACTACGAAGCGCTTTCTTACACATGGGGAGACGCCAACGACACTCGTCCGATTAGGCTGAATGGGGGTCCATTCCAGATCGCCAAAAACCTGGAAATTGCGCTCCACTACTTTCGACCTCAACCTGGAGAGCAACCCAGACTCCTATGGGTAGATGCTATATGCATCAATCAAAAAGACCTAGGAGAACGAGGCCAACAGGTCCAGAAGATGAGACAAATCTTCACCTCTGCGCGTCGTGTTCTGGCTTGGACTGGAGAAGCCGACGAGGACAGCGCCGGTGTTCTGGATCTAATTGACGACATAGCCAAGATAAGCCCGCGACACTTGATGGCAGCAGCACGAGCATGGTCTACGGAGCCCATACCACTCCGAGATGGTGGTGTACTGGACCTGTCGAAAAGAGATTGGACGTCGTTGTTGAATTTTTTGGACCGGCCATACTGGCACAGAGTCTGGATCGTGCAGGAGCTCACCTCTGCCACACCTCTAGGACCGCTCGATGCTGGTAAGGATACGCTCGCTATATTTTGCGGCTTCCGCAGTTTCTCCAGATACGCGTTCGAAATGGTCTGCGATTTCTGGGGGTGGGCCTTCACAGGACGCTTCGCCGGCTTCAAGACAGATGACTTTCAAAGAGGTGCACGGGCACTTTACATATACCTTAGCACCAGCGAGGCCTCAAGGTTGGGGAAGGATCCGTCATTGATCGAACTCGTTCGCAGTGTGGGACTTCTTGAAGCCTCGGATCCTCGTGACAGGGTCTATGCCGTCCTCGGACTTACGGACCTCGACAAGACGTTGATCGCGCCTGACTATACTAAGACAGTGGAGCAGGTCTATATCGATCTCGTCAAGTGCTGCATAGTGGCGTATGGCAATTGCAACATCCTCTCCGGTAATCAGACACGGCGGCTCCATGGTGGTCCGTCCTGGTGTTGCATTGATGAATTTATGGGATCAGACCTAATTGATTTCGAAGCCGCCGGAAAGACGTCTGCTTGCATTGACTTCGACGACCAAAATGGGTCAATGACGGCGACAGGATTACATGTTGGAGCAATCCGCACGGTTGTGGGTCCCATGTTCCCCGATCAGACCTTTCCCGAGGCATTTGTGGATATAGAAGCGTGGAAACAAATACCTGAAATGATTGCGCTGCAGAAGATAGCGCACTCACTTGGGGAGGCACAACAGGAGACCCTGTGTAGGTGCATTTTGATGAATGCTGGCATGACTACCGAGCAGAGTGTCTACTCAGATACGGAAGAAGCCCATCGCTTTTTCCGCTCCGTTCTAGGGTTGCCGTCCCTTCCTGATCGCGGTCAACAAGACCCTTTATCCGCAGTCCAAGCTCATTATAGAGTGATGATTCACCTTTTGAAATTGTCAGACAGGCACTTCTTCATGACACAATGCGGCAAGATGGGTATTGGGCCATATGACATGCAGACCGGTGATTCCGTCGTCGTGCTCTATGGGGGAGATAGCTGCTTCGTCCTCCGATCAGTGGGAACTCAATATACTCTGCAAGGAGATGCATATGTCCAAGGAATCATGCATGGGGAGCTGCTTGAGGATATTGGTGAAGATGGTAATCCCAAGAACACACGGAAGTTCGTAATCTGTTAAAGCGCAGAAAGAAAGCAAGATTGCGACCATATGTAGTTGTTGTGGCACCTGAAACTTTCGAACAGTACCCAAATGGTGACCGGATTTGGGAGATCCCATTTGAATTACGATTCTAGCAAGAAACGCCAGTGTCTACCCCATTCATATAATTCCACACGTGAAAGTCATTACCATCCGAACTTCTCAACCCAGACTTCAATACCCCAGCCATCGGGGACAAGCTGAGCCGCGACGTTCCTGACGTCCCGGACCAGGCCGTCTGGTCCGGAGACAATAATGCATATCTTGTCTCTGCAGGGTCGCGTTCCTTGCGACAAGGAAGCATTGAGGGTATGCGAGACCAATGATTTTGTGGCAGGAACGGAGGTCACCCAATTCCAGATTTCGGCCTTTATATCAGGTCTGCCACCTTCAGGACCAGGACGCCTCGTATCGAACGCATTGGTGACAAGGCTAGACACTTTCTCCTGACCATCATTCTCAACTACATCGCAGAAGAGCTGATTGCCCTGAGACCCTTGTTTGAGAGTGCTTGCCCTGGGGAAAGTCGACAGCCACTTGTCGTGGCGCGGATCTTGTCGGACCCAGAGATGGGCGTATCTCATAGGATCAGTAGAAGGACCACAATCAAGGACTGACTGCTTCAACTTTGAACCATTTTGGTACACGGTCCGGGTGCTCACCAGGGCACCGTCTTGCATTGTTTCCTCGACTCGAACATCCCAGGCAAGAGGATATGTCACTGCTATGCCACTGCCTCCAGCAACAAAGCAGACACGATCGGCATGATGAGCAGCCTCGAGAGCTTCTGTTCCACCGTGTGGGCCATCGAGGATGATCTCGCAATGTTGATGATGTCGTGCATACTCCAGCAGATCCAATGAAAAGCCATCGATGGCGCGGATGATGAGTTCAAGTGGCCACTTTTCCATGGTGGTGTTTCTTGGTGGAGCAGCCGATGCAATCGTAAAAGGATGTGCCTGAAATCGATACTTGAAACCCATTGAAGGGATTGTAAGAAACACATGTTGTCCAGGAAGCCAGCCGTGGTGCAGACCGATTCGAGTACCCAACAGCTTGCGCCGTAAGTCTATGTCGCAATGTAGTAAGATGGTCTGCTCGTCGGGAGCGATTTCTAAGGTTGCGATGTATTTTCGACTTGACAAAGTCATCCGCCAGAGTAAGCGGTCAATCGCCCAGATGGCCAATGTTGCCACAACATATGGCTGAGCTGTCGGATAATGAAAGAACAGAAAGACAAGTGCGGCCACCTGGAAAGATATATGCAAACCCAGGAATGTTTCGTAATATAGATGTCGGAACCAGCCGACGCTCGTTATGTAAATGACAAAGTAAGAGATGATGGCGGCGATTCCCAGGAAGACCGTCTTGTGAAAAAGGTATTGGAGGAAATCGAAACCCAAGGGACGAAGGACGTTGTACCAGACCAGGAGCATTCCGAGCATGTGGATCACGCCGAAAACGATCATCCACTCACCGAGTCGCCTATGGAACAGGTTAAGGCCTTCGTAAGACCAGCCAGTCAGAAATTTGATGGGTTGATTGGTTTTGGCTGCGAGAATGTATAGCACCGGCAAGTTGACCATGAAGAGAAGACCAGCTCGATCGCCCAGGATGAAGATCCATTCTAGTGATAACGGGGTCCGGAAGAAGAGGTAGAACAGATTGACTCCTAGGAAGCACAGGACGAGTAAAGACGTTCCATTGTTCGGCAGGACGTTCGAAGGTGAAGTCAATGCCGTAATTGGTGCAGGCTGATGCATTAAGACTGCCTTCAGCTCGTTGAGAACACCAGGACGTTGCTTGGGACCACTTTTGCTCAGCAGAGGTGTGTCCTCCGTATTGTATGCATCGTCATCCTTCTTGGGCGGTGTTAACGTCCCTGTCAATGTGCTGGACGATGACGAGACGGTCTCGGATGCATCTGATGTACTGTACCCATTTTCCTTCCTCTTTGTAGATTTCCGCGTCGCATGCGCGTATATACGTCGACCGCATGTGACAGCTATGAAGATTCCGATCACAATATAGTACGTTAGGAGGAACTTGCGGTGCCAGAGGACGGCAGCGATGATTTTGCGGATATGGTCGCGAGAGAGCCCCGGATTGGGAGGAGCTTCAAGGATGGTGATGAGATCGGAGGAGCGTCTCAATGCCAATCGAAGGACATCGAGTGGCTCGAGGGGAGGGAGTTCGTCCATTGACTTGTCAGCACTCCGAAGAGTACTTTGGTACGACTTCAATGAATCTTATCGCGATGGTGACGAAGTTGAGTAGCGAGGGGCGAAGAAATCTAATCAGATTAGATTTTGCAGCTAAACCTGATTTAGCTTGATGACAAGGCTGACTTTCGATTGCTTCAGCCTCGCCAAACCAGATCAACACATCATCTTTCTCGAAAGGATGGCAACATGGAGGCCACGAGCTGCAGCCCGATCATCCGCTGCGCCGGTAGTCTCCACTCGCAATCTCGAATCCAGCTGATGTTATGGTCTGGTACTGAGCCTCGAGTCTTCTTTGCCCTTCATGTTCGACTCCGTAAACTCCACAACAGCAACAAGTCTCTTTGTCCATCGCGTGTTGTTGAGTACGCAACAAATGCTCGGCACAGATACCAGAATCAACTCATGTATCCAATGACCAACCATGAGCCGCAGGCAGACTGGGCACACATACCGTCGGCCAAAGAAAGTCCCGCATTCCATGGACCCAACACTCATAACAAAGACTGGTTGCTTGGCCGCAATCAGAGATGTTTACTCAAATCAGCAGCAAACTATTCATGGCTCATGTCCATATATTCATTGTGTTTGATTCTCTTTGTTGCTACCTTCGTTCATTACTGCGAATTTCCGACCATAGTCACTCGTTTCTGAACTATCGCATCTTCACTCCTTTTGACTGAGCATATAGCAGCATCTCCATCGAAATCTCAACCTTTGATATCAAGATGCGTCACTCAGCTCTCGTCCTGTCATTCATGCTGGGTTTGGCTCTCGCAAAGCCCCAGCTTGCCTCAAGCGAGCTGAGTGGCCTCCCAGCCTGTGCTGTAAGTGCTCCTTGCCCTCCATCAACCAGCACGACCATGCTCTAACTCGTCCGGCAACAGCAAGACGCAGCTGCCGCAGCTGCAGGAGCATCAGGATGCTCGTCATCTGACATCTCCTGCTTGTGCAGCTCCTCTGCCTTCAAGACCGCCATAAGCACCACGATCCTGCAAGCCTGCGGAACGGCCGATGTTGAACGTACGTAGAAAAGATATTCCTCTCCCCCTCGCCATACACGCTAACAACATTGCAGAAGCTCTCGTATGGGCCGAAACTGAATGCGGGTCATCGCTCACAGCCTCGACTTCAGCTGGCACCTCCAGCACCTCCAGCACCTCCAGCACTGCGTCTGGCTTACCATCCAGCTCAGCAGCAGTGGCGGACGCTTCGACCACCACCGTACCCACGACTCTGACCTCGATGACCAGCATTGCTGGTGCTACTAGCTCTGGCGCGATGGTGTCCGCAGCTATGACCAGCTCCGTCTCCAGTATGCCCTCAAACATGACGACTACCATGATGAACGGCACCGCCTGTGGTGCATATACTCCTACAAGCACCATGGCTGCAACTGCACCGGCCATGTACACTGGCGGGGCGGCCAATATCAAGGCTGGACAAGGAATCATGGCTGCAGTCATGGGTGTTGCTGGCGCTGTTGCATTGCTGTAAGCAGGCTGGGTTTGGAGCGGCGACAAGAAATAACCCTCAAGTCATTCATATCAAAGTGCTACAGGAATTGCATGAGAGTGGCGTTTGGGTTCCTGATGTTTTCGGTCCACAATGGTCACACATTTTTAATCCTCTAGACTTTTCTTCTCATAGCTCAATTTCTCTTTCTTCCAATCGACGGCCGAGACCAAGACTATGTCGGCATGTATGTCTGATTTTGAAGCCGCTATGCCTAGCTCCCCTATCTCGCGTGCCATGAACAAGCATCGCTTCGTTCAGCAGGCAAGCAAGCCATGCACTGACAGAATCCAGCCGGGTCTGCCTTCACTGCGCGCATCCGCTATGGCTGACCTTCATTATCACCTCCGTTCACCTTCTTCCCCTCCTTCGCATTTCTACTCCTTGCATGTTTCGTCCTCGCAGCTTTCGCCCTCTCCACCTCCCGAGCCGTCATAAAAGTCTTCATGGCCCGAAACCCCCTCAACTCGTCAGTCGTATCCTCCCAGAAAATTGACACCGACTCCTCCGCAACCCTGCAAATCCTGGCAATCATTCGCCGTTCCGCGTGGTTTATCAAAGGCTTGGCATCAAACACACTCCTCAAGAACGAGCGCGTCTCCGGCGTCATCCACAGAAAATGATCTTCCTCGCTCTGGAACATCGTCGCATACTGGCTCTGGACGTGCTCTGCGATGCCGACGCGAATGACCGGCGACGGACCATACTTGGATACATGGTGGAACAGGCGTGCGCGGGATTCGACGTCGACGAGGCTCAAAATCTGGTTGATCCTGCTTAGCAGGCCGTACGGCCATTCTAGACTGCCGGGCCAAGAGACGACCATGCCGACTGGGTCCCAGGGGAGTGTGGTGACGTATGAAATGGACTCTGGGTCGACGATGCGGAGTGGATGATTAGATGAGCTGCGGCCATTGAGGGTGTTGGTGATTCTGGTTTTCCGATCGTCGAATTTGGCCACGTCGTCGTCTGCAGTGTAGTTGATCATGAAGGCTTCGCCATAATGGCCTGGGTAGGAGCTTGCCAGCTCGACATCAAGATCTTCGAAACGCAGTTTGCCATCGTTGTCGCCTCGACGCAGAAACTTTTCGATACGGATTTTGAGCCGCGCCATCGAGCCATGTTGTTGGTAAGAGTTGAACAAGGTTCTGGTCTCAGAGGTAAGCTGAAGTTGAGTTGCTCGAGGTTGATGCGAGATGATCGTTTGAGCATCAAGTGTCAGGGTGTTGAGCTCGGATTCGAGGTCCTCGAGTAGCACTTCATCCGGATTGGTGGCAGCGCTGAAACTCGAGGAAGTTGTGCATGACTCGGTGTCATCTTCACCCAGTGTTAGATCGGTGAACACTTCATTTGGAATCTCGACCTCGTCCAAATTGAATGTGGAGTTCACGTTGTTAGCCATAGTTCAGAAGGGTTCTTGGAAGCACAAAAATGAATGGATTTTAGTATGAGGGTGTTTGAGAGCTTGGTAGAGAAAGGTCTCTTGCTTCATAAGCCAGAAGGAAAGGAAAGGAAGCTACACGTAGCCATCTAGGCTGCTTACCGTTCTGAATGTCCATGATCAATAGCACTTTCGCAGTAGTTCGAAAAGAACAATAGTAAGACCTGATGAGGAAATGAATAGCAAGGCTGTCACTTGAACAGGAGGTGAGGCAGTTTTCAATATTGCGCTTCACTCTCTCGATGGTCCGCGTTAGCCAGGCTACGGTGAATAATATACGTCAATACGCAAGGCTATCCCTTTGGGCTTCACAATGTCACATCCTCACTCTTCGTCTCAAGCAGCCGCACGGAAGAGCAATGGTAAATGATACATCAAACAATCCACATTTTCCGGCTGGTCCACCGTAGTCTGCCACACCAGCCACGAACCATCGTACTTCACAAAGACCTCGCCTCGACCCACACACGTGAACAACACCTTTGTTGGCGCTTTCCAGGCCACCCTCGTTGCGCAGACCCTTTCCATTGCCCGCAGAAAGCATGAAACCAGCCCTCCTACATCTTCCTGTGCTGGCAACAATTCCAACCCGTCCAGCACCACCAAGAGTCCACGATCGGCAGGCCCCGTGGCAACTAACATCTTCTCCAGGATTCGACAGCCGCCTCAACGGCCTGAGCAGAGGTGTCGTACAGCCTCCCGCGCTAGTCGTTGTCTGCCAATCCCATCCCGAGCCGAGTGACCGGCCATCAACGGTCATATGGAACTTTGGACTCGTGTTGAATGATGCAACCAACCTTGAGCTGAAAATTGAAGCCCCAGGGAAACCATATTAGAATGAGGGAAAGTGGTCTTTAGCCTACAAGCCTGGTAACTTTCAGGCCGGCAGTTGCTGCCCTATCATTTTTGGCGTGGAGGGAGGGAAGATCACCTATAATATAACTCCACTATATAACCTCAGTAGCCCCCATTCTTTACCTGGACCCGACACGCCGTGGCTGACCTTCCAGGTATAGTCACCGCTGTCACAGTGGTCAAACTGTTGACTCGGTTTCGGGTTTTGTGGAAGTCAAGAAGTCAATAATGTCGTGGGCACACGTGGACAAGTACATAAGTAGCACTCCTGAACATACCTGGGCTTCAAGGTCAAATCTGTCGCACATAAACAGCCACAGAAGGACGACATCTTGCACCTCTTTTGTACTCAACTCAACAGTTCGTCAACGGACAAGTACTGTGAACAGCTTCCAAAACGAGTCAACACCTACCCACTCACTCATCCTGTATCAATCTCAGAACAACGCACCATCAACCACAATGGACGTCCTCTCCTCCCTACCACCCTTCCAATACCTAGTCGCCTATTTCCTACCCATAATGTTCATAGGCGCCTTCATCAGCTCCTTCGCCAACCCACACGCCGTCACCGCGTCAGTATGCTTTCCCCAACCCGCCGACAAACCTATCAACGCATTCGTCTACCTTTTTGCCGTCCGCGAACTGGTCTTGGGTATCGCTCTGATCTTGCTGGAAGCCTGCAACGAATGGCGCGCCGTGGTAATCCTGCTAGCGTGTGTCGGTATCAACGGTATGGGCGATTTCTTACTTGCGGGAAATCTGGGCACCGGATGGCGGTCGAGCTTCATGTGTCATGGTATTCCGACCATTGTTTGCTATTGGACTGTTTGGAAACTGTGGCAGGAGCATTTCTAGAGTTCCCGGGTGTTCAAGGAACTGGATCATACCAGCAACCACCTGAGAAGTTGATCACTCTTGGGAATTTGTAGATTGATCTTGGATCTGGACCTCAACCCTAATGAGTCTGGCCACTTCTATATACTGGTATTGTATCTGAGATAAGACCTTACCTACCCAGCCTACGCAATTAAGTACTGCCCGAACACCACCACCATTCCTGAAACCAACATAGGAGCAGCTCAAAACTTCTCACTTGTCACCGCCCTCGACACATGCACCAACACCCAAGCCAGAACCTGGACGATCATAGTCAACGCCCAAACCAGCAACTTCAAGCCCACAACCAAACCACCCAACGCGCTCCTCGTGACCACAGGCAACTCCTGTCCCTGTCGATCGCCCGACTGATAATGTCCCATCTTCTCGAGATCGAACTCCGTCATGACAATCTTCTTCGTTTTCCCTTTCTTGCCCTTGCTCATTCCTCTGAAGCCTCCTTTCTCTACATCATCACTCTCCTGCTCTCCATCCTTCTTCCACCCAAACCACGTCCGCGAATCCATCTTGACAGTTCCTCTGCCACGAACATCCTTCTCATGCGTCTCACGCATCAACTTAGCTTCTTCCTCCGCCTCGTCTCTCTCCGCGATCGTCGCGTAAAACGCACTTCCCGCATAACTCTTCACACTGCCTGGCCTCTTCGTAGTTCCTCCAAACCTCGACGCTGGTGCAGGACTTGGCCTCCAAATCTCCATGGCCCCCATCGCAGGATTCGTCGCAGCGTCCGTCACGGCAACAGCTAGTATCGCGGACACGATACAATCGAGACTGAATAGGCTGGGCATGAGCTCTAGAATCCCATTCGCGTCGATAAAGAGTGTTTGAGCTGTGAGATCGAGTGTTGCGAGCGCCGTTCCACCACTAGTGGTATCTGTCAATGGAATCGTCGAGAGTCGGCGGATCGATTGGGCGCCGGACGTCACGGGCGTGAGAGGCAAAGGATTTGTGCCCATACGCCTCGAGGCATTCGGGTCAACCACACTGATCGTTGGTAAGGGGCCGTCCGTTGAAACGGTGATATGCAGAACGGGTTTCCCCGTGATACTCCTTATCGTGGTCGGGGAGGAAGGCAAAGGCGATTGCATTGCAAAATCACCGCTCATGGCACCGCGACCGATGGCCGGATGTTCGAGCTCGTAGAATCCACCCCGTGCGTTGTATCGTAGGTTGCACGCCTCTTGTTTGGCGGCGCGGCGGACAGCTTGAGCTTCGATGTCGTCCCGGTCTGTTGGCGCAAGGTTATGTTCCCGGGCTAACGAGGCAGATTGGTTGATTGCCATCATGGCAGCGAGTTTGGGGAAGATGAAAGCCACAAGACCGTCACTGGGCGGCTGTCTGCGTGATGAAGGTTCGAGGGGACACAGAGCGACGTCCCGTGTCAATGTTGACTTTCTGGGGCAGGTTTTGGAGATGGCGATCTCGTTGTTGTCGTACGTCTGCAGCGTGTAGAATGGCATTGATGGGTGGGATCCGAAAATGAAGGTTGCTTCTTCTGTTCTATTGAGTATCAGCGTCATGCACAGGATGGCAAATAGTACAAGACATACCGTGCCATTTCTAGCGTGAACGATTTGATCGCAAAGTCCGGCTCTGTTCCATGAGAGGCTTCCCACAATTTCTCCAAGTCTCGCTGGGTTGAGATACGGGGCCCCATGTTGACGCTCATCACGTCCGAGGGGAAATTGAGGATACTTGCTGGTGCTGTCCTTTGCGCTGAGGCGGCAAACGGCATGGACAGGCTGCTCCTGTAGTCCTCCCTTGATAATGCACCGATGGGCCCAAGGCCCGATAATCGAGCGGGCACTGGTCGTTGAGGCACATACGACTGCTTTGTCAGATGAACAGACGGGTCGTAAGTTGGGAACATGGATCGTATCGGAACGACTGGCGAGGGGTCTACCGGAGACTTTCTCGTGATGAGATTCTGTGTCTGGATGAGAGTTGTGGCAGACCCCATGCCTAGGGTAAATGAAGGCTGCGGCGATTGCATTGCTTGCGGAGACGAATACATTGGTTTCGGTGACTCATATAACGAAGGTGTATATGTAACTGGTAGTGGTGGAGGAGGGACACGCTGCGTAGGTGTCTTGCCGTCGATGGGAGATGAAGTCGTTACTGCTCGGCCGATATCTTCTGGTGAGGGGGAGGGATATCTTCCAGGACCGAGATGAGCCGGTAGTTGAGGCAGCGGTGGCCGCTCCCCTTCCATTCTGATGACCACTGACTCTGCATTGGGCGAGACGGCGCTTTCTGGCGAAGCCACTAGGCTAATACTGTGCAGACTTGGGGCCTTTCTGTGAGGGTTTGGGATGGAGATCTTAGGCACAGTGGTTGGGAACAGCGAAAAGCCCTGATTAGACATTTTGGTCGTCTCCGTTGCAGCAGCTGTCAGTATGAGGAATGAATGAGGTCGAATAGCAGACCAGCTGCACCGGACAAGTAGAAATGAAGATACGTGCAGTCAGCAAACCAAAATCACTAAGAAAGCACGAAAAAGAGACCTTTCAACCGTAGACCAGACGGAGGAGGATGAGAAAGAAGAGGTAGGAAACCAAGATGAAAGCGACCAGCAGACCAAATGTCAATGAGTGCCATGTTCAATAGAGAGCCTCCCAGCCGGAAAGGGTAGAAAGCTGGGGAGGTCCTCTGCATGGAAGGCAAACCCTGTCGGCAGACATGCAACCTTGGCAGGCGTCTAGAGCCTTAACATAGTGAAAGCTGCATGTTGACCAGATCCATCACATCTGTAAAGGCGCCGTGGAACAGCAATTCGCGAGGGGAACACCAATGGCGAGTGATGAGGTGGGAAAGAAAGAAAGGAAGCAAACAAGGATGAAGTCGAATTGAGCGCCTACAAGTCGCATGTCATTGGTCGCCTATTTACGTCGTGGTACATTGCGTTTTCAATTGGTCAGAACCCCTACTTTCACCAATGGCAGAAATGTATATTGAAGCAGTAGACGAGAACGGGAAATCCATGCTTGCAGATGTTCACCAGCAGATTGAAGTATGATTGCCGACAGATTGTCACATTGTCTTCGTTCTCTTCTGTGTGATAAGAGCTGTGAATAGATCTCACACAAGGGAAGCATACAGATGCGCTGCATGCTATATGCAAGTAGATGACAACCCAGATCTTTGATGCAACATGTCTGACATTGGTCTAGAACAATCACGGCATGTTGAAGTCGACGACAATTCGTCTAGCGCATGTCAGTCATTTGTCCTGCACTCGTCTAACCGGTGTCCAAACTTACCCTGCAACTTGCCCATTCTTGAGCTTTTGCACCGATTCATTGAATTTGCTCAATCCTACAACCGTAGGCTCGAGTTTCAGTAGACCTTGTCATAGTCAGCGCAGCCCTAATAGTTATCTGGCTATGGCACACACCTCGTTTTGCAAAATCCAGGGTTTCATCAACGTCGGCCAGGCTTGAGACCAAAGTGCCCTTGATGGCTTGATTCCTGAAAGCAAGGGCACCAGGATCGACGTCAATATGAAATTTCCCTGACGGAGGAAGTCCGATGCTACCGCAAAGTCAACATCAAAGTCTGCTACCGCCAAAAAGCCTTGTGTACTTACCACATGACGATGCCTCCAACGCGTGCACCGAGATAGCTAGGAGCAATTGGATATGCTTGCACACCTAGAAACGGTCAGTGACTGCATTTGCGGGGGTCCTGAAGATCGCCTCACCTGTCACAAACACACCGTGTGCACCACCTTCAGTCAGTTCCACCACTCTTTTGACGGGATCGCCTTCTTTGAAATCGATAAAATGCTCCGCGCCCAAACTCAAAGCCAGTTTCTTCTTGTCCTCGCCAGAATCTACCACGATTGGGCGAAGACCCATAGCAGAGGCCAGTTGCACACCCTGGATGCCAACGCCACCACCACCGCCGGGGAAGACGGCATATTGCCCGGGTCTCAGTTGAGACTCCTTGATCGACGTATAAACGGTAGCCGCTGAGCACATGACCGGTCCGGCCACATAATCGGAGATGCCCTAAGGGTGTCAGACGTGGAAAGTCCACGAGCATTTTCGGTTGTAACGTACCTCCGGTATCACCTAGGTCATGGTCAGCAAAACTTGGTAGGGTTAGCAGCATTACTCACGGTAGTGTAATTTTCGGGTGAGACCACGTATTGCTTGTATGAGCCTGCAATCGTTAACGATCATGATTCATGACGAGTTGACCGAACTCACCGTCTGTTTGCCCTCCAGTCAGGACAGCCTTCGAACAGTACTGCTCCTTGCCGGTCTTGCAATATTCACAGTTATGGCAAACATCCTGTATGGGCTTGAAACCCGCTCTTTGGCCAACTTTCAGAGTCTTGACTTGTTCGCCGACTTTGACAATGACTCCCGCGCCTTCGTGTCCCGCGCACTTCGTACCCATCTCGGACATCTTGGGCAGGGCCCAGTCACCGACCATGAAGTGAACATCGCTTAGGCAAAGTCCCGTGGCGTTCAGCTTGAGAAGGACATCGTGGGGGCCTGTGATGTACGGGTTGTTAGTGATGCCCGGGACAAGTATATCAGGAGTGCTGTCGGGTACATACCAATCTCCGGCACTGGCACCTTCTCAACCTCAACATAGAAATCAGGACCTTCATTTTTCTGTCTAAAGATCAGATAGCTGCTGCCTCTACTGCCCTGGGTCCACGTACCACGACTCCGCCCCAGCACTCCTTGGGGATGTCAAAAGTCGGCGAAGGGTCAGACATTGTCGAAGATTCCAGAGACGCACGGTCAACGTAGTACTTTCAGCGAGACACGATACACAGTGCGAGAGCTCGAAGTAGGAAAAAGAGTCGGTTAGGGGGGAAGCGTATTTACTGGGCGAGAGAGGAGCGCTCAGGCCCTGTAATCCTTCGACGTATTCATCGCACCGTGTTCACCACTCAGGTGAGGGGCTAGCCTTGAACACCGACGGCAGTGGTACCTCATACACAGATCCTCGGCGGAACTTGCACTGGCAGCACAGCGCGTCATGATCTCGGTAGTCGTTTGCCGCGAGTCAAGTGCTCTGACTCGTGCCCGCGCAGGATCCATGCACCGTAAGGAATCCCGAGATAAAGCCAGGTGTGCCAAAGTGGCCATCAATGCACAGTCTTTTCGCGGGGTCGGCCTTTCATTGATCAGGAGGACGGAAAGGAACGCGGACAGGGATGCGGAATAGCGAAGCAAGCGGAATTTGCGGGCGTGTCGCGGGCGCGGGGTTGCAATGAGGGAAAGACAACAAAAGAAAAGAAGGAATGAGGGGAAACATGTCGTGCAACTGTACGTGCCTCGGCAAATCAACATGGACCAGTGCTGTCTTTCTTCAGGTTTCTGCAATTAGAGCATTGCTAGGCTGTGGTGTATGATAACGCAGTAAATGGTGTATTTGTCAAGGTACATATCCATAGATCTGGGCCTGATAGTCAGGGACCACCAATCGGCCATCTGTGACCAAATCTTGTGCTTGAGATGGCACTACTAGATGAGCGTTGTATGCACGTCCAGATCAGACTTATACATTGGCAGGAAGGCTGCCAGTCACTTTTGAGTCATTCCCCTCAGAACGTCCAAAATCTCAGTCGTCATCCTCGATGATAATCGCGCCTCCCGAAGCCTCCAATTCTTCCACTCTGCGCTTCAAGATTCGTAGCTCAAAGCTCCGTCGCGCACACGCACCATGATTAGCAACCTCAAAGAATAGCTGTGCATGTCGAAGCATCACAGAAGGATATCGGCGCTTCAGCGACTCCACCAGCCACCTCTCCAGCGGGTCCTCCTTTTCTTCGCTAGGGTGATCACATCGAGGTGACTCAGCCTTCACTTTGCCGAGTAGTTCGTTGTCTTCGGGTCTGGAGAACACCACTTTGGCAAGTTTGAGCAGACATTTGATTCCATACTGCTGGTATTGCGCTTGTGTGATCTTCTGGAACACCAAGTCTTGCATGCTCATCATTCCAAGACGCTTTGCAATGATGTAAAGATGACCTGCTCTGACTGCTTCAGATCTATATTCCTCAACCGAGTTCAGACCATCGAGTTGTTTAGGCAGAATGTCGCCGCCCTTCGGATTGCTGACAATTGCTGGAAGGTACTCGTCCATAATCAAGAAATGCTGCACGGCTAAGAAGTGGTCGGGAGTTATCTCCGTGAGCGCCGGGTGCATGATGTACGGGCCGTCAGTAGAGTCTTGACTGAGCATGGCCTTGAGGAATGGCGACTTCTGAAGATCTCCGATGCTCACGGTGTAGACTCTGTTGGAAGGACCAACGTATATCTTGACTTGTTCTTCTTGTGGTGTTGCCTTGATATGTTCCCGCACTCTCACTTCCTCCTCTGCTTTGACCCGCACATTGGTGTCATTCCGACGATCCGAAGGAGAGGAGACCGGTGTTGATAGAGAGCCTGAAGATCGAGTGACAGGCTGATATCTGGTGAGTTGTCTACGCGGTAGCATATCTCGTCTCCCGGATTCAGGTAAGAAAAGACTGTCGTCAATTGGATTTGGATCCGAATAAGGTAGCTGCGAAGCGTTCTGGCCAAAAAGGATTCCTTCGGCGTCCAGTCGTTGACGCTTGGTTGCCCAATGTGGCCGCTCCTCAGGACCACCAGAATTGTTCATGCTGATTGAAAAGGACCAGGTGAGTGAGGGGCAGGAGATTTGCTGTAAGTGCAAACGATCAGTGATGTCAAATCACATGAGCCTGGGAGCCGCTCTTCAGGAGAACTAGCTGAAAGTAGAACAGCTTATTGTTAGTGAATTCAATGAGATGCATGAGAAGGAGGAAAAAGTGGTATGGCGCATTCGTGTGGAATGAGAAAAGCATAGAGGTAAAGAAGTGCTAGGTATCAGGATAGGAAAAGGTATCCCTCAACGTGAGTGAGTGAGGATACAAGTGAAGTAAGCAATGTGAAGATGCCTGGAATGGCCGTCACATGCTTCATGGCCTATAGTACTGTCAGCTCCAAGTGAGTGCTAATTATATCACGTTGAGCAGATGTAAGTGAGTATGAGGTGGCCGGAATCTCTCATTTCCTATTCTGAATCATTAAGAGGTAATCTTCCCGACCCTCAAGGTCGAGTCGAATGTAGCTTCGCCATCCAAGCAGATGTCGACGCAGAGTCGAGAATCCAATCAATACAACAAAAGAGTTGCGAGTGTAGCCGCACGCTGTGTGGTTTGACCATATTTCCAACAAGGACAGAGTTGAAAGCCGATTGCGCCGAGGGCCATTAGAAAGAGTAGGGTTTCGATAAACCAGCAAGTCGTCGGCCAACCTCGAGAGAAGTGGAGTTGCGCTGCTATCAAAGCAGTCGACGGTCCCGGAAGCTCGTTGCTGTTTTATCCAACGACATGGCAAACATACTGTCCTACCTCACGATATAGCTCCGAACCGTCGCCCCGTTGTGGTTTGTTTGCAACCTTCAAATGACTTTGGGAGAACGACTGTTGCTGTATCCACAAAAGACGTAAGCTGTTGTCTGGAGCAGAGAATGAGTTTACAAAACAAGAATCCTTACCCGATCGTCACAATATCATCGATGTGGTTGCACATGGCCACAAACAGGTCGAAAAACAATTTGCCCCCTTTCTCCATCTCCATCTGCATGGTTCCGCTCCTCTTAAAAGTCTTGCGACTTCGAATGATCAGGGCTAGGTAATGAGCGCGGAGGATCGATTCTGTGTCCGGCGTGTTCTGGTACGCATACCGAGCAGATCGCAAGATCACGTCGACCTGGATGCCAGACTGAAGGCCTTGTTTCCGTAGAGCAAGGCTCTTCAGCTCTTCCAGGCCGTACTTGTTGGCAGCGCAGTAGACGACAGTGTCCCGAAGAACATCTCCACGCACGTCGGAAAGGTAGAGTGTCGAAACGGTGCTTCCGCGACCACCAGTTTTGATATCCCGGTGCGCATCCTCGAGATCCCAAGTGTTTCGGCGCTTGTCGTGCAACAAACGTGGATAGTAGTCACCCTTGTATAGAAACTCGAGGACACAGGATAGTACTTCGGGCTCTTCTCCGGGCAGTTCCACTCTCTTCGTGCCGCTTTCCAGGAACTGGCCTTTCAACTCGGCAGCGAAGTAGGGCGAATGACAGAGGACGTCTTCGTGCGCAGCGAAGAGGCGCTGCTCACGACCGACGACAAGGGTAACGATAGGGCTCGTCAGTGTACTGGTTCGCGATCGGTCAGCTCGTTGATGAGGGCCGCGGGAAAGATTGCTCCCCTACCTTGCCACCAGCGAGCCTTCGTCCACACTGTCCTGCATCTTCCTCTTCACATGTTCGGGATAAGTAGTCTTGGTGGCCTTCGATTTAACGATGCGACCATCTCTGGTATTAAATGATCGCTTGAACATCTCGTCGAAACGGCGCATGGAATGATTGTCGAGTACTTGAAGTCAACGAACGAGGGCCAGAAAGGGAGAAAGAGCGACCGAAGAACCTATGACAGTAGTAGAGAGCGTGATAGGTTTTTGAGGGGATGACGCTTGATTCACAGGAGTACCATGTGATGTGGGAGCTGCGAAGTTCTATAGATGACTCCCTCGTCTGCCAGCCTCATCGGGGGATGAGAAGCCAACAGCCAATAGAAATCACACTAAAGAACTTGGACGGGTTTGGAAATCCTTGCGAAAAGCAAAGATTGACCCAAACACGTATTGACTTTGCCTGCTCGGTGCGTGAAGAAGAGAAAGGAAAGAGGATGAAGGACTGGTACCGAATATATGCGACTGACGCGCAGGCGCTTCCAGGCCTTGGCAGGGAAGGTAGCCATAGAAACAAACAACACGCAGCCTCATTTGTATGATAAGGATCATTGCTCGAAGCCCTTTTTGATGCGATCTCAAGTCGTTGGTGTTTGTGCATCACATCCAACTGCACACGACGTCGAGCTCATATGATGTCGCCGAGTCCCCAGTACCCACTGACGCGTTTCTAGGCATGTCATCTGTCATCGTTCGTCTCCACCAGGACATCTCGTCAACTTGTCCTTCTAGAAATAAATTCGCTGTCTCGAACTCCATCCATTGCCTGCGATGTTCGCTTGCTCGACAGCGGACATCTGCGCCGTCTGCGCGACTCTCTCTTCCTTGTCTTGACGTGATTTGATACGCTCGAGGATCTCAGGACCGGGGTTGGGATGGGACTCTGGTGTCGGTTTGGCAATGCCATTCATCAGATCTCCGTATCGGCCGCGGCACGCATTCTGGGAGAAGTTGACCACAGGCTAAAGAATGTCAGTCTCTCCCCCCCTAGTTCCGCCAGCAGATTAGGACCAACTTTGAGGTTCTTCATGTTGTTGGCCACCATACGCCACTTTTGATTTTCAATCTCATTCTTGAGTCTCTGGACTTCGGCATCGGCTTTGGCCACGGCTTGCAGAAGAACGTCATCCTAGACCGCTTAGTTCATGCTCGAACGTCAACGAGGGTTATGCATACATCGCCATCATGCCAGTCGGTCAAATCGGCGTCGAGAAGATCGTCTTGTCGCTTCTGCAAGGCTCTCTTCAAACGTCTCCAGCGTGTACCGATGGTCTTTGGGTTGTAGTTGATTCGGCCTTTATCGACAAGAGCCTGCGCGATGTCCTTCTCCAAGTATCGAGCCTCTTTCATGCGTACAATCAATTCATCGTCGGAATCGAGGTCGGCGCTGATCTTCTTTGCAACAGCAGGGCGGCCACCAGGAATCTTCAAGGACTTGAAATCTGCTGCTACGGCCGTATTGGCAATGGCTCTGGACTTCACTTTGGGTCTTGGATTCTATAACCTGTGTCAGCGCCGGGATGGACCAGGTCTGCGCCTCTTCATTACCTCGTTGTTGCCTTCAGCATCTGAATCGATATCAGCACCATTGTCACTGTCGTCGTCATTCCAAGCAGCGTTCTCGTTGCCGTCCGTCATTTTTGGGCCTCCCACCGGAAGACCGATGTCTACCCGAACTGTTAGATTCCATTTACTGCACAGAAGCTCGCGTGCTGGTGATTTACCTAGGGGAAAGTACTCTGGATCAAGTTGCTGGTTCGCGAAGTAGGGGAGAGGATGTTTGCTCTGACGCCAAACCACAGCAGGAGGACCGCGTTTGCGAGTGTAGTTGGGAGGGTTGATTCTGGATTGTCTCAAAGGCATCACGATCTGCGCTCCAGGATCTGAATTGGACGCTTGCGCGAACGATCGCTTAGTCGTCGACATGGTTTGTTGGACGTTTGGACAAGGTGGGGCACAAGCGGCGACAACGTTCATAAAGTAGAGGGGAGAGGAAGTGGTTGAATCCAAGAATGAGTTTTCGAAGGTGAGTGAACGATGAAAGCATGCGGCGTTAACAAAAGTGCCTGTTGTTGTTTTTGTCACAGGTAGGCAGCGAGCCTGTTTCCAGATGCGATGGCACCGTCTGACATGGCGCATCTTGAAGACACAAGTTCGCAGTCAAGCTGGTTCACAACAGCAGAGGTCTCGACACCAAGACACAAGCATCGTACAGTAGAGCTGATGGCCTCCCACATGCCAAAGGCCATCGCTGTATCATTGTGCGTGAAGGACTCCGGAATGACAACAAGAATGGCATTCACTTGGACCTGGTGAGCTACATCGGTCAGACTGTGCAACTTTTTCTGGATCGGCTCAGCAGGTAAGTGACAGAGAGCAGACTGGATATTTCCATTCACCCATGGCTACATTGTATATCATTCTATGATGCATGTTCTGACCTACCCGGAATCGTCACAATAATCACAATTCTCACAATCCTCAGTCTGTGCCTTTGTTCATCTATCGTCTACCGACCAGGAGGGATGTGAGTTGATGTTGCCCATGGCAGGTCGCCATAGATAAGTATAGTTCTTTTTGCATAGCAGCGACATATAGATATACAGTACTATGGCAAGGCTGCTTAATTGGTTAGTGGCAGCCTTGCAGGGATGAGGCCTGTAGACGTGGCAGTGCGTGGTGATGCCCGACTTTTGACGATGACGTTGTTGTGGCGTAACCACCCATTGTCCATTCCACTTCCCACTGTCTTTCCATGACCATGTGTGCGGCCACGGAGAGACTTCATCCTTATCCTAGACTTGCGCGCTTCTAAACTTCTTGTTTATTCTTTTCATGCTACACCAGCCACAATTTGACTGTCGATTCTTCCATTAAAATCCACTTGCATTCAATTCGACTTCTCAGTGGCCCATCATGGCGATGCAGTACATCAACTATATCAAGGCGCGAACCCATTTGACAACCTCCAAAAAATCAGAAACTCCGGTGCTTTCGGAGGAAGATGAGCAATTTCTGGATCGCATCACGTCCCAGGATAACCCACCTCCATTACCTGCCCGGCCCGATGTAGTAGAGGCCATCAGGGATGCTCAAATTGCACTCATGGACGGTGCCCAGAACATTCCGTTGCCAGAGACCCCGGACGTCACCGAGCAGCCTGGAGCCGTGCAAGTTGCTGACCCGTCCGCTACGGACTCTGGAACGCCGAAACCCCAAGGCACATGGAGCTGGATGAGGCGCGATAGCCGCGAGGGTCAACGTCAAGGCCGGGAGGCAACTGCTGCCGGACTCGACCACATTGCCCAGAACCTTCGAAAAGAAGAACAGGATGACAGTGAGGAGGATAAAGAGGCTCAGAGGGAAGAGGAAGATATGACCATTGTCCTTGAAAAGCTCAATCTTGCGGCAGTCAACAACCGAGTCTTCTCCATCAGTGACGAGACACAAGAACTTCTGCAACAGTTCAACCTGGTATTCAAAGATCTCGTCAATGGCGTACCCACGGCATACGGCGACCTGGAAAAGCTCTTGACCAACGGCGATAGGCAGCTGCAAAAGACCTTTAACTCATTGCCGGGTTTTCTGCAGCAACTCATCGAGAGGCTCCCAGAGACAATGACGAAGGGCCTTGCTCCAGAAATCATGGCAGCCGCAGCAGAAAGAGCTACAAGGAGTGGTATGAACATGGGAACGGCTGGAAAAGCAGCCGCTGCTGCTTCCAGATTCGGCTTCAAGACACCGTCGCTGAAAGAGTTGACCGGCAAACCCACGGCCATTACGGCCACCTTAAGGTCAATCATCGGTTATCTGCGAGCGCGATTTCCAGCCTTCATGGGAGCGAATGTTCTGTGGTCGCTGGCAATGTTTGGTAAGTCCAGGCTTTGCATGCTTTTCATTTGTAGCTTTCCATGCTGACTAATTCGACAGTGCTACTTTTTGTCTTCTGGTACTGCCACAAACGTGGCAGAGAGGTTCGACTCGAAAAGCAACGCAAACTTACAGAAGAGGAGGTCGCAAGACTTGATGCGGCGTATAAGGTTCGAAGTCCTAACGACATGCCAATGACCACTGCACCAGAAGGTGCTTCCATGGAGGAAGTGGAAGCTGGAGTCAAGGAAGTCGATGCTATGAAATCAGCCGCCGCAGAAGAGGACGCAGAAAAAGGCGCCACCGCGGAGAAACCTGTCGACCCAGCGATAATTCCTCCAACCGCGGTGCCTTGATTCAGACGACCGAGCTTGGATCTGGGGCTTCACGACGATCTCCTGACGACTAACGAGTGACGAAGAAAGTGGTGTTGTCCGGCTGCTACGAGTAATAATGACGACGGAAGCGATGAAACTGTATTTTTCTTTTCTCGGCCGCTAGTGTTTTGCGTCGGATTCTGGGACATTGACACCGGTTCATCTTTCTTTGGCGGGGCCAATTATTTGCAAGCTCAACCTGACACCCAACTGTTGTGGTGGTGGTTGACAGCATTGACAGGACCAGATTGTGTATGAGTCAGAATGGAATGACATCCCTTGTGCATGTGATAATAATAAATGATGTTTTATTTGATTATCACCCCTCTGGCTGGCTGCATCGACTTCGTTACTCATATCGAGGACTTCATGACAGGCTGGGAAGTTGGAATATGTCAATCAACCTGCGAAGCGAGGGGTCATTTTGTCGCTAAGTCCGCTTTGACTCACTCCATGGCATCCTGATATACTGATTGGCGGATCAATCGGAGAGCACGTGATGATGCTCCGACTTTGACTTTTTTTGGAGGAGAGAAAAAATTTGGGATATTTGCACAGCGTCGGCAAGACTGAGCAAAGAATGAATAGAATGATGTCTGATGAGGTATCCGGACTTGCCTGGGATCGTCGCATGATGTAGCTAACAGGCGACCCAATAATTTCACCCAACGTAGCAGATTTTCGACCGATATTCTTGGATTGACAGAGGAGTCCAGCAAAAAATAGCGGTGTAGTAACGAAGTGGGGAGCGAATGAGGGCGCAATATCACCAATAGTAGTACATAGGAACCTGACATACTGCCTTTTTCTCCCTCTCCTCTCCCTCTCTTCTCTTCTTTTGTAAACCACAAACAACCACAAGTTCAACCACAGTCCACTCACAAGTACCAGTGTATCCATACAATATCTCAATCAAATATCATACGAGGATCACATTTTGCTATGGCCTTCGCTGCGTTCTAGACGGCTCGAGGGGCCCTGTTCGAGGGGTCCCTCGTGCTCTTCTCTCAACTCAACGCAGTCTCAGCAAAATCCTCGTTTCGATATTTCTACTCTTTCGAGGCTCTACCCGCGTAGGAGCTCGTCATCGCTATTGCCCTCGAAATTGCTTTGCAAGACAACCAGACAGGCACCGACAAGTCCTGAGCGACTAGAAGGTGCTGTGGACGAACTTTTTCCTTCTCACCCCCGGACGACTATCCGCCCACCCCCTCCACCCTGCCATATCTCTACTGTTCACTTCCGTATCAACAACCCGCACATACACATAACGGAATACTCATTATCCCTTCACTATGTCTCGTCTTTACACCCGAAACAATCGTGGCCGTCACCCCATGCTGGGATCTGGCTCTCGAGCCAGCAAAGAAAAGCAGAGCGACACTTACTACCCTCCAAATACCAAGAAGACCAAGAATACTCCCAAAGCCACTGTCATAAAGAAGACCGCTGCCCCGCGCAAAAGAGCTCCGAGCACATCGTCCTCCGATCTCTCGTCACTGTTGGATTCTGAGACTGGTGATGATGCTTCTGGTGAGGAAGAGAGTGAAGAAGAGGCGGACGATGATGAAGACGATCTGCCAGCTGTTATCACCCCGTCTCGTTCTCGATCTCTGAACGGGCCGGGGCGCAAACAGCATCTTTTTGGCAGAGACGATATTTCACTTGCTGGTAGTGTCGACAGCATGTTCGGTGATTTTGCAAATTACTATGAAGAAGAGGATGATCCCGCTCTATCACCAGAAGAGAATCGTAAACGCTTCGAGAGTCATGTGTTCGGTGAGTCAGAAGACGACAATGACGATGTTTACCAGGCTGTCGACGAGATCAGTGACTCTGAGGATGACATAGACGACCGTCACATTGAGGAGCAGGAGCTCCTGGCCATGATGTCCGAAGAAAACAACAGTGACGCTGACTTCCTACTCAACCAAATCGACGGTCTGTCAGCGTACGGTTTTGGAGACGACAGCGATGCTTCCATTCAACGCTACCCGTCGTCGCAAGGCAGTGACAGCGGTTTCGATGCAGGGCTTGAGCGGCATGTGCATTTTGCCGTAGACGCTGACCCTTCCATTTTCCTGCGCATGTCAGAGTCTCCGACAATCACTCGTGCTTTACTCCCATCTGCACTCCCGGAGCTCAATCTGAACAATCGTATGCCTGAGAGACGTCCCGTAGGACTTGTCGATGAAATAGAGGATTGTATGTTTCTATTTAAATCATTCAATCATATGATGACTAACACCCTGCAGCTGATCTCACCGACGACTGTTTGCCAGAGGAAGCGCATCAAAGCAAAACAACACCGGCACGGGAGAAATCCAGGTCTGCCACTCCTCCAGCGAAGAACTCCGCGAAGAAGGCACCTCGTCGCCGTGGTCCTCCTCGTGGTATCTTCATTGACGAGGGTGACAAAACCTCTGGCATCCTGGATCCGTCTGGTAAAATCATTCTCATGACTAACCCTCACCTCCTTGGTGACGAATTTGCGAAGCGATACGGTGCATCGGCAACGTCTAGTCCTGATGTAGGCTTCGCTGAACTTATTGAGGACAGTGATGCTGGCGACGGCGAATCTGCTGCCGATGTCATTGGCGTCCCTGGTGCGGACATAATGTTGGCCAGCCTCAACTCCGCTGTCAATGATCCCTCCAACCTCGGGCAGGCGATCGGCCCGTTGGAGGCGTTCTACCCTTCCAACAGTTTTGTGTTTGGGGATTATGCCATTGATCCAGATGACTTGGAGGAGAACTTCCAACCTGATGAAGACATTGGAGAAGATGTTATTAACCTCAACGACGTGATCAAGTTCGATGATGAGACGGACGATAGTGATGCTCCGACCTCACCCATGTTCATGCCCCCTAGCCACGAACTCGCCGGCTTGGGCAACGTGAACAATGAGTTCGCCTACCTCAACAACAACAATGTGACGGCTTTCCGACGCAATGCCGACCCGACCTTTGCTGCTCTCAACAACACACCAAGATTCCAAAGAGAGATGGATGCCTTCAGCTCACCCTTTGCAACCCCGGCACCATCTCGTCGAAAACGGAAGAACCATGCATCTCCATACACTTCTTCACACTACAAGGGAGTCACTCCGGTCCAACGTATGTGGGATACCAATCCGCCCAACCCAACCGCTCCCGAGACATCCACCCCTGCTCCTTCCAAAAGGCGCAAAGTTATGATTTGATGAGTTCACGATGGTACGAGGATCATGTTTGGAACATGTCATTTTCTTATAGGCTGCCTATTTCGGGCAATGCCATGTACCAATCGTGGATCGAACATTTTGGCGTTGTCATACAAGGTATCATTTTTCCCAGGGAACTGAAGATACCCGTTTTCCAAGGTTCAATCGTTTTGCGACGCGAAAAGGGAAAAGAAAAGGTCCATGAAGACGATAAAAAGAAAGAACCCTTAAGCTTATGACACATGGCATAGGAAATGAGTCGATCGCATGGCTTTTATGCATATCAAGAGGAGGCGACGATGTGCGGTCCAGTCGCAAAGTTCATAGAACTTAGTATCAGTACCTTAGCTATGCTTGAATTGCGCATTTGTTAGATGTATTCATTCAAAAACTAATTCGATATCCCATTGCTTTCATTTTTGGTGGTAGCTTATGACATCAGCGAGGTATGTCTGAAACGTCGCGACCCCAATTGTTGCGGTATGGTCGCATTCCAGTAGCATTTTCAATCAAGTTCAACTACCACCACAGTTGTTTTTCATCCTCCTTGTTGGTCATAGTACAATGTCCCTCGTCCCCGAGATCGAGTCTTCATACATCATGCTCGTCCGTTGACCTGGTAGACTTGCAAAGGCTCTGCTGGCTTCACCCCGAGTTTCCCAACGACTAAAGTTCTACAGCCTCGTTCCCACTGCACCACTCTTCCGCAGCAAATCAGGTCAATTACAGCATGGCATGGTACTCGATCCTCCCAACCCAATTGACCTTCCTCGAAACCTGGATTATCCGAGGTTTCCTTCTTCTCGCCCTGATCAATATCCTCCCATGGATCCTGGCGCTCGTGTACGATTTCCTGCTGTATTTGGGCCGGGTGGTCCGGCATGAGGTCCCGTTCTTCGGTGGGCGTGCACGAGGGGAGAATAGGCCTCGGGCGCCGAGTCTCAGGGCAAGTACTGCGAAGGGACGGCGATTGAGCTTTGTGGACATTGTTACGGGCACGACGAGGCAGCAGGACACCGGGACGGAGTCGAGGCAAAGGGCCGGTCAAGGTCATGGGCATCAGAAGAGTTTGAGTCGGGATAGTATTGCTGAGGAGTGGGAGGGGGAAGGGAAAGAGGAGGAAGAAGAAGAAGAAGAAGAAGAAGAGAAGGGTAAATGACACCCTGAAGATGAAGAGGTATAAGAGATTGTGTATGGAAGAATGCACATGCGTACCGGGTATTGATGGGGTAATAAAATCGACAGCGTGGTGGTGTTCAGGGTGGAGATGCCGCAAGTATACGAGGCATACCTCTGACTATACGGTGTGGCGCCGTGTCGAAAACTAGCAGCAGATCGATATGCATGGTGTATGGTGTATCACATTGATCATCAGCAGGAGAAGGCAACCCCCAGCCGGGCTTCCATCAGGAAGGCGAAGACATTCCTCTGGAAGAGCATCGAGATGCGAACTGTTACGCGAGCTCACTACTGTGCTGCATCGTCCGCTGGACAAGGTACGTTGGACATGCTATGCCGCGACTTGATGGGACGGGCTGCGAGCATCGGGAACTTACCCGGTTGCCTTGCATGCTGAAGTTCTGCACAGAAGAATGATGCCTGATGTGGGATGAGAGAAGGACTACAAGCCCTTTCAGCCCGGTCGTCCAAGCAGTCATAACCACAGGCTCAGATCGCGGAACATGACTATGGCAGTCAAGGTCTTATGAGAACGAACGTCACCAGCAACATCCGAGAACTCTCAAAGAAGCTTCATTTGCATCAACTTGCACTACCTGTCATCGAGCCACTATGGAATAATATCATAGCACAGCTCATCTCATCAGCTGTCAAAATGTTTTCATGTCTTCATGTCTTCCACAAGCCCGACCCCAGTTGCCATCCGGCTGTCATTCAGGGCGACCCCAACCGCGCCTGAAACACAGTGGCACAGAATCGCGCTCATATGTCCACATCGATATCCACTTCCACTTGCAGAAATCGTCACTGTGAGAGGACGTGCATCTAGTACTCATCATCTTCATACTCTTCGCCGGCAAACGCAGCGTCAAGGTCTACATCTTCTCGGACGTAATCGTCTTCTTCATCATCGTTCTCAGCTTCATCCTGATCGTCGTCGTCCCCATTGTTGTCGTCTTCATTATCAGCGTCACCACCTGGTGTGGTTTCTTGAGTTGGGCCTGCCGTACCTTGACTTGACGGTGTAGACTGCTGGATTTGAGGCCGGGCTGAGGAGGAGACTTTTGGAATTGTAGCCGAAACGCGTATGGGAGGAGGACCTGATGAGGAAACCTGGGGTGTATCTTGGCTCTGGGTCGGCGGAGGAGTTGGTTGCTGCTGTGCTCCAGACTTGGACTGCCCTTCTGGTACTGCTTCAGGCTCGGGACTGGGCACAGTCGACTCTCGTTGCTCCCTCGCACGACCCTCGGCAGCAGGAGCACTGGGGCTTCGACTCTGGGAGGCCGACGCGCTCCGCTCTCGTTCCCGGTCTTGACTCTCCCGCAACTGCTGCTCTTTCTTCTTTCTCTCTCGCCGCTCGGCAGCGAAAGAAGCCTTGCTACGTTCTCGACCGGCAGATCTCCCACCATTACCGCGGAATATCGCTTCTGCGCCAAGGACGGTCTCCGTGACGGACCTTGCGACACTGCCTTCCCTAGCGTCCTGTCCCGGAACCTCGCTGGCCACACTCTGACTGCGACTGACGCTGCGTGAATCTGCGCTGTCGGCACTGTCGATGCCATAGATGGAATCAACCACATCGTAATTAATCCGTCGGGAAAACACGCCGCGGGTCTGGAACATCTTCCGTACCGACTCGGCGGCACTACGTTCGCGGTCGGCGCGACTGAACTCTCCGTCATCTCCCTCTGCACCTCCTTCAGCACCGACCTTTTCCCGCTCGTTCAGATAGCTCACGTCGCCTCTCCTGCCGGGCTTCTTGGTGCCGTCTTTGCGCTTGGTCTTGGCTATGCTCGCCTTGAGCGCTTCCTTTGCCGGGTCGAGACCACGCGCGCGCATGTCCGCCTCCTTGAGCTCCTGCTTGATGCGCTTTGCGTGATCATGACGCAGCCAGTCGGCGTTCATGCTTACCCAGACTCGCTCTTTGATGCGAGCTTCATCCTCGCTGAGGAGGCAGCTCGATACATCCTCGTCGTCGTCAAACTCGTTGGGCTTGAGCGTCGGCGATAGAGACACATGGCCGAGGTTTCCTTGGTTCGTGTCCACAGGCGGGCCGGGCGTTTTGTCCTTGCTGTTACCGAGAGCTGTTGGTCCCAGAGGGTTGAGGTCGGGCAGCGGTATGTCCTCGATGGGCTGTGTCGGTAGGGCTCCAGCATTGGCATATTGTTCTTGTAAATCAGCAGCGTATGCGCCGGTCGGATCTAGCTCCGGATTGTCTTGGAATGCTGCCAATACGTCCTGCTCTAGCTCGTTTTCAATGGCAATTTCGGCATTCAGGACTGGTGGTGCTTGCCAATTTCGAGCACCAGGTGGCCTACCAGAGCCTCGTGTTTTGGTGGCGTCTCCGTCCGAAGAGGATGTCGCAGCCACGCTAACTGATGTCAAAGCCGGGTCAATGGGCGTCTGTCGCTGTGGGATGGCAGGAATTCTGAAGCCTTCCAGATCGCGGCGGCCATCTCCCTCGCGATCGGCATCTTGGTCGAGGCGAGCACGCTTTGCTGGAGGTTGACCATCATCTGTATTTCCTGTTTGCTGTGGCCCAGGAGTCGTTCCGTCACCCTCGATCTCATCAGCTGTCTCTGGGAGCGGGTTCTTCCTCGGACGACCTCTCTTCTTCTTCGGTTTTGGGTTAAGCCCACGCTGGTACGAAGGCGGGTCGGCTGGCACCAAAGAATCAAGTAGTTCGTTGTTTCTGAATTGGCTGACCGAGAGCTGGCTGCTGGCCGTTTCCTGGAACTCTTCTAGACGTTTGTTGATGGTGATTTCGGTGACTTTGGCGGTGAGAACAACCTCTCTTGTGGTACGACGATAATTGTTCATTCTGGCGGCTAAGATGATGGCTGCGCCACAAACTCCTGCAGGTCTTCGTCCTGTCGACATCCAGTCTCGCTTCATTCGCTGGACAATTCTGATGGCATCCATTTTGATCTTATCACGGTGCACTTTGTCGAATTCGAGTTGGTCAACGAACCGGCTCACGAGCACTTCAGGTCCCATGGCCATCAGGTCTCCGCTGACATCGGCCTGAACACTTCCGTCAGGCTGAAGGTATAACTTGCGAACCAGATCTGTGTACATTTTGCCCAAGGCGAAGACATCGATGTTTAGCTTCTCGGCGAAGTCTATCAACATGAGGCTGTACATTGGTCGGCGTTCCTTGTTGATCTGTTCATGCTTGCGGCGACACGCGAGGTACAGACAGACCACTGCAACGCTATCGATAGTCCTGCCCTGCACAAAGGAGTTGGCCCATGCCAGTCGGAAGATCTGCATGCCAGCATCCACCTCGGTCAACCTAACACCCAGAAGCGTCTGGTACGACTGCATGACAGTTTTGGCGTGGGCTTCGGATCTGTCTCGGTTGACGGTGGGTTCGCGACCAGCATGCCCCAACAAACCACCGCCAGGGGCATAAGTTCGCTGATGAGTTTGATGTTCACCAACATGGGCACCGAGAGCCGTAATGCGACCTGATTCGGTCTCGCCGAAACCTTGCTCGCTGACAAGGCCAGACTCTTCTTGGGCGACAGCACCACAGGTGTCGCAAATGAGACCTTGTTCACTCTCCACGATGTTTGGGTTCGGGCAGTGGGGATTAGAACATTTCAAGGACTTCGGACCAGTGCGACGAGGGGTTGATGCACGTGTAAAGCTTGGTGATGGCTGTCGTAGAGAAGGAGGCGCTGGACTGCCCAGGCCATCGATACGAGGTCCACGATAGGCCGATTTCCGGTGTTGACCGGCACGAGGTTTTGGTGGAGGCGGTTTGAGGGACATTTTGAGTTATGTGTCTCTTGGTATATAAGGTTCAAGTGGTAAATGAGGTTCAAGGAGTCTGAATATGATGTGGTAGGCTGTCTGTGAGCATACTATGCATAGGCATTGCCAAGCACGTGACTGAGAGGTAGATCGGTGAGTGTGAGGGTGTTGGAGGAATTTGGATGAGTCAGGATTAGAAAGACGCCGTCGATGACATGAAGAGATCGCGTTCAGTATCTCATGATCGAGTCATGAATATTGTAGGCCTCCCTGATTATCGAGATGTGTTCGAGACGGCCGAAAGTGGTAGAATGATACGAATGGTGATTGGAGGGATGGTGGAATAAAATGGACGTGATGTGATTGATGATGGTGTTGAGTGAGGCCAGAACGAAAGATCGAAAAAGTGGTCGAGAATTTGCACTTGAAAAGGCGGAACTGATCAGGCGGAGGGTCGAGCACGAGGCGGGGAAATAATTAATGGTCAACTTGAACTCGCTGGCTTTTGGTGCCAAGGCTCTCCCACAGGTCGTAAAATGAAGTAATATTATTTTACTCTTATATTCACGTATTGACCATGAAAAGGGTAGTAATTGCCTTCTCGATCTATTCTGTGGTATTATTCTCTGAAAAATCACTACAGTGTCGAACCTCGACCTCCGGGTGAAGGAAGGCCTGCAAACTGCCGAAGATGTCACGTGGACAGGATCACGTGTGATAGATCACGTGAAGCGGCGCAGATGAGACCATGCCTCTTTTAGCCAGTAGCTTCCTGCGCCAAAACAATCTGTCTTCGCGCCTGAGAACGTATCCTTCCAACACAATTAATCAACTGTATCTTCATATCTTTTTCAATCATCGAGTCACCTCTTTGAGAATCTCCTGATATTGTGGCTAAATGGTAAGTCTATTATTGGCAATTCACAGATTAGTTAAGCTGCTGCAACCGCTTCGCAGCCGTGTTACGCATACACTCCAAGCCACTCAGCTAGACGTGGCTGCGGAGAAATTGAATGTTGCCATCCGTTCCATGAATCGTGTGGAAACTCCCACCTCGGCTGAGCCATCTCGAAGGCTGGACCACCAATATCGGTATATCTACTTGGACAAGGTCCGTGCCCTGCCATCGACACTCATTCTACCGAATATTATCGGCCATGGCTCTATTCAATAACCCAAACACTCAAATCTACCTCCCGTGACGCGCAACCTGCAGTCTTGCGGACAGCATGATTTAGCACAAGTATAGACCTCTTGGCAATCGTCCTTTCTTTTGTGCACTCGTGTGAGGATGGCCTCAGTCCCAGTCCTCAGCTCTCAAGATTCAAGCCTAGTCATGTCACCGGAGCTTCCTCCGACGCTCTCTTGGACTGAGAAACTCGACCTTGTTCCAGCTTTCTTATCAATAGGTTAATCTCCACAGACCTACCTCTTCCTCGTGATGGACCCGGTTGACAAGATCCAGGTTGGGCTGCATCGCGCGCTCTCATAGAATGGCCACTGCGTCCAGGCTCACGGGCGGACACATATTATCATCATCTGGTTCATGCGGTAGTCCGGCAGGTATATATTCGGGCCCAGTGCTTCTCTCCATCTCCAACGACTGATCATGTTTGAATAGTTTTCGCAGCGGATGAGCTTGACGCAGGCACAGTATGACATGTTTCGAAAGACAAAGAGTAATCACTGACAAGGTCTCCAGATGGGTCGACCCTTCTTTCATTTCAGCTTACAAGAAATGGTGCTCCAACCACCACATTCCAACAAACATCGCCATCATCTCCCAATACACTAAGGGCTACTGGCTGGGTGATCCGCAAGCAGACTATGTAATGGTCTACTTCCACGGTACTCACATCAATGTCTGGGTTTGCAAATTTGGCTGATTCGCATACAGGCGGAGGCTTCGCATTCGGCGGAAATGACGGGCATCTGTTATTCTGGGACGTCATCATCGAGAGACTGGCTAGTCGAAACGTGTCTCTGGGCGTATTGTTTGTGGCATACCCTCTGATGCCGCAAGCGGTGTATCCCCGTCAATTTCAAGAGGCCGTCAACTCAATACGATACGTCCTTGAAGCTATGAAACGCCCGCCTGGTCAAATTATGGTAGGAGGCGATTCAGCTGGTGGGAACCTTGCAGTTGCGGCAATGCTACATGCAGCCCGTCCCTCCGAGCTGGCCCCTCCTCTGCCAGGAGTTTCAATGACGGAAAAGCTGAGAGCACTCGTCCTACTATCGCCATGGGTCAGCTTTGACATCTCTCTACACAGTTTTGAGCGAAATCGGAACAAAGACTACCTGCAGGCGGAAACCGAGAAACGTTGGAGCGACCTGTACGTGGGTAGTCAAGAACCTTCACCATACAATGAGCCCGCTCGGGCCTCGCCAAGTGAATGGAAAGATATTCCGGTACAAGACATTCTCGTAACGGCAGGGTCCAATGAAGTTCTGCTCGATGGCATCGAGAAATGGGTGAAAGACCTGCAGGTCAGTGGTCCAGACCAGAAATCGCATCAACATGCTGATCCAGTAAACAGGCTCACAATTCGAATGTCACATACAAGGTGGCGAACGCAGAGCCTCATGAAGCTCCCTTGACCTGGTCCATTTTTGGGGATCACCGCGAGACTGAAACACAGAGGAACGTTCTCGATTGGCTGAAAGATCATGTCTGAGATTCTGGAATCATGCCCTTCACACGTCTCAGCAAGTCGGTTTACCATGCTTAGAAAGGTCCAAACACCAAAAACAGTCCTTGGTCGAACTCAAACCTACGATGTATCCTTGATGTTGGCAATACTGTTCGTGTCAGCTTCGGTTGTCCAAGCGCCACCACCTGAAAGGCGCTGCGCCTTGATCAGTCTCTCACCCTACCTCACCCTGTATGTACCCAAAAAGCAAACAGACTTTCCACAAGTTCTAAAATGTTGCTCGCATGGACCTATTTCTCCGATAATGGCAGACGCCAAACTCGCATGGGCAATCCACATTGGGGTCCGGCACAGACCCACTGGACACTATATTTGAGAACAACGTCCGTGCACACAGCCAATGCAGAATACAATGAGAGTTGAAGAGTCTACGCAAGGTCTGGCTCAACTTGAGCCACTAAGAACTCGTTCTTGGTGCATGAAGCGTCTTGTTCGATAATCAGGCCTCCGGGATATGCCAATAGCTGCGCCCCTCAAGGAATATCTAATATGAGGATTTATCGAATTCCCCGTGGTTTGCAAGCCGCTACGAAGCGATTTATCGATGTCTGTCTTGTCGACCAAGTCTCGTTGACTCTTATACCGGCCCCGCCGCCAGAGATCCTGACGATCTGCAAACTATTCTCATAATCACTTTGACAACATGGCTAGTCTAGCTCTTGACCCAGCGGAAGCCCCTCAAGGAACGACCATGATCTCGCAAAAGGAGACGATTACAGTCACTGTCGACTCAGCATCGGACAGAGGTGTGCAGGTGCATGAGGAATCGACAGTGACGAGTATGAAGGAGACAGTGATTGACCCGGAGTCGACAATCCCTGTTCACACTCTCGAAAAGAAAGAGGTGACCAATGTCACCGAGGTCACTCCTGTCAAACCCAAAAAGGAGAAGAAAGCTAAAGAAAACAAGCAAAAAGCACCTACGAAGCCAGAAGTACCCTTTTATGAGGCTTTGGGCAAGCAGCTGTTCAAAGAGAGCCGCGAATCCACCTTTGAAGATCACCATGCGCAAGAACATGCAGCCGCAGCAGTCGAAGCAAATCCAACCGCTGCCAAAAGCAAGCCCACTATGGATTTGCTGTCGCCTCCCAGACCTGTCCATCGACGTACAGGCAGCTCTAACTCGGAGGGTTATGCCAGCGATAACAGTATCAGCACGGGATCGATGTCGGATATCGAAGCCAAAGATCCATCTGTCAACGTCGGCCTCAAAGATAGTCTATACAACTTGGAAGACTACAAGCGACTGGAAGCTATGAATGAGCTCATTGCGCAGTATAGCACAGTCTCTCACATGAGCGTCCGAGATCCGAGCTACTCCTTCTGGATCAACAAGACCCGAACTGCTGCCATTCACTTTAAACTCCTGAATAAGGTGGCAGTCCTCGCCGGCGACCCGCTCTGCACCCCTTCTGCCATGCCATCAGTGCTAGAGGAGTTCGGAAGGTACTGCAAAAAGGCCCGCTGGAAGATCTCCATCATCGGTGCCAGTGAACATATGCTTGAGATCGCCAAGCGCAGCGGTTGGCCCGTCATGAGGTTTGGGACCGAAAAGGTCCTGAACCCAACGACCAACGAAGTTCTTCTGGGGAAGAGCGGCAAGCGAACAGTGGCACAGTGCCGACAACTCCTCGACGCCACAAAGGGCGGCTTGTCGCTTCATGTCTATGTGCCCGCCAACGGCCGAGATATCGGCCTTGAAACGGAGCTAACAAGAATATACGACGAGTGGCGTGGTGATCGTAACACGACTCGCGACAACCAAGCCTTTATCACCGTCTTCGACATGTTCTCCATGCCCAGCATCATGACTTTCATCTACACGACGACGAAAGAAGGCGCCATCAACGGCTTTGCCGCTCTTCGGAAAATGGGCACAGATTCCACAGGCGCAGGCCGATATCACATCGACCCATTCATACAAAGCGTGAACGCGCCCAGAGGAACATCCGATCTCCTGATCTTTGCGTCTTTAGCCTACCTCAATGCCGATGGCGCCACGTACCTTGGTCTCGGTCACGAACCTGTCAGCGAGCCCGATGCCATGTGGAACATGCACTCGCTTGTTACTAGTGCCACGCGGCGCGTGTATCGACACATCTTCGGCCGTCTGCCTGTCGGCGGCAAAGAGACATTCAACTCCCGATGGAAGCCCGACACTGAGCAAGAAGCTGGCCTCTACCTGATCTTCATCGGCAGAAAGACGCCCAGCCCCAAACATCTGCTTGCCATGACGCACTTTGCCAACATCAGTTTGCGGAACGTGCTCCGGGCTGACTGGAAGGACTTCAAGCAAGAGCTTCGCATGCCTGTTCCAGTCCAGAATCCCGACCTCATGCTCTATGCTGGTGCGGCTGCTCCTGTGCGGGCTCCTAAGGAGTTTGCTGTGCCAGCAGAAAGACCCAAGATCGAGCATAGCGTCAGTGCGCCGGCGAAGACATGATAATCCTTCTGGTGTCTCGTTGTTCGGCAATCACTGGAGTTGGGCTTTGGGATGAAGCTATACTTTCGTTAATGGCTATGTGTGAGTGTTTGTCAGCGTTCTCGGCGGGGCATCCTGGAATAGACGTCGGTTGCTGGGTTGCGACATCGTTTTGTAAAGCTGTTGGCGCATTTGGGAAAAGACCTTAGCAAAACTTCGGATGAACAATGCATCCACACAACCTATACCAATATCATAGGCGTTCGGGCTATCTCGGACGAAGCTCAGTAGCGATGCTGGAAGGCATAGTCTCACTCTAGGTAGAAAGATATGAATTCAAACCATCTCATACTACTGAATTCTGTGAACGGTCCAGCGCGGACGAGGCTCGATATCACGTTGCGAAATGGACTGAATGTATTATTAAGCACCCAGGGCATCTCCATACAGCGTCTCCACACGGGACATCTCTCAGACCCTCTCATGCCATGTGCCTGTACCAGTAGTGGGACTCAGGGCCTCGCTCAATGGAGATTCAATATCTAAAGTCCGTTCCTGTCCGTCCCCATGGTTTCAATCACATAAGCAAGATAGGGGAATTGGGGTCTGCGGAGATTTCCAGATGGGTCCAACGTCAAGCTCAAGCAGCATTAAGTTAGGTCGCCTGATACAACAGTCATAAACGTAGACAGGATATAGAACAACTCTTGAGCCGGCATGTCCTAGCACTCCAGGCCGTTTATCTTGCAAAGTGTCAGAACGAATCGGGAACGACTTCTACAGTACCTCATACTCGAGTAGCCTCTGTCCCAATCAAGTATCAAGAACGCTATCTGCAGATCACAATGACATCCTACCTGATCACCGGCGCTGGCCGTGGTCTCGGCCTCGAGCTAGCCGCTCAACTCGCCAGCCTTCCCACGAGTCAAGTATCAACTGTCTTCGCAGCTATCCGCTCTTCGACACCACCAAGCGCCCTCCAAACCCTGATCGACCATTCAAAGGGCCGCGTCATCGCCCTGACATCCACGGTTGTCACCGACCGCGCGAGCCTAGACAAAGCCGCCGCACAAGTCGAGGCCCAACTCAACGGCAAGGGGCTCGATGTCCTGATCAATAACGCAGGCGTCATGCCGCCGGCATTCGAGGGCATCGCGAAAATGGACAACCTTCGCTATGCATTCGAAGTCAATGTCGAAGCTGTGCATGAGACCACCTCGGCCTTCTTGCCCTTGTTGAAGAAAGGCACTGGCAAAAAAGTGGTCAACATGTAAGTCGACCTTCGCTGTGATCCCCCAGGCCAGGAGCGACCTCTCCCAACCTGTCCAGTCTACAGGTTCCAAGACGTCTGGTGCTGATGGATGCTCATGCATTGCAGTTCCACAACGTTAGGTTCGATGGACCATGCACCCAAATACAAGTGGGCGCCATTCCCAGCGTACAAGATCTCGAAGACAGCGCTGAATATGCTCACTGTGCAATGGGCGCAGGAGTACGCCGAGGAAGGGTTCACAGTGTTTGCTGTGACGCCTGGTGTGAGTTACCTCCCTTTCCTCCGCCGCGTGCCCTAGGTTAATTTGCTGACCAATGTCCCCAACTGCGACAGTGGCTCAAAACTGATCTGGGTACCGAAAATGCCGACCTGGATGTCAGTGTCGGTGCGAAAGCTACACTCCATGTGATTGGGAACAGCACGACCGAGGACAATGGGACGTTCCGAAACATTCTTGTTCCAGGGTGGGAGAACACAGACGGTCCCAATCAGTATGATGGGAAGATTGTGCCGTGGTAGTGCGGTCAATTGGTAGTGGAATGATGTTGAAGTATGACGCTTGTTCGTATCATTGCTGAAGTCAGGCTCCTGTGTTCCCACCAGGCAAAAACATAGGTTGAAGCTTGGATGTCCGCGAGACCTCTGTCCAGAGTTCCTCGCCTGGGGCGTCACAGTCTTGCTCAAACCACAAAAACCGTGCGCAGACGTGCTTGATCGAACTCCACGACTTCTGTGCCTGTTGGGCAGGCAGTCGTAGTTCCTCCGTAAACCAGACTCGTAACGCAGTGTTTTGCGAGAGAATACCGCCCAGCATTGTTGCCCACAAAAAGAGCTCCCGATGTTCTTGCTGGAGCCCGAACGTCCAACAAGTGTTCAGAATGAGCATAAGCCGTTGCGCAAGCGTGTAGTGCATTCCTGAAACACGGGGAAATGGAAACAGAACAAGAAGCATATATGCTAGCGTGGCAAGCCTGCAGACCTCGTAAACGCAGGAATCTGGATTGAGAGGATCGGAAGACTTGTCAGGTAGGGAGAGAAGGTCGTGAATGAGGCAGTTCCTTCCCCATATGATGACAATGAGTTCAGGTGCCGATTTGTCCTTGTGCATGTACAGATCATAGCCTTTCGAGATCTCACATATCGTAGCGACAGTGCGAGTTAGTTGATCGTCGAGGACCACAGGAGATAGGTCTTGGAAACCTGTACCAAGGTTGTGCAGTAGCGGCCGCACGGCTTCACGTTTGGTGTAAGGCCAGAAACACATCAATCGTGCTGTCGACACGCGTAAAGGATAACTGGGAGCAGACACATTTTTAAGGGCCGCAATCAAATCCATTCTGACAGAAAGTTAGTCCATTGCACATTGGGAGGCCGTTCAGGAGTTAGCTTCATACAAAGCAATGATGTTGGAGAGGTAGTCCAAGCGAACAGTGTGGAGCCCGCCTCTTTGCTGGACCATGTGCTTCACCGCGTCCCAGTGTGCTGTCTCCCAGTGCATATGGCCATAGAAGTGGAAGTTCTGTGCCGTGAGCAGCGACGACTCATTAGTGCGACTGGGTCTGGGGCTTAAGGTATCCCCAGATCCGTGTGCACCAAGCATTACCATGCAGAGCAGTAGCTCATCCGAGACGTAGCCCTTGAGCGATGAGATTTCGTTGTTCAAAGCCTTAATCGCATGAGTCTTGTAAGTCAGCCGCAAGATCTTATTCTCCCTTGTTATCGCCATGCCGGTGTGAGCAAAGGCATTGTGAGCTGCGCCTGCGAAAACGATCGTGTAGAAAGCTGCTTGAGAGCGCATTGCACTGGCTAGAACAGTATGTTTGATCTCACTGATTGCTCCTGCCGCCATCGAGCAGGAAAAGACAGGCCACTGATACGAGACCGCTGTCAGCAGCATTAGCCCCTGCCCCAATACGATGGGACTATGCAACTCGCAGATTTGGGTGGGCATGAGACTCTGGACTAGTCACTTACCATAGTCGAGCATCTCCTGGACATACTGTGGTGTATTCTGGCGAATGAGGACGTTGAACGGATCTACCTTGCCAACGCCCACGTCTGTGGGTGACTGCAAGTTCGCTGCTGCAGCTGTCCTAATGCGGAAAGTGTTCGTACCAGGTATGCGTTGGGAAGGAGCGTTGCGTCGCCATGCTTCCCTTTCATCGGCTTGTGAGAGCAGACGAGTTACTTGCGTAGGAGGCTTGCCAAGTGCATTACGCTGATGAGGTGGCTGCGCGTTGCTGCCTGTGTACGCCTTTGCTAGTCGAGCTACTTTGGCTTTTCTATGATATTCGCGAGCAGCATGCTTCTGCAGCGAGATCTCGGACCGTTCTGAAGGTTGTTCAGCCGCAGGAGAAGGACGGTACGGAACGAACAAGATTCGTGTTTCATTACCAGGTGCCATCTTCACGCACCGGGATCCGGTGGCAAGGCTCAAGGTACTGTCAGTACAAATCTAAGAACCCCTGTACACTTGAGGCGGAAGAATCAAGAGAACGCGGAAGGACGATCTCCTAGCGAGGAAGATCGGCGAGAATGAGCGTGGTCCATCGTGCTGGATACCGTAAGCGGACGACTGATTCTAGAGCGAGGGGAACGGTGGAGTCGCCCGGCGCCCTCAATTTTCGAATCGGAGAAGCCGAGTGACTCTCCACGGCGCACGTTCTCGTGAGCGACGCATGCCAAATTCGCTTACCTGGCAAGCTTTGAAGTTGTCAAACTGCAGTTGAAGAGGGTTTGCCGGAAGACTTCGCTATTTGGTGTGCGATGGTGAGTCGCGTTGTCCGTTTTTAGATGTACATTTCCGCCATTTCATGTATCTATGGGCCCCAGACTCTTTGCTTTTCTAAGGCATAATCAGACACGGACAACAACCTTGCCCACAAAGCCTTGCTTTCTAAGCCGCTCGAAAGCCTTGGGCGCATCCTCCCATGCAAAGACCTCCTCGATGTGGGGGTGCAAGTCGTGCTCCTCGGCCAGCTTGACGGCCTTTTCAAGCATGGCCTTGCTGTAGACGAGGATGCCTCGTACTGTAAGTAGCATGTTAGCAGTTTTCCACAAACAGAGCATGCTACCCCTGAAGACTTACGTGTCTTGGCCCCAAGAATGAGTGGCATCAAGAGCTCGACTGGTTGCGGCGGTGTCAGCATGCCTACCACGCATGCTGTTCCTCCCAGCTTCAAAGCTTTCACTGATGCTTCAAGTGTGCCCCAACCCGCCACATCGCACACTAGATCGGCGCCCTTTCCATCAGTGAGGCGCAGCACCTCATCAGCCCAATCGGGAGTTGTCCGATAGTTGATCAACTCCGATGCGCCCAATACTTTTGCAATTTGAAGCTTTTCAGACGTCGAGGATGTTGCGATGACCCGCGCTCCCAGGGCAGCTGCATACTGAATGACGGCACAGCTCACACCGCCTGTGCCCTGAGTCACTACCGTTGTGCCTTTTTTGATGGGTATGCTTTGCAAGACATTGATCGCGGTCCCGGCTGTGGAAACCAGTGCTGCTGCCTCTTCAACGGAGAGGTTCTTTGGTGCAGGCACAATGCACGCATCCGGGACGGCCATATACTGTGACAAGGTCCCATTGTTGTCTCCTGCGCCCAGAACTTTATCCGCACGGAGCACACTCACGTCACCGTCAAGCCAGTCTCCCTGGGGTACCACGATCACCGCAGCTCCAACATTATCCTGCCATTGGCTGCCCGAACCTGCTTTGACGATCTCGCCGGCGCCGTCAGAACAAGGTACAAGTCCGGGAACCGTATGTACGGGATAGAGGGGCGAATCTGCAACACACAAGAGGTCGCGGAAATTGAGAGCGGCCGCGCGGATTCGAACCAGGACGGAGCCAGGTCCAGGTTCCGGGATTGGCACCTCTTTTACGGAGAGATTCTGGAATATGGTGGGAGACAGGTGCGAATGAGAATCGTCCACAATGTTGATCTTGTAAGCCAAAGCCATGGTTGTAGAATGTCAGATTGTTAGAGATTGGAGAGTAGAAGTTAAGCGGCCGTATCGTTTAGAGCTGTTGATTTTCGAGTTGGAGGGGGTCTGATCGGGGTTTATATACCATGCCCAAGTCGACTGCGAGGCGTTTTGATTGCTAAGGATCACTCTTGCAGGACATTCGTCTCTTGAGATTGTCCGGCCTCACCGAAGCCCTTTTCGCTCATGCCAGCTTGGGAAGTGGAATTCCACCAGGAGTGGGTCCTTAGCCTCGTGCTCAGCCTCGCGAGTGTCGCGGTGCATGTGAGCAATAGGTTAAGTTGTGCCACAGCAAAGGGACCCTGCTATGATGAGGCTTTAAAAGACATGCGTTGTGCATTGTGCTTGCAAGCGACCAAAAGAATTGTTTCGTATGCCTCGATCTGCAGCGGAGCTCCGTCGACCCATTTGGCCACGAACTCGCGGTAGGTCACCGGGTCGCCTTCAGCACCCAGAGCAGTCTTGTGCCAATCTTCTGTGGACATGCCCCATAAAGCTCCATCAAGAGAGACTGGTAAAGTTGCCATGTAAGGTACCGAAGTGCAGATCCCATCTCTGAGAAGTGAGTACAATGCTTGTAACATGACAGACACTAGCAGAGTTCTCCGAGCGCTTTCCAGCAGCACCCACCACCGGTGTGTTGGGCTCTCAAGCTGGAAAGTGTTCTGAAACGTATTAAGTGCTGCTTGCAGCTGACTTGTCCAGGTCTCAAGCAGGACTGATTGCCTCTCTGCATTAGCACGCTGGCGAATGTCTCCATCAAACAACCGGATGATTTGATACACGATAAGCGCCTGTGTACCCAACAAAAGTTCCTCAGGGCCCCAGCTGGACGACTTCGCAATGAGCCTGGAAATATTGTCGTCCAAGATTGCGAACACAACCGGTAGGTTCTCAGGAGTTCTTTGACAGTACATAGCGCTGACACCAACGAGGTCTTGATAAAGGCATGGTACGGTGTCTTTATACGAAGTGTGGTGGATAAACGGTAGATTGACCCCTTGGACCAGCTGTGCAATGCAGGACTGGAATTGGGTGGTGCAGAAGTCAACCTGATCTTTGGTGATGGGGGCCAGCTCCGGAAAGTCGACAGTGCTGAAGGTTGTACCTTGCCATGGAGAACGTGGACTGCTAGAGACAATGCTCCCGGGGTCCGACAGTAGTGTACATTGCTCCTTCATGGGCCGGGCCACAGGTGTGACAGCGCCAATCTGATCCTCAGCAAGCCGCTTAGAGAAAGATATCTGTACTGTTCAGCATCAACGAGCGCCTGAGCATGTTAAGGATGACCGACATATTGACAATCCAACCCCCGAGTATTACATCGAGTACAGGCTGGAACCACGAGGTCGCATCTCCGCTTGACGCGTACACACTCGGTACATGCTTTTCGTCGAGCAGAACTGTGATGAACGAGCATGCTGTGGACCATTACACGACTGCAGAACAAACGGTTGTCAATTGTGATGTGGTGGGTGAAGCCATAGCCTCAGCGTAGTGAACGCTATTTCGCAAACCTTGGTCTGACTCTTCGGGCGCCTGAGTATCTGATGCATTAGTAATGATACTGCCTCAAGCTTTCCCCAGGGCCGTCGGAATTCCACCACGCTAAGTTAGTGGACTTTCCAGTGCCTCCGCGAGGCTCGCCCCCAAATCTTGACGTGTGACAGTGATAAATTGAACATGAGCGCATGTATCACTGCGTCCTATCCGGCGGCGAATGTAGGTCATATCCAGCAGCATTAGAGGATTGTGTTGATGAGATTACCTTAGTGAATTGAATGAGGTGTTGAAAACAGCGTGGGAGAATGTCCTAATCTGGCTGCTCATGATTGCTACTTTAATTCACCTTGGTACTCACCATTGTCACGTCTCTAGGTCCTGAGTCGGGTCATCTTCGGATGATGGTCGATTCTAAATACTTGCCATACGACCAACTTGCTTTCATGCGCGATGACTCTCGAGTGGAATACCTGACACTTCTTTCGATCGAGATGGTAGAGCCTACATCCTTGCAATGACTCCCGGGGATCCTAACGTATCCTCCAAACTTGCCGCCCCAACGAAGAAATCTATCTTCGAGCGTCAGAAAGCCGACGCGGAAGCCAAAAAGGCTCGAGAAAAGGCCGAGACCGCTGCTGCGCTCGAGGACTTTGTTAAGAGCTTTGACGACGATGGAGGCTCGAACAGCTTCCCTGCGAAACGCAGTGGCTTCGTAGGAGGTGGTACTGCTAGCAACAGCAGTTTCGGGCCTGCGCCTGGAAAGAGACATTTCACAAGTTCAGGCTTAAAGAGTGGCCCTGGCAGCCTAGGGCCGAGTCCTTCGCTAGGGAGAAATGGGCCAGGCAGTCTAGGACCATCGTCGAGCTTTGCGAAGAAGCGAGAGTACGATGACTTTGCGGGCGCACGCGACCGCGACCGTGACAGAGATCGCAGAGACAGAGTGCTCTCCTACAGCGAAGAGAGGGACCGAGTCCACAAGCGGGACACAGGCGCATTTGCTACTGAAGAAGAGGAAGGCAAGGATACCGACGAGCTGAAAGCAGCGGCCAAACCAACATTACATCTCTCGTCTCTACCACCGGGTACATCTGCTGCGATCATCAAGGGTCTATTCGCGCCGTCTCCATTAACCGTCGACAATGTCCGCCTGCTGCCCACGGCCCCTGGAACAAGTGATCGAAAATCCATATCAGCAATTGTCACACTTGCCGCCGAAACTCCCGCCGCAGACATCGACACTGTCGTATCGCAGCTACAGAACAAATATCTAGGTCTCGGCTTCAATCTCTCCATATCCCGTCATCTCTCCTCCGCCGTCTTGACAGGTTCTGGTCCGGTCAACGTCCCCTCTGCCAATCTAAATAACCTCCCATTTGGTGCTAAACCGGTCATTCAGCATACCTCACTCTCACGAGCTCCTCCGCCCGGCCAGGGACCAGGTCGCTTTGCCCCACCTGCATCATACACTTCATCTACGCCATACGGGCAGAGGTCCAGCCTCCCGCCCACCCAAGTAACGGTCCAGACACCCAATGATCTGAAACAGCTGCGGCTCATTCACAGAACCCTCGAGTCCCTGCTGACATACGGTCCCGAGTTTGAAGCCTTGTTAATGTCCCGCCCTGAGATCCAGCGCGACGAACAATGGGCATGGCTCTGGGACTCCCGATCCACTGGCGCCGTATACTACCGCTGGCGGCTTTGGGAAATCCTCACCAGATCCAAGTCTCGTAGGCGAAACCTCCCATCCGGCTACGGAATGCGTCCGCAAGGCGACACCATCTTCGAAGGACAGAGCATCTGGACTCCGCCCGAAGACAACCTCAAGTTCGAATACACGACGAAAATCGAGGAATTCATAAGTGATGAAGACTACAATTCTTCTGACGAAGAAGACGCCGAAGAAGGCGGTGGTATTGCACGACGATACCGCGATCACCAAAAGGTGGGCGGAGCACCTCCAGACGCGCCTCCAGATACCGACGGCGTGGGTTACCTCAACCCCCTTGCGAAGACTAAGCTCGTCCACCTCCTCAGCCGCCTTCCTGAATCCAACGCCAAACTCCGCAAAGGTGATGTCGCACGTATTACCGCTTTCGCCATTGAACACGCCGGCGCCGGGGCAGAAGAAGTCGCAGCCCTAATTACGCGCAACGTCACCAGACCGTTCTGCTACAACGTAAACAAACCAAAACCTACAGCCACGCCCGACGATGACCAGTCAGACCACAACGAGGCAACAAATACTCCGAACACGAACCCCAATAACGACAGCGAGAAACCCAACAGCACCGACGTTGGGCCTCAAGACACCACCCCAGCCTCCCTAGTAGGCCTATACATAATATCCGACATCCTCTCGTCCTCAGCATCCGCCGGTGTCCGTCACGCCTGGCGCTACCGCTCGCTCTTCGAATCCCAACTCCGCAGTCAGACCGTCTTTCCCACCCTAGGCCGCCGCCCACGGGACATGAATTGGGGCAAACTCAAAGCCGACAAGTGGCGTCGCAGCGTCCAAACCATTCTGTCGCTGTGGGAAGGTTGGTGCGTCTTCCCAGGCCCAACGCACGAGTCGTTCGTCGAAGGCTTTCTACACCCGCCGCTCACGGCTGCGGAAGTAGCAGAACAGCAACGACAGGAGCAGGCGGTGCGTGACGCCGAAAAGACCGAGAAAGACAAAGCACCCGTCAGCCGGTGGCGGAGTGTCGACGACGTGCAGACATTCACGTCCGCGATCCCCGAGAAAGACGCTGATGGTGACGTCGATATGGATGGGATGCCGATGAATGATGATGAAGATGACGACGACAGGTATACTGACGAGAACATTGATGGCGTGCCAATGGTAGATAGCAGTGATGAAGAAGGGGACCAACCAGCGTCGGACCCCCCGCCTGGTGAATCTGAAAGGCCCGCTCTTACTGATGCGCAGGGCCAAACGAGTGCTTTAGAGGCTCCGCATCAAGCAATCGTCGAAAAGGGCGCCGCAGCCCCCACATCGCAGCCTACTCCTCCAGTTCCTCAGGGGCGCAAAGCCCGCCCTAGGGCGGCGGACTTTGACGACATGTTTGAGTGAATTGGATGGGAGTTGCGCTTGTAGCAGGTTTGGACAGACGAGGACGGATTGATGAAAACTCATGGAGTGGCACTTCTCACACATCGAGGCAATTGAACAAGAATACTTATTCCTTCTCAACCGGTACCTAGATCTCATTGTTTTCTCTACTTCTAAGCCTCACACCAGTAGACACCTGATGATCTCATATCTAGCCCTGTCATAGATCTTCTACCCGACACGGTTTCCGTCCAGCCTACACCTCTTGGGCACTGGCCTGACCCGGCTCTCCTTCCGGCAGCTTCGTGCCACGAGGTTCCTCGATTGAAGCTGCTTCCCGCTTGGGCATCTTCTCCAAGGAAGACTCTTCGTGGGTACTCGCAGTTGTTTGTTGACTGGCAGGAATGGCATCGGTATCCGGGTTAGGTTCTTCTCTCTCCAACTCCGGCCCAGAAGCTTGGCCACTGCTGGCTGTCGTCTCCTTCGACAGCTGTTCAACCTCCTCACCAGAAGGCTGGTGACTCAGAGGATTCGACTTTTCCTCTCCAGGCGTACCGAGTGTAGGTTCGGCGACGTCTTCCGCAAAAGCTGCAGCCTCTGTGCTTGCATGATCCGACGTCTGAATGATCTTTGGCAGTGGCGCATCTGCTGGAGTGGAGTTTTCAATTTGCGCTGCCTTGTCGTCCGAAAGTCCAACTGCGGCAGGGGCGTCCTCTAACTCTGACGTAGCCTCTGGCGCTGCGGATGACCCAATATTTAGCTCGTCCTCATCATCGATGGTCCACAAAGACCGCAGTGAAGAGATTGCAAAACCACTAGATTTGGCCGGAGCTGCAGGAGACTTTGCTGGTGCTCTCCTTTGAGGGCCTCTGGCTCTGCCTTTTCGTGCATCCTCTAATGGCTTTGCTTCTTCAACGACAGGTTCTGGTTCCTTCTCTTTAGGTGGCCCGAGGCCAAGCTTTTGATTGAGATCGTTCATGAAGTTCCCTCGCAGGTTGGCGATTTTACTGCCTGCGGCAGGTCGGGCTGGGATCTGAGGTTTTACCTTGGCAACTGGAGGTGAGGTCTTTTCATGTTCTGATGGGCCAGCAGAGTCTCCGGAGATGGTTTTACTGAGAGTTTCTCCAGGTGCCTTTTTGCCTGGCCGTGCTGGGACCTGAGGTTTGGGCTTGTCAGGTATGCTTGGGACTTTCTTCAATTCAGTGGGGGATGTTGTTCCCTCTTTTTCAATCCCCCCCTTCTGGGGTCGTGCAGGAATGCTAGGCGCGACTTGTGCTGTTGAAGCTCCTTCACCTAATCTGCTCTTACCTGCAGGGCGTGGCGGCACGAATGGCTTTACAGGAACATCCACCGGACTGTCCGGCTCGTTATCCTCTTGGGGAGTACTGACAGTGGTGACGAGTTGATGACTATCAGGACTATCCTCCCAAATGTCAGAGCTAGGGAATCTGGGCGTCAAGCCAGGTCTCGTGGGCATGTCATCACGAAGATGGGGAGCGAAACGAGACTTAGCCAGTCGCTCCTCCCTCGGAATGAGCTTCTTCCGTTCTTCTTCAGATGGCTCTTCTTTTCGCGCAGCTTCTTGTTCGGGCGTTTCGAATGTCTTGGTGGCAGGTTTCTCAACCTGCGCTGGAAGATCTGGCGTCGATACTTCAGCGGAGTGGTAGTGACTGCTTGGAGTATCTTCCCAGATATCCTGGCTGGGGAAGCGCTGTCTGAGGGAATTGGGTCTTTGTTTGAATCTTTCAGCATGACTCAGAGGCGCCTTGTCATCGTCTTCCGGGAACAGGGGCTCGTATTCCTCAACGTCTTCCAGCGGTGTGTGCAGATGCTCACGCTCGTCGTCGTGGCGTGAAACGAACCTGGAGAGTGTGTTGGAGGCACTGTGTAAACCATAGACACTGCTAGGTCTACTTGAGGGCCGCGATGACGGAGTTGCATCACCACTTCGGTAGGCTTCTTCGTACACGCTTTCGCGACGCTCGGCCCTGGGATTGACGGCAGGCTGCAAATGTTCATGTCCAGCTGAGTGGGCAACCTCGTCAGCAGCCAAGATAGGGACGGTGTAACCGTGCTCGTTGACATAGTCACCCTCTGCATCAGCATGGGTGACATAAGGTTTAGCGTCTACAGTTTCGTTCATAGTCTCTTGACCACCAGTGACTTTGTTGAAGCGGCGACTTGGCTGGATTGAAACTTCGTGCTCTGACTCACTTTCCACGGCATCGTGGTCATCAGAGCCTCGAGAGGCTGAGAGCCTTCCTGTGCGCCGGACTTGGGCAGGAATGGTTCCATCGGCGGGGAAACTTGTCTTCCTCAAGGGCGACTCGGCCACTGGCTGCGAACTGTTGGTGAGAGTCTTGGCCAGACTGTTTGGAGTGTTGGCCTGGGAGCGAGAGGCGTAAACATCAGTTGCTCCATACGCGATCTGTTCATCAGGTACTGAGGAATACGTCGACGTCCCTACATGGATCAGTAAGCCGTGGCCCAAATTGAGTTGTGTAGTACTTACCAAAACCTGCACCACGACTGGCCGTTTGCCGGACGATTTTGTTAAGATCGTCACTACTTAGTGCAAAGCTGCCACGGCCGCTTCCAATACTCTCGTAGACCCCATGACCAGAGGTCTCTTCATTCTGGGCTGCCTCTGGATGTTTTGCATACCACTCTTTTTCGAATTGGTCTTGGGGAAGAAGACCATGGCCGTGTAGGCCATAACTGCCGGGAGGAAGCATATCTACAGCACTTCTTGATCGAGAGTGAACAGAACGCCTCCTGTCACCGTTGGTTCCCGTATTGCTTGGGCTCATACCGGGTCCGGGAGAAGGGGCTTGCACGTCTCCCAATAAAGGATTAATCGGGACACGGATACCGATTTCGGCAGGGCCAGTCTCTTCGGAGTGCATGGAAGGACGACGTTCACCGTCAACGGTCGAGGAGGGACGGGAGAAACTTGTCCGCGTGCGAATCCGCTGAAGTCCTTCACCTTCGTCTTGAGAGGGTGTGGCAGGTTTCCCAAACCCGAGGTGAGCAGCTTGAGAAGAGTCGGTCCTGGTAACAGCTTGTACCTGGGCTGTCGCACTCGACTTCGGCAGAGACGGCTTAGGAGCGTGCAACTTCAAATCTTGGGCAATGTTTCTGGTTTGGGCGGCTGCGTCCGCAGCGATTGAGGAACTCGGAGGCTGCAGGTTGGTCTGCATGTTCATAATATCGGCATATTCCATTCCTTCTTGTCCGATCGAGGGTAAATTCTGGACGCTGGGACGACGGGGCAGGGCATCGACCTGTTCGTTGGTCTTCTGACGAGAGATATTGCCGCTCCATGGCTCATTCAACGGCGAACGAGGAAAGTTTCCGGGGGAGACTGAGCGTTCGAGACGTTTGTTGATAGGACGAGGAGGCATTTCGGGCAGTCTGCTGGCACCTTGAGCGCCCGCTGCTTGTTGGGCTCGAGTCGGTCGAGGAGGAATCGTGGGAGCTATTTGGGCCGACATGATGGGCAAACAAATGCTTAATGTCGGCTGGAAAAAGACCTAGTTAGCGTTTGATCATGACAATGTTGCAAACAAGGAGCCGATTATCGAGCAAAGCCATAGAATGGGCAGGAAACCCCGCTCACCGCCCCAGGAGCAGGACGGTGCTGCGATTTGAGTTGATCTGCAGGTCTACAAGGAGGACCTTTATCGATTGGGGAAGCTACGTACCGATTGGAGAACTGATATAAAGGAATCGAAGACAGCAATCGAAAGCTGCAAACAGGTAATATGGCAGAATGCGTGTGACTGAGATGCGGTGTCGTCGTAAGTAGGGGGAGGAGATAACGGCCGGAGAGAAATGCAAAACAGGAGGAATCGAGTCAGAGATGTTCGATGTCTGGTGTTGGTGAGCGCGGAAATAGGATTTCTGTTGGAGAAGACTTGACTTCAGTAGAAGAAATTGATGGCGTCGATGGACAGGTTATTAAGTCAAAGACACAGACGCAGGTGCAAAGACTGGGAAGCCGCAATGGCGCAGGCGCAGGAGCAGTGAGACGCATTCATTCGACGATGATGCAGTTCAGCTTTGCCGACTGGGACTTTGTATGGTCCAAGTAGCCGTGCCCCCAATGACAGCGAGTCAGTAGTGAGCAATTTGTTGCGCTTAGGCCTAAGGACTCTTGATTATTGGTCGATGGGCTGCATTTTTCAGGAACCAAAGGAGCCACCGCAAGAAAAAAGCCCACCACAACTACACCGCAGTGACGTTATATTGAGGCCTTTGTCTTTGATCCTCGATCGATGCCTCTTTGCTGTCGTCGTAAATAGAGGAACATACCGAGTATCTTGATCTCGTCGTCGCCCTCGTGGAGACATTTACCTTGGGATCATCATATTGCGCAATCCATGTCCACATGAGCACGATACCTGAGACCACATCTACGGTGTCCTCGGTTTAGCACTAACTCGCATCTGGGATTCTGTCCAACTCCGCAAGGGTCAGAAAAATTGCACATCCTCACGTGGACCTCGTCGTCCCGTCATTTCTCCTCCCAATGATGTATATTTCCTTTTGGCAAACGTCCTCAGTCTGCTCTTTTCATGTCAAGGCACGGCAAAAGCGAGCAAGTCCTGCATCTAGACCTCGGTACCACCTGATCAATCTCATTTTTCGATCCTGATCATTGGCGCGTACCCAGGTGCAAGATCTATCAAGTGAAAGGCGCCATCGTCTATTTTAGTTCTCCCCGCATTTCACTCTTCAGTCAGCACAGTGGAGAAGGTGTTTCGAATCAGGGTTATTCTATCTTCACAATGTAGACCATATCTTACCAAAACCAGGGAATTGACTAGGTCAAACAGCATTTCTTGGATACCTAAACCTTCCCATTTCCCTTGATCTACCGAGAAACCCAAATGCCGCCGTCTAATAACTGATTTTTGCAGAAATGTGTATCAAGTCCCGTATTCGACCAGCACCGACAAAATAGTGTACTCCATCACCATGACATCCAGCACGCCGCCCACAGTTCGCTCAAACCATAACCATGTTCATCTTTCCTCTTTCCAAGGTCTTGTCTTCCCCTTACCATTGTCGGTTCAGAACTCTCGAGTTGCCGTCCTTGCCTGCAGTAGCTGTGCGAGCATCGCCATTCAAGGATTCCTTGCCAGCGGTCTCCGCACGTCCACCCAGCTCGGTCTTTCCGCCCGTCATGCGTCGGCCAACCACCACGTTTCCGTTGGTGGCCTTCTTCTCTTTGCCGAACACCTGGGCTCCTTCAACAAGTCTTCGTTCCTTGTTTTGACGTCCGTTGACAAAGTCGGGGTAATTGAGCGTAAGTTCCACGGAGCCGTTGACGAGGTGATCGGCGGCCTCCACACCCAACATAAACGAGTGGTCTTGGTTACCAACCTCATATCTCCATGAACCGAATCGTCCTCGACTCCAGATGTCCTTGGCTTCCAAAGCTGGGAGCAGCTCCTTGAGGACTCCTTCACGCTCGAGCGACGGAGTCGGGTATCCGTGATCGAATCGTCGGTGGTAGGTTGACACGATCTCGTCTTCCGGCTTGAGCATATCAGTGTTGATCAACCCCTGAATACAGTCCTTCATCAAGTTCTCCTGGTCTACAGGTTTCATGCTTGACTCGGAGACTTCCAACATGATCGACCAGTATGGTCCTCCCTTGGCCTGCATGCTCTGCCGGCGGGATCCATTGGCCAATTGGAGAGTAGGCAGCTTGACATCCTCTTGTGGCTGGTTGTAGGGTGAGTAATTGGAGAAGATGGTGGCTCGGTAGAATGGGCAATCGTCCTCGGGGAAGTAGAGCCAGCACTTGTCGCCAATCCGGTCCGGGCGAGTGCCACGGATGCCGACACCAATGACGTGGGTGCTGCTGTAGAAAAGATCTTTGGACAGCTTGATGAGCGTCTCGTCCTCCATTGACTCCACGAGTGCGTCCACTGCCATGGTGCTGATCAACTTCTCATATTTGATTGTAGTGCCGTCTTCCAGAAGTACTTGTTTCTTGTCTGCCTCCACCTTCTTTACAGTGTTCTTCTTGCCGAAGCGCTTCTTCTCCTTGGGGAGTGTGTCGGCCACAGCGATCCAGATACCACCAGTTCCATCGCGGGCTGGGAATCTGAAGGTGGCGTTGGGTCCCCAATTTGGAGCGGCCTGATTCAGAATGATGTTTCGCACATTGCCCTTGACGTTGGGAGCAGCCACACGTTCACCGAGCCATGCACATTGCATCTGCGCCAGAGTCAGAGTGAGCCGCAAAACTAGTCAACACCTCAAGCATACCTTTGTTGTTGGGACAGCCCAGACCTTGAAGTTGTACGGCCTCATGAAGAGGTCCGCCAATCCGACACCCTGGTTGCGCAGAATCCACTCATCGAAAGTTTTGGGCTTGTCGATTGCGACTCTCGCTTGCAGAGCGGCGTCAATCAGGTCATCCATGCACTTGACTTGGTCTTCTTTTGGCAACATCGCAATATTGTTCTGGAAAGGATATGGCACCCATAGTCCCTTGCAGCGCACGTACGAGATTCTCTGGTGGGTGTACCAATCGTCTTCTTTGGGCAAGGCCTCGTCAATGCAATCGTCGAAGTACTTGTAGTGGGAGAAGATGACATGGCCACCAACATCGTAGAGCTAGATTGAGTGTTAGCAGCTGGTGCCTTGTGGAAGCAGAGATGCCCATACAAATCCTTCTTTGGTCACATCTGTCGAGGCCAGACCGCCAGGGATCTCGTTCGAGTCCAAGATCAGCCATGATGGGCCATTCTGCGATTCTTGTTAGAATCCCCAAATGATACCATTTATCCAAGGGCCACATACGATCTGATTAAGTCGTTTGGCAGCACCAAGACCCGTGGGGCCGGCTCCAATGACCAGAATGTCGACCGAACTGTGTCCATTGAATTAGTGGGGGGCGACAATGAACATTTGGGCTAACGAAGGCGCATACATTTGGGACATTGTGAGGACAGCTTCAAGCGAATGTGATTGTGAGAACAGCTCAACGATTGAACACAAGTTGTCTCAATGTGCAGAGACGGCGATCGAAAGGTGCGGTGTCGAGGTCTTGCTTGCGCGGTGGGCGATGTTGAACACGGAGTCTCCTCCGCAGCTATTTAGGTGGCCCACTCCCAAAAAAAGTTGACTCGCAACTGCGCCTGCGGGCCCCAGAAGCGGGAACTTGCAGGCAAGTAAGACAGGAGCTTGGCAGGGGACCTCGCCTTCAATTTCTGCAACTCCGAGTCTGCATTATTGCCCATTTCAGCGCGTTCAGCACCTGGCACAGCTATCTCTTCCTAGTGGTTGGCTTAAGATTTAGCTTATCGCGGTTTCTCCTTCAGCCTTGCATTAATTAGATAAAACCACCTGGTAAGGGGCCGGAGTCTGGATCACTCTCCTGAAAAGTCGCAGTTAGGCGAAATACGCCCCTCCTTCAATTGCTCGGATTCAGTCCACCATGGTGGCACAATCATAGGCGAAATGATAGATCCTGCAGATCGGGTGCTTTAGTGCCCCTTTTGCACAGCCATCCGGTGTCAGGATATGGACGCCAACGAGGAAGCCTTCAAAATGTCACAATCTCCAGAGATGAACTGCAGTTATACATGTCCTCCACGGCATTTAGGGGTCATGACATGCGGTCTCCGGATCTCCTGACTGCCATCATGGGCGGGAAGCTGCATGATGGCCTTTGTCCTCGGGGTGTTAGATCACCAAACGACAGATACGGAGATCCGTCGTGCGGAACAGCCTTTCCCCATGTCGTGTCGGAATGCCATTGAGCCTGTGGTCAGAGACACTCCTTTCATAGGTCTATATAAGATTCAGCATTCATGCGACATGCAGCTCCCAGGTGCTGGATCAGCCATCCGGATCAGCTCCCTATTTCTCAACGCTCCTTAAACGTGCATTTTACCTATGGATGTGTTCTTTTTCAGACAAACCGGACCGGACGCATGGCTGGTTTGGAACAAGTGGAAATCAATGATGCCGACAAATCGATAGTGGCGCCGGATGGTGAAATCGGTGGTGGAGAAAGCTAATTGTCATTTAAATGTTTTCATTGGCGGGAATCCTCATTTATGCCTCCGGCATAGTTGCCTCAATCTGCTGCGCAAATGGTGGGAGCTGTTGCTTGTTGGCAGAGCTGGGTCTGGCTTTCTGGGTGCCCCGTTCTTCAAACAGGGACGGCCCTTTTTTCCAATACAGAAATAATTTACCCGACTTTGCCCTTCAAAACCTCCCGTGTTGCGCGGCCCAGAGAAACCCTGATAAGTTAACAGATTTCTTTACCATTGTTTCTTCCATCAGCCGCATCGTCCCTGCGCATACTCGGCTTTCATTCCATTCCCACAGTCACTCGCTCCATGGTTGCTTAACCTCCCATCACCACCACGTTGCAGCCGAGAGCATTCAACAGGTCGAACCGGCCCTTCTCCTTTCGAGATTCCCTTGTCCGAAGCCCATACTCGTCACCAGCCATGAGCGACATTGAGAAGAAGGCCCGCTTGTCGGGTGAACAGACAAGAGTTGCAGAGCCAGCTACTATTCTCCCGACCACCAACGTCCCTCTACCATCTGAGAAGCCTGCACCTCCTCAGCCGTCGCTTCACCCTGCAGTCTACGTTGTGTACGTTCACTCCGACATGTTTGGCTGCGTCGTCAACTGACATGTGTCACAGGACCTGGATTGGATTCAGTGGAGGTGTGATTTTGTTCAACAAGTGGCTCTTGGACACTCTCGGATTCAGTATGCTTAGCTATGATTATTTCGTGAAGATGCAGCAACTGACTCTTTGATAGGATTCCCCATTAGTTTGACAGCATGGTACGCCAGTAACCAACACCCGACGTTATCAATTGACTTACTCCATATGCAGGCACATGATTTTTTCGACCGTCATGACCCAAATCCTGGCGAGGACCACCACCCTCCTTGATGGCCGCAATGCCGTCAAGATGACCGGTCGGGTCTATCTCCGCGCAATTCTCCCAATCGGTTTCTTCTTCAGCTTGAGCTTGATCTGTGGCAATAAAGCATACCTCTATCTCAGTGTTGCGTTTATCCAAATGTTGAAGGTTGGTTATCCACCCAGTGAGACCGGAATTGTGGTTAACATAACATAAGGCAACGATGCCTGTGGCAGTCCTCTTGACCACCTGGGCTATGGGTGTTGCACCTCCGAGTCTCAAGACCCTGGGCAATGTCTCATTCATTGTTATCGGAGTCGTGATTGCATCCTACGGAGAGATCGAGTTCAACTTGACTGGCTTTTTGTACCAAGCTGGTGGTATCACTTTCGAGGCCACCCGCTTGGTGCTTGTCCAACGTCTGCTCAGCTCGTCCGAGTTCAAGATGGATCCTCTGGTGTCCCTGTACTACTTTGCGCCCGTCTGTGCCGTCATGAACAGCGTGACTGCCTTGTTCCTCGAAGTTCCCTCAATGACAATGAAGAACATCTACGATGTGGGCATTTTCATGCTCATTGCTAATGCCATGGTCGCATTCCTCCTCAATGTCTCGGTGGTGTTCCTGGTAAGCGCTGAACACTGTTGGACTTGCGCACTTGCTGACTGTTCTTGATAGATTGGCAAAACTTCGTCTCTCGTCCTCACCTTGTGCGGTATCCTCAAAGACATTCTCCTTGTCATGTGTTCAATGGCGATTTGGGGTACTCCGGTCTCCAAGACCCAATTTTTCGGATACGGCGTTGCTCTTGGTGGTCTGTTGTACTACAGACTCGGCGCGGAGCAGCTCAAAGGATACATGAGCCAAGCTGGCCGGAGATGGTCGGAGTTTGGCGTAGAGCGACCAGCTTTGCGAAAGGGTGTCATTTTCGGATCAGTCTTGCTCACGCTATTCATCCTGCTCGGCGGACTGGCTCCTACATATGCGCCTGAACATACCGATAACCTGAAGAAGATCTTGAGCAGCGGAATGGGTCGATGAAGAGATGGATTATCAGGTGGTCGCGAGACTACAAGCACAAGCACGAGGGGTGTTGGTTCAAGCGTTTGAGAAAGATTCCGCACACGATACTAACGAGGGCTTATTATCGCCCACGGGGATACTTCTTTCCATGGCGTGTACAGTATGACATGTTGTGTACATTCAGGCGTTTGGATGTATCGCAGTAAAGACAGCAAATTAGAAAGTGGACAATGTGTGCTGGTATGGATGCCGAGAAGGTGGTTGTCAGATACAGAAGCTGCGCCTTTGCTGAATTAGCACTTGATAATGATTGAAAGAAAGAAAGAAGAACTAGCATATGGTATACTTGTAATAAACATGATGGTGATTATATTTCTTCTTCTGTTTATCGGTCGTGAATGGCCTCTTTGGGTGATGGCTTGATGGGAGGTGGTGGCGGGCCAGGGCGCATCTGTGACATGCTGCTTGCGGTGCCTAGAGCGTCATCCCCCACACTCATAGTTCGTTGTCTTTTTCTCGCTTGGATATTGAACCACTGGCAGACCATTCGTAACCATTGAATGTTGTGGAGCAATAAATAAAAAGCGGGAAGCTGGACCCTGCTTTCCATCTTTACATGGCTGTTTGCCTTAACTTACAACATTTCCCCTTGGACGAATGCTGCTGAAGTGGTGGATCGCCTTTTCCTACTGCTTATGCATGCCATGCAGCTTGCTCTCTACCAATCGACATGTCTCGATCGTCTCTCAAGCACTTGCGTTCCTGGCAATCCGTGGTTCCCAAATGGTCAACCATACCCAGGCTCTGTGCGTTGCCATGATGCCGCTTCGCGCTCAGACGTCTCTATTCGGCTGCCCTTTTGCCTCTGCGTCCTCCACCGCTACATCCATCCATTCCCCAGAGTCCATCTCTTACCTGTTGTTTCTTTCCGTTCAGCTTCCAAGAAATGCGACTCTGCTTCTGTTCTCCCATCTTCTCTCCTTCTTCACTCGCCTTTCTCTTCCCTCCATTGAATCTATCCATGACTACCTAGCCTCTTTCGCGTCCACCACCCTTCGCGACTTCAATCACCTTCACCTCTGCCGTTTACTATCCAGGCGCATACATATACACGTCGCGAATCATCGGCTTATAGATTGACCCGCGGAGCTGTGGACATCTTGACCTCACCCTGTCCTCATACGACCATCAATATGTCTTCCGGCCCTCTCCTAGATCAGATCCAGCTCCCTACCCCGAGCGATACACCCAGAGCCATGGAACAAGACGAACCCCTCCCCACCTCATATGCCCATCACTCAACTACCTGGACTCCCGTCGATGGTATGACGCCCATATCCACAAACCCATCGAAGAAGCGATCGCGGGACGACATGGCTTTCGACCCTGAAACCGACGGCTCCTACTTTGCAGGTGTCCAAACTCCCGCGCCCATTCCGGAAGAAGAAGAACCGGTCTACGGTGAAGGCATGATCCTACTGAATCCCAAGACCGGCATGGCAATCTCAGCAGAAAGCCAGACCGGTACTTGGTATGAAGAGAAGGTAGAAAGAAAAGCGTTTGAACACGAGGTGGCAGCGGCCAACTTTAGACCCAAGATGCCTACCAGCCGAAAGTCCGCCAGAATGTCCCAGAGCTCGATTCGGTTTCCCATTGATACTACGGTCGTCAGTGCGCCAGCGAGCCCGCCCAAGACGGCTGTGGATCGACCAGAGTTCGACGAGGCTACCATGGCTCTGGGCATCGGATGGACCAAAGTTTCGTCGGAAGATGAAGCCATTCAAGCTGCGGCTAGAGGATGGGCCAGATATCTCGAAAATCATTATGCCCGATATATTCATGGCGCGCAGATACTGCTCAAGAGTTCGGGACTGAATGCCTACCTAGTGGGATCTCAAGAAGGCTATTTTCTGTTCAGCGAAGACCTGTTGGAGGGGAAACTCGTTGGGCGAACTTGGGAAAGCTGTTTAGGGAATTTGAAAGCGCAGCCCATGCAATTCGAGGGTGAAGTGGTGTTACGCGCCGAGAGAACTCCCGGACCAGATTCCGTGCCAATTCAATTACCTCAACGAAACATTATGGAAAACTGGGCCGACTACGAACGCCTCAACAGCCCTCAAGCGATCGCGACACACGGTGGTATGGATCTTGACTGAGTGAAGCCTTGATTCGAACAGCACTTCCGCCACCGCCACGGGCCGTTCAAGAAGAACCCCAGAAAGTCCAAAAAGTTCCGTCATGATGCGATGGCCTTTGCAATCAGCGCACCGCAGCTTGAATCGCACACTGCGAGTACAGCTCCTGACTCTGCTTCTTCGCAGGAGGAGGATCGCCCAGGTCGATCCGAGGCTGCAGGGCACATGGCTCAAGCACGCCGCGCTTGTAGAGCGCAGAACATGATGGCATAGGACGACCGGCCTCGCGCCGACTGAGACCAAGATGGTCACAACCTTCAATGCGGCCGTGTGTTCAACCCGACTTGAGCTGCGGCTCCGATTTGGGATTTGCCAAAGAAAACGAAGCAAAGGGCAAAATATTTGCGGTAAAAGCGTTTACGAATTTTGACCAAATCTTTTTGAAAAGCGCCGCAATGCATACTAGAGACAACCGATTATTTAACCAATGGCATACTCCATTTCAAAAGTCTCGGTCTCAATCTCATCACTGCGCTCAGCAGCTTTTTCCTTGGTCTTGTCTCTTGCGGTTTCAATCCAAATCCAGGTTTTGAAAGTCTGACCATCTGTTCCTCCAAAGGCGCCCTCACTACCCGTGACTTCACCCATCTTTCGGAACGCAGCATGCTGTTTCTGCACCATCGCACTCTCATCCCATCCCCCAGCTCCTCCGTCGCGCATCCACTCGCGCTCCCACTTTCCTGCATGCGCGATAGGAACTTTGTACACACTGACCCTCAGGAACTCGCGTTCACTTCTGGGTCCGAAGGGGGCGATGTCCCCGGAGATATGGCGGACAATGTCGACGGTCATGAATTGACCTATTGCTTTCGCCAGGTCGACGGCGCCGGGGGTGCTTAGGAACGAGATGTGATCGGCGCCCGTGCGCCAGCCCCCGAGGAGGTAGTATACCGACTTATCGTTTATGGAGTGGTAGAGGTGGAAGGGGATACCTGCCGCGGAAGAGACGTCATGGAGGGCGTGACTCCAAGTTTCGGTGAAGGATGGAGATACCGGGACGGTATAATGCGGCTTGAGACGCACAGTGGCGAGTTCTATCAAGGACATGGTGATGGTGATGGAGACCCGTGGGACTGAGTAGACCCTTAAGGGGGAAAGAAAGTGTCAAGGTCAGGCACTGCGGTGGGATATCAGATATAGGATTTGAAGGAAAGTTTCACTCGTCCATTTCTGTACTGAACGCGCGAAGGCCGTAGAGGGAGGACTTTTTCGATTACTAGTAGAAGTGCTTGTAACGGGGACGGGTACCAGTCATGGACATGATTGTGCTGACGAGACGAGGCTACGGAGCGAGCTGTGATCGGCGGTGCAGATTCCTCATTTGTGCAAGAGACGATGTACCACAAGCAAGATGGGCAGATGGATAATGTTGAGGGTTGTATTGGTTGTCTTCGTAATCCGTGATCAAGCCAGATTGATGTTGAAGTTGAGCAGTTCAAAAGTGGTGGTGGCCCTGACGCAGTCAGCGATAGAGAGGAAGTGCAGATCAGCCACCTGGAGAATGGTGCGAAGATCAAAGGACGACAACGATGGTGCCAATATAACACCAGGTAAGCCATCGCAAACTTGCATATGGATGGAACACCATGGGCGATTGCAGAAGTATGAATATTGGTGAACACGGTGAAGTCGGAATATAAAAGGGGACTTCGGGGTCAGGGAATGAATTGACCATTGGTCATGATCGTCGGAATCGCTTGTGTCATTACAGTGTGAATAAATCCAAAGATGCGAACAAATTTTGGCATCCGACCACACATCTTGCCAAGCCTTTTGTCATGACAGACTGATTTTCTTTACAATGGTAGGAGTTTGCCCAGCAATGAACCGACAGCTGGGGCAAGCACGATCTTGAACAAGAAGATCAAATGGTCGTTTACGTGGACCAGTTCTGCCAATGTCCCCTGTGCTAATCGTCCTCGACATACTCCGAGATGCAACCTGACCACACTTACTGTGATTCCACCATGTCACAGGGAAGCGGCATTCGGGATTATTTACTAATTCAAATCGACCCAGGCATCTTCTCACCAAATGTCTGAATGTCAAACGCAATCAGCACCGCCAGTCGTATTGACCCTTGATGCGAACCAAGTGCTCGGTCCCGGAACAGCTCGACTCACCTTAGTCTTGTACTGGACAGCACCATCCAGCGGCTTCACCCATGCCTGTCGATGAGATGAGAAGCTCTCCCATTCCGGCACCGGTAACTTTGGATACTATTCGTACGCATGACCATCAGTACTGGTAGCTTCGACAAACTCTGCGACTCCGAGCAGACATCCTGTATGCACGAAGGCATTCCCAGTAGCAAAGCTGTGAGCAGACCCAAATGAGAACTTACAATGCCCAGTTTCAAGACGATCTTGCCTTTATATATCGGCGTTACACTCATGATCGGGACCCCGCAGGTTTGGCAGAAATATCTGTGCCGTTACCATCAGATGAGACGTCTCAAACACGTATTGATCAATTGAAAGAATCGAGTCGCCTACCTTTGCACAGGCGTCCCGCTCGTCGTCTCGGGATCCTGCCCGTTGTAAGCCATGGATCAGGGCGAGCATGACAAAACGCGACTACTGACGCTGTAAAACTTCAGATTGTCCTTTCCCTTGGGAAACTCGACTTTCTCCTCTTCGATGAGCAGGTTCACTCCATATCTGACGAGTATGGTGGTCAACGTCCCGGCCCGGTCGTCAGGTCGATATGGAGTGCAACGTACAGTCCCCCAGCGACTTTGCGACAATTGGCGCAATGGCATAGATGTCCCCTTTTTTGCTCACCGAATAGGTTGTCATCGTTTACCTTTACCTGGACAGCTGATTATGGGTGAGTTAGTATATCGCCGTCGTATCTGATTGGCTGCAAGTCGTCTGAGGGGTTTTGGATGCGGCACTGTACCTTTGCACAAGCATTCCCCTTCCATTCTGAACTCGTCGAACAGGCTCAATGAATGCTGCGAATGTTATTGGAAACAATCGATAGTGTCGGAGACCTCAAACGACGTCTGGACAGATGTTCCGTGTAGCGGTACCGGAGTGACTTGCAGTGCGGGGATGATATTGGCAGGGTCAAGAAGAAACGTTCGACGTCATTCGACCATATTGCTTTTCTACATACGAAGGTGTTGACTCCGTCTTTGAACGGACTTCGGCATCAGCTGGTCGAAGATTATTCGTCAGGCTTGTCAGTACGATCTACATCACCCTCAAGCAAAGCTTCCAGGTGGTTACGTCCGGCGATGACCAGTTCCGAGAAAGGGAAGACATTTCGAGGTCCATGTTTCCGAGAAGATCAGCCCGACTCGAAAGTGTCTGATTCTCTCGAGTTCCCTCGGCTTTACTGACTGTTTCCACCGGTTGGTTGCGGGGACTCCGTCTGTCCACTCACGCCGAGGGACCATGATTTGGTCTCTCATCGGTGCCTTTTATGGAGTGTTTGTCCTTACTCTGACCAGCAAAGATTGTCCCGCACGGGGTGTCGACTTATTGCCTGCGGGGATGGCCTACTCACCACAGGTAGGTGCCCTCGCTTGCCCGGCTATGATATGACATACTATTCGTTCGTGTTCTTGCGGGGTGAAGTTCTAGTTCTGAGGGGTATGCTTCCTGAGGACAAAACACAAAAGGAGCTCGTTGGCGTGCCTTCAGGCGGCCTCCCAGCAATCATACTTCGTAACAAGCGGCAGATTGAACCCTGTTGTACTTTCCCCGTACACCAGATCTTGTCAAAGTGCTTGAAGATGTCCTTCGTACAGGAAGTCGTGACCAGCCTTACGGGCGGAGGGCCCGAGGTCTATGACCTTGTGGTTGTGGGCAGTGGATTTGCAGGGTCCATGACCACATTGAATTTCCTCGAAGAATGCAAGAAACTCGGCAAGAGAGGGAAAGTGGCTTTGATCGAGGCCGGAAAGGAAGGTGAGCGCTGTGGTGCAAGCAGATGGACAATGGCATACCTCAGACTGGACAAAGACAACAACTTTGACACAGACTGGAAGCATGAAATGAAGCGTGTCAGCAATGGTCTCGCGGATCAAGACTACTGCGCAAAGATGGAGCAGGAAGTCCCGGTCACGGCTCAATATCTTCTTGACCATGGCGTCAAACTCAACCATCACGATGAAAAGAATGTTCTTCTCGAGTTCAATACCAACCAGCATTTTGTATTCCCCGAGGGCGGCGGCAATGCCATTATCAACGCACTGTTCGACAACATCCGCAAATTCGACAACGTGACGGTCATGTGGGAAACCCAGGCCGAACACCTTTTGACCGCAGATGACGGTGTTGTCAATGGCGTCAAGGTCCGCAAGGCTGACGGACGCCTGGCGAAAGTCCACGGTAGAAAGGTGATGCTCGCATGCGGAGGCTTTGAAGGAAACCGGGAAATGTTGGCCCAATACGTCGGTCCAAGGACGGAACATCTCGAGCTCATTGCCCCCGGCTTGAAGTACAACACCGGTTTCGGCCTGAAGATGGGCTTGGAGGTCGGCGCTGCGGTCGCAGGGTCGATGAGTGGGATGCACTGCGAACTCGTTGATACCAGGGCGACAAAACCTGACGCAGTCATTTGGGGCCATGGATATGGCATTGTCGTCAACAAACATTCCAAGAGGTTTTATGATGAAGGGCAGCGACACCTCTTTGGAACCTTCGAAATGATCGCGCTCGAGACATGGCGAGACCAAGACCAGCAGGCATACTTTGTCACAGACAAGGCGATCATGGATCGTTTCCGACCAGGTTGGGTATACGACACCACTGATCAAGAGCCCGAGCAGAGCGACACCATTGAAGGTCTGGCCGAGAAGCTTGGTCTGGATCCCAAGGAGTTGAAGAAGACCGTCGAAGGATTCAATGCGGCTATCAATGACAAGGAGTTCAAGGTGCTAGAGCTCGACGGCAAGAGGACCACCGGCCTTTCACCCGATAAGACGAACTGGGCCAATCCGATCAAGGACCCTCCGTACTTTGGATATCCGATGAAAGCACAATTGACCTTCACGTACGGTGGTCTCAAATGTGATCTCGATTCCAAGGTCTTGTCGACGACGGGAGTTCCGATTCCAGGACTCTACGCTGCCGGAGAGCTAAGCGGGCTGTTCTACAACGAGTATCCACCAGCAACCAGTGTGCTTCGTTCGCTCACATTCGGGCGTATTGCTGGGAAGGACGCCGCGCAGGCGCTTTGAAAACGGGTCGACAAAGGCTCAAGCGACAAACGGATACAAGCAAACATGGAAAGCTCGTGAAAGCGGTCTGGGAGGCGGAAGTAGAAGAGAACGAAATTTCTGGTGACTGAGACGCGTTGTTTACGCTCGATGCCGGCAGACCTGCCTGTCTCGAAATTGTAACCTATATGTGCTTGAGATATCTACCTACGGTAGAAAGAGTGAGACGATATCAGCAGAGACGATGACTGGAACTTCCAAATCGATCGATACAAAGTGATGATGATTTCGACATATAGTGTCATTCTTGAATGCTCAAGTTCTAGGGCCTGCGGATAAAGAACATCGCTTGGGGGGTGACTTTCGGCCGATGAACCATCCTGTATAAGGGACGCATGCCTAAGCTTTGACCTTCAGAAGGAAAGGGTGCTTCAATGCATCGTTCGGTGTAATCCTCTTCTCGGGTCGCAGGTCTAGGCATTTTTCCAGAAGGTCAATGAACTGTTCTAGCTCCTTTCTCTCTTGCTCGTTCATTCGTCGATCCTTAGGCATCAACCTCGATCTCAGATCCTTGACGGGTTTCGGCTTTATATCAATCATGCGCACCACTGTCCGACCGGTGACCTTGTCCACCTCTTCGGACCGAAAGTTGAGCAAATCGTCAAAGTAGTCAAAACTCAAGGAACCCCGCCGGAGCACCTTGTGCGGAAATTTACCTCGACATTCCATAATTGCGCGTAGCATACCGTTATTGTTCCGGCCTGTGAACAGGATTTTGCCAGTGTGAAGCTCGTAAAGAGTGCAACCAATCGACCACATATCCACACCATAGTCATATGGAACGCCAAGAATGACTTCTGGGGCTCGGTAGAAGCGCGACACGAGGTACGGTGCTGTTGCATTCTCGGTGATAGGCGATGCAGAGCCAAGATCACAAATCTTGATAGTGCTTCTCGCCTCGTTAACGAGAATGTTGTCTGGCTTGAGATCAGCGTGAATGTATTGACATTTCTTCAACACGCTCAACCCCATGAACAATTGTTGGGCGTAGGCACGAATTGCCTTGATATTGATGCCTACGTCTCTGCCAAACTTCTTGAGCACCTCTCGAAGATTCATGGAGAGACTTTCGAAGACCATGCACAAATGGCCTTTGTGGTCAAAAGAGCCCTCTAGACGAATGAGATGCTTCTTGTCTTCCGGATCGTTAGCTGCAATGTCCTGCAGTATGTCGATCTCTTTCATGCCTGCCTTCCGCATGGTTTCGTTGTTCCGCACGATCTTTATGGCAACGGCGTTGCCAGTATGTCGGTCAGTAGCTCGGACGACTGATGAAAACATTCCTCTACCAAGGTTTTGAGTAACATGGTATCGATCCTGGATCAGCTCACCGAGAATAGTGTTGTAGTATCCTTCTGCGTCGTCCCAATTGTCCATGAGATTGGCATCAAGAGCTTGAGCGGCCTTTGCTTCGGTCTTTGGTTTCATTGGAGCCTCTGCAAACATGTCATCATCGTCATCCGCATCAGCGAACATGTCAAATTCATCATTTGGCTTAAAAGGGGCTGCAGAAGATTCTTTCATCTGCTCGATGACTTGATGCTCGGCGTGCTCGATCGACGCTTCATCTTCTTTGAACAGACGTTTATCGTGTCGCGCTCGCTCTTCTTCCATATCGGCAGTGGGATCGTAGTCGGCCGCTGAGGGACCATCCGCGGAAGGAGAGCCCTTGAGAGGGTTGCTCAGATCGGTATTGGCATCGAAATTGACCTCGGCCGGAGACTGTGGGGCGGACAGGTCTTGCGGCGTTCGGGGTGCTGATGAAGGTGGCGATTCTTTTTAATGTCAGTCAAGGAGTCGGAAAGGCATTGAGAAACTTACCAGACCGGCCTGGAGTGGTAGCAGCACTTTCTGGCCCAGGACTTGCAGAGTTTGGCCCTGCTCCAAGTTGAAGTGCCTGGACCAAGAGTGGAGAAGCCTGACTTCTATACTTGTTTTTGATGGCTTCTCGTCGCCTACGTCGTTCCTCGATTAGTGCTGCTTCGCCTATGGTCTTGGTATCGTCAACCTCATCATTTACAGCGCCGTTCAATGTAGCACTGAATTCGTTAGGCTGACGCTTGCTTGAGCTTGTATTCTCCGCGACGGACCCTGCACTCGTTCCATCTTTGGCTGTATCGTGGTTCAGAGCATGATTGTTGCCTCGATCTGTTGTCGAAGTAAGACTTGAAGGCTTACCATCTCTTCCGCGCTTGCCGTGTGTGCCCGTCGGTTTTGACTTTCCTTTCTCTGCGTCGTCATGACGTGACCGCCGGTAGGGCGACCGGGTCCTGCTGCGACTTCGCGAGTATGTTCGTGATCTTTTCGCGCCTCGTTCGTCGTATGAACCATGACGATGGTGTTTGTACCTTTCGTCTTCGTATCTCACCGAGAACGTCCGCGAATCGTTGGTCGATCCGCCTCTCGAATGGTCATATTCTCGCGGACGTTTCTCGCCCCTCGGGACTCGGTATGGGGATCTCGAGCGCGATCGATGTGATCTAGGCGTAACGCCATGCGATGTAGAGTATGGTCTGGTATGACGGTCAACTTTGCTGTTATTGTGGAAAGATGGTATGGTCTTTGCCTTCGCTTCCGAGTCTGAGCTGTTTACCTCGCCGTCAGACTGGCTGGGCGATCTCGAAGCCATGGTGAATATGATGGAAAATGTCGTAGGCAGGAACAGGCACCTAGCCTTCGGTTGATAAAAGTGTTAGCCACAGATTCCAAGGTTTTGCAAAAGTTGCGGTTGTAGAGCCCGACCGGTGTTCCCTCCTGTTATCCTTCTCAACTCGGCATCGGATTGAAACCAGGACTCTCTAGGTCTCGCGATGGAGTGTATGTTGAGCGTCTGATCTAGGCAGCTGGTAGCGAAGTAATTGGGAAAGAAAGAATCAAATGTGACGCAGCGAGAAACGTTAGCGAGGCTTCCGGGACTTTAATGCCAAGGTCGTTGCTGATTGGCTCACGGTATGCTAAACGACAAGACCGTCTACTGCCCTTTCATCCCAGATCTATTCGTACTCGTGGAAAGGTTGACTTTGCTCGCACTCATTACCAGGCTCCTTTTCATGTGCTTTCTCGTTTGAGGTAGCATATAGATCGTATACAGGGTGGGAATCGGTCTTCATTTACTTGGCCAAAAAGTCACTCACAAATACTGCCACATCGGTAGGCTTTTCCACCATGGGCAGATGTCCCGCAGCCTCCACAACCTTGAACTCTGCAGACCGTCCCTCAGCCGAGCCCAATTCCTTGGACAGCTTTTCCATGCCCTTGGGCAACATACCATCCCCGGCGCCAACAAGAAAGGCACCCTTGCCTTTGTAAGTCGGCAGCAAGCTCGTGTAATCATAATCGAACAGTGCCTCCACGCCGCGGCTGAACTCGGCCAACGAGTTGGTGAAAACCATGTGCTTGACCTTTTCAATCTCAGGGACTATGCTTGGGTCGTCATATGACTCGGGCACGAACCAGCGCCGGACTGTCAACTCGGCAAGCTCTTCCCCAACCACGGGCTGCGGGCTAGCACTCGAGGACTCGTCACCAGATGCTGATGCGAGACGAAGAGTCTTGCCTTCCTCTTCTGCCACGGCAATGCGCTGACCCCAAGCGTCCTTGTTTCCTGCAGGCGACTTTGCTGATGTGTCGCAGGAGACGAAAGACTTTATTCGTGCGGGATATTTCAAGGCGGTAGCCAACGTGGTTGCTCCGCCCAGTGAGACGCCGACCAAAGCTGCAGCTTGCGGGATTCGCAAGCTGTCGAGGAGTTGAATGATGTCTGAAGCAAGCAGGTCAACAGTCACCGGCGACGTGGTACCACTTTGAAATGTGCGCCCACGAGACAGAAAGCGAAGGATGCGGTATTTGTGGTTTTCCGGGGTGGAGAAGAAGTGCTTGATGAACCGATCCCAGATATTCCAGGTGACAAGGACGGAGTTCACAAGAACAAGCACAGGGGAATCATCAGCGGAGTTGCCTTCCAGGCGGAAGGGGAGAACCGCGCCGTCTTGTGTCGTCACGGTAGACTCTATTGCTGAGCCGGCTGGGGAGACGTGAGGAATCGTCTTGGTGACCCCGTCCGGGTGAGTCCAGGGAGCCACGATCGCAAGATGCCGAGCAGCTCCACCGAAGGTATAGAAGAGGTCATATTTTCTGGTTTTGCTGTTTGAGAGCTCGACAGGTGGGTTGTTGTAGATCCCAGTGATTTTGGGTTCGGCGGTTGGTGTAAACTCGAAGATCACAACTATCTCGACCTTTCCGTCCTTGCGGGGTTCCAGGTACGAGTTCTTGAACCACGAGACTCTTCGCCATCCAGGAACCGTTTCAACCACCGGGATGACCGATTGCTTGATCCAATTTTCGGCTTGAGCAACTTGGCCTGCCTCAAGCTGGAATCTGCACGTCGTCAGACCATTCCCACCGAGGTTCTCCTCGAAGTGCTCAGGCGACTCGAGCTTGACAAAAGTCTTATCGTTGGCCTTCTCGCCCATGAAGTCGAAAAGCATCCTATCGACCCAGATCTGTGCCATAACGTCGATTTCACGCTGGGTCTTACCTGGCGGTGCTCGCAGGTACTGATAGGGTTCCTCCATTAGTTGTTGCATATCGGTGATATCGTAGATGGCCAGATACTCTGGCTTGTCTTGCGTTCCGTTCTTGGTGCCTTCAAGGTCCGTCGCTCGGTAACGGAAGCCATTCGGTATAAACGGGAGTCGTGTTCGATTTGGTCCGTGTTCGTTGTTGTACCAGTCGTGGAAACGTACGTCAGATAATGTCTCTTTGGGCTGCATGGTCACAAAGAGCAGCCCACGAGTGGGCGTTGAGGACGCCATGATGGCGGAACGGATGCAATTTTTGGCCTCACCACAACCTTGAGCAATGCGTCGTTCCCAATGGTGCAGTGTATTATCTGATGAATTTCATGCGTCGAGCGCTGCCTCTGCGCTGGGCTTCAAGGAAGTACAACCCCTCGATAGTCTCTATCCAGCTGACGATAAGGCAACTTAAGGCACTTTGAACATGTGGATTGCCTCGACCTACGAAGCTGGGAAACCTTTGATACCAAGACTAGTCGCTGAACAGCTGTTGTTGTCGGGATTCCTCGGCATCAATGGGAGGCGCCTCAATAGGCGGCCTGGAAGCAAAATTGCCGTGCTTAGATGCCTGGCTCTAGGTGCATTGCCGGTCATCGGAACGAACCCCGCCTTCCCTGTACGGAGCAGAGCGCCTGGAGAATCTCGACTAAATGCGTTTGTGCGTATGACGTTGAAGAATGAGGTCTATTTGTACGAATCGGAGACTCACTAAAGGTTTACCACTGTTACAGTGCAGAATTTGCTTGATCTAGTCATACCAGATGGCATTCATTCCGAAGCCAGGCTCCTTGATGTCAAGATGAGCCACTCTAGAAAGGTACTCGTCGTGCCAACGGTAGATCTCTATCCAGCCGTCCTGATCGTCTGTCAAAGCCAACCACTCATCAGTCCAAGGACAGGGGCTTACAGCATTCGAATGGCCACCACTGTTCGGCGTGGGACTGATACATAGCTGTCGCTCTATCTGACCCTGGGGACCGAGTCTGAATGCGCTGATATAGCCCGTCACGCTGTGCGAATTGGAGCGTGCAGTTGCAAAGAGATACTGTCCGCTCTGAGAGCAAAAGACGACATCAGACCGATACATTTTCTTGAGATCTTTTACACCTGTATCCTGAATTAGCATGCACGTTCTCTAACCAGATATTGAGAGAAGGCTCACCTGGGGGCACGAGCGGGTAGATAGTGTGCGTAAAGACAGGAAGATGCGTGGTTTCGTCAATCACATAGACGCCCAATCTGTTCCCAGCTTCCATCAACACGTAGAGGTAGTGTCCACTGGGGTGCAATTCGACCCAACGGGGATGGTCGCCTTGTGCTGGTGCATCAACACTGCCGACCATGGTGAGGGTGCCGTCGGCGGCTTTCTTGTGCGTCCAGACCTTGTCTGCCCACATGTCGGCAGAATAAAGGTATGTTTCTGAAGGGTCGAAGACCATGCCGTGAATAGCCGACTTTTCACTGTACTCGTAGTTCTGGATGTTCTTGTCCAGTTTGCCACTCTCGTCAATGGAAAACACGTTGCCGAAGCCAGCGTGCTCGTAGAATGGATTCCCATAAACACAATAAGGCGGCTTCTTGGCTGCTAGGACAAATATCGCCCTTGTTCTAGTATCGGAGCTCTGTGCCTGGGCTGTCGCTGCATCAGTTTCGAGGTGTACTCGTGACGACGTGCGGAATCTTACGATCATGGCTCATGGGATGCGACACCTGGTGAGCAATATCGTCTGGTGCTTTGATCATATGGCTTGACCACTTCTTCATGGAAGCGCCATAGATGTTCCTCCGGGCATGCTAAGAAACAACGATACTCAGCCCCCATCCGTCTTCTTGAGACGTCATTCACGACCGTAGCTTACATCGAAGGTGATCCATGATATTGGCTCGTCCTCTGGAATGGACGTTCTTTTCACCAACTTCAATGTCCCTGCGTCGTCATCGAACTCGACTGTGAATATGGCTCCAGGAGGTGTCCATGTGCCGATCATCAGATGGTGCTTCATCTCGAGGACATGAACGGTTTTCACAGAAACATGGTATTATCACATGGCCTCGGAATGTCCGACTATATCGGATCCCCTTGCAATATTCACGCATGTAAAAGCGTTGACGGAATGCTCATCTTTACAAGATGCCGACGACTACTGCCGAGACCTGCAGAAACAGCCGGATGTGGGATGGTAATCAACTCAATCCGTCAAAGCCTGGTCGGTGCGGGGTCTGGAAGCTTAGGTGGCCGTCATTCCGGGCATGTTCATTGCTAAAGGTGCTTGCCTATTGGCGAGGCATGGAAAACGGCAACCAGACGCGGCAACCCCAGGTTTTCTGGGGAGAAAGATATTCCCGTCACGAGCTTCTCCCTTGACTTGTTTTGCCAGTTCGAGCAGCTCAATTGGGTGCCCACAACTCGCCCACTTTCGGCAGGAAAGGGCGTCGTTTTTGGCTCGAGCGAGAGGAGCCGACCTTCTCTGCCGGCTGATTCGACTCCGGTCTTGAAAGCATATAAGCTCTTCAGGATGGCCCAGGACGACCCTGAGTCTTGCAATTGCCTCCCCTCATTGAGTCATCGTCACCAGCCCTTTGCTATTGTTTCTTCTTCATTTTCGGGCCTTCTGATTCACTGCGAGCACTTTCCACTTCTGAAAACGCTCGACTTCCAAGCACACTCCCGCAAAGATGTCGCTCCACGCTATGACCGTCACTGATGCCAACGGCACGACGGCGAATGGGCAAGCCAAAACAAATGGCACCACAAATGGCACCACTCACAATGATTTCAAATATGACCCCCACTTCACGGACAGTGTGATTGAGAGCATGGGTCCAGCGACCCCAGACCGGGCCAGATTTTTGTTAGGCAAACTGATCAGACATGTTCACGACTTCATTCGTGAAACCGAGCTCACGCCAGAAGAATGGATGAAGGGTGTGCAGTTCACCAACGCCATCGGCCAGATCAGCGATTCCAAGAGGAACGAGGGTCAACGAATCTGCGACGTCTTGGGCATTGAGTCGCTTGTCGACGAAGTTGCCAACAAGATCATGCTCGACAGCGATGATACACCAACATCGTCCACCATCCTCGGCCCTTTCTGGAGCCCACACGCTCCCTTCCGTGAGCTTGGAGAAAGCATTGTCCAAGACCCTTTCCCCGGCGGCAAAGTCACCCTGATGCACGGCACAGTGAAAGACAGCAAGTCTGGCCAACCTATCCCCAACGCCGTGGTGGACATCTGGCAAGCTTCTGCCAATGGTAAGTACGATTTCCAGGACGATGATCAATCAGTCAACAACCTGCGCGGCAAGTTCAGAACCACCGACAAGGGAGAATACTATTACTATTGCTACCACCCCACAGCATACTCGCTGCCCACTGATGGACCTGCTGGCGTCCTACTGAGACTGATGGACCGCCACCCAATGCGACCGGCTCACATCCATCTGATGGTCAGCGCCGACGGGTACAAGTCCGTAACCACACAACTCTACCCTCGTGACGACCCTTACGTGACTAGCGACTCTGTCTGTGCTGTCAAGGACGACCTGTTGCTCGACTTCAAGCCGTCAAAGGATTCCAAGGCCGAGTTGGATCTTGAATATAATGTTACCTTGTCGAAACTGAAACCTGGCCAAAAGGCCGGTTGGGTGCACTCAGTTTTCTGATTTTTGCTGTATGTATCTGAAGCGGATTTTTGTTATGGATGTATGCTGTTCCGGTGATCCTGTTAAGGAGTGTTGTGGTTAGGAAGCAACAGGCTGAATTATGTTGTAAGATATTTGCCCAATGACATATCCACGAACATCTTAGCTTTCACATTTTAAGGACTCAACTAGTAGTGGCAAGCCTTCCAAGAGAGAAGAGATCGCTTGTATGATATAAAAAGTGTCTCATCTGCTCCTTGGTATTTTCTGCGCTCTCATCCGTCTTCTCCTCACTCGACACCCCACACAAAATGCGGCTTCCCTACGCACCGTCCACACCTCCCGCAGATGCGCCATCATCTGTGGCAGAAACCTATGCTCGCATAGCTGCACGTCGCCGTCCACGACCACTCATCCCGCTCGATCTGACGCTGCTTCATTCGCCGCCTGTAGCGAACGGATATAATGCTTTTGTGGCCGCTCTTCGTACTGAGACAATTGTGCCACAGTCTCTGCTTGAGCTGGCGATTTCCCGGGTCGCCATTCTGACTGACGCGGTCTATGAATGGAATATCCACGCAGCGTTGGCATTGAAGGCAGGCCTATCACCTGAGGCATTGGGCGTTGCCAAGGGGACACTAAAAGGCAACGTCCAGCATACACAGGAGGGATTGAGCGAAAAAGAGACGGCAGTGCTGAGATACACGGATGAAGTCACGGTTGATGTCAAGGTGAAGGACAATACCTTCAAGGACCTGAAGGAATTCTTCAACGACAGGGAGGTACTAGAGTTGACCACGGTCATCGCTGGGTATAATGCTGTCAGCAGAATTTTGGTACCACTCGATGTTGGCGAGAATAATGACAAAAGCATGAAGACTGTCCAGCAGTTAGTGGATGACTTGAAGGGCTGAAATCTGAAAACAGTCCTCGAGGAACGTAGCAGCTTCATCCATTAATCGGCAATGGGTGAGAGGAGCCAACCAGATTCGAAGGCAGCCTTCACCGCCCTTGATGTTCGCGGAGCCATTGACTGAGAAGCACCATTGTGTCCATGAAGTAGTGCCGGTAGGGGCAGTTTGAGAGTTCTGTACGAAACATGCACATATGAGCGGACCGGACGTTAGACCATATTACAAGCCACCAGGAGAGCAATAAAAAAAATGCATGTGAAGCCTTAGGATCTGGCCGGGATTAGCCTTCCAGCGGCGGCCAAGACCAATTGGCGAGGCAAATGTCATTCGAGGCTGCGGGCAACCGATCTGACATTTCTTTCATTTATGTCCTCTTGCGCCAGATCTTTCAGCCTTCAACCTCATTAGACAACTTACCTGCTCTCATCCACCTCTTCTTCAAACGCCATAGTCATCATGGGCGGTGCAAGTCGTGAAGGTAATTTGGCCTAAACTGTCAAATCGCAAATCAGCTCTAACTTCAAAAAGGCGGCAAAGCCAAGCCTTTGAAGGCACCAAAGAAGGAGAAGAAGGAAGAGGACGAAGATGAGATCGCGTACAAGGCCAAGCAAGCCGCAGGTGCGTATAGCGGACAATTCAAAGGCTGTGAACTTTTGCTGATCGATATTCCTAGATGCTAAAGCGCGAAAGGAAATGGCCGAGAAGGCAAAAGGCAAGGGACCCATGAACGCTGGTCAACAGGGAATTAAGAAGAGTGGAAAGAAATAAATGCATAAGAGTGAGCGTCGAGGTCTACAGTGGTGGTTATGAGCGATGCGTATATCCTGGCGCTGGTGGTATGACTATTCCTTGGGTTGCAAGACTGATTCGATTGCAACAAATGAAAACCAGCATTGATTGATGTCCATCCGGCTCTTCGCAGCTCTCATGCTCTGTTCGCACCCCGTTGGCTTGATGATGCTGCCTCTGATTGCCGTCTCAGCCTGATTTCCGCAAGAAGCACTTTGCAAACAAAGACAAGAAAGCCCAAACCCTGGCCCTGTCGTTGAGTACAAGGGATCCGCATTCAGAACACCAAGCAATCGTCAACGTTCCCGTTATGAAAGATAATGATGTTTTGTCAAGTTCCGAGACTTTTTGTGCTTGTGTCGACACCCTCTCGCTGAGCAAAGCCTGAATTGGACCTGTGTTGTTGCTGATGAAAAGATGCCATCGTCGGGAACGTTTGATCAACCCTGATGAATTGTGTTGCTTGCGATGAATCATATGAAACTTCCCCAAAACACAGAAATTAATACAATGAAGGCAGTCGGACGCCACGAGAGCAAACTTTCCGCGTTGCCCATATAACTGACGCCCTTTCTGACCACAACTGCTATTCTGCCTCACCCACATAACAAACCAAAGAAGTACTTCCTTGGGTCTAGCAGACAGAAGTCGCCTCGACGCTTCCAGCTTGTGTGTAACACCCGCATCTCGCACACAAGCCAATACTATCTCATTCTGCTCTTCCGATTGACCTTGCCCACTCCACGATCATCTACCATGGAAGAAGCTGGTGCTCCTCCCGCGCCTCGCGAAGACCGTGGTCCTCGCATTCCCCCAGCTAAACTAGCAACGTGAGTATCAATGTCTCACCCACAACATTACCTTGAACTCACACCTCACAGTATCAAGCCCGACCCAACCATCTCCATCTTCTACAAGCCTATCAAGTCTGCGCCGTCACAGCTCGTGGACGGCAAATTCCCTCGAGATGCGGCCATGATCTTCTGTGACCGTATCCGCCACGACCTCATGGACTACAACAGCAAATCTTTCACCATCACAGGCGGCGATTTGACTGCCCACAAGGAAACCTTGGCTTGGATCAAAGAATGCATCGCTGAACAGAGCACCGTCAAATACAAGGAAGTAAGTTTGAACCTGCATCACCCCCCAACCTGAAGATCGTGGCTAATGACATACTTTAGCTTGATGACAGCGTCCCTGCGCTCTTCAAGTCTTACGCCAACATCATCGTCACAGCGACATACCTCGGCATACCTGGACGCGACCTTGGTGATGGCCTCCTCAAGCGCATGCAAGGCATTGCCCGCAAAGTGCTCATGACCTGGGACGAAGTTGAATGGTTCTACAAGTCCCCGACCCTAGATACCTGCAGCACTTCACTCCGCGAAGTCGCCGCCGCCAGTGTTTTCTGGGGATGGTGGACTGCCAAGCTCGACGAAGAAGAGACCCCTGAAGACATGATATTCCTTGACGTCTTGAGACAAGAGATCCCCAAGCTTGACCGTGACCTGCACGACTGGTGTGAGCGAAACGAGCAGGAAGTGCGTAAGAAATGGGAGGAAAAGAAGAAAGCGAAAGAAGCAGAGGCATTTGGAAATACTGGGGACTTTTCGTCCGGTGGTGGTGGAGGCGGGTGGGACAACGCCGCACCAGCTACCACAGGCGGTGGTGACTGGGACAATGCTGCTGCTCCTGCTCCTGCTGGTGGAAATGACTGGGAGAATAGTGCTCCTACTACTGCCGCTGTTGGTGGTTGGGACAACGCTGCTCAGAGTGTCAGTGCCGGGGGCGGCTGGGATGCAGACCCTCCCCGTTCGGACGAAAACAAGCCCTTCGGCTTCGACTCTGGTATCGTGCTCGATAGAGACGCAACAACTCCAGTTGATCACAAGGACGAAAATGCTTTCAACGGCTTCAATCCACCACCAGGAGGATACGGAGCTGCTGCTCACGACGAGTTCGATTCTGCAGAGGGCGGCCATGGCGGAGACTGGGCTGACGAAGTCATCAATCAAGATGAGCAGCAGATTGAGCGTCACAATCAGTCCTGGTAAACGCCGCTCTATCTGACTGTCTCACAACAAACAGTGGCAAGCTAAAGAGCTTTCCGAAACTATCGAGTGATCGCTGCTGAGCATTCGCGATGTGGGTCTTGGGCTGCGACAGAACAATTGTGATGAATGAGGAGCCTATCAGCGCATATACTTTGTAGAAAAAGAGTCACTGATTGTGGCGATCAATGATATGCTCGTGCTTACGACTAGTCGAGGCGCAGCTGGTATCATCCGTGAGTAAGTCGTCGGGATTGTTCAATTGATGAGATGCAGTGCACCCAACTCATCAATGCACTATGGTGTTTTGTAAGACACACATCAGCCTCTATGGCAAGTTGGACGGGAGTTGCAAGTCTTTTACTGTCAACTGTTGATTAAAATGAACTATGAACTACACTTCTGGTGACTTGATGTGTTATCGCAGTCACATCGGAATGGGATCCCAAGCTTCCATCAACCCTTTCGACTAGCAAGGCACTTGATGAAGCGTGCCCTTAAGCAACGCGCCTTCGATTGCTCCCTGACTCCGCAGAAAAGAACCCGATGAGAAACTCCGCTGACAAAACAGTATTTCCCAAACTAAAGAGCCAAGGTTGCAGCCTGTTCATCAAAGGCTAGGCCATTGGCTTGACCATCTCGTTGTCATGCGCAAGCATAAGATGCTTAAACCCTAACGGCAGAGGTGGCAGTAGATGCGAGGCTGTTGAGTTCCGTCAAGATTGACTGAAGGACGGATTCGACGTCTGAGACAAGACCACTGGTGTCGACGGTGGTGGTGAGGCCCTCGGCGGTGCTGAGGAGCGACTCAACCTGGGCGATAACGCTGCTCAAGTCGCTGGAAACACTGGTAAGCGACACTGAAGAAGTCACACCGCTGACGATGGACTCCAGTTGGGTGAGAATGCTGGTCAATTCGGACACGATGCCGGTAACATCGGTCACTGCACCACTGACAATACCGTTGAGGGTCGTCTCAACCTTGTCGAGCGTGCTTGGAAGACCGGACAGGAGGCTCGTTACGTCACTAAGGATATCGCCGAGAAGATCGGTGACCGGGTCCAAGTCGACCTGGCGCTCTTTGATCATCATGCCTTCGACCGCAGCCACGTCTCGCTTGAGCGCCTCAAGAGCGCTGCTGAGTTTGGCACCTGTATCTTATGGTGGGTATGCTTGCAAGTGGTCGGAGACAGTGCAGACATACCATTGTTCTTGGTGAGAGGGATGGCCAGAGCCGAAGCACTGAGCAAAAGGGTTGCAAGGACCGCCGATGGACGCATCTTGATGTTTGTTGATGGGCTATAGACTGCTTTGGGATATCAGAGAATGTGGAAGTGTCTGAAGAGAAGCTGGGTGTTGAGCAAACTGTTGAACGAGTGACTGATGAAGCTGATGATGGCGGAGGAGAAGCCAGAACAGGAGCTGAAGCACGGTTTATATAGTTCTCTGGGACAGTGTTGCGACCGTGCTGATGTTCGTCTCAGCTCGAAGGGTCAGTCCCGAAGATATGCCAATCGACCCTAGACTCGGGATCAAATGTCACTGGCGAAAAGGTAGAATCGCAGTTAGGACAACAACTGATTGTCGTAGATTTCGTCCTCTCACACTGATCGTGAGGCTCCATTGCTGTGGTCTGCCCATGAAGCGGAATTGGCAACGACGATCAGTTCAGCGGAGGTCCCCATATGCCTTGGTCAGCCCAATGAAGCGGGATCTGCCAGCACGTAATAACGCATCCTCTTGCAGCCAACTTGACTGACAGAAGTGGGGTCTTGAAGCCCCAGATATTCAGGGGAGGCTGTGCTCCATTCTCAACCCGGGTTTCGTGCGGCTCTGGGTAGCGGTCGATCCTTGGAGTCTAAAGTGACGAGGCTGTAACATAATAACGTAAGAAAATTACCTCAACACTCACGCCGCATGCAATACGCAACACGGAGGTCTTCTGAAGTGTGCGTAGGTTACCGGATGCTATGGGAGGAAGTTAAAACGATAATCGGTACCGTTAAGCTTGATCAGCTTCAGAAACTATCATGAAACAGTAAGCCCCATCAAAAAGTATGCCTAGGTTGCCCCGGCCCCGACTGCCTGTCACCGTCGTCCCCATCTTTCTCGTTGGCCCGAGCAATGACTTGTCGCAGATATGACAGACAGCGGGTCATCGGGAATTTGCTCAGGGCAGAGCCGCATAGTACCTTCAAAGGTACACAAGACCGTTGGGCACGGGGTACGACCAGGGTAACATTGTCGTCATTGCTTGTTCCCCGTCCCCTGTCAGCGGCAGTTGCCATCTTCATTTTCCCTGTGTTCGAACCAACGTCCGGTCAGTGCGGAGGATCTGCTGCTGATTAGGTCTCGGAGGATCTTCTCATTAGTGAAGTCGGGGATTGATAGGCGGGGTCACAAACCAGTCGTGAAAGTCGAACTGTCTCTGGACGAATCGCGATGGTGTGATGCGATCAGCACACTTCTGCAACTATTGTCCACGAAGAACACAGCGAGATTGCACAAGAAGGATCTGCGTGGACAATTCTCTTTTGATATGGCTCGCTCTGAAACGCATCGTGATGACATCTAGAAATGTCGAAGTTGAATTGCAGGGCTGCTATCAGGCATGCAGAAGATCATCACAGCAAGGCGACTTCGGGAAAGTTGGCCAAGAAACACAGACTGAACAACCGGAGGAGAGAGAAGAGTACCGAGATTTAGGGGGCAGTGAAAACTTGGAGAGATATAAGGGTGCTGAGAAGATGATCACGAAGAACCTCGAGGAGGTGGCAGAATTGTGGAAGGACCAAGACGAGTGGTTTGTTCTTTCGTGCCTTCCGTCAAGTCTTCGAGTGAGTTGAGTTTTCATGTTCACTGCTTCGCAAGTGTCACACACTCTTCACAACATTTGGCTGCGGCATCTAATGTTCATTCCACTCATCTCGATGAAATTGTCCTCACAGTTTGAGGCAGACTATTGACAAACAGCTGAGTCGATCTATTGTGGTAAACATGAAAGCATCCACCCCCTTCTTCCTTGTTGCGCTGTTGCTGTCCCACGTTCACTTGTGCATGGGTACTCTTGAATCCCGTCAATCATGCAGCTCAGACTATGCACTCTGTTCACCTCAAGGTGCTTCGATTCGGGACATCCCCCCTATTGGACCTGGTCTTGCTAGGCTCTATCTCAACCTCATTGAGACTGTCAATCCTCAGCCGGCACAAACCAACGGATCTTCCACTGCTGCTTCAGCACACGAAGCAAGACAGGGAGTGGCTACACTTTGCTGTGAGTGTTTGAACAAGTGACACTGACACGAGGAACGCCTTGGGAAGAGTCTGACGTGGACCAGGTGCATCCAACACTCTCTGCATTCTCGTGCTCAGCTACAACATCCCCTGCTGTTGGGTATGTCCCTCCCTTCCACCAACGCCCTACCAGGCTAACAGAATGAACTTAGGACCACTTTACCACAAACTACTATTTCGTTGATGGCTCCTATGGCTCGGTCACCACAGGAAATTATACAACTCCTGCAGGAGACCACGCAAACCTCATCACTGGAGAGTACGAGTTGGCAAATGGACAAATGGGAAACATCTACCAAGGAGACACAGGAGCAGAGCCCAATACTTCAAGTCTAGCCTTGCCCACGCCATTCACAAGCACAGGAGTAGGATCGGCCATACCAGCGAGTGCAGTCGGAAGTCCACTGACAATCACCTCCTACACCTCGTCGATGCTAGCGCTGACTCCACCCTCTGCCACTTCCGGCTTGAGCAGCAGCGACGTTAGCAGCTCGATGGTGAATGTGACGACCAGTATGGAAAGTGCCCCAGTGGGGACTGAAAGCAGTCAATCCTCTGTTACCACTGTTTCGCCCACCCAATCTCAGATCACGCCACCCATGAGGAATGACGCAGCAGCAGCACCCTTTTGTGGAAGGTTGGTGCTGCAGACAATCATTTTTATTGCAGCTGGAATGCATGTCTGGCCGCTGTAGACCTTGCATGCAAGAGTCCCCAATCACCACGCAAATGACCGCGACCTTGTCGGCGCGGAGGATTTGGCAAGAGTCATGCGCACCGGCCATTGTCATCTTACATCGACCGGGCAATTCATGTGACCGGTGAATGAAATGGAATTCATGTTGAAATGGAAACTGATGCTGGCTGGATGTGACACGGAGTTGCGAGGCTGAGACACCACGACGATGATGTCAAATAATGAAGCAAGAGCTGACATGGATGTCACCCGGTGTATCGACAACAAATAATCCTGCCACCAAGGCCCGAGTACATTGTGCTGTCAAATAACTATGAGAATCCGTAATCATGATCGAAATAAATACCGTCAAAACGGCCAGGCACCGAACCAGTCTGGGCAATACATTCGTAGTTCCTTGTGATCGCTTGCATGTGCTTTCAAGGTCAGGAAGAGCTCCCCTGACCGTTCGCTTAGTGGGGAGGGGAAATGCCCCAAGGACCCTGAATATCAACGGCTTGCAAGGATGACTATCATTGGTGGTTAAACGCCGTTGTGGAAGCTTTGGAAGGAAACCCTTGAAGGAAAATGCCGCCAGACTGCGCCTGGATCTGCTGATTCATCTCAACCACATTTCGCATCGCTACCTTACAGAACAACCTTTCTGCGGCCGCCTTATTCGTACCTCGTTTTGACGAGTCGATCCCAAATGAACCCCGTTCACATCTTAACCGCAACTCCTCTTTCCTCCACCGGTTTCCCTCTCAAACCCTTCAACAACCTTGTCTGTTTGTCGCTGCTGGCTATTGTCTCGGAATGCGCTCGGCAAACATGACATGACGGCCTAAGACGTCACCTCATCGGTAGGAAAGATGGACGACATCTTGGGCGACGATCTCCCACTCCCGCCGGCCAGACTCTATGAGCGACTTGCACAAATCCCCAACTATACCTGGGATCGTTCGGTAAGATTACATGACAACGATCCGAAGAACCGTGGCTAACTACAGTACAGTTCCAACCATTCCATTCGAGTTACGATCATTGGTACGTCCTGACCTTGAATAGCAGCTGTACCGAGCATAAACTGACCTCGTGGTGGCATTGACGCAGGCATGTTACCGGTCTCCTCCACAATCCTGATGGTATCAACCCTCGAGCGTCCCAGAGTACCTTGACGACCCTTTCCGCCCTCTCCGGTTCTAGCAGAAGTTCCCCTAAACTCGACCCTCACCGTCCTTCCCTCAGACATCATCACTGGAGTAGCATAAGTGGTGCCTCAACCGACAGCGAGAATGCATCATCCCGGGATGAACATGACACAATATGGCAGCCGGTCATTGCCCGCATCAGCACTCATGTGCTGCGTCTCGAAAGGGAGTTCCAGTATAATCACACAATCATGACAGCATGCGACCCCAATTGTGAACACACTGTCAGACCGTTAGAAATCCATAGGCTGCCCACATTACCGGGTGATGAACAACCCTTGGTTGTTGCCATATACGAAACTCCTGGGAAGAACTACCTGCGCGAACTACTGGACTTCGGGCCGGCCTTCTACGGTCTTAATCACCAAGGTCACAACTCTGACAGCACTCCCGGCGAGCGCATTGCTCTTCAAGCCTTCTTGGACTTCGCCATTGGTGCAGCTGAGGCACTCGAGTTACTCCATCATGGTGCCAACCTGGTCCATGGCGAAATTCGAGGTGACAGTTTCCACTGGAACCGCGAACGAAACTCCGTGAAGATCGTAAATGGTGGAAACGGCCCTCGGGCCTTCGACAACGTTCTTTCGAGTGATTCATGGGCAACGTTGAGTCGCGAGATTGGTGTCAAGAACAAGCTACAATTCATCGCTCCAGAACAGACAGGACGCTTGCCTGCAGACCCTGATAGCCGAACAGACATTTACAGCCTTGGAATCCTATTCTGGACCTTGTTGACTGGACAGCCGGCGTACGATGCAGATACGCCAATTGACATTGTCCAGAAGGTTCTAACACACCGTGTGCCCATGGTCAGCGCAATTCGCATGGACATTCCCGATGCCGTTGCACACATTATCGCCCGAATGACCCAGAAACAGATGGACGAGCGCTACCACTCAATCTCTGGGTTGAAATATGATTTGTTACAAATCCAGAAGTTGTTGGGCGAGGGAGACCAGGAAAAGATCACGAAGTACAAGGTTGGACTGCGGGACGTGTCTTCTTTCTTTATTCTGCCGACGAAGCAGTTTGGACGAGACGCCGAGATTGAAAAGATCACGAAGATCATCGACAAAGCCCACAAACGTCAGATCTCCGGCGCCGTGCGCCCCTCGCCATCGCAGCAGGGCCTTTTGAATGCTGCGTCCAATTCTTCAGTCTCTGACGGTCGGCCAGACGGAGGGGAGCCGGGAGAAGGCTCCGACTCATCCAGCTCATTCGGTTTTAGGGAATCCCGCAGTAATTCTACGACTATCGGCCAGGATGGTCCAGTATTTACACCCTCCTACGGCAGTAAGACGAACCCGCTGGGAAGACGCGCTCGAGATTCTCGTGGTACGCCCCTTGATCTGTTGTCGGATCGAGACAGCAATCTATCTGGTGGGATACAACCAGCAACTGACACCCTACCGGGTATGATGACCCGCCGGAGAAACAGCCACAAGTACAAACGGCGAAGCAAGACCGAGGTCATCACAATCGTAGGCGCATCTGGAGTCGGGAAGACCGCCCTCATCAAAGCCGTACAACCCTCGATTCGCCGTCATGGCTATTTCGCTCTAGCAAGATTTGATAGAGCGCGTCCTTCACCTTTCGAGCCATTGATCAAAGTGATGGGCAGCCTGTTCAGACAGATCTTTTCAGAGAAGGATGTCAATACACCATACCATGAACACCTTCGAGCGCATGTCACTCCTATTTGGCCTATCCTGCATTCCATGCTGGACCTACCTGCAACCCTGCTCGATGTTACAGTGTTGTCCAAAAAGCTCCTGACAAAGAATGACGGCACAAACCAGAGCGTCAATACCGAGGTTCCTACTGTGGACAGTGGTCCAAAAGCTAATCCCGGACAATCGAATCCTGGAGCCTGGGATGCCAATGACTTCCTTCGCGGTCCGTCAAACACCAAGTCTATTCGATTGATCAATACCTACATGGACGTCTTGCGGACCATATGTACCGGAAAACTGATCTGCCTTTGCTTGGATGATTTGCAAGCAGCAGATCCGGAGTCCGTCGACTTGCTGATGCACATCATAAAGGCGAAGGTTCCTATTGTCCTATTGTTGTCTAGCCGTGTCGATGATGGTCAAATTCCCGAATTGACTTCGAAGATTCTGGAGCTTGATTCGACAAGCAAGATTGAACTTGCTAACCTTCGGGAGAGGCATGTATTTGAGTACGTTGCTACCACTATGTCCCAGTCCGTGGAGACCGTGATTCCGTTGGCAGCAGTGGTCCACGCAAAGTCTGAGGGCAACCCATTCTTGATGAAAGACATCCTCCAGACTTGCTATCAGCGTAATTGTCTGTGGTATGATTGGAAGGAATCGGGCTGGCAATTCGATCTGGACAGAGTCTTCAATGAGTTCAGCTCAGAAGGCTGCACCGACAATCAATACTTGATAGGGCGCCTTCAGGAATTACCTCCAGCCGCAAGATCAATCCTTGCCTGGGCGTCTCTAATTGGGACGACATTCTCGTTCAAGCTAATTCAAACTATCATGACAGGACAACATTTCTACAGCTCGGGGCGAGATCAGGAACATGATGCGACCTGCCCAAAACGTGCGAAGATGTTCAACCTCTCCGAGGCTGATTGTGTGAGTGGTCTACAACAATTGGTCAACATCTATATTGTGACGCCTAGTCAAAGCGATGACGAGTTCAAATTCACACATGCACGGTACTTAAAAGCGGCGAATGACATGCGGGAGTGTCAAAACACTACCAAAATGCATTTCATCATTGCTCAGACCATGATGGACTATCTCAGTCAATGCAGGTTCAATCTGTATTCCTTGGCACGACATATTTGTATGGCGTCAGACATCATCAAGGAAAGGGTTCCAGCACGGATGCGTCACCGAGATGTGCTGTGGCGAGGAGCGCAGAAAGCACTCGAATCTGGAGCAAAGCCTACTGGGTTGTGGTATTACAGGTCTGCAATAAAGCTGTTGCAAGATGACAAATGGAACACGGATGACTCGGATGTCTTCTATGACGAGACCCTTCAACTACTCGTTAATTGCGCCGAGATCATGTATCTCCAGGGTGAAACAGACGAGGCATTAGCACTTCTGGAGGACACTTTCAGGCATGCGCGCTGCTCTGCGGATAAGACCAGGTCATATATCTTGAAAGGCAGGATCCTGTCACATCGAGGCCAGTTCCTTGCAGCTTTTGACTCCCAACGGGAATGCTTGGTGGAGCTTGGCCTGCCAATGCCGAAACAATCTTGGGAGCAGTGTGATATCGAGTTCAAGAAACTGGAATACCGGATACGAGAAATGGACCAGGAAGAACTTGTTTCAAGACCATTGAGCAATGACAAGAGCGTCATCGCATTAGGTACGGTCCTGAGTGAAGCTTTGGGTTCACTATACTGGTCCGATGCATTGCTATGGTACCAGCTGGTTATTGAGTATGTCAATACTGTCTTGGACCGGGGTGTCATGATACAAGCTGGGCTAGGTTTCACAATGTTGGGAGCCGCAGCGATTGGCCGATTCAAAGACATCGAGTTGGGACTGCTGTACGGCGAGATCGGGCACCAGTATTACACCCATTTCGATGATTCCTGGACGCGTGGTAGAGGCTGGACCCTATTTACGTTGTTCATCGGCCATTTTCAGACACCAATCCGCAATCTGCTGCCCATTTTGGACAATGCACTCGAGTATTCCTTGTCGTCCGGCGACCGGTTCGTGAGCATTCTCAATATTGGTGTGATGGCTGTGTCAAGGTTCTGGGCCGGACAGGATCTCGCAGAGGTCGAGGCTTTCTGCAATTATGGACCGGAAGAGTTCGAGGAATGGGAGAACGACCGCCGAGGCGGTACTCTTCTGACGGCCACCAGACAGGTTGCCCGTGCCTTGCAAGGCAAAACTGGGATTGGGAGTGTCGAGACAGTAATGGACGATGAGCAACACGACAAGAAGAAGTGGCTCGCAGAATGTGCCGTGTGGGCCTCGAATGCTAACCGTCCTCAGGACATCTACCATGCAATGTCATTCGTGGCCTATCACATCCTGGGATACCACGATTACGTGATTGAAATTGGTACGAAACTGCTGGACACAACTCTCGATGAGTTGTGGTCGAACAGGCCTGCTTTTGGGACACGATTCTACGTTGGGCTGTCTTTGATGGCTGTTGCGAGGGAGAAACCCGAGGAAGAGCGTGCTCCTTACATCGAAAAGGCAAAAAGCTTGAAACGGGAGATTGACACATGGGGCAAGGTGAACGACGTCAATTATTTCGCCTGGTCCCATATCCTGGAGGCCGCAATCGCTGAGGCTACGCACAAATACGAAAGCATCATTTCTAGTCTCGAGGCAGCTATCGACCATTGTCAAGTACACGGCTTCGCCCTAGAGGAGGCATTGGCAATCGAAATGCAAGCAGAGTTTCTCCTTGCACGTGGAGCGAAGAGGGCAGGCAAGGTCATGATCCAGGAAGCCATCACTGCTTGGAACAGGATCAATGCTGCTGGCAAGGCGAAGCAGCTTTTGGACAGGCACGAATGGCTGATGAAGACAGCCACCACCTCACGTACCATGGAAGCAACCACCCAAACAGAAGATCTACATGCACTGTCCATCGCCGAGGAAACCCACACGCAAGACAAGCGCGCATACACAAATGCGTGGGTGCAGCCGAAGGGAACAACGACAAACCAAGCATCGCAGGATGTGCCAGGTCTTGGACTTGACATCCTGGATCTCACCTCAATTCTTGAGTTCTCTCGAGTTATAAGCTCTGAATTACAGATCAATAATCTACTTTCGAAGATGATCTCAGTCATTCTCGAATCAGTTGGAGGGCAGGCTGAATTCTGCGCCATTGTGATCGACTCCGAAGATTCGGGCTGGTGTGTCGCCGCGAGCGCGGACCATGAGACCGGTGTTAAGACTTATCCGGATGGTATACCGTTTTCTGAAGTCGACGATCAGGCCGCTCAGCAAATCACTCATTACTTACTCCGCACCAAGGAGACCGTTTTCGTCCAGAATGTGTTGGAGGACGATCGTTTCTCTAATGTAGGTGACGCTTATTTGGCGAGGAATCCTGCAGGACGTTCCATCATTGCAATCCCCATCATCCAAGCCGATCACTTGATGGGAGTCATCCATCTAGAGGGTCGTCCAAATGCTTTTACGCAACGCAACATGATCGTGCTCAACCTTTTGACTAATCAGGTTGCAATTTCCCTTGGAAATGCTCTCCTTTACAGAAAGGTCCGTAAAGTGAGCGCGGCGAATGCCAGCATGGTCGAATCGCAGAAACGCGCTCTGGTGGCCGCACGAGAGGCTGAAGCCAAGGCCAAGAAAGCAGAAGCAGAGGCCATGCATAATGTCAAGTTGAAGGAAGAGGCGGCAAGAGCGAAGTCTATATTCCTGGCCAATGTCAGTCACGAACTGCGAACACCTCTCAATGGTGTTATCGGCATGTCCGAGCTGTTGAAAGGGACACCTTTGAACAAAGAGCAAGAACAATACGCGGATAGCATTCGAGTCTGTGCGGACACGTTGCTGACCGTGATCAACGATATTCTGGACTTCTCCAAGCTTGAAGCTGGAAAGATGCAGATGTTCACAGTGCCACTAAACCTGAAGGAGACCATCACCGAGGTAGTGCGGGCCCTTGCCTATACCAACCAGGAACACGGCTTGCAGACTATCGAAGATCTTCAGATTGATGACGGCTTGGTCTTGGGAGATCCAGTACGATTGCATCAGATCTTTATGAACCTGCTCAGTAATGCATACAAGTTCACAGCGAAAGGTACCATCACTGTGAGAGCACGCAAAAACGCAGAGACCCGAGACAAAGTCAAGATCACCTGTTCGGTCGCTGACACCGGCATCGGCATTACGCAGGAACAGCTTGCTCGTCTGTTTCAGCCATTTTCACAGGCCGATTCTTCGACTGCACGATCTTATGGCGGTAGCGGCTTAGGCTTGAGCATCTGCAAAGCCATGATCGAGAACGTGCTTGGCGGCAAGATTTGGATCGAATCGACGCCAGGCGTGGGAACAAACGTCTTCTTCACCCTGACATTCCAGAAAGCACCGAAGGACAGCAGCGTGCCTAACGAAATCAAGATTTCCGCCAAGGATCCCGACCCAATGGCTAATTGGTCCCAGGCAACCAGTCCTGAAAGCGAGGGGAAGAAGATCAACCTTTACGATTTGAGCAGGATCCCGCGGGAAGACTTGCGCGTTTGCATTGCCGAGGATAACCAAATCAACAGAAAGATTGCTATCTCGTTTGTCAACAAACTTGGTCTGAAGTGTGAAGCTTACGAAGATGGAAAGCTAGCTTATGAGGCACTCAAGGCCAAGAGTAAAGAGGGCAACCCTTTCCACCTGGTACTCATGGATGTGCAGATGCCCGTCCTTGACGGCTACGAAGCGACCAAGGCGATCAGGGCCGACCCCGACCCAAATGTTCATCAAGTCCTCATCATTGCCATGACAGCTTCGGCGATCCGTGGTGACAGAGAGAAATGCTTAGAAGCTGGCATGAACGACTATCTTGCGAAGCCAGTACGACAGCAAGCGTTGAAAGCCATGCTTGATGAATACCTCAACAACACCAGAATGGCCTTGGCTGCAGCTAGCGGCTCCAGTCCTGCAACAACCCCGGGCGAAGGTGGGGTCAATGGCACATTTGAAGGAGATGCTTCCAGGTCTACCAAGACAACGGCAAATGGAGAGTTCCCATCCAGTCCAGAGGACAAGCCCAAAGCCAGACGACCATTCAAGAGGGTCATCAAGAAAGTCGATACGAGCACAGCTGACGTGAAAGAAGACTCCAATGCGGCTCCCAGTCCGCCCAGTGGAAAGCGAGAAACAGATGAGCTGGGAAAGATCAGCAGTGAAAATGTGCGTCCGAAAGATCCCTTCACTGTTGGCACTTCCGCGCAGCGTGGTCATGCCAATGGTGGAGTGAATGGAGACAGCGTGTAAACACTGAACAGGCGCTGTTGCCTCTGACCGGCAGCGGCGAGTGGAGACCTCCAGCGCCATGGGTTGTGATGATCTGGGGAGAATGGTGTTGGAACAGATGATTGTTACTAATGACTTCATGAAATGTGCACAAGCTTTGGGCGTCACCTTCTTAATAAGGGTTACGTTGGAAATGGATATGGAAGATCAAGCGCAAAAAAGCACGGTGTTCATGGTCGGCCTTCTGCTACCAGGAGTATACCCATAGTGCATTTGTCGGTTAATGGTTAGTTTTCTCATTTCGTTTGCTCAGGTCACACTTCGCTATAGAAGATTAGACAGGAGTGCAAAGAGATTTTCTCAACATGATTCAGGTTCATTGAGTCTGGTATTGCACTTTCAAAGAAGGAGCTCATGCCTCTGTGCTGGGTTCGAAGTAACTTACAGAAGTGAACCGCTACAAGCACAAATTGCTGTTAGAGGTAGAAGAAAAGATGTGGTTCAAGAGCAGCCAATCAGGGCCAGTGTGGCCCTCGGCGCCACAACGACTTCAAACTCGAGCAATCTCCCCCTGCCGCCAACATTCCCATCAAGGAGTCAACACCTTGCCTCAGAAAGAAACACCTCACCTCCATTTCTATATCCAGCCGACTGCACTACCACTAGTACACAGACTCCACGGTGGGATCGTCGCCACGTGAGGTGCTTTGCCAGCCCATAGCTCGACCTTTGGTGCTCTGCAAGCCTTGTGCTTGTTGGCGACCCCCGTCCAGGAGAAATCCCTGATTCGGGTTCGCTTCGTTTCGACAGTCAACATCTAAACCATAACCGGATCGTTAGTCGCCAACGCTCCCACGATTCCTTTTTATTGGTGGAGTTTTCATGGTTTCAGCCTTTTCTATCTTGAGCTCTTCCAAGTTCCCCAGTAGTCTTGGGTCGCTTCGAAGACGACCATGCTCAGTTCAGTCCTATCCTTACACTACCAACCTCATACTCGCGCGCCACACTCAACTTCATAATGTCTTGAACTTGGGTCCGCTACTGCAAAGAGCGACTCATGACCAGTCGAATTGTGGTGTGGTAGCTGACTTGCTTCTACTCCTACGGAGCAGCAACAACGATGTGGTCACCCTGAGAGGTCTCCCTCTGCCATACAAATAGTCATGGCAAGTCTGCTCGGTAAGAGGTTTGCTTTTCTCTCTCTGTCTTCTCACCTCAATCCTACCTTCGCTTTTCGGTGGTGTCCTTCTCTCGTTTCTTTGCAGTCTTTCGTTAACTACACTCGCTTGCCTCCAAGAGTCTATCGTTACAGCATAGCATAACACACTCGTTTATACCTGTTATTGTCGATCACGATCGCCACCATGAAGTCCGCATTGACTGCTGCCTTTGTGGCCTCTGCTTTGTTCATGCAGCAGGCTGTAACCCAGAGCTGGGGTGATGCACCGAGCTACTCAAGCCCTTCCAACTGCGACAACACTTGTAACTCAAACCAAGAGAGTGGCTTCGACTGGTCCAGTCTGTCATCTGGCAGCTCCTTCAGCAGCTACGGCGGATTCTCTTTCAGTGGGTTCAGCTGCCAGGACTCTTTCCAAGGCAATACGAAGAGGTCTCTTCAGAGTCGTTCGAGTTTTCAGGTAGGCTAACGAAGATCATCTGGATGTTGAAGCGTTAGCTAATATTTTACAGTCGAAATGCATTCAGGGCAAAGTGTCCAAGTCTTCAAACGGTGGTCCCAGCTTCTCCTGTGGAGCAGACGATGCATTTTCCATCACTACTATGCAAGTGTCTGTCTCGTATGACACTGACATCGACTGCATCTTTTCCATGCCTGACGGCTCAACCTGCAAGCACACAGCTTCTTGCCAGGCAGCTGGTACAACTATCGAAAATACACAGTGTGGTGGCGCCAAGGCCGTTTCCTTTCAGTTGCCTCCCAGCAGTGGTAAAAGCTCTTGTGATATTGGTATTCACTCGATTGGATTCGACTGCAGCTCGTCTCCGACGACTTCTTCGACAACCACAACTAAGAGTACTACCACAACGAAGAGCACAATGACAACAACGAAGCCTGTGACCACAACAACGACAACCAAAGCTCAGACAACTACTACGACCACATCAGCCGTGCAGACTACCACAACGACTACGCCGGCTGTGCAGACCACCACTACCAAGGGTCAGACCACTACTACGACTACACCAGTCGTGGAGACTACCACCACAACCACCAATGCCGAAACAACTACTACTTCTACCCCTACGACGACCACTACATCGGCTGTGCAGACGACCTCGACTACAACCAAGGGCCAGACTACTAGCAGCTCCACTACATCAGCTGTGCAAAGTACTTCCACCACAACCAAGGCTGAACCAACTACTACTACAAGCAGCACCTCCACTACGTTAGCTGTGCAGACAACTACCACCACCACGGTTCCCCAACTCTGGACCAGCACAACTACAACCTCCGCAGCTGTCTCTACGACCACCACTGCCACCGCAGCTGGAACATCCACAAGGACAACCACAGTAGGTCAAACTTCTACCACCACAACGGTGGGCCAGAGCTCCAGCACATCATCCACCACCACTCCAGTCTGGGCTTTCTCGAGCACAACGACCACGAGCTCAAGTATCACCACGATTGCCACTACCACCACGACACCAGGCCAATCCAGCTCATCAACCACAGCATCCTCCACCTCGACTTTCGTGAAGAGTGTTCCACCATTCAAGTCGTCTGCACCCTGCCCACCAGTCCTTCCCAGCTGTCTGAATACCTGGCTCCACTTGGTGTCTAAGTGCAAATCCAACAGCGACTCCAAATGCTTCTGCCCAAGCGCCCAATTCATCGCCAACGTCCAGGAATGTGTGTCCGCGTGGGCCGGCTCCGACGACGAAATCACTGCGGCTCTTTCGTATCTGGCCGGTATCTGCGCCGACTTTGTGCCCCAGAACCCAGGTATCTGCACGGGTGTCCCACATAGCATCACGCTTGTTCCTAGCCCACCGTCGTCCAGCTGGGCTGCCACCACCACTACCGCTCCCACAGGTACCACGACTGGCGTTGTTGCTACCACTTCTGCCGCGGCTACTACCTCGACTACCACAACGAATGGAATCGGTCGAGGCTCAAGGCCTGTGTACTCTGGGTCCTGGTCTTCCACTTCTACGCCCACACCTGTCGCCGTTCCTGTAACGACCGTCACATTCACGCTTGTGCCGACTTCGGGAGGTGCTGTCGTGACTACCGCGGTGACAGTGCCGCAAGTTACATTCGCTACGGTCTCTGCTACTGGTACTGCGACGGCTGGTGGTGTCGGGCTGATTCCTATGCCTGCTGCATCGGCAACGGGATCGGGATCTGGAACCTACTCTGGTACATGGGGATCAAGCTCAGCGGCTGCTGGGGGTGCTGCGTCGTCGGCAACTGGTGGCGCCACCAGTGTGGCATGGGCGTCGGTGTCGGGTACTAGTACCGGTGTATCGCCTGCGACGTTCACTGGTGCTGCGGCCAAGGGCTTCAGTGCTGAGTTTGGCGTGATGGCTGCTGGTGCGATGGCTGTCGTTGCTCTCGTTATCTGAGTGGAGGTTCGCGGGTAATGTGAAGGGGGGAATGTGTATAAGATTGATTTTCAAAGCAAAGATGTGATGGTAATGGAAGATGTACTACGGACATTGAACTGAGCACAGCAGACAGAAGAGTATGTTATTGTTTTTGCTATGTAATATGTATTTGTGACCATGCTGCGAGGACAGAAGAGGAGAAATCTTATGCTTGAAAATATTATATTAACAGCTTGGAAGACTTAGACTTCTACTATTGTATACTACTATGACACAGTATCATCTCGGACGGTGACATGTGTTCTGGGCTGGCTTGACCTTGGGCCGATTTGAGGACGACAGTCGCCCTACCTACGCTTCTTCGTCGACTTGCGCGTTGGTCGATGCTCGAATGTGCGCCAACGGATGCAATGATCTCTCGATCGTGCTGGTAGCATTCTGTCTCGCCCAAACCCAATGGTGCTTGCAGAAGCATTTACTGGAAATTTGCTTTCTGTTCACGCAGCTATGCTCACATTTCGCTTCTATGTTTCCAAGTCAAGGAGCGGAGACCTCGAGCTTGAACAATGACTCCGGCTTTCTGCAGGTCGTTGAGCAGAACCGTTGACGCTAAGCCTTTAGCTTGCTCGACCCGATTGCCGTGAATGTCACTGTTAACGGTCATCGTATTCCACCTGGGAAAGCGAGCCTAATTTCGGTTGTATCCCATCTCCATCGCCTCGAGCCTGAGAGTTCGACGGTCGTGGTGTTGGTTCTGGTGCACATAACCATAAATGCCGAACAATCAATAGTCTCTGGACTAGCTGGCTGGGGGTAAGGCATATCTCCACACTCTCTCCACAAGACATGCAAGTCTGGGGAAGACGAAGTCGTGTCGATCACTGCCGTTGCGAAGCAGGGGAGAGGTTCATGGGTTTCCCCTGTAATCTCTCATATCCCGTCAATTTTCAAGTTATCCAGAAACTTCTCGGCTTGAGCTTTCGCTTTCTGCTCCGCAATGAGTTTACGCCTTTCCTCAATCTCTTTCTTCCGTTGTTCTTTCTTCTCCTCCCTCTCTTTTCGTGCTCGTTCGGTGTCTTGTCTCTCCTTCTCGAGTGCATCCATCTCCTTCTTCCTCTCATCTGCATCTTTGCTGAAGGTGTAGAATCCGGTACCTTTGTTTCTGATTTCTGCATTGGCATCGTAATGAGTGTCTGGAGGAGGTGTCGCGGACTTGTCGCGCTTCTTTGACAGCTCTGCCATGCGGTCGGCAATGACTTGGTCAGGATTGAATGCGGCGGCTTGCACGGTGTCACCATAGATGACGTTGGTAGGCATCGACGGTCTGGCAGACATGCGTTCCTCTTCTTCGGCAACGTTGGCCTGCATTCGTTTCCTCCTTTCTTCCCGCTCAGCCTGCGCTTTTGTGCCTTTCCGTAGTCGACCGAACTCGTCTAGATATTCTACTTCTTCTTCGTCTGAGCCACTGTCCTCATATTCGGAGTTGCCTGATTCGTTCGCATGGCCTCCGGCCTGACCTTCTGCCCACTTCCGGTCAAAGTCTACCAGAGGCCCGTCGTCTTTGCCAATATATTCGCCACGTTTCATTGCATTGTAGATGCGCACTTTATCCTCCATCTTCTTCTTGGACCTGTGCAGCTCCGCTGCATCAACGGATCCGATTTCATCCTTCGTTTTGTGACGCTGTGAAGCATCTTCGAGGTCAGCTGCGGAGCGCTTCTTGACATTTTTGTTGTGCGCAGTGAAGATGTCTGATTTGTCTTTAGAGGGTCTGGGACGTCCGGCGCCTGATTTGTTCTTGACCGAGGATGAACTGGAGATTAGCGAAGCGAGACTTGTGGAAAAGGCAAGGGAGGTTGAAGATGAGATGTCCTTGGCTTTTGTCTTTGAAGCCTGCTTGATGCCATATAAACCGTCTGACATGATGGCTTTTCTCCAAGTACTCGAGTCACGGACAGATCTCGCGGGTGATTAGAGACATGGCAGGCAGCATGCGAGGGAGCGGGCGCGCATAACGCAGGACTGAAGGGAAACAAAATGTTGCGGGCGTCACAGGGCTCCAGAAAGACAATTAGGTATTCACAGTACGCTATGCCGAAAGAGTGGTAGATAGACTGCCTAAAGAGCGCCGGGAAGATCCCGGCCAGATCATTCAGTTCCCACAAGAGACTGTCACTCGTTCTAGAACACGGCTCGACGTGTCCATCCTCGACGGACTTCGGACGGTCGGACGGTCCCCATCGCCCGACTTCTCGATTACCTTTCGACGCGGCTCAACATTGAATCGTGTCAATGACATGCTCCTTGTTGGACTTCACGTCACCGGATCATGCTGCTGTGCGCCTTATCTCGCACCTCGCCATGACATACACTGTTGACTCTGTGGCCTGAGCATTTGGCCATCAAGGACTGTGATAGCCCTCACAATGGAGGACGCTTCGCAATCACCTGAGTTGCCAGCAGACGAAAACTCCATAGACGAGGCCAAAGCAGCGCGAAGACGCCGAGAGAAACCTCAATTGTCTTGCAGCCTTTGCAGGACACGCAAGTGCGTTGTTTCATGTTTGTTCATCTTTCGACAGCGCTTTACTTACGCTATCCGAGATAGATTACGATGCGACCGCCAGCAGCCGTGTCACAATTGCGTGCATAGAGGTCTAGCCGAAACGTGCACCTATCCCCATACTAAAGTTTCACGTTCAAAGACGACTCAGTTGCATGCGTCGCCCCATTTATCACCAACCGTACGCGGCCGGGTCAAGCAACTCGAGGATCAGGTTGTCTCGCTGATGGAAGCTCTCAACGGCACCCCAGTTCCGGCACAGGCAGGCGCTTCAACAAGGACTTCTGCTCAAAGCATCCGTCCTGATAGCAATGGGGCGTCAGGGAATCTGAATGATCTGGCACCACCCGTACCAGGCCTTCCAGGCTATATGGAGTATACCCGATCCGCGGTCAACTACATTGGCAACTCTCACTGGCTTTCCATTTTAGGAAATGTATGGCGGTCAACTCAAGCAAATGCACGGCGAAACTGACACCTAACGCAGATTTCCGACCTCAAAGACATCGTGAAGGAGTTCGCACCGAAACAAGGTGACGAGACTGTCATGGACAACTCCATGCCAGGAACCCCGGACCTTTTGTCTGGAACCAACCCGAAAGTCGGCCGCAGAGAGATCTTGAACGCTATCCCATCAAAACCTGTGGTGGACACACTCTTTGCTGAGTTCTTCATCAACACTGATAGCGAGATCAGTAAGTTAGGGATTTCTGAAAGACAGTATTGGGGCTCACACTTCATCAGTGTTAGTTCATCCGCCCACATTTCGCAAAGAGGTGAGATCTTGAATTCCCGCTTTCCAAATCCTCGCTTATGTGGACGTTAGTACGTACAATTTTGGGAGGACCCTTCCTCCATGCCCATCATGTGGATCGGTCAACTATTTGCGTTCATGTGCCTAGCAATACAGTATCAGCAATTTTCGCTGGTCGAAGCACGAAGGCTTCAGCTCGCCGATTATGATCCAGAACGTCTGATGGAAAGCTTCCATGCAAAGACCGCTCAATGTCTTTGCCTTGGCGGATACTCAGAAGGACCGCCCTATACCGTCGAGACTCTGCTGCTCCATCTCTTTGCAAAGATTCTGAGGGCCAACAACACAGAAAGCAACAACAGTTGCTGGGCATTGTGGGGTCTCGTAGTCCGCATTGCTATGCGAACAGGGTATCATCGCGATGGTTCCTATTTTCCAACCATTTCTCCTTTCCAAGCAGAAATGAGGCGGAGAGTGTGGATTATGATACTCCAATGGGACATGTTCCTAGCTCTGCAACTTGCGTTGCCTCGGATGATCGTGCCATCCCAATACGATACGGCCGATCCGCGCAATCTTACCGAGGATGACTTGGACAGTAACTTACTCGAGCTTCCGCCTGCGAGACCGCCATCAGCCAAGACGAACGCCCAGTTCCATGTCGACAAAAAACGACTTATCGAGGTGATCGCCGAGGTTGCTGATATTTCCAGTTCAGTTAGGCCACCACCGTATACTGAGATATGGAGGTTAGACGAATTGCTCAACAATACTTATGAGTTTATAGCGCCTACCTGGCAGCCAGAGTCTGTCCCGTCTGACGCGCCGAGAGCGAGTGTTGGAGTCCGAACCATATTCCTTGCGACCTTGTACCTTCGAGGTCAGATCGTCCTGCATCAGAGGTATCTGGGTCCTGGCCGGACTATTCCTCAATATGCCAGATCACGAAAGATCGGTATCGAGGCTGCCCTGACACTCCTGCAGCATCAATGGACGCTGTATCTCGAAACTCAAGTTGGCGGTCCCTTGTGTCGACATGGCTGGAAGTTCTTAACGATACTGAATCCTGATTTCCTCTACGCAACGGCGATTTTGTGTGCAGAACTCGCACAGGATTTGACGAGCAACGTGTCTGTAGCCGACACAGAGTCCGAGGGAGATCGCGTCTTTCATTCTCTGAGCAGCGCGTACATCGTCTGGCTGCACTCGAATGACGCTACTCGAGCCGTGAAAACAATCGTGGCGGCGGTGAGGGATTTATTGGGTAAAGCGCAGACTGCGGGATACGGCATAGCGAGAGCAGGAGCCCAAATGACGAGCACTGGAAAGCATGGTGAGCCGAGACAGCCAGAAGCCACTGCTGATCCATTCTTCGGGCTTGGGCAGCGCAGCGAGCCTGTGCCCAAGGCGGTATATCATGGCATAGCGAATTTCCCCATATGATGGTTTGACCATCGAAACACACAGATGGCGTCCATGGACTACGTCTCAGTAATTTTAAATACCATCTTGACGGGAAGAAGACGAGTGGCACAGTGGGCCGGGCAGCAGCTCCTTTAGACGTGCTCCATTTCGACGCGCGTGGGAGCTTTTGTTTTCCGCGTCTCCAAATAAAGTCGTAAGTTAGAAGTTTTAAATAATGACGTCGGATTGTGAGGAAAAGCCTCCCGCAGCTTCGCCGTCATGTTGACGTTTCATGTCGTTACTACCATGACAATTGGGCTTCTTAAGAGCACACTGAATCTGCCTCAGCATCCGGAAGTTCTTGAACCTGCCCACGAACCCCTTAGGACAATTGCTTTTGTGTGACCCCGTTCTCATACTCTTAAAATGTCATCCGAAGCATTTGCTGCGTTACGGAAAACCAGCGGCGATGACCTTGGTAGACTTGCAGAAGAACATTTCAAGCATGAGTAAGTCCGGCCTCCATATTCAGTCACAGAATGGCATGAAGTAACACCCGTGGTTCCGCTAGTTTAAAAGACGAGGATCGTGACCTTGTCAAGAAGGCCGCCACGAAGATCTCAACGCACACCCTCATCGGATCACTCCTAGGCGTCGGCCTCGGAGGTTTCCTCGCCTACCGACTTCGAGCGAACCGCAAGGCATTCTACAATGCGATCCGCACCACCGAAAAGCCAACTCATGTAAAATTTGCGGATGGACGAGAACAAGCTATCCCGGACATCACTCCCCTCATGCAGCCCACGCCGCTTGGAGATGCCCTCACTTACACTTTCTTCGGTATTGCTGGACTGTTTATTGGTGGTGAGACTGGTCTGTTGACGGGTACATGGTCGGCACGAAGGACGATTACCAGCAACCCGGATGTGCGCGGCCGAGTGGAGAAGGCTTTCAGGTCATTCAGAGCAGACGTCCTGAGAAAGCAAATCGAAGAGCTGGAAGGGGAGAATAAGAAGGATAGTCTGCTTTGGGGATGAGTGTGCCAGCGTGACCCAACGATTTGGGGACCCAAAAGCTCTAGCAATATGAGACGGGTCGGTGTCAACTCTTCGCGCCTATTACGGCAGTGTGGGCAGTGTATTGGAAGAAAAGTCTATGGGCCTGCTCATCACACAGATGGGCTCGTGCTCAGGTAAGTCGGAAATTGAAATAATACCAGTCAAGCTGATGGAACTGCTCAACCCCTCCCCAAGGGCTGATCGAGCTACATATGCGAACACTCGACAGACCACTGACACTTGCCTGGATTGCTCGACAGGAGAATCTTTTCTCTTCATTCACATATGATCCATCATCCTAGATGACTTGTGACACAGTGCAGGACTCCTTCCTTCAGGCCCAAGTATTGGCGGCAGTGGCGCGGACATACAGGCCTCATCACCACGCGCCTTGTTCATGTAAGTGAAAGTTAACAACTCCTAGCTCCTTTGCTACATTGATAACATATCTCGTGTCTCTTTCACTTTTACTTCAGTCTCCATTTTACTTTACCTAACATTCCTTTTCTCCAAACCATCGTCCTCCTTTACTGAGCACTTTTCTCTCTTCTCATCGTCAAGCTCATCATCCGTTATCATCATGGCGGCTTCCGCTCCTGGAGACGGGCTGTCCGACATTGACTCCGAAGGCGATCTGATGCTGAAGGTGGGCGGCGAATTGGGTGGACAACATGGACATACTGGGAGCAATGGCAATGGCAATGCCTATCCATATCGCCTCCTCCGGGTGTCCAGCAAGATCATGATGAGCGCATCGCCAATGTTCAAAACCATGCTCAAGGCAGAACGCTTCCTTGAAGGGTCGCTAGCTTTGAGCATAGAGCAACCGCCACAGCTGGACCTTCCTGAAGACGAGCCTGAAGCCTTCACTACGCTCTGCAGAATCATCCATCACAAGCAAGGTCTCCAAGATCCGACCCTTTTCAAAAGCCTACACGGTCTCGCAATCCTCAGTGACAAGTACGATTGTCTGAATAACATAAAGCCTTGGTTCACCTTTTGTCTCAATCAGAAACTACTCCAATTCCGTGCAATCAATATGGAGGACCTACCACATTTGATCAGCGCAGCCTATTTGTTTGACGATCCCACTGCATTTTATGGCCTTACCATGACTGCGGTAAGATTTCTGCCCAGATGCATCAGGCTCGCAACTTTTAAAGAAGGTCTATTCCCAAGCATTGCTGAAAAGCTCGCCGGTGAGGATTTTTCCGAAGCTTCTCATGTAATTTTGCTTGCTGACATCACGTACAGGCACCCTAGAAACGATTCGACAAACCAGGCTGAAGGACCTTATCAGTCGTTTTCAAGAAGCTACTAGAACTCTCTTCGTGGACAATAACAGCGTCGAAAACACTCGAGATTGGAACACTCGCATATCCATTTATGACGTTGACCAGACCCAACGGGGGATTTACGGCCCTTGCAAGGGACAGGCCTGTCGAGTCGGCAATCTCATTTGGGCACTGGTTCGCGCTCGGCTATGGACACACCGCGGTCTCCCTAATTATTCCCTGGTGTATGCTTTTGATTTCGCGCGGTGCATTGCTCAGACGATCGACCTGTTCGAGACCAAGGTTGAAGATACTGGGGTCAAGCTCGAACTCTGCGAGGAAGGTTCATGCGACTCATGCGAACGGGACTGGGAGAATATGCTGCAGAATCTTGTAGAGGGATGTGAGAAAGAGGTCGCAGGGATCTGCCTCGTATGCTTCAAAAAGGACAGCCTCGAGGTGACGGAGCCGACACAGAAGTGCAAGGATCATTGCAATACTTACCCAGCGTCTACGTGGACGATGGACATGACCGGCTGGCCGCAGAAGGGCGACTAGCCAGCAGCAAGGCTGGGAAGCTGACTTGCAACCCAAAAGTCATCCTGAGGTTGGATTCTGCCCGAAACTGGGTCCATACTGGATAGACGCTGCCAACACGGACAGCAGGGGTGATGTGTTCTCAATGATTGCTGCAGCATCGGAAGAGCACGCTGAATGTACGATACACACGCATCTCGATGTCATCAAGGACCAAGAGTTCATCATCTTGAACAGCAGCGTTATACCCTTTATGCTCCTCCCCATGCAATACACCACGCAATAATGCCATGGTCTCTAACGGCTCGCTCCGGCGCTTATAATACCGAATTCAGCCTTGAAACGGGGTAGAAATAGTGCATAGCACTGCCGTGCTTCTTGTCTGCTGGTGTGGTAGAGATGAGGCATCGGCAATTTTCACCGCCAAACAATCTTTCGAACCCTGGTACTGCATTCTCGTCACTACCTTCGTCAATAGCTTGCAGACTGCCTCACTTGTATTTTGCCTGCTCGTGTGCTGCTTTGCGCTGAACAGTGGGCGCCTTGACAGCAAGACAGAAGCGCTGTACGATAGAACTGATGGTCTGCATTCCCGTCAGAAGTTAAGGCTATATTCTTGTATGCGAGGGCCTCCGGGATTGCAATGTGAAATGCTATCAATTTGAACCGGAGGAGCAACCGTGGTCAAACAGTGCCACTTCTTCTGGAAACAGGCTCGCTGCTTATCAGGTGTGCGCCCGAAGAGGAATAGCGGCGTTGTCTTCGACAACAAAGGGAAACAATGCGACGCGATCGTGCGTGAAAATGCCACGCAGCATACCTAGACTTCAACATCCCTTTGATCCTGGCTATAGCTCCATCTCTCCTTGCGATTACTTCGTAGTTCACGTCCGCCTAACCCTCTACCACCTTGGAGGTGACGTCTTTGGTGGTTTCATTTGTCCTCGACATGGTCGAGTTGCTACGTGACCATCGACGCTGGAGGCGGACAACAATTCGCTTGTGCCATAAGCTTGCAGCTCCGCCTTCATGTCGAAGACGAGCCTTGCTGACCATTCCTCACAAGAGCTGTCCATCACTGCCTTCAAGATGGCAGTCAACAGATTGGTGAAGGGCTAATGCTGTGCTGTTGAAGCGTGGTATGGGACTGCCTCGTCACACAGAGACTGCCCAGTGCCTTGGTAAGTGGACTTGATCACCTGCTGCTGCTGCAATACATTTTCGTCTTTCTATCAGATCTGGACTTGCTACCACGACGGCGTATCGATCCTACAGGTAATCCAACCCAACCCAACAAGCCTCCCGAAACCTCACCGCCACGTTCTTAACGATGTCTGCTCTACCAGACCAAGAAGACGGATTGGTGGGCTCTGACATACTCGATATTGTTTCTGATGGCGACACGATCATGAAAGTCAGCTCCGGTGCAAATCACCAAGTGCTCCGGGTTTCAAGTCAGGCTCTCAAGACAACCTCTTCATATTTTGCCGCCCTCCTTAGCGAGCGATGGACACCTTCATCACAAAAGAAGTTTACAGTGAGTGATCCTCTGGTCGTTCAAGAACAATATGACACGCCCTACTTCCTATTCATGATCATGATCCATCAGCTGAATTTTAGGAAAGGCGAGACCATTGCAGCAATCAAGTTGGAACATCTCAGAGATCTGGCAATTCTTGTCGACAAATACATGTTCATCGGACCGATCCCAGCTTCCATCAAAGATTCACTGGCGCAATATTTTTCCACAAGCCCGCAGGCGGACTACAGAGAAATCTCGGCGTCACCCGAGATCTTGTTCATATCATATTTTCTTAATCTGCCCGATATGTTCGCCAAAGCGTCGCATCAGATGATGTGGTTCTTCAGCAAGGCAAATATGCATAAACACGCATCTTCGGCGCTTGTGCCACTCCTGCCGTTGGACATCTTTGAACAGTTTGAGCAAGAGGGTAAGCGCTTGAGGTCATATCTTCTTCACGAACTTCCACCAGTTTTCTACCCTGACCCTCATGGTGGTGACAGCAGTGATGACGAGGTCGACAAGTTTTGGTGTCAGAAGTGTGCGGCCTTCCCTCACAAGGAACGCTGGCTCATGGAGATTGTCCGCAAGAATGGGCTGTGGAAATGGGAGGAAGCCAACGGTGTGACGTTCAGTCTTCGCGAGATATTCTCAAGCTATATTACCGATATGCAACAACTCGACTATTGTGCACATCGCGACCCCGATAGCTCTGAGTTGGCTTGTGGCAAATTCAAGGTGCGTTATGTCGACGTGAACAGAGAGGAGATGATACATGACGTGTACAATGCGATTGGCGGCGTCTGCATTCACTGCTTCAGAGGTGGCCAATTCCGATACACGGCGTGCTGCCCGGGGCACGGACTTGCGCTTGCTTGAGCATAGAACATCTGAAAGGTTCACCAGCATAACGGACTTGAGGTTTGGAGCAAGAAGGAGCGCTCAGATTGAAGAAACAGATCGGGGTTCACCAGGCGGCCTCCTGGTCGGGCCTCTGCAGGGGAAAGTATGGGACAGTTCGGGCTGGAACCGAGTAGAACTGAGATTTGTCGACCTCTAAGATGCTGGGCTGGGTTGTATTGAAGAAGGATGGTTTGCATGTATCATACGTAAAGGTAAGCTGGCCTACGTGGGACAGAGCTGTCAGGACTTGTTTGGCTGGGCCATCTAAGAAACTACCATGGCGAGGACTCGATAGTAAAAGCAGTCTCAATCATTATCGCATGAACCATGTTTATCTGCTTCTTCGCATCTTGACAGGGTAGGACAATCGAAGTAATAACAATCCTACGACTGAGCACTTTAGGTGAAGTGATGGTGTGGAATCGCTAAGATCCAAGAGTGAAGTGAGTAACGTGGTAACCCCAAGCATTCAGCCTTGCGGGCGCAAAGGATAGGGGTAACAATAAAGCGGCAGATACCTTTATTTAAAGCGGCTAATTGACAACCCTTTCAAGCAGCATTGAACTTTTGATCGAAGCTGAACTCAAACATCGACAAACTCGCGAAACATAAAGCTTGAGAAATATCTTGGACTGAACAACTCGTTCATCCTACACCTCCTGGGTCTTCCCTCCTTTACCATTCGCGGCCATCAACAATGGCACTACCCACGACCACCGCCACATCAATTCTCTCCAGTCTCTTTCTCCGCCGAACCGCAACCACACTCTCATCATTATCCTCACGAACCCTTCTCTCCGCCTCCATCGCTCTCCCCGCCATATCCATCTCTATACCCGGTCTAGTCTCAGATATATGGGAAGGCATACTACGAGCTGTGCCCAAGAAGAAGACATCACATTCGAAGAAGCGACACCGACAGCTTGCGGGCAAGGCATTGAAGGACGTCAAAGCGATCAACGAGTGTCCTGGGTGCGGACGGGCGAAGAAAATGCATACTTTATGTCCCTATTGTGTTGCAGGTGAGTAGTCGACTCAGTGGAACGATGACTTGGTACGAGTTGCAATGGCTAATATGCTGGGATGAGTAGAAATCTATGAGAGCTGGAAGTCAAGAGATGTGCTAGAGAAGGAGATGGCGACGAAGAGTAAATGAGCTGCGCATGGAAAACTCGTTAACAGGCGACGAAGACCAATACCGTCAGCATAGCGAGGCACGCTGCCTTGTCACACCGATGAAAGCCGAGTGGGACACAGCGACGCGACAAGTCGATACCCCGGAATGAGTGCTGGTCATCGCCGGAGAGGATCGGTCGTATACAGACTCGTCGCACCATGCTAGACGTCTATGCTGTGATATCGGCATGTTGCTGTGACAGTCCGACGTCTCAGGCCTGCAAGGTCTGGCTGCACAATACATGAGTCGCCCGAGCCGTCCTCCGAATTTGGCTTGGGCGCAGTCCGAGGTCAGATGGAGGGCTCTGATTACCGCGGACGTCATATTGAAGTGTCGCAGGAGAGGTTGGATGCAGGAGCCTCGCATGCATATTGGCACGAGAGCCGAACGGAAGATACCGTAGTATCAAGTCCAGGGTGTATGTCACTTGCGCAGGAAGTTTTGAGAAGGGCAATGATCCCTGCCTTAAGGGTTTTGGTGAAGAAGAAGCACAGTGATAACTTTTGTTAATATTAACTCTCCTATGAGAAGGCGTCCTATGCCTTTAGTCTGAATACTGTACAGTACATTGAGTGGAGAAAACATTTTATGTTGTACATCAAAAATATGCTTGCTCGCTAAGAGAGATAACCTGCTCTATGACCCAAATGCTATTCTCAGCTGTTTGAAAGACGATATTGCGAACCGGATGCCATGTTGTACAGCAGCAATGGAAGTACGGACCGAGAGGTCATTATGATCTTCTCATCCTCGTTCCATCTTCTCATCCTCGTCCCATCTTCTCAGCCTCTCTATTCTCTGCTCTTGGCTAGGTCATGCTGAGCTTGCGCCGTGGGTCCGCCTGAGATTGCTTGTGCCTGTCCACTGACGCTCTTTTCGCCCTCGGTAATGTCGTGGAGCACTTGGCTGGTGATAGGTTCACCAGTATGTTTCTGAGCTTGTGCAGTAGGACCTCCCTTGGCGGGTTGATTGAGGCCAGTGATTTCACTCTCTGCCTTGCGGATATTGGAGATGGTGTCACCATGCAATATGCCGTCAGAAGCAGACGAAGTCTCCGCGTTGTTGTTGATGTTATTGTTGTTATTGTTGCTGGTGTTGTTTCGGTTGCCAGTGTTGTTCTGCTGGTTGGATTTGGTCAGGATTGACTGAGCAGCTGCTGTGGGACCACCAGCTACTCGATCACCGGCAATCTTCTTCTCGCCCTGAGTGATGGAAGAGATGGTATTGGAATTGAGAGGTTCGCCAGCATGTTTCTGTGCCTGAGCGGTGGGACCACCTTTGGCAGGTTCGTCGGAGCCGGTGAGTTGCTTTTCCTTTTCTGTGATGGCAGAGATGGTATTGGAGTCGAGTATCGGGCCAGTGGATGCCATTCTGACTATTCTGAGAGAGGAAGTATTTGGAGCAAAGTGTCTTGATGTGGTGGAGATTGTTTGACGCGCAAGGCTTGAGGAATTGCAGAGTCTCGACGAAAGGCTAGTGAGTGTAGAAGAGTGTCGAGATAGAAATGAAGACATGGTTGAGAGTGGTATCGTGAGTAGCACCTTCCTTTGTCCTTGTAGTTTTGGACGTTAGATTAATTCTAGTCAGTTCAACTATTTCAAGCAAGGGCACTCCAAGTAAAGTGATGTAGCGACCTCTTTTGCTTTTCATAAGGCTGCACCGATATTGTCAGGTCTTATGTAGGTACTCTAATTATGAGCTTCATAGGGTCATTTGCGAATGGTAGACGTCAACAAAATAACTTTTATGGGCCTGAAAGTTGACGTACATACGAGAGGATCTCACCTGTTCCTTGCATCGAGCATCTAGTACTGCACGTCCCTGGCGAATCGTGCACTTCGTCAAGCAAGCGCCATCTCTGAGGAAGACTTTCGTGTCCGGCTTGAAACGCAGAGTCGCCTTCTAGATGATTGATCAGTCAATCTGTGCTTGGAACATCTGACGTAAATAGCCTCGTTCTTTTCGCACAGGATGAAGAACGGCTTGATACCCATACGATCCACCATAGCAGCGGCCAATCTACGTTCAACATGGCCATTGACGTATCAAGCAGATAAAGATAGTAAGTGCCATTGTAAGATCGATGCAGAAAATGAAATGAAAAGAGCAAGTGATCTCTACAGAATGACGTCATTTGACATTTTTCTTTGATGATTGTGAACGCGTAGAGCCGGGCCATTGGAGAAATCACGCGAATTACCACAAACCGCAGAACATTCGACATGCGTATGATTTGACACAACCGGATCTCCTATAGCCCGCTGGTGGAACCAGCGCGAGAGTCAAGATGGTAAGGTGTAGCTCGGAATCTCACAAATGCACGCATTGCTGACAGCAGCCACAGTCGAAGCAGTATCTTTCTCAACACCAAATAGATGATGGTAAGCATAACCTCCGCGGCAAGCATCTGCCATCGTTGACTGTCTCCAGCTCACACATCGGACGTCTTTGCACTCGCTGTGACCTCAACACAGATCCTCAGCGGCTCCGGTGAACCTTCCATCAAAGTCCACTCCACCACCGACGAAGACTTTCCCATTGCCCAAGTACTGAAGGACACCCACAAGCTCGGCTGCCATCATATCGTCACCGATGGGTCGGGCACCAAAGCCGTAAGTGTAGGCTTTGATGGCAACGTCAAGGCATGGAAACACGAGGAGGGAAGATGGAGCGAAGACGGGGAGATCACAGACAAGGATGCGCCAAAGAAGGCCGGACAGGTCTGGGCCGTGTCTATGTCGGATGATGGACAGTACCTTGCTGGTACCACTCATGACGGACGGGTCAAAGTGTGGGATTTGAACAATGGAAAGCAGAAGATCAGAGAATTCGAGACGAAAGGCAGCTTTGGGATGTGTGTTGACATGGTGGGAATGATTTTGGCACCCAGACGTTTACCAGAGTTACTGACGCATGATCCAGTCACCAGATGGCCGCTTTCTAGCCAGCGGTCACGAATCCGGCAACATTTACGTTTTCTCCACGGCAACATCCCGCCTCCTGCACTCTCTCCCTGGGCTCATCAAGCCTGTTCGCTCGGTCAAATTCTCTCCTGGTTCGACACTGCTGGCAGCCGGCGGCGACGCCCGTATCATTTCCCTTTACGATCCGAGTTCTGGTGAGCAAGTTGCAAACCTCAGTGGCCATGCAGCATGGATCACGAGTCTCGACTGGAGCAGTACCGGCCAATATCTGCTCAGCGGAAGTCTGGACGGGAAGGTCAAGGTCTGGGACATCGAGCGAAGGACTTGCGTCGCGACACACAGTGAAAGCGACAAAGGTCTATGGTGTGTCGAGTGGTTGCCGAGGAGCAGCTCCCAAATGCACAAGGCTGAAAAATTTGCAACATCAGGCAGCAGCAAAGCTATCGCAATCTATCGAGAAGCCACGGGTGGTTGAGCCTGTTCTGAAAATGGATCCAAACATTCCGTACAGACGGTGATGCTTACAAGGTCAAAGACTTCATACCTCATGAGGTCAACAAGCGATCATGTCGCAACTTCCAGAGTCTCATGCTAGGGCCAAGACAGCTGAGGCTGATTGCAAGTAAAAAGCCGCAGAGCAGAAGACGACATTGGACCTTTCAGGGGAACATCAAGCACGTGGCTGCAAAGACGCTGAAAGGAGGCGACAAGCAGGTGGTAGTGAGTGAACAGGGAACAGCAAAGCAGACTCAACCACGTCGCGAGCTCAATATTGCACACACGCGCATGGCATGCGTCCTGGGCAGCACCTCCGGAAGGACTGGAAGGTACGCAAAAGATGTATCTCATGAGAGAGGACCCATTCCCATAAGACCTGAAAAGGCCAGAGATAGGGTGAAACATTTAGAGAACTAGAAGGATTCCTACGTCCTTCTTTTTTGGGGTTCCTCTCGGCACAAATTTGACAACATCTACCATGGTGCGAAGATGGATGAAGCTTCGAAAGTGCCTATCAACGTCATAAATATAACGTTAGTATCACTCGCACTCTGGTGTGTGTCTCAAGGTTGTCCTGTAAGGCTATAGCACAGCTTTCTTGCTGAGAGCGAGGCACTCCCCTACCTAGCTGTAAAATCTCCATGAAGATCGCCTGCTGAACATCACAACCTAGCCTTGACTATCAGGGTTCACCTCGGACTTCAGGACGTCCGTACTTCAGGACGTCGAATTATGTACGCGAGGGGACGTGAGCGCGAAATAGAGTCTGGTATAGGCTTTTTAATAATTTCAATTTTTTCTGTAAGCCACAAGCGAACCAGCGCCACCACGATCTGTCGCCGAAGCGACAAATCAAGCGGGACGGATTAGAAGGGCAGTTTTCTCGATCTCGGTCACTCGGGAATGTGTGGACGCAACGGATCAATGTATGCATTCAACAAGGGTATAATAGAGTGCCTGGACAATAAATTGAAGAAGGAAAAGAAGAGGTTTCGAGGAAAAGATATCGAAGTAGATGGGCAAAATCTGGCAGCCTTGGCAAATCTAATGATGAAACCGTGCTGATTGGCTGCCGGTGTTACGGATATGATCAACGAGCTTAGTAAAGACTCGGACATATTTACCATGCAACAATATTGTAGCTTGTGTCTATCCTGATACAATATGTTGTATCTATGACCAAACCGACCAAGTGCACAAAGTCCTGCGAGTGTTTTCGATGCGAATGATTAAAGAAGAGCTGCCAGAGTCTCAAAGAGCCCATGGTGGAAGCGGTAGGTATGTTGCCGGGTTAATTGGTGTTTTCAACGCTTGGAGATACCACACGCCGCCAAGCACGATCCTACACCGAAAGCAACGTTCTCGGGGATCGCGGACTTGAATTGATCAATGTCGCGGCCATTGATGGCGAAATCGCTGGCAAATAAGCCTTCCAATAGGTCGTCATCGAATGAAAACTGACGATTGGCGATCTGCGACACGCCGAAGTCTTCCGAAGGGAAGGCGGCGACGAATGTCATGTTAGTGCAGTGTGGATTCCATTCCGCGTGAATAGCACCCTGGGGAAAGATGGTCATCTGGAAGGTGTTCAGGTTATTTCGGATGAGAGTCGCGCCATTCTCCAATATGAACTCGGTTCCAAGGCGGCCTATCACTGGGATGTTCATTTCGGCGCCTCTATTGTGTACGTGGGGAGTGTTGAAGCCGCAAGGGCCCAGGAATCCCATGGCCATGCCGATGCCATTGCCGATCAAGGCAGGGAACATTTTGCGGTCGGCCCTGACGATATGGCCGTCAAGACCCTGAGTAACAGCCGAAGTTGAAGGTGGGTTCATGAAGTCGTACACATGATCGCTGGGCAGGTTGAGGATCGCAAGTCGGTTATTGGCCGTGGCCGCCAGAAGCATCTCGTTGAGCAAAGTCTGATTGCCGGATCTGCCTGCTTGGATCGACTCCGCTGGGGGAATGGTCTGGATGGTTGACTCATTGGTAGCAGCAGTGTCTGCAGCCCTTGCAAGCTTGACGCTGCTAGGCGCAGGCACGGCCATGGCCGTCGCGGCTAGCCGGTATGATCGCCGACGAACTGGGTGCGATATTGCACGTGGTAAGGACTCTTGCAGCTTGGCTGGGCGTGTATGTTTCGTGGCGTGGCCTCACGAGGTACAGTAGCTCCGCGCAGGTATTCTACCGGCCTTTAAAGTGTGGTTGAAGCCGAGTTCATGTATACTTTCTTCCTTCTCATAAGCTCGTGTCGTTGACTGATGTAAAATACTGTGCCAACGGAGGAAACGATCTGATCTCTCACATACTACAGCGCAACAAGCAGACGAAGCTAAACGAAGAGTACAAACTATCTTACACAGTCATAATCATATGTCTCGGTCCCATGCGTTTATATCCTTCGTGTCCGTCCTGTGGCCCGGAATGCATCTACTCTCTGAGTGTGCTTCTGTTTCGATCGGGTATGTCCTCTGATGCGCTTTGTCAGACGGCAAATTCGGAGTTGCGCCTGCTGCTGCAAGAACGTCAATCTGACATCGACTTGGAATTCATGTTTTCTTTCAATGGGATATAGTCCGACTCCTCCACGACGAACTGTACTCCGCGGATGATCACGTCGGTGCTAGAGCTGTCCTCGTTGTCTCTGCTGACCTTTGAGTCGACTCGCCCATCCCCACCACCCTGTATCTCCCACCCAAACTCTCCGTTGCCGGACGCTCCGTGTGGTTGTTTGACATAGTTAGAGTCGGGTCCGCTGCGAAAAGTAGACGAGCTGTTCGTGCCTCCGGATCGTTTCTTGATCAGACGGTCGAACAGCGGCTTCAATCCGGGGAAAGACAATGCAATCAAGGTGCCTCCAATCTCGGCTACTTCGATGGCAAGCATAGGGTCGTAGGTCCAGGACTCATCCGGATCCCATTGTCCTTGGACCACAAGGATAAGACGTGCGATTGAGATACCGATGACACTGTCATGGTCAGTCAGTGTCAAGGAAGTATCTGAAAGGTTTTTAAACTTACAGTAGACCGGGGAAGAAGATGAGGACAAGCCCTATCTTCCTCTTTCGAGAAAGTTTTACGAAGCGGATGATGGCTACTGGAATGCCGAACAATAGCATGTCGCAAATTAGGGATATTCCTGAATTCGTGACGTACACCACACCCCAGGCCAAGCAGGTATAGTCGTTAACTCCAGGTTGCCACGAGTACGGCCAGAGACTGGTCACTGGCAGACAATGAACGATGAGAAGAACAAGCTGCGGGATGTAGGCGCAGAACAGAAGCACTGCAGCGCCTCTTATCGTGATGACAAAGCGTCGGCTCTGAGCGCATAGTCTGTGATAGAACAGTAAACCGGAAAATCGACATGTGAAGAGTGCCGTCGTGTAGATGATGTGGGCGACGAAGTCGAGAGTCTCGCTGGCTTTTACTGTGCTGAGCGGCATCACATATTGAATGTAGTCATAGTGACGACCGGAGCCAATTTCGATGAGAATAATGCAGAGGGTCACAAAAGCCACCAGCAGCACCTGAATCTTCTGTTAGAGGCCTTGCTGAAACGAGAAGTGGGCGACGTACCAGGCCGACAGCTGCAAGAGCATCATCATACCCAAAAAACTTGACGACAAAGAGTCGAGAGGCACATCGTGCGGTGACGACCAGAAACGTAAGGGCAAAGACAAAGCAAATGGCGATAATGGAGCCTGTGTCCCGGCTTTGTTTGAGATAAGCGGCAGTGATACCGGCAGGCACCTGTCCCGCTGCAATTGCCTGGTCTACATTACCCATCTTCGACGTCGAATTCGATTGAGACGACGAAGGGGCGACAGCAACCGTCAAGAGGACAATAAAACCATGTCTCTTTTCTGGGAAGGGAAAGAGCTGTCTTTCCTCTCAACTTATCTGCCAAACCTCCCGTAGTTTGAAGGGTCCTGGGTTCCCGGGCCCCGTCAAATTAACGTTGCCCGCGCAGGTGTTAGTTGAGAGAAAAAACGTCGGTTGTACTTGTGGAGGGTGGACAACCGAGTTAGCCTAGTATTTGCCACGCAAGCTGGCAACGGCTGCGATCGATTGCTTCCCAAGCGGACAATTTGGTGCAGCGCTACTGCAGCCTTCAAAGTCACTTTATCATTGTGCTTGGTCAAGTCTTGAGAGCCAGTCTATAGTCGGTTAGAACAATAAGCAGTACGAGAACCTTGTACATGCGAACAGCTGCCGCATGCATCTGGCTGTCAGCACGTCATTCGATTCTCTAGCGACAGCAAGCGAGGGCCGGAGAGTGGCCGCATGGTGCACGCCTCGTGTTCGACCACGTATTGGAAAATGGGTTGGCTGGAAAGTTTGAGAACCATCGAGAGAACGGCCCGGCACTGAAGGTGGTGTCGATCCTGCCAGAACTGATAAAAGGCCGTAATTATCATGTATCTGCCGGACGTCTCCCGTCAGCTGATAAGCTCCGAGCGTGAACTCTGCCGTCGTCGAGTTGGTCTCGAAGTATCTTTTGTTTAAGCGTCCGTTCGGGGGGCACGGGCGGGACCTGCATTAGCAATGAGGCACGGGAAGAGAAGTTTCAAATGCAATCCTTCATCGCACCTACCACAGCCCTCGTGAGCACTGTGCAAGGAGACGCAAGATTGATCGCATACTCCGTACTGAGGATCGACAGAGCGAGCTGGGTTGTTTTTGAGATCGCATCACTATCACAGTACTTGCATGCCATCCGAAAGATCCTGTTCCAGGCTCATGCAGGCTCTAACAATAGACGAAGCTGCCGATACCGTCGCCCAGTGAGTCGGCGGAGTGAAAGCCTGGACACTGCTACTCCGCTTATCTGCAGTAGGTCGTTCGGGGGAGTGTTTTGTCGTTAAGTAACTTCGGCACTTGTCGCCAAGTTTCGCTCGCCAACATGTCGTAAGTTGGCCCAAGCGTGCCTCTAATCAGTCGGATCGAGCTGGCCTTATTCATCCCGGTGGTCTGTGTTCGTCGGCTCAACGTCGAAAACAGGCACAGCATGAAGTCAAACCCCTCAAACTCATAAATATTGCGGTGATGCTCTAAGCTAACCTGGTCTGAGACAACGGGACAAACACCAAGTTTACGTACATTTAGCAATCGTAGGAAACAGCTTGACAGGACTGTCAAAAATCAAGATCCGGTGGGAAGAACGATCAGACACGTTTTTAGTTAGGTCAGATAAACGAAAAGCTCTCCTCGGTAGTCCATAGGGCTCTTCAGGCCGCCTCAGCCCACAACTTTGCTGCCCGGAGCTAGACAGGGCTGCCCACTGGTGCCCTCACTAGCCCCTGCGTCACCAAGAGATTTGGAGATCCTCTTCAAAAAGCTTGCATCATACTAACGAGACGCTACCCACGTGCCGATGAAGCTCTTGTTGTGGCCGGTCAAGGTTCGTAGGACTGCATAAAACCATTTCTTTCAGGTTGTGTCACCCTGACATCTGCAGGAGACTCGAGCTCAAGACACCCGAGCTCTCAGCCCTGCGCCGCCATGATGAGAACATTCGCAGCCGTCGCCTATGCACTCGGTCTTGCCGCCTCTGTTGCGCAAGCACAGACGACCCTCTCCAACTCGTTGTTCTTTCCTCTGCTCGCAGATGCGAATACGACGGAGTTGTTTCCCATGCCACCATGCGGCTCTTTCCAATTGGAAGAGGCGACCATCGACGAGATGCAAGCTGCCATGAGCAATGGCACCTTGACTTCTCAACAACTTGTCATCTGCTATCTTGAAAGAGCATATCAGACACAAGGATACATCAAGTTAGTGATAAATGTGTCCTGCGGTCGCCACACACTGACACACCTCGCAGCTCCATTCTTGAGTTCAATCCCGATGCTCTATCGATCGCAGCGTCCCTCGACCATGAAAGAAAGAATGGAACGGTCCGAGGTCCACTCCATGGAATTCCTTTCATTGTCAAAGACAATATCGCGTCCAAAGACAAGATGGACACAACGGCTGGCAGTTGGGCACTGGTCGGCAGCATCGTGCCCAGAGACGCTCATGTCGTTGCGCAGCTTCGCAAAGCTGGTGCCGTCTTATTCGGCAAAGCCACCTTGAGTGAATGGGCGGACATGCGAAGCAATAACTACTCCGAGGGTTATTCTGGACGTGGTGGTCAAGCCCGAAGCTCCTACAACCTGACCACCAACCCTGGTGGAAGCAGTTCCGGCAGCGCCATCGCTGTCGCAGCGAACGTCATCGCATTCGCCTTGGGCACCGAGACGGATGGCAGTGTCATCAACCCTGCAGAGCGTAACGCCATCATTGGCATCAAGCCTACCGTCGGCTTGACGTCTCGCGCTGGTGTCATCCCGGAGAGTGAGCATCAAGATACAGTCGGCGCTTTTGGCAAGACAGTCCGAGACGCCACCTATGCCTTGGACGCGATTTATGGCGTTGACGCCAACGACAACTATACCTCAGCCCAGACAGGTAACACCCCCAGCGGAGGCTATGCGCAATTCCTGTCTAAGAAGGACGCTCTGAAGAATGCGACCTTCGGTCTGCCTTGGAACAGTTTCTGGATCTACGCCGATGAAGACCAGCTGGAGCAGCTCGGCGAGCTCCTCGATCTGATTAAAGGAGCCGGCGCGACCATAATTAACAACACCGAAATCACAGACTACGAGACCCTCGTCTCGCCCGACGGCTGGAACTGGGACTATGGCTCGACCAGAGGCTACCCTAACGAGTCCGAGTATACCTACGTCAAGGTGGACTTCTACAACAACATCAACAAGTATCTTTCCGAGCTGACCAACACCGAGATCAAGACGATTGAGGACCTCGTCAATTACAACTACGACAACGACGGCACTGAGGGTGGCTACCCCTGGCCTCTGGGCATCCCAGCATTCTATTCTGGTCAGGATGGATTCGAGGCGTCTCTAGCCACTGGAGGTGTCTACAATGAAACCTACTGGCAAGCCCTGAGCTTCTGCCAAAACAAGACCCGCCAGGGCATCAACGATGCTTTGACCTACAATGGCAAGAAGCTCGATGGGCTTCTGGTCCCTCCAGATGTCGGCCAGAGCTACGAGATCGCTGCTCAGGCTGGTTATCCTGTCATCACTGTCCCTGGTGGCGTTCGCACCGTCAGCGGCATGCCCTTTGGTCTTGCAATTATGCAGACTGCCTGGGCTGAAGCGGAGTTGATCAAGTGGGGTAGTGCCATTGAGGATCTGGGACTTACTTCTGGCACCCAGAGGAAGAGAACACTACCTACGTGGCGGGGATATCTGGAGAGAAATATCCCGGTTCCATTCTCGGATTAATAATTTAATATCTCCAGGTATATATCTGACTATTTAATGATGGCTTCGCCGACAATATATCACATTGTATATATAAACACCCTCGTCTGATCGAGCTCCCTGAGGCAGTCAACCGCCTGGCGTGCTGCCGGAGCTTGCTGCTTTCGCACCGCCCTGTTAGAGCGTTGCTGTTCACGCACTTTGAGTTCTTCGGATAGCCACCTTGATACGTTCTTTCCTCGGATCTCGGAAGCGTTGCAACTTGCATGAAGCACTGATCAATATTCCTGTCACCCGCAGAGTTTAGGAACCCACAAACGTTCACTATGCATCATGTATCATGGTAAGAGCCCACAAACGGTTATTGTGCATCATGTCGTGGGAACAATCCCTCTTTGTTCATTCAGCCGGATATTACCCCCGTACCTGACCTTATCTCCGTCATCAAAGGAATGGCTATTTATCCGACAACAGTCTCACGGAACAACTCAAACTCCTTGCCATTGCCATTGTCCTGCACGAGGGCGGGAAGTAATCGGAAATAAGTGTCGAGCAGGCGAACGTGGCAGAAACCCCGACCACACCCTGTGTATCGCAATAGCACATCGCACTATAAAAGGTCTACGATCAGGTAAGGTAAGGATATAAAGGTAGGACGGGATACAAGGTAAACTACAGCACTACTCTGTGCCTGTATCGAACTCGGTGAAGTCGATATACTCTCGCCGCTCGTCAACGTCAAGATGGACACGCGTATCAAGATCTCATCTCTTTCCCTGCGCGAAGCTGTCGCCGATGCACTGTATCGTTGCGTTTTAGGGCTCGATCTCAACGACTGGGAGATGTTCCGATCGTCGCTTACCGAAGGCGAAGACATCTCCATGGAATTGAAAGGGTCGATAGGCACGAAAGGGCGGGACCAGATCAAGCAATACATATTCGACTTCATCGGACCCCTGGATACGACACACCACATCAGCAACGTCCGCGTGGATGTCAAGGATGGAGAAGACACTGCCACACTGTCGGCGTATGCTGTCGCCCAGCACTACAGAGGAGGAGAGGGTCCAGATCCAGCAACGGCACACTTTATGACGGGATCGATATATGTCCTCGATCTGGTTAAGGACAGCAAGGATGACTTGTGGAAGATTAAGAAGTGGTCGGCCAACATGGTCTGGCGGGATGGAGACGGGTCAATCGTTGCGAGAGGGTTATCGGCTGCGAACCACTGAGGAGGCATGTAACATTTCATATACACAGCGCAAAGCAGGCTGAACACTACGATCTCATGTCCTGTCATGGAAGGTCTCTTTGTTCCCCAGAACCCACTGTTGTTCCACCATCCCAAGATTGTTGGAGGCCATTGCGTCTGCCTCCATCATATACTGCGCGTGGTCAAGCAGTATCGCAATTCGCTCAGAGAGACTGGACTGCTGGACTTATCGAGGACGTCTCTGTCCATTTTCGACCATGCAATACCCCAGCAAGTGTTGCAACGTATTGACCCTCCACACTGTAAAGGATGCTGGACAACTTCTCATTTCCCAGATCATGGTTGGATTACTTGATCGGCAGCGTCTGCATCTGTGCTTGCCTGAATCGATATCGTGAATGGGTCTTCTTGGAGCCGGCCAGCTTCGCCGTCATAAGCCGCACTTGACGAATGCCAACATATCGATCATAATGTGCATTACGGCTGTGACAGCCCGCAACCGCGACATCTCCTTGTCCCACTTCACTCAGGTGCTTCTTTAGTGGTCGGCCCCTGCAATCGGATTGTGTCGTCAAGGAGACAAGCGGGCCTCCATGTCCGATGTGTGGTGACTGACACCTGCTTGGGTGACTTGAGCTCACAGTTTGAACAACGTTCTCTGCTCTTCCGAAGGTCACCCATATAGGAGTCTATCGATCAAGCTCTTTCCGTGTTTCGCGCCTTAGATGCTCTTCTTGCCATCCTCCTTCGATCGACTGCCAAAACTATAGGCGAGACCTCCGCCGACAACATTTACCAGACACAACCCCATCGTCGCACCGCGAATGATTCCTCGCGCGCCGAATTTGTTCATGAAGCCCATTCTTCGTCTACCAGCTAGCACAAGATACGTACCGCTAAGCGCAGCAGTAGTCCCGGCACTGTCAATCTTGTAACCTTGGAGGTTGAGGTAAGTCGAGAAGAGAAGAAGTGGTGGAAACAGCATGGGAACTGGTTGTAAGGGTCTCGCATGTTGAGCAAAGACCAAGGTCGCAAGAAGCGCAGGAGGAACTGGATTCTCTATAAAGAGTGTGAGTAGATAGACTGGAAGCAGTCAACGCATGCATTGCGCGCAGAGCTTGCTGAACGTACCTCCCCATTTTTTGGCAGTCTGCAGAAGTGACTGTTTGGCTTCTTCCTTTTTCTGAGGGTCAGCCATGTTTGGTATCGTAGTCGCGACCTTTATGCTGTGGTTGTTTGATAAAATGGCAAGGCGCGAAAGTGAAAGTATCGTGGTAGAAGTAGACCGAGAATACAATGTACGTCATGCCATGGCTTTGAGGTGCAACCTGAGGATCATGGCTCTTGCCCAGAGATACGAGGCTTAGGCGCCAAAGCCTGCGACTCCCGCTCCGCGCTGCGGGCAATCCAGTCCACCCACTAATTGACTTAGAATTACCCTACGATTTCACTTCTTGTGACCACCTTTGTTCAATGATCGCATTTCACAACGCGCTCCGACGATAATACTAACATCTTGAACTCAACGGTCCTCGTTCTGAGCTAGAAAGCATCGCGACATCCGCGGCATGTCCGCATCAGCCTCTGGCTCCGATGCCAAAGCAAATGGTTCAGCGACTCCCCGAGACCATAACCAAGGGAATCAAGAACGCAAATACACTCCTCAACAGAAAGCCGAGGTCATACGGATACGAAAATGCAGTCCTACCGCGTTCTACGAAATCCTATCGATAGAGAAAACGTCCACGGATGCAGAGATCAAAAAGGCCTACAGAAAAATAAGTCTATTGACGCATCCTGATAAAAATGGTTATGACGGCGCAGACGAAGCTTTCAAAAGTGAGTTCAGACTCGAAAGTTGGATTGACATAGCTGACGGCAATAGTGGTGTCGAGAGCCTTTCAGATATTATCCGATGCAGAGAAGAAATCTAAATATGATCAATTCGGTGGTGACCCTGATAACCGCTTCTCAAGTAGCGGATCTGCAAGTGCAGGAGCGAGTCCATTCAGTGGCTTCGCCCGATCGGCTGGAAGTGGGAGGGGTCCTTTCTACGAGGACGAAATCTCGCCGGAAGAGTTGTTTAACAGATTCTTCGGGGGCGGTGGTATGCCTTTTGGTGAGGAACTCTTGTGCACATCTTTGTGGTATAGACGCGCTGACAAGTTTCAGGTGGTGGTGGATTCGGCGGGCCGCAATTTGTCTTCAATATGGGAGGTGGACCGGGCTTCACAGTACATCGCATGGGCGGCAATACACCACGAAGGAGGCCCAGAGACGCCAACGCAGAGCCTCCCCCGAGTGGCCTGTCCGCATTAACACAACTTTTACCGCTCCTGCTACTGTTCATACTACCTTTGCTCTCCTCTTTCTTTTCCGGCTCAACCGATTCAACCCCTCAAGTCCGCTTCGACTCGCCTGTTCCGCCACATACGCTACATCGAGTAACGCCCAGGTACAGGATCGACTACTTCGTCAACCCAGCCCAAGTTGAGGGCTACGGTTCGAGGCAATTCAATTCGCTTGATCAACGTGCGGAGGTCGATTATGTTTCCAGTCTGAAATATCAGTGCGATACAGAAGTTCATCGAAAACGACAGGAAATAAACGACGCAACGGGGTTCTTCTTCACGGATGAGTCTAGGTTGCGGCGGGCGAGGGATATGCCTATGCCGGGGTGCAGGCGGCTGGATGAACTGAAGATAAGTCGACAGTACTGAGTGGGTTGTGGGCGAATTCCTTTGAATTGCATTATTGCTGGGCGTTGGTGGTATTGTCGAACTGGTCCATGGCGATTCCGTGAAGCCAGCGTGCAGCTTCTATCACACATCTTCCGTGTTCGAATATGAATCTTTGACCTTCGACCAAACAGACGCATGTGTATGTTTTCCTCAGACACTGCAACGGAAACGAAGCTATGTCACTCCAATTGTGATCCTGCCTGTCTCAGTAGTGGTAGGGGCCAAAAGATTTAGCGGCACGGGACGATTGATATGCAGAAAAGTCCCGGGCGGACGTGCTCGAAAGAGCTAAAGTTGACCACGTCTTCTACACTAGTGAATCTCTTCACCGCCAACCGAATGGATAGGGTACTCACAGATGGCCAAAACAGCCCCGCATCTCTCGCGAGTTGCAGCACTGAAATGGGCTGGATGCACATTGTGATCTACAGGTTCTATTCGCGCTATGCTGGAGTCACCCCGGCATTCAAGGCACAAGGCGAACACGCAACAGGCGCCCAGTTTGTCTACTCACCCATATCCTTAACCGACTTGTTGGATAACGTGGGAGTCGTCGCCTGAGCCAATGGCTACACTCAATACACCGTCCTCTGCCACCAGGCACCCAGTATCAAGTCTGTGTCCTCGACTAGTCTACACTGACATCACCCGACTGCTTCATTCCAAGCCCAAAGGTAGACGAGGTTGACTGCGCTTTTGCAGCTTTGCCAATCTCACGGCGGGGTCCTACTCAGACCGTTGCACTTCCTCGATAGACTGTTCGAAGCACTGTCAAAGAGCCTGAGCACGGTTTCAACCTACAGATCCAGCGGGTCGATATCGCATATTGCTTTGTTGCACCGTAGGATCCTTGTCTACGTGTGCAATCAGTCGAAAACTCATCATGACCGGTCTTGCATCTCCTATCGCTTCCTCGAGGAAAGGTGCCAGATCCTTGTCGTCGTGGAAGCGCAGATTTCTTGGCAACTGGTGAGGACTCGCCGAAACGGCTTGCAGGATAATCTTTGAAGGCTCACGGCTTGTAGTGAGGGACAGGGCGACCAGTGGAGGTTTGTCTCCTCGTTCAGAGTAGAGATATTCGGTGCCTCCTTAGCTGTGGTTGCTCTTGGGGCCATCGTTGTCACTCTCGCCATACACCAGGGCCGTCCGCTGCCTCAATGGCCTCACATGATATCAATCAACGCCTTGATAGCCATCTTCACGGGTGTATTCAGGTTCTCACTGCTCATCCAAGTTGCTGAGGGTATGCAGACGTGTCATTGGCCTCACTCGGCAGCTGACAGACACGCCAGGGATCAGTCGCCTGAAGTGGCTGTGGTTTCGTCAACCTCAGGAACTTGGAGATCTCGAGCGGTTTGATTCTGCAAGTCGAGGACCTAGGGTTCGTTGAAGTTGATCTTCATCAGTTGATCTTCATACTTCGAGCACGGTATGCATCGCTACCATGATCACATGCAAGGGTACCGACGCTAACGCCAGGGTCCTGCAGGCAACTCGCAACCATGGGTGCCATTATCACGGTGCTATCGTGAGTTCTCTTCTTTTCTGGCCTGTGGCCCATTTAGTGGACTCTTCATCATGCTCTGATACTGTTTGGCGATGCTCGGGACACAAGACTGACGGACAGGAATTCAGGATCGGCATAGATCCTTTCTCACAACAAATATTACAATACTACGATTGCAATGTGCTGGAACCTGGACTCACGGCAGTCATTCCTACGAGCAATTTTTACACCCTAGGGTTCGAAATTGATATCGTTTCCCAACTCCCGACTGCATCAATGACTGCAGCACTTTACCTGGGTCTGATCGACCCACCTTCTAATAGGACTGCGGGTATCACGACTGATTGCCTCTCTGGTAATTGCACCTTTTCGCAATCAGGTGGTGCTTCGTACTCGTCCATTGCAATGTGCAGTCAGTGTACGGACATCTCAAGCTCCATTCGAAACATTAGCTATGAAGGCGTACTGTGGTATCTCACCTTGCCATCGGGGTGTACAATCGGGCCGACATTTGGAGCCGATCAACTGGGAACCATTGTCAATACCAAATACGTGATCAAGAACAGTGACAATACTAACAGCAGTCTGTTCTCGTTCGAAACCCTCAGGACGCCAGACGAGAGCTACATGACTGCCTCTGCCTTCAGGTGTTCTCTCTATCCTTGCGTGAATACTTATGCCGGGAATGTTTCGAACGGAATTCTGCAGGAGCGGCTTGTCACGAGCCAGCGTGTAAGCTTTCATGGCAGTGACTCGATATTTTGGTACTCATCAGCGATGAATCAAACCTTACGCAACTCATTTGGTCGGCTTGCGAACCAAGTCCAGTTCCCATGGCTCCCACAGACCTGTGTACAAGGGTAGGCTTCACCCCATACAACTCTAGCTCTAGCAAAGGGGAATGGTGGCCGAACGACTGTATTTGGACCCTGGGTTTGATCCCGACTGGTGAGATACCTAACATCCTCAATGGGCTCTTCGATAACCAGAACGTGAGCTACTACGGCGAAGTCGCCCAGGGACCCATATGGCTACTGAATCTTTGGAACTCTGGCGCTGGCAACCTCCCGCACTTCCAGCAGACTGCACATGGACTCGCCAATGCCATAACAGCAGTCATGCGCCAGCAAGGGGATAATTCGAGCGCCGGGCTCGCTACAGGGACAGTGCAGGGTCTTCAGACGTGTATTGGCGTCCAGTGGGCGTGGTTATCATTTCCCGCCGCCCTGTTGCTTCTTAGCATCGTGTTCTTCCTGACCGCAACGAGTAAGGTCTCGTTGAGCGCTATGCGGAATGTGTGGAGAGCTTCATCGCTGACGTTGCTCTTCGACGGCCTGAGCAAGGACCTCTTAAGGAAAGATGCGGATGATGGGAGCAGCCTAGAAGATGCCGCGTATCGTGTCAAAGCAAGGCTTGATTGCCTGGGGGATGAGTTTGCTTTCACTGAGATCGGCGCAGTTGATGAACGTTCCTTCGAATACGAAGAAGATCAGTTCAGGAACCAGATCTGATACCGGCCATCCAAGACATGCAGCGCTGTTGCCTGAACTTTCAAGAAAACTTACCGGAGATTTTATAGGTGAATAGATATGGGTGCGGCTATTGTAGACGCGCCGTAACATCTCGAGTCAAGGTAGCCAACATTTTTGCTTTACGGATGGCGATGGTGCTTGTCCATGTGTGCAACGATAGGTAACTTAGATAACTGGCGAGGATGTCCGTCGTGCTGGCTGTCACCCAGCGGCTTATCATCGGATAATCAGGTACTTAACTTAGTGACGTTCTTCGCGTTTCGCCCAATATCTCCGACCCGCAAGGCAATTTGGGTTGGTTACCCCAAGTTCAGTTGTACGGAGTACATCATCCATCTTGCGCCTAGAAACCGACATTCGCTCGCCGCCACATTTGTCATCTCTACAACAACGAGAATGTCGGACCCGTCGTTAGACTCGGATAAGGTGCGTAGGGTGCGTACGCATCAGAAGTGTCTAACATCCATCAGATCCGCAACAAAAGACTGGCAAAACTGCAGCAAGCCCAACAGCAGCCGCAGCCAGAGTCACAGTCGCTGTCTTCAGATCCCGCGACCTCAACGCAAGATGTCTCGCAATCAAAGCCGCCCTCTTTACTCTCCACGCCTCCAGTCAGCGCTCCACAGCCGCCAGTTCCCAGCGCATCACCAGCACCATCCATCAATATCTCCAAAGCCTCCTCGCCTGCACCTGCGACACGTATAACCATCACGCCTCAAAAGAGAGAGATAGATGGCCCGGAGCGACCGACTTCGAGACAAGGCTCAAGGCCGAACGAGACCATCGAACAGTGGGAAGACCGTACGCTAAGGAGTATCTTTCGCCTGAGCCTCGATCCCCAGCAGATGAGGGATATCCACGGTCAGACTCTCCATCCTGTGCCACAACTTCGGGAAGAACTACAGAGCGAGGAAAAGCCGTTGCTGTTGAATAATGAGTTGCTTGAGCAGGCTATCATGGAGGCTGGAGCCAACTTGGGACAATCAACCCCACACGACTGGTTATTTGGCTGTTGGAAGAGAATCACGAGACTGAGTAAAGGCGTTAAAGAGCGGACTCCTGAGAACAAGAAGTGGACGGTCATCTCGGAAGCGAGAAGACTGTGCATGAGTTGGTGCATTCTGTCCATCACCACACCAGACATCTTCGGCATAGAATATGATGGCGCCACTGCGTTGGCAGATCACCTCCTTGCCGATCCAGAAGATGATCGTGGTGTATGTCACGACTTTCTCACCGAGGTCGTCACCAGATTTGAAGATGATGATCAGATAAGAGACAAGTTCGTCAAAGCTGTGGAGAAGCTTAGTGTGAGACTGGCCGGCTTGACAATGGACAGCGACTATCGTCGGTACACTGCGATGCTGCGACACCTCATCAGATACAAGCCTGTAGCGGTTGCCATTACACAGTCTCCCATGTTTTTGGCTGAGTCTGTTCCAGCTGCAGGTTTGGAGGTCGCCACATTGCTTGGACCCTACTTCCAAATATCACCTCTTCAGGCCGAGGTCACGAATCAGTATTTCTCAGCACCAAAAACAATGGATCCAGGCAGGATCAGAAATGCTCAGCAATCTCTGCAGATGTCATTAAGAGCTCATCAGACGGAACTCTTCGATATTGTCAACACCCTAGTACGCGCATCGCCTGACGCAAGAGACCGCATCTTGGACTGGTTCGCCCTCGTGGTCAATTCAAACCATAAGCGAAGAGCTATGCGTGTGGACAAGAAGACAGTCTCAAGCGACGGTTTCATGATCAACGTAAATACTTGTTTAGATCAGCTCTGCGAGCCGTTCATGGACGCTCAATTTTCGAAGCTGGACCGTGTCGACGTGGGTTACCTGCGCAGACATCCGCGGGTGGACATCAAAGACGAGACCAAAATCAACGCTGACCAAGACGAGTCCGATGCATACTACGAAACACAACTTGATGGCCCCAACAACTTCATCTCCGAGTGTTTCTTCCTGACAGTCGCTGCACACCATTATGGCAGCGAGGCGGCACGGACCATGCTTAAGGATATGGACCGCGAGCTGAAGCACATGGCTAAACAGATCGAGCAATTCGAAACCGAGCGACACAAATACGTCAACAATCCAATGCAGTTGAGAGTATACGAAAGTCAACTTAAGAAGTTCAAAGATCAGCATGACAAGGGGCTATCATACAAATATGCTGTTCAGGCTGTGTTACTCGACGAACTTGCACAAACTCGATCAATGCAGTTCATGCGATTCGTGACCGTATGGTTGCTCCGCCTGGTTTCTACCCATCGTCAGTTTCCTAAGGAGAAGCTGGCTCTTCCACTACCTGCCGAAGAACCCGAAGATTTCAAGAACTTACCTGAGTATTTCTTGGATATAATCAGCGGTAATTTCGGCTTCATCATGTACAACATGCCACAGATCATTTCTTCAACACAGTCAGACGAGCTAATTATGCTGTGTGTCACGTTTTTACGGAATTCCGAGTACATCAGAAATCCTTACCTAAAAGCTTCATTGGTCACCATTTTGTTCCGCGGTACATGGGCATGGCGTCAAGGCGGCCGGGGTATATTGGCTGATCAATACAACAGTCTGCCTTTCGCGACTGAGCACTTGTTGCATTCGTTAATGAGATTCTTCATCGAGGCAGAGTTCATGGGTGGTCACGGACAATTTTTCGACAAATTCAACGTGCGGTACGAAATCTTTCAGATCATCAAATGTGTCTGGGCAAATACCGTCTATCGGGATAATCTTCTGCGGGAAGCCAAGGTCAACATGGAGTTTTTCGTGAGGTTTGTCAACTTGCTGCTCAACGACGTCACATTCGTTCTGGATGAATCTTTTACAGCATTCCACAGCATTTACGACTTGTCGAAAGAACTATCTCTCGCTGGAACGACTCTGAATGAGCAACAAAGACAGGAAAAAGAAGAAGCCCTAGAGCAAGCCAAAGGCAAAGCAAAATCTTACATGCAACTGACCAATGAGACGGTCGACATGTTGAAGCTTTTCACGGAAGCGCTTGGTGATGCTTTCACCATGCCTGAAATTGTCCAGCGACTGGCAGACATGCTGGACTACAACCTCGATGCTATGGTTGGGCCCAAGAGTTCATCACTCAAGGTTGATAACTTGGCGGAGTACAACTTCAATCCGAAGGCTCTACTGAGTGAGATCGTCGATGTCTACCTCAACCTGAGTGAAAAGGAGAACTTCATTTTGGCTGTGGCCCGTGACGGGCGCTCATACAAGCCGGACAACTTCTTTGCGGCAGGCTCTGTTCTAAAGAGATTCGTCCTGAAATCTCCTGAAGAGCTCAACAAGTGGGCACGTTTGATCGAGAAATTCAGGAAGGCCAGAGAGGAGGATGAGGCAGCGGACGCTGATCTTGGCGAGATTCCAGACGAGTTCCTTGATCCTCTGATGTTCACCCTAATGGAAGATCCTGTGAGGTTGCCAGTCAGCAAGATCGTGATCGACCGAAGCACAATTCGGAGTCATTTGTTGAGCGATCCGCATGATCCTTTCAATCGAGTACCGCTGAAGATCGAGGATATCATCCCTGGTAAGTTTATGTGCCCGTTGATTTTCACGTACACATACTGACCACTATTCCCTTAGCTACCGACGTCAAGGAGCAGATTGAAGCGTTCAAGCAGGAGAAAATCGGTAATAGGAGGAAGGACTTTGTAGAAACCGTGAAAACAGAACCTGTGGGCGGCCCTGATGGTGAAGCCACAGAGGGAACAGTAGATGAGGGCGCTGCTCAACCCGAGCCTATGGAAATTGATCAGTGAGCAGTCAATAGAGCTTCAAGGAAAATTCTGGCACCTTTATGTAAAAGAGCAGATAGAAAGCCCATGGGCAAGACTTTGTATGATGGCAGAATCATGCCCTTGAGCATTCTGAATCAGAGAAGAATAAAGCAACTTGTTCATGTGGCGGCTACCTGTAATATCGACGCGGTTCTCGCTCAGAAGCACGAATCGACAATCTATGTTCAGTGGACGGTGAGATGGAGGCGGATACCACTCTCATGTGAGGTCCATCTGAAGGGGAAAAAACAGGTGGTCAGGCAGCAAGCAGAGAAAGACCTCATGCTGCCGCGGACGTCGTGAAGTCAACTGGGACATCTTGTGCCACTGTCCATGAGCGCGGTCCGATGGTCAAGGCGACAGAAACTGCTGTTGATGCACAAGGACTTCATCAAAGACAACGATGATGAGGGGAAGCTCAGCCTCGTGAGCACGGACCATTTCCATGCCTTCCTAATAGCGTTAGCGCCGCCCCTTTCGGATCACAGCCTCGAGCACAGAAGGATAGCGATCTCTGAGCACTATTCTGTGCATCAAACAACATGTATGAACACTGCAGCGTCCGGACTGCCTGTAGACTGTCGCCGCTGCTCGCTTTTGTGTTGTTGTTGTTGTTCAGGCTTTGTTAAAGAGGCGGCCCTTTGTGCTGGCTGGTAGCTGGCACCGTAGATGAGGGCGCGCCCGCGCCCTGCGCTCTGTAGCAGCCATACCGGGTTATTCTGCCCCTCGTCTCGCGCGACGACATCATAGGATAGTATGAGAGCTGCTTGAATGCGTTCTGATTCATTTGCGGCTTAGAGATTGTTTATTTTGACCCTCCCACAAACCATGAAAACTCCGAAACCACTTTGTGATCTGTATAACAAACATCTTTTCCACTCTCCACCAGCTTTGAACACTTGTCAAAGCCCTTTATACTTCTTTACCAGCACCACAACCTGCTCTACCACCTTCTCATCATGCTTGACTACTACGATGATGAGTACGTCGAGTTCTGGGGCACTATCATTGCCTTGAGGTCTGTTGTGAGTCCAGGAGACTGGACTCCACTACCGAGAGAGGTCCTGGGAGCTTTGCTCGAAAGATACTACACTTCAGGCATGAGAAACGATCTCTTCGGCCTCTTGGAAGGCTTGTTCGTCGACGTTGGCCTTCGTGGTCACCTCAACCAAGAGCAGGTCGGTTATCGAGTACAAATCATCGGCATCTTGCATCGAATCGTCGAAGGCGCACAACTCCCAGTTGTTGAAGACCCCAACATACCTCAAGATCATGCACCACTGCCACAACAGTAACCAGAGACCTGCAACATGTATTTGCCATGATTAGCAACAGATACTTCAGAGCAGCCATTCAGGGAAGTGTGCACGATTCGAAGCACCTCCCAGTGAGCTCTGCAACCAGGGTGCTGCTTGCTGGATTTGAAGCACTCATGGGTAAGTGCTAGGCATCCGTCCCCGTCCTACAGGACTGACAACAATAGGATACAAGCCATGCCATGACAGCCTCGTGTCTCGGTGGCTATCATTGACCTCTTCGATACCTCTTCCCATATCTTCACCTTGACAGCCTCGTGGGACACCGATACCTGCACGTCCAAGCTTGCCCTCTTGATGCATCGAGTTGACCAACGAGTTGCTGCAAAATACATGTCCCCACGAATATGAGGATCAAAAAAGCCATGCCACAAAAGGGCTTATTTGTTCTCTGCATCTCCCTGCTGTGTTTCGATCTCAACCTCTCGATCTCAAACAGCAAGGGTGCTTACAACAAAGAATGACAATGACTCTTGCTGGTAGCTCTAACAAGCGCACTTTCTACGGATCAGAACCAGATCCTTCCATGTCAGAATGGGATTGGAGCGATACCACCCAGCAGTCACTCATGGAAAGGGCCCTTGGTTTCAGTTGCTTGCACTACGACCCCCTGGGCATCGAAGGCATATTGGAATACCACTGCCTGCGCAACAAAGGCGCTTCCTCGCGTCGCCTCGACATGTACCGACGGCATACGTGTTAATCTGATGGTCCCATCATGCTGGAATGGACAAGACCTGGGCAGTGCCAACCACAGCACCCACAGTGCATACCCGAATGAGGTCAAAGTCGGCGTTGGTGTCCCGATGATTATCCTGTGCGTTTTCTCGTCCTCTTCGATGGAGGCCAGAGGCCTACCGCCAGACCTGCCTCGAGCCCTGGGCTTGCTGCCAGCTGTTTCGCCCATCCAATGCTGGGAGCAGCTGTGTGCCCACAAACAGCGACGCTACATCTGAGCGTATCAGCATGGTGGAAGGTCGGCGATATACTCCTTCGCCACTGAACGATTTCGAAACCATCCGGGCTGACAGATGGTGCGGTCAGAGCACCAAGGTCCGCAAACGTTACTAAAGGGCGGCCGAGCTTGCGCACAGCAAGCCAAGAAGGGCAGGCTCGCCGTTTGTATGCAAGATCTGAACCCAGAAGACCACGAGCACCGCAGAGAAATCGAACGGAAGGACTTCAAGGGACGCAGCCAGATCGAAGGACTCAAGCAAATCCTGACCATGTTCGAAGGCAACCATCATAAAAGTGATGGCATTCCGAAAGGTCACACTCCAGTCTTTCAAGATGGGTTGTATGATCAGCATAAGAATACGCATACTAGTTGTATGTGTATGGTCGTCAAGCAGGGTGTCATGACGATTGGGCGACGCCCCGTTCGTCTCTCACTGCTCTCATCACTCATCGTCCTCGACAACCTCAACGACATCATCACCAGCGGCGACACAGTCATTCAGAGCAGGTTCCTTGGGAGCTCAGGGTCCTGGAGGCAGACATGGTTGGGGAGTATTCGCCAAGCAGGACAAGCCTGGTGGTCGATGAACTGCCGCACCCACCTCAAGTCAAACGCACATCCAGCGGCGCAGTTTGGTCATTTCTTTTCTCATTCCAACCCATTGCAAACGACGCAACAACGACTTTGCACGACAAGAAAACGCCTTCCTCAACAAACACAAAATGGCGAACACAATGGGTGCACCTCTCAGGCGCATCCCAAAGGAGACGAACCTCCGCGACATCGCTCGCATCAATGACGAAGGAAACGAAGAGTCGACCAGCAATGTTGGAGATGGAGGGTCGGTTGCCTCGACAGTCGTCCACCATAGGACATGGTTGGAGCGAGTCAAGATGCTCTTGGGGAGGTTTCTGTGCGTGAAGGGATGAGGGTTGCTGGATGAGGAGGAGGGGCACTTTCAAGCCATGATGGCAGCACATCACATTAACAACAAGCTCAACTCCATCAACACCACACTACCATCGACGATGAGCTCTTCGTCGAACGCCAGACACAAATCGGAATCATCGGAGGATGGATCGGAAGGGGGAAAGGGAGGCATCATGACACCGCTTGCGGTAGAGGCAGAGTATGTCGAACGCACAATATCACAATGATTGCCTCAAATTCTTGATATGTCCAGGTGCTGTTTTACAGCATCCTCCGACAATGATCCCCTTCCACGCGCCTCTTTTCTTGACCTCCTGGATGATATCAGAGATCTGGTCATGCCACGGCCGCTGATCGCCGTCGTCTCCAACCCACTGCTGCAATGTGGTATCGTAGACTTTGCGGCCTGCGCCGTCCGGATAAAAGACCAGCCGCGGCAATTCGAAGGACAGTCTATGTGCTGCCTCTTCATACTCTTGGATGAGCCCGGCGACTTTGTGGATTTTGGTACAGTTGAGCCCGATGGCAAATGGTGGCCTTTCGCCCTCCAGCATGACTGACACCAGTTCTTCGATACTAGTTCCATCAGGCAGTTTCTGATCGTCATTCGGAAAGACGCAGGAGACCCAATACTCCCTGTCAGGTACGGTATTCATGACTCTCCTAGCTACTTTGACCTCGTCTATCCGTGGCAGAGTCTCGAAAGCCACGACATCGACGTCGTTCCACTCACTGCTCTCCGTGAAGACGGATATTCTCTCCGTGTGGAATTTGTAAAGGTCTTCCTCAGTCATACTCCCGTACTCTCCGGAGTACTCTGTGCTGGGGATCATGGTTGCTCCATATGCGCCTAGGCTCAGCGCTACAAGACCAGGTCTGCCATCGAAAGCTTCTCGAGCAATCTTTACAGCAGAGAGCATATGTCGCTTTGCGTCGTCGGCACCAATGCCATCCTGATCCGGCACTTTGGTGTTCCTGAACCCAAGGAAACTTGTTTGATATGTGGCCGTGAGGATCATGTCTGCACCAGCATTGGCAAAGTCTCGCTGGACAGCTTTCAATGTCGAAGTGTTTTCCACCAACAGGTGGGATGACCACAATGGTGTATCCGCAGAGAATTTGACCTTGTGCTCATCTTCGAGAGTCGTGCCGAGGCCACCGTCCAGGAGAAGGAGCTCCTTCTGCAACAGTGTGTGCCTCATAATTGCTCATAGCTTGCCATTTACTTACGCCAGCAGAAAAGGTTTTGGTTGTCGGAGTTTTTCCAGGGACGACTCTCCACAACAAGACTTGTGGATCACTCTATGCTAGGCACTTTTTGAACCCTGGGGAAAGCTTATCTGTTATCGCTGGCGCGCTCCAAAAACTTTTCCCTGCAGCATCATGCAGTTCACTAACTTTGCTGCATTGTGACTCAAGAAGAAAAATCTTCGCGTGGAAAATCTGTCTTGCACAAGAATATCAGAGGAGTGTTGCTGGCGACACTTTCCTCTCGACTCTGCCTACATCAACAACAGTGCACGTTCAAGATGGCAGCTCTTCGCTCCGTCGTTCGACCCCTCCAACAACAAACCCGATCACTCTCCACAGGCTCCTCCTCGCCTCGACATCTGCTCTCCCTTTCTAATTTGACGCCGACAGAATTGACCACACTCGTGAACAACGCGACTCACCATAAAAACAATATCTCCGACCCGTCGTGGCCCATCTGCGACGGCTTAGCCCGCAAGACGATTGCCCTCCTTTTCTCCAAGCTCTCAACGCGCACGCGAGTGTCCACTGAGGGCGCGGTGGCCGCAATGGGCGGCCATCCCATGTTCCTGGGCAAGAACGATATTCAGCTGGGAGTCAATGAGTCACTCTACGACACATCAGTGGTGATATCGAGCATGGTGTCCGGTATCGTCGCAAGAGTTGGCCCGCATGCAGACATTGCGAACCTGGCCAAAGATTCGTCGGTGCCAGTAATAAACGCGCTCTGCGACACTTATCATCCCATGCAAATTATAGCAGATTTTGCGGCGCTGACACAAACATTCTCTACACCTGCCGAGAAGCTAAAAGGGCTGAAGATCGCGTGGGTAGGGGATGCCAACAACGTACTGTTCGATATGTGCATTGGCGCAAGAAAGCTGGGCATTGAAATGGCCGTTGCAACACCCAAGGGCTTTGAGATACCAGAAAAGATGAAGAAGGAGATCGATGCGGCGGGAGAAGGAACCTTGTTCGAAACCAATCATCCGGAAGAGGCGGTTAAGGGTGCGAATATCATCGTCACAGATACCTGGATCTCAATGGGCCAAGAAGAAGAGAAGGCGAAGCGATTGGAAGCATTTTCTGGGTACCAGGTCACAGAAGAACTTGCCCGCAGAGGAGGAGCTGCTGAGGACTGGAAGTTCATGCATTGTTTACCTCGGCACCAGGAGGAAGTCAGCGATGAAGTGTTCTACGGCAAAAGGTCGTTGGTGTTTCCTGAGGCGCAGAATCGATTATGGTCCGCAATTGCGACCTTGGAAGGGTTTGTCGTAAATAAGGGAGAGATTAAGAAGACTGAGTCGTGAATGCTCTGGATAATACCGGACACAAGAAAATTAGACCTATTGGAATGCCTGCTCTTGAAACCTTCTTCAATATTAAGTAATTCAAATAAGTACGGTCGTTCCTTGAAGAGCAAGTTTGGTCATCTTGCAGCAAAGCATATGATCCTTGGCAGCCTTTCACATGCCTCGGTCTTCGTCCTTCAGTCAACATCTCCACAACAACGACATCATTCCACTTCTCCTCCCAAACCACCACTAAACAAAGAACATCAGAGAAAGCAGTCATACTCAACCCTCGTCTTATCAACGTCAACCTATCAACACACTTTGTCCTGTCCGGCCGCGCGATCTGACCATGGAGGTATGCCAACAATCCGCAGGTCCTGTTACAGCCGCACGTCTAACATCACTCGCAGTCTCCCACATTATCGCGCTCCAGCTCCTTTGCACCAGGCCCTCATCGCCGCTCCCACCCAAACCTACATCATCTCTCGTTAGCACCACTGACCCCGAAATACCCCATCGCCCCAGCCGATTACTCGCCATACTTCGATCCGTCAACGTCCGAGCTCCACACATCCACATCCATAAGCCAGATCGCCAGCCTGCCGTCGCCAGGCGGAATCTTGACGAGCCACTCCGCCGCGCATTCCAGAGCGAGTTCGCGCACGAGACTAAAGAGAAAGACACGATCAGCTGTATCGATCCAGCCACCAACATCAGGCTCATTTGGAGCGCCATCAGGCGCGCTAAGTAGCGAAGGCTTTGGGCACAAGAAATCCGGTCTACATCTACACACCTCTGATTCATCGTGGCTCATCCAGACGGGCCTGACGTTGACCGAGAGCTCGCGAGAAAGTAAAGGACAGTCATGGCTTTCGAAGCGCGATTCCTCGACTTCTCTGCACAGCCCTGTCGACGAGAGACTTCTCCCACGATCTGGAAGAGCTACGCCGAGCAGCCGCCGAAGGAACAGTGGCAGAAGGAGTAGGGGGTCGCTGGCTATGACGCCTGCACTACACACGCCGGCAGATGAGGCTGCGCCAGACTGGGATGATGTTCAAACACAAGCAGAAATTGCGGCACAGGTGGAACACGAATTTGCAGATGAGTTTGACGATGATCCATACGGAGTGCTCGACTTTGACGGACAATTCGACAGTGAAGATGAGGAAGATGTGCGAAAAGAAATCTCGCGATACCGTCTGGGAGGATGGATGGATGGAGTGGTTGATGTATTTCTGCGCTTAGAGGATATGCCCGACTATCAAAGTGAAGACTTGGAGGCTCGCAGGCTTGAATTGGCCCCAATACCTTCGACGGAAGCCGAAAATGCTAGTACGCTATCTGACAGCTCTGTGGAACCACCTCCTGCAAGGCCAGCTGGTGTCTGGGATGATGTGGCTTGGTTCGGTCGCCTTATAGCGAGAACAGTTCGATCATAGCCGGGTGGTGGCTGACCCAGCTTTCATATTGTAACAAGACAGAGATGCAACTCTCAAGATGCTGATGTTCTCATTCTCTCACTTCCAGGCTGAGATATCAATCGGACAAGTCGATGACTTCGGGCTCGCGGCGCAGCTTTTTGGGAGGGGGAGCAATGATGTCGATGCCTTCGTCCTCGTCCACAAACATATCGGTCGCCTCTCGCTTGACTTGTATTGCGGCCAGCTGTCGCAGATTATTCTCGGCCTCCTCCTTCTTGATCTTGGCTCTTGAAGCTTCCCGATGCGCCTGCGAGCCTGCGTCAGATGTGGATTACCAATGATCTCGAAGCTCGTAACATACCTTTTGTCGGCGGGCCAGCTCTCTTGCTTCCTCGAGAGTCAGAGAGTCGGGGTCTCTTGCCTCCAATGGCACAGGCTCAGGAGTTCGTGGCAAAATGTCGAGGACCTGTAATGCATCTGCTCCAATCAGCAAGTGACCCACGGAAACGACGTTCGGACATACTTCCGCTTCTATACAGGAAGATGAAGACGGCAAGAGGGCATTTATCAATGTCCACTCCACTCCACACGGTCCGTCTCTTAGATGCTCGTGGAGCTTGTAGCCTGAAACCCGTCATCAGATGTGCTGAAGTCCGGAAGTTTATCACTTGCTTACCCCATGGTTGAATCGATCGCGCGACCCTTGAGAGCCTTTTCGGGCACAGGATTGTCGAACAAAGTGATCTTCTTCTCCTTGTCCTTGCCGATGATTCGAGATCCCGATTTACGCGAAACGATAACTCTGATCGTACCAAGCTGGCCGTACTTCTCCTTCACCTCATCAGGGGTGGCGTTTGTCTTCTCATCCGCTACGAAAATGAGCCGATGGACAAAAACAATAGCGAGACTTACTTGTGACCAAATCTCTCCAGTAAAATGATCTTTCCTCACGTTGATACCCCTTTCCACTGCGAACACCGCCACGAATTGTGGTAAGACCGAGCGATGGGTCGTACTGCTCCTGTGTGACCGCCGGACCGCAGACTGTTTCTCCATCAATTCTGGTATGGAAGCTAACGTGATTACCCACGCCGAAAGAAAAGTTTCTCATCAAAGTGTAGTTGACCTGGAACTCGGCCCCTGGGATGGCTTCGATGTACTTGACGATATGAGGGGAGTCTTTGTGCGGAGATTCGTTCTTCATGGCCTCGACCTCGTCAGCATCAGCTTCGTACTCTTGGAATTCTCTTCCATCACTTGAAATTGTGACCTCAAGTTTATCCAGGATCGCCATATTGACGGAAGAGAAGGTCAGCCCAGCTGCAGGCTATTGGCACAACCAAATGTAAGGTTGCACAGAAGAAAGAAATAAGGACAAGCAACAAGAGTGCACGAACGGGTCAGGCAAGAGGCAGTTTCGAGTGAACATTCATGCGCTTATGGTACCAGTAAAAGAGGAAGTGACTACCAATGCGAGTGAATGTCACTGGACAACTCGATAGCTCACAATAAACTTGATTGCATCACAATGCTCATCATGCGATGAGGCGCTCGTTATTGTAGGTGCAGATCACCATGCCTTGAAAAGGACAGTCAGCAAACACCGAAGAACGGAGATGGATGTCATTGAAATACACAGCATGATTCCACAAGTAAATGATCCTACCCGGCCCACTTTACGCGTGCGGGCCGACGCGTGACACGGCAGGCGGCAACCTTCCAAGCAGATGATGAAACACAACATCAACATCATTCTCCCAGCCTCGCCTTGAACTCTCAACCACAACCCATGACAACACATCAACCCAGCCCATCACATCACTTGACCGCATTGGCGACCATGTAGAAAACATAAGTACAACAACAACGACCATCTGGGCCTCCCCATTGCCGTCCCCATCCCCGTCATCACTCTCATCATCAACCACATCCCGCCATCTTCCCCTCCACCCTACCTGACACTCCCTTCGTAACGACAATGCTGCTCTTCATCCTCTTCACCCTCCTCCCGCAGATCCAGGCATGGGGCTCTCTCGGCCACCGCACAGTAGCCTACCTCGCCAGCCTCCACTTCACACCCGAATCCAACACTTTCACCAACACCCTTCTCAACGGCCAAGACATCTCCGAAGCAGCCCTCTTCCCAGATAAAGTCCGACACATGCCTCAATTCGCATACAGCGCAGGATGGCACTACATCGATGCTCAGGACTCTCCACCCCATCAATGTGGCATCAACATGACCCGCGACTGTCTGGCCGAAGGTTGCGTCGTCAGCGCGATCGCGAACCACACCGCTCGCGTCGCCGACCCTCATCTCCCGCGGTTCTACCGTGGCCAGAGTCTCAGATTCATGATCCATTTCTTCGGCGACGTGCATCAGCCTTTGCATACCGAGGCCGAGGACCGCGGTGGGAATGAGGTTTCCGTGTCTTTCGATGGGCACGCTACGAACCTCCACAGTGCGTGGGACACGCTGATCCCGAACAAACACGCCGGTGCGGGTCACGACGATGATATGCTAGCGGCCTGGACATGGGCGCAGAGGCTGTACGCCAACGAGAGCCAACCATTTGACGAGTGCATGAATGACGCTGCTGAATGTGGACTTGAATGGGCGAGCGAGGCGAATGCATATGTCTGCTCGTATGTATTGGCAAAAGACGTCCACGGTAAGGATTTAGGTGGAGAATACTATGAAGGCGCAGTCCCCATTGTAGATGAAATGATTGGAAAGGCAGGACGAAGACTTGCAGCTTGGATCAACGCCATGACAGCGCCTGCATCTGCTTTGGAAATACAATAAGAAAGGGGGTATCTTCATCTAGACACGCTCAGCACGCTGTAACGCTCATTTAAGCACAAAATCCTTGATTGCTCATAGGTCGACAATTTCGATCTCCGGATCAGTCGTTCCACCGTCTTCGTCGTCGTCCAGAACCTCAACTTCTGGTTTCGCCTTCTCTTCTTCTTCGTCATCGGAACCAGAATCCAAGTGGTAGATCGTCTCGCCGTTCTCTCCCTTGCTAGACTTGAGTGGGCGTGGGTCTGTAATCGTTCCGGCACGCTCGCGTTTCAGACCGGCGTATTCTTGCTTGACTCTGAACTGTTCCTACAGACTGTTAGCACTTTTCATTTCCGAGCATTGTTTCACACACTCTCTGTCTTCTCAGCAGTTCGGCCATTTCCTCCCTAGTCAGCTCTTCGACGGGTCGTTCTTCGAGTGGCAGTGGCGTCGGGGACCTCTCTATGATCATCAAAGATTGAAGCGCACCTGTTCAGTTGTGAGACAAAGACAGAAACGCCGACGGTTGTGATGGACTTACGTCTGGTACGATACTTAAAGATGAATTTTGCAAGGTGTTTGCTGTCCATGAGCTTGACGAGGACGGTATTCTCCATCGGCACGTCTACAGGAGCATAGCTGCCGCAGTAAGTATAGCTCAGAGTATTGTGGGAGTATCCAACCTCGTAACGACGTCGAGTGGTCGACCTTTCAAGGCCTTTTCGGGAACAACTTCGTTCTTCTTCGCCTCGTATCTGGTAGGTTCAGCTTCGCCGGTGATCCGCGCTCGCCATATCTCGACTCTGAGGGTTCCAAGCTCGGAGTACTTTTCCTTGAACATCGAAGTATCGTCTCCCTTTTCTAAGTCACCTGAAAACGTGTCAGTCTTACGTTGTCTGTTTCTCCAGCCAGATGGGCCCTCACGGGTCTCAAGATCAGCAAACTTGAACATGCAGTTTTTGAATCGGCCGTTCTCTGTTTGAAGGTGGCCATCCACCACGAGTGCTGGTGTTGCAGTTTTCAAATCCTGTCGTCTTGAGATCCTCCCACCTTCAGAATGCCCATCGATGTAGGCGTATACAGCCAGTCCATCTTCATTGGTGAACTTATAAGTTGGGGATATCTTGACCTTGAATGCGAAGAGGGCGTCTGAGACAGCCTCGACATATTTGGTAATCAAAGTTGGGCCATTTGTGACTGGTTCTTCGTCGTCATCGTACTCCGCTGCCGGTACTCCATTGACAATGACTTGAGCCTCAAATGTGCCGAGTATCGCCATCTTTTCCGAGCAGGCCGACTCGGCAAGGCACCAGGAGGGAATTGAGATGCCAATCAGAAAGTGAGAGCTCCACCTTGAAATGAAAGATGGGGAAGTGAAACGGAGGACGAGAAAGAAACGCGGTAATATTTGACGCGTAGCGAAAGTAGTTGTGACCTGGCAATGGTTCGCAGTCACCAATTCAGGCAGCCACGCCTTCTATGATCCTTGCTAGCTTCACCACCATAATTCAGCTATGTGGTCCGTAGCAGCTACCATATAGTAATAGTGACATGCTGCAATAGTGGTTGCTTTTGGAAAGGCCAATGCTCCAACCATCCTGTCAAGCAGCCTCCAGGATACAATCTCAACCAATTACCATAGTAATACTACACTCAGTGCCCATTAGTTTCTGCCAGAGCATCTTGAGCCATTCGTTCGCCTTGCTGGTCAATGATGCCTCTGACACTGCGCTGAGCAGAAGAGACCAGCCCTCCATAATGATCTTCAAGCCGTCCTTTCTCAACAAACTTTTTGAGCTTTGCTTGCTCTTTATCCATATCCTTGCGTAGAGGTTCCAATTCACTCTCAGAAAACCTCGTCTGTAGACTGCTAGGAAAAGCCTCACGCCCCAAGATTTGTTCGGGTGATAGCAGATGCACTGGCGTGCCTTGAAAGTGCTTCAGCAAGAATGCTTGCTGAATGGTCCGGAATAGACTTGTCTGTTGCATCTCATTCAGGACCCAGTTATCGTCTTTGCCACTGGTATCGTTGATCAGCATCCAGTTATCTCTTATCATCGCTCTTCTCCATATCAGAGCCCGTAAGTCTTCTTGCTTGTGACTGGGTAAGGCGGCAAGATCCACGACTTGCAGGGCTGTGATGAATTCCTGTCCACAGATTTCTGGATCTTCTTCTGGCATGCCCACCCACTCGACCGAGTCCATCAAAGTCAGCAAATCGACCAGTTCTTCGGGACTCAACGGTGCCTGATGTAGCAACGATTTCAAGAGCTGCTTCAATGTCGTCTTCAGTCCTGGCGTATCCTTGACAAGCCTTGAAGCGAAATTCTCCCTCGCAAGGTCATACGCAGCTTTGTCATCAAGAGCAGGTCCGATCGCGGCCTGAACATGTTGGCAAATTCGTTCCTGAATCTCAACCATGGAGAGATCGCTGTCATAACGCTTAGCATCTTTACGGGCGATGTCCTTGCCTTCATCCGCGGCCAATCCTGACAGCTTAGCCAGAGCCAGTTCCGTCTTTTTGTTCCACACATCGACGACCTCCCCAGCCACAACTTCCTGTAAAGTTCTCTCAGCGCGTGCATAGTTGTCGCTTCCGACCACGTCATGGATCCAGCTGAGTTTGCCGACACTTTGACCATTCTTCTGTGCTTTCTTAAAGAACCACGAAAGAATCTGTTGTTTCTTATCGTCCTCTTGCCCTTTGATCAAGAGATTGCCGCACTCGTCGTCCTCGATCATCTGACTGAAACTAGCCCAGGCCCATTGTTTGCCGAATCGCTCAAAGTACGTCTCAGCTTGATTCTGCATCTCGTTGATTTTCCGTGAGTTGATGTCCTTCAACGAAGGATCGGCCTCGGCTTCTACCGTCAGTTGGCTGTAGTACGCATAGTGCAGGTTCACCAGCATTGGACAGTTCTGTAACTTCTCCGCCAGATGTATCGCCCCCAGCATGTTGAACGGAGATATGACCTGCAAAGCTTTGTCGATCCTGTCTTGCTTTTCTGCAGTCATATTTCTAAGCTCATCTCGATACACTTCCGGGTCTTTTTCAAGCTTTTTCAGATGACATGCTGCCTGGATGAATTCTTCTTTCGTGATGCGACAGAACAATTCCACCTCGACAGGTAATCGAGCAGCTAGATCCTTCAAGGCACTTTTGCTGGGTGCCTCATATGGTTTCCCGTCGAGGTCAGCAGGCATCTTTTTCTTCTTGTTCTTCCCTTGGGTGTTATCCCACCACTCGGTGAGGAATCCGCAGATGTCGTAGATCAAACGTTGACCAAAGCGGAAAGGTTCTTCCTTCGACGTCCATGGGTGAGGTATTTCGGTTGGAAATCCTGATATAAGCACGCCATCTTGAAACACTTCATCCCCTAGTCCGTACCCTGGAGCATTGTCTTCCCGGAACTTGAAGCCAGCCGAGTACGATGCAATCCACAGGTCGACCGCTTCTTTGAGGTAGTCTGCAACAACTTTGGGATCGGTAACCTGCATTGGTCCTAGTTCATCCGTGCAGCTGACCAGTTCGGACATGAGATGATCGATGTTGCCAACACTGTTGACTAGCCAATGTCGTACACGATCCTTTTCTCCTTTTTCTGGATCTGGATATTTTTGTCGAGTTTCGTGCAAGGCCCGAAGAGTGAAATCGAGATAGGTCATTTCGCGACCTTCTTGTGGATATCGTCGTTGTATATCCTCTTGCACTTTCCAAAGTGCTTGGGCCGCAGCCACCTTTTCTGCATTGAGCAGCATCTGAAAACGTGTATTGGGTGTGATGGCGGAGGCATAATACTTCATCAAGTGCTGTGCTAAGTCATCAAGAGCTTTCGCTCTGAGTCTCAAATGCATGTCGATAGATGGTGCAGTCTTGGGGAGATGCTTGGACGTTGACGAGACGATTTCGGAGCTGATGTTCAGTGCGGCTGACTCGATCTCTTCTGCTGGGAAGATTTGGTTGATGTTCTTCAGGTCGAACGGATTCTGTTTGATACTTCCGAAGAACACGGCTTGCTCGATTTTGCTTTTCGCACTTATCCGGTCGGCGAACTCATCAATCTCCAATTCCTCCGTCTGCCGAAGATGAGAGATCATCTTTACTATGCCAAAACCTTGCACTCCAAATACCACCGACGACTGCTTCTCCGAAGTCTCAAGTACATATCCCAGAACCTTGTAGATGGTCGCATCTTGGAAACGAACGCAGTCTTGAAAAGGCTCCGGTAGTGACTGTCGTTCCAAAATTAATTGCGTTGAGGGTGACTCTTTCACTTTGGCCAGAGAAAAGATAACGATTGCTGTTTCGAACAGGATGAATGCCACCGGCTGGTTTCTTGCCACACATAGACGAGGTCGCCATGACGGCCGCTCGGACGACGATGATGAGTAGCAATTGACAGGGTGCACCACTTTCACCTTTGCTCCCTCATCAACCACCATCTCAATGATGTAGTATTTGGTTTGCTCGTCCAAAGCAACAGAGACCAGGACCATCATTGGGGCACCATGACTGCCCTGTCGACTTAGTGCTGTGCTTGGTCCTGCCGAAAGTTCCACGTCCAGAACCTTGAAGTTGAGTTGTGGTGTTTCCAGCAACGTCGATTTCAGCGCCTCGGTGATATCGTCCTTGAAACTGAATGATGTTTCTAGAGAGTTGCCAACACTGAGGTTGGTGTTCCAGAATTCCAACTCGGCGTCTTCTGTCGCGATGACAACATCTCGTTGACCTTTCCTCGAGCCTCCTGCTTTGATCATGGGAGTGCCCTTTCTTTCTTCACCCCCAAACACATTGCGAATGCTGCCGAAGAGACCACCTGCACCATTCGAATATTTGCGCAAAAATTGGACACCAATCCCAGGCCTCCCCATCTGGTCGCGGATCGTCAGATGAGCGACTCTTCCTCCGCGCAATGCGAGTATAAAACCAGATGGTTCCGCGTTGACCAACTCTTCCACGATTTCTCTGTTCGTCATTCCTGGTATCGAACCCTGTACACTTGACGTCTGGCCAGGGATGAGGGACGAAGCGTTTGATATTGTTTCCCAATAGACGACCTTGCCCCATTTTGAGGATACTGCCACGATGCCGGGTTCACCACTGGCAGATTTGGTTGTAAACGTCGCCAATGGCAAGGGGTCATCCACCGATGCTGGCGGAAATGGCAATTTGAAGGTGACAACATCTCGCGACGAAGGATTCGATGCGCTTGAATGGTACGGCCAGATTATAGCATCGCTGTGTGTGAGAGCCAATGCAAAGCCATGTTCGGGAGAAATGACGCAGGAGTAGGGGATTGAAGGATGACTTTTGATCTGTTCTGGTAGAGAAGGTAGCTGGGCAACAGTGTAGAAGTCGTTGCATGCTAGTGTCAGAGCTGCGTTGTTCAACCCTGTTGTTCTCTCCGATCTCTTTTCCGGTTTCTTTGATCCTCGCAACGTCAATTCCTTAATTTGCGCAGCCGGGGTAATGTGTCCATTGGTCTTCTCATCAGCCGCTTCGCGTCCAGCAATCTCATTGATGCTTGCTTCAGCTAATGGCTCGAACGTGTCTCGTCGGAGCGCCGACCGCTTTCGCTTCGCCTGAGGTAATTTGATCGAGTCTTCTGGCCCGGATGTCTGCCGCGTTCTCTTCGGTCTCAATGACTGTATTCGCGACGCGTCGGGGGAGAACATCTCGAGCAGCACGGGAATGCGTTCGGGCGCAGAAGAAAAGATGAGAAAAGAGTTGTAGTCATGGGCTTCAGGCTATGACATTTTTGCTGGCATGAACAATGCAATGCGGTTTGTTATGAACTTATGACCGCTCGTAAACCCCGTTGGAGCAACGCATGGCTGCCTCCGCGTCGCCAAGAGCTTACCTTTCAAAGGCGTGGTTGGTGCTGCTTTAACGGTATGCTGCCGCCGGTACAGATACCCAGATTCACTGGAGCAGAATTCACAATTATTCAAAACACTGGCGGTCCTGGGTAAGTTATCTTCAAGCGACCACCTATCTAAGCAACATTGATTATGCGATGCTAGAGACATCTTCCCTGAACGGCCACGTGCGTATCTGATGACAGGATGTACTGCCGGATGTGCCCTCGCACACGATTGAGAACAGCCTTTGCTGCTGAGTAGCTTGGACTCAAAGGTCAGCAGGCTGTTGTTGGATGTTTAAACCCGGACAGACTTCTTTACCTGCACAGTGATGCAGAGCTCAAACGACCGCTGTCCGAGACCAAACCAGCACGAGGCCAACCAACGAGAACACGGGACAGAAAAGGTGTTACAATTCGTGGATTGATTGCATCTTGCTATGCTAATACATGCTTGGTTGAATCATTGTACTCCATGATCCTCATTGATTGTTTGCAGCAAGATACTGTTTGTCACAGTATATGTTGGAGAGCACCATCCCTAGCGCCATATAAGAGTTCAATTGGTGGTCCAATTATCTCGAAACGGATTTGTGTTGTAGTATTACATCTTGTGGTCCTCATCGACACTTCCTCCCAAGGTGCTGGAGTCGATGCTTTCCTCCTTGGAAAGGGTGGAGGCCTTCTCGATATCATCGTCGGTGGGACCATGCAGCTCCTCTTCGAAGACTGGGTCGGTGTCGAGGCCTTCAAACTTCGTCTTGAAGTCACCTAGTCCCTGAGTGCTACTGTTGGAGCGGCGACGCTGATTGGCGAGGTTGTAGCCATAGTCCTGAACTTCGTCACCCTCGCGTCCCCTATCATTTGTCAGTATTTGAGCGCAGACAGACATGGTGAGGGGTGACTCATACCAGTTGCCCTTACCACCTCCTTGTTTCTTGATACTCTTTGGGTCGGCATCGACGTGACCGTGTTTGGCGAAGTAGCGAGGAAGACGATCTTCAGGGACGGCAGTGCCGTCAGCGAGACCACTGTGGTTGCGATCGTTGGCTTTGTTGCTTCGGGTCACTGTTCCATGGTCAATACCAAGTCGTAGGAAGGTCCGGAATAACTTACTGATGGAAAGAGAGAAGAAAGTGAGCTGAGTATGTCGGATTGAGGGGTCTTGAGTGCTGTGAAGGTTGGTATTGTGGTCGATTGTTGCTGATGTACAGAGTCAGTGAGGGTTGAAATGAAGTTGGGGTTCGAAAGGGACGGACACGCGACCCTGCAGGGACGTCAAAGAGAGGAGGAGCTCGGACCACCCGGAGGATGCTCTCAATTGTATTATTGGAGAGGGAGGGGTCCTGGAAGATAACTCACCTTTACTGCGGTTGTTTGCTGATAACGATTGAGCTGCCTGAAGAGTTGCAGAGTGCGTAATTACTACTGTGTAGTGTTGCTGTGTTGATATGGGTGGGAGACTGACGGTGTATGTCTACGGAGATGAGTCCAGGAGATTGAGAGGCGGTAACTATGGAAGTCGACGAGAGAAGGACGGATGAAGGTCTTCTTATTGGGGAGGGAAAAAAAGGCCAGGTAATCATTGAGTCTAGTCTCGATGGCCATAGCTTCCCTTTGTGTTATTACTCGTTGCTCGCATGACCAGCCTCTACCGTTCTGGAGGTTTCTGCCAATCGTCATGTCTCTTTCCCCGGATTTTAGGTACCGACAGAATCCACTTTTTGCGCAACATTTTAGCGCGGGGTTTCAAGCAGCTGCGATAGGAATCACGAGAGCCTTTCAGACAGCTCCACCAGTGCTACTACCGAGGACGTTAGTGTTCAGGTACCGATCCCCAGCAACGATCAGTATGGGCAACGACACAGATTTGAGTACGGGGCGAGTGACAGAGCAAGGGACATTCTATCACGAACTTGAGCTGTGTTGAGCAAGGTGGATTTGCCAATAACATCAGGGCCATCATCATGACAGATTCGGAATTATGGGTCCATTATTATTACCCTCAAAGCTGATGACAACCCACTCGTGGTGGATAAGCAGTGAACTGATGGACAAAGAGGTACAGAAAATGTCGCAACCAGGACCCATTTAACAGCAACCTCAGCAAAACAATCATGACCACAGTGAATATCACACATCACGAGTGGTGTACTTCTAGGTACCCAGCGAGGTTTCTGGAACAACGTGATGGGGTGGCATGATTGCCGGCAACGGAGAATACCGGACGACCGTGTCACGTGCGTCGATTGAAGCAGTGCCTCTTCTGGTGTGGTGCCCATCCTCGATTGACGACAATTCATGGACTGCAGCTGACGAGTCTTTTGTCTGGTGCTGAAGAAGAACTGCCTCAGGCATCAATTCAGGAACCCGGGACCCTTGCCCGCCGAGGAAGTGGCAGAAAAGACACAACAGATCGGCGCCCGTTATCGGGACTCTTGCCAGGGCTGCCAGCTGCAGGCCTAGCGTCATTTGCCCCTCCGTTCCGCGATTTCTAATCTGGACCAGACTTATCAAAATTCAGTCTCGCCATCTCTTATTATTTTCTGCGCATCAGCAACAACAATTGCATTGAGCCCTCCAAACAGCTGAGCCAATATGTCGCCATCCATCCTGATGGACACGTCTGATGACTTCGTCATGCCGGCACCCAAGATGTCTCAACCCTCCAAACGAACGCTCCTACTGTCCCCACCATCCCTGTCCTCCCATCAAGAGAAATTGACCAATGTCTTGGAAATGCACAATCGAGCCTTCACAGACTTGCAAATGCTCGATAGACTCTCAGTCGGCCTTGTCTCACTTCCTCAATCCACCTACGATGTCGTTATCGTCCTTTCCGACGCAGATGGCTCTCGCCGCGAAAGTCAAAGTCTACTGGGTCGCGACATCCTAGGTTTGCTCGTCAAGTCACTGAAAAACGGAGGCCAATTACGAAGTCAAGATGGACAAATTGGGAGTGTTGAGGGTGTCGAAAAGAGCGAGGCCATTCTAGCTGGACTATCTTTCCAACCCGGAGTAGGATTTGTCAAGCCGGACTATAGTGCGCAGGAATCAGTGCCCTTGAGGTTCGGCAAGAAGAAGACTGCACAAGCCGCTGGCGGGCTTACTGGATCTGACGGCTCTGTGTCGCTCCCCTTGAACGGGAAACGGAAGAGTGTAGATGCCACACCTGCAGGCGTAGGATTTGATGATGGGATGGATGACTCGGACGCGGAGTTGATCGATGAGGATACACTGTTAGACGAAGATGACCTCAAGAGACCCATTAAGATTCGTGAGTATTCCGCATCCTATTTGTTGCTCGCTGCTGACATCTGCAGCGACCGAATGCAAACCCAAGGCCAAACGACGCCGAGCCTGCAAAGACTGTACCTGCGGACTGGCGCAGAAGCTGGAGGCCGACGACAAAGCGAAAAGAGAAAACGCCGACCAAGCATTAAACACTATGAAATTACAGGCGGACGATCTTGCTGAAGTCGATTTTACCGTTGAAGGAAAGGTTGGAAGCTGCGGCAATTGCAGTCTAGGAGGTAAGAAATCGTTCGAGTCCTTGACTATTCTGCGGTTACTGATGTGCTTTAGATGCTTTCCGATGCGACGGATGCCCATATATTGGTCTTCCTGCTTTCAAGCCTGGGGAGGAGGTTATGCTGCTGAACAATGACATTCAGCTGTAGAAAGTACTTTTAGAAAAAAGAGCATGGCGACGGTGTTTGGGTGGCTTGGGTTGGATTTTCAAGGCGTGTCAACAACACGAGACTAAAGGCATGATGGAATTGAAGCAATGACGGGGCGAGAATGGAGAAACCTCATATCACCAATAAATATTTTGAGCACACCCTTTGCCAGATAACTCTTCTACGCGAATAAAAAGTGCTGCGACCTCGGAAAAATGCCGTGGTGTTTGACCAGCTGGCGAATCGTTGGACCCCTAAGATAAGCGGCGGAAATGGGCGACGGGGTCCCGAACCCAATGGGCATCTTTGGTTTTGGCTGACTTTTGCCCGAGTGCCGGCGCACCCCATTTTTGTCGCAGCTGCCGACGTAAGAAAGAAATTCGGCGCCACGCCCTCTCTTCGCTTCCACGACCTGACCTGCAATATCTTGAGTCTGCACATCTTGTGAAGGGCTTGGTCTGAGTTGATCTCGACGTCGTTCTTGTCCTGTCAATCGCGGCCAGGCATAACTGCCCGTTCTCGTCCTTTCCAAGCGCCACCAACCATGTCTTTCTCCTCTCTTGTCCAGGACATCGCTTTCCGCGACTCGGCTCAGGGTCACGCTCGCACGACTGCCAGCACAGCAACTAGCAATGACAACCAGTCGACCATTTCCCGCCCATCGCTAGCTCGATCCTACACCTCCACAGCAGCCACGAGCGTTAGCATCGCAGGCGATATCTCGAGTCAGCTACATGCAGGATACAGCCACCCACTATCAAGAGCATGGCAAGCAGAGCGACAATTGACAAAGGTACAAATCACCCGTACGTCTGTTGTTTGGTGCGATCATACTAACACGACCACAGTCGATGCTGATATACCCCCTCTTCATCACCGACAACCCTAATGAAATCACACCGATCCCCTCCCTCCCCAATCAAAATCGCCTGGGCTTGAACAAACTGGTCCCCTTCCTCACCCCACTCGTCCAGAAGGGACTTCGCTCAGTCATTCTCTTCGGCGTCCCGCTCGCTGAGACCGCGAAGGATGCCCTTGGTACCGCCGCAGACGACCCCGAAGGCCCTGTGATCAAGGGCATTCAAGTCATTCGCCGTGCTTTTCCCCAACTCTTCATCATCGCCGATGTCTGTCTCTGTGAGTACACATCTCACGGCCACTGCGGTATTCTGCGGGATGACGGTTCGCTCAACAACGCTATGTCTGTCGAGCGAATCTCCGATGTGGCCATGGCCTACGCGCACGCTGGCGCCCACTGCGTCGCACCCTCGGATATGAATGACGGCCGCATCCGTGCCATCAAATTGAAGCTCATCGAGACCGGCCTCGCACACCAGGTCAACCTCATGAGTTATGCCGCCAAATTCTCCGGGTGTCTGTATGGCCCCTTCCGTGATGCGGCAGGGTCGTGCCCGTCGTTCGGCGACCGGAAATGCTACCAGCTTCCTCCTGGAGGACGAGGATTGGCCAGACGTGCCATCGTGCGAGATATCCAGGAAGGCGCCGACATTATAATGGTCAAGCCTGCGTCGTCATATTTGGACATCATTTCGGACGCGAAGGAGCTTGCCAAGGATATGCCTATCGCAGCGTACCAGGTCAGTGGCGAGTATGCCATGATTCACGCGGGAGCTAAGGCTGGCGTATTTGACCTCAAGGCCATGGCTTTCGAGAGCACGGAGGGCATCCTTCGTGCCGGAGCAGGCATTGTGGTGAGCTACTTCACGCCGGAATTTTTGGACTGGCTGAGCGCATAAATGTTTTGCTGTCTGTGTTGAGCGTATGTGACAATGCTGTAGGATGCGTCTTCGGACGGGATGGTTATGGAGTCACGAGAAGGGCAAGGGATGATATCCAAAATTGGAATCGATTGATGGTCAAAAAGTTGAGCCAAACAAGGCCTCAAGGTACGGCTTATATACGGCTCCTTCCATATATTTAGATAAAGGCACAAAGTCGAATATCTACGCACACTGTTCTCCCTGTCCTATAAAGGACACTCAGTATATATCAATGTAAAGTCGTGAATGGCTGCACATTGTGGTAGCAGCGATGTTTAATCACCGCCTGCTGAATAGTTTCGACGTGCTTGTGTAATTCGCTCGGCGCTTCGGGGAGGCCTCCCTTGGACAGGCTATGGCTGCAGTCAAGTCTTCTACCTCCGCCAGTCGCTCTTGCTTGCAGCCCATGATGCATTTCGTGCATATGAAGACTGTTTCTCCCTGGTGCGAGGATAATGAACAGAGACATGACGACTTATTTTGAAGCAAAGGGCGTTCGCAAGTACATGTCCGAGTAGTCAGGCTGGCTTTACCCCTTCATAGGGATTGGCCAATATTCCTGTGCTAGCACCAACCTTTAAGCATTTCATCCTGCACCTAGCTCTTGTTATGCCATAGTTTCTCGTACAGCGAAACGGGTTTCATGGTCGGTAAGGCCAAATGCGTGGCTGAAGGGCATTTCTCCACCCGTCTAGTGCATAGCGCACAATCGCGGCAAGCACATCAATTCCTGAATCCGACAGTGCTCGGTCGAGGATTTGCGGTAGTACCGCAGTGACGGATGCTGCCTTGCTATGTTCGCTTCGCCTCCTCCTCGACTTGCGTCGGGGGCAAAGCTACGAAGTGATACAGCGACATGCACAGCCACCTAGATGCATCGGTCGATACAAAGTGCAACCTTGTAACTTGGTGCGTCTGGCGTGTTGAGCTCGAATATCTCGAGGCGTGAAGTTGAATTGGTGGTGCCTTCGCCCTAGAACCCTCGAACACTTTCGGTCAGGCGGAATGGATGGGCCTCAGTGTTCAGCACCCAATCGTCCAGACTGATCAGATCTGGATCACTGAATAACAGGTAGAAGTACTTCAGTGTCTCGGCGAACCAGAAACTCTCCATATCGTCCATTTGTCTTGCGAGGACTTTTCTCACCATCAGCCCCTTTTCATATGCATCGCGGTCATATATTTCCATAGTGCTCAAGAGGGCGGCGTGTCCGAATGCAGATCTGGTATGCTCAATGATGGACTCAAACATAGTCCAACCCACCTCGCGCCAGTATTCGTCTCCCGTCATGCGCCACATGATGAAAACAGACTCAATGGCTTCGGGTCTCAGCTTGTACGAGGCATCTGACACTTGTAAGAAGCCGGGTGGGAATTTAAACTGCTCGCAATCGCCGTTCATGCAATGTTCTGGTCGATTGCTTTGGTCCTGCCAGTACGAGTCGCTCCACTCACATTGCGTGGTGTTTGTGCATGGCAAAAGCGTAAAGGTTTCAGGCATAATGCCCGTCGGACTGTTCTGATATGCCCAGACACAGCCATTTGTTATGGCCTCGCCAATGTAAAAGTCTTCAGGATCACCAAATATTCGAGAAGCCATCGCGAACATGCCTCCAGCGAAGCACGCTAGATGTTCTGTTCTAGTTTCGAGCATGGCCTCCGAGTCTCCAAAAGTCCGGCTCGCGATACCAGGGAAGATGACATCCTTTTCGTTGGCGTTGGGGATGTATGCTCGAAAGAGCAAGAATCTCTTAATCTCTCGAGATGCCCTTTTCCACATTGACTCATAGACATCTCTTTTTTTGCCCATCAAGAGATGCGTCTTGACAAGATACTCGTAAGCAGAGTCGGACAGTGCGCCCAAAGCGAAACGCGTACTTTTTCGTGCAAAGTCTGTCCGGTCTCCACCGATGGCTGCTGGACTGATAATCTCCGGCCATAACCCAGGTATGCTGGAGTCGTTCTGCACCTGGGCGAAGACCTGACTGACGTGGTCCACCGTCTCGATATACTTGTCGTCCCCTGTAATCTGGGATAGCCTGGCAAACTCCAAGTAGATGCTTCCAACGTCGGCCAAAATCGCATCTTCTGTAGGTTTGATGTCCAGGTCCTTTTCCAACAGTTTGCAATGAGTGCAAGGCAAGCCATTAGAGGTGTGGAATGCTGTATGCAGCATGTCACCAAGCTCGATCAATTTGGGCAGTACCCGGGCGTCGTTGCTGAGTTCATATGCTGCCATTAAACCACCAAGATATCGGATGGTGGACTCGAATAAGTTGACTTCACAGCCCTCGATACTTTCGAGGAAATCGATGGTAAGAGTGGCGTTGAGTGCGTCTTGGAACTCATCGTTGAGGTCCATGATGATAAGTGTGTCGAGAGCATCAACCAAAGTAGCGGACCAGCCGCAGAACTGTTGCTTTCTGCCTCCAGACAACGGCAGCAATCCATCGGCCATCCATGCGTGATCTTGATAGCCAGTCCAAGCATGCAAGAACTCGCGTTTCACAGCATTTTGTCGTTCTGGCTGTGCAAGGTACCGGCCATTGAAGTTGTGCTGAATTTGGGTATATGTACTTCTGGGCATAAGTATTTGCAATAGTAGGAACACTGCAAAGAGTGCAAGAAGAGGTCTGAGCCATCTCAGTTGTGGCGTGGTTGACCACGACATGATGGGCGTTTTCTGGAAAAAATAGTGCAGCCTAGATTGTGGTCCGAGGGTGTTTGGAAAAGCGTGACAATGAGCAACAAGACAAGGAATGACTATGAGTTGGACCGACAGGAAAGGAAGGACAGAATACGTGAACCACAGGCGTGAAACAGCTATACCAGCTGTGTTGAAGTGAGGATACTGAAAACAAGAGAGTTCGAGATAGCCATGAGGGAAGAAACCAGGGGGTAGCCTGATGGATCGAGCTTAACGGGTGGCTTTCTGATGGCGCGCTTCTGTAGAGGCTAAAAACGCGGAGAAGTGGCTGGACTTTGGCTGGACTGCTCGGCTGCAGCACGCCAAAGCCATGGCACTCACTGGCAATTCACCTTCTTGCACATTTGCAGTTTTAGCAATCTGTGTCGTGACAGTTTTGGCAGGCTGCCATTTTCGCATCACATCGGTTGGTGGATCGGAATGAAGGAGAAAAAAGGAGAAAAGCAGTTGATTCAGATGTCTTATCATGCAAATGATTGGAAGTGCCAAGGATCAAGCGACAAGTCGAGACCATCTGCCCTGTCACACCCTTTCTGTCAAGGCAGAATGGCAATAGGAGGGGAGTTTTGTGAAGGTGGGAAGGTATCCAGGTAGATATGTTGATATTGATGATGACTACTTACTACTCTAACTAGCAATTTCGATATGCAGTTAATTAGTCTTGCCTCGGGGGACTCATCACTCGCCTCGACGGCAACCTTTTCGACAATTGCTCACCGCGCTGTCTCCACACAAACATGTTCAGGCATCAGCAGAAAACTACGGTCAGTTGCGGAGTTTACTTGAAGCCTAAAGTGCCTCACCCACTGCTCACCCTACTTCTTCTACCCCAGGGCCTAACTTAGCACTAGCAGCACTAGCCGTCCCACCTGCGGCCACTAGGACGGCAATGTTATGGTACGGAGTAATCACTGAGGCTTTCCAGGCTCATCAAACCAGGCGACTTCCGGTTCCATGGACCACAATACTCCGGCGGTAAATGCGCATCTACGGTCTCCGGATAAGTGGTCAGTGTCGGTGCTTCTCTCTTCAGGCCTCCCTCAATGTGACCCAACGACGCATACCTGGCACCGTCCTCAACGACCATTTGCAGGCATTTTCGCTCAGAATAAACCAGTTCAGGCCTTTCCCGCAATATTACTCAAACGAGGATATCGGGGGATTGGTATACCATTTCACATCGTGCGATGCAGACGGGCTCCCTGTCAGGTCGTTTGCAGGTCTTCTACAGGCTCACAAACCACCAACAGACTTGGCCGAAATGCTTGATTGTCTGTTCCCTGTCGTCGGTCACCGGATGCCGTGTGTAAGGTAGGGTGGCATTCTCGATACCCGACACAAAACTCTACATACGCAACCATCATCATAGCCCTGGGGTTATGTGCACCACCTCGGCCTCTCAGCCTTATCTTCAGGCACCCGGGATTGGCGGGTCAGCCCTACGCCTCAATCGAATGGACCATTTGGGAATGTGAACTTTCTTTCTCGCTTACTTCTGCAGGTATCCATCGTCTCCGGGACACTACCCAGAGCCTGAGCCGCGATGCATCACACGCAATTTGCGGTCAACGCTCTGAAGCAATGTCGCTTCATGGCATTGCGCTTCACTGCGGCAGACCTCTGCACAGTTCACTGGTGATCAAACGCCAATCTGAGCTGAAGAGTCCCCGGAGCCTACCGGATCGCCGAAACCGAGTGCAAATGCGTGGGAAAAGGTCAAGCTTGGTAGAGCAGGTATTTTGAAAAATTGCCGATCATTTCTTGAAGCGGCATTTGTTAGGCCCTTCAGCTGAACCGACGCACTACTACACACCCAGATGTCAGTGACACTGGAAGATGCTGTCGTCGCAATCATAGGGACGATCACTGCAGTTTGGAAGAAGAAACGGGTCAGCTCATCGTCATTCGCAGACGGCACAAATACGCCACTAAACGAATCACCAAAATGTGTCTTCCAGAATACGTCTTCGAGGAACCATTTATGACATGACCAGTATCAAGTTACCCATGGTACAGCTCATATGCGAAATGGTGGGGTTGAGCCGGCAAAGTACTCCCATGATGGTCTCTCGAGGACTCCACTCACCGCTATCAGGTAGGGCAGGCTATCTTTTCACACCGTCTACCACGAGGCTTTCCCTGGCAAGGGTAGGGGTTTTGATTAATATCGTCACCTGGCCCTCTCCAGACAGACGTAAGCAGGCCTTGCCAGCCGAGTTCGTCCACTCCAATCAGACTGTTCAAATCGTTTCGTTGCTTTCTGTCCCCAGTACTGCTTTTCAATCCCGGATCTCAACGTGGTAACACAGTGAGGCTCCAACCCTCGCCCTATGGCTTGCTCTTTTCGCCCACTAGGGCCATATACACAACCCATGTTGGACTCCATCGGTGCTACTTTCCTCAAAGCTACACATACGCACGTCAGGCTGGCCTTCTGAAAGCTCGGTGAAGATCATACCCAGAACCATAAAGGCCTTATGTTGCACTCGTTCTCTGTTCAGCTTGAGCATCTCGACTCCTGAAAAGACACAAAGATTTACTTCAAGACTTCAGAGCCTCAACAGAGGCACGAATTTTTGTGTCGAGTCGAAAGATTTTCAGTATGGTACAGGGGCTTAAGCCTTTGTAATGCATCTTTGCGCCGGGGGCCCCTGGATTTCCCGAAACCGCTGGCATGGGGGGGGGGGATGTCCCCATCTCAACAATATCTAAACAACTGCCGATTAAACGTACACCGATGCTTCACGGCTCCTCTTCAACAGCCTTTACGTGTTGCCAGGTTCAAGGCGACCTTGACCTGCGGTCGCCTGGTCACTCTGCCCAAGTTAGCCTTCTTTGCCTCTCGATATATGAGACCAACGAATGTGGCATGAACTCTGCTAGTAATGGATCCACCTCGCACACCCATTCGGATTCCTCAATCATGCCAACAGAAAAGGTCCGTTCAAAGAGATGGGCGCCAAAGACATTCAACGGGTGCTTGACCTGCAAGTATGTGTAAGGCATATATTTGCCCTTTTACTCATCTAACACTCATCTTCAGGAGGCGGCGAGTCAAATGTGATGAATTGAAACCCAGCTGTGAAAGGTCAGCTTGCTATCGAGATACCATGAGCAACATTCAGTGCTAATTACATCAGATGTATCAAATCCAACATCAAATGCGATGGCTATGCACCGCCAAAGATCAAACTCTTCGAACCTACCTCAAGTTCATCCTCTATTACACCTTCCTCAACTAGGCCCACCCCTCTTTCCTTACTTATCAATCAACCCCCTGAGAACAGGCAGCTGCAGTCGTACCTCACTACACATCCTCGCCCACGAGAGCTCGCCCTGAACCCAAGTTTTGGGACCGAAGAAGAATATCGATCCTTTCAGTTCTTCCTTGAGAAGACCGCCGACCTCATTTCAATCTATTCGCAACCATATTTGTGGACTGTTCTCCTGCCTCAAGCCACATGGCATCAACCAGCCATCAAGCACTCCATCATCGCACTCGCCAACCTGCATCAATCTCTGAGTACTACGGGTACCATCTCGAGCCGCGCCAATCACAGCTTCATTTACCACTATAACAATGCCATCAGAGCACTTCTCACAGACAGACCAGCGGTTGACGTCGTCCTTGCTACATGCGTCATCTTCTGGGCACTCGAGAACTTCAATGGCAGTGGGCAGGCCGCAAGCGACCATATGAAGGCCGCAATCAAAATCCTAGGAGAGTGGAAAGCCAAGGGCGGGCCCAACGATCCCGCTCACGACCTTATCACAACATATATCGAGCCTGCTATAAAAGACGGCATTAAAATGGTCTCGGTTGATCTAGCCTCAGAACTTGAAGATCTCATCACGGCATTGTCGATGAGCCCACAAGACATGCGCATATTGAGATACAAATGCCCTGCATTTAACACACTTGACGTGGCATGCGCATATCTAGGTGGTTGCCTGCAGAAGATCTTCGATTTGCGCTCTGCGCCTCACAATGCCGAAGTCGTCAATTCGATCCACGATATCGAGGCAAGGCTGTGTAAATGGATGAATTTCTTCCAAAAACTAACGGCTACAGGCGCCGTGCATCATCGACGAATGCTTGTGGTGCACAATATCGGCGCACATATCCTGTTGGATCGCCTTAAGGAGCAGGCCGAAGTGCCGACAGAAGAAGTGCAACCGACTAGGTGCCGTTTCACCTACATTGTCTTTGAGATTGAAGACATACTCAAACACAATGCGCTCGCCACAGCAGCAGACTGGACCGGACGGCCATTGAGCAGCATTTTCATTCCACCAGTGTTTCTGGTTGCGACATGCGCGCCCAAAGTTGAGGACAGAAGGAGAGCAATAAACCACCTAAGTATACTGAATCTGGCAGAAGGGTCATGGAACACCGAACTTGCAGCCAAAATCGCAGAAGCGATGCTCGACATCGTGGATCAATTTTCGATCCCGGCGCAGGAAGTGGCGATGCGACATATGGACTTCAGTGTTGGACAGGAGGGCAATACCTTGCATATGCGCTGGGAGCCCGATTCTGCAGAGTGCCAAAACGTGGCCCTCTCCAGGGAAATCGACATGGGCGCCACGCCTCAGGCTGATCATGTAAGAACAGCACCATTGTCTGTCCTTTTTGTGGAGCTAACAACGTATAGCAGGATTTACCGGAGGTCATCAAACATTTTGGCTACAGGTTTACGTAGCCATAAGGCATTTCGCCCTTGACTAGCTTGTCACGGCATTACGACGTTACAGCGAAGGTTTTGGAAGCATTGCTAGGTATTAGAACGTACAGGAGCATATAGTGCTACAGATGACCACGACCTCAAATATGGCGGCTCAAGATTGATCTTTGTTGTCTCGGGGTATATTATATCATCTAGCGGACGGCGGATTCATGCTTTGACTTGCTTGTCTAGACTTGCCCGTCTTCGTCTGAGTTGCTTCCTGCTCGAGGAAGTTCTGCCACAACTCAGCCAGCGTCTCTCTGCTAGCTGGACTTGTCGTACTATCCGCACCGAAATAGTCGTGATGCAACGCCGGCGTACTCGGTGTGCGATGAACGATAGGCGACGAAGGCAGGCGTAGGGATCCTGTCAGAGAGATGGAACCTGCGCCCCCTGGCCTCGCCAGACCAGCCTGCTCGCGCTGCTCGTCGTTCCAGCCTAACAAGGCAGCAATAAGTTGCAAGACCTGGAACTTTTTGGGGTCCGACCGGTCCAGCGCGAGGAAATGTAAAAAGTGGTTCGTGACGATTTGTCTATTTTGTCACGATACGAGCTTAGGTCAGCTCTCTGGGGACGCCTTATAGGGGGATGGGGTCGAGATCGACTTGGCATACCTATCCACATTATCCTCCGGCTTTCCCTTTTTCAAAAATCGTAAGGCCTTGGTGAGATGGTCATTTAGAATGACGGCCTCGTGCCTTAGTTTGCCAATCAGGAGGTTCTTCTCTTTAACTTCCTTTTCGAAAGGCAACGCGCGTTCGAGTTGCTGTTTCGTCTCGGCTAGTTCGGTGGTCGTGGATTCATGCGTAGCTTGTAAATCTGCTAATTGTTTCCGCAGCGCGTCCTGCTCTGCTTGATTCGCTTCGACGAGTTCTTTGAGCTCTTGTTTGCGCACTGTTTGGATCTCCTGGAGCGCTTTTTGCAGGCCGTCGACCGTTTGCGAGTTCGCGTCACGGTCGGCCGAGACTTTTTCATAAGCTTCGCGTAGAGTGGCCAGTTGCTCTTCCAGATCTGATGTTCGATCGCTGAGATCGCGGCGGAGTGTCCGTTCTTCCATGGCGAGCACCTCCCAGTCGTGCATGGCTTGTTTGGCGGACTCGAATTCTTCACGGAGGTACGCTTCTTGCTCGATGAGCTCATCTTTCTCTTTCAGCCAGTTCTGCTGCGAGAGTGTGAGGCGGTTGCGCAGACTGGAGAGCTCTTTCGCTTGTTCTGCTGTTTTCGCGTTAAGGTCTGCATTGTGGGCCGTGAGTTCGTCGACCTCGGACGCGCGTGCTGTGTATTGTTGTTGGAGTTCGGCTTTTTGTTCTTCGAGTTCGTCGATGCGGGTGCGCGCTTGGGACAGATCTTCCTATTGCCTCTGTTAGATATACTTGCGCAGGCAGGGATGGTAGGAGTGAGCATGGAGGGTAGGTAGACGTACTGCATCTGCTTTCAGCCGCTCGCCTAGTTGTGACCGGATCGTGTTGACTTTGCCTAGGAGGTTCTGATATTGTTCTTCAGCACTCTCTTTCTCGGCTTGTGCGTCCGACAGGTTCTCTTGGAGCGTCTCGATCTCGGATTCATGTTTGGACTGTAGGGACTCGAGAGATTTGCGGAGTTCGGTCACTTCGTGCCGGAGAGCGTCACGGTCTGCCACGAGGGCATCGAAACGCGCTGCGGCGTCGTTTTCGTTTTCGTCAGCATCTTCGAGCGTGGCTTTGGCGACGCCATTTGTTATGGTGCTGGTGAGATCGGGCGGCTGTGTTGCGTGTGGTTGTGCTGTTGGTGTTTCTTCCGGTTGTTGTGCTATCGGGGGTTCGTCCACTGGAAGTTGTTGTGCTGGAGCAGGTGTGGCGACGGTGACTTCTTCTTGCTCGGACTCATCGTCTTCCTCTGGTACTTCTTTTGCGTCTATAGGAGATTCGGTGACCTCTTGCGTGTCTGTATCTGCTGGCGTCGCGGGCGTTGGGGTCGGCGCGTTGTTAGTCCCTGTACCTTTCTTCTTGGACTTTTTCTTTTTCTTCGATTTCTGGTCTAGCGATTGTGAGTACATGAACGGCAGCGGTGTTTGATGAGGAACGCACCTCCTGAGGGCATCGAGGACATATTAGTTGACGACATTCAGTAGCTCCCCTTGTCCGGACATCGAAGCGTAGCTTGGGGTTCAATTGTAAAAAGGTGTCACTACTGTAAATTCCCCGCTTGGCGTCTGCGAGAGACAAGGAGTATATGCGGAGAAAGGCACATGTCGGCCTCGAACGCGGCCATTCGCTTAACTCTTTAGACAAGGCTACAACAACACTTATCTATTGGGATAAGACGTTATGCGTTGTCCAGATCTATTCATCGCACGGAATTCGTATTGTTGCTCATCATTTCATCGCTTCCAGGAATAACCCCCTCATACCTTTCAGCAACGTCCCAATCTCCCTTGTCGAATTCAATCGATCCACGACCTTCTCAACCTTTGCCGCATCCAGCTTCGGTTTCATATATACCACACCATACCTCCCACTCCCTGTATCTGGCACTTGTAACTCAAACACTGCTTCCCTCTCTTCATCGCTTTTGCAGCCCTTGACTGCGGGGAAGGAGAACAATATCCTGACTTTGTTTTCATCACCACTTCCCTCGATCCGGCACCCCAGATACATCTCCCAGAAATTCAGTTCTGGGCCATTCAATCGACTTTGCCCATTCATCTTCTCCGCATACTCGCGCTGTGCTTGTAATTTGACCTCGATCTGTCGTTGTGTTTGGGCGATTGCGCTCTTTAACCTGTCACAGGCGCTCGCTTGGCCGGCTTGATGTGACTCCAGTTTCGATATCTGTGCGTGCATCTCATTATTTTCCGCCTGTTCTCTCGCCAGCACATTATTGTGGTTCGATAACGAAGACTGCAATGTCGCGATCTGTGTTGTCTTGGACCGTTGTTCCTCTGTCCTGCGATCAGTGCATGACCTTCACAGATGTATCAAGCTGGTTTGCTTACCATGAAACTCCCCTACACGCGCTCGAAACTCGTTGCGCTCCTGAAGAACGCGCTTCCTTTCTTGTTCAATGAAGGTGTCAAACTTGAGAGTGAAATCTGCCATGCGCTTTCGCAGATCATCAAATTTGAAGTCCACCGTAGGCAATTGAGTCAATGGGTTGTCGGAGTATGACATTGTACCATTCTGTGACTGCGACGCGCGGAACGATGATGTGCTGATTGAGAACGCGGATGGGTGCATAGTGGCTGCCATCTTGAAGAGTGCAAATGTTGAGACGGTACTTGATCGTGTACTGGCTGCAGTGTTGCTTGAACGCGTGTCGAATATCGGTGTTGATGGTCGATGTCGCAGCCTTGGAGAATTGAGGTTTCAACATCTTTGCCTCATTTTCCTTGGCTTTGGTGGTTGTCAAGGGCAACCACAACCTTGGCTTCAATTTCACGTCAACGATTCTCAATCTTACAATACCTTTATGGTTGTCACTGCACATCTAGAACGTTTGAATGTCTCAATGATAAATGAGGTATCGTCGCTTGCTAAAACGCTACTGACGGTTATGTTCATTGCAAGGAGTTTGTCCGCATTTCCTCCGCCAACTCCTGCCTGCCCTCACTGTTCTCCGAACTGGCATCATCAGCCTTGACCAGTTGTGTGAGTAGAGCTTCCATTCTCATCATGGCCTCCTCCATCTTGTGCAATCTGGCATTGGCCTCCAGCAGTCGATTATTTGCATCACCGTCATCGTTCAAGTCAACGAGCGAATCCATCCTCTCTGTTTTCTCAACCTTCCTGTAACCTCGTGGATGGTCCCCTTCATCGTTGGCACTATCAGAATCTTCAAATTCTGACTTCGACTTATCACGTTTCTTTGAGTCAGAGTCTCTCTTGCTCCGATTCCTAGGACTGGCCGTAGTTCCTTTATCGCTTTCAACTGCTTGGCTATTGCGCCTGGACGCTGATAGCTCCTGGACCCCTTCGTTCAGGCTGTTTCGCATCGCTCTTCCAACTCTGTCAACGTGTCCTAAATCATCCTCCTCCTCAATCCTGTCCAATACGGATTGTGGCGGTTCAATATCGAACACTGCATGGATATCACCATGGACAGTGAACCTCGAAATTTCCCAATATTGTCCTTTGGTGGGTATCGGCCCACCAGGATTTCTCCAGTCGATTCGCTTCTGTTTAGATTTCTTGTCCTTGACCCACAAGGTCCTTCTTTCGTACCATGCAATCAGCAACAATGTTGGCAAGTTCAAAATCCTGACTGCAGCCACATTGATCTTGTGGAACATGCGTTCTGATACCACCGTCTTCAATGGTAGCATGACGATAAGAGCGAGGATATTGAATGGGGGCCAATAAGCAAAGATGGCATCAGATTTTACTCCTTCAAAGGTGAGAACCGCGCGTCGAAATTGAATCTCCTGAATAGCGTTGCCGGCGATGCTGCTGAACGTGTTGGTCAACATTGACACAAGGATGGTCAAGAAGAGGGTGTTGCCCAGAAACGCAAACAGAACCATCAAGACGGGTCCAAGGAGCCAATGGAAATCGGTGGACCTGTCGATTCCCGTGCCATCGAGACCGAACCAGATCCAGATCATCCATTTGCCGATGGTAACAGACTAGGAGGTCAGTCCGTGCCAGGATAACGATAATGGTGGCTTACCTGATGTGCTCCGGCATGAAGCCACTTCAAACTCAACAAAAAACCTGCAAAGCACCATACCGCAAGGGCGGTTAATGTAAGGAAATCGGACATCATTGCTCTCAAGGATAGAAACAGCATATTCTCCGACGCAATGTTGAAAGCCAGTCGTGGTACCAGCACCGGTGCACCACAGCTCAGAATATCGAGAGCAGTTCGAGCCCACCATATGCTTCGATGCGCATCGGCAAACTGGAACGCCTGAAGCCGCATGACCAGATACGCTAGAAAGATCAGCGAGAACGCCACATCCAAGAAAGACCACAAATTCTGCGTGTATACACCCCATCCATGTTCGAGAATCGTGGCAAATTGGTCCAAGACCTATTCAGTCAGTCAGTCAGTCAAGCTCGGACGGTCTCCGGATTTTACGTACCCAACCAGCGCAGTAGACATCAAAGACACCTTCCACCAGCGAGTAATCGGTCCTCAATCGGCTTTCTCGTCCTGCCATGACGGCAATATACAAGGCCAGCAGGAGAATGAAGTGGGAAAGCTCCACAAGATTCCGTGTCCGGGGTACTATCAGCCGGTATTGATTCAATAACGGTGCCCTCCTAGGGTCGTACAACGAAATCGGCCTCTTCTTCCAATGGTCGGGGATGATATCGATGAAACTATTTGGCGTATAAACGAGCTTCCCTCGATAAATTGCATCGACAACTTTCTGACAAGCACTACTAGCTAGGAAACTTTTGCTGACGCTGATGATTGCGACTTCGAGGGCGGTGAGTTTCCTCTCGATCCTGCCGCCTTTTCTCTGGGCAGCCCAATGCATAGCATGGACGCTTTGCTTGCAGACCTCTTCGGGAGCGCCCTGAAAGGGCTCGAAGCCTGCGACGAGGATGTTGGCAAGTTTCAGGAGTCCTCTCGGCCCGGGATTTTGTTCATTGTATCGACGTAGAATCTTCTCGGCGACGAGTTCGCATAACAATGCTCGCGTCAGGTTGACCGTTTGATGGTGTGTTGCGAAGGATTGTTCACGAATGAATTGCATTCGGTTGACGAGAAGACAGTAAACTGGATTGGTCAGTAAGTGTGTGTGTCAGTGTCCCGCTGAGTGGTGTGCGAACCGACTGATAGGTCTTGCATCTCGTAAAGAGCATCGACCAAGGGACGAACTACCGAGATGTTCATCCGCGGCGCTTTGAGTTGATCCAATGAGTACGGGTCATCTAGCAATAAGCTTAGTAAATGAAATGCCAGATTCGTTTACGGAGAAGCTTACCTATGCTACTGATGACATCTCTTCGAATTCTGCGCGCTGGTCAATAATCTGGCCAGATGGGGTTGTTATACTCCAGGAGTCTATTGCTCACCTATGAATGTTTTCGTAGACTTGACAATCGGCATTCTTGTACGGGTCTGCTGCGGGCGGTGGCTCCTCTTGAGCGCTGGTCCAAGTACAGTGCGGCGGGTACAGGCCGTCGCTATCGGCCATATCCTCTTCATCGTGCCGGGAGGCGAGCAGTGCTTCCATCTCGGTTCGCTGAAGGTTCATGCGATATTGGCGGCTGAACCCGCGCGACGAGGACGGCCGTGTACGCGATGGCATGTTTGATATTCTGATAGCCTCCTCAATTATCCATGGTGAGAAGAAGAGTGGTTAGGCGAATGAGACTGGTAGGAGAAGTCGGGTAACGTTAAACCATAACAGTCTTACGAAACATGCGGAGTCGAAGTATTCGTCCCCTAGTACAGACCTATAACCAATTGGAGGTTAGGCACAGTTAGGATTCATTTGACGGCGAGATAAGCTTATCACATCAAGCTTTGTAAGGAGGTTTCAAACAGATGGCCATAGCTTTGCGTCATAGCTGGACCGAGGTATGGTACTTAGCTGTGGTAGGTTCTCTAACATAAGCACTCATTATCATTATATCTACCCGTATGTAGCTTCTGTTCATTATTTACGATGCTCGTCAAGTCATGCAGCCTGTGCTCCCATGAGAGTATGCAAAACTCCAACATCAATACCCTCCCAGTTGGTCTCATAACAAAATCATCACAGTAGCCACCATGGCCAAAACCATGGCAAAAGACGATAGACTCGGAGTCGTGCCATCCTGTGCATCACTACTCACAGCGTAGACGAGACTCGGTGTCGCAGTCGTGTCGCTTGCGGCTGTGGCGACTGTGGCGGTACTCGCATACACGATGACCAGGCTGCCGCTCGTGGTTGTCGCGTACACAACCGACTGCGAGGAGGAGGTGGTAGTAGTGGTGGTAGGCGTGATCGTAGTATGCGACGTCACTGTGACAGTGCCGACGCCTCCCCAGTTAGTTGTGGTGGTCGACGTCGGCGTGTTCTGACAATTCGTTTCGCATTGGTCGCAGCATACCCAAGTCACGACCGTGCTGGTAGCGGGACAGGGCAGTGTCGAGGTCACTGTAACTATCACATTTTGCTGCGTGTATTCTGATGTATATGTCGATGTCGGCGTCCAGGTTGACCAGTATGATGTTGTTGTCGGTGTCCACCAGACTGTCGTCGTTGGTGAGGGTGTCCACCAAGTATCCGTCGTTGTAGTTGTCCAGTCGCCGTCGTTACTGGGAACGAGTTAGTAATGTCTGGTTAGCATTGACATGGCATGGACGTACCCGGCTAAGCACTGGGCTATGAAAGCCAGGAAAGTGAGAACGAGTGTGATGGTCGCCATTTGTTGCGTGCGCCGGACTATCGGGACATCTAGAACGGTTCTAGCCGATCCTAGATCAACGATGATCCACGACGAAACGAATGCGCGGAGCAACCGAGGAGTGGTAGGCTTAAGATTGTGTGAGGTGTACAAGGTAAGGCAGGTGTTTCAGAACGATATATGTAGATTCAGTGGTGGAAATCCTACATTGAGATCTTGCAGCTCTTCATCATGACTAGCAGGCTAGGCGGAACATGTTCTTCCACCAAGCTTGCCGACCTGGATGGAGCTTCCCTGCCAGGGTTGGACTTTAGCTCACGCCTCCCAAATGTCAAGATTCTTGGTTCTTCCAAGGTCCGAAAAGAGGGTCTATTCTTGGGATGGCCACCAACCCCGCCCTTGTAACTTTTGCCTAGCTACCAACGCGAGGGGCGGCTCGTCCAAGGCTCACAAAATTCAAGAAATGAACTGCTCCGAGAGTTCAATGCCAGTGTCTTACGACGATCATCATTGCTGGAAATACTTGGCCATTTGAGAGTGCAGGTTTCACCGCATGACAGCAAGATTTGGGGTTTCAATCCAATCAAGTTTGCATGTGACATGCTTCGAGCAGGGGTAATCCTATACTAAATGCAATGCCTCGCATGGCCATGCATGATAAATGTCCGCTGTTCCAAGACTCGTCTTGCGTGGCCATATTAAACAACCTCTATCCCCAATCGCTCGGCTAAAGCAATAAAACCATCCTCATCCTCTTTAACCACCATGTCCGGAATATTTTGCTCTCGCAATTCCGGAGTCTTCTCCTCCAACGGTCTCTCAATGTATATTGCATAGAATCCGCACGCTTTGGCACCTTTCAGATCATTCAGGTGCGCGGCCACGAGCGCACACTCCTCTGGCTTCACGCCCATCTTCTCTGCCGCTCCGAGATATACCTTGGGGTTCGGCTTGAACGATTGGAACAAGTCGGAAGTGTAAACATGCTTAAAGGGGATGCTGCTATGCGCTACCAGGTTTGTCATTAAGTCGTTATAAGTGTTGCTCAGTGTCACGGTAGAGAATTGCTTATTGAGCAAGTCCAGGCCACGGCAGGTATCGGGCCAAGGGGGTAGACGGTGCCAGACAAGGCCGAGTTCTTTGAGATGCGACTCATTCCACAGCGAACCCTCCTTGACGGCAAGTCCTGAGGTGCTGGCATCTTCGTGCGGAATGATCAAGCCGAGCTGTGCGAGGAGTTTGTGGAGCGATTCAAAACGATACTTGTCGACTGCCCTCCAATCGACGTTGCCGTGTTTCGCTTTACTATCGCTGGTGAATACGTCGACGTCTTTGTTCCATTCCTGTCCTTGTTAGTAATCGCGAAGTAATGTCATTTCGTCAGCCACCGAACCCCCGAACTCAAACCACTGCTCGTAGGACTGCGAGAAGATTAATTCGTATCTTGGCCAAGTTCTTGACTGGCAGGGGCATACCATCTTAGTCGCCTTGGCCCGGACTTCACTATTGACCAACGACGTATCCGACTCCAGCGCCTCTTTAGCCGCTCTCCATAGCGCATCCGCTACTGGCTTCCTCTGGGCTACACATGTTCCGAAGACGTCGAAGAAAAGGACCCGCAATTGTGGTCTGCTCGTCATAGTGATCATGAATAAAGTGAAGGTCTGTCTCTCATCTAGGACTGTAACGTCGTACCTTTATAAGTCAGCATAGTTGTTCAGGATTCTGGAATGTCCTCATTTTGTCGCAGGGCGCTCAGTCAATGCTGCGTACCGACCCTGGTGCCTTGGTGGACCAGTTTATCGTGGCTGCGGAATGACATCAGCGGTGAAGGGGTGGACCTTTGTCCTTAATGAACTGGATCCGATGAACGGCATCAATAGCGGGGTTGCTAATTCTTGGGCGCCGATAGTGCCATCAAAGCAAGTCTTTGTCATCAACCAAAGACGATAAGGTGCTCATAATTGACTTCCATCATCATGGAGCACCTGTACCGATGGGAATGTTCACGCCCGAGATTCCATCCGATGCCTCACTCAGTAACCACACGATCGTGTCGGAGACTTGGTCAGGTTCAAGCAATGTTATGCCTCGCTTAGCCATATCAGCGACTGCCTCATCTTCATCCTTATACCATGCTAAGGACATTCCAGTCTTTGTTGCACCTAAAACATGTCAGCTTACTGCTTCATCGCCAGCTGCGCAGACTCACTAGGGGACACTGCGTTTAGCCTGATCCCCAAAGGCCCCAATTCTTTCGACACGGTCGTCGTCAAACTGGCAACGCCAGCCTTGGTCACACAATATGACAAAATGCTCGGATCGTGAAAAAGGCTCGCCGCACTTGACACATTGACAATACTTCGAGGCACCTTGGGTAATTCCGACATGGCCTTGACTTCCGCTCTCATGCTGTACAGCATTCCTGACAGATTAATCCCAAGTATTCTGTTCCATGTCTCATCGGTTTCGTTCAAGAAGAAAGGCGTCTTTTGGCTACCAGACATGTTGATCACCCCAGCGCAATTCACCGCGCCGTCGAGGGCATCGAAGATACTGACGGTATCTTTGATCCAGGCATTGACATCCAGACTTGACGATACGTCTACCTTGGTCATAGTGACTTGCGTGTCAGGGTTGACGGCCAGTATTTTCTTCCTAGCACCCTCGAACGACTTTGGGTTGATGTCGCCAATCGATATGGCTCGAGCATTCAACTTCGCCAGACGACAGCAAGTATGCAAGCCTAGACCAGACGATGCGCCCGTCAAGGCAAAGACCTTTCCAGCGATCGAAGCCATGTGGTATGCAACGAGAGAATGAGTTGGTTAGTAGCTGTAATGATTGGTCAAACCTGGTTCAGCACCCGGATATATTAGTCGGCTGGCAGAACCATGAATGAACAGAGAGAGGAAATGGCGACAGTCCTTTCATGATCAGCCATATCGTAGGTACAAGCGCTTGTTAAGTGCCGGCATTGAGGGGCAGGAATACCTGCATTGTACGTGCTGCGCTGTGTTGGGCTGTTGGATTCCACCGCTGGGACCTGATTCGACCACGTAGCAATGGCTTAAGCTTATGCAAGATAGCTTGTGATAACTGTCCATTGTGACTTCACCCGGCTTCTTGTGAAGCTATGCAAAGATCAATATCAATGACAGTCAATAAAGTCCATTGCATAAAATGATAGGGACTTTGAAATACGGATAGCCTGCCTGGTAAAGATGGGGTCAACAAGGCTGGCCAGTCGTAGTGAGTTTGGTTCATGCATGGTGCAGATCAGTACTTGCTTGAAAATGCTCATTTATCGTCGCTTCATCTGGACTATGGAACAAATGCCTCGTGCCGCCATTACCTGTAATTACTGTCCTGAACCTCGACCAGCTCCGGCTCCTCGACCAGCACCACCACCTCCACCCATGAATTGTTGTGCCCTAGATACGTTAGCAGAAGTCGAGACTCGAAAGGAGACAACTCACAGGCCTGCAATGGCAGGATCTTGCATCATTTGCTGGATTTGACTCATGTCGGGCATACCACCTCCTCCGCCACCTTCTCTTCGGCTGTTCATCATGTTCTGGATGGTTGGATTGTTCATAATTCCACCCAATGCTTCAGGGTTGCGCATGAGGTTCTGTGCCATGGAGGCAAACATCGGGTTGCTCATGATGCTTCCGAGGTCGAAGCCACCACCTCCTGCGCCTCCGCCGCCGCCGCCACCACCAAGCATGCTCGCCAAACCGGACAGATCAGGCATCCCGCCACCGCGGGTATTTCCAGGAGCGTCATCAACCTCGTCCTCAGGGAGATTCTCTTCTTCGGCCTCCATTCGAGCAAGCTCTTTCTTTGCCGTCTCCAGACCCTTCCTCATAGCCTCACTGCCACCATTGCCCTCAAAGTCAATACCCTGTTGGTATGCCTCCACGCTCCCGTTGGCGTCGCCCATGGCGAATCTTGCAAGTCCCAGTCTCGACCACGCCTTTGTGTACTTGGGGTCGGACGCGACAGCCAGTTCGGCATCCTTGACCGCCGAAGCATGGTCACCGCTCGCCGAGTATGCTGCGGCACGGTTGGACAGGTAGATTGGGTTGGTGGGGGCGTATTTGATCGCTTCAGTGTACTTCTCAATGGCAGTCTTGTAGTCCTTTTGTTGCATAGCAGCATTTCCTGCACTTTTGAGTTTCTCTGCTTCTGGGTTGATAGAAGGGGTATCGGAGGCTTTCGACGGAGCGGGAGCGCTGGCCTCTGAAGTTGAAGGCTTGCCCTTCAGTTTCTCGTACACCGAGAAGATGCTGAGGAGATTTTGTGATCCAACAGCCTCTGATACAGCAGCCTTGTCAGTTGGGTCGACTTTGAAGGCTTCGGCAATACAGTTGCTGGCAATCTCAATGTTGTCCGCATCGTCTGCTTTGAGGGTGCCATCTTTGAGCGAGGTTGACAAGAAGTCTACAATGGACAGCGCCAGGCGCTTTTTCGTATCGCTAATAGACTGTGTCAATTAGCAGCTGTCGCCGGAACCGACAATCGTCACATACCATGGTTGCAAATGTAGAGTTGCAGATTGAGCGAAGAACAGGATGCAGGCGACCGTTTGAACAGAATTATGTCGTAAGGCACGGTAGGCATCTAACTTAACTTAACGTACTTACCTTACTTGGATGTTTAACTATCCTTGGCGGGGCTTTAAGCGACTTGTCTCTAGAACAATCCATTCACCACACAGTACTCAGGCATCTACACGCCACGTATCGCATCTTGATGAACCCAAACATGATCACTCTCTCGGACAGACCAGAATGGACATCTGACGAGACCTCGCTTCCGGCGAATAGAAAGTCCTGAAGACATGTATCTTCAGCTACACCGCAGAATGCAAACATGCTTGTCACAGCCATGTCTGTGTCAGCCTTCCCAAATGAAGACTCAAGCAGCGTATATGGTTGAAACCAGCCCCAATGCAGCCACCTGCACACCTGTCTCGTATCCTCCAGGCATCCCTGGACACCTCCGCCACAAAGACCGGCGATCATCCCATCATCAAACCTGCAGCTAATCCCTAGCGAGGCAAGTTGTTGGTCCATTGTGAATGCTTACGATGGACTTCCACCTTTTCTTACTTCACTCTGTTGGTCTTTGACCTTCATTCAATGCCTCCTGTATTCTTCGAAGTGGTACGACGAAGCTTTAAACCATCGGAGACTTCTGATGCGTTCTGGTTGCAATGGAGGAATCCAGGCGACGTCTTTTCTGTACTGTTAATTCTAGGTGGTGACGTTGTCAGTCGTGCGTTGGCCCAACTCACTGGAACCTCCATAACTCCGGTTGCGTTTTCATTTGGTAGGTGATACTGGGCTGAACCTCGCGAAGATCCAAAATTGTACTAAGAAGCCCTAAAGGATGGGTTGCCTATGCGGTTGCAGCTGTTGTCTCGGCTGTTGGTGAGAACAAGTTGATGCCGCTCCCCGATTGCAATTGCAAAGTCATCAACGCAAAGTCTGGCTATGTTCGAGACAACAGCAGCTGGATCGTTGGTCAGATCGTGAGAGACTACGAGGAGTGGATGGACAAGGATATCAAAAAGCATCTTTCGGGAATTTTGGATGCTGCCTGGGAGAAAGAGAGAGACCAGGCGGAGAAGTATCAGAAGGGCTCCGGATCAAGTGTGCCCAGACCAAAACAGGCAGGTCTCTGTGTCTCAATATACAGAGCAGGCACAGCGGTAGTTGGGTGTCCAGGATACGATCTCGCTTACTACATTGGCTTTGCGACTACCGTTCTCCAACTTGGAATCGCAGCAATCCCTTGCGGCATCTTCGGCGACTGGGGCATTCTCCTGGTCACTGTTGGCGGCATCCTTCTGTCATTCGCATCGGGCAGTCTTTCAGAATGGCGAGAGGAAAAGTGGGCCTGCCGCAGAAATTCTTACAAGGATGTCATCCTTACCCGTGGTAATGGTAGTCAACATGCCATTGTGGTCCTGGGTACGGGAAAGGGACTGGATCTCGAAGACCTCGCGGCTGGTCAGACCAATGTGGATGTCTCAGCATCTCGATATACCCGTGTCGTTGTCACGCTCCTTGCTGCTCTTTGGATCATACTGCTGATCACCGCAGCTGGTCTGAAGAAGAATACCTGGTTTCTCCTTGCCGTAGGCGGTATTGGCATGTTGCAGAACATCTACGTTGCGGGTAAGCAACGTTCGCCACAGGCCTTTGGTGTTCCCCTTAAGTTCGTTAAGGTGATCGGTATGCCCAAGGTCATGCATACCCTGTTTGCAGTTGAGGAGCAATACCCACATATCGGCGCCAGCATGAGGGCTACTTTCTTTCCTTATGAACTTCGACATGAGGAATTAGAGAAATGGGGAGAGTTGAAAAGGGCTACTCTGTTAAAAGCTGAAGATGTAGGACTTGATCGAGAGTCTGGCAGTCACGGAGGCGGTACAGCTCAAATCATTCACCGGACCTCCAAGGATGGACATGGACCTTCCACATCAATGACAGCAGTCTAGAGGGTATTGTCGCGGCCAATCTGGATCATACTGCATCCCAGACAACTGTCCTATGACGTGTTACTGTGAAGTTCGAACACCAGAGATTCTAGGTTTCACACCGTTCTTCGCTCCAACTGCTCTATGAGTTCGGTCTCTTCTCCGTCAGAGATCTGGAGCACAAACTTATGAAACCCAAGTGACTTGCGCGATAAGACATCTCCTTTTCTGCTTCTATCCAAGACCTCCATGTACGCCTCTCTACGAGACCCCGCTCGGCCAACGAAAGCGTCTCGAAACTCTCCCGCCGCCACATCTTGGGCGAATTCTTTGACGGCAACGCCAAGTCTGACGCCAGCATTGCCTATTTGCTTCGCGCTTGTGGCCAACGCATGGTTGAAGTGGGTTCTCTCACCACTTGCACAGAAGGCGCCTATTGCATACGGACCCTTTCGATATAAAGTCGCCATTCCCATGCTGTCCCTCTCTCTGAATTGCGATATCAGCACTGCAGGAAAGTCCAAAAAATGCAGGCGGGACTGGTGCATGAAACCTGAATCCAAGGCATAGTTAGCATCTCGTCGCGCTTGGTCTTTTTGGGGAGGAAGCTCGATGTACCTGGACGGGGGCCGGATATCAAAAACCCGAGGTACTGGTCATACGCGTTTGTGCCGGCACCCTTCAGTCTCATGTCCCAATTGACGATCTGGACCTTTGTCCCGGTAAAGATCGTTCCATCCCGCTTGGTCATGACAGTCCTGCGCATCATCGATAGAGTGAAGGCGTGACAATTCTTTTCGAAGAGACTATAGGTATCGATCCTGCTCATGGTATAACGTGCAATCTTTTCGAGTTGTTCAAGGTTGAAGACAGTCTGACCTACATGGTAGGCTGTCAAGGGCAGGTTCGTTCTGCTTGGGCGTAAGCCGTCCACCGCCTGTCTGTCCATCATAGCGGAGTTGTGGAAATGACCTCCCTGGATTTCGTCGCGTAGCTGGGCGAGTTTTGCATCAAGGGTGTTCACGTCAACCAGCTCCATCTTCAGTTCCGGTGCCGATTTTCGAATCAAGTGGAAGAAACATCCTTGTGTATAGAGCGACCAGTGCTTAAGAGAAGTTGGCCATTTGCGGTGCGGCACGCTGACCACATAGACGTCGTGATACGGATCGCCCGGGGGATGTGGATCTGGCAATCCTGGATGGAATTGCATTGAGTGGTCTATGGACCTCAGGTCAAGGCTGTTGTGCCAGGCAGGTGGAAGTCCTGGGATGCTGTCTGCGAGCGCAAAGACCTTGTCAAGCCATTTCCCGAGCGGTCTCTCGGAGTACAGATCGTTCAGAGCCGGAGGATAGTCTGTCAGATCTGCTCCCAAGATCTCGCTGTTGCGTGGGCGTGGAGCTGTCCCAGGACTGGACGCTACAATCATCAGAGAAGTCCCTTCGCGAGCAGGCTGAACTGCTGCGACTGCCGGCATGGCTCCTTGGATGCAGTATATTTCCCATCAATTTATGAGTACGATCAGATGGCTGCAGGCAATCGAGTGCCTCTGTTTTGGTGGCGTCGGGACGTCCCTGTCAGATTCACGCCATCGGAATGCTCGTATCGCAAGACTTGTAGCGGTCTTGTATATCGTCAAAGCAGACCATGAGGCACCGGGGAGGAAGCTGACCACGTATCGTGGGCAGCACGGAGTTATTCCGTAGAGTCCGCATTGTGCTACTTAGTGCTGGTATTCATGCAGGCTCTGTGGCACTGCTGAATAGTAACCGGACTAACGAGGCGCATGCAGGCTATACCTGGGTTGAATCAGGTAGTTGGTTCCCAGGCGGTGGCTGAGTGGCACTGTTTAGTGCTTCTTTGAGGCCTCGGATGTAAAGTATTCTCCGGCTTGGCATGAATGTTCGCGTCGACCTTGACGGGCCCATGTGTCAGGCCAGCATGTCTTCCTGTTCCTCGAGACAACATGATCCAGCTCCTTGTTCTCTTTGGCCAGTCCACGTGGCATCATCAAAAGTAGACGATGTCACATACCAAACATGGTTGTGACTGTTGATCAAGAAAATTATGTATTGGCCATGCGGAGTGCCTCAAGTCTTCGCATACCATGGTCCCACGCCAGAGGCCGGTGAGCAGGAGACGAAGACGGCACGAGTGAACGACAACGACGACACAGCAGATGGCGATGGGGTTATCGACCAGCAGTCACACTCTATCATTGACGTTCAAGCTGCACGTAGTGATCATCTCTTCGCAACCCTCACTCAATCCAGGCTCGATCTATGGTCCACGCGCCCAGTTGTTCTCTTAGCCTCACTCGCCAGATCTTCAAGGTCGCTGCAGAAGTATGGGCACAATGTCTCTGTGGTCTTCAAGCCAGACGCGACTACGATCGTTATTCGCACCAGAGAAAGCTATTTGATCACGTATGCTCTCGAAGTCGACCCAAATGCACGAGTCCTGCAACAACAGTATGGGTACAGCCAAGCGAAACGCCAAAACCTGATGCGAAACTTTGGTATCGACGAGACTGCGGGAGTTGGTGAAGTCTTACTCAGATTTCGCCGGGCAATCAAGATAGATGCTGGGATCAACTCCGTAATTGCCTTGGATTCAGAACTAATTGTGGCAACAACAAAACCAGCGGCTGTGCAATGTATCAAATGGGAGACCCAGAAGGACGGGTCTCAGGCAGTCGCGCAGTTGTTGACGAAGACGGATTGGACAACCCAGCGTTCCGCGATCGCAACATTGGTGCACGACCGGGCAATGAATCTATCAGTGTGGCTATCCCAGGATGGACATGCTTATGCTGTCCAACGAATTAAGCCCCAGCTGTCAAGGGCAGCATCTTCAGACGACTCACTCCCGTCATCGAGATCCTCTACTACACCTTCGACACGACTTTTCGACGGCTACTGTTTCCACAAACCGGAGGCCTCTTCGCGAGCGAAATTTGCCAGCATCAATGCTAGGTTCTCCCTAATTGCAGTCGCCACTACCTCTGGGGAAATTATATGCTACGCCGCAAAGGATTATGTTGGCAATATTCCACAGTCTCATACCTTCAAAGCATCCTCGTCGCCAACATCTCGTGGAACAATAAAATGTTTGATGTGGTCACCGGACGGATACTGTCTCTTCGCCGGCTACGAACACGGCTGGTCAACCTGGTCGGTGTTTGGAAAGGAGGGTGCTTCAAGCTTCCATATGAATCCTACTCATGCAGAGACCAACAACGAAAGCTGGCTGTTCTCCGTTGAGCGAGCCATCTGGATAAGCGGTGGAGCCGAACTTCTCCTCACATCTTATGACGACGACCGAATATGGAAACTTGAGATGTCGCGCAGCGCAGCTATAGGCTGCTTCTCATGCGCCAACCTTGTTCGAGCTCTCATTCAGACGCCGCTAGAACTCACTGTATATCGTGGCCATGAACTTCCGGATCTGACATCCATATCCAACGAGGCCTCCCTTTGGCACCACGCGCCGTATCCACCAGTCTACTTGCACAACCAATGGCCCATCAAATCATGTGTCATTTCGCAAGATGGCAGGTACGTCGCCATTGCTGGCCGGCGAGGACTCGCCCATTACAGCCTCCAAAGTGGTCGCTGGAAAACATTTGCCGACATAGCTGTCGAGAACTCGTTCGCAGTACGTGGAGGGATGTGTTGGTTCAATCACATCCTTGCAGTAGCGACCGAACATGCAGCTGGCTACGATTTGCGCCTTTACTCTCGCGAACTCGATCTCGATCGCCTCCCACTTCACAGCGAAGCATTCTCCATGCCCATTGTGTTTGTAGGTCCTTCAGGTGAAGACTCACTGCTGGTATACACCTACGAGAACGTCCTCTACCACTATATTTTGAATATAACTGACGGAGGTGCACAACTCGTCCAAGTCGGCCAAATAGCTTTTCATGGCATTGTTCGAGCACCCAGCCGAGTTCGCTCCGTCAGTTGGGTGGTCCCCGACGTGCAACTTCGGAACGGCGACCCTTCTCGAGACGTCGAATACGCCACTGTTCTTTTCCTGGTTGACGATAAGTTGGTCTTATTACAATCGTCACGAAACGAGAAAGATGAGCTGAAGTACGATATGCGCGTCATTGCACAACACGTTGAATACTATATCCTCATGCGCGACCAGATCTATTTTAACTTCGACAAGCCTGAAGATTCTGCACCACCAACACCATCACCCGGCGGCGCCTTCACGTTAAAAAGTCAACACCATTATTCGATGCGAGACTCCCTGTGGATATTCAGTGGCGAACAGCTCCGGCTGTGGCCTGATGTGCGGGACTTGCTTCACCATGCCGCAGAGGGAGATCTGAGCACCTCATCATTCCTCGCCATCTCGGTCGACTTTTACCCGCTTTCCATCCTGCTCACTAAGGGTGTCGTGCTTGGTATCGAGTCTGAGGTATTACAGCGAAGGGACGTCAACTTTGCACAGTTTCGATCGAGCATCAGGACACAACTGTTTCTGCCTTACGTCCTTCGTCACCAATTGTGCGAAGAACACGACACTGCCGCTGCTTTTGGGCTGGCGAACCAGTATCAGCATCTGTCATACTTTCCCCATGCACTCGAGATTCTCCTGCATCATGTACTCGATGATGAAGTCGAAAGAACCCGAAATGGCGAACACAAAGATGATTCGCCTGGGCCATTACCTGCTGTCCTTTCATTCCTACAACTAGTCCTACCTCCGACGACATATCTTTCCACCATTGTTCAATGTATCCGCAAGAACGAGCTGACTTCGTGGAAGACATTGTTTGCTCATCTCCCACCACCACTCACCCTCTTCGAGCAGGCATTGGAGTTGGAAGATCTCAAGACAGCTAGCGGATATCTTATAGTCCTGCAAGGGTTGGAGGAGGACGAGGAGTCGGACGATAATCATGACGGCAGCAATTTCGAGGAATATGTGATCCGACTGATGAGGCTGGCTCGACAAAATTCCGACTATGAAATGTGCTCGGATCTGGCACGATTCATGATGGGCGTTGATCCAAGGGGCAAGGCCTTGAAGAGAGTCATCGCTGCCGTTGGCTTTGGTAGTGAACCAAGTCAAATAGAACCCAAACGAACAACATCGGGCGGGCTGAGGATCTCTACGAACGTCGAACCGGGTGAAAGCCTGGAAAGAAGTGCCTCGAGGCTGAGTCCTGCGAGTGGTGGGGACTATTTTTCAGCATCCCCTGGAGGCCTTTAGATGTACAGAAAAGCTGCCTTCAGAATTCATTTTCGCATTGATTCTTCGCTGAACAGGCAGTCTAGCATGCAAAAGCTGCATTGCATCCTGCACGTCGTCTAGAGACACTCCCGGGCAATGAAGACCCGTCAGTCCGGTCTCAGGTACTGCAATTCCCGCAGCAGCCGCATTCCCACGGTCCAAAATGTTTGTACAATAACAGGACGACCACTTAACCCAATCTCCGCACCTTCGGACTTCTGGTACCACCAAACTTCAGCCTCGTACCGTCCGTGACTTTACTGACCAAAGGCTTGATCATTCTCCCCTCCGTGCCCAGCAGCGCCTTCTGAAAAGCCTCTCGACCCGGCCCGAATCCTCTGAGAATGACCTCGATGCCCGTCCCGCCGTGAATAGCACCTGGCCTTCGAATATCGGCCAAAGTCTTCATCGGATTGTGCGTCATCTTCTTTCCTCCCACTCTCCACTGCTTTTCTGCCATTTTTCGGAATGTGTAGGCTGCCAGCTGGAAAGCGGCATCATATGAAGCCCGCTGTGCTTTCCTCAGGCCGATGTTGCCGGCCGATAGAGACATGATTGGGTTCCGCGACGGGTCGGTGAAAGTGATGTGCACATTGTGCTTGTGCGCGTAGACGTTTAGGTGGTATGGCTCGTCTACGGAGACTCTAGCGCTCGGTCTTGTGGCTGCTTCGTCTCGCGCACTTCGGGCGATGTTGCGCAGCTCGGGGCTGAGTGCGGAGCGGATGTTGGCTTGTGGTCTTTGTGGTGAGGCTTTTCGCAGCGTTTCATTAAAAGGATCTAGGGACGAGGAATCTTCTTTCGGCGGGTCGACGCGGATTCGTCGTCGTTCCGCAAGGCCGCCTCTCTCCTCCAATCTGCGCGCTGTGGTTGAAAACGCAGTGCGGGCTTGTTTTGTGTATGACTGGCGGCACGACCGGCACATAGACGAGAGGATTGTGTGTGCCATTGTGGCTGGAAGGGCGGCCTGCGAGTGTCTTGAATACCTTACACGAGTACAATGGTCTCGATGAAGCTCGTCGAAATTCATACTCGCGGAATGCGGAATGCGGCAACTTAGCCGGGCTACAATACTTTTCCTGTCGCCAGGTGATATTCCGTCTTCACCATATACGAGCTCAAGAGATATTTTCTCTCTGGCTACGCTACACATTATTTGGTTTTGCCAGAGGCTGATTCTGTTCGAGGCATGATCGTACCGCGCCGAGCACCAGTAAATGGTGTCCGTCAATATGTGACTGCCACCACTTCACTTGCCACTCTGCGAACGGCGCAGTATGGAAGGACAGCAGCCTACCGAAGGTTAACAGCGTCGGACAAACCCTCAACGCCGCTCATACTCTCCCAGCACCTCACACCGTTTTCTCCTCGACTCACACCCTCGAATCAGACTCTGTTACGATCTCTACATAACTCCCGAGCACAATACCAACAAGCACAGCCCAAAGAAGAATCAAAAGAAGAAGTCCGAGATCCTCCGCGGGACGAAAAGGCGGAGAAGGAGTCTAGTGAAGAGAAGCAGGAGGGCGAAGGTGATAAGAAGAGAAAGGGCGAGAAAGGCGAAAAGGACGATAAACCCCCTCCACCTCCCCATGGAGACAAAACACCATGGCAGGTCTTCACGGAGACACTGCGGACCGAGTTCAAAGCCTCCAAGGAGTGGAATGAATCTACCAAGGAACTATCCGGCTCTGTACAGCAGTTCACCGAATCTGACGCTGTGAGAAAGGCACGCGAGGCCTCCGAAGCCGCCAGCAAAGGCACGTCACAAGTGTTGAAGAGCACAGGTCGTGCAATTGGCCAAGGCGCTGCCTGGACCTGGGACAGTAATGTGGTCCAAGGCATCCGAAAAGGCGTCAACGCGACCGGTCGTGGAATCGAACAAGTCACTCGACCAGTTCGAGAGACAAAGGCCTTCAAGGATTTATCCGAGGCTATCGATGATGGAAGCAGTTCGAGATACGGTGGATGGGTAGAAAAGGAAGAGCGACGGAAGAAGAGGGAAGCTCAACTGCTAAGAGAAGCGGGTGGTAAGCCCGTGGAACCAATGGTGGAAGATCCCAAGTAAGTGAGGGTCTTTGAGTGGCTTTGACAACGCTGACGTTCTGCTAGTGCTGGAACCAACATCACAGTCCACAAAGATTCAGCCTTTAAAGAATCCTGGAACCAGTGGAAGGAGAACTCCAAGTTAATGCGAGGCCTTTTCAACATGAAAAACACATACGAAGAGTCGGAAAACCCCATAATATCAACAGCTCGAGGCATTGCCGATCGGGTGGCCGGTTTCTTTGCCGAGAACGAAACCGCAATGGTCATCAAGAAGTTCCGTGAAATGGATCCCAACTTCCAACTCGAGCCTTTCCTGCGAGATCTGCGCGAATATGTTCTTCCCGAAGTCTTGGACGCATATGTCAAGGGCGACGTGGAAGTGCTCAAAACTTGGCTATCTGCGGCACAATTCCAGGTCTATTCTGCTCTGATGGAGCAATATACAAAAGCTGGCTTGAAATCAGACGGACGGATTCTGGATATCAGACATGTCGATATCCTGAATGCTCGATTATTGGAACCAGGTGACATTCCTGTGTTCATCATCACCTGCAGAACACAGGAAGTGCACGTATATCGCAATGCGAAGACGAATGATTTGGCCGCTGGTATGGAAGATAAAGTCCAACTGGTGACATATGCCATTGGAATGACCAGACTGCCGGAAGAGGTCAACAACCCGGAGACAAGAGGATGGAGAATGATTGAACTGCAAAAGGCAGCCAGAGACTACATCTGATATCGTTCATCAGAAAGTGTGCCAGCATTTAGCGAGCATCATCGGGACGAGCAATGTCCTTTCCTTTGTGTCTCTTGGGGACCAACTCACCTCGGTCGCGGCATTTTATTCTTGGGTCTGTTTACAAAAGGGCTGGATGGGACTCTTCTATGGAATGTATTTATACAGCCGGGATACTTGCGACGAGATCTGCATGATCTCATTGGCGGGAGTCTCGAACTGAACGCTGGGGAGCGATGTGTTTATATCAGGGGATGGAGCTGCATCATGGCTGCTAACATGTCCAGCCTCATGTTGTGTGGTTGATCAACCCAATATTTGATACATAATTCTTCTCATGAATCTCGACCAAATCAAAAGCATGAACCACTGTTTTTTTAGTCTTTCTCGAGTCAAGATCGATCAGCTGTCCACGAGGTATCGAATCATGCAAACCATACAATAGGCTGAGCACATGGACTTGATGGTTTGTCCTCGGTATCGCCACGATAAGTACGGAGTACGTCACTACGTCATGTCAGAATGTCCTCAAAGCAGGCACGAGACACAATTCAGGCATCACTATATATTCGTCCTTGTCTCCTCCACTGAAATTCCAGAAACCAAATCAAGATTCGTTCGAACAGACCATTTCACAGATAAGCCTACAAGACCAAGACAGAACACTCAATCACAATGCCTCTCGTCGTCCCCGGTATCAACAGCAACGACTCCGGCTCCAACGACTGGATGTCGAAGCTCATGGGCAAGACATTGTCCGACAACCACAATGAAACCAGTTTCGCGAAGAAGGACCTCCCCCAGAATCACCGTGTCGTTGGCGAAGGCGATTTTATGACGCAGGACCACGCACCAGACAGGTCAGAACAACCACTAAACCTACCCCAAGTCCAAACATGCTAACAGTAACCCCCCAGGCTGAACATCCACGTCGACAAGGATGGCACAGTCAAAAAGGTCACGAAGGGATAGGTGCCACAAAGCAACGATAACGAGCACGACAACCCAGGCCCTTACGAAATGATAACGCCGAGTGCAAGAGAGGAAACTGCATTCCTACCAGTGTCACTAGATAGTCTATAGCACAGCATACCACTTCCCGCATTACAGGTACCTTTACAAGAGGGTATCAATCATACACAGACCCGGCTTCAAGCATCTTTCAACGCCCTCAACGCTCGTTGCATGCACTTCAGCCGTTCTTTCTCCTTAATCACTGTGTTGCGGGCAAGCCGTTTGATCTCGTCTTTCCCCCATTCCTCCCGCCATGTCGTCCAGCCCGCGAGTTCACCAACCACAATCTCCTGGGTGTACCTGAGTTCTTTACCCAGTCTATCGACATCCATCTCCGCCTGCATGACCTTCTTCTCTGTCTCCTTGATCGACTTGACCCGACTCTCCTCCGAGCCTGGGAAATTCAGATTCATAATCCCCTTCCGCGGGACGGAGCCGTTCATCAGATTCGCCTTGTTCTTGTCCGTACTCCGCTGCAGACTCACAATCTGACTGATCAAAACACTCGGCTTCATCAACGCCAACTGGACGGCAGCGATGGTCGACTGGAACGAGCTGAGGCTCATAATGTTATTGGCGAGTGGACTCGACGCGGTCTCTGTGTGCATCAGCGTGGCAATTTTCAGAAACGTGTCGACATGCAGTTTCGGCAATGTCGTTGCAGGCGATCCCAACGTGGCGAATGCGACTGCGCACAGACTCAAGCTCTCCGCCAAGTCAGCATGAGCCTGGACATATACATGTCCCCGTCTGATCACGGCGCGGGTACTCGTATTGACTCTCCGGACCATTTCTCGTGAATGAGAAACCAGTGATTCAACGGCATTCATATCCGCCCTCGTAGTCAGCGGATCATAGTCATCGGCAATCTTTTCTTGAACGAGCTCTCCTTTCAGCCTGGCCCGTTCCGCCATCTGCTCCTGCAGCATGTCTGGCACCAAGAAGAATTCCCAGAGCATTTCGTGCGTCGAGAAAGTAGGATGTTTCATCAAGATCTTGAGAAATCGATCAAGGTGTGTCTGCGCTTGGTACAGGACAGCTCGAGACGGCCGCGAGTGCAACTGGAACGGACTGCGGAACTTCGAAGCCAGCATCGTCGGCATATACGAAGCAGGGTAATCCATGGACAGCCACTTGGCGAGATTCTCAAAATCTTGCAATGCCCTTCGACTCGTGGTGATAGTGTAGGTCGTACTTGAGACTGCTGGGTTTGGAGCTCCCGATTTGAGGATATATCTCGTTGAACCATCCTCAACGAAGAACGATCTGACGATGGCGGTGATCCTGCCAGTCATATCTGCTGTGTTTTCAGGAGAGAACAAGGTCAAATCGTCGATGCGATTGCGAACTTCATCGTCTTTGGCGAGTTCCACAGCTGTCAAACCTCGCGCTTCCCGCAGGTGAAGATCTATCCTGGCATCGCCCAGAAATATGCGCACCATATCGACTCGGCCGTATTTGCTCGCAAGCATGAGTGGCGTGAATTTCCTGTCGTTCATGGCATTCAGGTCGACATCGCAATACTGCAGGATCCTCTGCATAATGGTAGCGTCATTGACGATGTGCAGCAGCGAATTTCCTTTGTTGTCCGTGTGGTCCTCTATGCGGAGAGGCGCGTTGTCGCCTTGAGACTCTTTGGCAGCAATCAATGCTTCAGAAACCATGCTGCCATAGTCGGAATGGTCGTATGTTCGACAAATGGCAAAGAGAGGCGTGTGGCCGATCTTGTCCTTCTGTCGCCATGGTAGCACATTTGCGAGTCTTTTGATGAGATAAGGCGTGTTGAAAATGTAGTGTGCCACACTTCGACCTCGAGAATCCTTGATAGCCAGGTATTCTCTGAAGCTTGCTTCATCCGTATGCTGTTCCGCGAAGTCGAGGACGATATCGACAAGCTCGGTGTTGGCATGTTGAACTGCTGCACTCAGGAGGGTGGCTCCTTCTTGCGTGGTATCGTCTAGGATATCATTGATCCCGTAATGTTCGGACAAACTGAGCAGATACCGCAGCGCTTGTGGATTCTGGCTCTCTACCGCCATCATAAGAACCGAATTGCCCGCAGCATCCTGCGTCTGCGCCAGGTTCTCAACGGATGTATCACCTTCAATACCACTGAGCGTTGTCTCAATCGTAGCAGCTCTGGATGCAAATGACAACGCCGAAGATATCGACATACTTCGCTGTTGTACCTTGACCTTCTTCTTCTGTTTCGGAAGGGATGGTTTCTTCTGCACAGCTTGGAAAGGAAAGACATGCGCGAGACCTCCTTCACTCGAGTTGTTTCTAGACAGGGTGTCTATGGGCCGTGACAATGAAGACTGGGTTGTTTGCCTTGAGAGGGGCGGCATCACAGGGGCCTCCTCCACAAAGTCGTCGCTGATGATAGCCGAGTCTTCGAACACAGATCGTACATCGTCCAACTTACCATACTTAACGGCGTTCCATAATATCTGGTTCCGTTTCGATGCCCGTCGTAGACCATTAGCATCTCTTGCCAAATAGGTCAAGACTGCTTCCAGCGTACTTAAGGAATATCCAATTTCCCCGCTTTCGACGTCGTCAATGTAGATGAAGCGCTGCATGTAGGACAACCTCGCTTGTAGATGCCGTACTGAGGACCGTATGACGACCAGGAGTATCAGTGACACGAGGATGTCTGCATTGATCGTCAACAATGCAATTCGCTTCTCTTCATCCGAGACGCCTTGTTCAGACACCACTCTCTGGGTTTCTAGCAGAATGTCCAGCATCTCTTGAGGACTACCAGCTACTCCCATTCTCCGGAAAACAGCGACTCCACGGTTGATGCGCCCGATTAGATCACGTTTCCCCTTCTTCCCGTCCTCTATAGCGATACCCACTTGAGACACGTCCAGACAATCCATCTGACGTATTCTTCGATCCAGATCTTGATCTTGAGCCTTGTGAAAAGAGCAAAGTCGAGGGAACAAGAGATTATCGTGGACATATTCAGCGACGTAGCGCTCGATCAATCGTTCCACGTCAGGGCCGGTCAAGTCAGTTGTGGCACCGAGGTAGGAGAGCTGCTGCTTGTCAACCCCTTGAAAGAGGTCGATGGCGGCGGTAACAGCGGTCTCGAGTGCTCGTCGCATAAGATCTTCCTCGTCCTCGAAATAAGCTGCAGAATTGAAGGGTAAGTTCAATGAGCCATTTGACTTGATCGACCCATTTTCGGGGACCAGAGTCGTCTCGTCCAGAGAATTTGTCGTGGAATTACGTGAGGGAGGTGGAGGCAGAGGTTTTCCCAGTTCTTTGCCGAATTCGTTGAATAGCCTCTCCAAGCCTGGCTGCATTTGGCGTGCAATCATTGGAAAGCCGTTGAGGAGTTCGTTGAAGGATTTGATGTCTTTTTTCTTTGGCGTTGGTTCCGCAGACGAAGTGGCAGGCGGAGCAACAATTGTTTTGGTCTCTCCGAGTATCGCAGGTTTTAAGGGTAATGCCTCGAACACGCCTGTGAGAGGTTTCGTAATGTAGTAAACCAGCCATTGTTGCGTCTCAGCGGCCGGGGAATAGTATAGAAGATCTGATAATAAGGATGCCTGGGTGAGCTGCTTGAACCCTTTGTTGGTGTACACAATGTTCTCTTTCAGTATAACTGATCTTCCATTGACAGTTGCATACGTCTTCGCCTTCCCACGATTGTCCCGGACATTCCCTTCCTTTGCGGCTGTATGAGCGGGGATGCGGAGGATATGACTGCCCAAGAATTCTTCATCTTCGACCTGGTCCGCATACCGCTTGCCGGTATCACGGTCCTGGCCGTGAAGGAGTGACTCTGTGGTGGGAACGAGGAGGACATAGTGCTGGGAGGACAAAGCATGCCCAAGCACACTACTCTGAAAGAGCGCGCGCAGGAAGGGATTCAGGACGGGCATCCAGGCAGGATGCGCCTAGGTGTCGCAACGCTGATCATCGAGTCGTCATCAGGGAGAAGTGTTGTCGCAGAGGGCCGGAATATCCCTCAACATCAGCAGCCAGATTTGATAGAGCGAAAGCTGTAGGACGCGTAGGTGGTCAGATATGTGGATCAGCAGTCAGGATGGTAGAATAATAGTGTGCGATGAATGCCACATGTCCGATCTCATCAGGCACAGAAAGTAAGGCTTGCTCCGGACTTCCACTTCCAACCCCAGCATCGGCCACCATCAGCCCAAGCAATGGCCTAGAACTTGGCATCACGTCACCCAATCGGAAAGTTCCAGAGATGCCGCTTTAACTAAACCACAGCCTTGCCCAGCAGAAGTATTTCCTGTACCCCTAAAGTCAGTCTTAAATGGCATAAAACCCATGAAATACGCAAGAACGTGAGTGACCTCCAATGCCACTTTATGGACCGCTCATATAGAAGCCAACAATTCTCGCCATTGACTGGTAGACGCCCGCCGATCGCAAAACAATGAGAGTAATTGAATGAGAATGACGCCCGCACAAGAGTCATTGACCCCGCTAAAATTTCACATCTGACTCAGTTTTATTTACCGCGTCAGAAAAAGTTTCCCATAATACGGTACAAACATTCACATTACTCCTTCCACCCTCATACACCATTATGGCTCCAGGCGGCCGTCGACGTCAGACGCTGGGCCAAGGACTTGATAGAGAGGTATATGAATGGCGCCTGCCCCAAATGCAATGTGACTGACTCTTTCATCCTTAGGTCTACCAAGTCGTCCGCAGAATCTTTGACGAGCGGGCACAGTACGGCGACCCCGATACCCGCCTCACCTTCGCCTCAGTGTACGACCAAATTAAAGCCTCCAATTCCAGCCTGAATCGCAAGCCCAAAAAGCTGCTAGAAGACAGTATTGAGAGGGTGTTGGATACAATTCAACAGGATGCGAAAGACGATTCAGACGAGTTTGTGAATGTTGATACACCTACTACTGAGGAACAGCGTCAGAAGATCTCAAGCGGATTGAACAAGAGTATCGTCGGAGCCTGGGCAAGACCAACCAACGATAGCTCTGACGGCCTCCAATCTCCCAAACGTCAGGAAGCAGATCGATTGACCATGGCAATACCTACGGACTCCATCGCCTCTGCGAACCACCGCTCTGCCAATGGCGAACCCCCACAGAAACGTAGTCGCAGAGCCCGCGACACCACACAGACGACAATAGACCATTCTCCTCCCACCCATGTGCGCTTCGCCGACCTCGGCGGTATCGACGCTGTCATCGATCAATATGAAGACCTCATCGTCCTCCCTATGACACGACCTGAGATCTACGTTACCAGCAAAATCCAACCTCCCCGAGGCATTCTCATCCATGGCCCTCCCGGCTGCGGCAAGACTATGATCGCCAACGCCTTCGCGGCAGAACTCCCAAACGTCAGTTTCATCTCCATATCTGCGCCGAGCATAGTTTCTGGCATGTCCGGCGAATCTGAAAAGGCACTGCGTGACCACTTCGACGAGGCCAAAAAGGTCGCACCATGCCTCATCTTCATCGACGAGATCGACGCAATCACGCCCAAACGTGAGTCTGCTCAAAGAGAAATGGAGAAGCGTATTGTCGCCCAACTCCTCACCTGCATGGACGACTTGGCCCTCGAAAAGACAGACGGCAAGCCAGTCATCGTCCTCGCCGCCACAAATCGCCCAGACAGCCTCGACGCCGCACTCCGTCGGGGTGGCCGCTTTGACAAGGAGATCAACATGACGGTTCCAGACGAGAAAGTCCGTGAAAAGATCCTCCGAGCACTGACCCGCGAAACAAACCTCGCCGACGGTATCGACTTTGCTCTCCTCGCCAAGCGTACTCCTGGCTTCGTAGGCGCAGACCTCAACGACCTCGTCGCTACGGCAGGTGCCACCGCCATCAAGCGCGTTCTTAACATGATCAAAGCCACTGCCGAATCCACAACCATGAATATCGACACTCCCGAGGAAGATCCGTCCATCACCCCAAGGCTAGCCTCACTCCACCGTCTGATCAAGTACACGACAACCAATCCCCCGAGCAGCGACGAGGCTGAAATCACCGTCACATTCGACGACTTCATGACGGCGCTGCCGCTCATCCAACCATCCGCGCTGCGCGAAGGCTTCGCAACGATTCCCTCCACGACTTTTGCGTCTATCGGCGCCCTAGAAAAACATATCAGCGAGCTCACCATGACCGTCACCCAGCCCATCCTCAATCCATCACTCTACTCGAATCTAGGCATCGCGCCATCCTCTGGTACACTACTATGGGGCCCACCAGGCTGTGGAAAGACATTACTAGCCAAAGCGTGCGCGAACTCAAGCCACGCCAACTTCATCAGCGTCAAAGGTCCGGAGTTACTAAACAAGTATGTCGGCGAATCCGAGCGTGCAGTGCGCCAGGTGTTCAACAGAGCCAGATCCAGTGTTCCGGTTATCATTTTCTTCGACGAACTCGACGCCCTCGTGCCAAAACGTGATGCCGCTGGGTCCGAGGCGAGCGCCCGTGTCACCAACACTCTCCTGACCGAACTTGATGGGGTGGGCACCGGGCGAGAGGGCATTTATGTGATCGCCGCGACCAATCGGCCCGACATGATTGATCCGGCTATGTTGCGGCCCGGCCGTCTTGAGACCCTGTTGTACGTCGGTTTACCCGATGCTGCGGGTCGCGTTGATATTCTGAGGACGCTCTGCAAGAAGTTGAATAACTTTGCCTTTGACGACTCGGTTGCCGCCATCGCAAGTGAGTGTGAGGGTTTCAGTGGTGCCGATCTGGAGGCCTTGTTGAGACGGGCGGGCTTCGCTGCGATAACGAGGTGTACATCCCTCGGTTTGTCGGCTGGAGAGGTCACAATGACAGCGGCGGACTTCGAGAGTGCAAAGAAGGAAGTCAGGCGGAGTGTCGGTGTGGAGGACGTCAAGCGATATGAGCGGATGCAGGACAAGTTGGGCATGAGTTGATCGCCGCTGTGTTTCGGCCAATGGTGGTGATGGCCTCCTGCCCCTCCAAGAAAGACACACACTTGGTAGACATTGTAGCGTACTGCATGTCATTGTTGCTACAGTCTATTCAATGTGCCCGTGCAGACAGGTACCTTCTTCCTACGATTGCAAGTTGACACACTAACATCCTGAAATTGAAGGAGAAAACAAATAAGCCAACAGGATCAGTGTTTGGGGAAAGCTTGCAGACGCCTGATGATTACGGCGGTCCCCATTATACCGTTATGACTGAATCCAATACTGAAGAAACCCATATTCCAACATAGTTTCCTACCAAGCTCAGAACACGGGTAGACGGAATTCTTCGCTGCTGAAGCGCTCACTCTCGCTGGAGCTTCGACGACTTGCTGACACTGACGGCGGTCGCTTCTGCAGCTTCTTAGGCTTTTTTTGTGCAACCCGAGGTTCGGGCCTTAAACCAAATTCTTTCACACTTGTTTCCTTGGCCAAAGCACCTGCCGGAAGAACTTCGAATCCGCCGTTGATCTTTCGGGTCCGAGTACTAGTGATGGAGATTGACTCTACAGAGGACGTTGGTGCGGTCGTGGTTGAGCTGATGGAGGCCTCTGAAGTATCCGTCGAAACCCTTGAAGAGGTACTACTACCTTTAGCCGGCATAGGCAGTTTCGCGTGAAGTCTTGCTTGAGTTTTATCTGTCCATGCAGACGGGGGTGCCTTGCTTGTTGGCAGAGACTCGACAAAGGCTCGAAATGGGACCGGCTTAGAACCTTCTGCCCTTTGCGCCTTGCCATGCAACCGCTGCCCCAGGTTCATGACTCCATTGTCACGCGGCCAGGACAGTGTGCGGGCCGACGAGGCATCGCTGTCCTCACTGTCCGAAACAGACGGCGCAAGGGATGTCGTGAGAGCCAGATCGGTATGTCGACGCGACCTAGGTCGCAGCTGACCACTCTCCGCAGCGTGAAACCTTCGGTGAGCTTCCATCCGCTCCAGTGGATCGTCAGAAACTGTTTCCCTGCGTGAAAGACCTGACGTGCTCTTTTGTCGATTTCCGATGACAAACTTGCGCCCGGCTGCTGGAGTGCGATCCGTAATGGGTCGAAGGTGCAGCTTTAAAGCAGAATTGTTTATCCTTGCTTGAGTTGTGCTTGATTCGCGATCTGTGTAACACGGTTAGCAACATTCGAGGAGATTGGAAGGGCACGAAGATTAGGGCCTTGTCACACCGGAAATGAGTTTGGTAGCTTCAGACTGCAAATATGGTCCACCATAACTGATGACCATCTTTTTGGTCGTCTTTTGTGAGACTGGGACTTCGTGGACCGGTCCACCTTTCCCGTGCGAGTCCATAGGAGCTTGCAAGGCTGTGATCTTTTAGCGGAGTCGCACATAAAGCCAATGACCTTACCATTCGGCGAGTCGAGTCTTGGATTTATAGGCTTGTGCAGGGAGATTGATGACATGGAAGAGTCTTTCCTGCTCTCGTTGGAAGGCCGCAGACTTGTAGTGTAGCGCCGAGGTCGGGTATGGGTGGAATTGTAATGTAGAGCAGCCACAGCCCGAGAGTCCCATACGCCCTCCACTTCTGGGTCCTCGGTCAAAGCGCGTATACCAAAGGGAATATCTTCGCTCAATGTGCTGGCCAGAGTCATTTCACCTCTTTCGACTTGTTCTTCCGCCGCCATCTTCTCCAGCCTTGTGTCTCTTCTCCCGTTTCGTAGCTTGACACAGGATGCCGTGATTAGGATTATCATCTGGTGGGATCAGTATGACGAAGACAGAACAATGGAAGCTCGCACAAGTAGTCCGCCCAAGACCTGTAGGCACGTCAGCATTTATAGTATCGCACCGCAAGGCTTCTGGCTCACAATAGCTAACTTGGCCCAAGTCGGCCATCCCAAAAAGAAAACCGCATCCGCAGGAAATACGGAAGTCATGCCGAAGGAGGAACATATACAAAGAATGCTAGAAACCAGAAAGGATGGAGACGACCAACCCCATGACTGAAAAGAAATGGAGAAAGACACCAACGAAACAATAGCTCGGCTTCGAACGTGGTGAAGAGGACTTTCGATGCTGGGTTGCAATGAAGCTCGACTGAGGGCGATGTTGCCTGGAATGAACGATGACGGCAAGACCTGGATAAGAAGAGTGCAGGTACGAGGCACTGCCATCCTCGCAGATGCCATTCCGTGTAGCAGACAGTGACGAGATCGACGGACTCACAGTAACATCTCTCGATGAGTGAGTGAGATAATTCAGCTCAAGTATTGTTGGATGGCTCCGTGTGGCGTCTGCGTGACTATTTAAACATGCAGTCTCCCGACTTCACCGTACACTGGCATACTGAAGAGCTGCAAGTTTTGGTTTATTATTCAACGAGCGAAAGGTACCGCGCCCTCGAAGAAAAATGACCGTATGTGAGCAGAGGGATATTGTGTCTTTCGAGAAAACAGTCAACAAGAAGCCACATTGATGTTAGCAGGGCAACAAAGTGAGACATGATGACCATTGTCGCGACATATGCATATGCAGTGGACGTGACTGAACACGAAACCATGTTGTACAACTAAGGTAGACGTCGTCGTCAAGGAGATGAAGTTGAGTTTGGAATTTGCTTGGGTTGACGTTTAGAAATGACCCATAGTCCTCCCACTCCGCATCCGACTGCTCGACTCAGGGATCCTGGGCCTAGGAGATCATCGACGTCATGTACGCATTTTGATGGTCACAGCATGGATGGATAAAGGCATCTAATGCTCAAGATGGAAAGGATTGGAGTTATTGATTGTTGACTATTCGGGATAAGCACGAGGCACTAGTAAATGGAAAATTCTTCCAACAATGATGGCTACAGTATCCGTATGTCATCCGGATACGGCGCTCGTCCAGGGAGGACTGCCACCTTGTTCCACTTTCCTGCGCACAACCTCGTACCTTACAGGCGGGAACAATTAGGTCAACAGCCGTAGCAGGAACCCGTATGCTTTGACCGGCAGCTGACGTTGACTTGACAAAGCAGCCAGTTATTGGAGCGATTTGATAGAGAGGCCGGGCACTTAATGATCGACGCTAGTTAACTCATTAGTTGGCTGTCCTGGTGCAGGAAGCCGGGCTTTAAGCAGGATAGTTGCACTATCCGCCCGGGCTTCCCGGCAGCTGAAAGAGTATGTGGCGTGCTTGGGGAGCGGGCAACTTCCCGTACAGTAGCATACAGTACTATCATGCATTGCGCGGTTGCACTTCTTTCGCAACACTGCCCTCTACACTTTAACAAGTACTATTCGCGAGGCTCGTTTTCATTCCTCTCTCGACATTCTGTGAATTATATTCTCATGCTGAGCGAACATTAGTCTGAATCTCTACATGATTCCTTTTTATTAACCCTTACAACACCATCACGCCGCAAACATGCCTCCTTTCCGCATGCCCTTCAGTTCCCGTCGCCCAACCGTTCCATCCGAACCCAACGACGAGAATGCGCGGCCTTCTTCCAAGGACGCCTCCAGCCCGTACAAAGAAAAACCTTCGTTGGCGTTGGGAGTCAAGGAAAAACAAGAAGAACCCAATGAGTTCAAGTTGAGTTGTATGCGATCCAGTGTCTGCCCCTCCTCTGCGACCGAGGCTAACGTGCCAACTTTCAGCCGTCAATGACAGTGGTGAATACCTTCCGGTGAGTGCTGCTCGTCGACATTGTGGTGTATGAGTATTGACATGTCAATCCAGCCATCACCAACCGAACGCCCATCTTTCTGGGCCAAAACAAAGTCTCCTTCAACAACGTCCAGCCATCGCCTGTGTTTCAACGACAATGAACCATTCTCAATTTCGCGCGAGTCTTTTGAGTCTTACCGGAGATCCTTCGTATGCTCGTTCCCCTCAACTTGCTTTTCTATCCACTGACACTGACTGTAGGATATTTCCGGTCGCTCTCCAATATTGCAAGCAGACAGTTTCACCTCACGATCGTCCATGGATTCACGACCCTCTAGCAGATTCCCTACGAGGTCTACCTTCAACAACAACACTTTTGATGCACCGACAAAGGAAGAAGAAGGTTTCGAAGATGTTAAGCTCAATGAAGAGGCCAAACAGCCCAAAAAGAAGAGTTTCCTGTCTCGCTTTGGCGACTCCAGCGGAGACACTCCGGTTGCAAAGGAAGACGGCAAACATCACTTTCACATCCCAGGCCGGAAACGAGGTCAAAGTGGCACAGGAAGCGAGCTGAAAGATATACCTCGTCCACAGAGTAAGGGGAAACCAGAAGTGACGGTGCGATAAACTGTGAGATTATAACGACTACCATTCTATGCTATGCATTATGAAGATTTGGGTACTGGCAGGGTCCAGACTGGAGTTCAAGAGGAAGCATTGGGCATCGGGTAAAGGACAATATTTTGGTTTTGACGGACTCTTGGGGAATGAGACAATGTTTGTCTGCGGCGCGAAAACATGATTGAGGAGTCCGGCAGCGGCTGCTGAGGCTCTCTATCACCCACACCTGGTTCCAACCGAACGCAGAAGACTAATATGTAATGATCAGGCATAGTAGTCTTTGTGTCTATATGTCTTGTGGCTTTTCCTTGTTACTTCCGGATACCGTTAGCAGCTTCGTCGACCTCCTTCTCCAACCGGTCGTATGCTTGCTTCATCACAGCCACAACTTGGCGCAATTCATCCTCTGTCACATTGTACGGTGGTGATAGAATGACATGGTCGCCTTTGGTTCCATCTACTGTCGCAGAGCCTGGGTATATGGCGACTCCGAGCTCAAATGTCGCTTCCTGCATTCGAGGACCAAACCTGACCGCAGATGGAAATGGCGTTCTCATGGCCTTGTCCTGGACGAACTCGATTCCCCAGAAAAGCCCTCGACCTCTGATATTGCCAACATATTTCGCCTGCCCGAACGTCTCGACAAGCAGGGGATACACAAACTTCCCTAGTCTCGCACAATTTTCAATCAGTCCATCCCGTCTGATGATCTTCTGTACAGCGAGCGTGCCCGCGCATGCTACGGGGTGCGCCTGATATGTGTGCCCATGGTTGAAACTGCTTGTGCCCTTCCTCAGGACATCCAGCACTTTCTTGTGCACCAGCACGCCTGCTACAGGGCTATAGCCACCGCCTAGGCCTTTCCCAATGGTCACCATGTCAGGTACGACGTCTTCCTGCTCGAATGCGAACTGAGTCCCCGTTCGGCCCATGCCGGACATGATTTCGTCGAGGATAAGCAGGATCGAGTATTTGTCGCAGACCCTCCTAACGCCCTTGAAGTACCCCTTTGGTGCAGGCGTACATCCGCTCGTCGCTCCCACTAAAGGCTCCGCAATGAATGCAATCACATTCTTTGGACCGAGGTCTTGAAAGTGCCGGTCCAGTTCCTCAACCAATCTTTCGGCGAATCGTTCCTCTGTCTCGCCTTCTTGCCACATCGAGTACTGATACGCATATGCCGGGCTTACCCAGCTCACATTGCCCAATTGGTAGCATGCATACGGTACCTTCCGTGGGAGGTTACTACTCACGTTCATCGCACCGATAGTGGTACCGTGGTAGCTCTGCTTCCTTGCAACCAATTGCGTCCGGTCCACTTGACCTTGCTCGAACCAGTATTGACGAGCGAGTTTCAATGCAGCGTCCATGGCCTCGCTGCCAGAATTGACAAAGTATGCACGTTCCAGACCGAAGCGGCCAGCTCCTTGGGGGCCGTCGATCAGATGGTGCGCCAGGTCCTCTGCCGCGTCGGAGGTGTAGGTCAGCGAGTGTATGTAGCTTACTCCCGTGCTCATCTGTTGCTGGATGGCCTGGAGAACTTCTTTGTTGCCGTGGCCGATAGATGCAACGGCTGCACCGCCGCAGGCGTCCATGATCACTCGGCCATTTGACAGGGTAAGATAGAGCCTCTTGGCTGAAGTCACCTTGTAAGGTTGCTGGTGTAATGAGCGATGGAGCAACGCTGGGGGCAGGGTGTCTTCCACAGGCTTGGGGTCTGAATGCCCCGTGCCTGTGCCATTGAGTTGAGCGACGTCGTTGATTGCCATTGCTTATCGCTTATCGCTTATCGGGATGCTCGTGTATCTACTGATTGCATGGTAGCTCTTGCTTGTTGCGTGTCGAATAGAGCGACTGGTTTACCTCGATACTGACTCGTGCACATATAATCACTGCTCAAAATATATGGTTGCACCAGTGAAAGCCGAACATCAATGTAGCAAGGCGTATGATACTCCATCGCGATCATCGACCAAGTTGATCTGACTTGATCACCGAGAACTCAAAATCAAGCGCCCATCTCCGCTAGCTTTCGCGCCGAGGTAATTATAAGTTGTGTTATTGCCATCGACTGGTGCCTTGCCTGACCGAGCAAGATGTGAAGGAGACAGCATGCATAGGTAGGGAAGAAGACCCGACCATTTCAGCCGGACCGATCTCGAAAATGCAGCAGACGTTGTCTCTCGGATTTTGTGGTACGAGTACTATGCGACGGGATGCATACTACTGTAGCAGATTTCTTGCTCAGGCCTAGACCAGCCAACGCACTCCATGACGGCTTGAGTAAAGGATTGTCGAAGAGGCTGGATTTTCGCATGGCTGTGTGACTCGTGGCTTGCATCATAAAGCCAACATGGTGCATACATCTCCTCAATGATTGGCGAGAATGCGGCGCCGAGTTCAGAGCGCAGTTTTCGATTGTCCACGACTGATTCCCAACTCACAGCTCGATGATATTCCTGTAGTCTTTCTGCGACCGTACGAGGACAGCAATTGTGGGCGTACGGACACGGTCGGGATGTCTAATTTCCTGAAGCAGGTGATCTCTGGCCGCTCGAAGTCACAGCGTCGCGAAACCGACCTTCAGCCACAGCCGCAGCCTGCTGCCTTGCCATCTGTCACATCTGTGTCGAGCAGACCAAAGTCGTCCCAAACCTTACCCTTCCCGGATGGCATCAAGTTGTGGTATGATCCGCCTGATGCTTGTGTTGATATCTGCTTTGTCCATGGCCTCACTGGCAATCGCGACAGCACTTGGACGGCTGACGGAGAAGAAGAGCCATGGCCGAAAATTCTTCTTGCCAACAAGCTGAATAGGGCGAGAATCATTACGTGGGGTTATGATGCATACGTGGTCCGTATATCTACGGCATCGCAGAACAAGCTACTTGACCACGCCACAAACCCTGTTCGGGATATAACAGATCACCGCTCGGACAACACTTCCTCCCGTCCTCTTTATTTTATCGCCCATAGTCTCGGAGGCCTGGCTTGCAAAAGAGCAGTTTTGCTCTCAAGACACAACGCTGACCTTCACTTCAGAAGCGTCTTTGATACTACCAGAGGCATTTTATTCCTGGGAACTCCTCATAGTGGCAGTTGGCTTGCGGACTGGAGCAGAATACCCGCAAACGCGCTTGGATTGTTCAAATCGAGCAATGTGTCACTCCTGGAGACATTGAAGACTGACAATCAACTTTTGCACGACCTACAAAGGGACTTTATGAACATGGTCAGGGAGATGGATCGGCCCCAGGGGCCGCTCCAAGTTGCATGCTTCTTTGAAGAGCTTGGCACTAAAGGAGCGGGCATCATCGTCACAAAAGAATCTGCAACCTTCCCCGGGTACGATCCTGCTAGCATCCACGCAAATCACCGCGACATGGTAAAATTCGCCTCGGAAGACGACAATGGCTTCAAGAGAGTGCTTGGAGACGTACGAAGATGGATTGCAACAACGAGGTAGCGCTCCTCCGACGAACTATCCTACCGGTAACTCATTACTGATACTTCTGCAGCACAAGCCAGGCCGAAGTCCAGGAGGAACAAGTGTATGAAACAGCGACACGATTATTCGACATTCCAGCCTCGGGAAGGACTCCAGCTGCCATCCGCCAACTGCTCGATCTCCAAGACATGCAGCCGATCCGGGACAAGATTGAAAAGCTGCTTGAGGGCAACCACGATGACGTCGCACGCCGCGGCCTAGAGTGGGACATCAGTAGCGAGTATAGACGCCATGTGTCAGAATGCGTCAAGTCATTGGCATATGAAAGCATGCAAAGCAGAGTGACAACTGTTGAGAGCGCCGCAGACGGTACATGCTTATGGATATACGATGACCTAACTTATTTGTCCTGGGCTTCCACAAACGCTGGGCTCCTCTGGATCAAAGGCAACCCTGGCTCGGGCAAATCCACCCTGATGAACAACATATACAAGCATCGCACAAGAGATCTTGACCAAACCAAGGTTATAGTGCTGAAGCACTTCTTCAATGCTCGTGGGAGTGATCTCGAGAAGCGTGTGCTTGGATGTTACAGGAACCTGCTGTATGAGCTGCTACCCCAGATGCCGGTTCTAGCTTGCAATCTGCTTGCTACTTATATCAAGAAGAAAGCAGTATGCGGACAAACAGCGGTCACTTGGCAGGTCGTGGAACTTAGAGCAGAATTCTTCCATCGAGCGATTTCCGAGAAAGGTCCACAATCCATCGAGATCATGATCGACGCACTTGATGAGTGTGACGAAGACCAGATTCGTTCTATGATTGGCAAGTTCGAGCAATCGATATCCGCAGCAAGCCAGTCCCAAGCGTGTTTAAAAGTGTGCTGGAGTAGTAGACACTATCCCACCATTTCCTTACGCTCGAAGAAGGATGGGTTGGAATTACTTCTTGATGAGAAAAATAACCATGACGTTAAGAAATATATTCAACAGGAACTGAGTCTTTCTCCCGCTTTGGCAAATCTGCAAGAAGCCCTCACAGTGAAGGCCCGCAGCAACTTTCTGTGGGCTAGACTGGTGAGCAGGCGGTTGATGAAGGCTTTTGATAAAAGACATGAGGAGATACAACTTCAAAAGCTCTTATCTCTCTTACCTCCCGAACTCAACGATCTATACGATAATATCTTCGAGCACATTAACGTCATAACTCGGCAGGAATTCTTTCACCTGATTCGTTGGGTCATTTGTGCCAAAGTGCCTCTGACGCTCCGTGAGTTGAAAACGGCCTTGGCTTTCAGCAGGAAGTCGCCTCCAGTAACTGAGAAACCATCGATCTCTCGTGGGAGTCCCTTGAGTTGTTCCTCAAGCGCATTGTTGATATCTCTGGCGGACTCCTTTCCATCAAGAAGAAACACTCGGTTGATATCATTCACGATTCTGTCCGTGAATATTTCATCAGCGCCCTCGCTGATCCCATGGTTGACGGCTCCTTAGAAAATAGCCAGCGGAATATCATGCTGAGTATCCATGACGCTTTCATGACAAGTGAGTTTTGGAAGGCACCGGCAGAAACCAGCAGCAAGGTCTCACGACGGAAAGGTAGCGACTCGACCCTGTGGGCACGTAGCTCATTCCTCACCGACTATGTGCTCATGTACTTGGGTCCGTATGAGAATGAGGAGACAATGCTTCCTCACAGAATGCTTCGACGTAACCCTGTCAGGCTCAAAAGTTTGACGTCCATCAGGTATGTGCGACAGAAGCTCCTTCGACATATTTCGCAACTTCAATACATGTCCATCGGCGTGGCCAATGCTTGCATACCAGAGGTCATGCTCATGCCGCACTTGATCACGAGCGCAATCTCGTTTGGTCTGGAGGAGAAGGCAGTTGCGGCTCTCATGAACTTTGTGGCAAGTCATAAATTGTGCCGTTCCATGCTGCACAGTTGGGGATTAGAAGGCTCTATTCGGCCATGGTCCAAAGAGTATGTCGGGCACAGATATGTAAGATTTGCTTACTGTTACACTTGTCCCAGATCTGAGTATGAAGACTTGAACCACGTGTCGTTGCTACAGGAACTTTTGGGCACATCAGAACGCAAGATATCCTCGACACGTTTTGTGTTCAGAGCCATCTTCGATATAGCGCCCATTGCAAACGGGATACCAGATCACTTGTGCCTCGAAGTCCAACCTTCGACGCAGTAGCAGTGGTGAGGGGTTCAGATGTTCCCCAGGAACCAGTGGATTGTGACAAAGTTATGAAGCTAAGTCCGACTGCAAATATCCATCATTATGGCGCAGAGTCCATGATTGTGATCGTCATTTTGCGGCGAGCAAAGAAGTTATCCTACAGTACACTTCTGAGCCAACAGAGGGACGGTCTTGTCAACATGTTCGTTGGAACACCGGTCAAGAGAGAGAAGTTGATTCAGCGGAACAGAACAGGTCTTGGACCTCGAAATGGGTTTGCCGCTTGGGTATGAATTCCAATCTCTGCGTGCTTTTAGCGGTTGTGGCGACGGTCCGCTATTACGACCTCCAGAGACGGGCGAAACGTCTTCTTGGACTCGGGAATCAGACGTGCGTCGGCAGGAGTGGAGAGGCTACCGCCCAAGCCCACTCCGGATGGTACAAAGTGTTGATAACCAGAATGGTCCGTCTCATATCGACCCACAGCCGCTACGGGTGTATGACATCCGACACAGAAGGGTTCAGGAATTAGCATTATCGCGCTTTTTGCTTTAGTCGAGAACATCTCCCAGCGTTCTACAATGGCAATGGCCAATTGCGCGCAAGTGTTGCCGCCCTGACTCATCAAGCCAATGAGGTCGACTATTATGGTCAGACAGTGAGGTGGTGAAACTGGACATCAAGGTGGTAGGCTAGGGGGCCATCCCACGCTCCTTAGCCTTGGCACACTTGGGAAGTCAGAGTGCTTGGGTGCTGGCCCTTAAATAGTGCGGAGAACCTAAGTACAGGGGCGCCGAATTTGGTACGAAATTCTACGCTGACCTGTCCAATTTGACGTTTTAGTCCTACCCAAGGATAGACTTGATGCCAGTTACCGGTAGAAGTTAGTCGAGCATGATCATTTCAGCTTGTGGCTATCGCGACAAGTTCCTGCTGAAGACGTTCGAGGAAATCAATACGTTTGTGCTGAGATGCCCGTAGTGCTTATGAAAGCCCGGTAGACTTTCAGAGTTCCTCCTTCCCATAGCCGAGGGAAGGACGGGTATTGTGAACTTCGGAGATCCCTTACTAGATGGCTGTCCAGGAGTACTACTTATACTCCTTGGGTGGAATTTGGAAAGCTGATGCAGCAACCGGTATACGACTATGCATGACTTGACACGAATCTTTTCAAGCAAGAGTCTCGATGTCCAAGCACTTGAATAATCAATACTAGCCAAAAGATCGACAGTCCTCGACGTTCGATGAATACAATATAGCCACGATTAACAACAGGCTACCATCAACCCGAGTATATTTCAAACAAGAGGTCTTCTACTCCAACCTCTGGTGCCAGTTCTTATTGGCGCAACCATGGGCTCCGCCCTTGAGAATCAGGGGCCTCGCGATGAACGGGGCACTCGCCCTGTCCGCATCGCGAATTGCTCTGGGGGCCAAATGGAACCTGGCTGGCAGATGCGAAAACAAGCGACTTTGGGCCCAGTCGACTTCATCACTGGTGACTGGCTAGCAGAGAACAATCTGGCACAGGAGCAAGCGGCCATAGCAGCCGGGACAGGCGAAGGATTCAAGAAGAATGCCTGGGACGCTCTGCAGCAGAGCATGGAGGTGGTTGCAGAGAAGGGCATCAAAGTGGTGATCAATGGTGGAGGACTCAATCCGCAAGCGTTGGCAGTCCATTGTCAAGAAATCATCGACCAACACAATTATAACTTGACCGTCGCCTTTGTGTCAGGAGATAATTTGGTTGGTCAAGTCAAGAAGACGCTCAAAGAGCATGGTACTCTGCCAAATACTTTCCAGGACATCAACAATACCGCCCACAAAGATATCACCTTCACGGCTGACGACGTGCTGGCATGTAATGCCTACATCGGGGCTCGCGGTATCGTTAAAGGTCTCGAGAATGGTGCAGATATCATAATCTGTGGTCGAGTCGCCGATGCATCTCCGGTACTTGGAGCCGCTTGGTGGTGGTATGGCTGGGCAGATACCGACTATAACCGTCTAGCTGGGGCATTCCTGGCAGGCCACCTCATCGAGTGTTCTGCTTATATCTCGGGTTCCAACTTCTCTGGTTTCCATCGCTTTCCCCTGGAGACTTTCATCGATTCTGGTTACCCTATAGCCGAGATCGACGAAGATGGGTCTTGCACTATCACCAAGCACCCAGGAACGAATGGCATGGTGACGGTCGATACCGTGAAGTGTCAATTTCTATACGAGATTCAAGGAAACATGTACTTGAACAGCGATGTCAAAGCGTTACTCGATCATGTGAAGGTGCAGCAAGTGGGAGAGGATCATGTTCATGTTTCCGGCATTACCGGACGTCCGCCACCTCCCACGACCAAACTGGCCTGTTTCTACAAGGGTGGATTCGAGTCCCAGAACTTATCTAATGCGGCCGGCTATGCAACACGCAAGAAATATGTCCTGTACGAGAAACAGATTCGCGCGCGTCTCACAGAACAGGGCTTGAAGGATTCCTTCACCGTCTTGGACTTCCAAGTGTGAGTGTGAAAAGAGAGGATTTGTGATTGTTGCATACTGACCCCTAAAGTGTCGGCTCGCCTCGAGAGAATCCCACTTACCAATTAGAATCTACGACCTACTTCCGCATTTTTGCACAGGCAGATTCCCCAGAGCCTCTATCTGCGCTGAAGCTCCTGTTGGCAGATGAGACGATGCAACATTTTTCGGGTACCTCCCTGCTCACGAGCCAGCAAGCAACATGGCAGCTTTGACTAATGTTGTTGCAGGTCTCCATTGGGCGCAGGACCTTAGAACGGCGGATCCCAAATCCTTCTACGTCTATTACCCATGCATCGTATCCCAAGATGCAATCGAAGAGGCCGTCCATATACTCGGTCGCGGTGGAAAGGTCAAGCAATCTATTCAATGCACGCGTCCTCCCGCCTACGAGGCTATAGAAGAGCGCGAGTCCTACGATACACGCGACCCGGTTCCGCTCGACTCATTCGGACCGACAGTTGCCATGCCACTTGGCAACATTGCTCTTGGGAGATCCGGAGACAAGGGTTCAAACATCAACTGTGGCTTATTTGTGGACCGTGCCGAGCTCTGGGAGTGGTTCAGAAGTTTCATGACTTTGGAAAGAATGAAGAGCCTGATTGGTAAGGATTGGAAAGAAGAATACCGCTTGGAGCGCGTGCAGTTCCCTGGAATCTTTGCAGTCCACTTCGTCATTTACGGTATACTTGGTCGTGGAGTGAGCAGTTCGACCTTGTTGGATAATCGTGGGAAGGGTTTCACAGATTACATACGGGCTAAGCACGTCGACGTTCCAGAGCAGTTCTTACAGTGGAGCTGGAAGGAAGATGAGTAGACGAGGAGCCTGTGGCAACCGTGCTCTCCAGTTTCTTATGGGCCCATGGAAATAGCTCTACCTGCCTACTTCTGGAAGTCGCTCATCTTCTCCACCTTGAACTCTTCTACCTGCGTCGTCAATTCGTTCGTGGCGGTGAATGCGGTCTTAGGTGCCTCGGTAGAAACAGCTCTCCTCTCATTTTTCAAGTCGGTGTCAGCCCTTCCAGTGACGGTCTCTAGAATCCTCTTGGCCTCCTTCACATTGCTTATGCTCTCTCCTCTCCATGCGACGTGCTGATCTGGTCGAATCAATACCAGGGGTTTCTCATAGAGCTTCTCCGCTAATTTCTCCCCTGCAAGGCTGACCAACTTCAGGGGTATCGAGAGACCTTCAGCTGCCTCGTGAATAAACTCTTGTCCACAACCCTCGGTCGAGAAGATGAGCAGTGTCCAGTCTTTCCCAAACTTGTCAAATATGGGAGTTCCGTCAGAGAGAAAGAGGTGTGGAGGCCGGCCGCCTGGCCAGGTTGTGGGAATGTATCGAGACGGTTCCCAATGAGGCTCCGGCTCCGGCTTATCGTCCTGCATTATGACGGACGACTTGTATCGGTGGCCCATTTCTATGCCAAAGTCCTGATTTTCGCCATCGTGCTTCTGGTAATGGTCGTGAATGATTGCTCGAAGTTTCCGGGCATCCTCTGTGTCACCATCAATATCCTGAGCATTCTTTCCGGCCAAGATGTCTTGGAGAGCATTGTGAACCTGGAAATGGACGCCAGAATGCTCCACGTTTCGAAGCGCTACAGGCTTTCGTTCTAACTCGTATGATTTGAGCAACTCGGTGCCAGCACTGCCGTTGATCACTGCAGCAAGCTTCCATCCCAGATCAAAAGCGTCTTGGATACCCATGTTCATTCCATATCCTCCTGTAGGGATGTTCTGATGTACTGCATCGCCGGCGAGATGGACGCGAAGATTTGGGCTGCTCCATTGCCGCGTCACAGCGATGTAAGGTCGCCAGACGGAGCGCACAAGTATTTCATCGATTTCTATCGGATACTCCCCGTAGAGGCCGCCTAGAGCCTTAGAAACAGCCTCTCGTGACTCGATTTTTTCGGGTTCTGCATCGAGTGGTAAAAAGAGGTGAGTGGTCCAGGTATCAACCTCATCCTGAGCGATGATGGCTCCACCAAGACCGCCGTGTTCAGCCAGCACAAAGATATGCCAGAATTGACCTTGTTTGCGAATCCGAGCGAGGTCACGAGATTTGAAATGAACCAGGAGAACGCAGGCCGGGCTGTCAATGTCAGTGAAGTGGACTGGTACTGCACGATTCCTGCCGACTTACATAGGTCCACCATCTAAGGGAAGGCCCAAAGACGTTCGGACTCTGCTGGATGCACCGTCACAGCCTGCGACATAGCCTGAGATGTAGTCGGAAGTCACGCCCGTGTCCACGTTCGCGACAGTTGTCTTGACATTATCCTCGGTCTCCTGAACCGACTCTACTTTGTAGCCATACCGAAGATCGATCAACGGGTCGTCGTCGCAGAGGGCCTTCAGCCACCGTTCGAATATCTCCTGAGACAGCCTCTGATATGGTTCTGTTGGCTGGGATCCGTCGTTGTTCTCTCGAATCCGTTTTCGGAATCTGTCAACCCCGGGAAGGTCCCATTTCGTTATCGCCTCTTCGGCTGCAAGACCAGTGGATATCAATACAGGCATGTCGATATGAGCTTCAACTCCCTGCCGCCTCAGGTCATCGGCCAGACCGAGTTTGCGAAACAATTCCATGGATCGTCCATTCGTAAGATCCATCTTTGGCCAACGGGTAGTGGTTTTATTTCGTTCAAACAGAACGGATTTGACGCCATAAAATGATAGTACTCTGGCAAGAAGTAGTCCGACAGGACCACCGCCTGCTATGAGAACAGTGCCTCGAGGCAAAGTATGACATTGCTGAGGTGTGTTGCCGTTTACATGCGCCATGTTTTCCGTCGCTAAACCTTTTTCATGGACTTCTGAGGAGAAGATGGATGTCAATGTCACTTCTGCCGAGTCCTATGGAAATCGAGACTGAGGAGTATAGGAGAAAGCAGACTTGTAGTAACTCACAATCCAACTCCAGTCAGTACGACATTGGCTTGAAAGAAGCCCTACTTGGACGTCAACACTGTGGACTTACCCCAGCCGTTCCTCCACTTTGCCCGCCCTCCGCATCGTTGATTCACGGTTCGCTACAGTTCCCTTTCTCGTCCGGCGGGCTCGGTCCGGAAAGAAAGGGGAATTCACCATTGCCTCGGGTATTCACAAATGCTCGCCGAGCATGTTTTGCAATGGTCACAGCAAGCAAGGCTGGTTGGAACTTGCAATGCACTCCACTGTCCCACCCCCCACGTTCTCCCCGCCTGGGGACCCTTTGTCATACTTTACACGAAAGCTCAAGACAAGACTCGAGACTACCAATGTCAAGATCTTCAGAACATATGTAGGCCTGATTGATGATGACTCTCGCCTCCGTAACACCGGTTGTCTCTTCCTCTCCTCAATCTCGGCGGCTTCAAGATGCGCAGGCAAAACGAGTCGTGGCATGCAATTATTGCAGGGCTAAGAAGATTCGCTGTGAGCTCCCCTTGGAACAGCCTGCAGATGCTTCCGCTTACACCTATATCTAGGCAATGGCGGCACCGACGGCCCATGCACAAATTGTCTTGATCGGAAGCAAGAATGTGTCTCAGCTACTCCTCGTCGTTGGCGTAGGAGAGAACGAAGCAGGGAGCCGGATGACATCGTGGACAGATTGGCGCGTGTTGAGGCACTACTGAAGCAACAACCATTCCCTGTACGCTGCATGGCCGTGTCCTTCTGCTATCTCTGTTGACCTCCCACAGCATACTTCGACGGATCTTGAACCTCTGCCAGATTTCTCAACTCCTTTGACTGGTGACTGTTTTAGACTTCTAGGAGGCAACGACTCAGATTTGATGAACCCACCGCAATTGCCCGATCAAACCATCGCTGTGGGGATGAACGAGGAAGGAAGTCAGGGTCACAACCTGCACTTCTTGACATTCCCCGGTCCACAGGCGATGGCAAATTCTTCTGCGATCAGAGACCCGGGGTCGCTGATAGTGCAAAGAAACTCAACATATCCTGCCGATACGACTTCTTCGTCTATGGAGTGGGGTTCTGCATATGCACCTTCTACTCCTTTCGATCCCCCCAATGCTGCAGGCCTTGGAGGCGATAGCCCTGAGGAGATTCGTGAGAGATGCTGTATCTCGTCAAGCGAAATTGTAGGTCACTCTTCCACAGACTACAGGATTCTTTCTCGCATCGGCAGCTGACTGAGACTTCATAGTCCAACTGGGAGTATCATGGTACGGAGTTGTCAGCAAGATGTGTATCCCACAAGCTCACCAAGTCTAGGTCCAAGGTCATTCTTATCCATTTGTTCAAAACCAGGAATCCAATGGGTGGCGAGTAAATCGGGGAGCTCGACGTTCAATCATTCAGCCAAGAAATTCACCACGTACATCACCAGTCGTCTCAAAATCGAGAAGATGCTGTCCAGAGAGCGAAAGCCGGAGCCAGATCAAGAGACTGCGTGGAGGTTCACTCGAGGTATGGCTGTTCACTGGTCCGACTTGATGGTCGAAAAGGAGCAAAACTGACCATTGCCAGCGTTTTTCGAGGAAGCCCTCGAGTCTGCACTAGGGATCGTGCACCGCCCGTGGTTCGAGATGCAACTCAAAAGTCATTTCAATGGGACCATCAGCGATGCTGACCCAGCTTGGTATGCTCTCCGAAACGTCGTCTATGCGTTTGGATGTCGCATAGAGCTCTCGAAATGCAGTTCCTTCAAAGAAGCCACACAATCGGCATGGGACTGGTTCGAAAATGCATTATCAGTTCATACAGAAGTGTTATACTTTCGAACGTCGATAGTTGGTGTGCAGGCGTTGACTCTGATGGTGAGTATGACCCACCGAGTGGTGATCAAGTGCCTGACGAAGACGATATAGGCCTACTTCACACAAAACTTCGGCAGTCCGTGTCTCGAATACATGCTTTGTAGCACTGCCGTACGACTGAGCATTGCGAAAGGGCTTCACCGACAAGCCGTATCTTCATGGAACCTGACCGACCACGAGAATTCTCTCCGAAGCTGTTTGTTCTGGGCTGCATATTGTTTGGAGAAGCAGATAGTCTGCCAATCCGGACGTCATTCAGTGAGCTATTCTCTGCCATGGAAAGACCTCCCAGGATGGGATTGCTGATTCTACTACCAGTTGATTGACGACGACGATGTCAGTTGCCAAGTACCAACATCTGCCCCTCCTAATAGTACTGTCAATGTCGAATATTTTAGCATCTTGATCAGCTTAGCTCGACTTTCGTCACTGGTTTCCAAAAAGCTCTCCACGGTTCGAGCGTTCCAGCAGGGAGCGGAGTCTGTGGTGAGATCCGTTGCTGAACTAGACGAGCAACTCGAAGCTTTGAAAAGCTCAATGGACCCTACTATCTCGAACCCTACTCGACCCAAATCGAGTCCGTCATCTTCCACAATGACCGCACAACAACTCGCCTATCTTCGCTCTGCATTGTTCAGCTTGACACTGGATATGCACACTTCATTAACGTACCCTTGGAGTCGCAGCATGCTTGGCTTGACTCCTTGCGCTGCGTTGCGCGACCAGGTCAACAGATCAACGCAGATCGTGGCAGAGACATGTCGCAAGGCCATCCTGGCGACTGAGCATGTCCAGTTTGACGCCAGCACTCCTGTTCCGTGAGTCCTGGCCCCCAGTTTTCCCCTAAAGGGCTAGTTAACACTTTACGCAGGCTCGGCTTCTTTGGGCCCATACATGCTCTGATCAATCTCTTTCTTTATATTTTGCAAGATCCTCAACGACCTGGCGTTCAGTCTGATCTTGCACTCATGGACATGGGCGCGGGATATTTTGCTCGGGTACAATTTCTGACCGACTCGGAAGTCTCCATCAGCTTTGTGCGAGAGATGGCTTCCCTTGCCCACGAAGTGACAGAGAAGGCTTCTCGTCGTCAGGCTAGTAACACTGGCATTGCTTACAACCAGGATCTCTCGAACTTCCCGTCAATCATACCGGATAGCGCGACGGATCAAGATCTTGTAGTCGAAGATCAGCTGTCCAACGATCAGACCGCTGTGAGTCCTCCTTCGATTCCCACACAACTTGGCGAAGCGTGTAGCTGACTGATTCGGTTGTTAGGGCGACATGGGCACTTCTTGGGACCTTGAATGGGAAAGCTGGAGCACTTTTCTACCTACAGGCGACGATATTTTCTTGACTTGACATTGATAACAATACTACCGTGGTATATGGCTGGCTGCCTTTCTTACACCAACCCAAAAGGAAGCATTGCAAACATCCCGTCATCAGCCATGCTCCCGCAAGGACATGGGTCAGCAATGAGAGGACTCCGCCGGTGGGCGACCATATCGTCGATGGCACTGACCTCATGAGTCGTCCGTCGGTCCGATCACACATCGACCTTTTCAGGCATCCACGTGCTTAGAGCCATGCCCTCCGGCATCTTTTTCCATTGCTTAGTGTTGGGGTCGAGCAGGTCCTGACATTCGCGGGCGGCGACTCGTATGATCTTGACCTTCTCTGCAGATCGTGGTGTGAACACGGCCTGGTAGTCCCGTGGTTGCACGGTGATGCCGCCCACGAGGTCGTCGATGTCCGGCGTGATGGGGTTGCCACTGTCGTCGAGCGGCTTGGACATGTCGAACGCCCAAATAAGCCTAGACATTCCCAGGAACAACGAGCGCTCAGCGATGTGGATGCCCTGACAGAGGCGGCGGCCTGCACCGAAATTGAAGTTGTCCCGTTTGGCTGGGTCGCCGTTGGCCGACTGGTACAAGGTCGTAAAGTCCTCCTTGAATCGATCAGGATCAAAACGACGAGGATCTGGGGAGCGTTTAGGGTCCATATGGATAGCCCTGCAGGTTGTGAGTCAATAGCTTGACACAAACGCAGGCACCGGGGCCTGAACTTACCAGACATTGTTTATGACTGTCGCGCCTTTCGGGATGACGTAGTTGCCATATGTATCGTCCTTGGTAGTTGCATGAGGCACTCCTAGAATGATTGTCGGCATCCATCTCAAAGACTCCTTGATGCAGCATCGAATATAGTGGAGCTCGTCATAATCGTCCATGGTGGGTAGACGTCCATGGCCCACAACGCGGTCAATTTCTTCCTGTGCCTTCTTCTGGACTTCGGGGAAGACAAGCATAGCCAGAATAAAGCCGTAAAGAGTCCCAGACGTGGTGTCCGATCCGGCCTCGAGCAGGGAGCCGGACATGTAACCGGCGGCATCATCAGAGAACTTCTCGATCTGCTGGACTCGAAGCACGTCGTTACAAAAACATGGCTAGCAGCAGTCAGCATCAACGAGATTTTGACTTTTGTCGATAATAGGCACACTTACCAATCCAGTGCCGCTCTCAAGTCCTCTCTTTGCGCGCATCCAGTGGCCCACGTAGAGCTTCTTCTCTATCTTATGCAAATACTTTGCATATCGGACGTTGGGTGCGATGAACGAGGGAAGCTTCTGCAGGATGGGGTACAGGTCGGCAATCTGAGCGCTAGCACTTCCTGCCAGCTCACCCCAATGGTCGAAACACTAATACCACCAAAATATTAGCTTATCAATTTCCCACAGCGCGTCTGTCGTTGATATCGCCCATGAGAAAGGGTGGAAAATAATATATACTAACCCAGAAAAGTTGCTGTAGCTCTGGATCCTTGATGTCCGGGCATCGAAAGCCGAAGATCATCTGTGTGGCCAACGAATAACTGAATCTGCGGATGTGGTTGAGAAAGTCCTGAGGGGTGTCGAGCAAGCCATCGAGAAGGATCTTATTCTCGAGATCTTGATATGGCACGTAGGTCACGGCCGCCTTGATGTTCAGGATGTTGTGAACCATTTTGTGGATCATGCGCCAGTTGTCACCATATCTCTGTAAAAGTGGTCAGCTGGATTCTGATATCAATGGTACAGGGTATGTATGGGCGGTCTTCCTTACCATTACCACTAGTCTCAGATCACCACTCGCAATCTTTTGTCCGATGAACATGTCGGGTCGGTCAGAGTATATCCCACTCTTCTTGTCCAGCAGGTCTTTGACGGTCTCATCGGAAGACAGGACAATCACGGTTTTGGTGCCGAGGACGAGCGAGTAAATTGGTCTGTACATGCAGTGTCAACATGATGAAGCAAGTGCCAGAGAGTCACATAAGGAAGGCCAAGGGGTAGCATGATTTGCTGTGGTAGCAGCACAGACGACGTTGGTCACTTACCCATATTCTTGGGCCCACTTCTGGAATTGCAGATGAGGCTTTACGGTTGGCATCTGATTTGCAAAGGTTCGGTCGGTCAGCACAGGACAGTCCCTGTATACAGGTGATATAGTGGGCAGGATCATGCTTACCAGATGGAGATTCCCCAGTACTGGGATTGTAGGAGGCCCTGGCGGTAAACCTGGAGCTCTCTTGCCAATCTTTGAGAGTCTGATGAAGGCGGCAAGCACCACTGCTACCGCAAGCAGGGTGACTGCCCAAGGGTTGCCAAGGGTTGCTTGATACATTGTGACGGGTCCGTATGAAGAAGGACGAAGGACACAAGCTCGCAAGATGATTCCGAGCTCTGCTTGAGCTGGATTGATATAGACAAGACAAAGGTACTTCGGCGTTGTGGTCGTCTAGCTCAATGCATGGTCATGGTTCTTCGTCCCAATGAGAGGCACTCAGATGAAAGACGTTTCGCATGGTCTTCCCCGTGGCAGTCCCCGGATCCCCCGCACCAAGGCGATCCTACTGCCTCAGAAAGGTGTGGAGAACGAGGTTTCGGTGCCGGCCAAGTTTGCCCGGATATCGAGGCCTAGCAGACATTCCTAGCCATACCAGGTCTAGTCATACCGACCGGCGCCGAAGACAGCAGCCCGAGCCCGAACGACATGTGGTCAAGCGCCAGTCCACGCATTTGAGTGCAAGCTCGACATGGAGTAAATGAGTACTGACCATACATCCGGGCATGGATGTTGGAGCAACCGCCTGGAAATCATGGATGACACAGTAGGTTTGTGTCAAGTCCAGGGCAAGCTTGTTAAGCCTAGTAGCCTGATGTGGTGCCGCGAAGACTCCCCCTCCGTGCCGGCCGGAGGCACTTTTTGCACGGCCATACCTGCTGTGTTGCTCTCTAAGCGGAACAACTTCGCCATAATTTCGACGTGCAGCAAAATGACATTGCAAATTATTCTCCCCATACTGCGTCACCTCGTTGAGTGCTGTGCCACAAGCAAATAGACCAGCCTTGGTTGACAATTCAATCATGGTCAATTGAACGCTACGTTCCCTCCGCTTCAAGGCGAAAGTGAAGTCCTGTGCATGCTTCCCATGCTGCGTCCATCTATCTAGAAGTCAGAGGGCAGCCCTCTCGGCCCAATTTCAACACGTTTCTTCAGGTCCGCGTCCGGCACTCCATCCTTGATCTTCTGAATGAGCTCTTCCGCATCAAAATCCGTGCCGATGGGATTTTCGGCGAAGTATTTACCGGTCATAAACTCATTGGCTGATTCGATGGTGTCGAAATTGTCGACCTGCGTTTCGAGCATATTGCCGTCGGGGTCCTTGTAGTAGATGGATGTCGTGGGTCCGTGGTTAACACACCAGGCTGGTGGAATGCCACGAGCTTTGCGTTGTCGATATGCTAAAAGGAGTGCCGACAACGTAGGAAACGTGAAAGCGATGTGTTCCATCCCAGCACTCGTAGGGACTTTGGGTCCCGTACCAGGTATGCCGATGAGTGCGATACGATGATGTTCCTCGTCGTATGTGATAAATGAGATGAAATCGTTGCCGTATGTGACCGTGCCTCCCAGGAAGTTTAGGTAGAAGTCGACCATTTTCTGGAAATTGCCAGTACGGAGGACGACGTGCGCCAGCGTGGACGGGCTCAGCACTTTCGTGCCGACGTCATCAAAGTCAGTATGTCCGAGAGAACCCATATTTGAGTCGTTATTGTTGTGTTTCTTTTGAGAACCCGGTGGTAATCATCCAGTGTAGTTCGATGTTGAATGGACAGTAAATATGCTGCGGGGAAGGAAGCAGGCCTCCAGCTTCGTGGGCCTAAAGTACGAGTGGCTTTAGGGATACTTAATGCTTTTCAGACAGTCAGGACCTGCACGTCATCTTACCCCGAGGCCGAGACCGATGCGCCTAAGGCCCCCGGAATCTTCTTCGGGCTAGGCCAGGATTTGCTGACGTCTCAGGCTCCCCACATCAGAATACTGTAGGTCTGGGTACAAGTATTTGTTAGTTTCCAGTGCAATATGTTCGGCACTCTCTCTGTTCAGACAGCTTTTCTGACCTCCTCATCAACCAGAGCCATTGTCGATGTCTTATGTAACTGATGGTACCGTCTGGCCCGTGGCTGTGACCCTCGATGACAGTGTGAAAGATGTCATCAGCCTTTTCTATCAGCTGGCCGATGACAATAGTGCACAAGCCGGCCCACGACTGGCAAGTGAGGTCTTCACCCCGAACGGCGAGTTTGTCACTGTAGCTGGAACGCTCAAAGGGAGTGACGGTGAATAGGAGCCCATACGCACAAGCAAGCCGATGGCGAGACAATGCTAAAAGTTTGCCAGAGATTTCTCGTTCTCGGGAGCAGACTCAGGCGAGATTCCCAGGCCGTCGCCATAACATCCGCAAAGTCTTTGTCAATGACAAGCAAGGTCATGACCTGTTTGTGTTAGGCCACGCCAAAATGGACCTTGTGAACGGGAAAAGCGTGGAGACGGACTTCGCGACGCACATTCTTATCAATGTGCAAAGCAACGCAGCAAAGAGTCCTCGACTAGAGTTCGCGGAGGTATTTGCAGTAAGTCATACTTTCATCGCCGTGATGGAAACCGTAAGGCCGCGACGGTCGCTGACAGCAGAGCAAGACAGCGCACCAGTAATGAAGGCGTTGAAGGATAATTGAATGATCAGTCCGGATCGTAAATGTAGTCTATTTGGCAAACGTCAACCTGAGGCGGAAAAGAATCACAAACCACCGTAACTCCCTGCTAATCCGCACTCGTCTCGGCCATCAAATTGTCGAGCATACCACGTCCACTACAGTCTCTCATAATTCCTCACGCAAGCTTCGACCACAGCACCCAAACTCATCCTCGCCTCAACAATCTGACAACTCGCATATGCAATTGCGGAGACTAACTGCCACCTGGCTTGATCTAGGCGAAGCAGGCGTCGAAATCTTTGCTGTGCTTGTTGGTAGCGTGCTCCTCGAGAGCCTTGCGTGCGGTGGTGCTCTGGAAGGTTTGGAAACATATTTTACATTTGAGCGATTGTGCTGCAGCATTCTGTTGAAACCACAAAGGTTTTGGTTAGCTTTTGGGCTTTTGATATATGTAACTTCCGCGATTCCATTCAGGAGACTTGAAAATGCGCATCTTGAAAGCGTCTTGTCCTGGGCCAATATACAATCCACTCGCTAGGCTAGAGACAGTGAATTGTCGTCTCCAATCATTCCACGGCCATATAGCCCCGCAACGCACGAAAATCGACTTGTTGGGAATGTATTGTCTTCCCAGGGAGTTCGAGGGTAAGACAAGGGCAGAAAAGATGGACTTACGGATTTCAACTGGCTTTTAGGCCCCTTGTCCGCATCCTTTGCGTTTCGATCTCGCTTTTGCTGAGCTTTGGCGCCGTTACCCATTTTGTTCGTTGGCTTGTTGGTGAGTTGTTGAAGAAACACGGAGTGAAATGTGGGAGTGCGGTGTACAGGTGGATGGCAAGAAGAATGTGAGTACGGTGTTGGGTGTATGAGGTCGTGGTGGCGGACAGGAAGAAAGTTGTCAGCTCGAGATGAAAAAAAAGTTAGGCGGCAACGTGGTTGCGGCAAGAAGCGGCATTTGTCGTTGGTCGGCAATGGCAAAGGTTTTTTCCGGGTAATCCACATTGAGCCTTGTCAAATCAGCCTTGTCAGATGGAAGTACGAGGACGAGTACCTAGATATGTCACTCATGAGCAACGTCTTACTTCTGACCTGGACGCAGTTTTTGTTGAACCATGCACAAGATATCTCCTTAGACGTTCATATACGTTTCAGACAGCGACATTTATTCCTATATTACACCACAAGAAGCGCTTTAACCCGACCATATACATATACGCAATCCTCAAGTGCCGCTCCGCTACGCCCTTCAGGGCATTCCCGTCTCAATAGCCTCAAGCATCTAACTCGAGACCCGATAGAACTGCAACCCGGTTGCGATATCACCAAATTTGGCATGCCAGAAATCCCAGAGATATGCACTTCTCGGCGTCCAGGGACCTCGATCGCCAGCTTTGGGAAGTGCGCCCTCCTCCGCTGCGCTTTTGATGTAAGTACTGCTCAGATTCAACAGGGGCACTTCCACGACACCTTCCTTCTCGTCGAGTCTAGCCACCACGCTAGTCATACTCTTTTTCTTCATTTGCTTCAACAGTCGCACCCACAGGAGCGCTGTCGCATCAGCCCCAAGAGTCCAGCTAGCGTTCGTATAGCCGAAGACATAAGTGAAATTGGGCAGATCTTGGAGCAGAGCACCACGCCAAATGAATTTCTTGCCTGGATTGAAGGGTTCACCGTCGACATTCACTTTGATACCACCAAAAATTTGCATCTTGAGACCAGTTGCTGTGACGATGATGTCAGCGTCGAGATATTGCCCAGACTTCAGCTGAATGCCACCAGCAGTCACAGTCTCAATGATGTCAGTGACCACATTGCCTTTGCCAGACCGAAGAGCGGCGAAGAAATCACCTCCTATCCACAACATCAGTACGAAATGGCAAGTGGCAAGTTTTGCAGATCTCACCTGGGGTTATGCACATCCTTTGCTCCCACGGATTGTACTTCGGAACAAAGTGCTTATCGAATTGGATAGTCGGGGGCAATTCCTTCTCTGTGGTCTTGCGCAAAGCTTTGATGCCTCGCTCTGGGAAGAGTCGACAGAAATGGAAGAAGAAAAGAGACAGCAACATGAATCGCCATCGAATAAGCTGGTAAGCCCATTTCTCTGGCAAAATGGCTTTTAACACTTTGTCGATAGGAAAGGTGAGAGGAACAATGAGGAAGTAACCAGGACTCCTTTGGAGCATGGTGACTGACTCCGCTTTTTCGCTCATACTGGGCAGCAGTGTGACAGCGGTGGCACCAGAGCCGACAATGACGACCTTCTTGTTGGCGTAATCAAGGTCTTCGGGCCAGAATTGAGGATGAACGACGGTGCCCTTGAAATTCTCAATACCAGGGATCCGAGCTGGGAGGCCTCGATTGTAGTCATAATAGCCAGTTCCTATCATAATGTGGCGGGCATAGTAGGTCCGCGTCTCGGCGCCTTCGACGTTGACCTGAAGTTGCCAATGTTGTTTCTCAGAGGACCAGTTCATGGATTCGACCTAATTGCAAGCATTGTAAGCATTGGCGACGAGAAAGAAAGCAAGGTGAGTACCGACCATATGTTGATATTTGACATGCTTGTCAATACCGTGGCGCTCAGCCGTGGTCTTGACATATTTCAAGATTGATGGAGCGTCTGCAATGGCGCGGTCTTCCTTCCATGGGTCCCAAGGGAAGCCGAAAGTGTGAAGGTCACTGTCTGATCGGATACCTGGATACTTGAAAAGCGACCAGGTTCCTCCCATCTCCGCGCGTCCCTCAAGGACCGCGTAGGAGTAGTCTGGAAGACTCTCCTGGAGGCGGTAGGCAGCATTGACACCGCTGATACCTGCACCAATGATGATGACGTCAAAATTGTTGCTCGCCATAATGGAATACTGGCGATGGAGGCGGCGGGTGTACAAGGACTAGGACTCCTTGAAGGAGAAAGAGGAGTCTGGGAGCAGTGGCGATATATGGTTACAACTTCAATGCAAGGTCGTTGGGGCCTTGATAACCGCCCCGGGGGAGGGTCGGATGGTTTTATACAACCGATTGCCAGGTTTTGCCTCGGTCTACCTAATGCAGCTCAGGCAAGGGTGTGTGATTCGTGGTGTTTTCGTGATAACAGGTCGGCACATACGCCCCAGAAGAGGATTGGATGAGAGTAAGTAGCCTGGTATGTATGAATTTTGTGTCCGTATAATCTAGAATACGTGATCGAACATAGTATAATGCCTAAGAGGATATATTCACAAATTCATGAAGGACACGAACTTCCATCTAGGCTCCCCAGTTCGAAGGAGCGGGGGGCCTGAGTTTGGCGATCTGCGTGTGGCGGCCAGCTCCCTCGGTGTCAAACACTTTCTGGGGCATACCGCCGCGGGAGGCTTGCGAGCCAATGACGACTCAGTTCTTATCCAGGCTATACATCGGCTAGACGACACGGGTGTCTTCACCATCATCACAAAACCTACTCGATCGCACAACCTCAGCTGGTCCAGAATATGGCGTGTAAGTGACCACGTCGGCTTCTGTATCTTGAACAGGCAATTCATTCGTGGGGCACAGCAATTCCCTTCTCATCCACCAGATGCTCCTCGATCTTCTCCGGTCCACCACCAACTCCTGTGCAAATCACTCGACTCACACCAGCCTTAAGTGTCATCAGTGACTTTTGTTCCAGACTGCCAAACTCGTTCGGTCTGATCATCTCTCCGAACTCGCCTTCCCAGCCAGGTATCCTAGATAGAATACTCTTAAAGACCCCCGCGGCCTGATGTGTGTGCTCCTCGAGGTAGTATATCACCGCATTCGGACCAGCATCGAAGGTGTAAGCACATATCAGCTTGCCTGCTTTGCGGTTCGCAGTTTCCACCGCATTCATTGCCGCTCGAGACACGTCGTTCATATAGTGGATCGGCGGCCACGAATCCAAACATATGGCATGGAATGAATTGGAGTCCTGCATCGTGATGCGAGCAAACGTTTCAAAATCCTTTTCGTGAATGGCCTTCTCGATCTCCTTCATCCGTCTAGGCACAATCTCACTGAACCTTGCCCGTGCAAGAGTCGACGTCTCGACCGTAGTTTGCATGCCGGCTGTCGAGGAGACGCCCTTCTTCTCAGCACTGACAACCAGAACCAATGCTCTCATCTCAGGCCAGTGCGACACGGGCGCGACCTCTTCCGCCAGACTGTCGCTTCCATCCTCTTTCGTCCCGGCGCGCCAAGCGACGAATCCGCCCATGAGACTTCGACATGCCGAGCCAGATCCTTGTCTCGCGATAATAGAAAGCTCTTCGGGAGATTGAGGCAGTTCGTAGAGGTCAGCGATTGCCCTGACGAGCGCAGCAAATCCTGCCGCCGAGGAAGCAAGACCGGCAGCTGTAGGGAAATTGTTCGCTGAGACGAGTCGAAGCGTCAATTTTGACAACTTCGGGAGCGACCCATCCTTCGCTTCCAATTTCTCACGTAAAGAGCGAAGATTCTTCAGACATGCTTGCGTGCGCTTCGAAGACTGGATATCCTCCTTTTCACCGTTGAGTATGAGCGAATCGGGACTGGTGAAGGACTCGGAGCATGATGCGGTAGTATGTGCTCGCAGGGACTTCTGTGATAGTGTCAAAGATAGAGACGAGTTCGTCGGTAGGTTCAGTGCTGTATCTCGCTTGCCCCAGTACCTGTTAAGCTGCATTAGTCGTCTGCCCTCCGTGACCCGGGACGACTGCGCGACGGCATACCTACTTGATGACAGCGATGTTGACAGGAGCAGTAGTGCTCGAACGGTATATTTGAGAAGAGCCCGACATACTAGGCACACTCGACCAGCCTGGTTCTGACCGACGCAACGCAATGAAACTGCGGTGTGTTGCTTCTCACAAAAAGAACTGTGGAGAAAATGCGGGCAGCGCAGGAAAAGACCCCGTCGCGGTAGGCTGGCAAAATAATTGTTACATCTACATCAGCACCATCTCAAGCTACAAGGAAACGAAACTGCCACTCTCTACTTGATCTCATCCATTCGTCTCTCGTTAACATGGGTTGGTGGAAAGCAGATCCCGTTCCTGACCCTCAACCACCACAACTCCCCTCAACGCCTCCTCATCCTATACCTACACAATCACATCCAGCCTCTACGTCCGAATCGTCATGCCCAGTCGACCCCAAAACGAGAGCAATATGGCTGCAGCAAGTGCAAAAGACACCTCAATCGCAATCGCAAGCACAATCACAACTACCACCCTCCCATCCACCACTTCCCACATCAACACCAACCCCAACACCCTCTAGACCACCCGTACCAACAGCCTACGCCTCCTCCCAAGAATGCTCTTCAGACCGCATCTCGCAATCTCCCCTTCCACCCTCAGACATCGCCTCTCTTCCTCAGTCCTCACGACCTCTATCGCAAGACCGTGTCGTATCCTCCATCCCTCGCGCAGCGACACCTGAGAGCACACTATCGACCCCAGCAAACAATGAATCCGAAACCGGCACCTCCGCCTCAGGAAACTGGATCTACCCAAGCGAATCTCAATTTTTCAACGCGGTCATGCGCAAGCAAACGTCCTCCAACCCCTCGGACCTCATCAGCTCAATCTCCCACATCATCCCAATCCACAACGCAGTCAACGAGCGAGCTTGGACCCTCATTAGAAAATGGGAAGGCGACTCCAGTGCCTCATGCGGCGGGCCCAAACTCCAGTCCTTCAAGGGTCTAGGCAGCGGCGCCATCTCGCCCAAAGCCCGGATGAAGACGTTCATGGGCTACACGGAGCCCTTTGACCGGCATGATTGGGTCGTCGAGCGCTGCGGAGGCGAGACGGTCGAGTACGTGATCGACTTTTACCAGGGCAAGCAAGAGGCCTCGGGAAATCCGAACGCTCTGAACTTCTATCTTGACGTACGGCCCAAGTTGAACACGTTCGAGGGCTGGAAAATGAGAGCGGAGCGAATTGCTGGGTGGCGATGATGTCGTCTGGCATCATGTAGTTGTATATAATACTCGGCGTCACAGCGCAAAACAGAAAGGGGGAAGATGTTTGAGAGCGACTTGCGGCTGACATTATGTATGAAATGGATATAATTCTCGCCTCGACTCAAACTAAACCCATCCCTGGCTACCCTATGTAAACTCGACAACAACTGAACGCCCATTTGGCCTGGAAAGAAACAGTCCCATTCGTTATTGTCCATCATTTCAACCGCAAACAACCAAACCCTATGCCCTACACAAGCCTGAGAGGACAAGATGTGGCTGGTGTGGTGCCCTTCAATGCCTGAGTCCCAACCCGGTGGACATGCATGTAATGCCCCGATGCCATCATTTCGAAGGAATAAGAAATATGAACGTTAACCTGTGCATGTGCATGGATAATGTCTGTAACAAAGAAGGAGAAGCAAGGACTCGCAGGTGGGAATAATCGGCCGACTTGATCGTGAAAGAAAATGCTCCGTTTCGCCACCCTATGACAAAGGAAATTCGTGTCGACATGATGTGCTGCTGTGTGTGAAGCATATGCGTGTGTGTATGTTGGCCTCTGTTATGCGCTGTTCACTGACAGAGATCTCGGAGGGCAGCCCTAGGGACGGTGTGTATGACACACTCAATGGTCACTAGACTTCAACCCCGATGGAAAAAGTTCGTATTCCTGCTGTTGTGGTGTCATCTCACCAATTGCCAGTACGCATGGTGGGTTGCTCCATGGCGTAGGTGTTCGAAAAAAGTTGTTGACGGATACTCTGCTGCTGCGTTGGCTGAGTTGACGGCCTCAGCCATCCAAGAGCATCGACAAGTGCCTCGTAGGCTTCTCGTAATCTGCCCCCGCTCTTGCTGTTGTGACCTCTCAATTTCTCCTCCCACCCACTATATTGAAGCTGAATGCCGCCACCTCTTTTACTTGCTTCTTTGATGACGCTAGCCCAAGCCCTCGAAATTTCTTCGTAGGCATTCTGTTTGGCAAGGTTGAATGATTGATTATCCCACTCTGGCAAGTCGTGGATGATTCTTGTGACCTCATCGAGGTATTCGAGCGATGTCGAGGACTGTTGTTCATTTGGTGGAAGGAAATGTGGTGTAAAGTCTGTAAGAGCTTCGAGCAGATCGTGCCATTGCGGCCGAACTCGGTCATAAGAGTAGTCGGATCGTGGATTAGGATCCAAGGGGAATGACTGCATCAGTCGATCGTAATATTGTCGTAGAACCTGCAAAGTACTTTGGATGCTCGGTCTCGGGCTGACTTGCATGACTTCTTCCCGCAGTCCGGGATTTCGATCACAGAGTGTTTTCAAGACTGATCTGAGCGAATCTTTGTCTAATGTTTCAAGCAATCTATCGACTGACAATGGTCTCCCAGCCAAGTTGGGGCGTACTCTCTTTCTGGATGAAGGGGTTAAGGCTTGTGGTAATCGAGCATTGGACATAGCAGGTGATGTTGACATTTCATCGTCTCGGTCCGGTGATGGGGATGCTTTGCGTTTTCTCGACGAAGTAGTGCCTGACACTGCGGTTACAGTTAGCAATCTGTGCAGAGCACCATGATGTGAACGCTTACTTGATCTGTTGGGGGAGAGGCGGGTGTGTTCGTGGAAATGAGGAGGAATAGGCGGCGTAGCCAGGCTACTCATGGTGGCTGTAGATGCCGGACAATGCAACGCTTGTTTGAGGTCTGATGGTTCGATGATGGATCGGCAATCGATGTCGACCTTGAGAAATTGCGTCGAGTCTGAAAGAGCAGAGAGAAGAGACAGCCCTTCAGTTGATGTGCACAAGGCAGCGAGCAAGCGGTGAAGGGCTGGGCTAAAAGTGACGGAGGCAGTGTGATGTGGTTCGGGTGTCAAAGTTGTGAAGAGTGGGTGGAACTGGAACAAGTGGTGGATGGATGGATGAACACCGGAAAGAGGCACGCTTAAGGTTCTCTAATCAAGGGAGCCTCGGTCATGGTGATTCGTCGAACCAGCTGGCCACCGTCAACATCATCCAAGGCTTTGCTGCCCAATCCACAGGTTGGCTTTTTCTTCCTCTCGGAAGTTTCTTCAGTGGCCACGGGTCTGTGCAGATATTCGAGCTACACTTCATCCTATTCGCCCTTGTTGCACTATCCACCACTGTCTTTTCATCGCCGAAGGTGGGCAACAAAGCAGGAGAAACCTACGAAAGCCCTTACACTACAACTTAGGAATTTGTCTTAATGCAGCTTTCCACCACTGCCAGGTAAAGAAATGAATAAGATTGTCATGATAAGGATGGAACTTCCTGACTTCATGAGGAAGGACTCTTCCGCAGTCCCAATGTAATGCAGCACGAGAGGTCTGTAGTGTGACATTTTTCCAGGCAATAACATCATACCTGCATCACCCACGACCCTCATGAGAAGCACTGGTTGCTGAAGAAGCCAGTCCATGGGTATCATGCAAACAACAAGTTACTCCAACAGACAGGTCGCTATGCTCGCACAAAAGAAATATCGCCTGGCTATCATAGAAACACTAGAGATATAGTGACTGGGCAGCCACAATATCTCTTCTTACCTTGGTCAGTGCCTCTTCGAACTTTTTCTCCAACTCCTCGCTCCCCATGACTTTAGAGGCTTCCGCCATTTGACGTAGGCCTTCTTCAAGTCGTCGGAAAGTACGGATGAGACTGCCCTCGTAGACATCGGTCATTTTGCTAGACGACGTGTTAGCACTGCCACTAGCAAACCACACAAAGCACTTACCAGATCTCGCCAAATGACTTGCCTTTCGCCCAGGCGTAAATCACGGGCATCAGCTGCCACTTGAAACTCTGCACGTATTCTTCCTCGTTGACAGCCAACTTGGACTCGACCGATACCTTCGCGATGATTCTGGCTTGACGCTGGATCTCTCGTGATAGTCTGGCAAGATCTTCAGGCAGGACCGGTTGTTCATTGACCCTCTCTTCGAAAACAAAACAGCTCATCACAGCAGCACACTGTTCTGGTGACAAATCGTTGAAGAAGCGGTTAAACAGAAGTTCACTAAGCATCAACTCATCACCAGTGCTGATTTCGCAAGCCACTCGAGCCTTTAATTGAACAACTTCGTCTTCGTTGATGAACTGCAGACGGCGAAGCACTCTCTTGCGGCATTTCAGCTCTTCCAGCTGCATGATTGCGTGAGCGTCCTGAATCTGCTTCTTCAGGGTTCGGATTTTGTTCGTGAGGTTGACCTTTTCAGCGTATTGATTGTACAATCCTTCGAGGCGTGGGGAATTATGCAGAGGGTTGGCAACAAGTCTTGATTCCATAATCTCGATCTTGCGGAGGAGCTCTTTGAATGAGTTGTCGGTGATCTTCATGTTCTCGATAGGGTCAAGAACAGCAATGCCATCGGGAAATCGTCTCTGTACCTCGACGAGTGCCTTCTGGACCCGCTTCTTCTCTTCCGTAATCGTCATATCTGCAGGAATGAAAATACGGATGTGAGAGATTTTCTGAACACACTTCAACAGAACTGGGACCACCTCGACTTTTGACTTCTCACCAGGATTGGGGGGACGAACGCCGGCAGGCAGAGACTGAAACGTCTTTGTGGTGGGTGTGGAACCTTCAGCACATTCCAAAGCAATGTCCAAGATCCATTCTTCTTGAGGGGTCATCTTCTCGTGCGATCGACCAGGGCTTCTTCTGGCAAAATTGATGACAGCGCCCCAGCCAAACTCGTGTTCACCGTCTTTGATATAGACCAGCCGACCTGGTTGCATGAAGGGCAAGGAATAGTTCGGGTGGATGATGACGTTTCGCATGTCCTCAGCATAGAGATCGAGTTGCTTCCTCAAATCGTAGTAAGCTCGAATCGCATTTTCATCTTCGATCACCATTGCAGACTTTTCGGCTTCCAACCTCGAGAGTTCCTTTTCAAGACCCGAAACACTTGCCGTACTCTGGAACTGATGGAAACATCTCTCCAGCATGAACTCTGGTGAAATACCCTCAACTCTGAGCAAGTTCAGAATCATGTTGTAACCAAGGTAAAATGCCGAGTTCAACTTGTCCTGCTCACCTCGGACGATCTCTTTTGCGACGCCAGGGTCCATCTTCTCGTCGATCATCATGATGACAATTCCACGTTCGTCCAATCCACGACGACCAGCACGCCCAGACATCTGGATGAACTCGGAAGGGGTAACCCATCGTTGTGAGATGCCGTCGAATTTGCGAACGCTGGTGAAGACGACTGTCTTCGCCGGCATGTTGAGGCCGATTGAGAATGTCTCAGTTGCGAAGAGTACCTTGATCAACCCTTCTTGGAACAAGATTTCGATCGTTTCCTTGAGAATGGGTAGAAGACCAGAATGATGGATGCCAATACCACGGCGTAGCAACGGCAGCAAATGCTGAATCTGAGGTAGATTCTTGTCTTCGGGCGAGAGCATCTCCAATGCGCTGTCAAAGACCTTCGAGACCATTGCTTTCTCCGAATCCTCGTTGAAAGACATGGTACTCATTTGTATGGCGTAAGCTTCGCAGTCTCTTTTGCTGAAACTGAAGACGATAACCGGGTTGTAATTCTTTGTCATGATCATCCGGACAATTTTGTAAATGTCAGAGGGACCCTTATTCCCACCTTTATTTAACTTCTTGTCCTTGCCTCTACCCTTCCTACGGGCCAAGGCGTTGGCAGGGTCGTCACCCTGCTTGTCTTCAATGGAAGTCATGGCTTTCTGGAAGTTGTCCTCTCTGAAAACACCTTTTTCGTCCACTATCAAGTGTATGCCGTCTGCACCAGCCGGGAAGAAGTAGTGTTGCAAGGGTGTCGGTCTGAAATCTGTGTACACAACATGACATGGCTGGCTGTGTGTCTTGGTAATCCATTCTGCAAACTGCATAGCGTTGGGAATGGTTGCCGACAAGAACACATAGCGGACTTTGTCAGGAAGCAAAATGATGGTCTCCTCCCACACGACACCTCGAGTCTTGTCTCGTAGATAATGGATCTCGTCGAAGACGACCCATCCCACCTCTCGCATGATCTCCGAGCCTCGGTAGAGCATCGACCGCAAAATCTCAGTGGTCATGACAAGGCAGGTAGCGGTGGGGTTGATGGTGACGTCTCCGGTCATCAATCCAACATCACCGAAGTCGGCCTGAAATTCTCGGTATTTCTGATTACTCAAAGCCTTAATAGGACTGGTGTAGATGACTCGTTGATTGTTCTTGAGACACTGTGCGATTGCATACTCGGCCACGACCGTCTTGCCTGCACTCGTATGTGCCGAGACCAGGACACTTTCATTTCTTTCAATTGATGCAATGGAAACTTGCTGGAATGGATCGAGCTGGAATTTCCACGTTCTGGCCGGCTCTGCAGGTGATTTGTGTTGGGAGATTGGAACATAATCATAGTCAGGCGGCAGGGCGACTTGATGTCGAACTTGATGCGACAATATGACCTTCTCTTCTTCTGTACGAGCCCCGAGCCCGGCAGACGCCGCGACCTCTCGTGATTGTTCGGTCTCGAAAGTGTCTGTAACAACAGGTTCTGGCTCGTCTTCCATGCGTCTGCGCTTCGTGTCCGGTCCATCGCCCTCGGGAGATTTGGCCTCATCATCTTCTGAGGCCGGTGAAGCTCCGTTCGTGGAAGGCCATGTAACATCATCCCCATCGATGGCATCTTTCATCTCGCCATCGGCTTGTCGCTTCAGACGTTTTCTCTCGCCTCTGCTTAGCTTGGGTGTACTGTTGTGTGGAGGCTGAGCACCCTGTGCTTTGTCCTCGAACACGTCGAACAGCTCATCCATTTTGGCTAAGCAGTAAGGGTTGTGAGATGTTGGAAGAAATCTAGATTGTACAAGGAAACCATGGCTTGCGGCGAGTTACATGCGCAAAGAAATTCCCAATGAAGGCTGGAAAAGGAAACTGCGCCGAGGTCTTGGCAAAGTCGAGTAGCTTTTGGCAGCTTCATTGGAGGTGGACTGATCTCATGCTCGACGACATTGAAGCTGCTCAACACCACCGATTGCTCCTTTCAAGGTGGTTATAAAGGTACCATCTACAAAGCACGCCCATACGACTTACGCTGACCCCTCAGATGAACGCTCAATCTCTCCTCCGCGCCAGAATGGCGACGCAACACATCGCTCGTCGCGGTTTCTCCACCACTCGACCACGCTTCGACAGTCCTTTCCACTATCCTGAAGGCCCGAGATCAAACTTGCCCTTCAACCCAAAGACGAGATTCTTCTGGTTGCGATACTGGTTATTTATGGGTATGGTATTCTGACGCAATCGAGGAACATATGGCTGAATACGGCACAGGCACTGGATTCTTCATTCCCTTCGGAATGGCTCGTATGTATACTTTCACCCGGAAAGAAACACAGTCGCTTATTCTGCAACAGTCTGGCACACATACAAAGCATAAGGGAACCGGAAGAGTCGTTGGGCGGAATCACATCGCATGGGAATCAGTTCAGGGAGTGGCGCCTCGCGAGCTGGGATTTGTACAGAGCCTCAAAGAATTACACATTGAATGCAAAAACACATCACCTAAATTGCATACTCTCGAAAGCGCCCTTTACTTCAAAGTGCATGCCCAATCTTCTCGTCGTGTATTGCGTACCGATGTTCTGTCGGCTTGCATGAACAACAGCCAATCAGGAAAGCGACGTTCGCTCCAGTAAATTTAATTCTCCGACAACATATAAATATTTATTCATTGCTGAAGTCGAAATACTCGTAAGGTCAGCTAGAGTCATGCTACAGGGATTGCTGCAAAGACATTGCCCTCACCATGCGAAACTTGAAGACGATAGCATATCGTGACATCGAGCTGAAGTCTGACCTGCCGTTGACAGCAACAGCATGGGACACGCAAGGGAACAATTCGAATAGTCTAATTTGTGCCTTTGGCCCAACTCCCACACAGCCCATCATCGAGCTCAAGAGGGGATGGGCGAACGATTCAACTGGCGAACGACTCGTCAGCATCACTTCCTGGGATGCACCATGTCCGTTACCGGAATTGGAGTGCGATGAAATTCTTCTTCTTCAACATTTTCCAGATGTCGCCACAACTTGTCTAGTGTTGGCAGGTGGGGATGTGGTGGTCGTACGCGAGAATCCTTCTTCAGACCAAGAAAGGATCGAAATCGTTGGAAGTGTCGATGCCGGAATATGTGCCGCCGCTTGGGCCCCGGATGAAGAGATACTTGCCATCGTCACACGGGCTGATACGCTCGTCCTGATGAGCAGAAATTTCGAGCCACTCAACGAGGCCACACTTTCAGCGGAAGATCTGAAAGTATCCAAACAAGTGTCGGTTGGCTGGGGTCAAAGAGAAACCCAATTCCAAGGTAGACGTGCTAGGGCTATGCGAGACCCCACTGTGCCGGAGACCATTGATGAAGGAAAGCCCGGTGCCTACGAGGATGGTCAGGTTACTGTCAGCTGGCGTGGAGATGGCCAGTATGTCGCAATAAATAGTGTGGTTCCGGGCCATCGTCGGGTGATCAGGGTCTTTTCGCGCGATGGCGTCCTCGACAGTGCGAGTGAGCCCGTGGACGGTCTAGAGTCTGCACTGAGCTGGCGACCATCCGGCAACCTCATTGCTGGTATCCAAAGATCGGAAGAAAATCTCCAGGTGATATTCTTCGAGAGAAACGGGCTTCGACATGGCCAATTCGATGTCAGAACGACCAAAAAAGAGATGGCAGACTGGGCTTCCGCCGTTTCGATGTCCTGGAGTACAGATTCGACGGTGCTGGCCCTCGCTTTCAAGGATAGGATACAATTCTGGACGACAGGCAACTACCACTATTACCTCAAACAAGAGTTCCTGCTCACCGCGCCATTGATAAGAACGTCCGTAAGGTGGCATTCAGCGTCGGAACGATCGCGCATGACAATTGGAACGTCTGAACACCTGCTGGACCTTACGTTTCAGCCCAGGGTAGCGCGAGGAAGCACCATCCCTCCGCATGACACAGGTGTCGTTGCAGTAATTGACGGAAAGACCCTGAAACTGACGCCTTTCAAGCAAGCTGGCGTCCCACCTCCTATGTCTTTCTGCGACGTTTCCTTCGACTGGAATATTACGGACTGCGCGATCAGCCAGGACGGTCAAAGAATCGCTGTGCTGACGACGGATACCGTCGAGTTATGTCAGTGGTCTACACGAACAAATAGTGGTGGTAATGTCAAGTTTACCACTGCCATACAGCACCATTCTGTTCCTCTCCCACCATGTGAGGACCTGTCCAAGAGTTTACGATATACCCAAGTGGTCGAGAGAGACAATGAAGTCTTCATCCTTGCACCAGCGCAAAAGGGAGGAGGCGCTCGTTGCCAAAAGCTTTCTTGGTCTCAAAGTCCCTCAGTCGGGGATTTCGAAGAGCTTCCTGTACCTCATGCAAGTGACAACCTACTTGTCGATACCCTCTTTGAGTATGTTGCTTGCACGGATCCGGGACAGAGGGCTACAGTCATGTTACCGTGTTATTCCGAAGACGAACCCATGAGCCTGCGTGGCCGCTCTCCAGACAGCACTATGTTCACCTTACCGAACATACAAGCGACCATTCCCAATGGCGTTGTCAATGGACACGTCTCAAAGGTCTCCCTGACACCCCAAGGCCATCTCTACGTTGATGAGAGGGAGCTGGTCCGAGAATGTACCTCCTATATTGTGACCTCCGACCATCTCATATTCACCACGGCCCAACATCTCCTGAAGTTCGTCCATCTCACGACCGTCTCGAGCATGCAAGTCCCGGGCGATACCCCTGAAGTGGATGAACGATGCCGCAACGTAGAACGGGGAGCGAAGATCGTCACAGTAATTCCATCAATCTATGCTGTTATACTCCAAATGCCACGGGGCAACATCGAGACGATTTATCCACGAATACTCGTCCTGTCCGGCATCCGTCATCACCTCAAACAGCAAGACTACCTCTCCGCCTTCCTGGCTAGCCAGACGCACCAAGTCGATATGAATCTTCTCCACGACTACCATTCGGAAACTTTCCTAGCGAACGTGCCCAAGTTCATCGACCAACTGCGAAAGCCCAGCCGGATCGACGAGTTTCTCTCAAAGCTGAAAGATGAAGATGTAACCCAAACCCTCTACCGCGATACTCTGAACGTCCAACCTCATTCAGAAGCAAAGACCGAACCACTTAAGCCCGGCAGCAAAGTGAACAAGATCGCCGACGCATTTCTCGCCGCCCTCTCAAGCAGACCCTCCACATATTTTCAGAACATCATCACCGCACACGTCTCCAAGCGGCCGCCGGACCTAAACCCAGCACTATCGCTGGTGTCTTCGCTCCTCCAATCCTCAGAAGAAGAAGCCGACATGGCAGTATCGCACCTATGCTTCCTCACCGATGCCAACCGGCTCTTCGACGCCGCGCTAGCGCTCTACGACCTCGAGCTCACTTTACTCGTCGCACAAAACGCTCAGCGAGATCCGCGAGAATACATGCCCTTCCTGCAGTCCTTGCAAGATCTGCCTGTTCTGCGAAGACGGTACACAATCGACAACCACCTCAAAAAGTACGGCAGGGCACTTGTATCCCTGCATGCCCTCGAAGCCCACGACGAAGTCCAAAGCTACACAGTCAAGCACTCCCTGTACACCACAGCGATCGATCTCTACAAATACGACAAACCCCACCTCGACACCATAACCAGACTGTACGCCGAACACATATCAACCCAGTCTCAGCACGCCGCGGCCGCCACGTTGTTCGAGTCTCTTGAGGACTACGCACAAGCATACCCATCATACGCACTAGCCCACAAATGGCGCGAAGCATTAACATGCGCGAGTCTCGTGCCCTTGGACCAAGACCGCCTGCTCAACCTAGCAACATCCCTAGCAACCAGCTGCACCGACGAATCGCGCGACTACCGCTCCGCCGCGACCATCCATATCGACTATCTCAACGACATTCCCGCCGCAGCCCGATTGCTTTGCAAGGGCTCATACTTCGCCGAGGCCTCGCGCATCTTGGCCATGAAAGGGTTGGCAGGGGAAATGCCACTGATCATCGACTCCGGCTTGACCGAGAAATTCGGCGAGATTTTAGAGCTGGTCGCAGACTGCAAGACACAGCTGGCCTCTCAACTCCCGCGCATTGCCGAGCTGCGCAAAAAGAAAGAGGAAGATCCACTTGCGTTCTATGGCGGTGATGCTAGCATTGCGGATGCAGGCGTGGATATCCCGGATAATATCTCGCTGGCCGCCACAGACGCCAGCACAATCGGTGGACAAAGTCTCTTTACACGCTACGGCTCGAACGCAAGTAAATTTGGTGGGACTGTCGCATCGAATGTATCGCGCAAGACGTCGAAGACTAAGCGCCGAGAGGAACGAAAACGAGCACGTGGTAAGAAAGGAAGTGTGTACGAGGAAGAGTATCTTGTGGCGAGCGTGGGCAGACTTATCGACAGAGTCAACGGTGTGCACGACGAAGTCAAACGATTGACCAGCGGACTGCTGAGACGCGGCATGCGGGATCAGGCTGCTAAAGTCGATGAAGTCCTCAAGGACATATGCGAGCAGTGCGCGCAGGCTAGAGTTGAGGTCTGGCAGATTCCGCAAGAGCAGAAGGAGGCTGAGGGCATGTATGAAGTAAATGGAGAGGGTCGACCACCTGGAGCAGATGGTGTGTTCTGGGATAGTCAGCAGGAGACCCAGAAGCAGGCTGCGCCAGAAGTCAAAACGTGGACATCGAGCGAGCTGGTAACATCGTGACTAGGATGGCGATAGTTCGGCATTGGCAAGATGACCAGAACTTTTTTATCCAAGCCTCTAGCTAATGACCTGTTCCATTTCTCGTCTTCGTTCTTGCGCTCCGTTTGCGCCGCGAGAAGGTTGTCTCCACAGATTCTCCGACGATCGCTGAGAAGGCTCTAACCTCCTATTTTCTTTCCTGCCGTCTCGCCGCTGCTGGTTGGAAGAGTCCTCCTCTCGGGACTCTTTCGCAAAGAGCTGTCTGCGAGCTGCCTTTTCTGCTGGCTTGGGTTGTTGTTCCTCCGATTTGGGTGGTTCAACCGCTTTCTTTGCTTGGTTTAAATCGGCAATTCCTAGACCGACATCGAGTAGATAAAGCTGGAATGCAGCCAACAACTCTCTCAAGCCAGACCTTAGTCTCTCGATGATGATCTCAACCTCTTCGATGCTTGCATTGTTGTCTGGCTTGTTCCTTGCGACATACCCTTCGACAATCGTCAATGTCCTGGTCAAGGTCCTGACAGTTTCTGGCACCGTTGGCGTTGCTTTGCCGTATGTATCCTCTGAAAGACTGGCTACCAGCATTTGCGTGATTGAATCGATAGCATCGACAATCAGGGCAGCATTGCCGTTTGGACTTCCCAGGACCGCGGCATTAATCCTCGCTGCATTGGTCGAAAGGAAAAACCATCCTACAGGACTCTTTCGCAAAGCGGCCATCCATTGCTCGACGAGACTTTGGGACTGCGCTTGTTCTGCACCTGGAGGTCTGGCATATTCGAGGAGCTTGTTTTCCATTGCTTTCGTCGTTTTATCAATGGGCGGACGCCATGGCTGCTGACTGCTTCCAATTTGGCGCAATGGACTTGAGACCAATGATTCACTCATTTTTGGCTTCGATTGTGCCTGAAGAATGGATTGTGTTTGTAGCTCCGGTACGATACGGGGCAAGTCCTTTACCGTTGCATTTGTAGTTGGTTGTTGGGCTTTGGGAGGCGGTCCTAATATTCGGGCGTCGATGTCTCGAAGAACTGCAAGGCCAGCATCAGACATTTGACTCCATAGCGGACCAGTCGGTCGCTCAATGTCTTCGAAGATGGTCTTCCTGCGTTCTTTGTCTTTCTGTGCGATAATAGCAAGCTCCCAGAAAGCAAAAGTCCTAACCACATCTCTTTTGGCCCTCAACCCATTGAGTAAAGTCCCATTGGGATCTTTACTCTTGGCAGAAAGAGGGAATCCTTTCTTGGTGGGTTCTTGATTGAAAAAGACCAGGAACAAGGAAGAAGTAAATTCCCACGTCAAAATCAGCAGAAATCCTGCAATCATGCACTTGGCCAAATATGGAGGTCCAAGGTAAGGGTGTCCAATGGGGTGCGCGTTGGCTCGCGAAAGGTTAAAGAACGGTTTTGCGAGTACGAGATGAAGTTGCCAGAATGTGTTCCGGAGGAGGATACCGTTCAAGAACGGGGCCACCACAATGCAGCTTCCCGCGATAGTTGCACTTCGAACAGTTGCAGAAACGGCCCTCTGTTGTAGCTGAGTCTGTATGGGCGCAAACATATGCGGAGTCGATGCTGTACCCTCTTGGTTCTGCTTTGCTGGCCGCTTCGAAACAGGAATGATGAGGGACGAGTTTCCACGGTAGAGATGAGATCCGGCGTATGCGAATGCAAGCGTCAACGCATACAGACGGAAGAAAATCGGTTTCTCGTTCAACATATCCGGCGTATTATGGCTGCCTCTTGTTATCCACCCAAGGTCGGGCGAAGACCATATGTAGGCTTCTGTAAACCACCAAGCCGAAGCCACATACCAAAACACTGTCTGGAAAGTCGTACCGCTCAATGCATTTGTTCTGAGGGCCGCGAAAGAAGATGTCGTTGTCTGTCGGCCGACTTTAAGCGTGGCTACCTGGAGCATGAAGACGAACAGGCTCGACATGAAGAAAAGCAGGGCTTTGAGGCCAGCAGGACCGAATGGAAACCATGACCAAAAGAGATCTAGACATTAGCAAACGTGGGAAAGCCAGGACATGCCGACGTACCGCGCTTAGAAGCAAGCCAGAAAGCATTGTTCAAAGCAATCAGCAAGCATAGCAGAGCGGCATGTACAAATCGAGTATGAAATGCTGAATTCAAGAACCTCCTGTACGGGCGCGGAGGAGACAGTGTAGGTGTTGCAGCAGAGGTCGCCATGGTGGGCTCAATAGACGAAGAATATGGGCATTGTATTGGGCCAGTAGTCAACGGCCTGCGTGAACTACCAAGTGTATTTGAGGTGGTCGTTGAGATGAACAGTGGTACAACGAGGTGTGTGAGCTGTTGTAAACATTGAATTGACCTGCGCGCATCTCCAAAAACTTTCTGGTGTCACTCAATCGCCCGAGCACGTGACTGGGATTTCCAACCCGCCGCCCTTTATCGTCGCTTGCAGGCTTCAACATTCTTGTACTTCCATCATCACTTCGCGCCGTCGCTCACTCAGCTACTAAGACTTCCGCTGCCGTCGCTAGCACTACCGCTTCCGTATATCCCAATCACCAGCCCAGCATGTCGTTCGATCGGCTATCTTCCCTCGAGTCGCAACCGACCACCATGCGCCGGCAAGATGATGCTCAGTATAGGGATGACCCAGAATTTCAGAGGATTACAGAATCGCTATCTACCCGACTGTTCGAACTGACGTCAAACATCTCTCGACTTTCCAATCAGATTTCCAAGCGTGACACGGAGCGAGGGCGTGAGAGAATACATGATCTTTTGGAGGAGACAAGAGAGGGATTTAAAGAGGTTGGAGAAGGAGTGAAGAGAGCGCAGACATGGCCGGATCTTAACGTAAGTCCGCCTGTGACTCTTCCATGTGCAGTATTCTGATTTCCGACAGCCCGCGCAAAGGTACGCAAACCAAAAACTATCACGAGAGTTCGCTTCGGCCCTCTCCGAGTTCCAAGTGGTTCAAAGAAGGGCCATAGAGAAAGAAAGAGCTTCGAAAGCCAGTCTCGAAGAGGCTGCCTCAGGGCAGTCTCCATCCGGAGAGGGACAACAACAACTCCAAACACTTGAAGAGCCCCGACTGGCCCAACAAGAAGAGGTCGATTTCCAGGAAAATCTTATCATCGAGCGAGAAGGAGAGATTCGGCAGATCGAACAGTCAGTGGGCGAACTAAACGAACTCTTCCGGGACGTTGCCCACCTTGTTCGAGACCAAGGCGATCTAATCGACGCAATCGATGTCAATGTCGAGAATACTCTGACCGACACCCGAGGAGCGGATATAGAGCTGAGAAGCGCCAGCCGGTACCAGAAAGCTGCACGAAGCAAGGCTTGCTGCCTGTTATTGATTTTGGCCATCGTATTACTCATTGTGATATTAGCTGTCGTTTTGGGATGAGAGCGGTTCGGGTCAGTGATGTCGTCGGCGTTATACGGAGACATAACTTTGCCAGGCCGGCTGATGTATGAGGCACGCAGTCTGGACAGTTTGTTCAACGGGAAGAGTTATGTGAAACGGTTTTCAGTGGATGTACATAAATAGGCCCATTATCAGGTCGCCCTACCTAATACATGTCGGTCACCCTCATGATCGAATGCTGTGCCATGAGTGAAAACACAGCGAAGCAACCCATTCTCGAAAGCTGTTATTCCTGTCGTACGAAATCCCTAGGTCGTTCCCATTGAGAGAATCGTGTTTGATCGTTAGAGTATGGAGAATGGACGAGGCTCCCCTAAAGGTTCAGCCTTGCATTTTGACGTCACGCGGCGCGTCCACTCGGCCCGGAACTTTGGATCGCGTCTTGCCATCCACAGTCTTTACCAGCCAAGATGCTTACTTACTGCTGCGTTCGCTTGCTCCCACATTTGTAGGCAAGCTATCGTGTATCATTCTATTCACAATTATGGCAGTATGATATGCATTCTTCACAACGGTCAGAAAGACCAGCACTGCTCCCGACAACCGATAGCAGACTCAATGTGAATCCTCCATTACCGTCCAACAGCAAAAAGAGGAAGAGTGAAGATGTACAGGCCGAGGATACATTCTCAGGTGTATTCGATGCAAATTTCCATACGGCAGACTCCTCCTCAATAGCATTCGCCCCAATAACGCTCGTGGCAAGAGCATGCTTGCCCTTAGCCTGGGTCGATACATCGCAGATACTACCCGGTCCGGTCTTTGAGGCAACAATTCCATCGGTGAAAGAATGGGAACAACGAATACTTGTGGTGCGAAAGGCACCAAACGGTGGTCTATTTGCAGTCGAAAGAGTCGGGCTTGACAACTACGTTGCCTGTGCTTTGCACAATTGGGTCACAGAGGAACGGTGCAAAGACGCGGCAATTGGAAAGGTGGCCCAGACCACGCTTGAAGAGCTGCTGAAGAAAGACGACAGACCATCGAACACCCACAGAAGAAGTGTGTCTGGATCGAGCCTTGTGGCTGTGCCGATTTCGAAAAGTCCAAAGAGACCTACTAATCGACGAGGAGCCCTTGCAAGGATGTCGATCCTGACGCCGAAAGACTCCAGTGACCAGAATTTACTACGACTCCCACCGAATGCTATCGACCAAATGTCATCTACGATTCCTGTAGCCATAGTGGCTGGGCCCTTGCCGGTAACTCCGGCCGCACAGGTTGAGACCGAGAATCCATTTGACAGGACAAGTTCCGCTGGTGAAGTTGTTCTAGCAGTCCCAACCCCGACGGTATCTGAGCCCGTTTCTACGAGCAATCCTTGTGCATCAGAGCGCCTTCGAAGTCAGTATCTCGAACATCTTTACACTTCCAGAACATCTCTTGCATTCTATGCAAAAGGTCCATTGAGCCGTGCTCGAGCACACGTAAGAACAGCAGAACGACCCTCAGAGGCTATCTCGGAGCTGTTGGAGTTTTATGAACAGAGTATCCTGCCGCCGAAGAAGATCGACGTGAAGTACAAAGACTCATTGCCTAAGGTCATCAGTGAATTGCCATTGGAAACTGGAGACATCCGCCAGAAGAATTCGCGGAAAAGAAAACAAAAACTGGGCAAAGATTGCTTGTGGCCAGAGGAGAAGGACTATGTCCTGACCTGGTGGCGTTCAAGAGACCTGAAGCCTGGCATGTCCTTGAGTGATAGCCAGGAGGAGTTGCGCAAGGCAATATCGGACATACGCATGCGTGAGACAAAGATGCAACTGTTGATGATCTTGGAAGTGATGTTACTGGAACTAGCGGCTTCGAAAATGCCGCAAAGGCCAATACCAGTAGATCCAGATGTCAAAGTCGAATCCTTGGAGGATGACATTACTGGCATCCTTGCTAAGACACCGCAGTCGTCGAAGAAAAAGCAGCGCAACTACTCGAGCGAACTCGACACCATCATCGACCGCTTGTGTATCTGGCACACTGTGAGCTTGGACGATACTACGCCTGGCGAGAAGTCGCAGGACAAGAGCGACACCAGACCGAACGACTCCCTGCGAGATTTTTGCAAAGACGTACTCCTTCCATTCTATTCGTCCAAACTGCCTGAGCAAGTCAGATCCATCTCACGCAAACTCGGCGGTCCCGAGACGTCGCCGAAGAGACTTCAGCCACCCTCAAAATCCGCGAGTTTTAGCAATGCCTCCTCTTCCACAGCATTGGTCAAACCTAGACCGGGCCAACCACTCACCAAAAGGACGCTCGAACGCGTTTTAAGCGAAGATCAAATAGGCCGACATGCCTCACCACCCGTCTTGTCACGCTCATCGACTGTGCCAGTGAAAGCAATTGTCCCAACGCTGAAACGTGAGCCCTCGGAGCGGCCGAACTCGCGTGGAGCTATGCTCTCCAAATCGGTAAGCTTCAGCAATCGTGAGATCGATCTGGACGCCGACTCAAGATCGTATGAGGCAAAGCGACGCAAGCTTGACAAATTAGCGGAACAGAAACGCGAACTTGAAGCTGCAATCGATGCACTTAAGCGTCCAAGTCGAAACACGGTTGCCGCCACGTTCATGGATGAAGTCGAGAACCGGCGACAGGAACGGACGGTACAGATTTCGGCGACTCCACGTGCAAGGCGTATTGCAGATAAGGCCAGCCTTATTGGACCTGAGTTGCCTCCGATGCCACCATTGATCCGTCCAGAGCCTGTCGCCATGATTCCCTCATCCACCCGGAAGTCGTCATCTCGACCTGGCATACCTAGCTCGAGCAGCATTACACGCGCATCAGCTACGAAGAGAGCCGTGTTGTCCGCAATCCACGAAACACCATCGCGAGGATTCGAAAACAAGACTTCAGATCCACTGGCAATTTTTAGACTTCATGACTACCAGCATGACGAGCATAGCGTGATCCGCTCCAAGCGGCCAGTGCTGTTCACGCCGGTCAAGAAGTCTCAAGTGACTGTTGAAGATGCATTTCGTGACGCGCCCGAAATACCGGAGCGCGCTGGGAAAATTATGGATCGTGTCATGGGAGGAAGAGGTCGAGGTCTAGGTTCCGGATTTGAGGATCCCGGGGACGCTTTCAGTGCCTCTGCCGCTGTGCCAAAAGCTGGGCAGGCAGATGTCTTGCTTGGTGACGCCAACGACGGTAACATATATGACAGGCTTGGATGGAATGATTTCGACTTTTGATGTTCTATGCGCCATTCTGGAGGGATATAACTGAGCTAACCACATGACCCAATGAATGATAACAGTTTTTAATGGATACGACCTCTGCCCTCAAAGTCTCTCAAGTCGTCTAGCAATGGCGACACAATCGTTTCGTACACGGCGCGCTGAAAGGCCTCGTCCTCAAGGTCCATATTCTTGCAGCCGAGCCCGAACAAGCACTTATCGACCACATCCCCATATCGAAAGCCGCTTTCGGAATAGACGTTGTCTAGTACCCGAGCTGCCGTCTTGAGACTGGATAGGGCCTCGACTGCATCATTGTCCTCGGCAAGACGGAGGCTTGCAATTGATTGACAAAGCGAAAGCTCCACCAGGGTCAATCCGAGAGGGAACAAAAGCTCACATCTTATCAGCTTGTGGGTAGTTTTGGCTGTAAGTGTGGTGTCCGTCGGTATTTCATCTTCTGCAACAAAGGTATCTGCGAGATTGACTTTACCCGTTGCACCATTGGCTTGATTTGAGGTTGAAGCGCCAGTGACGGGAATATCTTGTGCACTCCGCTGCAATTCTGAAGAGTTCGTCGGATCTACCTTGTGCCCTGAAAGATAGAAGCGATCAATGTTGGCCCGGCTTTCCGTCACTACATTGGTCAACAGAATATCCCGGCTTCGCCAATGTGGCTTTAGCCAGCTTCCCTGATACTGGAGTACGCTGGAGGCTAGTGTGGCCGCGAGCGAAAGACGCGCTCGACGTGAGACTATGCGAGAAACGATTTTCGATCCGGCAACAGATGGTGAACGACAAAAAAGGTCTTCCAGGGGTTGAGTCTCCATCGTGGTGTCCAGCCTGTCCAACAAGTAAATGTCGTATCGTTGTTCGGTGTCGGGACCTTCCGGAATCGAGAAGAATCCCTTGGGGGTGTTGTCCACGTTGTCTCCACGTAAAGCCAAGCACATGTCTGCAATCGCTTGACAGTCAGACGTCGCCTGAGGCACCTGCTGAGGAACAGCCTGAGAACATGGGATCCCAAGAGCGGTAGCAAATCGCACCTTTCGCCTTTTGGGTGCAGCGTGAGCACTCCCAGAGGAAGGAGTTGCAGACATGATGACTGCTGGTACGGAGACAGCGACCGCAATGGACTCAACCTCTTGCCAGTACCACGGAGGCGCTGATGCATGGTTCGACGTCTTCGACGAAAACGCCATTCGAAGTTTAGGTATCGCCGATATTTGGTCCTGTGGCTCGCTATCATCAAGCGGCTCGATGCGCAGATCAACACGATGAACACTTCTGCAGGGGGCATTTCCAGCAATCTCCCAGGATTACTGCGTTGTACAGATTCACGGCATGTTTTCGTGCAGCTCTGCATTTCAGCAAGGGCCCCTTCAACTGTTGTCGTTTTGTACCAGATTCTTCCCGGTAACGGGCTTGATCTGTGAGTGTCTTAAGGGCGCTATTTGCGTTGCCGATTTTTGTCAGGAGTTCAGAATAAACAGACTTTGAGAAGATATTCCTGAACTTCATGACCTCTCGTTTTACGACGTTGGCGTCATTCAGCACCTGGGCATTGAAACAAGTATTAGCCATTCATTCCAGGCGCAACGGTCTTGTCGCGCAAGCCGCAAAGCCTCAATTTCCCAGGAAAAGTGGCGTCTTCCAGCATAAGTATATCGTGCCATCCAAAGCAATCTTCGCTTAGGTAAACACGAAGCGCGCCGAAGGGACTTCACGCTCACGCTGTGCAACAGCGCGAGAAGGCAGACTTAACTGGGAAAGTGGTGCCAACAAAGAAGTGAACATACCTCCATCGAACTCAGCGACTCCAGTCCGAGTTTGTGTGACAAGTATTGCAAATGCGTTGATGCTGCGGTCGTATTCCTGACAAACGCATCGAAATTGCGATCCAGCTTCTTGCGCAGCTTTGCCTGGAACTTAGGATCCTTCCATGACGGTCCTTGTGGGTCATCGATCAAGTTGGAGAGCTCGTCCTCGTCGTCCACTACTCCTTCCAGAGCACGTTCCAAGGTGTTGAGGAGAATAGCGTTTTGAGTGCCCAGGCCCGTTGCATACTCCTCCAATTGCCGCCGATATTTTCTGTCACGGAAGACTTTCAAGGTTTCTATGCCTTGAACATATGCGTCGATCTGATTCACAATGAGGGGCAGTATTGCGAGGATAAGTCCTGCTGTTTCCACCCCTGTCACCGTTCTGTTGCTCGTTCTTCGACCGACCAGCGGGTGGAAGGAAGAAGAGGAGCGCAAGCAGCATGGTGGCAGCCTTACGAGATGCATTCAGGGCACCCCACCTCGTATTCCAACCCGCCACCTGCCAATTTGCGTGCTCGAAAAAGGCATCAGACATTTGCGACCTAGGCTGTTTCGACATGTTATCCGCACTTGGACACCCGGTGTCAACGAAATGTTATGGTCGAGCCGGTTTCCACCTCTCGCATACACAACTTCGTATTAGTTGCTGGGTGGTTTTCGGTACGAGCTTGTTGATGCGTCACGCTTGATGCGCCTGCCGCACCTCCAGTGGCCATTTAGTGCACGTGGGAGGAGCGGGTCTAGCCTTCGCGTAATGACGGACTTGATCTCACCTGTCCTCATTGAATGTCTGAGACGACTCAACGACGTCGCGTCTCGAGCGGAATTGGTGCATTACGATGCCAAAGTCCATCATGTTTCCTGAGATGATGAGCTGGGAAGGCTACGAGTATGGGCAGCTAACACCGGTGCTGCTCAAAGCGGACGGTCTTCCATTGATTATCGCTTGAGAGACGCTTCCCATATCAGAAATCAGACGGTCTAACTGCTACAAAGGCTCCAACGAGTACTCGGAGATATTGAAGACCTACTGTCTGAAACAACCTCATCAGAAGGTTTTGCGGCACTAGATGATACCAACGATAGTGCTGACCTGACGACGATGATGCTACGGACGATGATGCTACGGACAATGATGTTACGGACGATGGCGACGCCGAGATCCAGCAGATACACCATGCTCTTGTGGATACCATCAACTGCCTCTATCAGATCTCCCAGGTCATCCGTCGACCAATGCCACATGACACACTGATAGGCATCCAGAAAGCAGATTTCGAAATGTTCGAACCTTTGGACCGTGCACACGTCGCTGACAGGTATCCTCACATGGAGCAAATGCTCGTCGATCGACTCGGGTCCGCGATCTCGAGGCGTCGAGCAGCACTGAAATATCGAGAAAGACACCACTCGAAGCTCCTTAAAGGCATTGATCGGGCAGTCGATCATCAGAAAGACGCAGTCTCGACCCAGCTTTCTGATACTATCATCACACAATATGAGGCACTCCATATCGACTCTGACGAGGAATCCATTTCAGGAGATTCCGAAACATCTTATTCATCAAGTCTATTGGAGAGCGTCGATCAGTTGAATGTCCCGAGACTTCCAAAAGGGTCTGCGGATCGCCGACCATTTCAGTGTCCCTATTGTTTTCACATAATAACAGTACAGAACAGAGATGCCTGGATTCGACATATCTTTGAGGATCTGAAGCCGTACGTCTACGTGTTTTCTGATTGTCCAGCACCGAGTCGGCTGTATGACAGTCATCGTGAATGGCATCGCCATCTACAGAGCAAACACGCCTCAAGTCTTGCAACAGGTGCAGACATTGAATGCCCGTTGCGTTGTGGAACAATGGTATCGCCACGGCTCTTGGTGAGGCATCTAGGCCGACATTTGGAAGATATCGCCTTGTTCGCTCTTCGGCGAGGTGAATCGGACGATGTGGAGAAATTAGACCCTTTGCAAGAAACACATTCGGCCAGCAGCCCGCACGGCGACTACGTTCATCATGCCTCTATGGCTGAAAGAGAAACGCACAGCCAAAAGGACAAAAGTCTCCATCAGCCAGTCGATATGGGCACAAGTGATGCTGATAAAGACACTTTCGAGAAGTTGCAAGCCGTGGACCACGCCTTCCGTCAAACATGGCTGCCTTTGTGCGAGAAGTTTATAAAAGAAACCATAACTCCATCGAATGTCGAACAAAGATCGACAAAGCACCGCCAGCTTTGGGAGGGTATGAACACTAATGTTATTCTAGAAGCTACGGCAATTGATATCAATGACCCAGAGCACCTCGCCTTTCGTAAAGGTCTCCTCGCTAGAGTGAGTGACATCCTCGGCGTTGTTGGAAGAGCGGAACGAGATGGTTTTGTAGATGTTGGTTCTGTGCATATATCCAGTGGACCATCAGGATCGACCAATGAGGATGTTTCATCGGATGCAGGTTCCATCAAAGAGCAGGGCGACTTCTTGACTGAATCTCACCCTTTAAATGAAGGTGAACTGGTGACATCTAGAAAGGTAAGTTCATCTTCTCAGCTTTATCTTCTCCTTAGACTGAGATTCGCTGAAGGACAAGGACGAGGACGCTTGGCATTGTTGCGAATGTGGCAACGGAGCATCGAGTGGCAGGTTCAACACGCATTGCTCCCATTGTCACGCTCAACGATGCAGTAACTGTAGCTACGACGACCCATTCCGGAATGGGCCAGAGCTCGACGATTGTGACGGCGATGACAACGATTTCGGGTATGGTTCACGAGTGACGCGATATGGAAGCCTTTCTGGATCGGCTTCTCAAACTCTTCTAGATCGCCCTTCTCAAGCTCTTTTGGGTAGCACCTCGGAGGCTTTTTGGGGGAGCATCTCTGAAGCTCTCCTGAGTAAGCATCAGAGGACATCCCCACAAACGGCAGAAGATAGAGTTGACGGGATAGGCAGGACTCTGGCCGATGAATGAGGCCACGGTAGCTACGTGCGTGCCCTGCCAGGCTGACTGCGTGCATTGTTGCCAGACCAAGGGACGGTGATGGCTTTTCATGTTCACACACATGTCAAATACATTCAGACGCTGGGTTCTGTGTACGAGGACAGGCATATCACCATCTCACCGTTCAATCTCGTACCCATGATATCTACAGCCCGGGATCCACATTCATCAAATCATCGCTCATGATATGCAAAACCTGCGTGAACGTCCTCAGCCTCCGCCCGGAGATACCATCCATAAGATTGGCAAAATCCAACAACACCCGCCTCGCACTCTCATAGCCACCCTGGTGCGCGACGCCATGCAAACTCACGGTCCCGCCATGCTTGATAAACTGATAGATCTGAGAAAACTGCTCGTCCTCCCTGTTTGTCGTCAAGTTGCGCTCAGCCTCGAGGGTCTCATCCTTAAACCCCAAATCATGTAACTCTGCCCAATCAGGCTCCGTCTCGATGATTTCGACAGGCGCGGTACCCTGTCTAGACGACCCAGGCGTCACCATGAACAAGTACAGTCCCAGCACGAGGGCGGACGCGAACAGCGCGGTAACAGAGTGAATCGTGACGTTATCCGAGACGCGACGTTCGGACATCAATCTGAAATTCTGGGCGGCGTGCACGCATGCCCGACGCGCAGATTGCGTCTGCGACCATTGGCCGATACTTTCGAGGGCGCCTGTCGCGGGCGCAGCGCCATGACGACCGGCCGCGAGCTCGAACATGCGGAAATCGGAGAGGAGCATGACACATAGACTGTGCCATAACACAATACAATTCGTGTCGTCGGTCTTGGACAACGGGCCGACTGAAGTTGTCGCCGCAAGGACAGCCGGGACCAATGTACTGGCGCGACTGTCGCCAGAGTATATCTGCCAAGGCACAAAGGAGCCGATGGTCAGTTGGTCCGGTGGCATGAGACGCTGGTAAGCTTCGAGCATCTGAATCTGGAGTAGAGCCAAGAGACTGGATCTGCCGAGATAGCCTAGCTGACCTATGGGGTTCATGTCGTGTCTGTGCAGATCCTCAATCTTGAAAGTGGGCGCGCTTTGGCTCTTGCCACTGCGTAAGAGTGACTGCCATTGCGTGGCAGATTTGGCCTGAAAGAGCGCTTCATCACACGGCGCTACGACACAGACCGATTCGGATCGGACAATGGGAGCCTTGGACAGCAGGTTCGAGTACCATGAGTCCACCAGCAATAAACCGAGAATGAGACGTTTGGCCGACTCGATGCGACTCCAAGCCTTCCAGCGGTCGTCTGACTCGGACATTTCAGATAACAAGGCATCCAGGGATTGGCCGTCGCCGGCAGCGAAAAGGCCGTTCTGCTGGACCATAGATATCAGACTGACATAGAGCATTTGGCTTTGATTGAAAGAGTCCCTGTCGCCAGTGATGACAGAGAGATTGAGGGTCAGCAGTGCCGTCGCAAAAATGACCATCTGCTGCGTTGGCGCCGCAGAGTTTGCTGCACAGGCCGACAAATCATTAGAAACGCGTTGGAGGAAGCTGGGGAACATCCTAGCCACGAATTTGGTGGCCCCAGTTGTGCCCAGGATGCTCAAGCCAGTGAGACACATGGCAAATAGCATCGGGGTCGGTGTGTTGCGGACAAAAAACGTGGCCATATGGATGAATGGGACGGTTGGGTGAAATCTGCGGAAGAACAGACCAAGCGCTATGTCTAGAATTTCGGCAGGAGGGAATTCTGCATTTCCGTGAGACAGGACTGGGTCCAGCACTGGTTGCAACTTTGGTGAGTGGAATACTGAAGGTGCAGGAGTACGGAAGGAATCGCGCAGTCGCACTCTGCAGTCGGTGTCTAAACCCCAATTCGAGGTCATTCTGAAATCGTCCGGTGCTAAAGGTGACTCAGAGAATAGGTTATCCATGTGTGAAGAGGCCACCTCTTTCCACAAGACTGGCATTATTCGATGAACTCGGCCGGGACGAGGACCCCAACAGCGTTCAACTCTGGAAAAGCGTTCTCTCGGGACGATAGCGATAGTCTTTGTGCGGTCTGGAGGGTTGAGTATGATTCCATTTGTTAATTCCTTGACGTCGGCAAATTGATGTGCTGCATCTCCCAGGCCATAGGTCTGGAGGAAGTCGGGTGATTGATCGAGGTCGCCCAAGGACGGGAACAACCACATCTGGAAGGGGTCATGGAAGTTGTCTTGGTTGGGATCCGAGGGAGGGAGCCATTCAATGTGGTTGTCGGTGAACTGATTCGGGGCGATTTCAGATCTAGGAGTTTGTACAGCATTTCCAGGGGTAGTGACCGATGTTTCGAACGTCGAGTTGCCACCACTTAGCTGGGAAGGGGACTGCTTCTGGGGCTGTGAAGGTTGGGCAGGCTTATTCGTGGTGTTCAGAGGAGGGATTGCCCAGTTCGTATTCGACAACTGCACGTTGAGTGAAGGGGATTGGTTGGTGGTAGATAAGGGGTCGACGAAGGGATTCGACATGTCCAGCGAATGTCTGGTCGGTTGGGGAGTGGTGGTGTCATTGCTTGGAGGGAGATAGTTTGAAGGAGAGAGGATTTGCATCAGAGGAATGCCGTTGCTAGTGCCGTTGAGGAGGGCCGACGGCGAATTTATGTCGAGGTCATTGTGAGGAGGCTGAGGAGCGACGCCTTCTGAGATTGTATTTCGGCGACTAGAGGCCGATTTGGTGGTAGCATTCTTATCGTTCTTCTGAGCATGACATTTCATGTGACGGAACAAGACATCGCTGGGACAGTTGTTAGGGTGTGATTGATCATGGTATACATGAAGCGACTTACCTCCGAGAGAAAGCCTTGTCACATATCGTACAAGGATATGGACGTTCTCGAGTATCTGAGACGCGTGAGTGACGAATAGTCTGATATCAAAATTAGGGCGGAGTAGATATGAGCACTTACGTGAGCGTTCATGGCGTTTGAAGTGTTCGGTCTTGGTGAAGCGACGTCCACATACGGTACACTGTCGCAAGACCATGGTTTCTGATTCGGTAGATGGGCGGCAGGAGTTTGACTGAAGCAAAAGTGTCCCGCAAGAACGTCAAGAAAAGGACAATGTGGGAAAGGTGGAGGGAGTAAAATGTGCGTCGATGCGGAGGGAAGGAGAATAATGAGGTCGAGATTGCTTTGACTGGATAAATGACCAGGATTACCGACAATGGTGGTGAGTAAGGTCAAAGGGTCTATCAGGACAGCGAGCCACCGAGGTCATTCATGCCAAAATAGACGATGGAACAAGGTGTGTTGGTTCGTTCGGATGTGTATAGACGGCAGACAGTACGAGATAGTAGTAGGTGAATGCGGAAAAGGACGGTCGATTGAGAAAGCCGGGTTCATTGAGAAATCGGGGATTGAGGGGGAGATGTTGGAGTGCTGATTCCCACCAGCGAATGAGAATATTGCCATTGTCGCACACAAATTCTGGGGAGTTTTGTACGGAGTCGCAATGGAGCCCCAGAGGGCGACTTAAGTGCCTAAGATCATTCGCCCACAGCCCGGAAAAACTGGAGTCTCCGGGGGTGTTGACCTGCCTATTTCACTCGTTCTTGGCTTCATTACTGCCTACCTGGTACCTAACAGTTACCCAGATGTACGAGGGGTCGCACATGAAATACTACTACCAGAGCGACTCCTCTATCCAAGATACATAAGGAGGTCATAGAAACATGCTACAATCGCTTCCTTCTCGTCATCGAAGCAAATCTGGAGTCTCAAGCGAAGAGCGGAGGGAGATCTCACGAATACCAATAATAGGCGAGGTATGGGTCAGCTGCCCCTCGAGAACTGATGGTCGGGCATCTGCCGGACAACCCTCACAATGAACTCCTCCTCCCTCGGTCAAAGAAGAATCTCCGACGAACGGCTGGGACAACCCCAGTTTTCGGCTCCTGCGCCCGCCCACGTCTCAGCCACGAGGCCAGCAGGGAAAGATGGGACTTTTCCGGGGCACTGGTACGTATATGGCTTCGAGAACGACTGAATATGGCAATGATCATTCATCTTCAATTCCTATCGATCAACACCATGAGTACACTCCGTACCTCGGTAGAGAGGCTCCATAGAAAGGCTGGATGTTTCCACTTTCACCTCTGCTGTGAAAACATCATCACTCTGCTGAGACTCTGTGAGAACATGCGCTTTGACCACGAAGAAATATCATGTCCACCGCCTGCTCCTTTCGTGCCTAGGGGTTCGAAACCTGATTGCCTAGCATGACCGTAGAAGCGCAATCGCCTTGATCTCTCACCATATGAGCGCCTCCAATCTGCTCGTCGCCAATGCAGTCATCGAGTATCGCTTGAGCCGCAGCCGCGACTTCAAGATAGGACACTTTGCAATTTTCACCACTCCAGTCTTCGTCGAACGTCAGCAACACTGTACAAGTGTCATAAGCCTGTTCAATGGTCAGCTCGTGTGCAGCCTTCGACAACGACATAACTTACCCCAGCTGCAATTGTGTGGCCCTTGCCTCCACTTGTGCCGTCCACAAGGAGATTTCCGTTGTTCAAAGCATCACCGATAGCCTCGACACAATCGGAGATGTTGGTTGCGGTGTTGCCAGTGTTGACGCAGGTGGTGGCACTGTTCTCCGATAAGGAAGGAACTTGAGCTGATAGATTCCACAAGTTCTCGTATGCCTGCGACAGATCGGTACCTCGCGGCAGCTTGACGCCCGGTTGTGTAAACGCTACGTCTTGTTGGTCGTCCGGAAGTGGTTGCAATGTTAAGCAGTCAACATAGACGAAGACGACAATGCCGCGTACTGATCTCCAGCCTTGAACCGCATCGTCGAGATCCACGAGCTGTTCGACACATGCGTTGGCTACGGTGTTGCTGTCGCTGCAGTGGTTTCTCGGTACATCGATCTTGCGTCCTTAGGTGTATGTTCCACATGTGCCCTTGTAAAACGGCGCAAAGGTCCAGTATCCGCACTGATCGTTCTGTAACTGTTTGTTGAATTTGTAGCCTTGACTAATGCCGGACTTCTCGCTGTACCCGCCGGTGATCCTGCGGCACCCTCAAGTCAGTATGGTTGAGTTAAAGCGGCCGTGGTGCATAGCAACAATCACCCAGTTGTCAATGCTTGCCACTTGTAGTTGAAGTTGACTTTAGCTTTCCACGCGTAGTTCTGGTGAACCGACTCAGACAAAGTACAGCTTATGCCTACGCTCTCCGGTCAGCGTGAACCAGGCACAGTCCATGTGCAGGAATATCTTACCTCCGCGACACATGGGTACCCGTACATAGGGCTGCTCCTGGCCATAGTAGAAGGTGGTTCGGATCTAGCAGAAACTAGCGCATATCGCACCACCACCAATGAAGTAGTCCGAGCAGTTCCCATCTGGCTTCAGATGGAAGACTGGTGGACAATCTTCTTCATGATATTCATGGTACAAGATCGGCATAGCATCTGTGCCCCAAGCGCAAATGTCCAGAGCGGTAGTGTCATTGGAGGCGGCACTGCCAGAGACAGTCTGAAAGAGCAGAGTAGAGAGGATCAGGAGGAAGGAAAGCACTTCCCAGCCCATCGCTGCGTATGAATGGATAAGCACAAGTACGGACAAGCAAGAAAAGTGTTCGTATTGGAGAGTCTGTACAGTCTTTGTTGAAAAAGAAAGAGGTATACAAACTAATAAACAGGCGCGAAAAGGCGCGGTATGGTTGTTGTCACTTTTCACCATCCTCTCACTTTCCCGTAACCCAAACCAGGCAGCTACTGCACATGTTGAGGTGTCAGTGAAGCCAGGGTAGTGGGTTAATCCGCAGAAAGAATTTGACGGTGAAGACATTTTTCAATCCCAGCTCCTGAGTGTGGCACATCTAATGCGACTGCCCAACAACCTGCGTTCTCTTGTGCATCCTGGCCAACCAAGTTTTGCTCGTGGCGATTCTGATCTTCTTACCGAAGAACATGAAGACCAACAAGGCCAAATCATTGGCGGCAAGCACGCCACAGAAGATGCCTGCGATGACAGTAATATATCCGTCCGTCAGGATCCAGGTAAGCAGGTCGAAGCCGATACCGAATGAGATTGCCTGCTTGCCCAGATTCATCGCGATTAGCATTTCTGACAGATTGACAGTGTAACTGTCCACAGCGTAGGCCAGGGAGAAAGTGAAGTAGAAATAGGCGCTGAAGTTGACCATGGCGACTCCAGCAAAGTACCCGAACCAGTGCAGGTTCTGTCCGGCAGTAAAGCCATATACAATCAAGCCTGCGGGTCCAATGATCATGGCTGGCAGGAGAACACCGAGTCGCATCTCTGCCTCACGAATGCCGCCATTCTTCTTTGTCAAGCGGGCTGCCAGAAGGTCGGACGACGTCGTGAAAGGGATGGCGAGAATATAGCCAACGGCGTTGCCCACGGCAATCAAGCCAGAATTGGTCTGCCAGACTTGTCAGCATCTTGAAGTGTGTAGTAGTGGAAGGCAATTACCTGGCTCCAGTTGTACGGCGGTTCAACAATTTTGATAGGGAAAGTGTAGTTGAAAGCCAACGCCCCCAAACCAATGTAGATACCGTAGGTTGAAATAACCCAGAAGACAGACGGGACGAAGAAGTAGGAGAAAGATCTCAGCATCGTCATCAAGAGTGGTGTTTCGCGGTCATACACGCCCCAAGGTTTGAGTGTCTCGACAAATGTCTTTCGGGGGGGAATGGCTGGTGCTACCTCCTGCATATCAGCGTCGACGATTTTTTCGGTCGGTCCGGCTTCCACCGCGGCGCCCAATCTAGCCTTCATCTCGTCTCTCCTGTAGTATGTCTCTTCAACGAAGAAGAATGCCAAAATGAACAAGACACATGCGAATGCGAACTCGACGTAGAAAAAGAGCCTCCATGAGTACCCTCCGGCAAGCATGTATCCGGCGTAGAGAGGTCCGGTGGCTCCAAGACAGAGACAGACGGTGTAATATCCAAGTCGTTGACCCCGTTCGTGCAGGAAGAAAATGTCGTTGACCAATTGGACAGGGAGTGCCTCGCAGACGCCGGATCCCAAAGCGTGGATGATTCGACACGCCATCAATGTCGAGTATGTGTTGCACTGAGACGAGCCGATCAAGCCAGCAGCAAAGGCAATAATCGAGAATAGCATGACAGGTCGACGTCCAAATTTCAGGTAAGCAGGAACCAACAGCAAAGATCCAAATCCATAAGCCAGGTTAGGATATGAGATCAAGCCCGAGGCTTTCGTAGCAGAGATGCCAAATGACTCAGCATAGATGCCGATGTAGACTGACGGGCCCAACAACGACGAATTGCCCAAGAAGGAATATGCTGCGCAAATGCACAGGATCATGGTCTTCTTGAAGTTGCCCCATTGTAGCGGATCGTTTGGATCGTCGGCAGGCACAGGGAACAAAGCCTGTCCATAACCCGTGTCGTCGCCCTCTGGTAGAAAGGTCAGGAAAATTCTTCAACAACATGGCCTTGGCGGGTTGAGGTCTGGCATACCTGCAGCGTTTAAATTCACAGTTCCTGGAATAGCCTCTTCGTGGGCGTGACTAGCCAAAGTCAATTGAGCAATATAAAAGTCTCTGAATGTCACACATACCTGTGCTTCAAATGCGCAGGTTGAGCGCCATGCTCGTGGTGGTCGTGGCCGGTCATGAGTGAAGTTCACGCAATTAATTGCTGAATGAAAATTTCTTCAAGGACTGACCACAAAGGATATGAATGGTTGAGCGAAGTCAAAAACGTTGGTGCGACAAAGTAAGACAGAAAATCCCTTGATGATCTGGGTACGATCGAACTGATAAAGGAAATCTTCCTTCCTACCCTGGCCTACCGCGTCCGTCTTCCTTTCGATCAAGAAGGATCCATTAAGACCTCTTTCCTGTGCCCCGGGGCTGCCATCAAAGACCTTCAGTGGGGCGTTGAATGGTCCTCGATGCTCACCAGAGCGGGGTCTCCACCCGCTCAACATGGGGCTGTTGGCACCGGCGACAGAGGCCTGGAGAGCCCGGGCTGTCTAGCCCCAGGCATGGGTAAGATACTCGGAAAAGACACCAGAGAGTATCCAGGCATAGCTCCTGAGTGTTGACTTCATCTTGCGGCTCAGTTGGCCGTCAAAAGTGACTTCGGCAGTATCTAAACGTCCGCCCCGGTAAGCAAAGCAGGTTCATGGCAGGGTTGTCTGTTCCTCTTTTTGCCATCTGCACATCCGTGGTCCAGGGTTCCTGCGGACGGCGATCCTCATCATTCAACCCAGTATCGTCCCGCGCCATCTGCGTCAAGTCTCGACAGCCGTTTTGTTCTGGGAGATCAAATCTGGAGATCTGCCGAGAAAGCAGTTGGTTTTGCATCGATGGTGCCTTTCCAAGACTCTTGGAATTGCAAATTGTGTGCAGTGCACCTCGCCAGATTGATCGATGGTGAGTCAATTTGGTGTTTCGCCTAAAAGGGATCATTAACTTAGCCTACCGGATCTTGCGGTCGTGGTACGCTTAAAGTCGCGCCGCCAAAAGCTAAAGAGTGCCACCTGGGAAGATTATGCACCATCTGGGGCACAATCTGGACTTGTCGCCCGGATTGGGTTTCATGCTGGATCATGCATGTTGAGCGATGATGACACGTGTAACACTGCACCTGCACCGCATTCAACGTGCAGACAGTGGTTGACGTTACGCTGCATGACCAGCAGCATATTCAAATCGACCGCATTGAGAAATGCACACTCGGCTCACGCTTGCACACGCGACAGGATCGATCGCGAAACTCCCTTGCTAGTCTGTCACTGTGCAGGGCGTGTGACGCTGTGGCCTCCCTCATCGACGGTGGAATACGAGGCACAGTATCTACCGATGGGATCACGGCCGTGTTCTCCTCAAGGCGTTTGCGGGGCTAGTCGTGCAGTGCATGAAGAGACCACGTCATGGGTGTGAGACTCTAGCGAGAACATTGACCAGGTGACCAGAGCAAGAAATCTGTGAGTAGTCGCGCGGACATTGGACCATTTGGGACAACAGTTGCCAAAGCATTGTGGAAAAGCATGGTTCTAAACAGCCGTACTCTTGTCAACGAAGTAGGACGCGCTATGTGTCATATTCGTGCCTGCCCTCATGGTACAGGCCGGTGTATGAGCTTCAAAACCTCAACTCCGAGTCTCTAGGAGGTAAGTGCTGGAAAGCGCCCCAAAGGAAGACGCGATCTGCTTGAAACATTGGGAGACCCCTCGCCTGATCGCACTCGGCTTCTATCATGGCTTCATACTGGCTTTTATCACAGTCGACTCTGCACAGAAGTGTCGGCGCTCATGTCTGTAATCAGTCAGTCATTTATTACTTTTTCCAGTCAAGATTACCACGTACCTCTCCATGCCTCCTCGGCCTTGACCTCTGCATCCCATCCCCAGAGGAACTGCTGCGTTTGCGGGTCATTCCATTTATCATCACTGTCGCCTCCCTGTGACAAGGCCTGGAACTTTTTATCACGAGCCTCTTGCTCAGGTCCGTCTGCCAAATGCAGGGCAGCCCGCGTCGAGAGGCAGGATTGCTGGATATATTCAGCTCGTGCTTTTTGTGCCTTTTCATAAGCCTTCAGTGCGAGCGGAACCTCATCTTTCGAAGAGATGGAGGACAAAAGAACGCCTAATGAAGCTGCGTCTTCACATGCTTGGGCTGCTCCTTGAGCAACATATGGCCTGGTGAAAGTAAGCATCTCCAGTCATTTCGTAAGATGGAATGCACTTACAACATGGGATGGCAGGAATCACCCATCAACGCAACGCTATCCTTCACCCACCGGATCAGCGGCATATGCATGCACAGCTTCCATTCCAGCACATCACCCTCTGGAACAAGGTCAAACATCTCAATCAATTTCGGATCCCAGCCCTCATATTCCGCAAGAAGGTTCTTCTTCGAGGTGACAGTTGTCCAACTCTCATCAACTCGGCCACGATCGGGGTGGGCCAAGGCCATGTTGTATATTTCGTGATTTCGCACTGGATAAGCAATGATATGTCGGTTGGGTCCAATCCAACGAATCGCCCTCTTTTCTTCGATATATGGTAGCAGGTGTGGGACCTTGCTCAGAGTGTCTCGAGTCAAAACAACGCGGAATACTGCATCACCGGTCGGTATTGCGACATCCTTTTCGTCGCCCAAGAGCTTGCCTCGAATCAATGATTTGATTCCGTCGGCAGCGATAACAACATCTCCCTTAACCCAAGAGCCATCACTCAACTTGACAGCCGCCGGACTGAACTGAACATCGTCGACTCTCGCATTGGTCTGCAATTTGACGTTTGGTAGAGCCACGGCCTGTTCCAGCAGGGCCATCTGTAGATCTGCTCGATGAACAACAAATTGCTCACCGTGCTCTTGGTTGATCGGGACACTGCCGAGAAGCTTGCCACCCTCCCATCTACAAATCTGGATAGCACCTAGCTGAACGCCGGTATCGCGGACCTTCTTGCCGGCGCCCCAGCGATCTAGCAGTCGCAGCATGTTGGGAGCGCATTGAATGCCTGCACCAACCTCCTGAATCTCAGGAGCAAATTCGATAATGTGCACATTGTGCCCTCGTTTGCCCAGAGACACTGCTGCAGCAAGACCTCCAATGCCGGCACTGAAACATGCGATGTCAGCCTCACTTCTCCTGGCCGAGGCTTTCCCGCACAAACTTACCCTACTATGATAACATCCAGAGGGACCTTGGCTTTTGCATACTGCTTCTCCCTGTTTATCTCACCCGAGGTCGCCATGACAGTCTTCGAATGAGTCGGAGTGATTGAGTTTCTGTTAGGCGTCCAACAGTGTCGACGCAATATTTCTCGCAGCGAATGCAATATGATAATCGTGCTGTCTCCGAAAATCCTGTCAAGTTCGAAGCTCGTATTCTCAATGGGATGAGTACAGTCTTGAGATGATCGACCGGGAGCTTGAATGAGTCGTCGAAATCACTGCCGAATTCCAAGCCACGATGAAGAGCTATATTCTTTCGGTCGTGGCAAGGCTTTCGGTAACCAAGTACACTTACACAAGCCGAACCTCGAATAGTCGTGGGGCTCTCGTCCGGTCGGCAGATGATTTTCTGACCCCACGGAGTCACCCCGGAGATAAAATAAGGTCTCTCGACGTCAGCTTTGGCTGAGAGAAGAGGTCTGGACAATTGAAAGCTGCTGGATTTTCATCTGCCGGGTTTTGGGGTCGTATTCTATCGCATCGATAGGCTTCATCAGTGCTTGCTACTGGTCAACTGCCACATGGCGCCAGCCTTGAAGCATGCATCGCCTGGTCTAAGTTAGCGACGCGAGTATCAACATACTCATGTGCCGTGATTCTGCTCCGAAGTGCACTCGCACAGTTTGGTACCTAACAGTGTCTCGCAATTCGCTTTGATGTCCAATGTTTGTAGACCGAAATAGGACTGCCGAATGGACCGGAGCAGCATTCCCTTTCATCTTCCCAGCCGACCTTGATGGTCAATGAAGCATAGTAAAGCCGTGCCTATCAGGACGAAGCTATTTCCGAGTACAGTAGTTGGCATATGTTATTTGCAAAAGATGCCAAACTTCTTGCATGGAGTGAACAAATCAAGGCCCGACATATACCAAAATCCATCATCTGATAGAACTCATTGAAAGAGTTTCGTATACCCTCACTCACCTGCGATGTCCACAATTACTACACTTTCCTTCCTGTCAGAACGTCCAAGAATCAAAACATTTTCTTCATCTCGATCTTGGACGGAAATTACCCTTCACGTCGGTTCCATACCGCATACTGACAGCATACGGATAGGCCCAGTCCATTTACAGTACAGGCAGTGTCAGTATCTCCAGTCCAGTTCACATGATGACAGCGTCTACTCTTATTCAGCGTACACTATCGTTAACTCGAAGGATCCAGTCCATCATGTCAAGTCAAAGGGGGAACGACATATCCATTCCATCATTACTAGCTAATAAGTACCAAGGTTGATAGAGAGAGGTATCTCTCCAGCAAACAACAAAGAAGGACCGGCAAATTGCCGAATTCCAAAGGCCAAGAACCGCGACTCCATCACACGAAAACGAGGCATATCCTTCATATTCCTTCGTCCTAGGTAACCCAATTCCATCCTGAGCCATGCGAGCTTGAGATCAGCAAAAAATGGGGAGATGCATCCAAAATGGTGGTGATTATACAAGGAAAGGAAATCCAACAACATTAATTGTCCACGCCCTGCACACTCGCAAAACGACAAACCGAAACAGAAACGATAAGAAAGCAGCGACCAATGCAACCCAAGTCCCAATGCACAACCAAAGCTCATAAGACCATTGCGCTGTCTAACGCATCTCACTGTGCTCCCCTCCCGAACCGTCCAGACTATGATGGTGATACCGGCATCGCTATGCAACAATCTCAATCTCCACATCCCATGTGGTATGCAACGAAAAACAACACTGTGACTGTATATGCCTGTGCCCCTTTGCGCGGTTCTGTGATCCGGAGCGGTGCGTCCTGAGAATTGAATAGAATACAATCCCTTGAGGATGTCGCATCAAAGTGGTCGGATTTCCTCGCAGCAGCAGCTGCTCTCTTCATGATAAGCAGCCCGAAGCTGCACGTGGTGGCAAAGACATCACGTCGCAGACGTGATATAACACCCGCCTTTAGCATGAGCACTAGGCCTCAAATTTCGAAGTCGGAGTCGACCTCTCAGAGGGTCAAGCCAGCCCGACTAAAACTGATTCCATTGTCCACCTCCTTGACCTTGATTCTGTGGACCCGGCCAGCCGGGTTGTCCATGCTGAGGATTTGGCTGCATGTACTGACCAGGCTGTCCGCCCATTCCATACATTTGTCGCTGACCCATCCCCATCGCACCATATTGTGCAGCATTCATCGCCTGCAACCCTGCTCCAGGCCCATAGAGCTGTTGGCCAGCGATGCCACCGGAACCGCCTTGATGATGCAGCATTGGCATCTGCGGTGGCTGCATTTGCTGCGGATGAGGAGATGCGCTGGGATGTTGGCCGCCAGGCATAGGCGACGGTATCTGACCTTGCGAGAGATTTGGCGAGAACTGTGGCGTACTCATGCGGTGCAGAGCAGGAGATTGGTGAGGCTGAGGCGGTGGAGCGCCCCAGCCCTGCTGCTGCTGTGCATGTTGTTGCTGTTGTTGCTGGCTCATCGCGTGCGGAGAGAAGTTGCCACCACTGAACGGTACTTGCTGCTGCTGGGGTGGAGGCTGCGAGGCGGATTGTGAGATAGACAGATTGGAAGATGACCGCTGGTATTGAGGATGAGAAGGCGTAAATTGGGAGGGGTCTCGAGGGAACGGCTGTTGGAGACTCGGTTGGCGGACTGGAGATTGGATCGGAGGTGGCTGATGAGGGTATGATGGTGGATTCATGGACGATTGCGAAGACGAAGCTTGTACAGAAGCCGTATTCGCTTGAGTGGAAGGTATATCGTTCGAGGAGAAGCGCGGAGATGAAAACTGATGGCTTGTGGTAGCAACTTCTGGTTCTGTTGGCGGAGGTGTTGACACGGGCGGTTCATGAGGCCTTCGCCAGTAGTCTTCCACCAGACTCCGACGGTAACGATTTTGTTGGTTGATGTTCTTGCTGAAATCAGCCGCATGTTGTGCTTGACTAGACAATTCTGCATCGGAACTCGAACGTGTCAGATCCTGATATGAAGGGCCGGTAATGTCGTATCTGGGTCGCGCAATGTCTTTGTATCGGGAGTCGTAGGCGGGATCGAAAGATGACAGCTGAGCCATGGTTGCAGCGATGCCAGAATGTAGCGGAGGTGGTTGTACCGCCCCATAACCAGGACCGTTGCTGTAGACGATGTCTCCATAACTGGCTGCAACGTTTGCGCGTGCGCTTAGCTGGTCTTGAGCGGCCGCCTCCCGGGCCCTAGCAGCTCCCGGTCGCTTTTCTCCAGCAGCATCTTGCTCGGTGAAACCTTGCTTGATTGCCTTGGCTTCCCAATAATCATCTCGAACTCTCCGGCCATCCTTGATAACGCGGCTACCAAATTGGCGGAACATTGATCGTGCGGTAACAACGGCTATCTGCCGCGATCGGTACGAGTATGGCAAGATTTCCTGCTGGACGAGTTCCTCCTTCTCCTTGACGCTAGCGATGATCTTGAAGAGCGATCGATTCTTGTTGAATAAGAGGTACGAATCCCGGTACTGAAGTTGTCGTGCACATTCCGTGGCTAGCATGAACAGTTTCTGGCCTCTGCCGGGGAGGGTGAACGTTCGAATTTTATATTCTCGACCACCCTGGAGATACCCAAACTGATCCACCTTTTTCTCGCCTGCTTCATCGTGTTCGCGCGGCACATATTCGTCTCCCTCTGGCTGAAGTACATCACTTGTGTGGTCGCGCACGGTTGGTAGTGCTTTGATAGTAGACTTGGGTGTCGTCCGTGGCGGTGAGGTCTGAGTTGGGGTCGCTCCTGGGCCTTGAGACGGGCCTTGACCTGATGTAAAGTCTCCTGATGTCCTCGGAGTCTTCGAGGGTCGACCACGTTTGCGCGGCGCTATGTAGACGCGTTAGAAACTGATGCTAGTGAATTCGGCGCAAGCTATGCGAGCGCGTAAACCTACCATCGTCGTCCGCCTGTGGGTATTCGCCATATTGTTCTGGCGATCTACTTCTCTTGATGCCGCGCGGGCCGGTTTCTGTGGGTGCTTGCGCTATTCCACCTGTCACACACGCGCAGTTAGCAATGCACTGCGATCGAAGCTCCGATGGGATGATGGAGAGCTGCGCTTGATGCGCAATGGGTAACCATGATAGACCAGAGGCCAACAGGCCTGTCGGTGATCAGGTTCTCGAACCAATGGAAAGATACGTACCACTAGCGTTCAAAGCTGCAGGATTAATGGTGCCTGAACCATCGCTCATGACGCCGATACCATTCAACACATTTGTAGGCTGTCGAGATGGCGGATAGATGATGGACATTTCACGTCCGGAGGGAAAGAAAAGGAATGGTGGTGGTGGTGGTCGCGGTGGTGGTGGTGGCTGCGATGCGCAGGTTTCGCATCAGCACAGCAGCACGCCTGCCAGAGAGCTGCGCAGGCAGCACAGAGCCTTGGTGACCCAAAGATTGCGAGTGGGTGCCTGCGTCTGATAAGTCCCTCGCCTTTTTTGAACAATGTGCAACGACAGGAATATTCAGGTGCAACAGCGAGTGTCGCGAAAGCGTGTAGGCGTGCAGCAATAGCGAGAAATGACGAGGGTGATGCTGGACCAGTCGCGGGCTGCGGGAGGAAGAAGATGGTGGAGGAGACGGCAAAGGGTTGCAGCAGGCTGGCAGCTCTGGGGGGAGGATTTGAGGCAAAAAATGCGCTTGTTGGACCGGACTGCTTAATGCCCGGTTCTGGTGTGTGGTTCTTGCTTGTGTGAAGGGTGCAGGGAAGGACGCGGAAGTGTGTCCAGTTGTGTGTGTGAATGTGTGAGTGAGGAGCTGGAGCTGCGGGAGATGGCGCCTTTGGGGGCTTGCAGATGCAAGTGTCAGTCAAGCTAAAAGGTCTGTTTGGCTCTTTTTCCCTCGCTCGTGTCTCGCTGGGCGTACCCTCAATAATGGGTCCGTGCTGTCTGCAGGCTGCGAAATGACGAGTGGTTTTGCCAGTTTTGCCGAGGGACGGTTTAGCTGCTGAATCGATCGATGGACAAAGATACTCTTGTCTCTGCAGGTGGCAAGATCGACTGCAGCTGATGAGGGTACGGCCGAGGATGGGTTGACGATGGACGAAGGAGCACCAGAGGGTTTCGGTGGCTGATGGCAGAGATGCTGCTAGTGCGAATCTCACAATCTGATGATGATGCTGGGATGAGGATTGATGCTGGTGATGATGATGGTGGCTCTTGTTGATGATGGATGGAGCAAATCTGATGTCTACCGCTGCGGGCAACTGTCAGTGTCCCTTCAGGCAATCGCTAGGTCAAATATTTAGTAACCTCACTTGGGTTAGGCAGCAGGACCCCAGTCTATACTCGTATTGCTTTGTACAAGGTGTTCTGTGGATCGGGATCTAAGGCAAGGTCGGGGGCGGGATTAAGGTTGAAGCCGCAACAAGATGCGCGCTCCCCAGGTTCTGGAGAGAGGCCGAAAGGACTTTGCGAGCGAGGGGCCACCGATACAAGGGATTGAGTTCTCGAGCTTGATGAAGGATTGGATGAGGAGAGCGAGCCTCGCAGGATATGTGCAGCATAAGCTGTGAGATGAGCACGGATGGGCAAGGAAAAGAGGTGCGATCGCCGCACGCGAGGGGACTGAGAGGGGAATGGAGCTTTCAAAAGTGTGGGCGGTCGAACCAAAGCCTATCGCGCCCAGCTCTTAACGGAGGACTTGTCAGTCTATCATTACTACCTTTGATCATTGCTCTCGTTTTCTTTCTGATGAGAACACATGCGAGATTTGGTTTAGAGGCGCATCGAGCTAGTTGGAGACAGAAAAAGTAAAGACTGTTGCTGCAGCTTGCAGTCAATAGGTGCAGAACAGACTCCACGGGTAGACAGGGGACCGGGGTGTCAGAGTTCATGTGCAGAACGAAAGAACCACCCGGGAGTGAACGAATGATTACTGCAATAGGTGCCTCGACCTGCCACTGCGACCTGGAAAGATAGAGAGGAGCGGGGACCCCGAGAACATACCGACCTGGGCACCTTTAAGCATCAGCATGACTCCCGGTGTACGTACAAGTACAATACAGAACACCTGGTACTTCCCTTCTGCCAACTTCTCAACACAGTAACTTAGTCAAATGCTTTTCCAGCCGAATAAAGCTGTAGTCATCATCATCTTGACTGTGTGTCTACTGATAATCGCTAAGTCCTGCCATCGATATTACCCAGCAAATCACAAACAAGAAAAGGATGGAATCAATGGACACTTTCAGGCTGCCATTGCCATGGCCCTTCCGCTCTATCCAGGTTACAGGCCTTTTTCATGACCTTTCCCCACGAGGTCATCTGCCATCTCCTCCGATACCCTGGTCCGGTGGCGGAAATGCGTCTCCATCCTCGCATTCACTTTGGTCATCGCTTCCTCATCCGGGATCCAAGCTTCATCTGTAAGAAGATGACTCCTCGGCATCCCGCCACGGTCTCACTTTTAGTAACCCGAAAGAGATGTCCTCGATGTAATATTAGCTAGTAAAAACCAGATATCCTTCATTCCAAGCGTGCCGTGTTGTATCATCAAGCAATTGGAAGCTTATCAAACTGTCAGCTGATGCCATTGGATTCAAGCACCCATGACCTTCTTGATCACCAATCAATCCACGTCGTTACATCCACATCCACACCCCCTCCCCAATACCTTACGGCTTCGTGCGCGCAAACCGAGCGATGGCTTTCCAGATCCAAGACATCATTGGTAGCCTGACAAGAGAACCTAGCTGAGCGGGCGAGCAGCGGGAGAGACACTCGTCCCGAGCTTTCTTCTTCTGCATCATGACTGGTTCCGTTCCTTGAGCAGAACTCAGGTCATTTACGTTCACGTTCATGGTTATGATCCCTCGAGCACTGGCCATGCTTGGACGCGTCGGCCAGGCGCGAACTGCAGCCTCATAGTGCTTGCTGGCTGAATGACCAAAGCCACCCTTTTCTCCACGCTTGGACGGACCCACTGAACCGTTCACAATGGATGGCGCTTATCGATCGTGGACTTTAGCCGTAAAGCCTGCCTTATAGGCAATGTCAAGGTTGCAAGAGGTGCTTCTTACTAGGAAGTAGCAAAGGTCGTGAAAGAATGCGACGCCGCATACCGCCTCCTTTCAAAGGATGCGCAATCATGATCGAGATGGCTGAAGTATGGGGAGGAAAGCGTGGAAAGCTTACCAAACGAGGCGGACAAAAAGTACATTCACAGTACTCATCCATGGTGGTCCATGCATTAGACTTTGACATTCCCAGCCTGCTAGGAATAGTAGTCAAGTGTCTTGTAATGGCCAGTCAGGATGTGGCTCGCCGTTGGGTTCGCACCATTACCACACAATGGATGAGTATCCGGTGCGTATGAGATAATGCTCCATATATCTTCGATACGTACGAGACGTATAGGCCCGAGGGTTGTGGTCATATTGAAACCAAGCCTGAACTCCGAATGCTTCGAAAGCAAGCCCTGAAGTGCAATAGGGCTTCAGTTCACTCGGAAGCCACAAAAGTTTAAGAGTCGAGAGAGGCACCGTGACTTTTCCAGCATGCAAAATCCGTGTCGCGACGGGTATCCTCGACGTCAGAAGACATACTATGTTCTTTCAAAATTCGAGCCCCCCGCTTCGGAGTCAGCGGCAAGCCTACGCGCGGCGCACATGCTAATCAGTAAGGCGTGCCTTCTTTCTGACCCAAAGCGTCCTCTTCATGAACCTTTCTGGAGACATCTTCGACGGTGAAGAGCTTCTGTGATTGGGAGGTATGCAACATCCTGTCAGAACTTCGCTTATTTTCAGTTCAAATGCATCAGAGCGTCTTTCTACGGTGGCATACCGATTTGGCCAACCGAATGCCCTAGGAGCCGCCTTTCTCTGCTGCTTGACAGCGAGGACAGGTAAGAAGCGGAGTGTCAGAACGTACTTAACGTTGTAAGTTACGTCGTTGTGGATAATTCTTGAGCAGTCAATACCGCCTCTCTCGGCGTCAAGTCATTGGAGTCTTATCATTTGTTCCGGCCCAGCCGTAAGAGCGAAGATATTCTCATGACGCCTGTCACATTGCACATTGTCTCGTGAGCACATCGTCGAGGCTGATAGGGCTTGCGTTGAGAGTGGTTGCTCTCGTAGGTTGCAACCAACTTTCGCCCCCACGAACCAGACTCTCTTTCATGGGAACTTCTCGCACAATTCTCGGGGGCCTGCATGGACAATAATGCCTGTTACGACGTGTAGAGCACGATAGTGCAAGGTTCGCTTGGCTGATTCATCAATCCTGGCTTGGGCCCGCCTAAACCATCTCTGGCATGCTAGGCCATCTCATTATGCTCGGGCACTCTTCGGCCCGCCCCAGGCTTGCCATCCATTACCCTGAGGGTGTGCTGGGAGGGTTCGACATGAGAAGCACAGTACATCCAGGAAATGGTGGTTGAGAGAGGTCGTGCTGATTGTTCCATATGATAGGCTGATAATGGAGATGAAAAATTGCTGTCGTCAAAGAAGAATGGGCGCACGTAACAAACATCCAAAATCCTTCCAATCAGTCACCAACAGCACGAAGGGCAGGAATGCTTTCAATGCTGGTCATCTGGGAGTTCATCGTCCATCCTGTCAAACCCCTCTGCGCATCAGACGACCAGGCTTTGTGGAGGTACTCGTAGGCCGAAGTATGCGCGCTGGATAGTTAAGCTGCACGGTAAGGCGACGATCATGCGCACAGACTCCTGTGGTAGGGATCCAGGGTGCAGAGCCTCCAGAATTCCAAGCTGCAACCAAGAACCCAGGCCACCTCGGCCGCCGTGGCACAGTGGGGGACCGATGCGAGCCGCTCTCGCAGCAAGTTTAATGACCCGGACGCTAATGACATGCATTGGGGTGCCAGTGTTATGCAAGATCGCCGAAGTGGTGTGCTTTCTGCTGTACACTATTTCTTGCACTCTGTGGATGTTCCCACAATACCAAATATTGGTTTCTGTGGTACTCAATCCAACCTCGCCTCTTTTTCTTGTACTTCACACCTTGTGCCAGCCGGTCCAGGTACGCTGGTAGCGGGCAAATTTGCAATCGCTTCCCCAGCCGTTAGGATCGTGACACTTGCAGAGTATCGGCCACAGAGAGATTACACGGCAGGCAGGAGACAGTGTTGTGATTTGGTATGGTCGATTCGGGTTTGTGAAGGATCAGGTGTCTCCCCAGGCTCTTTGAAGTACACAGTGGCAGTGAATAGTAATGGAAAGAGGCGGTATGTTTCATCTTGTATGAGCCGTTTCAACATTGTTTCGACATTGTTTTCTCGTCGATGGTTGGTAGATGGAGATCATCATAAGTTGTCATTGCTGAGAGGGTTATTAATCTGTGAGAAGGCGCAGCACGGCAACATAATAAGTAATCAGGTACTTTAGGTAGGTAGGTATGCAGAATGCTCTTTCTTCGCAACTTTTCAAGCTCACCGCCATGAAGTGATTTCAATGATCTGGTTGGTACCTCTCTCAAACTAGTTCAACTCTGTACATTTATTCAGCCCATTCCTGATGAACTCCTGGGGTATCTCAGCTCGTGACAAATCTGATGGCATGCACACCATCCCGTCGTGTAATCGTACATATCCTGCTGCGTTCAACAAGCACAGCAAAATCCAAGCGTTTCTTGGTAAATCAACCCACACCGCCAGTGCTCCTGATCAAACCCCTTTGGTACAAGAGCGATTTGCCGACCTATGAAAAGAAACATTCTCTTTCCGCACGTACTCCGTCTGATAACACCAAGTCGAAGAGGCTACACTTCCAGCAGAGATCGGAACAAGCTCCCGTCAAGCGATCTGTAGTCGAATTGGTTGAAAGCAGCATTCTCGTGTCTAGTAGCGAAGTCGCCTGGAATCTGAGCGGTTGCCAAAAACAGAGCAAGAGTATCATCTTCTTCGTTCTGAACAGCAAGCAGCCCCGACTCTGTATCGATGGCAAGCTTTGGATCGAGTTGTCGTAGACTCAGGGCCAGTTGAACAGCCTCCGCCAGTTTCTCGCCCTTGTCGGCATAGGCGTCAGGACTTTCATCGCAAACCCAGCGGAATGGTCGTGATTGCTCATTTTCCCAGACACGAAACTGCCACGACATCCTCTCGGCACAGTTGAGAAAGATGATGGCGGCCAGCAAGGTATCGAATCCGGGGACTTTGAGGGGATCATAGACGCGCTTGTCAAAATGGCCGACTACAGCCCGATAGAGGGCATCAGCCCGCTTTTCCAGCATGGCGCGAAATTGCAAGCTGACCATGAAGTAGGCGTAGCTGGATGAATCAGCTCCGATGACGGTTCGTTCTTCTGTGCCATCTGTGCCATCTGTGCCATCAGCGACGACAACAAAATTCTCCTTCCAGTCTGGATTCGTAAGCAGGGCAGTGACTGTCCACAGGTCGATGACATCGGGAATGGGGTTTTTGTCATCTTTTGCAGTGACGACGACTTGCGGTGGGACGTTCAGGGACACAGCATAGTTGAGACATGCTTTGATGATTGCTGACCTCTCTCGCATGATGACTGCAGGAGTGATTGCCTTTAGGTATCGTTCCACTCTCGGACCGTTGTCGTTCGGAATTCCTGCATCGATGACTACAATCCCTGCATCGCCAAATGGAAGGTTCGCGTCTTGTGCGTTTGCAGGGCTGAACAACCGAGTCTTTGGTTTCACCTCACGACATGTCAGGATGACCTTGTACTCGTCGAAATGGAAAGCCTCAATGTTGGCATCAATTTTGTCGTTAATAGTAGCGCGCTTCATCAGCTCAGTCTCCTGGAACAGGGTGGTACGGTAGGCAGAGACGCGATACAAAGGATACTTGTCCTTGACGCTACCCCGAAGACACTTCTTCCAGTACCGCGGATTTTGGACAGAAGCACACAGCTTACAAGGGTCGGGTGTATCACCGCAGGGTTTTCTCAGCATGCGGCAACGCATGCAAGCGCCTACTTTACGTGTGGCTCGTGACTGTTCTTTCTTCTCGTTGGTCATGGGCCCGCGAACCTTTGGGTCTGCGACGGCCTTCGAACGTAACATGTTTTGAGTCGCTTGTCCGTTTGGATTCATTGCAATGGGTCTGAAGCCCGGGACTGATCCAATCGTCTCAGAAGTGGTAGAAACGAGGGTTTGGGAAGTTGTGGATTCGCGTGGTACCGGTTGTGTTTCGAACAAGGCAGACAAGTGGAAGGCTTGACCTTGTGGCAGAGTATCAGACATGAGATCATCCAAAGGAGTGCCGTTCTCAATCTCCATCTCCATCATCGTGCGGTCAAACGCCTCGCCAGCAGACATAGCTGTGAGAGCCTGAGATTGAGTAGTAACAAGATTGGGACTGAGCAGTCCATCTTGGGTGACTGACACTTCATTGGGGTTGTAGGAGAAGACTTGCGAAAAGTCCGGGGGCATGGTAGTAGAGATTACTGCCGAGTGTCAGTGGGGCTTCTGAAGTAGGTTTCGACTGGGTATGGGCATACCATTGTTCTTAGCAAGCATCTCAGGCGCTGCCAAGAAGTCCTCGTCATTATCGAAATGGGCGTCGAGCTGAGGGTCGACGACATCTTGAGCTGCCACCAGAGCGGCGACATGTCCATCAGATTGTGTTGGAACAGCTTGGGTATGAGCAAAGTCCTGTCCAGTGGGATCAAAGTCATCGTGTCGAACTGTATGGAGAGCAGCAAAGTCAAAGGGTGCCTGTGCATTGTGTCCGACTTGTCGTGATGCCTCAGCCAAAACATTCAAAGCATCGAAGTCCTGTTCCTCGGTTGCAGCGGCCGGGGCACGAGCTGGAGTAGGAGCTGTACCAGCCGTCAAGTCATCAGGCTCGACATAGTTTGGGTCGATGTTGGGTCTGACGTTGGGGCGAGCGAGATCATGAAATCGGAGAAGTATCTTCACGCGCTCAAATTTGTTGAGAGCAGTACAGTGTTTGGTCAGGTGAGCTTGGAGATTTTCGATGCGGCCTTTGGGAACGTGTTCACCGCATTTTCTGCAGGTGTGATCATACCGGTTTGACGTGTCGCAGACTTTGGCACCGCGTATGTAGAATTCCGTGATGAGGGGATGGGGTTTTCTGCCCATGGTTGAGACTGTGAGGACGTCAGTACTGAGGACCCGCATATATGATGTCGCCTTGCGTGAAATCGACTCACGAGATTGGCCGTGCCGGTATCCGTGAGGGGAAGTGACCGGGGTGTGATCGGGGTCGACGGTGAGGTTGTGGAAAGCCGAATCCGGGGTAATTTAAGAAGAGAATGATGTCTAACCCAACTCCAGGGTCCGCACAAGACCTTGAAGCAGGGTATTAAGTGCTTTGAACGTATTGCAATGCTGTGTTCAGTCAATACGTCGTTGTTTACACGATTGAGTCTGCGACCCGACTTTCAAAAAATTGAACAGGCAATATCTTGATATCAAAGGCGGTGTTGAGATAAATTCGGGCGGTAAGATTTTCACATGGTTGCTTATTGGCTCGACGGGCCAGTCCGTGCCAAGGACGCACTTAGCCGCATCTGACTTCGGTTGACCGCGCCGAAATGCACAGACTCAAAGTGACGTCGTTTCGCAAGACATGGATACATGAGGAGACGACCTATCTATTATCAGGAACACCTTCATATTGTTATCCTCTTCCTTCCTTCACATATGAAAACATTTTAAGAAAGCCTTCCAACTTGTGAACAGCGTACAAAGGAGTAGATGAGCTAAAGCGCTTCAAACTGAACCATGCGCAATGCTACTAAACAAACTCATGAGTGGGCCCCAATCGTGGTGGCATTTGCAAATCCAATGCTCATAAAGATGGCCCGTTGTATACAACTCAGGCCTCCGTCCCAACCACACTTGGTCATGCCATGTCCTGATCAGCCACCAATTTGTCGGTCCCCTGGTGGACGATAGGGAACTCCAAGTATCTCAAAAATGCGTCTCTCATCATGACCCTCTAACAAGGTCCCATCAGTGATCCGCTCCCTACCACGCCCTCGCATCACGTCTTTGTACAGTCCATGCTGGTTCAAACGCATTCGTTTTCGGCTGGCCAAGAGTCGAAGACTTCGATTGAAGAGATCATTTCCAGTGAAGTAGATCAGAGCTGCCCCGAGTTCCGCCCAGGGGACGAAAAGGAAGTCTATGCGGCGCCACGCTTTCGAGCCCGGCACCACTGATGCTCCGTGCCACTTTGAACAAGGCTCTCCGAAACGTCCTGCGGCTAACGCAGCTTTCAGGAAGCCTTGGTCCGTCAAGTTGGGAATAACAGTGTCCATCATCAGGGTTCGGATATGACCAATATCGGCGTTCTCCTTGGTGATGATGCAGTCAATATCACCACAATCCTTCTTTCCTCGTCGATAAGAACCACCAACCGTCAGCTGAAAGCCTCTGTCAACTGCTTTTAGTGCTCTTCGAACAACCTCTGCATGCTGGGTTACCTCGTCACGGGGAATTCGTTGTTGGAAGTCATCATAGTGCTCAAGGCCGACACGCTGGCTGGGGTTCAGCTGTGCCTTTTGACGGATATCCTCTAATGTGCGGAACCCCTGAGCAAGCCACGTCATCGCTGTCTGGTAGCCCGCACCATATATGCCCGTGAAAAGCTCAAGTGTCTGGTCGTGTGTGTCTTTCTCCGCAGCATCAAGGCGCTGAACACGGTTTTTGGCGACGTATTCTTCAATGATGGCCGCTATGCTCTCTCCGATCTGAGGTATCTCGAGTGCTTGTTGCTTGGTTCGAATCAATCCCGTCTGTTTTCGAAGTGCTGCGATGGCCTTGCGGAATGCCGTTGTTCGGAAATGGTCGCCCTTGCTATCATATTTGCTGGCTAGCTTCTGCAGCATCTCTATGGTTGCTTCATTCGGGTTGCTCTTGTCAGTGCTGCCGTCGTTTTTCTCCATACACTGAAAGCCAGCGTTCTCCTTGCGGATATTGTCATTGGCCATAAGCATGTCCAGAGCTGGGTCCGACTCATCTTTGTCGGTGGAGGGCGCTGCGTTGTCATCGAAGCTCGGCTCATCTGGCAGGTTGCCAAGTTCACACACATCTTTCAGCGCAGAGTCGAGTTCATCTTCTGACTCTGTGTCTTCGTCTTGGAAGCGTGACTTGGCGTTAGGGTCGGGACGCGAAGGTGTTGTATCCCCTCGTTTTGTTTGGGGCGCTGGACGCAAACTCTCACTGTCCTCACAGCTGATCGACCTGCTCAAACTGGGCACCGTGCCTGGGTGCTGATCGAGATGTTCAAATCCTGGTACCAGAAAGCGCTGTCGAGCAGGATCTTTGAGTTCCTTGGCCGAAGTACAATCGGTAACCCAATTCTCGCGCACCAGCGCCGGTCCATGCTACGAACACAGTCAGCATGAGTATTCACAGTAAGCATACTGCACTTACCGGAAGTTTTCCTGCTGTAAAGATTTTGGATGCTTGACTGACATCGAGGTCACCACAAACAATGATGTGTGTCACATCATCGTACCACTCATTTGCCCACGTAGCACCGTACTCGACAGCTCGGTGGATTTGAAGTCGCCGAATGCTATCTTCGTCGTTGTTAGGTACGAAAACTATCAGATTGGTCAGCATAGTTGGACGTATAAAATCAGCACCAGCACATACAGAAGAGAAGACCTGTGAAGATCTGTTGTTCGAGCGGTACTGATTGTGTTCTTCTCAGGCGTGGTGGAAGTTGCAGCTTGCGTTGCTTGATGTTTGACAGGTCCGTCACATTTCGTCGCAGCTCGACCTTCTTCTTCTTTGTGGCTCCTCTTCTTGGAGAAGGAGGGCCTTTAACTTCAGGCTTTCTCTTAGAAGCAGCCCGGGTTGGCTTTGGAGGACTTATGGAAGTGGTCTGGCTCTTTGTGAAGGCTCGATCCGTGGACGGAGGCTGTCGAACCTCCTCATCGTCCGACAGGATTACAGGTGCTGCCTGTGAACCTTGGTTGAAAGGCTTCTCATGCGCGCGATGTTGATTTGGCTTGACTTTACCAATCTGGAATGCTTTACCAGATTTGTGATCGACTGCTCTCTTGGTCGTGTGTCCGGACACTTTCACGGAAGACTCAACCTCCGTTTCCTCATCGTCATCGAAGTCATCCAGCCCATACAAGGATTCAAAGAAGTGATCCTTTTCCGTCTTTTCTTCCGTTGGCAACATCGTAATGTATGGCAGATGTTGGTGGTGGTAGAGAGTAAACGGTCGCGTAGAGTTGTCATGATCGATTTACGCGCAGGCAACAACTCCAGTATCACTCGGAAAAAAACAATTGTCGTACATTCACTCAAAAGATGAAATATGTGAAGCGGGAGTGAGCGGGGTGGTGGGACAAGCCGTGTTTTTGAGTGACACGATTTCTTTCTTTATCGATTGACGATCCGACACGACTCCATCGCGCTCTCATGTGACCAGGGCGCCAAGGCAAATCTGAATAGTACCAGTACCCATACAAACTACCTGATGTCCTAGAGCTTGCAGTCGCAGTTGCTTGCCGTGAGCGACAGACAACTTCGGCACTTATACACGGCCCTCAGGATGGGTCGAGAAGATATATTCAGTCTTTTCGTCTCCCTTGCATTGCGCCCTCACAGTCGCTGCCTGTACCGGACCCAGAAACTGTCTCAACCACGCATTCGGTATGCTTCCACCTCCAACATTCCACCTCCTGCTGCGCCGAAATCGAACATCCCTTTACACGTCGGCCTCGATCGAAACCCCGACTCTGTCTCGGCAATTTCAAGGATCCCCATTCCAAAGGGCGAAAGAGGCGAGAAATTCACACCCTCTGTTCTCTCCCGACCACTAGGGCTGCAAAATCGTCCTCTTCCTGGTCAGAACAGTCCCCTCGACCGGCGTACACTGCGAGAGAGGACGCAAGAATTCAGAAGTTACGAAAAGGCTCTGGAGCGACGGCGTGTATACCTACGGTCCTTCTTCCGCCCTTACTTCCAAGAATGGCGGCGAGTAGACCACTGGAAAGGCAAGAGCTTCGTCTCCAACGAAAGGCTCTTCAAGCGCGAAAAAGCACTATATTTCCCCAACATCTGGGGCCAGACACTCGCAAAGGAAGGCGACGGTCCGGACGGTGGACGGGACCTTGCGCCCGTCATCGCCGGCAAGATTTCAATCATCGGGATGCAATCTGGGCAATGGGCAGAGGAGCAGGTCGACACGTTCCTCGGTCCGTCGCACAACCCTAACCTGCCCAAGATCGTCGAAGACAGCAACGGCCTCGTTCAGCGAATTGACGTCAACATCCAAGGAGACATTGTCCGCGCCTGGCTCGTCAAGATGTTCAGCGGGAGATTAAGGAAAATGATCCCGGAGGATCGCTGGGACAAGTACTTCATGATCAAGCTTCCTCGGGATATCCGACGTGGTTTGACAGACGACGTGCGCGATGCTATGGGTTTCCTCAATTCTCAAGTCGGATATGTCTACCTTGTCGACTCAAGCTGCAAGATCAGATGGGCCGGAAGCGGCCACGCCTGGGAAGGGGAAGTCGAAGGTCTCAATGCAGCAGTGCAGAGACTCATACAAGAAGAACAGAAATCGCAATCGCCATCCGTATCAGCCACCAGCGCCTTAACGTCCAAATCGCTATCAATCCCAAAACCACGATCAAAGGCTCAAAAGCTGTCCAGTCCAGACTCCAACGCGATTCCAGCTGCCGCTGCCGCTTGATTCAAGACAAAAGGTTTGTGGCCACATCACGATTCTACTGAATCGCAGTTTTCCGGCTTGGTCCTGTTTAACAAGTTAGAGACGACACGCTCTTCAGAGGGAAGATGTTCACATACCCGCACTTAGGACACGGCTCGTCGGCCTCCGCTCCGTCAAGGATATCGTGCGTTATAGTGCATCGTTTCGATGGCACCTTTTTCGTCGCCTTGGGTCTGGATTCTGATGAACTTGCTGCTGTGTCACACATCGAGTGGACATAATATGGCGCCGGCCGTGCTGTGCCGGGGCAGCAGCTCCAGTGGTATGTGTAGTATATGCACATGGAGTTGGATGTGGTCTGAAGTCGGAGAGACTCTTGGATTGTTGTTTGCGACCCACGGATTCGGGTATTGTGAGGCGGCACCAGTTGAGCCTGATAGTCTCCGAGGTTTGCAGTCTCTGGTTATCGGCTTGCCGATGAAAAGTCTCTGATGATTCTGATATTGGTACTGCTGGAATGCTGAAAAATGATACAGGCCATTCCTCAACCTGCGTTGCCCACAGAGCCCAGGTTGCTTTTATTCCCAATCCAATCCCGCTACCACGCCGCTTGGCAAACTAGAAACTTTTGTTTGCCGATGAAGCAAGTAAAACTTCCTTCCTTTGTTCTGTAAAACTTGTCGTATGTTTGCGGCGGACCAGCGCCGACAGTCCTTCAACCCCAAAGTAATGTATGGCAAAGACAAAGAGGGAATATTATCGCAAGATTAGTAGCCGCAATAGTTGGATACGCGGACGAGGAGAACAAAGCATATGGATTACTCGAGGCTTCAGATGATCGACGAGGTAACGAGGGAAATGGATGTAACAACAAAGAGCGTCAGTTTTGCTTCACGCCCAGCTTTGGGTTGGCTTGTCAAAGAGTCTTTTTGTCTCCACGAATTGAGAAAAAATTGAGAGAAATCTCTCGGCATTTCGCATTGGCATTGGCACTCAAAGGCCCAAGCATAGGATTTGCAAAAAGATACCAGGGAGTGTTTGGCTCGGCAGTGGCCATTCCAGATTGTAGTAAGGTTTTCCAAAGTCGGTCCTATACTGTTACGTTGCACAGAAAAAGGAATACGAGGGTTGATTCGAGTCGTGAGATCATTTCCATTTTAGCCCCAACCTTTAGCCTCCGCACAGGATTTGTACTGACGATTGCCACAATCGTACAACCAGGTGTATATGCTACAAGGCTTCTATCTATTGATCATGCTTTACTCGCAGCGTATAAAAGCACGAAATGATCCTGCTGGCAAACCAAGTGTGAAGTTCGTGGTCCGTCGAGTATGCGCGGAGATGCGATCCGTGCTCATGTCGCTGGTACGAAATAGATCCGCAATACCCGCCAGCTGGGTCCGGCATTTGGCCGGTACGTGAGAAGTTGCAATTCCTTCCCCATCATTGGTGCCCAGGGGTGGGGACTGCTGAACCGCGCACTTGACTGTTCCAGGAATGCCTCCTGGCAAAAGCCGTGACTTACGACGCCCGTAACCACCGGGACGGTGCATTTGGTCATATTTCGCGCAGCGCGCAGCGTTAGACAGCCTTGATCATTATGACTGACCCGAGGTCCGGGAGCAAACTGAAAATCCTATTAAGCGATTGCGTGGCCTCCGGTCTGGCAACCTCAATGCAATGAGACCCATGGATGATTGGAGCCTGCGAAGCACACAACTGGGCATAGCCGAACCCCATACTCCATGCCGCCCAAATGGTGGATATACATTCAGACAATGATTCTGATTCACCTGCGTGAATCGATGTTGACCAATTCCTACTCATGCAAGGCTTCTCCAATTGGGCGCATATGCTGGCGTGCCACTGACGCCGATCGAATCTAGACCACGAATGCGTCGAACTGATGCCGATAGGTCCGTGCTCTGCAGTCAGCCGCGTGGTCCCTCGTTGTTGGTGTCGGGCTTGAAAAGCGGAGTGTGGTTTGTAGGGGCGAATCTTCGAGACAACTTGGGGTTGACCCAATCCTCGTCTGCCAGTATGAGGTTGCTGGCGGTGGTCGTGCGTGCGTTCTCGTAGAACAGCTCGATGAAGTTACTGCCGACCGCTGACGCTGCGCGGCCTTGAAAATCGTTCCCCATCAAGGCAGCTTCGTCAGTCGCATAATCTTATGACATGACTGTTTTCCAGGTATCATCGAAGGGAAAGAGCCTGAGCCTCGCCCGAGAAACGTGCTGTGGTAGCGGCATCTGCGGCAGTACCCGTCCGTATCCAGTCGTGCCCTCGTCACCAGTGGCATCTGCCGGCCTGATTCTCCATGTGGCACCATGCTGCTGAGTGACCTGTCACAACGACAGAGAGAGGTGTGGCCAATATCAAACGTCTCACCTCACCGCTGCCGCCGTGTATGTCTCCTCAGCTAAAGTAAAGCAGCACAAGGAAGCAAAATGCGATGAAACTGCCCAGAATGATTCCATCCCTCCGTCTCTTAGTTCCTATTCTCGATATCAGTCCATTGACGCCCGGAATCTGTGCTGCTGCCGACGTGATTCGTCGGTTGACACTGGCCAATGTCTCTCTCTGAATGCCAAAGTTCTCGTTGATAGCGTATGCCTGGGCCAACACGCCGTCGATCACGCTATGACTTTGATCCAGGCGGCCTCGTTCCTGGAGCATGTATTCTGCTTCCGCTTCAGCGGGGTTGGAGCTTCGAAAAGCGTCAATGTCAGAGCGGACATTGGCGAGAAGGTGCTGCCGATCGCGTGCTTCGGATATAGAGGATTTCAGACGACGAAGTTCCTGTCGATGTTCGCTGAGGACTTCGCGGTGACGAGAGAGGTTGTTCTGTTTCAGTGTAGATGTGCTCAAGGCACTTTCTGAGTCGAGCAGTCGGGAGAGTTGTGCCACGAGGCTTTCACGCTGCATGCCTACATGAGTCTGGTGTCTGCCTAGCCAAAAGTGTTGTCTCCTACCTTTTCCAATAACTCCTCGATCTCAGACTCGTTCCGTTCTTCTTCTTCTGACGGCTCGGGAGGGAGGTTGGCCGTGGCTGCATATTGGGAATACGTGTGGAATAAGGCTTCAGTCTGCGCACGTAGTCAGTACACAGAGACTGGTCGGATCGCTCCCGGTTGCGCCTACCTGGCTTTCGAGTGTCCTGATTTGTTGGCGCAATTGCGCCCATCCACCTCCAGAAGCCATGGCGTATTCGAACTCAGAGCAAGAGGTGGAAGGATCGAATTGTGAGTTATGATGTTAGATCAAAGTAGTCGGACGTTGCAATTCATCACATATACTTGCAATGAAGCAACCTGTTGTTGACGAACAAAACGTAAGGCTTCCCCTGCATGCAGACTTGTACTCCACACGCAGCCTACCCGATGAACAAGGCTCAAACTCAACTTAGACCGTCCGCAAAACCGCCAAGGGATGAATCTCCACTTCACTGATCACGTGTAAAATATCAATCTTGGCATGGCGCTTGCCCACAGAACTTCAAAATTTCCGGCGTTGTTAACGACAGCGAAGTGAACTGCGTCTCTTACACCCACCACATCCCAAGTCGACACCCTCCCGCAATCAAGATGGTACACCTCCCAACGCTTCAAGGTCAATTGCGCACAAATTACTAACAACCCTCATAGTCGACCAGCGCCAGAATCAAGCCCGGCCAACTATGGGGCAAGAACAAGGATGACTTGAAGAAGCAACTCGACGAGCTCAAGTCTGAGCTGGGCCAACTGCGCGTGCAGAAGATCGCCGGCGGTGCCTCCTCAAAGTTGAACAGAATGTACGTCTTCACGAGACCCAGACTCAGACCCAATTGGAGACACGCAACGAGATGAGAAAGAGAAAGAAAACTGACAAGCCCTCGAATATAGACACGACCTCCGCAAGTCGATCGCCCGAGTCCTTACCGTCATCAACGCCAACCAGCGACACCAGCTCCGCATCTTCTACGCAAAGAAGAAGTACCTCCCTCTCGATCTCCGACCAAAACAGACCCGTGCCATCCGACGACAACTGAGCAAGAAGGACGCCAGCAGAGTGACCGAGAAGCAGAAGAAGAAGTCGACGCACTTCCCCCTACGAAAATTCGCTGTCAAGGCTGAGGCGTAAATGAGTTGAGGATGTTCAGTGTGGTCAATTGATTAGCTTTTTTCGGCAGAGGTGGGCTCTCATCATCGGACATGTCGCGAATGAATGGATGCCAAAGGTGTTTTCTGAAACTCGTCGTCTGCAGAATGAGCAGCGAGTTCAGCGGCATAGGTACGGAGATGGTATCGGAGGATCCAAGTTGAAGGTCTTATCCCGTCCACAGTACATGGTGCAAAAATGAAAATCAAAGAATTCACGAGACACTCGCGAATTACTGGATTCTTGCGTTACAATGCGGTTGGCAATGTCGAAATACGCACATACTCCGTCATGCGACGTGCGTTACACTTGATCCGATTGCCTGGCTTCTTCCATCTCCATCTCATTGCTACTGACCCGAACTGGCGTGTCGACTTTCTGCCCAACCTCTACTCTGCATCCGCATACTTCTTCCAAGGCTCGATCACCCACTGCCCATCACAGATACACTTTGAAAGAAGCTGGGAAACCGTCTTTGACCAATCTGGCGGTGGCACAACAATGTCCGCACTGAAACTGCCGCACCGGATACACCTCCTAATGACAGGCTCGGCAGTGCCACCAGGCTCCAAAACACCTTTCAGTATTGGCTTCTTCCTGTGAACATCGTAGATGGGTGGTGCTTGTTTCTTGTCATCAGCATGTTTTCCAAGCACATCATGGTTCAAAAAGACGTATTCCACGTCAACCTGATCGGTGAAGAGCTTGAGTCGATCGACCAACATCTTCGCCCTCAAACCAGCAGGGCTGTTGAATAGCTTGGTCAACAGGATCTTGATTGTAGATTGATATGATTCGGAGACCACGCCTGTGGCCATCATCTCGAGCTGCCGTGAAGTAGTGGCAGCGACGTCGCCCTCAACGTCGCCCTGTGCAGCCCAGCGATACTCGAACATTGCCTCGATCGCCTGAAAAGTGATGCCTTTACCGGTAGTCTGCTGTTGAATACACTGCAGCATTTGCATTTGGTGTCTCGTTCTCGGTTCCGTGTTCTTAGCATATGCCCTTACAGCTCTAATAAAGGCAACCAAGAATATGCGGGAGCAGTGGATATTCAGGAGGAGTGCGATAAGGCCTTGAGTGCCATCTCCTGCGGTGTCTCCGAGCCGCCCATGGCCTTTGTCACCAAACATTTCCGGATTCGTTTCACGGTCACCGACTTCCAGGATCACACTGATCATGAACCTTATTACGCCCAATCCCCATCGGATATTTGAGCATAGCATGTCTGAAAAGTCCTGGCTGACTTGGACGTTCGCGTTCTGAAGATCTCTTAGGTTCATAAACAACAGGGTGGCAGTATAGCGTATGTTGTTGGCCACCCAAGCCCATTGGGCACTCAGAGACCACCCTGTCCTCCCATCTGTAGATGATATTGAAGGAAGCTGTGGACAGTAAGCTGTAAGCGAAGCGTGGTAAGCCATTACTCTTCCCATCACCTGCTTATGGAAGATGCGCTCGAGCTCTGAACCTTGCGTCTTCTCATTAATGAACTCGGTATCCCTAAACAGAGTCCGATACATGCTTGAAACGACCATTGGTGCCAATTCGGGCGGAATCGTTTGGAGCGCACACATTAGCACATCGTCAATGGTGGCGTTTGACCAACATGCTCGAGCAAAAGCAAGATTCAGAGATGCGATTGCCGCGTCAACAGTTGGATCCAATGGCTGGTCGGGCTGTATCTGGCCCAGCTGGTTTTCCATCGCAATTATTTGAGTTTTGTCGTCCTGACCAATATCAGCCCTGACGCACGCGTTCGGGGAGAATCCGGGACACATCAAATCAGGAGTGAATGGGAATGTAAAACCCGACTGAGCCATTGATGATGTTTCCATCGTCGAAGCTGCATATGAAATCGACGAAAGGTCTTCTGAGCTCAAGTAATCTGTGCGATTCTCTTGGGTTGTAACAATCAGCGCTTGCTGACCATCAACCTGATGAAGGGTTGTGATGAACTGCTCGTTCTTTTCGAGTCTGCTCTGAAGAGTAATGATAGACCTAGACCCTGTATTACTGGACCCTTTGGAAGGTAGATCCGCGAACAAGGGGTGTAATTGTTGTTCGACTGTGGCGACTGTCCATTTCTGAATCATACTGCTAACGAGATAGCCTGGATCAGTTATGTTGATTGATCTGTTGATGCCTGATGATACAGCAAGAATGGCTGGTGGTGCCTGAGGCATTTTCTCGACTTCGGGAGAGTGGAGCACTTCCAGGTGACTGAGATTCCAGCCGTCTGGGTCGTAGAGGTCAGAGGTCGTTGGTGAGCCTGAGGGCCGAGAGGACACTTTGCCGGGGACATGCTGCACGGAGAAAACAGGAAACCCTTCATATTCCCCAACGCCAGACCAGTCTATTGACAGGAAAGAGACCGAGATCTGGCCCTTGAGTGAGTGGAGAGCAACCAACATCCTTCCTTCCACGGTCGGAGCAAAGCTGGCATGACTGTACAGCGTATCGTCTGATGTTGACACGCATTGGGTGATTATTGCGTACGGGCTCCTTGTCCTTTGGAAGCACAAGGTCAATGCGCCGTTCCGATGAGCGAGTAGTAGGGCCCTGGCCCAGTAGGGAGCCAGAGGTTTTGCTCTTGCGTTGTTATGCATCCACCTAGTATCATTCTTAGTTGCGTGGAGGACGACGTTTTTAGGTCGGTCCTGGCGATCTTGATTCAACCATGCCACGCCGATAGGTTGAGAAGTGTCGCTGACCTGGTCGAGGCTTCCAGATCTTGCTGATACCAGGGAATTAATGGCGACTAGAGAGCTGTGATAGATGAATATTCTTCCCTTGCCGTCGATAATGGCCAACTCGCCTCCATGTGCACTCCAGGCAAGGCTGATGGCATCCTCAAATAAGGTGGGCAAGGTCAGCCTCTCATGGAGTTTGTAAGATTGGGAGGTTCCATCGTAAAGGATGCATTCGATGTGTACATTTGAGCCGTCATTGGATATAGTGGCAATATGGCCATGCCTTGACCATGCGACACGTTCGAGACATCCACAATACCATCGATGTTGCAATTGTTCAATAAGGGCCGGGTTTGTGGCAGGAGTGACATTCGTACCAGCGCCTAGATTGTTGGTAGGATCGAGTTGTTGGATCTGTTGCTGCAAGGAATTTTGATTGAAGAATGCTTCGGAAGCGAACTGGTCGTTCTGATCAAGATCGTCTAGTCCCTCATCCATTTTGGCCGAGAACTCATTCCATGAGCTTTCGAGAAAGGCTAGTGGAGCCCCATACTACGGGGAGTCCCTTTGGTTGACCATCTGCGTTTGTGTACTATCCATTATGGTCGCTGTCGCTCGAGACAAGAGTATGTGTAAGATATCCAAATTTGCTAAGTAAGCGGGGTCCAAGCTGGCCTGCTGGCGATTGAAGCAAAGTGGGTAGCAGTATGTAAGCCACGGGGTTCTCCTTTCTGGGCGGTAGCCGGGGTAACAATCGCAAAACTTGACAGTACAAAGAATTCGAGAGTACAGTACCTTACTGGTGGTTATCTTGCTGATACTCTCTATTGCTGTCGTTTAAGTCCAAACTCGGTGATGTTGTTTACTGTGATAATTACGAAGAAGCCATCGATCGAGGTTACATGATTATGGAAGATAGAGAAATTGCGACCCAGGGTATTGTGCAAACACTGTTTATTGAGTATCTGTGGTAGTAGCAAGTCTCCTCTGGCTGTGGTAGATTTTCGGTAGGCGGCAGACGGCACCTCGCTGGGGCCTCCAGGCACACACACTTCCTCGTGCTTTAGCCTTTTCTTCCGCAAACAGGGCCTAAGCGTAAGCGAAACCGTGATGCCTTCCTTGCCTTACCGCCCGTTCCAAGGGGCTTACTAGGCTCCGGCTAGGTGGGCTTCCCCTTTCTATTGGGCACCTCTCGTTGTTTTTGGCATAATGAATGGCCCCGTCTAAGCTTTTTATTGTGTTCGGGCATCTGCATTGTTGTTCTGCGTTCCCGCTCATGCAGCCGCTGACGCTTCCTCCACTCATCATCACTCCTCCTCTTCTTTCCGTCTCTTCTCAGTCCAGTTCCAGGTCCTCCCCCAGGTCTAGTCCAGCCTCATCGCAATACTGCGCCTTCTCTTGCCATCCTCACCTCATCCTCCCGTCACCGATCTTGCGACCACCTCGGATACTTACAACAAAGACTCCGGCGAGATCTTTACTTTCATTTTCTCGAGTCGCAATTTTCGACATCGCTCTCGCCTCTAGAAATTCGAACGACGGTCGCTCCTGCCTTTCCTAAACAAAATGCAAATTATGCGATAAATAACTCGATCCGGAAACCACACTCACTTCAGCAACCATGAACGCCGACGACATTTCAGACCTTTCCTCTCCTTTAAGCTCGATACCGAGTTCACCCCTCAGTTCTCCTCCTAGTTCACCGATCATCCCGCCTGGCTTTCAGATTATCACTCCTCCACCTTCGCAAAATGCTGGCGACGATATGCCCCCGGCACGCAAACGTCGGAAGATCGAACCACGGAGTCGAACAACGCAACACCTGGACCTTACCTCAGACACTGCGCAATCAGAATATGACCGAACAGAAGCTCTAGATACCCTGCTCAAGGCTCTGCGAAACAGGCGGAAGATTGTTGTTATTGCTGGGGCTGGCATTTCTGTTTCAGCTGGGATCCCCGATTTCAGATCGTCTCATGGATTGTTCCGAAGTCTCAGAGGTGAACACAAACTGAAGAGCTCGGGGAAAATGCTTTTCGATGCATCGGTGTACAAAGATGACCATTCCACATCCAGTTTTCACGACATGGTACGCAAGCTCTCCAAGATGTCCGAAAGTGCCAAGCCGACCGCCTTTCACCGTTTCCTCGCCAGACTCTCGGCCGAGGGCCGGTTACTGCGACTTTATACGCAAAACGTCGATGGGCTAGAGAGCACCCTTCCGCCGTTGGCAACTCAAGTACCGTTGAACCACAAAGCGCCATGGCCCCAGACCATTCAGCTACATGGTGGTCTCGAGAAAATGATGTGTCAGAAATGTAGACACATTTCCGATTTCGAGGCTCATCTTTTCGACGGACCAAATCCTCCTCTATGTCCTCAGTGCGTCGCGGCGGATGCGCTACGGACGAAGCACGCTGGAAAGCGCAGTCATGGGGTCGGTAGACTAAGGCCAAGAATCGTCCTCTACAACGAACACAACCCAGATGACGAAGCAATCGGTGCAGTGACCACAGCGGATTTTCGAACGCGTCCCGATGCTGTTATCGTGGTAGGCACAAGCATGAAAATCCCTGCCGTGCGAAGGATCGTGCATGAAATGTGCCAAATCGTTCGAGACCGACGAGAGGGTACAACGGTTTGGATCAATCGAGATCCGGCGCCTCCTGGCAAGGATCTCGAAAACCTGTGGGATCTTGTCGTGAAGGGTGACAGCGACGAGGTCGCACGGATGGCTGGTCTGCGAGAGTGGGACGACCCTAACGTCGAGCTCGTAGAGAATCACACGACCGCCGACCTGGAAAGAGTCAAATCGAGCCAAGGACGAATAGAGGTTGTCATACCGGCTAGCCCCAAAAAGACCGAAAAGCAGGACGGCGTGGAAGTCAGGATCGAGAAGCCTGTGCAGAAACTACTTGTCTCTCCAGCGTTACAGGCTGCAACTCCACCACGCAGTCAAAACGGCAACACGCCGACAAAATCATCGAAACTACATCAATCAATTACTACCTCTCCCGTACGAATCAAGCTCAATGTTACGGCACGAAGCAAAGAATCGACGCAGACGAAAAATCCGGCGAGCACCGGCAGGACTATTGCAGATGTGCTTGGTGGGAAGGAAAACCGAGGTAACGCCAACAATAAACCGAAGAATACACTCAACAAACGGCCGAAAGTCACAAAGATTAGAGCTTCGACCAAACCTCGCATACAGCAAGTCATTTCCGGCAAGATCACGAAACCAACAGTATCAGTTAACATCCCGCAACCATACAGGAAACCCGCCCCGGAGCCGCTATCACCCCGAAGAGACTCAAACGAGACTTTGATTCCTGTGCAGAAATCGGAGTATTCCAGTGTCGAGGCCAGTCCTGCGCCGGAAACACCACCTTCGACCAGCGCAGACTGGCAGAATCCCATCACCGTATCTCCTACGGGTCGAATACCTTCTGATATGGTCAGGTTACTGAACTAGAGCTGCCAGGAATGAGTTCTTGTGCTGCGGTGCTTGGGCATGCTTCTTGTTGTTGTAGAGGAGAAGAAGGGCATGCGCGCCCAGGGCTGCATGAGGCTGCAGGACAGCTTGACCATCATTCTACCTATGCACGATTGGAGCATAGTAAGCATCTTATCATATTTGTACGATACCCAAATTATGCAGAGGCAGAAGATATGATGGTATTCGAGAGAGTATCAGTCGTTCCCGAATAGGATTCATTCGGTGATCTAGTACCAGATATCAAAGATTAAATTCGTTGACAGCGGGGCTATATATATATATATTACAGTACTCGTCGAGTCGCAGCCTTGCATTCTCTTCAATGACTTTTCAACGTTAAGATCGATAGACTGCACGTATAGCAAGTACGTCGATGGTTAAGATGGACATGGGAATTTATTCCAACCTTTTGAATCGATTCATGACAATAAATATACACAGTTCGGTAGCTGTGGCTGCCTTGGCACAAACCCGAACACTGCCTGCCTCAGTTTCCCAATGACTCTTGAGGTCCCATTCGCACTAAGTTAACTCCCATACATACATGAAATCAAGGACTGTTGGGGGTATAAAATGCGCGCTGGAAAAATGCCAACAAAAGAAATGGACAGCTCGCTCCGACGTCAAAAAACTCATCGTCTCACCATTACCGTGCCTCCCTTGACAATTACAACGCCTGTCCAAGTCCTGCCCTAGCATACGGAGAATCTTCGCGACCTGGCAGGTCACTAGCACGCAACCTCTTGCCTCCGGGTGCGCCTTGCATGTGGCTGCCACTATTTCGTGGACTTTGACGCTGCCATCCGCTCGGCATGCCCGAGCTCATGCGCCAGCTGGACTCGTCTCCAGCTGTAGGCATCCACATCTCGACTTTGCTGTCCCGGGGCAGGGGAGGCGGGGTGCTAGACTGCGCTTGAGATGGGACATTGTGGAACTCTCCACCGCTCTGGCGCCGCGGGACACCCATGTGCGGGTACCGGTCGTCGCCGACAAGACCGCCAGTTGCGCTTACAAGCGTAGAGTCGTCAGGGAAATACTCCCCTCGACCGCCTGGGTAGGAGTCGTAAGGAGTGTGGTCGAAGCTGTAGCGGCTGGCGCTATTGTCACGAGGCCTTCGGCTCGGAAGGGCCATCACACCAGCAGATTGGAGGGGCTGCTTTGATGGCTCACGTCGGATTTCGTTGCCCAAGGGACTAGGATTGGCGGGACGGTTTGGGTAAGTGTACGCTGCGGAAGTACCTACGGGGCTGTTTCTTCTGCTGTGTTTTGGCGGGATGGCGGGCGCGCTATATGGGTTGAATTGTGGGTTAGAGGTGTATGGTGCAGGAGCTACTGAGGATTCGGGTTGAAGTTGAGTCGCAGGCTTCGGAAGCGCTGCGCTGTAGCCATGGCTGTAGTTCGAGGAACTCGAAGAGGTTGACAGATCGGAACTATTTCGATGCATCACAGCTGGTCGACGGGGACTCTGGCTGTGAGCCCCACGTTCGCTGCTTCTGCTCTTCTCTCTCCGGTGTTCGTCGTGGTGAGTGAGCGCTGCACCGCCAATGGCACCAGCTGCGGCAGCTGAGAGCTCCGCTGCCACCCCCATGTGTCCGTGGGCTCTCTCCGCTCCGCTGGGTGCATATATCTGGTTGAAGCTTGCGTTGGCTCTCGCTGCGTCCCGACTCGGTCTTCGACCGCTATCGTCACTGTCTCGCGGAGTGGACTTAGCTAGGTTGGCCGCTTTCGTGGCTGGATCAACAGGAGAGACGGGAGAATATGGCCACGGCTCCCTGCCGTTTGTTTGGTTGACTGGGATTGGTTTCCGGTGGATTTGGCGAGGAGCCTGAGGCTCGATGGCCTTCTCGTTTAGTTCATCGTCCTTCTGCATGTGGCTGTTATTGTGGTGATTTAGACCAGCCGCCGCAGCGCCACCAGCAAGGCCGGCCGCAATGAGATCCTTCTCGTTTGATCTGTTGTTAGACGCATAGCTTCTCCAGCTTGTTGGTCTTCCCACTGCTACTTCCTTCTCGTTCAGGAAAGGATCCTCCCCGGGAAACGTGCCGTCAGTGAGGCCAGCGCGAGAGTTGGGCGCGGTCCTCCTGGGTGGCGGTGGGACGGGAATGAAGGGATTCTCGTTTTCTCCATCGTAATTGCGGAATGCTGGATGCTCGGACATAAGAGGTGCAGCTCCTGCAGCGCTGAGGCGTTGATGGGAAGCAGTCATACTGCTATTGCCTATTGGGTCCGACTGGCGGTTCAGTCTCCAGCTCTCCACCTCGTCGTCATCAGGGAACAAGCCTCGATGCCGTGGTGAACTGGCCCGGCGTCGTTTCCAACATAATAATAATGCGAGGATAAGCAGTCCTAGCGCCAGGGCGCCGAGAACGGTACCCAATATGATCGCCAAGTTGTGGTCATGGCTGGATTTTGACGAGGATACACTCGGTGTACTGGTCTCTGCCGTTGATCCCAGCACTGAAGAGGTCGCTAATGTGGAGGGGATAGATTTCGTAGTGGCCGCAGTTATTGTCGAAGATGTCTGTGAGAGCCTCGAGCTCGATGTTGACGAGAGTGTGGAGGATGCTGTTGGAGACGATGATGTTGAGCTTGAGTATTCTGAGGAGCTCGAAGATGCGGAGTCGTAGCTATCTGAGCTGGTTGCGGATTCGCTTGAAGGACTTGTTAATGTAGCTGCACTTTGCGAGTCTGAGGTTGTTGTAGCCGTAGCTGAGGCAGCTGAGACCAGAATTGAGGTGACTTCTGAGTAGACAGATGCTGCATCGGAAACGAGGATGCTGTACAGGTCTTGCGCTTCCACGAAAGACAGCAAACCCGTCACAAGCAGTAGGCTCTTGGAGGCCTTCATGGTTGCAACCCGCAGTACTATGCGCGCGGTATCCAAAGAAAAGTTGCAATGTGAGAGTAGGTCTGCAGGAAATATTCAAAGAAGACAACATATGTTACCAAGCGCAAGATGAACGAATGAAGCACGGCATGGCTATACCTGTCGTAGAGTTTGGGGAGAAAAGCATCTCCGCGAGCCAACGGCCAGGGTAGATATTGAGTCGCAAACGATGCTCACAGCCCAAAGGAAACCTACCTTCACCGTCACAGGGTTCTTAGGTTCCACGCGGGCTTGGAGGCGGCGTAGTCGCTAGGTGTTAGTTACATAGCAGCAGCAGGTCTCAAAGCCAGTCGGAATAAAAGAGACTGGTTCTGGAACCTGATGGCCGCAGGAAGATGGTCTACCGGCCAGGGAAGATCCCCCAAGTTTCCCATGAAACAGCTGTGACTAGCTTAACGGAGAGGAGGGTTCATGATGTGTTTGGGTGGCAAAAACATGTCTGAAGAAGAGAAAGATGGACAGCGACGATGATCTTTATGCAGGGAGAAGAGCGTTCTGTGGCGTGAATGGCTGGCCTGGTGGCTTCGTGGCGGTGCAATATCAAGCTAACAAGTCCACCAGTGGCGAACTTCATGGCCGGCTTTTTCAATCCGCCTGCCTCTGATCTTGCTGCACCGCCGCTGTACCTAAGAAGGAGCCTGCCGGATCATTATTACATTCCTTGGGGTTACTGCTAATCAATTGAGAGCATGATCTGACTTCGGTTGGAAGGTCCCGATGTATGTTGATACGAAGGCAGCTTGTCTCAGATACGAAGTCGCTGGGGGAAAGCTACCATTCACTGATCGACCACAAATGCCATCCTTTTATTTTTAGATTATCGATGCAGCCTTAGAACTGCGTCCCGGAACAGTCTCGTCGGAAGCTCCCTAAAACCGGAGAGTATCATGGCCAATTGTATGGCAATCAATGTGCTGGGCCGAGTACATTCCAGCTCAATATGGGTCTTGTGTGGAAGGATGTTTCTCTTTCTCCGGTGCGTGCCCGTTGCCATGGCTCAGACCAGAGCAGCCTGCTACATTCCTCCGCAGAAGCATGCAAGTTGCAAGTTGCAGTGTGAACGGACACCAAAGATGATATTGCATCACGTGATCTTATTTAGTCAGGTGACAGAAGGATTAGTCATTCATCTTGGAAGTCGATCATGTGATCCTTGATGCGTTCTATGTCTCCTATGGCGAGATCAAGAACATTGAGATGGGTTTAGCCCATTGCCTTGGAGGATGTGAGTATGCGATTCTAGTGGACGGAATTAAGCAATAATAGATAAGAGGTGGAGTCACGCGGCTGTCAAACAGACCTCCCGGGCACCTGTCGTGCTCATAGGCGATTACTATTTGCTGAATTCAATCTCTCGGCCGCCTGTTTGCTGCTCCTTGCGCCCACCTTCCGGGTCACTCAACCCTCTTTTTCCCTCTCTCGCCGTCTCTCTGTCTCCCCCCTTTCTCTCCCTTGCTCTTGCTTTCTGCGCCTCTTTTCCCATTCCTGAACCTCCCGCTGGCCTTGCACTTCCTAACTCATCACCATTCAACTTAACGTTACTTCACAACTTGTATGTTCGTACCACTACTTGACTGCCTTCCTTCGCAGCACGCTTCATAACGACTTCCTTCTTCACACCATCCTCTTCTTCCCTACCTTACTTTTTAATCCGTCTTCTTTTGTCTGGACATTGATCCAGCTGTGCGATTTACCAACCCGATCGTTGAGACTCTGCGGTCTGGCCACTGCGATCCGCTTATCCGCAAATCTTCTGCGTCATTCATTCCCGTCACAACAGCCATCTGTCCTCTGCTATCTTAACGAAACAACCCTTTAACATTCGATTGACGCCTCTCTAGTCTCACTCTCGCTCTTTCTACTCGACTTAGCGCTGCGCGCATTGAGATACACCATTTATAATCCTTATATTTCGCGATCCACATCGCCTTGTATTCCAACCATTATCTGTACTTGATTGACGACCGCTGTTTCTAGCGACTTCGATTCCTGTTGTTTCATCACTTGGAATTCGTCCATTTGGGTGTTTGCTGAATTGTGACCGGCATACCGAGGGAGGCTATTGTTTGTCTGGGTTGTTGGAAGTGTGCAGCAGTGCTGAAAGAGCAGAAACACATGGCTAGTGGTGGAAAGTCCAATGTTTGGTGACTAAATGGTCCAGATGGTCTACCTGAAAACGACAAACTTTTGCTGTGCGGCAGAAAAGAGCCACACAACATGTTGCGCCTCTTGTCTTGGACAGGTTGTGACAAGGCCAGTACCCCAGAAATGAGAATGTTCGTCTCAAATCAAGAGTCTCCAGGTTCTGGCGCGACCGCCATGTCTTCCCCGCGCAAACGCAAGCACTCTGCTGAACCTTCCAGTCAGCCAGACAAGAAGCGAGCGAAACCTGCTGAAAGAAAGAGCGGCAAGCCCGCGCTCGCGACAGTGACTCCTCCCCGCGCCAGCCCTGCTGAACTACCAGTCCTCAAGCCGTCTACGATCACGACTGAACCACCGTCCTCGCAGCCATTACAGCCAGATGTCAAGCTGGAGGAATGTGAAGCGGGCCCAAAGCCAACAGAGAATGATTCGCTGCTGACGGGCGCGGGCGCACAACGTCTTCAGTCTGTACGCAACGTCATTCAGACTCAAATCGGCCTTGAAATACTGCTCAAACATAAAGAACTTCGCCTTATCGACCAAGAAATTGCAAAATGTCAGGCCTCTTTAGAGCAACTCAGGCGATGTAAGGAGATCCCCTACCCTGGTACTCAACATCTGTCCGCGGCCGTAAGCGAAGGCACTGGATCAGCCTTGCGCAGCGCTTTCCCGACCCCTCTTCCTCAATCTCCTGCTCCGTGGGCCGTCACAGACGGTCCATATTCTCGGCACTACGCCAAGTGGCTGCTCCCAGACACTCGCTTCGACGGTGGTGAGCCGGATTCGTTAAGCGCTGTCAGTGCCGGAAAGAGTCCTCTCAAGTCAAGATCGACAAGAGGAAGTTTCGAAATGCCATCAGTATCGACCTCAGCACGTTCCAGCCGTGGAGGAAAGCTCAAGGCTTTACCAGCCGGCTACGGTCAACCAAAGGAAAAGGCTACAGGACCAATGATTGTCAAGCGCAAGTCGGACGGCTTGTCCGTGAAACTTGTGTGCCCAGACTGTGGTCGTCATGATTTCGGAAGCGCACAGGGATTCATCAATCATTGTCGTATAGGTCATGGCCGGAGCTTTGCAAGTCACGACGCCGCGGCAGATGCTTGTGGAGAGCCTGTGGAGATTGACGAGTCTGGAGCAGTGGTCGGAGCTGAGCCTGTTGCAACACCAACCGCGGTAAATGTTCATCCGCTTATCCGTTCGGCGAAGCTATTGCAACCGACGCCTCCAAGGACATCTGCACAATTGTCTGGCACATCGGCCAATGATGGTCCATCCGTTTCGAAATCCAAACTAGTGTCACCTGATTTTAAGGGTTCAGTTCTGACACCGAACCTGTCCGATCTGGTCAAGAATAGAGGTCTTGGTCTTGATCTGCAAGAGATGGTGGCTGATGCAAAGACGAAGGTCGAATTGCCTGACTCGGATTCGGAGGACGATGATATGGATGTCGACGTTCCTATGCAGGATACTGCTAAAGGCCGCCATCCTCAAGTCGCGGGAACCAAACAGCCATCAAAGTCTAGCAAGTCTCCGATGTCTTCACCAATCTTGAGTTCTCATACCCTACGATCGTCCGCCATCCCGCGACGAGGCTTGCCACAATACGATGGAGCTGACGACACACCCATTCATGATCGGCCGCGGGGAATGACTCTGCCCATGACTCAGCCTACCGTGACCGACCTCCAACCTTCCGATCCGTCTCCAACCAGTGAATCCAACCAGGCGCCCAGTCTTGTTGATGACGACGAGGAGTACGAAGCGCACTCACCGACCAGTAGTTCAGTCTCTGACGAGCACGATGTTGGAGAGGTGGAATTTGAGGTACAAGGCGACGAAGATGATGCTCGTAGCATTGTGCTACGCGGGCCAGAGTTCCAGCCGAGTTGCGCCCAGGCAACCCGACCATCTACTCATGTCAGACGTCCGTCGGCGATTCGAAGACAAGGCGAAGACCGTGAAGAAAAGCACGTCAGTTTCGTCAGCCCAAGTCCTGCGAGAGAGATGCAAACAAGTCGACAGGGCGGAGACCGAAAGAAGCGGAAGGCTTAGTGCTTAGGATGACGAGAGGTTCAATTCTCTAGACTTCATTTTCAATCAAGACTTGGTGGTTCACACAGCATCCTCGGAGTTTGGCAAGGGTTTGGAGACCGGTACCAGCGATTTGCGGGTTCTTACACCAGCAACGATCCTGGATACTGGAGTAACTTGAGGAACCGGAATGGGACGATACGCCGATACGGTGGTATCAAGATTGTGTTGTGTACATACCTAGGTACTTTCAGGTGTCTGGGATATGCAGCCACTCCTGAGCAAGTTCTACGCTTGCAACCTCAATACGAAAGACTCAGCTCTATATCATATGTCCTATAACGTAGGAGAGTCCGTTGTCGCGATGTTGATGGACTGCTATGAATATTCTCGGATAGCCTTTGTCCGTGGTCTGTATGGTGACAAGGCTGAACAATCCTTACCACGAGTAGTAGTAAACCCCATTTGCATTGCGTCAGATGTCTCTGGAACCGCCAAGGCCGATCTCAACTCGCAATTGTTTGCGTTTCCGACCGCCAGAGGCATCCTCTTGTGAAGTTGAGCTTGCGCATCTCACTCAAGGTTCTCCCATCCGGCCCAGTACGCTATATTCTCTAATAAGGCGAACACTCTTTTGCAGCCACGTCTGAGCTGGTTGGTAACTGTTTGACTCCGCGGCGCGGACATAATCGAGCAACATGGCGCAAAAATGTGTGCATAAAGGCTGCGGGAAGGTCTTCACAGATCCAGAAGAGAAGTGTGTGTACCACCCGGGACCTCCAGAGTTTCACGAGGGACAGAAAGGTAAGACATGACCTTGAAATCTAAAGGCGACCACTCCATGCTGTCTAAACCCCAGATTTGTGCAAGCGAGTGATTATCTGATATTTGGTGCTCGGGTAGGGTGGAAATGCTGCAAGCCCCGTGTCCTCACCTTCGACGAGTTCCTCGCGATCCCTCCCTGCACGACTGGCAAGCACTCGACAGTCGACGACACACCCGCACCACCTCCAAAACCTGCAGAAGACGAGGTCGTCTCTGCGGCGCCCACTCCCGCACCCGTCCCTGTTACGAAACCCCTCTCCACGAGTCTTGCAGCCGCCGAGCAGCCTGTACCGTCATCCACACCTAAACCCGAACCGCCGGAAGATGAGTCGGACGATCCAGACACCAAGATACCCGCGGGCGCAATGTGCAAGAGAAGAGGATGCGGCAAGTCACAAGACGACAAAGTTCCACGGAGTGACGAGGAATGTATATACCACCCTGGCGTTCCAATATTTCACGAAGGAAGCAAGGGGTGGACATGCTGTAAACGGCGAGTCCTCGAGTTCGACGAGTTCATGAAGATAGAGGGATGTAAGACGAAGAAGAGACATTGCTACGTAGGCAAGGACAAGCGGAAAACCCAGGACGGTGCTGCGACGGAAGAGAAGTTGGAGTCCGTGCGGAACGATTTCTACCAGACGATGGGGACTGTGATTGTCAGTTTCTACTTGAAGAAGATTGACAAGGAGAGGGCGAAGGTCGAGTTTTTGGCCAGTGGGACGGAGATCGAGCTGGACTTGCCGACTTCTGATGGGAAACGATTCACTGCGACGATTCCGTTGTTTGCTGAGATCGATCCGGAGCGGAGTACGTTCAAAATCATGGGGACCAAGTTGGAGATGGAGTTGGCGAAGAAGGATGGGACGAGCTGGACGACGTTGAGGAGTGATGAGGAGGGGAAGGGGCATAGGATACAGGTTGGGAGACCTGGGAGGGTGTAACTTGGACATGAATGAACTGGGTTACTACGGCCAATCTATGGACGCAGAACTGCGGCGTGGAAAGATTGACGAGCATAGCGTGGCGCAGGAATGCAGAGTTGTATCAAACTCTACGGGCTATGTATATCAAGGATTGATAGAAGGGGATAGCTTGCAAGAGTGTCGGACGGCCAGAGCCATGACATTGACCTTGATGCACTACTTATTCGGGAGCGCTCTGTCGCGTGCTCCTCAAGTACTGACTGCGCTCATGTTCGTGTACAGAGAAGATCTCCCGTTCGTCTGCCTGGACAGGTCCTTGAAGCACTGATCTGATCTTCCAAACGCAATGTTTGGGATCTCCCGCAACATCCTCCTAACACGGATGTATACATTCTCCCTCCATGTTTGAGTTGTAGTTTTGGGTTATAAAAAGGTTTGTAGCATCTCCTCCACAGTTCCACGCCATTGAACAGCGTGCAACCATAATGTGTTTTGGGAAAAAGGTCGGTGCGAACGACTCTCTGCGAAGCCGGGAACGGAAGGAATTTCACAAAGACGAGAAAGACCCTCAGCAAGCCACCGTAGTGGAGCTCCGGTGTATAAGTGTTTACATGGTAATGTAACACCTCTACTGATGATGAAGAGAGAAAAAAAGAAAGAAGATCAAGAAAGACCGAAAAAAGAATTTGTAGTTGCCAGCGGGCCCGGAAAAATGCAGCCTTGGCGACGCAAACACCTACCTGGTAGGTCACGTGGGTAGCGTTCGGTGAGCAAGTACGAGTATGAACAAAAGAAGATATACCGGAGGGGTTTTGAAATCGTAATTCATGGTTTGAAATGCAGTGGAAAGAGTGCAGAGAGCACCATCATAAATTCATGCAAGACGTCACTCGGACTCAAAGCCTGCAAACTCGACCCCTTCGCCCTGATCTTGATCTGTACTTGAAGAGTCGCCGTCCTGTGATCCCCCACCTTCGCTAACTTCAGCAGCTTCTTCTGCATCTGCCTCCTGCCCTACAATGAGGTCCTCCTTTGTCTCAGCCTCAGCGTCCTCAGCAGTCGGCGGCGGCAAATACCACGGAATTTTGCCGCGCATAAAGTCGTTCAGAACCATCTTTGCTACTCCGTCCACATCTGGTTCTCCTCCATGGTATAGACGACCGCCCTTCCGTGCAAGCAGCTCAAGGAAGTCGGTCGGATCGCTCCATCCTTTGATGCCGTACGTCTTCTCCATGTGCTGCGTCTTCACCCTTGCCAGGACAGCTGCGATATATTGTGCAGGATGCTCGACGTTCTCCACCCGTACGACACCTCGAAGCAGGAGATCTTGTGGCGTAGCGTTCTGCGACGGAGGCACGACGCCGGGACAGTCGATCAGGTAGATCTTTCTTGTCAGGGTGATGTACTGCCACACCTTGGTCTCACCAGGGATGGGGGCCACAGTGGCCACCTTCTTGGATTTCAAAGTGTTAATGATACTGCTCTTGCCCACATTCGGGTATCCCAACATGCCGACAGAGATCTGTTTGCGATTGCTATGTAGCTTGGCAAATTGTCGGAGTAATTCGATCAGGCTGCCTTTGCCGAATGGGTTTGTTATGCTGGCGTGCATCGCCAATGTAGGGACTTCTTTGGATAGTATGCGGACCCAGCGGGCAGCGACTCTGGTCGGCACCAGGTCGGTTTTGTTCAGGACGAAGACTAGGTGTTTGTGAGGCGCTTCTTCCCTCAGGTATTTCTCAACACTCAAACATCTTGTACCCACGGGATCTCGGGCGTCAAGGACGTGGATCACCACGTCAGACGAGTCAATGACTTTATACATTTCGTTCCAGATACGTTTGCTCTGACCTTTGCTGAATATGGGTTCGATGGCGGTGGTGATCTGCCCGTCGTCTTGGTCATCTTCGTAAGCTTCTTCAGATTTGCCAGAAAGCAGTCTGGCTTGTTCCTGTCGCTCCGCGTATGTTTCCATATCTTGACCAGCGCCTCCTGCCAAGCTGGTGAAGTCACCTGCGTCTAGCTTGACTCTCTTTCTTTGGGACGACGATCCAAATGTGTCGGAAAAGGAGGACATCTGAATGGTTCTCTTCGCCTGGTGCTGCCTCACACCGTCTTTGGCCTCGTGTCCGTCATGGATGAGCGACATTGGGAGCTTGTTGGTTTTCAGAAGTACATTGTAGGGATCCGACGTCCTCTCCGCAATTGCAGTACGGAAGGCACTCAAGGCGTCCTGGGATATCACACGAGTGTTGCCGAACCACTTTCGATTGGGCTCGACACGGGCATTGGGGATGTCTCTGCTTTGGTATGCGGCAGCCTTGGTGATCTCGCCGGCTGCGTTTCTCTGCGCACCACCACCCGTGAGAACCTTTAATTGTCGTACTTTCTTGCCGGACCGGTAGAAGTTTTCGCCCTTCGTTTTGACATTGCCCATGCCATCGCCAACTTTGCCTTGACGAATCTTGCGATTCGCCTCTTTCTTCCCTGTACCCATGTCGAATGTCACGAATTCTGGCAAGAGGGGAGAAATATAGAGGGTTCTGGGATACTGTGTATGGAGAAGTGCAATCGGTCTGGATCACTTCAGAAAAAAATATCAGAGCGCAGGATCGGCGGCGCATCTCCGTGACGCCGATTGAGCCGAGGATTAACCACAGTCACGTGGGAAACATGAACTCCAAGACTCAGACCAACCACCTACTTCACTTCCATTCATACTCACAGTCGTTTACATCAAATTCCTGCAACACGGGCGGGATTAGAGCATGAGTACGAGCACTCTGGCATACGTACAGTGACGCTTGTACCGCGAATCGCGGCGACTGTGGAGCTGCACACTTCTTGATTGACCAAGCCTTCGTCAGGTCTACACATGCTTCCTCGATGAAGTCCAGTGAGTTGGAAAACTCAACCCTAGATCATCAATCTTGCTTCCAGAAGGATCCAAGTCCTTGAGGAACAAATTGGCCCGTAGCTCTCATCCTCGCATCTGATCTGAAATTGCTCAGGCATGGTTTCTCGATAGCCATGGTTCTTTGACGTTAGCGTACCTTCCTTCAGTGGCATATATTGCAAGCTTTCCTGGACCTACTGCATGCTGCAGTCTGCCATTCTCGCCGAGCCGGCAGTCGGTTAAGGAATAAGGAAAAGTGTGGTTGAACCACCTTGCTGACCCGAGGGGTTGATACTCGATTAACAGTCCGACATGGTTCTCCAGTCCCCGCAATCACCCCACGAGTTAGCCGACGAGGCCGAGCAAAGAGGAAACTTTGTGTCATAACAAGGAACATGCATGACCTTCCTCAACGATCAACGCCTCAGACAAAAGATACTAACAAACCAAGTAAAATATCGTCCTGCGTACACGGGCAAGATATAAGAATAGATTTACCACTGCAACAGCCGAGGGCTACGGCGTGCAAATTGAAGTTGACAGGACCTCACTACTCTACTCGCATGTGTGGCTCGCAATGGTAAAACTGTCAAAATCATGCAAGGCACTCTGGTTTCACGACGGTGGAGCTTGTCGTCTCGGGGATCATTTCCGCAACGTCCACGTTAGGGGCATGTCTTCTCTCAGGCCTTCGACCGCGGACAGTGGCTACATCCTCACTCCAGAGTTGCTGCAAAACCCATTCACCTCAGACCAATCGTACCAGCGAGTCCTGGAGTGGTACCTTCCACAGGACGTCCTCCGATCAGTCAAACCACGCCTCACCAAGTTTGCGGAAGAGGCCGTTTCAGACCAAATCAACGAATTCATATCAGATGCCGAATCTCAGCAACCGCACGTGAAAACACGCAATGTCTGGGGTGCTCGGTACCCTTATGACCGCTTGGTGACGGCCCACGGGTGGAAGGAGTTGGGCAAATGGGGGTCGAGAAACGGGTAATCTGTTTGTCTCTCTCAGGGAATCAACTAACTGACTTATCACGCAGAGTGATATCTCTCGGCTATGAGGAAGAGTTCAAGCAGTACCGGAGAATCGTGCAACATGCATTGTAAGTTGGACTTGGCCGAACCTCCCAGGCATGCTCTGACAAGCTCAGCAACTACACATTTTCGGCGTCATCAGCAGTATACTCATGCCCTGTTTCAATGACCAGTGGTGCGGGACGATTGATAGGCAAACAGCTGCCGTCCTTACCAGATGACCACCCCTTTCACGAACTCTATCGCCTTATTACTGCACGGCAGGACAATTGGATCTCGTCGCAATGGATGACTGAACGGCCTGGTGGTAGCGATGTACAAAACTCGGAAACTGTAGCAATCTACTCGCCTCCGCCCAATAAAACAGGCAGGTATGGCTCAATCGAAGACGGAGGCTATCTCGTCTCCGGCTTCAAGTTCTTCTCATCTGCAACAGACTGTGACATGGCGTTCATGTTGGCCAAGACCGAGTCCGGCCAACTGAGTCTTTTCGTTGCACCGGCGAGGAAGACAGTCGTCGTCAACGGCAAGAAGCAGCAAGTGACCAACGGTATCAGAATCCATCGCCTCAAGACTAAGATGGGCACCAAAGAACTCCCAACCGCAGAATTGGAGCTCGATAACGTCAGAGCACACCTGGTCGGCCCTCTCGATCGGGGGATCGCCACCATCGCCCTCCTCCTCAACGTCACAAGAACCCACAACTTCATCACGGCACTCTCGTGCTGGCGTCGTGGCATGGCCATTGCTAAGAACTTCGCCAAAGCTCGAAGCACGATGGACCAGCCCTTGTGGACGCTTCCGATGCATCTACGTCTCTTGGCAACCATGGAGGTCAAGCATCGAGGCGCACTGCAACTCGCTTTCTTCACCACTTCTCTTCTGAGTTTCGTTGATAATGGCTTTCCTCACGAAGGAGTCCGACAGAATGGATACGTGCCGCTACCGGACTCAACCGAGAAGACCGAAATCATCCTACGGACTCTGACCGCGACGGCCAAGGCCGTCATTTGCAAAACTGGCACCCTCGCTCTGCAAGAATGTCAAGAAGCTATGGGCGGCGTCGGATACATGGATGAACCGGAGGAACCGGAGTTCAACATTTCACGACTCATGCGCGACACTGCCGCCAACATGACATGGGAAGGCACCACGAATGTCCTAAGCAGTGAGGTTGTTCGGCACCTATTGAACAAAAACGGACGACATCTGGGAGCGTTCGGTGAATGGGTTCAGCAAGCGACTTCACAGATCAGAGATGCCGAGTTGAAGAGTGCCCTGGATCAGGCTTGGAGGGAGTTCGGGCGCACACTGGACAGTAAGCGCGACGATGTGGTAAGCGCGCTGGCGATGGGACGCCAGCTCATGTTCAGTCTCGCCTGGATTGTCTCCGGTGTGCTGCTGGCACTTGATGCGGAGAGGGATGGGGATGCCATTGCCGGCGAAATTGCACGACGCTGGGTACTCGAGGGTGAAGGAAATGTTGGCGAGTTCCACCTTCCAAACATTGTCAAGGTTCGTGAACGAGCTGTGGCTGTCAAGGATCGTGACAGGATCAATTGGGATTGCCGGCTGGTCTGGGGCATGGATCTGCCCGAAGGTGCTGCAACGGGATTTCGGGCGCCAAATGTTGATAGGATTTCAGCCCAACTATAGACATATCGAGGGTGAAGACGGGCTTTGATACAGGTCGTCCAGGCGTGTTTGTATTGTAATGAGTTCGGGGACAATCATCCGGTGGCGTGATTGGATCTTTCTGCACAGGGCACATCTTAAGGGCCACTGGGGCTTAGTAGGACCACGGCCCGCGCCTGTCATGAGAGATCGCTCGGATTAAATGGAACAGCCGACGGTTGTGTCAGGCAAACGAAATGGAATTTGAACAAGTTCAGGTTTTGCAACGTTTCAATTGAACAGACCGAAGGCAAATATATACATGAATGGTCTTGCCCGGGTATCCGTCTTTGCTGTGATTTGGCTCCAGCATATATGCATTGTGCGCACCGTATGGGGCACTCTATTGAGGCGACGCCGTGCCTCGTCTCCTCCCTGACGGGGTGAAGTCGTCCTTCCATCCTCCAGCCCTTGCTGTAGCAATCCCTTCAACGCCGATGCATGATGTGATGTGTTCATATGCTTCCGATCCTCGCTGGTGGTCATAATATCAAGATTCGTCCATGAGGCCGTTTATTTTCCCATCCAGGCTCGCCGCCGTTCAGCTCTTAGCCTTGCTTCATTGACACTTGCTGGATCTTGCATAGCCCATGTGAATACTGCCATGGGCCAGAGGAATGCGGTGAAGAAGCCGGCTTGTTGTAGATGTTGTCTTGACATGGGGACGGTCCATGGTTTCCACATTCGTAGACCTGCCATTTTTGGTGCTGTTTGAAAAGGGGTTGAGAAGATGTTTGAGATGAGGATGGTTTTTGAGTTGAGTTGTTGGTTTCGTACTACCTTGATGAATGGTTCAGGAAGGTATCTTGAGAGTAGTAAGATGATGAATGAATAATGATTCCATCGAAAGCTGTAGCAATTTTGGTGTCTTTTGTACTCTGAGGCACTTCATGGAGTTTGCACGCACTGGGCAGGCCAGGCTGTGGTGTGATACTTACTACTGATCTGCAGCGCCTGACAGATCATACCACCACCACTTACCGGCGAGGTCCAGACTCAGAACACATCAGACTGCAACAGGTGATACTCCTTGCCACCTAAAGACATCGATACCTTCCGAATGAAGTAGCCATACTCTTTCCAGCTCTCATTTTCGTACAATGGACACCTGCACCAGAGTCTGGGACTCGACAACACAGCTGTAAGATGAAAAGTGGGCTCAAGACCACTTTCACCCAGCAAAGGCTAGGGGATGGAATAATTGTGGACAGTCATTCACGATGATGGATTCGAATTCATCGTCTGCACCTACATTATGGCAAAGAGTGTCGTCGTTGGAAACAGAATGCATGGTTATTGTCGAAGTTCTTGCTGGTTTGTGGCCAGAGAAGAGGTAGACTGACCACGAGTGACTTAGTAAGGCCGGGCACGTGCCTCTCCACTAGATGGCGCTTGCAAAAGCAGCCACGCCCTTTGATCTCCCGGGAGACCAGGCATTTTACGAGTGCTTATAGGGGCACGTGTCGGGGGCCTGATCACTGTTAGAGATGGACCTTCTCCCCACAAAAAGGGATGAGCGATTTTCGAAGACTTTAAACTGTTAAACATCACAACACCAGGCAATTGTCACACCACAATCCTCAATCTCTATGCCGTCTTCAACCACCCCTGGCTGGTCAAATCTCCTCACATCATGAAATCGCAACATAATTATTCAGCGTCCGATTATGTACGCGATAATGGTTTCCCCTTGACCTGGATGTGCAAATGTTGTTGTATAGGTCGCGCAGCAGCGGGCATGGATGAAGAATTTCAAGAGTATCAACAACGCACCAAACCCCGGCCAGGGACAGTCATCGGTCGTCCCGCTGGTCGGGAGGCATATCAAGGGCGATCAGCCACCATGCATTACGCTCAACAACAAGCCCGTGACAGGCCGGTAGAGAGCGCCCAGAGAGACGATAAGTCGCCAGTCGAGGCTACATCGGAAACATAAGAATTTCTTTTCGTCCACAGTCTACGAGCGCAACATTGTTGCGAGTGGTTACTATCCTGACCCCATCCACGGTCATTTGAGAGGGTTAGAAAGGTATTCCTGCGTCTGACTAGGTTATCCTGGGTGCTCTACCGCACTTGTGGGTGTACATTATGCTTGACTGGCTAGATCAAGGTTGGAAGGGAAATTGGCCGAAATCGAGGTTGAACACTATGAGGCAATGATGTCAGCAGCGGTCCAACACGTCGACACTCCTTTCGAACGCACGATCTTTATGGATCGAAAGACTGGATTACACTCACTTTCTTCAAAAGCACCATATGCTTCATCAATGTGTTCATCGACATGGAAGTCCGTCCTGTCTGCGTGGTGAAGCGACTCAAACTGCAAATATGAGACTACAGATTCGTCAGGCCACTCATCGGCACGGTTGGCATTTTGGTAGTCCAAGCCAGATGGCGTTTCGCTTTGTACTGTGGCTGCGGTCGCGGCCTCCATGTCCACTTGAGAAGTTGCCTGCGGCGTCGTGTAGCCTCTCCGGTGTGACTGAGGGGCGGCATGATTGTCTTGAAATTGCCTTCCTGCAACCGTCTGGCCGATACGATCCTTGGGTCTGCCTGTGTCTGAGACTCGTAGAGCATTTTCCATCTCACGTTCCATTGTTCTCTTGTAAAGTCTCGTCAGCATTTGATCGGTATGCTTTGCGATTTTGCTGTCGTCTTTGATAGCCCTACAGGCGGCGATGATCCTCAGCACCCCCGCCTTCGCTTCCCCAGCCACTTGACTGTATGGTTGACAAGTTGGCGCGATGCACAGGATGATCCCGGCGGTAAAAAGGTGCATGAGCACAAACGATTGTGCAACGTGACCCTCGAACTCGTTTACTGGGATGCCCGACATCCGCAATGCCGCTCGTACTGAGGTGCCTAGGGAGTCAGGAAGGTCATCAAGCGGGATCTTGTCCTGGTTTGGAGACAGGGATATCCGGAGTTTCAACAGAGGTCGATGAGCCCACACCCTGGCGGCATCATGTAGAAGCTGGAGGATAAAGCCTTGCAACCCCAATTTCCTCCTAACACTGCGTTCCTCCGGAGTGCATCGTTCAAGTTCAAGAACATTCCAGGGATCCTCCGCTGACCATTGTGAAGGTTTGAAAACTGCCGGCAGATTCTCATGCCACTGCTTCAATCTGTCTTCTGTGGTGTTCACGACCTGAATGAAAGCCTTCAAATCTTGAACAGAGGCTGGACTCGGCAGTTGCAGGACCTTGAAACTCTGCAACGTCTGTCGGATGATGTGATAAATCTCAAACTTGAGAGTGTGGTAGGTCAGAAAGGAGACGGGGCGCTCGTCCTCTTGTAATATTGGAAGTGCTGCTGTGCTGCTTGGGAGCTCGGTATCATCCAACTCGGTGAGCATCCGGAATTGCGCAAAAGCAGGATCGAGCGAAGCTGGGCGTCCGAGTATCATGGTTGAGAATTGGTCGGCTACAACCAAATGATTCCAGCACCGGTTGCCCACTTCTCGAGCAATCTCATCGGTGTTTCGTGCTTTGTCGCAATGAAGCGCAAGTGCATATGCCGTTCGGCTGGACACTCCAGAAACATTCCAGGCAAAGTTTGACGATCCAAAGTAAACATGATACGTCGTTAACAACATGCAGATCTGATATGCTTCGATTCGTGACTCCAGCATGATTTCGTAAAAGTGCGTCCCGATCTGCGACATCAAGTCGGCAACGACTGAACTAGCTGTCACGGAATGAGCCTCCAACACGCGATGTCCTTTCCACGTCTTGTCGTGCTGGACACATCGCAACCCAAAAGCTGCGACTGCCGCCACGAGTAGCACTTCACAGAGTCCGTCTCGTCTCCACGCAGATGGTTGGACAATGTTCTGGGCCCGAACTGTGAAGGAAGGTTGGTGGAAGAGCAGAATGTACCAGTTCACCCGGTCGAAATAAGCATCCACAGCGACTTGAAGGACGCTCGGTGAAGGCCAGCGGGTCGAAATCCAAGGGAATGTCTGTTCATCCGTATCTGACTGCCGTGCGTCACCCGGAAGCTGTCCATTGACTGGCGAGTCGTTCTCATCGTCCTCTCCAAGCACGAATTTTGCAAACCCCATTGTGGACTCGTTGGCGCCATATTGTCGACTTTCATCAGGACTTGCCGCTGTGGTTTGCGCGATATCGAGGCTAGAACCATCGACATGGGAAGAACCGGCTGGATAGGCAACATGGTCTGATGGGCTCGCACCCGGGATTCTAGGTAAGAGCCGGACATGATGTTGCACATCCTCCGAAGCAGTTGACGGCGTTGTCACTTCTGCCCCACGGTCCACATCTGAATAAGTCGATCTCTTGCGTTTCAAAGAAGAGCCCTGAGCTCCTGACTGCGGCTCACATTTGGCACCAGCTCTTACACATAACGTGCATGGTTTTTGGACATCACACTGGAGGTCTTGTGGTCAACATCCACCAGACATTGACGGCATCAGGACTAGTTGGGGATATAGATACCTTGAGTTTCTGACGGCGACATCGGCCGCAGGCCCATGAAAGTCTACTGGAGCGTTGCGTAGGATCCATCAAGTGAACAACAATTGCGGCTAAGCAATGGCACCTGTTTCATGGAACGAAGTCCGGTGGAATGGTAAGAGAAGACCAAGAAGTTTACTCAGTACTCACGAGAAGGTCCGCCACAGAACTTGGGGCGTATATTTGGCTCGTACTCTGTGCTGGGGTCCGGGCAGGCATGCCACAGAAGCGAGGACGCGGGGAAGCCTGCAACACACACACCACTGTCGTTGAGGCCAGCATCGCTAGTGCCTTGGCCATCGCGACATGGCGACCCTGTTTTCAGAAAAAGTGGCACCGTCTGACAGGGCGTACATCGACAACATGAGTTCGAAGTCAAGCACGGTCACAATAGTGGGTGCCTTGACGGCAAGACTGGAGCGCTGTACGACGGAGCTGACGGTCTTCATCCCGTCAAGACCAAAGGTATATTCTAGTGTGCGAAGGACTCCAGACTGACAATGAGGGGCATTGTCTATTTGCACCTGGAGAGGAACAACCGTCAGACCCTGCCACTTTTTCTGGAAACAGGCTTGCTGGTTGTCCATTTGCGGGCGAATGACTTGTCAGGAGGAGGACCGTTCAAAAGCCTTGGCCATGAAAAACTTCCTCGATACATTACATAGAGTGGAGACATTACTATGTCCGGTGGACGAGGCTAACCACGCCAGGGGGATCAGGTGCATCCCCCAAAATCCGAACGCCCTGGCCGAGCCAAATATTCAGGATTCTATGTGACTTTGAGCACAGGCTGGACTTGGGCCCATACATTCGTTGGGTTGTTCCGAAAACCACCACCTCGATACCTGGGGAAATTTCACGCGGTGGCCAGACTGACAGGGAACCCGCACAGTAACATTCTGGATCACCAGTGACCACTCTCGCTGCTCCAAAAGTTCAACTCTTCAGAGGGTGTATTTGAAGCCTTGAAGTCCTTCAATAGGCTTCCCACCATTATCAACCCTCTTGTTAGCTCGGTGGAATTTGAGGCTCAGCGCGATAACAATGATCACGATCAAGACGTTCGCGAGCATGCAGGTCAAAATGCCCGGGCGGTAGTTCGGGGCATCTTTGGCACGGAAGACGGTTGTTCCAATGATACCGCCAATGCTAGCGCCTCCGACGAGAGTTGCTGATGCCAGGGCTCTCTTCCACTGACCACGAATGTTGTTTCTGATAGGCCGTTAGCGTAGCTACACCATTGTGTTAAATATAGAAGACGTACCCTTGGTAGGTGAGTAATGCTGGACAATTTGCGTTGGCTGGATGCTTGGATTAGCCATTGTTTTCTTACAGTGCTTCTCGCATGGAGGCGACACTCACCTGCTGTTGTAGCTAGGAAGACACCGAAGTAGCGAACGCCAGGGGTATGGACGTAGCCCAGAAGAGCGAGCCCAAGAATACCTATTATAAGCAAGTCAGAAATGCCGTATGGATCACGAAGCCAGAGAACCTACCTAGCAGAGCATTTCCAGCTACCACCACTCCACGCATCCGCCATTTGTCCGCAAAATAGGCTTGGACGAACATCACAATGGCAGCCATAACGTATGGAGGTGCCACCAGGCACTGTGCCTCGGCAATGGAGAAGCCCATTCCGTCTAGAAGAATAATGGGCAGGAAGTAAGCGATAGCGTATGAATTCGTCGTCGTCAGCATAGTGAGCCAGGCAAATGCCCATACTTTGCTGTCCAGCGCGTTTCTGAGGTATTTGCCGACGGAGAACTTGTCAGGCAAGGTGTCTGAGCGGTCCTTCTCGATTCGTGCAACAACCCAAGCTGCCTCTGCCTCGTTGAGGAAATGCCAGGACTTTGGGGAATCCTCTGGGAAATCAACAATGATGAAGTAAGCGACAAAGGCGAGCAGGCACGTCACAATCCCTTCTATCTGAGAAGAGGCCACCGTCAGCTCCTAACGAGAATGAAGTTGGCACGCAACTTACAATGAAGATCCATCTCCAGCCCGAGAGGCCCGCGAGGCCATCCATCTGCATCAGCCCGTAGGCCAAGATTCCACCGAAGCCTCCGGCCATGCTGCCGATCAAGTAGAACAGGGCATTGCGTTTCTGCAAGTCGAATCGAGGATACCAGGTGGAGAGAAGATAGACACATCCAGGATAAACTGGATTCGTTCGAAGACGATGTCAGCGTCCACACGCAAATGAAGACAGTAACAGTGGCAAGACCAAGATATCAGGAATTTGTCACTTACAACCTGCCTCTAGCGCGCCTAGAATAATTCGAAGCACACACATGACTTCCCAGCTCGGAACGAATCCGAACCCCTGTACATTTCCAGGTTAGAGGAAGCCTTCTGGGACATGTCCCTCCTTGACTTACGATCATAACTGCGCCCCAGGCCAGGACGATGAAAGTGAGAAAATTGCGCGGTCCGACTGTGCGTATGAGGACAACCGCAGGCACTTGGAAAAGAGTGTACGAGATGAAGAAGACGAGAGAAACAATGGTGTAGGCATTATTCTTCGCATTCATGCCCAGACCTGTCTGCATTCTATTGGACAGTTAGAGGTAAAAGTTGAGGGAGCAGAAGAGTGAATGCATACCCAGCAATCGAAGCAGAGCCAAGGTTGGTCCGATCGAGAAGACTGATACAATAGAGGGCCCCAAGCGTCACAGCCAGACGTAGGTCGATCTTGCGGACGATCTTTTTCTCCTGTGCTGGGGTGAATTGGAGGGCAGCGTCGTCGTCTAAACCCTCCTTCATGACGAACTCGACCCTATCGTCAGGGACATTGTCTGCTGCCATCTTGGTCTCTGGCGTGTGGCTTGCCATGACAGTGAATAGGGCGAAGTAGAATTGCTGTTTGAACAAACTCTGGACAAGATCTAAGAGGTCCTCGAGCAGGGGCAATAGTCACATTTAAATACCTGAGGCTGCCCTGGCCATGTGGGCCAGAGCACGGGGTGTACCTAGCCATCGAGGGGAGATCTGTGGTGCCCCAGAGCGAATGGTCCTTTCTGCAATGGACCTTGGGGAGTCTGGAGGGAGTGGTTCACGTCGACCAGTCCACCGGACGTCCGTTAGTCTCGTCCACCGGAGACTTGGCCATCCACCGTTGTAGAGTTTGCAGTGACTAGTTCTGTGGAGTCCCCGCTTGTCATGTCCTTCAAGATCTGGTAGCCTGCAAGTTCGAAGAAGGGAAAGCTTTGTAGAAGAAACCATGAAGGAGTGAGGTGGTCATGGGTTAAGGGGTATCACGGTCACGATCATGCTATAGGCTGGCCTATCAGATGAGACGTCCGTCAGACCGCGAATAGATCAGGCATATTGGTCTGCGAGACACGTGACAGGGCATAATAATGGCCTAAAAACTGCGTCTGTCAACCACAATCGAGCGCCAGACCAGATGTTTCGAATATACTCGGCATCATCCATCAAATCACCCAAATCAGGAATCGCCTAAGATTTACTAATGCTTTTCGTCTCTACCGATTCGCGAGGAGCGACGAAGATGCAATCAGCTAGATGGCGAAAGGAAGGAACATATTGCTCTTGTACAACCGCCTTACCCCGCCTTACACATTGCCGATGCATGGAGTGACCCCAGAGTTGGGTAGCATGACTACAGGAATCGCAAGGTAGGTGTAGAAAACGCTTCGCCTCAATTCTGATGGCTTCTCACACACTTCCCGTCCTCACATTGCTCTCTGGACCCTTCACCTTCAAGCTGCTCCTGTCGACAGCTAGGTAAATATGTTGGGTTCGAAAGTCTTGCTCCTTGCAGGCAGCATCCTCGGTGTTGCTGCTCAGGCACCTCTACCCGTAGTAGATCTTGGCTACGAATTGCATCAGGCAACATTCAACGTGAGTAGAAAATGCCTTCAAGCAGAGCCAGCATCAAGCACAAACACTGAAACCCACTCAGGAATCTGGGCAGTACTACAACTTCTCAAATGTGCGTTATGGCGCGCCACCAGTGGGACAACTGCGTTTCTCAGCGCCTGCTCCCCCAAGCACGAATGACAGCAAGATATTCAACGATGGCTCTACAGCTGTGACGTGCTTCCAGGCAATACCAGCCTGGACAGCCTCCACGGCAGACTGGGTGGTCAACGGTACGGCTTGCTTTCAACATCTCCGCAGGGTATCAAGTGCCTTCACTCGCAGCAACGCCACCAGCCGATCCTACAGCCACGGAGGACTGCCTGTTTCTCGACGTGATGGTCCCTCAAACCATCTTCGAGGCGGCTGGTCAGGCTCCAGGGGTACCAGTGTGAGTGCACTCGATTCTTGTCGAATTCATGATCCAGCTGACCAAGCCAACAGCATGGTATGGATTCACGGAGGAGGATACACCCTCGGATCCAAGACGCTCTACAGCCCATCTGCCGCAGGCCTCATCAAAGCAAGTCAGGCTCAAGGCGGCGATGGCATAGTCTGGGTAGGACTGAACTACCGCCTTGGAGCCTTCGTACGTTCAGACTTCCACGTCCTTTCCAATCGTCCAGTCCCCACTAACCACTTCATCAGGGTTGGCTGTCCGGCCCAACATTCCAAGCCTCCGGAACAGCGAACGCAGGTCTCTACGACCAACGTCTGGCTCTCGAGTGGGTGCAACAACACATCGCCAAATTTGGCGGCGACCCAAGCCAAGTCACAGTCATAGGAGAATCAGCTGGTGGTGGGAGCGTACTGCACCAAATCACTGCCTTTGGCGGCTTAAAAGGCCCAGTACCCTTTCAGCAAGCCATAGTCCAAAGTCCCGGCTTCCAAATGACCCCCAGTGCCACACTGCAAGAATCGATCTACAACTCCTTCCTGACCATCGCAGGAGTCGACAATCTCGACGAGGCACGAAACCTGTCGACACAAGACCTTCAGCTCGCCAACTACAAGCTCGTAGGCAGCTCATATCCATACGGCTCGTTCACGTCCAACCCAGTCGTCGATGGAGCATTCGCCCCAGCTTTGCCAGGCCAACTCCTTCTTCACGGACAATTTGACCATTCTCTCAGGATCATGGCAGGCCATAACATCCTAGAAGGTCTCGAGTTCATGAACCCGTTCGCCCAGAACGAGACATCCTTCGAAGACACCCTACGCTTATACTTCCCTACGATCACTGACGCCGAGGTCGAGTACATCTCCTACACGCTATACCCACCTGTATTTGACGGTTCCGTGGGCTACACCACGCCCACAGGGCGAAGCGAGTTGATGATCACGGAGGCATTCTTCACGTGCAATACCAATTTCCTGGCACGCGCGTACGACAACAATGTATTTAATTACATATTCAGTGTTCCACCGAGTCTTCACGGCGACGACATTGCGTACACATATTACAATGGGCCGAGCGCGTCCGTCAAGAACGACACACTAGCGGTCATCATGCAGGAGTATTTCACGAATTTTGTCATCACGAGCAATCCGAACGGAGCAGGACTGCCGGCTTTCCCAACATATGGTGCAAGCGCCACGGTGTTGGATCTGAATCTGACGACCATCGGGCCAATACCGGACAATGTTGCAAACGAGAGATGTCTGTGGTGGCAGAAGGGATTGTATGCTTGATGCTTCAGGGATGAAAGGGAGGAGTGTGACCCTGTCTTGTCGTATGATACTCTGTAGCCATAGTTGAAGCTGTAGCTACTTCAGCTCTCTAAGCAAATCCAAGAAGACAAGGAAAGGCGTCCCTTATCACGGTGTCTTCAAAAATTCCAGCTCCAACAGCACATGTGACGATCTCTTCATGACCGGCGAGAAACATACCAAGAGTCACCATCGTCGCATTTTCAGCAATCAGCACATTGCCTGATGGATATCCATGATTGCCCGCTCCAACTTCGCACGATCCCTGCCCACGCCTTCTCTTCCGGGATTGAAGATGGTCTTTCGAGAAATGTCGAGTAAATGTGGTCGGCAATGTTCTTGTTCTGGATCAGGCGTCTTCTTCAGCCTCATTGCTAGGCTCCATTTTCACCTCCTTCTGCTCTTCGGGTTCCGCTTTGACGGGGTTGGTGGGTGCCTTGCGCTTAGTCTTGGTAGTGGTAGCCTTTGTTTTCTTTGTGGGACTCTCTTCTCCTTCATCCTCATCACCACTATCATTGGCATCCGCCTTTGCAGACTTTCTGCCGCGTTTGTGTGGAGTGGCTTGCGTTTGACCGGGACTGGCAGATGGACCGCCGAGACCGACATCTTTTGCTTTCGCCTTGATAGCTCCAACGCGATGAGTGACTGCCTTAGCGGTGCATTCTGTGCGGAAGGAAGACATGATTAACGATGCTCAGCCACGGTTCGTAGGGACAAGGCAAGTTGCCATTTGGGATGACAGTATGAGCCAAACCGCAAGTGAAGTAAAATGAGATGAAACGTGCGGTACAAATTGAGGGATGGACTCACCAGGTCCCATGAGTGTGGCGACGGCGGCGTAGTTGACCTTGATATCGGAAGTGGCAAGAATGGCAGCCATCAGCTAGGTAGAATGGTCAGTACTCAAGACTATAAGTAGAATACTTAGATGCGTATCGATGACATACCTTCGCATCGGCGTCCGCACTCCATATCATTGGCATCTTGATTATGATAGTAGTGACGGTCTTTGAGTGGGTGAAGATAGTCCGAGTGATATAGTAGCGGACGTCGCTATTGAGATTAGCTTCAAGCACAGAGGTGCATACACATAAGAAGAAGACATACATAAGCAGTTACTCGAAGACGATGAGACCTTTGAGCGGACGAGCTGACAATGGAGTGGGGTGGGGAAAAGATGGAAGGGAAAAATTGGTCGCGACGCAGGTCTTTATAGGCGATTCTGGTGATGGAGCGAAAGAACGATTCGACATTGAATGTTTCAGATCGATATGTTCCTGACATGAAAGTGAAATGAAGTTGAAAACATCAAGTTTCTCGTTGGTCTGACTTTTGGGATCCGGATCTGAAACTCGAAGAAGGTAGGATGTCCTATGAACGTGGCCCAGTATTGCTTCTCTCATCGCCGCTTGGTGGCTATGCTGCTATTGCTCTTGGGGTGGCTGATGTTACATAGATTGACTCTTGGACTTCAGCTTCATGCATATGGCCCATTCTAGAGGGACCTTTAGCAAAGTGCTAATACCTGCTTCCGATTGATCTTCGTCATGCTGGCCTCGAACCTCTGCTTATGCTTCCTTGTTGAGTCTTAGCCGTGTGCTAACCGAGAGTGGCACCCGTTATTGCGTTCTAGCGGAGCTGCTTTCACCGTGTGCCAGTATTAACTGCTGCTCTGCGCCACTATGAACGGCAGTGCTGACAGCCATATGTGAATGTCGAGCAAACACCTCGATCGTCAAGGAGCTGCGTAACGCTATTTCACTCGTGTACTTTGCCGCACAGAGTTCAGCATCGGTCGTCGAAACTCAGGGTTTCCAGTCCGTCCGTAATGTTCGATTTGGAGTAGACAGCTCAATCAAATTGTGAAAGATCAAGAGGAACACTACTTCCTCTCCCTGCTCGATACCTTTTTGGAATTCCCGTAAACTGTCTCGGGGGTGGTAGTTGGCTCTCGTCCTGGAATTTCCATCTAGAGTCTTCCACTCTGAAGGAGCCACTTCGCCCTGGAGACCCAAGAGAGCTTCCATTCGTCAACGTATAGGCACTGGCGTCTAAAGTTGATCGTGTTGGGAGCTGTGATATCCTTCGAGAAGGTGGTGGCGACACAGCAGGCGACGAAGGCGATGGAGGTGCCTCAAATGATCCATAAGAGGGCTGTCTCCCGAAGGCAGCGGATGCAGCTTTCAATGCTAGTGACGGGCCCCCGCCATTGGTGGTCGGTGGTGAGGTGAGTGGTGGAGGTGGGCCCGGAGGAGGCGGAGGAGGTGGTGGTGCTGCAGCAAAAGACGGTGCACTGCTTGGTGGTGGAGGCGGTGGCGGTGCAGGGGGTGCTGGACTTGCAGCAAAACGTGGCGGAGGTGGTGCTTGAGGTGCAGAAGGTGCTGCTTGGGGCGGAGGAGGAGGTGGTGGTGCTGGCGGAGCTGGACTTATTGAGGGCGGAGGAGGGGGTGCTGAGGGAGGAGCCGGACTCGAGCTTACAGGAGGTGGTGGCGGTGGAGGAGGAGCAGGCGGTGGTGCTGCTGTACTCACTTTCCTCGACGTCGGTGGAGGAGGTGGAGGTTTTCCAGCAGCAAGATTTACCACTGACGAAGACTTCGCTGTTGGCCTTGGAGGAGGCTTTTTCAGGTTTGCCAACGGACTCGGGACTGCCGGCGCAGAGTCTATGGACGGGGCAATAGGAGGTCTGCCACCCGGTATAGGAGGAGCTGGCATCGAAGGCGGACGCGGTGCGGCCGCTAAGGAAGGTCGAGAAAAGGGTGTATGCGTAGTTTCGGAGTCCGAATGAGCACCGTCCTGTCCAGCACCGGTTGCAATTCCTCCTCGAGTCTTTTTCAGTTTCGGCATGCCTCCAGCAAACAATCCGCCCAACTGTGGCGCGCCTCCGAGACTTGCTGTAGCATCTGATCCAGTGTCACTGCTACTGCGGGCTCGGTTCCCACTTGGTACTGGTGGTGCGAGACTGCTGGGAGCCTTCATCCCTGGTACAGGAGGTGCTCCTCCTACAGGCCCTCCTCCACCGCTGCCAGATGTTGAGCCAACTACGGGTGCCGAACGGTCATGTGTGACAGCCTTTTTTAGCCTTGCACCTTTCGTGATATCTGTCAACAGAGCGTCCCGCCCTTTGGCGACTGCTTTTGGCGGAGCGGCAGGTAGAGCATTCCCAGGCATGGGAGGCGGAGGAGGTGGCCCTCCCATGCCTGGTGGAGGAGGAGGAGGAGGAGGAGGAGGAGGAGGAGGCGGCGGTGGTGGAGGGGGAGGGGGAGGCATGGTGTGGCCGGGAGTGAGATCGGATCAAGAGTCACTTAGATGTGATAGCCTTCACTTGTTCTTCGGGCCGGTAAAGATCACTCTGACCAAGGCGGTGCGCATCCGGCGAGGTTCAACATCTGGAGAACAGCTCGTAACCAAAAAGATCGGCAAGCCTCTCCAACACGAGGACTACTTATATAGCAGCCTGGAGGCAAGCAAGCTGCGTGTCTGCCAATGTTGGAATTTCAATATCGCGTTGGTGCAGGTGTATTCTGGAGATTTGTGGTTGGTGAGAAGCGAATAGCACCTCGTCATGCGACTGCAGGCGCTGGACTTCAGGAAAGAAATAGCACCAAATCAGGCCCCTCCGCTTGCTCCACACAATCTGTCAAAGTACGGGCACCGGTTCAGGCGCAGCCCAAATCCACTTGTGTGGCTTTCCTCACAGCATGTACGGAGTAGCAGGTAGGCAGACACGATTATTCCCTGGCAGAGAATAGTATATTTGCGAAAAGTAAATTCTATTCACTGCTCACAACCTTTCGCTTCGATTTTGCAGAGTGTCGGTCCTGCCGCCCCGAAGCCAATGGCATGCGCAGCAATCGCAACAAAACTACCTATCGAAGAAACTCCCCCCAAGGTGACCTTTGTAACAAGCCGGGAACAATGAACATTTCATATGCGTGGTTGGAGCATTTTTCACCCGATCAAGCTGGCTGCAGTGAACGTGACCCTTCACATGGATGAACCACCGCAGGCTTGTGTAGTCTTTTTTCTCGTAGACACATGGACTTGCAAATTTGTGAGGCGAAAGACGAGAGGATTATCGTATGACCAATTTTTGCAACACCACTCGTCAAGTACTTCCAAGAACACAGCGCTCAGTTGTGGCCAGCCTTGCGGAGAGAGTTGCTCAACCATTCGAGACCTTCATAGAGACCATCACCGGAAGTAGCGCAGGTAGATTGGATGTACTGAATGCAAGTTAGTATCAAATCATGTGGCGGAGTCATTGTTCTTACCCAGGCGCGTTGTCGGAGACTGTGAAGACCAAGCTTGTCTGTGATTTCGGCAGCGTTCATGGCGTTCTATAAATGATCAGCAACTAGTAAATATAGCATCGCGCGCCGCGACTTACGGGAAGATCCTGCTTGTTGGCGAAGACAAGGAGAAGAGCGTCACGGAGCTCATCCTCGTTCAGCATGCGCTGGAGCTCTTCACGTGCCTCGACGATACGATCTCTGTCGTTGGAGTCGACAACGAAGATGATACCCTGGGTGTTCTGGAAATAATGCCTCCAAAGAGGTCGGATCTTGTCCTGCCCACCAACATCCCACACTGTGAACTGGATGTTCTTGTACTCGACAGTCTCAACGTTGAAGCCTATAAAGGGGTCAGTCCGGTAGGCAGTATTGTTGGGCATCGCGCGTCATACCGATTGTGGGAATGGTGGTGCTATATCAGTTAGCACTGTGTTCAATAATCACATGTCGGGAAGTTGCACGTACACAATTTCACCGAGCTTGAGCTTGTAGAGAATAGTGGTCTTTCCGGCGGCGTCAAGACCAACCATCAGAATTCTCATCTCCTTCTTTCCCCATAGTCGGTCAAACAGCTTTGAGAATGTGAGACCCATGTTCGCGACTCAGCTGACACAGGTAATGTTGAGGTTTAGGTTGTGTAGGGGTTCTGGTATAATGTGTCAGCTAGACCAATTAAAGCGCGCGACAGATTGGTAACAGCAAGACTGTATGCGAGGACTAAGATGTCGCGCGGTGCGAGACGAGACATTTTGAGATATAAAAGCATCCGCCCATATCTCCCTTTCACAGGTCGGAGGTAGTTGTGTGGCCACTTGTCCTTGCGGTGTAGTAGGATCTTAGGATAGGCAGACAGATTTGGATTTCGCTTACCGAGGAGGATTGTGAGACACTGTTCCGAGATTTTGAGGCAGGGAAAAGAGTGTCGATGAAAGGAATTAATGTTCAGGATTCGAGATGGACGGATTGACGGGCACTTTGGGGTGGACAGATTCAAGGATGAAATCGCAGCCCAGACAGAGCACGCCAAGCCAAAAGCGGCGACGTTGGTGAAAGGTCGAGTGTAGATGGGCCTAGCGCACTTTTGGCCCTCTTGATATCGGCTCAGGCCGCGTATAAACGCTCTGGCCACAGGTTTAAGGGGGAAAAGGAGTTGTGCTACATCTATCAAGAGGTCGTCCACTATGGAGCTCATCTGTGTCATTGTTAATTACTTTGTGCAGATGCGGCCAATTATTCCTCATGGCTATATCATGGAGCACGTGCTGAATCACTCGATTCGTGCAATGCGCGTCCTGAGAATGTCAATGATTCGCCTCCCAGTGGATCATTTACAGTCCAGACACCTCCTGAGCATCTGAGCCTCTGACTGTGTATAGGACATGCCTCTTCCGCATATCGATTCCCAAGATTGTCCAGGTATGATGCCTGCCTTCTTTTTCACCGTGATGGGCAGGATTAATCATCCTGTAGCCTAGCTTTCGATACATCGTCAAGGCGTAGTCATTGCCATGACCAACAACTGTGGTGCAGAAAGGCGCAATCGAAGTGTTCCCCGAGGCATCTTGTCTGATACTCGCCATTACCTCTTGGACAAGCCGCCTCTCAAGGGCGCAACCACGGCCTCTCAAGGCAACGAAAAGTGCTGACATAGTATGCTCGGCCGATGTTTAGCAGTGTTCATCCACACCTGTAGGTTCTGGCGTCACGGGCACCACAAATCCAGGCAAGTCACCCTGCAGCAGTGCCGATGGCTCATTGTCGGTGCCGTGACCTGTGGGCAGGTCTCGAGCAAAAACAAGATGAATAGCTCTTGGGGCTCTCAACCCGTTCAGCCGGAACTCTTCGGGCTGTTTGACTTCGTTTTCGTAGACAGAGATCCAGAATTCAGGGTCTGACTTCAAACTTCTGAGTCTAACAGCTTTGAGCGTGTCGAAAACTCCACGAGGGTGTCATGATCTGGGGCACATCTCGGAAACGGTGTACAGTACAAGAAGCCATCGTGTTTGCGGCCCTTCCCACAGAGGTGCGATGCATGGTGGACAAGATCGATGGTCAATTCAAACTGCGAGACTTATACCTGAACAAGTAGGCATTGTGCCTTGAGTGACTCACATCCTCATGCTCATATGCAGGCGATGCGAGGAAGGCAGCTTACCAGACACTGTCATAGCGGAGTATGACTCCATCGCAGAAGTCTGTAGCCCGTGGCTCAATCACCGCCACATCTTCCAGCGAAGTGTGCGTGAAGATGTTTGGGCAAATGACCATCTAGCAGAGCCGAGCCAAAGCCAACTTCAACTTCAAATTCGTGGGCCACCCACGCTAAGCCCAACCCGTCCTAGCCTGACCAAATTCTTGGCATCACCACACTTCTTTTCCGGCGCAGGCTTTGATGGCAACGACTTTTCCCTCTCTACAAACGTTCTTGCGCAGTGCCTCACCATAAGAATCTAAATAATTCTTCTGGAAGACTGTCCTCATCATGGCATCCAAAATCACAGTCGGTAAGGTCTTTCCCGAAAACCACAGTTTGCGCCGTTACTGACAACCTCTCGCAGCCGGAGTGCGCACGAACGTGCAACAACTTCTCGAGTACTCTTTGAACGAGAAGAAGCGAAACTTCCTCGAGACCGTCGAACTCCAGATCGGCTTGAAGAACTATGACCCTCAGCGTGACAAGCGTTTCTCCGGAACCATCAAGCTGCCCACTGTTCCTCGACCAAACATGGCCATCTGGTACGCCACCCTGCCTAACCCAATATCAATCCTCAATGTCATTTTCAACGGGATGGGAAATAACTGAAAGAGTGAACACTAACATTTTGCAGCGTCCTCGGTGACCAGCACGACATTGACCGAGCCAAGCACCACGGCATTGACGCCATGTCCTCCGAGGATTTGAAGAAGCTCAACAAGAACAAGAAGCTGATCAAGAAGCTCGCCCGCAAGTACGACGCCTTCGTCTCCTCCGACAGCTTGATCAAGCAGATCCCTCGTCTCCTCGGTCCCGGTCTGTCCAAGGCCGGCAAGTTCCCTACACCCATCTCCCACAACGAAGATCTGGCCGCCAAGGTCACCGAAGTCAAGTCCACCATCAAGTTCCAATTGAAGAAGGTCTTGTGCATGGGTGTTGCTGTCGGCAACGTCGGCATGACCGAGGATGAGCTCATCTCCAACATCATGTTGGCCATCAACTACTTGGTCTCTTTGTTGAAGAAGGGCTGGCAAAACGTGGGCAGCTTGACCATCAAGGCCAGCATGAGCCCTCCCAAGAGATTGTATTAGATTACATATGTCTTCGGAGTGGTCTCGCGGCTTTTGCTTCGATCAAGATGCACCTCTATTCCATACGGCGCGTTGCACGTTATCTGTGCGCCCCTCAAGGCAAGAGCGAGGAAACACACATAGTTGTTGCTCCTACAGCTATCAATGACAAGCCATGAATCATTTTCATTATTTGGTGCCACTCGTGATTATCACGATCCGTATTGTAGGCTCGCTCACTGCATTCCCTCCATCAGGTCCGTCTTGTCCAATATCATATCCCTTATCCCGCACTCGTCTCTAAGCCGGTGCCAATCGGAACCTTGTTCTTCGCCCCATCTGGACTTGTCCTGAAATCCCCAGGCCAGGGCAAGCCGGTCATAAAACGCTCGCTCGTGCTCCCTGATCCAACGGTCGGCTAACTTCGTTCCCGGCCGCCAGACCACTCTCTGCATCTGATCATTGGACGTGGTAATTGCAACAAACCCAATAGTCGAAAGCGTGCCGATGTATGCTAGTGCTCCTGCAATCGCGGTATATTTTGACATCTCGATATCCATCGTATTTTGCCAATGAGCCACCCAGTCCGCACCAGCGTATGCTACCAGGGGAGTTGCGCCAACAACTCCCAATGGCAAAGCGGCCTTTGAGAGTATCCTGTGTGCCCGCCATGCCGGTGTCGCCACAGTGGTGTCGATGATGGCTATGGCCAAAGGCAGGTTCTTTTTCAGGATCGCGGCTTCCAAGGCCGCATCCGCAAGAGACAGCGGGATCGCATATTTAGGTAATTTCGGCCATGGCTCGGAGTATGTGATGGGTTTCGTGTTGGCGTGTGGGATTTTCTTGTGCGCGTGTAGATGGAACATCTCCGGGAGATACTCTGGTTTGCCCAGCAAGCATTGGACGCGAACGTACATCTGGAGTGCCTCGTCAGAGACGTACACTTTCGGATCCCGTAGGAGGGTGTATATCAGGTCGGCTATTGTTCTGGAGGCGTTCTCTCGAAAAGGCGCTGAAAGCTCCTTGTTTGGTACGAATACTTGATCTTGATTCGAACTGTCCTCCGACAAATCCCGCAGTATTGCTTGTGATAGATCTTCGCCTGGCTGCATCGACACTTCGTTCGCACCCTTGCTGACGCCAAAGACGAGGCAGTTGGCCAGTCGATAGCAATCAAGGAGTAGCTCGAGGACATCGCTGTTATCTGGGACGGTGTCAAGCGAAGTCAATCGCGACACGGCTTCTTTCAGACGTGTAAGTTCTGTGGTAGGATCGATTTGTCTGAGTTCTATTTGCGAGGGGATCTCGTAAGGATCTTCCGATGGGTCTTGTTCTGGTTGCTTGATTTTTCTATCTCTAGGTAGCGCTGCAGCCGGCGCGACTCTGGGTATGGCAGATTGCGAGAGAAATCGACGAGCATTCTGCTGCACCCGTTGTTCGTTGGAGGTAGTCTTTGCTAGCAAGGCGATTTGTCGTCGGCTAGATTGAGGTGCGCACAATCTTTGGCATGACTTGCAGACGAAACCTGCTCGTCGCGGTAGTATCGTAGCCATGGCGCCTTCGATTATTTCTGTTCTTTATTTGCGACTGATCCAAGCCCAGCGTTGGCATGAACCGACCTCCAATTTTGGGCGCAGACGTGGAGTGGATTGAAGGTCATTTGCAGCTACGCTATGAGGCATTCACTCCACCGCATAGACTCTACGGAGAGTCATGCATCAAGCCTTTGATCTATCTCGAAGTTCGTCTCACGTCATCAAAATTGTGAGTTCATCCAATGCTTTCCTTGACCTTTCCGCCTCGTTGTCCACGGATTATTCTGCTTGGTCGGGGGACAATATGCCATCCGCACCTCCACCTCAGTTCTTGTCGATAGGCGGCTTTAGGGTCGCTCTGGAACTGTATCCTTCGCTTGTGGAGAAAGTGTACACGTCCAAACTCAAAGATCCCAAGAAAGTTGCGGACGCGCTTCAACGCGACAAATGGCGATTCGAGGAATTGCCGGCCAATGTTGCCCACATGATCGGCAGTCGTCAGAAAGACGTGAAACATGAGAAGGCTAGCAGTAATGTCAAGGATGGGGGGCTCACGAAAAACGCTGTTGAAAGGCTAGTGCAATGGAAGATGTAAGTTCACTTCACATGCAATAACGATTTGGTTCGGGCGTATACCTTTTCAGGGCGCAGAAAACATCACAGCGGCGTCAGGAGTTGTACTCTCCTTCCTCTGCCACTCAAGCTGGTGGGTCACTAACTGAAATCCAGCACGCATGGCCACTCTCGTCCGTTCCTGCCCGCCATGGTGCGCAAAAACGATCCGTTAGCAGTTCAAACCCAGACGGCTGCGGCGTTCACCAAGCTATCCTTTTCTGATAGTCCTGAACCCCCATCAACATCGACAGTGGTCGCTTCGCTGAACGCCGCGTGCAAGCTTACAGGCATAGGACCTGCAACAGGAACTTTGATTCTGAACATCTTCGATCCAGCTCACATCCCGTTCTTCCAGGACGAGATGTATGCTTGGTTTCTTCCAGACACGAAGTCGGACAAACTGAAGTACACCCAGAAAGAGTACCTGCAACTGCTGGAAGCTGTACGGCCGGTGTTAAAGAGGTTAGCTGTTAATGCTGTCGATTTGGAGAAAGTCTCATATGTTTTCGGACATATGGACCAGCTTGATGAAGAGGAGCGCAAGAGGTTGGAGGAGTCGGTGGCAACTGCTGACGAACAGGAGGCGGAAACAGACTTGCCGCAGCAGGAAGCGATTGTAAAGGCTGGAGATCCTGAGAAGAAAGGGACGAAGGAAAACGTTGCCGTGAAGAAAGGGCAGAAGAGAGCGCCAGAAACCGAAGCGAAGGAAGATGGCGTTCAGCAGATCTCCGGACGGCGAACACGCCAGAAGAAATGACCTGCTCCACCGGGGTCGAACACATTATTTATCAATTACTATCGACTCGCCGCATACGACGCCCGAAATGTCCCATTTGGAAACTCAAGCCAAACCCTGCGCTAGATCGGCAACCGAAGGGAATATGATGTGTTGTTGATCTTCACAAAACGAGGCCAAGCCCAGCGAGAGCAACGACAGTCAAGCTATTTTCCATTTCTGTCCTGGTGACCCCATTATGTTGCGAAGGGGTGGAGGAAGCAGTAGCACTTGAGCTTGTGCCAGTGCTGGAAGCAATGCTTTCTCCGGATGTAATGGAAGCAGACGTTGCAATGATGCTAGCGGCGGTAGAGGCATTTGTGGCGGATACAACGCCCATCGTGGTCGTACTGCCATCGACAGCAGCGGCGTTGCAGTACTGCTCTCGGTCCTGCTGAACGGTGGTAGCGCCCGGGTCGTTCGGGCAATTGTTGTAGCAAGTCAACAGGTTGCCATACTGTGTACAGAGGCAGGAATAGTCAGTCTGGGCGCACGAATTGACCTGAGCTTGCTCAGTTGCACATGCAGGCATCGAGAATGCTAACGATGATCAGCATCAGTCGTCGGCGATGGGTTCCAAATCTGCTTACTTCTGAGCAGCGCAGCTCGTGGATGCCGCAGACGCGCTCGCTGTAGTGGTGGCTGTTTGCGCTGCCACAAAAGAGGCGAGCGATGCTAGGAGAAAAGTGGTTACCTGCATCGTGATGTGTGACGGGGATTGTTGCTCAGAAAGGCTTGACACAAGAAATACAGCGAAAGAACGGGGTGTGAACAAAAACGAAGAACTCGGACACCTATGAGCAACATATTGACAAAACCCCGAACGAGGAAGCGAAGGCAAGGTAGATGGACTGTGGGACCAGAGAAAAGATGAACAGGACATACATGACACCGGCATGACAATTTTGTCCTGGTCGACGCCGGTGTCAGTATGGCTTGTCGACGAGGCGGACACTTCACCAGCTTGGCCAGTCGGATTAAATGCCAGTAATCCGGGGTTGGGGAGAAGAGCAAAGCTACACCTTTCCTTTCGCTCCACACCATGTCAGTCACAAGCCTGCAAGATACTCGCGTTCTCGACACAATGGGGTCAAGCTACATCGACGTGCAGCCAAATGTGTTGCATTCATTGTGGACGAGGGAAGACTGATTGACGTGTGTGGTCCAAGTCCAATATTCAAAGCCACTTGTTTTGGTGCAAGAGAATCGCGACGTTGATGGAAAAGGGAGATTGAGATGTTCTGAATGGAAGCAAAATCTATATGTCGAAAGAGGCATTTGCATGTTCGGAAGCGAGATGAACGTCGTACCAGTATAATGACGCTCAAAGTGAAAGCCACTACGGAGCTACTGTACATGCCAAAAGGCTCAGCTATATGCTAAGCTTTCTCCATCCTCATTGCACATAACAATGAATTCCGGGTTGTTGTCGCTAATTTATACTACGAGAAGTCGATTCTCGTTCAACACAGGCACAATACCCGGGGAGAACACGGTACCACAACGAGATCGACAGCAATGCATTGCTTGTACGAGTACTCCTTCAGGAAGACCGCCGGCTGGTCGGCAAAGTCTTCAGGATGTTGGAGAAACTTGAACTCCCCAACCCAACATCGTCCGAGTTGTTCAAAGCCTCGGGGGACCATCTCCGCCACTTCTTAGTGATCCTGACCTCTACTTCGTCATCACTCAGCCTAGTGACCCTAGCACCATCCGTGTCTTGTCAAAACACGTTCGTCGGGCTTAATAAAGCTCTTGTCTCAGCCTCATCAAGCACAGCCTGATCAGCAGCAGCATGCGGTCAACAGCGTATGATGTGATCACATTCAACAGCCCCTTAATGAAGCCGGACACTACTGCACGAGCGTGCGCTCACTGTCATGCAAAGAAAATCCGCTGCATAGGCCGAACTGGTCAAGCACGATGCGATGCATGCCGACTTGCGCTCGTGCCGTGTGTCTCAAGGTCTCGAAAGAAACGACAAATCACCAGGAAAACCTCAGTCCGAACACCTACTGCTGATTCCAGCATCGGAGATATCTCTGACACGATCGCCTCCGCAACACCTCATGGTTCGGAGCCGATCCGATTAACATCGCATGACCGTGTCCAGCAATCGTTGCCACACGCAGCCAGCAGCATAAGATCGAAGGTGCCGTTGACCGCCAGTCCTGGCGCCAACAAAGCACCTCAGGTCCCGATAACTGTTGTCGGACCTAGCTTGCAATGGGATGATTTTCAGTCGCAAACAGGAATGGAAGTCACTCATCAGGTTCCACTGATTGACCAGGCCACTCAGATTTCACCATCAACGACCATGACTGAAAATGCCACATTTATCGGAAGAGACCATTACATCTGGGAAGAGGAACAGATTGACGAGACTACGGCTCGGGCATTCCATGCTTCTACCCCTCACGACGTCTCGAACATCGCATCACAAACGCTCCAATTGTGGAAGACATTTGAAGTCCCGGCTAAGTCTGCTAGAGCCAGCCTTGTAGACTCGTACCGTCGACGCTGTTATCCTTGGACGCCAGTACTGGAGAGACACGACGATGTGCAGATTACCACCCAAACCGAGAGCTCCATGTTTCTATCTCAATGTCTTTTTCTAGCCGCAAGCAGGGTGTCTTCTTCCCCCATGGTAACAGCTTACGCGACTTCAGAACAATTCTACCAACGAGCTAAAACGCTCTTCTGGCTCTCTCCAGGAAAGGATCCGTTGATCGTGCTCAAGGGTATCTTAATGCTTCAGTGGTTCAACCCTGATGGTCCAGAACATTTATCGTTGGACTCGAGCGAATTCTGGCTCAAGATCGGAGTCGGAATAGCCCACCAGATCGGCCTGCATCGAGAGGACGCCGCACCAAATCGCAGGGCACTTCGAAGAAGGTTATGGTGGTCTCTTGTGGTGAGTATTGGTTTTTCATTCTCGATCTAGGACACACTTCTTCGTCTAGCACTGGATCTGACAGCGGGCCTAACACAATACGCGTAGGCTCGAGATTGCTTGATATCAGCTTCCCACGGCCGGCCTCGCGCTATTAACCTGGAGGACTGTCAGGTGCGGCCACCGGAACGCAGCGACTTTCCTGATGACCGCTGCGAGGCAGACATATTCATACCTTATGTTGAAATATGTTGTTTGCTCGGTGATATCACAGACTGCTGTTCCAGACATCATTTACCGTCATCGAAACGATTGCAGATCGAGAGCATGCTCTTTCGCTGGCTGCGAACATTATCGCCGGCGTTGCGTTTGACGCCAACGAACCCTTCCAACGCTTATACCGCCACGGATGACAACTATGATGCGCGTCTACTGCATATACACTATCTTACGACAATCTCCATGCTGAGCAGATATACTACTCCGAAAGAGTATGTCCCTCATGAAGCAGTGTTTGCAGCATCTTTCGCTGCCGGGATCTTTGAAACACTCCTTGCTCGCGACGAAATCAAGTTCCTTCCACCACCATTTACCATCTTCTGTCTGATATGCTCAATGGTTCTTGTGTCTCTTCGTCCTTTCAACTGTCTCTGGCAGGCTGCGCAACCTGACCTCTTAATCTTCCGGGAATGTTTGTTGCAATTGTCCAAGCGCTGGAGGTCAGCCATTGGGGCTTCGAAAGCGTTGCAAAATGCTCTTGATAAAAACAAGCACGCCAGTACATCAAGACCGTTCAGAACTTGGCAGTGGGACCAGGTCACTGCCTGCCAATATTTTGAAGGCTATGCTTTGGAGCTTTGTCGCATGTGGCAAGTCGTACAAAGTGAAGCTGCCGAGGAGGGTCCGCCGCTGGGTTTGGGGAACGAAGATCCGGTGTCTCAGGGACCCCTCGATTGTCTCCATGGTCTTGAAGCGGATCCTTTCCTCAGCAATGGGGTGAATTCTATGGCTGTGACTGGTCCCGAGGACGACGTGATGGCTTTCTTCCAGTACGACCATATTAATCACTGGGTGTTCGATGATGGGAACTTTACCGACTTCTGAATTGTTGCCTATCACCGACGAGCCTGTTTCGAGAAAAAGTGGCACAATCTCACGGCTGTAGCTGGTCAGGTTCAAATGAATACCATCCTGATTGTCATCCCAGAGTCCTTCACACACAACAGCATAGCGTTGGCCTTTGTCAGAGAGGAGGCCATCAGCTCTACCGTACAGTGCTTCTATCTTGCTGTCGAGGCACCCGCTGCTGTGAACCAGCTCGACCCCTGACTTGTGTCTTCCGTATGCGCCCCGTCAGACGGTGCCACTTTTTCTGGAAACAGGCTCGCCGAGTAGTACAGCCTGTCTCACAATTTGTGCCTCTTCTGGCCTGTCCGCAATTTCTCAAACTCTTTCTGCGGTATACCTGCCACTTGACGCTCAAGGTTCTGGAAGACCTCTTCAACGTTTTGTGCATCCAGTTCTCTTCTGAAAGAACCCGAAGCCAGCTTCTTGATGCTCAGCATACTGGAATCGTTAAGGTGAGCTCCCAGCCTGTCATCAAGCTCTACCAGCACAGCGGCTAGGAAGTGTTCCGCATTACCAGTCTCGATGTCGAAGATTTTGTTGACAAAGCCGCAAGCCAGCAACTCATCGGCTGGGATCCTCTTGCTCATGACCAACGCTTCGTTTGCTTTAGGCCATCCCATCCTGCGGGCAAGCATCATAGACGATGCTCCCTCGGAAACCAGACCAAGGCTCGAGAATGGTGTGAGAAGGTACGCATGTGGGAGACAGTAGATGAAGTCCGAGCAGGCCACGAGTGCTGCAGCCACCCCAACCACGGGTCCGTTGAGAGCCGTCACCAGGATTTTCGAGTGTGAGTAGAAAGTGCGACTGATGAAAAGAGTGTTTTGTACAGTTTCGCGTAGTCCATGCCTTGTGAGATCGACATCTGGTCCTGTTCGCCGACTGACTGACACGTCTGCACCTCTATACCAACCATCAGTAAGCTCGGACACATGGGCCTGCTGCTGCTGCTTTCTTGACTTACGCAGAGAAAAATTTTCCTTGACCCGTCACCAACGTGATTGTCACCTCGTCGTGTTTCTCTACTTCCTTTAGACTTCGGGCTAATTGGTAGAACCCATCCTTCGTCATCGCATTCAGTTTCTTGGGGTTGTTCAACGTAACAATGGCGATACGGCCTCGATAATCTAAGGTTACCACATTCGACGCCATATCTGGCAATTTCGAGACGGTGCCTGGGTTGCCTACCACAACCGAACCTTGCGAAGCTTTCGTCAAGTTCGGTCGGCCTGAATCACGTTTGACGACTTATCGTCATGTGCCATAGCATTTCTACCTTCATGGCGTTATGGGATGTTCCGTGATGCATTCCGTCACCATTCTGAGGAAAGACAGTTTCTTACAAAACGCCGTTGGAGAACCATCGATAACGCCGGAAGTATGCATCGAAGGCTACGGCGAAATCCTGAGTTGCGTTAGCGTGTGGGAAACATGCCGATCCCGAGTATACAAGTGGGGGATACAAACGAGCAGCAGAAGACGGCAAGCCTGTTTCCAACAAAAAGTGGCACTGTCTGACAGGGAGTCCATCGACGATATAGATCGAAGTTCTGCAGGTTCGCGACAACGAGTGTCTTGACAACAAGCTGGTAGGGATACACGATGGAGATGATAACCTCCCTTCTGACAATGCATAAAGCTCTATCGTTGAGTGCGAAGGACTTTGAGATGACAATAAGAAACAATACCTATTTGCACCTGACGAGCGACACTGGTCAGACCGTGCCACTTTTTCTGGAAACAGGCTTGACGGGACACAGGAACAATGTCGGAACGCTCTCGGTGATTATCTTCCACAATCTTGTTCACTACTCCGTGTTCGTTCTCTACCATCGTTCTACTACATATCCTAGCTGTGAGACTATCTTCGCTTATGCTTGTATCCGATATCCCGACGGCCGCTGCCGTCCGGTAGTCTATTCGCTTCTGCAAAATGCAAGAGAACAGGTAACAGCCATCAAGGTAGGACCAAGGAACTTGTAAAGCATTCTGGACGGCCAGCTTACTTTGCGTCGACATGCTCAGCCACCACCTGTCCACGGATGTTGTCAGGGGTGGGATCGTGTGGTGACGCGTACTCAACGTGATGCTTGTATTTCTCCTCAATCGTGGCCGAATCGACTTGACTTTCTCTCGGAAGTTCCTTCGCATGCCTGACCACGTTGAATATTGACGATTGATCGAAGATCCGATCCATCTCCTCCAGAGACCGATCGTTCGTCTCCGGGAAGAAGAGATAGACTGAAGGGATAAAGGCTGCGTTGAGGACCGCATAGATGATCCAATATCGATTGCTCAAGTTAGCCGTTCCTGCTGGCGTTACTTGGCCGACAACGAACTGGCTGAGCCACTGCGCAGATACCGCAATAGCCGATATAGGCATTCTCATCTTCAAGCCAGAGATTTCTCCAGCGTAGAGGAAAGGCAGTCCGAGGAAACCGAGAGGGTAGAAGAAGGCATATATGAACATGAAGGCGACAGTGACCTTAGCGAGCCGCGGCTCGTTGCTGGTGCCGGCCATCACGGCCATGGCAATCGCCAACCCTGACAGCGACAACATAAAGAGTCTTCGTCGCCCGAAACGATCCACGGTCCATAGGGGAATGAATGCTGCTACCGTGAAAGTCGACGTAAAACCGCAGCTGAGAAAGCTGCCGGCTTTCCCGGTATAACCAAGATCTGCAAATGTTGTTCCCGTGTAGAAGATCAATGCAGAACAGCCACAAAGTTGCGTCATGGCTTGAGCCCATGCCGCAATTATAGCCCGATGCAGATACCTTTCCTTTGTATTCTTGAAAAGCAAGCTCATGTCTCCTCGAGTGCTTTCCAAAGTGTACTCAATGTGGTTCATCTCGGCGTTGACCTCGTGGGAATCGTTGTCCTTGTCCATAACGGCGGCAATGATGCTGCGAGCTTCCTCAAATCGGCCTTTCCGCGCAAGCCATCTGGGCGACTCGGGCATGAAAAAGAGCACTGGCATAACGAAAAAGGCCAGCCAGACAGGAAAGACAATGGTGACGCGCCATTGTGCAGAGTTGTCGAAGGCCTCGGAAAAGCCAAAAGCGATCCACTCAGACATGGCAATACCCGCACTGATGAAGATGCCTTCGACGATGACGAACATTCCACGGTGCTTTGTAGTTGCGCATTCGGTCTGCCAGATTGGTATTGACGCGCTGATGATACCTATGGCTCCTCCAATCAAGAGTCTGCTCACAACGAATTGAGCCAAAGAGTATGCAGAAGATTCGAGCGCAAGCGCAATGACCGCGAGGACAAGGCCTGCGAAGATGGATCGTAATCGGCCGATCCTGTCCCCAAACGCAATGCAGGACAATGCACCACCAACGGCCCCCAAATCATAACAAGCAGTGACAACACCTGAACGATATTGAGCTGCAAGTTTTCTCATTACGACAGGGGCTTCCATACCTAAAATGGTTGCTTTGTGGCTTTTCTCTGCGCCAGTCGTGTTGATTGTGTCGATGCTCGGGAAGACCTAAAAGAGGATCAGCATTGAGCAGACCTTTGGCAGGGGGTAAATGACCTTGACGAAGGATTCGAGATGTCCGACACCACCTGTAGATCCATTGTTGAAGCCGAAGAGAAGAAAGCTCGGAGCCACAACTAGCATAATCATGGCCAGCTTGAGACGCAAACCTCGAAGCCCAAAGAAAGGGCGTAGATTTGCTGCTGATCCGATCATCTTGGCGAAAGGGGCATACTATGCTGCCTGAAGGAGGAAGAAGTGTGTGGTTTGCAATTGCAATGAGAAGGAAATAAAGGTACCAATCTTCAGTCAATGCAGGACAAGTGGCCGGGGTTTTAGATATACCATAGCGTTATTCATTATCTGTAGCCTCACGGGCTCCCCACCTTTATGCCGCGTGGCAACATGTTTCCCCAAGTCTCCAGAGTTTCGGAAGCACGCCTGGGGATAAAGAGTGCGCAGTGCCGTGACATCCGGGGCACTACATCCCGTGGACGACAAAGGAACCCCGAAACGCCGTTATTGGGCAGTCTCCAACCCCAGTGATCAGGGCCAGTTGTGTCCATGCGTGGTACCGTTGTAGCACAAGTCTCCGTAAGACTCGTCTCGGGTATTCATGACGCCACTGGCAAAGTGCTGTAGTGACTTGGGGCATGGAGCGCCATTGATAACCAAAGAGTGGACATTTTGGGATTGTCTCTTGTTACGGCATTCCCAGCATTGTCCGATCTTGGTGGTAGCCAAGTGACACCGTAATCTTGACTAGGAAGTCCCGTGCCAGCCCAAAATCAACAACAACCTTGACACCAAGCTGCATCGGCCTGCACGAATTTTCAAACAAGTGCCTGTTGCTCTGAAGTACACTCAAACGCAACTTTCGAGACGTCACGCACGTACACGACAGCAACAATCACCATGACGTTCTCGCGAGCATCGGGAGACAATGCCGACCGTACACTACTTGTACCTTCTCACGAAGGTCCTCATGTGTTGCCGAACAGTCCTTTCTGGGGCAAGTTGCTTCGGCATGCACGAAGGAATCGAACGGCTATCCGAGACGTCGATTTGGGAGTGAGCAAGACATATGGACAGGCCTTGTCAGATGCACTGAGCCTTCGGGCCGTCATTGCGAGGTCACTGCCAAGGTCAATTCTCGATGATATCGCCAGGGGCGAGGAGGTCTACATAGGAGTCCTGGCCGCTGGCGGCTATGAATTTACCGTGGCTGTACTTGCAATTCTTGCGCTTGGAGCAGCCTTCGTGCCTATGTGTAAGTGATGAGCTTGTATATCCTTGATATCCTTCGCTGACAGACCAGCCGTTAGCGTCCCCGTGAACGAAGCCGCTTATTTTGTCACCAAGTGTCGACAACGACTCATTCTGGTCAGCTCGGAAGTGGCTCCGTTAGGCCAGGCCATCCAAAAGCATTTGTCCAGAGACCAAGACATTGCGATCCTGGAGATCTTGCCGAACATTCCCAAGAAGACCGCATACACCCCAACAGACATCTCTATCTCTTCTAATCCACCAATCGATGAAAGCAGAGCTGGATTAGTGATTTTCACCTCAGGCACCACGGGACGGCCAAAAGGCGCCGTCATGCGACATTCATACGTACATGAGGCAGCAATAGCTATCGGTGAAGGATACGACGTCGACCACAACGACGTCGTTCTACATGTCTTGCCTGTCCATCACACAACTGGTTTGGCCACGTCTTTCTTTGTGTACCTGAATGCAGGAGGCTGCATTGAATTCAAGCGTGGCAATCTCGACACAGCCTGGGTTTGGGACAGATGGCGTCAAGGCGGACTCACCGTTTTCTCAGCCGTACCAACCATACTTCTGCGCCTGCAATGGCATTTTGAGCAAAAGATACGGTCCACTCCTGAAGAGGCCGCCTATATTCAAGCTGCAAACCAGTTTCGGGCCTTCATGTGCGGCTCGTCTGCCCTGCAACAGCAGGTTCAAGAGTTCTGGACAGATATTCGTCAAGGTAGACCTATTCTTACCCGATATGGCGCTACGGAGTACCCTGGCTGCCTTAAGGTTCCGGCGGAGTTGGGAGCTGCTGTCCCCAAGGGATGCGTGGGCCTCCCCGTCCCGGGCGTGGAATTGAAGCTGTCCGATGGCGACGACGGCGAACTCCTTGTGAAGTCTCCCAATATGTTTGCCAAGTAAGTGCTCACCAAAACCTGGTATGATATCTTGGATGAATAATCCTCTCTGACAATTGTGTTTAGATATCTCTTTGATCCTGAAGCGACGGCTGAAGCTCATGACGAAGCCGGCTACTTCAAGACTGGAGACATCTGTCGGCGAGAGAACGGGTATTACTACATTATTGGTCGTGCATCCGTGGACATCATCAAGTCTGGTGGCTACAAGATCTCCGCCATCGAGATCGAGCGCGCTTGCCTGGACTTGCCATATATTTCAGAGGCTGCAGTAGTAGGCGTGGAGGACGAAGAGTTTGGTCAGCGTGTTGGTGCAATCATATCTTTGACCGCTGGCTCGTCACCCTTGAGCATACAGAATTTCCGGTCCGACTTGAGGCGGGAACTTGCGCCATACAAGTTACCTACGTTACTAAGAACTGTGGACGGCGAGCTGCCCAAGGGAGGCACAGGCAAGGTTCAAAAGAAGATTCTGGGTCCAAAACTGTTTCCCAAGAATTGGGCTGAGATAGCAGAAGTGCAATGCTACCGACCAGAAAGACGATCGAAAGCGAGTGGCCAACTTACGGCAAAACTATAGAACTGGAGATCCCGAAACGAATTTGTCCCTATCAAATCATGTTTCACTGAAAAGTGGGCTCATGCACAATTGTGATCTGCACCCAAGATGTAACTTGGAGGCGAATATGGCGAATTGTTTGCCAGATTTGACTGCAGTCAGGCCGTAGGCCTTTGGGAATTGATGCTTAAGAAGCAGTCTTCGCCATCAAACTGACTGGTCGCAAAACAGGGTTCCACAAACGAGCTGCAACTCGGTAAGGCGTGCCTCGACAAGCCTGCATCACAATATCAGTGGAGACCCCAACCCCGGCTTGGATGGCGGTCGCTAATCACGATGTGACATACCTCATTTAGGCAAGCAGATCGGCGCTCGGTCGGGACAATCCCTGAAAATCCACCCTTTTGTGGGTACGTTCGTCACCCCCTTTCAGGGAACGCCCTAAGCTTACTGACTCTTCAGCCCTGTTCCATTTTTGGAGCCTCGCGTCACAGAGCCTTTGTTGGCCTGCACGTGAGCTTCCTTGTGGACATACATTTTAATAAATGTCAAGGCAAGTGTCAGTATCGAGTTTGCAATGCAGTGCACACAGGAGGATCTCTACTGTCCCCATCACCAGCAATGAGTGCCGCACCCAGGAAGGTCCTGCTGTGGACGATGGCTCTGGTTGCAGCATCAACCCCACGCTTTGCAACGGCCCTTGATTCCAACAACTCCAATATATGCAATTTGTCCTCTATATCCACCTACCAGCTCGATTCCTTCAACGGAAATGTTTCACAATCCTTTCTTCAGACCAAGACGTCGACCAGGGGCTTTACCCAGTGTGAGAATGCGACACTGATCTCTTATGATCAAGAATTCAATTCACTATTTGCACCGAATGCCTCTCTGAATCTGATCTATGCTGATCCCAGTGGCGATCCAATCGCCGACGAAATGGGTATATGGCTCTGGGACCGCAATCAAGTTTGGATGGCTTCGGCTTCGGAAAACAATGTTTCGCATGTCAGTATTCTCGACCTGTCGAACAACACTGTCAAACCGTTACCAGTACCCAACGGTATCGAAGTTCTGAATCCTAATGGTGGGGGCTACCACAATGGGAAGGTATACATAGCTGGAGACGGGAACTATACTGTCCCTCCCTGTATCTACGAGGTTGACCCTGTGACGTACCAGACCGAGGTCGTCATCAACAGTTACTTCGGCCTACGATTTGGAGGTCCCAATGATGTTACATGGGCTTCTCGTGGAGGCAAGAGCTGGCTTTTCTTCACCGACGACCCTTTGAGCGAAGTCTACAATAATGGGCAAATACCACAGGTGCCAGATGCCACGTGGCGCTGGGACCCGCTCGAAAACACATTACTTCCAGTCATCGACAGAACTGATATTCTGGTACCGAACGGCATTCGAGTGAACAAAAACAGCACCAAGCTCTACGTGACCGACACACCAGATCCGCTCGTTTATGGTGCGGCTGCGGTGCAGACCGCGTCTGGACAGAGCATATACGCCGCTACATCCAGTTCTGCAATCTATTCCTTCGACCTCGACGAATCGGGCTTTCCGTCGAGTCGGCGGCTTTTTGGCATCGCCGAGCGAGGCATAGCAGATGGACTACACGTGGATGATGCGGGACGAGTATGGACCGGCGAACAAGACGGGATTGTGGTGCGGAGCCCGTCGGGAAAGGTTCTCGGCATGGTGAATGCTTTGGCAATTGAGGGGGAAGATGTTGTCAACTCCGGAACGAGTCCATTGCAGAATTTCGCATTGGCGGGAGATCTGCTAGTGGTTCTGGCGTTCAATAAGATCTATACGGTCCAACTCAGCTCCCAGATTGTTTCGGATATGACATAGTTTCAACACCGGTGGTATGAAAGACCGATGTACTGTAGTCGACCACTATGATGGAGTGGGAGTGCTTTGATCGCCAAGGCCTCCAAACTCAGTAGCAGGGCAAGCCTGTTTCCCAGAAAAGTGGCACAGTCTGAGCCGTGTCGCTCGTTGGGCGCAAATAGGTATTGTTTCTTGATGTCGTCTCGAAGTCCTTTGCACACAACGATAGAGCTTCTTGCATTGTCAGAAGGGAGGTCATCAGCTCCATCGTGTATCCCTACTGGCTTGCCGTCAAGGCACCCGGTCAGACAGTGCCACTTTTCCTGGAAATAGGCTCGAGGGCTCGCAAAATTGCTACCACTATCCTACCAGGGCACTTCTTCTCCAGTATATGTGTAGAACTTTCCTGTATCCGTGTCCTGCAACTTGTGCAAAGTATTCAACATCTGCAACTGTGTGTCAGCCTAGAACGGTACCGCCACAAGAACCCAAGGGACCCTGCTTCCACGGAGCGGCATAGTCGAGGGAGAAAGGACTTACTCCGCCAATGCTCACATGTGGCTCTAGGATTGCACCCCCGCCACCCATTCTCGTCTTCACCCAGCCCGGGTCCATACATATCACTTTGATCCCTCGATCCTTCAATTGTTCGCTTTGGTGGACGGTCAACATGTTCACCGCGGCTTTTGAGATGGAATACGTGGTGCACTTCGGTCTAAGCATAAGCATACGTGGTAAGTATGTGAACCAAGATGATCGCTCTTTCGTTGGGGAAGGGCATACAATTTCTTCCCGCAGCTTCCCAGCCCAGATGTCATGTTCATTACCACACTTTCCTTGCCCAGCTGAGGCAGTAGAGTTTTCAAAGTTTCAGCCGGTCCCGCCACGTTGACATCGATATGCTCTCTCAGACTTTCCGCGGTAATGTCCAAGCTGGTCTGATCCGGCGTGGAGTTGATTCCCGCATTGTTCAGCAGAAAGTCGATTTGCTTCCCACCAAGAACCTGTTTGACGTCCTCACCAAACTTGTGGATCGACTTGATGTCGCCAGTATTGCACTCCACGACATGAATCTTGCCCTCGGCCTGAGAGGAGAGCTTTTGCAGATCGTCGAGATCGCCCTGTAAGGTCCGAACAGCAGCAATGATCGTGTTGGAGCTATTCGAGGACAATTGACGGACGAATTCAATGCCCAGACCTCGGTTTGCACCTGTTATCACGTAGGTGGGCATCTTGACTGTCGCGTGATCACTTGGTATAATGTATACTTGGGAATGCTGATTAGTAACGCCTGAGTGGTATACCTGAGGTTGACCATGGAACAAAGTAACTTTAAAGATCTCTCGAAAAGGGGAGAGCGGGTGTCAATGACGGACGTCACCTACATCATATTCTGCCGCTATCTTCAATTCAGCCTAAAGTGTTAGACCCTGAGTGAAGTGATTTACGGCGATAATCATCATCCTTGTCATGCCCATCAAGCGAAAAGCTTAGCCATGACAAGACCGATCAAGCTTCAGGGGCACGCAAATCTGCGGGGTCAATTGTAAGATGCAGTGGTTTAAATCCACAACGTCCCGTCAACATGCTCACATAAACGAGGATACTACAATCAAAGGTAATCCACAGCGCTTTACAACTATTCGCTCGATATAACAAGGTCTGGAATGAGGACCTTAAAGCAACGCGTCCTGAATGCCCCACCAAATCTTGCACTCGGTGTCAATGCCGTGTGGTCCTCATAAGTAATACAAAAGGTTAGCGCAAAGACAGCGGCGGGCGTGGTTTCTATCCAGGTACCAAGCGTTCGGGACACACCGCTTGACATGCAATGTTTGTGAATGGGGCCTCTATCTTATGTCATGTCATGTCATGTCATCTTGCATTGCTCGCTAATGCAGTGCCGACTTATTTCAACCCCTACTACGCTAAGAATTGGAATAGTACTCCTGGCCATCATGTCTCCCGTGATAGGACCACGAGCCAGGCTCGTAGGGCACCTGGTGAGCATGGGATGCAGTACTGAAGAAGCTGACCTACATCATTAGAGTACGTCACTCTTATACAAACATCCCGTCCAGATGATCAGAGTGGGCGAGGTTCACTCGCTCCTGCTCAATCGGATGTAGTGAAAAGTATCGACATTTAAGGTCCTCATTTTCTGGATGCGCTCGTCCCAGCCGCCATCGGATTTTTGTTATTTTATATCTACTCGGTCAAGGATCTTTGGGTTTCCTCCTTCTAATGTCGCTTACCGCAAAGAAAAGCTGAGCATTGAACTTCTGAGAAGCTTGGACACTTAGCATCTACTGCTTGAGCCTACAAATTTCTTCCTCGATATGTCTCACGACTATCCCTTTGGAATAATGAACCCTTCTTGTGTCAACCTCGATACCGCCGATCCCAGGGATGTGACCTGTTATATTCAGTGGTCCGGCAACGATTACAATGGAGACCTCGGAGCTCGCATCTCTTCGGTCTTCGTCATTTTGATTGTATCTTCAGCTGTCACCTTTTTCCCCGTTCTGGCGACGAGAGTGAAAACTTTACGGATTCCTCTCTATGTCTATCTGTTCGCTCGCTACTTCGGAACAGGAGTCATTATCGCGACTGGCTTCATCCAGTAAGTGTGATGTATGGTCGTTGTAAGCATGAACAAGTTGTGGCTAATGACCTCCCTAGCCTTCTCGACCCATCCTACTATGAGATCGGCATGAACACATGCGTAGGAATGACGGGCTCATGGTACTTGTACTCGTGGCCACCTGCAATTGCCTTGTCGACTGTGATGTTGACCTTCCTATTGGACTTCATCGCCGAACGCTACGTGGAGAAAAAGTATGGGATCCCTCAACAGGAGAATGTCAATCCGACAGAGAATAACCTCCGCTCTGGCTCAGTCGACGCGGCGATGCTCCGATACGAGTTCTCCCGACGTCGGTCATCTGCCCACGGAGATGGTGCGGTCGATCGACCAAACGACACGATTCAGCAACATCAACCATCATCACAGAGAGATGTGGCAGGGCGCAAGAACACACAGACATTTGCTACCATCGACGAGGAGAAAGAGCATGCAATGGCCGTGGCTTTCAGACAACAAATCGCGGCCTTTTTGATCCTTGAATTTGGCGTCATCTTTCACAGCGTCATCATCGGCTTGACACTTGGATCGTCGGGTCCAGAATTCTCCGTTCTGTACCCCGTCATTGTCTTCCACCAGTCTTTCGAAGGTCTCGGTATTGGAGCACGTCTATCCGCAATTCCCTTTCCGAAGAAATATCACTGGATGCCTTGGTGGCTGTGTGCTGGTTATGGTTTGACGACCCCAATTGCCATCGCGATTGGCCTCGGCATTCGAACCACGTACAACGCAAACAGCTACACGGCAAACGTTGTCGCTGGACTCCTGGATTCAATCTCCGCAGGTATCTTGATATACACTGGACTGGTGGAGCTCATGGCTAGGGACTTCTTGTTTAGCCCTGAACGAACCGACAACGATAGGCAGTTGGCGTTTATGGCTATCTCGATGCTCATGGGGGCAGGGATCATGGCTTTGCTCGGGAAGTGGGCGTAGATCGAGTCATGTTATCATGCTACACCGCGCAACATGGCCAGAGGGAGACTGCTAGCTAGTGTGGTGAACGAGTTGCAGATGCCGGTCAAATTAATGAGGAACAGGGCTTCCGGGAGCGGCTTCATAAGCGGGTGCAGGTCGTTTGAAGTATTGTTGGCCGGGATTTACCGAGGTAGCAACACTCCGCCGTACTAGATGCGCATCCGGTGGTCCATTCAAGCCTCTAAATCAAATATCCGTTTGCGTCCTCGAGTTCAGTTTCCTTTCACGCGTCGCCCATTCTCCTACTCAATTTTTCTGGTGACAAACCTTGCTCATGTCCAGAGTCGTTCTTGCGGTGACAAGTACCTGTCACGTCGAATAATGCACGGGCCTCAGTGGCCCAGATTTGGCACAATACGATTCTCTTTACTACGAACAAATGCAGAACAGGGTTTGTGGTAAGACTGATTGTTGCACAGATACATAAGAAACACGAGTTCTATCACTCAACGCCGTCGCTATGCAAAGTGAAGGTCACTCCTGCGACCTCGCCATCACTTCATTCTCCAGTTGGCCTCACTGCCTGACATGGCCATCCTCAGCCCATCTTCTGAAACTCCGCCTCAAAATCCGACCACGCCTGCGCTTGGTCTCTCCAAACGTCATGCTCCTCCGTCAACGTCGCTAACCCAGGGTGATATGCCTCCGCAGCTTGGTACCCCGCTGGAGGAGCAGGCTCATAGGTGATCGTCCTTGGAGCCTCCTGCACCATGTTCATGCCATCATCATAGTACCCAAAGTGGAAATTTGGATCTGGTTGCGCGAGGCGAGGATCCAGCATATCAGCCTGTGTCGACACTATTTGCCGAGGTGCAGCATGAGATGTCAACAGCTCATGGTGACCCTGTGGCATGCCCACAAGTCCCATTGTCTGCTGGTATGATGGGAATGGATCCTCCATTCTCTGGTACTTGACATCACTGACTTGTTCGCCATATGGGCCCATCGTGGTTGTCGTCTGGTAATAGCCCATCATACCGTCTGGGCCTACCATGATTGGCTGATTGCCATATGGATTGCTGATCTCATACCCTGACAAGTTCAAGGCAGGGAGCGCATGGTAGCGAGGTGGGATTTCTTCGAAGGGTGTGGAGGAGACGCTCCTGCTGTCAAAGCGGCGACCACGCTTTGAGCCCCTGTTTGAGCCTTCCCAGTCTGGGTCACTGTCACTGTCATCATCGTCGCGTCGGGACCTCTTTCCAGCTTTGTTGGGCGCGAACTTGTAATTCGGGTGTGCAGCTTGATGATTGTCCCGTTCAGTCGAGGCAAGCTGCTCATACAGTTCTCGAACTCCCTTGGGCTCGAGTGGCCAGCTTGCACCAGTCACTTGCGACACGACTTGATGGTTGTTCTCCTTGCAGAATTGTTTCACGCGATCGGCATAAGCCGATCGATACATCATGAAAGAGTTCATTGGCCGGGAGACATACCCCTTCTTTCTGTCGACCTCGGCCATCCTCTCGGACACTGAACGGTTGACCCATACGGCCATGTCTCGTACTGGTGTTTTGTAGTCCTTGGTCAACTCGCTTAGTGGTTGGTCCAGGACCGGTCCTCCTTTTTTGGCTGGCTTTTTCTTCAAGGCACGCCTCGGTCGTGCGAGAGGTGACTGCGAGGCGCGTGTGGAGTCTGTGGTGGCACTGGGACTGGAAGGTGTACCCAGGGCGCGGCCGCTGCGAGTAAGGATCCCATTTTCGGGCATGCCTTGAGGAGGTGTGTGCATAGGCGCAGACGTGATCATTGTCTATCTCAATATTAGCACGGTCTCGACGTGCCGAGTTCTTTCAACTTACTCTTGGAGTATAGTAGACGGGTGCTGGAGCTGTCTGATAAAGTGATGGGTCGCCATATGGATCCTGACTAGGTGAGTCTCTTTCTTTATATGGAGAACCAGCGATACTTACGAAGGTTGGTTGTGGAGAATTTTGTGACATGATTGTCCTCATGGGCATAGGCGGCGTGGAAAGTCCGGGGTTAGGCGCGGCTGCTGGGTTGCTTCGGCTATCGTCGCCTGTGTTGTGGTGGCCGTCCACCGATTGGGGAGGTGAAGGAGGTTGCGCTGTGAAAGGACCTTCGGTCATTGATGCTCTTGATCGGTATACAAAGCAAGAAAGACGTTGAAGCTTCGCAAGGGCAAAGCCGGTCTGTTTGAGGCGGCTTTGATGCAAAAAGAGTATTGGGAGCTGACGGGGATTCGCAGCTAAAGCAACACGGTATCAAACGACCCCTGAGCTAGATGACTGCAAAGGGTCTTTTGACTGTGGTGCTTGGAGATCACCCTGTTGTCTGAGCCAAGGTTCCAGACTTGTATACAACAGCCAGAAGTCTCCGGCAAGGGTCTCAAAGTGTCCCTAGTTTGCCGACTGTCGCTTTCCGATGGAAGAATTGCTGCACAATGGAGTTGATGCTTTATTGCTGCAACGATGCTTTGACGGGAGAACAATTGAGAAAAGGTTTTCGTTGTTCTGGAGGGGATGGGTTTGCGGCTGTAGCAATTTCTGTGGCTTGTTGCAGGAACCCGGCCGCAGAAGACAAAAGGAGTATGGAGGTGTGAAAGACTGATGTCGGTACACTACAGAATTCTCTGCGCTGTGGTTGTTGCGGTGAGTGCAAGCTGTAAGTTATGCCGAAGCTGACGACACTAGAGTGCTGCTGCTTTGTCTCATCTACCCGCCAGAGAGGGAGAGCAATCTGAACTTTTGAGACTCTGGGCTGGATGAGAATCTTTGTCAACGAAAGAAGAACAGAAAGAAAAAGCCTACAGCAGAGGAGTTATCAATCACCGACAAAGAATCTCGGCCATGTTGCGTTCGCAGCGATGCTGAACGCTTTAAGCCAGAACTGCCGCATCCGGAAAACATGGTCAATAGCCGGCTTTTCGCGGACGGAGTCTTTTGCTTGCAGTGGTTTGAGGAACATATGGTATTTTCGTGACCGTATGCATCTCTCTGAAGCAGCAGTGGAAGCCCAATGAAGCTGTGATAGCATCTGGAGCTTCAGAGGTCGCCCTGAGTGGTGAACGCCCTTCCTGCAGTGTGGCGGCAAGTGGGTACTCCCACAGCCTGGCAGACATGGGTTTGACTGACGCTGCATGGATGTAGGTCCGCGCCATGCATTTGTGAAAGAGAATTGCGAGGGGAAAGAGCAGAAGTTTATTTTCCCGATACTGTTTGAACAGCATGCCTCAACGTTCATACTCAGGATAGAGTCAGCCCTGGCAAGATGAGTGTCTCCCCTACTCCACCATCCCAGGCGGGTGCTCGGACCACCAGTCACATTCTGCCTGGGAATGGTTGCCGTTTCCGGTGCCTTCGCTAAAGTCTCCAAGTACTTGCGAAGCGGATGGGTGCAGTATTGCTCGCATTCCATCTGAGACTGGTCTTGATCTTGACCGGACGGTGATTTACCCGGTCTCGCGGTAACCTCATTGGCTACCAACGGTTCTCCGTGCAACGAACGATCCATATGACAGCGGATACCGGCATGATCGCCCTGGAACCGACTGTTGGCTTCCATAAATCTCCGAGATGCCACATACCAGCTTCATGAGAAGGGACGATATCCTCGTGGCCAACTCCTTGCTTTTAAAATGCAGGTCTTGCCGCGTGTTCACCTCAATGACCTTTTGATGCCGTTGTGGTCCTATCTCAGCCATAACTAACAACACTTCGCTGCTTGCATTTTATCTCATCTCAATGAGGTTGCTATCGCTCTGGCGGACTAGTATCTGCCCACGGCCCGCTAGACTTGCAAAAGTAGCCAATTCTACCCGCATGCTCCATCGTTCTGATGCCTGCCATCAGGTAATCGCAACGTTTCAGATTTGACTTTGGCCAATAAACATGGTATGGACTTTTGATACTGCTTCTGGTTTTTCTGGGAGTTGACATTTTCTACCACCTAAAGAACTCATTTCTCATATTCCAAATTCGGTCAGGGAACGTTACATCGAGAGCCTCATCACTGAGCGGAACCGATATGCGGGTGTACCAGATGCACCTCTGCAACCCACTTGAGTTCCCTCCAACATCCAAAACTCAGTCTGCTACTTCCGGACAAATGAGCATAGCGACTGCCCTACATCGTATGGCCCCCAGCAGTATATAAAGCTGACGAGGACCCTTGTTTTCTTCCCACTATCATGTTGACAAATAGTTCCTTACCCGCGCGAATGACCTTCACTCACCCCAGATTGCAGGCGATCCACCGGGGCACATCTGCGCGGGCCTCTCCGGTAGAAGCTTATCGACCTCTCAATCTCCCTCAAGCAATGGCTTTCAGTGGTCGCCCCGAGTATAACGCTGAACGCACAGGAGGTGACACCACATATGAGAATGATCCGGTGATCAGAAAAGGCCACAGAATGACAACACAGGCACACATGCTCCATGTCTTCGAGGGGAGTTTCCTTTGGGGAAAGTCTCTTCACCCCCACGCGTAACTCGTCTACTTCTGTCCACCGTCAATCTCTTAGAGTATTGCCAGCTGGGCGATGCCTATCTCGAATAAGTGGAATTTGAACTCCTTCGCGAAAAGTCCTCGGCACATGGGGCAGCTGCCGCCCTGATCCAGCCACTGCCTCAAGCAGGCGATGTGGAATATTTGTTTGCAGCACGCCGTGATGACCGCCGATGGGCCTCTTTGACCCAGACCCTTCTTCTCCTTCTCAACCATTGGTTTTGTACCAAGGCCTTCATAGCAGATCGGGCACATATCGTCTTCTGGATTCAGTTTGATCAAGGTAACCCCTCGGGTCAGGGTAGCTTCATCTGCTTCAGCCTCCGCCCTCGGGAACAATGTTTCTCTCTGGTTGTAGAGGTCCACGAGGCGAGGAGCTGTCAGGGTCTCCATGACTCCGAATAGGCGAAATCTGGCTTGTTCGCGGTTTTTTCGGGAAAGTTGAAGTGTCTCCGGCTGCTTCTTGCGCATGCGCTGTTCGCCGCGGACAAATCTGGTTTCTGCAATCGATAGATATTTTATTGCAGATAACAAGCATCCTTCGGCCCTGGTATAACCGTCGAGGACCGCATCTTCAGCGGACAAGTAATCCCCACTAAGCTGCCAGTGGTGGTAGCCATGTATGTTGAATAGCGTCTTGAGAGTTGCGTAAAACTCGGCGAGTGCTTGGTAGAGGCGGGCGACCTCCTCCACCACCGAAGAAGAAGCGGGATTAGGAGTTGCGGAAGAAGATATCTTTGGTGACGTTCCCGTCTCATGAACAGTCGTCGTTGCAGACACGCCCGTACGTGTCCTGTATTGTGTTTGAATTCCCTCATCAGGGCACTGTGGTGGACTTGTACTCGAAGACATGTTCGGATCCATGCCGGTGCTGCTGGCGTTGAGACGTAACCTTCTGCGACGGAAAAAAAACATAGAGAGAGCGATGGATGGGCATGGGCAAAAGCGTTGCTATCTGACCAAGGCGAGATGTGGAAGACTGGCAGGCTGGAGGGTTCTTGAAGAAGGAAGAATAAAAACTTGCAAGAAGAGGCATGTGCAAACCTTTATACTTACCCTTTGAGGGAGCCTGGCGCTCACTCTTCATCATGCGGACGGTACGCGTGAGGACACTGGGATCGGATCGTCCTGGCGTGAGGTGCCGATGGGTCAAGAAGTACATGCCTTGGTACAACAAGAAAGAAGAGAGGGTAAGGCTCACTAGGCTTTCCTCCGCGGCGGGTCGAATGCTGATTGGCGGAGCACCACAACGCGTCTCGTTCCCCGCATTACTGTACCTAAGTACACTCCGTTGAACTTTGGGTCAGTCAATACACCCGTCACTTTCACTTCAAGCCCTCACCCTGCTGGCACAGGGAACGCCATCGATGTGCGGATGAAATGCACGGGGATCTAGGGAACAAGCTCGTACGGCCCATCGCCTCCAGCTCTTGGACGGCCACTACCTCAGCAAAGACTGACACTAAGAAAAGGTTCAACACGCCAAACGCACACAAACCCTCCCAACCCTCCCACCGTACCAAACCGAACTAGTCCGCGCCGTGGTCCGCGAGATTCGCGATCTAGACCGCGATGTGTCGCGTATCCTCGAGCCGTTCAACGTCGTTGACGAAGATGGCAGCAGTCAAAGCACGTTCAGCCCAGCCGAGCACCCGGCGACCGCGTGCGCGCTGCTAGTCGACCACTTGAGCATGCGCCGGAATAAGAGGTGTTTATTGGCGTATCATAGAGTGAGAGCCGAGAAGTTAGAGGGTATGGCGTGGGACGGACGCGATATGGACATGGACATGACCATCGAGGACGAAGGTGTGGGTGCAAATGCTATCAATGCAAAGGACGGCAACTCAAATGCTGGAGGTGCGCAGAACTCGTGGAGTCCGGAAGAAGAGTCGTACTTTCGCAAGTACGTGGATTTGCTGGCGCAGGTCAAGGGCCAGTGGACGGATATCGATCTGACGGGCTCGTTGGAGCCACCGAAAGACCTGTTTATTGATGTGCGGGTGCTCAAGGACGCAGGGGAGATACAGACTGAGTATGGGGCTATCAATTTGACGAAGAACAGTCAATTCTATGTCAGGCAGGGTGATGTGGAAAGGTTGATACAGATGGGTTTCTTACAACGACTAAGCTGAAGAGCATGAAGTTTAACGCACGGAATGACGTGAGGATACATGATAATATGAATTCGGAATACATTGAATTAGTGTTCTCAATTGCGTACTATCTAAGCTATGTGCCGGGATTCTCGAAAAGGAGCGTGTTGGTACATGTAATAGCCATTTCCAGCCCCTTGGGATGTGATGTAAGTATGCCTCGAGCACCTGATTCATGCGTTCAGCTTGAAACAATCATTTTGCTCCGGGTAGTTGTTGTGCTTCTTGATCAGAGTGATACCATCCTGATTGCAAGTACTGCTGCCGCAAAGACGAGTGCTCCATTGAGAGTCGCCAGTCCACTTTCTGCACCGCCAGTCTTTGTAGGTGATGGAGCCGACACCGTCTCCGTGGCGTTAGTGGCAGTTTGTTGTGTAAAATTTCCGCAGTTCAGTCTGGTTCCATTGCTTGCATGCACAACAACACTTCTGTTTCCGAAGAAGGTTGGAGATGTGGGGTCGGTAGAAACGTAGAGATCGAGATAGGTGACTTGGAAGTTCTTTTCACGAGCAGTGTCGGCGATATCGCCGTGTTTGACGCTCAGATCACCAGGTTGGCAGGTCTCAGGTTGAGTCGCGTCGCAGGGAGGTGTCTCATTACGACCATAAGGAGACAGGTGACCACCAGTGCCCGTGCAGTTACCATCGCCAGGGACAGCAAACTCGTGGATGTGATATGCTGTAAGAGAAGTGTCAGAGACGAATGAGATCGAAGGTCTGCTCGGGTGAACTTACCAAAAGGACCGGCAGAGGCATCAGGAAATCCGAAGAAGTTGACGTTGAAGTTGACGCCAGTGCCATTGTCATTCGAGACACCAGTGATCTGACCTTGAACAGGTTGGCTCTCTTGCAAGACTGCCTGGTAGGTAGCCATCTTCGGGTTGTTTTCAGTGATGGGAGCATCGAGGGCTGTCTGACCAAGGACGAACACAGCGGAAAAGAGCAGGTTGACAAGCAGGGCGAACAGCTTCATGTTGAAAGTGAGAAGGTTTTGTCGGTGGTTGTTTGGTTTGTGCTGTAGCTTGGAGCGATGAAGAGGCACAGTTCTGAAGAGGTTGGAAGGAAATGAACAGTGGCAGATGCAGAGAGTCAACGCTGGGAGGAAAAGTGACTTGGTTCCTGGGGAAGGTCTTCTTCACAAAAGTATTTGCAGTACACAGGAAATCGAAGCAACGCCTGGCAACACCACGGGAGCATGCAGGAATGAAGGAGGGGGTTTGGCACATCACCCAAATTCCAGTCTCATTTTCACTTTCTCGTCAGTAACGACTTCTCTTCATTTCTCGTCCTGGGTCGGCACTTTTCTGTCACATTGTCGATCTCCTCTTTGCCTGAGGCGGCATTGAATACCGCAAACAACGTATGCTACTTGTAGCAGTCGCTCACGAGAAAGGAACACCCGTGTGACACAAGTGCCCGTCGGCCTCGGCAACGCCTGCACTCAACCTTCAAGTACAGAAGACAGCCCCAACAGCGGCTCCAGTGTTGCGATCACTCACTCACACTGGACCTGCTTCTACATCGGGGTTCTAACAGCACATCTGAATGGCCAGATCTGTGCATTTTTGACATCCCATACCCCAGCTTTTGTATATGGGTCATTCTCCAATTGCTCCCGAATCTCCTCTTCACTGTTTGCCTTGTAAAGCATGACGCTGCCGGTCATATCAGGCGCTTCACCCGATGCAGGCTGTTTGGACAAAGTCGCTCCTCCGAATACAGCCGTTCCTGCCGCGACCTTGGGCTTCACGCCCGCCAGATGCTGGGGGCGGGCCTCGAGACGTTTCTGAAGGGCGCCGGGGAAGTCTGGTATTCGGACCAGCCACTCTTGTGTTGGGACACTGGACGACATTCTGACGAGAAAGAGCTGGGGCTTGTGAGCAAGTGGACTCAATCGATTGGGATGTAGAGAAGCTAAGGTTTGGCGTGAGATAGTAAGTGGACTTAAGGATCCTTGTAAACGAGATAGGGACCTCCGGATGGGAACAGACATGTGTTTATATACTTGCGTCCTGATGGGGAACAAGATAACGTGGAGCCAACAATTGACCTAAGGAACTGTCGTGGTATATCTTCTCAGCTGCACAGTCAGATGTAACTAGCTACGGAGTATCTTCGCGTTATTTACTCTATCCCCACATCCACCCACTGTAGCAAGATACGCGATGGTGGGTGGACTGCCGAAGTGGGACACCCCGAGGCACATCGGAGTGTTCAAACCACGGACACCAACCTCAACGTTGTCTGGTGCTGATGGACTTTGTACAAGAACTTCAGTTCGGAGGTTGCCAAACTCAGGGCTGAACCAATAGATGGTTCACTTCTACTATCTAATCATGGATGTACACGCGTCTATCAAAAGCACCAGTACAAACACATCTATAGCTTCGGCCTGGGTGTATCTCTAGCCAGCAATGACTCTGCAACCTTTCTCCTTTGGATCTTTCCGGTCGCCGTCTTGGGTATTTCTTGAAGAATCCAGACCTGATAAGCCACACGTTAGTATGAATAGATAGCGCATCGTCGTCGAAGACTCACTCTGCTCGGTATTTTAAATTTCGCCGTTTTGCTTGCAACAAATTGGGTGATGCTGTCCTCCGTGACATTCTTCCCAGGTTTGGGGACAACTGCCACGCCAACTTCCTGGCCATATAGTTCCGAAGGAATGGCGAAACTGACTGCTTCGGACAACTCTGGGCTTGTCGAGATGATATGATCCAATTCGATGGGGCTAATTTTCTCACCACCACGATTAATTAGCTCCTTGATTCGGCCTGTGATGATCACATAGGCGTCTTCGTCCTTCTTCCCCTGATCGCCAGTCCGGAAGAATCCTCCCTTTGTGAACGCTTCCTTATTCGCCTTTTCGTTGTTGATATACCCAGAGGTTACATTTTCGCCCTTTATGCTGATCTCGCCTGCCATACCCTGAGGTACTTCGTCGCCTTGGTCGTCTAAGATGTTGACCTCGACACCTTGACCAATACCGACACTCCCTGGCTTTCGCTTGCCTTTGTGTGGCAGAGGATTTGAGGTCATCTGGTGAGCGGCTTCAGTCATGGCGTAAGCTTCCAGCACCGGTGCTCCATACGTCGCTTCGAGCTCTGCAAAGGTCTTCGGAGACAGTGGGGACGAACATGATCGAATGAACCTAATTTGTGGTTTGGGAGATGGCGGAGGATTTCTGAGCAGAATTTGGTGGATTGTAGGCACAGCTGTGAACCAATTTGCTTTATGTGTGACAAAGTCCCGCCAGAAAGACCGCGCAGAGAATGCTCTGGGCACTATCACCGAACCTCCAGCTTTCAATGGAGCTAGGAACCCTGCCAGCAGCCCATGCACGTGGAAGAGAGGCATAACAAGCATCGTCCGATCTCCTGCTGTCAACTCATACGTATTCAGTATATTTTGCATGGTTCTCGTAAGATTGAGGTGGGTTAGCGGAACGGCCTTGGGTCTGCCAGTGGTCCCCGAGGTGTGCAATACCAAAGCGACATCAGCAGGCTGTGCTTGTGATATCCGCTGAGCTTGTATCCCTGCGAGCTTTCCCTTCTCTTTGATTTCTAGCACAGGCCGCGAGCCATCCAGATAACATTCTGCGATAGCCGCTTCGAACTTTCTGGCAGCCTTTACCGCAGGACCATCTTTTGCGTAATCACCTCGGGGGATAAGGATGACGGAGGAAGAAAGGTCCTCAATGTAGAACTCGAACTCTGATTGCTTGTATGCCGGGTTTAGAGGAGCCGCTATAGCCCTCTGGTACGAAGTCGCAAGGAAGGCCACAATAAACTCGTAGCTGTTTGGCAATGCTATTGAAACAGCGTCAGCATGTTTGATGCCCAGCTGCGCGAGCTTGGACTGGAACTCCAGAATATCTCTTGTCAGCTGGCTGTATGAAACGTGTAGAGCATCATGTTCCGAGGGGACGATAATGGCAGTGGCAGAAGAGGTTTCTGAGAAGGAGGTTGAAAGAGTGGCAGCGCCCATGGTCAAAGCAGCTGTCTGGAGGACGTGAACAGCAGAAGGGAGAGGGAATGAAGCAAGAGGTATTTCGTGACGGTTCCTATCTATGGAGTAAAGACTAAACGATTGGAGCGAGAGAGCGAGACAGAAAGGTAAAGATACTATACAGTCATAACGTGACGTTGGCAGAATTGCGTTATCGAGTCCATTCGGCTGCGATACCTGAGCGGGACTGTGTCCGGCCACGTCCTTTCATCAGAAGAGTGGTCTTGAAGCATTTCATTTTCGTCATTCTGAACAATAATACCGGGTGCTGAGCATGAGTGAAGTTCGTGAAACTCCTGCATAAAAGGTCCTTTTACTCTGCATTCTCGCACCCCGATTGGGTCGCTTAAAACCAGGATCCCGATTCATTCCATCTTCTTTCTCCTCCTGCCCGACCATCATCCACTCATTTCTCCTGCTTCGAGCAGAACATCGGAACTCTTTCGGCGCAAACTGCCTTCCACCTGTGCTGCACTATGTTTGTACTTGCTTCAGGTCCCGTAACCTAGCGAGACCCTGAAGGCATAACGCAGAGGGTGAGGCGCATCGTAGTCATGGCCAGCCCTGGAGCACCACCTCGCGGAGGGCTGTCTCTCTACGCAAACCTCCTCGATCCAAAGAATACAGCTCCTGGAACAATTTCAAGCGCACCGGTATCTTATACCAAACACCCTGAAAATTCTCCTGAACAAGATGAAGCTGCAAAGAAGCAGCAAGCTCTCGCTGGTACATCAATCGTCGTAAGGACCTAAAGGTTTGCGGAACGGATTTGCTCACGTGTGCCATGCATTTTCTCCATATACAGCCTCCTTGAGATTTCAACCTACCAAAAGACCACAAATTGCCAGTCAAAAGGCGAAAGCGAAAGCAATTGCCAGCAAGTTCGCGCCCCCGGTTACCGCAACTCCTACGTCCACTACTGTCCAATCTGAACCCGCAGAAAATGGAACAAGCAGTACTACGCCTAAACCTTTTGCCCCACGAACCACCGCAGCGGACTGGACAGCGACTGCATCCGATGACGAGGATGTGAATAACTTCTATACGACAACTCGTCAGCGTGGTGGCAGAAAGAAACGCAAGAAGAATAAGGAGGTCGTCGAGGTCGAGCAAAATTGGGATGATATCTATGACCCCAGTAGACCCAGCAACTACGAAGAGTACAAACATAGTGAGGAGAAGATTCGTGAAGTTCGAGAGTGGAAAGATCTGCTTTACAGGCATCGTATAAGGCGGCGAACGACTACTGAGTCCGAGGATGAGGACCGATATCGTCCTACGAACAGTAAGGAACTCGATCGCAAGGATAATATGGCTTCTGACGATATCACAGGACAATTTGCACCACCTCCTAGTTTTGCTCCGCCGGCCGGCCTGAACGATGAGATTCCACCGCCGACGCCAGTCACTCAAGTTCCCGACGATCCTACTGGTGAAGATGCCTATTTGCGTCGAATACGGATGAGTCAAGGTGTACAGGGACAGCCTTCTCCCGATCCCATATCTGCAGCAAATCCTCCTGCAGGCCAGATTTCACGAGCACCTGTTCGGTACAATCTGCCTGCTGCACCAGAAGCGATCCCGTCCTCGGAAGCGGAGTTAGAGGAGAGGCTTGCTGAATCTGAAATCAAGGGAGACGAAGCTTCGGATGAAGCCCGCTCGACACGCCCTGGTCAAGCAGGATTTGCGGAGCGACTGTTGTCCAAGTATGGATGGTCCAAGGGCCAGGGTTTGGGTGCTCAGGGAACTGGCATCATCAATCCCTTGTATGCCCAGGCCGATAAGCGAAAGAAGAAATCTGATGCTGAAGGCGGCGGCTATGTTACTCCAGCAACAACAGGGAAGATTCTCGGCGGAAACAAGTCGAAAGCTGCTCAAGCTGAGGAAGAGGGAAAGTTTGGTGCAATGTCAGAGGTCATCCGATTAGAAGGGATGTTGGACGGTCTGGACTTGGAGGAAGAGCTTGTGCAAGGAGAGGGTGGTATCATGCAAGAGATTGGTGAGGAATGCGGCGAAAAGTATGGCAGTGTCGAGAGAGTCTACATCCATGCGCCGGAGAGGGATGATGACGAAGCACTGGTGTTTGTGCATTTCGTGAGTCAGCTCAGCGCGTTGCGAGCCGTCAATGCTCTGGAGGGACGCATATTCAACGGCAACCCTATCAAGGCGAAGTTTTGGCCAAAGGAGAAGTTTGATGCTCGAGACTATGTGTGACAAGATCAAGATTCGAGGGCAACATGAAGAAGACAAGCAATCGAGATGCTTTGTGAACTGCATGTAACTTCATCTTGTACTTTTTAGTGACCTCAGACTTCGTTGTAGGAATGTCCCTGGCATCACACCGTTGATTGGCTTAGGACTCGCGAGGCAGGGCATCTCAGGGGCAGATGCCACGCGACTAAAATAAATTAATTGCATCATCTGGTAACGCGATTAACTTGCCTAGGTATTCTACAGGAAGTCAACACCACGGCATTTCTGCTTCCTTCGTCCACAGCACATCATGTCAGGCCGAGATGAAATAGATCGCGCATTCGGCAGTGACAGTCAGCTGAGGAAAAGGATACACGATGCCATTAGTATGCTCTCAAAACTCCGCCTGTTGTTTACCTGCTAACCATTGATTGCGCAGATGCTACTCCTCAGTATGGGCTACTTTTCGACGACATAGCACGCTACCATCTCAAGTCACAAGCGAATGGCAACAGTGAGGACGGCCCTGCCTCGAAGAAGCGCAAGCTGGCCAACGGGTCTCTATCCGTCACCTCGACGCAGACGAATCAACCTCGCGAAGTCATCCTCGAGGCCAGAGATATATCCTTTTCGCTACCACAGAGGAAGAAGCTGCATTTGGGCATTGCACAGTATGGAACAGATATCAATGCGTCGACTACGACATTCGCGGTGTACACCAGAAATCCTACCACTAACGAGGTCGAGACGGAGGTGCCTATAGATCAGTTCGCATACGCGCTCAGGCTACCGGTGCCGGAAAAGGCCACGAAACAATACAACTTCTGCCTGCTCCCTAAGCCGGACTCCAACCAAAGCGACCCAATAATCTGGACCGTCAATCATGGGCCGCTGAAGTCCTGTCACATCCCCAACCCGGTGCTGGCGAAAATTGCTTCTGGTCCTGACCATATTCTGGAAACAGCCCTAGACTTTGTCTTGAAAAAGGCCGGGATCAGCCTCACATACCCAACTGCAGACGAGTTCGCCAGCGCCACACCAGAGTCGCACAGAAAGAGTGACAAGGCCTATCATGTGAAGGCTTTCAGAGGCAGCAAGGATGGCTTCCTCTTCTTCCTGCACAACGGCATCTTCTTCGGATTCAAGAAACCGCTCTCATTCTTCGCCTTTGAAGATGTTGTGTCAATCTCGTATACTTCTGTACTACAGCGCACGTTCAACCTGAACATTGCCTACCGCACGAGTGACGAACCTGCAATTGACATGGATGCCGTGCAAGAAGTCGAGTTTTCCATGATCGATCAAGCTGATTTCCCGGGGATTGACGCGTATATCAAGCGTCATGGTTTGCAGGATGCGAGTCTTGCCGAATCCAGGAGGGCTGCTAAAGTTAAGTCGGCGGCAAATGGGAAGAGCTCAATCAAGCAGGAAGACGACGATCCAGATGATACGAGGACTGAGTTGGAAAAGGCACAGCAACAGCTTGAGGACGAGGAAGATGAAGAGGAGGAGGATTACGATCCTGGCTCGGATGGCGAGAGTGAAGGCAGTGGTGAGAGTGATGACGATGATGAAGGGTATGAGCGTCCGAAGGCTAAGGCGAAAGGGAGAGACCTTGTTGCCGAGGAGTTGGGAAGTGAGGCTGAAGATGTCAGTGTGTCGGAAGACGAGGAGGAGCAGGGCGATGATCAAGGTGATGAAGGTGATGAGGAGGAAGACGGGCTCGATGCCGAAGGGGCAGAAGAGCTTGATCAAGACGAACAAGGGTTCGAGCTGGGTCAGCATGTTCAGAAACACGGGTTTAGTGCCGTGGCTCCTGCAGTACATCAGAGAGCTTGGGTCCCTGACGAGGGCATGCCGGATCCAGAGGACGATGATCAACTGTGAGAGATGAGAATTTGTCAATGCTGGTGTACGACATTCTGCGCCGACGAAAGCAGGAGCTGCGTTCGAAGACATCACCATGTGAGTCTGCTGTTGTACACTGTAGCAACAGCTCTGATATAAGTATGGATGCCCTGCTAGGGAACATCCTCACTTTCAGAGCCGCATGCAATGAATGACGAAATACGACTTCACCGGCATTTAGCCTATATATCATCCCTCCTATCTACTCTCTACGGCCATTTTCGAAAAGATCGATTGTGAAAAAGGAGCATTATTCTTCGAGAAATGGACAGTCGACGTGCGTCAATGGTCGCAGCCATTTTGGTCGCTTGCGCCGCTGTTCTCGCAACCACAAACTGGTGGCGCCAGGACGGGAATTTCGATGTTGAGAAGGTCGTTGAACGAGCTCTCGCATGCACGTCGCGTTCTTGGGAGTTTGGAACTCTGAGTCAAGCCCTATTGGAGCTACGGAACCCCGAGTTGACGGTCTTCGGGACACAGCCTTTTCCCAACGGTTATCTGCCCGAGGTTTCTGAGCCTGACAATGTAGACGGATTACGATATGCGCAGGCTGTTATAAGGGTGAACCATAGCGACCTGCTCATTGACGGTGAAGGTTCGCCATCAGACCCAGCCTCATTAGGGACAGCTGCTTTGCTCCTCTCCAGCCATAATGTGGCATACTTCGAGGCTGCAAAGCGTCAAGCCGAGTACCTGGTCGACAGGGCAACTCGCTTCCACATCAGTGACTCTGCCTCAGCCATATCTCACCGAGACGAGCCGCCAGAGCTCTGGGGAGACTTCGTCTATATGGTTCCTCCCTTTCTTGCCTATTATGGAGTGAAGACACAAGACCTGCATTTCCTGAAGGAAGCGGTACGCCAATGTCAGCTATACAACGAGGTTCTGAGAACAAACGTAACACTCGAAACGGGTCAGACCTGTCATGGGCTTTGGCGCCATATTGTTGCAGATCCGGCGGTGCTACCAGATGGAAAGTGCTGCATGGATCCGGACGTCTGGCTGACGAGCAATGCATGGGCTGTGGCAGGTATTACAAGAGTCCTTGCAACACTCTCAAAATGGCGGCCTCCGCCAGGCAGCCGCATCAGCGCCGCTGAATATGCACGATTCCGTGATGAAGGAACGAAAAGCCTCTTGGAGATACTCACTTCTCTGCTTGAATGCACCCTGAGTCAAGCGCGAGACTCAGAATCAGGTCTTTTAAAGAATTACCTTGATGGACCTTCTCATCCGACAGTCGCATATGCCTTTGGAGATACCGCAGGAACGGCACTGATGGCGGCGGTAGTCTACCGACTGGCTTGCTTGTTTTCAGACACATTCGCAACACCGAAGTTCCTTGGCTGGGCGGATAGGAACCGGCGCGCCGTCTCAAATCACGTCGATGGTACTGGCATCGCTGGTCCTGTTGCAGATGTTTCGCATGTACCAAGTAAGGTCCCTGTACCACAGACAAGTGAGGGACAAAGCATGGTTCTGCTGATGCATAGCGCCCGTCGAGATTACCTCACGGCTGGTCTATGTTCCAACAAAGGACCACTGTGGCGGTCTCTTTCGATTGCATTTGCCTCATGGTGGCAAGGCTGAATTGATGTGGGCCGCAATGGGGGAACAGATGAATAATGCGAAGACAAAGAACGAAGGAGAAGGCGGAGGTCGAGGTGGCGGGACCTGCCAAGGCTTAGCAAGCGAGGGGCTTCCCTAATCAACTCTCACGCGGGCCTTATGGGGGGTGTTCGTCATAATGGAAAGTTCATTGCTCTGAGGGGTCAACCGGCAGGAACCATAGTGTATGGCGGGGGGCCATTGCATAGCGTCTGCCCTCCCACACTATTGACAGTGCGCAACCCACTTATTATTGCCTGCGTTCTGGCTGCGGCGCAAAGTGCCATAACCACCACTTGAATCCTTCACTCACAAACCGAATATCCGATAAACCAAAAGATACCTTGCTGTTGAAAATATCTCTCACAAGTGTCTCCAGTTGGTTATATACTCGATCTCTGGCAAGCTGGCTGCGTTGATCTCTCTATTGACCCTTCCGAGATACCCAAACCTACCTTTAGCTCTCATGCTTGTAACCCGCCATGTCTGATTCCCCGATCACAAACGCTCCTGTCGGGGCCCAAGAAAAGCCCATCTTGGACCAGCTCGTCCTGGCCAGAGACCAACTTCTCCTCCTGAAACAAGACAAAAGCACCTATGTCAAGTCGTCTGACGTCCTTCCTCTTTACGAAAAAGTCATCGACCAGGTGTCGATCCTCAACGATGTCCGAGGCCCAGAGCATTTGGTGCAGAATAGAGTCGATACCGTCCTAGACGACTGTCTACAACTCATCTCCCTCTTCTTCATGGCTGTCGGGCGAAACCACGAAGCTCCAGCACTGTACGCGATGACCGGCAATATCATGCGCCTGTGCCACCATCTCAAGGAGGCCGCATTCTTCAGCAAAAAGGACCTTCACAGTCTGGAAGAAACTCTTCACAAGATGGAGGGGTCCTTGCAGAACGGTAAGGACGTGTACTCGGAACATCTTTTGAGGCGGATACAATACCGTCTAGAGATCTGCCAGGGAATGTTGAGAGAACTTAACGACTTCCTTTCTACACTGTCGCCCGAGATGGTGCCCACGTGGGAGAAATTGGTGTCTATACTTCGAGCAATTGCAGCTTTGAACACTCGGAGCAAGGTATGTCATACTGCGCGCACTCACAAATGTCTGCGGCTAATCCGAGCTTCAGTTTTCCCAAAAGGACCTGGAAGAACTTCGCAGGCAATTACTTGAAGTTCAGTCAACGATGAAAGACGGAAAACTTCCAGACGAGACGGGTGCCACATCTTCCGGCCAAGATCTTGTGGTCCCGTTGCTGAACAGATGTCTCAAGTTCACAGAAATTGTTGAGCAAAAGTATGGGCTCTGCATATCGTGTGCGTGATCTGCCGCTAACATTATATCCAGCAAGGGGAAAATAGACGAGAGGTTCAAGGATACTTACGACAAACTTATTGAGATTCGGAATCAACTTGAACGATTGACCATGACTCAAGCCTGGTCTCTCCGCGAGACAGATCTCTTTATGTGGCAGAGAAAGCTGGATCGCATTGACGATTCTCGACGAGATGGCAACTTCTTCGATGCGGAAGGCCATCCTGCGGACTTGCATGCCCAACGAGTATGTCTGGCCGGACTTCTGGGAAGGACAATTGCTAATCCGTCCGCAGACTTTGTTATACCTGATAAGACGGGGCTATGCCTACATATATCAGCTTCTTATTGCGTCAGAACCGGTTTCGGAGGCTCTGCTGCCAATCTACAACCAGCTCTTAACGTTGCGACGATGTTTGGTTGAGGTGAAGAAATCTGGAGGGGTGTCAAACCCCAGGGAACTTTACCCTTACAGCATGAAATTGAACTCGATTGACAACATGAGAGTGGACGGGAAGTTCCAAATTGGCAAGGATATACCAGAAGGCCAGGGTAGCGTCAATGATCTTCTCGCAGAATGTTATGAGCTCGCCTATGAATTGAGGACAGCTGCGGAAGAGGAAAATGGTGACGATTGATACCCGGTTGGTGGCCGTCTGCATTCGACTTGTACAGAAGCGGGCGTATTGGGCTGTCTGCCTTCTGTGCAGGCTTTGGGCTTGGGTGTTATTGTTCCAAACAGTCTCTGAATCAAGGCGGCTGTCTTTGCGAGCTCGGGGAAACGCAGTTCGTGGAAAGGACAACAACTCCTATACCTGAGCTTGGTATAGAATGTCCATTATGGATGTTTGAGTGTTAAATAATGGCGAGCGTTACTCGATCAAGTTACCACTTTACGAACAATGGCTTCTTTTCCAGTCTCTTTCTGGTGCCAGTACCCTGTGCGCATCAACAAGTACTCGCTCTTGAGGAGGTAATCACGGCCATTCTGAGTGGTGGCCATCCAACCTCGGCCCACTATTGCCGCCCCGATGTCGCGACCCCAGGTAAAAAACTGGGCCACCATTAAATATTTTAGTTTGCAAGGACTCGACGACTCGTCCTTTCATTCACTCGTACCTCCATATACTCGTCTGCAGTCATGTCTGTCCTCTTGCAGAGAGCTCCACCTGCCCGGGTGAGATGTCCTCTTGACCTGGGTTCGTGCTCTTTGAGCCAAAGGGCTGCTCGCCGAGCATATGCAGTGCATGCTCAACCTGGGGCCTCTCCTCGACGAAAAGCGGCAGTTCCTCCCTACCAGAAGATCCTGACAAAGTTCGAGGATGTTCGCGCCATTTTAGGCTCTGAAAAGCTCACTCTCGCCGAGAAAATCCTTTATGCGCACTTAGACAATCCTGAAGAGTCGCTCCTGACCAACACCAATAATGGCAAGAACATACGCGGCAATGCAAACCTCAAGCTTAAACCCGACCGTGTCGCCATGCAAGATGCATCTGCGCAGATGGCCATCCTCCAGTTCATGACATGCAACCTACCCTCTACTGCTGTCCCGGCCAGTATACACTGTGACCATATGATTGTGGGCGAAAAAGGTGCAGACACGGACTTGCCGAATTCCATAGCTGGCAACAAGGAAGTCTTCGACTTTCTGGAGTCTGCAGCGAAGAAATACGGAATCGAATTTTGGCCCCCCGGTGCAGGCATTATACACCAGACAGTCTTGGAACAGTATGCCGCGCCTGGTCTGATGATGCTAGGCACCGACAGCCACACACCGAATGCCGGCGGCCTGGGTGCAATTGCCATAGGTGTCGGTGGTGCCGATGCGGTCGATGCCTTGGTAGACGCTCCGTGGGAACTCAAAGCTCCCAAGGTCTTGGGCGTGCGGCTGGAGGGCAAACTCAGTGGTTGGGCGTCACCCAAGGATGTGATTCTGCATCTGGCTGGTCGTCTGACTGTTCGTGGTGGTACTGGATCCGTCATCGAGTATCATGGTCCCGGAGTCGACTCCCTCAGCTGTACCGGCATGGCCACAATATGCAATATGGGCGCTGAAGTAGGAGCCACGACATCAATTTTCCCCTTCTCCGAGAACCATATCCCTTATTTGCAAGCTACTGGCCGGGACGCCATCATTGACGCCATCAAGGGTATTGCCTATGGCTCGGACAAGCACAACTTCGTGCGAGCTGATGCCGGTGCCGAGTACGACGACGTTATCAACATCAATCTCTCCAGTCTGGAACCTCATATCAACGGACCTTTCACACCCGACCTTTCTACACCTCTGTCCAAGTTCAAGGAGGCAGTCAAGACGAACAAGTGGCCGGACACATTTTCAGCAGGTCTGATCGGTAGCTGCACAAACAGTTCTTACGAGGATATGACTCGCGCTGAAGACCTGGTCAAGCAAGCCCAGGCGGCTGGATTGAAGCCTAGGTCTGACTTCTTCATCACGCCAGGCAGCGAACAAGTCCGCGCGACTCTGGAGGATAACAAAACGCTTGATACATTCACCAGTGCTGGTGGTATTGTTCTTGCCAATGCTTGTGGGCCTTGCATTGGGCAATGGAAGCGAACGGACGGCATCAAGAAAGGTGAAGACAATGCTATTCTGTGTTCCTACAACCGCAACTTTCCCGGGCGAAATGATGGCAACCCTCGGACAATGAGTTTCCTTGCGTCGCCGGAACTCGTGACTGCCATGGCGTACTCTGGCTCAACCAGCTTCAACCCCCTCACTGATGAGATCCCGATACCTGATGGCGGCAAGTTCAAGTTTGAACCTCCAAAGGGTGCTCAGCTACCTGGATCTGGATTTGCTATCGGTAACCCTGCATTTCTACCTTCTTCTGCAGAAGCCGATCCGAATGTGCAAGTTGTGGTCGACCCAGAGTCGGACCGCTTAGCTCTTTTGGAACCGTTCGAGCAGTTCCCCGAGGGTGAACTACATGGTCTGAAGGTGCTATACAAGGTCAAAGGTCAATGTACTACGGACACAATCTCAGCTGCCGGTCCATGGCTCAAGTACAAGGGTCATCTGCCAAACATTGCTGAAAACACGTTGATTGGAGCCATCAATGCGGCAACTGGTGAAACTAACGTTGCATACGATGAAGACGGGTCCAAGACGTCCATTCCAGAGCTAGCGAAAAAATGGAAAGAACAAGGCCAGCACTGGCTTGTTGTTGCCGAAGACAACTACGGCGAAGGTTCAGCACGAGAACATGCTGCGTTGCAACCAAGATATCTAGGAGGTCAAGTCATCCTGGCGAAGAGCTTTGCACGTATCCACGAAACCAACCTGAAAAAGCAAGGAGTGGTTCCGTTGACCTTCCTCAACAAAGAAGACTATGATAGGATCGATGCTTGCGATAGCATGGACACCGAAGGTCTTTGGGATGTGCTGAAGAATCATGGCCAAGGCGAGATCAATGTCAAGGTCACCAAGCCAAATGGAGAAAGCTTCGTGGTTCCAGTCAAGCATACCCTGAGCAAGGATCAGTGCGGCTTCATCTTGGCCGGAAGTGCACTGAATCTTCTAGCGAAGCGCCAGAAGCCGGAGTGAGTGCAACGTTGTTATTTCTTCTGGCAGACAATCGCGGGCAATAAGGGGCGCAGCCTCGTCGCTTGCGGGTTAAGCCTTCGAAGATCCCCGGTCTTGGCGTGGGCCGATCTGCTGATTGGACATACGCAAGATCATATTGGAGATTGAACTATGCTGCGTCTTCCAATGCGCTCACAGGACCTCTGCTCGTGGTCATGTCCCCTGCTGAGGACCTCACATGAAAACACAGCATCTAGCAGTTGATGGCGAGCGACAAATGCATATAAGATGCTGTCGGCACTGTTGGCGCTCTACTAGTACCACGCTTTATGTGTCGTAGTGTCCAGCATCATGTTTGCAAAGTTCCGCTTCGCAACAATCCTTCTACTATGCTTAGTGCCACAGCTGGCAAGTGCTTGGGGAGACCTCGGACATGAGACCATTGCTTGGATAGCCCAGTCCTATGTCTCTTCTACCACATCATCAACAATCAAAGGCATCCTCAACTTGACCCAGTCCGACTACATAGCGAACGTGTCTACTTGGGCCGACACGTATCGATATACGAGTGGTGGTCGATGGTCAGCACCGTTGCATTTTATCGATGCTAACGACAACCCGCCATCGTCTTGCTCTGTCGACTACAGCCGAGATTGTGGCAGTACTGGATGCAGTATCAGTGCCATTGTCAACTATACCTCAATCTTGCTCGATGATGATTCGAGCAGCACGACCAAATATGATGCGATGAAGTTCCTTATCCACTTCATTGGAGATCTTCATCAGCCGCTCCACGACGAGGCGCTTGAGGTCGGTGGCAATGATATCAACGTCACCTACGATGGTGATCACACGAACTTGCATCATATCTGGGATACTGAGATTGTCGAGCAACTTGCTGATGGTGCTAGTGCTGAGAGCTTTGCAAAGAATCTCACTGCATCCATCAAGGCTGGTGCCTATGGCTGGGACGTTGATAGCTGGCTAGTTGGGACGACTTTGAATGATACAATGTCCAGTGCTTTGACTTGGGCAAAGGAAGCAAACGGCTATGTGTGCAGCGATGTACTTAGCGCCGGTGTTGACGCCGTTGAGCAAGGCAACTTGAATGGCAGCTATTACAAAGCCCATTTTGATGTTGCAAGAGTTCAGATCGCTCGTGCTGGGTATAGACTTGGCGCGTGGCTGAATCTGATCTTCACGGGGAAGACCGCAGTCTGACGATCCTCGGAAGGATCTGTCTATTAGTGGCATGGGGAAGCCGGATGTCCGAACAGGCGCTGACTGGGGTCGGCTATCTAAGGCATGCAACACGACGTCAAATTGCATCCAGCGACCACTATACGGAGTATGGTACCCATGGAGAGGGCCATTGTGCAGCAGCTCCAGGTATGCAGCAGCCTGCGCCCAAGTACATAACATATATGTCTATTTTTCACAACACCTACAAGGACCAGGTTCTGTCGACATGACCCGACGGTCGCACGAAGTGACAACCACTGGATGACATTTGTGATATAGGAGCAATACTCTTACCTGAATCATAGTGTCATCTTTCCATTTTGACGCCTCACCTGGCGATGGCACACCATTCACGGCGATGTATGCGAGACAAATGTAGAGATGTCTCACAATTTGCATCTCGGCAATATATCATGAGGCTAATGTCACGTTTCTTCGCAACGCTCGTATGCGGCTCGGCCCATAGTTAACCCTTTAGACGCCAAACTACATAAAATGTTTCGCTCGAATGTCGCATTCCGAACATGTGGTCGCAGAGGCGCCCTGGGCTTACCTGGCAGGGCAGTGAGTCCGAAAATGATGTTCAAGGTACGCCTGAACTTCGTTGGGCCCCTGGAGGATGGTCCCAAGGGCATGGATAAGAGTGGCTACTCTACAGGCGGGCTGCATATGCGTGTCCGACTTTCACGGTAACGTTATGCAAAAGTGCAGGTGGGAAGGACATGGCCTAATGTTACTGTATGGGGAAATTTGAGCCCCTACTGAGACATCATGCGTACGTAGCTGGACAAATCTGGTGGAGTTGAGGCGTGAAAGACACGAGATATCACCAATATGTGTATACCATTCTTGTTGAGAATCACCAGTCCAGCATGTGAGGAATATTACGAATATCCACGTCACTCGACGTCTTGACGTATTCGGCTTGTTGCTTTTTGGGCCCTGGCATTGCGAGGCGAGGCGTAATTGAAGTTGACCTCTGTCCATCAATCATTGTGTTTAGATTTGGCCCCGCCGTTCCTTTCCCATCTCCAAGTTTCTCGATATACAAAACCATCAACAAATCGCTGAACGACGACTGTTTCTCGCGGTTTCAGCCTCGCAATTTTTCTTTTTGGCGGTGTCAAGTCTTCTTTGTCAGGAATTATTCGTCCAGGAGTTGACTTGCCTTGTTCCGGCCCCCAGCTCCGACCGCTTTACGCTCGTTCTCATTGTTCAGAGTCGAGACCACCTCGCATTGTCGTCCATTTCTCCGGCCGAAGCAGCGCGAGTCCGCGCACCCATATAAGCACATCTTCTTTCACCGAAAGTCCAGCATTCGTGCCTCTTATGTGCTCTCCACAGACACGCCGAAGACCGCCTTGCCATCGAGATCCACCTTCAGCACCCTAGTCGGTCTAGCCACCACTCGGACATCCGTGGTGCTTAACCTCGCGTGCTTCCACTTGTCGAGACGGGAGCTGCAGTACACCCACGACCCCTGCTGCCACCAGGCTAAATAAAAATACATGACTGTACTGCTCCCACCACCTATGGCCATGCTGCACAATCCGACGCAGCAGCAGTCAAGGAATATCCTCATCCTCGGTGCAACGGGGGTGATAGGGACCTATATCACACGAGCAATTGTCGATGCGAAGGAACAGTTTGAGCGAGTATGCATATACACGAGCAACAGGACGCTGATGGAGAAGATGGGGGATATTGCTGCGCTGGAGGATTGGGGCGTGGAGATATTTACGGGTCGATTGGAAAGTGAACGGTCTTTCAAGAGGGCATGCGAAGGTACGTTACACTTTGTGTGGGGGTGACGGTGCAAGAAATGGCGGGCAGGCACATGAGACCAGCAATACCGCTACGTCTACGAGAATGGATGCTAACATGTGCTACCAACAACAGGTATCGATACGATCGTCTCTTGCGTCGGCCGTGGTGGCATTGAGAAACAGATCCAATTGATCACTTGGGCGGAACAAGTGGGTATTCGTCGATTCTTTCCCTCCGAATATGGAACCGATATCGAGTATTGGCCCGAGTCCGCGCAAGAGCCGCCTCACCAGTTGAAGCTGAAAGTCCGGGCTCATATGAAGACGATGAAGAGATTGGAACATACGTACCTGGTGACTGGTCCATACAGCGATCTATACTTTGGCATGATGAAAGCGAGACCCGAATTGGGCGAGTTCGATGTCAAGGAGAGAAAGGCAGTTTTACTAGGAGACGGAGAAGGGCCCGTCAGTTTCACTGCCATGGCTGAGTATGATACTAGCTTACTTTTTCTGGATTGACATGCTGACTTTGAGAACTAGTGTTGGGAAATTCGTCGTTGCAGCCCTCATTAATAATGCCGCATCGAGGAATACGACGTTAATTGTGCATTCATTTACGGCCACACCACACGAGATCCTGGCCGAGTTCGAACGTCAAACTGGGTGCAAGTGGGAGAAATCTTACACATCAGCGGAGCGACTAAGAGAGATGGAGAAGGAGGAGTATCAAATCTATTCGGCTTTGGCAACAGTTGTCACGTTACGGCGCATATGGACCGAGGGAGGAACATTGTACAAATTTTACGACGAGGGCATTCTGGGCCAGATCGAGAGTGAGACACTCAAGAGTCAGGTTGCCGCTAATATCTTGAAACAAAATGACGGAGAAGGTCATTTCCCGAGTCTGATGAGGAAATTGAGCCTGCAATGAAGTTGCGGCAAGAGAAGAATGTAACACAACAGTTATTGTGATTGTGTACAATATTTTGTATATGGTTACGAGCATCATGAATCACGAAAGGGACAATCTCAGTGGCTTTGGAGCGACATGGTCGGACAGGTGTCTTTGGACATACACGGTGTTGAACAAAGGACATACTGGCATCAGACGGCAGAGACGGTAATGGAAAGGATGTATGTATCTGCCATTGTTGTATAATGTCTCGTTGCGGGTGAATATCAATAAACAGATGCCGAGGCACGAAAGTATATTTTTATGTCTATCTCGGACTCTTCATAATAGTAAGATACACGAGAAGGAACATAACAATTAAGTTGATTCACTCATACGGAGTTTATACAGTCGGGCTGCAACATGGCATGATAATCATTACTGATTACATCAAGTCACTACCTAGGTAGCAGCAATCGTCTTACTTCGACAGTGGTCGCTGGATCCGCTTATCCTTGCATATTGTCATAATAAGGGCGTGTGAGTGACCTCGAGGCTGGGCGGAGATCAACAATATCTACACGCATGTTCTTCCCTCTTATCCAACCACCTCATATATCCTTTATAAACAAGGTATAAGTACTTGCGGTCAGATCAGTGCCGCCCATACCGTACGGTGAAGGGATTTTCTTTTCGTTTGTATTTCGACTAGAGCGGAAAGACTGCCGCTCTTGATATAAGAACAATATCAAACCAAAACCTGAAGATAAAGCGGTGCTGCTATAGACCTAGGTTGGGAGCGAACAGGATCAGTCTGCTCCGGTACCGCCGGGCTACGGTGAGAACAAGATACCCGACATCCATCTGGCCAACTACAACCACACCACAACCACCAGGCGCTGATCAGGGCATTCTGATCGCAAGGTTTACAGGAAACTACCCACAAGTGATCTGCTCTTTCATGCCAAGCGCAACTTCGCCAGGGTTCCGTCGATTCTCAGCCCGCACAACGACAGGCGCACTTCAACTGCCTACCCGCATCGTTTCTAAGTCTGCCACGACGGTCGCTACGACAGGAATCCTCCGACCAGCAAGGCCCCTGTCTCAAACGCGACCACACTCCCAACCGCGATCCAGTCCGTCCCTCCACCTCTCCCAAGCGCGCTGCTACAGTCACATTCCCAAGATGGCTCCTCCACCCCTACCCGCCGGCATGTCGAAGCACCACATCGTCGTGCTGGAAGGCGTTCACGCCAAAATGCCATCCTTTGACTTCCCACACACTATCGACGTCCACCAACGCACCCGCCCCGACCAAGTCGCAGAACGCATCAAGAACGCAACCGTGGTCATAGCATGCGTCGTCCCCGTCACACCCTCGGACATGGACGCCGCGCCACATCTAGGCGTCCTAGCCGTGATGGCCGTCGGCATCCACTGGGTCGACAAAGCGGACTGCTTGCGTCGAGGCGTTACCGTGACGAATTGTCGGGCCGGCAACGTCGACGCCGTCTCCGAGCATTTTCTGGGACTGTACTTTGCGAGTCGTAAGCGTATAGCCCAGGTCCACAACACACTTACTCAAACGGACGAGTGGCACGACAAGGGCACGCTGACGAAACTGTGGCCATCGGGTCCACCGATGGGATGTCGGCAGGAGACGCTGGGGATAATGGGCTACGGCACACTAGGCAAGCGCATTGCCCAGCTATGTCGGGCAGTCGGGTTCGGCGAGGTTTCAATCAGCGAACGCAAAAATGCCACGACAATACGCGAGGGCCGGGTCTCGTTTGACGATATCATACGCCGAGCAAGTGTGATTTGTGTATGCGTGCCCAAGGAGGACGACACGCTCGATCTGATTGCCGAGAAGGAGTTAAAGGCCATGAGGCCCGAGGCGCTTGTCATCAACGTCGCAAGAGGTGGGATCGTGAATGAAGCTGATCTAGCAAGAGCACTGCGCGAAGGCTGGATCGCAGCAGCGGCTGCAGATGTGCTCGAGATCGAACCTGCGGGGCCAGGGTCAGGGCCATTGACACCAGATTTGACGAAAGAGACGTCGGTGCCTAATCTGACCCTCTCATCGCATATAGCATGGTTCACCCAGACTACGATCCAGACGTACCAACGCCTACTCAAGGAGGGGGTAGAAGGCTGGGTAACTGGGACGTTACAGCAGTCTGAGGATAAAGTGCACGATGTGGTCGTCGTGCATAACGGGAAGATCTGGTGATCTGGAATTGAGGTGCCGCTCCTTTCCAGTGGCCGCGTACGAGATAAATCCGCCTCCATGTTTACAGCGACGCGCCAAAGGGCAGGCAGGCCAAACACGGGGTCTCCGTTACAAGATTCAAGATCGCACGGAAGCCAGGGTGTGGCGGACCATAACTGGGCTAGCGACGCTAAACCACGATCTCTGTGCTTGTAGTGTGAGAGACGGTCACGATCATGCCCCGATCGAGATGCTCAGATGTGCATTGCGCCAAAAAGGTTGTGGCCAAGGAGAGCCAGCGCCCAAAAACCGAACGAGATAGGATCAACCTGATATCTGTGAGAACATCTGCTGGACAACCACGACGGACCGTATGAGACCGGCTCCAAGTCCCGTGACGGTATTTTTGAGGTCTACATAAGATGCAGATAGATTCTAGGTTTGGATCCGGCTTTGAGAAGACACAGGATCAGGCTTGATAGGAGGGACAGAAAACAGAATTGCTCGAGGGACAGATATCTCAATTTTGCCACCCAGACTACCGTGAGGGACAGAATATAGAAATCCTCGAGGGATAGATATCTTAATTTTACCACCTAGACTGCCGTACGGGACGAGATAGGTCTTCAAAATGCGAGAAAGCAAATTCAGTGACCATAGTAAAGCCAAAACAGTCAAAAGACGATGAGGCAAGAGCCTGCAGCGATAATACTTCAGACATCTGATTGTGGCTATTGGTTTTAAGAGTGCTGTTCTAGCTATTCAGATACCGTGTCCAACACGACGAGGAACCAATTGCTTCTCTTCCAACATGTCGAGGGACCAATAGCAATAACCAGCCTTTCGATTGAACTGGATCTGCTCCAGCAGTCCAAGCGCAAAAGGTATCAATACGTCTTATCTACACGTCCAAGTGATGCCAACTTCATCTCGTTCTCGTCGTTCATCAAATCCAGCTTATGCTGCTCATGTTATCGTAGGCTCGACCTTTGCTGTCACTGGCTGGTTTTGGGGAGCGTTGTTTTGTCCTGCACTTGGTTGTTCAGGAACATTCTGAATCTGGAGACCATTTTCCAGCCCAGCATATAATTGTGGCGCTGGCTGAGGCTGCTTGCTCGGCGTAGGCACGGGTTCGGTACTGCTTGAGTTCTTCAACTGCTCGGGACTTGGTCTGAGGTTTTCGACAGGCGGCAGGATAGGTGTACCGCTAACCGTCCTCCTCTCAACTGGGCCGGACGGACTCTGTTGCGGAAGTACGACTGGTGGAGACATGCTATTTGGATTTTGCAGGATCATCGACGGAGCGGGCAAAGTGGCAGGTGTTCGCTGCTTCTTCGGTGAGAGGCCAGAGAAGGGTTGCGTTGTAGGAGTCTGGGCGAACCGAGGTTGTCCAGAAGCGCGAGGCGTTGCGTGAGGATTGCCGCCGTTATGACCTTGTTGCATGTGTCCGTTGGAAGATCCGTAAGCTCCGTTGACGACCGGCTGATCCATTGGCGGTGATTTCTGCAGTATTCCTGCCACTGGACCAACATCCATGTTCCCTTGAGTGGGTGACATGGTAGGTCGATTGAATACTGGCGACGGGAGACGTTGACCAGTCGACGGTGATTGGACTGTTTGCCGAGGACTGGTTTGCACAGGTTGATATTGATTTGGTACGCCGTTATAGGCAGGGGCTTGTTGACCATGTGGCATTAATGGTCTGTCAGTAGCGCCATTGATGTTGACCTGGCCAGGCTGCAGCATTTGCGGATGACTTTGAGGACGTGTAGGTGGTTGTTGTCCAGCAGCTGTGTGCAGTCCATGTTGCGGAGCAAGGGGTTGAGTATGTCCACTAACAAGAGCGCCCGAGTTTAGATGATAGGATCTGTCGTTTTGAACAAGTCGTGGATAGTACGGCGAGCTTGGTGGTGGAGGTGAGGATGATGACTGTTGTGGTGGCAAGCCGTTGGCAGCAGGACCTTGACCAGAAGGTTGGCCAAAATTCTGTCTGGGGATCTCGACACCAACGAATTTCGTCGCAGTCGGCGACTGTGCATTTGGGAGTGCTGGACTGGGTGGAGCGGGTGATGAGGATGCGCCAACTCGGAACTTAAGCGAAATCTTGGGTTTCTTCGCGTCCTCTTCCTTTTGTCGACAGTCTTTGCAGACGAAATAAAAATCGTCTTTCTCCGCCGCTGACTTAGAGATGCCCAAGCACTTGCTATGTTGCCAGACGTTGCATCTATCGCAAGCAACGCTATGGGAACCATCATCCTAGAACGGGGTTAGTCTCGAGCAGACCACAAAACCAGCAAAGAGAAGGCTTACCAAGTTCTTGCCATATATGCCACAGCCAGAGCAATCAAACGTCCATTCCTCTTCGGCATTGAGGTCCTCCAACTCCTTCTTGTTCTTTTCGATTCGCTCCTTGAGGTGTCGGCCAGAACCTCTAACTTGACCTTCCTCAATTCGCTGCTGCTCAAGAGCATCCCGTGCAAGCTCCTCCTCCTTAAGGATTCGCTTGTATTCACGGTCTTTGATTCTTTGCTCTCGGGTCATCATCCGATATTGACGTTCTTCCTCCATCTTCTCTTGTCTCTCCTGCTCGCGATGAGCTGCAGCCAGATCAGCTTGTTGTTTTCGTTCGGCTTCGGCTTGCTCTGCTTCTTGTCGTTCACGTTCTTGCTTGCCCTGCAGTCGGCTTGAACGCTTTGCACCAACCATCTTCTCCATCAACATAAGTTCGCGTTGGCGACGTTCAATCTTTCGACGCTGCTTCTCCTCGGATTCTTCGATAATAGGAAGAACATCTGACAACAGGCGTGCGTATAGCAGTTTCTCATTGGGGTCTTTGGATTTCTTGAAAAACTCGCATAGTTCGTGGTAGTCGCTGAGCGTGATGGCAAGACATTCCCATTTGAAGCCTCCATATGTGTCAACTTGCCAGGATTCGAGGTTCTTCTCATCGACCATTTTGCTCTCGTCATCGTTGTCCTCGTTCTCTTGCTCGTACTCTGGTGTGTCCGTCTCTACCCTTCTTCGTTTGCTTTGCCGTCGTCGGGCGGCAATGGCTTTCTTTGAATTGGCTTTAGGCTTTGCTTTTGGTGCTGCTGGTAGAGGAGGTTCTGTACGGCGATAGAAGCGGTTGTCGTCAAGAAGGTAGTACTGGCGGTCATCACGATCGTAACCAAATTCCTCGATACGCTAGGTCGTGGTCAGATAGTGTTAAGGTCGTGGAGGACAGGTACTCACCCATTCCAACTGATCCACCTCACGTTGGTGCTCAGGCATCCGCTCTCTTATGCGATCAGGGTTCCAAAATGTCCATACTGTCATTTGGTGGAGAACACGGATTTTTGTGAAGATGTCAAAGTCCCGAAATCGCTTAGGTTCTTCTTCGTCACCGTAGGGGTTGAGATGTGGTGCTTTGGCAAGGTATTGACGTCGGGTATATTCATCCCAAATATTGAGACTGTAACATCGTCAGTACACTGGGATACAAAACCAAATCAAGGGCGACTGACTCGAGACCACGGTGTGATGAAATCCACTTGAGGAGGGTGAGGCCAATCTCTTCCAACTTTTCGGAGTACCCGGGCTTCAAACACTCGTTTTCAAAGTCCTACAAGATCTCTGTTAGCCATTCCGTGCATCACATTTGCTCCGCCTTCATCGGCTCCTGAGCCATATAGACTCTTAAGACGGGAAAGAATGTACCTCAATGTCAAAGTCCTCGTCGATCTTGACTGCTTTACCGAATGTGAAGATGTACTGCATGACGGACGCAAATTCCCACATGTTCCTTATTCTCTTAAGCAGTCCTGGCTCTGAGTTCTTCTCCTCGGGCTCGGAGGCCTCCATCTCATCGCGAGTGCGCTTTCTAGGCATGGTGTGAAGAAAGGCGCGTGGGGCGTGACGCCTGTGGGAGTATTACGTGAGGGATATCCAAATTTCAAGAAAATGTGATCCTTTCTGACAGACACGCGGCAGATGGTGGCAGGTTTGTGTGAGTGAGGTGAGGTTTCAACGTCTTGTCGCGAGGTGATGGTCGTGGTTCTTTTTCCTTGTACCAGACCAAGATGCGGCGCGACTTTCAAATTGGACAAAGATTCACCCGGCAGATCTTCGGCAAGAACATTCACCACACCAAGAAACATCAACATGCCTTCATCTTCTTCGTAGTGGATGTCTACCACTCTTTCATTCACAGACTTCCAACGTATCTTCTTCCGTTGTTACTGTCAGAGTACAAGCTGAGGTCTCAGAAAGAAGAAACCAAGCGTAGTCGTTCAAGATCCGGTCTACTACAGCTGTGAACGGGCCAGTCCTTGATACACTATCTCTTGACAGGGACTACGAGACATGAAGACCTAGTCAAGCAGAGTCATTATTCACCGGGACGGCATAATGGCAGTGAATTCGCAACAAGGAGCCAATCCCGCTGAATTTGTCTTTCCGAGAAGTTACAACTTTCCGCCATTTTTCAGTCCCCAGCCGAACGCTTTGACCCTACAAGCCCAGCTCAAGAAGTGGTCGTTATTCCTACAAAGATACTGCAAGCATCATCACATCTTCAAACTCACAATCATCGAGGCACTTGATACTCCTCTGTTCCACAATTCAACACTGAAGAAGCGTCTGAGTCTCAAAGATGCTAAAGCAGTAATCGATTACATGGCTAGCAAGGAAGGCGATGAGCGGGCAGAATGGCTTGGATCAGAGAAGTCCGAAGCCTGGATATGGTGGCGCAAGCCTGAGGAATGGGCCACTCTCATTGCCACCTGGGTCGAGGATACAGGTCAGAAGGGGACAGTCTTGACGCTATATGAACTCGTCGAAGGGGAAGCCACAGAGAAACAAGAATTTCATGGGTTAGATATGGACGTTCTTCGCAAGAGCCTCAACACGTTGGTGAAGAAGGGAAAAGCCCAAGTATTCGGCACGGGGGATCAGCAAGGTGTTAAGTTCTTCTAAGCCAGCATCTCCTGACCAACAAGCAGCAACTCCAATTGTGGCGAACTGCAATGCATCGCTAAATTGAAGCCACATACAACCACCGGATCGACGCTTTCATGCAAGCTCGTATTCCTTGATTGAGAGCACTTGCTGAGACATTGCACTCTCCAACATCCAATCCGCTGCGACTATCCGAGGGGCCTTACGACTCCCTTCGGCCATCTCTTTGAAGCGATTCCATAACGATTTCTGCTGGGTGCGGTCCTCCTCACTACTCAGAAGGTAGACTTCAATATTCGCATCAGCGTCGACACCTTCGCTGTCGGCTCGACCAGACGGTACTGTTGTGCCTTTCCGACCACGCCACAGCATGCAGCGTCCACCGTTGGCTTCCACGATAGTTTTGAACGTCTCAAAGCCACCGCGAATGTTTTCCATGCAGTAAATCCACCGGCCTCGAAGGAGCTGGTTGTCGTTGCTTTTGGCTCGTTCTCGGGACGACTGAAGAGAGAAACCGAGCTTTTTCTCGTTCTCTTTATCCTCTAGGATGAACTCCTCTGGATCCAGAAACTCATTTGCCTCCAAGCAGGCATCGATGAAATCAGTCGATATGACCAGTGGCGCGTACGCCAGAGCGGTAACGAATTTCATGGTTCGGACAATATGCGGCGCAGCAAGATGAGTCGCCCTGCTGGAGTCCGTTGTGCATATTATACCCAGGTTTCGAAGTCGTTTCTGTAAAGTCAGTAGGACCTTTGAGTCATAAGACTGGCTTGCTTACCTTGTCATTATCTTCCAGCTTCGGATGACCAGTCCACTTCTTGTAGCCAGAAATTACAAGATGCATTGAGGGCGCAGCATTGCCACGTTTTGTCCTCTTGACATCAACCTCATCTTCCATGTCAACGTCTTCTGCCTCATCGACAGATCGTTTCCGGCTGACCACTCGATCCTCGTCAGTCTTACGTCGGCCTCCATAAACCACACCACCAACTCTTTTCTTCTCCTTTTCGTACAAGAGTATGTCAGGCGTCAATTCATGCAAGCGGGCTGATGCAACTTCCTTTGACTTTCGGCTGTGTGTCGTTGAGGGCGTTATGTTTTCTTTGCCTGTGGCCACGAACTTGGAAGGTGCCGGTGTTCGAACATGATTCGATTGTTCTGTTGCGTCAGCCTTGCCTGACAACACTCGCTTCGAATTCTTTGTGGGGACGGTGTTCTCGTTCGCCTGCTGCATTGGGGCTTGTTCTGGCACATCTGTCATTTCAACATCATCAGAAGGGAAGAAGCAAGTTTCGAGAACATTGCGGTCCAGTTGAGTATGACCAACCACATCGCCAAGGTTTGTCCTCTTGGGAAAATGTGTATATCTGTTGTCAGTGATGCTTTGTATCTTCCACTGGGCGTAGCTTTCTTCCAGCCAGAGATGATTGACAATATGTATGCCCCAGTCTTTCGCCGCAGCACATTTCTCGCTCAGATTATGTGCCGTTATCAAGTGGGTGTTGTCTTGCTTCAAAGTCTTCGTACACTCGGCGCCAGTGGCATTGATGAGGTTCTCTAAATATGTTCGAGCTTCTCCGCTGTAGTTGGAAAGACTGATTTTCAAGCCGGGAAATCCTGGTAGGCCATCTTTTGCGATAGGATAGTGTAAAAGACGCCGTAGAGGTGATGTCCATTCGTCGGTCTGAATGAGGTAGTATAGCCATGCCAGATTTCCGACGTCTTTGCCCGATCGTGAGGCAACCTTGAATTCTTGCCCTTCTCGATATTTGCAAACAAACATGTTAGCTTTGGTGACGGTATCTGTCAACTTGCCACCAGAATTTTTGACGATTTCTTCCAAGATACCACGAAGATATGGTGAAATGCCTAGGTCGTTTGACAGCATCACCGTCTTCTTCTTGAACACTCTTTCCAGCTTTCGAGGCGCAGCCGGTTCGCGATCTTGCTGAGATGGATCGGGATCGACAGCCCCTTCAACCTGGGTTTTCCGCTTAGCCAGGGGTGCTTTGTTGGTCGGAGGCTTCAAGATTTCTGGGTCTGGCAGCAGGTATGGTTGCTCATCAATCTTCCTCCCTAGTTTCAGACAGTCATCCACCCAGTGCGGCAACACAATCTTCACGTCGAGATGTCTCTTCTGTGCGCTGACGCATGATTCTGAATCCATGGTAAGCGCTATTATATGAGTTATTTGGCTGGTGAGTTTTGTTGAGAAGAGGCCACCCATGGCAAGAATACCGCCGGCGATCGCATCAGAGTCGCCTTCTGGGAGATCAGAGACACAAGCTACCACATCGGACATGAAATATCGAGGATCCGGGCTGTATTGCCGCGGATTTCCCAGTTTGTTTCTGGCAAGAGAATGTAAGACCCATGAAGGCTTGACGACGGGTATGAGGAGATCGCAGCATGCATTGTAGTCTGGGAAGTCGTAGGTTGTTGCAATAACGTGAGTGATGGCAGTGAGGTCGAGGTTGTTCTCTGGGTAATCGTCGATGATGACTTCTCCGTCGTGCAGTCTCAACTCACTGGCCAGCTGTTTAGGTTAGCCATAATCTTCCAAGTAACATGATACAGCGTCTGGCGTACCGATTCTGCATCTTTGGCTGTAAAGGCCGCGGATCGTACGATGGCGAAAGTGCATTGAGCGAAGAGACCTTGACGTTGCGGATGTTCTTCATCCATTTCGACCGGATCTGAGGTGCCGACAAAACTACGTATCAGGCTTCTGCAAGTATCGAATATCGCGTTCGTCATTGACAATCACATTACGCATGTGGTGGAAAGATATCTTAGTGATGTGAATGCTGGTGGTGTGTATTGTATGGAAAGCGCGGAACGCGTTCAAGAGTTTCTGGTGTGCAGGCAGGCGCGTCACAGCTAAAAGAATGGAGGGCCACTCTAAATGACGCGAATTGCCGCCGCCAAAACATGTGACCTCTATTTACAGTACGAGGTTTCACTTTAGGCCTTCCACCGCTGCCATTTTGAGTAAACCGTCTGCTCCTTAATAAGCCGCAATTGACAAAGTCTGTATCTTTCCTCTGTCTAATGCTCGACAATGACACCGAGATCATGGTGGCAGCTACAGTGATTCTCTTCTTGGACGATATGAGCTTCACAGCAGTCACTGAAGGCCCTTCAATGGTACGAAATGGCGGCAATGCGCCCTCCACATCCACTCCGCAGGTTACACGAACCTCGGCGTTCGGGACTCCATAAGGCTCAAATACCCGGCAATTACATTCACAGTCCACACCGTCCATATCAAAGCACTCCGCCGATGTGAGCCTCCTCTTCAATCACTGGCGCATAGCTGGTGAAACCCTCCTAGAAAATGTCGTCCTTTACTATCGTCGAGCACAAGATTCCAAGTCAACACGTTCGAGAATACCCACGAGCGTTGGCTGGCTCGCAAGAGGATGTACTACATTTGGCTGTCAAGCAATATATACCCAAGGATAATCCCAATCCTCAACCCGGCGATGTGACGATAATAGGCGCGCATGCGAATGCATTTCCAAAAGAGCTATATGAGCCATTATGGGACGATATCCACGCTCGGTCGAAGAAAAGCGGCTTTCGCATCAGAAGCATATGGATCGCGGACGTTGCGCAGCAAGGTCAAAGCAGCGTCTTGAACGAGAAGCAGCTGGGAAACGATCCCGGCTGGAACGACCATCCTCGAGATCTGCTTCATATGATTAACACAATGCGAGATCAAATGCCTCGACCTCTGATAGGCGTAGGCCACTCAATGGGTGGAAATCATCTGTACGGCTCATTCTCCATTGCCCAACCAGTCCATACTAACGATGACCAGTGTCAACCTCGCCTACATTCACCCACGCCTCCTAACCACGCTCATCCTCATTGACCCCGTCATCCAAATATACTCCAGCGTAGCGCCGCATATTGGGCCCAGTCCCGCCCGTCTCTCCACCTTCCGGCGCGAGGTATGGCCATCCCGAGAAGAAGCCGCAAAATCATTCAAATCAAGTAAATTCTATCAAGCCTGGGACCCGAGAGTTCTCGATCGTTGGGTACAATACGGTCTCCGCGACATGCCCACATACCTCCACCCGGAAGAGCCACCCAAAGTGACGTTAACAACCCCTCTCCACCAAGAAGTCTTCACATTCTTGCGCCCCAATTACGAAGGGTACGGGAACAACGGCAAGCCCGTCAATCGCAAAACACATGCCGACCTGAACTCCGCTCTCCCTGGCACTACCCCGTTCTACCGCTCCGAAGGCCCGCAAGCATTCTTCCGACTTGAAGAACTACGCCCCAGTGTCCTATATATATTTGGCGGCAAATCCGACGTGGGCACGCCCGACGCCTGCAAAGCCAAGATGGCCTACACTGGAGTCGGTGTTGGTGGCAGTGGAGGTGAACCTGCCGGACGGGTAAGTAGTGTGTTGTTCGAAGACGTCGGACATCTCATTGCCATGGAGGCTGTCGACAGAACCGCTGATCATACCGCCGCGTGGTTGGGCAGCGAAATGAAGATTTGGAAAGACGATGAAGACGAGCACAATCGTACCTGGGGCTCTAAATCACTTCGTGAAAAACAGACTGTGGACGAACAGTGGAAGAAGGCGCTAGGTGGTCCGATGAGGAAACCCACGAAGGAGAAATTATAGTGTTTCTGGGCCCCTTTTTGTCTCCAATCTAGACCCGATTCTGGTCGTCCTGCGTAGTAACAGCCAGAGATGATAGATTCAATTGACACTCAGTGAAAGATTTGTTGCATAATATATCGTACCATTCATTCCCTCATGACAGACATCTAAATCTAAGTGTCATGACAGTTCTAGACACTCATCCTCCGCTCCCTACGCTGACTAGTCCAATGCACCTCGTCACTACCTGCGGTATCCCTCTCCTCATCTCCCACTTCTAACAAAGTGTCCGTCTCGTCCATCGCAGCAGAAGGATACTTCACCTTCCCATCATACCTACCTATAGGCATTCGTCCCTTGGTACGACCCAAACCTTCCGTCTCCTCCAGCAGATCAAGATGCTTGACCTGGCCATCATCGCCGGCACCGTGAGCTGGTAAGGTCCCATCAGGATCTGTAACACCATATATGACGCGATAATTGCCCAACTTGGCCGCGATCTCCTCGCCAGTCAACAGACACCCCGTGTCGCCCAGCTTATTTACAATCGGGCGCAAGAGACGGGCCGTCGACAACGGACTGCCGTCCTTGATAATTGCCCGATCTCCAAATGCAATCACAAGTGCTAGGATCAACGCCTGCGCAACGGGAATGCCGGCAAGAAGAGCTCCAGCAAACCTCCACTGCACATTGAGTAATTGCATCGATACCGGTGTGTACCCCGTGACGTTGAGACGTGGTCCACCCGCGTCGAGAGCCGCAATGGCCCCAGCCGTAAACTTCATAAGCAGTCGCGCCATGTCAGCCTCTGATATGTTGTCCGGTGCACTCCACTCCGAGTCTGCCTGGTACAGCACCCTTTGCAGATTAGCGTCGTCGCTGTCGGTGTAGTCGGTCAGAATGCCCGACCAGCCGATTGCTCCAGCCAGGATCTGTGCCTGTGCATCTGGCATCTGGTAGTGAGACGGAGTGGGGTATTCGTTGACGTTGGACACGTTGGACACATATGTATAGCAGGACCAGAAGCGCGGGACGGGGACGCCGCTCGTGATGTTGTCCGCGGTCTGCAGGGCGAAGACTTGTGTGCAGCGATCACCGCAATCGGTGGTTACATTCGACATCCAGGTCGTCGCACCAGTCGCCTGCTCCGGAATGACCAAGCTGATATCTTTGCCCTCATCATCGACATAGGTTACGTCCCACATTAGGCTTTCATCGGTCGTTTGAAACCCAGCCTCACCGCCGTATATGACCTTGTCTGAACATCAAAATCGTCAGTTCGAACCACTGGAAGGAATTTTGTACTGCCACTGAGGCAGAAGTGTACCAGTAGGTATATATGTGTAAGACTTACATGATTTGCACGTTGCGGTTGCATTAACCTTTCGATCAGACGCCGTTGACAGACCATTTGACAACGGATTCTGGTCAACAAAGCGATACCAGTAAAGCGACGACTCCGGATCGGTAAAGATCTGGTTGTCGGCGGATCCGGTCGCGTCACTCCCATAATCTGTGGTGAAGACCGTGTAGTCTTGGCCTTCGATGCCCAGTTGATTCGCCACGCCCACTTGAGCCAATACGGACGCACTGCTGTTCTGGTTGCTTTGGTACTCGGCGTCTGTCTTCGTGGTGCCGATGTAGCTGACGTCCGCAATACTGACGAGGCCTGAACGGAGTCTCACAAACTCATCCGAAACATCAATGGAATAGGTCAAACCTAGCAACGCCGTGGAGACCTGGAGAGCCAAGTTGATCAAGAGTGACACGGCCGCGGCGGTTTGAAGTTTGTTGGGAAGCCATCGGCCGCGAGTGCGGCAAGTCCATAGCATTGTGAGTGTCTTTCGTTGGCTTTCACACTCCAAGATGCTTTCGAACTCATCCAGTGTCCGATATCCAGAAGCCAGCATTCTCCAACGGAGCATATTGGCATACGTCTTCATCGAAGAGGCAAGATTGAGACCCAGGATCAACGATAAGCCCGTGATAATCGCATTGAAGGCGTGCTTGCGAGAGATCGTCACTCCATTAGCGGCCTTGGAGACAATATATACTGCAAGTGGTCAGAAGACTTACAGTCCAAATGAAAGAATGACGAAGGACGCGGGTGTGACAAAAGGCATACTTACAGAGAGCGGCAAGAGAAGCGCAGACCAAGGCAGTAAAAACCCATTGCAAACTGCTGTTGGCAAACAACCTTCGGCGCTGTCGTCTGTGGTCAAAGTACCGGACGGTGTCGGATGGAGGAGTTCCGTGCTTCTCGAGAAACTCGTGCTTCCAAGGTGCGTCCACTTTGACTCTCGAAACGGTGGCCGACAAAGTGGACCAGGCCGATGAGGCAACTCTGTACAACGAGCTCCCCGTTCCTTGACGTCCCGAAAGAAAATCAGCATTTGAAGGTTGAAAGACGGCGGTAGTGCTCACTTGTAGTGCGAGCAGGTACATCTCCGTCAAAGCCGGTGTATGCAAAACTCCCATCGGCGTTGTTCGACACGGAGCGTCCAAAGAATCTGACACCCTGCTTCTCGGCGGGACCCCTGGTGCTGTCTTCAATGCCCTGAGTAGTCGTGATGTTGCCATCTATACTGCCCATCCCACCTACGCCGAAGCCGAGGGGTTCATATCGTGGAGTCGTCATTCAGGCGTGCTAAAGACTCACTAGTTCATGCTCCTGAGTGCAAAGGTAGCAGATCTGTGCAACGGCGAAAGGATATAGCTATGCTTGGATTAATAGGAACTGTTCCAACAAGGGGAGTGTCCACCATCTCCTGGGTCTGGCTAGAGTGCCCGAGACCATCAGCACGGGTGAATCTGTGTATAAAGTAGTAAACAGGAGAGTTTCGACCCTATACTGACCAAGATAGTATCATGGGGATTCGTCGACTATTGGTGGCAACGAGACCCCCTACACGGTCCATATGGGGGCTTGTGGATAATCTCGCCTGTGATGGGTGGCCTGACGATGACCTTACCTGAAAAAGTTCGTGGGACATGTCGCGTATGAATCCAGCCCCAAAGAAAATGGGGGCGGGATATGCTCATATGAAGACCTGTATATTTTGACTTTCGTCCTTCGCAATAGTGCTCGTTTCATCCCAGGCGTGGCGCTTGGAGAGGAGCAGAGCGACGACATGCATAGGAGCATGGGGGAACCTCTTTGCTGTGGATGTTGGAACCTTGGTGACGACAGACCCTTTCTTTTCACCCACATGCGCGGACCCAGAGAAAGCTCTTCAGCTGCCGTGCATAGCTATCTACAGCTTGTGTCTAGACGGCCCACTGGTGATGGCAGAGAGCATGTGTAGGGGATGATGGCGGTCACTTCCTGGTTGGGGCTGAAACGTGGCGGGAGGTTGTGAGGCAATTGAGAACATGCCTTGGCTGCGCTGTATTGTACTTCAGTCAGGTCCAGGAGGTTGCGGATTTGGGCGCTTCAGAATTAGGCCATCGTAGGCGTGACTGGCATTGGTCCGAGCAGGCTAGGGAGGCCTAGTGAGGTGTTGCTAATTTGACGCAGGGCATGAGGCTGACGAACGAAACTGTCCTTTCGACATGAGCCGCATCGGAGTAATGATGTCCCACCTGTAGGAGTCTCGAATGGAAGGTGGTTGGCGAGAATTGTTTCCCTTGATGGTGATAGAAGCAGGAACGTCAACAAAGCAAACGGAAAAGTTACTGGGGCATAATCCTGGTGCCGGAATGGAAGTTGCAACCCCTAGAAATGTCCTTCCACTGTGCAATTGGCTGATCCCAGACCAACGAGGGTCAGGTAAACAAGACTACAGTAGCCTGTAAAAATGTGGTATCCCATTGACCTTCTCGAAAGGATACTCATTCAGGAAAGTACTTCTACATGCATTCACAAGTGAATCAATGTTCTGATTCAGACATCACCTGTCATGGGTGCCCCCTGTCATTGCGCTGTGTTACGAATGACCTCTCCTCTCAGCAGACAATCCTACGCTGACACTGATACAAATGCAGATTCCATCCTTTAAAAACATCACCACAGTAAACTTGTCCCTCATCCAAATTCCTCGCGCAAGAATTGACATGTCCGCTCCTCCGCTTCTTCCCACTCCCCATACTCCTGCCACATTCTACTAAAGGCAACCTTGAGTAGTTTGTCTTTGTCGGCTGTATCGTCGGCCACATATGACTTCACGTAGTCGCTCAAAAGAAATGGAGGCTTGCCGCCGAAAGCAAAAGCCATGATTTGGTGCAGAAGGCCATCTCTCATTATCTCGCTTTCCAATGCCATGCAGATGGCTCCGAGTATGTGGGAAGCCTTGGTCATCATCGGGTCGTAATCTTTCGGAGAACAGGCTGCAAAGGCTGCGGCGTAATGTTGTCGATACCTGAGAAACTCTTGAGGTTTGCTTTCAGTGCACTCATCGTCTTCGCAGTTGAATACACATGAACAAGGATCCCAGTCTCGAGTAAGCCAGAGTGGATATCGGGCATAGCCAAAAGCAGCTGGCTTGGTTGTCACATTATCCCAGTCAATGATACCTTTTATCTCTCCAGCTGCGTTTACCATAACATTTTGAACGTTGAAGTCGGCCGGAGATAGATAAAACCTCCCGTTGCCATCGAGATACTTCGGTATCGACTCGATGATCATCTTGAAAAGGGGCTCCTCGGATTGTGACATTTTTGAGCGATGTTCACACCGGCTTAGTAATATCAGCAGGTGGTCAGATATTGATGTGTAAGGTCCTTCCACATGATGCTTGCCCCAACCGTCCTGGAAGAATTCGACTTCTCTTGCGTAGATAGGCCCAACCGTTGGCTGCGCCAGAGGGTCTTGAAACTGTAGCATACCCATTGCTGGAAACTCCAGCTTGTGTAATTGTGACATGTAGGCAGCTAAGTCTGACAGGAGCTTCGACCGCGCATCATCTGAGAACTTGTCTTTGTCGTACCAGACACGGTACAATGGCTCCCCTTCGACAAAAGACATGAATGCGAAGGGTACTCCGATGCTTTCGCAATTGATTTCCCAAGAAAAAACTTGTGGAATAGGGATTGTGGTATGCTGTCGGATATATTCCATTGTGCGATATTCAGTGTTCATGCGGGTGACATCGTTCGCATCGAATTCCAGTCCATGGCCCGGGACCCGCAGGATCCATTTCAGACCGTCCGACCACTGTACAACGTAGACGAGATTGAATGACCCCCGATGAAGTTCTTCTGCGATGGTACAGTCGAGTGCCCCATTAACATCGCCTTCCCGGTCGGCATTGTGGTAAGGTCGTTGCCGAGCGCGCATTTCCAGGGCGGCATGCTTGACCTTGTCGAGGTCAATTGCAGCCATGATAGGCCGGAATTTTTCGAAGTCGTCACAATCTGACTCTTCGTCCTCGTTTTCCTCATTTCCATCCTCCTGTTCGTCCTCGTTCTTCTGCGTAGCGACAGCTTTTGGGTCGCCATCCACACCAATGTGTATTTCAGGGGTGGATCCGGCTTGGATTGGAGACTGCTCGCGTTTCGCTGACTCGTGTGCAGGCGATTCGTCTGTGGTACCGGTTGAGGAGGAGAATTGTTTTGACTTGGAGGTGAGAGTACTGCGATAGGCAAGGTAAACGAGAAGGGCAGCCGAGCCTGCAAGAAGAAGGACAACACCTTTCGTACGCCTCAGAGGAATTGAGGACGCCATGATGATACAAGTGATGACCTTTGGGAGAATACACATGGTGGTAAGAAGACCAAAACAGAAAAGCTGTCAAAGCCAGTTTCTTCAGGCAGTGAAGACTGATGAGCAGTCAGCCAGGGTAATCACCACAGTGATGGTAAGGGTGACAATAAGTGAAGTATCAGACTATGGGAGAGGCAGTTCCGTTTTCGTTTCTGAACAAACGATCCTCTTTGTCTCGGTGTCCTGTTATTTTTAGGCATCCGCTTGAACGGCAAATGCTATTGTTTGTTTGCCTGAACGTGCTTGGACAAAGAAAGACATGGCGACTGACACACCTCCGCCGTACCCACAGCCCACGAATTGCGAACTCGTTGTGGTTGTACCTCGTAAGCGGGCAATTGATGTCGCCGTCTAGAGCGGTGGTTCAGCCTTGCGTGATATGAATGCTGCCCATCATTTGGATGATGGATGGTGAAGCACCGTGGACAACACAACATCACGCACGACTAGATGTCTTCACTTTCGGCCTCACCGCCTCTGCGTTGTCCTAGACACTCTCTATGATCGTGGTATCCCAGAATAATCGTCTTTGTCACTGCTCCTTTCGTTGTGTATCCGTATTTGACCTTCGAAGTGACAATGCCTCAAACGCCTGCCCATCCTTTGAAGCCCATTGTTGCTGTTCAATCTTTTCAACACCGACATACCCTTCCTATCAACCTTGACCGAAGCCATCGCCTGCGCTCTGTCAACGCGAACATCATATCGAAAACACCCGCAAGCATCAACAAACTTCAAATCCTACAAAGAATACCTCAATATGGGGGGCTTTAAAAACGGCAGTCATCACTGCCCCAACCACGACAACGGCGTCCATGCCTTCAACACCACTGTATGCGGCAAGAAGGGCCACTGCCAATGGTGTCCAACATGTAACAAAATCGTCTTCAAGAAGTGCAAGACATGCCGCGCGACAAAAGACCAGCTGGTGCGATACACAGGACAAGACAAAGTCCAGCAGTGAATGGCTTGGGCGATAACAACAGTGCCTTGCAGATGGTGCTCTTGCGACCCAGGGGCTTTTGAAAGGGGCTGGTGCCTTGCTCGTGGCGGTGTTTGCTAGCTGGTTAACGTCGACAATTTGGAGATTCCTAGCTTTCAATTGAGAATATCAGCTTCCTTCCAATGCCAACCATTCTCCTCACACACTTGAATAAGTGCTGCTAACCCGGGGGTGGATCACAAGCTGATCGCATGGACAGATAGCATGGGGCGGAGAATGCGAGTCCATTGCAGGTTGGAAGTCGATATTGGTAGCCCGGATAGCTGGAATATGATACAGCAAGGCAACAAGCCTACGGACTGAGATTGACTCATGCCGCAAAAGCGTAGCTGCCGAGAATAGCATAGACCGACCAGAGAGGTGTGCCATCTCTTCTCTCCAACATGTCGGCAACCAATTCGGCATTCCTGATCCCAGAAGTGCTCGCTATCAGCCTGAGCTGTTTCAGAACCCATGGTCGAATGTTGGTCTTTTCACTGGCAAACATGCCAGCCGCGTACAGTGGGATCAACAATGTGTAACAATGCAGCTTCCGGACAGGGGAAAATTCATCAATTCTGGTATGGGCACTTTCGGCTCCCGTGAATTGTGGCCCAGCAGCACAAATCTCGGAAGCCACCGTATCAATGATCTGTGTGGCAAAGACAGCACCATGGGAGTTGAGACTGTCTTTGTCATCCATCGAAGGCATTGCCATGTATGTTGTCCGTATCGTGTCGTTCAAAGATATTCTCATGATGCGGATGACATTGCACGTCTGAGCTGTGAAGTAATCCGGGTACACATCGTAGTATCGTTCCAAGACATGCTCGGACGGCTTTTGGAGAAAGACCCTTTCAGAGACCCAAGCTGGTGGTAGATTGTCTGCAAGGGATTTGAAGTCATGGTCGAGGGCTTTCGCACGCCGTAGAACCTCCGTCCGTGGTAGATTTCCAGTCAGCATTGCTGCGCGGAGGTTTGCGTACTGCGCACACAAACCCGTGACCTGCCATTTAGGATCCTCCAGCATATGTGGCTCCATAAGGCGGCGGAGACGGATTACGCCCGGAGGTACCGGAGCATCGGCCGCAACACAGCTGATTACCATGTTCGTCACAAGGCGAACTGAAAGCCGGAAGCTCACATAGTCTTCGAGTTGCTGCTCCTGGCGGAAGTCGAATAAGGCCAATGCCCCTTTGACATGGCTCATCCATGATTCGGTAGACCTGGGATTGTTGTTCATTATCTTCTCGAAGAGGTCTAGAAGCAATACTGCCAGCAGTGTCGAGTCACTGGCTACCCCTTCAGAGGACCCTAAAGCTTTGCTCACCAATGGTAACGCCTCCAGATACTCCCGCTGAGCAAGTTTCGAAGCATCTTCGGAAAAGTTCTGAAAATGAAAGAAGGCCAGGCTGACCGCGTCAATGGTGACGGCCAGATGCTTGTTCAATGGAGATTGCTGGTCGATGCGTTCGAGGACACTGTATGTCCGAGCTAGGCCCACGACATAATGAGAGAAAAAGGCGGCTCTGGCCCTATCGCGCAACGGTACCTCGACTGTATAGACGCTCAAGGTTGTTCTGCCGCTCGAGGCTCTCTGACGCGTTGCGTGGCTTTCGTCTCGGATCATCAGTTGATTTGGATCACGATAGCCTGAACACATCAACCCAGCCCGGACGCATTGACCACAGGCCTCTTTACGAAGGTCACACCAAGCACAGTTAGTGAGAGGTTAATATGGGCAACAACAAACTCACGCGAAGTTTCCGTCTCCTGCAGTGGGCGCAAGCCCTTGAGGGTTTGCCAATGTACACCATGGTTTTGTAGCTGGGTTATCGGACAAAGCTTGACAAAGAAAATGCGCCGGATCGGTCAAAAAGAGGCATTTTCGCCCCCATGTCTAGCTGCTCGGTCGTGGATGACGAGACGATAGACGACTTGATGCTCAACTTGATGCGATGTGTCTGTATATCATTATGAAAATAACTATGACCGTGGATTTTGATGTTGGACCAAAGCTCGGGAGTCGGAGATACCACAATACGACCAGTCTCGTCTCCGCCATTGCACTAGTCCCAAAACGTGTGATTCTGATGACTAAGCTGGCAAGCCTATCACCATATTTTCAAGATAAGTGGCACTTTCTGACCAATGTCGCTCCTCAGCTTCGAATAGGTATTGTTTCCCTATTCTAAACTCGACGTCCTTCGCACACAACGAGAGAGGTGTGGCGCTTGTCAACAGGGAGGTCGTCAGCTCTATCGTGGATCCCGACTGGCTTGCTGCATTGCACCCGTTGTCGCGAACCTGCAGAACTTCATTTTCCATCGTTGATGTACTCCCAATCAGATGGTGACAATTCTCTGGAGATAGGCATGCTGGACCCCTAATTTAGGCGGCTCTCCAGCATACATGCCCCTCCAATCCAGCATCCCTCTTGATCCAGCTGCACATTGATCTCAGACAGGCATCCCATCGCACGGCCTTGGTACACCATTGCATGCTGACCGGGATGCAACTGGCCACTCGCCGCAAGAGCATAAGACAGTGCAGCCGCTGCGATTCCGGTCGCAGCATCCTCAGGGTAGCCCGACGCCTTTGGAAACTGCCTTGCTTCGACTTTGATAGGGGTCTTGTCACTCTGAACGACCGCATACGGATACAATCCGGTGGAGCCCAATCTTTCGCAGAGGCCCTTGACTTTACTGAAGTCAGGCCTCAAATTGTTCAGTGTGTCAACGTCTTTCAAGGGTATGACCGTCTTCATTCGGCTCGTGCAAGCATTTCGGATCGGCCATTGTGCCAATTGATTGCGTCGAATGCGTAGGACCGCCAATATCTCCTCGATCAGAAAGTCTTCGAAAACGTCCGTGACCTTACCCTGAGGCTGGGACACAAATACCAGCGTCTGGCCATCCCGCTCAGTGCAACGTGTGCTCACGTAGCCCGACTTGGTGCTGATGTCAAGCACAGACTTGCTGGTGGTTTGCAGATTATGCATGAGCCATGCCGTGCCGACAGTGGCATGGCCACACATTTCCATCTCATGTTCTGGGACGAAGAACCTTAGTTGGAAATCGACTTTGGAGTCTTCGTGCACCATAGCAAAGGCGCTCTCTCTTTCGTATCGGCGGGCAATGTCTCGCATGTCGGCATCCGTGAGACCGTGCGCATCCAGCACAATGGGAGCGAGGTTGCCACCCTGGCCATTGCATGTGAAGACGTTGACAAGATGGATAGTTTCGTCCATGACGAAGATGATCTAGTGTTATCTCTGGCAAGGGACATGTACGGTTCGTTGCCAGCGACTGCATGCTCAATGTTCTCAGAGACGGATCGCCGACATGGTTCGAGATATCCGCCCCGAAGTCGATCCAGTCTTCCGCCCTATGATCACTTACTCATAGCGGGGTTTGGAGCCCTGGTGTGGCAGTCGTGGTTGAATCATTGTATGCTTACCGTAATGATGTCGCATCTTCTAAGCTCGATCGCGGAGTCTCAGCCTTGCGCTTCAGGATCTCAAAAACATCTTTCGTAATTTTTGCTGAGTTTGCAGACGTTGGACCGACCGTGTTATGCATATGCTGATGGGTGGGCGAAAAGAATGTGGCACCCTGTTGTGATCCCCACACGCGGGTATTGTATTGTCCACCGGCACCATGTCCGGCTTTTGGTCGGCTGAATTGCTTGACTTCGCCGAACTGCAAAATCGAGAAATCGCATCAGCCAGTATTCTTTTCTGAAAATAAGAAGCCTTGAAGAAAATAGCAAAGAGTCAACTCTTGGCGAAAGAGCAAGATCAACGGACTCATCATACCCGTGGTCAAAGATCATCCATCACAATCTTCCCAGAACTGCCAGATCTCAGAGTTTACTAAAAGCATCGCCATGTCTCCCAAAGGCCCGTACAAGCTGGTTACGGTCAATACCGCTCCTGAACGAGCGAAGAAGCTCATTGGTCGTATGGTCGAAGCTCTGAAAGATCAATATACGATACAGCATATGGCAAACTGCGAGAGTGAGTTTCCCAATGCCCCATTTGTCAGGCAGCGATTACCCCTGTCGAATGATGTGGAGCGCCGTTGATGACTTGACAATTTGGCTGACATCTTGGGACTTACAGCAATCGATCAAGTCGAACCAACAGTGAAGGAGATCAAGCCGGATGTCCTCGTGAGTTGCCTGTGATGTTGCAAATTCCTTCTCCAGGAGCTGAACTGGGCCTGTTGCAAATGCTAACACGGGATCTCCAGTTTTGCGCCTCAATGTGGACGCCCGAAGAGAGCGCACAGATTCAACAGACCGCCAAAGACATTGTTCCCGGGATCAAGACGCACGCCATCCCACAGGGTCTGCAGGTTCAGAAGGGTCCAGATGCCGTTGTTGAGTATCTGGTAGAGGAGGTTCCGAAGCTCCTGGGCTAATTACAAACTCAAAGCGAGACGCGGAATTGAGATCTTGGGCTATAAGGAGGCGGAAGACACGTATCAATTCTTGTCACGAGCTTTGCTCCTGAGAGTCCATGTTTATCGAAGTGTAAAGTTGTTTAACCCACGACAATTGTGAATAGCAGGGCTCGATGTCTATGTATCTACTACCAGGCAAGAATTCTGTTCATCAGCGATACTTGCCATGCTCTTTTCTTGTCAGTAGGCGTATACTGTGATCTGTTTCCCCATGGAATAACCATCCCATTGTCTGGGGAAGCATACCGAGTACGAGCAAATGCCAATCAGAACCCCACGCAGTATTTTCCCCTCCTTTTTTCTCTGTGCGGGGACGTCGTAATGCCCTCCGTGGCCATACCATTTTTTGTTCTTCCTCTTATACCACATAGTGCCATCATTAATGTGCCGAATTGACTTCCCGTCCCCGCAATCACCAAGAGAAACTGTTTCATTTTGCTGGAGGTAATGGCAGAGAGATCAGCCGACCTCGATCGAGACCTCACCTAACATCTGCAAGCTTTCTTACAACTTCACAACATATAAAGCAGCACTTAAGAACGTGCATCACTCATCAGGTTGGGCCGAAAAATGGGAAGCACATCGAAAATGCATTCAGGCGTCGAGTCTTTGAAGATATGTATTCTTGGAGCCGGCATGGGAGGGCTCGCATGTGCCCTTGGCCTTGCCCGGGCCGGCTTCAAGGACATCACCGTCTATGAATTGGCGTCGAATCTGGGCTTCGTTGGTGCAGGTATCCAAATGGCGCCCAACATGGCGCGGATCCTCGACAGATTCGGAGTCTGGAATGCCATATTCGAGGAAGCAGTCGTCTTGAACGAAACGGAAGTCCGTCAGGGCGCTACAGACGAACAAATGGCCCATATCGACTTGAAATACATCAAAGAGCAATATGGCTATCCTCACACAGTCGGTCATCGGGCAACACTCGCCGGCGAATTGTATGAAGGATGCAAACGTGAGTCGAAGAACGTCAAGTTCGCCTTCGCAACGACCTGCGAAAACGTCAAATTTGGTTCCAAGCCCACCTTCACGGCCGTGCCACGGAATGGTGAGCCCTATGAAGTGGAGTGCGATATCCTTCTCGGCGCCGACGGCGTCAAGTCAAATACGCGCGTGGCCATGTTGAAAGAACTCAATGTCGAGGCAGAAGTCAAGGACACTGCCCAGGCCGCCTACCGGATCATGCTTACACGAGATCAGCTCAAAGATGACCCGGAATTGCTGGCCCTGCTTGACGCCGACAAAGTCATCCGCTGGATCGGTGAAAAGAGGCATATCATCGCATATCCCGTTTCGCGGAAACAGATTTACAACATATCAACCACTCAGCCGGATGTCAACTTTGCAGCGGCACCTTCGGCGACCTACACCACTAAAGGGTCCAAGAAAGCTATGCTTGAGGTCTACGGCGATTATTGTCCAATGATTCATCGAATGTTGGACCTTGTCCCAGAGGGCGAGGTTTGTGAGTGGAAGCTGAGGGTTCATGCACCGCTACCCACATGGGTGCATGGAAGCGTGGGTCTGGTCGGCGATGCTTGCCACCCTACCTTGCCTCACATGGCGCAGGGTGCAGCCCAAGCCATCGAAGATGCAGGTGTCCTATCGGTGGTGTTGGCACACTTGCCGTCAGGCGCTAGCCCAGAAGACATCAACAAGGCCCTCAAAATCTACGAGGATGTGAGAAAAGAGCGTGCGGAGACTTTGGTCGAGTTAGCCGCTCAGAGTGGTCGAAATATGCATCTTGGTGATGGAGAGGCCAAGAAAGAGCGTGATAGACAGTTTGCCGCATTGAAGGCTGGGGGCGGCAAAGGCCCTGTACCGGATAAATGGGCGGATGCTGATGTCCAGAAAATTGTATACGGAGTCGATTGCATGAAGATCGCCGAGGAGGTTGCCACGAAAGAGTTCGGCTCTTGAATTGTATTGTATGCATGTTTGTATTATGTGAAAGGAACTGCTCTTCATCAACGAATTGTCACGCCGAATCTGCTAGCTGTTCCAGTCACCACCTAGCCTCAGTGCGATTGCGTTAGGGTACCTATGGAAATAGCATTACCTATCCCGACTAAGGGTCCAACGTGTGCCATAGGTACCTGGTATGCTTCGGCCACGCGGCAACCGTTAATCTGATATGCAAAGCATGTTACCGAGTATCCATAATACTCATCGTGCTAATTGATGGAGTAAACCATGCATAGTTGTTCCTCTTCAGGGTCTGGGCCCGAGCACCGCTGCCGGATCAAATGCCTGATTCTATGCCGGGTTGTTCTTGCCACCCACCAAATCCACCCACAAAGTCCCCACAATCACTTCTCCTCTTGCTACTTCCTTTCCTCCCTTTCTCTTCTCTCCTCCTCTAAAGTCCCCGCGAATGCCCCTCCACATTGAACTATTCACTTCTTACTGCTAACCACGCGAATCGAGGTACGAGCGCGACACGGCGCGACAATGGCCACTGCTCTTGCTATTGGATCCGAGGCGAGACTGCACACGTTGCAATGTCGATTCTGCCAGAAGACCTTCTCAAAGGGAGAACATCTAAGGGTATGAAGCATTGTCTCCATCTCAATTGCAAAGACTCATCACGCTGACCATCAATGGTATATTAGCGCCATGAGCGAAGTCGTAAGTGATTTATCGAAACAACGCATGCTTCAAAAGCTAAATAGCATCTCTGAAAGACACCGGAGCCAAACCATTCGTGTGCAGAGAATGCCAGCGATCTTTCAGCCGGCAAGACTCTCTCGCCCGCCATGACAAGCTGCATAGTCGTCGACGAGCTACCAAAGATGCAGCCTCTCCTGCATCCGTCGACAAGCCCGTCACCCCTGAGAGCATGAGAAGCACTGACCTGAACGAACAACCCGTCAACACGACTGCTGATCACTTTCACTTCCCTACGTCAGTCTCCGAGGAGCAGCAATTCCAAACCCCCGTGGCACTATCCTCGCTTGTCCCACAGCAGGCCACTCAGCCGTTAGACTTGGATTATGATCTTATCTGGCCTGACTCCGAAGACTTGTTCCAGAGTATCATGTCAGCAGACCCTGCCAGTCAATGGCAGGTGCCTATAGGAACTCTTCCGTTTTCTGCCTCACCATCTACCAGCGACGTGCCCTTTGGGAGTACACCGAGCTCGTTCGATGAAAGACCTTCGTCGATAGGAGCCATCCCTTCGGGCGGGAACCGCCAAGCAGTGCAGGATGTCAGCAAGATGGTCTCAAACCTGGTAAGCTCCAGCAATGAACCACGTCCCCTCCAGCTTTGGGTTATCCGCCCACAATCCCGATGTCGTGTCTGTTTGACTAACAACATCAGTCATCCGATGTCACCGCAGCAGCCAAATCGACCTCGATCACGTCGGTATTTCTCGACGAATGTCTACATATGTTCTTCGCCAAATTCATTCCCACATTCCCCGTCCTACACCGTGCCACGTTCGTCTTCCGGGACTGCACCCATCCACTTCTGCTCAATGCCATTGCGATTGGTTCGTTATATCTTGGTCCGAAGGACGCCGTGGCCAAGGGCGAAGCATTGTGGCGCCTTGCTCACACTGCCATGGCGACGTCATGGCAGAGCCTGATATCTCATCGTGGGCTGTATGATGCCTGTGACGGTGTCCAGCTCATCAGTACGGCTGTCTTGGGCCAGGTCTACGGCGCCCTCTCCAAGAACCGCGCCATAAGATCCACCAGCCAAGCCTTCCACTCTCTAGGCTTTGTCTGGGGCCGCCGCTGTGGAATGTTTGACTGCGAGTCTTATCCTGTGACAGCAGTTCCGTCGTTGGACGCACCTGAGTCAGAGAAGGAGCATCAATGGAGAACTTGGGTGGCTCGTGAGATACAACAGCGTGCCCTGCTGGCACACTACATGCTCGACGGTCTGATCTCGCAAATGTCCGGTGTGCCAACCTCGGTACGCCACGCGACTAACGCCCTGGGTCTGCCGAGCGGTGAAGCCGCGTTCGAAGCGTCCAGTGCCGACGAGTGGATCTCCTACATGCAAACCAAAAATTCCCTGAACGCTGCGACTTCCTTCCGGAGCATCCTGCGTCGCTTGTTCCACCCCGTCAACGAGGCACGGTGGCTGGATGCCACGCTCTCCGCATTCTCATACAAAGTCATCCTCGAAGGTCTGCAATCACTCATCTCCGACGATGACTGCGACGAAGTCACGGCCGTTGGTGTCCCCACTCGACCGGAAGTGCGCCGTGCCTTGAACCAAGTCTATGAAAGTGTCACGCTCAACGGTTCACTTTCCTCAGCAGATCGTCTCGAGACTTTGCTCCGGTGGCACTCGATCTGCCTGGACACTGTGGTCGATACGGCATTGTTGTGCCGCAACTTATGCTCAAGATACGACATCACGCAGCACATCTGGCGAAGCGGGCAGGTTGCTAAGACACCACTGGACCTGGTTTCCTGGGCAAGTACACCAGCAGCGCGTATCGCTCTGCTCCACGCCATGGCCATTCAGGAAATTGTGGAGCAACTGCCCCGTGGCCGAGCCCACGCAATCCACATGCCCAGCTCACTCTTCGCCACGGCAACTGTTTACGCTGTGTTCGCGCTGGCCGGTTCGCCTGCACTCAAAATCCCTTGCTCGGTCATGTGGCAGGATGTTTTGCTGGACATGAGGGCCAATCCTTGCGCCAATGACCCCTACTTGGCGATGTCTGACCTTTCAACTACCATGACGGAGACCGACACATCGCGGTATGTTCGTGGCGATGTACTGTATGGGGCCAACGTCACGTCGAGGAATCTCCTGTACGAGTTGAACTCGATTCAGAAATTGTTTCGATGTCTCTTTGCACAGTGGGGTGTGGCTTATGACATGGAGAGCGTGATTGAGCGGTGGATCTCGCTGTGTCACTAAGTTCACAGACCGTGTTGGCCGTGCCTGATGAGGGACCTCCTCGAATGACCATTTACCAGTCTAACGTTCGTTGTTTTGAGCGGGGACTTGGGAGGACGAAACGAATTTCTCTGGCTCTTCTTGAACGAGCAACATACTACAGATTTTATGGTCAGGACGACCTGCAAGTCTCCTTCTCTGGCAAACGTCTTGAGAAGTACAGTTGTCTCTGTTCGATTTCATTTACTGCTTCTCCGCCAATGAAATTTTTCCCTGCTCATCATACACAATCTCCCTCATCCTCACGCTCCTCAGGTGATCCACCCCCTTACTCAACTCACAATCATGGTAGAACAGATACCACTTCCCCTCGAACTCAACGATACTATGATGCGTCGTCCACCCGACGACCGGCTCGAGAATCCTTCCACCATATGTGAACGGTCCGTACGGACTATCACCAATCGCATAGGCGATATAATGCGTGTCACCAGTCGAGTAAGAGAAATAGTATTTGCCCTTGTACTTGTGCATCCAGGGGGCCTCGAAAAATCGTCTATCGTGATCATCCGCTTGGATCAATGTCCCATGCTCATCGAGAATCTCGATCTCCTTGACGCCCTCGCTTGTAAATTTGTGCATGTTCTCTGACAGTTTGGCGACTTTGGGTAACAGCGCGGGGACATTGCCCGAGGGCTCCTGAGGCCCGGACTTTGAGTCGTCGAATTTTCCAGACGTCCAGCATTGTAACTGTCCGCCCCAGAGACCGCCAAAGTACAAGTACGCTGAGCCGTCGTCGTCGACGAAACTCGCGGGGTCGATGGAGAAACTTCCCGGAATGGGCTCTGGGTCGGGCTTGAATGGACCGGATGGTTTGTCGGCGACGGCGACGCCGATGCGGAAGATACCCGATTTGTCGCGCGCGGGGAAGTACAGGTAGTATTTGCCGTTCTTGGTCGCGGCATCGGGGGCCCAGAGTTGTTTGGAGACCCAGGGGACGTCGGAGACGGTGAGGGCGACGCCGTGGTCGGTTACTTCGCTTCCGGGCCCGGAGAGGGAGAGGACGTGGTAGTCGGCCATGTCGTATTGGTCGCCATTGTCGTTGAATTTGATGTCGGTTTCGCGGTCCTTGACAGAATGTTAGAACTGGATCATGACTTCACTTGATGATATATGCTTTTCGAATGCATCAAAGGTAGGTAGTATATGGAGTCGTGTAGATATGGATGTTTGGTAGCCGAAGTTATCCCGGACACCCATATGGAGGGTGACTGCTCCACCACCCGGCCATCTTGCTTTATTGTGTGCTTTGGATTTTTGATATGGGGGGATGGACTTACATGAGATGGATATACGTAGATTTTACCCTCGAAGACGTGTGCTGAAGGATCTGCTGTGTATATATGCGTTACCAATGGTGCTGATGCCATGGTGGAGAAGAACCTCGGCAGAATCAGTGGTTCTTGGACTCGAGCTTCTAGGCTTTTGACAGGACTTAGACTCGCGTAGGGGATCGCAGAGTCGATACTCTGATGAGTGAAGCTTTCGAAGGGAGACAAGACGGTCCATCCTCTTTATGAGGCTGCTATTGCTTGCATTTGGCAGAAAGCCGCACTAGCGTCAACTTGCATTTAGCCAGATTTATCCGAGAGAAGTAGAGGGGCAAATGGTCAATCGGAGTGCACAAGCGATAGACCGACAAATATAGGACCCGTTTGTGTCTTCTCGATGGTTAGTATGTGGAAGGCTGTGGATTAAATCAGCTCGGGATTTGGTGTCGTGATACCGGAGCTGATGTGGCATGAATACCTGCTGGACTATCTTCATCGAAATCCTGCTACTGGCACTCAGTGGAGGAGTTGAGAACTTGTTTATCGGCGAATGCACGACTCGGAGGAGCACATTCTTCCGAAATACACAGCATCACTGGGAGCCCGATGTCTGCATGCAAAAACCGACGTGGTGGTTCTTGACGTCGAGTGGTCATAAGACAAGCTCGTACACGCATGGGCTGGAGACGAAAGGTTGCACGGCGCAAATGTCGATTGTTGATCATGGGGATATCATAATGCCATTGCTGCTTTGCACAACTAGCCCATGTGTGCCAGTATGCCATCATCAAATCTCGTACATGCCACTCAGGGACTCTCAAGATGAAGATGAAGAAACGCCGCGGACCTTCTCGTCAGCGTCCTTGGCCAGGCCTTCTGCTCCCTCTTTGGCATCTTCAGCGGTGTCCTTTGTCGCAGCGCCGGCATCATTGCTCGCCTGCTCAACCGATCCCGCAAGGTCTGAGCTGATCTCTTCCGACCCCTCTGTCGCTTCCTGCAGCCGCTCCTTGTGGGCTTCAGCGGCCTCTGTGGTATGTTCAGTATCTTTTGGGTGTATTCTCTGTGCACACACTCACCTTTCCCACCTTGTTTGCTGCTGCTAAACATGTTGCCTACTTGTCCAGCTCCTGCACCAAGGGCACCTCCAGCGAATTGTACAGTGCTTCCGACTCCGTCACCGACTCCTTGTACTGTGCCGGTCAAGCCCTCACTAACTGCACCAACTGTGTTTCCGAGGGTGTCAACGACCCCTTTGACACTACCGCCAACAGTACCACCGATGGCAGTGACAGCGCTCTGGGCGTTGGAGGAGATGCCTTGTACTTGGTCTTGAGGGATCTTGCCTGCAATTGCAGCTCTGTGGGTAGAAAGAATCAGCTTCCGGAGGTGGAAGATAGCAGAAGATCGTAGGGTGATCATGTCACTGACTGTGTCTGCTCGGCAAGTTTCTCGCCTTTTGGATCGCCGGGAAGAAGGTCTAGGTCAATCACACGGTTCTCTGCAACTTTGACCATTATGAGCTAGAAAGTTAGTTTTGCGTAAGTGATACTTCGGATTGTCAGCCGGAAGCGAAGTCAGTGTCATAGATGAAAGCCATATTGTTATTCACATCCAGCTATTGCGTGCCTAAATGTGACGTAAATGAGCTGCATTCCGACTCTTGGAATGACGATATGAATGAGGCCGGGTCTGGAACAGTATTGGTCCTGATCTCAACCCGTCAAATTGGGGAACGGGTTGAAATGGCCCAGTAACAGGGATGGCGATCTTGGATAGAGCTGCGGAGTAACAATGTTGTCGTCAGTGTCATTTTACATCGTCAACCTTCAACGCGGTCAAAAGTCGCGTGCCGCGGTACATGGAGTCCGGCCGCTTCACCTTCCCCCAAGAACATGATCACGTGGTAGACTTTGGATAAACAGCAGGTGCAACTCGCTAAATCCAGATTTGATTCTTTTTCCTCTCTCTCCTACGTACAAACAACCACAAGAGGATGATCAGTCGTGCATCTCACCAGTAAGAATGCTATGCAGTACCGCACTGGATTATCGAACACGCATCGCTTTTTCTCCCGTTGATGCTTTTTCAATGGACTGCCTGAATCGTAACCTTCGGCTGCTCGACATCTTTCTCGGCCACAAAGGGCGCGGCAAAGGCATACCTCTTATACCCTTGTGAATAGTCCTTGCCAGGGACGCGCTCTACGATGCTCGTCAGCTCTTTTCAATCTGAGAATCGTGCTAGATATCGGCTTACCGTGGTCGGGTGGGAAATTCTCTCTCCGGTGCTCATAGTACTCCTGCCTCAGGTTTTCTCCGTCACTTTTACCATGGTAAGTCGCATAGATCATACTTCGACTGCCGTTTGTCCGATTGGGCCCACTGCGATGAGCAAGGTGACTTCCGAACAACAAAACATCGCCAGGATGCAGAGGCACCTGTGTCCACTCGTGGCTGTCTTCCCAGGCTTTGGAGATGGCACCGCCATGAGAGAGTTCGACGTCCATTTCATGTGAACCAGGCACGACCTCGATGCAGCCATTTTCAGGTGTGGCCTCATCAACAGAGAAGTTGGCCGTCAAGTGCTCAATCTTGCCAATGTGGTCATAGGCAGGAGCATCCAAGTGTGGCGCGAAGCCATTGCCAAATGGCAGCTTGTAGTTGATCTTGTCCTTGAATAGCAGCATTTCCTGAATGGAGGAAGAACATGGTCAGCTCAAATACAGACATCTTCGACTTACAAATGACTCAAAATGGGGGTTCAAACTTACATCCCCGGAAATGGCCTTCAATATCTGCGCCAATGCATCGCCACACAACACTGCATGGAAGTCTGGATGGTAGTCGACAAAGTTCTCCGTCCGCAGAAGCTGGCGCGTGCCGTTGACATTTACCTCGTGATATGGCATCCACTTGCCCTTCTCCGTTGGCCATTCTCGGACCTGCTTAGTCCATGCTTGCAGGTCCTTGGGGTCGACCAGACCATGCTGTTCAGCCCCGAGAAGGAGGTAACCATCACGGTGAAATTGCTCGACAAGAGCTTTACTGGGAATGAAGGAAGCCATCGTGGACGAGGACCGTGTATCGGGCAATCAACCGATACGTGAAATACTGAGATGGCTGATGGCCTTCAGGAGACAATGGACCAATCTTCTCTCGCTAGTGAGCCCGCTAATATTCCCCGTGCAGGCTTCAACGTCGTGCTTTAAGTATAACAAAAGGTATGAAAGCGACCCAGGAGTTTCGGCGCCTCCGGGCTTCGTGCCGACGCCCCACGTGACATCCTGAATGAGAGGGTCTCCAATCGCTGAACAGAACGACATCGACCTTCGTGCCGAATGCAGTTTTCCTTGTCGGTAACAGTCCGGAGGTGTATTTCACGATGGTGCATGGCCGTCGATCAGGATCGTCGGAGTAGCGTTGAGTTGGTCAGAACCCGAATTTCGTCCCTCCTCTCTCATTCTCTATCAATCCCGCTAAGAACCTAAACCACTCTTTGGACAACAGTGCTCCGACATTTTCGGTGTTCACCCGAACAGAGCCTCACCGATCACAAACACTGCTTCATCCAAACTTCGCTGCCTGATCAGAACCGAAACAATTAAAAGAACACAGCTTCGACACTAATGCCAGCCATTTTTGACCATACAACCTCGACCATCTGTTTCTGCTTCTTATCATAAAGTGGCACACACCGGCTTCCCAACAACTATTCGCCATGCTCCCCTCTGTCGAGCGTCACGCCCACGAGTGCGTCCAGCAACTCTTTCAGTTCATCGATGCACAAGGCCAGGGCGACTACCTAGGCGAGAAAGTCTCACAACTACAGCACTCCTTGCAGACCGCCCAACGCGCCGTCGATGCTGGCGCGGACGACGACACAATTCTGGGCGCACTCCTGCACGATGTCGGCCGCTTCATCCCCGAGGCGGAGAGAATGCCCAAGATGATCGCTGCCAACGGCATCTACTATGGCCGTCAAAGCCACGAGATCCTTGGCGAAAGGTATTTGCGTGGCCTGGGCTTCAGCGAGACTATTTGCCAGCTCGTTGGCGCCCATGTTATGGCGAAGAGATACCTCACGGCCGTTGATAAGACCTACTACGATGGCCTTAGCGCGTCGAGCAAGCTTACTCTCAAATATCAGGTACTCTACTGAACAATGCCTGTTGATTGGCACCAAGCTAACGACAACCATAAGGGCGGAACGTTCAATGAAGAGCAAGTCCGTGACGCGCAGAAGGATCCGCTTCTCGAAGCCAAGCTAGCGGTGCGAAGGTGGGATGACATGGCCAAGTTGCCAAACATGGACACCTTGCCGCTTCATTACTACGAACGCATGGCGGTGAAAAGCCTGCTCAGTAAGCCCCCGTGACGTTGACCACTCTCGCCGAATATGTGTGCTGACACTGACTTATAGAATCCCGATCTGTCATTGAACTCCATGGAAGACAATACAAGCTCCCGGAACGACCAACTGTGGCCATTTGCATCGACGGCTTCGACCCGGAGTACCTTGACCAGGGGATCGCCGACGGCATCATTCCCAACATGGCCTCGTTTGTCAAGTCAGGTTTCTCGACCATCGCAAATTGCGCTATGCCATCATTCACCAACCCGAACAATTGCTCTATCATCACCGGTGCGCCGACGGCCAAGCACGGCATTGCTGGAAATTTCTTCCTCGACCGGGACACTCGCGAAGAACACATGGTCCTCGACGACTCTTTGTTGCGCGGGTCCACCATTCTGGAACAAATGTCCAATCGTGGTGTCCGTGTCGCAGCTATTACCGCCAAGGATAAGTTACGAGCTCTTATCAACCACGGTCTCAACTTCGAACGTGGTGATGTTTCCTTTTCGGCACAATATGCCGACAAGTGCACCGTCGAAGCGAACGGCAAGGCTGATGTTGTCAAGTGGCTCGGCCGGCCTGCACCTGATCAATATTCCGGAGAGTTGTCCTTGTTTGCCCTGGAAGCCGGAGTCAAGCTTCTCGAAGAAGGAAATGCCGACTTGTTTTATTTGACCTTGTCGGACTATATACAGCACAAGTACGCCCCCGGCAGCAAAGAAGCGAACGACTTCTTGGCGGCCATTGATCGATGCATTGGCCGACTTGTAGAATTGGATGCAGTGGTCGCTGTCACGGGAGACCACGGAATGAGCGATAAATGCCACGAGGACGGCACTCCCAATGTCCTTTTCCTAGAAGAGGAGCTCAACCAGAAGTATGGCAAAGACTTTTCAAGGGTCATTTGTCCCATCACGGACCCTTTCGTCCGACATCATGGCGCCCTCGGATCATTTGTACGAGTATACCTGGATGAGAAGAGAGGCGTCCCGGTTCAGGAGGTCCTGGAATACATTCGCAGCTTCTCCCAAGTCCAGCTAGCTTTGGAAGGCGAGGCAGCAGCTGAGAAATTCGAAATGCCCCTTGACCGTGAAGGAGACGTTGTCGTTATCTCGGAAAAGAATGCTGTCATTGGAAGTCGACCGGAGGAGCATCCCTTTGACAATTTGAAGGGCCATCGACTTCGCTCGCATGGCGGTCTTTCTGAACAACAAATCCCTCTCCTAAGATCCCTGCCGATCAAGGAGCCAGCTGGTGACCGACAGTGGAGGAACTATGACATTTTCGATGTCGCCCTCAACTACTAACGCTATTCATGGCAACATTGATCCATACTCAATGCGCTGACAACGAGTTGAAGTCAAAGTCATAATTGAAATCTGCGCCTGGAGAGAACAGAAAGTCGTAGTTCTCGATGAACATGCCCTCGGTGGGACTGAGCCATTGGTTGCCATCTGGATCGAAATTCGAGGGACCAGGTGGTATTTGTGGTGGAGCCATCGCCCCAGGTTCTTGACTGGTGTTGGTATTGTTATTGTTGCGGGAAAATCGGTCAAGAAGTTTTTCCATACTGCTTGCAATGCTCGTCAACAGATGTCGAGGATGCATGATAGCGGTAGTGTCCTTCAGCACTTTGACTAGACTGTACAGCATGTCTAATATTGCCGCTTTGTCAATGCTGAGATTTGCCGGGTTCTTGATTGTGAATCTAAGCAGGAAAACAAAGGCAAAAGCAATCATAGTGTCGAAATACGCCGGCAGTCCGTGCAGATACGATTGGATCTCATTATCTGCCACGATCACCTGGACAATGGAACTGGCGGAGTGGATGGCCATATTTGCAAATTCTCCCATGTCCGGTTCGAATCGCAGTTGCTCTTCGTTGGGGGACGGCGCCCTCCTAAACACATGAGAGCAGAGGTATAACTTGGCGAAATGGTAATGCAAGCCCACACCCTTGCGGGGATAATTGCCGACGGAGGCATTGTACTGAAAGCGTTCCTGCCAATCGGCCCGCCACGTATCCAAGGCGATGCTGAGTCGACGGATTTGCGGCGTCAATTGGTCGGAGAGATGACCTTCTGGATCCAGACTGAACTGATCAAAGACTCGAGTGCTGATGGACCATATCTCGACTTGGCTGACCAGTCGGGAGTCGTCCTCGGTCGCAAATTCAGACTTGAGAAATTCTCTTGGAGGTGTGACGGAACTGAAGTCGCGTGTCATTGGTGGCCTACCGTAGGCTACCGAGAAGTGGTGGTCACAGACGTAGACCAGATAGTACAGGCGAGTGCGAAGGTAACAAGCTTTTTTGGAGTGAGGTATTTTAGGGATGCAGCGATGGAGGTTGAGTTCTCCCGCAAGTCGGGCAGCTGTTGTGCGCCAAGATCAGCCATCAAGTGTATGTCGATTGAGTCAAAAACGTACCTGTGCCGACTAATGTCCACGAGATGTCACTTAACCAGAAGGCGCCTATGCACAAAGCCCTTACGTCGTCATGGCTGTTTCTTTTCGAGAACATCCTTGACGAGGCTAGACTGGTGAAGTTCTGATAACAGGCTTGGTAGTGGGATGACGGAGTGTGGAGGGCTCCAACGGTACATATTGCGGCGGTCAGTAGCGGAGAGCTCTTTCTGACACTGGACAATGAGTCATGCTCGTCGAGGATCCTGTATAGAAAGTGGTCGAGGCGTTGATGGTATAAGTGGAAAAATGCCTCGGCGTCGACCAAGCTGATGACACCGCGGTCGATCAAATCGTAGTCATCAGGATTATTTTGGCGGAAAGTCGCGGGAGATGCGTCTGATAATTCGGACACGACTGAGGCTGGGACAACGCCTGGTCCTCGGTTCAAGTCCATGACGACTTCCCAGCCTGCTTCGTTCTGCCGCTGCTGTGGTTGTGGCTCGGTCGTGACTATAGTACCAGCCATTTGCGGTGCGGGGACCGGGGTAGTTGTGCTATTGTGTCGAGGACTCATCAATGGCGGCAGGGTGTTGACGTTAGTGTTCGAGACACCGCCAGTAGTTCGTGCCTGTTGGTTTAGTCTGTTGATATTATCTTCCAGTTGATGCAATTTCTGCTCGACGTTGGCCTTCCATCTGCATCCGTCGTCAATATTAGTCATTATTCATCAAGGCGTTCGGCTGAGCTTAGGCTCCCTGAGAGGAGGTGACACTCACGCTACATCGCCCTCTAGGAGCATTTGTAGACTCCGGTTCACGACACAGGACAAGCCTCGTTTCTTACAACGCGTACAGGGGATAGCGCCATCTGGCATATGGCATTTGATCTTTTGCTTGCGGCAGGCCACGCAGGCGGTGATTTTGCGGCTGATGTCGATGGGCCGCCGGTCGCCGAAGGACTCTCGTAGTGAGAGTGCGGCCTCTGAGCCGGCATCCATTGCGTCCATAATGTCTTCTTCCATATGCAGATCGGGGCAGATGCGAATACCACAGTAATTGGTGTTTCGATAAGGTTGTGATTAGGGAGCGGAAGATGAGGATCGGAGCTGATGGTGTTCTCGGCACCAGCACATGTCGTTATCTCACAGCCAATCATAATCCAGGTTATACTATTAACACGTTCCGCTTTCACTCCGCATTATTGGTTAACAGCACCTCATACCACAGGTTTCGACCAGGGAGTTTTTCCACAATCATTTCCTCCTTTTGATATTCGGTCTCCCTCCGGTATGCAAAATGAGGTCGGGAAGGGTTTTAGTCTGTCTGCGGCGTTCGTGCCGCGCCAAAAAGACGACCACATGGGTTTGACGTTTTGTTGTCGAACGTCTAGGCGATCTCGATCCAGGAACGACATTTGCACGTGGTGAGGATCAGTACTCTCAATTCGTCTGATGGGTCTATTCTTTAGTGCAGCCATAAATCCGTGTCGCTATATCGACTACGGTGCTGGACCGACGTCCAGTAAGGCTGGGCTACTTGCCAGATCAGCTTTGCGTGTAGCTTGGAGACATGTATATTAAGGCATATCAGTCTTGGAAGATGTGACTTGTTACTCGGCCAGGCACTAACGAGCTCAAGCAAAGACAGCAACGACATCGAACAGTCTACACGATTCGACATCAACAGAACTCACAATGCTCGACACGAAGTCTTACTTCTCCAACTTGAAGTTTCTGCTGGTGGCAGGTGTTGGTCTCTTTGGTGATGGGTACCTCAATATCAGTATCGGACTTGGTATGGTTATGCGAGCCTGCGCAGATTGGACCCCTGCTAAACCGACAACAGTTGTCCCAATGCTCGGTTACCTGTACTATTCGGATGAGAAGAACACTATCCCTACCTTCTCCGGAGACTTGATCAAAGCTGGTCTTGCTATCGGCATGGTCTGCGGTCAGATTGGTTTCGGAGTGTTCGGTGATGCTCTGGGCCGTCACCGCATCTACGGCAAAGAACTCATGATTACAATCTTCGGCACGTTCATGGTTATCATGATGCCTTGGGGCCATATTCAGCATCATGATGTGGTTGCGTGGATGACCGTCTTCCGCATCGTAACTGGCTTTGGGATCGGAGGAGGTAAGTGCATCACAATACCTGCTGTATCCATGCAGGTTCACTGACGCTGTGCCCTGGCAGACTACCCAATGACTTCTTCCTTGTCTGCGGAACATAACCCGACGGGATCACGAGCGAAGATGGTCCTCGCAGTCTTCAGTTGTATCGGCACTGGAAGTATGACTTCTGCAATCGTCTACGTGATCCTGCTGGCAGCCTTCAAATCCTCGATCAATGAAAACATTCATCACCTCCAATGGGTCTGGCGACTGCTCTTTGGTCTGGGTCTTGTGCCACTGATCGTCACCCTATACTTCCGCCTGACCATGCCGGAAAGCAAGCCTTATGAGAAATGTAAGGAGATATCCAACTCAGTCCAGAAGCACCCTACTAACTTCCCTTCCAGACGTGGCTCAGGAGACTTCGCTCAAGCACGACGGCAAACGTGGTCTTCACCAGCAATGGCGTGACTTCAGAGAATACTTCTCGGAGTGGAAGCACGCCAAGGTCCTGATTGGAGTCTGTGCCTCCTGGTTCCTCTTGTGAGTCCTCTTGTTATCACACATTGTTTCGCAAACCTGACTATCGATCAGTGACATCGCCTTCTACGGTATCAACCTCAACCAAAGTATCGTTCTCTCCAAGATCGGTTACGGCAAGGGAGCCACGCCATGGCACACCCTGTGGAACACGGCGGTCGGCAACGTCATCGTCTCTGCTGCAGTAAGTCCCATTTCCACTTGTGATTCTGCAGAATGATACTCACATCAACGCTTAGGGATACTTGCCCGGATTCTACATTGGCATCTTCCTCCCCGACCTCATCGGCCGCATCAACCAGCAATTCTGGTGCTGTGTGGGGGTTACCATCCTCTACGCCATCTGGGCTGGCGTCACCAACCATACCTCGACCGGTGGCCTTGTCACTCTTTTTACCCTGTCTCAACTCGTGTTGAACATGGGTCCCAACTCGACCACTTTCCTCTTGCCCGTCGAAGTCTTCCCCACCCGTGTCCGAGCTACCGCCCACGGTATCGCAGCCGCCTCAGGAAAACTCGGAGCCATCGTCACGGCATTCGCCTTCGGTTCCCTCTCGGACCGCATTGGTCTCCGCGGCGTTCTCGGGTTTCTGGCAGGCATCATGGCCCTGTGCGCTGCTACTACTCTGCTCATCCCTGAAACCAAGGGTAAGAGCTTGGATGAGATCGAGCGCGGAGTGCTCTATGGCAAGACCGCTAGCGCTGAAAGCGTCCAGACCGACAGCGCCGCGACTTCTCCTGAGTTGTTCGCCAAGGAAGAGGCTTACCCTAAGAACGCTGATGGAAAGGATCTTGCGTCCGTCTGATGCACGGTTCGTACGGGATATTACTATGTTTACTATGTCTGTGAACAAAGTGAACGGTGGTGACCCCGGCGTCGCGAGGAATATTTGGGTATGCGGTTATGCTCAGAGCAGGGAACGAAAAGAGATAGAACTGTCCTTTCTGATGGGGGAAGCGCTTCTGTACTTTTATTCAGCCTACACCTCTTCATCGAGGTGTTTAATACCACACTATACAATGAAATGATCCAAAACATCGTTGTTTCCAACCGATGCTGGCTTTCCTGGCATATATCTTACCGCCCGTCTGACACATGTCTGGCAAAAGTAGGCTTGGGGAGGGTGATTATGAATGGTAATCGAGGTGGCACAAGGGTGAACTGTTCGGTGCGAGAGTTCGCCATCTCCATTGGTCCATACCACTGGTCACTTCGACCCGTGATCTCGATTCGTTACTTACTCGCTACTACACAACTTCCTTTCGTCATCCCATTTCAGAGACTACCAGGGCGTTGTTATGCGACCCTTTCTGCTGTACTCTGTCATGACATTGGGACACCGTTGCACTCCATTGGTACATCTCAATGTTCCAAAGACTATTTCCGCGATCCGTCCGAAATCTTGGATGTGATGATTCGGGATATGCCGATTTCCTCTGTCATATCGCTTGCTTAGCTTGCGCTCCCAAGCGTCGGGATTTTCCGAACGGATTTCTAAGATATCTGATTAATCTTGAGCAGCGTTCAGTAGATGCGTTGCTTGGACTTTCGCACTCGGCCTATCACCAAGTTGTCGTTCTCGATTTGCCCTAGAGGCTTGGGAAGTGCGGCATGTGCTCACACAACAGAGGAATTATTTAACAATGGGGCTTGCAGCTATCGGCGGACGACTTCCTGCCTCCAAGCACGTTCTCAAACCTCAATAAGCGACAATTTTGTATCGATCAAGCTACTTATAGTTTACAGAGCCAACTTTGTGCAGTTGAAAGTTCCCTAGAAAGACGACAACTGCGGCATACCATGCAGCCGTTCCACCTGACAGCCACGGGCTACAACATCAACTATCTCCCACAATATATCGCGCACCGGCATGGCTTTTTCGGCGACGAGGGTCTTGATGTCACGACCACAATCCCTGCGCCATGGGATGGTGTTCTCGACGCGCTTGCCGATGGCTCTGCCGACATGGCCCTTGGTGGAATCTGGGTGCCGTCCATGTACCGCGATCGCGTACGACAAGACTACACGGTGTTCGCACAGATTGCGAATCGCTGTCCACTAGCGCTGCTCAGACGAACGAGTTGCGGGAAGAAATTCACGCTGGCCGACGTGGTCGGGAAGACAGTCCTGATGAAATCCATCGGCGGCGCCAGCGTCGGCCTGTTCTTCAAGATGTTGCTGCGGGAGAATGGCATCGACCCCAGGACAGTGGATTTTATCCAGGATCTGGACGGTCTGATGCTGGGAACCTTGTTTCAGGGTGGTATGGGCGATTTCTTCGTCACTGACAACCTGTCTGCCAAGGTCATGGCCGCGCGCAATCCCGACGTTTCGATTGCCTTGGAAATGGTCACGCAAGGCGAAGTCCCATGGAGTGTCTACTACCGAGAAACCTCGACCATCACCCCGGAGCTACTCGAGGCTCAGACGCGGTTTCTTAGGGCGCTGAACAAAGGTATAGAGTGGGTGCTCGAGTGCGACGCCAGCTCCTTCAGAGACGAACTCGCCGAGCTCTTTCCCAAGGTGCCCCTCGACGTGGCCGTTGAGGTGGTCAATTCCTTCCGTCGAAACGGCATGTGGAGCACCGCCACCATACCGCGCAAAGCATTCGACCGGTGGCAGCGAGGCCTCACCGACGCGCGCTTCGTTAGTCAACCCTTGGAGTATGAAAGCCTCATAAACGATGGGCCTGCGAAGAAGGCGGAAGCCGCACTCACAACAGCTCATGCAGTAGCAATGGAGGGGCGGTAAATAGATGAGCTGGATCAGAGCATGCTCTTACTGTAGACATGGAATTGGATATAATGCAATTTATATTCACCATTCTCCTCTCGCATGACTGGAGTGCATTTCACAGACTTAGTTTTGGGGCGTGGTCTTCCATACTCAAAGCCAGTGGACGTGATGGTGGACAGTCAGTCCGGCAAACTGCGTAGGCACCCCTAACTGAGGCGCAGGATAGTACAACGGTTGTATCTTGACCTCCTCTATGCATTGGACCTCGTTGACATGGCTTCGAACTAAGAGACTTGCTTCTCTTCAGTTTCGCCTTTCTGTCAGTTGCTATTGAGGCGCTTTGAGTGAGTGACCAGGCAAAGAAACTGTAGAGGGGCATGATGACATCGAATATGACTTTACGGATACGGAGGGTTGTGTTATATCTTGGCATCCAGTCTACCAAAACGGTTGTTCTATGTCACCGCCAGCCACATTCGATTCAAAGGGTACCGGATTATCCATGCTTATGGTGGCGCCCCCTTGCTGCTCACCCATGATGAAGCCGAGCTCGCCCATATCGGGCCACTGTGCAGCCGTGTTGAGCAATTCTCCGAGGTCAAAGTTACCTTCGGTGGACAGCACAGCTGACATATTATTCGCCGCGACCCTGTCATGATTGTTTTGGGCATTCTGCGTCGTGGTGGTGGCGGTAGTGGTCGTCGCTGTCATGCCGTCATAACGGGGCAACTGCAATTGCTTCATCAAGTCTCTGACATGGTTTTCGAACTCTAGCCGGTTTTGGTGGAAGTCTTCAATATCCCTGGTGACCAACCAATCGATCGTCGCCGAAGACAGCGTGTCGAAGGCGTTTCGACATCCCGCGGCTCCAGGGAAGGTCTCTGACATGGCCGACAGCGTCGATGCGCAGGACTGAAGGGTGGAAATACTCTTGCCCACGGGATTTGATTCCCGTATTTCCTCGGAGTGCCAGAGCGCGTTGATTACTCCTAGACCGGCCATGAAGAGCTGGTGCACAGATTTCCACAACATCTCGAGTCTTCCCTCATGTTGTAAGACCTTAAGGCCGGCAATGACTTTGCACGAAGCTTCGAATGTGATGAGTAGCTCTTGTGCTGATTGGTTCATGGTCCCTGCGTGCTGCGGACGATAGAGCAGCAAGATGGTGTTATGATAGATCACGTCCCAGTAGGAGCGGGAGGCGAAGATTGACGACGGATGTGCTCTTTCCGGATCGGGAATCGTCGCCTTCCACTCTTGCAGGCGCGGCTGAATGTCCTGCAGCCAGGCCGTCCAGCTGGGCCGAGGGTAGGCCAGTCTCAGGGACCATACTTGGCCGTGTTGGACGTGTCTTATTTCCGATTCGAGTCTGGCCAGGGTAAATAAGTGGTTGTGAGCTCGCTGAGTGTGAATGTCGAATTCGTTGGTGGTTTGTCCACTCAGACCTTGATGACGATATCCTGTCCATGGATTCGGAAGCTGGACGCGCGTGCTTTCGTCGAGAATGCCAAACGGACGTCCGAGGGTGATGCACAGCAGGCGGTCTAGATGGTAGGTAGAATGCCACAGTCGCCTGCGGTCGTCCAGCACTTCCGGATCCATGTTGAGGCATTGCAACTCGGTCTCCCAGTGAAGGCCCACGTCGATGCAGAGCCGCAGAGCGAAGCCTGTCAGGTGCCAGAGGCTGCCCCGAGAAGGTGACAGGGCGACAAATTGAGCCAGGAGAAGCACGATCCGCAAAGTCTCCAAGTCGCTCTTGGAGTAGGTCAAAACCTTTTCCACCCAGCCCAGTGCCGAACGGAAACACCCGTCACTTTGACTCGGGCGACTTCCCGACGTGTGAGGAACACCGGCGAGACCGATGGCGAAGACCATGTACGTGATGAACATGTCCCTCTCCGGAGGTACTCCTCGTACTTCAGCATTCGTCCTTCCCGTTCCGCTGGGAGAGCCACGATATGCGTATGCACTGTTGATGGCTTTGCTCACCTGCGAACGACCAATGAGGGGCAGATGAGGCGTGCGGTATTGGAAGTAAACCTCGACAAGGTGATCGGCAACATGGCGTGGTGGCATTGAGGCTTTTGCCGGGGCCGCGGCGAACCCGGCTAGAGAGGCTTCATGGGATGGCGACTGTTGCCTTGGAACACTAAGAATTGGTGACGATAGCCTGTCATCAACGTGAATGGCGGCCATGACCATCTTTGCAAAGGAGATGCCGCTGCTCTGTCCCAGAAACCGCGGCTGCTGAATGAAGGGCTCAGTGACTACGTTTCTGACTTTGGTGACCAAATCTTGGAGAAGAGGCGAAGTCTCATCAGCAGCCAATGAAGGTGGTCTCTCTGCTGCGGCTACTGCTGCTGCTTCAGAATCGACGTTTGCCGCTCGCTCGTGGTGAGCTGCTGCTGAGTGAGAAGAAGCTGCTGTTGTTGTAATGCCGCCAGCACCGTTCCCATTCCGCAGGTCACCCTGTGTGTTGCGCTCTTCTCGCAGGGCTTGGACTTCCTGGGTGAGTTCTGCAATCTGCTCTTCCAGATTTGATACATAATCCCGAGGAATCTTTCGAAAACTATTAGCAGATTTGGAACAAGTCGGGACCTTCACCGCTTACGTCGGTCTGCTTTCCCGAGTCATACATGAGACACGGAGCGTTGACGCTTTGGCAATTGGAACATTGTGGATATCCCTGATCGCACTGTCAATGTGGAACCGTGTCGTCAGTAATTGCTCAATAGAAGCCCAGTAATGTCAACTTTTGCCTGGTGATGATAATACCTTCTGCTTTCTCCGACGACACCTGTACGCACCGATAAGCCCAAGTTCGCATCACAATTCCGCCTGAATATTGTAACAGTCTTCAACTCACCTCTGGCATGCATTCACCCCGCCCCTGATCCTTTGCTCACGGCGCGGCATGATAGTCTATCGTCGGAGATGGCCAGGAATCCGATAATGGAGTTGTGATCATGGCCTCGATTGAAGTCTACGGCCTCGTTGGGAGGATTTCGGCACGAATTTGGGCCCAGATAATGGCAAAAGTTGGCCATGTGCCTATCCCCGTCGGAAAATCCCGATCTCCCGCAGAAGTCTGATAATGGAAGGCTGAATACTGATTCGACGGCGGTGGATTTGCGAGTGCCTCTATCAAGGTGATAAGCGATTTCGAAACTTCGATCTACGACTGGCAACGCCTTATCAAGTTTATCATTCTTTTCGGTCCTGCACGAGAGGCAGCGATAGATATGTGCGATATGTGCAACGACACGATTGAACTGAGGCCTCACAACAGGCGATGGAGTATTTAATTCCGCGTCTTGGACAATGAATGTTCTCGCCGTTCACTCTTCCTCCAACACACGACTTCATTTGCTATCACGAGGCCATATATCTTCATACACTTTTTGCGCATCACAGAGCCCAAACTCGGGAACAAATGGACACAAACATGGAGAAGAATGCCAAGGATGCTGCATTCGACACCACCAGTACTAGTATCGCTGAAGATCACGCACTCGGCACCACCACCATTGCCATAGACATTGATCCCGCAAGGGAAGCAGCAGTACGCAGAAAGTTCGACATCTATGTCGTACCGATTTCCGTCATCTATCTTGTCTTATCCACCCTTGACCGCAACAATGTAAGAAGATCTTATATGATTGTTAAGAACATGGTGAACTAATTATGGAACAGCTGGGAAATGCTCGTGTCTTTGGCTTCGACGAAGATGTTGGACTGAAGGGTGGCCAATTCGGCAATATTCAGACGCTGTCTAGCGTCTGCACTGTTCTCTTTGAGGTCCCCTGGGTCCTCGCCACCAGGCGATGGGGTGCTAAAAAGGCGATTGGAACTGCGTTTGCTTTGTGGAGTGTCTGTACGCTTGGGACTGCCTTTGTCCAGACGTACGGTCAGACGATTGCCTGTCGCATGCTGTTGAATGCCGCCGAAGCCGGTCTCGCCCAAGCATTCGCTTTTTTGTTCTCGACCATCTACCCACGTGAGCTGGCCGGCAAACGGATCATGACGACCAACCTCGCCCAGTGTATTTCTGGAGCCTTCGGCGGGCTCTTCGCGTACGCCGTCCAAACGATGGGGACGCGGCATGGTCTTGCTGCCTGGAGGTGGCTCTTCATCATCGAGTTCTGTATCACGGTGGTCATCTGCGGCGTGGGACTTTTCTTCCTGCCTGGCGAGGTGGAGAAAGCATGGTTTCTGACCGAGGAGGAGAAGGAGACCATGCGGCTGAAGAAGGAACGAGACCACATGATCCGAGGCCAGGAAAAGTTTGAGCGCAAGTGGATCAAGATCGCCCTGACCGACCCCTTCGTCTGGCTTCTCGGTACTGCGTTCTTCACCTCGTCGGTTGCCATCAATGGGTTCGGAGTTTTCCTACCCACAATCATTGACGGCCTAGGGTGAGTTTTTTTGGCTTTTGCTGTCAAACATGTCGCGATCAAGAAGGCTGACTCTTCAACTTTCGGCAGCTATGCGTCTCTCCAGGTGAATTATATGACCATCCCAGTCTACGTTCTTGGCGCCATCTCTCTTTCGATCCAAGTCTACTATTCGGACAAGCTCAGGAAGCGAGCATTCTTCATCGTCGGATGCTGTGCACCTGTAGCCATTGGCTATCTCATGTGTGTATGGTCCAAAGATAAACATGTCGGCTATGCCGGCATGTTTATCCTTGTCATGGGTGAGTCATGGTCAACGGCTTATGCCCCGGCGTAATGCGTTTCGCTTTTACTGATGGACTTCTGAACCAGGGCTGTATCCCATCTCGACTTTGGCTGTGACCTGGATTACAACGAATCTAGCTCCCGACACCAAGCGTGCGATAGGCCAGCCATTTGCTTACAGCTTGGCCAACGTCTCGAATTTGATCTCTGGACAGCTGTATCCAAGTCAGCAAGGTCCGCGATACGTTCCAGGCAATGCCATCTCGGCCGGTCTCACCATCGTCGCGGGATTTCTGTATGCCTCATGCTGGTTTCTGCTCAGGAGAAGAAATGCCAGAAAGGCGAAGATGATTGCTGAAGGAGCCACCACCAATGGTAAAGAAGGGGATCAGAGCCTTGATTTCACCTATATCCTTTGAAATGGGTATTATATAACATGCGCTGTGCGCGCAGGCTCCGGGTTCCGCGAATGGTCAATCTGTCAGCCGTCAATTTGAGTTGTGGGTGTGATGACATTGAAACGTGAGACAAACGCATCGGTATTCTAGCAATGAACGTTCATGTTGGGTCTTTATTTATTTAGTTCGAATTCAATATATCGGCAATCAAATGGCCCCTAACATTTACTGAAACATAGGCATGGGGAGGGTGATCATGAATGGTATTTCGGTTGAAAGAAAAGCAAAATGTTCCCGTGCCGCGGGTGAGGCTGTGGCCAGACCCTGCCATGTATTGTTGTCGGATGTCGAGGCCTATGACATTTGATTGTATTATGCTGCCACAATTCAATGTCCACGGCCAGCCAGGGACAAGCTTTCCAGCGAGTCCCATGCACCGCGATCAATGCTAGTTGATGCAGCAGATCAATCAAAGACACCTTCTTGAATGTGTGCCTTGACTGTAAGGCATTCCCCATGGCGCGGCACAAAGCATGTATTGAGTCGCAACTAAGATCATTAGGGGCCAAGTGAACGAGATATTTTTCTCGAGAAATGAATTTCTGTCAATTACGACTAAGTCAAGTAAGATAGGTACAAATCAAATGCAGTAAACCCCCAAGCTTTAAAGCTGATTAACAATATAGTTCTCCGGCCCTGAAATGTGCAAATGTGTCATCCATTGTCGTGCAAGCCTGTCTTGAGTCCTCTTCTGTCTCCATCTAGTTGATCTCGATCAGACCAGGGCCAGCAATAGTGGCCTTGGCAACGTCTTCAGCGTCGGTAAAGGGACCTGTGCTGTTGGTGAGAGCAACAATGGTGAGGCCGTTGAGGAGATACTCAGAGTATGGGAAGAAGGCGTCGAAGGTGGCGACACCATTGCTGAGAACAGCATTGGTGATGTTCTCGACTATGGGTACGCTCTGGCTGTTGATGTAAACGATGGAGAGACCGGCAGGAGGAGAGGACTTGTCCACAGTGACGGAGAAGGACAGAGTCTGGTCCTCAGCGGCGATGGGGGAGGTGTTGATGGTCAGAGGCAGGAAGACTGGTAGGTCGATGAGGTTCGAGTTGGGGCAGGATCCTTTGACCACAACCGCCTGGTTGAGGACCGAGAAGGCGAACTCTCGGCTAGAGCGGGTCAAGAAGGGAAGCTCCGAGGGCACAAGGCCACCAAAGTAGCGGAAGAAACCAGTCTGTTCACCTTCTTGGCCAATGACGGAGCCGATGATGGGGACTGGACCGTCGTCGCCGTTGGTGGCCAGATGGAACTGAACGTCCTGAAGAGTGCCCATGACAACATCGGTGAAGGTCTTGGCAAAGGCAAGAGCTTCGTCAAGGGTGGAGCTGGGGAAGACATACTGGCAAGGCTGGATGGGTGCTTGGCCATTGGCTGCCAGGATCTTGTTTGCGTTGTCGGCGTGAAGCTCTTCTTGGGCTTGAATGGCGGTGATGGCGTTGATGACCATTTGGCGGGTGGTCGAGTCAGCGATGGTGAATCCGGCGACGTTTTCAGTCAGGTTGAAGAGGAGATCGGTGAAGAACGCGACCTCGAACAGCTCGTTGAAGGCAATGAGTCTGAAGCTTGTCAGGTCATCGGGCTTGAGGGTTGGAGCTCCTCCATTGGGCTCGATGCCGTGAGCCTGCTCCTCGGTGGCGTTCAACTCAGCGGCGTTCAGGTTGGGGAAACCGTTGGACAGAGGGAATGAGAATGGGTTGCCAGACTTGAGAGGAGCAGGAGGACCGAGGGGAGGAGACACCGTTGCGCTGGGAGAAGCGCCGTCGGAACCGGAAGAGCTGGATTCCCAGTCACCCCATTGAGCAACGGGAGCAGCGACCGCGGCACCGAGCAGAGCGGCAGCGACGAAACCGGATGTGTAGCGCATCTTTGGTATGTGGTCTGTGGTTTTGTTGTATTATAGGATTAGATCGTCGAATAGTAGTTGTAGAACGAATGTAGCGAAGCTTTTGGGTTGTAAAGAACGGCTTGGTGAATTAATAGTCAATCCAGAAGAGAAAGCTCTGATTATGTGTTGTTTGTGAATGATGAATCCGAGACTGCCACGGGTGGCAGGCGTCTCTTATACATGTTCTTGCAGCATTTCTTACCGTGCGACAGTGCTGGGATTAAGTGGCGCAAGCTGAGATCCGGCCATAGCTACCCTCAATATTCACTGTCGTGATTAGGCCTGCCAAATACTCCGATTGACGTAAACCCTTCCGCTGAATGAGAATGGTATATCCTTCCAGATTCGGAATGGGGGACGGTGATTTTGGTAGAGCAGACGGTAATTGGAAGGATCTGGATCCACGCTCTGATGCTGCAGGTACACTAGTCCGGGAGTGAAGATCGACCCAGCTCAAAAGACGGCCATGTCGACCGAGGAGCATTGCTCCCAAATCTGCGTTTAGTAATACAATGCACCTATGTTTGGAACACGTGCCTCCGGAAGAAATGCTCAGACGGTGTTGTGGTCATGCATTCCCTGGTGGAGAGGCCGGCGCGAGGAGTAAGCCACAGGAGATTCTTCCCGCCTTTGTGTATGCAGGCCACAAACACTCCGAGGGTCGTACAAGAAAAGCAACTGTCATTAATGACTAGCTAAATGCTTGCTCGGAAACACCATATCGATGCGCTTCGAAACACGTATCTTTCACGAAGCAAGCACTTACCCGCTCGACCTGTTCGATACTCCAACCTCTCCACTTGCGGTGATGTCCTTCACGGTGCCAGATGAAAGATAGCTCATCTGTAATCGGAAGAGGTGGTGACAGATTACTGGCCCAAGGGTGATGGTGTGGACGTGTGGCTGGCACAAGTCCAGGTCGAGGGCTGACCATGGCCCAATTTCCCCACGAAAAGCTCAAGGCTCCTTCCGGATCTGCCCCTCGTCGTTCCCTAGCGTGAAAGAGGATGATGGTGACATTGGAGAGAGTTCCGCCGAAGTCAAGTCAAGTCATGTCAAGTCATGCTTTAAGCTCGTCTAAGCTTTTTCTTAGCGTTCCAAGCCTCACTCGGTTTAGTGCTGGTAACCTTAAAAAGAACATTGAACTAGGTGTTAAGCTTAACGATAAGCGGAATTCTATTCTCGCCTAAACTCCAGGCCGGCAATGCATTTCTAAAGTCATATTGGACACAGCCACCTGTGCAGCCACGACTGGAAAGTATCCTCCCTGCGCCGAGTGAGTGGAAAAGCTCTTCGCTTAACGGCAATGTTGCCTCTACTGCCCATCAATGGATATTCCAGGTATACGGCAGCCCGGTATCTCAACGATCTGAGGCTCTGCTCTTACCACATGCTTGTTTATTGCTCATTACATGTCACTGGTGATGTCCGTATGACAATCCCTGTACGTACCCTGTCACCACGGAGGCAATCCCGACCGAATGCGGATAGAATCGCTTGAATATGACAAGCCACCAAATTGGCTGACAATCCACGTGCTGAAGTCTCGGCAGAGGAGGTTGTTGGGATGTTCCTTTCAAGCAACCGTAGCCCTACGGCGTATGCACATTGCACCCACCTCAGCCGCGCCCTATTGCACCATTCGACGGATCACGACCTAATGTCGCTTCGAAAGACACACATACCCAGATATCACCTCCATCTCGCATCGACACCGACAACGACAGCAATATTGTTCTATGGCTACGATCCTGCCCCATTGCGCATCAGCGTTATTGACTCCGAGACATTGATCACCAGCCATAAGGCAAGGATCTCAGTCCCTGTCCCCATTCCCATCCGGACCTCCAGGCTCTTTTTGATTTCTTTCCCGTCCTGAAATGGCGTCTAAGCGAAAAATTTATCATTCATCCACTGGTGGCTAGCTCACAATGCCTTTTGCTGGTACCACGATGTCCGCCCTGCACCGTATGGTCCGTGGTCTTACCCACTCTTTAGCGACGATCGAACCCCTCTAGAGTCCGCGAAGTATACCAGTGCAAGTCTGCGTAAGCAGGCCGCGAATCGAGCAACGTCCTGAAGTCAGATGGGAAGAAAAATGTCTCACCAGAAAGGTTCATCTTCCTGTCTTAACCTGCGGCTAGTACAGTTGCGACCTTCACAACTGCAGTCGTTAGCATGGAAGGCCTTACCGAAGCGTGCGGACAACTACACGATGACTAGCAAGATCGCTACCCTGCAAGACTGGTCGTAAGCGCAAGGCAAACATGCTCATAATTCGCAGGAAGCAGGTGAAGAGACGCTTCCGTCCACTTCTCTTCTAAGGCTGACTGATGCTACCGAGGTACATACTTCAAAGCTCTGTCAAAGATGGTGGCTGCCTGCAGAATACTCTTCGAAGCGCCGCAGGTAACGTATTTGACCACCTCCTGGTTTTTGACCACCTCGTGGGGGTAATCGTGACACTTTTTACTCTGGTAACTCGTAAAATCGTGCTTTTCTGCGATTAGGCGTGCTTCTGCCCTGATCGGCGATGCCAGGGGGCTGTTTTGGGGAGGATAGGCATGCCGATTAGAACGCTTGCCACTGTAAATAACCTGTAAGCTGTTCTTCTGGGCATTGCCACTGTCACTCAGGGTGTTCCTGCGCATCCCAAGTCGATCTTGCACATCTGTTTACCACCACCATTCATCTTTTCCTGCTCTTTCTGAGTCGCGTTTTTACGCGTCGGTAGCAAAACTTGCTATGATCCTTAGTGTTAATAAGCGTAATGAACAGCTCCCCTTGTTGCCGTGACCTCACGGCGTTGATCTCGCTACCGCCACTAAGCTGGTACCGTAGTTATATCATAAGAGGGAGAAGAAGGGCGTCTAGTAGGTGATTCTGTATAGCTGTTAGCTAAATCATTCGAGCAAGTCCAAAAGCAACCCTAAAAAGCAAGCCCAAAAAGCAAGCCCAAAAAGCAAGCCCAAAAAGTAAAAAGTAAGTACGATTCATTATATTTAAGCTATTTACCCGATCTCGTAGTAGTTCGACCTCTATATAGAGAGTATATTATGATCAAGAATAGACTCGCCGACATTAGGAAGATATTGAAGGAGGAGACCTATATAGACAACCGCATTCAACTACTTAGGGTAAAGAGCCTCGTGATCGAGATAAAGAGCCTCGTGATCGAGCTTAATACTTTTCGCCTCTACTACTCTAAGTTTACCCCTAAAAGTAAG